TATAGCGATTAAGCTATTTCGATTCTTAAGTAATTTAATAAGTATTTCGAATATTATATCGAACTATAGACTTATTAGAAAAAATATACTACTATTATATTCTATATTAATAGCTTTTAAATCGAGTCTTAGTCTAATAACTAAGGATAGCGACGGCGTAAGTAATCAAGCTCCTAGAGGAGCTTAAGTTTAAAGTCGAGAATATAAGAGGATAGGTTATCGATAGTAATACCTATTACACGCATGGTGAGATTATGCGAGCGGGCTGGCCAGCCTCGAACATATAATGGACAGTTTGTCGCAAAAGCACCGGCTTGTGCCACCTAGCCGCCCACAAAATCTATAGATCGGAGGCTATAACACAGAAAGGATTTCATCCATTCTCGCAAGCAAACTTTCCTTACGTTCTTTACGCCAATATTTGTCCCTGCCGGATACTTGCTGCATTTCTTCAGGCAGCGCGCATTCACTTCCCTGGGGAACCAGCTTTCTCAAGCAGCACAATTAGTAGCAAGTACCGGCTCTCCAGCACCGGTAGTAGGTGCACCAGTGCTTCCGACATTCTTCACGGCCTGGACAGTCCGGTTCCTGGACCGCTGAATGTCCTAAAGCCTTGCCTCGAGGGATTCACCCGTAAGATTCGTACACCTAGTCGCAACACTAAAGTGGGTTTGGGATCGTGCCATATCCAAGAATACCACTTACAGAGCAATGAATGCGAACGACTCCAGAGACTTTAGCCTTTGTAGTGCCGTATACGGCATGACACCCCTGGTCTCTTTGGCTGTGGCGGGTAGCCTGCGCTGAAGACCGTCGGGGCTGCGAAGCCACAAATAAATGTAGAGTGAGGGAAGAGACGAAGATGCCCCAGCACTAGATGCGCATCGGCGAGGAGTTGCAGCCAAGTCTTGCCACTGGACGCTCAGGCGAGTATACCCTGTGAACAATCAGCAACACAGAGCATACCCGTTGGGCGATGATCCAAAAGTCCGGTCCTTCATTGACTACGACGGCAGCCTTGCAGCTCTTGGGAATATCAAATTCTGCCATACTTTCTTGCCAACACTCGAGTCTGACGAGGATGTATAATTCAGGGAGCTTCTTATGCTCTGTTGTCCTGGGCGACATCTCGTGACAGAGGATGGGGATCACTTCCCGCAAGGCAATATCCATGTATCATACCAAGACTGAGTCATATCACAACCACAAAAAGGACTCTCCACTCAGTTTGCGAACTAAGACCAACAACAAAACCGCGTCCAGAAACGGACGTGTTTCCGTCCACTGTTGAGACGCCGTACAGTCCCCCAGAACTTTAGCCTGCGAAGATCTGTCCACGACCTGTAAGCAAGGCCCATCACCACGAAGCCGCATTTATTGTATCACTGGATTCATCTCAAGTCACCTCAACTCCACTCTCACAAGCAGTGAAGCACATCGAAATGTATTCGTCACAGCTAACATGGCTGAATTAGACCCGCGGCGGAGGTGTGCCGGTTGTTGTTTCCGGGGAGCTTCTTGTCATGTGCACTGTACTCTATGACCGCCATCGAATTAGACGGATCGTACACCTACCGGAAAGGAACACAATAGCATTGTCAGCGGGGGCGCCCAAACGTGGCTGCTGATAACAAGGAGGTCGGCCCGATGACGGAGATGTTGTCGAGGCGGTCCGTAGCCGATAAATCCAAAACACTGCCAGGGTATCTGCGGCCTTCTCATAGTCGGAGGCAAATCTCGTGGGCGACGGAGAAAGGTTGATGAAAGCTCCCTTGTGCTAAGTTCCTCGGGCTGTCTAGAGTCATCGGTGTTTAGATCAGCTTTCAGAAGATCGAGGGGAACTAAGTGTCAAACAGTGTGCATGATATGATACATTGAATTCTCTGCCTTTCTACAACTGACTGTGTACTTACCACGTATTTATAGGTGAGAGAGGCATCATTTACCCACTTCCTACAACGTGATTTACCCACTGATCGAGACCTCGTCGTCGCCCTCAAACGCTGGTGTAACAAGGCGCTGTCAGACCATTGAATGGTGCGGGAAGCCATCGCGTAATCTTGCCGTTTGACACTAAGCCACTTGAGGAAACGGCAATTCTTAGATAAATCACATAGCAAGTACGGAGGTGTGCACTAAATACTCTGACCGCGCTAAAACTTAGTGAGACGGCTAGACAAGGCTGATGTCACTCACACCAAAATTTCTATGTAACTTACATAATTTAACCTTTTGTAGCTCACTTGACAACACTACTTGCAGCAACTTTTGCTGTTGACCTCGCTATTGCCTTTCTTAATATAGAAAGCCTTGGTATTGATGAATTAGTGCTTTTTAAGTGTCTCCCTTATTGATTCAAGGACTATCGTGATATCGTCTTACTCTCTCTTACTATAGGAGTCCTATACTAACCTCGAGTAGGATTCCATAGTATTAGATCTACTCTTTATCTTTCTAGCTCTTCTCTTTATCTTCCTAGCCCTCCTTATTATCGTTTATATTTTTATATTCGTCCTCGATCTTCGCGCCGTTAGAGAATTCGTCTCTTACCTATAAGTGCTTAAAGATCTCTTCGATACGCCTACGCCCTTTATATACCCTCTTCGATTCACGGCCCTTCTAATACTTATTTTCTCCCTTAAGTACTATTATCTTTTGGATATTCGTTATTACTCCCTCTATCTACTCTTGAATCTTCTCCTATAGTATTTCGCGCTAGGCTTTACGCTAGGCTATAACTATAGAGGCTTTATTAAGAGGAGGACCGTAAAAGGTAGTTCTATATTTTAGTTACGACTAGGCTTTTTCGATAGTTATTAAGTTAGGTGAGTTACTTAGCTAGAGAAGTTATTGAATATCTATTATCGAGTAAATAGTACCTAAATAGTAGTGTATATACTCTAGGGCGTTATTCTTCTATATAATTATCCTAGGCCGAGCGCGCTTGTATTCTCGAGTAAAGAGAATTATTTTAAGTATTACGATAAGTTATATATCGTTAGTCAAGATTAATAGAAGAGATATAAGAGTTAAACCTTTTAGTAACGATACTAGTTAATCTTACTCTTTTTTTCTTCTCTAATAAGCTTTCCTATCTTCTTCTTAAACTTCTACTAAGGCTTTCGGCTTAGCCGATTATATAGATCGAGTCGTTCAATATTTATATTTAACTCCTACTATTATTTTATAGTAGGCTTAAGCGCGGTATTTAATATATCGATCTTAACTTACGCGGCGGCCTTTTCTTTCGCTATCTTAGGCTTCTAAATATAAAAAGGCTTTTTTTTATCGTATAAGAAGGAACCCTAGAAGAGAAATTCTAAGAATCCTTTCTAGCGATTCCTAATCACTATTTTCTTAAAAGTCTCGTTAGGCGCCCTCTAAATACGCTACTAATCTCTTCTTTAGCTTAATATTACGCTCGTCTCGTCGCTCTAAATTATCTTTTTCTAGTCCTCTAGGGTTTAATTCTTATACGCGAGATATTAGTTAAAACGAGCTCTCTTTTAAGCTAAATTTAATTTAAATTTACGTATTATCTTTATAGGCCTTAAATTCTATTTATATAAGATTCGAAGAATAGAAGAAGTATTAATACTATACTTATAGGCGAGAACTTTACTCGATTTCTCTCTCGATAATTTATTTATCTTAATCGCGGCGATAAGCTTCTTCTTCTTTTTTTACGTAATCTCTTTAGGTCGTCCTAAAGACTTCTCGTCTTTTATATAGTAAAGAAGAATTTACTTACTTACTCTCGAATTAAAACCTCTCGCTTTTGTCTTTTCTACGATATAGAGAGTTTATCGCTATAGTACTTAAGTAATTACCTAAATTTACGGCGTAGTCAAGCCGACTAAATAAAGAGAAAGAGCCTAGACACGAGAGATAATTAAGTACCGCGTACTATAGTCTCCGCCGAAGGATACTACTTTAGTTATTAGCCTTCGAAGAGGAGGTATATACTTAATTCGCGGCCGCTTACTCTCTCTTAATCTAGCGATCTCTATAGCGGCGTGAGAAAGAGAAGACGGCATTGGCACGAAGACTAACCTTCTCGAGGCAGAGAATCGCCTAGTTCAGAATTCATGGTTAATATAGCTCACGATCGGCTAGGTCTTATCGTAAGATTAAAGGCGATAAGGAGGTTAGATAAGCGACGTGATAGTTACAAAAAGAGTATTAGTAGTGTTAGGAATGCGAGGAAGGATAATGCATAGTAGAATGTATGCCTAGCTATCTATCTAGGTACTAGAAGGACAGCGAGAGTCGAGCGTTAGAGAAGGAAAGACTCCTGAATCCCAACGGAGCTCGCAGCTATGGAAAGCTCTGTCAATAGCGCCTTGGCGCCTGCCCAATGCATCGGTCTCCGCACGTGACTCGCACGTGATCTGCTCTGTACTCTATTAGGTGGGATTCCTAACATATAGTATCAACACCAAAAAGTAGCTATCTCAACACCAAAAAGTAGCTATTATACTTACAAACGAAGATGGCGATGCAGTTGCAGCAACAATGTAAGTGCGACCATACAAATGGCAGTACAAATCCTTACACCGCTTCTGCAACCGCCTCATCAAAAGCCTTACTCAGCACAACCCTGTCAACACTAAAAACTAGCGCGGTCGGAGTATTTGGTGCACACCTCCGTATAACAGTCTCAATCCGTCAAGCGAGAAGACCAACGTGGGGCAAGTCTTTCCAAATCTGGCTTGCCAACCAACATGGAGCATAACTTGGCCCCACAGCCTCTTGTCCAACCCACATTGTCCGCCAGATCTGGGGACATGCACAGAAGTCTTACAGAAGCTGGAGATCCCCAGGTAGATAGGTGTCCCCACGAGCGTGGAGTATTCCAAACACATTGGTGCACTCAATACCGCAATAGCGGGTGGGCTCTGGTTGTATATCATTCATGCTCTTACCCAGCTCTCGGAACATCCAAACTTCTCCAGAAATTGACTCGAGCATCAGTTGCATCCCAGGACTTATATCTCAACATGGGGTTTGGAGTTCTTGAGTCGCGATCGGGCCTGAAGCATGTGCCAGGCACCACACTCCTCGATACCCACAATACAAGTGGGTGGAATCATCGGCGCACCTGAAGAGGGCTACTGGGAAGAACTCTCACGTTCTCCTCATCCCGCAGCCTTCCAACAGCCCAAATGATCCATTGAACTGGCCACTTTGGCAGCGAGACCTGCTCCTTGTTCTTTACTGCTACTGTAACCTGCTGTGCATTGGAGGGTATGTTAGCCCGGTAGACTGAAGTCTTTGCACAAGCTAATTGCGTGAATCTAGTATTGGACCTATCCTTTCCCCCATGGCGGTCATTTTACTTGAGGAATTCAAAATCAGCTTCACTCAAGTCTCCTTGCTCACGGGATATAGTCTGTGTGCTACTGGAGCGGTGGGCATCTTCATCTCTGCGTTGGCACGCAAATATGGCAAAAGACCTTGTCTGCTTTTCTCGATCTCCTGTGCCTTCGCTGGTACTCTCTGGGGGGCTATGCCAAGTCATACAGCTCATTACTGGGTGCGCGTGTGATCCAAGGTCTTAGTGTCGCCATGTTCGAAAGTGTCATGTTCTCCGTGATTGGGGATCTGTACTATGTCCACGAGCGAGGATCCCGAATGGCCATCTATGTCACCTCGAATTCAGGAGTCGCCAACCTGCCGGCCATGCTCGCAGGCAAAATTACCACTGACCTTGGCTGGCGTTGGGTCTTTTGGCTTCTGGCCGTCTTCCTCGGGGTCGCGTGGCTCGGTGTCGTATTCTTCGGCTGGGAAACAGCCTACAATCGCAACGAGGTCTACAACATCGATACATCCTCTCAAAATGTGGGTGAAAGCGTCCTGTCATTTGTTAACCTAAGCTTCACTAACTTGCAAACCAGAACCTCGAGCTCATAGAGGAGATGAAAACTGACACGCATAATCACGTGGAGCAGACCGCTCTGGAAAGAAGTAGGACTGCGTCAACCACCGCAACTACGAGCCGAACAAATATTCTTCAGCGAATGGCACCTTTCCAAGGTAGCTTCACGGAAGAGTCAATTCTGAAAATGGTTCTTCGGCCCTTCTTTATCTTACTCAACCAAACCGTTGCTTGGGCCGTTCTGCTCATCGCCTTCCCAACTCTTTGGTTGGTAGGAATTTCCTTCGTCATCGCCCAGGTTTTCGCAGCTCCTCCTTATCTGCTTAGCACGTCAGACTTGGGCTACATGTCTGCCGGCCCGGTCATTGGAGGGACCATTGGGTGCCTCTTGTGCGGGTGGATTTCGGACCCTATCGTCAAAAACATCAGTAGACGCAACAACGGCACATATGAGCCCGAATTCCGCCTCATACTCATGATACTGGCAACCGTCACCTCCGTCCTTGGGTACTTCCTTTTCGGGAATCTTATCGTCCAGGGGAAGTCTGTGATTGGGATAGCAGCCATTTGGGCGATCGTGGTCAGCAGTACTCAGTTTTCGACAGTTGCTATAGGTGGATACATGGTGGATGCATTCCGGGACATCAGCATTGAGGTCTTCATCATCTCGATGATCTGCAAGAACTTCCTTTTCTTCGGATTCACTTGTAAGTATTTGTGCCCTGACCATTCGTTTCTCCCTCAAAAAGGCACGGCTTGTTGACTCGATTTGCTCGCAGATTTTCTAAACGACTGGATTGCCAGCTGGGGTCCTGCGAAGATGTTCAACACGATTGGTGGAATACAGCTTGCACTTTGTCTTACGACCATCCCAATTTGGGTGTTCGGAAAGCGTTTGAGAGCTTGGTGGCACACCCACGACGTCCTCAGCAAAATTTGAGGGTGACCGTTACTGGACTGGACAATGGCACGCAGGACGAGACTATCACCAAATCTTACGAAGTAGACAACAACAGGATCAGGTGGTATCGTATAGTCCTACTCTATCTCGTAGAGAGCCAATGAAATTGACCGCCTTGTGCCGCAGTGCGTCTTAGAGGTTCTTCCGCAGTTAAGAAAGAATGTAGCCGCAAGTCTATGTCAAGATTAAGTGAGCCGTCTAGCCCATGCCGCCTTGATCGAGCGCACCTGTCTCGATGCAGTGAGCGCCTGATGGAAAGGTACGGACGCGCAGTGTCCGCTTGGAGGCACCCCAGTCAAGGCCTAGTGCTCTGCGCCAAAATACTCCGGGTCTTATGGCCCTACGTGCACCGCCTTAATTTCAAGCGGTACTCAGGAAACGTTTACTAGGTCTTAATTAATCGAGGTAATACCTAGTAGAGCGTTAGATATTCGTCGTAGCGAGGGTAAGTATCCTACCCTATTAAATTGTATATAATGCACGCTTTGAGACTTAGTAGAAGTGTCCTCCGGAGTATTTTGGCGCAGAGCACTAGCCTTGTCGATCCGTGTCAGTGCTTAGTTTAGGGCCTGATTGGGGGCTTACAGGAGCGGACTGGTGGGTGTGTGTAGGAGGGGTAGTTTTATCCAAATGCGGAAGTGGGAGTTCCCGTTTCCGACAGACGAACGACGCTCCAGACATTTTTTGGGCGCGTTCAAGCTCAAGTCTCGGGGTCCAGATCGTCTCCATGCATCAGATGTCAGGCGCACCTGGGGTATTTTCCAGCCGGGGAATGCTTTGGGAATTTTCTCCGCAACCCACCACGATTGTGCATTGTCCGAGCATGTTGAATGTGTTTCAATCACGGGCAGCACATAGCGCGGATACTGCCCAAGTGTTCGTGCATAGCCTAAAGAAACATAAGGTCCACCGATTCCATCAATCCGACAACAAGGCTTTTGCGAACGCTCGACATCGTGAAGCCACTTTCCGTGTCGACCGGCTGCCCAGCTCAGGATCAAGATGAACCCCAACTACGCAAGCATCGTTCCTCCTGCGGACGAGATATCGATTGAACATGCCCAGGTGATCATAGTGGGCGCAGGCCCCGTGGGCTTGTTGGCCGCGTTGAAATTGGCGCAAGGTGGCATTGATGTTCTGCTTCTCGAAGCAGACAAACAGGTCCTTCAGAGTCCTCGCGCAACCACGTAAGTGTTGCCGTCGCAGCAACTCGCATGTCTCATCTGTCGCTTCCGGTGTGCTGATACCATGTAGCTACATGCCTATAGTGCTGAATGAGCTAGAGAAAGTCGGCCTCTTTCCTGACATTGAAAAGGCCGGCCATAAGAACAAGGAAGGGATCATCTTCCGCAAGTCACACGCCAAGGGCGGCGAAACGCTCGCTCAGCTCAAGATGGCCCAAGTCCCTAAAGGTTCTGTGAAGTACGACTTCGCAGGCATTCACCTCGGGCAACAGACTCTGGCAGAGATCATCCTCTCTCATTGCGAGAAGCAGAAGACGTTCAGAATTCGCTGGGGTCATCGATTTGTAGGCGTCAAACAGTCCGGCGAAGCGGACCCTGTTTCCGTCACGTGTGTCGGACCTGTGGGCGAGAAGTTTTTCAGCTGCGACTACCTCATTGCCGCCGATGGAGCAGGGAGTGCGGTTCGGCGCTCTCTATGCATTCCGTTCGAAGGCTTCACGTGGCAGGACTTCCGTTTCGTGGCGTCCAATGTCAAGTATGACTTTGAGGGGTATGGAGGCTTCACGACGGCGAATATGATAGTCGATGAGGAGGACTGGGCTGTGATTGCTCGAACGGGCCCTGATGATGCCCCCTGGCGCGTTGCGTTCGGAGTTAGGACCGACATCCCCGAGGCGGACATACTCAAGCAGCTCCCTGCGAAGTACGAGCGACTTTTACCAGGACCGAGACCTCTAAAGTATGAGCTTGTAAGCGCGAATCCGTACTGGGCTCACCAGAGAGTTGCCGCAACCTTCAAGGTCGGCAAGGTATTGCTTTGCGGCGATGCAGGACATGTAAGTGACCCTTCCTCAAGCACGTGTCCAGAACCAGAATCTCATCATCCACCCAGTCCAACAATCCCATTGGAGGACTCGGCCTTACCACCGGTCTTCTCGACGCCGCAGCCATCGCTAACTGCTTCTTACGCATCTACAACCACAATGAGTCCGCCGATGCTTTGCTCGAGAGGTACGCTAAGGTGCGAAGGGATGCCTGGATCAATTACACCAACCCGCAATCCATCGACTTCAAACTCCGTGTTCATTCGTTCCACCCGGAGGTGCAAGCAGCGCGCGATGGTTTCTTCAATGCATTGAACACCGACCCATCGATGCACCTGAAGATGGCTACTATGATGAACGAAGTCATCGAGGATGAGTTTGCCCAGCCGGAGTTGAACGGTCTGCCGGGCACGGAAGCAAATGATGTTATCGAAGGCTCTAAGAGTGGCAAGGATTGAGTTTGTAGCTACTAGAGGCAGAGATGGATGCATGTAAATCGCGGATGGTTCAGACCAATCACTGGAATGTGTGCAATGCACGAGATCGGCCCTCGCTACCTAGAATAGTAGAGGAATTCCCATCCTTTTCTGTCCTTCATCAACTGCATTCGAAAGTTCTTGTCCGATCCATTGAGGCTGCGTGTCATGAAGGCCCTGTTCCAGTTCAATGGCGTCATTTCCAGCAACCCAGAGAGTACGCCCGTTCAGATCGTGTCTCACGGCAGGAATCAGCAGCGCTCTCGCAACTCCCTCGGGCTTGTTGGCGGGAAGATCTCCCCAGAGATCTCTGATCCATTGTGGAAGCATAGGCGACACTACAAAAAGGTCAACTCAGGGTGTCAGGGCCAAAGAGCAGCTTGCTGTCATCTTACCAGTCATCCACGGTGCGATCAAGTTGACGGTGATGCCTTTCTCTGGAAGCTTTGTTCTCAACCCTCGCATCAGACCCAAAGCACCAGCTTTGGCAGAACAATACATGTACAGAGGCGGACAATCGATAAGGCTGCAACCAAAGTCGCATTGCGTCAGTAAATCATGGACCAGAACTTCTCAAGGGGTCGGAGACACGGTCTATCGACTTGCCGACATACCTTGCGGCAGATCCTGTAATCACCAGTTGGCATTTTCTCTGTCCACCCTGTTTCTGGAAAAAGTGCACCGCCGCTTTCGTCGTCAAGAGTGGCCCGTGAAGATTGATTTCGATGTTTTTCATCATGGGGGCTTTAAGCCGGCCCGCCTCATCCAATTCCTCGTCGAGAAGATTGTCGAAAGAATTAATCCCAGCGTTTGCATACACCACATCGAGAGATCCAAACGCCTTGTAGATAGTTTCGAACGCGGCCAGGAGCGAATCCCAGTTCGACACATCCGCGACGGTAAAACACACTCGGCTGTTGGGCCAGATGACGGTCTACGTTAGTAAATTCTGGGCCAGCGACAGTCGCGGCATAAACTGGTACAGCCTTACTTCTTCAGTTCGGCAGCCAGGAGCTGTCCGGCTTCCTTGTCCACATCTACCACTCCAACGTTCGCACCAGCACCTGCCAGGTCAAATCAGTTCAGGTTCGAAGTCGATCAAAGTACGTTGGCAGCCCTCACCATGTGCTAGAACGGCAAGGGCTCGTCCGATACCGGAAGCACCGCCGGTGATCAGAATCGTTCGACCTTTGAGCGTTTCAAGTTCGGCATCGGTGATGGGTTGCAGAGTCGTCATGTCTGGTGAATTTGCATCCAGTGCGTGAATACTCGTTTTTTGTGTGGGAAGACCTGGCTCCAGATTCTCCGGCTGCCCACTCCAACGTTTCTTGGATAATCAGAATACAAGTGTACGTCGAACGTGCACCATCTGTTCGTCCAGGACCCAGTTACCGTATGAGGTTGATAGGCGTTATGTCCATCCGAAACTGTCCAGAAACAATTTTGTTGTCCATTTAGAGGGGTCTTACCCCGTGTCGGAAGTTAATGTGGTGGAGGTGGGGGTTAACGGATGGGACGCATTGCAGGAATGCATAGGCCTAAACATTTACCAAAGAGGCTTCGTTTGGTCCGGCTCACAGAGCATCACGATATCGCATGCGGGAATCTTCCATGTGAACGACAACGGACTTATTGGCCTTTTTATGACGAACTGGAAGGTCCGCTGTTACAGTAACGCCATCACCCCATAACTACAAGAGAAAGCCAAACTAGGTGGAAGTATTCTCTAGATTTTATCGCAGCAACCACCGACAAATTTTGATAGAACACCCTTCCACAGGCTGATACAATGGTCTCCAGCACGCGCCCATTGACTCCTGGCGTTTATGCGGCGACTCTGACTTTCTTCGATCCGAAGACCCACGAGCTTGACATTGAATGCCTGAAGAAACATCTCACCCACTTGGCTCATGCAGGTCTGTCCGGCATCATCACTTTGGGGTCGAACGGAGAAGCAGCACACTTGAACATCGAAGAACGAAAAATGGTCACCCAGACCGTGGTAGAAGCATTGAAAAGCTCAGGACACGGTCACTTGCCGGTGATAGTCGGATCATCTGCACCTTCGGTGCGAGAGACCATCTCTCTCTGCAATGACGCCGCGGAAGTCGGAGGAACGCACGTCCTCGTTCTGCCTCCCTGTTATTACAAGGCTGCAATGAGCGAAGACACCATCTACAAGTTCTACATGGACGTGGCAGCTAGCTCACCGCTCCCAGTCGTCCTGTACAGCTTTCCGGCAGTGACTGCGGGCATCGAGATGAGTTCGGACCTTCTGATTCGCATTTCCAACGGACATCCCAACATCGTGGGCACGAAGTTTACTTGCGGTGATTCCGGCAAGCTTGGACGAGTTGCCCGGGCCATGGACGCCATGACTCCTAGCAAGCCCCAGAAGCCCTACTGGGCGGTCGCAGGCCTGGCAGACTTCACACTCCAAGCGCTGGTGGCGAAGGGATCTGGCGTTATCGCAGGGGGGGCCAACGTCATCCCAAAGACATGCTGCAAGGTCTATGACCTGTTCCAGAAGGGCAAATTCGAAGAGGCCATGGAGGTGCAGGCACTATTATCGGCAGGGGATTGGCCACATACCGCTGCTGGGATAGGGGGTACAAAGCAAGTTTTGCAGCAGTTCTCTGGCTATGGAGGCCTGCCCCGACCACCTCTGGGGGAAGTCTCCAGTGCAACAGCTGAGGCCTTACGCGAGGAGATGCAAGAAGTGATGGATTTCGAATCACGGCTCTGAGAGTATATGGACGCATTGCGCGTTGCGCACAAATGTCTTCAAGGTAGATTGATAAGATACTGATTTCATGCAGAATCAAGACGCCTTGCTCCTGCCATATGGCGAACAACTTTGGATGCTCGTCTCTCTTGGTTCCGGAACAATGCCATCAGCGGAGTTCTTGAATGGTTATACAAGGGTTATCGAGAGCTAGTGGATCGTATGAGGCTGACTGGTCAGTACTCCCATGGAATTAAGGGTACTCCTGGGCAAGGCGTCGAACTTGGGGGAAAAAGGAGGGTGCTCCTGGCGTTCCGTGCAGAAACCAATTCTGCCCACAACAACTGGAGCAGTAGTCTGCCGAGGCGTTGCTCTCCAGGCTGATCGTATCTCGTAGATGCAAGTTGCATGTCTTGCACAATCGACATACCTAGTTTAGTGGAAGGTACGCTCAATAATGGCAAATACGTGGAGATTGTGGGGTTGAAGGCATTCATTTATGGACTTTGGGGATAGCGGTAGCCACCAGTCATAGCCTCTGATCACACTTCATCCAGAGGCATGAGCGCTACTTATTATACTGGTCAAACACTGACATTAATAAAGTCGGCATCTTGGAAGACAGCTTTGTGACAGTGGCATTGTAGCACCTCCCAACCTGCAAACAACGGTCAACCTTTTCGGAATCCTGCACACCACGTAACCCGCCCTTCATTACGCTAGAAATGAGCATTCGGGTGCACCATTGTAAATGTCCCTCTCACTGCTTCAATATTGTCCAGGCGAAGTTTGTGATGTCATGGCTCGCTGCGTTCGCTTTATCTCCCAGCACGAGATTTAGGTATCGAAGAAATTCGGAGAAAAATAAAAAGCAAAAACAATCAACAGTACGGACTCGCTGGTGTTCAACCACCCAACTACTATCGTACGTCCACTTCCGCATTTCTGCGGCGCCGGAAAGGAGCCTCAAGAGGATCAAAACGAATCGTCGGGTAGGTTGCGGATAAAAGACACGGATGGACTCGTGGGGTGGTAACATCGGACGATACTTGATGACGCTGCTGCTCAAGCAGCAAGTATACTACATGACTATAGTGTGCAAATGCTTGGAAACTGAATAGATACACAACGGAGAATAGCCGATATTCATTACTCTTTCAGCAAACAGGCTTCCTTTCCAGCTCCTATCATCGCGACTAATCTGATAGTCTTGAAAAAATGACTGGGACTAACTAGAAAGCTAAGTAACGTTAGACGCGGCAAGTGCCAATGCACTGGGCACCAGGCCGTGACCCAGGGCACCGAGCTTCAACCTAACGACGTCTAATTGTGGCATTAAACCACTCATAAACATAACAAACAGGACACATGTTGACATGCACGACATGCAGCACGGATACAGTACGCCACCGCCCGTACCCGATGTTCCGTGAATGCGACTGAACTTAACACCCCCGCCTTTTCCTCTCGCATCGCACCGTCAGCTTGGCTCGGCAGCTTCTTGGCCCCAGGGAAGTCGTCTTGACCCCAGGAGAGATTGCTTGTGGCGACCTCTTCTTAATTTGACCACCGACATTTTGCTCCGATCACGCTGCCATCCATGAGACACAGCCATGATCTAGGCGAAACATCCCCCACCATTCTCTCGCTCATCATTCCTATTGAGCCAGACAACATCTGTGTTGGTGACCGGCTGCGATCATGACATCAGCCGCTGCGCCATTCACATTTGTCCACGAAACCTCACACCGTGTGGTGGATGGTACTGCAACAAAGGCCGCGTCGGCCCCACGACGCCATATATGTGGCGTATGCAATAGACACTTCAAGAGAAGTGAACATCTTTTGCGCCACGTACGAGCACGTAGGCTTTTCATCAATCCAATCATTCTCCTGGCCCAAACTGATTTTAAAGCAGACCGTCAAGAAAAACCTTTTAATTGCAGATATTGCCCGAAAGGATTTGCCAGGAAGTAGGTCGTTTGCGCAGCAAACAAACCGTTTGAAGAACAGCATCCTGACCGCAACGCGCCAGGGACCTTTTAAGTCGACATGAGAAAACCTTGCACTCTCTTGAATACGAAGGGCCTGTGCACAATTCACATCGAGGTCCCCGGGAGAACACCGGCCGCCGCGACTCCCTTAGCTTCACGGTCCCGACCAAGACTCCTCCGAGAGGGCGTGAGGACGGAGTGACCAATCTTGCCAATGCTGACACCATCGTGATTCGGGCTGACAAGAATCTGGACCTGGCCCAAGACTTCTTCGAGGAAAATCAATCTCTCAATGATGATGTGGCCCTGGTGGAAGCACCACTCGATCTGCTCAACGCGCACATGGGCATATTGCCTGTCACGTCAAGGCTCAACACTCATTCTTCGTCGATGGAGCAAACAAGTCTTTTAGGTGGTGCTGGCCCCTTCCCGCCATTCGCCGGTTCCATCCTCTCCAGCAATGGCAATGGAGCTGAAGCAGAGCAAGGACTCCAGGTCTCTCTACAAAATAACGGGCCAGGACAGAACATGATAGTGGATCGACCGGAGCCAGTGTCATCTTTTGCAATGCCATTGGAGCTGGCGACCCCGGACTTTTTCGCCATGATCGACGATTCGCTTTTCACACAAATGTCGCTTCCTACGGAGACGATCGATTTTGAATGCTCTCCAGAGTTGTTCGGTGCGGGCAGCACTTCCAACACCAATCGGGAGGGCGTTGTAGGCAGCGCAGGCAATGTACAGCAAACGTCCTCAAACTCCGGTTTCGCCGGGAATCATCCGAAGGCGGCCACAGACGGGTCCATTCTGAACCCGGAGTCTTCCAAACGCAGGAACTCGAAATCGGAGCGTCCGACCATCGACAACCTCGTCAAAAAAACACTGCTGGACGATCTCCGAAGTAATTACCATGTCGACGAACAGCAGCTTGCCCAACTGCCCAGCTCCCGAATGCTGGATAACTTTCTCTGGAAGTTTTTCCAGTGCTTCCATAAACACGTTCCTATATTTCATGTGCCGACTTTCGACCCGGCGACGACCCCGGCGCCGCTACTGTTAGCATTGTGTTCAATTGGTGCGCTCTACACCCTCAATCGGAAGCATGCAGCAGCCCTCCATCTGATGGCCAACGACGCACTAGAGGCGACTCTACCCCGAAAGTATACTGGACAGCCGCCTTGTCTCGAGCCCATATGGCAAACACAATGCAGAGCGCTCATTACGTTCGGAGCCATGTTTGGGGGGTCTTTGGGCGATACAGGCGACGGCATCTCGGAGCTGGGCTCATTCGTCCGTCCATATGCTTTACATCGAGCCAGGCTTTCTTCTCACACCCGTGCTCGCCACTTGTCGTCATGGGAGGACTGGATCGAATTCGAAACGTGCAAGCGCCTGCTTTGCTACATATACATCTCCAGCAGTCTCAATTCCGCCACGTTCGGTTTACCGCCGGGATTTTCGGGTTTCCGAGACTTGAATTTCGAAATTCCTGCCGAGGAAGCATTGTGGGACGCGCCGACGAGAGAGAAATGGCAGCAAATTATCGATACCCATGTGGCTGAGGAGCCCGCCACGTTGAGCGCGGTTCTGAGTGAACTGGTCCTTGGGGACGAGATGACGTTTTCCAACCGAACCTATTCACGCCTTGGCAGGTTTGCGACCACGGTACTCATGCACGGAGTCAATGTTCACATGTACTACCTGGCCCAGAGCCGGTCGTCGCTGATCATGAACAACGTGGATGCCAATATTGGATATGCAGTGAGACTTTCGCATCACACACAAACAGAAAGAGCTCTCACCCGATGTCAGGAGTTTTTGAAGACGTGGCAGCTTGCACATGACGATTCTCAACACAGCAGACAGGAAGACTCGCTCATATTCAACTGTCAGGCGCTCCTGAGACTCTCCTACGTCCGTGTCTTCAGTGGCATGCGATACTTCAACCGCACAACCCTGTTGTACGAGGATCCTGCTCTCATAGCTAGTGCGGTGGGTACATATCTGGGTGAATCCCGAGAACGCACCGCTTTCTTGACCAAGGCAGCGGAACAGGTCATGTTCTGCTTCACGACACCCATCCGAGCAGGGCACATGTTGACACGGAAAACCGCGGCATTTACTTGGAGCATCGAGCACGCTGTGGCTTGTTGGGACTGTAACCTATTCTTGGGCAAATGGATCCACAATGTTGAGATCCAGGAAGCCGACACTCCGCTGAACCAGGAAGAGATTGCCATATTCGACAGCCTCAAGGAAGCCTTACAGGATGCGGAAAATCCGTACGACCCCCAGATGTCTCTGGCAGCCCAGGTCACCCGTACCTGGGCTGACTTTATGGATGATGTATGGGTATGGCAGATCACCTTGCGCATGGGGAATGTCTTGCGACAGCTCGCCAAAGTTTACGAGTCATCCTGGCAGGAACAGCAGGCACTGACTTACGGCTTGCAGTCCGTACCTGAACCAGAACTTCAATGAGATCATGGGATTACAGTTATTCTGTTTTAGATTGACAGTGGAAATGCCCAAAGCCATAATTGGTCACAATACCCTCACATCTCTCAGTCGCTCAGACATTTTTCCAGGCACCTCCTTTCATTGTCGACCGAGATGAGTCGACTGCGCGCATCTTCGAATTCGACACCGAAAATCCGTCTGCTTCACAAACCATACATTCGCCGTCTTCCAGGTACATGTTGGCGGTTCGAGCTCAAGGTCAAACTCCTCGATGACCTCCGGAACTTCCTTGGTCATTTCCATGAAACTGATGTTTTTGCCGATGCATGTCCGGGATCCTGCTCCAAACTGCCGCCCACGTCAGCCGCAAACTCTTCGCAACGATCAAGCATCGAGCCAAGGTGGGTGCCGAGCCTCCTTACAGTCAGAAAATAAGCTTCCCGCCGTTTCACGACTCTTTCATCCTCCAGCTACCTCTCTGGACGGAAGTTGCAGGCATCTTCGCCAAAAACAGCCTGGTTCGCATGAGCCACCCAGGGGTTGATACCAAGAATTGCCTACAAGCGTGTCAGGATCCGAAAACAGGGGAAACAGGGAATAGGGGGACATGGCCCCCCGGGGGAAATGTGTGCCCTGCAATGGTCGCTCCCTCTCTGGGTACCACCCTCATCAAAGGATAACCTGCAGCAGGACGCATTCGCAAGCCTTTTTTGATCACGGTTTGTAGATAAGGCATACTTTGACCTTGCTGAAAAGCGACTGGCTCTGAAAGTTCGCCTTGTGCTCTCTTCGTTGTGATTTCATCTCTTAACTTTTGCACCATTGGTGGATTCTTGCAAAGACAATACAGGACGGCGTTGAGGCTGATCGACGTCGTATCTGAGCCAGCTCCGACATTTGCAACACAAACGGCAATATATCGTCCTTGTTGATCTTGTTCGCATCTTGCTTGCGCAAAACTATCAACTTGGTCAGAAACTCTGCTGGTCCCTTTCCCTCTGGGTCTTCCCGCTCGCCTCGCTTCGAAGGCGCTTGTCAATTCTCTGCAGAGCGAAGACCGCCACATGCGCTATGCCGGCAGCCTTTGATGAGAATCTCTGGTATACCAAGTACGCCCACTTATGCCACTCGCTGTAGACGCCCACCCGCGCGGCGTAGCCGAGATACTGGTGCAGACTTGCCATGATACCTTGGATGTCCTTGCCCTCATCCAGAAATCCGAATCGGTCGCCGAACTGGAGCTTCACATTCAGCCACTGGTTGCACCTTCAGTAGGGCCAGGGGCCGCCAGTAGAAAACAAAAACAAAAACAAGACCAGGTACGGGGACGTACAGTCAACTTTTCAATGACATCAAAGGCATAACACTGGGTCCAATGAGGTACATCTATGGCGATGCCGTTTCTTGCGAAAAATTGCAGCTTCTGCAACAGAATCTGAGTACAGCTGTCGACGAATGCTCCCAATGAAACCATGATCGACATGGAATAAGCATCGGCGACCTTCCGTCTGAAGGCCAGTGTCTATGTGGGACGCGTTCCACGAACAATGTCGGAAGCTTGGATTTCGGGTTTCCAGATGCTTCGTACCATGGCGCCTAGATTGGGAGAATTAGCCAAGCCTGAGAGATGAGGGTCTCCGGCGCATGGGCCGCGATGTGTTTTGTTTGGAGATGAGGTTGGATGACGGGAGAATTGCAGGATGCTCAGAAAGGAGGTCTTCATGCCTCGCCAAACATTATCTTGATGAAGGGGTTTCCGGCACCATACAGCACGGAGACAGCCACTGGGTCGTCGGTGCTGTATTGGCTGGGCGCAATGCGAACGACTGGCCTGCGCAGAGGAACGATTTACGTTAGGGTCGGTACCTAGAATATGCAGACACGACCAAACCAGAAACTGTGTTCAGGTTCCCGCTTACCATGCAAGTCATGTAGTTTAATCAAGGTTTGAGGAAGGGAGCCTCATATGTTTCATAGAAGAGCCATAAGCGTGAGACTCGAGCTAATTTTGTGCCCGGGATCTGGGAGAAGCCTTCAGTAAAGAATTGGTATGTGAGTTTGAGTATGAAGAAAGTGAGTATAGCGAGAGCAGACGAGCGGAATGCTCTGACTTGGTGACAGAACCGCCATCACCGCGCCCTGAAGGTCGGACGATTGCTAAGTGACCGTGGCAGCGAGTGAATAGGAGAGTTGTTCGAAGATCAAATAAGTCGGGCTCGACTAGTGGAGTCTACTCCTCTTTATTGGGCAAGGAAAGGTCCAACTGTGGCCTACTGTTAGAAGCAACCCGCAGCCCCAGGTCTATCGGCACCTGTCGAGACGGGAAGAACGGAGACAATGTGGGCTATGTGTCTACCCCACGAACAGGCCACTCCCAGGTTTGAAACCGAAGTCGGCGAACATAGCATCGCAACAAGAACAGTTTCGGTTTGTCCAGAGGTTCTCTCTCGAAACAGAGAACACGGGAGTCCACGCCGCGGAGTTTACTTTCATCCAGTAATGACGATTATCTAAACGTTACACTGAGGAGGGGATCGCACGATTCTGGAGCATTTCTCCCATCGATTCATTGTCATAAGATCAATGCCAAGACCCAAAAGTGCCATTCTTACTGCGCAGGGGATAATCAAGTGGCGGCACCCTGAGGAGGTGGAAGTTGGAAGCATGTCTTACGCAGTTGGGAGCTGATCGAACAGCAGTAAAAGGAATACTAGTATTGTAGGTCCGTGGAGATGGTTTATCGAAGCCAATTTCACAGTACCGGATCCATGGTTTTTAAGAAATAAGCTAGCCCAATACCATGTGTGACGTTGCCTTTTCAAAGCCATTACTTTGTGCCTATGTCGAGGTCGTGTAGAAATTTCAAAGTAGCATCAATACAGGCATCGGGTGCTTCGGCGAAGATCTCGTGACCCGGTGCCTCAATTTTGACCAGTTCTGCTTGCGATACTTGAGAGGCAATCCATTCCGACTCACTAATCGGAACCGCTGCGCTGTTGGTCGGTGCCAGTATCAGGTATGGGCACTTGATGTTCTTGAGAAAAGGCTTGGAGATTAGTTTGGTGAGGAAGATGACATACCCGGCCAGTCCTTCTTTGTGTGTCTTTCCAGCCTCGTCGACCAGCCAGTCGAGATATGCCGACTTTTGTGGCAGGGTGCCGGGGTTTTTCCCCAGTGCCAGGTTCCACCCCTTTGCACCCAGCTTGATCACGGCTTCGGGCCACGACCGCTCTCCCACAGAGAACAATTCGATCGCCGATGGCGGCAGCGCCGTGGGCGAGGAGCAAGTGATCAGGGCGGTGATCCGCGATGGATACTTGGCAGCAAATGCATGTCCAACTTCCCCAGAGGTGGCCTCGCCGAAGAAAATGACCTTCTCGACCCCAAGTTGGTCCAGCATGTCCACAATCTCCTCCAGCATGGTGTCAATGTCCCACTGGTAGTTGTTCTCGTAGTCATTGTGCTCTTGGTCCGACCATGGAGACAGACGCTTGGGGAAGCTGGACTTGCCATGTCCGCGATTGTCGCGCCGGATCACCACAAAGTCGCGCGAAAGACGAGGAACCCAGTGGTACCACACTTCTGATGTGCGGGCGCAGCCATGGTTCAACATGATGACGGGCTTCTTGGAAGCTGGGAGCCATGGATCTGTAAATGTGTCGAGATGATAATGACTGATTTGACCATTTGGATGTGTCACGTAGTAGCCTTCTGGTGAGTCGTAAGGCCGGCGAAACGGCAAGCTCTTGTTGAGGCTCATCTTCTTGCTTGTGTGATAGTCGATGTTTTCTGAGCCCTTCCAACTCTTTCGAGAAAAGGTAGCGAGAGAAGCTTTCTATGCCTAATAGATAGGTTGGAGTGGGAAACTCTGAGGAGCAGTTCGAGATTGGGGCTTAGAGCGGCTTCGGCTCCGTGGACAGCACGCACCCAGACAGACTAGGATAGACTGATCATGTGGGGTTGAAAGGCGGATGATGCAAGCCTGGGACGGCGGGGGATTTGAGGGGTTCTAAGTTTGTGGAGGCGGAGGAATTCTGCCTATCTTGCGACAAGTGTGTTATTGTAACGCCCGAGCAAGCTAGCTAGCTTTTCTGGCAGAGTACGGTACTCAGAGCCTGGAACCCTCCTTAATGAGAAGGGTCTTGTGCGATACCTCGTCTCCCTCGGAAGGCGACTCCAAGTCGCCAGCCCCGAGCTCCCACCCTTTACCACGGTACTTTTTGGGCCAAATACCTGACCTCCCTGGTGCCAAAATGCCATTGGGATCCAGCGTATCCTTGAGCAATTCCTGGAATCGCAACAAGGAGCTGTTGTTCCAGTTGTACGTTGCGGCAACCTGGTCTTGAAGTAGGAGATGAGTGCGATACTCTCCAAAGCCTTCAGCAGCGGCATCTTTGATCATCCCGCGCATACATCTGTATGCGTTGGCCTTAGAGACCGGGTCGCCCCTGTTGTAGACCATGTTGACAATGAGATACATCTCACGCAACCCTACGCAACATGCCGGGAAAGAATCAAGATCACATTCATCGTGCCACTTTCTGGCAATCAGCGGTACTGTCAGTCCTTCTGAATTGTAGGAATTTGAGCGGGTGTGTTCACCTTGAACAGTTTCATGGCGTCTTCACCCCGAGGCGCGGACACTGGGCCGAAGAAAACGTGCGATCCATTGGGCTAGGTACTGTAGTATCTCTTCCTGAACTGTGAGACTGGCGTGATACTTACATGCCAATTGAGCCACCTCAATTCTTCAAATTCTGGCACTCCACTTGAGATCTTCTCGCGCGAGAAGAAGTAGTGGTCCTTTGGCAAGGACTCTCGCGGGATCCATCTGGCACCCGGAACCGTCTCAAAGGCCTCCCTGATGGCCTTCAACTTAATTTGTCTGGCTTCTTTCGGCCTGCAGTATACTGTGTGAGATGGTATAACTAATCGCACAGCAGAGAAAACCACTTACCCGTACGTTGATCCATAAAACACCCAGGAGCAATCTCCACATGGCAACGTCGATGCAATTTCACGCAAGACCTTGATGGGGATTTGATCCTTACCCTGATACCACGCAGACCGAGGTTTGCCGAGGAGAGCGACCTCTTGGACGACATGTTTCAACTGCGCCACATTCTCGAGGACATTGCGTACTCTCAAGGGCCGTATGACTTCAATCTAAAACCTTATTAGCTAGAGCAGAGGTTGCTCGAGGAGGCCCATACAATCTGAGCCAGATCTTCCTCTTCCTTGAAAGTGCACATCTGCGAACATTAATTAGCACCATGAAAACACCCTCCTGATGCAAAGCCGACCACTCACAAACCCTTCGGAGCCGCCTGGATTGGGCATCAAAGTCATGCCAAGTTTGGTAACGATGCCATAGTTTGATTGAGTGAATATCCCACTTGTCCCCGAGTCAGCATCGGGGTTTGAAACGTTGATTTGAGGTAGAGGCGTACTCAGCATATGGTCCAAAACCGTACGGGAAGATTTGCCAGGTGTTATTTCCTGGGAGGGCGCCCATCCCGGTGCGGATGACTTCTCCAGTCGGAAGTACCACTTCCATTCCCGAATGTGCACCAAAGTGGTCTCCGTAGGGCGTATAGCCAACGCCTCTGTCCACGGCATTTCCCAGGACTGAGCCACCACCAAGATCAGGCACATCAATCCAGAGGTGGGTGTGTCCCCTTTTCTGGATCTTTTCATACAGCGCGTAGTAGAAGACACCTGGTTCGACGAGGCATGTCTGGGTCAATGTCCAACACCTTGGTCATCCTCTTGCCGAGGTCGACGATCAACCGAGCCTCTGACTCGAGCTGCTGCTCCGCCATCGCCCACTGAGAGCTCAGTTACTACAGAATCAGATACGAATATGCGCAGAGAGACTCACAATTTCGTCCCATCGAGATTGGGTAAATGGGAACCTCGTACTCATTGGCCCATTTCACAACTTGGACGACCGCTTCGGTCGAGCCTGGGAATACAGTGGCGGATGAGACAAGCTCCTCTTGTTCGATCAAATGAAATGCATCATGGGTGTTGGGATCTGGACCAGTCAGCTCCCCAATCTCGAAGATCCTTCACGATTCAGCGTACGCTCCATATACCTTGACCATGTTAGTTTAGTTGGATAAAAGAATGGCTGGACGGTCGAAGGCTCACCAACCATCATCCAAAGGTTCGGTATTAAGCACTAGATTCTCACCGCCAATCTGTGATCGGATGGCTTGAACCGCCTTGTTGAAGCGAGTTCGGTCCTAAGGTAGCGGAATACCCTAGTCGTTAAATACGGTCTTATATAAACGATACAACAGCTGTCTCGGGACTTCCCCACTTGTCAGGACACCCACGTGCTTGTGATACCCCTGGTGGAGCGACTCGTAACAACTATTTGCCAATAGAATACTCTATCGCTCCGTACGTCTCCCGGTGAGAAGTATATGATACGGTACGTAGTAACTACCTCAACTTATGATCTCTCCCCTTTTCGTTAACGGTACTCCCGTCGCGAGGTGGCTTCATTTCACAGCATGCGGGCAAGGCTAGGGAAGGTTCCTCGTGTCCGCGCTTCAGTAGTCCACAACCCTCGAGCGTTCTGGTGCCTCAGCCGGAGACTGTGGTGCGAAGTCCGGATCTTGCCCACTTCACTGGGGTTGAAACCCCGGTTGAATGCACGGCGAAGGATCGCTCTATGCGAGTTCCTGGTAAACAGCCAAGAATTCCTTATCCTTGGCTAGTTTCTTATTCAGGAGGGCTCGTTCTAGCCGAAGACGCTCCAGAAGGTTCTGTTTTGAATACCCGCGATTTATCCTAGCACTAGTTAGTGATTTGTCCCGTTATAATAGTCGTTATTTACCTCTTTATCTTGATTTCGCTAATGATAAACTCCTCGTTTATCTACTATTCTTCCTCTATTAAATAGCTTTTTATTTACGACACTATATTTTATAATATATAAATATTTATTAAGATCAATATTATAAAATAAAATATAATTTCTAAAGACGTATAATAGTCTTAACGAGAAGAACAGAGGTTTTCATGTATTAGAGCTTAGACTCGTTTAGCAAATAATTCTGCTGAATTTTTTGATTGGCTCGCTAATCCGCGCCCTTGGCGCGCAGCCATACCCAGTCTGAGAACTGAGACAAGTCGCGGACGTCGTCCGCCGTCTGCTTCTCAATCCATAAGCCGGTCAAAGACAACAAGAAACAGTCCATGGACACCATAAGACTTCAGTCTTTGTCGCATAAACAAAATAGATGTGTTGGAGTCCTAATCTGACCTTCAATCCAGTCGTCAGTGACCAAGGCTACCCCAACTCAATCAACAACAGGCGTTATCAATCCACCCGCTTGCCCGCAGTCTATACTTCCTTCTGAACACTCGATCAAAGGCACTCCCCTCTCAACATGGCCGCGATTCACCGTCCTGCCCACCTTACACATCATGCCGCAAAGATTGCTTCTGCCGCGTGCCTCGAGAAATCCAGAGCCATCGGCGTCCCCATGAATGTCGCCATTGTCGATGCCTCACTCTACCTCCTCCACTTCGAGCGAATGCCCGGCGCAAAGCTGACGTCGGTGGACATATCTATGAATAAAGCTTTTACAGCTGCGGGTCATCGTGCCCCAACTTCAGTATATAAAGAGGCCGTCTGGCCAGGCGGCGCAGCTTTTGGTTTGAACAGCAGCAATGACGGCAAATTCATGTATGTGGCTGGTGGTATTCCCATCGTGGTGGACGGCGAGGTGGTAGGCGCCATTGGTTGCAGCACGGGAACACCGGCGCAAGATACAGAGGTTGCTCAGGCGGGAGTCGATGCTGTTCTCAGTTACATTAAGAAGAACTCGCAGCTCAAAGCTAAGCTGTGAAGAGGGTCAACGAGCAAGAGCAGGGTTTGGGAGGATATGTGCTAATGACTGTGCCGCATTCCTGTCGATATTATGCTACTTGACCAGGCTGGCGGAACATGGGGCATTTGATTTGTACAGAAAAAGTCGGTCGTTTACGAGAAACAGAGAGTTGAGATACTATGAGTTGCCAGAAGTAATGAATGTCTGGCATGCTCATGTAATGAGCAAGCAGGACGTTCATAAAAGAGGGGATGTTGCTACTGCTGAACATCACTTGAGCAGTGTCGACCCCTTTGCAAGCCTCCATGCCACCTATATCTAAGACAAAACAAAGAACGCACATGGCCCATAAAGGCTTTAATGACGCTACGAGTAAACCGTGCCGGTGACCTGCAGTGCGGTCCCTCCGCATGCTAAACCGAGGGAACATTCGAGCTCCGCCAATGAAAAGCGGACTTGGCATGTTTACTTCGAGTCCAGTTCGAGAAGGGGTCTTAGAGATCTAGCATTGCATTCACGTTGAAGACAATCGATGCCAAATTATATCTTGTCCAAGGCATGCAACACGCGACATTCTCCTCTCCGTTTGTCCTTCCCGTGCGTATTGTGCGAAGCATATCGACACAACCATGAGCGCCCAAATCCCTGCCTCACCGTCCCCTGCGCCAGAGGCACCTGTCGCGTCGGCCCCTGGACCTCGTGCTGCGGCCCTACAGAAAGTGTTTGCAGGCGCGCTATCATCATCAATAAGGGCCAACTCCTACGCCAACTTCAGCTCGTGCTTTCCGACTCCTGCGAAATACTGTCCCAGTGCGCTGGAAGGAGTATGGAAACAGCTGAACACACGCTTGGAAGAGGAATGCATGCGCGACTTTGAGAAAATATTGGAAGAGCGACAGGTCATTGAGGGTCTGAATCAATGGGACAACATGATCGAAGAGGCGCGAAGGAGGAAGAACCGCGCAGTGGAGGGCGAGGAACCCCCGAGACCGTCAGTACCATGTTGAGGTGGTCATGTATGAAAGCTAACCGAGATAGACTGCACACCCTCTCAGCGGACGAGCTTCATAGTGCACATCTCACACCCTACCTCCAGCAAGCCCAGGACGAGCTGAGCTCCAAGGTACACTCCACACAGGCTGAAAATGCCACGATCTTTAGCAAAATCACCGAGCAACGAGCGGAAATAGAGCAACTATTGAGTGGCTTGGATCGTGTCATCAAGGATATTGAAGGCAGTGTCGATGCTATTTACACCGACGAGCAGAGTGGCTTCGGAGAACTGAAGGGTGACGTGTGGACAACTGAGCAAGAGTTGGCTGCAACAAGATAGCGGTGCTTGTGAGTGCTGTGGTACGATATGCATGATTTGAGATTATTAGCGAAGGTGTTGGTGGAGTCTGCTTTTGGGTATTTTGAGGTTTCACGGTTGGGAAACGAACGCAGTGAACGATGCTTCATGCATGGAAGGCTTGTGGCGTGAACAGCTATGACGGCGGTCCCCCCACCCAGGACAGTTGTGTATCACAGATTCACAAAGTGAGGGTGACCATCCTTGATAGGCTGTCAGCGAGTGTACAGCAACTGGGAAAAATATCAGAATAGACAAGTGCCCACATTTGACAGGCCATGTTGCTAATTTTGCAAGGTGGACTGCTTCTTCGGTTCTTGGATCTGCGATTCATCAATGGTCATGTAACCTCATGCTCGATCAATATCAGATGCTCCTTCCGGCGCAGGTAAAGAAAGAGGTTGACCAATCGTGCTCGTTGCTTATGCCAAGTCCGCCATTGGTTTCTCTCCGGCTTCAATTTCACCATCTTTGATTCATCATCTCATCTCATCTCATCTCCAAAGTACCACAGAAATCACCTCCACTATTCTTGATGAACTTTCTCGCTGATCGAGATACACTGGCTCTGGAATTCACCTGATCATGGAAACAAGAAGTTTTCTGTCTAGTCTCGTGCTACCAACCGCCCACATGAGCATCTACTGAGTCCTTACCTCTAATCTGGCCAACAATAGCCATCTCCGCACTCAATGCTTTTCTCTCATCCATCTCCAACAACATGCGACAAAAAGTGTCGATCTGCGACAGGACAGGGAAGATGGCTCTGTATCTCCACACAACTATTCGTCGCTTTCTGCGGTTGGAGATTGTGGCTCGGGGAGGCGCGGCAATTTGAGGGCATTCGGCCATTTTCCACGTACATACAATTAAGGTTTGATAACGAGATTGCGAGGCCGCCACCAAAACACACCACAACATCAACATTGGCCTTTCGCTCACCTGCGCTTCCGCCATCGGTCGTCTGGTTTCCTCGCTTCTGCTAGCGAGCCACTCATTCATCGCTCACATTTGCCGTCATCTTGGTACGTTCCTTGTCTCCGGTTGTACCCTCCGAGAAACCCTGTTTCCACGAGGTTTGGCGATCCTAGGCTTTTCACGAACATGACACGCCAAACATTTTGCCCAAGGTTCCGGCTTCGAGGCTAGGTAACATGCATCGGCTTGCGCAACGTCGAGACGCGTGCCTCAGAGGTAAGAGAATGTTGTCGCGCATGGCACATTGTGTGCTTACCTTGTTCATGCTTCTCTGCCACACTGGACAGCTCCAAGTTTTTCTTGTCATCACTATTTGTTTACATCCCATTACTCCATCCTGCATGCATATGCAAATAAACAATCTCGGCTTCTCCACAAACTCTGACAGCTGCCCCCCCTCCATTGGATTTTACGGCACCTGTTTCGCATTGTGCCACCCCGGTCCCTTGACGTTCAGCTTTCTCGTATCCAGAGAACAGCCTTGCCGTGGACCAGGTTCGGAACAAGGGCCACCCCAACCGAACATCTTGACAAGGTTTGGGATCGCGTCAGAGATCAAGAAGTGAATCCTGCTCGCCTGTCCATCTTGTCTTTCGACTCGTCTCATCACGTCTGTGCTCGACCTTCTCTTCTCGCTCAGACACACGCATGTACCGTTGAGACTACTGGTCTATATGTCAACTGTCCGGCTGGACGTCTGTGACCACGGCTCAGTATCTTGCATGTACAGGGACGGTCACTACCCGTTGTCAAATCGACGTCAGTCCATCACACGCGCTAGGTCATACGAGACAGACCTATGGAAAGACGGACGAGGATATGGACGATTGGTACGCTGGCAGGTGCATTCACCATCGCTAGCACTACGCTGAACGTCGTCTTCGCCTCGAACACAACGAACATACCAGTCCTTGCGGCCTTACGAATCCTTCTCTTCATTGCCTTTGCCATCAGCTTGGTGGACCTGGTCTGCATTATATGCTTCTCTACGATCTATGTCCAGAAACTGTGCAACTACTCGCTGGGCGGAAAGAAAAAAGCATGGGGACAATTCGTTGGCGGCGTAGTTGCCGCTGCGGCTGGTATATGTGTCTCTGGGGTGACGTTGGTATGGCTGGTGATAAGGCGTAGCAGCCTCCCGAAGCAGGTATTACATACTGCTCCTACGACGTTGCTTGCTGTCTGGTTCGGATTATGGGCGGTCTCGGCTATCCTGCAGGTGTTCCTATTCTGTTGGCTGGGGATATGGACCAGGAGCGTTTTGAAATCCCAAAGGGCGAGCCGGATGGATCTGGATTTTGGTATCAGAGTTCCTTCCATGAGCATGCCTAGAAGACCGAGCACACAGCGCACCAACCAAACTTTCGGCTCGGAAGGTGTCACTCTCAACTCACCACCAAGGACTCCAGTATCTCGAGCTGGCTCGATACCACGGCGATCGTCCTCAACTCGTATCGGTCCTGGATCTTCAAGGACAAAGCTGGTACGGCATTCTAATCACTCATCCTATGAAACAATCTCCTATGCAGCTGGAGTCTATGCACCTGGAGAAACCATGCCAACCGACACTGCTTTTGACAATTGGGACACGTCCTCTGTCCATCATGAGATGCGTGCTGTTATACATTCCTCCCCACCGGTCCCGCGGTCTGGATTGGAGACGATACCAGGCAGTCGGCCCGAGTCGCCAGCAACTGCTCTGGATGGTCCATTTCTTCCAAGTTCGCCGGTGACTAGCTCCCCACACGCGGCCACTTCGGACACAGCAACTGTAGTTGGCTGGAGCTCCTCCCCACGACAACCAAAATCATCACCACCGTCTAGCCCGCCCAATTTCTCGCGGCCAACGTCTTCAGGCCAGAATAAACCCGCTCCACCCAAGTTCGAACAATTTGACAATTCTATGCATGACCTCATACATCCGCTTTTCCGACCGGACAGTCCTCATCCACCGCCTATCGCTCGAGCAGGGACTATGGTGACTGCCTCACCGTTGGCCAATGAACCAATCACGCCTCGAACACTCGCCCGCCTACGCAGCAATACCGACCCCGGACGAAACCATTGGAAAGCTATGCCGAGCATTGACAGATCCGAGACACGAAGCATTGAGAGTTCAGACCCAGATAGCCCGACATTGGGGAGTCCATCGCTAGGAAGCCCTGGCCCATCGATAGTGGACGAGACAGAATTGCCACCCATTCTACCGGGGTTTGTGTTGTCGGCAGGGTCGAGGAGCAGCCTGGTAGGTTACGGGAAACGAAAGAAGAGCGTGAAAAAGGAGAGGCCCAAGTCTCAGATATCGGTGGGCAGCCGTGTGAGCCAGCTCCTGAGCTGAAATTATTATTTTAATGTTTTCTCCTGCGGCTTCTGACACCGCAGTGTAATGTTCTGAGATGGTTATGGCTTTGATTCAGCATTGGAGTTGGTGGTACTTTGCAAATGCTGTCCCAGATATCAGCCATACAGGCCCAGATACCTACCTATTCAAACCAGAAGAGTAATAATTTTTAAACAACATGGGCTTCTTGCTGTCTATAGGTATGCACCATCAACCTCGGATCCGTAAGTAAGTAGATGGTTGTATTTGACTTGATGTGATTGGCCGCGCATCTTGCCATCGGACTGCCTACGGGCCTTGCCGCGACTTTGCCTTCTTTAGTATAGTGAGCAGGGAAAAGCGGCAAGGGCTTGCGGCGGATCAAGGGCTGGATTAGAGTGACTGCAGAGTGCTGGCTGCCCTGCTGCCGGGCTTTGCTGGTTCTGCTGGCTTGCGGCTTAGAACACCAAGCAAAATGCTTCTGACTTTCCCGAAAAAGGTCAGCAGTATTCAGCAACCGGCCTTATTGAGGACACCACACACATTCATTAATTGTCTCATTCACCTTTGCTACGAATCCATTCATTATGGATCTTCACCCGCCCACTCCTTTGTCAGGTTGGGAAAGCAACAAAGGATTTCCCATTTCCCATTGTTCGCCCAAATCGTCGTCATCCCCAGATACCTCACCTACCGAATGCTTCCATCTCTATCCTGAAACTTCAACAACACCCTCTTCAGCTTGGATATCCCGGATCATTGGTCCTCTTTGGATGCAGCATCTATCCAATGTATTACAGCATCCATCGAAGCAAGCAGCGCAGCCTCAATCGGCACCTTGTACAGTATTACGCATACATCCTTCAGGTACTCGATCTACTGCTTCTAGGCGAAGCCTTAACGCTCCCCAAACAATCAAGCAGTGTTCTTCAGGCTCTGAACAGAGACGATCTCACTACTACCACCATCAACCGTATGTAAATCTGACCATCCATCATATCTATCTTTCGGCTGTTTCTCCCTTGTCGTTATGCTTGGCATTCAATGCATCAGCTGCTGTCTTGTGATGGACGTCACATCACGTTTGCAAAAGGCCCTTTAATTACACACGGTCAATTTGATCATGCCTCATGCCCGTCGGTGTCTTTGGAAAGCATTTTACTAATAACCAGCAGCAAAATGTCTCGCAGAAGATCACCTGGACAACCAGCCACTGTCTTCCACATGAAAACAAGGAGCAGTGCACAGAAAGCCACTCCAGACTCAGTCAAGTCTACAGAAGAGAGCTCAACGACGTCAGCTATTGCTTCACCATCATCACTAGGAACCTCCCCAACACCCACAAGACCACAAAAGCGGAAGCTGTCGCAAACAGATCTAGACCAACCGAAGAATGTCCCAAACGTTAAGCGACCCTCACCCGATGAACCCATCATCAAGGAAGAATCACCTACCCCCATCGTGGAGAAGCTCAATATTGACCCGATGGAGCAGCGACAAAACACCGCCGACCTGACTACAAAAGCCAACGACCGCTCTACTCGATCGCATCCAGCATCACACGATGGTACCTCCGGCTCTCCTTCTCCCAGAAGGCCTGCAAAGGGCGGTGGCCGTGCTCGCGGAGGTGGTCACACAAACGGCGGCGGGCCCAAGAAGGGTAAGCAGAAAGGCAGGGCAGGCCGAGGCGGTGACAGCCCGGAGCCACCAAATCGAAGGCGTCCACTGACACAGGACGAACGTGTCGAGATCTCCATGCTTAAAACGAGGCAACATGAGCTTAAGAGGTTCTTTGCCATCGTAGGAGCTCAACAGGCTGATATCCTGGACCAATTGGCCACTAAAGGCCTCTCCAAAATTGCCAGAAAACCCAAAGCACACACCCATGTGCCCGAATACGATACAGTTAGAGAGGGCCTTGAGACAACATTGGAAGATATCCAGGAAATGGTACGAACCCGATATCGATTACAAGTCGATCAAGAAATACAACGGATGAAGAGGGAAAAAGAAGTCATCCAACAACAGTTCAAGGTAAGTTTGCTTATTGCCTGTTGAAGGCTGATCTAACATAGCACAGACTCGTCTCGAAGAAGCACACAAGGAACATCTTTCCGGTGCAGAAGGAGACATCATCCTCTTTGAACGGGCATATCGTGCAGCCCATGACGACACTCACACCGAATCCGGTTCTGATGTCGACGGGTTTCCACGCTATCATGAGCTTCCCGAGCCAGACACTCAGCCTCGTGGCTACGTCTCTCGCAAGATCATGGATGAGAAATCTTTCAAGCTTCAACTCACGTCATATGATGAACGAGCACGGCAGCAGGTCCTCAATGAAGAGGTCATCGCACCTCTGCTCAAACAAATGGAGGAACGAGATAATGAGTGGCGGGAAGAGCAAGAACGCCTGAAATCACTCAATCTTGGCGCTCTTACTACCGAAGCTATCAAGGAGCTCGACAATATCAAAGAGAGCCAGAAGAGACCTACTACTGCTGACAGTTTTGTGGATTCAAGGAGCTCTTATGCTCTGTCAGCACTTGCCGATGTCTCGGAATGGGCCGCCCAACAACGTCAAGAACGGCCATACAGACATGTGCCACAGACACTTGCACCTCCCCCTCCACCACCTCCTCCGCCGGCGCCAGTCTCTGCTCCAACCCCTGCAATAGCATCGGCACCCGCCTCAGCGACAAGGGAGCCATTCTTCATGGGCCCATTCGGGTTATTCAACCGTCCAGCATCAAGAGCGTCAAGTCTTCGTTTCAAGAACATTCTCAATGGCGATCCTCCGACCACAACTACCACTACTACTACGGCTTCACCTGTACCGCTGCCAATCCCGGCTAGTAACAGTACGCTACTAACATCAACTCCCGACTCCACCGATAGGATCGCGACACGACCAGTCTCGAGTTCGGCCTCCGGCGGACCAGGGCAAGCCATCGCCCCAGCGCCGCCGAAACCGCGATACTCGGTGTTTCGACATACAAATGGTCGCTCCGGTCTTGCTAGTGCTTTGTCGCTAGCTGGTGTTGCTCCTCAGCAGTTCATATTCCAACCACCTCAACAGCCGTTTCAGCATCAAGCGGCGCCGGGCCGACCGAGATCTCGCGCTGGATCGAGAGACGGCATCGCAAGTGCAGGTGGATCCGAGTCGCCAGCGCCGCAGTTTGCCGCTGCGAATGCGGCAAGGACGAATACGAGTTCGCCAGCTGAGAACCAGAGAAAGATGACGTTTGTCAATCAGACTATAGCTAGTCGGAATGCGGCTGCTGCATCGGCGGGTTCGACGCCGCCTAAGGGTGGCCAGAGGATGTTGTTGCCTAAGGTGTGATACTTGTTGGCGAGAGCAAGAGATGGTGGGAAAACCTGGGTTTTGACATAAGCTATAACACTGCGAGGGCCTTCTTGGCTGATACGTCAGAGCGTCCAACTTCACTGGATATAGAGGTAGTGACTGCATATCAGGGCCACTCCTCACTTCAATCATGGTAGCGAAGGACAAGATATCAAGAATGGACGTTCCGCGCTTCGCACAAACTTCGGTCAGAATGCAACTTATATACAATATCTACAATTCGCTATATGCACAATGCAACTCCCATAAATCGTGAATAGTGACAACATTGCCTTCATGATCTACGCTATGACCCCTCTCGCCTGACGAAGCTGCTCGACCACAGCAGGCAGGATCTCTTCCGAAGGCAAACTTGCCCGTACGATAGCCCGCCTAAGAGCCGACAAGCCATCGTCACCACCGTGGTTTTGGTAGTCCCCAAAGAAAGTCTCTTCTTTCCTGACCCCACCCATATTCAAGATCCCAATGCCCATGCCCTGTTCATGGGCACGCTTCACGAGCCGCCATGCGGAGTACGTCGCTAACGAGCTTCCAATCACGAGGATCTTGGACGCTCCGTCGATGGCGGCTTCAGCTTCAGCCTTGACGCAGGCGGGAATCGATTCGCCGAACATGATCACATTGGGTTTCAGTATACCCACGCCATTTGTGCTTGTGTTTGGTAGCCAGGCGCCGTCCTTGTCAACGTCCACATGTCCCTTTGATCCGTCGCTCAATATGGGTGGACGCTTCAGGCAGCTTGGGCACGCGGGGTATCTGAACGTGGTGTACGGGGCGCCCGGCACGTCGGCATCGCCGTCCGGGTTGGTCCTGAAACCTAGCTTACGTCGCTCGACGGGATTCTCTGTGTCCAATGCTCCTGACTGGAGCAGCTCTTGAAGGAATGTCGCCCACGCTGGGTTCAGTTCCGCAAGACGTGACTGGAAGGCGTCTCGATCCATCAAGTTGCGACAGCTCAAGCAGACCAGGGCGCGTAGAAACCCGTGGAGTTCGACGGTCTGCAATTGCGGGTGAGCGAGGGAATGGAACGAGTCGACGTTCTGCGTAACTACGTTGTCGACCAGACCTAGCTGCCCGAGATCGCGGATGGCGTAGTGAGTTGCATTGGGCTTTGAGCGGTGCAAACCGCGCCAACCCAGGAAAGAGCGAGCCCAATATCGTTTGCGGGATTCGTGGCTCGCTACGAATTCGTGGTAGTAGACTGGACGGTAGCTCTTGTTTTGTGTGTATGTGCCATTTTGGCCACGGTAGTCGGCGAGCCCGGAGGCGACGCTGATGCCGGCTCCTGTTAACAAGACGGTTTTTTCCGACCTTGTGGTCTGTGATGAAGTGGCCGAGGCATGGTGGTGGACGGGAGGCGTGGAAGAAACGGAGGAGGTCAAGAAGTGAGTGAGTGCGGCGATGGCACCCTGTATTGAAGCTGCGGACGACGGGATGATGAGAGGTGGTGGTAGGGGTCCCGTGTAGGGAATGCGCATAAGCGGTTTGGACATATGCAGAGCATGGCGTGAAACGAGGAAGCAGCGAGGGCGAAAAGCGAAGGAGTGAACTTAATAGTGGTGCATTGCTGCTCCCGTCAGTATGTCGAGAAACATTCCAATAAGACGATGTCATAGACAAAGTGCAGCCGAAGAGTAGCCGGCGGTACTTGAACGAGGCTGCACTTAGCTGATACACAAGGCTGTGGAAGGGTTTCGACTACCTATAGATAGGTACGCTCGGCAAGATACTATGTTGGATCATATTACGGTCCCCACGACCTTTGACCAAAACCCTCCTTGCGTTGAAGGTATATTCGTTGGCTACGTGGGAGAAAGTTCTCTACGACTTGGTATGAACGGCGCAGTTGTCCCAACATGGATCATTGAGGCCGGTCAGGAGGAGTGCCCCTTGAACAACACATCTGGGTCAAATGTACTGAGTCATACAGTTGTTGGGGACTGTAGGAGTGTTGTGAGCGTTGCTGCAAGTTGGTGTAACGCTCCGTAACCGTGTCAAGGTTATGCAGCGCATGTTTGCTGATGAAGCAGACAAAGTATGCTTGACACTACGGGACAGACGGCTATTTTATACGACTACAGAGAGAACCATGGTCGAGGCTTGCTGGGCCTTTGTCCTGGAGAAGCCCTGGCGGGTGACGAGATCTGGGTGCTGAAAGGTGGCAGAACGCTTCACGTTTTACGTCGTACTCGCATATATCGACCTCTCGAAGGACCGCTCAGAGCACTCGACCTTACCGGTGCTTCACATCACGTTTGAAAATTCAAAGCAGGCGAAGAGCTTCTCACATTTGTGGGTGAGTGCTTCATCAAGGGTCTCATGGAAGGCCAGTCCTCGATATGATTGGTGACAATCCGATACGACAACCTCCAGAGTGTTTGCGAGGCATGGGACATGTTTTCGAGAGCCTCTACATTGTTTGAGCGTTCGGATCTCTTCCACTCAAGACTACTTCAATGGCTTGCAGCACTTGTACCAGCAACCAGAACAACCACAGGGAGAGTCCGATAGCGGTGCTGTGGTTACGCCGTCGTCTCAGCGGCCCTCAAAGAAGAGCCGTCCGTTCCCTCTTCATTCTCATCGAATGACACCGGATCTTAGCCTGGACCGGAACATCGTCAGCCTGGGTTCAGTGAAGATTCCCCACCCGCGCATTGCACCTTCTTCAGCGCTGTGAGTGCCCTTGCGACGAAGTGCGGTGACTCGTGACATTCACAAGACCACCGTGTGCCATGCTTGAGCCACAATCTCCGCCAACGGGTGAAAATCGGTTGAAAGTGAAGTGGATGGAGTAGGCTGAGGTTCCGAGTCGATCATGCTGGCGCCGGATTAAGGCTCTTTTCCGGTGGCCTCAATGAAGGATCGCGAAACCTGGTCGGCTTGTCATGGCTGAGCAAGCTTCAAATCCTTGAACTCCTTGGTTGTGTTCGTTATAGCAATTTCGACTGGTAAACGCTCCATACTGCTGGCTCCAAAAAACCCATGGACGCCCTTTGTGTGATTGAGAACATAGCTGGCATCCTTTGGCTCTGCGATCGGGCCACCATGAGCAAGAATGATAATGTCAGGATTGATCTTGACTGCAGCATCTCTTATGTCCTGTATCAGCTTGACACAGTCATCAAGTGTTTTGCCAGTCTTTGCTCCAATACTGCCCGACGTCGTAAGACCCATATGAGCCACCAAGCAATCCGCCCCGGCCTTGGTCATCCTTTCAGCTTCGTCGACATTGAACACGTAAGGAGTTGTGAGGAGATCCATCTTGTGCGCCTCGGCGATCATTTCTACCTCCTTGTCGTATCCCATCCCTGTTTCTTCCAGATTTTCTCTGAAAGTGCCGTCAATGAGCCCGACTGTGGGGAAGTTCTGGACGCCGCAAAAGCCCATATCTTTCAGTTGCTCGAGAAACTTTGGCATTAGTCGAAATGGGTCTGTTCCGCAAACTCCTGCGAGGACACCCGTCTTGTTGACTATGGGAAGAACTTCCCTTGCCATGTCGACTACCACGGCGTTAGCGTCGCCGTATGGCATGAGACCTGCTAATGACCCTCGTCCGGCCATACGAAATCGACCTGAGTTGTAGATGATGATCAAATCTGCACCGCCAGCCTCGATGAACTTGGCTGATAAGCCTGTTCCGGCTCCTGCCCCAACGATTGGCTTTCCATTCTTGACGAGCTCTTGGAGGTGCGATAAGACTTCTGATCTGGAGGATGGTGGTGCCATGTTGAAGGACTCCTGTGGTGTGGGCGAAGCAGGCGAGCAAGATTTCTTATCGGGATTTTAAGAAGGTATCAAAATGATATGCGACTGTAGGACACATGCATGTCGCTCCCCACACGTCATTTGGTGTACGTGGAGACCGGGATCCTTTCGCGTACTGCGGGGGGAGAGGTCTATACGAGCATCGAAAAAGAGGGGCAAGCGAAATACCAACCACAGAAATGACTTGCTTTACGCGTTGCCTTGAACCTCATGTGAGCTCAAAACCTTGTATGAGATGCTGTTGGAAGTATTTACGACTGCATCAATCTCTGTGTTCACCCGGCACAACATTGATCGACCATGCCGAAACCTACTGTTCTCATCGTCGGCACCACCGACACCAAGCTCGATGAGATACTCTACCTGCGGAAGCAGATCCTCGCTCAAGGAACTTGCCAGACCAAGGTCCTCGATGTAAGTCACACACCAGCCAAGTCAACGCACGAAATCCCATCAGATGAGATTCTATCACCTTTACAAGAACAAGCCTCGAGCTTGAAATCACTCTCACGAGGAGACTACATCGAGAAAGCTATCCAGACATGTCTTCCTATTGTCAAAGACCTTGTCACCAAGGCTCAGATCCAGGGAATCGTATCTGCAGGTGGCAGTAGTGGCTCGTCGATCGCCACAGCTTTTATGCGAGGAGCCTGTCCCGTCGGTTTTCCAAAGCTGATGGTGTCGACGATGGCCAGCGGAGATGTAAAGCACTATGTCGAAGAGACAGACATCACAATGATGTACAGTGTTGTGGACATTGCCGGTGTCAATTCAATCCTCCAAAGAATTTTGTCCAACGCTGCCGCCGCAATCTCCGCAATGACAGTATCATATGCAAAGTCTCTGGTCGATCCGTCTGCAGCAGGAATGAAAGGCAAACGCATTGCAATCACCATGTTTGGAAACACAACACCCTGCGTCGATCAAGTCCGCAGAATCCTGACGTCCACACCGCATGACGTCTCAGATTATGAAATATACGTCTTCCATGCCACTGGTGCAGGTGGACGAGCGATGGAAAGACTGATCGCCGAAGGTCAAATTGACGCTGTCATCGACCTGACTACCACGGAGATCGCAGATGAACTCTTCGGTGGCGTTTTGGCGGCTGGTCCAGATCGCCTCGAAGTCGCTGCAAAGTTGGGCATACCTATGATTGTCTCCGTCGGAGCCTGTGATATGGTCAACTTCGGCCCAAAAGATACTGTACCTGAAAAGTACAAGGATCGAAAACTGGTGGAGCATAACCCAGCGGTGACCTTGATGCGCACCACGCCAGAGGAGAATAATAAGATTGGCGGATTTATAGCGTCGAAGTTGGCTACTCATGCCGTGAACCCGGAGTCGATTCGAGTTCTGTTGCCGCAAGGTGGTATCAGTGCAATTGATGCTCCAGATCAGCCATTTCACGATCCCGATGCTGACAATGCCTTGTTTGAAAGCATTGAGGAGGGATTGGAAGGGTCGAAGATTGAGATTGAAAAACATCCGATGCACATCAATGATGAGTTATTTGCTGGGCATGTGGCGTCGGCCATCCTGGAAGTCATGGGCGTTACGCCGAGGAAGTATCGTCTGGCGAATGCACGGAGAAGGAAATGGAGTTTCGATCATGGTGCTACGGTCATGTTGGCGAGGAGGACGAGTCAGATTGCGATTCCTGATGCAGCTTAATGGAGCACAAGAGGGAGTTCTGACAATGGCTGGCGTGGATCTCAAGGCGTGAATGGTTGTCTTTCGTCTGCTTGATAACTATACCAATGCGCAATGAAGTCAAAGTCATGTTGAACCTGAAGAAGGTGAGTGGAGGAGAATAAATATGGTTGAGAGTTGGGCTGTTTAATCTATCTTGTCCGGCTCATCGATTATCCGCCAAGGCTGCGCTAAATTTGGTGGGACTTTTGATGTTGACTTCAAAGTCCAACAACTGCAGACACCAGGTCGACTTTTCCATCACACCCATACTTTGACCACAACCTTGTCCCGGGCTCTTTCTGCACGATGCCTCACGCGGCTCCCTCTCGTGTTGCCCCAGTCGCGACCTCCGACCTCGAAGCCGGCGCAACGCTCAAACTAGGCGAATTTCAAGACGAAGCCACCCTGAACCTCTCCGAAGCGCGAATTGTCCTACAAAAGACGCTGGCAACTCGAGCGGCCAGGGGCGGAGGTTACGAAGAGACAGAGACCACAGCCAAGACGCGCGACTACCTAGAAATATTCGCCGTTTTCAAAGAGCTGGCCGAAGCGCAGCAGGTAGAAGGGATTATCAGCTCCTCGGGCGAGAATCTGGAGCGCTTCGAAAAAAGTCAGCTGGGTAGTCTGGTCCCGACATGTGCGGATGAAGCCAAGGCCTTGATACCAAGTCTGGAGAAGAAGGTTGAAGATGGCATCGTGACGGAGGAAGCACTGGAGGGCATTTGCAGTCAGCTGCAAAGACTGAAGAGGCAGGCTCAGCTGTGAGGCGTTGGTATTCAGGAACTAGGGACAAGCAGCATTGCTTTCTCTACACGACTTGAAGCCATCGGCAATACACGCTCCGCGAAAGGTCGGTACGACAGTGGGATTCTTTACGCGAAGGTATGGTTTGCCAACAACGGATAGTATGCGATCACAAATGGTCTGCGACGCCATTGCGCCGAGTCTGGTAGCCGGGACGTCCAAATCTGCACGCTTTGAAGATTGATGGCGAATGGATGTCCACTACGACTTACCGTTCCCTTAGAGTTCCCGCTCCATCAAACAGTCGGACCATACGAAAGCGGCTACCATCTACACGCAGCACAGCGAAATTGATGCACTTACGCAAAAGGTTGTGGCTGCCCCAGGAGGAGAGGCTACTCAAGCTTAACCACGTTCGATATGAAGATTATGCGCCGGTCGAACGAGGCTGTGGGGGGGATGAAGTTCTGCTCCATTGCACAGGAGCATAGACACAGATTAATACTGCCTCAACGAGTGGGAGGTATGAAGCATGATGCTTGAAGAGAATCTACATGTCCAAACTCTTGTTCGATCTTCGTCACCTACGTGTGTTTTATCTCACCCTGCACAGCAAGTGGAACCTGCCATCTCACGACCATATATTCCGCCATCACCATGAGCTGCCCACTTCACGCCCGTCCGTCCAATTTGCTCATAAGTCATCCGCTATGAGATGTCACCAAGTCTGTTTGATAAGACCCCCTAACGATCACTCTTTCGGCTGGTTTATAAAGCCCTTTGCGCCACAGGAATTCTTGTCAAACTCGTTCACAAATCCAGTCCGCCATTGCCCAATGCAACCACCATCAAGATAATCTATCCGAACAAAACAATCCCCAGAGACTACCGACAGAACTTCCACGACCCGTACCATCCTGCCCCAATGTCGTCTCCGGAGTACATAGTGAGAGATACCCTCCACACGTCTCAAGCGCCACGATACTGACTACCATCCATCAGAAAGTCATAATGACTGCGAAACTTTCAATGACCGTCCCAGTCAAGACATACCAGAACACTCGCGACCGGTCAATGCGGGCGAAATTTCAAGTCCCATGGCACCCAGATACGCCAAAACTTCAAGTTCGATCGAAGTCTTTCGTTGTCAAGCCAGGTCGAAAACCCTCGTCACCTGTTCTGGCAAAGGTGTCTCGATCGCCTCAGCAGGATAGGCAGGGTATTCCACCGCGCTCAAGGTCTTACTCTCCGAGACCATCTCGCCAGGAGCAAAACGACCAGTGTTCCGAACGGAGCAGGTCACTGACGCAGGATCGCGGACGTGTACCCGACCGCGGCCGAAGCCGCTCCCAGGCTGAGATTGACGGCAGAAGCGTATCATCGCCTGGACCGGTGACCCTCTCACGAAGGCTCGAACCCGCACGAACCGAAGGCATTTACGATGGCAGCCAGGATCAAGGCCTGGGCGGGAACCAGACCGAGTTTGGCTGTGGATCACACGATCCACGGTCGTGGTGAGATGTCAACCAACCGACCTAACCATGGCCCTTGGACTCTTGATGAGCACTGGAGACGAGTGAAACCGTGCTTCATTAGGATCGGGGAGGGTTTCGTCTATAAGACGACAGGCTTTGGAGACGCCGGTTGCAGCGCAACGAAGAGCAGACAGCAAGTAGCTTCATGGGTCACTACACATTGGGCGTGGTGAAACAACTATATGGCTATCAACGGGCTACTCATCACGCCCCGACATCCGACGAAGTGATATAAACAAGGAACGTCAATCAGATACATGGTATGCACAAGTGACAAAGGTTCAGGCTCATTTGTTGATCTTGCCTTAGGTAGCCGTTGTCAAGCCGAGCATTGAGCTGTGAATATAGCCGAAGCGTGCGATACGATCTGACAAGTTTGTGAAGCAAACAGTACCCTGTTTTTGAGTGTCACCTTGTTTGCCATCTGCAATACATAGCGTTCGTCTCCCTCCTCTGGACCATCCTTTTCCTGCAAATTCGCAGACACTGAACTTAGCCAAGATCCTAATCTGGATTTTCAGGGCGAGCAACATCGCAGCGTATCAAGCGGCAACAGTCAAAACAACAACACTTTCCAGACCTTGCACAAATCGAACAGTCCCCCACTATGTCAGAACAGCCACCTGTATCGCCGCAGGACAATCCTCCTCAAAACGAACGAACAACCGGCCCCATGGGACCAACTCCGACACGCACTGCGGATGCACATCCAGAAACTGACGCACCTGCTCGAGGAGCATCTGGATCTGCGTACCTTCGACGGTCGTACGACCCAATTTGGCGACTCGATGAGGATGATCCTAATTATCGTGATCCAGCTGATGATAAGACCTGTCGGTGCTGTACTGTCATGTAATGGTTATGATTGGAGGCCGGTGTTCAGATGTATCCAGGTTCAGGCTGGAGAGCTTGGGAGGTCTAGGGTGATGACGAATGAAGATAGTGAGTCGTGGCAAGGGAATCTGTGGCGGGACAGTACACGGTGCCATGGTCGCTTGATATGATGTCTAGGGCCTGGAAGCATTTGAAGCTCATTCGACGAGGACGGACCATTGTGGTGATGTCCAGATGCGGTGCATGTGTGCTTGGTGATCTTTCCTAGTCGTCTTCTGTGTTTGTATGGTCAGACTGGTTGCGTGACGGCGTTGCAAACAGCATTCCTGGATTTCCGGTACAAAAGGAGGCTTTGACCTCCACGAAAACCTGCGGCCTAGTCATACCCTCAAAATATCAAGAGTCCCAATCACTGACTGCCTCTTTGCCTTCGCGGAACCCATCTTAGTACATATATTCTGTCCTCACGATGCCGGTATAGATCGACAGGAACGGTCAATCATATAATACCGACCGTCACGAGCCGCATCGGGATCGAGGCATCATCATGTCGAGCCCCGAAGCTTACAGAGAGCGACGGCGCGAAGAACGTGAAGAGAGGCGGCGGGAGCGAGAGGAGATATATCGAAACGATGACCCGAGATACAACGGGTGGCGGGGTATATCGTGCTGCGTCGTGATGTGCCGTGCTCACGGCGGCAGAGTGTCGACACAATGCCAATCCATAGATCGGATGGCAAGGGTCATCATTTCAGGGCTGCGCGAATGCAACACTTGCTGGCAGCCGGAAGCTGGCGCAGAACATCTTCTTCTTCGGAGCAACAAGCCGGACATATCGAATCTGCATATCAAGCTGCGGATCATCCAGCCTGATTTCAGCACCAATATGTTCTGATATTCGCTTGCAGGTGTCCTCGTACTCGGCTTGCTCATTATCGAGCTTGGCTTGGAACAGATAGAGATGGACGAAAGGTAGCTTTTGTCGAGTATGTGGCTCGAAGTCTGCCTCTCGTCCATAGTAGACGCCCTTGAAAGCGTCCAGAAATTCAATAGCGCTTGCCGGCAGGTTCATAACATAATGAGAGAATGCCGTCGGCTCGTCCAATGTCCTTTCTTCGTTCTTGGCCGCTTCTTGGAAAGCCCTCTTCTCATCTTCGCTCGCTTTCCGTGAGATTTTGACCCTGGATTTGAGCACGACCTTTCGTGGATTTTGTGATAGTTTTGTTGTTGCTGTGCGGACAAAGTTCCGGCCATCATCGCACGAAGCTATCACGAAATCGCTTACTTTATTGCGTACAATGGCGTCTTGTAGAGCGTCATATGAGTCGGGGTTGAGGTCGTTGGCCCAGACAAAGACCTTGCGTTTGCCGGCAGGTATAGCGAATGGACCGACTCCGGCCATAACATCGCATACCGCCTCGCCCTCTCTGAATGACTCGAACAGGCGTGCATGCTCGGTTCCAAGGCGAGAGTTCCAATAGACTTTGCCAAAGTTGAATCTGAACTCACAACCTGACTCGTGGACTACCACGTCAAGGTCATCTGGTCCGGCAAGCACTTCATAAGGAAAAGTTCGGAAAACGGACTCGGTGCCAACATCAAAAGTCTTGTTGATCACTGTGGTAACGTTGGGGTTCTTGTCGAGTAGAACCTGACCGATCAAATACTTGTACGGTAGGTACGGGGTGCGCAAGTTGACATGAGCAACATGGCCCACCTGTGCGAAACCCGCTGGTGTCTCTTTCTCATCATCTGGGATTTCAGGTAGAATGGCTTCCAGTATGTTATGCATTGTCCAATCATCATAAGTCAAAGTCAAATCGTATGGTCTCAATTTGGCTATTTTGAGTTCCACTAATCTTGAGATAGTCGGTGACCATGTCTTTGGCTCATTTGCAGCAACCCCCGGAGTTAGCAGGAAACACTTTGCACCAGGCATGGTCTCGTCTTCTCGCAGTGGCTTGATAGGGTTGATTTTGAGCATATCACTGGACTTCTCAAGCTCTTTTCGCACATTGGTGATTTGCTTCATATCGGACACACTGGCAGCAGCTAATGGTATAACTTTGCGGAAAAAAGATTTATCCAGAGTCTTCATCGACCTACTGACAGGAGGCTGAAAAAGTTCTGGTAAGTCGGCGGAATTCATTTTTATTGTCCTCGAAATGGTAGGGGTTTGAAGGATTGACAAGTTCTGAAGTCGTGTTAAGAAAGATCGAACAAGAGCTGCCATGCGATCAAAAGAAGGTATAAAAGCAAACCGCTCACACAAGGAAAAAACGAGGATGTTGTTGATGCATGTGGAAAATATCGCAAGGCTGTAGAAGAATCTATGGTCAAGTAAAGCACTCCTGTCGCCGCTTTAAGTTACCATGCTCTAAGGAGAACGAGGCTGATCCCCAGCCTACAGTAAATGATTCGATTTTCGGCCTAGCGACCCTAACTTAGCCTCTGTGCAAACCTTTTCAGGGCTAAGTCTACCAATAACAAAGGGCCCATTTTCTGAGCTTGGGCGCGAAATCACTCAGGCATGCTCTCGACGCGCACAGACGCGTTAAGTTTAACTTAAGTACCTACCTACTGACGTCAATACTTATACCGTCTATCAAAAGTACATGAGGCAGGCACCGGACACTCAATGTGAGTATTCAACGTCAACTCACCAACATCCTCAATACCAGCACATCCACAGCATCGCATCGATGGCGAAGCGTACGCTCGATGCCTTTTTCTCGCTCACACCTACTGCGGCGAAGAGAGCACGAGTCGAACCACAATCAACCACAACGACCCTCAACAGTACAGTCGCCACCACCCATCCAACATACTCCTGGCCAGTTCCACATCTACCCGAGCACATATCCTCAGAAGTTGAACTCCTCGTGACGACTCAAGGCAAGGAGATCAAAGACCAGCCACATCTCGACCTCTTGTACTTCCAACCCTTCGTCCCGCGCTCCATCTCGCAAGATCTCTTCAACTTCCTTCGCTCTGAGCTCTTCTTTTACCGTGTCAAATACACCATCAAGCGGTTTGGCAAGGAAACTATCATCAATACTCCGCGTTTCACCACGGTCTTCGGCCTCGACGAGACAAGTTTCTTCGCAGATAACAATCAAATAGTCGAAGCCACATCTCCGACCAAACCTGTCCGAAAAGACAAATATAAATGCAAGCCTCGCCCTATCCCTGAATGCCTGGACCTTCTTCGCCGCGTCACCGAAGCCAATACAAACACCAAATACAACTTCTGCCTGGTGAACTACTATGCCTCCGGAAGCGATAGCATCTCTTTTCACAGTGACGACGAGCGTTTCCTCGGCCCCGACCCAGCCATTGCCTCTTTCACATTAGGAGCCAAACGAGACTTTCTCATGAAGCACAAACCGACCAAAGAAGACGAACCAAAACTGGAAACTCGAGACATCAAACTCCCCCTCGCCAGCGGTGACATGGTCCTGATGCGTGGTCCTACCCAGTCCAACTGGCTGCACAGCATTCCGAAACGCAAGGGTGGCGAAGCCGACAAAGGTCGAATAAACATCACATTCCGTCGAGCCATGATACCTGCCGGCACAGAGAACTATTACCGGTACAATGTTGGTGAAGGTGGCGTGTACCAATGGGACAGCACCAAACGGGAGATGATGCCCTGGTCAAAGTCGACAATCACCTCGTGATGGAAATTTTGCTCAATGAGTCTTCCGTTTTCTTCTAAAGCTAAAGAAATCCAACACCATTCTGGTAAACGACCTGTAAATCGTCTTACCCTCGACAGTATGCGTGGTGATCCCAAACATGAACAGAAACCCGATAGACAAGATTGCGACAACCATGAAACACAGCCAGTACGTCTTGAGGCTGTTGAGACTATAATGTGAATTTGGGAGCTGGATCGAGAAGTACGCTGTCATCAGGCTGACTGGGAGAAACAGGATGGTCGCCTTGGCCAACAAAATCGTCGTGCGAGTCAGCCGTTCCACAGCTTGCGACTCCTTGAGCGTTACCAAGTTGAAGTTCTGAAACCATGTTAGCATGAACGAACCTGAATGTGCAAAGGGGCGTGAATCACCATGAACACAAGCGACTCCTTCTCCTTCAAGCACTCCTCGATCTCGGTCAATGCATACAATTTGATCCGATCGAGCAATCTTTCAAACCGAACCACCGCGGACAAGCTCAACTTGACGCTCGACCCAGATCCTTCATCAGAATACATGGGCTCACTCTGCGGCATCTGCAGGTGAGTGGCAGGTGTGCTTGACGCGTGGTCGCCACCAGCAACACTATGATACCGTCCTTGATCCACTGTTGCCAGAGTCCCGAAGTCCGATTGCCTGGGCGATCGTTGGCGGTAGAGCAGTCTTGACACAATCAGCTCGTAGCTTTGATACATGAGTTTGAGCACGGTCAATTGTCGTCCGACGTTGTGCACCTGCTTGATCAGCTCGAGATTGGCCGCCTCGAACATGCTCTGTCTCAGAGTCTCAAGCGTGTCTCGGTAAGGATGTACTTTCCGTGCGATCAGCATATACGTTGACCACCAGTCGTCGAACAGATAATAGAACAGAAGACTCGCGCCTTCTGTCTCTGAAAAGCCATTTCCAGACGTTTCCGAGTGTTCATGAGATCGGACGCTAACCTTCATCAAGGCGGTTTGCGCATCTTCTTTATCATGCAGCGAAGACACATGCCCGAATACATTGAGCACGTTCCGTCTCGCAACTTCATGTGCTTCGGGTCTGAGGGGCCTCTGAAAGACCGATATTACCGTCCCGTCATCACAAATCAGCAAAGAGGTCCAGATGCGCACGCCGTCAGGTTTGTGGGTGTTATTATCAGCTTTGCTCTCACCACCGGGTAAAGAGAAGAGAGCGTTGTAGCCGACGTAGATGTACCGGTCGCCAAAATCAACGGAGCAGAAATGCCAGAGATCGCGAACGACGTCGCTGAAATTGATGTCCTGCAGTCCCGGCGGTTTGGGACCGGACTGCATAGTCTGGCTAGATGTGGCAGATACTCCCTTCTCGATGTCTGACAAATGGGCATCAGTTATTGCACCTTGCGCGGTTGTCGGGCTTTCCTTGCTCGTCGAAACGGGGTCCCTTGGTGACGGAGACCTCGTGCTTACAGGGCAAAGCAGCCCGGCCAGTCTTTGAGAGATGCCATACTTCTTAGCAACCGCTGCAATCGTAGCCTTCTGCGAGGGCGAGGCCCAGAAGTTCAACCATACAACTTCATTCTTAGCGCGTTCGTCGTTGAGCCATTCGAGAGCCTTTTCCTGGCTGACATCGACGGCACATTTTGCTCCGGCTGAATTGAAGCGTACAGCAAAGTTGTTTGTGTTTGGTGATTTCAGCCTTTCCGCACAGTCGTGGAATGAGGTTTCTATGTCAAGGTCGAACAACTGGTCATCGTTCTGTCCAGTGTTGCTAGCCATTGTTCATTGACTTCCTGGTCAGATTTTGTGGCCCGCCCATAGGAGGGTGTGAAAGAAACATCCTTACGAAGTTTGAACGGGATTGACCAAAAGGCATCTGTACGAGCACCCTGGCTGGACCTCCTGAGCATAGCCGCCGCCTCGCAACCATTAGATTCCAAGCCATTGGCTGTGAAATGCATGGCGGTGGTTACACGAGGCTTTTGGTGCCGCTGCGGCTGAACCCCGCCATGCCTATTGCAGTTTGCTTGCAGGGACTTTGGGGCCGGCCCTTTGCGCGCTGACCCCTCGGTCCCAGCCTGACTGGCAGTCTCCAGCTGACCAACAACCCAAGATCTTTTGCACAGTACAATGCGCATATATACAAGCCGCCATACCTTTTGCGGTACATGATGAGTTCAATACTAAGATAAGGAGTAGTATCACATGTTCGAACGTATCGATGTCTCCTCGAAGTCCAAACCCCATCATTTCAATATGCCTGACACCCATCACAACTTGGCCACCAAGTCGCCGTCCTTCGAGCCCGGTGCAGCACGAATTCGGCCAATGTACTTATCCTCAATCTGATCCGCCTCCTCATCCGGTTCTGCTTCCATAAGCACCTTTCCATGCTCGCTAGCGACCTTCAGTCCCCAATACGTCTCGTGCCTCTTCCCATCGAGGAGAGGACAAGACCACCTATCCAGATTCCGATCTCGAATCGACCGGTGGATCCGCTCAAACGTCCTCTCCATAGTCAACGCCTCACGATCTTGCTCTAACATTTGGTCGACAATGCCCGTGATCTTGTCTGTAATTGATTCGTGAGGGTCAGCGGTGGGTTGTTGGGCGATACGCGTCCATTTCTTGCTCGGGTTGGGCTTCATCCGGTCTGGCAGGAGGTAGTACTCATCCTTATCGTCTGGGTCATACGGATCTTCGTCCGTAAACGCCAGTTTCTTGCCCTTATTGCATTGAGCGAGCATCCATGCTAGACTGACGTCCGAGCATGCTGGATCATAGTGGCCACCTCCGACATCAGAGTGGACACCACTGAACCATACTTGCTTGATCTCCTGGAGTTTGTCCTTGCCTGCTTTGTATGCCTGGGGCCATTGCCAGAGAGTGGGCTTGTAGGGGATGCGACGTTCGTCGAGCGACAGTGCGTGATATGCATGGCCGACTCGTGGGGAGAGTTCGACATTGTGCAACTCGATCTTCTCGCCCATGGATCCTTCGGCATGGAAGCCGACTGTGTCGAACACGCCGACGATCTTGATGGCTTCTTTTGCCTTCTCATTGACTTGGGTGCCGATCTTTTGCAAGAGCTCCGGAGTGAATTCGAAGTCCGGTTTAGTGGTGGGATCTTTATAGTATTGATCATAGACTTCGGGGAAGTAGTCCATTCCACGTTTGGTTAGGAGACCGAGTTTGGTGACGAGTCCGGCAATGGACCGAGCTGTATATGCACCGCGTGAGAAGCCGAAGAAAAAGATCTCGTCGCCAGGGTTTGGGTCGTAGTTGTGAGCTAGGAAGCCGTATGCAGCTCGAATGTTGGCTGAGAGTCCAGCACCATATGCCCCGCCTTGGAGTTTGTCGTTGGTTCCTGTACCGACGCCGGGCTGATAGAAGATGATTTGCTCGACCTCTTTCTCCTTGCCTTCTTTATCTTTGATGACGGCGACTGGGGCGATGGCTCTTGACAAGCGTGCTACGTTTGTAGGATAGGCGAACTTGTTGCCTGAAAGAATGTTTTGCCATGTACCATCGCAGAGAACGATGAGGCGTTTGAACTCAGCCGCTGGACGGGACATGTTGTTGGCGACTCGCCTAGCAGTGTGTCAAAGTAACGATAAGATGATACCTAGTCAGTAACTTCAATTGACAGCAGAGGGTAAGTAGAAAAAAAAGGCAATGGAGGGTGTGTGTTTGAAGTGCGAGCCTCGGGGAAACATTCTTGTGGTTACACCTGCTCTCAGCTCACCTCTTGTAAGGGCTTGGAATCACCAAGGCTGGCTGACTGTGGTGTCAGCCATTGGTGTGTACGCCTTGTTGAACAGAGGGGTAGATTCAGCTACATGCAAGAATATGAAGACGAGACCTCAGTTCCAATACCTTGGCCACGAGAGGCATGATCAATTGGAAGCCCACCTGGCGAGGTCTCGTACTCGGGCACCGCTGCAAGTTAGGGCACTGAAGATTGAGGGGTAGAAACAATTCTTCAACGAGTGAAGTTCGGACGTGCATCTTGGTCCTTCGGGGTAGCATTGATATCCCTGACTTTGCAGCGTTCGACAACTCAGTCGGTCATAATGTGAGATGTCGCGAAGGTATCGAGATAGGAGTTCGTGATCAGCATCTCGTCAACAGGATCTGCGACATTGATCAGGATGGAGCCGGATCAGCGCGTCTCCAATCCGCTCATCCGAGACGAACACAATAGTCCAAGACTAATAGTTCAAGGCTGGCGTGGGTCAATCCCAAGGGTTGAGGGACCTGAGCGAGGCACAATGATTAGTTGGGTGTACCAGTAAGCAAGTGTCCCCGGTTGGTCGCAAAGGACCTGAAAGTCGAGGTCGAGACCAATAATTAGATGGGTCCCCAGGATATAATGGAACTTATGAGCAGCGCGTGACTTGTCGACCTTTTTTCTTTTTCAATGGTGCGGCTTCGATCCTCAAGGCCAGTAGAAGTTGTGAGTCGATGGAATCAAATATACCTGCCATGGCCATCGTTTTGATCTTCCAATATATTCACCGTGCACTGTTCAATTGATAGCAGGCCTGTCCAATACTCGCTCACCCATTCCCCGATCGATGCTCTGTGCTTCCCTCATCCGTCCGTGGTTGTTGCAGTTAGCCAAAAGTCAAAAGCTGAACTCATCCCGCTTTGCAGTGCATTCACCAAACTGACCTTGTACCCCTCGCTCGACGTCAGTCTTCCCATCATATCTGTCAAAGCAACCTCCAGGTATTTCTGACAGCCTTCTAGAGGCCTTCCATTCTCTGTGTCATTGCTGTTGAGACGCGTCACACCTCATACGACCATCGACTGCCTCTGGACGAAGACGACCCTTCGCGAAGCCTTGACGCGTGCGAGCCTGACCATGTGGCAGCAGTTGGGCTGCCAGCCACGACCACCTCGAAATACCTTCACGGCTGTCCCTGCGCTCATGGTCGAAGTAGGCTGAATAGCAAGACTGCACGTATAACACACTATGGGGGAGTCTGAGCGACAAGGACAAGGACAAGAGAAGGAAGCATGTACCCACTCAGAGCCGAAGCTGCCTGCTCGTCCGGAGCCCGCAAGTGACAAAGGAATCTTTCCTTCGATCAAAAGCCCGTCTCTGGAAGGTCTCGAGGAAATCACGCCTGACAATGTCGACGTCTTCCAACTCGAGGCCGTGGCAGCTCTGAAAATGCTCTGCCGCAGCATTGACACACTCGTCAAACTCACAGGCGATGTCCCGCCTACACCACCAGCACGCAGTCGCGGTCCTTCGCCAAATCCAGGCGTTTCCAAGCTACGCGAGTCTACCACTGCAGATACGGTCACGCCAAAGAAAGAAAACATTGGGTTCCCATCGTTCGGTCAGAAACAGCATGAGCACATTGACGGGGTAGTATTTGTTAAGACACCCATCGGTTCGCCTGAAGCGCATGCTCATGAGCCTACGTCGGCGGCAGATATTGGGGCTCATGCCCAACCAGTCTATATTCAGCATGGTGCTTTGGCACGGAAGTTCTACTCGAAACGTCCTCCGCCCATCTCAACCGAAGAGTACCTCATGCGCATGCACAAGTACTGTCCGATGTCGACCGCAGTCTATTTGGCCTCATCAGTCTATATTACCCGTCTGGCGGTAAGAGACCGTCTCGTTCCGGTCACACCACGAAATGTCCATCGGTTGCTTCTGGCTTGCCTTCGGGTGGCTATGAAAGCACTCGAGGATCTTTGCTGGCCCCATGCCCGTTTCAGCAAGGTTGGAGGTGTCTCTGAGGGCGAGCTCGGTCGGTTGGAGATCACGTTCTGCTATCTCATGGACTTCAGTCTGAAAGTTGATGCTTCCATGTTGCAGGACGAGGCCGAAAACTTGTGTCGGCACAATCGGTATGACTCTGTAGACCTCAACAACAATCATGTCACACCGCTGGAACTGAGAATGCCAGATGAGGGCGAGAGAAAGTTAAGGACTCCTGAAAAGAGAAAGGCAAGCGGGACATTACCCAACAGACCCGCTATTCATGTCGGGACGAGCATCGAGGTCGTCAGTCAGTCTTGAAGAGGGCGATGCTGAGTATGTGTACTCGTTTATGAACCTTTACGGCCGCAGACGCAACAAGATTTGGACCATCCTGCTTGCTAGGAATGACTGCAGCAGCTAATGGGTGGTTTGATGGGCGAGATTGACGCCGGAGCACAGATTGACTGATGTCTGGGACGATGTGCCGAAGGTCTTCATCAGCATATTTTCTTTGAGAGGTTGCACCATTTTTATATCCCTCCTCTAGTGGCGTGTGCATCTGGGATGAGTTCTACTGCACCATTCGGGGTCTTGTTGATAGCCATCGACAGTAATATAAGTACGGAGGCGTGCACCATTTGTAGTGTCCAGCAAAAACTTAGAAAGACCGGGTTTTATGACCTGACACAGCAACTCCCTAGCTTCTCGGCCCTATGAACCTAGAGATGCCTAAAAACGGTAACTCGCTTAGATAGTATAGGTAACTAAGTATAGGCGTTATCGGAGTAAAGCCAAGTATTTTCAGGAGCTAGTAGCTATATTATAAGCCTGAGCTAACTATTATAGACGCTTCGGTAAGGAAGTATAGGTAACAAGATATAGGCACTCCTAATAGGGGCTACGGCAGAAAAGCCTGCGTGTTTTGAAAGACTAGTCTTTTTAAATTTCTGCTGGACACTACAAATGGTGCACGCCTCCGTATCGATGCGCCAAGAACCAATTGCTTAAAATGCCAGTAGTCTTAACGCTCTTCCGCCAATTGCCATGTGTATATTTATCTCACTTCTGCACGCTTCTGGCAGATCTCGAGTTCCGCACTATAGTTGACCTGAGGGCCTGCAGAAACACGGCGGGCCCTGAACAGCCAAATGGAAGCGGCCGGAAGAGACAAATGAAATCTTCACCCTCACGTCGCACAAGGACAACATCGGCAATCTGGACCCGGATAAACCCCTCCCAAAGCAGTCATTTATCAGATGACCTCTTTCCAAAGCCATCACTTCGCGACAACGTGGTAGGAAATGGAGTTCAGTGCACATGGAAAAGGACCATACCCTTATTGATGCTAATCAAGATTGCCCCGATACTACCTCAGGATCACGCGCGTCGACAAGGCAACTAACATTTAACGGTTTAAACCTAGACTGGCACGACTGGGGATGGCGACTCAATTCCAACCTCTCACATTGATGATGGATGGAGTCAATGGCGGAAAGTCAGAGAAATCGGAAATCTCTACTGGAGCAATTTCTATGACTACAAACTTCCCGCAGCCTCCCAGGAACAAGTGGAGATGCAGGTCGGTAAAGCCCAAGTCCGCGTGACATCAAAATCACTGCAGTCTTCAATCCCTTCTTCTCTTTCTTTACATCTAATTCGGCATATCCTCTACCGACTCTTGGTTACACTCATTATCTGTCAGAGTTAGATCAGGCCATACCCCGGTTTCCTCTTTTACACTCACTCTGGGGATCCCCGCAAAGGCCATTGTTGTAAAAGCATAAGAGCACTGGTCAGACGACCACGCGAGGGGACTTTTATTGCTTTCAACAATCATACGCGTCGCAGTATCGGAAAATAACATTAATATACTGGTGGCCCTTGCACGCAAATCAACAATCAGAGCTGGAGCACGTCCCTGAAGGTTATTACCGGGTTCTGTACACAACAACCACCGTTGTAGAACCTCTCGGACTGGACACCCCGGATCCTTCTCATTGGAGATAGTCGTGCCAGAGCAAGGTGTTTTCACCATCATGGCTGAAAAGGAGGTCGAAGCCCACAGTGGTCAGTCTTCCACGGGTCCAATGGCAAACCCACTCCATTTCCCGGAGAAGGATCGCCTCCCTCACGATAGGGTCATGGACGACATGGTCCTCAATGCCTCCAGGGCCACCGAAAAGGAGCACAAGATGAGCTTGTGGCAGGGCATCAAGCTGTATCCCAAGGCAGTCGCGTGGAGTATCCTCATCTCGACCTGTATCTGTATGGAAGGCTACGATGTTTGTTTACTAAGCAACTTTTGTATGTCTGCCTGATAATTCGCAACTCTTTGCTGGCGCTCACTGACCGATACAGACGCGTTTCCCCAGTTCCAGAGAAAATACGGCGAACAGCTCTCCGATGGTAGCTGGCAAATCCCTGCGCGATGGCAATCCGGACTCAGCAATGGTGCAAATGTGGGTGAGATTATTGGTCTCTTCATCAATGGTTACGTCTCCGAACGCTTCGGATACCGATACACCGTCATGACGTGCTTGCTGTTGATCGTGGTCTATACGGCAGTTTTCTTCACTGCGCAGAGCTTGGTTGCCATTCAAGTCGCCGAGATTCTTTGTGGTATCCCGTGGGGAATTTTCCAGACTTTGACCATCACCTACGCCAGTGAAGTTTGTCCAGTTGCTCTCAGAGGCTATCTGACCACATACGTCAACTTTTGCTGGGGTCTAGGCCAAGTCATTGGTATCGGCGTCATCAAATCCATGCTACCCAGAAACGATCAGTGGTCATACCGCATCCCATATGCCCTTCAATGGATGTGGCCAGTTCCGCTCCTCATTGGCATCTTCTTCGCCCCGGAGTCGCCATGGTGGCTAGTCCGAAGGGGCCGGCTCGACGACGCGAAAAGATCCCTCCTGCGCCTGACCTCGCTCAACCGCGAGACAGACTTTGACGCCGATGAGACAATCGCCATGATGGTGCATACGACAGCACTCGAGGAGAAAATCACCACGGGTGCCTCGTACCTCGATTGCTTCAAAGGCACGGATCTTCGCCGCACTGAGATTGTCTGCATGGTATGGGCCATCCAAAATCTATCTGGCAATTCGTTCTCTGGATACTCGACTTATTTCCTCGAACAAGCCGGCCTGGACCCAGCCAAAGCGTATGACTTTGCATTGGGCCAATACGGCATCAACATGGTCGGCGTATTCGGCGCTTGGTTTCTGATGACATGCGGAATTGGCCGGCGTGCTCTCTATATATACGGGCTGTGTGGTCTATTCTCGATGCTCCTGATCCTTGGCTTCCTTGGATTGGTCCCGGAAGCTCACAAGAAAGAAGCCTCTCTGGCTACCGGGTCAATCATGTTGGTCTGGGCAATGTGCTACCAGCTCTCCGTCGGAACGGTCTGTTACTCTCTCGTTGCCGAACTTTCCACACGTCGCCTACAAATCAAGACCGTCGTGCTCGGCCGCAATTGTTACAACATCGTCGGTATCATCTGCTCGGTATTGACGCCCTACATGCTCAATCCGGGAGAGTGGAATTGGGGCAACTACGCCGGCTTCTTCTGGGCGGGCATTTGCTTCTTTTGTATCATCTACACTTATTTCCGCGTGCCCGAACCGGCAGGCCGCACGTTCGCTGAGCTAGATCTGCTCTTTGAACGAGGAGTGAGTGCGAGAGATTTCGCCAGCACTAAGGTCGATGTCTTTGATGCGATTACTGTACAGGAGACCGTGGAGGGGACTGGAACATTGAGAGAGTATCAGAAGAATCGTGGGACCATCCTGCATGATGAGGAGGGTGTCTTGCCTCGGCCAATCGTTCACTGAGTGTCGAAAACATCGACAGACCTTCGCTACTGAAGGAGGACTAAACGCGACAACGGCAATGACGAATTATGATGTGCATGGACCAAAATGTATGAAGGCGCATCTCGGTCAAGACACAGCCCCGTTCTTGGAAAAATGTAGGGGAACACAGCCAAGGCGCCCAAATTGGACTTCGACCACGTTTGGATTCACGAAAATCAAGTGTCGATCGTGCTACACCGCTCGAGACCTTCGAAGCTCAGGACAGTCCGCCCGCTTGAGAAGACCGTGCACTACTGCATGTACGAAGCACTCAAGGGCGCCCGACATGCATCGCGACACCGATGCATCCTAAGAGAAAGCTGACCAGTGCAGCACAGAAGGAGGCAGCATGACATGCTTCAACCCCGTTGCATAGACAATTTGTGACTTAACAGTCTCACCTACGGTATGTACCAGGCCACGAAGACCCAGAATATCAGATATACATAAATACGGATGCCCTTAACGCCGTTACGCCATTGTTCCTTCCAATCCTGCCAACCCTTTCCCCAACTTTGCGGCAAGTCCCGATGTGCCGTAGTAACCCCACTCCTGAACGCCCTCTGCCCTTTCCCAAAGTCCCAGGCCATCCTTCGCGCGGCACGAAGCCAGTGTACATGACTACTAGGTCCAAGAAGACGCGACCCTTCAACACCGAACGCCCTTGCCCGAACGGACGCGCCCCTTTCCCCAACCCCCAACATCACTCTCAAGCATGATCCTCCTTCCCGAAGCATCCATGACATAAGACGGCTTGCCCCTTCCTCTCCAGCATGACACGAGCCTTCCTATCCATACGTCAACACCCGACCTCGACACCCTCACCCTTCTTCTTCTCAGTCATCATCTCCCACGTGGCCTCTCCCTGCTCCTGCTCCTGCTCCCCACTCTCCACACACGCACATCATCCTTGAACATGATGGCCCTTTGGGGCCGTCCTCTCAACTGCTCCTCATACTCATCTCTTTCCCGAGTACGACGGAAATCATGTCTGGCCCTATCCAGCGCCGTTGGTGGTGAATTGGGGACGACCACAACCTCCCTCGGTTCACGCAGGATCACCTGGGCCATGTCCCGATCCCTGTCTCGTCTTCGCTCTCGGTCCCTCGGCTCCCTCTCGATTGCACCATAGCGTCTTTCCTGCAGGAGTTCCGCTTCAGCCTGAGCCCGGGCCGCCACCCTCTCGGCATCATGCCTCCGCTGTCGTTCGCGTTCTAATCTCTCTTCGGCCTCGCGCCGCTCGCGTCGTTCGCGGCGAATCAAGTCGTCTCGGATGTCGTGGTCCGGACGGAATGCTCGATCACGCTCGTGCTCCCTGTCATGTCGATGATGGCCATTCGTGACGACAACCGGATGTTGATGTACGTCGTGTGGATCGAGGGGGTGGCGGTCCTTAGGTTTTTTCACCTTCACGTACTTGATGGTCACCTCGTCGTCACGACGTTTAGGCGGCATTTCAGGCGGTAGTGGAACGAAAAGTCTGTCCGCCATGACGTGGTACGGCTCTCTAGGCGGCGGTGGAGATGGCGAAGGTGATGGTGACAATACGCGAATATGTCTTTCCTTATGTCGACTTCTCACAGGCGTTTCTTCAATGATTGAAACTTTCTTCCTCCGGATCTTGAAGAGGTTGTACAACTTCGAACCGAGCGTCAGTTTTTGTGGAGGTCGATGGATGATGCGGTCTCTGCTACGCACCTGGGGCTCTCTCTCAATCACGATGGGATCTCGCGATTCGTCGTATATATAGTTGTCGTAGCTGTGGCGGCGTCGGCGATCAGACATTCACAGGATGAAAGAGGAGGATGACTTCAAAGATGCGTCAAGCAACTCCGAGTGTGCTCTTCGTCCCTGGGATATGGAACGAGGTAACGGCGTTATGCTTTCGGAGCAAGATTTCTGAGGACTGTCGAGGAGCAGGAAGTTGATGTTGGGAACGATGTCGTTTGACAACCGACAGTTATAAGGATACGAATGTGGACGTCAAGATCTTGGTCAAAGGTGTCTTGTGTCTGCGTGATGGACTGTGCTTGGCGGATGCCTGGCGGATGGTGTCTCGCTATATGACTCTTGGTCGGGACATCTCGAGGTCACCCCTCGAGAATATATCGGGACTCAGTACAGGCACGGCCCTGTGTTTGCACACATGTTGAGTGCGCTCAAATTCGTTCGAAGATGCTTGCCACAAGTAATTGCTCTGTACGGCGGAAATGGAGACCAGGTCATTCGTCGGGGCCCAATGCAGAGCAACAAACAGGTTGAAGTACAGATTCACCGACACAGTGGATCGTGAGGCTGGTCACGAGTACCAGGCGGTCCTTGATTGGGGCTTTGGTCGTCAACGCCAGGAAGAGAATTGAGATGCCCCTTGCATTTCATGCAGGGCTGTGGAAAAGAATCTCATGATGGATCGTTGCATAATCGTGACCGTATCCTAGGCAAAATCTTTGGAACTTTGGACTCTGGTTCGCATGATGACAGGAAGGCAGCGAAGGTGGTGGTGATTTTGGCCCATGGCGGGTCCAAAGATCGTGGTAAGGCTGCGTTAGTGTCTGGGTAAGAGTACGCGATGCGTGGGCTTTCTGTGGTCCTGATTGAACCGCAGAACTAACGCCGGTTTGTTCGTTTGGATGTCATGGTTCATAGGGATCCGGAGCCTACCGTGTTTGTGCCCCCATAGCCATGGCCGCCGTTTCGTTTGTCTGGACGTTCGACCGCACGGTCAGTTTGGCGCCGTGTGGCTGTCACCTCGAGACAAACCTCACGAACTATGTCAGCTATGCCGGGGTACCTTGGAGGTCACGCCGTTTGTGCGTGCCCACCGGGCGAAATGTCTCAATAGTTGCTCTTCAGCCTCTTCTTTGGTCTTCATCCCCGGAAGGACGGTATGAGGAAGGGGCCGAAAATGCTACTGACGCAGTATGATTGGCGTTCTGGAGCTGGGGAAGCGAAATCTGCCACACTTGCTGTAGCAGCTAGAAACATTGACAGCTGTGGCTGCGTGGCTGTGCTGGTGAAGTTACATTCTTTATCGAAAGCCTGCACGGCACAGCCTGATGGTTTTCTGTGTGTAGGTCGCCTGAATTCTGGGGCGAAGATAATGCCCGCATTGCCCAAAGAGGATGCTGAATAAGCCTTGTGAATGATCCGCAGTAGCAGAATGATACGGTGAAACACTACTTAGGTAAACAATTTCGTCTATCAAGGCCTCTGTCAATGCGAAGGTGTTTTCACAAGTCTATCTTGGTGGAGGTAGGCACAGAATAGATACCGTGCCGCGGCCCGGGGCTCTTCCGATCATGCCCAATTGTAGTATGAAGATCTTCATGATAGTGGACTTGGGTATTTCCAATCCGTCTTCGGACACGAATGGAGCGAAGACTGGTCCGAAGGAGATGAGCGCGATCACCCACGGGTCGCGGCGTGCAGTTGACTCCTGAGCAGACTGAGATAGTTACACATCAACATCCTTCTATCTTCTCAGAGTTGAGTTGAACAGTAGAAGTGACTTTCTCGAGACTAACACTACTGTGACTTGGGGCGATATCTTGATATTCACAGGTCTATCGACCATCGACTTATCAAACTCAGCTATACACTACTCCGAGGGTGATCAAGATGCATTTCGCTACCTTACTACTCACCCTCTTCACAGGCCTGACTCCCTTAGTACGATGCATTGGGGATGCCTACGACAATGGTTTCCTCGACCAAGCGATCAAATTGATGGAGGAAAGTCCGCTGCTGGACACGCACATCGATCTGCCGCAGATCATCAGAAGTCTGAGTATGATACTCCCTATTCATACCAAGCCAGGAAATCTCCGAGTATTGACGCATCGAACACAGATCGCCGACCACTAGACGCACTTCCCCAGCTCAACGGCTCTTACCCAGGGCACGTCGACATCCCGCGCATGCGAGAAGGTCGACTAGGCGGAGCATTCTGGACAGTCTGGGCCCCTTGCTACGATGTGACGGGCGAAGATCCCGGTGCCGACTTCAACACGCCGACCAACCACCTACGCGACTCGCTGGAGATGCTCGACATTATCCAGAACATGATCGCCTTGCATTCAGATGATCTCCAGTACGCCAGGACATCGACCGAGATCATGACGGCTTTCAGCTCGGGTAAAATCGCATCATTGATCGGCATGGAAGGAACGCATCTGCTGGGCAATTCCCTCGGCGCACTTCGCATCTTCGCACAATTGGGAGTACGATATCTGACGTTGACGCATACCTGTCACAGCGCGTTCGCGTCAAGCGTTGGGTCGGGAACGCCGCTGAACGATGTCCACGAAGGTAATGGATTGTCGGAGCTGGGCAAGGAACTTGTCAAAGAACTTAACCGTGTCGGTATCATGGTGGACCTTTCGCACACGACGCCCGAGACTATGAGGCAGGCTATCGCGCTGTCTGAGGCTCCGGTGGTCTGGACGCACGCTGGTGCTCGGGCTCTGTGGGATCACCCACGCAATGTTCCCGATGATGTGCTCGACATGATCGGTGATGGTCCAGGACAGAAAGACGCCGTTATACAATCGGTTTTCTTCCCACTGTTCATCGCTGGTGAGGGATCCAACGTCTCACATGTGGCGGACCACATCGAGTACATCGCCAATAAGATCGGGAGGAATCGTGTCGGTATAGCGTCCGACTATGATGGTATGTACGCGACTGTCGAAGGTCTGGAGGATGCTAGCAAATACCCGAATCTGGTAAGGAAGACTCTTTTCCGTTCCCGTCGTTGGTGCCGGCTAATACAGGTCAAGGTCGCAGAACTTCTTTCCAGAGGCTGGACGACGGAGGAGATGCGTGGAGTCTTGGGTGGGAATCTGATGAGAATCATGGACAAGGTGGATGAGGTCAGTGAGAGCTTGAAAGAGCGCTTACCTTCGTCTGCAATCTGGGAGAAGAGAAAGGATCTGCCTTCGACAAACTGGGGAGGTGGCGGTCCGCAAATGTACTGGCCGCCAGATGTGAAGGACACGGTGGACAAGATGCAAATACGACATGATGAGCTGTAAGGATGGAGGGCTGGAGACCTTCTGGAGAAGAACTTGAAGTAGTGAGAACGCCATTAGCCAGCTCGTTTGGCCAGAAAAGTCGTTGCCTGACTGGGCTTGCAAGTTGACTGTTCCGAGTCCAACATCGCGAATCCGTGACTGAACGTCGTCGACATTAGCAGCATCGTTCCACGCACGCACAGGATCAAGCCACCCAGCCACAGTTCAATACACCTACACATCGCTTGTGAGGCTCTGCCATTACCCAGCGGTCATCACCCGTGCAAATGAGCCCTTAGTCATCATCAGTATCCCTGCTCTCAGTTGACCGCAACCCCTGCCCCAAGAAACGGACCGGCGCGGTGAGATTGCCCACACGAGTTACGACGTACGAGCGCAGTACCCCAGAAGACGGAGGATATCTCGAATGGTCTGCTGGGACGCCTGAACAAGCTCGGCGGTATTCTACCCTACTCGTCATTGGAAACGTCCTTTCCTCGCCGGACGCCGGCGTTGACTGGGATTCAACAGCGACGGGCGGATGTCATGGTCATAGGACTCCTGTGACCCGTCTCCATGTCCTGACCCAGTACTAGCTGGAGAATTGCTGAACGGAGCAGACCAGCGACTGACCCTTTGCAAGGATGTATAGATCCTTGTTCCGCTGAGTGTGGTCGGGGGAGGGCACTGCCTCTTCCTCTTGGTAAGGCTGACTTTTCATCTCCCCTACCATAGCAGACCACAAACTGACAGTCTGCCTGGGAGCGCGAGCATGACCACCTGGCCCGGTCCAATCTGTTTCAGTCCGCTGGAAGATTCTTTGCAGGTTCCAGACCTCTCATTCCCCATTTGTGCAACCGTCTGCCTTGCAACTCAAGCCGGGCAGCACTTGCCTTGTCACGAACCAGTGAACCGACGAGAAGGATTCGAGGCTCATTCTTTCCGGAGAAGGAATTCACCGACGGCTCTACCGCTCCAGAAAGACCGATCTTGAAGTGCTGCCTGCTGGCGCCAGAGTAAAAAAAGGCAAAAACTTTGCCCACAAGCTCCAAGATCCGGTGATCAGAGAGGTTGTAGGTAAGTGAAACCAGCCGAACTGGTTTTTCACGTCGAAGGAGTAATGGGGAGGAACGAACCCTGGTGAATCTAGGGGCTGGATCAGACAGTGACTGCACCCTATATTTAGGGGAGGGTTGGGGAAGGGTGCAGTCATTGTCTGAATCCAGGCTATAACCACTCAGCCATCATCGAGCCACTTCAGCGGCACTCTGGCTTCATTGTAAGTTGGCAGAAATCGCAGTCTTTAAAATATATGTGACGATAAAGTCGATGCTGCTTCTTGGCATGGCAACAGCAACGGCAACAGCAATAGCAACGGGAAGGCCTCCATGGTAATCACACCCTCACAGAACTTCGTTGCTCGAATGCCCTTCTGTCCATGGACCATCAACCTATCTGGTCTCGCGCCGGAAGAGCCCCCGGCCTTCATCACTCAAGCAAAATAGACACAGTGATTCGAGTGCATGGTCCTGGAAACGTTTGAACAACAGTAGGTAGTCATCATAAGATGAAGTATGTACGGTTATACACCAGCTCTCCTGCCTTCTCATAATGGAGGCAGAATCAGGCACGAGACCAAGGACGCATCCTCGTCGTTCTCAAATGTCTCTTCCTCACGAAAAACAATCATAATGCGCTCTCTGTAAAAGGTAGAGTCCCTCGTCGAGGAGACCCATCAACACAAACCTCAGTGGATCCCAAACCTGTATACAAAACCGGCAGGCGAGAACAAAACTGAAGTGCGATGGCCGGCCAGCATGTAAACCGTAGGCTGTAAAATAAGAGGGCGAGGGATTACTGACCCCAACTACCCTTCCTTGCTCTCGCTCCCCAATCTTCGTTTGCCCCAAGAGCAGCACGCCGACGATCATCCGCAAAATTCGGACTCTGCCGAGCCCATTCATGCACATATAACCTCAGAGCCTCCCAGCGTTTGCACTTGCCACCGATGACTTCACGTTCTTCAGCGCCGTCACCCTCAGGAGCGCCGACATAACCCTTGGCATCGACAAGGTAGTCATCCTTCCGCAATTCCTCCAGAGGTACCCTGCTGATCTTGCTCAACTCCTCATCAAACATATGTGCAAGACTAGGGTATCCAAGACTCAAATAGTTGTAGATCTGCGTGATGACGCCTGGTGGGAATTCTTCCTCGATTTTCTTCTCCAGCTGCAATTTCCTATCAATCGTGTTGGTGAAGTCGTCCCCGTCTTGACTGCGAGGCGGTGTTAGAGGAAGAAAGGATATTCCCGACGCTGGCCGTCGTCGAATCGCAGGGGTCAGTGTCCCTCGACCCGGCGTCGACGAATTCCCCGAGAACATGGCCTCGAAGGGATTGTGCATTTCTCGTGCCGGAGTCTGTGGGGCGGGTGTTTGAAGTCCACTGCGCAACCCGTTCTGCGCACTCGAAGGTTGCCACATTGCACCCTGACACATACCCATCCACAGACCTGCACCTGTGTCTAAGTTGGGTCTTGTGTCAGAAATCCAGAGATGTGGGCTACCTGGACAAACTTCAGCGTGACTATCCTCGGCGTTACGCGGTCGTGGTGGCTGGTCAGGATCGCACCGTGTCATCTTGGGCGATATCGTGTAAGGGAACGTGAGGTCTTTCCCCAGCATTGGTGGGGTAGCAGCAGCCATCATCTTTGCAAGTTCAGTCTCTTCATCGAGAGCCCTAGGTTTCTTTGGCTTCTTAGTTGACTGGGCTTCTAGCTTATGCCGTGTTGTCAGAGCCGCGGCGCTGAATCGGCTGGCCCCAACGGTGTCTGATTTCACTTTTTGTTTTCCCTTCTCCAGTCGTTCATGGTGTTTCCGCATACCCTCGAGCTCCAAGGTCAATTCTGCGGCCGAGGATCGTCGGAAAGTGCGGGCATCGGTACCCTTCTCACCATGGAACATCGGCACAGGAAGCGGCCCATCTTCGTCCTCCTCTATGGCGAAATGATCCACGGGCTCATGTGGCCGTTCGTTGATATAGGCAGCCATGGCCTGTTCTTGTAACTCTTTCTCGGTCACTGTATCAGCGGCCAACCGAAGTACATACTCGGTATAGCTGTCTTGTGCAGCAGGAGTCCGATTGGTGTCTTTTCTGAGATGTTCTGCCTCTGTTGAAGACGGAGAGTCACTTAGCGATGGAGTTTCGTCTGACTCATCTTCTTCCGTCGTTGACTCTATCATAGGCAGATCTGGCACCTGGAACGAATGCTGGCGCTGTGCTTCGGGATTCCTGCGAGCCAGAGCAGCAGCAGAAAAGCGCGACTCTTCAACCTTGGGTTCCACGTCAACCACATCCATTTTCAATAAGGGTGCCGGTGGGGGCCGGCTTGGAGGGGACTCTTTAGATTCCTTGGGAGATGGGGGATGTACGCGTCGGTAGGAACCTTTGGCGGTTTCTAACAGCTCCGGCTGCCACTTGCGCGGTCCTGACGAGGACCTGCTTGAGCCAATTGAGCCAGCAGTTGGAGGTTCTTCACCGGGGTCGTCCGAATCCGTGTCACGTCTTCTCCTTGAGGTGGATGTGGTTTCGATAGCTTCTGGAGCGAATTTTCGACGAGGACGAGTGTTTTCTGCGTCCTCCGACTTCTTGTCCCTGTTACTTCTTGTGGAGGTCTCAACAGGCTCTGGGGCAAATCTCCGGCGAGGTTTGGAGGATGCTTCGTCTTGAGGCTTCTCCTTGTCCTTGCTCGTCCGCGTACTTGTTTCGATGGGTTCAGGGACGAACTTTCTTCTTGAACTGTGTATGGTAGTCTCTACCGGCTCAGGTACAAAGCGTCTTCTTGTGGCCAAGGGTCTGCTGTTTGGGGCGCCAGGCAGTGTAGGATCGTCGAAGTGGGAGCATTGAGAATCTTGACTCGAGGATCCAGTGGGCCCATCAATGTCCATGGGGTCTTCTACATGCTCAACGTTGTGCTTCCCAGACCTCCGGACAGTTTCCTCCACTGGCTCGGGGAGAAATCTGCGGGGTTTTGTCTGGGGAGGCATGGTATCTGGATTTGAGGCCCGTAGCTTATCTGGTCCGGGACTCGAGGAGGGGGACTTGGCCGAGCCGTTGGCGCGCCTCGAAATTCTGATCGTGGTCTCGAGAGGTTCAGGTTGGAACCGCCGGGTTGGAGGCGGGGAAGGGGACATGATCAAAGTCGGTGGGATGGGTGTGCATTTAGCCCATGCTCTCCTTGGACAGGACGATAATGCCTGACTGCAAGCACGCGAGCATGGATGACCATGAAAGCACGTCAGGCAGATTGAATGTGCGGAGAAGAGTCGTCCACAGGATTGTGCTGTCGGGTGTATACGGAGAGTTGTATAGGTTTAGAGGTGAGTTGATCGTGGCGGACGAGGGAGAAATTGTAGGATGCAGGTGTGTAGACGGGACCCTTTGTTACGGACGCGCGGGAGTTTGAAGGGTGTCAGGTGTGTGAAGGACGTGGGATTTTGATGTGTGGACGGCGAGTTTCCAATGTCAGGTCTCGTGCATAGTAAAATGATGAGAGAGGAGAGGATTTGTTTGGATCAACAAGCGAATGGAAATGATAGCAAATGTGTAGGATAAACCAGGGGTCTGAAAATGCGCATGGGAAAAAGGGTCTTTCTTCCAGAGAGATACATTAGAGATAGTGTTACTGTAGTTGTACCTGGTCCCTCCAAAAGCCACAACCGGTGCAAGCTGAGTCTTTGTTGCAGGTGGTGGTGGTGCGGGTAGAGATTACCAGATTACAGGGCTATGACGTTTAATGGCCGATTCGTCGCGTCCTATGCCCCGAGATCCCCAAATCAGCGGTCAACCGGAGGCCTATAGCACCAACGCGCACCCACTGCCACCCAGACTCCGGAGCAGACTATTACTCTATTGATTAGAGTATGGACCACCGCCACCAACACAGCACTGTATCCACCGCACAACCAACGGTCGAGACTTTGATTTTACACTTCACCGTCGTTCCACTATCTGATGATCAGAAAGATAAAAGAAAGCATAGGCCCTGCAAGCCGCCGTGCAATTCGAGATACGTTACTCAATCGAGACCGTCTCATTGCACGTCTCCATCTCAACGACCACGTAGCACAAGGTCCAAATCACTGTACACAGTGGACTTCATGCATATTGAGAAATGTGTTATATCATTGGACTGGCCCAGGCGATGATCAGGGATCACTTGCATTTCAACACTCCATTTCCCATCCAACAAGGGGAAATCCTTCTCAACCGCCCATTACGAGTATATACTCGCTCTTACTCATCAGCCACTATCGGGCTGAATAACCCGATGACCACAAAAGGATGATAACAGATATTTCCCCAGACTTGCTTTTGACTCTTCAGGCGATCATCTGCATATTGGGCTTTGTGACTGCTTCCGCATTCACCCGAATCGTCAAGGTCCACTGCATGTCACGACCCAAGTCTATATCCGTCAGACGCCCTTTGGCGAATCAGGTCAAACGAGATATTCATATCAAAATGATACTTGCAGCAACACCGGAGCCAGTCACCTCACTCGGACTCTTCCATCTCAGCCATCTCAGCGTCCTCTCGCAGGTTTATCTTTGCTAGCCCGGGTTCCAACTGCAGACTCGAACTCATTCCCGCCAACCCCATGTCCGAATTGCTCAGGCTGACCCGCAGACTGCGTCTCCTCTCGCGCTGATGCACGAGTCCGGGGAAAGCGCGAGGCTCCTGCCCCGAAATGTGTGAATCCGGGTTCGTTTGTGTGGGGTACAGTGCGTTCGACGACATCGTCCGGGGCCGGTTGGGTGAAGTATTACCCGTGTTCGCAGCAGTAGACCTGGACTGCCCAGGCATTCGCGCTTGCTGCGCTGGTGGAATCGAGTCGGCCACCGTCGTCGCATAAAACTGTCGCGGCGACTCCAACCCCTTGTAGATTTCGTCAATGGGCGTACTAGAGTCCGTAGGATCTGGTAAGTCCGGCGTGCATCGGTCGAAATGCGTGTAGTCTTCGGTGTACTTGGCGATGAATGCATGTTCCGCTTTGAGCGTCTCGTGCCTGAATGCCTCCCTCACATCCGGCACGTTGCTTTTGGCCACGTCATTGCCCAAGACGCCGGGCAGATAACAGTACTTTCCAAGCCAGCGCTGCTTCAAAGTCAGCTCAAATCCAGACTGGTCGACCGAATGCTTTGCCAATTCGCACATCTCTACAGCGCTCAACTTGTAGATTTGTGCTGCCACCGAGTACTCCTCGATCAGTGGCTCCTTGGTAAAAGCAAACTGCAGCGGATCGTCGGTCGAGAGCGACACATTCAGTCCCTTCTTGAAATAACTGATGAACGGGTTGCGGTCGTATGTCAAGAACAGCGCGTTGTTGCTCAAAGGGGACATGGCAATCCCAATCTGCTCCAAGTAGAAGACGTACTGCAGAAGTGGGACCTTGCGGAGGACGATGCCATGGCTGATACTGTGGCAGCACAGAAAAGCTGCAGCCAGATGGTCGGTATCTCCAGCTTCTCCACAGTGCGGTCGCATAATGAATGTGTTGAACCCTCGTCTCTTCCGCCACGCGTTGAGGGAGGTCATGTTGGCATAAAGATAGTAGATCCAGTACCCGTACGGTGGGTTCTGCTTGGTGTCCCACTCCCTGGCCACCGGGTACTTACGGTACAGCCGTCTTTCCACCTTGCTCTCGTCATCGACACTATCGAAGCCAATCACTCTCTGCAGAAAGACGTGCAGCTTCGGGTTGCTGGAAGGGTCTTGCGTGACCTCGAAAAGAGGCTGGAAAATGTTCTTCAACAGCTGCTCAAAGTTCTCAATGGTCTTGACCGACTTGTATAGGGCGTACAGCCGAGGAATCTGGATGAGCCACCGCACATTGTGAGAGAGTAGCTTGTTGTCGACAACCCAGGCCGCAAGCGTATCCCACTCGCTTGCACTGCGTCCGTAAATGCTAATTCGCCATTCGACCTGCCAAAGGGGTCAGTATCATTTCGAATACCAGCATAGCAATCGATCTTACCATTTGGTACTTGCTTGACTCCAGGTCGGAAATGACTTCACGAGTGATTTCCGCAAGGTACCGGCCCTTGATGAAATTGTCCGTCTTCAGGAAAATCTCCCTGAGCCTGGATTGTCCGATGGGGTTGTATTTCAGGTTGAACTTGTCGAAGCGATGAAACGAGTCGGTATGAGCGTGCATATCAAGGGTGTCGATGCTGAGATCGTACGCGGTAAGATGAATACTCTCAAACACCTCCCGCAGGGTCAATTGCTTTCCATCTCGGTCAATCACCACTTCATCCGGACACTTCTTCATCTTGCTCTTTATGAAGCGCAGTAGATGCTTCTGGTTCATACAGGCCGAGTGGTGAACGTGCGTGTCCACTTTGCGAACGTTGTAGAAGTCACGATGAGGCACCTTCTTCGTGTCTGCCACTTCCTGGTATTCATTCAGCAACGTGTACAGATTGTACCGCCCTTCAAGGTACTGCAGGCGGCGGTATGCAAAGCTTTTGGCTGGTCCGTCAGAAGCAATGTCAAGAATCGTGTCAAGCGCCACGTAATAGTCTCGTAGGGACGGGACCGCAGCAATGGGACGATCTTGATTATCGTAAACTTGGAAGACACTACCGGCGTCCACTGCGAAACGCAGATTCTCATTCGCGCGTCCAGGAATGTAACATTCGCTGAGATCGAAATCTTCACCAATCGAATGTCCGGCCTTTCTGGGATGCTTCGAAGTCGTAGGCGAAGGCGGGCCTCTCTCGGATTCAGCGTGGCCTGCAGAGGTTGGCCATGCACCAGGAGCATCACCCTGATTCCCGTCGCCATGTGCTCTTGCATCTGCCATATAAAGACTGCTCGAAGTGCTATTAGGAGCGATATAGTCTTGAGGCGGCGGCCTGGATTTCTGCTCTGTCCACACTGGATTCGGTGGTGGGGGATATATCTCCCAGTTCTCATCGTCTCTCGGGTTCTGGCCTGGACATTGGAGTGATGCTTTGAGATATTGTTGCCTCAGATCTAGCAATAATTTGATTTTGTCGCAAATCGCTTGCACTTCACTGACAATACTGTCTTCGTTTGATGCCATCCCTCCAGGACCAGAGCCAAGGCCTATGCCTGCGCCAGCTCCATGCATACCTTCGTTGGCGAGAAGGGAGTCTTTGAACTCGTGTGGAAGACCTGGGTGATGCTTGTGGTTCCGAGCGGCGGCATCGGCCACCAAGGTCGGGTCAGGCCGTACATCATGAAGATTGCTGGTCTGGGTTTGCAGACTAGGCAAAGATTCCTTGGAGAAGTGCAACTGCGTGCCGCTTGGACCTGTGCCACGCTGGCTTTGGCGTGACTGTCTTGATGCCGTGCGATCTAAAGGTGCGTGATCATCCAGAGTGGAAGGCATCGTGTACGACTTGCCAAGCAACAGAGGGCTGCCCATGTCCTTTTCAGATTGGGTGTCCATTCGATGGCGCTGGTAAATGAGTTTGGCATCCACATAGGTGTCACGCTTTTCGGTGGCGTAATGGTAAAATGGATGCGGAACAGTATCGTCCTCCTGAAGCTCGTCGGATGAATCGGCGGCTCCGTCACTCTCTGGAGTGTGAGATTGTTGGTCCTCATCGTCGTCTGGTGGTTGAGCGGACGCATTCTTTTGGCTTCGTGGGTCCTCCTGCATTCCTGATACGCGGGACTTCCAATCGTAAACATCATCCTCTTCGTCCGAGTCGGGTGCCATGGCGTGTGGTAACGCAGAACTGCGGCTATCCATCGCCGACTGCTGGGCGGCTGTGGCTGGCCGGATGCACCTAGCCCAAGACTCTCGAAAGACGTCTCAAAGCTTATGAGCCGATGAGGCACCTGAGATCTCAAGACCGGAAAGTTGTTGCTTTGATGAAGGTCTAGTAGTGGGTTAACGATACTCTAACAGTTGTTTTCAAGGTAGTCGAGTGATGAAGTCGAGGAGGTTGCCAGTCTGTGAATAGTTTGACGTGCACATGCCAGTGGTACGGAAACGCGGTTGGCGGTGACTCGAAGAAAAGTTCTTGGCACTATCAAGGGTGACTTTTGAGCTTTTTGTGTTGATTACTTCAGACATCTATCCATGACATGATAGCTTTCAAGCTCCCAAGAAGCAAAGTGATGAGTCAGGCTATCAATGCGGCGGTGATTACTGGATATTCACGATACGACTCTGTACTTCACCAGCGCGGAGCCTGCACCTATCGCACGTGGTCCAATGTCGGCCGACTCCGATGAGGCCTTCGTGGGCCTTCCACCGACCAGCTGAAATATCGCGTCGAGCTGTTTGAACGCGCCTATTCGTCAACAAATTCTCCAGAATATAGTAAGATGATCCAATTGGTAAGATGCCAGCAATGCTCGCTTGCTAAAGAACATGACTCTTCGCCATCCTCATGCTCAGTCTTCATGATCCCACGGCTTTACAGATGAGTTTGATCAGCCACTTGTCCTCAGTGTAGCTCGAGCAGAATTGCTTCAACGTGGCCGACGCGGAGTCATCAGTCGAGCTTTGCTTCACTTCATCGGTCTTCAACTTGATGTTGCCATCTCCTGCAGGTCCCTTCGAGCCAGATCCAGAACCAAGCGACTTCCCAGTCAGGTTCCATCCACCAACCGTCGCAGTTGCATTTTCCGGAACGCTCTGGGGGCCCAACGTGCCGTTCTTCCAGCCTCCAGAGATACTGGTAGGATGTCCCGTGCTGCCTTGAACACAGTACGGCGAATTGAACTGTGTTCCTATCCGCTGCTGGAAAGCCACCGTTGCCACCCGCGCCCAGAGGAAAGTCGGATCATACAGCATTTCATGAGTCCACCAAAGTCGGCAATCGGCCGCTTCGTACACATACTGAAGGGGTGTATTGGTCTCGTCACCCAGCCGAAAATGATTGCGTCCATTGACGCCACCAGCAGACGCTCGCAATAGAGGTTCGAACGTGAAGTTCTCCCAGATCGTTCCACTCGCAAGATGCATGAGATCGTTTTCTGGGCTCTGAAAGAGGCTCACCCACTCGTAAAACCTGGAAGCATAATCAAAGACCTGCGATCCCTTGATGCCACCGACCGCTTGCATGGGGCCGGTTTGTGGTCGACCGCCAACAGCGATGAATTGTACACCAGCACTTTTGAGATACTCGGAAACGACCGTGCAGGTACTGGCGCAGTACCCATCATAGAGCACCACAATATCCTGAGCAGCGAAGGGTTGACGGAATTCCGTGCGGTTATTTGTGCCTGTGATTATGATACCTTCCCCATCGAAGTCAGAAGAGCTGATGTCGGTGTAATTGTTCTGGAAAAAGGCCGAAAAATTACCGCCATACAACTCGTTGTTCCCATAATAAGATTGGAAATTAGGGAAATTTCGAAAGTCGTCAGTGACAACTCCCTGATAGGCCATCGGCGAATATGCCACCTCCGTAAATACCTCTTCGTCCTCATCTGAAGTCTTTCGATCTGCTGTAACATTGGACGAAGCAACATTTCCGAGTATCCAAAAACCTAGATGATCTCGCAGGTTCGACTTTGAGTTCGGTGGGATAGAGGGGAACAGCTGGGCGAAGAGGTCGGTACCCAAATCGATGTCGCCACCTGCGCAGCAATGTCAGTGATCCCGGTCAAGAACAGCCCGCATGAGCATCACTCACCCCCATTCCCCTGCAAATCTATGATTAGCTTGCTCTTCCCAGACTTCACAGCCGCATTCAGGAACTTTTGCACCACCGCCTGGAATTCCTGGGCATATGTAAGATCATCGGGACTGCCTTGTGGTGCCTCGAAACCCTGAATCTGTAGGACGGCCACATCTGTGAGCCCAGTTCCGTTGAGGTAATACCCCGCAACCGAGTTGAGGCTATGTTTGATCACAGGATATGGGAATAGGGGCACAGTAGGCGAGCTCGGCGCTTCTTGGGTTGTTGTCGCGGCAGCCGTTGTTGAAGCTGCGGCGCTCGCAGTCGTTGTAGAGCTCCCCGAAGCATCCAGAGCCCCAGAGCAGAAGACGGCATATGCTTCGTCGCCCGTCTTAACGCTATCAAGTGGAAGATTGACGGTTGCGAAGTTGGAAAATTGTCGTGTCGTCCCATTAGCAAATGTGAGATTCGTTGTAGGTCCGGGATAATAGTAAGGATACTGGAAATTATTGGTGTTCTGATTGCCTAGCTGGAAGAAATCCTGATTCCATAGTGCATCCGGATCCTGGGACATGCCTATCAAAGACTGCACCAGCAGAAAGGAAACGACGTCTTCCCCGTCAATACTCGTAACAGGTGACGGGGTGTAACCCGTCACAGGACGCAATTGTAGTGCCGCAGAGTCGACCAACACCAGATCATCTGTCACCTGTCAATGTTAAACTTCATAGCGAGGAGTGCTTCCATACCTGCCATATAGACCTGTGGCTGCTCAACGCCGTCGACCGACACAGCGGCTAAGCCAAGTTCGACATGTCGGACGAACGTAAAAGCACCCATTAGATCGCCGAACCAGTAGAGATGACCATCTTTGGCGGAGATAAGTAATGATGTTATATCGATTTGCATGTCATATTCGCTTTTATACTGCCGGCTTTCAACTTTGGCCTGTATGGTATCAAGCTCTGCATCAAGCTCCACCGGAGGGAAAAGATACCCTGACGGGGGTTCCTGCAAGTACACTTTGTCACTCTGGAATTCGAGGTAAGTTCGCAGCGCGTTGAGAAGGCGAAGTGCAGGCTCCTGAAAGTTCGGCACCGACTTGAGGCATTCATAGGCAAGATCTGCTGGTATCTTGGCTTGCGTCGCTTGGGTTTGGGCCACTAGGTAGGAGCTCGATGCGCTAGAGGCTAAGGCGCAAGCGGTATTTGTCGAAGATTGAGTAGCACGAGGCTCGAGAGCTGCCGGACCTGCTGTCACCGCGTAGCCAGCGGAGAAGTGGGCAAAGCATACGGCTGTGAGAGCGCATGCACGACCCAGTACTTTCCCCATATATACCGAAATCAAGATTCTCAGATCTGTGCTATACTGTGTGTCGGCCGGTATGCACAGGTAGGTTGTGGGCCGAGGAATGAGTGTCTTCCACTAAGGTCTAACGATCGACAGGGAAGATATGAAATATGGAGGAAAGTACAGCTGCTGTATCCAAGGCGCAAAGAATGACTGTTCCAAGGAGTGTCGAATGTCACCAGTAAACACTCGTATTGGGTGTACTTGTCCTCATGCCCGTCTAGGTGGTTGGTTGTTCAGCAGGATCGCAAGAAGATCGGATAGGCGAAGGCGCCCGAAGGCGCCTTGTAGTACTTGTAGTAATGCAAGGGTCCACAGGCGAACAGGCCGTCAGCCTCATGGAGCCTCGTATAACCATTTCTATTAGTCCGTCCATCAAGCGGGCAGGTACGGGGTAGAAGATGTTGCTGGCGATGTTGGAACGTGGTGGGCGTGGATGGTGGCACGGCAGTGCGGCTGAGGCTTTAGACCCCAAATTTAGGACGCCCAGTGTTTGATCCACCATCATCTTTGGTCCTTCGGAATTGGTCTCGTGAGGTTGATACTGATACAACGCGGGGCCAAAAGTGACCTGGACGGGCAAGGCCACCCATTGTGGTCGAGAGTTATATTACTGGACTGTAGCTCCAAGGATTTCCCAAGCCAGGTGCGGCAATATATGACTTCTGATTTGACAAGATGAGCGGAAAGAAGTCGATAACCCTATCGTTCATGTAAGATTTTTAGCTGAATAAATGCCTCGCTAGCCTTTCACGAGGCATGGGGGCCTTCTCAAGGTTCAAACAATCACCCATTCTTCATTCAAACCAAATCCCACAGAGAATGCCGTATGGACTCCTGCGCTTATCAACCCGGCCCCCGTATCAAATATGACTGGTTTCTCCAGATCCCATACAGTACAACACACTTTCGAAAAAATGAGATGCCCTGGTGATATACAGTTTCACTCATCATCACCACGCCGAGATCGTCGGCGGGCACGCTGACTGATCCGGATCGCTTCTTCGGTAAGGATATCGTCCGGCAGTTCGAAGTCCCTCTCGAGAAGGTCGGGTATGGGATGACCAAAAGCGAGGACATTACGCCCTCGTTGCCGCCCGGATACTGCTGCATCCCGAAGATGTTTTTTGGCGAAGAAAGAAACAAAAGGCTTTGGTGGAGAGAGCTGCTCGACTACAGGCTCGATGGGTGGCTTCCTCCGTCTGTTGGCACTCTTCGCCTCTTCAATAAGCTGCTGTGATGCAAGAGCATCGATCTCGCTCGAGTTGGCTGCATGTGTCGACGCACTGCTTGTACTGCCCTCATCCTCAGATTCATCCTCATCCGCAGACGTGGCAGTCTCGTGGCTTTCGTCGTCTTCTTGCGCCTCTTCCAAGAGTGCCTGTTCTTTTTCAAGCTTTCTCCGTTTCTCCTCTTCTTTCCATCTTTTGAACTTGTCGATCAAGGCCTGTGTCTCCCGAATGAAGAGTAGGCGCTTGGGTTCGTACCGCTTCTTCTCCGTGTCCGTAACGCCAGTGATGCCCAGCGTTTTCAGCCAGTCCGGGCCACGGAGGTCGTCCAGAAGCTTTTCCAGTTGGTATTTCTCATGCTGTGCCCGCTCTCTGTCGCCATTCTTTATCTGCTTCTCCTGTCTTTCCGCTTTCGAATGTACCTTGGAGTAGAATTCTTCGCTCAGAGGATCCTCGGTATCGAGATCGAAGGGTATACCGCGACGGTTTAGCTGGATGACCTCTGTCTTGTACAAGGGCTTGTTCACGCCGAAAGGATCTGGTCTCGGTGGGTTGGGCTGGATGTCGGGAGTGTCATCGACAAGGACGACTTTGGTGCGGACGGTCAACGCTTCTGCTGCATATCAGTGACACTCAGCATGTGTGCCTGGGGTGACACTACCTGGATCTGGAGGCTTCAGACTGAGCATTTCGTCAAAGTCTGGGAAATACTGAGCGAGTTCCGTCTTTGCTCGTGACCCTCCATCTTTAGACCGTAATTTCCTCTTGTCCTCCTGCGATGCGGAAGCAGCACCACCCCGAATTGAGGCTTTGGCTCGTTCTTCGATAATTCTGATCTGATCATATTGTGGTTTACCGCTTGGTGAATCGAGCGGTTTTGCACTGTTTGGTGTATATGCCTGAAACTTGGATTGGAACGACGCGGAGGTGACAGCCGGTGCTGGCGATACAACCTTAGGTACAACGCCGCCGCCGCGACTGCGTAACGGTATCCGTAATTGTGGTATCTCCTTTTTGCCGGTCGACAGGCGACGTCTCTTCAGATCATGTTCCGGTGTGGAATTGGTAGAGGTTCGAACGCGTTTAGTTCGCAACACGTTTGGATGATTGAAAGGTTGCGGAAGCAGTGGTGTCGCCTTCTCATTGAGCGGACTGCTGGACCTGGTAGATTTGTAGCCTCGCAGCGAAGGACGTCTCAATGACGACCTGGAGTCGGCCACCATGGTATATGTCGTGTTCTAGAGTTCATGATGCTGCAGTTGCCTTGTCGCTACGAGTACTGCATCCGTGGCCAAAGACGGTGATGATTGATCTTAATGGCAGCTTTGATTACCGCAGCAAACTCAGGGTGCGCGCCCGCGTGAAAGTGGCATACACAGTAATTTCAAAGTCACCGTATGTCATTCACTACCTATCCACCAAGTTGTGCCCCTGGCCAGAAACACCTTCGCCTATCAACAATGGCCTGTGGCCCAACGTGTATGATTTTGGTTCTTTCACTTCCAAGTAATCTGGGTTATAGATCATGCATTGCTTGTACAAAAGCTGCAGGCGCTAAAGCTGAAGTGTAGAGATGTAGTAGACATGACATGCCTGATTCCATCCTATGACTCTAATCAAACAAGGGTTTCTCTATTTTTCTCCTTCAGGGCTGCTCCTCCTTGACCCTGTGCTTGTGTCAGCACTAGGGGTGTCTTGATAAGTCTCTTCATCGCTGTATAAATCGTCCTCGCTCTCGCCAGCAAATGCATCGTAGAGTTCTCCTCCTCGCCGAGCCCGACCTTTGCCACGCCCGCCTCGGGAATTGAGGCCTTGCTGTTCATCATCGTCTGCATCGCCGACCATCTCGAACTCGTACAAGTCTCGTGGGTCGTTCCTGAGTCTCTTTCGTCGCTGAACCACGAAATATGTCCCAAGGCCAGCGCAGAAAACAATCATCAAGCCAATCGAGCCATATATCCAAATCTGCGTCCGTTTTGAAACACCAAATGTGGGGAAGAATGAGGGAAGAAAGCTGTCAGAATAGGTATGGGTTGGTTCTGTGGATGCCGATGGGGATGTTGTAGGTGCTGATGGGGATGTTGTGGATGCCGATGGGGATGTTGTAGATGCCCCAGATACTGTAGTTGTAGCAGCTGGTAATGATGTGCTAGATGTGGTGGTGACAGTGGCCGACGCATCTATACTGGTATCATCACTAGGCTTGGGTTTCGTCGGTCGATCAATGTGGTCCGTTGGCTTCGCTGGCAGTGAAGTGCTTGGCCTTCCCGCATCTACGCTGGTCGTGCTGACCACTGCCGATGCTGTTTCATGATCGTCATCATGCTCATCTGGAAGTGGGTGTAGGGCTTGGATTTGATCATTGATACTCTCGCCCCACAGATTAAGTCGCCAGTCGATAAATGTTCCATTGAATTCGTTGTCGTTGGTATCCTTGACAATCACGGTCCACTTTCCAGTACCAGACTCTCCCCTGCAAGAGCATTAGTATACATGACAGGGTGACGGACCTCGGACAACACGACTTACCAATGTGCAACAGACATGAAAGTCCAGTCATCGTAACCACTTGCGGCATTATCCACGCGGCGAGTTGTGGCAATATGACTGACAACGCCACTTGGACTGATCAAGTCGGCACTCAAGTCTCCCCTCCGACCATGCTCGACGTTCATTGTCACGGTGACATGTTCGAGCCTTTCCAAGTTGGCCTTGGTCAGCATATCCTGGGTGATAGTGAAACTCGCGACAAGTCCTTTATCGCCTTCGGGAATCTTATGCTGAACATTGAGCCACGGCGAGTGATACCAGGCTTGAGCTTTGACCGACTGGAAAGACTTCGCAGCTTCCACGAAGCGATATGCATCGACTTTACCATAACCGTAAGTGTGACTGAATTTCTTGCCGATTGTGGTATCCTGCCAACTGTCATCGTCCAGATGAATGGGAATCGCTGTATCTACACAGAGATATTGAACATCTCTCCAAGTAAGATCGGGCCTAGCACTGAGCGCGAGGGCAACAGTACCAACAACAAGCGGACCAGCGGCTGAGGTACCACCATGGCCGGTATAGCATTTATCGACGCCGACGTCGGTTGTATGAATGGCATCTTGAGCGCCAGAGCTGTAGGTTACGACAAGCTGCGCAGAGCATGCCTCTGAGTAATACGGGTGATTGCCAGCCCTGTCAATACCGCCGACTGTAATGCTGTAGATGCTATTGGTGTAACCGTCAAAGTTGCAGTTGTCCTCACTGGCAGCTCCGTTACCGGCCGCAAACACGAAGACGGAACCGAGACCACTCCTTCCGCTTTGAACTCCATTGACCATGGCGCGTTTGATGAGTAAACCAGGAGCCTCCATGGTCTTGCCGTCATCCGGTGGACCCCATGAACACGAGTATATATGGTTTTCCTGGTAGTGATAGTTTATAGACGATGCCTCATCCTCGTCAGTGATGGGCTTGGAAAGAATCCGAATGCCGGCGACTTTGCTGTCGTAAGCCATTCCTACGCCACAAACATCATTTCTGACTGCTCCAATTTCCCCAGCGCATCGGGTGCCATGTTTGTCGTCGAAAAGCCTAGGCCGTGGATTAGGACCTTTGTCATTGAAGTCGAAGGAGCCGGGCGCGAAGTAATTGTCTTTGAGGTCATTGCTGTCCATATCAAGCCCGTCATCAATGACTGCAGAAACAGTGCCGTTGCCTGTAATTCCTTCCAGCCACACTCCAGTCACGTTCAGGTCGTGTCCTAATTGGATGGGATTGAACAAATGCCATTGTTCCTTGAAGATCGGGTCTTTGATGTCCAATGTCTCTGCGATGGTGTTTAGACGTACTATGGCTTCTTGCTGCTCCGCCTCGCTGTCTTGGTCGTCCTTCGACTCCTGCCTCGTGTCAATGTCCGAAATTGGCGGTGGTGGGATTCGTTTGACATGTCGATGCCTTAGCTGCTGCTTTTCCGACCAGAGTATGCCAGCCAAATTTGCAGCTACTTCTCTCCGTGACGCTTGTGGCTCATCCAAATCAATGGCTTGCCGCCTACGCCTCTTCCGTCTCTTCAACTCTTGTAGGGCATCTTCAAAATCTGGACACGAATCTTTTGGGCAGGAGAATGTATGATGGTGGCTCAATTCTCCAATTTGGCCTTCATGTTGAACACTAAATCGATGGACAATGTCTTGCGGGATTGTCGCTGGATCTAGGTGGACAGCAAAATAGTCGTTCTTCTGATAGTCGCGAACACTAGCAAAGGCATTCCCGGCCCAAAGCGCGACCGGAAGCCATGACTGCCAACGCATGACAGCGAAGGTGTAAAATAGGTCACCAAGGGAAGGCAGGCATTCCTTTCAGAGGTGGGAGAGGGAGATTCGTCACAAGGCCTGATCGAGGGATCTGGACGCCCACGTCGTTCAGCTGGTTTGATGCCTGTGACAGATGACTGGGAGCACAGATTGAGAAGTCGAGAATGAGGCTTGCGCGAGGGTTTGCAGTCTTTCGTTGTCGTGAACGAGAGGATGGTGGAACGCAGCAAAGGCCAGCTGTTGCCGGTCAAGGAATTGGTCACAGAGAAAGTGAGAGGGCGAGCGAAAGAAACTGCGCGAGATGCAAGTGTCTGCAATCAATGCAGATGGATGATGCTCCTTCTCAAGGTTGATTAGGATTGATCTGTGTAAAGAACACTCCTCGTCTCCGTAACTTACCTTGCAACCCTTTCCTCGAAATGCGGCCTGGACCTTTTTTCGCGCGGAGTGTAGACGCGAGCGCAAGCGGAGGAGAGTTTCCAACTAAGCTGGCTAGAGTGGTGCTAGGCGGCCCTGTCAGCAAGACAATTGGTATGTCAGTTGTTAAGTAGGCACCCTAAACAAACTTAACCTTCTCCGGCCCGCAGCCTGAATTAAGAACAAACGAATCCCCAGACCCGCGTAAGAGGCTTTAGCCATTGTTTTGGCTGGCTTCCGCTTCCAACGTGGTCATCGATCGATAACTTTACCAGCCACGCCAAACATGGGTACGTATTCATCACCTTGCATCCATTTCTGCATATGCATGAATGACCTGTTGCTTTCTCTGTCTGCCTCTTTTTTTTCCGCTTGTACATAATGCTTCCTTTACATAGCTTCATACCGAATCCTTTTCTCCAATAGCTGTATTGCATCTGTTTGGCCCGCGCATTGCAGGACACACCTTTGCATTACTTTGACTCGTTCTTCCGAGCACCTATCCAGCCACGCAGTCCTTTCTCCGTTCCCTAGCCGCTTCGACATACTCCTCGATGGCCACTATTACAAGTTATTGTGCAAATTCCAAGTGACTGGAAATCTCCCGCGCAAAAGCCGGTAGCGGCTTGTTCTGCCGCCGGGATGGCTACCTCTATGAATCCGGTCGATCTGTACCATGACCCCGCGCTCGATGGCCTGATCTATCAAAACAAGACCCGGGCGAAGAATAACGGTGCGAGCCGTCGAAGTAGTGTTGGACACAATGGGCGACCAGGATCCGAAGTATTCGAGGCAGAAGATCTGCCACCACCTGCGCCGGAGGTTCCTCGAGGGCCGCCAATCTCTTATCGGGGAGCCCATGCTCAAGGCAATGGCAACATGCAGAGATCATTCTCACAAAGAGCTAGGGGCAGACCATATCATAGAGAAGCATTTGCGGACATGGAGGACGATGACCCGGAGGAGCCCACCAACGAGAAGCGGCGCGCGATAGCAGATACCGATCAGCCCCGGAGGATTTCACCACCAAAGCCTCGTCAGCCAAGCCCTGCAGATATTGAGGACGACTCTATGGAAGACTTCCCAATTCCGAAGTCGCGCACAGTATCGGGAGCTGACCAGAAGACAATCTCACCACCAAAACCTCGCAAGCCAGTTCCCACGGATGGTCTGCGCATTAACACCACTGATCTGAGTGGCGCAAAGCCCGCAACACTGCCACGAAGAGATGTTCAGTCAGCTCGCGAACCGGGCGCAGGTCATGCCAGAGTCGAATCCAACACTCGCCGCGTGTCCGAGACGCCTCGACGGACCGAGGAGCCAGTTTCAGCTGTGAGCAGATCCAGTGCATTCCGCGAGGATGCGCAACACCGAGACTGGGCTCCTGATAGATCTCCTCTGCAAAAGTTGGAGGTCACGCTAAATGACATCAGCAAAGAGGAGAAGCGCGCGAGGGTACAGGAAGCCGAGATGCTATTGAGGGAACGCAATGCGGCCAGGACCGCGTCCGGTAAGGTTGAGTCACCTCAAACGGCACAATCTAGTCGAAAGACTACGTCCTCGATGAAAAGGCCGGCAGCCGATGCTGAGCGAACGATCGAACAGGAGGTGCCCATTTTGGAAGATTCAGGCCTGGTTCGAAACCTTAGTACAACTCACCGACAACGTCTGCAGCATAGCACCACTGTGGACAATCACCGCCCTGATGTACGTGCTCTGTCCGGTGAAGGCGCGCAAGGGTTTGAATACACAAGATCTGCTCCGCAGCAAGCTGAGATTACAAGCCAGCCTCGCCGCACAAGTTCGAAGTATCGGCGAGACGATCTTGGAATCGATGATTTCGCAGGCTATGCACGCAGGAAATCCGCCAGCAAGAATGTGGATCCGGGAGTTTTGCGACCCAGACAATATCCTGAACCTGTATCTAGGAATGGGGAGCTGCCGCCACCCGATGCCTTATCGAGCCAACGCCCAGCTCAAGTCTCTGGGGCGCAGCCCAGACGTGATCCTCCTCGACGAGCATTGGCGGAACGGCAGAATGCATCTCATAAAGCTGCATTGGAGCAGCTCACAGGCGCCCCTGCATCTGATGACTTGATGAGAGCAGATTCTCGCAAGCTTCAGAAGGCTCCTCCACCGCCTGCCGAATCACGTGCTGTTACAAATCCAAGCCGGATACCCATACCGAGTGCACCAGCTCCCACTCGTGCTGAAAGAACTGACAACACCGACCAGAATCCCAGCCGCCGTCCTGCAGTTGCGCCTGACAATCAGCGCCCGCTGCATACTCCTCCTGTTCAAAGGGGCTCGACTCTTCAATCCTCACCGAACCCTAGCAGTCCCCGCTCACCTCTTACAAAAGTCGCCGATGTGATAAATCAAAGGCAAAGAAAGTCAAGCGTCTCATTCAAGGAGCCCTTAAACAGGCGTCCGGTAAATGAGTGGAAAGAAGCTGGAACGGCGAGATTGACCAAGGCCGATTACTCTACCGAGAATGCCGCGCAATCGGACAGAGGCAAGGCTTGGTGGGAACAAAATGCCGGTTCTTCTGGCCGACGTCAAAGCAGATCGACGATAACATCCAGTAATTTCGGATCAGGGCCACCCATTGACAACAAGAATGCGACATTTCAGCCCAGACTGTTCTTACGGTGTGGCCCGTTGTTGCGATATACAGGAATGAAGAAGGCTAGGACCGAGAAGGGTGAAGAACGTGCGATTTGGCGGGGAAGCGTGCTCATCGTAACCCAAGATTCACATTCATCCTACGAAACTCCACCAACCTTGCGGTTGTTTTCTCAGCCCAAAAAGCTGCGCCCTCCGCCGCCACATGAGATTGCAGGGGACGAGCTTAGCCCCGAATATGTTGACCCTATTGCCGGTTTGGCCAAGCTTTCAAGGACTGGGAAGGCGTTGTACGTGCGCCCGATTGACCACATTGAAGAAGGCAGAGATCTTTCCCAGATCGAGAATGATGATGGACTCTTCGAGAGCTCACCCAGTCCGACAGATCTGAACGGTTCACAAAGCGCGAAGAACAAGGCTGTCGATCGTGATGGTGAGCAACTGGGACGTTATGCGGAAGTGGCAGGAGCAAGACTCTATGCGGATCCCGATCGTGACGTGACCTTCTGGCGTTTCAACCTCGAAATCGAATTGGCGGAAGAGGAGGAACATATCGCATACCGAATCAACCGGGGCGCCTCCATGGGCTTCTGGGTGCCAGGTCGTGGACAGACTATGAACATGATGTTTCACAGCTGCAATGGCTTCAGCTTATCAGCGAATCCACATAGCTTCTGCGGCCCTGACCCTATGTGGAGAGATGTGCTGAACACCCACCAAACCCGCCCCTTCCATGTCATGATTGGTGGCGGCGATCAAATCTACAACGACCGTGTCATGCTTGAAACGCAGCACTTCGGAGAATGGAGCAGGATGCGCAACCCACAACACAAACACCACGCTCCTTTCACCAACGAGATGAAGGAGGAGCTCGAAACCTTCTATCTCAATAGATATACCATGTGGTTCTCCCAGGGATTGTTTTCAATGGCTGCTAGCCAGATTCCAATGGTCAATATCTGGGATGACCATGATATCATCGACGGCTTTGGATCATATCCTCACCATTTCATGGAAACTCCAGTGTTTTCAGGTCTCGGGAACGTCGCTTTCAAGTATTACATGCTCTTTCAACACCAGAGTGTTCCGGAAGAGACCAGTACTGATGAGCCCAGCTGGCTGCTAGGCAGAGAACCCGGTCCGTACATCAAGCAACGCAGCAGAAGTGTGTTTGTGCACATGGGCAAGCATGTCGCATTCCTCGGTCTAGACTGCCGCACAGAACGAATGCACGGAGAAGTCCTTAGTGTTGACACTGTCGAAATTGTCCTCGAGCGATGCCGCAAAGAGTTGAATGAAGGTGAAACAAAACACCTGATTGTTCTTCTAGGCATTCCGCTTGCCTACCCACGCTTAGTCTGGCTGGAAAACGTGTTGACTAGTCGTCTCATGGATCCTGTCAAGGCTATGGGCAGAATCGGATTGTTAGGCAGCGGGTTTAACAATAAGTTTGACGGCGGCGTCGAAATTCTGGATGACCTAGATGACCACTGGACTTCAAGAAATCACAAACACGAGCGCAATGATTTGGTCAAAGACTTACAAGATCTAGCTGCTGAGAAATCATGTCGTATCACAGTACTGAGTGGAGATGTCAATCTTGCTGCCATCGGCCAGTTTCACTCGAATCCCAAGCTGAAAATACCAAAGGACAAAGATCACCGCTACATGCCGAACATCATATCTTCTGCAATTGTCAACACTCCACCCTCGGATATGTTGGCCGATGTTTTGAATAGACGCAACAAGACTCATCATCTGGATATGTACACGGATGAGGATATGATACCCATGTTCACGCACGACGTCAATAACAAGACACGAAACAACAAGCACTTGCTCCCGAGACGTAACTGGTGTTCTCTCCGGGAGTATACACCTGGATCCACTCCCACATCTTCACCTACGGAAAGCCCTGCAATGTCTGAAGCTGAAGACGATGACGAGGAGCAACAAACTCCACCACCCCGGCCCCGTCGATTCTCTTTCACCAAAGACGATGTCAATCCTCGCAAGCTCTTTCGAAGGCTGAGTTCACGTGGTGCACCTCCAACCTCCTATCGTGACACTATGTACGATCAAGGACGTCCTGCATCCCACGACGGCACAAGTGAGGACACGGGACGTGTTTTCCCATTGAGAAGGAACAAATCTGGATATGGAAGACCTTCTAGTGATTCTGAGGTCGGACCCGGTCGACGCGCTTCTTCATATGACCACAATTCGTCAGGGGTGCCGATTCGGCCTAATACTTTCAAGCGTCGGCCAACAAATTTCTCCGAAAAGGCTGCGAAGAAAGGCAATATCCCTGCCATTGACGCCGAAGGCAATGAGATTGACGTGAACGACCACATCAACCTAGAAGGAGGACTGGACGTTGTCCTTAACGTCGAAGTCAATCAGAGAGATCCGGCTGGAATCACGATCCCTTACCGGCTGCTCATTCCTGCCCTCTTCTATGATGGTAGCTCTGACCGCGAAAAGCTCCAAGAGCCAGCGGGCGTGCAAAGAAAGCCAACCCTCCTCGGCCGATTTAGCATCGGCGGTAGGCCGAGCCATAAAGCTGCACAAAGTCCTCAGGGCAATTGGGGCCAGGAGCAAAGCGACGACGAGAGTTACAGCGAAGGTGAAGCATATCCAACAAAAGCACCTACACCACGACGACGTTTCAGTCTCTTTGGCAGTCGGAAGAAGAAGAAGGAAGAGTACCTTAGCGACGAGGAGTCAGACCACGACGTCCAGCCTCGCTCAGCTGGTCCGGTGCTGCAAGCGCAGCCACAAACTTGGCAACAGCAGCAGCAGCGACAAGAACAACAACAGGAGCAGCAGCAGCAACAGCGACCACAACAACAGCAACAACAGACACCACCGCAGGCCTATCGCCCGCCGCCGCAGCAAGCAGCTCAAACCAGCCATGATGCTTTATACGACACTGAGCGTCGCCCACCAGCAAATCACAGTCTAGAACCAGCGAAGCACCCAAGCACCCGCCGCTCTCTGACCATATCGTCATCTAATCCTCGACCCGCCTCGTCGGTCGCGCCCAGGGTCGCCAGCGACTCTTATTCTACTCAGAACACGCCTTCACCAAACCAGAGGCCTGGGTATGCGTTGTTTCCGGACACAAGCGGACCAGGCAATAATCCACCACGCCGCCGTCTCAGCAAACAGGAGCGCGTTCTTGGAATCTCTTCGAACGACCCACAGCCGCTGTCGCAGCCGGAGTCGCACAAGTTGAGAGGCAACGGCATCATTGGCAAGGATTACTCTCCCAATGACAAGCAACAACAACAACAACAACAGTATCAGTATGGCAATGACGAAAATCAAGAATACTCGGGGGCTGAAGCCTACAAGGCCTCAAAGCCGAGGCGGACATCCAGCCTTAAGAAGGCGAAGGATTGGTTGGATGGTCGTGGCAGGGATGACGTCGATTGATCTATTACTCGTATGCGTCGATGAACAGCAGATTGCTTTCTGGATACTTCTTTTTTAGGGCAAAATCTTCATACGTAGAGCTCAGTTGGCTATGGAGCATTGTATCTTCCAAGTTCTCCTCATCTTGGCTGGAAGGACCTCAAGCGGGCTAAGACCCTGGAATCGGGACATACCTAGGTACTTAGTGTACAGTGAGCGTAGCCTGCGAGCCTGTTTCGAAAAAGGGCACATTTTGACCGCTGTAGCTGGTCAGGTTCAAGTAGATACCATTCTTATTGTCATCCCGGAGTCCTTTAGACACAACGATATAGCGTTTTGCCTTGGCAGGTGTAAGGCCATCAGCTCTATCGTACAGCGCTCATATCTTGCCGTCAAGAAATCCGCTGTTGTGAACCAGCTTGACCTCGAACTTGTGTCTTTGATATGCGCCCTGTCAGACGGTGCCACTTTTTCTGCAAACAGGCTCGATACTTAATGTACAGTGAGCGTAGCCTATTCACACAAATACTGTTGCTTTTTCGGCCTCGGCCATCTTTCTCGCCCACTTCTTCTTGACCGTATCAAGCCAGTCAACCCAAGGTTTCTCCTTGTCGCCGATTCGGATCTGAGATCTGTTAGAAAGATGCATCACAACACTTTGGGATGGAGAACGACTCACGATCCCTTTCTTGACTCCTCGCCAGTCGTCGATCGGAGTCTCGATAAAGTTGTGTTCGCCCCAGCAGCACTTGTACCAAAATCCGTCACTTTCCCCCATCCAGTATTGCCTCTGCGCTGCGTGGCAATCCGCGCAGAAGAATGAATCGACACAATCAAGGCACATGTACAACTTCTGACCCCGTTCCCATTTATCAATGCGGGCTGTGTCGCAGGGCCCCACGCACCCTATGCCGCCCGAATCGAAAAGATCTTCTTCCACTTCTTTAGTGTCGGGCTCGCTTCGTGTACGTGAAGGCTCTCGTGAAGGTTTCCGTGAAGACTTCCGTGAACGCATCCGCGAAGATGCCGGTGAAGTGGACCGTAAGGAGATCGGCGAAGCGGGCAATGGGACCGATGAAGGCAGCGGTACAGGTCTCTCGTTGAGAATCTCTGGAGGCTTTTCGTCGTCTTTCGCAGCCGGCTCTGGCGTGGTGGCGGTCGTCAAAGCGTTGCCATTCGTGGAAGTGGTACTTTCAGCGTGTGACGACGAGCTTCCCTGTGCATCGTGAGTTTCTGTCAGCGTGTGCTTCTCGGGACCGTGTACGTCCGCTGCTATCCCTGGCGAGGCGTCTGGGTCGTCGGCTGGTTGGGACCTCGTAATCTCAAGCGAAGTCGCTACCTCCGCATCAGGTGACTGCTTCGCCCCGGGCCCTTGGATCGTTTGCTCGACTTTCTCTGCCAGCAAGTTCCCTTTTTCTTTGCTGTCGTTCTCGTCCGCAATACTACGCCCGTCATGGTTATCAAGACCTTCACTGTCAGCATCTGACTCGGTATCCGACGATTCAACATCCTCCGCGGAGCCAGCGTCTGATTCCGTTACATTACCGTCGTCGCTAATTGAAACACTGTATCGTCGTTCAGAATCATCGTAGATTCTTATCTCCGAGAAACGAAGGGATAGTGCTATTTGTGCATCGTCTTCAATGCCAGCAAAACTCAAAACTATGCCGAGGACGTCGAAAGCCATAGCATCATTTGATCCGATGGTGTCTTCGAGATCTGCAATGCAGAATTTGAACGCTTGGTTGGCTTCATACATAGCCCGAGCCCACCCGTACCTTTGTTTTTGCATTTTTGCCAGAGTGACATACGCCCTTGCCAACGCAATAGGTTCGATTATGGCAGTCTCCCTAAATTCTCTGATGAGTTGAGTCAGAGTGTCGATGATTCCAACTATTGTATCGATGGAAGTGCTCATGCAGCAGCAGTACTTCTCAAAGAGTATGTCTGTCTTGAAAGGGAAAACCGATCGGATAATGCCGCCCCTGGATAGATTGATATCGACCTTGACCATATCAATAATACTGTCCAAGAGGATCTCGGCCATCCTTGTGGTACGAGTGTCTTGCCGCAGAATGAGCGAGAGGTCGTATTGCAAGTCAAGCGCTCGAATCGGATCAAGGGATTGCCAGTACTCAACAGCTCCCTCATAGAGTTGAGCAAGGATATCCATTCGACGAGAGTGTACGGCAGCCTGCCGCAGGTGATCACCCTTTTGTGTTAGTCTGTCCGGACGTTCGTATAGCCATTCATATCTGACTCGACTTTCTTGACGGCGAACCTCATAGAGGATTTTGGCGTATTGTTTCTCATCAAAATGGATATCTGTGATCATCGTCAGGAAGTCGAGTAACACCTGGCTGTACTGTATCTGGCCACGCCTGAATGCTTCAAAGACATCTTGGCACGTTTTCAAGGCGTTGATATCGTCTTTTAGCTTTCGGGATGCTTTCGCCTTGAGCAGACATGCGGCAAGGTAGCGTTCATTGTTGAGCTCAGAGCCGAGGGCACCTTTTTCGTCTTCCCATTGATTTAGTGCCTGCGTCGTATATTTCTGCACCTTTGCCCATAGCTCTTCGGACCCGTCCTTATTCTCAGCCTCATCCGCTTTTACAGCATGATACTCTGCAAGCCCAAGCAAGGCATAGAACCGCTCAGGTCTTAGCAGTCTTCCCTTCTTCAAGTTCGTCCTGTACAATCGAGCAGCCTTGTCTTGGTCCTCGGAGCTGAATGAATCATTCAACAGCAACGCTGCCGCATTGCGAGCCTGAACAAACCACAGGTGATTAGATGGATGTTGTTTTCGTCCGTATTTCAGCATCGTGCTTGCTATGCTGTCGTTTATGTATAAATCATAGTGGTGACGTCGCATCGGACCCAAGGGCTGCTCGACCGATCCGATAAACAGCCTAGTGGTGAACAGAGCACGAAAAGCCAGCCTATAAGGGACTCTGGCGTCCTTCCAGGTGACCTGTCTTGCCATGTTGTCAAGGTGCCCACGTCCCAGGGTCTCGAGCATGTTTTGAGGTGCCTTGATAGTTGCTGCAACCCAATCACGCGCAGAGACTGTAAGCTCTTCGTCATCGTGAAAGCTCATCTTCTTGGCCCAAGCAAGCAACAAGGCAGCGGGTTGCCCACTGAACATGTCCGAGGCGTCGAAAGGTTCGTACAAGTCGAAGTACACATAATCGTAATAGCCTTGCCGTTCCATCACTGACTCGAAAACGATACACGCGTCGTTCTTGTTGGTCATAATCCGTGAGATGGCTTCGACGACCTTTGCACCTTGTTCTGGATTGGAACTTTTGATATCTATGTCTGCCAAATGCTGTATCACATTTGCTGCAGCATACTCCTGGACTTTATGGGAGATTGGAGACAGATCTTCGGCATTGGCGTTGCAAAGGACGTCGCAGAGGACCTGGAAAATGCCAATCTTCTCTTGAAGAGCATCTTCGATCATGCCGTTGTCACCTCTTTCCAGGTATTCTCTTACTGCAGGCTGCCGAAAAGAGATGAGATCAGCGGTCACCTTGGGGGCGGGTATACTGTCAGGTCCATCCTGATCCTCTGATGTTGTCTTGCTGAATAGCAAACTGTGGCACAGTGTCAACAATCAACTTGCTTCATCCATTGAACTGTCGAGCGGACGCCAACGCATACCGCGACTATTACGTACCTTGAAGACTTGCCTTGAAGAATCTCCTTGCCTACGTCGAAATTGGCCAAGGAGGCATCAAGAGCCGTGAGGTGAGAAAGCTGCTGGACACTGAGGGGTTCTTTGGCAAAAGTACACCACGAGTATATTCTTTCAACACTTCTCCGATCGTCGTCACTTCTCTGTTCCTTGACAATCTTTATCATGGTTTCATACAGCCACACAGGTGACCCCAGGTATTCCATATACTGCAGGGTCTTCGTCTGGTCGGCTTCACTTTGCTCAACGAGCGTCAAGAGGAGATCGATCGACGACATGATACCTATCCAGCCATGTCAGTACGATGCTACCTATTCGAAAGGTGTTGACACTCACTGTCTTTCCCTTGTTTGAACCTGTCTTTAATCTTTGCATGCAACTCGGATCCTAGGCTCTTCAAGTGGTCGGAGCGTGCGATTCGATGATCAATCACCTTAGAGATGTCGTCCGCCTGTCTTGTCTTCTCATCCAGATCAATGATGGACAATGATTTTAGAACAATCTTGTCGCGCGTCCCGGGAGGCCCGGTCATCAGGACGCGTATAGAATGCTTGTCACTACCCAAAGCTTTGAATGGTTCCAGCATCCTCTCAAAAGCGCTTTCCCTCATCTGGTCAATGCCGTCGAGGAGAACGTAGAGTGCCCTCGGCGACTCTGAAGACCGTTCAAACTTCTTCAGGATCAGGCTTTGCCACAAAAACGTGGCTATGCCTTCCTCGTCGTTTGCTGGGCACTTTTTCAGTTCTTGTGCCATAGAATCACCCAGCCTGGGATCTTGCTCAGCGATCTGCAGAACAAGTGAGGCGAGTACATTCTTGAAAGACTGGGCGTCCTCATGACGACTGGAAGTAAAATCTTCTTTGCCTGGTTCGAAGAGAAAGCAAGTAACGCACGAGGCTTGTCGTGGTCGATCAGGTTCCATCATTCCAGTAATAGCGATGGACTTGGATAGTTCCTGGAGGAAGCGGTAGCACTTATTCGCAAAATAAGTTTTACCCGCTCCCGAAGAGCCGGAGACGAAGATGAATGGAGATGACCCCTTGGACCACGCCGTAAAGCCTGTGTCTTCGTTGACCCAGGAAAAGGTGCCTGGGACAAACCGCTCTTCAATGACTGTCATTTGCTTCTCCATGTTTGATCGAGCTTCCACATTCACGTTACGCTTTTTGAAATCCTCCGTGATGACCTTCACCGATGACGACTTCTTTTGGAATTCGAAATCTGACGGTTTGAGCTTGGCCGTTCGGATCGCCGCCACCAGGCTATACGGCAACTCGTCAAATCTCTTTGGCAAGTCGCCGAGTCTTTCATTCGAGTCGAGAGCGATGTCAAGGGCTTTGATCTGGGCGGTGTCCCTAAATAACAAGATAGCTTTCTGGACACTGTCACACTTTTGGTTGACCTTGTCATTGCGTCCCTTCATCAAAGCCCGAACAAACATTCTTTTTCGACTGTACTCTCTGAAGACCTTAGTAGTGTAGCCACAGAAATCGAACATGGCGAGGAATATCTCCATCAGGCGGCTGGTGAAGTGATCATCCTTGAATGAGTGGGCCGCAAGGATATCAATATCTCGAACAGCATTATGAATGCTTTCAAACGTTTGCTCGATTAGATCGAAGTCTGCTGTCATGTTTTTCGCTGCCTTGATCATGTACGAGACTGTTCCAGCAACGATCTTTGCAGGTGTTCCGTACCCGTCGGGGACCGCATCTGCAATCAAGCCAACGGCCTTGTCCAACCAGTCGAGGCATCCACCGACCGCTATGACGATCTTGTCGGCTTGGTCTTTTGGGTGCCGGGCTCTCTTAAACAGTTCGGCGGCTTTCGCAACGCCAGTACTTGCTTCTGCGACATCGCCGGCCTGCTCCAATTGCTCAAGGTTGACATTATTTTCCCGGATGAAGTTATCGATAGCATTTGCCCAGAGTTTGCCCAGCGTTGTCTTCGCTGGGCTTTCCTTGACGTGGACACCAGGCTTTCCTTCAGCCTTTGTTTTGGTGATTACCGCCATGTCCTACTGGGCTGCAGTAAAGCATCGAGGAGGACCGAAAAAGGAAGGTCGGCCACTGGCATCTTTCGTTCCTCAAGTGGTTTGTGGAGGGAGATATATCCCTGGCTGACGCTGACCGAGAGGCGCACATCATGTTCCACGCAGTGTAGCCGCTATCCAGTTGCAGCTGGGGTGAAACTGGACCTTGGGTTGATTGGAGCCGCGTCACCATTTTCCTAGCATAGAAATAGCTTGGTTAGACCCATCCAGCCCAGGGCTAGCATTTGGACTGCAGATTGGGGGCCAAAGGCAGTGTGCTACTGTAAGCCTCACTAGCCTTGAACGTAGAATAGCTTCTTGAAAGTTTCATGGGGCCAGGACGTTTCGTGTAAGTGTAACCTCGACCCATGCTAGGAAGCTGTGCATGGATCTTCTGGACAGACGCCTTGAAGCGCCAGCTAGCAAGGACTTCCATGTCGCGGGGATGGATGTCAGTCGAACAATGGATCATTGGACTGGTGGTTTGAGTTATCATAGGATATCTGAAGTCTAGAGATTGGGGAAAGACGTTAAGATACTGTTTAGTCGCGCTTGCAGTAACTTCGGGGCGTCCCTCTGCGCCGCCTTCCGCCAAGCTACTTAGTTTAGGCAGGAAGCACCCATATCTTAAACACACCAGCACCTATTCACGGGGGCTGGTCCGCTCATCAGGCCTTCCATCAGATTGACGTTATGCAGATATTTGACAGCCATTTCTAACTTAGTAGTTCATCTACACCAACGCTGAGAGTTTGTCGTTTGTCAGCCTTCACACCCACTCACAATGAGTTGCCTATCAAGTTGAGAAGGCTTCCTCGACATGAGTATTGCATCATGGCCAGTGGTATGTCACCAGCATTCCACGTTGTCACATTGCATCATCCCATCACTCCGCAACCTTCAACGTTGAGCCTCTTCTCGTTGCTTGTCTCCTCACACTCATCCTTGACCACTTCTTCTTTCACTCTCTTCTTTGCGCCCGGTGCCTTTGCTCCCCAGAACTGCTCACTCGCACTTGACAACTCGGAATTTTTCTCCATCATTTTGAGCTGGTTGATCCTCGCCCTCAAAACCTCAACCACAGTTTCGCGATCCCAAACCCGGAGACACTCTGGACACTTGTTCTTGCCTTTTCCTATTTGCGCACACTGGCAAGCGATATGCATAGGCTTCTTGCAGTGCGGACAAAGCACAGGACTGTGAGCTCTGGCACCCTCGATTTCGCACTCCGGAGCGCCGCCCATGTTGCCTGTGCAGATGATGCATGGACTATCTTCTGACACGACGACCACCTGCCTCAGTTTGATTTCATGCTTCTTTGCCATGCCAGAGCCAGCCTGCGTACCCGCCAGGAGACTAGATACCATTTCATGGACGTCCAAGGATCTGTGTGCTTCCTCCAAAGGAGCTTGCGTTACCGCTTGCTTGAAACGGAGTCGAGCTTCCGTGCGTTGGAGTTGCATGACCGCCGCACGCAGGGCTGATTTGCCCACAGCTTGAGCTTCGATGGTCTCAAGACGTGCTTCAACGGCTCCTATGAGTTCTTTTGCCACCGCATATCGAGCTCCTACTGTCGCAATGGTGGAAACTGAGAATGTCTGCCTAAGATCGAAACGGTTGTGTATGAGAGCATGATCGACGTTGTCCAGGACTTTGCCGTGGGCTTTCTTTTGCTTGTCAGTCAATGTTGGATGGCACTCGATAATCTTTTCCAGCTTGTCCTTGTAATCCCTCAATAAAGCGGTAAGTCTGAGAAGATCCTTTGTTGCTCGCTCGGCTTGCCACTCAATGGTATCGGCAACGGTGGTTTCAGTGGAAGCCGATGACAGCGAAGCGTTCCGGGACTTTGGTTCAGCGTTCGTTTCGTTCACACCGGGTACTTGCGACATTGCTCGTTGGTGGGTGGTTTGCTGAGCAATGTTGATCATCAGAAGTACTAACGGGGGAAACACCCCAAGAGCAGCCATGAGAAGTCATACCTTCCGAGCAGTCCACACTGCCTCATTGCTCAACTTTGCTCAAAAGGCATGGGGTACTACTACGCTCCACTGCTTCCGTGAGACAGTGCTGCAATCGACGAGAGAACATCCGACTATTCAACGTCAGGAGCCAGTGCATGGTCAGGCAGTCAAGAAAGGTCTTGTCAACACGTTTGCACAGCCCTTGACTCTATTCAATTGCCATAGAAGTGAGGCAGTCTCTTCGGGACCCTCTTGTGCACTGCATAGTAAAGATACGTAACAGCTAAACTCAACGCAAATTCCACATACCCCGCGAGACACTTCAAGCTCTCGAGATGATATTCAGTATATGTTTGCTATGCCGAGGACTTCCTAAGGTAGTCTCTCCATTTATTTGTTCCAGCATCCCCTTCCCACAAGGCTGAACCCGCCAGGGGCCGCCTATCGACCCGTGCCGCCGTCCACCCTTCCCACCAATCAAACACCTAAGCTTAGGTGCTCACCCCCAGAGCCTCACACGCGCGTGTCCAATAAGCCTCCCTCTCTCCATTCACCGTCGTAACCACACACTCACTTACAAAAGCCTGCCACCCTGTCAACCCTTCATGCCTAACACTTTCCTTCACCCCCTCCCCACACTGTGTACTGTAATACCACGCCGCACTGGCAAACGAATATTCATCTGGTTGCACCAGCGCCAGTATTCTCCCAACATCTCCTCCCGCGGCATCCACCTGCGTGCTCAACGTGTCAATACTCGATGCGTACTCGAGAACATAATTCGGCATCATCATATTTCGTGTCCCCTGGCCTGGACGACCCGGTGCGGGATAGTGGTCGGTGTTATATTTCCATGCACCACTCTCGTATGCCATCCAAGATAGCAGCGCTGCTTGTTCCGGCGCCGTGGTGACGTTATATTTCGCGAAACTAATGACAATTGCTTCAGCGATAGCTTCGGATGAGGCGACGCATTCTGCGGGAAACTCAGCGCCCGAGCAACTGGCTGATGTGGGTGCTATGTAGAGAAGGTCAGAGACTGCGTCGCCACGGCGGTCGTGCTTGTGTTGGAGACTGGTGGGTCTATGCAAGTAGTTGTGGCTGTCAGTATGAGTGTAACTGTGCGGCAGAGTCAGGGCTATGGCCACGCTTGCCCACAAGACGAGGCTGATGGATGGTAACATCTTGTATGATCTGTGTTTCTGCTTGTTCGTAGCTTCGTATCGGATCTGATATTCTGTATTGGGTGGAAACTTTCGTCGACTCGTCAAGGATTTTCTTTGTTTAGATGCACATAAAATGGTACGTGCAGCACTAAAGATCTGTAGAAGAAGCAGGAACTTTGTACTGACTGCCTAGAACAAACGGAAGTACTAGAGACAAAGAGGGAGTTACCAAGGACAAAGCGTGAGGGAACGAAACAAAGCGCTGAATGACACGACCATAATCACAAAGAGCCTCAACGTGCGATAGATGAGATCCGCAGTCAGAAACGACACTCGAGACACAGTGATACACATTGTTGTTGTCGATCTGGGAGGAGAGCATCGGTGAGGTCAAATCGTTCAATTTTCCTTTTAGCAACTCAAAACTATGAAATGGGTATCATTATATCCCGATACCATGGTAGACAATGGTATCTCATTACGTCCAGACGCTCCTTCACTCCAGTCTCCAAGTGCATATCCATCTCCATTTTGTCCCTCCATTCTCATGATGTTGAAAACACAAGGTCAGTAAGTACACATGACTCCTCAAAAGCAATGACCCAGGTATACGCGATGGAAATATAGAGATGTCCATAGGCCGGTCAGTGTGTCGTTCAATCGTCCTCGGCCTCAGCATCAGCATCGATGTCTTCGTCAGAGTCTTCGTCCTCTTCACTTTTGACATTGCGCCCAGCGTCGACATCGCTGTCGTTCTCAAGTTTTTGAAGAGGCACGGCGGCATGCCTGACCTCAATACTCTCCTCGTCATCCGAGTCCTGCTCCTCCTTCTTCACGGCGTTGGCAACCCTTCCGCTCCTCCTCCTTCCAGTCGGCGTCCTCTCCCTGGGCCTTTCGGGTGGCAAGCTGGTAAGCACGTACTCGCCCTTCCTCCTCCCAGCTCTCACGACATCATGGGCCAAAGCCCACTGCCGCAACCCCTCGTCCACGGTCTCACGGTCAGCCGTGAACCCTTCCCGTTCAAAGTGCCGGCCAACATGTTCCATACGCTGGTCCCATGCACTCACCGAGCCAGTGTCTGCCCCATCGACGAACTCCTTTCGACAGAACCCGCACTGACTCCTGGCTGGGGCTTCCCTGCTATCTACCCAACATCGCGCCCTTATATTGTCCAACTGTTTCTCAAAGGATTCCTTTTCTTTCTTGGTCACGTCCTTCTCATTCTTCCTCTGGTCCACCCAAGGCGCGTGCATCCGTCGGCAATGCTGTGTGAATAGGTCTTTGCGGTTGAAGTCATTGCAACCCCGTTGTTGACCGCGCACATCGTCCTGCGAGCACGATCCCATGTCACAGCGGAAGAATCCGAGCTGAAGATGCTGCGACGCCACATGGCGCTTCCACTCATTTTTGCTGGCAAACGTGGCGATGCAGCCATAGTGATGGAACGTGCAAGGGAACATCTTGGAGCCTTGCTCCTTTTTCTTGTTTGTCGCGACTCTTTTGGACTTTGACCGCGAGCTCGACACTACACCGGTGTGGTTGTGCGAAGCCGACGATGATTTATGCACTCGTGAGTTGGGATCGATGATGCCTTTGGGGGCCTGCTGGCGCGGTGCGCGGAGCGAGTGCCGTGAGACTGCAGGGTTTCGCCGGCCTGGTCCTCCCGCAGGACAGAAGTCAGAGTCACTGTCGCTCTGCATGACGGCGGAGATCTCTTCAGCCTCTTGAAGGGTATCGTAGTCATGGTCGAGTGCCGACTCAGGTGGGCTTGCCAGTTGTTCGGATATCTCCAGCTCCTCCGGGAGGTGGATCTTGGCATGGAGAGCGTCTGCCGAGTCATCGACAAAGTCTTCGTCAGATTCGGGATCTGGAGTCATCTGGAAATCCCGCATGCTCAATGCGGCGTGTCTGGTTGGCGTCGTCGCAATAGGAGCCTGCATGACTGTAGACTGTGTGGTCCAGGGGTGGTGTGAGACGATCGGCAAGCTCATGTACGCGGCCGAGGATGGCGGACTGTTTTGAACAAAGTAAAAGTCTTGGGCGCTTCTGGTGATATCTGGGCTAAGGGCGTATTCACTGACAGAGGATGTAGTACTTGGCAAGCTGAATGCCGAGGGATCACTTGGCGACAGATATCGAAGCTGTCGATATTGTGTAACATCTCGATCCCAAGGATCCAATGCTTCGAGTTGACATGGCACGCTTCGTCCATCGTACCGGCTATCATGGCCGAAGCCATGGTCAGTAGGGTCGTACGCAGAGAAGCAATGTTGGGTATGGATGTTTTGGCGAGCATGGAGGTTTGAGTAGGGAAACTCATGCTGAAGAGATGGCAGCAAAGGGTTGATGCAAGACAAGTCGCTCTGATCCTCCCAGTGTGGAGGACCTTGGTCGTATGGGTAGCTGCCAGGGAAGTATTCGACACCTTCACTTCCGAGCAGGTCCAGGTTGAGCGGATGCGGATGCATAATGCTCATATTCAGAGTGAGCAGCGCAGCAATCAAAGGGAACACAAGCAGCACCAGACGTTGCTGCTGTGGAGGAATGTGATCATGGAGGACTCAGCTTCCGCCAAGGTGGGAAAGTTTGCAGCTTGTATAGAATTACAAGTGGAACTTGGGGGCATGTCTATTAGACAAGCGTTGGTGGGTCAGGCTGGACAAACAGCAAATCAACACAATAAAACAAAAAACACATCTTCAAGCGATAACAAAAGGGAGCCAGAATCGTTAGTATCAAGAAGATAGAGAAATCCTGGTAAGGATAGTCATCGACATGCCTCGATGCATCCAGTGGCTGCCCATCGGGGCCAGGTAGGAGACAGGCTCTCACAGCAGGTGAATGCGCGCAGAGCCGCATGCTATCCAGAACGGGTCTAAGCAAGAGCTGTACCCTGGTCAAGATTAGCCTGTCACGCTGGAGCGAACAGAACCGGGGGTGGATGGGATGCCTTGCCAGACCACCGTGTACCACCAGCCAGTGTTCGAGGTGTGAGTGGGTGGGTTGATAAAGGCCAGTGACCAGAATGCCGGTTCAAGCGAAGGATATTCTGATTGGCAGAACAGAACCGGTCTGTAGCGCCAACCGAAGGCGGCGAGACATTTTCCACTCCTCAAAATGGTTGCCCTTCAGGACTACTCAGCCCAGTGCCCTCGATGCGCTATGCAAAACGCCCGAATCCACGCCTGTTATTATGGTGGCTCATGCCAGAATCAGAAAAGCCCTGCTGGAAATCTGTCTTCGTTATTGGAATGGGCAACAGCCCCAGCCCCTGCATGGTAACAGCAAGGCCACGGTCGAAACATGGAAGCGCTTTCCCGCCGGTGTGGGGTTTGTTGTGCATTGACATGTCTCGTGGTCAAGGTCAATTGAGTTAGTGGCTGAAATGGTCGAAAGACTTCTGCTTCAGGTAGCAGCTTTCGGGATTCAGAGCGAGAATTGCAAGGGTTATTGTCGAATTCGGAGGGGATAGTCAGAAAAAGACCTTCATCAAGCGAGTGCGATGGAGTTAGTGACTTAGTTGGGACCTAGCTGGGTCGAGATCTCATGAGATTACCGATAAAGGACGGGATAGACTTGTCTGGGTCATATGAACTAACAAAAGACCCAAATATCGTAGTGGAGACGGCCCTAACAGAGGTTAGGAGGAACAAGCGTGCGCAGGAGGGCCGGCTCGAGACCGGGTAACTCGCCATGGTGACGGCCGTAGGGAAGGAGAACACATAGTAATGGTAGGAAGCTTTTGGTGTATCTGTATCCGGCACTAGAGTCAACTCCGATTTCTCGCGAACTAATCGGTTAGCCTGACAAATGAACAGCGAACCCAATGCAGAGCTAAAGGAGACAGCCTCCATGGGCACCAAAAGAATGCTTCGAGGTTACCAGGATGTTGCTGGAAAACATCAGGGGGAAAGGGCAGCATTGGATCAAAAGTGCCGTCTGGAATGTGTCTTGTGCTACCTGGGCTGGTCAGTGGCGTTTTCAGATGGCCGAACACTTTGCACTCCGGGTTACAAAGTGCCATGCACCATGTCATATCTTGTGAAGGTAGAAGTTGACAGCAGGCCTTTAGCGAGAGTGGTTCGAATGCTAGTGCCAATGCGGATGTCGATGCATCAGAAAAGGCAACTTGGAATTTTGGACGGTTCAGCTGGAGTGGCCGATCTTGGTATAGAAAGGCAACCACAAGCTTCAGTGACCGGGGTATGGCGCGGAGAAGGAGATTTTAGTGGCACGGAGTACCTGGAAGGTTGCTTGAAAGGCAGACTTGGGCAGGGATGACGCCGCATCGACTCTAGAAGCGCTGGCACATCTGTCAATTGCGAATGATGGTGCTATCCTACCACACATGTTCTGTTTTGGTGTTGACCATGGTGGTGTTGTTGCAGCTGGCGTAGTGGACCATGTAGATTGATGATTTGCAAAAGGTACTGCTACCTAGGTAGGCTTTCGTGAGAGCCAAGAAAAGGCTGCAGGCAAATGTTTCGAAGAGCGATCGGAATTTCCCAATGACAAGCCATGTCATGGTGTGATAGATGTCGGGAGGAAAAGCCAGTATCGTATGAACCATGCAGTGGAAAGGAGAGATGGAAAAGGAGATGGGAAAAAAGTGGATAGGATTCCTTAGAAGTGAAGGAAGTCTGATGCGCACAGTATCAGACTGTAGCAGCCCCCACACCACACCTAACGTAAAACCCCGTTGTTACCGTCTACAAGTCTTTCCGGACCGAACGGCAGCTGCCAGTGTGCAGTTCCTTAGCCCCTAGGGAGCCCATATGCGGGTCACGGCTGCTTCCATTTCATGCAAGAGTTGGGTGTGTGTGTGTGTGTGTGTGTGTGTGTGTGTGTGTGTGTGTGTGTGTGTGTGTGTGTGTGTGTGGGTGTCGCTGGGGTTGATTTTTGACAACTCATTTGGGTTGCTAGGATCGGCCGTCAAAATGCTCTTGTACTTGTACTTTCGACACTTGTATCGCCTCCACGTAAACTCAATCTTTACGACAAGACAGCACACCGTCTATAAGCATACTACAATGACACAGATAGGCCAGTGAGGCCAAGACGAAAACCCCTTAATGCTAGGTACTGATACAGCAATTCAGTAAACGTCAATTCCCATAGCAATCACGACACACCATGGCATTCATTTCATCAATCCCTGCTCGGGTGCCTTTGACATCCATGCTCGGATCGTGCATAGAAAGTCTTGATTCTTGACCCTGCAGAAAGAGGGGGTAACTCTAGGGGGGGAGCCTTTTAGCGCTTGCTGCCTACGGCTATGCTTGCCATTTCATCCTTCCGCCCATTCTCCTCGTATTCAGCTGCTATTCCTATCTGTCTGCCCCCAGTCAGTTTGCCTTGTCCCTCCCAGCCACCTTCATTCATCATCGTCATCCGCTGAGGCGTTCTGATCGAAGATGGCTCCAGGTGATTCGCGTGTGTAGATTCCTGAGTACACTGACTGGCTCTCTACTTGTTGAAACCTGCAAGTTTATCACCTTAATCCATGCATAGCGCCTGTCTGTCTCGCGTCCGATAATGTCGGCAGCCGTATTCAAATCACGCAAGTGTCGAAAACTCGCTTCTCCTTGCAAGCCACCCTCGCTAGCTTGAGCATTAGCCTGGCCTCGATCTTCTGTTACCCACGTGGCCTCCTTGTACGGAGATATCTTCTTCTCCCAGGCTCCGCTCTCCTGGGACTACCAACCGAACTTTGGCAGCCAAAGCGGACAAACCCTGCTAAGACTGCTCGTCTGGTACAAGGGCCCAGAATTTACGTGACCCAGTACCCATACCCCGAATCAAAAAGGCAAAAGGAAATAGTTTTTCACCACGAATTCAAATTGGGGTCGTCGTATCCTCACTGTCCAAACCACTGGCACCCGGCAGACTTGGCATCCAATGCTTGATACCCGTCTCCCCCAGCACTCTCCCGTGTACCTTGCACCATCTTTTCACAGCACAACCAGCACTCAGCACTCTTCAAGCTCGGCAGGCAACCTCCTTCTGGTTAATATCAGTCGCTAAGAGAGTGACTTGCGGCCTCCTGCATAATGCCACGTCACCATCTTCAAATCTCGCGCACGCGCACTCGCATTCCTTCATCATCGTACCAGTGGTAGTCTTCAGCTCGAGGTCGACTTCCGTGCCTCTCGATGACTGTCAACTCGTCCCCGGGCCGTAAGAGGCTTGACTCTGCGCCCTCGTATTCCCACGTTCGAGACCTTGAGCGCCGATGGTGACGCCTTCCTGATCTAGTTTCGTGGCGTTCATCTCCGTCCAAATCTGGCTTTGCCAAGTAACCCATCGAGGATGAGCGAATCGGTGGTGGGCTGGGTGCATGGTATAACCGACGCTCATGCTCTTCTCGACGATGTCTATCTTGATGTCTTGACTCGTCGAAGTGGGCACGTGGTTGGAAGATATCCTGGTCCCGCACCGCCATGACATGTGTCTGGTGATGACCTACACTCCAGTCCTCATTTTGGCCAGGTGCTTGTGTGGATCGAGATCGGCGCCGTCGGCGATCCTTCGAATGGTGTCTCCTATATTGATCGTTTTCTTCAGCGTGACTGGGAGGATAGTCAGGAGCTTGAAGCTGTGCGGGGTCAGGGCCGACTCCGTGAGACAGGCTCCGGCCTCGCTGAGGAGAATATTGCCGTCCGTGACTTACAGCTGGGGGCCCTTGGAAATATACATGTGGCTCTGCAATGTATGCGTTGGCATGAGGCAGTACGCAGGGAGGTACAACCTGTTCTTGACGACGAGCTCGTGGTATGGGTGTTTGGGCCCGCGATGCTGAGCGCACACTGTCATCATTAGTGATCCAGGCCGACGCAATTGGAGTTGTAGGTATGTTACTTACCGTCTTCGTGTCTCGTACTCATAAACATCACTGTCGGACTCTCCATCTTGGTGACGTTGTCCTTCCCGTCGTTCATCTTCAAAGTGAATCCTCCGTTGCTCCACAGGAGACAGCCGCAATCTGCGGGTGTGTCTCACCACTTCCTCGTGTATTGAACTTGGCTGCCGACTTCTCCTATCTCGATCTTTGTAGTGTCTATCTGAGGAGCTGGGGGACGTAGAGTCGGAGTAATATTGCTCCGTATAACGGGCACGGCCGTTGTCAAGCAACTGAAGCCGTCGACCCGACTGAGTTCGGTGTCGAGAAGCATCTCGCTTCTGGCGGTGCGATGACGCATTCCTAGATCTGTCGTGACGAGCACGATGCTGTCTTCTGGTCGATCGCGAGCTTCCTGAACTGGTCTCCTCTTCGCTGTCCGTTGCCTCATCTCGACATCTTCGACAAACTGTTTTGCCCGGCAGCTGACCAGGTGGAATAGGATGCTTGTAATGGTATCGGGTAGACCTAAATCGTCCGCACACTTCACACTTGTACCTTAGGTCGCCCTGAGCCATGACACGCTGCGGTGGAAGGTTCGGTGGTCCAGCAAGTTGGTTCTGCAAAGGCATTGTGGGTGGAACCGCTCCAGGAGGAGCACCGGGAAATGGCTGTGGTGGAACCGTGAAAGGCAGTGGTTGTGGAAACGGCGGTATTGGGTAAGCCGCCCCTGGAATAGGCTGCATGGGAAAAGCAGGTGGAGGAAGACCAGCGAAAAATGTCTGTGGTGGTTGAGGCATTCCGTTCGAGTTTCGGGCAAACTTGTCCTTGTCTTTGGATCTGGAACGATCACGCTTTTGCTGGGGCGGAACCAGGTACATATTGACCGGCAGCGGTTGAGCGTACGAGGTAGGATCAATCGGTGGAGGATTCGTTGTCTGTGCAGGTTGAGGAGTAGGGGATCGGGGTGCAGGCAACGCAAGCGGTCTCTCGGACGGGTCGTACTGGACGTGGTTGTTCTGACGCGAGTCTCTGGAGGTAAACAGTGAGCGAGAGCTTCGAGGGAGCAATGCTTCAGTAAGAAGTTGCCAGGTAGAAGGCTGTTTGGATTTCCTTCGAACATAGTATGGACGGCCATTGGGACCACGTTCGATCCAAAGTGAAGGGGAAGTCATGATGTTGAAGTGCTGTCACTGTGTTGGCGGAGTGCATGGTGTAGAAGGAGTGAAAAAGGTTTACTGACCTTGGTGAAGAGTTGTTCTCGTCTCGAAACCCGAAATATGCGTCGTATGAAGCATATAATGTCCGACCGTTGACATTGATGGCACCCTGGTGGCCATGTGGTGGTTGCCACATTTTGAGGCCGACGAGGGGAACGTATGGCAGGTGCGTTGAGTGAAGCTCAAAGGAGCAATATCAAAAAGTGACAACTTCGGCTACATCGCGATTTCTTCGTGGGTTAGGTGCGGCAATCAGATATGTCCTGTCGCTGTAACATGATTGTAAAATCGCATGTTTCGCGTGCATCGTAGCTTTTCGTTCCAAACCAACGTAAGCATTCAGAGGGCAATGATATAGGGATGAGGTTCTTCAGATGAAAGCGACCTGGACATCGGAACAGACACCCAATGATGCCTCAGAGGCTCCATCGATATTGTTGCCATTCACCTTTGTCTTCATATATATCATGGGCGACGTTGGATGGCTCTAGAAATACTGATCTCCTCCATGGTCTTTCGATATTCGACATGAAGTGAGAGCTTACCGGTCCTTACATGGCAGCATGGGACAAGGCGGCTATACTTGACCGTCACTTTGTCAGTCAAACCTACCTCCAGAAGCTGAATTTATATCATCTCTTCTCTCAGGGTTCCAGAATATCTCCTTCATCTTCTGCGGTCTCAAATCGTCGCTCTGGTCCATACATTGGTACTTTCGGAACAGGCCCCAAAGTTTGCCGTTGATACTACATTTTGGTGGTCAAGTACTTCAGATATCGCCGCAGCCGAGTGCTAACCTGACCACCATTGTAATGCGGTGCCCGAATGATACACGGAGAAGGGATGTTGTTGTCCTGACTTGAGAAGCTTACGAAACGTGGCTCAACGGCCCTTGGCCCATATCATCGTGCATTGCTCCGCCGATTGGAGATCTGCCCAACTAACTTACTCCATACTACGACTCCAAAAAAAGTTGACAGACAGACCAACGTGTACATTGGATCACAACCTGGGGACAAAATCCTAGAGATCGCATCAGTCCACTCTCCTCTACGGTGTGTGCACAACGTTCGTGGAACCCATAAGCATGTCGTTTGGCCTAGTCTAAACCCAACATTGTCGGCTGTGTCATATTTACCGCCCGTCGCTGTCCTCACTCGAGGCACTTCAACTCACAATGCCTCCCTTCAACTCCGCCGACACTACAACCTACCGCAAAGATGTCGCATCTGGCGGTCGCGCACTTACTGTCGTTGAGCGTGAACGGCTCCTCCAGCAATACCTCCCAGCAGCCCCCGTACAACATCCTTCCAACATGAACACCCGATCCTCAACGACCACAACCAGCCAGAAACCGCGTGGCCACAAACGGCGATTGCGCCCTTACCTGAAAGCCAGGCTCCATTTCCTCATCTTCTTCCTCATTCAATTCGTCTTTGGCGTCTACATCCGTCTGCGTCAATTCTACCATAGCGTCCTCGACCGACTGCTGGCAATCCGGCACTACCACCACCGCACGCCAGAATACATACAGCGCGACGTCAAGAGCCTGGATCGTATACCCGAGCACCTCAGCGTGATCTTGAAGTTCAAGTCGGAGGAAGACGGCGGCCTCGAAGCCCTGTTAGACGAGGTGGCCGAGCTGAGTGCCTGGGCAGCCTCCGCAGGCATACCGCTGCTAAGCGTGTACGAAAAGTCAGGTATCCTGAAGACATACATCACTTCTCTTCAAGATCTGGTCAACCAGAAGCTCGCCTCATACTTCGGTCCGGCCCCCAAGGCACCGAGTCTAAGGGTTTTCGCTCCCAACCATCCATCCACAACTGCCTCACCGCAGATTCTTGCGCAGACACCCAATAAAGCATTATCTACGACGTCAGAACGACCGCACCTCGATTTGCTCCTGCTCTCCGCAACAGACGGTCGAGACACGCTCGTCGACCTGACCAGAACTCTAGCCGAGATGGCGCAGGCACAGAAAATCAGCCCTAAAGACATCACCTCCAACCTCATCAACACCGAGATCAGTGCTACCACGGCCATTGCGGATTCCAAAACCGTCAACGGCAGGGGCACACCGAAGTCACAGAAGGAGGTTGGTGCAGGTGAGCCCGATCTTGTCATCGTATTCGGCCCATATGTCAAGCTTGATGGCTACCCACCATGGCAAATCCGATTGAGCGAGATATACTGCGTGGGCGATCCCAGCCGTGATTCCTCTGGTGGCGCAAGCACGAGAGTCGAGTACCAGGCTTTTCTCAGGGGTCTGTGGAAATATGCCGGCGCAGAGATGAGGTTTGGCCGATGAACATCTTGTTTGTTACACCCAAGTACGGGTTCATGTTGTAGAATGAGCGCTCGTGTGGTATAGCAAGCTCTTAGCGATATGCGTAGGGTTGAGTGTGTAACAAAACAATTCTCGGCAGTGTAATACTGCCACACGTGGCAGTGCGCTTTCAGCTTTGTACTGGTAGGCATGTCGAACTACTTCATCGTGTAGATATGACAACGAGCTGACTTCAGCTTGAGTGACCTGTCCTATGCTCAAGAGGACTGCCCATTCAATTCCTGAGCTCAATAGTCATTGGAACCCATCCCCTGCGCACACAGACAACCTTTCTCACGTCCAAGAGAGAGTACTGTCGGTTGAAGCTTTCCGGCAGAGTCCTAAGCCGATCGGTGTTCGCTACTTTTGTAACATACTATCATGTTGTAAGTCTCGCGGGGTAGGTAGGGCCAGAATGCAGCGACTTGGTCTACCACCAGACCATGCTGATTTAGCACATTGGCTCCCGACTCGCATGTTTTGGCGTCTTCTTGTACCGAGCAGCATCGGGATCCTAAATATGTCAGCAGTGTTCGGTCTCCGACAATGGAAATCCGCAAAAAAAAAACATACGCAGCGATCTTCCGCACAAGATGCACCGTTGTGCTCCAGGCCATCGCCAGCATGGCAACCTGCGAGAGTAGAAGTTCCTCCATGCACTTTCTGGTAACTTCAATATGCCCGTCCACAAGTATTGTGTGGAGATAGGTATTGGAAAATGGTATACGGCAAGAGCCAAAAGAAAAAGTTTCGCTTATCGTCTGCTCAAGTCTCAGTCATCATCATCATCATCGTCATAGGGAGTGTATATCTCCCACATCTCGTCATTCCGGTCTGTGTCGATAAGAGCATGAAGAACACGTTCATAGGTCCACATCGTTACAGCAGAGGCTGGGGCCGCCTATGGACTGTCAGCATGTGATGTTAATAGCAAAGGCAGTAAAGATTTACCTTTATCAGACTGACCGTGAGTCCACGGTACCAGCCTCGATATCCTTCTCGTTGCCAGATAGTTGCAAGGCCTCGTATGACACCGTTGTATTCGGGAATATTCGTGTGAATGTACCTTGTTCTGGTGGGTCCTTGAACTTGAAGCCTCTTCCTCACAAGGTCGAGTGGAAAGACCGCAGTCTTTGCGAAAATGCTTGCGAACACCCCGGCCGTTGCATCGCCAGACCCGAACGGCAGTGTTTTGCCGCCAATATACTGGTGCAGGAACTCATAGCCCGTGAAGAACAAACCCATGTACGGCACAATCTGACCAATAGCAGCGCTCAGGCCTCGAAAGAACCCACGAGGTCCTTCATGCCGGCTAATGTCCCGTACAGCGCCGAGTAGACCTTGGTAGATGCGATGTGATCCTTGGGCGGCGAATCTCGTCCGCAGAAGGTCCAAGGGATATGTTGCTGTAGTGGCAGCTGCTCCGGCAGCGGCACCACTAATGAAAGACTCGACTGACGGTGGCGGCCGTGTTGGTAGCAGACTCTGAGCTTGGGTGACAGAGCGATAGGTGGTGAACTGAATCCCACCATAACAGACATACATCAACTCAGCGGGCACGTTGCCCTTCCATAGCGCACGAACGCCCTCCTCCCTAACGATCGACCGGAGGGTGGAGAATGCTCCCTTGTAAACGGGACCTTTGATACCATCAAGCGACAAAGGATCGGATAATGAATGCGGCTGAAGTTGTAGTCTGATCTTGACCACGTCGAGTGGCGCAATGCAGAATCTGGAAACGAGGCCTGCGACCGCTCCGGATATGATGACTTGTAGTCTCGTGCCCTGGATGAGCGATAAGCTACATAGATCCGTGGTTACTTTGATGTGGTCCACTTACCTCGTCTTTGAGCCGCTCTACTTCCGCCGACATTCGTCTTGCTTCGTCGCCTGCTGGCCGTTGCAGGTATGACGGCCGGTAGAGGACGATAGAAAGAAATGTCGGCGGGAAGTGTGAAACTTGGTTCGTTATCTGGGGTGAACCGTCACGAACGCCTGGAAAACTTTAGGCGTGGTGAACAGTGACATCGTCAGTGGCGGCAGCACGTGATGGCGCGTTCACGGACGCGTGTTTCTCTAAAGCGACTTTAAGTGGTAATGAGACAACGTTCAACAGATATTTACAACTGTGGTGATTACCTGGTATCTATCCCAAGGCTACTAGGCCTCTTGTTGCAGATGATGGCATGGAAAAGGCCAACGGTTGGCTGTTGCGAGACACATTCTCATATGAGCCGGTGGTCTTTTTGTGCCGCCACCAAAGGTAGATGCCACTTTTCTGCCCTCGGCCAGTCCATGCCTCGCAGCGTCTGCCCAAGAAGCTACGGCGGAACGGGATGGGACTCATTGACTGTCGTTCTACACCTCCTTGGCCATCTCTTAGTGCAATTTAGGTGCGGCGATATGAGATGTTGGTGAGATTTGATAGTGCAGAGATATCTAGCTGCTTCATAACCAGACGAGAGAAATGCTGCATTGTATAGATCACCAGCAACGGGGCTGTAGCTACCCTAGTTTGGTGTCATTTGATCTCCTAGCCACGATCAGCATCAATGCCGACGTTTTTGTGAAGTGAAGAGATGGCAGAGTGATACAGTATAGACAATTTTGTCGCGCTAGGCTCGGCATTGACCCCAAAAATCAATTAAGCCGCTCCTAATGCGCGTCATGGGCGCAAAAGTGGTCTTGACAGTGCTTGACTCAACTGCGCATCCACACTCTCTTCGACCCGTTACAAAGTCCTCCTTTGTTGCACACGACCATGCTCGATGCAGTGGCACTACGGCCATGTTCAGGAATCCTCGAGAAAATGCCGATCTAGACATCCTCAAAGCCCTGCCGTCGACCGGTCGGCCACCTACTCCGCCTCCGAATGGTAGCCACACGCAGCAGACCAACTCCTCTCCATACCTTCCTCCAGCTGGCGCAACGCCGAGTAACAAGGCACCGATGAACAAAACTCCGGTTCTCGGCCGTCAGCCACCCTCCAGGATACCCAGCTCAAAGAAGGGTGGCTCTCGTCCGAACCAGAGTATCCTCACATTCTTCGGGAAGGCCGACAAGAATGAGCAGAATGCGGTTGATACCAAGGCCAACGCTCCCTTGTTCTTCAAAGATGCGCATCAGTCCGTCGAAGAGCCAGTCTTAGCGGGGCGGAGTTCACCAAGAGTGGCAGAGGAATCGCCTACGAGGTACAATGAGGATGACGGCCCTGTCAAGAGGAGACGGACTGTGGAAGACGAAGGCGAATTCATGATTCGAACACCTTCTCCCGAACGCAGGAGCTCGACCCATGTGGATGACACAGGCAACCCTTCAGAGGTTCAGAAGAAGGATGCGAAGCCAAGTAAGCACCGAGGTGGCTTTCTGGACGATTCAAGCGACGAGGAAGACGAAAATTGGGGCGCTACCGTTAACACAGTCGCGGAACCCCCTGATGCTGATGATCAAATGGAACAAGACGACTCTGGTGCATTAAACAATGTTGATGTCGCGGCAGGATCCACAACATCCAAAGTACCATTGAAGCCGCCTGACATGAGCAACAATGAAACAACAGAACACGACCAGCATCCACGGACAGTAGGCGAGGGTGGGGCTATACCGGCGCTTGCGCGTGAAGGCACCAGCATGTTCAACGCTGGGGATTTCGGCGACGAAGAGTTTGAAGACGATGAATTCTTCGAGGGTGGGGAGGAGTTCATGGAGCGGCGGTGGATGGAAGAGCAACGCGAAATGGGTTTGGATTTTGACGAGGATTCGAAGTCCGAAGCCGACAGCGTGAGAACTCCCCGCAGCAATTTCGAAGATGATGCACAACTCGAGATAGAACAAGGAGATGGAGTCTCTATGTGTCCAATCTGTAGCGGCAGCATGAAGGGACTTTCCGAACAGCAGGCATCATCGCATGTCAATGCATGTCTTGACGGCAAGGCTGAGCCCTTGCTGACAGAGACTCAATCGAGACCGTCATCTCCAAAGCCAATGCCCAAATCAACTGGCCCGAATGGTTCCGAAGGTCCAATGCCAAAGCGCTTTCAACGAGCAGCGATCCCTCGCCCTGCCCAGTCGAACCCTTTTGCCGTGGGCGGAAACAAAGGTGGGTCAGCTTTCAGTCGGCTGATGTCTGGACACGCAGAAGACGCGGCCTGGGCAGAAGCCGCGTCAAACGAAATGCAGTCTCGGGGGAAGCCTGCATATCAGAGGACGTGCCCGTTCTACAAAATCATGCCGGGGCTCTACATCTGCGTCGACGCATTCCGGTATGGAAAAGTCGAGGGTCAAAATGCCTACTTTCTCAGCCATTTTCACAGCGACCACTACATCGGCCTCACGTCGTCTTGGAGCCACGGTCCGATATATGCCAGCAAAGTCACCTGCAACCTTATGCTTCAGCAACTGAGAGTCGATCCCAAGTGGGTCATTCCGCTCGAATTCGAGAAGAAGGTCGAAGTACCGAACACGAACGGGGTCTTCGTCACCATGATCCCTGCCAACCATTGCCCCGGGTCCTCGTTGTACCTCTTTGAAAAGGTCACAGGCAAGAACCGTGACGGCTCACCTAAGTCGACTCGGATCCTGCATTGTGGCGACTTCCGAGCCTGTCCAGCTCATGTCAGTCACCCGCTGTTGAGACCCGATGTGGTGGACAGTATCTCTGGGCAGGTCAAACAGCAGACCATCGACACTTGCTACCTTGACACGACCTACTTGACGCCCAAATATGCATTTCCAAGCCAGCACGACGTCATTGACGCCTGCGCTCAAATGTGCGTGAGTCTGTCGAAAGAGATAGCAGACCCGAATGACAGCTGGGAAAAGACCAAGCTGGAACGAGCCGGCAGCACAATGAAGAAATTTCTCGAGCAGGGCGAATCCAGTCCGGTCAAAGACGAAGAGGACCCGGACAAGAAAGTCAAAAAGCGAGGCCGGTTGCTCGTTGTGATTGGGACGTACTCGATCGGCAAGGAGAGGATATGCTTGGGCATTGCTAGGGCCTTGGGATCGAAAATATACGCACCGCCGTCAAAGATGCGGATATGTCAGTGCTTGGAGGACGACGAGCTCAATTCGCTGCTGACTAGAAACCCGCTGGAGGCGCAGGTGCATATGCAGACGTTGATGGAGATACGGGCGGAGACGCTGCACGACTACATGATGACTTATAAGGGTCATTTTGGGAGGGTTGTCGGGTTCAGGCCGACGGGTTGGTCGTATCGACCACCTACGTCGCGGTTTACCGAGAACCCGGCTGTGAATACGGTGTTGACGTCGGAGGGTTGGAAATCTCGGTACACCATGCGCGACCTCGCTCCTCAGCGTGGGAGTACGCGGGAGTCCAATTGCTTTGGTGTGCCGTACTCGGAGCACAGCTCGTTCAGGGAGTTGACTATGTTTTGTTGCGCATTGAGGATCAATCGGATTGTGCCGACTGTGAACGTGGGTAGTGCAAGAAGCAGAGAAAAGATGAAAAGCTGGATAGAGAAGTGGGATGCTGAGAAGCGCAAAAACGGACTTTTCAAGGTTGAGGTTGGCGCGGATGGATGGGGTAGTGGTGATGGGAAGCTACGATATGGGGTGTAGAAAGTGACATTAACACTGCGCCATCGAACGTTTGTGGCCTATTGGCAGTCTGGCTCAAAGCGCATGTATATTTGATGATACACGTCGCGAGAAACCGTCATCATCGCGACTTTGCTGCTCTCGTAGTATTGATGAGAAGGTCCCCATCGCCTCTGCCAGCCATTCCTGGTCTCATCAAATCACAGATTCATCAGGGCAGTGCCACTATAAGGCTGTTTCTCCTCCGGCAACTGCAACGTGACCAAGCCGTAGTACACTCAGGAGGGAACTCAACACTGGCGGTTCATTGCCTCCCTGTCCACCAGATCTTTCCGTCAACCGTCTCCGTTTAGTCGCAACCGTTTCTTTTCTGGGGGGCTGGACGGCTCATCAGAAGGCACTCGACGACGGCTGGTCGATCCAACTGCTGCCAGGGCTCCAAGTCCTACCGACTCTCCACGCTGGAATATCCTGGGGCCTGTGGCTAAGACTATGGATGCGTGATTCGTTTGACGCTTGGCAAGTGCGATACAATGGCGACCTTGCACATTTTGATCCGTGCAGTTCGAAAGGTACGGTGGTTGTTCCTCCTAAGCAGCCTTTCCCTTCTGCGCCACGGCTTCTCTTCTACACGCATCCTCCAACAAACCGCGGTCGACCTTGTCCGGTGGGAGGTGTACGTATCTGACGACCGAGCCTCGAATGAAGATGTTCTTGACGGAACTGAGGTGGGGGTATTTCAATTCGTCTAGGACGACGATGTCGTCTAGCTTGATGTTGAGGTATTGATCGACAGATTTCAGGGTGCCGCGGATAGAGATGTCGTTCTTCAGTTCGACCGTGACGGTCTGCTGGGTGAGCGTTTTAAAGAAGCTGTGAGGCAGGCACGGTTAGTATGGATGTCTTGTGAGGGAGAATCTCTGCAAATTCCATACCTAAAGAAGAGCATTTTCGCGGTATGGGAGCGAATACGGCTGCGACTTCAAGAAATCTATTAGTGTTGTGCTGCAGACCACGCCCGAGAATATGGACCTCTGTACGTGGGTTGATTGAGATCTCTAGATGCAGTCAAGTAAATTGTGGATGTAGACTGGTTCGAGCCAAAATTGACGCTGCCTTTACTGCTCTTGTTCAAGCTGGCCTGACATGATGCTTGGCAGGACTCGGGGGTCAATTTTAGGACTTTTGAAACAAGCCTCTGTAGATAGAGATATTTTTCGTCAGACTCACTGTCAAGTGCAGGCGCATCTCTCAAGCCTAGGATGCCGTGATGCATGCTCCCTCTCTTTTAAAGTCAACATGCCAGGTATTCCACCAACGGTGAGACGCAATCAGCCACAAATTTGAGGCTTAGTTCTCAAGCTCGGTCGCTTGTGCCGATATCCAAGATGGAACCCAGATGGAACCAGGATGGAAGCGAGCCTCCATCTGCAACCACTATTCGCTGGTACCAAGTCGAGGGGTTGCGCTATCTACAAGTTGGCTTGTGCCTATGGATTCGCTTTTGAGCGTCACCGATGATGTCGTCTCCCAGCTCTTATGGCCATGTCAACAGCCCACAATTGGTAGGTCGATAGATAGTGGCCACGCAGGGTCAATCGTCAAAAATGTCCAAAACATTCCTTTCAGCTGTCCCTGCCATGATCAACGGGGTTCCACCTACAGCCATGGCCCAAACTTCCAACCAGTCTGATGCACTGCGCAATCTAAGATTCATTGCCCTGGTCCCTGGACGATGTCTTCCTTCCAGGCTTGATGTTCAAACATGTGCTATCCCCTCGCTAACGGTCGTCGCCTTTCTAGAGTCCTTTTGTTTCCTCATTCTCCATTACTCCTGCTCATAATTCATTCGAACACTCTGCCTTTGTTGAAACGCCCCTGTGTCTGCTGATATGGTGCAGTCTATACTCCTTGCGCCTCTCCATACCCCTTGAAAACTGTGGTTGCCACAAAAAAAGTCAATGACATAAACCATAAACAAACAGCCCTGCAACCACATACATGTCGCAAACACAACTGCGCTCCCGCGCCCACGCTGCGGTTGACTATGAGCAACAAGCCGAAAAATTGTCGCTCGACTCTGGCAGCAATGCTGCTGACGAGAACTCCCATGGTGTCGCCGTCAAGGCGACCTTTATCACACCTTTAGATCCTGTCATCGAAACCAGTGATGGGAACAGACTGCCTTCTGTACCCGTGCCAGAAGCACACAGGATCAATTTGCTGAAGGAAAGGGCTGAAGGCCGGCAATACCGCCCAACGAAACCTAGGGGGCTGAGTAGATTTGACATCAAAACCGAGGAGGATGCTGTGGATAAACAAGAGCTACTACGAGGGGATCAAGAGAGCGAAAGGAGTCGCCTCGAGGACGCAATACCACAATCGCATACACATCCACTATTTCCTCCCTTACCCTTATACGGCCCTCCGACATTTCTTCGCGACGTACAGTGTGCCATCCTCCGGACGACATCTGCTTTCCTCTCTACGGGCTTTCTGGCAGTCATTGTCCTGGGAGCGCTGTTCACGTCAATACCACACTTCTTCAAGTATATTTGGGTGTGGATGACATTTCGAGATCCTGACAAGAAGAGACCCTTTTACGAGGAAGAACGAAGAAGAGCACATATTCGCAAAGAGAAAGAAACGGAGTGGCTGGATAAGAAATCCAGGCGTGGCCGCGAAGTCGAAACAAATGGAGAGAAATCGGGGGATCCTGCAACAGACAACTATGAGCCCCTCGAGGGTGGGCCCGACAGAATCATCTGCGACATACGATACTATGCACGCCGAGTTGGTTTGGACGCCGAGGAGTTCAGAGTGCAGACCGAGGATGGCTTCATCATTACCCTGTGGCACATCTACAACCCCAAGGAATACAAACCGACCTCCGAGGCACATCGACGACAAAAATCTCCGGACGTCTTCTTAGAACAGAATGGAGACGAAGCACATGTCCAAAGACAGTACCCTGACGGCGAGAAGAGATACCCTGTATTGCTGGTTCACGGTCTCCTGCAGAGTGCTGGTGCATACTGTGTAAATGATGATGACAGCCTGGCTTTCCTCCTTTGCAAAGCAGGCTATGATGTCTGGCTGGGGAACAACCGATGTGGCTTCAAGCCTGAGCACCGTCTGCTTCGGTATAATGATCCACGCATGTGGGCTTGGAATCTGCGTCAAATGGGGGTTATGGACTTGCCCGCATTTGTGTCCAGAGTGCTCGAAGAGACAGGCTTCGAGAAGCTCGGTTTAGTCTGTCACAGCCAGGGAACAACACAAACCTTTGTCGCGCTTGCAAAAGAACAGCGACCCGAGCTTGGTGACAAGATCAGCGTGTTTTGTGCCCTCGCTCCAGCGGTATATGCCGGGCCTCTGATCGACAAAATGTATCTCAAGTTCATGCGAGTTATATCACCGCCAATGTTTCGGCTCTTCTTTGGCATTCACAGTTTCATACCTCTCATGATGACCATGCATCGGACATTGCCTGGCAAAATGTACGGCGCCATGGGGTATCTGGTTTTCTCCTTCCTGTTCAATTGGACTGATACACGGTGGGATCGTGGAATACGAGACCGCCTATTTCAGTTCTCGCCGGTATACGTCAGTGCAGAAAGTATGAGGTGGTGGCTGGGCCGGGAATGTTTTGCAAAACACAGGTGCGTTTTAGCAACCTTTGAAGCGGGACAGAAAGAGGAGGTGGAGGATGAGTCAGATGAAGAACAAAAAGAGAAGGCCATGGCCAACAGCTCTGATCGAGGACGATCAGCCTGGTATGATGAACGTGTGCCTCCAATGGCTCTATGGATTGCCGGAAGTGATGATCTGGTGGATGGTCACCGACTGTTGAGAAGATTTGAGAGAGGACGCGAACCGCATGTCAAGGTCGTTCACAGCAAGGTCATACCTGAGTATGAGCATCTCGACGTCATTTGGGCACTTGATGCGGCAGAAAAGGTCGGCAAAGAAGTCCGCGATGTGCTGTGGAAGACGATGCCTGATGAAGCCAGACGCGTATGCAGGAAGATTACTGGCGTTGATGAGGAATTGCAGGCAGATGGTAAATAACAACATCAGGTTGGTGGTTTGCGCGAGTGGTGAGCGTTATCTGCGATTTTGAGAAGTAATGGACATGCATAGACGTCTTGTGTTTTTATACTGGCGTAGATACCCCTTTGTACATTACCCTACCCAATATGACAGCGATAGGTCATCGCAAGCCAGACTTTTCAAGATACACCTTTGATGCACTTTGTGCTTATCGAGAACGGCTCACTTGGCTTCCAACTCTACAACCTCGGTTAGTTGACATCGGCTAGGATTGTTCAGGCAGTCCGCTTATGCCCCTATCTTCTTCTTAGTTAGATCTGTACGAACCAAGGCCTCCCAGCATGCCTGTGATACGAGTATGTCCCTTGAACATGCTGACGGACTGACGAGTAGCTGGGGCGGGATCGACATGCACATGCAGCCCGACATATATAGTAGTCAGCTGTGACGACAAAGACGGACGAAATACAACTTCCCGTGGCCTTGAGAGCAGTTCTCAATTCCCTCCATGGCACCTTCTGCAGTGGTTTTCAGCTTAAGTAGCCGTGTGTTCTGCCAACATCTGACAACCTGCATGTCTGCCACCCGGTGCTTCTGTCCCTAGGTGACTGTCCACCAAGCGGTCGGACAACAGAATATCTACGCGATCCTCAAAACGGTGTGTAGAACGACCACCGGACTCTCACAGGCCATAGCGATTGAGCACCTCACCGTCATGCTCACGGCAGGAGCAAGCCCATTACCCGAAAGCGGCACAAATTCCAAAGCCAAACAGAAGAAATTCCATCACAAGAGTTTCACAGGTTGTGCTACATGCGTAAGTGTATCTTTTCTGCCCCGTCCCACCCTGCAGGTCTTGACCAAGTCCGCTTCACTGATCTCCTCGACCTCTGGAAGGGCGCTTTGCCTCTCGGTCATTACTCTCCGAAAGGCTGGCACCGGCTGATTGATGCTACAGAGGTACGCTTATACAGTCATTGTTAGAATGGTCTGATCTAAAACAGCAATCAAGGGCTCGTCGAGTAAAATGTACCGAGGAAAGACCGCAATGCTCCAGATGCATCACGCATGGCACTCCATGCCCAGGGTACGTCAACCGAGTGTGGACATTTGGGTCCGGAAGATCCTCCGTCAGGACTGCCAGAGAGAGCGGAGATGAGAGTCTGATGGACCGGACCTGGGACGAAGCAGGAGTTCACCAACCGCACATTCCCGCAGCGGTGCTTTGGAGACTTCCTTACCATGAATCACGGTATGCATCCAATCTGGAGGTGCCATTTGAAGCGACACCTCAGCACGATGGCCTACATAAGACAGACGGTACAAAGCGTTGGAAACGAGCCATCCCAAGGGACGCAAATACGCGGAGCGAGCTCTGTCCAGCGCCACACTCCATCAAAGTGATACCGAGAAGCATGTCCGAGCCAGGATCTGACAGCTTCATGCTGCGGTCATTCCAATACTTCCGGGAAAATTCGATTCCAGCGTTTCTGTACGTCAATCCGAGCCCTGGTGCCTGTCATGTCTTTCGGAGTCTTATACCCCGAGCCTACTTCACACAGCCAGCGCTCAAGCACTCCATTATAGCAGTGGCCAATGTCCAGGAGTCTATGGCCAGTCTGGAAGACGGCTGCCGTCTCAGGGCACTGGCGTTGAGCGAGTATTCGAAGACTTTGAAACTCCTGAGCGACGAAGCCTCGCAACCAACGAGCCTTGTCATGCTTCTTGCATGCCTTCAGTGTGTCGCATTCGAAACGCTTCAGAATGCACCGAAGAACGCAACTTTGCATCTCCAGAATGGGCTCCGGGTCCTGCGACAGTGGAAACGATCACGCCAACTTGATAAGCGTACCTTGCACGGAGACGACCATATCATTAGCATGTACTTGGAGCCTGTCTTTGCCCACATTGAGACTGTTTTTGTGAGGTCGGCCGCCGAGGATATGGATGCCCCAGGTGATCTGACTTACAATCCACCGGTATCTCCGGAGAAATTCCAGAGTCTGCTGGAAGCAAGGGCGAAAATGTTTGAGCTCTGGATGTACTTCTTAAGCACGCACACTCCGGACTCAATCAACACGCAGGAACAATTGTTAGTTCTCCCGATATGGCAGGATTGGTACGCAAAGCTGTTGCTGTGTATGCGTGATATGCCCAAATGGCCCATACGCCAGCAGATCAACGCCCGCATTCTGCGCTTGCAGTACGATGCGAGCATTTCAGCATTACTTTGCCAACGCAGCCGGGGCGAAATGGTGTGGGACGAAGAGCTGGACAAATATCAGAGTATACTGACCGAATGCGCTGAGATTTGTTATACTCCGGGGGCTTATGATCCCGTCCGAGACACCAATGGTATGAACTTCGCCATCATCCCGGGAATTCTACCGCCGTTGTGGCTGATAGGTATGACCTGTCGGGACCGGGCAACTCGACGCCGTGCTTTGGAGCTTCTTCGTTTACAACATCGGAGATGCGGACATATTGATGAGTGCTCGACTGCTGTGCTTGTTGAGACGATTTCTCGACTGGAAGAGGAAGGATTACCACCAACTGCAACAAAGTGCAGTGATATCCCTGAAAGCAGACGTATACGTGCTCTGGAGTCTGATTTGACGAAAGCTGGGAAGTTGGTACTGACCTTTGCGAGGGCACCGCACTACACGACTCGCGAGACGATCGAGGTGCCTTATACGTCTACCACTGCATTGCCAAAATGCAAGTATAGATTGTGGCCGATTGTGGCTTCAATGAACCTGATTGGCTACCAAGGGCTTGTTCGGCCACATGTTGTTTCTTGTGTCTGCAAGGCATATGGACAATGAAGTGGTCTGGGGCTGTGGTACTGTGAAGAAACCGGGGGTCTGACCACTGATTCGAATATGCTTTGAACCTTATACAACACTGGTGCCCACTTATGATGTTGGGTGGACAGATCGATCAGCAACTTCACCCGTACGAGAATTGGCAGGGACTACGGCCACAGGCTGGACTCGCGGTGCATAGAGGCAGATACATATCGAAGGGCGGAGATGTACTTAGTTCAATTCATGCTGTACCTAGCCGAGGATCCTTGGGCCCTAACGAGGCTGAAGTTGATTGTCTGCCTTATCAGCGGCACGGAGAGATCCGCCCCTTTGAACCCCGGACATCACCACCCCAAAGACATGAACATATCGACGTCTATCGACACGACGTGGTCTTGATGATAGTCTTTCATGACCTGCTCACTCAAACAAAACCACACTGGAAGGAACTTGTGCCGTCCACGACTTGAAACACCACCACCTTGATCAATCTGGTACTGGGCCTAAATCGGGAGACTGCAACAACAATGTCCTTCCCCATCATCGATATCTCGGGTATCGACGACCCCAACCACCAAGTGTCCATCGCCAACGAAGTTACCGAAGCCTGCAAGAAATGGGGCTTCCTCTTACTTCGAGGTCACCCGATTCCCACGGGCGAAATCGACGAAATGTTCGATCTTGGCAGATCCTTCTTCCATCTCAATGAATCCGAGAAAGCACCCTACCCAATCACGAAAAAATCCATTGGCTACATCGGCAGTTTCCAAGACCGCGGCAAGGACGACAAGATGTCAATGTGGTTTGGTGGCGTACCAGGTGCTCTTGACTCGGAAAAGGACACACTGCCGCCTTTCTGGCGCGAACGTACTCAACGAGTCGAGCAATTCAAGCACAAATGCCATGACCTGGTGGTGAAGTTGCTCGAGTGTTTCGCGCTGTCTCTGCGTCTAGAGGATAGACGATTCTTCGCGTCAGCGCACAGGGAGGACGCAGGTAATGGGAACGCGCTACGAATGTTGATGTACCCTGGTCGATCCGCGCCAGAGGACATGACTGGCCGAGGCAGCCGTATGGCACCGCACACGGACTCAGGCAGCGTGACGCTCTTGTTTCAGCGCGCGGCTGGCCTGGAAGTTGAGTCTCCGAGCGGTGAATGGGTAAAGGCGCCGCATATTCAAGACTGTATTCTCGTGAATCTGGGCGATGCGCTGAGTTTCTGGTCCGGCGGAATGCTGAAGGCGACGTTGCATCGGGTCACGTTTGACGGGGTGCCCTTCGATCAGGAACGGCAGTCTATGGCGTACTTTGGCCAGGCAAGCCCGGAGACCGTGCTCCAGCCTATCACTGGCGGAGTGGTCGAGAAGTATGTGTCGAATGGCCTTGTGTTGACGCCGGGCGTGACGGTGGGAGAGCTGAGTAAGATGATCATGAGTGGCATTTATGGCACGGCGTTTCAGGAGAAAGAGACGGAGAAAGACACGAAGCCACCAATGGCTGCACCTACAGCTACAGCGGCGGTTGTGTAGGACAGACACGAGAAAAAAAGGTGCGGTTTGTAGCAAGCTCTGTTTATAGCGTAGCATACCAGGTAGCCAACTTATCGTGCGCTCCTCAGAAACTCGACGATGCCCCTTGTGTACCCGACTAATTGGCCAAGTCTCTTTTCCTCAGTCTCCATTGTCGTGCGCCACTCGAGCACGGCCTGGTTCAGACCGGGTACTTCTGTGACGAAGTCGCCGTGGAGCTTTAAAAACACGCTCATCCATGTGTTGACCAGCTCAAAAGATTTTCGCGACTTGACCTGTTCGGTCAATGCGCGGACAAAGACTGGCATTTCGGTCAAGGTCAAAGAGCGGATCTCGAGGTCAGCTGCAGATGGTGGAAGTAAGGTCAGGTGTTCAGACAGTGGGGATGGATTGTGCTGAGGGTCCGCGTTGAAATTGTCTAGCACATCGGAGAGTTGTGAGTTTGGTCCGGTCTGGGATGTGAGGGCAAGGCGAGATATTCGTGAACGGTCGGCGTCCTCAATCGTTTTGTTGTCGGAAGCGGTCACATTGCTGTCATGGTCTTTGCTGCCATTGGTAAGGGCCGACCCAAGAAAGAATGGTGCAGCTTTCGGCTTCTCTGGAGGCTGAAGCGGCTTGTTTCGTTCACGGATGCTGTCGAGATTGAGCAACGTTTGCCATCGTGACTGGGGCATGATCGAGAGCGTCAAAAGGCTTTGGTCTAATTGGTCGATGTCAACGGCACTGTCTACGCCATCGACATGCTCGTCCTCCTCAGTGCTGCTTTCCGTGATGGTGAGTTGACTAGCGGCCTGGAATGTAGCATTCTCGGTCAGATCAATGACTCCATTAACCTCATCAATCTGCCTCGTTGATATCCGAGTAAAGAGAGCCTTGTTGGTCCAAATATTGATCCCGGCGCTGCCTGCGTGGGTTGTGGCGAGGAACTCCCCAGTATTCGAAAAGGCAATGCTTGTGCAGGTCGCCGTCCGGAAAGCATCGATAAGATGGCCGGTAGCAAGATCAAACACTCGTACCACAGAGTCCATTGAACAAGCCACAACCCATCGGCCATCGTGCGAGAAACAATAATCGTATATTTGACCGACACAACCCCACAGTTCACGGACGATCTTTCGGGTTTCAATGTCGAGAATGCGGATGCATAGATCATCGCAAGACAATGCTAACAAGCCGGACACTGGATTGTATCGGATCGAAGTGACGACGGCCTCGAGGTCTTTTCGCCGCTCTATGGTCTTGCCTGTGGAGAAGTTCCAGAAGATGATCGTCCCATCCAGACTTGTGGAGACCATGGTCTGGTTGAGGTTGTCCACGACGATACCTGTGATTGCATCACGATGCCCCAGCGGGATATTCACCCTTTGCTCTTGCGCTTCTTGTAATTTCAGCTGCTTCGCTTGTGACGGCGTGATTCGAGGAGGATAACGTTGGCGATGAACGCCGGACTGCAGGTTGAACATGTCCAGACTGCCACCAGCAGAACCGACGATTGCGAAGGTGCCGCAAGTAGTCATGGCTACGCTTGTAACAGGCTTATGATCACCCGTTTCAAAAGCCCATCTGCCCGCCTTCTTTCTACCCCAAGACCAGGTCCTAGCAAATTTGTCGTCGGCATGAGCAGTAACGATGCTTTCCCAGCCAGTGGTACTTGTCTCCTCTGCTTTGGCATCCTTCGAGTTGGCCCAAACGCGGCCACCTACGGCACCCATCCCACCATCGCGGTTCAGTGAACATGCCATGTCGATAATTGGTGCAGCTTTGAATGCCTCGACTCCAGCTGCATCATCGCTGAGCAAGCCCTGTTTTCGAGCCTTGGACGTAACTGCGCCCTGACTCAATTCTGTGCTCTGCCCGTCTCTACGCAGACTGAAGCCCCAAAGACTTCGATCACGACCTGCAGACAACAACCACTTTCCGCTGGCATCGGATCCGTCCGAAGCCGCGGGCAAGAATTTGAGTTTCGTTACTGATGCCGCATGTCCGCTTCTTGAATGCAGAGGACGCGGAGTCGGAGAAAAGGGGTTTTCGTCAAAGACCCAGGACCTCAGAGCATTGTCGAGCCCGGAAGAGATCAAGACTGGTTGTCCTGGCAAGAACTCAACCTTGTTAACCCCGGTCGCTTGACCAAGGCTAGAAGTCTCGTGAGCTCCTCTTACCACTCCAATCACTTTACCACCACGGTTGAGGTCCCAAAGCGTGATGTCGCCGCTTTCGGTACTGGATGTTGCCATGACACCAGATTTGCGTCCGTCTTCGCCTGCGCCCATTCCATCGGTCCGGAAACTTATTGACGTTATTGGCTTCTTGGTGTTTCTTTGGTGCAATTCCAGAACTCGTTCATCCGATTCGACATCGGTGATGATCAGGGAGCCATCGGCATGAGCAACCGCTAACAGACATACAGCCGGTGCTGGGGCAAGGGCCGTGACTGGGCCAGAGCTAGCTGACGGAGCAAGGATTGTATGGACGAGTCTGCCGGTGCTGACGTTATACACTTCGACGATTCCTTCTTTTCTTCCGACGAAAATTTTGTTTAGTATAGTAGGTAGGGTGCAGATTTGGCCGGAAAAGATTGCTCGACCGTGGGTCGAGGTAGACGGTGTTGAGGGATGAATGGTGGTATAGTGCTCATAAGAGTCTGTTTTCCAGACCTCAATAGCTTCATTCCCACATCCCACAATCCAGGATCCGAACACCAGTATTTGTCCAATCTTTTGCGGATGTGTACCATCTATATCCAATTCTGCGATGAGTTGCCCTCGCTTGAACACCCACATCCCTCTTCGATCATTGGGCTGCGCCCCGCCCCAGGCAACCACGACTCGATCACGGTATGCATATGTTGCAGTCATCTGACCTGGACATAGAGGTCGACTGAGAAAGACAAGGTTAAGACCTCTTCGCAGGTCGTACGTTTGCAAGGCATTGCCAACTGAAGTGGTGATCTGGAAGGTCGTCTTCCCTAGAGGTACTGAGGTGAAAGGAACATTCGTAGGGGAAACCAAGCCGAGCGTCTGTGGTTCAAACAGTCAGTTTCGCGACTTGGGTACAACATCAACAGCGACATACTCTGAATGGAGAGAACAACCGTGAACTCGCCGGAGGCTTCTGGTTGGAATCGTCGTTGTCCTCACGTCGCTGCCGTTTGGCGACAGGGAACTCAACAGCATCATCCATTTGAGGCATCACAATACACTCAGCGGCCCCTTGAAGTCTGTCGACAGCGTTAATCCATTGCCATTGCTTCAAATCATCACTGGGTGTTGCAGTTTGTTGATCGTCGGAGACTCCAATTAATTTATTTTTTTCTTTGGTCTGCGATTCGTCGGCGAGAAATGACGTCGGCTTAAGTAATTATTTTACTGGAGGCACAGACTCTTCTCTATCTGCCCCTCGCTTCCTCTATACGTTCATCTTCAGACTCGCTTCTTTCGACATATAGAACATTGGGGGATCTCATTCGGTATCAGCTGTAATCTTTACGTCTCTTTCTTCCTTTGGTCTCCTCTCGTCTCTCATTCCAATCATCGACTTACAGGATGCGTTGAGGCTATACAGGCATGCGAGTTGATCGAGGAGGAATTCACCTTTCCATGCTGGTCACGTCCCTACGCACATTACTGGAAACACCATGGACTCTCATTCTCCTCTCCGTCGGGTCCCGACCAACACGTCTGATACCGCGATTGATGACCATTCGGCTTCTTCATCAGCCACTTCTTCACGACCTTACTTTCCGACTGGACGGACACCATCGACCCATTCTTTGTTGGGTTCCCATAAGAATGCAGATGTGCGAAAGGCTGCCCAGACGGGGACCTCCAGTGCTTCAGCCGACCGCTCCAGCATAAGTATGCCACCTCCTATGACCAAACCGAGCGCAGAGAGAAGGTTGTCTACGTCGCTTTCTTCTAATCGGCCGCATCGAAGATCAGAGGACATGGCCAGAAGTCCACCAGCGTCTGTCAAGAGCTTAGATGGCGACAGTTCTGCCTTTGGTTCCTCTCCTACCGCTCAGAGGTCTACAACAGCTCATGACTCTACCGTGGTCACAACTGGCTCTACTCCCAATAACCCTGGTCTGCCGGTGCTATCACCTCCCGCCCTCAATCCAAGCATGCGTAATCAGGATGGTCTAGCATCAACAGTGCACTCACTGATCACATCCCCAACTTCTGCTCCTAAGGTCGATACGTCTGTGCCGGCTGGACAAACCCTACCAACCCCAGTCAAACCTGATGGCTCCGAGACTGCTTTGCCCAGCAGGCCAGGTCGAGCTATCAAGCCCCGCTCAATTTCTTCGAGTCGACGACTCAGTGGTACGGCTTCATCGAAGAACGACAGCATTATCTCCGAGAAACCGGAGCCGATAGGAAGGATTGGAGTCTGTGCGCTCGACGTTAAAGCCCGAAGTCGACCTAGTCGACAGATCTTGACTCGTCTTCAAGGAGAGGGAGAATTTGAGGTTATTGTTTTTGGTGACAAGGCAATCCTTGACGAAGAAGTGGAAAACTGGCCCATATGTGATTATCTGATATCGTTCTTCTCGGAAGGCTTCCCACTGGATAAAGCAATCGCTTACGTCAAGTTGCGAAAGCCTTTCGTTGTCAACGATTTGCCCATGCAGAAGATCCTCTGGGATCGAAGACTATGCCTGAAAATCCTGGATCAGATGCATATCCCGACGCCCAAGCGTATCGAAGTGAATCGGGATGGCGGGCCAATATTGGAATCTCCTGAACTTGCTCAGCACGTTGTTAATATGACAGGAGTGGTTTTGGAAGGCCCTGAAGACGGTACTGGCGGTGGCACACCCCTAACACAGTCGGTGGAGTTAACCGACGATGGTGACACATTGGTCGTGGATGGAAAACCCTTCAAGAAACCTTTTGTGGAAAAGCCGGTCAGTGGAGAAGACCACAATGTCATCATCTATTTCCCCAAGGACCAGGAAGGTGGCGCACGAAGGCTTTTCCGGAAGATTGGCAACAAGTCTTCGGAGTACGACCCTGAGCTGATAGTACCTCGGTCTGTCGCAGAGCCCGATAGCAGCTACATCTACGAACAGTTCCTAAGGACGGAAAATGCCGAAGACGTCAAAGCCTACACTGTCGGCCCCAACTACTGTCATGCAGAGACCAGAAAGTCACCTGTTGTCGACGGCTTGGTGCGACGAAACACCCACGGAAAAGAACTTAGATACGTGACAAAACTCAACGAAGCCGAGCGAGAAATGGCTTCAAAGGTCGCAATAGCCTTTGGTCAACGCATTTGTGGTTTCGATCTGTTGCGGACCGGCAACTCAAGTTACATCATCGACGTCAACGGATGGAGTTTCGTCAAGGACAACGAAGACTATTACAACGACTGCGCGAAGATTCTGAGAGGCATGTTCCTTGCTGAGAAGTTCAGAATCGAAAACGGCCTGTCGGATGAGCAGGTGCCAGATTCAAACGGTGAGCTCCACTCACGACAACAAAGTACGAGCCACCCACATCGGGCGGCGCTCAGAACAATTCTGAAATCGCCAAGTATGAGTAAACTATCCCAGCACCTACCTCATCCATCTCGACATCATGCTTCCACTGCCGTCAACTCACCAAGATCCTCCTCCATGACGACACCATTGAGTTCGCCGCCTAGTGTTGAACGGAACATGAACGGTCCTGTGATGCCAGCCAGGATCGACAACACTGAAGTTCTCCCACCACCAGTCATAGACACGACAGCCGTCAATGGCACTGCGTCAGATGCGGTAGTGTCTGCCAAAGAGCCAGAGGCACAAGTTCCTCTCCCAAGTTCGAAGCACTCCTGGAAGTTGAAGGGCTTCGTCACAGTTATCAGACACGCTGACAGGACACCAAAGCAGAAGATCAAGTTTACAGCTCACTCCCAGGTCTTTGCTGACCTTTTGAAAGGCCATCACGAAGAAGTGCTGCTGAAAGGTGAGGCTGCTTTGGCAAGTGTCGAAGCAGCAGTGAAAATCGCGCAACGAGACCGTCTTGAGGATCCGGAGAAGTTGCACAACCTGCGGATAGCCCTCTCCAAAAAGGGGTCACAGCCTGGAACAAAGGTCCAGATCAAGCCCATGTTCCGGAAAAGGAAGCCCGAAGAGATGTCCTCGGCAGAGAACGAGCAAGCTACCAGTCCAACCGGTCTTTTCCTATCTGAAGAGGACCAACCTTTGTCAGAGTCACCTCGGGGCGGGAGATCGAGCTCCGTGACCGAGTCCAACAAGCTGCGCAAGCTTGGGACTAGAAGCGATTCTATATCCGGCGCAACATTTTCACGATTTTCTGCGGCAGAAAATGACCTCGTCCTGGACAAATTGCAGCTGGTCATGAAATGGGGAGGAGAGCCGACACATGCTGCACGCTATCAGTCGCAGGACCTGGGAAGCAACATGCGAGATGACTTCAAACTGCTCAATAGAGAGGTGCTGAATGATGTCCGGATTTTTACGAGTTCAGAGAAACGTGTCAAGACTAGTGCGCAAATCTGGGCTGCTGCATTTTGTGACCGCCAGGATATTCCCGAAGACTTCATTACAGTGCGAAAGGACCTCTTGGATGACTCCAATGCAGCAAAGGACGTCATGGACAAGGTCAAGAAGAAGCTCAAGCACCTTCTCCGCGAAGGGACTGTTCCTGAAGCATTTGCATGGCCTAAGGATGCTCCAGAGCCATACGCTGTGATGCAAAATGTTGTTGACCTTCTCAAATTCCACCGAAGAGTCATGAGACATAACTTCAAGAAACTTGCCACTGGCGCTGCTGCTTCGCTTGCTGCCCTGAATGGCGTGGGTGAGACCAAGGACGCCAACAACAAGGAAGCTGTCTCGGTGGCCTCGATACAATCCCGGTGGTGTACCGGTGAAGATCCAGAGCTGTTCAAGGAACGGTGGGAGAAGCTGTTTACCGAGTTTTGTGATACTGAAAAAGCGGACCCCAGTAAGATCTCTGAATTATACGACACGATGAAGTACGATGCACTCCATAACAAGCAGTTTCTGGAATGGATCTTCACGCCCAGCCAAGCCTTCCTCGACGAACTCGCTAAGGAGGAAGGCCTCGCATCGGGCAGTGTTCTTTCTGAACAAGAGCAAGCTGATGAGTCGATTTCCACTTCCCCTGGCAGCAAGAACCGTCATGATAGCACCCTTTCAACGTCAGCCAGCAGTACCGACAAGCATTCTTTTGCTCAGAAGATTGGATTGAGGCGGCAGTCTATCCTTAAGCCCACACCGCCTGCTCCGCCACTGAACACATGGGAACAGGGAGCTTCCTACTTCAAGCTTTTCAGTGGCTCTCCTGAAAACAAAACGAGTCTTGACCAGCGACTGGGCCGACTGAGAGAATTGTTTCGCTACAGTAAGATCTTGTTTGACTACATTGGGCCGCAAGAGTATGGTATCAGCGACGAGGAGAAACTTGAGATTGGCCTACTGACGTCTCTTCCCTTGCTTCGTGAGATTGTCGATGATCTGGAAGAGTTGCAGGCCTCGGGTGATGCCAAGTCATTCATCTACTTCACGAAGGAGTCTCACATTTACACACTCCTTAACTGCATCATGGAAGGAGGCATCCATACCAAAATCAAGCGATCGACCATTCCCGAGCTCGACTACCTGTCACAAATCTGCTTCGAACTCTATGAGGCTAAGGATGCCGACACTGAGGAGTCGACCTATTCGATCCGCATCTCCATTTCTCCAGGTTGTCACACCGTGGACCCTCTCGACGTGTCCCTTGACTCTAAGCACGCCATTGGGTCCGCGCCGAGACGGTCGTTGACCAATCACCAAGATTGGAAGGAGGTATTATCGACGCTCAAGGCCAAATTCAACACAGTCCAATTACCGAAGAGTTTCCTGGCGATAAACGTGAGCGACAAGCACGAAGAAGAAGCCGAGCGAAGAGCTAGCTACCTGCAGAGCGAGGCTGCAAGGGAAAAGTATGAACGTGGTCAAGATGGCGAGGGAGACGCCGCTATATCGAACCAACAGGAGGGCCCTAATGGCGTTCAAGACGTGAACGCCGTCTCAGACACCGAGCCACTGCCGCCGCGGGATGTGACTGCTGCAGACTCGACCGGAGTCGAGCTAGGAGGAGCGTGAGGTAGATTCCTACTTTTGGCCGCACCAAGTTGAACTGCACAAAAGAAATGATGCACGAGTGGTGGCAGTGCACCTTGTTTAGAGGTGGGGATTTGTCTCACGTGTGGTTTCCTGTTCAGCTTGCCTCGAAGATCCAGCCTCTGCTTTTTGGAACTCCAATCAGTAGCAAAGACGTGGGCCAGACACGAGAAGGGATGGTGATGAGGCGTCTATGTTTGGAGGCTACAGTCTAGTATTGTTCATAGAGAGATTACTTCATGTACATATATCTCGCACACGCACCGTTCAGTCGAGTTTTCTCAAAGCCTGCGCATTTACCCCTTGCCTTGGTCGGACAGGAACATCTATCTCCCGAACCCGTCTTCCTGCTCGGTCTCATCCACGATTACCTTTCCGCGACGGTCTCCTCTAACAGACCTGTCTCATTCGGTTCTGCATTCCTTCTCCTGTGAGCATGCCACTGAATACATATTCCCATGTCATCTCTGACTCAGGCGCTGCCGGAGGTATTTGAGTTGATCTTGCACCACGATCGGAGCGTTCGGCCATCTGTAACTTGGGGTGTTTCAGAGTTCAGTCTCTGACAGCTTCGACCCAGAAACATCCACAGATTTCTGCGACCATGCCTGTGTGACGAACTGCGATGCTCCCCCGATCAATCTAGAATGCAGCGGTCACCGGATTGAGCCAATCCTGAGAGTGCCTGGTTGCTCAATCTGAGGTTTCAACGTCGCGTGAGGCCGATCAAACACCGCTTGCTCGAAAACATGCCCGTTGAACCCACAACTGTCACAAAGCATGAACTTTGAAGCACGTAATGCTTTGCAGGTCAATTCCTCTCTGACTGCCGAAACTGGGGAAAAGAAGCAACAAGGCAGAGAGGGAGTTACTGTGCCGTGAGGTAAGTGCAAAGCCTGTGTCAAGCCTTCTCATTATTCACCTCCCGACTTCTTCGTGCTTTCCTCTGCTGCATCGCTGGTCGACTTCAATAGCACGATTGCTGCGTTCATTCTAGCCATTCTTCTCTAGGGGGCTGGTCCCATTGTCGTTCTTTCTATGTTGTGTTTTCCCATCATCGCATAACGGCACTCTCGTCTTGACGGCGGTGGGCTGGATCGCTGCCTCCAAATCTACCAGAGTGCAATCATGCCTAACACCAATGCAGTCGACCATTTCAACAGACGCCGATCTATTCATCTTACCACTGAAGATAGACAAAAGTTTTATTTCTTACGCAGGTCGATATTATCACGACGACAGACTTCTTCCGTTCCAGCCCCGGTTCCATCAACGACGACTGCCGTGAACTTACCACCGGGGTTACCTCATAATATCTTTGGCAAAGAAACAAAACATCACAATGACAACAGCAACGGCAATGGGAATGGGAATGGAGACGGCAACGGCAACGGCAATAACAACGACAGCGACGATGATTCATCCGATGACGGCAATATGGACGACCATTCCAACAACAACAACAATCCCTTTGCTCCCAGTACTACACCGCAGGCACACGGAAATGGACAAATGTCTTCCATGAATATAATGGCTGCCAGCACATCTCTTCCTGAATCGACCGTAACGTTAACAATCAGTCCTTCGTCTGCAACCTTACTTTTGACTTCAACTTCAACCTCAACCTCGACAACTATTCCCTTGGATTCAGCAACCATCACTTCGACAATCTCATTTCGTCCAACTTCTGTCACGTCTACGGCTTTCGCAGCCAACACGATGCTAACATTTTCTTCGACTTCGTCCCAAACGACCACAACAGATGCACCGAGCGCGGAATCGACAGTCACGCCCGCTCCAAGTGTCCAGGTCCACAAGGCTTCGATTTCTGCGCCAACTATAGCTGCAGCTGTAGTTGCTTCATTGGTAGGAGCACTGGCAGTGTTTGCGTTCGGGTATTTGCTTTTCCGCTACTGTACACCCCTGAAGGGCAAAGTTTTTGCATATCGTGGACGCAGGGGTCAGAGGCTACCGGGTGAAGAAGATGGCGGGCCTATTGGAAGAGATAATGCGCCCGACATGTCCGAGGTCAATTATTCTTCAGAGGCAGGAGCGACAGTAGGAGCAACCACGTTGCGCCAGTCTGTGGTACGCCAGTCTGTGGTCCGTCAGTCAACGGCAGCCAGGACGTCAGCTGTCAACAACGCTGCTCCGGACTATCCCGCGGACCTTGCAAACGTGCCTTTCCAGAGGGAAAAGAATCAGGATCCGGAAGACCACCCGTTCAGCAACCAAGTGCCCCTCGCGGCAAGCGAAGTTGGCGGCAACCACATTCCCAGCCTCCGACAAAGTATCATTGTGGGCTTGGTTATGGGCAGCACGATAGGCAGCATTCCCGACTCCAGACCGCCAACCTACATGACTCACGCGAGCGAGACTGATCCCGTCAGCACCATTATCAACGAGTACGCTGGTCCGTCGCGATCAGCAAGTACCAGCATTGCCTCTTTTGGCATTCATCCGATGGGCTTGTCTGCTAATCCGCCAACGCCGGTGATCTCGAGGAATAGTGCTCGCTCTGGCCTGGAGACTGCTTCTCCTAGGCAGCCAAGCGTCACCGCATCTTCGTTCTTGATGCCGTCAACGCCCACTCCAGCTTACTTTTCTGCCCCAACACCACCGGCGTCGGTGATCGGACTCTCGCCTAGCACGAACCATGTGCGCGCATCAGTCACACCTTCGGAGAGCGCTTCTAATGCACCTTCGTCGCCATTACCGCTTCCTCCGCGGTTGCCGCTCAATGCCTCCTTGCCGAATGTGCCAGCTCTGTCGCGGTTCAGCTGGAATTCCTCAAGTATTGCCGTCGGTTCTAGAAACCGTATGTCAAGCGCCCAGCGATTCGCGACTAGCGGTGCGGGTGCCAGTCCTCATGCTGTTGGGGTTCCGTCAATATCAGCACCCCCACCGTTGCCACCGTTGACACTGCCATCGCCGTTGGCAGTCAAGAGGTCGAGTGCGGCGTCATCGATTATGTCTGCAGGCAATGATCGAAGGGCCTCACTAAGGGATATGACTTCGTAGATGGGCCCTGTACTTACTTGACCTTGTTGGAAGTTCATCAGCGGCTCGTCAGCATTTTCTGCAAGACACTTCTATATGAGTGCTATGTGGAGGACTTTGGGTTTTTTGTTTTCAAAAGTTGGTTAGAGATGAATTTGGTGTGGACATGATGACGATAGTATACGCCTTTCTTCTGTGGGAAAGCGAGTGACGGACAGTAATTCTTCAGGAAACTTGCAACAATTAGAAATCAATGAAATATTTGAGCATTGTAATCGTGTTGTTTTTGTTGTATCTCACATCCAAAGTTCATGGTCATGTACGGAGTTACTCCATCATAAATGACATGGGCCCAGACTCATATCGAATCTGACATTGACATCCCTCGACCCGATTCAGCATATGTCACGCACACCTCAAGTGTATCAGGCTCGACCTTCTGGCCGACTCTTAAGCACTTCAACATGGCGTATCCAGCATCTATTTCAAACCATTCTTCTCCTTGAAAGCCGCCAGTAGACCGGCGGTCGAAGAGTCGTGGTCGGCACCAGCGCCGTCCGTCTCGAGCTCCTTCTGAATCTTCTTGGCCAGGACCTTGCCGAGCTCGACACCCCACTGGTCGAAGCTGTTGATGTTCCAGATAACTCCCTCAGTGAAGACCATGTGCTCGTAGTATGCGATCAGAGCACCAAGTGTGCCGGGTGTGATCTGCTCGGCCAAGATGTTGGTTGTGGGTCGGTTACCGAGGAAGGTCTTGTGGGCAACGAGGTCGTCGGGTGCACCCTCGGCCTTGACCTCGTCAGGTGTCTTGCCGACCATAAGCGCCTCGGCCTGGGCGAGGAAGTTGGACGCCAGCATGCGCTGATGCAGGCCTCCTTCGACGGGGTTGTGGGATTTGGCGGCCATGATGAAGTCCGTTGGGATGAGTTTTGTGCCTTGATGCACCAGCTGGAAGAACGAGTGCTGGGCGTTGGTGGCGGGTTCGCCGAAGAAGATCGAGCCAGTCGTGTACTTGACGTAGTCGCCTGAGCGGGTCACGGCCTTGCCGTTGGACTCCATGGTCAATTGCTGGAGGTAGGCTGGGAATCGGTGCATGTACTGGTCGAATGGGGCGACGAGGTGGGTCTGGGCGCCGAAGAAGTCTGAGTACCATACGCTCAGGAGGCCGGCGATGACTGGGATGTTCTCGTGCAGAGGGGTGCTCTTGAAGTGCTGGTCCATGGCGTGACCGCCGGCCAGGAATTGGTGGAAGTTCTCGTATCCGATGTACAGGCACACGGACAGGCCGATGGCGGACCAGACGGAGTACCGTCCGCCTACCCAGCTTTCGAAGCCGAACATGTTCTTGGTGTCGATGCCGAATTTGGAGACTTCTTCGGAGTTGGTGGAGAGGGCGACGAAGTGCTTTGCGACATCGGATTCCGACGCGGATTGTAGGAACCATTTCTTGGCTGTGGTGGCGTTGGTGGTGGTCTCGGCCGTGGTGAAGGTCTTGGAAGCGATCAGGAAGAGGGTGGTCTCTGGGTCGGAGTCTTTCAGGGCTTCGGCGATATGAGTGCCGTCGATGTTGGAGACGAAATGCAGTTTCATGGCTCTGTCGCCATATGGTTTCAGGGCTTCGGAAACCATGACTGGACCGCTGGAGATTGTGTCAGTGGACCGACGTGAGCTTCGGGTTAGCGACTTACAGGTCAGACCCGCCGATACCGATGTTGACGATGGTGGTCAATCTCTTGCCAGTATATCCCTTCCATTCACCGCTTCGGATTTGTTCTGAGAACTCCTTCATGTGTTCCAGGACGGAGTTGGTCTCTTCGACGACACTCTTGCCGTCAACGGCCATGGGCTGGTTTGTGACATTTCGTAGGGCAACGTGGTAAACAGCTCGCTTCTCAGTGAAGTTGATCTTCTCGCCGGCAAACATGGCATCTCGTAGCTCTTCTAGGTTGGCCTCTTTGGCGAGGTTGACGAGGAGGTCGAGGGTTTCTTCAGTCAAAAAGTTCTTGGAGAAGTCGAACAGGACTTCAGTGTTGTCTGCGTTGTTCTTGAAGACTCGCTTGAACTTCTCGAACCGTTGAGGGTCTTTCTGGAAGTATTCCTTGAGGACAATGTTGCGGCCGACGGCATTGTGGTGCTCGACCAGAGCTTGCCATGCTTTGAGCTCGGTGGCTTGCGAAAAGCCCGGCATTGTGCAGGATATGTGCTTTAGGATTCGGCGAAAAAGATTTCTAAAGGTGCTCGAGGTCAGTGAGTTGAGCCACGAGCAGAAAACTTGAGCGATATTCGAGTCCAAGTCGGTGAAACTCGAGATGTCACGGAACTGTCGGATTGTGTCGGCAGTGTGATTGATGGCTTCGAGGATACTTACAAGGACAAGAACTCCGGATGCGATATAGGTTGTCTGGACGATGTGCAGGCACGTTCAGCAGGAGTATGTCGGAGTAGTGACGGTGAAGCTGAAAAGCTGTTGGATGGACCTCTTTTTTACAATGATCCGCGCTGGCAGAAAATGGAGGGGCAGAGCCGGAGAAACTCTTGTGAAACCAAACAATGATGCAACATGCGGCAACCACTGGACGAGCTTGTTACAGCTCACGTTATGAGTAAAGATTTGTCTATGTAATCCTCCTGCCCCACCATTCACCCGGGCTTTAGATGACGCTTTTGGTCGTCAGCATGCTAAGGATGATTAAGCGACCAACACAGGAAGCAGCAAGACACATTCTGCTGCAAGTGATCAAGACATTTCTAGCTTTGTTCGTACTCATATCATTGCATGGCAACTCCTCCTCGATTATGTAATCCAGGCAGACACCTGCAGTTCACCAGCCCTTCCGATGCACTTTTGATAGGTCCTCGTAACTCCAGTATCCGTGCATATACCCAGTCCTTCAGAGATTCTTACAACAGCAAAGCCGACATGAACAGCAGACATCCGAGAGCAAAGAGAGAAGCCGAAGCCTGGCCTTGAAGACCAGAAGCAGCTCCTGTATACCCAGTGATTGGAGGGCTGATCGCGGCCGATGTTCTGGTGGCGTTGATTGGGTTGGTGGTAGGGAGAACCGCGGTAGCATTTGCCAGTGACAAGGTTGAAGTAGTGGTATTCAGAGCGACAGCAGTGGTAGTGTTGCCATACAGAGCAGAATCCGTGATAGGTAGTCCGGTGGTTGCGGCACTCAAATCGCAAGACGAGGTCGTAGCGTTCACTGTATAGGTATTGGTGGTCGTCGAAGTAATGGTTGTTGTAGTCGTGGTAGTATTGACCGCAGTGCCGTTAAAGCCTTCATCACCAATACGGCAGCTTGAAGCACGACGCCGGTACCCGTCCGGGATGCAAAAGCTGGTGCCGTTCGAGGCGCAGCTGAAATTGGCAGGGCATGCATCTGCTGAGGGTCAGAGAAAAGGACAAGATCATCAGGGGCAAGCAGTCTTACAATCATTGGAGCAGCAAGTCTCGTTGGCTTTTGGATTGTAGCAGGCGTCCGCACCACATTCGACATAATCAGCACCACATCCAGCACAGCCTCCACTTTGGCCTGGAGTACAATCTTCATAACGAGGGAGGATGGCGAAATTCTGTTCTTGGTCCGCTGAACACTGGACTGCAACAGCCAGCAGTGCGACAGTAACGAGTGTAGCGATTGAGCGCATGTTTGTCGTGATTAGTAGCAGTCCGTCGGTGGAAATGCTTGAGAGACAAGGAATGTTATGAAAAGCAACTTGAAAACGAGTGTCTCGGGCAATAGCTCCGTGCAAAGAAGAACATGAAAGCATAGAGGATACATGGCCGTGTCGACATACTATAAATATATGGTAGCAGAACTCTTTGTACCGTTATTGGAAGCATCGACAAAGGAATACTGCATGGCTAATGGCGAGAGCCGTTTGCATGGGTGGCCGCTTGTGATACAACAAAGAATCCGATGCAGGACGAAGTCGTGGAACCTCTCAATCTCCGACAATCAGTCTGGTTTTGAAGAAATGAGGTTCGAGAGTGTACATGGAAGCATTGATCCGTTTTCTGGGATTTCTGGAAAAGAGCCTGCAGAACGTTCTTGTAGCAGTTCATTCTGAGCACAGGACACTGATGCCAGTGGAGGCCACGAGCGTAGCCAAGGCCAAAGAGAGAATCGGCAGACTCGAAACGCATAGAGGCAACCAAGACCGATCAAGGCCAAATGCGCGTATCGGGCCCTGTGCACACGTTACAGGCAACGGGAATGCTGGTTGAGATGAAGATGGAATACCAACCGTGTTCTTCGGAGATGATGTTGTTTGTTTGCTGTTCCCGGCGACGCTGGTGATGAAATATCTTTGCTTATGTAAGGATACAAATGCGGCAAAGTTGGTGTTTCAGATGGCACGCGACAAGCCGCTAAGACTTTCCAATTGAGCCTCGTATCATTGGTTCACCTCCTTTCGCTTCTCTTCTCCAGTTCTCAATAATCTCACTTGATCTCACTCTTTTTTCATGCACCTTTTCTTTCCATATCAACTTCAAGCCTTCATCTTAATTACCTCCAAGTCCTTGACCGGCTACAAAGCTGATGAATGAATGCCACCCTCTGAAATATCCTCAACCTATCGTGTGCCCAGTCAGTCATCTTCTTATCTAGCGTCCAAGCTCGAAGTCAACTGCCGATTTACTTTGAAGGCTCGAGTCTAGACCTAATAATGTCAAGGTCAGCATTGATTGACCTATCATGCCGCCGACTTCAGCACCCTATCTCAATTAGCCCATCACGAGGGCTTGGTTGATCCTCGTATTCTTGAACCCAGTTGGCTTTCGCCTCAACCTCCCCTCTTGCCGTCTTCTTGATTCCTTTTGACATAGGAGGCTAGTTCCCTACCTTTTAGGCGCGGCGATATGCGAAATCCCCGACGATGCAACCCAGGGCGCTATGTTCACGCGACCCATTATGATTGTGCTTGATGTCCCTCCGCTGTTCTTTGTCGGACGTTTCACCGACACCTCGAATTCTATGATCTTGGTTGAATCATCTCCTTCACTCTCCTCCTGTTGCGCGTTTTTCTTCAAGCCCTTCACGTCGTTACCATCATTGGATGGCTCGTGCGATATAGGACACGCCAGCCTTTTTTGGAAGTGAAGAGATGCGGTGACACAGCCGAGCCACTGGCCCGTAGCTGTCTGCTTGCATGCTCGGTCATCCCTTCTCCCACGAATAGGCGATTCTGCGATCATGACCGGGCCAGCTCTCCATTTCAATGGGAAGAGACCGAGCCGTCGGCGTCTCATCATTGCCGTCGTCATATTCTTTGTGACCGCCGTCTCTATTGCAATTTTCACATTCGCACGACAAAACTACCATGGCGAGCTCCAATTCCCGTCACCTGAATCTGCCTCGGGTTTCGCCAAGGACCTTCGCGTTGAACAATTCATAAAGCCAGAAGGCATCAAGATCATTGGTCTCGTTTTCTTTGGCAGAAAGAACAGAGTCGAAAACCTGCGGTGCTTCCTCGAGGTATGTTTGCATTCGTTCGTGACCAGCCTGGAAGGTCCTAATTGACGTCCTCAGCGCAACCTGGTCGATAATGGCGGCTGGCTTGACGAGATCCACTGGATAAAGAACACCGACAAGCCCAAGGATCTCGAATACCTTGACGAAATTCTTGCCTCTTCGCCTCGCTACAAGAAGATCGAGCTGGAAGGAGTCGGCTTCGTCGGCTACGGTTATGCTTGGACCCATCTCGAACCGGGCCAGCTGTACGTTAAGATCGACGACGACGTCGTCTGGTTCGCAGACGACACCATCCCTCGTGTGGTCACTTCGAAAATTGCCCATCCCGAATACCTATTGGTCAGTGCAAATCTCATAAATTCACCTTTGATGGGCTGGGTGCATTATCATATGGGTGCATGGCATCCGTACCTACCTGAGTTCGACGTGTACGATCCTCCACTGCTCGACGCCGTTACCTCGCTTCCCACCCGTAAGCCCTGGCGTTATACGGCATACCCCAATTGGACCGGTCCGGACGACTACTACTTCGATGCATTCCAGGATCCACCATACGACGGTCACCGCTGGCTTCGTCTGCAAAACGATTCGGAGATCCATCGTACGCCAGTCAATGACATCGAATACAAAACTTGGGGGAATGCTGTCCAGTCGTGGGCCATTGCGGCACAGGGGCATTACTCGTTTCTTGAGAATCTGGCCGACGGCCGTCTGGATCGCTACAAGATGGGGAAAGCCTGGCTCACTGACTACCGGCGTTTGAGTATCAATTTCATCGCCATCATGGCGGATGATGTCCTGAAGAATTTGCCTATGGATACCGTGGACGAGGAGTGGCTGACCGTCGAGCTCCCCAAAACTCTGGGTCGTAGTATTGCCGTTGAGACGGATGCGTTGGCTGTGCACTTCACGTTTGGAGGCCAGGGCAAAATGCAACAGACGGACTTGTTAGCCCGGTATCACGATTATGCCCTCGAAAATGCATGTGCTCGGAGGGTGTGAAAGCGAATGCGCATGGGTGACGAGATACCTTGCGTTACATAGCGATGGAGTTGGGACTACTTGTCACAGTTCCATAGCGCTTGACGACTTTTTGTATGAGTACTTTTATTGACAATGGTATCAAAGTTCAAGTTATAGTGAACATGTCTCGATGCTCTGGGGGAGCAGAGGAAACTGCAGGAGACCAAGAGCGCATATGCGGAAACTTAATGCAACATCATAAACAACAAGATACTGTACTCCGCCAACATGAGGCGTGGCGGCGGCGGAGGAGGGACACCTACCTGTACGTGTGAAGGAAGCGACGACGAGGTCCTTCGAAGCATTACATGCTGGGTTGCGGCGGATCGAGTGGACAGTCACCCAGATACCTCGTCCTAGCACCGATATCTGTCCTCTTAATTCTGTATCTCAGGCAATTCTGTCATCTGTACCTCACGGTAGTCTGGGTGGCAAATTTCTTAATTCTGTATCTGAAGGAATTCTGTATTCTGTACCTGACGGTAGTCTGGGTGGCAAATTCTGGTGATTCTGTATCTCGGGAAGTCTGTATTCTGTACCTGACGGTAGTCTAGGTGGTGAATCTCCTCAAGCAGATGGCCGAGAGGAGGCTGCTTGGTATTGAACTCTAGGACAAGCTTCCTCTATGGCGCGATCATATCACCTTTGATGGATTGTGCTCATCGTTTTTATTTATCTCTTCTCCTTTGCTACTGACGATCGAGCACAAGTAACGGTCAACAGAGCATGGAGACACCTTGGAGTGTGTTATTGAACAGTGATCGATGAATGAAACCATCGTAGACATAGCCGCCGGCAGTCGCCGCACTTTTGCAACTCTAGCCGTGCTTATCTAAGCACAGGACTGTATCGGTCGGCCTCCCGCTGACACTGCAGTACGGAGCATCCTCAAGCAAGCTGGATCTCTTGCAGCATTGAGCAGGATCACCCGGACTTCTGTGAGGTGGCCGTTTCACGATTTCAGACCGGTCATAGTGGCCGCCACATATCATCGACTTGCCAACCATGGCGACAGGGTCGAAAGATCCTCTACCTCCCCATCTCTCCCCAGGACGTGAAATACACGTGGTCATATCAATACTCTCTGGCCGTCATCAAGCCCAAGAGCACTATGATACGGAAGTCAAACCGCTTCTCGATAGCTACGGGATCGAATACAGAACTCACACCACGACGTCAGCAAAGTCGATCATCACACTAACCAAATCACTATTCTTGATGAATGCCACCAAAGGTGTCAAACAAACTATAATCCTCCTCTCGGGAGATGGCGGCGTTGTTGACATCGTGGACACCCTCACAGGCATACTCAATCGAGGACATACCTCAATATTCTTCAAGCCTGCCATCGTTCTCATCCCCATGGGCACGGCCAATGCTTTAGCATGGAGTTCCAAAGTGGCACAAGATCCATTGAAGGTCATGATGACAGGGACTCCCAAACCCTTGCCGTCATTCCAAGTGCATTTCAGTCCTGGTGCAAGGCTCGTCACCGACGAAGGACAAGACCGAGAAGCTCTGGCAGAGAAAGAAGAAGATGAAAGTGTCATGTATGGCGCGGTAGTCTTCAGTTGGGGTCTACACGCGAGTTTGGTAGCTATGAGTGACACGACGGAATACCGCCAACATGGTATAAAGAGATTCGGCATGGCAGCTGAGCAACTTTTGAAAGATGAACATGTATACAAAGGGAGGATCAAATGGAGAAACGGAGGCTCGGAGCAGGTTGAGATACCCACCAACGAACACTCTTATATCCTCGCCGTCTTGGTCTCCAACTTGGAAGAACACTTTCAAATTTCCCCTGCAACGGAGCCGGTTGACGGCGCTCTACGACTTGTTTATATTGGTTCAGAGCCTGGATCTGAGATTATGCGCATACTCGGACTGGCTTATCAGGCTGGAAAGCACGTCGAAGATCCAAAGGTCGTCTACGAGGACATCGAGAGTCTCAGGATTGAGTTCGAGGAAGACGACGAGCAGTTCAGGCTGGTTTGCGTGGACGGGAAGATTGTCGCTGTGGCCAGGGGTGGGTGGGCTGAGGTTACGAGGCTGCCAGGAACAGGTGTCGAGGCGAGACGGGTCGTCGATCTAGTGTGTTGATATAGAAGGACACGCCAATGCACGGAGACACCGCCGTGAATTCCCAAAGGATACCATGTCTGTCCCGTGCGTATGTCGTTCATAATGGTAATCAGGTACAACAGCCTTGCAAGACCAGGAAGACATTCCTTAGTCAGCTTCTTTCACGTGTCGTGCGGGGGCCAGCGCAGCTTCCGCCTGATGCCCCTGGCGCTGACACCCGCTGACGTCCCCCCGAAGCCAGCAGCATTTCGTCTCTGTAGCCTCACCATCCAGGAAACCCGAAACTGGCGCAACAACTTTTCATCAAGTCGCTTTTCGTGTTCTGCGAACTACTGATCTCCTCGACTGCGTTCGTTTCTTGTCAACTCTCCCACGGCCATTAAATCCTGCCGCACAGCGCGCAGTCAGCCGGCACATCTGCAAAAGGACAATGACAGCCTAAAGTCCAGCTGCGATTACATGTAACGACCTATACCGCGTGATCGAACATCGTGACTAGAGTTCAGACGGAGCCATAAGGTCACTAGGACAGTTCCCGCAACCAACGCGCAACCATGAGTGGTTGGGGTACGTACAACAAGTCACCTTCGTGATGGAAATATCCTAACCGACAATTCTAGGCTGGTTCTTCCTCCTTCTCATTCTCCTCATCGTTTTCGGCGTCGGCGGCTGGGCCATATACACACAAGTCAACGCGAGAAGACAAGGCCTGCCCGCGCCGTCACTGAAATCATGGAAAACATACGTCCCATTCATGAACAGACAAGGCTCCACCAACTACCCTGCACCACGACGCTCAGGACCCTTCGAATGGGTTCGCGACCAGATCTCGAAACTCGGCAACAAGCGCACCGCGAGAGGAGCGTATGAGGAGGCTGGTGGTGAGGCAGGGTACAGCGGTGTCGGCGCTAGACGAGGCCGCGGCGTCGAGGACGATGCTTGGGATACGAGAGTTGGCAACGAAGATCCCTATGCTTCGGGACCCGGATACGCGGGCTATGAGGAGCAAGAGCTTGGTCTTGCGCCGACGCCTGGTGTGCAGAGTGGACCGTATGGTGAAAGCAGCGGCGTCGGAGGCGGAGGTGGAGGTGGAGGTGACTACCTGTCTGCTGGGAGAGGATATACGGACGGAAACAGAGGTCGTCCTGGATCGCGAGGTGCGGATCCTTTCGGTGATCAGAATGAGGCGCCGAGTCTGAGGAGTGTGAGTCCGCGACCGGTCGGACATACCAAGAACAACGAGAGTCTGGACACCCAGGGAAGTGGGGATGGGAACACCAGTCCCATCAGTACCAGGAAGAGTGTGTTCAGGGAACAGATGTCGTGAGTGATGATACATTGAAGTCAGAGTGCAGGAAAAGAAATCCGTTGCGCCAATGTCAGCGTCTATGCAACGGTCAATTTGCGTTGCGCAAAAGTCACGATTCATCACCATCATCACTACCACCACCCTTACTGTCATACAATCGCTTCAGTCAACGCAAACATCAGCGCGTTATTGGACAGATGCCAAACAGGATTTTACGAGACTTTTTGTCTGTGGGGAGCTTCATATCATGTGCTTTAGTTCAAGTCAAGCGGTGTCTTTTCTGGGAGCATCTGGACCGCTTTGTTGTAATTTCAGGCGAAGGTCAATAAAATTGAAGACCGAGGTGTCTTACTATTACCACATCAACGATGGATGACTTTGTCAAGAAACGTAGGAAGCAGGACCTCACATTGATGACAGCTTTTGAGATGATTCTACATTGTATACGAGACTTATAAGATGACCGTTTGGGGCTTGTTGTACAGCCTCTCTGTGGTCTGGTAGGTCAGCGCTGCGTTGATCATATAGCCCCCCTGCCTGGCGCCGCCCCATAGCCTCGTCCAAAGCAGTGCTCTTATGTCCGCGACAAGGGCTTGGATCCCTAGCGTCCAGAGCGGAATGTCGACCAGCTCGGTCAACGGTATACGGTGACTAGCCGGAGTGGCAGCAGGCTTTTTGTATGCGGTTTGGAGGAATTCTTCAAAGAATTTCTGGCTGTCGTCCCACCACACTGCCTCTTTACCGTGACCGGAGTGAACGTGGCCGAAAGCATGTAAGGTGGGCTTCACGCGCCAGACCTCCTGTAGTTCGAACTCGTCGCCCAGGCCGCCGCTTTCGGGAAGATCGAGGTGCCATTTGGGCGGGTTATGCGTGACTAGCACATCGACGTCGTCCGGTACGGTGTCCGTCCAGGCGTCTTGGCCTCTGTTATACTGGAATGCGAATTCTTTACCGCCGCACTTGGGGATGTGAGGGGCGCCGTAGACTTTCAGGCGTCGGTCGTCGGGGAATGGGAGGGTCACCGCTGAGTGTTGTAGGTATATGATCTTGCCCCAGTCGAGTTTGCGTCCTCCGTTTCTTTTGTCGTGGGCACTGCGGCTGCGCTCGTCGAAGTAGCTGTCGTGATTGCCGGCTACTACGATAATATACCGGAAGCCATCTGAGGAGCCGTACCATGGTTTCTGCAGGGTCTTGAGCCAGTCTATTGATTGTTGTATTGATGAGAGGGTGCCTTTATCGGTGAGGTCGCCGCAGTGGATGAGGAGGTCGCCTTTCGGGAGGGCTTTGGGAGGAATCTTGGAGTGGGTGTCGGATATGCAGACGACTCGTATGGGAATTCTGTTCTTGGGCCGGACGTATGACGGGCCCCGCAGGTAGACGAAGAGGTGGTGGAAAAAGGTGAAGCATGTCGTTAGTGGGTGGAAGATGAGTTGGTACAGGAATGAGGGAGGTGCAAATGGGGAGTCTGGTGGTGATAGCAGTCCCATCCTTGCTTGTTGATTCTGTCCTCAGTTTGAGTTGCAAGGTAGTCTTTCCTCGTCCTCGAACAAAGATGTCCTTCAATCACAATTAATTAGAGTCACCGCGATGGTAAGGACTGCTCAATTGGAAACGGCAAGCTCATGACCGGCTGCTTGCTTCTTGTTAGTTCTGCGATCGCATGGTCTTCTGTTATTAATAGCTAAGCTTATAGCAAGTACAGTTTCTGTGTCTACACAACAGACGCGTCGAAGTTGTTGCACACCCACAAGTAACTTAGTCAAAGTGGATAGAGCATTTTTCGCATTGGAAGTTCCGACACCAACCGTGAATGGCGCAGGTGGCGCCTCTCATCATATGTCATCATGTTAGGTTTGGGAACAGCTCATCGTGCGGTGCCGTGAGTGCTCAATACTGCCGCTTGATTGTAGATCCGTCACCGTCACAATCTCGGAATACGAAGGAAGAGAAACTGGGAGAGGTCTGTTCGCATGACGAATATAGGAACAGTAGAAAGAGAAATGCTGAAGCCTTCCTTTGTAGCTTTCATCTTTAATCCATAGCTACCAACGAGTACCTGTATACACATCACCAGCACCAAAGACTCAAGAAACCAGGAACCCCACCACTGGCAGTCAATTATCACATTGACATATTCAGGTTTCGATACCAATAAACCTACCGCCGGGAATCCATAATTGATATCACTGTCGCCGTCACAACTCGACCTGTCCCGCGTTTGCTATTATTGCAGCACTGTCCTAATCGCATTTCCAACAATCCCATCTGGTCTTTTCTGTTCCTCTTCTTGAAACAACTTACACCGGGGTACCTGCCTCGCCTTTTCAATCTGTGATCATCAGACCTCCAGACTTCATGATCCACCTTCAAATATCGTCCAGTATTCAGTCCTCGATGCCCTCGATCTGATAGCCGCCGCCGCCCGTTGGTTGGATTCCCTCCCCTGGCCCACGAATCACATTCATCATCCTGCTTGCGTGCAGCGCACACTCACAGACATTGTTCACCCACCAAAATCCGCATCATACCGAAGCGCAACGGCTCGCATTTCCCTCAAAAGCCTACTTTTTGACAGTGCGAGATAAGATTAGTGTCAAAGAGGAACAAATAACCCCAGGACACACAAAAGATACGCCCGCTTGTTATCCGCGTCAGCATCCTAAAAAACAAGTGGTCCGACTATCCGGAAGCGATCAGATCCCAAAAGGTCCACCCACCATCGTCAAGCTTGGAGCCAGTTTGTGCCAGGCTCTGACGCCGCTCGCAGGCGAGGCCAACTGCGGTCTACTGCGCCCCGAATCATCCCCTTCGCACCTTAATTGAACACCTGAACAATCCTTCACAATTCCTCCCCGATATCAAGCTGGCCCTGCAAAGGGACCAGTCTCTGTGCACCCTAACACCTTGTTGGCCGCCAACGCCGCTGTCTACGCCATGATGAACGGTACTGACCTCAAGAATGCCGTTCTGAACCCGGCAAAGAAAGTAGCGACAACCGCAGCCCTCGCAGCCAACAGCAACGGTCAAAAGAAGCGACGGAAAGGCGACAACCTCAAACCCATCATCACCACAGAGAACGCGTCCTCGAGTCTTCACGAAAGCCCCACCCAAGTAGAACCAGAGTAAGTCCAAGAGGTCTCATGTTATTCGCGAAGCGCTTTGTCATGCATCTCAGCTTTCGCTTCGCACTCGATAATCGCATTCTGTTCCTATTTTGCCTTAACTCTCACTCAGCCACACCGAACTGATCATCATCCCTCAGAACCATGGATTCTCCTCTAAATCACGCCAAAGTGTCAGCAAATAACTCACATTCTCATAGATCACCCTCATCATCCACCTCAGAAGAGGACCCTGCCGAAACCACGGCCGACGAAGAAGACTCCGAAGACTACTGCAAGGGCGGCTATCATCCCGTCCATGTGGGAGAGACATATAACAACGGCAAATATGTTGTTGTGAGGAAGTTGGGATGGGGCCACTTTTCGACGGTTTGGCTATCAAGAGATACAACCACCGGCAAACATGTCGCCCTGAAGGTTGTTAGATCAGCAGCGCATTACACGGAGACGGCCATTGACGAGATCAAACTATTGAATAAGGTCAACCAAGCAAATCCTAAGCATCCCGGTCGCCGATACGTCGTCAGCCTTCTCGATTCCTTCGAACATAAAGGTCCCAATGGTGTTCATGTGTGTATGGTCTTTGAGGTTCTGGGCGAAAATCTTCTGGGCTTAATTAAGAGATGGAATCATCGAGGCATCCCCATGCCTCTGGTCAAACAGATCACGAAACAAGTCTTGCTCGGACTGGATTATATGCACCGCGAATGCGGAATCATCCACACCGATCTGAAGCCGGAGAACGTCCTTATCGAGATCGGCGATGTGGAACAGATTGTCAAAGCCTTCGTAAAAGATGAAAAAGAGTCAAGTAAAGACGACAACAGAAACGGTCGGAGACGGAGACGGACCCTCATCACCGGCAGTCAGCCTTTACCGAGTCCACTCAATGCCAGCTTCACGAATTTGGACAAACTCGGAAACAGTCATCAACACCAGGCGAGCAGCTTGAACCAAGTCATCAATGAGTCCGTCAACAACTCTTCAGAAGGCCTGTCTATGATCGAGCAGTTGAGACTGAAGAATCAATCGAAAGACGGCGACGAACCCGGGAAGACCAGAGAAGGTACAGCTGATCCTTTGGAGAAAGACTTGGCTGGGGTCACACTCGAGAACAAGAATGCTGAGAAGGTGTGGAAAGCGGCAAAGAATCAAGACGATCCTCTAAGTGAGATCATCTCTGTCAAGATTGCTGATCTCGGAAATGCCTGTTGGGTGAACCATCATTTTACCAATGATATTCAAACTCGGCAGTACCGATCGCCAGAAGTGATTCTGGGCGCGAAATGGGGTGCCAGCACGGATGTCTGGAGTATGGCTTGCATGGTACGGTAACCTGGCTGATCGTAAAACGTCAGAAGCTAACAACGCGCAGGTTTTCGAGCTCATCACCGGAGATTATCTCTTTGATCCTCAATCGGGCACGAAATACGGAAAAGATGACGACCACATTGCACAGATTATCGAACTCCTCGGTCCTTTTCCCAAGTCATTATGTCTTTCTGGCAAATGGTCTCAAGAGATCTTCAACAGGAAAGGCGAACTACGCAACATTCACCGATTACGACATTGGGCGCTCCCAGACGTTCTCAGGGAAAAGTATCATTTCTCGGTTGAGGAAGCCAAGAGAATTGGAGATTTCCTGCTCCCAATGCTGGAGTTGACGCCAGAAGCACGAGCAAATGCTGGCGGCATGTCCAATTCTGAGTTTCTCAAGGCCACCAAGGGCATGGAATCTGTCACCGTAGATATTCCGATGGGCACCAAGGGGGATGGCATCGAAGGGTGGTCTACGGAGATCAAGAAACGATGATATGTGTTTTCAGTTGTGTGAATGACAGGGGACATACATGTCACGTACCGAATAAATGACCTTGAGGCGGATGGCAGGATGTCTTTATGAATGAATCACGAATCTTGCCCCTGTAGGGGATTTGTTCTTGTCTTCTTCATGATCACTTGACATGAGGATGTGGATATAGAAGTGGCCACCATTTATATTTGTGTGAGCTTGACCTCTCAAATGGTGAGGAATGTTATACAAGGGAAGCTGATGTGCCTGTTCGGTGGGTAGTGTTTCTGATTGCTCAGCGGTACATGTTTTTGAGGTTTCCTTCCACAATGCCCCTTCCCTTGCGACTGTCTCGGGCCCTGGTGGGAGGCTGACACAATATTTGAAGTTTCAAGCAGCACCAGGAACGGAAGACGCTGAAATCGTATCCTCAGTCTAGCTTCAGCCGTCCTTTCAATGCCCAACAGGTAAACATCCCCAGCACGTTCTGACAATACAGTAATGCTGACTCAATTCTATTGCTTCGCAGCATTCGATGTCAACCGCGACCTCCGAACTGAACAACGCGCGTCCGAATCAAGACAGTGCGACCCTTTCCCTGATGTTCCAGAAAGAACATTGTGTGAACTTCTTGCTTGTCTCTTCACCGACAACTGGGTATCAGGCCGACTGCCAATCGAGGCACGCGGCTGGATTTTATGGGCTTAAGCCATGCCTGTGTTCTAAAGTCTGCCATGTACGAGCGCGAAGACTGTTCCTCGTGGAAGCTTCCAACAATCGTCTGAAAGCAAAATTCACAGCTTTGCCCGTGACTGTATCCCTTGAGCCTTCTTTACTACTGCTTCAGCACATCTCAAGCCGATCAGATATGCATTGACTTGAGTGTGGTTGCAAGTCAAGATTGGACAGACACTCATGTCCGCTACCCGCAGACCCGTGACGCCCACGACTTCGAATTCATTGTTAACCACACGTCGAGGGCCTTCACTGCGACCCATTACACATGTTCCCATACTGTGGAATCCTTGGGTCAAAGTCTCACGAATGAAATCTTCAAGATGCCTCTCAGAATCTCCTTCTGGTGCCAGGAGAGGCGTCTGGATGATCTTGGACAAAGCATCCGTACGGCTGAGACGCAGTATCTCGCGAAGTGTTTCGACCGCAACGCGTCTGTCGAGTGGATGCGTCAAGTATCGTGGATCAACCAATGGCAGGTCATAAGGGTCACGGCTTCGGAGCTTTAGGCTGCCTTCGCTGAGGCAATTCTGGTTGAGACCTTCGATGACCAGAATACTCGCGTCAGTCGGGCAGGGTCCAGTGTAAAAGAGCGGCCCAGAATGCATCCAGATCTCGGTGCTTGGTCTGGTGGGCTTCTCCAGAAAAGCCTGTGTGCTCTCGTCCAGTTGAGCAAACTCGGGCGACGACAACACGGCCTTGAGACGAGGAAAGATCAATGCTGCACTCGCACCAAACACAGACATTGGCCCCGACTTGCTGAGCGCGTACTCCTGTTGGGCCGCTTCCAACAATTCCGGCGAGTTCAGCAGCTGGTTGTGGCCTGCAATATCTGGCGACACGACGTACTCGCATGCGAAGGCGCTGTGATCGCGGATCCTCTTACCAACTCCTGGAATATCAGCAACGACGGGTATTGAAAGCGCCTTCAGGTCGGATTTGGGACCTATGCCCGACAGCAGAAGGAGCTGAGCCGACTGAAAAGTCCCTGCGGTCAAAATGACCTCCTGACTGACCGCGACCCGAACAGAACCTCCCAGTGATGCCGAGAGCTTCGACGGTATGAGCTCAACACCTGAAGCCTTGTTGTCGCCGAACAAGACTCGCGAGCATAGTGTGTCCGGGACTATGGTCAGATTCGTCAAGGCTCGTCGTTGGGATAGACCAAGGAAGGCATTGGCACTGGTCACTCGTACACCGTCACCGACACTGAATTGAGCCACAGCAAAGCCAACAGGATTTCCATCGTTGTTGTCAGCATTCAGGAGGTGGCCAGCTTGTTGAGATGCTTCCAGGCAATGGAAGATGAGGTCTTGCCAGACTAGAGGGAACTGAACAGCAATGGGCCTATGGCAGGACTTCGTCAGAGGCTGGACAGGTCAATGTCTGCAGACTTACCCATTCTTCCCATGAGCACCAGGTGTTGCCTTCGCATACTTCTCCATTCCTGCTGGGCAGCCAGGTCGAAAGTCCTCCAGCTGTTATTGAGCATCGCGTCAGCTTATTTGCATGGACCAGAGGCATGGTCACGAATCTCACCTTGTTAAGGATCTGCTTGACGTTGTCCCAGCGCCACCAAGGGTCATCGACCAGGTCAGCCCAATCATCATAGTCAGCAGATGGTCCTTTCACCCATGCCATGAAGTTGTTGGCTCTTCAGACACTTAGCATCTCCGCCGCTTTCACTACAGTCATCACTTCACTCACGAACTCCCACCCAAACCTCGTCCTCGAGGATACACAATTTCTCGACCCCTCAACTCTTGCTGTGGAGCCGTCTGGTAAAGCCAATTCCCGTCCTTGCTCCCAAACTTCCCCTTCGTCAGTCCTGGCACGAGGTTGTCTGAATCGGCTGAATCATCGGGGCCTGCCTCGACCAGCAAGATGCGCTGATCCGGAAGCTCCAAGGCCAGCCTTGCAGCGACAAGACAACCGGAAGTGCCCCCTGCATAGTTCAGCCTTGTTCAATTTGGTGCCAAGCGCCTTACCTCCGACGACGACATAGTCGAATTGTGCGCCATCCAAGGCTCTAAGATGGGCCATAGCGACGTTCGTTTATCGGACAGACCGCAATACGGCTCGCCTTTGTATCAGATTCATGACACACCATAATTGGCCTTTCACTGTCCCAAACCGGGGAATTATATTACCAACCTTTAGACCTTATCTGAGGCCTTTTCTCAGATCGACAGACACTTTTACTTGTCTACCGCCCTTGAGTACCGAGATAATGGACCAGGTAGGTGGTCGAAACACGGGCAAGGAACTCTATCAGGTACCTAGATCCGCCGAAGTTCCCGCAGCACGGGCCATGATCCTGAACAAGCCAGCCTACAAGGCTACAACTGTTCCACGAGAGTCGCCCGGAGCGACTAGTGGGTTTGTTGGTGATCGTTATCTGCAGCTTTGATGGCAAAAGTGGAACATAGAGCCCAAGAATCAAAAGGTGGGGGATGTTCTCCGCTCCATCATTGGCCGTTGTCTCTCAGATAACCGGCACGGACTCCAGCCAATACTACGACGACGGATTGATAAATGGATTAAGACGAATTGTCATACACAGTATGTCCCTACGATATTGGAAGTATTTGTAGGGTCGCGTTTCCATCTCGTCTTCTAGCCCCGGAGACAATCGGCAACCTTCCTTTGCTTGCAAACTTTGTACATTATACTTATACCATCACTGCGTTGCTATCGTGGGCGAGGGTGTGTCGAGAGAACGAGAAACAGTATTCGAGGGAGCCCAAACATAACACACACCAGACCATACCATGGCTACCACAAGAGCCCCCGCGGCGTCAGCCACTTCGACCGAGAAGTCCTTCGAAGAGTCCCACCCCAAGGAAAGCGGCCACCCGCGTGCTCATGCCGCACCACACGATCTACTCGGTGAGAAAGCAGCACCATTTTCTACAACAAGATACTGATTTCCTATGCAAGATGTCATGGAGCAGGGAACAGTCCAAGTCGATGAGCCCAAGATCCTGGGCGGCTGGAACGTGAAGCTCGAAAAGCTTTTTGGCGTCGAAGCCCGTGGTATCGAACGCGTCCTCGAAGCCGACAAGCCTCCCAGGGCCACCTTCGCCGACTTTGTCCAGATCGTCCTGCTCTGGTTCTCCGCCAATTTGACACTGAACAATCTGACGATCGGCCTGCTGGGGCCCCTTGTCTTTGAACTCGGCCTGACTGATGCCATGCTCGTTGGAACTTTCGGAACCATAGCAGGCACCCTAGGCACTGCGTATCAGTCCACATGGGGCCCCGTGAGCGGAAACAGAACCATGGTAAGCCCCGTTCTGTTTCTAACATGCGATTGTGATTAATACTGACCTGCTCCAAAAGGTTGTCGCACGTTACACCATGGGTTGGTGGCCGTCCAAGATCTGTGTGCTGTTGAACATGGTCATCATGTTGGGTTATGGACTTGTCGACTGTCTCATTGCCGGACAACTTCTGAGTGCTGTGGCCGGTGGCTCGATGTCCGTCATTGTCGGTACCATAATTGCGGCCGTCATCTCACTGGTGGTCGCCCTGTTCGGTATCAAGCTGTTCCATACCTACGAGCGATATGCATTCATCCCGCAAATATTGGTGTTGTTCATCTTGATCGGCGTCGCGGGACCATACTTCAACGCTGGAAGTGCCACGGTTGGAGCCGGCACTAGCGTTGCTGTTGCAGACCGGTAAGCTCTTTTTCCTCGCCTCTAAAATCACGATGGCTAATGACCCGGTGAAGAGTCAGCTTTTTCTTTCTCGCCGCGTCCGCTCCCTTGGCATGGTGCCCTGCCGCATCTGACTATTTCGTCTACTTCCCCAAGAATTGCGCGCGCAGCAAAGTCTTTGGCAGCACATTACTCGGTCTTGGACTGAGCTCGGTCATCATGGTCCTTATCGGAGTCGGACTCGGGTCTGGCGCACTGGTCAAATCAGACTGGACGGACGCATACGATGTCTCAGCCGGCGCTTTGATTGTGCAAGCACTTAGCCCGCTGGGCACGTTCGGACATTTCTGCTCGGTCGTCCTGGCGCTGGGTTTGATTGCCAACAATATCCCCGGAACGTACTCTGCTGCCTTGGGCTTCCAGCTGCTTGGTCGTTGGTTCCGCGTCATCCCCCGTTGGATCTGGGTTATTGTTTCTGTGGTCATCTATACAGTATGTGCCTGCGCCGGACGCAACAACTTGTTCAACATTTTCGAGGACTTTTTGGCCCTGATGGGATATTGGACCATCATGTGGTGCACTATGACCTTGGAAGAGGAGCTGATTTTCCGACGCAAGATTGGATATAACTGGGATGACTGGAATGTTCCTTCCCATCTACCTATTGGTATCGCCGCCTTGATTGCATTCTGCATTGGATGGGTCGGCGCGGTGTTGTGCATGTACCAGGTGAGTCACAGCGTACACGTTACAATGGACAAAGCAAGCTAACAGTGTCTCAGGTCTACTTCACTGGTCCGATTGCTAAACTTGTCGGGTACGGTATCGACCTTGGATTCCCGGTCTCAGCGGCATGGTCTGGAATGTTCTACCCTCCCCTTCGCTATCTTGAGTTGAAGCACTTCAAGCGATGAGTGGCATATTGTCGGATTATCACTGCATACGTGGTTATAATCAAATGCTGGATGGACTAGATCATGGCTAGCAGCAATGCTTCTTACGCATTGGAATTGTCACAATATCAGAACTGAAGAATCAACTTTGTGCTCGGTCTCGGTCATCAGTGCTCTTCACATTTCTTGTTGCTTGCTATGCATCCACCACCTGTCTTACACGAGTCCCCTACCTCGTATGCACGCTGAAACGAGCCTCGCCAAGTACTGAAGTAGCCATATTTTCGACAGGTCACCAATATCCCCCACTCTTCTGGTCGGATAACATCCCCATGATATGTGGAAATGTGTCAAAATCATCTCAAAGAAGCATTTTAACACGAACAGTGGTGATGTCCTCGACTGTCTACCTCAATATAGGAACGGTGGGCATGAAATCGATCCGAGTCTCCGTACGTGTACCTGGCAATGATGGGGTGTTCTCGGCCCACAGAGCCTCGTCGGCAGCCTTGATCCGGTATCAGCATGCGATTGGTCAGCCTTGCGCCTTACCATCTTTCGCAGATATTTGGTTGCAAGTCTTCATCATTGAACTCTTCCGAATCCCATCAACCCTTGTCTCATGCTTGACCTTGTCAACACCTCACGAACAGAAGTGTCTGTATAGAACCATCCCTTGTTCCGCGTTGGAGATGCACGAAGCTCTTGGCTCTGGTGGAGTGATCATGAAGCAAGCACGTGAACCGTGGTCTGACATTGTTGAAAAGTCCCGCAACAAACAACTGCTACCTAAAACCCTCGCAGTCGGCCCTACCCATGCTTCTCTGAATGAACACAGAGGTGAGTGTATCTAAGATCCTGTCAGCTGTTCCCGAGGTAGCTACCCCACATAGGACGATGGTCTGGATGGCATAAACTGGTTGGTGGACGTCTTCGTGCAAAGTTCTCACAGCAGCAATCTTTTCACTTCTCGTCTTCTTCGCAACTTTGGTATACGATCCTTTACGCAATATGGGCTCGATCTTGCAGGCTCCGTCAGTGAAACAAAGTGTGATTGTGGTTGGATCAGGACTCGCAGGTCTGTCGGCCGCCTCCGAGCTGGTCGCCCGAAATGTGCCTGTTGTTATCCTTGAGCGGCAGGCGAAGCCCGGAGGGAATTCGATCAAAGCATCCAGCGGAATTAATGGCGTACCAACCCGGTTCCAACCGCCAGGATTGGACTCCCTGCAACATTTTCTCGACGATACCATAAACTCCGTCAGCTCCAGCGTCATGAGCACCATGACTGAGACACGACGAAGCTTGATATCAACATTGACGAGCTCTTCTGCGTCCGCCATCAACTGGCTTGTTGATGAGAAAGGAGTTGATCTGTCCCGAGTTGCACAGCTTGGTGGCCACAGTCATGCGCGGACTCACCGCGGCGCTGGACAAACGCCGCCTGGAGCAAGTATAATTACCACCCTGCTGAGCCAGCTCAAGGCCAATCCATTGGTCGAATTACAGATAAACACGACAGTCACGAAGGTGTTGACGTCGCAAGGTGAAGTCATCGGAGTCGAGAGCCAGCAAGGCGGTAATGTGCAAACGTTGCACGGCCCTGTGGTATTTGCAACGGGTGGGTTTGCAGGCGACTCCACTGGTGCTCTTACACGGTATCGTCCTGACCTGCATGGCTATCCCTCTACCAATGAAGCGCTCCCTGGCAGTCAAGATCTGTTGAGCGAGATCGGAGCGCAATTACTCGACATGGATCAAGTCCAGGTGCATCCGACAGGATTCATCGACCCCAAAGACCCATCGAAAACGACAAAGTTTTTGGCTGCAGAAGCGTTGAGGGGCGAAGGCGGCATCCTTTTGAGGCGCGGGAAGCGATTCGTCGATGAATTGCAGACTAGAAAAGTGGTAACTGAAGCAATAACTGCGCAACCACCTAGCACGACCGAAGGCACCAAACAGTGGGATATCGTCCTCCTTCTGGACGAAAAGACGTACCAATCAACAAAGTCACACGTCGATTTCTATCTCTGGAAGGGTTTGATGCAGAAGAAGACGATTTCGGAGTTGGATCATTCGGACGTTGTGTTGGAGACGCTTGAGCAGTACTCAGATATTGTACAAGGCAAGGAGACTGACGCTCTCGGAAGGAAGTCATTCGGCAACTGGGCCTTGCGAGAGCCGAAACCTGATACTGTCGTATATGTCGGCAACGTGACGCCAGTAGTACACTATACCATGGGTGGTGTCCTCTTCACTCCTGACGCTGAGGTCCTTGATGCGGACGGGAAGGCCATCGATGGGCTGTGGGTAGCAGGCGAGATTACGGGAGGTATACATGGTGCCAATCGTTTGGGAGGCAGCAGCCTGCTCGAGTGTGTGGTGTTTGGACGGATAGCAGGCCGCAACGCCGCGCGATATGTCGAGACAACGAGTGACAAAAGATGAGAATAGAGATGAGGCAGGTCAGTATGGCGCAGGCGCAAGGTGTCCATCAAAATAGCTTTGACTATTGGGCAGTGACTTCATCGTCAATGGTTTGTGAATTAGTTGTGGTGGTTGCCAATCAAAACGTATGAGACAAAGAGGATGACACAGGCATGCAACTATCCGCTGGTCAATATTGGAATTGCGAGATCAAATCTACAGCGATTGTCTTCGGGAAGCTTGTACTCTTCACTCGTGTCCTCACATTATCAAGCGAAGTTCATTGAGCGATTTCATCGACACGGAAGCGCCACATTGCCTGCACCGACTTACACTGTCACCGCCTGGATTGCTTCTTTCACTGCGAGACTGTCACATCGCTCTTACCACCATGTTCATGAGCGGTTCTTTACCTGATTCATGCTAATTCTCTCCGTGGATTCGAGCTCTTTCGATCCCCGAACCCTAGTCGATCTCACACACCGAAGCGGCGAAGCTTTATCAAATGGAGACAGCCCTGCCCTGATGGGGATATAAGAGGCAGATGAAAATGGCAGACACCATGGAAGACAGTATTGCGTGGTCTAAGGTCGATGAAACATCCGTGGCCATTGAGAAGCTGCGGCTCCTGTGCCATACCCGGGCAGAGTTGACCAAAGAAGGCTATGTGGCTGAACCTCTGTCTGTCAGGCAAATCGAGGCGAAAATGAGGTGCTTGAAGTGCTCAGGTCAGTACTACTCTTGTTCCCTTATGTCGAAGATACGAAGTCTGACTTCTCAGCTCGAGTCAAGAAGCGACCAGGCCCGAAGTGCTTTCCAGCCCCTGTGACGCAAAATAAAATCATGAATCCTGGAAGCGAACAGAAGAAGACGGACAACTCCAACAAGCGCATGAACAAAGGAGAACAGGTAGATGCTGCACCTAAAGGTCCTCCTCCGCCCAGATGCGTGTATCATCCTGGTAGGGTCAAGGACAAGGTATGCCGCCCACTTCTCTTACTCCGGCGTGGCTAACGTCATTGATCAGAGGTTCCTCTGCTGTGGGAAGCATGTCTCACAGCCTGGATGCATCGAATACCAAGAACATATTCTGCCTCTTCACCCTGACAACCGTCTTCTCGAGTACTGGCAGTACCATCCAACTCCTGACTTCGACGCAGAAGATAGCGTGCATCGGTCTCCCGGACGCCGCCCAGGCGGGAAGCAGCTCTGGCAAGACAAAAGGATTGTCAAGGCCCGCAAACCCGTTAGTGCCATTGCTTTGGATTGCGAGATGGGAATCTCAACCACAGGAGAATCAGAATTGATCCGCTTGACTGCCGTTGAGTTCTTTACCGGCGACGTGCTCATTGATCGACTCGTTTATCCAAATGAACCTATGCAACACTGGAACACCCGATACTCTGGCATCACAGGAGCGGACATGCACGACGCGAAGAGGAGAGGTGCTTGTATCTTTGGCCGAGATATGGCGCGGGAGTTACTGTGGAGGCATATTCGGCCAGAGACTATCATCATTGTGCATGGAGGACAAAACGATCTATCGGCACTGAGATGGCTCCATTCACGAGTAGTTGACTCGCTTATTTTGGAATCGTACATGGGCGTGAAGACAGCGGGAGGTAGATCTTTACAGAACTTGTGCAAACTCAAACTGGGCATTGCGGTTCAGCAGAAGGGAGCACGAGTAGGACATGACAGTCTCGAGGACGCAATGGCATGTCGTGAGCTGGTGATTGACTGGATGAGAAGGATTCCAGAGGACTGACGGATTGACATCACTATGAGCAAAGGATGGCTTCGCTCTCCTGGCGGTATCGGGCTCAGGGGTGACAGGACACCAGGTGTTCTCCGGCGAGAGTAATGGCCGAGTCCTGCTCTTATGTGGGTACCAGACACAAGATGATGGCATGTCATTCAACGGAGGTGCTGATGGTGAGGGGATCTGTTCTCACTGGATAACGCAGAAAGGCTGCGTTCATGCTACGCCGCGGTTCGATCAATGTACTTTTCATGATTCCATTCTGAGTTCCAACTCGTTCAAATATGCTTTCTCAAGTTGTCTACCTGAATAGCCTGAATAGCCTGAAGCAGTGCATTCATCCGTCCATCTATGACAGTGTCACCGAGCCGTGAGTACCCTTCGACACCGGTGTCCGTCTGCGCACAAAGACAGGCAACTCCTGACACTTGAGATGGAAACCCTCACGAATATGCGATTCCTTCTCAGGGAACACGACGCGATACTCGAAGAGTCGGAATAGCGTGGCAACCGTCTTCTTGAGTTCCATGTATGCGACCTGCAACACGTAGTCAGCAATTGTTAAAAGGTAAGGCAAGGCGTAGGCGAAGAGTGACTTACATTCCGTCCAATACAAGCTCTTGGCCCGTACGAGAACCCCAAAAACGCCTTCTCCAGGTCCGCAGCGCCCTCACGTCTCCATCGTTCAGGCTTGAAGTCGTGCGCATCGGGCCCCCAAACCCTCACATCGCGGTGGACAGTGTACGTAGGCGTGCTCAGCGTTGTGCCCTCCTCGAAGAACCGTCCACAAGCCATGGCGCCGCCCTTGGGGACGACTCTGGGCAGACCGACTGACACCGTCGTTCGAAGACGGAGTGTCTCGTTGATCACGCCTTGCGTGTACGGCAGATCCTTGCAATCCTCAAACATGGCGACGAAGTCTTGGTCCACATTGGGGAATGCGGCGTCGAGCTCGGCCTGAAGTGTCTTCAGGGCTTCGGGGTGGCGGGCCAGCATATCGACCAGATGCGTGATGGTGTTTCCTGTAGTGTCGCTGCCTGCGATGAGCTGGGTGAGAGCCTCGGCTTTGATTTCGCGGTCGGGCAATTCGCCGCCGGTATCTGGGTCGGTGGCGGAGAGCAGGTAGTAGAGGATATCGCGCCTCGAGGCGTCGCGGCTGGCCATTTTGCGTTTTTCGACTTTGGCGATGCCGATGGCAGCTAGATCTTTCGTGGCTTGGAGGCCTTTGGCGAAGAAGGAGTCGAAGAAGAAGTATGGTGTCCACGTTTTGATCCAAGGCATTTGACCGACTGTTGCGCACCATTCGCCACGGTCACGCAGTTTCTTGATACCGCCGTTGGTGTCTTTGCCTTCGGCGGTGAAGCCGAATGGTTCTCCGAAGGCCTGGATACAGTGGTCAGTGACTTAGTCTTCGGCAAGACAGGAGAGAGGGCGCTCACCAAGTCGCCGATGATATCGAATGCCAGGAAAGCGGACCATTGAGCCACATCTAGGGCGGCCTCGCCTGGTCCTTGTCGAGCTTTGAGCTCGGGATCAACAGCACCAAGAGCAGTGTACCGGTTGGCGCGACCAGTGTCGATCAACGCGTTCATCTGTGTTGCGAGCGTGCCAATGGCGCTGGTCATGTATGGCTCGAAGCCAACCATGGCTTTTGGGCTGAACATATGGGAGACGTACTTCCGCTTACGGCTGTGAGCGGCTCGGTCCCGGGTCGTGAAGATGCCCGACTGGATGTTGTCGAAGGCATAGTAGAACTCGGATTTAGTGAAGCCATTGCCGTGACCTAGGACGTCCTACATCGCATCGTCAATTAATGTGACCAGGCAAGAGGAGACCGTTCAAACGAACCCTGATACTGTCTGGATGCGAAATGCTGACATGGTCCGGTGCCAGCCTGACAAAGTCACCAAGTTCTTTGTGCAAATCGTATGTGACCCATGATAGCTGATGCTGTCTGTGGTTCAGACGTTAGATCGATGCCGAGGTTGATGTGTCTGTGAAACACTTGCCTGGCCCAGTAAAGACTCCAGAGATTTGAGAATTTTGCTACCAGTGGACCGGGGATGTCGTTTAGTTTGCCCTTATTTGCGAGATAAGGTACGATATAATAAGCCTGTTGGTGCTTTTAGTCGCGTATTTCATAAGCGCATCGTGGAAAATAATTACTGCTAGAGTCACGGTACCAAGGATCAGGGCGAGCAAAGATACTCGGGAGCCAGCCCTTACCAGGTCATCGATCGAAATGGTGTCCAAGATCATCGTGAAAGCAAGGCTGGATGGCTTGAGGTTCGGACAGGGGTCCTGGGTGTCAGGACGTATTTGTATCAGGAAAGCACTGACAGTTCAGTAGCCGTTAACGTGAACTCGGTTTCTTAACATCGTACATCCACGGTGTTGGTCACGATCGAGGCCGGATTCTAGTCTGGGCAATGGCGACATGGTGATAGGATATGGTACGACACGCAGTAGTCCGCGCCCTAGATAACGCTCCCGTTCTCACTGGGTGCCTTTGATCGGATGCTGACAGACCAATCAACTGTGGGAATCACCGGTCCCCATCCTTGAATGTACCCCAGATTCCGGGCTGCATTTACACCTTGCCGATGAAGCTCTCGACCAAACTTCGGAGACCGGTTAGGTATCAGACGTTGCAGAATCAGAGCGCTTCCGTTGAACTCGCAAAACAACCGATCGAAGGAATGACAGTGCCGATGAGTTTCCACGCGAAGACATATAGGAGTGGACAACATTCAGCCGGTAGATGATTACAGGTTGTCCTCGCGAGTATGGACATATCGGATCACCTCCGATTTAACATGACAGCGCAGGCAAAGCACACTTGAATTCGTACAATAGCACTAAGCAGTGCATTGATGAGCTTCTCGGCAAAAGACGGCTCTGCGGACAACAGCGCTGGGCTCTCTGGGCGTCGCAATAGTCCGGATGGGGGAGAGTAGACCACGCTGTAGGATCGAAGCTGCCTTTTGTAGTCCTGCACTTGTCCCATTGACGTTCGCAAGGGAGCCGGGAAACCCAGAACATTTCTAGAAGTAACGTGTGGTCCACCAATACCCATCAATCGCTGTATCTGTCTGATGTACAGATGGTTTGTGGTGGAAGACAAAACGTGGACGCTTAGGTAATGGTGACCTTGTCCGTCTTCAGCCTCGCCAATCTCAGGGGCAAATGTCCACTTTGTCCCCCAATTTCGTGTTGGAATCCCCCACCTTTGAGAACATAGCCTTATCGGTCGATGCAGACTCACGTGCTGGCCCAGTCCGGGTCATGACTTGTGGCGACCTCGGACCACGTAGTGTCTAGGCTCGTATTCAGACGTGAGCCTCCAGAACGGCCTCTGGATACGCGGCTGGGTTGGAGGAGTACAGTCGGCGTTTGAGCTGTCCAATCGCCAAAGATAGGGCTGGAATCATTGGAATGTACGAAGTACCTTTTCTCTTGCCGAACGAGCTGCTCATAACTGTCATTAGTGCCGTCTTAGGAAGAGTGTGAACCAACTCATATTCTAGGATTTGAAAGACTTGGTAATTTTGGCGTTGAAAATGTCAGGGTTGGATGTAAGTGATGAGCAATAATTTGTTGCACCCCACGTGGCTAACAGACCTCAGATTCTCATCGTTGGTGCAGGCCTTGGTGGACTAGGTGCTGCCATAGCCTTGCGTCTCGCTGGGCATAATGTGACTGTTCTCGAGTCCGCACAGGAGATTGGGGAGGTTGGAGCAGGTATCCAGGTGCTACCGAACAGCAGCAAAGTCTTGCAGTCATGGGGCATCTTCGACAGGATAGATCCGGCTAGACTTTGTACGACGGATGCGTGCAACATCCTGGATTGGAAGGGAAAGCTCATCTCTTCGATGGACTTTGGACCGCCAGCCGAGAAATATGGCTCTCCTTTCTATGATCTTCATCGCGCCGATTTGCACAAAGCACTCTTCGACAGAGCAGTGGAACTAGACGCACAAGTACACGTCAACTCTGCAGTGACGGACGTGCGGTTCGATGCTGAGCAGAATGTCGCATTTGTCACCACAAAGGACGGAAAGGTCCGGCAGGCAGACCTTGTTGTTGGTGCGGACGGACTGCATTCTCAGTGTCGCAAGTTCATTTTGGGAAAGCAAGATTATCCCCGTCGCACTGGGGACATGGCCTATAGGCTCTTGCTCGACGGAGATGAAATCAGAGCAGATCCTGATTTGAGACCAATCTTGGAAGACCGGGCTGTAACTTATTGGTACGGTCCAGGAGCACATGTTGGTAAGTAAGGCCCAGTTCTCCACCATAACAAGACTGACATCGGGCAGTCACATATGCACTTCGCAAAACTAAAATGTTGAACCTTGTTCTCCTGGTCCCTGACGACATGCCGGAAGACGGTCCTTCGACATTAGAAGGCGAGGTTGAAGAAATGCAGAATCTGTTCAAGGAGTGGGATCCAAGGTAGGTCAAACGCACGTTCGTCTTCTGCGTCGTACGCGTACTGATACTTGTCGCAGAATCGTGAAGATGGTGGCAATGTGCAAATCAGTCTTGCGGTGGCGGCTATGCATCTGGGATCCGATAGATACCTGGGTGCATCCGAGCGGTAATATGGTTCTGCTTGGTGATTCAGTCCATGCCACTCTGCCCTACTTGGCCAGCGGGGCGGGGATGTCTTTCGAGGACGGCGCAGTGCTCGGCCTGGCCCTCACTGGGATCAAGAAAACGTCTCCCATTGAAGACCGGCGGAAAGCGTTGGCCGTATATGAGTCATGCCGGCTCAAACGCACAAACGCAATTGTCACACGCGGAAACGTACAGCAAGATCTGAATCACTTAGACGATGGACCCGAGCGAGATGCCCGAGATGAGAAGATGCGAGCATTCGCCAAATTGGAGGAACAACATCAACAGGGCAAACCGGTTGATTGGGGCACACTGAAACGAGGAGAAGACCCTCTTGTCTGGCGGACATTTGGTGTTGGAGAGTGGCTGTTACCGTATATGCCCAAAGAGGATGTACGGCAGCAATGGCAAAAAGGTGCCACGATAAATGCAGGAACCATGGAGACGGCGCATTTGTAGCATAGCGAGTATGAACCCCGAATTTCCCACAGCCGACCGAACTGCAACATGTGCTCAGCTCAGTCCAGCATCTACAGCCCTCTCAAGTGCAGCTTTCTCCCTGGTAAAGTACTCCTTCGCCGAATGCAACTGAAACCCCAGCTCGTCACCGTCATCAATAACCAGCATCTCAGGATTCTCGAAGAACAACATCTCCGATGCGACCATCAGGCTCGTCTTCTGCAACTCCCGCGCTTCAGACTCCGAGATGTACTCGATCCGAACGCGGTCCTGACCCAGTACTTCGTTCATGATTCCCGCAATGTCCCCAAATGTCAATTGCTGGCCCGCCAGTTTCACCTTCCGGCCGTGGTACCTTCCACTACCATCTTGGAGTACTTCCGTCACCGCAAGCCCAATATCAGCTGGATCAAGAAGCGACTGAGGAGTATTCGGCGGCAATACTGTTCGGATGACGCCCTCGCTCGCGAGATATGGAAAAATTCGCTGTGCAAGCGGGTCGACGAACGAATTGAGCAGCCGCGGCACCTGCAGGATCGTCCAGGACTCGAAACCCGCTTCAGTCACGCTCCTCTCGACAGCGATCTTGCTGTATCTATACTTCAATGTTGGATTCTGGGCGCTTGTCCCCCTCAGCTCGCCACGCTCCAGCCGCTCGAGATTCGGCACAGAACTTTGCACGACATGTGTGATGCCCACGTCACGACACACATCTACCACGTTCTGTCCATGCATGGCCTCGCCATCAGGGTCGGTGAACACGGGACTGACATTGACGAACGCTGCAGTGCAGCCTTGGGCCGCGGCCACCATACTGTCCCTTGAGTCGAAGTCGCCCAGGAAGACTTTCGCCCCGACGCGCCGCAGGGCTTTGGCGGAGGCAGATTCCGGGTCGCGTGCGATGGCGTGCACCACAAGTCCGGCCTTGAGCAATCCGCGGGCCACGTAACCACCCTGACTGCCAGTGGCACCGGTAACGAAGACGGTGTGAGGCATGTCTGATCAGCTAAAACCGTCTACTACAGCATCATCCCATGGTGAATGAAACAAGACGTGTCATGGCTTTATAGCAGAGATCTTGTGTCACAAGTCCATACGTGCTTTCGACCCTGTACGGCGGCCGAGCATGGTCGAAGTGATCCGTGGCTGGTACCACGAATCTGGACGTTTGAGGCATCCGGATTTAGTCCGAACCCGGACGAAAAATCGGATAAGAGTGTGACAAAAACCCAAACGAATCATCAGGCAGACTAAATAAACGAGTCTGGTGCATAACAAGCATTATTTTCATTGTCTCGGTCGAGTCTTGTTGCTGCCTACGACAGCGGATGAAGTAGTCGGGTGCTGTTCTTCATTCATCACATACAACGACAAATGCGCTATCTGGGAGTGATGGCTAACCGGATATGCCCAGTCAAGTGACGCGCGCCATAACAGAAATCTCTAGTAACACTAGTAGTGGTATGCATTCCCTCTTCAACATAAAGAAAGTTTACGCCTTGATAGCTCCTCCGAGTGCACCACCACCGAATTGCTGACCGCCCTGGGGTCTTCTGCCACCGCCTTGCCCACCACCCCGAGGAAAGCTCTGGAAGTTGGCACGGCCGCCGCGACCACCCCGGCGGTTTCCTTGGTCGCGCTGGAACGCGTTCGCCATACCGGCAGTTCTCGTCTCCAGCACCTTTTCATTCGATTCGAGAATGCCCATGGCCTTCTCTGAGAGTGTGATAGCCTGGCTTTGTAGGCGAGAGAGTTCGACACCCTTCCGGAAGACGATAGCATCTTTGACCTGGTCAAGAGCAGCAGCCAGTTCTTCGTGCGAGATCATCTTCGAGACGACGGCCGAAATCTTCTTGGCGTCGAGTTCGAACATACTCGAAAGAGTGGTGAGTGACAGCGTGTCGTAGTAAGGGGCGTAGGTGAAGAGATAGGTGCGCAGACCCTCCTCTTGGATCTGCTCTGCGAGCATCGCCTTGGTCTTGTCCTTGTCGTTTCCGAGGAGATCCCAGATGGCAATCTTGCTAATCAGCTCTTGGCATTTCTTCCAATCGCCCTGGGCGAGTGCCTTGGCCGCTTGCATAACGTGGTCGCGGGTGTTCTCCGGGGGACCTTGGAAGACCTGTCGCTCGGTGTACTCGAGCATGCGGCGGAAGGTCTTTGAAATGACTCTCTTGCGGACGTCAGGAGACGAGCCGGTCTGAGCCAGAAGTGGGATTTCAAGGAGCATGCTGCAGGTAAGGTAGACGCACTCCAACAATTCGAGGTTGATGTGCATGTGGAAAGGCAGTTGTCGTTGTCGCTCCAGTCGCTCTTGCTCTGGGGTAACGGTGGAATATCTCTGCATGATAACGCCCTGTGCGAGGAGTTCTTTTTGCCGACCTGATCCGCAGATCTCCTGCAAGACACCTTGAGCCTCGTAGCAGAGTCCAGCTCTGAACGCGCAAAGACCGATTTGGACAAGTGTTCGGTTGAAAAGGATTTGTGTGCTGACATCGAACGATGAAATGTTCTCTGTCAGATGACTCATGAGGGCAAGGTCCCGAGCTCGGTAATAGTTGTCCTGCAATGCCAGGAAGTAGATCTCGCAAAGCATGGCCCGCGCTCTGATGATGCCTTCACTGTTTTCGAATAGGTGATTGCACAAAGTCTGCACAAGTGAGGCGACTTCGGTAATTTGGCCACGGGGTGTGAGTCCCGAGTTCAAATTTGAGGGTAGGGCGACCCACGTCCTCTCCTCCAGAATCTTCACAACCTGCGTCGGCTTGAAATAAATGTGTTCTAGCCGTCTGATAGCAGTTCTGTTAATATTCTCCTGCAGCGCCTCGGCCTTCTCCAACTTCTTGTTGGTAGTCTCAACGTAGATCGACGTGCGTACAATGTCGGTATACAGGGCCTGTTCATCACCGAGTCTTTCGATATATTCGGCAGTGTGAGGGTCTGTTTGCTGCAGCGAGCGGGTCAATTCGTCGTCCAGCCGCTCGAGGAGAGACACAATGCTGCCTGGAATCTTGAATGTTTCGGAAGCTGCAGGGTTAGGTTGCTTTTCGTCATCATCCCATTCCTCAGCAACCTCAGTTACGATGTATTGAGGCTCGTCTTCAAGTGTTTGCAGCAACGAAGAAAACTCTCGCTCGGCCGCGCGCCACGACTCCTGCGACATGTATGCCTGTACTGAAGTCGTAGTGACATCGAATCTAGTTGAAATGATCGTCAAAAGTACCCGTATCCGTTGATATGGTGTATTGGCGACTTCCAAAAGCCTCTCCATAACGCGGATTTGTTCTGACCGGTCTGTGTTCTTCTTGCCTCGGGACTCGATGATAGAACGCAGGTGCTTGAGAATACTCTCTGGCGTATACACAAGAGCTTTTCCGCCTCTGCCAACCGTTGCGAAACCTTCTTCATCGATGGAGGCTTCGAGGGCGTCGAGTCTTTGGACCTTGTTTTTGCGAGTCTTCTGTTCCACTTCCGGGGTTTCTTCATCTTCGGACTCCATAAAAGCATCCTTGTCTGCTCGGTACTTATCGATCTCGGTGACATAGTCCTTGTTGTTCTTCTTGATCTTCTGCTTCATCGCATTGAATCCTTTAGCATTGATTGGATTCATTTTCTTGCCCCCGGACTTTTGCTTATCATTGGTCTCGTTGATCAGGTCTTCGAGGTCGGCGACCATCTTGATGTAGATCTTTGGTGTCGCCCCCTGTTGAGTGACTTTAAGCACTTGCCGGTTCATCTTGTCGAATTCTGTCCATCGTCAGTTTGATTCTATCCATTGAGTTGTGTTCCGCAAACCTGTGGAGATGACAGCCCAATCGTTGATCTTTTGAGCATTTTCAATGGCTTTGATGGTTCCCTCCACTTCCTCAAGCCGCTTGTCTTTCGCACTCTTGACAACTCGTTCGCGGTCTTCCTCATCGCTTTCATCGGAGTCGTCGCCACCAGGCCCTGAAGGTTTCAAGAAGCGGCTGGCACCAGTGCCGGTCCCTTCTTCTTCAGAGGAATCATCGTCAGAGTCTTCTTCCTCCTCTTCGGATTCTTCTTCGGATTCCTCCTCAGACACTTCTGCTCGCTGTCCGTAGAGCTCTTCCTCTTCGGAGGAACTGCTCTCGCTGTCGGAATCTCCGCCGTGGAAAAATCGGGAAGACATCTTGACTGGCCTTCGAATGTGCGTGACTTGGTATTCGAGGCTGATGGCGTCGCCTTTGATGTCGAGCGATCTCGGGAAAAAGTTCACATCGCTTGATTGACCGCAGGCGAAACTTCGTGTGCCGCAACCTCCGCCAAGATAAATATGGAGTTCACGTGACGTTCAAGCATACACCAACCTTCACCAAATACCCTCTACAAGTTTACACGTACTATATGACATGGACTGTCATGTAAGGCCGACATCCATACTGACTCATAGTGACTCAGATATTGTTGAAGGCGGTGAATCTCCTTCCAGTAATGAGGGGGTGACAATCTCTCAGGTTTTTACTGGTAAGACATTTTTCACCGCAACCTATTTATATGCACACAGAACCTCGCTAAGATGCTCATTCAACGGCAAGATGACAATGATACAGAAGGCCAATATCCATCAAATGCTGCGGGTCCGCACCTTTAGGTACTCGAGCATCATCCCTCCGAACAGCAGCGGAAGCTATCTTTGTACAGAAACCTGCTCCGGATGGTCCCGGCTTCACGTCCATGTTTGGCAGACAATGATTCTGCCTTGCTCCATCTTCATACGTTGTAATCTCGGAAGTTCAGCCTGTTACTCAACGTCAAATTTTACAAGTCTTCGTTGACGCCTTAGCTCTTCACACCCTTGCCTGAATCCTGATCAAAGGAGCAGTCCAGCGACATCAGACCCGGTGTCCATCTAGTTCTCGTTTCGGCGTCCCTGGACATGGACAAGGCCAAAGCAACTGACTCATCCAGACTTCACAGAGAAACACCAGGCTTCGGCCTGGGAGCTGGTGACTCTGCCTGTCGAGTTGCTCACGCCTCTGGAATACCCGTGAGATCGTCATGTCATTGTCCGAGGCGCATGGAAGCTCTGGCGGCCGGAAATTTTTACGATTGCTGAAAGTGTCCACTCTTGGGGTCAGAACTTAATGCCACTGTGTCTTAGACATGAAGGAATCGCCCATCGCACCATCCTCAAGCGTTCGTATGAAATCACGATTTCTTTGGTTTCGACTTCCACGTCGTCTAGCACTCGAAGGGGAATCGACGTACCCATCTGCGGGAGGTGGATAGTAAGCCGGACTAGGCTGAAGTCTGATAGGTTGATTCGGATCAAGGTGACTTGCAACTCGCTGAATTGTCGGAGGAATGCCTGCTTGTTGCTGGTCCATGGTCGATGCACGTTGACGGCCTGCTCGTTGCGTAGCCTGCGCGTACAGGCTCTGCTGATGATTGTAATGATTCGGGTTGATTTGAGGGCTCTGTTGCGGCATCATGCCAACCTGTGGAGCATAATTCGTCGAATGAGTGGGATATGGTGGCGGGGCAACTTGCTGAGGGCCTGTGTACATGGTGTTGTACATGGGAGGGGGTTGCGCTTGAGGGTATGGGCTCATTTGCATTGCATAGGCGTTTTGGGCCGCCGTTTGCGCTTGGGCCTGTGCATGTGCTGCTTGAGCTTGAGCCTGAGCTTGGGCTGCCTGAGCCGCTCGCTGTTTGCTCAATGCTTCGGCTTGCTGTTGCTGTTGCACACCGGGCGCAGGAGTCTTGCTTGATGGAGACTTCAAGTTCATTGGAGGGACAAAAGGTTGGGTGAACTTTTGCTGTGTGATGAACGGGTGTAGCTTGGCTTGCTGAGGCGACCAACGCTCGAGCGGATTGATGGTTAGCAAACCACGAACAAAATCGATGAACGCCACGCGGTTACTCATTTCTGCCGCGAATCAGTGATAGTCCATAGATCAGGTTCTCGCACTTACCCCTTTCAACTTCAGCTGGTTTCATATTCTTCCTAGGCATAGAATAGCTGCGGATGATTTCAGGTAATGTGGTGGCTTGGAAGTACTTCTTGCTCGGTTGCTCTTTCACATTGTGTTCCCGCGAGTATTGTTCCATGCTTTTGAGTCGGTACGTCCGTCTGCCGAACTCATCTGTGGTTTTCTCGAAGAACTCCCCAGATTGCTTCCCCATTTCCAACATCCAGGTCGGTGGCATGCCTAACATTTCGACAATTCGGGAGACTTGATTGTACTCCGACGATCCTGGGAAAAGAGGTAGACCCAAAAACAACTCAACGACAATGCATCCGAGAGACCACATGTCAATTGCACAAGAGTATGGTAAGCCCAGCAATACCTCCGGAGATCGGTAGAATCGAGACTGGATATAGGTGTAGACCGTCTGCCGCTCATCACAAGCAGAGCCGAAGTCGATGATTTTGATGATAGGACTTTCAAGGTTCTTCAACAGTATGTTCTCTGGTTTCAGATCACAATGAATCAGGCGGGCCTTATTCAACAAAGACAAACCGTTGAGCAATTGTTGCGCGAAGACCCGAACCAGTGTTGTGCTGAGACCCCGGAACTGATTTTGTTTGATGAGTTCGTACAAGTTGACGCTGAGAAGCTCGAACACGAGGCAAAGATGCTGTCTGTGGATGAACGTGTCCTTCAATCGCAAGAGATGATGATCGTCATTTTTGTCGAGTTTCTGGTTTAGCAGGTCCAGCACTGACACCTCCATCATACTTTGATTGAAGTACGCGGTTCGATTCTTGATGACTTTGACAGCAACGACCTCTTGTGTTCGGAGATTTTGACATTTTACCACCTGACCAAAGGTGCCCTGTCCTAGCACATCGAGGATCAAGTATCTGTTTTTATGTCCCGCCTCTTCACTGCCCAGGATATCGTTGACGTAGAGAATGTAATCGCTATCATCATTGTCATAGCCATCGTTCTTGGAGCCTTTGCTCGGTTTTGTCAAAACGCGCCTTGGGTTTCTAGAGGACTCGTATTTGAAGCTGGGATTGCATATTCTGTAGGTTGCTGGCAGGTAGGTTGTAAGAGCTTGCAGTGGACTGATGAACCCTCCTTCGGGGTTCGCTCTGCGAAATTGCGGCTGTGCATTTACTCTAGGACTGATGTCCTGCATGGTCTTTACTTTCTTGAACCTGGGAGCCGGCCCCGGAGCATGGGATGGTTGTCTCGACAGAGGCGCAGGCCGTGCACTGCCTGCGGAGAGGGGGTAGTAGGACTCGGGACTCAAGTCTGCGTTTTGCAGCCCGGGGGCATAGCTTGAAGAATATCTCGTTGGAGTTGGGGGCTCAGTGTACCGCTCTGGGTTGTAACTTCCCTGACGTGTGGGGGACTGTCGCGACGGTTGAGGCTGGTTCAGATAGGTGAAACTGCCCGAGTTCTGAACCTTGGGGCTTGACGCGTACGAGGCGCTCGAAGATTGAGCGTTCATGGGAGAATATCGTTGGGCAGCGGAAGAAGCTTCGGGTATGTATTGAGCCGACAGTCTGTGTTGGTGAGCGGGACGAGGAGGGTATTTCGCTCGGTTGTACGGATCTGCGTCCTCCATAGGGACGTCAACTTCGCCATTGTGCTCGTACTGCGGTTGAGTCGCAGGTGTGGTATTTAGAGACATTGTCGGACACTTATATTCCCCAGCTTAAGTGGTGTAATCACCAACTCAAGTTCCTGTCGATTGAGTACCGTGTCGAGGTCGGTTTTCAGCCGATGTGCGCTCCAAGAGCATACAAAGCCTCCACAGTAATTGGAAAACAATGGAAGCCGCAGGGAGCTTCGCTGTTGGGTTCGAAAAGAAGTCGTGCAAGTCAGCCTGAGCGACAAGTTCTTTCAATCTTGTTGTAGGGACAGTTGGCTGAGCGGCTTCGTAAGCGCAGTCTGGCGAGACTGAGGGAGTAATGGTGAGACTCGACGCATGATCAATGGCAATCAGAGGCTCAGCGTGTAGCCATGCTGCTCAAGGTAGGCTCTTGTATGGAGTCTCATGAGCCGTTACGTGGACGAGGTTGAGTCGAGAGATTGCGCGCAATTAGCTTTCGTGGCAGGAGGAGGAGGAATCGCAGTCAGAGGCGTGCAATCAGCGGTGGGGACAATGATTTGTTGTTCTGGGCGGTGCTTCGTATGATTGAATACAACCACAATTCCAGAAAACAGCTTTGGCAAAGATCTCGACAAGGCTTCAATGACAATTGAAGAGAAAGAATTGGTTCGAGGACCACGGGATTCGCAATGACAAGTTAACCTCTAGTGGTTTGCATTTCATTCACTTTCAATGTCGTGCTGCTGCTTCGCTGAAACTTAACGAGGGCTGCGGCACCTTAAGCGGCCAAAGTTAGTATTGGGCCTCTAAACGCAGGTAAGAATTGGGCTGCGGCAAGATCTCGCGCTGGGGGCACCGCACTCTGGTTGACCACTGATTGACCGGGAGCTCACTGATCGTAGCCAAGCCTTATCTTTCTCAGGTTCAAGTTTGCCACAGACAGCGAGTTAGGGTCTACGGAGGAGTGCGGCTGCCGTCAATGTTCACCCGGCGAGGCATGTGGCAGCCTGTGAAAAGACCATGCATGATGACATGACCTCAGGTATGTTGATGGTGAAAGTGAATCTCACATTCATTCTTGCTTGTCGGCCAAGGGTAACTGACTGACACTTTCTGGCTCTTAGGCTTGTCAGAATGCCGGACGGCCATTGAACCATCCTCATCGTCGGCATTGATGTTTTAAGGCTCCCATCGATCATAAGTGCCATCATCACAATACCAGTCAGGCTTCTTAGTAACCAGGCTCTTGTACCGCAATTGCGGTTTCACTCTTGCTTTGATTCTGACCCGGTAACTCACCATCAACTCGGCCTATTTTCCCATCAAGGATCGCGGTACTCTAAAGTCACAATAGATTGAAGAAGTGATGACGACATAACCCAGACTTGAAATTCGTGGGTCGGCTCTACAGTGGTAGTTGAGGCCATCATGGATGCAGCAGAAGGAGAAAGCAACTTTGAAGACGGCGCAATCATGGACGAACAGACGACCCAAAATCATGGCAATGGGACTTTGCCTGCCTCCTTGCCCATGGAGGAGTCTGCCGAAGCACTCCGTCTACGAGGACTGGATGCTCTTGTTCAGGATCAAGATGACTTGGAGCGCAATATTGGGCGAGAGGCAGATCGTCTGCTTTTTGAGCAGGCGAATCAACGTGATCAACAAAGACTCGACAAGGCGAGGTCCCAGAAAGAAAAACTGCAGAATTCGATCAGGAGGACTCGAGATGAAATCAGCCGGCCGATTGGAGTGACCCAGCGTAACAAGTTACGCCTTGAGGTTGATCGAATGCAAGGCCAGATTCAGAACTTGGACAATGATATTGCAGAGATACAGGAACGCATGGGCGAACGCGAAACCCAGGCTGTTGTGTCCGAGCAGCAACCTGCATCTTCCACCCGACGTCTACCTAATGAAACCCAGCGCGACTACTTGATCAGGACTGGAAAGATAACCCCGTTTTCTAAACTTGGGCTCTCGACTCACGGTGAATCGTCACAGACGCTACAAGGAGCGCTTTTCGATGCCGAAGAAGAACCGGAATTTGGCGGGACGGATCCTGAAATCCAGGGTGAGGCATCCATGTCCCATCGAAACCTGAGGCAGCCCGGCTTCGCATCGAACGTTGCCTATACAAGTGGTGAAGAAGACTTCGAATCCGAAAAACCACGGAAGCGAAGACGGCTCCAAGCCAAGCGTCCTGCTCTTAACGACGAGGATGACTCCTACGATGAAGGAACATCCCAGGACGAAGTCATCTCCGACTCAGCAGAAGAAGCTGATTTCGAGGAGGAGGATCTGCCGAGCACCGCGGGAAAGAAGAGACGTGCAAGAGGCAAGGCGGCAACTCAAGCAGATGATGAGACTGAGGACTTTCGCGGCGTGGATGATGGCACCGAAGCAGTTTATCGGAGACGTCTCAACAGATGGGCCACCCGACGCCGACAAGCCAGGGTTCGTGCATCTGCTCAGGACCTGGAGGCGACTGAAGAAAACGAAGACTCCGACTCCATTGCAGAAGCAGAAGCACACCTACCACATCCTGAGATAGCTGACACAGTATTCGACAACGGCTACAAACTTCCAGGGGACATCTATCCGAGCCTATTCGACTACCAGAAAACAGGAGTACAATGGCTGTACGAGTTGTACAACCAGCAGGTTGGTGGTATCATTGGAGACGAAATGGGACTAGGTAAGACTATCCAAATCATTGCCTTTCTGGCGGGGTTGCACTACAGCAAAAAGCTGGATAAGCCCATCATTGTGGTTTGTCCGGCCACTGTGATGAAGCAGTGGGTGAATGAGTTCCATCGATGGTGGCCGCCGTTCAGAGTCACTATCTTGCACTCTTCCGGCAGTGGCATGGTCAATATTCGAAATGAGGCGAGTAACGAAGATCGGCTGTTTGACATGGAATGGGATCCAAACGAAAGGAACAAACCGTTGACCGCAGCACAAAAAGGGGCCCGAAAAGTTTTGAAGCCCATCCTGGAGCATGGCGGTGTACTTGTGACGACGTACTCTGGTCTCCAGACTTATGCTCCACTGCTGATACCGGTCAACTGGCAGTATGCCATTCTTGACGAAGGTCACAAGATTCGCAATCCAAACACGGCCATCACTATTTATTGCAAGGAGCTACGCACTCCCAATCGAATTATCCTTTCGGGAACCCCTATGCAGAACAATCTCATAGAATTGTGGTCTTTGTTTGACTTTGTGTTTCCCATGCGCTTGGGCACCTTGGTCAATTTCAGGAATCAATTCGAGATACCAATCCGTCAGGGTGGCTATGCCAACGCATCGAATCTGCAGGTACAAACTGCTTTCAAATGCGCAGAAACCCTGAAAGACGCTATTAGTCCATACCTACTTCAACGTTTCAAGATTGATGTCGCTTCCGATCTACCGAAGAAGAGCGAACAGGTCTTGTTTTGCAAGTTGACGGCCATGCAGAGAAAGGAATACAAGAGCTTTATCAGTTCCGGCGAACTGGATGCCATTATGAATGGTAAAAGACAAGTTCTCTATGGAGTTGACATCCTTCGAAAAATCTGCAACCATCCAGACCTGGTAGATCACAAACGTTTATCTATCAAACCTGGTTACAACTATGGCGATCCCTCTAAATCAGGCAAAATGCAAGTTGTCGGTTCGCTGTTGGAGTTGTGGAAGGAGACCGGCCACAAGACCCTTTTGTTTGCTCAACATAGGATCATGCTGGACGTCTTGGAGAGATATGTGAGGTCGCTCTCAGGCTTCAAATATCGACGCATGGACGGCAACACTCCCATCCAAATGCGACAGAGCATGGTTGACGAATTCAACACCGATCCTGCCTTGCACGTCTTTCTGTTGACCACCAAGGTTGGAGGACTTGGCATCAACTTGACGGGAGCTGACCGAGTCATCATATATGACCCTGACTGGAACCCATCTACGGATTTGCAGGCTCGGGAGAGGGCGTGGCGGCTGGGTCAGAAGAGAGAAGTGACGATCTACCGTCTAATGACTGCCGGGACCATTGAGGAGAAGATCTATCATCGACAAATCTTCAAACAATTTTTGACCAACAAAATTCTGAAGGATCCAAAGCAGCGACAGACCTTCCATCTGAACGACCTGCATGATCTGTTCACTTTAGGGAATGAGGGCGAGCCCACCGAAACAAGCACGCTGTTCCAGAATGCTCAAGTCAAATACTCCAAACCGGCCGATACTCCGAGCATATCTACTTCAGATGCTGACAAGCCAGCGGAAACCGGCAATGGTGACACCAATATCGAAGCTTTACCGGGAATATCGTCCGTGGAGCAGTTTGCAGGCGAGGTCGAGGAAGAACAACGAGCAAACCGGGAGGGGGCGAGTAATTCGGAGGACAAAATGATGGAAGGGATTTTTGCACGCTCAGGCATCCACTCGGCAGTCGAACATGATGCAATCATTGATGGTACTTCAGCCAGCAAGAAGGTCGCAGCAGATCCTGTCCTCATAGAGCAAGAGGCGCGCAAAGTGGCTGCTGAAGCTGCCAAAGAGCTTAGGCGTGCCGGGGAGGTCGCCCGAACAATTCCAATCGGTACTCCAACCTGGACAGGACAGTTTGGTGTCTCTGGTCGGCCACAAGAGACTACCGCTTCAAGAGCGTTCAGCTCAAACGCCCGTGCCAGAGGTGGTGGTCTGCAGTCTTCGAGTTTACTTGCCAATTTGCAGCAGCGCCAGGGGGCGGCGATTTCCAGTCGCAACGGCACACCCAGAACATCCAGCCCAGTACGGTCAACCGGATCTGCGGCATCAACGTCCAGAGCTAGCACTCCCACCCTGCCGCAGGGAAAAGATTTTGGCAAGCTGATTCGGGATTATCTTAGCAGCCATGGCGGGAGTGTATACACCCAGATGCTGATTGATCACTTTAATCGTTTCTGCACCACACCACAGGCTACCTTGGAGTTCAAGGAGACCTTGAAGTTGATTGCCAGACTTGAGAAAGGAAGTCGTGGCAGAGGTCGTTGGGTGCTGAAGGATGAGTACAAAACATAGCTCAACCACTGTAGCATACTTCGTTGAATGAACAAAGCATTCGGTGCTTGTGGTGCCTCGACTCAATGTTGGTTCCTATTTCATATGATGATTGTTACTCGTTCTCGTCTAGCAAGTCTTGAGGTGACCAGTATTCGGGTTCTGAACACTGATAATCAACCCAAACTAAGGAATCAGCGAGCAGGTCTTGAATGACCGTCTCTGCGCGAGCACGCTCCCAACCCAGATTGAGCTGGAGCAAAGACACCGTGACACTGCCCAGTAGCTGTAGGACTTCTAGGACAGTGGATTGATCATTGTTGAATTCCTTGGGGACAGACCGAATAAAGCGCTTGTTGGCAATAGTAAGGATTTGAAATCCTGAACCAAGTGGCTCGAGAGACTTCACAGCCTGCTCGATGTCATTTTCAGACACCTGTAGGCCGCCACCGATGGCATTCCCCTTTGCAACGCTCTCACAGCACTCTTTCAAGCCCAGTAGACCACCATTTTCAGCCCTCGTTGATTGACAGAGTTCAACAACCCGCACAGCCACAGAGAAGTAAAAGTCGTTGACGTCGTGACCTAACACTTTCGCCCACAGCGAGTCTGTCTTCTTCCCCTTGATGTTGCTACCTGCTAACGGGTCGACGCCGATAGCATTACACATGCGAGCAAATTCGGCACGGAAGGTCGGGTTGGATTTGATCGTCTCGGCATGCTCTAGCGCAAAGTTGTGCAAGAGAGACTGGAAGACCTCTAATTGTGTCTGGAGCGAGGCAGCGTTGGCCGACTTGAGGTTAGAGCCATGCGCCGCGTAGGACTTTGCAGTTGTTTGTCTGTTCGTGAAGGCACCGAGGCCCACGCCTCTTCTCGTAGACATGATGAAGATACTATATCATGTTGTTGTATCGATGCTTATGATAAGGCTTGATGATAGCCCCGGACCTCCCACCAAGTCAACCACGGCGTATTATGTAAGCGAGTCACAAGATTTTGCCAAGACTGGTCAAAATTGACTAACTCTTTTGAATCTAGCTTCCCACACGCTGCAGTCGATGAAACATTTTTGTGAGGGTCGCACTCTGCCATTCTCAATCTCTTCGTTCGTGGTTCATTCTTTTCGTCCTCAACAGCCTCAAATCGTCTCATCGCCAACCGACAAAATGACGAAGCCAGTTGTCAAGTCGTAAGTATCCTCTATATCCTTGCTGATAGTCGTGATCTTCAGATATGGTCCGCTCCCTCTTTGCTGGTACGCCTACGATGCGCCAGCTCGATCTCCCTCCCAATCGCTACAGTCGAAGAATGTGAGAGATACACGTTTGGAAGATGGTAGCTGGGGCGTTGAGGATAGAGACGTAACAATCTCTTCTTCCAAATACATTGAGCTCGTTCAGCAGACTTCTCGCATCCCTGCGATCTGAGAATCTGTCGTGGAGTGAAAATCTTCCTGACTTCGGTCGGGGTCTTGTCGGCTTGAGAGTTCAAGGTTTAGCAAAGCCAGCTTAATTGCTTGTGTTTTCTCTACCTTCTCACCGATCAAATTCATTTCGTCGAGTTATGCCTATCACCAGTTCGAGAATGCCGCACCATAGCTGCAGTTCCGACTCGGCGATCTTTTTCACGCGGACTATACTGATCCTCGTCCATGTAGATCCGTCCCAACCCAGGACCAGGTCCTCGTCCCCGAGACCCTGCTGAAGAAGAGAAAGAGCCAGGAGAAGGCCAGAGAGCAACGCAGCGCGGACCTCGAAAAGAAGAAGAAGGTCAGTACACATCTTCCAGCACACTACACTGTCGGTGATGATACCTACCACTATCGCGATTAGGCTAAGGCCAATGTTGTCGCTTTGTTAACCATCTTTCGGGACTGAGCAATTGTTCCTCTATACATTTTACAAGTCGATTTCAGGCAGCAAGCTGACTGTTATCAAATACAGGCCAACAAGGAGAAGCGCGGTGTCATCTTCAAGCGTGCTGAGCAATACGTGAAGGAGTACCGTGATCAGGAGCGGGAAAAGATCAGACTCGCCCGCCTGAGCAAGCAACAGGGCAACTTCTTCGTTGATGAGCAACCCAAGCTTGTCTTCGTCATGAGAATCAAGGGTATCAACAAGATTGCGCCCAAGCCTCGCAAGATCCTCCAACTTCTCCGTCTTATTCAGATCAACAATGGCGTCTTCATCAAGTTGACCAAGGCCACTCAAGAGATGTTGACCATTGTCAACCCATACATTGCCTACGGCTACCCCAACCTCAAGACCGTCCGAGAACTCATCTACAAGCGTGGGTACGGAAAGATCGACAAGCAGCGCATCGCTCTGACCGACAACCAGCTTGTCGAAGACAACCTCGGCAAGTACGGCATCGTCTGTGTGGAGGATCTGATCCACGAGATCTTCACCGTTGGACCCAACTTCAAGCAGGCAAGCAACTTTCTGTGGCCATTTAAGCTGTCCAACCCCAACGGCGGTTTCCGTGCCAGAAAGTTCAAGCACTTTATCGAGGGTGGTGATCTTGGTAACCGAGAGGAGAACATCAATGCTTTGATCAGACAGATGAACTAGAGGTGGTGATACGACAAAAGTTGTTTCATCTTGGTTCAGCAAGTTGTGGTTTTACGTACAGTGGGCAACTTTCGAGTGTCATCACGCATGGGAATAGGCGCTAGTTGTGCTCTCGATCAGTCGAAAAGAATGATTATGACCAAACCAATATCAAAAAAGCATCCTACCTGTCCCTACATTCTCCACAACCTAACCTTTACGGCATGCTATTCTCAGACGTGTACAGGATATTGTTGACGTGCAAGCCCGCGTGGTACAAATCCGAGATTCGAATCTCGGATATGTGGATCTGGCAGTTAACTTAGTCTGTACTCGATCCTATCACTTCCGCTGCTCGTGAGCTTTGTAAGTCGCCCTCGTATTATGTTCAACCCATGATCCTTCTCATGCATAATCCCCATGCATGCTGTTGACAGCTGACCGTGTTTATCGCACTCATTCACCGGAGTGTCCACATACAACAAATGGGGTATTTTGCCGGTTTCATTGTAAATATCAGTGTTTCGACAGTGGTCCGGAGCCTGGGCGCGTCAAACTGTAAACAGCAGCCACCACACCATCACTTGTTGTCAGATCATCGGAGATGACATGGAGGCTCCTTCGAAAACATTGCAGCCACATCGGATGAAAAGCCATATGTGGCACGAAGTTCAAGACATCTGCTGATTTCAGTCTCGCAATTGTAGTCTGTGGAGGTACAAAGGTAAGTCGAAACCATTTGAGCTGTTCTTTCTGCTTCAATGACCTCGACAACTGCCCGCGACAAAGGTGGGAGGGTCTGCATAAAATGAGTGCCTGCGCCGACGCATGACTGGTGCGCGGACTGTACTCATGGCACCCATTACCGGACTCGGAGTGTCTTGATCTAGGCATGAGGTGCTTGTCTCTCCTGAATGGTCGTTCACCGCCGTGGGAGATCCTGGCGGCTCCCATCTTTACATGCACGCGCACCACTTGCGCTGCACGCTTCGCTTGTTTCCAGTGCTTGATGCCTGAAGACGAGGATGACCTGTCGAGGTTTTGAACGGTCAGTGGATGATACCTGTCCGCACATCCCGGATATCTTCGTACTCCATGCGTGCCAGGCTGATGTCGCTGCCGTCCGTGGCATGGGGCTGTCCGCCATTACGACTTAGGTCGCAAGCTCAGGTATTTAAAGACCAGGATGTCCACACCTCAGAGTGCGTGCCCTCAGACACTCCTCAACAGTACTCAGATAAGACTCTGGTAGGAATTGACCATGGAAGGCCTTGACCAGGTTCAGCAACTTCTTCAGAAGTATTGGGCCGTGCTCGTCCTCGGAAGTCTTCTGGCAAGGCTTCTGTACAACAAGTACGGCCAAAATCTCAACTCTATTCCGGGACCATTTTTGGCTGGCCTCACTGATATATGGCGGTTCTGGAATACCTGTTTTGCGACCGCCCATGATACCCACATATGGCTGCACCGAAAGACAAACTCGCATTTTGTGCGCCTAGGTCCTCGTACCATTTCAGTCTCAGACACAACATTGATCCCAACGATCTACGGCATCAAATCAGGATTTGGCAAAAGCGACTACTTTGTACCGGCCATGATGCCTTTCCAGGGCAGCTTCACGCCAGGCTTGTTCGCTGCCTTGGACGAGGACTATCATGCACGGCTCAAGAAACCCATCAACAGCGCCTACAGCATGTCTACGATGGTGGAATTCGAGCCTTTGGTGGATGCGACTACAGCGTTACTCATGTCAAAGCTGGACAATTTCGCTGCCTCTGGTACTTCGTTCGACTTCGGAGTCTGGCTGCAGATGTACGCTTTCGACGTTTTGTGAGTGCATCTATACGACAACCCGGCTGGGATCTAATTTTAGCCAGGGGCGAAATTCAATTCAGCCGAAAGCTGGGTTTCTTGGAGTCTGGCAAGGATGTCTCAGGGATTATGGCAGACATTCGAGGCAAGATTTCATACGCCGGTTGTGTATGCACACTTGGCTGAGCCACCCCATGGCCCCAGGGCTCTGCTAACTATTGCTGGCTGTTCAGGTGGGACAGATTCCATTCCTGGACAGGGTTTTGACCAAGAATTCTCTTTTCCTGAAATTGGTACCAACACATCCTATCGTGACTTTCACACTCGACAGGATGGAAGAACGGGCGGTGGTCAGGGCACAAGGCGGTGCACAAAAGCGCGACTTCCTGACAAGGGCCATCGAAGCACAAGCAAAGTATCCTGACATAGTGACTGACAGAGCCATCGTTCTCTACAGCGCCGACAATGTTGCCGCTGGCAGCGATACAACCGGGATCGCGTTACGCTCGGTGGGACACTCATATTCCAGCAGTACAGAGGGATCTATGCTGACCACTGCCAGATCTTCTACTATCTGCTCAAGTCTCCAGCGTGCATGCTGAAGCTCGTCGCAGAGATTGATTGGGCAGATCGAGCAGGCCAGTTGAGCGAGTTCGTCACATGGCAACAGTCTAACAAGCTGCCATATCTTCAAGCATGCATTAAAGAAGCGCTTCGTAAGTCTTCCCAGATCTTCCCAGCTTCAACTTCTGAGTGTAGGGACAGGCATGCATCCGCCGGTCGGATTATTGATCGAAAGATGCGTACATGGAGGGATCTTTTTGGGAGGCAATTACTTCCCTGAAGGGACAATCGTGGGAATGAACCCTTGGGTGACGGCGTGAGTGACTTTCGATCTAGCCGTACTATGCATGGGCTCACCACGTCGGACTCGTTATAGACGAGACAAGAGCGTGTTCGGAGCAGACGCCGACCTTTTCCGACCAGAACGATGGCTTGAAGCATCGCAGGAGCAGCTCATTGCTATGGAACGCGCAAACCTTGTGGTAAGTACTCCGGCCTGTCTATAGCAGTGCAGTGCAGCCAATACCACGACAGTTTGGCCATGGGAAACGAGCCTGCATCGGCAGAAACATCTCCATGCTGGAGATAAGTAAGCTGGTACCGCAGTTGTTGAGGCACTACACCGTAAGCGCCATCCCTCTCCGTGTGTCTCGGGTAGGTGTCTGACCCGATCAGCTATCCTTTGTGCGCCCGGAGCAGGAATGGAAGGTACATGGAGGATGGTTTGTCTGGCAGACTGGATTTGAGGCCTTTATTAGCAAAGGGGTATGGAAAGACGATTCTCAGATCTTCAGCATCTAGTTCAAGTTCAAATTTGCAGATAGTCTACTTGACATGATGTCCAATCAAGACCATACGTGGTCAGAAGAACAAAGATGCGTATTCGGCTTGTCAGTGAAAGCATGACACCAGCCTCATCAATAACCGGTGGGTGAGGGGGATGCATTTCAGTGGGCCTCCACATTAACTGCGGTCGCGTCACGCGTTTTCTGGTCCGTGTCGCGTCCTCAATCTGCTGCTACTTTGTGCTCTACCCTTACCCAAACGATCTTCTGTACTCTTATATTGTTCCAATGAACCTGATCTAATATCGTCGGACGCGACAGCTAACAGTCGAGATGTCTCACCGCTCAGCACTTGCTCAGCTTCGAGCTCAGCGTGCTGCTGGCAAGACACGCCTCGAGACCTACCAAGTCGAAGATCAGGGTGCCATCTACGACGAAGTCGACGAAGATGGCTACAAGAAAGTGGTACGAAGCCGCCTTGACAAAGACGATTTTGTCGTCGATGACAATGGCGAAGGCTACGCGGATGACGGTCGCGAAGAGTGGCAGAATGAACGCCAGCATTACAGCAGCGACGAGGACGAGGACATCCCACTTAAGGGCAAAGCTGGTAAACGAAAACGGGAGGAGGAACGCGAGAACCAACACAAGGCGAACCACAAGATCATGACATACTTCACCAACGGCCCTGTTGCAGCTCCAAAGCCAAAGGTACTGCTGTTTCTCAATGCTTTGGGTCGTTACTAGAGACTGATCCTGCTAGATTCAAACCACGGCCGAGGATGAGGCCTTCATGGCTGACCTTCTGGGTGAAGTTGACGCGAACATCCTACCGAGCCGTGTACCCACGAAGAAACCTGTCAAGTCCGAGAACCGTAGGAAAGTCAGGGTGCTGTCCCCTCCTTTGACTCAAGAACGACCACGTTCAAAATATCAAGCTCCTGAAACTGAACTCATCGACACACCTCCTGCTGTCCACGATGACGGCGACAATCTCCCGAACTACGAGGATGATAACATCATGAGCGACCCTCTGCCTTCGTCTCCTGTCGTCAAAGCCATTGAGCGTAAAGCAAAAGTGCAAGTGAAAGAGGAGGATGAGGACGAAGACATGATGGAGATTGCTCAAGTCGTTGCACATGCAGAGGTCAAGTCTGCCAGTGTCAATATGAAGGGCAGCCGACCTCCGCCCAAGATCAAGCAACTTCCAACACCTCAGAATTCGTCCCCTCCAATGCCTGCGGTCAATGAGGTAGACGCATCTTCCTGGAACACAATTACCAGCAAGCTCAGTGTGCAAAGCAGTCCATCATCCGAGACACATATCTTTGGCAAGATGAAGCCCCAGGACGCAGTCGAGGAAGACGGCAGCTTGCGTTTCTTCTGGCTCGACTATACGGAGGTCAATGGCAGTCTTTGTCTGTTCGGCAAAGTGAAGCACAAGACGACCGGACAGTACCTCAGTGCCTTTGTCAAGGTAGACAACATTCTCCGAAAGCTTTTCTTCCTCCCCAGGAAATTCCGACATACCAATGGTCGCGAAACCGACGAGGAAGTTGAAATGGACGATGTGTACGGAGAGGTTGATACTCTGATGTCCAGGTTGAAGGTCACGACCAGGAAGGTAAAACCTTGCACCAGAAAGTATGCCTTCGAACTTCGCGACGTGCCCAAAGAATCAGACTATCTGAAACTCCTTTACCCGTACGACAAGAATCCATTACCATCGGACACACAAGGAGAGACGTTCTCGCGTGTATTTGGTACGAACACCGCCTTGTTCGAACAGTTTGTGCTTTGGAAGAACATCATGGGTCCTTGCTGGCTGAATATCGAGGACGCCGACTTCACTGCGGTCAACAACGCTTCATGGTGCAAGCTTGAGTGCGCCGTCGCCAAACCCGCCAACATCACAGTCCTGAAAGAGTCTGAGAGCATGGAAACGCCGCGGCTGACTCTCATGTCTCTGTCTTTCCGAACCCAGCTAAACGTGAAGGAGAACAAGCAAGAAATCCTGATCGCAAGTGCGAGAGTCTACGACAACGTCTCTCTGACCGACACCACACCGCCAGAGAAGATGCCCTCGAGGACATTCACAGTCATGCGACCTGCTGGTTCAGCATGGCCTTTGGGGTTCGAGGCTGAGACTAAAAAGCAAGCTGGCACTTTCATGCTTGAAAAGAGTGAACAGTTCCTACTCAGCAAGTTCCTTGCCCTGTTCGAAAAGGTCGATCCAGACGTTCTCATTGGTCATCAGCTCCAAGAAGTTGACTATAGCATTCTTCTCAGTCGTCTCAAGGAGAAAAAGACGCCTGGGTGGCATAGAATTGGCCGGCTGAAGCGAAGCGACTGGCCAAAGACTTTTGGGAAAGGCGGTTCCTCGTTCTTTGCAGAGCGACAGCTCATGGCTGGGCGACTCATGTGCGATTTGGCCAACGACATGGGCAAGTCTCTGATGACCAAGTGCCAGCAATGGAGCTTGACAGAAATGTGCGAACTATACCTCGGGCCAGAAACCCCCCGACGTGATCTGGACAACGAAGCGGCCTTGAAAACGTGGGCAATGACTCGTGACGGCCTGCTCAACTATGTCAATCACTGCCATGCCGATACCTTCTTTGTTGCAGCACTTGCTTTGAAGTTGCAGATGCTCCCACTCACCAAAGTTCTTACAGAACTTGCCGGTAACTCATGGGCGCGTACCTTGAGTGGTACGAGAGCGGAACGAAATGAGTACATTCTGCTCCACGAATTCCACCGCAACAAGTATATTTGTCCTGACAAGGAATATGGTAAAGGTCGCGCCAAACACACAGAAGAGAATGAGGACGCCGAGGAAGGCGCCGATACCAAAAAAAAGGACAAATACAAGGGTGGTCTAGTGTTTGAGCCCGAAAAGGGGCTGTATGACAAGTTCATTCTGGTCATGGACTTCAACAGTTTGTACCCCAGCATTATCCAGGAGTACAACATCTGTTTCACCACAGTCGACCGATCAGCCACTGCAGAAAATGACCATGAGGAGAAGGTCCCCGAGGTACCTGTGGATCAAGCACAAGGTATTCTGCCGAAACTTATCTCCACGCTCGTCACGCGCCGTCGTGAAGTGAAGAAGCTGATGAAGGATAAACGAGCAACACCGGAGCAGATCGCATTGTGGGATACCAAGCAAATGGCGCTGAAGCTTACCGCCAACTCCATGTATGGTTGTTTGGGTTATACTCAATCACGATTTTATGCTCGGCCGCTCGCCATGCTCACCACCTTCAAGGGCAGAGAAATTCTGAGAAGCACAAAGGAACTTGCAGAAAGCAATCAACTTCAGGTCATTTACGGAGACACGGATTCGGTCATGATCAACACGAATGCAGACACCATTGCTCAAGCTTTGAGTGTCGGCGTCGAGTTCAAGAAATCTGTGAACGAGCGATACAAACTGTTGGAAATCGATATCGACAACGTTTTCCGACGCTTGTTGCTACATGCGAAGAAGAAGTATGCAGCTATCAACATGGCCGAAATTGATGGCAAATATGTTGAGAAGCTCGAAGTCAAAGGTCTTGACATGAAACGACGAGAGTATTGTGCTCTCTCCAAGGATGCTTCTCAGAAATTGTTGAACGAGATACTCTCTGGGGACGACTCCGAGGTCGTCCTGGAAAAGGTCCATGAGTATCTCCGGGAACTGGCGAACAAGATGAGAGAGAACACTATCCCGGTGCAGAAATATGTCATCTATACTGTAAGTCTGTGCTCAGAGACATGAGAGACTGCGGCTAACATCTTCCAGAAACTCGGCAAGAATCCGACTGAATATCCAAACGCTGACTCCATGCCTCAAGTTCAAGTGGCACTACGCGAGATTGCTCGAGGCAAGGCTGTTCGAGTAAACGATGTTATGTCGTATATTGTCACCATGGGCGACGAGCAGACAAAGGGGCAGCCAGCTCCCAAGCGATCATACACGCCACAAGATGTTCAAAAGCCAGATTCTGGGCTCGTTCCCGACGTGGAATACTATCTCTACAAGCAGATCTTCCCACCCATTGAGCGTTTGTGCGCCCCCATTCCGGGTACAGATTCTGTCAGATTGGCAGAGTGTTTGGGTCTCGATGTCCGCAAATACCAGATCAACACATCAAGCGGCAACAATCAGCAAAACACCGAGATATTCCCTCTTGAGTCACAAGTACCTGACAGTGTTCGTTTCCGGGATGCTGCTCGTCTCAACCTTCGATGCAGACAATGTTCTCATGTGACGGTGTATGAAGGTCTTTGCGATTCAACAGATCTATGTACGCCTGATGGGATCTTGTGCAGCAACGCTGAATGCAAGACGCCCTTTCCCAGACTGTCGATCGTAACCCAACTTGAATCGCAGATTCGAGTGCAGACTTGTGCCTATTACGAGGGCTGGCTTGTTTGTGACGATGAATCATGCGGCAATCGCACTCGACAAATTTCTGTCTACGGACACCGATGCCTTGGCGCGAACGGTCGAGCAGAAGGATGTCTGGGGCGCATGTCTTACGAGTATTCGGAGAAGAAGCTGTACAATCAGCTCTTGTACTTTGCGGCGCTGTTTGATGTTGAGAAGGCGAAGAACAAGGCTCGAGCCGAGAAAGAATATGCAGACAGGAAGGACCGGGTTGTCGTGCTGGCAGAGACGAACAGGGAGAGATTCGAGGGTGTCAAGGCTTTTGTCGATGGCTACCTGAGAAAATGTGGGCGGCAATGGGTTGAAATGGACTCTCTGTTTGGGTTTGCCTTGAAATGATGGAATGTCAGTCGTTGGATACCTGTTCCTGATAGTCCACTGAGGTAGACATACAAGGAACTGATCATGTATTCTCCTTCTCCTCAATCTACATCTCCATTGCCCGCATCGCAAATTGTGGTTCGTTATTAAGTGCATATAAAAGCGGAGATGTGGTATGACGTTTCATTCGTTAATCCGCAACATCATATGTCAATTGCAGCCTCCTCTTTCTTAACTTACTTCAAGCGAACCTAAATTATCCGGCATCTTCAGCGAGCATTACCGTTCTTTGTTTCCAGTCATGCTGTACACCTAGCCTAAGTAGCTTCGAATCAACTTCTGACTTCAGGGTCAAGATGGCGCCGCCTGTGGTTCTGGTCATTGCCGGTTCCGACAGCTCCGGAGGAGCGTAAGTGATTAGACTCAACCTGCACTCCCTGCTTCTTGAAGACTGGAAAAGCTAAGAAAGGTATTGCAGGGGCCTTGAAGCAGATCAAAAAGTACTTGCTGCTCATGGCTGCTATGCCATGACCGCTACGACAGCGCTGACCGCCCAAAACACGATGGGCGTTGATGATGTTCATGTTACGCCTCCGGCATTCGTCGCCAAACAGATCGATTCGTGTCTCTCGGATATTCCGTGTGATGCAGTCAAGCTTGGTAGGTTCCACTGACTTATCAAACCAAGTGAGTTCTATTGCTGATGTTGATGACAAGGCATGCTTGCTTCGGCCGAGACCATCAGAGTCGTGGCAGATGCCCTCCAGAGACACAAGGTTACTCCGATTGTGCTTGATCCTGTATGTCATCTCTTCGTGTTCATTCTTCATTATCATCCCAGCTCACGTCTCATGCCAGGTCATGGTCTCAACCAGCGGAGCACAACTTCTTCCTGGAGACGCCATTCGCAATCTCCGCGAGAGACTGTTGCCCATCACAACACTCTTGACGCCCAACATCCCCGAAGCAACTCTGCTCCTTCGAGACGCCGACATTCAATACAAATCACCTTCCGGACTCGAAGATCTAAAAGTCCTAGCCAAGATGGTCCACGCATTAGGACCGGAAGCCGTCCTTCTGAAGGGCGGACACATGCCCCTGACGAAGGACTACCTCAAAGCCACCACGGACGAGGAAAAGTCACGCACCGTCGACATCCTTTACGACGGCAAAGACTACACACTCATCGAATCACCCTACCTCACATCCAAAAACACCCACGGCACAGGTTGCTCGCTCGCCAGCGCAATAGCCTCAAACATGGCCCTCCAGAAACAAAGCAAAACAACAATCTCACTACCGATAGCAACCCGCCTGGCAGTCCGCTACGTCGCACGCGGGATAGAGACCTCACACCCAGACCTAGGAAAAGGCTCTGGACCAATCAACCACTTCCACAACGTACAAGTCCTACCCTTCTCTTCCGGCCATTTCATCGAGTACTTACTCTCCCACCCATCCGTGGTGGGCGTCTGGGAGAAATACACGCACCACCCCTTCGCCACAGCCATGGCGCGCGGCACGCTGCCCGAGGGACTGTTCAAAAACTACCTGATCCAAGACTACTTGTATCTCACGCACTTTGCGCGCACACATGCATTAGCAGCATACAAATCGCGCACCATGCCCGCCATCACCGCCTCAGCGAATATAATCCTGCACATCGAGCGCGAAATGGCCCTACATCTATCCTACTGCGCCGAATTCGGGATAAGTAAAGCTGATATCGAGCGGCCCGACCGAAGAGAGAGTTTGGCTTGCGTCGCGTACAGCCGGTACGTTCTTGACGTGGGCCAGAGTGAGGATTGGTTGGCGATACAAATGGCGCTGGCGCCGTGCTTGTTGGGCTACGGCGAGGCGGCGAGGAGGTTGTATAAGGACCCGGAGAGTAAGACGACGGAGCAGGGAAACAAGTACTGGCGGTGGGTGGAGAATTACGTCGCGGAGGATTATACCGAGGCTGTGACTGTCGGGAGAGATCTAATCGAGTCGCATATCGCGAAACAGTCGCCGTCGCGGATCGAGGAGCTCATTGCCATCTTCGTGCGGGCGACGGAGATGGAAGTTCGGTTTTGGGACTTCGACGCCCATCCGGATGAATGAAGGAGTAACTACAGTAGGAAAAAAAGCAAACATGAAATCTTGGTCACTTGAACTGTTTTGTTTTTTGCCAGCAGGTCTCGGCATCTGATTTACGATATTGACTCACAGGTTACAGCGTAGGGGCTCGATGCGATCTCTTTCGAGGATAATACAACATGGGATATGTTCGCCTCGTTCGGCGCAGCAGCACAGGCCTGCTCAGCCAATGACACCACCGCCAAAGCCGACAGGCCTCCTCCTCCCACCGTTTTCAGGTAGAATCGTCATGACCTTGTACGCCTTACCCATGCCCCTCGGTCCACCCTCGACCAATCTCTTCCACCCCGTCCCCAACTCCGTCATTTTCTTTTGCAGTTCGTCCGAATCGATGCCTTCTTTCTTTTCGAGCTCTTTCAGCAGCCGCTCCGCCCGCTCCTGTATGCCCAATTGACTGAGCCAGGCTCCTTGCTCGACCGGGCCGTGCACTTCGACACCCGGACTTGCTTGGAGCGCCGCCTCAGCAAGAGCCACAAAGTCCACGTCCGCGCTGATGTCGGCTTCGCCGGCGTACACGAACGGGGAGATGACTTTGTGTTTGCTGATGGCACGGAGTGAGTCAATGGGGACGGTCTCGAGCGGTCCGTAGTCGATGATCAGAGCGGCACCGGCCGGTGTTTGCGTTTGGGCGGCACCTCCAATTCGTCGCGCAAACTCCTGGACGTAGCGAGAGCTTTCTGGTGAGATCTCGACGCGTGACGAGACTCGGTTCTTGAGGGCGCGGTAGCGCGGGCGTTCAGGGATTACGAGCGAGCTGGGCGTGCTTGCTTGGGCGAGTGTCAATTGAAAGTCTGGATCGGGTTGTTTGGCTGACGGTCTTGCAAGCTCGGCTGTCGTAGCGATGCTAAATTTTGGCTTCGTTGGAGCAACGAGCAGCTCTCGCCACTGTGGTAGCTTGCTGGCCCGCGAAGGCTTGGGTACCCGTTGGCCTGCCTCATTGAGGACTTGTGACTTTGCATCCTGTTGCTGAGCCTCTTCTGGTTTCGGCGCGACGGACTCGAAAGCGTGGATAGGCAGGGCGTCGAAGAACTCATGAGCAATTATGAATGGTGTTGTTTGCTCGCCGCTTTCTTGTTTGCTGGGCAAGAGGACGATGTCTTCAACCCATCGGACGGGAATGCCCTGCTTGCTCGTAGCTTCCCACCACCTGTTTTTGCCTGTATGGTCCGTGACTTCTTTCATTTCAGCGTCCGTCCCGCAGAGCAGATCCTTCTGTTTGATACGCAGTCCTTCACCTGCCTCGACCAGCCAGACAGCTTGTATAGATTTGGCGAATGTTCTGAACTGTCCGATCGTCCTCAATATGTCGCTCATTAACGTCCCCCTTCCGGGACCCATCTCGATGAATTGCACACCCTGCGTCGGTCTGCCTTGCGCCATCCATTCTGTCATGAACCATATTCCCACCAATTCGCCGAAGATCTGCGAGATTTCGGGAGAGGTGATAAAATCGCCAGCGGTGCCGAACTGATCTGCATCTTCTCGAGTAGTGGTATAGTAACCTCCGTCAGGATTGGTGAGGCATTGACGCATGTAAGAGGCGATGGGGATCGGTCCGGTCACCTATAGTAAATATGGACTTAGTGCTGTGATGCTGGTGCATTTGCATCGATAGAGAGGAAAGTCTCACCTCAATGGCCTGAGCGATCGTCTTCGCAAGTGGTGTAGACCAGCTACGAGTAGGCAGAGTCGGACTTGGGGGAGGGATCACTTCCGCTGGTTGCCGTGCTGGAGCAGACTCATTTCCTGCTGGCCTTGAAGCCTGACTGGACCACCTCTGCCATCGTAGAGGTTTGGTATGGCCGTCTCGTGGTCCGTAGATGCATCGAGGTTGCGTAGTAGCGCGACTTTGCGCGCTGAAGCTGCTCAGCCGCAGCAATTGTCCGAAACGAGATCCTCCATATCTCATTTCGGAGATACAGATGTCTCTTCGCAGTACCTACACGATTAGACCGAGGTCGCACGAGCACTACTCGAAGAATAAAATAAATAAAGTCGTTGACAACATCATTTACCGCAGACAGCGGAACAAGGTTCTTCCGATGGCCGTGTCTTGGGAAACTGCCTTGAAAGCTAGCAGGTAGTTTACAATCACCCTCGTCTTGCCCTTTTCTCTCGTAAGTTTTCCCTCTACAACGAACGAATAGCATCAATGATCGCTTCCGGGCTCTCCAAGGGTATCAGATGCTTGACACCTTCGACGACCTTGAAAGTGACTGGGAAACCCCTCGCAATCAGTGCTCGAACAACCTCCTGCTCCACCTTGTCCTTGTCCTCAACCACATCGAGTTCTCCAGCCAGCACATTGATCTTCATTCTTCCCGTGTCGACTGCAGAACATACTATGTCCAGTGCGGGCAAGATGTCCTCCTGCATCCCATGCTTGAGCCACCCATCCTTTGCAAGCGTTTCTCCAATCCGACTGTCCATCACTAAGACATCGAGATCCATTTCTGTCAACTTCTCTGGATTCGCAAGAACATTCTGTATTGTCCATGTGATCGATTCCTTGTTGTCATAGGCCTTTTGCTGTTGTTCAGCCATCTCTGGTGGCAAGACGAGTGCTGTTGGCGGTGCGGGCGCCACGAGCACCAACCCCTTGATGAGCGCTTGCAAATCGTCTGGGAGAATTGAGAGGGTCATCAGCGCGACTTTGGCTCCCATCGAATGGCCTACCAACACAAACCCATTCTTGAGTAAGATTGGCTGGTCTGATTTGAGCCGTTCCAGGACCGTGACAACGTCCGACGCCAGAGGGGTGATTGAAAAGTCTGCTGCAGTAGCACCATTCACTGGTCCTTTTGATTGACCCCAGCCTCGAAAGTCTATTGAGGCTGTGGGATACTGCTTGCACAGAGAGACGGGCGAGTCGAGCGAGGTGAGCTTGTGCCAGGTATAAAAGGAACCGCCCCAGTAATGAAGAAAGACAAGAAGTGGTGAGTTATTGCGACGCGGCGGCTTGGTGACATGGTAATGAATCATTGCTTTCGGTGTATATGCACGGAAATCTCGCTCCATGATGACTTGGTCGTCCTTCGTCTTCGGCTGATACGAGGGAGAGAAGATTTTTTAGGAGGGAGAGAACATTGTGATCAGGTTTGAAGAGTTATCATATATTCGGGAGGCATTTTGCGGCAGTGGTGTCTAGGCAGTGGTGACGGGTAGCGGTGACTACTTTATACTCAGGACGATGTGCATCCTGGAGTGAAGACTTGGACTTCATGTTCGCCCCTATTCACCTATGAGAAGCATTCACCTTGCATATGGAATCAATTCCGATCACTCGGAGTGATTTTCATATATTCAAATACCATATTTGGAAGTACTGCCATTTCGGGAAAAGATTATTCTGGATTATGGAGGCGAGGCGAGGCAAGGTACACGGTATGCGATTATCTCCGTTTCTTCTCGGTGGGTTTTCAGACTCTTTGTCTGGCAAAGCCAGGTACGTGCCATCACCCGCCGAGACACATTCACGTACTACTTGTACGGTTGAGACGACGAGGTAGGTTCACTCCCATGATCAAGTATGCGAACTCGGCGAATTATATCCGACTTTGGCTCTCCAACAATGGGACATGTGGGGTAGCGCAAACGGTGCCTCCTGGCAAGCCTCACTTGGGGAAAGGTATAAGTTTGACCTAGAAGCCACACAGCGAAGGGAAAAGCTGAGATGAGATCCAAGCCGCCACATACCGCACCCCAAAGTGGTCACTCATACATACCTTTATTGCCCAGTTGCACAGCATGGGCTCAGAACGGCTGACCATCGGTGTCCTCGGGCCCTCCGGTATGGGAGGCTCTCACATCACCGTCGAGTTATTACATCGCGGCCACAAAGTGATCGGAATCTCTCGCAAACCGGCCTCAATCGGCTCGCATTCGCGCTATGAGCCAAGATCTGTGGACATCGACAATGGATCGGTTGATGATCTTTCACACGCATTCAGGGGTTTGGACGTCGTAATCAACGCATATGGGCCGCACTCAAGCGGTGCGAGTGCCATGAAGTATGGTACGTTGCTGAGATGACCACATTGTCCCTTATGCCTCTCTACGACTGACCGAAACACAGCACCGTATGTGGAAGGCACCCGCAAAATCATCCTTGCCACGAAAAAAGCGAAAGTCGGCTATCTGATCATGATCGGGGGTTGCGGTAGTTTGTACTTGCCGGGAACCCAGACTTGCGCCGTTGACAGTCCGGAGTTCTGGTCGGCATACTGGCGCAGTATGGTGGACAATTACGCGCAGCTGACTTATGTTGAAAAACGCTTTGGTGGTGGCGCAGAACTTCAAAACCTTCGGGGGTATCGAAGTGCTCGAATCGCACTGAGAGAGGGCAGAGATACTCCCGAGGCGAAGTTCGTTCGAGACGATCATGAGAGAAAAAGCCGCGAAAACGATTTTGCAAAGTCGTTGATTACGGCATGCAGGACATGTTTTCTCTTTTTCGACGGCAACTCGTCCTTTGACTGGACGTTCCTCTCTCCACCAGCGGCTTACAGGTCCGGTACGCGGACCGGAAAGTATGAAACGATGCTCAACTATGTGCCCTTGAAAGGTGACCCTGAGTCTTCAGAGGACCTGGAAGGACGTTTCAAGGGTATTAGCACTTGGGACCTTGCCGTGGCAGCTGCGGATGAAGCCGAAAATAGGAAGCACAAGGACAAGCACTGGACGGTTTTCGCAGACATGGACGACGATACTCCGGCGCCAACTCCTTACATCGATCTATCGTATTTGAGCACCTTGCAATAGACAATGCTGACAAATTCCAAACTAGGCGTTGTAGTTTCTGTGACAAAGGAAGGTGATTACCCCACATGGAGTTTCACGCCCCGGCTAGCCCCCCCCCCAGACTTCAGTTTGGGGAATGCTTCGCAAGAACATGGCGGCATCCAGAACTATTTTCCATGCCGAGATCCACAAACGATGCGTCTAACATCACCTTTGTCTGGTCCATCTCGTCTTATTTCTTCTAAAACAGCTCTGCAACGGTGGTAGCCATGTCCCTGCCACCCACCGAAGCGTTCGTCAGGTTACGCCTCCTCAACGGCGGCAGTGGAAATGCCCGGACCAAAATATTTCACAAAGATGTTGGGGAGGGCGAAGCCTTTAGATTGTATAATTGGGCGTTCCTTATCTATGAGCCGCAGAGCCATCGTCATGTGCTATGGGATGTTGGTCAGTCGAGTGTACGTCAGTCCGTTGCAGAGTGGATGTCTTCAATCGACCTTACGATCATGCCTGTTAGGACAAGGCGGACTATATCCCGTCGATTGGAAAGTTAATTGACACTTTGGGAGTCCTCGGCCCTGGTAAGAGTCTAGGCGAACAACTGCAGGCTCACGGCACACAACCTACGGATGTGAACACAGTTATCTTCAGGTACGTGGACAGCATCATGTCTTCCTCTATGCCCACAAAGCTGAACATGGGAAAGCCATGCGCATTTTGACCACTGTCGCCCCATTGCTAAAACATTCCCGAATGCCATGGGCTATTTTGGCCCCGGCACCGCGGATGAATGTATGGGGAAACTCGAGCCATACAATACTGACCCAAAGATTGGGCACAAGTTCGACCCGCGCATCTTTGACCGTAAAATCTCCAAGGAGAAATGGGAGGAACTTCAGGGACCTTGGGTAAGATTTGGTCCATTTGACAAGGCCATGGACTTCTTTGGCAACGGGAGTCTTTGGGTTATCCAAGGCCCCGGGCATATGGTGGGAAATCTGTGTGCCGCAGCTAGACTCGAAGACGGCCACTGGGTTCTCCTAGGCTCGGACTGCAGTCACACCATGTAAGCAGAGATCATTTTCCCCATCAAAAAGGCTATGACTAACCGGGCATGCAGGGCACTGGTCGAGGGAAAGCACGAGATTGCGGAATTGATTAGGCCGGACGGGAGCAGATTCTGCGTACACGAAGACCTCGATCAAGCGAAAGAGACAATGCGCAAGATCCGGGAGCTGAAGCAGCAACACGGCTTTCACATCGCGCTGGCTCACGATGCAACCTGGATGAAAGCCAAGGAACGAGATCAGGTGCTTTTCAGCCTGCTCGACGAGCAAACCCTGAAGGACGTCGACGCGCACGTACTGTTTGATGAACCTTTCTGAGTAGGTAACCAGAATTCATTCTTATCCTACCTCGGTTTAGGGAATGCCTGCGATGGTGCAAAGTATTCAGCAGTGAGTTTCAACACGGCTTCATTAAACGATTGTTATTCATCTGTGACCACGATATACCACACCCTCCCGTCACCACCATCACCACCGCTTACCTATTAGGTACTGTCATTCTGCGGATTAATATATGAAATCCGTGAAAAACTGCTCAACAATCTCCCTTCCAGGACCTGTAAAGGTTTAAAATCGAATGACCGTGCTGGAAGATGAGTGCGTTACGGGCCTTCTGTCTTGAACAAGCCGCCCTTCCAGTATCTGTCTTCAAGCAGCCCTCAGGGGTGGCATGGAATAAGACGATGAGTGTTGGGAACAGTTGATAGCAGAAGATCCGTCCAAAAAAAATCCTTGAGAGTTTCTCCCTCTTAAGGGTGGAGTTTTTGCTCGTTCAAATCGCGCTGTTAGCACTTCGTTTTTCGGCGGGTGAAGAATATCTCTTTGACAAACTTTGTGTGCTGGTGAACGAGAAAGGCTCTGCCAAGGAGAATGGAAGGATGTGATGAATATGCTCTGTCTGCGCCCATCATTCCTTTTCGATGCCTCCAATCCAAAATCCTGACGAACTTCGAGGAAGTGACATGTTGTTTTTGTGGAAAGCCTGGATGTGATCAATGTCAGGAACCCTCGTTGATAAGGCTTTGGACATCTCCGACAACGGTTCGATCGGATGTCATTGTCCAGCTCGGCCCGCGGATCCACAACTTACAGACGACGTGGTCTAGTCGTCTCCTTCTAGTTACCCTTTTGAGCGATAAAGCCTGTGGGCAAAGATAAGAGAGCAGGAGTCTAGTACGGGTATAAGAAATGGTCGATGGAACAATATTCGGATCGAAAGTGTAGGTCTTTCAATTTCGAGACTACATTTTGACAACTTCGTTCTCTAGACCTTTTCCTACCATACCATCAAATTATGGCGAGTCTCGGATATAGCAGCGATGCTCCTAGGCTCAACCCGAAGACATTCGACAAGACTTTGTCTTCCCTGTCAGACAATGTCGCCGTGACCGAGATCAAAGACGACACCAGTGACAAGGATGAAGTGGCAGAAACGACCACAACAGTAGCCCCAGTGCCGAACGTATCTTCCGTTCTGCACACAAAGCTCGCAAGAAAACCCGCTACCGTGGTCAGGAGCCAGGGCAGTTTCCTCTACACGAGCGACGGAGCCGAGATCTTCGATGCCACCTGTGGCGCTGCGGTGACGTGCATCGGGCACAATGACAAACGAGTGCGAAAGGCTATCGTGGAACAGCTGGACAAGGTGGCTTACATCTACTCGCCTTTCTTCACCACCGAAGCCGCCGAGCAGCTGGCTACCGAACTCACGGCCTCAACTGGGGGCAAGATGTCCAAGGTCTTTATTGTCAGTTCAGGTAAGATATACGTCTGCCTTCTTCATCATCTCTTCTGACGATATGGACAACAGGCACTGAAGCAGTTGAAGCTGCTTTGAAGATGGCTCGTCAATATTTCACGGAACTTGCTCAACCACAGACGCAGAGGACCAAATTCATCGCCCGCAAACAGTCTTACCACGGCAACACGTTGGGGTCTTTGTCCGTGGGATTCCACCCCGGACGCCGCGCGGTCTACGAGTCCATCCTGGCCCAAAACGTCTCGCATGTCTCGCCGTGCTACCCTTACAGAGGGATGAAAACCGGTGAAAGTGAGCAGGCCTACGTTGCGAGACTGGCGCAAGAACTCGAGGACACATTCCAAGAATTGGGTCCTGACACGGTGTGTGCCTTTGTGGCTGAGACCACCGCCGGCATGGTAAGTACCTATCATTCTGAACTCAAAGAGTTGACCTCTCCTGGGACCGAGTACTGACCATGGATTGGAATAGACTCTGGGCTGTGTACCTCCCGTGCCGGGCTACCACAAAGCCATGAAAGAAGTGTGCGAACGACACGGTGCCTTGTACGTCCTTGACGAAGTCATGTCGGGAATGGGTCGAACGGGCACGCTCCACGCCTGGGAACAAGAGGGTGTGGTTCCTGACCTGCAAACTGTTGCCAAGGGTTTAGGCGCAGGCTATGCCCCGATCGGAGCTTTGCTGGTCGGCGAGAAGGTGGTCGACGTTGTCACCCACGGCACAGGAAGCTTCGTCCACAGTCAGACTTACCAGGGTCATCCCATCGCGTGTGCCGCCTCGAACGAGGTACAACGCATCATCCGAGAGGAAAATCTGCTCCAAAACGTCCGGGAGAGGGGAGAGCAGCTAGAGAAACTTCTCCAGCAGCGTCTGGGTGACCACAAGAACGTTGGTGACATTCGTGGTCGTGGTCTCTTCTGGGGTGTAAGTCTTTTGGTCCTCTTCTTCCTGCCCCATCCTCAACCTCTTAATACTTACCTTTGCCGTTCAATCTGTATAGGTCGAACTTGTCAAGGACAAGGCAACAAAAGAGCCCCTTGCCCCGAGCGAGCAAACGACGGGCAAAATGCACCAGATTGGCATGCAGACCGAATATGGAATCTCCTTGCTCCCTGGCAGCGGGACCATAGATGGCAAGCAGGGTGATGTAATTGTTCTTGCTCCCGCGTACAACATCACATCCGACGACGTCAGCCTCATCGTCGAAAGGCTCGAGAAAGTGATCAAAGCGGTTTTGGGTTAGATGATGCGGTTAGCGATGAACATACTTTGACGACAGCAATGATTTTAGACAGCAATAGCAATTTTCTCGACCTTCGGCACAGTGCAGAGGATCACAGTTCTTGTTTCCCTGATCCGTTATTATTCCGACCTTTCCTGGGACAAAATTGCTTGAGAAGGGCCGTCATGTCGTCAACAATAATGATCGACGATTGATCACCGATGTAGAGTTTCTGCCGAGCCCGGAGATGTCCTTCTGCAGGGCTAGGGAGGCCTAGGGAGGCCTAGGGAGCCCTGCCAGGCTGCCACAGGGCGTTTGATGAATGCAAACTGCGCTTGACTCGGATAGGCAAGCCGAAGGAGACACGGCCCAACGCAATTGACGCGCCTGAGGCTGAATCAGGAACGTCTCGACCCTCCTATCTAATCTTCGCCGCAATGTTGGTTCTTTCCGTGGCGAGACTCTCATTCTCTCAATGCCAGTGACGATTCGATCTGGTCATACCACCGCAATAATCATGCCGCCTTACATTGGCATACTCCCGTGAAGCTCATTTTATGTCATGACCTCCACCGGCGGAAAGTGGTTGAACTGGCCATGTCAAACCACAACTGCAACACCGATGCAATTCGTGAGAAACCCCGAGCGCAATCCAAACTGACAACGAGAAGGAAAGTGAAAGGTAGGTCTCATTGAGCAGCTTGTTTACTCTTGGGTCCATATCTGAGAATGAGGTTGGTGCCATAGGCTGCTTTGAATGCTCTCGACGTCGCATTGATTGTGATCGAGGAACGCCCGAGTGCCAAAAATGCCTGCAAAGGGGCCTTGCATGCAGCGGGCTCGGCACCAGATATCGTTTCAATGATGGCCTTGCATCGAGGGGAAGACTGGTGGGCCAGAAATTGCCCACTACATCCAGGCCAAAGTATGAATCACCCTCCGACATGGAACCAGCTTTTTCACTCCTATCAATGTGCAGAGGCTGACATAATATGACATCTCTTCAGAAGCCCGACGGTTGATTCTAGAGCATCATCTAGGTCAAGGCCTGCCCCCGGTCTTAGAGCGATCCCTGATGAGCAGGAGGTCTTGCCACTTGTGAAAAGCGACAGCAGCAATCTTTCCCCATGCACCTTGTCCTCACTGTTGGATAGCCAGGGAAGAACAGCATTAGTCTCGGATGCTAATCTCTCTATCGACGAAGGCCACAATGATGTTGAAGAGATTAGCCACGACGATGCGGCCCTCGTCCTAACCCAGCCGATGCCAGACCATCTGGACGCGGCCACGCGATCATTGTACACATATTGTATGTCTGATCTGATCTCCCTCTTTTAGCTTCCTTCCCTCCATCCGTCTTCACTCCAACCCCTCACAATGGGGACAAAGTCCAGAAATGTGCGCTGACATATGGCTGACTGTCCATGCTATAGTTGCAATCAATATCGCTCCCATCATGGCAGTCATCGACCGCGGTTTCAATGGGTATCGAGACCTCATTCTCCCGCTGGCGGAATACGACCCGCTGGTTCAAAAGGCCGTCGTCGTCGCCGCGACCGAACATCTGGCCTCCAAGCTGGCGAGATACGTCTTACCCAACCCCAACACCTACAATAGCGTCCTCTGCGGGCTTCGTCTCCGATCACAGACAATGGTTCCCTACAAAGATGACATCAGTATGACCACCCTACTTCTCCTGCTTGTTTGCGAGATGATATCGGGAGGAGACAAGTTCACACAAATATACGGCATAATGAGGGGTTTGATTCGTAGCGCCGGAGCCAACTTGCAGTTCTCATCCTCTCGCTTGGGACAGTTTGTCGAGATTCAAACACTCAGGTCAGTCAATCCAGGATGGTGCTCGAAGAAAGCCATCGCAGGAATTGCATCGCAGGCAAAAGTGAATGCTAACATCTCTTAGAGTCCAACTCATTGCCGAAAGTCTCTTCAACGAAGCCGAAGGCTCCAATTTCGTCCACGTCCAGCTGGAGAAGAGTCTGGAATTTCTTCGATACTGTCAGTCACTTCATCCGGAGCATAGTGTCTTGATGTCCCTGTTGTTCGACATCATGACGCAGGCGTGCCGCCTCTACGTCCTCCGAGCGAGTACCGACCCTCCGCTGTGCGACACGGTCCAGCTCGTCGAAGACTTCAAGCAGCTCGCCGAGAAAGTCGCCGACTACGAGCATGTCGTCGGCCACCACTTGCTCCTTTGGCCGTACTTCGTGGCTGGGGCCGAAAGCTCCACGATTCCCCACCGAAGGTATTTCTCCCAGAAGATGCAGGCCATGTATCGGACGACAAGATGCGAGAATACGTTGAAGGCCATGCATCAGTTGGATCGGATTTGGGAGGCGCAGTCTACCACTCGCTGGACCAGCCTGCTGGGAGGCCCTGGCCAGGTTTTCATCATGTAGCAGAGCAGGACCACTACAGGGCGCAATCCGAAGTTGACAAGTCCGATTCCTCTTCGACATCGACAATCCGAAGACCATATGACCAACTCATATCGATACGTCCTACATAAAAGTCTGCTTCAACCCATATGCGACATCCATCACTCCTTCACTTCCTCTCCTCCGGCTCAGAGCCACGCCCTTGCAAGATCCTCATGCTTACAAAACTCAAGCCTAATCACCCCAGCTCGTCAACATTCATACCAATGTCCTTGCAATATGGTGATATCTATGGTGCCAAGAGTGCTCCCAGTACGCCCATATCCGCGACAGTCTCAAGACTTCTGCAAAGCTGGATGATATCAGAAGTTTTTTTTCTGCCGATAATGGCTTTTGACTGGTCCGAGAACTTATTCTCGACTTGTTGTGCATCCATTGGGTTTGCCAGGGATCCAGTTGCGTGGTCGATACGGACCTCGTCCTCCAACACCGTACCCATAGCCGACACACTTTTGGGCGAGTATCTGAACTTTAATCTGGCCGCATCATCCGCGACCGATTGGTCTGTCGTAACTTGAATCTTGTCTCTGATCGACCTGATAATCGAGTCATTGGAAGCTGCGTCAGAGAACTCTGCTGGGCCAGCTCGTCCATACACCAACGCGACAGCGCACCCGTGATACAACGAGAATATTGTCTCCAGTGCTGACCGGGGTTGACGAACCGAGCACAATCGAACACATTGCGGGTTTACAACAACTTCAACGACGTCCATTTTCTCCTCAAGCGAATCAATCAAGTCACGATCTCGAAGAAACTCAAGTTCTCTTAGACAGCCATCGATCAGAGGATGTATGACAATCCCACAGGGATACGGCTTGAAAGTGTTTTCGAGTATTTCGAACGGGCCGCCAGTAGCCAACGCCGAGAGATCTGCATCGCTCACAGTATCGGACACGAGCTTCATCCAAGACTCAATAGCTCGGGGACAACTGTCGAACTCGCTCTCAGCTAGCTTTGCCGCAAGAAGACCGTTCTGTGCTGCCCTGCCCATATGCAGTGTCTTGGTGTCCGTACCGAACATGGCCCTGATACCTCCAGCCATGCTCGCTGCATGTCCTAGAGCTGCCGCAAACTTGTGCGGATTGAGACCTAGAGCTTTGGCAATGGCTGCAGCAGCACCAAAACCGCCTGTCGTACCGGTGATATGCCTGCGCGTGCGTTAGAGCTCACAGTACTCGACGACACGGCGCCCTCGCAGAGCGAAACTCACCAACCGTCTCGATAGTGACCGGGAGAGATAGCGTTGGCGACCGCGCATTGTGCTTCCACTCCACAAATAAAAGCAAGGATGAAGTCTTTCCCAGGGAGGTGGTGGACTTCGGCCCAGGAAAGTAACGCGGCTAGAGGCGTGCCACTCGGGTGCACGACCGTCTTTAGGTGTGTATCATCGTAGTCTGCGGTTGTAAGGGCGACACCATTGATGAGGACAGCGTCTTCGAGCCGTGCCCGTCGACTTTGGCCGATGATTGCCGCATCGAGACAGGATTCATCAGGTCGTAGAACTGCAGAAGATACTTTGAGAGCTGGACGAGCCAGTGACGAACCAATACCACAACCCAGGCTATTCAATATCGAGAGTTTGGCATGGTTGATTACCTCGGGTTGGAGGTCTTCATATTTCAGTTGCGAAAGGAACGTCGCTAGACGTAGTGTGTGATCGATATCATCACTCATCCTAAGGCCAACAATGTTGCTTCGGCACAAGGAGCAGATGTCGAGTTTCGGTCTACGAAGGTGTTGTGCCTTATCACATCCTTTCTGGCCATTCGACCTTGGAGCATTGGGGATTGGAGGCGTAGCAACATGGGCGGGGTAACCTCACATACCTAGGTACTACCATGTATCAGGGCGGATAGGGTAAACTGCCCCGATTGGGGATCAGGCGGACATGACTGGCGCGGAGGGTTTGCAGTTCCCTGCTATTGTGATACGATGTGAAAGACGGTGTGAGGTGTCCAGTACTATTGAGACAACTTCCTCAGATTATTTCAACACGCTCAGCACTTCAAGTCTTGCCCGCCGCCTTTTCTTGGGATAACCCTCAACCACAATGACTACCTCTCAGACACTTACTTCTTCTCCTTCTGCTCCGCAAGCCACGCCCTCGCAATATCCTCATGCTTACAGAACTCAACCTTATCACCCCAGCTCTTCAACCAAGTCATGACCCGTTCCGCCATGCCCATAATATGAGCCATACCAGATGTATCCGGATGCATCAAGATCGGGAAGATGAACTCATCCCTTCCATCCACTGTACTATTCTCCCACAACCACATAAACTTATCCTTCCACATCTGCTCAATGGTGCGTGTCCCAACATACCCATGACTCTGCGCCAAATGAGGCAGGTACTGCAGCGGCATCATATCCTCATTATACCACCCACAAGGGATCTCGACAAGCGGGTGCACCCCCTCGGCCGGATACGCCTTATGCTCCGCAGCCAGTTCCGTGGGGTGCAACCAGCTCGACGCGTCCTTACCGAAATCAATCGTCTTGATCGGGGGGTCGTTCGGCGTCCAATAGACCTGGCTGTCATGGTGCATCAAGCTCGAATCATACAAAAACTCGTGCTGCCTCAACAACTTGACGGTCGTCTCGCGGATGGTGTACATCGGCGCCCGATAACCCCTTGGCTTCTTCCCGCACAACTTGGTCGCGACGTCGATACACTTCTGCAGCACATCGGCCTCTTGTTCGGGAGTCATCTGGTAGATACCTTCGTGAGAATACCCATGTAATCCGACCTCAGCACCCGAATCGGCCACAAGCTTGACGCTCTCAGGAAATGTCTCGACCGTATGCCCCGGAATAAACCAGGTGACTTTGTCCGCAATGTCGAGCTTCTTGAGCAAATTGACCAGTCTGACCGCACCGACTCTCCCGGCAAAGATACCACTCGAGTAGTCCGCCATGTTGTTATCGGCATGACAACCCGTCCCAAGCCAATGACTCACAGCGTCAAAATCGAACGAGAAAGCAACCTTGACACGAGGCTTCGTCTTGGTCAGAGACCGCGGCACCTCACTGGCACCGTCCCCAAGAACTTCGTACTCGCAATCTGTCGGCCCGCCGCCACCATTCACCGGCGCCAAATCCTGCGGACAACAACTCATCGCGACAATTAGATCCGTCTCAGCCTTGAGGACAACATAATCTCCCTTCTCACTCAGGGGAGGACGAATATCGAGTCCACCTCGATGATCGATCGCGACATTCATAAAGATATTGAACGGGTCCGGAGTCCAGTCCTGCGCGATCTTGAAGTCGGGAAACCCCTTGGCCAACGCACCATGCAGGTTCTCCGAGCAATTGTCGTGATGTCCCTGATATCCCTGCATGCGGTACCGCTCAGCGTCGCACGCCGACCAAATAATGTCGTGCACTCCCGGCGTAGTGTCCTCGACCAAAGTCAAAACGGGCTTCCGGCGAGTGCTGTACAATTTGTCGCCCTTGGACAACGAGATCTTGACAAGCACCGTCCTCGTGTGCACCATGGACAAAAAATCATTGGGGTCCGACGGGTTGAACGCCCAAAAGTCGACGACCTGTTTGCCGTGGGTGTTTGTGATTTTGATGCTCTGGCCCGCCTTGACCAGGACGGCCTCGGCTTTGCGGGCGGGAATCGTGACGCCCATCTCGTTCTTTCTTTTGCGTTTTGTTGATGATTTGGACCTGAAACGAAAAAGGCAGTGGTAAGGTCCTCTCGTTCGGGCAGAGAGCAGATCTATTCACACAGCAAGACCCAATAAGCAAGACCTCAAAGACTGACGGCCGTCTCTTATATCATGACCGGCCAACACGACCGCCGTCATGTCCATGCGGCCCAGAGACGGGCAACTCCGTCGATAGATAGACTTTGGCGCGCACATACTCCATACAGCGCCATCGGGCTAGCACTGCTAGCAGTTCCCCGTCAACCATCAAGCCCGCCGCAGGATAGGATTTTGTCCTTTTACCCGGCATTCACTGACGGGGAACCTTCTTTGCCAGCTTATGCACCCATGGTGTCTACAACGTCAACAACCAGACTGACTAACCCGGTAGAATGGAATTTTTCCAGCTGGCCAAGGCACGATACCCTGAGTCCCCCACTTGTCCAGCCCAGACCCTGGACCTACGAAATCGTAATGCTTGTTAGCAATCCAGCGCCGTCTTCAGATCGCGCGGAGATCATCGACGACCCTTCTCGGACAACCATTTACGCTAATCTGTACTCCGCATTCTGCACTACTTCGGGCATGTTCTTAGCGATTATGTTGACATCACTATTGCCCCGGCCACTCCTGACAAGTATATCGTTCAAAGTCCATCCAGGTCTATCCAAGAGGACAGTGAATCGTGGAGGAAAGAATATGGTAAAGATTGCCATAGACAGTACTTGACCAGTCTGATACCTTAATGAGGTTCAGTAGGTTCTCATCCTGCCACAGAGCGATGGAGCTAGAGTAGAGGAGACGAGGGGAATAAGTTCTTCTCATCAATATATATGATGTCTCCCTTGATGCCATTAGCATCCCACTCTTGATCGCTCAATAGGTGCATCCCTTTTTCCAACTCCATCGCTATGCACGCGAAACACCTGCTATATCTTACACTCAATATCAATCAACGACCGAGTTCGACAAAGCCCGCTTGAGGACTTCGACCTTGTTCACGTGCCAACGCCTCGAATTCTCCGCCCCATCCATCGTATGCGCGGTCGCTCCTAGACTGCTTGGACCTCGGTTCGAAGTGGGATGTCTTTCGACTCGGCTTCCCCAACGGCTTCCTAGATTGGGTGCGAGTAGCAGGAAACGCATCCTTGGTAATTTCCTCGACAGGCGCAAATCGAAGCCTCTTCTGGTCTCCGTGGCCTGCCACCCTCTTCGTCCTAAGAACACTGACTGGGAATTGTGCTCTGATGCGCTCCTCCTTTGCAAGCTCACGCTTTTGGATCCTTGACAGGCCACGCTCTTCCACAGCCTTGCCTTTCTCCTCACGAACTCGGTCGATCTCGCTCAAGATCTTGGATCTCTGGCCCAGTGTCGTGAGGTCGAGACTATCGGCAGGCTGATCTTCAGACTGCCTGTCTGATTGTTCGTCTTCCTCCTCCTTTGGTAGTTGCCGAGACTGTGGTGATTTCACAACATTCTCAACTTTGCTCAAAAAGGTCGTCAGGTTGCGCTTTTGTGTCCAGCACTCAGTCAGAATCTCTTTATCCAGCGGGCCCATGCCGTCGTCCTCTAATACTTCATTGACTCGCACGATCTTGTCATATGCACCGATCATCGCTCGTAAGAATCCCACCAAATCTTCCATGCTCTCATCAACAACATAGGGCGTGATCTTCCTCTTATCCAGCAGCTTCTGGACCGTGCGTGTGCGAGCCTTCACCTCAGCTTGGTGGTCAAGTTCGGTCACATGGAGCTTCAGTAGCTGTTTAGCGTTGCCCACTTCAGGGCGCAGCTTTTCCAATGCTCGGAAAGTGTTGTTTTTCTCCATGTCACGCTCAAAATCAAGGTCTCCATCCCTGGTCTTTTTCAAGGCCTCCCCACCGAAACCTTTGGTCGTATCTAAGGCCAGCTCCAGATACTTGACGAGAACCTTTGGTGAAAATTTGAGCTGTCGTCCAGTCGTACTGCTCATGCTGCCCACGTTTTCCTGCATCAGGTTGAATATCCGATTGGCGATATCAAAGACATTTCGATTCTTCTTGTCGCGAACGCAAGTACTCATAGCTATGATGAAAGTGCCGCGCGTCATCAATCTCCTCTGAATATGATCAGGTCGAGGCTGCAGCAGAACGTCCAAAACCGCCTGGCTTGCCCGCGAGGCACGCAAGAGGCGCAGATAGTTGGTGATGTTCTCCGAGTCTGGAACAACTTGAAAGGGGCCTTCGGGAGAAGTTAACAGCTGCCAATAATGTTTTCCAGCGGCGAGCAGTCGCGAAGACTTGGTAACCTCGAGGAGCATCGAGACAGTATTCTGTCCTGGCCTAGCGTAGACGGAGCCGTCCGTAGTAGTGACTTTGGTTGAAAGTCCCAGCTGGGCAGGGACATACATTTGCGAAGAAACATAGTCTTCCGCCGACTCTTCAGAGGTGTTTTCGGGGCTGCTCCATAGCTCTTCCGTGTCTGAGTGCCCCTCTTTGCCCGCTTTGGTCAACCTTGGTATGTTCATATATTGCTGAGCCAGGTTTAGAACATCCTCATGCGACCTCGGTTCCGCGGACAGCAGTAGCAGCCTGCCCATGGCACAAACTAGTGCTTCGTCCATTTGAAGTAGGCCTCTCTTCCACCGGTGATGGATGTCGGCCCACAACCTCCGGCCATCCCGCACGGCTCCTTCAAAGATTGGCTGAGGATCATAGTTTGGGTCTAGGGACGCCAGATCCACTGCTCGAGATCGAGCCTCGACATTGATCGCCTGTAATATGGTTGTGAAAGTTTTGTGATCGGGTGCACCAGCTCCACGTTCTGGCAAGTTTCCAGCAATCGACCACATAGTCTCGAGATCATGGGCTCTTGCGCAAACACTTAGCACAGCGTTTGTGTGTATTATTGTTGGAGTGACAGCCGAATTCGCAGCTTTGATCGAGTTGTACACAGCGACAGCTTGCTGTACCGATTCTGGTTTCTTCACGTTGTCTCGATAGCCACGCAACATGATAGTGTAAGTATGGGCGTCAGGCTTGTGACCTCGTTTCTTCATCTGTTGCACATCTTATTAGTACCAATCTTTAAGTAACCGTCAGGGCACGCATACCTCATTGAAGATTTTCCAAGCCCTCGTTGGGAATCCTTGGCTCATCAGCCAGTCTATAAGATGATTCCAACTGACGGTATTATCGATTTGAGCCCCGTTGACACCCTTTTCACTGGTGAGGACCAGAGCGTAAGCGGCGTCGAATTGGGAAGCCCGCAGTTTGTCGGCTACCGACTGTGCCAATTTGAGCGGATCTGTCAAGAACTGCATCTCCAGCTTTGAGGCTTTGTCCCATGCCTTCTTGCCTGCATCGTTCATGAGAATCAGGCGGTTGTTTTCTCGTGCCTCGACGTCTTTCTGATCCGCTTTTGTCATTGCCTCCGAGTACTTCATCGTAGGTGGTCTGATTTGCTTCTTCTTTGCAAGCGCTTTCCACAGAAGACGCCGGTGATGGCCTTTGGCAATGCCGTGGAGGGTGGCATGGTTGCGACGGAAAACGGCGGCAGGTTTGAGAGCGACTGCGGTCGAATGAGAACGTCGTGCATCTATGGCCAAGGAGCGGAATGCTCTAAGCAAACAGGCATCACATGTAAACATCGCCAGGTGTAAATGCAGAAGGTCATTCAATCGAGATGGCAGACAGTCTCAGACCATCTCAACTGCACTTGCCTTTCGCCGGCGGACACAGAATTTTCTAACTTGGTAGGTAGGCCGAGGCTGGTAAGTTAGTACGGCAAATTACGGCCAATACATGCACGTGAGGCTTATTTTCCCACTGCAGCTGTAACGACTGTGGTATCGTCGTGTATCAAGACTAGGTATTGTACGACTGAAAGTCTCTGAAGATAGAGCATCGGAAGAGCGAGAGGGTCATCAATGAGACGCACGTAGAGATCAATGCTAGTCTAGTCCAATTGACATGAAGTCAGAAGGCAGTTGGGTGACAATGCTATCCCACCAAGCCGTTCCATATGCTCCGAGGGTTGAGACACAATTTGGCCACAGGTACCTACGCTGCCACATACGGTTGACAAGAACAGATCCACACATGTATGCTTCTCTCAAAAGGGGCGTTGCTGGCACCAAACTTTCTGTATCATATGGCGGGAAGGATCCGAAGTACGGTAGTTCGGAAATCGGGAACCGGATCCCGGTAGTCAGTGAACAGCCTTTCAATGGATGCATCGATCTGATTCACATGTTGCGCACTCTCTGAATCGTGTCGTTAGAGAGTGGGCATGTAAAGCCATTACATAGTCCAGTAGCAAGTGCAATGGGCTTTCCGAGTCATCCGGCAGCAAGCGGTCGGGTTTTGGTGGTGGCGATATTGAGCCTGTTCTTGCAGAGGCATATATCAAGTCATTGCAAATGAATAGAAGCATCCTTCTGGGTAAAGAGTATATACAACAAGGCGGTCGGTCGACTGCAAGGCCTTTCTGCCAAAATGGACCCCTATGGTTGTTAGTCAGACATTGTCAAGACGCCAGCACAGCAATCTGAATAAATGCTGACTGAGACGGAGGGGAGCATCAGTCATTAGACTCTTTGAGGTTAGATACACGCTCGTGTTGATGCTAAGCCCTACCGTCCAAGATGAAATAGGTTGCTGGAGCCTTTGCAGGAAGTTGTAGGGATGTCGAGATGGGAAAATTCAATGACTCCTTGACTAGAGACCAGTGACATTGAGATCCAGACCGTCGGTACAGACTAAAAAGAAGCATTGGTTGTGCGTCGACAAGTGTGACAGGCCCGTCAACCTTTGTTGGTTCATCTCTGTTGGGTCTTCGGCGCGGCCCTGCGCTGGGACAGCAGACTACGGACATTTTTTGACCCTAAGTTAGGTTTGAGGTGGTTACCTATCAGGCGCCCCCCAAGGATTCGTTAGCAAGGCCTAAAAGTCTCTAGTTTTAAAGCCTGGACGATGCTTAGCTTTGGCGCCGGTCGATGGCAAAAAGACACCACCCACCCACACTGCTCGCTCCCCCAGACTTCCGTGCAACTCTCTTCACACCGGCGTCTTTCTTGCATCAGCTTTTGCCCCCCGAATCATAGACTAGGGGATCTCAAAGTCAACCAACTCCCCGGGCACCATATTAGTTCCCATAGTCTTGTGTAACCGTGCTAAATTCAATTCCCATGCATCCATCCCCCAGGTTTTTGTTCTCTGCCATCCGGTAGGACAGTCTGTCACACGCCAAAATCAACCGTCTTGTGCCCTGGTTCAACCTTAACTGCATGACGTCAACCTCATTTCTTGGATAACAAATAAATTGACTCTGGTGCTAAGGAAAAAAGCGGACATCCGCATTTGGATCACTTGACTTGCCTCTCATTCTCTAGCAGTCAAGGTAAGGTCGGCCTCGGATATTCTAAAATAGCCTGAATCACGTCGAAGCTTTCACTCCGACCCGACATCCTGCCCGATTGTGTGAAGATGAATGTACAAAAGTTGGACTGAAACGCTTCCCATGTCTCATATGACAATCGAGCCAGGTTGCGGCCCAATAGCTTCCCCAATTCATAGGCTCCTCTCCGATCCTTCTCTGTTGTCCTCTGGAACTCTCGTAGTCTCCTGTACCCGTTCAAATAGGCACTCTTGACAGCGGCTCAATCGTAACGTTCATCACCTTCGAAAACTTGTGTCGCTCAGACCGTTCGTTGCTGCGTCCAGCCGTAAGAATGAAAAGCCAGTGAATGAAAAACAACTCGTGGAAAATATGCACAGCCAACCACCAGCCAGGCGATCCTGGCAACAAACTCCCAGCAGCATGACCCGGATTTCTTTTTTGAGACTTGCCGTTGTGCTCCCCATTATCTCCTCCACTCCCACCTAGGGTATCTGTTAATCATGTTGCACCGCACAAATGCATCCAAACAACGCACGACCCTAGCTGGGCCACTGTCGCGCTACAAGTCATGACGTCTATTCCACCACGGCTAGTACTGTCGCTGGGCGTAGACCTGCCCTTGTTGCGCATAAGGTGAGTTGGGGTAGTTGGCATAACTGCCCATCTGACCATTGCCTTGCGGGTAGACCATGGCACCTTGAGGCTGTCCGTATTGTCCCTGAGCATGTCCTTCTGCCGCCTGATAGCCGATAGGTGGAAGCGAGGGTCGGGCGCCGTTCTGCTGGTAGCCTTGTGGTGGTACTTGATGCGCTTCTCCTGGTGGCCCGTCAACTTGATTAGCTTGCGCCGCTTGTCGTTGTCGTTCTTCTTCTGCTTTTCGGGCATTGTCATCCTCCTTCTTGCGAGCTTTCCACTCCTTTCGAATCTCCTTGAACTCTGCAGTACGGTCAGATAGTGTCCCGTACACGGTGAAAACGCGCAAGTGTTGGGTTGTACTTAGTCACTACAGGTGTAGAAGCCTAATAGGAGCCAACCACAAACGGGCAGAACAATCATGTGCGCGCGACGTTGTACAAGAACAAGGACAAAACTTACCTTCTGGTGTTCTTTTTGTTCCATGCGACTGCATTGTAACATGTGCATTCAAGTGATTCAGTGTCCCATATGCTTTTTCACAACCATTCCAGCCACATTTGTACATTCGCTCGATTTCTTCGTATCGTCGGCGCGGCCGCTTGTGCTGCTGGGCACCAGGGATTGGGACAAAGGAGTAGACCTGAACGCGACGACATATGATCAGCTCGGAATCGAAAGAGCAAAGATGTCAAAGTACATACCTGACCAGTACGTTGGGCCGAGGCTTGAGGCGGGCCTTGGACTCCGGGACCGGGATGCGGGTAGGGGGCAGGCATTTGGTGTTGCGGCGGATAGCCACCCCATTGCTCATGTGGTGGTCGCTGCATGTAGGGAGGGTGCTGGGGCTGCTGCTGGTAGGCGTGTTGCATGTCTTGGCCTTGAGGGTAGGGTGAATATGGAGGATAAGTCGGGCTAGCTTGCGAAATCGAGGGATCTATAGGAACGTCCGAGTTAGACCTCACATGATGCGAGTTTGCAGTTGGATTGCCATTAGGTGCTCCATCTGGTAGGGATGATGACGGACTTGTTGGCTGTGCCATGGTTCCTACAGCGCCTGAATGCGGCGGCGCGTGGGAGTACTGGCTGTATCGCAAGTGGTCTGCTGGAAACCCTGACGAGCGTGCCGACGACGGTGTCAGGCCGTAATCCGACTGCGGGGTGGTGGTGTTGGAAATGGGCGCAGAACGCGGGTCTTGCGTGCTGTATGTCGCGACAGACGAGTGATCTAGTAACAACAAGTATTCTCAGAACTTGCTCGACCACGGTGAATGTTATGGTGCCGGTGAAGCTGCTAACCTGACTGCGCGTATTCTGGTACACCTCGGTCCATCAAAACCGTTCTTCACTGCTGCCCACGTAATGGGTCGACGTCGTCAAGTACCCAGGCAGTGGTTGGTAGGGACTCTGGTGGCACAGGCGTAGAACCCGAGTTTGAAAGGCAGTGTATGACAGCAGTCGCGCAAAAGGTAAAATGTCTAGGGCGCGAAGCTCGGCCAGCAGGCGACGATGCGTGAAGCAACGCTTAGATCGAGGACCGGCGTATTCTTTATTTCGAAGACACGCTCAGGCGAGAGACCCAGCGTCGCCAGGTAGGCTAATGTCGGCAAGGGTGGAGTGGGATTGTATCGAGTGAGACTGTGTCGGGACAAGCGCTGGTCTGCACGAGGGCACCAGATCGGTCAGTGGTGCAGGTTGACGAAAATGGGACGGTTGATCTCGAGCAGGGCCGCAATCGGTCCAAGCGACGGGGCCAAAGGTAGTTCGAAAATTGAGGGTTTAGCACTGTTTCTCTGCTGAACTAGCTGCAAGCTCGGACTCTGGACCAAAGGGTAACCGTTACTCTTCTCGAGATGGCGCGAGAGACCCGGGCACTAATAAAGAAAAGAGGAAGACGGCAAGGCAAGCCAGAACAAGCTTCGAGCCTGGCGGTGGGTGATAGGTGTGTCCCTCGCCCCCAGTCGCTCCCCAAGTTCTACGTAGCAGTCGAGTGGTACCGTCTCTTTTTCCACGCCCTGGTTCGCGTTTGATTTTGTGAGCCAAATTGTTATTATGCAGCCGGATAATTCAGGTCAATGTGACAGGGAAGTTTTCCTTTGCGCCCCCTGGAGCGGACACCAGACTTGACTGGGATGCTACCTCCGTTCTCAGAGAGTACGATCAGTGATGCAGAAAGGTGACTTGCTTGGCAGGAGTGGAACCAGGTGGCACGCAGAAGCAGGCCTTCCTCTTGCACACGTTCTCCTGCCCAATAGAGGGCGACGTGCCGATGGAGAAAAGGGTTTCCTTGAACCCTCCTGGGTTGAAGGTGTGCCTTTGACTGTTTGGATTTGACTCCACCGTGACCGAGTGGACAGCCAGTGGCAGCCTAGTCCAACGGCAGATGATTCGAAGTCGGAGAAGGAAAGAGACTTTGGAGGTTCTAAGGTGGAGCGATGGTGAAAGAGTGATAGCGCAGTCTCTGGAGCAGGTGCTAGAGGGCGGCAGCTAACAGGGGGGTCTGTGTGTTTTGATCACAGGAGACCCACGCCCACCACAGGCCCAAAGGCTCGGTAAGAGACTTTCGGGGGTACGATTATCTTGTTTCAATTAACCCGCCCGTCTCTTTTGTCAATCACGTATTGCGCACGCGTGACTTGAAAGTTGCTGACTGCGCACCAGGTGTAATGTGTGGCGGGGGAGATGAGGTCGTAGGGTGTCGGGTCGGAGGCGAGTTGCGAGAGATTATCGTTGGCAGGTGGTCTAGGGGAGGCCGGCGCGCAAATCAGTTTGGGGGTTGGATATTACTCGTGAATGATCCGTCCCAAGTTCGAGAGGTGGGTAAGATAAGATAGAACCACAAGCGAGAAGCGAGATGTGCAATCCTGCAGTTGATCCTGCGCTTCTGACGGGCAAAAAAGTGTGTGAGTTGCAGTGAATCATGCACCGAGGGCGGAAATGGAAGGTTTTGGCACGAGATCTGATTCGCCACTGGGAGGAGGAACAAATGAATGGCGATGGCTGGTTGACGAGCAGGGATGTTTTTGCAGGTGGGTTTGTTTCTCTGACCTCTGACTTGGCCCGGGTGCCCTGGTGGCTCGTGGGAGAATAGAGGAGTGGATGGAGGTTCGGAGGCTGGAAGATTTCGTGGTCAACTCCCTAGGACGGTCGAGTGGATCTTGTGAGCTTCTCTTTGGACAGTTGAAAAGAGGGTCTCGAGAAATGGGTCGATGATGTGGTTTCGAGTGGAGAGAAATGAGGTAGCGAAAGGGAGATTAATCTTGCTGAAGCAATTGGAGCCACTGACCCAGTGGTTCTTTGACCCTCCGTCTCCGGGTTGGAGACTGGCCTTTGAAGATCGTGTTGGAAGCGAGGACGAGGAGCGGAGGAAGAGGCGCAATTGATCGTCCGCCGACAAAGAGTTCCGTAGACCGTAACTTAGTACAATCTGATGGTCAATGAATAATGCCAACCGGGTGACTAACTTATCGGCTGTGTCTGGGATTCGATTCGAGTTCCATTCAATCCACGTTCACTTCTTCCGGGGAGTTTCGTTCTGGCAGAAAACTGGCCGCTAGTGAGAAACTCGCAGGCATGAATTACAGGGAGCAGCTACTGCAATAATGCCTGCAACTGGATGCAGCATGCAGCAAAAAGCTAAACCTGTTTTACCTTGGTGCAAATCTTGGCATAAGAAACTCTCTTTCACGAGTTACGACGAGCGACGTTGGAGACTCGGAGACAAGCAACAAACCAGAAGGTGATCACCAGATTCTGCGGGCTGCAAACACCATCAAGAGACATCATCAACAACCCATCCATCGGATACATCCCACTTTGTATCTACACAGTCCCTGGTACCACCTACACAGGAGCATGCTTCATCATTCAGGGGTTTGCCTGGAGGTTACGTATGACCCGACCTTCGTTCATCCCCCTCTCCTCGATACGCTTTGTGCTCTTCTCGGGTGATTTCGCCTGGTTGACCCCAATCCACTCTATGACCATACTTTTCTTTTGTGATAATTCCATAGCCGATGGGTGATAATCCCACATGGCCCTCCCACAATTGCCTACCATGGCAGGAGAGCAGAAACCTTGGTCAGCAATTCGGACGAGTCTCCTTCTATGGTGATTTTGATGAGAAACAATCACCTCCTTGGGATGGTCCCCTGGTATGCATACGCGTACCGAATCTGCGCAAGGTAACTTACTATCACAGTATAGCATGATGGTGCATCCAAGCTAGCAGTGAGACGGCATGTGGCTTTCCTGTTTGGAGCTCCACGAGGTTGTGTAGGCCAGGGTTGACACTACTCATCGTTGGTAGTTCTTAGTCTCCTTCCCCAGGCTGCTGCTATATCCCACCAATTATGCATGTTGAGCCTGCTACCCTAATTGTCTCTAGAGTGGTGCCTTTGAGTTTGGATCGACTTCATCTCTACGAGAACCAAGTACCTTGCGACTACATTGACCATGTCGCGTCGAATATTCATGTCGAAGAAGAGGTGCTCGAAAGACGCAATCGCGCCCCATGGAAAGGCAAGACATACTCATCATTAGAGCGCACCTCTCCTAGACCTTCTAAGAGCTGCCTGGTGCTTTCGGACTTCAGCAACACAACCTGAAATACTTGTTCATGGCAGACCAGGATCGGTACCTTACTCAGTGACACTGACAGCATGCTTCTGGAAATCACCAACCAGCATAAAGTCAACCGAGATAGGAGCATTCCACCTTCCGGCGGTTCCATGCCTAAAGCGGAGTGATATAGTCTCCTGTCACTCGGCTTGAGGTGTGGGTAGGTGAAGTCCGATTTCTGCAAGCTTACCAACTTGTCCCGTGTCCCCAAAGCCCCTACAACTCGAATGGTACCAGTCATATGCCTGCGCAGTCAACCCTGTCGCTGCAGGAGGTCAGCAGCAAAATGCCAAAATGATCATCTTCCTGTCTCTCTTCGATCTGAATCACATCACGCGCTTCGTGCCGGGAAGTCGACATCGTAGTGTTTTGTTCTATCATCCTAGGAGCATACTCTGTACCGTGTAGCCCAAAAGCGTTTTGCTTTGCGTGGTCTGTCTTTGGTGGTATGATTTCTAAATGCAAAGCCATGCTAAAGCAAGCAACAACAAGCTCCAGGATTTCGCTAGTGTACCATCCTCCTGGTGCGCCATACTCTTGGAACCTCCTCAACACGTTGTCCATGGTGGTGGCATGGGCCGAGGTCCGTGTCCGCTGGGCCCTAGGCTCACGTTTCGAGGTAACACTGCAGCTGTCATACGGCTCGTGATGATGCCAGAGTTCTGGACATCGGATGGGTCAAAGCAACTGAGACTTTCTGACTTTGACATCAGAAGATTCAGAACCGGCCTCATCTTGCCAAACTCTTTCGCGCTTGACCATAAATCTGTCGTCTTTCTAGCATCAGACAAGTTAGCACCGAAGCACTCCCTCACACCCTCGCGATAGCTCTCTCGCTATCAAGGTCTGCGGGACCACAACTACGGGCATAATTCCAAATGTAGTCTCGAGACTCGAAGTTCGTGAATAACTGTAAGTGGAAGCGATACGCATCGCAGATCGGTTGTATCTACAGCACTAACCATGCACTTGCGCTAAATGATTTGTTCATCAGGTCCCACAGCCATCTCAACTGCTTCGAATTGTGCTTTCCATGTCAATGGGGCAGGAGGGATCCATAACTACCACCGCCTATCTTCGATTCGAGTACGAGTGCCTGCGTCCCCGTTCTTCTCTCGCACTCCAGGCTCTTTGACTTTGCCTTTTTATGCAATCTGGCTGCGGCTTTGTCTGTGCGCTATATGCGGCCACAACAGAAGCCACTTCATTGACCTCAAGTCATGTCTTTTGTCTCTTTCGGATTCGACGTCCTGTCATCCCAGCCCCCACCATCAATACTCGACTTGCACGGGAGCGCAATTTTACTAATGCACCGTAAGGGAAAATCAGTCCATACCTGTCGTCGACAGGTTACGCTCATGCCGATCGGCCAATCAGCCCCCTAGAATACCAGTAAATTGACCTCCCCAAGGCTCCAATCATGCAGCCAGCGCAAGCCATTGATGCTGCTCTTCATACGAGCGGTAGAGCAATAGGAACGCCAAATGACCCGACTTAGACAAGCATACGAGTACATTGCAGAAACGATGCTTGGCACTTCGCAATGTATTCCCTGCCACCAAGGTCGTCGTCCCTGAGTCTTGGGCATCAGCACGACCGCAATGACAGTTCTGGCAAATTATTCTGACGGATAAGCTTTGCAAAAGACCGTCTATATTTCCACCTGGGCATAACCCACACGCAAGACTCCAGCATGTGCTCTGAGGCCTCCTTGACGACCACCGCTTATCCTACGGCTTTCGGTTATAACCCAGGACCATGCCTGACTTGACTCTCGAAACCACATATGACTGATTACTGAGGAGAAAGCATATGCGGACCTCAAGTTCTCCTGACCTAGAAATCGCAATGACCTCAAAGCGACTGTCCATGGTCACGACATATAGGTCAAAATCGACCTTGACTGCCGCTGTTTTCCGTCCACTCGCAAGCACCATCTACCAGGAGAGACATGATCTGGTCGATGAAACGAAAACAGCTTGGAACTTCCCACCCTGAGTGGGTCCAAAGTTGGGAAAAAAAGGCAAGCTTTGATGCTCATGACTCTCTTCTCAAGCAAGCATCGAGATCGGAATCGACTGTCAAACCCAAATCATGCTGCCTTGAAAGCTAAGTGTTTCTGAATCTGTGGCCCAACAGTTCTTCGCCCGAAGGGGCCAAATACAAGCGGACTCGTCGCGCCGAGGCCCTACAATTTTCGGCCTGCATCCGCGACGAACAACTATCTTGAGGTGAACTCCTCAGGGTGGATCCCCCAGCTACAAGCACCTTGACCGGTCTGAAGATGTGCGCTGCTTCACCTTCCACATGCGGAACCGCGCCCTCGAGACTCATCAGGCAACCTGCAGACACTTCTACTGTGCATAGTACTGTGGTATGACCTCAATGGAGAAACCGTCCCAAGGCGAATTCCACCCGTCACTTTGATGAGATTGCTCGTGCTCTCTTTCTCTGATCCTCAAAGGTACAGAAATACCTCAAACATGTCGCCCCTTAGCCCGTCGCCCGAGCACGCAAAAGGGGGCCAATGCACCAGATCCGCGAGGAGGACATGACGGACCCCCTGCGTGAGCAAATTCAGCGCACCATCATCGTGGGATAGTAATCCCAGCCATTCTCGAATCCTCGACCGTCTCAAAGAAGAGACGACCGTGATGCAAGCACAATGAGAGTCCTGGTAACTGCGCCTGCCTCTGCGTGGCACCCATCCCATCAAGTGATCGCGACTCAGCGCTGCACACTTCACCTCCTGTTTTTCCCTGCCTTGCACATACGAGAAACACCAATATTCATGTACTAGTGACACTGCACAGGACCAGCTCCGCGTACCTGGAATAGTCCGTTGCAGACTGCATTTGGACACCTCAAGAGCATATTGATCATTTTCCGCAAGCTGTACCCTCACACCTCTCCCCCTTCTTATACAGCCTTATGCAAATTGTGCCGAGATTCTAGTGTCGCAGACCTCCCTAGCGAGGTCAGGTTGACTTCCAGACAGGCTCGTCACTTCAACTTACACCCGCCGCCATAGCGCCAGTATCATTGCTTTCGCGAACTGCTGATCTTCCCACAAATCATGCAGGCGCACTCTCCAAACCACAATAATGACCATGTGAAGCGTCTCGCATGTGAAGCCCTCGAGGCTGAGCTAACGTGTCATGGCTCACCCGCAGGATTCGCAGGAACATACACCACAGTCAACGCAGACAGCAGACCTTCCCATCTCACGCAGGCGCCCCCTTCCGGAGAACAATGATCGTGCCAAGCCGCCCGACCAAAAACAGGATCAAGACCGAGGTCTTTGGAGGACTCAGCAGGCCTGAAAAGAAATCCGCCATAGTCAATGTCATCACGAGGCGAAGCCTCAAGACGCCTTGTGAATGGGCAGCATGGCTTGCGCGGGGGATAACGTTAGTACATTATCCAGGTGAATTAGACGAGGCACAAGGGACGGCGAGGTTACTAGGATGATATGCAATAATTCACAAGAAGTATCGTGCTTCGAAATACCACCTTGACATTTGTAGCGTTCCAAGGAACTCAATGAACCCGTAGACTTCGTTGATAGACATGGTGAACGAGCGCTGTTGCTTTGTGAATCTATGAATGCAACATCAATGTACATGTGAGTGAAACGAACGAGATCAACCTGGCAAATGCTTGAATGATGTACACAGCTCTAAGAGCAACTCTCTATGTCTATTCTTTGGGCACATATTGCTCATGTTGTGCTCATGCGCTAAACATGCCTCGATAGAAGACACAACAGCGTCGCATGAACCATCATGGATGCTTGTCTATCATTCGTGGCACTCACAGTCTGATATCAGCTCAGCTGTGCCACTGCAAGATCAGTTGAAACAATGCCCATTCTTGAAACGAAAAACCACCTTCCCAGTTTGAAGAATCATTTCCTTCATCTCTCACTCACTTGACGCCGAACACCAATATCGTCGAAATCGACCAGTCTATTGCGCGTAGTCATTTTTGTGCACCATCTGCGGAAAAGAAGCCCCGTGAACGATCGCAAGGCGGAATGAAAACATCGAGGTCGAAGACGTGTCGTCAGTCACGGGAATCGAGCACGTCTACCATCGGCTGCGGCCGAGAGGTGCAGAATTGGAAGCAGTGAAGCCGCCACCGCCACCACGACCACCACGGTGACCACCACGGCCACCATAGCCGCGACCACCGCCGCCTCCACCGGAGTAACGTCCCATTTCCGCAAGACGAGGATCGATGTTTTGCTTGGACTCGGTCAAGATGTTGACAAGGTCACGGGCTTGTTTGGCATCTAAGAAGATTGTTAGTCACCAATAGATGGTGTGAATGATTGGGGGCAGACTTACTCTCGGTGGTGAAGAGTGTGATAGCTGTTCCCTTTCTGCCTGCACGACCAGTTCGGCCAATTCGGTGAACGTAGTCTTCTGAGTTGTTGGGGTAATCATAGTTGAACACGTGAGTAATGTCTCGCACATCTTCAAGTATAGGTTAGCAATCGCCAATGGTAAGCTTACGACACGTCGGGGACCATATGTGGTCGTGTGAGTCGGAGATGCACATCACTCTCTCGTAGACTCGGAGCATTATCCTAGGGATGAATCCTTTGGATGGCCAATGTCCATGTCCCGGTATCGGCAATCGTCTACGGTCCTTGGAAAGAAATCCTGGATTTGCAGCTTGATATGGTCAAGAAAAATGTCCCATCAGTGCTCGTTTCAGACGAGAACGAGATGGAAGTCAGAAGCTGGTCCTGGCAAACTGCAAAAAGATCCAAGATTCCTGGAAGAAGGACCTAAAAGAACACAGAGCCTGGAACAAGTTACGCAGATTCGTGGCGTAACGAGTAAAGAGAGCGCGCATCAAGTTCACACGACGGCAATGGTAATGAATGCAAGCAAAGAGATACAAAAGGAAAGGGGGGAGGGGGTTGATGTTTTTCATACCGATACCACGGGAGGCGACATCCGTAGCAACCATGATCGGGCTCTTGCCACCCTTGAATTCGTTGAGAACCCAATCACGTTCGTTTTGTTGCTTGTCACCGTGAATTGCTGGAACAAATGTTAGTTCAGTCACAGATCTGAATGAGAGAAAGAAACTCACAGAGCGCGGGCCAGCCATCTTGACGCAGGAAACGGGTAATTTCGTCAGCAACGCGTTTGGTGCCGGTGAATATCAGGATCTTGTTTTCGCGGTCCTCCATGATCTGCTCGAGGTGCTTGATCATGCGGTCTCGCTTTTCGAATTCGGACACAACTTCGACGATTTGAGTGATTCGGTGGTTGGCCGACAGATCGTGGGATCCAACATTGACTTGGATGAAGTCGGACTGGAAGTCAGAGGCCAATTGACGAACATCCTTGGGCCAGGTGGCGGACCACATGCAGGTTTGACGATCAGGACGGATCTGGCCGATGATTTTTCGAATCTGAGGCTCGAAACCCATGTCAAGCATACGATCGGCCTCGTCAAGAACCAAGTAAGTGACACGACGGAGATTTGTCTTTCCAGACTCGAGCATGTCGATCAAACGACCTGGAGTAGCGATGCACACTTCCACACCTCTAGAAAGATCGCGGATTTGTCCACCTTTGGGAACACCACCGTAGACGCAAGTGTTTCGGATGCGGGATGATTTGCCGAATTTGGTCATTTCCTGTTGAATTTGAACTGCAAGTTCTCGAGTGGGCGCAAGGACAAGAACGATGGGTCCGTCGCCAGGAGCTAGGAGCGGTTGTGCGTTGATGTGAACAATGGCGGGAAGGCAGTATGTCAGGGTCTTGCCAGATCCGGTCTCTGCAATACCAACGACATCGCGTCCCGACAGCGCCATAGGCCAACCCTGGGACTGAATTGCTGTTGGGGCTGCGAAACCTTGTGCCTTGACCTCCGACATGACATAGGCAGGAAAGCCAGCCTCGTCAAAGGATTGTACTGGTCGTGGAACATTTTTGCCTTGAATAGAGATTTCCATTTTGCGGCGGAAGTCATCGACTTCTTTCTGTGATCGGTTCGTAACAGCAGGATCCTCTTTGTAGAATGATTTTTCAAACTTGGGCATAGTGGCAATGTCCCAATGTTGGGTCTTCAGTCCTGCACCGAGGTTTGACATTCTGTCGCCGCCAGCGCCACCACCGCCGCCGCCAGAGTAGCCGTTTGAGCCACCGTAGCCGCCGCCGCCTCCGCCAGAGTATCCGTTGGAGTTACCGTTCGAGTGTCCGCCGGAGTAACTGCAAGAAAGATTAGTCATGATTCTAGTGTTTGGTTCATGAGGCTGTGATGGCTGCGTAAGACTGCCATGGAAATGACAGCAGCTTCACAAACCATGGAGATAGGTGAGAACGTACCCATTGGAATAGCCACCGTCGCGCGATCCGCCGTAACCACCACCGTAAGACATGATGGGCGCTGGATGCTGTTTCTGTTTGTCAAGGAAGAGGGAGGGGAAATAGAGAACAAGGTCTAGAGAATGGTCTCAGGGAGTCGCAGGAGTATGACAGTGCGAGTGCAGAGAGTCAAGAGATGGAAGAGGTGAGAGTGAAGTAAAGGTGAGAGAAGATTTAATTGAAGGTTGTTGTCTGAAGAAGGGGCGAGGATTGAAATTTTGGGAAAAGAAGGCAGCCGCAGCCACTAGCGATAAGCAGACGCTATGAAGAGTAACTTTGCCGAGGAAGAAAATTTCTAGAATGCTTGGCAGTAATACCACGTGACCTCACTACAACTTGACCTTGTTGAGTGGTTGCTGCCCTATGTTTGATAAACGATCGGTGAAGCATTTGAAAGGTGTAGAAAGGAGATCGTATTGGGTGACTGTTACTACCCTTGTTGACAAACAGCTCTTGCAGAGGATACAATGAGGATCTCTTGTCCCTCATCATGGCACCATGCTCAGTCCCGCAATCCATCGACACTGCCTTGAGGCTCCAGTGCCCACCGACTCCTTGCCAGAGGCCGCCACGTCACCGAAACTGTCCATAATTGCTCATACCCCATATATCAGTCATGTCAAAGTCGAACAATGTGTCCGAGAACGCGTTGAACTGCCCGTCTATCGGCACGAACGGATCAACTTCAGGCATGGGGGCAGTCCGTTGGCCACTCATGCCAAGGAGCGCGTTCGCCGTATTGTTGATTGTAGGGTCCACGCCGTTCAGTGGCTGCCAGTGGCTCGGATTTACCTTCTGAGACTCCATCATCTCACGATGAAGCCTGGCAACCCGGTCGGCAGTCTCTTGCGCATGAGTCTCAGGGGACTTGTGCGCAGAGATCTTGGATTGTAGCAGTGCGAGTGCACTGGACGTGAGCCAGTACGGATGAAAACCTTGTCCAAGTTGTCGGAGGCGCTCTTCCATAATATCCACCCCTTGTCCTATGAGCTTGACAGTAGCAGTAGTATCCTGTGTCAGATACTCCTTTGAGTTCATCTCCATGATTGTGATGACGCAAAGTCCAAGCAGCGCGCGGAAAAGATCATCTCGGAGACTGACGAACACCAATGCCGCATTCGGACGCATCTCAGAGTATATTCTGGCGATGGACAGCGCTGCATTTCGGCGAGCGACTCTGGAAAAGAAGTGTCTTGCTTGAGAATCGGTCTGTGCTGCGACTGGCTGGTGTATTTGCAGCAGAAACTCATAGAGTACCAGTTCTGACAAAGGTTGAGACGCGATTTTCGCCGCATAAGCTGGCCACTGTGGAATGTCGTCCAAGTATTTCCTGATCGTTCGATCAAGCTCGATAGCCGCGTCGTCTTCGATGTATGGTCTGACGCTGTTGAGCCTGGACACGAGTTCCAGCCTCAAGGGGAGGTGTTTCTGTGCTAGGCAGAGGAATGATGTCCTGGTGAATTCGGTAATGGGCCGAGGCGGCGGCAACTTCTCTGTGGACGGGTCAAACTCTTCGTCGTGGAGGTTCACTGGAGGCAGACAATCCCAGTCGAAAGGTCCAAGGCTGGCACACATGCCCCTATCAAGGCTTGCCTGAAGTTCTAGTTCCAAGATGGTGAACCACAACCTCCGGCGCATCTCTTGGTCAAACACTGAGATCTTCTTGCTGAGAAATGTGGGTTCTCGGTGCAGGCCAATAGTCATGGCAAGCCTTAGTAGATGACCAGCGACCGTCCATATGCGCTTGTGCTTGACACCGTTTACTCTCTTTGCGATGGGCATGAGTACCTGGACTTGGAATACCTCGATAGTCATGTGCTTCTGGCTCTGCAGGTCAAGCCAGGTCTCACAGACTTCGATCCATTTGATGGCATCATCACGGAGGATCGAACTGGGCCCAATGTAGACAGGCTTACCGCGCTGTACCAGAGCGTTCGCACATGCACACACAAGGAGGAGTTGAACCACGAATGCTGTAGAGGTCTCCGAGGGTGTAGAGTCAGATGCTTCTGGAACCTCGGCTGGTGTGGGAGCCCAGAACTCCTTGTACTGTCGGAAGAACGTCGGCGCGTGCAACACTCGGTAGGTGGTCTCCAAGACTTCGAAATATAACCGTACCAGACTGTCAGTGGTAGATTGATCAGGAATCAAGGATAACAGCGTGTCGTGATCCGGAAGGACTATCGAAGCGGGAATGTTTCGTCGATACTGCTTCCAATCACTCCTGGCCTTCTCGAGTGTGGGTAGTCGGTGGAGAATGTCTACGACAAAGGCGGACAGTTCTTCGAATTGTAGCAAAATGCTTGCTCCGTGGCTCGGACCAAAGTATTGCGTCTTGAAAGCGCGCCCCCGAAGCAGCGCCCGTTCAAGGTCCTGCTCCGCCGGCGCGCCTCCCGCAATGGCCGGTAGCAGCTTTTCAGATGGGAACTGGAGAGAAGGTGGAAGGCGTCGGCCTGCTGTCCTTATATGGGTCTCGAGTTCCAATACACGTTCCTGAAGTTCCTGTAAGGGTTTTGGTGTTGGCGGATTCTTCGACTGGGTGGAAGGGTTGACAACGTCCTCCTGCGTTCGAGCCTGATCATCTCGTGCCTTTGCGCGGGAATGCCACACATGGGCTTCCTCAGTCCATGACGCGACCGAGGAGTCCCTGCGCAAATGCGGATTTTCGTCATCGGGCGTGGATAAGGCTTCACCATTCTTGGATGTGTATGATACGTAGTCGCAGGCGACAGCACCTTTCTGACAGCGTACACACGTCGGGTAAGTTCGGTCGCATTTCACTTTGCGTTTTCGACAGGCCACACAGGAAAGGGCTAGGCGTCGACGCTTCTGACCCATGGCGGGCTGAGCGAGGCCGAGACTGTTACAGCCGAAGGTCGCGGCGATGGTGGCTGGCGTTGATTGGCTTGGAGGGTGAGGATGTTGGATCAGAGTAGGACTTCAATGGAGTGCTTCCATCGGCAGTCCTCAAGCAGCGCTCTGTTGTCTCTACAGTGGGCGACTGTAGACGCGAGTCGAGCCGTCGTCTTACGCCAAGTTCGTCAATGGCGGGTTTCGAGATGAACCAAACGTCGAGCCGCTGAAGATGGTCCAGATGTTTCAATCAATCAAACAGGCAGAAACATCTCTGGTTCGACTATCCGGATAATCGTTTCTTGCTGCATTGATCTGCCTGACATGCTGCATTGGATGTTACCACGAACAATGAGTGAAGGTTGAGAAGCTCTCGGCTTTATTGCGACAAAGACCGAGCACGTGTTTGATGTTTATTATTTAGGCGTAAAAGCAGCACCGGAGATTATTTGGCTTGCATCTCAACTTCGATGAAGACCCTTGAAGTCTACCTAGGTATTCATTCGCCTTCAGCCTTCATCAACTCATCCACCCTTCGCGAGTATGCACCTTTCATCACCCCCTTTAAAAGCTCGTGTGTACTTCTTCGTACGCTCAAATACTTTCATGATGCTTTGTCGGAAGCAGAGATATTGCGCTGGCTGACGTTCGTTTCCCTCTGCCTACACTTGTCGAAACATTTTCTCCTGTTAATGTCCCTGCCAGTGACATGGTCAGTGTAGGTTCGGACGACGTTCCACCCTTTGAGTGTCATTTTGGAATCTCACCCTTAGGCCATGACTCTGCATATCGCCGATGGCATATTTGCTCCGCCAGGTAACCCTGATCCTTGTATCCATTCCTCAAGCGGTGCACAATTAGTGCCAACATTCTGTGAGTGCCACCGCCGACGCGGTGATCCCGATGGTTTGAGCGATATCCCCCATGTTGAGACGACTTCTACGTTGTGTAGGCGCTTTTAAAAGCTCGATTGGACTGGAGATCTCATGTCGCATCAAGGAGTGCTTGATCGTCCAGCCTTCGGTGCAGTTTTGCCCTCATACTCGTTTGTTTTCTCTTTGTCGCTGTTGTCACAATGAGCGTCACAGGCAGCTGCATTATCCGACAAACAATGACCAACAATGTTAGAGAATCAACTACCGCACCCTTTGTCTCAGCTTCACCTTTCCACAAAGGAGCCTCTCCCGAGTAAAGGTCATCGACAAACAGACCTGAGACATCATACACGAAGTGACTGATACCCCATTGAGGCAAGCTTCAGCCTTGCACGCGACCCGACCAATAGCTGGCATTTTCACGCGATTTCGAAGGGACTTGTCGTTGATGGCCGACAATGCGCTTTGTTTCTGCGTGAACATAGCCTTTTCGTGCCATACGATCTTCACCAGCTTAAATATGGGCAAGGCCGTCCTCGAGATTGGAACCGCTCTTCATCCTTTCCAAGACAAACTACACGCCCTACGCCTTTCGACAGGGGAGATCGACCACGAATCAGCTTTGCCGCAACATCCAACAACTGTTTCAACAAAGCTGCTTCATAGATTGAACCTTTCGAATGGCGTCCCAAGCCGAAGGATCACCAACTTCAGGAGGCAGGACCTCCAGCTCTCCGCCTGAGACTGAATACGCTTATTCAGGAACAGGCTCCGACCGAGTCCATCCTTCAACCACCTCTCCCAAACATTCTCTCCCCACTGGCATTGACACAACCTTCGATCTCATGGATCCTGATGCTCAGTTCGATCCCAATTTGTACATCAGCGATGAGGAGATGCGCCGCCAGAACGCGGATTTCGTCAACGACTTCAATCCAACGGATGATTTCTGGGCAGAAGAAACCCCTTTCTTCGCTGAAACTTTCCAGACAATGGAATCTCAGGTTCTTCCTGAAGCTCCTTTGACGGAGTCCCCAGAGTCGTACCTGGCGGAACAGGTGCAGCCCACCCCTTCAGTGTATGCTAATCTTCCCTACGGCTTAGGTCCGGTGGCCGAGTTCACTTATGATGATCAGCAGCCTGCATATGTCGCTCCTAGTGACGTCTTCCCAGCCCCTGCCTACCCATGGCAACAACCAGCAACCAATCCCGAACATGATCTGCCATCTTTGGACTTCAGCTACCAGCCAGCTGTGGACGATGGTCTGTACGAAGGGTATGAGCGAGTTGATGTTGATGCTGAAGACGATGCCCGAGCTCGAGCCCAAGCCCAAGCCCAAGCTCCAGTGTATGCTAATGGTTATGCTAATGCCGGTGTCAACCACACCTATTTTGCCAGTGCAGAAAACGACGTCGACGCTGAGGCTGACTCGGACTCTGATGACGCAGGTCTTGCTCCAAGCACTCGTCGCAAGCGTAAGTGGCGCAAGAATCCCAAGAACCGCGAGAAGGAGCGTCACAACGACAGAGTGCGCCAGCAACGACGCCGAGAAAGACTAGCCCAGCAAAGTCAAGTTCGAGGACTCCTCACCCAGCCAACCCAGCACCTGCCAGCGGCTTCATACATTGCAGCTCCACAGCCACCGAACAGAGTTCAGCGTAGTCGCCCCCAGCTTCGCTCCGTTGCACCAGCAGCCAATCTCAATCACAGCATGCCTATCGCCCACCAGCATCCCGCTGCCGCAATGCAACCAGGCTACCAGCCAGGTCCGCACGTCCAGTTTCAGCGTGTCAACGGTGGTGAGGGTAACGTGTATCGTGTTTTTCAGAATGGCCACGAGACTGGAATCTGGAGACCTATCACGGCCGAGCAAGCCAGACAATTCGAGGCTCAACAACATGCCAGTCGCATGGCGATGCCTGCCTTACGTCCTGCTTATCAAGCTCCTGCTGCATACCCAGCTCCGGCTGCCTATCCAGGCCATGCTGCGCACCCCCCTGGGGCTCCTGCTGCTTATCCACCTCCTGCCGCATACCCAGCTCCTCCTGCTTACCTAGCCCCAGCTGCATATCCGAACGCAAGCTTCCCAGCCCTTGCCCCCGCGAACGCGCAAAATGAAGTTACAATTCCTCCCTACCTTTGGGACGGACCGACGACGAACAACCTCATCTCGCCGTCGACTCAATTTGGAGCCATTGCCCAGCGTCGCCGCTTCACTCGAGACAGCCGCGCAGCCAACCGGTTTCATCCTTATTGATCAAGTCAAGTCCGGTCAAGGTAAGTTCAAGCACAGCAAATTCAAGTCGACGAGGGAAGTCAAAGTAAGTCCAATACAGCACATTCAAGTCGACGAGGTAAGTCAAGGTGAGTCCAACACACTCGTTTTCAACCCCATACTGCCCATTTCCTTTGTTCCCCCAAATCACACGGCGGCCCTTTATCGTTTTTGCACCTACATCGAGCCAAGAAACAACATCACCAAGGAAGTTAAAGAAGACTATTTCTCAATACGTTGGTCATGGAGTTCCAGGTAAGCTTGGTGCAAGGTAAGTTCCCCAAAGATAGGTAAGTCGAATGAAGAAAATAAAATGGTGTTGAAAACAATCGTTCCGCTTCCATAACAGATCCCTAAGTTCACGTCTTCCCCTCTACTCTACTAATCTTCATGACTTCTTGTTCCTCAGCTTTGCACAATTTGCTTACCCTCTTAGCATCCCCCAAGACCCCTACCGTGGTGCTGATATGCTCGCGCTGTACTAGCAACCAAGGCTAGCAGGAGTTTCAATTGACAGTCCTAGCAGATTCCCAGAACGTCTGGAGAAAGACAGACGCCTCAGATGTCCGCAGCAACTCGAAGATATCAACACCGTTCAATTCATTTTGTCTAATCCCATACAGTCACATATCCTGCGACACCGAAAGGTAAGTTACATTGCATGATCCAGTCCCAAACCACAGATAACATCCGGGTACACCACTGTATTCAGGCATTACTTCCACTCATCGAACTCCGTCCATTACACCAGCACGTCGTATCCAGAAGCCGGCATCATCATCTCCGACCAATCCAACTCAACTTCTCACTCATCTTACTCTTAACATCACTCAAACTCATCCCACCTGACGCACCCGAAACACCAGTCTTCCCAGACTCACTAAATCCACTGCTCAATCCAGACTTATGGCGCCCATGCTCATCTCCGCCCCCAAAGATCTTCTCAAACTTGGCTTGTATCCGTCCTTCAGCAATCGCCGACACTATGTTGATGATGCCAAACGCTGATGATCCAATGGCACGGAACAGCGCAAGCGCAGCGACCGACCACAATATGAAGCTCAGGTACAGGTTCTTCGAGAGGTGCGTGCCCGTTGGATATGCCTCCGAGACAGCCATAGCAAGGACAGCATTGCAAACCATGTAGAATGCCACCACGTACGTCCGGACAGATTTGTAGTAATCCTCCTGCAGCTGGTTTTCGCTGACCGGGGGCTTAGGCACATCGACTCGATCTCGCAGATTCCGCAAAGCCACATCATAAGCAGAATCGATATCGAGCTGTTCAGAAGGCATCTCGACCTCGACCGTGTTTCCAGATCCAATCGCTTTAGCGGCGCCGAGGTCCGTATGCATGACATTGTCGCCTTTGGTTCCCCATGTAACGTCATGAGTGTTGCAGAACGCATAAACCTGCAAGGTACAGATATACGACGGCAACAGGGCGAAGTACTGTGCCGAACTGGTGAACATGTGCCATGGATCAAGATACAGAAAAGACATGAGGAAGTACAATCCAATGGTGCTGAGCGTGCTGACGATGAGATTGGTGAAGACATTGTCCCCAAGCTTGTAGGTTGAACTCGTAGCTTCCAGTGTATGATCCGTAAGCTGTTTGATGACAATGTACAAGGAAGCAAACGTTGTGTAGGCCATGATGATCGAGTAGGTCACCATGGTTCCCAAGAAAAGTTTCTTCGCTCCTTGCGGACGGTTGCCCAAGCTCAAAATGAACTGGAGGCAGATCAGGAGAACGCAGACATAACGCATGACGACGAAGACGTATTTTCCAATGTTGTGGCCGAATGGATCAGTGCTTTTGTCTGATAGCGAGCCGGCGACGAAGTAGAAGGTGAGGTAAAAGTTGGCGAGGGAGAAGAAGGTGAACAGCAGCGAGATGAACTGATAGACAAATTCGATATGCAGCAAAATCTTTCGCGTCAGGCTGTGGTCAGTCTGCCAGATCTGTTTAAAGTGGACGAGGGAGTAGACGGCGGCGAAGAAGGCACCGTTGAGCCATCTTCGTCGTTGTGAAATAAACTCAGGAACAGCATCTGCAGAAGGTTAGCATTTTGCAAGTCAAGGACCGGACAGTCTCATACCGGGCACATCGGTTTCACCATAAGCGCTTTTGACAAACTTCAACACCCATTGCTCGCCACGCTTAGCGACAAGCTCCCAACAAAGAATTCGATCTTCGGCGAGATACATGTTTGCGGTAAAGACATCGGCATCGGCGCCATGTAGTGTTTCTCCCTTGAAATATTGGCTGAGCGGACCATGGCCACTGGGATCGTTCTGCAGGGCAAAGTATCGATATGCTGAAAGAGCTCCCGGCAAGACAGTAATGTATCCAAACACGGATTCGAGCGGTTTGTCGAGAATATTACTCATCTTGTACTCAAAGTTTTGTGATGCGACCAGAGGGTTGAGTAAGCCCATCCACCCTTTGCCCTTGTCTGCTTTGATTTCTCCAGCTGCTCCAGCGACATTTGAATCTTGATCGAAGGCTTTCCACAGATAATACAAAGCCTTTGAGTCCGGCTTGGTACCAACATCGAGAAGGATGCAAACGTTTGGTGTCAAGGCGCGGCCAAAAGCATTGAAGAACCATCGATGCGAGTTCAGCTTCTTCTTGTTCTTCTCTTTCAGGCAGAATATCATTTGACACGGTACGATTCCCTTCTCTGCTCCTTTGAATTTGAGTGACTCGTCCAGCGACACTTGGGTAGTATACTCGTAGACATGAGCTGTAACCTCCTTCTGGTTGACGACATTCTTGGCTATTCCATCCTGGTAGACACCCATGGCTGCTAGAGCATTCAGTGTCCGGGGATGCACCTTTTGTCTTCCGTCTGCAATCACACAGACTACAATCTTCTGCCAGCCATCCTTTCCCCAAGTCCTAGACTTTGCTCTTGAGCAGAAGTGGGCAATGTTCCTCATGATACCGTGCATCGTCCTGGTGAACTCAATTTCGCCCTCGTTGTACATGGTCACGCAAATGAGGAGTTCGGTTTCTCGCATGGTCGGTCCAAAGTTCTGACGCAGTTTGTACCCTTTCAAGACGAAATCGTCGGGGTCGCAGGTGACGGCTGTATATCGCATATGTGTGAACTCGCGCTCATCTCTTCGAGGTAAGAAGCTGTGTAGGATCGTGGGGATCTTGCATTCCAGGATCAACTCGCCATTGATCAATCGGACTTCTTTCGTGGCTACTTGTGCATCTCTCAATCCTCGGCGATCTTGCTTGCCGTCGGGAGCAGGTCCATAGTAATAGTCCGCCTTCTCGTCTGCGAGGTCTTCTTCTTCAGTGACTGTGGAATCGGTCATGTATGAATGTGCAGATTTTAAGCTTGCTCTAGGATCATTGTCTGGCATCATTTGGTGATCACCCATAAACACATCATCTTCCGACTCTGGGGTAGGAATGGGTATCGGTATTGCGGTTTCCATTGCGCCTCCTTTCGCCGAAAATAGTGGTGCTGGAGGTAGAGGTCTTCTTGGGCTACCGCCATACGCCGAAGACGGTGTTCCTGGTCGAGGACTGCCATTGAGATCCGCAGGTTCGTAAGAGACGTTGGAAGCTGTAGGTCTCCAGTCTCGAGAGGGCGTGGATGGTCTGATGGGAGATCGAGGGTTTGCTGTGGGGAGTGGTATTGAGGGTGCTCGTCCCAGGCTCGAACCTGGTCGTGAACTGTAGGTTGTGGATGCGGTTGGTCGGGCGTAGCGTTCAGGCGAAACTCGACCGGAGGGGGATACTCTGTATGAAGGACTTGGGTCAGTCTTTTTGTTCTTTTTCAAGGTTACAGTGGCTTTGAGTGTGGGAGCTCTGCCAACAACGGTGTAGGTATCACGACTGCGGTTCAGTTTCTCTTCTGCCTCAGCAATCAGGGATGCCACCGGGGATTGCAGTCTTGTGCCTCGGGCGTCAGACTCTGTGGGAGAGTCATTCCATTGCACATGCGACACCTTTGCACCGGGTACTGGCTTGCGCTCGGGAGAAGGAATATCATCACTGGGGGATGTCACATACGATCTGTAGTCGTCCTGAGGCTGGGAAAGCATTCTGAGCGACGGATTGTTCGATGGAATGCTGTTCATACTATCGTCGTCAGGCGCAGTGTTCAGATATGAAGTCGGTCCAGCGCTGTAGCTGGGAGGCTTTCGAGTCGGAGATGGAGGTCCGTCCATTGTTCAGTAATGATGATTGTTTACCGCAAGAATAGAGGCTGGGAACAGATCAACTATGAGTCCATGCGTTCAGAGATGAGATATACGAGTAGCATACACACGTGGGACGCGTATGTTTTCGTATGCTTTCAGATGCGGAGAATAATTGATCGAATAGCAATGATTCCGCAACTTACAAAGCTCCTCAGGATCGAATGCATTTGTCGACACGTCCAAATTGGGAAACTGCCAACGGCTGCCCGGGGCAACAACGACCACTTTAAAAAAAAATCCGCCCCGGTCCGTCTTGGCGCTCAGCCTTGCGAGACCACCTTCAAGTCCTGTCAATTGACATCGACTTCCTATATAATAATGGTCTCACGCTACATGATACAAAATGGCAAAAACTTTTCCCACAAGCTCCATTGTTTGAGGTTGTAGGCAAGTGAAACCAGCCGGACTGATTTTTCTCGTTTCTACGAAGGGGATTGGGGGATTCCGATCCTGGCCTCACCAAATAGGATTATTCGGGTTCAGACCAGGATCATTACCACTCAGCCATCAACAAGAGTGCCAATGCTACTCCCTCATGCTTCACCGTGGATTGAAGCAAAACTTCTCATCTCAAATCTATTATTGCGATCATTTTCTTTCTACCGCACCACCAGGGAGTGCTGCCGCCTTGAGGCACTGGCATGGTCCATGAGTTGACAGCGCCAACGGAACCACACAATGAATCCTCTCTGTCACAATGCCACATTGTTGCCTCGATCAAACCGCCCCAACAATGACTACTTCTTGTCGAGGCAGTCGAACAAAGAAATGCCTTTGTCGCTACCACCTTTCCCGTCCCTCGAACCAAAAGAAATACTGCTTCCTGTCCCAACCCTCCCTCAACAGACTTTTAAATCCGCATCGTACTCTACCTCACCAAATCTTCCGTACGGTCATCCAGCTTCAAAAACCCCAATCTTCCAACAAGGTAAGTCCAAATCCCCATCAAAAATGTGTCAAACAATACTCCAAATCCACGCCTGTGGTTGCCCCGGCCAATGTCTCCGTCGTTACTGCGCCCTCCCCATGCGAGGCTGCGACGAGCGTGCACGCAATCTCGAACGCCAACACCTCCCCAGTTCATGCGACCGCCACGCCCGCCTTCGAGGCCGCAACATTCCCAACCAACCATACGACGATGTCCACCCAGCACTGCGCCGTGGCCCGAAGAGCCCCAGCCCAGCGCCCAGAATGTTCGGAACACTACGCAATCCAGCCCGTGACCTCGAATCCATTAACATGCCATCCGCCCGTTCCCGCCGCGGCTCCGAAGAACCACGCTTCTACAGCAACATGCGCAATATAAGTGAGATCCCACACATGCCGCAATTCGCATCATCGCATGGCCGCCGTGGCTCCGCCGGTATCTCAAAGCACGGTAACGCACGCAAAGCTTCGTACTCCGAAGTCCAACGCGAAGCAACCTACCAGCGTCAAGCCGACGTCCGCTCCAAACGTCACCACTACCAGCAGTGCGAACGTCTCGTTGCTTCAGGCCGATACTCCCAGAATGAGCTCAGTGACCATCCTCTCATCCAACAGCTTTCCGAACAAGATCGATTCACCCTGTTTTATGACGCCGAGCAGCGTGAACGCGAACGTGAAGGTGAGCGCCGTTCCAGAAGACGAGGAGATGGACAGAAGAGTCGCTGTGTTGTCATGTAAGTCTCAAAGGGAAGAGAAATCTTGGTGTTTTATTCCTGCGGTATGGACTTCATGCATTGGTTGCAAGCAGGAGGATATGGAGAGGTCAGGTGAGTGAAGCCAGCTGATTGATTGATTGATTTCACGAGACAGAATAGAGTCGTCCAAAACGTAGGCAAGCAAAGTTCAGGTAGCTCAACACATCCAATGTATTTTCCCCCAAAATTGGTCCTGTTGCACACTTTTCCTCGCGCTCTCTTCTTCCTCATCAAGCCGTGTGTATCCAAGATCTCCCTTGAAACTCCGCCTTGCCAATGGGGTATCTACAAATCACAGTGAATCCAACACGTTTACATCCCTCCAAGTCCATTAACCCGTCCTCTTGGTCATCGGGCCGATAAAGAAAAGTTCAAAACATGACAACTTGCTGGAAAATCCAATGTCATACGTACGCAGGCGACTCAGGTATTTCCCAGTATGAAGGCTCCTAACCTTCGTTCCGGTTCTGTGGTGTATCGTAATCAGTGTTAGAATTCGGTGGTGGCGCGAATGGAATCGGTGACTGAGAAGTGAACACAGGTAGGTCTTCCTTCGTTCTCCGTACAGGCGTGCCAAATCCAGCAGGGCTCGATGAAGAAGGAATGGGTCCGGAGTTCATCTGTGGCATAAAATAGTTGTACTGTGCAGGCTGTTCAGGTATTGTAGGTGGCTGATATGCAGGAATCGAAGGATAGGCAGCGTCCTCAGGAAACCCATGTTCTGTAGAGACAGGTATCGAGTCGACGCGCATATAGGTGTCCTGCTGCTGCTGTGGGTCGAACCTGATTGAGGAAGCATCGGGGAGCTGTTCTTTTCCTGCTTGCTCACTCGATACCGGAATTGCTTCCAAACCATTCACATTTGCAGTCGAAATTGCAGATGTGTCCATGGGAATCATTATGTCCTGCAGTGTTGGCATAGTGCCGTTCGGTATGGTATACTGTAGTTCAGGTGACTTGTGATCCTCGCTCACCAGTGGCCGAGCTTGGGTTGGAGCAGGATTTTCAGTACCGGCACTCGGCGCCGGTTTAATTACCCTGGAGGCCTTCGGCACGGGCGGCTTTCTTGGAGCACGAGGCTTTTTCTGTTTGTCGTCGGGTACTTTCTGTTGTTGGCGTGCTGCATGCTCCTCTGGTGTGGGGACCTTAAGCTTGATGCTGATTTTCTTGACTCCATTTGTTAGACTGTCCATTTCGTCCGTCTTCGGCACATTGGTGCTTGTGGTCTGTGAAGGGAGAGCAGCCTCCACATTATCACCACTACTGTGCACAATCTCATGGTCAGTGATTGGAGACATGCTCGACCTTGTAGCCTCGCGAGCACCAGCGAGAGCTGGCGCGGTGGCTCTCGGTTTCCGAGGACTAGTCTTTGGCTTTCCTGCTGTCTTCGGTGCTGTAGGAGCTCTTGGCTTCCTCACTACGACAGCCTTAGCTGCCTTATCAGGGACAGATGAGTAAGCCGTGGAAGCTGCACTGGCAGCATGGTTCGTTGGCATGGGTGGAATCGTGTTATCTTCAGCTAGTTTCATGTTCTGAAAGCTTGATAAAATGCTCGATGCATCACTGGATCTCCTCCGCGGTCTGCTGTGAACAGATTCCTGTTGTTGTAATGTAGGATCAGGCAAGTCACCGATAGCTGCGATGGTAGTTCTTCGGTGACTGTTCCTGGAGGAGGCCCTTGCAGCATCATGTACGGCCGGCTGTGCCTTGGCTCTTCGATCACGAAGTTGCATTTTCTCGTCCGGGGCCACCGCCACACCCGTATTTGATAGACGTTCTTTCCTAACCCTCGTGGCCTCGGCGTTGAGTTCTTCGTGAGTGCAGCTCATGGTTTGTCGGTCACGAGGAACGATGACACGAGACAGCTCATATGATGCGGTTGCCCAGTCGACATCGGGCGGAGGGGTTGTGTAATCTGACTCTAGTGACAGTCGAGCTTGCATTGCTGAGAGTGACTGCCTCTCCCTCGCCTGGTACGTCATTTTGAGTGTCGATGCCTGTGTGGGCGAGGAGTAGTTCCCAGTCTTGTCTTTGAGGGATACTAGTGGTTTAGGTTGACGACCAGCAACCACGGCTTCTAGCTCTTCCAGGTTTTGTAGCGCCCACCAGTCGGGCGCGTACGAGCCTTTTTGGCCATTGATCGAAATAGGCACATCTTTTGGCATCCACTCGTTGATGGTTTGAAACTTCATTGCCTCAGGAGTGGACGGGCTTTCAGTCTTGACAGAAGCAGCGTCTCCAGCAAAGCCGCAAATATGGCTGAGCACTCCCGAAGTCAGCGCACGATCACTGTATCCACCTTCGAGCACACTAATGACACGACCATCGACACCAAGGTCATCCTCGTGAGCCAACTTGACAATATCGGCTGTGAAGCGCGCATAGAACTCCGTGGGGACATTGACGCTATGTCTCTGCATCCCTGCCCCTTCCCACTCACTGGCATCAAATCCTGCAGAGATGAAAATGGCCGCTTTGGGGGCTTGGTTTCCCGAAGCGCGAAGTCTCGTTGTGTGATGTCGAAGGAACTTTCTCGCCTTCTCCAGTAGGACTGTATATCTTGCCTCATATAGTTGCCAAAATTCTTCATATGTTCTCCACGGCTCAAGATGGACGTTCCAAATGGATTGACCATGAGCATTTTCGATACACAAACTTGCATTTCGAACCTTCTCTTCATCACCCCATTCGCAAGGATATGAATTGATGTCATGCAAACTGTAATAACCAATGGGCGTCTTTTTATGCGCAGCCGCATTCTTAGCAGCTCCCTGGGCTTTGCGATTATGGTCCCATGCGATATTCTGAGAGCCATCACCGTGGTGCAAATCGAAGTCAATGATGGCGGCATGTGTAAGACCATGATTCATCGCTGCGTACGCAATCCCGACATGGACATTGTTGAGCCAGCAGAATCCGGATGGGAAATTGGAAGAACAATGATGTCCAGGAGGTCGAATACAAACAAAAGCTCGCTTGGTAAGGTCTGACGAAAAGACGGTGTCGACCGCATCGCACACCCCACCAAGACAGCCTTGGAGAGCGGCCAATGACTCGGAGCACAAGTAGAGATCACCTTCATGCAGTTTCGGCAGGGGATTTCCTGCTTCATCCTTCCCGTAGCCTATCGGGCGCACCAACTCTTTCCCATTGAGCGACAATTTCCCCTCTGCTGTATCACACATGATTTGCAACTCTTCCATCCACTTTGAGCCATGCACAAATGCAACGGAGGGGTGGTTGAGCGGGACATTTCGAGAAGTCTTGCGAAGTCGAAACGGCACGTTGCGCACTTGTGCAGGATCATGGTTGGGACCAGGGGCAATCTGACCTTCAGCATGTCGTCCTCCTAAGCGCACGTAAGCCGTGGATGCGCCCAATAGGGTGGCATGTATCCGTTCTGGTCGTTCGACGATCGTAGCCAAAGCGTTCTTCGTCGCACGTGGTCGAGAGAAGCGATGACCGTAGCATGAATCATGGACAATCACCACAAGCGGAGACTGAAGAGACGCATGTGCTTCCAACTCCTTCCCAAAGTATTCTTTTGCGACTGAGGCGGCCGTCACTGGTGGGCGCTCTGCCGGCAGGGATGTCAAGGGCATCTTGCCATTTGTCGCAGGAGAGGCTGGATTGAGGTTGGAGGAAGCACGTCGGAATTGGGGTGTTGTGCCTCTTGCTGTGCTGAGATTGGAGACTGATCTTCTTGACGAGAGAGTTGGAGTGGATTGTCGTTCGCCGCGATACGAACTTGTGGAAGAGGGTGAACGAGAGGGTGAATGCGGAGAGGACGACTTGGTTTTGGTTGCGCTAGGAGAGCGATAAGGGCTACGCATAGGTGACGAGGGCGGTAACGGGACTGTGGTGGCAGTATCCAAGTGTGAAGGGTCGACTGACTTCACTTGTATGGAGGGGGACGCGAGGGTAGAGTTGTTGTTGGGGAGGGCATCGTGGCCTTCTATTGAGGGCGTCGGTATGTCTGGATCCATGTTTGGCTGGGCTTTGTGGCTGTATGCCGTTTGGCCTTATATCGCTGAATGCGACGCTGAATACAATTTCTGGATTGAACAAAATGTTCTTTTGGTAAAGTGGGAGAAGTGGCATTGACAGCGACACCACCAAAATAATCAACGTCATATCAAAGCGCGACCGACCATCAACTGACCCTTGACGCGTGCCCCAATCTGGTCTCCAAGGGTCCATCTTCGCTTACTTTCATACACCCTGCATGCCCACGCGGATATCATTTCCCAGTCCTCTATCCGATGCAAGAGGCTCCTCTTCAAAAGAGCTAATTACTCCTCCTCGATCCTGCCATGCATTACATCCCGAAGGTGAAGATCAGACAATTGTCAGACAAGGCTCTCTCAACCCCGTCTCATACATCCTTGCACTTCACAACGATGTCCTCCGTTATATATCTTTGACAATGGCAGCCGTCCATTGCCGACCAGTCCGCCAGGGGCTCTGGAGTCAGTCTAGGCATATCAGAAGCCTACAAAACAACAATCCCCTTCCTATATTCTCGCAAAACTCCCTCTCACTGCCGACCACCTTTATCAGACCGATATCTTCACGTCCAGCAAGAGCTTCTCCCACTCCAAGTCGTCAGAACCCAGCGTTTCCCGTCAGGCGGCATTTCTCAAGTGCTGCGAGTGCAAGCGCCAGCTCGGACCATACTCCTGCTTCACGCAACGAAAGGTAGGCATTTCTTTCCCTTACGTGCTCAAGCGACGTTATACCGCAAGTATAGCCTGCTATCTCACCAACTTGCAACCCCCAGAAGCCCAAGAGCCCATCATCATTCGTCAAGCGGCGGAATCCCGTATATCGGATAATTTCCCGTATCTCCGTGTTGATATCATCCCAATATTCCCTATCCACCATCTAACACGTTGTCTGGCCCAACACCTCTCTAACAACTACAGTACCAGCTCAAAGATGGCCCCTCGAATACTCATCTTCGGCACCGGCAGTATCGGCGCCGTCTACACCTACATTTTCTCCCGCGCCGTCACCGAAGCCAACGTCTTCGCCGTCTGCCGCTCCAACTACGACGCCGCCTCCACCCAAGGCTTCACCATCAACTCATCACTCTTCGGCCAAAACCTGAATGTGAGGCCACAAGTCGTCAAGACCGTCGACGAAGCCGTCACCAAGTCCGACGGCAAACCCTTCGACTACATCATCGTCACCGCCAAAGCCATCCCCAGCACACCATCCCTCCCCGAGCAAATCGCCCCAGCGGTCTCACCGTCCACAACCATCGCCCTCATCCAGAACGGAATAGGCGTAGAAGATATCTACAGCCAGGCATTCCCCCAGAACCCCTTATTGTCATGCGTAGTCTATCTTCCCGCCACACAAACATCCCCCGGCACAATCAAACACGGCGAAGTCGAACTCCTCCACATAGGCACATACCCTGCCGGACGGGACAAATCGTCCGCTGAAGATTTCGCATCCGTCCTCCGAAGCGGAAACGGCACCGCCAAAGTCCACGACGATGTCCAAATCGAACGCTGGACCAAACTCCTCGTCAACGCCAGTTGGAATCCAATCTGCGCGCTCTCACGTTGTCGAGATGTCCAATTCATGCACTCCTCGGATTCCGCAACCGACGTGGTAAAGCAAGTCATGCTCGAAATCACCGCCGTCGCACAAGCCTCGGGCTACCCGCAGATCAACGAGGCCAAGATCGACCATCAACTTGGTCGGGCGAAAGCACGATCCTTACCTGGCGTGGAGCCGAGTATGCTTGCTGACGCTTTCTCCGGCCGCAACATGGAAGTCGATGCCATTGTTGGGAATACAGTACGGATAGCGGAGGAGAAGGGCGTCAAGACACCGCTCTTAACGGCTATCTATGCGTTGACCAAGGGTCTTGATGCGAGCTTTACGAGGGCGCGGGAGAGTAAGTGAGTCAGTATGAAGGCACCTCGGGTATCCAATTCGTTGGTAGATGGACTTGTAGATGACACAATTAGCGTGGCTATATGGCGAGTGAATAGGGATAGATCTTCACGGGAATGCATATAGACTTGGTATCATGGGCACTGATCTTTACATATGCGAACTGGGCACGCCATACACATCTGAAGTATCTCAGATCTCAATATCCACCATTTTCAGTGCCTCAATCGCCCACTCGGGAGTACCCTTGCCTTCAAAGTACATTGCAAAGAAGCCCTTAATGAATTCAGGGAACCGGTCTTCCAGAATCGCGTTCCTTATGCGCCCCATCAATGACAGCAAATGCTGCACGTTGTGCATGGTCAACAAATGTGCCCCAACAGTCTCCTTGGCCGCAAGATGGTATATAAAAGCCCTCGTGATGCCCAGACCGCCGTCCTCTTTCGATCGACAGCACGTACAGGTACAGCCCTGTTCAACGGGACCAAAATCCTGGCTGTACCGCGAGTGTTTGAGATTGAGCACGCCGCGGGATGTGATGGCGTTGCCGAAGCGCTTATATCAAGATCTATTAGTCACGAGAAGCAGCCGAGGTGGTCGAGGGTAAACTCACCGCCGTCCTCGTCGGCCATACACAGTCAAACATGTCCGCGCCCAGGGCGACAGCCACAACGATATCCTCGGGGTAGCCCTGAGAGAGTCAGCACACGTACACAGTAAGAAAGGTATTCCTCCGTACAATGCCCATGACATATCGCGGTTTCTTCTCGGGTAGTAGGCCCGTACACGTATCCACCCTGCGAACAATCAGCATAGTGTCCACAGCCCTGGTCGCCACGCAGTTGAACGTACACTCGACAAAAATCCGACTTGGCCTCACCACCCGAAAGCCCACCAATGGCAATTCCAGGTGTATCCCTCTGCACCATCTCCTCGCAGCACTGCCGGCGCAATTCGAGGTCCAGACCACCCTGGATAATGCAGAACAGATTCTGTTTCTCGGGATACTTGTGCGCAACGATACACCGATCAAGCCAGCGTACCGACCGTTCCATAGCCTCCTGCATGCGCGCGCGGTCCGGCGACGTCGTCTGAATGACATCGTCCAATTGCATCATGATATCTGATCCGATCGAGTTCTGCAGGGCCATGGAATGTTCCGGAGTGAGTAACCTCAAACCATGTCAGCTCATACCCAACGAGAAGGAAAGGCAAGGCGTACATAGGACTGCCATCATGCGGACTCAAAAACCGCACACCCTCCTCCGTGATCTTGGCCAACTTGAGCAACGAGACCATTTGGAAACTTTGTGGTGCACCTCATCAGTTCAATCGCCATTCATGTCCAGCCCCAAGGAGACTAACCCGCCACTATCAGTCAAGATATTGTAGTTCCACCCTTGTAGTTTGTGAGCGCCACCAATCGTGTCCAGAACGGCTTGTCCCGGCTTCAACCCCAAGTGGTATGTATTGTTCAGGCAGAGCCTGCATCCCGTCTCTTCCAATTGTTCTGGCGTTAGGCCTTTCAAGGACGCCTGTGTCGCGACTGGCATGAACATGGGCAACTCGACAGGGCCATGGGGCAGATGGAGGATCGAGGCTCGAGCCTTGGATGTCTATTGAAGCGCCACAACGCAATTGTCAGCCTCAGTGCCTACCTGGGTAACGACCGGATAATGTTCCCTCTTTCTGCTCTTACCGAACATCTCGCTTTGAGGTCAAAGGTCAAGGCCGACGGTTTCTGGCTGGATGTGGACATGTTGACGACCTGTCCGAATGCATAGAGAAGGAGACTGGAGGGGGTGTATCGCCTTGTGACCGCAGCGGTGAGGATGTCAGATCGTGGTCGAGTTAGTCCATTCGCCAATCGCATATGATAGACTGTGACCGGAAATGTATCCTGCCGTGAGGTTGCACGGGGATGGTGTTGTTTTTCTACAAGTCACCTGTTCGGTCTGCGAGATCCTGACAGGCCGTTCTGTATATGCGATGCGACAACGAGATGAAGGATACAAAGAGTGGCAGAGAGACAGCCTTGGATCCTGATGATCAAAAGGTCAATTGCGGAGTTGGGACTTTTTGGCTGGAAAGCGCGACTTTTAACTGGCGGAATGATCGAACCCCTAATAATCCCGGCAACCATACAATTTGTCGTCCACCCCCTTGGAGACATACACACCATTGCGGGAAAAAGAAAGCTCGTCCTACTTGTGATTTCGTCGCACGACAGGTCACGGCTCACAACATTCATCCACATGATGCAAGCATACAACCTCTAACTTCTATTTCCGTGGATCAATCATGGCGGTCAACAATGTGAACAGTTGCGCCAGACCTGTAGAGCGGTCGAAAACTTCGAAGGAGGACTGAAACCTCTCTTGATACGTGCTGAGACTCTGCCTGCCTGTGTTCGGCCCTCACTTCCCCTCTGTTCAGGCCGTAGGAAAGAGAAAGGAAACAAGGAGAAGAAACCCCAATCCCATAGAAAAACCCCCACGCTACCCAGCCCTAGATTCGCCACAAACGCCATCGCTATGCTCCATTTCCGAACCGCTTGAACTGGTTTGACACTGCTCAAGAAACAGGTAAAGAGACATGAGCCTGTCTTGATCCCCACCTTCCGTGTGTGTATTGCTCCATTCAGATCACTCTTCTGCGGGGTTCGTTCAAGACAGAAAGACATCAGCGGTGCCAGCCACCTTGAGAGTGACCCACCGGTGTACGATAGGAGTCGGACCGGGAAGCAGTGATGGAAGGGTTGCGGAGTTTCGTGCAAGCAACCTCGGCAGCATCTTCTTTGGCATTGTTGATGTATTGACCATCGTACCAGTATCGTGCCGCCAGGTTCTGTCCTTGGATCGTCACTGTGGCCGACCAAGCTGTACGTCCGCCTAGAAGAATGAGTGTCAAGTTAGTTGTCGACACTCTGCAGCTCAAGTGGACATATGAAGTGGAAAGAGGTTGCTTACCACGACGATCAGAGACGATGTTGAAGTTAGGTGCTGGAAGTCTCAATTTGCGGCATTCAGCTGTCACTGGTAAGACCGGGTCTCGCTTTCGCATCCTGGGTCGAGGGACTCACCTGCGAGTTCATCTTGCCATGTTGCGTGAGTCTTGGTGGCCATCCTCGCTGGTGATGTTCGTGAGGTGAACAAGGCAAGGAGTAACACAATGACCAGTCCCAATTGTTTCAAAGCAGGAAGAAGGTTATAGTAGACCGGCCAAGAATAACGTCGTGAGTGGAAGTGCAGTTCAATGACCTTCCGCGACAGGAGATATCGCCAGACCTTTATATACAGCCCAGCTTGAAGAACGAAGCAACTTGAGCTGGCACAAAGCAGATGACGAATGTGCAAACAACCGTGAACGAGGGATGACTGCAGAAGCTCCCGCATCCGTGAACGGGTGCTGCCTCTATCCTGAAGATTGTCGCTTCATTCCCTCAGGGCAGCAAAAAGATTGACAGGAGTACACATCAACGAGGTTGTTGTTCTGTGAAACGTGAGATCTGAGATCTCGTGACACTGTTACGATCCCTGAAGGTCGCCCTGACATTGTCTATAAAAGTCTTCAGGTGGTACGGATGCGAGGAAGATGCAGAAAGCCGAGCGAGCTGTCAGGGCGTGGGCAGAGCATTGATGGCAAAACGCAAAGCAAAAATCTGAAGCAACATGTTCGTCCAGCGAGAGCCTGCCAACGCAGCAGGATCCAGTTGCACACAGTAGTGGATGGTTCGAGCTCCAGACAATGATATGCATGATGAGGTAGAAGCGAGCAGCATTGGAATTAACCACAAAGACTAGAAGCCTTGAAATGCCGGGAGTGGAGGTCGAAGTGGGGTGGAACGAATTCGATGCCGAAAGCTAGCTGTAACGCAATGCATGATGGCGGAGCTATGCGTGGTCTGGATGGAGTATAACATCATCCAGTATGATGAACGTGGTTCCGTTACCAGAGTCACTCATCGATAGACCTTCGAGCGAACGTTAAGTGTCGTTGTCTCTTCACGATGAGCTCCTGCAGTCATGGACCGAGGCATGAGGGGTAATTGGCTGCTCTGTTTTGGTTATAGATGGAAAGAGAATGGGTTGGGCAGCAATGAACTGTACTTGGAGCATCGACCGCACAGCCGATTGTAGCCAGGTAGTCTGCTGTCGAGATGGCAAACCGATGCAGGTCTCGGCAAAGGTGATAGGAGCGGAAGCCGGCAGAGGCTTGCGAGGTATCTTTGGAGCTAGGCAGCAGTCATACAAGAATTGACAGCTGGAAGACGGTGTTAGAACGATAATGGAAACAATTCAATGGCCGAGAACGTTGTGGGGGCCACAGCGACTTGTGTGTGTATGGTAGATAATGCACAGTACAGTGCATGAGGATGTCAGATCCAGTATTTCCTTGGCAGGAAGATTTCTGCAACCTGCAGCAGTGAGAGAAAAGACTTGGGGCATTGACGCCGTGGGATGCGGCACGACTGTGAGATTGAGAAGAGTGAATGGTCGGAGAAAAGAAATCTTCTGCAAGATGATGGAAGAAAGAAGAGAGAGAGTGAAAGGGAGAATGGAGCACGAGAATGCCAGGTCGGGTTTCTTCATTTTCATCCAATGACGGTTGCGACTCCTTCTTGCCGAGGCCGCTAAGGATAAATATCACTTCCTGCCGAATTTACAGTGGACTGGCACCAGGATATTGTACGGGACGCAGTACTGTATGTGGAGGTGTCGCCAATGGCTACCAGCATATTGCCACAAGACGCATAGCATTATGGGCTTTTCCGATCTTTCCTGAAGCCAGCCTTGTGAACTCTCAACGCCACAATCTGCTTCATACAGATTCTCTCCCGACGGTGGTGACAGGGCAAATTGCATAAGTTTCAATTGAGAACTTGCCGGACGGAAGAACCCATCTGTTCCTGTGTTTCGAGTCTCATCCCCAGCGGGTTTCGCATGCGGTCATGGTTATGAACTTCATCGCCGCAAAACTCTGGGTCGACCCATTAAGCCCTACCCACTTCGTGGTCACGTAAACGTCAGGTCTTCGATCTCGAGAGAACGTGTCAAAAAGCATATAATATACAAGAACAAGCCGATGCCATAACAGCGACCCCATGGCTCAAGATCATACGGTCGTTGGAATGTTGTCTTCGTAGTGCATCCACACCGCTATGAGTCCGTGTAACCCCGCAAAAGGAAATCTCGTCCTGGTTGGGTCACGGAGAACAATACCTCTGGTCACATCGGTGGTGCCCGTCAGCTAAGAGCGGTGAGCTTCCTGCCAGTGTCTCCTGATGCAACCGTTGGTGAGGGAGATTAGTCCAGTCGCAATGAGGACGTCTCCCAGATCACTCGAGATGTCTTCTTCCATGATCCGCATACTGCACGACGGTATCCAGCCTCCGTGGACAGCTTCTTTTCGCCTTTGCTTCTCGGATAGTTTGTCGGGCGTAATGTGAGCAAGACAGGCTCCGGTGGTTGAGTGGAACATTTCGAGCGAAAACACCGTTTCTGAACCATCTTTGTAAACCCTGCGTCTCCAAGAATATGTTTCGCCCCAATATTCAAAGTCATAAACGCTTTTGTCGTTTCGAGGATCGCGGTTCAGCTCGACTTGGGCATAGTTGGAGAACTCTATCCTGATGTTGTCGGTGGGTACTGTGGCTTCCACGTCTGGCCGAGGACCACAGACCTCGGAAATCTCGTCAACGTCGTCGCCTTTGTCTTCTTGAGGTTTCTGGGACGCCGACTTCGCTGTAAGCGCTTTCCTGAAGTTGATCTTTGGGAAGGAGACACCGAAAGAAGACTTTCTGGGTGGTGCTGCTGGTCTGATTGGTTTGGCCGAGGGTTTTACATATTTTCGTTTCGAACTGCAGACCTCACGTCCAGATTGTCTCTGATATCGGCGAAGGGAGAAGTGTCTTTCGGCTAGGTCATACATGCGAAAGTGGAACAGGGTCAGCTTCACTTTGTGGCCTTTCCGTACAGTCATCTCGGTATCAGCTCGAAGGTTGAGGTTGCCATCTGGTGTCGTATCGTCATGCTGAATCAAGATCCTTCTCGTTGACGGGAAGAGTTCTGCAAACTCGGAAGGCGTACAGCCGAGTGCGTCTGGTTGGTAGCATGTCTGTCTTAATAATGGCCACAGGTTCGAAGTTTGAGGTGTCTCTTTCTCGGAGACAGTGGTGGAGGCGTATGTGTCGCTGGAGGCTCGAGGGTCGATGCCTTGTTCATGTTCACCCTGTGAAGGCTCGTCGTCATGGTATTCTGTTCGGTCAGTGTCGTAGTGCTTGACGATCGGTTTCGTATAGCTATATGAGGTTGCATTAGTATATTGAGTGCGACCAGAATGGCCAGACAGATCGGAACTGTGACTGCGGGCTGATATGGAGCTTGTCGACACCGCAGATCCTTTAGACCAGGCACGAGAGAGATATGGTCGAGGCATGTTACAATCAGGATCCCCAACAAGTGATAGAATGGAATGCAGATAAATGTGTAAAGGTCTCTGGTGTCAGTCAAAGCAATGTGACAGTCTTCAATGAGAAAGAACAAACATTCATAAGCTTCGGACTCAAGGTCCTGGAAGAAGCATTAACAACGGCATGACAGAAGCAATCGAGGAGGTCGTAGTCTTGATTGGGCATGTTGGCTGTTGTAACCACGACAGTCCTGTATCATAAAATCACTCCACATAAGAGGTACGAGATGTGGAGGCCACTGTTCTCGACTATGGTCCATTTGCGCGAGGGAGGACAGACTCCGATGGTGGCGCAGCATTCCTCGTTACGATTTGCTGACCAAGGCTGCAAAACTCCGGATCAGACTCCAGACTCGCAAGAACAGAAAAGACGGCAGCGGCCGGAAGCCGCCATCAGAAGGTTTTTGCTTCTGGAATTTAGTGCCTGCACTTTGCATTTGCTGAGGCGAGGGACATAGACTAGGATTAATGCCTGCTTCAGTGGCAATGGTTGCTTCTAGTTGTTGCTCCGTGATGGCCGAAACGGGCGAGACGCCGCTTGATCACAAGGTGACATTCGTCCATAATCATGCATCAAGAGCCCAATGTGGTGGCGAACAGTATGTTGAAAAAACCAGTTGCCTGAAGGACGAAGAGCTGTGGAAAGTCATTGCTGCCTTGGTTGATGAACGCGAAGAGCCGGCCTGACGGAACGGGGCCCAAGCTACTTGGTTCGTGAATGTGGATTGCCTTGGGTATGAGCGCCATGCGAGGGACTGAGTAGGTCATTGGAACTGAGAGCGAATGTCAGCGAATTGCTTTGCTATGCGAGTAACAACAAACGAGTGTCATGCGACTGCAGAAAATGGGATGATGCGTCAGACGGTCAGACGCATGATTTTTGACCTTTAGGATGGACACTTTCCTCGATGGAGACTAGTGGCCGAATGCATAATCCAACCTAACGCAAGTCCAAGGTCTAAAACAACCTTTCCGCATCGTGGCATCGTTTCATTGGCATCTTTGGCTATATCGCTGCATTTGTTTCCCCCAATAGGCTGCATTGACGGAATGTCTGTCGTTTACTCGTGCGTGGGAAACATGAACATGTGTTCACGCACCACCCATGCCGTACCTGCGCGCCCGGCCGAGCAGGGTTGCCGTCAGAAAACGCCGCCATGCAAGGATGTCCTCAGCATCACCAGCTTGGGCAGCTGTCTCGCTTCATTTTTTTCAGCCATGGAGCATGTTTATCAATTTTCGAGCATTGGACTCGCTGTTGAAGGTGCTTTCCGGATCCTGTCCTTGAAGCACGTGCAGATTCTCGCGTTTGGATCCAGCCAGTGCTATCCATAATCGATCGATGAGCCTATACAGGATGATCACCATGATCATCATGAAAACGTCGCGGCTCGCGCCGCAATGGTCACCGTCCACGTCTTCGCGATCCTCCAATGCCGTTTTGCACATACCTGACTATGTTTGATGGTGCTGACGATCGTCTGGGAACCAACAGTGATCAGATCCAGTTGCAGTTGGCCCGATGGAGCTTCTCACGGTGCCGCATTAGGGTCGTGACCTGTTTCTTACTGTGCCTGAAGCCGAAATCTCCCTCGTGCAAACGATAAGTTTGTCTGCATGTTTCCTTTCGTCCCTGGAATGATTGGGGTCGACGACAAATTTGCGTTATCAATGACTGTCCAAAATGAAGTTCAATCGACACGATATGTATTCTGACTCTGTATGGTCATCTCGCCGGATCAGCTCCTATCCCGCGGAGGTGATCTGCACACACTCCATGACTGCAGTCAGATACGATCCACTTCCAGGTGTGCAAATCTGCATACGGAGGTACAGGCTGGCGAGACGACGTTCCTTGAAAATCGCTCACCAGGCCGGCGCCGCAGCCTCTAGGTCGAGCCGGCTGGAAACAAAAACAAGTGCTCGACATCTATGTGCATTACAACTATCATTCAGTTACGACACGACCTTATCTTGCACCATCCAATACATCCAATATCAAACATCATGATGATCCTCTATACCATCCCCCACAATGGCCGGGGTAACTCGATCTCACGACCAAGCTCAACTCCACGACCCATGAAACCACGGGCTCTATGATCGACGCCAACGTATGCCCCTCTTCTCCGCTCTTCGCCTTCGACGTCACGAGTCACACTCCAAGTTCTCAAGCCATAGTAGCTTCCAATACGGTGAACGAGCCAACGTCCAAAGGCCGCCCCTTTGTCGCTATCCAGACCTTCGAAAATCATTTTTTCAGTGCTGACGGTGTCGTCCCACCCCTCGTCTTTTTCCCTTTGTTTGCGGCCAGGAGAATCGTGCATGGCGCCATTTCTGCCAATGAAGACAATTTCCTCGTCTTCTTCACTGTCACTTGTCAAAGGTACATCGTGAAGTCCTTCATCGCGCAGTCTGGCCTCTCTTTCATTCCACTTCTGTACAAATGCTCGTACCGTCTCTTCCAGATCTTGGAGCATGCCTGTGGCGCCTCTGCCACCCTTCAGTCTGGCACGGACCTCTCTAGGAATGCTGATAGCGGCTTCTTCCATGGGACTCATGCCAGTGTTTCTTTTCCCTCTCGATCTTGTGCTATTGGCCCGACCTTTCATCTTGGCCTCAACCGCTCTTTGAAATTCGGCAGCATCCCAAAGCGGTGCAAGGTAGTAGGGGACCGTGCGTTGAGGGTACGTCGGACGGACCTCGAAATCTTCAGGGGAGGGTGGTTGTGCCCATGGGTTGGAAAGAAGGCGATCTAAAGACCTAATCAGCTTGACCTCAGTCACCCGTGTTAACATGGCAGATTACCATTTTCCCAGCGTCGACGCTGCCGAGAGCCCTCCTTGCCCTTCAGGAGAGCTTCTCGGCGCTCGAGACTGTCGCGACGCATTATTTTTCGCTCGGTGTAGACCCTGGTTGTGGCGACCGGGGTTCGAGACGCGGCGTCCAGCGGCACGCTGATGCGCACGGAGGTGCCAGTCACCGGCTTAGGAGGTGTCGATGGCTCGATCGACACATTTCTCATCTGCTCCGTGATTCCTTCTGCAGAGGTAGCAAGGCTTGGAGCCGCGCTCTCTGCAGGTACCATGATCGGGAGGGTTGCCATGTTGTCTGCGTTAATGAACGAAGTCGCGTCGTGGCGATTTGAACAAGGAAACGACGGAGGCTTTCTTTATCAAGTTTTTCGAATGTGCGCAGAGTCGACGTACCGTTGCTGCCAGCACCCGCCTGAAACGCACGGAAGAAGAATAAGAATAGAAATGTGTGAGGCAACAGGGAGGGTGAGGACCGGATGGACAAGCTGCCCCCGAAGTCATGGTCGGAGTCACTTGGTCTCGGTCCGACGAATTACGATAAGGTACAGATCGTGGTGGACTCCTCAATTATGACTGGTTCGGTTGATGATCTATCCTACCATACTCCGCTGCAACTAGCAGATACTCGTACGTTATGATTGTTGTTTTGCTCGGAGTATCATGACCTGCTCGCATGGCACCGGTTTACAAGATGAGCTTGATCTTTCAACTCGAAAGCCAATGTGGTGGGCTCAAGAGAGGACCGGCGATGCACAGTACGGGTACCGAAACGAGTGGGTGCCAGGTGGTGTTAGGTAAGCCTCTAGCCCATTGGAGCACCTCGGTATCCATGTTTTATCGATAGAGCCCCAATATTGGGGTCATGATCCGTCACAGGTGCTGCCTGCGCTATTGTTTCAGTGATCCCCCAGCCATCTCCAGTGTCCAAACACGACGGCCTTGTTGTTGACTTTAAGCAACATAATTCTTCTTGATCTCCATATCGTCTAGACTCCGTCTCTCTTTCTTTTTAGCAATCATGAAGTATCATTCCTTGGTGGCCGCCTTGGCCGCCACTTTTACCGCCGTTGCAGCGCTCTCCATCGACACTCGCTCTCAGCAACAAATCCCTCTTGATGGCAAACAACCCATCGCACAGGAGCAATACTTGATCGAGCTAAGTCCTGGAGAGACAAGATGGGTGGTAGAGGAGGAGAAATGGGAGTTGAAGAGGGTAGGAATAGCAATCAGGTCAACATCGAGTTCATTTAGCTAATCCACCGTAATCAGAACGGGATCAAATTCATGGACATCACTGAGAGCGGACACACCTATCCTTACGTCCTGTCTTCCGAGAGTGAGACGTCTCGAGTCACCTACCCATCTAAAGCACAGTACAACAAAACCGTCAAGTCTCTTGCGACAGGGTTGGACAAGGACAACATGCGGAAGCACTTGGAGGGACTCACTTCGTTCCACACCCGCTATTACAAAAGCCAGTACGGCATTGACGCAGCTACATGGCTATATGGGCAGATTAACGACACCATCGCGACCTCGGGCGCATTCAATTACAGCGCCAGCCTGACGAAATTCGCTCATCCGTGGGGACAATTCAGTATCATTGCACGTTTCCCCGGCAAGACGAATCACACTGTTGTGATCGGGGCGCACTTGGACAGCATCAACATGTTCTTGCCTTCCATCCTGGCGGCACCCGGAGCGGACGATGATGGCAGTGGTACTGTGACCATTCTGGAGGCCCTGACCGCCTTGCTACAAGCCAAAGAGATCGTCAAAGGCGAGGCTGAGAACACGGTCGAGTTCCAATGGTACTCGGCGGAAGAGGGCGGCCTCCTCGGCAGTCAAGCAATCTTCAAGTCGTATCATGAGAACGATATACCTGTCAAAGCCATGATTCAACAAGACATGACGGGATATGTGGCCCGGACATTGGCTGAGGGCAAGCCCGAGTCAGTGGGAGTCATTACGGACTATGTCAACGCAGACCTCACAGAGTTCATCAAAGAACTGATCACGACTTATTGCGACATCCCCTACACATTGACCAAGTGCGGATATGCTTGTTCCGATCACGCTTCGGCCAGCAAGTATGGATATCCTTCAGCTTTCGTGATCGAGTCGGACTTTGAATACTCGGACAAGAAGATCCATACCAGCGACGACCTGATCAAGTATTTGAGCTTTGATCACATGTTGCAGCATGCAAAGATGACTCTTGGATTCGCCTATGAGGCTGCATTTGCCAAGTTTTAGGAGGGCACAGCATTCATTGCGCTGGCGTTACATTTTTATAAGGTGTATACATATATCAGCACTACATAATGACACAGTCTGTTCGCTCTGTCACTCTGGTTTTCATTGCTTTTCATGTCCACGTCGATATCCGATGCGGAGACCGCCTGCAGCATGGTCATTTCTTTGGCCATGGTGATTTGTGTTGCAGCAGTGACGTAACTTTCCCCGCAGTCCTGCTTTGCTGCTGCGAATCTTTCCTGCTTGCGTGAAGCTGCTGCAGCTTCGAACCTCGCCAGCCTCCACTTACGCCCTGGTAGGATAAAACAGCTTCGATCACGAGAACGCTCTGAGTTTCACCCTGCATTATATCCACCGTCCAACTGGGTTTTCTCGCCAACCTGTTTTCTCTCCTTCTTCGCGCTCAAGACTACATCCATCCCACTCAATCAGTCGATTATTTTCTTCCCGGCAGAAAAGGGCACGTCGATTCAAAGACACACTCTCGATACAGCACTACCATGGCAGACTGTATGAACAGTCTCGTCTCCATGCAGTCAAGATCTAGCTAACCAATGTCAGACAACCCATTCGCGAAACGCGAGGAACACTCTCAACGAAGCCTCCTGGCTTACAAAATCCTCACGATCCTCTCCTGGCTTCTCCTTGTAGTGGTTGGAGCCTACTATACCTTCGCAAGCCCCCAGGACTGCCACCACAACCATCACTGCCACACAATATGGGGACAGAATAACCATAGACGGACACCTTTCAGCTTGAACTCGGTGGTGACAAGCATCTACTGGATTGTGGTTCTGATATTGCAGGCATACTATGTTCGTTTCTTGTGGAGCTCGGACAAGGCGTTCGTCACAAGTGCGGCCAATGTGGGAAGCCACTTCATCTTCGTATGTTCACACAACGCCACAGGACATTGACCACAACTAACATGGACTGCAGCACAATCTCTTGACCTTTGGCTTCATCATGCTGTGGGTGCGAGGCCACTTCTGGCAGGGCGAGCTCCTCCTGATCATCAACCTGTTCAACCTGACACTACTATACTTTGGCCATCCTACAACACCTCTCTTCATCCATATGCCTATTGTCTCAGCGCCTCTAGCTTGGAACTATGTTGCGATCCTCTGGGACGGAGCAGCGATGGTCAATGCTCATACTCTTCCAGCGAGAATCGTGGCGAACATCTTCATCTGGGGTATCCTGGTTCTTGGAGGCTTCTTCCTTCTAACCTTCAAGGACTATACAATCGGCCTTGAATTGGCCGTTCTATCACTGGGTAAGTTTACCGTTCTCAAGGACTGGCAGGATTGTGACTGACCCTGTATCACAGCACTTGGACTTGGTCAGATTGGTACACACGTCATCGCCGTGCAATGGATCTTTGCCTTTGTTATTGCTGCTTCCCTGCTGGTATTGTCATTGCTCATCGGAGCGCCCAAGGTTTTCGGCCAAGATAGAAGCATTCGACAAGAAGGCGCAATCGTTAGCGAGGACAGAGAACGTGCACCTCTACTGGCAGACAACTGATTGGATTGTCCTCGCATGTCGACTAGTGCCTGTGTTCCAGGACATGACAGTTGCAATCGATGAGGGCTTCCTGGCAAAGGCGCAAAGGCTGTAGATGCATCAGTGAGGGACCTTGGGCTCGAAAACCGGCGTTGTCAGGTGTGTGGAGGATTGTGCTTCTGAAACAATCCAGAAAGGTGTTTTACAGATGGAGCTGTCATTCAAGGTACAGTCGTTGTACCTGTACTAATGTCTCAAAAGTCAAGAAGTGTTGAATGACTAGGGATGCGCCATGGATTGCTGAAATTGATAAATTTGTGATAACGTCTCTTTGTGTAGGAGATTTTTTCACCCAATGCTCAAAGGGAAATTACTCCTACCCATCATCCTTCCATCATGCGAGATGCCGAGGATCTTTGTGTAGCTTGGGCTGAATTCTTGTGTTTCCCTGTACATGTAAGTTGCACAACCCAAACGTTTACATCAAACCGGACCAGTCAAAAAGTTTGTTCAGTGAGTACGTTCCGAGATACGAACGCCCGATTTGTATGGACCCCAAATGCCACCTCTTCTCACCCATACCCATCGTTTGTACCAGACCTGACACTAGACGTTTACTGAGTACCGCTTGTCAACCCTACCCAAACAGGCGCTGTTCAGCCCGGCACCTTCCTTGTCGACATCGTGGCAAACAAACTCTTCTTGTTTCTTTGTCACGGACATTCCACTTGGATTCACCAACACCTCATTTTGGCTTTGAGACTAACGTGACGTTCAGTATGGGTGAAGGTGGTGGAGTCTTTGTCCTTGACCGGCTCCTTGTTCGCATCACTCCGTTTACTTAACCTGACCAGCCAAAGTCTTCACTTGGTCCTCACTAGGTCTATGCGGTTGCCCCAAATATTAGTAGCAACTTCTCTTTCCTCCCCTACGTGGCTTTACACTCGACTTCTCCCACGATGCCTCACGCCATGGATGAAAGCAAGGACGCCTCTCAACCCATCAACATGGCGTCTTGTCTAAACGATTCCGACACCCACCTTGATCTCGACCGTTCTGACCAACGCAACCTGATCCGCCTTATCGCTTTGATGCAGGCTGGCTGGACACTCTCTCGAGGTCATGGTCCACGTCACCATCCTCGCTGCCTCTGGTGTCACGGTGATCTGAGCGATCGTACCGAGATCCTCATCCACGACAAATGTAATAACGCATGGGCGGCCGGTTGCTTCATGGACTCCATCCACTACGAATATGACAAGACACATCATCAACGTCTGTCCTGTCCATTGTGCCGTGCCGCATTCCATGCACGCCCAGGCTGGACCAGACCACGCTGGCCAGAGCAGGAACGCTATCCGGAGCCGCCACACCCTCCGTCGCAACATGACTTTCAACTGCCCAAAAATATCAACATCTCCGCGCACATACGAATTGTCTTGTACAATCCAGCTTCTGTCACCAAGGCACGGCAATATTCCAAGACGTTGATGTTCATCACGCGCGAGGAGATGGCAAAACTGGCACTATTTGGGCGAAACAAGATCATCTTTGATGCTATCGACAATGTGAAAACAGAGTGGGAGACGGTCTTTACGCGTTGGGTGCTCATAAATTGGAAAGACAACAACGAATATCGAGCGAGCCCGTTGATGGCGCACCAGGAGACCGAATTGCTGGAAATGCTCGCTGCAAAGGGCTTGGGCTCTCCCGTCACGGGTGAAGCCGCGCAGCAGCTGGAAGAACGGATTTGCACCCAGGGCCGCCTGCCTGGACCTGGCACGGGCTATCCCATCCTCCAAGATATATCCGCGAAGATACTAGAAGGAGGGGCTGTCGGCAGGGGCGGATTGGCTACGGCGGTCGCTGCGTTCAAACCAGACAACGAGGATGACGATATCAAAGAGATGATGTCCGGGGGTAAAGAGGAGGCGCTTAAGATTTTGCGAGCGGAGCGAGAAAAGGAAAAAGGGTCGGTACAACACATGGACCGCATCACTGCTGGAGTCCCTGGACTCTTTCGTGCGTTTTGCATGGTTATGGACGACAAGAGCGATGGTTCTCATGGGAGTGATGAGGAGCCGGATGAAGATGAAGATTATCCTGAAGATGAAGACTATGTTGAGGAGGATGGGGAAGATCTAGATTCTGAGCCGGGAATCCCTGGGACCGTGACGGTCGCTCCACCCAACCTTCCCGCCATATCCAATCCTGAAGACAGCGACCCCGAACCGTCTGTATAGATGGCCCATTCCAGCGACAAAAGCTTTGGTTGGAGTATTGGCGTCTTTGAGGAGAGGTGGGAGCAGCACAGTACTTGAAGCTTTCGATCAGCTTGTTGCATAGAGCATGGAAGGAGTTAATCATGTGAGGTCTTTCCTGGCATATGGAGTATTCGCGGATCTGGCAGGCATCATAAAGACGAGAAGATGCTTGAGTCAGGTCGACTTGCCATGTTCGCAGCGTTAGAATTTGAGAGTCTGTATGTGTACATTGCTACTTTCACTATGATGAGGTACATCAAGGTGATCGTCCGGAAGATATTGCACACGCATCCACCTCCTTGTGCGATATCTCTCATCGCCATCTACAGATGTCATGTACCTTGTCATCATTATAAGGTCCGCCGAAATCCTCGTGCCAGGCCTCCCTCCCAGCTGTTCATTTCGCCCGGTGATCCTCCGAATGAGGATGGTAAAAATCTCGTGTATCGTCTTCGTCATATATGGTGGTCCTCAATGCTCACACAGTTTCCTTCCCTTGCTTCGTGTCCTGCTGAGATCCTGCAGGTCAATCATCTACCGGCTCATACAATCCCGCCTCTTCGCGTGTCGATCAGCGACCTCAGCATCGCCGAGGAGACATTGCAATACCAGGAGCTACTATCCACAGCCCACATACCTCTTTCTGTCAGCAGATTGGGCCCACGCAGGCTCACTGCTTGCAGTATTGTCGTCCAGATTATCCTTCGGGCACGGCATCCCGCACGGAAAGGTGTATGTCTTTTTAGTCGGCCCGAACAACGACTCATCACTCATCCGTCCTTTGCGAGCCATCACATGCGGGAGCTGTGAGATCAGCCCTCCCAATCAACGCCCCAATCCCTATTCCTCTCCGTGACTCTCACCCCCATCTTGGCCTCCATCCAATCCTCAACCGTGACCCATCCCTTCCTCCCCGTCAACACCCCATTATAAATCGCATACTGCCATTCGCGCCACCACTCCTGCGCAATCAATCCAGCTCGACCATTCCTCTCCCGAGCGGAGTGATCATTCGCGTTGGCGCTGGCACTTGATCTCTCAGCTCCCGAACTAGCAGCAACGTCCCACACCGCTTCGACGACCTCATATTTCTTCGTCGGGCTCAGTCGTAGCATATTCGTGAACCAATTACCTCCCTGGCGCGAGACAATCACGTCGGTATACTGTACGGGGAAACTCACGGTGAGTTTGCCACGGTATTTGGTCGAGGCTACCAGCGTGCGCACCATACCTTCGAGGATTTGCCCGGGGAGATTGGTGACTTGTCGGTGGAGCGTGAAACTCTTGTTTTCGACTTTTTCTTCGCAGAACTTCTTGATCCATTGTTCTAGCGGAGTTCGGTTGGAGTTTCGTGAACTCCTGGGTGAAGAAGAGTCGTCGAATGGTTTAACGTGAGTTCGAGATTGCGCTGACGTTCCAGTGATGTCCAAAAGCGAAGTCAAGTTGATGAGTATTTCGAAGTCGATGACGTTTTCACCACCTCTGGAATGCTCGCCGTGGATGAGCATCAGAGGTTTGGGTGGGAGGGCGGCTTGTTCGTGGATGAAGCGCACGAGTTCGTATTCCGTTTCGGATAGCTCGGGTTTAGTGGTGGTGATGGAGGCGAGGTCTTTGGACCATTTACCTTGAGAGACGCCGTATTTGGCCAAAGCGACCAAACCTAGGCGGTAGATCGCATCGAGGGGGTTTTGGCTTGGTATTCGGATTGAGGGTGGTATATTGGAAGGGGTAGAAATGGCTGGGACAACGTTTTCGTATGATGGCGGAAGGTCCTGAGGGGCAGGCTCAGCTGGTTGTGAGGATGCAGCGCGCTGGCTGGATTTCTCAGACGGCATCTTGCCTGCTCTTTGATCTTGGTTGCCGGTACGAGAACCTGCGGAACCGGCGATGGGGCCTTGCAAAATAATGGGTTTTAGATCACGGTATCTGGATGTGGCGAAGGAGTTGTTGGCAATGTCTCGCTGTTTCGTCGTCTGGGGCGCCCTTCTCCCAGGCGTCGGGATAAAATTGAATAAGATTGATGAAAGAGGAGGACTCAATCAAGAGAAATGAAGCATGACTACCATGAATCAGATATTTCTTGAAAAGCCGGGATTCGCATAATCTTCTGGATATGGAAAGGTTGGTGTTGAATAAAGAGGCACAGCCACACAACCAATCACCAATGGCTTGGGCATGTTATACGAGCCCCGACGCCCGTACCCAGGCACCCGTTAATTCAGCCAACCACACGAAAGCCCCTAGACGAATTGACGCAATGGGCTAACTTACCGCAAATGAGGTGAATAAAACTGCAGAGTTCCAGAATCATCTCAGCCTTGTTCCACATGGCTAGTGAGAGAGTAAGCCTGGCATCCAATCGATGCTGCTTGAGGCCGTACGTTGAGCACACTTAGCTCGATCCATTTCATCGCTGCAAAATGTCCAATGTAATCTGCTGTCAAAAACTCCAAGAGATGACATGAATCCAATCTCCAACCATCTTTCCACGTCGCATGCCATGGTATCAGCACAGTCTCGCGGCCAGCCCACACAGAATCACGAATGTATGCTGCAATAGTCCCCAGCACCAAGAGTGAGGCCATATCCATCATGCATCACTCAACCCGTCGTCGCTTTGCGGCATGGGAAAGCTCCGTCGACGCTTCAGTCGCAGTTGAGGCCAGTGCTTCCATATCCTCGGCTTCTTCGGTAGTTTTTGCCGCTTTCTCCTTTAATGCGGCCAGTATCTGGGAAAGAACATCTTCCTGGACTTTCAGTATCGCCACCTTCTCCTCCAACTTCGCCCTCTCCTTACTATAGCCTTGCATTTGTTCCTCCAGGTCGGTCTTCTCGATACCCAGATCATCCATCTGTACCTTCAGCTTATCCGCTTTGTCCTTGTCGAATTTGGCTGCAGTCGGCTTGTGCGTGTCTGCTCCCGCGATGAGATCGCCCACCCTGTCGGTCTTCTGCGACGCTTCTTCAGGGAAGATCTGTGCGCCGCAGGATCCTTGCGTGCCTTCGTTGGCCGCTGACTCGGCTGTAGGCTGTGGAGTTGCTTCACTGTGGGTCTGATCTTTTGGAGGTTCTTCCTGTTGCGCTGGTTTGGCTGGGGGATCGCCAATGGACAGAACCTACTGTACCTTTGGACGCAACACGCCTTCCGGCATCCATTTATCAGGCTGGCCTCGGACTTTGTACGCCCAGTCCGGCCCACCACGGTATTTCGAGCTCAACCAACACCGTTCTTCAATAAGGACTGTGGATTCCATCCCACAACTTGAGGTCAGAAGACTTGAGCCAACACTGTATAGCGGCGCAATCCTGAGTGCGAGAGGTTTCTCTTCTTGAAATCCGGCCCTTTCAATGATCCGACTGCCGTCCGATGAGACACGCACAAGAACCATAGGACGGAATTGACGGTTCTCTCCTGCCGTAAAGCACTTTGACTCGGCAAGGGTAGCGACCAGGCACCACGGCTCGATGGTTTTGTTCTCAGATGGTCTTATGCACACCTTCTCACCAACGGCATATTTGGAAGCGGCTTCCTGAGGTCTGCACATTGATTCGTGCTGCTGTCGGCATTCGTTGCTTCGATACTTTTCGAACAGTGTCCGCGCTGCATTCTGCATCCTGTATAGTGTTAATCATTGGCATCAATATCAACATGCCGACTCACTCAGTGGGCACAGTGAGCCTAGTCGAAGCCATTTTTGAGATCAGTTCTGCTTTGCAGACTTGATAGCGCGAAGACGTGAGTGAGAGGAGGCGCACAACAAGAGCTCAGGGTCCTGATATCTGAGAGCCAGCCACGTTCCTGTGCAAAGAATGGTGCTTTGGGGTATCTGATACTGCGAGCGTCAAGGTCGCCTGTGAGTAAGAGACACGTAGAAGAAGACTGACAAAGGGGCGTAAGAGACGGTCTTCGGGTGATTGATCAAGCTCGTTCAGCTATCTCAGATTGCGATGAGCGGTTCGCTTTTGACTCATTTCTCAGAAAGACTGTGGTAAAAGTCGAAATGGAGTTGTGCAGAGAACGTTGTGCATGCAACCGGTAAGGTTCAAGTTGCCCTTGCTTCAAACCTCGCTCATCAACTCACCTCCTTTCCTCTCTGAAAACAATTCACTTCATCATCTCCATCATCGCCTCACACCATGCTGCAAATGGCGCAAAACTGCTCCCTTGGCCCTTACAGAAGTGTTTCATCGCCAACAGTTGACCTCTCCTCCATTTTGCCATTCTGGTCTCCCAGCCATCATCCTTCTCTATGCTCGTTTCCAACTTACCACTGGAGCCTTCGCCCTTAACTCTAGCACCATCAACGGCATCACCTACTTTCCGCTCACAAACAGGACACAGATAAGGCGGTTGCCGCATGTCTTCCGCCACAGACGTGGTACCTTGCATAGCACATGCCCTCCACATACAATGGTCAAGTCCGAAACAGTGACCGAGCTCATGTGCTGCGGTCCGACAGACTCGAAATAAGTGAGCCGACGAAACTGCAGGAGTAGTCCCGATATGTTCAGACAAATGTGCCTTTACAGCTCTCTGCAATGGCTCCCATGCAGACAATGATGAGTGTCCAGGGACGGCTGCGGCACGGGTGTTGGGTTTCTTGGTTGGTTTCTTGATTGCTCTCCTATTTGGTCGCTTGTAACCTATCGCTGCCATTCCCTCATCTTGACTGCCCATTTTCTTGACGAATGCGTCACAATGACTCGCTGGCCAAACATGCTGCATATCAACCCCATGCAGCTCGTCCAAAGCAGGACTGTAGCTTGCACTGGAGACAATGGCAATGCGGCTTGCACCTCAGGCTCGACCGCAACAGAAATCATCGTCATCATCCTCGTAGAGGTCGTGGTTCGTCAGCATGAGAAGCGCGTAAGCGTTGGATGGTACAATAGTCATGGCCGCATCCGCAAGATCATTCAGATTTAGCTGATGCGAAAACGGAAACAGCTCGGGCTCCTTGGTGCGACCAGTAGGTGGAGTAGAGCGTCCACGAATGCGGATGAGCTCAGTGCCAGTCGACAGAGCCACATGAGCGATCTTAAGCTGACGCGAAGCTTTCCTTCTGAGGGACCTACCATCGTTTGGAGGATCGTCATCCCACGCGCTGAAGGCGAGCTTTTGCGGTAAGATTCTCACCTCCATACCATCGTAGAACGCTCGAAGATAGGCAGCAATCGATTCAGCATCAAGAACAGCGCCAATGCCTGGCTTCGTATCCTGATTGAGATTAGCGCAAACGAAAGATGTTGGTACCTAGCATACTGTTGCCGTCTGCGCGTCCCACACTGAGCGCTGCCAGTCTTGCATATGTCCCGCGCTTGAGTCGATGTCTGGCGGAGCAGCAACATACAGGATTTTCCTGCTGGATGTCACATGGTTCCGATCACCGAGATTACGCCAATCTCGGTAACTCTGCCGTGGATAGTTCGGGTCGCACACGATCTCGTCGCCAGGAAGCACTAGAGCAGCAGGAAAGGCATTCAGCTCATCGACAGGCAGAATCGTGGTGGGGAAGTTGACATCAGCGACCGGAGCTCCAGCGTTTGTTCGCACTTGCCAATTCGAGTAATGCCTGTAGCCCGAAGTGACGGCATTCGCTGACGAGGAGAAGGTCAGCGTACCATGTTCGCAGACCGAAGACATGATGGCACAGGGTCGGACAGTTTAACGAGAGAAGGAGAGAAAACAGTAGAGGTTAACACAGGACCTGGGCGGTCTTTTATACCTAAAAGGTATGGCTGCCTGTTTCAAGTGCGACAAGCGAGAGGCACCCCACCTCATAGCGCATTCTGCCATTGCCGAAGACTTGGCCGGAATCGTGTGCGGTGAAGTATTTGATGATGAAATCCTCACCAGGCTTGAGGGAAGATAAGGCTGAAAGTCGACAATATTAGGCATGACTCAGGGGGAGGCCTTGTAGTCGACATCACGTGATCACAGTGCTCAAAAATGGTAGGAGTTCGTGGACCCTGAGTTCTGGACTGTTATGTCCGGGCTGAACCGTGACCTTGGCCATTGGCCTATCCTTCTTTCTTGCGACTCAAGAATATTGCAAGATTTCCAGGCGAGGATGGGTGGGCATTGGAGTCTTGTACGAGTCGACACTCTGTGGACCGGGAATAAGCTGCTAAATCCGTGGCATTGGTGGCCTAGCATACTGACTCGTACAGCTTGTAAGTCTTTATAACTTGGATGGTAGTTCGCTCAGAGAGAGTGTCAGATCCTCCAGAAAAGCCTCTGCGACACCGTCCAGAAATGTCGTCGAAAATTCCTCGCGTGATTTTGGTCACCGGCGCCAACCGTGGGATAGGTCGTGCCATCATCCAAGCCTTGGCCAGTCATCCACAAACAACGAAGTCCATCTTTCTCATGGGTTGTCGGGACTTGAAAAAAGGGGAAGAGTCCATTCGAGAGCTTCGAAGCCAGGGCATCACATCGGTCGTCCAGCCTCTCACAATCGACGTGGCATCCGATGCGTCCATCCAGGATGCCGCTGGTACCGTCCAGCAGCGACACGGCCACCTCGATGTCCTTATCAACAACGCCGGCTACGCCGCCATACCGTCAGCCTCGGATTTATCAGACTGGCGGAGTGTCTATGCCGCAGTCTATGACACCAATGTCACATCCGTCGCCTTGACGGTGGCGCATTTTCTTCCGCTGCTGCGACAGTCGCCGTATGGAGGTAGAGTCGTCAATATCTCTTCCGCGCGGGCCTCAGCGACCATGTTGGCGAATGGACTTCTTCCGCCAACGGTGGCAATTCCATACAGTGTTTCGAAGGCAGCCCTAAATCTGCTGACGATCGAAATGAGCCGGGATTCGGCCAACAAAGACGTCGAGTTTCAACTGGTTAGTCCCGGACATTGCAAGACGGCTCTGAACAACTACCGTGGGGCGAGGGATCCGCTTGAAGGTGCAAATGTGGTGGTTGGACTGGTCACGGCCGAGAAAGGCCAGTACAAGAATGCAGGTTTCTGGGAGACGAAAGGTGCTAGTATGGACCTCGTTGAGATCCCATGGTAATCTGAGTAGTTAGCTTCAAAGGTAGTTCGTCGTATCATACTTCCAGTTGTAGCAGTCTACGCACTCATCGTCAGGTTCGCATGTGGGAGTGCTGTTGTACGCTTCGAGGACATCGGGGATGATAACGTTCAGCCGGTGATTGTTGATGTTCACATGCCATCCCAAATCTCCCACAGTGTCGTAGACGCAACGCTTTCCTGTATGGCATTGACTCTCGAACGCATACCCGGCAATTGAGCATGACGAGAAGTAGCCATTGCATGCACCCATGAAGACCGGATCTGCCGTGTTGCCGATATGATAATCGGCCGTACGCGGAGGGATAGTTATACCCAGTCGCTGCGCGGCGAGCCTTTGCGGTGGAGCCTCGTAAGCGACAGATGGCATGTTGTACGTCAGGCCGACAAGACTTGCAATCGAGCCTCCCAAAGAATGACCCACAATCCAAAACGTCGCGTTTGGATACCACGTTGTTATGTTTAGTAAGACTGCGACAGCGGTAGGGTAGTATCGGTCCTTTTGGAGCAGCTTCTGCGTGAGGCACGTGGAATTGCACTGATATGTGTCAGTACTGCAATTGCACACTGGACCGTACCAGAACGGGTCAGGGCGTTGGCTGGCGCAACAGCAGCTGAAGAGAAGGTTGTCGTTGAGTCGATCGTTACTCCTCCACTTTTCGCGAGGGTCGATCGTTGTACCTTTGAATGCAATGATGACAGTCTCGTTCGTCTCATCGGTAAAAACGTGGCCGCGCAAGCCGTCACCTACCCAGCCAAAGCTGTCGGAGTGGTTGAAGTCCATAGAGCCGTTAAGCCAGTCGGGCTGCGACGGGGCAAGCACGTATGCATTGCTGGTCATTTTGGCTAGATTGACAACGGTCGTCTTATCCGTGACGTCTGGTGTACGCACCGGTATATCTTGCCATTCGAGTTCATTTAGTACCTTGAGAGAGGCGTGATCTTTGTGTCGAAAATCCAGCAGCCAAGACAACGGACGGCGGCTCATCAGAGTTCGTCGTGAGTGAAGGACCAAAGACTCGACGGGGCTCGTTTTCCCTTCCGCAGTTTTCTGCATTAATTCGTGCGCCAAAGGTGAAATGCTGTGGAACTGGCCTGGTTCAGGGATAGTGCCGAGATCGTGAAAGAAGGCATGGCCAAACTTCTGTGATGGGGTCAGCGTTTCAGATGTCAAGATACCGAGTGTCATACAAATTTCGAAACAGATGTGTACTTGTATGAATGATGCACGGTGTTTGACCCTTCCACGTCCAAGGGGTTGGTGGATTCGCGCAGTGCATGGACACCTGTGGCCAGTATTGACGCCAGAAGACAGGCAAGACGGCACGCTTTCATGTTGCGTAGGTAAGTAAAGATGGCGATCGATGCAAAGTAAATCCAAAGACAACTAGGACCGCAACAGACATCTCACATGCTGACAAGGGATGGTTGCGTCAATGACGTTTTAGGCAGCCATTCGTTAGGCAAACATGTGCTGCGCATCGCATCACTTTCTGGAGGAAAGACTGTGATGAGCATCAAGTAGGACGCCTTCGAACTGAGAGGAGCGCAACTACTTCCTGCCGTACGGCCACAAGTACGCATGATATTGGATGATGGAAGGAAACAACGTGCCAGTCTGATCGCGGCGAGGCACAGTAGCACAGCCTCGCACGTGACATGTCATGAGTTCAGCCTTGTCACGTGGCTGACGGTGCTGAATATCCCTGGTCACAATACCGAGAATAAGGTCACCGGCGACGAAGAATTGGAGACATTAACTCGCCGTTCGACAATTTTAGGCGTTGGAGGTCGATTTTGACGCTGGGAAGTGCCGAACCTTGTGCCTCCCACAAGCCACTGCTGCAACCTTATCTTGCGCCCAAATCCGTGATCTGCAACTTTGGGGGCTTTTTGATGTCAGGTTGCATATCATTCCGGGGTGTTGATAATGACACCACACAATCCGCCAGATGAATTGACACCCGCGGGTTCCACCTTGTGCAGACCTTCCACAACAGGTGCTGCTCCTCGATAAGTGACCAGCAGGATGGAGGACGGACAGACACCCTTATCTTTGGCCAATGCGAACATTCTTAGCCCTTCAAACCCCGACTCAGGTACCTTGTTGGGTCTCCAATTGCCACATACGCTTCCTCCCATCCAAGAATATATAGTGGTCACTCCTTGGTCGAAATGGCTCAGACCCTCCTTCGAGTTTCCAAGTCAGGCGGCGAGATTCCTCCCATCGGCACGACACCTGACAACCATGGCCGGAGACAAAATTTCCTCTGACGAGGTCAGACCTGCCGTGTCTGAGGACAACGTTGGCGTAGTCGAGAAGTCATTGCTCGACGAGAATGAATTCGAAGTGTTCAAGAAAGGTGAAGGGGTGGTGGACTTTCGCAGGGTCGCCTGGTATCACGCATCAATGATCTTCCTCAAGAGTACGAATGCATCCGGGCAATGCTATAGGACTTGCTAACACCGCAAACAGTCATCTTCGCTACCGGTGTCCTTTCGATCCCTACAGCCATGTACACCCTTGGTGCCTTCCCAGGAGCGATCAACATCATTGCCTGGACTCTACTCAACGCCTACTGCGCAATTATCCAGGGCAACTTCCGCAACTCTCATGCAGGATGCCACAGTATTGCGGACATGGCTCAACTCGTTGGTGGACCAGTGGTGAAAGAAGTCGTCGGATTCCTATTCATCGCTGCATACGTTGTCTGTGCAGGCTCTGGCATCCTCGGTGTGTCAGCTGCATTCAACGCTCTGTCTAACCATGCCATCTGTACGCAGTGGTTCTCGTTCATCGCTACCATTATCGTCGCAATCTTCGCCAGCGTCAGAAAGTTTGAGAAGATCGCCTGGCTCACCTGGGTAGGTTTCTCCTCTGTTTTCGTGGCAGTCATGGTCATCGTCGTTGGCGTCACGACGCGCGACCGCCCTGCCATCGCACCGCAAACAGGTCCTTTCGATCTCGGCTATAATGTCGTTGGCAATCCAACATTCGTTGGGGGCATGACAGCGATTGCGGCAATTTTCGTCTCCAGTGCCGCTACTGCCGCTTTCTTACCAGTCATATCGGAGATGAAGAAGCCACGGGACTACAACAAGGCTGTCTACGTTACCATGGCAATCGTCACATCTGCATATCTCGCCTTCTCCCTGGTGGTGTACAAATGGTGCGGTAAATGGGTTGCTACACCTTCTCTTGGTTCCGCAGGCCCTACTTTGAAGAAGGTAGCTTACGGCATCGGCATCGTTGGCTTGGCCGTATCGGCTTGTCTTTATGTCCACATCGGAGCGAAATACCTCTTCGTCCGCATCTTGCGCAACACCCGCCATTTGCAGGACAACAGTTTGGTCCATTGGGGAACTTGGTTGGCCTGCACCATTGGAATCTCGGTGGCAGGCTTTTTGATTTCTTCAGGGGTGCCCATTTTCAACTATCTTCTGGGTCTGGCTGGTACTTTCTGCTTCGCACCCGTGGCCATCTCGCTGCCCGGCTGGCTTTGGTGTTATGATCACCCTCAATACTGGAGAGGAACGTTTTTGCAGAAAATCCTCTACGCCATCCATGTTTTTTTGATTATTCTTGGGATTTTCGTGACTGTGGGAGGAACCTATGCTGTGGTCCAGTCAATCGTGGATGCATATGCTTCTGGTCAAATTGGGGCAGCTTTCGACTGCGCCGACAACAGCGGTACTGTCTTGAACTCATAGGAGTCCACCTCAGCAAAGGCATGAAAGAGATTAGATCACATATAGAAGAATCTTGGTAGCATGGGGATAGATAACGACTGTGGTGTGGTTGGAGCACTTCCCGTGCCTCATGCACGCCATGGCCAGAAAGTAGCTATACTTTCGACGTCAACACTCTCGACAAGACTTCCTTCATATAGCAATGAGCCTCGAAAAGTGCAAACTCCGTATTGGTAAGCATTGTACTATCTCAGTGCCTGGTCTTGCATTTAGGGTTTCTCGGGCGTGGTGACCTCGGAAGTTGGAGACATCAGTGCCCCCATAAGGTACCTAGGTAGGCACCCGAGTCTCCAAGGATCGACCGCTTGCTTAGCAATCCGCCTCGGAAATCCAGGTACAGTACCACAATCGACTCGGGGTTCTCCGATATGCCTATGGAGATCACCTAAGCCACTGTTCGAATGACTGATGTCTTCTACGCAGTGATACTTCGATTGCTCCTTTGCTCCTGCCTTAGCTGACTCGCCCATCCAGATTCTTAGCAGACTGCAATGAGTTGATCCGTGTCTGTCGTTATCATGTCAACGGTTGCTCTGCCCAATACCGATTTTCAGTACGTTCTGATAGTCCATGTGGCTTATCGTGCTGTTATCAGGTCTTCTAATCGCCTATACAGATCGCAAATCAGTGTCGAAGACCTGAGGTCTCTGGCTGCCAAATTCGATATTCTGCTCGAGTGTGGTGCAGATGAAGATGCATACTTGACCCTTCTGCAGTCTGCAGAAGCCATCTACGAACATTTCGAGAACGTCGACGACTACATCCATCCGGCTTTGGTGCCCGTACCAACACAGTCGGAACGGAAGTATTGGCGACCCCAACGAGAGGACAATGTATTGAATGCATGGAGTCATCGATGTGAACTCAAGGCCACCAACCCCAAGACAGCCTTGCTTGCTGGACGTTCTGTTGCTTTCAAAGATAACATTTCTGTAGGAGGCCTCCCTACAACCCTTGGAACGCGGTCCAGCCTCCTTTCCATGCAGGGTACAGATTATCCCATCTCGACAATTGATGCGAGCATCGTCTCCAGAGTGCTTGATGCTGGTGCATTAGTCAAAGGAATTACGACGTGCGAGACTTATTCAGCTTCCACACTATCATCAACCTCATTCCGGGGACCGGTGCAGAATCCCTGGGCACATGGCTACAGTGCTGGCGGCAGTAGTAGCGGTAGTGGGGCTCTAGTAGGCGCAAACCTCGTCTCGAAGGTCAAGGGAGTCAGCTTTGGTGATTCTGTAGATATGGCTATCGGAGGTGACCAGGGCGGAAGCATTCGCCTTCCAGCTGCCTACAATGGCTGCTACGGGATGAAGGCTACCCATGGACTCATTCCATACACAGGCGTCATGGCTCTCTCACCTATGGTGGATAGCGTCGGCCCCATTGCCAACAATCTTGAAGACATCGCCCTCCTGCTGCAGGTGTTGGCTGGATACGACGGCATAGACGCTCGAATGACGGCCGAATCGCCCTTGAGGGACCGTGTGCCTGAATATCCAGCCTTGCTTCGAGACTCCTTCGCCGAGTGCCAGTCGTCAACATCAAATACACGGCCTTCTTTCAGAGTTGGGCTTCTAAAAGAGGCTTTTCAGGTTCCAGGCATGGACCCAGCCATTGCCAGCCATGTTCAGGACAGTGCTAGGCAAGCTTTTGAGGCGATGGGTGTGCCTGTCGTGGAAATTTCCGTTCCGCTTCACGCTGAGGGGCCTTTGTTCTGGACAGCGGCAACCCGAGCCACAATGTCAGATTGGGGTATTGCCATGCAGACACCTGGCTATCTCTCATACCATCCACCTCACATGAAGTTACAATGGCCACCGAACCAGGACATGTACGAACTACTGTCTGACACGAATCCCACCATTAACAACCTCATCTTCAGCAGTGCTTTCCTCAAGGACAAGTATGGCCCGGGAGTCGAGGCAAAGGCGCATCGCAAGGTCTTCCAACTACGTCAAGCCTACGATGACGCCTTGAGCCAGGTCGACGTACTGATCATGCCTACCACGCTTGGGCTTGCTTCACAACATCCAGAACTCACACGCGATGGAAAGAGAACAGGGATAATGGAGCGAATTAACCCTGCCATCGGGCTGAGTTCGAACACTTGTCCTTTCAACGTGACTGGGCATCCAGCGCTGACTGTCCCTTGCGGCTTTGGGAAGGATGCGAAGACCGATCAGATGCTGCCAGTGGGTATGCAAATTGTGGGAAAGAGATGGGACGAGACGATGGTTTTGAAGGCAGCCGCGTTCTTTCATGCTGGTCAACAGGACATAGAGAAGGACTCCTCCCAATCAGGGCAATCTCATAGATGACAAGTTGTTGCCGAACTTTCTGTTATTGGTCCACCTATTCGTCCCTTTTCGACGGAGCAGAGGTGTCCGTTACCAAGAGTTGGAGTATCCCCGCGCCTCAAAGGGCAAATCTGGAGCAACTTGACTGCACATTGGGACGCCCCAGGCCAGGGCATTTGCTAAAGAGGACATGGGTGAGCCACTTGAATTTTATGCCGAGTGAGGTGTACTTCAGTGGAGGCGATAATAGTCTGGTGTCGTTGGATGTCTCTGATCCATGGTCAAACACGCGATGTTCGCAATCGATGTTGGTCTTGGTCTAGAATGGGACTGTGATCGATTTAGACGATTGAGATAGAGTCTGGTAGTGAGATGGAGATTATTCTCCCTATAGATTTCACAGCCTCTCATTTGGAAAGTGGTTCCTTTTTCAAGACTTCTGCTGGGTCCTGCGGAGGAAGGGCACCTTCTGGTAACTTGTTCTTCCGCTTGAATTCATTCGACATTTCCACCATGGGCGCGAATTCCACACCCTCGTGCTTTTTAAAATGTTCAATCAACCTGTGTGACGATGGATGTTAGCTCTTGGCTGGAGCATAATAGTCTCTGAGCGAAAGCCTACCTCTCGTGCATCAGTATCACGTGTGGTCTTCCTGAGACATCAGGGTGAATCGAGATTGGAAAGATGAAGTCGTCGTACTCTCGGTACATGTAGTCAAAGTGGTCCCGCCAGATGTCTTCGACGTCACGAGGGTTAACGAATCCATGACTGTTGGGCGCTTTCTTGATGAACATCATGGGCGGCAGGTCGTCAATGTACCAGTTCCCGGGAATCTCTACCAGACCTGTCTCTTGGCCTCTGACCAAAGGTTTCATCCAGTGGTCTGGATGTTTGCTGTAATCGATCTTTGTCCAAGTGTCACCAGTGCGTAGCCAATATGCCTGACAATCATGATGTGAAAGGCTGTGATCATACTCTATACCGTAGTCGAGGAGCAATTGAGCACCCTCAGCGCTCGTTTCCCACCTGTGCAGGATAACAGCATCCGTCAGTCATGATCGAGCTCCAATAACTTCCCGCCAATGGATAAGAGGATTCTCACCAAGGTGCCACGCTTCCTTTGGGCGGTTTCCCGCAAAATTCTGTGAGAAGGCGGAATGTCTTATCCAAGACGACTTTCTGCTGCTCAGGGTTCATGTCCGAGGGATTTTCGTGCGAGTATCCATGGAGACCTATTTCGTGGCCTGCATCACGAACGGCAGCCATGTCTTCAGGAAAGGTTTCAAGCGAGTGACCTGGAATGAACCACGTCGTCTTGATGTCGTGCTTTTTGAACATGGCTAGCAGCCGCTGAGTGCCTATGGTGGCAGCGAAGATACCTACATGAGTTCACACATGTTTAGAGTCTTCCTGCACGAGATACCAACACTCCTCACCTCGACTGATGTCGTTCACGGAATCGTCCCCTCCATATGATCCTAGCCATCCTGCCACAGCATCGACGTCAACCCCATAGCTGATCAAGACACGCTTCTTGCCCATATTGACGGAAATAGAGATCTTCTCAGGGCGGGTGAACAAGATATGAATGTGTCGAAGCTCTTTCCCAGATTTGGTAGAATGTGAGCAAACGTGTTTGTCGAGATATGCTTCATTTTAAAACCCATAGACAATCCCCAATATATGTAGCGACTTGCCGAATCGACCCCAGAAATGACCTCCAACCAGGGGAGCAACCTCAACCGCGAATGCAGCGATGATCTCATATGACGTTCCTCACGGCGTGCAACCGGTCGATGTGACGTCTTCCAAACCGAAGATAGGGTCTGGTGTGAGATTTTCCAGGGGTCTTTATCTTGTTAGTCGACGTGGAAGACCTGGTGGAATGCCTGTGGAAAGCTGGCACCTCTTGAACTGTATTTCTCCGCATATCTCATCTCCGCGCCGTGACTTCACCATAACACTCGCTGCCATTATTGCTATGGGTCCCAACACTGCTACATCCAAGGTTAGACTGTGGTTGAGTAGTTCGTGCCGCTCTTAAAAAATGATCACCGAAGCATTGGTGGTGTCCGAGCCCGGCGCACCGTTCAAATTTCAACAAGTCGAACTTAACGACGACCTTCGACCAGATGAAGTCGCCGTCCGCATCAAAGCCACCGGCGTATGCCATACGGACCTGAACTTCTCGAAAGAGAAGTCGATGCCCGAGCTGTTTCCCGCGGTCCTAGGGCACGAGGGAGCCGGCATCGTTGAGCGCATTGGGTCCGACGTCACGAAAGTGTCTGCAGGCGATCATGTCATTGTCTGCTACACATGTTGCGGGAAGTGCAAGTACTGTCTACGTAAGGAGACTGCATACTGTGACTTGTGGTTCCATTATAATTTTGGTGTGGGAAGGTTGGACGGATCAAAGACATTTTCAGCCACGGCGGATGGAAAGCCGCTTACTTCTCACTTCTTTGGGCAGAGCAGTTTCGCGAGGAATATCCTGGTCTCGGAGAATGGGTTGGTCAAGGTCGACAAAGATATTCCGTTCGAGCAGTTGGCGCCCCTGGGCTGTGGCTTGATGACGGGCGCGGGAGGTCAGTACTATGTCCTTGCAGGATCAGGGACAAGCTGATTCCAAGGTGAACAGCGATGTTGAATGTGATCAACCCAACTTCCGACATATCTGTTGCTGTGGTCGGAGCCGGAGCAGTCGGTTTGGCGGCTATCATGGCGTTGAAAATACTCGACCAGCCTCCGAGCAAGATCATTGCAGTCGATATCGTTGCACACCGACTGGAGATGGCAAGGTCGTTTGGTGCGACTCACACCATCAATTCGAAGGACCAGCCGGATTTAAAAAGAGCGCTCATGGATATCACGAACGGTCGCGGAATTGATGGCGCCATCGACACGACTGGTCGGCCGGAAGTGGTGACGGAGCTGATTCGGAGTGCTGCAAGGAAGGGAAAAGTCGTGACCGTGGGTGTTGGAGAGGTACATTGTAAACCCGTCTGTAAGTTATCCGTACTGACTCGGGGCTATCAGCTTTCGGCAGCGGCTTCGGCCAATATGTTCGAGATGGTGAACACAGGATGTACTTACGTCGGATGCAACCAGGGGGACTGTTACCCTCAGGAATTTCTCCCGAAGCTATTGGGGGCACAGCAGAGCGGCAAGTTTCCTTACGATCAACTCATCAAAACGTATCCGGCCAAAGATATCGAGCAGGCGGCGCATGATATACACAGCGGCAAGACGGTGAAGGCAGTATTACTCTGGGATTGAGGATGAGCAGCCGCAAGGGAATGGCATCTAGGGACAGACAGCGTGCACTCCGCCCCGGAATGGCTTCAGGTGATGCATTTTTGATTGAAAACACTACGCAAGGCAGTATGCTCCATAAGTACTATAAGGGTATGTACATTATCGTCGACTCATCAATCGAACGGAGCCGATGCAGACCGACAAAAGGGGGCACTTTGTCACGAGGCTGACGCTGACTAATAAGGCTGAAGCACAGCCTCGTCTCGGTCCGTGCAGATCCAGCCTCGCCGATGACACTCACAGACATGCCTCATTCTCTCGGTGACCACGCATTTCCAGCCTACTACGTCCTCACACTGCTGCCTTTTGCCTGCCCTTGCTTACTGTATCTAAATCTCTGCAATATAATAGCCCAACATGTCGACCTCAACACCCTCGTCCGCTCCTGACTCAACCTCCTCGTACACAACCATGGACAGAGACGTGGAAGCGATCGGGCGCCACTGCGAATTCGCCTACTGCCACCAACTCGACTTCCTCCCATTCCACTGCGACTCCTGCAATCACACATTCTGTCTCGACCACCGCACCGAGACCGCCCACCAATGTCCTCGCGCCGGCGAATGGGCACGCAGTCGGCGGCGCAACAGCGTCGGACGCCCAACAACAAACACACCCAGTCCAGGCCGGCCAAACGCCAGCAATGCCACGCAATGCAGCGACCCCAAATGCAAGACCTTCATCAATACCCTCCAGAACACGGGCGTGCACTGTCCGCAGTGTAACAGAAATTACTGTCTGAAGCACCGCATGCGCGAGGACCACGACTGCAAGAACCTCATTCCTCTGGGCGCCAGACCGATCGATATCGCTATGCAATCAAATAAAGACAAAATCAAGAGCGGGTTTGGCCGATTGAAATCGTGGACTACAACCAAACAAGATTCGCTAATGCCGAAGCCGAAACCGTCGAGCCGTGCGGCGCAATTGGCCGCGTTGAACACGCTCAAGAAGAACGCCAAGGGCGACGACAAGCTCGAGGCCGAGAAGAGAGTGTATCTGCATGTCGAGGCGGAGGCCGCGAGCACAACGAGTAAATTGCCCAGAGCGGATTTGTTTCTCTCGCAGGAATGGAGCGTCGGGAGGTTACTCGACGAGGCGGCAAAGAGGTTGCAGGTCGCTAACGTTAACAACAGAGTTGAAACGGAGGAGCAGAGGTTGCGCGTGTATCACGTTGAGGGAGGACGGTTACTGGAGTTCTCTGAAAAGGTTGGGAAGGCCTTGATAAGTGGTAACACGGTTGTGCTGTTGAGGGGTGTTGGTCCTAAGCAGACAGAGTCATGATTACAAGGGCCACTGTCTCGTCTTGGTACTAGTGACGGCGTTGTGGCATATCGTACCACTTGTCAGAGCGATTTAGCGAAGGCTGCACCAGCGCCATAATGATTGATGAAATGACCATGGATTTCATTGAAGACTCTCACTTTCCGTCAATGCTGCTTTCCCACAAGCAATCAAATTGAACCTCACCCCGTAACTCCAGACTGTCCAGGTATCGATATCATACACTCATCTTCATCTTGATGCCTCCATGCGGCTTATATCCAAGGACTTCCAGTTGTTCAAGTTTCCACCCGTCCATCTCACCACTGCCTTTGTCGTCCCGCTTGATGTTCAATGTAGGAAACTGGCGTGGTTCGCGCAGTAATTGCTCCTTCAAAGCATCGACGTGATCAAGATAGACATGGGCATCACCCATGGTGTGTATCAGCTCACCGGGAACCAAGTCGCAGGCATGTGCCAGCATATGCGTCAACAGAGCATAGGAGGCAATGTTGAACGGTACACCCAGTCCCATGTCGCAGGAACGCTGGTATAGAACGCAAGAGAGGTGACCTTTCTGTCCCTCTTTGGCCTTGTTGGCCTGGTTGAGAGCTGCTTCACCCCTGGGTGCATCTGGAAAGCTGACATAGAATTGCGCAAACATGTGACAAGGAGGGAGTGCCATTTTGGATAGGTCAGCGACGTTCCAAGCACTGAGGATGATTCTGCGGTCGTAAGGATTGTGTTTCAGTTTCCGCACAACCTCTTTTATCTGATCCACGCCCTTGCCATTGTAATCGGAGTGGCAGTCTTGATACTCGGCACCAAAGTGGCGCCATTGGAACCCATATACCGGCCCAAGATCTCCCTCTTCTCGCTCTGTGAAGCCTAGATTATCGAGGAATTCTCTTGACCCATTGCCGTCCCATATGTGGATGCCTGCTTCTGAGAGTGGCTTTGAGGTGGTACATCCTGACACGAACCAAAGTAATTCGGTGGTGACGGCTCGTAGGAAGACGCGTTTCGTCGTTAGAAGAGGCAAGACCGGTATTCGTTCGGCGGAGGGTGATGAAGGGTCAGGCTTTGAAAGGCTAAAGCGTAGTTGTGGAGGAGCGAATAGTGACAGTGTCCCTGTGCCAGTCCGGTCGGGACGATGCTCTCCTCGCTTCAGGATGTCGCGGATCAAGTCAAGATACTGGTGCTCTTCATGTGAAGAGGTCTCTGCTGAGGTTGTTGTAGGCACTTCTGTTGCAGCGGAGGATTCTTTGGTTGACCCATCCTGCAGATTCTTGACATTCTCCTTCAAAAAGCCCAAAGAGTCGCCTGGCGCAGAAACAGGCTCTGGATCGATAGCGGAAGGTGCCATTGTCGGCCTTGACAGGTAATTCGTTGTTGGCGATCTTTTTGGGCTGGAAAGCGATGGATAGATGCAGACATACAGATTAACGCGAAAAGACGCGACTTTGCGCGTCGCCGGAAAATGGCGTCAGCAATCAAGAAATCAATCTAATCACTCTCATCCACCTCAAGGAGTGTCGAGCAGTAAGTACATTTTACTCTGATGACAACAACTACTGCTCTCAATCCACCTTTACCACGAGCTTCCGCCCGCTGATCCTTTTAGCCTTCAGATCCTTGATACCCTCAGGCACTGATGCAAGCCCGGGGCCGCCATATCTGATCTCTACCGGATGCGGCCAAATCTTTCCCTCCGCAAGCAAACGCTCACTTAACTCGGCAAATGCCATACTGTATTCGAAGTCTTCTCGGCTTGCTGGGTGTTGTTGACCACCCCAGTGCACCCAAGGCTCGCCGAAAAACTAGTACTCTATTATCTGATATGTCGTGACATCCTCGCGAGGTGAGCGTGTAATGCAGATACTCGAATAGACTCCACCAGGACTGGGGACGGACGCGCAGACTTCTGCGGTCGATGAGGTCGAAATGCAGTCCACGACATACCTAAGCTTGCCACGGCCACCTGAATTGTGATCATTAAACGTGGGGATTTCAATAGGGTGTAGTAGTTCAGGTGTCTAAATTCTGGCGTGGAGCAATGGCGCCAAGTTCCTTTCAGGACAAAAAAGACAGTCTCATAATACTCCACACAAGGAATCGTGTCTGTTCGGTACCAAAAAAAATTGTCGTCTGAGTGAATCGAACACTCGGCCTTCAGATTTTGTGACTGTAACTTCAGTCTCTGAAAGAAGTTAGTTTGTGTGTTCCAACATTGTTAATCTTAAGATTCGACGTACGACGCTCTCCCAGCTGACTATTGAAGTTAGTCCGTATGTTTATTATGTCGTAGGATGTTTCCTTACGCTAAGACGACATGATTAAATGATTGACATATTTTGGTGTAAATTGCTTATAATCCTGGAATAAATACTTCTGTGGGTTCGGAGCTACGCGCCAATCGGAGGCCATGGTCAAATGATTCGATGGTGAACGGATGTTGGCGTGGCGGTCGTGTCATTCGATGCGGGGTAATTACGACAAAAGGCTTCGGGGGAGCACCAAGAGCGAGGGTAGCAACTGCCACCGAGGGCACAAGGTTTCCATGATGGTCTGAACCGCCATGTACTGTGCAGAATGGACGACAGTCGGTTAGATCATACGAAGAGCACGCCTTCTTCCGTTCCACGAGCTGACGAGTGCTTTGCGAGGCTGACTCGATATCGCGAGGCCCACTTTGTTGGCGTCCCGGCGCCAAACTACGATGGTCAATGGAAGCCTGTCTCCCTGGCACAAGGTCCAATTGACATTGACATATCAAGTCAACTTTCGGTCGACTTTCCCGCGGCAATGAAGCGCAACCTCGATCACAGCACGGGGGTATCACAGCTTCAACCTATCAATGATTGGCAAACGACGTGGACGTCCTGTATTCAGGCCCCTTGCAGTTGGAACAAGCCGATTTCACCAGCGTTACTAAGTCGTCATTAGATCCTCCAGGACCTTCTGAAAAGTTGGCGATGGGTATGCTGGGGTGCCTGAGGGTGTAGAAACATTTCAGGCGGGATGGAACTCTGGACGAGGTGCGTCGCGCACCACAAACACACCTGATTGACCTCCTGCAATTAGTGGGCAAAGACGCCATCAGTCGCTCCCTTTGCAATTGGCTAGTGGCGACGGATCTATGCCAACCAGCAGTCACTACGTCGCCCAATCTGAGTTTCGAATGCAATGTAACCGAGCGAGCAAATGGCAAAGCCCGCTGTAGCCCTGTTTAATTTCTAGAGCTTTGAGGATGATTGGATCTGTAGATCATGCCTGCGAAGATCTCGGATGCTCTTCTTGCCCATATTGCCTAGCATATTGTCAGTGTCAGCCAGCAGACACCTCAACACGTGCTCAACACCCTGCTGTCCTCGGATCGCAAGACCATACATATACGGTCTACCAATAAGCACCGCTTTTGCACCCAAAGCCAGAGCCTTCAGAATGTCACTGCCAGTACGAATACCGCTATCAAAAAGCAATGTCAGCTTGGAATCACGGACTTTTTCGTCGGCGGCAATCTCAGCAAGGGCGTCGAGCGAAGCAATGGCCCCGTCACATTGCCGGCCACCGTGATTGGAAACGATGATTCCGTCCATGCCGTACTCGATGGCCTTGTGGGCATCTTCGACGGTCTGAATGCCCTTGAGGACGATAGGACCGTCCCACAGCGTCTTCAGAATCTCCAAGTGTTCCCATTCGCGGTACGTTCCCGAGTTCAACACGTCCAGCCATGCTCTAGACTTTTGTAGGACATGAATATTGGCCAGTACCCGAGCGGCGCCATAGATTGAGCCCGGCCGTTTGAGCATGGTCCACAACTCGGCCAGCTTTTCTCCCGAAGTTCGAGTATCTCTTGTCTGCATCTCCTCATATCTCCTGTTGAACACCGGATCAGAGTGGCCGACCTGACATCCATCGCCCCAAAGGAATGGTAAGTAAGATGAATCCAGATCGGTGGGTCGCCACGCCAGATTGAAAGTGTCCAGTGTTACCACCAAGACTTTATATCCGTTCGACTTGGCCCGGTTGAGTAGACTGACCGTGACTTCCTCCCACTGAGGCCGCGGCCAATAGAGTTGGTACCAACGATCGCCATCGCCATTGGCTTCAGCGACCTGTTCAATGGTTCTAGTTGCTGCAGAGGAGAGAATCATGGGGACGCCAACGTTACGGCATGCTTTGGCAGTCGCGTCTTCGGCATCTTTATGCATGATGTTCTGCACGCCGACAGGTGCGACAAGCAGTGGGCTGTTGTGTTTGGTGCCAAATAGGTCGACGCTCAAGTCTCGTCGAGTCGCATTGACCAACATCTTCGGGCGGAGACGATATCGGTCAAAGGCCGCCAGATTTGACAGGTTCGTCTGTCCACTGCTCGCTGAGCCGGAGACGTATCCGAAGTTTCCTGCTGGAACTTTTGAACGTGCCAGCGCTTCCCATTCTGCTGGCTTAGTGGAGAAGATTGGGTCTCGGAGTCCACCATATTTCCCGCTGGTAGGCAGAGTAGTTGTTTGGGTCTGGTTCAACATATGGCTGGTTCCATTGTTCTGGCCGGGTCCTTGCCGCCATCTTGCACAATTGTAATTTCCCGCTTGACTAGAAAGTCGGTTGCAATGTAAGTCGAGCTCTGAGCAAAAGAACATTGGACGTGGAAGCTCGTGTTTGTTGCCTGAAGTGAAGTGCCGAGGTCATTTCGTCGCGCGGTATCGCGATTGGCCACTGATTCCACCACCACTATAGATGATTTAGCGTTCATCTATGCAAGGCTGATCTAGCTTTTACGGGTCTAGTTTGCATCTTAGCGATCACAGGCGATCACAATCGACGGTGACGTAGAGCTTCGAATCTGGGCTGCGTATCGTCTTGCACAACAAGATATTTCCAGGTTTCTGGTCTGCTCAGCTCATTCTTTTCCTTTTCACCTACGTGTATATTGCACGAACAGCCTCCTCTCAGTATCTCGCACCTCAGTCTGCCAATTTCCTCGCATCTCCCATTCTGCCACCCACCATGGCTCACAAGGTGCAGGAGACCAACATGGACGTCGACTATGTGGTTGTTTTCAGAGTACCAGACGACGGTACAAAACTCACCTCCTCTCAGTCCGGCTTCGGTGCTAACACGTTCCAGACAAACAAACCGGGGCCGAACAATTCCAAAAGCTCATCCGTGCCCTCGCCGAAACTGGCCTAGCCACGGAGGTCCGACGCAATGACGAGACGTCCTTGTTCATCTTTGTGAAAGCCGCCGATGAGAAGACCCTTACACAGGTGGTATACAGATCAAGAATCAAGGACTGGCTACATGGCATCCGGCAGATCCAACCCACCCAAGATACCGCCCAGACACTCACCTCAGAACCATTGACCGAAGCTGAAAGATATCGAATGATCCACCACATGATATGCTGTCCGCGTGAGGAAGGTGGAGCTGGTATAACACCCAAGCACGGCGAATGGAAAGCTGTGGAAGCCGTCTTTCCTTTACACGATCATGCCAAGAACAAGAAATGGTTGACCGAGTTCTCGCAAAAGACGTTTCTGACACCGGAAGATCTGGACGAGGTCAGGAATACTATGGGTGAGAAGGTGCGTACAGACAGGCTAAGACCTGACCTGAAGACATATGCTGACCTCTTCAGATTGGCTATTACTATGCCTTCCTACAGACATACTTCTCGTTCCTCATCTTCCCTGCCGCTTTCGGATTGTCCGCATGGGTATTGCTCGGAAACTATTCAGCCATCTACGCCATCGTCAACGGCTTATGGTGTGTCGTCTTTGTCGAGTACTGGAAACGTCAAGAGGAGGAACTGGCCATCCGTTGGGGCGTCAAGAACGTTGGAAAAATCGAAGACAAGAGGAGGGAATTCATCCCGGACAAGGTCATAACCGACTCAATTACTGGTGAACAGATCCCATATTTCCCCTCAAAGAAACGACTGCAGCGACAACTCCTTCAGATTCCCCTGGCCGCTCTCTGTGTCATCGCCCTTGGAGCAGTCATCTGCACCTGTTTTGCCATCGAGATCTTCATTTCCGAGGTATACAATGGTCCGCTAAAGTCGGTCCTTGTGTTCCTTCCCACCATCATCCTCACGCTGGCCGTCCCTACGATCACCAATTACTTGACTCAATTTGCCGAGCGCCTTACTTTCTACGAGAACTACGAAACTCAAGATGCTCACGACAAGGCTATGATCTCCAAAGTCTTTGTCATCAACTTCATTACCTCTTATCTGGGAATCATCCTGACGTCGTTCGTCTACGTCCCTTTTGCCTCTCTTCTTGTACCTTACCTCGACATCTTCAGTCTGACGGTCCGACCATTCGCCGAACACGAAAAGCAATTTCAAACGCCTCCACCTGCTGCATTCACGATCAACCCCAACAGGCTCAAGAACCAAATGATATATTTTGCGGTGACGGCACAACTGGTCAACTTTGCTATGGAAACTGTTGTGCCACTCGTGACACAGAAAGGCACCAAGAAGTACAAGGAGATGCAATCTGCTCGGGCCGAGAAATCTGGCGGAGCAGCGCCTTCGATATCTGCAAACGATCCTCCCGAGGAGAAGGAGTTCCTGACCCGTGTCCGGGAAGAGGCGGCCCTACCAGAATACGACGTCACAAGCGACCTGCGAGAGATGGTCATCCAGTTTGGATATCTGGCCTTGTTCTCCGTCATCTGGCCAGCGACGCCCGTGTCGTACTTTATCAACAATTGGATCGAGCTGCGCGGTGATACGTTCAAACTCACCATGGAAAGTCGACGACCTAACCCTGCCCGCGCCGATACTCTGGGCCCCTGGCTGGACAGTATGGAGTTCCTCGCTTGGCTCGGCAGCATCACCACCGCCGCTCTCGTGTATATGTTCAGCGGTGGCGACGGACCAGATGGCAAGCCCCATGCTATTCGTCTCTGGGCACTTTTGCTCAGCGTTCTCCTTTCGGAGCACATCTTCCTCGTTGTGCGCATGGCCGTGCGCCACGCCATTTCCAAGTTCGACAGCTCGGCCATGCGCAAGGAACGCAGCGAGCGGTTCATGGTGCGCAAGAAGTTCCTTGAGGAAGCGGGCCTTGCAGACGCCATCAAGCCTGTCGCCTCGCCGCCCAATAGTCCTCTCAAGACCGCGTCGGGTGAACAAGCGTTCACAAGCATGATCTCGAGGGAGAGTCTCGAGGAGGATGCGAGAGCTGACAGTCTTACGACTGCCCGTCCGGCTGATCACTTCTGGCACCATCAGCGCACTTGGGCTGAGTCGGAGCGTGTTGGGATTGGTATGATTGACCTTATGGATCTAAAGGGCAAGGGAGAGAAGAAGGCACAGTGAGGTAGTACGGCGGTACTTAGTTGGGAGTCTTTCAAAGAGAAACGAGTGGGATGGTCTATTCGTTCTAGGTCACGACAGTACTGGAAGACTGATGACCATGGAGGTCGTCTCTGACGCCACAAGGCTATGACACGAGGTATACGTATGAGATCAATGAATGATGCATGCATTTGGCGGACCTTCTCCCACAACAGTGACAATGTGGTGCTTCCTCCGTTCAATGTGTCTACAATGTCAGAGCCCAATGGGGAGCCATGTACGCCCTTTGACGGGCTTTTTGATGGGCTTTTCCCGGCAGTGACCATGTAGTGAGTGCTCCTTGATCTCCTTGGTGTGTGGTTAGGGCGAGCTGGCAGAGGTCGCGCCGGAACTTGCTTTCTCGGTCCGGCCACTTTCGCAATGATCGTGTCGTGTGTGAGCGTATTCCCCATCACTAATGTCGCCCATCCAGCGGACAGCTCCTGGGCAGATAGGGCCATACTTTCTGCAAGCTCGTGGTCCATCCATAACGTTCACCGAAACCTAGATGCCTAGATGATCGGCAGCCGTTGATTCTCGTGGTGCCGCATGGGTCGTCAAACGTCTTCCGTCTGCGCTCCCTGTCCACTCAGTCGGTACCCAATATCAATTCGAGATCAGATCCGCCACCAGCAAACCCACTCCTATACCCAGCCGCCCACTCACACAACCAGCCTTTGGCAAGGCATACTCGCCCGCGCAACCACTCTCTCATCAGGATCAGCATGATCATTCTGTACACAAGGCAACCACGACCATTCATCCCATCAGATCCGCCACCCTCGCTCGGTCCAGATCAGACCAGTCAGAAGAGATCATTGCTCTGATCTTTTCGACTTTCCATCGCTCGACAATTTGACTTGGCAGTCCTCACAGGTCTATATATACAGGCTCCCTCCCCCCTTTGCTCTCTCTTTTCTTTTCGTTCCAACACTTTCGCCCAAACAAACCGAACAGGTAAGTCACTTATTCTTAACAAACTGAGGCGCCTCTTCCAGGACAAGCTGGCCTGGTATGCCTCACGGCTACCAGGGCTGTTCGTCGCTGCGGTCTGGAAGAGGCGGGTGGTCGGAGTGCCATGATGAGAGCGCGTAATTTGCTCGACTTTGTTCATACCATGGCCGGGTCCTCAGATTTCATGATCACGTCGTTTTGCTGTTGTTGGCTGACCTTGAATAGGTCTTGCTCGCAACAGAACTTTTCATCATTGTTAAGCTTTACGCTTGGCTTTGGAGAAGAGTGTATCTGAGGTTGTAGTATCGTAGAGGCCGTCAAGTGTCGATTGCTTTCTCGTGGCATGGGTGGTCGTACATAGACATGTCGGAGTAGAGAGGAGGGGTCGTACTGAGGTTGGCAGCGTCAACCGCCGCGGCGGGCGTCGTTCGGCCTATGATCTTTGAGAGGAGGTTCCGGCAATCGCTGCCAAAGAGGAGGTTCCATGTCGTAGTACAGGTAGGTAGTGGTCTAGTAGAGCTCCCTTGTCCTGCGTCCTCCACGAAACATGCACCAGTCGCACTATTCGTCGATTTATGTCAGCCGTCAATCCCTTTCACCTCTTCTCAGGTGGTCAACGTACAGTAAACTCATCGCACCCTGTGTTATGCTGGATACAATACGTGCTCTTGCACCGCTTGCACGTCCGCGTTGATAGCGGTGCACACAGGCTACAGACTCGTCCGCATTCGAAACAGTCGCGTGTCACGGCAGGTTGGCCAGGCGATATTGTGAGGTTTCGGTGCTAGGAAGAAGGAAGGTGAGCGTCAGTCCAGGTACACTCGTAGTCAAAGCGTGATGGGCAGGGACGGCGGGCACTCGGGAGGTGTAGTGTTTTTGGGTAGGAATTTCCGGCGCGATCAATGGTGATGGGATACCCATATCTCTTGCGTCGTCTCAAAGTCATCGCGATTTCTCTTTATCACCTCCCAGCTCTTGCTTCTCTCAACCCCACATACCACCACCACCGGCACCCGCCATCCACTCGCTAACGAGACAATTCTCAACGCAAAGACCATTAAATACCTTGATATGATCGCCACCATTTTCTTCGCTGGCACCGCCACTCAACTCCTCTCTGGATGGCAAGTACGACAGGCCCGCCCGATCCAGTCGCTCCAGGTCGCTGAGCTTCTTCGAGGTCGTAGGATTATAGCAATCGGAGCACCACCATCGGTGACAATTATCGCAATGTCGATTCGTCAGACACCATATGCACGACACAATCAGCCGTTGCGGCAGTATGCTTCCATCGTCCATGACCTTTGTTGGTGGACGTACCGCATCGACGAGTCTCCCATTACAGGGTGGCGGCCAAAGCAAGGGAAACTCGCGAGGGTCGCTGACGCCCCAAACAGGCGCGCCGTGAGGAGCTCGTCCGCAGCCAGCACACCCACCCGGACCTAATGCAAAGGTCGCAAGCGGTGGAATGCCAGCTTTGATCTCCGCCAGATAGTCACGAGAGGCGGGATGCAAGACGGGAGCCATGTCCTCGTGCATATGATCACACAGGATCGCATCGAAGCTGATGATGCCAGCACAAGCGAGGAGTGTTTCCTCCCATGGACTTCGTTGCACATAGCCCTGCACCATGATTCGCCCGCTCGGGGCGTACCACCGGTCTACTCCATCGACGACAAACAGGTCGTCGAATTGTGCAGCCCCGAGTTGCGCGCCTTGTGACGTCGTCACGCCCGAACTGCTGTAGCGCAGTTCGTTTTCTTTTTGTCTAGGCGTCAAAGCAGGAAGAGAAAAGAAGTACAAGCCCTGTAACCGTGGCGTGCCTTCGGGTCTGCTAGGCCGACACAGATGACGGAGAAGTTGTTGGAGTTTGGCCTCGTTGACATTGAGGCATTTGCGAATACTCAGCAGGCGGATATTGTACTCAGGACTAGTGACAATATCATTGATCAGGTCATTTGTGACAGATGACAACCCGTCGAGCACCAAAGTCTGGATATTGGCGAGGACTTTCATTCGTCTCAGATTCGATAGTACACCACGCAATGGTCCGGAAAGAAATTCGTCTTCGGTCAAATTTTCGTCAATCCTCTCGGCGCGCCAGGAATTACCGCCGACGTCTATCCTCGTCAGCAGATTGGGTGAAACATAAGCGCCACGACATTTCGAAAGGTCGACATAGCGAAAGACGCTGGTCGTCCGGAGGAGAAGTTCTCGGAAGGAGTGAGATGTCCTGGATAAGGCAAAGATGGCCGACAGCGGCAGGTATGGGACTGTGTTCTCGAGTATGAGTGAATTCGACAGGAGGTCGAGGAGGGATGTTGGCAAGGAAGTGACTCCTGATGACTCCACAAGAGCCATCTGTTATGGCCGGGTATCAGTCTCGAGTCTTGCTTGTTGAGTGTATTTCGATCTGTAGACTGGTGTCACTGTCAGGACATCGACGTGAAATGACGAACAGACCGGAATAATCTAATACTGTGCGATGTCATGAATGAAGCGATGAATGTAAATTGTTGATGAGGCACAAGACCAAATACGGTGAGAAGTGACGTTAGACACGGACGGCACGAGACCATTCCTTGTTGGGATGTTATCCGTTTGGACACTTCCACACGTCAACAATGATCCGATATTGATGCAATAGTCCATGTAAATGGATTGATATGTTGTTTTGATGTGGAGAGAAATTATACCAATGTTCTATACAGGCATCCGGGCGCATATATATCCGTATAGTTATACCCCTGCTTCGCCACGAAAGAAACCAAATCATAAACAAACGCCTTCGCTCAATGCCAGTCCCAAACTACCCCGTTCACAACTCCGACCGAATAGTATTCCTGATAGTATTCCCAATAGCCAATGTATCGGTGGAATCCGCGCCCATGATAGTAAACGAGGTAAATCCACTGAAGTAAAATCCCATCACCACCACAAGATAGGTCATGACCAAGATACTTCCCTTGAAATAATTGCTCTTGCCTTCTCCAGACATATAGCTGAGCAAGAAAACGCAGAGGATCACCGTCGTCATATCCCATTGTGGGAATATCAGGTTGAAAGTATGGTCGATCAAGTCAGAGGGATCAATAAATCGTCCATGCACTGCTGAGAAGAGCACCAAGGCTGGGATTTGTAGCAGACAGACCTGCAATGCATAAGCCGAACCAATTTCCATGCTCAAAGCAATGTTCCCGTTCATCGCGAAGGAGATGGCATTCAGAAACTCGGTGGTACTCGGCACAAGGGCGAACAAGGTCAGGCCGAGAAACTTTTCGTCAATATCGACCGAGTCCAGGACCACATCCACGGTTCCGACCAGGATTTCCGCAACGATAGCATAGGCCACTGTCGCCGTCAGAAGAATGACGGCCGATTTGGTGCGTGACCAATTCGGCGCGTCATGGCCGCCTTGCCCGCCTCCCTCACCGCCAGGATGAACAGCTTGTTCAACTGCAGGATTCGCATACGCGTCTTGCTCCGTCGCAGCGTTGTGACGGAGAGCTCCTGAGGGTCGGTGAGACTTTACAGAGTCGGCTTTGTAGACATGTGTCGATTGATAGGATGCAGTCCGAGGGTGGTTGACTGCATCTCTGGCCGCAACGGTTGCAGCGGTCGCCGCCATTTCCGCCACTTGTCGCACGAGGTTATTGTTGTCTTCCTCGGACAGGCCTGGAACAATGGGGAGCATAGAGGGGAGCATGGAAGGACTTTTGACAAGCTCCGAACCGTGACTTGACTTGGGTGGTACAACATGCGGCAAATCGTTTTTGTTTGGATGATCAACGGCATGATCAATGATGTGAGTTTGCGACAAACTCTTGTGCGCACCAGAATGTTCTCGCTCGCTCGTAGCATCACCATCGGCAGGCAGCCCAGCTGACCTGAGAGATTGGCCCAAGATCCGTTTGTACAATTGTGAGTCTCTTATGGCCGATCGTGGAATATAGCCATTTGGATTGTGCAAGTGTTGCGAGTTGTTAACACTATGATGTCGAGTATCCATGGGACTCACATCTGCTGTGTTAGGTTGCTGAGGTTTCTTCTCGTCGACATCGGTACTCCAAATAATGGCGGCATGCGTTCGCAGGGTGAACAGGAGCCCGATGATGTACGAAGAAAAGAGCAGCACGGCCGCAAACCAACAGTAGGGTCGCACAGCTTTCACAAAGAACTCATCGCTGATTGCTGGGAGCTGCCGAAAATAGCACTGCCTGCAATCTCTGGGGCTGTCGAGGTCACCAGACGTGCATGTCCTGCAAATCAACTCATGGCTTCCGTAGATTTTGTAGAATAGGGTAGGTCCAAATGCTGCGATGGTGGCAAACAACAGCATGGTCGATGTGGCACCAGCCGACTTGACATTGAACCGTTGCGTTTTGCGTTTGATGGCTCCGAAGCACATTGAGAGACCCGGTAAGAGCAAGACACCAGCGAAGATACTGCCAATGATGCTTCCTTCTACCAGAGCACCCTTTCCTTCATTGAGGGCAATGCAGTAGAGGTAGACTTCGACAATAGTAGAGAAAAATGCATTGATTGCGGCTCCCATGCCCATGGATGATTGGGCCGAGATCGAGGCCACGGCCTGTCCAATGAAGTAAGCCAGCGGGACGATCGAAAGAAGTGCTAGTGTGAACATCAGTGCCGGACTTGTGAGCCAAATGTTGAGCTGCAAGCCGATCTTCAGCACAAAGTAGTCCAAAATGACAAATACCACAACGGCGAGGAAGTTGATGAGAAAGATGTTGGTTCCATCAATTGTGTACTTCCAATATTTCGTACCGACAGCCCGATAGGTGCACAAGAGAATCGATGATGGGTTCGTCGAGTGCCTAGCTGTCGAAGCATCCCGATGAAAAGTGAGCGCTAGAGGTCGTTTCCGAAGGTGATAGAACAAAATGAGAGTGACTCGACCCATAGGAATCCAGAAGACCATCAACCAGCAGGCCACTGAAACCAGAAGTATCAATGGAGCGAGGTTGAAGTAGAAGAAGATGAAAAAGATGACTCTGCCCAAAGTCCATTCACCACGCCCGAAAAGTCGTCTTTTGTTCGATTTGTGCGAGACGTTTGTGTCTGGTCTTTCCATCCTTCCACTTCGAGCCAGCAGGCTGTCGGTTTCGCTGGCTGAATCGATGCTGTTTCGATGGCGACCTACAATGGAACCGGTATGGGTGACCGTTGGACCAAACATCAGTCGACCGTACTCCAGATCTCCACTCTGCCACCGTTCGTACTCGCCAATACTTCGACCCTCACCCTCATCTTCTTCCGCGTAGTTCTCGTCTTGCTCGAGCTTGACGAATTTCCCAAACGGCCAAAAGAGGTAATTGGAAAGCCCGAAGAATACTCTGCCATACGCGGCCGCACTAGGGTCCCAGGCAAAGATGAAGCAAACAACGCCACCGATAGCAGCTGCAATAGCCAACCACCACCCAAAGAAGATGGTCCACAGGCAGTTGAAGGTCCATAGCCAGCTGCTTACAATCTGGCTGGGCGAAGAGTGAATGTCTTCTTCCGCTCCTTTCTCCACGGATCTGTTCTTCTTGTATAGGGCGGGCTTCCATATCCTGATACCAAAAGGGTGTGTTTGATTGATTGCCAGCTGCCGATCTCTTAAGGTGAAACTTTCAGCATCGCTCACGTCTTCATCGTCGTCATCCTCCAAGTCACCATCTGCTCCCTCATCAACACCGTCTTCCAAGGGCGGTTCGGCAGAGGCTTCTTCTGCCGCCTCTTCTGCCTCCTCCTCTTCTCCTGCTGAATCCACACGCGCAAGTGGCACGGCAGCATGAGTCCTTCGACGTACGGTCGACTGCTGACGAGGTAGAGGGGGTATAGTCTGTATAGTGTCTCCTTCCACCTCGGATACATCATCGTCTACTGAGAATTGTTCGCCGCGATGTGGTAATGGTTTGCCTGTACGAGTTGACGTTCTTCGTAATGTAGGAGGCTTTCTCGGTCTGGAGATCTGGGGTGAGAGAGGTGGCATATCTGATACATCATCGTGTCGGTAGGAGCTGCGTGGTCGGTGGGCGCTTGAAGTAGGAAAACTGTTGAGAGTGCCTATATCGCCTGTTAGAGCTGTTCTTCCGCAACTTGGACACTTATTCACCATAGTCTCTACGTATAGGATCCTGCGCAATCGACGTCGTAGTAGACTCGGATCGTCCGTCTGGCGCCGGTCTGAGCGTGGGACTCTTCTGAGGTGTACCGTTGGGCGACATTTCGGATCTGCAACTATTCCACCATGGAATCTTCGTCCTTGTCGTTCCGTCGAATCAAGGTTTCTACCTAGGCGTCGTGGACGTAGGAAGGGCTGGCGACAGCGAAGCAGTGCTCCGGCCAGATGATGCGAAGGAGAAGGCTTGTCGGCGCATCAGATGATACAGAAAGTCTCCAGTGGGGGAGGAGCCTGCATAAGAACGCTGGCAGAACCGATAAGAAAGCAACACACAGTAATAGACGGTGTGCACCAGACAGCACGTCAACAGAGGCACGTGCAAGGATCAGCAAGTCAAGACCAAGCAGGTGATTGTCGCAGAGGTCCGAGATGTTCGGAGCGACGGCAAGAGTGCATGCAAGATTTGGTCGGGCCCCCAGAAATGGATGATGCAGAGGTGCAGCTGGGGGAGATTCAAGAGGTCTGACAATCAATCATGTGAAGAATGATCGAGCCTAGGCCTAGACAGCAAGCCAATTAGGCTGTCCAGGTGGTATTACTCGTTATGGGAGGGTGCCCTAGGCTTGTTTTCAAGCGGTCACAGCTAAAATATTGGGCCAAGTGACAGGCGGCAAGAGCCACCCCCGGAAAACAATCCCCCAAACAAACAATTCCAAACACAGACCAACCTCGTTAAAACACGACCGCTTAGTAAATTGTTAGCTAAGTCGATTTAGTCGCGCCACAGACGCCACACTGGGCTTTTGAGGCTTGTCCAAGGCTGCGGATTAGAGACGCGGCTCTAGCCTTCCATCATCTGCTGTTCATCCACACCTGCAGTCAACATCGATCCGTCCACCGTCGCAGTCAAGACACATATCATTGTACAATCGACTCGTTCCATCCCACCACGAATACACTATGACTCTCGACAATTTCTACCACAACAAGATCGAATCCCTCAAGCTTGAGATCATTCAAGGTCAAGCAGTGCTTCGCCGCTTAGAGGCTCAACGAAATGACTACAACTCAAGGGTACGGCTACTGCGAGAAGAGCTGGGCCTTCTACAGCAACCTGGCTCCTATGTGGGTGAAGTTGTCAAGGTGATGGGTACGAAGAAAGTGCTTGTCAAAGTACACCCGGAAGGGAAATACGGTAAGCCATGATGGCTATTGAGATGCGCTCGCTTCCGTACTGACACATGCGCCAGTTGTTGATGTCGCCGATAGTGTCGATGTTTCCAAGCTCGCAGTCGGAAAACGAGTCTCCCTCCTTTCCGACTCCTACAAACTTGAGAAGATGCTGCCCTCCTCCGTCGATCCTTTGGTATCTCTTATGATGGTCGAAAAAGTGCCGGACAGCACCTATGATATGATCGGCGGTCTCGATCAACAAATCAAGGAAATCAAAGAGGTTATAGAACTGGGTCTGAATCATCCCGAACTCTTCGAATCATTAGGCATTGCCCAACCGAAAGGTGTTCTCTTGTACGGACCTCCGGGAACCGGAAAGACACTGCTGGCACGTGCCGTGGCACATCACTCCAACTGCAAATTCATCAGAGTATCTGGATCAGAGTTGGTACAAAAGTATATTGGTGAAGGCAGTCGAATGGTCCGAGAGCTTTTCGTCATGGCAAGAGAGCAAGCTCCCAGTATCATCTTCATGGACGAAATCGACAGTATAGGATCGAGCCGTGTTGAAGGAAGCAGTGGAGGTGATTCTGAAGTACAGCGGACCATGCTGGAATTACTCAATCAGTTGGATGGGTTCGAGCCTACCAAGAACATCAAGGTCGTCATGGCCACCAATCGACTTGATATTCTTGATCCAGCGGTAAGTTCTTCCTGCCCCTTCCTTGGGTTTTGCTGACAGAATTCGACAGCTTCTGAGACCAGGTCGCATCGACAGAAAGATCGAGTTTCCCCCACCGACAGTCGAAGCTAGGGCCGATATTCTGAGGATTCATTCACGAAGCATGAATTTGACAAGAGGTATCAACTTGAAAAAGGTCGCCGAGAAGATGAACGGCTGTAGTGGTGCCGAGCTCAAAGGTGTATGCACAGAAGCCGGCATGTTCGCTTTGAGAGAACGAAGAATCCACGTCACTCAGGAAGATTTCGATCTTGCGACAGCCAAAGTGCTCAACAAGCATGATGACAAGGAAGTTTCGTTGGGTAAACTGTGGAAGTAGGCCATCTGCTCTCCTAGGTGGTCACTCTCGTTTCTACTTAGCGACCAATGTAATACTATCCAGTGGATTGAGAAGCATAGAGTACAGCTTGGAGATTCCAACTAGCAGTTCACCATGTTGTTCCAGCACGAACATTTCGTGTCTATGGTTCTCTAGTCTATATAAGGCTCTATCTGCGCTCAATGCAAGGCTGATTAATGCGGATACACCATCTCCCCCTCAACATACGACCAAAACTCCTCCACCAATTCCTTCTGTCCCTCCTTCGCACCCCTAACAGCAAGGTATATCCGATGATCAACGTCGACCTCCCACGACCCGGGATTTCCGTCAACCACAATCCCCCCAGCCTCCGTAAGAATGACCCATCCCGCACAAACATCCCAGGCCCAACATCCGCCCTCCCAGTAGACATCCAACGTCCCCTCCGCGACAGCACACATATTCAGCGCAGCACTGCCCAACGCTCGAGCACTATGCACCATCGCCCCGCCCTCGTCTTTACTCTGGCCCAACCTAGCCCACGTATCGCACTTTACTTTCCAATTCGAACCGGACCGATCACTTCCCCACTCGATGATCACTATACACGAGTCCAGACCTGTTAGAGCCTCGCTTCCTTTCAGCGGTAAGCGAACCTCCTCGCCGTGCGTCTTTCCGTCTCGGATCGTAGACACATAGCTTCCCTGGCCCTTGACGCCGGTATATAATTTGCCGGTAAACGGATTGTACACCACGCCCACTACCGGCACCCGGTTTACGGCGAATCCCAAACTGATGCTGATGTAAGGGTGACGGTGGACGAAATTTGTTGTGCCATCGATAGGGTCGACGATGAACGTTGGTTCGGGACCTAGTTGCATGCCTGGCTTGTAGGTTTCTTCGCCCATGAATGAGAAAGTTGGGTACAGCGTTTTCATTTCCTTTGAGATGTACGCTTCGACAGCTTGGTCGGTTTCCGTGACTAGATCGGCGGTGTTCTTCTTCGTGCCGGATGAGGTTGTGGTCGGTGTGGCGCTGGTTATCATCACGCCTGCTTGGAGGGCGATGCTGACCAGGCGGTCCCTCAGGAGGGGGAGGTCTATGTCTGAAGAGCTGGACATTGTGGATGATTGGTTGCTGCGAGGATCAGTAGCTTCGTGGTTGCTGTCGACTTTGTGTTCGGCAATGAGATATAACAGCGTAGTTGAAAATTCGGTGGTAGCTCTGTGACCTTGTATTCCTCAAGAAGCCCACTCCTCGCTCGGCACCACGTTTGGTACTACAGCTGTTCAGCGCAAGAGTGTCAAGTATTGAATTCCACCTTTTTGGAGTTTGTTGACACTATTTCGAATTGGTCTACTGAAAAGACGGTTCACTGCAGGAAGCTCTGATTGCATAGCTTCCGGCGAATCATAGTCCGAAATCTATACACGCCGAACATTTTCCATGCACTTTGGTGGAGGATACTCGCACACCATGCTGAAGAGTACATATTGTATACAGTAAAGGAAACCTTGAACGATCGCTCATTTACATAAGAAAAGGGTGGTCGCTTGCTCAAGAACCATGACAGTCATAACAAAAGCTCCTCCAAAGCTCATGATCCTTCAGACCTAACATCCTCATAATGGTCTGTAATGTCACTTTCTTCTGAGATGATACTCAAAGATCTCCTATGCTCGTGTTCGCTGCCTCCCATCGGTACTGCCATGCCAATAGCCCTGACCCCTCCCGTGCCTATACGTCCGGCTTCCCAAGTCAGCGGTTTTCGTCGTATACTTTGGGTTTCAGGTTTCTGGAAGCCAAATGAAAAACGCCGCACCAAACTGTCCACATCACCGAGTCCGAGACCATTGAATGACATGACAGGATCGTCTAGTTGGCGACGGTACGCCCGGTCCTCGCGTTGTTGTTGACGCCAGTACCCATATTGTTTGCGGACAGGTGGGCAAAAGCGCACGACCAGGAAGAGTACGGCCAAGAGAGCGAGGACTGGGAGAATGACAACAGCAGCAAGCTCTCCTGGGGACAGGTTGCTTGATCTCTTCACCGTAGCGGATGTTGATCCTGACCCTGATCCGCCGCCAGAGCCTGACCCCGAAGCAGTCGCCGATGCTGGAGAGCCCGTGCTCGATGAAGCACTAGCATGTGTAACAGTCGGTACAACAGAGTTTGCTATCCGCGAGGATCCAGTAGATCCATTGTGCGTACCAGTCGACTCGACAGCGGGACTGCTTGGAGAGATGGCTGACGAGGAAGTACTGAAGTCACTGGCGGTCAAAAACTGTGCCGTGGTCCCAGACGGCGTTGAACTTTCCAGTACACTTCCACTTGTCGTTACTGCGACGGTATTCGAACCTCCATTCTGTGTGCTTGTTATAGTTTCTATGCTGCTTGCGGACGTCTCAAGGGCTGAGGATTGTGCCGTGGACGTCGGAGGCACTTGTGCGATTGACAACGTCGTGGTGTCGGCAGTAGTGGTTATCCGACTGCCCGGCGCGGTCACAATGCTGGCCAGCTCACTCGCCACGCTCTTGAGAGGGTTTAATGGCGACAATATGTCCCGGTGCCGGACGGGGATGGCGTGTGCAGCGCAACAAGTCAATTGAAGCAACAACAACAGGTCGAGACGAAACATCGTAGGCCTTGCTGGCCGTTTTAAAGTATAGGCTTAATGCAATGGGGCTGGAACATGCAGACGCAACCGCAAAGCAAAACAAGTCACACAGCTGAATAAAAAGCAGATGCAGGAAAAATGGAAAGTGACAAGGACATCAATAGAAACATTCGTTGCTCACCAGGCGCGTCCACGGCCGTACATATTTGATGCCTGCATGTACCTTGTATATCAGGCTTGCTCGTGGCTTGTATAAGCGAAGATGTCCATTCTGATGGCTGAGTGGTCGTTGGTATCGGAAGAACAACAACCCCAAACGCTGCCGGTTTCAGGTATTTCTGGCAAGGCTGAACATAGTCGCTGGTAGGATCTGTGGATGTATGCTCAAACTCGCGATCGGATAGCAATCTCGTTTGACGGCGAATGACATTTCCCAGTCTGTTCGCAAGAGTCGATGTTTGTGAATCCCTCATGCGACTTGCATAGGTGCTCGTCGAAGCATGTAGCCTCATCCACATATTGAGCATCGATTCACCATGTCCATTTTAGGCAACTTGAGTGCTTAGAATGCTTGACGGATGGTCAATTGGCGAAGCCGACTGAAGAAAGAACTTATAACGCGAGGAAGAAAACAACCTTGGAAAGCTTTGGCAGGTGAGCTGTTGTCGCCGTCCTTCCGGCATCAAGCTAGCCCCTAGCCCCCCGCAGCAGGGCTGGGTTGGCGTTAGCCCATGACGATGCTGCCCCAGGCTACGAATTGTTCATGTTGCAGGTTTTAAATATCACCTCTCCCGATTTATCGAGGTTTAGCATTGGCAATGCGACGACTCCCCGCAACAAGTCAGAGAACATTACCGCAGTTTTGTGCTCATGGAACCTCGAGCAATGCTATCCACCTCCCGTCTCCGTTTGCTTGCGGCAGACGAATCCTTTCTTTTCGTCGAAACTTGTCCTTCTCCTCCATCGATCCTGTGACGATCTCACGCGACCGACAGGAAGTCACTTTTCGCCTGAAAGATGGAAATGTCGTCACACAAAGGATTGCGCCAACACCCAAGGTGAAGAAAGAAAAGCTCGAGGAAGCTCTGTCCTCATTGCTATCGAGTCCAGAATCGGATTCAACCAAGACCGGGCCATGGTATGGCACTGTGGACTGGGAACTTGATCCCTTGGGCGACGCCATTCACAGACATGCCGCTGTGTCATCATACAACGAATGTGATGAGATTGAGCGATTGATCATGGCGAGGGCTGAAGAGATGGGACATCATCCACATATTGCTCGGCTACAGGACCGTGATGGACCCATCTACATGACCATAACGTGCACAACCCATAGCCCTCGAGGCTTGAGTGGTCGGGACGTGAGGCTTGCTGCAAAGATCAACGAGGTGCTATCGAACTTTCGAACCACTGCACCTCTAAATGCAGATGTTCAGGACCATCCCACCCAGGAACAAATCATGGAACTTCGTCGTCGAGCCATTGAGGACAATCGTGAGAAGATATCGGAAGCTTTGGAAAGCTGCGGCTGCGAGACAGCGAAATCTTGAATGAGCCTGGACACCATCCTGCAAACTAACAATGGGTCTTTCCATGTTGATGATACTCCATTGATACAGCGCAACGCTAAACTATTCAATCCTGCGCCCTCCAGACACCTTCCAGTCTATGAATCGCGACTAAACGCCAAATCATGCACCTTTCCATGCCGCAACGAAGCGAGACGTCTAATGGTCGACCACATATGTACAACGAAGCTGGCCGAGACTTCGCCTTTGGACATTTATATCATCCAACGTGGGGTTCAACTTATTCCTCTTTGACAGCAACCTTCTTTTCTCTCAACTTCTTGTCCGATGCACTTCCGGCTTCGGTACCCATGACTGCATCCCACCATCGGAATGAACTGGAGTAGTTACCGAGGAACTTCTCATGGTGTACGTCGTGGTGGTCGGCACCAGCCCAGAATGGGAGGAAATGATGCAAGCTCCAAGGGAACTCGTATCCCGAATGAGCATCGATAGCTTGGAAGAGACGGCCAATGATCCACAAGTACATGGTCATGATATGCAGGTTCTTGGTGAATGCGCAGAAGACGATGGGAATACCGACTGAGCCGAAGGCGAGGATCATGGTCTCGAGTGGCGAAGCATATTCTGCAGCAAGACCGAAAGGCGCACTGTACTGGTGGTGGAGTTTGTGAATCATCTTGTACAAGCGAGGCGTGTGGAGAGCTCGGTGCAACCAATAATGCCATGCATCCTCAAGAACGAAGAACAAAGCGATTTGCCATGCCATTGTGGTCCAGTGGGGGAAAGGAACGGTGCTGGACAGGCCGAAGTATTGGGACATAGGGTGGAAGAGCCAGATCTGGGGGAGTTCGACGGTGAAGTGCGACAGAAGGACGAGCTTTGCGCATGCCCATTGTTCGGAGAGGGTGGGCATTTTTTGCTGCACGTCGTTAGCAGGATTCGAGGCGGGCTACTTTCAATCGACACTTACGCCTTGAATCTTGTATCGGCGGAAATATGGGATCTTGTCCATGATCATGAAAGGCAAACAGCGGCCAAAGTAAACAATCTCGTGCATCATGAAGGACATAATGCCGGTGGCAAGGACGTCATTCTGCATGTACGCGTACCATGCAGCCCAAGCCCTTTCGAAGACATTGAGGTGGACGTTGTATTGTGAGATGTCGTTGAAGTAATCGCTGTAGGTGACGGGCGAGGAAGAGGCGAAGGTGGAATTCCTGTCAAGATTGTATGTTAGTCCCGATCAGCATTTTGTTGAGAATAAGGGCGCGCTCACATTTTGACCGTGAACCAAGAGCTGAGCTCCTGTCTATTGCTGTTCAAGGTGCAGGAAGAATGAGAGGAACACCGGCCGTGGGTTAAATCAAAGAATGAAGAAAGGAAAAGGGAGATAAACCGGTCAGCGGTGAATTCGTGGTCCAGGGAGTTTTCTTTGATTGGGCCTGGATCCTTTTTTAATTGGGCTGAGAAGTGGTGGCATCACTCGGGCAAGGGAAAGGGAGCTGGTCCGGCAAGGGCATCTCCTACACATCCGAAAGGCCCAATGGCGTTAGGTCCAGGTGGGCTGACCAGTGGCGTGTTTTGCGTTCCTGCAGCTCCCAGATCGAATAGAGACAAACTCAACATACATGCCAAGCCGGGACATTTAGCGGGAATGTCCTTCTGCTTCGAGCATCCATCCCTGTCCGAAATCGCATTTCGGAATTGCCCATAGCGTTTCACATACGGCGCTCACCGACAATGACACCGACAACAGGGTGTACTGATCTTTGAAGCAGTCACTATGGTTGATGAGGCCGTCTCTGCAGGTAAGAGCCCAGTGTATGCTGCTGCATTTAATGCCACAGTGTCGCCTATAGGTCAACTTTGTCTGTTCAGAGAGCACTTGACTTGAACAGCCACCAGCATGGCGACACTAACTACCACAACTACTCAGATTGAAGTTACCACATCAGCAAGTGTCGAGCTTCCTAGATCTTCAAGTGTTGTCTCAGACCATGAAGTCCAGTCCAAGCCGAGCTCTCCCGCAGAGGCACGACCGCCGGGATATGTGCCCGTATTACCGGCGATATTCGTCATGTGGGTGGGACGACAAGAAAAGCTGGGACGACCGGCCATCATTCCCGACTCGATTTGGCGCAATCGGATCTTTACAACCGTTTGCATAGACATTTTCTTGGCTTGGGGTGCCGCCAATGCCCGTGAATCCCTCTTCTCCTTTTTCTTTCAAGACGGCCAGCGGCTCAGTGCCACACAAGCCTGGCTACGCTTCCATCCTGCTCCTATGGCCGGACTCATTACGAACGTGTTCATGGGTCTTGCCATACACAAGATCAACGCTAACTGGGCTGTCATCCTGATCCGGCTGTCTCGAGCATTGCACCTATCCTGGCAGCCGTGATGAAGACCCAAGATTCATACTGGGAATATGCATACCCAGCCTTGGATCTGAACGATCCTGGAGCCGACACATTGTTCACAGTTTCCAACCTCGTCATCACTGCGGCATTTCCAGACAAAACTCAGGCGTTGGCTGGGGCAGTATCCTCGCTGTATCGAAGATCGGCCAGAGCGTTGGGTTGGCCCTATGCGCTGTTATTGCAGGAAGTATCACGACGAAGTCACACGACGCCAATAAGAGTGCACCCGCAGCTTTACTGGAGGGCTATCAAGCAGCATTCTGGTTCTGCCTCGCACTCACCTCAACAATACTCGATGTAAGTCTGTGGGGACTGCGGGACATCGGCAAGATCGGTTTTTGAAGAGGGAATAATCAACATACAGAATGCCGTTCTCCTGGCTCCTAAATATAGCAGATACTCATCCCGGGAAATGCTCTACAATGCTTTTCGGTTTGCCAAAAACAGCCTCTCTAAGCCTCTGAGTGATTTTAGGTGCGATCGACCTGCTGTATCGTGACGTTGGTTTAGACGAGCAGGGTGCCCTACTGTATAGTGAAGCATTCATGCACATCCCGCAATCTTCAACCAATCCGCACGAAAGCGTCATCAACCCGCCCACGTGTGCTACCAAAGAAAGGACACTGGCACCAGGTTCCAATGCCTCAATGTTCCGACTATCCGGCACGTCATGTCGCTGACCTCTTTTGCCACAGAATACCTCGTACAAGATGTCGATCGCCTACAGGATTGTATGAGTTATCTTTGGTCACAGTGATCCGACCTTCTACCCTTGGCAGGGCCGCCCAGAGACGAACCTCTTCCATCTCGTACTCGCATTAGTTGGATCTTGAATCTTGAATCTATCCTCATTTCCATTCTTAGTCCATCTTCACCCTTTATATTCATCTTTCAATCTTCGTCTTGTCCTCTCCAGCATCTTCTCATTACACCACGTCTGTTCCGACTCTCTTAGCGACAAAATGTCTGTCAAAGCAATTCAACCCCGCACCACCTCGCGCGCCCCCTCCGTCTACTCCGCCGCCTCAATCGACACTCTCGTCACCCCCGACAACAGCTACCGCGGCTTTCCCAGCCGACAAGCCTACCTCGAGACCCTCCGTGAATGGGCCGAAGAGCAACTCTACTACGAGGCTGACGACCCTCTAATCGGCTTCTACGGCACAAAGACCACCGACGAGATTCTCAGAAAACAAGGCGCCAAGATGCCCGAATTCAGACGTGCCACTGTCGCACAGCTTACCACGGTCAATGAAAGCGAAAGTCTCGGTACCCCCGTCATCGAGTCATCTGCCGACAAGGAGAGCAAGAGCGGGAACAGATTGAAGAAAGTCTTCAGCCGGCGAAGGTCCGCTGCTGTGTGAGATGCCACTTTCTCGCTGGTGACGGCTGCGAATGAATGCGATGAAAAAATTTGACGTTGACGTACATGTATAAATGGGTTGTGTTTATAGATTGCATTTTAAAAACAATTGGTGCTGGATTTCGAGATGGCCAACACCGACACTCATTAGAGATAAGTACCGACTACCAAGCCTTTTGACGAGGGGGAAAGCCTGGAGCACCGACTCTGCTTAACGCCGGCGCCTAAAACTCCTAAGCTATTCTGGTTAGCTTCAGCAATGGCACTGTTTCCTCATGTCAACTACTATCGTTGATCCAAACCCTTCTCTATCGAGGTAGAGTCAGTGCCACAAATGCCAACTGATCAGGTTGTGTAATGATTTGACATTCTATGCTCTTTGAAGAAAACATCCGACTGCACAACACCAGCCACGCTACCCGTCCAGCCTTGTTCCAGAAAAGGTGGCACCGTCTGATAGGCAGTACATCGACGTGTACAGTATCATGTTCCTGGTCAGATTCCTGAATCTTGTCGCCAGTGCAAAGTCCACCGGTGCCCTGAAGTCACACATCGTGGTCTGAAAAAGTCTCGTTGGCGTCGTAGTAGATAGAGAGATCTGTCATTCGCTTCTCGAATGGCTTGATTTCGGGATCAGAGTCATTAGACACATCAAGGTCTCCGTCCAAGCTGTCTTTATCCTCCATCCCAGGACTTCCTGCGTCCGGGATGGCCGGCTCAGCGTCTTCCTCAGAACCGTTCCTGTCGTCCTCCCGAAACATCGGTGGTGCTTCTCGAAGAACCTCCGGATCACCGGGATGCTTGATGTAGCCTTTGGCAAGGAGATAGCGGCACATGTCCACTTTTCTGCTGCGACCGAATATTTCTTTCACTTTCTGGTGACATTCTCGCTCGAACGGGTCACTTCGCAAAACAGATTCTTCCATTGCTTCATAAGCTTCGACGAGTGCCATGGAGTCGTCAGGGCTGGGAAGTGCAGCGACGTCTATGCTTGGGAGACATACGCAAAGAGGTTCTTGATGAGGTGAACCTATACTTGATGAATCTAGCGATCCCAAATCGCGCCATTTGCGCCCAAGTTTTCGCTGAATATAGTGTACCACAAACACTCCGTTCACCTCGAACCACACGACGTATTCGTGGACAGTACGATCGAGTTGATATTGGGGGATGTATCTGGCTATCCTCAAACGATCTTCAAATTCGTCCATGGAGAGTTCTCGAAAAGGGTGCTGCTGCGCCATTGAAGGCGTGGCAGAATCATGTAAATGTTCTTTGAAGTACCCCGAGAGGCTAATATCTGCTGGCGAATAGTGTCGGGGTCGGTCGCTCATGACGAAGTCATGCATTGGCACATTATTGAACATCCTCCAGACATTCTGAATAATGAAATTGGTGGATATGTCAGCATGAGACTCTAGAAAGCGTGGCGCTGCGTAGTCAGACCACGACCAGTAAGCGTTTTTAGGATATGTTGTACATCGAAGGGTGTTCAACATAAAAGCAATCCACGGAGTGGTTAAGATTGCGACCGGACCCCGACCTGGCCAGTATATGTGACTCGAGGAGCCACCGAGCTCAATGAAATGCTCAAGGGTTTTCCTCGGTTGTGGCAGTTGTACATCAGCATCACGAGGGGCAGAAGGATCGTAACGTCGATTGTTAGACACCAAGAGCATCAGGTAATCGAGATAATCGGCCCCAAACTGGCGAAAATCACCGCCTGAAATGTGATCCAGGTATTCGAGATGACCATGTTCGACCACGAGGCCGACAAAATCAAGCGAATGACCCAGTGTCGGACGATCCCCTGCCTCCAAACGAAGTACCCAATGTTTAGCATTTTTGGCAGAACCACTTCCAGGAGCGTCCAGAGTACATGCCAGGTCCAGGCCATTTAGCAAGGGCACGCTGTTGACACCAAGCTCTGCCAGTCGCATAATTTGGAGAAACCTTACTACCTTCATCAAATTCGCTGTGATAATCCCAGTACGAAGAGCAACGAGTTCGGTTTGGAGGTATACGGCAAGAGCTTCAGCACGGGTCCATGGGTGGTGTGATAGGAGTTCTCGGCTGGCTTGAGTGTCGAGAAGAAAGTCTCGAGCAGTTCGATGTATGAGTCTGATCTTGTTGTAATAATATTTTTTGAGCATGTGCGGTTGTCCCGAAGTCCTTGTCGTTCGCATTTCTGATACATCGGTTGGCGTCTAGGTCACGCTGTTCAATTTCCAAGAGTCCAGCGCAGCGCACGAGGACTCTGTGTTCAACCGATTCACACTTTTGCCTTAATTCGATATGTGACGGTAGGGTGCCCAACTCAAGATGCGTTTGTCTCACACCTCGATCCAGTAGCAACAAGACGTCGAGAACCGAACATTTTCCAGCTCCAGTTGATCCAAAATCGTATAATCCCAAACAGGCGAGCACATGGTTCAAGATCAGAGAAGCCTCCGTTCTGTATAGTTTCTTCCCTTCATTGAGTCGATCCCACATGTTTTGGTAAAGTGCCTCGAGATTTCCAGCCACTTGTTGCAAACGGGCTTTTAACTCCTCCAAGTTGTCGTTGTTGCGGATACCGTCAAGCGCAGTCTTGACAGCCAATCTCACCCACAGAAATATACCTTCCGACCAGTTGCTAAGATCTCGACGCAGTCGCGACAACTCGTAATCGTCAACCGCCATCGGGATTCCAGCACCCAGTCTTCGCTCGAAGGTCTTTTCCACGAATAGCTCGATGTCAATTCTGTTCAAATCCTGCAGTCTGAGCTTAGGATATTGATTGAGCCTTTGTCTGAAGATGGTCTCTGGCCGGCTGGATACGCAGAACTTGATATTCGACTTTTGCCCGAGCGTGTCAATATGATCAAGAACCTCATCTTGACTCCCGGTACCTTGATTGCCACATTCATCAATCCCATCGACAAAGATACAATAGCTGTATCCAGTAGCCTGGAAGGTTGTCTTCAATGCTTCCTCCAATTGCTTCGGGGACCAGTCGCTCTGGGACCGTTTTTTCTTCCACTGTGGGTGGTGTTGGATGAGAGCGGTCACAACGTCCTCATCTTCCATCCATGCTTGATGCAAGATTGTGAGTAAGTATCCCTTTGGTCCTTCTCCAAATCGCTGCCGGCACTCCAGAAGAAGTGACCTAAGATCCTGACTTCTTTGCCCTTTGTCCAACGAAGCAGCTCTCTCATTGTCGCATCATGTTCGATGAGGAATTTCATCAATGTGCTCTTGCCACTACCAGGCTTGCCGTTAACCCAGTATAGACCGTTCCCAGTCCGTAGCCAGACGATGAAGCAATCCCAGTCGCCGGTAACCTTCTCGACGAGCAGGTGCTCAAATGTGCCTTCTTCAATTTTGAGACTTCGCGAACTGCTTCGCGAATTCATGGCTTCGAAAGCCAGGCTGTCAAGAAGCCGTTCGTAAGTAACGCGCCTTTCTGCCGACGTTGCTTGCTCGCTAATCACTTTACGCGTTACGCTGCCTTCGTCGTTGACAAGCCCCTTAAGCTCGGCGACATCACGTCGGATATCGTCAAATGATAGGTGACATTCGTCGCAGAGCTTGTGTAACTTCTCCGCTTGTTCCTTGGTGAGAGCCTCGCATCGACGACTGCATGTGTCAGTACGGAGTATCACCATCAGGTTTCGAGCCTGTTTCCAGAAAAAGGGGCACCGCCTGAGCGCTGTAGCTCCTCAACTCAAACCGAGATTGGTCCTGTTGTCGTTCCGGGTTCATCGCACTTGACGATATCGTGTAAGCTGGGGTCACGAACTTCCTACCGTATACCCCTACTGTCCTGAGTCATGGCACCAGCCGTCGCGAACCTGCTGGACCTTGTTCTTATATGGGAGTACATCGTCGGTGTACTCCCTCTCAGACGGTGTCACTTTCTCTGGAAACGGGCTCGGTGTGGATCCATATTGCAAACTCACCTTTTGTTTACATTGTGAACAAGGCCAGCAGTTTGAAGCAACCTCTGGATATCATCCAAATCTTTCTCAAGGCGCTTGATATCTTCTTTTTCCCATAGTGTCCTCACTGCTCGTTGCAGCTTTTTCCTTCGCCCTCCCTCGGACTTCATTTTCAGGTCTATCAGCTTCTTGTGGAGGTCGTCTGCGATTCAGTAACACGTGTCTGCGATTTCATTGAGCTGTTTGTCATCGTCCGTGGGCAATGCGACATTGTGGAGGTCCCGTAGTCCATTCAAGGCCAGCGTTAATTTCTGTGTCAAACTGTCGAGGTGTTGGTTAGCAGGAGTGGTGCCGTCTTTGTATATCTGATACACAGCCTGACCCGTTTCGTAACACCATTGGACGGCTTGAACGACATTGCAAGCCAAGGCAAAGGCACTTGCGGGATCCATCCTTCTGGCAGGAGAGATAGGGCCAAGTAGAAAAGAGCAGTCTTAGGACCGCTTCGCGCCTGCGGGGTGGTCTTCTCGTGTGGAGGTATTCAACGGTCGAAGGGAAAGGTGATGCCACTCATTGACTTGTGGCCAGACGACGCTTGAATATGCAAGTCAAGCCTCGTCTGAGAGGACGTCAAATGTGTTATTCTCCTAGTAGAGCTGCGCATACAGCTCCAAAAGTATTAAGCGATAAAAAATGCGGTAAGCACGGGCGAAGTAAGAACAGTTGAGAGACCCAGAGGTCCAGCCGCAAGGTTCAATCGATAAGGACAACCCGCGCGGCTGAAGAGTCAGTGCCAGAATCGAGAAGTAGGGGCCAGATTCTCTCGACGACTCCAATGGAGACACGTGTCGACCTGTAGACCTAGAAGCTGCATTATTGACCGGGATACTGTTGGTGTCTCACAATATCTCAACCCTGCCTTCTGATGGTGTCCCCCTCTGTTGCTCACCTTCAATCGTAGCTTAGATGCAATGCGGGATTGGAACAAACCAGGAGGCTGTAGTCCTTCATGGTAAGAAGGCTTTGGAGTTCCTTTGCGGCTGTGCTGTCGCTGCCTGGCGGCAAACCGTCCAAATCACAAAGTAATCAGCCTATCATGCTCCAGGCTTTAGGAAACGCCAAGCTGAAAGCAATGCCTCCAATGCGAGGCACTTCATGGTCAAAATTGCCGGAATGTGGCTGTGGAAAACCAAGGAGGTTGGTCAGGCCTGACCGCGTCACGCAGATAGAGGCATGATTGCAGGTGGTAGTGTCATGCACAGTGTGAGCGGAGGAGAGGTGAGAGAGAAAAGAAGTGAGGTCAGCTAGCAATATGGACCTGTGTAATGTGGGGTGGATCGTCAAGTTTGGCTTAAGCATAGGGCTTTCTCGGCTTGCGGCGTCCGCCACGAGAACGCCTAACTTAATTCAAGCGGTTTGGTGTTCCGTAAGGCTGCCGCAGCAGTGCCGCCACCGCAGGGCTTGCTGGCCAGTGCCACCTAATGAATAATGATTTGGGATCTCCTCCCATGCCACTTGGGCTCAAAAAGGCACGAGTCGTGCCCCATATCAGTCACACTAGCGCTGAATAGTAGGATCTTTAACCGCCCATCTCTCCAAACGGGTGACTCGTTCACTATCGACATCATATTCTGTCTCTGAAGGTGATCGAAAAGGGTTTCATGAATCGGCTGTACTTGTCCACCGGTTCGAGAATATACTCTGGGTCGTCGAGGCCCATCTACCCATAGGTGTGATTAGCCGTGGCCGCCTGTCACAGTACAGGCGATACTCACATCGAACTCCAGCAACAATCTCGGAATGACCTTCTTCATCTCCAACTCCGCGATATGCCTCCCAAGACAGATGCGCTTTCCAGCGCCGAAGCTTAGCATCGTCCTTTCCATCACAATACGCTGATGCTCATCAGCCTGCAACCACCGCTCCGGCCAAAAGAAGCAAGCATCCTCCCCATACACCGTTTTGTCGCGGTGGACGACACCCGCGGGAACAGCAACAACTGTACCGCCGGGTAGCCATCTTCCAGCTATCTCGGCGCCGCCAACAGGAACGACCCGTTCCAAGGGACCTGCCAGAAAATGATAAAGGCGCATCGCCTCTTTGATGACGGCAGCGAGGTAGGGCATCTTGTCGGTCTCGGTATATCGCGGCGGATTGGACAGCTCGCCGGCTCCCAGTGCTTTGTTCAGCTCGGCCTGCACTCTCCGCATCGCGTCAGGTGTTTTCAGCAGGAAGTACAGGATGGCCGTCATCGTGAATGCCGAAGTGTCGAACCCAGCGGAGATGGTAGACGATATCATCCGGCGTAGCAAGTCCATTGACACGTCCTTGTGACGATTGGCTCCCTCGATGTACTTCGACAAGAGATCCTGCTCTTTGACTGTCTTGACATTCGAAGCGATCTTTTGACGGGTGTGCAGCTCTTCTGTGGCCATGGCAGTCCAGAGTGGTGGTTTTCCCGTCCTTCGATACCACTCTTTGCAGAATGGCGACTTGTAAAACACTCGTTCGAGCGTGGGCATGCTTTGCCATTTCGTCCAGTGGGAAAGCCTGGTATGTCCGGTAAGCTCGCTCGTGGATTTTCTGGCGGTCAAATAGTCCGTATTCCTGCTGAATGCCGCTTTCATCAGGAAGTCGACCTGGAACTGCTGCATGAGAAGGAAGACGTCCGGGCTGCGGGCCTTGCGGAGTGTTTGGATGAGGTTCTCAGTCGTATAGTCGACGTCGGCCTCGTAGTCCAATATGTTCTTGATTGCAAAGGCATTGCCCACGGCTCTTCTCAGTGCGGTGTTTTCGGCTTCGTCCTGCATGTCAATGACACTTCCGGCAATTTTTCCATGCGAAAGCACTCGGAGAGGTTGATAAGAATCGGCCTTCAAACACGGTGTCAGCTGTGGATATGACACTCGAGGCAGTGGACTTACCTTCTTGAACTCTCCGTGCATCGAGTAGACCGTGCTCACCGCAGCTGAATCAGCTATGATCACAGTGTTTGGGCCGATGCGAAGGAACGGCCCATATCTCTCATGCCATTTCCCTATGGACTCGTTGAAGCTGCCATACTCTATCTGGTAAGTCCTCCAGAGGTCCGTGATAGACGCAAGGAATGGTCCTGGGATTGACCGTAACTTGGAATACCTGCGTATGAGTAGCGCTGTCAGGAAGAACGAAACACACCAGGGGAGAAGTGATATGGATAGCATCTTGCAATTATCGTCTCGTGAGAAGCAGTCTTCGAGGTACATCTGGCATGGATGATAGGGTTCATGATGTCGGTCGTGTCCGTCCGCTTTATCTTACCTTCAGTATGTGTAGGTTCTTGAGATGCTGGCCGCCTGATCGGCGATTGGTCATGTCGTGTTGCCATCAGTGTTGCCATGATCCTGCGATCTGTCTACCTAATGCAGTTATCCATTCGATAAGCTGACCGTCAGTCTTTTCATTCCATTGCACTGCTCGTACGGGTTGCACGTCTCAAGGGGCGTCACTGGCGGCACGATTGTTTGCACTCGGTCTGTGATAGCTGAAGTAGAGAGAAATCTCTCCGCGTTCTGCGCAAGGGCCACAAGATTTGATCTAAGGCTTGACACGCCTAGCATGCTGTGCCAGGCTGTACTGTAAGCTGGCACTCTGTCACCCATTTGTAGAAACTCATATTTCAAGAACCCTTGTGATGTGGTGCTCATCTGATATTGTTGCTATGCAGGATTGAGTTGAGGTGGAAAACCCCGCGACACTGCGCTCATCGTCACTCGACCAGGCTAGGCGGGCCCCAAACCAACCAAAACGTCCAAGAAGATGGGCGTCGAATTTAGGCGCTATTCCCTAATCCCCGGGGCTGCCGCAGAGTTTCGATCTCGATTTCCGTCCCTAAATCAATCAGGCGAAGATAAGCGAAGTTTGGGATTCCACAACTGATGCACTTGCAACGGCGCGATCGATGCCTTCATTCGCTTTGTTTCTGTTTGCTGTTGGTATCATTCATTCAGCATTTTGATGCAATGGCTCCTTCCTAGGTATATGTACAAGTTCAGCCTGCGCGTATGAAATTGCGGTATCCGGCCGCAGTCATGGACCCTCGTCAGACGCTCCTGGTCTGGCGTTGTCACCAAACCCAGTGGTGATTCATGCTTGATTGTCCCTTGCCTTTTTCTGCTCCAGCGTCTTGACAGGGCTGTCTCTCGGATCTCTCGTCTCGTTGTGCGTGCCTACCTCTCTTCGTTTCTCCTTGATCTTTGTGTGCTCGGAAGCGGCGGGCTTGTCGGAGTGGAAGATGTAGTAGAAGGGGAACAGAGCAATGAGGCCGCCGACAGCGAATCTGCAAAACGGGTCAGTCAAAAAGACAGGCAACTCCCCCCCGGTGGCATCTACTCACAGTGGAAGTCTGCTGTTCTTGTCCTGGGCTTCGGGTCTGGAAGGAGCTGCTTTCTCACCGAAACGAGATCTTGTCGTCTGGAAAAGGCGTCGCCCAGCAGGTTGCAGCCTCGCGGATCTGCAAGCCTGCAAGGCTGAGGCGCGATGAAGTACTGCGGCGGATTGCATTTGGGGATCAAATCTGTTTCTGTGTGCTGGGTTCTGTGTGAAAGGTAGATAGAATCAATTCTGCCGAACTCGCCAAAGACCAAAAGTTAGGTCTATTGCCGTGACATATACTATGACATTCAATATGTCAAAATTTGGTGTATTCGTCCTTTCCGGTGACTATGTCAGTCATCGTCGTCATGACGTTAGTGCATTTACATCACTTTGGAGATCTGACTTTGGTTTGACACCTATTGAAATGGTCCATGCGCCCAGGGGCAGCATTCCCCAGAGATCGTAGCGGACCCTACAGAAGGCTTCGATGCCAGTAAGGAGGATGTATGCATCGACTAATGTGCCCTGTTCGGTCAGCTTTTCCGCATCCCACTTTTGTCGTTTCTGTCTTGTCCCTGCACAACCCATCCACTTGTTGATGGAGCTGGACATATGTGAGGACGGGAATCGCAACGAATCAGCGTTGATGCCATGCTCAGATGTCCTTCAGCCAAAAGAGAAAGCTCGTTAGAGAGATGCACAGTCGCCGTTCTTGGATTCGACTTCGACCTGGCGAAGATTCATGCTATACAACGGCCTCATGACGCTTAGGGTGCAAGCAGAGTGATCCGCCAGGTGTCCATCTGAACTCCGAAAACACAAGCCTTCAAATCTATTCATCCTGTTGTCAAAAAGCTCTTGAATTGCGCCATCATGAGCAACAGCGAATGTGCCAAAACTTGCAACAGGCGCTCGCCAAGACGAACCTTATTGATAGTTTATAGTCGCGGAAAAATGCCTAATTCTCGTGTCAAATGATGCCTAAAGGCCCGGTTCGGTAGCTGTGAGTTTTACTTCCCGCAACCTCTTTAATATCGTGCTCCACGACGAGGTCATTCCTTGTAGGTTAAAATTCTAACAAAGAAAAACAGCAGTGGTAGAGCGGAAGATTGCAGTCACATGATTCGAATATCTTCAGGTCACGCGTTCGAACCGCGTTCGAACCTTTGGTATTTTTTTTTATTTTCTCGCAGTACAGATAGTATCGATCGGGCTTTTTCGCGAGCCTAAGTAGGTACATGCATCCATTGTTCAGATCATGAAACACACTCTCAAGGCTACGAACGACATGTTGCTCTCGCTGGCGCCTAACCCTTCCCATAAAATAGGGTTGCTAATTCTGCCTGGACCTTATGACCACTATCATATCTCCTGTCGGATTTATTGATTTCGTTAAGCAACATCAAATAGCCGTATGGGGATTTTTGCTGGATCACAAACGTGGATAGTCGGCACGTAGATCGTAAAGACTCGAATGTCTCTGGGGATCTCCTCAGGACTTTTGCGTGGAGTCTTTGACCTTATCCAATGTACTTTCGTTCCGGCCCCAACAAGCGGCCCGGATGCTGTTCCTGGCACTGATGACATGGCTCATACTTGCGGAGAGTCGACCGCGCTGCTTCAGAATGCACAGCTTTCACGAATTTCAAGCCTAAGTCTGATCTGGATGACAGGTAAGTCCTCAGTACTTCCGATTTAGTATCAGTTGGCGAGGGCCACGTCTACAAGGACCCCGCACGAGATGTGTCGTCCAACCGCGTGGGGATTGCGCGATATCGTGGGTGATATACGTGCTTGCCAACAAGACCTTATCCCCCTTCAAAGATAAGATTGGGGAGACATAAGAGCAACGCAATCGCATCTACGTAGCCCCCTTCAACAGTTTTGTTACATTTTCTCTGGTGAATTTGCATTGCAGCACATTGACCACCATGGCACCCAGCGCAACCCTGCCAGTTGATTCCCATTCGCCTCCTGACGGTTTCATGGACGATGCCACGACCAAGAGCAGGAACAATGGGCCATTGAAAAAGAGTGGTGCACTGGACTCTGCATTTGACTTCGAGGAAGTCACTCCGGTGATCGGAAGAGAATATCCCACGACCAATATTGTTAGTGACCTGCTGGAGTCGTCTAATGCCGACGAGCTGCTGCGTGATCTTGCCATCACTATCAGTGAACGTGGCGTCGTCTTCTTCCGCAGGCAAGACAACCTCAGCAACGAACTGCAGAAGAAGTTCATCCAGCGTCTGGGTGAGCTGAGTGGGAAGCCATCGACATCAACGCTGCATGTGCATCCTGTCCTGAACGACTCAAGCGAATTTGGCGTGGGCGACAATGAGATCAGCACCATTTCGTCGTTGCAGCGGAAGAAGTTGTTCGGACCCGCTCCGGCCAACAAGCGCAGGTACGACGCTGCCCAGTGGCACAGCGACATCCAGTTCGAGACATGTCCAGCTGATTACACGAGTCTGCGACTGGTGCAATTGCCCAAGACTGGGGGTGATACCTTGTGGGCTTCAGGTTACGACATTTATGATCGTTTCAGCAAACCTTACCAGAAATTCTTCGAAGGACTGACTGCCACATTCATTGGCGATGGATTCATCAAGGCCGCCGCTGAGGGCAAGACAGTCCTGTACGAAAAGCCACGAGGCTCACCCGCCAATGTTGGCGGTAATTTGTCTGTCGTTCATCCTGTGGTGAGAACCAATCCAGTCACAGGTTGGAAGAGTATTTATGGCCTTGGGACGTTTCCGAAATACATCAATGAGCTCAGCAAGGATGAGAGCGATGACTTGCTCAAGAAATTTCATGATGTGATCCTGGGCAACCACGACCTGCAGGTTCGGTTCAAATGGAGGAACTCGAATGATATTGGTAAGTAATCACACTGCTCCTTTTCGGTGGGTACTGGAGAGTGAGAATGAAGCTGACATGTCGTGACCAGCCATTTGGGACAATCGTTCTGTCTTCCACTCCGCAACTTTCGACTACGAAGGTCTTGGTGAGCGTTTCGGAAACCGTGTTGTGGGCATTGGAGAGAAGCCATTCTTCGACCCCAACAGCAAGTCCAAGGCTGAGGCTCTTGCCGCCGAGGCTAATGGAGTCGAGTGACGAGGTGACCTTGCCATCGGTTCTCAGGTCGGGTTGATAGAGAATAGAAGAAACCTTTCGCCCCGCCAGGGTGTGCTGTAGCTGCAGCTGTCTTATTCAAGCAACGATGACTGGCAATAATGCGCCACCCACACATGCATCAAATTCCATGCCATGCCGAGCGCGACATTTGACGCCACTTGCCTGTTCCATGTTTGGTGATACCTCCCGTAAGGCCCCTCTCATGGTAGCCATGCCATTGGAAAATTGTCGACGTCGAATCCAATCTGGTAATTCTTCCCGGGATCATGGCTTTAATGTTAGTCAATACTTTAGCACACTCATCACCCTAACTCCGTACAGCAATCTGTAACCCAGCCCATGCGTTCATCGTACCTCGTAGGGGAGGTGGTCACCTAAGAATTGTACCAGCAACTCGGATGATATTGACCGAACCGGTGGAAGTGCTGGAGACTCCTCTTGGTCTGCCCTCGGTCTGCGTACTTTTGAGTTATGACTGATCCAACCTCGGTTCTCGGCTGATGGGGTTGCACAGACGTTGGTGAACATGACAAGCATTACGAGCAAGTAGATGTGCGCAAAGTGGGAGCATCGTCGATGAAGAGACATAGCCTAGTTTCAGGTGCTACTCGTAGTCATAGCCAAGGAAACACCAATTGTTTAGGTGGTTTTAGCTGCTGCATGGCTGCTTGAGCCCAAGACGATTAGCTTCCCTCGCCGCTAGAACCACAATCGCCAAGAATCTCGTGACGAAGAAAACGACGTGCGGGGAATCCGAAATTGAAAGTGATTGTGGTCCGTTGGAACCTTTTCTCTCTTTACGATCCCATTTTACCTTTGCTTTTCACATACTTCAATGGTCCAGAACGTGTGCATTTTGCCAGGTCCACCAAAAGCTAGTAGGTACCTTTTTCCAAATCATTTTATCTTCATGATTTATTCCAGGCCAAGCCAGGTTTCACTTCTCGTGGGTCCCAGCCTAGGCAAGACGATCGGGACCTTTGTCCGCGAATAATTGCCCTCAATGGACCTCGCTTGAGGCCGAGTCTACGCTAGGGCACGCCTGAAGCGTTTCTCCGCCAATTTCGACCCTAATGATGCCAGCCAGCCCAAGTGCGCAAATCCGTTTGAGAAGCTGCTGAAGAATGTCAGGGATAGATGCAGAAACTGATGCAGGAAATTTCCCACTGTCGCACTGTGTCACCGAAAGCAAGGTTTTTCGTCACTTGCTCGACTCGGTGTTGTTGTCTTCGCAAATGTCGTTGCAGGAAAGTTAAGCTGTCAGGTGTCAACCAGATAATCCCAGCTGCAGATCAGGCATGACAGCGCAAGCCCGGAGAGATCTGGAAAGACTCTAATCCCACATGGCACGAACCGTCAGCCAGCTTCCACCTTCGCGTTTATTGATGTCAAACTCAGTCTGGCCAATGTTTCCGAATACAGTCCCAGTCCTACAGTATCCATCAACTTCTGCACACTCAGCACATTTTGGCCTCAAAGAGTGCCCAAGACGATTCCGAGCTAGGTCGCTTCTTTGAGCCGCTGTTGCAGTGAAGCTGCTAACCCTGTCATATTAGCAGTGGAGATATTCGGCCCAATATCGATTGACGATTTTCGTCCAGCCTCAGTCTATGACCCGTGTTCACGAACAATGGCTTCTTTTTCTGCAGAAACTCGGCCTAGGGTCAGGGGGAAGTGGAGAAGAAGCTAACGGCAGAACCCCCGATTTGAAAGAAAATCGGCCTAACTTAGTAAGACGGGGCGATCTATGCACATTATCATAGGATTGAGGTTCGGCCCACAGGTTTGTGTTCCCCAGACCACAAGTCCATTCTTCATCAAGTTGTTCTAACTGGAATTGGTTTCCGCATTGCACCAGCTGGCCAAAATTGCACAATTGAAACTCAAGCTGGTCCTGCATCTCACACAGGGATGTACCTGGAATGATCCGGACTAGCTGGAAGCCAAAGCACCAATTGGGATCTCCACAGCCTCGCCTCGATGACTACTGAAGCTCTCGGTCGACGGGTGGATGCGAGACGACGACCGAGACACGGCATGTCTGGCCAGGAACTGGCGCCTTGCCACCGCCAACGGTCACAAAGCCCCGTGGAAGTGTTCTCAGATCCGGGTCCGGCCGCATAAACCGCTGCAGTACAAGCAGGGACAGCCATCATGAAGTCTAATGACCCAGAACGTGGCCGAAACGCTCAATATGCAGGTGGATACTGGGTGAAATCCAGTCAATTTTCTGATCAGGGACCGAGGAGGAATAAAGTCCGCCCCTCGACAGGTGTCTCACACTCCAAAGCAATTCTCCTGCTTCCTTGCCCTCCTTCTCCCGACTCGCGGCCTCTCCGTGGTGCAACAACTCGGGTCATTGAGTGCGGGCAGGAGTACGACAAACGCCCTTCAGTGAGACGCATCTGCGGTTACGATCGTCGCCATGGCACCAAAAAAGGGCAAGGAGACTCTCCTTGAGCTCTGCGGGATAGCGATGAATCAGGGAAACAGTATCGCGGTGCGCATGCTCGAGTATCTTGGTACTGTCAAGCACCAACCTCACGGCTTCACCCACCTTGCCAGTGACTTTCTCGATGTGTCCCGCATCCTGTGGTCCATCGAGGCGGGCTTACAAGAAGCAGCCCGCGCCCGCACTCAGTTCCCAGTTGATATGACGAAGGAGCTCGACAAGAGGTTTCGCCAGACCAACGACGACTTCATCGTCCTCAACCAGATGCTGAGCAAATACCTCGAGTATGAAAGAAAAGGCAGGCTCGGCAGATTTCAAAGAGGTTGGCACAATATGTTCGCGGATGACGACATCCACAAGCTTCGCGACTCTCTGGGGAAAAGCCAAGACTCATTAAGAATGAGCGCATTGGTTTTCAGATGGTCGCTCGGGGAAGCAAAGGTCGATTCGTCCATTGGCATAGGTTATACCGGCCTTGCAGCTGTTCTTGAGCGCATGAACCCAAGCAGCGCCGCGTCTTTCAAGTCGCCAGTGCTGACACATGTTCAACCACTGCAAACACCAGCCTCGGACGTGCCAGACCGCTTGCCACCCCTCCCACCCATCACGATGGTCTCTGAAAAGACAGCGAATTACTCCCTTTTCCCACGAGTCGAGGATTCACTAGACTCGATGACAACCGCTGTCGAACATCGTAACAGCGAGCAACAAAGCCTCAAGGCACTCCCGAGCATCAGGTCCAGCAAATTCACTGCCACCTCGGCAGCTAGAGAGCTAGGACTCTCACATATGGACACTGCACATACCGATATTGTCCTCGAGGACCATTTGTCGACAGCCGAGTCCTTCACTCAAATTGAAGATATGATCTCGGAGATCGAGTTCAACGAGAAACAATCGACCAAGGTGGTCCGCATCAAAGCCGATCCCTCCACTGTGCCGCGATGGACGCCGAAGCAAAACACTGGCGCCAACTCCGCAGCCCTCAAGACAGCTTTGATCAGTGCTATCCAGCAAAGGAAGCACAAGATGGTCGAGCAGTTACTGGATTGCGGTGTGCCTCCAGAGAGTGGGCTGGATGTGAATGTCCTGCGGGAGGCCGTGCTGAACAAGGATGCCGAGAGTGTTCGTCTCCTGCTTCTCTTCGGCGCCGACCCCAACAGCCTGGATAGGAACGGCTCTACGGCCCTCTTGGCAGCAACAGAAGTAACCTTCCTCGAAGCTGCAAAACTGTTGATGAAGTATGGTGGCGACCCGAACTTAGCGGCTGGCCCCGACAACATGGCGCCACTGACGACCGCGGTCACCGAGAACAAGGTCGACCTGGTTCAACTTTTCCTGACTTATGGCGGGAACGCGGACTTGACCACGACAGATGGCAACACCCTGCTCGATGTGGCTATCAGCAAGACCGTGCCAAAGAGATTGGTGGAACTTCTACTCGTTTACGGCTCGGATCCCAACGGCAAGAGCAGAGTCGGAGAGACACCTTTGTTCTGTGCCATTTCCGTCGGAAGGATCGACTTGATGACATACCTGCTCGATCATGGCGCTGATCCCAATCTTCCTGGTCCAAAACACCCATTGTGGCCCTGCACGTATCAACCCAAAGCTCTACAACTCCTTCTTTCTCGTGGTGGGAACTACAAGAAATGCCCGGGAATTCTAGAGTTAGCCACCAGTATCAACAACATAGAATCCATCACCATACTCCTCAAGGCGGGTGTCGACCCCAACGCAAAGAAAGACGGCACTTACACGCCTCTGTGCTCGGCCATCCGCGATAACCGCGCCGAGCTAGTCTCGCTGCTTCTTGCAAACGGTGCAGACCCCAACACCATGGCTTCCGAGTATCCCGCCTTCAAGTGCGTGACACACCATCGCACATACTTGCTTCCACAGCTCGTCGCCGCCGGCTCCGACCTGCACCATCCAAAGGGTATCATCGAGAAGGCCGTCGCACACAACAACAAGGACGCGTTGATGTACCTGCTCGAGCAGCAAGTCAGTCCGAACGACCGCTGTCCTGAAGGATACACCGCGCTTACCACGGCCATTCGCGAAGACCGCATTGACTTTGTGGACATCCTGCTCGCCAATGGCGCAGATCCAGGCATTCGTGGCCAAGACTGGCCCATATGCATGGCCGTCAAGAGGCCCGCAATCCTGAAAAAATTGTTGCCCAAGGTGCACAACCCCCGCGCCGTCAAGGGTGTCTTGGAAATGGCTGTCGTGGCCAATGAGCTCGAGAGTATTAAGTTGCTGTTGGCCGCCGGCGTCAGTGTCGAGGACAAGAACGGCGGTGTCTTCTCACCTTTGACGAGTGCCATTCGTGAGGGCAGAAAGGAGATTGTCAAATACCTGCTGGATGAGGCGGGTGCCGCCGTGAATGCTCCTGGTGAACATCTGCCCATCATCAAAGCCATTCGCCGGTATCGTGACCCAGACATTCTCGAGATGCTGCTCGCTCGCGGTGCCGATATCAACTTGATGTACCGCGGCTGGAATGCCGTGCTGCAGGCTGTGGAGAACGGCGACATCACCATCCTCCGTCTCTTGACTGAGAAGGGAGGCGGCGTCGATCTCGAGGCCAAGGACGAGTCTGGCAGGACTGTTATGGAAATCGTCAACGATCGCGGTTGGGATGAAGCTGTTACCTTGCTGCTTGGAGAGGGTCCAAAGAGCGCAGCACCGCCCAGGAGGTCAAGTATGGCTTATGGCAAGGTTGCGGGTATTGCTGTGTAAGATTCCCAGGATGAGCGGTGCTCTTGGTTGGTATGGCGGTTGGGCGGCTCTGTGATGTGATGTCTGATGTGCTCCTAGTGATTGCTTGTTTCTGTTGGTCTTTGATAGTGGCATTCCCAGGTTGCGCTGACTTGATGTTTTTGCTGTATCATTGCCCGAGACCCCCTGCTGAATATGTTTGTGTTTGCAGTTTTTCGGCTACTTGTTTCAGTTAGTCAGTACATACGTAGGATACCAGTACGCATAGCATAATCGAGTTTGCTTGTCCAATGCCTTTGTTTCGTGGAAGTTTGCATCGCACATTCCTCGCTTGACGACACATGGAACCTTCTTAGGTCGCCATATAAGTAATGTATTAACCTTAGAATCATACAGTAGATACATTGTGAGAGGCACTCGTTGCTGCCGGTTTACACTCTCAGGTTAGTCAGGCCTCTGAGGGTTCAGCCATCCACTAGTAATGAATGGCCTTTGCTTGCTAAAATGCTAGTACCCTTTTCATAGAGAGTACATAGTATTCCTTCTCGATGCTCGAGCACGACGCTATGGATGTTCAATTCAACATACATTGGTCGTATAGCAATGTCCCGAGGCACTTGTGTATACTAGTAGTAATCGTCGATGGCGATGTTCTTCCGAGCGTCTTCGGCAGTATGAGATGAGGACATCCTCTGTCTACAGGAAATTGACGTAATTGAGCCCATAGCAGTCATTCATTTCCACTGCAGGGCCTCCGATACTGGACCCAGGTGTCGTAGTGGAATGGCGCAAATGTCCGTCGATGATCGGGGATCGACGTGCACGGGCTTCAGCCCCCTGACGGTGCAGCCTTGCCGCAAGTGTGGATCTCCAATTGCTGAAGGCTTTCGAATGAAGTTCAACTACTATGTACAGTAAGTACTACGAGTACTATGTACAGTACAGTACTACTTGACGCGCCAGAAGTAGCGAATAAGTACTAGTATTCTCCGTTTCCTATTCTCCATTTCCAAGTCCCGTACTACCGGGTCCAGATCAACACATCGCCCCCGGCCTCATTGGTCGTACAAGCGGCAGCAAAAGGTCGGCGCAAGCTCCAGTGAGAATGATTACTCTAATCCTTGCCATTCAGCGCTGTAAGGTGGCCTGGGGTTTGCAATCGTACTAGTATGTGAAGCAGGCTGTCGTCCGGAGGAGTACGGGAAGGCATGTTCATTTCACTCTTTTACACTGATTGAGCCCCCAGACTTTCAATTCTCTTTCACTTGTCAACAATCCGGTATTGTCAAGCTCGGTACAAAGGTGAGGTACTAATCCCCATTGATGGACGCCGTCAGCTCGAAATCTCTCAGCGCTTCGAAGGGGGAAGAAAAGAGGGTGAGATTCCATGGTGGGATACATAATTTGAAATGATGTTGTTCACCGAGCCTGTCTCCAGGAAAAGTAGCACTACTAAGTACAGTAGTACATAGTACATTACTGTAGTACTAAGTAGGCCAGCCAGCCGCAATGAAGTATGATGTCGAGGACGACACGGATTTGGATGACAATGCAGACGATAAAGAGGCTGCCATGAATGAAGAATGGCACGATTTCGACTGCTTGTGCTTGTGCTTCTTTTTCCTGCTGTTCTCCCCCGTCTGTTCCTCCTTGGTTTTCGTCTCGCAGGGTGTCCTCATACTGTATTACAGCCAAAATGCACTGTTTGATCCCCGCGAGACTCCCGGAAGCTGGACAGGTTGGCGCCAACTTTAAGGGCAACTTTGAAGTTGTGCGTTGAACTGTGATTACGACAGGTCTCAATAAGTCTTCCTAGGTCTCGTGCTACTAGTATGTCGCACGCCAGGGATGGAGGAATGTCTGACTAACGGTTTCTTGTCCGTCAGACCCTCCTTTTATCAATATCCGGCGGTGTTTTTCGGGCAACATCTGTTTTTGATCAAGCTTGAAATTGGCTAAAACTAGCCTATCAGCACCGCCAGATTTAGCGGCTGACCTCCCCCGTGCTCTCTATCACATGCCTAAACCCCAAATCTAGGGCACCTAACAAAACTAGGGGTTTTGTCTGTCAGACTTGATTGTCTACTAGTACTGACAAGCCCACGTTCTGACTGCACGGCCTACTTTCCAGCCCGTTCTCAACGGTGCTAAACCGCTACTAGTGATTCCAATGCCACGTATTCGATAAACGTCAAAATCGCGCCTTCCCTTGTCAGGATTCTTGATCGTGCCTTCCGTTTCTCGAGTCGTACTTTCCGTCAATTGACCGGTCGTGCCTTCCACAAAAAGTCAGCCTGGCATTCCTCTATCATTAGCAGGGACTACGTAGTATTGCACTGATGGTATTGAACCTACTGCCATTACTATAACACAGTACTACTAGTACTAGTATTCAGGCGATTGTTGTACTCCCGTTCTCCTTGCTACTAGTACCACGCCTATATCTAGAGATCACATTCGATCTGGCGATATTGTTGTACCTAAATTGTAATACTACTGTACAGTAATATATACTACACAGTACTGTAGCTCTACCTAAGCCCAGACTGTCCCTAGCTCATAGTCCAGTCGCAATCAATCCAAAATCACATCAGTCTCGCTACAGATCCGGATCGATCAGTGCAAGTTTTGGTCAGAAATGCGTCAGAAGCAGCTGGATCCAGTCAGAGTCAGTTTCAACCTTGATGAGACCTTGAACAACTTGAAGTTTGAACTTTGAACCTGTTTCGATTTCAGATTGTTCGAGGCGGAGATGGCCTGGACCCAACACAAATTGCTTCTAGACAGGATGAACCCCCGGACCGAGTCGACGAACCAGGATTGAATCGAGCTAATTCGCATTGAATCCTTTCTGCATCAGTCCAGCTTGATTCTAGCACAGATTTCGGTCAGACTTGCAACATGATCAGTACTATTTACTGTACATATTGCTGGAAGAAAAAGCGAGAAATGAGAAAAGGAACAGCTGTTTTCATACCTGGAAGAACTTGTGGACATTCGCTGCGGCTTGGCGGTTGGAAATAATGTAGCATACTATGCGACGACAGACGGGCCGTGAATTGAAGCCTCACTCGCTTGGACCTAATCGAGAAAGGAAAGAAAATCTCAAGACCGACGTTTCTGCAATTCTGAGCAAAACAGCATCGTCAGCAGCTGACACTCAGCTCACTTTCGGCTGACCTTGATTTAGTCTGAAGTCCTGCTGCGCTATTGTAGTGTGACCGTAAAGCATCACTGGTGTGACAGGTGCAACTTGAATCTGAAATGGTTGCTAGGACGCGCCAAGCCGCATTGCTAAGGTCACGTGCTAAATCGTTTTTTGATTTTGCAAAGCTTTTTGTGAGGTCGGATACTGTATCTTTCGCCGAAAACAAGGCTCCTCAGACTTTCACTTTCTCTCTTCTGCATACATACTGTATCGTTCGCTACACTGCACGATGGCTAGTACGTCTACTATCGTTGAGTGGTTGTGTCCCATCTGCAAGCTTCCATGGAGATGGGGAGGCAATACGCTCGAAGCATGTCTTGAATGCAACGGCCCCGTCCGGCCGCAGCTCCCAGCTGATGTGCTCGGCACGAACCAGTCTGGTCCTCCCACTGCGGGATCAAGGACAAAGAAACGAAGCATGCTCATGAAGATGCGACGCTTTCTTCCCAGACTGACGAGATTTCTGGCAAGGAAACCATCTCCGACCCAGACTTTTCCAAGTCCAATGTCAAGCAAGACTGAGGATGGCAAAGCTGACTCTGTAGTGTCTGCACAAGGAGCACCGATCCACAACTCAAGTCAGGACGAGGACATTTCAAGTCCAATGTCAGACAAGACTGAGGATGTCAAAGGTGCTTCCGAGCAAGGCGCACCGATCCACAACTCAAGTCAGGATGAGGACAGTTCAAGTCCAATGTCAGGCGAGACTGAGGATGGTCAAGATGACTCTGCGCAAGGAGCACTTATCTCTGACTCACCTCAGGACGAGGACAAAGGAGAGATCAAAGACTCCACCCCCAGCGATGGTGGTGTTGAGGATCCTCCACAGGTACTAGTCGTAGATGATCCTGCGCTCAGACACTATTGTTTGCTGCACCACACTGCGGGTCATTCAACGAATGCATGCCGCAGCCCGTGGTCAAAGAAGTATCCCAAGCGCCGGGACCTCCGCTTGAGATGGGAAAAGTTGCTGGACGGAAAAGGCGTTCCCCAGAACCTCCCCTTGGGCCGCGTTCCCGTAACAGTGTTCGGTGTCATGAGACACCTCCAGAAAATGAATGAGTTTCTTTCCAAAGCCAGATCCCACATCGCTGCACGTGATGACTTACTCTGGAAATGTCGTGAGGTCCTTGAGCAGTATATGCCAAAGTATCTCGCGACGGAATTTGACGTGCTAGTGAGCATGATGTGCTGTCAAAATGATGATCTCCTTGGGGTCATCCGGCAGTCCCTCTACGCTATCCGTTTAGAGATCGTAGATAATGCGATAATCCGTGCAATGCTTCAGGAGGGCATTGAAGACAAGGTGACCAGTTTTGGGCACCATCGGCTTGCAAGGTTCGCTGCGGAAACCCAGCACCCACTGCCGGCGCCTGATCACGCGCGACTGGACAATATCATCCAGACCCTACGTGGACATGCCCGCGAACATGATTCTGTCACTCTTCAGGGCGCACTTCGTGTGGGTGACCTCATGCACCCGGAGCGCAGACTGTTCAACGAACACATGCTTTTCCAGATGTGTTTCCAAGTTGTCCTGGACCTCAGTATCTCTACTGCGCCGGGCGCACTCAATGACTTTGGGGGCCACGCTCGATACGGCATGCATCTTTTCATGTGGCCGGATCTTGAGAAACGCCGAGCAGAACTTGAAGAGTGCATGGACGCCTTCACCGCCATGCGGACTGCTAGAGAGGCTGCGGCGCAGAGTGACGAAGGCTAGGACCACGTTTCCATTCTCATGATGTCGCCGGTGAAAGCATGACATGTCGTCTGGTCAGTCGTGATTGATCACTACCGGCTTCCGTAAGGAGGCACATGATCCCGCAAACGTTTCAATCTGTTAGATTGACTCTGTACTGCTCAGAGTGTAAGTGGGACTTATAGCGGCTGGCTAAGTACTACGGTGATGACGATCATCAGCGAACGGAACTGCCAGCATTCGGATCTTTGCTTGGTAAGGCTAGTAGTTAGTACAGTGTTCGCAACATCTCAGCTCAACTTCTTTCCCGTCAAGCATTCTAGTACGGTGGCGGAGCGCAACCAGCGGCCGCTGGATCAGGTCCTGGATGCAAACAATTATCCCGTTGAGCCGTGGGGACCGTGACACTGAGTATGACCTCCGTCAGAAGCTCTGGCCAGTTGCGGTAAAGTACATTCGGCATATCATTTGGAGCAAACCCATCACAAGGAATGTCAGTCGCCAGGGTGCCGGTCGCATTCTGATCGATCATGTTGGCGCAAAGATTCACCTGAGGTAAGCTTGGCCTTCCCAGCGATGCATTGACGGTGGTGATGTTGACATCGATGAACTTCATGCCTGGACATGGCACCAGCGGAGAGCAGTGGATGATCGAACCGACGTCAAAGTGAGATGTCCCCGTGATGTTCTCCCAGGTCACATTGGAGATTTGTAGCTTTGAACACCCAATGTCAGTCTTCCGACATTAGACAACAGGATCTTGAACACACCTTGCTGGTATCGCAGACGCTGGGGTCGCTTCCGTAAACGCACTGAGTTATGCTGATAGGTTGACCCACGTTCTCAAGTTTGAAATTCCGGTAGGTGACGTTGTTGATGAAGCCGCCACCACCGCCACCTGAGTCTCCATTACTGCTGACGGATGATGATTGACCTTGCCAGGCTTTGATCCAGGCACCGTTCGTCGAGTTGATGAGATGGACATCCTCATAGACTATGTCTTGCACGAAGTCCGGATGAGTCGGATCCTGGCCCACAGAGCCAATCGGCATGCCATGCGTACGATAGCAGGTGATGTTCTTCGATATGATGTTTGTGCTATTGCCTTTCATGGCGATGCAGTCATCACCTGTATTGGCTAGGGTCAGTAAATGGCAGGAACACGCAGTCGTCTAGCACTCTTCGGTACTAGTACTTACCTCCTTGAACAGTCCAATTGTAGAAGAAGACATCTTGAGAATTCCAGGTATCCGTGCCGTCGGTGTTGACAGTGAACCATTCGTCGTTGCTAGTGGAGTTCATGTAGATATTTGACATCGTCACATTCTGCGAGTGAGAGATGAAAGAATGCCAAAACTGTGCTTGACTCCACGTTACGCCGTCCATCCAAAGATTCTGGGTATTCAGAATCGTGAACGCGATGGGCCGGCCTGGTTGATTGCTGTTATTGCGGTTTTCATCGTACCATGCTTGGCCTGTACGATCATGATCAGTCTCATTTCGGTGATTCGGCAGTCAGACTTGAGTCACCATTGCCATTGAATCTCCCAGTGCCAAAGCCTTTGAAGGTCACATTCTCCCCACCAAAGAACCATGCTGTTGACAAATTGGCATAGACTACTGAGTAGCTATGGCCTAACCAGTAAGGGATATTGGTGCTCCATACCATCTCGCCATGGAGTTCAACGTTGCAGTTTGTCAGTCCAGTCGTGTTCATTACCTGGTTGACGTAGAAAGTGTTGTTTGTCAGAATCACCGACCCATTAGTGCCACAGAGCTCGAAAGCCTGCAGGATGGATGGCGTGTCGTCGACTGGTTGCCCAAAATGTGTCAAGGACTCTGGATAGACATAGCAAGAGGTCCCGTTGTTTACCACATAGGCTGCGACGAATGAGACGATGCTCGAAAGGAGGAATAGTGTTGGACGCATGCTTCAATATGCAAAAGACTCACCGTTTGTGGTGGAAAGAGTATGTCGACCTCACCGCTCGAGTACCCCATCACAGCTTTATACCTCCCCACGCCGTTGAATGTATTTTGGTACTACCGCGACCGGCCAATGTGCCGTGTTGCCTAACAACGGCAATGAAAGCAGTCGAGGTACCTGTGTCAGCCGGTTATGATCGCTTCAAAGCCGAATCGACAGATGGTACAGTGGCAGATGTCTCCATGATGGGCGGGGTTTGAGGGGAACCTTTGGGGTTCGGATGAATCGACGTTGCATGGTACATTGATAGATGAATTGGGATAGGGTGAGTATGTCTTATTAGGCTGAAGAAGACGAAAGGGAATAACCCGCTCGGAAAATGTCCGCGGCGCATACCCGGGCGCGAGGATGCTGCTAGCGAGGCTGACCAATCATGAGGTGTTGCATCTGTCTCGACAGGAACTTGCCATCCTCTCATGAACATCTAGGATTGTCTCGAGTTGGCCAAGACTGACGAGTGGAAGGTAAGGAAAATCTATTATGCACTCGCTCAATCTCAAATCCTACATGCCATATCAAACAAGACACTTTAAGCCAGACAACATCCAATCCATACCCGAATTCACCTAAAACTCCATGTTCACATTCTTGATCCCAAATTGTTCATGCCCACATGCTTTTGATGCCATCCAATCTGGAAATCTACTCTTGCAGCTCCTCCGCAGCTTGTTTTGTGATGTCGGCAGGTAAAGCTTTACTCTTTGCAGCAATCTTGGTCGAGAGAACATTCAGCGGCGTTGGGCTGAGGATCTCGAAGACCGAGATGTCGGCCTTGGCTTCTCTGAAAAGCCAGTTGCGGACTTCGACTGCTTTGAGGGAGTCGACTGTGAAAGAAACGTGTTAGTGACGCAGTCTTTCACATCAAGGGGGGTTTGAACTTACTTCCGAAAGAGTGCAGTGGTTTGTCAACATCGACCTCATCGGGTGATGAGCCCATTGAGGTTGCGACACTGGATCGCAGAGCGGACTCGACTGCTTCTGCAGCCTCTCCAATGGACTTGGCGTTAGCGAGGATGGTCTTGAGCGGAACCTTGCCATCGCCACCGCCGGTACCCTTGTACTTGGCTCGGTGGTCGAATTTGCGATCCTTGGGCCACAAGCTGGTGACGCTGCCTTCGCGATCGAGATCGCCTCGGATGCCAACCACGACCTGTGTCGGCACCTTGACGCCGTCCGAGGTGACGCCACGCATGGCCGCGGTCAAGGCAATGTTGACTTCTTTGTCCTCGACTGACACGGGAACCAAGTGGCCGTAAAGCTGCAGGAAGTTCTCGATTGTGAAGTCTTCGGTGAAGTGAGTGGCGTCGGTGACGAGACCGATGTTCAGACTGGTGGCAGCAAGACCTTTGTTGTGGCGGTAGTGAGCGAGAGCGTCCAGGTAAGAGTTGCCGGCCGAATAGTTGGCTTGACCGGTGTTTCCGATGACGCTGACTACGGATGACAGAACGATGAAAAAATCCATGTCCTCGGGCAGGAAGGCGTGGAGGTTCCAGGTTCCGGGGATTTTGCAGGTGGTGGCGCCGACCCACTTGTCGTAGGTCATGTTCTCGAGGACTGAGTCACGCAGGACCATGGCGCATTGGATGACACCCTTGATCTTCCAGCCGTTTCGAGCTGCCGTATCCATGGCCTTTCGCATATCGTTGGCATCGCTGACATCGCAAGCCAGTGCGTCGGCCTTGCAGCCGCCAGCTTGAAGCTTCTTCAATACGGCTTTCTGCTCTGGTGTGCGAGCGCCAGATCGGGAAAGGAAGACTAAGTGGCGGGCACCAGCCTCGTACATGGTGCTGGCAATGTTAGGACCGAGGCCACCAAGACCGCCAGAGAGGACGTAGGTCGCTTCAGGGTCGAGCTTCAAAGCTGGTGGGGCCAGGGGAGCGGTGGAGACGACCGCGTCTTGGTCAAGACGGAGGACGGTGACACCATGAGCACCCTCGAAGGAGGAAACCACCTCTTGCAGACGGGAGACGGAGTGTGCCGTGGTGGGGATGGGGCCGACGAAGCCGTTGTCGAGCAAGCTGAACACTTTCCCGAGGAGCCGGCTCATCAAGGGGCTGCTGAAGAGGCGCTCCAAGTCCATGTTGGTGAAGCTGACATTGCGTGCGAAGAGGGTTGGGCAGAGCTGTTCCGTTGTCGCCTCGGAGCTGACGTTGACGAAACGGCCAAAGTCTTTGATCAAAGCACACAAATCTCGAAGCGGCTTGCCCGATGTTGCGCTGAAGATGACATCCAGGGGACCAGCAATGTGTTGAAGCTGCACCTTGTAGCCGCTTCGTTCGTCGAAGATCTGGTCTGCAGGGATGCCGTACGCAACGAGGGTTGGAGTGGCAGTCGGGTCAGCCGTGACGAAGATATCAGCACCCTTCCAAAGTGCAATCTGCACGGCGGCGTAGCCCAAGCCGCTGCTGCCAGCCTGTATCAGTACCTTGTCAGTCGAGGAGACGCGGGCAAGGTCAACCAGGCCGTAGTATGCGGCGGAATAGGTGGTCGGGAGAGCTGCTGCCTCGACCGGCGAGACTTTCGCGGGCAAAGCCTGGACAAGGGACTGATCTTGTCGTAGGTGTGTCCTGTAGCTGTGAGCCTTGAGGACGGCCACTTCTTGACCGACAGAGAAGCGCTTGACAGCGGAACCGATACGAGTGACAACACCGGTGCCCTCTCGGCCGACCACGGCTCCAGACGCATCAGCAAGAGCACGAGCATCCAAGCTGCTCAAGCCCACCGCCGACATCTTGATCTCGACATCTTCGGAGGCCAGGCCTGACACTGCCTCCTCGTCCTCAACCCAGCGAATTCTAGACGAACCAATCTCGAGCTTGAGTGGGCGACCATCCTGGTGCAGAGGAGCCATGACCGGTCTGACATTTGCGGAGTGCAACTCAATCTCGCGATCGAAGCTGTTGTTTTCAACCACTCTCGGAATCAAGACCTTGCCCTGTGACGAGACGAATTCCATTTCTGGTGTCTGCGTTGTCTCTCGTGCTGTGGCATTGAAAACCTTCATGATCAAGTCGGTGGTGGATTTGGCAGCTAAATCGACGGCGGGTGCCAAATCAATGTGTGGCAGAGTGATCTGAGGTACTTCGGTTCGGATCGTGCGCAGCAGACCAGTCGCTGGTGCAAATTCCAGAGCCTCGGAATCAATCAACTGACCACCTCTAGTGATCCAGATCAAGTATGGGGTCGATAATACCAGGCGTTTGAACTGTTCGAGCTCTCCGCTGCTCCAGTTGATGACCAAGGGAGTCTCGGCTTCCAAAAAGGAGATGACACCCTTCTCCTGGACATCTTCGATCGCACTGAGGGTGGCGACCTCGGTCTGGATCCCGATCGTCTTGAGCTGGCTTGACAGCTTCTCCATTGTGGTTTCCAGCTCTGCCGAGACGATGTCTCTCTTCAGGAAGACAATATTGCTGTACTGTGGAGCCGACTCTTCCTTTGTACCAGCAGAGCCGACTGCCAAGACAGCCTCGGTCGCTGGCTCTTGGCAGACAGCAACCTTCACCAGTCCAACGTCCTCAAAAATGGCTTGCCAGTTGTCCTTGGGATCCTCTGAGATGGTGCTGGTGAAGATCAACTTACCATTCGGTGCCAACAATGGCTTGAGAGAGGATGCAGCCTGTTGAGCTCCAGCTGCAGGTGCGGCACCGGCCAGGATCATGTCGAATGCACTCTCAGCAAAGTTCTGTTCGGTGGCTGAAGCCTTCAGGTCGATGGTTTGGTACTTCACCAACAAATTGTCGAGTCCGAGTGTCTTCATCTCCTCGATAGCAGCCTCATCCTTGGCTGCAACTGTGAGCTGTCGGAATCGAAGAATCTGACCTTCTTCCGGTCCAAATTTGCGGATGATTTCCTGCAGATCGGTAGACATGTTGTCGGCCACGAAGAGCACGCGGAGGTCCGCGTCCTTGTGGCATGCGCGGTCGAGCCAGAGAGCCAGCTGTGCGCTAGCTGTTTGGGCGTTGTCTTGGATGAAGCTTTCGATAACGCTTGGCTCCATGAAGGAGAAGTCTTCCTTCCAGACAGGCACAGCCGTCCTCTTGATCTCATCCAAAGAGGCACCATCGCTGTTTGACCCGCTGGAGGTGACCTTTCGGGCATTGATGGAGATTACAACCTTGGGCTCCGACCATTGATCATCAGACAGGACGATGTCTCCGGCAAGATCGCGACCGTCCGCCATGGTACCTTCGGTGTATCCGAAATACTGAGTGCCGGCTCCTTGAGGGCATTCAGCTGCGATGAACATCCTCTCCATGCTGACTGGCACTGCGGATTCTTTCATGCCCTCATCCTGGGCGAAGCCCGCGAACAGGAGATGGAAGATGGCATCCAGTGTGGCTGGATGAATGAGATGTGGGTATTCGAATTGATGTGGCATAAGGGCCTTGGTTTCGGGAATGGTAATCACACCGTGAGCACGGAAGGTGCCGGGGACCGCCTTGCTCTCAGTCAGGTTCCTGAAAGAGGGGCCATAACCCATGCCGATGGCAGCCAAGTCCTTGTAGAACTTGTCCATGTTGATGTTGACCGTCGAGGTCTTCTTGATGGCTTCGTAAGTGGAAGACTGGAAGCCCCATTCCGTGTTGATCCCGTCCACCGCCTCGGTTCGGTCATGGTAGATCAGAGCCACGAGACCCGAGGAATTCTCGACCCACGATGAGCTTCCTGCGGGAAGAGAGTAGAGAGTCCAGCTGTAGGTATGAGGGAAGGTCTTGTGTGGTCGCAGACTGAGGGAGGTTTCCACAGCCTCCTCACCTGATGGGATGACCAGACCACGACCAAAGACGACATCTTGCAGTTCAATGCCCTTCAAAGACCGGGTGGGGTCAGCCAGTTGTCGAGCAGCCTCAATGGCCATGATCAGCATGCCAGCACCGGGGTAGAGGATCGTGCCGGTGATTTCGTGGTGCTCCATCCACGGGTTCTCGGAAATGCGCAGGATTTGACGCCAATGCGGCTCCAAATCGTTCTGGTTGTCAATGGGAGCACCCAAAAGATCAGTTCGTGGCTCCTTCTTGAACCTCTTTGCGGTGGTCATGCGAGGCTCGTACCAAAAGCCTTTGGAGTGGTTCCATGGGTAGGTGGGCAGATCTGAGAGGACTTTCCTGGTGGCAAGTTGTCGGTCAAACCCGTTGACCTTGGCCAGGTCGACTGAGTGACCTGAACACCACAGGTTGCCGGCGGCTTCCAATGCCGTGATCTGTGCATTCTTGCCTCGAAGGACTGGCGCCATGTAGATGATGTTGGAGGAAAGCTTGCTGTCGACAGCCGTCATGATCTGGTTGACAGGGCCCTTGAGAGCCTCGTGAGGACCAAGTTCGACCACGGCACTCCACTTCACAGGGGTCTTGCGGCGGGCAGACTTGCTGGTTGAGTGGACAAGCAAGCCACTTACTGCGTCAGAGAACCGCACGGACCCAACCATATTCTTGACCCAGTACGTGGCGTCAAAGTCAGAAGCCGATGCCAACTTGCCGGTCACCGAGGAGTACATGAAAGTGCCGGCATTGCCCTGAAGTGGCTTGATGTCACCCATGGCACGAAGGTAGTCGTCGGCAATGACTTGCATGTGTGATGAATGATACGCCGTCTTGACACGCAGCTTGCGTGCGAACTTGCCATCTTTAGCCAACATGCTTTCCAGCTGGTTAATGGCTGACACATCTCCAGATAGCGTGACGCTGGATGGACTGTTGATGCATGCCGCAACGGCAACACCGTCAGTGACTTTCTGAAGATACTCCTGAGCCACGGCCTCTGAAACACCAGCTGCCATCATGATGCCTTGGCGGTCGACAAGTCGGCGTGCTACGTCCTCCGAGTAGACGCCTCGGAAGTATGCAATCTTGATCGCATCTTCGTGGGTGAGATAACCAGCGGCATACGCAGCCCCAATCTCACCACTGGAGTGGCCAACGGTCGCCTTGGGTGTGACACCCCAGTGGCGGAGGAGTGCCACAAGGGAGACTTGGAGAACGGTGCAGATCGGCTGACTGAATTCGGGTGAGTCGATTCTGCTATCTTCGCCCTTGGAGAGCTCGGTAAAAACATCCCAGGTCGCCCCGTATTTCTTCAGGTACGCCTGTGACTTGGCTGTGGCCTCACGGAAGACAGGTCGATCCAGAAGCTCCCTGCCCATCTGGGCCCACTGAGCGCCTTGACCGGTGAAAACCATCATGATGTTGTTATCTTTCAGGGCTCTCTTAAGTTTTGGCAGGCCCTTGGACAGCTTGCTCGTCAACGTGCTGGTAGAGTCGGCGACGGCGAAGCTGCGATAATCGAATTTGGTTCGGCGGCTGGCGAGAGTGTTGGCCAGGTCGTCCAGATATACCTGCTGATCCAGGTATTCCAATGTGGTCAACTTCTGATTCTTCTCCGTCTTGGATAAAGCCGATCGGTAGCTCGCAGCCTGCCGCTGGAGACCGGCCTGATCCAGACTTGAGAAGACCAGCAATCTGTTGTTGCCAGCAATTGGCACGTGGTCGTCATCCTCTTCCTCTGGGGGAGGCGTGTTGGCGTCACTTCCACCCATACTGACACCTGAGTCTGATCCAAAGTCGTTGTCATCGTTGACCACCGTCGAGTGATTGCCAATGAGGTGATGACTCTTCAGGTAGTGGTAAGCATCATCGATAATGACGTGTGCGTTAGAACCTCCATATCCGAAGGAGTTGACACTGACACGGCGCAGGCCCGACGTGGGCCAAGCCATGGTGTTCAACAGCAGAGCGAGATTCCAGTCCTTCAGCCGCAGCTTCGGGTTAAGATTCTCGAACCCGGCATTGGGCACCAACATGCCTTTCTCCAGGAGCAGCACTGACTTGATAACACCGGCCAGACCAGAGCATCCTTCAGTATGGCCAATGTTTGATTTGATACTGCCCACGTAGAGAGGAGTCTGACCAGCCTCGCGGGCCGCGCCCAAGGTCGTTCCAATTGCCGAAAGCTCCATAGGGTCTCCAAGGCCAGTACCGGTGCCGTGTGCCTCAAAGTAACTCGTGTCGGACATCTTCAGGCCGGCTTGTGCGTAGACAAAACGAATGAGGTCCGCCTGTGACTCTGGGCTGGGCATGGTGATACCGGGAGTCTTGCCGTCCTGGTTGGTTGCGCTCCCACGGATGACAGCACGAATGGTGTCTCCGTCGGCCAGGGCTTTGGACAGTGGCTTCAGGAGAAGGCCACCAATGGCCTCACCTCGAGCGTAGCCGTTGGCACGGTCATCGAAAGAGTGGCAGATGCCGTCCGGGCTGAGGAAATGCATGTTGGTGAGCGAGTGGAACATGCTGGGGTAAAGAGCGAGGTTGGAGCCGGTGACCAAGGCCTGGCTGGACTCGCCCAGTCGCAGCGACTGGCACGCACTGTGGAGGGCGTACAAGCTCGACGAGCAGGCCGTGTCGACGGTGAAACTGGATCCACGGAGATCGAAAAACCACGAGACACGATTCGACAGCATGGCCCTTCCGGTTCCAGTGGCTGCGTTTGGGGCATGGTCGAAAATGTCGTGGTTGGAAAGAAGATCGTAATCACCGGTAAAGCAGCCGCAGAAGACCGAGGTCTTGCTCCCAACGAGCTTTTCCATTGGGACACCGGCTAGAAGGAGGGTCAGTGATGTTCATCTTGTTGTATCGGCGGTACGGAATTGGAAGCAGGAGTGTTCAGGAGAATGTAAGGGATATATTGAATGTGCTGACCATTTTCAAAGGTTTCGTACGACACTTCCAGGAGAAGACGTTGCATTGGGTCCATGCCCGATGCTTCCTTTGCGGTGATGGAGAAGAAGGGAGCGTCAAAGAGGGAAATATCGTCCTCCAAGAAGAAGCCATGCTTGGTGTTGACCTGGTCACTCATGGTTAGACATCTCTTGATATCTTCTCATCGACCGTTGAGATGGCGGAATGAATGGACTCACTGCTCCTCGTCGATCGTGACTCGGGTGATACCAGGTATCGGCATTGAAGCGGTCCGCAGGAATCTTGGAGTGTCCCTTTTTGGCTGTTGTCATCATCTCCCAGAGGCCATCAACGGACTTGGCCTCGCTGGGGAAGCGGCATGACATGCCAACAATGGCGATGGGCTCGATGCTGTCGGCCATGTTGAAGATGTGGACAACAGTGATGATGGTTGCTAAGGGGTGCTCGGAAAATCGCTAGCTTGACGAATAGCTAGTCGTTGGTATGGGTTTATGGCATGGGTGAAACAAAGCAGACTGCGTCAAGTCAGAGAAATAGTCTGAAAGAGTGAGGTATGAGATCTCGCCCAAGTCCGTTGTTCTCCTTGAGGTCTGATGGAAAAACGCCAATCGATCTCTCCAGGCGAGCCAATGTATATACATGTTCACCTGCGTATCATGGTGCGTCTCTCCTTCAATGCCATCTCGGACACCGATACCGTCGAAAAGTGATCGACACGTATGAACATGATTGCATCTTTGCGCCGAGGACTGGCAGGGCCAGGATAGGCGAGCCTGCATTGGCCCCAAAGGTTGTCCATGAACTACAATGCGCCGATCAGGATCCGGTTGTTGGTAAACTGGGGGATCCAGTGCCTCGGTGGTTCTTGACAGCAAGCACATGGTCGTTCCGTCATCGTGGCTGGCTCATCGTTCCTGCCTCCACACGTTCACCTTCAAATGAGGTTCACGCCGGCACGGAGAGGAGCTTGCAGTTTGTCATTGCCAGGTGATTGGTCATGTCGCACGCTGGAGAGATGCCTCCGTGACTGGCGCAATACGCTGGCACGGTATATTAGTTCCATTGGGGGTGGAAGACGTAAGGGAGAAGTGAACAGAATGGTGAGACTAACGGTATATTTGCGGCCTTGGCATGCAATCCTCCGGGCTCCAAGGGGTATTGGGTACTCGATCTGCATTGCTACACTGCAGTCGCGCTTAGGCAGGGTCGATCGAACCATGAAGCTTATCTCTTCAGGCGTGCTATAATTCCTCTACGCAGTGTACCTCAGAAGATAAGCAATGGGACATGTTTTTGGCGTACAAAGCTGAAGTATACACGGCACGTTTGGTCGGCTCCATCCGAAAACACTCGGACCATTTTCAAGCGTACCGTACCCATATACCCATCTATTCCTATTCCCAGGGCTCTTCACTCCCGCCTGGTACCACCCCCCCCCCGTGTTGCGAACCTGTCAAGGAATTGCGCCTGAAACGTAGAACGCAGAGTTACGTATATTCGGGCAGGATTGATATGTCCAGCATAGAGCATTATTCATCTACCCCAGTGAATTCGTAGCAAGATTTTTGCATTCAAAGCGTAACTCGAATCCATATTACGTCAAGATGTGTTATCACATTTGCTTTTCTCGTTTGCCGATGCCTAGAAAGAGCCCTTGTTCTATTTGCCCAAGTATGCTATATGACCTTGGCGCAAGACCTTGGCGTCAAACCTCCGACGTTCCTGGCACAGTCGCCCCGGACAAATCCCTTCCACTCGAACTGCGTACTGGCCTAATCGTGAATAAGCTACTCAGAGTCTAGCCCATACTTGCTGTTGGCTCTCCGAGATGGCCCACTCCAGAGCCTTGACAGCCGCCTTCGCATCAGCCAATTGTCGAGGGACGTCATGGCCGCCTGAGTGTTCCAGCCATTTCGACACCGTCGGGTCGCAGACCTGGTACATCAATTGGGACTGACGGATCATAAGCGGATCATCTTGTTTGCCCACGACATGAACGGTGGGGATGCGTATTCGCTGGCTGACAAGATCCGGGTGTATAATGCGCGGGATCCTGGTAGTGTCCCCTCGCGCGAATACGTCCTCATCCGGGTGTGCGGACAGAAAGCCACCTTCTTGTCCTGCGCTCAGCGCCTCTGCCATCGATTCGAACATCTTCCTTGCACCAGCATCCTGCAAGAGGGAGAAATCGGTGGCGGGAAACTGGGAAAGTGCCTGGACTTCAGGCTCGCTCAGGTTGCGAATGATACCGTCGCAATACCTGTCGTCCGGGCTGAAGGAGATGACGCTGGAGAAGATGATGGCAAACTTGAACGGCAGCGGTTCGTCGGCATGGTCGATCTCGTGTTGCACCATATAGGCCACTGCCAGTGATCCGCCTTGACTGAAGCCCACGATTCCGTCGAACGGTCCCTCCTCTTCGATGACCTCGTCCAACATCTCCAGTGCCTTCTTTACATTCGCTGGATCAAAGGCATCGTAGTAGCAGTAGAAGGGACCCGTGGTGAATGCGCCCAAGCCTGGTGGTGTTCGTTGTTAGTGGATGGACAAACCAGTCGTACTGTAGCGTGAGAGAAGTGCTTACTGGCTGCTTTGGGGGCTTCTATCTCGCCCTCAAGGTAGAATGGCTCAATCTCCCTATCCGCCTGTGACAAGAATACTTGGAGCTGGTTCTGCAAGACAGCCGCATTGGTGCCATAGCCATGAAGGCACAAAAGTCTCATGCTTGCCGTGGACAAGTTGATTTTGCGGCACAATTTTGGGGGTCTTCGTTCATAGAACGATCACAATATGAGGCGGGAGTGAGCTTGGCTCGTGTGTAGACCATCTACTTGAAATCTGCTTGTCCTTTCGTCACCAGAGCAGAGCCTTTGATGGATGGCACACCGACATGTTATGTTGTGGGAAACCCACCGAAGAAACCCTCCGGCGGCCCATGCAAGGATGACTGTCATTGCCTGCATCTTCTGGACTATTTGAATACCAGTATGGGAGGCTATGCAGGGTTCGGTGGCTAGTGAGGCGCCGTGGTTTGCTGTGAAACGCATCCTAATGAATTTGAAACGCGTCCCAATGATTTTACTTTGACCACATGACAGCCACCTCCGAGCATGATTCCCTTATTTTGTCAGGGCAACATACTGCGAGTCGAGCACTGACGAAAAGCTTGGATAGTGACAAGCGTGGACCTCATCTAGTGTTCGTGGCGTCCAAAGTAGGTCGCCATGGTCTACGTATCAACTCCCATCAGAACCATGTGGACACCTAAGCGTATTGCAATAATCGTGTTGACGACGGCAAGATTACTTGAATATCCTCTTATGGAAGTATCGCATCTTCATCTGTCTGTCCATCTTGATCCTACGGTAATCAACCATGATCGTTGAATGTTCTCTTATATCTTCAGTTTTCACAGTCGTTTCTCCCGCTTTGACTGTCGATTTGCAGCCGTACTCCCCAGATCTTTCGCATGTCGTTTCTATCTCACCCAGACTGTACTCTGGCAAGACACAGGTAGACTCAAACCAGCCTACTGTGCCTCTTCGCTTCTGCCTGTGCAACATTATGTCCTTCCCTCCAACTCAAAACGGCCGAGGTCGTGGCACCAGGGCCAAAGAGAACCATACCACCAATGAGTCGTACAGCTAGTTGAATTTGATTGATGTCAGAAAGTTCAGACACCATGTAGAAACACCAAAGTCCAGTGCTGACAATGATGCCGATCAAATCCCACTGAAGAAAGTATTTTGCGCCTTCCAAGATTTTGTCCGCGGCCGAAGCTGACAAAGGAGCATTCCCATCCGGAACATAGATGCTGGAAAGCTTCGCCGCACCAAATGCGGCATGGCCAAGGATGGCCAGATGTGCCAACCCCGAAAAGATGACACCGAACTGAAGTACTCGCTGGATGGACGGCAGGGCAGCCGTTCTCCGACGGCGGATATCGAGGTTGCGAATGGGGTATAAACTCGATCCCACAATTTGTATCGTTGCGATCAGCAGGGGAGAGAATTGCACAAAGGCGATTATTTGCTGATGGTGGATTGCTGAGAGCTGCCACAGTGTTCGCGTCACCAATGCAAGCCCAGGCAGGACACCTCCAATCAGGAAAGCTGTCGGAAGTGGCGAAGCATCCCAGAGCTGGATGTACTGTTCGGATGGTCGGTGTTGTAGATGCAACCAGAAGTACAAAGGCAGGATGACAGCAGCTCCGGCGGCGTTAACCGTGCAGCACCATAGCGCTGGGCTGCAAGCTAGGGTCAGCTGGGGTTCACCGTGACGGTCGGCACCATAGACTCACTATGCAAACCACGCCGTGGATCTGCCCTTCCTCATTGAGTCCAGGAAAACCCAGATCATCGCGGTTTGCAGGGTCGACATGATGTCCAGCATGAGTAGCCAGGAAGGCTTATCCTGACCGTTCGTCACAGGGTATTCAAATGCCACAATCACCGTTATCAATTGATCAAGTGGACGGACTCCGGTATAGGAGGCGCAAAGTGGTGTTCCATCGGCGTATTTTCCCGCGGCTAGGGTAGCTTGCAATTCATCACCGGCGCCGTTCAAACCCATCACGATCCATAGGTAGTATGTGAAGATGGCACTGAGGATCGGAAACACCACATATCGGGGAGTAGAAAGTCCATACGGCTTAAGAACCTTGAGGAAATTGTTGAAGGCTGACGAGGAACCAATGGCCAAATTTTGAGGTCCATGTGTATATTTGGCAGGAGTATCCATTTTGAGGAATGTTTGAAGTGTAGGAACGCAGGTGCTATTCGGGTTGGCAGAAAGGGTATGAAAGTAAGTGACAATTTGAACGAGGATGAGGGTGCACTTGGCGTGATATTCGACAGAAATATTCCAACTTGTCCTGTTACTCGTTGCATAAATGTATTTGACGCGGGGTCGGAAAATGAAACTGCCACATTGACCTGGGTCGGACGTATAGTAACGTGCTTTATGAGCGTACAAGGTGGAAAGGTGCCGTTGGACAATCGCACCGGCCTGCTTCAGTAGGTGTGCAGGAGACGCAAAGTTTTTGCGGGGAGAAGGTTATCCCGACGCTTTCGGCCGTTTGTGCAACGATGATACAGGGGATTTGTGGTGGGTGGATGGACGTTTATCCGCCGACTGGGTAGAAATACACCGCTGGCTCCGACCTGTTGCACCGTCGAATCCTATATCCTAGCCCCACGATTTCCCGCCCGAAATTCCTACGGCAGTAACATCTCATCACGTCCAGCCAAATGTCCACGGGACTCGGGCATTGCTCCTTGGAGCCAGCATATCTTATCGAGGTAGGTGATGGCTGAACACTACCGCTACTTGGGGCCAGAACGATAAGACTAACTTTCTGCACCAGATGTACGTCACAGCGGCCAATCCTGTTGGCGAACTCGACAGCGGCTCGACATTTGTGCACTATGAGTTTTCAGTGGGCTCGATGAGCACAGTCGAGGGGTACACAGGCCCCCATATTGATGGACAGGTCGTCAACGCCGGCGACTGGCTCTACATCGATCCTTCTCAAGAGCATGCCAGTGTAAATGTCAAGGGTGTAGTAAGGACACTAAACGGCGCTTCGCTCTACTTCAGCTGGAACGGCCACGCCTACTTGGACGATGACACCATGGCCAGCTTTCCACGGGCCGTCGAATCTGAAAGAGCACCATTTGGTCGCTTGACTACCCTCAATAGCTTCAAGTCGGGCGATCCTTCGTTCAAGGCGTTGAACAACACATGCTTTGTTGGGAATGGGCGGTACATTGTTAAGAATGGACAGATTGGGGTTGAGGCTCGTCTGGCACGGGTCGTGCCTTCGAAACATGATGTTTAGGCAGATGGCTTCCGACACTTTACGCCGCTTATCTATGTACTAGTTAGCCAATCATCCGTATTCTGTGTACACCTTCCAATATTTTGGATATGCCGCATTGCAAAGGTGCATAAAGCGTGCGACAGAATGGAGTGACCCTGGAAGATGACCACAGATAGCCCGCCTTGAAGAATTGGCGCTTCTTGCACTGCTTAGTAGGTCTTACTGGGCTCGTATTTTTCGTGCAAGGCTGAACTCTCCTGACAAGGCTGCGATATGTAAGGGTGGAGCAAGACCGTGGGTGATGTAGTATAGGGCGGAGCAGTACGACATTTCTGAAATGGTGCTCAAATACTCCGTGTGATCTCGGCGGGTTTCTTCGACCTAGTGTTTGCAGCGTAGGTTGCTAAGGCCGACGTTTTGGGCACGGAAGGGTGGAAGACATTCTCTCCGCATAGTCCAGGAGACGAAGCTGTGACACTTCGGCCTTTTTGAACATCACCATCATGGACGAAGGGTGGCTCAGAGTTGACGCCCATGAACGGCGAATTTTGCTTCGGCCATTTCACAGACGAAGTGGGATTCCAGGTTATAATGTTTTCTTTCGCCATCAAGAAAGAGCTCAAAGGCCCCCATTTCCCACCCAGGTCGTCACTAAGCTAAACACCCCCTGTGCAAAAGATCTGGCCCACTGACTCCTTGTACACCAACGTCAGATGCACCTCCAGCCAGCCATGACCGACACGGCCGCACCGATAATGGCCAATCCCGTCATCAGCGACCATAGTGACGCCAAACGCGCACCGACAATTAACGATAAATCGGCCACCAGTGCTCCCTCGTCCGACCTAGATTCTACAACGGGCAGCTCGACAAATGTATCCGGCAAAGAAGATGAGGAATTGCCGCCACGAAAAATAAAGGGCGTGGTATGGGTTCTCGTTGTCATGGCCATTCTGTCCTCCCTCTTCTTCTTCAGCTTGGACAATACCATTGTCGCTGTCGTTCAGCCGAAGATCATTCAGCAATTCAATGCGCTCGACAAACTTCCATGGCTTGTCGTCGCCTACACCCTTGGATCTGTGAGCATGGTCTCTTTCTGGGGGCGTCTTTACGGCCTCTTCGACGCCAAGATCCTCTACATCGTCTGCGTCTTCCTCTTCCAGGCAGGATCAGCCCTCTGTGGTGCCGCGCCAAACATGAACGTGCTGATTGTCGGACGGACCTTGTGCGGCTGCGGAGGAGCTGGCATGTATATAGGGGTACTGTCGTTGATCTCTGCCTTCACGACCAAGCGAGAACGACCGATGTACATTGGAATGACTGGCTTGGTCTGGGGACTCGGCACCGCCCTGGGGCCTATCATTGGTGGGGCGTTCACCAGCTCGAACGCAGGCTGGAGATGGGCCTTCTACATCAACTTGGTGATTGGTGGCCTCGGCGCTCCCGTTTACCTCTTCCTGCTTCCCTCGTCGAAGCCTCGACCAAACGACTCAAGCAAGGAGCTCTGGAAGACGCTGGACTGGGTCGGCGTCGTCCTTTCCATCGGCGCATTCCTGACGGGCACCATGGCCATCGGCTTTGGCGGGGTCATCTACCCCTGGGGAAGCGGCCAGGTCATCTCGTTGTTCGTCCTCTCAGGACTCTTCTTCATCGCCTTCGGCCTTCAGCAAAGCTTTGCCTGGTTTACCACCCCTGAGCAGCGTCTCTTCCCGGTCCAGTTTGTTCTCGACAAGGATCTCTGCATCCTCTTTGCCTCGATTGGTTCGGGGACCGCCCTCATCTTCTTGCCTATTTACTTCTTGCCGCTATACTTCCAGTACCTCCACGGTTGCAATGCCCTCGCTGCCGGCGTCAAGTTGGTCCCGTTCATCGTCACGATGATTGTCTTCGTTTTCATCAATGGAGGCGTCATGAGCAAGACTGGCATCTACTGGCCATGGTATACGGTGGGCGCGGCGTTGGCCCTTATTGGCAATGCTCTACTCTACACCATTGACGTCGACACCAGCGACAGCACAATCTATGGTTTCACAACCTTGGCTGGTATTGGCACAGGATGCTTCGTCCAAGCGTCCTTCGCCGTTGCCCAATCCATGGTCAAGCCCAGCCAAGTTGCCTGGGCTACCGGCTTCATCACTCTCGGTCAGTTATCTGCTGGGACCATTTCCATGAGCATCTCCAACTCTCTCTTCCTCAACAAAGCCACGGACAGTATTATGAGCCTGCTGCCGGGTTTCACGAAGGATGAGGTGATGGCAGGCATTTCCGGGTACGGCAATTTCTTCAGCAGCATCCCAGCTTCTAAAGTTGAGGCCGTCAACGAAGCTCTCCTCAAAGCCCTTAGCCAGGTCTACATTCTTGCCATGGTTGCAGCGTCCCTGGTCTTTGTGCTCTCATTGTTCTTGAAGAAGCAGAAGCTGGTCTTCGATCCTGCGGTGGGTGGTGGTGCTTAGGAGATTGGAATCTATCACCGCCAAATATGGTCGTCTGTGACATGACAGCGCTACCTCCAGTGGAGTTTCACAGGGATCAACATGATGGGAATGAATGACTTGGAATTGGTTTACGCGTTGCTAGGCGTTGATTTGGCAGTGTCCTGGTCTCTCTCTTGTATGGGACACCAAAAAGATCCATTTATCACATAGAATTGGCTGGTACCTACGGAGCATATGGAATAATGACAACCAGAAAATCCGGTCTTGTTAATTCATCTCGGCATGCATTTTAGAGCTTTTGAGGCGCCTCCTTACCATGAACCCATGGTGAAATGTCGAAGAGTACCCAGTGCTGATTCCTGGCATGGCGAGTGACACGCGCTTTGCCCACTCTTTGCTTCCTGGCACATCGCAAGCTTGCTCTCCTGTAACAATTTTTCCACAATCGTGTCTCTGTGCTTTCTTCTCTCGTCACTCCTCCGCCATATCAACTGGTCCCCGAACGGTTGGAAGACTACGCTATTGGGCACGTCCGTTTGAGACGCTGGACCAACAATCTCCTTGACGTCCTTACATGTGCTACAGCACGGCCATCCAAGTAAGCGGCAAACCATGGCGCTTGAGCAACCGGCCTAGGATTATGAGATACGAGTCATGTAGTCATAATAATGTTTGCCAGTTGACATAGGCGTTGACAAGGGCTAATTCACCGACCAATGGCCCCCAATTAATGGCTGGGAGAGGGGTCTTTCTAGGCGCTTTCGGTTCTTAGCACACTTAAACACTCCGTGAATACTCAGAGAATCCACCGAATGTAGTGCAGATCCTCGACCAACGGACCATTTACGGTGGAACCCTGCATATGGGGGACTGGGTATGATGGGTCAAGCGCTATGGCTATGGGCTTCCACGTGTCGTGCATGCTTTACTGACATCCATCTATTCACTATTCCTGAAGCCAACTGTCCCAGCACGGGTACGTGGGATTGGTCGCTTTCGTTTCCTGTGATCTTCACGGCCCCTTCCTCGGGAGCTCATGCTTGTTAAGCTTCAACTCGGCAGAAGCACTCCAGCATGTCTCAACGTCTACATACCGAGCTGACCGGGGCATTGCAGACAGTACCATCACAGCAAACAGTATAACCCGAGATATACCACGAGATCGACCGTGAACACGTCCTCCATCCTATACTCTGAGATCTTCCGAAAGAGTCAAATGTGACCACGTTTCCCCGAAAACGAGCTCGTCAATCTTGATTCAATTTTTTTCAATGTCAGAGATCATTCTGATCTGCAAGAACACAAAACAGCGTGCACCCAGGTCTACAATACCTTCACATGAGCTCAGCAATCAGTCCAGCAGTTCAATCCGACAAAGACACACGAGACACTATGTCGTCCCCAGCATCATCGCACAATGAGGCAAAACCGCTGATGCCAACCTCCAAGCAGCAGAAGCTTAAGTACGCCTGTGACGCATGCGCTAGACGCAAGATCTCATGTCCTAAGCAACAACCAGAATGTGAGCGTTGTGTCAGCCGAGGACGTCGTTGCACATACAGCCCGGCCTGCCGTCACGGAAAGCGGAAGGCCACTGCTCGGGACCCTACCACCAAGACGCTCTCATCACCTTCTGAGTGTCGCTCGGAGCCAACTCCCAGCCCGCTCGCGTCCCCGGAAAATGAAGATCCTTTCACAACGGGTACAATGAATCACAGCCCTACCACTTTTGGAGGCGTGCCTCCGGAACTCATCACAGACAACATGTCTGCCCGTCCATGGAGTATGACCAGTGACCTTTCTTTCACGGCGAGTCGTCTGCAAGAAGCTCTGGGTCAGTCAACCGACCCAACAGTGACCATTGTGGAGCCTAGTGAGACACTACTCAACCCGAACTATCCATACCAAGAATTGTCAATGTTCCACGGCTACTCAGAAGCCAACTCCTTCCCTTCATACGTGCCTGCCTTTACCTGGCCATTACAACAAACTCCACCCCCCTGGACATCAGCATCAAGCAACACGCGTGGTTCTTCGTCATCGTCATCAGAGTCCAGTTCATGGTCGGCTCCAGCATCGGCCTGCTCCTCGTCTTCTCTGACAGCAGATATTGAGGCCGCCTTACTCGTCGATCAAGCGCTCCCACAACTTCACACGCGCCAAGAAAGCTGCTTTACACGTACATACAGCCTCTTGCAGACTCTCAGACGACCATCCGGGAAGGTCTGCGTATTCGAGTCGGCTGATATGCCATCTCCATCTTTCCGACCAAATACCGTGTCAGACAGCGTGGATAGGATCCTTCTCAAGACAGATAAAGCAATCGAGCACGTCACTTCCGTCATGAAATGCGAATGCCACACCACATCGAGTGTGCGTTGCGCGCTCACGTTGGCTCTGTTCGAAGTTATATCATGGTACGAGACCATAGTCCGCGCGCTCAATTTACCGCGAGCCGAGAAAGCCACTGAAGAGCGGAGCCCCTCGGTCAGCACCGATGAGGACTATGACAGCAGGTGTACCACTTCACCGGAAGAGCAAGACGAATGGGACGACTCGGAGTACTCCGAAACGGTGTCTATCCCTACCGTCTCGATTGGTGACATGCGACTCCCCGGTGCAGATGCGAGGAGTATCCTAGGCTCCCTTGTGCGGGCGCGGATCGGCAAAGTCCGTGGAATGGTTCAGGCCATGAGCGCTGACTGCAGTCGTTCTCTTTTGGATGTGGCGAAGATGGACACAGTGATGGCTGCATGTGTTCGAAGTGCCCAGTGGAAAGATGATGCGACTACGTTGTCATAGTTTGGCATTTGGCTCACGTGGTATTCCTACGAAGGCGACCAGCTGCTATGGGTCTACTTCTGTCAAAGGATGTACTGATTAATGCAATTGGCGTTCTGATTTCTACGAATTCTTCGTCTCAGGACTCCTACACATAGGACGCCGGCTGTCACATCCGAATAACTGTTGCCGACTGTTGCCTGTCGTTGTATAAAAGCCATAGCTTTGACACACTTCAGCCGTATCACCGCAATGATGCTATTCGAACACTTCCAAGCAGAGCTGTCTCAAAAAACAAGTCCAGGAACACGCTTTGACACGCTTTGAAAACGAACAGGCTTGATCTTTTGATCGTCACGACAGTGTGAAAAGCGAGGAAGCTTGCCTACCAATGATTCAGGCAACCATTGGCATCCGAAAGAATGGTTTTGTGGTTGGCCGCATGTCATTATCCCAAATAAAATATCTTGACAGCATGGTGGTGCCACCTCTCAGCAACCCTAATTCCGACATTCCTTCTGCAATCCTCCTTCAATCCTCCTTCAAAGTGACTCTCTTCCACACCTGCATTACTGCCCGCTGTTAGCGCCCGCCGCCTGTGGACTGCATCTACATGTTTACTTCTCGGACATTACAGTACATCTTACTTACACCTCGACATATACTTACGGCACACCAGCCCCGACACTTCCAGCCAGCCGCCGAACAGCGCCTCTCTGCCAAGCGGGTCCGATGTGCTCCTGGGTCGAACACGAGCAAAATATAGGCCTTCACTTCTTCTCTTCCAATTCTGCACGCAGCCTCTTCTCCCTTACAGCCAAGCCAAATGACCCAGCTCCGGCAGGACCGAGAACGGCACTTGCAACCAGCAGGTACAGAAACTCTATGTTCGATTTTTCTCGGCCCTTCCAGGTTGGAGAACCATTCTTCTTGGGAATATTCTGAAGCATGTAATGCACGAACACCAAGCATGCGGCCCCAGCGATCATATTGTCATATTGTACAAAAAGGTGCAGTCCCTCCTTCAGTGCCTCATGGGACCCTGGAAGCGCCGAAAAGACCTTGCGCGGCGAAGGTCGGAACAGTCGGGAGATGGTGAGCTCGGAACCTCTCATGCCGGTAAGAGCCACGACGACTACATAAAGATGCGCGATGCTGGCAGCGATACCAGTCATGTAGTAAGCAGCCAGTACCCATGGAGCGTCCACGTTGGGGTTTTTGGGGTCTTTCGGAGTTTCAGGGACGGTCGCTGAGGTCCCGGGCCGGGTAAAAAGGACAATGGCGACGGTCATCATTAGCGGCCCCAGTTGAAAGAGACTGATGTAGCCTTGGTGAGTGTGAGTTGGCCAATCCAGCCACGTTGGCGCAAAGAGAAGGAGCGTGGTGAGAGCATTGACGACGATGGTCGGACAAAAGCCGCGGGCTTCGTTCAACGGGATGGTTCGATCCCTAGCAGTATGCTTGCTCCGAGCGATGAAGTAGAGATGGACTGGAGCGATCAAGGCCGCACCACCAGAATTTTGGAGGAACCAGAATCCAATTGCGCTGTAGGAAAGTGTCAATTTGCATTCAACGCGTACGCGGATCCGAACTTACTGTCGCAGCCACGGATGTCGCACACCTCGACGGCGACTTTCGATCAAGACCCAGGCATTTATTGTGCGGATCACGATGGAAGCATCGAATAGCGTCCATCGAGACGCCCCGGCGCTTTCGTTCGTTAGGACATAGAAGAAGGCGACTAAGGGTCTCAGGTTTGAATCGATGACCTCCCACCCGGTATAAGCCATTCGCATGGAGGAACCATCAGGAAAGGTCCCTGTTTCCGAGGCAAGTGTCAATGCGTCGAGCGTGCCATTGAACAACATACCGCCCCATAGCAAGAAACCGCCTAGCACACCTAGTGCCAGTAGCTGGTTAGGCGTGGTCGGCGAAGAAGAGATCATCATTTCTGGTGCCTACTGTTACTGGCAAGCAAATGATTCTCTAGTGTTGTGGAACGAAGAATGACTGCTAAACCACAAGAAGACAGGCGCTCATACCTAGTATATAGTGGTTGGATCGTGCGGTCTCGTAGAGCAGGCCAGATCGGAGAAAAATGGCAATGCAGGAAAATGGTGTGAACGAACCCAGAAGAAAACGCCGAATGCATGTGGAAGTCATCTGCAGCACAGCCCAGTCACTCGTGATTGGCTGGCCACTGATGGATTCCACCGAGGAACAACTCGCCGAGAGAAAATGGCCGACGAAGTCATCTCACCAGAAACGTAAGACGGTACGGTCCATAGACCCGTTTCTGTTTTTTGTCATCTTTATGACCGGTTCACCATACGATGCATTGAAGTATTTCACCCGGCATGGAGCTGCAGGACCTCAGCCTGGAGACTGTTGAACGGCACCACATCAATGACATGTGCAACAGCGGCTGAGCTCCTGTGCTGGAACAGGACTATCGGCTGCGCTGTTCAATGCTTACAGGCGTTAATCGTCCGAACAGCCCGTGGCTGACTTATGTTGTGGAGATTTTGAGAGAATAAAACAAAACCAAGGCCATACCCCAAGCCTCTCCAAGAAGCGTACAATCCTGTGTCGAGTAAGTCCATGACATACCTGTATATTCAATAGCCATGCCAGGACTTACCAGTGTACACTACGACTTGGTGGTGGTGGGCGCCGGCAAGTCCAACCGGTTGCTCAAGAGGAGTCTGATCACTGACCATATGTTCAGGGTGGACGGGCCTCATCTGCGCCCATACGTATCTTCAGCTCTCTCCTGATGCCTCGATGCGGATATTGGATGGTAGCCGGACGATAGGAGGCGTCTGGAGCAAGGAGAAGGTGTACCCAGACCTCTATGCTCAAATCGCACACCCTCTCTTCGAGTACAGTTGCTATCGTATGCCGGCAGAGGGTCTCAGCCCCGACGGATTCATCTCCGGTCAGTCAAGTCCTGGAGTCACCCGCTTGAAACGCGCGCATTGACAAATGTGCAGGTCATACTATTCACAAGTATCTGACCAGCTTCGCACGCGACCATGATTTGGTCCGACGGATGCAATTGGAAACAAACGTCACCAAGGTAGAACGTACCACATCCGGAGGATGGTCGTTGGAAGTCGACAACGGCCCAGCAGTGACCTGTGACAAGCTTATATGGGCTGTTGGTGGTACTTCGAGTCCTATTGTTCCCAAATGGCCAAGCAAGAACTTCAGCAGCCCCATCATCCATTCCTCGCAAGTGGGTGACAACCTCGCAGCCATCGAAAAGATTGAGACCGCGATTGTCGTTGGTGCCGCCAAGTCCGCGCTGGATACCGTCTACATGTTACTCAAGGCTGGTAAGAAAGTCGACTGGGTAAGTCCGAGGCCATAACGCCTTCCTGCAGCATCGGTCATGTGGACGTGCTTGAAGAAGATGACTGACCTCCGGTTCCTGTAGCTCATTCGCGAGGAAGGTGCCGGACCACTGGCTATGGCATCTCCCACGTTTTTCGGACTTTGGAACATCATCGATGTCATCTCGACTCGATCAGTGGCAAGCTTCAGCCCTAGCATCATGAACACGACCGGTATCTGGTACAATGCCATCAGCCAGACCAGCATTGGTCGGTTCACGACCAAGGCGATCTGGTGGGCTGTCGACAAATACTCAGCATACTGTGCCGGCTATTCTGCTAACGAGAACTTTGAAAAGCTCAGGCCAGAGCCACGTGGATTCGGGTAAGCCTTATCTTGCCTCATCAAATTACCCTCGTTGAGACTTGCTTCGCAGATTGTTCTGGGCCCAAGCAGGTCTAGGAGCAGCATCGGCTCCCGATTTCTGGAAAACCATGCATGAAGGAGACCTCACTGTACACCGAAGTGAGATCACGTCTTTGACAGACAAAGATATCGCACACCTCAAGAGCGGTGCTTCCGTCCAGACAGACATGATCTTGGCGTGCTCCGGGTATGAGAAGCCATATAGGTCTTTCGGCAAAGGCTTGCGAGTTGACCTCGGCTTGACCTATGGCAAGAATGACACCATTAAATGGGCCAAGCTTGAGGCCCAGGGTGAAGAAGAAGTCGACCGGATGCTACCTATCCTCAAAGAGTGGAGCCCCCAGGGCGCGAAAAGCTCCCTGGCGCCACACGACGATGAGCACCTTCACGGACCTAGTCGACATTACCGTCGTCTCGTCCCACCTTCGGCCGCTGCGCAAAACGACCGCACAATCTTCTTCCCCGGCATGGTCCACAGTATCTTTACTCCTTTGATTGCTGAGACGCAGGCGCTGTGGGGATGCGCATACCTTCTTGGCCACCTCGACCTACCCAACGAAGAGCAGATGAACCAGGAAGTTGCCACGTTTAACGTGTGGACACGCAAGCGATACCTGGCCCAAGGCCGCAAACATGCATATGCCATCTTCGATTTCCTGTCGGTATGGGAAGCCTTATCATTCAAACCCCCTTGTCACCCCTCCCTGCAAAGCTGACTGAAGTAAACAGTACATTGACACACTCTGCCGCGATCTTGGAATCAAGACCGCAAGGAAGGGCAATTGGTTCTCTGAGATGTTCGTACGGTACAAGCCCAGTGACTACAACGGTATGTTGAAGGAGTTCGCCGAAGCTCAACGCGCCAAGGGAAAAGTGATCACCTTGGAGAAGAAGATGGCTTAGGCGCCGTATCTGTGCAGTTGGTGAGGTGCAAGGCGAGTTTGGTACCTGGCACCCTAAATCAGACCCATTTGGACTCCTAAGTTGCGAATGAGCAAGCATGCAGGCAATGCAGATTCAATCTGGACAGGATGGGCGTTCGGCGATCGTTGTCAAGGAACAGGAGAATGGCTTCATCCCTTGACTAGTTCTATCATGAGCAAAAGAACCTTGACCTTCGATCTTCCCACACTCGTCCGATAATTACTCTAAAGAAACCGGAACGGAGCAGGCAGATGATCGAATGCGTCGGACAGGGGGAAAAGGGGCTTGTTTCCACCTCAGCCCCGTGATCCACCGTATTACGTATATGGAGTTGTGCTTCCCACCAGAAGCCCAGACCATCTTCAGGCATACCAGCGTTGGCAGATATGTCTGACGACACAGTAGCGTTCAGCAACTGCCACCTCAATCTTGTACACCTGTGGTCAGCCTGAATCTACCTTCGTCCACCATGACCTTGTCCAGTCCTTGCATCGCTCGTGATTGTTCACGCGAGCATGGCGTTGGTCCACAACAATCTCCGCTTGTCCAGAACATGTTTCGCGGACGCGTCTCAAGCATAATATTGCTTCGTCGATCACTACGATGACTTGAGGAGACTAGCGCTGTGGGCTGTCAACCTTAGACTGGAATATCCCAACGTGATTGTCCATTGCTACCTTTCGACAATGATGATGACTATGAAAGAACGAGAAAGAGTCCAAGGAGTCTGACCAGCATTTCCGGTCTTCCTCGAGAAGTCCGCGATTCAGGTGGATGTCAGCAAAGCAGGACTGGCGTTACAAGCAAAGGATTGAAACAGAATGCGAATATAGCTCTCAAATTCCTGTGTGAAGACACTTCGGCCTTGTCCAATCGGTCGATATGTCTCACAGCCTTGCCACAGCCGCTCGACAGAATCCTTTCGGTGCCTTTTCCAAAGATAAGCAACATTCCGAGCCGACACTGACGCTATGGACCTCTGTCTAGATGCAAGAGCCGTTGGCTCGTGGGGTCCGTTGCAACTTCTCTCAAACACTCCTTGTGGATGAGTTGGAAATGGCCGACCTGCTCTACTGCGAGCCAACTTCGCGTCACTCGGAGAGAAGCCACTGTGGCGATGGATTGTGTGAGCACTGACGGAGGATTTCATTGCGTTGCAAATCGGGCTCTTTTTTCTATGGTTCTGCTCTGCATACAATGAGAAGCGTGGCAGTCGTGAGATCCAAAACCATCCGTGAAAACTAACGGGCCAAAAGGCACAATATAACACAAAATGTCCTCGCCTTCGGTCCGACACGGCTCATCTCCAGCATCAATCATTACCATCTTCACAATCTGGCCACCAAGACAGCTCGGGTCAATATCCCACATTACCACGCTCGCTAAATTTCGTCCGAGATCCGGTCTAGTACAGCCACCAAGCCACAGCCACTTACCAAGATGCGTGTCCTCTGTCTCCACGGCATGGGCACCAATTCGGGCATCTTTGAGGCCCAGACAGGTAAGACTTGAAGGGTTGGAGGCGCTCATGCCCCATGCCCCAAACCTTCAACAAACGTGGAGCCCAGCGCTGATTGGTCCGCAGAGATGTTTCGATCTCTTCTCCCTCATCATTTCGAGTATGAGTTTTTCGATGCCGACCATGAGTACCCAGCGGCCGAAGGGGTTGGCGAGATCTTCCCAGGCCCATACTATGCCTTCTACCCCGTGCCGACAACGGACAATGTGGCAGGTGCCCACCAGTATGTACAAGAAATTCTCGATGAAGAAGGACCTTTTGATGCCGTAATGGGCTTCAGTCAGGTACGTCATATGTGGCTAGAACACTGTCCTTCCTTCCCTTTGAGACTTGAAGTAACTTTCTCATAGGGTGCTGCACTGGCAGCCTCCATACTACTCCGACACGAGAAAGAGAAGCCGCTTGAGCCAGCCCCATTCCGTCTGGCAATTTTCATTTGTGGTAGTCTGCCTTACTGGTTTGAATCCAATCAAGGGGTAAATGTTGCCGGTCTCTTCCTGCAGCCCTCCGACACAGGGTTTGGGCCACCAGTAGGCATTACTTACCAACCTTCAAGAGACGACGGGAGCGCCGAAGCCAAGCCGATGGCTGGAAGCGCGAAGATGAGGTCCGGAAAAGGCACAGCTGAGAGTGCCGCCCTTGAAATGGGCTTTAAACTTGCGACACTGGACGAAGGGAAATGGAGCAGCACGGTCGTCGTGGCGGAATTGCCCGGCTCTTCCGGCAGCAGTGACTATGATGGTGACGACAGCCCAGCAGTGTTCTCCCCGATGGACAGCAGCGCTGCCAGTCAGAGCTCATTCAGCTCCCCAGATGATTCGGACGATGAAGAGTTTGATTGGGGGACGAAACCGACAGAAATTGCTGCTGCTGCTGGGGATCACATCGTGCGGAGGTTGCACCCATCTGTCGACAAATTGCGCATTGGCATCCCGACTGCCCATATATATGGCAGCACGGACCCCTATTACCGTCAGAGTCTTGGACTGGCAGGCCTGTGTGAGTCAAAGTGGGCGTCTACTTACGAGCATCCTGACGGGCACATTGTTCCACGAGACAAGAGCGTCAACGTGAAGATTGCAGCGACGATTGAACGTACGCTTAAAATGGTCGACGCGCTCTCAAGATAACGAGGTTGTCGACTGACTTTTTCTGCTTCGTGGTGTGATGAGGTCAAGCTGCGTCAGTCTGCTTGGTTCTAGGCCCAGCTGCTTTCTTATCTATACCCATCCGCACGGACGGTGGGATGGCAAGATCGATCGGACCGAATTGCTTCATGCCGGACCACACACCTCGTCGTGTTGTACGGGCCTTTTGTACGATCCACTCTGCCGTGGAGCTGCGGATGGAAGATGATGTGAAAACTATGACTGATTGTCTTAGGGTCAGATGGTCAAATATTTGTTGTTCTGCTCGGGGAGAATATCGGTGCTGACTTTCCAGGTTGTGCGGGCTATTTGGAATCTGGGAGGGGAATGGGAGAACCGTTTCACAGAAAGGCCTGATTACTTCTAGAGATAGAGTTCGCCAAGTCAAAGTCGAAACGAGGACTGTTTAGATCGCGATATATGTGGAGAAATCATCTGCAATTACCCGGGGCTTTTCTTGCGTATGCCTGTCTCGACACAATCTTCCATTCAAGGTCGCAGCCTTGCCCCTGAAGCACGTGACTCATGCGTTAAAGGGTCCGGTTGAGCTTTCCGCCTTATTAGCGTTTCGGCACAAGACTAAGTATCCTATACCCTTCCTGTAGCGGTGCGGAGCAAGTACAGCTGGGGTCTGTCGTCCTGACTAACAGCACATGGGGGGTTTTCAGCCTCCTCCCCACCACGTGGTCAATTTAGTCCGAAGTGGAGCAGGTCCAACCCGTCTTGCAGTTCTGACCAGTATGGTAAGCAGCGACTACGGTCTCTATCACGATTGGGGTGGTCGGATATTGTGGATTGCTGATACGCCTGCGCGACTACCATGGTGAGTCGTATGAAGGGGTATTCATATGTTTAGCATTTTTACCTTCCTTCACAACCAAGGTCTAAATATTAGATCTCACTCGGACGGTTTCTCGGTGATAGCTACTTAGCTCCTCGCAGCAGGGGTGATCAAACCATGATTCATCCCGCTTCTGCAACAGTGTATGTTTCACGCCGAGCCAGGCCGACACTGCATAGCAGGCCACGTGTAGTGACATGATCGGTCTTACCTAGTCAACTATATGCACGTGCCCGTATGTGTACCACACCTATATAAGTTCTGTAATTGTCTCATGTCACATACGGATTCTCACATACGTTCACTTCGCATAAGCTGTACCACTCCCAAAGATGACTGCATCAGGTCCCTGTAACATGAAGATCTTTGTCTTCTTCACCTTCTTGGCACTTACTGTTGCCCAAAAGCTGCCTGTGCGATCCATCTGGCAGTGGCCTCAATACACATTCCTAGAGAACCTGGCAGTCCGTCAGAATGGCTCGATCCTAATGACACGATTGGATGAGCCTTTACTGCTAGAGATCGACCCGTTTTCGGGACAAGGACCTCAGCTCGTCCACCAATTCCCAGAGTATCTAGCCGTGGGGGGTATCGTCGAGACCGAGCCCGACCTGTTCGCCGTTGTATCGGGCAACTTCTCGGTGCTGAAGCTCACCAGCTACGCCGGCACATATGCGGTCTGGCACGTGGACTACCGCTGCAGCAAGAGCGGTGCTCCCGAGATCTCGAAGCTCACCGATATCCCGCAGGCGGCCTTCCTCGATGGCATGACCTATGTCCCTTCAGCTAAAGCGCTCTTCATCGCCGATGCTCAGCTGGGTCTGATCTGGAGGATGGACATCCAAACGGGCAAGTATGTGGTGGCGGTCAACAATACTCTCACCCAGAAATGCCACGCGACCGACCTCGAAGCAGTCAATGGGCTCAAATACTTCGACTCAACCTTATACTGGACCAATTCTGGGTGTGGATGGTTTGCAAAACTACCAATTGATACCAATGGCAACCCCAATGGGACTGCCAGCAAGATCTACCCAAACTCGGAGCTGAGTCTGGATGACTTTGCGATTGCATCGTCGAGTGGCATCGCCTATCTGTCGGCAAGCTTCATCAACCAGGTCGTCACCATTGGCCCGGACGGAAAGCTCACGAGCATTGCTGGTGGCTTGAACTCGAGTGACGTGGCTCAGCCAACGGCATTGGCTTTTGGGAGGACGAGTGCGGACTTGAAGAAGGGCATTGTCTATGTGACTACGGCGGGTGCTATTGGAGATCCCATCAACGGGACTACAGTCGTCGGTGCACAATTGCTTGCTATCGACACGAAGAGCACGTGAAGGCTACTCTGGCCTTAGAAAATGGAGATTGAGGTAAAACACCTGAGTACATATTGGTCAATCTCATAGCGACCATGGCCGTACAGCAGCCGGTTGGTCGGTCGGTCAATTTAAATGAAGCTGACCTGTGGTCTCATTCATAATACTGTACATATTCTTCTGATAATTACCATGCAAAACTGAGCGTATGTCTCAAATTGAGAGACGACGAGACGAAGGTCGCTATGTGGTATTGAATTGGAGTTACGTGGGGCATACCAGTGCAGGGCAATACCCCAATCCTTCCACAGGCCCTACGGGTCTCCACTTATATACAAAACCCGCCGAGTGTGCATGAAAATAGGCCGACCTCTGACCTCAACACCTTGTTTTCTCATCCCTTGGAAGTCTAAGAACATGGGAGGCAGGGTGATATGGTGTGATTCGATTGTGTACCAGAAGGGCAAGAGTTTATGTGCTAATCGGAGTAAGCCAATGATTATGAGTGACTTTCTGAAAAAATCGAATATTGGCTCCAGTCTATGCAGCTATCACACGCCATAACAAACATATATGAATTCGCGCGAGATTGTTGTCTACATCGCCGTAGACGTCGTCTCCAGGCCAGGAGATTTGCTAGGCCATTCGCTTCTTTTCACCGCTCTTGCATAGATGTTCAGCGGACGAATCACCTGGAACTCCGGGTCATATTCCACCGCAGCTGGACTCGTGTTCTCCCAGTGGTACCGGTAGATCATGTTGCACAGAACGAACTTGGTCTGCATAAGGGCGTAGTTGTATCCAATACAGCCCCGTGGTCCCATAGCGAACGGCATGTAAGCCGCTTTGTGTCTGTTCTTGACGTCGTCGGTGTCCCAACGATCGGGGTCGAAGCGCTGGGGATCATGCCAGTGCTTGGGATTGGTGTGGATAGCTGGGAATGTGGGAATCAGGACGGCGCCTTTGGGCAGTCTATAGCCACCGGGAAGAATCATGTCCTTTTTGGCATTGCGCCCCGCCTGGAAGGCTGGGCTATGGATGCGTAGGGCCTCCTTGACGAATTTGTCAAGAAACGGCATGTCCTCGACTAGTTCAGGAGTGTATGTGGTTTCGGCTGTGACGCCGTGGTCAACCAGTTCCTGTAGAAGCCGATCTTGCTGGCCCTCATACGTCATGAGACAGTAAATTTGCCACGAGAGCAGGGCGGATATGGTGGTGAATCCCGCACCAAGGACCGCCAGGGTGTTTGTGAGAACGAGATCGTAGGGGAGTTTGTTGCCTTTACTGTCTGTCGCGCGAGTCAGATAATCGACCAGGCAAGTGGCCTTGAGAGCCGCTTCGTCCATAGGCATGTCTTTTGTCTCATTTCGAGGGCAGACCTCAATCAGATCGTCGACGACCGAGGCGATCTCGAGACGGCAATGTTGTAGTGCTCTTGGAGCTCCTGGACGGAAGGAAGAATTAGATGGAAGTGGAGGAAATGCTAAAGCAAGGGATTGCATACCAAAGGGCATCTTCCCATACCAATCACCACGCGTCTGCACCTCCTTATTGAGTTCTAATAGGTGACCCAGAATAACCATAATAGGGTGCAAGGGTGAGTTCGGGGCGTCGAAGTGGTGGGGGTCGTGGCCAAGTACGAAACGACACAGGAGCTGGCCGGAGAGTTTGACCATGAATTGATAGACGTTGATGGCGAGTCCCGCTTGGTCAAGCTTGTCAAAGACGGGAAAAGACAATTGCACGGCCTCTTGCATCAATGGAGCATAATGGCGTACCGCTTTCGGTGACATGCTTGGCGGGATGAATTTGTGTGTCAGTGCGAAAGATGGCGTCTCGGTATCGCAGGTGAATAGGGCTGAATTATCTCGGATGCCATACAATGGGGCACCACTGTCGGACGTCTTCTTGGTGAAAAGACCATGACTTTCCAGGTAGGCAATGTAACTGATTTCGGGGTCGTTGGTGAAGTAGTTGACTCTGCCCAGGTTGTTGGTCTTGATGATCGGTCCATATTTCTGGAACAACCGTTGGTGGTTTCCCATGTGATCGGGAAAGATCTGATAGAAATTGCCAATCACTGGTAAGCCTGTTGGCCCTCGTGGCTCCGTGATGGCATTGCCATCAACCGTGATGGCGATCGGGGTCTCGCAGGCCAGGACAGCTTCGATAGTGTGTAGATGACCGCTCAGACTTTGAAATGCTACACCTGTTGTCGTGCATACGAGGTTAGTGAGTAGTATGGAATCAATGCGCACACACAGAGATGAGATCCTGTACCCTCGGGCTTGACAATCGTGTACTCGGTCGCTATGCCATACTGCAAATCCTCGATATCCCTTGGCACACCAATGTCCAACTCACGCCGACTGGTCTGCTCCTCCCCCAGCAGATAGAACTGCTTGAGGCCAGGATACTTGAGACCCATCCTAATGTAGATGTCTTTCTGACAGGGAAGTTGAAGATCTCGCGCCAAGAAAGAGAAGGCGTGGGGTCAAGCTGTGAGGACAGTGAGAAACAAAGGCAGCGAGGACGAAGAGGAAACGAGTGATAGAATTCACGATCATGTACAGAGGCAGCATTAGATGGGAGATCTTGGTTTCAAGACAAATTCTAACATGTTCATTCTGTGTGGGTGGACGTCGAGATCGCATCAGTTCATGCTAGCACTTTGTCGCCTTGGATGAAGGAGCAACAACAGATGGATGGTGTTATCGGCCCATTTGCACTGAGCCAGGATGACAAAGAGGGCGATAGCAATGTGCATCGTTCGGCGGATTTATGGAAACTGTCCGAAGCCATGGGAGCACGTGTCACATGGCCACCGGGCAACGACAGACAGGGCCAGCCATCTAGACCGCACAGAAGTAGCCGTTGTTATCTGACAAGGCTCCATCGATTCATGCTGCATTGTGCTGCAGGAGCTCTAGCGAGGAGATTGCGGTTTAAACAAGGCTGGTGGATCCAATGCCAAATTCTGAACTTGCCGGTTCGAGTAGTGGGCAAGGGGGTATACGTGGCACACTACTGCATCTGCTATGCGGTCATTAAGCCAGCAGCTGCAGCAGAGCGTTGAATGGTCACAGAAACCTTCCGTAGGCCCACAGCTCAAGAAAGAGGATAGTTTAGCTCCGTCATTTTCGACACATGCTTCGCCTGCGAGCAGCCTACAGTGTCCCCCGGTTCTTTCGAGCAGCAACAGGTCCGAACAAGGCGAAGGTGATGTTGCAACATGTATCCTTTACATAGTAAACGGCGCAAAGGGCTCGGGCTAACTATGTGCCCGAATCAATTCTTCCCAAGCCTCCGTTGCGCGTTGGAGTATTAATATGATGCTTCATCAGTATAGCATAATTAGGGAGTGATGTCTGTCTCTCTCTTTTCGTGCGACGTCCTCGGAGTCGCCTCACTACGTCCTGAATAACCTGTCGTACCGGATATCTCCCACTGCAGTGGCCCCTACCTGAACGATGACGACCCTCGAGGTCACCCAGGCCCAGGGCGTTCTCACAGTCGAAGAGCTTGCTTCACATAACCAGCCCAACGACTTGTGGATTGCAGTGGATGGAAAAGGTTGGGACATGCTCTTTTTCACTTTCTTCCGTGCATGCCTTTTGCATAGGTCGGAAAGCCGCTGATCTGCTCTCTTGTTCGCCCTAGTTTACGATATTACCAAATACACTGAGATCCATCCAGGAGGGGTCCAAATCCTCTGTGGAGTCGCCGGTACCAATGCAACGGCCGCTTTCCACGACGTGGGCCATTCCGAAGATGCCCACGAAACGCTGCAGGCCTTCCTGGTAGGCACGTTGGAGCAAAGCGAGGAGGAGACTCGCGTACGGCCCATCTTCCAATCCACAGTCCTTTTTCCCGCTGCAGCTGCAACCTACACGAGTCGAGGGTTCCACGTCTATCTCGCGATAAGTTTGGCGAGTCTGAAGCAAGCACTCAGCCTGACCTGCATGATCGTCGCCGCTAAATTTCTCCTGCCCGACTTGGTTAGCGTGGCCGTGCTCTCCGGAGCCGTCAGCGCGGTATCCTCGTTCTGGAAAGGCGTCATATTGTCGTCGGCTGCTAGCGGTATGTGCCTGTGGATCGTGGGCAGTGAGGTCGGCAAGTCTCTCGACATGACGGATGGTCTCAGACGTTATCCCCCGATAATGAAGCCCACAAAGGCTCTCCACGGCCCATCTTTCGGGGGGCCGAGGGGGCAGGCTGCCAACAATGGTGCCTTGAACCCAAGCCATTTCAGCGCTTTCATCCTCACCGAGCGGATGCAGCTTACCCCCAATACCCACCGTTTCAAGCTCCAAGTTTCTCCAGATGCACAGTCCATGGGCTTGTTGTTATCAAGCTTCCCAGTGGGTCAGCATGTTCAAGTACGTGCAGACATCGACACTGCCACAGTGGTTCGAAGCTACACCCCCACCGACATGGACACGCAATCCGGATGCATCGAACTGACGATCAAAGTCTACGCGGGCAGCAAGATGGGCAATCACCTCCTCCACCTCCCTCTGGGTGCTGCAGTCGACCTGCGAGGACCCGTGGGTCATTTCAAGGGTTATCATCGCTTCCTGTGTAGCGAGCTCGCCATGATTGCAGGAGGCACAGGAATCACCCCCATGTGGCAGCTTATCAAGGCCATCTGTGGAGACCCTGCGGATGAAACTTGCATCACACTACTGTACGCCAACCGAACGCCAGCCGACATACTTTTACGGAAGGAGATCGACGCTCTTGCCGCTAGTTGCCCCAACAAGCTCAAGGTGCACTACTTCCTCAGTGCTGATCCCTCTACGGCTTCTTGGGTGGGCGAACGTGGAAGAGTCACTGCCCACAAATTGGCACAGTTGCTCCCACCTGTCAGCAAGACTGCCAAATATCTCATCTGTGGACCGGACCCCATGGTCGATGCGGTCACGCAGGATCTCGTGGGTCTTGGCTGCGACCATCCCAAAGCATTCAAGCATGCCACCGATCAGGTCTTTGTTTTCTAGGCAAGTCGGTGTTACGCCGAGCAGTGTCAACCACGATATGCTGGTGTTGGAGCGACGCGGGGACATGGTTTTTCCCCCACTGCCAAGGAAGCCACGGTTCTGCACGTGTCTCCCGGACAGGTCAGGGAAGACTTGGGGCGACCTGGGAGATAACACTCTGGTTGGATTCATGCGAGGCTTTTTTCGACCGGACTGTAAATTACGAGATGTGTAATTGACTCAACGCCATGAAGGATCGACAAAGAGGTGACACATGCTGCTGTACATGTACTACCTCGATCGACAAACCTTTGGCACCACGATAAGCAGCTGGCAAGCTTAATTCTCGACACGACTTCTTCCGAATCAACTAAATATAGTGCTCGCAACCAGGATTACTGGGAAGAGAGAACCGGGTCACGTGTACGTGGGTGTCTTAATTAAGCCGACGGAGCGGCCGATACGAAGTGAGGTTAAATCGATGTTGACACGTTGATCAAAGTCCATGGTACTTTATGTCACAATTTGAGTAGATGGACTGGCAACAGATATTGAGCGATTGGACAATCTATTCTATCTGAACGCCTATTTGACAGGCAAAGGCAAATCTCATGATGCCATTGACAGTGACGACGACATAACTCCAGGAACTCCGAACACACGCATGACAGCGTCAGTCTAATCAGGTATACTTCTCTTATCAGGCTTCGGCAGACCTCAATTATGGGTCCTGTACAACACCGAGGGGCCCTGGATCATATATGGATCTATGACCACTCCATACTCCGTGTTGCCGCAATCCTTGCCCAGTCAGAAAAGCAAAACCAGAGGAACGCCGTGAAGCAAAGGGTGAGGGAGTCGATGGGCCTGGAGCCTCAGATTGATGAACACTGACATCGAGTAATACCTCAACTGGATCAGTAACTCGGATTGTTGTTCCCAGCATTCTTCTTCATATTTTCGAACTCGGTGTGAACAATGCTGATCTCCCTCGTAGCATCCTCCGTCAAATACTTCAGACCGCGGTCAAGCTTCTCGATGTTGACCAAGGCAATGCGAGTTTGCAGAATGTTGCATCCCAACCGATTGAGGAGGAGCATGTTGTCTAGACTGGACTGTGCGTCCGGCAACTCGCTCCGCATCAGCGCTTGGCAAAGACGGGCGACGGTGAGGATTGCGGTGATGGCAAGGGCGATGAGAGACTGGTCGGGCCGAATGACGGCGCTGGGGGCTCTGAAGTCCATGTTCGTTCCGTTCATCTTTGCCTCGGAACGTTGACTGAGAACGACCTGAAATTGGTCCTTGAGTGTGCTGCAGGTGGCCATGCAGCTGGAGTCGATGGTTGAGATGACGATGGTGAGTTGATGATGTCGAGTGTGTGGGTGGGAGAACAACTTGCCACTTCGGACTTTCTCAAGACACCGTTGAAGGCGATTGATGTGGCCGAGGAGAGTGGAGAAGCATCCTTCGGGTCCCTTTTGCTCGCCGAGGGCTAGCATGGAGGACGCGGGCATGGTTGAGATTGGTGTGGAGAAGAAGGACCCGGATGCGGACGCGGGTGCCCTGTTGAAGTTGAACTCGGTGCTGGGGATGCTGGGCAGGCTTCCCAGACTGGGATAACTAGCACTATGGGAGTGCTGACTGGGCGCCATGGGGATGTTGTCCGGTCTCTGGAATTCGAAGTAGCATTCAGCGGGAAAGTCTTGATACTGGAAAGAGGTCAGGTCCAGGTCCATGTCCATATCCATGAATTCGTTCGTTGACACTGGGTGGAGCTTGTTTGGCCAGTCCATATTTTCAAAGCAGGGAAAGCCCATTTCGAGGTTGGTGTCACTCATGGACCGAGTGGGTATGTGAGGCCGCATCGTGTTGGTGTCGATATTGTTGGCGGTGTGATTATTGTTGGATTGTTGAGTGTTCGATCGCGGTGAGCTTTTGGGTGACGGAGTGGAATGCGTCCTTGTCCTCGCCAGCTGCTGTTGTTGCTGTTGTTGTGATGACATGGCATTGCCTGACTCGACCATGGCGGCGTGCTCGGCCATAGCGGCTGCGGCGGCGGCTGCCGTTGATCCCAGTGCTGCTGCATTGGACCGACGGTCCTCCTTGTTCCCATCCTCGCCCACTTTCGGCCGGCCACTTTTGTTGCGGGGGAGGAAGAAGCATAAGCGACCGTTGTTCTGGCACGCTCGACACGCACCAGCTTTCGTCGTGTGGCATTTGATCTTCCGGCTGTGACATTCTTCGCAGGCATCTCGAACTTGAGGACAGGCTGATGGCTCTGTACTGTCTGCGGTTGCCATGGTATGTTGTTGCAGAAGAGGCAAGTCATCAAAGCATTTGGGAAAAGCCACGAGCAGACGAGTGGAACAATTAGACCACTATATGAAGTACCGCTACCCACCCACCACTTGAGGGGATGCTGATCAGGCATGCCGTCAGTACGACTTATATGTGCCACAGACTTCACTTTGGCGTCATTCGTTTTGACTTCACCCGGGAGACGAGGGGCTGACTCGAAGTGCTTCTCGTGCACCTCGACCTCTCTCTTTTCGTCTAGGTCAAGCTTTGGTTGGCCCGTGATAAGAACGGCTGTTTCGAAAGTCGAGGTCCGCAAGGGGAACCCGTGTAGGACAAACAGGCCGATCCACTAAGGTACTTACTATAACTTAGTAGTATACTTAGTATACTTAGATTCGAAGTCGCTCGTGAGGCTAGGGAAGCTCAGCTTCATGCACGTGCAACCCATATCAGGCTGTGCGGTGGAACACAGTACGTACTGCATGTGCTAACTAATGCAGCTCGTACTTTCTCACTCGGACCCTGCAGATAGTTCCTGTCCATGTTCTTCGTCGTACATGTCCTACTCCACTTCGGCAGGTCCTCAGCTTCAGGAAACACCTGCTGGGTGTGTGCTGTTGGCTTAAAAAGAACGAAATATCCCGAATTCAGCCCCCAAAACACTCTTCCACTTCGACCAGGATAGCTTTATCTGACTTTTCCTCAACCAGTCACAACTTTCGAACTTGGCCCTCGCCCCCAACGTCTTCGGCCCCTTTCGTCAGGATTGCCTCGTCAGGAGCACACCCACTCTCACAATGTACGCAGATGGCGCCGGGTGCCAGCGCACTGCCGACAGCTACCCTAGACGGTTCGAAGTGGCATGAAACCTACGCAGGATTATATGGAGCACTGGGCCAACGTAGTATCCATTAACCCTGTATTAAGCACTCCTGCGGCTGAGGACTTTCTCATTGCTTCTCAACAATTTTCGGTACCAGCACACGGTCTCTCTCTGAAATGCAGACATCACGGAGTATATAACGAGTAGGTTTCTCCGGGTATGTCCTGACTTCTGATAACGGCGACACCCGCACGGACGGTTTTCTCGACAGGGGAGCCGGAATACGAGCCGCAGTGGGTAATTTGCACGCCACAGCCGCACTTCTAACTTCCGACCGGGGTGCCCTTATCCTGGTTATTCGTGGACAGAACTGGTGGCCTGATTGGATAGTCAGTGCAACAGTAAGACCAATCACCTAATGCCCCGAGGACATTTCGGTACAATGCATGGTTGCGAGTCTTCTTCGGATGGTAGGGAATACGAGAGGCTTGATAGCCGCAGATCATCTCCAACGTCCCCCAGCTTCTGTACTGGAAGTGCTAGATTTTCACCGACAGAGTACGGCTCATTTCTCGACGACATGGCTGTTCAACATGGACGTATCTCGCCCTCTGGATATAAGAGTATGGCTATCCAGCGACGACTTTCGCTCTCTACAACCGCCTTGATCATCCAAAAACCATTTCGCAATATTGCAACTGTACTTTCGCAACCGTATCTTTGCAGCATCATCTGTGCAACCGCATCATGCCCGGCCTCACATTCAGTGACACGGCTGCCGTCGTCGGCAGTATCTCCTCTTTGTTACTGGCTGGTGTCAACTTTTCGGCCTCCCAGCTGACGCTCCCGATCTTATACCGCATCCCTGACGAGACGAGTACTTCCGTCTTCGAAGAGCTGTTCTATCGTGGAGGCATGGTCATTGTCCCTTTGACGCTTTTCGCGACCCTCTGTACGGGAACCACGGCTTATCTGGAACCGACTGCGAGATCCGGATATACGGCAGCTGCGGTGGCCTCGTTCGCTTCATTGCCGTTCACCGGTCTATACATGAGGCCGACCATCCAGCGCCTGCTCAAGCTGGCGAACGATGAGAAGGCCAGACAGAAGGCTGACGCCAATGAGGCTGTGTCTCTCCTGAAGAGGTGGAGATGGATGAACTTCGTCAGAGCGGCACTTGCCCTGGTTGGAGGTGCCGTTGGACTTGCTGTGCTGTTGGGAGCCTGGTAAAGAACGATGTCCACCCCCTCGACAAGATCACAAGCCATTCAGAAGTTCGTCTGAACGCTGTGGTTCATGCAACGCCTGTCAGGATCGAATACGAGTTGACTTGTACTCGTACAAATGACGGTCAATTGGGAAGAGATACGCAACGACTCGACATAAACTTAAATCTCAACATCGTGAATGATCGAGCCCTGCAAGGACTGTCATGAACTTGAAGTGAATGCCGCTTGCTCTTAGGGCATTCACCAAATCGCTACTGCAACCACCATCGACCCATCATTAACTCCCGACGCATGGAAATATTCAACTCAAGATGCAATTGCATCGGCTGTTGTCCGCGGTTGTTTGGAATCCTGCAGACTGGTCTCTAAGCTGGAAGGAGACCACAGGGATATGAAGGTGTTCAGGCGTTCTGAATACGTTCAATGTACTTTGCCCTCTTTTCCGATGAATACGCCCAGTTGCACATCTTGAGCCACACATGTTATAGTCACGTTACTCAGTACGGCTATGCCAGTGTTCATGTGAAAAAGAATCCCTCATCTTGTCAATGCATTTTCTGGCGTTACCAGATCACTGTAGGATCACTTGACTGCAGTAAGCGGTGTTATCTTGTGGGTCACAATGTAGTCTATGATTAGCCCTCGATCCTAGGAAGACAAACCGGTGAGATCTTGTGTACCATGCATGGGTCAGTAAATCACACCATAACATTGTGTGACGCGATGAGCCTGTGGTCAAGGCGGTGACTTGGTACTTTTGACCTAAAGCGAGCACAGTGAAAGATAACCAAAAGATACTGTTATTGTCTTGACAAACGACTATGGGTATCTGTTGCAAGTGATATCGAGGTGAGAATATTCTCGGGAAAAGCAATCAAGTTCCTCCAGCGCATATTGTAAGACTGCTATTCACACATTCTCACGTCTCTGCTCCGGTGACGACGCGCTTCATCAACACGTCAACAGATTAGATAATGTCTCCGGTCTCTTGTTTCTTCAGAGTCTTGGTAAAGTGCTCCCGCTCGTTGAAGAACTTGACCTCATCCTCTGTGAATAGACGACCTTCTCTTTCAGCTTTGATCCGTTGAAGTCTGACACGACGTACATCCCACTCCAGATTGCGAGTGAGATACCAGTTCAAGCAATTAGCTAGAAAACAACCTGCCAGTGCCCCAGTGCAGACGCCATAAGAGACCTTATATCCGCCTGCAGCATATTTTGAGCGGAAGATTTGCGGTCCAATAACGCCGCCCAACTGACCGATACCGGACTGAAAACCGAGCGCAAAGGCGGTTCCCGTCGTGCCGCTTAGAGATGAGGTTCGCCAGGACCAGAAAGGTATGGCAAGACAGGCTGAGAACATGCTCCCAAGCACACAGGCGGTGTAGATTGCACCTCGGTGGCGGGTTCCAAGAAATATGGCGAACGTGGCAACTTCGCAAAGAACGATTGTAACAGTGAGCAAGGGACGAGGTACCCAAGCTTTCTTCAAAATCCAGGCCGCAATGATGATTGCAATAATACCAGCAGCGGCCGGTGGGATATTGAGCAGCTGATTTCGTGGAAGGCCGGCAAAACCGAGATTCGTTGTGATTGTCGGCAAGAACCAACTGAGGCCGAAGCCACCTGTGTTCATAAGGACCTGCGAATAGTGTCAGTTGCTAGTCGTCGTGGTGACATCGGAATGAGAGAGTGTACCTGTGCCAACATGAAAGACCACATCCGTACGTCTTTGATTGTGTCCTTGATCTCTTTCCAGGAAAACGCGGCGTCTTGTGTCCGTGGCGCGTTCTCTGTCAATCTTATCTCGAGGAATTTCTGCTCGCGAGGGGTGAGCCATTTGGCAGATCGTGGCGACTTCGGGTAGTCGGGATAGATGAAGAAGATCAAGCCTGCGAAAGCTATGGTGACAACACCTTCGATTAAGAACACCCTGAGATCACATAGGTATATCAGCAAGTGACCCTGCAAGATGTAGTCATCACTTTTGAGGTGCAGCGTAGCTTACCATTGCCATGAGCTCATGCCTTGCTTCCCATCAAGATACGAAATGCCGTAGACGAGCAAAGAGCCAAGAATACCCGCAAGGTTGAAGATCCCGAAAAGCCACATGATGGGTTTACCCATCTCGTCGCTTCGGTACCTGTCGGCAGACGAGCATTAGCATCTCAAACGTACGAGGAAGACGTGTAGACACTTACCAGCTACAAAGCTGGGTCATGATAGATGGGAATAACCCGGCCTCTGCCAGTCCGAGAAAGAATCGAGCAGCGTAAAGGCCTTCTTTATTTCGGACTGCAGCATGGCAAGCGAGTACGAGTCCCCACAAGACGCAAATTCTGGTCTGGAATACTCGTGGTGTCATCTTTTTGAGGAAGAGGTTGCTTGGCAGTTCGAAGATAATGTACGAAATCTGAGATCTGTTAGCTCTGACCACAAGAAAGCGCTGTAACAAATCTTACATAGTAGATGGATTGGACCCAGTTGTACTCGTCAGAGGTCATGCTCAATTGCTTGAGAATGTTGGTAGGCTTCCCAACAGCCAGAACCTTGACGCTTGCAGCATTGTTGACGTCGATCTGCTTGATCAGATAGATAACTCCGATTGTGATGAGGAGACGGCGGTCAATCTTTCGGACAATGCTTTTCTGCTCCTCGGGCGTGAACGTATCCAGGAAGGCGACACGCTCGTCGTCGACAGCGTCGGTGTGAGGTCGGACAGGCGCGTTATCTGGAGATGATGGATCTGTTCCTTTTGCTGCCGTGGAGATTGCCTCAACATCTTGGTCCGAGGTCGAAGATGTGTTCGAAGTGGCCTTGGGGCTCGATGATTTGAAGTAGTCCAAGACACCCATCGTGATTGAATGGTCTTTCAGCGAATGCTCGCTAGTATTGAGTGTCGCGAATGTGGCATGCTCCAGATCCAGACGAGATGCCCATACGGTTCTTTATCAACAAGTCGACTCCTGGGATGCCGGATGTCGCCATACAGACATGTGCTTGCGTATTCGACGCCTCGACGCCATTATCAAACGCTTATCAGTCAAAAGAAGGTCTAGAATGGAAGTCGTGGCATTTCTCGAATGAACGTGGGTGGGAGGTGTCCTCAAAATTTTGACAGGACCGACAGAAATCGCCGGATTGGGAAAGTTGCGTCGGGATGGCGCCATCACAGCCTAAGCTCCCACAAAATCGGCTGCCATCCGACAGACGGAGACTCGGTGGAGTGGCCGTACAAGTCGAGGCTGGTTAATGTTCAACGGAACCCCCTATAGCGACATATCTTCGCATATGAGACCATAAGGACGAAGATCCAATGCTTTCGTTAAACCACCTCGCCTCGTTACAGCAAATTGGAGTCTAAGAACAGGTGCGAAATGCCAGTCAAGGTCGCGATTATAGGAGCGGGCGTCGGCGGCTTGACGCTTGCAGTTGCTTTGCAGCACAACCCGAATCTGGAGGTCAGCGTCTATGAGCGAGCAACCGAATTGAAAGAAATTGGTGCTTTGGTCGGCCTTGCACCAAATGGCCTGCGAACGCTGGAAAAGCTGGGTGTGCCAGAGGCACTGACAGATGAAGTTGGCTGGCGCAGCCCAAGCGGAATCCCGATGATTTTCTTGTGAGTTCTACGGTCCATTGACAGGAAATTGACCCTTAGGCTGAGCATATCAGGCATTGGCAGACTGGTGAGCTTCTCAGTGAAGATCTTTACCACAACGTGCCAGACCGGCGGCACCATTTCGCCAGAATGCATCGCGCACAACTACAGAAAGCTCTGCTCAAGCATGTACCTTCTGAAAGCATTCATTTGGGTAAAAAAGCCGTGAGCATAGAGGTAGATCGATCGACAGGGTCTACCGTAGCCTTTGCCGACGGCACCTCAATCCACGCCGATGTTGCCGTTGGTGCTGATGGTATCAAATCGGTAAGTATCCATGCCGTCTGACTCGTGTTTGCTAACACTCGCATAGAATATCAGAAAGGCGTTTGTACCGGATCACGAATTGGTATGGGCTGGAGATCTTGTTCTCCGGTGTACCTTTGACTATTCTTTGGTTGAGGATATCAAAAACCTCCCTCAAGACTCGTCACATTTCGTATGCAATCCCACACTTTGGAAACTTGCTCATCGCTGACCGATATGGTGCAGGCCGGACCAAATGCGTGGTTTTTCGGAACAAGAATAGGTAGCTATACTCAAAATGTCACAAGCAGGAGAGTCACTGACCTAGCTACCAGGCGCGGATCAGTTCGGTGTCACTGCTGGGTTGAGTGTCGACCCTGAAAACGATCCAGAGTTCAGAGAACCTGTGTGGAATGCACCAGCAGAAGTCAGAACCCTTCGTGAGCGATATGCTGTAAGTCTCGAGTCATTGTTTGCATTAACGATGTGGCTGACTGGACCTGTTGAAGCACTGGCATCCAGTCGTTGAACAAATCATTGACAGAGTACCATGGGTTCGACGATATTGCAATGTTGCAGGCCGTGCACTGGAGCAATGGAGTTTCAAGGATCGTGTTACCCTATTAGGTGATGCCGCTCATACCCATGGAGGTGCCTTTGCGGCCGGAGTATCTCTGGCAATCGACGACGCCTTCGCATTAGCATTGGCCTTCGATGAGATATTTCCACCGGCTCTGGCGCCGGCCATCGGCGTAGCCAGCTCGGAGCTCATCGGTCAAGTATTTGACCTGTACGAGACGACCCGAAAGCCCCATGCAGCTAAGATGCTTGCCTATGTGCACGACGGCAGAGGAAAGGCTCGGGCACGTCTGGAAAAGCGCCGAAGTGGCGGGCCAGAATCGGATGTGGAATTTAGAAAAAGGATGTCGAACCGTGGTGACCCAGTCTGGGTGAACGAGTACGATGTGGAGGCCGCCTTCAGAAGAGTGGTGGCCGACAAGACAGCTGTCCAACCTACGAGTTGCGCAGCTCCGTCGATGCAGGCTCAAGCAAGGCTGTAGATATTGGATAGTGATGATGTACATAGTGACAGCCTTCTAGAATCTTGCCGTAAACCTCCAGGGAAAACATCCTTGATGCCCGCCAAGGCCCCTAAGAAAGTACGTCATGGGGGCTGCAGATGTCGTGATAAGGATTAGGAGGACCTCGTACTGCTGATTGCGCAATCACCAACCCAGTGCACTTTTCGAACATTGATTTGCTATTGGGAATCTCGCATCTCCCATGCAAAATGGCGCCATCTAGAGGAATTGGCTTATCTCGGTCTGGCGGAAGGAGTTGACATTCACGACAACTTCATGCTGTAATCGAATCAAGCACTGATATAAGGCATTGTACAGTCCATGTCAGGCCGATGTCGAACAGTGGCCCCTCCACGGGAGGTGGTTATTCACGTTTCCGCGTGAGATCATCGACTTCCCATGATGATTGGCAGTTACCCTCACCGAAAAGACCTCGTCTCAACACTGACGGCCCAGACTCGAGTTCGAATGCCTCAGGCCACGCCGAGTCAGCTTGCCTTCGATGTCGGAAACGAAAAAAGCGATGTTGTCGCACATTACCCCAGTGTACCGCCTGCGACACGACTGGTGTTCAGTGTTCTTATCCCAGCAGTGACAATTTATCAATAACTGTTGCGGAAGTCAATGAGCTGAGAGCCCAGATTGAACGCCTATCCCAACAAAATGTAGTCAAGAACAACAGCAACAGCAACAGCTACGTCTTGAGCCCAGCAGACACATTCAAGTCTGGCTCTCTCGGAAACGGCCCGGACAACGACCAGGAAGATACCTTGTTTCTCGCACGAACAACGGAGGCAAATGGTTCCAACCACTCGTGGAACTGGTCACCCGACTTGGGCCATACACCACGGCCTCCATCCAACAACCTGCGCTTACCAGCAGGTCTTGCAGTCCGCGAGCTCGTCGATGGCTACTTCCGACACGTTCACAAAGCCTATCCATTCCTCGACCAAGGCCAGGTCTTGAAAGACATTGATGATGCAACAACTCGGCCGGGCAACAACTCGGAAGGTTTATCACCTCTCATATACATGCTCTCCGTCATAGGCTGTATCACTTTACACCGTGCTGGAAAATTGTCAGATGATATTCTTGCCAGCATCAAGGTGCCATATGAGGAACTGATCGGTCAATGCATGTTGGACCCGAGCATACATGCGGTCGGCATGCTCCTTTTACTTGCATGTTATTCCACCTTCGACCCCACTGAAATCTGTCCATGGATAGTGATCGGACTCGCCGGTCGACAGGCAATTGTGCTGGGTCTCAACCGCAAGTCAACCAGGGAATCTGGCTTGACGCTACAAGAAGTTGAGCAACGGAATCGATTGTTCTGGAGTATCTATGCACTCGACCGCGAAGTTGCGGCATCATTTGGTCTTCCGCCCTCGATAAATGACGAAAACATCAATGTACCTCTGCCATCCGTCACCATCGACGAATATGCTTCGGCAACTCGGGTGCAGCTCTCCAAGGTTCTGCAGGTGTGTCGAAACTCGATTGCATTACGCGACCTCGAAGGGAAGATTCTGCAAAAGGTTCATCTTGCCAATCCCATCTCAACACTGAATATTGGCATGGCAGATCGACAGGCTATTGTCAGTCAGTTTGTGTCACAGCTTGACGATTGGTACGCCAACGGCTGCCTTCTGTCACAGTCCGAGAACGACGAAATATCGTTCCACGACAATATCCCGTGGTTGAATGCACGGTATCACGGCGTCCTTATCCTGCTGCATTACCCTTCGCGCTTCAATGCATATTACTGCAGAGAGCAGCTCAGTTCTTTGCGGGAATCGATTCGCAGATGCGTTCAGTGCAGCGCAGTGCTCCTTCAACAACAGCATCTAATGCTGCATCACAACACCCTGAATAAGGTACTGGTGATTTGTCTCTTGCTTGTATTTTGCTTGATGCAGGGCAATTCGGAGGTTGTGCAAGTGGGCGAAGTGAGGCAGGACGTTTCTTCCTGCATCGACATTCTCGAAGACTTTACAGGTCGATGGACGTTGGCGAAGCGCAGTCTCATTGTCTTTCGGGATTTGGAACGCCTCCTCCCCACCATTCGCCCAGGTGCCGGCCACAAGTCACCGACCACAATCGAATCTCTGAGAAGGGTACAATCTGATGCACAGAGCCTGATCCGTGACGGCTTGGGTCCGTCTAGTGTGTACAACAATCTCTACCCACTCTCTGTTGATCCAAGCTCTCATTCATCTGGGCACTGATAGGGATAGGTCAGGTTTCTTCCATACCATATACGTGAAGCAACCATACTGGTGCTTCGGCCAATAACCCGAGACTGTATGAACCCATTTCTACACGTGTAAATCTGCTTTTGGGCCTGGGTTCCGACTAGCATCAAGGCACTTTGATGACTTCGATGTCCGGTAGATTGACATTCCCGCCCCACGACAGCCTGCCGCCCCGAGGTACCGCCAGATTTGGTTAACATTGGCCGAGATAAGCTATCCGTCACGATGTCGCCATTTTGCTCCGTTATCTCATAATCGCCAACTTCTCACCATCTCTTGGTTAGGCACATATGCAGGATCGCTTCCTCCTACCGAGCTTCCCTATGTTTCCGGTTTTGGCAATTTTGGTCGGACCGACATCCGCCATTCAACATGGCCCCTGCTTTCGGAACACGCCTTACGGTGGAATCGATGATGGAGAAGCATCCACGCTCGTCGGTATTTCACGTGCAAAACTGTCGTTTGCATGATGCCTTCCCTTCAGAGATATTGAATCGCAGTCTCCAGGGTCCTTGCCGTTATTGGCAGCTTATTGTCTAAGGTCTAGGCTTTGTGCTGGCGAGTATCACGAGCTTGCGTGAATCTCCTGCAGACACCTAGGATACGACGACCCTTACGAAATGCTTACCATTGTCGAGCTAGAAACTATCCTGCCATCTCTTTGATTTTTCCCCCCCCAGTGAAGTTTGCCTGTATCGACAGACATGACTCGTCATGGAGGGCTCCTGACGCCTTCAACGGAGGCAGAGTCTGTGAATGACTTCGAAATTGACGACGCTGAACAATCAAGTCCTTTTTACATGACTCAAGCACCATACGATCCACACCGAGCAGTCAAAGTCATCATTGTTGGGGCCGGTATTGGTGGTATTGCTGCGTCATGCTTACTTCCAGCCAAAGTTCCCAACCTTGAATACGTGGTATTTGAGCGGAACGACACAGTGGGCGGCACTTGGGCTCTAAACACATACCCAGGAGTCAGATGCGATGTGCCTTCACACGTGTATCAGTTGACATTCGCACCAAACCCACGTTGGTCGGAGTATTATGCGCCCGGCCACGAAATCAGGGAGTACTACGAAAAGGTTGTGAAGGATTTTGGTGTAGGAGAGCACTTGAGATTACGGCACGAAGTACTGAGAGCAGAATGGAACGAAGCTCTATCGCACTGGGAGGTGACTGTTCAAGACCTGGTAACAGGTGACGTCTTTGTCGAGACAGCGGAGTTCTTCATCTCGGCACAAGGAAGACTCAACGTACCCAAGAAGCCTTACATCCCTGGACTGGAGACCGAGTTTGAGGGACATGTCTGCCATACTGCGGAATGGGACGACTCATATAATTTTAGTGGAAAGAAGATTGCCATTGTAGGGAATGGCGCAAGTGGTCAACAATTGCTCGTCAACATCCTTCCGCAAGTTGACCATATTGACCACTATGCGAGGTCGAAGCAATGGATTCTGCCGACTTTCTCGAGCGGATTTTTAGAAGCCAAGGCGGATCTTCCTGGAGCATACGTATTCACTGAGCGGGAAAAAGAAAGATTTGCGTCGGATCCACCAGCATATCTTGACTTCAGAAGAGATCTGGAGAGGAGTTTGCATGACGCCTATCATGGTTCGATCGCTGGGACTGCCGAGAACGAGGCAGCGAGGCAACGGTGCGTTGATGCCATGCTGAAACGACTTGGTGGAGATGATCAGTGGCTCAAAAGGCTCCTCCCAGACTATGCGGTAGGATGCAAGAGACCAACACCTTCACCTGGATACCTCGAAGCTTTGCGGGGTTCACAAGTCACATACATCGACAGCGGCATATCGCATGCGACCAGGACTGGTTTGGTTGCCGTGGATGGGAAGGAACGCAGTGTCGATGCCATCATACTGGCTACGGGCTTCGAGAACGGTTTTCTCCCCCTCTTCCCAACTATCGGCAAGGGCGGGCTTGACCTGGCCAAGCATTGGTCGGAAGACGGTCCGGCTGGTTATCCCGAGACCTACTTCGGTATCATGGCTCCTGATATGCCCAACTATTTTGCTGTCCTTCAGGTAGGACTGTGCTCGTACATTCGTCGCCTTTCCAGCTAACAAAAGATGCAGGCACAAAGCTACGCCGCAGGTGGCACGGTCCCTCTTCATTGTGAGACATCCGTCACGTTCATAGCAAAGGCCATGCGAAAAATCCAGAGAGAAGGCTATAAAGCCTTGTACCCATCACAGGAAGCTACAGCTGATTTCAATGAATATGTCGGGGCATATCACGAAGACAAGGTGATAGGAGACTCCTGCAACAGCTGGCTCAAGGCCGGCAAAGGTAAATCGAGGCCTCTAGTAGGCTGGCCGGGCACGGGGCATCATCGCATAAATATCTGCCGGGATCCGAGGTGGGAAGATTTTGTCTTTGAACGTTCTGAGCCTGGGAGAAGGAATAGGTATGAATACTTCGGAAACGGCTGGACGCAACGTGAGAAGGAGGCAGATCCAGTGGCTTTGACAAGCTATCTGCACCCGGCGGGCTCGATAGACTTAGCGACACTTCACGAGACCTGGAACGAATGATCTCGAGCAGTCATAACTTTCATAACTTCCTCCAATCCAGTCAAGTAGTCCTCGTGCCAGCCATGAGTCTGCCATTACTTGCTTAGTCAGCCGTCTGATTGGACCACACGTGATGAGCAGATCACTTTGCGGTTTGGGTCAACGACTTCTTCCTTTTCTCTCCGTTTCCCATACTCGACATTACATTCTTATCGCCGGCTCCTTGCGGGCAACTTGTTTGCCTTGATGCCATGGCCATGGCACATTCCGATCGGGTATGACGATGAAAATCGTCCCTGATCACGGCGCGAAATCAGGACGAATTCACCGCACTCGAAAAGGATGCAAGACATGCCGTCGAAGGGGGAAAAAGGTATGTTGAACATCTCTTCGTGCTCGGCCATTGCACTAGTCAGGAGAGTGCTGTTTCTAACATCTACGATCAGTGCGATGAAAATAAACCAGCCTGCGGCGCGTGCCAGCGACTTTCCTTGACCTGCTGCTACGTCACCGAGTTTGTCTCATTTAATTCAGGCGGTTCATGTCCTCAAGCGCAGCACCGGCCCTCCTTTAAGCATAACGACAGCGACGACTCCAACGGTTCAGGGATTGAACATGAATCAGATCTTTGCACGAATGGATCCAAGTTCACGGTCCCCCCAAAAGTCACGGTTGCGATTCGTCAAATTGATCTGTCGATTTCCCAACCTGACATACTCTACTTCGGCCATTTTGAGCGCCTAGTACGAGCAAGCCTGCCTTCTTCAGTACGGTTTTTCGAATTTCACACGTCCGACTGCTCGTTCCTACGGCACGCTGTGCTTTGTCTGGCTGCATCCCACCTCTCGACACTTGATGCTCATTTGGCTTCTCGATGCCCAGCGGGAGATCCCAGAAGATCAGTAACGAGCCCGACTCCAAGTCCGCTGCATCGTCACCATGCTCAGCGCTACCACGATATCGCTCAGACGTTCATTCTCGAGAAGAAATTCCACGACCCAGCTTTAGTCCTCATTGGCCAAATCCTTCTTGCCTACTACCATCATGCCTCTACCGATCACCTCAGGTTCCGGCATGCCGTGTTCGATACCATTCAATTTGTTCGCAAGAATTACGTCGAGATTATGGAGTCTTCCTCGGGCGAGATGGCTTTGCAATTGTGGTACCGCTTGTACAACTCTCACCGTCCCTCAAAGTTGCCTGCAGTACCTATCGACGGTGAAGTTTCGAGCGCGTCTGGGGCCCGTTTGGCTTCTCCTGGCGCGGACGAGCATCTACACTCTATGTGCATTGTCGGAATGTCCTCCGATGACCTCATACATGATATCTTGTTCAGAACTATGGAACTGAGGAGGCGGATGGTAGTCGATCGATGCACCTCTTCCGTCCTCGGTCTACCTGAGAAATCGCAAGAACTGGGTGTTCAAGCATACCGACTCTTATGTGGGCTGATGAATAGGTTGCCCACACCACTGGAAGAGAGCGAGGCTACGTCTAGCTTTGTCCGAGGAGATCACATACTCCAATTACTAGAGATTCAGGATCAGCGCCTTGAAGTGTGGATGTCGAGGGTTGATGTGGAGCATACGACACCTCAAAAGCAGGCGTGCCTCAGTCCACCAAGCTTTGACCTGCACGAACTGGCAAACCACAGAAAAGGCATGGCTCAATTGTATTACCTCCTCTGCAGACTTCTCATTCAAAGTACCATCAGTCGACTGGCTCCGGATGGTATGGCTTTCGAAGATCCTGCCGACACTCTCACCTCTGTCCTACTGAACGAGGCTCTTCGCCTGGTCGATACCATTGAACCGGCACTGTCAAGCTTGGTCGACATATATGCATTCAGCCTCTCGGAGGTGTTGCTCCAACTTTGCTACGCCTTTCCGTCGGAGCCGGTCTTTGACTACATATTCGATGTGGTCTGGCCTCGCATGGAAGCATACGGAAGAGGATACGAACACTCTCACTTACCTACACATCTCGCTAAGAGAGTCATTGCACTGATCGCGGAGGAATGGCAGAATGCGCGGAGAATCCTCCTTGTGGTGCCAGCTATACCTGAAGACAGCCCCAAAGCAGTCCTTCTGGATGTGACTCAACAGATCGACGTCGTCACTTACGGCTATGATACCGAGCAAAGAAAGTTTTTCGTCACTAAAACGCAGCTTTCCTGACACGACAACCGGATTTTGCCAGGAAAGTGGCATCTCCGGCTGAGAAAGTATTGTCCGGCTCACGTGGAGTACTGTGTAAATGTGCTCTATGGGACCCCGCATTAAGCTATTCCGCATTCGGTGAAGATTACGCCGGTAAGATGACGGTATTGGTATTCTTCCCAATGTGGTGCGCTATACGCGAAGACGGGTGAGTCGATCCCGTCATCGGCACACAGTCGAAGTTCCACGCTCTCAATCCATCGGTTCATAACGACTTGAAACCACCAAAGTGTTCAAAAGCAGTGTTCAACCTCCTTTCACAAACTTACCTTCAATTCACACGCTCTCACCTTGTATGTTCCCGAACTTCAAATCAAAACTTCAGCCATGGCAGTATCATCGAAATGGACCAGGCTTCTCTCCGATGACGCCCTTCCCAGGTCTTCGCAGACATTGACGGTGATTGGAGACACTGCATACGTCTTTGGAGGGGAAGTGAAACCTCGAGAACCGGTGGACTCAGCAGTGTATCATGTTTCCGCAAAGCCAGGTGAGTTTTGTGTGACCGTCGCATCCTTGATTGATGGATCACTGACCCAATGCGCAAAGGACAATCCTTGCAGGACGTCTCATCAGTTTCGACCGGAGAGACTGCTCCCCAGGCAAGGGTAGGAGCCGCATCCACGACCCTCGGTTCCAAGATATACGTCTTCTCCGGTCGCGGCGGGACTGCGATGGCTCCGATCGAAGAGAAAGGCTCCTTTTGGGTTCTTGACACCACTGACAAGACCTGGTCTCAACTGAACCCCCAGGATACTGGCGCTGCCTACCCTGTTGGCCGCAGCTACTACGCCCTCACGAACGACGGTCAAGATGCGATTTTCGTCCACGCAGGATGCCCCGAAAGAGGCCGGAAGCAGGACCTTTGGGCTTTCAACATCCGCAGTCGCGAGTGGCAGGAGTTGAGTCCAGCCCCAGGCCCAGAACGTGGAGGTACCTCAATCACCTACGCCCAGGGTAGATTATACCGCATGAACGGCTTCGATGGGAAGACCGAGCAAGGCGGCGCGCTGGACGTGTTCGACATTGCAGGAAATCAGTGGCAGACCATTCGTTTCGAGCCAGATGGGGTCTCGGGACCGACTCCTCGAAGTGTGGCCTGTCTTGTGGCAGTTAGCGTCAAGAAGAAGCCAAGTCTGGTCACCATGTTTGGAGAGCGCGATCCCAGTAGCCTAGGCCATGCAGGTGCCGGCAAGATGCTTGGAGATGTCTGGCTGTTTGACATCGAGTCACAAACGTGGAAGGAAGTCCGTGCAACTGGCGAGACACCTAGTCCGCGCGGCTGGTTCGACGCAGATGTGTACAACGACACTGGCATCGTTGTCCACGGAGGGTTGGCGGAATCAAATGCCAGACTCGGTGATCTCTGGCTGCTAGCATTTGAATGAACGTGCTTGCCCAGGCTAAGAAAGGCCACACACATACTATATGGCAGGAGACCCATGGTTCTCCGTCGAGATAGGCTAACAAAGATGGGGACGAGTCTCGCGTCCGGCCCGCAAAAGCGAGCAGCCGTTGAAGATCCTGCGGGTATCGTGAACGGTGCCACAGCCTAGTGAGCTGGAGCCGCACGAGAGAAGATATGGCGTTATCCAACCCGTGTCCAATGTTCCCGGTTGGCCCAATCAACGCCTCGGACCGATCATGATGCTTCTGATCGTCCAGGACAGATGATGAAAGGCAATTACGAACTTAGAGCCCGGGACAGCATTCCTTCCGAGAATTCCAGCGTACACAGGCTTTCTGAAACTGTGCCGTTCTGAATTTCTGCCAATCAATGGCCTTGCGTAAAACAAGGCCTTGATAAGCACCGAGCCTCTGGCAGGTTTTCCTTCCATTTTAGGCAACCCTGGCGCATTCGGGGTAAGTACAAATATGGGGGATTAAGTAACCCTCGGGTAGATAACGTCGACACATTTAACAGCGCTTTAATTGAGAGATATTGATTGCCCCATTCTTACAGCTCTCCCGCGCAAGCAAATTCTAGAATCGCGAGTTGCTCACTCCACCTTCTTACTCGTCGTCGATCTACTCAACAACCACTCCGGATCTCGTGCTGTGAGAAAACAATCCCAACCCCTTGGAATCTCAACAAGCCCATAAAGATCTGAAAAGTCGCGCATCGCCAAGGGCGGCTTCCGAGCACCCTCCTTCAATTCAAACGCCAGGATCGTCCTGACGAGCAAGCCATACATCATGCGGTTCGAAATATTCGTCGCAGGACATTGCCTGCTTCCCGCTCCAAATGCCAGATGCGGCAGGGGGCTATCATCGCCCATGAACCGTGTCGGCTTGTACTCGCCTGCATCAGACCCGTAGTATGACGTGTCGAGATTCGCGGCCTGGCCATTCATGATGATCGTGATGCCTTTTGGGATATGCACGCCATTGTACTCAATGTCCTTGACCGTGGCGCGGCCCTGCGCGAAAGGCGTTGGTGCCCAACATCGGAGTGTCTCTTTGTACATGGAGACGATCAATGGAACCCCTTCTTCGCGGAACGCCATGTCCCATGCTAAATCCTTGTCTCCGCCATAGTGATCCAAGATGGCTTTCAGAGCTGTTGGCTGCCATCTCTGACCTTCTGGACTGGCCAGCCACGCGCATGCCTGATACATTGCTGATGCCACGGTGTCGGGAGCAGCTTGTAGGAGCGACACGCAGGTGCCCCTGATTTCCTCGAGAGATAATTTGTCCTTGCCCAATGATGAGACGATGCAGTTGACGACCTCGCCATTCTCGACTTTCTTCAAGTACTGGGCGTACAAGAAATCGAGCTGTCCTCGCCTTCGCCTTTCGGTCGTTTCGACTTTCGTCGCACCACGCGGGAGGAGGCGAAGCAACGGGACATAATGTGAAAAATCCGCTGTCGAGGAGCGGATTTGGGTGAGTGTCCCTACGGACTCCACGAGGTCCTTGACGAATTGGTCTGGAATGTCTCCGGGGCGGGCACCGTACGTCAGATGGAGAGATAGATCCATCACCACCTGCTGGAAATGAACGTAGAGGTCAATTGGCAGTCGTCCGTTCTGTCCAGTATGGTAGACCTTTTGCAGCATTGAGACTGACGATGGCTCAAGCAGGTGGTAGTAACTTGGCCAGAGGGGCTTGCCGAGAGCTTTTAGTGCCGCGCTCCTGCATCGCTTGATCGTTGGAGTCATGGGCGAGCTGGAAATGTCCACGCCCAGCTTATCAATGAAGCCGGGCTGCCATGGGCGGTCGATGAGTGAATTTGACATTCCGAGCCAGAGATCTTTGATTGCTTGCCATCCTTGGACGATGACTGCACGCTGGCTACCGAGCCGGATTTGATAGATATCGGCGTTGAGTTCTTCTTGCCACCGGGTGAATATGACGGTATCGTTTTTCTTTTCTCGGCCTCCTAAGGGCAGAAGATGACCGATGAAAGGGAGATTTCCTGATGGTTCTGGCAAACCCTTGACTTTGGGAAAGTCCGTCTTGTATGCCTCCCACTAGCGCAGGATTTGAGTCAACATGTATAGCCTTGTGAATCCAGCGAACTTACCACTAGTAAACCTATGATAACCACCAGCCCTGCCGCTATGAGCGGCAAAAAAGGTGCTATCAACTCGCTGACGGAGTGAAAAGCCATTGTCAAGACCGTGGCTGGGGTATGACGTAACAAGGCTACCTAGATAAAGCTCTGGAGAGTTGTATGTGCATTTCGAGGTGAGAAGTGCACATTTAAGGTGTTCCAGATAGTCAACCATATCTTTCCGATAGATCGTCGAAGAGACGGGGTATCCCCCACCCCTGGGAGCGGCTCAACAACCCTTGGACCCCATCTCAGGACCCGCGGGATACACCCGTGGCCAGTCGCATATTATCGCCGGGCCGCATCGATATCGAGGACTTTGAATTTCTCAAGGCACTCTGACCACAACTTTTCCAACAGCCTGATTGTTCTCCATATACTCATGTGCTGAGCCAACATCTTCTAGGTCGAAGACCTTATCAAGGAAAACTTCGCGCTTGAACTTTCCGGCCTCGACTTGTGAAATAACGTAGCTCAACATTGGTTCGACCTGATCCAAACCTTCGTCGTCAGATCCCAAGCACCCGCTGTTCGTCATGCCATAGAATGTCAGGTTCCGACAGGGCGGGATTATGGCTGGAGTAAAGCCCTCGACTGACCATTGCTTGCTCAAAACGCCAGTGCACACGACGCTGCCGTATCGCGCGGTCAGGCATAGTGTTCGCTCAGTAGCATCCGGGCCGACCAGCTCCAGGACGACGTCGACTCCATCGGGAAACAATTTGGAAATCTCCTGGTCAAGGTCTTGGTCGAGAATGATATGATCGGCTCCAGCTGCCTTTAATCGCTGAATCTTGTTCTCCTTCCTCGTCGTCGCGACGACGGTGAAGCCTTTGTCCTTCGCCAAAAGTATCGCCCAGATGCCCACACTCGAAGTTGCGCCATGGATCAGCAAGACCTCCTTGTTACCCTTGCATCGATGACCTAGCCTTCCAGCTTCGAAGACGCTCCCATATGCAGTCCACATGCTCATTGGAATAGCACCGAGAACCTCCCAACCCATTCTCTTTTCCACGTCGTCTGCGTCGGAGAAAGGTAACTGGTACAGTCTCCGTTTGTGGCAGATGGCGTACTGGGCATAGGCGCCATCGTGGGCTTTACCGCCGCCATAGATGAAGGCTGTGACGACTGCTCCTGCTTTGAAGCTTGTCTCGGAGCCTGCCTGCTCGACAACACCAACCATTTCTTCGCCGAGTATCTTGGGAGGGGCTTCATGATATTCGTCCTGAAAGATGTTCAACTCGGCACGTCCTGGCGGCAGGGCGGCTCGACCTCGAAGTTCTGCTCGGTTGAGGCCGGCAGCTTTCACTCTGACGAGACACCAATCTTGTGACGGTAGAGTCGGTCGTGGAGAATCATGCTTGTAAGTGAAACTGTCTTTCGGTGGTATATCTGTAGAAGGATTCTCATTCAATATCGCTGCGATCATGGAACCTGATGGCTCATTGTGCCACGACGGCTTCTTCGAGCGGTCATTGTCTCCTGGTGACATAGCCAATCCACATCAACAATCGAGAATGCCGGTCTGGAAATCTCTCGCTGTGGAATCCTGACCTGCAGGACAAATAAACACCCGCAAATGGCTTAGTTGTGACTTACATCCAGATAGGATAAGGTTAGCAAGTCTGGACAAGGCGAATGTTAGAACAGTGGGAACAGCCTGTGCAACGAGGGGCATTAAATTAGGTGGTGATCATTCCCCGCGTCATAGGCATCACAGGCGTTGGCTGCGGAGTGACGTGCCGCCCATTACAATCCCATGATGATGGAGATGCAACACTCGGAATCATGATGCGGATTCGATCATGCATATCTCACTTCGCCTGCACGTTCCTTGTACCTATACAACGAGAGAGAATATTCTGACCGTCTTTACCTTTGAGACATCATCCCACCATCCTCCCACCAACTCCACGGACTGTTTCAAGTAAGAGTCAAACCGATCATCCTTACACAGCCCACCCTTCAGTTCGATTCTGTCAAAATGATAAAAGATCACTCAAGAATCGTCATCACTGGCGCTGGTCAAGGTATGCTCGAATCAATCATCTCACGTCTTCATCAGCTCTTTGTGACTGACAACCTCCCAACAGGCATCGGAAGAGCCATTGCACGCCACTTCGTCTCCAAAGGGCACAAGATCTTCATTCTTGACCTCAACGAAGACAACCTCCGACACACAGCAGAAGAGCACCTGAAAGAACATTCCGACCGTATCGGCTGGTCAAAATGCAATCTCCGCAGCGTCGACGATATCCGATCAACCATCCAAAAGGCCGCAAAGTTCCTCGACAACCGCATCGACTATCTGATCAACAATGCCGGCATCTCACACCCGTACTGGGCCGACGGCAAAACCATGGCTGATGAATCCGTCCTGGACCAATGGCAGGCGTACGTCGAGACCAACCTTACCGGCCCGTTCGTCATGTCCCAAGCCTGCATCCCCTACATGAAGCTCGAACAAGACGAAAACAAGCAGAAACTTCCAGGCTCCAAGACTGGCACTGCAGGACCCTGTATCATCCACATGAGCAGCTTTCGTGCCCTGATATCAGATCCAAACCAGGAGGGTTACGCTTCCACCAAAGGTGAGTTGGGTCTTTATGTGCCGTCCGCAGCATTGACTAACGAACTGTCCAGCTGGCTTGTTGGGAATGACTCAGAGCATGGCTGTCTCGATGCAATCGTTCGGTATCCGCGTAAATATGGTGTCGCCAGGAAGGGTCAAGGTGACACACGAGAACCAAGATGCGGACGCGGCAGGCGAAAAGTGGGAGGTGGAAGAGGACGATATCAGCACACATCTCACCAACCGAGCAGGATTGCCAGAGGATATCACCGAGGCGTGTGAATACCTTCTTGGTGCTGGGTTCGTGACTGGTCAGAATCTGATTGTCGATGGTGGTGTTAGTAAGATCAAGGGCAAGGCCTGAAAAGATGAGGTATCTCAGACCACCTAGAGGTCATAGAATTGTTCTCCGGATCGGCGCAAGATCTTGATGGAGCAGAGGTCGACCTCACAATGATGGCTTCAGTCGAAGTTCTAAAAGTTAGAATGAGCATCAGATGGCCGAGTGACATCGGTCAATTGCGATAATTGAGCTCCGAAAAACCTCGCATGATCGTGCACTTCGGCGTGTCTGCACCTGTAGTACACATCAGGTCAGTAATCGAACCAAATTAGCAGGAGAGTCAAGCTGAGTACCTAGGTAAACATATACACAGTGTCACAGGCCAAATCAGCACTCGGTAGTCGCATGAGGGAGTTACAACTTCGCGACACAAGCTCGGCGACTCGCCGCATGGTCAATTGACTTGCCTCACTGGTCGAGAAGTGCCCATCCTGCTCCCCGCAAACAAATCGTCCCCAGTCCCTCGTTGGGCGACTTGATTCTCCATCGTGCTTCACGCACGCCAGTGGAATCAAGAACTGGCGCAAGTGCACTTCGCCGCGTCTCAAGCCGACGTCCATGAATCAGTGTTGACCGCGCGTATCCATATGCGTCCCGATCGATCGATCGATCGTATCACGAAGCTGAGCTGCCGTGCACATGGCTTGAAATCATAGATCGGAAAGCAACTGGTCAAACCGAAGTCGAAAGCCGATCACGATTCATAGGCCCCAGAAAAGACATTGTACTGTCCAGTCAGAACAAAATCCCGCATTCTCGAACTGATATCCGGCTGAACGCGGTTCGTAAGCCGCACGCATTGAGACGCGTTATTGGTCGAACAGCGAATGACGCAAACAAAGGTCACGTGCGTCCGAGAGAACACCGACGAGAGCATTCCCCCAGCATACACCACATCACCTCCTGACCATGCAATTCCTTGCTGGAAAGGAGATATATATCAAGTGGCAATCGCCTGTCAGCACCGTACATTCGATCAGGCAGACATTAAATCAAAGTCAAAAACAAAACAACATACAAACCACCCATTCACATACAATGACATTCAATATCATCGAGCAAGTCACTTCAAGGCGGAGATCGTCCTCGAGTGGCAGCCTTCCACCATCGCTGCAAGCTCGGGTAGACAAAGCGGAGGAAGAACAAGACATATATGAAGACTCGTGGACGCGGAGAGACAGGCTGTAAGTCATGACAGTTGACGTTTGATTTGTGGGTGGAGGCTAATTTTGCATAAATAGGGGCTCGTCAACGCTAGATGTCCAGCAAAAGAAGACAGTCGAGGCCGCCGTCACCCATCCCAAAACGGAAACTGTGCACAAGGTGCAAGAAGTTCAGACCTCTGAACAAAAGAAGTGAGGACCGATTAGGCCATAATGATACACCACCCCCGAAATCCTTCCAACTCCAGACATCACGTCCTACATACCTCTTGATATACATATGGAAACAAACAGGTCCGACCACAGAGACATGCGGTGGACTGGGGTGAATAGGCCCACAAATAGCGGCCGCTTGATGAGTTCATGAAATGGGAATGAAATAATGGAACAAATGGGACGACGCTTTTATCGTACATAGACTGTTGCATAGCCGTAGCCCTTTTCCAAAGACGAGATGGACCCGCTCTTCGTCACCCTGTGGCGGCGGTAGTGTCCCTCGCGGTAGTGTCCATACTTGATGGACTGGGGCGATGGGCCTTTACAATGAATGAGAATCGGCTTTGCCTTTTGAACAGGCTCAAAAGTTCGGATCTCGGTCATTTCACTGCTCTCGTCAAACGGATCGTACTCCGTCTCATCGTCCGCACCAAAGTCAAAGGTGAAGGTCGAAACGGTCGAAATGCTCGACAAGGTGGGAATGCTCGAAGTTGGTGATGATTGTTGTGTTTCGTGTTGTTCACCATCGACATGGAAGCGTGGTCTGATCTGCCGGCCGTGGGAGAAGGGGAGCGAGAAGGATGGAACAGGAGGTCTCGGGACAGGATTTTGCCTTGGAACGGCAGTAGTAAGAGGTTGACGTGGTGCGGGAGTAGGAGTCTGCTGGTTCAAATACCTGCGGTCCTGGAAAGTTGGTGAATTCGGAAGAGACCAGTCAGATTCGTCGGTGTCTTCGGAATCGTACGACAACCCAGGTGGAGTGGATGGAGTGTCCATCTCTTCCACATCGTTCAAGTTGGATCGGAAGCGAGCTCTTGGGATCGAGAGAAGGCATTTGGTCGAACTGACACTGGGGTTAGGTCTGTGATCTGCATGCACACGTCGGAATCGCTCGAATTCTGGTGATGAGGAGCAGTGGCAAATGATGGCACCAGCAGGACATCTGCAATCCTCGACAGGCTCCTCCTCGACCCTGGAGCCTCGATGAGATTGGCCCCGATCATCGCCCGAGAAGAACGAAAACTTCCATGAATCGCGTGCAAGACGACTCTCCCGCTCTCTGATGCTGCTACGGTTGTCTTGAGGAATAGGATTGAGGTACTCCGGTTGTTCAAAGACGTTGAATGAGGGCTCGAGTATGTCGCTCAGGTAGACCGATAATTTCTTGCGATCGAGCTCTCCTTGGACATCGAGCCATTGGCTCTTACGATAAGATTTTCTTTTGGCCTGAGAAGCATCCTGTTCGTCTGCGTAGATGGGCGCCAAGAAGCTAGGTTCAAGCGGTTGTTGTACATTGATGCTGAATTCCGGCACCAGAACAGACGATGCTCTGGCTGAAGATGCCGATGGGTGTGGCGCCAAGGTGTCTTGGTCCACTACGACATCCTCAACGAGCAGCTGGGGGATGGGATCGACATGATCTCTGGGTGTTACTGGTTCGTCTAACTCGATCCAACTGAGGGGTGAAGACGTTGTGTAGGGTTTGGCCTCGACAAGTTTCTTCTTTCGCAGCTTCAATGGCGGTGGACGCAGGTGTGGAACCTCGGAGTCCCTTTGCTTTGACGCAGACCTGGGGATGTCGGGAACAGGGCTTCGTTGTTGTTCACCCAAGACCATCTTTGCGTGCGATCTGTTCACTGGGGGTGTGGGCGGCATAGGGAACAGCGAGAAACCTGCCCGGTCTGATTGGTCAATCGCAAAGGAGTCGAGCATCTTGCTCAATCCTGGTTGGTCGGGGGCTGTGCAGACTGTCGATGCTGATCAGTGCTATCGATTGTTGTTGTTGTTCTTGGGATTGTTTATGGGAACAATCGATAAAGAAGATTGGGGGGATCCAGGCTTTTCAACAATAATCGATAGTTCCTGGATGCAAAGGTAAGGGATAGGTGCAGGGAAGTGTCCGTGGAGAGAGGTACCATGTCAAAGGGAATTGTGTGTGTCGATTGCGACCATTATGGTGGGCGCGCCCACGTCAGGCAGCAAGGCGTTGAGATTTGCTTGAGCATCTTTGCAGCCTGATAACAGTGATAACCAACGGGACCTGGGGTGCAGGTGCAGCATGAGGTCTGTGTGAGCCTTGTTCGTCTGGAAGGACATGGGTTCGATATGAGGACGAAGTACGCCTGATCATCTTACCTGACAGATTGACGGCGCGTCACCGCTGTTTTTGACCGCGTCAATACCGTTTCTGGACTGCCCACATTCCTGGAGCAATCTGCGAATGCTGTCACGCAGCAGCTCAGACAGCTCATGATTGCTGTCAGCGATATCAAGACGACGCAAGAGCTATGATTGTGATGATCCAGCTTGCTGATAAAGCACAAGACCTCGTAACGAACAATGCATGAGATGAACGGAAAGGTATATTAGTAGTCAATCTCCTCACCCAGAGTCGAGACTCGTCTTGATGAAGACACGTCCGTTTCATTCGGAAAAAGTCTGAAGAGAATGCCACCTTCGGCAGGCATGATCAATGATATACCGGCCTTTGAACCTTGAAGTGATGGACGATAAATGTAGAAGTGATTCGAGGTGGCAGCTGTCTCTACCGAGTTTTTGACACTGACGCCAGCACACGTGATGTCAACAAAGCACTAAACCTTTTCGGTCATCCTCTTTCTTCCTATTCATCTTCATCGTCTTCGTCCTTGCTGGCAACAAGCGCACGCAGACTTTTGTTCTCCTGCACTGCGCATCCCATCACCAAGACCGTGCTCTTTGCCTTTGAACTCGAGCACTCGAATGCCTCCGTTTTCATGCCGATGCATCTAGTATGATCTGCACGTACTTCCTCTCGCAGTCTATTGCCTTGAAAGAAGGGAAGGGGACAAGAACCTCGGTTTGATGCAGCGAGACACGATAGAAGAAAGACGATGCGGTACCAATGTTGATATCTGAGCTTGTGGTGAGAGCCAAAGGGCCAAGAAGATTCAGGCACTTTGGGAAACAAAGCAGCCTGAACACCTTGCCAGCCTGCGCTCACACCAATAATCATACAAAACACTCACTGGCTGACGAACAACGCCATGCATACGTGGTGATAAGGTGCCGCTTCATCCAAAGGACCCTTGATCCTTCAAGACTCCAGGTTTTCCAGCCCTACCTCGCATTCTCCATGTTCTAGATTCTTGATGCGCACCCGTCACTGAACCGTTCACCTCATCAAGCGAAGCTTGTGAAGTTTGTGCTTTCGTTCGTGCATATGGCTTTCCCTCTGCCAACTATCCTTGCTATCAAGGGTCCTCCAAAGAGCGAGCGTCTCTTTCTAAGTTGTCGGAAGCGCTAACTCTACCAGGTTGCACTGGTTATCTGTGCCTCAATTGCAGGGTCAACAAGTCTCACAAGCCTGGAGTTCCAAGAAGACGACTTGGGGCTGTATTATGTCCCGCTCTGACTACAGCCATGGCATGAGAACTATGTCGGAACTTACCACCTATGATGTCCAGCAGCTCAGCTGCTTGGACCGACTGTTGTCGTTCGACCAACAGTAGAAGACTCTCAGACCACCAATGGCCCAACGGTACACCAGAAATGTCGCTCACAAGTCGATCATCCGCGTGCTTCAGACTGAGTGGATCCGATGAAAGATCCAGGACGGAAACATCCGGATCTCGCGGTCGCTTTCCTTGGGACATCTCCGCACGATCTCCGGGATAATGTTGCTGTATATGTACACTTGACGATCAACAGCTCATTGGCCATGGAGGTAGACTGCTCACCACACAGGCGACACATTTCTTGCAGTAGAGCCTGCGACTGCGCAAACCACGTCGATTTGCAGGGTTCAAACTCGCCAAACCAGAATTTCGTCCGATCGACCACACCTTTTCACTCTGGCGTGGTTGCTGCATCCTTGGAGCAGGTTACCGAGACCTAATCGCGCCTTGGCCAGAAGAATCTCGCAAGAAGTGTCGTCTGGACGAGAATCTAAAGCCTGGGCAGAGAAAAAGCAATACTGGTTGCGCCGCCCAAGTACAGACAGACAGAGGCGTGCCGACGAGCCGATCTAGTCGATACGTGTTAGAGCGTTCTATGATGCTTTCAATGGCTGTTCCAGCAATACTGAGGCTATCGGGGCGTTCTTGGTATGCAGCTTGGCGCTGATGCAGACGTTCCAATCACAGAAAAAGCAAATACTGAAACGCCAGAATCGTCTTAACTAACAAGGATTATTGATGCTGGTAAGCAATTTATTGTTCTGCAAGGCCTCGTCCCCGACATTGTCCGGACATTTAGCGATAGGCGCAAGGCTCGTGTCCCCTGGAGGGATACCAAGCCCACACCGTCGCCTTGGCCATGGACTTGGCAGGTATCCATAGATAACGAGGCTCGCCAATCTTCCACATGGATGGCTTTTCTGGTGATGTCGAGTTTATTCAGAAAATATACCCCGACCAATGAGGACAACGCATCTGTTATCAAACAGGTCTAGCAACCCTGGGTCCTGATGGCATTATTACTCCGGTTGCTCAACCGATACAGTCACCCAAGTACTGATACACAGCAACCAGGGCGAAAATCCTCCAGATACTACCTCGCCTTCTGGAAGTAAAGCTCAACCCAAGAGCCCGCTATGGGTACCTCAATCCCATCTGATTTGGGTGGGGAGGCGAAATCGGCAAGACGTGGTGTTGCTCGCAAATTTATATATCTCTGAAGTCGTCCTTGCTTGATCTTGTTGATCCTCTCCGTCAATCCACCCCGACATTACGCTACCCCGATATTCGCCTTGGGGGCCAAATCTGCAACAATGTCGACCTTAGTAAGTTGCTCATTTTGAGCCTCGCAGCATGCACGAAATCCTTGCTGACATTCTTGTAGCCCGTTTACAATGCCAGCGAGCCCAATGGCGGCAACCCGGAGGTGGTTGACGTCAACGCTCAGTACGCCGGCTATGAATGGGAATATGTCTACCAGGTGATCATGGGAATGCTTGTTTTCGTGATTGTTCCTGGTATCGGTCTGCTCTACGGCGGTATGTCGCGCAGAAAGTCTGCGCTGGCCATGATCTTCCAGGCCTGGACTGTTATGGCTGTCTGCTCATTTCAATGGGCCTTCTGGGGCTTCACCCTGGCATTCTCGAGAACGGGTGGACCTTTCATTGGCGACATGTCCAACTTTGGAATGAGAAACGTGAGCAAACGAATTTGTCAAAGCGACGAACTGTGGCTAACGGAATTTAGGTCATGGCCGCTCCATCGTGGGGTTCTGCCGTCATCCCTGACATCGTTTTCAGCTTCTACGAGCTGATGTTCTGCGCCTGCGCTACCATGATTGTGGTCGGCGGCTCATTCGAGCGTGGTCGTATCATTCCTTCGATGATCTTCGGTTTCTGCTGGGCAACTCTATGCTACTGCCCAATCTCCTACTGGACCTGGAATGCCAATGGCTGGCTGTACAAGCTTCCAGCTCTCGACTTCGCTGGTGGCGGTCCTGTCCATATCTCCAGCGGTACTGCTGGTCTGGCATATGCTCTTGTCCTTGGCAAGCGTACTCGCGCCGGTGAGAAGCATGTCTACAAACCCCACAACGTCACCATTGTCTTCCTCGGCACCACACTCATTTGGTTTGGCTGGTTCGGTTTCAATGGCGGTTCGGCCTTGAACGCCAGCATTCGTGCCATGATGGCCGTCTGGAACACCAACTTTGCCGCCTCCTGTGGTGTTGCCGGCTGGGTCATGATGGACTACATCAAGAAACGCAAGTTCTCGGTCATTGGCGCGTGCGAAGGTGCGATTGCTGGTCTGGTCGGTATCACCCCCGCCGCTGGTTATGTGTCAGTTTGGTGCGGTGCGGCTATTGGCTTCATCACTGCCATTGTCGTTAACCTGTTTGAAAACGTCAATGACTGGATGGGAATTGACGACGGCTTGGAGGTCTTCAAGCTCCACGGTATTGGCGGCATGTGTGGCGCCTTCCTGACGGGAATTTTCGCAACGTCATCAGTTTCGTCGCTCGATGGTGCCACTTTGGCCCCTGGTGGCATTGATGGCGTGGGAAGCCAGATTGCGCGACAACTTGCGGAGATCGCTGCCATTGCCAGCTGGTCATTCACCATTTCGTTCATCCTGCTCATGATCCTCAAGTATATCCCCGGACTGCATCTCCGTGTTACGGATGAGGTTGAGATGATTGGTCTTGACGTCGACCAATTCTCGGACGAACTCGTCGGTGAATGGTCTCTCTTCAACGATGACAATGAGGGCGGTGGTGGCCGTCGCCAGTCGGTTCAGCAGATCACTCAGGGTGTTTCTGCCGGCGGGCAACAGTCTAGCGGTTCTTCCAGCAACGAAGCTGCTATCAACGAGAAGAGTGAGACTAAGGGCCAGGCTGCCCCTGGTCTTAGTCTTTAGATACTGAATTATGTGGATAGTCTATGCTCTTGGCACAGAGACAGATTTTCTGGAGCGAGGGCTTAGAAGCGTGGAGTCGAAGAGACCGGTTCTTGTACAATCAGCTGTCGGAGATTCTTTATCGCTATATTATTATTTAGACATCAGTCTTCAAAATTTATTCATCACGAGCTTGTAATCAGTATACAAACGATGTCCTTGCTGTAGAAGGTAACTATACTCTGCAAATGCTCACTATCTCAAGAAGGGCATGTGCTTTATATTTCCTCTTGTAGGCTAGCTCGTGTGCCCATCGCCTAGCCTTCCATATCTGCAGGACCAATATACTAACCTTAGGCGCTAAGGCTAGGGTCACTAAGCACCGTGACATGGAAAAGGCTGCAGTCGCATCTGCATTTCCGCAGCCTGGGAAACTTACCTAGGTAACAGTTCAACTGTTCACTTCTATTCAGTCATGGTTCTTTGGCCTTTCTTTATACCTCCAACTTCTGCCTACTCACATACCGTTCACTGACAGAAGTACCTCTCCAGACACAATTGCAGCACCTTTGACATTAGTCTAGGCCAATCTCATCTTTTACCCTCTGCCTGCGGGGTGGCTCCCCCACTCGATCTTTGAACGTCTGCGCAGCCTCGTCTGATCGCTTGCTCACGCAACCGCCAACTGCGCACGCCATACTGCCTTGAAGACGTCGCGTGTCATGTTCACAGCAAAGAGACTAGGCAAGGTGAGCAGGGGATCCTGAGGTGAAAACCTCGTTCCCGAACCAGAACTGACAGTGTTGTCTAGGAACTGCAAAAGGTATCGCTCAACCACGTCCCCCTCCCTCCCACTCTCACGACGGAGCCGTCCGACTCCAGATCGCCATGAGTATCCTACGAAAGTTGGGTACCTGACATCCTGACATTTTTCGCGCAGGCCAAGCAGAGTCTCCCTCCAGGCATCGACCTTGTCAAAGCAGACGACTTCCGAGAATGGCAGGTCGACATACGAGTCCTCGACGCGAATCCTCTCTACATGAACCAGACGTTCCGCCTCAGTTTTATATTCAGCGATAACTATCCTATAGGTGGGCATACACACGCACCCATGACCCAAGTCCTTGATCTTGCGCCCCGAACCTCACTTCAGATCCTGCAAGATCTACATAACGATGCTAATATGTGAACTGCAGAAGCACCTGAAGTAGCATTCATCCACATCCCTCCCTCGTCCTCTACAGCCTCTACCACATCGCAAACGCAATCACAATCACAATCACAACCCAACCCTCTGTCTTCTGGCCGACCCATACCGATCCACCCACACATCTACAGCAACGGAATCATATGTCTTGACTTGCTCGGCACAGCGGGCTGGTCGCCCGTCCAGAGCGTCGAGTCAGTCTGCATGAGCATCCAGAGCATGTTGACGGGCAACACCAAGAACGAGCGACCGCAAGGCGATGAGGCCTTCTGCCAGAGTATGGGCACGAGAGGGCCCGAGGGCTGGAGTGGGTGGAGGGGCGGACGTGGACGAGGGCTAAAGGACGTACGATTCGCTTATGACGACGATACGGTATGACGACTGGTACTCTGGAAGCAGCTTCTTTGGCAATTTGGACTCGAGACTCGGATTGAGCGAGACGAGATATCCGGCCGTTCCTACCGTACGCACAGGTGGATGACATGTGACGCTCGGTGGGATCCATGGCCATTGGAAGTTATGCATTGCGACGAGGCAGTTCTGAGGCAGAGAACTAGGATATTGGCATGCTAAGGCTATGATACTACGTATGCGGACTGGCTGGCGCGGCGAAGCATGGCTACCCTGCGAGGCATGAAACGGCTGGAAACACAAGACTCGGCGTCCATGATGAGACACGATTGAACGGTGTATATGATTAAGAGACACCATCATAGCATTGAGCGATTCAAGCACTGGGCTTGCCCATTGATTGATACTATCTCTTCGCTAATTGCACACTTGGTTGGTGTCCCCTGGGATTTCCTTATACCCTACACCTAATCCCAGCCTAACTGGCAAGAACAGGCTGCAGCTTACTTGAAATCAGCAGCTCTTGCTCTTCCACTTCCTCCAGCACGTGCAGGACTTGGAGTCCGTCTGCGCCTTACCGGACTTGGCGATCGTCTCCTATTATCATCGCGTGACTGAGCAGGTCGTCTGGATGGTGGCGACCGAGGCACAGAGCCTTCACTATAACTTGAAGAGTTGCGTCTGGCTCGTGGCGCTGGCTTGCGCGGCGGCGGGCTTCTGCTTCTCGAGTGTCTCGCATTAGCCCGACGAGGTGGAGGAGGCGCCGATCGCGAGGGCGAGCGGGCGGGTCCTTTACCACGGCTGAAGCGTGGCGGTGAGCGTGATCGGGATGGTGAGCGCGAGACATTGCGGCGTCGTGGCGCGGGTGACCGAGACACTGACGGCGACCGCGAACTCGAGTAGCCATTGCGACGCACCGGGGCGCCTTTGCGAGGAGGAGGGGATCGAGAGTGGGAGCTGTACGACACAGAGCGTGTGCGAGCTCGGCCGCGAGGAGGCGCGGCGTTTCGCCGTGGGGGAGGGCTTCGAGATACAGAATGTACAGGCGCTTTTCGCTGGACACGTCGGGGTGGTGATCGCGACCTTGATACTGAAGCGCTGTAGCTCCTGTCTTTTGCCTTCCGAGGTGGTGGCGACCTCGACCGCGAGATCGTGCGGCTATAACTCCTTCCTCGTCCTCTAGCATCTCGACTTGCTGGTGGGGCATCTCTAACCTTCCTTCGGTCTGGTGTCGGACTTCTAGAGTATGACCTGCTTGACGAGTAGCTGGAGTAGCTCGAGTAGGAGCTAACGCTCTCCGAGTCAGACACATCGTCTTTCACCGCGGGAAGAGAAGGAGGCGCTGGTTTGGGAATGTTCTTAAGGTGCTCGCGCATCTCCTCCGTGAGAGCACCCATGCCGATACTGGTGAAGTAATTGATGGAGAAGCGAGTGTTGCGAGGATTGTCGATCGGGAAAAGACCGGTGAAGCTGCCTCGGAGGATGTCGTCTTTCATGCGTTCCTGCAATTTGGGCATGCCCAGTGACTCAGCTAGGTCTTGGAAAAGAATCTTGATGAAGATACGGCTGCTCGAGGTGGTTTCGTCTTCGTTGAGGTGTACGACCGAGAAAACGTGCCAGCCAAGGGCATCCGTGCTCAACAGGTGGCCAAAGAAGCGAGCAATGTTTCGCAGACGGTTCGTCTCGTAGCGGTGAATAGTGTCGTAATAACGAGCGAAGGCTTCTTCGAACAGATTGGTCCACAGGCGGTTGAGCTTGGCGAACCTCTCGCCGACGAGACCGAAGAATTTGGAATAGGTCTTCTCTTGCGAGCAGCACTCGATGATCATAGACGGCAATTCTGATTCCTGACCTGTCGGGAGTTGGACTTTCATCAACTTGTGGCAGGCTTCTTCGAAGTCGAGACTTGACATGATGGTCAGATAGATCGTTTTTCGCAAGTTGACGAGATCCGTGTTTGTCTGATCCTTGATTTCCATGGCACGTTCTTGCTCTGCGTCTTCGTCATCGGAGCTTTCTTCGGAGCCACTTTCGTCTCCATCTTCAACACCGCTGTCCTCACCCAAGATTTCGGCCTTCAATTTTCTGTATGCCTCTTCGTGTTCTTCCCATTCAGCATCGTACTTGAAAATATTGAGGGTATCTTGCACCTCGATATCGTCGTCCAAATCGACTTGATGTGTAATCTGATCTTCTTCCTCTACCAGATCAAGCTCTTCTCTGATAGCCGGGTTGTCCTTGTAGCGGTCCTTTCTCACTTGGAACAGAACTTCGATCATGTATTGGGTTCTTTTGTCGATGTCGGCCTCGTGCAGAATACTGCGGAATTGGTCAAAGACAGCCAAGGCGATCGGCTGGCTCATCTCCTCCAAATGCTGGCCTACTTCTCTCGTAAGGCCAACCGCGATTTCGACCGAGTCGTCCGTAGGTTTGTGTAGCAGTAACAGGAGAAGCTGTGCCGCAACTGTCTCATGAGCAACCTGCTGGTTGCAGAGGTGAGCAATAAATGTAGTTGACGATATGCACACGGCCTTGTCATTTCTCTTGAAAGCTTTGCGGAACTGGACGACTAGACGGTTCAATAATAGCTCTCCGACCTGAGGCAATTTGGTGTTGACGATCGCAGCCATAGCGGCATAGATAGGCGTGAAAGGAAGAGAGGCGGCCTGCGCCTTCATGATACTCCGGCAGAATAACCCTCGACCGCGAACCAGGTTCTCCCCAAACAACTCCGGTACGATATATTTGATGTTGGAGACATTGATCTTGTTGATGAGACCGTTGATTGATTTCTTCAAAGCCTCCCAAGCCATGCGCTGGTATTCTTTGCTGGTCTTGTCCGTGATCTCCGCCTGCAGAGCGCTTAGCCTGGCAGGAGGAATGTATGTGCCTCCAGATCGCATGTTGAGTAGTTTTTCGTATTCGGCCTTAGCAGATGCCTGCTTCTCCTCCGCTGTCATCGGCTTGCGTCTGGTGTCTTCATTTTCTTTTGATTTGAACCTTGCCATCAATTGTCGTTCACGGTCATCAACTGCCCGCTCCTGCTCTCCACCGTCCGTCCTCCGTCGGGAGTCATCTTCCGTGGGAGCTGGCCTGCGACGTCGAGGAGAAGGTGATCGGGAGGGCGGCGACCTCTTTTTTGCACCTGAAGGTCCTGGTGAGTAAGAGCCGCCTGGAGGCGGGGTGGGCAGGCGTACAGCCGACGACAATAGCATCGTGTCCGCCATGGTTGATGAATGCTGCTGAAGTGCTCAGAGTCAACAGCAGAGTCCAGATCAAGAATCGAGGTTCATTGTGGTGTGTTAGGCCAGAGACAAAAAGTTGAAGCAGCCAGGCAAACACCCATCGAAGTTTGGAGTCGGAAAAATGTCACTCGTGCCAAGAGCCTTGTTGGATTGAAATTGGGGTCGGAGCCTCGACAAGACGCGCGACTTGGGGATTCGTGTCCAGTTCTCTAAACATTTATTTACCATTGATCTTCACGCCCGTATATTTCTTCCCACGCAATCAGCATACGCGATTTGCGTCACGGGGAATTGAAAGAAGTAGAGATGGTATGAACCCTCTTGCGTTGACTTCTGAACACCGCGGGCATACTGACGGGCATTGTTCGCAGCTGGACAAACTCGTGGGCATGGCTATGCTCATAGCAGCCACCACCGTCTTCTTGTACTACACGCTATGGACTCTATTCATGGTAAGAAACTCCAGAAAAGACGTGGAGCTCAGCGACTGAACAACCCACCAGCCATTCGTCGACGATGACCATCCGCTTCAAAGCCTGTTTCCGCCTCGTGTTTGGGCAATCCGAATTCCAGTCATTCTCACCCTTCTCGGTTCTGCAGTCGTGGGCACTTTCCTCGCCATGGTCATGATCCGAAGCAACAGAAAGAAGGCAGCCAAGGCTCGAGCTGCTGCCGCGAAGAAGACGAAATGAGCGCCTGAAGAGGAGACGGAGAATATCTAAAAGGGGCGACAGTGTATCACCAATGAATACATGGAGCATGTTTTGCCATATCAGCGATGTAGGATTGTGTCACCAGTACCGTCTTGCGAGAGTTGGTTGTCACTTTGAGGCGCATTCAAAAACCAGCCAGTTGTCGAGCCATCCACGGGACCATATGTGTGTTGCGAGGTGTTCCTATATGCCAAACAAGGGCACAGATCTTGCCTGGCGACATGGGCAGGTCGATTCAGTGTATCGAGGATGCCAACTTCCCGCAGCACAACCTTGGTCTTTTCCAACGCGTCCTGGATATGGAATCTCTTTTCACAATGTTCTTTGTTATTGCAACTGCTGCGATATGGTGAAACAAAGGTTGATGGCCGTTTGTGGTCAAAGCATCTGTTGAACGGCGTAAGTTTGAGTCTCACTGCTGCGCATGACTTGAGGACGTTTGAATAAGAACGGCGTCTGAATGCGCAAATTTGCTGCTGTTGTTAATGCCCACCTGACTGCCAGTCCTCACCCAAATTGACCGTATCCCTACCTGAGTAGTTTGACATCTGGAGGGTTTGATGCAGCACGTCCTGTTTGCGCGATGCAACTGGAGCATACTGACAGTTGGCTCCAATCGTCCAAGGTAAGGTCCTCGATCTCGGTGTGTGGTGACACTGGTGAGCCGCAAACTGAGGCATCGTGCGGGGAGTTCTGGTCAAATGATATAGCACTCCAGCCACCGCCGTGATCGTCATCAGGCGCCAAACCCTGGTCACTTTGGTCATTTCTGCATGCGTCTTGGAGCCCAGATCATTAAGCGTACCCCGCCCCGAGGTGCCGCACCTGCCTAATTACAGTGAGCCTACAACCCAGATTATTGACCACCCAGGCAAGAGAAAGCGCCTGCGTGTCCTGGGCGTAGGCGATAAGCAGGAACGGACAATCGCTGTCCAAGTCACAAGGTCCAGTGACTCCTCCTGATCCAATGCTCCAACTCAACACAGGCTTCATATGTCAACAACCTGGCTGCAACTCTTCTTGACACACTCTTGCTCGTCTTTCATTGCCGTTTGTTACTCGTTTCTCAATCCAAACGCGTTGGAAAACAACCGCCAGTCCGTGTCGAGACCTCCACCGATCAGCAGTACTTAAGCGTACGAGTCACTCCGCTCACGCGTACTGTACACAGTGGACCCCGCGCCGGTCAGCCAGGGTACCATCACTTGCTTACACTGTCGACGTTGTCCCTCCCTAACGTCGCGACCTTGACCACGAGTCTATTTGCGTAAACGCAACACTCCGCTGAGGGCTGCTTCTGTTGTGCCCTCGGCTGCTCACCAATTCCTTGAATGCCAGCATCCAATACGACGAGATACTCCGCATCAAGAAGGACAGACGCATACTGCGACTCTGCACAGTTAGAAGACGCATCAGCAGTGGCTGATCAAGAAGGAACAAGACCAAGCAAGAGGAAGGCAAAGCATGCTACTTCAAAACAGTCACCTCACAGGGACGATGCCGACGAGAGCATTTCTGTCGAGCACATGGGTCACCAAGAACCACCCTCATCAGCCAAACCACAGTCTATCCTTGGACAATTGCAGCAGACATACCCTCAAAACAGCAGGAACAAGAATGCCTCTGACGCTATGAACAATGTGAGCGCCATTCAAAAGGTCTCCGATGAACATACCCCGCCTGCAGATACATGGGCGCGAAATTCTGCTTATGGCAGATCACCTCCAGCCGAACGTATGCCTGGATTGAGTGCGGCCGGCCCGACTTCGTACGAACCTGGCTTTAGCAGTCGAGGCGCCTTCAACACTAGAAGTCCACCGATCTCGCCACCAGTGCGAAAGGCCAGGCCTGTGAGTTATGGGGGTAGCATCCCTCCACTGCCGGGCCACCCAAGAGTATCAACATCACCTTACGGATATGCTTATGGATCTCCTCAAGCATTACCACACCTCCCGCAGCAACATTTCTACGGTCCTCACGATGTTGACCTTGGGCTTGCACATCATATGGGCCAGATGAATGTGCAGGATCCGGTTGCACTCAAGTTTGCACGTATCCCCGGTCCTGGAACGGAGTACCGCGAGGCAGTACTTTTAGTCGGCGTTGGAGAGCTGAACATACTCTGTCAAAATGGCGAGAAACTGGAACTCATAGGATCTCTCAGAGGCATAGAGGGAGATATACTCGATGCTTGTCTGCTGACATGCAACGCCAGCGACGATCCATTCTTGGAGTACAGACCATTGGTGGCACTTACAATCCATGGCGTTGGAAAAGAGGAAGGTGCTCCCGTCCCGTCTGTGGAACGCAACGCGCGAGTCGGGCCTGATACGTATATGGAGACCAAGGTTATGGTATTTTCACTGAACAAGTGCTGCCAGATCGCAGAGCTGTTGCGTGTGCCATCCACAGGTCCAGCATTTCCCGGGGCCCGGGGTGGTTATGAACCTGCCACGACATTGAATATACATGCAAGCGGGAACTCTTGTGTGGTAGCGTCAAGCGACAGTGGTGAACTTTTTGTCTTTGGTATCACAAGAGCTAACGGATCGGCGGTGTTCGAGTGCCTGGGCAAGTACTGGACCACAATTCAGCCTCGTCAGAGGAGAGACTCGTCACATGGACAAAGCTCAGATGCAGACGTCTCGCCTGCCGACCTTGGCCGTGGTACTGATGGCGAAGAGTCGCCAATCCTCAGTCTGAATGGTCGATGGCTTGCCTTCTGCCCAGCTGCCACTCCTTCTCGAAGATCGATAGGAGCCGTCCTTGGGAACAGTGTTGTCCACAATAAGAACTCGAACATCAATGCGGGTACAGCTCCATCACGACCTCAAGCTACATGTGAGGTCCAGTCTCCTGATATTGATACTTTCTTCAGCAAGGTGGCCAAAGGATTTGCACAAGAAGCCGTGAGGAGTGCGAAGTGGATCAGTGAGAAGGGTATGCAAACATGGCAGACCTACTGGAAGAAGGAGCCATACAGTGAGGGAACGACCCCGTCCAGTCCACCTGTCTATTCGCCTCGCCTTGCAGTGGCCCAATTCCCGCCGACTCATGCTTTTGATGACCAGAATCTCTCCAGAGATCCTGAGGTCGTTTCGATTCTCGATCTAAAGTTGCTTCATGAAACCCAAGGCAGAAGAAACACCGACATCCACCCAGTAGCGACATTCCAACCACCAGGAGGCTGCAGCTTCCTCTCGTTCATGCCAACAGGTCTAGGTCTTTTATCCGCCAACAGGAAAGGTGACGTGCAATACGTATGGGATCTTCAGCAAGTCAAATACGTTAGATTGCCGAGAGCATCGACTCCGCCGGATAGTGGTTGTGTTCGACAAGTCGCACGTTACGAGCGACTGAGCCCTTCCACGATTGTCGACCTTGTTTGGGACGGGCCAACAGGCTATCGATTTGCCCTTCTTACGAAGAACCGAACTATTCATATCTTTGATCTGCCAAAGACCGCCTTCCAATGGCCACCGCCCCCTGTGAAGACGCATCGTCCAACTTCCGCTCCTGTTGATCAGTCTCAGGCAAAGCCGGAGCATGAGCCTGCACCATCGGGAGGTTTCTTCGCTTCCGCTATGAGTATCGCGGGGCGAACTCAGCCAATGTTGGCAAACCTTAGAGGAAGAGCGCCCAGCGTCGGAGGTGGATTCTCTGGATTTGGGGCTTCAGGTCTTGGACTGGCCTCTACCACGGGCATCAAAAGTGGAAGAGCAGTAGCCGCGGGACTTAGTAAGTCGCTTGGTGCTGCTACGGAGACAGTCACCAGCCTTCGACACGCGAATCAGAGCAGGGTCCATCTCAAGATCCCCGCTCGAGTGGGTATGCCATGTTGGCAACGACGAGAGGGAAAGTCGATTCTGGCGATTTTGGACTTGCACAGCATCAAACATTACTATGTGCGAATGACGAAGCCAAGAGAGGATCGCCAGAGGCAGATGATATCCGTCTTTGACGCCCGCAAAGCGGTCTCGTCGAAGCTGCCGAAGGCGACGGACCTGTCTGCTGATCACTCGTACAAATCTGCTTACGCAAAGCCAGACGACGAAACCGAATCGGACACACTCTCCGGATTCTGGAAGTACCGTGCATCCAGAGGGGAGGCGCTCAAGATCCCTCATCCGCTGGCGTCTGCCGAAATCGAAACAAATGCTCCATATCAGCCCTTCCACACCGACCATAGGGTCAGCATATCACTAATCGAGGACTATGAACCTCCGTTTAGCACTGTCATGAGGCAAGAGGCCGAGTCTACACAGAAGTGGGTGTTTGGTGGCCAAGTACGATTCCATGGAACATCAACCACTGCCAAGGTAGTAGCGGGTTATGATGAGTCTGACATGTATCGCGAAACAGACATCATGCCTGATATCTCTTCATTGGGCACCACGCCGGTCGAAGCACTTGAGGACACGATTGGCCATGTTGTGAGTAACACGAAGAAGCGGAAGGGCAAGAAAGGCAAGGCACATACGCACATTGATGTTGGTGGGGACGAAGATGTTGGACGAAATAGTGTGAGCCTGGCACGAGCCCACGATGTGTCGCAGCATGAAGCTACTTTCAGCCCGGACTTCGATCTACTAGAAAGCGAGGATCAGGTTTGAGTAAGGCATCATTGGGTAACAAATGTCATCTCCACGCGCAAAGCAAAACGCATCATACGGATCGTTCATTTCTGGCTGCATTCGAGCTCTTTAATACTCTCTTAGTACTGCATGACCCGAGAGTGGTGACCTCCCGAACGAACTTCATCCCAGCTTTGTTGCGTTCGCAAATTGCTTGCACGTCAAGGCCATTTTCACCAAGTCGTCAACTCATTGGGCTCTCGCTGAGGTGCGGCAGACAAAATTGAGAGTGAAGTGGGTGAAGTGAAGTGAAAGAGGGTAATATTTGTTGTTTGCCTGAAATAGTGCACGCGCAGGTCCTCTTTATCATGATTTTGATTCTTATAAAGTCGTTATTACAGTTTCAAACCCCTCTCCCACTGACGCGTGGTAGGTCAAGATGGATGGATGTTGGGTTCGTCCATGGGTTGGATCTTTGTGCCATTATGGCGATGAGAGCCAGTCCCTCATTGAGCAATATCTCTCGCACTACCCTCATTACCAAGAGCCAAATCAGACGGTGATAGTACCTGGTCCCATTCAGCCGGAGCTCAACTGACTTGGAGTAGGAACTTCCCCAGGTTGAATTACAACTACGATCAATCAGTCGCCGCATCCATCATAATCCGTACTTGATTGAGACGCGAATTGCCAGAGCCGAGCTTCTCATCAAGCTGAGGTTCCCAGAGCTGGCTGTATCGGATGCACACAAGGCCTTACTCCTGACCTGTCGAGCAGTAAGAACCACATTACAACGTCTGCATGCAATTATACCTAACCTTCTGGTGACAGACTCAGGACACGTGGCCTGGTCGGAGCTGTTACGACCTCTACATACTCAAACGTGAGACGTCCCTTCTATTGGGCCAAGCTCTGTTCCTCGCCCGGTGCTTTGTCGAGTGCCTAGATCTCCTCCTGGGCATCTCACAACAAAACTACGTGCTCTATGGTCCGAAAAAGGAGGATTACGATACACTGACCAAGTCTACAAGACGCGCACTACGCTTGGAACGCCAACATCATTGGCAAGACAATAGCTTTAGAGAGGCAGAGAAAGAGTATCAAGATGAATTGCTCTCGAAAGGAGAAATCAAGTTGGTGCCATACCCATGGATACCAGACCTTCTATTTCGCCGCACGATGTCAACGATCGAGGATGCAAAATCGGAGCTCCAAAGACTCTCAAACGGTCGTGTCACCATAGAAGAGACTCAACTACGGGAAAGACTGCAACACGGTGGCCAGCTAACGTTAGATCAAGATGCATACGGCCTGTTTGCCATGGCTGACATAGCAGCAGGATCAAAGCTATTCGTGGATCGCACAGTAATCTGTGCAAACAGTGGCTCGTCTCGCTGTCCCGCATGCTGTGCGGACCTGACTGGTAATCGTTCTACCTTCTGGGCATCAGAAGAACTGTTCTGCGACGCTGCCTGTGCAGGAAGGCTGAACGCAGTGTGCCAACTCGGCGCATTGTACCAATGGAGCGGATACTACCAACGAACACACAGCCGTCTGAGCCAGCCCCCCAAAGATGAAGATCAGGCGCTGTTCTTTCGGGTACTCGCCGCCGTACACAAGCATACACGAGATCATTCTTCCGGCCACCCCCTTGAGTCCTGGCCCATCAATCGTTTGACAGCAGGCTACCATTCCGGTGCCACGAGAGCGTGGTCGTATACTGACGACGTTTGTGCACCACTGGAGGTCCTGGAGAAGCTCGGCGGTGATATATTCGAGGACAGTCTTTCTGAGGGGTGGGTGCTTGAGACTATTTCCAATCGTATCGCCACGAATGCTCGGGGGCTCGAATCGAATGAGGATCAAATCGCAGCAATCAATCCGCTTTACAGCTTTTTCAACCACAGCTGTAGACCCAATGTCGCAGCACTCGATGACGAGATGAACGGAACAAGTTCTGTGCGAATAGTAGCAAGAAAGGATATTGCTAGAGGGTCAGAGTTGTTTATCAGCTATCTATCGAACGAAGAGCTGCGGACAAGCTATGAAAACAGGAAGCAACTCTTGAGCGCATGGACTGGCGGGGACTGTCAGTGTATGAGGTGTGCCCATCGACGAGAGCGTCCGGACTCCAACGCGGCTTGCGTTCAGGAAGAACCTGAATGTGATGATTCTAATAAGGCAATTGCAAATGACAGCGAGGAAGAGGAAGAAGCTGTCATGACCAACAGCGAGGATAGTGACGATGAATCGGATGAGACAAGCATGGAGTTTTAGCACGATCAATTACTATTCAACAGAGAGTTGGGAGAACGTTTGCATGGGTTATGCAGGAATTTTGGCTGCATTGGACATGTGCGGCACGAATTGGGATTACATTGGATACACCCCCAACAAGGATGCTTTCGAAGGTCATAGCAGGCGAAACATTCTTTGTAACAAGGGTTTTTCTTCTCAAGTACCAGTGTATAATACACTCGAACATGGTCGCACCTTCACAGATGAAGGTCGAGTCGAGGCGGAAGCGAAGGTAGTTCTCTTCTCTTCAAGAACATAACATCAATGACATTTTGCGGCCATGAGATCATGATTGTGACACCAATTGGCCTAGTATTTCCAATCCCGTCTCGTCAAGTCATTCCTGCACGTAAATAGCACAGATATATCCTCATCCGCGTCAAAATATTGTGCTGTGAGTAGATTGTGGTTCATGTTGTCGCAAGGCTGAACTTGAAATTGATGTCACGTGGCATGAAATCTCCATGAGGCTGACCCCTTTCTCTTGGGTGTCCTCAACCTTCATTTATTTACTCTCCTGACAAGATTCTCGTACGAAAGCCAACCGAGTGGAGGAACATGGCCAAGATAGAGCTGTGGCACATTGGCAGTGTGGCCATTCTTGCTTTGATACTCCTCCACCTGTATTTGTCGCCGTACACGAAAGTCGAAGAGTCCTTCAACATCCAAGCCACACACGACATCCTGAAATATGGCGTGCCAACAAGTAACGTCTACCTCAAGCTCAAGGCTCAATACGACCACATGACTTTCGCCGGAGCCGTACCCAGGACATTCATTGGGCCTCTAATTCTGGCCGCCATAGCAAAGCCGTTCATTTGGTACGGCCAGCTTGACGGACTACAACAGCAACTGCTCGGTAAGCATACCACCCAAGCCCAAGTCTCTGTACCCGTTTCTAAGATGAGTTACAGTCCGGGGCGTACTAGGCCTCTTTAACGGCGCTGCCCTGATAAGCTATGCGTCGGGGGTAAGGCGAGCATATGGCGCCGCGGCAGCAAACTGGTACACCGTGCTCCAGGCCAGTCAATTCCACATCATGTACTACTCGTCACGGACGCTAACCAATATGTTCGCATTTGGGATCAGTATGTGCCTCATTGATCCAAGTCGATGGAGAAGAACGTCCGAGAGCTGATGTCCACGAAATAGCTACACTCGCCCTCCGTTTCCTCCTTCCAATGCCTCAACAACCACGAATCAAACACGCAAGACTAGCCCTCTACCTCCTGACCCTAGCGACCATCATCTTTCGCTCTGAACTCGCCCTGCTTCTAGCCTCTCAATGTTTCTATCTTCTCGTCAAATCCGCAAACCTGTCGTCAGCCATCTCTCTCGTCCGAACAATCTTCCTACCAGCCATCCTATCCGCGACAATCGCCGGCCTCTTCCTAACAGTCAGCATCGACACCATTTTCTGGCAATCGCGCACTCTCCTGTGGCCAGAACTCGCCGCTTTCCTGTCCAACATCTTCCCATCCAACGATAGTCTCGGCGCATCGGCCTGGGGTACATCACCATTGCACTGGTACTTCACATCAGCATTGCCACGACTCCTTCTCAACCCTGCCCTGCTGTTGCTGATACCATGGGGTCTAACAGCAACAACAACACTGCGCCCGGCACTCCTCGACCTCATACTCCCGTCTCTAAGCTACGTCGCCATCTACTCTATCTTACCGCACAAAGAAACGCGCTTTATATTCCCTGTCGTCCCACCGATAACGGCTGCCATTGCCGTCTGCGCAGCATATATCTCGAACCGCGCCGATCGTTCTGTGTTGTACAAACTCACTCACTACATTCTGATACTCACCACGGGTTTGACGACCATCTTCGCCACGGGCGTCCTTCTCCCGCTGTCCGCACTGACGTATCCTGGGGGTCAGGCTGTGGAAGCTCTACACGCAGTATCCGTCAACTATGCTCCTCAGCCGCAGATTCGCGTACACTTGACGAATCTCGCGCTGCAGACGGGCGTGACGCATTTTCTGGACGAGCCGTCCTTGGAGATCAGTGGTAGGCCTGTCTTTACGCTCCCTGGGTCGTCGGACGGTCGCAAGCCGACGATCAGATCGAAGCGTCCTACACGGTGGCTGTATGATAAGTGTGATAACGAAACGGAATTCCTGACACCCACTTTCTGGAGTCAATTCGATTATGTGGTCGTTGAGGATCCCAGTCGTGTGATTGGTGCGTGGGATGTCGTTGACAAGATTCCGGGGCTGGGTAAGCCCAAAATCCTACGACCTGACGTTGGGCGCGGGCTTCTGGTTCTGGGACCTAAACAGCAGAGGAGAGAAGATGATGGGTTTTCTAGGTTGACGGAGGCCATGTACGGGTCAGCAGCTAAATGGGCGTATGGGGTCGTGCATGACGTGCTCAGAGAGGGATTCGGCGCCGATAAGCTGCTAGGCAAGAGCTGGAGCTGGACGATGGGGTGGTGGGTGCATTGGGGGTTGGAGACGAAGTTGTACATTCTGAAGAGAGGCGAAACTCCGATCAGTCCATGAGACGACTGATAGGGTGAGTGGGCAAGCGATGGTTCATTACTATTGATGCAACTTTGCCATTCTGCTCTCCAGCCCTGAAACCATCTCGCCCACGACCTCGACGTTCCCTTTCATGGCGTCCTCTAGATCTGCCATGCCTTTCTCGACATCCTCAACCGCCTGTCTCCACTGCTTGATCTCCTCGCGAGTTTCTGCCTGACTTTTCTCCACTGCATCGAGATTGTTCTTAGCGTCGGCGGCCCCGGCGTGAATCACATGCAATTCCCTCAGCCGGTCTAGGACAGTTGGAAGGAGAGGCTGGAGGTTCTGGATGGTGGGGAGTACCTGGTACAAGGCTGTGATTTTTGTGGATTGCTCGTCCAGAAACACCTGGGATTGGATTTGCAAGGACTCGTCGCCTGGACCAGCTTGGTCGGCATCGGTCTTGTTGTTCGCAGATGCATTGGAGAACCCGCGGCGCGGTCGTGAGCCGCTGTATCCGAGCTGGCGCATACGCACTTCGTGTAGCTCGACGAGAGCTTGCTGGGCTTGTTTGCGGGAGGCAGTAAGGCGATCGGACTCGGCGATCAGGGTCTTCAATTTCGAGGAAACGCCGTTTAGAATTGGTGGAGGTTGAGAGTTGGAGGACGCCGTCGAGGATTTCGGCGCCAGCGTGTTGGACAATACTGTGATCTGCTTCGCTAGACCGTCCAGTGTCGGTAAGAGGGACAATGTCTGGGACTCGACGTTTGTGGAGGGAATACCCAGTGCAGCTTCGAGGGCGGTGAGTCTGTCTGAGAAAGCTGCCACAGCCGACAGAGCCGATGGTGCTGTTTGGGTGTCTTCCTTTTGAGCGGCCACAGGCCGGTTCGTCTCTTGGCCATTCCTCCGTATTGACCTTGCATCTAGTCTTGACAGAAATTGATTCTCCAGGCTTCCTGAGGACCTGGATCCTGCTTTTGTGCTCAGCTGATCGAGAACTTTGCTGAGTTGTTCGACACCATCCACATTGGCATCATGTTCGTCTTCACCGTCATGCTGTTCGACAGTCTCTTTGAGTTTCTCGTCGGTGTCTTTCTCTTGCTCTCGTTGCTGTATTTCAAGCCTGACTTCTTCGGCTTCACGTTTTAACCGGGCGAGCTTCCTGCTCAAGGTCTCGTCTTCGCTATCACTCAGGTCACCAAGTTCTTCTGCGCCATCTTCAAGCCGCCTCCGTCGTCGCCGTGAGCTGCGAGTCCGGTACGACCGTCGTGTGCCCGCGATTGTGTCTGAAAAGTCTACATCACGGGCATCCACTTGTGAGGGTTCGAATTTCCGCCTTGCTCCGTCTCGATCGAGGTGCTGTCTGTCCAGACCTGGACGCGCTTCATCTTCTGAAGGAGAGGGTGATATCGTGCGCAGTGTACCTGTCTGCCGAATTCAGTCAAAGCCGCCAAACTCTCGAAGCATCTGGAAGTTTACCTGCGCGGTAGATACATCGTCGGCTAATTCTGGGGTTTCGTAAATCTCAGGGGCAGCATCCTGTAACGATGATAGTCAGCATGAATTGTCCTTGAATTCGGCTATAATACTCACCACGTCTGGAAGATGGGCATATTTGCTGCTGACAGCCATGTTAGTCGGCTTTTCCTGGACTCGCCGTGTTCTCACTATAAGTGTTCGGGGACACTTTACGCGGTTCAAAGTTTAGTTGCACCAGTTTAGGCTTGAGGAACGTCACTTAGTAAACAGTCTTGGCGCGTTCGGCCTCCTCCCATACAATTTCACCAAGTGCCAGTGCATGCAAGCGACTCACGCTTCAGACTTCCAGAAGAAGAATTGACCTAGCCTTGTCGCTTACGACTGCTTTGCGAATTGAGAACCGGTCAAGAATGCACAGAACCCCATTCTGGGGTGGAAAGACTTCTTCTTCATCAGGCAGGTGTATGCATTTGACGACATGCCCTTACAAGCGCGACGGCGAGAACAATTTCAGATCCGCGAATGACCTCGAATGTGATCAATCGGGTGTATCACTACTCAGACGGAAGGCTATGTGGTGATCGATATGCGCACGTCAACAAAAAGAACAGAAGTGACATAACAGGTACGTCGGAGCGTGCCGGATCTTGCTAAACATGCCTACTCGGGAGGCGGAAGAACAGTTGCGGCGTCCTAGGTGAGAAATCTATGTGAGTAAGCGGACTTAGTCGTTGAATTGATAAGGACATTGATATTGAGTTGATATGCTAACAAACGGAAGAACCGGCCTCCACCCATGCATGGTACTTTGGTGGCAACAATCAAACACGCAAGCCGAAACACTTGATGCGACCCTATCGCATACCTGTACGTATATATCATATCAGCATATCATGCTCCATGGAATGCTTGTGTCCTCGTGGCACGGTCTGGTCGCGGTCGACCCAGACACGAATCAGGCCCAAGACGATGGAATTGGGGCCAGAGATAACGTTTGTCAACTTTGTTAGGCCCTGGGGAAACATGGCTTGGGGACGTTGGCAATGTCCGAAGCATCCACCACTATCGACTTAGCGGCTCGCTCAGGGCCTCCCCCAGATGGACCCATGGCATCTCTTATCTCTGTCTCTCGCCTATTGCAACCACTCACCGTCCAGCAATCGTCGATAACTTCATCATAGCTTCTTCGAACTCTACGCCCCCTCCCTGATAACAGCGTCAACTTTCCTGATCAAGCTCTAGTCCCTTGAGGATCACTAGGACGGCAAATCTGATGCTCCTTTCGCATCGAAAGTCCCTGCGCGCCTTAGAGCCGGTGACGAAGGTCAGTCCCTGTTGTATGTCCAGTGTGTCTTTTTGCTACTTATGGCTTGATTGACGCTCCTTGCTATCCCCTCTTTACATTGTTCTATCTGAATATTGCCTTCGTCGCCATCTTCGTTGAACTGTTGGAGCGTGCTTCATATATACACAGCTCGGGCCTATTCCTGCCGCCCGCCTTTGATTACCTCGGTTACTCTTGAGCACCTACAGCAAGCTCTGTCGCCATACCGAACACAACCGAAGTCGTTGCAGTCCATGAAAACAAACGACATCTTCCTGTTTGACCAAGAAACTAAAAGGAGATATCTATCATGAACGGAGATCGCAACCCCAGTACCGCTTCTGCGGGATATGGCCGCCATCTCAGCACCGCGTCTGCGACAGCGCGCAGGAAGTCGGTCGCGGACGAGCCCGTAACTTCCGTCCTGGCACCGGGCGCGGTCCCCGTCTTCGACCGAGAATTGACTGCCGATGAAGAGGTTCTTGCGTCTTTGGGATACAAGTACAGACACTATGGCCTCGTTGCAATACCCTGGCACTAACATATTGTCAGGCCCGAATTCAAGCGCGAGTTTTCACTATGGACATCGTTCTGTGTTTCTTTTGCCGTGCTGGGATTGCTTCCATCCTTCGCATCCACTCTGTACTACGGTATGGGATACACTGGCACACCAGGTATGGTTTGGGGTTGGTTGATCGCAATGGCGTTCATCCAGTGCATTGCCATGGGCATGGGTAAGCCTACTACCACTTCAGAAATGTCACGAACCATGCTAATCCGGATCAGCTGAATTGTGTTCCTCTATGCCCACTTCTGGTGGTCTATATTACGCAGCTGCAGTACTGGCACCCCCTGGCTATGGTCCTCTCGCATCCTGGCTTACCGGATGGTCGAATTGGCTTGCGCAAGTCACTGGTGCACCGTCGGTCAACTACGCATTGGCTTCCATGATCCTGGCAGCCGGCTCCATGGGCAACCCCGACTATGTCCCGCAGAACTACCAGGTTTGGCTTCTTACAACCTTCATCATGATCATTCACGGAATCATCTCGTCAATGCCAACTCGATGGATTGCCACGTTTAATTCCTATGGCAGCACCTTCAACATCATTGCGCTGGTAATTGTGGTCATCGCCATTCCCGCCGGTACAAACCGTCCCAGTCAAGGTCTACCACGCTTCACCAAAAGTAGCACTGTTTGGGGCAATTGGTATGACGGGACCGACTTCCCCAACGGAGTCGCTGTTCTCATGTCCTTCATTGCCGTCATTTGGACCATGTCTGGCTATGATGCTCCTTTCCATCTGTCCGAGGAATGCAGCAATGCCAATCTTGCGAGCCCCCGAGCAATCGTCATGACCTCAGGCTTCGGTGGTCTCTTTGGATGGTTCTTGCAATTAGTGGTGGCATACACAGTCGTCGACATTGACGATGTATTGGATTCCGATCTCGGTCAACCCTGGGCGTCTTACCTCTTGCAGGTTCTCCCCCAAAAGACGGCTATGGCTTTGCTTGCTTTGACCATCATAGCCGGTTTCTCAATGGGACAAGGCTGTATGATTGCCGCATCGCGAGTCACCTTCGCTTACGCCCGTGACGGTTGTTTCCCCGGCTCGAGATGGTGGAGCCAAGTCAACCCGCGCACCCACACCCCCGTCAATGCGGTCTGGTTCAACTGCACCATCGGCATCTGTCTAACCCTTCTTCTGTTCGGAGGTGCTGAAGTAATCGGGGCTATCTTCAGTGTCGGAGCTATTGGTGCCTTTGTGGCCTTTACCATTCCCATCACCATTCGGACCTTCTTTGTCGGCAATCGTTTCCGGCGAGGACCTTGGCACCTGGGGAAGTATTCATATCCGATCGGTGTTGCATCAACATGCTTTACTCTGGTGATGATTCCGATTCTGTGCCTGCCCAGTGTTACTGGGTCTGATCTGGATCCTTCACTCATGAACTACACGTGTCTTGTTTACGGTGGTCCGATGTTGTTCATCATCATATGGTGGTTTGTGAGTGCGCACAAATGGTTTACAGGTCCTAAAGTCAATATTGCCCATCAAATGCTTGGGAGAGAGGGCAACGTGCTCGAAGGTAAGGAGGAAGGCATGGATGATTCGGACCAAGCCTCGCCGGGCTACATGGCAAAGGATGTGGACAAATCAGCCGCAGTGTAATTATGGGAGGCGAAAGTTATACTTACAACCATGCTTGAGAGATTCACCAGGATAGTGGAAGCGAGTGGAGATTTGAATATTCTGGAGCGAAGCCTATCTGTATTTCGAGGATTGTCCATATTGTTGAAATTCTGATATACGACCTTTATGCAACCACTTAGTGAATGAAGCCCTTCGCAAATCCCGTGACTGCGCGTACTGTGACGCGTTGAGTAAGTTAGGCACAGGATCTTCCCCACACTATGATATCAATCATTCCCAAAGTTCGATCCTTTACTTAATCCCTGTGTGCTTCGTCTATCCCAGAGTGCCATTATGGCTCGAAACAGTCGACATGGTCCTTGAACCACAACCACCTTCAATACACAACCGACTCATGGGTACGCGTATACCACATCCTCCTTCAACCGGGTTTCATGACGACGATGATTTTCCCTCCCCACCTGCGAAGCGGCGCAAACCCACCGGTGCACACGGTGCAAACAGCCCTAAACGAGGTTCACCCCGAAAGGCAGTCTCACAACGGGCCATCAAGAATGAGATTCCAGACTCCGAGGACGAGGAGCCGTTTATAGACCAGGATGATGTTGCATTGCCGACTGTCCCTCGAACCACGCAGTTGGAGGCTACGCTGCCACCTGTTCAATCAGACGAAGAAGCCATTGAAGCTTATGAGGCCTACAAAGCCGGTGAATATGCCGACGAAAAGCAAAAACAGCAGGCGGACGGCACGACTCTGTCGAGACTAGAGTCACGATCTTGGGTAAGAGGTCGGAGTTCCATCTACGTCGATGCCTTCAACCTCGCCTTAGACACCGTCTTGGAGGAAGAAGAGCACCTTTTCAACCAGGCTGAATTGAAGCTTTTCAAGATATGGCGTGAGCTGGGATATCAAGCACAATACCTCTACGTACGGTTGTTCTTGCGGAAAACCAGTAAATGGTTTCGAGTCAAGGATCTGCAATATTACTCAGATATGACAGACATTGAAGCTGCAGTGGCAGATTTACAGAAGGATCGGCCGCTACCCACAGACGGAGATGAACCTGAGACCTTCCCGGGCGAACTCGAGCCACCAGAAGGTAGCTTCTTGGGGGAGAATTTCTCATTTGCAGAGTGCTCCTCAGAGCATATTACAACCTTGGACGAAGCAAGTAGCCTGCTCCTTTTGGACGAGCTAAAGGTTCTCGCGAAGGACGCCAAAGTGCAAGGGAAGAACAAACGCGAGTTGCTTAAAAACCTCCGTCGCACAAGTGGCAGGCAGGCAGGCCTGGGCTTCAAAGGATTTAGACGTACAGAAACGGCAGAATCCGTCGAAAGCGACGACACGAGATCAATGTACGAAGAAGACGAAGATCAGAGCTCTGGATCTAGGACACCCACTATGATCGGCAACAATCGAGACGCCCACTTCACCAAGAAGATTCTTCACCAGACAGGACGCTGCATCCGGCTTTCGCTGACTCCATTGAAACTGTTCGAACGGGTTCATCTCGTCTTTTATCGCAGTACAGAATGGACTGAGAAGAGTTTGACGACACTAATACTAGCGAAGATCTCGCGGCGCAATTTCCCTGAGTACATCGTGAGCCGGTCGACCACCATTTTCGAGTCGAGGTCACTCCTTCTCGAATTCGAAGCTAGTCTCCGCACTCAATTCCGTGTTGACAACATTCTCGAGTTCAATGGCACACCTGGCCGCAAGTCATTCGAAGAAGTCAAAGACATATTCGAAGCGGTATACCCACGATGGAAAGTATTGCTGGCTGAAGAGCAGAGAAAGGAAGAGCGAATCTACGAGAGTGGTGAAGGTGCCTATCTTCGCCGCTTCAGTCCAGCTTGGGTGTACACCCGAATCGTGCACAAGGGTCTCCAACCGCTAGCAAGGTTCAAGGAACATCTACGCGAGCACCAGATCTTGACCGAGCTCTTGGACCAGCGTCTCTTTCATGCCGCTCGCAGAGGAGCATGGTATCAACGCAAGGCCCTCCTCGAAGAACACTACATGCACGCTCTTACTCCAACCGAGAACCGCGCTGTCGAAGCGAACAAGAAGCACTGGAAACGAATAGCCCTAAATACCTGTGAACAGGGCCTTCAGGATAATGAATGCCACGTCATATACCACTACGACCTGCAGAAGCGTATCACGAAACTCGAAAAGCAGCTGCACGTACCTGTACGTGAGCAGCACGACTTCGGACACGTCCGACTCGGGAAGCCCTTTGAGCGGGACGTCGTCGGAATCAAGATCGAGAAAGATCGTGATGACACCCCGGCCAGAAGTCTTAGTCGCAAGAATAGTATGAACGTCAACGCTCCAGATTCGACAACGAAGCCTCCCACTCTGCAGCATCAACCCAGCACCTTTGGGGGAGGCAAGACTATTTGGCTCGATACTCTCGACACAAACGAGCACGTCAGCGTCGAAGCCATGTGCCTCTCACACTATCGGCACGTCCTAGGCTACAAGGGGTACCACAGCGAAGGCGGCATTTTGAGGACTATTTTCGGATTGTTATTCTACGATATACTCTTTTTCAACCCTTACATCCCAAACGTGTTTCAGACCGCGTACCAGACGTGTCCGCTCGACTTACATACAGACAGTTTCTTCTCGAGCCGCGTACCCGAGATTTTGCGGCGGGTCAACCAGATCTGCAATGACGAAGCGGTGGAGATCGCAAGTCAGGTATGGGACGACCACTTCGAGCGCAAGACGTGTATCGTTGGCGTGAGGTGGGATGGTTTCGAGCGTGACGATCTGTTCGAGTTGTTGGGCGCTTGGGATGGCCAGGCCCTGGGGACGGTCATGCTGGTCATGGCGCAGGAGTATCAGAGTCGAGGAGGCGGCGTGCCGGACTTGGTGCTTTGGAAGCCCGGAGACGGGAATGGGAGTGGTGGCGAGATTGTATTCAGTGAAGTCAAGAGCGCGAACGACAGGCTGAGTGATACCCAACGGCTGTGGATCAGTGTGCTGTTGGGCGCCGGCGTCAAGGTCGAGCTCTGTCATGCTGTTGCTGGGGAGGTGAGAAGGGAATAAGGCTAGACAGGGCCGTTGAATGAGCAGGAGCACGCCGAGCACAAGTCTAAGAGCATTCAATCTGTACATGGCATGCTCCATGTTGTAAATCACCTTCTTAGCGCCAGTCCATCTCTGACTCCTTCCCTATTCATCAACGATGTCCTCTGCGTTATGCATGATGCCCTTCTGGCACGCAGCACACGTTCCCATCTGTGTCATGCACGACGTCGTCCGGCCGGGCATCACGCTGTCCCTATCATTCGCCCTGATGGCACCCGCCCACTCCATCGCATAACCCTCTACACGATGATCCCAAGGGCGGTCACTCAATACAATGTACACACTCATCCAAGAAGCTGAATTGCTCAATTGAAAAAAAATCTAACAGTCAACCTCGCTATGCCGCAATCTCTGATGCGCCGAGGGGAGAACGCCACACATATGCACAGCCCCCATTATGTCTTTCTCTTTCCCATGCTTGTATACACACACACGTCACACTCAACCTCACCGGTATTGCACCATATCACATCCTCTTCCCGTTCCGCAGGTGAGTTCTTATGACGAAGGCTTTCCAAACCACCTCGGCCCCTCCGGTACCCGGACCCGTCCGAAATTCGTATCCAAATCCAACAGAATCTTCAACGCGTTTCGACTCCTAAGATACGGCAACGGAGCCTTAGCCTCTCTAAGACCAACGCCCGGCTCCATCTTCCCCGCCGCACTCCCCTTCGCAGCCTTCTGAGCCTCCGCCTCCTCACTACCCGGAAACGGGAACGACGTGCTGAGAACCTCATACGCCGCCAGCGTGAAACCAAATTGTGGGGACGACCTCAGAATTCTCGCGGGACCGCCCTTGAAGAAAGCTTTGAATCCCTCATCTTTCAAGATCTTGCGTGCACAGTCTGCAAGACCATTGTACGTGACGTCGCCCTTTCGTGCCTCGACCTGCAATCTCGTCTTGATCACGTCGCACGGCGTCGTGAGGTACGCAGCTGGCATGCCGGCAATGGCACCGGCCGTCAACAGCTGCAAGATACCGAGCTTCTGGGTCTGCGATTCACCGAACAGATCTCTCTTCAAGTGGCTGTACGTCGGGAAGTAGATGGCAGAGAAGGGAACGTCTCGCAACAGACATGCCGATGCGCCTTTGTACAAACCCAGAATACCCAGGTTGCGCACGATCCACATTGCCGATCGTTTAGGTACGTCGGCTTTCTTGGCCAACTCGCCTTGCACTTGTAGTCGGATTTTGACAATCTCCAAGGGGTTGGTGAAGACCTGCGACATACCAGATTAGCCATATGACACCATACGAAAGGAGGAATCAACGCACCACTTGACAGGCTCCTGCAGAACCACCTGCCAGGATCTCCGCACGTAGAGGAATAGCACCGGTCTGCTTATCCATGAATTTCCCACGAACCAGATCGTTGACCGTAAGTTTGATGGCTTTTTCGGGAGCCACGCCGACAAGTTGTGGCAGAACACCCGAGTACAAGCCTTTGAACCCTTCATTTCGGATGACCTTGCGCGCACAGTCTAATGAGTTCTCGTACAATCGCTCTCCCACTCGGTTACTTCTCTGGTTCTGCATTCGCGTCTTGACGAGATCGATGGGGTACACCATGAAAGCGCCGAAAGCGCCAGCGATACTGCCCAGTCCGAAGTGGTGTGCGGACTCGAGCATGCTGGACAGGAATTGTCTGGATTTGGATACGACGCGATCTGCTGTGTCGGTCACTGATTCTCCAAGTCTGGAGCTTTGCCAGCTTGCATCGAGAACTTTGGCGAAATCGTCCAATGCCAATCGGCCACCAGGGTGATCGAGACCGGCGAAGTGGAACAGGATGTCGGCTTCCATGGGAGTGTACAGGGAAAATCGAGTCAGTCGTGCGGCTTCGTTGAGGAATTCTGTCCGGTCAATTCGGCCGTCGGATGATTTCTTGGTTGCATTGCGAATGATGAGGTCTAGCAGGTCCATTTCCCGAATCACGTTCTGAAAAGCACGGACGTTGGCGTAGGAAATCTTGGTGCCGGTTGAGATGTTGCACAGGGTGGGTAGATTCTGGAGAAGATGATCTGAAAGCTTGTGTCCGGCGGTGGCACGGATGATACGTTCAAAGTCTTCAGGGTCGATGTAGCCGTCCTTGTCTTTGTCGTAGAGGTGGAATGCCTGTCGTATCCGTTCACCCTGCAGACCACGCATCATCTGTGCAAATTGTGGGTATGTCATCTCGTGTCTCTTCTTCTGACCACCAATGTATAATGAGGCCCATTCTGAATTGAAGTCGAAAGGTATGCTGTCTTGACCACGGTTCTGTTCGTAGATCTTCTGGAAGACTTCTGACTTGATTGAACCAGCTCCATCCACATCAAACAGTCTGAATGCGATCTCGTATTCTGCGTCTGGTTTGCCGAGCAAATTGTCAAAGGCAGCCCATTCACTCATTGAGATTCTGCCGCGCTTGTGTCGATCTGCGACACTAAAGAGGATGCCATACTGTTCTCGCTTGATTTTGTGCTGCACCCCAGGTTAGCTACACCTTCCATTTAAGATCGACGCCGAGAGATCGGTTGGGATGTACAAAAACTCACATAATCTTCCTGCGGTGGTGCAATAGCATTGATAAAATCCTCCTCATTCATGTACAGCTCACTCTCCTCACCATCTTGTCTGGAATTTTGGAAGAATGTGGTACGCGATTCGTTGGTCAGGCCGGTCGGGTGTGCAGAGCCCACCAGCGACTCTTTCACAGCTTCCGTCACGGTCGCCATAGTTTGAGATTAAAGGTGTCGCGCGATTAGTCGTCAAAGGTATGGTGGCAGGTCTTTCTTGATCGCTCGGAAACCGTTGTCCGATGTCGCGCGACAAGGGAAAAAAGGAGAACAGAGATGAACGAGATGGGTGAGTTCGAGGTGAAGCTGACTTCTTCCACCACTGGCCACAGAGGAGAAAGGTAGGATGTTCAACGAAGACACAATGAGTCTGAGCGACCAAGGGATCTGGGGAAATGGAATTGGAAACGCTCTGACAGTCTGGAGAAATTCGAGATTGGCCCTAAAGGGAAGGTTCGATCGGACTTTCTCGCAAGCACCAGCGAGAGCGCAGTTTGGCAGCGCAACCCCTTCGAGTGTCTCGGAAAACAAGTCTTTAGACTCTCCAAGAAATTGATTAAGGAAAAAAAGGTTTATCGCTAAAGGATTTAGCCGGAGTCTAAACTCCGGCAGGTCAAGGGACAGGCACGCCTAAGCACTGGGTATAGGGAGGGCTCTATACCCCTCAAAGCCTAGCGCCTAAGTTTGCTCGGTGTTGTCACTGTTGTGGCCCGGACGGACGACACTAGACATCTATCGGCATCAAAAGGGCGTGTTGCCGTTGTTTTACCGCTTTACTGCGGAAGTTTGTCTTCGGATCAAGGGAGTACCAAGAACAATCGGACCTGTCAAGACGAAAACCAGGACAAACTGAGTAATTGTGATCATTTGTCCAGGGCCTTTTTGTCATTATACGCCCTAGTATACACACAATTGTACATCAGATCTAAGGATACATTGCCCGTTGCCCATTGCGCCGGTCGCAAAAAAGGAAGGGACGTCGCAGAAAAATAACCTGCCCCTTGTTTTCGTCATACCGTCATGAACCATTCCGGGCTGAGATGGTCTGTCCACATTTACTGACCTTCACCTCCTCTGTACGGGGCATAAGGATAATGCATATCAGCTTCCGACAACAAGTATTGCACCTTGGGAAGACTTTGTGGTTGACCCGCCCCGATTTCACTGGCACGTCGACTGTGCCCTGCATGTCCAAGGCTGATGCCGCTATCGTCCGTGTTTTCACGTTCCTCTGTCGATGATGAGATGTGGTCCCATTCACCTAGTGCTGCTTGACCAGAACTCGCTCGAGACCTGGTTCTTCCGTGCTGAGGACGCGTCCTCAATCCTCGACAGCCTTGTTGGAGAATCTATTGTCAAAGATTAGCTGTTGGAGTAGACACATTCGGGGAAAAGGGAACCACCTACAACTCTCTCCACGTCTTCCCATTTCTCCCCAACACTATCGGCGATAGAGCGCCAAACTTGTTCACGTACTCGATTGTACCGGGAGACCACCTTCTGGGTCCTGGCCTCGTCCCAGGTTGGATCCCTCGCTTTGATCAATAACCTATCATGCCTCTTCCGACATGCATTTCCTGTTTTGTGGGGAAAGTATCGTCGATGTATCTCGTCCCAGGCTAATCCTTCGCCTTTTGCTTTGATGAGGGTCTCATCTTCCTCTGGCGTCCAGGGTCCACTCTGTCCCGGTCGTGGCCCTGACTCCTGCGCATTGTGGATGTTTGGCATTGATTGAGGTCGCACAGGTTGCATGTAGGTGGGCATCATGGTCTGTTGAGCGTATTGCATTTGAGGGTCTTGCAAGTGTTGTTCAGCCCAGCTCATGGTCGGTTGTTGTGGCGGCGGCGGCCATGCTGCCATATTGGGAGTCATAGTGGCGGCCATGTGCGTCGCAGACGACATGTTGGCTGAGTCTCGCAAGCTGTAAGGCACAGCCCTTTCTGAAGGTCGGCGGATAGTACGCTGAGGTGGCATGACTGGTCGCGTGATTATGCTCATAGTCCCGCAGAATGAAGCGTAGGTCGAAGAAGAAGTGGCCGGGATACAGAGGGATGGATATTATGATTATGGATGCCGATGAACAACGAGCGTGCGACTCAAAGAAAACAGCGACAGAAGAAGCCCTTGGAAAGCTTGACGACTGGACCACAACAGATTTGGATACCTGAGTAACTTGAGCCTGGCCACCTGCTTATGAAGAGATGATACCCAGCGCAGACAAACCTCGCATAGAACTCGAAACACGCGGGCGTCAATTTGGATCGGGAGCATAACGAAACTTAGCACCTCAGATGTAGTCTGGCCAACTCTCTAACACTGCCGAGGAGGTTTGCAACGGCGCATAGGTCAGTGCAAGAGACGTTGGTCGATGGGAGGAGAAGCACGAGCGTCATTGGATCAAGGTGCCATAACGGCAGACTTGAGACTTCAGAAGCTCAGCCTTGCGACGGGTGGACAAACAGGTGGGTCAAACCAACGTAGTTCGGCAATATATTTGGTAGCAAACCCTGCTGGTATTCAAAGCGAGCCATTCGGGGCGCCTTCCTCGGCGGCTGTCGACGAGGCGAATCTCAGTAGCCGCTGAGAGCAGCGACTGGATGGTAAAGGAACCGTTCATATCTGCGATCTCGGCAAAACCTACTTGTCGAGGATCCACGAGGCAGACTGCCGATTGATGCGGCTTTACATGCCCCAGAGAGCCAGAAACAACCATGACTGCACGCAAGGTATTGGCTGCATGGCTGAGGTGACGTGCAAACCCTCGAGGGAGCATTTAGCACGCTTCTGATGCTCTCCAATCCCACCGATGAAGATCTTGGACCAACCTTGGGCATCATCAAGTGCCATGATTGACCAGTCTACATCGTGCCGCTCATTGCTCAAGCGGGTCTACCCTGGTGAAAGCTTCGGCATCGTTGAATCCAAAGATGCGATTGTAAGGAGGATAAAACTTTGTCGTCTATCAAGCGCTTAAGGACTAAATTTAGTCCTTCAGCTCCGGATGAGATGATTGGCGCGCCAAACATACCTCTCAACCCACTTTCAGATTGATGGTGGTCAATCAGTAGACATTGGCCTTTAGCAGATTAGGAGGCAGAAGGCAGGCGACCAGGTCAAGGGATTTTAGATGATGAGGTGTTGCATGCTCTTCGCTCTGAAAGAATGCAGGCTGTTGCCAAGAACATCGAGCCTTTCAGTCGCAGACCGGTCCAGTCCCTATGCGCAGTTCAATCCGGTGCAGACGTACAGTAGCACACAGTGTGAATGCTTGTGGCACGAAAAATTCACTGGAGAAGGCAGACTGGCTTGTCTCTGCGATCAGCACCTTCCGACGGAAGTTGTGGACACTGGAAAGAGCAGGCACGAACTTCAAGTGGGAGAGTGCGAGTACTACTGCTATCTAGTGTTATTTTCGCATTGTTCACTGCCATTGTCGATGCTGTCCCAGGCACTCAGCATTGGGCATTCTTCTCTTCATATATCGTCAAAAGTCGTTAAGTCGGCCACTCTTCCACCTGTTCAACCAATTGTATCAACAACCCCTAGAGAAGGTTGATACCACAAGAACACTAAATCCTCATCAAAGCGTTATCATCAGCGCATTTCATCTTCTTTGCCACCTCCGCTCTTCCTTGGACATCTTCGCATAGTGACCGTAGTACTCCTCATCCTCAATCGGGGTAATGCAGTGCACGACAGGGTCTTCTGAGAAAGACAGTTGCCGTCTCGCCGGTGTGGATGACCTGGAGCTCTTCTTCAATATGCTTCGGGAGGAACTCGAGTTGACATATGCATATGTTGGCTGTTGCATAGTCGAGTATCCTCTCTGGTTCAGTCTGGTGTTGCGTTGTGTTGGGCTGATGGGTGAAGGAGACACGGGTGACCTCAGGGGTGTCAGAGGTGACTTCAACGACAAAGAAGGTCTGGCTGCTTGAGAGGCGGTGGACGTAGAAATGCTCAAAGACAACTTTGGCTTAGCAACTCGTGAGGCAAGCATATTGAATGTGCTATTGTTTGATTGTTGATAATAGTTGGTATAGATGTTGTTAATTTGCAAAGGGTAGACTGTAGATGGGCTCTCAGAGCACTGATGTCGATATACAGGATAAAAAGATGTTGAGATGTGGAGATTTAGTTGGCAGTAAATAGAACAGTATGATGCAATAGGAGGATTGGACCAGCCAATTTTAGAATATGCGGAGTATAGAGAAAGAACAAAAATAGAGATGCAAGGAGAGTCCAGACAATCAATGTTTGGAATGGAGGAAGGAAAGAGAGGTCGCTGAGGTGGTCGACGGGCGCGTATCTTTATATCTTCGAAACATGGGGAGAGCTCCAGGTCGGGCCTGGCTGACTCCCCATTCGTCCTTCGTCACACAGATGGCCCGAGCGTCGACCTCAATGCAACCAATGACCGCCCTCATCGAGGCGCTCACATTTTGTGATATTGCTGCATTCTGTTGCATTCGTCCAATGGACAGTGCAGCTAGATTTCAATCTCAATGTATGCGTGGTGACATATCATTTCTGATGGTCTAGATTGTTATCAACGACCAACCACCTTCCGCCGCACTGTGTTTTCACAGCTCCAACCCACCTTTTACGACGATTTCGAAAGTGCTGCAGACTTTCACCGCAGACTATCGATTTTTGCGAACTGGTCACTTACCTTCTTTGTGATGCTGCAGTTCAATAGTCTGTTGAACATGACTGCTTTCCTCTCCACACCCTTCAATCCAGTGATGAAAGCCACAATAAGCGATGCATCAGATGCATCATTAGTTGCTGATAAGGAAATGCAACTGTCAACAAACCGGCAGGTAGTAAGTAGGACGACATGACTGGACCGTGATTGCACAGAAGAAACGCAAATCCTACCTAGCCACCTACCCCAGTTCAATGCCAAGCTTCGACCAGAGGTTCGGACTTCTCAATGGGTTTGTGGAACGACAGGATGCCCAACCCGTCATGCCCATCACAGCGCGATATGTGTTCGGGACATGCCGAACAACATCAAGTACAGGTAGCTGCATCTAGCATACCATGTACGTTGAAGATTCCTAGCACCAAAAGACAGTGCACACCTGAGAGATTGTACGATGCGGTGTTCAAGTCGACAAAAGCATACACTGCGATGAGTTTCTGGTCATCGCTGGAGTTTGGAAACCAAACGGTGCACGCGACCAGTCGGTTGTGAGGTCTTAGGTGGTGGTGGCACAGTTTTGGCAGTTGACAGCAGCTAGCGACGCAAAACTCGGCGCATCACAGTATGTGTCAATATGCTGTCAAAACACAAGATACGCCACGGCTTGTAGCAAGACTCTGCCAATGTCAGCAAGTCTCCCTGTGAACACTTACACCATAAGAATAGCAGGTGATCAGGCTGTTGACTGTTTGTGAAAATTGCCACATTTGAATGTCGGAGGGCTGGTCATTGAGCGTAGAAAGGTATGTCAGAGCTTCGAAGCACTGATGATGCGAGATGGGGGAATATGTGGCGACCTGAGGGTGAGTTGACATGGGCGACTCAAAGACTGGTGACTGGAACTACTGGCGTCTAGTGCATGGCGTATACGGCGAGTCATGTTTTTGTTATGTTTTGAAATTGCAACGTGCGTAAGGCAAAGATGTGAGTCGAGACCGACGTCGTCTTTTGTGCGAGGGCGAACTATCGAGGTTGAAGCAAGGCGGTAAATGAAAGTATGGTTTGCTGAGTGCCGCAACAGACTCATGATGATTCAGTCGAGCAAAAAGAAAGACCCAGCCGGTATCGTTGTGATACATGTCGACAATTATGCCGTCAATAAGAAGCAGATCCGACTCTGAAGGGACTGTCTGCCCGGACCATGAACCGTGATTCCGAAGCGCCGAGAGTGAGACAAGCTCTCCAACCCGGAAACAACACAATGATGCTTTTGTAGCCGCAGCTTTCGGTGACTGAGTCGCGCAAGTACATGGAGGAAATCGAAAAGGCAATGTTTGCAAGCCGAAAGCCCACAACTCGGTTGGCGCCGTAGCCTGCTGAAGCAGCCCGGGTTCGTTTGCTTACCTGCTGGCATAACGGTCTTCGCGAGGATAGTCTCGGCTGCCGGTGTACTCGCGAGCAGGCGCATCCTCACGGGCAGCAGGAGGGTAGCTACGCTCGGCATCGCGCTCGTAGTATCCACGTCGATCGCCGCCGCCGCCGCCGCCACCGCCGCCTCCGCTGGCGCTGGCGCTGCCGCCACCGCGTCCACCACTGTAGCCGCCTTCGTCACGTCTGCTTTCGTATCGATCGATGCCGCGGCCGCCATAGCTGTCGTCTCTGTCACGTCTGGAGCCGCCGCCGCCATAGCCACGACGTTCATAGTCATCGCCATATCCACCACCACCACGGCGGTCATAGTCGTCGTAGCGAGAGCCACCACGGTAGTCATCGCGGCGCGGCGGACCTCCCCGACGGTCGTCATAGCGGTCGCGGTAGCCACCTCGCGGCGGGCCACCGCGTCCACCACCCATTGGACCTTCTATAATGTTAGCGTGATGAGGATAGCACATCAGTCTGGAAGCCTTACCGCCACGCTTAGGAGGGCCGAAATATTTGCCTGGTGTGGGGCTGCGAGGCCGAGCACGACGAGCCTTTTCAATGCTCAAAGTTCGACCTTCAATCACCTCACCTTGTAGTCCTTCTCTAGCAGCCTCAGCTTGATCGCCTGTGACCATTTTGACGAAGCCGAATCCACGAGATTCCTTGGTATGAGGGTCGAGCATGATTGAGCAGTTCTCGACCTCACCATACTTCTCGAAGAGACGCGTGACATCGCTCTCAGTCAAGCGTGGATGAATGCCAGTGACGAAAAGGTTCGAGCCAGGATTCTGCGCGCCGTCATCTTCGGAATCCTTCATTCGGGTGTCAGAGGGCGGTGGTGGGCTGTGAGGTTGTTAGTATGGTTAAGACAAGGGACTATGGACTTCGCTTACGGTCTGTCGCGGCCATTGGGAGATCGGCTGCGGTTGCGCTCGTCTCGATCACCACGCGGTGAAGCTGATCGGTCGCGGCCGTAAGCACGATCGTCTGCGAGATACAAGTCAGTAACTAGTCATAGCTCAAGGGTTGATTGGAGCCGTACCTTCATAGCGAGCGGCGGAATCCTCGAAGTCAGCCATCTTGGTTGATGAGAATAGCGTGAGTCAAGGGGTGAGAAAAAGCTGTGTACTGCAACAAGGCAGAAGAAGAGGTCACGGGGGATGGATGTGAGAAAGATCGAGTGAAATGGGAAAGAATGAAGATGAACAACAATATCAAGCCGTTCCGCAGTGAAGTCAGGATGGCTGTTGCTTGGAAGGATTGTTGTGAGGCTGTGAAGATGATGGGAAGGCGAAAATTAAAGGACACGGCCGCCTGGAATGGCTAGCGCATTTCGCAGTTGATAGCTCGGAATCGGCCCATCGTTGTTCCGGTGCCTCTGAGCTGGGCAGATTCACTTTCGCTTAAGTTCAGCCTTGCGCGACCTCGCAGGCTGCCTTGCATGCCCCATCCATCAGGCTAGCACTCAACAGCTGGGCGGGGTTGCTAATGCAATCACGTTCCATAGGGGAATATGACCTGGGTGGAGTACCGTATTATTGTAGCACTCGTGAACCTGTCCGTGGCATCAGATGTATCCGCGTGATGGGCTATCTGTTGGCTATAACATTGAGGACTTGAAAGCCTTCGCGTCCAATGCTATCGTATCAAGTAAGGATGTACTCCGTGGCTATCTTGGATTAAGAACACATTCTCATACAATCCAATATCAACGTCTCACCGTCGGACCCGGAAGGATCTTGTGCCCCAATTAGAGCCGCGACCACGTTTGCTAAATCTCCTGGGCACCTTCTTCTGGGTATTGGACTTTGCAGGGGCGGAATCGAGACCTTTCTCCTTCGAGATGCCGTCGACATCTTCAACCAGGTCATCACCTGGACCGAGTTCTTGCAGTTCGTCTTCGTCCATCTCGCTGAGCTCCTCACTCATATCTCGAAGAACCTCAGGGCCCGTCCACCTCTCTTCATAAATTGTCAAACCATCGGGATCGAAGGGGGCAACATACCACGGAATGCCGCCTTCGGATGGCGTATTCTGTGAATGACCCTCAAGGCTCATTGGCGGTGTAGGTGGCTCCACTTGCGGGACTTGATCCGACTGAACTTCTCCATTAACCTGTTGCTCGTGTTTGAAGCCGTTGGTAGACGCTGGTGGGGTGTCGAAAGTCACCAACTCTGCTTCTATACGAAGGCCATCCGGCTTGGTAACTCCGACCTTGTCTGCCATTGCCTGGTTTTCTCCGTTCAGCTCAGATCGAGGAGACTTTTCGAGGCTTTCATTTGGCACATCAGTCATCACGACATCGCCATCGCCTGGGCTTGCCATATCTGTCTCTTGCTTGGCCTCCACCGACTCGAAAACCCGAGTGTCGACAGACTCGGCAACTGACCCGCGTCGCGAGAGGAGCGCTTCGTCCATCTCTCGGATCTGCTGAGCATAAGGACGTCCATGCAGTTCTGCTTCCTTCCGGGCTGCGTCTTCGATGAGTGGCTCGATGGCTTTGACAACTCGTCTTGCCAACGTACGCCGATCACGATCCTCCTGCTTCATATCTTCGGCTCTACCACTGACAAGAGATATCAACTCCGAAAGGTTTGCCGCAGTGTTCCCGAATTGCGAGTTGATGACTTGCAAAACATCGTTCGAAAAACTTGCAACCGAAGTGTGTTCCTTGCGTGATACTCGGGCACGAAGTTCCAGAAGTTCATTGCGGAACAGTCCACGATCAAGCCTATGATTTGTCAGTTTCACTTCCATCGGTGGGTAAATACAACTCACTTGAGGGCTTTGTCCACAATCGGCTCAAGCAGATGCGGTATGGGAAAGTAAATTGTGTCAACAACATCCTTCATCAGGGCAGCCTCCTGCAACTTCAATGCTTCGCGTTCTTTGATCAGTTCGCAAATTTGTACAATTCGACTCATGTCTTTGGACAGCTTCTCAGCGAACTCGATGCGACGGTCCAATCTCGCCCTACCAGCAGCACCCTGGGCTTTGTAATCCCTGCGAGTGACCTCGAAAGAGCTGAAGGTGTCCATCTGCAGTTGCAGCCGTTTCAGTAATGCGGCACCTCTCCGCGCTTCACGTTTCAGCGTCCAGTATTTGCAGATTTCCGAAACGTATTCCTTCTTCCTTTGCACGGTGAACCTCACAAGAGCGTCTTCGATAGATTTAAGAATGACCTCGGGGATGACTGGAGCTCCAGATGGCAAACGCCATATCGTTTTCGGCTTTTGGCCTTTCTTATTGGTGAGTGTGACCTTCAACGGACCCCTCTCAGTGCTAGGAGTATCGTGCACTTCGTTGATAGCGAGTGCAGATGCGCGACTATCAGCCCAGATCTGGCCTCGGAAGTGTTCTTTGAAGTATTTTGTGGCCTCTTCGAATGCTTTGTCAGTATGGTGCTCGTGCTTCCAGTCTGCAGGCGAGTGTTTGTGGCAGAAAGCCCTAAGCTGGGACGGCTCCATGAGGGTGTTCTGACCACCACCTGTCTTCATACGCAAATAGAGACCTGCTTGGCGTGCACAAGTCAAATGGAACGGTTCGTAGCAGCGACCGTCGCTGCACTGAATGCTTGCTCCCATCTCCTGCTTGCAAATGTAACAAAGGAGCTTCCATCTGCTCGGTGGGACCTTTTCAACGTCGGTGATAGGTTCCATAAGAGAGGGATTGCCAATTGTGACTTCCGGAATCCAGCTTGCGCAGAAAAGGTGTGCCCATTTCGAGTTGTTGGTTTGCTTGAATGCGCCTCCCTCGTTTGGGCAGAAAATACAGCTTGGTCGTGAATTACCAACTAGCTGACATTTTCGGCACAACCACTGTCCTTCAGGAATGTATGGTACGCCATAGCACTCTTGGTGGACGGCGAGGTCGCAGCCGTCACAGAACACAATAGCATTTGCATTCTCACAATCGCCATCATCACATATCGCACATTTGCTGTCAGGTTCTTCCCCAGCAGGTTCACCATTGACAGCTGCGGCAGAGCTAGATCGTGGTCTCTGCGTCTGTGGCGCTTTCGGGTTCGGCTTGGGTATCCTTTTCTCCAGAGCGTGCCACTCTTTCTCGACCTTCGTCATGGTGATTTCGAAGATTGCTGGCTTTATGGTCTGCACTCCGTCTTTACTGCGCCCTTTGTTGAAGGCCTCAAGCCACTTCACATCCTGCTCGTCCATATCGTATTCCACACGTCCAACACCGCTGCCACCAATGGCTGAGTTCTCTCCATTAGTGATGAGATCCGGGCTCAAGTCAAGATCTTCTTCTGCAGAACCTTCGGTCTGTCTGATCAACGTCCGCTCTGGCCGCAGGAATACTTCACTCTCTTGGTACCCGACATTAGCCATAGACTTGTCCACAAAATCCACCTGCGCGATGTCCTTCTGTTCATACGACAAGAACGGGTCGAGTTCTCGATATGACGGTCTCGGCAAGGTGAGTCGTTCTCGAGGGTTGGGACCAGGTATCGGGACGAATTTGGGTGCTTCAGGTGTCAGAAGCGCATTGACCATGGAGTTATGGGTGCGGTGAGGTCTTCCTGGTCTTCGCTTCGGTGGTGTCACAGCAATAGGAGGGACTGCCACACCTTCTGACGCCGGAGTACCGTCGACTATTTTCGACTTTACCACGCCGTCCACCTCTTCCGCCGTGACAACCGCGAAGTCTGACTCGAGATCTAGATCGGCGTGAAACTCTTCCCAGCCTCTCTCTTCTCGAGGTTTATACCCATCAGCATGCGTTACTGCCGCCGAGGCCGCCGCAGCAGTGCTGTATCGAGGCCGTGCACCACCACGAGTCCTGCTCCTGGCCGAGAATCGAGGCGTGGTCGTTAATGTCTTCCTCCGATCTTGGCTCTGTCTGGGGCGGGTACGGGGCACTGAGTATTCGTCCGCTGCGCGTGATAATCTTGTACTGGAAGGAGTGCTCCCATTGTCCACGTGTCTACCTCCACCACCAGGTCCGCCTGGAACCCATTTGGACGGTTGTTGCGCTCTCCGCGAGGTTCGCATGCGTTTCGAGGGTGGCTCCTCGTCCGCAAAGGCTGCGTATTCTTCAGGGTCTAGGTCTGAGAATATTTGCGGTGGCTTCGCGGCTTCTTTTCTCGGTCGGCCTCTCCGTGGTGCACCGCTCACAGGCGCCATCGCACTGGTATTTACCCAAAGCGGCGCGCGTGTTCGTTGAGGTGATCGACTAGGATGCGCAGTTTCGTATGGGAGGGGGTTTCTGCGCGGGAATTTCCATTCGGTCTACCGAATGCTGAGTAAAGTCATAGCAGAGGCCGTCGTAGGAGGAGTGGCAGATACGCGTCGATGGCGTTGGAGTGTGTTGAGTCGGAAGTACTCTTCGGTCCTCACCATGGGGGGACGTCTCTTCGAGATGGATGGAGTCAAGTCGCGCTCGGATGGGACAAGTGGGTCATCGGTCTTGGCATCGGTGCATGATCCTGCGCATCGCGACTGTACTCAGAGGTGAAGGCGAAAGCAGTCACTATTCGCTTTATTCTGCTGCACTCTCAAATGAACTTAGGTGAAGAGTAAGTCTGATTGTCCTGTTCCCAGATTTCGCTGTAGCCACGTTGTAGTTTACACCACCGCATCAATTCGCTAACAGAATGACTGGCAGAACCCGCAACGGTCGTCGAGGAAACGATTCCAAAGGTGCCTCCCAGCAGCGTCAGCCTGGAGGCCCTCGAGATGGCACACCCAATGCGAACCCGAGCAGGAGAGGGGGAAAGTCTTCTTCGAACGTGAACAGATCGGCAGACAACGCTTCAAATGGTCCCTCATCACAGACATCCGTTCCGCCACCCGATGACCATGTCCCCATTTCGGGGTTCAACGCAGAAGCCGTGGAAGCGATGCTGAAGCAGGGATACGCGGCGAAAGCACCACTGTACAAGCCAGAATTGAAGCCTCAGACTGCCAAGTCGGATGGTCCATGGGGCGCGAAGCGTGAGTACCCCCCACACCGTAGAACCGACGGAGATTGACTGTGACAAAAGCTGGTACGATGGCCAACGGCAAGGATTTCTGGCTGGACCTTCGCAAACAGGTCGCTGCTCTACAACAGTCGGGTGGTACCAGCCGCGGTGGCTAATGGTCGTTGATGAGGGAACAAACGTCGATTTATTCATCAGCGGCATTCTATGCGAGGCATTCACTTTTCAGCAAGATACCCATTGGGTTGGCGCATTTTCAGCATGTAGGGCATTGCATTGTACAATTTATTGCGACTAAGAGTTCGCCCATCAGAGTGTACATTTCAGCGGCTTGTCATGATCGTGACTTTGGCTCACAATGACTCATGAGGGTTGGGAAGAAGATCCTGTACGGTTGGTCAGTAAATGAACCTGTTATGAGGATTGGTGATATCTGCGCATTGGATCGCGGGCTCAGTTCTAGATCTGATTCTGTTATCTATCAGCGGGTACACTACTCTTGTGGACTACGCAGCAAAAGTATTAAGAACTAGCTTCATACACATGCCGGCTTAGCAGCTTAGCAGACGATCAAGCGCTTCCGGGGAGGAATTGTAACACAGTCAAACACAGGATATTGTGCGAATCTTGAAATATGATTTTTGTCAATGGGTTTCGTTCTTCACCACACAAATCTCATGCTGGTGCTCTAGACGATTTCTGGATGTGCGGCCAATGTCCATAATAGGGTCTCAATGTGCCAGCAGCGTTCCCAACCTCTTCCTCGACCTTTGCGGTCGCCACGTCATGTAGTAACATGTCTGGGACCCCTCAATAAAACCAGTTCGCATTCGCTCAAAAAGACCAGACGCAACGCTTATGCGACCATGGTGCTGGCAGTGGAACTCTCGTACTTCCAGTTAGGTTGCAGAACACCGACAGTCTTGTAATATCTGCTGAGGCGGTGGATTCTGGATTCAATAAGAATGAGTCGGAACTTGGAGTCCTTGTCCTTTCGGTTGCGCTCGAGGTGCTTTCGGACGGCGACGGCCTGACAACCACATTAGCAAGTTGAAACATGTTTCGTCTTGAGTCGTGCACGGCATACCTTCTTGATCAACATGTAAAGGTCTTCAGGGATTTCTGGGGCGAGACCTATTGTCACTCTGTCAGTCTCATGGACCAATCTCAGAGGCTATGCTGTGCCATTGCCTTGCAAAGCATTGCAGGCAAGCAAGAGTATGAAGTGTTTGGAGCAACGCATGCTCATCTTTCTCTTGTCTTCTCTCATGGCGGGGCAAATTGGATGTTGTGCATACCACTCGACTTGAGGATTCTCAGGATCTTGTTACCTGTGCAGAAAATGATCAGCAAAGTTGCTCCTCCAACTCAAGAATTCTTGCGCTTTCTTACCAGTGACGACCTTGACTTGGGCGACACCATGGCTGTCTCGGAGGATGACACCGATTTGAGATGGAGTAGCACCCTTTCGTGCAAGTTTGCAGATGTTGTCGACCACGGTCTCTGGAGTGCTCTTGAACCAGGTAGGAACCGCTCGCGAGTATGGAACGGCGGAAGCGCTGATACCTTTTCCCTTGCTGTGAAGACGACCCATGATTGCGGTTTGTGGTGTTGTCGGGAAACCTGTTTGTCGATGTCGTTGTTCGATCAATCCGCAATTTCGACGAGACTGTGGGAATCAGGGCGGCTGCGGATTTTCGATGCCAAGACGAAATCTTGGCGGCTGCTGAGTCATTAAGCTGGGAACTTTTTTCGAAGATGAACTCGACGACTCTTTCTCCGCAGACAACTTTTTCGAACTCATAAACACCACGCACGCAGCATGCAGCTCGAGATGTATGAAGAGGACGGCTCTGGACGCTGATCGACGTAGTGCCAGCATAGGCTGCGCATAGCCAAGAAGGTGGTTCTTACGCTGGATCAATATGCCTTCTCTGAGCACTTTGTGATTCTCTTCCCTGGTATGTTGAATCCTTTACAACCCGTCTACCCGCTTGCTTTTCTTATGATGACAAACTTCGAAAAATAAATATTATTTCTGGTACCTCTTATGTCAGAGGAGGAATAGCCTTGTGGCTGTTTCTCTTCAATGAATTTACTGGACTTCTGATTCTCCCACCAAACACACAATTTCAAGTTTCGGCCTTATGAGTGCTTCGCTGACTCGGACAAAGCAGATTTTCGTAACAAGACAGTCAAGAGCATTTCGCAATTAGCGAGGAAGGATAGACTGTACGACCTTGAACGTTGCCGTCGGTCCTCAGGTGCATCTCGCACCTCTTAGACACATAGATTCTTTGTATAATAAGCTGGAGCAAAATCTTTTGATCATATCCTACCACCCAAGGGTATCAAAACTTCAGCCGTCCACTGCATTTCAATGTGTGAACATAATTCCAGACGCCAACGCTATGGATACAATCAAGAGTGCCACAGATGTGCTTATACAGTGCCTCCCATCTCCGTATCGCCATCTCTTTGCACTTCCGACTCTTTTGTGTCCGCTTCCTCTTTGATTCCGTTCGCGACAGGGGCGTCAGCGGGTATAGGCACCTCTGGCTCTGTCCCAACTTCCTGCGTTACTACAATAGGATCTGCAGCTGTTGCGCGCGTTTCATCCATCGGTGCATCTGAATGAGCTTGTGCGCTCGCTTCTTGCGGAACTTCAGCACTTTCTGACGGCGCAGACGGTGGTGCCGGTACTGAATCGTCTTGGGGCTTGGGGTCTTCGAAAGTATATAGAAAGCGCTCACGAATGTTCGTGCGATCCGGGTTGCCTTCGTACAGGATCGATTGGTGGATGAGACACTCTCCTAGCCATTGAAGAGGAAATTCGGCCCTATTCGACGCGCCAAACGTCAACAGAACACTCACATTAGATGGGCAACAGAGCCCATAGGCGATTTTCGGGAAGACGCAAGACTGACGTACTCGACATCCAGGCTCTGCGTGATAGCCTTCTTCAAGAACGGCGCAACTCGTGCATTCAAGTAGTCCCTCAACGGTACTTGTTGTCTGTTATTTGACGTGTTCACCACCACGCTAGGCGGGTTGCCAGCAGACGAAGACATCTTCGTGGGAGTATGGGCGTGTTTCAGACGTGTAGTAAGAAAGGTCAATATCCGTATACTTTGTACACTTCGTCCAACCTCTATTTACATACTACGGATGCGCTACAGGAAAGTTTGCCGTACGCGCGCGTTTCTGGCACGTGACTTTTGGCTACGACAATGGCTGCAGACCACGGAACGGAGAGTAGAGCACATTGAGAAAGAAGGTGATGTGATGACGATAGTCTGTTGGAATCCTCAGGGCGGTGTCAAGCAAGCCGTATAGGTGGTTGTATGTGCGGACGGTCCATATGATGATGCCCCCAATGCTGATATGACATAGCGTATGGGTGTATATGAGTATATCAATGTGTGACGCTTATGAACGCTACCAGCTGTTCCCGCAAGCAATCAACATAGTGAACAAGCTCTGCACACTTGAAACTTCTTGATGCTAATATCAAGCTGTACTGCAATGCCCCTCCGTTAGTCGTCCAACCCATCAGCATATGGCTCTGTTGGACGCATTCTGGCTCTGAAGGAGCCGCAGTGGCAGAAACGTCGACTTGGCCACCCTGGTGCCGTTGGTATCCTTCTCTTTTGAACTTCCTGATAGTACTTCATCAGCAACGGCTTGAGCAGGCTCGCACCAGGAGTACAAGGTGCCTGACACGGTTGTTCCGTCCATGATCCTATAGATTTGCTCAAGCCGGGCCGTCATTGATCTGATGCTGGAGTTCACTTAACAATGTAACTTGATCAGAAGCCTTCGGGATGTTCGCCCACATTGAGAAAGACTGCCATCACCTCTGGGGTTGCAAGTTAGTCTTCTATAGAGCAATGACCTACCGTCCGACTGACGCGCGCAACATTTTCGTCTCCATAAAAGATGATGTAGCGAGGCCACACATACGTCGCCACGTGTAGAGCTGACAATGGCCGTACAAGATGAACTTAAATCACTTCCGCCGAATGGTAGTAAAGAAAAGGTCCCGCCAGCTGAACAAGCGCGAATGGAGTTGACCACCTGACTGCAGTACGGTGCGTGCGGCGGATCGACGAACAGATCTAGTGTACCGATCAAGATGTGTGAGTGACTGTTAGAATGAGGCGAGTGTTGTTTAGCTTCCGCTACTGAAAGATGAGATGCTCTGTGCGGCGCAACGTGGTTCTGCACAACTGCCCAACGCGTCATCGGGATGCGCTGGCGCGCATTGGCATAGCCGAACCTCACCGGCAAGAGGCGGTCAGAATGAGTTCCGCATCTATATAAGAAGCTGGCACTTCCGAGAAACGGACACTGGGCGGGGAGGTAGGAAATGGCGGAAGGGAACGATGATCAACACACAGTTTTCTCTCATCGTGGGGATGGGGCGGTGAGTCTTGCGGTGTATCTCTGGATCAGATATCTTCTTACCGAACAATTCTTCTCTCATTTTCACCTTGGTTGGCAGAGTATTTCTCTTCTTACCACATTGTCCAGTCTGTCAATAGAAGACAAGGCTGACGTTCACGGGCTCCATTTATCCAGCGGGAAATCGTTGGATGCCAGGCAATGAGGCAGCTGTGATTGAGATGGAGAAAATGTGCTTGGGCGGATGAGGATGGAGAGAGTGTCACGAGCTTACAAGGCGCACCATCAAAGCTTGGGCGTGATTTGGGCGTTGATTCGGCCGCGGGGCCGGCCTCCAACACACATTCCAGGCTTCTCATTCGACCTCCAACGCCTACGACGGGATGCGCCGTTATTGGGAGAGAGCACATGCCCCCGAATCCACTCTCCTCTATCAAAATATCCCCTTCAAACACCAAAGGAAGAAAATCATATTATGCGGGTTCCTTTTTGCAGACTGCAACCAAGCAATCTCAGCATAAATTACGGCGGTCTGCAGGGGCGAGGAGATTGAGGGCAGAGGAGAAAGAAGGTGCCCGCTGCTCCCTGCAGGTATAGCCTATTGCGATTGAATCGAGTCAAGATTCAACCAACAGCACCAAGACTGAGCCGGCTAAGCCAGAAACACACTGGAACTCATGCAGGAGACAAGATTTCCCACCATTCACCACCGCAACCTTTTCGACGCCTGCATCCACCCAACCCGCTCTAGCTCATCTCGCAGGTTCAGAGTTGCAGCTGCTGCGAACAGCTCACGAAAGTGGCAGAGAAACCAAGAACTCCTCCGCGAATCTGCACCTCCCACCGAACGGATACGGAACCTTCCCTCACACTATGCCTCGATCCCAAGATCCCTCCTCCATGACCGCAACCGGCCACTCACAGCGCGCCGTTGCATGTCTTGCAGCTGCGGCCTCCATTGGTCTACCCGCACCTCCTGATCATCTGCCAGTGTCCTGTGGCCACTGGCTCTCTGTAAATGGCTGATCAGTCCTTCTGCGCGCCTCATACGAAGCAAGGCCTGGATTTTGTGTTCTTGTTCTTGTCCCAAATGGCGACCAATCTATTCCTCTAACAAAGGCCCCAAAAGACAAATCTCAGCCGACCCTCTGCCTGTCCTTTCAGTCTAACATTTTGGCTTCGCGATATAATCCCCGGAGAGGTCGCAACCACTGGACGAATGCGCCTGCTTTGCCATATGCCGGTCTCTATTTCGCTTGACGACAGTCACATGCAGTCCATCCCTCTGTACAGCCTGTTTGCGCTACTCTGCCTCCTATACCGATGTCAACTCTGGTCAATACCGAATGGACAGTCGACGAGAAGATCATTTTGTTGACCAATATAATTCAAGGTGCTGTGGGGGATGTACCTTCCTGGCTAATACGGGCTATGGCCGACACCAGTATACAATTTAGATGGGAGGAGATTGCTCTGCCACCAGGTATGCCTTCTCGAGGCACATGACTTTGCGCGCATTGCTGGGGCAGTCTCGTCGTGTCCATGTGCGATGTGCGCAAAGCGCGTTGCTCTCCCGTGTTGGATCCTCAAAGCGTTCGCTGACCCATGTAGGCCGCTCGGTCAGTGCCTGTCGGAAGATGTACGAAGAGTTGCGGACGCGGTCGTTCTCCTCCATGAGCTTCCAAGGCTTTGCTCCATCTTTTGGCCTAGGTCAAGGACACGGTCGAACAGTGTCAGAACATGAACTACATCCTCCTCTGCATCGGTCGATACAGCCTCGCCCTCCACGCACAACAGACTCGCCATTGCCTGTTACCACGAACGGGGAAGCATTCACCATTTTGCGACCATTTGTGCCCGAGTTGGGACCGGAAAGACGCAGGAAGCGAGGCCGTCCAACCAAAGAAGAAGTTGAAGAACGCGATCGGAGACTGGCCGCCGTTGGGCAAACGTATGAGCCGAAAAAGCGTTCTACGAAGAGACCGAGACCCTCTGGAACTCCTGGCTCATTGTCTGAGCCGCTCGCTGGAACTTCACCAAGACTTCGAACTCCTGTGGCACAACCCGTCCCGCAGAGAGAGGAGACTTCTAGCAGCCGGCGGCGTTCGAGGCGGCAACACGAGGAACCCGCCTACTTAGCACGACAGGAACCAGCAAGATCTCCTCCTCCCGAAGACTCTGGCAACGAGAGAAGCTCAGGCGCTGCTCAGAGTCCCTCGGACAGGCTGTTACTGAGATCGAACGAACGCGCTCAGGGTGTGGCTGCGGTAGCTCGCGACATACAGCAAGCGCATAGTCCCAGTATCGAGCAAGACCCAGAACAGAGGTCGGACGACCAACAATCTGGTCCGCCTTCAATTTGACTCGCTTTTGCGACAGTACTTCCAACGCTTTGCTACAATGTACAACCTGGATGCGCGACCATTTGGACAGGACATACTGCCTACACTGTACGAGCTACGACTATAGACAAGGAGGCCAAAAGATGTGAACGATACCCATGTCTACGGCTTTAGACCTTTGGGGTGGCAGGTGTTTGCGTCTCCTATCCTATCGACGGTTTTCATCGCGTGTCAAGCCATTACTCGCTAATTGCATAATGGCGCGAGCATCAGCAACACGAGCGTTTGTTTTGTTATTTTGTATTTCTAATTCTGGATCAGGACAAGGAACAATCTGCTGGCCAGGTCGTCCTCGCTCTGATCATCTGAGAACACTATTGGAAAAGTATATCGATTTCTGTTTGTGGATATTGCCAAATATACTTTGGACCTTGGACGATACACTACTTAATGTTACTTGGGAAAATGCAGGTCTGATGTGAAAAGCAAAATGGCCAAGGGGAAACGGATCACGACGACTGCTCTTCTGTTTTGCTTTTGTGAAGGCTCCTTCGCTGTCCGACATACTAGAGGGCAAGGCTGAGGGTTGATGATTGTTTTGAGTTCCGCCAGGAGGCGTGACGCTTTACTTCGACTCATGGGTACCTGGTAGAATGTCCGCGGGCATTTACGGCTGTGGTTGACGTCTTGTGATGGCGGAGAATGACTATGGTGAAGGAAGATACACATACCACCACGGCGAGGATGTCGGCCTGCTGGATCAAGCCGAAAATGACAATGACAATGACATACCGGCAACGTCTCCAGCGAGACTTGCCCAACTTTTGAACAATATTGTCTTTCTACGAGCATGCTGCATGTGCTTTTGCTCCCGCTTTCGTTACTTCCCTGGTAAGGGTTGACCTTCTAGAGTTGACAGGGATGACTCGGAGCTCCCCTGCATGTGTAACCTACTACTGTAGTGATTCGTGCAGGGGGTCCAGAAAGTCAGGATGTGCTTTCTAGTCCCCCCGTAGTTGTGATTCCAATCCAGATGATAAGTGTGATTACCTACCAGGTAGGTAACTTTATGTTTCAGAGAACGAGATACGCGAGACAGAGGCACGCTACGAGTGGTCTATGCTTCACACCAAGGCTGCCGTATACCATACTGTAGCAGGTAGTGGTACATGGGTATATGGCCCTCACCTATGGAGTCGAAGGTTCATCTGCAAGATTCAAAAACCTTCCTGGAGGCAGGACTCGGCTACGACTGCACACTGCACACAAGGCAAAAATAGCAGTGGAGTTGTTAAAAGGTGTACATACTACTGTAGTAAGTTCGGAACATTCGCGGAAGTTCGTGTTGCTTGCTTTTTCCCTCGTATCGCCCGCCTTACACAGCGGCGGCGGCGAGGGAGCTCTGCTCTGCTTCGTATTGCTTGGGTCATTGTATCACACTCTCCGCGTCATTGAAATCCCTGGTCTTACCGCGCAGCTAGACTAGGTACTGTGCGAGGAAACAATAAGAAAGTACGCAGAACGAAATCGATGGTGAGTCGATAGGTGGACAAAACATCGAGGAGGAAGGAAGGCACGGAAGTCACGATCATGACAACTCAGAAGACTTTTCTCATTCCTACCAGAACGCTCCTGAAATACTGTAGATGATATGTGACTTCCAAATTGTCCTCGTCAAGGTGACTATACTGATGCATCGAACAACGAATGCATAGCGTCCTTGGCCTCTGATGTTCATGCCAGCAGGAAAGCCTTTGAGTAGGCAAAGCCTACTTAATCCTCGTAGAGATCTTCATCATCTCCTTCGATATCATTCACGAACTCATCAAGGGTCGTTTGTTCCTTTGCTTTGCCCTTACCTAAGGCTTTACCCTTGTCACCATTGGTGCCGTTGACGACCGAGCCGTTGAGATGGGACATGCTCACCCCGTAATCATCATCTGCATCCGAGGAATTGCCCGAGTCAGGATTACCAATGCGTGCTGCTTGCTTGTATGTGTTTGTGCTTGCAGGATATGCGCGGACATTGGATGCCGTGATAACTCTCTGTTTCCCTTTGCCCTTGCTCTGCACTGACTCCACTGGAGGTGCATTTGACTGGGCGGTATTCTGTCCCTGATGATCCGTGAGAGAAACAGGTGGTGTCATGCTCGGGGCTGGTCGCAATGGGAAATTCGGCTGCTTGACCTGCTGATCTTTGGCAGGAATACCATTGCTCTTGCTATCTTTGGGTCCACCGGTAATGTCTTGCTCCTCAAACATGTTCCGTATCCTTTCGAAGTGTTCGAGCTCTTTCTTGCTGACGCTGCCCACTAGCTCGTTTTGTGCGGCAGTAAAGTCCTCTTCACTGACTACAACCTGCACATCTTCCTCCGTGGCCAGGTGGTCAAAGAAGTATCCGGTGCTGACTTCTTCGCCGCGCACCTTAGTGATCTGTTGCACTTTCTCGTCCACCGCGTGTGTCTTTCGAGTGATGGCCTTGAGCATGGCATCACTGCACAGTGCATATAAATCTGCACCTGTATAGGTGAAGGGCAATCGACTGGCGACTCGGACCAGGTCCACATCCGGCGCGAGTGTGAAGTTACGAGTGAGTGCTTTCAGTATCGTCACTTGTGAATCATGCGTGTCCGCAACTCCTAGATAGAGCATCTTGTCGAAACGGCCAGGTCGGAGAAGGGCAGGATCAAGAAGATCCGGTCTATTCGTGGCGCCAATGACAAAGACACCTCCAGCGTTTGATGATGTTTTGCCGTCTGAGTTGTCGTCGTCGCTGCCTCCGCCTGACATGCCATCAAGTTCAGCCAGGAGTTGCGAAACGATTCGGTCCATGACACCACCACTATCACCTTGGTTTCCACGTTTTGGGGCAACGGAATCCAGCTCGTCAAAGAAGACCACACATGGACGAGCATCTCGAGCACGCTGGAAAACCCGGCGGACATTCGCCTCGGACTCTCCAATGTACATGTTCAGAAGCTCGGGACCTTTGACACTGAAGAAATTAAGGCTGAATTCAGTCGCTATAGCTTTAGCGAGCAACGTCTTTCCAGTTCCCGGCGGCCCATAGAACAAAATTCCGGATCGTTTCCGGATGCCGTTTGCGAAAAGTTCTGGGTGAGTAAGGGGTAGGGATATCGTTTCCATAATGGCATCCTTCTGCGAGGAAAGGCCACCAACGTCTTGCCAAGTGACAGTTGGAATCTTTGGAGCACCAATGGCATCGGAGAATGTAGATCGAGCGGCAGAAATGGCACGGCTGAAATCGCTGGGAAGCAGGCACGTGGCCGCTTGACCTCCAGACACGTAGACATCGTACAAGTCGCAAGACTGGGATTCTGCCAGAGACAGTAGACGCGAGTACCGCGCAAGTGAGGCACGGCTGACGACATCAAGCAGGTCGCCAGCCACCAGAGCAGCAGTCTGCAGAGCGACGGTTTTGAGATTGACGCTGCTGGACAGAGCTGTCGAGATCGATGTACAGCTATTCCGCAGGATGATTTCTCTTGCCCACTCGTCTGGTGCCGTCACTTCGAACTCATGAGAACATAGACTCCGAATGCCTGCTGGAATGTCATCAATCTTCGATGTCGTTGCAATCACCACACGAGACCATGATATTATCTCCTGCAATGTCGGCACCATTCTATCCGCCGTCAGTGCGTCGATATGTTGGATGAGCAGCGCAGTTTGCTGAGAGCCTCCCGAGAGCGCACGTTCAGCTCGTGTCCTTAAGAGTGCTTCCGTCTTCACGTCTCCGCCACCAGTCGTGGCAGCATTCTCAGACAGCAGATCATGTACAGAGATGGGAACTGTATGAACGCCAGCTGCGGAGCAAGCCGAGTTGGCGATGTAGGATTTGCCAATTTGCCGTTGGTTCGAATGTAGAAGTATTACGAGCGGAGGGAGGCCAAGATTCACTGCCCGATTGCTCACCGCCGCCGATATGAGCCCATTCAGGCGCTTCTCTAGCGGCAACTTTTCTGGGGAGGGAATGTCTGCGGCCGTAGATATATGATCGACTTTGTGTGAATTCTGCTGCGGAAGCTTCTGTATGCCAAACCAGTATCGACTCCAAGTCTCGGTCAGATGCGAAACAGACTGAACACTGCTTCCACTCTGAGACACATGAGCTTGCAAAGGATCAAGAGTGACAACACCACCCCAGGTATTTTCACCTTGGCCACTTTCGCCGTCGGATTTCTCAAAGTCGACCTGTTGAACTTGAAACCACGCGAGCGCGAATTGTTGAGAACCCGATGTTGTCGGGCTATTGAGCCTGGTCACAGTCTCATCATCCCCTGTGTTGCCTTCGGAACCACTGGAAAACATGGCCTTCCCGAGTTCCTGATCCACTGGCACCGCAAGGATATCGCCTCGTTTTAATTTGCGCTTTCTGCCTTCCAAGTAATGCTTGAGAGAAGAGAACAGCGTAGACTGCAGTGCAGGATTGGTGGTGGTTGGATCTGCGATTTTCGAGAATTGGATCTCTTTGGCCAGTGGCGGAGTTTTCGAGCTACTTGAACGGCTCGTTTGAGACGGTCTATGGTCGTGACGTGGGGCTTGTGGTAAGGCACCAATTTTGACGAATTGAGCATTGGTAAGATTGGCAAGTAGTATTGGGGAGAGAAGGAGTGCAGGCGACATCGGCAATTGTAGATCTCTTTGCGAGAGGCTCGATCGTCTGTCACCTGTCTTGTCGACGGCGTATCGAGGTTGCTGGCTCGATAATCCTGATATGCCAAAGACTCGAACCGTTCGCCAATCGGAATCTTCTTCGTCAGCGATGCCGCTGAAGGAGCGCATCAGTGATGGTGCAAAACCCTGAGAGCTCACGTTCCTCGCCACCTCGATGCGCACCCAGTCACCCGAGAAGCATCCTATCTTTGCCAGCATACTCGTGTCGACGAATATAAATGACTCTTCGTCCTCGTCAGGGCTAGGCTTAGGATGCATCAAATCGGATGGGACCTTGCGCAGAAGCGCTTCTGTTCTGAAGACCTTCCCCGGTCGATTTCCGCCTCTTGTTGTAGTTGACGTGAAGCTTGAATATAGGGAGCCGGGTGTATGGGTTCCGGTGGCTCGCTTTCCCCCAGGCCTGGGTGTCGCAGCTGTCATGGCCGAAAGCGTGCCTGCTTGCTGCGGCGGTAATCCTGGAGCACTCAGGGAGATCATATCATCCATAGAATCAGAGTCTTCGTCACTCTCCTCACGGCTTGCATCATCGCTCTCAGCATCGTCGTCCGAGCCATCACCCTCATCAGACCCCGTCTCAGTGTGTCCGTCTTCCGCTGCCGAGTAGAATTGATCATTGGAGGTGTCTTCGGCCGTATCTTCAAGAGACTCTTCGATTATAGGCTGAACGGGTCCAAGCCTCTTCAACGCCTTCTCCTGCGATGAACCGGTCTGGATAAGTACAATCTTTGTTTTGTCTGATATCCGGCCCTGAGATACTGGTTCGCATTCAACAACAATGGCTGGAGGGGCCCGGACATGGGTGATAGGATGCGCCGGGAGTGGCAGAGGGAATACATCTCCATTGTGAATGATCTGCATTTGAGAAAGTGCTTCTCGAACGAGAGAAGCCATGCGAGAGACATGTGCCGGCACGTTCTGTAAAACACCATTGGCCCACCCTTGTCTCTTGTCTAATCTGGAATTTTTCCCATATTGAAAGCCTCCGCCGAATTTGGCTTGAATGTCATCCACCTTCTCGAGCAGATTCTTTTCAACCGACACGTAGAGCGTTTCCAACACCAGAGGTTTTGTCGCGATAGCCCGAACTTCGATAAATTTTGGTACGTGGCCTGGGTGACGATCCCGATCGATCGCTGAGTACGTCTTCAGCAGCGACTGGCAGGCCAGGGAAGAGGAGGAGAGCTTGATGACATCGGACTGTTCGAGCGACTCGGTTCGGGGGTGAGGTTCCTGCGGCTGGGCAGAGACGACGGTCCATATTGACTCCTGCACGTCGTCGTGTAAGGGTGACCAGGGAGTAAGTGCTATAAACAGTTCTGCTGTGGGTGGGCGAGCATCTTCAGAATCTCCACAGTCAGCACCACGTTGAATCCAAGGAATCTTGTGCGACTCACTATTCTCCGTAGAGACAAGTCGACTCCAAAGAGTTTGTGGCACCGAGGCAGTGTGAGCCTGGGTGGTGTCGTCGAAAGCCAGACGAGCCGCTACAGGTCGGCGGGAAATCTCACGCCGTCGACGCTTCTTGGGATGTTCAAGCTCGTGTTCGAGACTGGCCATGTTCGCTTAGAAGGTCTCGAGAGGCGTCCGCATGTTCTTGCGTAGTATGGGGCCTCCTCTTCAGCGCAACGAGTACTCGACACTTGTTGGGTGAATGTGAAAATCGGCTAGAAAAGAGTCATGTCTCACAGGCGCAGTAGTAGAATCGGTTGGTGGTGTTGGCGATGGCTGACCGACCGACCGCGGATGCCGAGGCACAAATTTGTGTCCCTAGTAGTCGTAGTCAACGTCAACGTCAACAGCTCCTTTTTATCCCTTGACTCTCCGACTTCTCACTGCCTCATTCTGACTTTGAGTGTGAGAACTTCTTCGACATCATCTAAGCTTTGATGGGGAGGGTTTGCAGGCTCTAGACCAGATCGTCGAAGGGTCGGTCCCTTTCCCTGTGCCGCAGCTGGGGGCCTACACATTCAGCTCGCCATGTCCAACCAGGGCGTCTTCTGCGCTTTCGGGCTGCCGGTTACTAACCCTCGCGGAGGTGGAGGTCCCTCGTCTTCAAGATTGTGAAAACTCCTTGTCGAAACCTTTTGGGCTCTTCTATTGGGTGCTCCGCATTCTCCATGTCGGCCAGACCACCGGCCGTTATGCGCCTTGCTGGGAACATCAGGCTGGGTCTGAACAGCATTGGTGAAGGCGCGGCACGGGGCTCAATTGTGTTGAAATCGTGATTGATCGTGCAGGGCGTGCTTGAGAGGCCATGAAACTATTCTACCCGATAGAGACAACATTATGCCTGCTTAAACGACAGGCAGCCTTTCAGCAACTCTGGTGTCACTACATGTGCTGTGCTACGTTCAGGTTCCTCGGCCTGATGGATTCCTCGCCTGCACAGGATGTCGTGCCTCGTGTATGGACCACGACTCACAATTGCGAATCATGACCATTGATCTCCAGGTCTTTGCCAAAGATCGAATCCACCAGCTCTCCGCTACGCGTGGACAAGATCGAAAGCAGTGAGTCAGAAAGACCGTGCGTCTCTTCGTTACACCCTTGCAGCCATATCCCCACGCCCTCTTCTACATGTTGCGGATCCAGCTTCACACCATAATCGCGTCCGGCTTGCCATTGACCATCATGGTTGGCATTGATGGGCTGACAGTCCTTGAGCATGTCGACGTGTGCGTCTCGGCGATATCCAGTCGCCAATATGATGGCGTCCACAGGCATCTTTTCTGTTGCCTTGTTGTCTAGTGGGTTCAAATTGGTCAGTGTCAGCAGCAATCCTCCGGTTGACTTGTAATCGACGACTTCGGTGACCTCTGTCGACGGAAGAATCTGATGTTGCCACCGAGATTTGTCTGGTTGCTTGATGCTTTGCAGGTAAAGAAGCTCATATATCTTCTCAATGAGTTCAAGCCTGACGACGCTGTAATTTGTGGCTTTGTTTCGTTTGAGGGTGTCACCTCGAAACCCCTTGGGCTGATCATAGAACGTGTCGACGGCTTCGGGGTCGAAGACTTCATTCACAAAGGGTGAGTCGTCACTGGGCCGCAATGCTGTGTCTCGAAGTATCAGCCTCGTGGTGGCATTGGGGTAGCGGCCATGCAAATCATTGAAGACCTCTGCCGCGCTCTGGCCGCCTCCTATCACGGCTATGTTGTATGCTTTGTCCTTTTCTGGTAAGGCTTGCTCGATCCGGGTATTGTACTCTGATGAATGCAGGATCCTGTCGTGGTACTCAGGAAATTGAGGAGGTCTTTTCGATCGTCCACCGGCAGCAATGACAACGTTCCGGCTTAGAAAAGTCACACTGCTCCCCGTCCTCAAATCGCGCGACACAACCTCCAGACAGTCGTATTTACCGCCATCCGCTAATCTCCGTGGACGAATGGATTCCACTTGCTGGCCATACTCGACCACGTCGTCAAAATGAGACGCCGCCCACTGCAGATAATCATCGAATTCGACTCGGGCAGGCAAGAAAGTACCCAGGTTCGTGAACTGAACAAGTCGGTCGTGGTGTTTCAAATAGTTCAGGAAGGTAAAGTGACTGCGTGGTTCTCGAAGAGTTGCAAGATCCTTGATAAACGAGATCTGCATTTTTGCGCCCGGTAGTAGCATCCCAGCATGCCATCTGAATGTCGGCTGCCGTTCCAAAAAGCGCACTCTGGGAGTATTGACCGTGCTGCCAACGCCTCCTTGCTCCTGCAGCAGATCATGTAAGGCTACTGCAATGGCCAGTGACGCAGGCCCGAAGCCTACACATAGTAGGTCATCTACTTCACCCGCTGCTGCAGAGTTGAGCATGAGTGCATGATCGACCATGCCTGCATTGTCTTGTTTCGCTGCAACAGAATTGCCGGCGGCTGTTCCCTTGATATGGTTGGTCATGATAAGGCCATCCCGGCCTGTGCCATCCTCATATACCGCGATTGGAGTCATTGGAGAGGGGCACTGTTAAGTGGCTTGATTCTCTCACGTTGGCTGAGGATATATCATGGGATTTGCATAGCAAGAAAAATTGTTAAGAAAGTTCGAAGTCTAGTGACTAGATACATGTGCCTTCGTTGAACCTGCCACTGCCAGAGTCTCCTGAGATTGATTGCACTACGCATGAACTAATCATCTGCCACATGCTGCTCCATGTCATCATGATTGAAGCGGAAACATCCGTTGTCGTGTCACATTACCCGATTGTCCATGGAGCATCTTTTACGACGCATCAAGCTCACACGCAGGTATGAGGGTCGTTTGGGATCCAAAGACCTAAGAGATGGTGCTAAATGAGGCCAACACCGGGCCAAGTAGCCATAAAAGATCAAGAACTACGCGTTGACCCCAGCAAGCCGATGCCGGAGCGTTGATTAGATCAAGATTGAATGCTACCTTTATCAGATTAGATTTGTCAAGAAGATCTCCGACCAGTAAGAGGGACATTCACGACATCCACAGGAGGAGTTTTAACATTTGTAGATCACGTTGGTGCAGGGATCGAGGAAACAACTTCATGCATGGCGTCCGCTCGTCAACTTACTTATCGGTCGAAAGAAATTTTCCTTCCATCGAGACCTTGGCGAGAAACACCGCTGATTCGAGTCTGCTTCAATGCCCGATCCCGGGGCCATTGCAATGAAGACAGAGTCGTGGCGTCGTCCAGCGTCAGACAATGCAACGGCAAACGACAATCACGTCACGTCGCCATGAAGACAAACGCTGCAGCCTCGCTTCACGCGCCGGTACACGAGTCAAGTTGTCACGACCATCACTACTTCTGGCCTCCATAGTGACCACGACAAACAGCAATTGCGCATTCTAGATCGCACAAATTATATCGTATTTCAATCAGTTGCAAAATACCGTTCGACTTCTCTCGACTTGGTACAATACCACATATAGCAACTACCATTCTCATAACCCTGCATGGTTAGGTAACCATACAAAGTTGCAAGCTAGGTCTTCCGGCAGCATATCCCAGCCGCTCTTCATTCCCTTGGGTGAATTGACCATTCCTTTCCCAGCCCTGTCGGAAAATGGCGCCTCTAACCAACGGCACACATACGACACGTGATCTATCAGTCATCAACAAGACCCGCCAGACACTTCCTGGACCACAATTGCTCCATGAGTTGATTGCATTCGACCAGACACAACGGCTGCTTCTCGACTTCCTCACATCTGGTGGGAAGAGGATTCAGCTCACATACCATGACTTCCATCGCCTTACGGGCTTGCTCTCGCGGGACATCCAGACACGGCTCAAACGTATCTCGCGGCAGAGGTATATTGTCCCAGTCATCATACCACAAAGCCCAGAGCTTTACATAGCATGGGTAGCGGTGTTGAAAGCCGGTGCCGGCTTCTGTCCTGTGGCTCATGATGTCCCTCTGGAAAGGCTCAAGTTTATTGTCAAAGATGTCGATGCTTCCTTCATTCTGACGATACCAAGCATGCTGGAATCCGTCCGGAGCAAAACTGCAAATGTCGATTGCATGCCAATATCACTCAAAGACCTGGAAGCCAGGTTAGGGTCCGACTGGGAGGACGAATCCAAGCTCGAGCTTTTGAACCGGACGAAGCCAAGTGACCCAGCTTATGTCATGTATACTTCCGGCTCTACGGGTCTGCCGAAAGGAGTCGTCGTTTCGCATTCCTCGGTGTCGCAATCAATCCTTGCTCATGATGAGCACATACCTTCGTTCAAGCGGTTCCTTCAATTTGCTTCACCAACCTTCGACGTCTCAGTATTTGAGGTGTTTTTTCCCTTCTTTCGAGGTGCAACTCTAGTCGGCTGTGATCGCGAGCGTATGCTCAGTGATCTCCCTGCTACCATCCGATGTCTCGAGGCGGATGCTGCAGAGCTCACTCCTACGGTTGCGGGGACGTTGTTGAGGACCAGAGATGCAGCGCCTTGTCTGAAGACACTGCTGACGATCGGTGAAATGCTTACTTCCCAAGTGGTTCGGGAATTTGGTGGAGGTCCTGACAAATCGAGCATGTTATACGCCATGTATGGCCCAACCGAAGCTGCAATACACTGTACACTTGCGCCAAGATTATTTTCAGATGCGTCGGTGAGAAGCATTGGTCGACCTCTCTCATCAGTAACAGCTTTCATTCTTCAGCAGTCCGATCACCTTCAAGTAGCGCCTGTTGGCGAATCAGGTGAACTCGCCGTTGCAGGTCAGCTCGCTGATGGGTATTTGAACCGACCGGATCAAAACAGTGCAGCATTTGTTGAGCTTCCCGGATATGGACCAGTCTACAGAACCGGTGATCGAGCTGTTTGTCTCCCAGACGGTAATATCGAAATACTTGGCCGAATGACCTCGGGCCAAATCAAGCTAAGAGGACAAAGGGTCGAGCTAGGTGAAGTCGAAGAAGTCGCATCAAAAGTCGACGGCGTTCGGCTCGCCATTGCCAGCGTCATTGACGACAACATGGTGCTCTTCTGCGCAACAAACAACGAAGTCAAGACTGTGGACGTATCTGCCATGTGCAAATCTTGGTTGCCACCTTACATGCGCCCGGCCAGAATCATCCTCATAACGGGTGAAATACCGCGCTTGCCTTCCGGCAAGGTTGATCGCAAGACCCTCGAACAAGATTTTCGGGATTCGCAGCAATCGTCTCGATCGCCGGACACATTCGAGAACCAGACCGAGAGAGACATAGCCGATGTATTGGAACAAGAAATGGGCCACTGCCCTGACAGGCTGAGCTCCTTCGCATCACTGGGGCTGGACTCTCTTCGGGCGATCAAGATCACATCCCGCCTCCGCCCAACCTATAGGCGAGTAGATATTGGCATGATAGCCGAGTCTGACAACATTGCGGATCTATCGGCGCTTTTACAACGCGAAGCAAGCAGTGGCAGTCCCCAACAGCTCGGGTCCCCATACGAAGCATCGCAGGAATGGGAGATGATCCAGGAAAAAGTGATGGCAAGCTCACCAGTCAAGGAGCTCCATGCTTCTTGGGAGAAATTGATTCCTTGCAGCCCTATGCAGGTAGCGATGATTGTGGAAACAGCAGCAAACGGGGAGCTCAACTTCAACCAGATCTGGCTCCGGTGCTCTCCAGAAATTCGCTTCGAAGATGTGCGCCGGGCGTTTCATGCTTTAGCGGCACGTAATGAGATCCTGCGGTCTGGATTTGTCCCTACCGCAGAGGCGCAGATGCCGTTTGCACAAATCGTCTGGAAGGACCTTGTGGACAACGACCTTGGTCTGCTCCATCCTTTACAAATAACGCCGCAACCTGCGACTGAAAATGACGGCAATATCCTCATTACTCTTCACCATGGCCTCTATGATGGCTGGTCTTGGGATCTGATTATTGACGACGTGAACCAAATCCTTACAGGCGACCAACCACTCGACAGACCGCAATACTCAGAGTTTGCTTCCTATCAGCGCTCAACTACTCTTGGTGACGACACTGAGGATGTTGCCTACTGGAAGGACTTGTTTCGGGATTTCGTGCCTTCGACATTTCCTATCCTGTCATCTTCTCAACCAAAGAGCCCGTGCAGGGTGTCAATCGTTCATCCGTTGACCACCTCTCACAGTCTACTTTCTGTTACTGCAAACGCCCTGCGGTGTAGCCGAGAGACGATCTTACAATCCGCATGGGCTGCCTTGCTATCGTCGTATGTTGACAACTCGGACGTTGCTATTGGAGTTGTGTCTGCTGGCAGACATCTCCCACTGCTAGGCATAGAGTCTATCATTGGCCCTTGCTTATCGACAATTCCCATGCGTCTTGACATGGGCGCCGTGAGAACGGCAAGGGACATCATCAACCAAGTGCAAAAGCAGCGTACACACTATCTTAAGTCCCGCTCAATCACGCTTCGCGACATCAACATAGCTGCAGGCATAACGCCCGGCAACAGACTGTTTGACACACTATGTGTGTGGCAACAAATTGATGAAGGACAACATCGCGATACATCGAAGATTCATACTACAAAGAGTGAAGACGTCCTGGACTACGCTGTCGTCCTAGAATTTGAGCCCGGTGATGGGTCCGTTTCCCTGAAGATGTCTTTTGACACAGGCCGAATCCCTGAAATCCATGCAAGGTTGTTGATTGCGCAGCTGGATGAGGTCACCAAAAAGATATTGAGTGATTCTGAGATTGAGCTCAATCAACTCTGGGGGAAATCTGAGCCACACCTCATGTCACTCGCTAATACCGAATATGAGCACTTCGAATCGAGCTTCGATCTTACAACAACCATTCAAAGTCTGGCAGAAACGCAACCCGATCGACTCGCAGTGGACTTCGTGCAGAATTTTGGTGAGGAAAGCGGAATGGTTGAAAGGGAGACACTGACCTACTCCGAGCTCTTCACGTACGGACTGAACATAGCCTCAACCTTACGGGATACCTACGGAGTGAAGCAAGACGATATTGTGTGCCTGATTGCCGGCAGATCTCTCGACCTCTACATCGGCATTGTGGCTGTGATAATGGCCGGTGCTGGCTACATGTGTATCGACCCTCGCACGCCGCCAGACAGGATACGTCAGATTTTGAGCATCTCCAGCACTCGTGTGGTGTTGGTCGCTGATGACTTCGAACTTGATCTGGGCAATACGAAGCTAGCGTGTCTTGCGATATCGCACCTCCGTGAAGGATCGAAACACACTAAGGACCAGTGTATTTTCAAGGCCGGAAGGGATCAGCTTGCATACGCAGTATTTACGTCTGGCAGCACGGGTGTTCCTAAGGGTGTTCTCATCACCCGTAAAAACCTTCTCAGTAATCTGGAACAGTTATCACACATCTACCCATGTACACCTCACGAAGACCGCCTGCTACAGTCTTGCTCTCCCGCCTTCGATGTCTCAGTCTTCGAAATTTTCTGGACATGGCATATGGGCATGACGCTATGCACGGCCTCCAACGATGTTCTGTTCAGAGACCTTGTAGGCTTCATACGCAAGTTGGGTGTTACCCACCTTAGCATGACTCCCTCGGTCGCTGCCCTCGTGCATCCAGACAACGTTCCGGGCGTGAAGATGCTGGTGACTGCGGGGGAGCCAATGAATTCAAAGGTGTTCGGCAATTGGACTGACCGTGGTCTATACCAAGGCTATGGTCCGAGCGAGACAACCAATATATGCAACGTTCGACCTAAAGTAGCAAGAGTGGATGTTTCGAACAATGTTGGCCCTGCCTTTCCCAATACCTCCCTGTTCATCTGCAGACGACATTTAATCAGCTCTGTAAATGCAGCTGATAGAGGTCAGACCGATATTGAGTCAATATTCTTCCCCGTGCCAAAGGGCGGAGTCGGCGAAGTCTGGATCGGTGGAGAGCAGGTTGGACGTGGGTATATCGATCCTGACCTAACAGCAAGAAGCTTCTTCGACCATCCACAGTATGGTCGACTGTACCGCTCGGGAGACTTTGGAAGACTTTTAGCAGATGACACCCTCGTTGTCCTTGGTCGTGAAGACGACCAGGTCAAGCTTCGAGGCCAGCGGATTGAGCTAGGTGAAATCAGCTCGTCGCTAGTCAAGAGCCCAAAAGTCCTAGATGCGATTTCGTTCATCATCACAAAGGAAGGGCGAAATTCCAGACTTGTCTGTTTCTGGGCCCCCCAGACGCCCGCAAAAGCTGATGATGCTTCCCAAATCACAAGGTCGCTTTTCGATCACTTAGCAAGCTCGTTACCTGGCTACATGGTACCGGATGTGCTCATCTGTCTTGACGAAATTCCTTTGACGAGGCAGGGTAAGGTCGACCGTCGGGCGTTGATCGACAGATACATTGGAATGAGCACAGAAGACTTACAAAAGGCCTCGAGGGACAGCGACGAATCCGAGGATGTGGCTGAAATGTCTGAATCGGAATCTTTGGTCGCTCAGGCTTTGGCCGATGCTCTCGGTGTCCCTCTCAAGTCAATTACCCGCAGGACTTCATTCTACGCTCTCGGGATGGACTCGATCAGCGCAGTAAAAGTGGCTCAACGACTTCGATCGCATTTTCCAGCCGTGGAAGTATCTACTATCTTACGGAATGCATCAATTGGCCAACTGACTTCATGGCTGGCACTCGATCGAACAGAGGCAGGTGGATCAGATGATCAGCGCTTCGATCACTTCCTCGATAACAAAATAAGAGCTAAGGCGGTCGATACTTACTCTCGTTTCGGATTACGAGTGGAGAAGATCCTACCGTGCACACCTCTCCAAGAGTCCATGGCGAGTGGCTCGTTGGCGCCCGGGTCTACTGCATATTACAACTCACTACACTTTGCAGTTCACGGCAGCTTGTCACGGCTGAAAGACGCATGGTCAAAAGCAATGTACAGGCATGACCTCCTCAGAACCGGGTTTATCTCACTAGACTCCGCTGAGAGCCCATTTGTGCAAGTGGTCTTGGGGGAATACCATCTACCCTGGCAGGATGAAGGCAGTGCAAAGGAGGCCCCGCAGCAAGACGACGCTTTGGTTCTTCCACCATGGAAGTTGGTCGCGAGCAAAACAGACACGCACACTAAGGAACTGAGGTTCGACATTCACCACGTTCTCTATGACGCCGAGGCTATGTCCATTCTCCTCGACGAAATTCAGTCGTTATATCACAATCGACCCCTTCCACCTCCGGTGCCATTTGACAATTATCTTTCATTATTGGAAAGCACAAAAACTGATGCCACCGATCAATTTTGGAGTCAGAAGCTTCGGAATGCCACGAGCTGTAAGCTGGGCGACCTTATTATGACTGAAGATCGACACAAAGGCGTGCAAACATCGATTGCTGGCCGGGATGCTTCTTTGAGTCTTTCGGCTTTCCAAAACTGCGTTCGAAGACTGTCTTCAACGCCTCTAGCGGTCTTTCAGGCTGCTTGGACTCGTTTACTCTCGTGCATATTCCAGGTACAGGACGTTTGCTATGGTAATGTCCTAAGCGGGCGGAACTTGCCTATCGACGGTATTGACAGGATTGTCGCGCCATGTTTCAATACTGTTCCAATCCGATTACAGTTTGGTCGTGAAGCGACGAACGCTGACTTGTGCAATGATCTTCAGCAAGAGAACGTTGAGCTGTTGCCATACCAGCCGAGCTCACTGCGTCGGATCCAGCGGCAGAATATTGCACATGGTGGAGCATTGTTCGACACCCTAATCCTGCTACAGCAGGAAGAGGTGCAGCTGGACGAAGGTATCTGGTCCCAAGTTCATGAATCAGGAGACATGTCCTTTCCCTTCATCCTAGAGATAGTCATGGACATGGCAACTGATCATATACACCTCAAGCTGCATTCAGAGGTTGCAGGTGAACGTGTGTTGACCCAGCTGCTAGCATGCTTTGACACTCTCCTTCAGCATACGGCAAAGTACCCGCAATCTCGGGCGTTGGACTTCGCTGTCATCGCTGGGAAACTATCGAAGCTCAAGCCATTCGAAAAGTCATCTCGCCCAGTCCAAACACTGGCTGAGAACCATGTCAATGGGTTCGAGCCGCTCTCAGATGTCGAAACTTTGGTCAAGGACACTATCATGCAACTCAAACCTGACGTCTCGGCCATGATTCGCAAAAATACTACCATATTCCATTTGGGATTGGACAGTATCAACGCTGTGCAAATAGCAGCAAGGCTTCGTAAGAGTGGTTACAACATTTCAAGCGCAGACGTTCTGGAAGCTGCCAGTATCGACCAGATTGCGGCGGCATGTGAGTCAAACAGTCAGCAACCGAGTGAGCCAGCGACATTCGACCTCGCCGCATTTGACCAGAGATATCGCGAGAGATTGTGCGCAGACAACAACATCAATGGAGCTGCTGTTGAATCATTCCAACCATGCACCCCAACTCAGTCAGGGATATTGTCGCAATTCTTGCGTTCGGATGGTAATTTGTATCTCAACTCAGTCCACTTCGTCCTCGAGAAAGGAGTGGACGTCCGGAACTTGAAGGAGGCTTGGACAACCGCACAGAGTTTGCATGAAATGTTGCGAACTGGATTCGTCGAGACAGAACAAGCGGACACTCCCTTCGTCATGGTGACTTACAGTGCAGATGCTGTCCAGCTCCCCTGGGTTGAGAATGTACAGAAGCCATCCGCTGGCAGTCTTCCCACAGGTCAGCAAGTTAAGCTTCCACTTATCCATCCACCGTGGCAGCTATCATTGGACAGCAAAGAAGGCACGGCGACCCTTGAGATTACTATGTTACATGCGCTGTACGATGCGCAGTCCCTGAATATCATACTCCGAGATGTCGCTGGGATATATAGCGGCAAGAGGCCTCCCAACATGACTCCACCGTCCACAACTATCTCCAGGATCTTGGCCATGAGCAACGAAGAGAGATCGCAGGACTTTTGGAAGGAAGTGCTACCCGACCTCTGTCCGACTCGATTTCCTGACATGAGGATATACTTCAACGATGCTCAAAGCTTCGGTGTTGCGTCAAAACAGTGTACTTTGTCTCGCTCTGCCCTGGAGAAAGCCTGCGCCGATATTGGTGCCAGCATACAAGCTGTATGTGCGGCTGCATGGTCCCTCATTTTGTCCGCCTACACGGGCCAGGATTCAGTGACCTTTGGCATCATTCTGTCTGGCCGAGATTTTGATACCGAGGAGGAGAATGAAGTCGCTTTCCCATGCATCAACACGGTTCCGTTCGCGACCAAGATTTCGCAAGATCTCCAAGACCACCTGATGCGTTGCTCCAAGCGCTGTGCAGGGATACTAAGGCATCAGCACACTCCGATAAGCTCGATCAAGCGCTGGGCTGGGGTCGAGGGTGAGCTTTTCGATACTGTTCTCGTACTGCAAAAGTACAACTCCGAAGGGGGTCCAGATAGGCCGTGGAAGCTCGTCCAAGATGAAGCTTCTGCTGAGTACGCAGTATCGCTGGAGATCATACCGGACGATGAGGACATTAGCCTCCAGCTCACATTTCGAGAGAATGTCCTCCCACCGGAGCAGGCAACTTATGTTTTGGACGAGTTCAACATGGTGGTTGAGAAGACCCTAGGCTTTGGAGTTGATGAGCCAAAGGAAATGTCCAGTTCCTTGATGTCCGTAGTGGCTCCTGCTGATGATCGTATCGAAACGGAGATACGCTATCTACATGAGTTTGTCGAGGTGATGGCAAAGCAGAAGCCAGACAAGATCGCTCTCGAGTTTGTGACCAGCATACAAGCAGAGACATTTGAGAAACGAGAATGGACGTATGCGGAGCTGGATTTCAAAGGCAATCTGATCGCTCAGCTTCTGCAAAGTAGGAACGCGGAAGTCGGAGACCTGGTAGCCATATGCTTTGACAAATGTCCGGAGGCCTCCTTTGCCATCTTGGGAATCCTGAAAGCGGGGTGTGCCTATCTTGCGATCGATCCAGGAGCCCCCAAAGCGAGGAAAGAGTTCATTCTTCAAGATTCAAGCTGCAAAAACGTGCTCACCACAAGTGACAAGGTCTCAGAATTCCCTTCTTCACCGGATATATCAGTGCTTGCGCTAGACACCATCGACTGGTGTGTGGTGCTCAGCAAGAGGCCCAGGTCATCAAGGGAACTGAGTCCGCAGGACACATGTTATTGTCTTTACACCTCTGGCACGACCGGGACACCAAAGGGCTGTCTGATCAGTCATGATAGTGCCGTCCAGGCAATGCTGGCCTTTCAGCGCATTTTTCAGGGTCGTTGGAATGAGTCGTCGCGCTGGCTACAATTCGCATCCTTCCATTTTGACGTCAGTGTTCTCGAGCAATATTGGAGCTGGAGTGTTGGCATCTGTGTCACATCCGCTCCTCGAGATCTTCTGTTCGAAGATCTTCCAGCCACCATCCGGACGCTCAAAATCACACATCTGGATCTGACCCCTAGTTTGGCACGATTACTTACGCCAGAGGATGTGCCGGGTTTGTGCGAAGGCGTTTTCATTGTCGGCGGCGAGCAAGTCAGTCAGGATATCTTGGAAACCTGGGGAGCTGCTCAATGTTTGTACAATTTCTACGGTCCAAGCGAAGTTACTATCGGCTGCACGGTGCATCAAAACGTCCCCAAGAAAGCCAAACCAACAAACATCGGCCAGCAATGGGATAATGTGGGGTCATTTGTGATGGGGCCCAACTCACAGAGACCTGTTCCTCGCGGAGCCGTTGGTGAACTCTGCTTGTCCGGAGTTTTGGTCGGGAAGGGCTACCTCAATCGGCCTGATCTCACAGCACAGAAATTCGTCACTCTGGCTGGGTCTCAGACCAGGGTGTATCGCACCGGTGACCTTGTCCGTCTCTTGCATGATAACAGCTTCGACTTCTTGGGCAGAATTGATGATCAAGTCAAGCTTCGAGGACAGAGATTGGAGATTGGCGAAATCAACCATGTGGCGATGAGTGCCGATCCTGCTATGAAAGATGTAGCAACCATGGTGCTGGAACACCCGAAACAGCAGAGGGAGCAGCTTGTGACCTTCTTCTCCGCTGCTCAGCGCAGGACGACACGAGAAAAGCCGACTATCATCTCGAATGCCGAAACCCGAGCCTTGATAGAAGCCATCAAAAAGAGGTGCTCGGACAGCCTTCCGCCCTACATGGTTCCGACACACTACCTGGCAGTCTCCTCCTTGCCACTATCGGTCAACAACAAGGTTGATCACAAAGCACTGAAAGCTCTGTACGAGACGAGTGGGCTCGATCCGAAGTCATCATCAGTAAACCAAGAAGAAGACTTCAAGACAGACAACCCAAGGAGCATGTCCAAAGTGATAGAGGTGCTCGCGGAGTTCTTGCAGGTCTCTACATCCAGCATCAAGCCCACTTCAAGACTCTTCGAGCTGGGATTGGACTCTGTAGCGGCGATCGGACTTGCTAGGACTCTCAGAAAGAGAGGTTTCGAGAATTCCAACGTGGCCACAATACTTAAGCACCCTGTCGTGTCCGACCTGGCACGAACTCTGGATCAGAAATCTGGAAATGATCAAAGCCAGATGGTCGCAGCTGCACAAACGCGCATCGACGCGTTTGCAAAGACCCACCGTCACGCGATCCTTCAAGCCTTGGGAGTCGGAGACGACCAGATCGAGCATATTGCACCCTGCACTGCGTTGCAGGAAGGCATGGTCTCCAGAGTCATGCGCAGTGAGCCTGGCGATACTACCTATTTCACATCCTTGCAATTCGGACTCAACCCCGGAATCGATCTTGCCCGACTGAGACAGGCATGGACTGCTGCACAGCGTTCAATAGGGATTTTGAGGTCCTACTTTGTCTCTACGACAGATGGCTTTGCGCAAGTAATCCTGCGAGAGGGCCTCAGTGATGCAATCCCTGAATTGGTCAAATCTGATAATCATGAGGTTGATGCGCTTTTACACTCGTCATTCGTACAATGGGCCACCTCCACCAAATCCTTTTCAAAGTCAAGCCTCTGGAGGATGCGCATTGTTGAGTCCAATCACACCAGTTACATGATCCTTGACATCTTTCATGGCCTCTACGACGGAATCAGCCTTTCGTTACTCTTGGACCGAGTCCGACTTCACTATGTCCACCCTGAGGAGGGTATCAAATCCGACAAGCAATTCTATGAGGCACTTCCTTATGGTCCACTATGTGTGATGCCGGACGAGGAGCAGTTCTGGTCGTCCAGACTTGCCAATATCGAGCCATTTAAGCTGCCTCTGACCCCTCCGGACACCCAGATGCAAGGACAAGCAGTCAGCGCGCATGTTCAAATACCTCTTGAGGCTGTTCAGGGTCTATCCCAGCGACTGAACGTCACAACTTCCGCGATCTTTCAATCTTCATGGCTATACACCTTACAAAAGCAGTTCAAGGCCAGACCTGCCATGAGCGTGGTGGTATCAGGGCGGTCTTCAGCTAATGGGGATTTCGAGAATGTGATCGGTCCCATGTTCAATACCATACCTTTCGCAATAAGTGGCCTCCGGGAGGGATCGACAGTTGTGGACCTTGTTCGGGCCTGTCATCATCTGAGTGTTGACGCCCTGCCGTATCAACATACACCATTGCGAAAGATTGCAAGGTACCTGAAAGCAGACGTCAATTCACCCTTGTCCGACAGTTTGTTCGTGTGTCAAATGTCACGCGGACAGCCTACCGAGAGCGTCCTTTGGAAGGAATTATCATCTGAAAGCCAGCCGGATTACCCCCTCAATACCGAAGTCGAACAAGATGAATCAGCTTTCACGGTCACCGTTGTTGCAAAACCTGAGTACCTCGACGAGCTCGCGATCAAAGGCCTACTCAGCACCTATCTCGAGGTTGTGCAAGGCATCGGAAAGGCGGAGATGCTGCTACCTGAGGACTTCTGCGGATCAGCACGAACAGCTTCCGTCAAGGACGTCGCAGAGGGAAAGCAAATCGGACATGGTGGCCTCACCGAAGATGACGAATGGACCGATATCCAGCTCGCTGTGCGAGACCAGGTCGCCAACCTAGCCTCGGTCAGTAGGGAAGTAATTCACCCGCACAAGCCAAGCATATTCGAGTTGGGACTGGATAGCATTGAGGCAATGAAGCTTGCAGCCCGGTTGAGAACTGTGGGCGTGAAAGTCCCGGTGAGCGCCATCATGAGATTTCCGACCATCGCAGGCATCGTGCAAGCGGCACAAATTGAAGGATCCAATAAGACCGAGGACTCCGAAAGGTCACTCTCAGCCCTGATGAACGCAGAGCAACAGAGAGAACTCAGGGGCATGCTGCAGGATCAAGGCGTCAGCCTGGATGACATGGAGATCGTTCTACCAGTCACGCCAATGCAGGAAGGCTTACTTGCCGAATCTCAGAAATATCTCAACGTCATGGCCTTTAGACTGAACAAGGAAACCGATGTCCCACGACTGACAAGGGCATGGGAAACAGCCGTACAGACACAGCCTATACTGAGGACTCGATTCACAGCAAACGAGAGATCTGACAATGATGCCGCCTTCGTCCAGTACGTGTCGAAGCATGGGGCGGGCATGAAGGTCGTTAAGGACATGGAGCTTACGGACGTTGTCCGAAGCCTGAGAGAAGACGCTACGTATCAAGAGTTGAATTCGGCAACCTTCCAAGCACGAATCATCACCACCCGAGACGGAGCAGGATTTCTGGTACTGTCAATGCCACATGCAATGTACGATGCGTGGTCGTTACATCTTCTGCATCAGGAAGTTTCAAGACTATACCGGGACCGGTCACCAAGTGACCACCAGGACGAAGTCGCCACCATTGATTATCAGGCTCATCTTCAAGAGGTCTTGCAGCAGTCGAGGAGCCTCCCAGCGCAAACTTTCTGGCAGCATCAACTATCGGATCTCCGATCAAGCCTATTCCCAGGGAATGTGGGCGACGAGCACCCGTCCGCACGGAGTCTGTTGCTCCAGACGATGTCCAAAGCTAGCTTGACGAAGGTCCTCAAGTTCTGCAGGGAGCAAAGCGTCACACTTCAATCTCTGGGACTTGCATGTTGGACGACAGTCCTCGCCCATTACGCCCGCCAACTCGACGTATGTTTTGGTCTGGTGCTGTCCGGACGCACGACGCAGGACTCAGACCGCCTCGTCTTCCCTACATTCAACACTGTGCTTTTCCGACCTAATATCAACGGGATCAGCACCAAGGCTGAAGTTCTACGGAAAGTGCACGACGTAGCGGTGCGGGTTTCGGAGTTCCAGCACTTCCCATTGCGCAACGCCGTGCAGTACGCTCGAGAGCAAGGAGCCGCTCCTCAAGTTTTCGACTCGTTGTTCACCTTCCAGAAGCTGCCGGACGCGGAGAACCAACTGCTGACGTTGTATGATGAAGTCGCCAACCATGACAACGTCATCAAACCTCCTTATCCGGTCAATATCGAACTGGAAGGCAGTCAAGGTGCCCTCTCGTGGACTGTTGCCTTCCAGGAAGGAGTCGCTACAAGCGAATCTGGCGAGGAATTGCTGTTCAAGCTGGATGCGGTCCTGTGGTCGTTCATGAGCAGCCCCCAGCAGCCCGTCTTACAGCACCTTGATGATCAGGTGTGCATTTGCGGGTTACCTGCAATAACCTTCCGCGAGACCGGAAAAAACGATCTTAAGCTCGATGACATGCACGCCGATAGTGCTGAAATATGGTCCGACCTGGAAAGTACAATCAGAAAGATACTCGCCGAAGTCTCGCATACAGATCCTGATACGATAAGAAAGACGACCGGTATCTTTCACCTGGGTTTGGACAGTGTTAGTGCTATCAAGGTCTCGAGTATATTGAGGAAACAAGGACTTAGGCTGCCTGTCAGCGAGATCGTCAAGCTGCAAACAATTGAGAAGATGGCGGCCTCGGTACAATCATCAAAGAAGGAAATTGGCGGACCCGAGTCCGTTGTGAGCAACAAGCACGGAGATGATAGACTGTCTCGAATCGATCCAAGTGCGACAGGCATACCCGAGGAGGATCTTGAAGCAGTTCTTCCCTGCACTGCCGGCCAGCTTTATATGCTTGACATGTGGGCTGCTAGCGGTGGTCGACTGTTCTACCCAACCTTTTGGCTTCATGTCTCAGGGGCCAACACGGAGACACTCCAGAACGCACTCAACAACCTCACTAGACGTCTGCCAATATTGAGAACGAAATTCGTCAACTACATCGCCGATGGACAATTGCGGATTGTGCAAGTTGTTTTCAAGAGCGACACTGCTCAAAGGTACAAGCTGCCATGGTCCTATCGGATCAGCGATTCTGCCAACGGCCTAATCCTCACTGTTCGGATCCATCATGCTCTGTACGATGCAGTAAGCTTTGGGCTCATCGTGTCCGAGATTGAAAAGGTATACCGGAATGACAGCCCCTCGTCTCAGGCCCAGACCCAATTCGACGAGTTTATTGACAGGACCTTCTCGGGTTCAGCAATGGTGAAAGACTTCTGGGTTAGCCATCTAGCTTCAGGACATCGCACCTACAAGCCCATGGGAAAAGGATCATTTGAGGCGAACAGGATTGAGAAATTCGAGCCTCGAGTCCTGCACACCGGCCAATTGACTGAAAAGCTGAAGATACACGGCATCACCATCCAAGCATTGTTTTTCGCCGCATACGCCGGGATATATGCAGCTTTACCACGTGACCAAAGTGGCAACGAACAGACCGACGTAATCGTGGGCATCTATCTCGCCAACAGGTCTTTGGATATCGAAGGTCTCGACGAGTTGAACGCTCCGACCTTCAATATTGTCCCACTGAGGATCCGAGTGACCGGATCTCTGCTGGACATTGCTCAACAAGTACAACATGATCTAGGTGAAATCACGAGGATGGGCAACTGCTCAGTAAGCATGAGAGACATATGGGCTTGGACCAAGGTGAAGGTCGACACGTATATCAATTTCCTTTCATTGCCACAACGGGGACGGGAGGGATCTGGTACTTCGGCGACCGCTGGTGGTCAGGAAGTGAGAGTGACACATGCACAATTAAGTCCCAATGAGAAGGATCGTCTTGGAGCGGTCGAGGGAGCGTCACCTTTTGAGGACAATGAAGGCATGCTGACAGATGCGGCTGAATGGTGCCTGGTAAGTTTTGTCCTCCATAAACACCTTGCGAAAAAGACTGCGCTAACGTGTTTCTAGCCGGCAATTGATGTCGAAGCAAGGGTTTCGGACGGTCATCTCGGGATCGGTATCTTTGCGCCTGAGGATATGCTTTCGGCAAATCAGGCTGAAAATATTTTGGAGGACATGAGAAGAATGTCGATGGATTTTGCGTAGGTGTACGTTTGGCGTCGGTTGATCAATGAGGTTCTTGAATTTAGCCTGCATTCGATGGAGAATAGACTTGTTGTTTGACTGTAGGTCTTGTTATCAATTCACCTGCTTGGTCCTTTCGATCTCTTTGGCGGCGACTTCTCGGTGCATATTACCACAGGCACTACTGATATATTGGTAAGAGGATTTATGTATGCCTCATTCCCGCAATCTCACCTCATCCCTGACAAAACAAGCTCATTAGTAATTTTCTTCTTCAGCTTCGATCCACGTTGTAATCAGATGTGCAGCAACTTCCTCACTCCATTTTCAGATGATTCATCGAGACGCTGCCGCCATGACCCCTCGACAGAAAGCGAGATGTACCGCAATTCATCAGCACTAGAACTCACTATGCCGCAAGCAGCCTAATCGGGGGTACACCACCTCCCACTAGAATGACATTTCACCCCATCCAGGGGCATGCATCGCAGCATCTGGCTCGAACTGGACAGCCCTATTCGAAGTATATCTACAGCTAAAGTTACGCACGCGCTAAGTCAGAGTCCAGCGACAGCCGTATGGTCACTAGGTCACCTCAAGTGTTCCAATATGGACGGCTTTTTGACATTGTGGGACACTCAGTTCAGCCCCAGACTAGTAAGAATGTTGTAACACATCTGGAACTATAAAAGCGATGGCAACCATTACAATACCCGTCAATTCCTCTCGCAGTCGCATCTTCCAACTTCGAGCAGCGTTGCTACCAGTTCCAACCCCTGATTGACGCTTCTCAAGGTTGTCGTCTCTTGCGAGCTCTTCGTCACACGCCCCTCCGCACGCAACGCTCAAAGATGGCAGTCCCAAGAGGATCAGCGACGAAGGTCACAGAAGATGAAGAGCCCGTCATTGGAGGTCCATATTCACTATTCGATGGATCATTTATTCTAGAATTCCTCGAGCCGAAGCCATCAAGGCACGCAACGTCAGTTCTTTCCGTTTGATCAGTACCCGTTTCCTAAACTATGCCGCTGGACCGTCATATCAGCCTTGCGGTCGAACTCTTCCCACAGAGCCCGAATAGTACTGACCCACTGTCTCCAGTGTCATGATGCGAGCAACATACAAGCACGATCATCCACTGACCAAGAAGGCGAAGAAGCATCCTCAGGTCAGTCACCCCTTCTAGTCCGCCCCCCAGGATGACAGCCTTCTCTGACACACCATCCAGTCACCACCTCTTCATCTCCATTTCCAGCAAGTCGAAACATTCGTAGTCCTGCAAGGATCGGTCGGCCTCACAAGTACGTGGTCCGCCACTGACACTTTCCACAACGCAAAGAATACCGGCGAATCCAATCCGCATGTCATCGACACTTGGGTACCACACGGCTTCTTCCCTGACCCGAACGCCACGGAAGACACAGTGATCATTGCCTGGGCTCATCCCGACGACAAGGCGGACAACATGATGGATAGATTATTCTTCCAAACGCTTCTTATGTACGTCAGCGACGTTTCGGAGGGGAAGGAGAAGATGAGCATCCTGCAAATCATGTTAACTCAGTACGTACTCCGAACTTCCAATCCGGCCAGACTGCGTACTGGTGTCGTAGATGCCACTGCCGGCGCGTATGGTTGACTTTGATGCTAACTCTATGGCAGACACGTTAGCGAGACAGCTCTTATATGGTTCCCGAGGGCGTGGTTTCTGGGCCCGCTGCGCTGGTGGATACCGCTACAAATGCAAGCTGCGTGCGCAAAGATCGCGACGTGGCAGGGTATGAAGCCGCTGATGCAGCAATATCTATCCCCAGAGGATTGGAAAGCGGCGCAAGGGCGGATGACCGGAACGAAGGTAAAGGCGGCATAAGGACTGGCATGGAGGCGAGATATGATGTGTTATCTGGACACCATCTCCGAGATTGATAGCCCGAGGAAATGGATGTGCGATCAATACCCCGTTTCTGCGATAGCTGATGTTATCTAGACTTGACTGATAGCAATAGATATTTGACCCGAGTCTAGGGCAATACTCCTGGCATCGTCCACACAAGCGCCACGCATCGTGTCAAATGGAGATCATCCCACAGCGAAGTCTCATGCATTAATCTGGCTCCCACCCATGTCACTCCCTGCCTGTCTCACTGCACTCGGCTTCTCCTGAGCTAGCTGTCTTTCCCCCACGGACACGGCTTCGGCACAACCACAACCCATCCCCAGGTCATGCCGCTCACAAGCTGTACGTAAACTCAGGATTCTCCTTGTCAGTCAAATCAAGCCACCTACACGAAACACCGCACTGGTTAGCCATACCTCATCTGCACCTTCACCGTCGCGCCACAACACCTTCGAGCCAAGAGGATAAGGAAGAAACTCACTCTTGATTCTCCAACTTGACATACCCCGGCTCCTGCCTGATGAGAGCCTTGATCTTATTCTGGCGATTACAATACCACCAAATGAAAGCCAAATCAATCAAACACGCGCCCCAGCAGCAAATGATAGTGATCTCCGCAGGCTGATACCGCGGCGCATCCTTCGGTCGGAAAGTCTGCGGTCCAATGATATTCCCCACACAATATCCAACCAGGTACAGCGCCGCGACGGTCGTCTTCTTCGTGTAGCCAGCGACATTGGTCGCGATGAGACTGAGGAGTGCGACGAACGGCGTCGGGCTCGCCTGCGTGAGATAGTATCCGGCCAATCTGCCCGAATTATTGTCCAAGGGCAGTGCGACGATCAAAATCATGCCGAGCAGTGCAGTCACCAGACCGCCCATGCTGACCAAGACGCGCTGGCCCAGACGATCGCCCAACCACCCACAAAACATGAGCGATACGACTTCGACCGCGCCGCCGGGCGTGCCGTACAACAGCGACTCGTCGGCCGTGTAGCCGAAAGATACAATCTGTCACAAACCCAGCAAAGTCAGCCCAAGATACCATGCCCGTGGGCCAGATACCACATAATGCAGGACGCAATCGCCTCAAAGACAATCGCATGCAAACACTGCAGGAAAGGGGAAAAACATACCAGCTGCGAAAAGAAATTGCTAATCCCACCGTTCGGGATATCTGCCGTCAGGGCATAAAACACAAATGCCCACGTCAACGGATCCAGCAGCGCTTCCTTCATCTGGTACCCTGTTGCAACAGTCACTGTCAGCCAAACACCATCCCAAAACACTTCTTTTGAAGTAATGTGAACGCGCGATGCCACGCAATGTTCGGGTTCTCACATTTGAAATGCCGATTCCCGATCCCCTGCTGATTGACCCTCACTCGTTCCACGGCCAAGATACGATCTTTAGGTTTCAGCCACCGCGCATTGAGCTGGTTATCAGGCATGATGAAGAAGAAAACCACTCCCAAGCAAGCAGTCAAGCAGCCATTGACCAAGAAAACAATCTTCCACGGCGCAATCGCGGTACCGTGCTTCTTCGCGCCTACCGCAATACCGTACGCGACCAGCCCACCGAAAATCTGGCCGAAGCCGTTGAACGAGAACCAAAAGCCCACACGAGTGCCTTGTTCTCTCTTGGTGTACCACTGGGATGTAAACAGCGCGAAACCGGGCGTGACTGCTGCTTCGAAGATACCCAAGAAAACTGCGAACAACAGCATTAGCATTTCAAGATCCTTTCCTGTCGATGCACACACACTGTGTCCAAGTCCGAGTGGAATTGAAGTGCAGCAGAAACTCCTGCCTTTGAGGTAAAAAAGCGAGAGAAGAACAACTTACATCTCACGGCAATAGCGCCACTGTAATTGTTGACCGTGGCAAACAGACTCAACACAATCCCCCACATCACGACACAGAAAGCAGAATACTTTGCCAGAGGCAGCCTCTGCAACAACCGGTTTGTAGGGTACTCCCAGGCCAGATACCCAAAGTAGAACATACTGCTGAGCCACTGGTAATCGTCGCCCACGAGGCCAATATCCGTCTTGATGCCCATGATACTGGCGTACGACAGGGTTGTTTTGTCCAAGTAATTCAACCCGTAAATGACACACAGCAAAGGCATGAGGTGGAAATCAATGATGCGCAACAACCGCTTGTTGGTCGCCTCGTCGATCTCGACGACCTCGCCTGAGGCGTACGCCTTCATGGCTTCGTCGGCATCGTTGCTGTGCGCGAGGATCTTCTGGGCCGCAGCGGATGTGGATAGGACCGAGGCATTTCGTTTTTCAGTCATGTCTACAGGCGACACGGAGCGGACGCCAGGCAGGTTCTGGACCGGTGCGGTCTTGTCGTCGGCTTCGATGTCGGCCATTTTCGAGCGGTTACGTGTGCCTCACAGGCAGGAAAGAGAGGAGGGCAAGATGTTGGACCAAAATCCAAAAAGGAGAAATACCACAAAGTTTGTATACAGACCACAAACCTTGGGTGCGATGGATTTCAGGACCGGGAAGGAAGACGCAACACGAAGTTTATGAGATAGTAGTACCTTTGAGTCAAACAAGCGAGAGAGTGCTGCGTCGTTATCAATGAACCTACTGGTTTGGAAAGAAGTCCCCGCCACCATGCAGATTCATATCAATCAGTGTGATGTGTGATGTGGAAATGTTGCAATGTTGCATCACCCAGCAGCGCAGATTGCAGGATAAGAGATCCCGGAGACGCCATCTGCCCAGAGATACTAATGTGAGTAGTCAATCGGCGACTCATCACTTACGAGACGAAAAGATCGAACAGGCAGGTGCCGACCAGTGACTCGCGAGTCGAACGTGGAGATGGGCGTACATTTGCAGGGGGATAAACATACTGTGTAGTAAAGGAGGGGTCAAAGGGAAGCACCGAAGCGATGATCAGTCCTTCTGATAGAACTGATACCGCAAGGCGACGTCAGTGGTCAAGGATGATCTTCGCTTCCCGACGACTCTTGACCGCTTTGGGAAGGTCTACGGCATAAGATAGTAAACCAATACGAAGTGTGCTGCAAAGGAAAGATAACGTTTAAGAGTCAAGACAGTGCTTCAAGAACATTGGGCAAACGGTTCCTACTGTACGAGTAGGTGTTCCGCCATATATTACTGTAGCAGTGAAATATACGCCTGCAGCGGTACCGAGGGCACCCATTTTCGCACTGCGCTTACGAGAGTACAGTACCCACGGCAATCCATGCAAGCCCAGAGCCGGGGACTCTTACATTGACCTTTTGCCATATGGCTCGAATGGCATGATGATTGCCACGATAGCCTAAGATATGTCAATCAGTGACTGAATGCGAGTGGCATGTAAAACTGCTGGGGCACTTACCATCGCGATGTAAAGAGCCGCACAAATGAAAATGGGCGCGCTGGTGGCGGTATTGGCGTAAGTCGCGACAAAGGCACTGACGAGACCCATGACTCTGTTGCATCCGACCGCGATACCGTTTCCAGTGGCTCTATGAGCAGACGGCAGAACCTGTACGTCAATGTCAGTCTCACACCCACCAAAACACTCCAGATCTTCATATTACCTCTGGCGTATACGCATAAAGCGTGCCATAGTAAATGTTGACGACATAGTAGATGGCGCAAGTGAAACCCAGGTTCTCGGAAGCTGTGCGAACAGCGGTATAGGCGAAGAAGAAGGCCATGGACATCAAAGCACCAATCACCATGGTGTACCGACGACCCAAGACTTTCCAGTTGCACATGAACCCAGCTTGCACCGGGCCGAAAATTCCGACCACGTTCGTGATCATGTAGTTCCTCCAGGTAGTATAGTTGCTGTCGTCGCCTGTGTCCGCACCGCGACTTTTCAAGTACTGGGGCAAAAACACGTAGAACAGAGGATACGCGAGACCTGTACACTTCTGTCAATATGGCTCTTCGTACAGGGCATATATAATGTCATACCAATCAAAGTCCAAGATAACCAGATCATGGACGTGGAAAATCCCAGCTTCTTGGTAGCAAAGAGTCCCCGAAGATGTGCCAGGAGTTCACCGAAGCCATATCGGGACTTGCCATAGGTCGACTTGATGGGTCCGCACGCTTCGAGTTTCTCCAGAGTGAGTGAGCAGGGTCGGTTGTACTTTTGGGAAATCTGTCGGAAGGTCTCCACCACTTCTTCATCCTTGCCCTTGGCCAGCAAGTACTTCGGGGTTTCTTTGAGTCGGATCACGGTGACTCGTAGAACGCTGAGAACGAAAATCAGTGCGCCGTTGCTATACCAGACGTATCGCCAGCCCTAAAGAGAGCTTGTCAGCCATCAAATCCTCTCGCGAAAATCGTAGCAGTTACCTTGTTGTTGTCATAAGTACAGGTCGCGGCAGATGTGCAATAATACCCTTCGATCGACAGGAAAGGCCATGCAAAAGCAGCTGCGATGACGGGGGCAAGACCCCACCAGCATGCCATCAAAGTCAGAAGCCATTGTTTGTCGCCGGGAAGGAATTCCAAGAAAATAGTGGTGTCCAGGATCAGATTTCCACCAGACCCAAAGGCAGCCAGACAGGTAAAAAGGCCCAAAACAGTCCAGTTGGGTGAAGCTCCAGCACAGATGGCGAAAAGGGAGCAACTGAACAGTGAGAAGTTGAACGCGAATCTTCGTCCAATCACATCAGCACCTAGACAGGTCAGTCAGTTGCTGGCATTCGCAAAACACCAGCGTCGCTCATACTCACTCAATCCCCAGAACAAGGCTCCGACCAACATGCCGGTATATGCGGCCACAGTCAAACCATTGGCAAAGGATGGTCGGAACTCGTAGCCCGCCTGTGTAGAAGTGACAGACTGCAGAAGCAAGATCAGGGAGTCCGCGGCATATCCGAAGCCGTTGAGAACAAACAATTTGAGATGCATGTTTGTCCAGCCGATCTCGTCGATGGCCTAAAACAGCAAGCACCGGTCAGCACCAAACATGGGGAGAGCCATAGCAAAGAAGCCTTACTTCATTGACGAGGCGCATTTTCTTGTCCAAAGCAGGGTCGACATCGTTCATTGAAAAGACCTGGCCCTCGACAGTCCTCTCGTCGATGGATTGCACGGAGATGCTGTGGCGCACTCTCTCCGCAAGAGTATTATGGTGTTGTTCATGTTTTGGTACGTCTCCCGGCGAGACGTCTTTGTCAATCATGACCATCTTGGGATCTTCCGACATCTTGACTGTCTTTTTGCCGAGTTTTCTCGTGCAAGGCTCGGTTTAAATGAGGCTGTATCTCAGTCGCCCCGTAACAATATCGACTGAGAACACTCCACCACAAAAGCACACAGAATGCTTGCTTCTCACCTTCTGAAAGCGCAACTGAGAACAACTCGTCACGCGCAAGGTAGAGAGCAGTAAATAGGAAATGGCAGAAGATGCTTAAAGAGGAACCGGGATGAGAGGAGCTTTATCAACACTCGCTAGAAAACCGTGAGGACCTACTGGCCATGGGTCGTGACCCATAGTTTGGTAGAGGATTAAGCCATACAGCGGTTTTCCTGGTCATCTCCAAGGGCAATCCACTGGGAGGGCCTTGCACAGTCACACGGGGTCGGGGCTAGCAACGTGCCAAAGCTGATCGCCCCAATTGACATCGGTGGCCAAGTGCCAACCTAGGAATTCCAATCAATCGTCCAAAAAGAGTTTATCGGCTGCGAGTGCCCAACTAGACACGCGACCAAGACACGAGGACAATTGCCAGTGTAACGCTGCCGGCCATATACTGTGCTAGACTCCTAGACATTGTCTGCCTTATTCGAGTCACGAGTTAAAGCAGTCGCCTACCAAGGCTGACCACCAGGCGCAAGTATCGTCCCTTCTAAGGATACCTTTCGTCCCGAGGTACGGAGACGAACCGCTTCGTCCCTTTGCCCAGCGAGATGCGGGGACTTGGTGGCCTCGGAAAACCTATACTTAGTTATCCGTTATTCTTTAATCCTCAAACTTTCGACTGGTAAACGCGCCTTGCCAACACTGAAGCGAACGACCAATAGAGGGTCGTGATGAGATTTTGTCAGTCCCAAAGATCAGCCCACACCTGAGCTTTTTCCAGAGCCGCGAAAAGAGGAGCTCAACGTTGTCAAGATTTTCTCTGCCTTCATGCAGTTGCTGCCGTTGAAACCAATCGAGGCCGATGCAAAGGCACGTGCCGGGCGCTGATACAAAACGACCAACGAGAATTTTTGTTTCATCTCTCATCGACAAGTCCAGAATCTGGTCGTCTGACAGTTGATGCATGTCGACCTCATCGAGCAGATCCGCATGCATTGTACCATCTGAATCGATCGGCTTCCAGCGAGATGAACTGATAAGCAGCTGACCATCCCTGCAACTCTTCTCAGCTCGATACAACCTTTTGATATCTTGACCAACTCGAATTGGTCCTTGTGTCCCTGGGTATCTCAACTATCAATAAGCCAAACACTCTCTTATCGACTCCGATTTCGTGCCACATGTGCCCGAGTCAATCCCAACATGCCTTGATCTTGAGATGCGAAAGCTGCCAGTCTATCCAAGGAATTTCGAATAATCCGTACCTTCCACGACCACCTCGCTGTTGTAGAGCTCAGATTTCATAGTAATAATCTTCATCCAATCCTTCTCTGCTCGGAATCTCAGGACCGTCCATCCCGTCCATGCCTTCCACAATGCCCTCCTCGTCATTAAAACGGACATTCAACAAGCGGACCTTGAGTCCATAATCACTCATCATGTGTACAAGTCTGTTCGTCTCCGCGGTAATGGGCTGTTGATCAAGAAGCATCAAAAGGCCATCGAGCCATTCAGACGCGGCAGCATGACTGTTGGGCTGAAACGTCAACAAGACCGACTCCTTGGCTCCGCTTCGTGCTGATGAAGTCTTGGACGCGTTTCGAGAGTGTCCTTCACGACTACTGCGCGACTTTGACAGATAACTATGAATGGTGATCTTCGTTGTCGTGAACTTGTCATGCGTCAATTCCTTCAAAGTTGACCCCGACGCAATCGATGACCGGTCATTTGCAGTCACGTTGGAGACCACCGATGACACTATCGATAGATCGATCTTGCCTGGTAGGCTCGAGAGAGGTGGAAATTGTTCGTCTTTCTCTTCGAAATCACCCCAATGTAGGAACCGTCGATTCTCTGACAACCGGATGAAGCGGTAGCCATGGGAGGATGTTTGATGCAAGGTGGTTTCGGTTACTGGGCCGCCATTTTCCTGATCAGCGTAAGTGCCACTGTTGGGAAACCATGCTCCGGCGAGAAGACATCGTATTCTCTGTTCCTTGATGAATTGGAGTGCTTCACTTTGCAGCTCCTCCTTGACGCCACGAAGATGGTGTCCCCAGACATCTTCATAAGTCAATCCCAACAGTTCCATTTGGAGCTCGCGGATTTTACTGTATTCGAAAGCGGCCATTTCCTTTTCAATCTCTTCAATACCCCTAGTACGGTCCGCTCCGCCAACGACGCTCTCAATCAATATACGAACCAAGTCGACAATCTTGTGGAAATCATCGATCTCAGCTCCAGTCGACTTCCAAAGTCTCAGAAAGGCATGCAATCCTGCCACATGCAGCCGACTCCAATGTAGCAGTAAAGGTTTGAAGACCTTGTCAAGATTGGTCCGACTTTCAAGGGCTAGATAGCTTTTCGAGTCTTCCAGATCCATCTTATCCACTTCAAAATGTTCAAACAGGATCGCCGTCAATGTCAGGCTGACTCTAGCCAAAGGACATCTCTTCTGCTCAGAGGCAACCGCCTGTTCAAGCAGGATATTTTGAAACTCGTCTTGATGCTTGCGTACATAATCTGACAGATCCATCATACCCAGGAAGCCCATGTCAGCAAAATCCGGCTCTGGGTTCTCGCTAGTGAAGCCCAGACGCCTCCATTTCTGAGGATTGTGCTTGGGCTTGGGTTCGCCATTCCGGGTTTCGGGCTCTTCGGGCTTCTCAGGATTGCTCGAAAGGTGAATTGCTTTGATGGTGCGTCTGTGCTCAGGTTTCACCAAGTCCACGGGGACTTCCCTCCATCGTCTGAGGAGAATCTTTGTCAGCGCCTGGAACTCGAGAAGAGGATGAGCCAGATCTTGTAGAGCCGAACTTTGCATCAGCACGTAAACCGCCTTGATGACACCCAAGTCTTGAATTCGCTTTATGAACTTCGGCCACTCCGTCTCGTTGTCATTTGTGATGGCGTCGCGCATTAATGAGTTGATCAACTGTAGGGCATTTGCACACAACGCATGGTCTGCCGAGGATAGCCTGGTCACAAGCATCTCCAGAAACTGTGGGTAGACTGCAATGGCCGGCTTGAGGGCTTGAAAGCCGCCAGCATTATTTGACGAGCTGTCGTCAGAGGATCGGTCGGCATGATATGGGCGCGAAACAATCGAGACCAGTATGGCCATGGCTCCTCGCAAGATATTGACCAACGGTTGGCATACAACGAGTTCCACAACCTACGTGACTGCTGTTAGCTGTTGTTCGTCTGATTTCAATAGCGTAGAGGGTATCTTGCCCTTTCGACTACCGGGTCATTGACGGCTTCCCAGCCCTGATCCACCTCCAGTAACCGAGCAAAACTGGCGAGGCTGTACGCCAGAGTATTTCCACTACTTTCGAGGATGAGAGCGCGCAATCGAGGCAGGCCACCGGCGAGGACAAAGTGCTCGGCAAATGAAGGGTCGTTGATGAGCGACTGCAGCTTGAAGGCTGCCATTTTACGGCTGGCATCTTCGCTGCTCGACAAACCTGTCAGGAGCTCCGACAGGTTCGGACTTTGTGTTGGGTTATGAGGGCCTATCATCTTGACTGCTTCGTACCATATCTGAGCATGAGGCTGCGGCAGTGAACAACTCAGCGCAGGTGCAGGTAGTAGATAGATCGGCGGAGTCTCTTGAGTGTTGCCATGGTTCGTGTTTGACCTATCGTCTCGCTTGAGAAAGGAAGAGCATCGACCGGGCGGAGAGGGAGGCGGAGAAGAAGCAGGAATGCGTGTGTGCGTCGAAATCGACGCAATGCTCAGTGTTGGAGATAAACCGTGTGATAGATCACCGACCGGCGGGGGTCCAAACCATTTGGGTTCAGAGTCTGCAAGCGCGACCCCGGGTACCTCAGGCACACGCACACGCCCGGAGGTGTCACGGTCGGTGCCGCCGTTGGCGTCTTTCTCTCGCGTGGAGAAGATTGACCTGCGCCAGTATGACGTCAACCAGGAACTTCGCTTCAACGTCGATATCAATGAATTGACACCGCTGCTGGCACTGCGAGAAGAACTGCTACTGTAGGAGACCCAATCAGACGAATCATCTGAGGACGTTGGACCTCCTATAGCCATGCTCACGGAAGGGCTGGAATGATTGGGATTCGAAGGTAGTTGGTCAAGATAGTGAAAGAGGCCATAGGATGATAGGACCTTTGAATACAATATAAGTCAAGATCGAGTGAGCAACAAGTCAGTGCAACCTGTGTTCAGAAACTGTCAGGAGACCGCCACACCCAAGACACCGGAAATGCTCTGAAATGTGTCCTGCTTGTCGGAAATGCAACGCAGACAAACACCACGATACTAGTATAGTATGCCACCTGCGTCACCCGTCAACCTTTCTTCTTCACTTCATCCTTCATGTCCAGATTGTCCTCCGGTATCTCAGGATACTTCTCTTGCAGCCAGTCGTACAGATCATCACTGACGTCGCCCTGTACCGTAATCTCCTCTCCTCCGGCGGCTGTCTTGGTAACACTGCTTCCCGTAGCAAATTTCTTTCCCAGTTCTTTGGCCACCTTCTTTAGTTCGAGTCCATGGTCTTCCAGTCCCGATACCACAGTGACATATTTGCGCTTGTTCCGTTCGACTCTCTTGATCAATACCACGGCCTCGGCTTTTCTCTCAGCCTCACGTTGTTCTGCAGCGGCGGCTTTGGCAGTCTTTTTCGCCGCATCTTTTTCGGCTCGTTTCTGGGCTTCGACCGAAAGGGCAGATAAATTGGCAGTCAGAGTTTCTGAAGAACAATGTCAGAGTGTCTGCTCTCTCAGGAGACATGCGCCGTGACCCACCTTCTGAATACAGCTTCTTGTGCATGTCAGGGTGATTCTTTTCGAGCCATTCTTGACACTTTTTCGCCGTGCCACCGAACTCGCAATACTATTCTCCGTGAGCTTCTGAGCCGCATCATGTGCGACATACTCCTATACCTCTGGTGGGAGCGTGCAAACTGCCAGGACCACATGTCAGCCAAACCGTCAATCGGATACGGCAAGGGAGAGGATGGCATACCTTCACAATAGATCACATGCCTCGCTGGAGGCCCTGTAGGCTCTGTTGCAACCTCTGTCGCCATTTGATATTAGGCTGAATCCACGTAATGCTCAAGTAACACCCCTAGAATGTGATGAATTGTGCATATGCTGGTCTCTCATGTGGCTTGGTCAATTGTTCTGCGTCCGGTTCTCCGCCCACAATCGCAGCGGAACACATGTTCTGCGGCGAATTCTGGGGCCAAGTCCGCAGTCGGGGAAACACCGGCAATTCCTTCGCGATCCATAGTGGGCATTCCAATCCTTCCGTTCTTTTACCACCTTCTTACCAGCGAGCAATACGTCCTCTGAGCATTTTCATGTGCACTCTCCCAGATCTACACGACTCTGTTGGTAACTAGGAAGCAGGGGGGCTATTCCGTTGTGATGAGCGATGCAGACACAGGGATTTGCCAGGAGCAATACCCTCTGATCCAGGACCATGACGAGCTAAGGTAGGCGAGAACAACACCTCATTCAAGCTCAACGGCAATTGCTGTTGAGAGGCAACCAAGCAGCGTTTTTTTGGTGCAACGCTACCCTGCAGGCTGCAGAGGGATGTCCAGGTTCGATACTTCTCCCTCGTATCAGCACGATCTCACTTGATGTTGCAAAGACCCCTCTCTCATGCGACCTCTCCACCACACCAACTTTCGACTCTTGTCGTATTCAACAGACACGAGGGCTTCTTCGTGCCGTTTAAGCGGAGTGCGGGAATCCCCGGATTTGTTTGATCTAGCTGATTACGCCTTCGGCGTTGAATCACGCTTCCGGGTTGTTCTGAGCATCAGGTCCCACAGTTCCCTTACGCAACATACATGTATATATCACATGCAGACAGCAAAGGAATTTGGTCCTTACCATCCCATAGCATGAGGGCTGGGACAAGCGGTCCTGGCCTTGGCACATCCTATTTGTGCAGCACTGGGTCGCAGGTCAAGAGGATCTTAAGAAGCTTTGTAACAGGATGAGCAGCTTGGGAGTTCGAATGGTGCTTTTCAATGGCTAAATTCCGATGAAGAAGAAGCTTATCACCTGGCATGAATCAGTGAGAAATAGTTCGGCGATGCCCAGAAGCAGACCAGGTCAAGGTTTGTAGAGAACGACATGATGACCAGCCAATCTCCCTTCCGGAGATGCTCAACGATCCTGGCTTCGAAGAGGCGTGGATTTCGTGAGAATGGCGCAATTGCAATGCTTGCCTGTTGACTAAGTGCTCCAGCCAAGAGCAAAGGCACTATGAGAGGCCAGAAAACCAGCGCTTCGATGTCAGCTATAGGACATTGGAAACCCTTTCACAAGTCTGGAAGTCCATATGCGTACCAGTTCAAAATGCACGCAATAGTGTTCATGGTCAATTTGTACATGCACCTTCTTCATGTTGTAGAGCCCAGAGCACGTCCAGGGAGAGTGCTTTCGGATACGCAATTCCGATCATCGGCGGTTGAAGTCAATCACCATTAACGCTTGATGGGTCTAGCGAATAATGGTGCTTGTCCGCGTACCCTTTAGAGGTTGGTGTCTGCCCAGAAAGAGTAGTACGAACTCTGACCGCCGAAACACATCTGTGTGACCTTGCTGCTTGGGTCGAGGCGGAGAGTGAACCTGGTTGTTATCATGGCTATCATTATTTGACTTTTGAGATATCGCATTCTTTTGCCAAAAAGATAGCTTGCAGGGGCGCCTGCGTCCCAGTCGCACAGGCCAGAAGGCCGTGAGACTCTCAGCTCACGATAAGGGATAAAGGCTTATCAGTGGGGTCCCTGACTGTATGCCTGCAACAACATGCGTTGCACGTTCACTATATGACTTATTAGTGGACACCATTTTAGTGGAAAAGGAGAGTGGCGTAGGCCGGGTTTCCTGTTGCCAGAACACCATTGTTTGAGGAGTGGAATTGTCGGCCGAAGATATGAGAAGTAGATGCTAGGACAAGACGAGGCTGGTCCGTCAACATGTGATGAACGCGGAAAAGGGCGCACGAGGTCGCACAGACAACGTTGTTGCAGACTTATCCTTCAGTCGGGCACAACAGGGAGCTAACACATATGATGCTGCATGAGGCCGGAGACCCGAACCAGGCGTGCATGAGCACATTGACGACACGCAGTTTGAGCACAAACCTGGCAGACACGGACAATCCTGGACGTTGGAGCATAATTAAATGCCTGCCCTGCATGCCGCTGCTGGTGTGGCTGATCGAGATTGAGGAAGATACGCCATATGCATTCCAATGGCATGTCTTAGAGCCACGCCAGTGTTGGACGGCCTGGTATCGTCTAACAAAGGCCTGGGCTAGGCCAAGTTTTTATATGCATCGCATCAGATGTGTCGTGGCCTGAGGCTTGAGCACGGGATTGCGGCCTTGGAGACCCAACCGGTAAAGACCCGTCCTGATTGGCATGAGGCTGCCACGAGGAAGCTTTCGAGTGGCAGCGAGTATGTGAATTGTGGCTCATGGTTGCGGTGCAGAGTGGCATGCACATACGGGTGGATCAGGAAGAGAATTTCGCAGGAGCGGGAAGGCGACGGTTACTTTTGCATCTGTGAAGGATGACACATGAGATGGGGCGAGAAGCCTGCAGTTCGGTGCCTAGAAGGCCGATCTGTTTACCTGGGAGAATCCTAGAACACACTGTGTTTAGAATTGTCATATAACTTTGAGGACATGATAAGTTGGGAGGCAGTTCTGTCAGGATGTGGTCCAAGGGGTGATCAACTCGTGGCTCGAGAAGTTTCAAAGATGGCACCGAGATGCACAGACGGGTAAAATCGTAAGAGGCGTTCCTGACAAGTGAGGTATGGCCCGTCCAGTGGTTGGCAACGTTCAGAGGACGTGGGATGAGATAACACAAAACCTGTGCGTTGTGGTAGACGCCGAAGAGAGGGGACAGCCCCAGTGTAAGTAGGACGAGTCAAGGGAGTAGATTACAAGTAACAGGGTTGTGCCCTGCACAGGCAGCATGGTTGACATTGGGAGGCGTGGATAAGGACGGGAACTGCGGAGATTTTTGATCTGTGTCTGTCCTGAAAGAGTTGTTGGTAAGAAGCATAAAAGATGATGATGGTCGAAAGAGGAAATGCCTGGTAGTTGCAGTCATTATTATAATTAGATTGTAAAAGTACTCCGTACATATCGATCTGATTTACTCCGTCATGCTGATAGAAATACCTCGGATGAAGAGCAGTAACGAAGGAGTCACTCAAGGTGAAACCCTCAGCGGTCAGGTGCTTCCCCCGCAATCTTGCGCCATAAGAGGCTGGATGGTCTGTGATCTGGGCACTATTTCTAGGCGTGCTAGGCATCAACCACCGGGCATCAAAGCATCTTGGAGGGGCAGGAAATGCCATATTTCGTTTGTCTGACGATCTTTGATGCTAGCGATCCGCAGTAAATTCAGGGTGCCACAGTGATACATCTCATGTCAGACAAGACCAGTTTTGCTGTGCTTGTAACACAAAAAGATCGAGGTTTCTTTCTCCTCCATGGCAATTCTCGCCTGGCAGCTCTTTCTCATTCAATCGACAAACCCATAATTCGCGTCTTAACATCGACTCCAGTTTTCCTCAAAACGACCATTGCTGCTTCGCTGCAAATCGCGTCTCTTTGTCTGTGCGCTCCTCTCCTGTACATAGGCATAAGCAGGGACCCTTACTTTCTTATGAAGCGAACCTGTCTCAAATGGCAACCCGCTTTTACGCCTGCGCCTCGCCTTTCCATTGCCGGCCGCATCAACGCCACTTTGCGATTTTTTCCGCCTCTTTCTCGACCTCCCCACGCTGCCAACCTTAGCGACTGGGCGAGTCCTCCCACGAGTCCTTGACCGACAGCTCTCGCCTATACTCCAGAGCAAATGGTTGTTGGCATCGACAACATATATGCAGCTAAGACTTCACACTTTTTAACCGGGAAATCCACTCCCCCTTTGACCTTTGATACCGTCCACTAGTTGAAACAGGTTGTGGAAGGGATTGTCAGTCTGTGCGTATTTCGAATGCTCTTTTTGCGCGGCCGTTCGGGAGGCACGGCGGACTCCTCCTCTCTGAACCTTGATTCCGACAACTAAACAGGGCCCTGTCATCTCTCTGTAATTCGCGCCAAAATTCTCGTCCTCGGGTGCCTCTCCTCGTTTCCTCCTCATCCCTCCTCGACTCCACCGCCTCGCTACTACGGTCAATCGAACAAAGCAGCTCCTCCCGCTTCGATCCAACCTCGACTTACATACGTACACTCCACTCTTTCCCACAAATTCTCTTCCACCATTCATTACGTCTCTGCATACCCGTTGCAAATCCAGACTCGCATTGTAACTCACTGCCACGATCCTCGATCTGTTCCTCGTCCTTCTACCCATACCGCAGATCATTTGAAAACCCTCACGTCGCCTCAAAAAGCCTTGCCCCAGCATCTCCTCCTCTAGCATCAAAAACCCCCACTCTGTCGTAAGCACGATCTGCTGGGTTCACTCTCCCTCGCGCCGCCTGCGTTGAGCGAAAATATCGGACAGACTTCAACTCAGCTCAACAACAAGCATAACGGCAGAGTGTGCAAAAAGACAAAGAACCAAGCAGTGAGGGTTGCAGACCTTTTATCACCGTCACGAGTTACTGCCTTTGGTGACTCCTGCTACTGCTGATTCTTCTGGTTGACGACCAAGTGCTCTCAAGCATTATAACACAATACCCCATGAGTTGCTTCTCATGACGACCGTTCTACAGGCTCCTCTTCCTGGGGCCTCACCTTTCTCCTCGAGTCCCATACACTCGTCCTCATATTCAGACCTCTCTACATTGAAGGATTCGGTACCATACGGTCAGACACCAAAACAGAATTCATCTTACTCGCGCCACAACTATGCCAGACATTATGCAGATTCCGCACCCTCAACCGCGCCGTCCTCTCCTCAATTGACCTACACAACATCCTCTAGGCGGGATTCCTACGCCTCGACACCGGCAAGCAGCCTCTCGTTAGAAAAGGATATGCTTGATGAGGATGATGACATGGCATTTCCGGCGTTTGGGAACTCCGGCGTCTCCAGCCAGCAATATGAAGAACCAGTCGAGCAAGAAGATGCTTCTCAGATACCCAGCCCCATTACCGAAGAGTCGTCCTTATCTAGCAAATCCACACAGGACGACCAAGCTATAGAAGCCGAACCCACACGGCACGTTGACTATTTGTCCCACGAGTGGAAAGAGGAAGATATCTGGTTATCTTGGAGTTACGTCTCTCACCGAAGAGGGTCACTTGCTAATGGTACACGACTCGAGAATGCTTCGTGGAGGTCGTGGGTTAAGGCCAAGAACCAGCTCAAAACTGTCTCGCCCGAAACACTGAACTGGCTCAAGGACTGTGATGTGACTTGGCTTTATGGACCTTTACAACAGACTAAGGCCATCCCTATATCATTTGAAAAGAGCTCCCCTCCCCCCAGCCGACTGTCCCATTCATCGTCATTCGTCTCGAAAAAGCCGATTCTTAAGAAGAAATCTGCTTCGGCCGCCATTCTGGAACGATCACGGTCACAACACTCTTTACTGCAGAGAGCCAGTGACATTATCAGGGTTCAGCAATCGAGTCCTGCACATGGCCGCCCGATTCTCCGGCGAGGACATTCAGAATTCACACTACCTCAATATCCAAACAGCTCTGTCCTCACAACGCCTGCCGAGCATGAAACACCCGGCGGCTTCTTTTCCGCTGAACGTTCGTCGTTTACCTTGCCCGATGCCCCGACACCTTCGGAATGCAAACATGTTCTCTTTGATGAAGAAGTTCGTCAAGTCCAAGCCATTGACTCGGAAGACGACGACAAAGCCGAAGACGATGATGTGGGTATCGATACTGACGAAGATGACGATTTCGGTCTGATGATGGCTCCATCTCAACGCGGAGGTCATGTTAGTAATCGAGCGACACCCCGGGGCAGCTTTAGCAACGAGTCTAAGACGATCGTGCCACTACCATCTACGACACTTAAATACCGGCACGATACACCTGAGCCTCCGGAGGTGCCGAAAGGCAACTTTGGGTTGTGGAATAGCGGACACAGGCTGTCTCCTTCACCATCTCAAGCAACACTCCGGCCGTCGAGACCGAGTCAAAACTTCCTTCTTGATGATGATCCAGAAGTCAACGATGAACCTTGGCAACCTCAATCCTCATTAGGGGCCGGGCGGTCTCCTTACGATGACGAAGACGACCATGATAACCACCCTAACATGAGGAGAACCGAGTCCGGTATGTTTATGCCATATGACGAAAATGAAGAAGAAGCAGTCATGAACAGTACGCTGTTCGGTCAAGCAGTCTACGCTGTGAACACTTTCAAAGACATTGCCCACGTGGTGTGGAACGTGGGCTGGAATCGAAGATGACGGTAATGATGGTGGACGGTCACTTTTGCTGGTTTGTGTCTATTTCAAGCGAAGCATAGCGTAGGCGCTTTGGGCTTTGTACTCGCTGCAGAAAGCATGTCGCCTTTTGGTCATGACGCTACTGAAGGATGAAGCTCTACGCAGGATCTAGGACGACACTGTAAATATATTGGAGGCTATACAAGAGGCGGGTGATATGACTATCATCACAGGCTACACATAGACGGCGTCAATACAAGAGGCTGCATTGAACTTCAGCCATCGAACAGTACTCGCGATTTCCCGTTGTGCGCAGAAGATGCTGAACAGCCAACAGGCAGAGCAAACCATGGTGCACCCGCCTTCAACTTAGACGTGGTCATTGACAATTCCTTGGTTCAGGGACACGGCAAGGTCACGGCAAGAAGCTGGAGACCCCAGTTTCCCCCGAAAACGCACAGACACGCCAAAATCCCTTGTTTTCCGAATCGGGACCAGAACGGATCATATGACTGTGACTTTGACCGTTGAGTTTCACCAAAACATTCCTTCTGTACCTGCTGATCGCGTGAGTTTTCCCCTTACCTAGGGACATTCCGTACCTTTTTCTCTCGATGGAGTCGATTTGGCTCTTCTGGAATGCTTAACTTGCGAGTAGAACCCGGAGTGACGATACAGTTTCACCTTTTGCGGGGTGCATTTGGGGCGACACATCGTCAAGGACGTACCTCGTGATGTTACGATCCCAGCGATCGATCAAATCTGTACGTAAGGATCTTCAGGAGATTCCAAAACACATCGTCACACCGTTCGACGAAAGCATTGCAGTCAGAATTTTTCATAACGATGATGACATCTTTCTTTTTTCTTTGTTTCTACACAGTAGTGCTGGGTGCCCTGAAAGGAAGGTCGACTTCTAGGCGATGTCAACCCGTTGACTGGCAATGCAGCGTACGGACGGGATTGTTCAATGTCCAGCCTTCCACTGGAGGATCGGGCGATGGGTCGCCACACTTTGCCCACCGGGAAAATCCCCAGTTTGAGGTCTTGCGGCTTTGGATGTTCGAAGTGCTAGGAAACATATCCCCCGTCCAGCTAAGCCGTCCCCGACAATACGCCGCTTGAGAGTGCAATGTCTTTGCCTTGTTCACTTGCCGGAGTACGAGTAGAGGAGCACTGCAAGCAGATCGGCTGAAAGGCAGAATAATACTCGTACGAGGGGCAATGGATGTCTTCGATTCGCCATACTCAAAAACGAAACTTAGTCTTGCGTCGAAACGATCCCGCATCCAGGCGAATCTTCGGGCCCGGAAAAATTAGGAACGACAAGATGTGGCGCTCTTTCGTTCGGCTTTTTTGTGGCGTCGTACGATGAAGCCTTTTGTCGTCGCATAAGGTGGGATGCGTGGGACTGCAGGTGAGGTCGTTTACTGGTGCTTGATAACCAAGAGTTGTAGATCGTATCAATGGTTTGCATTTCGGACTGCCACAAACAGAATGATCCGTTCATGCACGTGTGGGAATTGATGGAGGAGTTATGGTGATAAGGCATGCGCACTGCAAGGGTTTGATATGCGTGATAATGCAGGCGTACAGTCGACCTTCGCGACTTGCCTTGCCTAACCTCACCTGCCTCACATGTGAAACCCACTGCTCAACTACATACTGTGAGGTTCGTTGTGCATTGCAACTCCCTAAGTATCCTATCGACATATGGGTGATGGTTTCGGGAGTCGGCATCGGTGGCGACAGCAGCCCCAGTCCTTGTTTGCAGCATTGATAACGTAGCCGAGTCTGCTTTGGGGTGCTGCAATCGACTGCGCAGTGCAATTCGCAGTTCCTCAGGTGCGGATTGACGGGCCGTGATCAAACCTCTGGATACTCTGATCATGGGGGTTTTTCGGAATGGCATACCTTGTTTCTCAACACCCGCTGAACGCCTGAATCTGTGCGTCAGAGCACGGGATGGATCCCCGTTATGTTTTGCGGAGTAATTGTGATGCAAGCAATGACCTGCAGGGGTATGAATAGGTGTTGAGATACAGGTCACTCCTTGTATGACCACCCAAGAGCTATGTTGAGATGAGCAGGGATACCTAGGTATTTGGTTAGAATCAACTGGGATGCTGATAAGAAGTGTCGTCTCGACTTGACATTGGGTATTGATGTTGCGGAGCATCGATCAATGCATTTAGACAGATAATAAATGCTATTTTGTCTGACTGAAGTCCGTATTGTATTCACTTGAACCGAGTTGTTTCACTGATGGTCTCTGTTGCTCTGCTCGTGGTTGATATAGCCTTGATCATGGGCAAGGTTTGTGCGATCCATGGCATTGAGAGCTGCACTGCGGCAGGACCCTGGGCTGCAAGCCTTGCACTCGATAAGTAGACCCCACATCAGTTCTTCATCTATGCTGGGCCTCCACAGGTGTTCGATTCATTCATTTACTAGACGAAGGCCACGAAAGAGAGAGAGTTGCAGGCTCCGGCGGTTCACAGAGATAGAGATGATTAAGCGCTCTCGGCCAACCTGCCTGTCACAGGTAACGCCGCCTGGCCACTGGCTCTCAGGTCGGGTTCACATTCGGGTCCTTCTTAATGTCCGAGAAGTCAATCATTCTACACATATCAACGAACCATCTGGCGTTCGGAGCCCACGGTCGACACAAAACACGATCCACCGTCCGAGATGATGGCGAGCGTCAAACAATAGCATTGATGTCTCATGCTATATAACAGTAGGCTCCATTGGTATTTCATTGACTTAGCTGTCTTCCATCACAAAATCTAGTGTCTATCTGAACAGAACTGTTGGAAACTCCCCACAGATACTGTACTTTCTGATCTAGTAATTTCATCTGCGCCCTGCAGTTCAACATGTGCGCCTACAAACCGAGAATCGCCCTTGTTGGTGGCGGTCCGGCCTCATTAACAGTCGGAAACCTCCTGCACAAGCACAACATCCCTTTCACAATCTTCGAACTCCGGCCCCAGCCTACCGAGGAAGACCTTGCGAAACCAGTCGGCATGCTCGACTTGCATGAAGAGTCCGGGCTTGCGGCTCTCGAAGCATGCGGTCTTTCAAAGGAATTTCACTCACATACGGGCGTCTGCAGCGAGTCGCAAATCATAGCTAACAAGGAGGGAGACGTCATCTACACGGACGACGGAGGAGTTGCGACTCGTCCGGAAATCTCGCGCAACTCGCTCACCAAGATTCTGCTCGATCGACTGCCCCCAGATTCAGTCAAATGGGAGCACAAGCTCATTTCAGCCAGTCGGATCACCTCCTCCTCGTCTGGGGACATGGAGATCGAGCTCGACTTCGACAAGCACGGCAAACACACCTTTGACTTTGTAATCGGCGCAGACGGTACCTGGTCCCGTGTGCGCAACCTGTTGACCGACACGAAACCCAGTTATGCCGGCTGGCAACTTATCACGGTGACCATCCGAGACGTTACGGTGAAATACCCGGAATTTGCACAGTATATCGGCACAGGATCCTTCATGTGCCTCGGCCAGAGACACGGGGTCTTATCGCAGCGCGGGCTGCAGGATTCGGCGCGGATATACGTCTGCCTAACAACGGCCGACGAGCACTTTGGTGACAAGCTGGGCCTCAACAACGGCACACCCGCCGAGGCTATAAATAAGCTACTAAACGACAACGCCCTTCTCGGACAATTTGGTCCCAAAGTCAAGGACTTGGTGCGGATCGCATGCGACGAAGAGACCAAGGACAACCCGGACGCCAAACTGGGTATTATGCCGTTGTACATGCTGCCCATTGACCACAGCTGGGAGCACAAGACGGGCGCGACGGTCATCGGCGATGCGGCTCATGTCATGTGCCCATGGGCCGCGGAAGGTGTAAACCTCGCCATGCACGACGCGCTGGATTTGTCCCAAGCTATCATCAAGGCGTCTGAGACTGTGCCAGAGGATGCCGCTTCGTTTCAAAGACGTCTAGATGTCCTGGTCGAGGAGTTCGAACGAGCTATGGCGGAGCGAGCGAAAGAGAAGGCTGAGGAGACGTATAACAATGGACAGGTCATGTTTAGTAGCGAGGATGGCGCCACAGCTATGGCTGAGTGGATGACAAGCATGATGGCTATGGTGATGGCGCAGCAAGCCGAAGCCGGGGAGGCGAACGTGAAGGTCATGCCTGAATGAAATTGTTGCATGGTGGGCATTTGCAGTTGCGGTGCTTGAGAACGAAGGTGTTGGTGCCTATCAGGGAAAATCACAAGATACCCCTACTATGTACTATAGATAGACCTCGAAGACAGAGTACTTTTTTGGAAAGAAAAATATGTGCCCAAGTTTCACTCGTGAGCATCTTTATACTGTCGTAGAGAACACAAGCACCGTTTGATGGTTGAATCCTCCGTAAGGTTAATATATGTCCCCAGGCGCTTAACATTGATGGCCGCGCACCGAGTGCAGCCCAACCCGCAGTTCGAGAAAAAATGCCAGATGGGGAAGTCACCAATACCTGGAATGGTAGTTATCGGTACCTTTTCATGACACGACAGTCCCGAGGTGACGGTCCCGGGCAACGGCCGTGACAGCGTTGGCACCGGTGCATTCCAGTCCCAGAACTTTGGTTACCGGGTTGATGCACCGCTGGCATTTCACGATCGACCGTTCCATACAACGTACAAAGTCGATCAAATACATAAGTGGACAGTCGACCTATCCCTCCATTCTCTCCCATCGGTGATGTTCCTGATAGACACGAAATCCAGGCCGCGTAATGCTGTCAGTGGCAGTGGATTGAGACCCATAGGTGCGAAATGATGGGCGCCGCGCGTTTTGTTGTGCTTATCTCGTCTTGCAATATAACCTGCGTCTGCACCTGAGTTTACTTTGGCATCCTTCCTACGCTCCTCAAGAAGATCCTGAACGATGTCGGTGCCCATCTGAATTGTACATTTGATCGAGCTCTACAGGAAGACAATATCTACCCAAGAAAGACAAACGCTGCCCTCCAGTCGTTCCCTGTCCCTAAAAACAGCGCCACGCTCGAAATCAATGGGAATATACTCATAACATGGTTGTCATCCTGTTGCGGCCGGATGCTTGAACACTCTCGAGAAAAAGTACAATCAGCCGTAACAGGACTGGAAAAATCAAGAGGTGACATATACACAGTTTGCTGAACCGTTTCGGGAAGATGTGAGGACTCGAGGTGCAGCCAGCCGGGTGCATGCACGTTACGGTGGAGCTGTACTCACAGCGCTTCGATGACAAGTCTTGGTGCGGTTTTGTTTGTTTAATTTCCCAAGATTTTACAGCAGCGCGATCATTGCAGCAGCGGCTGCTAGAAACGCTCCTTGCACTTTGAGTTCAGTCGCGCCGCTGTTAGTGTTCGGAGCAGACGTGGTTTGCGATGACGAAGCAGTGGCCGAAGAGGATGTGCTGGAATCGGACGACGTCGTGGTCGTCGCAGATGATTCCGTGCTACTACTGCTGTTCGAGGATGTGGTGGTAGCCGCTGAAGCAGAGCTGGTAGAGCCACTGGTTGTGGAGCCGCTGGAAGAAGTAGCAGAGGCACTGCTTGTGGCGCTGTCGGTCGTTGAAACGGTAGAGGCGGACGCTGTTGCGGTTCCGGTCGCGCCCTGAATACCAAAATTCGGGGAGAAGTTGATGTTGCTCGAGTCTGTATCATCGATGATTTCGATGGTGTACTCGTGCGAGTTTACTTCGTTACCGGAAGGTATTGAGAGTGTTGCGGTCTCATCGGAAGCAGAAAGGCCAGCTACGTGGGTCACTGTCAGTTTACTACTACTAGGTAAGTGAGGGCGGGTTCACGTACAAGCCAAGGTGATACCGCCGTCGGGGGTGATGGGATCCTGCTGTAATTTGATTGTGACGGTGCCACTCGATGGGTTCGTCCATTGAATTGTAAGGGATTGACCAGCAGTCACATCCAGAGTACTTTGACCCGAAGGAACACTGATGGCGTTGTTTTGTGCGGCGACAATGCCTGCGCACAGCGCAACGACCGCAGTTGCAAGGAAGCGCATCTCTAATTTGAATTGTGAGAAGGAGTTTGTATGTGGACGTGTGGTATGTGAGATGTGGTTGGTAATGAATGATGGTTATATCGCGCAGTTGATATAGTGACTACTTGGTATGGGTGCAGCCGTAACGATGATGATGTTATCTTCTGTAGTGGTGGTGGCGCAGGGCAAATATGGCAAAAGGAGGGTTTCGCAGTACGATGGTGTTGACGACGTCGAAAAATGGAAAGCGCGTTAGCCCGTTGTTCGCGACAACGAAACCTAGGTGCGGCGGGTTAGCGCCCCAAGACTAAACGAAATGAGGTCAAGCACCTAACAATTTCGGCACCACCCTTCGCATGGACTCTTTATTTATGGCGAGATTGAGGGTGCTTCGCTGATTTCTAGGCTGCCCTATTGGGTGTTTGTCAATATGGTTTCTGTTAACTTAGGGACTCAGGGCCCAGGTACCAAGGTGCACTGCAACCCATTCAAGATGGGCGCTGCTCCCCGCATCTGAGACCTGTTAGGGTTTGTCTTTGCTTTTTGTTCATGGCTCTGCTTCGACTCTTCAGCCGCACTCGACGAGTATTTGGACGGTCATAAACAGAAACAATTCACGGAGGCTGAGGATGGCGGTTGTTGGTGGCTTGCGTCAAAGCTGCACCTTGTTCAACATAGCTTCTTCATGTTCGGCTACTGAGGCAAACCTTTACTGTCACACCACTCGAGCAACTCGGGAGACTGAGAATAAAACATTCGCGGAGGATGGACTCCTCGTCTCGGATGGCCCTTCCCTATTTTGACTCTCGGCTTGCCGGCAATAGGCTGCAGCCATGTGTGTATGCTTGTTGATGCCCTATGAATGGTTTGTGAGCGAAGACGCCATTCTATCAGACGTTGAAACCCAACTGTGCACAACGGCAGCGTTGAAATGTGCGAGTTGCCCAGTGCAGGCTGCATGGCATACACGGGGTATCCTTCGACATGGAGGGAGTAAAGAGCAAGCACGTTTCGCCCAGGAGTTTGCCTTGGAAATAGCTAGGTTCTACGATTGCAAAACTGATGGCGTAGTGATGGTGGATGATTTTGTTTTTTCGAACAATGATCCCCAGTCCACATCGAATTGAATGAAGTAGACTGGTACGGTTCTAGGAATATACAAGAGCAGTAACAAGGACTGTTGATATGCTGGGACATAGATTTTCCCGAAGCGTTCCGCGCCCTGATCCGACAAGGGGCACGCATTATCATCTGTCCCACCTTGTGCCTCTTGAGAGACATGTCTGAAGCAGGACTGAAAATCACCCCCGGAGTCGAGGCCTTCTTCATGAAATCCGCAATCGTGACTCGAGCGTGTGAGAACACGTGCTGCATCATCTTCGTGAATGGAGGTGGGCCCAAAGAAGACAGGTTTCTGGGTCCGAGTCAGGTCGCTATGCCGCTGGTAGGGACGGTGAAAGGGAGTTTCACAGGGTGTGAAGAAGGCATGAGGATTGTAGAGGTCGATAAGAGTCTGCTCGATGTTGCAGAGGCGAATTATAAGGTCAGAGGGGATCTCGCAGGGCAGGACTTGCATTATGGGTACAGTCATGTGTGAAGCTTGTCGAGTGTTGTGTTGGGAACACTCAATCAAGTAGGTCTCCTCATAGACGGGACTATAAGGGCAAGATGCTTCCATGTTCCCAAAATCATGCACTCACCAACCCTCACAGTGACGTGCTTCGTGTTCTCCCGAAGCGAGTCAGGTCAGTCGGCCGGTGTTTTCTCGCCGGTCTGGAGGAGAGTGAAATCGCTGACCCCGGTGGAGAACAGTCGATGGTGGCTCGTCCGTCAAGGATGTACAATATGCTGTTTGGGGCAAGTCACTTGCCATTAATCAGGCCCAGTGGTATCGGGATTTCATTGCCGCTCTCACGGCGAAGACCAGGCCTGGAGTCGATGCTTCCTAGGGCCTTCTTCAAAATATCCTTTCAAGTAGCCGTCGGCCGGCTGACTCGCACAATTGGATGGGCGTCAAGTCGAACACTATGACAGCCTCTCGACGAGAAACGGTAGTCTTCGTCAAGCATGATCAGGCATCACGGTGCTGTCGAGTTCTGCTCACTCGTCCCCGTGGATACCGATCGTATACGGCGTTTTCTCGCACTTGTTTGTCAGTCTGCCGAATAGCATAGTCCTCCCGTAATGATCATCTCACATCAAGCATCTTGACATTTTTGCCCCTGTTCATATCATGTTCTTCACCCAAAGATCCGCGAGAGTATCCCTCCCCCTCCCGCACCACCACTCCCACCCTTTGCAAACGGATCCCCTTTCCTCATCCACTCATCAACCCACTCCGCCATCCTAACCGGATCACTCAACATCCTCGTATCAACAACCCGTTCCGTGACACGTTCTGCCCTCCGCCCTCCAAACCCAATGAGCGTAGGCATACTGGTCACGCCCCACTCAACCCCAAGATCCATCATGTTTCCATTGCTGTTGTCGGGGCTGTCCAGCTCGACCTCGGCGAACGCTAAGCCCGAGAACTTGTCTTCCGGCGCCACGGGACGCGTCTCCACCAGACTCGTCAACAATGGCGTGATGGTCCGACACGGTGCGCATGCAGACGTGGTGAAGAGCGCGAGTAATAACGTGTTGTTTGCCGAACATAAACGTAATGCGTCGTGGAATTGCGGCGGTGTGCGGAAGGGGTCGAGCACACGCTTCCTCTGTATGCCGAGAGACGGCGAGGAGGAGAAAGTTCGTTGAAGGCGTGTGGTCGCTTGGATGTCTCTAGCGAGTAGACGAAGTAGATGAGTTGATTGATTAGAGGGACTCATTGTGACAGCGAATAAGGGCTCGAAGAAGGAGTTTTGGGTAGTGAGAACAGAGGTAGAGTCACCGGTATCGAAACAAAACCAGAAGCCTTATTGATCTTCCTGGTACGAGGTCTCAGGCGTTGTTGGTTTGTAGCAAGATGTTCGTAAAGAAAAACACCATGACGTCACGCATACTCAGTATCCCCCAGCCTTGCTTAGCCTTCGCTGAGCACTACATCCACCACCATCGCTAAAAGCAGGAGATAAGTCAAAGGGAAATGTGTTCGTCTTTCAAGAAGTTCTCTACACCATTTTGAACTGTAAAGCATCTAAGAAGCCTGATCTTTATAGGGATCCTTGGGACTCCCACCTATTGGATCCCCATATACGCCATGCTATGCCATGCTCTTGCCTGAGGTTCAGCCAGATCATAAAAACAAGGGTATCACGACCCTCAGACTGACCAGTATCACAAACCCCCACAACACAAACACCCTGGAAATGTTCTCGTACATGACAAAAGAGGCCGCTTGCTCCCCATAAACGCTCAACATGCCAGCATGTCCAATCCAAAGTCCGTGAAGAAATGCAAACATCATGCACAAAACCACCAAGATGCCCACACCGGCTAGTCATAAAACAATACATGAAGAAGGTTGCTGCCTGTCAAATTCCACAAAAGTTAGTTGTTGGTCTTCTGTGATGCATTCATTCATTCCTTCCATCTGCCTGCAGCCATGGGCTCGTTTTGCCGCTGTTGATTGGTGATTGTGAGTTTGTCTTAAGGTGACTCTTCTGATGTAGTGTCATGTTCTTCGTGGGACCTGGTTGCTGCCTGGTGTTCCGCTTCGAACTCACTTCAGGCATACGATGTCAGGCGACATGACCCTCCAATGCCTAAAAAGAAAGGAAAGGGGAAAGAAAAGGTAAACTTACTGCCTTGCTCGCTCTAATCTCAGCACCCATTGCGCGGTAATCTTCAGTCGCTCTCTCACACTCGTTGCTGGTAATAAAAGGTATTTTTCGGCCTCGGATATAGGTAGGACACTGGCAAGCCAGTAAGGGAATACTGCCGGGTCGGAAGGAGGTTGGCCGTAGACAGCCAGCGCTCGCTGGTGAACCCACCGAGCCGACTGCAAACGTGCTCGCTCCACAAACTCGATAGCCATCTCCAGCAAGCGTTGTGTCGGCATATGTTGAATCTGTGTCGCTTCATCGGCGTCCTCCGGTACAGTTATGGCTGTTTCTTGGGCCTCGATGATTTCTTCTTCGTGTACAGGGATGTCATCGACGCGTTGTACCCGACCGACGATGTACCCATCAAGCATCCTGGTCTCGACCACTCGAAATCGATGTAGTCCTCGTGTCTCAATGATACTGCGACCGTCGGGAAGCAGTTCGATGCGCTCAATGAACAACACCGTACCATAGGGCATGAAATGAGGTTCTCCTTGTGGAGTCCCGTATGGTCTGTACATCACGATGCCAAACTTGCGTGACCCACTCTCCATAGCCCTTCGTATCATAAGTCGATATCGTGGTTCGAAGATATGCAGAAAGGTGGGCATCTGAGGATACGCCAATGTGCAGGGGAACAAAGGTAATTGTGACACTTCGTCGACCATGTCCTCCTGTGCATCAACCGTTAATCGTGCCGTCAGTAAGTCGGTTAATAGGTGCTGAGTTAGGAAGGTGATTCTTTTGTTGCTAGGTTCTCCCACCACGCTCGGTAATAATGCAAGCCTGCGACGGCACATTGGACAAAGATTTGTGTGGTCCATTGCACGGGCAAAGCATTTCCGACAGAATGTGTGGCCGCAAGATGTTGTCAGAGGATCGAGCATGATTTGGTAACATACTTGACACTCTGTCTCGCCTTGGACCATCTCTCTTAGCACTCCCAAGGTTGCCAGATCCAATTCTCGAGTCGACCCTTCGGTGCCCGGGTCTACTGGTGAATAAGCAACGTCGGAGGAGTAGTGTAACTCCCCCATTTCGGCGAGGGTGTATGTCGAGACGATGCGTCCGCCGTGAAGAACACGTGACCTGGGCATGACGTCCATATTCCTCGCGGCCAGGCTGGGCCAGTCGAGCTGTTCTTCCAACAACAGCGGCATTTCTGAAGATTCAGCTTTGCTGTTGTCCATGTATGTTTTGAGAACATCCATGATTTTGTTCAGTGTCACATCTGTTCCACAATCTGCCACCGAGTGTTCCAACTCACATCCCTTGAAAGGGCACAGGAACCCCTCCGAGCGCCCCTCCATAAGAGGGTATGTAATGTTTTCGCGCTTGTACAGCGGCGGTAAGCAATTCTGGCACAAGGAGTTGCCACATGGTAGTGTGGTAGGGTCTCTTAAAGGGTAGGAGCACTGAGAACACTGGAACAGTTTGACAATTGCTCGGGCACCATCCCAGGCGTCGAATGCGCCGCCATTCGTCCGCGTCGGTGATCCATCACCACTCATCTGCGCAGTTGACGGAGCCCCGACGTCTCCTGCCTGTCGTGAGGATCCTGTGAGGTCCTCCTCTTTCGTGTGCTTAGAAAGACCACTAAGGGTTTCGGATGCACCGTATCCATATATAGGATGGTTGCATTTATTCCTGTTCCGCTCTCTTACCATCACCTCATCAAGCCTCGGTGATGTAGATTCTGCTCAAGCACTCTTTAATGACTTCTCCAGCACCATCCAATATCCTGCGGGCGACGTAAGAGATATGGTGCAAATGTAATCTTCTGTAACGCTCAAGCGCAGCGTACTGTTATGATCTGACCGGGCATAGAGCGGAGGAAGGGGCTTTAAAAGACGTGAGGGGTGCGTAGAATGAACGGCGTGAGGTGAGAGAGAACAATTTCAGGCAAGCAGTAAGAAGAAAAAAGGATATTGCGAGGCTTTGAATCAACGATGCATTAGTCTCTTCATGAGATCAACGACGAGTAGACTTTGTGGGAGCAATCAGATAAGTCCAAGCGCATGGGAGGCCACCCCCAAAAGGCTTATGATGATCCGCACCTTCATCAGGAACAGCACCGGCATGGCCGCTGGACACCAGAGCGCTGGGGCAGGGATTGAGTGGAAAGCAGTAAAGGCCGTAACCAACGACGGGGGCCGTAGTGGGCACTCGAGGCATGCACTATGGCGGTTGGAGGGTGTTTTGCCACGGTCGAGGGTTTTCGATGGTAGTGCGATGTCGTGGAAGATCGAGATCTCGAAAGAGTGATGTGATCGAAGAATGAAGGTGAGTGGCCCCAGTGAGAAGCAGGGATCAATCAAGGCCCTGAGCACCAACGAAATAGCGGCTAGAGGGGTAACAAACAGTCTAAAGACAATGCTTGGGGGAACATGAGGAGAAGAAAAGCGATGGAGGGGCGCTAACTTACCGGTATTGTGTTAGGGGCCGCTGGTTTCTCGCTGATGGCCACCGGCTAGAGGCGTCATCAGTCCCTTGTATTTAGTACGAGTCATAGAGACGTCAATCATTTCGAGCTTCCAATAATCACCGTCCAGGCTGTTACCCATCTCAGTCCTTTCACGTGAACCTTTAATCCGGTTCTAAAAGCTCCTGTTGGTTGCAGAGTCCGCACTTGTACACGACTGTACAAGTCATAGCACCAGGAGCCTGGACCCAAACCAGAGATACCGGTACCGCACACTGGGCATGAGGCCGTGAGTCTCGCCCAATCCGGGTTCTCATCTCGCCGTTTTGGTATCTTTTATGACCTCAATGACCTGTCCATTTGTCGAATTGGGCATGCGAACGCCACATGACTCGTGGAGCCAAGCAGCTTGAGGCGCTTGGGGCTGTATCCATCAAGTGCTTCTAGAAGCCTGCCATCGGAAGCATAGATCATCAGCCAGCCCTTCCTTCTTTTCGTCTTGCTCCCTCAGATCTATCATGAATGATCTCGATGAACCGTTCGGAAAAAGATTCAGTACCCACCATCATGCTCCGCTTGCCACGTTTTCATGATCATGTCCAGTTTTGCACCTCGCTTGACCCACCGACAGAACGCCGTCGTGAAAAACCTTCGGTCCAAACCCAAGAATATAACGCATGTATACGGGGATCTCATCCGACGTTTAGGTTGACAACGGCATCTAACCAGTATCAGACCCACTGTCTTCTCCCTCCATCTCCTCATCGAAAATGATTCGTCGCATCAGACCCTTGTTGAAGAGGTTCAAGATGAAATGCAACGCTTGCAGCCGATAGTGGTGGCTTCGCAGAATCACTAATGTCTTCCGGAACATCTCGGTCGTGGCGAAGTGGGCAGGGTGTTTTGCTTTGATAGAGTGAAGCTCGGTCGCCGCCTTCTTGTACATGACAGAGTTTCCCATCTCGACTATGTGCTTGAGTATTTTGGCTCGGGTCGGGTTCTCGTCTGTAACTGCTGACTTGTACTCCGCGTCCTCTTCGGCTGTCGGACTCTGTGTTACTTCATTGGATGCAATCGGTTTCTGGTAGTGGATTAGCATTCAGAACGTGGCATGATATGGAAGTCAAACTTACCAGACATAGAACCTCGAGGTTCCGGGGCATGCACAGACCAAGGGAGCATCCTCGAGGATCCACTGCAGTATCCCAGCCGTTCTCAGCAAGCATCTCAAACCCATGTAACGTCCTCGAGATTAGGCCAAGGACGAAGCATGCCGTGCCACGCATAGACAGCACTTCCGCACCTTCTGCTATCCGGACAATTGATGCGACCACATCGGCTTCTTCCAGAAACGGGGCGCCAAGATCCATAGAACCAATATTCCCAATGGCCCACATGCATGCTTTGACCTTGGTCAATGTCTCGGTATCTTCCTCGTCGAGCCGGACATCTCGGATCGTAGAGGCGAACTCGTAGAAGTGGCCTGATTGTCTCAGAAGCTTGCAACCCTCCTGGGTACGCGCAAGTTCCCGGTAAAAGTGTGGTGGTGCAATGCCTGGGTCATGGGAGTCGACAGCAGGGTCATCTGCGAAATGGATCTTGTTGATGCTACTGTCCATGTATGCACGCAGTATAGAGGCTTCCACCAGGCCCACGTATGCATCGTTGCGGCCCAGAAACCAATCGTCCATTTCTTGGGTGATATAGTCGAGACCACTCAGGTATTGATAGCCAACAGAAGTGGCCAGAAATCGTAGTAGAAGAGGGGCCCCAATTTCACCTAGATGGTCCAGCGAAGGACGGCATTTGACCACATACTCAAGATGGCTGCGTTGATTGCAGGCTTCTTCGAGAATCTTGACTGCAATCTCGCACACCTCAATGTCCGGATCGTACAGTTGGGTCAACACCAGCCGAAGGGCCCAATGAGAGCTGGCCCGATCTTGCATGCCGGAGGAATAGTGAACTCTTCCCACCGCATACCTTCGAAGCAGTCTCGTAGCGAAGATCCGGATTTCTTTGACCCCTGATGTCAATGCCTTAGAGAGTATGACTCGAAGATGTGTGTCTAGAGTGTAGTCCATGTTTCCCAGAAGCGCTTTTATGAGGTCTTCTCGGTCCTTGAGTTCGATCAGATGGTAGAACATGTCCATCATATGCCAGCGCTCCATTAACCGCACGCCTTCAACAGACTGACTCAGTGCTCCAAGTATGGCAAAGTAACCTCCGCTAAGTGTTTCGCTCATTTGACGACGATCAAACAGCGGTGTTGCAGACGTAATACCGCTATGCGGGTCAACTTGAGCAAGGCATTCTCCAATCTGCGCGAGAAGCTTATTCTCAGCGAGGTATTCTAAACCCACGGATGTTTGAGTCAACGTCTTGAGCAGAGCACAGCCGGTCCGAACGTAGCGTTGATTAGGCCTCGTGTTCCGAATGATCGAGAACCTGTATTTGAATGGACGGTAGAAGCCCACAAGGCGCTTCAAGAATTTGGGGGACCTAATGGCGTCTTCCAGGCGTCTGGGGTTGGTCAGGGGGCCTTCCACCAGCCCATGGATCAGTTCCCACTTCCATTTGATGTATTGTGAGTGATTCGGAATTTGACTATCGATCATTGCTTGCCGGAAGGAGTCAGCGTCCATCGAAGCAGTATACTTCATCCTCTCAGCGGCCTGTGGGCTAACGGCCAGCTCATCATCCCGGACAAGTCGGCCATATTGGGAAGCAGCAGTCTTGTTGAGCGTGCGATTGATGCTTTCGATCTGATATATCATGCCCAAATTCGTAGACGAAGCCTCAGAGCCATAATCCGTAAGAGAGGGCACTAACTCGCCCAAGACTTGTACATTCGCGCTGATAGCTTCAGGCAGGGCATGATGCGCCATTTTTAGAACTTCGGTCAGGAGGAGTGCAGCTTTCCTCTTGAGCATGAGATCTTCTTCGGCCCTGATGAGCTCAACAAGGGCGGGAACCAGACCAGCCTTTACCAACGCGGCTAGGACGAATGCTGAGAAGTGATAGGTCAGGTCGAATCTGCCCTCGGAGTCGTACTCCATTGGTGGTCTTGGCAATGACTGCTGCGTCGGCATCGCGTTGACTCTTCCATAGGTGGTGAGTCTTCTGCCCGCCAGGAAGGAGCTTGACCAGGAAGGTGGTTTGATACGGAGAATGTCAAAGAACAATTCCAAGACGGTATCGCGTGATTGAGTGATCGGGTAAACCAGAGAATCAATCAGTGAGCGAAGGGGTGCTGCGCCATTCCTCGATAGAAGCAGAAACCCTGGCCACGTCTTGAGCATTGCAGAAATGGCTTGAGCACATGTTTTTAGTTTGTCCTCATTGCCACTCAACAGCAGCGGGTCCGTGAAAGGTGCGAACATTGCCTCAAACTCTCTTCCGGTGTGAAGATATCTTCGTTGCAGTGGGTGATCGAGGATCTGGAGAAAGGCGGCAACCAAGCCCTCCGGAGCAGGAAACGAGCCATCGGCCAAGGCTTCGGTCAGTGTGCTCATACCATTAGCAGACACCACCAAGTCGGTGTGCTTCGTCAGCAACTCTGCCAGGGTCAACAAGCAAATGTCCTTCAATCGGTCATCCGGGGTCTCGGCAACAGCTACCAGACTTCGAACGACGGCGCGCGAGATTTCGTAGACACCGTCTTTGACATCAAGGAAGGCTCGCACAAATTTGACAGCTTGTTCCCTTTCCAAAACCGCGTTCGCTTTCTTCACTAATGACAGTATGACCAGCTCGTCCGTGTGCAACTTTCGAATTGTCTGTAATGATTTGCGGTCTGCGATGGCGTGCCGGGTAAGCCTGTACCCGGCGGCAACAACATCAGGGCTTTCGCTGAGCAGCATCATTTGGACCCGGAGGCTGAAAACTGACCAAGCCAAATCGTACTTCAGGGTGGCGTTTCGCTTGAGGAGGTCAACCAGCTTGTTTGCTCGCTCGATATAATAGTCCGGAGGCAACCCATCGGCTTCCAGTTGCTGCAGAGTCTCGGTCAATACCAGCGTAGGCGACTCGCTATCGATGGACTCAGTCAAATCATTCTCTGGGGCTTCCGCTGGTGTCCTTAGGGGGCTGCTGCGGAAGTAGCTAGTCATCCTGTTGTTGGGAGGTGTCGTCGGTGACTGAGAGCGTATAATCTCCTGATCGAGTTCTTGTTTCAACTCGGCAAGTTTCCTGTTTGATGAGCCTAACTCCATCTCAACTTTCTGCCGCTGTTCCTTCGTTTGCTTATTGTTTTTGCTCAAAAGCGCTTCCAACATATTCTCCGTCCCCAATTTGATCTTCAATTCCTTGGCTATCCTGTCGCGGACCGCAGCCTGCCGTTGTTCGGAGGTTGTGAGAGTATCCCCATCTTTATATTGGGATTGCAGGCGCGAAAGCTTCGGCACGTTCATGAGGTCAGCCTGCGGCGTCGTCCTCCCTGCCTGCAAAGCACTTCGGAGGTCTGTACTGAAGGAGCCCGGTGGACCTGCAATTGTCAGTGTATGTACGGAAGTCTGCTGCGGATATTCAGTACCTCCACCGGATAGTGAGCGGCCATCTTTGACTGTCGGTCGCTGGTAAGCGGTGATATCGTCACTTTTTCTAGAAACATGTCTGAACATGAAAGGCTTTCCTTGGGTAGGCGTCACCGAGTAGCCCGACCCTTGATCTGATGAGGCCATCCGTGGGCCATGGAGTGTACGACTCTCCTCTTGGAGTGTCTCGTACTGGAGCAGATGCGCAGTCTACGATCATGAGGTGAGGTCGGCTCTGTCGGAGTGTGGTCTCAAGCCTTCATTCAGGCGAGAAGATGGATTTGATGACTACTGAGGTGCGCGGAATATGCGTATTGTTCATTTGAGCCGCCTGTGGTTTGAGTTCGATGGTGTACTTAGAGCCGGAAATGGACCAGGAAATAACAGGGACACAGCTGAGTAACGACTGGATTGCCGTGATACGTTCGCTTCGGTTGCTGAGTCACTGAGGATGAAGGTGCAGAACCTGTGGTGTTGGTCATAAGAAGACAGTGATAGAGTGCTCGTCGTGAGTGATAATTCAAGAATCGTCTGTAACAGTGACTTTCAGGAGTGTTGTGGTACCGAAGTCGGGGTCAAAGATTCGCGAACCCGGGATCGACTTTAGGCGTCTGTCGAATCCATTCGACCCCCGCATCAGGGCAGCCTCTCTAACACGTGGGTGTACCTACATTCTGCGGTTGCTTGACCTACCGGGATATTCTATGCTCTTGCACCTCGAAAGCGATACTTTGGCAGTTCCTCACCAACACTCAAAGTCATCTGCACAGTTCCAGCCATCATATATTTGCAGCCTCTTTGAAAATTGAGGAACAATGCAAACCGTGGGGGCATTCAGCAGGGTTAAGCATCTTCAGCCGAGCAGCCACACCCCCAGCCTTATCGACAGCTGCAAGGCCATTGACATCATCGGTGCCGGTCATCTAATTTGTTAGGGCAATTTCAATCGAGGATTGAAAGGACCGTTATTTCTCTTCGACGTACTTTCCTCCGCCTACAAATGTGTTATGAGCAACATTTCTGAGGAAGTCTTCATGAACAAGTACGAGTATTCACATTTCTCTACTTTTCATCGTACAAAATGGCCCTCAGGTGATGCTCTGGAGCAGGCTGAAGCTCCAGAACGATGGAGCAAAAGGCCTTCGGCGAGCTCCGTCATACCAATGCGTGTACGACCGCGCAGCTCCCAGTGCGCAGATTGCACGATGAGCCAATCGCCTTCGAAAGACACATCTGAATATGGTTGTAGACAGGGTCTTGATCAGCACTTTTACCAGATCTTGCAGCTGTTGTGTCAGTGCAATTGGCGAAAGCCGCTGCTTGAAATTTCCTTTCCACGGCGTGCCCCTCTGATAAGGAACCTTGATTCATTATATAGTCCTTGCGCAAGCCCTCGTCGCAATCTATTGTCACAGATCATTCAATCCAGCAACATCAGCCTACCTGCAAGACATAGTACAAGCCGTCGCTTTACCATACCCTCTATAACAGCCTCTTAACACTCAACAACAAGTAAAATGGGCTACCTCTCAGCAGCACGCTATGGCAAGGACAACATCCGCGTCTACAAGGTGGAAAAGGATGAAGCTACCAAGACACACACTGTCTATGAGATGACAGTCTGCGTCCTGCTTGAAGGAGAGATTGATGTATCGTAAGTCACTCTTCCACCTTCGCAAGCATGTTTACTCCTAACATTCAACCAGATACACGGCAGCAGACAACAGTGTTGTGGTTGCAACCGACACTATGAAGAACACCACCTACATCACGGCCAAGCAGAACCCAGTCCACCCTCCTGAGCGATTTGCTGCCATTCTGGGATCCCACTTCGTCAACAAGTACCAGCATATCCACTCCGCGCACATCAGCGTTGTTCAGCACAGATGGACCCGAATGCTCGTTGACGGAAAGCCTCACCCGCATTCCTTCTTCCGCGATAGCAATGAAAAGAGAGTGGTGCAAGCAGACATCTACGAAGGAAAGGGCATCGAGATCCGATCCGGTATCTCGGACCTTCTCGTGCTGAAGAGCACTGGCTCTGAGTTCCACCACTTCGTGCGCGACGACTTCACCACTCTTCCAGATGTTTACGACCGCATCTTGAGCACATCAGTGGATGCCGGCTGGAAGTGGTCGTTCCCCAGCCTTGACGCTGTCAAGAAGGAGACTGAGAGATTCGATGCCACATGGACCAAGGCTAGGGAGGTCACTTTCCGCCTTTTCGCAACAGAATCCAGCCCCAGTGTGCAAAACACCATGTACAAGATGTGTCAAGAGATTCTCGCAGCTCAGCCTTTGGTCAATGCTGTCGACTATTCGCTACCAAACAAGCACTATTTCGAGATTGACTTGAGCTGGCATCATGGACTGAAGAACACCGGCAAGGATGCCGAGGTCTATGCACCACAATCCGACCCCAACGGTCTGATCAAATGCACCGTCTCTCGTGACAACACCAAATCCAAACTATGAGGCGCACGCCGTGTGGGCCTCATTTCATGAATAACGCATATATGGGAGTTTTTGGCTGAAACTGGTCCATGTACATGTCTGTTTAGACAATTGTAGATAATACCAAAATGATACTCATACATCCGCCTTTCCCATTTATTTCGCTCCAACGCCAGACATGTGGGGATAAAGAAGATTGATCATAATTGACTCTGTTGACTCGATTCCGGTTTTGCCGCTTGAATTGCCTCCATAACACGCCCTTGGGTATATGGCTTTCCGGCGAACTGGACAATATTTTGCTTGTAGGGATGGGCGGTACCTTCGAAAACTTTTAACCGTGCCAGTCTCTTATCCCTCAGTCTGTTTTTCGGCAACATTCCTCTCACAGCTTTCTTCAAGACTTCTCCTCCGCCCCATTTCGCAATCATGCTCTCCATGCTCATCTGCTTCAGGCTTCCAGGCCGCGTGTTGTGCGTATAATACTGTTTCTGTTCTCGTTTCTTCCCGGTGACGTGCAAATCGTGGCAACCGACTGCGACAACGTAGTCTCCGCAATCTGTTGAAGGATTCCATATCGGCTTCTGCTTGCCCATCAAAAAGACCGCTATAGACGATGCGAGTCTTCCAAGAGAGCGACTGTCGCTGCCGACATCAACGTAGTGCCATGTCCGAGAGTAGGCAAGGCGAGTCTGCCATGGTCATTAGATTTACTGAGGCTTTGTCGGCGGTTGTCAAACATACCTTGCCCACAGTTTGCGACATGGCGACTCAGGGCTATCTTCGCATGGGCGACTGCGGCCACTTTCTGTCTCCCGCTCGCTGGGTGCACCTTGCGCTGGATGATTGGCGTTGTAGAGTAGATGAATGGCTCGAGGAGAGAATCTGGTGTTCGAAGGACTGCGACTTCCGCGATTGAGCTCCGGAAAGTAAAAGTGGGTCCTCCAGTACACCTTTGGGATTAGTTCACTTCGTTCTTGCCAAGCCCGCACTTTTCGCAGTCAGTTCTTTCCCACACCAACGACTTGCGATTGCACAGTAGACGACTTTCAGCAACGATACAACTGCATCCGACTCTGTCAACAGCCGCCCATCCATCATGTCGGCTCCTCAGAGTGTGCAGTGCTTCGGCAAGAAGAAGACGGCAACCGCTGTCGCCCATTGCAAGGTACGAATTGAAGGGGAAATCAATTGTTAGGAAGAGACACTGATGAGTCTGTGTAGAAGGGAAAAGGCCTTATCAAGGTCAACGGCCGACCTCTCTCCCTCGTTCAACCTGAGATTCTCCGATTCAAGGTACGCTCCGATACGCACAATGGGCAATGCAGCAGTGATGGACAAGTTCTTACATGTTTTGCGCGATTTAGGTCTACGAGCCTCTTTTGATCGTTGGACTCGACAAGTTCTCTGAGGTCGACATCCGTGTCCGAGTTACCGGTGGTGGTCACACTTCTCAAATCTACGCCATTCGACAGGCCATTTCCAAGTCAATTGTCGCTTACTACCAGAAATATGTCGATGAATACACCAAGAACCAACTGAAGCAAGCCCTTGTACAATACGACCGCACACTCCTCGTTGCCGACAACAGACGATGCGAGCCCAAGAAGTTCGGTGGTCCAGGTGCCAGAGCCAGATACCAAAAGTCTTACCGTTAAAAGATACGGCGATGGTTGTGGTTGGTATGGGTTGTGTGTGGTGGATCGCATATGGTTCTTGCGGCAGGTTAGATCAGAACGATGCCTGAAGGATATCGATGGTCAGCCTCGCCGAGATTATGCAGCATGGAAATGGAGCGTTCCTGGTCTCCAATGATGGTATTTGGGACCTTGCAGGATCGAATCGGCGCCAATTGCTCGAGATGCAGTACATCTCAAGAGTCTGCTTGAAAAGCGAAGGAATACAATTCATGTTCAAAACACGAGATTCTTCTACATGCTACGGCGAAGCCTTTCGAAGCACACCTACCACGATTGCCTTGTTGACGGGGATCCATTGCTCGTTCAGGTGTCTACGATGAGAGGCGCATATTCCCCTTTTTCTTCGTCCTCATCGACTCCTTGCATACTGACTTCGATCCGTTCGCCGTCCTCCAACTCCAGCATTCCCCGTCGCAGTGTGTCTCGTTCGCTTTGCCAGCCATATTTCTCTTCGAAGAACTTTTGCAGAGCTTCAATCTCAGCTTTCAGGGCTTGCCCTCCGCTTGTATCTTCTGTGAACGTTTCATCGACCAAAGCCCTGAACTTGCCCCATACTGATCGCAACCACGAACTCGCACTTTCATCCCTCATTTCGAACAGTCCTCCATCGACATCTTCGATATGCCTCGCCTGCATCCTCAGCACCTTCACCGCCTCGACAAAGTAGGCCTCTATTTCGATCAAAGCTGTTCGGCACGTGAACATCACCGTGAGCAGCCTCTTCCACTGCTCTAAGCAACTGTAGTTCGCCAGCGTAAGAACCATAAGGAAACAGAATTGTAACTCCCCAAGCACCTGCTTCGCTCCCACCGTCCGGTCTGCGCCAGATGGAGTGACATTGTCGACCAGTTGCTCCAGATACCAACTGCGGTCCCTTGCTCTATCCGTCCTCGTGCGCCCAATGTCTCCTTCCGACCATGTTTGCTTCAGATTGATCGGCAGCAGATCTAGCGGTGACTGGCGCAGCGCATTGTCGGTTTCCAGATGCGACAAGCCGGGTATATGCTCTGTATCGGCTGGAGCCGTGGATATTGACGATATGATCCATGCTGGGGAGAGCAGTCGTGTGAGTAGCGAGGACGTCAGATGGGACGTGAGTGAGGGCCAATCTGTGCTTTCGGCGCGGTGGTCATCATGCTGTTGCGAGGTCGGATCGTCTTGCTCAGACTGCTGCTGCGAGGACAGATCAGATGTTGCGTCTTGTAGGGCAGTGTAATCGACAAGGCCCCGCCGCGAGACTGAGCGGATCGCACTCTGCGCAGTCTGGCTGTCGGGCTCGAGCAGGTCGAGGTTCTCGGTCGCACTGTTCCATTGCAGAACAAGACACTGCCTTCTTACATTCAGCCACCGGCCGTGCCGGATCGAGAGCGATGCATCGGTGCCTGTGTACAGGAAGTGCAGGCCAACGGGAATATTCGTGATGCCCTGAAAATTGGGCGACGAGTTGAACGACAACAGGTCTAAACCAATGAAAGTCTTGGGCGGCAACGAGAGAAGTAGGACAGTTGGGTTCTCAAGTTGGGATGCCATTAGAAGTTTGGGCGAGGTTGCGATGCAGGTTGGGACCAAAAAACAGATTTACGAGGAGAAATACATGAACTTTCGTAGTTTATTCCACGCCGGCTACATCATACTGCTTCATCATAGGCAGCAGCGCGTAACTGCGGTATTTTGAAGACCAGGCAAAAGGAGATGCCGTTCTTCGCGTATTTGTGACCACCACGACCATGAGATCCCATTTTTGTTTGTTTCGAGCACTCCGCAGAGGCTCGCCATGACATTCCAAGGCTGGAAAAAGTTTGACCCGGAGAAAGATTCCACTGCGAATCGCTCAGAGACGACGACCACGACGACCACCCTTGCGTCTCGTGCTGTCGGAAGGTGTAGGAGTGACATCCTCGATTCTGCCAATCTTCATGCCTGAACGGGCCAGGGCACGCAGAGCGGACTGGGCACCTGGACCGGGAGTCTTGGTGCCGTTTCCTCCAGTGGCTCGGATCTTGATGTGGAGGGCGTTGATGCCGAGTTCCTTGCATCGCACAGCGACGTCCTGGGCTGCCAACATGGCGGCGTAGGGAGAGGACTCGTCACGGTCGGCCTTGACTTTCATACCACCAGTCACACGGCAGATGGTTTCGCGGCCACTGGAATCACCCATGTTAGCCTGACCAATTTTTTCTTCCTTGCGCCATTATGGCGGTGTTCTTGAACTTACGAGAGATCGGTGACATGGACGAAGGTGTCGTTGAAGGATGCGAAGATACGTGCAACGCCGAAGACGAGTTCGCCTGGAGAATCAATTAGCATTTTCGTCCGGCCGCACAACATGCTTTTCTCGATTTACCTTCGCGGACCTGAGGGCCCAGAGAGACGTTCTCGGTGGCGGGACGGTCGACCTTCTTCTTGGGAGCCATTTTGATAATTTGGCGACTGGAAGTCAAGTGTGGTGTTGAGGGATTGTCGTTTGGGTCGTGCAGAAGGAGATAATTTGGGCCGCTTCATCAAAAGTCGAAATATCGCAGTGTGCAGAAAATGAACTAAACCTAATTTGGTTTGCAAATCTTGGCACCTCGCTACAAAGTTTCGTTTTTCATCTGCTCGACCTCTCGTCTTCTTTCGTGTCCATTTATTGATTGCTCAGAGCTGGTTACGACAAACCTTGATGCCTGGTGCTGGTCAAGGCATGCTCCAGATTCGTCTTTGAGCCTTGGAGACTGGAATTCTCGAGCTTCCCAATGAGCTTGTCGCGTTACGCGTGACTCTCAGCCGCCATGGAAGATGTTGCGGTAGGAATTATTGGTATGGGTGATATGGGGCGGATGTATGCGAGGAGGTTTTGTCAGGCTGGATGGAGGTAGGACACCGTCCAGTTCACTCCTGGAGTAGAAGCAGCTGGTAAAAGGCCGCTGAAACTCTCATGGTACGTTCCTCTTTACTCTTCCCTTCCCGTTGTTCTTTCAGGATGACTCTGAGTGCATTTGGCTCGAGCATGGTCACTCATGGTACTGCATCATCATTCTGGTGTTGCGTTCTATCATGACGGCCGTCACTGATGTTAAAACCTCGCTACCTTATTTTTATTTGTCTGAAGATTTTCCAATCACGATTTTACCTTTCCCATTTCACTCTGGCGAAGGGTTTGGACTGACAATTGTCGTATAGATTTGCTTGCGTTGAAAGCGACTTTACATAGTACATGGACTGATAGGGTGTCATGCAGAGTCAATGCTTGCGACCGACCAGACAAATTTCAGACACTCCAAAAGGAGTTCGAAAATGAGGTTTGTGTCGTCCGCAAGTATGATGAACATGGTTGACCGAGATTAGACTGGAATAAATATCTTGCCCAATGGACATCTCGTTTCCCGAGCCAGCCACTGGATCATATACAGCGTCGAGGCCGAGATCATCGACAAGGTGGTCGCCGAGTATGGCCCATCCACCAAGGTTGGTGCCATAGTCGGTGGTCAGACATCGTGTAAAGCTCCCGAATTGGCCGCCTTTGAGAAGTATCTGCCTAGCGATGTTGAAATTGTGTCTTGCCATTCTCTCCACGGACCTGCTGTAGATCCTACAGGTCAGCCACTTGTCGTCATCCAACATCGAGCCTCACAGGAGAGTGTCGATCTGTGTGTCCGCATCCTCTCTTGTCTCAAGTCAAAGATGGTTTTCCTTACCGGAGAGAAGCACGACCGGATCACGGCGGATACCCAGGCCGTTACCCATGCCGCATTCTTGAGCATGGGAACTGCATGGGCAGCGAACCAACAATTCCCATGGGAAATTGACCGGTACGTGGGTGGCATAGAGAATGTGAAAATCAACATCACCCTGCGCATCTACGCCAACAAATGGCATGTCTATGCTGGTCTCGCCATCCTCAATCCTGCAGCCAAGGAGCAGATTCGACAATATGCTCAATCGGTCACGGAGTTATACAAACTTATGCTTGGTGGTCATCGTGAGGAGCTTACCAAGAGAATCAAGACCGCCGGTGCCGCAGTCTTCACTTCGGATGCCACCGACCAAGACCTTCTACTCGGGGATGAAGTGCTGGATAAATTCTCCTTGTCAAGACTGCCAAAGGAGAGAACGCCCAACAATCACCTCAGCCTATTGGCTATTGTTGACTGCTGGTGGAAGCTCGGGATTGTACCCTACGACCATATGATTTGCTCCACACCTGTAAGTGGCAGGATCCTATGCTGCGTCGTTTCTATTTCTGACTTCGTCGCAGCTTTTCCGCATATGGCTGGGCGTCACCGAATATCTTTTTCGACATGAGACCTTACTTGATGAAGTCATCAACACGGCGATAGAAGATCATAGCTTCCGGTCGGATGATCTCGAATTCACCTTTGCCGCCAGGGTAAGTCGACTGCTGCGTTGCTTTATGTCCTGCAGAGAGCGTCCCCACTTTGTAGGATTCGATATTTGAACTAGCCGCGTCCACACTGCACGATTGAAGCTGCATTTCAGTGGGAGAGTGGTTGAGCATGCTAACATCATGGAATAGGCATGGTCCGAATGTGTATCATTTGGCGCATTCGAGGCATACCGGAGTCGTTTCGAAAGTATACAGCAATACTTTGCGCCGAGATTTCCTGACGCCGTCAGACTTGGCAACGAGATGATCAAAGAAATCATGACGAAGACCAAGAAGTGATGGTCATTATGAGTCTCAAGGTGGCCGCGTCGACATGCACAAAATGTTGCATGTCTTCTCGAGAGGCTCGTATTCCAAACGACCCGGTGAGTCTTGGGGCTGACGAAGCCCACGACTGCCACCAGGATCGCGTGTTACGATGGTGTGGCCACTTGGCAGCTGGCATCCATGAATCCCTGGTGGCTATGACGGTCAAGTTCCTGATGCACCAGGTTCGAAGCATACCGGTTGAGATCGCACGAACAATTAGGCATCGTTGTGGCTGCCAAAAATACTCAGGATGCTGTGGAGGCAGCAGCAATACGATCTCGTCGTATTTCCCAAGAACGACCATCATCGTTCACCATACCTAAATCGTCTATGGAAGTCCTGTATACCATCGGAAGGAATACCGGGCGGTACCACAGGTCTAGCAGATAAGCTTCGAGGATTCGCATTCGTGCACCAGTACTGGGGGGGAGAACATTCTTGCAGCCAATGCAAACGGACCAAGATCTGTGATACGTCGTCGAGCCAAGACTGCTCTCCAACGCGTCCGCGATGCTGCGCCTGCCCAAGGAGAAATGCCGCGGTGAACAAATATCGAAGATTAGGGGCCAGCGAGTTTACGTGAGCTCAATATCATGCTGCGCCTTTCTTATACAGTATACCATAGCATATGATGGCAAACTTGATGACGACGAGGAACGCCTTGAATGTTCAACCGGAATACAGATCAACTTATCGGCATTGCCGTGAGCAGGAAGGCTGGCTGCATTGTGCACAAACAATCTGACCAATGTCAGATGAACCAATCATGCTGATGTAACATGCAGGTTTTGTTAGAGGTTAAGCCTTGCACTATCCATGTTTCGGGAAATTTCACAAGCCACTTGATGCCTTAAACACGAAGATCTGGTCTAGGCGGACCTCCGCCCCGACTTTCTCAGCCCCTGGTTGATGCTATTTTTCGATTGTCATCCTTCTCTCCAGCCTCGCCGTCCGGGGTCACTCCGTTCGATGAGGATTCCGGCGCTTTTCGTTCTGCATGCTGTTGCGGCGTGTTGTGATGCAGACTGTTCTTTTTTCGACTGCAGTATCTGTACCACCTACTCCATCCTGATGGGTGGTTGGCTTGTGCGACACGCCAGAAGCTAGTTGAGTCTCAAACAAGTTCTCGAACAGGGGCTTCCGTGATTTTCAATGGCTTGTATCTCTCCCCCTGAGACGCCATACCCCTTGGCAAGCCACTCCGACGCGCATACCGGGGTGCAATCTGATGATAAGGTTTGACGTGTTCTGGGATAACTACCGCTGCCCGCCCAATTGCCCCGAGGATTTATTAATCTGACCCTCAAGTGTTTGCTCCATTGCAACGACTCCTCTTTCAAACCCGTCTCAGGAACCACCGTCAAGGAGGAAACAAGATCAGTCTTTCCCCAGAGACCTGACATATACGCAGTACCAACATCATCCGTCGACTGAGACATCCTTCGCAAAATGGTCCTCAGGAGAGTTTTGGCCTCTGCCGCCCTTGGTGCGTCTTCTGCGTCGCGAAGCACGCGACATGACTAACGCATTTATAGTGGCTGCCTCAGTAGCAACAGATGTTGTTTCGTTTTCCAGCTCAGGATATGGCCTATCCGTGAACGTCCCTTCAGACACAGCCTCGTCAGGCAGTGGTTCCATCTATCTTCAGATCAGCGCCCCGAGTGGTACACAATGGATCGGTTTCGGTCAAGGGTCACAGATGTCGGGCGCCAACATGTTAGTCGTGTACGCGGCGGACTCCTCCAACGTCACGGTGTCACCCAGACTTGGTACTGGTCACGTCGAACCAGAGCACAACAGCGACGCCCAAGTTTCGGTGCTTGAAGGGACCGGTATCGCGTCAGACGGGTCGCTAGTGGCCAACATTCGATGTGACTCATGCTTGAGCTGGAGTGGTGGCAGCATGGACCCAACCGATTCCTCGAGTAAATGGATATACGCCTACAAGTCCGGAGATGCCCTCGATGCCACTAGCACCAGTGCGGACATCTCACAGCACGACAACAATGGAGAATTCAAACTGGATTTGACCACGGGTACTGGCGGTAGCTCATCGAACCCTTTCGTCGCGTCTTCCGATGACTCGCCCTCCACTACCGCAGCTGGTACTACCGGCACGTCCACCGCTACCGGTACTGCTGCCACCGCGCCGGGTTCCGACATCACCGGTTCCGTTTCAAGTTCAAGTGCAACCGCTACCTCAACCTCAGGCGTCTCTAGCCCACTGACCAGCTCCAGCCCATCCTCTACCGGAGACGAAGTCGAGAGTGACCCCAACAAAGGGACAAGAACAGCACACGCCATTCTCATGCCTCTTGTCTTCGTGGTCTTGTTCCCTCTGTCGGCTTTGACCCTCTACCTCCCCTACAACGAAAAGGTCCGACACGTCCACGCTCCACTGCAAGTCGTCAGCATCATCCTGATGCTCGTCGGTCTGGCAATGGGTGTCAGACTCGCCAACAAATTAGACGAGATCGACAAGTACCACCAGGTCATTGGCTTCATCGTTGTTGGCTGGATGGTCATCATCCAGCCAGCATTGGGTTTGGCTCAGCATCTCAATTTCCGCAAAAACGGCACTCGCAGCCCCATGGGCCACGGTCACAGATGGGTTGGTCGTGCTATGATCCTGCTTGGTATCGTCAATGGTGGGCTTGGTTTCATGCAAGCTGGAAAAGTGGGAAGTGAGGAGACCCCAACTTACGCAGTTATTCTCTACAGCGCCGTCGCCGTTGCTATCTTCGTCTTATACTTTGCCGTTGCTACCTTTGCCCCAGCCTTTACCGCGAGGAGAAACGCTGCAAGAGGTGCGGTTACGGAGAAGCCAATTCGTCCCAAGTCCCAGGGCTATGAGATGCACAGCCGTGCCGCTGATACAAGAGCTTGAGCGAACTTTTTTGCGGCGCGAAGATTGGTTAGCGACGTGGAGGGATGGCAACTAGTCGGTTTCCTATTTACGAAACGGTTCTTTGTGTGTGCTCGTTGCCGAGCATACAAACACTTCTTGGGCCTGGACTTGGTTGGTGTTCAGAGCTGGCGGATTGGATTGGGGGAAATTTGTTGAAGGTTGGACATGACTGAACGCCCTAGAAAATGAACATTCTCACTTGTTACCGAACACAGTAGTATGCATACTGATAATCACGTTTCCAAGAACGTCTTCTTGCGGATATAAGTCAATAGTAATTGTTGCCCCATAAGTTACAACTTCTGGGGCTCCAAATGCGGAGGAATCGAGCGATCGACTCTTTAGGTTACGTCCCGGTGACTGGTATATGAGGCTCAAGTCTAATACTCCTCACGGCTATTTGCCAGGCTCCATGCACGTTGTCGGAGCGTCGACCCGTACCTGGTACCTCTCGATACTCTCCACGTCTTTCTGGAGAGCATTACAGAGTTTGGAGGTGAGGGGATGCTCCTGTCTGATGGGCCACGCAATCAGATCCATGTTGTTTCTCCTCATCCGTGTTGAGAGGCATCCGTAATCAACTTGAACATGCAAGCTTTTCAGCCTAAAACAACCACCTTCCAAAGACGGCCTCACGATCGTCGCACAAAGCGGTCACGAAGCGAGGTAGGTGTGTGCCTGGATGTTGTACATATAAACAATGCAAATCAAGCTTTACGAAGCTTTCGTTCAACCTGTGACATCCTAGACGGCAACATTGGGGCAAACCTTGAGACACAACGGCATCGCGATCATGGCTCTTCCGCAGGTGCAAACAGTACTTACTATACTCGGGCTCTACTTACTCGCATTCTGCGATGCTCTGAGCAAGAGACAGAACATAACCACACCGAGCATCCCCAATGGCCACTGGGTCGACACATGGACGGCAATGCCGCAATTGACGGAGTACACCAATCTTCCTCCACCTCCATACGTATGTTCCGCTCGAGCAGTCGTAATCCAGTATCGCTGACACGCCACCAGAACACCACCACAGAGCAGTTCTACAACAGTACCATCCGACAGACCCTGCACATGTCGACAGGCGCATCTCAAATCAGGATCGTCATCTCCAATGCTTTCGGTCTGACGGATCTGCCCATCACCGCCGTGACAGTTGCCCTTCCGTTCAATGGCTCTTCTGGCGAGAGTGCTATCTTGCCCTCGACCCTGCAGACCGTCACATTCAGTAGCGGTGAGGGCTCAATCGTGATTCCGGATGGCGCATTGGCTGTCTCAGATCCGTTGGATTTTCCAGTGGCGCCGCTGTCGACCATTACCGTCACCATGTATCTTGCCGCCGGCCAGAACGGGACACATATCACAAGTCATCCCGGCAGTCGCGCGACGTCTTGGATGACGTTGGGGAACCAAGTCACTGCAACCAATTTGACAGGATCAGAACTGCAAAGCGTTGCTCATTGGTGAGTCCCATGCCTCCGCTGTGATAGACCTACCTCTATCCCACAGAGCTGACTGGGTGCGAACAGGTACTTCCTATCTGCAGTACAAGCTTGGTCACCACCACAGAACCGCGCGTTCAGTATCATCGGCGACAGCATCACGGATGGCAGAGGAAGCGACACGGACCAGAACGATAGGTATGGGACTCACCTGGTCAAGCGTACATGCTTGCCTTGTACAGAGCTGACCTGAAGCAGATGGCCCGACCTCGTCCTTTATCACCTCCAATCCAGCGGCGACCCATCCTTGACTTCTATCGCCGTCAATAATCAAGCTGCTGGAGGCAACCGCATTCTAGAAGACGGCCTAGGCCCCAGTGTGCTGTCGCGCGTCGAACGCGACGTGCTCTCCCACCCGGGCGTGAGGTACGCCATGACATTCGAAGGGGTCAATGACATAGGCGACGCGGACCTCAACGTTTCCAATCTCACGATCACGTATAACCGGCTGATCTCGGCATACCGGCAGATTGCGACGCGCATTCACGCGTTCAACATCCCCCTCTTCGCTGCGACCATTACGCCTTTCTCTGCGCCCAACGACAACACCACGTTGCAGCCATACTCGAGCCCTGCGCGAACAGATACGCCAGCAGGTCAACACTTTCATACGCACCTCCGGCACGTTCGACGCGGTGCTGGATTTTGACGCTGTGGTGCGCAATCAGAGTATGCCCAGTCAGTTGGCTGATGCACTACAGTCGGGTGATTATCTGCATCCCAATGATCAGGGGTATCAGTTGATTGCGAATTCGTTCGACTTGACACTTTTCCAAAAGTTTGCAAATGGGGTTGGAGGCTTTATCTAGAAGCAAAGAGGCTCCCGGCGCCATCGATAATAATGGGGGAAAGCTTGGGGCACCCAGACTAAGCTTATTGCAGTTTTCTGCTTATCTGGGGCGCTTAGATAGTTAACCAAGCTTATCTTAACGAGTTACGCCCTGTGAGCCGAGGTTCAGAGGAGAACGAAGTACAAGATGACCCTGGACCGGTGACCATATCCAAAATCAAAAGTTGAGATTCTTTCACCACGATCGCATTGACAACCGACTTTGTTAATTTCAAAGTTCCAGTGCCATTGAAGTGTCCGTCATACTGGCATTGGGAAATCAACAATCTGCCACCCCTCAATGCCTGATCGAGTAGCTGATCTCGAGGTTTTCGAGGCCATACCATGGTGCCAACCAATCCTTCAAGACCCAGACTTTGAGCTTGCGTCCACCTGGTCGCGGACATATGTCGCAGAATCTAGAGAAAACGAACTTCTTGGACACACTCTAAAGAACGACAACACGATACGAGGCTGGATCTCACTCTACAATCGACCGACTCAAACCCGTCCCCTGAAAGACGAAGTGCACACGCTGATGAGCCTGGATCAAGGCCTCAACGGCTACCCACGAGTGATCCACGGAGGAATTACTGCGACGATCCTGGATGAGGTCCAGAGCATATTGGTGTCGGTGTGTCTGGAATCAGCAGGCCTGTCGCCCGACAATGTCACCGCGGACTTGCGCATTACTTATCTCAAGCCGATCGTTCTACCGTGTGTTGTCCTTATCAAGGCGAAAATCAAAGACATCAAGGGAAGGAAGTACTTTGCAGACGCCGAGATTGTGAATGAAAAGGCCGTGGTCCTGGCTCGTGGGGAGGGTCTGTTTGTCACCGTGGGCCGAGAAAAGCTATAGACTTGAAGAACTTTTGGACCGAGATGATGGTGTCTATGGAGTCTCGCTAGAGGAAGATCAGGCCATGATCGAAATGAATGATTTTGTCAATCCATCGACGCGTCGCAGCGCGTTTGTCCCTAGGTCAAAACCAGGCTCGTTCGAGACAATGCATTTGCAGCAAGAAGATTGGTTCAAGCGGGTAGATATGTCATTGGGCCTGATCGAGCACATCGCCGATGCAAATCAAAAAGCTCATGACCAAATTCCCAGTGCCCTCAACAACTTCTTCAACAGGATTCATCCCAGAATGAGCTCACGGAAGCCTACAGCGACATTTTCGGGCCCTGGTTTGGAAATCCTTTCACTCTCGTTGATTACAGCGCAGCGGCCGGCGGAGGACAAGTGCCCTGCCCGGGGATGAGTGAGTAGCACTGGTTCCACCACGCTTTTGAATGAACCCATCTGTTGTCCGTCACAGTGCTTATGGACGCCGCGAAGACATACTCACCAGCGGCAGAAGCCGATCAAGATGAAGCCTCACATAAGACGCGAATGCTACCGTTCATGGCGAACGATTCCGCTGCCAGGTAGGGGGCCTAAGGCAGGTATATAAGTCGACATCAACGACCCCCGCTCGTGAATACTCCATACTTTCAGCCTTACTGAGCATTGACTTACTATCACCTATCACTACAATGGCAACTTTCGACATAAACCATCTCTTCAATGTCAAAGACATGGTCTTCGTGATCACGGGCGGAGGCAGCGGCCTCGGGGAAATTATGGCATCGGCCTTAGATGCCAATGGAGCTTCCAAAGTCTTCATACTGGGTCGAAGGGAGGCCTCCTTGAAGAAAGTGGCGGAGAACGCGGTACTATTGTTCCGATCTCGCAAAGTCATGAGCTGATCAAGCTATTAGGCGAACAAGACTATCATCGCAGTCATCTGTGACGTGACTTCCAAAGATAGCCTCAGCGCAGCAGCAGCCTTCATCGAGAAGGAGTCAGCGTTTGTCAACGCAGTCATCGCAAACTCCGGGGCGGTAGGCCCACTCACATCGATGCCCCCACGTTCTGCAGATGCCACCATAGCGGACATTCAGCAGCAGCTTTGGGACACCTCGTTCGCCGAGTCGGAGGCACCACTGAGCACTAACGTCCTCGGATCGTTCTACACCTTCTTGGCGTTCCTCGAATTGCTAGAGGCAGGCAACACCAACGCCGATAGCCGTGGCAAGAAAGACTTCATCCAGAGTCAGTTCATCACTACGACCCAGTATGGGAGGCTTCAGCAGAATGGAGACCGCGGGATATCCTTACATGGCCAGCAAAGCCGGTCTATGGCACCTTACGAAGTCTTTGGCAACCCAATTCGCAAAGCTAGGTATTCGGGCAAATTCCATCGCCCCAGGGCTTTATATCACCGAGATGACTGAGGTAAGGCCTCATCAGAGCAGACGCCGTGCATACTGACGTACATAGCTCATGGCTGGCGGGAAGGACTTAAGCATTCCCGGAAGCCTGCCCGTTGATCTCATCCCGATGACTCGGACTGGTAGCAAAGAGGTACATTAGCGGCTGCTCATGAGGTTCTGCAGCTGACTAGACATTTGCCACAGGACATTGCTGGCGCGATACTGTTTCTGTGTTCCAGAGCTGGAGCGTTCGTCAATGGCAATGTTATACTCTCGGATGGTGGCACGGTAGCAATTCAACCTGCCTCGTACTAAAGACCTGAATTAGGGAGGCTCCAACCACTACTGCGATACAGGCGTCGGGGAATTATGACCAGTCGAGTAAGATGGTAGGTATGCTCATGATCAGATAAACTCAAATCTATGCTATGCAATGGTCCTAGTATAAAACTGGGGCATCTTCAACAGACCAGGCCTGCTGTATGGTCAATATTCCCATAATGGCGAAGTATACATATCCTTTGAGTGGTCGTCATTACTTAGACCTCGTTGTCTCTCACGCATCAAGTCCAGTGCTCACTCCTGTTCGGCCGATCTAATGAGTAGAGCCGGATGGCTGACTCAGCCCAACGGACCAACCTACACCGGGCTCTGTCTGGCGGAGGAGATATAGAGACCGCATTCCGCACACCGCAGGTGATGTTAAGTCTTCCTGGTGCTCGCATTACCAACTTCGGCGCCCGTGTCTGTCAGATAGTCATCGCAGTCCGTCTTTTGTGACATCGACAGGGCTGGTCTTCTGGCGCATTGGGAGAGACAGACACATTTGATTTGCATATTGATTTCAAAGCCATGATGAAACTGCTAAGAGGGAGATCTACGACTGAATGCATCCGCTATATAAATCACCTTGGCCGACCGTGGTTTCCAATGGCAAATCTGCAGCACTCCAATCAATATCGGCGCCTCATCTCGACTCTCGACGTCTGTGAGATAAGCTACTCGCTAAAGAACACCTTCCAATCGACAAAATGGACGCAGAATCCCTCGAATACACTATACCTTTCCAGTTGACCAAGACAATTCGCCGTGATCCCTACGACGCCCTCCAAGGGATCTCGGCTGCTGGGAAGATCATCGTTATCACGGGTGGTGGTACCGGCATCGGAGCCGTAAGCACTCGACCTTTTCCTTGTTCTGACCTACCGTCCTCATGTACTGTACCTGGCTAACCTTACTTTATTTCAGGCAGCCGCTCTAGTCTGGGCTCGTGCAGAGGCCGAAGGTGTCGTCGTTGCAGGTCGACGACTCGACAAACTCGAAGAGACAGTGTCTCAAGTCCGTGCTCTGAACAATGGAAAGACCAAAGCCCTAGCAGTGCAGACTGATCTTGTCAAAGATGAAGACGTGCAAAATCTGTTTGCTCAGACCATTAAGACGTTTGGCAGATCGCCCGACGTGGTTCTTGCCAATGCTGGTATGGTCGCCACAGTCCCGATCGGTGAACAAGGTCCGGATGACTGGTGGAATATTGTGGTATGTAGAGATGGTTCACTCATCGTCGTCAGGTGTTTGCTGACCGTCCAATTTGCAGGGAGTCAACTTGAAGGGCGTCTACGCCACTGCTCATGTATGTTCTTCTGTCGAAGCACCAGTGAGCAGACCTTGTTAATCATACGATGTAGCATTTCATCAAATCACAGCCCAACCCGAAAGAGCCCGTGGGCACATTCATCGCCGTCAACTCGGGGCTGGCTGGCCTCGTCGTCCCCGGAATGTCCGCATACTCCATCTCCAAACTTGCTGGACAGCGGTTTGTCGAGTATCTGCAATCAGGTGCTTGTCCCGGATGATTGTAATGGGATCTGCTTGCTGATAATCTGGTTCAGAATATCCTTCTTTCCGATCGTTCTGCATGTTCCCAGGCATTGTGCAGACAGCGATGGTTACTGCTACCGAAAATCATTTCGCCAAGTATGCCAAAGATCATCCGGATCTTACAGGACTATTAGCTCTGTACTTGTCGACTGCCCGGGCAGACTTCTTGAAGGGTGGGCTTACCAGTATTAACTGGGACGTGGAAGAGATGGAGGGTCATCAAGACGAAATTACAAAGCAAAAGTTGCTGCAGATCAAATGGATACCTCTCCTGCCGGCTAGTGGTGGTCAGGGGTTTTAGCCGGGATCATTCATTATAGGCTTGGGCATCTAGGTTCATCTACTTTTTAAGGGTCCGGGGTCTCCGGGGTCTCCGGGGTCACACGTGTATTGACGCCTATTACATTGACATGACGTCTCCATGTATCAACATATATCAACACGCTTGACCATTGTATTCAGAATCTTACTCAACGATTTGTTTTGCCCAAATAATTAGATTGACGCGACAACTTTATCAGACCCGGCAGGCCAGAATGGCGCCCAAAGTCATCTTCCTGATGGCCGACTATGGTCACGATCCTACAGGTACAGTTCCCTCATCCACGAACAGTCCATGTCCCTACCCATTGCCCGTCTCACAGGTCCGGATTATTAGAAGCTGCTATCCCCTGGAAAGTGTTCGGCGAAGCCGGCTTCGACATCACATTTGCCACCGAAACCGGCAAGCAACCGGTTTGCGACTCGAGAATGCTCACGGGCTGGACCGGCGCCCTGCTCGGCGCCCCCAAGGTTGCGAAAGAAGCATACAAGACTTTCTCACAAGATTCTAGAGTCCAGAATCCCGCATCATGGACGGATCCCTCGCTAAAGCTCGAGGACTACGACCTCGTCTTCCTGCCAGGTGGTCACGACAAAGGCGTCCAGCAGATCATCGATTCGCCTCGCGTTCACGAGCTATTGGCCGCATACTTCCCTAAGACGGCCAGACCATCGACAAAATCCCTAGTCGCCATCTGCCACGGCGTGCAAGTCCTAGCAACGGCGTCTTCAGCCGAAGATAAGTCCAAGAGTGTCATACACGATGTCCAGACGACAGCGCTGCCAGGCTTCATGGAGCAGAGTATCTTCTATGCGACATGGCCGTTCTTGGGCGATTACTACAAGACGTATGGCGCAGGGACGGACTCTGTCCAGGAGATCGTCACGAAGCGTTTGGACAGCCCCAGCCTTTTCAAGAACAGCTTGAGTCCGAGTCCGTATGTTGCGCGCCTAGCAAGAGTGCAAGACACCATCGAAGCTGACATCCTCCAGATTCGTCGTCGCAGACCCCAAATACAACTACTTGTCAGGCCGTTTTCCACCCGATGCGGAATTACTGGCTCAAAAGGCCGTGGCTATGGTCAAAGAGTTGACGGGGTCATCTTGAACAAGAAGAACGTTTTACGACTATGCGTTGGATCGAGTCTTAATCATAATTGGCATTGCTATCCCTGGCCCGTCACTAAATTCTCACTCTGCGCGGCTTCATGCTGCACACCACCATTCTGCATGCCTTCCTTCTTCAATTTCTCAGCACTGAACCTAGCACGCATCTCCTCCCGTTTCTCCTTGACGCTATTAATATTGACCTTTCCAAACTGCACCGTCTTCCATAACTCCAATGGCGTCATCGATCCCTCTGCCCCAAACAGGCTGAAATCGATATTATGTTTATTCGAATGTCGTAAGGCGTAGACCACGCTGTTCCGTCCCTTAGGATTGCCCACAACCCTATGCATACCCGTATTCACCGTGCCAGACGAGAGGAGCTTCAGTGTCTCGCCTATCAACACACATCCTCTGCTGGTGCCTACAGGCGCATTTACCCATACGGGACCAGTCTCCCGTGATGAATGATATCGATCGAGGACCTGTAAGCCCTCGCCGTCTCCGACGCATAGCGTTAGGAGCCCGAGGTCTGTATGTTGGCCCGCGAAGCCCGTCGTGGGCAGATACTTGAACAGCCGCATGAGTGTGTACGTCACCTCGTTTTCGGATGCCGGTAATGTAAGCGTGCCGTCGAGGATGTCGTGCCATGCTGAGATATCGTGATCGCTGGCCCGTGTGATGTCGCATAGAATTCTGAATAGAAATAGCCCGGCCTCGCGCCAGGCTTGCGCGATCTTCGATTCGAGCGTTTTAGCTGCTGCAAGCAACGAATTCGAGGTGGGATCCGTATTGGTTCCAGACCCAGATTCACAATCGCCGTGTACATGACATCGGAACGTGATGTACTCTTTCTCGTTCTCAACGGGATAGTAACCGAACTCGGTTCCTTGTTTGCTGGGGTACAATTCGGCTTTCTGCTGACTGGGAAATTCAAAGAAGCTGGGTGATTCGCGGAATACGTCTTGGATGCTTTGCGTTAGTGAGGCCGGTAAGTCGACACATAGCCAGCCTTGTCGGGCGAGAAATAGAAGCTGCTCTTCTGATAATAGTGGTGGTGGACCAGCAGGAGGTGGTGGCGCGAAAGAGTGCTCATCCATACCTCATGCTATGAGTGAGTTCGATCTAGGTGCATTCCGTGGAAGTTTGCTCGCTGGTATGAATATACTCAGACCCTCCCCTTGCCGCTGTAAGAATAAAGCAAAGTACGCATTAGTTTTCGGTTGTCTGGAAACACTTGGGTAGTAGAAGGCATCAGTTTGATGTTCTACTAGCAATTGAGCCATGTGACAATGACGCAGGCTCCGAGGCTGTAAAACCTTGTGGCTGCGAGTTGAATTAAGCTTGCTACGATAAGCATCAAATAGGCTAGTAGGTGTAGGCACTTTTACCTGGTAGGGTTACTGAATTATAGTTTACCTAGGTATGCTTGCTCCACACGAATGCCGGCGTGGCCATACCATGGTAAATTGCTGGACATCTCACCCCTTCAGACCAGACGATTTGATGGAAGAACACTGTCTAAGTTTGCCCCCTTCACCCACTTGCATGCAACGGAAGACCCCCAGACTCGCCTAACTTCCAACTCCTGGGGGGAAACCCCTTTAACCGTTCTCCGGACACCCAACCCTTCTCTGTCATAGTGCTCCGGCAAAGACCGACTTCAGTGACCGGGAAGGGCAACAACAGATGTTGCAGCGGGGTAGGAGGGATGTAGAATTGGCGACGTGAGTAGAACATTCCATGGACCTCAGCCTCAGCCGCAGCCGGTCAATGCAGAATTGAAGGCTTGACCTCACCTTGACTCCGGTAAAGGCGTCCTCGATAGGCGGTGTCTGAGTCGTGATGTAGCGACAAGTTTATAAGACCGGAAACCCCATCGTGCGGCAATTCTGGCTGTTTTGCTAGCTTTGCCCTGTCATCCCGCTGATGGCGATGGAAAGCTGGGCCCATAGACTCTGGAGCATACTGAATACCTGAATGCAACCTTCCTCCTCATTCTGTTTGCTCCCTGGCTCAGGTAGCATCCTTGAGATGGATTCGACCGCTGAAGATGTCGGATCTCGTATAGTTGTCAATCAATGTTCGCCCTTTGTTCTTTGGACATGGACACTTGAATGTCCATCTATGAAGAAGAGCGAAGAAGCTCGCGAAATAGGCGAAGACGGCTGTTGACTGCGAGGTATGATTCGACCGATGTGATGCTGTCATCCTGTACTGACTGGATTGATGCAGGATATGGCACATCCAGTGTTGCACCGCGTACGTGTTTGAGTTGCGAAAAAATCGCTGGTACCTTGCTGAAGCCTGATTCGACTTCAGCACCTGCCTACGACCGAAGCATCCCATGGCTCACTCTTTCAACCGCACTTGCTCCGTCGTGTGCAACATGCTCGCTCACAGGCAGGCCAAAGCATCACAACTCCGGCTCTAGGGAAGTTTTGCTTGATAATGGGTCTTCCAGCTCTCATTCCCCTGGTGCGTCACCTTGTCCTTCCATTCTACCTCGCGCTTCCCCGAGCAGAGCTTCTTGCATCTTCCGTAACTCTTCCTCGCCCATCTTATCGTAACCTCCAAAGTTCCGCATCTTTTCACCACGACCGACCCTCTTCTTCTGCACTTCTTGCCATTCGCCAACAACGCCGCGACAACCTTCGATGTAGGTACCGAAGCCCAAGTCTGTGAGAGCCTGTTCGACGTGTTCAACACTGATGGTCTTCTTTGATTCCTTTTCAGAAATGTCGTTGGACTCGGAGGACAACATGCGCAAGAATTCGAGAGAGCATGAAATCAGCAAGTCGCGGGCTGGTCGAGTGAAGGTCATCTCGCCGTCCTTTCCGGCGGCGGTGTTGTCATTAGGAAGTTGGGGAAGGATCTCGGATATGATCTTTTGAACGGTCGCCTTGGGCAAACTAAGATCTTCTAAATCTTTGTCGGACATCTTGAAGGCTTGTAGTGCTTGCTGAGGCAAATCTCGTTATTGGAGTGTCATGTTCACAAGGTCGAGACGCGTTCCAAGACATCAGATAAAATACCACCCGATGAGCTGAAGTCGCAGACACTTGAACGTCACTTCCCGAAAGGGAATCGCGCCCAAAATTAGCTTGGCATAATTTCTCGAGAGTCACCCTCATGAAATTTTCTCTTTCTCAAACTGTTGTTGTTATCTATCTCGCATACGCATATTGCAGAAAAGCTTGCGACCATGATGCACGACCGCAAGGCAATTCGACGCTTCATGCTGCCGATGAATGTCTTCTGACTTGAAGTCCTCCCCGGTCTGGTGCTTCTACTGGTCGTGGATGCTTCCCTATCGGTTTCATGAGCGCTCAACCAGCTGTTTGACCCTTCCATTCGATTATCAGTATGTGAGTTGCAATCCTCCTTGCTTAACCCTCAATATGACGAGAGCGATGTCGCCCCTAGCATGAGTCGAGTTCCTCGACGGTGTTGATAGACAAACAATATCCAAACTCAAAAAAAATTCTGATCAATTTGAGATCATCCATGTTTTCCACGATTCCTTATCAACTCTATGGACTTGCTGACATATAATCGATCAGGTTACCAATCTCAAGGTGTATGTAGCCTCCAATAGCCCTTCCCCCTAGATGATGAGCAAACACATGTACTATCAAATTCGGAATTGCGATGACGAATACATTGGTTCGATTACCTGAACTATACGGCCCTCCAACTTCAACTCGCTGCCTTCCAAGCAAACACGTCTCTGACATTGACCATAGAATTTATGCCACGGTGCGAGTTGATTAGTGTTATCGAGTATTGGTATGTCTGAACCTCTCCGACTCCATCCAAAAAATGATGCAAACACATTCACATTCCATGCTAAACATGAGCCTCCTTGCGGATGCAATGCTTCAGACTGTGTATTCATTTTTCATCTTTCGCCTGATTCCCATATCCAATGTTTCCCCATCTCTCTCTTCAAGGCTGTTGGGATCTCAGCTGACTGGCTGAAAGTGGCAGACGTGATCTTGTTGTTCGTAAGTCGATCAGCACCGAAGCTACCCGCTTCGAACGTGTGGTGGTCATCCGCCATCGTCGTCACCTGTGAAGCTGCGAGTCCATCGCCGAGTGAAATGCTGACGCTACCTGATCTGCGGGCAGAGCACCACATTATCGGCTCTTCGCACTTGGCCACGACTGTGTCCTTGACGGCGCCCAACAGACCTTGCCGAACCAGCAGGGGAAGATGCCTGTCCTTCCGATGCCTTACAATTGCTTTATTGTAGTATAGACTCTGTACCTTTCGAAATCTTTCCACGTCGGCCAATAGCTCCTCGTCTTTGATCCTCCCGGAGCGGTATTCGAGTAAGAGGAACCGTCTTTGGCGATGAGAATGGGCATTCCTTGCTAGGCATTCCCTCGCCCCCACGGCCTTCGAATCGTCTTCATCTATCGTGCCATCCGCGACCTGTTCCGAGACTTTGGCACTCTCGCCAGCCTTTGCAAGTACTGCCTTATCCTCGATCGTCCAAGCGTTGTGTAGCTTGTGAGCTTTCACAGCCTCAGGGTCGTCAATCTTCCAGTCGCCATGCTGAACAAGCTCATCGATCATAGCGACCCGTAACTTCTTCAATTCTTCTTTCACCTTGCCTTATCATCGTTGTACAGGCTTTGCACTTGACGACGTCTTCTTTGCTGGTATGCGTATATTTGACCCTCATGATTTTTAATGTACTCTTTTCGCTTTTCACGCCGTTCTCGAGCATAAATGGCGTCCGGGTGATCCGGTTTCAATTCACCATTGGCAACAAGTTGTTCCAGCATATTGATCTTTACATACTGACGCCGGGCAGCCTCCGTGACTTGTTGAGCTCGTCGCTCCTTCTTGATAGCCAGCGCCTCAGCCGATAAGCCGTAACCCGACAAACCCTTAGTGAGGGGGTTATGGCTACAGAGACCGCCATATGGTAGGTTATTGACGTCCCAGGTACAGACTGACCGAAGATAATGTCGATTATGGTCGATAGAGTACTCACCATGCCAGACCGTCCAGAAGGAGAGTGTGGCCGCAGCCTCCAAACCTCTGGTAAAGGCTTGAGTATATCCTTCCATGTTGGGGTCACGCCGGACCAGAAAGAGTACTCCGACATGGCTGAGTTCGTAGCCGTCGAGCAGAAGCTTTTTGACAAACTTCGCCATGGCCTGCAGGTAGGAGTTCCCATTCTCGAATTCGGCGATAATGTCTTCAGGGGGAATTTCCTTCACGTGTTGGTACTGAGTCATCCGAGATGTCGCGCCACCGAGGAGAGCATAAGCCATGCCGGTGTAGACGAATGTCCGGTGGCCCCCGTTTGGTGAGAGAGGCATTGTAGACCATGCCGAAGTCTTTCAATTCCTCCTTGGGGATGGTGAGTGCATCTGGGAGAGCCTGGAAATCTTGCTCCGTAGGTGGATCATTGTCCAGGAACATCTTAACAGCAATCTTGGGCACCTTCACATCGAGATCCCTGTGTAGGTTTTTTTCTCCCATCGCTCGAAACGCCTCTTTGAACTTGAAGTTGCATCGTGTCTCAAGCGGGATCATCATGTCAATGCGTTCGTCAATGAGGTCAGCGAGCTCTTCCTCGATCCGTAGATTGGTATACATCGCCATCTTGTCAACAGAGGGAGGGATGTGCTCGTCTTCAAAGCATACAGGATGAAAATCGATCAAAGAAATTGAAATCAAAAAGAGACGTTGAGACCAGAAGATGATCGTGAACAGCAAATTGGAGAGGAATCTGGTGGCTGCTAGCTGGCGGGTTTGCTGAGAAATGCAGAAGGTCGATGAGCAAAGATGATGGAATAGTTGTCAAGACTTCAAATCCTCGTCGTGATGACGTTGTGCTTGGACATCTGAAGGTAACGCCGACGGCAAGGCGTCGCAGGACGAGGGACTGAGTCTTGTCAGAGTCGTCGAGATGATGGACAGCTGGCCAGGAAGTCAGAGTGATGGTGCTCGAGGTTTGAGCTGTTGATCGATTGATCAGCCAATTGATGATACTGGCTTGTGAGGTTGAGCACTCACCCTGTTGTTCTCCTCACGGTACGGATTGGACGGCCAGGGCAATGTAAGCAAGGTCAGCTTCAACAAACAGAAACGAATGGATGGCCGCCGCTGTGACGGCCGGGCATGAATAGGAACGTTGATGGTTGGAGGGGGAGAGGAAGGAGGAAGCAAAGGTCAAGAGGCCAAGAACGACCAAGTCTGAAGTGGTTTGGAAATCGGGCTCTTCCTGGCCGCTCCCACCTTCGTGACGCTGTGGGCGACTTGTGAAGGATGGATGGCGCTGGGGCTGCATTGACACGGCAAGACTCATGGGAAGCAACAAGGTCAAAAGTCAACATCAATTGAAGTGATCCTCGCCAAACGCATACGAATCGCTATGAGTAGGACTCGCGGGCGTTCTCCGTCGCAGCTTTGATGCATTGGTTGGCAGAGATCGACCTTGCTCATCATCACCACCTCAATCGCCGCAACAGCCAGCAAGCCATGTCCATTACACTCGCTCAATGTGTCCTCTGCTTCAAGGTTGGAGAACATGAATCGATCTCGTTGTGAATTTGTAGCTGGTTCGCGTTGTTTATGCCCGTTGACGTCACTGTAGTGGAGGAAATAACTTGGCCCGAAGTTTCCCCCTGATTCATTCGTACCTACCAGGTATGGAAGAGGTGTACTCCGTGCATGGTGTACCTGTAACAACTACTATCAGACCACTCAGATTTACCAGAACATTGTTGCAACTGACACAATACTACTGTTGCGCACCTCCAAACTTGTGGTTGTGCCTTGATCACAACCAGGAGGCTGGGATCATACACCTTAAGGGACCGACATCAACCTGATCTCTTCCACACAATGACCACCTTAAGACAAAGCCACTTTGGGGAAAGTTTACAGTTTATCAACCAGCATCGTGTACGTGATGCAGCATCTACGAAATCTTTCGCATCTAAACCATGACTACAGTCCCGGCATACTTCATCCTGCACCGTTCTCGTCACAGGCGCAACAGCCGGTATAGGAAAGGCGGTGGCTGAATATCTTCTCGCTTCAAGCGCACAGCATTTGCTCGTCTTGACTGGGCGCAATGAAGATGTGCTTCACGAATTTCGGTCTCGCTATCCGGACCGTGTGATCACAGAGGCAGGAGACATGTCAGACCTGCAATTCGTCAGATCTATCGCACAAAGTATCCAGCTGGAAGGACGTCTTGACGGGTTGGTGCTTAATCACGGCACGATGGGTTCGTGTTTCAGGATCGGCCAAATGGAAGTCGAAGATTGGGAAGAGACCTTCAGAGTCAATGTCACGAGCTGTGTCGCATTGGTACGTTCCAATTGAGTGCACAGGTCATTTTGTTCTGCGACATTTCAGAGACAGTCCAAGAACAATCCAGCTGAGCCCTTCTAGATCCAGTCCGCGCTTCCCCTTCTAAGAGCATCACAAGGTCGGATAGTCTTCACCTCTTCGGGAGCCGCAACCAACGGGTATTCGGCATGGGTAAGCAATTTCCCCTCCAAAGGACCTGGCATTGAGGCCTGAGTCTTTCGCTCTGTCGCACTTTGTACGATACAGCTCTCTAACAATTCGAAAGGGTGCCTACGGCGCGAGTAAAGCTGCCATAAATCATCTTACACTCACACTGAAGAACGAAGAGCCTGAGGTAACGACAGTTTCGATTCGACCAGGTGTTGTCGATACAGCCATGCAAGGTGATATCAGAGAGAAGTTCCTCAAAAACATGGACGAGAAGGACCAAGTCAAGTTTTCGACTGCAAAGAAAGACGGAAAGTTATTGCCGCCGAATAAACCAGGTGAGGTCATTGCAGAACTTGCAATCAATGCGGATGAAGGATTGAGCGGAATGTTTTTAAGGTAACTATCTGATCCAAGCAGACATTCAGATACTGACAGAGATACAGCTGGGATGACCCAAAACTAGCGCAATACCGATCAGGCTGAGGTCGTCTGCGAATTGGGACGGTATCATGGCGAGAGTAAACTACACGGAAGCCATTGACTCTGCTCACCCCTTCGAGCAGCTTCGGAGCAAGCTGTGTGACCAACGGAGAAGTTCAAGGTCTCCTTCCTTGGATACAAAGACACGACGACTGTTGATACTCCGGTTCACCACCGAGACTTCAACCTACATTAGTAGTCATTTATACTTTCTCCAGTGTTTTCGGTATCTTCCACAAACTCCGAACACCGAACGAAAACGGGCGGGGTCGGCCTGGATGTCCTTTGCCGTGTCCATGCCACGCTGCAATTAGACTCATTCTTCATAAACTTCTAACAACAAGCACGTCATTGAGTAAAGGCGGTTGATTGACTTCAGCATCATAATTAAGCAGACATCGAAACGCCCTAACAATCTGCTCTTGGTGTCCACGACGTCGATAAGCCTTAAGAATGGATGTCCCATTCACTCGACTAGTGAGGTTCAAGACCTCGGAAGGGCAAACACACTACGGCGAAGCCGGCTCCAACTGGCAGAAAGACCTTAAAGGCCAGACCGTCAAGACCTTCCAGGGAACAGACCCATGGGATCCGGATTTCAGCTTGTCGGGAGAGGAAGCAGTCATATCTGAGGTCAATATTCCGTAACTCCACGACTGGGCGATCTCACAATCTACCAGGTGCTGTGTCCCTTGCCATCAGTCCCAGTGACTCTTGGGATCGGATTGAACTATCGCAAACATGCGGAGGAAGCAGGTGTATGCTCCGGGTCCCCATGACAAGAGCCTTGACAGCACTGAGACGAGTCACCAGTTTACTATTCCCACGTTTCCCGTGGTCTTCACAAAGTATTTGGGCAAGCAGGCATCCTGGGAACCTCAACCGAGTTGTACACTGACTCACCAATCTCCAGACACCCTCGCAGGCCCATTCGAAGATATTCCGATCCATCCCGAGGCCCGCGAACTCGACTACGAAGGAGAACTATCCATCGTGATCGGCAAGGATGTGAAGAACCTCACCGAGAAGGACGACCCGCTCGACTACGTCCTCGGCTACACGGTCGGCAACGACGTCTCTTCGCGATACTGGCAGAACGCTGCGCGATCAGGCGCGCAGCACGGCCCAGCAAAGTCCTTCGACAAATTCGGCCCGATAGGGCCCGCCATTGCATCGCCCAAGGCGGTCAAGAACCCCGAGGCCTTGAAGCTTCAGACCTGGGTCAATGGCGACCTCAGACAGGACGGTTCGACGGATGACCTCATCTTCGGCATCAAAGAGATCATTCGCTTTCTCAGCCAAGGTAAGACCGTGAGGAAGGGCACTGTGATCATGACTGGGACGCCTAGGTAAGCCTATGATACCGCCGCTCTGTAAGCATTTACACTGACGTAAAGTAGCGGCGTCGCAGCCTTTATGAAGCCCGCTCAATTCTTGAAGGATGGAGATGTGGTGGAAATTGAGGTTGAAAATATCGGGAAGATCTCCAACAAGATGGTTTTTGAGAAATAGGATTGAGCTATACTTCAATGAAAAGTCTGCTTTCATACCTAGATAGTGCTACTACTCCCAACCCAAGCCTGGTATGATTTTAACTTGGGCCCTCCAGCCGCGGTCTTGTCGAAGACTCCTCTGGCCGCAAACTCCGTGGATGTAGTAGCATCGCTGTCCTTCGTTCGAGTCTCAAGCCTGCCCACAAGCACCAAGTCCGTTCCGTCAGCGTTGCCCGAAAACACCTTGTCCACCATGTGGTGGCGGGACGTGACTACCTTCCACGCGTTGGTACGGCTGGCGGAAATTTCTGGAGTTCGTCAGTCCCAGCCCGGACCGTAGGCCATATGGTACGAGGGCTCTTCCTTACCATCTTTGCCATTGAATGTGCCATTCGCCGAGATGAACATTGCATCTGGCGTGAAGATCTCTTCGGCCAGGATGGTGCCGACATTGTCGTCTTTCGAGTCCACAAGTTGGAATAAGCGGTTGATCAGGTCTTTGACTTCTGAAGGGACCGGTGTCGGCGGCAATTTTGCCTGGGATAACGCCTGAGCCATTGCTGGGATACCGATGGTGGTGATACTGTGGTCACCGTGTCGTTATATGCTCTTACTGCTATCTCACGGTGACAGGATAGCGGTTGTACACACGTTTCATTTAGTTGGACGGGAGACAATATCTCCGGGAGTCATCTTCGAAGTATTGTAGCTTCCGGCGATGAGACGGTCGGTCGGCGTACGAAAATACCCCGAAGGTCGGGCCGACTACTTTTGGAGGCCTGGAAACGGGGAAGCTTGGGGTACTCCGGACTGTGCGTCTATTCACGCCTTTGAGAGCCTCATTGGACTCGTTCTTAGTGGCAGGATGCCCTGTACGTGTCCGATACTTCTCGTAACGCCCATCAGAACCATTGGGAAACATCTTGCAGGCCGCAGGATCTGGGGTATGTCGTGATATCTACGGTACAGGTATCTCGACCAAGCGCATATGACTGCGGAGGAAGGCGGCGATGACGATCGACGAAGACGTCGTCAGACAAGGGGGTATTGTTGACAAGCTTTTTGTGAGATAAGGGGCCCAATGCACGTGATCATCTAGAAATAGAAATATTACTGCAGGTAGATGTACAAGATGCTACACTGTATTGGATTTCTCATTTGACAAGCTTGTCATCCTGGTAGTATTATGTACTTGGTGTACAGATCATGACTCGTAATGTCATAGCGCGTTGATATCGTCTCGGAGGAACTGTCGCGCTGTCGTGATGATCGGCGGATATGCTAGAGCGGCTCTTGGTAAGACTGTGGTGCTTGAAGTCTTGCCGACCGTTGTAGCCCAATATTCGGGTTTGATCACTTCGGACGGCCACCAGTCGAATAAAATAAAAGCTTCGTCAGTAGTCCATGGCCCTTTCTCGGCTGTGCTTCTCTCTCGTATTTCCACCTCGCATTGTTTGTAGACTGCTTTCTCTAGCGCAGCAGTGTCAGATGCGCACCGGTGTAACTTGGACGGACTCGTCAGTTTGACCGGACTCCGTCTTGTTGCAAGATTGCTCAGCAATTGTAGAGGACTTCGTGCTTGTATGGCGACCTGGCCTGGAACCTGACTAACATCGTCCTCATCGTCTTCTTCAATGGCATCATTTTCAGAAAAGACTCTTCTAAAATCTCGTGTTATGGAGATGCCTTGATCTGGTGCATTCTCAGCCGGTGCCGCAAGCTCCTGTGAAACAGTCGCCTGACTACTGGCAGGTGAAGACCCAGGCTGTGGCGGTGGATCTGTACTGACACGAGTAAAATCTTGGGGCGTAGCGGGGGCTTCATTGAGCTGGGACTCAGGTGGAACGGCTGCTTGCGAAGTCTCGTCTTGCTCGTCGTGGTGGGACGAAGTGGTAAGTCCAGAAAATTCTTCTTGCGTCGATAGAGGTATCGGCGAAGGTGGCCTTTCCACTGCATTGCCCTCTTCCGGCACAAAGAGAGGGCTTGACTCAATGTCCACTATGTCGTCGGCATGCACGCTGGCTTGAGGTGAGCTGATGATCACATTATCGTCAAAACCGACATCGTTCAGGCCGGGCAGCTCGCCAACATACTCTAGCTGCAGATATTGATGCGGAGAAGACAGTGGGTTTGCACTGTGTTGAGAAATCGATGCCGCAGGCGATCTAGTCGGCACATATCGCCTTTCCGGGCCCTTCGTAAAAGGTATCAGGAGTGTAAGCGTGGACCTGGCTTTTGGTTGTGCAAGCAGCAGACGTGCAGAACGATTGATAGTTGACCTATTGCTCTTGGAGGCCGCACCCACACTGAGCTTCGGTACTGGTGGCGTTATGATTTTGGAATTTGACTCTTTCGGAGATCTTGCAGTCGTGGACCTTTCCTTACCCTGTCTACGCACTTGGGTTGGTGCAGTTGGTCTGGGATCCGGTTGTCGCTTCGTCGTTTGTTTCTTTGGACCTGCTGCTGGCAATGGCGAGCGATTAAGTGGCGCTGAAAGTCTCCCCACTGTGTCTTCGTCTGATGAGATGTCCACCACCACTGAAGATCTCCTAGGAACATTCACGGTGGTGTTTGGGGTTCGAATAAGCTTACTGGCACGTACAGGCTGAGGTAAGCAAACCGCACCAGGCCTGATCGGCTGCACAACCTCGTCCGAGTGATTTTCTTTGTCTGCGGACAGTCTGCGCTTCTTTGGAGATGGCTGTGTAATCGCGGCCCGGGAAAACGTCTGTCTTTGCTCGTAGGGCGACTGTATTGGCAAGCGTGAGCGGCCTAGCCGGCCTTGCGAGGGTCCCAGCACTTCGAGCAACGATTTCGGCCTCTGCGATGGTCCTGAGGAGCTCACACAAGACGCGACAACAGCATGTCTGGCTTGTGACACGGTCTTTTCTGGCCTTTGCCTTTCCAATGTTATGCCAGTCAAATCAGTCTCGGTCTCCCCCAGACGTTCTCCGACTTCCACCTTGACGCCACGGTCCAGTTGGATTTCTACACCTTCGCCGAACTCCTCCTCCAGCCTAAAATGCAGGTCTCCAATGTAATTCTTCGCGTCATCGTAGACCATGACGCGTCGATTGAAGGTGTGAAACCGTAGGGATCCATCGTGCCACTTTTTGGCCTTCTTATGAAGGTCTCGCGTATAAAGGCAACGGTACTCGTGGACGGGGGCGGTGTTCTGGGTTGCGGCGACCGTAAGACTGGGGTTGTTCCGGAGAACCATGATCACAACGGATCACGGTCAGAAGCTGAGGTGGTCAGCGACATGATATGTATGAGCTGGCCAATGATGGAGATGCCGGCTGTCATTTCTTCGTCAAATAGAAGTGGAGGGGAGAAACATGCGACTCGAAGTATTGTCGAGAAGGGAAAGTGAAACGCGCGTCGACTGAGGCTGCAAAGTTGAGGGTCGCGGAGGGTCCAAGTCCAAGGTCCAACTTGTGGTCTGGACAACGCAGGCCAGTTTGTTCTCTCTTGCATAAACACTACTAACTAATCTGTCGCTCCCTCCTGACGATTGTTACTACATGAGTCTCCTCACGATGTTCTAAGGCTGCAGGTCGGTCGTTGCATTTCAATGCGTTTTCCATCCCTATTCTCTTCGTTGCTCAAATTCCTCAATCCCTTGGTCAACTCCAAATCCACCGTTTCAGCGTACTACCGAAGATCTGCACGCCGAAGTCTCTGGAATTTGCAATACCACCTTGGGCAAGACAGTTTCACTGTTGGCGTGCTGGATCTCGCGAGCTATCGACTGTCCCCGGTTTACATGGGCCTGCTCCTCCCCCAGCCGTCGCAATGCACAGTGTTCAGAGGCATTTTGGGAAATATATGAGGAGAAGTGCAGATGAACAACAAGTCTCGGTTCTCCTCAAGGACTTTGAAGAGGCAGATAAACTCTTGACCAAGGTAAGCTGAATTCGACGACCCCCTGTTGTTCTCGGCTGACAGCAAGAAGATCATAGAAGCCTCCAAACAATGGAAAGAGTCGTGGATTTCCATCCTAACCCATCAACACCGCGTTTTCGAGGAATTTGAGATCTTATACTCTCCCATTGTCGGAGCTGGTGACGATTACCAAGGCCACATACCTGTCGAGACGCCGGAACATCTTCTTCGCAGAGCCGCCAGAATAAAGACGGAATATGCAGACCTGAAGAGAGATCTCACCGAAGATCTCGGGCAGGTTGACGATAGGCTGATCCGACCGGCTCAGACTGCAAAAGACAGCCTCCAATCATTGAGAAAGACGATCAAGAAGAGAGAAGACAAGAAGCTTGACTATGAAAGATATCAAAACAGGGTGGACTCGGCTCTCAAAAAGACCAAACGATCCGAGAGAGATAGTGCGGCTCTTGCAAAATCCCAGACGGATCTGGCTGCAGCAACAGAAGCATACTCCGCTGCCGATGACCACCTGAGAAACTGTCTGCCTCGTCTGCTGACGTCCGTTTTCTCTCTACTTCCACATTTTCTGGCTGCGCAAGTTCAGATTCAAAATAGCCTACTGGGACAATACTACACGATGCTCCACGGATACTGCACGGAAGAAGGATTCCCTTCGCCCAGTCCCCCAATGGATGAAGTTGTGAGGATATGGACTGATACCTTCAAATCAGTACAGCGCGAGGCCGAAGCTTTGATGTTTCTGGCCAATGGAAAGGCTGTCAAGGCACCCATGACTCAGGAGAACGGCCAACAACCTGTCAATGGCTATCGTCGACCGAGCGCCAACGCGTTTTCCGGTCGCACACAGTCTGTCTCGCCAGCCAGGGCTCTCCCGCCGTCCCCGAACTATGACACTGTACCAAAGATCTCTACATCACCTGCACCAAGTACGTTACTCAGCCCACTTACTCCGTACGAAAGTGTAGCGAGTCCGTCACCATCTCAGTCGGTCTACCAAACACCTCTTTCTTCCTTTGCTCCGGCCGCACCGAACACCGACTACTTTGCTAGGGACAGGCAGCCATCTTCTGCGTCGATTGCCTCCATTGGGACGACAGCTCTGAAGAAACGCCCGCCTCCCCCTCCACCTGCACGGTTGCCATCACAGCAATCGATCTTTGTGACAGCGCTCTATGACTTCGAGGGCCAAGGCGAAGGCGATCTTGTGTTCCGCGAAGGGGATCGCATTAAAGTCCTGAAGAAGACAGACAGTACTGATGATTGGTGGCAAGGGGAGCTTCGAGGCGTCAAAGGGGCTTTCCCTGCCAATTACTGCCAATGACCATTGTTCAATCACGAGCCACATGAACCAAAAATTGCTTGCAACGACCACAGATCTGGGCGACTGGGCCACATTGTTTTGATGACTGCATTTGGAGCGGGCGCGTCGGGCGAAGTTGAAATGAGAGGAGCGTGAGTTCGCGAACTAATATTGTGATAGTTGCCGCACTAATGAAGGAGGCATGGACGAGCGGGAAATGATGGCGGACAGAATCACGAACAACAGTCCCAGGGACTGATACGATAGATAGTCGGTTTTCAAAAAGAGATATACCCAATGTTGAGCATTTTTTGTCTGGCCGTGTACGAGTTTCAGGCTTTCGCTTTCTGGGGACATTGTAGGATGTTGGGGTAGAGGCGCCCCCTGAAAGGCATTGAGTTATATACCTAGGTATTTGATAGCATGCAAAGTCTTCCTCACTTGGACTGCACGCGTAATACTCGAACCCATCTATGCTTTACCGGTTAACGAAGCTACTGGAAGTTGCCTCGATATCCTCAATATCAAATTTGAAAATGGTAAACACCGGCCCACGGGCATCTCCGGCCGATGGCCAACAACGATGAACCAAAATCAATAATAGTATGGATATTGAGACCGCCAATCGAGTCGAGCCATTTCCGGAGAAATTGACGTACGATGATGACCACTGCTTTTCCCTCCATTCTTGAGGTTCTGGAACAACTGCCGGGCAAACCCATATTAGTATATTTTACAAACTGTCACGGAAGGTGAGGAGATATCAAGAGAGACACACACTCGTTACTGGTCAAGCTTCATTCGTTCTCTACTGTTACTGGTCTTGGTGTACGCCGCCCCCCAAGACATTCAGACGAGTCTTTAATTATCCTTGCAAAATGTCGATGCAGAACGTTCAAGCCAGGGTCCCCAAGACAGACATCGAAGTCAACAATCTGGGCTACAAATTTCCCGATGGCTCAACTGGACTGTCCAACATCACTTTAGACCTCCCACCGGGCAGCCGGACACTACTCATCGGCGCCAACGGTGCGGGCAAGACGACAGTCCTCCGCCTCCTTTCCGGCAAGCGCCTTGCGCCTGCTCACGCAATTCGCATAGGCGGTGTCGACCCCTTCTCCGCGGGTCTCGAGGGCGTCACGTACCTTGGCCTAGAATGGGTGCTGAATCCAATCGTCCGGACCGACATCGCGGTACCCATCCTCCTCGACTCCGTGGGCGGGAGCTACTATCCCGAGCGACGCGACGAGTTGGTCCGGATCCTCGACATTGATCTACGCTGGCGTATGCACGCCGTGTCCGACGGCGAGCGCCGCCGCGTCCAATTGGCAATGGGCCTGATCCGGCCATGGGATGTGTTACTCTTGGACGAAATCACCGTCGATTTGGATCTATTAAGCCGCAGCAATTTCCTGAACTGGCTTAGAGGCGAGACAGAGCGGCGCGGCGCCACGATCGTGTATGCCACGCACATTCTCGACAATCTGGTCGGTTGGCCCTCGCATCTGGTGCATATGCATCTTGGTCAGGTCAAGGAGTGGGGACCCATGGCGAAGTTCGACGCCGAAACGGACGGTTACTCGAACACGGGGAACAGCAAGCTCGGCGAATTGGTGTTGAAGTGGTTGAAGGATGACCTTGCGGAGCGAGGACCACGAGATAAGTCGACGGCTGAAGACAAGACGTACGAGAATTTAGAAGGGAAGGGAGGATATGGGCAGGAGAACAGACCGGAGTGATGAGGAGCATTGCATTAATTGGGAATGAGTCGCGGCATTGGATGGGAGTGTACTTTGGACGTGTGGACTTGTCATTCTTTCGTGATATTGATACCCCGTCAGATCTTCAACAAGATTCTGAGCACCTATGTTAATATGCATATGCATGGATGGCGCTGGGAGTGAACAAGAATTTGGTCTTAACACCATACATTATCAGGCTAGAAAACCACCTGTGGTATCATTCATACATCCGCATCCGTCCAGCCTCGCCAGTCGACTTTCAAGATCCGCACAGAGCCATCTGCCGAAGCGATTGCCAACTGACCAGTCTCGTCACGACTTGTGTCGACCGGGCGCCACGCAAGTTGATTGATCGTCTTAGACGGACATAGGTAATCGTCAACATTAGTGCTCGTGACCTTGACATTCTCGAGGTTGTCATCATATTGGAGCAGATGCAGGGAGATTGTCCCGTCGTCTTCACCTGCGGCCAGAATCGACCGTCCGCCGCAAGACAAGACAGAAATTGCAGTCACTGCCGTTTTGCGGGTGATTTGTGCCTTGCAGACAAACTCGAGTTGCTCGCTGTTCGGGTCGGCAACCCACACTTTGACGCTTTTGTCCCTTCCCGCGGTTGCGAATGTCGGTCTTTGAGCGTTCTCCAGCCACGCAGCGTCCAGAATCATACGAGAGTGAGCCTTGTTGTTTGTCGCAACGCGAGTCCACGTTTGCGCGCCCTGAGCGTCTTCTGAGCGTCGGAACACAGCAAATTGCCGATCACGGCCAACGCTAAGTAGATATCCCGCGGGCTGGGTTGAAAACGCAAGTCGCGTGACAGTCAGCGAATGTGCTTTCAGTGGAGGCTTCATTTCGTTCCAGCTGTTGGTATCGTAGAGACGTATGACAGCATGGTCAAGTGAGCTGGCCTTGCACGCTGTAGCGAGCACACTGCCATCGGTCGGAGCGGCGGCCTCGGAGATCTCGTAGCCGTGGCCGTATAGTTTCTCGTGTTCGGGCCATAGAGTATGCCGAGACAGTAGATCTTCTGTTGGCGGCTCTTGGATGTCAAGTAGTGATGCACCCATACCGTCTGTCACTGAGAGTCCTTCCATAGCGGCATCCGGCGCCTCTTCAGTGTCATCTACAGCCTTGTTCGAGAGTCCAAGGACAGGAATGGCAGCCGTGTCGGGTAATTGCTTGTCTGTGTCTGGTAAGGGGATTTGACAGAGTCTGTGCAACATCTGGGCAATGTCCTTGGGCTCGTTGAAAACACGAAGCAACTTCTCGTCCGCTCCCGAGGAGAATTGATGAGGCGTCGTGGTGGCAATGCAATTGAGATCGTAGCCGTGAATCTGTGGGCGCGAGAATTCGTGCCAGCTTCGTTTCTCGCCTCTTTTCCATTCGGCGTGGAGTCTCGTCGTCTGATCTGAGCTCGTTGAGAGCAGGTAGCTTCCGTCTGGCGACCAGATTATCCCGTTGACGGAGTTGATGTGCCCGCTGACAGCGTATTTTTGAGTCCAGAACTGCGACTCGGCATTGTATTGCCAGAGTCGCCAGCTGCCTGTCCGGCCAAGACAGGTGACCATCTCACCATTCGGCGACCACAGTCCCGTCCAGAAGCCGCCAGATGAGCCCGTTGCAGTTGTCGCGCCTTTCTGACCGCTGATCTCACCCAGGCGAGAAATGCTTATCCAGATCCCCGATACTGGATCCGACTCCCATACTGAGAGAGATCCGTCTGCTGAAGCTGTGAGGAGTTGTGGCGTGGAGGTCTTCGGACTCCATGCTGCCGAGTAGACCCAATCTTCGTGTCCAAGTAAGAGTGCCTCGAATGTGATCGAGTATTTCTTTCCTCCAGCTGATACACTTTGAACTTTAGCACTGAGTGTGTTCGTCCCATTCGAGAGATTGCTCGCATCAATGGCTTTCTTTCCGTTTACGAAGTCTCCGGACTGAAAGCGCCACAGCCGAACGTATTTGTCTTGACTGGCGGAAGCCAACAGGAAGCCGCTCTCAGAGACCGGTGTCAGTGCCAGCGATCGTATCCATGCCTCATGCCCAGGTAGGGTTGCGCAAAGCTTGAATTGTGGTGTCGTCGACACATCTTCGATAGAATAAATTTGGATATCGTTGCGTGTGCCTCCAACGACCAGAAAGGCCGAGTCGTTGTCTGCGGTACCTGAGAAAGGGCCTAGGGCCAAGGCAAGGGGCATAAACTTGGGTTTGAGGGTCAAGCTAGACAGTGCCTGGAGCTTGCCATTGTCAACTCTCCACAGCCTGATCTCCGCATCCGCGCCTCCAGTTGCAAAGACACTACTCTGGCTCAGGACTGCAATCGTATTTACGCTACCATCATGCGCAGTAGCCTTGTCCACGCATTTCCATCGCTCGCCTGTTTCCCAAAGCCGAATCTCTCCGTCAGCAGCGCCGGTTACCAAAACCTCACTTGTGGCTGGCTCATCTGAAGTGGAGAGAAATTTGACAGCCGTGACTTTTGCGTTGTGCCCAGAAAGTAGGGATGATAGTCCGCGGCCTGAGCCATTCAACGGTGACCAGATCGCAACATTCTGGTCCGCGCCGAAGCTCACAAGACCAGAGGCAACCGACCAGTCGGCTGCTGCACTATTTCTGTTGCCGCCGACCGTACGATACTCGTCTTCGATCACAGGAGGCATTGGTAGGGAAAAAATTGATTTAGTCTGAAGATGAATGAAAGCCTTGCGTAGAGCCTTGCCAAGGGTTTCTTTGCAGTCGATCTAATTGGCCGATGATCTCAGCCTCGCCATATGTAAGGTACACGGTGGTGGTGCAGCAGATTATGAACATGTAGTTAGAACGATCGTTCATGAATTGTCAAGCAAACATAATCCGAACCAGGCGCCTGCCCATTCAATCCGCGTTCCAAAGCAAAATGTCCATGTCTTCGCCCGTCATACACAAACTAACATCCCATCACCCTTGATACGCCACTAGAGAAATGAGATAGACTTTTCCTTCAATCAACAACCACAAACTACCAAAGACCTGAGCAGGACCCTGATGAAATGACCAGACTGCCGAATCAATATCGACGTACGCAGTCTCTGGCATCAGGGATTCGACTGTGAGAGTGGCTCTTCGCGAAATGTGCTAGCAAGCCCTCCCAGGTATCGAAGGGACTTCCCGGACAATGATCATTCTTCGGACATCGCCATTTGTCACCCGTCGCGAAGTGGTTCCATAGCGGTGTTTTGCTCCTGAGTCTCCTCCTTTTGACAAGAAATCCGGCGAGTCGCTCGAGCTGTTTTTGAACACTCTGCTGATTGAGGTACAGCTTTGTTCTGGCCTCCAGGAATCTGACTGTATCGTGATGCTTGGATTTCTTTTGGCGGAAGTATTCACTCTGGCGCATATATCGCCCTTGCGTGTCTCTCGAGGCATCAACGGGCTTCGTTGCTTGCGGTCTCCTTTTCCACTCATCAAGCTTCATCCAACCCAGACCAAAATCGAGAGTGACAGTCAACCTCTCATACTGTACCTTCCCATCGTCTCTCTCATCTGTCATGTCGTCGTCTGCTGACTGAGATTCCGCGATTCGGTAATTGATTTCGTATGAGATAAAATGCTTCCAGTGCTTCATATGTTTCTCCAGCGTTTTCAAGGTCCTCTTCTCTTTCTCCCCTGTACCTATACTTAGGACGAGTGCTGGGGCCTTGTTCCCCTGCTGCCAGCTGACTTCATTATAAGCTTCAACGGTGGGATTGTTCGCGACCAGACCACCGTCCAGAAAGGTAATGCCGTGGAGCAGCAATGGGTCAAAATATCCCGGGGCAGCCGAGGTGGCTTTGGCTATGGTACTGAGGAAGTACTCATGAGCGGGACCAGGATTGTGGTGGCGCTTCGACTTAGGGGGGTTTCCGATGTCATACGAGCGAAAAATGTAGGGTTTCCTCCCATCCTCGTTCGTGGCGACCACCATCCTGCAGATCATTAACAATGGAGTAAGCCACTAGATCCGCTACTTACGTCTTGCAGAGTTTTTCTGGGGATTTGAGGGGGACCTTATCCCACAGCTCAGTTTGAATAGAAGGATTGTAAAGTCCTGTGACTTTCTCGACCACTTTTTCGACGTTGTCGCAATCGTACTTGCCTCTATTCGAGAAGGGATTCGACCTTGCATTGAGCCTCCTTGGCTTTCCGAAAACTTTGCCACCGAGCGAGATGTATTCTTCGATGCAGTGACCTACGGTCATGCGAAGTCTTCCAAGCATCATCGCAATCAATCTGGCAACGTCAGTGTTGCCTATGTTAGCTGAAGAGAACTTACCCGCCAGTAGATGTGCCGGCCATGAAGTCGAAGTAGTGACATGGCAGATACATATATTCCGGACGTTTCAAATCCGACGTGGCGCTGGAGATGTCGTCTTGATTCAACCTTGACTCTTTTTCTGTGCTTCCATTGATAGAAGACTGAGCGCTCCCAGATTTGGGATCTTTGTAAGATGCTGGATAGAAGCTGTGGTAAGCAGGTTCAGGGTTTTGCTGCTCAATTTGCGCAATTTTCTCCATCAAGGCCCGCAATATGAAGAGGCTCGATAGGCCTCTGATGCCGCCTCCATCTGTGGAAAAATAAGCAAGCAAAGAAAGACATGCAACTGTTGAGACACACCTAAGGACAAGAGGAGTTTGTCTTCCCATATATTGGCATCCGACTTTGCTTGACGTGTTGTTTGTGCTGGTGCCGCTCTTGCGGGCGAGTGTGATATTCGTCGGAAAAGGGTCTTGATTGGATTGCGTGACTTGTGCTGTCTGTTGTTGTTTTCCATGGCGTGATGATACGACAATTATTAGGTTTGATGGCTTCGATCAGTCTGGTTGTGGAAGAAGATAAGCGGGTTATATAGCCTCTCGGTCACGGTACCTGTTTTTCAGCCTCATCCCCACGACAGGGAAAGGCTTGACAAGTCCAGTGTACACGAATAGTGGGCAGAAGGCGGTGCGCACGCCGCAGCTAGATCGCCCCAATGCGGCATGAAACCATTCTGGATGAAAAAGGGGGCTTCTTCGGCGCCAGATTGTGCAGGCATCATGTACCAATACCCAGCATAGAACAGTATGCCAGCCTTAGCCGCCATTAGTCACATAACACCCCTTGCCTGGACAGCGGCGCAAGCGAGACAAGACAAGGGTACTGCGGAGGTGCGCCAGCGAGTTTCATGACGCGGCCCGGTCATGTAGGAAGATTTTGGTATGAAGAAAGGCTGAGTCCAGTCATGGTACAGATGATGGCACAGATGATGGCACAGATGATGGCACAGATGATGGTTCTCACATGTGTGTTCTGAGAATAGGAGTTCGACCTATGCACTGCCTCCACGTGAGACGGTATGTTACACAAGCCCCTTTGTTACGGTGGTCGAACGACGGTCAGGCTGCCAATCAGATCTCCTGCCGTACCATCCGAAGACTTGGTAGAAGCTGTGGCTTCGTTCCATGCCACATTGAGAGGACATGGTTTCCGGCCCATACATCGAACGCGACAAGGTTTCCCTTCGTGTATGCAGGAAAGATCCCTATAGATAGGAGACGCTGTGTGGCGAGGGATTTGGTATATGCACGTCGTTCAGTCGCGTGGTGAAAGAGGACACAAGTGCCGACCGACACTGAAACCCACCGTAAGGCTGAGGCTTGTTATGATGGACACGATGATTGATGTTGATGCTGAATTTTCTGGCTGCATGATGAAGCTGTGTGGCTTGACGTCTGGTTGATTTGTCGTGTTTCATCCTCAAAATCATGGACTCGAGCTTCGATTGAGATCCGTCAGGATGAAAGAATGTTGGTAAGGACTAAGAAAGCTGTTTCCCATTAGTAGTACAGTAGAGTACTTCTGGGCAAACTTTTTGATTGGTCCGGCGTCATCTACGCAAAAAAGGTCTTGGAACAGGAACATAGAACGCAAGTCTTTTCGGCTTGATGTGTCTGGGGTTACTCTTCGGTCAGTCTGGACAGAAGAACCCGCAGGTAGCTGCAGGATTTTCCAGACTAATCTTGATCTACCTGGGTCAAGGCTGTCTCGACGAGGCCGGAAGCCATGTCGGAAAACCTCAACCTCACAGTCGAATTCAGGTATGCACTTGCTTCCGCTTTGCCGAATTTTACTGACATAGCAACAGCGGCGGCCTGGAGATGCTCTTTGACAATATCACTAAACACTCAGTATCATTGTCGAAAAATGCGGACAGCGGTAACGCAGCCACAGTGGGCTTCCTAGTGCGCTACATATGCGATCATCTCATGAAAGATTCGCGGAAGGAACTATTCGTCCTCGATGGCGCAGTGTATGTCTACATTACGTTAAAGCCGACTGAGAGGCTAACTCAAAACTAAAGGCGTCCGGGCATCCTTGTCCTAATCAACGACTCCGACTGGGAACTCGAGGGTGAAGAGAAATACGAGCTCGCCAACAATGATAATATTCTCTTCGTGTCTACACTGCATGGCGGCTGAAATGCTGAGCACCTAAATGGCATCAACCTTTACGTCAACAGATCACGCATCTAACGTCTCGTTCCGTCGTGCTCCATCAGCCTACGATAATGTTGTTGGGCTGCCATTGCGGACGATTACGCAATCATACAACATCATGCATCCTCACCGCCAGGTTCTCGGCATCCTCCGGCGTCTTCACGCCAGATGCCTGGGGCTCCGGTGTCCCAGAACCTCGGCCGCCGCCGCGAGGACTTCCTATGCCGCTTCCCAGACCGGGCACGGGTGTGACGAATCCACTTGGTGGTGCAGGGGCTTTTATACCTTCTGGCGAGGCAGGTATAATCTCTGGTGGAAGGTCCGGGATTTTGATGCGCTTGGCCTCGTTATTATAGCTTGCAGGAATGATCTGTCAAATATCAGTATTGGCACCGATGCTTCAAGCAGCAAACGCACCTCGATGATCTCATCCCGTGGGAAGGAGAGGAAGGGGATGTCGGCAGCGTTGCAGGCCATTAGGTAGCCATAAAGAACGCGGAGAACACTCTCGTGAGCGATAATGAGTAAATCATTTTGTTCCCTCTCCAATTCAAGAATCACGGGCTCCAGTCGCACAGCGACATCGTGGTAAGACTTGCAAGGTCAGTTGTGCGGATGACATGTTCGGTGGCTGCTTCTTACCTCTGCTCTGGGGAATCTGTGGTGATAGGGATCCAGCTCATGCTTTAGCACTTCTTCGGGATAATCCTGACGAATCCTCCGCTCCGACTTCTTTTCGCATACTCCAGGGTTGAGCTGGCTCATCTGAGATCGTTGCCTGACCTTGAAATTCTTCTCTTGTAGGAATGCAGATGTCTCGACAGTCCGCCGCCGTGTCGACGTCCACACAATGAGTGGCTTAAGCGGGGTTTCCGGACCACCCTTTCCGATTATAGCACGTCTTTCCTCCTCTCGATGCTTCAACAGGGTATCTGTCATCTTCCTCGCGTACTCTCTCCCTTGCGGAGACAGGGAAGCGTCGGCTTTGAATGATTCCTCTTCCAGTGTCACGCCTGCGCGTGCGAAATATGTATGTCGTGATTTGATGTGTAAATTCAACAGATAAAACACAATACGGTGAGACAGGTATCCAAAGTTGGTGTTGTTGACGACGATTCTCTCTCCGGCGTTGATCATCTTAATCCAATCAAGATCTGGCTCCTCCATGGTCTCGAAATGAGGTATTTTTGCTGACATGCGACTGAGATAGTGCTTGACGGCATCACCCTCGTTCCAGCCATAATAGTCTGGTGAGGATATCTTCACGCTGCGCACATTCTCCTCGATGATCCGTTGGTCGTCGCAACTAGACTCGATGAATAGACACTTGATGTCGTGTTTGGCGAATTCTTTGGCGAGAGATCTCCGGCCAGCAGCAAGGGGGTTAACGGCGTCATAGATGGCGATTTGACCGTTCTCGTGGTTGAGGAAGTGGTAGATGTCCTCTCGGCATTTCTTGAGGATCTTCTGTCGCAGTAATACAGAAGAGGCGGACGCATTGACAAAGAAGTAATCGTCGGGTACATCCTTGCCCTGGCCTACAATCTCTCTTCGGTAGTCGCCCAGGTGGAAGATTCGAGTTTTGACGCCCAGCCAGCGCAGATATCGAGCAAGTGCCACAGATATGTGTGTCTTTCCGCGTGCGGGAAGACCTACTGTAGCAATCGCAATGCGACCCGCGTGGAATAACCGACCTGATTCGGTGCTGTAGAGCTGAGCCGGTGCCATTTCTCCCCTCTCGGGAAGGTCGTGGATGGCATCAACAAAAGTACTCGACTTCCGCCTGTAGCGGGGCGAATTGACCGCCGAGTCAGCGGTGAGTAGAGTATCCATGTTGTAGGATGGAGCTGAATGGTCGGCGATAGGTGATCTAGTGCGCCGCAATGTTGGAAGGTGCTCTTCAGTCCCAGCCTCGGGCCAGCGGCGGCAGACAGCAGGTCTGCAATGCAACTATTTGTGCGAGAAGGTCAAGAGACATCGACAGCGAAATGTGAGAATGTATTTTCGATTCAGAAGAGCAAGGTCCGACGCAGATAAGAACTTCGACCTGATGTAAAGGTCTAATATCGATTTGTCCGCTTTATTATCGACCATCAACTCAAGAAGCCGATGGCGTCGATAACGAGGCAAAGACTCGGGATTCGAAGGAGTATATTGAATAACGCCGGTCTGACAGCACCATCTTTGCAGCAAGGTCCGCCTTAGAAACACCCGTCAGACAGACTTAGTCAGAAAGGAGTTAGTGTCCGCCTCGGACTTGGCAAGCTAGTAATGATTCTCAGATTTCCTGCGCCAGCAAAAGTGATGAAGCTGTCTTGACCAGCCAAACAAGTCTCCAGTCACGAGAGCATCATCCTACTCAACCACCTTCCCTCTCATCCTCCTATCTCATCCGACCGCGTCCTTGTCAGTGGGCAGGTGTAGTCACGTCGGGCAGAGAGGTTGCGCAGAACTTCTGCACCAGAAACGATGGCCGTGGTAGAAGAGAAATCGGCATCATCTCCGCTGGGCTTTTTGACGGACAATGCTCTATCGCTAGCCATTTCAGACACCTACGCAAACCTGCAAGAGAGGAGGAAACTCCTTGGTCTCCACAATCCTGGCACCGTTGATGGTATCGCACGGGAAGTTCAGAAAGATGTGCTCCTATCTAATTTCATGTTCTCCGGCCTGCGTTGCGACCTCCAGAAGGTCTTCAGCATAAACCCTCTCTTCCGACTACAACATGGCTTCGCGATGGGTTCGCAGGCGCTGCCGCCTTGGCAGTTGATGGCGCTATACGGCAATTCAAGTGTACAGGCTCTTCCTTTCATATGCTCGGATGCACAAGTTGACCAGACAATTTTAGGTGTTTATGCAAGCCGCATACTCAAGCGACAAGTCATTGACGGCATGGGGTAACCTGAGATGGACTCCCCAGTTCGTGACCAAGACGCAAACCTCAATCGATCCTCGTCAAGCGCAGACCATGATTCAAATCGACAACGAATACACTGGCGATGATTTCTCTGCTTCGGTCAAGGCTATCAGCCCTTCGATCCTCGACGGCGGACTCACCGGTATCTTTATTGGCAGCTACCTCCAGTCACTGACTCCAAGCTTGTCGTTGGGTTTGGAAGGTGTCTGGCAACGGGCTGCGCTCAACTCGAAGCCGGAGACGGCCATGTCATACTGCGCAAGATACAGGGGAACAGACTGGGTTGCTAGTGCACAATACCTTGCTCAAGGATCGCTGGGAGCGTCATACTGGAAAAGATTGACGGAAAGAGTCGAGGCAGGTGCGGACTGTCAGGTACAATTTGCACCAGGTATGGGCGGATCAGGCGGCCTTTTTGGAGGTATCAGACGGGAAGGAAATACCACCTTGGGCGTCAAGTATACCTTTAACACAGCTGTGTACCGAGCCCAGGTTGACAGCGCCGGCAAATTTGGTGTCGTTCTGGAGAAGCGGGTTGCAGCTCCAGTGACTGTGACCTTTGCCGCCGAGATCGATCAGTGGAAGGTGAGTTACCCAATATTGTTCCAGTGGTCGCTGCATAAACTAACTTGTGTCCTGCAGAACACCCACAAGCTTGGTCTCGCAGTTTCTCTGGAAGGAGCGCCAGAAGAACTGGAAGAGATCGCCCAGAGACCCGAAAACCAAACCACCCTCCCACCACCCATCTAAACTTCTCGAAAAGTGGGCGCGATGCCGGGCTCTTCGCTCCAGGATATGCTGAGGCCCATCCTCGAGGCACAAGGCGCCTCTCCCTTGAAAGTATTCGATGTTGTTTTACTATTCTCTTCACTCCTCAGCAGGCCTTGACAGGATTCTTCCCGTACAGAAGTCATTGCACTTGTTCTGATGAGCGGAAGTCCCCCACACAACAGCTACTTGACCGGCGTTTGGACTCACCACTGTTGTAACGTTGGCATACCTTGGGGGAAAAGTAGGAATGATCTGCGCTGGCATATTTGCCCGGCCTCTTTATTGTACAATGGAGATATGACGAGATCTGCTGGACGCGGAGAGCCCGCGCTGATGATTCCGATTCAGACACTTACCATACTGCATAATAGAAGGCTTGTACCAACACATCTGACTGTTCACTGAGGTTATTCCCGGCTAGATGTCTCATTGTTCTTTGCCCTTTTTGTGCGTGAATAGCCTTCTCACGGTTGTTCGGACTGAATGGTATTCGGCTAGCTAGTTCGGACTCCTCGTAACAGCAATGCATCCGGGCAGTCTGATCCGCCTGTACTCAGAGGTGACCATTGAGTTTTGGAAAGGAATAGTATCCGAATGGCAGGGGTCATTTGCCGTGTGCATGCATGAGGTTGTCCAGCTGGCATGATAAGTGGCCGGATGTGCTTTCCTGCATGAAGGAGGTGCAGGTAGGTCGCTTCCCACTCACCTCCTCGTCAAGAACAGCGCGCCGCCTTCGTTGGGAAACCCTTGGCGTTGGCTTCAGACCACATTCGACGCACATGAAAATATGCAGGACCAAAGGACAGGGTAGAATCGAATTGTTGGGGATGGGTTTTGCATCGGTGGGAAAGGGAAGCGATTCAACCTCAGCCAACGAATACGTGAATCAAGAACATCGGAAATGATCTGGCCTGCAAGATCCTCCAACAGAAATTAAACGTCGACAGCCTCGTCGACGATTTAGAATCCTCCCTGTTTGGGTGAAGCCTTTCAGGGCCGTGCGATCCCGGCCATGAGAGACGCCCCGAAGCAGGTGGACATGATTATGCTCCGACGATTCGCTTGGGGTCCAGTGAGTCGGAATAACCTTGCAGGACGCATCAAAGGTGAGGCGACCTCAAAGGCCGGCTAATTCCAGTGGATGACACCCTTCTATACTCCATGTTTATGCATAGTACTCCGTGCAGCCTGCAAGAGACTTGCAACCCAAGCCGAGTGTTAGATCGCAAAATGTCTTTCAAAGTCAACGCATCTGTTGGGCTGGGAAAAGCACCCGGCATGGTTGCACTATTCGTTACTGAAAGATGCATCTCATTGGGCTGCATGCACAACATACTCTGTAGCTTGGTGTTGCTGTGTAGGTATCAGTCTTGGTGCTTGACTTAGGCCGGCATGGGTCGAGATCTACAGATGGATCAATCATGAGACTACACAATACCCAGGCTCCATGGATTGGCGATTAAAATAGGGATTTCAAGGGATCAAAAGAGGCTGTGTGGACGGCGTGGACAAATGTACTGTGGTTAGCTTGGTCAGCCCTGGACCCATTTTTTGCATGTTGTGCAAGATTGCAGTCCCGTGCTTCCTTGGTCGACTCGCTGATATTGCGCCGCACAACTCTAACAAGAGCCTGATGACTCTGGTTGTGAGAGCAACAGAAAGGCTGAGGTCAGACTGTGAGATCCAGCCCCAGCCGACTTTTGATTTTGCTTTGCTTTGACGGCGGCAAGTCTGCCAAAAGCAGGAAATATCGCGTAGGACACTGCAAGGTACCTATATATCTGTCCTTGTCAATCCGGCGGACGTTCCGACTCGTGCCCGCTAAGGACCATTCGACTTGAACTCCTGGTCTCCAAGCACGGAGCAGCATCGAGGGGGCTCCATCTGGGTCGAGTTTTTCTCCTCGCCCATAACGTATGTGTGGTGCTTTTTCTGCATGCTAGTCCCTCGAATCCGGATAGCCGAGAGTATTGGTGAGAGGGTCGGATGACGTTGATGGCACTGCAGTAGCCCAGAACCACACAGTTTTGTATGGCTCTGGTTCGTTAAGCGACCCGCCTTGCTGCAGAAGTGCCCGTGCCATGCCTGTGAGAGCATTCTGTATGATACAAACATCTCTAGGTGAGATGAATGTCTTGTGTACCGTCAAGCTGGATCTGGGTGCGCAGCAGAGTAGCCATGATCCAAATTCTGTCCCGATGCCCGTGACCAGATGGGCTCTGTGCTTCTCTTCGATACTACAGCTGTGGCACGTTCGAGGTCTAGCTATGGGGACAGGGGCACAATTCGAACCCGGACACAGGCCTGCGAGGCATGGTCCAAGCACCAGGAATAGGCACACGATTGGCTGTCGCCAGTCAGCCGCTGCAGGAGCACGTGGAAAGGGACTTCTTGACCCAGAGACGCTATGTGCAATCCGCAACTAGTAGAGAGCCAAACAGACTGCCGCAGCATTCCCAGGGAATTGTTCTTTTTCGTAACAAATCGGTGTGATTTGGCTGGTTGACGAGTCCTGTTGAAGCTTCGTAACGGGCGGCCGGTAGTGGTGGATCGTATATTTTTCGATAGAACGATGTGAATGGACTCTCCAGCTGCCAAAGCTATTTAGTGACGATGGAGCCCTGAGCCCAGCATGATGGAGACATCATGCAACCCGCAGCGGGCTTTTGATCAGTGAGGGGCAGTGGTCCATCATCTGACCAGCTTCTTTCTTCCCTGTCTGGCCCTTTTTGCAGGTCATGCAGGTCTGCGTGCCTCATCCTCCTCCTGTTCTTGTCCTTGAGTTTTGCCCCCCTGAGCGCGATCTTCACGCCTGATCTGCCCAGACTTGTTTCGAGTTGTCAACCATTTCCGCATAGTGACGGCCAGGATGGCACTGAGGGGTTCAAGTCGTCAGCGAGTAGCGGGACCTGGGTATTTTCATGGCAATTGCTTTTGTGTGTTGCAAGGCTTTGATGATATAGAAATGCAAGTAGGTGTTTTAGAATCAATTGTGCCCATTCGTGAGATTGTAAGAGCGTCGTGAGATTGTAAGAGCGTCGTGAGAGAGAAACAGGGTAAGAAGTGGTCATGCCTGCAGTCAAAATGCAGTCATAACTTTGTGGCCTTGAGGGCCCTGTTGCGTTGCGCCTGCAGTTGCTTGCAGGCACTAAGCAAGAACCCCAAAACAATAAAAAAAGCCTTTAATAACTAATAACCCTGCCCCCAGGACACTCTGGCTGTCAGTCAGTCTTGCTTGTCAACTGTTTAACTACTATTATTATTCCTTCTATCAAGACCAAACCTGCGCCTGCCCGCGTTGCTGCACTTTGCCTTCCTCGAAACACTTCGAAAAGGTGGATTTGGCAGGTGGAAAAAGCAAACTGCAGTCTTCGTCCTCCTGTCCTGCGCCCTCTCAATCCGTTTCAACTTCACCTCGTAACTCCTTCACCTCAGAATTCACTTAACTTCATCTTTAAATACCGACCTTTGCACTCCCTCCGCAACTCTATCCATCCTACGACACAAACGACACTCTGCAACTACTCCGCGTGCCTACGATAGCAGTTCTCGTATACACAACCCCGGCTTCCATCATCGTCGCCCAGAGTTTCCACACCTCATCTCGAAAGCCTCAGCTACGCAAAGTGGGGAAATTAGCGCTTCTTCCGCCAACCCTCACCTGCTCCCGCACGTCTCTGCATACCTGATCCTCGACCATCTCTTTGCCCTCGAATTCCCTGCGTCGTACGCTTTCGAGGTCCTTTTTGCAAAATCGAAGAACTGGTTATTTAGACATCTCGCTTTCAACCTCCATTCAACCGTCGGTCTTCACTGTACACCTCGCACCTGCGCTTCTCCTTGGACAGATTCGTCGCTGGCTCCCTAGATCACCTGCACGTCGCCAAAGTGGATCCCACACTTCCCTAGCACTCGACGATGTCGCAGAACAGGCCTGGAGGTGTCTTCTCTGGCTTGCGCATGGGCGGTAGGTCTCTTTCTGAACCCCTCGACACTTGTCGGGATTTCAATGTTGTCCCTTGGGCACGTGCGCTGACGCATACACATAGAGGTAGTGAGGGAGAAGGTCCAGGATGGCCTTACCGGCGAAACAAGAGAGATGCAATATACACAATGCAAAATTGTTGGTAACGGATCGTTCGGCGTGGTTTTCCAGACAAAGCTTTCTCCGAGCGGAGAGGATGCTGCGATTAAGCGGGTTCTTCAAGACAAACGATTCAAGGTAAAACTTACCGTAATTCCATCATTCTTGCGCGATTTGCTGACTGTTGGCTATCAGAATCGTGAACTACAGATCATGCGGATTGTGCGGCATCCGAATATCGTGGAGTTGAAAGCCTTCTACTACTCGAACGGAGAGCGGGTAAGTCAGAGCTTGGTAGTCCTGCTTGCGTCTTGAAGGTTGCGCTGACGTTTTCGAAACAGAAAGATGAAGTCTACCTCAACCTCGTCCTCGAATACGTCCCTGAGACTGTCTACCGAGCGTCCCGATACTTCAACAAACTGAAGACTACCATGCCCATTCTCGAGGTCAAACTCTACATCTACCAACTGTTCCGATCGTTGGCCTACATCCACTCGCAGGGAATCTGCCATCGAGACATCAAGCCGCAGAATCTTCTGCTCGATCCGACAACTGGAGTCTTGAAGCTGTGCGATTTCGGAAGTGCGAAGATCCTGGTTGAAAATGAGCCAAACGTCTCCTACATTTGCTCTCGATACTATCGCGCACCTGAATTAATTTTCGGTGCAACAAACTACACAACCAAGATCGGTATGTATTGCCATGGCTCGGTCGGCGCCTTTTTACTGACGAAAAACAGATGTCTGGTCGACTGGTTGTGTTATGGCAGAGTTGATGTTGGGTCAACCTCTGTTTCCCGGCGAATCGGGTATTGACCAACTCGTCGAGATCATCAAGGTCCTTGGTACTCCGACCCGAGATCAGATTCGCACCATGAATCCGAATTACATGGAGCACAAATTCCCTCAGATCAAGCCTCACCCGTTCAATAAGGTTTTTCGGAAGGCCTCGCCTGATGCCATCGACTTGATATCGGCTCTTTTGGAGTACACACCAACACAACGATTGTCGGCTATCGACGCAATGATTCAACCATTCTTCGACGAATTGAGAGATCCGAATACGCGTCTACCGGACTCCAGACATGCTGGTGGTGCCTCGCGCGAGCTTCCAGCTCTCTTTGATTTCTCTCGACATGGTGCGTATTGCGAGATATTCCTTTAAGTTCCGTTGGCTGACTCAAGCATTAGAACTTTCTATCGCACCTCATCTCAACAGCAAGCTTGTTCCACCACATGCACGATCACTCCTAGCTTCTAGGGGTATTGACCTGGACAACTTCACCCCACTCTCCAAGGATGAGATGATGGCTCGCCTTGATTGATTCACGCAAGCAATGGCAAAATATTTACGAAGTCACGTCCGAGAGGAATCTTGTTCATCGATACGTGCATGTCCCTTGGCGTTCTTGCAACGTATCGCCGCCCGCTCTACAACTGGCGTTCAATCATCATGTGTCAGATGGATATCTTAGCATCAGAGAAGGTATCCGTCACGGGTAACACCGGCTTTTTCATGCGGGTCAGAGATTGGAGCTGGAGGTCCTTCCGACCAACCCTCCACATGGGCTGGGGCTGAGCGTTTCACGAAAAATTTGACCGTTTATTGGCCGGGCATGGAGGTCTGGTCTTGTCATCAGGCCAAGCAGTGTGTTTTTATAGCATGAAAGGGAAGGGAAAGAAGCTGAACAGGGAGCTCGAGCATCTTGGGCAAAAGGCCGGTGCTCAAAGAACATGCAACAGACGATATCCAACTGTTCGTGTATCTCTAGGGTGTGCATCTTGTAAGAGGTGACACGTCTAGACAACCTCGGCCAGATGGCTTTGGAGGCTTGACAAGACCTCAAAAATAAGAACATGTCATTCAGAACTGAATCGTGGACGAGTAGTACGAGTTCTTGAGGTGTGAATTGCCTGTATACTAGTATGTTGTACTCTAGTCTGCCCTTACAATCTTCAATTGCTGTTGCGGCGTCGCTCATACTATTCAAGAAGTTGCGGAGGTGATGCCAAGATCGACTATTCCTGCCTCTTAGTAGCAGCTAGTGGATGCTAGGCTAATGCGCGAGTTTAAGGATAAGTTTCATGGTTGCTTCTCCAAACGCGAACTTATATGCACCAGCCTGCGCTCAACTTTACGTCTCCCTTGAAAAACGTGTCAACGACTCCTGGTACCTATTCGAGACGCGACTACAACGAGCACCATCCCTGATGGCTGACCACGACCGGCGTCGTCCTCGGGGCGGAGGAGGAGGAGGAGGAGGCGGTGGTGGTGGAGGCGGCCATTTCAATAACAGGAAGAGAAGATATAGAGGTACGAACATTCATGAGACGACTTAAACAACAGCTCATTCAGTGATACTCCAGATGACGACTTTGAAGATCGTCGAGGTCCACAGCGCCGCCGCTATGAGGAACCGTTGGCCGTAACAGTGCGCAAACAGGTTCTTTCCGTTGCTGAAAGCGTGAGTTATCCGTTTATGGTCTTGTTACAAGAGATTGATGAACTTGCAGCCAATTCGAAAAGCAGAGGAAGATGTTGCCATCATAGCAAAAACGCTCGCAGAGAATTACTTCGACCACGACCTCACCACGGGCTTTGTGGATCTTGTCGCACAGCTGTAAGTGACATCGCCATTGAAGTACGGGCTTATACTGAGGACTCTGCTAGTATCGTCGAACAACCGCTCAAGATCCCCTTCGTTGCCGCCATTGTCCTCCTCGCGAACGTCCATAAGCCGGAGCTCTCTGTAGACGTATTGGCTAAGATCGGCGAAGCACTACAAAGTCGGCTGGATCAGGGAGTTTGGCGAGAGGTTAAGCTCTATACACGGTTCCTGAGTTGCCTTCAAGGCATGTTTGAAGGAGACGGTGTCTTCCCAATTCTCGAAGAATTCTTTTCCAGGGCTGCCGATCTGCAGATGAAGTCGTCTGAAGACGTATTTCCCCTTTGATCCCCCTCCGTCCCATCTCGTACTGATGTTATTGCAGTCGCTGGGCCTCGAACTTGTCAAGATCATCCTACTGACCATTCCCTACACGATGTCCTCCTCGGCGAAAGGCTTCGATGGTCAAGCAAACGCCCTGCTAGAAAAGACGGACATTATCGCCTCGACTGCTCATCCTTTGGAGGTTTTAGTCGACCCATACCCCAGTGCCGAAGTTGGCGCACCGACATCTTCCGAAAGCGCACTGGCGCTCCTGCAGAAGCACATGCAAGAAGAAGCAAAGAACTCGTGGGAGCTGTCATGCTTACCGCGTCCGTGGAAAGGCAGTCGAACCCCTGAAGAGGAGGATGCTCTAAACGCCGCTCAAAAGCACGCTTTTCCTGCGATCAAGGTGCCCGAGACTATCCAGACTGGTCCGCGACCAATCTTTCCCGAGGTCTACTGCTCTGTTTATGGTGAACAAGAAATTGAGACTGTTCCTCTACCATCTGACCCTGCGGCCATCATCATTCGTGATGCTTTGTCAGACACAATCAATGCTCTTGACTTCAATCGCACGGCTGCGGCGAAGTTCCTTATCGAAGTTGATTGCTACTTTAACTCAGAGACCTTTGTAAAACGAGCTACAGCATTCGACAAGTTGCGAGACGTTGCGGGAGACAAAGCTTCCTGGAAGCCTGAAGACGTTATCGTGGACGCATGCTTCTCTCAATTGATGCAGCTTCCTGCACCAGAGCACAAGCTGATCTACTATCACTCAGTGCTAACGGAAGCCTGCAAGCTGGCACCTGCTGCTGTTGCGCCCAGTTTGGGCAGAGCGATCCGGTACCTGTATAGAAATGTCGACAGGATGGACCTGGAGTTAGCTCAACGCGTCCTGGACTGGTTTGCCCACCATCTGAGCAACTTTGGCTTCACTTGGAAATGGACTGAATGGTTTGTGGTTCCGTGTATCAGGCGTCCGTGAGTTTTGCTGACAGTATCAGGATCGACGACGTGAATTTGCCCAACGTCCATCCGAAGAAAGCCTTTATCATAGATGCGCTGGACAAAGAGATTCGCCTGAGTTTCTCCAAACGTATCAAAGGGACGTTGCCAGAGCCTTACCAGGCGCTGATTTCAGAAGCAAAAGAGAAGGATGTCCCAGAATTCAAGTACAGCGATGACTCGACGCCCTTCGCTGCCCAAGGCAGGGAGATCGCACAATTGATACGCCGCAAAGCGGCCAACGAAGAGTACACACCTGTCTTGGCGAAGATCGAACAAGAGGCGGCTGAATCGGGTATATCAGAGCCCGAATTACAGTCAACAGACGCACTTGTCACATCAATCTGCTGGGTCGGATCGAAGTCCTTGTCGCACGTTCTGGCTGTCATAGAGCGGTGCAAAGATCGTCTACTGGCAATGTGCGCAGGCAGTGCAGGTAGCAGGAAACAGATCATCACCTCAGTCATGGATTATTGGAAAGATCAAACAGGGGTTGGAGTGGTCATACTGGACAAGCTGCTCAACTATCAAATCCTAACACCTTCGAGCGTCGTTGAATGGGCGCTGATCGACCATGTCGCTCGGGGTACTATGCTGGCAAACGCTTGGTGCTACGAACTCGTGGAACGGACGACCAAGAAGGTTGCAGCCCGTGTCAGAAGTATTGTGAACGCTGTTCGACAGCCTGGTCTCGCGGATGACCAGAAGAACGAACTCCAGCAGACTCTCGATCAAGAACTGGAGAACATGAAGTCCCTCTACGCTATCATTGAGGATGCTGTCGTGAGTATACGTGATGGCAACCAGGATGAGATGATGGAGAGTAGCGATGCACTGCGTGCTGAAGATGAGGAGTTGCTCAAGACCTGGGGAGGGAAATGGGCCAAGGTGTTTCAGCGCAAATATGCCGTTGAACAGAGCTGGGTGCGGGAAGAGTTGGCCAAGCCAATTCCTGAACCCACGGTTGTGGATGAGCCGATGAAGATGGATGAAGCTGATACCGGTCTGAATGGCGGAGGCGAGAACGGTGCCACTGTGGACGAAGACATTGACGGAATTGAGTAAACAATGGTCGTCGTGGGAAAATAGCATTAGCGAGATGGTCCCAGATATGGGAAAGATCTTCTTGATGTCTGTAATATTAGCATCTTGGACGTTTCAGCCGCATCAACATGCCGCTTGACACAATGACCGGTGTCGGTGACACAGGTCGACATGCTGAACGCTGAACGTATCGTGGTTGACCTTATCAGTTCCAAGCGGTGCAATCCTAGTGAACAATAAAGTCAAGAAAACAGCATGTCAATAGAGTCCGTTGTGATTGTGCACTGCTCCCGCGGAGCCTGTCTGAGATATCATGGTCTATCTGAATTCCTTCAGCCCTTGTGTGCGGTCGACGACAGAGTCTGCACTGTGGTCCACTGCTGTGGTGGCATCGGCCACGACCCGATTTTCAAGATAATACATGTACACCGCTGCTGCTGACGTCGACCTAAAAGATATCGTTGTCCATCGTACCATCATTCTCTTGTGGTGCGTTGTTCCAGGTGCGCGCCTGAACTTGAGCCTTGACATCATTGTTCTCGAGCTCCAGGTTGACAATGTAGTTTGCTAGACCGTTGATGTGATTGTCTGCAGCCGCAAGACGGTTTCGCAAGGCCTCGTTATCCGAGAGGAGGGCGTTGAACTGAGCTTTGAGGTTCTGCATATGGATGGCCATCGCCTGCCTATCTGAGACCAACATTTGGACCTGCTCTTCATGATTCTGGATCTTGTTGAGTACCGCCTGGCGCTGTCTGTACAACTTCGTCTCGTTGTTGGGTCCTGTGCCAGCAGGCTCTTTGGTCACACCGACGAGCTCGAAGATCTCATTCTCGACTTTCCTCTCCTTTTTGCGGAAGACTTGATGTGTTATGTTACGCTTGTTATTGCTCGGACCCTTCCTAGTGGTCTTCACTGGAGTGTTTGCGGTTTCAGACTCGGCTGGAGATGCTGTTAGCGTTTGACTCGAGAATCAGGAGATTGCATGCCAGCTTACTGGGTGTAGCTGGCTGGTAAGCCGCTAATAGATTGAAGTCGAAGTCGAGGTCTGACATGGTGGTAGACGACTCTGCTTCGAGAAAGAGGCTTTGAGAGATGGGAATGGAGTGTTTGAACGGTTGTTGGACGGTGTAGGATCGGTTGTGTTCATGGACAAGTTGATCTGTGATGGTGGTTGAGGTGGAAGAACAAAGAAGAGAAGGAAGGTGTGAGGAACTGCTTTTGTACTTTCTGCGTCTGCCAGCGCGCGTTGAATACAGGCAGTGACGGTATTGTCGTCGTGCGATGCGTGCAATGGAATGAATGCTTCCTATTCAGTGATGGCTGAAGCGCGCGACATAGAATGGTCCGGAAGCTGTATTCTCGTGCATGCCACAGGGCTGAGGTCGGAAACATTATTGGTGAGGGATATTTTCAGTCCTCCTTTCTGTATCGCCAATGTTCATGGCAGAGACTCCCCTCTCGCAGTCTTGATAATCTCACACCTTCAACATAGTCTCCAGAGCACTTATTTACGAATACCATAGCCAGAGAAGCCTCCTGGTGGTCCGACAGGAGGAGCTTGCGGCATGGGGGCAGCTTGAGGACCACCGAAACCTGGAGGAGGAGCGAAACCGGGCGGTAGGCCGTTTGGTTGTTGTTGTGGAAAGCCTGCAGGCATCTGGCCGTATCCTGGAGGCATAAACCCTTGCGGTCCACCATAACCTGCCTGGCTCGGAGGAGGTCTTGCTGGCAGGCCACCTGGAGGTGCTGGTAGAGGAGCAGTCTGTGGCGGAGGAGGCCGTGCTTGGGCAGGTGGTGGCACAGCTTGGTAGCTGCCATTTGGTGGTCCGAAGCCAGCAGGAGTGACAGGAGTCTGAGGCATGCCGCCAAACATTGGACCTCCGACAGGGATTGTGGCGGGGGTAGGTTGCACACCATGAGCTTTGGCTTGGGCGGCAAGCATTCTTTCGGCTTGATCTCCATGTCTCTCGCCTTTGCCGTCCTTCTTGTAAGCGTACTGAACTGAGACCTCTTTGTTCATGAGGTATTGGCCGTTCATGTTTGCGATAGCGTCGTCGGAAGCTTCGAAATTGGCGAAGGATACGAAGCCATAGCCTTTTGACAGATTGTTGTCATCGCGAGCGATCTTCGTGGCGTTAGCATGGTCCAACTCATGGGGAAGAAAAACATACCTTTGGAGCGGCGACCAGGGTACCAAATCGGCCGAATGTGTCATATAGCATTCTTTCGTCCACCATAGGGTCCAGGTTGCCGACAAATAACTCTGCACCGACTTCAACAGATTTCTGCTTGTCGGCGCTGGCCTTATTGACTCGAACGGGCTTGCCATATAACCTCACTTGGTTCATAACCCTGGCGGCATACTCTGCGTCTTCTTCTGAGTTGAATTCGACGAAACCATAGCCTTGGTGACTCTGGGTGACTCTGTCTTTCGGTAGATGTACGTTGACAATGCGACCTGCTTGGAGAAACAGTTCCCATACCAGAGCATCTGTGACTCGCTCGTCAAGATTCCCGATGTAGATCGTCGAATCCTTGTCTTGCTCCCAGTGCCTTGCGCCAGACATATTGGAGACTCTGGCCTATCCCGCCGGATGTACCTTGGTTTCCGCAAACTGTGACAAGAATAGAGACCTGCGGATAGAATGTTTATTGACTGTACACTGTCGAAATAGCCTTTCCTGATGCTCAAGAGATAATACGTGAAAGCCTCGTGAAAAGCAGAATGTCTTTTTTGCTTTGAGACTAGCGTGCCATCAACACATCACGTGCCTGATATTTCGGGCTCCAACTTTTTTGGTGCGCAGCTTCAACTCTTTCCGTTGCATCACCAATATCATTGTTTCCTCCCCAGACTCATTTCTCCGTCGTTCTACCACTTGTGGCTTCGACTTCTTCATAATGGCTCTCCCAGCGATACAGTTCTCGGAAGAGACGAAGGTATGCCGATTATGTGGCCGTGTGAATCGCGGAGTTTGTCTGACGTGCGATCACCAGGAGCGCATTTCCAAGATCATCGACATCACGAAGGAGGTCGTACATTATGGCTACCTGCCTCTAATTCTTTACTTGGGTATGTTCCTAGAACCCTCGGCGAAGATATAGACTCATCGACTGCAGGTTACACACGAAGCGAACCGAAGCCGAACTTGATCAAGTATACCAATACCCGCCCTTATTGCGCTTTGCAAACAGCTGACACTTTCCCAGCTTGATATCTCCTTTCGCCAACTAAAGCCCTTTTGCGGTCACGCTACCTGTACAGTACTATCACGAAGCCCGTCACAGCTGTCAACAAGGTCCCTTTTTCGGGACCATGGTGGAAGGATGCCGGAAATGAACTCAACCTCAGCGGAGTTTTGAACGGAAAAGCTTCGAAAGATATTCAGAAGAACGCGATCGATGCCCGGAGAATCGAGGGAGCCTTAGACTCATGTGGATTTGGCCTGGCGTGGCGATTGTATAACAATTCCATGGTGTTGCACGCACCTCCGGCAGAGGCAGACAGTTGGCCCTGCATTTACTCTCATACTCTCATTCGCGACATCTCTGTGTCATGACGGTCAAGAAGTCTCAAAAATTGATGTGGCTTGTTCGAGGCCTCAATATATGTATACTGCTCGATACGATCGACCGAGAGACGTTGTCGTTCTTATGGCACCTCTAAACCTGCTAATCCTCCTCAGCTCTGCTTGGACGATTCTCAAGATGGACTTCCTGGCTCTCTTTCCTTCGCAGTCGTACTTCGCAACACATGCCGTGCGATCGATCTCGAAATGAATAAGAGGACATCCTGGCCCTTGAGTCTTGTGTCCATCCGCTTCTGCGTGATTATCCGAAGGATCCACGGGTACAGAGATGTCAATGTCCGCCTCGAGAGTAGGGTATTGATGCGTCAAGCACACCGCAGCCATTTTGTTGCATTCATGAATCACACAGCACTTCATTTATTTTTATGTCGAGGTTCGATTGTCAAACATGGCCGGAGAAGGGAAGCCGACAAGGTGTGGCCCGTGCTCTGGAATCGCCATGTTTGCACCGATTGGCACACCGGAAGATGCAGTTCGGGGGTGGAGAAACGGCAAGCCTAGTAGCCCTAACTTAGGCCTCTAGGCGAGGTGGTTGGCCATAAACCGTGGCAGATCCTGTTCCCATGTCTCCAGCATCGGTATCATGGTAATACTGCGGCTCAACTTGTGTGACTCACTGTTCGAAAAGAAGCGTATGGCCTCGATCCAAGTGTCATGCGACTCTTGCCCTGAGCTTTGACAGCCAGCATCAACGCGGATTACGTGGTGATGACAACCGAAGAATTAGGTGCAAGGACACGCCCAGTGCACGCCCCCTCATATGCAGCAGTGGATCTCCCGGGCAATTGGCCTTAGCGCCGCCTTGACTCGGCCTAAGTTTAGAGGCTAACGATCCATCCACCTCGCGCCTCCTGGAGACTTTTCTGGGGGCTTGCCGTCCTTGCTTGCATGCGACTGCACCAGTCTGCCAGTTCGGTTTGGGGCTAATCTACGTGCTCGTTAGTGTTTGGTGGCACTTCCCTTGACGACACTTGACACAGAGAGGAGCCCAAGCTAGTGAGGCCCGTGGTCCAGCATGCCGATTGCCTGCTCCCTGATTTTCCACTCTGTCTCCCCGGCTGCACCTCCTGCATCTCCTCCACCCATCTCGTGCTTCTGCCGCTGCTGGCCCCCTCCACCGAACAAAGAGGCACACCTTCCACTTTTCCAATCAGCCAGCCTGTTACTTCCTCACTTCGCAGCAACCCTTTTTCGCGCCTCTTTGTCTTTGTGGAATCTCCTACAGAATCCGTCAACAAGAAATTACTTGATTCACCGATACTGCGGATAATTAGCCGACATATCGTACCTTGCGGCTCCAGCAGCGGGTGTCCCTTATTCCTCACGCTTGCCGCCTGGGTGTTAAGGAGCTTATTTCCATTTTTCTCCCCTTACCACTAGCGCGCTTTTTGCCTGATCTGGAGGTACCTGCACCTGCGCCCGTCGCAACTCTCTTCCCAATACCTTCTTCAACCTCATGCTGATCCCAATCTAGCCGACATTCTTCCCTTTCCCATAGTCGGCCGAACCTTTAGTTGAGCATCAGTTACTTTCCATCATGTTCAACGCAACACAACATCGCGGCCAGCCCAATCTGGGGCCCGCGCCTCCTGGACCGCCAAATCACCGTCTGAATGAGATCTTTGACTCTCTACGGGCAGAGTTCGAGAATCAGAACCGCGCCTCGGAGCAAGTCGAGAATCAAGTGTCTCAACAAATTCAAGAGATGGAACTGATCCGCAACAAGGTTTATCAGCTCGAACAAAACCAGCTGAAGATGAAGCAAGACTATGAGGCTGAGATTCGCATGTTACGACACGAGCTCGAACTACGTGGTGGACCTCAAGTACAATCTCATATCGGCGCCCCTGCTCAACACAGCGGCCCCGCGCAAGCTCCTCCTTCCCTCGGCCACGGTCAGGGTGGCCTTTTTAGTGGCATCATGGCCAACCAAGGTCAAGGCGGTCCAGGACTCGCTCCACCCCCAGAACAACCTGCTCCTCAACAGCATCCTCTACAACCTCCTCCACCCACTGGTCAACCTCAAGGCCCTCCCCAACCGCCGTCTGCCTTTCCAGGCTATGGCCAGCAAGGACCGACCCTGAACGGCTACGGCCCACAGGCTCAGCCTCCCACAAACTCCCCGGGGCTTGGAAAGAACAGGAACATGACTACACGAGGCGGTCCAGGACCTGCTACACCTCAACAGCATCCGGGTCAGCCACAACCGATGCCATATCAGAATGACCCAAGAGCGTCGCCACAAATTCCGCGTCCAACACCTCCAGGAAGTGACATGCAACTAGGACCCCGTCATCAGATCCCAGGTCAAGGACATTATCCCAATGTTGGCAACGTGCTGGCCGATCTCAATCCTGACGACCTCCCCGACCACTTGAAGCGTATGGGCGCCAATGGCGAATGGCATGCCGTCTTCAATCCCAACGTCCCGCGTGTGCTCGACATCACGCTCTTGCACAACCTCGTCCACGAGTCAGTCGTGTGCTGCGTACGTTTCTCTAATGATGGCAAGTACGTCGCGACAGGTTGCAACCGCAGCGCGCAAATCTTCGATGCTAGAGACGGTCGCAAAGTCTGCGAATTGCTCGATGAAAATGTCCAGGACAAAGACGGTGACCTGTACATCCGTTCCGTGTGCTTCTCTCCTGACGGCAAGTTGCTGGCGACCGGTGCTGAAGACAAGAAGATCAGGGTTTGGGACATTGAGACCAGACAGATCCGAACCATTTTCGATGGTCACGAGCAGGACATTTATTCCCTCGATTTCTCTCGAACTGGCCGACTGATTGCCTCGGGATCGGGCGACAAGACTGTCCGTCTCTGGGACATCGAATCGAATCAACAAGTCATGGTCCTTTCTATCGAGGACGGTGTTACCACCGTAGCCATGTCACCCGATGGCCGCTTTGTGGCTGCTGGATCTTTGGATAAGAGTGTCCGAGTCTGGGACTGCTCCAGTGGATATCTCATTGAACGATTGGAAGGGATGCAAGGTCACAAGGACAGTGTCTACTCGGTAGCATTTTCGCCGAGTGGACGAGAATTGGTCAGCGGCAGCTTGGACAAGACCATCAAGATGTGGGAACTCACCCCACAACGAGGACTGATCCCATCGGCGCAGGCCAAGGACGGTAAATGCATCCGGACATTCGAAGGACACAAGGTAAGCTTTTCACTGCACGATCACTGTTAACAAGTCTAACACATCTTCAACAGGATTATGTGCTCTCGGTTTGTCTTACCCCTGGTGGAGAATGGGTCATGTCCGGGTCGAAAGACCGGGGCGTGCAGTTCTGGGATCCAAACACTGGCAACGCACAGATGATGCTTCAGGGACACAAGAACTCGGTCATTTCGGTGGCTCCTTGTCCGACCGGACACTTGTTCGCTACCGGATCAGGAGACATGAAGGCTCGTATCTGGCAATATACCACCTGGAGAGGAGCGCATCAAGGCATCTAGGGGAGGTCTGAGAGGGGAATGAGTATCTTTTCGGACTCCACTACCGCGGAGGACTGGAGTGGGGGGCAGAGCACCGAACAGAGCACCGATCACAGCCTTATGTCGCTGAGGTCTCTCAGTGAGGAGATGCGGAATCTTAACCCGGATGAGCCAGGACCATCAAAGAAGGGTAAGGGTCCAAAGAAGGGAAAATTTATGGAATATTCGTGACTCGGTTTATTGGGTTATGGTTGGTTGAAATGTCGGCGAGGTGTATTGGGCTGCGCTTCTTTGCTGTGGCAGGCAAAGGCCTTCAGGGGCGAGACACAGAGGGGCCGCTTTTCTTGGGGATGAAATTTGATTTTGTTGCTTTGCGTCGTCTGATGGTGCATTGTGGGACTGAAGCAGAAAAGAAAGCAAGAATAATGATATCCATGCTACTATGATGAGGGTGGTCTGTCTCTTGCTTCCTTGTGCCATTGCGACTCGGGGCGATTGGTGACCTTCACAGCTTCAGTGCTACAAATGTGTATGTACTGTTCGGTATTCCCGCCCACCTTGCATCGCGTTAACCACAAGGGCCGAGGCAAGCTTATCCGTCTTACTGCTCCAAACCAACGGCAGAGAGAAGATCTAGAAGAACAGCAAGCCACCACTGGCACTCACGACACTTCCGGTGACCCATCTGCTCTCCTCAGATGCCAAAAACCCTACAAGAGGAGCGATATCGCGGACCTCGCCGATCCTGGCCTCGGCGGGCGTCGAGTCAATCATGGGCTTCAAGGCATCGATAAAGCTCTGGTCGCTCGCGTAGTACATGTCCGTCGCCACAGGGCCTGGGTTGACACAGTTGACGGTGATACCGCGCGACTGGCCCAGTTCTGTGGCCCACACGCGAGCCAGGGCTTCGGTCGCAGCCTTGCTGGCTGCGTAGACAGTCTGTTGGGGCACGCCCATGCGCGCTGAGACGCTCGAAACAATGATCACCCGGCCGCCGCGCGGGATGTGAGGAAGGGCTAGTTGTGTGAGGAATATGGGTGCTAGTCGGGCTGGTCAGTACCAAGTTCGGTCGTTGATTCGCTCAGGTCCTCCTCGAGGGCCCAATGGGTGCATACGTACCTTTCAAATTGATGTCCATTTGCATGTCGTAAAACTCCTCGGTGATGTCGGTGAGGTATCTGTCGTCGCCATTGCCAGCGTTGTGCACGAGAATGTCGATGTGCCCGGACCCAAGTTTCAGGGCGGCATCGATGAGTGCTTGTTGGCCGACCTTGTCAACTACACTGGCGTGGACGGTCACCGCTTTCGCGCCGGTGGCGAGAGATTCGATCTTTGAGACGATCTTCTCGGCGTTGCTGCGACTGCTTTCGGAGGTGAAGTTGACGACGATGTTGGCGCCACGGGAGCCGAGTTCGAGGGCTATGCCGGCGCCGATACCCCTTGCTGAGCCTGTGACTATGGCGGTCTTGCCGGTGAGGTTGAGTGGGCGCGGAGACTCTGTGGTCGGCATGGTTGTGTGGCCGTTGGTGTTGCCGTTGGTCGTGCTTGTTTCATTGGCACCGGTCATGTTGGCGGTAGAGTGAGGAATGTCAGGTCAAGAGAGACAGACGCAGAGAAAGAAGTGGTAAGAAGTCGCCTTGACTCCTCAACGTTGAATCGCAGATACCCGACTAGATCAGGAGCCTAGACCACCTGTTGAGCGAGACACAAGACCTCGATCTGTCGGATAAGCATTGCAGGATATCGCAATCGTGACCCGGAGGCGACCTGCATGTTTTCCGTAAGCATCGATGGGACATGGCCTCTCTCTGACAGGCGAGAGGTGGATGTTAGCGCTTGCTGGGGATCGTCCGCCGACCCGGTCTGGTTGGGAGTATTGCCTTCTTGAGACAAGGCTGCTGCAAGCGAGGTAAATGTGGGTCCTTACACGATGGCTTGTCATGCTAATACCGATCATGGGTCCAGAGACTGGGTTACTGATATGACATAAGATAGGGCTGCTCTGATGACTACAGTGTTTGACGCTGGATCCGTCAAGGCCGTTCGATTATACACTCCATCACATCTCGAGTGGTCAATATCCCATGAAGTATCTTGTGCTTCTCAATTACAGGAGTGTCGTATCTCAAGCGACAGCACAACATCAAAAATCCTGGTACTTTGCAACGGCGCCCTGGTCCGGATACAAAACATAGATGGGGTCAACCTGCTCAACCGTCCCACAAGCAGGGTCAGACAAAGAATAGCCCATGTATTCTTGGATGTCTCGATCAAGTTTCCCAGCCACTTCCTGTGGAACAGCCAGGAACTGATTCTCTTCCTGCCGTAAGTAACCTCGAGTCACGAATGTCGAGAATATCATTCGATACTCGTCTGTTGTGCTGTTGGTGCCTCCGCCGTGGAAGCAGGATGCCAACATGATAAAAGCATCGCCCTTTTCCATGTCTGCATATTCGCATAGGTTGACATCAGGAGGTGTCTTGCGATGGCTTCCCCTGAAAACGAGAAGAGGTATTAGCGTGGTCTATTGATAGAGTAGATCAACGACTGTACAGATGCACTTACCACAGGTGGCTGCCAGGAATGAACTGTGTGCCCCCATTGGCCTTCGTCACTGTGCTGCCAGCAACGAACATTCCGATAGCTGTTTCACGATTCACATCTCGCTCGTCATCCCAGCTGTCGACTTCTGCTAGGATATTGTGGCCGATATAGTCGTCGCGGTGCAGAGGCTGTGCCTTGCCACCCGGTCCGATCCTCATTGCCGTGCATGAGTGCACGTAGGGCTTAGATACGGACTCTTTGAACTCATCTCCCCACCAGTTCCAGGTCCGAGTGGTCAGAAAGTGATCACAAACCGCTCTGTACACGGGATTCATCACCTGAGTCCGCGCATATGTTGGACTGAGTCCCAGTAGGCCGGGGGCTCGCTGTGTTTCCTCTGTCAAGTACCGTCTTAGTATTATACTTGCATGTCCAGCCATAGCGGTGCTCACTTACTGGGGAAGAATTTCCCTTCCCAGACTTTGTCATTGTCCATTCGTTCACGGCAGTCGTCGTAGGCTTGGTCGACGTCTGCCTCACTCACAAGACCTTTTATGAACACGCCACCATCACGCTTGAGCAACGCAATGACATCCTCGACAGGTGCATCAGCTGGAACTTTCTGCACTCCTTCGCCATACGTTGCTCTGGCGGCTGGCATCCTGGCTTTTGAATAAGTACACTTGGAACAAAGGCTTTTGACAGATATCGCTCGACTTCTGAAGGCAGTTGACCGTCGGCCTTGCACACAGAAGGGTTTGAATGGTGGGGAAGTAGATCACGCTGCTTGCTGTTTTTACCACCAGAGGCACGAGCCTCGTCTATATCATATGGTCAACAGCGACGAGCTGTATCGTGTGCTCACACTAGCATGAAAGATTTGTTGTTCACCTCAAGATCGGATCATGGGACAGTCAGAGGTAGGTTTGGTGAACGACCCACAAGCGATAAGCATCCCCCTTTAGCGCTCCCGTGGCGAGTTGGGTGAATTTCCACAACGAGACATTTCGCCCACCTTTGAACTGGAGCACACGGGCGATTCTGTCGGCATTGCAGCCAAGCTAAAAAGTTTGAATTGCAAGCGAGATGCACTGTGAGACGGCAAATCCGTTTCAAATGGAGGTCAAGATACGAGAGTCCCTGAGAGACTCAATTTCGCCCGCCTCCACGACTCCATATCAGAACTTGTCCCCTGCGTGGCATTCCTAGGAGAGAGGCTTTGCAACCTTATCTCCCTGGTCTAATCCAACCATGTTGCCTCATTAGGTTAATTGACCAACCTCAGATCGTACCCAGCTCGTCATGAATTCAGCAATAGTCATCCAAACACAGGCCGACGCATCTAGTCTATTCCGAAATAGGGAATTTCTCCAACAACTTTCCGGCTCACCACGTCCTTGAGCAATTGAATTGTACCCTTTGTTATCTTCGCAAAGCGTTGACAGAGACCAGGTCTAGGGCACATGAATGTTCGGGATGATGGACGATATGTATAGGACGTTGATAACAAGAGAAGGTCCTCTTTGGCCATCAGTATCTGACGCCCGCTGATCGAAAGGGTATATCAACGACCATACCGCCCTCCCTCTGTTTGTGGTCTTGACGCATCTCCTACATTCATACATTCGAAATGGCGACAACGGTTTCCACCTCTGCTGAGCATGAGAGCAAGAATGACATCAACCTCACCAACGTGCCTGCCTCTGTTGCCGACGAGCTTGCCCAGGTGGGCTCATTGACTGAGGTGGGCAACCTCGACGATGTCATCTTACAGGCCAACGGCCATACACCGGCCTTGCAGCGACAGTTCAAGTGGCTGTCTGCCTTGGGATTGGCATTCTCAATCACGAACTCATGGATTGGATATTTTGTAAGCTCTCCGAAGCCATTTCACCTCGCGGGCGCTAATATCGTTACGTATTCCAGAGTTGTTTCGGTCAGAACCTCATATACGGAGGGCCCCAAGTCGTCATCTTTGCTCTCATTGTGGCCTGGTTTGTGCAGTCCGTGATCATCCTGGGACTCAGCGAGTTGGCCTCGGCCTTTCCAAGTGCAGGAGGACAGTACCACTTCTGTTACATTCTTGCTCCCGAGAAGCACAAGAGGTTCGCGGCTTTCGTAGTGGGCTGGATGTCCATGCTGGGCTGGTGGATCGTGACTGCTAGTGGAACCTCACTCTCCGCAGTCTCCGTCCTTGGAGTTGCCCATTTCTTCCACCCGGGTTACATCCAACACGCTTACCAGGAATGGCTCGTTTATGTCGCTGTCGCATTCATCACGAGTAAGTTGGAACCCAGTCTCTGACATTGCAGTCCTAGCACCCTGGACTGACCACCGGGGTTATAGTGCTTCCTCTCTTCCTGGCTCCCAAGAGAATAAACCTCACGGTGCAAATTACTCTCTACTCATCCCTTATCGGGGCATTCGTCACCTTTGTTATCGTGCTCGCCATGAGACAGCAAGAGCAGCCGGCAAACTTCATTACCCGCTCAGGTATGGGAACCAGTGGATGGGGCGATGGCACTGCCTGGGTACTTGGTATCAGCAATGCAATGTACACTTTTGGTGGCACTGATGGCGTGATACACATCAGTGAAGAGCTGATCGGACCCGGACGAAGAGTGCCCCAAGTGATAGGCGCCACGATGGTCATTGGCCTCGTGACGACATTGCCCCTTTTCCTGGCGCTGATGTATTGCGTCAAGGATGTCGATGCTGTCATGAGCTCTCCCTTACCAAGTTTGGAGATTATCTACCAGGTGTAAGTTGCTTCCTACCAGAAGGACATCAACATGCTGACAGTCTTTTCTGAGCAGAACTGGAAGCAAAGCGGCCACATCATTCTGCATCATCTGGCTTGTAGCGATCTATATCCGTAAGGCAACCCTGGTCAACGACGATCTTTGCATTGTGAGACGCTGACCCGTTGCCAACAGTTTCATTGTGCTCACAATGGGTAACCTCTGGACGAATTGCCTGGGCGTTTGCCCGCGACGTGAGTCTGCCTGTACTAGATTCGTGACCGTTGCTGATATGCTCACTCAGGGTGGTGTTTCATTTTCGACCTATTTTGCCAAAGTTGACGATCGCCTGGGATTCCCCGTTCGTGCAACGCTGGCCTCGTTCTGTTTCGTCTGCCTATACGGGCTGCTCTACCTTGCATCGACCACGGCCTTCAACTCTATCGTCACCTCGGCCGTGCTTTTCCTCAACATCACTTATGTGGTACCTCAAGGAATCCTGCTCGTTCAAGGAAGGAAAAAGAGTCTCCCGCCACGCTATCTCAAACTCGGATACTTGGGATATTTCTGCAACATCTTTTCGGTCCTGTTCATTGTGTTGCTTGGTGTCCTGATATGCATGCCGCCCAGTATTCCTGTGGTTGTCCACAGCATGAACTATACTTCTGTCATCCTTGTTGGGCTATTCGCAATCATCATGCTCTGCTGGTTTACGGTTGGGAGGAAGTTTGAGGGGCCACACATTCAGTGGGATCTGATCACAGCCGCCAATGCCGTTGCAACAACCAAGACTTCGCATGCGTGAGGATGCTGCTCCGGATTCTCAGAGGATAGAGGTTGGGTTACCACAGGGCCCATGACGACAGAGCAGGACAAGAGCGCTATGTCGCTTTCCATGTAGTGAGACGTACTGCACAATACGATTGTTACTTTCCACAGTAACGTCCTTTTGATGACGACGCTGAGAACCTTGTCAAATGACATCTTTCGGGACAAATCCAATGGCTACATATGCGTTTTCGCTCTCGAGTCCTACTTATTCCGTCCAACTTCTGCTAAGTAAGCCTCCGTACAAATGAGTCGAAGGGACAGAACCGGCTCAGTCCTTGTCCTCACAGACGAGGCGCACTTACACAGCACTTTTGCCCCGAAGCCGTCTCATCCTTAGTGGCGGCTGGAAGAGGAGCATCCATCCCCTCATCCAAAGTTGACCTGTTGGCCTGCTGGCTCGACCTCGGGACGTCGTTGGAAGGGTTCAGCTCGAAAAAGTGGCTAGGTTTGAGAGTGACCGACATTTTCTCGCATGGCATAATGGGGAAATCTGCATGACGACACACAATTAGCAAGATGGACGGTTCAGCCAAGGGTTCGTCTACCCTTCTCAGTGACTTACCTTCAGGTCTGGTGACGTGCGTGACACCAAAAGTATGCCACAGCACAACGTCTTCGTTCTCGACGTTGTCATCTCGGTTCGCCCAGATAGCGAGCCCGGTGTCCTCACGAGACTGATTTGTAAATTCTCCTGCAGCCCAGAGCTCGTCATCGCGATACTTGGTGACCCAAATTGGCTTGCTCGCGAAGATGCCGCGCTTGTAGTTGAACGTGTGGCGGCCCATCATCATCATCTGCGAAGGAACGGCATGCAACTTGTACCCAACGGACTTCCCAGAAACGGAGTTGATGACATTTGGATTGATGATCTTGAATGTCCTCGACGCCGAGACATCCAGGTCGTAACCTCCGGCCTTGGTGATCGTTGTTCCTTCCACCGTGAACGCACAGCCAAAGGGATCGAGGTCTGGGTCACTTGCGACTGGGACGCAGTCTTCGTGGATGATGCTGTTTTTGTGACCGTCCAGTGCAGGATCTACACGTACATTGAAAAGGTGTTGGTGATTAACGGCCATGACGCCCGGCGCGACCACTGAGCCCCACGGCGTTTGCACGCCCTTTGCCACAGGCATCGTCGACACAATGCCGGTGGCCTTGACCTCGACATGCAAATTCGCTGCTTGATCCAGGATGAAGGCGAGTATGTACTCGTAATTAGCAACCGTGGCGGTGCACTGGACGACCAGCTGACGATCGCGAACCACGGATGACCTGCCGTTTCGAAAATTCGTGTGCTTCCAGCCGATACCCTGGTCGACTTCGTGCATGCAGACGACATTCGCCATGAGCACGGGCGTTCCATCGCCGGATGTGCGGTAGCCGTCAAAATATCGGATGTGGCCGAGGCAGTCGCAGCCTAGAGTCAGCGTGTTGGAGGTTAGTCCGAACCCCGAGTCTCCAAGGTCGAATGCTTGCTTTCGGTGGAATGGAGTTCTTGGATCGCCGTAAGGCACCGTCATCTCGCTCATGGACACACGGTAGAACAAGGACCGGCCGTCGTAGCTCACATTGTGCAGCACGGGGCCTTCCCTCACATTCCAGCCGAGCTGGAAATTCCATTTCTGCCACGAAACATTCCTGCCTTGGACCTGGAAGGAGGGCCCGTCAGGCTGTTCCACCAGTAATGGCTTCAGGTCCTTGCGAAAGTATTCACCTCCGAGGATGCTGGCACTGTACTCGACAGGTGCCACAGGTTCCCACGGCTGTGTCTCGTCTATCTCAGCCCCTACTCCGAGAGGTAGGCGGTCGATCCACAAGAGCTCTAGGGTGTGAGCATCAAAGACAGGCGCGAATGGAGCTGGGATAGAGTAGTGATTGGCCTCTGGGTCGTCATTCAGCACGATGTACATGTAGCATTGAAAGAGGCGGCGCCTTTCTTTGGCGTCATCAGTGCCATAGGACCAAGGGTCATTGACGACTTTGGCCTCCGCAGGGAGATTGAGCTTGGAGACCTCTTCCAGAACCATGGGATGAGTGTTGCATGCTTCATGCACTTTCTCCCACTCGAGATAGTCCACTGGGCCTTGAGCATCAGGCAAGAGCACAGCACTTTCGACACGCCCTTGCGTGATGTTCACTTGCGCTTTTCCGAGATGTTGAGATCCTTCTACGTGGTAGTATACCCTGGCCTTTCGGTCCACAGTCTTGACGCGCCCATCCACCCAGGCAAGAACCAATGCCTTTGGTGCTTCGATCAGGTCAACCACCTTGAAATGGACCTTGGAACCTCGAACATGCTCCCGGAGGATGGAAGCTGCGCGCGTGATTTCGGCCGCGGTAATAGGGTCCAGGGGGTGTGCATGGATCTTCATGTTGGTCCTGTTGAGCTGGTCGGTGATCGTCTGGATTTTAGAGTCGATATTGTTGTTGGCGGACCATCACAGCTAGACTTTCTGGCTTTATGAAGCCTACGAGGCAAAGCTACCTTGGTAACATCACGCTCGACGGGCAAACCTAGCTTAGTCACATCATCTTCGAGTCTCGACCATCTTGAAGAGCAGATCCATCTTCGAACATTAGGACAATGGCCTGCCTGCCAGGGTGAGGCTCGTACCGTTGTTGCGATCTGCTCGTCGAATAGCTGGTCGATTTTCCCAATTGGGTCAAGACGCTTTGACAGCTGGGTGAGTTTTGAAGGGCAAGATCACTGACAGCTGTTGATATCAAATGTGTGGGACGTTGCAAAATCATACCCGCAAGATCTGCCAGATCGTTCTCGACACTCGGTCGCATATGCAGGCGACGGCTCGGCTTCCCAATGCAGCGGTCGGGTCGACTGCAACATGGAGGAGTCGGCAGGTCTGAGCTCTCGCTACCCGGAGGGGCAGCGAATAGGAGCTTGCGGCCGAGAATGCCCAAATGGGGAATCTGAACAGCTACCAATGAAGAACCTGTGTGCACCACAGCACGATGCAACAAGCTGAGACTCGCCCTTGGATGAGTGGGACAGTTCAGTACCAAGAGATCCATCAGTTATTGTCGCATCAGTCATCTTGTCTGCCAGAACACGCGGTATTGGTGGTTCAATTGCCTCAGTGACATTGACCTTCAATGACCATCACCCCACGTCGACCGTCGACGTCTTTGAAATATTGCCTTGGAGAAGCGCAGCTAGAGACTATCCCTGTAGGTCGACACTGTCAGAACTCCTGGTCTCCGGTCAAACAGAACGTCTTTGGCAATCATCATGTCCTCTCCAACCAAAATCTCGGTCACTTTGACCCAGATATCCAAAATGATTGACCACTCACTTCTCCATCCGACCATGACGGACCAAGAAATCACGTCCGGCCTGGAGATTGCGCGCAAATACAACACGGCCACAGCATGCGTGAAACCCTATTCGATACCGCTCGCCAAAAAGATGCTCGAAGGCTCGGACGTAGCAGTGTGCCCCGTCATTGGGTTTCCCGCCGGAAATTCCACCGTGGAAGTCAAGGTGTTCGAAGCAGAACAGGCGGTCAAAGCAGGTGGTGTGGAGATCGACATGGTCGTCAACATCGGCAAAGTGCTCGGCGGCGACTGGGGGTATGTGACGGAGGAGATTCGCGCAGTCAACACGGCGGTCACGGCCTCAGGAAAGGCCATTCTCAAGGTCATCTTCGAGAACGATTATCTCCAGGACGAACACATCATCCGCCTGTGCCAGATATGTTCCGATCTTGACGTGGCTTTTGTCAAGACGTCGACAGGCTACGGCTTCGTCAAGCAGCCTAACGGAATGTACTCGTACAAGGGCGCCACGGTCCCCCACCTGAAGTTGATGCGGGAACATTCCAAGCCAAGCGTCCAGATCAAAGCAGCCGGTGGTGTACGTACGTTGGATGATCTCTTGTATGTCATGTCGATTGGCGTGACGAGGATAGGAGCTACGGCCACGGTGACTATCATTGAGGAGGCGAAGAAACGAGGAATCGGCGAAACGCCAGTCGAAGTCGAAGTGAAGCCTATCACGACAAACGGTGCAGCATACTAGGTGATTAGTCATTAGATACACGACCAAAAAGTGTTTCAGGCCGGGTAGACGCATGTGGCGTAGCATTGCATCGTCTATGTTGTATCTCATCAACGACTCCGCTAAGTTGCCGGAACAATATGTGCCCTGGAGGGTCGAAGACAACATCATCCCATCCTTTCGATGGCAGTGAAAGCCGTTCGCTCTGCAGGCAATGGATCCAACGGCGTGACCTTCTTGACAATTCGAGCTGGCGTGCCGAGAACGACGCTCCAGGCCGGGACATCCTTGGTCACGACGCTGCCTGCACCCACCGTAGATCCTTCACCAATCGTCACGCCCGGCAAGATGATGGAGTTGCCACCAATCCAGCAGTCGTCACCAATCGTGACTGGTCGAGCAAACTCGATGTTATCCCGGCGACTCTGCACCTCCGTCTCATGGGTTGCGGCATAAATGCTTACGTTTGGTCCGAACAAGACTCGGTTGCCAATCGTGACAAGTGAGCAGTCGAGAATCGTGAGGTTGAAGTTCGCGTATATTCGGTCGCCGAGTTTGATGTTGCAGCCGTAGTCGAGGAACACCGGAGGTTCAAGGTAGACGTCCTCTCCAACCTTGCCTATAACCTCACGAAGCTGCTTTCCCCGTTCCTGTGCAAGGTAGTCGAGGTCTGCATCCGGAACGTCGTGTGGCCACCACGTATTGTATCTGGTGCACCACCCTCGTACGCGGAATCGTGCTCTTGAAAGGGTCGGATCTAGACAATCGTATCTGCCCATCGATTCAGTCAGTCTTCGAGCCAAGGTATCGGCTTTTGGCGTAGACAAAGAAATCAATTGTTTTTGGCTGCCCAACGAAACTTCGGCATGAAGAACAAAACTCAGACATTGAAGCACATACAGCATGCCCGAAATCATCTTCTCGTATTCTTCGCACCAAGGTATATTCTCGCCCAGCTCCTTCGCCGCCCGAATGAGGCTGTCATTCTTTGCTTGCGCTGCCATGATCTGGACCTAGTGCGGCAAGCTCTCGAGGTCAATAGTAGTCGATGCCGGATGTTGGGGTCAAGATGGCTTAATCAGCTGCCGTACAATCCCAGGTACTTCTTTTTGTAACCATGCGTCGTAATTCCTGAAGGGACCGGTAAGCTATCTTATTAAACTTTGGTGCTTATCGTTGATTTCCCCTACCGGCAGGAGCTGGCCAAATTGCCCTTTGGGGTTTAGCCCGGAAAAGTCCGACGTCGCAGGAGCAAACAAAGTCGTCCCGGCACCTTTGGAAGCAGGAGAGTTCCATTCGGGTTGACGACAGCAACTTCGAGCCAATGGTGCAGGGACATTTCTCCGAGCATGGTTGGACATTCAATGACGAGCAGACCAAAATGCAAGGTCGCCATTGCAGTGACACTTTGTTGCTTCATGTCAGGTGCACTGGACAGCCCGACAACTGGTTGCGTCATTTAGCCAAACGGCAACCGCGACCAAGTGAGGCGGCCGCAAGAACTCCTGTACTTGTGCCTATGATCTTGGGTCCAGGGAAAATGAGTGGTCGAGGCTCATAATGAAGTTTCGTCGGGTACTGGCATCAAAAGAATAGGTAGTCGTGCTGACGTTGCAATGAGCTCGAACAAGTATATTCCATCCAGGGTACATTTACTGGTGCACTAGAAGATGTCTCTGCCGCCGTTCGCTCGTGCCATACGGTCTGGAGGATTGCCATGACCGCTGGTTGTGGAAATCCTGTGATGTGTTGGATCTCAGCAATGCAGATCTTAACATAGTGCTGCTGATGCTTGATGGTAGTGTCTGCACCCGCCATAAAGAGTGGGAAAAGCATTTTCTTGTACAAAGGAGACGACCATGGGACTTGGGCGCAAGCCTCGAGGATGTTGTCCACAGATTCTCTGACGCGAGAATCCGTGCAAGGCGTCGCGAATGTGTTCGGGAACCTCAAGACTCGTAGAATGCAAGCATGCCGATATGCGTGAGCTAGTAATCTCCAGCTTGGGTCTGAAGTTGGGTAGCTGGGCTGATCTGAATCCCATAGACGCAAGTCGTTCTCCGTCTCATGCAGGACTTGTTCGAATGACTCGACAGGCAGTTCCTTGGCGAGATAGGCTTTGCCTGCTTCGAGTACAGTGCCAATGGCGTAGAATAGCTCGACCGGACAGCCCACGACAGTTTCGAGGCTGAAATCATCTGCATCGACAACCCACTTCCGCACACTGGGTGCGAAAGCTAGCTTTTCAGCGCCCGTAAAGCCACGTAATATGTCGAGCCATGCTAGGGCAGCGACTAGGAACGTCTTGAAAGGACTGTGCCCGGTTGGGTTGGCCACGATCCGCGAGCATAGGAACGCGACACCATTCAAGTGGGCACCGTGAAGGGACTTTCCCGAATCGCAGATATCGTCCAGGACCAGTATCAATACAACAGCAAGGGCGAGTTCTTCTTCGATGTCGTTCAAGCCGAAGCACTCTTCTTTCAAGAGGAGAGCACCCAGGCTTTGGATAGCAAGAAGTTTATGGTGTATGGCTGCTGTATGCGTTGTTTGACTTGAGTCGATTTCCGAGCTTCGAAGATGACAGGCTGACAACCCCAGTATTGCATGGAGGAGGCCCGCATGTTGATAAGCAAGTGGTAAAATATACATTCGGAATGGATTGGGATGTTCTGTGGATAGGGTGCTCAGGATGTCACATAAAGCAACATCGAAATGAACCAAGAGATTTTGCGTCTGCTCGTCCGAGAGGAGGTCGTTCAACTGAGCGGAGTGGTTGGGAGAGCTGAAAGGGGATCCCACCAACAATTGGCTCTGGCTACTTGATGCTGGTGAAATCTGCAAAGGGCTGTTCGAAGGTGCTGCATTCGAAATTGGCGAAGATAGTGCCGAAGAACGTCGAGGCCTTGATGCCGGAGTAGTACACGTAGTTGCATTTGCTTCAATTGATAGGGCCCTAACCCGCGGCTTGGCTTGAGGCTTCTTCGGTCCAGTAGTCTTGTCATAGACCTTGAATTGAAGGGAATATCCTTCACACACAAGTCCTTTGGTTGTGCATCTGTTGCAGTAAGGCCGCGTCCTATCGCATTTGCGACATTTTCTGCGGCACGTATCGCACACCGGATCTAGAGATTATCAGTCACGACGTGGTCGATATGGGACCGATCTGACCTGAACGACTCGGTTGCCTTCCTGATGCCATCGTTGCTCTTAGGATGCTAAGGCTCCATCGATGGACTTTGCCGGCGTTCTCGACAGAATCTTGATCTGGGGCTTTGCTAAAACGACGTTCGGGTTGGTGATGACGATAAGCAAGACAAGATACTGTTAGCGCGATATGGGGCGGAGTACTTAGAGTCCTGTTGGGCGCCCAGTCGCAATCTGGTTGCTGACTATGGGGTGCATAGGCACTAGTATTGGGGATTTACGGGTGCGGTTAGGGTACAGAATTAGCAATCAGGTGGCTCGCCAGGCCTAGAGACCCTCCTAAGTTGGATTTATAGGCTCGCCAAGCCGGGGGCACTAAAGTTGCAGACCGCCTTACCGCCAGTAGCTTTTCTTGCCTCTTTCGGATCGGTTCCGAGATTGGGTCATGGGTCTTGGGACAATCTGGCCAGCTGAGTTTACAGCTAAAGAGCATGCAGGCCCGAATGTGCTGAGATCGTGGTTGAAGAATGGAAAGATCTGTACCATGAGGTCCGAGTCGGATGAATAGCTAGGACGTTGTGTAGGACATGTACCCGTATCCTGCTGTTGTATTCTTTCCCTCTACTCCGCCTCGCCACTGGAGTTTCAAATCATTACTGCACAAAACCCCTCACCAATTCCCTCAAGTCATTCTCATCCATGCCCTTGACTCCCACCAGCTCATTATCCAAGTGTGTCGAAAAGTCACAACCATAGTCCGGGGTGAACATCGCCACCACACAGAACCCGTCCATGGCCTCCATCGTGTGCCCGTTGTGCAGACTGCCGAACCTTTCCCGCCGGAGATCCTCGGTGTCCTTGCAAGTCGTCCGCCATGTTTTGCCGTCCTTCTCCTTGGCGTACCCGATCAACTTGTTCTGCGTCGTCACCGTCGAATGGATGTAAAGCAGCCGATCCGCCGTCTCGTCTTGGTTCCTGATGACGCCCAAGACGGCCCTGGCGACGTCAGCTAACGTCGTGGTGCTGAAGGGTATGTCACCGCCGCTGTACAGCGTCGCGGTGTGTCGAACTGTGTCAATGATGAAGCCCACTTGTAATCCCCAATCGAGAAATAGTCCGTTGGCGATCCCTGTCCAAGAGAAGCCCGGGTTGGCCTGGGCCTTGGCCTCAAGATATTTCTGTGTTGCAGCTTTTGGAGCGCAAACAGGCAAGTGCACGCAGAGCGGGTTGAGTGAGTCCATGCCGAACTCTGCGGGGATGAACCGTTTGACACCGGCCGCTACCGAGGCGTCGATCAATGGGTTTTGGCTGCCGATGGCTAATGTGGCCAGGCAGGAGACCACCACCTCGATGCCTTGCAGCGCTGAAGCCAGGGACTGCGTCGAATTGAAGTCCACGTATTTGATCGTGAGATTGGAGCGCTGTTTCAGCTTGGATGAGTTGCCGCCCACGCGTGAGAGGACTGTCACTGACAGGCCGGCGCCTAGGAGCGCTTCGAGGACTGGGACGCCCAGGTTGCCGGTGGCCCCGGCCAGTGCGACTCTGCTTGTAGGCATGCTCGACGAAAGGTTGGCCGCAAGAGAAAAAACCAGAGAGCAGATCAAGGACGACGCTTTATTTCTGTGAAGGTAGTCTGTACGTGGAGTATGATGATAGCTCCGCCAACAATGCTTCTGCTTGGTAAGCTATGCAATTGGTACCAAGCATTTGCCGCATTATGCTTGACTGTGTCCTGAAGAAGGTCATGTTCCTGTCGTGGTCGGGAGCAGATTCTATGTCTCGAATCCTGTTTCGCATGTTTTGTTGAGGTGGATGAGACCACCGAGGCCAAGAGGTGTGTGCGTGTGATGTTAGATGTGGATGCCACGTCAAAGAATACTTTGCTTTCGGATCGGATCCGGTCCAGCTCCCCACAGTATGTTACGACAACCTTCAACATCGTGATCGTCCTGCCTGGTTTGTCTCTATGAATTCTTGAACTATCACCCATCCATGCCCCCGAACATCCGAGCACGTAAGAGTGCAACACCGCGCCGGACCCAATTCTCCAGTTGTGATGCTTGCCGCCAGTCTCGTGTTGCGTGCGATGCCTCAAAGATAGGTTACCAACCTGGCGATTTGAATTGGGTCGGGTCGTGCTCGAGGTGCGCTTCGAGGGGTCGAAGATGTACATTTGAGGTACGGAACATCTCGTGGCTCCCATCTGTTGATATTCACGGTACGTATTGCATCAAGCGTGATCGCTAATACGACTTTTATCAAGTGGATCAGGGCCACGCCTGCTGGACAACGTCAAAATCCCAGACACGGCACCACCTCAAGCGCTGTGGAAAGCTTCGACTTCTGGGACTCGCCTGAGCACACGACTATCAACAACAGCCATGACTCTTCTACCAGACTATCCGTGCGCTATCAAACAAACAACACGCAGTTTCCCGGGTTGGTGCTGCAACGACGTCGGCTTTTGCCTTACAATCTGACTTTATGCGTAGGGTGCAAGCATGCGATTTCTTTGCTCTTCAGCCAGAACCAGAGTCCTCAAATGCTCTCAGCGCGAACCCGGAGTCAATCGAAGAACTGCTGACGCGATGTGCCGAGCTCATTTTTGACCATGGCTTTGGGGCCATTTTCGGCCGTTGGGTTGGCAGACACGGCTGCCCCTATGTGTATGTTCTCTAGAATTTGTTCAACTCAGCGCAACACCTGACACTGCCAGCAATGAACCCACGAGCGATATTTACATTTCTCCACTAAAGCTATTTGCGGAACTCGATGCTTGCATCGACGTGCAAATTGACGCCGATCCCGAGGACCCAATTGCAGCAGCAGCGCGAAAACAAGAGCGTGGATACCAAATCGAACAGTCCCTGCGCCAGTCGATAAAGTCATATGCAGCCCAATGGCTACCGACTATCATGCAAGCAAATGCCAGCGAGACAACGAGATACGACAACATCATCAGGAATTGCTGGCGTGCCACCCGTAAAGATATGCTCAAGATCATCAATCGCACGTCTTATCGGTCTGTACTCGCATTGTTCCTCTTCAGCCAGACTCCCATTCCCATCGGAATAACCGAGGAGGAAGAGCTTAATGGTATCAGCGGAGTGGTCTGTGTCCAGACAGCTTTTCTGCACACCCAACAGCTTCGAGAACGGCTCCGAAGCTGCCAAATTGACGGCTCGAAGGTATCAGCTTGGTCGGACGCGGCGACCAGCCCAGCACTACGGTCCAATCTCACGCAGAGGTATCTAAGTCTTGAGAGCCGGGCTTACTGGGGTCTTGTCAGCTGGGATACGTCATGCTCAATGACGTTCAATTTTAGATCTTCCCTGACCTCGGGATTGAAAGGAGCCTGTCTAGAGCCGGCGTGGGGCCTGGCGAGGGCTTTTCTGGTGGGCTCTTTCCATCCCAAGACCGATGACTGGCGCAACAAAGGGTTTGAGGTGTCTGATGAAACGGCTCCTGAAATTATCTGCGCTGCGGCTGTTTGCGCGGTGTACACGTGGAGAACTATCACCAGCCTCAAGGAGGCGCTGAGAGAAGGCGTCGACGAGGACACTGTGCTTTCAGCTTGGCAGGCTTTTCTCGACGCAGTGGGCATCTTCAAAACGACAATCCATCCTCTTTTAGACCATTGTCAGCGAAAGCTTCACTTTCTCGCCCAGGTCGAGCGGTTCAACTGGTATGAAGTGGTCTTGCATCATTGGCTTGGGATTCTGATTGCAGTCGATGCCCTAGAGGCCGGAAACCGCTCAGATCTACTCTCGCAGCTTACATCCACGGGGCTGCAGGCGGATCACGAAGCATTCAACGTCCTCAAGTTTGGCCTAGAGAGCAAATACACATTCGACAGCGTTCGACTAGACGCTGACCACACTCCCGAAACCAACCCTACCACTTCGGTGCCTCGACGACCAATTGTCACATCATTTGTGGCTATTGACCCCTATCCCCACTACGTTGTCGCTTTGGTACGGCTGATCGACAAAACCATCAGCCAGAAGTACCGACAAGGCAGTATCAAGCTTGAGGTGTACACCTATCTCTTGTCAACGCTGCTCAAAGCTCTTGAACAACTGCCTCAAACCTCCAGGGCTGTGCGGTCAGCCCGGGAGGCCTTGCAGGATTCACTCCACCAGCTCGATGCCGCCTGTGCCAGCGAACCAGATGTGCAAGAGGAGCCGTGATCTGATTGCCTAGTAGTGCACCGCATGCCTTTGAAGAGACAAGGCATACAGAAGTGTTTGCACAATCGCGAGCGTAACACCACTGTGCATCGGAATAACGCTGGACTCCAATGAAATAGGGAGCCTGACAACCATGTGTCAACAGTTTCATCAGTCAAATACATACGTTTATCAATGCGTACAAGGCATTGTCTATGTCTGCAAATAGCGCAACATCCAAGGGAACTTTTCCTGCAACTGCATTCCACTTATCGAGTGAGTAAGCTGCGTTGTCCGGAGTTCGTCAGACAGCCTACGACGTCAAGAACTTCAAGCCTCGTAAGTCATCAGCCATCACAGCATCAACCCACTTGCGGTACCCTCCAAGACCACCGAAGTAAAAGTTGGTGGTGGCTTCCCGGCCAGCCACATTCGCGACAAAGATTCAACTGTTTGTCTTCTTGAAGAGCGAACCCTCAACCAGCCGCTCGCACAGCGCAGACCATTCCAGTTCGGCTTCCTGAGTAACCTCAACAGTCGCGTGCGGTGATTTGAGATCAGCTCTCTTCCTTTCCGCATTGTCGATGCAAGACATGATGAAGTCGATCTCACTCTCAATCACCGGAGGGAAGTTGGCAAAGGGAGCCTGTGGCCCTGAGACGAGGAACATGTTTGGAAACCCTGAACAAGCGATACCACCATAGGCCGTCGGCCCATTCTGCCAATGCTCCTGGATGGTCTTTCCATGGCGTCCTGTGATACCGAGGCGCAGGTAATTGCCCTCGATGGCGTCAAATCCCGTGGCAAATATAAGCACAGCAAGCTGGTGAATGGTACCATCCGACATGGCGACTCCCTGCTCTGTAACTCTTACAATGGGGTTCATCTCAAGGTCAATAACGTCGACATTATCACGATTGTAGATCTGATAGTAGCCAGAGTCACACAAAGGCCGACGAGCATACAGGTCGCGGGGCTTGAGAATGGCTGCTTTGCGGGGATCCTTGACCGTATCATCGATTTTGCCACGAATGAATTCGCAGGCTTCTTCGTTGGCAACTTCATCGGTCGTGAGATCCCCGAACGCGCTGAACATGAAGCGAAATCCGTTCCCCTGGTCCCATACTTCCTGGAAGGCTTTCCGTCTCTCTTGCAGAGTCGCCTCCATGGTCTTACGGCTGACCTCGGGCACGCCGAATCCGACAGCGGAGGAGCGAACGTTCTGCCAGATGCTGTCGTAGTTGGAACTTATCTCCTCGCGGTAGGCGCTGGTGACGGGCCCTTGTCCGCTTGGCACTGAATACTGTGGGTGGCGCTGAAACGACTTGAGTTCTGAGACAATTGGGGCGACAGCCGTCATGACCTGAATGCCGGTCGAGCCAATTGCCAATGACCCCAACTTTCCGGCCCTCAAGAGTGATCGTGTCATCCCACCTCGCTGTGTGGACTATCCGGCCTGCAAAGAACCCAGACCGGGGAGGTCTGGGTAATTCGGTTTGGAAAGCACACCCAGAGAGTTCACCAGATATCGTGCCAGGATCGACTGGCCAGTGGACAAGGCAACCTTCCACCGTCGGAGGTCCTGATCCCATTGGGCCGATGTCATCTCGACATTGAATACCATGAACCGCCGCAGACCATGTTTGTCGACGATATGACAAAGATACTGCAGTATCTCGGGCTGATAGAGGTAGTGATTTGACCACGGGTATGTCTGCAAGTCGTCCTTGTCCCAAGAATAACGGTAGAGGTAACTTTCGGTGTCGCTCATAGCCCCGGGGTATGTGTTCCAGTACCACGTTCCGCCAACATCGCCTGCAATATCAATGCACTTGACATCCAATCCGATCTGCGAGAGACGGTACGTCGCATATATCCCACCCATACCAGCACCAACCACGAGAGCATCGATCTCAATCTCCTTGTCCATCATAAATCACTGAACGTCTTCACACTGGACGAGTACTGAAGTCAGGTAGTGGACGAGTCGCTTTCACGCAGAAGACTTTGCATAGTTCAGGCATTCGATGGGTGGCATTATGCCCATGCTTAAGTCCAACCGGACTCAGGTTCGGCAGTTTTTATCCGAGCGGCTCCCATCGCCATCATAATTCTGCTCCCAAAGGTTCATGGCCCTAGGTTCTCTGACACTTGCGGACTATCGCAAGACGGACCAGCATGGTCATGCAGTCTCTCGGTTTCGCCAGCAGATGCGAACGTCCTACGTGGAAAAGTAAACCATTCTGTCCAAAAATTAACATCGAAGTTCGTCTGGCGTGGCAAGACTGCTCCCAGTCGACACGTCTGAGGACGATTAGGTGGTTTCACTGAACCCTGCAAGGAGAGGACGGCACATCTCGACAGGCAGCAGTCTGAGCGAGTCTCATGATGCCCGTCCGCATTAGACCTCAAGGCCGCTAGAGTCGGAAGCGAACCGAAGTTGGGCCCACCGTACAAGCAGCACCCCGTGGGACGCGGTTCGCTTCCCCAGACTCTCGACTTGATAGACAAGATGATCGGGGATGCAAACGTTTGAAGTGTCACACCCCGTAGTCTGTTGCGCCTAACTACGTATGTGTGCCTGCATCGATGAAGACAATAGTCGCCAAGAGAGGGTGGGTTATTGGGATGATCGGAGGCCCCCGTTCGGGAAGAGCTTGATTTGATGCTGCTAATTTCGCAGGTAGTCGACTTTCAGCGTATTCCCCTTCGAGATACAGTGAGTGGACGACTTTCGATGTCTGGTGTACAAAGGATCGGTCCCGTCGGTACCGAAATACCTGTGGAACAGTCACCACAAAAACGCCCTCTTAGAGCAAGACAGTCGGTGTCCAGGACCCTTTGGCATTATCAGTGCTTGGGTCAAGGACTTATGGCATCTACCGATCAGATGATGATGTGAATGTATAAAGGTTTGATGCCCCTTTCTCTTCCTCACGAACCCTCCTATCAACCCGGTTGCTTGAAGCACTTCAAACGATTACTTCGGAAGCATTCAATCTCGCTCGGTCCTGGCGGAAGTGCAGGGTCCTCGAACACTATGGGCAGGGAAAACATCGAATTCAAAAACTCGGACGGCGTCACATTGCGCGGTTGGTTCTACACCCCCGAAAATGCTGGCGGCGGCAAGCTACCCACCCTTGTCATGGCGCACGGTTTTACTGCTCTCAAAGAAATGACTCTGGATTTCTATGCTGAGCACTTCACCTCGGCAATCCCCATCAACTGTCTAGTTATGACCATCGCGGCTTTGGCGAGAGCGACCATGTGCCAGGCCAACCCGGAGGCGAGATCGTGCCCAATCTGCAGATTTCGGATTATACGGACGCCATCACCTACGCCTCGACCAGGCCCGAGGTGGACAAGGACAAGATCGGCGTCTGGGGAACCTCATACAGCGGCGGTCACGTCTTGGTGGTCGCTGCAGTCGACCGAAGAGTCAAGGTTGTTCTCAGCCAAGGTCCATGCGTAAGTGGTTGGGACAACTTCCATCGCTTGGTCCGTCCGGATATCATCCCGCAGCTCGAAGAGCTGTTCAACTCGAGTGAGTCCAGCCCCTTTCCTTTATTGTTGCACAGTTGTCCTGGTTGTCGGCATTGCCGAACGCGAAGAGTGTTCTGACGATGAACGGTTTAGATCGAATCGCGAGATCACAAGGCAAGGAGCCGGCTTATCTTCCCATCGTCCACCAAGACACGTTCGGGACGTGCGCCTTGAACGGGAAAGACGTCTACGACTTCTTCATGGAGTGGGAGAAGAAATCGACCTGGGAAAACCGGGTGACTGTTAGGACGTGAGTTGTTTCGCGATTGAGCTACATGATCCTTTGGGGCGGGCTCTTTTTTATTGAGTTTCTCGATCTGGTTTAATCTTGTCATTACAGGATGGAATCGTTTCGCGGATACGAACCTCAACACCTGATTGAGAAAATCTCGCCGACACCGTTGCTGCTGACGGTCCCGACCTTGGACACGCTCACGCCACCGGACCTCTCTCTGGCCGCGTATGCGAGGGCCCGAGAGCCCAAAGAGTTGAGCCTCCTTCCTGGTGGGCATTTCGATTCTTATGCGGGGAAGATAACGGAGGATAATGTCGCAAGACAGATTGCTTTCTTCAAGAAATGGCTTGTCGAATAGTTCTACGGCGGTGTTGCTAGCAGACCGAGAAACTTTCGTGGGGTATTAGGCATTGCATGGGCCTCATTAGCCTAACTTAGTGCTTTGCGCCAAAATACGTGATGTCTTATTCTCCAAGTCCCTTGCCCATAAGACATCAATAATTTTGGCGCAAAGCACTAGCCCTACCTATTTAGCTAGGGCTATCCCTCATAAGAAGGATCACGATGAAGGTGGGGGTGGCGGTAAGGTGGTTCACAACCTCATGTCAGGCGAGACTCGATCAAAGCTTTAGGCTGTCTTGAAACTGAGTACTAGTTACCACGTATCTCCGGTATATGCCATGGACACATCACATCTATGATGCCATAACGCGCCCAGCTGCAATGTTGCACTGGGGTGGCCCATTGCCAACTCCTTCTTAGGTCACGGAATGCGATGGGGAATCAGTGCAAGATTCAACTGCTAGATCTTGTGGCATTGTAGGAAACTCATGTGACGGGAGTGTTTCCCCTTGAGATATGGCTTGATCGGAGGGTTCATTTGTTTCAAGAATGTCAGTTAGGAGGTCGCCGTGGTCGACGATCGCACCCTTTGCCATCGCAGTGTAGGATACGGAGGGCGATCATTGACCGCAAACGGTTTCACTGCTACATATATGTAGTATCGGTGCTCAGGACTTCCGCTCTTAAAGACCAGGTTTTCAAGACAGTAACATTCCTGACGTAAAGCTCGGGCCTTTGAATGAATCGAGATGTACCTGTGGCGGTGGCTGCCCTTATAGTTTAGGATGTGTGAGTTTGTGTCGTCGATGATGTTCCGGGTACCACGCTGGGTCATCTCCAGAAAGACGTATGGAGTACGGGGTGCATACGACTGTTAGGCTCCCTAGGCTCCATACAGTATTGCCAGAAAGTGACCTCATACCATTACAGGGTCTCCCCTGGAAGATGAATACCTTCAGGGAAAACCAGTTGTTGGCCGACATGGGATTGAAGAGACCCAGGACACGACGTGCCTTCCCTCTATCGCATCGTCGTTGTATTTTCTTCGCTGCAAATTCTTCATCAACATTTACTGGTATGATAGCCGAGACGAAGATAGAGGGTCGCGTGGGATAGCCTCGACAGGCGTCAATTATCGCCAACCTTTTCGTCTTTAGCCTGGGTCGTAATCTTCTTGCATGTGATCGATCACGAAGATCAGGCGTAGCATCATGCTCATCAAACCTCATCAAAAGAGGGTGGTTTCTTGCCTGCATGAAGGAGAAAAAATTTTCACTCCTGCAGGCCGGCGAGTGCCGTGCTAAAGATATGAACAGCTCCCCAGCGGGACAAAGATAAGTCAAGATCACTTCTACGAGATAACATAACCGTGTCAAGCCACGCTGACCGCCTAGGAACACTCTGTCTTCCAGAGACTTGTACCTGAACGGCTCCGGCCATGTCCCTTTGCCTTTTTCTCGCAAGCGTCGACATGGGAACGAGACGGGAGAAGAATTCCAGCAACAACCGGACCGGGGTCAGCCCTGGCCATCTCGCTAGATCACCCTCTTATCAACCTTGTCAAGCAAGCCACGAGTTCCCTAATGCTACGACTCGCCAATTTGGGACTGGTCCGAGCTGCCAAAACTCTCCAATACCAACGACGTTCATCATGCAGAAGACTAATGCACCTCCTGGCGCCGGGAGGCCTTCGTCATCACGATGCGAGAAGCGAGGAATTGACTTTCTCTATCTGGCTTCTCCAACAAGATCCCGTCTCTGCTCGCCTTCTCGAATTTTTTAGCTGCCTTCCATGCATGGATCATGGCCTTCGTGATCGCTGCCGCTTATCCGCCAGACGCCTAGTCCACACATGCCAACGAACTCTCCGCCTCTGACAGCCCCCAAGTCGTCTCTCCCACGCTCATCTTGCCCACACCCTTACCTGTACTCATCTCGAGCCTTTTCACTGGCCTGAGCCCTGACCTCGCGTTCCTATCAGCCGCTAACCATGCATCACATTTGAGAAAAATTTTCACCCGTCACCTGCTACTCTCCTAACATGGTAAGCACAGGCGTACTCAGGCCTGGTTGTTGTTGACCTTCAGGCAAGGCTGCATCACACCATCTGCTAGCCTTGAGTACATGGCATACGCTTCTTGCTGGAAGCTTGCAATCTGCCAACCTTCAGCCCAATCCCTAGTCCTGGACTAGTGGCCCGTCCCATCTGGGTTGGCCATGGTCACTCACTCGCTGGATAGACTTATCGAGGAATCCTTTGATTCAGAGGTATAAACCCCATGTCTGATCTCATCCTTCTCGACATCTTCTGTCTTGTCAATAACTAAAACACTTCTACTGCATGATCGTCACATTGCCCCCATCGAGTTGTTGCTTTCCGTCGTTTGCAACAGACTGGCGCCGCTGCTCTATTCCCAGACAATCTGGAGCCACTCCCTCGAATCCTTGAGCCTCCTAACCAATCAAGACTTGGGATTCCCGATACTTAAGACCCCATCCTACCTTCCTGAGACTACACTATCTGTCGAGCGGAGTTCCAGTTGATATGTAGTCTACTCCTTTGGCCATCCTGCTTTGCAGCATTACCCTATACTTTGATCTCTCTTCGATCCGCCTACAAGTCGCTTACAGCAAAGAACCCAACGCATACATCGCCATTCCCCTTCCTGGACATAACAACCCGCTACATAGCAAGTGGGAGAAGATGGCGTACAACCCAACCTCGGATCAAATCGAGTGGCACATGCATCAATTGAGGCAATGGATGGTTCCTACCTCCATGCCTACCTCGGCGCCTGTGCCTTCCAAACCCAACCTGATGCTGAACTGCCAGACCTTCCCTCAGGACTTCTACTTACAAAACCCCAACGACATGTATAGCTACGGAGTATTCCAGCAACCTCCTAGCCATACTCCGCCAGTCACTCACACACCACCACTGCCCATCCAACGTGCACATACCTTCGCCAACTTCTCCGAATATGACTTTACGGGCGTGGACTACTTCAGTCCTCCTGCCAACGCCATGACCCCACAAAGTTGGGCAGGAGAGGAAAGAGGCAACTTCGATGACGGCCTATCGATGTACTCGGAAACACCTTCAGGCTATCTATCCTCCGAGCTGCAGGAGCGACCTCGGCTGGAATCAGTCATGAGCTCTTCAACTCGTACCACTCCTCCTACCTTTTCCCCCTCGTCATCAGTACCAGAAGCAAGCTCCGAGGTCGACTCTCTCATGCAGACTCTACAAATCCCCCAGCCCCTGCTTCAGCTACCGAAACCAAGCAGCAAGCTGAAGAAGCATCTGTGTCCGCACGCAGACTGCGGCAAGTCATTCTCACAGCCTACACATCTCAAGATCCACCTGCGGTCTCACACCGGCGAAAAGCCATACGTCTGCTCTGTTCCGACGTGCAGACAATCGTTCTCTCAGCTAGGAAACCTTCGCACCCACGAACGACGACACGTTGGTCAACGACCCAACCGCAAGCGATCTTCGTCCGATCCTGGTGTCCGAGGACGAAAGTACGAATGCATACTGGATGGCTGCACGGCCACTGAAGACGGACACAGTGGCAAGGTCTTCACGCAACTGGGGAATCTCAAAGCACATATGAACAAGTTCCACAAGGACACCTTGGCTCGACTTGCCCAACAATTCGCTACCAACGACATGAACCCCGAAGATGCAGAATTGCGGGCTTACTTTAAGGATCTCTACAAGCACAGCAACAAAGGCATCAAAGGTCGAGGGAAAGGACGAAAGGTCGAAGTCATCGTCACGCCGGACCAGCCTTGAAAGAATTCATGATGTAGGATTGCCAAACCGGAGTTATAATCCAACGCAACATGCCTCACATACGCTTCTGCGAACCGTGCGGCCACAAGCACTCGTGCAGGTCTACTCCCAAATCTCCAAGACCAATTCTCCCATGAGCAAAAGCACTCGACCTTCCATAACATTTTCTGCGGAAGAACACTCCATTACTGTGGCGCAGAGCCCAGTTGTACGAATAGCACGAAACTTGGGGTATGAAGACGGCGTTGCATTCGCAAAGGCGAACACTGTCTTTACTGGCTATTTTCCCATGGACCATGGTCCACATCGCGGTCGGACATTTATGTATCATCACGATTCTGGCACGCTTCAGCATTTCAGCGCAGAGCAAGAGAAAAAAGCCACCTCAAAAGTAGCAGGCTAGGTGGAAAAAGCATTTTCCCGAACCAATAGGTATCTCGATAAAGACAAATTCAAAAAGCCTCCTGTCGGTGATCAGTGATACAATGATCAGTAACTTAGTGAGCACGTCAAGTGTGAGCCATGAGCCTCGCGCGCATAATACTCCGCTCCTCGAATCTCGATGCTCTGGATAGGACAGTAGTGATCGCAAAATCCCCCATGCAAGGCGTCGAAAGCGTATTGCGTACACCAGAGGACGTATTTTAGCCTTACGGGTTAGCTTTTGGCTTTGGCTTTTTTTCCTCATGAAACGAAATTTTCCGTTTTCCCGTGGTCTGATTTAACTTTACCGGCACTGGGCCAGCTTTTTGTTGATTCTATGCCGCTTCGGGTGCGCGCTTCGGTGATCGATCTAGCGAAATTCGACCACTACGCTTAGACGGGGGTATTCTAGATCGCAAGCTGATCTGTTACTTATCATCCAGAGGGCACCACAACTTAGTAATTCCCGTCGCTCGAGAGAGACACTACTGTACTGTAATGCGGCGCACCTGGAAATTAGTGGTCGTGAAGTTTGATAAGCCTAATGCACCTAGAAGGCGCCTTTCCCTGCCAGGGACTGGTACTGTTGTACCATACAACTCGAGTTAGGCACCTACTAAGGTGACAGGTACCTAGGTACAGTAGTAGGTACTTTAGCCCTTTAGTACCGAGGACGTTTTTCCCTCTCCGCTACCACGCATAAAGTGTAAATCACTGCGTCCCGCGCGGAACCTTTCCAGCCAGCCAGTGCCAGCCTATGGTGCTGTAGCCTGTGCGTCAACAGTTCCAGGCGTTTCCCCCCAATTCCCCTCCTTATAAGCTCCAGCCTCGTCGACTCGCTGGTCCACTGTGGAATTGGTTCGTCATCTCTCGGTTTTGAAACCCGTTTTAGCTGCACGATACTACATTGCTTTTTTTGCCTTCACCACCTCTTCGATCGCCCGCCACACGCCCGCTCCCCTACCACCTCTCATCTGGTCTCCTTGTCGGGAACGTCAAAGTACCCTGTTTCACAGTTTTGCCTTCCCGAGCCGTGCTTTGGGACAATTTCATGCAGGCGGCTCAACGAGGCAAGACTTCCAAATGAAGACATAACCAGCGGGAAAATGTCCAGCGCATTGGCTACTCGGTGTACGGACGCTTTGGTAGCGTCCGGCAGATTCCAGACATGTCCTGCTCCTGACCTGCGACTGTGGCTGCGGTCCACTCGGTCCATAGCAGTGCTCCAGTTGTGAGGAGCGTCATGAGTGGTGGTGATTCGCATCGTCCTTCTATGCCCTACGGGGCTGTGACCAGGGTAGGATATTGTGCTCGCAACCCCGCCATTTCGACTGCGACATTGACATATGGATGTTAGGCGGCGATCAAGGGTTTTTGGTGAGGTCAGGCTTCTCTAACCCCGGACAGAGATGGAGCTCAAGGGCTGGACAGGACGGGATGCAACGGAGCAACACCGTACAAGGTAGCAGGTCACAAGTCGACTTCTCCAGAAATGGCGATCTATCAAAACTTGTTCCGTGTTTCTTGCTCTGCCAGCCGTCTTCCGTGCCCACACCATGGCACGCTTCATCATGTTTGTCTCGCGTATTGCGTATTCCACTGTGCAATGAGGTGAATGTGGAAACGATCTAGCAGCGCAGCACAGCCTTGACTCCATATTGCTAGGATCGATGCCATCGCTACTGGTAATTGTGCCTTGCCCGAAGTACAGGTTAGGTGAGCACGGGGCTTATGTCGTTGTGTGTTGATCTCCCGTGCGCTTGCGCTTAGGGTCGGTTGCTACTAGGTAAGTGAGCCTGACCAAAATTTCACGTACGTCGAGCGCCCTAGTTAGGCAAGATTGACATTTGGACTGGTATGCCCGTGCTCGGTGCGACAGTAATAGTGCAACGTCCGATGCATGATGCATTGGGACCCCACGACGCTGGTAGTTGGTCTCTCTGGCTGGTAAGGTCGTCGCGTTTGACGTCTTGAGCTGTCAGTCCGCGCATAGACTGCTGGTCCCATTGCGCATCATTCGATGAGATCGACGACCAAGTGGAGATAGACCCTGTAGTTCATGTATTGCAGTCCATCTAGCGGTATGTGAAGCTCATTGCCCTGGCCAATGTCGTTTTGTGCAGACAGGACTAGTTGCGATCAGTTTTTCCGATCAGGAGATGATCTTCCTTTCTGTTGACGATTTCGTCGGAGGGCGCCGATGAGTCCATGATCATAGTGATCGCTGGGGCCATTCCGAGGTTGGAATCTGACTTGGGGTATGAGTGCTTGCCAGTCTTCATGACGAATTCGAACGGATTGGCGGCCTCCGTGGGTGGGCAAGACGAGACCACTTAGCGCATGAAGGTATGGAACAGGGTCAAGTGCAGATTGGAAGATCCATGACTCCAAACAGCGTCGGCGTCGCTCTGACCAGGAACAACAGGAACTGGAAGCTGGACGCCTTGCACAGCACGTCGAATGTTCTCTGCCCTGTTCTAGCTTCTGCTCACCGGTTAGTGCCGGGCCAAATCCACCAGGGAGGTCTCTCCAGCTGGATGCCTGGGCGAACGAGTCATAGGGCAAAGCAAATAGCATTCCGAGACATTCATCCTGATTGCTGAGTGGATTTCACTTTGACCCTTGTTCTCCCTCCATCATCGCCGTCGTATTTCGTTCGGGAGCTGGAAAGCCACATCTGAAGATGAGGTCGAGACTCGAACTCCGACCCCGACTCCTCTGTGTGAGATTACGTCCAGCTTGCAGCACAATCGAAGCACATGTTGTCCCATCAAGAGTCCGTCATTAATGCACCTCGGTTCCGCTTGACTTGGTCGTGGAATCCCTGCCCCCTGTCGAGAGGCATGTGACCTTTACCTGCGCCGTCCGAAAGCCACCGTGGATCTGCGAAGACGCCTACCTGCCAGTCAAAGGTTGAGCTCTATTATTCTCTTCTTCCCGTGTCCTGAGATGAGTAGGTTCCACTTTGCTTCGAGAACTGCGATTTGCAACTTCGGGCGTTTAGGGCTGCAGTAAGGAACTGCTTGACTCACTAGAAGGTCTGCTAAGAGCTTCTGGTTGAACTTTATTCAACCTCCACCATCAGTATGGGACTGAAACCTGGTGCATGCCACTCGCAGGAAGCTAGGAGGAGACTCAAAGCAGTAGTCCCCGTGCTTGAGCTCTTCAGGTCCGGCTGCAGTGCCAGACTTGAATGGAGTTGCTGCTAGATACCACAAGAAAGACCCGAAGGTCCATCGTAATCGCACTAGTTCTTAGACTCCAGGAACCGAGTAAAGACATCCATCCCAGTGCGATGTGGCAATCCTGCATAGAGCATGACAATGCTAGTGATGCTTGGCCTCAAGGGTCGGAGGCCCGAGCTCCAGCAGTCGTCGAGCCAGGACTCCTCGAGCTTCAACATGTATTCTGACACCTTCTGGTCTGGTATGCCTGCCCGACACTCATTGTTGTTCACAAGGAGGTTTCATCATGAGGTGCTGCTGTGGATCAAGTTAGTATGGTCAAAAGCACATCATAAAGGTACCGATCGAGATGGTTTTGGCGCCAAGAACAAATAAGGTAATACCGTGATTTCGCAGTAGGTGGATAAAAACGTCATAAGGTTTTCGTGACGCGATGGAAGGAAGGGGTGGACGACGATGCCTAGGACTCTTCGCCCAATACTCTGAATGTCGCATGAGTCCCCTGATGGAAGGCTTAGGCTGGCGATGATGTCGTCGGTTTGGCATGCAAAGAAGATGAGCAATTCCGCCTTTGAGTTCTCAGCCACCAAATAGGCGGGTGATGAAACCAAGAAACGCTAGAAGGCCGCTAGAAGAATTCCAGAATGCCGCGTCGAAGATAGGAGAGGGAAGTCAAATTGGGCCACATCGACCAGGGAGACCAGGGAGACCAGTCGGACCAATCATTGACCTTAATTAAAGCAGGCCGTCTTTTATCTAAGGATCTCGGGCTGTTGTTGTCATGGACTTTGTATTTCTCCACACGCACACCGACTTCCTTTTTTTTGACCCTGATAGCTTCGAGATGTTCTCGAGACCAACATGGTGTGATGCAATACGCAAGGGGAAGCACCCATCGTCTCGGAGATGGATCCCTTTCGAATGGTGGCGCCGGTGCACTGTCCGTGCCGTCCGCAAGGCGATCGGTACAAATGACCTTGCCGATCGGATGGCTTTCATCTTGTGAGATGATTGAACGGAGTCAAATCGCGATGCAGTCCTGACCCGAACCTCATGCATACGCCGTCTCGTATCATGCACATTGAGTGGAGAAATATTTTGACTTGATAGAGTGGAGCGCAGTGAGCGCTGACGCCAACTGCTTTGTCGTCTATGATAACACCGGAAGCCGGGCATCAGCGATCCTGTCTCGGTTGATCTCACAAGTCGATTGCCAAAGTCAGGAGGCCCGCCGCAGTGTCCTGCCTGGTGCCTCGTAGGCGGCCGCCGGTAGCCTGTTCCAACGACATCGATCCACCGAATATTGATGTTACGAACCGTTGCCCTGACATGGATTAGGACATATCTTGGACATCTCGATGCAGTGCGGAGCACCATGATCGTAAAAACCGCTTTGGAATCTTTGTATGACTGGTGATGATGAAACCTCATGGGCAGCAATCTGAGCAGTACAATCACCTGCAAGTACAGCCCCAATTGTGTGTGCATGCAGCCCAGATTGGACTGACCGCTCACTCTTCGTTACATCGTCTCCTTTTTGTTCGCATTTCCTGCCACCCCCACGGCCGCTTCATCACCCTGTGCTCCAAACATCCTCGGCAGACGCCACCGGACATTCTCGTACACAAGAAATGTCACGCATGTGCTTGGTACTACTCGGAGGAGGTTTGGAAACAGTCCTTTATAGAAGCCAACGATGCCTTCATTGTGCCAGACCTGTTTGATCAGATCAACCATGCCAGGGCCTCGCACGGGCGTGATGGCGCTGGGATCGTATGTTTGCAGCCTTGCCCGCACCACCTGGTGGGGATAGGTTATCAAGCCGGCAAAAACCTTTGACAGGGACGATGTGAGTAGGGTGTCAGCATTGGAGAGTGGCGCGTCCTTCTTGACTTGTTTTCGCCATAATTTTAGCTTCTCATAAGCCACGAAATAAAGCGCTCCGTGACTGACACCGAAGAGTGAAGGCGTCATGCCGTGGAAGAAGCCTCGGATACCTTCTGTTCTGTATATTGACCGCAAGCCATAGATCATTCCAGGGTATGCCCCGGTCTGAGCCGACGAAGTCGAGAGCATTCGTGTTTTCACGACCCAGATTGGATTCGTGAGTATTGCTGAGAGCATTCCAGAAGCCGCTGAGGCGGACAGGTAGTCGAAGGAGGTGAGTTGTTGCCCTGGAGCATAGCCTCGAACACTACGGACCACATCTTGAGCTTCTTTGTACCACAAGAAGTATAGAGCCCAGCCAGCTGAGTTGCCAACGAGGTTGGGGGTCAGTCCACGGTACAAAGCCGCAATACGAGTTGGACCTTCATTCCGCAAAATATCGTGGAGGACGGCTCGGGAAGAATTGAGAAGGGGATGGGCAGAGGTGTCGACTGAGACTGTTTGTTAGTTGATGGGTGCTTACATGGAGACCTTACTACTGACCTTGCAGCCTTGTCTTTATGATGTCCAAGGGGTGGACAATTATGGTGGAAACGAGGCCTGCAGATAGGCCGGCCAAGGTTTCAATGGCACCAGGTGAGAGGCCATGACGAGTTGGAGAAGTCATGGGCCAGATCGGAGAGGGATGAAGAACGCGGAGTAGGTGCAGTTGCCGAGATCCAGGACCATGTCGAGGTGCGAAATTGTTGATCAAGGAGAAGTGTCTACTGGGACATAATCAAACAGAAGACAGTCTTCACGAAGAAGTGAGCAAGGTGTGAGTGGTGTTGGAGTGATTCTGTGAGTCTGCTTTACCAAATGACGATTTTGAACGTGGATGACATGACGGCAGGATGCATGGGCAAGCGGAAGCATCAAGCAAGGGCGCAGTTTGCAGGTGCAGGCGCAGGCGTGGGCGTGGAGGCAGGTGCAGTCACGTGTCAGTCACGGCTCTCGTTACCAAATCTCGGTGTCGGGCTTTTCATGGGTCTAATTAATTTTCTGGCTGGTCATGGCGTGTTCCTGACCTCGATCGGCATTCCAAGGGCTCTTGATCACCAGTTGTTTACCCAGATGCTCACCCCACCTCTTCTTTTCAGGGCCACCACGGGCCACTTTTGATCTGTGATTGAACCGTTATCGGCGTCGGATGCGCTAAATCCGTGAACATGCCACTCTTTTTTCGCATCCAAATACACTTGCAGCTCGCAATCTCCAACAATGACCTCTTCTCGTACTCCTCGGGTTCGATAGATTCGCCATTGACGATAATTGCCCGACTGCTTGCCCTGCCGAATCGTCGTTGCAGCTTCAGCAGCAGCACCAGCGCCAGCGCCCACAGTAGCTGTACTTGACCTTGGGAACGCGCTTACATTCCAACCTACATTTTTTTCTGCGCCACGCCCCTCGATACGCCGGCACACCATGGATATCATCCTTGAGGTAGCAGACACCCTGTTGCTTGACCGCTTTTACTCGACAGTACTTCCAGCCAGTCCAGCTCAGTACTTGCACTACAAGATCAACGATGTCGTGAACACAACCTTTTCAAGTATTGGACAAGCGGTGGCTGGAGGGCCTCAATATGACTACACGTACGAGCCGGCTTCACAGTTTATAAGCTTGGAACCCACGCAATGGACATACAGCAGCTCATGGCCTCGCGACAACATATTCCGACAAGCTATTAGCTTGTTTACCATAGTGTGGTAAGTTCATACTGTCACAATTGGCCACTTCCGAACCCAGCTCACAAAAACGCTTCAGGTTCTTCGGAGTTCTTCTATATTTTGTTTTCGCCTCCTTATCATATGTCTATGTGTTCGACAAGACAACATTCCAGCACCCGAAATATCTCAAGAACCAGGTCCGCATGGAGATCGTCCAGGCGAACAAAGCTATGCCGGTCATGTCCCTTCTGACGGCCGCTTGTATGTTGGCGGAAGTACGCGGATACTCGAAGCTCTACGACAGTCTTTCCGATGCGCCTTTCTCGCTGTACAACATCATCCAGTTCCCCTTCTTCGTCCTCTTCACCGACTTCTGCATCTATTGGATCCACCGTGGCCTGCACCACCCGCTTGTCTACAAGACGCTCCACAAGCCACATCACAAATGGATCATGCCGACTCCATACGCTTCCCACGCTTTCCATCCCCTGGACGGTTTCGCTCAGTCCATCCCATATCACCTGTTCCCATTCCTGTTCCCGCTTCAGAAGTTCGCGTATATCGCGCTCTTCGTCTTCATCAACTTCTGGACCATCTTCATCCACGACGGAGAATACTATGCCAATTCACCCTTGATCAATGGCGCTGCTTGCCACACGATGCATCAGTAAGTTCTATCCAAATAACATACTCTCGTCACAACTTTCAATGCTAACGTCTGCTAGTTTGTACTTCAACTACAACTATGGCCAATTCACCACCTTGTGGGACAGAATGGGTGGCAGCTATCGCAAGCCCAATGATGAACTGTTCAACAAGTCTACCAAAGTCAGCAAAACAGAATGGGAGAGGCAGACCCAGGAAATGGAAAAGATCCAGGAAGAAGTCGAGGGCGAGGACGACCGTGGTTACCTCGCCACCACGCCTCTCGAGAGCAAGAAGCTCCAGTGAAGAACTCCAGCAATCACTTATGCAATAATTCCGACGATTTAATATTGCATGTGCCTCACGATACTCGACAGTCAAATTGTACATATTTCACGACTGAAGGCATCAAACTCCGGGCCTACGCGCCACGGGAAAGTAATGGTATAGATAATGGCGCTTGGATTGGTTATACCCTCCATTGAGCGAATTTGGTTCATAGGACGAGGATGCACGGGCAAGGCTTTGCAGCCGCCAGCTCAACGTTGCTGAAGAATGTAATATTAGATTTCCAACTTATCACCTCCTCATGGAGGATAATACAGTGGTGTCGGCTGACGTTACCTTCGGCGGAGAAAGCATGATGGTGTACGCATTTTGCATAGTCCAGGTCCGATTATCGGCGACATATATTGCCGTCGGCTGATCTTTCTTTTTGGGTCTCAGGGCCAGCGTATGATGAGAGAAGTCGCAAGGCCGAAGACATTAGAGGAAAAGAGATGTTCCTGCTCATTTGAGCGTCAAGCAATTCCTCAGTAACAAAGCCTAGCCGGCCAACCAATGGGAAGTCAAATCTGTGATTGTCCAACCATTGCCGGCTGTCTGGATGCACAGCTTGACAACCATGAACAACGGTATCCGAAGCAGAAATAAGAGATCCAGCAATACGCCAATATGCCTCCTTAGACGCTTGCCATTCCAATATCAATTGACACCCGCTCATCGCACTCAAGAAAAGGACACAAACTTCGGATCGCGCGGTACCCCATCCGCACCGATCCCATTCTTTTTGAATCGTTGCTCCATGTACACTCGCCGGGCCTCGTCAAAGTTGATCCCCCTCAACTTCATTAATCGCTGGACTTCACGCTTGGCCGTCTGATCCAGGCCGCCCCGCGAATCGCCTTCGACAATGTTGCTCGACAGGTCGAAGTCGGCCGATGTGAAACCCGATTCGACATCGCCCATGAATGTCGTCGGGACGCGCGTGTACGATAACCCCGAAATGGCGTCTTGGATGCGGTTTGGCATGTAAGGCACCCAGTGGGCGCGGGTGAGGTACAAGACTTTGCCAAGTTAGCAGACCGTGCAAATCGAAATCCAGGTGAAGAGATTGTATACCTGTTCCAACGATGAGGGAGACGAGGCAGACGGAGTAAAGGATGTAGGCCATGATTGCGCGTCTTCGATGCGGGAATAGGATTATATGGGAATGCGCAGGATTCGGGTTGTATTATGTTATGTGCTCCTTTGTATAGCGTTAACTCCTCGTATGCATGTTGTATTCACGTTCCTCCTTGGGATGTCGGCGAGGGCGAGTGTGACGAAGAGGTGCGTATGCGAAAGGTATATGAGGCTGGTCGATTGTCGTTTGGGAGCCTGGCTGGCCGCGTGCCGGATCTGACGGAGAGCCGAGCGTCGTAATGGGATCACGTGAAACCCACGTGGGTGCCGGATTCTGGGAATCTGCTTTCAGAACAGATGTGATCAAGACAGGCCAATGTACGGCATACACAAATTTATTCAAATATGAATAGAAATACTCTTCAGCAACGCATCAAGTGAAGGCACTGCAAGGCACATATATCATGTTGTTCTGCATGTCGATACATATAACTGCGGACCCTGTTTTTGGAATCCACCGTAGATGCCAAGGTCGGCGAATCGGACCAATCTCCATCCCGCGCACACTCGTCGCTCAAGTTCAGTTGTCCTCTTGAATTTCGAGATTCTGTCGATTGAAAGCGCGAACTCCATTCCAACCACCGAAACCATGTCTGAACGCGCCAACGTCTCAAGCGACCTCATCTGGGAGGTCGTCCGTAAGTGCTGACAAGGCACCAAGAAGCAGCAATGGGCTGATTTGAATCGCAGGAAACAACAACGCCTACCTGGTCAAGCGCCACACTTCCGGCGGTGTCCAGCTGTCTCGAGACCCATTCAACCTTACCAACAAGCACTCCCGAAAGCATGCGGGTTTCGTCAATGACAAGGCTGTGTCGGTGCAGGTTAATGAGAAGGGCGGCGTCACACTGTTGACCAAGAAGTCGGGCAAGCAACACAAGCCCAAGGAGCACTACAACACACACCCATACAGCAAGACCACGTCGAACCAAAAGTGAGTATATAACCAATGAGTAGTTTGGTGAGGAATGGCCGGACTGACTACGTGTACAGGATCTACAAGAACATCGCAGATTCAGTCGGCAAGAAATCTTACCGTGGGGACCTGAACCAGAGTGCCGTTTCCCGCGCCAGTGCCCTCAAAGATTCGCAGCGAACAAAGAAGGATACCCCAGAGAAGAAAGCCCGTGGCTCGAAGGCGACCAAGCAGGAAGAGTAGAGTTCTGACTATTTGTGAATACGAAACCAGTTCGCTTTCGATGAGTTCAGGCAAGAGTGTTGCTCCAGGTGCATGATCCGGCAAGTGGATAGATGTTACAGATGTCGAGATGGACGCATCGAAGATCGGCTCCATAACACGGGCTCCGATCACTGAAACCCGACAAGCTAACGGTACATGATGAGGGATGTCGTGCTCTTGCTATGCCGGGTATGGGACGGGAAAGTCAGACCCAGTGGGAGCGAGAAACTGCATCCGAGGTATTACTTTTGTGACTTTAGTGTCATAGAAACCACGGCATGTGTAGCAGAATCAGCGATTTCTAGCCAAACTGCGCTCAGCCTGACCCGGCCAGTTCTCGTCTGGAGAGCCTTGTAGGCTGTCTGCATATCAAATCGTTTTCGCAGTTAAATCCACAGCGGACCAATCTTGTAGCTTGTAATTGGGCCCATGCAAAAGACTCGGAGTTGCGGTAAAAACGCGGGGTTCTGATCGGTCTTGTTGAGCATTGATTGACAATACATAACGAGCTTGGCGGCACCTGCACCTGCCCGCAGTCTCAACCGGCCAGTTTCAAAGGAAGATCAGACCGCTCTTACTGTTTATTTCACTTCGCGACTTTCATTGCTACTCATTCGTGCTTTGCAACTTCCTTCCGGACAGCAAACTCTAGCAAACTTCTTCCAGGTACGACAGAGAGTCACAACGGGAAGGTACTCCTAGCTGACTTGCATCGCGCAGTTCAAATACCCCACAGCTCTTAGCCATGGTGAAAGCAGTCGTCCTCGGTGCCGCTGGTGGCATTGGCCAGGTAATTGAGACCAAGAAATCGATGTCTTCTCTATGACTGACCTTTACAGCCTTTGTCACTCTTGTGCAAGATCTCTCCCCTCATCGATGAACTCTCCTTGTTCGATGTTGTCAACACTCCTGGTGTTGCCGCCGATCTCTCTCACATTTCCTCCGTTGCTGTATGCTCCGCTCCTCACGACCAACTCAAACAAACCTCTGAACTGACGATGCATAGTCCATCGGTGGCTTTGTAGCAGCCAAGGGGGACTTCAAAGGAGAGAAGCAAGAGACGGAAGATGCAAAGAAAGAAGCCTTGACTGGTGCAGATATTGTCATCATCCCAGCCGGTGTTCCTAGTATGTTCCCGGTGATTGCATATCGATCAGCCGTGACTGACTTGTTTCTCATAGGAAAGCCTGGTATGACCAGAGATGACCTCTTCAAGACCAATGCCGGTATCGTCAAGGATCTCATTGTCGCCATCAGCAAGTACTGCCCCAAGGCATACATCTGCGTCATCTCAAACCCTGTCAACTCAACCGTCCCCATTGCCGCAGAAGTCCTGAAGAAGGCTGGTGTCTTCGACCCCAAGAAGCTCTTCGGTGTCACAACCCTCGATGTCGTCCGTGCTCAGACGTTTGTCGGCGATATCGTCGGCGAGAAGGATCCCCGCAAGTTGACCATCCCTGTCGTTGGTGGCCATTCGGGCGCCACCATTGTGCCTCTATTCAGCCAGGCCAAGCCTTCAGTCAAGATTCCAGAAGACAAGCTTGATGCATTGGTCAACCGTGTGCAGTTCGGTGGTGATGAGGTTGTCAAGGCCAAGGATGGTGCTGGCTCCGCAACTCTCTCTATGGCCTATGCTGGTTTCAGATTCGCCGAGTCCCTGATCAAGGCATCCAAGGGCGAGAAGGGTATTGTTGAGCCAACCTTTGTCTATCTTCCTGGTGTCGAAGGTGGCGACGCTATTGCTAAGGCGACTGGCTGCGAGTACTTCTCTGTACCTGTTGAACTCGGCGTAAGTGCTGTCCATGATCTGAAGACCTGGACATGTTCGAAAATGTATTCTTTTACTGACCTCTCTATAGCCCAACGGAGCTGAGAAAGCCATCGACATCCTCAGCAGCGCCAACGACTATGAGAAGAAGCTCCTCGAGGAGGCCATCAAAGGTCTCAAGACCAACATCGAAGCCGGTGTCAGCTTCGTCAACAACCCACCCAAGTAGGTCGAAACTGTATCCTTCTGCACTTGTCAACCTGCCTAACACCGTTTCGCAGGTAGGACGTGAGCGACTTCTTCCCAGAACGAGCCTGCCTGCTTCGGTGTTTTGCATATGACCCGGAAAATGCAGCCACGGAGACTGACAAAAGGGGTCCGGAGCAGGTTATGAAACAAACATTGTGAACCTCGGAGTTTCCACGACATGATTCCATAGCTGCCAGACATTTTCTGGAGAGATCACGTAGAAAGGACCTTGATCAATGCTTCTTGCAAGCTTCAGATTTGCAATGAATGTTTTCGATCACAATTCTGTCTTCACGCTCTGAAGCTCTTCATGTTTTTGCTTGTGATGTTTTGATCTGGAATGTCGCGAACGGCAATTCCGTCGTTTCAGCTTGCACAGTAGCTTTAATTCCCAAGCTGGACAACACGCCCCTAATGATGCCGCACGGAAAGTAGAGGTGTGGTTGGGCTCTGGCGATAGCTTCGGTGTGTGTAGTCATGCTCATTCTGGAGAAAGGTCGGAATTTGTTGTCTGTAAGGACGAAGACGCCCTGCCGTAAGTTAGAATCTCATCTGTTGATCCTCCGTGTATGGCATGTCAGGGAAAACCTACTCTATGATTCGTCTTGAGGTTGTCAATCTGTTTCTTGAACACCACCGTCCACAAATCCTTGCACAAGAACTTGATGACATCCAATTGATCCGTAAATCTGGGTCTGTCCCGCGAAAAGCGTTCCGTCAGACCTTCACCCACGCGAAAGCCCAGACGTTCGAGACGCACGAACATGCTGTCGCGGAAGATATCTGTTTCCGGCAGACCGTCTGCTGCGAGCGGTGGTGCAGTCGCGCCAGCACTAACGCCCGACGTCGACGTCGGTGCCGGGTTCGGGTTTGCCGCCGTGACAGCGCCGGCGCCAGCAGACGAGATCGAGGTGGTGCGCTGTTGCTTTGTAGGGTTACCAGGCGCAGGACGATCGATCGAGGCTTCGAAATTGCGGGCCATGCGCTCGGCGAGAGGGACTAGTTCGATCAGGAGGAGGTCGAAGGCCGAAATATTCACTAAAGCCGCTGTGTCGGTGAGGGTGTCTGTGGGAGGTGCTGCGATTGCGGCCATCTTGAATCCCAAGAGGTCACTCCTTATGGGCTTGGGCCGTTGGATGCAGGGCGACACCTTTTGAGGGAAGGTGTTGAAGTGAGAGGAACCCAGGATGCTGTCATAGCGCTGACTTCGTGGACATTCTCTCTAGTGGTTCCATACTGGGGTAGTGGTGTCGAGACATCTTTGTTCGGGGCTGTTGACTGTGACTTCAAGTTGGAGAAAGTGTCCCTGGTAGTCCAACTCCACGGTGCAGGAAGAGTGGATCGAGAGATCACGTGTCATTACGTGGCAAGGCTGGGAATATTGGGCAGATTCCTCCTCTTCCTCTACCAACGTCGCAGCTTCTTATTCTGTGAGGTCACAGATACTCTGCGACGAGTCTACAATCGAGCTAGACCAAAAGCAAGCTAGATTTCATGATGCAAAGTATTACAATGTATTAAGCTAGTCAGAACTAGAACCAGATTCTTCCAGCACATCGTCTGCCATGCGGTGGAGATGGCGCGTCCGGTTCTATGCTGAGACAACTGCAGACCTCACCCATATCTATTGTACAATGAAATCAGAAGATCTGAGAAAGAACACTTATTGTGCCATGACATCGACGTAACGACCTTTGGCTCCCTTCTTTGCTTTAGGACCCTTTCGCCCTGTGGCAGGACCTATCAAGTCATCAATACTGCTAGCGTTGCTTGCTGCGGTACCTGGACGAGACGGTCCTGAAAGGGGTGGAGCAAGTCCAAGGCCAGGATTCGAGCTTGAGCCAAGCGGCGGGGTTCCAGCACCACTTGGAGGACCAGAAGCACCTGGAATTGGTGACGACACATTGGGTCCTCCTATGACAGGAGTCCCTGTCCTGCTTCCCGGAACGGATGGCGCACCCATGGTCATACTTGGTATGGTGGGAGTCGAGGCATGAGAGGATAGAGCAGCTCTTGGGGGTCCACCTGGGGCCATGGGAGGAGCTGGGGTACTACCCATTCTGGGAGGCGGAGGAGGTGTCGCTGTCTTCTTCGCGGCATCCGGGTTGTCAGGATTCACCCATTTGCCAAGATCCTTGTCGAAGTACAACTTCATCTTCGACTCTCCGAGATTGGCTTTGTAGATTTTCGCTTCTGCGCCACCTTTGGCTGGTGCACCAGCATCAAGCCCTTCTGCAGCCTTCTTGCCTCCGAGCCATCCGCCAAACCAGGACGAAGAAGATCTCTTAGCGTGAGATTTCTCCTTCTCATTTGCAGCATCTGCTTCTGCCGCGGCCCGGAAGGCTGCGTCCGCGGCAGCGTCATTTGCACGTTTACGTGCAGCCTCGTCCTCGTCATCCGCACCAGGCTTGCTCTCTCCAGGCGCTGTCGGCCTCGTTATACGGGGAAAGTCATCATCGTCATCGTCAATGAATGACTTTTTCTTTGGTTTCTCCTTCCTTTCTTCCTCAGGCGAACCAGGTTCCGGGACGTAGGGTACATAGCCACCGTCTGAAGGCGGTTCATACCCGTACGATTGTGGATACGGCTCATAGCCAGCAGCAGGCTGTTCATGCTCTTGCGGCGGCGTCTGTACCTGCTCCGGTTGGACTGGCTCAAAGCCACCATAGCCTATGGGGTGTTCCTGACTTGTAGGTTGAGGCACCGTTTCTGGCATATAGCCATACATTGGCTGCGCGCTAGCCTCCACTGGTGGAGTCGGTATGTACTCCTGGCCCCGTGCGGGAGATGCTTGAGCAGAAACTGATTGAGACATACCACTCGGCATATATGAGTTCCTGGGAGGGCTTTGCGGGAAAGAGTTTGGAGGAGATGCCGTGGCATTAGGTAGGTATGGGTTCGTAAGCTGCCTGGTCAATCCTTGTTGAAGCATGTTCGTAGGCTCATACTGCCGGTTGCCGTGGGAGTACGAAGTAGACGGAGGTGACCTCTGTGCATCGAGAGACGGTCTGCCCCGGGTAAGCTCCGATGAAGAGCGAGAGGAAGCAATGCCATTGGGCGCGTATCTGGATCCTGAGACGGCTGCCGGCATGCCTTGTGTGTAAGGCCCATACAAATCCGTTTGAGAAGCGGCTCGACTGAGGGATGGCGTTCCCGCGACGTTGGCGAACGGTCCTGCTTCAGCCGCATCTTTGCCTGAGCCTTGAGATGCTGCATCACTGTCCTCGCCAGCAACAAAGCTGCTGAACTTGGTCCACATCGATCCTGACACCTTTTCGAGGCTAGGTTTACCGATCCAAGATGAAGACCCTTGCATTGGTGTTTGCTTCAGACGGTTGGTGAGTTCGTCCAGCTCCAACAGGAACAATGGATGATAGTATGGCGACATCTTAGTATTCGACTTCAATGTTGCAGCAATGGCATCGCAATATGCCAAAGCCTCAGTCTTTTGTCCCGCGTCAGCCAATACCTTTGCTCGTTGTAGCTTGTAGACAGATAAATGAGGCATATATGCAGTCGGTGCTCCGGCAGCAAGTATATGTGTGGCGAACTCGTAAATTTCCGTGAGTAACACCCCATCATTATCTCGACCAAAGTCAACAGGATGTGCTCGGTGATGAACTCCCAGTAAGACGATTGGTGCATGTTCTTCGTCCACACCACCAAAAATGATCGGTTTCGCAGGACTTTTGGAGAAGAGGTAGCATATGTGGGCAGCCTCGATGCGGTTGTAGTCCTCTAAGAGTTTGCCGAGTACCGCTAGAGCTTCATGATCGCCTGGGCAACGATTGTTCAAGACCAAGCTCAAGGTCTCTTTCCAGCGATTCAATCCGTCAAGGGCATTCTTCGTTGGTCCAGAAGTATCGACTTTGCTCACCATTTGAAGCCCTGCTCGAGCTGATGGAGGGACGAGTTCGTCTATACTCTCCTCGAGGTTGCCGCCGAAGATCTCATACAAGGCAGACAATGATTCTGCATTTTCACCGACAGTCTTCACCTCTTGGCGAACAAATTCTCGCACGACTTGGCTCCATACCGAGCGATCCAGCGTTGAGGCTATGATCAATGCGTGGGACCAAAGTCGGTTGTCCATGGCATCAAATACCGCTCCCTGTCGATCGCCAGTTAGCAGACGCTTTCGAAGACCTTCTACAGCCATGGGATCGACAGAATCGGGGCGCGCATTGGTTCCAGGTGGACGGTAAATGCCTGCAAGCTGTTGGTCCGCACGATATTGACTCGCTGCCGACTCATCCAAGGCATGCACTTCAGGTGTCAAGATCACATTGACCGCCTTCAGAGCTGGGCCGTCCAGTGTACCGTCGTGTTCGACGAGAGCGCGGACAATTTTCCAAAGCAGAACCTTTTCGTGATGGCGTATACTTGGGTCAGAAAGGGTTTGAGAGGATGCAATGCCGGTTCCGACTGTCTCAAGACCAGAGATATAGTCTGACATCCATGACAGTAGCTCCTTCTTTTTAGACTTTGTGCGCAAGGGCCCAGGGAAGCTTTTCATGTTCTGATCCTGTGAGATCGTATCCTTGGTGTTCCTCAGAGATACATCGCCGGGAGCAGCCTTGATCAATGGCCTTGCTGCGCCCGCAGCATATCTAGGCACGTGTTTCGGAAATGTGCTGACTATTGTACCGCCAAACCCAAACTTGAAAACAGGTGCCCCTCTCCACCGCTCGAGCGGGTCGAATTGACTCTCATCAACAGGACGTACGAAGTCCAAATCCGCTGTAGGCCCTCTGGTCTGTACCTGAGGCCTTGCAGGTGGTACTGTCTCCAGCCCCGCATATGATCTAATTTGCGCGGGCTGTCCGAAAGCTGAAGCCGGGCGATTGGGAACATCGTTGATGTATGCAGGGAAAGCTGCTTGAGGCCGTTGTTTCGAAGGTGACTGCGTTTGTGATCGACGAGGTGGTGGCATTCGGTCCGGAGCAGGGGGCTGTGGTGGAGGATTGTTATAGTATGCCTCAACAGGCGCAGAGACCGCAGGCGCAGTTATGGTGTGCGACTGAAGTATAGGAGCAGCTGAAACCTGGCGGAGCAGTGCCGCCCTTCCTTGCGCATGTAGGTCATTCGCATTTTCATCGATAGATCGCTTATGGAACGCAAGAGGACTGGACGTTCGTGGTTGAAAGGGCAGAACAGGCGGGGGCGGGACGTTAGGTGGCCCTTGAGACACATATCTGTTTGGCATCGTAGGTGGACCTTGCGCAGGAGCTGGTGGTGTCTGCTGCGAAGCATAACGATTTGTAGGGAAGTTAGTGGCGCCTGCGGGAGGAGGCGCAGGGGAATAACGAGTGGGTGCTGGCTTTGGAGGTGCGGTTAACGATGTTGGCGCCGGAGAATATCTGGTGGTCGAGACGGCAGGTGCAGCGGGTGCAGACTGTAGAGGCAAGTTCGCGTACGGATCAATGCGCTCAGGGGGCCGCATTTGATATTGGGCATATGGATCTGAAGCACGCGGAGGTGACGGTTGAGGTCGGGGAGGCGACTGATGCATAGAGGGTGGACTCTGAGGGAAAAGTTGTGGTGGAGTAGCAGTGATGTTCTGCTGGGGCGTGTAGCGACCATGGCCCGTAGCTGGCCGTGCTTTGGGTGGAACAGGTAATTCTTCAAAGAAGCTTGAAGATCCTGATTTTGCAGACTCCGGTTTTGGAGGCTGCGTGAAAGCTGAGGCACTTCGATTCTGTAAAAATGGTGCAGAAGCTGGCGGTTGTAGGGGCCCAGTAGCTGGCCCTGGCGGAACATTTGAATAGAACGGCGATTGGAGCGGGTTCTCATTGAGGCTGCTACTTCTCGGAGGTGGCGCAACCGTTTTAGAGGTCTGAACCGGCGCCGGCACATGCGCTCTCTTTCTCGGCTTGATGTCCATGGGTAGGTCGTATGGAGATTTGTACCCGTCCTTGGCTTGATCGACGAAGCTCTTCGCCGTTTGTGCAGGAGGTCTCTGTTGTAGTTGTGCCTGGAAAGAACCCATGGGACCCAGCTCAGGCCGAGAGATACCCACATTGTTATGTGTGCCACCTCTCGAGGGAGACAATTGGAACATGTCCGAGGTGGATGGCTGATGTGGCGCATACGGGTTGCCAGAATCCTGTCTCTGCGGCAGGCGTTGTGTGCGGGGACTAGCCTCTGGAGCAGGGACGTTGGGCTTCTCCTCTGGCTTCTTGACTGGCTCCTGCTGCAACGATGAAGCTTGTGCAGATGGAGAGCCGGGTTCCGAGTCTGGGAGGAGGTCATCGGCATCTTCGACAAGGAACTCATCGTCATCAAGCAGAGCAGCCCATGTTTCGTCAGCACCCCCAGCCTTGGGAGCTTGTGCAGGTTCGGTCTGTTCTTCGCTTCCCACACCTCCATCTCGGGCCAAATCCTCGAAAAAGCCAAATTGCGGCTCGGCAGGCAGAGCGGGAGAATCGGGAGCATCCTTGGAAGAGAAGTGCAGAGAGTCTAAGACTTGAGTGGTGGTTTTCCTGTCTAGCCCAGGGAACTCTTGAGGCGGCTCTGTGGTGCCGTTGGGTTGATCAGCAGTGCCGTTCAGATTGGAGAAGAACGACGCCTCCTCCTCGTCATGTGCTGGCTCTGAGAACTTCACAGCCGGGGTCTGCGTTTCTTGGTCCGAACCGTCGTCGACTGCGTCTTCGCTTTGAATTAGAGGTACCCCTTCATCGAAACGTTGTGTCGCTTCATCAACCGTAGGTTCTTGTTCATTGACTGTCCAAGCCTCGGCCTCGCGACCCCTTTCACGCTCTTCCTCCGCCCAGTCGAGGCTCTGAGGTTGCTGATCAAGACCTTCTTCTTCGGCCGTAGATATCGGCCCTTGCGTGTCCAGCGCATCTTCTGCTGTAGCATTATCGTGGCTTGAGGCGGGGGCTTCAGAGGTCGAAATTTCTGGGAATGTTGCCGTCCGGTGAACTTGGTCCAGGATTTGAGCCGAGTCGAGACGCTTGATGCCCCAGGCGGGATCTAAGCGCTCATCATCATCGTCCGAGGGCAGTTCATCTCCGGCAACGCTTTCGCGGATGGGCTCTTGCGACCATGGCAGACTTTCGTTCCCTTCGATTCCATTTGTATGGCCTCCTGGAATGGTCTCTGAAGGATCCGTCAATTGATCATGGTATGTCAAGGTCCTGTCGTTTGTGGAATCTGCGACATTATTTTCCTCCGTCGTTGATGTTGGCGGCTGTATATGCGTCTCTTCGTCAACAAACCCCATTGGCAGTTTCTTGACTTGATTTCCAACGGTATTGGGATCGTGCAACTGGGCAGGAGTGTTAGGACGTAGCGCCGGCAGCCAGTGCCCGACTTGAGGCCCATCTGACGCCTCTATCGAGTTGTGATTAGGATCGATGGCAGGCTCCATCACGATCTCCTAGACCGAACAGATACTGGTTGATGTCAGCGACAGTTGCACGGAGAATCGTCCTGGAAACACACATACAGCTAGAATAACAAAATGAATGTTACAGAGGGTCTGAAGACATAGCGATGACCCAACTCCTGTTCAATAACGCAGGGATGAAAGCAGACGCTGTTGAGGAATTGTCAAACGGGGATAGTGTTGGAGGCCAACCTGGTCTCGAGAACTTGCGGCGACCTGTGAAGACGCGGAGGGAAGCTGCGGAGCCCATTTCTTACCTAACGTAAGTGGGTAAGTACGAATTACGGGTGGCACTGAATCGCGGTCCGACGCGAATCTCTCTCCAACTTGAAGGTCAAAGCCTCGCTAAGCACATGTTTAACCACCATTTCTTGCAACACTCAAGGCTGCCACGTACGCCACCAAACATCCTCAATCGAACCATAACCAAAACTATTAGATGAAGATCGCGTGCGTCTGTAAAGTCACACCGATCCTTCTACAAGCCTCCCACTGCCGTACAGACCTGTTCTCACCACGGTAGGCCAACATGGCCACAGCCCCTTCAACTTACCCGTAACGACTGAAGTCTGAGGATGAACAAGAGACGACATGCCTCCTTACACTCCACTTCGACCGCCGGGCGACCACGACTCAGCGTCCGAAGATGACCTCGACCTTGACGAACTCGATCCCATCGATAATTCCTCTGGCCAGTCAGCCAAAAAAGCGACAAACGAGTCGTCCCGACGCCCTCCAAATGGATCCTCACAGATCCCACTCCAACGTCTTGACAAGTACGGCGCCGGCCGACTGTGGCGGTCCAAAGGCAGACCGAACAATCCCGTTAATGGCGAAGAGGACACAGAGGGACTGCTAGGTAGTTGGCCGGGACAGTCCCACGGCTATGGACGTCTCAGACGATATTCCGAAGAACAAGTGGGTTGGAATGTTCGTAACAAGAAAGTCCAGCAAGGCAGCGTACCTGATGCTGTCTCCCCGGGCCGGAACACCCCTTCGCGTCGGCCGAGTCAAAGCATGATGTTCCAGGAGTTCGTCAGGCAAGAGCTGGCTGACATGCGGGAGAATCAAGATCTCGAAGGCAATGACTCCCGCGCAATCCTCGTGGGCCAGACTCAGAAGAAGAGATATCCAACGAACGTCGTCTCCAACGCCAAATACACCGCTTGGTCTTTCCTGCCACGAACCTTGTACAACGAATTTTCTTTCTTTTTGAACATATATTTTCTCTTGGTGGCATTATCACAAGTTATACCCTATTTGCGGATCGGCTACATGTCGACTTACATTGTACCATTAGCGTGTGTTCTTACAATCACGATAGGAAAAGAGGCGGTAGATGACATCGCGCGCAGACGACGAGATGCCGAAGCGAATTCGGAACTTTTCACCGGTCTCTCTTTCAAGGACGGTACGCCTCGCGAGCGTGGTGTTGTCGAGGTTCCGAAACGCTCACGAGACATCAAGGTTGGGGACGTCTTGAAGTTGGGAAAGAATCAAAGAGTCCCCGCGGACGTCATCATCCTCAAGAGTTGCTTGAGCGAGCTTGTGGACGAAATCGCAGTTGATGGAGATGTTGACGGCTCTGGGGCTTCTCTTGCCATATCGACCGGCGAGACCTTTATCAGAACAGACCAACTGGACGGCGAGACGGACTGGAAGCTGCGGCTGCCCAGTCCATTGAGCCAGAATTTGAGCATAGCAGATCTGCAGCGCTTGCACATCACAGCTGGAGCGCCTGATAAGAACGTCAACGCGTTCGTTGGTACATTGCAATTACCATCTACTCAGCATGGGCCATATGACCCTCATTCTATCGACGAAGACAGAGGCGGGTCAAACGATGATGATCATGTCCGAAATAATGAATCCGCACCTCTGACGATTGACAATACGGCGTGGGCTAATACAGTCCTGGCTTCAAGCACGGTCACCTATTGCGCTGTCGTCTACACAGGCCGACAGACACGCTCTGCTCTATCAACCTCGCCATCAAGATCAAAGACCGGTCTTCTGGAGAACGAAATCAACAATTTGACCAAAATCCTCTGCATCCTGACCCTTACGCTATCAATCGTCCTCGTCGCTTTGGAAGGGTTTGAGCCGTCGAACGAAAAGCCATGGTATGTGGCAATCATGATCTACTTGATCTTGTTTTCCACCATCATACCAATCAGTCTGCGCGTGAACCTGGATCTTGGAAAATCTGTGTACGCTCATTTCATCGAGCATGACAAGGGCATTCCGGACACGGTTGTCCGTACCAGTACCATACCAGAAGACCTCGGCCGCATCGAGTATCTTCTTTCAGATAAAACAGGCACACTCACCCAGAATGAGATGCAGCTCCGAAAAGTGCATGTCGGGACAGTCGCATATTCAGGTGAAGCCATGGAAGAAGTGGCGGCCTACGTCGATCAAGCATTCGCAACTGGTAGTAAGAAGGATGGACGCGCAACAGAGCTAGGCGCCACAACGAAAACTCGACGAGAGATTGGAGTTCGAGTACGGGATCTTGTACTTGCCCTTGCCCTCTGTCACAATGTCACTCCTACCACGGATGAAATCGACGGCAAGAAGACGGTTTCATACCAAGCATCATCTCCTGACGAGATCGCTATCGTGGAATTCACTGAGAGTGTGGGTTTGCGCGTCCTACGGCGTGACCGGGAGAGTATTGTTCTTCAGTCTGTCACCACTGGCGAACTCGTTGTCAGAGCAGAAATCAAAGACATATTTCCTTTCACGTCCGACAGTAAGCGTATGGGTATCATTGTACAATTATCCTCCGATATTCCCGGTCTGGCGAGCGCAGATGAGCTGTGGTTTTTCCAGAAAGGGGCCGATACCGTCATGTCGTCAATTGTGGCTGCAAATGACTGGCTTGATGAGGAAACCGCGAATATGGCTCGTGAAGGGCTCCGGACACTTGTAGTGGGCCGCAAGAGAATGTCGCCATCCCAGTACGCTGACTTCTCCTCGGCTTACACTGATGCATCACTTGCTCTGCATGAGCGTGACGCAGGGATGGCAGCCGTGGTCAAGTCACATCTCGAACACGATCTGGAACTCTTGGGTGTCACGGGTGTCGAAGACCGCCTTCAGAAAGATGTCAAGCCGTCGCTTGAACTACTTCGCAATGCTGGTGTCAAAATCTGGATGCTGACGGGCGACAAAATTGAGACTGCACGCTGCGTCGCCGTTTCGGCACGTCTTGTTGCAAGGGGACAACATATTCAAACACTGGCCAAACTGAAAACCAAAGCGCAGGGCAAAGATGTGCTGGACATGCTCCGCAGTCAGACGGAATCATGTCTCCTGATTGACGGCGAGTCTCTCGGCCTTATGCTCAGTTATTTCAGGCCGGAGTTCATCACGATCGCGGTTAAATTGCCTGCGGTTATTGCTTGTCGATGCTCGCCAACACAAAAGGCTGAGGTCGCGCAGTTGATTCGCCAGTACACAAAGAAGCGAGTCTGTTGTATCGGCGATGGTGGCAATGATGTTAGCATGATTCAAGCAGCAGATGTGGGCATTGGCATCGTTGGCAAGGAAGGGAGACAAGCCTCGCTGGCGGCAGACTTCAGCATCACCCAGTTCTGTCACATCACCAAACTTCTGGTCTGGCACGGCCGCAACAGCTACAAAAGGTCCGCCAAACTGGCTCAATTTATCATCCATCGCGGCTTGATCATCAGCGTCTGCCAGACAATGTACAACATTGCGGGACATTTTGATCCCAAGGGTCTTTTCAAAGACTGGCTCATGGTTGGCTATGCCACGGTCTACACCATGGCGCCGGTATTCACTCTGGTACTTGACCGAGACGTAGACGAGCAGGTGGCCAATCTATACCCTGAATTGTACAAGGAATTGAAGTCAGGCAAGAGCTTGAGTTATCAGACCTTCTTCACTTGGGTCTTGGTCTCCGTCTACCAGGGTGCCATCATCCAGGGCCTGTCGCAGCTGTTGGTTGGCGCGATTGATGGCCCTCGAATGCTCAGTGTGAGTTTCACCGTGCTGATATTGAACGAGCTCATCATGGTTGCGGTAGCTGTTACGACGTGGCATCCCATCATGATCGTCTGCATCGTTGGCACGGCTGCGCTTTATGCGGGTAGCGTGCCGTTCTTGGGTGGTTATTTTGATCTGGCATATGTTGCTAGTGTAAGCTGGGCGTGGAGGGTCATTGCGGTTGCAGCTATCAGTCTGGTACCTGTCTGGGGTGGCAAAGTGATCAGGCGCATGTGGAAGCCACCAAACTATCGCAAAGTGCAGGGGATATAGCACTGTGATTTCTTGTGTTCCAGATGTCGAGATGTAGTCGAACCACACTATAATATGCTATTGTTAGATAACGTCTTGACCTGTCAAAAAGAGTGCGTCAATCCATGGAAACTCGAGGTTTGCCTGATTGACAGGTGCTGAAGCCTTCCCGAGCCAGACTGTTGGAATGTCCTTGAGATCTGCCGGATTCGATTCGGTACCAGAACGCATTCTCAGCGTTCTTGTACCACTCAAGAGGGGCTGTCATAATCTTGCCGGGCTTTCAGAGTGGATGTCCTCTGCGGAACTTGTCCAACGTCTTGAGTGGAACGTCCACGTTTGCCTTCCTTTCTCCGGTGTGCTGCTGGCTAGCGTGGTCAAATTCATTGTGATACCAGAAACGCAGTGATGAGTCGTCAGAAGTATGCCTAAAGGCCAGTCGCATGCTCCAGACGTGCAAGGGTATCCTGGTCCAGCCATTAGTTTTTGACGTGCATTTGGAACCAGGAAAGTCAGTCCCGGCAGCTTGGCTCGTCCGGGTTGTCTTTTTCGTTTGTGCTAGCCCAGAAGTGGCGTTCCCAGGACTGGCCAGCGGTCATCTGCTTTTTACCTCCTCTTGTGTGGAGATGATCGAAGTGCTGGTAACTCGTATAGCCTGCAATGTGCCTATGCTGAGCACTTGCTGGACCTTTTAACCCAAGAAGCACATGGACGCATCAACGGCCTCTGCAAGCAGCCGGGCGAGGAGTGACGGAGCAGCTGACGATTCCAACGAAGAATGAGTGGGCGCGTGGAGGAAGGCTGTCTTCTCAGTGTAGGCCCGGATGATGCGGCGGTTGCATACCGGTGAGTAGTCAGTGACAGGATATCCAGCAAGTGATCAAGACGGTGAATCCATCCTTGCATCGCCTGCATTAGTCCGGTTCGAGGTAGGCTGGGTTGGTCAGAATGATAACGCTGTCGGGTTCCGAATGGCGTCTCGTCGAGAGAAGAGCTGAAGAAACCGTGCCTTTGCTGCCAACGGCCGGTTTGTCGTCGTGCGAAGCTGCTTCCGAATCATACACTGATTCATTGAGAGCAGCGTTGCAGTCAGTAGGAAGGTAAAGAATCAGGATGAGGGAGATACCACGCAGGCTAAGTGCAGTCCGGATGGAAATCTGCGGCTAAAGTCCAACCTCGCACGACCATGAGATGATGCATGCTGCTTTCGATACCGACGACGTCCAAGACCGCAGCCATCCAAGGTCTGGTCCCGTATGACATCTACGCCGGGGATGGTGTACTGCAGAATATCTCCTCGTGGAATTGATTGATTCCAGGTTGCAGATGGGCATGCATTGCAGCAATGAACCCCTGGGACGCTTTGAAAGCTCCTGCCATTTCATTGTTTCCTGACCTCCTCTTGCCTCCCCCAATAACACACCCAGTCTTGTTGCATTTCTTTGTTTTCGCTCATCACTTCGTCTCATCCATGCTTTGCCCTGCATTTCCACGGTGTTGCTGATGTCCGTGAGAAACCGCCGTTACTGGTTGCCGGATGTGATGTGATGGCTCGCAGTGAAACCATCTTACTTAACCCCGGGTTGGAAACTTCCTTTTCAAATATCGCTACACTTCACTTCGCTTCGCTTCACCCCTTGCCGATGCCCGGGTCGTCACTTGTAGTCAATCGTGTTGAAGGTGAATTCCAGGCATCACTGTTTGACTCGAATCACCGCAACCTCAACCGCACCCACCACAAAACCTATAACCCTCACTACGGATCTGATCGACCTTCGTCAAATATCTCACTCCGCCTCTAGAAGCTGTCAGCCTACTCAGTCTTTGATTTGACAGCCATGGATGCTTCTCCGGAGGAGATAATTGCACTGGCAGATCAGTTGGGTGAACTCGCAAAGAGTGCGGCCACAGCACAAGATCCCAAGACACGAAAACACCAGACATCCGCACTTGTTTTGCAAGCAAAAGAGTTGATCTGGAAAGTACAAGACCCATACGATGCTGTCATGGACCACGTCGTCAACGTAAGGCACCCCTGATGGCCTGCCATAGACTCACTAACAAATGAGTAGGGATACACGATCTCAGCCTGTCTCTCCGCCTCAAAGCTCGGAATCTTCGAAGCAATTCCTCCTACTGGTACGGCCTCCGCAAGAGAAGTCGCAGAAAGATGCAATGCGGCCGAAGAATTGATAGGCAGGTCGTCCCTTTGCCTTTGACAGGCGATCACACAGCTGACAGGTAACCAGTCCGCCTCATGCGACAATTGACCTGTGTCAGCATCTTCAACGAGGTCCGGCTTGGTGAATGGGCACACAATCGACTCTCGATTATGCACAGTGAGCATGTTGGCGCGGCAAGTGGCAAGTGGCTGTACAGCGTCTCGTGAGTATTACCCCTTCATGCAAGACAGGATACCTGGACACGTAGCGGATGCTGATTTCCTACCTGCAGGCTTGACGAGATGGCTCCGGCGATGTACCGATTGAACCACTATCTGGACCGTTTCGGCAACCACTCACTCCTCGAAACTTACACTGAAACTCCGCACTCATGGTATTACGACGTGCTGGGCAAAAATTTCTGGGAAGTGATGAACTCATCCCATGACCGCATCGAAAACTTCATCCGTGGCCTTGGGACTTTTGACGCTCTGCATCCGGTGGTCGCCATGTTCCCATTCGAGGAGGCATTGCAGAAAGGTAACTCCCCGAATCGTCCGCTCATGGTCGACATCGGTGGCGGAAGAGGCCTGGCGTTGCTGGAGATGAGGAAAGGTTGCCCGAGTCTTCAAGGTGAACTGGTCCTGCAAGATCGTCCATGCATCCTCGATGACATTTCAGCCGAAGACCTACCAGGAGTGAATAAGATGGCCCATGATTTTTTCCAAGAGCAACCTGTTCGGAACGCGCAGCTGTATTACATTCGTCGGGTCTTGCATGACTGGCAGGACAAAGATGCAGCGCGTATCATGAAGGCTATCGTGCCGGCCATGGCAAAGGATAGCCGCATCATCATCTCCGACATGGCCATACCAGAGCCAGTTACGGCAAGAGATGCTGGAGCTGTCTGGCTGGATCTCATGATGATGAGTATCGGCGGTAAGGAAAGAACTGTGCGCGACTGGGAACGACTGGCGGAATTGAGTGGATTGAAGCTCATGCGAGTGTGGCAAGAGCATGAGAGATTTGGACCTCTTTGCGTCGTCGAATACATGCTCCCGGATGCTCACCAACACCAACGTCTCAATCTTGGTTTGGATGGGGCTCAGGACATTGACGAGGATGAAATGATGACTCCAAAGCTCACTCCTGTTGATGGAGAACATCTTTCAGACCCTTGCCTAGAAGGGCTTGATTCCAAAGAGGTTGACTGGGAAAGTTCTACCGTGGTTGGCGACCGTGAGCAGAGCCTCGAACCGCAATCTTAGGCGCATGTGTGGCTGAAAGAGTCGATGATGACACCGCGCCGGCCTTGAGGTGCTTTATGTGAGCATAGGCATAGAGATGTCGGAGTACATAATGTCGTGAGACGCGGTGGGAGTCAGCCACCAATTCCGGGCTGATTGAAGAACCTCTTGGACAGAAGTACTCTATCTTCATGTATTTCGGAGGAGGCCATCAGCCGATACTATCATTGCCAGCATTACTGCCTCAAATCAACTTTGCGTTACAAAGAAAATGTAGCAAGCGTCGTTACAAGCTCTAGCAAAAGTACTCGACAAATAGGGGTAGAGGCCGGCTCTCCTAAGTTAGAACCGACGTCACGTGCCGAGTTTGGGGTAACACCTGCCTGGGTGAGACTGCGCTTTTGAGTCTGTCCTGCAACATTTGTGATCTTTATGATGTTGAGGTCTGCCATACTTACTTGAAGCGGAGAACTGCTGGCACAATCTCCCGTCACAGGTCACTGACGACTGACTAGCTCTCGAGGATTCTGTCGCAGTTCTCGAGGATACGTCTTAGCAATGGCATCATACCTCTCTTACTTCACATCCAACACCTCATCAAGCGCCCTGCCTGCGTCTCAAGGATCAACATGGTCGAACACGTTCTCCTCTCGGATAGCTACCCTACGGAAGGCGTTGACGAAGGACTCCGAGGAAGATGATCCAGACAACGAAGATTGCTCGCATATATCCAATGTCCTACGAGCTTATTATACAGAGAAAGGCCGTTCTTTGCCTGAATGGCTCCCCCCCGACCCCAAGAAGCCTATCGCTCCTCCTCCTCAGCCACAGGGGGCCTATGGACAGTATGGCAACAACATGTATGCCTCTCAGTTTGGCAATCACCAACCGCATTCGAGAGGATCGTCAGGTGGAAGAGGAGGTGGCTTATCTGATCTATGGGATCCGGCACCGGCTCCTGCGCCCATCGCAGCACCTCCTCAGAGCCTTAGGGCTGCTCGTCCGACACCCCAAGCTCTGCGCTCTAATGACTCGGCAGTGTCACACTCCAGCGGCGGCAGTCAGACCGCATCATTCGGAGCCCCAGCGCCTGCACCCCGACCACTCCCAAGTCAAAGAGCGGGAAGTCACCAAATAAATCCTGCTCCGAACACGCAAGCTCTGGGATCTCGCGAGAGATTGCGCGCACGACTTCAGGCTGGAGGAAGCGGAAGGAGCAGTCCTTCGTCTGGTCTGAGTGGCGGAGGAAGTGGTGGGCAGGCATCTTATGGCCCCTCTGGAGCGAGCAACAACAATCCGAACCGAAGTGGGTCGTCTCAGCCCTATATCTCAGCCTCAGAACCGTGGTCGACGGGCGGAGATTCTTATGCCTATGATGGTGGGAACAACAGCTCCGGTCTTTCCTCGACTCAATATGCTGGTCAGGACTCTCGACAGCGACCTGGCGGGCCACGCTGACGACGAGTTCGCAAACGAGTGTCACCACAACGTATCTGAGCGGCTATCTGCTTGGCATGTTCCAAAATGAAAAGCACATTGAACGAATAGCTGCTCAAAGATTCCGATCTCTGTGGCAGTAAGCAATGCCGCGCCGCAGTGAAAGGACCAAGCCTCGAAGGACGTATTGATTCCGTGCTCCGGGCGGCCCAGCAATTGTTTCGAAGTACTTTTCAACGACCTAACAGGGCTGGGCTTGATCTCGGGCCGTGCCAGCTTCGATCGCAGAGTCATGGTCCCGTTGGATCTTGCGTTTATGGGTCCGACAATGGCGAGCCCTACGATCATCTGGTAACCAAATAATCGGACAGATTTTGGGGCCTATCGGCAATCTCATCTCGCGATTATACGAGCCCAATAGAGGAAAGTTGTGGCGCATCATGGTCAGCCTTGAACAATTTGGGCTGGTGGAAAAGCCACTTAGAGATACTGGGCAGTTGATTTCCGGCTGCAACGGCGTCGCCCAGCCTGATCACTCCATCTTGAAGGATATCCCATGTCGAAGAGAACTATTCGGCTTATCAGCGACATGGCGCAGCACGGAACGTCTTTGTCCCTAGAGGCTGATGTAAGCCCCGACGAGGCTAGCCTCGTTACTCAGCGGGGCACTTCGGCTATCCACTACTGCCTCTCCCACACTCTCCATACACTCGCCTCAACCACGACCCTTACCGCAGTGGACACGACTCGCTTGCCATCAAACGTTAAGTTTACGTTTGTTCTTCTCACCTTTTTCACCCTGGTTACGCCGTCGATCCGATCTGTTGATTCCATTCCGGGCAATCTTTTGGACCCCGACCACCCAGCTATCACCAGCGTTGCTCTCGTTCGTCCGTTCCCACTTACCACTCCTGTTCCGCCGGGCATTCAACGTAAATCACATACCGTACTCGGCTTCTGTCGTCACTGGTTCTGAATAAAATACCACAAGACTCTCCTCGATTTTCCTCCCTGGCCCCCACCCCCCTTCGTTCCGGCATCCTCACCAAAGCCCTACAAGCATGACGGATTTTTGTCAGACGGTGGTTCATTGGCACGTGGCCATGACATTGAAAGACGTTCCGATGATGCCAAAATTTCCTAGCCATCCCTGAGGCTGAAGATCTCCACTGCCACAGTCTTCTTCCATTACGTTAGACGCGGTGGAAGCTGGAGCAATCGTCTCTCCGGATGATGATTGGGCGGGGAGATCTAACCATATGCATCACTATAGACCAAACGGGATTGCTCCCGTCAGATTTTGTTGCAACTACACTCTCCTGAGCTCTCTACCTCGCTTTCAAGAGTCACAATACTTCTATAGAAGCCTATGTGTCAGCTTGCTTCTCCCTTTTGGTGAGTGTTATCGGCCCCCTTACCAGATATCGTCATTTTGCATGCGTTTGGTGTTTGCTCGTTGCGTTCGCGCTGCGCTCTTACTAAGTAATTCCAGCCCCTTTTGGTCCCAGCAATGTGTGTGACGGCGTTGATACATAAAGCACCTTATATCATCACGATTACTCAAGACCACCCAGAGCTTGGTTGCATCGAATTACTACTCATCATCAGTGTGCTGGTGCCTATGGACGATAGACCCCGGGAGATCTCTCAGCGCGCTCGAGGCAAAAGACCATCCACCCAAGCTCATTCTCCTCGTCGAGAAGAAGTGACCAGCCAAGTGACCCTGCCGAGCGATCCAGCAGGCCCAGCAACATATAATCCTTCTTATCCCTCCCAAGCAGCCTATACAAGTTTCAGTCCTACGGCAGAGCAGTCGACGTCTTATCGGGAGATACCTACGTTCGATTTCACAACAGCACCTCAGGACTATACAATGTCGCGACGCTCCGCACACGGACAGGGCACGGGCACAACACCACGGCCACAACAATATCAGCTTGTCTCTCCTGGCACACCAGCTGACCCACGAAACATGACTCAAGTCAGTCCAGGTTTCATTTTTGTAATATTTCCTATGTTTGCGAGTTTCTTTTGCATTTACTCCTTCCCTTACAATCATGTCCTCTCCTCTCTATGCTCTGTCATTCTCCTTTCGTTTCGGGTTTTTCTTTCCTGATTTGAATTGTCCTTGATGTCTTTCGCGCACTCTAAAGAAAGGTGCTGCATAAAGCTGACAAGAGGGTGCAGAATAACAAGGATCAGTTGATCCAATCACTCCGAACTCATCGGGTTAACACCATTACGGAATTGCGGCGCATCGAGAAGATCTTTGCCTTCCTGGACTCGGCTGAGGTGACCGAGCCCATGACCTCTGCATGGGCGCATTATGTCAATTCGAACAACCTCCTGAACGAGCTTCGCGGTCTGACAAAAACCTACCCATTTAGCTCGGAGTGCCTTGATGAGGCAAAAGCCATGGTGGTCCGTGATCCCAGCAGCGTCCGGAGCTGGAATTATTGCTGGCTGGTGCTGGTCAAGATGGAACGAGAGTAAGCAGACATTACAGAGCAGAGAGCTCGAGAAGCTGACGCTTTCATTCAGGAACCTCATCACCAAACATGCTCGAGCTCTTGCTTCAAAGGCAAGTACTTGGGGTGGCCGAAGACCCACGGCAGCAGACTTTGACAAACTCGTTAAAGCCTGTGTGGCGGAATGGACCCGAGCACTCAGGCAGATGCTCCGACACTGGGACCAACCTCCAAGTACGACTGGGCATTAGGTGAGTCGCAACAACGACGATGAGCAGGAGGCACGCAACCTCCAGCACACTACCTGCATTCACTATAGTATGACGAGGACTGCACAGGCTTGCAGCACTATCACACGACGATTCGGGCCAGGAAGCTCGTATGGAAGGGAAAAGACTGGCTATAAGGCACTGGGCACCCAGCATCTCCTCCGACAATGTGGCCATACAGAACAGCGGAAATCTTTCTCTTGTTTCTCGGCTGTGCCTTACCTTTTTGATGACAGCGTCATTCTTTTGTGGGGAAAAACTGTCGTTTAGCGAAGGAGCTCTATGGGTGCATCTATCATCGAGATGTATCAACACGGCCAAGCATCTTAGCTGGGCTTGAAATTGAACTATCTTTGACGTTGCTTTCCACCTCTTCACCCGGTCGTTCGTCCGTGAAACAATCGGTAAAGGGATACTTTGGTCGTCCCAACTGACTATGGTGCATGAGACTAGGAGACGGAGCGCCTCCGTGGTGCAATAGCGCTAGAGGTGAATAGCTATCCAGGTGAGGCCACCTGTCAATGGGCTATATGTAAAGCCGGACCAGGAGGTTGGCTTTGTTGCTTGCAACAGCACAGGGGTGTTGTGATGTTCTTCCTCTTTTGGGCATCCTGATCTTCGCTACAAGATGCGTCGGCTGAGTTAGCAACATACTACCAGGGATGGACTGAAGCCTTGCGGACCACACACTTTAGCGTGGCATCTTTCGAGCAGAGCCTGGGTCATGATCCATATCAGTCCTTTCGAGACGATCTCGAACATGACTCCGTCACGTTGCGCCGCGGAGTGTTCTACTTACAGTATTTGATTCCTGCGGTCATCTGACAAATCTCCTCGAAGTTGACGGAGGCTAGGTCTTCTCCGTCGGCAAAAGATGTCCAAGACCATCTTTGCTCATCAGGAGGTGACAATAGCAGACGGCTATCTATACCCATCGACATATGAGCATTAGGCCACCTGTTGCCCGATTGGGCAGCCCGGCCGGCGCACTATAAATACGGGGCGCATGCCGCTGACGGTACTGTACCTGCCTATCGAGCGCGGAATGCAGGCAACATTGTCGAGTAGCAACAAGCGGCCCCCAAAAATACGATACGAGTAGTGTGGTGTGGTGTGGCACCAAGTTAGGTAGCCAAGTCCGGTGTACACACATCTGGGGCATTTGGGAGCTGTAGGGCACACAGGGCAGATGGCCAGATATTGCATGCAATACGACTTGACGCCCTCGCCGGCCTCATCATCATCACACCCCACGCCATCACCTCAGCCCACCTTCACACTTCGATTATTCAATGTCATTTTCACTGGCTGGGATCCAGCCTTGGGATAGAGAACTAGGCACGTCGCATGCGTGGTCTTGAATAGCGATGAGATGAACAGATGGCTTTCCAAGCCGAGCGCAGATCAATCTTGAGTTGCCACCTCCAGGCAGCACGCTCCGAAACTCAGTGACAAATTGACCATGGACTCGGGTATCGCGCAACATCGCGATACGGACAGATAAGACGATCTCGTCAGTCAAGACGGGGATGGCTACCAAGATGGAAAGTACACTACAGCGAGTGAGGCTCAGGGGTGGTGAAGCCAATACTTAGATGGATTAGTAACGGAGGGCAACAGGGGTTGCGCCGTGATTCGTGCGCCTGTAACTGACCCCCGATCTAGCTTCAGCAGGGCCTTTGCTGCATACGGTTAATCCCACATCGTCAAGATCAACCTCGTCTTCTTTTCCACCTTTGGATTGTTCCGGTCGGCGATACCAGGCCTCGAAGGTAGTGACATACGTCTTTTTGTCCTGTCTTCGAAAATGCTAATGGAGAGTTCTGACTACAGGGTGGCGGCCCGAAGGACACTTTGTACTATCATGACTACCGGAAAAACACCATTCACCAGCAATGTCAATTCCCGATGCTGATATGCGCCGGGAGTCTATCCTTCCACAGGTGGATGCCAAAAGCATCAACGATTCGGTTCTGCTGTATGCACCGCTGATGCTCAAATCGCGGCTTCCTTTCAAGGTACGAGAATCGAGCCTGCCCTTTTCGTCCTCCTGCCAACTTTCGAGTGCATATGTACGGCCCCCAGCTATCTTTCCCAACTTCGTACTGCTGACCGCGGGTGCTGTCCGCTCACCTCCAATGGAGTGCACCCGCAAAAGCGCACCTCGATCGACATGATGCACTTAAGCACTTCCCGATGAACCAAGTCTCTCATCCACTTCGTCACCTTCTCCGCTCGGTCATATCTACCTACCCACTCACACAGGCACGATTCGACACGTACCCCGTTACGCCTAACACTAACCTTCGTCAGGCGAATACTCTGCTAGGAAGGTCGGGTGCAAGTCAACATCTGTCCTGAGTAGCTACTCTCCCCCAAGTTGAACTATTCCTGGGCATACATCGAACAGACATCAAACCAAGAGGCCCTTGCGATTGACGAATACCTGTCTTTTCCACCTTGTCCAGATCAATAAGGTGCCCAATTCCATGTTAGACTTTATCTTCCGCTGGAGACATCAGACTTCGCCAACATCTGCTATTTTGCTTCTCCAGCGGGCTAGAAGCGTTGACAATTGGACCTCTATGCCAGGGTGAAGGAGTCAAGTAGCCAATCAGGGCCTCCAAGACGACACGTTTCGCTGCTGGGAACCTAAACGCCACGGCTGCAGGCACCAGCACCATGACCACCCAGACGCTCTGCAATCCTGAAACCTGTTGCTGTGCTTGTGGGGATGACAACATATCTCCTCGCCGAGCACCAGGGATCCGCAATGACCACACGCTGGTTTACTCCGAGCCCAAGGCAGGCCTCTCATATGCCGCGTCACACATTCGAGACGACGTTGCTGCCTGCGCCAGTAACCCTTCTCATGTCGCAGAGCTAATACACACTCGAAAGGCCCCGGCAGTTTATACCTCGGGCAATGTCAGGTAGCTTCTTGAATAACTGGAATGACTACCATATCAATCATTCGGCAAGAGAGGAAACGATCGTGGCCACCGCATGGGAGAATAGCCGTATGACAGTCGCGGCGTTTGAGTTCCCAGGCCTTAGAGTGTCGGATAGGCTCCGGGATTGATATGCAGCGTCAAATCACGACCTAGTCGGTGCTAATGCATGTACTTGCAGCCGTCGTCTCCACCACGGCTTACATACACGACGAAATCTGTGAGAGCATTGCTGACCTAAATGAGCCCCACTCGAAACAATCAGCAGGGGTCATCGTTGATTGAGAGCTCTGTCGGTTAAACGGTCACCGACCTACTCGTGGGGGCCGCAGTGGCATGCCCGTTCGTCACCCTCGACTGTGACGCTTGGACAGAAAGGGAAGCTCGAGAACCGAACTCACTCGTGTATAGGTCACTTGAGTCCGAGATATGTCGCCTTATCACGCTGATGGTGACGTCCGCAGAGGAAGGCTTCCTCTCCATGCTCTCGAGCGTTTCATGCAGAAGCCTAACCTGGTGGCTGCACTTGCGGCGAGCATCGCCGGACGCATCCAGTGCCTCCACCGACCATCATTGCGACATCTCTGGAAACCATGCGGCGCCAGTCCCAGTCAGTGGTGCTGACGTCCACAACAGATGTAGCTTCTGATCTTGCAGGTCCTTGTCTGTCTCTCAGACCGCACACAGTCTCGGCCAGCACGCTTGACTTGCCAAGTCTACCTGCTCTCTTTCGACGGTGCTAAATCTGTCAGTGAAGTTTTTCATGGAGCCAAAATCTAGATCGATCAGTTTCTCGAGTCTCGAACAACAGACGCCCTTGCCCAGGGCCACATGCACTTTGGGCAAGCCCCACTGACTTGACATGACCTATTTTCTTTATAAGTGCAACGTCTGCAGGAGGAGGCGGCACGCTACGTGACGTTGGGGGTGGTCCTGATCCTTCTCCGCCATGTGTCTAGGTACGTCCTGCGTCTCGAATCCTTGAGCACTCTGTGACAGGTCACAGCAGTTGCCCTACCATACCCATTGATACACTTGTGGTATGCGCACAACTCCGTTGTTGACTCCTGAGCCATTGATCCTGGTCTCAATGGTCGATGATGCGGGATTGCTCTAATCTCATCCTATCAATGAGGTTCGGAACTGCAACTCTTTCTATACAGCTCTATGCGAAGCATGCATCACGCTACATCTGGAACAGTGTGTCAGGATCGGCAGACATAGGGCAAAGAAATGCCCAGTCGTCCAGGTTGGTAGTGCGATAGGCTTGCATTGCACAATGGGTACAGTGGGCGCAGGATGTGTGTCTACCCACTATGATATGGTAGTCCTGTTTTTCCTCGGGTACATGCTTCTCGGAACCCAGTCAAGTATGTTTCCGCGGGCCGAGAGTTGATCATCGAACTCAAGTTACGAGGAACATCGAGCTGCTGACCTACGCAGCCTACGTCAATACTGATCTCTGAGGAGAGGCCCGAGGGCCTGAGGGCTCAAGGGTCATCACTTCGGAAGGGTAACTGGTCGAAACCGCTGTGCCGGTAAGAGGTATGATGCAAGGCCTATTTCAAGAAGATGCAAAGCACAATGATCACCTTCGTCATGGGGATCCAGGGAAAAGTCCGGGAGAAGCTGCACGTTGCCGCAGGATATAGGTCGCGCATCTCGAAGTGAACCGCCCAGTAAAGAGGTTTACCGCCTTGCATGAAGCACAGTAAGGTACTGACCCCTGCCCGATCACGACGATGTGCAGACACAGTTTCACGCTTGACCAGACTCGACTCGTGCGGGTTTTGCTTACGAAATGCCTGGAAGTGGTTTATGTCATCAACCCTGTCCTGCCCCAGCCCCCAGAGTGGCAGAACCCCGGCGAGGAACGTGGTGGAGGACACCTGATGAACCATTTCATTGGGGCCCGCGACACGATGTGATGTGATGTGATATCATGTGAGTTGAACAGGAAGTACGAGTCCATGGAACACTGCAAGCCGGCATCTTCCTGTTGTGTGTCTGACGATATCATTCTGCTTTGGGCAGCTGTACTATGTACTATCACAGCCGGCCCTTACTTTCTACCAAGCATGATGCAGGTCGAACATTTCTGCAAATGCCCAAAGTGGTGTTTCCTTGACAACGGCTGCATTGTAAGGAAAAGGCTTATGAAATGCTAAACCTCGCGAAAGATGTATAGTATGGCCCGCGTGCTCATTGCCACCGACCTCCTCCTCGACCTTGATCATGTTCTCGGACGGACCTCGGGAGGAGAGCATGCATTGTGCATATACTGTAGTGGGGGGCGCCATATAGGGTAAGGGGTAAGGCTGCGCCGAAGATTCCCCATCAAAGTCGGGCGAGCACACAAGTTGCGACTTCTGCACTCGCGGTTCCTGAATATTTGCGTCCTGCGGCCTGCAAATCGCCTTACCTTGTAAGAGTCGGTGAAAGCGACATGACTCTTTATGAGCCCGTGGTATAACCGACATAGCGCTCGCAGCTCTCGATCAAAGTAGCAGCAGGGGCCGACAAGAGAAAGCATGTCGCAAGAACGCACCACATCATCATCACACAAATAGGACAGGCCTTTCACCATCGTTCACGAAGAATAGCGGGGTGAGAGATGTATACTTCATTCGATCGAGGCTAATGCTGCGTAGACTAAATTTTTGGTCCGCTGAGCTTGCTAGCGACGGTTTTGACAGCGGCCTCCTCCCTGCTGAGAAGCCACATGAAAAGCATCTGGACGAGGAAAGCGTACAGAGCCAAAAAGTAGGTCCGTCTGTTCTTCTGTGCCCTTGCCACGGTATATGAACTGCCACTACGCATGGCAGACGGATCTCCAGAGCTGTCTGGTAATAGAACGTATTTTAAAGAGCGAAGCTGTGCGAAGTCAGCCGATTGTACGCGTAGTGGACGCAGAGAAATGGAAGGAGACATACCAGAAAGAACGCGTTCGCGTACCACGTGTAGAGAAACAGTGTCCAGCCAACCCAGTTGTTCGTCCCACTACCCGCTGTAAAGACCTCGCTTAGAAACAACGTCACTATCACGCCCACGAACTTGTACCCCGAGTAGGCGACCAGGTCTAGTAATTGAGAGTCATTGCTGATGCTGAGCATGTACATTGCGAGCTTGAGAACGATGATTTCGAAAATGATGATGGCGAGCGCCGTGCTGGTTATGCTGCCCAGTATTTCTGGGTGGAATGAACCTCGGATGCCTGCGAGGACTGTTGAGAGAAGGATATATGTGATTAGCGCCATCATGGGGATGTACATGTCTGGGGAGTTGAGGTCGTCGCGCGGAGGGAGGTAGTTGAACGAATAGGTTTGCTGGGTCATAGAGCCGTCGGCGGCGGTGGATGAGGTGGTCATTCGTGCTTGCTGTCGTGTCCACGGCTTGTGGCGCCAGGGGAACAGGACGATCAATAGTTTTCGAACGACGTATGAGTTGGAGACGTTGAAGTAGTGCTTCAAGGCGGGGACGGAGATGTATCGGTTCAGCTATGAGATGACGGTGTTAGCGGTGGTTCTTAGTTCGACCTGTTGAGTTCATTGGAGGTATCGAGAACGTACGTTCTGCTCCATATAATCCTGTCCGGCTTTCATTGCGGTTTGACCGACTTGGAAGCCCATCTGCGCGGTTGGATCGCTTATGAAATTGAAGCCTTGTCCGAAGGCCCCTCCACCACCAGCGGCCGGGCCAGCAGGCTGTCCCTGGTAGGGGTTGCCATAACTGTTTACTTGAGGCTGGGAGCTCTGCTGTGAGGCCGGTGGAGGAGGGGAGCGCAGGTTGGGCACCTGTGAGATGTGCTGCGGACGGGGATGGAAGAGTTCGGGGGACTTCGCTGGCGGAGAGTGATGTGTTCGCTGCATTTCGGCGTGGGCAAGACAGAAGCGTGTGGCGACTATTCGAGACGACAGTATCGGTGTAGCACGAGGTCGTTAACAGCAGTCTATCATATTGCAGTGGTATTGTTGACGTGGTCAAGTCAATTAGGAAATCTGTCCCTGATGCGGGCCTCTTTTCAGAGATACTTCATGCCGCTTTTATGTGCGCGTCAGCCTCGTCAGGAACCCTTTTTACCCAGGGCCTGATCGGTACTTCCATGTACTAGACTACCGAACAAGGATGCGCCCTCGTCGACAGTAGAGAGGCACTGCTCTTCTGGAAAGTGTTCAGTCTCGAGCCAGTCCGACGTGCTCCAGGCATGCTGGACAGCCAAACTCTCCTGTATGCGGAGAAGCCGTCATCATTGCCAACGTCATGACGGAGCAACACCGTCTCATTATGCGACAGCAGCAGCCTGACTTGACATAAGTCTAGAAAGCTCCTGAAGTATACACCATAACCGCTCTGTGCTCATTTCGAGGTCCTCATTCGTCAAGATGTCTACGTCAATCGTGACTTTTCCTCCCTCGGAAAGCGCAGTGCGCGTACGAATGATGAACCCCGGTGCGGTCATGACGGTCAAAGCAGAATCCTTTGTTAAACCTGTCCAGAAAGGCCATGAACTGCTGAACCTCACCTGCACCGCATACTTGATCGAACATGAATCCTCCGGGAAGAAAGTCATGTTCGACCTCGGTGTACGTAAGGATTGGTGGAATCTCTCCCCAGTCATCCATAAACGCCTGGGAAGCACCATTCCTGGCCTGAGAGTCGACACCGATGTCCCAGAAATTCTCAAAAACAATGGTATAAGTCTAGATTCGATATGTAAGTTCGCTATACATCATCTCTCTAGACCATGTCTCTCTTACTAGATCAATCAGCCTCAGTCATCTGGTCGCACTATCACTGGGATCATGTAGGCGACATGTCTCTGTTTCCTCATTCTACCGAGATTGTTGTCGGAGCTGGCTTCAAAGACTCTACGGTTGGTCCAGGTTACCCGGAGAAGGAGGACTCGCCCCTACGTTCCTCTGACTTCAAAGAACGGCATCTCAATGTGATAGACTTTACGAAATCACCTTCAGAGATCGGCGGGTTCGCGGCGCATGACTTTTTTGGTGACGGATCGTTCTATATACTTGGTGACGATGTCCCTGGCACGCGTGAGCTAGCGAGCTGACCAATACAGACACACCGGGACACTGTCTGGGACATATGTGCGGCCTAGCCCGCACGACAGGCGGCAAAAACAGCACATTCTTACTTCTGGGCGGCGACATATGCCACTTCGTCGGAGACCTGAGACCGAACAAATCCTATCCTTTACCAGATCCGATCCCTAACGATGTGCTCGACAAGGATTCCTTCTTTCCAACTCCATGCCCCTGCAGCATTTTTACGGATCATCATCCAATCCTGTCTGACGACACTGATGTGGAAGAGAGAAGGACCACCCCATGGTACCAGGTTTCCGACCACGAAAAGTCGGCGTACGTTGACCCGCCTGCAGCGCAGAGCTCGGTAGACAAGCTTGTTGGATTCGAAAGGTGCCCCAACGTGTTGATTTGTCTCTCTCATGATTCTGGACTGTTGCGGTATCTACCGACGCTCAACTCGGATCCAAAATCGGATTTGAACAGCTGGCGCAAGAACAATTGGAAGGAGGAAACTCGATGGGAGTGGTTGAACGAGCTGCCACGGGACGGGAAGCCAGGTCGAAAACCTATTGTCGAAGGCCTTTGGCGGGATGGCAAACCCTCGGATAGGACATGACAGCGTGTATCGCAAATACATGCAGCTAAAGCTTGGGCATAGAGTCCAAGCCATCCTCCATGAGTCAATGCTTCAGCATGACTCCTACCAACCAAGATAACAGCTTGCTCGAATCAGTCGCCCCCAGACGGCTACAAATTGCAGACAAATGCTTCATCCAGAACACCATCGTGAGAACACGGTCCCAGGTCAGTTGTGAATGCGCTCACGAACAAAGATCCGCCTCTGATCTAACAGCCCAAAGAATCTCAACAATAACAACATAAACAAAGCAGTACTAATCGAACTAACTACCGCCACGAGAACCATATGCCTTAAGAGGAATATCTTCTGCGGCCGTCGCGATTCCCGTCCCTCCACAATCGCCATCCGGCCAGTCATTTTCTTGATAGGTCTGACTTTCTCATTAAGACCAGTCTGTAAACCTCGCTGCATTCCAGGCAGGCCGTCCATGCTGAAGGCGTTCTTGGACGCCCAATATCTGTGGTCTGTCAGCATGACGTGGAAGAATTTGTGGCATTGCGAACCTCTCAATCCCATCCTCCCGTTTCCCAGCCTTCTCGTTGGCCACCCGCTTCTCGAAAAAGTCATTGAGCGTGGGCCGAAATGCCACGAAATCGTATAGAGGCATTGAGAATCCGCAGGACGTGCCAACCTGGTGTATGTCGACCACGATGATCGATCTCGTGCCCGGGATGATCGTGACTTTTTGGCTGGAGATGATGTCGTTGAACGCTGGCGTGCCATATTCTAGAACGCGCCCTGTACCAGCTCCCGTCAGCTCCAACATCCTGTCTGCAGAATGTCGCCCCGAGAGGCAGGCTTACCTTTCCCAAACAACCTCAAAATGCGCGGCGGCCCAGTGAACGCATTGAACATGACTGTTATCCTCGCGTTGCCCGGCTCATGTAGATGGCTGGTAGTCTCGATCCCCGAGCCCGTGAGGTCCATGTACCAAAATTTGTTGATGACAATGTCCTTTTCATCGTCGTCCTCGTCGTCGGCTGAAATAACCTTGCCGTCTTTACGTTCCTTGATCACACCGAAGAATGGCCCGCCTTTGTCGGAAACACCTTTCGGCGAGACATTGATGTGCCCTTCGCCGGAAAGAGGCGCGGAACCGATCCAAAATACTTTTTGTTCGAGGAGCCAGCCTACCAGCTTGGGTGGTAGAGTCTCGTAGAATACGCCCATTGTTTCTGTTTATTGTTGAACCTGGCTGACCATGGACGAGGTCTCAGCACGACGGATCTGGAAGTAATGAATGAGGTGAGGCCTTGATAACTTATTGCCTGAAGGCGCTGGTCGCCTAGACCAGCTTTAGTTCACATATGATTGTAATGGCGCAATTGCTGTTGGTCATTGACATTTCCCATTAGGTATTGAGTTGTCGTCGGTGTTTATTGATGAGTCAAACCTTCAATCTCGGTGCATGTTGTGGTGGCTCCAGCGTTGATCGTCGTACTTACTCGCACCCTAGCGAGGCATTTCCTGGGGCTGCCGACATCGGGACCAAGCCGCCCAGCGTCCTGGCCTGGGCTGGGCTGGGCTGGGCATAGGATCCACGTCCGGCACGAACTCCTCAAAGCATGTTTTGGGCCATGACTCGGCCAGCGTCAAGTGATAGCATACGAATGCTTCCGGAAAGATAATGCTCGCTAAAGTACTTCAATCGTACATGTCATGCCTTCCAATACGCACATCATTGGTCAGGCTGTCAAGGCGCTGCATCGTATCCAAACAGTGTCCTAGCCCTGGATTCCTAGATTTTGGCTCTCTTTGCCATATCCGCTGCGTCCATCAACTCATCCTCCTCGCGCTTGCGTTTGCAAAACTCCTCAAAACCGTTTCCTTCCTTGATCCATACGTCCTTGACTTCCCACGTGCGTTTGTCCCATTCTGCGGCTTTGACAGCCCACTCTTTCATGAGTCGCTCATTCTCCTCTCGGTTTTTGTTGGTCCGATCGGTATATGGCTTCCTTTCTTCGTCTGAGAGCGCAGCCCACATTTTGCCTAGCTCCACACGGACTTGGTCACGTTCTGACTGTTTGCTTCGTTTACCAGTCTTCTTCCGCTCGTCGCCGAGACGAGTCTTGACCTCCTCCCAATGCTCACCCGAGTATAACAAGAATGAGTTAACGTTAGCCTTGGCTGGCTTCGTTGGAGGTGGTCCGAGATCATCATAAATGCGAACCCACATTGCAGCGTCCCATGCTTCTTGCAGCGTGTTGTCTTTCTCCTTTATGGGCCGTGTAAACGTGCCTGCAGGTAGAAGCTCGTCTCCCTTCCTTTTGCCGCCCACTACCATGTGTGTATCCATCTGTGTCAAATCTATCGAAGCGGTAGATAGTTTCTTCGAGGTTGATGCCGGAACCAGTGTCGGTGGGATCGGTAGAGAGCCTACCATTGACTCAAAAACTTCGTTGGCAGCACGAAGGCCTGAGAGGTAGGCGCCGTGGACCGTGGCAGGATGGGTGGCTATTGTTGCCTCTCCAGCAAAGAACAGGTTCTGTATGGGAGCAGCAATGAGATCATAGTCACCAGGTCTCGCTTCGGCAGCTACAAAGGAATAAGTGCCTCGTGCAAAACGGTCTGAGCCCCATCGAGTGACGATGGATTCCAGCGGTTGCGGTACGTTTCTGGCACCGAAGACGTTCTGGAGCTGTTCAACGCATTGTCCAACGAGTACTTCGTCACTGACTTTTTCTGCTTCATGTGCCGACTCTCCTGCCAAGAGAGCAATCAAGACAGGTAGTCCACTTGTTTCGATGCAATTCCAGAACAGGTAGAACTGTCCACGACCCTCCTTGTAATCAGCCTGATGAAACCCGGCCGAATCGCGAGGCGCTCGAAGAAGACCAAACATGTCTCTGTTGACATCCCAAAAAGGTTTCTCGAAAACAAGAATGACCTTGTTGAGCAGGCCAAAACCCAGTCTTCTGATTGCGTCACGTTTCCATTGAGGTAGTGGTGGATCAAACTGAATGGACTGTTCTTTCAGCACACCGAGCGGAGCAGCAAACACCACTTTGTCGGCTTCAATGGACTGGCCGTCTTCACATGTGACAGTGGCTTTGCCTTGCGAGCCGGCCGCGCTGTATTTGATGCTCTTTACTGCTTTCCGTGTCCGGACGTCGAGAGGTTCAGGATGGCGCCACAATGCTCGCGGAACCTGTTGATAACCTCCAACCACTTGTGCGTGCTCGCCTTCAAACTCGTTGCCAATGTCTTGATCCCAACCACGCAGGCTCAACTTGTCGACATTAGCGGCATTGGCATATTCCAGGTTTGCAAAGTGCCAGTTGAGCAAACGAAGAGCGTAGGGCTTGAGGTCGAGGAAATTCTGGTACTGATCAATACCAGCATTCATCACCGTGCCGAGAGACTGGTTGAGCTGCTTGGCGAGGTCTTCCAACTCAAGAGTCTCATGCATCTGTGTCGTCTTTCTTAGCAAGAAACCAAACTCTTTCGCTGCTTGAGCTGCAGGAAGTTGTGTCTTGGTCTCAGTGCTTGTTTCGACCTCTTCTGACGATTTGTCGCCCTTGGCAGCTCGATGACCTGCGCCTCTTCTTCGTGACTTTTTGCTGGGCAGCAATTGGTCGATTGTACCCAATGCAGTAGCCTCTTCAAATTGTTTTATCGTGAGACCTTCTTCGTCAGGAGGCTCGCGTCCAGCGTCAATCAGATCTTTATCGCCTTGCGCAGTTTTTCTGACGGTGTTCTTGAGACGGTAGTGTCCCGTACGGTCAAGGACATCATTGTACAATCTTTCTATCATCGCATCGTTGACACCGTTGACTGGGGTTCCGTCGATATCGTAGAGGGTAGAAAGGTCTCGTAGAAGGTGATAATCAAGGGCCAATTGACCACGAATGATTGCATCAAGAGGATTTCCGCGTTCGAAGCCGACGATGATGTGGGCACCCATTTCGGCAGTAGGTCTTTGATCGGCAGACAACTTCGAAGATCGCATGCTTGTTAGTGGATGAGAGTAGATACGTCCACCTATTCTGTCCCGTCCTTCGAGAACAATGATTTTTGGAGAAGCATGGTCTGGGTAATGCCGAAACAGATTCGTAAGCTGTCGAGCAGTACTCAAGCCAGCCATACCACCTCCAATGACAACGATGGTTTCGCGAGAAGTCTCTTTCTTGGGCCGGCCACGGCCTGCAGACTTGGCGACCGCAGGCGGCTCAACGCATCCAAAATTGATGTAGCCTCGACGTAGCAGCCATTCATAGGCGAAGCAAGCAAGCCGAGTCCAACGCTCGTCTTTGATGCAACCGATGGCTTCTTCAAGGGTTACACTCACGCTCGGATTGCGACTCCATAACCTTAAGATGCCGTTTCGTATATTCAGATACACGCTGACGTGCGAATAACATAACTTGTCTTGCAACAGTTTGTGCTCGTCTTCATGCAATGCATAGGGATTGAGTCTCGATGCTTCTGCAGCAGCCACACACTGGCCGGCGTACTCGGACGGGGAAAGTCTAGATGGTATGGATGATTTCGCTCTGCAGGTGGTGGGCGCTTTTAGAAACATGTAGGGGCTCACAATGTTTGAGGAGTCGGACTTTGTTTCCTGTTTGATTGTTGTTGTACCTTTTTGATCGACAATCGATGATGCGACAGAAGCGGAGGTCAAGGAGCTATTGGGAGAATAACGATTCTCGCTCTCGACCTGAAGACTTCTCAGTAGCGAGGCTGGCCCGGTGGAAGCCACGGAGTCATCGTCTTCTTCCATTTTGATAAATTCATCGTCCGAGTCATCGAGCATAGGTTGATCATGACTAGAGAGTGTCAGTCGTCAGAGTCTAGTCTAGAGGTATATTACCTCCAAGCATGACTTCTGCAGTCCATACCTTGAAACGGCCGAAGTTGGCATGCCAGACATCTCGACATCGGGCATTACCGACCCCATGGTCTGAGCCGTGTTTGAAGGTGCTATCACCGCCGCCATGTAGACATCTGTTCCGCTAATGAATGACTTGATATTGGCAATGGCCCGTTGATAATATCGGCAGATGGGTTGAAAGTCAAGTAGACGATCGAGAATAGGTCTTGAGCAGTGGTCTGGGTATCATTAGCCTTCGTTCATCATGACATTCCAGATTCTCTTGCATGGTATGATACCTGCTATGTGTGCGCCCGCGAGTGATACGCTCCACTAGTGTCTTTTATATGAAGGAGAGTCGGGCTGTTTTTGTCAATCAGCCGCTACCTGTCTAGTAGATGTCGGCCAGGTCGTTGGAAGAGAACGTATCGGTGGGCGAGGAAGCATGATCAAGCCGTAGACTTGAGGTCATGAAGAGTGCGAAGTCGAGGAAGAAAGAGGTTGTCCGCCGTCCGGGAGCCACTAAAATGGCGTTCTCGGCATCTCTAAACGTCTTCAACCGCAACCCATCAACGACGACCATATTTTCTTTGATATACCATCAAGGTAACAAGCAATGAGCACCATGGTCTCATCTACTGCGAGTTCTCATCTTATGAAGCTACAAATCCACCTCAATGATGCGATTGGCCACTACTTCAGTCGATATGCCTCCCTGCTTACCCCTCATACCACACAACAGCAGCAGCTCCTGCGCTGACCTTGATATGTCCTATATGGCACCGACGTCGGGAAGAATCAATCAGGAAAATCTTTTACCGTACCAACGGATGGACTTATTATACTCTTGACCCGTTTGACGATCATGATGGCGATATCGATGCCAATCTATGTTGGTGAAAAATTTGCACACGGTCATGAAGGTATCATCGTTCGACATATATGATATATCTGCCCACCTTACATTGCCTCTCGGGTACTAAGACTACCTTTACTTCCACCGACAGCTCTCCAAACCGATCTTCTATGGAACCGCTATGGAGGCTTCACGTCATTCATGATGCCGTTCACACACCATAGTGATATTAGTGGTAAGGCTGTCAGGTTTGTCCCAATGCTCAATGTCATTACGTATAGGTATACTTTGCGTCCTCTTTGAAAAGGTCTTTCAAGCCCTTCATCCTTCGTGCTTCTCCCTCTTGTTCAAATTTCATATCTGCTGGCGGCAAGGCTGACTAGTAGGACTTGTCTAATCGATGTCACCCTACCTGGCCTGATCGATGTACGCTTCTGACCCTGATCTGGCAGCCATACACCGGACGAGCTCCTCGACTTGGATCTTATCATGCAGTGATGTGTCAGTATTCGACATGAAATGGTTGATGAATATAGCCGAAAAGGTCGGAAGACAGAAGACGGATGAGATCGAATTGTTCCAAGCACAGCATGCTGGCCATTGTCAGCCATTCTTGTGTGAGAGAAAGCAGGTCACGAGAAGGACAAGTCATGGTCCCTGCCGTATGTCTGCAACTACGACAAGAACGATTCCTGGTAGCGCTAGGCTGAAGACAAGGCCGCCGGCTCCTGCAGGACACGACCACAGCGGATAGCGACAATGTACTGGAACAGAGGTGTTATTGGCCTTGATGTAGCAATCTAGCACAAGCAAACCACACAAATGCCCACAAAGCAGAGAATGCAAAGGCGTCCATCCTGCGCTTCCTCAACATCCAGTGAATACCAAATTCGTAGCTGCCATGTTTCGGCTTGATAGAGCGCAGGTGGGGTCAATCACCTTCCTCAAGGGAAACAGTCGTCATTCATTTTCTTAGCATTCAACTCCATCTTGCTCAACTTTAATCAAGAATGCAAAATCGTGAACATGCAGTGTTTTGAGCATACTCATCATGAATTCAAGAATCATGGATCTGTTACGACCACAACCCTGACACGATGATATCCTTGACAATCATTCGTCCGTACTTCATCCGCAGCGTATCGAAGGCGCACTACTGCTCGGTCACGCAAGTACTACCAAATATATTGTCCTTTCCTGTTCGGACAACAAGAAACATGGCCACGGTTAAAGACTCAGTCCCACACATTATTCGGACAGCGGAGGATCCTCGAGAGAAGGGCGTCTGGACAGCACGCCTGAGTAAGATAGAGCAGGTCAACTCCAAGATACGTTTGCTCAGGCTGAGTCTTCCAAAAGATGGGGTAGGTCTCCTGGCATCCTGTGCACGGCAGGTTCCACAATCCACTTGATGAGAATGAAGTGACTGTATATCTTTTTCCCCGGTGACTTGGATTGCTGTTCTTTCAACCGCGTTGATAAGCAATCTGGTCGGCCAACCACGCGGTCATGGTTCCTCCTTCGAAATAACGTCCTACTTTCTATACGTGCATTCTTCCGTTGACAGGAGATACTGGCTCACAAGAAGACCAAATCTAGTAGTCACCTCTCCGACACCTCCCAGGTCAATATGTAGACCTCTACATCCCCAACATCGACGTGGTCGGCGGCTTCACTATAACTTCACCGCCACAGTCAGCGGGCCACAACCAAAATGACCCGCACATTGAACTGGCCATCCAGTCTTCGCCTGGGAACCCACCAGCGGCATACCTTTGGCGACCAGTGCCAGAAATACTCGATTCGACCGTCACGTTCCGGATAGGTGGAAATTTCGCCTATCCACCACTAACACTGGGTCGAGAACAATGTGAGAACATCGAAAGAGCAGTCTTCATCGCTGGCGGAGTAGGGATCAACCCAATCATGAGCATGATCTCCGCAATGAATGAGCTGGGAACAAAAAGCAAGCTCGGTGGTATGGTGAAAACAGTAAGAGTGTTGTATTCCGCCAGAAGAGAACGGAACGAACAGGGGAAGGGAGAGGAAATTCTCTTCGAAAAGAGGTTGAAGGATATTGCTGAGAAATGGGGGGACGATAAAGATGTGGATTATAGATATACATTGTTTGAGACTGGTGGGAGACAAGCTCAAGAGGAGAAAGCTGCTGATAACATGACGACCCGATTTCGACGCATGAACCACGATGACCTTCTTGAAGCTGTCGGACCGGAGAACACCCGTGGCCACACGGTTGTCTATGTCTGTGGACTTCCTACGATGACCGACGAATTCGTCGAATTGTTGAGAAAGACACCCGGGCTGAATGAGAAGAGGGTGCTTTGCGAGAAGTGGTGGTAAGACAAGTGTCCAACAGAACATGATCAAAAGTCGAGGGCGAAACACATATAGCCTGTACTCTTCGCAGTGGGAGATGAAGATCAAGGACAAAGACATCCCTCAATGGATTACTATTGGGTATCATGATGTACTACAATGTCCATGGCCCATTTTCATCCACAATCTTCCGTGCTTTTCGTCGTCGTTCGTCCAATCCAAGTCAAATGGGTACAAACGAATATTTTATACTCAGGCTCTTTCTACCCCGGAACGCCATGCGATACCAAAACAAATCCAATTCAGCAGAGGAGAGGTGGCCATGAAAAGACATTCAGAAAGAGGATATCACATATTGACCACAACGTTGCCTCCATCCACGATGATCTGCTCATCAATGCGGGCCTCCGTATTTCCCCACTCCATCCTCTTCCAAGTCGATATCCTCGCTTCGTTCATGTCAAAGTCGAAGAACCGGACACGGCGGTGGTAGCCATAATAGCCACCGTAACCGCCAAAGCCGGCTCCACCGCCGTAACACATCCACAGCGCAGGCTTCTTCTTACTCTGGTCCAAAGCGGGCAGACAGTAATCATTGACATGGTCGTGACCGCACGAGACCATGACCACACCCTCTTCGACCAGCGCACCTTTAAAATTCGTGTTGAAGCCTGGCGCCGTAGGCGGTTCCGTCCAGTTTCCCACCCACTGCAATTGGTCTGGGTTTCTGTACTCGGGCAGCGGTATGTGTATGAACGCAAGGTCCATGTGTATATGTGTATATTCCTTATGTTTTCTTTTCAGGGATTGGGACGTGCTCTTGAACCAGTCGATTTGCGACTGTTTGAGCCAGTCGTACCCTCTGTACTTGTGCTCGTCAGGCGAGTACGAGTGCGTGTCCAACATGTAAATAGTCAGGGCGGAGTGAGAGGTCGAGCCCCTCCCCAAAATTTCGACGACGTAGTTTCCTACGCCTTCGACGTCCTCGGGCCCGGCGGTCGACATAGAATAGGGCAGACCGTCCATGATAGCCATGCTCTGTGCTCGATCGAGGTTGCCTTCGTCATCGTGGTTGCCAAATATGCCTGCGTAGGGTATCTTGTGGCGGGCAAATACTTCCGAGTATTTGTAGATGGCGCTCTGCGAGTCTGGGGCCGTATCGCCGTTGACCTGGTCGCCTGAGAGGATGACAAAGTCTGGTTTCTCGTCTTCGATCAGGCGCTCGATAAATTCTAGGGTTCGTGGGTCGGCGTCGCAAGGCTTTCCAGCGGGCAGGGCGTCTCGACATTTACCTAGACCAGTCGAGAGATGCAGGTCTGCTGCCTGCATTATCTTGAACTTGCCGTCTTTTCGAATTCGAGGAATAGGCTTCTCAACTTTCAGGGCCGGTCCCTTGCGGATAGTGAGTCGTGGCTCAGGAGTGTCTTGCCCGCCGTCAACGAACAGTGATATATCTTGGACCCGCCAGTTTGAACGTGGATCAACTGCGTCTGCGCCGAAGAGGACATCAACGCCGGTGACTATCTTGCTTTCGTCGGTCCTTTTGGCGGACTTTTTGATCCATATTCCTGTCGGCCGCGATTCCCACCTTTCGTCACTAGAAAGAGGATCCATGGCGGAAGGCTGTATGCGACCGATCTTGATGTCGTGGACGACTTCCTCGTGCGCCGATAAATCATCCTCGCGTTTCCTCTCGACAATGAGGTAGGCCTTTGTCACGAGGCCTTTTCCTAGATATAGGTCCTTGTTGATTCGATGCCAGTACTCTCCATCCTTGGTACACCGGCTGAAAGGGTTCAACGAGGAACATGTCACGACTGTCACGTCTGTGACCACAAAGCCTGGATGATGTGCGGGAAGATGATTGTGTATGGAGATAGGAAGGACTCGGTATTGATTGTCGAGGAAGAGGACGAGAAACAGTACAACTGTAAGGATCACGCCCAGCTGGATGCCAGTGCGTACCTGTTAATTTGTCAGAGGTGCTCGATTGACGGTGCTGTCAAGCTAATACATACAATTCTCCTTGTCATGTTGGCATGTGGCTGAGGAGGGCGCCCGGTCGGGCTCTCAATCGCTGTACACCAGAATAGGAGGGATCAACCACTTCAAGAGTAGTCGCAAGCGAGCGTTCAGCGTGTCCTCGCGCCTCGTAGATTGTTGAGGTCGTATGCGACAATCGGCGAAGTGTGATTGTTTCGTGGCTGAACTTTCCTTCCGTTCACATTGCGGTGCCGAAAGACGATCGACGAAACCTGTGGCGCGTGAAATCCGGGGTTCGGGAAACTTTCTCTTTTGATGCCGCCCATATAATTGGTAAGTCGCAGCCTCGCAGGTACACGAGTGCAGGTAGAGGGTTCACTTGCTCACGGACAGGAAAGTCGGGGGAAGTGGGTGTGTAGCGTGGTATGTCTGGACTGCTTCGAATTTTGGGACGAGCATTGGGTTTCTCAAAAAGCCAGCAGCCACAGAATCTTACCAAAGGTCTCCCCATAAGAGACCTCACAAAGTTCGCTGGTACTTCCATCCCGCATCCCGCTCAGTATATCGGTCCTAATACGTCGAAGAGGGCGACAGGGTACTCATCGATGGAGCGCGACTCGCGGCGCCTCTACGCAAAGACTCGGTCTACAATTTCCAGCATGGAATCCTCCCCAACAATGACATAATCGACAAGCAACGTTCTACGCTCTACATACATGGGAAGAGCGCAAGTGGGAAGAATGCGCTGTACAAGATCGAGCCTCCTACCTTGGACCAATATGTTTCGTTGACACCAAGGCTCGTGACTCCGGTAAGTTACGACGTATACTAGGTCTCGCGTGCAAATGCTGAGGCATACAGGTCTATGCGAGCTACGCTTCAACGATCGTTTCTTTACTGGACATTCACCCTGTGCCACGGACGCCATCGCAGTCGCCAGATCCTACACCTTCCTCGAGTTTCGAGATCCTCGAAGCCGGTACAGGCCATGGCAGCCTCACAATGCATGTTGCTCGAGAGATTGCGGCGGCGAATCCACCACCGCTCACAATCAACGTCCCACGAATCCAGAAGGAGGATGCCACACACGCCGCTGAATCCACGAGGCCGCAGGTCGATCAAGATCTCGATAGCGCCTGGAATGACTGGAAAACGACACGCAAGGCCGTGCTCCATACCGTGGAAAAGGTCGAGGCAAACAGATGGCATGCAGAGAAAGTCGTTAGAGGTTTCCGTCAAGGTCTATACTGGCCTCACGTCAATTTCTATGTCGGTGATGTGCGGACATGGATTGAAGAGCAGTTGGAGCGGAGACAAAAAGGGGAGTTTCTTGACTACGTATTGCTTGACATGCCCGGCGTAGAGACACAGCTCAAAAACGTACACGCTGCCATGCGTGAAGGAGCGAAAGTCATTGTCTTTGCCCCCTCTGTCACACAGGTCGGCCAATGCGCCCGGATCATACAGGAAGCGTCACTCCCTTTGAGGATGGAGAAAGTGCTGGAATTGGGCGAGGGAATCAGTAACGGTCGCCAGTGGGACGTCAGGATGGTGCGCCCTCGGAGGTACAACGATTCTGCGTCCGAAAAAACAACATCACCTGCGGCGGTCACAGAAGCTACAAACCCAGAGCCGTTGGGCGCCGCTTCTGTTGGCGAAGAGAGTGTCAGCACTATTGGAGGCGATGTCGTGGATGATCTTGAAACTCCCGTGCGGGAAGAATTGACTGATGAGCCAGTCATGATCTGTCGTCCTCTTGTAGGCGAGCGAACGCTTGGTGGTGGTTTCATCGGGTTGTTCAAAAAGATGTCGCCCGAATCTGTGGCAGTGGAGTCGCAATGGCGGCGCAGCCAAACAGGCTGGTCGAAGAAACGGAAAAAGTTGAACATATGAAAAGCACTCATGAAGCTCTGCTCTGCAAGACCCTGTACTATATCATGTGTACCAATAAACTCGTGGGAGGTTTAGACAGGAAGAAGCCAAATCGTAATCATTTTCGGAGCTTCGTGTTCGTCTCTGGTGTCACGAATACCGAGTATGTGAAATAGATGCCACAACAAGTACATACTTCCACACCAGAACAAATTGCCGGAAGTTCTGCGCCATGCTTTATATCAATGCAAATTCCTTTTCACCCATCCCACATTTGTGACTCTTCCCATACTGCCACCCTGGACATGAAGATCGAGATAAAGGGCCCGGTCACCTCCTCAGGATCTTTCATTTGGTCGTCGCAGGTAGAGCAGATTTGGCCCTTTCCAGGACATTCTCCGCCACTGGCATAACGCGGCTCTGGAGGTTCTCGGCCCGGCTCTGCAGGTTTTCGGCGACTGGGGCAGTCTGCTCCACCACTTTCTTTTTCAGCTCCTGAGTCAATTGCAACCTTCTCGCTCGGACAACGCGGAGGTAGGCGAACAACATGACAAACAGCAACTCGACCCGTTCCTTGGTCATCATGAGCAAGCCTTGCACCAAGAGACCCTTCAACAATTGTGGGCCAATACCCTTAAACAAGGCCCATGGACCTTCGTGCTCAACGATGTAGGCCAACACTTCCCCAAACGACTTAAATGGCTTGCCCTCACGGACTGGAGGAGGTCGTGACTGTAGACCGACCTTGGCGACGATCAAGGGTTGAGTCGTTAGTGTAGCCAGGGACTTTGACAGGGCTCCTAGAACTGTTCATTCGGTCAGCAATGTTCCACCAAGATGACGATGTTACGTACGGAATGCCTCATGAGGTCGTAGCCTCACTTTTCCAGGGTATATAACATCCTTCAAACGCTGATACGCGCCGTATGTGATGGCCGGGTTGATACAGAGCACCAGGGAGGCCTTGAGGCCCCTCCATAGTCCAGTCCAACCATCTTCACTGTGGACCACCTCTTTTCCTGTCGCCCAGATACCCTGCTTGTGGCCTTTTGGCTGTGTCTGTTGTCGTGTCGTAATGACAGCAATGGGAATGGTGAATACTTGTGCGATGGCTCCCGCAACCGCACCCAGTGACAACTCGATTGCAGTTCCGGGATGCTGTCCGGGCACAGTCTGGTATTTCTGGTAAAGATGTCGCACTACCGAATACCAGTAGAAATAGGCAAAGTTGGTAGAGGCAACTCCCATGAGTGCACCGCTTACACCAGAGTAGAGACCGTGAATGCCCTCATGCTCGACGATCTTCTTGATAGCGTCGATCGTGGATTCATAGTGATGGTGCTCGGCAGTGTGCTGAACCTCTTGGTTCTTCTTCTTAATCTGCACTTGTAGTCTTGTTTTTACACTGGAAATCGGGTCAGCTTGCAATCCTCGGCTGAGACCTTATAGATACATACATGTCAAGAGGATATACCAGGGCGTTGGCAAGCACGGCGCCAGTAGCACCAGCAACTGCGCTCTCCCATGGCGCCAACTCTGATGACATGGCCCTTCCTTATCTAGAGATCCAATATATGCAACGGTAGTGGTCACCCTCTTTGAAAGGCGTGGGGAGGTTGTAGGCTTCGCGGATAGTGACGTAGGAATATGCCGTTGGGAGGGTCGCTGTACTTTCGATGCTGAGATGGAGGGGAAGACTTGTAGAGGTTTCGAGGGGAGTTGTAATATGAATCTGGGGTTCCCGGAGAGGTTGGAAGTGGACTCAGCTTTGTGCACAGTAGAGGTTTTTTCAGCTAGACATGATAGATTGACGGCATCAAGGGCTTTAGGGTCGATGATCAGATCCTGGTCTCCCCGAAAAAGATCCCTTGAGGAACCGAATTCCCAGCCGCTCGGACTGGAGGAGCAGCTCTGTAATGCGATCGTTCTCGCCCACAGCCGAGGTAAGACTTCAACACGGGCCGTTTCCGATTTCGACCCGATAGGCGAGTACGGCGGACATTTACGTCAAGAGGCGCAAGTATGTCAGATCATTGCAACTTATGTGCAAACCTCGATTTCACATGTGGCTTCTCTGCATCTGACTTCATTGTGGATAAGTTGGTGTAACATGGATGCGAAATGGCCAAAACTCGAAGAGCAGGCACGCACTGTCGAGAGGACCATAGCTTCCAAATCCAGTAACAACGCTGCGCTGGAAGCCACCATCAAAACCGCCGAACTGTACCTACAAGCGCTGCGTTTGACTGACAAGCCCTCTGATCGAAAGAGGCTCGATGCAAAGTGCAAAGAACTTCTAGGTCAAGCTGAAAGGCTCAAGGCTAGACAAGATGCTCCGACAAGACATCTTGCCGACAGGCAACAAAGTGATGTCCTCAGCGCACCTATTTCCACGCGCAAGCTTACAACAAGAGAAACCATAATCATTCTCGAGGGTTCCAAACTTAACGGATTCGTCTTCAAGCCATGGACTAGTGCTCCTTCCACGGACGAGTTTGTCCTCCAACCTGGGCAACAGCCCTTCACAGACTCGACTTTTCTCTCTTTGTCAAGCACGCAGCTTGCAGTATTTGATGGATGGAAACGACCACAGGATGCTCTTGCTGCTATTCAGCGTCAAGCGAATGGCGAGCCAACGCAGGTTGAGGGCACGATGCATATCCCAGATTCCATGGACCTAGTCCAAGACTTGACTTCTGATTGTTCGGTTGTTGCTAGCTTATGTGCTGGGAGCTCTCGAGCAGAACATGGTCACCCAAAGGTAGGTTTGACTCTGGTTTTCCGTTCTCATTGACGCCATAGTAGATACTTCGTTCGATCGTGCATCCATATGATCACGAGAATGACCGAATTTTATTCTCCCCCTCTGGGAAATACGTTCTGAACATGTACTTCAATGGTTGTTCGAGGAGAGTTGAGATTGATGATTTGTTGCCTACATCGAAGACTTCGCGTGTACTTCACGTCATTGATCGTCGCCACCCGGGCTTACTATGGCCAGCACTGGTGGAGAAAGCTTATCTAAAGATCCGAGGAGGTTATGATTTTCCTGGCAGTAACTCGGGCACTGATCTTGCTGTTCTGACGGGATGGATACCTCAACAGGTATTTCTGCATGACGAAGACGTCGACCAAAACGGCTTGTGGGACGAGGTCCTCAGCAACTTCAGACTAGGCAATGTACTGATAACCATTGGTACTGGCAAACTGCCACGCCGCGAGCAAAGACATCTTGGCCTTGCATCAGAACATGACTATGCGGTCTTAGAACTCTCGTCCGAAGGCAACAGAAGAGAGGTTCTTGTAAAGAACCCCTGGGCTGATGGTGATGTTTGGCGAGGGGCAGCAAGGCGGAGACCCAATCGACATGATCAAGAGGAATCTGATGAGAAATCATCGGACGACAAGATGATGCCAGGCACCTTTTGGATAGACTTCAACCATGTTTTCCAGTATTTCGAGAACATGTACATCAACTGGAACCCTGGACTGTTCCTTCATCGGCAGGATATGCACGTTTCATGGCAACAGCCGCAGACAGCCTCGGCTGGAAATATACTCGTGGATAATCCACAATTTGCTGTTCAGTCCTCCGAGGCTGGAGAAGTCTGGTTGTTGCTGAACCGGCACTTTCGGACTGGAGACTACACGCAGTCGACCGTTGGCAAGAATGGCCATATCAGCATCTACCTCTATCAACGCAACGGTAACGGTGTCGTTGTCAGCGATGGTGCCAAGGTGCGCGGACCATTCATCGACTCTCCCAACACGTTATTGAGGTTCCAGGCCGTGGCGCAGACGGCCTACACTGCAGTGGTGGTATCGCAAGACCTGCCTGCAGGGAAGATGAACTTCACCATTTCGGCGTTCTCCAAGTGCTCCATCATGTTATCGGAAGCTCGACTTCAGTATCCGCAAAAGTATACTGTGAAGTCAGGATGGACCAGATCCAATGCTGGCGGCAACTCGGAGTCCTCTAACTACCTGGCCAACCCGCAATTTCGTCTACGACTCGGCAGTAAACAGAAATCGGCGTTGATATTGTGTGTCGGTGAGGGAGTCAAGAACAACTCGCCGGACATTCACGTCAAGATTTTGATAGTGTACAGCGATGGCTCAAGGATCACCCGTTTGCGACCGAGAGACGTCCTTGCACACTCTGGAGATTACCGGCGAGGGAATGCTGTCCTTGAGACAGAACTCGAAGCAGGGTCATACACGCTCATCTGCTCGACATATGATCGCGGCCAGTATGCTGACTTTACTCTCGATCTGTACTCGTCTTCAGATGACTCTTGGGCACCCCTCGTCCAGCTCCCCGCAGATGGCAGCGGACGGCTCAGCATTCGGAGCACCCCAGCGGTATTCGACGGAGGCACAAATCGGGTGCTTGCCCCACTTTCTGTGCTGAGAATGACCAGAGTGACATTCGTGGCGCGTTATCACGGCGCAGCAGTGGACCGAGGCTCGCTGTTCAAGTTGACGCTGGAACAAGGCCAAGGCCCGTACAAGCAGGTCCTGGCGAGCAGCGAATTCGACAATGAGGAGTTTACCAGCGTGGCTTCAGGACTGCGTATTGGTGATCTGGACTTGCAGCCATCCATGTGCGGATCTGGCACCGGGGGACTGTGGCTGGTCATGGAACGCCTGGCTCAGGGACATAGTAGTCAAGCTAGTCCGAGCGACGAGGTTTTGGGCGTCGAGATGTTTACAGAAGAAAGAGTCGAGCTGGGCCCATGGGGATTAGGCGAAGGCTGAACATCAAGACTATTCGACCACACCTGCACCGAACAAAGTCTTTGCATATTGTATTTAAATCCAGGGCGAGCCATCTTGTGTACTCCTGGAGATTTTCTCAACTAGCCTGCTTCATGATTAACCCCTTCAGACCAGGCACAAGTCCCGAATTGATAGCTTTCATTCCCCATCCTCTGACCTGCCCCGTCAAACTTGCCAACATGCCGTCCCCACCACTGCCAAACTGATAAAGCGAATTCAACGCGTCCACTCCACCAGCCATGAGCAATCCCTTCCCAAATCGTTCCTGACTATACCTCTCCAAAGCCATACTATCGCCCAGATCCATACCATGACTCACGCTGTAAGCAATACACTCTGCCAGCGACCTTGCATCCGCGAGTCCCAGGTTCAACCCCTGCCCGGCAAGAGGGTGTATCGTGTGCGCAGCGTCCCCGATCAGCGCAACCCTTGGCTCCACCAGGCTCGTGGCATGGCGGAAGCGCAGGGGAAAGCTTGCAACCGATCCGTCCTGCACTCCGGTGACGATAGGTGGTGCACGACCCGTAGGTGGCGGCGAAGTATGCGCCAGACGCCAATGTAGTTCGCTTTCGTGCGCGTCCGGTCTATCCGCGGGCAAGGTGAGAAAGTACTTCAGATCAGCCTGGGAGAGGCGTAGTGCTGCGTTGATCATGGCGATTTGTGCCTTGGGAGTCAGTGATTTGATGTACGCGGCGTTGCTGGGCGTCGTCGACCACACAAGTGATGCGCGATTTTGAGGTAGTGGGAGGATAGCGATGGGACCGCCTAGTGCTGGGAGGAAGCGCTGGTATGCTGTTGCGCGGTTGGGCAGAGGGTCGTCGGCGAAGAGGTCGAATGTGTCTGGAGTGGTGTCGGTGGGTTGGACGGTCAGAGTGGCGACGACGCCGTGCCGGATGTAGTCCCAACCTTTGGCGTCGATGCCGGCGAAGGCGCGGACAGGGCTGTTGAAGCCGTCGGCGCCGACGAGCAGGCGCGCTGCAATCGTACTTGAGGACGAAGTAGTTTTCGATGACAGATTTAGGACCGGCCAGGACGACAAGTTGAGGCCTTCAGGGTTAGGGTCGTCTTCGCCATTGACGATGGATGATACGCTCGTGCTGGAGAAAAGCGAGGACTTCGCGCCGAGCTCCGCGATACGTTCGAGTAGACCTTTTGTCAGATTGGCGTTTTCGGTCATAGTTGCGATGGTCTGCGGTGGCGCGTTGTACTTTTGAGCTTCGGCTTTCCAGTCGAATTGAAGGGAGCTGTCGTTGGCGGCGTCCCAGACTTGCATTTCGTCGTAGGCCTGGACACGAGATTGGTCAATGTGCGGCCATGTCCCTGTTGTCTCGAGGAATGAAACTGATGATGGGGTCAGGCTGCTTGCACGATTGGAGAATTGATCTTCGGGAGAAGTCCATTGGCGAAGTTTGGACAGATCTTGAGCTTCGATCAGCGCTGTTTTCAGGTGCAATGTTATTGGTGATGATTCTGTGACTGGTCAGACGGTGGCTTCATGGATGGCTACAAGACGTACTCAAAGCTGCAAGCAGAGCCAGACCAGCTGGACCGCCGCCTACAGTTACGACATCATAGATTTCAGGCGAGGATGTGGTTGACGCGAGTCGTCTTCGCTTGGGCGACAATAAGGCTTTGCGGCATTGGACGCAGACGAAGTTGGCCGGGCTGCTGCGTGCTGATATTCGGGGCGGCATGCTTTTGATAGAGACGTGTGCTGCCGACTTTATATATGCAAGACCCAGAAGATGTTGAAGTGAAGCTCTTGAAATACAAGGTTGATTATTCCCATCCAATCAGATTTCAGAAGGCGGACACTAGTCGCTAATATGGGTTACATAAGCACTCAAGACTATCACGGTGTATCACCACATGAAAATAGTCAGCGCATCATAAACTCGTAGTCGTGGTCATTTTCCATCTGCAGGATGATCTCTTGTACTGGCAGTCGTCCAACCTGCGGAATCATGGTTTCACACCGCCGTCCTCATCGACTGGCGCATTTCCCTCAGCGTCACTCTGCTTTTCGACATGCTTCGGCACGTTGATATGCTTGAACTTTTTATACCTTTCGCAACGATTGTAGTCGCCATTCGCATATACTAAGATTGGTGTCTCACCAGCCGTATCTCTGTCGAAGTGGTCGTTCTGGTAGAAAGTTCTGATGACTCGACCGAATACCACCAGATGATCCCCTATCTCGACGACCTTCGATTGCATAAGCGTGCAATGCAGTCTTAGCGGAACCGCGACCGGTTTTCCAGGGAACCTCGGACGTATGATAGGTGGGCTTACTGGGGAAGGAGCTGGACCGGCCTCTAGTTGCCGCACAAATGGTTCGAGCTCTCCGTGCTCGTCATAGAATGGTGAGCTAGCATTACCGCGGGCGAACTTGCTTGCGATCATCTTTCCCTGTGGGCTGCTGGACAGGAAATGAACATTGAAATGACCCGTTGCATAGATGGCGTCCAAGGTTGAGGAGATCTTGTTGATGTTGAACGAGATGACTGGGTAAGGTGACAACGTCACGGTATTGAGTGAAGAGACCGTGGCGCCTCTCCATGCCTCAGGCCCACCGCTGGGGCTTGCAGTGGTGTCCGTTGCTGTTATAATGGCGACAGGATGAGGAATTTTACGCATAACTCGTCTGACCTTGTCGGCTATCAACTGCCGACTTTGCATAGTATTTGATGGTCGACTTGGGTGTTCATCTTGTGATTCTGTCGTCTTGTCGGCGACAGTCTCGGTAGTGGAGACTTGTGGTTGGGAATCCAGACTCGGGGAGTATGTCGAGAGTCTGCGAGCTACACAGCCTTGAGCCGCAACAGGGTTCTCATATCCATGGCAACCTAGCTTGCCACGGCAAAGCTGTTGGAATTCTTGAGCTGTAAACGTCAGTCTTTACGACAGCGGTGTTATTCGCGGCACTATCGTACGAGAGAAGCTGGTCTTGTTGAGACGTGGAGCTGTGCAAGCTGTTTTGGCAAATCTGCCAAAGCTGACACCTGAAAGCATGTCAAGTGTCCGGCATGTCTTAGTTCATGGCTCTTTTGCGCCTCTGACAACTGTTCGTCAAGAAATCATTATGCAGCTCAGTACCTGAAATCGGAACGAGGTATGCACGGAATTGATGCATCAAAGGCGATTGTAGGAAATGTTATATAGTGCACTTTTGTCGGGTAAGTAAGTATGCCGAGATGAACCGCTACGGCGCAGTGTGGGATCTCAGACGCAAGTGATATCCTTCGACTCTCGGCTATTAACAATATCGCCATCCTCAGGGTCAGCCTTCCACCTTCCTCTTTATGTATCATCTGGCTGAACAAGAACCGCCAGAAAGCATCAACCATGTCGGACATTGAAGAGGCAACAGTGACCTTCCGGAAGTCCGACTTGAAGGTGAAATGGCTGGCCAAAGATCGACTAACCCTTCTTCAACTTGCCGAGAAGTCTGGATTGAGCCCTGATTACGGCTGCCGCTCAGGGGCGTGTGGCACATGCGAAACGAAGCTGTTAAAGGGAGAAATAGAAGGATGTCTAGAAGGCGACGATGGCGTCTTGATATGCTGCTCCATTCCTGCCAGTATCGACATTGAGCTCGAGTTATAGCAAAAGTCAACCAGAGGAGACCGCGGGAATGAGGTTATCAGCGAGACCTAGAGGATATCCAACAAGCCTCTGCCGTTCTTTCAAACATCAACAGACCTCACCAGGCAGCCTCGGCATCACTTACGGCTGCAATTGCCGGCAGTAGTAGCAACCAGTCCGTCCGGGATCGTTGGCGTTGTGCCTCTCTGAACAACATTAACCGTGACCAAATTGGCATCCCACGACACATTCTACAAGACATTCGCGTTGCATTCGGGATTGCGCCTAGCCAATGTCACGGTTACGATAGGCAGATCTGACCGGCCAGGGTTGCACGGCGTTCCCCGCATAATCAAAAGGAGGGGAGTGAGTGAGGCGGCTGCTGGGTTCGTTTTCACTCGGCGAGCATGAAATTGCCATTGATATCAATGTAACAGCGCTTCCAAAACCTCACAGCCATTGTCTTGCTTCTCTCGAGAAGGGGCGTTGTTGAATGTCGACTTTCAACAATGAATGCAACTCCACGGACCCCTCATCTGGATGCCCTCCGCAAAGATGGCTTCGTCAAGATCCCTAGTCTGCTGTCAACACAACAACTTCGAAGGCTGCGGGAATCTTGTGAACAGACAACTAAGCAGGTACGGCAAGGCAAGTGGCCGTACGTGCGGACGGTGCCAAAACAATATCCGCCGTGGCATGAATGGCGACCGGGAGACAACATCTGGGGAGTGCAGCATCTCCTTCATCCAGACATGGCTCAGCGGAATGCTTTCGCCGAGCTCTACTTTTCGGACGAAGTCCTCTCGATAGTGAAAGAGCTGGTGGGTCTGAAAGACGACGAGCATGGTGATGATCAGCTGGTCATGGAACTGTTTAATCTGCTCGTGAGTCCTGCTGAGCGACAAGACTTTGAGTTATGCTGGCATCGAGACGATGTTCGGCCAGACGTCACTCCGGAGAACGAAGCCCAACAACTGAAAGAGAAGAGCCCCGAGGGTAAACAACTACATGCGCAATACAACATTGCACTCTTCGACGATGCCTCCCTTATTGTTGTTCCGGGAAGTCATCAGCGGATCCGAACTGATGAAGAACGAAATGCCGCACCTTTCGAGCCCAATCTACCTGGTCAACTCGTGGTGGAGATGAAGCCTGGTGATGCTGTCTTCTATGACAGCAACATTCTACATCGTGGTGTCTACAAAGGAGTAGATACGTCTACCGATCTTGGTCGGATGACTCTTCACGGCTCCATCGGGCTAGCTGGCCATGGCAGTGAACGAGCCAGACAGGTCCTGCAGCATGCTGTAGGTCAGTGGATTGGCAGAGCACAATTTGACCTGGAAGGATCGAAAGGTGAACGAGCTGAAGCCATGCGTCAAAGGCTCGTTGAGATGGGAAGCGGTGAAGGTCTTGGTTACTCGCTTGTAGGCTAGCCAGGTTCAACTTCCAGGTCTATGCCACGTCCTCTGTTCTTTGGGTGCTATTCAGTTTCAGCTACAGCTTGCTCATCTGATGTCTGTCAATTGTGCACGACATGGCATGAACGCTCAAAGGGTAGTGCGTATAGTCGACCGTATAATTCTGTTGCGGAGCATAATCCCTCGGCTCCGGACGATTTCACCACCGTCACCGCATCTCCAGGCATTGATCAATAATTGAAGCCATCGTGAGTCCCCCTCTTACAATGCTCCTCATATTTGGTCCATACTTGAGCCCTTGATCAGTCGGAGTAGACTCATCTGTTTTGTATCTTCCCAACTTTACGTTAGCCACGATGACCGCCGAATTCTCCGTCACCAAACTCAACCCGGACAGTCACGTCCTCCTGGTAAACACCCACTTTGCCCACTTCCTGGGACTGCATGTCTCTAACAGACGATGTAGGACCAACCGCTCCTCCGTCTTCCCCATGAACTCGTCAAGCGAAACTTCCGGAACACTCAACGCTACGTGGAGCGTGAAAGAGACCATATATTACCCACTCTCAAAGACACCGCCAATGCAGCCCTCAGTTCTTCACAGTCACCAGATCAAACCATAGCCTCCCTCGACGCCATGATTCAGCGGATGCAGAACTTCAAGCGGAAATTGGAAAAGCTGCATACAGAGGAAGAAGCCCTGCACGAGGACTCAGCCAAACGTATCAAGCATCTACAAGACCTTTATGAGATACCGTCCTTGGTGGACGTCAAGTACGACCAGTGGTCACGCACCAGACTCGACCGTCTAATGGTGGACTATCTTCTTCGTTCAGGATACTCGAAAACGGCATCAACACTCGCCGAATCCAAACAGATTTCCCATCTTATTGACCTGGACACGTTCGTTTCCTGTCACACAATTGCGTCATCACTTTTCCGAGGCCAGGCAAAGGAAGCCCTTGTCTGGGTCAACGAGAACAAGAATTCGTTGAAGAAGCTCATCACACCACCCTACAAGACGACGGATCTCGAGTTTGAGTTACGATTGCAACAATTCATTGAACTCGTGAGGGCGGGCACCACCGCCAAACGATTCGAAGCGACCATGCATGCCCAACAGCATCTCACACCACATACTTCCTCGCGGGCCGAAGCCATAATGCAAGCAGCTGGACTGCTAGCTCAAACCCCTGAGACAGAAGCAGAACCATATCGCAGCTTATTCGCTCCATCGAGATGGCACCATTTGGCCGAGCTTTTTATCGAAACTCATCATACACTACTGTCCCTGCCCGTGCAACCGCTTCTTCACGTCGCTTTGTCTGCCGGTCTTTCCGCTCTGAAGACTCCGGCATGTCACAGCGCATACAACCCAGCCAGCTCATCAACACCAGGGCACGCCAGAATAGCGACCAATACGTCGCTATGTCCGATATGCAGCATGGAACTCAATGATCTTGCCCGTAATGTACCTTATGCACATCACACGACGAGTTCAGTGGAGCAGAATCCAGTGGTTCTGCCTAATGGACGCATCTATGGCCGTGAGCGGCTTGAAGAGCTGCAACGAAAACTGGTAATGGGCGGACTGGGAGGTGGGGATGGAAACATTCAAGACCTGCAAATTGGAAAGGAGGGTGAAGTCAGAGATCCCACTACAGGGGAAAGCTTTACCTGGGATCAAGTCAGGAAGGTGTACATTATGTGATCACGCCACGTCACGGGCAACCATGAGGCCTCTCCGGCCAGGTGCTTCGGTATAGTCTTGCGGCTCTTCCGAGAACGCTGCATTGGACACGTTGAGAACGCTTTCCGACCGTCGCTTGATAATGAGTGTACGCAGTTATGAATTGATGAAGAACAATTTTGGGCGAGCTGTAATTCTACGATCCGGTGTCACCTCTGTATCTCGTTCATCATCAACCTCGACTCTTCCATAGACGCCTCATATAATCTGTGCACGAGTATGCTGATGACAGCTTGTCTGAGAGGCAAATTATGACTACCTAAGATGGTCAGAGACGGCCATGTTCATGACACGACAGTCCCGAGTTGACCATAACTTGACGCTCGCTTCACTTCACTCGAATAGAGTAGTACCCGCAGGCTTGCCTCCGATTCAGTACCAATGTTCCACCGTAGCAGTGCTAAATGCCAAGCCCTGCCCTAGCCGTCCAATCCTCTGTTTCGCAATGACATTGACCTCAGGCTCTAGAGTACCTGGTAGTTCGTTCAAGCTCGCAACTCGAGCAGTGCAGACTGCGCCCAACTCACCAGTAGACCTCCCATCCTCCCAGTGAAAGGTCTGCGCAACATCACGGTCAACAGACCTACCACGAAATCATACCGCCGCATCTGGAGCTCACTCCAACGTGGTCGCATCCGAGGACGAGCACGAGCACGCATCCTGCTCCTCACTCGACCTCAATCTCACTCTCCTCCTCAAGTCTTGAACCAGAGCCACGACTACGCAGGAGCAGTCACCTTGCGCTCTCCGACTACACCTTCTTCCCGAACCCTTGACGCCCGCTTCAACTGGGTAGCGAACTTAGAGCACACCTCACCTCCGTCTGCCGTCCGACCTGCATTTACCCCTCTGACGAAGTCGTTGAAAAGAAATACACATAAGCAAACATGTCCGGCGTCCCTGCAAGATTCTGGGGCCAACCAATCCGGTACCTACGCTGGGCCTCGCACGAGAAACCCGCCATCTTCTGGGCCTGCGTGCTCGGCGGATGTGGTCCCTTGTCCTTCCTCGTCATTCCATCCTTGAGAAGATTAGCCGGTGATGAAGATCCGCCCTTGATCCCACATTCATACCCTGGTGAGTTTCTTCTCTCCCGTGAGCTTCGCGGGTAGTCACTTGCCTTTCAGAGTACAGCCCTGCAAGTGCTCACAGATCAAACACTAACGTCTCTGTCCACATCTAGTCCCCAGAGGTCCGAGGAAGATCCCAGAAGGTTTCGATGATCCGAAATGAAGGTAACCTCTACGATCTCGTTCACTACCACATGAGAGACACCAAACGGGCATGATGTACTCGAGAGGACAAACGGGCACGTAAAGCACTGTACATAGGCCTTATGAAGACTGATTCAATAATCACATTTGCGTATCATTCTTGAAGTCCAAGTATCAACTTTGCCCATGGAGAGCACGCCGAGCCCATCTGACCTGGTACACTGCCATGGTCCCAGGAAGGTCGCCGTCGCCAGAGCCCAAGAATCGTCATCATTGCAATTCAGCACACCACCAGCCCGAACGCCCGTCCATGAAAACACCGTGATTCACCTACCCAAGACGCAATCGCCAGTGCCATTGCAACCAGCAGACGCCCAGGCCGGAAACCGCACGGAAACACCACGATGACCCTGGCGAACGTCAGCAACCCATTGACTTCCCCAACCTCGAAGTAGAGGGCACGTACCCAAATCACTACTCGCCATCCTCGTCCATGACATCGACGCCATCCTGCGGAACAAACATGCCCTCATCGTCATCTTCGTCCTCGTCCTCCTCCACGAACATCCTAGCCCGCTTCTTCGGACGAGGAGGCGTCTGCTCGTGATCCATCGCCTGCTCGGCCTCCATACCCGCGTAGACCTGCTCGAGGCCGTCCTGCGCACGATGGCCCCGAACGTCGTTGGCCCAAGGGAGGTCCTCCTTCTCAATCTTGGCGCAGGTCAACCAGCCGATCTCATGCTCGGCGCGCTTGAGATGGGTACGCTCAGTCATGAGATCGCCGACGAACTGCTTGATATCTTCCTTCAAAACACCCATATTCGCCTCCAAGACGTGGCACGCCTTGATAGACATTGGGAAGAATTGATGAAACGTCTTGAAGTCCATGTGAGTCAGGTACGCGCCGCCACCTTCGTGGAGAGCGGCGTAGAAGTTTAGTCCACCGTCTGGAGCGCGACGAGTGCGATCGTCAGAAATGCCCTGGGCGAACCACTGGCGGAAGAAAGAGACGCACATCCACATGTAGATGTCGGCCGAGTAGGTTGGACGACCGGGCTTGGAGCTGGCAGTGCGAGTCATGAACTGCGGGTAATGACCGAGAATGCGAAGTTCAATAGCTTCTTTGGCGAGAGCAAGCTCGTCGGCCTTGCGCTGGAGAATCTCACGGATATCTGCACCGATGCGTGATTTCTTGTCTTCGGAAAGAACGTCCCATTGACCGACAAGGTGGATTGCGGCTTCGCGGTAGATGGCAGGAGAGCGGACACGACGACCAAGCTCGATCCAGACATTTGGATCACCCATGACGGCAGACCAGAGGACGGTGTCTTGACGCATGAGTGCCAGATCGACAATGTCGCAGACATGTTCGAGAGCGCCGATGGATTCAGACACTTCAATCAGAGCCATGACACAGGCGAGGACAGAAGCAAGGCCAGAGTCGTCGAATGTTGGTTCGCGGTTGTAGAAGATCCCAAAGAGCCATTCCCATGCTTGGTTGATAATGTTTGCCGGCTTTCCATTGTTGTTATCTGGGAGGGTACCCAAGCTGGCGCTGGATTTAGGTGAACGACCATTGTCGTTGACGTCCTAAAATGGCAAAATGTTAGTATAAGTCGCGCAGTCAGGTGATGAATTCGAAATAAACTTACGATGCGCAAGAATTGACCGGGATCCTCATCATCACCAGGTTTCTTGACAAGCTCGAAGCGATACGCAGCAGCATTCTCACGACGAGCCTGTGCGTTGAGGCGAGGACCGGGTCTGGTCGTCATCTCTTGAGCAAACATGGGTGAATGAGCCTGCAAGACTTGAGAGTGGAGCTTGTAGTACTGAGTTGTTGAGATGATGAGGAGAACATCACCGTCAATGAACTTGGGGAAGTCTGAGGTTGGGAGGGACGCCATACTGAATGATGATAGTACGAGGTTGTCTTGATAGAAGAGTATGATGCCGTCTTGGTGGACGTAAGAGTAGAAAGATGATTTGAAAGGGTGGTCGACGAGATGAAGGATTGATGAAGGTCCAGAGACTTATGAACAATTCAGATTCAGATCGCGACTTGGCACGAGGCGGTCGTGGTATCTGTGTGTTATGAGAACTGGGTGCGGCGGTGGAGGGAGACCAGTGACAAGAGAGTGAAGATGGCAATGTGAAGGAAAGCGTTGACGAGATGAAGGTGTGAATGAGGTGCTTGTCGAGGGGAGAATCTTTCAATATGCCCGTGGACTTGCGGAGTACGTTGATGTCAGCTAGCTGACGAGGACCCCTTCTCGCGGCAGAACTCCTTGTTGAGAAAGCTGTATTCATTTGTCGGGGTAAGTGTTCTCTTTGGGGGGTGGGACCAGGAGGATGATTCATTTGAACGTGATGAAGCTGGAGAGTGACACATGTGAGTCAAGGCTCAGAAGCGGATATTGTCCAGGCACTAGGGAAGAGCAACGGTCAATGTCCTGAGATGTGGAGAAAGGACGACGTTGTTGCAACAAGAGGAAGACTGGCGTAACCAAGCTGAAGTAGAACAATGCTGATTGTCCCGTAACATTTTGACAGCGGAAGGCCCGACGGTTGTAAATCACGGACGGCACGCTCTTCACTGGGCGTCCGACATGGAAACAAGCAAGAGTCGTGTTCAGTCCTCACGGGAGTTGATCATGAGAAGAGATGCGTTATACCACTGATCGGACAACCAAAGGACCTCGAGAAGATTGCGGCGAGCCAGGAAATCAATCACGGCATCAGCAGGACAGGTTGAACAATCCTGTTGGAAGACCAGTATAGCAGTATGAGCAGTCGTTGGATTAGCCTTGTCATCAATATGGATATCTGCTTTCGAAGTCTCAAAAGCAGTTCAAGAACGCCGTCCCACGCTTGGCACATAACAATCCCATGTCTGCAAAAGCCGGCTTTGCCATGGCGTATATCAAAACCGACAACCAATTTTGTAGTGTATTCCAGGTAGCCTTCCAAGTCCGGATAAAAGCACGACTGTAACCAACGCCAGGTTTTGTTCCTTCGGTAAAGAAAGGTGGCGATATACAACAGTGAGCCGAGCCTGGTAACTCTTCGCGGATCATAAAGTCGTTGTACCATCAATGCGTATGCCAGGTTGCCGGGGTTACTCCAAGGGCATAAACGGTATTGTCGTGATCTGGTGAGTGTAACACTGGGTTTTCCAGCCATCCTTGGGTAGAGATCGCGGCCTGGTCTCTGGACCAGCTAGGATTGTCCGAGGAAAGATGGATTGTCCAGGCTGAAAAGACCACAGAGAGGTTATAAAAAATCCAGACCACGTCGGAATTATCAGGTACTGCAAAAGACATGATAAATCATCGATGCCTACGTGAATCAGTATATCCGGAAGGAGGGTAGCCACCCCCACCCATCATTTCTCTTCTCGGATCTCCTCCTCCGTAGGGAGCCGGTATTGATGATGATGTTGAAGATCCTGTTCTGACTGGGTAACCACCACCGGGCTGTACATATGCCGTGGATTGTCCTGCTCTGGTAACTGTCGGAGGTGTATTGCCGCCAAACGTCCTAGGTTCTCTGTCTGCGCCATAGTATGCGGGCTGTCCTGGAACATATGGATCTCGGGTTGAAGATATAGTGTAAGAAGCAGGATAACCAGGCTCTGGCGCATATCCGGAAGTGACAGGGACAGGAACACGACCACCAGTCATAGAACGAACATCACGAGGATCCGGATCACGTTGCCTCTGGGACCGTGGGCCGTAAGCGTCGTCCTCGTCAAGGTCCATCTCTCCTGGGTAACGGGATTGTCGTTCCCTTTCTTGTCGGGCTTGCATGTCGGCATAGGAACCTACGCGATCCTTAGGTCGGTTTTCGGTCCACACGCTATAAGGCGTACCTCGAGACTGGCCTTGTCTGGCCCTTCGTTCTCGTTCACGCTGCCACTTAATGGTATCATCACGAAGAGATTGCTCCATTGCCTGCCCAGCTGGTATCAGCATCTAATCTCAGTTTATAGCCTTGAGGATCTAGGCATACCGTAGTAAAGGGGCGATAGGCCTTGACCAAATATCCGGAACGACCCTAGATTACCACGTTAGCATATATACACTTACCCATGAAGGTTGAGCTGGTATTCCATACATCGGCGGGGTTTCGGCCGGGGCGACATGTGGCATCCTGACCAAGATACTTGCAAATTTCATGCTGGATGACTTCTCGGTCGATTCCATCTCCTGGGCAAAAGTATTCATTGAGCTCCGGCCTTAGAGATTCACGTTCTCTGCCCATGGGTGCATCCACTGGTTGTCTCCTGGGAGGCGGATCATCATATCCCCGCTCATCGCGAGGAGGATAGGGCGATCTTGAAGGCACCTGGCTCACTTCGCGATAATATTCTCCGGTCACAGGATCTCGAAATATCTGGCCTAGGCCGTCAGGCTCGGCGCTCCGGCCATCCATACCACGTCCAGCTCGAGGGTCGATACGAGTAGCAGTGCTTGCTCTTGGCTCAGTCCGGACGTCCATCCGGGGGTCAATTCTTGCATCCCTTGGGTCAATCCGGGAGGCCATACGTGGATCAATCCGGGTATCCATTCGAGTGTCCATAACATCTTCCATACGGGTATCTCTGGGTATTCGGTCATCCATGGTTCTTCTGTCTCTTGCAGGCTCAACACGCTCTCTGTGTCCGTGGTCACGTTCGCTGCGATGTTCTCTTCTTCGAGAGTCGCGGCGATACTCAGGGTCATCTGCGTAGCGAGACATCCTGGCGAGGAGAGAATATAAGTTGTCCTGGGGGGCGCACAAGTCCTAATCGTTGGGCACCAAGAGTGCGCAGTAGACAAATGAGAAGAGGATGTGTCAGTAAGAGTTGCAGAATAAGCGGCAATGTCGAGCCGGTCAGGAGAGCTAAGAGGATCCAAGCGAATGAAGTCCACCAGATGGATGTGTTCCAGGAATTTGAGAGACTGAGGTCCAATGGATGGAGACGATGCAATGTAAAGTCCTTCCTGCTCCCAGACTGGATGTGATGCTGTTTGTCAAAATGGTAACAGTGTAACAGAGATGGTGAGGAAAAGAATGATGTGTGCGCAGGCAGCGCTCCTCCTTGGGCTGCAGCAGCGCTGATTGAAGCGAACGAGCCACCAATCAAGGTCCCGATTGTCTGCCCAAAGTGCCTTCAATCAAGCAGTATGTAAATAATCCTTTTTCTTCGTGGTTCTCTCCTGAAATCCAAGGGGCCTTGTACCCGTTTCCCAAGAATGTGCGTACCTGTGGACGACGACAAGGCAAGGAAGGGGGTCAAAGAGGGGGCCTCTGAGCCCAACGAGGGTCTTTCGTGCCGCGGGCCAAACAAACCCTAGGAGCGATTGCGTGGGATGAGCAAAGTATCTGCCGATCGTGTCAAGGGCGGGATGTTTTGTTAGATGGCTGACGAAAGGTGACTGTTGATCTTGCGAGGCGAGAAGGAACATGAGAAAGATGGACAGATGGACAGGGCCGGCGCGAGGCAACAATGGCAATTGCAGGATGCAGAGAAGGGTTTGCGATCATGAGTGGCCATGCTAACTGTCAGCTAAGCTGGACGGGCCTTGAGTCCCTTGACAGCGTGGCAGCCGTCTGTGGAGCCTAGAATATCTGAAGAAAGAGCCTACGACACTCCATACATGTACGAGTGTTGTACCGTGCTCCTGCTTGGTCAGGCTGACCCCCATTTGCCCTCCTTTGACGAGAGTGTCGGCACACGAGGACTTCCTGACATTGTCCAAGGCTCTTCTTTGTCCAACATAGTGTCTCCATCCTCAGTCATGAATGACAGTCGACAGGCTTGTGGTGTGTACCTCGAATGGGTCAGAGCAACATCAAGCGGGTGCTGAGGTATGGGGTGGTTCTGGCAGCCATTGGGAGTGTGTCGGCTTGGTCCTCCCGGTTACGCTAGACTCTTGTGATAGGCGGTTTGGGGACACCTAGCACGCGCCAAAGCGCCCGCAAACAGTACGCTCACTTGTTTGACAGGCCAGTCCGCTGGGTTTGGGCACCGCGACTGGCCGACGATTCCCACCAATCAGCGGGACCTTTGGGCAGCAATGATGCTGGCGTTTCATCCCACCTGCACTCATCCCTCTACTGTTCGAGTCATCCAGTGATCGGTTGGGCAGGTGTTAAATTTTCATCATTGCATGTGATGCATCATAATCGCTCTCAAGGCTAGTACAGCGCTCCCTTCAAAAGAGCGAAGGTATCCCGCTGGCTGGTCTGACAGCATGGCCTGATGTACAACAAAGTTCGAAGAATATATTGACAGCTTGAGAGCTTTTGAGATAGGCATTCGACGAAACGACACGCGATAAATTATTACCTCGGTAAGGTTCTCGGCAAGCCACGCTGGCCTATGGACACCGTTGTGGAGGAGTAGAGCCTCTATCGATGAAAGTGGAAAACGATGGTTCTTTTCGACAGCGAGAGCTGGCATCAACTGACTTCTGTAGCTCCCCTTGTTGTGTCACGACTTTCCTTGAACATGCGCCATATCTCCATCTGGGTGTCACAACATACCTCATGGCCACATCGGCGCAGTTGCTCTGCTTGGGGCCACAGGAGGACCGAGTTTGTGCGTGATCGATGTGTGTCAACGGTTTGATATTGACGCTATTCGAGGGCTACAATTTGGAACTTCCGCCAATGACTGCTTTGATCCTGAAGCCTGTTCGGGGATAATGCACTCGCACCTCTTTATCCTGGGGCTGAATGCTCACGACGACCTCATCCTCCGTCAATCCAAGGAGGCGACCCTTGTCGTGATGCTTGACACCTGAGTCAGTGGGATACACTTCTACTTCGGTTCCATGCTGCAAGCCCAAAGGGTCAGCACTATCGATCGTCAAGTCCTTTTCGGCGAAAGAAGCGTTGAGTACGCGTTGTGTAGCAGCACCCCCTTTCAGCGTGGCCGGTTTTGGTGCCTGCTTCTTAGCTTCATTGAGTGCCTTGTTGAACCTCGCTATCCAAGAGAACACCTTGGGATATTGCTTCTCAGAGATCAGCTCCCGTGGTAAGGCTCCCTTTAAACCGTTCAGCCAATCAAGCGTCCAGACAGCTGAGGTTCTGCATTAGCCTAGTCTATAGCCCGCATGCAGTGTACTTTCTGCCTACCTTCGATGTCTGCCAGAGTTGGCTTGTCTGTCTTCAAGACCCATGTCCGTCCATCTGCTAGCAGAGTCGTCTCTAGAAACTTGAAGGCATTCCTGATGTAAGCGAGTGCTTCGGGCCTGTTGGCGGCAATTTGCTCTTTACTCCATGACCGACCGGTGAGGTCTTCTCGGTCTTTGGTGAACTTCGGGTCATTAAGCAACGGCATGTCGGTTGGGATTAGCTGGGATGCTCGCGCGAATAAACCAGACTCAGTGGCCCAAACGTCGAGGAACCTCTCAATGGCTTTTTGTTCGCCTGACGAGGCACCAAGAGTGCCATCGGGGAAGAGCTCTTCCAGCTTGCGAAGAATAAGCCGACTATCGCAGTAGATGTCGCGGCCAACAGCCAACACAGGAATCCTTCTGTAGTTTATTCCCAGTGCATTAAGGTCGGGTCGAGGTAGGACCGGAGCTTGTTTCTGTATGATTTAGCGAGGCCAGGAAGAATAAACTGGTAAGCGTACACATTCTGCGTAGTCTATCCCTCGAAGACTAAGATACCACAGAACACGCCTGGCATATGGAGAGAAAGAGTAATGGTACAATACGATGCCATTATTTGGACCGTCCATGATGTTCTGCCAAGGTCCGAGACTGCTGTTGCAATCTATTTTGTTCGAGAGAGCGGCGTTGATTTGTCTCGCTCAACTTCGAGCTAGATGTTGAGGGACTTGATGTGCTTCTTTAAAGTCCATACCGGCTACACGCCGCCTGCCAGCACTGTGAAGTCGTCCCTGTGGAGGTTCGAGGTGACGTGCCTCGGCATCTCATTGCGGGGGGGGGGCCCCTAAAGTAAAACTGCTAGATAAAAAACACCAGCATCACTAGCGTCGCATCGAGAAGTCAACCATCGTTGTGTTGCTATTGCCGCCACTCTTCACTGTCGTCCTACTTGCAGTCTTCATGATTCGTAGACTCCTGGCAAGACTGACAAAAATGCATTTCTGCCATGACTGATCGTACAGCCAAAACCCCCCTTGCTGCAAGAAGCACGAAGAATCATGTCAAGTGACATCATGTTCTCCGCCGTATGACGCCGAGGACAATGAGCACACGATCGAACCACATTGCCCTGTAGAATAAATCTGTGTGGGATCTCAAGGGAAGTACTTCCGGCTCGAAAGCATCCTTTCATTTTGTCTCTTTTCAAGTCTGTTCATATCATTTGATCGAAAACAACCAGATCAATTCTCACCAATACAACAAACCTCACAATGGCTCAGTCCGGACCCAACAGCGGTGGTGACCTCTTTGACATGGCAAAGGACGGTACCAAGGTGCCCGAAGATGCTGCGGCACCCAGATACATCCCTTCAGTCCCTCGGCCAGACCAAATAGCTTCGGAGACAGACCCCAACAACCTGGGAGCCAGAAGTCTTGCGGATGCAGCTGGTGAAGGAGACATTCCCAGAGTAAGTGTAACCGTGTCGTAACAAGCAATCCCCTACTGACAAAACTCTATAGACCACGACCGACACTGCAAGCAACGATATAATTACGGGCACAGGAGACTCACTGCCCGGCACCGTCGACTCCAAACGGCTACACGCCGTTCCTGGTGGTGTCACCCAAGATCCGTTCGCGAAGGGCTCGACGAGAATGACAGCGCACAAGAAACAAGACACAGACTTTGAAAAGGGCGCGTCTGATGGACCTCAAGTTGAGCGAGCTCCTGGTCAGGAAGATTTGACTGATGAGCAAGCTATGGACAACCTTGAGCGGAAGGAATAATGTGCACTCAGGAGGAGAGTGACATGGTGGCCGAGCCTGTATTATAGTAAGATGATCGTGTGGGAGGGGTCAAAACGGAGTCCACAGATGTAAACAAACCCTGTACAAACATCTGTCGCCATACCTGTTGATCCTCGTTTTCCTCAACTGACATGGAGTTTGGTTCCTGGTGGCCAAACCTGATATAATCCCAACGAGACAGACTTCCGGACTCGTTCCATTGACCCAATTCTGCATCATCATCATGCTCAACTGCCTTCCGTCTCATCGCTTCATTCCGACTGCGGAAACATTGACCAAAGGTGAAAGTGCATACCAAACCCTAGCGGAACGGCCTTCCTCAAGAGGATGCCCGTCTCGTTGCGGAGCACAGCGCAACCGTCGCTGGTTGGCAGAAGCCTTTTGCGCCCATATCCGGCGTGCCAATCGCTCGGACCCTCTCCGCATTTTCTTATGGACTCGCGCCCTGCCACTGCGTTAACACATGCGACTTTTTGACTCGTAAGGGTAGTATATGAGTCTGAAGCTTTCTTTCTTTTTGTTGAAGCCCCAAGGACACGTACAGTGCAGTGACGTCCCGCCCAGCTGTCCTTTCCCTACTGTTGCTGCCGCCGCGTGGCCCACACCTCTACAAAGCACATACACTCTATACGCTCCCTCCCCGCACTCCTCTGAGATAAGATACGATCCGTCCAAAAAGCAAGACGAGATGAACACACTCCGTGCCTCCAGCGGGCTGCGCACGCTCACACGCCATGCACCGGCACGCTCCTTCAGACACACTGCGATCCGAACCCTGGCATCCTCCACCGAAAGCCGCCAACAAGGCGCCGCAGCAGCGCAGGCTTTCGAATCCTCACCGCCCAGCGAATCCTTCTTCCCCGATGAGCCCGTCGGTCCTCAAGTCGTCACGAAGATCCCAGGGCCCAAGAGCCAAAAAGCCATTGCCGAGCTCCACAAGGTCTTCGACACGCGCAGTCTGAACATGATGGCAAATTACCAACAGAGCTACGGCAACTACATAGCCGATCTAGACGGCAACGTGCTGCTCGACGTCTACGCGCAAATCGCCTCCATCCCCGTGGGCTACAGCAACCCGGCGCTCGTCCTAGCCGCTACATCTCCCGAGATGGTGTCGGCGCTGATCAACCGCCCCGCGCTAGGCAACTTCCCATCGCACGACTGGGCGGCCATCTTGGAGTCAGGTATTCTGAGGGTAGCCCCCAAGGGCATGAACCAGGTGTTCACAGGCATGTCGGGCTCCGACGCCAACGAAACCGCATACAAAGCCGCGTTCATGTGGAAGCGCCAGCAAGAGCGTGGTGGACCGAACGTGGACTTCAGCGAGGAGGACATTTCCAGCACCATGAACAACCAGAAGCCCGGCTCGCCCGACATGTCTATCATGTCATTCCGCACCGGCTTCCACGGCCGTCTGTTCGGGTCGCTGTCCACCACCCGCAGCAAGCCCATCCACAAGATCGACATTCCGGCATTTGACTGGCCTCAAGCGCCTTTCCCAGCCCTCAAGTACCCACTTGAAGAACATGTCAAGGAGAACGAGGCAGAGGAGAAGAGATGTCTGGAGGAAGCAGAGAATATCATTAAAAACTACCACAACCCCGTGGCAGCCGTTGTTATTGAGCCTATCCAATCCGAGGGTGGTGACAACCATGCCAGTCCAGCCTTTTTCCAGGGTCTGCGCGAGATCACCCGTCGCAACAACGTCCTCTTGATCGTTGATGAGGTCCAAACTGGCGTCGGTGCAACCGGTAAATTCTGGGCCCACGACCACTGGAACTTGCAGGATCCTCCCGACATGGTCACATTCTCCAAGAAGGCACAAACAGCCGGTTACTACTTCGGCAACCCTGAGCTCCGGCCCAACAAGCCATACCGCCAGTTCAACACATGGATGGGCGATCCAGCTCGCGCCCTTCTCTTCCGTGCAATCATCAGCGAAATTGAGAGATTGAACTTGGTCGAAAACACAGCTGCTGTGGGTGACTATCTCTTCCAGGGGATTGAGAGCCTGTCCACGAAATATCCTGGACAATTCCAGAACCTCCGAGGCAAAGGTCAAGGAACCTTCATTGCCTTTGACAACCCCAAGCGCGATGAGTTCTTGCTCAAGGCCAAGACTTTGGGAATCAACATTGGTGGCAGTGGTGCCTCTGCAGTCCGACTACGGCCCATGCTGATCTTCCAGAAACATCATGCTGATATCCTGCTCGATGCGCTCGAGAAATTGGCCAAGTCTTTGTAGGTGATGGTACTTTTGGTGGGACTGGATGCAGTGTGCTTGCTGCGGCCTGGAGATGGTTGGGCGTAAATATGATTTCCAAAAAGTAGCAGTTTTTCCAATGGTGAATATTGCATGGCCATGCGCGGGCCGATCTGATGGCTGAATGCAGCGGTAATCGCTGTGGTAAAGATGTATTCCCAGGTGTCTGTGGGCAATGCCAATACCCCTTTCGACCTCGTTGTCATCACTCTGGAGCAGATTGTGAAGTAATATGTTCGGTTGCCATGGGAGCATTTATTGGACGCTTCAGCCATTGAAAACTCTGCGTTTTCCTTCTGAACGTGAGTCGGGCCTTTGCGAAAGACCATCTGCGCTGGCTCATTTCCTTTTCATATCGCGTGAATTCCGCTTTCGATCCTTTTTGGCCGGAGAATCGCGTCTGCCACCCTATGCTGCAGCTTCGTCCTCGATGGATGTACCGTCTCTGGGGACGTATCTAATTCCCTGATCTTCCATACCATCAATGATCTCTTGCGGCAATTGACCAACAACCTTGACTGCATATATTCCTGGCACGTAATTTGACAATCTTTGCCATTTGGCCACCCAGGATGTTTTGGGGTCTGCTAGAGTGACCATGCCTTCGAAAACTTGTGACGTGCATTCTTGGATCGCGTCTTGGGAGTTTTTGAGGGCGAGAATCTCTTCGCAATTAGGACAGCCATTTCGCAAAAAGTCCTGTTCAATGTTAGTTGACAGCGTAAGTTATTGCGCGGAGCCACAAAGAGACGTACGTTGCCAGTCTGGACGATGGAACAGACCATGCAGGCTCGGGTGCGACCTGATCGATTGGCCATGATACCTGATGAGGTTGAAAGATACGAGTAGAAGTTTGAAGAAAGGAAGCTCGATACCAGGACGCAGAAAGAGTTCGACAGAAGTGGATTTGCTGGGTCTAGATGTGTCTCAGGATCAATCAGCGTCTGAAGGCAGAGGTAACGACGATGGAGTCGGATGCGATGCTGCAAGGTGACACAGAGAGGAGAGCGCAGTCGAATTGAGGAGTGGTAGTGGTTCGTGTTCTGGCATCTGGGCAAAATGCGACAATTAAGGTTTCGGAAGATCTGCGTTAGCGTGAGATCCGCCCCGGGACTTTAGGCGTTGCCAGCTTCCAACAGGCGGAAGTCATAGGCGGGCGTGGTGCCCTCCAGGCTCACAGGCCACACAACAGAGCCTCCCACACTCGAAAAGTGGTCCCTAAAGTCGAGAACTTTCGGCGGCAAAAAGCAACTAAGGCAAGTGAACACTCGACCAACTCACCTCATTTTGTTTTCTAAAGAGCTTCGGAATGTCTCGATAGCACACCTCGTACTTCTTGTGTGCATAACATCTCCTCACATATCCTCTGGTGGATCTCCAGTCGCCTCCATTAGGCCATGACTTCAACTGAAGACCGGGCTGCGGCAACAGCCCTCAAGGTCAAGGGCAACGAAGCATTTGCTCACCATGACTGGCCGGCTGCGATCGACTTCTACACAAAAGCAATAGAGAAATACGATGCTGACCCGACTTTCTTTTCCAATCGAGCCCAGGCCAACATCAAGCTTGAGGCCTATGGCTACGCCATCGCAGACGCCAGCAAGGCCATCGAACTCGACAAGGACTTTATCAAGGTAGGTGTAGCTACTGGCCTTTCTGGATACATGCTCTGACACTTAATTTGCAGGCGTACTGGAGACGTGCGATTGCAAACACTGCGATTCTGAATTCTCAAAATGCCCTACGAGACTTCAAAACAGTCGTCAGGAAAGAACCGAACAACAGGGACGCAAAATTGAAATTGGCAGAATGTGAAAAGATGGTCAAGAAGATACAGTTCCTCAAGGCGATCGAAGTTGCAGAACCTCCCTCGGCATTCGAAGGTCTTGACATAGACTCGATGCAGGTCGAAGATACATATGATGGTGTACGGTTAAAAGATGAGATGACGCAAGAGTTCATTGATGATATGATAGAACGGTTCAAGAACGGAAAGACGATACACAAGAAATATGTGTTCCAGATCATCAAAGCAGTAAGGGATATTGTGTACAACGAGCCGACTATGGTGGACGTGGATGTTGCATCAGACAAGAAGTTGACAGTATGTGGTGATACACATGGACAGTACTTCGACTTGCTGGAAATCTTCCGACTCAATGGATATCCCACCGAAAAGCACGGATATCTGTTCAACGGGGACTTCGTCGATCGCGGCTCGTGGTCGTGTGAAATTGCGCTGCTGTTGTACGCCTACAAGTGGTTACGACCGTCATATTTCTTCCTCAACCGAGGCAATCACGAGACTGATGACATGAACCGAGTTTACGGTTTCGAAGGAGAATGCAAGGCCAAGTACAACGAGAAGACCTTCAAGCTGTTTTCCGAGTCGTTTTCGGCACTGCCTTTGGCAACGCTTGTTGGAAAAAAGTATCTTACTTTGCACGGCGGCTTATTCTCGGACGACAAAATCACTCTCGATGATATTCGCAAACTCGACAGACACAGTCAACGTCAACCAGGTCAGCAAGGGTTGATGATGGAGATGCTCTGGACCGATCCCCAAACACAACCTGGAAGAGGACCCAGTAAACGAGGAGTTGGTTTGCAATTTGGACCAGATGTAACTAAGAGGTTCTGCGACAACAATGGACTGGAAGCTGTTATCCGAAGTCACGAGGTGAGAATGGATGGTTATGAAGTGGAGCATGACGGCAAATGCATTACTGGTGAGTTGATCAAGAATACCTCTTGGCTAGAAGTGACTAACATGTTCTTCAGTATTCTCAGCACCAAAATACTGCGACAGTACCGAAAACAAGGGCGCATACATCAACATTGGGCCAGAGTTGAAACTCGAATACCATCAATTTGAGGCAGTGCCACACCCTGATATTAAGCCTATGGTAAGTCGGCAGAACGGATCGAGATAACAACATCGCTGACATGACCACCAGGCTTACGCACAAAATTCGTTAATGTCAATGATGTGATGAGGGAATACTCACGGAGAACCTCAATGTACTCAACCACAGCCGACATGATTGGAGAATGATTAGCTACATGAAGCGATGGTGTTGGATTGCTATGGGGGAACATGGCGGACTGTCGATCTAACTAGACTTGTCAAAGTACTAGGCTTCATGGCGATTCGATATACCGCAGAACTCGTCACATACAGCATTGGGTGTCTAATGTCTAAATTCTGTAACTGAGAATGCAAGCATCAAGGCGATCCAGAATCAACGAACCATACCTAGGTACATGTGTACGTGAGATCAGCCATGTGCTGGAATGGCCGACGAGGCTAGATCAAAGAATGACTTCGCACTCTCCTCCAAGTATTGGGCAGGCTGAATGTGTAGCAGCGATCAAATTTCCCCCTTTGCCTGCCTATGGATTGGTGCATTGACAATTGGAACCTACGTATAACCTGTATGAGCTTCTTGCGTATGTTTGACTATTATAGAAATTAACAGGGGGCCAGCCTTGCGCAGCCTTGCAATCTCACGATGGATATACTCCGTTATTCCCTCGGCAATTCTTTTCCTACCGAAAACGCCCGACACACGGCATCATCTCGACCTACTGTCAAAGACTTTTTGTACGCTCCGGCATTGGTCTTGACGTGATCTACAGGCTATTTACCGCGGACTGTAAGCCTTGTTGGGGCGAGGTATCCCTAATTTAGCATCCCACCAGTTTCACCGGAGTTTGTAAACAAACTATAACAATGGCGTCCGCACGTTTTGGCCTCGTCACAAACGTGACAAAGCCTCTTTTCACAATACTACCTAGGTCTTCAACAGCTATTTCAACCAGAGTCATCGACCGCCATGGCCACAGAAGCACCTCTCGTCCCGCGCCACGCCAGATGGTCGCTCCCAGCCGACTACCAGTCCACAAATGAAGCTCCCCAGACACTCACCCGGACTCACTCCAAGTCGATATCTAGGACCGATGTGTCGATCCCAGAATTACCTCTATTCGTCGCGGCGAGGTCCCATGCTCTAGCAGAGCCTGAGAAAGCCGCTGTCATCGACAGGACCAGAAACCAGAGCTTCACTTATTTAGAGCTGCTGAACGATGTGGCGTCATTCAAAGCACAGATCGAGCAGTATCTGCCTTCGAGCCAGACCGAGGAACCCAGAGTAGCGTTCCTGACGCCCTCAGGGTACGACTATGTGGTCATACAATGGGCGATTTGGGCCGCTGGAGCTATCTCAGTTCCTCTATGCACATCTCACCCCCTCCCAGAACTGCAATATACCATCTCCGACTCCGACCCATCTCTAATCATTCTACACCCATCATTCTCCAGACTTGAAGCAGGTCTACGGGAACAAGCCCCCACCATACCTCTAATCACTATTACACCATTCTCCCAGACACCAAGCCACACAACAACCCTACCTAGATTCACCACAGGATTCCCTCTATCGCGAGGAGCACTCATCATCTACACATCCGGCACAACCTCCCGGCCTAAGGGCTGTGTGACCACCCACGAAACCATCACTTTCCAAGCACAATGTCTCGTCGAGGCCTGGAAATACGGCCGAAACGACCACCTCATCCACGTTTTACCATTACACCACATCCACGGCATTATCAACGGATTGACGGCAACGCTGCTGTCTGGCGGTACGGTGGAAATGCACGCCAAATTCGACGCGAAGACGGTGTGGGACCGATGGACTGAGAGGGGCTCGACCATGTTCATGGCCGTGCCGACCGTATACTCGAGGCTGATCGACTATTTTGACAGTAGTATCCGCGGTACGGACTCCGAGTCCGCGGCAAGACAAGGTGCCAATGCGCTACGACTTGTCGTCAGTGGTTCAGCGGCCCTACCTGTTTCAGTCAAGCAGAAATTCGACCAGATCACGGGCCACGTGTTGCTGGAGCGGTACGGCATGACGGAGATCGGGATGGGTTTGAGTTGTGGATTGGAAAGGGAGAAGCGCATCGATGGGAGTGTTGGGTGGCCTTTGCCTGGTGTGCAGGTGCGGCTGACGGATCCTGAGACTTCTGGTGTCATTACGACAAGTGGTGATGAGCTCTCGGGAAACATCGAGATCAAGGGTCCGAGCTTGTTGGCTGAGTACTTCCGCCAGCCTAAGGCTACGGCTGAAGCGTTTACTCAGGATGGCTGGTTCAAGACTGGGGATGTTGCGAAACGAGATGCGAGTGGTGCGTATTTCATTCAGGGCCGTGAAAGCGTCGATATCATCAAGTCGGGCGGATATAAGATCTCGGCGCTGGAGGTGGAGAGGAAGATATTGGGGAATGTCGTCTTGGGAGATGTGGTGAGAGAGGTTGTCGTTGTTGGTGTGGCTGATGCGGAGTGGGGACAGCGAGTTGCTGCGATCGTCACATTGAGAAATCAGGGACACGAGATCGATCTAAAGACGTTCCGCGCACCTTTGAAGGAGGATATGGCACCCTACAAGATTCCTTCGATCTTGAAGGTGGTGGATGCGATTGAGCGGAATGCTATGGGGAAGGTCAACAAGAAGCAGATCCTCAAACAGTACTTTGCATGATTGGGCTCGAAGGGCTTCAACCTGGTCATTCCGCCAGAGCGGGCGTCGGGAGCCGAAGGATGGTATGGCGATTTACTTCCACGCCGACGGCCAATGGAAAATGGAAAAGGCGCGGTGTGTTCTGGCTCGGCTTCCTCGTATTGGTGGTGTTTTTGATGGTTAAAACATGAGCGAATCTATGTACCTACGGTCTGGACAACTAGATCTCTATGTTGTGTGCCCAGAGCTGACATGTCTATATCATTATTATCATTATTGTGTATTCCTGGTGAGCAGGCTTCTTTGAGGCCCATGGCCCTCGACTTCCGCTTGAGACCTCGTCCCTCCCGTCATGGACTATCGCACAAAAACATCCTAGCCTTATTTTGGCGTCATCAGTCTCGAAGCACATGACGCATTGCGTCGGCGTATCCAAGGCGATGGATATGTTGCACGCCAGATGGGCTGCATCTCCTGAAGCACCTCAGCCTCGTCCGCGCCGGCCGTGCATTTCCGGGCGGCTTGACCCACTCGACTTTCGGGTATAAATCTACCACCGGGAACGTAAATCTTCCCAACATTTTTTGCCTTGGTGCTGCAATTTCGGACCCCGACCTTGCATCTCGGATACGTACGTCGGAACCAGATGGAGCCCAGATCCTGTCGGGTCCGTGAAGTTGATATGCAGCGGTGAGCGTTCTGGCTCGCTGACTCGACTATGAGTCCGGTGATCGTGCGAGCCTTGTCACGGTCGCATGACTTTATCCAGGAATCGGAACTCAGCAGCCACGTCTTCTTCTTTCCATGGACATGGTAACTTTAGTTGCTGCGCCAAGTCTTCGGTGAGCTGAACAGAAGCTCGGATTATTTCGTTGCCAGCCCCTAGGTTCAAAGAGCCGAAGAAGTGACTATTCCAATGAGTCAGTCGGGCCCCGATGCGGGATTTCAAGGTGATGAAGTCGGGCGTCACTCACCCTTTGGCTTGTGGTCCGCACCCGTCAGCAAGACAGCAGATAAATTCAAGGAGTCCGGTCTCCAGGCCACTGATGATGCTGTGCTCACTGAGCAGTTCGCCGTAGATACAATTGATGGCGAAATGGGTTAGGTCGCCGCCGGAGGTGGTGTCCATTGTAGCCAACACTCTCGAAGTGTGCTTCTGGTAGATTTGGCGGAAGAACGCCATGCCGCGATCGTACTTTGCGGATGCATCCAGGTCAGAGCGGAGTGATGTGTCGGATGAGAAGATCGTGGAGATTGAAGGGTGGGTTGTGTCGATGGCGGTCTTGAGGGCGAAGAGGGCATTTATTGCCTTGCGAACGTTAGCTGGGAAAGTGTGATGGTGGGGAGATGTAATGAGGTATCTGGGTAAGAGCGCGCTCACGACTCACCCTGGGGAAGCCAACAAGTGTGCTGGCTTTGAGACAAGCCTCGCGAATTCGTCTTGCGGTCGCGAGAAGTTCATCGTCACTCGCATTGATTTCAAGACAGCTGGCCAGATATGTCCACAAATCGCCCACGAGCTTCTCCTTGTGGAATGATAGGAGGACAGCTGTCGTTAAGATGTACCACAATGGTGACTGTGCTGAAGTGTTTGATGGCGTGCCGGTTGTAGAGAATAGATCTTGGAAGTGTAAGAAGTCGAGTGGTACCTTGCGTGTAAGTGTGCTGGTCGACTCTGTTTGCGAGGTCGTGGAAGCGGTGGTGGCACTTGTGGCTGATGATACAGTGGAAGATGGCGTCTGAGCGCCGCTTGAGGGTGCCGTGTCCATAATAGGTAGGATGGATATTTTAATGTACCTGGAACGGTTATGTCGGGTCCGTCAGGTCTCGAAAGGTATGAGATATCCGTAATATGGGCGATGTGCAGATGTTGGTAGTTGCTGATTCAGCAGCTCAACCCGGGGCAAGTACAATAGGATCGAGAAAGCGCAAAACCGAAATATCGGACTTTTATTCTGTGCTATCGTACTGGACCATGCATCGATGTTTGTATCACGAGGCTGAAGCGTCTCGGTCACAAAAGTGGAGCCGTAGTAACAAGGGTAGACTCGGAGGAAATCGTACCTTATCAAGCACTCGGTCAACTCCCGGGGCTGCTTACTTGAGTCTGATCGAGAACATTGCCTCATGTGAGGGCATAGCAATATACTTCGGCCTCCGCTGTAGCTAATGCTAGGTCAGGGTCACGATAGTCCTTCATTCGGAGCCAATGGCGCTCGGCCTCACCCAGGTCCAACCGATGGCACGATTCAGGAAGTCTTTTTTAGGCGTTGGCTTCAGACAAGATTTATCATTCGCATTTTGTAAGTACGGATATGCGCTGCGGAAAAGCGAAGACACATATCCAGACTTCAACTCATCGAGCGATGACACTCTTTCCCCCTCGTAAGTCACAGCGAATCAATTTTCCACTTTTGACAGGAGGTTGCTCAATTACCTTTTCAAACACGAAACCCCCAGGTGATGAACCCCGCCCTCGATCCTGGAGCACGCGACCTATCGAGGCATGGGTCGTTGCCAACATTACTTCAGACATGTCCTTCATGACCTTTGAGGGACCTTTCTGACTCTCCCGCGCCAAAATCGTCTTGTGAAGAACAACATAATCGTTCCAGCCTACCACACAGATGGCCTCTAAGCAGGGTACACCACCATCAGCTGTTCCAACGGACACGAACCACCGCCGTTCTAGCAGCGGTATTTCTGACGACGTTGCCAAATCCGCTCATGACTTCATGGCTGTCACAATTCGGCGCTCTAGCAGTGGTATATCTGACGATGCCGCCACCGCAGCGCGCAATTTCATGCGAAGTGTCAAGGGCACAGGCCCCGGCTTGAATGACGACCTTACTGAGAAAGCTCACAAGTTCATGGATGGGCCAGCCACTCACTGCGAAAGCCACAGCAAATATTTGCCAGATGTCACCGTACCCGGAGTGACCGACCAAATTGCTGAAGAGGCGCTCGAATTTGTGGACAATGCTGAAAAGTTGGAAAAGGTCTGAAGTTGCTCGCTGCAAAAGGGATCCATCTGGGATCGCGCCGGAGAAGAATGTACAGTCCATAGGTTTGGCTGTTATTGCAATGGAACAACAGTCAATTGCGAGGCATGGAGATGATAGGAAAAACCGACATTGCGGTCTTTATGTTCTTGTTACCGCGTACATCAAGTTGTCAACAACGACCATGTACGTAGGGATTGCCATTGACGAACAATGTCCCGTCGAACCCATCATGTTGGTGTAAGTCGTTATTCGCGTAGGAAAGGATCAGTTTCAAAATTGAAACTCGCCAGACACATTGTTGTGAGCTTATCACGTGACCATGACGCAGCATGTCCCTCGACACCCAAACCACGGCTGCGTGTCGACTTTCTGGGTTTTCACATCGCGACTGTCTGCATCATGGTGTGTTCGCCGAGTATGATGCGCTGAACTCACTTTCCACAGCGCGCAATGGCGCTGGATCTTGACGAAGGATACGTGGCACGTGGCCTCACTCAAGGCGACGTCGAGACTACGCTGCCCATCTTCAATGTTGAACGAGTTCAGTTGCAGTTCAACATCGCCTCGGATTTCGTGGCGGGCCAAGTTGCCAACAATGTCCTGATCCTTGCTCTCGCTACTGGTCGGATCCTTCGTATAGACCTAGAAAGTCCCTCAGATATCGACGGTAGATACTACCCTGGGTACAACAATTCATGGTTACTGACTTCTTGTCGCGATAGATGTCGACCTTCCAAAGAAGATCAGTGAGGTCGGCCTCATACGACGCATGTTCCTCGACCCCTCCGCATCCCACCTCATTATCAGCACCACCTTGGGAGAGAATTTCTACCTCCATAGCCAGTCAAAACAGCCGAAAGCTCTGTCAAGATTAAAAGGAGTATTAATCGAAGCCATTGCTTGGAATCCTTCTCAGCCTACTGCCTCTACACGCGAGATCCTTGTCGGTGCTACAGACGGAAATGTGTACGAGATATACATTGAGCCAGCATCGGAATTCTATCGGAGGGAGGAAAGGTACTCTGCCAATGTCTGGAAGATACCTGATGGCGCAGTAACGGGCCTCTGGGCCGAGACTATCGAGGGAAAGTCGGACTTACGAAGAGTGATTGTGGCATCTCACTCTAGACTATGCCATTGGATTGGTAAGACCGGTGGAAAAGGAAAAGAAGGCTCCGCCTCGATATATGCCGATCTGTTCTCGAAAGAAGCACCTATCACGTACGATACGACCGGTGCTTCCTCCACCGCACCCTCGTCCTTTTCAGTATCGCCAGAATCAGATGATCCGGGGACCGACTCTGAAAGAAGTTTTGCTTGGCTATATTCTCAAGGCGTGCTTACAGGGAAGCTCTCAACGTCGCCAACAACCTCCAATCTCGGAACCAAGATTTTCAGCGAGACCAAATTACACCCTCGATCAGTGTTTCCAGAAACTATGTCCGCTAGAGGCGGACGCAAACTCATTCAGGACCCCGTTGCATCCACCATTTTGTCGCAATGGCACGTTTTAGCTCTTGCGGAAGGTAGAGTTGTCGCAGTCAATCGGCTTGACGGCAGTGTCGTATATGACCAAGTGGTGCTGGAACCTGGGCAGAGTGCTCTTGGGCTAGTCTCGGACCAGAAGAAGAATACTTACTGGCTTTTCACCACTCAGGAAATATTTGAGGTGACAGCTACCGATGAAGAACGAGACATCTGGAAGATCATGCTCCAGAACCAAGACTACGATGCTGCTTTGCGGTATGCCAAAGGATCTACACAAAAAGATTCTGTTGCGACCGCCTCGGGCGACTATCTCTCGAATAAAGGCCAGTACATGGACGCAGCAAGCGTATGGGGCAAAAGTAGCAAAGCCTTCGAGGAGGTGTGCCTGTCATTGATCGACAACGGACAGGAAGACGCGCTGAGAAGGTATCTCATGACAAAGTTGGGCGTGTACAAGAAGTCGTCGACGATGCAACGGGTCATGATTGCGACATGGCTCATCCAAATATTCATGGCCAAGTTGAACTCCTTGGACGACATGGTGGCTACCAAAGCAGAACTCCTGGAGAATACCGATGCCGGCGGCGCAAAACGTGATCTGGACCAAACCCGGGCTGACTATCAAGACTTTGTGACCAAGTACAAATCTGATCTGGACGCGAAAACGGTGTACGAGGTGATCTCAAGCCATGACCGAGAAGAGGAACTCTTATTCTTCGCCAATACCATCACCGATTATGACTACGTCCTGTCATACTGGGTGCAGCGAGAAAAGTGGAATGAAGCACTTTCCGTGTTGAACAAGCAAAGCAATCCGGAGACATTCTATCGATACAGCAACGTACTCATGACACACGTACCGACTGGCTTTGTGGAGATTCTCATGCGACGAAGCAGTATTGATGCACAAAAAATGATTCCAGCGCTGCTCACCTATAACGAAACAGCCAATGTTCCCTTGGCCCAGAACCAAGCAGTCCGGTACTTGAACTTTGTGGTGACGAGCAATTTCGAGGTGCCAGCCTCGGTGCATAACGCACTTATCTCAATCATGGCCTCTCATCAATCTCCCTCAGAAAGTGCGTTGTTGGGCTACCTCGAAACCCAGCCTTCTCCTCCGTTGTATGACGCAGATTTCGCACTGAGGCTTTGCATTCAGCACGATCGAGTACAGTCCTGCGTGCACATCTACAGCGCGATGGGGCAATACCAGCAAGCAGTCGAACTCGCTCTGCAACATGATGATATTGATCTGGCAGCCATTGTCGCGGATCGTCTTGAAGGCAATGACAGACTACGAAAGAAACTGTGGTTACTGATTGCCGAGAAGAAAATCAAAGAGGCTGCGTCTATTAAAGAAGCCATCAATTTCCTCAAGCGATGCGAACTGCTGAAGATTGAAGATCTGATTCCGTTGTTCCCGGATTTTGTGGTCATTGACGACTTCAAAGAAGAAATCTGTGAAGCCTTGGAAGAATACTCTCGACACATTGACAGCCTCAAGCAGGAAATGGATCTGTCGCAACATACCGCCGAACAGATCAAGGCGGAGATAGCGGCACTGGACCGTCGGTATGCCATCGTGGAGGCTGGGGAACGATGCTGGATTTGCACGTTACCGGTCCTGAGTCGACAATTCTTTGTGTTCCCATGTCAACATGCCTTTCACAGTGACTGTTTGGGCAAGAGAATACTGGAAAATTGTGGGTCTAGTAAACGCAAGCGGATCAAGGACCTACAAACCGAGGTCAACCAAGGATTGAGTATTGGCCCACAGCGCCAGAAGCTCGTGCAGGAATTGGATGGTTTGGTGGCTGAGCAGTGCGTTCTCTGTGGAGATCTGGGCATCAAACAAATCGACGAACCATTCGTCCATGCCGGCGACGACACCGAAGCATGGGCTATATAGCGGCGTCTAGTATGGTTGACAAAGCAAACTTAAGGTTTGACTCATTCACCTCGACCAATGTCACAGTAGAGAAGTCGATACCTGGCGAGGGTTAGGCATATTACTAAGTGGCTTCATCTTGGCCGCAGATGACTAAATATGCAGAGTTGGTCGCTTGGAGCAATCATATACCAAATGCAGCATTCGACATTGACTGGAAGTGGAAACTAAACCACGTTTGGGATTTGTTTGTGCGGTCGGTCGGCCGGCCGTCACTGATGAAACCTTCTCAAGGGTAATTCATAAACTCTAGGATCTGAGAGTATGGGGATGATAAGCAGTGGAAAAGGAGGAGATAGTAATACGAGGTCTATCTCGGTCAATGGGAACGCTGCTGACAAACAGGAGGCCTCGCTCTTGGCGTTCGTCATTGCCAATTCGCGATCTTCTTTGTTTCTCATTCGTCATTTTTCGCGCTCATGTCAGCCACTTCAACCACCTTCGAACGCCAACTTACTCCTTCGTCCGGCCTACGGAGAAAATGAACTATGCGCCTCTCAAGCTCTGACCCTGGTTGATACACGTCTCACCCCTGTCACTGGGTACGGTATTCCACGTTAGTTCCGCAGCCTTTACCAAGATGTTGCGGGTTTATGCATTGCACCGAACAGCCAATGTCCACTTCGTCCGACGGACAATTCTACAGCAATGCATGTTTGAATTCCATGGCACGACTCGGGCATGTGTCTATCCTCTTGCTTACAGGTAGGTCTGCAGCCCATCAGATATATTAACATGGCCTGTTCTCTTACAAAAACAACTTGCTACTTCCATCCTGCACAATCTTCCAAACACGTTCCGTGCTGGCAGCTCACCTCAACCATTACACGTCCAACGGCTTTACTGCCTCATTTCAGTTCTACTGACTTCCTTCATACCTACCACTATGTCTGCTCTCCTTCGTGACGCCCCTGTAGGGCAGCTCATCCGATGGGTTACACGAAATAAATACCTCGCATATCCTGAAGAAGACCCAAACTTTCGATGTCCTGGTTGCTACCAAAATGAGTCCAAAGGTTTCGAATCTCAAGCAACCACTCCTGATGTTACGTCGCCCGAGCTTGAAAAAGAAGCAGAAATGCCAGCAGGGCCGGCAGGACCGCTGAGACAAGATGCCCTCACCAAAGCCGAAACAGCAATAGATCGTGAATCAATGTCTGCAATGTCTGAAAGGACGCTGTCCAAGATCATGACTCGACCTGAACTAAGCAACATCCACACCCGCACCGATCTCGAACAAGCCTACACCAACGCCACACGACAAGAGACGTTGAAACAGCAGGCTAGTCGTCCGATTCAGCCTCAAGTCACCTCCGACGGCATAATCCTGGTCGACTGGTACACGACTGATGATCCTGAGAACCCTCAAAACTGGTCGCGGGGCAAGAAAGGGCTCGTGGTTCTGCAAATCTATCTCTACACCCTAGCAGTATACATGGGATCTGCCATTTTCACACCCTCAGAACCATATATCATGGAAAAGCTTGGTGTTTCCGAACAAGTGGCTTCACTCGGCCTGTCGATGTACGTGCTGGGCTACGGACTTGGTCCTCTGCTGTGGTCACCACTCTCCGAAATACCAATTATCGGACGAAACCCGCCATACATGATCACTCTGGGTATCTTCGTTATCCTGTCCATCCCGACTGCCGCGGTCAACAGCTTCCCGGCCCTAGTGGTTCTGAGATTTCTGCAGGGCTTCTTCGGCAGCCCATGTCTCGCCACAGGAGGTGCTTCGATTGGAGATATCTACTCCCTGCTTAAGATGCCCTATTTCTTGACGGGATGGGCTGCATGGGCTACCGCAGGACCGGCTCTCGCTCCAATTATCAGCGGTTTCTCTGTCCCTGCCAAGAACTGGCACTGGTCGCTGTGGGAGATAGTGTGGCTGGCAGCTCCCGTCTACATTTCTCTCCTGTTCCTCTTGCCAGAGACGTCCGCCTCGAATATCCTGCTCCGCCGCGCTAACCGCCTACGCAAAGCCACAGGCAACCAGCAACTCAAGTCTCAATCGGAGATCGACCAGGCCAAGATGAGCGTCAACCATATCATTGTCAGCAACCTCTGGCGACCCGTACAGATCAACGCTCTCGACCCCGCAGTGCTGTTCACCAGCTTGTACACCGCGCTCATGTACAGCATCTTCTACTCGTTCTTCGAGGTCTTCCCGCTCGTGTACGCGACAGGCAACCCGGGCAAGGCCACCCACGGCTACGGCATGAATGCGGGTGAAATAGGGTTGATCTTCTTGAGCATCACCGTGGGTGTCTCGATCGCAATCCCCACGTACATCTTGTACCTGTGGTATGTCTTCGAGCCGGAAGTCAAGACGATTGGTTTGGGCGAGCCTGAACGACGACTCATCCCCGCTTTATTCGCCAGTCTCTTGTTGCCCATTGGACTATTCATCTTTGGCTGGACCGCAAACAACAGTCCCAAGATCCATTGGATCGTGCCGACTATTGGTGTCGTCATTTTCACCATCGGGATCTTCATCCTCTTCCAATGTATATTCATATACATCCCCCTAACGTACCCTCAGTACGCGGCCTCGTTGTTCGCGGGTAACGATTTCGCGCGCTCGTCCGTCGCCGCTGGAGCCATTCACTTCTCTCGACCGATGTTCCATAACCTCGGTGTTGGACCCGGTGTGAGTCTGCTTGCCGGTCTGACGGTCGGTGGTATCATTGGTATCTTTACGCTGTGGAAGTTCGGCGCAGCGTTGAGAGCGAGGTCGAGGTTTGCGGCGAAATAGGTGACCTGCTGCGGTGTACGATATACAATGGGCTACTGAGTGTCGCGAAACGATGCTATGAGCAAGGACAACGTCAGCTTGGTAGTTTGTACTAATAACTTGCATTGCATGGCGATGGCGTGGAAAGCATGCATCCGAACCTCGCTGAATTGGGGCCAGCGACTATGTTAGAATTGGATTTGGAGTAATACATATAGACATATAGTGACGCATCACTGCTCATTTGCCTTGGCTCTCTTCTTGGATGTCCATCCATGCTGAGCGATCTGAGAAGCAGACTAACTTACCCATGTCCTCATGACTGGCAACTAGGGTTGGCGTTCTCCGACTGAAATCGATGTGGTCGATTGAACCATAATGCTGAAACAGTTCGACGACCTACCTGAAAGACAGAACGGGAGAGATGCTCACAGCAACTCACGTTTGTGGCATGACGGAATGACTTTGAAAACAATGATAGGGTATCTATGCACCAAGTTTGTGACGGCAGGATAGTATTCTCCCCACGATCTACTGAAAAGAGGTATCTGTTCCTCGATAGGACAGGCCAAGACGGCCTCCAAATGAGCCTCGGGACCTGTGTTCGACTCTTAGACTCGTTCCACTTGCTTTCTGTACCTCGCAAACCAGAACAAATGGCCGGTAGTCCCATAAGGCGACTCATGGCACAGTAATCAGAAGAGCCTATGCATGTTTCATACTGCATGGAAAATGAAACACAAAGAAAACCACCCGATGCCAGACAGGGTACCTAGGTATCCAAACGCCAAGTAACATGTTTTGGAGTGGTGAGAAGTATCATCACCACCATAATTGCATTTGGAGCCCAAACAAAATGATAGACTCCCACGCTGTTGATCAGCAATAGGATTGATCAACGTATAACGCTGCTTCATTCCGTACGCCTAGCCAATACGGTTCATTTTGGCTGTTGTTGCATCTTAAGCGACTTGTCGGCCAAGGTCTTTGCAAAAAGTGTTCTTTGTGGCTTTGCGCTCCTGTAAGGGATTCGTCAGTCTTTACGGTCCGCAATCAAATGGACATGGGAACGTACATGAATCTCTTGCCCTTGATCTCACTCAACTTCTTGGTGGTCGGACTCGCAATCGCATCTGACGGCGAAATGTACGTCTGGTTCTGAGCTTCTCCGACCGCGTACTTTTGCGCAGTGTGGCTGAACCGAGGCATCTCTTTCTCTTCGATGGACAAGCCCATCTTCTTCGGTGATTGAGGTTTCGTGGGCGAACCCGTGTTGGGAGACCGCTCGGTGAGGGCTGAGGTTGTTGTGGAGGATTTAGTTGGGGACATGTTGAGGCGAGAACTCTCAATGTTCAGGGAAAGATCGATGATTGAAGGGCAGTCTTTCCTCTCTGGCGATTCAAATCGATACGTCGCACTTCTTGAGCGAGGCGTATATGGCTGGTTGGAATCGTCGGTGAGAATGTGATGGATAAAGCAGAGAAAGAATTGATCTACTGCTGTACTTGAGTTCTTTCAGTCTGGTTGCCGGGGGTGAGTTGGTGAGTTGCGCAAGGTTCTGGAAAGCCGGTCCGAGGTCAATGCGTCTGGAATAAGGGTTCGCGGAATGTAAAAGTGAAGAGTTGGAGAAGGGTTGTTTAAGAGACGACGTCATCCAGGATGAAAAGCGTTGCCCGGCAACAACGAAAACCCCTGGAAAGTATCATTTTACGACCTTTATCACTCAATCTATGAGGCCAGAATATTGATTACAAGTCTCCCGAAAGGTCAATCTTTGATCGATCCCAAATTGCGGGAGACCACTGGGGCTTCTTGTACGGGCATGTAAACTTGCGCGAGCCTAATCCAACAACAAAAGCGCGTGGCGACAGAGCAACGCCCTAAACGAGGCGATCTGAGCTTGGTTTGAACAGGGTGATATGGGAGCGTCACGAGGCAAGTTGTCTGTCCCCAGACTCGACGAACGCGTCTATTTGCCAGAACAATGCGGTGTCAGGCGATTCATCCATCCCAGCCTTGCCACCAGAAGAAGACTTGCCCTTCCTCATATAGGATCAGGACCTTATTGGAGACATCGCAGAGATTTGGGGCGTCCGACACAGCCATTGGATTATGTGTCAAGCCACTGGCGAGAGCGATCAAATTGATGGGAGCGTTGCCAGTAATGACATCGGTCACGCCCTGTGTGCTGCGGGCGGGCACGCGCTACTCGTAGGTGGAAGCCTGAAAAAGGGGAATGTCCGCGTCTTTATGTGACGGTTGTCCGCTGAACCCTGGACGTGGATCGTGTTTATGCTTGGGGGTTTTGGCTGGAGTGCCTCACGCCCCTTTGGGGTCTTCCTTTTCGAATTGCAGTGGTGGTTGGAAATAGGGTCGGTGTGATTGGTCAGGCGGGAATTGGTGTCAGGGTTGATGATGACCGCCCAGGATGCCAATGGGCAGGTATCGTAACCGTACGGCCACTGTGGTGAGAGGAGTGACACTGCTTAAGCCACCTCGCGACAGGCGTCCTCGCAATATCGGTTTCGGGCAGGAGGCAGTGACTTTGCTCTGTCTGAAAAGACGCAATGCGGATTGGGTGACAATCCCCACGATGCTGACTGGCTGTCTGTCTACACCATTGGTTGAACTGTTGCAGACCTCGACTGGGAAAACACTGTGGTACGCAATCCTGTTCTTGCGCCACATAGGAGGAGGCACCAGGGTGATCATTCTTCTACATAGGTAAGCTGACCGGTGCCCGTTCACACGGCAATAAATGGGGCCTAGCCTAGGCCACTTCTGTATATCAATTGTATTCGACGCCGCTGGCAGGAACGAGGATTTTCGATGCTTTGCTTGCTGATTCCTCATGTCCCGTCGATTCTAGATTTCTTGCTCCTTGAGATCTCATCTCCCCCAACTTGCAAAGTACCTACTGTTGATATTTCCACAAACCTCGAGTCTGGTTGCAACTACCATGATGTTTCCTCAAACCACAAGCCTGACTCTCTTCACCATCTGGAGTATGTCTTCCTTGACTTGAGCAAGATTCTTGAATGTTTCCGCGTACACTTCCCAAAAATTTGCTGATCATGCCATCGCAACACAGCGCTCTGCCAGCTCCAGTTGGCGGCCGGGAATTTCGTGCAGTTTTACGATAGACCGTCACACCTGGGAGTTGCCCTATCAACATTCACCAACAGTACTGGTAATGGCTCCGGCACGGGCTCCGGCACGGGCTCCGACCAAAATGAATTGCTGTTCCAGTTAACCGTGCCCTCGAGTGCCGGCTGGGGTGCCATTGGCACGGGCGACAAGATGGATGGCTCATTGATGTTCATCCTCTATCCTTCCACCGATTCAGATGGTAAACAAGTCATGCTGTCCGCCGAAAGAGAAAAATGTTGCTGATTTGTCACAGAAGCTACAGTGAGCGTCCGAACTGCACAGTATGCCTGAACTGCTCTTTGCCCCGGCTCGTTTCTCTGCAGCAGCAGTCTGACCATCAATTTAGTGGCCATAATACACCTGAAGCTTTTGATGGACTTCAGTATCGCGTCCTAAAGACCTCCAACGATGGTGCAAGTTTGACAGCCGATGTCCAATGCTTCAACTGCACCAAATACTCGGGAAACTCGATTGACATAACCTCCGCTAAACAACCATGGATCTGGGCCATTGGCCCTGGGGATCCCGTCAGGTCAAATTCTCAGAATGCTGACATCGAGCAACATTCTCATTATGGTGCCGTTCCTACCCTCTGAATGTCGATCTTGTTGCCACTAACTCCACTGTTTCCAGGAGTTTTCTTTGCCAAGATGGATAAAGCCCGGGCCACAGCTGCCAGTGTGCCCTCGGTCACTGGGACGTTCAACATCAACACGACAGCACAACCCGGATACATCAACGACCTTGTCGTCCTGCATGCTATCCTGCTCGGTGTGGCTTTTGTCATTGCATTTCCACTAGGTGCTGTCTCGCTGAGGGTGTTTCGGTCCTTCAAGATCCACTGGATTGTACAACTTTGCACTTCAGTCGCATGTCTCATTGGACTTTGCGTCGCGATCGCCTTCAGTGTTCTTGGTGTTGAATGGACCGACTTTAACTCTGCGCACCAGATCATTGGCATCGTGGTTGTTGTTCTAACGTTGGTCCAAGGTATGCTGGGCTACCGACATCACATGAACTACAAAAATCTCAAAGGGAGAACGGTGGTGTCGTACGTACACATCTTGTTCGGGAGAGGCATCATATGGTTCGGGATGCTGAACAGCGTGTTGTAAGCTCGGTTTTTCCTTCCTATAACCCCATTTCCGCATGCCTGACCGTGGAACAGGGGCTTTCTTTTGGCTGATTCCAACGGCAAGGCAGCAGGTGCAGGAGCTGTCTCGATAATTGTGATCCTCCTGATGGAGGGGGCGCTGTTCTGGGCCCGTCGACGTGGTCTTTCAAAGTCTAAGTCTTCCAGCACGACCATTCTGCCACTTACAACCATGCTGGATCCGGACAGAGTGTGGGAGTGACGCCTTTTTGATGCGTTGGCAGGATGGCTCCAGTTTGTATGAGCAGTGATTGTGCCTCTTGTGATCATGACATCGTAGACATAGCACCGGTTCAGATATTGGTGGCATCAATATTGCAGAACTTTTTCTTCGTGAGGCTGGTAACGTGATACCCTATCTGTGGCACTGTGTGCCCTGATAGAAAGATCGGACTCGGCTTCTGCATACGATTCTGAATGCGCTCCAAGCTGTCCAAAGACCATCACGATCAAGAAGCATGGAACAATCGACAGACTATATGTGAGTGGATGTGACCTGGGTCTTCTGTATTCTAGGCGGTACGGCGCTGGCTTTGACTCTCAAAAGATTCAGCAAAAGTGGCACGTTATGAAGAGCTTTTGGCGTGTTTGGAAAGACGTTCCGGACGATGCGACCCACGTAGTGGCCAGAAGAACCTCCTAAGCGACAACATCTATGTGTCCATGAATCCATTGGCACACGTCCATAAGTACGGATGCTCTCTCGGTCCTTTCAGAAGGTGGTGACGCCGGCAGGGTTATGTTCAATCAAATGACGAAGGTAAAGAAAGTCATCGCACGGCAATATTGGTAGCGGCATTTTCATACTCACCCCTGGCGAGTTCAGTTTCGCAACTCCACAAGACCACCAAGTCTGCTTCAAAGCCTGCGAGAAGGCATGTATGAGATGTAAATGAGTATCAAGGGGAGGTCATGCCACGACTGACCTCCCTTCGCCTCCGGGCGATTCTGTAGGCATCGGATGGCCAGATTACCTCTCCTGTGGAACGCGTGCCGAGTTACTACCACGATACTATGCCGTCTCTACCAATGAACGCTCCATTCGGACCGTCGGGCCCGATCGTGGCCATCGCAACTACTTGAATCGCGCCTTCTGTTGCAGGAAGAGGTCCTTTGAAATTATTCAATCTTGTAGCAACATGACCTGGGTCAACGGCATTGACCTTCCATCCCGCGTCGCCAAATTTCGTAGCATAATGTGCACACAACATGTTTAAGGCGGCCTTGCTTGTGCGGTAAATTGGGAGTTCGGCAGAATAGTACCGATCTGTGGTATGCATCCTGTGCGCCAACGAACCTAACCACGACGATAGAAATACAATATGCGGCGTTGTGGATTGTTGGAGGAGAGGTATGAACGCCTCGGTAACTTGAGCAGCACCAAACAAGTTGACGTTAAACTGCTCCTGATACAAAGACCGTGTTGATATTCCAGCGTGCCCCAGTTGTCGATCATTGGACATCCCTGCATTGTTCACAAGAACATCAAGCCTTCCATAACGAGACTTGATAGTCTCGACAGCGCTCTCGATTGAGCTGTCGTCGGTAACATCAATGAGTACCATCTCAATCAAGAGACCAAGGGCATGTAGCGTGCTCAGACTCTCATTACCACTCGTCTCATCGCGGCATCCCATCAAGACATGGTAATTCTCTGCGTCTGTGGCCAACCTCTTCGCTGTTTCCAGGCCAATGCCACGGTTGCCACCTGTGATCAAAGCAATTTGCTTGCTGGTCTGGCTCGGCATGGGAGTAGTGCTCGACTGATCCATTTTCAAGATAATTGTCTGCGATATTTTTAGCAGGACCTTTGATGACGACCACAGCAACCCTGGGTAAGTTCTCCGAAAACTTCATGCCATGGATGACATTCAAGCGCAGTCTAGCTGTTGCCTGGTGATACGTCTCGGGAGAAGTAAGCCCGTTGTCGCGCTCCCTTCCGGAGAGAGTCTTCATGTACAGCCCGCAGCGTGCGCACATGAAGGCGGCTATCTGGCTACTCTAATTGGGACCGCCTCGTTGCAATCACACCCCCGGATGGTGCGGCACAAGATAAGTGCGTTCTCTCAAAACAAGGCGCTGTATCCTCGAGTTGAATGGTTCTTATGGTGCAGATATGAACCATGCCATACTGACACCAGTGAGACAAAATAGAGGCATTTTGAAGGATTGCGTTGTGCCTGCCTGATGCTATTGGTTTGGTTCTTATCTCCCAGCCTGATCGCGACACCCTTTGATCTGAGGCGGCCAATTGTGTCTGCAGGCATGTTTGCAGGTGGCCGATCCTGGCACACATCGTCCTTATTTGACGTTCCCCTCGTATACCCGAGGAAAGGAGAACATGACCTTCAACGTATTCAATATGCAGCAGTGTCTCTGGAGACCAGGATGTGGCGACTTCATCCATGCACTGTCCTCGATACTAGCGATCTCACCGGTCAAGACCACGCCCCAGGACGAGGTACTTATGATACCAAGATCCCCTGCGGCGAGTGTGAAGTTCTGTCGACTTCCTTTATACTCTTCTTCCATCTCTGTCGGCTTGCTTTTACCTTCTCAATCAGTGAATTTGGCAAGACTCATCCATCCGAATCTTCTCATCCGACACGATGTCTGCCCATCTCATCCAGCCATGGAAACAATATCTCGAACAAGTCAAAATCCACCCAGGAAGTCAAAGTTACACGATTGACGACGATCATTCCGCCAAACCTGAGGCTGAGGAAGACTTGCTGTGTCCTGGTAGCCTCCAGTGCTCCTTCGAGCCTCATCCATTGGGCACAACCAAAGCGTGTGCTGTCAGAACCAAGATCGGCATCGTCTTTATGAACTCCAGTGGTTAACTCACCTTACTCGGTATGTCTTTTCGACTGAAAGCGGCATTGGCTCATTCTAGGCAACAGAACATCAATAAATTCTTGTGCTTGGTCTGCGGCCGAGTGTAGGTGCAAATATTGTATTGGGCGATAAGGCAACGTATTTGAAGGCAGGAATATATTTATGGTGCCGCTCGTTTCCCGCTCCGTGCCTTCGATAGATATCGTGGTAATGAGGACGGGGCTTGATGATAGATCTTCCAGCCGTTCCCATTGGAGGTCTAATTACGAAGGAGGCCACCCACCCCAGGGTGTTTGGCCTCCCTGGTCGATATAGGTAGAAGTAGCCATGTCGTGCCATTTATTGGCCACAAATCTGAATGCTGGCGTATCCGTGTTACCAATCAACACCTCGACTAATTGCTGGCCTTGTAACATCTTCCCTTGTTCCTTTTCCTAGTAGACCACCATCATCCTGGTCTCGATACTCTTTCTTGCATCCGGGCTTTGGCCGATGTCGATAGCGGTGTGGAGAACATCTGTAATACTCAGCCTCAATGAAACCCAGCATCAAGACCAAACTTACTCTCCGCGACGCCTGCCTTGGAGTCGAATAGCTTTATAATCCAGGCTTCGTTGAAGCATTGATCCTTGAGATACCACCACTGATGGGCTGAATTGTAGAATGAAGTATAGCTCTCCATAACGACGAATTTGTTATCGGCTTCAGAAGATCCTTTCAGTCTTTTGACCTGATCTGTTCTCTGCAGGTCGACCTCGCGGTCAACTGAAGAGCAGCTGCACAATGCGATTGGCCACTCAGTGACCTTTATGTTGAGGGGGCGCCAGATACTTCGTGCATTAGTCCCTAACACAACCAAGATAGATGTCCTTCGTGGCTTACTTGATGACTTGAAGCCTATTGGATATCAGACCTTCCGGCCACCGCTCGGTAAAAAGCTGCAGTCCGTATTCGTGACTCAAGTCTGAGTGGGTTAGCAAGCTGCATTTCTGCCTTTCAACGTGAACTTACCCGCGTGAACTTGGGGAATGGGAGGGTCGTAGTCGAGCGCACTGCGCAGTCGTAGGTCTCCAAACCCGGGAAACCGATATCGAACCTTTGGGAAACTGCGTAAGTTGGTATGACCAGGAAACATGAATCTGGGCCAATGCAACCTTGTGTTCGTAAACCCGGACTTCTTTCGCCCCAAGTGCTTGCTGTACAGCCTTGCACAAGAAAGGATAATAATTCGCCTCAGTCCAGACCGGGTCCTCAAAAGATTCAGGCTTGAACACGTCTTCGCTCAATCTCATAACCTCGAATCCATGAACGTCAAGGGTCAGTAAGGTTGGACTGCTGCGAGCATCTCTGACGACAATGTCTCCCACGGCCTCTTTCTCTATATTTGTGTTTTCTGCACCAGGAATATTGCTGACATCCACAAATAACGTGTAAGGTTTCTCGCGCTGCCATCTTGTGTCGTGCTTTAGATAGAACAATGTGGCTTTCACGTCTGTTGAAGACATTGCTGTTGCCGAGGTGGTCTCGTGGTTGCAAGAGGCTGGCCTGAGAGACCAGCTACCAGCTATTCGAAGATATGTCGAGACTTGACGCTTCAACGATATTTTAGGACTTCAAGTACCTCCACACATCCTGAAGAGTAGCCGATGGCAAGCAAAGCGTAGCCGAGCATTTGGCCGAGCTATCCCAAACAGAGTAGTTTGGTGCGCGAACTGTACAGTCCTGCCACTTATTCAGCCATGCCCAATCTGCGCCCGGTTCCTTGTAGTTGACTACTAAATGCCTACCACACAATGCCAATGGCAGCAGGAGGCTGCAGCCTCTAGAGGAGGGGCCTCCTTAAAACCTCTGCAAGTCTCGCAAACCGGCTGGCTCGGTCAAGAGACGAAACACAGCACTGAAGCGGATTAACCTGGACAAACAACCCCCTTCGAGCTTTGTTGATAGCTTTGGTTCTTGAGCCACTAAGCATGGCTTCTGCAACTGCTACTTTTCTTGTGTCAAACACGGTCCTTGGTCCAACTACCACAAATAATCCAGCAGATTTGTGGGTCCTGGCTTTCCAAAAGTGTAAAGCCCGCATTCCAGAAAAGCAACTGGCTAGAGTCCTACAAGTGCAGACATTCGAGCAGCTTAAAGCTGCAGTGGAAAGCTTGCAGAAGATTCAAGGGCAACGACACTCCCTCAGAGCATTGAAACGCATTGATCCATTCCTGCTCAACATCAAGTCTTTCAGCAGTGCAATTGACACCATGGTGCAGGCCAACCCTAATATTGCTGCACTATGCTGGGGAGGTATAAAAATCGTTCTGGAGGTAAGTGAGGCTTATTGTTTCACCGCAGTCTTTGCGAGTGACGTGTTCCAGTTGTCTATCCGTGTAACAAAAGCCTTTGAAAGGGTCACGGAAGGAATGTCCAGGATGGGATCAGTTTTGCCTCGTGTTGAAGCATACCAGAGACTCCTTCCAAGTAGGCGCGAACTCAACCAAGCAATGCTTGGTATGTACGAGACGATAGTCGACTTTTGTTTTGAAACCATAAAGTTCCTCCAGAAGCATCCTATACGTGGGTGATGATTGTGCTTCACTCCTTCGTGCGGTCTGACGTTGTGTAAGATAGCTTTGTGCGATCACTGTGGGACAACTACGAAGATGTGTTACAGAAGAAGTTGGATCAAATGGAGGCTAAAAGCCGTTTGATCGACGAGGAATCACACGTCGCAAAGCTGTTTCTCGACGAAAAACGGCACAAGGATGTCAAGTCTTCACAAGAAGAAATCAAAAACCTGATCAAGCAGGGTCCGACCAAGATGGTTCCTACACTCCCTTGCCACTCGATACCTTTCATTCGGAATCTCAACTTCTTTGGACGAGCAGACGAGCTCCAAGCCTGCCAGAATGCGCTCAAAGTCACCACTACCCTCCATCACATACCGACACTTGTCTTATACGGAATCGGTGGCGTTGGGAAGACTTCGATTGCTTTGGAGTTCATTTATCAACAGAAGACCAGTCGCAAAATCCTTCTGTGGATCTCTGCTGATGATCCCACCAAGATTGATGATGCCTTCGCAAGGGCAGCATCGAAACTGGGCCTCCATGTCGAGAATGCCGATGCCAAACGAGACCGCGAGGAAGTCAAAAACTTTTTGGAGCATACTGGTATGTACCAGAATCCGTCCGTGTAAACAAGTATTAATGACAAAACAGTGGAACCTTGGCTCATTGTCTTCGACAATGTAGAAGACGAAACAGTTGGACAATTTTTCCCGAACTCAGGAAATGGTGCCTGTCTGTTGACAACTCGAGATCCTGATATTTATAACCGACTCGCTGTGGAGGGACAAAACATTCAGAGTTTCAAGGGCTCTGATGCACGGGACTTCTTGCTCAAACAGCTGCCTGCTGTGAACAGTACGAACGTGAAAGAACAGGCCGCCGTGGATGGCCTAAGTATCTACCTGGGGGGTTCCGCACTTGGACTCAAGCAGATAGGATCTTTCATTCGCGAGACTAACTGTGGCATCGAAGACTTACTCAAAGCTCTGCACGACAAGGACCAAGAGAAGCATGTTCTAAACGACCAACAGTCCCTCCGATCAGCCGGATATGATCGACAACTTGCTACAGCATGGAATCATTCGCTCTCGAGCCTCTCAGAAACTACATTGAATCTGCTCGTCTTTCTATCATTCATGGACCCTGACCATATTCAAGACTATATAATCAAAGAGCTGAAGAGTTCTTGCGCTAGGCATCCACAGCTGTTCCCTGAAGCAGCTGACAATATCAAGTAGGTCGAGCAGCCCATATTTTGAGGTGGTACACTCAGAGCTAACATCACGAGATTCGGCATGTGCCTTCGTACGCTCAAGAGATACGGCCTGGTCGAGCAGCGAGGGAATGACAACAGCTTCTCAGTGCACCGCCTCATTCAGACGATCACGTTGCACTTTACTAGCATCGAAACCAAGGCCAAGATATTTGACTTCGTAATTGTCACTTTTCTGCAAAAGCACCCACAAAGTCAAGCTACCTCGGACACCTTGTTTCCACAATGGAAGATCTGCAAACAGTACTCTACGCACATTTTCCGGTTACACGTCTTGATAAAAGAGTGGAGACTGAGGCCTGCTTCTGAGGACTTGCTCTGGAGGCTGCTCTTCAATGGATCACGGTAAGTGGGCCCCTTTTTGGGGTTCCACGCTTACACTGTACAGCTATCTGTTGGAAACTGGCTGGATGAAGAAATGCTTGAGCGTCGTAGAAGTCGCTGAATCATTTTGCAATCCTGACACTGTGGAGGGCAAACTACGTTTGGCTTATCTGACAAATGCACGAGGAATATTCGCGTTGCAACACCAGAATCTCGCGGAAGCAAGATCTCTCTTTGAGCGAGTGGAACAAATTAGGCTCGAGCATCTGGGCGAACTTGATCCAAACACCATCGCAGTCCAGAATAACCTGGCTTTAACCCTAGTCAACGAGCGACGGTGGCAGGATGTAGTCACCCTCAACGACAGACGGCGAAGATTGATTGCAGATCGTGATGATGTTCCACTGCGCCTCCGGACTTCAATATTCGATGGATTGTGCTCCGCTTATCTCGAAATGGGACTGCTGAACAAGGCCATGGATGCGATTAACACTTCAATCAACATGAGCAAGGCAACCCTACCCTTGATCTCACAGCTGAGTGGCTAGTAAGTGAAATCCGAGGGAAATCGAGATAATCTAGCTAATGCTGGTTACCTTGAGTCACCATTACCACAAGGGCAAGATCTTGACTGCGCAGGGAAAATTGGAAGAGGCTCTCGAGGAGCATCTGTTATGCTACAGAATCCGAAACGAGGTTCTCAATGATCATGTACAGACTGCTGGAGCGTGCTATCGAGCTGGAGATCTGTCATATCGGAATGGGAAAGCAGAAGAAGCCATGTAAGGCGCAACTACCCTCATTCCACTGGTTTTTTGCCACTAATAGGTCCAAGCGCGTTGCTCGAAGAAAGCAAAAGAATGTACAAGAGCCTCGACCTTATCGGCAGCTTTCCACTTGCTGGTTCTGCACGATCGGCATGGCGTCTATCCGAGATCATGGCGGCTCAAGGAGATTCTTTGAAAGCTCATACTTATCTCGAAGAAGCACAAGCTGACCGAGACGCTTTACAGCTGGCAAGGAAGGACGACTTGTGTGAAAATGATTTCAACATATTGCTGAATTATGTAGACTCTTAACGATGCTCGGCCCTGCAAGCTGCACAATGGGGCGGCTTTTGTCGCACAGGACATTGCGTATACGATACATTCTTTGCCACTTCCAACTCGAGCTTCCTTAGCGGATACTCACTGGATAGTGCAACTGTTTCCCTGATCTTTACTGTTTGTTGCGTTGTATCCAGTCGGTGTAGCCGTGCATGTAGGTGCTGGCGGTCGGTGGCCTGGTGAAGCTTGTCCGGGTCGACTCGTCAGTGACAATGTAACGATTCGGGTTGCGGTCACGGTTTGAGGTTGAGAAGTGTTGCTTGCCGTCGTAGATCGTGTCGCCGGAAGAAAATGGACACCTGTCGTGGGAGACCGCGTGCTTGTGGGTGTAGTCAAGGCTGGTTTTGGGGTGATTGTTGGATCAGCAGGCATGTCGACGGTGTGGGTGTTACAGGCTACAGGATTTTGAGGCGATTTCGAAGAAGTGGCAGTGTCTGGAAGCAAGGATGTTCTATGTGCTTTCGTGCAATTCAGAGCTGCAAGAAAAATATCATCGAGTTCGGCAAGCGTTGCTCTCTTCAGCACAATGCTCAGCGTCGATGATGGTTTGGGACAGTGGACTGACCAGTGCACACATGTGAAAATGGTCAGTAAAGTTGAGGCACTGTAGTCGGCTACCTAGAAGTCGTTTGATCCTTGCAAGCCAGTGAATGCATAGTACAAAGCTTGTCGACGTGGAATGTCAGGTCACTGAATGTTGGAAATAATTGGACGCCCTTAGGAAAGCGCCATGTTTTGCAATGTGTCCATTGCTCCTGTGGGGGCTCCGAAGTGTCCAGCGAGGCGGCTTCAGCCGCAAGATTGCTGTCTCTGGTTCCATGTCACGCAACGGAAGCTGCCTGCTGCAGGCCGCTAGGCAAACAGCAGCGGCGGAATTGCGGGAACTTGATTTCCACAGGCTAACAAAAAGACAAAGGTGACGGTCACAGCATGCATTTGCGCAACTGGAGGCGCCCATGTGGCGCCTTCCTGATCCAGGGATGAACATTCAGAATTAGGAGCCAAACAGAAGTGAGGGGTAGATAGAGAAGGTCATCTTGATTGGATTAAAGATTCCCGGGGGCAGGGTATGCGCGCCCGGTCGAGAGCGCCCAAATACCAACTGGATCTAGGGGCTAGGGATGCCTAAAATTGGGCTGGGATTGACAAAGCAAACGACCACACGTCGCCGAGAAGTCCTGGCACCGAGGCGTCTGGCCAGCTGTTACTATGTAGGCAAGCAAACCGGTGAGAGTTTTACCCAATGATCTTCGTCTCAGATGTGCAGAGATAAGGTAGGCAGCACAGCGCCCGTCTGCATCAGGCTGCATGATACATCTGGTGTGGTCGACCTTGCATTACAGCTTCTTCGCAACTCCGCAGGTTCATCAGTGGCCCTTTTGGTCACACCGCTCACGTGCTGCCTGGAAGAAAGGTTCACAACTACGTCGCGCAGAACAAAACTTCCAAGTCGTGCTTCCAAAGTACTCAAGAAGCATCCTGTTTTCCTACGATCTGTGTTGCCATGGATGGTGAATCTGTTTCGCGCAGATTAGTCGCGGATCCATCCAAAAAGAAGCCCGAAGAGAAGGTTGATGGCGCATCCCAGGCATCTTCAACTTCCTACCCTCGAGATGAGCATACTCGCAATACACCACAACCGGACCAGGTTGGGATGCTCGCACAGATCCATGGGAAGCTTTCGGCCGTTCCATGGTGGCTTGTACTGGGTGTAGTGCTATCGTGCTGCATGCTCATCGCCTACAATCCTTTGAGGAAGACAGATCTCCGCTCAACTCTGCGAGGTATGTGAACTTTGAGGACTTGCTGCTAACGCTGATGTTTGCATCTTAGACCTCCCGTCGATACGTGACATGTCCATTGAATCATTGCAATTCCATCTTGCGCAGGGCCATTTTTCGTCTGAGGATCTTGTGAGGACCTACTTGGGAAGGATCGATGAGGTCAATTCACAGATCCATGCTGTTGCTGAAGTCAACCGCGACGCCATTGCAATCGCTCAAACTCTGGATCATGAAAGGAGCATTCAGGGATCTCGAGGGTAAGACTATTGATATATGACACAGAAGACGATCTCACTGCTGCATAGTATTTTGCATGGCATCCCGGTGCTCGTGAAGGATTCAATCAGCTCTGTGGGCATGAACAATACTGCTGGATCGTACTGCCTGGTGGGAGCTAAGACCAAGAAAGAGGCCTCTTTGATAACTCGTCTTCGAAAAGCTGGAGCGATCATCCTTGGAAAAGCTAATATGTCGGAATGGGGGAATTCCAGGTCCTCCGCCAAACATCAGTCCAATGGTTGGAGCGCTTGGCAAGGCCAAACTTTCGGTGTCTACCATGATCTTCAAGATCCTTGTGGAAGCAGCAGCGGCTCAGGTGTGGCGTTGACCCTAGGATTAGCTGCTGCTACTATTGGCGTCGAAGTTAGTATCAAGCCTGCCTTGATTGAAGCTATGCGACTCTGCTGACTTGTCACTCAGACAGTTGGGAGCTTAGTATGTCCCGCAGCAAAAAGCAATGTTGTAGCTATCAAGCCGACAGCTGGTTTGGTGGCGAACGACAATATTGTTGTCACAAGACTTCGTGGCACAGCAGGTCCAATGGCGCATTCCATCAGAGACGCCGCAATACTCCTGGAGTGGATGGTTGATCCGAGTGAGCGGAATATTGACACACAGAAAATACCATTTGAATACGTTCCCGGATACAACACTTCGTGCAACGACCACGGTCTGAGGGGAAAGAGGATTGGCATTCCACGGAATAGCATCGAAAATCCATTCGCAAAAGATACAAGCATGTATCTTGAGCCGGTAATGCGAGCCTTCGAGCAAGCTTTGATCATCATGCGCAGGCAGGGTGCCACTATCATCGATAATGCGAATTACACGTCGTACCATGAACTTAACGACAATAATCCTATGAGTGTTGTCGGCCCTTCTGAGTACAAACACTACATGGAGGTTTACTTTTCAGAGCTTGAAGAGAACCCCAACGACATTCACAAGATCGAGGATATGATACGATGCACACAATCGCATCCGAAGGAAGATTATTCATCTCGGGATACAGAATATTGGGAGAAGGCACGAGCTGCAGTCGAGTTCGATGGACCCGATTTCCGAGCCTCCTTGAAGCGTCTGCTGAAAATGTGTGGCGAGGATGGTATTGATGGGGCTTTGAAGAAAGCCAAAGCTGATGCTCTGGTGTATCCAACACTGCTCAGCGCAGATATGCCTGGCTTCGCTGGCTACCCAATCATCACCGTTCCACTTGGATTCATGCCTGCCGAAACGCCAGTTGTCAGAAACGCGCGTGGTGACCTCGTCTGGGACGGACCAGGAATCCCGTGAGTGCTCTTTCCACCCCTGTATCACGTTACTAATGGTGAATAGATTCGGCCTCGCTTTCATTGGCGCGCCATTTTCTGAAGCATTACTCATTGAGCTGGCACATGCGTTCGAGACGGCTACGAAGTATTCCTCGCAACAACTACCTTCGATTTTGCCCCGTATCGAGATAAGAGACATAGTGAATCGGAAAGCTTGATGTGGTGGTTCACAGACCCAGAGACGATTGATGGAAAAGTGGTACCGAGAGGAAACACAACCACAAGGATGAGGGTTGGTAGATATGCTGCGGTCAACAGTTAAAATACGTTGGCAAGTGGAGAGTACCACTGATATTTGTTGTATGAGCTCTCAACAGCTTCCCGACCTCATGTTTTCTGCCTGGCAGTAGTACAATTATGTTCACGGGAAGACAGATGTGTTGTCATAAACAGGAGCGACGACCAATTTTACCATGATGGCCAGTTCAGGAAGTGTACTCATTCCCAAACAGGACCCTTTGACCACGTCTCGAAGCTCTTAGCATAGATCTCTTATCCTGGGCTTTCTCCTACATATTGCGAAGATATCACGTGCCCAACAAGATGAGGTAAGAAGTGTCAGACTGCTCATACAACTCAGGCTGGACTTCCGGCAGGGAAGCGCCGGCCAGGTCACAAGCTTTGTGGCCGGCTGGGGGTGTTGGGGGTTGTGGTGGCGGGAGCACAGCCGGGCAGCCGGGGAAGAGGCAATAACTAAGTTAACTTAAAGCTACTGTAAAGTTAAACCTTAAAGATGATTAGGAAGGCGCTATCAAAAAGTATCAATTCACGTCTCTTCAACTCTCTATCGACAAGGGCCCAGGAAATTCATTACATATCTACTGATAGGTCAAACGTTGACCGGTCCCAAATTGCCTTGGGAGGCCATTGGGGCTTCTTGTATGGGCATGTGAACTTGTGCGACCCTGATCCCACAACAAGACCTTCGGCTCCCGGCGCGTCACTACACGCGACGCCGCCGAGCTTGACTTGCTGCTGCTGCTGCTGTGAAGGCAGGATGATTACGCCTTTCGAGTTCAAAGGGATTGTCACTTCCATTGTAAACGTCTCATCCTTCTCGCAGACCGACCAAGAACATGCCACTAGGCCGAACGGGCTTTGGTAAGTGACCGTCGCATTGTCAATGGTTCCGCCAGGAATAGGACGGATCTCGACGGTGCGCCATCCTGGATCCCGAGGACTGATCCCACCCACGACTTTGTACAGCCAATGTACGATGGATCCGAGGGCGTAGTGGTTGAAACTCGTCATTGACCCGGGATTGATAGATCCGTCCGGCAGCATGCTGTCCCAGCGCTCCCAGGTCGTGGTGGCACCCATGGTAATGGGGTACAGCCACGAAGGGCATTTCGTCTCGAGGAGCATGCGATACGCCAGCTGCGCGTGACCAGTGTCCGAGAGAGCATGTGTGATCAATGGTGTTCCAGCAAAGCCAGTGGAGATACGGTATCTAGCAAATTGTACCAAGTGCGCCAGGCGGGCTGCAGCGTGCGCTCTCTGTTCGTCATTCTGGTGTAAGTTGAAACAAAGAGCTAGTGAAAGGGCAGTCTGTGTATCACCCACAAGCAACCCCGAAGGAGCCATATACTGGTGTTGGAAGACAGCTTTCAGGCGCCTAGCGTCGTCAGAATATCGAGCGTGATCGTCCGAGAGTCCCAGGCATTCGGCCACTCGCGCCATTGTCTCCGTCACTCGAACCAAATAAGCGTCGGCGACAAGAATACAGTCTGTTCGCCCAGCTCCAGGCTCTTCAGGAGGCGCACTCGGGTCAAGCCAGTCGCCGAATTGCCACCCGTTGGGATCCCAAAGACCATCTGGACCTCTCGGGATACCACGATCAACCCAAGCAGTCATGCTAGCGTACTGCCGACCGAGGATGTCTTTGTCACCCGAACTGAGGTACATATCCCACGGTAAAAGCACCGTCACGTCGTTCCATATTGCTTGGGGCGGGTTCTTGATGGGATTGTCGATAAGATCGGGTATGACGACGGGTGGGACACCACCTCTACCCTCCTCAAGCTGCTCAGCCGAGAGGTCTTCTAACCAATTTCCAAGAAAGCCGGTCGTGTCATAGAGGTAATTGGCCGATGGCCCGAAGACTTGTATGTCGCCCGTCCAGCCGAGCCTTTCGTCCCGTTGAGGACAGTCAGTAGGCAGAGACAGGAAGTTTCCTCGCATGCTCCAAAGTGTGTTTTGATGGAGTTTGTTGACCAGAGGATCCGAGCACGTAAAAGAGCCGGTCCGTCTCATGTCGCTGTGTAACACAAGGGCTTCAAGATCTGACGTTTTGAGCTCGATGTCCATCGGCCATCCGTCGACCTGCACATAACGAAACCCATGAAAAGTGAATGCTGGCGACCAAGTGAAGGGCTTGGTGTCCGAGAGAATGACTTGATCCAGGCACTTCGCGGATCGCAGAGGTCGTGTTCCAAGCTCGCCATTTTCGAGAATCTCTGCGTGACGGAAAGACACACTGTGCCCGCCAGGGGAAGTCTCAGCCGGCACAGCCGGAAAAGTCACCCGCAGCTTTCCAACAAGATTCTGACTGAAGTCGACCAACAACTTGCCGGATGGCGACCGGAAGATATCAATCGGTTGCTTCACCTCCGTACATCGTACTGGTGGGATGTCCGAAGCATTGAGTTTTGTAAAAGGGGTCGGCAATTCTGTCGTTGTCGTCCATGAAGACTCGTCGGAAGCAGGATCGCTGCACCATCCCCCCTGCAGGTGTTCTTCGCGCGTATCGTAAGCCTCGCCATCATAGATCTCACTGTGAGTGATTGCACTGGCGTGAGTCTTCCATGACTCATCCGAGTTGAACGTGTAGAGCTGTCCATCTTCCAGCAAGACCTCCAGCTGCGCCAGGACCGCTATGTCCTTGCCGTACAGACAACGTTTGCCGAAAAAGCCGAGGCGTCCAGCATACCAGCCTGCGCCCACCTCAATGGCGACCACATTTTCCCTTCCTGGTCACAGCAAAGAACCTACGTCGAAAATCTGGTAATTGAGCCTGTGCTTGTAGCTGGTCCACCCGGGGCTCATCTCTTCATCCGCTACACGACATCCATTGACGAACATCCTGTATACGCCATAGGCCGTAATGTAAACTCGCGCTCGAGACACGGATGTATGCGGCGGGCGGGAGTTGCCCACTATTTGTGCACCCTCTTTCCTCTTCGCATACGAGTCATTGGCGACTATGGGGTTTCCCCACTCCCACCAGTGTAAAGGCGTAGGGGGTTTCAAGCTTCTCCACATGTCACGCGGGGGGTGTCTTTCTTCGTCACTGGTTACTGTTGGACCAGGTTCAAGTGTTACCCCAGTAGTGTTCGACCTTGGTCCGAGAGAGTAAATGAGTTGGACCGGGGTTTCTGGTAAAAGTCTTCGTGTCCTTTCCGCAGATGTCCTTCCACGTTAATTTTGACCTTCATAATCCGATCGACGACCGATTGAGCCGATGGCCTTTTTCTGGCGTCAATAGCGAGCATCCCCTCTACAAGTCGCACCAGAGCGTCAAATTGATCGTAGTCTCTGGTGCATACCTTGAGTTTTGCTAGCCGCTCCAATACCGGCCTCTTGAGGTGACATTCTCCGGTTTTTGCGTCTTTATACCAGTAGACTGCCACGCTGCCGGCAACGTCATTGACGGATCTTGCCCTCTCGGCTCTGAAAACGTCCAATCCATGTTCTACGTTGGTACCGTAGACATTCGACTGGGTGTCAGTACGGCTTTCGAAAAGGGTCAACAGGATTTCGAATAGGACGCAGCCCAAAAACCAGATGTCGTATGAACTGCCGATGGACGTCTTCAGCTCCCAATCTGGTGGAGAGTATTCACTAAGGTCCGATTTCGGCGTAAAGACCATGGGTTTGGTGACGGTTGCGCTGCCGACGCGCGATATTCTCCATGACCCGTCGTCAAAAACCAGAATATTTTCCGGCTTTATGTCATGATGCCAGACCACCATTCTTCCCTCTTGCTCTGAGGGCTGAAGGTGGTGAATCAATTTCAGCGCGTCCGCAATGTTATAAAGCTGAGATATTAGGTGCAGTACAAAGTCTTTCTCCAAACTTGGTGGTGTATGATATTCCCTCAGATACTGCTTTAAGTTGGCTCGCGCCTTAGGGTAAAGCAAGTAGAGGTGTTCAGATCTCGGGTCAGTTTGCTCCCACATGGCTAGTGGCATTAAAATGGCCATGTGCTTCACCCACACGAATTTAGAAAAGCCATGATGTGCCTGGGTGGACGCTGTTGAAAACCTCTGCTGGGCATCAAGTCGCTTCAAGGCAAAGACATTCTGAATCGGTCAGTACTAATAAACACTGAGGAAAGTCGCGAAAATAGGGCTCACCTCCGAGAAATCATGGTAATCACTGTGAATTCGAACTTCTGTCACAGGACCAAAGCCACCTTGTCCGAGTTTCTTACCAGCAAAAATGGGTACCACGACGTCTGCTGGAATGATATCATACTCGCCTTTTTCCGCCCGTCGTTTCAGCTTCGCTTTATCAAAATTGTAGACTGTAAACATCTTCTGCACGTTTCGCAATCGAGAAAAGTGGTAGTCTGTGACGCCTTCTGGCCTGTCTATTAGAGGCAGATCGTCATCCTGCAGACGAGCTGAGCGAACAAGATTGTAGAGGCATGACAGCTGGACGCGTGCATAAATGCACGTTGCTAACAGGCGGCAGGCGAATGCTGATGTTTGTTGTACTAGGTATGCTCTGTCTCTGGTGCTTTTACTGTTGTCTGCATTGGAGTTCATGGACTGGGCGTTCAAGGTGGTGTCCTCATTAATCAGCTCATAGATGATCTCACGTGAGAATATGGCATGGAGGTCAGTCTTTGGCAAGAACTTTTCGTTGCGCCAATTTGTCGAAAGCGTCTGGTTCATCAACGCCCAGATCTCGTTCGCCAGGAAGCCGCGAGGATGGTTAATACCCTCGTCAGATAGTCCGACAGGCGCATGATTGGATGACATCGAAGCGGCGTCATCTTCAGAAATCTTGTCAACTGAGATCGAGGCGGCGTCTGCCGTCCCCGAGTACGCATCGTCAGGTAGAATTAAGGCGGCCTTGGCTTGATCTGCAGATGATGATGGATGATCGTGCTCCAGGAAGTGCCCCTGGGAAGTTTGCTCTCCACCCTTCTCGGATAACGTTCTGTTTCGCATTCGATTGAAAAGTATTTTTCTGATCATGGTAGAGACTACGCCAGCGTCCGATGGCTTGAAGGCTTTGGCGTGGCCGTCGGAGCTGCCTGTAGCCGGCCCGACACTCTTTACAGGACGAGTATCGACACTCGAATTGCTGATGACCAATGACTCCGCTCCGAGGCGCTCTTTCGCATCTTCTAAAACGTTATAAGCCGACACAGCATATGCTACACCTGTTCCAGGTGAACCAGCAATGATATGACCGTACAGGACGCCGGTGCTAGCATCGACGACCCAAGTTCCACAGTCACCTCGAGCCAGAGGTGCGTTTATGTAAATGGTGTAGACCTTCTCAAAGTCAGTGCTTTTTGGTAGGCGGATGTACGACGGCAAGGCGTCAAATCGACCCGTAGCCCAACCCTGCGACGACGTCCAGGCAAGAATGTCGGTGTTGCTGATAGACCTAGTGGGCACTTGTATAGACTTCGCCGAGTCTGCGACATACTTGCTGCGACATAACTGGACCGCTGTTAGGAAAGGGACATCAGTCACCCGAATAAGCGCATAATCAAGAGTGTTGGAAAGAACAACAAGTTCTCCCTCAGCTCTCATATCGGTTGTGGGGATGGTGGCCATGAGTCCGGTCTTTTCGAAATCGGTCGAGCCAACGTCTTCGAATGCCTGGAGATCGACAACTGCGTTGGTCCCACTTCGGTTCCGAGTTTGTGACTGTCCTAGAGATTGGTATGACGTCCCGCTCAATGTCGCAAGAAGTGGAACGTTCTCTGCGGCGTCCGAAGAACCCTCTTGCGAGCGATCGCTGGCTTCAGATAAATGATCGGGCGGTGTTTCGCTCGCTCTGCTCAAACCTTCGGTAAAGTTGGCCTCGGCCGTTGAAACATTTGAGTCTTCACTGCCATCGTCGATTTCCCATTCATTATCCACTGTTTCGCATTCCTTTCGAGAGTCGTCTGAGATATCTGCTTCGAAAGGGTGACCCGCTGTGAAGATATAGGCAACCCCGTCCAGTTCTACAATGCCGCCCAGAGTGCTTCTTCGAGTGAGCAACGAGCCTCCATGGCAATACTCTATAAACATTTGGTTCGTGGCAACGCTAATAATGACGCTGTAGCGATGCTCATACGCTTCTGCCCCGGCTTGCTCGGGATCATTTGCAATGGTCAGCAGGTCGAGCCGTTGGAACTCTGGAGGCCTCTCGGCATTGCCCAACTTGAAGCCGTGGCAGTCCTCGAGCAGCGCGCTCCCTCGGATAGCCCGATACACGGTCTTTCGTGCTCTAGCGTCTTTGCTGCAGAACATTATTACTGGTGAGGCATTTTGTTCCGTTGTGCCAACCATGTAGACTGAGAATGTAACTGTGGCAGATCCTGGGATAGGTTCGACGCATTTTTCGAGGTACTTCTTGATTTCTTCGGCTAGAACATTGTATGTCTGGCGTGCAGGACCGATGGCCTTCCAGCACTTCGTCTTGCGGTCCATCTTGATGAATTCACCGATCGACCGCTCCGGATTAGGCCATTGTGATTGACCGCGTGGCATCTTTCCATCGGGCTCTCATCCATTTTCACGCCGTTATGAAAGAGGCAACAAGTCTTTTCGTCGATAAGTCTGTGGCATCATGAGAAGAGATGATCCAGAGTCCCAGCCTGAATATCGAAACAAAGAGACGAGACGACAGCCAGGAGGCGCGAGCCGGCAGCGTCGTTTGACCAAGCTGAGATAAGAGAGGCATGCGTGGCGCAGGAGGTGCATGTTCCTAGCGGCTCGGCCCTCCACATGTCCAATGGCGAGTTGCTGCTTGCTTCGCGCAACTGCGCTAAACGTAGCCGAAAGATGTGTCACAGGGTCGGGCTAGAGCTTGGGGACCTGTCTGGCTGAATGGTGCAATAAGTAGTGGCATTTGTTGGCGCAGATGCTCAACCCCCAGCCACCACCATGAGACAGGCTGTGCATTATTAGAGCCACAATGTCTCGTCGACGAGCCTGCTCATACTTTGTAGATTTCTGCCGCTTGACAGCGTCACAGTGATTGCAATACACTCTTTCTAAAAGGTGCTGTATCCAAAAAGATTAGTAATAGCCACGTATACGCACGATCCACAAGTCATCGTTGTCTTCCAGGTTCACCATGGCGCCGCGAAGCAAGTAAGCCAACATGGACCCTCCGCTGGATCTTCACATCACAAAGTGGCCCAACTCCAATGATGACTGCTGGGGCCTCATCGAGAAGCTCTGGGCAGTTGCTTCTCCTTCGACCATCCCAGACAAGCACATTGACTTATCGGCCTATTCTACCTATCATAAAGAGCAATGTCTCCATGCTCTCATTGACGGCTCTATTCATGTACTGGTCGAGAAACATGGTAACATAGTCGAGATTGCCAAACGAATTGCCGAAGACAGATCGAGAGACGATATCAGGACGTTCCTGAGCTCAAAGCTGAAGGATCCCAGGCCAGACAACGAGATTCGCGCGATTGATAGTTCGATCGACCTTACTGCAAGACTGATCTCAATGATGGAGTTGGAGAGCTGCAATATGCTTTCTCAGGCCGCAAAGGTCTCGTCTGGGAGGCCGGAACTCTTAAGGACTCTGTTCATCGGCAGTTCAGCACACCTGTCGTTCTGGGCCATGATGTTAAATTGGAGAAAATGTTCAATGGGCGCAACTTGGGCCGGATTGCGGGTATCGAAATCGTATGGACCGATAATCTGGCCGATCACTTGCGCATGTCCAATGAAGATAGAGAAGTGGCCATCTTCCATCATGCATCGTTCTTGAAACATCAGCAATGGTAGGTACCATGCTTCCGCATCGGAGCCGCCGCTAAGTGGACTGACGTTGTCTCAAGGTCGCTATTTCCAGCCGGGCTCATAGACGACACACTGCAAACCTTGGCGCTTCTATTTCCAGAAGCAGACGATGACACTACACGCTGGTTCAATCGCCAGCCAACAACACTGAATATCGATCGTCATTTGATCAAGTGCGGGAAGTTGAAGGGGAACGAGCGCCAGATCGAAAGATTCACATTCTGGCATGACCGTCTCGTGGTCTTGAAGCAGACGTTTGATGAATCACGTCCGACTACGCTGTCTCAATGGTGGTGTGACAGGCGCAATGGCGTGCAATGGTATACCTTCTGGGTTGCAATACTTGTATTGTTGTTGACGGTGTTCTTCGGCCTGATCCAATGCCTCGAGGGAGCTCTGCAGGTTTACAAAGCGTATCATCCGTCGTGAACGCTCCATGTTTGCAAGGCGGGATGAGAAGAGGTACCATTGAAATGTACGAGAGGCATAAAAAGTTGAGGGTTTCGAGCAATCAGGAAAGAAGGACGCATGCTCCGGTATTTGAACACATTCGCACGCAAACGTTACTTGCTGAGTCATCTGCCTGCTCAGACCACCCAGTGGGCTGCATTATTCTTAGGACACTCATCTCCAAGCCCGAACTTGCCTAGTCATCTCTCACAAAACCAGGTCGACTCCCTTTCTAACGCAAAGCTCATGGTCATGTGCAACGGTGTTCGCAGCGAGGTCACGCCGAAGTGCGAATAAGGGGGAATCTGTGAAGATATTTGATGCCTTTCTCATCTTCCTTGGTTGGTCACTATGACTCCGTCTGCCAGCCATTATTGAACCTCGAATCGCGGGATCCCCGGGTTCCGCCAGAGGGGTTACAGTATATTAGACTTCTTCGACGGGTCACCACAAACTCTCGGGTGATCTTCAGAGCTGTCGCCTTAGTACTTGATGGACTGTCTCCTCTTCATTACTAGTAAGTGTCCTTGCTTGCAATGTTGCCAGACTTTCAATAAGCAATCAACGCGATCATGTCGGGGACAAGTACCAGCGGCACGAATGGCACGGTGGTCATCAGTGGACCGGACGTTGTACAGACCTCCGACTTCTATGTCAAAGCTGGCATCCTCCACCCTGTCACCATCGGCTCTATCGCGGTGATAGCGTTATTCGCCTACCTCCGCCTGGGTAGCAATCGATCCATAGCACCCATCACCATCTTCGACTGGCTCATCAACGTCGCCTTGGGCAGTACGCTTGCAGGTATTGTGAACGGCAATTCACTCGTGCGGGGACTTCTGTCCCTGGGTACGATGCTAGGGTTCCAATTCATCACATCCACAATGGCTTGCCGATTCAATGGACACCTCTCCTGGTTATTCCAAAGTCCACCATTGGTCATTGCGTTTCGAGGGATGATGTTAACTGAAGTGATGAAGAAGCATCGGATTTCCAATACCGACCTCAACGCGGCACTGAGGGCTCAGAATGTGGTCAATATCTGTCAAGTGGAATGTGCGATTATCGAACCCAATGGTACAATCACCGTGTTCACCTCTAAAGAGCTGGAAGATGCAAAAGTGTCGCCAGATGTGCTACTGGCGGTGCCAGCATACAAAGCACTTGTTGATGAGGAAAACGGACTAGGAGGGGTCAGACCCGGGAAAACAAGATCGGAAGACGAGGAGCAGACTCCTGAATCTTCAAAGGAGAATTGCGCTTGCAGTGACATGGACGAGGCCGCGAAAAAAGCTTCTTGAGGTGGAACGGTCAAATCGCTCTTCGAGTCTCGGTGTCTGGGGCTGGACGAGATATCTGGCCTTGCTACATAGGTACGTACCGGGCTAGGGGCTGTAGACAATGGCCGTTGGATACGCGCACTTTTGATATCGAAGCAGCCATGAGATGTTGGTTTGCGAAGTGTAAGCGTACCTGAGGTACCGATAGCGCACTATTACTTCTTGCCATTTGGGGCAATCTGGGGTAACGAAGGTGCGGAGGGTGTCTTGGGGAACACCCCAAAGAAACAACGTTTGCCCCACAAGGATAACATCCTCTTCCACCAAGCCCCAAAACGCTGGTATGCACATAGACATCCTGAATCATTTTATGTCTACCGCACAAGCTCAATCCCCTCACGACTCACAACGGTGCAGCTACGCATCGAATCTATCATCAAATCGTGTTGATTACCTCCTTCAAGAGTACACGAACGCCATGTCAATTCTCAAGCGCTCTTCGACAAGCCACAACAGTGAATACGAACGACTACGACGGGCCTATGTCAACACAGATGTGCGAGAAGCCTATCCAAAGGAAATCCACCTCGTCAGCTCGATCGCCGACGTCCAGCATGCGGTCAAGAATGCGAGAAACCTCGGCGCAAAGATTGGGGTCCGGTCCGGAGGACATTCCTACTCGAACAACTCACTGATCAATAATGGCATCCTCGTTGATACATCGAATCTCAACCGCAACGTCGACTATGACCCAGTATCGCACGAGATCTCCTTCGGTCCCGCCGTACGTGTAAGGGAGCTCTCCGAAGCATTGCAGAAGATCAACCGCTTCTTTCCGCATGGACACAGCCCGACCGTCGCTGCCGGTGGGTTCATACTCAACGGAGGGCAGGGCTTCTACTGTCCAACATGGGGTGCAACCGTGGATCAATGGGTGACGAAGATGGAGATTGTGACTCCGGACGGTCAAGTCAGGATTGCAAGCCACACCCAGAACGCCGACCTCTTCTGGGCAGCTCGTGGCGCTGGGTTGGCCTTTTTCGGGATTTTGACCAAAATATGGGGTCGGACGATCCCTGCTCGCAAGATGTTTACCAGATCCATGACTTTTGACGTCCAAAACAACATGGAAGATCTTCTGTACTGGTCCATGCATACAAGTAGCCTCGTCCCCAAATGGGGTACCGAGCACGCTATATTCACTCACTACCCAGAACGATTCGACCCCAACCTCACAAATGACGATGTGCCATCACCCGCAAACCTCCACCTAGGAATCTTCGCGTCAGCATATGCCGACACCAAGGAAGAAGCGGAAGCTCTCCTCAGTCCGTGGAATAAGATTCCAGCATCGCTGCAACCCTCCATTAAGGAGTTGACAGAAGTGGATGAAATGACTTGGTCCCAATACTTCGATATCCAAGATGCCATGGTCCCCACTGTAGAGGGCATGAAATGGCAAATCAACAGCATCCTGCCGGACCCAAACATCCCCCTGAAACAACTTTGTAAAGCCATCGTGCCCGCAATGACCAATCTCCCGACCCGAAGGTCAGTCGGCAACATCTTCTGCTCATTCTTCACGGCAAATGAAAAGGACCACCTGTGCGGCTTGCCGCAGCAGTACTACATCTCCACGTTCACCCAGTGGATGGATAAGTCGTTACAACCGGGTATATACGATCTCATGGCTGATACTTATGCACAAATTTACCCCTACGCCGCTGGGATGTACATTGCAGATTGGGATCCGTTTGATAAACGACAGGCTAAGGTGAGTCTCCCTCCCTCCCCGAAAAGGCTTGCTATCTACCACGGTATGCCTGTCGAGGCAATCCGATCACAAGACTAACAAGTAATGCTTTACGGAGTTTACAGGTCAAGGTCTGGACGGATTATGGCCTTAAGAAATTTTTGGAGATCCGAGCGAAATATGATCCGGAAGACCTCTTTCCAAATTACAGGCCTATTGCCGCCGCCGGCGCTTCGCTCGCGCAGTCTAAACTTTAAGGTCAACGGGTCTTGGAGCTCGGTGAGGGCCAGAACCACTACAGTAATGGCAGGTCAACACGCAATATCGTGTACCGTGGTGGGCCTGGCTTCGAACGCCGATGAGATGATTTAACGCTTTGATGTTATGTATAGAACTTTTTGTCTAGCAAGCCTTGTGCAAGTATACCATCAAGAGCTTTAGACCGAATGCTTGAGGTCCATATGTGACCGTGAGGGTTGTTATGTCCGGTAAGAGCATAGCCGTTAGGTCATACCCAAAGTTCACACGGCGACGCTCAAACAACAAAAATTCGGTCGCTCCAATGAGCATGCTGCGTTTCTTGATGTTCTCTCCAGACGACACCAACATAGCATTTTTGTCAGACAACTCCGGGCGACCTTCCAAGTCTGCCAGGGCCGTAGACTAGGCAATCCTGATATATGCTCGTCCATTTGACGAGACCTGCATATTGATGCATAGCCTTTAGCCTCTCTCTCTTCTCTCTTCCACGTGTGACCTGCCGAGATGGACCAACGACATGTATGAAGCACGGTCACGGTCCTTGAGCTGTGCTTCCGTGTCGTCTCGCCGTTCCTCCCAAGGGTCGAACGGTGTGCAAACCATGTTGTCATGTCGTACAGCCACAGTAACAACGAGCTTGATTGGTGCGACCGTGACCTCCGTGTCACACAGTGTCAACTTCAACCCTCATCATTCAACGTTCTTCGTATCACCTCCTCTCACCCTCAGCAGCAATTTCATCATCCGTCTCATCCTTCTTGTACAAGAAAAACTGCACAAAGATAGCCATGTCCAAGAACAGCGTCCCCAAACTGCCCGCAATCCAACTAGCATTAACCGCAATATACCGCAAGTAAAGTGTCTTCGCCTCGCCAGGCTCGCAATGACCCGAACTCCGACAAATCGGCGAATACGCAAAGATGGACATATCATACGTCAAATTGCCAATGCAAGCAAACAGGAAGAACAACAGCGATACACCCTCTGTGCTTTTCCGCTTGTAGTTCAACAGCAGCTGCGGCACTCTCGATCCCAAGTACAGTACCGCGCAGAGATATCCGAACACTTGACCCAGGACGTCGAACTCCAAGGGCTCGGACGTGTCGTCCTTGACATGGTGGTGGCGATGCGACTTGTGCGCGCCGATCCACCAGCCGAACACACCCGCTGCACAGACCAGAAGAATGGCGAAGATGTTGAAAATGGCGGCCTGTAGAGTGGTGGTGGGCTTCAGGTTCTTCAAAGCCGGAGGGTCATTTGGCTTGGGCGGGTCGAGCAGCGGCGTGACGGGGGACAGATGCGTCGGGTCCACCGAGGAGTGCCGATGGTACTGTGATAGTGGTCGCGACCGATCATCTTCATCCCGAGAAGGCGGTGCTGTGGCCGATCCGCTGTGCAGTAGGGGTCGGGTCTCGGCGTCTCCGTTGCTTCGGTGCTTCGAGGTGTCGTCGCTGAGTGTGAAGCCACGGTAGTAGAAGCACTGGCCTAGTAAGACAATATCGGCCAGAGTGTAGTAAATGGCTAAGATGATCATGGTGGGCAGCACGCCCTGTAGGATGGCGCCCAAGATATTGAAGACATCGCCGGCTAGCCAGATGACGATGAAGACGATGGACAGACCCTCGGTGGAACCACGTCGGAAATTTTCAATGATTTGAGGCGAGAAGACGACGACCCAGCAGGCGATTGATATGGAGCCGCATATACCAGAGAGCGCCTCAATATCGAGGGAGATGCCCTGTTGTGGAGGGAACATGATGGTGATTGTATGTATCCGCGTTGTAGCTGGTGCTATTTTCTTTGTTCCCCAATGTACAAAGAATCAAACAAAAGGAAGAAGATGAGGAGACGAAAGACGAAATGCGGTGTGGGATGACTCGCTACTAGAGTTGGAATTGAGTAAGAGAAATCATGCGAGAATTGAGAAAGTGTGACGCACGGAATGGAGCTGGTGATGGATCATTCAATTGAGTGATTTGATCTTGAGAGGCTGGATGTCGAAAATTCTCTCCGCACGTGATGACGCCGAAAATCTGGGGAAGAAAATGACTAAGCTCTTTCCAGTAACACTTTGCGTGCCACCAACGCAGGTACGAGAAAGCTACCACATCACAACAGACCTTTCGTACCACAACTAGTATTGGATGGGTATTATCATTTCCCGTCATGCCATATCAGAAGCGCTGGCTCTAAAATAAAGTAGCCATGCCCGTGACAGTAGCCATACCCCCAAAAATGGAGTACCATCCACATACGCCATGCAATTCGCTCGCTTCCGATGAAAAGGCCGTGGTATCTAGGTATGCAAAGGCTCGCAAATATGACCATCATTGTGTAACGCCAAAGCGCCATTCATTTCCTTCTCATGCCGCAACCGAATAATGCCAGGAGCGCATCGATCCCAACCCTACTACTCGAGCCCTGCTGCCTCTGCGGCATCGTTTCGTCCTTCTCACTGATTTCAATACTGCTTAGATCCTTCGAGTTCTCGTCCAGCCACTGCACATCTTGCCGCATCTCAATCCCCAGACCGGCCTGTGCACCAGTCCCAGGCTTTTGCAGCCATTGTTTCAAGTCCCTCGTAGTCGACTCAGCGATCTTGTTCGCCTGCATTTTGTTCCACGTCATAAACATGGTATCTAGCAGGAATGTCAGCAATTAAAAACAGCCTTTGACTGGGACATCTCACCATATTCAGACACGACTTTACGTAATTCTCGCATCACTTTCATCTTTTGCGACATCTGCTCCGCAGAAATACCACCACTAGACGTCGGGCTTTCCAGAGTTGCCAGCTCCTTTTCTAGCTGCGAAATTTCGTCCTGCAAGCATAGCAAAAGTCTAACATGCACATCGTCGAAACGACGGAAGACAATGGTGTTCTTCTCCGTCATGAACGACGCCATCCCGGTATGCTCTGATGGTCGGGAGTTGGACATGGCAGGGAGGAAGGGTTCTTCGGGCAGTGCCGGCGTCGATCTTGCCGAGACGTTCTCTCGTGTTGGAGGTCGTCGTGCTTCAGACGGTAGTTCGGGAAGAGGTGTGGTTGGAGCGGGTAACAAGGGCATCTGCCCCTCATATATCGTGGATCGGGGTGTAGTTGTACGGGAGTCGGTGGATTTCCTAGACTTCTGGCGGATCGAGGGTGGTTTGGAAGGTGCTACTTCTGCATCGTCTGAACTTGAATTACGTCGCGTTCGAAGTGACATGGTAGAGGGATGTGAGTGTAGTGCTCGTTGACGCCGCTCCGAAGCGGTAGATTTGGACGGCTGGACCCTGGGGATAGACTCTGGTTCGGGGGGTGGTGCGATTGGTCGTAGGTTCGGTGATGTAAGAGCCTGGACTTGAGGTATCGGTGGTACTGCAACAGGAGTTGTGGATGCCAGTCGTGGTGATTCATGAGGAGTCTGGGGCAGACTGGGCGCAAAAGAGGGTCGTGCAGTAGGAGAAGTCATCGAAGGCACCGGCTTGCGGTTGTATTTGGAGGTGGGTGGGAGGACTGAGGTTTTCCGTGAGGAGGCCGTGGAGGGACGTGTTTGAGAATCGGTTGTCTGTCCATCTTGCTGGCTCGGACGCTGAGATGGTGTCTGCTGCGTTGTACTTGAGTTCCCTGCTGCATTGGATCTGCCGAGCATATTTCCAGCTGGTGTGTCTGCACAAACCGAAATCTTCTCTTCGACAGAGCCTGATCCCGACGCTTGACCATGACGGTGTCCGAAGTTTCCGCTTTGATTCGACAGGAAAGAAATTCCGATACTGGGCAGAGGTTCGACGTGGCTAGGACTCTGTGATCGTGAGTCTGAGGATACGCTTTCGGGAGCCATTGAACTTTTTGAGTACTTGTGGGAAAGCAGCTGTTGAGGTTTCGACTGGGCAGGAAACAACGAAAACGAGCCGACTGTCGTGATTGAACCTTCTTTCTCGAGCAGAGACAACGACGGCTTGAAAGTCGTGCTATCCAACACGGGAATCCAATTGGGGTCGTGGATGTCAGCGAGGGGTGCTGTGTTGTGATACGATCTTCTGCCGGCAGGCAACTCGATAGGTGCCATGACCGCGGCCATGTTTGTTGTAGCCCCTCGTATCGGTCAGTGGAAGTATGGTATATCTGGATAAAAACCGGCGTAAAGCAATGAGACGTGGGATGTTCAGCGGGTGTCGCCTGAACAGAATATCGTCAACGATGGCGGCATCTGCTAACGAGCCTGCTTTGGTTGATTTGACGAAGAATCGGTCTCTTAGCGAGAAGATGGAGGTGGAGGAGTCTCGTCGCGACATTGCCATCTCGGCGTCAACAAGACACACAAGGCATAGGCATAAAAAGATGCGCGGTAACACCATGGACGGTTTAGCCCCAAAAGCAGGGCCTGAAGATCCATGCTCAAGGCTTGAGCTTCTCAGTCCACATGGGGCGAAATGCAGGTACCAATTCGACGATCCGCATAGGATCTAAACTCACTTGGGGAGTGGGAGACGGGAGGAGCGGTGCGAGATGCATGTCTGGAAATTGAACGACACCACTGATGAGTGATGATGATGATTTGAACTCGGAGGTTTATTTTCGTGTTGGTTAGTGCCACCGCGCGGCTTCACCACTCACTCCATGAACAGCCTAAGGCGCCCCAACCCTAAGGCGGCCTACGTCTGAAGAGCTAAAGGCAACAAGCGACATTAAAGGCTGAGAGTCTGGATGGTTTTCTCATCAACAAGAGGCTTGAAGGTGTTGTGCTGATTGTTCACTCGCTATCACATGGTATATTGTGAGGATGATATGATACAGTCATCACACTCGTGCGCCATGCTGCAAGCCTTGATCAGTGATCTGAGTGTCAGGCTGTCAGCTGTCCAAAGAACCTGGAATGTGTGAGTTGTTGGCTTTTGACAGCTCAAACTCATTTGAAACGCGCGTCGATCAGCTGCGGTAAAGTGGCATAAATTTAGTTTGAGGGCGAAAACAACAGCGTCGAGCATAAACACCTTGTGTCCTGCCCCAAAACAGCCTAGACGTGAACTGCTGTGACGACTCCATGGGGCCAAATTCGCTTTGGACGTCTCGATGGAGGTGTCGCCGACATTGATATATGCCACAGCATTTGGCCCGATGAGAGGGCTAAGACGGACTTATCAGGGTTCAGGCCAGACAATCTCTGAGTGCAAAGCTCTCGAATGAAGAATTCATAATTTGCTATTCTGGTGCCTGTCGCTAATCAATGGGTATATTTTCTTGCTCTGCACAAACCACGCGTACGCTTCGAACGAGTGAACGATTTTTCGCGAATCACCAATATCTTGTGGCAAACAGACTCCCTTATCCAGTACACCGACTCCTATCCAAAACATCACCGAGGCAGGCTTTGCCTTTGGCGATGGCTCTTGTGTTCTCGCCCCCATGAATATTGACCTCAAGCACCATTGAGACGCGTAGGTTGAAGAATATGTATCGTACCGATTCCGCCCCGTTTCATAATCGCTCGTCTAGAACCAAAGAAAAGGGTATTCACATCAATGTTGTCATCAAGCATGCTGTCGTCCCATACACAACCTGGTCGATTCAAATACATCCATTGGCCCGCAATAAGTGTTGTCCTTCATGCTCCTCCAATCCGAAACTCCGTAAAGCAAAACTTGGTTGACACAGACAATTCTAGCCAACACCTGAAGTTAAAAACCATCGTGTTATGAAATGCAGAAAGTGTCCAAGGTGAAAACGGGCACAAGCAGCCGTTGGCCACGAGTCGTAATGACAATGTAAGTCAAACGCATCACTGCAAGAAGGGGACTGATCGCATGAGGGTGGTTGAGCTCTCTGAGCTCCCAATGATTGTTAGTAGCTATGTCGCCGTCGGGAGAGCCTCAGCTACTTGCGCTCCTGATAGCTGTTAGAAGCTATGCCGCCGTCGGAGGCTGTGCTGCTAGCATTTGTGCTTGCCAATGCTGGACTCCGGCTGCTCGCTGATGCGCTCGGTGGGCGGTGACTGTCATATAGGAGCTTCTGAATAGCAGCAACCTGCTTGCCATGGTTCATTTGCGACAAAATGGTCAGATGCTGCCTCATCTCCTCTCTCAGAGCCTGCAGTTCAGCGCCATGCAACTGTGCATGCACTTTTTCTGCTCAAGTCAGTTTCGAATTGTCGACACGGGATGGGGTTATAACTCACGAAGCACATAATTGCCATATTGGTCTCTCATCAGTTGCAAGACGGGACTCACGGCCTGTCCATCCCACCTAGTCAATTCTTGCAATATTCGTCGACGCTGATCTTCGTCCGCATAGTCAATGCTCTTTTCCACAATGTTGCTCGCAAACTTGTGCTTGGAGAAGGTCAGGACCTGTTGTAGGACAATGTCGACAACATGCCGCCGATCTTGGGGTTCGCCGTTCTCAATAATGTGCTGTACAACGTAGTTTCCGTATGAATCACCAATAAGTGCTGAGATATGTTCGAGAAGCTCGTCGAGAATAACTCGTTTAGCCTCTGTTTGGCAATGTTCCAGCATCCGTTGAACCACCCTGCACCCATACTGGTGGGTAGACATTTTGTACATTTGTCCTCGGTGGGCGTTCACAATGAAGTGAATGTGTTCTCCCGGAATGCGCTCAATGGCCTTTTGTACAACGTGATTGCCGTTTTGGTCCTTGACAACCCTGAGAATTTGCAGACCAGAGCCGTCCAATTCTTTGACAAGGCTGGCTTGTTGATCGATCAACACATGCTCAAAGGCTTTCTGAACCACACGGCAGCCATACATTTGCATCGACAAATGCATCACATGGCCTTTCATCTGGTTCGCCAGCACCTTCTTCTGAGACTGATTTCCATGTTCGAACATTTTTTGAATGACATAATTGCCGAAGACATCAGTCATTAGCTGCAGCAAGTTGGGTTGGATCTCCTTGAAAATCTGTTCCTTTTCATCACTGTTGGCTGTCTCCAACTTCTGTTGGATGAACCGCGAACCGTGCTGATCGCCACTGAATTCAACCACATGATCATATATATCTTTCAGCTCGAATCGTCTGTTGCTCTTGTTGTTCATACGGAACTCCTCAAGCAGAGGACTTCTGACCACTTGGCTCTGCTCAGGTTCACGAGCTGACACGCGAGGGGCCGAAGGAATATGGTTCATACCTCCATGTCCGGACATCATGTACGGGTTGGCCAATGGATTCATGCGCCCACCGTGGACCGATGTATGCATGTCGTTATGGTATCCATTGCCATATTGCGGTTGCAATGTGCTTGGAACAAACATGTTCTGATCGAACGCATATTGATCAACGTTGCGCAGCTTCCGATTTGTCATGGATCGCTCGTAAGGTGATGTACGGCCAGAGAAAGCATTTGCAGGAGTGGTTCGAATGGACTGAGGGCCAGTCGGAGGTGCGCCACCACTGGGATAGTAAGGACTCTGGACGCTGCTTCGATAGTCACTTGCCAACGGTGAAACATTCGAACGTGCCTCGAAAGGCAAACCTCCATAGTGTGGAGCTGCTTGAGGATTTAAGCGAGAGCCACCATTTTGTGTATTACCAACTGGCGGATACTGATTTCCAAGCTGACTGGGTGGAAGGCCTGGATGAGTCGAAGGCTGGAACGACATAGGCTGGATATTATGTTGATATTGTGCATGGGTGCCAGGGCCGCGTTGGCTGGGGATCATGCCAACGATATTTTGTGCCTGGTCCAAACTCAACGCATTTAAAGAGCGGACCGCTTCATCGATGAGCATCTGGTTGGATGATTGGAGTTGATCCGCCCGCCCGTTCATGGATGGCCGATCAATATTTGTGTAGGTCGGCGGTGTAGGACCAAAACCTGATGACAGCGCAGTTGGCTGCGTTTCTCTCCCATTCGACAGGTACCCATTGTGCACCAAATAATGCTGACCAGCCCCAGCTCTTGCTGAATATCCATTGACTCCATGATCCTGGTCCGGCTCATATGCATTCATAGACGCGGAAATACCATTAGCATTGAAGCTGTTTGTGTTGTAAGCTTGGATTTGAGGGCTAAAGGCACTCCGACCGCCGTTCATCGTTTGTGTTGGTGATTGCATGAGACGGGAGGTGTCTGTGACTGCACGACGGCTCTGACGAGACTGGTAGCTGATAGGGAGCTCGTCCTCAACATCCGGGGCACTACCAGCGAACAGACTGGACTCCGCTACAGGACCGTGGACGGCGTCGGCCACAGAGTCCAGGTTCTGGACTTGTCGTTGTTGTGTCGGAGAGAGAGGTTGTCCTCGTGGTTTTGAGGCAAACGCGCTATTAGCAGCATGTGCACTCCACGATAGTTTTGACTGGGAGGCATTCTCGTCGTTGACATCAACTGGGGTCAGCGTCGATGTAGGTGGGACTCTACCATGGGTGAAACTTGAGGTAGAGCTCTGACGAACAGGTGACGCTATTGTATAGTTAGCGAGGTCGAGATCCTGGTGTGTTGCGCCGAACATACGTCTTGTTGGCTGATCGTCCTCTAGGAATGACTTTCCCCTTCCCCACAAGCGACTTGTAGAATTCCACGCACTCTTTCCCAGGTCAAAGTCGGTGCCGGCGCCTAGTTGAGGTCTCGAGGAGGACGTTCGATCAAAGGCTGAAATGCGGCCATTACGTGCCTGATGTTGACCGTCAGCTGCAATTCTCTTGATACTATCCATGTACTCACATGTTCAAGCACCGAACCGTTCTCCATGATGGAAGAAATGAGGTATCCGTCACGGTGGAAACAACGACGTCCGCAACGAGGGTCGGGATGGACGAATGTGCAAGTGCCTGGTGGTGACCGAAATAGCCTAAATTTGGACCGTCCACACCCTGAAGGAAAGATACAGATTTTATGAACTGTTGTAAGATATCAGCGTATGATGTTCTTGCGTGTGCCCCAGCCAACGACCCAAGTGCGTACCAGTATCTGAAGGATATGTGAGATGGAGGATGTACACCAGCCCAGATTATGAGACAAGCCGTAGTCGATACAAAGGAGGGAATGGAAGGAGGGCGAGAAATTAAGTAGGAGGATGGTGCGGTCGTTGCGATGCAAGGTTTGGCAGAGTCATATAACCCCTTTGGTCGCCAGTAAAGCACTGGTACACTCTCTCAGCAGGCAGCCGCAGGGCGAATGAAAGTCATGGCCCAAGTCGGGAATCGCAACGTAGCGGAACGGGTAGCGACAGAGGGAGGGCGAGGGCGAGAGGAGCATCTGCCAGCAGACATGCGCCTCGACCGCGAACTGCGCATGGAGCAAGGGATGGAAAAAAGAATTGGGTTGTTGGAAGTTGTGGAATGCTGCCTCGCCGGTTTTGTGCAAGGCAGGCGCAAATCTGGCGGGACGTGGTGGATCGGGTTGCGGTGAGGGAGAAAGACAGTGGACGGTCGATGTGGTTCTTCCCCACCAGACAAACAGAGTGTAAAGGGTGAGATGTTACACGAGAGGCACCATCGAAAGGCGCATGTATATCGGATAGAACCAGGACCCCTCAACAAGATGATATATCACAAATCCGAGAAAAAAAGAATAAGTTGGTAGTGGATGATGATGATGATGCGCAGGCAGACAAAGAACCATCAAAACCCCAGATCGACCACTGGCGACTCGGTACAAGTGGGTTGGGCCTTGGGGTGGAGTGTTTTAGTGGTTTGAAGTCGGGACTTTTGGGGTGGTTGATGGGCTTGAGACCCTAAAAGGAGGACGTAGTGAGCGGGTGGCTGACCTAAAAAGCGTCCCCCCAGGAAGTATCCAGAAGTTTAAGTGCCCGAGAGGGGATAGCCTGTGCTGCTTGTCAAGGGACTGCATGTGTTTCAGGCTGTCCAGGCCGAAAGGAATTGCCCATCCATCCGAACTCCTTGCCCAGATTGCATATCTTTGTGGCTTGTCTCGAATCAGATCCGATTTTTCTCTTTTTCCATTATTTCCCTTTCTCCCTGACACTCATTCGGAATGTTGCTAAAAAGCATACTTGATGTTGTTCCGGTGGTTTCCCTCCAAAGGGCTGACTCAGAAGATGACAAGTGAGGGGAACTCTCAAACCGTGTCCCTCCAGAGTCTCTTGGGTTTGCTGGATAACTGGCCGGAAGCATGTGCTGACACTCATTCGGCCGGCCACCGGAAAGAGCAAACTTAGCTTATCTTGAGCCAAAGAACGACGTCCAGAGTCGATCCTCATCGTGTTCTAGACACCTCAGCCTCTGAGAAGTACCCACGGAATACATATTTCGACCAACGACTTCTCACTGTGACGTGACCGACTCTGAACAGCGTAAGTAGAAATAGTTCGTATCTCACCTACCCTATCACGATGCAGCTCGTTGACATTGACTGGAATCTGAGCATCTTTGCCTTGGAGAACACGGCACGCCTTGCATCTCGGTGGGTTATTTTAATCACCTGGCTAGTAACTTATACCTAGACCACGGAGAAAACGGACCATAACCGACATTCGAATATCAAGAACACATTTATCAGAAGACCATGTGATTTGGGAGCAGGAGCTCGATCATTTATCATTATTACTGTGCCATCGCCAGTGGTGCTGAAATATTAGTGGGTTTATGGTTTTGATGTGGGAATTGAGTGCCCCACGGCAAAGTGGAAAACTTCCATGTTGTTTGTTGTCGAACGACCAGAGCGTTTTCACCGACCGATTCCAGTTGCATCAAGCTCACAACTTGTTGATCTTATGCACTGCTTCTACCGACGCTTATGACGGCTCCCACTCTGGAATTGTTTTTGAGGCTCCATTCAATGCCACTCCCAGCACCATGGTTGTGCCCTTGTCTTGAAGACCAAGAGACGTATGCGTGCTACTGTTGATCGAGGCACTCCTGCACCTTCCACACTCGTTTCTTCTTGATCAAACGCACCCGGGCTCAGTACTTGTGATCAGCACCTAGGGACGCATAATTCTCCATTTCACGCAATGAAAACAGACCCAAGAGGATGACGAGGCTGATTATTAGAATGTAATTTTGTCTTGCTGATTCTTTGCCTCAGCCTGTTCAGTTGTCGCCCCGTGCAACCTCCGACTCGCCGAATTTGCACTCTCAATGAATTGGTGGCGGCTAAGCCTCCAGCGATGCCAGTTGATGATTGGAGCAAAGAAGCGCCGGTAAGATTGGACGCGTTGATTGGGTGCAGGATGTCCGTTGAACAAATTAAGCATAAGCAGAGTTGACATCGGTCGGCGACGGTGTGCGGAGGGTTTGACATGTTTTGAATGTTTTAGGGCCTGGTGGACATTGGTGCTCCAGAGTCACTGGCCAGATTCTCGTTAGGCTCCAAGGCGGGCGGGTGAACGAAATGGCAGTCTCACTTTAACTTTTAGTCCCTGGAACACCACACCGCGGCTTCCCCCCTGGCTGTTTGTTGCGATGGGGTTGTTGTCGTGAAAGAGAACTTCAGTTTCATCTTTCCCTTCTTGCACTCTTTCTTGCAACTCACATTCTTGACATTCGTGACTTCTTCACTCCTTCCTCGTCGGGAGTGATACTCTTTCATTTGGCATTTGTTCAGCTACATTCCTTTGCTGAACAAACAGCCGTCCATTCATTCTCATCTGTCACCCAACCTCCTTCTCCGCAACCCAACCCGCCCGGTGCGCATACACATCTGCACCTCAAACGGCCTGCAGACCGTCCATACAGATCGTTCTTGACGCGTATACGGACACCACCAGCCTTCTTGTCTCACGGACACGAAGATCCCAAGTGACGAATTTGAGGTCAACGGGGCGCAGCCGTACGAAAAACCTGAATCCTGCTTGTCGCAGTGGCCGTACTCCGACCACCGACCATCCTTACATCAGCCTCGACTCGACATCTATATTCGTGTACGTCCTTGACGGGCGCCCATGCCGTACTACTATCCCCGCGAAGTAGCCATGGATTCATCAAATCACTTTACTCTTCAACGCCGCGACTCCTCCGATTTCACAGATGATACACCAACATACTCGTCCTCAATGGGTCATTTGATATTCGCCTTCTTCATCCTTCTACTACTGGCCTCGCTATGCTCAATAGCCTTGTTCTTCCTGCGACGAAGACGTTTGGCGAAAAAGCAAGCAGTGTTGCCAACATTCCACCAATCCTCGCACCACCGCTCGCCATCCATCAGCAACTTCTCTGGTCTTGACAAGAACGAGTCCATATTTGTTTATGACGAAAAGATGAACCTTATCCACAACTCGTCAAGTCCACCTTCGTCAGCTGTGCCTGAAATCCATATCACGTTCCCCGACGAAGCTGGTGACTCTGGCAAGATCCAGAAGGGTCGCGTTGTGGTGGTTCATATCACGGAATCTGGGAGTGTCGGCATGGAACCACTGAACCAGGACAAGCTTCCTCTGTATACACAGGAGGATGCCAACCGCTTCCAATCTCTCGACCTTGAGAGAATAGGTGGACTGAAAGAAAAGGATCCTTCTGCCCAGAATTGGTCATGAACATCCCCATTCTGAGTGCTCGGCGACACCACAGACAATTCAGACACCATCTCAGAAGCTTATACCTCACGTGGGCTGTAGTGCATGTCAAGGATCGCGTCGAAGGACAGACTTGGATATCAACATTGTCCCCGACACTGAAAGCGTCATGTCATGCCTGGGGAATCACAGGACCACCATGGCTGTACATATTTGTAATATGGAGCGGGGCATTGTTTTATAGGATCATGGGGGAGTTTTGTACATATTGTATAGTCGAAGCTGGCTGGTCTGTCCGTGTCTTGGACCATAGCCTTCGTACAATGGAATGCTCATCGAGTGCACCTCAAAAGCCGCAGACTCCCATCAAACAATTGTTACCACGTGCGGAAGGCTCACTAGGCCGAGCTCTTCTGTGAAGGTAGGATAGTGAGTCAGTTTTACGATAGAAATTCTTACAACCTGCACACGAGCAATGAGAGGTATTCACGTGTTCAACACAACAGCCGGTTTTCGATTTCTTGAATCCAAGCAGCTCCACCCCGCCTGAGTGGCTCTTCGAATTGCTAAACGCGTCAACAAGCCCAGGGGCCTCAGGCACACCAGAGCCAATCGTTGCGCCCGCCCTGACCGAGTCCGCATTTTTCTCTGTTGATTGACAACACCGGGCCCGCTGGCAGTTCAGTGTTCCAGTCCTCCATTGTACGAGACTCGCTGTCGCCTGCCGATACCGCCATACCTATTATCCTCACGCAGTCCTACGATAGCTCGAAATGAAGAACAACCACGTATAGATATCCCAACAAACATAAACAACATTGTCCACGCTACCACGCGGTGCTCGGCCATGGCCACCGTTGCGATAGCCGGGCATGAAGACAGCTACAACGATGGTCTGCACGCGTCCGTCAGAGACTTGTCCGATCCATTCCTAGATGACACTCAATCACGACGTTTATCACACGCCCACCGCTATTCCAGTCTAATTGATCCTGAATCGATCACTTTGGGCGCAACCACATCCCCCTCTCAGGCCAAACGAAGTATCATTGCACACATAGCTGAGACGGAGCGCCGTCTCCACGATACTCAGAAGCTGGGCCAGTCCCTCTTGCAACAACAGTCCGAGCTGAATGAGAAGCTGCGGGAAGTGGAAGAACAGCAGGGAGATGCGGAAATCACGCCAGAATTACGGCAGAGGCTGGCCGATTTGGAAAAGGAACATAATGATGTTGGGAAAGAAATAGCAAGGGCCTTACTCGGCCCCAAATCCAGGGCTGTCAGTGGAGAAGATAAGCCCCCAGCTGAGCCAACTACACTTTCCAGTCAGGCTACAGCCTCGCCGACCAAAATGACCGCTCCCAATCGACGGCAACGTAATCAACCAAGCAACCGAGCCGGCGACTTACAGTTTGCGGCAGACATCAGTACGTCGCTTCTGGCTCAAGTGAGACAGCTGCAAAGCGCGGTGGCTGAACGAGATGAACTCTTGAAGCATGCCAACACTGATAGAGATCGCTTGGAACATGAGACTCTGGTCCTCACCCAACGTTTGCGCGCTCTCGATGAGAGCGAACAAAAGTACAAGGATGAAAACTGGAACCTTGAAACTCAGACACACGAGTTGCTTGCTGCGTCTCGCGAGGCTGCTGACCGTGAGAAGAGATTGAATGCTGGTCTTGCAGCTGCTGTAGCTGAAAAGTCACGATTGCAGATTGAGATGGACGAGATACGGCTGGCTCATGAGAAGCTCACAGATGAACATGCCACAGCACGAAAAGCACATGATTCGGAACTGCATACCCTTCGCCGGACCATTGACGTTGGAGATAGTGAGAGAACCTCATTGCAAGGCAAGATCGACGAATTGAATGCGCAGAATCATGAGCTGGCACGGGCTGTCGCTGCACGTCTGCGTGATCACCGTCCAGACTCACAGATGCTTGCAGGTCAAGATCAAGATGATGAATTCGAGAACCTTGAGTCTCCCGAGCACTCTCCGCCTGCTTCCCCGACCAAAGCAACACCGCGTCATGGCGGTTTAGAGTCTGAAACCCTCCGAAGTTCTCTGCACCATGCTCACCGAATGATCCAAAACCTCAAGAATAATATCCATCGTGAGAAGACGGAGAAGATCGAGCTCAAACGCATGCTTCAGGATGCTAGAGACGAGCTCGAACTGCGACGTGGAGACGGATCTTTGGGTAGCGGTAGCAAAAGACAAAAGACCAAGTCAGAAGCCTTCAAGAAACCTCTCCGACCGGACATGCTGGGAGGTACCCGACGCCCGCGAACTGATATTGAACTCGAAGATGAAGACTGGGAGGACAATCTTGCCGACACGCCTACCCATGCACAATTTCAGAATCACTTGGCCGTGCCAATGACTGCTGGAGGACGTTTTGCGGATGTAAGCGATGCATATCAGACAGCAAATGAGACAGAAGGCGCATTCGAGACCGCTGACGAAAGGCACACTACCGAAAGCGAGGACTTCCAAACAGGAGCAGAGAGTATGGCAGGAGACAGCACGGATGACTTGACCGAAACAGAGGACGCCGTATCTCAGCTTCGCCGTCGACCAACTAAACTATCCCTTGCTTCCAAGCCCGCTGGTGATCGACAATCATATATGAGCACTGCTTCTACTTCCGCAGGAGAGGACGAAGACGAGGTCAAAACTCCAGTTCTCGCCCAGCCTTACAAGTTCCGCCTAAGAAATGGTCGCAACTCAGTCGCGCGTCAATCCAGAATCCCTACGGATGCCACGCCGACAAACCTCTACTCCGACGCAATCTCTCAAGACTCTCCAGCCACTGCCAACAGTGAGCGTAGCCCGCCCGCTGCTGAGCAGAGTCTGTTTGCAGAACTTGGCGACCTTGATGGATCGTCCAACTTCGGCACTCCTGGTGGAGAGAGCACAGCTTCGGTAGCGTCTACCCCAGGCGGCCTTGGCTACACTCCTAGTAAGCAAGCAGCTTCGCAGTCGACGCCTTTGAGCGCTGTGAAGCCGACAATGGTCGATTCTTCTACGATGACTGAGCCGTGGCGACCAGAACAGGATCATTCGGCAGGTGCGGTCCCGATCCTGCCACATGAAAGCCCTGAGCAGCCACGTTTTCTATACCAAGACCAGGTGCAACCGTCAAAACCTTCAGACTTTCCTCTGCCTCCAAGCGTCGCAAGCTCACCTATCAAACATATCGACAACGGTACACAGTACACCCCGCAGAGAACATTCCAAGAAAGTCCATTCAGAAACACTGCTTTCATTACTCCACCGAAAACTGTATGGGACGAAGCTCAGAGCCCAGAGGTGCTCCATACCAGTGTTGATGCCACGCAACAGCCACAAACACCTAAGCAGCTTGGTTACTCCGGCGTGCTGATGCGCGACACAAAGCCTACCTCACCTGAAAGAACCCCTGAACCTGTCCATCCAGAGAGTCTGGCCTTGTCCTCCATCTATTCCCAGATCACCGCACCTGTTCAAACTCCAGAACAGAAGCGACCGGCCGGCGTGACTGCATCCACTCAGGCTGACGATCTGCCAAGCCGACCTCATACAACAGAAAAGGTAGCGGTGACTGGATTGTTTGCAACAGCAGCTGCTGCACTGGGCCTGTCGAAGTCGAAGGACAATTCCGCCCCTGTGATCGCCGAAGATGAAACAAGTGAACCGCAAAAAACTTCGGAGAACATGACAAGCGAGGCCAATATGCCGTTGAAAGATGTGTCTGGCAACAGCGTTCCTGTCAGAGCTGCACTTCCTGCCAAAATGGAAGAAACCGAGCATGCTCAACGCCCTCCAATGTCCAGCCATGGCTCGCAAACACTTCTTACCGCTCAAGAAATCGAAGATGCACTACGGCGAAGGAAAGAACTTCCCGTGCCTTTATCTCGAAACAATGAGGGTGTAGAGAATACAACCAGTCCGCTGAGCCCAGTGACACCATATGAGCAGTCTCAATCACGCGGACCGAACGTTATTACCACCATGGCCCCGGACTCAGAGATTGGCCAAGCCGTGCTACTTCCTTCGCCGACAAAGAGAACGTCGAGTACCCCTATCCGACGTTTGTCTAGCAGCGCGGGTCAGCATCCACCACTTCCTTCCGATCACAAGGCCGCAATCGCCAAGGCAGGCGGCAGAGTTGGCTCACCTGTCAAAGAACCCAACAATTCAAGTCATGTCTCGTCAATCATGGGACCACCTGCACTCCCTGCATCCGCCATGCGTCGCCCACGCACTCCGGGAGACTCCATCCGCTCGCCGACTCGTGAAAGTAATGTGCCGCGAACGTCCAGTGTCAGTCGTCACCAGCGTGGTACCATCACATCACAAATGTCGCGTCGCTCTTCGGTTTCGTCTTTCGCATCGGAACTGGACGAACGCTTCAACATCCAAGCTAATGGCCAGGTGGTGAACCATGGATTTGGTACAGATCCAAGAATCATCCAAGCAATCACACAGACGATGATAGGAGAGTTTCTGTGGAAGTATACGCGCAAAGCAGGTCGATCTGAGATGTCTGAGACGCGACACCGACGATATTTCTGGATCCATCCTTATACCAAGACACTGTACTGGTCTGATCAGGATCCTCAAACAGCAGGCAGAAATGAACTCAAAGCAAAGAGCGTTTTGATTGAAAGTGTCAAGGTGATCCCTGACGACAACCCAATGCCACCCGGGCTGCACCGAAAGAGTTTGGAGATCATCACTCCTGGACGGCGTGTCAGATTTACTGCCAGCACAGGCCAGAGACATGAGACTTGGTTCAATGCTTTGAACTATTTACTCACTCGCGCCGACGATCCCAACGCTGGCACCTATACAGCTGGAGGAAATGAGATCACTCGGGAGGATGTCAATGAGTTTAACGTGAATGCCGGCGGATATGGTGCCACGCTTGCACCCACTCACAGTCGCATGAGCCTTTCAAGCTACAACTCTCGAACAACCCATAATACCAACGACGTCCGTGGGTCGGTAAGCCAGGGACAAGGACTTACACCGGGTGTTAGTGCTACGACGAGCTCTGCACGCTTACCCCAAGCTACGGCTGCCGACTCAACTGTGAGGCGAAGTCGTGTAGATCAATCCCCGGAGAAAGACCGCACTGTGAGAGCCAATAGTGTTAGCCGCTTTTCGCGCATGATAGGCTCTATCACAGGACGATCAGCCAGAAACAGTGAAGCCAACGCCCTCAGTGGATACAGTGGTGAAGGTGCCAGCATTTACGACGCAAGCCTTGTCAGCGACAATCGCAAAGATTCAGCTGAGGAGCTTCGGCGAGAGATGCTAGCGCAAGAACAGATGGGATTCGGTGGCCTGGAGAATGTTAGAGCATGCTGCGATGGTACGTATACAGTTGAAGTCAAGAAGGAATGCTTGCTAATTAATGTCCTGCAGGAAAACACGACGTATCAACGTTGAGTCATCGGCATGCAACGCCACATGGACATGGCCACCGATCGACGCTGAGCATGAGTCTACGTGGGACAGGCAGACGAGGTGGTTCTATGACCCCTGGCACCGCCGCGGCAACGCCGACTCGGTAGTCGGCTGTGACTGACAGGGTCGACCGGGCGAGGCGAGCAATGAGCATTGATGACTGACGTTGGTCTCTTTTCAAGCATCGGGGTAATGGTTTTCTGTCTGGAGGTTACTGTGGTCAATGTACCGTGGCGTGGCGTTGATTCATCTACGTATTCCACCTGGATTGTGTGAAGGCGTACGGCAAGGACACTTTTTGCTGTTTGCAAAAGTCATAGGGATGGGCATGCAATGTAGTCTTCTCATGCATGGGAAGGTCATGAATTTCATTTGTACCTCGATATCAGAATGAAGTGAATGTGTGCATATTACTTTAATTAATGATGCTTGCATTGGGTAATCAGATTGATCGAATCCAACAGCGTAGAGTATAAAATAGTCAAAGAGACTCGAGTGATAACCTGGAGGGAGTCGAGTAAGACGTTTATTCCAATAGATTCAGCAGCAATGCCTCAATGTGCGCAGCATATCGGGAAACCGCGTCGATGCTTGGTTTCGCCAGCATGCCACTATCCCACAGCCGCATGTACCTGATCTTGCATACACCTCGTAGCTCTCATGAAATCATCATCTGCAAACAGTAAGACCTGGCCCTCACGTCCAATGTCCAACATTGGCGACGGCTATAACGCTGTGTATTCGCGCCCTAGCGATCTCGTTTTCCCAAAGGACTGGTGCCAATGGATTTTCATTTGCGCTATCAGACCGAAGTGCAGGAGTGTATCCCTGCTTCGTGAATGACGAGGGTTAGAAGGATATCCCAAAAACAGCTCACACCCTTTCCTCAGTCCTTCAACCCACTCGCCCTCGTTCGGGCCGCATCGTCTCCGCCGACCTCCTCATCAAGCGTGACGATCTTCTTGCTCAGCAACAATCGCAGGTCAGGCGTAATGACCTTCTCTTGCTCCGTTTCCGGCTTCCTTTCCGGCTCCTTGCCTTTGGGAGGCTGTCTCGCTTGCATATAAGCCTGTGCTCGACGCTGCCTTACAGACAGCTGCGAGGACTGTCCTGACGAGGACACCGGCGCCGGCGCTGCGGCCGCTGCACCTGATTTATCGTCTTCGCCTTGTTTCCTTTGTCTTAGTCCTTGCCCTTCGTTCGGCGCAGGGAATGAACTCTTCCGATCGACCGCCTCGACAGTCTTTTCGAATCGTTTGAACAGCGACTCTGCGCGGAAGAGCGTCTCCTGTAATTCAATCGTCCCGGACAGTTCATTGATGTACTTCAGTATCTCGTCAAAGTGTTTCAGATGGTCCATGATAACGTCGCGGTGTTTCTCGAGGATGGCAACGGCGATGAAAAGGTGGAACTGCGAGCTGTAGAAGTCGGTCCATAGTAACTCCCAGAGGCGTAGGGTATCGCTCCAGTCGAACTCCCGCTTGTACCAGACCAGGAGCATACGGAAGAAGAAGAAAAAGTTTGTCGAGTCGGCGGATTGTAAGTGCAGGTAGAGCTTTGGGTCGAGAATTTGGACAAGCTGGTCGAGGGTATTGAGTTGGGCGCGCATTCCGGATTGAGAGCGGACGAAGTTGCGCGACATACGGCGCATGAAGCTTACAAAAGCCCAGAAGGCGATGGCGTCATCTTGAAAGACGGCGTATAGAGGAGAGAGCAGGTCGGACATGCCTTGGACGTAGCCTAGGTTCTGGGGATGAGGGTTTTGTGTTTGGTAGCGAGGTTGAGATGAGGATGATGATTGTGTGGTCGGAGGAGTATCGTATTCGAGGTATGTAAGGAGCATGTCTTTCAATTGTTCCATGTGTACATTCGTGCCAGGGCCGTCAAGGTTGTAGAATGGTGAGGTAGGGTCGGGATGAGGGATGTCTTCGCCTGCGAAAAGGGGGATATGTCGGTCCGTACGGTGAACGTCTTTCTCTATATGGCGAGTAGCGAGGTCAGTTGGACTGTGTGAGTTGGACAACATAACACACAGGCAATGCAAGGAAGACTTACCAATTCGGTTCTTCTGCTCTTTCCACCACTCTTCTTGTTCAGGTGTCGCGCCGCCATCAATCATCCTATCCCACCAAGCTCCTTTCAATTGAATATATTCGTCTCTTTTCTTGTTCATGTATGCGTTCCGTTCCTCTTCGGTGCTGTCCCACTCGTACACGCCCAGCAGGAACGGCCAGGCTTCTTTTCTGACTCCGTCCTCTGAGTCTAGCCCGCCGTGGAAGACGCGTTCTTTCACTTCTTCCACCATGACTTGTAGTCTGCCCTTTGAGTCGAAGAACGACTGCCACTCCTCCATGTTGACGGGCCGTCGTTTGCTGTCGGATAAGGTCAAGCGACCAGCTTCCATGTCGAGGATTTCAAAATCACCGACACTCGTCTCTTCTGATTCCAAGACGTCTCGGGCAGTCCATATTCGGTTGTTCTTCTCCCGTTCGCTTTGTTCGGCGATGCTCATCGCCCATCTGGCAAGGTACAACTTCGCACTGTCAAACTCGTCTTGTAGTGTCTGTACTTCAGGATTTTGTAGGAATCGTCGTACTTGAGGTGGGATATTCTTGTTGTTAACAAGGTCCTCCGCAGTACGCCGAGTAAAGGTGGTGACTTTGGAGAGCTGCTCCAATATCTTCCACCTGGTCTCTTTCAATGCTTTTGTCACAGGATCCATGCCTGGCCCAGCCGGCTTCTTCTGCTCGGTCTTCTTCTTCTGTTCTGAGCTGCCCGTGCCCTGGTCTTGACCCTCCAGTGACTTTCGACCTTGACCAAATCCAGTACGGTCCTCTTCCGTCGGGTTTATCAAGTAGATTGACGGCTCAGCCGTACTGCGTTCCACTTCAACATATCTTTTGAGCCACCGCAACACCTCGTCTCCGCCCCAAAACAGATTGCCTGTTTCACCGAAAGGATCAAACGACTCCTTCGCCCTCTTTTTCTTTTGTAAGATCGTGCTTTCGCTTTCTGAATCGTGAAAGAATAAGGCCGGTAGGCTTGACCCCGCACGAGTGTTGATGACTATACTACCGTACCACCAACCCAGGCTCGGTGGACGGACGTGAATCGAGTAGATACTGGACAGTGGAAGGGAGAAAGCGTACGGCCCGACGGGCGACTCGTCGAATGTTGTCGCCAGAGGAAGCGGAGGAACCAGATATGATTGTCTGGGAGGCGATTCGCCATCTTTCATGTCCACCTTGACATAGGTACTCAGATCATCTTGTGCAAGGGAAGATTCAGGCACCCAAGCAAGGAGATATGATGCAGCATTGGCTCTCTTGTTGGCTGAGTCGGCCGAGGTTGGTCTATCATCAGACAAGAGGGGCGAGGACTTTTGCTGAACAAGAGCAATGAAGCCGGGTATGTTATCTTTCGCAGACGGTGTAGGGTGGACGTAGACTTTGCTCTTGGAGAAGAGGAGTTTGACTCCTTTCATGACGGATGCGTGTGCTATGGTATTGTATTCGCCTTCCTCATCATCAGAGACATCATAGAAGGATGCCGAAGGGCTCGGGGCTCTGGCTTTGGAAGTCATATCCGGCGTGTATGGAAGAGGCGTGTGTGCGGGCGGTCTACATGTCCTTCTTCATGTAGATTGCGATGCAATATTGGTAGCAAGATCAAGAATATCAGATTAACAGGATCTCAAGTAAAAGGCGAATTCCTGATGCCTGGACGTCTATCAGAGATGAGGCGGGCGGGTGACGTACTGCTTCAAGGTGCAATGTGAGGGGCGCAGGACAAACACGCGCACGCGCCTCATGCCAGTCAATAAGTGGTCCGTAGCCTTGTCGAATAGTTACAACAGCCATAGTACTGTACCATATACTTAGTACAGCGTTGCCTAGCGAGAAGCATTTATAGCATCAATTGATTCAAACTTTTGCTATACACATTATTCGTAGTCGAGAGGTGTTGACATATTCCGTCCCCCTAAAAACAAAAACTTTTGACCATTCCGGTGTCCATCATATCCCCCAACACCATGCTACCGTTTTGTTCTGTCGTCCGAGTTCTGGCCATCTCCATTTCGAATATGAGACCAAGATATAACCGTGCCTACATAGTCCATGAACTGAAATCCAGTTGAGAAGCAAGGGACACATCTTTGCGAGGTCCCCCTGCGTCGTCTCGAGGAACCGGTGTCCTTCGACCAGCCGAGGCATTTGGTCCGTTACTGCTCGCTGTTGCCGATGTAGGAGCCGGCACCTGCTTATCAGCCGCTTTACTCGTCACCCGCTCCCTCAATCTCTTGATCTGTTGTAGTCTTGCTCGCCATGTACTTGGGAATTCCGAATCAATGTCTTTGGAGTTCCAACATGAGGAGAACATGGACGCGTTCAACGCTATAGCCCGCACGAATGGGCCTAATTGAGCAGCCGAGACAATTTTCGGCTCCGCTGCAGGCGACATGTTTGGGAAGCCCTCCCTGGTAATGACCTGAACCCAGTAGAATCCAGGAATCGACTTTGCATCTGGCGTATGGCCACATTGGCAGGCAGGTCTAATCACAATGTTGACATAGTTGAGCTGGGATTGGAAATAGTCGAAGCTCCATGGATCTCCAGATCGGTTGAATATGATGTTCACATGACAGTTTCCAACATGCGACTTTTTGGTGATATATTGTGGATCTTCCTCCACATCAGTCGGCATCATGGTTGGTACGAAATAGACGATCTCATCCACACGGTTTCGCCAGGCTATTGTGCTCTCGCCATCTCGGGGGTATTCCAGACCTTGAGGATTGTAATGAAGAGGCGGCTGTAGGGACACCACGTAACCCAGGCCTTCCAGAAATCTGTCGAAATCGGGACTTCCACTTGTGTTCGCAAGGTACTCTGCCTCGCTAGTTTGCCCATCGCCAATGAAAAGCACTCCGAACTTGTGACTGGAGACGGTCGGAATTCGATCAAATAATTCGAGTGCTCGTTTCACATAATCTTCTTCAGGCAGGGGGACTGGCTGGTCTCCAGCACTGATCGTGGCTGCACTCGCGACCATTTGAAGGATAATATGGGAAGGTAAAATTTCGGTACTCGCCTCCTGGTGTCGAATCTCCGTATGGCTCGGCGCATGATGGGTAGGTAACCGTGTCGTCAACTGCTGATATCGCGCATAAGTCGTACCGGAAGCTTGACGCTTGATGATTTGGGTTTTGCCGGTATGGCCTGCAGTCTGCGCCGTTATGACGCTCAAGCCAACTATCCAGGAAGATGATGATACTGGGCCATCCTCGGGCCCTGCAAAGTCTGATTGTGGTGAAGTCTCACCAAGATCTGAAAAAGCAGTTCTCTGCATCATATCGATGAGCACCTGACTCTGCTCGTCGATCGTCTCTTCACCCCGGCCATTTTTCCACACCAATCTGGCAACGATCCAGGAGACATATTTGGCTCTGTTTTCGAGTCGTAGCGAGAGGAACCAGAAAATCATGATATGGTAGGCCAATGCTGCAGCGTACTGAGGCAGACCGATGTCAGTCAGCATGGCAGCTCGGTAGGGTGGCCGTCGAAAGTTCATACCACTATGCCTCGATATTGGATTAAGTCTCCCGGAAGGTGAGGTGAGTGATGACTGATGCTGTTCTCTAGTCTTCTCCAGAAATTGAATGCAGATTCCGAAGATCATCTGAATCTCATCTGGGTTGAGGTTGGAATGCATTTCAGGGAGCAACGCGATGTGTATCAGAAACTCCAAGATATGTGAAGTGAGGTGAGCTTGTGTCATGTTCTTCGACATCTTGTCGATGATCGTGGGGTACAGGGTTGCCACAGACGACGGTACCTCGAGACTGCACACCGACAATGCGTGAATGCAAGGACGAGAAGTACCTTCCCAAGCGCCACCGAGTCCAGAGAGGAATGTTCGGACCAGATCGTCCCCAAAGCCTTTTTGTACAGCCTCAGACTTCATGGTCGCGAATGGAATAAGAGGTACCAAGATATTAAACATGCATAACGCCACATCAGATTTTTTCAACCCAGTTGACGCGGGAGCCTCTCTAAACGTGTTGTTGACGATTTGCTCACAGAGCACCTGCCGGAACTTCACGACAGACTCCATGGAACACACGAAAAGAGCAAAGTTGCTCAACTGTGCCGCAACATGTACAATGGTGTAGCTGTAAGTCTCCCAGTCTGTATCCGCCTGCAGACACCTGATGATGTTCATGAGCCAGGTGTCCATGTCGAGTTCAGCCCGGGCATGAGGATGTAAGGAAGCATCAATGTTGAGATATTGTGCGGGCGTATCGACAAAGGGAAAGTCCACATCTTCCGTATCTGGATATAGCCAAAGAGCCTCGCTGAGACCGTCCGACTTGGTCGACAAGCTAGTACTGCTTGCCGAATGCCGTTGTGAGCTGGGGACCTCGTAGTGGAATAGTTCAGCTGAATCTCGAGTGCGCAAAAGCGCGCTTGCGATGTTTTGGCTCTCACTATCTGCAGTCATAAAGACAAAGCCGGCCTCATTGGCTCGCAAACGGAAGAGAATGCGTTTCGCCACGAGCCGTGCCATACGGAACTTGCAATTGGAGCTGGCGACTCGCTGCAATGCATCAAATGCTCTGACGGCAGCTTTGGGATCCGTATGAATGCTGTAACTGAATACCGTGGCGACGACTTTGGTGGCTATGGCGGCACACTCATCGTTGAGACTGGGGACAGAAGCAGCCAGAATCACATCAGTAAGCTTCTCGATAGCGCGTAATATTGAGGCATGCTCCTTTGCTGCATGTTCATGCTGTGATACCATGGAGTCCAATGCTTTCAGTACTGCTGCTAGCACTTGACTGTTTCGCTCGGTCTCGACTTGTTGCAAGAGTTTGTCAAGCATCCAGACGTAAGCTTCAGCAGCTTGGCCATCGGTGTTTGGAACCGTCATTTGAGTTTGGACGGTAGCCTGTACGAGGACTTCTATTGCCCTAATACGAGAAAACGGCAGTATGGCTTGATTCTGCACAATTCGCTCGTACAGATCGTGGGCATACTGTGTTCTCGTCTCATGCTCCTTGGCCGTAAAGTAGGTGCCCTTGGCATAGTCCAGTGCAACACTGAGTTGGTGTGCATCGGCAAAACGCGGGTGCTCAAGGAAGAAATCATCAACTGCATGATGACTAGACGGTTCCAGGTATTCCCAGATCAGGTGGAAATCATGAGCCAACATTGTGGCCACGTTGTCCCTGTCTCGATAGTGTCGTTCGTAGTGTTTTTCAGAATGACGGTCCTTGTTATCTTCTACGGGGCTGATTACGGGCGACTGCGCCATGTTGCCTGCACTGAAAGGAGTCATTTCCAAGCAAAGAAGTAGAATATCCATGACCTTGCCGAATTTGATGGTCGGTATCTCATCCCGTCGTTGCTCGCTGGAGAGGACAGTATGTAGAGAGCTCAAGATGTCGTAGCAGAAACGGAAGATGCCCTGATTGGCTGCGATGTGCAGTTCTTCGACGAATTCTCCCAAGTTGACGACAAAAGCACCCTCTTTAGACTGCTCGTCAATGAGGTTGCGTAAAAGACGTGTAGCGCCTCTGGCATGTGACAGATTCTTGCTGTTGTTCTCCAGCGTAGGAGTCCGTATGAAAGTGAATAGAATTGTTATGACCTCTCTACTGAGGCTCCCAGCGGCGAGGGTTCTAGCGCAATCGAAGAGGTGGTCGGGGGGTTCCTGTAGATTGGCGACTGATGCACACAGTACAACCAAGGTCTGCTCCAGTCCACTCTTCGGAAAATCGAAGTGACACAGCAGGGTATAGAAAACGTTGACGCCACCATTGATATCGGCATCCCTCCGAGCATTCAAGCATAGAGTTGTGATAGCGTCGACCATGTGAGCCAGCTCAACACGATCAATGCTGCTGGAGTTGAGACCAAGATAGTCACAAATATACCGAAGGAGCCAATCCAGGTTCTTTGCATCTCTGAGGGCTGCCGACTTCGAGGTCTTGTCTTTTCTTGACTTGTCGGCTCTAGTCGACCATAAAGGAATCCACTGGCAAAGGACCGACAACAAAGAAGCGTTGCCATCATGGAGGCCTACTATCCTGAGCGAGACGTCGGTCCCGGGGCTGAGGTCACCGAGTGCAACTAGCCAAGAACGTGCTTCATCAGGAGAATTGCCAAGGGCAAATCCTCTGTCCAGCACATCTCTCACGTCGGGTGATGGTTGATCATGCGGCGCCTTCTCAGTGTGTCGATCCTGGAGAGCGGCATCGTCGGGACTATGGGACTTTGGCGTCAACACTGGCACATGCCAAACGGACCGTCTCCTAGGCTCCCTCTCGGCGTTGGTGGTGGACGGCCTTTCTTGAGTCGAATCATTTTCCGTCGACATACGACACGAGGTTTACTCTGAAGAAGGCGACGTCAGCAGGTGCACTTGTTGTGTTGAAATCTGAGATCGTATGTGCCTGAGTTGATCCTGGTGGATAGTGGCGGATAAGACATCAAGCAGATATGTGAGAACGAAGAGGGACAATGAAATGGACTTACCCAAGAAGTCTTCGTCACAAGGAAGACGTCAGTGGTCCGATGGACATATGACTGACATTCACGTACGTTGATGTGAAAGAACGAGGGTTTGTCTGTGTCAAAAGAGGGCATGGGTCATATACCAAAAGTACGTTGATCGAGGCAAAAACCGCAAGTCTCGAGAACGACCCCGCCTGTCGAGTGCAACTTTTGGGCTATGCTGGCTTTTCATAAGCGGACCTCGAATCGGAATTTGATAGGCATCTGACTCTAGACCAGGGATGAAAAAATCTTCAAAAGAACTTGGTATGGTCTAAGGTACTGTCTTATCTTTGGACGATAACATTAAGTTAGTCTCGACCCATTCGAAGGATGAGTGGCACCTGGAAGAAGTGATCATGTTACGACTGCAAATAACTCAGTCGTTATCCGCCACAGAATATCACGTGATTGCCGAGGGTAACCGTACAGTACGGTAGATCCTTCAGCTACTCCTGCAAGCGAAAGGCCGTGAGATATGTGTCACCGTATGTCCGCGGCTCCACCTCAATTATTCATTCGGCGCTGCTAAGTCAATTACTGCACAAGTAAACAAATTATCACTGCAGCGCGACAGTCGACACCATCTCTGCAACCACACACCGCAGCTTGCGCCGTCGATATCTGTTCCGTACATGTCTTTGACGACATCTTGACGAAGCAAAACCCTTTCCTTTGTTTAGCGTGCAGCCATACACCGTCTCCTAGCGTTCATCCGGGTTACAATCATGCGGTGCGATTGATACATTTCCCAAGACATACTCCAACCCAAGCAGAACCCTCAACATGGCGACTTTAGCACCTTTGGCTCAGCTGCTGGATGCCAGTCTTGACCCTAGGCAGAACAAAGAAGGTACGGTCTTACCTTGACCCATGTAACTGCGTTCATTGCTAACAATATCCAGCCGAGCTCAAGATCCGCTCCGAAGAGAAGAAGCCTGGCTTTGCCCTTTCCCTACTGCAAATCACTGCCTCAAGCGACTTTCAGTACAACACGAGACTCGCAAGCGCCCTCTTCTTCAAGAACTTCATCAAACGAAATTGGACTGATGTAGAAGGCAACTACAAACTCCCCCAGCAAGATGTCACTGCGATCAAAACCGAGATTGTGGGGTTGATGATATCCGTGCCTCGTGGCATACAAACACAACTGGGTGAAGCGATCAGTGTAATAGCAGACAGTGATTTCTGGGAAAGATGGGATACTCTGGTCGACGATCTCATCTCTCGACTGAAGCCCAATGACCCTGTGGTCAATGCTGGTGTGCTGCAGGTCGCTCATTCGATTTTTGCGCGGTGGCGACCCCTGTTTCGATCTGATGAACTCTTCACTGAGATCAATCATGTCCTTTCAAAGTTCGCTCAACCCTTTCTCTCCTTGTGGCAAAGTCTGGATGCGTACATTGAGAGCCATAGCAATGACAAGCAAGCTTTGCAGAATGCTTTCACTGAACTCAATCTGACCCTCCAGCTTTTCTATGACCTGTCAAGTCAAGATTTGTCTCCAGTCTTCGAAGACAATCTACAGGGGATTTCTGGATTACTCCTAAAATATCTAACCTACAAGAACAACCTCCTGGAAACCGACGACGAGTCTGAGCCTGGCCCGCTGGAAAATACCAAAGCTGAGATCTTTGAAGCTCTGACATTGTACATCGGCAAATATTATGACGACTTCTCGAAGCATGTCGGAGGCTTTGTGGAGAGCTCCTGGCATCTTTTGACGACCACAGGGCCTGAGCCCAAAAATGACACGCTGGTCAGCAAAGCGCTGCTATTTCTCACCTCGATCGGAGGAATCAACAAACAAGCACAAACCTTTGCCGACGCGAACATTCAGACCCAGATAATAGAAAAGGTGGTTGTTCCTAATGTGGCATTACGGGATTCAGATGTTGAAATGTTCGAAGACGAGCCGATTGAGTTTATTAGACGAGATCTTGAAGGTTCAGACAGCGAGACGAGGAGACGAGCGGCAGGGGATTTTCTACGGCAACTGAGTGACCAATTCGAGCAGTCTGTCACTCAAATTGCGATGTCGTACGTCCAAAAGTGCCTACAAGACTTTTCAGCCAACCCACAAGAGAATTGGAGATCGAAAGACACGGCAGTGAGCTTGTTCTATGCTACAGCAGCCAAGGGCGCTACCACGTCCACTCATGGTGTCACCAAAACAAACAGCTTGGTCGACATTGGTGACTTCTTCTCGAAGCACCTCGCAGGCGACCTTCAGGATGATAATGCTCAAGCGCTGATCAAAGTTGATGCCATCAAGTTCCTGTACGTTTTCCGAAGCATCATCACCAAGGAACAGTGGCAGTCCGTCATGCCACTTCTTGTCAACCATCTCGGGAACTCGAATTACTGTGTCTACACGTATGCAGCTGTTGGGGTCGAGAGGGTGTTAGCCATGACAGATGAGAGTGGAAAACCAGTTATCGACCCATCACATATTGCGCCGCTGGCTAGTAACTTGCTGGAACACCTATTCAGCCTAGTCGAGAAGGATAGCGCACCAGAAAAGGTACAAGAAAACGAATTCGTGATGCGCTGCATCATGAGGGTGTTGATTGTCCTTCGAGACGGCGTTGCTACCGTTGCCGAAAGCGTTGTTCAGCATCTTACGACGATAACGAACATTATAGCCGCCAATCCGAGCAATCCCAAGTTCTACTACTACCACTTCGAAAGCATCGGAGCTCTTGTCCGATTCACACCGGCATCACAGTCAGAGGCTCTAGGGTCTGTGCTCTTCAACCCGTTTGCGGCTATCCTGTCGAACGGTGTCGAGGAATTCATCCCGTACGTGTTTCAGTTGTTGGCGGCGTTGTTGGAGGCTGAACCTACCAAACCACTACCTGCACAGTACAAGCCTCTGATTGGACCAATACTCGGTCCTCAGCTATGGGAACAGCGTGGTAATATACCCGCTTTGGTGCGGCTGCTCACGGCACTTGTCCCCAGAGCGGCTGACGAACTGATCGCCGGCAATCAAGTTGAAGGCGTCCTAGGCATCTTCCAGAAACTGGTGTCGACAAAAATCTACGAAGGTTATGCTTTCGACCTGCTCGAGACAGTCATCAGCACTTTCCCATCTTCTGCACTCGAGCAATACTGGATACATATTCTCAACATCATGCTCACCCGACTGCAGAACAAGCAGTCACAGGGATTTCAACTTCGATTTGTCCGATTCTACCATTTCATTGCGGCCCGTGACGACAAGGGTCTCGGGGCTGATTTCTTTGTGGCAGCCACAGATCGAGTCCAGAACGACATCTTCCGCCAACTGTACTTGGGCATAATTCTGCCCAAGACGCAGGAATTGGCTCGTCCACTGGATCGAAAAGTCGCCGCCATATCCTTGACCAAGACACTGGCAGATTCTCAAGCTTTTGTCGACCGCTACCCGAAAGGCTGGCCATTGACATGTAACGCGTTACTCAAACTGCTCGAAGATCCTCCTCTTCCACCGAAAGCGAACGACGATGTTGCCGAGCTTGACGTTGAAGATAGCAGCTTTGGTGTTGGTTTCACGCAACTTAATACTGTGCGTCGACCTGCTCCTGATCCATACCCGGAGGTGACGGATCTTAGAAAGTGGGTGGGTCACTATCTCTCGGCGGCTGATCAGAGGCACGGAGGGCGTATAGGCAAGGTGGTGACGGAGAGCTTGAGCAACGACGCGAAGAAAGTTCTGGGCGCCTACATGGCGCTGTAGGGCAGCTTAGAAGCGCCGCTGTCTTTTGATTTCCAGTTGCTAGAGCTAAATGCCTACCAAGAGGGTGAGTGGGAGCAGATCGAAAAGTTCATCCAAAAGTGATAGCCATGCTCTATCTGAGGCGATAGAGAAAAGAATCTATCACTTTGCTCGAAAATTGTCGCGTCTCTGCTGTACTACCGCCTCGTAGTCGGGAAGTTGTAGCGAGGCAGGTTGGCACATTCCGTGGTGCAAGGCTGGGCAAGGCTGCGCTGGGACGTGCGGAGTGCTCCAAAATCTTTCTCCAATAACGAACGGTTGATGTACAGTCGGAACTGTGATTAAATGACCACTTCCACCTACCATATTTCGGGAACCTGCAATGTAGGCATGCTTCTCGTCCGGCAGGCCTTGAAGCGTACACCACTTTCGACATGCCTAGTTAAACATTATCCCAGTACGGCGGTGGCCGTGGCCGTCCGCGGCCCCGCAGCCAGCTTCTCAACAACACCCTCTGCACGCAAGAAACCCGTACAACTCCCTCCCCGTCCATCCGTATCCGACGACGAGATAAAACACACCTTCGTCAAGGGTTCCGGCCCAGGAGGCCAGAAGATCAACAAGACCAACAGCGCTGCACAAGTTACACATCTCGCGACGGGGATCGTGGTCAAGAGTCAACGCACGCGGAGTAAGAGCGAGAACTTCAAGATCGCAAAACGGATTCTCGCGGAGAAAGTTGAGTTGCTAGAAAAGGGCGGCGAGTCGAGGGCGGCGAAGGTTCATGATCGGGCGAGGAAGAAGAAATTGAGTGCTGAGAAGAAGAGGAGACGGAAGTATAAGGCTCTTGCGGAGGAGGGAAACAAAGACGGAAAGGACGATGGGGATGAGGCAGAGGAAGATGATGGGGACGAGGATCTGGTAGATGGGCTGGAAGGTCGGAATGGGTCTGGACTGGAGAGCAAGAAGGAGGGATCTACGAGTGTGACTGATGCAACGCAGACAGGCACGACGAATGGATGAGAGTGTGATCATCCGATGAATAGGATGCATGGACCATGAAATCGGTCCTTGCTAATACTGAGTGGCATCTAGAGGGAAGCTCTGCTCTTGCGGATGCTGTTCTGAGACGATGCTGGGATTGCCGGGTACAAAACCGCCTTTCAATCGGCGACGTCTCGGACTCTCTCGTCGCCAGCTTGCACTTGCGTCCTCCACTTGCTCCGATGTTTTCTGAAGCAGCATCTAAGCGACCGCGGCATCTGAGTTGTCCCTTTGAATCAAATTCAGGGCAAAGCGGTCAGGATAGATCCTCGCTGGTACCATTGATCTATCTCCGTCCGGTCTCCAGGCTCAGCATTGGCGTTCAGTGGAGGTCCAGGAAGAGTCTAGAATTCAAACCGACTGAGGATACCATCAGGACCAAGAGTACTAGTATACTCGTTGAATACGTAACCACGGGGACTCTCAAAGATGTCTGGATCAGGCCATCTTATAGGTCTGAGCCGTGTGTAGAAGCTGAACAAGTGCATCATACCAAACAGCATACACATGCCTCAAAAGAAATTCAGGCATATTCTGTATCAGATTTGTACTTGTATACACTGCGAGCTCATCATATCATGGCGACTCCTTTTCATTTCAGACACTTTTTGATTCACAACTTAGCCACGGGCCGCGATGATCCCACAGTGGTGATTTCATCATATAGCAGACTAGAAGGATGAATGTCAGCAAACGCAAAGACAGCAGAGATGGGAAACACATACCTCGTCAAGAAATCCGCATAGTCCTCACCAGTGACTTGTCCTTCGAAATACTTCGCAGCGAGCTGGTACTTGTTGCCTTTGGGAGCCTTACTGGCCAACTCGTCGGCCTGCTCATGCAGAAGTTTAAGAGCGTACTGCTTGTCAAACGTCTGGCCGCCTTCAAGCTTAGTCTGGTGTTTGCACCACTGCCACAGCTGGGACCGCGAGACCTCGGCCGTCGCAGCATCCTCCATGAGGAAGTTAATGGGCACACATCCGACACCTCGGAGCCAGCCTTCCATATAACCTAGACCAATGTTCAGATTCTTGCGAATGCCGTCTTCGGTCACACCTCCCGGCACATTCATGTTCAGGAGATCCTTTTGGGCCACAGAGACGTCGTCACGGCGCTTGAACAGTTGATTTGGCGTTGGCATGTGCTTGTTGAAGACTTCCGCGGCTATTGGGGCCAAAGCGGGATGGGCTACCCAAGTTCCATCATGACCTGCTAACACTTCACGGAGCTTGTCCTTTCGTACGCCGTCCATAGCCTTCTCGTTGGCCTCTGGGTCATTCTTGATGGGGATCTGAGCGGCCATACCACCCATGGCATGAACCCTACGACGATGGCACGTGTGTATCAATCTATTTTAAGAAATTGTTAATGTCATGATAGGACGCAAATAAAAATTAGCTTGTGTTGGACTTACAGCTGAACGTACGCCGACATGAACGGCGATGTCATGGTGACGGCGGAGCGGTCGGGAAGGACAAAGTCTGGGTTTTGTCGGAACTTCTTGATCACGGAGAAGATGTAGTCCCAGCGACCGCAGTTGAGCCCGGCGGAATGATCGCGCAACTCGTAGATGATCTCGTCCATTTCAAAAGCTGCCAGAATGGTTTCAATCAGGACAGTGCCCCGGATGGTACCCCGGCGCATGCCGATGTAGTCTTGCGAGAGGTTGAAGACGTCGTTCCACAGTCTCGCCTCGAGGTGAGATTCCATCTTGGGCAGGTAAAAGTAGGGACCAGTACCCCGCTTGACCAGCTCGAAGGCGTTGTGGAAGAAGTAGAGACCAAAGTCGAACAACGACCCAGAGATCGGCTCGCCGTCGACAGTAAAATGCTTCTCTTCCAAATGCCAGCCTCGGGACCGGGCGATGAGTGTTGGCAGCACACGGTCTGTGCGGAGTTTGTAGTCCTTCTCTCCTTGCTTGAAGTCGATTTGCTTGCGGATGGCATCGTAAAGGTTCACCTGTCCGGAGACCTGGTTGTCCCAGGTAGGGGCCTGGGCGTCTAACAACGAAATGGTGTCAGTCTGCTGTGTACTGTCCGCAAATAGTCTTGACGTCCGTCCTTACCTTCAAAGTCGGCCATGTATGTCCACACATTGCTGTTTAGTGCATTCACAACCATCTTCCTGTCTGTAGGGCCGGTAATTTCGAGTCTGCGGTCGATAAGGCCTGGCGCAGGCGGCGCTCCAGTCCAGGCATCGTTTTCACGGATGTGCTTTGTTTCTGGGAGAAAGTCTGGCAAGACACCTCGGTCGAGTTCTTGTTGTCGGACCACTCGTTTCTGCAAGAGCTCTTTGCGAGTGTTGTTGAAGGTTCTGTGGAGGAGAGCAAGGAATGCAGTGGCTTCAGGGGTGAGGACCTAGACACCATTATTGTTTGTCAAATGTAAGATAGATATGGAAGATCGGACCTTGCGGTATTCCTCCTTGATTGGGCCGTTGATCTCAACGCCCTCGTTGATCTGTTCAATGGTGGCCATGATGAATTTCGATGTTATCGGGTCAGGAACGTGAGCAGGAAATGGTTCAGCGATTAACGAGGATCGAAGGAGAGCAGTATGGAGGGGAGGAGTCGTTGATATACGTCAGAAAGGGACAAAAAGATGAAAAAGGCATAGCACATGTGAACAGCCGCGGTCGCAACGCCGGCGGCCTTCTCAGATTCGAGACTTGCGGATCCAATCATGGAGCTGAACGTCGCTGTCGACCAGTTAAAAGCATGAGACGAGGGACCTCCGGGGTCACGGATCATTCTCATCATGCTTTCAATGTCGTGTGGGGTAACGGAACCGATCGACATGAAGGCAGAGGGATTCCCATTCTTCCGGATATACGAATGTAATCATCGTCGGCAGTTCTTTCTTGTGTTCATTGACTCCATCCTCTGACGCCATGAGGAGACACCTACAATTACATTGTTTCTTCATGTTGATGACTGCAATAACTGCTTGTGCGTATGGGAATGTGGGCGATTGTAAATGGTGGCAGAAGCAAAATCGAAGAAGCCGAGGCTCAAAATTAAACCACCACCAATTCGCGGCAGGAACCACTCAGCGACTTTTCCCGACCCACTTCCGAGTCCTTCCGGGCGTCTCTTTTCTGTCCACAGTAGTAAGTTAAGGGTAGTCATGCTGCGATAACACGTGGAATGATACATTAACAACACCACGGAGCCCCTCTTATATCAACGTATCTTGTATCGATAGATGTGCCTATGTTTGCTTTGAAGATTTGGACGACAAAGTAGGCAAAGGCACTTTCTGACGAACGAAATGAAACACATCCAGATCATCAGCCCAACAATGCTCCTGGAACTTCAGTCAAGACCACAGACTTCACGACTTGTCATTCTTGACAGACCTCTCGGAACCTAGCCTGCAGATATGGCCGATTTTACAGGGCGGTTTCTTGCGGGCCGATGTAATGTGGAAAACCTGGTGAGCTCTGGTACGACGTGTTTCTTTTTCCTTACTTCGATACCGGGAGGAGATCACCATCTGCGTGGATAGACTCGCTTGAGAGGGACTTGATTGTTCTCCTCTCTATCAACTTGTCCTTGTTTGACATGGCGCAATGTCTGTTGTGGCGTCCCAGCGTGGTGATTCAGTCACTGGTTTCGCTGCAGAGTGGACGGTACGTTTCCCAGGTCGTCTAGGATGGTTGACTTCCTTCACAGAGTCACTGCATCCTGCTCGATAGGCTCCAAGTCTCCCTTTCCCCTAAAATCCTCAACTATCTTGGCCTGCTCACTCAGCATGTATCTATCAGTCTGCTTGCCGATGGTTGCAAGTTTCCTCCATCTGTCAAACGCCTTCGGATCTCTCTTGTCACCATGCGCTGCCTCGGGATTGTCCCAGTGACCTTTTGAAAATGCGATCAACGTCGTCAAAGTCTGCTGCTTGATGTCGTATACCAGCGAGACGATAGTGCCGGTCTCTTCGAGCCAAGAACACTGCCAAAGTTCGCCCGGTCGTATGCACTGGAACGTACATGTCTGGTAGTTGATTCTCCCGGCCATAGGACCCCCATGGATAGCGTAGACCACTCTGTCGGAGCTGAAGAACCATATCTCGTAGCGCCATTTCTCCGGGTTACCTTGGGCATCCTGAGCGTTGTAGTCGTAGATGAGATGACGGTCTTTCATGTCGACATCGAATGTCGGATCGAGTGGTGTGCTGGTGTGAAATGACATTGTACTAGCGCGGATGGGAATGATACTCAACTTTGGGCTGGCAGTGCTCTGCTAGATCCTCAGTGGGAGGAGCTGACTCCCTTCATAAAGATGGCTGCATGTGCGAGTCCGAGAGGAGAGAGGCATTTTTACCAGTCGTACTGTCACGAGAGTATGACGAGACAGTGGAGCGTATCCAAGCACACTGGAAAGTATCGGTCGCTGCCAGGGCAATTCCGTTTGCACCGAGGTTCCAAGCGGGAAAACATCACGGCTCTTATAGCAAGTCAGCCTTATGAAGCTTCAGCACTGGAGTCGTCTTCTTCAATTCGTCCAATGCCGATTCTGTTGGCCGAATTCTTTGGCTTCGAGCACATCGGATCGAGTACCGCCGATGCCGAGGTTGGTGGGCCTCTAGGCGCTGCCGTGACGCCCAATGCGTCAGTTAGCTGATGATCATAGCTAAAGTTTACTGCAGTACGAAGCCGGATTTATCTCAACGGGAAGCGTCTTGCAAACATCACAATGCGTTACTTAACTAGGGATGTGAAAGAGTTGACGTCAATACAACTCAGATGCAGTCTACTAGAATTGAATGATGAAGGCCAACATGGAACCAACGTCTACCTCGCTTGCCCGTCTCGTGGACCATCTCTTCAGATCGCGTCTCCCTCGCTCAACATAGTGTCAATCAATCACCCCTGAGCACCTCAAGTGTACTCCCAGGCAGCATAAGTCTCAGTGGAATCGATAGCAAGTGCATCAAATCCCAAACACTGCGACACATTGCCTTGCGGAACAGTGGCATTCTGCAGGCTTGCAAAGACCTGCCAAGTATTTCCATCGGTAGGACATGCCATGAACCCACCGGACAAGGTACTCAACAGTCCGAACGGTGCTTGCGCAGCTTTGATGTAGGTGAACGGACATGTCACAGATCCAGCGGGCATGAAAGTCGAATGTGCCTGGGTATAGGCTATTTCACCCGTGGGAGTCATGTATATCGATTGACCGCCAGGGACAAGCACAGCCTGTGATGAGGTTAATGGATTGTTCATTGCAGATAGATTGACTTACCATGCTGCAGAGACCAAAGACCGTTTCGTTTCCAGGAGGGCATGCGTCGATCTGTTCCACTTCCTCCGGGCAGTATGAAAGAGTGTCCCCTCCAAGCCAGAAGCGCAAGCCGCGAGCATTCATTCGGAGGAAGTGAATAGGAGAACCGCTTCTGGCAGAGACCACGGTGATGGGCGATGTTGGACTGGTGATGGGACCGACTGCGGTAGCGATGGAGCTGGACGTTTTCGATGTCGAGATCGAGGTCGAGGTCGAGGTCGAATTCGTGCTTGCAGGCGAGACTGCCGCTGTGGTGTTGCTGAAACCGCAGCCTCCGCCATACCCATAGCCGTAGGGGACTCCAGTGCACAACGCACCTCCCTGTGGACGAGGTGAGGCGCGGGCAGCTCCGAACAGGTAATAAACGGCAAAAAGATTGAGTAGCTGCATCATGGCGGAGTCAGTATGATTGAGAGTCTGAACACAGACGAAACAAGTGAGGTGTCGAACTGGCAAAGAAAACAGAACCTGCTGGAGAAGAAAGTAGCAAAGTGCTGTATCGAGGGCGAGCGACGATTCAAATATGCAGAGAAATTGTCAAGATGGTGTTGTCGATGAAATCAATTTTTCTGAGACCGGGATTGCGCAGCTTCCAGATCATTTTGTGTGACTCTGCCAAACAAGACTCCCGCAACAGATTTGGTCTTGAGCCGGTATCCTGGAGTCGAATTGGACATCTCATGCATGAAACTTCCCATCGTCGACAGCGTACCTGCATTCGAAGGTTACATCCTCAGCCTTGTTCGCCATCAGCTTATAACATCTGTCGATATCTCTTCCACACCCATACAAGTACCTTTACAATTGGACGACCGCAGTCTCTTGTTTTCGAACCCAGTCTTTTTCAGAGTCGTACACCATCGGCACCTCGATATAGTCGCCGTCTTGGCTGGTGACCTTGATTCCAAGGCCGACCGGGTCCACGTCCTCTAACCCCCACAGATGACTGGCTATCCAGACACCACACGACTTTTGATTTACCGTTTGGATGCAAGCTTCGATGATCCTTCCAGTCCTCTAGTGAACCATTTCGACCTGTTCTCGACTGATTGCGAGCGCTCGACATCGCGGAAAGAACCCGTCGTGGAGTTTCAGCCACTCCCGTATGGGTGTGCATCCTTTGATGGTAACAAGACAGATGCTGCTGCTGCGGGACCGCTCGCTCCATCTGCCCTTGGCTCTTATATGCTTGCCTGGGTATCCAGATGAACTGAATTAAGAGCAATTGCCATGCACGGTCGAGGTCGCGAGGAGCAATTTCTTGCTGCTGCACGTAATCTGTCATTCGTTCAAAGCTTGATCTTCCTCCATTGTGCTCGAGACGTCATCTCCGGCTTTCGAGTCTGACTTTCAAACGTGCCGATCATCAAGCAAACTATTCATCATGACCAGCATATGCGTCGCCATGCTCTCGAGTCTCACAGCATGCATCCGGTCTCCATATCCACAGCCTTCGATCCCAAAATCTCAAGCAGTTTCCTGTGATCCTGCCACTCAATCCACGCTAGCCCCTGCAAAAGACTATCCGCAAGATCATCGAGCTTAGGTATACTCTTCATCTCATTTTTCTTTGTCTTTATCTCTTTCTTCCAAGTCGCCACAAACTCCTTTGCGAACGGTTGAATTTCTTCACTGATTGAGATCTTACCCGCCCCGGTCCCAGGTCCAGCATGCCGCTCCAGTATCCCGCCAACAATATTGATCTTAGCCCGCTTGACTTCTCGTCCCGTCAATTTCTTCCCCAATGATGGCACGACGTCGCGATCTTGCCCTTCAAGCCAGAATCGATTGACCTGCGAAGGCCACATTGGCTCAACTTCCACCTCAAGATCTCCCTGTTCAATCAACGTCCGCAGAACAGCGTAGAGCATCCCCTCAAACACGCCGACTCTAATCGTCCACTCCGGCACAGCCGCTCGGCCGCCAGAGCGAAATCGTTGCCTCTCGATGATAATGTGATTCGGATGATACGTCGCGAGCATATCCCTGACCAGAGCGTATGCATGTCTAGCGTAGTCCATTGGCTCGAAAGATTCTTTCGTGGCCACCCCCACATCGTCCTCGACACTACCGACATCTCGTAGCAACTTGTTCGCCTTCGCGGCATTCTGCGAGGCCGATGACGACGCAATCGCAACACGCCGCCACGCCTGTAGCGTCGGATGATCGTACACTGCTGGCGTTTCATCCCCGGCTTTCGGTGCAGTGAAGTGCGCGAACGCGAGATTCCGTATGCCCATATCAATGCTCAGCAAACTCAGTGGCTTCTCGCCGCGGCTCTTGACGCTGGACACTACATTTCTGATCCCCTCGACACGAGCGGTCTTGGTGCCGGAGCACGGTGAGCCAATGTTGACGGCCACTCGGTGTAATTTGTCAAGGGTCAAGGTTTCGAGCCATGGTTTCGTTGCTGGCATGGCATTGAAGAGTCAAGCAGAGACTTCGCGTCAATGACTTCGAGCATATCTTGACTCACTTAGTGCATGCTTGCTCAAGTATTACTGTTTGCCAGTGTCTGGGCTGGAAAGAAAAGAAACTCCAAGACCACGTCTGGAAGAAAACGCGTAGTTCGAGCGCGGTCACGTGCACCGACAGCCATCGTCCATACAGCCTTGGTTGACATTGCTACAGATGACTCCGGCTTGAGGGGAGGAAGATGTCTGAGTGACCTCATCAGAGGCATTGCATTAATAAGTGCTATAGGCTAAGGGTACAATGAAAGAACAGTTGCTACATAACTCCTGAACCATGCCCATATTCCTGCCAACGGGCCCCTTTTGTGTTCGCCAAAAACAAAGGGTATCTTCGATGCTGTCACCTAGTTTTACAATTTAACCCTCATGACCAAACTCCTGTTGAATGCTGTCCTTTTCGCCGTCGCTCAATCAAGCACCCTATTGCGCCAGATAAACCAAGTCCGCCCAAACCCTCCAATGCACCACTGCGACATGGGCCAACATCCTTGCCGGCTCCTCGATCCCGGGACGGTTGCGCCCTTGTTGTCTTTGTTGCCGAACTTGATGCCATTGTCTTTGGTCTTCCGATATCGCTAATGTTGTCATCTTGTGAAACCTCTTAGCATGGTCGTGTGTCGCCTTCTCGAGGACTTTGCGTAGTACTCTGGCCGTTGTTGGACCATGTGAACGAAAACTGTTCGATAGCTCTATCGCTTTACTGTCAACCTCTGCATGGACCAGCAATGCAGGATTCCGACCGCAGGCAACCCAGGCAGCACGAGTAAGCTCGAGGGCGATGGCTCGATGATTCTGACTCCACACCTCCGTGATGCTCTTGTTGCGTGCCATGGTGCCGTCCGTGAGGTCCATGATTCGACTTTCCAGAAGCTTACGCGTCTGGCGAATCTGGGTTTGCACGGTCGACACCGGCCTTTGACCACCAAGAATGTGCTGGACAAAGTGATCAAACACCGTCAGGGATATGACCAGGTGCACTACGTCCTGAATTTCATTGCGTATGGTCTGCAGCCGAGCCTGGTCATGTTTCAATGTCTCTGGTATGACTGAGCTCGGTGAGCAGCAGAGCTCGACGAGTCCATGAATCAAAGCGCTGTGAGCTGGTGTGTTGCGAATCGTAATTGATATACTGCACTCGTGGTGCTTTCGAACTGCCTCTTCGTACCACTGCTTTGAGGCATTTGCATTCACCTTTCCCCCCCAAAGACGAGTGTGAAAGTAGTCTTGCTGAAATGCCACTGTATCTTCAATCAGATGATAGCGAAAGCTTCGGATCTGATGGTTGGCAACATCAAGCTTCATAGCTTCAAGGAAGGCAAATAGCTTCTCGATTCCTTGTACAAGGGTTTGCAGATCTCCTTTCTCGGCGCCTTCTTGTATCTGCTCCGCCATCTCTTGCGCGAGTTCATCCCTCATTGGGGCGCAGTGTGTGGTGAGGAGCCCGCAAAGCCATTGTGCAAGTCGAATGACGTCCAACAGCCCGTGAGATACTTCCTGTAGGAGCAATTCGATGTCAAAGTATTGGTTGACTTGCTCTCGATCGTGGTCTGGGACCAATGTCAAGAGGAGATCTTGCAGACTGAGGAACATTTGGGACAGCCTTGGAGTGAAGTATGGTGGCGTTGAAGGAGGAGAAGCTTTCGGGCAGCTTGCGCAGTCATCGAGTGTTCCGTGTTGATATGCTATCCTCAACTCAGCCGCAAGGCTCAACCAATATTCCACCGCTTCTTCTTTCTTCTGTCTGCCTTTGTGACCAGACACTGGTGTAAAGTGGAGGTCGTGATCATAGTTTAGGTCGACTCGAAGGTTTATGTTTGACTGAATCCAGTCAAGATCCAACTCTTCAAGAGACCCTTTGGTTACAGGGGGAAGGAAGGTGGCATGAAGAAGGGCAGCGCGATCTTCCTCGCTTGTGCATGGCGGGATTAATCTTTTATCCGGCGAACACTCCTCACTCTGCTCACTTTCTGTCACGAGGCTACCTCTTTCGACTGACAATGACGTTGCAACGGTGCTTGCAATGCTGTAGTCTAACGCAGAGATATGTTCACATGCCAACGTGCCCAGAGCCGCGTCCGAGCCGTTGGTGAAGTCGAGCTCTCCCCCAGTTTGGGTATTCCCTTTGCCAGGTACGCCAACCTTAGGTCGCATCGACGACGCCATGGCAGTTGATGTAAACGATGCCGAAGGCTCGGTAAGCCGATAGTTTGTGGCATCAGCTGGAAAACGCCTATCTGTTATAGCTGCTTTTTGGGCCCTCCCTGAACGATCTGCAACACGTTCATTGCCCCATTCTCCCATGCCGCTGTCGTCGCTTTCATACTCGCCTTGTTCCGAATTCGTCATGTAATACTTCTTTGAAGGTAAGAGTTCATTATAATTGGCGCATCATTCACCTGTGTGGCCGTTCAGGGCGGGGTCCGTAGGCTTTGAGGAGAATGAGGGGGGTCTGTCAGACGTGGACCAAGGTGAGCAGCTCCTTGTGCGTTGGGCGTGAATATTCTGAGGCGGAAGAGCGTCTTGCGAGACCGTAGGACAGACTGTCTGTTTGCGACACTGCAAGCATATGCTTGGACACAGTATCCGGGACACTAGCTTGGTTGGTGTTACAGACTCGTGATATGCAAGTTGGCCATGAGCGATTGGGTTTTGCTGCGATGTTGCGGGACCGCAAGGCGTTTAACCATGAGGAAGGTGATGATATGGGGCTGAGAAGGTGCGATGTCAAAGCGCGTCAAAACAAAAGAAACCGTGCGGCGACGAGTATCAAAGCTCCCAAACCTGCATGCCATGACTTACCCATGACGGCAGAGCCTCATTCTTGAATCCTTGGTTTCGGGGACCGTGCTGGCCATTTCCTTTTTTTGTTTAATTTGTGCTTACCTCCGTACGGAAGTCCTCGCCCCCCAGTGTGTCTCTCTGGAAGGGACAACCGAGATTGGGGGCTTGCTATGCTTGTCGTGTGGCTGGCTGCTGCTTCCCGAACTCCTTGAGACACTTGAGCAGGCCATCCGCGAAAGGATGTTACCAATATCACTCCATTATTCTGCGACCCGAATATTGTCGTCCATATTGGAGCTATCAACAACGTTGTGATTTATGGAGATGTCGCCTCAGCCTTGGTGTTTCAAAGCTAATCACTGCGCCGATGGCCAATGAAGTCTGGCTGCAATCCACCAAACGTGGCTATCGTTGCTTCTGGCTCCGGAGAGGTCCCGAGAGGTGCAGCCAGTTTCTCCCTGCAAAGGGGGCTAAAACCAATATGGGCCACAATTTAGGCGGACTGACTTGTGCAGCTGCAAGTCCCACCATTCCAGACTGGTCTCCGATCGACTCCTCAAGCCTCAAGCCTTGTTGATCAGGCTATGCAGGCGGCCATTCAAAATGGTATCTCGGTTTAATATGCGTTGCCACACCCCTGTTTGACACCAAATGGATCGCAGAAGTGAGAATGAGGCAGATGAATGCTTCTAAGTTATAAGTTACGCGGCCTCCCATAAGACAGTAGAGATGATCGGCACACAGATCCATCATCATCTGAAAACCACTGCTGCTCGACATCCTGCCCACAAGTCGTCGTGCGACAGGCATGGGAGGTTTCGCCAAACTCATTGTTTCAGCGAAAACTTCGGATGCACTATGCCGGTTTTGCGTCCGACCATGCAACGACTTATCCCTCTTGTGACCATTGGGGTACGACACCGGGTCTACGATAGTACAGAACCTTGGTTCTTTGACTCGATGAGGATCAAGGTGATACTGGAGGGTGACGTTATACTGACACTCAGCAAACCACAATTCTCCAAGCCCCCAAAAGGCCAAGATGTTGTTCGATATCCCATGGTGGTGCGTGGCAATATCATAACGACAATGGTTCCGTCTTGACAGGAAAGAGTGGGCCACCAGCGAGGTGAAAAGGGAACTTTCGCAAACAAATTGGCATATGATTCTGGTACGACCATAGTCGGAAACTTGCTTCTTCAGTGGTTCCGCTCACAAAGACTTATTAACCCCCAACGTCCTTGTTGCAACACGCAGAGGCGTTCCTCAACAGTCCGAAGTGCAGCAGATTCCGACCACCACCGGATCAAAGTGTTGAAAATGATGTGGCCAAGCTGAAGCATTGTACTTTGTTCACTTCTATCTCTGGGACTGACGCTGCGAACGTTCCAGTTGAATGACGCTAACTAGCCTCATTATGGGATTCGAGGTTAAGCGGGATGGATCAAAAAGCGTGGCGGTTCTGGTCAGGAAGACATTCACCTTGGGGGAGATGACCCACTCATTGGCCAACGTTATCGGCCCTGGAGCAACTCACAGGCTTATACGTGTCTGGAAAGCGACAGGGCGGCCTGTCAAGATCGATGTCAGCTATGGGTCCTGAATCTTGACGACGACATTCCGACTCCCTGCAGCACCAGACTGCTGCTATCTGAGACTCTGAGACCCTTGATGGCATCTTCGAATCCGCCTTCCCCAATGACTTCATATCCGCAGGTTGCAATTTACCAGTGGCCACCAATTCACCAATCACAGGTATGAATCTCTCAATGTTCTTGTTCAACTCTTCCGCCTCAGGTCTGCCAAGCGGGCCGAGCGCTATTGTGTAAGTCTTCCACCTTCAAAGTCACCAATGCCACTCCAGTCATTCGTCGTAACGAAGAGCTTCTCAGTCTCTTTCGCCGCCCTGAATAATTCTTCAGCCAGCAACCGATCATCTGCGGCGACGGCGTCAAAGACCCTGATTGCTTTGCCAGCGGTGATCTTCAGGACTTCCTTGACCTGCTGTTCGAGCGAGGTCTTGTAGTCAAACAGCACTGCTCTAAGATCCCTGACCAAAGTTGCCGAAGTGGTTGAGCATGATGCAGAAACATCGTAGCCACAGGACTTCGTCAGTTATATGGCACATCTGCCGATACTGCTGGCACCTCCCAGGATGACCACCCATTCATGCTTGCGCGGAGGAGGGTTCTTGGGGTCAATCAGGGGTATGTGGAAACCTTCAAATATCCCCAGACATGCGGTTTCATGCCCACACCCAAAGTGGCAGCCTCGACGAGCGAAATGCTCTCTGGCTTAGGAATGGCACTTCGAGCGTCCATGAGGATATACTCCTGACCGGGAGCATATCCTGGGACTCCAAGTTGCGCTCGGGTCGCCAAAGACAGAAGAGAAAGTGTTTGAGAGGAACTGTGAGATCTGGAAGGCATTACTTAACAGCATCTGAGTTCTATCCTGTGAGATTGCTAATGCGCACCATTCCCCGCCGCCTTTCTTCTCTTTCATCTCCTTGTCGAGAGTAGCTAAACAAGTACAAGGGTCGGTTTTGCTGTATACCCGAGGACCAGGCGCGAACCGACATTGATGGCATGGCAGTATAGGCTATATTAGACACCTTCGATCTTCCAATCAGTCACCAATATTGACCCGACAATCCAGGCACTTTCAGCTCACTGACACTAGTTCTTCGATGTCCTACTATTCGCACTCAACTTTTGGCGGTTCCTGCGAGACTGTCAGCGAACATCCGGAATATCACTAGTGAGTAGATGGCGACAGGAACCTGTGAAACTCATTTCGATGTGTATCATAGCATTCAAGGATACGAGATGGAACTAGCGGGAGAAGAAGATAAGCACTCACGCAAATAACGCCAGACCAACTATCGATGTTGACGCAGTTCCAGTAGCTAGTCCACAGATCCCAACATTCCTGACTCTTGGGATCGGGTAAGAGTTCTGATGGGTCGATATCGTAGCGTGCCTCTAGACCGGTGGGCGAGGCTATGGCTGCACTTCCTATGAGCAAGATGACAGCGGATGTGAGGACAGAGATGAAGTGCATTTTCGGGTAGGGGTGGTGGATTGAGGGGAGGTCGCGTTGATATAAATAAGATGTGTCGTGTACTAAGCTGCTAGAGGCAACAGGATTGATTGCAAATGTGGAGGTCGTAGAAGTGAAGTCAAGTAGAGACGAGATTTATATCCTACGAATAAGTAGGAATCATAAGTACTCAATAGGGATGTTGGAGATTTGTGATACTATACTGTACATCCAATTATTCTGGATGGAACCCAGATATAGAAATGCCATGGCGTTCACAATGAATGCACAGTCCGATTTCGCCGTGCTACCAGGGCCTGGCCATAATGGACTTTTGATATATTCAATATCTCAGCACGGATACCGATCCGAGTATACTCTGCACGTAGCACGTTGCGCTGTAGAATCGACGAGCTGCTGGTCGTGTCATCTGGTACGCTCGGTCCACACGACGAGTGTCCGTCCAGCTATATGGCGATTTGTTGCGAGAAGACTTACGTCGAGTAGATGCATTGGCAGGGTTTAGCAGGTCGAGCAAGGGGAGTCATGAAGAGTTTAGGATTTGATGAAGGTTTATATTCACTGAAACAGTACGCTCCACCGGACCGAGTACGGCAGAGTATTAAAAGGATCACGCAGTTCTCAGTCTTGTCGGAGTTCGGTGAACGAGATTGCGGATTGCGGAGCTTCAAGCTGCTGCTCAACTTATTTCTCAACACTCGACACGGGACTATTTACGCTCTATCTCGCGTGCAACCAAGGCGTCGAGGATTGTCACTCTCACCAGTGCTGCTATTCACCAAACCATTGCATCTCTACTCGGCTTCTGTCTTCCACATCCGCCGCCATGGCGGGCAGACCATCAGTGCGGCTGCTCGCACGCAAAATCACATCCCACTGCTCACACCCTCAACCACACTCTCAACGGACATTCTCCTCTGCACCCGCTTACCTCGCCGCACACAATTTTACAATGCCGGCCATGTCGCCCACCATGACCGAAGGCAACATTTCCAGCTGGAAAGTCAAAGAGGGTGATTCCTTCTCCACGGGAGATGTCCTCCTCGAAATCGAGACAGACAAAGCCTCAATGGATGTCGAGGCGCAAGACGACGGCAAGGTCGCCAAGATCTTCGCACAGGACGGTTCGAAGGCAATCAAAGTCGGCACAAGGATAGCCGTGCTCGCCGACGCAGATGACGATGTGTCGAGCCTCGAAATCCCAGCCGACGATGCAAAACCCGTAGAGAAGGCAGCCGACAATATCAAGGCCGACGCAGAAGACTCACACTACGAATCCTCCGGCGTCGAGAAAGAGATTCCAGGCACACCTCAAAACAAGCGACCAGCAAAGGACAAACCCAAGACCAGCCCTACTGGTCCCGGCCAGAATCCCAAATACCCTCTCTACCCATCAGTCATCGCTCTAGTCCACGAGAATCACCTCTCAGACGACGACGTGCTGAAGATCCCCGCCTCCGGCCCCAACCATCGTCTCCTCAAGGGCGACGTGCTCGCCTACCTAGGCACGATCGAATCAGATTACCCATCCAAACAGTCCAAGCGGATCGAGCACATGCAACACCTTGACCTAAGCAACATCAAAATCCTATCGACACCGACCAAACCCGCCGGTGCCCCTCCCACAACAGAAGCCCCTCTCGCCGCAGAAACCCCCAGGCTCAGCAGCGTCATCATCACTGTCTCGTTAGCCGAGGTCCTCAAAGTTCAAAAGCGCATCAAAGACACATTAGGCGTTACTGTCCCGCTGTCCACATTCCTCGCCCGAGCCGTCGACCTCGCGAACGACGACCTACCAAATCCGAAAGGCGCCAAACCTTCTGCAGACGCCCTCTTCAACGCCGTACTAGGCCTGGACAGCATCCCCACGACATCCCGCGGCACATATCTGCCGCAGATCGATGCATTTGCGTTCCCATCGTCGAAAGCAGCTAAAAGCTCGCCGGTCCGTAAACCTTCTGCCACTAAAAAGCCCGATATCATCGACATCCTCTCCGGCAGAGCCACACCGAAACGTTCTGCCCAAGCTCGATCTCTATCCTCCGGTGTGCCGGGCCGTACATTGACCACGACGGACGGCGCGCTGAATTCATTCAGCCTGACCGTGCCCAAGGGCGAGGAGAAGCGGGCCCGGACATTCCTTGAGCGCGTCAAGACTGCGCTGCAGCTTGAGCCGGGGAAGTTGGTGCTATAAATTCTCCCCGGGATTCGAGATGGACGTGTATAAAAAGCGCCTTTTACGTGAGCGTGGCGTTTCATAGCTTAGCTTTGGCTGCAGGGAAATACCTTAGCTCTCCCCAACGAATAGATTACCTTTCTCTTGAACTCACAGTGGCAGTAAAGTGCTTGAGACCTTGCCAGGACATGGTCATCTGATTCTTTCAAGTTACATGCAATTTTCCGCAAGCACGATTCATCGTGTTCTGGTATGCGTATCTCTGATTGAGATCTGTGCTAATGTTCATGCCTCATGACTCCCATGCATGATACCAACCGTGACGCCAACGCTCAAACAATGCCCGCCCTCACCGGTCCATCCCAATGCAGTGCCGGTGCTCGTCGAAAATTCCAATATCACACAATCCTTTCCATTAACTCCGATGCCCACCAGCCCCATGCCTCAGCTCATGCCAGTCTGCAAAATACACAGAAGTGGTCAAATCATGACGTCCGATACGATATGTCTTGTTGTGGTATACCTCGAGGTGACAGGATCGTCACATAGCGTGGTGATGTGATGCAAGCCCGTCCCAGATCCGGACAGTTGAGTTGTCAAAGTCCGACAGGATTCCGCATGTCGAATTGCTCAACGGATCGATCCCCAATCACCCAACCTCGAAGACATCCCATCGCTATCACGACCATCGTTGCCCTTCTTGCCAAAGACTCGCCAGAACCGAAGTGTTTCATCTCCGGCGCCAGTAACGACCGTAGTACCGTCTGGACTTGTGCTCAAATAAAGAACACGGAATGTATGTCCAGTGAGACTGACCACCTGTTCCATCTTGGGATATTTCCAGACCACAATCTGATTCTGGCTGTAACCATGAGTGCTCACAATCTCATCGCTGTTCTTGCTCCACGCCAGATTACAAACTTGACTTCCTGTGTCGACTTCCTTGATGAGAGAACCAGTCGCGGTATTCCAAAACTTGATGGATCGATCGGCTGTTCCACCACCGGATGCCAATAGGTGATGTTGATGAGGGCTCCAAGCAATTGCCTTGACAGCAGCCACGTGGTTCGAAAAGCGGTACAGAGGAGTTTCCGAGAGTTTGTCCCAAACACAAAGCTTGTTGTCGTTTCCACCCGAGGCAAGCTGCCCATCTTCAGTGTTCCATCGTAGACCGCAGACTTCTTGCTTGTGACCAGCCAATCTCCGCAAGTACTGGTCGGGGCTTCGGACGTCTCGGTGGTAGATCAGCCGATCTCTGGATCCAGAAGTGAGGATGTGATCGTTCCAAGCCAATGCTCCAACACGGGCTGAATGACCGGTCATCGTTCTCAACCTCCTAGACTTTTCGGCATCGTAGATCTGCACAAAACCCTTGTGTGTTCCAATAGCTAGGTGCGATCCTCGTTGTATCCATGCCACGGATGTAACTAGATCATTGTCTGGTAGCTTGCAGAGCTGTGTAACCTTGCCTGTTGTGCTGTTCCACATGTAGACACACGACCCCAAACCTACAGCAAGGCTGTTCGCCGATCCCCAGTCTACCAGGTTGAGATAGAAGTCGTCGGCCAACTCCGGGGCGTCCAGGACTTTGTAAGGCACTTTCGCAATGGGACGAGGCTGTTTCCGGGGGGTTTGGAGAATTGACTGAGATGAGTAGTTGATGGGAGATATCGAGTACAAGTCCGATCTCGCATTGAGGTTGATGATTCCAGGGTGTTTTGCCGTTCTCGACGATGGAGTGGGATGATGTCCAGATCCAATCACCTTCTGCGGCGACTTGTATGAGAACATGTTTTTGTGAGGGGTAGTGGGTGTTATCGAAGCGGGAGGCATAGAAGATAGAGATGGTTGACCAGGAGGAGTTTGCCGCCGTCCAAAGAGGTCATCTGGTGTCATGGATCGGAAGTCTTGTGGTACTGAGTCTCCCATCAATTCATTGCGCAGTACTTTGGAGTACGTCTTGTTAGCTTCTTCGGTACGCTGGAAGTGAAGCTCTCCATGAGGCGTCTTCTTCTTCGATCTGGAAGGTGTTGCTGGAGATCCGTCATCATGCAACAAACTGTAGCTCGCTTGTAGATCCTGTCCGTCTCTGTTGGGAATGAAACTGAAGACCCGGTCAGTTATCCACTTGCCATCGCCGCAAATAACATGTTTTGCTTACCGGTCTCCGTAAATTCGCTGTCTCTTCCGGCTAGGACTTCTTCCTGGAGTTTGCTCTCTCGTTCTGCCTGGATTCCCAATCTCCTGCAATCTTCTCCTCAGTGCGTCTTCTTCCATTGCTTCCGTGGCTCTTGGAATGGCCGACATGCCTTCGTCGTTGCCCAAGAAGCGTTTGCTTGCTATTGTAGGGGGAGTCTTGGAGCCGACTGGGGTGGGTAATGAGGGTGTTCGTGGACGGTCTGAAGAGTCTATTGTGAGAGAAGGTGGCAGATCCTCTGCCATGGTGATGAAGATTTGTTGGTGGTGACAAGGCACTAGTTGTTGTTGTTATTGTGACCAGGCAACAAGTGTGAATGCCGAGTGAAACGAAGGTGAAGCAGAGGGACTGTCGCGCGATCGTGAAGTCGTGGCGGGCTTATAAAATGTGAACGGAGATGTCGAGGTGTTCTAGATGTCTTGTTAGTGGTCTCTGCCCGCGCGACCGCTTGATTAGATCCGACAGGATTGTCTTTGGAAAATGGCGATGTACGCTGGCTAAGATGGATACATAATGCGTCAAAACTGGGAAAGGCGACGTTCAAATGCGTAAATAGCGACGTAAAGCAGACTGTAACTCAGAGAATGGCGGCAGTGAGGTCGTGGTGAATGTTTGATAGCTGGTGGGTGATTGTTCTGGTCCGCAGCGCAGTTGTTTAGGGACGTTCCGAGCTAGACTACTGGATAGTGCTCCACAGCCGGTGCTGCAAAGAACCCGCCAAGCCAGTCGCCCTTGCCTCCTAACAGATGATTCACAGGTGCTATCAAGTAGCATACGGTTGTAGAGGGACAAGCCTGGATACATCGGTCATACTTTGCTCTATACTATATACAATAAGGAGCTATTATAATACTTTGCATATTCATCATGATACAGTAGAAGCTTCAATGACTGCTTGCTTGCCCAGCCTTGAGCATCATAACAAAGCACTCTACGCGGCCATTCTAGTGACCCTAGTACCTCCTTCTGCAGCGCGTCTCTTTGTTTTGAGCGGCAAGGGACAACTGTCATTTGTCTCAAGCTCCTTCTCGGGTCTTCCCTTTTGGTTCAGTTGAAGGACGTTTGAATGATGCCTGCGGGGAGGAGAATGATTCGACCAGGTTGGTGTTTCAGATGGATCAACGCCCCTGAATCCATCGGCTGATAGGCGGCTGCAAGGCTGGATGGTTCCCGATAAGAAAGATGGAGCTTGGACCACTGGCAACTTGCGGAGGAGTTGAGTTTGGCCGATCATGGAGAACTCACAGCCTCATCATACCTTTAGGTAGGTATTTGTGGTATCAAACTATCTATTACCAGATCGGGTGCCTCAGCTGCTCTTCTCTGCTTGTACTTTTATATGCCCCTTCGCCTGATTGTCAGCGGACTGCCTCGAGCAAGAGTCTATTCAACCATGGCGCCAGCCAACATCAAGGTCGCAGCCAACGATTTCCTCGATTTCGTCAATGCTTCTCCCACTCCGTATCATGCAGTCAAATCAATCAAAGAACGACTGACCAGTGTTGGGTTCAAGGAGATCAAGGTCGGCTTCATCACTGACCTCATGCTCCCGCCTGACTAAAGGTATCACAGGAGAAAGATTCATGGTCGTCGAGATGTCTTCCCGGCGGTAAATACTTCCTCACCCGAAACGCCTCTACCATTGTAGCCTTCGCTATTGGCAAGAAATGGAAGCCTGGCAATCCAATCTCCATGATCGGGGCCCATACCGACTCACCCTGCCTACGTATCAAGCCTGTAAGCAAGAAGCAAGGAGATGGGTTTATACAAGTGGGGGTCGAAACATACGGAGGCGGGCTTTGGCACACCTGGTTTGATCGCGATTTGGGCGTTGCGGGAAGGGTCATGGTCAGAGACACAGAGGGCAATGTGGTACAGAAGCTGGTGCATATCAACAAGCCCATTCTACGCATACCGACTCTGGCTGTCCATCTCGATCGACAGGAGACATTCTCCTTCAACAAGGAAACCCAGCTCTTCCCTATCGCCGGCTTAGTGGCTGCTGAGCTGAAACGTCAGGATGAGAAGAAAGCCCAGGTGACAGGGGATGTTCCAGCCGAAGAAGAGGAGGAGACTACCAAACCATTTTCACCCCTCAAAGCCATCACGACACGACATCACCCTCACATCGTCGAGCTTATAGCGTCAAATGCTGGAGTTTCTCCTGAAGAGGTCATCGATTTCGAGATTATCCTTTACGATACGCAAAAGGCATGCCTTGGAGGCTTGACAGACGAGTTCATCTTTTCGGCAAGACTGGACAACCTCAACCAGACATACTGTGCAACCATGGGCTTGATCAACTGCCTCGAGTCGTCTTCCGCCCTCGACGATGAATCCTCCATCCGGCTCATCGCTTGCTTCGACCACGAAGAGATTGGCAGCATGACCGCACAAGGAGCCTTCTCGATGATGTTGCCAGCGATCATCCGACGACTCTCAGTCTTGCCCTCCTCCGGCTTTGTGGATGGTTCGGAAGATTCCTACGATCATGCAAGTGATCCGGACCTCTCCACAGCTTATGAGCAAACCCTCGCAAGCTCTTTCTTGGTATCGGCAGATATGGCTCACTCAGTGAATCCGAATTACGGAGCTAAATACGAGTCTGATCACAAGCCTGAAATGAATCAGGGTCCAGTGATCAAAATCAATGCCAACGCGAGGTATGCAACCAACTCACCTGGAATCGTGTTACTTCAAGAAGTTGCCCGAAAGGCAGCCAAGATCATCGACAGCGATCCTGAAGGTGTACCTTTGCAACTGTTTGTGGTCCGAAACGATTCGAGCTGCGGAAGCACTATCGGTCCCATGCTGTCTGCTCATCTCGGTGCGCGTACGCTTGATCTCGGCAACCCTCAGCTTTCTATGCACAGTTGTCGTGAAACTGGTGGTGCGGATGATGTTCACCATGCGATTAGATTGTTCAGCAGTTTCTTCCAGCATTACTCTGCATTGGAGAAGACCATACTGGTGGACTAGGCGAAGTCTGTCTTTGCACAGCCAGCCATGAAGAAGCCCACCCAGCCATGTGCGGCGGCACTTCAGTTTGTAAATGTGGACTCGAACTCCTAGGTCTGGGTCCAAATATCAATGACAAGGGGACAACGTTACCCCCAAGGCGGTGGTGAGGTACAAGCACGCGTAGAGAATCTTCTCTGCGCCAAGCGGCCATTGCATTCACGATTAATTGTCCTTGATATATTGCAAAACTGGAATTTCTGCTACAATTCACAATGAAGCTAGATGAGGTGCCAAAAGGTAGTCCTCGTGGCCGAGTGGTTTACAACCGATGACATATACTTTAGCCTTAACTGTGAAAGTATTTCATCCGACTTCGGTTGCCCTAGACTCACCAGGGTTCGTTCGCTCCTCTCTCTAACGAAGAAAAACCAGTACAGCTGGTTTCACTTACCTACAACCTCCTGACCACCGGGTCAAGGAGCTTGAGGCAAAGTTTTTGCCTTTTATGTTGGTCGTTGTAGAGTTAGATGTTCTCTTACTTGACTCTACCTCCTTCGCGGTGAGGACTGTCCCTAACAGGCAATGTCTGCGACGGACCATACGGCGGAGTTATGGAGGGCACGCGGATCGGAAAACCCCTCCAGAGCTTTTCGATGTTTAGACTGCATTCAGTTCTATATGGGAAGTTTATGGGCATTCCGTACCATGTACAGATATAGCCTCTTGAAGGACAATAAATGTTCAGCCAGATCCATGAGGCTGTCAGGTGCGGACAGTTGACACATTTCCTCCTCACCCCTCCACAGACATCCAAAGATGAGCATGACATAACATCCGGAGAATAGCCGTGTCAACATTTAATTGCTGCTAAGAAGCGCAAGCCCACCTCTTCTGTTACTGCCCATACCGTCCTGTACAGTCGTCGCAATCATGTCGACGCCAGAGTACCTGACAGGCAAGAAGGAGGCTCTCGGAGAATTCATAGCCAAGTACGATGTCCGTGCCATTCTTTCCCAGATCCTCAAATGCGATCGGCACTTCCACCCAAGCCGTCACGAATGAACCACAATACTGACTACCCTGCTAGGTCTTCCTCTTCGACTGCGATGGCGTCCTCTGGTCCGGCGACCATTTATTTCCCGGCGTCCCCGAGACGTTGGACCTCCTACGGTCGCAGAAGAAGCGCATCGTCTTCGTGACCAACAACTCGACCAAGTCAAGACAAGACTACAGAAAGAAGTTGGAGTCAATGGGCATCCCAGCCACCGTCGAAGAAGTATTCGGCTCGTCATACTCGGCGAGTATCTACATATCGCGCATCCTCCCGCAATCGCATCCCGAAGTCAAGAAGCGCAATAAAGTCTTTGTCGTCGGCGAGGCAGGTATCGAGACGGAGCTGGATTCCGAGGGCATACCGCATATCGGCGGGACCGATCCGAAATACAGACGCGAGGTCACGCCCGAAGATTATAAACTCCTGGCAAAGGGTGATCCGTCGGTTCTCGACCCAGATGTCGGCGTGGTGTTGTTTGGTCTGGACTTCCACTTTAATTATCTCAAGATGTGCTATGCGTATCACTATATCCAGCGGGGCGCGGTATTCCTTGCGACGAACATGGATTCGACGCTGCCTAGTGCCGGAGCGCTGTTCCCTGGTGCAGGATCGATAAGCGCTCCGTTGGTGAAGATGCTGGGAGGAAAGGAGCCTATGAGTTTTGGGAAACCGAATCAGGCGATGATGGATGCTATTGAGGGGAAATTTCAGTTTGATCGGGCCAAGGCTTGTATGGTTGGGGATCGAGCGAATACGGATATCAAATTCGGATTGGAAGGGAAGCTAGGAGGCACGTTGGCTGTGTTGACGGGCGTGTCTACGAAGGAGGAGTTTCTGGAAGGTGATACGAGACCGGCATTCTATGTGGATAAGTTGTCGGATCTGCTGGAGGGAGCTTGAGCACCACACCACATGGTTGAGATCGAAGAGAACGGTTCAAAGTGGTGGGAGTCTGATAGAGCTTTCGAGGGTTTGCTTGCAGTGACAGCGGCCGCATACGTGATACCTTAGCTTGGATAGTCACCTTCGCATCCATCGGTGCCTCGAGGGTCAATAGAGAAGGCCGCTTTGCGATATCACACCGTCCACGCTCATGTTCATATTGAATTGGTGAAAAATCGTATTCTCATTGTTCGCGTTTTTCTCGTTCCTCAAAGCTCGCAATATATCTTCCCTATGCGACTCAGTCTCCTTTCATCAATATCACCCGCCCCTTCCACCATCTCAGTAAATGTACTCCCTCGTCCCACCCAACTGCCCAGATCCCTCCCCTGCGCATTTCCAAAATACGCATACCGTTCAATCCACTCACACTGGTCCAGCCAGGGCAACGCCTCGCGGATAAAAGCCTCGACCTCATCCTGCGTCGACTCGCCTTGACCCATACTCGAGCACGCAAACTCGTTCACCCACATAGGCAAATTATATGTCGTGTGCATATCCTCCAGAAACTCGCGCATGTCCGCGAACCGCGGGCCGTACCAGTGCACGACCAGAAAGTCAAGCTCGTCCTCGCCACTTAATGAGGCTAGGAATTTCGATAGCCACGGTTTACTCCGGCTCACGTCGCTTGACATACCCGGGCTACCTATCCTCAGATTGAATTTGCGCTTTGAAGGTAGAACGATGCGTCGCCATAGGTCTATCGCCGTTTCAACGGAGATGTTCGCTTGTTCAGGGATCTCGGGCTCGTTGAAGCCCAGTAATGCAGAAACCGCGAGGCCGCGGTTCAGTATGATGTCTGATAGAAAGGCGTCGGCGTCTTTCGCGTTTCCCGATGTGCGAACACACGGGATCCATTCGAGTTCTGGTGGTAAGGAAGCTGGCGCCCATAGTTCCCAGTTAAAGACCCATGAGATTTTGCCGGATTGTGTGTAGGGTTGATAGAGTTTGAAGTGTGAGGCCGGTTTGTCCCAGGGCCAGCCTATGCCACGTTTGCTGCGTGTTGGGGTGGTCATTATCGGTTTAGAATGAAGTCTTTTGGGCTTAGGCGGTCGCGGTGGTGGTTGTTTGGTTTTTGGTTGGGGTTGCTGTGTTTGCGGGCTTGTGTCGGATAGCATCTGTTTGTCGTGGTCGTCTCTGTTTCTGTCTGAGCCGGGCAGATTTTATCTGAATTGAAGAGGTTTTCTCATAACTGTTGAATGTTTTGTTTCAGGTTGTTGATAAGCTTTACCTGCCAGGGTAAGTTACCCTCCAAAAGCCGAGAAGGTTCACGTTGCCAGAAGGTTTCCAGGTTACTTTTTGTCAGATTTGATCAATGGGAAAGAAAAAGTACCGTGCTTAGCGTCAACGGTTTGAGACTTACAGTAGGCCTGGCACTGGCAGATGCCCGCCAACTATAATTATCTTACCTGGGAGCCGTACAGTGTACTAACGGAATTGCTTGTGCGCCTGGCACCTGCAGTACTGGGAATACACACTGCCCAGGCCACAATGACCCCGAATCCATCACCATCAACTTTCAAGTCCAATTCGATCGACCAGCCACAGTCGCCATTGAATATTGCAAGCGATCTTGAAGTCCAAAAGGCAGGTGGCGTGATGTCGGTATCTAGCGGTCCTTGTGGAGTCGTCCAGAGCACTGTTATCCATATGGATGCTGCTACTCCGTAATCTTGACGGTATTCGCGAGTATTAGTCCTTGTTTCAAGGATTCGACCCCAAAGATCGCGATGGACTTTAGCACCTATGACGCACGGCTGGGCACGTGTGCATATCCTAGTATCGCATGGCACTGCGTCATTGTAGACATATCGAGAAAGAGATTGTCGCATACTCCCAGATTTGACAAGCCACTGATATGATGGCGAAGGATTGGACTCGTCTAGATCTTCTTATGTCAACATGTGGAATGCAGGGTTACTATGACGAACGAACAATCATCTAGAGCCATGGCAACTTACGTATGCTTCAACGACAGATTCCAAGGGTAGGCCGGGCTAGGTCTTGTCTTGATGGATGCGCTCATGAATGAGTATCGTCACTTGTCCGAAGAACCTGCAGAACCCTCTCTATGACACTAATCATTCTCTCACCGTTCAGCCACATCTCATCATGTCCGCCTGGTACAGACATCTCTGAATAGTTACAGTCTTCCTTCCGGTCAAGCTGCACCAGGGGATCTTTCGAGTCACTCGTTTTTGAGCCCCCGAGAATGGACACCCTCATTGTCTCCCGCTGCTGTGGCTCCACCAGGTCATCGCCGTCAGCGACAACCAGAAGCACAGTCCGTCCAGCATATATCATCCTGGCGTCCGAATGATGGTCGGGCCAACATGCAGGTGACGCTTCATTCCAGACCACTTCATCCTCCCCAAATGCACCTTTCAGAAATGAAGCATATACATCTGCATAAGGGCCCTGCTTGTGGTTATCAAGTAGGTCCTGGAGATGATATATGCCGGCCATGCCTACTACTGCCGACGGTGGTGGAACTGCTAATCCAGCATTCTCAGTACATCGTTTCAAAGCCTGGAAAGCTAATGTGGCGCCGCAGGAGTGGCCGATGAGTATGTAATTGTGTACCGTGAGGCGGTGATGGCGATGGAGTGTCTCGAGACCCGAGCAGACATCGTCTATGTGGTCTGGATGTCTTGCAGTCCTTAATGAAGATGATGGAGTGTTTACTGGGTCTTGTGGATGATCAGGGTGAGGTGACAGCCGGTATGATATCGATGCGAAGGCAAGAGATTTGCCCTGGGGTATATCCAGCCTGGGTGCTGCCCCAGAGAGTAACTTTGATACTGCTGGTTCTGCAAAACTTTGAGCTGTTATGCTCGGATCTCTCCAAGCACCGCCATGAATTAATCTGCAGGTCAGAAAAGTGTTAGCAGCAACAGGGAAACGTAGGGATGTAGCAGTCCGTCCAATGTAACGCAGAGTCGTAGTATCCAAACAAGAGAGCAACGTACACGATCCAGAACAACGAATCTTGAGACTTCTCCGGCGGCACCCATACCAAGACCTCTTGCAGGTCGTAAGGACCGAAGCTGTACGATGTGGGCTTCGTCATGACCAACCGACTTCAGATGAGGTGTTATTGTGACAGCTGCGTGATTGTGAACAGGGAGGCTACAAATATAAATTTGGATAATGCTGCTAATGCTCAAAAGGTGAGCAGGAAGGCAGCCCCGTGCCGCTTCCGCTCCCGGATCCAATTTTTCTCAGGGGCCGAAAGCCTTATTGCTCGTCGGCACGAATACAACGAGTCATCGGGAGCATCTGAGCCTAGGGGTTTGCCTTATATTCATCATACTCCGTACCAACACTTAGGACTTGTTCAAAAAGTTTGACGCGTAGAGGCAGCCACTGTAGAACAAGGCAACCGAGCCAAGTCAGATAAACATGCAAGCGCGCATGAATCGCTAATGTCGAGAAGAAACCTGCAGAGAGGGTCATCATTCTGTCATGAAACCGGGAAGGTCTCTCTTCATAGTCTCCCAAAAGTCCGTTTCCGATAAACTTGCGCTCAAGGTTGATGTCAGTTGAATTGGTGGCAACTGCATTGGTGGCAGTTGGGACGGAATCGCTAGCTTGCGGAGCATGAACATAGGCTTCATCCCGTCTCTATCCAAGTCCTTGAATAACGCCACCGGCTTCTCCTCCAGACCACAACACCGCTCTTGATCGCCATAGAGAATATAAAGCGCGTACTCTCTCCAATCAGCCTGGATGCCATACTTTCGTAGAGCGGCCGGCAGGACTCTGTAGCACGGGTCTTCGAGCCCTACACGAAAGCTTGTGAAAATCTCGACCGAAGGCGTCTCGCCCGATGGCGGAGGCCGCAAGTTGAGGTCTACGGCAATAGGAGCATTGCTTTGTTCTGGGGCTTGTAGTACGTGCCGTGTATTTTTGGTGATCGTCTCCGTGGGACTTTCTTCGACGTTTTGATCAATCCCGAGGCCTTTCACGGACGACGAATCCGCAACACCTGCCCTATCATCCTCTCGAAAATGTTGTGGAGATGATAAGCGTTCGATAAGCTGTTCCACTTCACCTATCGCCTCGATATAAATGTGCCGGCCGCTCGACCCAATCGCGGTACCTTCGTCATCGGCCTCAAGAGATAGTTTCATCCTCTTTACCAAAAGGGAGAGATAGTTTCGAATAGTTACTATTCCATCTTCCACCGAAACAAAAGGGACACTTGAGCCTTGTCGGAGACGTACCGATCCTGTCATGCTTGTATCTACTCCAGCAGCCCTGTGAAATTGCTCTTGTGAGGGAGATGATGTCCTGAGCCATGTATCGGCTGATGTGGGCGGAGTGCGAACGTCGGTCGAATCGAGCTCAGAGTCGGCCATAGCATCTGTGTCACTAGTCGCAAAGGATACATAAGAGTTCCGACTCGCCTCTCGGTCACCAAGGAAATCGTCGTCGAGTAGTTCTGGTTCCGCTTGCATTAAGCCCAGTGCAAGGGGATCTCTTTGGTCAGTCCATTGCCGGAGCAGCTCATCTGTCTGCAGGATGGACGATCGATGATCATCCAAAGTGGGCAAAGTAGAGCTCCTGATGCTTTGGACAAGACTGAGGCGATTAAAGTGTTGCCTGATGATGGTAGAAACACGTCGATCTTGCCCCAGGGGTCCCTTCTCTGAAATGTGCATGAAGCCGTTGATGATTGGAGACGATCGATTCCGTCGGTGCCTGGATCGCGCCATATCTTCAGACGGTACACCATCGGGAGATAGCATACTGGTAGGGCTACTTGCGGCGAAGTCAGGAGCTCCTTCTTCGTGCTCAAGCTCGTCTTCGATGGATGTCAGGCGATCAATGGATTCTCGCTGTGCGAGGAATAGTTGCTGCGTGATCAGTCGGTCTTGTGCATCCTCGTCATCTTCACTGAGCGGTGAGTGGCTAACATCGTCAACGGAACCGCCGATTAATCCGGAGGCTTCTTACCGTCTGCTGGCAACTTTTTGAGCAAGCACGAGTGTAGTAAGCATTAATTGTAGTGTGGTTCCACACGCCTTGAGTTGCTCGTGGACAAGGAGAACTCGCTTCCCCGTGAAGAACCATTTAACCCGTGCCAGGAGGTCTAGGTTCGAATCTCGTTTCTGGAAGTTCTTGATAGTCGAGTCGAGATCCCCAAAAATGACCTGGGCGCGATCAATGACATCTTGCGCCGCTTGTAGGGCCGACAGTGACAATCGGTAAGCTCGCGCCCTTGTCAACGTCGATTGTACCTGTTTCAACACTGAGCAGAAAAGGCTGATGTCGGTCGCCAGGTCTTTTACATCGCGGCCGGCTGTGCTCAGAACGACGGCGAAATCGTAAAGCGTCTTCGAGAGGGCAAGTCCAGCGCCGATGATCTGCGCAACGTTTGTAAGGACACCAATCTCCGCCATCTGTCGGGGCGCTAGCGTACAGCGAGAAAGGGGACTTTCCGCTTCAAGATGTTACGGCTGTCAAGCAGTTACAATGGTGATAAGTCACGTTCTTGGTGAAGAGTCAGCCTCCTCAAACGCCCATTTCCAAGATTACGAGCAGCGCACTGCGCCATATCTGAAGTTGTCTCGCTGAGGCTGAGTTGACGCATGAGAAACGCCATGTTCGCTTAGGCCAATCAAATGTGCTTGCAAGCATCATCTGCCTTGACTAGGCAGACCGTGATATCAGTATTGCGCCAGGAGATGGACGAGCTCGTCGAAGGAAGAGGTGCATCTCCATAGTTGCACCAGCGTCCTGGCCTACCAGTAAGTAATGTCCAGCGTATCACGCATATTACCTGAATGGACTGCATTGTGTGTTTACAACAACAAGAAAGTACTGGGAGGAAGCTACGCGTGCATCAACTTTCGTTAGGGCGGCGTCAACTACATCCAGATACTCAGCACTCCTGCTGCGCCTACCCAGACCTCGCCGCTCTAGAACACGCGTGCTCGCACCTCACCAGTCGCCTTCTTCTCACCTCTTTTCACCTCTCTCAGTATTCCCTCAGACCAACGAAATCCGTTTCTCCTGCGGCAGTCTCGGCGCCGCGCCCGTGTCTGAGTCCTCTCTTCGGCAATTTCCCTTTTTTTTAAGCAACCTGAAGCGTACTTCTCTGTTCCGGTCTTGCTGCGATAGGTGGAAGAACACCGACGCGACCCTCTTCTACATTGTTCTGCTGTTTGTCCTTTAGCTCGTGGTCAGGCAGGACCACGCAGGTCAATAGGTTGACTGCAGCTAGAGTGATGGCCCCGATGATCAGTTGGTGCATATTGTTGGTCCATGCATGAACAGTGGCATCCCGGATTGGCGTACCCAGGGGGTAATCTGCCATGGCCCCGCTGCCCTGGGCATAGATAATGTCGACAACTGTCGCATTGCCGCCGGTGATCGGATCCAGGTAATGGTGTAAGCTTCCGCGTAGTGTCTGCTGCACTGCACCCACCACAGCGGCCCCAATTGCAGCGCCGAGCTCGAGAACGAGCATGGTGAATCCTGTCACGATTGACAGGACTTCGTGTGGAACGGCAGCTTGCGCAACAACAGCCACATTGGCTGTCATTAGCCCTCCTCCCAGACCCATGAGAACCTGGGGAATCACGACTTGGAATGCGGATGCGTGAGATCCTCGGTACTTCATCATCACGCCTAGGCCAATGATGCGGATGCACGCACCAGCGATGCTAAGCCTCTTGTACCTGCCGGTATATGTGGCAGCAAGTCCAGCGGCGATACCGAACACGACAAGACAGAGGGACTGCGTGTACAGGAAGTATGTCGCGTTGCCAGTGCTCCAACCGTGCGTTATTTCGACCCATTGATAGGCGGCAGTCATGGTCAGCGCAACTGAAAATTGGTCCACAAACAAGATGGCACTCGGTACAATCACATCAGGATTGGCGAAGAACTCCCGGATTCGAACCATTGGGCGAGGCGCGCGAAGCTCGACTAGAGGCCATGCCAGAAGCAGACAGGCCCCGAGGACGAACATGGCAATGATATAGCCACTTTGGTATCCTCTGGGAGCTGCATCGGCGATCGTCAACGGTAGGAGAAGGAGCAGAAAGCCGCCGGCGAAGCAGAATAGACCAGCTAGGTCGATGTCGATAATGAAGGCACGAAAGGACCGTAGGAAGCCCATGCCCTCATACGGGTATTTGTGGATGACACCCTGGCGGACCGATTGAATCTGCTGCCAGACCAAAACACCAATGATTGGCGCGGTCACACATGGATTGATGATGGTAAACATGCCCACTCCCCATCGCCAGTTTTCGGGGACCAACGCGTTGGTGATTTTGGAGGCGATCCCAAAGTTGATGACAAAGTGGACAGTCAGGACGTTCGTTATGGTGCATCGCCATCGAGGAGAGGTGAGGTCGGCGACCACGAGTTGTAACACGAAACTCAATCCGGTGTTGCCCATGGAGAAAAACACCATGCCAGCCGCCAGACCTCCAATGCCATTCGATGCTGCGATCGTGATGGTGCCGATCGTGAACAACAGAACCGAGAGGGTGAGAGTGGCGGCCCGTCCGAGCACATCGGCGAGTTTGGCGAACACCGGCTTGCCTGCCGCCAGAATCATGCTCTGAATGACTCCGAGTGTGGTATACTGCACAATTCCGTTGAATTGCGATGCGGCAGTGTTCAGATATACAGACATGGTAAAATTGTCTAGCCCATTGGCATAGTAGGTAAGGCAGACCCTGGATTGAATGTCATGTCAGCAATGGTCCCCTACCCCCGAAGCCGCATGTGAGGTCCAGAGAAAGAATGTGAAGTTTCAGCATACCCTATCCAAAGAAGCCATTTCTGCCATCTCGGAATGTCCAACAACTTGTCAGACGGCTCAGAGATTGATGTATTGCGATCTACATTAGGCGAAATATCATGACTCTGAGCTCCGCCAACGACAGTCGTGGTCTCTGCCTCTTTTGGAGGAGCTGATTCATTGCTGGCATGCATGGTTCAAGAGTGATGTGGGTCGACGGTAAGTTTGCTAGACAAAGGTACCTCAACAATGCTCACGTCTGCCGGAAGATCAAGAGCAGAAGTCCCTAGAGGGTTCGCCTTTATTAGTAGTGATCACACTCCTCAAATATCCCTCACTCCGAGGACCGGTATGTCGCCCTCTAGGAGTGGCTTGCGCAAACTTCTGCTAGAACTTTTACTATCTAGACGTGTCACATGCACGCAGACGCAAAAGGAGCAATCAACGCGTTGCCTGAGACTCGATCATGTCCTAGTCTAAAGCGTGCGCTCCATAGACTTCTTTGTGAGAGGATCCCACTTGCCTATAGAGAGTCTACGACTATCCCCTTACCAAAACGAGACTTTTAGTCAAATCTTATCAATCGGCAATTGATCGATTAGATTAGATAATGGAAAAAATCTTGGTCTTTCGCTCGGAGCTGCCAGGCATAGGGTAAGGTGACATGAGCGACATCGGAGACGTAACCGGAATTGATGAAATGCTCTACATGGCTTTCCGAGACGCGACACTTGAAGCCGTCTGCAGGCTTCAGGGAGAACATTCGGCTTCGAGTGTTGCTGCGAACCGCTGGTGAGGACTAGGCGGCCTTACCCAGATTCCCGAAAAGGGCTGCCCCGCAAGCAGTTTTCAAGCCTTGGCACGTCTGTGTCGGAACCGAGTTTTAGCCTCGTCAAGACTGAAGACAGTATTGACCCGTTCTGGTGAGTGAAGACATTCGTCCTATTTCTGAAAGCGTTACGGTATCCAAGAGGCACATCATGCCGTTGCACATGCTTGATGAGCATGTCTCGGGAAAAGGGTACATCTCTGCTTCCACATCATGACCAAATGCAATGATGGATGCATCGGGACAACACAATAATTCTCGCAACCGTGTATCAAAAACTCGCCTTACCAAAGCAAGACCAAGAAAACAGATTCGTCCACACCCGCCGCGTGAGAGCCGGCCTCGACATCTTTACGGGATTCCAAAGCGAGATACAAAATCCTCATCATCCGCCAAAAATGCAACTCCGACTCTCGGCTCCGGGGCATCGACGCCCGAATCGGACGTTAGCAACAAACTACCAACAGTAAAAGCGCTTCTCGACAAGATATGGGTTCGCAACAAGAATCAACACCGCACGCAAATTTGGTGGAAGTCACTAGGCATGCTGCGGAAGGCAATCACTACACTTGTCGCCTTGAACGACGAGGAACAGCACCTTCGCCAACAAACCGGCACTGGTGCCGGAAGTACTATGGACGCAAAGCAAGTCAGGAAGCTGTTCGAGCAAGAATCCCAGATCAGAAGGGACCGGGAAATCTGGAACGAATGGATTCGTGAGACTCTCTTACCGCGCGCGTACCTAGGATTTTCGGGATTGGTAGCCGACACGCAGTTCGCGCATCTGGGTGTGGTCCTGGTCGGTATTCTGGCGGATGTGATGAGCGTGGTTGGTCCACCGACTGCACCGAAAGACGACCAGAAGAATACTCTGCAGGCAGAAAGCAAGAGTAAACCAATGAGCCTAAAAGCGATCAGTCTGCGTGTCACGGGTCCACAAAGTGGCGAGATTGTCGAGAGAATGTACGATAGTGATGATCTGGGAGAGGTGGTTGAGAGGACGGCAGATGCCGGTGAGGGGACAGACGACGATACAGGAGCGATGATTAGAAGAACAGATACTCCCTCCCATACCGACAGTAACACACTTGCAAGCGGGATACAAGAACCCGCTGGACCTGTCGCGAGCCATGATGATGCAGGAGAAGACTCATCAACCTCGACAGCGAAACCGCACGCTGCGGACGCACCCCCGTCTCGAGATACAAGCAAGAAGCCACCACCGAAACCAACATCCTCGAAGATCACAAAAGGCAAGAAGCAGAAAGGGAAGAAGAATGCGATTGACGACCTATTCGCCGGGTTATTATAACCCACTACCTCATAGCAGACGAAATATTGTCACTGTGCCTGACGAAATGCGTTTACATATAAAGTAATGTATATTGTATCATCAGCCTCATCCGGGCATATTTGTACCATCCATAAAAGACATGGACCGTCACTCGAACGCTAGACGCCGTGCTGTATCCCTCATCGGTGCTCGTGCTTCAGAGCCTCCTTTCGGTCCCGTCCAGGCTCCGCGCTGTTCGCTATGCAAGAAATACATTATCAATAATATCCTAATCCACATCTCCACATGCCAGGAAACCACTTGATCAACATCATCGCCGAAAAGGATCCTGCATTCCATATCCTCTATCGCGATCGCGATAATCCCGCTCCCTTTCGAAGTCTCGATCTTGTCGGTCTCGCCGCTCTCTATGCAGATCCCTATCCCGCTCCCAATCTCTAATCGGACTTCGACTCCTAGGCCGTCGCTCTCTGTCATATGGGCCTTCTCGCGGTGGTAATGGCATGTTGTCCATGTCCCTAACACGTCCCCTGTCACGATCAGGACCACCGCCTGGGTCGCCGTCATCATAGCGGAGAGGTTCACCATACTCAGGCGGCTGCCGAGGATAGCGCCCTTCCCTAAATGGCGGCCGATCATCTCTTCTGCGGTCCTTCAGGGGTGGTCCACGTTGATCAGGGTCTGCGCTTGAATAGGGTGGCACATATGTATCGCGATCGTGAGGTGGTCGTCGACTGTCCACAGGAATTGGACCTCCAGGACCATCTGCCGGCACTCTAGACCTTGATGGTGGTGGACCACGACCCTCGTCCCGATAAGGCGGTCTATCTGAGCCTCCGTGGCGATATGAGTCGTGTTCTGGAACAGGTGGCCGGGCAGGTAGACTGTGTTCCACCGGAGCGCGTTGGGAATAGCCATCATCGTACGGCTGGGACGCATGTGTCCGAGGCTGATCATACGGCGCACGACGAGGTTGATCGTAAGGTGGCAGATCCCGATGAGACTGATTACGATGCTCGCCACCTCCATAGCCCCTGTTCTGTGCAGGAGGACCAGGCGCACGACGATCACGGCCTTGACCATTGTGTCCATTTGCGTATGGACGACTGCTAGGAGCCCGAGGACCAGTTCCAGGTCCACCTCGACCATCTAATGGAGGCATTCTACGACCATTGACGTCCCAGTCACCCTGTGAGTCAATGCCGACCGATCCGCCAGCAGGAGCTGGTGGTGGTTTCTGCTTTTGATCTCGGAACTTCTTACGATCCAGCTCGTGGGAATCTTCAAAGGTTGGTAAGTCGGATGGTCTGGCAGGGAGGGGTTCGGTGTGGAAATATGGATGTTTCAAGGCGTCAATGGCGTTGATCCGTTTTCGCCAGTCGAGCTTCAGAAACTCGGTCAACAGCGAAAGTGCCACAGGACTGAGTTCTCGAAAGACGCGATGTAGCGTGGGCTGCTTTGGCTGGAATTCAGTGACGCCGTCACAACCAGGAAGTTCTTTCCAGCCTGGCATATTTTCATCTGTAGGCGAGCCGACTAGGTCGAAGATGATGGTAGCTTGGTTCAGGTCGGTATTTCCTGGTAATATAGGGCTTTTCTTGAACATCTCGCCAAAGACACACCCGACACCCCACATGTCAATAGCAGTTGTGTATTTGCGCAATTGCAGAAGCAATTCAGGCGGGCGGTACCATCGCGTCACGACCAGCGTAGTGTATTCTCTCGTGGCTTCTCCTGCACCGTGACCAGGTTGAGGCGGGTCGTCGTAATATGGACGCGCAAGACCAAAGTCAGCAATCTGCAAGATCCCACGGTTGTTGATCAGTAGATTGGCCGCTTTCATGTCCCGGTGCAGGATCTTGTTCTCGTGTAGATATGCACAGCCCTCAAGAAGTTGCTTCAGATAGCACTTGATCTGCGCCTCCGTGAAATTGACCCGGGGGTTTTCCAGAAGTCCAGACAGATCATGATCCATGTATGGTGTGACCATGAACATGCTTGGTTTCTTGCTTGCGCTTTTTGGTCGTTCGACAGCCATCTCTTCCAATTTTAGGATGTTGATATGGTCCAGCTGTTTCAATAGTTTGATCTCGCGAAGAGCCGTTATAGGGAACCCATCTTTTTCATTGTGCATCAAGATCTTCTTCAATGCGACAACTTGGCCCGTCTTCTTAGACCGCGCCTTGGAGACTTCTCCGAAGGTTCCCTCTCCAAGTTTTCCCAGGTATTCGTAGTCGGTAATCCTTGAACATCCATGGAAACGAGGCCTTCCATTGTCCAGTCGCTCGAGAGACTTTCCGTGGGATGAAGATTGCGAGGACATTGCGAGGACGACCGCGATATTGGCCTAAATCAGTGGTATTGATGAGCAACCGCGAATGGATTGCGCTGCTCAGACGAGCCGCTCAACCTTAGATGCAACCGTCGCAAGCCCTATGTTGGTATTGGAAATGTCAAGGACAAGGCCGAGGCCAAAATTGCTGGATGGTCTCGTCATCTAGGGACAAGAAACAACTTTCTCCTCTCCTTTCGGTTCGGGATGCGAAACAAAGTCTTCAGTGTACGTGTTAGACGAGATGTTGTGTACGCGGCGAGCGCAGTAAGTATGGGTTCGTTTCTGACGTGAGTGCGAAGGCGGGCAAGAAAACGTCATGAATATTTTAATAGAGGCTCATAACAGCGCAAGGACGAAATGCAGGGCAGCTGCGACAGCATAATATGAATTGAACTCAATTGCAAAATGAATGACATGCCCACAAAGATGCATCACATCGCACTCCGATCCACGTTCTCTTCCGCCCTCGTTTTGAGGATCGGTCCTTCTGCCAATCACGGTTGACAAGGCTTGGATATTCAAGCTAGACTATTTACAGGCTAGTGCAAGATCTTGCCCTCACTTCGCAGCTGCGACATCAATCCATTACTTTGCACTTTTACAGCCTCGCAATCTCAACACTGTCGACAGATCAGCTGCAATCCGGTACGATACTCCAATAGTCCTATCCTCGCGAAAGCCACATCGAACAAAACCGTAACAGATCTGTCAAAATGGCCAAACCATTGTGGAAGGGCAATCATCCCGTCGGACAAATCAACCCACAACGACCTCTCTACCGGTTCGCAGCAACTGGCCTCGGAGCAGCTATGTGGTTCTTCGTAAGCTTCGAGAGCTCAATACGCAACCCGAGTCGCTGACATCGTGATAGCTGTTCTATAGAATGAAGAAGGACGGTCCAGCGTTATTGGGCTTGAGGCATCCTTGGGACCACTGATCAACTCACTAAACGCAAACGATCATCACGAACCACGGTGCAACACCACTTGTACATACATGCGATCAACTTAGATGGGCGTTCCGGGAGGAAGACTCCTTTCGCGCGGTGAATGGGCATCAGAGACGGAACCGGTTTCCCGCCGGCCGAGAAAGCGTCACGGTTGAAAAGACAGTGGTGGATTACAGATACTGCGTCTGGCAGCAGTTGCTAGCAGACGACAGCCTGAGTAGCATTATACAATGCATACCAAGAACATCCCTCGAGATTCAAAGTCGTCCCTGCTTCCCAGAGCACACTCTTTCGGACTGACACAGGCCACGCATTCCAGCTTTCCTCGGGCCTCAGTAGACAACCCGTCAAAGTTTATCACGACTGGTCGAGTGTTGCTGCTGCACGACCGAAAGTATCCCCTGGAGGTAAGCCAACATTAAAGAGGAAGCGTCGGACCTGTGGGAAAGGGCGCTCAACCAGCCGCATTCAAGCCATGGGATGACTGTGAATGTGCAAGAGGATACCCCAATAAGCTCTCCTCCGGACTCATACCTTTCCTTCCTGCACTGATTGTATACAGTACACACTATCGCCTAAGCGAATCCCGTTTGGCGTTACGTCGCACGTGACCCCGGACATCGTCTGTCATCAACAGGTATAAGTTGATTGCGACCGCAAATCACACCAGATTTCTATACAGCATTGCTACATGCAAATCCAAGAACACCGGGCGAGTTTCGTCTTCGCGCGACCGCCGTACGACGAGGTGGGAGCACTCCCATTCCAATAGCCTGTTCTGATATGAGAGGACCGCCTACGCCAAGCTACCTATGTTCGCTGCAAAGGGCGTTTCTCTCGGTTCAACGTTGTTTTCTGTACTTCCTAGCGGCGATCTCCTCTTGTACAACGGAGGTTTTCGTCGGATGTGACGGCCTCCGTTGCGTTGGCAACAGCGCCCACCACACAGCCAACAGCGCTCCAGGTTCGGAAGGACGGGTTTCTTAGCTCTATCAGGGGCAAAACACGATGGACAGGAAGGACGACTACGGCTGTGCGGAGCTGAATCTAGGTCGACTTCGAGACAAGGTCGAGTCTCTGATAAGGCGGCCTATACGCTGGATAATGCTGTATTAGCCCGAGGGAGAAACCCTGGGGAGAAGGAAACCCAGTCGAATAAAGGAACGAATGCCTAGACCAGCGAGGCAATTGAACTGGCTCAAAACCAACGTAATATACGGTGAGTGAACGCCAGATCAGACGATGATTGTTCTGTTCCTGCAATAGATCACTAACACTGTTGACCCGGAACCATCAGGATCCGTTTGATCTGAAGACTACACCCTGCACAACGCGGCTTCTTAGGCCGGAGGAGGGTGCTTGTACAAGAAGCCGGTTGATGGCGATTCCCCTCCATGCATATAAATTACAGTGTCTCATGTAGACTTCTCCACGAGAGCAACGACCGTTGGTAAGGGATACGGTCAACAGGCACAGCACGGACTGAATGACTTCGAAGGGCACCTTCAAACCTTCAGAGGCTGTCTCATTCGCAAGCAATCCACATCCGAAGATGGCCTCCTGTAGTACAAATAGTGAAAATTGCTCAAGAGATACGTTGACCCAATTGAACTGTTTTTCCGACTGCGTTGGAGTCTACCTCGTTTTAAGTGTTGTACATGTTGTGCTGTACAGAGTCTATTTACTTTTCTGTATATCTTCAATGATGACCTTGTACTTCTTCCTTATTTTCGGGTGAGAAGGTCTCAACTTCTCCTTCAGCCGGCCGATGTATTTCGACAGGCCAGGGAAGAAATGTCGCTCCGCCAGATAAGACAAGGCAAACCCAGCAACTGCCAAGGCAAGCAGGAACAGTTCAAAGTCCAATGACATTTCTGTCAAGTCCATGAAATCTGCCAGCCATTTCGCCGGGTCGAGAAGCATGTACAACGAGATGAGCGATGCCACCGCAATTGTAACGCAGAACGGTACATTCGTCGTCATCGATTGTCGGAACGGCGGGCCAACACTAAGGACCACACCGGAAAGCGTGTATTGGAAGCAGGATACCAGGAAAAGCGCAGTGTTCTGCGAGTTGTCGACGTTCGATTTCTTCCTGTCCAATCGAGGTGGTATATACCATGGTTGGTTCTGCACTGTTTGAAATGCGACCAGCTGGACAAGAATAGACAGGGCAATCTGACCCAACAACGGAGTCAATACCTTCCTCGAAACGAGGTTAGCAGTAGGCCGCTTTTTGCTGAGGACCGGGTAAGAGCCTGTCCAACCCATGAAAATGGCGATTGGCAGAATCAGAGCGAGATCGATGAACAAGAATTGGAAGTCGCCCAGATTTGATGCCGATGCGTAGAGGAAGCTGACTGACGTGAACTGGATGGCCGAATACAAACTCATGTATTTGAAGCAGCAAAAGCTCGTCACAAGAGCTGCCCGACCTTCCTTGATGAGGGCTGGCACGCAGGAAATGTCGAAAATGTGACTGGTGAAGGGTGCTGCAACAGATGCTTCTGCTTCGGAAAGTGACACACCGACGTCGGCCGCCTTCAAAGCACCACAATCGTTTGCACCATCACCACAGAATCCACAGCAATAGTCGATGCTTTGTAACTTTTCGACGAGTTCTTGCTTCTCGTCCGGCGACATTCGTGCAAAGACCGAGCCCTTGACAAGCATTCTTTGTAGGACTTCTTTGGGGCCAAAATCAACGACCCAGCGGAACGCATCCCCGGTGACGGCTAGGGTGTAATCGCCGATCGCTAGTGCATCATATGGGGCGGCAGTATCTTCTTCGGGTGACAATTGTAGTGGAAGCAAAGTGTGCTCATCGAGCTGGTACATTGAGTTGTCGACACTTTCCCAAGACAATCGAGCTTTCGGATCCATTTTGTCGCCGTCCATAAAATGGGGGACGAAGCAATGCTCGTCGCGGTTGACAAGACCACATTCTCTTGCGACACTGATAGCGGTCAAGATATTGTCGCCAGTACACATGATGTTTCGAAGGCGGGCTTCATTCAGCTCTTCGATGATCTCGGTCGTGATGTCTTTCAACTTGTTCTCGAAGACAATGAATCCAATGAGCTGAAGTCTCGACTCTGCTTCGGTCCTCTCCATGGTATTGATTTCGTCCCAGCTCAACCTCGAGACATACTTGGAAGCACATGCAATCACACGGAATCCTTTGTGAGTGTAATAGCTTAGTAGGTCGTCGAAATCGTCAGGTATGCTCGAAGCTGTACAAATATCCTTCATGACCTCTGGAGCACCTTTGACGTAAACGCTGGCTCCAGGATCACCATTCTGACGGACAATGACGCTCGCTCGTCTAAGGTGTGAGACGAACTCAAAAGATCGCAGCACGCCTAGCTCGACGCGCACAGGGTGAGGATTGTTTTCCGAGTCGTCCAAATCATACTCAAATCCTTGCGGTGGGTAAGCCACACTTGGCGCGATTTGACTTGTCCCAGGCTCGATGAAATGGCTTGTGGCGCGTGACCCCTCCTCAAAAGACCAACCAGTGAATTCAAACATCTTGAGATCGAGAGGATCCCCAATGAGTTCATCGTCGACCAGTCTGAGTGAATGACAGGTTGCCATAGTATAGAGCATGTTTTTATTGACACGATAGTCGACTGTGGGATCTCGATCATAGGACGCTGGTGGCAAAACATCATGTGGTTCTTCGAGGATGTCTCCAAAGCGGATCTCGGGATGCTGTACAAGTCTGACTCCTAGCACATCCAAGCCATCCTCGGTCAAGGTTCCAGTCTTGTCAAAGCAGACAACGTCGAGCTTTCCAGCGACATTCACTCTCTGTGGGCTGATGCAGAAAATTTGCTGTTTCTTGAGTCGAGACAGGGCAAAATTCGTACCAATGGTGAGTGTTGCGGGCAGGGCTGGTGGTACCACAATAGTGATGAGGTCCAATGCCCTCACCACGATGAGATGCCATGCCAAGCCTAACTTGACGAAGTTGATGAACGAAGCGATGAAGCCAACTGCCGCGATGCATCCCATGACAGAAATGTATCGGAAGGAGTCCCGGTAGAACTTGAAGCCGGAGGGTTTAGGGAAGAGCATTGAACGCACAAGCGCACCCTTGGTAGTGTTAAAACCCGTGCGAACGACCATGGCGAGAGCAACAGCCTCGTCGTCATCTGTATCTTGCGGCCGTCTGGCTCTGATGATTTTCGTTCCGCAGAAGAGAAAATAACGAGCTACACTCGGGTGAATTGAGGTCGCGCCCAAGTCAACATACGGGAGGGCCTCATCCGTGATTGGTACTTTTGAGACCGGGATGGATTCACCTGGCCCGTCAGTTTGATTTGAAGACGTGTAAGAGTGCATACTAACCAGTCAACATGCTCTCATTGATGATGCAATCGCCAGAGAGGAGTAAACTGTCGCAGGGGACCTGCGAAAGTGATGGATCTGACACCTCATAGACATCACCAGGCACTAATTCACCAGACAGTGCGGAACGCCCTTGCCATCATTAGTAGACAATTTCAGGCAGACAAGACCTACTCACAAAAACCGTTTCGAAGCACTCTGACATCGCATTCGAACCGTGATATCTCTCGTAAACGTGCCAGGGTCTGACATTGTCATTAATGGTATCAGGGGACCGATGCTGGTACTTACTGCTCTAGTCTCAACAACAGTGGTCGTGATAGAAAAGACAGATATCACAAAGATAGCAAAGGCGTAGTAGTAGTATTCGTCCGCTGACCACAAGATGAGACTTGCGATTTGGAAGATGTAGAAAGGGTGAAAAGCCTGAGCCAGGTCAGCTGTACTCGAATCTTTGATGGTAGAAAAGACTCACCTCGTCTAGGAGTAATTCTGGAATTGTCTTCTGCTGGATTTCGATCACGTTGTTTCCAAAGACTTGATCCCTTGGGTCTCTCTCTTCGGTATCCAGACCGTCTCTCAGTGTTTTAACTGCCTTCCACTGGGGATCCCACCAGTCGTTGTTGAGAACGAACTTGTCCTCCAGGGGATGATAGAATAGCCTCATATATCTGTAGTCAAGGTAGCGCAAGGAGGGTAGCTCGCGATCTCCATGGCGGTAGCCGTTGGTCTTTTCCTTCCCCGAGCGGGTGAAGACCGTCGACATGGGATGGCCATAGTCTTCCACCGTGATATAGTTGACGGTAAATTCGCCCCATTGATTCTGAGAATTCTTAGCTTTCTTTCTGGGACGCTTTCGTTCGGGCCCGTAGCTCACCTCAACAACCACCCAGGAACACGTTTTGAGGGGCGTCGGAGAGCCAACGAGCGATATGCGCCATCGTGGAGCCCAGCGGAAGACAAGATATCCTATACCGGCGGTCAAGACGCAGATGACGACGTAGAGGAGGTACCCGATCGAACTGGTCGAGAAACCTGCAATGACCATGGTCAAGTCTTCGTTCTCGATGTACAGTTTCTGACTGAAGCTGCCGCCATCATCGTGCTCTTGAACATCGCTTCTCGTAGAAGCATGCCTGCGGAGGAGTGGCTGATCTACCGAAGCCCTGTTTGAAGACTTGCGTCGAATGGGAGTGCCATCTCCAGCTTCCAGGTCACGTTCCCTTTCGGGTATATGTCCATTCTCTTCATCGCTGACATCTTCGATGGCCTCCTCATCCGAGTATTCTGGTGTCTCGTCCTCGTCTTGAAAGTAGGTGAAGCTGGAGATAGAACCTTGCCGCTGCCTCGGTCGTTGGTACGCAAAGCCTGTAACGCTGCTCGGTACACTCTCTGATATTGGTCCAGAAAATGGCTGTGGTATGTAGGGTCAGCTGCGGACTTTGACGATACCAGCGAGACGAACCTCATCGGTAGCCATTTCAACCTCAGAGACAAAACTGGCACTAGAAGACAAGACTGTCAGAAATCGAGCGCTCAAGCAATCGCAGTCTTTGTACGTACGTGCTCATATTGGAATCCCGGCGGTGCATTGTGCGACGATTATTAGAGCTGCTCCTTAGAAACAGCCCACCTCTGGGTCTCTCCGGGGAATCCATGGTTCGTGAGATGTCGAGTGCCACCTGGGCACCTTTGACGCGATCCTAGAACATCGCAACGCGTGAGAAGAGGAGGACGACCGGAATCGTACTCGAAATACCTTGTAAAAGTATCTTGGTCGAATTACTTCACATGAAAGCAATAGATCCTTAGTGTGCCCCACCCACACCAGCGCAATGATGCAACTAACGGTCGAGGGAAACCACCCCAGATTCCACCCAAAGCATTGACAAGGATCTTCTAAGTACGAGCGTCGAAGATTTGTATGATTACTATTCCATAGCATAAAATATAGGCCATGCTAGTCACCTATACATCGTTCTCCTACTTCACATGATACACCTTCGCAGATGCACGAAATTGGGAATGCTTTCGATATTTCCTTCTCAGCGTCAACGTCAACGGTAAGTTCTGCTGTACCTACAACATGAACAACGAAAGGGTTCCTCAACTCCAGCTTTGGTAGTCCGGCCGACCCCTGATACTAAGTGCCTTTCGGATCAATGGCTCTTCGGCGTCACAGAGCACAAAACTCAATCCATGTTGCCGATCGAGTCTCCCCGCGGAGACCATATACAAGCGTACCGCGTCCACGATTCAGGGATGCAGATGTGACGTATACATGCCTTGAAGTCTGACTGATAAGCAATGTATATAATGCTTGAGGGGTAGCAACTTCCTCGATAAGCCAACAACCCTCTCAAGGTCCTCAGGTAAACAGTCAAGTATTTGTCAGGATGCTCACAATCATTTCTGCGACCCCTTCGCCTTACGCGCGCATGAATCGCATAGCGCTGCTTGAGAAAGGTATTCCATTTGAACTGAAAAACGAGATCCCATGGCACGAAAGCGAGACACAGACTCCGCTATATAATCCTCTGGAGAAATTGCCAATCCTGCTGTTCGATGACGGCAGAGAGCCTGTATATGACTCGGCGCAAATCCAAGAGTATATCGTGCAGAAATTTGCGGACAAATCACCTCGTCTGGTTACGGGCGACGTGGACAACGGACCTCAAAGCGAGGCAGATCCAGACATTGTGCGAGGGAGTGATGGACGCTTTTGTGTTGCTATTCTTTGAGATGAAACGCGATGAAGACAAGCAGAGCAAATCGTGGCTGAACAGGCAGAATCGGAAGATTGACGGTGCGCTTAAGGCAATGAATGAGCTTGCCAAATCCAGAAAAGAGGGCAGTGATTACCTGCTTGCCGATGTCATGACCATTGCAGACATCGCGGTCATCTGCGCTGTCGGACAGGTCGACTTTGGCGGCGTTCGCCCAGGTTGGCAGGACAAGTACCCAGAATTGGCAGCCTACTGGAAGTCGTTGGATGCAACGAAGAATTTCGCGGATACCAAACCTGTGATGTTCGACCTGAAACACAATACCGTGGTATAAAGGCTGGATTGGAGGAGTCGGAGAGCATCACTTTGGCTGTGAATATCAGCTTACGCAGCGGGACAATTGCGACGAGTGACAGTCAGTGAAGCAGGCTTGTGGGGACAAGCATAACTTATGCCTCTGGACTCCAGGTAGTCACAAGCGCCGAAATAGCGAATCTCTCATATGATAACCATGGTGTTTGTCATCTTTTGATTGCGCACAACTAGTCTTCATGGCGACGCGTAGCTGCCTGGCTGAGTCGATGGCGACACGTAGAATTTTTCAGAGTGCGAATGTCGTAACAGTAGTAGATGAAGTTTGACGGAGACCACGTGACACAGGGCCAGATGTTCAGTCGGTCGATAAGGAATAAGGAGGCCAAAAGCAGGGCCAAAGCAAGGCCAAAGCAAGGCCAAAGGAGGCCAAAGGAGGAGGCTCGACAGCAACGTGGGCCACTCATCCCGCGCTAGCGGCGAGGTTTTCTCGAAACCCATCATACCGACAAAACGCATCGCAATTGTTTTCATTGAATTCATTCACTCTTCCTGTTCTTCACACTGTCACTGAGAGCTACAGTCATTAGACTGCTCTTGCCTATATACCGTCACTCAGTGTCGTCTCCTAAGGATATTGTGAGGCCTGCTCAGATCTACCTTTCCAACCCTCCCGAACAACACCTCAACCGAAACCCACCGTTGAAGTCCCCATTCCCAACAAGATGGCGGAAATTCCCAAAGGCCGCAATGTTACGGCACCGTATGTACTATCCTTATGCTCCTCCAACTATCCTTTCGTTGTCTTTCAGACCGCTAACATGGCTTCCGACCTCAGAACCCCTCAGAACAGTATGGTCACTATACACCCCACCTATCCTGAATGCCACTCACAGTCATGTAGCCCCAGCGTCAAACGCGCCCATCTCCTCACATGCTCAGGCACCCACAATCGGCGACATTCAAGAAGGTGAGACATTGATGATTAGAAATAAAGCGGTGAACTAATCGCCCGGCAGAGGACCTTGATCGCATGGCTGCAGCTTCGATATTCGCAAAGAATCCCGCCCTAGTCTCAATGATGCAATCGAAGCTGGGCAGTCTCGTCGGACGGTCATCCGGATACGTCGAATCGTTACCTGCTCCCGTTCGCCGCCGTGTCACCGGCCTGAAAGGTATCCAGAAAGACCACGCAAAGCTCGAAGCAGAATTCCAAGAAGAAGTCCTCCAGCTGGAGAAGAAATACTTCGCCAAGTTTACTCCCTTGTACGAGAAGCGTGCGGCCATCGTCAATGGAGAAGTCGAGCCAACTGAGCCAGAGGTCGAGGCCGGCAAAGACGAGGAGGAGGAAGAGCCAGAGCAAGACACGGATAAAGACGAGAAGGCTACCGGAGAAGATATGAAGGGTATCCCAGAGTTCTGGCTCACAGCCATGAAGAACCAGATCTCTCTGGCTGAGCTCATCACCGACCGAGATGAGGAGGCTCTCCGATCCCTGATTGACATCAGAATGGAATATCTGGACCGCCCCGGTTTCCGGTTGATCTTCGAATTTGCACCCAACGATTTCTTCACAAACAAGACCATCACAAAGACGTACTTCTACAGAGAAGAGAGTGGTTATGGTGGTGATTTCATCTACGACCATGCTGAGGGTGACAAGATTGACTGGAAAGCTGGCAAGGATCTGACGGTCCGAGTGGAGAGCAAGAAGCAGAGAAACAAGAGTACGCTTTTCCAAACCTTGAACTTGATTCAGACGTACTGACAATGGCATAGACACTAAGCAAACCCGGGTCATCAAGAAGACCGTGCCCACGGAGTCCTTCTTCAACTTCTTCTCCCCTCCAGTCGCCCCTACCGACGAGGACGACGTGGCATCTGACATCGAGGAGAGACTCGAGCTCGACTACCAGTTGGGCGAGGACATCAAGGAGAAGCTCATTCCCCGTGCCATTGACTGGTTCACGGGTGAGGCACTTGCGTTCGAAGAGTTCGAAGATGCTGAGGATGGCGAGTTTGAGGACGAGGATGATGAAGATGAGGAGGACGAGGAAGAGGCTGAGTCCGATGAAGAGGACGAAGAAGAGGGTGGCAAGCCTCGCTCTCAACAAGCCTCCGAGTGTAAGAATCAGTAAGCGGCCCAAGCGAGGAGTTTTCGATATCAATGGACTGGCAAGTCATGGCCAGGAAGCAGTGAGCAGCAGATCGGCAGGATAATGGGTTCCATGCTGCAAGCACACCCCATTGCTGACTCGATTCGAGCATGATGGATGTTTGAGTTTGGTGGTGGTTGATCCATCATCACGGAGAGAAATGGCTCGGTTCACCCAGACCACGGCGGTACCTTTGTTTGTCCACGTTGAACTGGCGTTGGAGCACCATCAACTACTACCTGCGTCAATCAAAACTCATATTGGCAAAGGTCTAGTCTCAATCACAGCAGTTTGTAGTTTCCTCTCAAGACCAGGATCGGTAATACGAAAAAAGCGATTTCCTGTTCCATATAGACATGTTGTTGTAAAGCTGGGCTTGTCGATCTCTACAGTACATATAATGTACATAATAGTATATGTCTTCTAGCATATAGTGATCCTTGATCGTGCAGAAGATTTCAGTGGAAAGGGGCCCTCAACACCCCCGGTGCACATTGCGTGGAACAATTTACTGAGTCTTATTACAGTGGTGCTGTGATATCGTGAAGATCATGGGTGTAGAGTGGGCGCCCAGGGGTAAGTTTAGCGCGGTCTGGTTAGAAGAGGAAAGGCGCCGACGCATTTGCTGCAGACCGCCCAGTGAGCGGCCGCCTGGGATGCTGCCATGGCGCGTCTCGCAGTTCCCGAGTCCCTGAAGACACTTTCTGACATGCGTGTGTCCTTGTTCCCCAAAAGATTCCACGCTCACCCGCACCTTTAAACACCCAAACAGACGGTCCATCAACATCCCCCGTCAACTCGAAGTCTGTATCAACACACACGCACACGACCCGTTTGACATTGTTAGTCATTGCCTTCTGTCACTAAGCGGACTGTGAAAGTCAACAACACACTCAATTGACACGTCTCTCCTAGGCATTCCTCTGTCGACTACATGGCTCCCCTCGCTCCGGAATAGTTGAGATTGCCATCTACACGTCCAGCACCATTGCCAACCATGGCGAGCTGGGAAGTCGGCACTCGGGCCTGGTTCCCTAACCAGGCCGAGGGTTTCATTCCTGGCGAGCTGGCAGGGAAGAAGTCTCTAGGAGATGGGAAAGTAGCCCTGGTATTCAACCTGGCCGATGAATCCACGCAGACGGTCGAAACCACCGAGGCGGCACTCCTCGATACGCATCAGAATGCCACGCTACCACCTCTCATGAACCCTCCCATGTTCGAAGCCGCCGAAGACTTGACCAACCTATCCCACCTGAACGAGCCTGCGATTCTGCAGGCCATCAGATTACGCTATGCGCAGAAGGAGATATACACATACAGTGGCATCGTGTTGATAGCGACAAATCCTTTTGCACGCGTGGACTCCCTCTATGTGCCGCAAATGGTACAGGTGTATGCGGGCAAGCAAAGAGCATCACAAGCACCGCATCTGTTCGCCATCGCGGAAGAAGCGTACACGGACATGCTGAGGGATTCCCGAAATCAGACGGTGGTTGTGTCTGGTGAGTCAGGAGCCGGCAAAACAGTCAGTGCCAAATATATCATGCGTTATTTTGCGACCAGAGGCGCCCCTGGGCAGGCAAGCAAGACGCGCGCAGACGCCATCAGCGAAACCGAAGAGCAGATCCTCGCTACCAATCCGGTCATGGAAGCTTTTGGTAACGCGAAGACCACGCGCAACGACAACTCGTCTCGATTCGGCAAGTACATCGAAATCATGTTCGACAAGCAGACCGACATTATCGGTGCCAGGATAAGGACATATTTGCTGGAACGTTCGCGACTTGTGTTTCAACCACTAAGGGAGAGAAATTACCACATCTTTTATCAATTGGTAGCTGGAGCTACCACTGAGGAGAGGCAAGACCTCGGTCTGCTTTCCGTCGAAGAATTTGACTATCTGAACCAAGGAAATGAGCCGATGATAGAAGGAGTGGACGATGCTGCTGAGTTTACAGCCACGAGGAAGTCTCTGAGTACAATCAATGTCTCCGAACATACACAAAAAGAGATCTTCCGCATTCTCGGCGCACTCCTACATATTGGCAACATCAAAATTACGGCAACACGAACGGATTCATCACTTTCTTCCACGGAGCCCTCACTTACGCAGGCATGCAGCATTCTGGGCATCGATGCTGGAGACTTCGCCAAATGGACTGTCAAGAAGCAGCTAATTACCCGAGGAGAAAAGATCACCTCCAATCTCACGCAACAACAAGCCACCGTTGTCCGGGATTCAGTAGCTAAATTTATTTACTCGAGTCTCTTTGACTGGCTGGTCGAAACCATCAACCATGGCTTAGCAACAGAAGAGGTCTTACAGAGAGCCAGCACGTTCATCGGTGTACTTGATATTTACGGTTTCGAGCATTTTGCCAAAAACTCCTTCGAACAATTCTGCATCAACTACGCCAACGAGAAGCTGCAGCAAGAGTTCAATCAGCACGTCTTCAAGCTGGAACAGGAAGAATACGTGCGTGAGCAGATCGACTGGACATTTATCGACTTTTCTGATAATCAGCCTTGCATTGATCTCATCGAAGGAAAACTTGGTGTCCTGTCACTTTTAGACGAAGAGTCACGGCTGCCTATGGGGTCAGACGAACAATTTGTCACCAAGCTGCACCATCACTTCGCGGCTGACAAGCAGAAATTCTACAAGAAACCGCGCTTCGGCAAATCCGCCTTTACAGTCTGCCACTACGCTCTGGACGTCACATACGAGTCTGATGGCTTCATCGACAAAAATCGCGACACCGTACCAGATGAGCAGATGGAAGTGCTTAGGAAGTCTTCGAACGCGTTCTTGGTTGAGGTGTTGGATGTTGCTACTGCGGTCAGGGAAAAGGACTCTGCGCAATCAGGCACAAAGACGGTTGCTCCCGGAGGTGGACGTCGGGTTGGCGTCGCTGTTAACCGCAAACCTACGCTAGGAGGCATCTTCAAGAGCTCCCTCATTGAACTGATGCAAACCATCAACTCTACCGATGCCCACTATATCCGGTGTATCAAGCCCAATGAAGCCAAGGAATCGTGGAAATTTGAAGGTCCAATGGTTCTGAGTCAACTCCGAGCTTGCGGCGTTTTGGAAACCGTGCGCATCAGCACTGCAGGTTATCCTACGAGATGGACATATGAAGAGTTCGCCCTCAGATATTATATGCTTTGTCCATCCTCAGAATGGACAACCGAGATTCGGCAAATGGCGCAGAACATCCTGGTTAAAGCTTTGGGAGCAACAGCTCACCAGAAAGGTGAAAAGTACCAGCTCGGCCTGACCAAAATCTTTTTCCGTGCAGGAATGCTGGCATTTCTGGAGAATCTACGATCGGCTCGTCTCAAGGAATGCGCTATAATGATCCAGAAGAATCTACGCGCGAAGTACTACCGCCGCAAATACCTCGATACTCGGCAATCCATTCTTGTCTTTCAAGCAGCGACTCGGGCATTCTTGGCCAGACGTAGAGCTGAGGAGACGAGACAAGTCAAAGCAGCCACCGACATTCAGAGAATCTGGAGAGGACACAAAGCTCGCAAGAACTACAAGCAGGTCAGAGGCGACCTTATACTTTTCGAGTCCTTTGCGAAAGGCTTTCTTTGCAGAAGAAATATCCTCGAAACACGGATTGGAAACGCAGCCATCAAGATCCAAAGAGCTTTCCGCTCATGGAAGTCCCTACGTTCCTGGAGACAGTACCGCAGGAATGTGGTCATTGTTCAAAACCTGCACCGTGGCAGGACGGCCAGGCGCGAGTATAAGACGTTGCGTGAGGAGGCCCGGGATCTCAAACAGATCTCATATAAACTCGAAAACAAGGTTGTGGAGCTTACTCAGTCGCTGGGAGCCGTCAAGCGGGAAAACAAGACATTGTTGTCGCAATTGGAGAACTACGAGGGTCAACTGAAGTCTTGGAGATCCAGACACAACGCCCTCGAGACACGGTCGAGGGAGCTGCAGACAGAGGCCAATCAAGCCGGTATTGTAGCAGCGCGATTGAGTGCTTTGGAGGAGGAGCACACGAAGTTACAAGCCAGCCATGATGAACATATGGGCAATGCGAAGAGGCTTCAAGAGGAAGACCGAAAACTCCGAGAATCGTTGCAAGCATCCAATACCGAGCTTGAGAAACTGCGAACAACAGTCTCTACGCATGAGGGCGAGAGAGGTACTCTGCGACAACAGATCAACGAACTGCAGGATCAATTAGAATTGGCGAGAAGGGCACCACCCCCAGTGGCCACGAACGGAGTCAACGGAGACTACGCAAACGGAACTCCACCAGTCAACGGCCTGATCAATCTTGTATCATCCAAGAAGCCTCTCAAGAGACGAAGTGCTGGAGCCGCCGAACGCAGTGAAACCGATCGGTATAGCGGAGCCTACAGTGCTCGACCTGTCTCAATGGCTATCGACACACACGTGAAGGCAATGTCTGGCTCAACGTTCGAACCCGGTCTGGACAGTGTCGAGATGGAGCTTGAGAACCTACTTGCCCAAGAAGACGAGCTGAACGAGGAAGTCACTATGGGCCTCATCAGAGGAATCAAGATCCCTCAACCCGGCGCAAACCCTCCACCTACCGACAAAGAAGTCCTGTTCCCTTCGTACCTCATCAATCTCGTCACCTCTGAGATGTGGAATAACGGTTTTGTCAAAGAGTCTGAACGTTTCCTTGCCAATGTGATGCAGTCCATACAACAAGAAGTCATGCAACATGATGGAGACGAGGCTATCAGTCCTGGAGCATTCTGGCTGTCCAACGTCCACGAGATGCTATCCTTTGTTTTCCTTGCCGAAGACTGGTATGAAGCACAAAAGACGGACAATTATGAATATGACAGATTACTCGAGATCGTCAAACATGACTTGGAAAGTCTTGAGTTCAACATCTATCACACATGGATGAAGGTGTTAAAGAAGAAATTGCAGAAGATGATTGTGCCTGCAATCATCGAATCTCAATCTCTTCCTGGTTTCGTCACAAATGAGAGCAACCGCTTCCTTGGAAAGCTCCTACCTTCGAACAATACCCCCGCTTACAGTATGGACAACCTTCTGAGTCTATTGAACAACGTCTTCAAAGCCATGAAGGCTTATTATCTTGAAGACTCGATCATCACGCAAACAGTGACTGAACTACTCCGCCTGGTTGGAGTCACGGCCTTCAACGACCTCTTGATGCGCCGCAATTTCTTGTCATGGAAACGAGGACTACAGATCAACTACAACATTACACGAATCGAGGAATGGTGCAAGAGTCATGACATGCCTGAAGGAACGTTGCAGCTCGAACATCTCATGCAAGCAACCAAGCTCCTACAACTCAAGAAGGCGACGCTCAACGACATCGAGATCATCCAGGACATTTGCTGGATGCTGTCACCCAACCAGATCCAGAAACTGCTGAACCAGTATCTTGTGGCGGACTATGAACAGCCCATCAATGGAGAAATCATGAAAGCCGTGGCTTCTCGTGTCACCGAGAAGGGTGACGTCCTCCTCTTGGCTCCGGTCGACATGGAAGATAGTGGCCCCTACGAGATTGCTGAACCAAGAGTCATTACCGCCTTGGAGACATATACTCCTTCATGTAAGTTTGCCAATCAACAAATGTGAAGTTTCGTTACTGACTGATTTGATACAGGGCTCCAAACACCGCGACTAAAGCGACTAGCGGAAATTGTCTCTGCACAAGCCATGGCTCAGCAGGACGGCGGCATCATCGCTGATGATGGACTAGATGATGGTGAAGCCGAAGCCGCAGTCGTGTGAAGGGTTGTTGTCTGATTCAAATTTAAACATAAACTTCGGACGAGTCGAGGTTAGGACCACACGCCACGCACCACGTATGGCGGAGTTTAGATAATATGTGGAAGTTTTTGTAGGTGTACCACTTACTGCTCGCCATGACAGGAGAGCATGGGGTCTGCTTTGATCGAGCAAATACTGCGTCGGCGCAGGCAAGCGAGAATGTCTTTTGATATCTTTTGGGCATAGCAACGGGCGGTAGCGTGGCTGTTGTCATTCATGAATGCAAGCGAGCAATCCAGAGACAAATACATCCTCATTGATCTGCCTAGTACCTGCGCCGTGAACGAGCCCAGCAGTTTTTCTCCTGGAAGCAGGCAAGCAAGTCAAAGCTAGCCCCTGGAGCCCCTGAAGGGCCAGCCTTGCCACCCATGTCCCAACCACACGGTTCCATGCTGGGCTACGTGGCATCTTCAGGTACCTTGGCGTCAAATCCATTCAAGATAGTACTGACGTATGCATAGAATCCCGTATAATGGACCACTGCCGCAGCACCGTCCTTGCCCAACACTTTAACCGTCCTAGCCCAGACACTCTGGTCGACGACACCAGGGTCTCCAGCAGCCGTAGCGAGTGCGAATGCGGCCTTGCCTTCCTCCGTTAACGTGTCTGGACATTTACCCGCGTGAATCTCACTTAGTGCAGACTCAGAAATGCCCACACGTTTCGCGATGATGGCGTGCGCGTAGTTCTCGTAGGCGCATTTCGCGCGGGCCCCGGCCACGGCGATGACGACTTCCTTTGCGTACGATGATAAACCCGGGATGGTCTGGAGAGCTTTGATTAAGCTGTAGATTGACTCTGCGACGGGTGGGTGGTGCAGGAGGATGCCGAAGGGGCCGATTAACGTGCCGTCATCGAGAGATGTTCGTGGGGATCTGGCGTATCGTTGGTTTGTGTATTCGCTGAATAAGGCGTGTGGTCGCTTTTGAGATTCGGATAGATCTTGGGGTGGGGTCAGGCCTAGACGGTTGGACATGTTGCTTCGACAGTACTTTCACGACGTTATGTGGAGTGATAGTATATGTAACTTTGGTGCAGACCGACCTTGTATGGTCAAGGCAACTTGCCAGGGTTTAGTATGTGATTGAACGACTATGTTGCTTGCATTGTACCGTAAAGAGATATTCCCTCGATCAAGAGACTTCGTTCTTGAAGCGGGCCCCTTAAGTCGGGGTCACCGGTGAAGTGCTCAGCCGGCAGTGCTTTGATTACGAAGACCTCGGCACAGGCACTGAAATTGGCACTGGCAATGGTACTGCCTCTATCGATGGTTTTCGCTGCTTATATAGAAGCCTTACGCTTACCCCAGGCAGCCCACCATCTCAGGACGAAGCCAGTTGCCTCAGCTTCGTGCTCAACTTGATCAATCAATCTGTGCCAGTCCGCCTCAGTCATTAGACCGGCATCACCTAACTTTCCTAGTCCTGTCCCAATGGCCATTCTCATCCCACTGAGCCAGACTCTGCCTGCTTGTCTCGTTTCTTCGCTCCTTGCATTAACGCCAATCTTCATTGAGGCTTCTTTCTGCTCGATATCAAATATCTCGCTGGTTGCACGCAGTAGATTACCCAGTTGACGACAGACATCGGTGTTCAGTCCAAACTTGGCGAGGAACTGGCCGATCGTCTTGAACATTCTCAAATGTGGCGAGCCGCTGTCCTCGTATGCATCGTTCGACATATAGCTGTCCACCAACTGAATCTAGCCGCCTGGCTTGACAAGCTTAGCTAGTCTCGTGGTTGCCTTGACTGCACCATCGTATCCACCAGTGTTTGACAGGACCGCACGCTGATGAATGAAATCAAATGATCCTTGCCACTCGTCTGGCCATTCCGCATTGACGTCCTGCTAGTGCCGCTTGATGTACTCCGGTTTGTGCACATTGTCCTCGAAGGGCGCGATGTCCGTGCCGATCAGCGTGGCGGAGTCTGGATGGGCTAGTAGTGAGCGAGTTTGAGTGAGGAACAAGCCATCTGCTGTGCCCGAGTCGAGAATGCGAAGGCCAGGGGCTGTCAAATCTACGGGACAGAGAACGAGGCCGCCGAATGCTGCTGTGACGAGATGGCTCTGAGCTTTGAGGCGTCTGGACTCGGGCTGGTCGTGTGGTCCGCGATATTGTGGCTTCATGTTTGACTGTGTCATACAAAAGGCACTTCGTCAATTCCCACTCGGTGCACTCATTGACGCAGAATGGGTTTCGCGATTTGTTCTTTTCGCGAGTACCACAGCGGTTGTTCCCGGACACGTTTCTGATGTTGCAAATGTTTCAAACTTACCTGTGTTGCCTCCGTGCAGATAAGGCCGCCCAGAGGAAAGCCATCGAACGTCAGCTACGCTACAAGTCGACCCCGTCTCTGCTTGAGAGCTTGTTCTGAGCCTACTTCGCCAATCGACGCATATTAGAAGACCCTGCCGCCCGCCTTATGGAGAAGGTGACGTTGAGAAGTGTAGACTCGGGAATCCTGGTAGAAAGAGTAGACAGGCTGTGCTTCACCGTAAAAAAAATGCCAGTCCCAAAGAGGAAATTTACCCGCAAAACTTCAGACTGCCGTCCAGAAAAAAAGTTGATGGACTTGTGAATGGGTGCAGCCAATCCTGCAAATACACTTCTCGCAACCGGCCCTCTCGTATGCGTGCGACCGCATTGATAGTAGTCATTCAACCCGAAGATGCGCTCTTTACCAAATATCCTGATCGCAGGAACACCCGGCGTGGGGAAAACCACCACTTGCAATGAAATCCTCAGTCTAGCCTCTCAGTCCACCCCCGCCCTAAATCTCAAGCGCCTGTCCATTAACGACATTGTCAAAGATCGAACATGCCACACAGGTTATGATGAAGACCTGCAAACCCTGATAGTGGACGAGGACAAACTTATGGACGAAGTCGAAAAAGACATCTCCGACGGCAACGGCGAGGGTGGCTGGATCATCGACTGGCACTCGACCGCCGGGTTTGCAGTAAGGTGGGTGGACTTGGTGGTTGTATTGAGGTGCGACGAGACGAACATACTTTATGACCGACTCAGGTCACGAGGCTACAAGGACGAAAAGGTGCAGGAGAACATGGATGCCGAGATCTTTGGTGTGGTGACTGAAGAGGCGAAGGAGGCGTGGGATGAAGAGGGCCAGGTGGTCGAGTTGAAGAGCGTGGAAGCTGAAGATATCGAGGATAACGCAGAGAGGATCATCCAATGGGTCAAGATCTGGGTCAAGGACCACGGCGAATGAAGACAGCGTGAGCCTCAGCGAGGTTTTGTTTACGAACCGTCTATGATCCACCCGGGTCGCTGATATGCCGCACTCTCAAGGATCCAGGCTACCGCCAGCAAGCCATGCTTTCAGCTTGTCTAGTGCTTTGCCGCGATGAGATATCCGGTTCTGCACAGATGTCAGCACACACTGCCTCTCGCAAAATTCAAGGGGGGAGGCCAGCCGCTGAACGACCCATTAGGCAGCGTGAAGACATACCTTCTCAGCCTTGTCCATCTCAGCATATGTCTGGCCTTCATACTCAAAGATGGGATCCCAGCCTATCATACCCAGTCAGCATCGAGAACACAAAACCTAGTGATCCAACATACCGAAATGCCCTGGCCCTCTCGCCGGCACGATCTTGCCCCGAGTCCGTCCTTGGAACAGGATCGGTTCGTGTCCCGGTCCAGCGCAGTACGCAAACGTACATACCGCATATGAGGTCTTGTCGTCATACGCAGCAAGCAGGTTGTTCAGCCCTTCGTGCCCAAGCGCCCCAAGGAAGTGTTTTCTGTGGGAAGGGTAGAGAATCAGTGTCTGGCAGGCAGGATGAAGCTAGAAACCTGGTCAAGGATAGAGAGGGACAAGGGAAACGCCATGCTCTTGACGAGCATGTGTGATGTAGGCGCGATCATCTCTCGTCGAAGTCCGTGGCTCATTTCTTTTCACTCCTATCCACGCAGAGAGATAGACGGCGTAGCAATAATTGATAATAATGTAAATTTAAAACTTACATGTACGGTCCCGGCAGGCCCTTCAACGCTTCGAATTCCAATGCAGTATCTTCCGTGAGTACCGGTCCATTGACCTGGATATCTGTCATTAGTCTCAATCCGGCATTCAAGCATGGACAACAACGATTGCTGACAGGCAACCGGAGCGTCTCGCACATATTAAACATCGGTACTCACCGCTACAGCCGCCCTTGAACACTTATCTACTGCAACCTCCTCGATCGTCCCTTGAATCTCTGCACCTTCGACGTTCTTGCTCTGCAGAATCAGGTTCTTGACTTCTCCTAGAATAGCCTGTACTTCGGCCAGCTTGTTGGCGTTGCCGGTGATGAAATTGAGAGTTGTAGGGCGTGGTTTGGCCATGATTGAAAAATCTTGCTTGAGAAGAATTAAGTAGTGTGATGTTCTCTCAGAATTGACGTCAAAGGACTTGAAAAGGGGAAGATATGTGATATTGTGCAAATGGCTGGTGAGATAACCTGCGATCGTGTAGTAATTAAACTGTTATCAAAATGACATGTGGTGGAGCTGGCACTTTTCCAGCAGGAGCAAGACGCCGAAATACAAGGGACTACGATATGAGAGCTCGGAAAGGCAAGACAGGGTGACATACATAGCCTTGCTCATAAGATGTTTATCCAGGATGTAACACCATTGACCATATGCAGATGAAACCATGCAGTATATCTATGAATCCTCCTGCGCCTAACGCTATGCAATGAAAAGAGATACGCCATGACCCATGCTAGCTTGGAATGATATTCTTGACGCCCACACAATGTCCTGCTTCCCATCTAGAGCCCGCCCTCATTTCAGCTTCAGCAGTTCAAAGTCACGATACTTCTCAAGGTATTTTTCTCCTCGTCGATGCGCTTTCAATAGCTTTTCCGGTGTCGACCCCTTAGGCGACGTGTTAGGAGCCATGGCAAGCTTCTTCAGAGCAGGACTCGGATTGAACATAGGATCAAACACAACCAAATTCACACCGCCATCCACCCTGCTTTCGACACCAACGATTGTCATGGAGTGGCCCTGATGCTGGAAGTATATTGGTGGTTTCTCGGTGATGACCACTTTGTCCACATTGTCCTTCGTCTTATCGTCATCAAAATATTCACAGACCGCGCAAAGCATAATGTCCGCCGCGTCAACATCGCCTGTGCTTGTGTAGGCAGTTGCTTCGCAGGGGATGTTGAGACTCGTGAACAATGCCTGCGCTTCGGGAGTGCCGATGTACTTTCGAGTTAGCCGAATGCCCCCTGTCTCTACCCGCCCGGTTGAGTTGATACCCTTGTCCCAGGCTTCCTCGATCAGGTCTTGGACTCGCAAGATTGAAGGCAGTCGTTCACGAAAATGTTTGCTTCCACTGACACGAGCACCGCGGATGTAAGATATCAGCATCTGGATATTGCGGTAACCACAGAACCCTCCTTCTCTTGGCATTTTGCATACATGCCGCACTTCAGGATTGCAATAGAATGCTCGTTCCACCGTTTTATCAAGCTGAGAAAGACGCGCAAGGACGGGGACGAGATCTGGTGTTTCATTGGCAATGGTCTCGACCCGTACCAAGGCACCATCAGGTCCAATCCTGTTAGTGACGGTGACCTTGGCTCCTTCTTCCAACATTCGACGTAACCAACTTGGCATCTGATGCTCGTGTGCATATGGACCCAGTTCTGCTCTCTGTACACGATTAGTTTGGCACTCAGAGCATTGGTCATCTGCACACTCACCCCTAAACGCCGTGTCTTCCCTTGTTGTGCGGATACACCACTGTAGGCAGACTTTCTCTTTGGAGACGACGGACTACCCAGAAAGACCTCCTTAAGTGATGGAATCCGTCTTCTGCCGTTGCTTGGAGGTGTCTTTGGCTGTAATTGATCGTGATTTCGCAGTGATCTGGGGATATTCGTGCTAAAAGAATCAGAGACATCTCTTAGAGGTTGGTGGTTGGCAGACAGCTGGGTAGCCAGCTCCACAGAGGGCAAGTCGTCTTCCCCAATGGAAAGCTTTTCCTGGGCATGCATGTCGGCGTGTGCATCGAGCTCAAGGCAGTGGACACGTTCGCCGCATACGCACTCCACCCATTGTCCATCATCGTTGCCATGCGCAGAGGATGAAGGGGGGCTAGACGGTGTTGTTCCTTCCACATTTCTCGTGCCATTGATAGCAGGAACGACGGGCCGGTCTGGTAACGCAAGTTCGGAAGGGAGTCCAGCTTCCTCGAAAGCAAGAAGCTGAGCAAGTTCGAAGTCGCTCAGCTGATTTGTGTCGGGACGTGCTCCCATGTCATCCCCATGTTGTTGATTAGCATGAACTTTTTGAACATGATCATCCAACTTGTCAAAGTCAAGACTGCCGAATGCACAGAAGGGACATCGGAGTCGCTGCTCTTGATACTCGCGTGCCATGATGAGGGTCACCTGAAACAAGGGACTATCGAACCCGCCACATCATCCTGTCACGGTTACGAGACAACTTTATGGGATCTGGAAGCCCATCTGGTGATTGACTGCAAGATATGACCTGTTTGCAGCCGTGTCAATATCGGCAGCGACGAGGACAGAGACGTGTCTAATGTGGCGGAGCGATCATTGCAGTGAACAAGGGATTCCTGGTAGAGGTCATGGATAATGAGTGAATGACTCGCATAAGAACTGAACGGATGCCAAGACGAATCAGTGAAATCAACTTTGGTAGTCTTTGGTGTCCTCAGAAACACGAGTCATGGCGACGATTCCGTCGTCCCAAAGCCTTGCTTGTCAGAGCTGGCGGGAATGGCCTGGTCAGTATGTGATGCGTCAACCGGTGTATGCACATGAATGCTGTATCACGTCTAAATGCAACCTTCTGTAGACGAGCTGCATCTCTCTCTATTGCGTGCATAGAGAAATGACGCTACTTATAGATGGACTGATCTCATTCGCCGAAATCGGCCGCAATTCTTTTCTCATTCTCACCGCCTTTCTACTGGCCATTCAGCCCCGCGTTCAATTTTTTTAATTCTGCCCGCCGCCAATGACTCGGAAAAAGGGCTGGACATCTGCCACCGCTGATGTGATGCGCAGTTTTGGCACATAGGAGTCGGGCAACGGCAGCAGTCATAATCCTCCTCCATACATTCTTTCAGCGGTCAACTAAAAGTTTCTCGAGTCATTTTCACCCTCTCTTTCTCTTCCTTATACCCATAACGAAGAATGTCATACGGCGCTCACATATATCCCCCTCTACTCCCATCATGACCTCCGCCGCACCGACTAATGGTCTCGACAATGCGACACCAGTCACCAATGGAACCAACCTCCACAAACCCCGAGCCACAAACGTACTCAAGTTCGGCGGTACCAGTGTCGGCAAATTCCCTCAGGACATAGTCAATGTGGTCAAGTCGAGTACGGTCGGCAACGATGTTGCCATTGTCTGCTCCGCACGGTCGAGCAGCACCAAAGCCGCAGGTACCACGAACCGATTATTACGAGCAGCGACCGAGGCCGAAAATCATAGAGAGTTTCAACACTTGATAGAAGATGTGCGGCTGGATCATATTGAGACAGCCCAGTCATATATAAAATCAGAGGAGATACGTGCAAGGCTGAAAGACGAGATTGAGGCAGAATGCACCTTGGTTTCACGAATATTGGAAGCTGCTCAGACCTTGGGGGAAACCAGCCCCAGATCAAGAGACAAGGTCATGAGCACGGGCGAAAAGCTGAGTTGCCGGTTCATGACTGCACTCTTGCAGGATGGAGGTGTCGAAGCCGAGTATGTCGACCTCGCCGAGATCATCGATTTCAAAGTCGCGCACAGCCTTGATCAGCACTTTTATGACAACGTCGCCAGGGCACTGGGTCAACGACTACGGCATAGTTCGGGCAAGGTGCCCGTGATCACGGGATACTTTGGTGCCATTCCTCGCGGACTGCTTACCACAGTGGGTCGAGGCTACACCGATTTGTGCGCTGCGTTGGTCGCAGTTGGTGTCAAAGCGCAGGAACTGCAAATATGGAAAGAAGTCGATGGAATCTTCACCGCTGATCCTCGCAAGGTCCCTACCGCCAGGCTGATCTCTCAGATCAGTCCCGCAGAGGCCGCTGAACTTACATTCTACGGTTCCGAAGTCATCCATCCTTCCACCATGGACCAGGTCATTCGAGCACGGATACCGATACGCATCAAGAACGTCATGAACCCCAGAGGAGGAGGCACCATCATCTACCCTGATACTCCAACCGAGCTACACTCTGCCCTTGCAGGACATGACCCAAAGCTCTTCAGGACACGAAGTTCCACTGTCTTGACAGCGGAGCAGAGGAAGCCAAAGCGCCCAACGGCGGTGACGATGAAACACAAGATACTGGTGATGAACATCCATTCGAATCGACGATCGCTTTCCCACGGTTTCTTCGCCGGCATCTTCGCCACATTGGACAAGTGGCGGCTGTCAGTCGACGTGATTTCCACCAGTGAGGTCAACATGTCCATGGCCCTGCACTCTGAAGCTCCGCTGTACACGGGCGGAGGGGACGACGACTACCAAATTGTGGATCAAGACCTTCGCGGCGCCATCGAAGAGCTTCAAAGCTATGGCACCGTTGACATCATTCCCGAGATGGCCATAGTGAGCCTCGTGGGCAAAGAGATGAAGAACATGATGGGTATCGCCGGAAGGATGTTTTCGACCCTTGGCGAGAACAACGTGAACATTGAAATGATCTCACAAGGTACGTGCAGAGTCTCCGACAGCAGACTGTTGCGTGATCGACCTGACCGTGCTGACGATTGTCTTTCTAGGAGCCAGTGAAATCAACATCTCGTGTGTGATAGAGGAGCGCGATGCGGACCGGGCGTTGAACATCTTACACACAAATCTGTTCACTTTCTTGGAAGCATAAACAGTACTGCATTTTTTCTTCGAGCAATATCAGCGACATAGTACAGCATTTTGCCGGAGTTTTGCATATGACATACGCCACACGTGGTATAGATTGGGCGGTCTCCCAGGCCGGTGGTCTTCCTCTGGCAGGTCAAAATTGAGGGCATGTGCCTGAGACAAAAATGGGTCTAGAAAGCATATTGAAAATGGTTCATTTGGGGTGGTCCCACGATATTCAGAATGATGTCGATGGCTGTCTGCGGGTTAATTAGAGTCCATACGAATTCAATAGAGCCACAGCAGGCGACAGCTGTCAAGTTGAATTCAAGAAGCTCCATCAAGACCTTTACAGGCAGCCTTTTCTGTACCTGACAGACTTGATGTCAAACGCCATGCCCCGCCCCAAGTGATCTTCCCGTACTGCCACCGCACTGACGGGGATACTGTGGAAGTGCCTGGATATTTGACACACGAGTGCCATGATTGGATGCTGATGTGGCAGCGGGATATCATATGACTATTGAGATTGGCGAGTGGCGGCATGGGACCATGGGTGAATGGATGCTTCTTCCAAGCACCTTGTTCCTGGATAACTGGATCGCGTCGGATCAGTCGAGTCAAGGCAAGGAGACATGCAATCACAGCCAATGATGAGTCTGTGGGGGAACATTCCCGCAGCATAGACTTGACACAAATAACCTGGAACCAAGGCATTGAAGAGGAATTCCTGGATCGAGATGCGGATGATTGGATGGAGATACTCAGCTCTTCCTGGTCGAAGTTTGGTAGACCAGTGGTGGATGAAGCTGAGATCACGGGAACTGGGACACGACCGCGTCTGGGGCCAAGTCACTAAACCTGAATAGGATAAAACCAAACCACGGCTGCGCGTCACTCAATCATAATGATTCCTCATTGAAATTCAATGCTTGGGTGGCATGTCTAATTCTTCTCTCTCCATTCCAAAGGCGCTGACATTGGAGCATTGGTCCGAACTGTGCCGCCTTTTTCCCTGCTTGACCACCACAGTAAGCCTTCGGTCCCTCTCAGCTCTTCCAGGTCTTCCATGTGCCCTCCCATCTTCCATTAAAACTTAGCCGCCCACCACCACCATCGATTCGATCACTCCACGCTTCGTCCTACCTCGCATAACGCCCACTCACCCACCCATTACACGTTACTTCACTTCTCTACTTCCTACAGTGGTAAACAGTAAACAACACCTCTTTTCGATCCATTGTACACAATACCCTACAATACCTCAATAGTCTTGTCGAAGAGCAGAAAATAACTGCCACCTCAAAGCACGCAGTCGACATTTTTCACCATCATCCTCGGCCCCTCGAATCCACCCACCGCAGCCTGGATCCGATCGATTCCCTCCTCCAATTCTTCCGCACAGACACGTCCGTCCATCCACCTCCTAGCTTCCACGAAGCACTCGACTCTGACGTCCATCAAATTTCTCCTTGCTTACAGAGTCTCCGGATTCTCTTAACAAAAGTGCTGGGCCCTCTGTCATCCGTTAAGTCAAGGCTTAGACGAGCCATCTTACCTTCCACGCACTTTCAATCCCAGGCAATCTCAAATTTGGTTAATGGGACGAATACTCCTCGTTTCGACGCGACTTCTACCACCGACTTGTCACTACTGGTATATCTGAACACCCTACCACAGTCGTCGCCATGTCGTCGACGCGTCCGAACCCGTATATTCAGATCTACCAAGATCCGATGCCGCTCCCTTCCAACATATCCCCGACACAGAAACCACGACCACATCTCCAACCATCCGCCATGCCTCTGCAGCCGATGAGAAATCCACCTGGGCATCCAGAAGTCATCCTTACCGCTCCCATGATGTCTCCTCACCACCAGATGTCGCCTTTGAAGAGCCATCCCATGTCACCACAGAGACAAAACTATGCAGCACTCAATTACATCCCAATACCTCCTCCACCCACGGCTGCAAACATGTACACAGATTCACCACCGAAGAGACATCACATGGCGACGAATCAACACTTTCGCCCAGTACAAATGATGCAGCAACCCATGTTCACCACCTTCAACAGCAATTTCGACACGTTCGAACAAGAAAATTATCCACCACCAACGATGCACGACCATTTTGTCGACTTTCCAGAACCCTCATACATGCGCAAAATGCCGCTGAAGAGATCATATTCAGATGCACCAACGGTAAATGAGCCGCCGTACAAAAAGGCTCGTCAAGAGGAGGAGATCATCACACAGCTTCCCGAACCTGAAGATATGCCTGCCATTGAGGATGATGGGAACAAGCCTGCCTATAGTTATGCCCAGATGATTGGCATGGCTATCCTTCGAGCACCGAACCGACGACTGACGCTGGCACAAATTTACGAATGGATTTCGAACACGTTTAAATATTATCGTGAAGATACCAAGCAAAGTTGGCATAATAGTATCCGACATAACCTGTCGCTCCACAAGGCTTTCACAAAGCAGGAGAGACCAAAGGGCGATGCCGGCAAGGGAAGCTACTGGGTTATTGAGCCCGGCATGGAAGGTCAATTCATCAAGGACAAGAATCGACGGGGAAACAACATGTCACACATGACCATAAACACCAACATTATGCGCCCAGAACCTGAGAAACTTGCCGCGCCGCTCTCTGCTGCTTTGGTGCCCAATCCTTTCATTATTCAGTCAACCGAGCCGCCACGACCACATACAGCCCCTGCATTACCTGAACTGTCATCTGATGCTACGCTGCCTGCATCAGACCCGGCTTTGAATGAGCCAGAGACGGCAGACTTCGAGACACATGCGCTTCCGGCAGGACCAAAATCGTCTCCGCCTGACGCGATCAACTCATCACCTCCCGTTGGCGTTTCCAACCATCGTCGGAACATATCTTCACCTACCACGCGCATCAAACGTCCTGCTTCGGTACATCGACAAAAACGATCTTTGTCGAAGATGGACGACAGTGGCTACTTCTCTTCCATCGAGTCATCTGCACTGCGGCCGAACAAGAATAATATAGTGCTCACGTCTGAGCTGGACATTGAACCGTTGAGAAAGAAGCAGGGCCGCGCTGAAGAAGAGATTGCTCGAATTCGCAGCTCTTCTCACGATCTTACACCTAGCAATGTTAGATTCAGCAATCACGCTACCGAGATGGCTCATTCATCATCGCCTGTCAGAGTCAGTCCTGGCCACAGACTGAACCCTGTTACTCCATCGGTTATATTCAAGAAGCCAGCACGACCTCCTCCCTCAGTATCTCCAAACACCCAACTGCACCTCCATCGCAAGGCTATGAACGACTTTGTGAACTCCCCAATGAAGAGCTTTGGTCAATTCGACTTTGACACATATAGTCCATTGAAATGGTCAAGTTTGTCGTCATTTGGGACAATGGAGGAATCTTTCGAGATTTTCTCTGATCCGGCGATTGGTATGACGCCGTTCACGCCTGGTTTTGCCTCATCGCCTATGAGAGGTTCTGTTTCTCGTCCAACATTGGCACGAGCATCCACGACCAATGTTCTCTCAGAGATGGCTGGAACCTCCTACAAACTCAACGCAAAGACACCCACTCGAGGTAGTCTATTGAAACCTGGTGTACGCGCCAGTCTATCAGGATCTCCGCTTAAGAGCTCGAGGGAGCCTGTTACCATTCTTGATGAACATGATCTATTCGATTTTGGTTCCTTCGAAAATGATCCTGCTGATGACGACGACGGTGTCGACATCTTGAAAGGATTTGAAAGGATTGGTGGACCTTCTGTTCAGATGTCTGCTGATCATGTTCGTCGACCTTCACTGGGAGGTCGAAGTTTTACTTCACGATTTTAATTTGACGGTTTGGCGGTGTCCCGGTACATAATGCTTATTGGATTTTGCGAGCGAGGAGGGTGAGGTTCCATCCTGTGGTTGCCTTGATTAGCGACAATGGATTGGATATTCATGATGGGAGGTCTTCGGTGTTCCAAGCCCACAATGTGAGAGCTTGTCGAAGGGGAGACAGATGAGGAGTGTCATCAGTGCTTGGGCTGACACGATGTCAAGAGCTTATGACTTTTCATAATTGGTTATCATGCCTTTCATCATTTTTGACGACGATATGGGCTGCACGACTGACGGAATGGGGGACTATTGTTTGAGAAGAACATCACAAGTACCGCATGTATGGTTATGCAGAACGATTAGAGTAGTTGCGCAGCAATGCAAAGTATGCCCCCGACCGAAGTCGAGCTCTTATGTAGAAGGACACTGCATCAGTAGGTGAAGATGAAGAGAGTTGTTTCAACGTAGGACGGTGGTCGTTGTCTTCGGTGGTTCTGGTTAGCCAATCCAATCGTGCACGTGACCTTTTGCTATATCACAAAAAGTTTCCCGTGTTCATTCCTCATACACAAGAACAAGGTCCACATTGGATCCTGCACACCCACCACAATCAGCTACGCCCTCGATCGATCTGGCATTGAAGTTCGATTAGATCCCAGGATTCAAACCTCCAGTTTCGAATCAGCAGGGACTGTTTCAGCGAGATGTCAACCCCACGATGTCTCCGGATAGCTATTGAAGCATGTCGACCGTGCAAGGTATGAACATCATCAACCAGGACGAGGTTGCGCAGACAAAACTGCACGCTCTTCCGATCTTCATCATTGCACCCAATATCCAGCTAACCGTCCGCTCATCTACAGACATCCACCCTCCGCACGCAATGTCGAATCGCTCAACCTCGAAGACGAGATTTCTCATCGGGGCTCCCACGCTGCGCCAAAGGCGAAGACATCACCGCAGGCTTCCCCATGCCTGAAATCGGCTCGCATAAAATCCAAAACCTAGAAGATGAGCCTGAGAAGAAGAAACCTTCTGCGTCTCCCTCCACCCCCGGTGCCCCAGTCACCCGCACAAAGCGCAATGAGACCGAGAAGATCTCGTCGAACCGCACCACGGCCACAGGACCTCCCTCCAGCGGCCCCAAAAAGCAGTCCCATTCCAGGGCCGTTGACCCTCCCCGACTCCGAGCCACCGAACAAGAAACAACCACACCATCATCTGAGCAATCGAAGCCACTAGTCCCTCCAAACGTGCTCGCCGCATACCGCACTCCCCTCCGCCACGCGCCGACCCACGGCGTCCCCGTCGCCCAGCTCCAGTTACGCAGCTACAGCGTCCGCAATCTCGAGTTCTACGCGGACTTTTGCGTTCGCGCGGCGTACTACCTGGGTCTACCCGCCACAGGGCCCGCGCCATTGCCCAAACGCACGGAACGCTGGACCGTCTTGAAAAGCAATTTCGTGAACAAAAAGGCGCAGGAGAATTTTGAAAGAATTACAATGAAGCGCCTTATTACGATCTATGACGGGGAACCGGGTGTTGTGGAAGTCTGGCTTGCGTTCTTGAGAAAGTGGCAGTTCTATGGGGTGGGCATGAAGGCCAATCTTTGGCAGTGGGAGGAACTTGGTATGTGTCTCATCTCCCCTCGAGAGTCGATGCCTAGCCTATTGGGCCATGTTATGTCTATATGTCTTCGGATTGCTAACTATGATGCTCTCAATAGATGTAGCAGGCAAGATGGATCGAGACTTCAGTTCTCTTGAGAAAGACCTGGACGACAAATTGCGTCTCTTCGGTTTTAACAAGTCTGCGAAGGACAAGACGGATCTGTTGCGTCTCATGGAAAGGCAGAAGCATAGACAGGTTGGTGTTGGTATGAGTGAGATAAGAGAGCAGTCTAGGACGACGGATGATCCTTGGTGAGAAGGCGTGGCGGCACGACTGGTCTTAGGCACGGTGCACAACCGGGCTATATGTCGCTACAGTACGCTACAGTACGCTATGACACGCCGTTCAGACGGTGGATATGGTGGGAGGCTGGAGCCAGCGTGAGACATTCGAGGACCGTCATGCATGTACATGTAGCTATAGTACGAAGGCCGAAGGGGTCGATGGTAGATGGGCCCTCTGAAGGTGCTTCTAATATCAGGGAGCAAAGTATACTTCGTCATGTAAGAACAACTGTTGATCTCAGCATGTCTGGTCTGTCAAACAATGGTAAGAGGCCTATCACCTTGTCTCTGTTGGAAATACATCGAAGCCTTACCTGGAGGGCACAAGTATAGCGTGCCGAGTAAGAACATGTCCTAAGCTGACCACGTTGATTCCATCAACATTGTTGAAGATCCTAGCCTCATACAGTCAGTGTGTGCAACTGACCAGATCGAGTACGGAACGATACTACTTCCCGTCCTGGACAGATGATTATGAAATCAATGTGGTATTGCAGCCAGTGCAGGTCGTGGTATAAGGCGAGTGGCCGCGGTATTCATAGCAATAGATTCTGGAACCATCATTGTAAGTGCATGCATACAACCACATTATACCCACCCGTAAACGACGAGATACTCATTGGCGAACACATCGTTGTGCCGGCATACACCGTGATACGCCTGGGAGCTCCAATGTTCGTTCGCATATCATGACTTGTCCACCACATACGCTCCGGTCGATCTCCAATTGCTATGAAACCTGTATGTTTTGGAATCTGTACAGAGGTTTCCGTGGCCCACTGGAGCCTTTCGTCCACTCTCACAAACAAGAGTTCAGAGTAACCCTGGCTGTAGATTGATGCATCTCATATAGTAGGACAACAGTGTCGTAGTACGTGAACAACATCTGCGATATGTTCGTCATCCCATACGAGATCGCTTGACGAGAAAGGTCCTACGCATGCAGGTATTGCCAGAGCAAGGTTTAAGTCCACGGAGATTGGTCGGCGACCCTGACCGGAAGGATGAAAGGAACCAATTCCGCAATTCCTTACCCATGGCAGAAGGGCAAAACTTTGCGGGGGAATGTGATTGAACGGGCCAATTGCAGATCCGATAAAGGTGCTCGATCTGTGCTTGGAGTCTGGGGCTTGGGGGCATTGCGGCACACGCGAGCCCCGCTTGGGGGCCCCTTTGCAGAAGGATGTACCGCGTCACCCTAACTTAACCCCAAGATGTATCATTGGGCCGTGTCAACCCTGGAACATTTCCGCACGCCGGACCCCAGAGTATATGTCGAGGCCAGCCGGGTCTCTGCCTGCTCTTGTACCTCAGCAGATTGCTTTCGGAATTCATTTTCTCGGAACGTGCAACAACAAACCGCAGCAATGTCTCCAGGTCGACAGACTGGACAAGAAGAGTACGATTTCATCGTCTGGTAAGTTTTGTCCATTGGCCATTCCTGAGCCGCGTCCTGACCAGGCCTGTATAGTGGTGGCGGTACCTCGGGTTGTGTTGTGGCAGGGCGGCTAGCTGAGGATACCAATGCTCGAATACTCCTTGTCGAGGCTGGACCTCACAACAAAGATCTGGAGAATGTCCACATGACTGGTGGATGGTCAAACAACTTTGACAGTGAAACGGATTGGAACCTCGTTACGTCGCCGATGCAAGGTGTAGATGGACGACAAGTCAAGCTCAGCCGGGGCAAGTTCCTGGGTGGATCTTCAGGTGTGAATGGTACACTGTGTATTCGTGGAAGCAAACAGGATTATGATGACTGGAAGTAAGGCCGACCTATCGCGGACTGGAGAGAGCCATTGCTGAATGCGTCCAGATTACCAGGTTGGTCCGGCGATGAGATGTTCCGGTACATGAGCAAGGTTGGCATCCTCGTGGATTTTGCTGGGTATATCGACTGACGCCACGCAGTCCGAGACGTTCCACAACAAGCCATGGTTTCAAGCCGACGAGAAAGCTCATGGTTATAATGGCCCTCTTCACACGGAACCGCATGATCTTGCCCCCATCTCCAAGTTGGTGCTGGAGTCATTTGAGTCCTCTGGGATGCCACTAGTGCATGACATGTTCACGAATGGCGAAACAGCTCATGGATGCGGCCACGCTCCACGGACAGGTGTGTCACTCAGACAGTATCTGGTGACAATCAGCTGATCTTGCAATCCAGTTCATAAAGGCATCAGGACCACAGGCGCCGATTTTGTCACTAATGACCAACACAAGCATAATATCGACATCGTGGTCGAGACGTTGGTGGATAAGATTAACTTTGAGAAACAGAATGGCCAGTTGGAAGCCACCAGCGTAACTCTCGTGGACAAGACAGGAGCAACCAGAGACGTGAAAGTCAGGAAAGAAGTAATTGTATCCGGAGGTGACTGCTCCCATTCCAGATGATGGATGCGACTCCTGACACTTTCAGGTACTTATTGCTCGCCGGCAATTCTTCTTCGATCAGGCATCGGTCCAAAGGACGACTTGGAGAAATTGGGCATCAAATGTTTGGTCGACTCACCGGGTGTTGGGAAGAATCTGCTCGACCATCTTGTGCGTAATTGCTCTTGTGGCTTGAGACATTTCGCAAGCTGACCTGTTGCTAGATCGTCTTCGTATTTTATGAGGTCGCAAAGGACGGTCTGACGAATGACCATCTGGCGTAAGGCAATCTGCATGTCCTCCCGGCTCCACTGACCAGTTCAGGTACCATGGAGACGCGGCCATGAACTCATATATGCTGTACAAGGAGAAGAAAGAAGGCGTTCTATCGACTTTCCCCTTTGGAGCTTTTGCTTATGCACGACTCGACGACCGCCTGAAAGATGAACCCTTGTGGAAAGATGCGAAGAGGGAGCAAGGTCGCGATCCGATGGGCCTAACGAAAAGCCAGCCCAATATTGAATTCTTCACAACTGAGGCGAGTTTCCTGGCCGTGTTCGAGTAGACGTTGTGCTGACAATTGGAACAGTTATATGGTGGCCCGAAACAATATGACGACCTTCCAATAGGTATGGTCCTTTCTCAATGGTGAAGATTGCGAGACTAACCATGCTTAGACAAGAAACATGCCTTCGCCATGATCACCGAACTCTTCTCGCCACGCTCCAAGGGCACAGTGACTTTGAAATCCACGGATCCTCTGGACAACCCAATCATAGATTGCAACTACCTTTCAGATCCGCTGGATGTTCTGGTCCTGACTGAAGGGTGCCGACTTGGAAACGAGATCGTTATGAAAGGAGCTGGCACCAAGGACGTTATCAAAGGATCATGGCCTGCAAGTAAGTATATGGCGTATGCTTGATGGACGAAAGTTGACAGCAGCTTCAGATCTGGCCCATCATACTTTCACCAGCCGCGAGCACTGGATTCCGCATGTCAAACAGCATGCAACCACGTGCTATCATGCTGCAGGTACATGCAAGATGGGACAATCCGATGACAAGACGGCTGTTCTTGACCCAAAACTGCAAGTACGTGGGGTCAAAGGACTTCGAGTCGCAGATTGTAGTGTGATGCCAACCTTGAATGGCGGCCACACACAAATGCCAGCGTACGTACCGACATTAGAAGAAGGCCCGGCCCGAATTTGCTGACATTTCCAGGTACGCCATTGGCGAGAAGGCGGCAGATCTGATCAAGGAGACTTGGGTCGAGTCACGCCTTGCCAATAGGATGGCAAAGTTGTAGGAAGTCGAAGAATCAGAGCCCACCATCGCTACAGAATTCCTGGGTCATGGCGTAGAGACGGTGTACACAGAGGGAACCGTAAACGTGGTGACAGAAAGCATAGCATTTTGAGATGGTATATGCGGCGTGATATGGTCCGAATGAGATGCGAAGGAGGATTTGATGAAGAAGACAACCTGGAAGAGGTTGAAATAGCTAGTGTAAACAAAACGATCACGATACGCAATTCCGCCTGTGTAAAGCTTGGAAAATTACAAGTCTTGGCCGATATCTCGTATGGTCAGTTCAGCCTTTTCCGCTCCATCCTCTGACCATTTCCTTTAGCATCTTCATGATCTCTTGTATTCGCCTGCGGTACTGCTGACGTCCCTGTGTTTGATCCATGCGTGCCTCTTGCACGCGTTCGCTCATTTTGGACCTCTTCGATGCTCTCAGGCATCCGTCGCGGAGCGTTGAGATCGTCAATGCTAGGGACGAGTCAATGTCGATATTATAGCGATAAATCTTTACGCCCAGATCAACGACCGGTAGAGGGCACCAGTGGGAAGGATATTCAGCAAGCCGAACGGACCAATGCTGAGCCATTCCACCCGTTCCACGAGAGGACGCGGGTCTTCTCCGGAATTCAGCCCACAGGAGTACCACACCTGGGTAATTATCTCGGTGCCCTCCGGCAATGGAAATTACTGCACGACAACTCGGCTCATCCTAGCTTGAAAGGCAAGCAGAGGCCCGAACAATACTTCTCTGTAGTGGACCTGCATGCTCTGACGGCTGAAGCATCTGGGCCTGACCGATTTCGCCTTAGAAAGGAGTCCTATGCTGCGTTGCTGGCAATTGGACTGAAGAACACCCGAGAGACCACTCTATTCTTCCAATCCGACGTAAGCTATCATACCGAATTGATGTGGATATTGAGCACCATTGCATCTACTGGCTATCTGTCACGCATGACTCAATGGAAGAGCAAGCTCAATCTTCCTGACAATGCCAATCTTGACAGTGAGGAAGCTACAGCAAAGCTCAAACTTGGTCTTTTCTCGTATCCAGTGCTCCAAGCCGCTGATATTTTATTGTACCAAGCATCTTTGGTACCCGTTGGGGAGGATCAATTACAACATATCGAGTTCGCCCGGACACTAGCCAGAGGGTTCAACAGTCATGTCAGGAATAGTCCGGACCGTGGGGATGTTTTCAGGGTACCCTCGGCGACGCTGTCTCCCGCGAAGCGGGTTATGTCACTAAAGCGCCCGACACAGAAAATGTCAAAATCGGACCCGGATCCGAAGTCCAGGATCCTTATAACTGATTCGTATGAAGAGATTCATGCCAAGATAAGAGCCGCCGTCACAGACTCAGAACCTGGTATCTCCTATGACCCGGAGAGACGTCCGGGTGTTTCCAACTTGATCGAAATCTTGCGACATGTCACGACAATTTCGGAAACACCAGACGCCATCGCCAAAGACCTGCAGCATATGACCATGCGTGGTCTCAAGGAGATGGTGGCCGATAACATTGCTGAATGTTTGAGCGGCATCCGGGAAAAATTCCTGCAGCTGATGGACCCCGGAAACAAGACTCTATATGAGGAGGTCTCCATAGGCGCCGGAAAGGCTGAGCGAAAAGCCAAATCCACGATGCAAGAGGTACGGGAGTCGCTGGGCCTAAACACACTCACGAGACGACTCGACACACCAACTATTGACGAGATGGAAGATGCCGACGCCGAGTCCAATACCACTGATTTTGACGTCGATCCGATAGATCCAGAGTCCAATGCGGACGACGCTCAGAGGCGAGAGCAAGCTATTCTAGAAGCTCTGCAGGGAATCAGCCAGACATACGCAGGCTCTTACCGAATCTCATCTGACAGAAAAGGCTCTTCACAGAAATTTTAGGAAGATTGTCTTGTACACACCATGTCTAGCTCACGAGGCTGAATTGTACCTATAGTATTGGGATTTTCTCCCCGGTTATAAGCGACGTCATCCGCCCGAGAAGCCGGAATATTTTTGTACCATAGTAAATATTATACCCAAACTCTCCATTGCAGCTACACCTCCACGAGCAAGATCTTCATAAGACAGCACCTCTTGCAAGTCCTGGCAATGCGGCGCCTACGCGTTACATATGCGCAACCATTTCGCCGGCCATTCTCCACGACCAATACCTGCCGCGATGTCGTCGACCTGGCATTCCACCGACACGACCCTCCCGAGCAAGCCAACAAGGGACCATCGATAATCCTCATGCACGGCCTCTTCGGCTCCCAGCGTAACAATCGCACGATGAGTAAGTAAGGCACACTCCCATCAACTCCCAGGAACGCGTCCAAAAACACCTTGCTAACGCTATGCGCCCAGAGTCCTAGCCAAAGACCTCTCCCGGCCTGTTTACACCCTCGACCTACGCAACCATGGCGAAAGCCCGCACTCCCCCGTGCACGACTACACAAGCATGGCCGAGGATGTCGAGCACTTGCTTTCCGCACAATCGATCTCTAAACCCACACTAATAGGCCACTCGATGGGCGCAAAAGTCGCCATGACAATGGCCCTGCGCTCCCCCTCAAAATACTCAGCGCTGATCCCAGTGGACAACGCACCCGTCGACGCTGCCCTCAAAAGCGACTTCGGCACATACGTCAAAGCGATGCGTGAAATCGAGGAGCATAAACCCCCAGTCGCCAAACAGAGCGAGGCCGACAAGATTCTGGCAAAGTACGAATCCGACACAGCGATCCGTCAATTTCTCCTGACCAACTTGGTCAAAACGACACCTGGTGGTGCCGAACACCAGCATAAGCACGGTGAACACAGACATCCTCAAAAGACGGAGTTGAGATGGCGTATACCGCTGCACACTTTGGCCAAGAGCTTGCCTGCGATGGCGGATTTCCCGTTCAAAGATCCAGACGAGGCGAGGTTCGAGGGGCCCACGTTAATTGTGCGAGGGACGAAATCTCACTATGTCGCGGACGATACGCTGCCTTTGATCGGACGGTTCTTTCCTCAGTTCGAGGTGCTGGACTGTGATTGTGGGCATTGGGTTATGAGTGAGAAGTTTGAGGAGTTTAGGAAGGGTGTTGTTGAGTGGATCACGAGGGTAGTTGATGAACGATGAGCGCTTTACAAAGCCCAATAGACCTAGAAGGAAGGAGATTCGTATAGACAACATCTAGACCAGTCTCATGCTGGACGGACATGATAGACGGTCCTTTCGTAAGCCGGCTGCAATGCTCGTGCTAGATGGACAATATAGGCGATCCTCTTACGAGGCTGTCCTTCGCCAGGCACTTTTTTCCCCGAATAGAACAAGAACGTCGGTAAGGAAAAAGGGTAACGTTTTCAAGTTTCAATGAATTTGTTTTTGCAAAAATGCTATGCCGGGGCTATTTCTACCATAAGCACATCACATCCTCTTGCAATATTGCAATGCAATGCGCCACAAGGCCATGACAAGCACCATGAAACCCCTAGGCAAAAGACGACTGCGCTATCAATCTGCCTCTATTGCGCAAGACCGCCACGACGTGACCAGCAGCTAGATGCTAGCATGGTCCCGAAGTCTGCGAGTTCTGGTATCCCAGAAAGATTTTCTCCTCACACCCATCGTATCATGACACATCCCCCATTTACACGCTCTCCAGAGGAGCAGGCTCCTTGAACTCTCTCTCCACCTTCTGACCAGCATCATCTTGCGTGCTCTCACCGTGCAGACCGAGCAGGGCACCAAGGTCGAACTTGGGAGCCTTGAGCAGCTTGACCTTGCGGATGTGGACATTCTGGAGAGGGTAGATACCCTGGGTGCTCTTCTCGATCTCACGACCGATGACCTCGGGGATGAGCTTGCCGGTCAATTGGGCGAGGGTGACGGAGGTGGCCTCACGCTGGATGATCTCGGTCATCTTCTTGCGGATGGCGCGGATTTGTGACGAGGCAGCGTAGGTGGTCTTCTTGATCTGGTTGGGTCGTCGCTTGGTGAAGGCAATGGCGAACAGGCGGATGAGGTAGTCGTCGGTGGTCTTGACAGTGACGTTGGCCTCGATGAGGGTTTGCCACTTGCGCACCAGGGATCGGAGCTTGTCTGAGGTGAAGTCGAGACCGTGGAAGTTGGTCAGACAGTTCTTGCCCTGGACCTCGTCGACTCGGAGCTTGACCTTGCGGAAGGCGTGGTCTTCATCGTTTTGCAGATCTGCGAGACTGACTTCGAAAATGCGACCCTTGAGGGCATCGTTGGCGGACTTCAAACCGGTCGTTCGGTTGACGAGGGTCTTGCCGACACTATTATGTATATCAGTGTTTGTTCCACCAATGCTTCAATTTTCTTTCTGTAGATCGGATCGTGAACCTACTCTCGGGTGTTGAAAGTTGATGGTGCCTTAAGGGAGTACCAGTCTTTTCGGGTAAAAGGGTCCTGGGTTCTCTTCTTGAGACCCTTCTTCGATTTTGAAAGTCTCTTGTTCCTGCAGAGGAAGATGAAAGTCAGTATACCATAACATTGAAGATGATGAACAGTCGCATGCAGAAAGAACCGATCGAGGGACTGTGTTGACTCACTTTCCGACAGCCATGATTGCGACCTTGTTGTACCTTCTTTGCGGTACAATGCGATGCAATCGGTGAGGCTGGTTGTGGTGAAGGAAGGATGATTGTTGGCTTGTCTTGAGAGAGGTGTGGTGTGGCTTCAGATCGCAGTCACGAAAAAACCAACTGTGGGCTTGAAAGTCTTGGCCTGAGTTGTGGGTATGGATTATGTAATTCACCAATGTACGGCAGAGCACAAGGAATAATGTGCAGTTTCTGGGCAACCGTCTAAACCTTTTTATCCTAAGCTAGTACCTCGCGTATGAATACCTCCCGTTGGTGCCAACATGGCAAAATTCGAATCAATGGCCAATGTCATTTTTCTCTCCTTGTGACAGCGGTGACTTAGAAAGGGGCAAACGAAACAATGTCTTCAAGGAAGGGCAGTCTATGCGGCGAAATACGTGCACGTCAACATATCCTTGGCTGTAAAGTCCTTCTATAGACGTCTTAAGAGCATATCTATTCATACTCCTGGTCAGGCGTTTCTTCATGACTCAACGTCGTTGTATGGGCCAAACGAACATGCTCTCTGTCATCTTGCTCTTCTCATCCTCATCATACCTTCATGTCCTTCATCTTGTCTGCCACATTCTCCGCAGCCGGCATGTTCAGCTTCGGTCCACCATCAGGCGCGCCATCTGCCTTGGGTTTCGCGGGCTGCTTTGCCTTGGCCGAAGTTGTATCCTTGGGCAGATCTTTCGTGTAGGGAATGACATCCGGAGTTCCAGGAGGCATATACGGCTTCAAAGCAGCAGGCACCTCGAAACCGTCTTCCTTCTGGTAATTCTCAAGCAGGCAGCACAACGTCCGTTCCGTAGCACACAGCGTGCCGTTCAGAGCATGAACATACGTCTTCCTCGCGTCAATAGCTCCCTTCTTCTGGCCATACCGGATCTCCAGCTCGCGAGTCTGGTAGTCCGTGCAATTCGAGCAAGAGACCAGCTCTTTGTACTCGCCCTGGTGGGGGAACCATGCCTCGAGATCGTACTTTTTGGCAGCAGCGTTGTTCAATGCGCCCGAGACAATCGCAACTACTCGGTAAGGAAGTTTCAGGGACTGGTAGAACTCTTCGGCAGTGCTCTTCATGTCTTCGAGCGCCTGCCACGATTCTTCCGGCTTGACAAACAAGAATTGTTCGATCTAGTCCGTTGTTAGCATTTTCCAATAATTCCGGAAAGGCAAATCCTCACCTTCTCAAACTGGTGTATTCGGAACAGACCCCAGGCGTCTCTGCCGTGCGAACCGGCCTCCTTTCGGAAACAGGAGCTGTATCCGGCATACTTCATAGGCAGGTCTTTCTCCGTCAACCACTCGTCCGCGTACATCGCTGAGAGCGGCTGCTCGGAAGTTGCGATGAGGTATTTGTCCTCGGCATCCTTGTCTTCAATGACCTTGTACAGTTCTTCGTCAAATTGTTCCAGTTGTGCCGTCTTGGCCATGTATTCGGCCTTCATGAAGAAAGGAGGTTGGATAGGGTCGTAGCCTTTACCGACCAGAAAGTGTAGACCGTAGTTGATCAGCGCCTGGTTCAGCAGGACACCCCATTTCCGCAGAAAGTACCCTCTGTGTCCGACCAGCTTGACTCCTCGTTCGCCGTCGTAGACCTCCGCACGCGTCATGACTTCGTGGTGGGAAAGGCAATCTCGCTTTTCGACCGTCACGCCTTCAGGTGTCCATTGCTTGACGACTTCGTTGAAGTCCTATTGCCCGGTCAGCGCCATGTCTCATGTACACACTGCGTGTGCCTAACCTCGTTGTCGTTGACCGGTACCGACTCGTGCACGTAGTTGCCGATCGTTTTGCATTTCCGGTCTCTGGCCTTCTCCTTTTCGGCGGCCTCTTCTTCCACTTTCTTCTTCTCTTTCTCAAGGTCTGCCTTCTCTTGTAACAGGTGGTCGGCATTCTCTTTGGCCTGATGACAGTATGTCAATGCTGGGTTTCCGAGGACCGTGGTGCAGCCAGGAACGTACTTTCTTCAGCTTGCCAATCTCCTTTTGGACAGCATTGATCTTTGCGCCGATTTGCGTGGCTTGATACCGCGCTGGATGAAGAGTCAGCAGGAACCTGTGAATGTAGCATGGATACAAACTCTTGTAAGCATCCTCCCAGAGAGCAATGACCTCGTCGACAATCTCTGCAGGAGCATATCTCTTCCGTAGACTCTCGACTACTTTTTTGGGATCTCCCCCTCTGAGCACTGGTCAGCAGAGGTATGCCACGGAATTTGGCACTTCTTACCGGGAAGTAATGAGATCTTGGACTTCAATCATGATTTCGTGAGGAAAGGGAGAGCAGAAGGAAGCAAAGGAGCAAATCTATAGCAGGTCGAAGAAGTTGTAAAGGTGTTCGTGGTCGCACGTGTGTGCATGGGCGCCCCTAAAAGTCATCCAGTATTTATTCCGTCCCCGCATGTAAACTTCGGAGCCTCATGAGTGACTCCGATGTTTCGCTCATCAATTTCGTCCACAATGCGGGTTTTCGGCGATTCGGTCGCAGAATACTTTTACGGGGAGGAGTCATACACTTGACGTCGCCGGTGATCAGGCTATCAGTCATACGATAGTGAAAACGAGGTTTTCTGGAGGCATCCCCGTTGAATACGTGTTCATTAAGAAGCAATCGCCGATATGGTGCGATACAAGTACATTCATGATCAAGAAAGACAAGTACACTTAGAATCTCACATAGACATCGAACCAGACTCCAAACAAGCGACCAAACAAGACAGCCCCCATCTGACCCGGATGAAAAGTGTCTATACCCATAACCAAAACACCATGCCCATATCAAAACACTGGGCGTTGCGGCGACCGACGACAGTCTTCCGGTATGTCCCAGACAACATCTTCGTACTATAGTCCTGTATTTCTCGTGGAGATGATCGACTTGGTGCTTCACATGACCACACATTTCCCGCCGCCTGCAGGCTTATCGGGTTCCTGCGACTTCTCGATTTCGGCAATCATCAATTCGAAGGCTTTGGCGACGTTGGTGTTGTTCCTTGCGCTGGTCTCTATCCATCCGCACTGGAGTTCCTGTCCCAAATTTTGCCCTTCTTCGGCGGTCACCTTACGTTGCTTCTTTGCATCGACGTCGCTCTTGTTGCCCACAATCATGATGGGGACTGATTCCGCGCCCTAGAACAGCCAATCAGCATAACGAAATGAGCATGCGTTCAGGAAGCAACGCACCAGATGGTTCAGGAGTTTGTCACGGATTATTCTGACCATGTCGAACGACTGTCTTGAGGCGACCGAGTACACGATTGAGTACCCATGGATACCGATGTACAGTTTCGAGTTCATGAGACTGTATTCATCCTGATCCACCAGTCAGCGGATTGTCTTTCCTACTCCTGAAATGTGCATTTCCCACCTGACCAGCAGTGTCAATGATTTCCGTAAGGAATGTTTGACCTTTGTAGACGATCTCATGGCTAAAGGTGTTTTCGATAGTAGGATAGTAACTCTCGACGAAATGGCCTTCACAATATTGCACCGTAAGTGATGATTTCCCTGCACATAGATTAGAACAACGTTCACATGTATGCGAACCAGCATCGAGACGAACCAACAGAACGACTGCCCAAGATCGCAATCTTTCGCTGCTTGGCCGAGGGAGCCATGATTGCGGCAACTGCAAGGATATCAGGTCAATGGCGGTTGGCGGTCGTCCTCCAGGGAATGATCGGACTTTTTTTCTCTCTTTTCAGCCCCTCGATACGGATAAGGGTAAGTGTCAATTAGCGAAGGACCGAAATGGCATATGGCGATGGTAAGAAAATGAGACAAATAGAGAAACTTGTATGTAATGAGAACCCAAAGTATGACGGCTTCCCTGCGAAGCTAGAAATAAGAGATCTGAGCACAGAGACGTTCTGGAAGCACATGCGAAAGCCAATAAGTTGGCTATAAGTGGTAAAATCTGGTGGCAACAGCCAGGCCTGTGCGTCGATAGGTTGCAAAAGGACGGATGTTGATCAACCACACCGACATTTCCCACAGGACGACGACATTATCATGTTTGGGTTTGACTTGCCTGCGACGCGATGAGTGAGTGACTTTGGGATTTGTTGGAGCACGATTTTGCCGGCGGGGAAACCAGTGAAACAATCCCCGTGGCCAATCGTTGTTCCTTCCGCATTCTGACCATATCGACCGCCTTTCGGGGAAGCGGCGAAGGAGTCACGTCGCGTACTAAGCAGACCAAGCATCATTTAATTACACGTGGTTGAACAAGTCTCACATACCCTGTGAGGAGTAAGCTACTCATTCATCGTTCAGTCGATTTCATATCTAGCAAGAAATGTCGGGGGTATCATTTTGAATATGCAACTCTTCTTTCCGACTCCAAACACTTTCCAAGACTGATGTCTTCCCAGCTGATCATTGTCTTCGTTGGCCAGATAGTGACCGTATCGCCTTCTTCAATCGTCTTGTAGTTGAGGAAGATGTGGTGGTGCTTCTGGCAGGCGCGCTCTAACTGCACCGTCGAGTCGCCCACCATTGTCGCGGTTGTTGGTAAATGACTTCGTGAAACCTAGTCACCCATCCGGTCTAGTCATTCTGCTGCTTCAGCGCATCCAGAACCGCGGAGAATCGTGCTGTAAATCCTGAGGAAGAACCTCCGTCGTCCCCAAGAGCCTCTTCGACAGTTCGTAAATGGTCGAGGAAGGTATTTGCCGCACTGAATAGTTGTGACAGGCCATCGCCCCTGATATGGTCTGATATATGCTTGCATGCTCTCGTGTTGAGGCATAAAGTGCACAGCAAGGCGGAAATATAGCCAAAGGCTACTAGAATCTGGCTTTGGTCGATGGTCAATGCCTGCATCTGTTAATATTTTGTTCGCTCCAAGCCGTGTCAAGTCAACATACCTCGGACGTTTGGTCGACATGGCCGTTAAAAATGTCGATCAACCGGTCAATTAAGCTTCTCCCATTCGTCTCCTTCGCCAGGATCCTTTCTCGCGCTGCGTCTGCGCATTCGGCAAGGTTGAGTAGACAGCCGACAGCTAGAATGATGGATTCGAGCTGTGCATTATCAAATTCCTTCTCCATGGCCGCCAATGCCGCTAGTGTCAGGAAATGATCATCAACGACTTGAAACACAGTCGCTATGAGTTGCCCATCGGCCATTGCTTCACATACTCTGGGCTGATTGTTGCTTAAGCTGACGATAAGCCGGAGACATGAATGTTGTATCTCAGGTCGAGCTTGACGTGCCACTGTCATGACTCCAGCTATGCTTTGCCCGAGGATGGAGATGCGGGACATCGACAAGGTAGGTTCAGTCAACTCATGATTTGCGCAAGCAATCTCCAACAACGACAGCAGAACTTGAAGACTTTCGAGTCCTTCAATATTAGCGCTCGCTACCAGCATATCCGCCTGCTTACGGTTGAAGCTCGCAAGAATCTCCTTCAGCAATGCTCGAGGCATCGGTGGAATGGATTCTTCGAGCCTGATCAGAGTCCGCAGCGTGTTGTTAATTACCCCGAGGAACAGAAGGCTCGCAGCGCCCTGCCCCTGCCCACTGATTTCCAACTGTCTTTCATGAAGGTCCGCGACGTCTCTAACAAGGGCTTTGGTGAGGTTTTCGCTGCGATCCTTTGCGAGTTTGGAAAGTGGTCTTGTCTCCGAGCAGAGATCTGGAGATAGACGATAGAGACCACTCAGGATTTGCAGCAGGGTCTTCGGAGAGCATTGGCCGCCAGATACCAGACTCTGGAAGATCTGGACGATCAATACTGCGCTAACCTTGTCCAAGTCATGTTTCGCACAATCTGCAAAGCGCTGAAGGTTACTTGACTCCTGGAAATGTCGAGAGAATGCAGGATCCTTCAGCCTGCCACTCAATTGCAATAGGCCCGGAATGCGCAATGACTTTGGGTCTGATTCGACATCCTCCAGCATAGACTGTATATCGAGATCGAACTTGCTGATGGCACCTCCCCGCCGCAGTTCATGTATGCTTTTGATTTGACTGAATGTCTCCGCGTCGTCACTGTCATCGTTCTCCAATTCGAGCTGTGACGAAATAGCGGTAAAAGACATGGGTTGAGAAAAGCTCTGCTGTGATGAAGGCCCACTGTTTGCGGTTGCCTCGAGACTATCGACCATGTCACTCAGATGAGAGCGTTGTCTTGCGTAGGTTGCACGTTGACGTGCCGGTGGCCCTATGTTTGGCACAACGGGCGGCGGTTTCTGAATTTCGGCTTGCGTCTTGCGAGGGGACTTACTGCCACTGACTGATCGGCCGAGAGTAGGTCTCGAAGCAGTCCTCTCTATACTTCGCGATGGAGGAGCATCCAGTCTGTCAATGAGCCTGGTCCGACCCCTTGATGGATTCGGCACAATGGGACTTGGCTCTGTCATCTCCTCATCTGAAGAGGAATTTAGTGAGCTCTCAGTGATATTATCGGTTGTCAGTTTGAGAGGTCTGATCTGCAATTGAGAAGGACTGGGCATGTCATATGTATCCTGTTCTGGTGCGACTCGTTTTCTCTTTGGCGTACTTTGACGTGATAGTTGAGAAGCGTCGGATTCGTCTGACATATGGACGGATGAGCCATCACTCATTCGAAGTGCCTTCGAGGGTGCTGTGACCACTGTGGCGCTCTTATTGATCATCGGTAGAGTGGTGTCTTCCCGCTTCTTAAGAATGTTGGTAGTCTTCTGCAATTTCACCAGCTTCTGATTCGAAGCCCCATTGACCAATGTGTTCGTGTTACTCCGAGATTGCAATCGAGGGTTTCGAAGCCCCCCAACAGTCGTAGCCTGTGGCTTCTTTTTCATCACATCCACATCGGATGTATTGCTCACTTCTCGTTCATGTCCCAGGTGAACCCTGGTCATGGCTGGTTCGAGATCCGTCACCACAGGCGTCACCTTTCTTTTCTTGAGCGGTCTCTTCACCATTGGCTTGGTGGACTGTTCATCGTCCGATTTGACATCGAATACAGATGTGTTACTCGTTCCACTCGGAGACGAACTTCGAGCCATGGGTTGTTTTGATGAAGCGTGTTCATTTGAGTGTTCCCTCCCAGAAAACAGAACCGATTTCTGTGCTTGTAATCGGGGTAGGGTATTGTCGGCATCTTGCACATGGTGTCTATGGTCGAGTGACACCGTCGGCGTTGCCGTTCGCTCCACTGGTCTGAAGGACGACAGTGTCCCAACGTCGAAGAGATCATGGACCAGGACCTTTCGCGCACCTTTGCCGTAGGTGTTCGGTCTGCGACGCGCTGCGGGAATCTCCATCGTGCTTCTCGAGAGAGGTAGCGGCTAAACCTAGTCGCATTCGTTGATGTTCGTGATCATTCACTGGCTTCAATGCTGCTGCATGCGCGACAGTCCGTAACATGCGCCGTGTTCGTCATCTTCTATTCAGCTGATTCCGATGTGGTCGGCGACGACAACCTGGAGTCGATGGGAATGTCTTTACGATGTGATGAGATTCAGGAAGTCGTTGGTGACAGCGCAGTTTGAGGGAGAAATGCTGGCAGGGTTTCCTGATCCACATATGCACAGTGATGCAAGTCGTAAACAAATGCAAATGCCGCCCAGGGACAGTTTTACGAGCAATTGAAGAGCTGCGGGGATGCAGTTGCCGCTCCTGCTTCTAGGCTTGGGCCGTGCCCTGAAACGTTTCTTTTGCTACTGCCCGCAGTTTTACATGTGCCTGCAAACCCCACTGCGGTGAACTGGAACTTTGTACTCGACAATTCCTCGACTCTACTTCACTTGCAAGTGTTTGAAGACACCAAACCATACTAGATTGTGCACATTGGAGTGTAGGATCTACGGACAACAGCCGATCCAACACAGATCAGGGTTTCTTCTGCGATCACCCGAGTTTAGCAGCATACGAGATTCATTCCACCAGCAGCCTCTGGGGGGATACCTGGGCTGAGCACTCCATCCGCTGTCACGCGAGCAGCTATCCCCCTTGCCTCACTGCTCATAGCTTTTAATCACTACCTTCAACGATGCCCACAGCCCCGCGTGCCAATGGTGTTCAATCACCGGCCCTGGGCGTCGGCCCATCTTATCGACCTGCGGAGGAAAAGCCAACCGCAACCGTCTCGAGAGAAGTGCCCCACGAGAATGTCCATGTGCTGGAACAAACACCACAGCTCATCGCTCTACTCACGTAAGTCACGACCTCCGAATGCCTGACTAGAAGCTGATCACCTTTTCTAAGCATGATTCGTGACAAGCACACCGAGCGAGCCGATTTCATATTCTACTCAAACCGAATCATCAGACTCTTGGTCGAAGAAGGTCTGAACCACCTCCCCGTCGTTACACACACTGTCACATCTCCTGTGGGTAAGGACTATGTGGGAGTCAAGTTCGAAGGCAAGATCTGCGGTGTGTCAATAATGAGAGCCGGCGAGTCAATGGAAGAAGGACTACGAGAATGCTGTCGTTCCGTTAGGATTGGAAAGATTCTCATTCAGAGGAATGAGGAGACCAGCAAACCGAAGCTCTTCTACGAGAAACTCCCTCCAGACATTGCAAACCGATGGGTCTTGCTTCTTGATCCCATGCTGGCCACTGGCGGCAGTGCTATCATGGCAGTCGAGGTGCTAAAGGACCATGGTGTGCCCGAGGACCGGATATTGTTCCTGAACTTGATTGCCAGTCCAGAGGGCATCGAGAACTTTGCAGAACATGTGCCTAAGGTGAGGGTCATTACAGCCTTTGTGGATCAAGGGCTCGATGAGCACAAGTAAGTACCCGCCGTTCTCGTCCGCCTCTCCTGGGATGACTAGCTAACCAGGCTATAGCTACATTGTGCCCGGTCTGGGTGACTTTGGTGATCGTTACTACACCGTATAGAGGGCAATTTGATCATGTCGCCGGAAGGAGATTTCGCAGGATCTGATGGGTGCAAGATTCGCCATCCAGCAAAGACATGGACAATCATGAGCATCGTACTCAGCTTGATTGAACCCCACTATCCAACAAGGGCCAGGACCAGAACCCAGCAGATGGTACAGAAGGCTCCAGAATGCACAGTAGAGAATCGTGGGCTTGTTTTCGGTATTTTGGACATATGTGAGAGTCAATTCTCTAGCAGTTCGCCGGCCTACACCGGCACAAGCACGGTTTGGAAATCAGCTCAACGGACAGGACAAGGCGCAAATAATTATCTGCAAAGAAGCTCTTGAAGCCACATTCCTGAGTCTTCGCCGTGGATATCTTTTGCCATCATTCGATGTTTATCAGTCCCCCCCTTTTTAGTGCTGTTGAAAACCGCCCGTTGTATATATGTCTTACCGACCGACTCGCTCGCCCTTCAAAAGTCAAAACGCCAGGCGACTCTGCTGTTGAATGCCGCTATGCACAGTTCTTCCGACGCCCATCAATACGAAGAATTAAGATCTAGTACAAGACTCTCGTGACGATCTTCTCTTTCAAGCTCTCCAACTCGCGATATAACTCCGCAATCTCAGATTCGCTGACGTTGCTGATATCGGCCATCAAATACGCAACATCACCACGCGAATCAGTCATCTGCTTGTCGACGTTATGATCACCGAGCACGGCGTTAACGCGACGCAGCACACCCGGAACGTTCTGATGAATGAAAATGACACGCGCGTGGTTCGGCTCATCCATGGTCAAGCTTCTTAGCGTGACCTCAGGCATGTTGACGGCGCCGACGGTGACACCCTCGTTGACGTACCGGACCAGGCTCTCAGCGACCTCGGCGCCAATCGCCGACTGGGCCTCTTCGGTCGACCCGCCGATATGCGGCGTCAGCACCAGATTCTTCAAGCTCCTCAAATCCTTAGCCCACGAATTGAGTTCGTTGTTGAAGTAGTCGCCGTTACCCGCCGGTTCGGCAGGGTAAACATCTAGCGCGGCCCCTGCGACCTTGCCGCTGCGCATGGCGTCGATGAGTGCGGGGATGTCAATCACTGACCCTCTCGAAGCATTGATCAGATAACTTCCTTGCTTCATGGCCTCGAACTCTTTCGTGCTGATCAGGTCCATCGTCTCCGGCAGCTCAGGGACATGGCACGTCACGAAGTCGGCTGTGCTCAAAAACTGTTCTAGACTCGACACTTGTCTTGCATTGCCCATGCCCATGAGGTTGACCACGTCGTAGTATATCACGTCCATGCCCATGGACTCGGCGAGCACCGACAATTGCGACCCGATGTGTCCGTACCCGATGATACCCAACGTCTTGCCTCGGATTTCCCAGCACTTGGTGCTCACTTTGTTCCATGTGCCCTGGTGCATCTCGTTGCTACGGTCGCCCAGTTGGCGGGCTAGCACGATGATCTCGCCGATGACTAGTTCCGCCACACTGCGAGAATTCGAGAAGGGGGAGTTGAAGACACAAATGCCGTGCTCGGCCGCGTACTTGAGGTCCACCTGGTTCGTGCCGATGCAGAAACATCCTATCACTATGAGGTTCTTTGCTGCCGAGAGGACGCGGGCCGTGAGTTTCGTCTTGCTGCGAATGCCGATGACGTGGACGTCCCTGTATCACACTGTCAGAAATGCCAAGGAGGAAGGTGAATTGGGTCATTCACTTGATCTTCTCAATGAGTTGGTCCTCGGGTAACGAGGCCTTCATGAACTCGACTTGATACCCTTGACCTTGCAGGATGTCTCGTCCCGTCTGGTTGACATTTTCCAGTAGTAGGATCTTGATGTCTTGTTCTCTGAACGGTTTCAGATGCTTGGGGGCGGCCCCCGTCTTCGCTCTTGTCAAAGTGGGTGAAGTGCCCTCGGTACCAGAGATCGTTCGCTGGTGGAATGTCTCATGAGGGGACGTGGATATGGACAGGCTCCGAGAGACTTCTCGACGGAGACGGTTGTCGCCATTGGACTGGATCTTGATGTTCTGTGTGAGTGTTGAGGAAGGCATCGTGTCCGACAGTACGAGTGTATCAGACGAAGTGGTAGGGTAGATGGAGGTTGTACTGGTGGATGACTCTTCTGGGCGCAGGAAAAGTCGATCACGAAATCCCCGCGATATACACGATCGGACGCAGCCTTGCAATAATTTTTTAATGACGTGCCGATGATTCCGAATCTTCTGACTCGTCACGTGCAAGGCTGTCAGGGGCTGAAAGTACCTCGACGTGTGGGTACCAGGTAGTTCACCCTTCAAAAAGGTGCTGAATGAATTGAATCTATTCCTTTCCTGCCAAACCCAGTCCCATCATTGTCTGCCGTAACTTCATCACGCTAATGCAGTCGTATGCTAAGCACCTCATATGGTGTTCTATGTGATCATCGCTTGAGGCAGTTGGGGTTGCTCTTGTTGCTGCTCCTGCTTTCTCAACCCCTCCCTCTTGTCGTACTCTGCCTTTGGTATTCCGTCCCGGTTGATCCAAGACAGGACTCTCCAGATCCCCGTCAACAGGTTCATCCTCTGCTCAGTGTCAAAAAGATCGTACCACCGACTCCGACTCATGTAGAGAATATGGTCTTCTCTGACCATGGACGCTGGATCCACGTCTTGCCGCGTTCGAGTCAAGGCATCCTGCTTGACGGCGCCTGTTTCCAGCCACTCGAGATAGTTCTTGTGCACAGTCAACTTCACTATACATGCATGATGATTGGCTCCCGAGATCATGTACACGTCGTCCCAGCCTTCCCGCGGATCTGGCATACCCATTCTTTTATAGATGATCTTCTCGTCCCAGGTAAGCGAGTTAGGTCGGACATTCACCCATTCTTGATACCACTTCCGCCGGAGTGGCGGCGTGTACATTAGCCTTCTCCCATCTTTGTACTCCGTTCGGTCTTTGTTGTGGTTGCTGTTGTTGTTCTCGCCATCAATCTTGTTTTTCTTCTTCGGCCGGTCGTTGCTTGCGGCAAGCTTCGTTGCGATCAAATCCTCTGGTTTGAGATTATTCAGATCAGTTGCGGTGGGCAGATCCCCTCTCTGCCTCTCTTCTTCCTCTCTTTCACGCTTTTCCAGCTGCAGGCGCCGCTCTTCTGGACTCCAACCAGGGTCGTCATCTTCAAAAACTTCAGTACTAAGTTGTCCCCACTTGGTAGGGCCGCCACCCCATCGACTCTTGATTGCCCACCACTGTTCAGGCGTGGGTTCGTTGGAAGGTGTTTGCCCTTCCCGAGCACGCTGCTGCGCAAGCATCAGCAAACCGCTGACTTCTCTGAAGAGATCGTATTTCTCGCCAACGAAATCGCTGCTCGGTTCAAGTAGGCCGTCTCTGGACTTGAACCTGACCTCAGTCCTGCAGTGCACACCCAGTAGTGGTCCCTCAACCATTCTCGCTCTCGCAAGCTTGATATCAGAAGGCGTTCTTGCCACGCAGAAGTTGTAATATGTGGAAGGAAGGTTGATCTTCCCTATCCTCAACCGCTCCCTTGGCTGGACATCATAGTCACGGCAATTGAACTTGTGAACGGCCATTTTCAGGAGGTTTCTGATAGCTGCCACTCTTGTACCGGGGCTCATTTGCTCACCGTTGCCGAGTCGGACACCCTTGTATACCTGCTTCATCTTGGAACGCGTTGGAATTTCGATTGTTTCTGCGGTCAGTTGAATAGTGTCCCCAACTGCATTTTCCGTCATGACCGGCGGCTGAGCGACATTTGTCTGAATTTCTTGACGAGCATCTTTCACTGGAGCATGCCGTCCTCCAAGTTGTTTCTTCTCTCCTTGGCTGGTGGTATCTTGGCTGGTGGTATCTTTGCTGGTGGAGTCTTCGGCCTCTGTTGATTCCACCTCATAGTAGTTGTCTTTGCTGTCATCCCAGTACCGACACATGTCTTCCAGACTGGCATAAAAGTTTCTTGAGTATGCTAATCGAGGTTTCTTTCGGCCCTCTAGGGGCGGTAGTCGTAGGATCTCTCGGTATGCATCTTCATTCTCGATACCAAGTTCGTTGAGCATTGAGGTCAAGTCGGCGTCGAATAAAAATGGTCGGGATTTGAACCCATCGTCCGGGATCATATCCTCTAGTTGCACATTCTGCCTCAGCTCAATGTTCAATTGTGCAAGGTGAGAATCCTGAATGTCGAGTGGTCTGCGAACTGATAGAATGTGCTTGGAAAGGGACTCCATATGGTGAGTATCTAGTGGACTGCCACATTTGAATGGGACGTAGCTTGGAAATTCGAGAGGTATTGGCCTGGGCGGCGGATTGCGCTCCTTGTCGGTAAGAGAAGCTCCTCCTGGGGCTGGCGTAGATGCTAATTAGCGGACTTCTTTTGGATGGTTTGCAATAGAAAACCTCGAAGAGGAGAGCATAAAAACTCCCCAGCGAAGTTCGTGGTAGGAAATGGCATCATAACTTAGTGCGGCGCCGTGTACATATTGGCAGAATTTGCGTCAAGCGCCTGTGAGACGTCCATATTCGGAGTGAGAAGGACGCCCGCTTCCTACGTACTCACTCGTTGCCAGAGTATCTGTATTCAGTATGATACGAGTTGAATTGTTGCGGCTCCTGGCGAACTCATCGTTCGGTTTTGCTGTCCTGGATTGAAGTGTTCGATCTGGGCACGGCAACAAAGTGTGCTGGGTAATGGGAAGGACATTGACGCTGATGATAGGACAGACTCTGGACTTACCAACACTGCCCCAGAGGTTCATACCGAACATGGCGGTCAATCGCCAGTATGTCTAAGGAATATGGACGATTTCCGGACCGCTTCCAGTTCCTGCCACTTGTTGCGAACACTCAAAGACAATCGAGTCGTGATACAAAACGACCGTGAGGTAGTGACTTTCGGACAAAAGATATCCTTCTGCTGTTTCGTGCATCGAACTGGTGGTGCAAACAAGACAAGCGCGTGACCTTGCCGTGCACTGCCGCGGAGGTGGACAAACAGTCAAATATAAGATCGCGACTCCTCCTCACCTCATGTTGGAACTGGCTTGGAGGAGCAGGGACAAAAGTGCTCTCTTCGCTCGTTTCTGTGCAGAAGAGGTGGAGATATGCTGGGCGCTCAAGGCTAGAGACGAGGTGGGTGTTGCGTAGGGTATATTTTTCTGCATCACGTTCTGTCACACGCACTATTCATACCTGCAGTAGCCCTATGCACGAGGAACCCCGCCTATACGTCTGAGATCAACGTATCTCGTACAAGGCCAGAGCCTAGCTGGTGTCAGCCCAAAGCATCGCTGGCGACGTTGCAACGAGTCCGTAGAGCATTGTGTAGTGTCGTAGAGAGACAAAGGCCATTGTCAGTGCTTTAATGACCTGGACGTGATAAGCCGTGTCAGAAGAAGACTCCTGACTCGGACCTGCCATGACGGCAATGTGGCATGCTCTTTTTCACAGCTTAATATGCTCCTATCTGGGAGCTCGAGACCGGCTAGTCTAGAGACACTGGCGAAGCAGATTCTATCATGCAGTTTGATCATTGTTTGTTTGTCATTGCGCCTACTGAAACCACAACCAACCTCGTCGCAAACTCTGCCGGTGTCTATGAAGACCATATGCGGCCATTGCCACATATCTTGCAAATGCAGAGAATCTGTCCATGTCTAAAGACCTCAACCGCGCGGCACATGGTTGGTATCGTCCCATGACATGCTCGTCGAAGATGAATTTGCCGCCAAATCACAGATATTGACCGACGTACTTCTCCTCTATTCCTCCTTAGTAGGTTCCTCCTCGGCCTCACCAGCCATGGCAGTTCTCTTGGTCTGGATTCTTTCTTGTCGTCGTTCACGGGCAGCCTTCGTCTTCGCACGCTTGGCGTCCATCTCTTCCTTGAGGATACGCTCACGTTGCTTCTCGGCCTTGGCCTTGTGAATCTGCGATAGTCAGTTGATGTTCGAGGGGTATTCAGCATCGTATCTCTTACGTGTTCAACCAAAGCACGCTTGTGCTTGAAGGTGTTACCCTTGCTGAGCTGGTAGAGTTCGTGGTACAGGTGCTTATCGATCTTGCCAGCAGCTCGGTACTTGGCCAAAAGGCGGCGGAGAACACGCAGACGTCTCATCCATAGAACTTGGCTATAATCCAATATCCGTCAGTGAAATGTCCTTGACTGCCCACCATGGGCCTTGTTTTTAGATAGTTTCATACCTTGGCATTCTGGCGTCCGCAGTACCCTTCCTCTTACCGAAACCTCGGTGACGGCCGATTCTTCTTGCGGCATTCAATTCTCGGGCACGAGATCGGGAGTGCATGGCAACGGGCTTGCGGATGATGAGGCCATCGCTGACCAGCTTTCGGATCGTCTGCCGGGAGTTGGCGTTGGAGATTTCGTTGGCTTCATTAGGGTCGAGCCAGATCTTGCGCTTGCCGCAGCCGACGACAGCGGCCGCAAGGCGCTTCTGAGTGCGGAGGTTGGTCCTAGAATGCAATCGTCAATCCAACTGTTTCCTCGATATATGTGGTTGAGGATGGAAAACCTACATCTTGCCGCAATGATTGATGCCGTGAGGTGCTGTTCAATGATGAAAGGACCTGAACTGAATTGCAGAATCAAGTGGTGGGCTAAAATCCCAAAGGATGTCTTGGCGAAGAGGGGGCCAATCAGGTTTCGCCTCACTTGCGAGGCTCAACCACCTCATGTAATGCTCGACTTCACATGTACTTGAAGCTCTCAGATAAGTTAGGAGTCAAGCCCTTCGTGCTCAGAAGGTGTCACATCTAATAACTGGATATCTGATGCTTTGCTATCACAGTGGCAGCCAAATTTCAAAGCTTCTGGGAGAAAATCTCACAAGGTTGGATTTCTTTATTGGGCATGCCCTCAATTTTTCTCCATTACACCCATTCGTACCAGCACTCAGCAGTTGTGACGGCCATCGCCCTACGAGAAGAACATTAACAGACAACAAGCAATTAGGAGTGAGCGCTTTTATTTGTATTTGACAAGTCATCAGCGGGGGGTTTTCACGATTAGGGAAATGAGAGCCACCCTTTTGCCGGCCACCCATTCTTTTTGCTGGCCCTGAGACATGTTCTCACTTCGATCCCACACAATCGAGTTGAACTGAATTCAGAGCCGCAAGTCCTTCTCAAGGGGCCCAAGAAGCGTGCGTGGTCTTGCTCTCGAATCCCGCAGCCAAGATTCACATCACGAAGGCAACTGACAGTCATAGCCGTTTCGTCCCAAATCATAATCCATCCACACGTATATCGTTCCCTCATACACAGCAAAGAAAAAGAACGTTTCATCTACCAAATGATCTGACCTAAAAAGGCCACACCATGTTCATCGTTTCGCCGTTTCCAAGACGCTGCAAGAAAGGAAAGTCGTGTCGTTAAAAGGTCGTTAAATGTCGGAGAGCAAACAATGCACGCTTGTTGTTCCGTTCGTTAGTCTTTGATCTTTTTTGTGGCCCACTGGCCGTCGTTAAGTTCGTAATCGCTTTTTCGAATCGTGTCGTGATGAGGCATAACCTCGGATTCCGAGTCGATCGCAGTCTGCGAGCCATCCTTTTCGGCGCCAGATCTGAGATCGCCGTGACAAGACCCATCCAAACGAGAGAACTGGTGGAACTCTACTGCTGTCCTACCGCTGTCCACCAGTTTTGATGGCTTGCATATGTGAGGGAGGGTTCAGTGGCAGTGGCATGCCAAAGTCTTGGTGTCCCATCTTGCGTCGCTTGGACTCGTACCCGTCATAATCGCGGCTTCCTGGTCGTCCTTGATCGTCGTCTTCTCGCCCTCTCTTCACGGATGACAGTCCTCCGGGATGACCGCTCGAATATTGCGGGTTACCGTAAGTATCAACCGGGCCACCTTGTGGAGTCCGATCATGACCGATCACATTATAGACATTGCTCGAACTCGGACCGCGAGGCGGTGTATGATATTCTGAAGCCCACTGTGGTTGGCCTGAAGGCAGCGTTCTTGGGGTTGCATGACCGGAACCAGTTTGATGAGTTGGAGAGCCAGTGATCTGCTCAGGCGACATGTGTGGGTGCTCACCGACGCCCCCATAAGCATATTGACCGCGATTAGAACCATACGCGCCAGCATTCGCACTCATGTAACCACTGTCGGGATGATCGCTTTCGTGTTGGGAACCATGCGCATGTGAAGCATATGCTTCGGTCTTGGGGTCGCGGCCATCCGGTCCTGTACCGTTGCCTGGGCCTAGTGGCGGACCCATGTCGCTTTTGCCGTACCCAGCGGATTGCATTCCTTGGCCATAGCGAGTACCATCTGGTTGCTGCGCATACCCAGTCTGAGAGCTTGGAGTCGTGCTGTAGTAATGTTTGGATTCATAGCCTGGTTGGCCAGAGTAAGAGTGCATCCCCTGACCTCCGTTCCCAGGAGGAGTCGTGGCAGGCGTGGTCGGCATCGACAGTGCATTAATGCCTGTATCTATCGAAAGAGGTTGACCTCCACTTGGCCCATTTGGAGCGTTCTGGTTCCCCCAATCATACGAACTGCCTTGATTCCCCATGCCCAACACGCTCGATGCACTAGTCGGGGGTGTCGGAAAAGTGTGCGCCCGATCGATCCCCGGACGTCCAGCATTTGGATGCGGGACGATGGATTGAGGTGTGGGTGGTGCCTGACCAGACCCCGGCATAGTATTATGATGTTGGAGCGCTGGTGTCTGACCGGACTGAGGCGCGCGCCCCGAATCCACGCTATCCATGCGACGACGCTGCTCTGCCGTGGTTTGCAAGCTGTTGGTCCGAGGAGCATTCTCCGGATTATACAGAAGCCCACCGATATTGTGTACAAAGAGTGGATACAAAAGATCGGTGATCTTTTCCTTATTTGCAAAATCCAGAGCTCGCTCAAAAGGAATCCTGCATACAATTAGCAAGGCTGTTTTCGAGCACAGACAAATGCGACATACCAAACTCCCTTGAGGTGCATCGGGCCAATCTTGACGACATGACGAGTCTTTTCGGACTTCAATATGCCATCGCGCCGGCCTCTAGTCATTCCAGCAACGTTGAGAAGCTTCGTGCCGTTGATGAAATGATTATCTGATGAGATGTTAACATTTGTTATTGCAAAAAGGTGATCATGTAGACATACCCTCGCGACGAGCGACACAGACACCTTTGGCCTCGACCTGGAAACACAAACTCCCCTCGTCTTCCCAGAGCGTTGCCGTGACTCTTGGTTTCACCCCAGGGGGGGCAATTTGTCCAGTCGTGTCGAAAGGCTGCTGTTGGGCTGGATAGGCTTGATTGGGAGCAGGTAGAGTTGGAGTCTGAGGCACATAAGAGTGCGGAGTCATTGAGCTCATGGCTAACACGATACGTTAGTGGGAAGTACTGCTTGATCGTCACATGGCACTTACCGGGCAAGGAATTAACCGGTTGAGAGACGGGGCCTGTCGCAGATTGTGGCGAGGTAACGCCATTTGGATAGCCATAGTTGCTGTAAGGCTGAGAATGACCGTACTGCGTGGATGCAGGAGGCATCACGGGAGGTTGTTGATACTGCTGATAGTGCCCCATTGGCGCAGCAGTTGCCGGATGCGAATAGGGGGACGGGCCCGAAGAAATATGGGATCCTGGATGCATCTCCATATAAGAGTGCGTCTGATTCATCTTGAATGGAATATACGTGAAGCCACGCAAGTGCTCAACGATCGTGTTCGTGCACAGCTGGATACAAGCAATGGACGATACCACCCCACAGCAGCTCTGTAAAGAGCTTTAATGCGGTTCCCTTTTGATAGCTTTCAGCCAAATATTCCACCTGTGGTGCTTGGCTTCAAGGCGTGATATGCTAGATCAAGCGACCTGGGTATGCCTTCTCTTGGAAGAAGTCCAAGCCACCTGAGCAGAAGGAAAGTCTCAAGGTCTCTCCACGACACAGCCTGTCCAATAATTTCCAATGCAACGGAGATTCTGGTGGCTAACGGTAAGCCAGCAAAGTATTGGTTCCGGCGGATAGAGGGAACAGAAGTAGGCGGAAAATCTCGTTATCGTTGGATTGATGTTCTCAATCGTGAGCCACACGAACAGTTCGTTCTTCAATGAAGAAGACCAAGTGTTGGTGGTATGCAGTATGTCTCGACGGCTAGGAAGGGTTGGTGGCCGGTACACCAAGATCGTCTCGGGGGCTGAGTCGGACGTTCGCAGGAATATACGAAATTCGTTGAGCTTGCAGGGCACGTAGCAGCAACCACGATAATCGTCAGTCTGTTGATTGGGAACTGAACATGCGAGCGAGACGTTAGCTTTTACCTCCACATTGAGAGTGTTCGAGACGCAGGTACATGAAGCATGCCGCGGGTTCGGACCACAGCAAAACAGGTCAGACGTGCGCACTACCAGGAATAAGAGGTCCTGGGTGTTTCCTCTCTTGCAGCTTGAATTAAGGGCATTGACAGCAAGACTTTTGACATACCAGACAGCTGAGAATGGTTCTTCAAACAACATGTACTCAGCAGCAAGATGACGCGCAGTCAAGCATGCCCGTGACAGTTGGATTGGGACGCAGGAAAGATTTCAATGGGGATCTGGAGAAAAGAGTGCAACGAGGTTGAGAAGCAGGATGCAGGAATGCAAGGTGGACGACGGTGCGCTGGTAGCCGAGCGGGAAGACTGAGGGTGTGCAGGTCTGGTGCATTAGAGCAAAAGAGGGCAGAAGAAGGCCAAAGCCTAAAAAAGAGGCCGGCCCCCGGGCACACCTTTCTTTACAAGGGCGAAAAAACGAAGACGACCGATCCATCCACACGATTGTTGGTCACCCACCGTCTGCCGTTCATTGGTACCAGACTCATCCTTGACATGGCCTTATCCAGCCGATCCACAAGCCGCCGTCCACTGTCCATGGCTGCTGCGATCCCAGCGTGCCGCAGCTTGCAAAGTTGAGGTCCACGAAAGGTCCAACTAAAAAGGACCCACGACGGCCGGACGCAGTTACCAATCGCAGCACGTACAGGCTGGGGTGGCTCTTTCACGCAATGAAGACCTGGCTTACGATTGACGGCCACAAACTCGCTCAGCGACTTGTAAACCCAGCCATCGCGTGGAGGAACCATCTCGTATCACAACAGCTTTGGATGGTTCCCGGCCACCCCTATATTGTGATTGTACACCGAACAAGGAAGAATCCAGAAAGCAGGATCAGTGACGCTCGCTTACAATTGTTGAGCAGCTACGGAGTATATCATGCAAAATAAATCGTGGAGGCGGGATAGGCTTTGACGCGTGGGCATGACTTTTGACACGGACGTTCTGACAATGACAGCGGACAGAGGCTTCAAGGTGGGCTGAGTCCGTGGATAAGACTCTTTGAGTCGTCAGACTTGAACAGCCAGAGAAAGATACTGCAAGATATACTGTGACAATGCAGGCTCATATACTGTTGTATAACGGCTCAGCACACAGCGCAGCTCGCAAGCAGCTCTGAGAGGATGCCAGGATGGAGAGGGAGAGTCTCTTTCTCGCTACAAACACGGCGGGGTTAAGCTGGAGCCGCTCGGATCTTGAAGCTTCTCTACTTATCTCGATTTTGGGTCTTTTGAATCTTGACAGCCATCACAGATGCGTGGCCTGATGTTGGCCGAGCAAGTGGATGCTTTCTCCAGCACCTGGCGGACAGATGTACGGAGTATGCCTAGGTAACATGATGATGTTTTGTGTCAGGACAGGAAGAGGAAAGACAGGATGTCTGAGGAAGTCTCCCCAGCCTTCGCATCCGCTGGCAGTCAGCATTCTGGCCCACATCCAACCATGGCCACCAATTAAGTTCTGGGTGGAAAGAAAGCCATCAAAGAAAAGAGCCAGCCGATATGGGGCTAGACGACAGCACAACCCTACGCTTCCACCATCCCCCCGAACCGCCCATTGTCATTGTGAACTGCCTATCAATGGAGTCGCAGAATCATTCGCCTTATCACGATCAGGTTCCAAAAAAAGCCCCAACCATCTCAAGTCTCTCGACTCTAGGCCCTAAAGGGGACTCTAGAAAGAGCCTTTACCACATTCGCACATTCAAATTCTTCGAACCCTTCCAGGCGTTCCTTCGGTTGCCGCTCCCTGGCATAGGACTCCTTATCGGTACCCGGATTGTCAAGTGTGACCGTTCCTTTCCGACTCGATGTTACAAGCAGAGTTTTTGCATTGCTGCGATTATCGTTTCAATGTTACTCAATTCGGGACCATTCAAATCCTTGGACGTTGATTGTGATTCGGCCGGTCCTGACTAGAAGGCTTGTAACACGGTGTCGGAAGTTTTTCTGGCTATCAGCAGGCTTTTCATGTCAATAATGCCTTTGACCCTTTGCCGGTGGTGTTGCTCTTGGTTCGGCACGGGAGGCGTTGGTCAACTAAGGCCGGACTAGGCCACAGCCACTGAAAGAGGGGAGGAAGTGATCGAGTTGCAACGAACTAGGTGACCCCCGGTCTTTGGGTCACCCTGAGGTCCCATGCTCCATGTCGCTGACTTGCCGATGCTTCGAAAGAACGGCGTGCTACCAACATCCCTAGCCGTCCACCTTACCCGCCGATGCACATCACCCACCTACGAATTTGGGGCAATTGGGGTTTTCTACAGTTACTGCGATTATCAATGTGTTCTTCGATATTTTGCCAACGTCTGTCAGATAAGGAAAGTCAATTCTGCGTTGCCGAACGAGGGTTGATTGTGTCGCTCGAGTGATTCCGTATGCCGGATGCAGTGCTGGATTCAACGCTAAGGTGAGGTACGGCGGCAATCGTCCGGCACACTGTTATCTGCGAGCACTGTGCATAAATCTTGCTTCTCTGATATCTATCGTTCAACTGGATCAACCGACGAACACTGGCACAACAACTCTGCCCGGAGATTGCAAAAGCGACATGTTGAGTCAAGAGTTACGGATCTCATACACGACAATGCTCCGTGATGTCTGGCCGTTCTCGGTTACTCTTTGCGGGCCCTTTGAGCAAATGACGAGCCGAAAGAGCACACATGTCAGCTCGTGGCTGGCAAGCGCGAACCTGGAACTTCCACAAACGAGAGGTTTCAGGTTACAGTGCTATGCAAGCCCCTGTTAGCGTTCGACCCGCCCGCTGCGCGTCATTGACCAACTGGCGACTGCAGCCTCGAACACAAAAGATACGACCTCGTTCCGCACGTGCTCAAATTCCATACAACAAATTCCAAAATCAGCCTTACCATCGGTGTTGAGAGACCGTTGTCAAGACACGCAGTGCCCATTACGGCATCGAGCTCGCAATTCAATGTTCCCTGAATAAGAAGCTTTCATCTATCTCGACTAAAGCGAGTGCTGACTCGGGGACTACCGTAGCAAGAACCTTAACATTATATCATCAGCATTATCTGCTGTGTGGGCCTTTGTCACGTCCTGGCAAACGGAAAGACCTTCACAGTTTTCCGGCCTCCGTATGGCACGCCCGTAAATCCACCCACGACCGCCGAGTCTCCATCAGGTACGATATATCCATGGCAGTCGGAATGTCTGGTAATGATGTCGACGTCGTGGCGATGAAAGTCCACGGGCAACGATGTACCAGTGGATGAGAACCTTCTCTATGGTGAAGGAACCGTATATCTATATGATACGTGAATGATCTTCAAAGCGATGTGCTTGCGTGCATGCCATGCAGGTCTTCCCGACGCAATGCACCTGCTCGATTAAGGCTGCATTGCATGCTTACACAGTATCCGTACCGTGCTGCCATTGAAAATGTCCAAGCCGTCACTCCCACAAGCCCATAATGCACCAGCGGATGACCCAGTTTCAATGTCATATGAGATGTCGCTTCACTTGGCCCTGTTGAAGCAATACGGGATCTCTGGACCACTAGAAGCTTGCAGGGCATAAGGAAGCTGTATGACGGACAGATCTGCAACGCGCTGAATCCCTTGAGCCCCCAAAAATGCCACAAGTGGGCCGCACAAAGCCCAGACTTGATAGACACGACTAGAGCTGTCATGCCATATCCGAGCCTACGGTGAACTCTCAGACTTGTTACCTTGTTCCTCGCAACACTAGCATGGTCTCTTTCCTTCCAGGCCGGGGTTGTTGGAACATCTACGCAGATCCTCGCCATATCAATCTTTCAAAGTGCACAACGAGAAAAAGGGGAGCTTCTTTCCCGATGGTCATTCTTAATTGGTTTGTCATTGTGGTCATAGGTTCAACAACTTTTCAGGACTCCATCGTTCTTATCCCACACTTGCTGCGTTGTCAATCCATGATTTGTGGAGGGAACGTCCGCGTTGACAGGCGTCTACCAGCCCCGGCGCTGACAAACCCAATCAGTGTTATCCAAGTCATCCTTTAGCGTTACACGGATCGCTGGATCGACCAGAATCTGTCCTGGTGGGATTTAGAACATCGAACGTGAATATCCAAGCGATGGAGTGGTCGTTGAGACTTCCCTAGCCATGCTTTCACCTTCCTGTTCTGAAGCGAAAGCATCTTGCGTGGTATCAAGGGTGTCACTGTCCGCGATGTTCCAGACTTTCTGAGGGGAAGGGGTGGCTGGACTGGTTTTTGTTTCTCGCATACGAGCAAAAACAACAGTTTCCGGAACTGATTTTCCAATTCAAGCCTTTGCCTTTCGGCATGGCATAGCATTGCATTGCACCTGAACTTTACACTGCGTTCCCCAGCTTTCTGCAAGACTTAAAAAGATCTTGCATTATGTTGGTGCGGCATATTGATCGCCTTTGCATACATAAGTGAGTACGCTGTGGAATCCGAACATCCACCGACTTTCCGGAGGATCCTCTTCGGACAGTCTATATGTGACTAGCGGTGCTCACTGGTGGAACCATGTCGTCGCTCTTCGCTGTGGCAAGCTGAAAGAAAAACAAGCAAGCGACATCCTGTCTTGGACAATCTACCATGCCTTGTCTCTTGTGCTCCGCGATGCCCGATAGGGTTGAGGAGCGTGTTGTTTCAGACCACTCTCGATCACTACGATCGATTGGGTGTGCTTCATTCAAGACAATGTCGGTAAAAACATCAGTACAGACATGAACTTCTCATCCCTTATGCACATCACAATTGCATGATGATGATAAGGGATGCTGGTTCCAAAAGTACTGAGCAGGATGGTCGGGCCTTTCCCTTGCATTGCATGGTTGAGTTTGAGACAACAGAGAATTGTTTTGGCAACAGTCAAACCTCAACACCAGATCAGGCTACCATCTAATACGATCGTGGATCACTCAACAAGCCCAAGAGCTCATCTGTTTACAAATGATCGGTGACAATTCTGGGTCTCCCTCATTCCAGTCTTTGCTGTCTGCCCTGATCAAGGGCCATTCCCTCGCACTCCTTGCTGGTCCTTGAAGCAATGTTTTCGTCCTTTCTCCCTTGACTGTACCCTTTGATGTTCGCGTCCTCTATTGTCGGTCATCTTTCTGGCGCAGCTTCTGAACAGGCTATTTGAAGCCACCTCCATCAGCCAGTCGGAGCCTTGTCTGCCCTTGCCAGGTTGTCGGCTCCAGGATCGCAGCTCAAAGCGGACTGTACACGGCGCAGCTGGCGAACTCGTTGTCACTACCGTCGGCCCTTGCTGTGTGCAATCTGTCACTGCCGCCCGTGTGGTCGCACAAGGGATTTGTCATTCCTCAGGGGAGAAAGCCGCGGGACAATGAAGAGGCCGATGCTATGTTATCTCGAGATGCAGACTTGCTTCGAGGGCAGAAAGTCTGTCTGGTCAACATGGCGACAGCCGTACGCCACCTATAGACTACGACCACGCGCTGGATCCATTCTATGCCCCATTACCACGTTCCCTGGCGTCAGGTACGAAGAGTCTTATGGGAAGATGCAAAGTTTGAACCATCCAGCTCTCCGCATACTCGGTCTGCACCTGGTATGCGCGGTCTGATCTGTTTGAGCAAGACCGTTACTTCAGCTCCTGCCTGCATTTCGAGATGGCCACCTTGTTTGTTCAAATAATCTTCAAATTTCGTTCGCCTCGTGATTCCAAGGTAGGTAAGTATACAAGTTCGTAACTGTGTCAGAAGCACCCCATATGATATGCCAGAATAATATCCCAATCCCAGTCTCCTCGCCTCTGCCGTCCCAGACGTGGCCCTGCGTATCCATATTTTGTCTGCCAATTGATAACAAGCAAATAGTTCTCATCGTTCCAAACGCCAAAGTTGTGTCGCTTTAGGCCTCGAAAGCCAAGTTTCCAAAGCTAGTATTCGCCGAATTCCGCATCTTCTTCTTCCTCATCGCCTCCCGCCACGCCTGTCCCGGTTGGACGTGCCGCAGCGTAACTGCTGAACTTTGCATCTTCTGCGTCCTGCGCAGCGGCCTCCTGCGCGACGTTCTCGCAGGCGTCGACCCAGTCAGAGTACACGTCGACGGCGGCGGAAAGGTAGTTGATGCCCGTCTGGAAGCGCTGTCCGCATACTTTGCAGTGTAGATTGCCCACGCCTGCCTTCTTGTCGAGCTTTACTTGAATCGCTTTCTCGTGGTTGCAGAACAGGCATGTAAATTGTACGGCGAGGGGTTCACGCTGTGGCACGAGGGTCAGTCCTTGAGCATGCGTTGCAGGGAGAAAGCGGGTTTGAACTTGGACTGACCTTTTTGGGCCCTTGAGGCTTGCTTGAAGACTTCTTGCGTTTGCCCTGGGATACATTTGTCAGTGACACGACCAGACGGTGTTTCCACGAGTGATGAATTTACCATTTCTGCGCCGATATATATTTGTTGGTGATGTGAAAGGAGTTGAGGTGTGGCAGAGAGAAAAGGCGATCAGAAAGAATTATCAAAGGTGAGGTTCTTTGTTGAACACAACTCGGCGCACGTCCTGACCACCAGAGATGTGTCGCGCCAGGCTGCGGTTGTCTGCGGTTTGGTAGGAGGATGTCTCCGCATTCTGGTTGACTAAAAGAATATGCGTGGAATGACCCTTATCAACCCATCTCCATCGATAACCAATCATGTTCCTCTATCCTGAATGACTACTTGTACTTAGGTACACCAAGCATCCCTCTTCCATTCACACCTCTTCCTTGGATACACATCCTTTTTTATTGTGTCGCTGCCTTCTATTGCAGAGTCATTGTTCCACGACGGCGCAATTGTTTGCTGTCCTGGCAAACACCTTGCACGCTTTCTATTTATTCACCCCCTCCTTATCTCTATCCACCACATTCCACTACCAATAAGCTCGGACAGAAGCAAGTTCAGCAGTGGTCGGAGAACGATCTCAACCTCAGAAGAGCTCACTGGACTTCCGAATACTGTCAAAAAGTACAGTACTGTAGGACTCCCACAGTGTTGCCCACACACCCTTCACCATGGCTACGCCCAACGGAACAACTACGGACTCCTCCGTTCTGTCAGAGATCCTGGCAACCCTGAAGAAGATGCAGACCGACCATGCTCAGCTAGCATCCAATGTCGACTCCCTTCAAAGCCAGATTGGTGTGTCCAACTCAGTCAATCATTTACGTACCGCCAGAATCGGCAGCATCAGCTCCCCCAGTCTGGATCCCATTCAACTCTCAAAGTCAGCCAACGGATCTGCCCCTCCTCCACAGGACGCCGCTCTGTTATCTAAGCCCCCATCTTCACCAACGGCAAAGAAATCATCAGCCATAGCGCGTATCATCCTCACCACGTACCCAGGCCAGTCAGGAATCGACCCCATCCCTCTCGAATGGGGCGAGCGAGAAGCCGCCAAACGCGGGCCCGTCGTCGTCAGCAGGAACCAAGACACGATCCGGCGCCGCAATGCTATCGGCGCCCACGGCGGCTCGTACTCGATCTATTCCGCTCTCGCCGTGGCCAGCAACATCCTTGACCTCGAGCACCGCCCAGACTTCACCAACACCGAACCAGCCGCACTGATCGGGCCCTTTCCCGCATGGGGCGACAAGAAGAAAATCGTCGCCATGGACCCCTTCGGCCATCTAGCGCCATGGCTATACAAGGACATCATTCAATCCCAAGACATTGACATCCGCCCTACCATCGCTGTTACCAAAGCGCATATGAAGATCCCGGAGCTCGAGCAGAGCGTGCAGGCCGGACGTCTCAAGCCCGACGGCAAGATCTGCATCAACGACAGCGGCGAGCTGAGTGTGACCAAATTCGCAGTCGAGCCCGTCTGGTATTTGCCCGGTGTGGCGGAAAGATTCGGCATCGAAGAAAGCGCGTTACGACGAGCCCTCTTCGAGCACACGGGCGGCTCGTACCCCGAATTGATTACACGGAACGACATCAAAGTCTTCCTCCCGCCCATAGGCGGCCTGACGGTCTATTGTTTCGGCGATCCAGCCAAGATGTCGGATCCCAATGTACGACTCGCCCTACGCGTTCACGATGAATGTAACGGCAGCGACGTTTTTGGGTCGGACATTTGCACGTGCAGACCGTACTTGATTTTCGGGATTGAGGAGGCTGTCAAGGAGGCACAAAAGGGCGGGTCGGGTGTGGTCATATATTTCCGCAAAGAAGGTCGTGCATTGGGCGAAGTCACGAAGTATCTTGTTTACAATGCACGGAAGCGCGGCGCCGACAGGGCGAGCGAGTACTTTAAGCGCACTGAGAACATCGCGGGTGTGAAGGATATGCGGTTCCAAGCCCTCATGCCGGATATCCTGCATTGGTTGGGCATTACCAAGATCGATCGTATGCTGAGTATGTCGAATATGAAGCACGATGCGATCGTTGAGCAGGGGATTCCTATTCTGGAGCGCGTGCCGATTCCAGATGAGATGATTCCTGAGGATTCGCGGGTTGAGATTGATGCGAAGATTCATGCTGGGTACTTTACCACGGGGAAGGTGATGAGTTTGGACGAGTTGAATGCTGTGCAGGGCCGGAGCTGGGATGATATTGAGCATTGAGCACTGGTGCTATGGGTAGTGAGTTGGGGTGCATGAGCGTAGAAGGGTTTGACGAGATGTCATAGAGCAATGAATACACGCGTAGTATTTGATCCATTCATGCTCGTCCTGCTAAAATGTGTGTCCATTACTTGCTTTTGGAGGTATTATGTCAACACCAGTCGAAGTACGATCCTCCTGTTCAAACTCCGTACAATTACTTTTGTGCTAAACACATTGCGGCACTTCACAAGATGATGAGAGTAAATGACTCGTACGTCGCCTGTTCCAAACAAGGATACACGCTGCGCTTCATTGTGGCCATCATTCCTGGATCCACGGCTCAGGGAATGTGCCCACCCAATCCTCCACCTCTTGTCGCAGCGTCAAAATCTCAGGCACGTCAGTGCCATCTTTCAAGTGATCCAAGAAACTCTTGACCGCGCCAGGATTCTTCTTGCCCTTGGACTCGGCCTCCGACCTAGCCTTCTTGTCGACCTTGAGAGCGATCGAGACTGCGCGGTCCACGATCTCTGCCACGCGCGTGAAATCATTCGGCTGGAATCCACGTGTGGTCATGGCCGGTGTACCCATCCTCAGACCACCGGGTTTCAGGGCTGACTTATCGCCCGGAACGGTGTTCTTGTTGGACGCGACGCCGCAGAGCTCAAGGACACGCTCGACACGAGCACCGTCGATACCCTTGGACTTGAGGTCGACCAGGACCAAATGGTTATCGGTGCCTCCACTGACGATGTTGTAGCCCAGGCCGCCTGTGTACGCAGCGTTGCCGAGACGCTCGGCTAGTGCTTTTGCGTTGGCAAGCACGATCTTCTGGTACTCCTTGAATTCTTTGGACTGGGCTTGCTTCAAGGCCACGGCCAAGGCGGTGATGGTGTGATTGTGCGGTCCGCCTTGGTGGCCTGGGAAGACGGATGCGTTGATAGGCTGTTCGAGATCGTACATGATCTTTTCGCCCTTTTTGTTGGTCAAGCGGACGCCCTTGCGGAAGAAAATCATGGCGCCGCGAGGGCCACGAAGGGATTTGTGCGTGGTGGTTGTCACGACGTCGGAGTAGTTGAATGGGCTGGGAATAACGTCTGCGGCAACCAGGCCGGAGATGTGAGCCATGTCGGAAAGCAGGTAGGCACCTACATCGTTTGCGATAGCACGCATGCGCTCGTAGTCAATCAGTCGGCTGTAGGCGGAGGTACCGGCGACGATGATCTTGGGTCGATACAAGATGGCGTTTTCGTGGAGTCGGTCGTAATCGATCAGGCCGGTCGACTCATCTAGGCGGTAAGGGAACGTCTCAAAGTATTTGGAAATCATGGAAATCTTCTTGGTTGGGGTTTGGTATCCGTGGGACAAGTGGCCGCCGTGAGGCAGGTCCAGGCCCATGATTCTCTCGTGTGAGTTGAGGAGGGCGGAGTAGGCATAGAGATTTGCGGGAGACCCAGAAAGAGCTATTGTTGTTAGATGACTAGCAGATGAGGGTGATGATTCGGCTCACATTGGACATTGACGCCCCATTCGGCAGGGTCAAGACGATATGCCTCCAAGGCTCGCTGTTGGCAAAGCCTCTCTGATTCGTCGATGTGTTCATTGCCGCCGTAGTAACGGGCTCCGGGGTAGCCTTCAGAGTATTTATCTGTGGAATGGTTAAAGATGGCCACACTGAATTGTGGTGGAGAAGCACGGACTTTGCATAACACTTCCCAGGGCGTCCAAGACCGCCTGTGATGTGAAGTTCTCTGACGGAATCAGATTGATAAAGTGTTTCTGTCGTTTTATCTCCTGGAGGGAATCAGTATCTGGACAGGCTCATGCGAATGTTAAGCACATACCCTTTGCAAAATCTCAAATATCTCGGGATCAGCTTCTTTCAGATGGTCTCCCATCAGCTACAACGGAGTCAGTTCATACCGGCATGGTGAATTTCTTGAAGGTTTACCTTGTTCTGGGCGTCTGAATTCTGTGCTCTCAGAGTGCCAGAGGATGAAATGTGTCTCGCTCTGACTCTGCATGATAGACATATTGAAGGCCTGGTGGCGGTGGTTGCCCAGATGCGCCTCGGGATCAATGATCGAGACATGATGAACAACCAATCTCTCCCTGACAAGATTCTTGACACTGTATATGTCAAAGAAGCTGACCACCGGGGTTGGCCGGATTTATGACTTGACAGAAGGTCTCTCCCGCCTTTTGAATGATTGATTGAATGATTAGAATGAAGTCCAGTGTTTGCGGAGGTTTGGCCGTCGCCCATCTCGCCCGGTCGATGGAAAATAATCTCAATCTGGCAACTACGGCGAGGATGGCGGAATAATTTCATCAACATCAACATCAACATCATCATCTTACCTCCTTTTCCCTTCTTCAGAACTAAATCCAAGATGAAGAGTACTTGTACGTCAGTCAACAGCACTCGCGCTTCGGTCGGTCACCGGCTGGAGGTTTGTGGGCGATGTTGAGATGTCCTGGGTCCACAAGCACCACTTTGAGGGACAATTTGAATAAGTCTGATTGGACATATTGTTCTTTACCGCTTTATACAGACTCATTGCTTCCATCTTTCTATCCCAGACTTTGAGAATCGCTATCATGAGAATCCCTATCATGAGCATACCTAGGATTACCATCACCCGTGTCTGGCAGTCAGAAAGGGGCACATTGTGTGATGGGCGACTAGGAGATTCGAGGAACTGTTGTGTAGCTTCCTCTTCACCGACATGCTCTCAGTCAAGCAAGTGAATGTGTGAATGTAGAGAGTCTTCCCTGCTCTCTGGACTTAGTACGTACTTTATTTCCTGCAAGCAGCTGAGAAGTCCTTTGATTCTGCGCAGAGACAGTTGCTCCCTTTTTCCAACTTCCCATTGTGAGTCTTCTGAGGCCTTTACACGTGACGACGCGTTAAGTGCACCGCGTGAGTATCGATATTCTTCACAAACGCTGGACCAAGGTACTGTTGCACGTTCAAGGCAGCTTCCTCACTCATGGGAAGCGTGTAAATGTGTTGGAACTGGTGCGCAGTTTAATCTGCGCAGCCTGAAAAGATCCACCTGCCCTCATCATTTGTTTGAGAATCTGAATCATCAATGCCTCATACCAACTACAATTTCACCAGATCGAAGCCGCCGCACCCAGGACTGCCCTCGGTCCGCCTTTCCCCGATGCCCTTTGTTTTGCTATAGCCTGTCAAGAGTCCTATTTGAATCCTTCTCCTCACTTTGTCGTCAGTTGTCCATCGTCTGTATCAACCCAAATCGTCACAACCCAAAGGACTCAGCGTTGTTGAACCAAACCAACGGCAATAGCTTCGTTAAATCCAACAACACCAACCATGGCGCCGGCGACCAGAAAGAAGGGTGCAAGCACCAGACCCAATATCATGACCTCACTGTTCTCCAGTCCTGCCTCGAGCTCACCAGTCCCAAAGACAAAGACCAGCACCAAATCCAAGACCAATGAACCAGACCTCGTCTCTGACCATGACTCTGACCACTCCGACTATGGCAATGCCAAAAAGAAGAACAAAAAGAGAAAAAATATGGGAGACGAAGACGACTACCCATTCAAGCGTCGCCGTGGTCCCATTTCCCCAGCACCTGAGTTGCCTGTTATCTCTGACGACGAAGGCATCCGTGATGTTGAGCCTCTCGACGAAGAACAACACATCACTGATCCGTTCAGCACACCATATCAGCTTCCAAAGAACTTGATGCTTCAAGTCACGGCTGATGGCAAGACCTTCGTCGGCGTGGACCTCGCCAGTCTTCTCAAGTCAAACTCCACCCTTCTTCCAGGAGTCACCGAAGCATATACTCCAAAGAGTATCGAGAGCGGCCGCATCGTCCAAGATGACAGCTTGATGGATGTTGATCAAGCCCTTAACAAGAAGGACAAAACCGGTTTCCTCGATCTGCCCTATGAGCTCCGCCTTCGCATCTATCGCTTAGTCTTCCGCGGTGCCAGTGCTGTCGACTTTTGCGCTCGCCGGGATTTCAGCAAGTCAGCTCATTTCTTGAGGACTTCGAAGCAGGTTCATCGGGAGGGCACACGAATCTTGTATGGTGAGAACTCGTTCCACTTTGGTCGCAGCCACGAAAAGCGTGGTGTGTACTGGCAGCAAGCATGGAAAGAGATTGGTTACAAAGATGTGCGACGCTTCCTGGAGACTATTGGACCAGTCAACATTGCTTCTCTCAAGTATGTCTCCTTCATGTGCGAAGATGGAAACAAGTACAATTTCCCACTCTGGAGCGATGTTGCTGGACGCCAATACGTCGAGGATGCAAGCTTGCAGCGCGTTTTTCGTCTGATTGGAGAGAACGCCATGTTGACAAAGTTGGCCGTGTGTTTCGGAGCGAAAACGAATGTCAAAGAGGGCGATTACCACTTCTTGCATGCCTTGACCAGAATGAAGTGTCACCAGTTGATCATCTACAGTGGATTTAGAGAGATTCGCAACAGAATGTTCAAGACCCTGAAGTCAAAGTTGAAGCAGGTCATGGAGGTCCCGGTCGACGAGGACAATGAGCGAAGTCCCGGTGAGATCAAGCAGAACAAGGTCAAGATGGCGTACGAGGACGACATGGCGCCCACTTTCGGTTATTCCCGAGTCACCATCGTCTAACCTTTTTGATGTCGGCAGTGGGCGATATGCAAGCATTGAAATCAGGCGGGCAGACATTCTCGATCGTTGATATGTCGGCCACGATCCATGGGCGGGTGTGAAAAGAAGAAGTCGTTGGAATCGAGAAGCAGTGCATCCATCGAGCTGTATTCATCATCGGAGCTGTTGCAACGCCAAGTTGCACTGAGGGAGAGGAATACTATGTGGTTCAGTATTGCAGCGCCAGGACATTGAGCGCGACGGTTGAGAGCTAGGAATTGTGTACTCAGCATTTCTTTACACCAGTCGACATGGTATTGGAAGTGTGCACGTTGACAGAATGTGGTCACAGACAAAGACGTCTCAAAGCAGAATTATTTTAGTTGAAGAAGAATAAAAACCTTGAAAATGACCTTTAGTCCAGCCGCAGTGGCCGCATGCAAACCAATTTGCTCGAGGCAAACTGATGGTCTGTTCCAATCTTCCCAGTTGTGTCGGTTGAGACCGTGCTCGCTAGGAAGCCGGTCCATGCCACACCGAACCCGCTGGGCGCAAAGAAGGTTCTTCACTCCTGGAGAAACGACAAAGAGCTCATCTCGCGTGTCTCAGTCAGGCCTCGTCGCAAATGCAACTGTAACTGCCTATTTTGGTAAGGTCCGTCAGAACTAATCCTGCTTCGCTACTCAGCAGGTATATCTATGGATGGCCCAACTACATATTAAATACCTTCAGATAGCCTACTATGGTTCCGCCTGAGGTAAGCGAATGATATAGTTCTAATGACTCGACAGAGGACACTGGATTGCTTCAATTATGATGGCATCAGTTTTTGGCGGTATCGAAATAAAGGGATCGAAACCAGTCGTTGCTAAATAACCTTTTTTTGTCTTTTTTTTGTTTGTCGCCATGACATGGATCTCGGCGAACTGACTACCCGTTGCGTTCACCTCTCAGTATTTGTACAGCGGTTCCTTATCCTGTAGACTTGGTTAGAAAGGTCATTCGACGACCATATGAAAATGCCTCTCGCGATCTCGCGAGACTGAGCTGACCTTCCCAGAGTACCTGGAATTCTGCTTGATTAGTTGCTGAGTGTTTCGAGCCTAGTCACTGTAACTTTGACCAAGTTTTTCCTGTTGACTAGGTAGCCTTTCTAGTAAAGAGCTGGGAGCCAGGACGACGCCTACGTACACTCAGGAGCTGTACTCCATTATTGTGTCCTTTTCACTCTGGAGCATTGGGCCCGTGAAAGGGATGATGACACATCGGGTTCACCCTTCTCGCTTCTCGGTCCCTGTGTACAGTGGTACTGCAACGACACCCTCTCGAGTCGCTGCGTGGGTAGATTCAACTGCTATGTCGACAAAGCGCGGTACCTTGCGTAAAGACCTAAGGCGTCAACCTCTCCCGTGATATTCGGCTCTTGTTTGTTGTGCTTCCTTATTCTGGCGTAGAGAACCAGGCCGACAAAGATGGAGACTCGATGACGACGGGCTACGAGAAACGGCTGGAGAAAGTGCAAACTCTCCTTCTGATCAGTGATGAAGCCTGTGGGTGCAATACGTACGTTCGAACTATCGTGAAGCCAGGACGGGCCGATTGTACCTGCATTCTGGAGCCTAAACTACCATACCTCCGTACTTCCTAGCCGCAAAGTATGGTGTGATTTGTTTTGGTACGGCAATCCGGAAAACGGTCGAGTGAAAACCGGTGAGCCATCATCGTTGTTTCGCTTGAGTCTCCAGGCTCGCCTGGGGGCTAAACTATATCCACCCATCTCATGATACTGAATTTACAGTTGCTATTCTCAGAACCCCTCGGATGGTGCAATTCTACATGCCCAGATTTTCAGGAAATGTTGGCAGGGCGTTCGTTGCCCATGCGAGGGCGAGGGAAATGATAGCAAGCCTTGTGATATCAACGTGGGCCCATAACGATTTGCGCCTGCTGGACAATCAGACTTCTTTCTGACCGGAGCAACAATCAGAACGGAGTATCACAGTGTGTCAGTAGAAGGTTCTCTTCGTTCTAGATCTCGGCAACTAGGAAGTATTGATGAGATGCCTATCGATTGCACTGCCAGAACATGGCCGCTGGGGTACACGTGTGTGCCGTGAGGTATCACGTATCTCCAAGGGCGTCGCTTGCAGAGGTCACCATCGGGGTTGTGCCCTGCACCGAAGTCCCGAGTTCCAACCTGCAGGGAATGGAAGCGTCCGCCCGTTTGAGCCAAAAGCCGAGTCGCAGCGATTCGATAGGCAGAGGCGGCAAAAAGTGGTGGAATTCTGGTCGGAATTGAGCAGAAGCTGGAGAAATTGCATGGACAAGGGCTGAAAAGAGTGTTTGGAGGTAGTTTGACGAGGCTCTGGCCGCTAGTGGCAGACTAGTACGAGGAAGGTCTAGTCATCAGGTACTGGTCTTGGCGGCAATTTCCGACAGCCGCCAGATCATCACAATCTCTGCTCAACACACACGTCTGGACCTATGAGGCCATGAACCATGATGATTGATCATAGCACTGATGAAGCTTCTCCTCCAGTGTGTTGACGAATGCTCCCCGTCTGTGGCGTGTTTCTCGCCTGAGTAAACTCCTGGAGTGCAAGCCGCACACTATTACGAGACACGAATCAAATGATGCAACAGTGGCACACTGTTCACCTTCATCGTCAAGTAGGGAGACACGACGCTTCGTCCAGGTGCAACGTTCCCCATACGATTGGACAAACTTCGCGCCCCCAAACCATCAAAGACATTTATTATTGTTTGCACTACCAAAATGGTAGTACCCGTAACAGGTGGTGGGTAGCAATCATCTGGCGAGAACACCCATTTCACTATGGCAACTATTAGTCACTCTTTCCACAGTATGTTGGCAAGACAAGCCGAAATACGACCTCCACAGCATGTTTCTGGGACAGCTATCGGTCACGAGCACTCTTGGGAACTGCCACAAGTTATTATGATAGCCAACAGTTATATCATCTCGGATACGGTACTGTCAACAGATGATCCGTGAGGTGACAAATGACAGCCTTCAGCAGCAGAGGCCCGCGGACTGGCAGTTGACGGCCGAGAAAGCTGTCTCCTGGAAGTGATGGCCAACACGTCTGCTCCAAAGCCATGGTAAAGTGGTCAACCAATGATTGAGGTAGGCTGTTTAATGAGGCTGCACTAATCCCGGTCCATGTGGAGGCCGCTATTCATTGCGCTACCCCTGACGCCCGAGAATGCTTCCATGGTCCGCTCCACCCATGTATCGAACCATGGTGGGCACCATGAACGCTAAGATGATACCCTAATTTCCTACTGCTCATATATCTATCGACCAACTCGCACAGGTCTCGGTGCTTTCTCGTTCTGCATCTCAAGATCGAAGTCCAACTTCCAGTCGCTCGCTAGCATCCAAACTCTAGGTCTTTGTACCACCGACACTCGTTCAACCAACAATCAATATACCCAGAACCTCTTAAGTTCTCTAATTCAGAAACTACCCAATCCAACCATCAAAATGAAGTTCGCTACCACCGCCGCTGCCGTCGCAGCTCTTGCTGCCTCTGCCTCTGCCGCCGCTGTTACTACCACCACCGGCGGTGCTTGGGACGACTGGGGATCATCCACCACCACCAGCACCAAGGCCACCACTACTACCACCACCACCACCAAGGCCACCACCACCTCCGCTGCTCACGGATCTTGGGATGACTGGGGTGCCAGCACCACCACTACCACCAAGGCTGCCACCACCACCAGCGCTGACGGTGCTTGGGATGACTGGGGAAGCAGCAGCAGCAGCAGCACCACCAGCTCTGCTCCCAAGAAGCCTACCACCACCACCGTTGCTACCACCAGCTCTGTCGGTTCATGGGACGACTGGGGTGCCAGCACCACCACCACTCCTGGTAAGAAATTTTCTACTACGTCTACCAAGGCCTCTACCACCACTTCTGCCACTGGCACCTGGGGCGACTGGACCCCAGACTACTACACCACTGCCACCGTGACTGCCATCACCACCTACTGCCCAGAGGCCACCACCTTCACCCACGGCTCAAAGACATACACCGTCACCGGTCCTAGCACCGTGACCCTAACCGGCGGTCCTTTCACTGTCACCGTCCCCGTCTACACCTCAACCTCAACCTCTTGCACGTAAGTACAACCAAGCTGACATTGAATTTATAGGCGCTTACACTTCTACTAGTGATGCCAGCACCTGGGCTGAGTGGACCTCCACCTCCTCCACCCCTGTCGCTGCTTCGTCGACCAGCACCGGCAAGGCCTCCACCAGCACCGTCACTGGTGCCTGGGGAACCACCGCCACCCCTGTTGCTGCCACTTCCACTGCCAGCTCTGCCACTGGCACCGGTGTCTGGGCCGCATACTCCGCCACCTCCGTCTCACCTGCTGTGTACACTGGCGCTGCCAACGCCCTTGCCATCAACATGGGCGCTGGTCTTGCTGGTGTTGGTGCCATCGCCGCTTTCCTCCTGTAAATGGTGGAAGGTCTGCATTTGAACTTCTCTTGACAACCGTTTCCTGGAGGCATGGGGACAGCAACACTTTCTCCCGGTCAGCGCCGGATGCCATACGTGGCGCGCGCATCAACCATCTTTACGGCATGGGCAAGGACAAGACATGACGACATTTTGGCATTTGACTTGATTTACTTCAAGACGGCGTACTGACCGACGTTGTTGGGCCTATTGCTGGCGGGTGACCCACCTCCGCAGGACTTCCTGGGTCTGGTCATTTTTTATATTAATGAACATTTACTTGTTTTTTGAGGGTAGCATTGCATTGCGTGTTCTCGGCGGGCGCATCCAAAAGAAATGTCAATTATTTTCCAAGTTATCGAAGACTCTCTTCTGTACTTAGATTTTCTGTATCGTGGTCGAGAATATCAATTGCTATGCCCTCACAAAAAGACTTTACCACTGCTGTAGTAAAAAACGTGCCTGATGACATGATCCAAGCTTTGACAAGACTTGCGTTGTTGTGACAGGCACGACAGGTCATCGGCTGTCGGGCAACTGTCGTGTCAGATGAGTTCGTCAAGAGTTGTTAGTGTTTCTAAATTGAACCTCGACGCACTGAACATCTGAGGGATTGTTGTGCGAAATTGTACCTACATCAAATCTCTTAAGTAATGCGCGTCTGGAGACTGCTCACTTTGCTTGTTAGAGCTCCCTCCGTTGATCAACAGTAAAGCGCGTCGTCCACTCTTCGGGTCTACATGCGACTGCTGCCGGAGGTCGACATCTCTTGCAAGGCTCTCCAAACGTATGTTCGGCGGGATGCCCTGCACTGACAAGCTTGATCGAGAGCAGGATTGGGATGTGGGACATGCCCGAATCATCGCCGAATGTCTCTACAACAACCCATTTGATGTCTACATTGGCTGATTCTTGTGTGGTGGCACTTCTCTCTTCACCCGCGGTCCGGGCTCTGGGACCTGCGGATGGGCAGCCAATTGTAAGGGCCAGTGGGGTACTGCCCGCTAACTTGATCCCTCGGCGGGGCCTCCGCAACACCTGAGGCAGCCCAACCCAGTACTTTCCCTCCCGTTGGACCGATGTCGCCTATTGCGTCCGGGCCATGTTCGTCTTACTCCGCAAACCCCCTACCTTGAGGTCGCTGCATGAACATGCGATCAATTCCTTTCGGGACCAGCTGCGTGAACAAGTCATTCCAGCTGCTTCGGAGGGAATGCCATGCTACGAGCGAGTTCTGCCCTTCTCTCAGACCACTTGCGGGCGATTGACAGGCTTGCTATATGACCTCCACCTTCTTTCTTAGCCCTCGGGCGTTCATGACGATGCTCTAACCCGTCTCAAGTGTATCCTTCCCTGCGGTTCATATCCTGCCCACAATTTGTTCCTATGCCATCGTCGGGCTAACTCCCCAGCCTTGTCGCGCCTCCCTTCCACCACCCGCCATCAGACAGTCATGACTCCGAGCAATACCGTCCAAGATTCTGTACAGAGAGCCTCACTCACCGACCCGGAAGCGTTCTGGGATAAACATGCAAAAGAACTTCACTGGCACAAACCTTACAGCACTGTCCTACGGCGGCAGACCAAGAAGCTCAAAGATGGCACGGAGCATCCTCACTGGTCGTGGTTTCCAGATGGCGAGATCAGCACCACATACAATTGTATAGACCGCCATGTCAAGGCGGGGAACGGTGATAAAGTTGCTATGATCTGGGACAGCCCGGTGAGCAAATCGAAAGAAAAGTATACATATAGCCAGATGCTGGAAGAGGTGGAACTGTTAGCCGGCGTGCTAAGAGAAGAAGGAGTCAAGAAGGGCGATGTTATCCTGGTATATATGCCCATGATCCCGGCGGCCATCTTCGGTATGCTGGCAGCTGCCAGATTGGGCGCCATACATGCGGTGGTATTTGGAGGCTTCGCGGCCAACAGTCTGGCGCAAAGGTTAGAAGCGTCCAAACCGAAAGTCATACTGACGGCCAGCTGCGGTATTGAGGGTGCCAAAGGTCCACTCGACTATCGTCCTTTTGTCGAAGGCGCCATTGGGCAGAGCAGCTTCAAGCCGAGCAAGACGATCATCTGGCAACGTGAGATCAAGAGGTGGGACCCTGTCAACAAATCAGAGGGTCAGAGGAATTGGCAACGGCTGATCAAGAGTGCTCGAATGCGGGGTGTTCGAGCTGAGGCTGTTCCCGTCAAGAGTACAGACGGCTTGTACATCATCTATACTAGCGGAACGACTGGGCTACCAAAAGGCGTGCTCCGCGAAGCTGGCGGGCATGCTGTAGGCCTCAACCTGAATATCAAGTACCTGTTCGACGTCAAGGGTCCTGGAGATGTCATTTTTACCGGCAGCGACATCGGCTGGGTCGTCGGTCATTCTTATATCGTGTATGCGCCACTGCTTGCCGGCGCCACCACCGTTCTTTACGAGGGCAAACCAATCGGGACGCCTGACGCGGGCGCTTTCTGGCGCATGGTCGACGAACACAAAGTCACATCGCTCTTCACTGCACCCACAGCGCTGAGGGCGATAAGAAAAGAAGATCCTGAAGATAGGTTCTTCAAGCAATTTGGCGAGAAGGGTCACTTAAGGCATTGGCGCGGACTGTTCCTTGCTGGCGAAAGATCAGAGCCGTCAATAGTCACACATTATCAGGACCTCTTGAAGGCATATGCTGCGCCGGACGCCCGAGTCGTCGACCACTGGTGGTCAAGCGAGTCTGGTAGTCCGATGACAGGGCTTGCATTGCGACCGGCTATCGGTCTCGACCACAACAGCCAAGAGACGCACACAGCGCTGGCTATTAAGCCTGGAAGTGCGGGCAAACCCATGCCAGGCTTCGACGTGCGGATAGTTGATGATGAAGGTAACGAGGTCGAACAAGGAAAGATGGGGAACATCGTGCTCGCCATGCCCCTTGCTCCGACCGGATTTACAACGCTGTTCAATGATGAAGCTCGGTTTTACAAGGGCTATCTGAAACGGTTCAACGGCAAGTGGCTTGACACTGGCGATGCTGGGATGATAGATCAGGACGGGTATCTTCACGTCATGAGCCGAAGCGATGATATTATCAATGTGGCGGCACATCGGTTTAGTACAGGTTCGTTCTGACAACGTCTGTCCGTCCATGAGAAGCACTAACTTGATTACAGGTGCCATCGAACAAGCTATAACGTCACACTCGTCCGTTGCCGAGGCCTGTGTCGTGGGCGTCCCGGATGCCATGAAGGGTCACTTACCATTCGCATTTGTCATCCCGTCGGCCTCGACTGCGGACGATTTGCCTGCGACGCCGTCCAAGGAGTTCTTCACGAGTATCAATAACATTGTGCGCACGCAGATTGGCAACATTGCGTCGTTGGGCGGCATTATCCAGGGTAAAGGCATGATTCCCAAGACGCGCAGTGGGAAGACCCTACGAAGAGTGTTGAGGGAGTTGGTGGAGAAAGCTGCTGAGAACAAGTTTGATGAAGAGGTCAATGTCCCCGCTACGGTGGAGGACAAGGAGGTTGTTGAGATTGCGAGGCAGAAGGTCAGGGAGTGGTTTGAGGAGAGGAAGAAGCAGCAGGGGACGGAGAAGGCGAAATTGTAGGTATGTGGAATATGTTGTATATAGCGTCAACGCGGTCTTTTGGGCTATACGGAGTATACTGCAGACAATGTGACTATGTGTGGTTGCTCTACGCTCTTGCAATGGTTGCTGTCGCTGCGCCGTTGTCACTAGATAGCTGGTGCTAATGCCTCGGCTGATGTGCACATGATCACACCTTCCCCGACCTGGGGCTGACAACAATCAAGATAATGGCGCCCGTGCCCCCGCATGATAAGCCTATATCAATTGTTACCTCCGGACTTTACATAACATTTCTCACACCTCGACAACTCTCGGTGCAAATAGTCCACGTTCACAACCCCCTCAAATGTGATTGATTTCAGGGGCGGGGGCAGAATGTTCTCGCCGAAGATCACGCACAAAATATCGCCATCCTGATGTCTTTAGCAAGCGGCAGGACGGGAGATGATGAGATTGAGGCTGTCACAAGCAGTCAACGAGCCACCGACAAGCGCGCCTCGAACGCCTGTCGACAGTGTCGGACCAGGAAGGTAAAGTGCAACGTTGTCGAAACAGGTCAGCCTTGCGACAATTGTCGCGTCGATGATGTCGAGTGTATCATCCCCCTGTCAAGGAGGAGCCGGCGATACCACCTTCAGAAAGCGCGACAAAGCTATACGCAGCAACCTCCACAAGCTCTCGTTCCGGGCGCAGAGCAAGCATCACCAACGACAGGACCCGGGCTGATTCCGACCTCGGAAAGAGCCTCCAGTACTGCACAAGTACAGGAAGACCATGATCATGCCGATTTTCACCATATTCCTCAAGTTGCAGGTTCACAACTCCGTGAAGTTGGTCTTCCTACCTTCATCAAGCCACCGCATCGCGATTTCGATCAAGATGAGCTCGACTTTCTAAGGAGACGCGGCGCGCTGTCGATACCCGAAGAACCACTCCGAGGTCAACTCATCCTCGCGTGTCTGCTATATGTGTACCCCCTTATGCCGATCATGGACGTGCAAGAATTTCTCGATGCCGTCGAGGGCAGATCGGACCGGCGAGTCAGCCTGATCTTCTTTCAGGCTGTCATGCTGGCTGGTGTCACGTTTACGGACATTGAATATCTCCGTGATGCTGGATTTGAAGGACGACTTGCAGCCAGAGCGTACTTCTCGAAGAAGGTCAAGGTAGGTCATCCCTATCGTTCGGCGGATTGACACTTATACCGACTACTAGCTCTTATACGACTTCGAGTGGGAGAACGACAGAGTCGCTCTGATACAAGCACTGCTTCTTCACCAATGGTGGAATCCCAAAACCAACGACCAGAAAGATCCATGGCACTGGCTCGGTATATGTGTCTCGTTGGCAACCAGTCTCGGGTTGAACGATCCGAATGCTTACACTTCTGTACCCGCCAAAACTTGTCGACTTTGGAGGAAATTGTGGTGGAGCTGTGTCACCATGGATCGCCTTTACTGCATTGCTGTGCGCAAGCCGCTCCGCATCAGAGAAGAGGACATTGTCGTACCGCTATTAACTTTCAAGGATTTTGACGTCCAGCCATTCAAAACCGAAATCGCTGCTCTCCAGAATATCTCTATGGTCACGGACTGTGTCGAACAAGTCATGCAAGCCAACATGTTCATGTCACAACTCAGACTCCTTCGGATCGTTGGCCGTATCATGGAGCGAATGTATACACTTCGAAGATTCAGTGGCGAAACCTGTGACTGGGCCATGTTTTACGTTCCAAGGAAAGATAATGACTTCGACTACCAGATCTACGAAGAATTGCAGAAGGAATTGGACGAATGGTCGAACACACTCAATGACTATTGCAAACTGAGCTACGATGGGGAGGACGTAAGCGAAATGTCACAACGGCCCCTGATCATATCTCGTGGCGTACTGAAATTATTCCATTTACAGGCAATCGAAACGCTGCATCGGCCGTTCAGCACACTGACCCTGCATCTCACAGCTGCTCTTACGGACGCGGAAGGCCATGCTCAAAAGGCAAAGGCACGTATCAAAGAGGCTGTACAGGAGATGCTTGAAATCATTCATACATTTCGACAGAGAGGATTCCTTCAATTGTTGCACCCAATTTCTATCACCTGCATTCTCACCATCGTCGCCTATTGTGCTATGGAGATCAGAACAGCACTCGCATCTGGCAGAGACCTTCTCACTACGAACAACAATCACCAAGACCAATATGAGGAGTGTGTTGGCTGCCTCGAAGCACTACACGATGTTTGGCCCATCACGCCAGCATCATGCGCCATGGCTCGTCGGATGGTCTCAAGTGATCAAACAAGCTTTGCCAGAAACCTCAGGATGCTGTCGACGCCGGTGGAAGGAACAACAATTCCCGTCGATACCGTGCCAAATGCAGGTCAGAATCTTCAAGCATCACAAGCGAACAGCAGCAATCTTAGAAACCCGGTGCTACCGGTCCAACCAGCAATGCCTCTTGCGTTATCGAACAATGACAGCGAGTATATTGACGCATCATTGAGCTCGATATACTCTGCGGCCGTGTACCCTTATTACCATGTCGAACCTGATCTGACGTTTACCGAAAACTTCACCTTCCTCGATCCTAGCTCGTTCCTGCCCTGCAGTGAGTCAGTGGATGGCTTTGGGCGTCCTCTGGGCCCATAGCGAGCCATTGGGAGCGATCGCACTTTCTTGGGAATCCAGCTACTAGCACTAAGGAACGGGTGCTAAAACCAGGCTCGCCAGTGAAGATTATTGATCCAGGAACATCAAAGTATCAGGGCTGAACTCATTGTCCCGCCTGCTACACTGCGGGGGAGCCTCGGGCATCAATACGCGATGCAGTCTTTCCCTGCCCTTGCATAGCCATGGTCGCCTGACGGCGAGATGGCTTGTTCGTGATTGACACACAAGCTGAGGCTTCCATTGTCCTCACCTTCCATCTACGCAATCGCGAATAGGCGGTAATACTCCGGCTACGGAAGCACCCGAGTTGGAAAATTGGTGTAGTTCAACCCACCCTCATAAATGTCAGAGGCAGATTCTTGCCGCCTCAGTCACTCAATCCTCGTTAATTGTCGACAGAGTCGAAGTGGTCACTATGTTGTGTAGCCACCCGGGAGGCAGATCATTTGTTGTGATTGACTGGTCGGTCCGACGGTGGCAATGCATCGGCTGGGCATCAACAGCGCTGTACTAGTCGCTAGTCGGCAAGCTCTCCAGGTCGTACTCCCCACTTACCTGGCCTACTTCTGATTCCAGTCATGGAGATACACTGGTCACCAGTTGTCCGTCTTCATGTCCGTCTACATCAGCCCCAGCCTGGGGTTGTGCGGAGATGACCCCAACCCCAGACCTCCAAGGGTTCCCCGGCTATGCACCGGTCTGGAGCTTCAACTACAAACGTACAAGAAGGACTGGATTGAACCTGCTTGTTCCGGAGATGGATTCATTCTGCTCATGTACCTCAGTCTCACTGCTCCTTCCCAAAGTTCCTGAGCATCAACCATACGGCAGGCTTCGTTCCATCATTCGAGAGCCGAACATGCTGCACCTTACAAGATACAACATAGCAACCACGTGCGTGATCGCGCTCGGAAGCTTCAGCTATGGTTTCGGGAGTGCCGTCTTCGTTACAGTGATTGGTCTCCCAGGATTCTACGACGCCTTCGAACTCGATCCCACTACTTCTCGTATGTATCGCTGCTTCCATCTAGGACGCCGTGGCCTGGCTCTCACAGGACATGTAACTGACATTACAAAACGAAAAACAGACACTGCCAACATTCTAGGTGCCGTCAATGCAGTTTACTTCACAGGTTGCGCACTCGGCTCACTAGGGCAAAGCTTCCTCGCCGACTGGTTGGGACGCAAGAAAGCCCTATACGTCGCTGCAATACTGGCTCTCATTGGAAGTGCTTTGGTGGCTGGCTCGGTCAAGATTGGCATGTTGATCGCTGTCCGCGTTGTTCAAGGAGGTGGACAGGGCATGCTCCTCGCCCTCGTGCCACTCTATCTGTCGGAGGTTGCTCCACCTCACATACGGGGCTTCTTGACAGGCTTGACGACACTATCCTTCGGGATAGGCTATGTAATGTTTGTCTGCCACGCTCCGAACAAATCAGAGAATGACGGCTAACCTTAGACATGACAGAGTCGGTTGGATCGCGATCGCATGCTATCATGCCTCGAACCTCACTCTGAGTTGGCGTCTTCCGCTTGCTCTTGCGACCGTCCCACCCATGGCACTGTTGGCCGGCCTCTCCTTCGTTTCAGGTAAGTATTGATGCTCGGCTCACGATCCATATTCTTACACCATTTAGAGACACCCCGCTTCCTCGTGTGGCGCGGGCAACGAGAGGAGGCTTGGAGGGTCATCAAGAAGCTTCATTATGACCCTGCAGATCCTCAGGACGAGGGCGCTCGTGCCGAATTTACTCAAATCGTCAGACAAGTGGAATTTGACAAGGAACAGAATACCTCCTTCATTCAAATGTTCAAGAAGCCTACCTGGAGACGTCGTTCCCTACTGGCTATGTTCGCTACGTGAGTCCAGACATTAGCAGCCGATTGTTGGGATTTTACTGACCACTTTGATCTCAGGTTTGCCGCACAGTGCACTGGTGTATGGACAGTCGTCCAATCCGACCGGCCGAACGTATGCTGATGAAAATGATCCAGGTTTACGGGATCACCAACTATCTGCCACTCATCTTTGCATCCTTGGGCATGACAGGCGACGTACCTCTCATTCTTTATGGTGAGGTGTACTGCATAAAGCTTCAAATGTCCTACTTGCTGACTTCTCTTCAGCTTCCTACAATACGCTTGGGACGGTTTGTGTCCTTGCTAGTATCATTCTTGTGGATCGAGTTGGTCGTCGACCTCTTATTGGTGTGGATAACTCCTCATCTGCTCAAGCAAAGCTGACAAAACACTTAGTGACTGGCTATTGCTTGGTGGCCGGGGTTTTGCTTGCGGAAGCTCTTCTTCAGTGGAAATACATCGGCACCACCAGCAAGGGTGGCAACGGGGCATGCATAATGTGCATATTCCTCTACATTGTGGTCTTCCAGGTCTGTATGCCTTGCGCTACTATCTGTGTTGCTCGATCTTGACAGAATCTTACGGCTGACCGCTGCAGTGTGTGGATGCTCCCGCCTTTGCTTGGGTCGCTGAAATATTCCCGACCAACCTGCGAGCCAAAGGTGTCAGCCTGGCCATCTTCTCGCTCTTTGTTGGGACTATCACGTTCACAGCACCGTCGCCTCTGGCATTCAAGAACATGTGAGTTGATGAACATCAAGTCTCCCTCACCTTCATCGTTTCTGACAGGAATGGTGCAGTGGATGGCATATGTTTCTCATCTACTTCGGTCTCGCGATTGTCGCGGCAATAATCGCATGGTTCTTCATTGTGGAAACCAAGGGTGTGCCCATGGAAGAGATTGGTGCGCTTTTCGGCGATGAGGTCGTCGTACATTTGACCACTGATGGACACGGGATCGTTGAAGACAAGAGTGGTCCGGAGGAAGTTGAGAATGTGTCAAATGCAGACACCGCGAAAGTGTGACGGGAAGGCGACCGGGGTCTATCAGATCATCATTGAGGAGGAGCCTCAGTTGGAAAGTCTTTCCCGAGATGCGTCCTTACGAGAAAGACAGGAGTGTTCGCAGATAAGGTCAAGACGAGGTCTCGCGCAGTCTGGGGATGGAAGAGAACAATGATGGTAGTTTGCCTACACAGTAAGAAATGCCCTTTGTAGATCTGTTATGTGTAGGTGACCAGGATCTAGCATACCAGACCCCTAGGTGCTCATTGCAAAGTAAAGGAGGGTAGTCATTCCCCCAATCCTTCGGTTATATCAAGGGCCGTAGCATAACCGAAGATCGGGGTCCCTCTCCCGTATCCCATGCTCCATCTCCACACCTCCACGAAACCTTCCCCAAATTTGAGCATGTTCCGTCAGAAAGTAGCAGCTTGATACGATGGTCAGAAAATAGTTCTTCGGTCCACTCCTCAGTAATTGACCCGATCGTCGGGCATCAGCGGTCCATGACTCCATGGGAACGACTTCAATTATCGTCGGCTTAGAGACGGGTAATTGGATCTTTCCGTCTCCGCTTGAGTCGAACGTCCTTAAAAACTGAACTTGAACTGCTGTCTTGATCCTCCACAACTCACTTCAGGTACGAGCTCATTCATCAATCACCCAGCAAGGAGTCAATAGAGAAAGATCACAAAGATGTCGAAACCCACCATCCTACTTGTCCCAGGCTCCTTCGCCCTCCCAGAGTTCTACAATGAAATGTTCGACAAGATCCGTGCAAAAGGGTATGATATCCAAGGTATTCATAAACCCACTGTCGGCCTGTCCGCGGGTCAAGGTCGTCCAGGTCCAGCGCCATCAATGTATGACGACGCAGCACATATCGCCAAAGAAGTCGAGAAAGTCGCCGACACAGGCAAAGATGTCGTCCTTATCGGCCATTCGTATGGCGGTGTGCCCGTTACGGAGGCCGTGAAGGGATTGCCGAGGAAGGAACGGGAAGCACAGGGCAAGAAAGGTGGTTTGGTCAACTTGGCTTACATGACTTGCTTGGTTCCTGCTGTGGGATCGTCGGCGGCGGATGTCTTGTCGAAAGTGCCTGATGACTTTAAGACTCCTTTCGCGATTGGTGTAAGTTGTGCTTGCATCCCCTATACTCCTTGCCAAAAACGCTATGCGTGTGGTGTCCTTTTGTTGACGATGTTGGTGGGATCTGGTATCTATGACCGACATTCAAGACCAAGCTCTAACGTGAACCGTGTTTACAGGAAGACGGCTGGATGTCCCACGTCAGCGCCGAAACCACCGGGGCGATCATCATGCAGACTGTACCGCTCGAGGTTGCCGCTGGCTGGGTGAGAAAAATGCCCAACCATTCAGCAAGGAGTTTCGCAGATCCTCTGACGTACCCGGGTTACCGCGACGTGCCTGTATCTTACCTCTTCTGTGAGATTGACCAGTGCATACCGCCAGGAGTTCAACAGGAGGGTATCGACATAATTGAGAAAGAATCTGGTAACAAAGTCCATGTGACTAGGATTCATGCTGATCATTGTCCTAATTTCACGGCGATGGATGAGACGGTGGACTGGATTGTGGATATTGCTGAGCGCGTCCAGAAACAGTAGATCTGGGATAAAATGAAGAGTAGAACAATAGTCGGGGTCCCTAATTGGATTAGTTGTCTACAGTGTTAATCATGTTCACCGCTTAGTATCTCCTGAAAAGTGTCGACGAGGCTGCGAGGCTGTACGCGTGAAAGGGGCACGGAGCAATTCCGCGTGGTGACAGTCGGCTTAGGTAAGGATGGCGATGGTGCTGACTTTCTTCCTTTTCCTTCCACTTATTCTTCACGGATGGTCATCAAGAACACGTAAGGACTGCCCATATTTAACCACACTCAAGCACAGAGGACGTTCCTTGAGCTCACTCATACCAGCAACTTATCGACGTTGACGAGGCTGCCGCCGACCGTGTTATGGTCCGATACCTCGGCTCGAGCACCACAATATTAGCAACGATATCATCTCTAGTCCTCATCTTCGCGGCAACGTTACATCTACTGCCAGTGACCTACGACGACGTGGCTTCTTCACAGCTCTTTGCGCCTCTCGCACGCTTGACCAACCTCGCTCGAACATTTTCCACCAGCACGCCGGCGCATAAAGCACCAACCATGGCGAAGAAGACGCCCGTATACTTTGTCTCCCACGGCGTAAGTGCTTATCCGTGCCTCCTCGTTCAGATCTTCAGATCTCTAACGTTGTGGATAGGGCCCAACAACAATGTACGAAACAGACCACCCAGTCTACCCCGAACTCCAACGTATCGGCAGAGAAATCACACAAGTCGTCAAGCCCGCCGCCGTAGTCGTCTTCTCCGCGCACTGGCAAGCCGAGCGCCCCAACACGATCGAGGTCAACACTTCCGAACAAGAACCCCTTCTCTACGACTTCTACGGATTCCCACGCCACTACTACATGGAGAAGTACCCGAACAAAGGCTCACATTCCCTCGCGCAGAAAGTCATGACCACGCTCAACGAAAGCGGGATCAAGACCGAAGCCGCAGAACGAGGGTTGGATCATGGAGTCTTCGTCCCGTTCAAAGTCATGTTCGACCCCGCGACGAATCCGTTGACGGTCCCGATCGTGCAGGTCAGTCTATTTGACGACGACACTGATGCCGCGGCGCATATCAGGCTAGGTCGTGCGGTGCAGAAATTGCGCGAAGACAATATCCTGGTTATCGCGAGTGGTATGTCGGTGCATAACTTGCGGCACCTGATGATGAGTAAGGGTAGGGGTCAGACGATGCCGTATACTGTGAGCTTCGATGCGGCGTTGAAGGATGCCGCGGAAACAAAACCTGGTGAGCATCGGGACGAGGTTATGGTTGATTTACTTGAGCGGCCTGATGCCAGACTGGCGCACCCGTCATTCGAGCATCTCTTGCCTGTTCATGTTGCTGTTGGTGCCGCGGGGGATGATCAGGGGAAGCAATTGTGGACGATGGCTGAGGCCAGTATGGGGTGGGCGCAGTATCGATTTGGAGAAGTGGCGGCTTGATCATCTGAGACTAGATATCTGGGTGGTCAAGACCCTCTCCCAGGCATGTGTATATCTCTTTTCAGCATTGAGCGAGCATTATATGTACAACGCGACGCTTCTATGAGGATAGCAGTCGCGGTAAATGTTCTCCCTTTCCGATCGACGAGATGCGCTTGCTCTGTCAATCCATCAGCTCACACTTAGATTGACCTCTTTCTTAACTCAACGCTCGGGCGTCGAAGCTGGTCGACCTCAGTGGTACCACCAATCGTAACCGGTCCTTCATAGTTCTTGCGAGGTCCAATGAACCACCAAATGGCCACGAAGATGGTCAAACCACCCCAGATCAAGCATGCATAATTCATATTCTGTGCATCGACCGGCAAGGCGAACGGGAATGAGTACAAGACGAACCAAGTTAGCATGTAGCCGCACCCAATGAAGTTCATTGCGAAACCAAGCCAATCTGGCAGCCTGAACGGACCGTAGACGATGTTTTTCCGTCCCGTCAAGAGATGAGGCAGAATCGCGGAGAGATAAGAAGCCGAGCTCATGAGGACGTAGCTACCAACGAAGGCGTTGAATGCAGTGGTGCTGCCGACGTAGATACTATATTCATTGTCAGCTATGATAAAGTCCATGTGGATCTGTGACGTACCATCCTAGGATCGTGGAGATAACAGCACAGGCGATTGTAGCGTTGAGAGGCATCCCTAGGCGTTCGTTCACCTGACTGAAGAATTGGGGGAAGGGTGTGGCACGGTCGCGAGCCAGAGTCCAGAGTGTCCGTCCAGCAGTGATGTAGACTCCAACAACGTTCAGTGTAATGCAGAAAAGCAACAGGCACAGTAGGCCAATAGCTCCAGCGGCGGACCCTGTAGCTTGGCGGTAGATTTCGGCAATGGGGTAGGCCGAGTCGAAAAGTGCGTCGTAGTCATTGATGGCGTAGAGGATGGAGACCAGATACAGGAAGCCTGTCACGAAGCCAATAGCCATCTGCCAGAAAATGGCTTGCGGCACCTTGCGCTGAGGGTCCGGAATCTCTTCAGCCAAATGAGTGGTCACATCGGGTGTTCCAACAGCAAAGGCTCCGTTCAACATGCCCAGTAGGAAGGTCAACCCGCCGCTGTAGCCAATATCTGCGTTCCATTCGGTCCAGACAAAGCTTGAGGTTGCATGAGGAGGTCTGCCACCATGTCCTGGCATCGCAGCACTGGGAGTGTTATCAGAAAGAGTGCTCTTGTCAGGAAGTGTTCACGCTTACCAGACAACAACAGTGATGAGGAAGCCGGCCAAGATCAGGAAGATCCCGACTTGGGTCATGTATGGCATCGCTCGGTTGAAGCAGCAGACCATGAAGCAGGCGAGCCACGTCACAATAAGGTAGACCACAAAAACGTGCCATGGTTTAGCCACGAAGTCAGCATGTGTGACACCGTACATCTGGACAACCGTGTTTGCGAAGATGAATGCCATCGAAGCGCAGCCAAAGACCCATGCAAGCCAGTTCCAGTAACCGCCGAAGAAGCCTGCAGCCGAAATTAGCATGCACATCTTGTGGTGATCAAGCCTCTTTACCGTTCACACGACCCCATTTTCGCCCGGGAGTGACTGAAGCCCAATGGTATACGCCAGCCGAGGAGGGAATGGCAGAGGCAAGCTCTGCGATGCTTGCAGCAACGATCCAGTAGAATATAGACACGGCGATGAACTCGTACAGGACACCTGATACCCATGTCAGCGGTTTCCAATTTCAGGACCAGGTCTTGTGCGAACCTGGAGCGCCTCCATTGTAAATAGCGACGAGGATTGATCCTCCCAGGGCGGGCCACACGTTGCCAACCACTAACCCACAGCCTGCCAAGCTTACAAGGTTGAAGTTGCGATCGAGCTCTTGAATATGTCCAGACGCATTGACGAGTTGAGCTTCATCTTTGATGGCTACTTGCTCAGCTGATGTAAGCGAGTCCTGTCTCGCAATTGTGGTGGAGTTCTTCCTATTGTCAAGAGAGGAAGACATGCTGGGTGGTTGGACTCGCTTGAGGTGCGATTTCATGTGCAAGAAAACATGGCAATGAGTGGTAGGCAGGACCTTTAAAAGCCATTCTTGTTACCTCACACCCATCGGAAAATCCCTGTGACGTGGAGTATGTGGAGGTTTGATGCATGTTGCTTTTACGCAATCTGAATGTCTTCCCGTTGTTCTAGGCATGGCAATTTGCGTCATCGTCGCTTGTTGGTGCTGTGATGGTCCCTTGCATCTCACTGAACAGTAATAAGATAGACTGATCAAACACTCGGTATCGAGTCGAACAGCATTTGGATATCAGATAAAGCGAATGCCGAGAGTCGATGGAGTTCATGGGAGAAGAAGCCGTCGAGATGCCCGACGTTGTATGAAATTTCAGTATATTAATGTGTTACCCACCCTGAACCTTGATAGAAATCGATCCACTCGTTAGCAATCCAGAAGAGTCAGAACATTGGCCGAAAGAGCTTTCATTGGTTTGAAGCCTTTTATATCGAGGATGTAATGTCCTCTTGCGTCCTGGCTTACGGCGTGGACATTCCTGTGGGGGTTTCTGTACATATGTTTATGGCGTTGTGGTAACGGCCATCATGACCGTCTTCAAATGGTAAAACAAAGGTCGCGCGAGTGCTGTTAGAAAAAAAAGAGACAGCAGCCTCGTTGCTTGCTGTTCATGTCGTCCAAAGACGAGGAAGGTGCGATCTCCGGGTTCTCATACATCAGGAGTCGCGCTGCCAGCAGCAACTAAGATCGTCTGCAGCAAGCTATCAGGCGGTTATCGTCTTCGAAGGGGCCATGAAGCCTCGACCATCTAGGTTGTTGGAGAGGAGTCATGAGACGACAACAGTACCGAGTAAGGACAGCCGAGAGGAGAGGCTCGATTGACGCCTTCGCGCCTCATTGTTGACCACCATGGAATCCGCGAAGATCATGATTGCATTAGTGTTGAAGATGATTAAGGACTTCGGAAGCGTCCGAGTTGAGTTTAGGCGGAGATTTAAGGACTCAACCCATGGTCAATGTCGTACACGGTCAACCTAGAAGGCCTATGAAGACTCGACTTGCGCCTAAAAGATACCAATCTTTCATATTTGGACACAACCAAAAATTGCCCTTGATATATTCCCCATTTCAAGGTGTACTTCACGCGCGAATAGTTTAAGGGTAGAATTCGAGCTTCCCATGCTCGAGGCCCGCGTTCGAGTCGCGGTTCGCGCATCATAATATGTTTTTGCTCAGCGAGTTCTTCTTTTTTGTTGCTTTTTGTCAGGTTCTTTTTCTCGAGTCTGTTTTTTCGTTGTTATGTGAATTGGCTCGCAAAAGCAGTGACATGGGCTGACTCGGATTCGAGCATTTCCCCGCCCTTTTTGTCCTGGGTCACCTGACTCGAGCGTCTTCTCTCCGCACGTGATTGAATCCGTTCGTCACGCTGGAAGATTCGACGTTTCGCAGGCGAAATGCAGTCATAGCGCTTCCAACCGCCACTTATATTAACATCTTCCTGTTTCATACCATCACTTCCTTGCATCCAATTCTCCGTCTTCTTTACACCTGTACACCTAGACGCCTTATTGTCTAGATCATCGACATGGCCTCCACTACCAAGTACCAATCCGCTCCTCAGCGCGACTCGCTCGACGATGGCGCCTACCCTCAGCCGCCTCCTAGTTATCAGGCTGCAGGCCCTAGTGTCACTGATGGAGGATATGGCACACCTAGAGCTGAGGACGACAACGTCCCAGATGACTTCAAGGTACGTTTACAACATTCTTTATAGCATCGCATCAACACCCGACTAACAACCATTCGCAGTTCGGCGGCTCCGTTTCCGAGGCTACACTCGACATCCGAATGCAGTTCATCCGAAAGGTCTACACCATCCTGACCGTTCAGCTCCTCCTCACGGCCGCCATGTCTACCCTCTCATTCTTCTCCGAGGGCTACAGAAATTGGATTCAAACAAACTCATGGATGATGTGGACATCGCTCTTTGGCGCTATTGCTTTCATGCTCCTCACATTCTGGAAGCGCAAGTCCTACCCTACGAATCTCCTCTTCCTCGGTGCATTCACCGGCTTGGAAGCATACAGCATCAGCGTTATCACCTCGTTCTACGAAAGCCGAATCGTCATCGAAGCACTCATCATCACACTCGGTATCTTTGTCGCCCTGACCCTCTTTGCATGCCAGTCCAAGTATGACTTCACGAGCTGGATCCCATACCTTGCTGGCAGCCTGTGGATCTTCATCATCTTCGGGTTCATGGCTGCCTTCTTCCCTCACACATCCACCTCCGAGTTGATCTTTGGTGCAGCCGGTGCTGTGATCTTCAGTGGTTACATCCTGGTGGACACTCAGTTGGTCATGAGACACTATCACGTGGAGGAAGAAATTGCCGCCAGCATCAGCCTTTACCTTGACATCATCAACCTCTTCCTCTCTATCCTCCGAATTCTCAACAGCCAGAACAACAACTAAACTAGTTGTGTCCAAGAACATTGTTCACGGAAGGGATGGATTGTTGCAAAAGGAAAGTCTTGAGGACAGACGTACCTAGTTCAACTCTGACGTCAGTTCATTTTTCTACATGTTCCCGTCCATGGGCGTATGGGTCGCGCGCGAGAGCTTCGGTTTGCAACATGAACGACAATGAGTTCTGATGTGCTACTGCGTCTTCGGGTTCTGAATATTGGCTTATTGGGAAAATGCTGGGTCAAGGTTTACACAGGCGTTGTTTTGTAGGAATATGCATTCAGTCCACAGGAAGCCACGATATGCTGCTCTCTGGAGGCAAACTAAGCTGCATATGCACGATATGATCATGTTCGTCTTGTGCTCCGTGATTCCACACAGCTTTTCTCATCCACATCTCCTTGGCCGCCATTCCTTCGAATGCTTTCACACCTCTCAGCAGCCAAGCCGACTTGATATCCCAGGAGGGTGGCATGTTCGTCCAGTCGTAGCATGCCCTGATCACGGTCTCGGCAACGCTGCTACACGATCTTCACACGCCTGACTGCATGGAATGGTCGATCCGTTCGCAGGCAACATAGTTTTCCTCAAGTTAGTATCACTCATTTCGGCGCGCGATGAAGATCGTCTGACCACGTTCCTGAGGGACCATTGTCCGACATTCTTTCGCCGCAGCAAGAAGGCCGGTACTTCTAGCACGACGGTGCAATCCCTTTCCGAGTATCGGCTCGGTGTGGTGGTGGGCTCAATCAACGTCATTGTCGCAGCCGTCTTGCTTTTGGATCCATTTTCAACCTGTTCTACGTAAACAGCCAAACGAAGCGCCTTGGTCTCGTGGCTGGATACACCGTCGCCTTCGCACTCTGCGTGGGTCTCCTTACCAATGCCAGACGATCGTAAATCTTCTGTGCATGTGCAGCATATGCAGCATATGCAGCAGTACTAGTGGTGTTTGTGAGCGGCAATCTGGGAGATGGACCGTCCACATCGCAGTGAATGATGTGTGGTCATGACAATAGCATTTAGTTTTATGAATATATGGATATATTGATTCTCGCAGTCGATCTTAGCCCGGACGCCAAGGTCGAAACTTCACCAGACGCCGTCGCTCCAATATCACGATTGTATAGTCGCAGCATCTGGTACTCTGCCAGACCAAAGCCCGCAAACCATTTTCACCTCTAAGACTGAGCTCGATGTATCGTCAACCGTGCTTGTCAGGCTGGGAGCATGTTGCCGATTCCTGCGAACTTTCTGATAGAAAGCATGAAGGGGATCTCCGCCTGATCAATCGCTGAGTTGTCTGCCCTTACGTACAAGAGCACCAGCAGATGATCACCATCAAGACTTGCGGATCCCGACGGTACAGTGGTGCCAGACAATAACTGCTGCAAACCACGTCGCATCGGTATATCCATGATAGGACTTTGCGGAGCCGTTTATGTTCGCCGAACGCGGATACAATTCTATCGCTTTTGAGCGGCCTCAATGTGCCACAATGAAGAAGGTGTTCATGGTCAAACAGGTGACCATGACGACAAGGCCGTATATGGCAAGCGCCAGGCTCAATCTCCTCAACAGCTTGCGGCGAAAGTTCCTCGAGTGTCTCAGGCGAGTGAGAGCATTAATACTCAGAACCCCTGAGTTAGCCAGTAGAGTCTGGCTTTCTGTGCCGTCGTCATTCTCGTCGTCTGACTTGGCACCGTCTGCATCTTCGTTGTCATAGTCGTCCTCCTCTTTCAATAGTCGTTGATGAAGAGGTGAGTCGGGAGAAGAAATCTTGTAGTAAAATAAGCCCGGCAGGATGAAGGAGATGGCCGTGCTTCCTGTCGACCCGACATATGCAAGGACGGCTTCGAGACTTGAGACGGTCATGGCGACAATATAGCTGAGGATGATGATGACTGTGGTTATAGCAGCGAATCGAGTCTCGCCCATCTCGGTATTGCGCTTTCTGTTTACAGGCAACAAAGGAATGTCACGCGGTGGGCTGGATTCGATGGAACTTGGTGTAGCTGATGCGGAGCGCAGTTTCGCCTTCAACTTGTCGCTTGGTCGCCATTTCAGAACTGCGTCGACACTGGCTCGGCATGGATGGACTTGTAACGGGTAGGAGAACATCACAAGGATGACGATCATTGCCTTGCCGATTGTGGTAGAGACTGACGGAACATACTGTGCGACAATGTTACCACCAATTTCGTTTCCAAAGGACAGGTACCCGGTGATTGCGACCAGGATGTAGATGAAACCGGCTGAACCGTTGGACGCCAGCAGGACCGAAGTGGTGCTGAAATGAGAGTTGTCTGCGATCTCATTGAGAATGCTGAACATGTTTTGGTGGCATGTATATGCGAAGACGATGACGGGGAAGGAGGAGAGCGCAGGCACAACTCCGGCCCATTTGAAGACGCGTAGAGGGGTTTCGTAGTGACCATTAGGTAGAGTATCGTGTGCCGCAAAATGATAGACAACCAAGATGACCAGGTATCCAATAGATATTAGAGCGACCACCGAGGTGTATTTCAGCGAGTCGAGTCGGCGGAGGAAGGAAAACGGTATAACGATTATCATGAAGGCCGTGATCCAAAAGTGTCGGTCGAACATGAATGGAGAAAGACGGTCTTCATTGGCAAACCCGCGGACCACTCCAGGCATGAGATCCCCAATGATGATCAGGTAGCTGACTCCCACTCCGAAACATTTGATGGAAATTGCTGCATCGAAAATGACGGCGGCGTTGGGGTATGTGATTTGGGAGAGGGCGAAGAAGCTAGCCGCTCCTCGTTCAAGATATGCTGCGCATCGTGTCTGAAGATATAGTCCAAATCCAGCAGTTAGGCCTGCCCATGCTATTACAATCGTACCCAGCACTATTCCCATATGCGACATGGCGAGAGGCATGGCAAGAACCCCGGCACCAACGATAGTGTTGAGGAGGTTGATGACGCTGGAAGTCCATGATGCCGTCCCTGGGGTACCTGTGAGCTCTCGCTTCGTTCGTGTAGGGGTGTGAGGTCTCCTGTCAAAGATGAGTTAGCATGAGACAAACGACGACGACAGAGTTGCTGATCAGTGCTTACCGGCGCGCCCTCGACTGCGGGCTGTGAGAAGAAGTCGAGCCGGACGGCATGGTGGCTGGTTTGGGTGCGTGACGACGACCTTTGGAATTATTGTTTGATCATATCTTCATACAATGGCTTGTCTTTGTGAGCGCCAAAAGGTAGTGGGATGCAGATAGTCGCTGAATAGAGACAGGAATTAAAGAGGGGAAGTGATATGACGGCGACCAAAATATTGCCAGATGTTGAGAAAACACGCACGCCATGTGATGCAAGGATGATGATGATGATAGAGGCGCAGGGAAGGAGGAGCAAAAGACCACAGAACTTGGAAGTTACTGCTGTGGAACAAGAATAGAATTGCCAATAACGCCAGCCATCTTCCTATCGCCAAGAAGGCCGCCCAGAGATGCCCATCAATCGCCGTTGACGCCGTTGATGCCAGGATGGCACCTGTCATTGTCTCAATTGACTTTAACTGACATCAAGGTAAAAACACCTTTGGTCTCCTAACTAGACATGTCTCTTCTCACATTCCATCAATCACTCAGGCTCCTCCACATGTCTCAATCCTTCAAAGCAGAGTGATTCCACCATTCCGCCATGCAAGTCTACGATAGCGATTGCTCGATTGCAATCTCGCACACTGCTTTAGGTCCTTACGTCTAAGACGGAAACAAAAGTAACCACCGTTTGATAGCAACAGTTGAACTAGCAGAGTTATGGTCAGGAAACGCATATTTGACTATGGTGAATGCAAATGATGCAAAAGACTCCGGATCATTTGCATTCACCATAGTCGAACAGTATTTGGCCGGAATTTCTCATATACTGAATCGCATCAACCGAAGTCAGACCGCCGACTAGGATAAGTATTTCGACCCCTTAACACATCATTCCGATACTGTGTCTATGTATCGCCTGAATCACAGCCACAAGATCTGATGGTCTATTTTATCGACTTCTTTTACAAATATGTGAGATAGACTACTGAGGTGAAAACGATGGCCTTGATCATATGACAAACTTCTCACCCACCAGGCTCTCACTCAAAGTCCACAGCCTCTCAACCATATCATCGTCCCTCGCGTACTCCTCTACCTCGCTCAATTGACAATCCTTTAAATACCCACCGCTGGCGCTCGCGAGAGCCGGGTCGAAGGCCGCGACGATGGTTGTCGCGACCCCCTGCTCGACAGTCTTGGGCTGATCGAATGACCCAAACTCCTTGCCGGTGTTCTTCTTGGTGATCTCATTGATCGAGGCGAAGATCCTCAGGTCGATCCCGACACTGAGATGCGTGCCGCGAATTAGACCCGGATGCAGAGCAAATGAAGTGATGCCGCGCTTTGCCAGACCGTTGGTGAAGAGAATGTTGGCCGTTTTCGACTGCCCGTAACCGGACAACGGGTCGTACGCTTTGCCGTCGTCGAAGTTGACGTCGTCCGGGCGAAAAGGACAGACAAGGTAGCTGTTGGATGACAGATTCACAACGCGGACATCCCGGCCGCGACGAAGAAGAGGCAGCAAGTTTTGCGTGAGCAGAAAGTGCCCGAGATGGTTGGTTGCAAATTGTGATTCGACGCCGATCTTCGTCTTTGCGTATGGCACACCCATGATACCCGCATTGTTGATCAGAACGTCAATTTTGCCTTCCTCACCCAAGTGCTTGGACACCTCGGCGGCGGCAGCGCGCACCGACTCGAGATCGTCAAGGTTGATGGGGACGAACACAACTGTAGTTGATGAGCCGAGGGTGTCGTTGATTTGATCAATGACCGGTTGAACCCTAGAGACATCGCGAGCAAGGAGGACGAGGTGGGCGGGCTCCGCCTGCTTTACTCTTCCAAGCACCGGCATTGATCCCGAATGCGGGCCAGTCACCGGTTCTTTCATTGGCGTGAAATGTCACTTGCTGCTTCTTGCCGTTGACGACGACTGCATCGCCATCCGCCTCATCCACCCTACACCCCATCTGCACATGTACATCTTACAGCATATATCGGAACTCAGGGTTCCTGTGGCCCATATTCAGCTTGGCTTCATCACTCGTGATACCGTCAAGGCGATGATCTCGCTTTCCACTCGCCCGCATCTTGTTCTCGTAGACACAGTGGGCGATACCAAATAGGGACAGTGCAAAGCAGAACAGCATCAACCCGAAGAAGATCGTGTGACCTTTGTGGTACTCAGGCTTCCCGGTGGGAAGGTAGGTCCATCTATCACAATGTCAGTCTTCTCGTCGTCGTTATGCATTGCGAATCACTCACGTTGAAACGACACCGCCAATAGTGCCGATTGCCACAATATAACCTCCTGCTACAGCTGCAGCTGCTGGATTACCGGCATCTGGGTTATGTCAGACTTTTGGGGCCAGGAAGCCTGCTCGGGTTTACTTACTGTTGATTCCCCAACTCAGCATACCCGCACTCGCTGCGAAGCAACCGATAGCGTTCAAAAACACTGCAGCATATTTGGCTTCTGCGCTCTCCGTCCATCGCAGCATAGCGAAGCCAATGATGGCGGTAGGCAGGACACCAGCGATGAAGATTCCTCTTTGTCCTACTCGGTCACTGGCCCAGCCTAGAGCGACCGTGCATACACAGGCAACCAGGTATGGTGGCACCGACTTGAGCTGTGCTTCAGTGGAAGTCCAGCCGAACGCTTGTAAAATGCTCGGCACAAAGGCACCAAAGCTCTGGACTGCTGCGTTCGAGCAGAAGAATGTCCAGGCGCAAACCTGTGTATGAACATTGAAAATGGCGGACTTCACGTGGTGCCAGCTTACGCGCTGCTTTGGATGCTGCTCTCCGTTAGCCTCATGACAGATCTTATGTCTTAGGTCAAGACTTACAACTGCAATTTCGCGGTACATGCGCTCAGCAGCAATGTAGCGTTGTCGCGGTGTCAAGAACTTCGCGGTTGCCGGGCTCTGGGGCAAGAACCATGGGGCCGAGGCTGCGATGATCATGGTCATCAAGCCCTCGAAGAAGAAAATGTTGCGCCAGGTATGGATTGGCGCCGAGTTCGTGCCCCATCGGGGAATTTCTGAAAGGCCTGCGGCCAAGAGACCTCCGAAAGAGTTTGCCAGGGAGCTGGACGCGATGAAGAAGCTCATACGCAGGAACAGCTCCTTCTTCTTGTAGAAACAGCTAAGTATGAAAGCGACTGCTGGCATGGCACCGCCCTCGAAGATGCCGAGGAAGGCTCGGGCGACGGCTAGTCCGGCGTACGATTTCACAAAGGCCGTGCAAAGGGAGACGAGGCCGAAGCCAAATACGAGGCCGGGAACTGAGGTTTGTTAGGGTCTTGCGGGGGGGACAAAAGCTAGAGTGCCACTTACGATACCATTTTGGACCGACGTGCTTTAGAGTGATGTTGCTGGGAATTTCGACACTGGTAGGGTAAGTGACTTGCTCACCGAGATCTGGAGTCCACTTACGCAAGATACATGCAGAAGAAGATGGTCAAGACAATATTGTATTGATAGCCCACAAGGCCGATATCATCTTCCATCCCTTCAATTTTGGCGTTTCTTCGACGTGTTAGTAGCTGAGTCGGCAGAAGGGACCTATTGCGGCACTTACCCGATGGCAGAACTGTTTTGCTTGTCAGTTTGATTGATATTCCGGGTGATCGAGGTCACTTACCGATCAACAGCACAGCACAGGTACAGAACAGTACACAGCGGTGTCACCACCATATCGAACTTTCTCCGGACTGCTGTCTCCTCGGCGACAGTCCAGTCCACTTCACCATGATGAACTGAGACATCAGCTGGCACGGTGAGAGCTTGCAGGCCCTCTTTGGTCGACTTCAAGTTGGAGTCTTCGTAGACTGGGTGCTCCATTGTACTTAGACGATGAGTATAAGGTTAACGAGTATAGTGGGTGGATGGGAGCAGACTATGGATATTGTTCCTGATGTTGGAACACAGGTCGCTGGAGAATCGAGCATGCATCTGCACTGGTCTATACAAGAGTATATATCATTTCTGGGTCCATCTCCAGACCCTGTATCCATGTGGCTAGCAGGCAGCCTAACCTGTGGGTCCAGCCAGAGATAAGGGGGTCGGAGGCGCAACCCGATCTTAGCCTGGGCATCACAGATAAGGCAACACCAAGCCTATCTTGGCGTCGATTTGCAGATTGGAAGGTGTGGTAACGGTCCGGTAGAGGGATATGGGTCTGGCCAAGTACCTTGGTACCTCTGCAGGTTGTTGGCTAACCTATCTCTACACGGGCGCTTGCCCCGGGAGGTCTTATCTGTGGAGGACGCCTGGGAGTCTTTCAGCGCCGCTAATTGAACCACTCCTGACCCTGTCTGGAGAAGGAGAGAACTTTCGCCTTCCATATCGAGAGTCTTAAGATACGCACGTGAAAGATGAGGACAGGTAATGTGTTGCACAGTACAAGTGCCGGTTTGCCAAGGCGCTGCCACTATGACACGGACACGAAGCGGTCCTACATGCTCCTCGGATCCATAGTCAGAGAGTCCTCAGCCATCAGAGCCGTCTCCACCCAGTGCCTGTCCATATCAATGCCAATGGAGTCTAAAACCTCCGTCCATAACCCAACGTCATCGTCCATGGCCAAGGACCAGCTGTTATCCTGTACACCCGACATACCTGCAGCCATTGGATTAAAAGCAGCTGGCTGGACTTGGAATAGCTGCTGATCGAGGACCTGCTGAGACGGCTGATTGTTGGTGATCTCCGCTCTGTGTACTTGCGGTGGAGGTGGAGGCCTTGATTTGATGGTCTCCCTGATTTTGTGTAGTAATGAATGGCATGCACGGATATACCGGTTGCCTTTATCCGCCATGCCTTGTAGCACATTCAAGGAAGTGTCCATGGCAGAGGCATCGATCTCGGTATGCGGGAAGGCCATGTTCACCATGACGAGCAGCAGTGCCGATGAAAATGCCTGCTCCCCATCGATGAATCCATATGTGGCTATAGGTACTTCTCAACATACGTAATGCACCAAGATTGGGGACAGAGAAACCACTTACCCACGAGGTTGAATTTTGCCGCTTTGTTCAAGATTGAAACACTCGACCGTGCAGCTGCGATGGCAGCTTGGATTACGCTCACCATACCCGCTGGCAGGCCATCCTCCCATCGCGTTGTCGCAGGCCGTTGGGCAGTGGCCGCCATGTGCCTTCGTACCGCATAAAGAAGCAATGGTCGAGCTGTCATACTGATACACTGGTAGTAGTAGAGATAGAGAGAGACCTGCTCTCGGTGGACCTCCTTTTCGAGATCAGAGATTTCGAGCCTTGAGCTGGGTGGAATCTGTCGAAACCATTCCGACAGACTGTCCATCACGTTCTGAACTGAGGCAGCAAGATTGGTTCCTGACTTCTGTTTCCTCCTGTAGATCTCCTCACCAATCCTGCCCAGAATCTTCGACAAGGAAGTATAACATCTAAGTACCGTGGGCAAATGCGTATCTTCGCCATCAGTCGGGCTTGGGAGGAGGACATCAATATCGTCATCCTGTATCGAGATAGGATGACCAGACGTAACGCTGAGTAGCCTGTCTAGACTGTAGGTCGACCACCATACCCGCCGTCTGCGCTCCCGCTCATGAGGGTCGAGTTCTTGATCTGTTACTTCCTGGTGTAAGCCTAGAGATATCGCCATCCGCATAGCCAGGCCGAGATAGAGGTAAGCTGCGTCCCTGCGATTCAAAGTCTGCATGTAGTAGCCCACGTAGCTCAGCACCTCCACAAATAGAATTGAGCCATCCTCATGACTGTCTGGTAGGAACTTCAAGGCCGACTTGAAGTAAGAGAAACCAGGGGGCCCGTCATTACCTGTCCATTGATTGACAGAGTACATTTGGCCCAAGGCGAACACAAGCAAGACTTGGCAGCAGATGAGACATTCCTCCTGGTCAGCAGGGTCTGGGGCACGAGCGTATACGCGCTTCAAACGCGGATAGAATTCCTCATCGTTGAGGAATGAAAAAATAGTACCGATGTACGCACGCTGCGCAGAGTACAAGCGCTTTGCGAACTCGAAAGGGGGCAATTGCGGCAACTCGGCGCTGACGGAGCGTCTAAGCCAGGAAGCATCCTCATAGTGAGGGTACAGATGCCATGTCAAGGCCTCCGTGGTTGGGACAAGTCTGTTGGCGATGTACGTCGATGATGAATTTCCCATGTAGTCTGGAGACCAATCAGCATTATTCGTCAAATCAATCTCCAGCCATACAGTATTGTCCTTGGCCACCGGAAACCCAGTTGTCCGTCCCAGTGAAAGCCACGAAGTCCACATTTTGGGACACATGCTCGGGCGTAGTGACCGCAGGCCCACGAGGCTGTGCGTTAGCCTTCCGAGCATGAGCCTGTAGTTTGTGTAGGTAGCTGTACAGATAAGTTATCTTCGCTTTACGCATTGACAGCGTGGCCTGACATACCTTTCTGGAACGCTAACACGCTTTTCCGTGTCAGAGTAAACACAAGATTGCCGAGCGTCTATGCATGCAGCGCAAGGATGCGGGTAGTTGCCGGCGCATTTCGTCTTCCTGCCCCGACATCGATCGCAGCTGCAGACCGATCAGTCCACATGCAAAATACAATTTCTGGATGGGATCATTTACGCGACTGATGAGCGCTTTAGAGCGTCGTTGGAATGCCGCCTTTTCCGACCAGCCGGCCTTGTGGGCTGCTCACTCATGGTCTCGGCATGGTATTTCGTGGTGATGAGAACTGGAACAGTCAATTGGGCATGGAGGTCCTGATAAGGCTCGAGCCGAAGCCTAGGTCACGTGTCGTAGCTCGCTCCGACCCCTGAAAATCTATCGGGATGGTAGCCCGATAGTGGGGTACAACGAGATAAGGAGGAGGGCTTTGGGTCGAGAACAACCTGACATCCAGATGGGCAGGCCACCAGGGAAGATGATCGCCCGATTCTAAGACAACGGTTTTCCTGTGCAACCCTGGGCCGCTGCAGAGAGTCTCTGCATATATGCTACGGTTGGTGCACTATCTCGTCAAGGCTATGAAGCCTTCTGGTCCGGGATGCCGCATACGCACTTGTTTGCAAAACCACATGTCAACCTAGATATCTGAGCTACAACAGTCTTTTGTTGACTGGCAGACCTCATGGAAATGTTGTCCTTAGCAGGCCTACTCTTCGCCTCAGCCTTCCTCCTCCTTGCAGGCAAGATCATCACAGTTTATCTGCGCTTTGCCTCAATTCCAGGTCCGTTCCTGGCTGGTTTCACTGACCTGTGGCGATGGCGAGCACAAAACTCCAGAGGCTACTCGGCAAGGCTGGTGCACCTCCATCAAACGTATGGCAAGCTCGTTCGCCTTGGACCAAACCATATCAGCATCAGTGATCCTGATGCCGTTCCCATCGTCTATACGACGAATCCTGTCTGGCACAAGGTACACACAGACAACCCTGATCACATCAAATCTGGCTAACGAAAGACAGGCTCCATCCTATCATCCAGCTGCGCCGATTAGCGGAGGCCGGGCAGTACCTAGCATCATTGCAATGACCGAAGCGCAACATACGGCTGTCCGACGATCTGTCGGAAGCGCTTTCACGACCAACTCTCTACTTGACTACGAATCAGCCATTGAAGCCTCGGGAAATGATCTCTTGGAAGCTCTGGAGAAGCAAACATCACTTGATATAACGCATTATTTGCAGCTCTGGGCCGTCGATGTGTTGATGCGTCTTGCCTTCAACGAGTCACTAGGTTTCATGCAGAAGGGAGACGACGTGGATGGCATCCTTGAAGCAATCGTTGGTCGGTTCGATCACTGGGGACACTGGTCTGCTGTGCCAACTCTGGAGTACTACCTCTTCAAGAGCCCATTTGCCTCTTTTGTGAAGAAGAAGGCCAACAGTGCCTTGGCCAGAGTTGGGTTAGAGAAGATACAAGCACGATCCATGTCTCAAAGCCAAATGCAAAACAGAGACTTGATGCAGAAATTTCTTGATGGTCAAGCCAAACACCCCGACCTGGTTTCGCACGACGAGATCCTTGGAATCATCATGTCAACGATTGGAGCTGGGGCAGACACCACGGCTGGCACGATGACATACACATTGTATCTGCTCTGTCAGAATCCAGAGGCCATGCAAGGCTTGAAGGACGAACTACAGCAGGCTCTGGAGAATGGTAGCATGACGTATCCACCAAAGTGGACGCAGGTGAACAGGCTGCCATATCTCGAAGCTGTATTGAAAGAATCGATGCGGCTGATGCCTATTGCCGCTTGGGGTCTAGACCGAGTTGTCCCCCAAGGAGGCGCTACCATCTGCGGTCACTACTTTCCAGCTGGCACAGTTGTTGGGTGCCAGATCGACGCCACAATGCTCGACGAGGATGTTTATGGCAGGGACTCTGCTCTCTTCCGACCAGAGCGATGGATGGAAGCGGCCGAGGATCAGAGGCGCCGTATGGACCGGGCGTTTATTGCTTTCAGCGCGGGCAAACGTATCTGCATGGGCATCCACATCGCCTGGCTGGAGTTAAAGAAGGCACTACCTTTGCTGGTGATGAATTTCGACGTGAGCTATACCTGACTGCCTTTGAGGGGTCAGACTGACTAACACGCACTTCAGATGGCTCTTGTCAACCCCAACCAAAACTTGAAAGAGGAAATCAGGATAAGTGCAGTCAAGTATGCCCCTCCGATCTGGATGAGCCTCTGCAAGAAAGAGGTCACGAGCCAGGGATGAGGGACAAAGGAAGCACCTTGACTATATAGCATCGCATGGTCGGCGTTCGGCTGCTGTAAAGTAACACCTCGAGCTAAGAGGGTTTCACAACATTCAATCAGAACAAAAAGTGGTTCCCAACCGCAGTTCCCTCGTCGCAAATCATATCAGGCGTGATGCCACTCTAGCATATTGAACGTTCTGGAAGCGTGGGTGACCACTGTTTTGTAGTCCTAGGCAAGCATGAAAACAAGGAGCCTGCTATAGACCCGATGGGCGACAAGAGTTACACCAGTCAATGGCACGTCCACCAAAGTAACCTTGAGCATGAATTGACTCAATGCACATGAAGGATCAACGGATAGGCATGGGCCCTTGACGAGGGATCGAGGGTGCAGCCGGCTATTGACATTAAAGCAGTAAATCATAACTATAGCTAGCATTCTACTAAACCATGAAGGCTTCGATGATCCTCAGTGATACCCATTGACCATTCCGTTCACGTTGGCTTCTTCTTTTGCCTTGCCATACCCACCACCGCCAGGAGTCATGATGACCACTCTATCGCCTGTCTTCATCGGAACACTTCCCTTGCCCCCGATATTGACCGTTCTGTCCTGACCTGTGACACTGTCCTTGCACAGCCACAAATTCAAACCTGTGGCTCCTGGCTCACCGCCATCCATCCCATACGGTCGATGAACACGTCGCTCCGACAAGATCGAACACTGCAACGGGGTCAAGAACTCGATTTCTCGGATTGTGCCCTCTCCACCCTTGTGCAGACCTTTCCCTCCGGAGCCCTCTCTGAGCTGGAACTTGCGCAGGATGCAGGGGTACCTCTTCTCGAGAATCTCGGGATCCGTGATTCGTGTGTTGGTCATGTGCGTGTGCACGCCGTTCTCACCTTCGAAGGTGGCCCCGGCACCGGCACCGCCAGCGATAGTCTCATAGTAGCCAAATCCAGGGATGGTCTCGCCTGTTTCCGGATCTTTCTTGCCATCCACACCAAAGGTCAGATTGTTGAGACATCCCTGGGATGCAGCGCAGGCGTGCAGGGCCTTCAAGACCACGTCTGTCACTCTCTGTGATGTCGTCACGTTGCCACCAACCACGGCGGCCGCTTGCGTTGGACTTAAGATACTCGGTTTGGGGATCTTGACTTGAATTGACGCCAGACAGCCTTGGTTGAGAGGGATGTCGGCCGCGATCATACACCGTAGGGAGTAGATAATGGCCGAGTGTGTTATCGCCTCGGGTGCGTTGATATTGCCGTTCACTTCGGGTCCAGTCCCGTCAAAGTCGAATATGGCGGAACCATCCTCGGCGATCGTGATCTTCAGCTTAATTGGCGTACCGTCGTCCATATAGTCGAGTGCCTCGAGGGGTTGGCCGCCATGGCTTTGGTACAAAGCCTTCAATAGGTTGCGTACTGCCAGGTCCGCTGTTTCTTGAATGGCGTACATGTACTGCTGAACGACCTTCAGGCTGTATTCCTCGATCAAGCTACCGATCAAGGTGATACCGCGCGCATTCGCGGCAATCTGGGCCTTCAAGTCGGAGATGTTGTCATTCAAATTCCTGCTGCCTGAGCATCCTGGGTGGCGGGCCGGATAGTCGAGGAACAACTCTTTCATGCGTGCCTCATTGAACACACCGTTCTCGACGAATTTCTCGGATTCAATGGCTGCGCCCTCTTGCCACAACTCTGTCGAGTTGGGTGGCATCGATCCAGGAAGTATACCTCCGATGTCCGCATGATGGCCCCTGGACGCGACGTAGAAGATGATCTCCTCTGTGCCTGGCGCGAACACTGGCGTGATTACAGTCACGTCCGGAAGGTGAGTGCCACCGGACATGGGATGGTTGGCTACGAGCACATCGCCGTCCTTTAGGTTGCCCAGCCAGCGCTCATGTTGGAACCGTACTGCGAACTGCATAGACCCGAGATGAACGGGTACGTGAGGCGCGTTAGCGACCAGGCCGCCATCGGGGGAAAAGAGAGCGCAGGAGAAGTCCAGTCGCTCTTTGATGTTGGTGGAAACCGCAGTCTTCTGCAGGGTGCGGCCCATCTGCTCAGCGACGGACATGAAGCGGTGACCAAAGATGGTAAGCCGGATAGGGTCGATATGATCCGCTGTCGCCAAGTCACGAGGAGTGGATTTGAGATCGATGAGAACGCATGTCTGGAGCACGTTCGCAACTGCATGTGGTGCAACGACGATCGTCTGTGTTTTGTCGATAATGATGGCAGGTCCATGTACTTGTACATCCGACCCAAGGTCGTGCAAAAGGTAGACCGGAGTCTCCACATAGCCGTCATCCGAGTTGAAAAATACCTTGCTCTGTTGCGCTGGCTCGCCAGCCTGGCGGAGTTTGGCCATCTTGAGTTGTTTCAGCGGACTATCCTCCACAACCGTCTTCGAAGACGCGATCGCTCTCACGCGGATATCATCCACAAGAATTGGTCGGTCGAAGGTAAAGTTGAACTCGCGCTTGTGACGTTGAACAAAGGCCGAGGCGTAGTCTCCGTCCTCACTGTTCCGAATCATCAGGCTCGTATCCGAACCGTCGTATCTCATGTTCAAGAACAGCTCATGTCTGACTTGATCCTTGGTGAAACCCTGGTCAACCAGCTCTTCCGTCGTCCGTGCTACCAATTTCTGAAACTTCTCCGCGATAAGCTCCTGAGAGCTCACGTACTCTGCAGCCATTGGCTCTTGTGCCTCATGGACAACTTCGGACAGGGCGAGCCCATATGCCGACAGGATAGAAGAGTATTTGTGAATAATGATCCGTGAAATGCCTAAGGAGGCCGCTACATTGCATGCATGTTGGCCGCCTGCACCACCAAAGCAGGCAAGGTGATGAGATGACGTTTCGAAGCCTCGCCCTTCGGTCAAATTCCTGATCGGCCGTGTCATAGACTCATCCGCGACTTTGAGGAAACCAAGGGCCACTTCTTCAGGGGTAAACTTCTTGGATTTTTGCTGAGCGTTGACCTGCTCGGTCAATTCTTCGAACTTCTGTCGCGTGATCTCTCGGTCGAGAGGCTGATCTTCTGTGGCTCCAAAGATTTTGGGGAAATATTCTGGCAACAAGCGGCCCAGCAGGAGATTTGCGTCGGTCACTGTTAGAGGACCTCCTTTTCTGTAGCATGCTGGACCAGGGTGCGCGGATGCTGATTCAGGTCCAACCATGAACAGTCCATTCTGCCATGACAGGACCGAACCACCTCCTGCTGCCACGGTCTTGATGTCCAATTGTGGTGCCTGGATACTGACTCCGGAAATACTCGAGGAAAATGTGTGCTCGAGATGACCATCGAAACGCGAAACGTCCGTCGAAGTACCTCCCATATCGAACCCAATGACTGGGACGCGAGATTCAGGATCCCAGCTTGTTGCGGCATAGCCGACAACCCCGGCTGCAGGTCCTGACAAGATAGCTTTGAGACCACTGAACTTGCGGAAGTCCACCAGGCCACCGTCTGATTGCATGAATTCGACGCGACAACCGTGGGAGCCGGCTAAGCCGCCTTCAAAGTTCGCAGAAATGGAGTCGACATAGGATTTGATCACGGGAGTCAGATAAGCATCGGCAGTGGCTGACATCCCCCGAGGGACAACCTTTATCATGGGCTGCAACAGTGAGGACAGTGCGACCGACAGTCCGAGGGATTGTGCAATCTCTCCAATCTTCAATTCGTGTTCTGGACACGCAAATGAGTTGACCAGAGCGACTGCGATAGATTTGTAACCCTGGTTCTTGAGGGCTAGCAGATCCGCCTTGACTTTGACAGCGTCTATCTCCTGGAGGACATTGAATCTCTCTCCAGTCACGCCCGTGATAGAACGGAAGGATGACAGGACATCTTTGGAGGATCTAGGATGTGAAGGAATGATGCGTTCGTTCACCTCGACGACAGTCTCGAAGAGCACGTCGGGCCTTCTCGCAGAAAGGTCGAATATGTCTGGACGTGCTTGGTTGCCGATCTTTAGCAAGTCTCGAAAGCCCTTGGTGGTTAAGAGAGCTGATTTGGTGCCTTTGCGTTCCAGTAGAGCATTGGTGGCGACAGTCGTTCCCATGCGTAGAACGTCTATACTGTCCAGGCTCAGTGGCGACCCGCGAGGACTAGGTCTGCCCGTGGCCTCAAGAACTCTCCGGATACCTTCCGTAGGTGCATCCTGATAATTTGCGGGGTCGACCGACAACAACTTGAGAACGATGTCGGACTTTCCAGGCACGATGGCGTGGACGTCTGTGAACGTGCCACCGCGGTCGATGGATATCTTGATTTTGTCTGTCATCTTTGTGCATGTGCTTGCAGGATTGTTTTACATCCAAGTCAACAACGGCGCTTTAAGTAACTTGACTTTGATGAAATTCCTTGTTGAACTCCCAAAGTTAGACTCTCATCTGAGTCTTCTGCTCCAAGCGCTAGGCTGGCTGGAGCCGAAGTGGAGGCCGATAGGTCTCTGATTGTAGACTGTGGGCGCGTCATCTTGACCCTGTATGTGGTCTCCATTCTGGAAGATGTTAATCAGCCGGCATGAGGAGAGTGTTGATGGTGAGATAGGGAAGGCAAAGGGCGCGTCGGTCGACGAAGCCGAAGATGTGGGGCAGTTGATAAGATACCACAAGATAGCACTTCGCACCGGCTAGATGTGCTTTGTCTTGTCTCCGTGCTGCCGAGAGGGGCCCTACGCATGTGCGACTACTGACAAACTACGAGGCTCCCAGCACATGCCAAGGACCCCTAGCCTGCAGTGCTATCACCGAATCAGGCGATCAACAGTCCAAGGCTGGGTTTTGGTGATAACCAAGGTATTCAGAGCAGATACTCTCCAAGCAGGAGCCTTTCTAGTGCAACGTGTAGTCGATAAATGAGTCGATCTAGTGTAGTCTGTGGGACTGGAGGTACCACTATGAAGATAACGGTGTTAGGAACGGTGAATCGCGATGGTTGGCAAACATAAGAGGGCGAACGCATCAAGCATGGACTCATGTCTCGGGTCAACTTCTCACGTCTGGCTTCTGAACGTAACAATTTACGATGCTTGCTAACCTCTTCAACGCGCTCATACTAGGCACGCTCGCAGTTGCCTCATACGCGGGCGATACCACCTCATCATGGAGCACCGACGTCCTGTCATGCTCGGCAGATGCAATCAGTCTACCATATATGCCTGGAACGACAGTCTACGCCATAACTGCAGCCCCTGTGTTGAACTACACGACTGTTGCAGAAATCGCCAACCCACAAAGCGACTACAACGCCACCATCAGCTTCTGCAATGTGACCATTAGCTATGGACATCAAGGCTGGTATGACAACGTGACCGTCACAGTCTGGCTCCCGTTGTACGGCTGGACAGGACGTCTGAGTGGCATTGGAGGTGCCGGGTTTTCTTCTTTGTATTCGTTCACTCGCTTCGCACCTTCTGTGGACATCGGCTGGGCGGCTGTTGCCACTGATGCTGGACACGACCACCTTCCACTTACTGCCGATACGTGGGCCCTAGACCCTGCTGGAAGAGTCAATTATTTCCTGCTCGAAAACTTCTTTGCCTCTTCCCAGGACGAAGCTGCGAGAATTGGCAAGAAAGTCTGCCAGGACTTGTACGGTGAACCGCCCCACAAGTCTTATTGGGATGGTTGTTCTACCGGCGGTCGACAAGGTATGCTTCTAGCCCAGCGCTATCCGGATGCTTATGACGGCATCCTCGCCGGAGCACCAGCCATAAACTGGGCTACATTTGTGCCTGGAATGTACTACCCACAGTTTGTGATGAACCAGGCTGACTATTACCCGCCCACCTGTGTTTGGGAGGCCATGAACAATGCGACCATCGAAGCCTGCGACAGCCTTGATGGCGTCACGGATCATATCTTATCGTTGCCTGGGGAATGCGGCTTCGATCCCCACACAATGGTCGGCACATCCATCAGCTGCGATGAAGGCACTGTCACTATCAATACTGAGGACGCCGAGTTGATGGTGAAGTTTTGGGAGGGGCCTCAATATCCTGATGGGTCATCTATCTGGTACGGCATGAACAAAGGCACGTCGCCATTCGACCTTGCCAACACGACCTGCTCTGGCCTAAATTGTACCAGTGGTTTCCCTTTCACGATTGCTTCGGAGTGGATTAGTCTGTTTGTGCTCCAGGATACGACTTACGATCTCACCGCCTTGGGTGCTGACGGTTTTGCGGCAGTGATGAACCTTTCCATCAGCGCACACAGGGCTCTTACCAGTACAGACAGCCCAGATCTGTTCAATTACCGGCAGACAGGAGGCAAGATCCTACACTGGCATGGACTGGCCGATCAGCAGATCTATCCAACCGGATCTGAGCAGTACTACAAGCAAGTAGAGGCCCGCGATCCAGCAGTCCGCGACTTCTACCGATTCTTCGAAGCACCTGGTGTGAATCATTGTGGTATTTCAGCGCCCAGTGGCTATGGATTATTCCCAGAAGATCTTATGAGTGTATTGGTGAAGTGGGTCGAAGACGGTACAGCACCCGATGTGCTGCTGGCTTCTACTCTTGATGGTAGTCAACAACGCAACCTTTGCCCTTGGCCCCAGGTTCCAGCCTACCAAGGCGGAGATGCAGCGGTGGCAGCTTCGTTTGAGTGTGCAGACAGCTACTAGAAAGAGGCTGAAGCTGTTCAACGGCATCAACTGCCGAACACCAAACCGACCTCGCCGACGGCATCAACTGCCGTATAACTTATGCCACAATTACCACCCAACAATGTATCACGCGGCCAGTTTTGGGTCACGGCTGTCAGAAAATAAGGACGGAACCGTACATATAGAGAGGCTTCGAGTACGTAGAATTGGCAGTGGCCACGAAGCCAAAGGTATCAAGTCATGCAAAATGTGAGAAACAAACTCCCTACGTCGAGCAGGGCCTGTTTCCAGCACCTCGATGCAGAGTTGACTTGCCAACTCTCAAGCTAAGGATTCGGCACTGTAAAGCGAGGCGGCACTTGCCAGCCTAGTCGCGAGCACCGTGGAAAACAATGTCCCTCCTCATATTTGTCCCCATCCAGGCTTCAATACTCCTTCAATCTCGTCAACAATCTTCTGAGCGTCGCTGGCATTGTTCCCTGGTCTCGGCGTGGCATACGGTCCAACATTGTTGAACATGGGTACGTCTCTCAACGCACCCGCCAGCACTTCAATACACGATCCTCCCTTGATCGGAACAGTCGCGCCTTCCCGCTCTCCACTATTCTTGCCGGCCGGGATCTCATTGTCCTTGACGCACGCAAGCATGACTTCAGCAACTTCTTCCGGCGTAACCCATACATCCTGCTCCTCCTTGACGATCTTGAGTTTTTCCGGATGATCAGTCCACAACGGCGTCTTGACCAGCCCGGGCTCGACACAAGTTACTCGAATACCGTGGAGACTTTCTAGATTCGCCATACACCTGACCAATGCTTGAACGCCGTGCTTTGATGCATGGTAAAGGGGAAACGGGAACGAGGCTCCTTGTCCAGCAACACTCGCGATATGGACGATTGACTTCGGATTTGACGCGCTAGACGGTGGTGATGCCGCGAGAAAGTGCGAGATGGCCATTTGAGTTACCCGGATAGGATGCGTCAAGTTGATGTCCAGTAGCTTATAGCGTCCGCTGAGAGGGTCGTCCTTGGACTGTTCCGAGCCAGGAGGGTACCAGAAGTTACTCCAGTGTGGTTCGAATACGCCTGCCCCAGGACAAACGATGTCAATCGAACCGAAATGGTCCACGGCAGCCTTGAACATGTTATTGAGGTCCTCCCAGGACGTTACGTCGGTTTTCTGAAAGACGGCTTTCTTCTGGTGTTGCCTGACCAGGGTTTCTGCCTCTGGCCGTAGTGCAAGGTCGGCGAACACCACGTTGGCTCCATCTTGAAGTAAGAGCCGGGCAAACTCCAAATTAATTCCTGCTCGTATCAGCGATTGAGGTGCTTTTTGAGTTGGGAATCGAAGTCAAGCACCTACCTGAACCAGCGCCGGTGACAATAGCTGTCTTGCCCTCCACCTGTTGAGCCATTGTATGGATTACGAGAATGCTGGATGTCAGGGACCGACCTAAGTGATTGGAAGCAAAGCTATATACTTGGTTACGAGTCTTAGCGAAGCCAGTAACCACCAAGTCGAAATCGACATTAATCCATTAATCCTCGGGTATGGCCCTTCTCTTCTCATAGACGACCATCGGCGGGTGCTGGCCCGAGGTAATCATTTTCCGGGGTCTGCCACCGGCGTCTCCCCAATAATGAGTCCCCATTATCAACTACTGTACCCCAATCCAACGACACGCTATGCCCATCGTGGAAGCCTATCCAGGGCATCCGACACGTCTTTTTCGCCTGTGCAGAATGACATCAATTCCATGCCCCAGACTAGTCCCAGCCAGGCACTCTATCCGTCGTTCTGTCGGCACAGTCAGGCATAAAACGCCGCACGTTGTCAAACAGGGTCCAACGCCAGGTCAAAACAACAATCAAATAGCCCGAGACTAAACGTCGACTCAGCATGAAAAACCACCTCTTGACCTCCTGTCGTCGCGCAGCGTCCACTTTAACGAAGGAGGCAGGCGACATCAGTTCCGTCTTCCCCTCCCTGTCCGGTAAAAAGCCAGATCCTCTGCCACCTCGATTTAGCGATCTGAAAAGGTCGCTGATAAAAGGCAATGAAGAGGCACTCACTGCATCGTGGCATAGACTGCTGGCAAGCCTGAAGAGGGAAATCGACGAGATTAGAATTGAGGGCAGCAATGTATGATTTCTCCATACTTGATGCCCCGAGCCCGTACCTGACTGACACCATATCTAGGTCATACCGAGCATTGACTACAAGGATGTTGCTGCGGGCACAGTCCCAAAGGCAAAGCTCGACGCACTATGCCACCGCGGCACCGCCGTGATCCGTAACGTCGTGCCCGAACAGGAAGCAATCGCCCTGAAACAACAAGCCCAGGAGTACATAGCTGCCAACCAGTCCAAAGTCAAAGCCTTTCCCCCCGACAACCCAGCGGTGTACGAGCTATACTGGACGCCATCACAAGTCCAAGCGCGCGCACATCCAAACTTACTCAAAGCACAATCATTCCTCGCATCGTTCTGGCACTCGTCCGATCCGTCCTCGGAGATCTCAACGACATACCCGCTGACATACGCCGACCGCTTCCGGATCCGACGGCCTGGCGACGCCAAGTTCGCGCTGGGCCCGCATACCGACGGTGGCAGTGTCGAGCGCTGGGAAGACCCGGAGTACTCGCGAGTGTACCAGGCAATCCTGCGAGGGCAGTGGGAAGAGTACGATCCATTCGATGCGCGACACCGTATCACTGCAAAGATGGACATGTACAACGGCGCCGGAGCGTGCAGTATGTTCCGATTGTTTCAAGGCTGGCTGTCAATGTCGTCGACGGGTCCGGGCGAGGGTACATTGAAAGTGTGTCCGCTCGTCCGCCACGCGACGGCGTACACGATCCTTCGCCCCTTCTTTGACGTCCACACCGGCAAGTTGAACCTGGACGCCACGTTCCCCAACTCCATCCCCGGAGCGTGTCAGGAGTACAACCCGGAGACGCATCCTGATCTGGACCTCGAGGCGACGATGGTCAGCATGCCACAAGTCGAGCCGGGCGATTATGTTGCCTGGCACTGCGACATGATCCACGCCGTTGATAAGGAACATGGTGGCAAGGGCGACAGCAGCGTGCTGTACATCCCCGCATGCGCCATGACGAGATCGAATATCGAGTTTCTCAATAGACAGCGGATGAGTGCCTTGAAGTACAGCCCGCCACCGGATTTCCCGGGTGCTGGTGGCGATGGCGAGATTGGCTTCAATGGCGCTGTAGATTGGGACAAGATTGGCGAGGAAGGGAAGAGAGCAATGGGCTTGGGCAAGTCGACATGGGACGTCACGCCGAGCATGAGTAAGGGTGAGCGTAGAATCGTTCATGAAGGAAACAGGGCTTTGTTTGGATGATAGATCATCAACGTGTGCACCTCTAGCGTTTTCACTTGGTGAGACCATGGATCCTCGACGAAAATCTCGCAACATTCAAGGTCGTGACTTACGTTTCAGCGATTTACATCCCTCCTGGCAAAGAGGCGGCGTGGATGTCTAGTGCCCAAGGACAGCGGAGCGGTAGACTCCGTGAAACAGGGCCAGCCTGGTGACTTAAAGGTGGACGCAGTGGCTGTGCAGGCAAATATTCGCCGCCGCTCTTGAAGGCGTCCAGAATCCTCGTTGCATGTCCCCTGCCAGTTGACAGGCCTGTATCTTTTGCGTAGCTGAGGTCCGCGTGGAATCGGATTACCGTTTGTAAGAGAACACCGGGGAAAATGCCCCGGCGACAGGGGCTCATGATCTCGTCAACAGTAAACCAGCATGTCTCATCATAATCGAGGTGGCCGTGGCGTATGCTCCGGACTGCAGCACGGACATTGGCCGACAAAAGTCCACTGCACTTTCTGAGAATATCAATTTTTCCCATGACATGGGTTTTGTGAACATGCATCATTGTTGGTGTTTGGTGAGCACTCCCAGCGAGTCAATTGGATGGTAGCACACATCATGACTCCGTCTTACAGCGCATCAGAACGGTCATGCAGGTACCCGTATCCAGATGTCATTGCTGTCAAGAAGTCCTGCACCTTGGAAATCATGTCCGCAGAAGTACGACTTCAGGAGTTGAGTTGTTTTCGTGAAAAGAATTCGAGCTCAGGAATCGAGAGTCAAGACGTGCCGCGTATCGCGTGATATTGGCAGATATCTCGCGATGTTTGAGCCAAGTCGACATGTGGCTTTAACACGTCGGAGCGCGCGCTGCCTGTCAGAGAAACTTCGGTAGTGCTGAGAAAAAAACCCGATCACAATAAAGTGACAAGGAGGTATCCGCAAAGCCTCACCTGTTAGCCAGCAGGTGCCGGCTCAGAGAAAGCGGACAGTGAAGCACCAAGATAGGGGCACGCGACTCGTTTGTAAGACCATAACACTGGTGGTGCTGGGTACTCTTGCAAGATCGAATAAGAATTTTCTCGTGGTCGTAGCAAAGCTTCCATGACCTGAAAAGGGGATGTGGAACGTTCGGTAAACTGACAGGTGAGACGACGCACAGCAGCAAGCGAGCCCCGGAGATGCAGAAACATGGAGACTTCCCTGCACGTCGCTTGTATATATTTGTATATTTTGACTATGCAGCAGCGCGTTTGATGGAGTCCGGATGTTATTTTCTGCTCACCATAAAATAACCGTTCAGCTACTTGTTGGAGCATCGGATGAAAGTTGCGCGGGCAGCACGGCAGCTTTCCGGAAAACGATACTTGGTATCGTTGAGCAAATAGGCGGGCATAGCTTGGTGGAAGTGGTGCCCAAAGACCCCAAAATCCATTTTTTTGATGCAGGCAGATACATAAGTGCCAACCTTGCCGTTGGCGTTTTGGAACATGCATTTCAGCCGTTGCACACCAGGATACGCGCTCCTTCTACCGTCATCGCTTGCATGACATGGCTTGAACTCTTTATTCTTGCGAAGAAGACCCCTTCTCTCGAGTCCGAAAAGGCCGGGAAGAAGGGTCTTTCACGGAAATGCAGAGCCAGCCCTTGATTGACACGATAGCGTGACTGGATTGTACACATCGACGCGACCGTACCTGGTCAGCACGTGAAATCGACTGCACTCAGGAGCTTCCGGTTTACCCAGAACCGTGGAAAGAACGGTTGAGACATGCGGGGAACGGAATCGCAGAAGACCCATAGTCGTACCTACCTAGGTAAGCCTGATAGGGCCACCTGTACATTAACATTTAGGCGTCCGCTTACAGGCATGAAAGGGGAGTCCTTGGTCAGATCATAACCACCTTAGGTACCTCTGTACCTCAACTCTGAGGGACAAATTTGTCGAGGTCGACCCCGTCAAGATCTAAACTCCTGTCAGTGTCAAGCAAGTCAGTCAAAGTCACCTTTCATCTGGCCGATCCAGACAGCACTGTCATTTGGCTATCACGTCAACTTAGTTTTCACGGTATGTGTTGGACATAGTTCCAGGGCAGCCAGATGAAAAAGCAAACTGGTAGGAAGATGCCTTAGACGTTTCATCACATGCTTGCAACACCTATAAAGCGTTCGAGTGGGGTGATAAATTCCCGATGGGAATATAATATTTCATTCCTGTCGACACGAGTTGATTCGTGTGATAAAGTCACGGATCAACGTTAAATCACTTGTCAGGCAATTTTGACGACGAAACATCATGGTCAGCTATTTTACTCTCCTGGTGTAACACCTGCAGTACATCTCCGTGGCTGAAGTTTCGCGCGTGAATATCATGTCAAAGGATCCTTGTGCCTACGTGGCCGCCATGCCACCCCCATGACGGAGAGGTCAACGCTGCAAGAACGACATCAACACGAGTTGCTCCCTGTCCTTGCCCTCGTTGACGTGAAGGCCACGTTATTGTTCTTCTCACATATTCACATGCGTGGTGAATTGCGGCGAGGACGGATCGCTTATGTTGTCCTTTGGCAGCTTGGTGTCTGGCTGTTCCTGCGCCACCTGCAGGCACGGCTCGGGTCCAGCCAAACCCTTAACCTCAATGGACAATCGCTAATACGGACTTTTCCTGACTCTAGTCGCGATCGGTGAGTCCAGACTTAGATTTGCTTTTTTTTGGCTGCTCGATCATGAAGCTTCACCATGTGTACTCGTAATGTTCAGATATTCGTCATTGCTGTGGCCGCAGAGCTTTATCTGGCTTTCAGATTGCCCAGGGGGAAGAACAAGCGAGGTCGGCATCGTTTAGCAGAAAGGGGGGAACTGCGAGCTGCATAATTGACCAGGGTCGAATATTTCCCGACTGGTTCAACACCACCAACTCGGGTCAGAGGAGGCGTTGATGCACGATTGCAGCGCTTGATATTGCACATCGCAGTGCACATGAAGTGACCTAACGGCCATACTATCATGCATAGCGGCACGGAATTGCAGCATCGGTAGTGACAAATTGCATGCCACGTTCTAGAGCTTGATACTGCAGCATGCCTCAGGTTGAACAACAATTCCGGGAATGTTTCCAGCTCACCAAGCCACATGCACATACATGTTGGCATCGTTTACCGAGCAACAGCTCATAACCTCTCGCCTCTGCACATTTCACGGACATGTTCTCCCAAGTCAGGCTGGTCAGCAAGCCCGAATGGCCCAAGTGGCAGAACTTATCAGTTCCACTTCTTTGGCGAACTTTGCATAAGCCACGACATGAGCAGAAGACTCCAGATTGGCGACATCGTCGCAAGATGAAGCCGCAAGTTTGGTAAAAGAGTCGGCAAACCGAACTCCCTCTTTCTCTTTGCATATCCATTCCGTACTCAGTGCCTTCAGGTTGCGAAATCTCAAATTCCTGGCTACTCTAGACGAGGCCGAGAAGCCATTACAACAGTATTCGTTGGAGGGTTAGGTATCGCAACTCTCTTTGGTCATGATCATTCTCGGCGATCAATCAAAGCATCAGCTCCATCGACAGCACCAACACAGAAAAGCCGGTGGATCTGAAGTGCTCTCTCGGGATATCTGGTCTGTCTCTTCGGCCGATTTAGGTATCTCGTATTGAGAAGACGATGGATCGTCCCGTGATGTACCATGTATGACCAGATCGTTGTTGATCCCAGATATGAAACGACTCGTAGTCAAATATTATTGGTAGAATCCCTTACCACCACATGTATTGATCTACAAATCGTTCGCCAAGTTGTTCACGAGGAGGGCATGGCACGGAGCGTGGGAGGAGATCTCTTCGTGTGACGCGTAATCCGCCCCGAGTTTGTAGGTACAAGCGACCGAGCAATCTGCCCACAGTGAGGTTGTCGCGGTGTAGAGGATCTTTTGAACTCTGTCTTCGTTCTGTCAGTACGGAGTAAACAGGAGCACTCATCATGTGAGGGCACTGCAGTGGTTGAATTTTTTCGTCTCCACTCTTCAGTCAGGGCCTGACCAGTGACCAGCACCTGGAATTTGGGAGGGTGACTGTTGACAACATTTATTTGTTCCAGCAGACTATGGAACCTCAGAGCTCGAGGAATACTGATTGGGGCGACCGAGTCTCTACATGGTATGGTGGTGAGATGGTATGGAGCCGGCCAGTCTTTCAGCCCTTCAGCCCTCAGTTTCGGGTTCAAAACGAGATGGATCTGCAACAGCCTTCAAAGGCCATCGTACTGTGAACAAAGGAGAAACGCACTTGATGTGGACTTGAATTTGGATGTACTGGGAATAGTGCAAGATTCGGCAGACGCAGGGGAAAGATGCAAGATGATGATCAGGCTCACCGTACAATGGCGCTTTTCCCCTTTTGGCATCGGCGTTGGTAGATCATCATCGCCGGACTTTTCCCAAGACTGCGCTTTAACGTGTTCAGAACTCTGTGCCCTTTTGGCCTCACGCTTGCACTCCTCCTTCGCCCGGGGTCTCGCCTCCTGACCAGTCCACAATGAATGTCACTACTGCGCTACTAGCTTGCCTGCAACTCGAAAAAAAAGGGCTCCAGCAGCCAGTGCTAACATGGCTACAGCTTCTCTCTTAGGCTCACCAGTCACTCGAGTCCCCCCCTCAACGACCGCGTCATTCCCTCCCCTATTACCAAAAAATTCTCCGTTCTGAGAACAGAGCAAAGCTTGCGCGAACACCTCGCCATCACCAAGCGAGTCGATGAAGCGTCAACGCCATTCTTACGTTCGCGCCATACTCCATAGCTACTCACACAAGCTACGCGCGACTGGTGGCTTGGTGGTTGGGAACTGCTCTGGACCACAGACTAGAACCTCCTTCTACGATTGCGTCGAGTTTGATCACTCCACTGCTTGTCACGCAATACGGAAGATATGGACCGAGTATGCTCAATTGCTGAGCATGGGTCTGCTTGATACAATTCAGAATGCTCAAAAATCTCTGGCAGCACACTCAGACTTCTGTCATAACCAATTTTGCCTACGAGTCCTTCGGATCTTTCCTATGTGACAGTCATGGCAGGTCGATATGCCTCGAGAAGAGAGTGTAAAGTGACGATTGACGTCCCCTGACATCCTGCCGCAGTCGGCGCTCTATAAACCTTGCTACAGTAGCACTTTACCGACCACGGGCAGAGACCAATGGCACATTGGCGGACTAGCCCGTCTAGGTATCGGAGCAACAGCCCTCTCATGCAGTCCGCCAAACCCTGGGCCCAGCTAACCCGAGCATTAGGGCCCGGCAGGTGGCTTCCGCCCATGCCATGAAGTTTGGCCCACTCTTCAACGCCATCTGCATGTTCGTCGACAGACGGCTGCAGACTTCACCCGTCCCTGACGGAAACGTGAGGCATGGCTCCATCAAATCTCTTTACTCTGCTCCTTCAAACTCCACCCGACCACCTTCTCCCTCCAAGTCCCTGGCTGTCGTTTTCGCGAGTATGGAGCTACATTTTCGAGCCGTCGGTCTCAGGACGCGTTTATGTGAAAGCATAACACCGTTTTCCCATACGTTTTCGAGGTTAGTATCTTCTTCCCGACCCTGTTACCCGCGATGAAAGCCTCGCCGGCACTAAACACCCCTGTCCTGAATTGTCGTCGGGGCCGTGCAGTGCGGCATACTTTGACGCCTTCAAAAGGTGGAATAGCACTCTCCCCACAGTCTTGTACGTTGTCTGCCCAATGATAGAGAACGACAGATCCAGATATCTGTTGCTCCTCATCCGTGGGCACTACTTCAGTCCTCTATCACCCTGAAACTTGTACATCACTATATTGTGCTCCCATCATTCGTCAGACATTGCGAGAAACTGTTTCGTTCAGTCTCGGGGACCCGTGCTCAATCATCATTCGGGATATATCTGATCTATGCTCTCCCAAGCATAGTCGGGTTGCACACTGGGGAGGATCCTGGACCAAGGTCAAAGATTTTTAAGAAATCGTCCTCATTGTGGTTCAGCAATACATGGGCTGTAAGGTACGGACGCAAACAGGAAACACCGCTTGACATCGCTGCCCTGGGACATTGACTGCTGGTAAGATTGCGATCCTTGGGACTCTTGTGTTTCACTTGACACGTGAGGGCAATATCATTAACTTGTGACTCCAGTTTGAAACGACTCTTGCACCAGAATCGACCTCAATCTACTGTCCATTCCCTTGGCAGCCACATCCATTGAGCATCGCTCCATTGACTCTTGACCACGTCTCCCCCTCCCACAAAGTCGCCCGCATTTGTGGAGGACAGGTCCGGTTGGCACAGGCTGATCTGGCCCTGACTTGAATGACATTCCAAGCCTTCAGCAGGCGGGATCAGGAGCTGTGACGGCTGTTATCAACCGGCATTTGAGAGTCTAGATGGGTCGATTTCAATGGATTCAAGGTCATCCGAAGCAAGGCAGTGACAGACTGCATGCTGTTGCCCATGACTGGTTTTCGAAGGACAACGCCGAACCATCGAGACAAGCCTTGGTTGAGACGATGAAAGAACATGCTAGTGGGACGGGCGACATGTCCCCAAGTCGCCACGGGCGGTCGCGAACTAATACGACTACATCGTCAGTCTCCTCCTTCACTCGGTCGCTGTCGAATGGCTCGAACGACGTCACGTCAAGACCTTCATCTGGGCAGAGCTCGGCCGATATCAACCTGCGGCTCCCAGAACGTCACGAAGGCCATGCTAAAAGCCTGATCTCTAGAGGCACTCGCATATTGAAGCGACAAGGCAGCAAGCTGTCACTCATGCCTTCACAGATGGAAGAGCCGTCATCTGGACGTGTCACGGAAAAGCCCGGCGGAGGCTCTCCGATTAGGTCAATGCGCAGTCCGGTCAACACAAGTTCAAAACGTGAGTGCTCGCCATAGACCTATACAATTATCGCTAACCGGTGTCAGGTACTGGATTGAAACAAAGCATCTCCGGGCCATTCGCGTTCCAACATCTGTCCCATGGAGATCAAGCTCAATTCCCAAAAGAAAAGGCCACAAAGTCCGAGCCGACCTCGGAGTACAATTCTGTCCAAGCAGTTCAGCAGCCCCAGGATCATGTCCGCAGGCTTTCAAGCGAGGATCTACCTTCTGCGACCCGGCCATCAAACCTCGCAGAACCAGATGAGCCTACATCTCCTATTACCGACACAACACAATATCTTCCTATCACACCTCCCCGCCCTGATCCTCCGCCAAAGGATAGCACGCTATCGCCTTACAGTCCTTCGGATTTCCGTCTTTCACGGTCCATGGAGAACTTCTCTCGACCCAAAAGGCTATCCTTCACTTCCAGCGAGGTGTCTCCTGCGTCTCGTTCATCGGAAAGGCTGTCAGCCTTGAGCCCCATCAATCGAAACAGTGTCCGCAGGAAGCCACTTCCTATCGTGAAGGACATCGTCCATGCTGTGTCTACCAGAGACGACATTGCCCTCCCACTTCGCACCGCTCCACTGCCCTCGCCACCATCGAGGGTGATGGAGGTTGTTGACGAGGAAGGTAAGCTTGAGAGTTGTGGCATCTCGCCGCACAAGATTCTCTCTGCTAGGCCATCCTGCAACGATCTGCACACGGCGTCTTCTCTGAGGGAGCGCAAACGACGGAGCCAGTCATCGGGTGAGCTTCATACCGATGCATACCACCAACTTATCTCCACCATGACAATTGTGGAAGCGTCTTTAGACGAGCCGGTTGCCAACCGAACCCAGCTTGCATCATCGCCAAGAAATTCAGTAGAGGTCAAGTTACCTCAGATGCCAGATTGGGAAGACGCTATCGACGATGCTTGGGACAATGCTGCTGATAGTGAGGACTCTGAACGCACAAACGGCACAAATGCAACATTTGGAAAAAACTATCTGTTCGTGGAGCAAGTCGTTGCGGAAGAGGGCTCTTCATCTGCTTCTACTCCTCTAATGATGCAACTTCCCAGGTTGGCATACCAACCTGAACGGGAAGAACAGACAAGAGCACCAAAGCTCACACCTGCTCCAGAGCCCTCGTCTCCATTGCTAGGACTTGGGATTGGAACTCTGCAGTCTATTCCTGATGTTTCCCTTGCTGAAACAGAATGTTTGCCAGTCCATGAACATGATCACCGATTAGCTTCTTCGGATTCATTCCGATCTCAACTCAGGCGGAGTCCAGCGTCATGTATCAGCAAGTCAAGCTCCCAAGAGAGCATCATTCTTTCCATTGCATCGTCCATCATTGGAACACAGCGTTCATCAAACTCGAGCACCGCCTTTTCGGACTTTGCTCGGTTTGCTAGCTTCGGAGATTCTGTCGACAATCTCAAGCTCGATCTTCAAGACCCTACAACTCCGGTCGAAAGCCACGGACGGGAGAAGGGCAGCCAAGAAACAATCCGTGAGGAGTGTCAGTCGACGTTTGATGTTGGAATCGGGGCTTTGCAGAGTCCGATTACTCCTTCAATACCATCCCCAGGACTTCGGCACGACCGTGGTGCTTCGGCGCCTCACATTTGGGTCCCTGAGAGGAAGTCATCATTGCCTGGAGACATGTCGAAGACACAGAGTGGACGCAGGCGTGCAGGCACGACCAACTCTCGCCCTCGCAAAAACACCCGCGTCTCATACTCTTTGTTCCCAGCCCCATCACCCAACTAAGTGCCTTCGCCCGACATCACATACTATCGTATTTCGGGCTACAGCATGGGACTTTTGGCACTACTACCTTTCATATTTTATCATCACGATTTTACGACTTGGGGGAGTTTTTGCAAAATTATGTATCACGATTCGATAATGAATCCGCCAAAGACGAATTTACTTTGGAGGATCGACTAGACTTTACAGTGGAATGGAGTTGATGACCGCAAGGTTCAAAAAGGCTGGTGCATTGGTTAGGGGAAAAGTCGGTTGCATGGTCATGGAAGTTCAGGACGGACCTTTCGGCGCATACTTCCACGACCAGGACATTTGGTGCGGAGTCGATCAAATCGATATGTATGTAACAGATGCTGCATTCGCAGGAGAACATCTTCTTTCTGCATGTACAACTACAAGTAAGAGTGGCGGTAGAATTTACTCTTAATGATCAACATCCACATGGAGCAGGAGTGAGCAAATTTATTTCTGCACGCAGGGATTGCCCTTGTGCAATTCCTCACGCTCAATGCAAGGCACCAGGGGCCGAGCATCAGGGAGTTCGGGTAATTGAGGTCCGCATTGTGGTTCTTCTGTACGAAAATACGGAAGCGGGGTATCTTTGCTACATCAGTGCACGCGTTTTGAAGATGCGTGCATATGCATGCGTCAATGTATGTCTTAACACGTAAAGGAGAACAATACCTTGCCGGTGTCAATTCTTTCTCATGAGGCGAACACCCGTGGGCGACATGCGGATGCGAGAATGGCGTGGAGATACTTCGGTCGGAAGAAATTCATGGCACGTGCATTGAGCACCAAGGTCTTATGATCCTCCCTAAGCATATCCACGGCGCATCATACTGCGTGAATGGTATCAGGAACACTGGCACACGTCGACACGTCCCGAAATGACCGTTACTTCCTCTTCTTCCCGTCGCTCCCACCCTCGAAAGTCTCGATGTCCCTTCTACATCAGTCCCCTGGTGTCTGAGCCGTTCAACGCAGCTACGTCTTGAAGCTGTGTCCATGTCAACAAGCGTAGATCAGTCATCTGAACCACGTTCGAACGATCGGCAGTGATGGACAGGCTGGATACTTTATCTCATATCGATCGTTACACATGACGGATCCGGAGATTGCATCGACCAGACAAAAGCGCACGCTCAAGGCCTGTGACTTCTGCCATCGGAGAGGGCGACGGTGTAGGATCGATCCAGACGAAGGGGCACGATGCCTGACCTGCATCGAATATGGAGTCTCGTGCACTTGGACACGAATAGCGGCCAAGCGTGGTGCCAAACCTCGGAGTGAGAAAATTCCGGATCACTCGTGGATTTTGAATGATGTAAAACATGGGTCTCGAGAGTTCATACAGGAACTACTGGACATTTTCTTCGAGTCTGTCTATCCAGTGTTAGTATCATCAGTCTACGCTTCAACATGTTCTGCTGACACAATATCAGTGCTATTACCATTCATGAGCAAACATTCATGGAAAGATGGCATTCGAGGCAAGTGCCCAGAGGACGGGCGTCCTACGCCAAACTCATGTCGATGTGCGCTCTCAGTTCATACCGCATCACCACGGGCGCTACATTCTCCGTTCGTGAGACCTCCCAGAATCTCGACCCTAATCTCTACCTCAACGAGGCGATCGCAGCAATTCCCGGTACATTCGGCGAATCTCTCGAATTCGAATACCTGCAAGCCATCGGCATTGTATGTCTGACAGCTCGAGAATGTGGAGACGCATCCGTGCTACAACAGTTCCTTGGCCTGTACCACGGAGCACTTGCAGAACAAGGGTTCTACGACGAGAGACGCTGGCCTGGCGACATATCCGCAATTGAGCGAGAAGAACGACGCAGACTGTACTGGCATATGTACCGGCTTGAAGTCCACACCTCTCTTGTCCTGGGACATGCTGTACGTTGTCCGGAACTACAGTCCGCCGTCGCTTATCCAATCATACCGGATCAAGATTATACCGAGTCTATCGCTGACATGGAATGGCTCAGTGGGTGGAACTTCATCACAGACATATATCGCGGTATCGAGCACCTCATCTCATACTTCAAGAATCACCGGATGACTATCAGCCAAGAAAACCGCAATCTTTCGACCGCGTTTCTCCTGGATTATGATCCACGCGAAAAGATCCTGGCCCCACTAGCCACGACCTTTCAAAACTTGCCTGAGCGATTCAAACGAGCTCGCAAGGCATCTCGAGATGTTCGACAAAACCGTTGTGGCTTCCAGACGGCCAATATCATAGCTACATATCAGGTGAGGATGGCTGATGCATGAAGGCTTTTTGCCCCGAGCTGACATTCCAAGCTTTTGCGGATGTTGTCATTCACTGCGAGTGATACTACTTTCCATGAAGCATGCCAGACCGCCCTAGAGTTGATCGAGGAGATATCTGCTATCCCACTCGAGTATATGCGGGCCATGGGTTTGGCCATGGTAAGACCCCACAGTGTCATCCTGGTGACCACCTTGCTGATCCAGTCTAGTTGCAAGAACTATCAGGTTTGGGTCATATTCTGAGCAGCTTCATCAAGAAAGGGCTGCCCAAATCGGATTACCAGCATTTGAGGACGGTGATGTAGGTTTACCAGCCTGTCAGTAGCTCCGATGTATCTGGGTGCCTGACTACACTAGGCTTTGCATGTCGGAACTGCTCGGCAATCTCGCAACATGTCTCTCAGCTGCGGCTGATGCGGCTCAACGGCTTCGCGCCTATGTCGAAGAGATAGACCGTTACCTCAACCGTCCACAGTCACCAGTACCGCCAGCTGTTGACGACTTCCGACACTACAACACCGATGTTACGGATCAGCATTCATATGACTCAGAGATAGTCATTCCGCTGGAGTTGTTGCAGCGGATACCGTGGGACTGGGCAGAGCAATTACAAATTTTCTGAATGCAGCGAAATGTTGGTTTACCTAAGGATACATGCTTTTACTTACACCACATTCACTTTTGACTGGTTTTCCCCAGTCTTCCACATCGTTTTTTGCCTCCTTGTTCTCCACAGATAGTATTCTCCTGCGGTCATCACGGGATACTTGTTGGGGTTCTCTTTGCTAACACATGTGGGTATAGGATCGATGACAGTTTGCCTGTTGAATCCCCAGAAAAAGGGAACTGAATACCTCTCTCGCCCACTCTCATTGATGACACGATGCACCGTGCTCACGAAGAAGTCATTCGTTTGACGCATGAAACAATCTGCAATGTTGACGATGAACGAACCGGCCATGGGTTTGACCTTGATCCACTGGCCAGACTTGCTCAGCACTTCTAGTCCTTCAGTATCGGCTGTGATGATCGTGAAGTACTCCACGTCGGTATGCGCTCCTATGCCGTTTTGATCATCACGGGAGGCCTCTTGTTGAGGGTAATGCAAAATTCTGGCTCCTGCCTCGGGCCTTTGGACCGCGATGTCGAATGAGTCCTCCGGCAGATGGAGAGCAAGCGCAAACATTCTCGTCAGCCGTCGAGCGAAGCGGATCATCTCACTCTGATATGCACAAAGCGTCTTCCTGAATTCCGGTCGGTCGTCTGGCCAAATGTTGATCTCCGGAATAGAATCATCGGGATATTCAGGGTCATTTGCCGCATTGTAATTCCAGTTGTAGGCTTCGTACAAATCTGGAATCAAGGTCAGTCGCGTTTTATGGTTCCGGTTCTCAGGACTCACCCCTCTCACGCAAGCCAGATGGGTTATATGCGTGCATCGGATGATATCCGCAATATTCATCCGGCACCAGGTCTGTGCAGACTTTCATTTTCTTGTCATTGGGAAGTGCAAAGAAGGATTTCGCTTGTTCCATCACGCCTTCGGCCAGTTTCATGTCCACCCCCTGCAGGAAAAAGGCGTCATCAGCATGCGATCGATCCTTGAGGATGTCTCTTGAGACTCACATGGTTGACTATCGAGAGAAAGCCGATTACATGGGCTGCTTCACGAATCTCTTCGGCTACCGCTTGTCGATCCTCGAATTTCTCGCTATACATTCGAGATACATCGATGACAGGAATTTGTTCATCCGTGGTTGAAGCATTCGAGTTGAACGTGAAGGTCTTGCCATTGGTGAGGGTGATCGTATGAGGTGCATCCTCCTGTACCGTTGTTGAAGACATGGCTATCGGATCCCTGATCTCGAAGTGACGAAAATACGAAAAATGATAACGGCCTATCTGGTTCGAACGCCAGCCTCGATCCGACAAAGACAGTTCGTATAAATACAAACGAGATAAGGAACGGGCAATATCTTCAACTAGCGAAGCAGATGAAATCGAGGTTACCAATTGAGCAATTCACCAATTTACCAGTTTACCAGCTCGACCTGCAAATCATATGGTTCATACCAAATCTGGTGACCAAGGCGCATAAACGGATAAATTGCAATCTACCTGCAGGTCTACAGTATCTCGGACTTTATTGGCCACAGGCTGATAAATTGATGAATGTGGATAAGATGTAAGTTGATGATTTGTCGGGAATTCAACGCTCGACACGCGGATTTCTCCAATTATCAAGAAATTTCTGGGGTTCCTGGAACGATATCGTCTTTGATAACCAAGATGCAGTGTCCTGGTTGCGATATAAGCTTTCGAGATGCTGGGAGTCATCTTGATACAAAGTTGGGAACAAGATAAAAAGGGCCTACCTTTCCAGCCAGCACGGGAGAAGGTCTTTTCTCATCTTCCCGCACAACATTTCTACGCATTTCTTCCAATTCTGCGCCCGACGCGATGGCAGGCTTCTCGAACCTTGTCAGACGTCTTGAAGTCAAGGGAACTGCCGATGGGGACCTTGCGAAAGGTCTGAACTCTGATATCAGGCCTTTGGAACCACACAGGCGAACTTATGGACCGTGGCAATTCATAACGCTGTGGGTGATTACTGGATCCTTCAACATCGGCGGTTGGACCACAGGGTCGTCTCTTATCGCTTTAGGCCTCAATGTCTGGCAAGCCATGTTGACTGTCATCATTGGCAACATCATCGTTGGCTTTCTGTGCGTTGCAAGTGGCGCGCCCGGCGCGAAATGGCACATCGGGTTCCCCATCATCCAACGGTGCTCTTGGGGAACACGCGGCTTTATCTTCATCGTCATCCAACGTATCTTCCTGGCCTGCATCTGGTTCTCCACGCAGGTTTACTGGGGTGGCCAATGCGTGAGGGTCTTTCTGACGGCCCTATGGCCAAGTTTCGCCAAGGTTGATACCCCTTTAGCCAACGGCACCATGACCACGGGCGACTTTGCGTCTTTCATCATCTTTACCGTCCTCTACCTTCCACTCGTATGGATCAAACCGGAGCATTACAAGATACCATTCTTGATTTCGTGCTCGGTCGTCATACCCACAATCTTTGTCTGTCTGGTCTGGTTCACAGCGACCGCCAAAGGCGCAGGAAGCTTGGTCCACGACGTCAGCGGTCTCACTGGGGTCACGCAAGCCACGGGGAGCCACTTGGGATGGATGATGACGCTGGGCATATGCACCAACATCAGCTCCATCAGTGTGCACATCTTCGTGCAGTCCGACTATACCCGCTACGCAAGGAAGCCCAAGGACCAAATCGCGGCGCAGCTGTTTATGGTGCCCATGGGCACCATCGTGGTCGCCCTGATCGGTATCATCTGCACATCCTGCGCGGCGCAATTGTTCCCCGAGCAGCAAGGCACCCTCCTGTGGGCACCGTATGACCTCCTCAGCGCGCTCCAGTCCCATTACCACAACTCCTCCAGGTCTAGGGCCGCTGTGGCTTTCGCAAGTCTATCGTTCCTGGTGGCACAGTTCGGCATGGTTGTCGCCAATAATGGGGTCTCTGCCGGTATCGACCTGTCGGCACTGATGCCCCGTTTCTTCACAATCCGCCGTGGCATGTTGCTCATGTCGGCGCTTGCATTCATTGTTCAGCCTTGGCAACTCCTCAACGGAGCAAGCAAGTTCCTCACTGTTCTGGGCGGATATGGTGTGTTCCTGGGTCCGATGACTGGCGTGATGTTTGCCGATTACTTCCTTCTCCGAAAACGACAGATCAAGTTAACAGACCTGTACGAGAACAATTCACGCAGCATTTATTGGTACTGGTTGGGCATGAACTGGAGGGCGCTGGTCGCTTGGGCCATGGGCGTCTGGATCAACGTTCCTGGATTCGCCGAGTTTGTGCGGTACGGCTCCAACAAGACCTTGTCTGGGTGGTCGAATCTTTATGACATTTCGTATCCGCTGGGTTTACTGTTGTCTGTGACCACGTACGTTGTCTTGAGCAAGGTATCGCCCATCAAGGGTCTGGGTGAGGTTGATGACGCCGATTATTTTGGCACATTTGGCCCGGCGGAGACAAGATCATTCCATGGCGAGGAGGTTGAGACGGTTCAGGTTGGTGAAGGGAAAGCGGACAATGAAGTCGAGAAAGAGATGAGAGCCCCTTATACCTGAGCGTCCGATCTGGTGTGAGCAAATCGTGTGACGGCACGTTTGACGGCACGTTTGACGGCACGTTTGACGGCACGTTTGACGGCACGTTTGACGGCACGTTTGACGACGAATGATTCTCCTTCATGACGAGTCTTCATCAGGGTGGCATAGGCTGGGAATTGGTAGAGTGTATGCAGATATTATCACGATACGATCTCTGTCTTCGTATAATTTGGTCATGTTGACCACAGGACCTCCGTGCAGATGTCGATGCATGCCAACATGACACTGGACTCGGGACATGAATATGCGAACGAGAAGCTGATGAGGGATCGTAAATCATATATCTAATGCCGGAATTGTCTGATTACAACTTGGATTTTTGGGAGACTTGGTCGTTCAGCAAATCCAGTGCATGTGCAGCCATGCCCCTTGACCAGGTCAGTACCACTAGTTGGCCAAGTGTAAAGAGTGTATGACTTACCATGAGGACTGATATCCTGCCCCTGAAGCGCCGTAATTGTGAACAAGAAGTTTGCCGTTTCGTTTCTCCAGTTCGACTCGCGCACCGCCTTTCCTGCTCGCTGGACTCAGAGTCAGTATCTTTCGTCTCCGCATGATGATTGGGGGTAAAGTTGGCTTACGTCGAAGACCAACGTTGTGGCTCAGGACTTGCAAGTCCTCCGGCTTTCCCAGCTCCGGTGCCAGAGCACAACATCTCTGCTTGATCCGCTCCGCAAGTTCCATATCTGGTTCGGCGGTCCAGTCGTTATCGCGTCTCACGCCTCCGAGAATTATTCCCCCACCTAGTGGTCGAGGGAAGACATGCGCGAACTCATTGTCGCCCCAGCTTGCGTTTTTCTGGATATACATCCTCTTCAGGGGCGTTATGGGCTCGGCGATGAGTAATGTCTGGCCCTTTGTAGGGTAGACCGTCTCGTCCTCGACGCCTCCTAAATGCCGGGCACCGAGGCCCGTGCAATTGAAGAAGGCGTGTGCACCGGGGAAGTCGGACATCAGGTCGTTGATGTGGGTGTATGAGCGGCGCATGAATTTGACTTTGGCATGCAAGACTTGCTGTTGGAGCCAGCTGAGGTATGCGACGGTGTTGATCATGAAGCTGTCCATGTCTAGACCCATTACGGCGCCGGCGGGGAGTTCGTCCTTGGGAGCCTCCTTGATACCGCCGACCACTTCGCCGTACCATAGTGGATTCTTCCGCGCTTCGTCGCTGTCGTAGATGACGCGCATGGGGAGAGCTTTGACGCCGCTTTCGGGAGTTTTGGCAGCGATGTCGACGAATTTCTTGAATGCGACGGCATCGTATTCGGCGTATTGGTTGCGTTCTTTCTCGAAGGAATGCCAGTTGGCGCCCGCCCAGGGCGAGACGTATTCTGTCGGAGATGTGAAGCCGGGGAGATATTTGGCCACGATCGTGATTCGAGCTGATGGGAAGCGCTGGCGGGCTTCGAACGCTGTTGTCAAACCGGCGACGCCTGCACCTAGGACCACGATTTCTGTGGGCGTGGGAGACATTCTTCTGCGGAATGGAGATTGAGAGATAAGCCAGCAACGATGATTAAGGTACTTAAGTGTTCGCGGGTCGACCACATAACAATATGATTGTGCAGCTATGTTACTACCATGTTGCAACGGAAGACTGTGTCGCCTTATATCGAATATGAGGCTGTTGTATTTGTGAGAAGAGTTAGTCTCTGGCGCCTTTTCACACAGGGTTGAGTATGCGTTGTGTTCGGAAAACAATGATGAATTGATAACAGGGCGTGCCGCGACTTTCCCGACGACCACGCCTTGCTGCATCTTCGGTTCCCGCAGGTCTCAGGCCACTAACTTAAGTAGTCAGGGTCCAGAGCCCTTAGCACTGGCTTAAGTAATACCTTACCAACTGGCAGTTATAAGTGACGTTTGTCTGCTCTCCGCAAGTTTCTGGCCTTCAGACATGGTTTGAAACAGCATCGATTACCTCCATCTGTTCGGACATCAGGTCTGAGAATTACCGTGTCATAGTGACCTGCACTCGAATATGCATCTGCATGCAGCCGTTGCTCTCACACCTCGAAAGGCAGGGCAAGAAGACGTGTCATTTGCAAACAAAGCTGGATCGCGATAATAGTCAAGTCAGATCGGCTTGATCAACTTCAACAATCTTGACAGGTGGATGTGTCTCGCATTTATGAGGCCAGGGATGAGAATGCATTGTCCAGTATCATAAAATATGGACTAATTCTCGTGTTTGGGCGCAATGACGACCTAACTTAGACGAAATGGCCTCCTGTGTTGGGGTAAGACCAAGATCATGTCTAGGGATTACCTTGTCTCCGGGAGGGGATTTTCCGATTGAATAAACGGCCTTCGCACGTCGACCCTCGGGCCTCGGCGTCGCGGCGCTGCGCTGTGGCTCGAAGTTGTGCCGCCTGTGGACTCGGGGCATCTTCTGGGGAAACCTTTGCCGGAGTCCGTCCGTCTGCCCCATGCATGAAGGTTGTGATCGACACTGGTCCCGTTCTTGTCTTGCACATTCCAGCCTACAACACCACAGCACCACAGCCGTTCCATACGCTGCCTCCTCTGGTGCCAGATTGTGTGAACCTTACAGACATCACGAAAATGGGTGCACCACTCTATTTTGTCGTCGCTCGTGTCGTGAGCAGAGAAGGAGCTCTAGAGAAGGTATGTTTGCTCGTGTGAGACGCCTGTCAGATCCCTGCATACAGCACAAAGGTACAACAAGCTGAAAGTTCTTCCATTGGTATTAGTGGCGAGATAGGTTGGCAGGTCTATGCAAAGTGTCAAAGACGGAACCCTATTCGAATTCTTATTACTGGGGCCACGACCTTGATGGTGAACCAGACACTCTATGGGGTCTAGAGGGCTATTACCATCCCGTTGGCTTCTTCATGAACCACGTCTCAAGCGACATCTTCAAGGAGGAAATGCGCAAGGTCGACGAAGACAAGCTACTACGGACTGTCCAGGGAATTGGCAGTCCTGACTACGACCTCCATCATTACGACTTCTTCAGCGGGTTTCTCACACGAAAGGATGATCAGGACCGAGATGCACAGGATAGTTTTGTGACTGTCGTGCACTTTTGGGCCTCTGAAGGCAGACGCAAGCAATTGCTGGGAATTCTCGCTGATGCCGCCGACAAGATCAAATCGGCGGAAATGGTACAGAGTTTTGCCGTCCTCAAAGAAGTGAATGACTTCCACCTGGCGACTATATATATCAGGCACGTGTCTTCCTTCAACATGGGCCCGAATCCACATGAATACTAATACCTTTCTAGGTCTCGGTCACAGGAGGCGTGGGAAAGGTTTGAAACGTCAGAAATCTACCGTGACCTTGTGGCGGACGCCAAACCGATCACGACGAAAACAGAGACGCACTGGTCTCAGGCATTCATAGGCCACATTGACCAGGATGCGCCTTCGGGCAACCCATAATGGGTCGAAAATCGAAGTAGGCCAGCAATCTTTACATAGCTTAAAAAGTCCTAGATAGGATATATGGTAAAACCCTCTCATTCAGCACTTTCATCCAGCCCTATAGAAGCCACAGGCAGAGTAGCCTCCATCCACTGTCCAGCGTGCTAAGAATCGACTATCAGCGCTGGGAATAATGGGTAATGGCAAAAGAGTAACTCACCTCCCGTCACGAACGAAGCATCGTCACTCAATAAAAACACCAACACCTTGGCCACTTCTTCCGCTTGACCCATGCGGCCCATCAAAGTGCCAGCACTTATTATCTCTGAACTGAAAAGGCCTTTTGCTTCTCCATCGCGGAAGATCTTAGTATCAATTGGACCTCTACATCAGATGTTCAGCATATTATCCTTGAGAGGGATGTAAGGGACAATCGACTCACGGCAGAAGCGCATTGATCCTGATGCCCTGCTTCCCGTACTCTGCAGCGGCTGACTCTGTCAAGCCGATGACACCGAATTTGCTGGAGGCGTAGGCCGCGTTCTTAGCTAGTCCTCGTAGACCCGATGTACTGGACACATTGACGATGGATCCTCCCGGCTTCGAGATCTTTTGTAGCTGGGCTCGCATGCAATTCATTACCCCAGTAAGGTTGACAGAGATCATCCTCTCCCAGTCTCTTTGCACCTATCGGTTTCGTTGTCAGTTGATAGAAGGCTTACAAAGATAGCTCAAGAGGCACTGGGACTCTTACTATGTCCTCTGTCACCTGCCCCTCACCCCCAGCTATTCCAGCAACATTTGCGGCACCATCGAGCCTGCCATGGTCCTTCAGGACCTCATTGATCCATGAGTCTACAGCCTCAATGTTGGCCACATCGACCTTCTTCAAGGTAACTCTCGTGGGATATTGGATGCCTTGAAGATAGTAAGCCCTTGAACATATCTGCGTGAAGTCGAGTTTGTTGCATACATTGTGCCTTCGTATCCTCTAATGCGGCCTCATCCACGTCGCTGATTGCGATGCCTAAGGCGCCAAGTTTTGCTAGCCTCACAGCTGTGGCCCTCCCGATACCTGATCCAGCACCAGTCACAGCAAATACTTTGCCTTCCATAGCACCAAGTTTCTGATCTGCTGCGAAATTGTGCGTTCAAAAATTGACTTACAAATATCATCCGTTGCAGTCGTCGCATTTTCGGCGACAGCCTCATTGACCTCAATTGGCTCAGACGACAAACGGTCCGATTCAATTTTCGACAAGCACAGCCGAAGCCACAGATTTCAAGACAAGGTCAATTCTGAAGTGGAGCCACCACGAACTGTTTTCGATGACTGCTAGGCGTAGCCTTTTCTCCCCGGACAAACTTCAGAAGACAAATCGCCCGAAGACTCTTTGTCCGGCTTTTCCCCTATTTCTTCCCCACGCATGCATCCAATGAGGTACTTCCACAGATTTAACTGTGGTCACATTGACAGCGTCGGCCCACCCTTTGCCAATGCACCGGTGTCCAACAGCATCCTCGTGCAGCTGGACAATTCTGACAGTATCTTGTGTGAACTGAAGGGGCATATGAGACCGTCCTGAGCAACGAGAATTGCCCACGACCTGGGGAGAACTTACATCCATGATGGCGCAAAAGACGTTAGATGGAAAGGTGGCACTTGTCACAGGGTCGAGCAGTGGCATGGGCCGAGGCATTGCTCTTGGTCTTGCGGAACAAGGCGTCAGCGTGATCTGTTGTGACCTCAAGGCAGAGGCAAATCCAGCCGGGTTCGAAAAGGACTTACAGATCACTACCGCGGACCTGATCAACAAGCAAGGAGGCCAAGCTATTTTCTTCAAAGTCAACATCTCCCAAACGTCGGAAATCGAGCATGCATTCAAGGAAGGCATCGCGGTAAGTCAGCCGCCAAAGCCACAGTGTTGGTGACCATGAACAGAGTTACTGACGTCCGGTGCAGAAGTTTGGACGTTTAGACATCGTGGTCAACTGTGCAGGATACTGGGCGCCCTTTCGAAAATTCGCCGTCGAGGATGATGAACTATGGGCAAAGATGGCCAGCATCAATTTACTCGGCACGGCAAAATCAAACCGGTTGGCAATCCAGCAATTTCTCAAGCAAGATGTCGACGAAGCCTGGGGTAGCCGTGGCAGGATTGTGAACATCTCGTCTTGCGCGGCCAACATCGCCTTCCCAGGTGAAGTCGCGTATTCGGCGACCAAGGCAGCAATCAACCACATGACCCGTGCGGGAGCAATGGACCACGCTCAGGACTGGATCAACATCAACTGTATAGCACCGGGTGTTGTGGCGACCGGTATGGCGCGCCAAAATTTTGAGGATCAAGACATTATCAAGCACATGAAGAAGGCCACGCCATGGCCTCGTCTTGGGACGGTGGAAGATATCACAGGCACTGCTATGTTCTTATGCAGCAAGCAGGCCTCGTGGCTTACGGGCCAGATCTACGCGGTGGATGGGGGTATGACGCTTGGTGTGCCGCCTTGAGCAAATCATTACTTAGTCACCCGAAGCATAATCCCATGCATGGATGGGGTTGTAAGGAAATAGAAAAATGTGACTCTGGACATTCAAGATGGTCTTATAGCTGCTACATGTTTTTCTGACATTATCCGCAAAGACGTCATTCGTACTGCTTCAAGAATTCCAATGCTTGAACCAGCTCTCTCTGCACAGTCTCCATGTGCTTCTGACTGCGAGGCTCGACTTTAACCTTGAAGGGAAGTGGGCTGACCAGGATCGAGGAGGTGTAGCCATCTACATCGAGAGGCGCGCTTGGATCCTCGTACATCTTGAAAGCCCATATCAACTTGGCCGCTATGCGCCACATGTTCCGCTCCGCCAAGTGTATACCGGGACACATGCGTCGACCTGATCCGTAGCCGTAATGGTCTATGCATTATCGTGAGTAAGTTACTTATGAGTGGATACACTCGATGTGAGCGTGGACTCACCTCTGTTCTCATAATCGGAGGAAGTTGCATATTCGTTTGCAAGTCTCGGGTGGTTGAGATAACGGTCAGGGTTGAACTTCTCCGCGTCTTGGAAGATCGTATCGTTTTGATGCATGGTCCACACTGACATGAAGACAGTGCTACCCTTAGGGATGAGGTAGTTGTCGTACACATCGTCTACAGGTAAAGTCAGAGGAGTCTACGTCACTGCTGGCTGTGGAGCATACCTTGAACTGCGAGATGAGGCAAACCAGATCGAGCACTAATGGTAGTCAGTGTGACCCGCACAAGACTGGGAGAAGCGAGGACACTCACGTCGGTCGCCACCGCATACCCTCTTTGACGATGCAGTTAATGTAGGGGCATTTGTCGAAGTCCGACCAAACGGGAGCTCTGTCCGCTCCGCAAACCGCCTCGAGCTCTCTATAGGCTCGTTCCTGCACATGAGGGTGTGCAGCGAGAGCAAGGATAAGGGTGAGGAGATGGTTCGCCGTTGTGTCAGCGCCACCCTCCACCATCTCCCCAAAGAGGTAGTTCACAACCCACTCGTCGAAAGGCCAGCCTTTTTGTGCATACTCATCAAGTTTGGCGTCTAGGAGGCAGTCTCGCTTGTCACCCGTAGCACGACGCTTGTCGACAATCTTTCTAGCATGGGTCCAGAGGTCGTGGCGTGTCTTTTTGACGTCCGCGGCTCGTTTCTTCCATTGGCCTGGCAGGTACCATAGCCAGGGGAATTGTTCCACTGGCGGGTTTGCGCCAGGTTCCAGCACGGCAGTCCACTGTATACCCAGCTTAGCAGATGGTTTCGACAACAGGTGTAGAGCCATACCCCTTCCATGTGCTCGTAGAACTCCTTATACCAGAAAGAGTCCAAGTCAGGAGCGCGTTGCCCATAGAGGAGGCTGCACAACACAGAAACAGTGTATAGCTTGGCGTATTCCGGGAGCTTGTCGGAATGCCTGTACACGTTGTACATGAGACAGGTGGCCCTATAGGCTGTGAGATGTTGGATCAATATGCACATCTCTTGAGGCACTCACTCTGCTTCTTGGACTTTGAAATGATGCTCGTCAAGCAGCTTAGGACTGAAGAAGCGGGTTGCTATTGCGCGCTTCTCTTTCCAGCCCTTACTGTTCTGTTCGAAAGAAAAATGGTTCTCGTTTGTCACCCACATCGCAACGTCGGCGCGTGGGCGGTCAGCATACACGGCACCACGTTTGTCGAAGAGTGTATTAACGGCTCTGCGGTCGGAGATAATGATGATGGTGCCTGGGCCGACCTTCAGGGAGAAGATTGGTCCATATTCCCTTGCCCATTCTTGGAATCTAGCGGCGGAGTCTGAGATAGAGTCTGACATGGCTTGGGAAACATACGTACTTTTTGGCAAGACCAGTTGTTGGGATTAGGTGTGCATTTCCCAGGACAGGGACGGTGGGAGGTCCAGGGGGTAAGCGGGGATCCCTCTTGCCAATCTGTGAGATCCTGTAGACAGCTAGGACAACCAACGCAACAATGGCCGTGGCTATGTACGACGTGGTAGACCAAGTCTGATCAGTCATGATCATAGAGTACTTGATGCAGCTTGGGTCGAGCCCTTGAGCACATTGCTCAACTAACAAGTTGTGCTGTACCGGAGGCTTTATTCTTCATAATCCCAGAAGTCCACTTCAGGCGCTGGCAGACCCTGTTCCTGCACGATCACCGGAATTGATCCTAGCGTGTCGTTGGTGACGAAGACGAAATGCTTCCGTAGCAAACCAATCATACTTCTTAGCGAGGTAAGCACAGGGCAGTGAAAACAACCCGCCCTCAAAATCACTCGAAGAATATAGGCTTGATCGCTGCACTCAGCAAATTAGAAGACGAGACTTCAGAGTCTGCAAATCATGCATCATGACCGGCAGGTCCAATGACGAGGCTTACCACTTCGGGCAATCACAATTGTGCCGGGCCCACTCGTCAAAACTCTGGAGTAAAAGCCCCGGACACCACCAAAGCCCCAACAACCCCAACAACCCCGAAGCGGAGATCCCGGATGGTTCAGGCGCAGGACATGTGCAAGTCGGGCTGGAATGAGACCTTCAATTCAGCCGCTCTGTACTGCCGGCTGTAGCTTGTTTGATACCTATCGAACGGAGGGAGTAGGCAAGAAAGTATCGAGTTTTCAAGCATGGTACCATTATACTTCGACTTTGGCGCCACTAGTTCGTATCGCTCATCAATAGATGCGAAGTAACGATGCCCTGACATTCTTATGCCATTTTACAAAAGGACTTTCCCAACTTGTTTTTTCTTTCTTTTTCCTCCTTCAATTTTCCAGAGGAATAAACAAACAGAAGCGGTCTCTCATTGATTGAAAGCCTCTTGCCTATTTCCATCTCATAGATCCCGAGACTTCACACCCCACAATCCATAAGAGTTAGCCATAGAATCAAGGACATGGATGAGATCATTCTCGTGCGTGGTTCTGTCCACCTGAAGACTCTGGAGAGGTCATGATGTCGGACTCAATCCCCACAAACGCAGCCCCACTAGTAGGTGATTGCCTCTCATTCTTTCGATTCAAACGGCGCCAAAAATTCCAGAGCAGCTTGGAGCTCTTTTTGAAGAACGGTTGCGTGCTCTTGGCTGCGCGGTGTAATTCTGACCCGAAATGGAAGGGGAGCCTGCGTAATACCCGGGTTATAGGCATTCGGATCTAGCTCAATTGTCTCGCCAGTAGTAGGATCGATCGGTTCACTGATGTCGAAAGCCCAAAGTAACTTAGACGTAATGCGCCACATATTGCGCTCGGCCAAGTGCATTCCAGGGCACACTCTTCGACCAGCTCCATATCCATAGTGATGTGCTATCGGAAGTCAGTCAACGTCCCGTAGTTTCGAATGGATGGACTTATCTCGCTCCTTCCAGTTCGCGCTACCAGCATACTCGCTAGACAATTTCGGGTAATTCAAGAATCGGTCGGGGTTGAACGCCTCGTCGTCTGGATAGATGTCCGCGCTGTGATGGATAGCCCAAGTAGGAATAAAAATAGTTGAGTCTTTCGGAATGAGCATCCCCTTGTAGTAATCATCTTCCAGTAGTCAGTACATTTACTCTCAAATGTTCCGGTGTACGAATTTACCTTGTCTGACTTTGTGAGGGAGTGCGGTGACAGCTCTATTCACGTCAGCCCAGCACGCGGATAAACAGATATGAGCAGAAAGATACATACACAGGTCGCCACCTCATACCTTCTTTGACAACGGCATTGATGTAAGGAAGCGATGCAAAGTCTTTGCTCATTTGTGGTGATCGAGAGGCTCCACACAGTGCATCAATTTCTCCTCTCGCCTTCTTCTGAACCCAGGGATTTCGTGCAAGAGCCAGAACCATTGTTAGTAGTTGAGCTGCTGTGGTATCCGCGCCCCCTTCGACAAGCTCCCCGATTAGGTTGTTGAACGCGTGTTGACTCATCGGGAAGCCTTTTTCGTGATACTCATCCAGAAGGCGGTCGGCTATGCAGTCACGTTTGTCGCCTTTTGCCCTTCGTGTGTCTATGATTTCGCGTGCTCGATCCCATACCGCGTCCATAGTATCTCCCGCCTGCAATGCCCGCTTCTTCCAATGTGCAAACTTAGCAGGTATGAATTGTAAAAATGTATACTCGTCTACCGGTGGGTTGGCACCTGGCTCCATACATTCCGTCCACTGTAACTTTCAGCTGTGGCGATGATCAATATTTTAGCAGGTTCATACCTTGGCCATAACGTCAAACACCCCCTGTAAATTGTCAGCCACCAATGATGAGAATGCTGACTATCACTGACATGAGCCCAGAAAGAGTCAAAAGTGGAGCCTCGTTGGCCGTAGACTAAGGTGGCCGCCACCGAAGCCGTGTATCGACGGATATGGTTGAAGAATCCTTCTGGATTTACCAAAAGGTCGTTCATCAAAACGACGCCTCTATCAGGGTACTGTTAGTGATGTCCATGGCATAAAGTAGACTCAACTATCAACTGCTTACTCGGCCTCTTGTACTTTGAAATGCTTTTCATCCAGCATTTTTGGAGAGAAGTTGTGTGCAATCACCTTTCGCTTCTCTCTCCAGAGGGCGTCCGCTTGAGAAATTGCAATATGATCTCCTTTTGTCAAAAGATTGCCGACGTATGTTGTGGGACGGTCGGAGTAAATGCTCCCTTTCTTGTCGATGAGTTCGTGAATAGCCTCTCGATCGCATAAGACAATGATGTTTGAAGGCCCGAACTTCAATGAGAAGACAGAGCCATATTCTTTGGCCCATTCGCGAAATCTACCCATCATCAGCCTGCAGCCCACGTCTGACGTAGACTCACGTACTGTCTGTACATTCCAGTAGATGGAATCTGGTGAAAGTTCCCCAAGATTGGTAGCGTAGGGGGACCCTTTGGCATTCTTGGATCGCGTCTCCCCACCTGCAAGAGCCGGTAAACTCCATAGACCCCAAGCACCAACACACAAAGATAGAGGTAAGAAAGGTCTCTCGCCATCGTCGCTGGAAAGTCTCTCGTGGGCCTATGTACAGCCCTTGGTCTAGATGGCCGACCTGAGAACGACAACATCACACGTGTTAGATATATGATGGTTATTGCCCATCATTTCGCTGTTGATGCGGAGTAACTTCAACTCTTCTAGTGACAGATCAATACAATGTGAATTTGCTCCAACAGAGATTGTCCGCCGCTAATTTGTGTCCGATTGCCAACACGTAGAAACGGTTGAATTGAGGAGCAATGACAGGATGATGCACGGATTGACGATGTAAATGATTAGTGTCTTAGTCGACGCTCTCACCATTTGGCCGTCGAATCAGCGAGTTTGGAATTTGATCATCGTCCAAGCACGATTATGCGGACCTGTGGCTACTAGTTCTTGCTACAACCGATTCATCCGCCAGCACATCAGTCAATTCTCTTGTCTTATCTACTGGGAAGTGCAATATTGAGTTGCTGCCGCATCAAGCTGTCCGCCGATCAAGGCAGCAGGAAGTGCCAACCAAAAAAGACCGTAATGGCCACAATCAATACAAGCATTGTTTTGATCCAAGTTGGCAAGGCGCTGATCTGAGGTTCCTTATGATAGATTTTGTAGGCACTTCCAGATGATGCCAACAGCTTCTCGTCTCCAGTCTAGAAGATTGACAGGTTCTCAGCTGAAGGTCTTTGTTCGTCGCACTGTATCTGACACCTACCTGTCGACTCAGGTTACCGACTATGAGTTCGGCGAGTTGTTCTCGTGCGTCTTCGCTATGCCCGACTTCTTCGAATGCTTCTGTGGCATCGACGCCTCCTTGATCGACGAGGACTTCTTGGCCTCCTCTGCCACCGAAGTCAGCGACTTCTGAAGACGAACCGGCGCCGTTGAGGCGAGGCCAGGGGCACTTACGGGTGTTGGTCAACAAAGCTTGTGACATCGTACACCTTGCCATGGATAACTAGATACAGGTCTTCTTTTCTTCGATGATCAACCACTTCATCAGCAGAAAAGTCCCTCAGTCTCTTGTGACTTTTGACTTTATCGGATGATGCCATTGATAAGAACTTGAAGCTGACCAGGTAATGTGCAGCACACGCGTTCAGTTTTCAAGGATGAAGAGGACAAATTAGTTGAAATATTAACCTCGTAGAGTTTCCAAACTAATATCATTCGTCCAAATTCAGCCTGCCCAAGACCTACCTGAACGCTTGCAGTCGTTTCCGGGGATAGTTGGCGCGCAATTCATCCGTAAGATCCGTTCTGCTTTACTCTTCCAAGCACCGGCATTGATCCCGAATGCGGGCCAGTCACCGGTTCTTTCATTGGCGTGAAATCTCCTGCGTTGCTGCACTTTTGTGCTAACGCGGCCTCTAAGACGGAATTCAAACTTCCAATCACATCAAGCATGAAAAGACTGGGTTGGTATAGTTGCAAAGACTTGACGTCTACTTCACAACGGCGCTTTCATGCGCGATCGTCTATAATGTTCCTTGAAGAACAGGTCATTCCTGGAATTTGAAAGAATCCAGCGCATTGCTGTCACAATTGTAGTCCGCCTGCCTCGTAGCCATGTTCACAGGAAAAGAAAGGTGCTCATGGATCCACTTCCACTGGCCATCCTTCTTCCTTGCGATTCCCGTCCTTCGGAACGTAATGTTGAATGGATCTCCACCGGCTTTCCCCCAGGTGTGCTGGTAGCATGTCGAGTACGCGTGGGTTGGGGAAAGAACAACAATCTCGAGGTCTTTATACTCCATCTGACCATCGACATAGTAAGGAAAAACATTCTCAAAATGTTCAACAAACTTCCCACGTAAAGTAGTTCCGAACATATCATAGCTGAGCATCTCTCCGAAGTCATAGAATCTGCGTGATTGATTGGCACCGGGGTCGTGCATAGACTCTTTGTTCCAGTAGCGCAGCCATCCTTTGTAAAGTTGCTCTAGGATCTCTTGTTCCTCCTTTGCGAATTCGGTTTTGTGGTCCTGCGCCGAGTCAGAGAACGTGCTCCCAAAGCATATACATACGTGAGGTATTCGTACCGCGCTTTTAGGTAGGTGCATGAACTCGTAGGACTTGTGAACGCTACTATACTCCTCCTGTCCAGTATCAGTAACATACGCAGCATGTTGTAAGTGCATAGATACTTACCTCGTCCTGAATCCAGCCTGCCTGCCGACCGTGAGCCATATCACGCTGTTGTTAGTCGGTGTAGTACGTTTCCGATAACATACAACGAAGCTCGGCTTGCCCAGGGGAACTTCTACATGATATGTCCGTCCAGTTGATCGACGGACCGACTTGAAGAATTGCACCGTATGGTTGTGAGGTAGTAATTGCTCCGTTTGTATACAGATCTCCGGCCAATCAGACCACACTTTCACATGTTGTTGCACACTTTGGTGCTGCCAAGGCATGACAAGGCTGGCGCCCGTCCTCAAATTTGCATCAGTTCGGCGCATCATTTGGCGAAACATATCTGGAATCACATGTCGGCAGCTCCGTAGTGAAAGACCAGGGTGCAGATAAGGCGGAAGGGTCTACACGTCGTCATCTCAATTGTGGCGATGCCAGTATCTCTCTCAACAGTCAAAACATGGAAATTCACGGGGTAAAATCCGAAGGAGTCAAATACTATGACTGGTTATCAATTCGATTTAGTAGCCTGTAACAGATCGCGGCTGATAAGGCTCCTCTAGGTAGTCGATCTCTTCTTGGGTCAACTTGACGCTCAGTGCCAGGATTGCATCATCGATTCTATCCTTTGATCCCAATCCCAAGATTGGACAAGCTCCCTTTTGCAAAACCCAGGCCGTTGATATTGCGCTCATTGGTACATCCCTCTTCTGCGATAGCTCTTCCACTCGCTCAAGGACGGCTTTCTGCACCTCTACGGCACCGTAGGGTAGTTTGTGTTTGTCATTCTCTGATCGCTTGGTAGCTGAACCCCAGGGCCGTGCGAGAACCCCTCCGGCCATGGACGACCAGGGTATAATGCCCACGCCTGTGTTTTCACAGTATGGCAGCATTTCTCTTTCTTCTTCTCGGTAGAGTAGGTTCAAATAGTTTTGCATGCTGATGAATTTGTGCCAATTGTTCTTCTCGGCGATGTTTTGTAGTTGCTGGAACTCCCAGGCTGACATCTAGAGCATCCGCAGCGGTGAGCAAAGCCTGTCCAAGTTCCAGGACCGGAAGCAATACTGACCGAGCTTGCCCCTATGTAGCGAATCTTTCCGCTTTCCACAAGGTCGTTAAGCGCTCGCATGATCTCCTCTTTTGGCACATCTCTGTCGAGTCTGTGAATCTGGAAAACGTCGATGTAGGTACCAAGTCTTGCTACGCATGCTTCAACCGCATCGAACAGCTTCTTGCGACTTAGACCGACTCTGTTTGTCAAGGACCCATCATTGACCATACACTCTGACAGTGGGAGTTGACTGCCGTCCTGACTCAGAGCAAAATACCCCTTTGTGAGGATGACAACGTTCTCACGCGGGATGTTGTATGTCTTCAATGCCTGTCCAAGGAGTCTTTCACTTTCGCCGTGGGAATATATGTCCGCCTAATTTACGAACCAGTGAGTCACCAACTCACCATGCGATAAAAGTGTGCAAAACGCACCGTGTCCCAAGTATTGATCCCGGACTTGTACGCATGTTCAATTATGGGCAATGCGGCTTCTTCGTCGAGAACCCAGTCCTGCCACTGACTGCTTCCGAACGACATGGCGCCGAGGATAATCTTGGAGACCTTGAGCCCAGATTTGCCCAAACTGGACTCGGTCTCAGCATTAGACAGGCACGAAGTAAGAGCAACCATGAGAATCCTGGTCATCTCTTACCGAGTATACTCCATGTTGACTCTGACACTATCAGTGGTTGTATTTGATTGCGACGATAACTTTAGCATGTTAGCATCATAGCACATCCAGGCAGCGGAAGGAATACCTCAAGCAGATAGATGTAGCTTGGCCTCTTCTTCGGCGACCACAGGAATCGCAGAATACAACTTTTGGCTTAGAAACGTGGTCCGCATGGCAACACATACTTATCACGAACATCGTGTTACGAAGTTAGGCCGTTGTGTTTCCAGATCAATGAAACTCCACCGGAGTATACGTTCTTGTGGGGTACTGTACAGCGGAGACGCTTATCCCTCGAGTTTGAATTCGGACCGTTTGCGGGCATATAACTAATGAGGACGAAGTATGATCTGATTGTACGGCCACACTCACAACATTTGTAGTCAAACACTGCGGACTATCCTTTCTGATCAGGCATATTTCGCATCAGGCCGTCTCCTCAAAGTCCCTGTCGAGTCACAATATAGGATTCAATCTGCGGGACGTTGACTTGCTGTGCAAAACCATAGGAACTCGATTTACAGCCTCACCCAAGTTCAAAGGGTCGCCATGGAATTTCGCACAGCTGACGGGCACTCGATCCAGAAGCACGCCCAAAACATTCCCTTTTGGACGGTCGGACTTGTTGCTCTAGTCATTTATGGCCTTTACACGGTGCTTCAAATTGGTCGGAGAGACAAGCGCATGCCTCCAGGACCACCTACGCTGCCGTTGCTAGGAAACCTCCATCAAATACCAATCACTGGAATGTACAAAAAGTAAGCCCTTTCTCCATCCGAAGGTGACAAGCAAGTCAGGAAGCTGAACGTGGCACAGGTTTCAAGACTGGGGTGAAGAGTTCGGCGGCATCTATTCGCTCAAATTTGCCTCCTCCAATGTGATAGTCCTTTATGACCGCAAGGCCGTCCATGAGCTCGTGGATAAAAAGGGGTTGCTTTACGCCGAAAGACCGCATAGCTACATTAATGACCTGGTCACCCATGGTGACAGTCTTGTTTTCCAAGACCATCATGAGCGGCAGAAGGCCAAACGAAAGATCACCACACATAATTTCTCAGTTGGTCAACTCGCAAAACATCGGCTGCGGACGACTGACACGCTTTTAGCCGAAGATTCTGGATGAGAGAGTCGCCCCAGTCCAAGATGCTGAGTAAGTGAACATCATCCTTGTTTATGACCTTGACTTCGCACGAGAATGTTCCTTCCCTTCTTTCTAGACTTGAGATTCTCCACAGCTAACCCGACAAAGGGTGACTGTTTTGTTGAATGATCTTGTTCGGGATCCGGGGAACTTCTACAATCACATGAAACGCCTTACCTGTTCGATTGCTTGTATTCTGGTCTTTGGTCAACGAGCTTTGACATACGAGGACTTTTGGGGCCACGTAAGACACCTTTCCAACGTGAAGGGCCAACTGAGATACTAACCGAAGTCTCAGTGCGTCTATGATGCCTTAGACAAGGTACTTAACATTACTATCGTTCCACCGTCAAGTCTGACAGCTATTCCCAGTTCGGAGAAGCCCTGGAACCGGGGGCTAATCCCCCGGTGGATGAGTTTCCCGTACTCAAGTACCTTCCTGAATTCATTTCTCCTTGGAAAACCCGAGCAAAGTATGCTGGCAAGGTAATGGATGACATTTGGAGTGAAGCGCGCAGAAGAGTCGATGAGAGACGACAACGGGGCGACATTCGGACCACTCTTGGCTCACTTGCCGACAAGCTTCTAGATGAGCATTCGGAAAAAGGGTCGCCTTTGAGCAAACAGCCCTTGGGCAAGCAAGAGTTGGACCACTTCTTCGGCTTACTTGTCGAGGGAGGAGCCGAAACAACATCTTCCACCATGCTAACACTCATCCTCTGCTTGGCTATGAATCCTCAAGTTCAAGCCAAAGCTCAGGAAGAGCTGGACGCTGTGTGTGGCACAGAACGGTATTTCGTGCCACTTTTCTCAAGACTCGTGCGCTGATCGCTCTATAGCATGCCTCAATGGTCTGACTTTAGCAAGCTCCCATACATAAATTGTATCATCAAGGAGGGAATGAGATGGCGTCCAGCGTGAGCTGTCCAGTTCATACTTAGCTGACCCAACAAAATTGCTGACTTGATCACAGTGCGCCTGTGGGGATTCCCCATCGGGTGGCAGAGGACGATTTCTACGAGGGAATGTTGATTCCGAAGAATTCAACCATTTTCATTCCCACCTGGGCTCTTCATCATGCTGAGCGCTATGGCTACGATGATCCTTACAGCTTCAAGCCTGAAAGATACACCAACCACACCAAGCTTGCCAATGATTATGCTGGTGGCGCAGACTACAACAACCGAGATAAGTAGTTCTCCAACGATCATACATGACCTGCCGTTGACTGACTTTGTTCCACATCATTATGGCTATGGCAGTGGACGTCGTATGTGCCCCGGAATACACCTGGCAGAACGAACACAATGGAGGATTGCAGCCAAGTTACTTTGGGCTTTCGAGATCCTTCCTGGGTTGGATGCTGAGACCGGCAAGCCTGTAAAGTTGGACCCGGACCACTATAACGAGGGTCTCCTTCACGGCCCTGCTCCGTTCAAGTGTGTGTTCAAACCGAGGAGTCAGGCACACGTCGATGTCATCTCGCAGGAGCTCGCTAGTGCGAGGAAATTTCTTGCTCCATACGAGTGAACGGAAAATAGTAACGCCGAGACATTCATAAGTTCATAACAGAGGACAATGGACTCTAGGACAAGCTCTTCGAGCAGGTACAGTTTGCTATTGGTTCTGCACGCTGGATTTGTCGATTTGCCACGTTCCCAATGCGCCGCATGCCCTGAAGATACTCCGTTTTTACTCCGCAGGATCGACGGCCTGACTTCACGAACTGCTTGCGCGGCATTTGGCATAGCCCGTACCTCCCGACTCAGAAAACCCCGATGGTTCCCCGCATGATCGAGAATGCCTGCCCAAAATTCTCGCCAAAAGAATGCACTCCAACCAGTGGGGTGGCTCGCGGTGTGGGGTACTCCCTGGAGGCACGCTAAATTAAACCTGGGACGACCCCAAGCCGTGGACCTGTCACAGCGCCTGGATTTCCTACTTTTTTCACTCTCCAGTCATGGACGCCAGAACCTGGCCCAGCGTCGAGGATGATGTCGCGACAAGAGCAACAGTGGCTGCGTGCAGCATGCCTGATGTTTCTTGTGAAGCCTGTCGAAGGTAAGTACTTCCTGCTGCTTGAGGTCTTTGTGCTGACTGTCGACCTTCAATTCAGGCGCAAAGCAAAGTGGTAAGTGTGTCTCCTGCAGGCCAACATGATCAATTTCTCGTTATCTCAGTCCATACTAAACAGCCCAGCGATCGGAAAGTGCCATCATGTAGCCTCTGTCTCAAAAGTTCGCAGGAGTGTAGTTACCCATCAAAACGACTGCGACCTGGGCCCAAGACAGGTATTGTACTCTTATGGCATGCTTCATTGCTACTTGCTGATTGGGATCTTTTGACAAGGTTCGATCCAGAAGAAGCCACGAGTGTCCAAAAACAGAAAACCTCAGACGCGGGGACAAGAGGACTCAGCACGCCGCAGTAACTCTGGTTCAAATCAGGACGAGTTCTCAATGATCTCGGACAGTCAGGTCTCAGAAGAACTGAATCATGTGCAACCTCAGGCACCGGCCAATTTACCGCTATCCCCGGAGACTACAACAGCAGCGACAACCGTCGCCAATAGGGCCGATATTGCCACGAAAGCGTCTTGCTTCGACGTGAATTTCCATGTGGCCGCTGATAACTTCGTGAGCAATGTAACACATTGGTCTCATCCTGTCAGCCAGGCACCAGCCCGAGAAGATCTCATCAATTTGTCCATGGGCAACTCTGACGCCATTCTGCATACCTCTCACGCCCTGAATATATCTCCAGCCGTGCTCGAAGAGCTGTAAGTGGATCCACTCTCACGTTGACTCGCAGCAATGTTCTCGGGCCGTTAACAGCTACTTTTCAGGATTGATTCATACTTTTCAAACATGACGAGCTTCTCTCTGTTTCACAGGCCCACATTTGCAGAGAAGCTCAAGCTCATGGGCCCATCACTCTACTTGCACGCTTTGCTTGCCTCAATGTGCTCTGTTTCTGCACGCTTCACGACAGACTCTGAAGAGCAAGCTCCGAGCGACCCCTTCAACGCGGAGCCAAGCAGCATCCCCTGCGCTGACCACTTTCATCAGGTAGCCTTGCGCTTTGAAGAAGAATCGTTGACCCAATGTTCAGACGGCACTCCGCCATTGGAGTTTCTGCAAGCGATAATCCTCACTACCTTTTTCCAATTGACCAAAGGCGTGCATGGTCGCGCCTGGAGGTGGCTTGGAACCTGCATTCGTGTTGCATATGAGCTGAATCTGCACTGTATTGATGCATACAAGCAGGAGGACTATGTCCCCTCCACTGCGGCCGAGACGTTGGCCTGGAGTCGAGACGAAGAGCGCAGACGCTGCTGGTGGGCTGTTTGGGAGATGGACTGCTTTGCAAGCACACTCAGGCGAGTTCCGACTGGACTTAGCTGGTCACAAAACAAAACGTTTCTGCCTGTCGAAGATCGATTGTGGTATCGGCAGAATTTCCATCCCAGCTGCATCTTGGCAGCAAAGCCTGGGGATCGATGGCAGTTTCTTCAGCGAAGTGGCAACGAGAGCCCTGTGGCTTGGAACATTGTCGTGATTTCGCTCTCGCGAGATGCCCAGACAATCTCACACCTCGAAGGAGCTTTTAATGGATTCGATGCCAAGGGTCAGACCACGATGTCAACTTCAGACCCGACATCCGAGGCAGACAGGGCGGCTCACAGTGCGGACGACGAGGTTGAAATCATATCGCATACCCTGCAGTGCACGCTCCTAGCGCTTCCTGACGCTTTGCAGTATCACAACGAATCACTTAGGTTTACCTCAGTGGACTGCAATCAGACGCCGGTCAGCAGCATGTTGCATTCCGCCAAATACAGCATCTATGTAATGACAGAACTCACGAAATTCATGATCGCCCACTACTACACTTTCTCCAAGGGCAACAACCTTAGTGGGCGGCTACAAAGCAATGCAGATATTGACAGGATAGAAGCGAACCCTCTCCCTGGAACTCTTCTGATGTGCACAACACGCAAGCCAAACATGGAGGGCCTGAAGCAGTATATTGAAGCCTCGAACAACATTGTGATGCTTTTGAATCGCTGTACCAGCACACATGTTCGTTACGTCAATCCATTCCTGGCTACAACAATCTGGCTAGCTGCGACAGTCCAGCTTCTCAATAAGAAATTCGGGCCGTCTGGCGGCAATCGAGATCTTGCAGAGGCCAAGTTCAACACCTTGAGACTGACGTATAAGCAATTTGTCAGGTTTTGGAATACACCTGCTGGGCTTTTGCACAGTCTAGACTCTCTAGAAGAGAAGTTTGATCGCTTGCTTGGTGGACAGCCAACCTCCACAGCTAAGCCTACAAACGTTGGACAGCCAACCTCCACAGCTAAGCCTACAAACGCGGCCTCAATTCCCGAAGAACACCGCCGTGAGCAGCTTTTCAGGATGCCAGACATGCCTACATGTTTTTCTGGTTCATCAGCATCTCAAAAGCAGCCGTCTGCTTCATATACAAGTGCTTTGACCGAGCCCAACCTGACCGGATCAGGTGTAAACCCAATGATGAGTTCTTTGGTGCACGCCTCCCATGCAATCGAGGAACAGCGCCAGCATAATGTACAAGATTTCGGTCCCTCTACCACACAACTCCGACAACCTGGCATATCAAATAGGGATCCTGACGAGTCTCAAGGGGAGGAAATAGATACAGGTATTCGATTTGACGAGAGGCTTCCGGCTGATCCAATGTTGGAGTCGATGGAATTTCCTTTGAATTTTGACTATGACCCCGATACGGATGTGACGGTCTACCTGAACAGTCTACTGTCCGGATCATATAGTGGCAACTTGGGGCCCTCGTGAACCTGATGATTACGATCAGCCGAGAACCTTAAGAGCATTCTATAGTACTCTCAAAGTAGCGTGATTCACGTGCAATTTTTCCCGGACAAATGGTTAGGAAATTGTCCGATCGCCGCTCTCATACCATCTAAAGTCGAAGTCCAATCGACCTCCTTCAATTCTGCCACCATCCCAAGCCTCCAAGGCCGTCTCGCAGCGACCAAATTCCTCCGTGTTCTATTGCTCGGGACTGCGGGTAATAGCCAGAGAGCGAAGCTTCCGGTAACCCTCACACAGCATGTATGACAGTCTCCAAAAGCACAAGGTTCACTGATTCTTTAGATATACAGCGTTACAGCACATTTCAGTTCATAGAACATCGAATCTTAACCAACGGTCAAACTCGACGAAGCGCTTCGCCGGCACGCACACCTAGAGAAATTGCTTGAAACACAATCTCAGCATGGGCGCTTTCTCTGAGAGTGACTTTGACGCCGTTGGGGGCAAAGTGTTGAGCCCGTCCACGCTGGCGCACGTCGTCCTACGCACCAGCAACTCCAGGAAGATGGTTGAATTCTATGTGAAGTTCCTGGGCGGCACTATCACTTTTGGCAACGACTTCATCTCCTTTGTCACTTATGATGAAGAACACCACAGAATCGCGCTTATCAATATACCAGGCTCAGAGCCTAAAGCTCATGCTTCTGGCCTAGAGCACATTGCTTTCACTTTTCCTACATTGTCGGCATTACTTCTCGCACACCGACAACGTAAAGCTCTGGGAATTTTTCCATTCTGGTGCGTCAACCATGGACCGACGACTTCTGTCTACTACAAAGACCCCGACGGCAACAAGCTTGAGACGCAGGTAGACAACTTTCCTACCGTCGAAGAAGCCAACGAGTTCATGAACGGTAGCTACTTTGCCGAGAACCCTATTGGTACCGATTTTGATGCAGAAGAATTATTACAGAAGATCAAGGAGGAAGTGCCGGACGCTGAACTAAAGAGGCGAGTCGAGATAGGCCCAAGAGCTCTCCCTGACTTGGGTTCTATGTAGGACTACGGTTTGGCTTCCCCTGGGACATAAGTGTTTGTCCTTAGACACAATCAGGTATACCACCAGTACTGAGACCAAAATTCAAAGCCACTCAGAGTCTCCCGATTTAGTTCGTGGACTGTCACGGAGACAGTCGGGCGTAGCAGTCGTGATCCATGGATGTGGTAACCTACTCACTTTACAGCCCATTCGCAGAGGCTGGCCGCTAAACATGCCACGTTACGTAACGAGCAGCAATACACTGAGCGAATTTCTACTTTCGCCGAAAGAAAATAGTATTGTAGATGCTTCCGCATGGTAGACTTCTCAGCCTAGTAGCCCTCCGTCGACTCGAAAGGTTGACGCTGTTATATATTTGGACTCGTCGCTTAGCAAATATGCAAACATAGTCGCAATCTCATCGGGCTCGCGGACCCTCGCGATCGGTACTCTGTCAAAGACGCCGAGCTTGCCAGACTCAACGGCACCAAACGAGGCAATCATCGGAGTCGCTATTACACCACTGCATGGTTTGACTCAGCTCGTATCCTGTTCGACTTTCAAATGATGTCAGACTGGGAAACACTTACGGTGCGATGGAGTTGACACGGATATTCCTTTTACCTACTTCCTTTGCTGCGCTTTTTGTCAACCCAATGACTCCATGTTTGCTGGCCGAGTAGGCACCGTTCTTGCCGTGGCCCTCCAGACCAACCACACTCGTAGTATTAACAAGGCTTCCGCCATCCGTCATGACTCTTAATTGTGCGCGCATACAGTAGAACAGACCAGTCAAATTTGTCCCATGGATCAAATCCCACTCGTCGTTGGACAACTCCGTGAGGTCCAGAACGCCATAACCCTTCCCTATTATGCCAGCGATGTTCGCGGCTCCGTCTAATCTTCCAAAATGGTCAACTGTTTTCGCGATCCAAGCATCGACCTGGTCGCTGGACCGAATGTCTCCAGCTGTAATCATGATACGGTCTTCGAATGAAGCTTGCTTGCCGGAGACACCACCAACAATTTCTACCACGGCCGCATCAAGAGCTTGCTGTCGGAGGTCGAGCAGAGACAGGTTCGCTCCTCTGGAATAAAGTAGTTTGGCGGTTGCAAGACCCATTCCCGAGGCTGCACCTGTAATGGTGATAACTTTGCTTGTGAGAAGCGCCATCGTCAAGCGCCCGATATCTCGTCGATTGCTATACAGCGGCTTAGACAAGCAGCTGACAATTTGCCTCAGGCCTCGAGCTGCTACAAGATCGTCGCTATGATATCCCGAAGCGATATCCAAGCCGAAGCCAATAAGAGAGAGAAACAGCCAATGCGGCATGCGGAGGAACTAGGTTAAACGAAGGCTTCGACATGGAAGAGAAGATGTGCCGCACCTCAAACATATGCACGTTACTTCTAATCCACGACTTGCCGTGTCACGAAATTGTCCGTCGATATAGAATGCGAACTGCAGTGGAGTTAGGCCGCAGCTTGGAGTGGGGAACCTTGAGTCGTTGCTGGGGTAGATTGTCCGGGGTTCACACTGAGATTGGCTTTGGATAGATCCTCCGTCAGCTGTACCTTTGAGACAATTGCGTTCAACGTCGAATCACACACGGCACCAAGCTATATCTGCAGGAACATATAATGACCCCTGACCACTCTACTAGGTAGCTTCCCTCCTTTTATCTGAAAATCATTGCTGTGAAGACGTTACACCACTAGGATCTTTTATACGATCGTCGAAGATGGTGAACTTGACTGGATACAATTTCGCGATCGCGTTGTTCGTCGCTGCGGGAGGATATACTTATGCATATGCATACGCTGTCTTCGCCACAGTTATTGGAGAGCCTGGGTTCTACTCATACTTCAATCTCGACCGTATGTGTCATATATCTGCAGGAGTGCCAGAACCCTACTGGCTGACACTGTCCTATAGCTACCAGTGATTATGCTGCAAGTATCATCGGAGCCATGAGCGCTCTCTTTGCGGCTGGGGCCGGTATTGGGGCTCTTGTACAGGGATGGACCAGCGATTGGCTCGGGCGAAGGCTGGCTCTGGCGGTCGCTTCGATCATCTCCCTAGTTGGTTCCGCCTGCGTCGCGGGCGCGGTCAATGTTGCGATGTTCATCGTCTTCCGCTTTGTGCAGGGTTTCGGCCTTGGCCAGTGCTTTGCTATGGTCCCTCTCTATACGACAGAGGTCGCCCCTCCACACAGAAGAGGTCTGTTGGCTGGTCTTACCGGTGCCAGCATCGTCACTGGATATGTCACGTAAGTAGTATCCAAGGCGACCGATCATGGGAGTCGACCCACTGATACCCTACAGGTCAGCTTGGGTAGGATATGGTGCCTACTTCGCTAAGGATCCGACCATGCAATGGCGCCTTCCACTAGGCATATCATGCCTTGCGCCCCTCTTGCTTCTAATCGGCACCTATTGGATCCCCGAGTCGCCACGATATCTCACTCTTGTTGGTCGAAAGGAGGAAGCCCTAGAAATCCTTTTGAAGATTCACCACGATCCGAATGACTCCAACGACACCGCTGCACATGCCGAAGCACTTCAGATCTCAAGACAGGTCGACTTCGACAAAGAACAGAAGTCTGGATATCTTGAGATGCTCAAAAAACCATCCTGGAGGAAGCGATCACTAATTGCCTTTGGACTGATGTTTGCGACGCAATCAACGGGATGCTTGGGTATCACGACGTTCCAGGTTGTCATCTACGAGGCCTTGGGGCTCGAAAACTCGATGCCACTTCTCATGTATGGGGTCTACGTCACTGTCGCAGCTGTCTTCAACTACGCAGGAGCGTATTCGGTAGACCTGGTAGGGCGACGACGCATGTTCTGTAAGTCGACCAGGTCTTTACACCTAATGCTTGCGCGCTGGCTAATGAATTGGCTACTAGTGATTGGATATCCATTGATTGCAGTTATCCTCCTGATAGAAGCTCTTCTCCAGAAGTCCTTCGTGGGCACAACCAACCAAGGCGGCAACGCGGCGTGCGTCGTATTTGTCTTCCTGTACATCAGTGCCTACAGCTTCTTCTTAGACCCTGCCCAGTTCGTCTATGTCTCGGAAATCTTTCCTACCACAATCCGAGCAAAAGGCGTGGGAATCGCATTCTTTGCATACTTTGTGGGTGCCATCACGTACACAGCGCCGGCCGCTGTCGCCTTCAAAAATATTGGTTGGAAGATGTACATGGTGTGGTTCTCCTGCAACATTGTCTCCACAATCCTGATCTACTTTTTCATTCCCGAGACAACGGGCATCTCGCTGGAAGAGATTGGAGCTCTCTTTGGTGACAAGGTGGTGCTTCATATGGCCAATGATGGCCACATCGTGGAGCTCGAAAACAAGACTGAGAATCTCACCGGAAATGGTGACAGGGTGTCCAGCAGTGGGAAAGAAGGCACCCACTCAGGCGAATTCGAATTCGCTGGAAAGTAAAGGGCCAACCTGCATAGTCTGGGACCTCTAAAATCTGATGTCTCACTATGAAACGGTGCCGGAGCTGAAGCCTGCACTGCGTGTTGTTATCTACTAGCAAAGCAGGAAATTGGGAACGGAAGGAGGCAAAATCTCATTAAGATACTGCATCGAAGGTCGTAATGGAACGAGAATCAGGCTGTGGCAGGGTTATCGCTTCTGCCTCTCTAAAAAGCCTTCGATGCGGGCATTATTTTAGTGGTGTAAATCATAGCGTGCTACACTAACTTCTGGTTCCCTACCGTACTGTATATTCATGGGCTGGTAGGGCTGAGCCCTTAGCCCTAGGAGGTTAGCAGTAAATTGATGATATATACACTTCCATGCTTTTCCTACATATAATCTTTAAAGTACAACTGATTCGCTGATCGGCTGTGATGCATTGGGCTTCGATAAATCTCGATCTCTGATTACGATAGTGCTGAGTAGACAAACACCGATGAACGGGACCCAGGAAATGAACACGGCCCGAGAAGCCATCATGTAGGCCTTGAGTAAGATGTCGACATCTGTGGTTGACAAGAGTGAGAGGTCCGGAAGAACATACATCGAGAGCGAGACGTCTACCGCTGCTGTGTCAGAAGCTTGATGAGCGTGTCGACGGTATACGTTGGTGTATATGCCTCCTTTAGGTCTAGACGTTGTGGCTTGTAGAAGTCGCCTCTGGTTCGATGGGTGTTGGAAAGCTCTCTCAGTGCCAGTGCACAACGTTGGGCATTAGATGTGGACATACATAACACATCTGTGTGGAACGGGAACCTACACTCAGAGAATCCGCGCGAAAGAAGCGCCCTGCAAGATCAACGAGACCAATTCATACTCGTTGTCTCTTGCCGATCTTCCGTATCCGAGACCACAAGATTGTCTACTTGATAAGGCTATACTACCGGAGTGGAGACTATCGGCGCTTGGAAAACATAGTTTCGGATGATCGGTCGTCCATTGTTGATAAGAGAAAAAGAGGGCGACACCAGACTTCTTGACCGAGCCAGTGGTCAGATCGTTGAAAGTTCGTCCATCCTGCATCTGCACGGCCGAATCAGGGAGTAACGCATATCGTCTTTGCAAAGAATATCGAGGAGGTGAACATGCGATCGTGTCTTCGAAGAAGTTGCAAGACGATTCAACCTTTCGACGGACAAGCCCGAGTATAAGTGAGCAAACACGGAGAAGTCGGCGTATTTCTGCCCAACATCGATCATTATCGCACATACATCATCATGCCAACAAAGATCAGTCTCGGCGCGCCCTGGCAAGAACGAAGTACCGCAAAGAAGAACTCGGTTTTCGATGGAGTGCCTTTTCAATTCATACATTCCGTACTTGAATTTCGAGACGACGATGCTTCATCCGTGCTGGACGTCCCCTCCAGATTCCTGTCCCTGGAAGAACTCTCGATCACGGCACTTAATGCTGTAGGTATAGTCAGAGTAATTGCAAGCAAGAAATACACATGTGTTCAAGTCTTGGACGCCTTCACCCATCGAGCGGCGATCGCCCACAGACTTCTCAACTGCTGCCTCGAATTTAGGTATGATGCTGCCCATGCAGAAGCTGAGAGGCTCGACCGTCACTACGAGGAAACGGGAAAGCTGGTAGGTCCTCTACACGGCTTACCTATCTCCGTCAAGGATCAATGTCGGATCATTGGCACCGAAACGACTTGTGGTTTTGTTGCCAATGTTGGAGTGGTGGACACCGAGAACTCTGTGTTGGTTGACATCCTGATGCGTGCTGGAGCGGTCATTTTTGTCAAGACCAATTTGAGTATTGGATGTTCCTGGGGTGAAACGATCAACAAGTAAGACCATATCTTACGCATCTCGTGCAAAAGTGACTGACAAGTACTTTAAAGTGTGATTGGGCATACTTCGAACCCGTTCAATCGATCCTTCTCCTGTGGTGGCTCAAGTGGCGGAGTAGGTGCATTACTGGGCATTCATGGCAGTCCCATGGGTGTTGGATCCGACCTTGGAGGGTCGATACGAAGTCCTTCTGCCTACCAAGGCCTCTGGGGTCTACGTCCATCAACGGGCCGCATCCCGTACTATAAGATGCTCAACAGCATGGAGGGCAACGAAATTGTCGAATCCGTCGTAGGTCCCATGTCTCACTCACCTGAGTCTCTCGAACTATTCGTCCGGACCGTCGTCGACTCGCAGCCCTGGCTGCATGATCCCAAATGCCACCCGTTGCCATGGCGAGAGCATGAATTCCAGAAGATCACCGCCGGTGGCAGGAAACTTCGCATCGGAGTCATGTCCTGGGATGGCTGTGTTTTACCACAGCCACCGGTTTGACGCGCCATAAATGAGGTGGTGAGCAAGCTAGAAGCGGCCGGCCACGAAGTTGTCCCTTGGAAAGTCGACCAGACAAAGGCTTTGGCACTCTTGACAAGAGCATTGACATGTGATGGTCGTGGCGATCATGACAGAACCATCGCCAGATCCGGAGAGCCTGACCTGAACCTGTTCTTTCGCTCGTCCCAATCACCCGACACGTTACTCGAGAATTGGGCGCTCGCAATGGAAAGGAACGACTTCAGAGCTTCGGTGCTCGAACAGTGGAACGCCACCGCAGATGAGAATGGTGTCCCCATCGACGTGTATCTGACGCCAGTGAACCCTTCCGTATGTCCCAAGCACGGCGACTACAAACGAGTCAGATACCTTGGGTACACGGGAACGGTAAATTGTCTGGATTTCACTGCTTGCACCGTCCCAGTCACTTTCGTCGATGAAGAGACGGACCTCGCAGATGCAGAAGATGGCAAGCACGATGCTCGAGGGGACGAGATACCCGAACCACAGTCTGACCTGGACAGGGCGATCAGAGAGAATTATCGGCCGGAGATCTATGGCGGACTGCCGGTGACACTCCAGAGAAAGTCCTAGGTGTTGCGCAGGTCGTTCGGAAACTGTTGTGATTGCGTTGACGAAGCTGAATCTACCCAAGTGACGCCGATGCTGCGAAAGGCGCTTTCATAAAACATGATATATTATCGCAATAACACCTGGTGGGTTGTCTGTCGTCAGCGTGGCTCAGCGGCACCAGGGGGTGCCATGCGTAAACTTAACCACATCCAGGCTATCCTTGGCTGGCTGAGGGCATGTTCCGGGCTGGTCTAAGTTAGGCTTCTCTCTACCCTAAGGGGCCTAACCTGTTTGGTTGTTCAACCTGCGAAAGATTTCTCTTTCGGGTAGGTACAGTGACAATTGGGGTTAGTTTACAGTACCTGTGATCATTTCCCCTCATTTTCACATGTTTTGCAGGTGTTTACCGTACACTAAGGTATCCACGCTGACCCCCAAGCCCCCTACCTAACTTACTACGTATAACTTACAGAGAGAAGTTGCAGGTCATTCCGCCGCGGCGATAGGCCTGTTGGAGGGCGCGTTTCATCATGCGTTCCAAGAATGACCGTATCACAAGATTCAATTGGTGCCCGTGGCTATTTTTGAAACCCCTTTGGCAAATGTGCTTTTCTTCTTTTCGCGCTCCTTTTCCATTCGTTGATGAACCCCTTGGTCTCGAAATCGAATTCCCCCGCCACATGCTGTGCGATGATTACCTGGCTTACGCCCGTTGCTTTTGCGCAGTTCGCATTGGACGCGTGTAGACTCCGATGTTTTGTTGAGGCTGGTGCGGTCAAACAAAGGGGAACATGACGGAATACGCAACAAAGCCCCTTGTCCGTCTCAAAACCAGGTCAACGGCCGGATGGCTGCACATGCAACAGGCTCCTGCCAAGGTGAAACGAGGACGGAACATGAGCGAGTCGCGCAGACGAGAACTTTGTGCTAAGCGTTAACGTTAGGGATTCAGCTGCTGTTCCCAGCGAGAGAGTAAGCCCAAACCCTGCTGCTCCTCACCTCGTATTTCTGCTTCGTGTCCCTCGGATTCTTTGATATAAGTCGAGGTCATCTTCACCGTCTTATCCACCCAACAAAGTACTGCCTCCCATACACTACTTCTCTTCACAACAACAAACCATCGCATCGCAAGAAGACCAAATCAGTACACCTAATCGTCCACAATATCACACTCACCACACACAAAGATGGTGGCCAGACTCGGCAACCTCTCCGCCCTGAAAGACTTCCTCTCCTTCCTGGCCACTGTATCGGGGGATATCTCGCACGTCACCGCACCACCATTTATACTCGCACCATCATCCCTCACAGAATTTCCCAGCTACTGGGCCGAACGACCGTCGTTATTCACGGCACCAGCACACGAATCTTCACCGGAGAGACGGGCCCTGCTCGTCTTGAAATTGTACCTCGCCTCACTGCAGCGGCAGTATTATGTCGGTCGTACCGTGCAGGAGGGATTGAAGAAACCACTCAACTCGTTCTTGGGGGAATTGTTCTTCTGTGATTTTACCGACTATGATTTGACCTCGGAAAAAGAATCGACCTCCACGGTTCGTGTCGTTGGCGAACAAGTCTCCCACCACCCACCCACCACGGCGTGTTACCTGTCTGCCGACGACGATGGCGTGCATGCTGAAGCATATTCGACACAAAATACGAGCCTGTCTGGAACGTCAGTCGTGGTCCGTCAATCGGGTCATGCACTTTTCACCCTGGACAAATATAACGAGACATATTTGTTTCCGCTACCGGACGTGAATGTTCGTGGGGTCATGTCTGGTTTCCCCTGGCCAGAATTGAACGACGTTTATAAGATTGTCAGCACAAGTGGTTTCACCGCGGAAATGACGTTCATCGGCAAGAAGTTCTGGCGTGGTGAGCGAAATTGTTTTGAAGCGTCTATCTATCGAACAGCAGATGAGCATAAGAAGGCCATCTTCACCCTGACAGGAAACTGGAGCTCGCGGTTTTCCATCTTCGACTCGGCAGGCAAGGAGATCGAGGTTTTTGACCTTGCAGAGCCCAAGAACCTGCCTGTTCCGATGAACATTACACCCATAGACCAGCAGAGCCCCTGGGAGTCAAGACGAGCTTGGCAGGCGACTTTTGACGCCATCCGAAAGGGCGATCAGGGCAGCGTTGTAAGAGAAAAGTCCAAGGTCGAGGATGCCCAGAGGCAGATGCGGAAGAAAGAGAAGACCGAGGGCAAGAAATGGGAGACCATGTTCTTTACTCGTACTGACGACGTGGAGGATGACTCGGACGCGTTGCAGAAGCTTTTCGACCAATATGAAGACAGCGAGGTCGACCGATTACGCGGGACCAACGGATGCTGGAGTTTTGACACAGAGAAGGAAAAGAGGTGGAAGAACGGTCAAGGAAGCTCGAGAGCCGAAACACCACTTGGTTGAGATGACTCCTCTTTCAGATCATTATAAATTACCATCTTCCCAGCACCAGTGGAGGCCAACGACCAAGTTCCGATTGCTGCAGATATGTTGCCCGAACGATGTTTTCGACGACCCGAAGGTCAGTAATGAGGCAGATGGTTCGGCTCGGTGACTGCAAGGGTCGTGCTCCGAGCGCCGCATCGATCGGCCTCTTTGCCCAGATGGTCGGATCACGAGCGATTTTCGGGCATCGCCGCGAGAAGGGATGCGCAAGGTACAGCCACATGTTGGAGGTTGTGGCTCCTGGCATTACGTCCGCTGGGCTCTTTCAGTCACGTAGACTTGGTCACCGATACGCAGTACAGCACCGGAAGGACCGGCAAAGGCGTATTGGCCAAAGACAGGCTTGTCTGTGGAAGAATCAGACAAACCTTAGAGACGTTGAATAGCATACGAGACTTACGAGGAAACTTGTCGTTGACTCTTCGATCACTTGCCAACAACCCATAAAGCTGTCGACTTCGATGGATCATTTCGCCCGTCTCGGGGTCTGCGTTAAGACTGAGACAACGTACTGTGCGAAAGATACACTTGATGGTAACTTCCTGTGCTTCGTCTGCCTGGGATCGAACCAAAAGAGAGGACCAGTTGTCCTCGTCGTAGGGTGGAAGCTGGCCTTTGACGTCTATGTGGATGTTTGGTCTGAGGCGGACAATGACGTCTTCATGCTGCCATTCTTTTGGAAGCCGGGATCGAGCGTCCTCTTCGGAAGCGGTCGAGGTGATGAGAAGTGGTGCAGCATCGGCGAAACGGATGCGTTGAGGCTGCAGTCCTTCTCGAAGAGCTAGGGAGAGGGCATTGTGCTCACTGGGTACGTAGGCTGCCCCGGGAATCTCACGGCGCCCTGTACCTCCGATGGATAAGAGCCGTACATCTTGACCAATGTGTTTTGAGAAGAAATTGGCTGGTTCTTCGCCTAGGTCAATGCCGATGGCTGTGGTGCCGAAAATGCTGACTTCGTAGGTTTTATTTTGAAGAAGAGAGAGTGGTGAGGGCGTAAGAGGGACACTTATGGCTGGGGGCGAATTTGAATGAAGGTGGCTGATGGTGAGCTTAGTCCAGGAGTCGTCAATGACAGGTTTAAATAGCATCAGCTTAAAATGTTTCTTGATGGTCAGGAATTTGGCCTCGCGCGAGTTGTCCTTGGGAGGAGTGACGAGGACGAAGCATCGATCGAAGCGAAGACCTTCATTGGTAAGTTCGACGGAAGAGACTTGGACTGGCGGCAGAGATTTGACTGGATAGATGAACAACTACAGTAATGCGGTATCAGTCGATGAGTTCATCAATAGTACGAGCAGTACCATTGTTGACTTACTCGCTGAATGGTCAGAGTCGTAGACATTTGATGATGGGCAACGATCACCCGCAAAATGCCTGGCTAGCCGAATTGGGCAGCCATCAGCGAAAAGGAGGAAAAGGAGGTTAAAAGGAAAAGAAGAAAAGAACCGGAAGAGGGAGGCGAGGGCGAGATAATTAATTAATCCATTAGTGTCCATAAGTCCAAGACAATGAACGCCTCGCCTCCTCCTCTTCTCCGGCTTGGACCATTTCTGTCACACTGCAGTGCAGGAAATCCCCTCACTCCAATGTTTGTCATCATTGCAGATTCTTGTAGAAATTCATGTCCAAGCGCCAATGATAATGAAACAAATGCATAGACGAGAATTCGAGTCAGAGTTGCATCTAAGACACCTAAACTCGTATTTAATTCCACCCGCATCCGCAGCCGAAGTCTGAACGGTCACGTGGTCTTGATCCAATCATACTTGGACAGTTTCAATCTCGCTGACTCTTTTCCTTTTCCTGTCATCTCTCATTACATCCGTCGCCTTCCACCACCAAGAAACTCCTGTCAGATGAGAACGCCATGTCTTGATTGATATCGATATCACGAAATATACTTCCCTGAATACCGTCAATCGTCCCGAATCTTGTCTGGCATAGGCTTGTTGCCTTTAATGCAGTCTTTTAGAACCCCCAATTGGGAAATACTCGCTGTGGGGGAAGCCGAACCATCTTTGTCACACCAGGGCGTTTGACCCTCTGGCGGATCCTCAAGCGAAGCATTGAACCTTCTCCCGCATGGCAACCACCACTCTTGATACTGCAGCAGCTGTGTCCGAGAAAGCCTGTCATGCCTGCCGACAACGTCGTGTGAAGGTGAGGAAGCCCTATCAAAGCCTCGCCACTTTCATTCCCTGCTGACATAGTTTTAGTGTGACAAGAGATTACCAGGCTGTTTGCGGTGTGAGAAGCTAGGCAGACCATGTACCGGCTACGACACCGAACGCAAATTCCTTGATGAAGGCATAAAGGTGCGAAGGAAATATGATGGCGCCTTCCAAACCATTCCAGACCTGTCAAGGGGGGCTACGTCTACACCTCCTCTTAATCTTGTAAGACCCTCCGGCCTGCTCACGCAATTCCATGCTGACAAGTCGCAGACGACAGCCACACCAGCACGCAATGAACCACAGCAGACCTCTGCACGGCCAACTCCTAGCAATCTAAATCGAAATCAACCCAACCCACCCATTCCTCAGATCATTTCACCACCCATCACGTCTTCCCCAAGTCTTCCGGGCATCTCCTCGATCAACGCAAGGTCATCCGATCCTAACGTACAGTATCCTCTGTTTGGGGTCAGCAACCAACCAAGCCCAGGCTACAATATATTTCAACACAATCGCCGGCCGCAACCAATTTTCGCGCCTCCTTCTCCCCAACCCTCATCGAATGTGCCGCCCTTAATCCCGCCATCCAACTTCCAATATCCTCTACACGATCACGAACAGCTTCAGTATGGTCAAGACCACAGTACAGCAAAGCTGATCTCAGGGAAACCGCAGTACGCTCCATCTGAAACCGACACTTACGTCAGTGAAGACTACTTTGACCTTGATATTGATACCTATTATGCCAAGGGCAATAATGCTTGCGGTTTCATTCCTGGCCTTCCTGTGATCCTCACAGACACTACTGGGCCTGAAACTGACGAAGATTTTCTGACAAATGACTATGCCTCGCTTAGTGGCAGGTCTTCTGTTTACGATGGATCCGAAGGCGGGCGAAAGCGGCCGGAGTACAGCCAGAAATATCTACATGAACGAATGACGGAGTTGGCTGGCCTCACTAGGCATTTCGTCCAGGAAGTGTCTCCGTCGATGGATCTCTTTGACCTGGACACCTACTTTAGCAGGATAGTGCCGTTGAAAGCGGTTCAAAATGTCATGTTACGGTCCGCAATGGCAGCGGTGGCCGCCAATCAAATTGGCCAACTCCTGGCCAGGGGCGCTGCCAAAGAGGATTTGCAGCACCTCCTGCCTATTCTAGGAGATGGCGGCGTGGATCAACACACAGATTGGTTCTACAAGGCCGCCAATTACTACGACAGAGGCATCTCGTACTTGAGAATCTTCCTGCAACGTTGGTTGAGTGATACCAGCAACGACTTGACCGGCCATGCTTCGAGATATAACGCTGTGAGGAATTTGTCCGATGCGAGCAGTAAAGACTCGTCCACACTGGGTGTAACCAACAAGAGACGACGCATCAGCAGACAAGCAACCACGGATGGTGCTGATATGGAAGCTCTAGTCGCCGCCATATCAGTCTTCTCCCTATACGAGTCAGTCGACAATCCCACGGACGACTGGTCCCAGCATCTCGATGGTTTTAAGGCTCTTTTGGAGACTAAGATCCTCCCTCAAGCCATGTCTGCGCCGAGTCTCCGACCGGGGCCCTTCATATCCATGAAAGCCGGTCGAGCGGCATTCTGGAATTTCGCTCGAGCTGACTATCTTGCAGCTTATATCAACCACTCCAAGACCAAGCTTGACCCGGACAATTTGACCATGTTCAAAGCCGCTGGTCTACCACTGACTGAAGATGGAACGCTTACCTACAATGATCCTTCCGCACCCATAAGCACCATCGTCTTCAACCAACCCGGAGACAGGGAAGACGTGGTGGCGTGTACGCTCATCTGGATAGTACTACGGGTCATGAACTTTGTTGCTCCTCAGGACGAGTCTTCGAACAGCACGACCGGCACTCCGCAAATGTTTGAGACTCCGGGCACAGTAGGGTTCAAGTCTGCCTCAGAGGCTGGCACGCCAACCCCGATCCAAACACGAATTGCTCGATGGAAGATGTTGCGACGGCAGCTCGAGGAATGGTACGATAATCTGCCATTTACCTTTCAACCATATGCAATGATGGGCGCAGGCTCGCAACATCCATTTGAGCCACCTTCGGAACAGCGACCGCGATTCACCAGAATCTTCTTCAGCGTCGCTATGTGTGCTGCAGCTTTACAGCTTTATCACTTCGCCCAGATCTTGCTTTTATTGAATCAGCCGGTCGACGAAGGCGATACGAGGAATATAGCCAATCGGATACGCATGTTCCGAAAGGTCTCAGAGGAACTGGAATATCACAGTCGGCAAATATGTGGCATCGCGCTGGGAAAGCCTCCGCCTGCCGTGGCCCGCCAGATGGTTCATTCACTTTACCTTGCTGGGTTGTGCTTCGAAGAGAGAGACGATAGGGTCGTGGTCCTGGAACTTTTGGGTAACATCGAGAAGGAGACGGGAGCTTCGACAGCACAAAGAGTAAGGGAGCTGAGAGATCAATGGGGTTGGGACGGTGAAATTCGAGAAATTGATTAAAAAGGACAGACTCAATGCGTCGTCAGAATATGTGTCGAGATGTGTCGGAAGCTTGGCCAGTCTTGGATATTGTATTTGTATATAATGAGTTACGGCATAATCTAATGGCTTTAAGGGACATGCACAATCTGCTCCAGAACTTGATCGTTCCTAAGCCGATCCCTGACTGCGTGACACCACCGGATATAAGTTTCTCTCGGACTAACAAGAGACCTTTGAACTCCTCTTATGCGAGCGGTCGATTCCGACGCGATACCTCCATCCTCAAGACTAACCAGGTTGAGTGTGCGAGGGCGAGGCCCACGCTGTGAAGCATCGTTTCCGTGATTACGTGGAGAAGAAACCGTGGACATTTACAGTTGGTCCCTTTGCATGGAGGTGAAATCATTACAGGGTCATAACATATTCAGGTATATCATGCAGTCGTCTCGACATAGTATATGTAAGAGTGGGAGTGAGTGGAACGAAAAGCAGATAAAACGACGTACGCCAAGTCAACCGTGAGTAAACCTTACTCATTGGAACTCAACCCCTTCCCTTTTCGGACCTTCTCGGTTTCTTCTCTCACTCTCATGCCCAGCGTGGGATTCACGCGCTCGAACATACCGTACGTGCGATCACGGACAGGCTTGATCGCGGCAAACAAGTGCACGGAGATATTGTGGACAAGATGGTCCTGCTGATTGGGTGTGCAACCGAGCACTTCCCACAGACTGTTCGCCTGGACGAAGTCCTCGTCCGTCACGGGCTGGAGATTGTACACTGCTTGGCCGACCCATGTCTCGTGTTGGAGCGTGGTGTCGATCTGTGCGTACGTGTTGGGTCTCAGGGGAGACGGGTAGTTGGGAAGGGAGCCGTAGTTGGTGGATGTCACCATTGAGCCGTCGCGTTGGAAGCTGTGCGCGTTCAAATTAGCATGATGTTGGCGGGAGAGAGTAAAGGGGGGAGGGCAAGACTTACGGCGCGAATGCATGCAGAGGCTTGTTCACGGGAATTTGCTGGTAATTCACGCCCAGACGGTGGCGGTGCGTGTCGGAGTACGAGAACAGTCTGGCCTGCAGCATGGGATCGGCGGAAGGTTCAACGCCGGGGATCAGGTGTGCGGGCGAAAAGGCCAATTGCTCGACCTCCGCGAAGTAATTGTCTGGATTGTGATTGAGGGTCATCTTCCCTACGGGCCGTAAGGGTACGTCGGAGTGTGGCCACACTTTTGTGACATCGAAAATGTTGAAGCGGAAGTTTTCGGCCTCTTTGGGGTCAAGGATTTGCACATAGAGAGTCCAGCTTGGGAACTCGCCGCGCTGGATGGCTTCGAAGAGATCCTCCGTTGCGTGGTCTGGGTTCGTCTTGCTGAGCTCCGCGGCTTCTTCGTTCGTGAGGTCCTTGTGGCCCTGGTCCGTCTTGAAGTGGAACTTGACGTACTTGAATGTGCCGTCCGCTTTGGTGAATTTGAAGGTGTGGCCCGAGAAGGCGTCAACGTTACGGTATGAGGCGGGCGTGCCACGGTCTGAAAAGAGCTGGACGACTTGGTGTACTGATTCTTGATTGCTGGACAAGAAGTCCCAGAACATGGTCGCATCCTTAAGATTCGTGCGCGGGTTGCGTTTTTGTGTGTGGATGAAGGTTGGGAACTTGACACCGTCGCGGATGAAGAAGATGGGCGTGTGGTTGCACACAATGTCCCAATTGCCCTCTTCCGTGTAGAACTTGATGGCGAAGCCGCGAGGGTCGCGTGCTGAGTCGGAGGAGCCCTTTTCGCCGCCGACCGTCGAGAAGCGGACAGCGACTTTGGTCTTTTTGCCCACGGCACTGAAGATGTCGGCAGAGGTCTAGGCATGCGTCAGCATCAAATGGTTTCGAGAGGGAGGTAAGTCATACAAGGTCAGTGATGTCGTGGGTCACGACGAATTCACCGAATGCTCCTGCGCCTTTGGCATGGACCACCCGTTCGGGGATACGTTCTCTGTCAAAGTGTGCGAGAAGGTCGATGAGGTGGAAGTCCTGGAGGAGGATGGGTCCATGGCTGCCGACTGTTTGTGATGCGGTGGCATAGGTGATTGGCCGACCATTCGAAGTCGTGTATAGGGGAGCTGCGGTTGTCATGGTGGTCGTCTGGGTCTCTTCGGCTGCTTCTGCGATAATTGCACGCGGCAGTCTTGTGTCGGTTTGGGATATCGTTCGAACCTCAACCCCATGACGGCGGCCATCTTGGTTGATATATGTATGTACTCTCCTTACCCTGTGAGCAACTTCTCAGACATTTCACGGCAATCACGGCATTGTCGCATCGACTCGTAAGCGTTGGTCACCGCAGTGCTGACGAAACCAGTATCTCCTATTTGAGCAACGATGTTGATGTTGAGTGCAAGGCGCGCATAAGGAAGTTGTTACTTGCTGCTTTGTAACATGCGTGAGGTCGGTTAATCTGGCGAGACAAGCGAATATCCATCGCTCTTGGCTTCCGTATTTAGCAAGATCCTGCGAGTAGCGAGGTCGCACGTGCATCGCTCTCGCAATCCATATGTGGCAATCCCCCGTCAAATCTTTTCTCCGGTTGACGGCCAGATCTACTTTCGCCCTTCTTACCAACTCGCGCTGACGTTGCTAAATTTCGCACGTCTTTTTCTACGGGTAGAATAGGAATCTGATTAGCTGGCCCCTGACAGATTTGAGATGAATCTGTACCTGAAAAACGATAATGACGGAAGTATCTGCACCATCCTCCGCATATTATTTTCGCCGTGGGTCTCCGTGGCCGTTGCTCGGCCTTATCTATTCAACAGCTGGGCTTGATGACTGCTGTCAAGAATGTATAAGACTTATCGAGTCCCCGTGGGTATCCTGACGGTAGGTCACCCTCAATCAAGTCTCCATATCGCTCTACCATAGATCCACCACATTGAAACGCGTGTCTACGCACTCGCATAGAGATGTCGACACCAACAGTACAGGTCCTCGGCGTATCTGCCGTTGAGGACTCGCTTTCAAGCCTCAAAGCCTTATCGCAGAGCCAGAGATTAAGACTGCACGGTCGCATCTCGATATTCAACCAAGACAACTCCTTCGATCAAGTCACGATCCGTCTACAAGGCGCCATACGCACCAAGATCGGATCACAAGTCGCCGTTGAAAACCTGTCCTCCTCAATCAAAGTAATGTCAAACCTGGACTTCAAACCCGCATACTCGGCGTCGCGCAATCATACCGAGGAACAACATCTCGACTTCATCTGTCCCATGCCAAACGTTTTGTGCAAATCTTCTCATTGCGCCGCATTCGATGGCTTCGTACCTTCCATGTCTCTCAAGGGCAACACATACGTCACTCAAGTTACAGCCACGACCAACCGACATCTCGTTCAGGGTCGATGCGACGTGGTATACTGGCTCGAGGCCGAGTTCCTACAATCCGCATCAAGCAAGGTAGTCCGCAAAGTAACCTGCCCAGTCGACGTCTCTTCGCTTCAGACACCGCTCGAAGCGGAAGTAGCGTCGCAAAGCCACTTCAGCCTGGTCGAGCGGATCGCAAAGCCACATATGCGCGCATTGCGACTCATCAACTCGCACTCCCAGCCCGAAGTCAGCATTCACATGCCCAAGAAGCTCGGCTACATCCTATCCGACTCATCTCGACTGGCTACAGGCTGCCGAAGTCTATGCATCCCCGTCTCCGTCAACGTCAGAATCCCTCCGCATGCCCGTCGACAAGCACAATCCCAGATCGACTCGCTCAGGTGCTCGGTCAAAACGCAATGGTACGCCAGGAAGACTTTCACCACGGGACACTCAGCAGTCGAGTCAAGAGTGGACAGCGCCACAGTATCGAAGCAGACATTGGCCCCTGTGCTGCCGCCACTGTACAATTCGACGAGCAATAAGGACACGATGTACACCACGCAAATGGAGCTGAATCTTCTTCTCCCAGAGTCTGCGACAGGTCCGTCAGTATCGACAGGTCTGTTGAAAGTCAGCTACACGCTCGATTTAGCCATGAAATTCGAAATTATGGGCAGTGATGGCGCGAAGAGTGCCTACAACGCGGACTTCAGTCTGCCTGTCACGCTGCGGCCTGCGCAACCCGAGTCGGTGATTAGTGGCCGTACTTTTGATCCACTGCTGGGTTATGTCGAGGAGGATGTACATTACGCGCCGCCGCCATATGTTTATTGAGTAGCGTTCAGGGTTGTGCTGTTTTGGAATTGAGCGATACTAGAGTGTTTTGCTTAGCGGGCCATGATAAACTAGATACCCCATGAAGTAATGAAGAAGTCTGTAGAAATCATGTTGAGTCATCCTGCATGTACATTGATACGTACCTGTAGAGTGCAATAAGACCTGTCAGGTGCGGTGACGAGTGGCAATGCATAACAACAATGGAACTTGTGTCCATGTGTCAACAACAAGAAAAGATGAAAGACTTTGAACCTCTTCCCGAAAGCTTTGCATGTAGCAAAGACAATGATGATAAGGCTAAGATGGTATTCCAAAAATTGTTGCACCTCTTCTCCAAAGCTTTGCACAAGGCAAAGACAATGATGAAAAGGATAATGACGCGTCACGAGGCAGAAGTGTAAGGCCTCAGACACGATTAAGATCACAAAGAAAATGTATCACGAAGCGGGAGTGTAAGGCCTCAGATACGTTGCCAGAAGGCAGATGTGCAAGCACATAGGAAGGGCAAGGGCAAGACGGAGGAGAATAAAGATGGCAACATTAGGAAGAGGAGGAAAGAAGGTAGGATAGTGAGAAGATAAGAATAAAAGGTGTATGAATAAGAAGCTAAGGCAAGAGACGATAAAAATAGGAGGTAGTAAGAATGAGAGGAGGTAAGAATAGGAAGAGGTAAGAATAGGAGAAGGTAAGACTAGGAAGAGGTAAGAATAGGAAGAGGTAAGAATAGGAAGAGGTAACAATAGGAAGAGGTAAGAATAGGAAGAGGTAAGACTAGGAGGAGGTAAGAATAGGAAGAGGTAAGACTAGGAGGAGGTAAGAATAGGAAGAGGTAAGAATAGGAGGGAGATAAGAATAAGGTATGTAAGAAGGTTCGTAGGTAGGTTGGTTGTGGGTGATTGACTGTATTGACTGTTGGCTGTTGGTGGTTGGTGGTTGTTGTCGGTGGTCGGTAGTAGGCGGTCGGTAAGGGGTGGTAGGTGGTAGGTAGGGTAGAAAGAAGATGGAAGAAGTTAGGTGGTATAGAAGAGAGAGAGAAGGAAGAAGATGAGGGACGGTAAAGAGAAGGAAAGAAAAAGGTAAAGGGCAAAGGGGCAAAAAAGATGTAGAAGTAGACGTTCATCGTCGACGACGCGTTCCCACCACACCTTGGGATAGGTGTGGGCGGCCAGCCCTGTCCCAGTGCTAATGAGCTGCCAGTTGCCTGGCATGACTCTTCGCGTGGCGCCCAAGGCCGGCACGCAAATGAGCTTCGTCGACGATGAACGGAGGGGGACGATGCCGACTCCTTGAGGCATCGGCCGACCCTGTAAGTACCAGTGCTGATGGAAGCTGAGCATCACTGCTGCAACTTAACCAACAGACACTGGCCTTTGAGGCATCGGCCGATCCTTCTACCAGTGCTTATAGGTGCTGAGCATTACTGCTGCAACTTCCCAAAAGGCACTGGCCAGGGGTCGGCAGCTCCAGGTGAAGGGATGGGAGAAGAAGAAAGTGTGGAAGTGGTGTGAAAGAAAATATGAAAGAGTGATGGAATGAGAACGAGAAAACGGCGGGAGAGCCAGATAATTATACCCAAGTAGAGGACATCAGATCAACCTGGGACTTGGCAACATCAGACTTCCTTCCGAAAAGATCAGAACAGGCAGTGAATTGTCAGGTAAAGATCCAAAGGTTGCTCAGAATTAGATCGGAGAAGGGGTGTGGTACCATATTCTTCAAAAGAACAACTAGTGGGTATTTGGGTGATATCCAACGGTTGGTGCGGATCAGCCAGCGGAGATGACAGTAAACGTCCAACGGTCGAACAAGATCAGATCAGTGATCTGCAACGCGGCGAACGATGCTGCCTGGTACCAAACCTTCGGGACGAGCACAACCAATACCATAGCAGATCCAACACCCAACTGCACGATCAAAAGCCTGGGTCCAGAGGCTCAGCGTGAAAAAGGCTCCGCAATGATCTGAATAATCGTCGTAACGTCACATACCTTGTGCGATATAGGCAACACCTTCGCAACGTTCGTGATCGCAAGCGGAATTGAAGTCCGCAACATACAAAGTTGGGCTGAGTGAAGGGTAGGGCGTAATTCTCAGAGCAGATTGTCCTATGCTGTAGGGGTGAGAGTGTCACGGCGGGGCAGAGTTGTGTTTTACTCAGGACTTCGATGTCATCATCGTCCTACAGATCAAGTAGGATTTATTTCGTGCAGAGATGGGGAGATGAACAGAAGGAGTCAAAGTAGAGTTGGAAGTCTGGGTGCAGGAAATTATTGTAGTTACGTGACGAGTCATGCACATAGTAGAGATCAACATCGTACGACTCATGTGGCACGACATACACAAGAGGGCAACACGAAGCGACAGCAAGCAACCCTGGGGGAAGCGGCATTATTGGTCAACAACAGATAGATGACGACGACTGTGAGCCTCAACTGTTCTCGCATGTTGTAAGGTCGACTCTCTTCTCCAAAGCCGAGCATAAAGCTCGACGATGATGAAAAGATTCAATGAGTCTATCAGTGTCAGCCAACAATTGACAGAGAACGACGTTTCTGAAAGTCTGAGGACCCGGCCATGGTATGAATAAAGTCGAGCAAATTACGCGCTCTCATCATGGCACTCCAACCACCCGCCTCTTCCAGACCGCGGCGACGAACAGCCCTGGTAGCCATAAGGCATACCAGGCCAGCTTGTCCTGGAAGAGGCGCCTCAGTTTTTAAGAATAAGTGACTTACCTGTTCGGTTTGTTTGGGCGAGTGTGTTGGAATGAAAAAGAAAGAGGAAGGAACTGGGGGAGAGGCGAGATACTTATAGACTGAGAACAGGGCCAAGAGATCAACTCCACGAGGACTGCTCAAGATCAGATTACTCAATTCAAACCAGTCTGGTGGAGACAAAGTCGAGCAGATCTCAGGAAAGGCAGCCGTCGAACAGGCAGAAAAGACTGGTATTGGATGCATATATCTGGTACAGCGACGATCACCATCCTGAGCCTCATTCAACCAAGCGCATACTTCGCCGCAGATGGGACTGCCGTTAACGCATCCATCCTTTCAACCAGCAAATCTTCGAACCAAGTGTACTAATCGCAGACCACACGAGTGATGCCGCCTTTGCGGCAAGCACTCGAAGTGGTTTCGTACAAAGTTTGTTGAGTCAGATCCGTTCGTGACAGAAAAACCGTTTTTTTGCAGGGCGTATGAGCAACCGGGATCCGCATAACGGTTGCGGAAGGGGGAAACACAACATGGCCACCAGAGATCATGCAATCGGAAGAGTCCGATCTTGATCTGATCGAGACTTCTGTTTCGCTCGTTTGGCAATTTGCCGCTGTGACCTTGAGAATTGTTCAACAAAGTTCTTGATGACCGACCCTGGCCCATAGGTCATGGGGTTGGTACAGCAATGTTGAAATTTCATCTGCTGGCATAGTCTCGTAATTTGGGACCGTGAATTCGGTGGCTTTCGCTTTCAGACGGCCAGAAGCCCCGGCAGGCAGCACCAAGAGGTACCGTCTCGTCTGTGATGCCTGGTAGTGGGGACATAGTGATTTGGGCGGCCTGTATCGCTCAAGACAGCCTCGGCAGGACGACCGAAAATGTGATACCTCGAGAAACATGACATGTTGTCCAGCTCTATTCAACATCGAGCATGTCTACGACTCTCTTCTACTAAAGAGAGATTCGACGTAGAAAGATCTGGAATGATACACCACTTGGCGAACATTAGTGGTATACACAGTGAAGGAACAGATTCTGCGTTAGTCGTATGTCGTTCTGCATCGAAGGCAATAGGGAAAGGCCACCCAAGCCAGTCGTATAGTTTTAACTGTATAGCCTCATTTATCGGACCTCGCCGGGTCGTGCAGCAGCTGCTGCCACGTCACCATCAATGTTTCTTTCGGCAGTTTCGGCTCGTCGACCTTCCCATAAGCGGACCCAGAACTCTGGAGGGTCCATCGGTCGTTGTCCCTCGTGCAGACCTGGCCAGACGTCCGCAAAGAAATAGTAAACATGTCCCACAATCACACCAAGGATTTCATCTTTGGGAACGCTGCCATGCATGAACATATGGAAGCCCATGAGGACCCAAGGCAGATAGGGCGCACTGAACACAAGGACACCAAGGAAACTGAGCCGTGTATCAGGGTTGCGCCTGGACCAGATGTACACGAGAGTGCTGGATAATGCCGAACCAAGGAACGGGATCGAGGTGGTGAGGGAACTGAGCGCTAGGAGCGACGTGCAGGCATACAGAAGTAGCCAAGAGAACACTGCTGGCGAGGCGCCGGATCCTTGCTCCAGGAGTCGGGAGTATCTCTGAAGAAAGAACACATGGAAGGCCAGATCCAGTGACGGTGGTCCAAAGTATATAAATGTCGTTATCAGTCGCCAGTACTACGACTTGTCAGCGCTCTTGCGACAGACTGCGGAGGCGATCCACTCACCTGCGATTTATAGTAAACTGCTCGCCAGGAATAAAACAGCTGGAATGGTGTGATGACTTTGCACTGTAGCAGAATGGATGTGACGACTGTGGCAGTCGTCCAGTATCGGGTACACGGTGGCATCTCAAAGAACCACTGTTCCAACGGGAACTGGCCCAGCTGGCCTAAGGCTTCTTCGCCTCCTCTTCCAAGTAGCGCAGCCATAGTCCAAGGAATGAGTTGGAAGAAGGGTAGGATGATTCGGGAGAAATCAGCGAAGAACTCGGGACTTTGAACGATTGTGTAGATAGGAGAGAGGACGGATTGAGTTAGGACTGGAGAGCGCAGGTCGGAGTAATCATGATGGTACTTGTCTGGAGGCGGAATTGGCGATAATGTGGGAAACGAAAGGTTCATGTAGACAATGAAATGCGAAGATGGAAGGTGGCCACTTCAAGTAACAGTGAGGCCGCGCAGCTCGACGTTCTGGGGATGTTCGGATCGCAGTTCTGAGGCTGGAATGTGAGTGGTCCGCCCCCCAACCCAAAGGGTATCGATGGCGTAGTTTGGCGGCCTTTCCCCAGAAGTGTACGCCTACGCCATTTCTGGCAGGCCGTTCGACTTGACGCGATTATCGCGGCACAACGCGACACCCGAGCAATATCTCCAGACATATGCACCAACCTTTGACTGCGCAAACACTACACCACAAAAGTAACAGTCATTTTCACGTTAGCAAGCGACCCGAACAGATAGCAAATTGCTTGGTCACTGTATCACCACCCCGCCGAAGACTGTCGCACACGCTCCCCCTCTGTACCGAAGAAATTGCGCCGGAGTCGACCTGGACCGCATTGAACAAATTCGAGTACATACAAATCCTTGATGCTTCAACTCCGGTAGCAGCACTCCACTGTCCAGCACAATGGCTCAGACCAAGAACGTCAGGCGGCGCTCCGGGCCTCCCACACCGGCCAAAGGGCAGAACAAGCGACCAACAGGAAGCAGAAAAAGTGCTGGAGGTCGGCCACGAGCGCAGCGTGAGTGAGATCGTGCAGCTTGTGTAAACTGCGCTGACTTGAGACACAGCTGGCGACCCTATACCCGTGAGAAGACCGCACCGATACAAACCTGGCACAACGGCACTTCGAGAAATTCGACGGTACCAGCAATCTACAGAACTACTCATCCTTAAACTACCCTTCGCGCGGCTAGTACGCGAAATCGCACTCGACATACTCCCCTTCAGCGCGGCGCAAGATCTTCGATGGCAGAGTCAGGCAATTCAAGCGCTGCAGGAGGCCAGTGAAGCTTTCCTGGTGCACCTGTTCGAAGACACGAATTTGTGTGCAATACATGCGAAACGAGTGACGATAATGCAAAAGGATATCCAGTTGGCGCGGAGGATCAGAGGCGCCTGGGGTGGTCTAGGCTAGGAGATGGGTTGGGCTTTGTCATTGCTTCACGCATGTATGATTTTGCAAGGTGTTGGGTGTACCTCTATCATTGATCAACAGTACGGGTTTGCGTTGGGATGACGCATTTTGAATGGCATTTGTTGGCTGTTGGCTACCGTGATTCCCACAGCATTGTCACTGTGGTTTGGCAACTCTTGATGTTTATGAGCGTTCAGTTGTTGGCTTTCTCCAATGCAGCAATCGCAGAGGACGCGCAAAGTACTTATATACAAGATACTAAACATGACACGAGAGTTGAGAAAGATCCTTCTCAACCGTTGACACTAGATCCGAGCACACCTTTCGTGCTTGTGACATCTCCGCTGCCAATAGCACCCTCAGCTCTTCGCTCACAAGCCTGTCTGCAAGCAACGGCGAGAGCCTTGAAAGCACTTTCTGCTCTGTGGTGGTTGTTGTGACCGTAAACGCACTTGATGTGTAAAGTCACACTGGCTGCTTGGGCAAAACTTTCCAGGCCGTGGGTAAGCATCTCTGTGCTGAGATCCCCAATCTTCTCCCTCGTGAAGCCAAAGTCAATGACACTGTAAGGTCGGTTCGAAAGGTCAATGACGGCCCATGACAGTGCTTCGTCGAGTGGCGCATCACCACGGCCGAAGCGGACTAGAGACGTCCGTTTACCCAATGCAGCATTGAAAGCCGAACCGACGGCAAGAAATACGTCCTCGGCGGTGTGATGGTCGTCGATGATCAGGTCTCCAGAGGCTCTGATGGCCAAAGACCAGCCAGCATGCTTTGCGAAAGCATGAAGCATGTGGTCCAGAAAACCAATCCCGGTTGAGATGGCGATTTGCTGGGTAGCTGTTATTTGCGTCGCGTGATGTGACTTTGGTAAAGGAACGAGAACATCTGGATATGTTTCCTTTTGTGGGGCCGGTATAAGTGCAGGGAAGGTCTCCGATTGTTCGTAAGCTGGCAGTGCGCCTCCATCAATTGAGAGAGAGACTTGGATCTTGGTCTCGTTGGTGATGCGAGAGAGAGCGTGGGTGCGTCTCGACACCTGTGATGTCTCTTTCCTCTCTATCGATCCCATGTTGTGTGTAGAGTGTCTGTCTGATTCGGCACTTCTGATATCACAATCTGATGTGCTGAGTTCACAATATCCCGGGAGAAGAAGTCAATGCTTTGACCGAAAGATTTCATAGAAGAGATGACGGCAAAGGCTCCACATCACGAACTACGTCCTGTCTATTGGCTGTGAAAGAGCAGCAAGTTAGCCGAAACTCCAAAGCTCCGCTCAATTCAGGACGTTGACATCGCGCCGCAGCGGACTGCAAGTAGATTCTACTCCAGGATTTATGCTTGCACTTTGGTGTTGTGAGTAGAAAAGCTCTTCAACATGACAATCAACCCAACATATCTGGCGCAGGCGTCGCGGTCATGTACGTCAAAGTCAATACTAGTAATCACCTGCGGAGAGCTAATTCGTTCACAGCCGTCAACTGGGGAGATGCGCGCCGACGCGTCCTGAAATCATACCGCGAATGGCTTAGGGCTGTATGCTTTAATCTGTTAACGTGCAAGCTGGATATGTTGCTGAGAAAAGAGACAGGGTCCTGAGATACAACAAATGTACTCGCTGAACATGCCTGTGTCGAAGGTCCGAACGAAGGTCAGACAAGAATACGAGAAGCACAGATACGTCAACCAGTTGCAGGCGGTGGATGTGCTTCTACAGCAGAGCAACGCAGAGTTCCAGGTTGGTCCATCTTCAAGATCATGTGGAGGGCAATCTGACAGAAGGCAATTGCAGGAAACATTAAACTTCTGGAAACAACAAACACATGTCATGAAATACTGGAGGGATGAAGAGGATGAAAATGCCAGATTACCCAAGAACTTCATATCCGGCTTCCTCGAGGTACAACCTCCACCAAAGATCATAACACTGCAGGAACTAACAATATGTCCAGGGACGGAATTGAAAGCATTTCCTCGAAGCGATCATTGTACATAGTTGGACCAACCACCCAAGCGCCATCGCAATGCAACATGAAAATTCGATGAACTGTTACGATTGCGCTGCGTCAAACTGGTCCCTTGCTTCGGTGAACTTGGCCGAAATCACATCGCAGGCCTCCATCATATCCTCGAGCCCTTTCCGTAGGGCATCGGCCGCAGTGGTCTTGGTATCTTCTGCTCCAAGTCAGTTCATGGATCCTGTGGTCAGGCAGGGTAGTGGCATCGCCCCGGTCAAACTCACCCCACGTCTGAATGCGAATGTTCATTTTAGTCTCCGAGGGATGTGGAATGGTATATCCGCAGAATTCCACGTCCGGGCTTTAGCAATCAGTATTGGACGATCGACAGGCGGGAATGTGCCATACTTTTTGTTTACAAAATACCGTAAAGCATTCCCCAGGGTGTGATCTTCCTTCTCGATCTGGAATGATGCTGCGTGTGAAGAATGACCAGGAAGCTGTTGGGTCGTGATATTAGCCACCGGCTCACTAAAGGTTTGGGATAATTTGTTCGTGAGACCGTACCATAACCAATTTTCTGGCACCACCCAACAATATTTCCTCGCCAGGGTCAAACTCCTCGTCTGCCATTTGAACGTCGTGTTCCGACATGATTGCGGTTGTCTCCTCGTTGCGCTACTGAAGTTTCTTCGAAATGCCTACAGAGACGATTTTCATGGAAAATATCAAGCCTTGCCATAAGATAACTAGCGCAGCCTTGCCGCCAAGAATATGGGTGGCGGCAAGGCTCTGGGAAATGAGGCTTCGTTTTTTCAAGATAGAATGATAACCACAATCTGGGGAAATACATATCTGGAATATGCATTTTTCTGACGGCATTTATAACTTCTCTGTCCCTTTCTATTTATATGTAACCTTGTCACGCCCGCAAACACTGGACGGGTCTAATGTTGCGCGCGCAACCGTCAGAACATTCAAGCCAACATGCATTGCTGCCACAACTTTTCTCTGAGGACCACTGCTATAGTATGCGCATATGCCACCTGCCGAATACTTATCATAGATATTGCACCCATCGATACCGAAGTTTGACATATCTCTACCAGACACGGGATTGACGATCGACACAAAACTTGTGCCCTACAGATACACACCACCGTCACATGTAAATGTGGACTTAAGGGTGTGATCGTGCCTCGGCGCGCAGCTTTCCGTAAGCATTGGTTCTGCACAGTCTGGCAAACCCCATCCATTGACTACTATTATTGGGTATGCGACCCGAAGTACATGTTAGTACTCGGTGCAGACGCCGCTGGAACAACGAAGCAATCGAACATGCACCTGAAGAAGCCAGACGTAGGAGGCTTTATTTCAACCAGGACAGAAGGACGCAACAAATTTATTCCACCTTTACGACCGTATGACGAATCATCGAGTGCGCAATATGATACTCTATCGATAAAAGTGGACTTCGCTGGCGGCCCAAGCGATACCAGGATCAGGGGTCGCTACAAGGACTAGTCCTTGCGTTGGGCGTTTCAACTCGTGCCATCATTCGCTCATCTTGATGCTTTTTGGAATGCCTCGTGGCTCGCCTGGGGTCGACGGGGATCATCCTTTCTTGATACTAGCGAGATACAAGTGAGACCATTGACCCAATGCAAGTTCGACAAGAAAATTCTGCTTGTGTGGAAGCAGAATGACAGCAGCAATACACCATCTTCCAGAATCAGACGATAAGTTGTATTGAACGATCTTATGATTTATTTGGCGACTATCAGGATAAGCAGTGATAGTCTGGACGCATGTTTCAGTGCTGTCATGACGATGAGGGGCCTGCTAATTACTCCGTGCTCCATAAGGATCTTAGCTGGGGTTTTCCGAATCCTTCAGCCTTAGGCGTCGTGCCATCGTCGCAACACGATCAGCCACTAGAATGTTTCAGCAGGTGGGCTAGGCTCGTCCTTCTGTTTGCTTCGCAGGCATCGAGAGGATATGAGACTCGATCATCCAGAGATGCTTTTCTCACAACACACCTCCCGTCATAGTTATGCAACGTCTCGAAAAGCATGTATGCGACGAAAAATTATTGGACATGGGAACCTTGACAGCTGGGCTGACAGGCTACAGCCTAATATTGCATCTGGGAAATGTACTCTGAGCACCCTCGCTTCGAACCTCGGAGCACGAGGATCCAATGAGGGTATCGGACTCTCCCTCTTTGGCGGCAGTTATCTGCAGGTCTCTCCAGGCGATCCAATACTTAAGCATGGTCTTAACCCGACTGCAACGTGTGACAAGCATTCCGTAAGAGGCTGATCGTTGGACTGCCGCGTGAATCCGAGCATCCGGGTCACCCACCAAGCACTATGAGAGGGCCATTCTTTACAACGGCAATAGTGACACAAAACCATCAAGCATCGGAAGGGCATCAAAAGGAGAACGGGGACCGCGCACTCTTGTCCAAACGCGCAATGAGTCTGCGGGGGCAAGTGCGACAAGCGAAAGCACGATCCTTATGAGGGGCCATTTTCTGTTGAGCTTGGACGCAGCCTTTCGAACATGAAACACTGTCTGCCGCACCGTGCGCGACAAGAGAAGGAGAAGCCCCCTTAACGCAGACTGAAGCGTTTGCACATTTGGGCAGTCAAGGAGTTGATCAAGATGCTCACTCAGGAAGTATTTGCAACGCAACGCGAGTCTGCATGATGCTGGGTCAGGCCTTACTATTGTACTCGTATTTGGTCAATGGTGGTGCAAACTATTCGAAGTCCGAAACGGAAGGTATCGAGAAGGAAAAGCAGTTCATGGATGGTTTACGGCCTGCGGCTGCATGGCCTTATCCGCAGTTTTTCGGGGCTACTAACGTTAGGCGTCGCTAGGCTAGAAGCTGACTGCCCGCTCCTGAACGATCCCTGAAACTCTCGTCAAGAAACACCGGGGTCACCGTGCCCAGTTAGGTGCTGGTGGGCTTCGTCTTTCGGCTAATCATAGGTCAAGTCTTGCTTCCCAAGGACGTCTGCGGCTGGACCTGACACCTAAAACAGTAGGAAAAGTGGCAGAAGTGACCAGCGGAAAGTCGAATCTGAAAATCCTGGCGTTGGCGGCGTCCCCAGTTTGGTGTCTGTGCCACACCTATTCCTCAGACGTCCACCCTTTTTTGATCCACGTCCCTCGATTTAATCCATCACCCTGTCATTGTCTCTCGCTTTCTAGCCCTGTTTTTCCCGCGCCCTCTTTACCCTTTTCTCCCTCCTTCTTCCATCACCACCTGCTGGACTACTGCAAGGCCCGCGTCTCTCATAGACATCCTAGCCGCTCGTTGCTTTCTCGTCCCATTCCCTTTCCATCCCACTTCCGTCCTCCCAGGCAGGGTATCATCTCGCGTCCAAGGTCCTTCTTGTCGCCCTCCCGGTCATTCGCTTCAAGATCGAGGTTCAGCTGCAGCAGCTCGTCGTCGAACCGCCGTACGCTACCCTCTCTCGCGGCTCCACGTCTGCGAGGCCACTCGTTTAGTTTGCTTTTTTCTCTGCGCCAGCCTGACCGGCAGCAGAGTACGTTGTCACTTCGACATAACGTCCAGCAAGAACAAAAAGAGCCGGATAGATATTTGGGACAAGCCGTGACAAATCTGTCAGCCAACATATACCCATTTACTCCCTTACCAACCTATCAGCCTTGCCATGTCGACTGCAGTGGCATCTTCAGCGATGACTCCGCTGCCACCGATGGACCGGAATATCAGTCCCAGAAGCTATCCGCCGTTGGCTCCATCTACGAGTCATGCTCCAAGAGACAGAACATCCGACTCGGTTGTGCCTCTAGAAGCAATGGGTACATCTCAGAATGAAAAGACACCGTCCGATGGCAAACGGTCTCCGAACTCGTGAGTGTTTTACGATCTTACAAACAAGCACATACTGATCTTTACTCCACAGTGTTAGAAGCTCGGACCGTCCCAAGATCATCGTGAAGAAAGAGCCTCCTTCATCTCCTTCACTCCAACCAAGTACTCGTCACAGGCCCAAGAAATTGGATTTGAACACCAACACTGCTTCAATGTCCACTGGGCTCAACTCTCGTCCCTCAGCAACACCCATGACTGCAAGAGATGGACTGGTCATACATGATGTTGGGTTGGCTTGTCTGTCGCCAGGTTTCGCAACACAGGACCCGGCCATGCGAGAGCAACTTGAGCGTAGCATGAGTGTAAGAGATCAGCAGCGATCAATAATCCAAGCAAGACTGCTCAAATCTGCTCGAGGTGATGGTCCGGATACAGGAAAGAGCAGTGAGCCAGGTACTTCTACAGCCAAGACCCCTACCACTTCAAAGAAAAGGCCTCCGCCAGGACTATCAATCGTGCCTCCTGCAGCTGAGAGATTTGCCAACGAACGTGTCATTCAGTCAGCCCCTTTGAATCAGACATTTACCGGAAGACAGGAGATCCATACTTCGGTAAGACAATTTAACGACCACCCAGCGAACTCGCAAAACTCTCACATCCATCATATGCCCGCCATTCAGACCAATAACCGACTACCCCCAATCGCCGACGTTTTCGGTGCCAGCGAGCTCAACCCTGGTCCAGCTCGGCCGCCTTTTCTGCATGCGAACTCGACTCCCTCCCAAATCCACGGACCACCGATGCCGTCTCCGGGATTTCCACCTCAAACTGCCCATCCCATGTCTCAGCCTGGCGGACTACAATTCGAGCGACCACGAGAGTACAGATCGGCAGAAGATGCTGTTAACGACATGATCGGAGGACGTGAGGAGCTCCTACCTAAGATCGTCCACTATGGGGGTCATCAGCCTCCAACGCCTCCTTCGCCGCACATTGGACACAAGGACCATTCGACTCCTCAAAAGTATCCACCGTACAGCCACCAAGCAGGCCGAAGAAGAAGCCGCAACGAATATGAGGAGGGAAGTAGCCCACCACTGGGCACTGGACCAGACCGCATCCGGCCCAGTGGACCATTCGGTGAAGGACGAGACAGCCCGGCCACTCAAAGGGCGAAAAAGGACGAATTTCTGAGCTTATGCGCAAGAGCATGGGATCTTTTCCACTCTTGAAGCCTGATAAACCCCTGCGCACTTTTTCAATTTGTCAATATTGGGTGGATTTCATTCGAATCTCCTAAACGCGATGGCGCTATGTGGCGTAATGAGGTGGATGACCTTTCTTTGAGCGGATTGAAGGGTCAATATTCTTCTGCCGACTCTCTTTGTGATGGGCGAAGTCTGCTGAACTCTGCTTTTTGTTGCACGAATGCGAGGGAATGTGTAATGACCAAAAGGACTGGCTGGACTGGGACTATTTTTTTAATATACCACAATGATTGAGCGACGACTGGACGGGCAGGAAAGGACAGGATCTCATGCGTTCATGGTGAGAGGACACCAGGGTATGCATGGGTTATGTTTTTTGATTGTTGATGCTGGTGTTTGTGGCCCCTCTTAGATGGGATCCGGAACGAGGTATCTCAGCATAGTAGGACAGATTCACCTAGAAAAGCATTGATCTTGCTACATACCATGTATGCTGTTTCGCGGCGGTCAAAAAAGTTCAGTCAAGTGACACAGCCTTTCGGAAGTACTTCTACCACTTCCCTACAAGCCAGGAATATTGAGTCACAGCATAAGAATTCTGTATTTCTGTAGCGCCGGTAGTTCGTGGACCTGGGTGCCTTTCGAGTTGGGCGTGGAGCATCTGCCCAGACAAGATATTCCAGGCGAATTGAATATGCATCGATTACACTCACCTCAGGTAACAGGGCTGTTCAACAGTAGCTTTTTGTGTTCGTATAATGTAGTCGCATCCATACAAACAGGAGACCTTCCGATTTGACCGTTGAGTGTTGAGCATGTACTTGAACCGATATTGTGGGGAATAAATATCAAGATATATTCATCGAATCATGATCTTGATCACGACTTTTCTCAAGAGCGCAGCGCCACTCATTTTACAGGACTTCAGCCTCAGATAGCTGCTGGGCCTTCCACACCGGTAGCTACCTCAGCCTCTGTTCAAATTCCAACTGTACTCGTACACTACTTGATAGAGCGGACTGCATAACAGGTAATGGGCTTCACAGTCACTACCTACCTAACAAGGTCTAGTGAGTGTGGATGATATTTTATGTCTGGCAAGTTTTTTCGTAGCCATCAACGGGTAAAATAGCTGCTTAATCTGGCATGTTATGGTCAGACAAAGTCTTTCTCCAATTGTATGTTCCCCAAAACTTGTACCTCGAAATTGGGGAAACTACCGTAGGGGTAGGCAAGGCTGTGAGGACCGAGGGTGAATCTCTTCGGGTGTTTTTCTCGTTCTCCAACCACAACCACCGTATCATTCTATCCAACTTTGTGCGTTGCTTCTACAGCTGGTATCGGACACCTCCATGCAGCATTGATATCACAGCATTTCGCACTACACGCGAAGAGACATCTCGATAAAGATAGAGCAGTCTCAAGAAGCGATAGCGTCTAGAGTGGGGATCAGCAGCCTGAAGATCAAGACATCGAGGCTTAGTAGATCGAACCTCTGCAAGATAGCTGCCTACAATTTGCCACTGGGAAGGCGACGGTCGGTCTCAGTTGTACTGCTATCTGCGAGCGCCGCAAGAAAATATACTACGGGACATCGACTTGGCGATCAAGTCACCAGCATTTCGATACAGAAACGAGGGATACCAGTTCTTAAGCTGTGCAGAAGCATCTCTACCAGAAGGACCTTAAGCAAAACTACTCAACCACCAGCCACAATGCGCGCCCAAGTACTCGAGGTATTCAACCAGCCGTACACGCTGAAGACAGACTTTCCACGACCCCCAACACCCCAGGGCCATGAAATGCTTGTCCGGGTTACGGCTGCATCGTACTGCCACACGGACGCGGTCTTTGCATCCGGCCAAATGCAACAAGGTCTTCCGCGCGTGAATTCGCACGAATTCGCCGGCGTGGTGGAAGAATTGGGCCCGGAGGCTGAGAAGGTCGCTCAAGCCAAGGGCATCACGAAGGGGAACTTGGTTGGAGTGCCCGGTCGAGCGTTTGCATGCTGCGGCGAGTGCCTCGAATGCACAGAGAATGGAGGCGATCTGCATGGGTATGGCGTCTGGTGTTCAAGGGCATCGAATCTCGGTCTAACCCGCGACGGCGGATTCCAGGAGTACTGTCTAGTGGATGTCAGGCAGGTCGCGAGGGTACCGGAAGGCGGCAACATGAAGGCCGTGGACATTGCGCCGCTCATGTGTGCGGGCGTGACGGTCTGGAATGCGCTGGAAGCTGCTGGATTGGACATGTCTGGCTCGACAGGCAAGTCGAAGAAGTCGGTTGCGATTGTCGGAGCAGGAGGCGGTCTGGGACATCTGGGTGTGCAATTCGCGGCAAAGTTGGGATGGCATGTCGTGGCTGTGGACACAACGCCTGCGATTGGCATGCTGAAGTCCGTGGTCGAAGAACTCGGTGAGGATGGCGCGAATGTCACAATCGTGGACGCGCTGCAAGAGTCTGTCGAAGCCGCGAAGAAGCGCATTTTCGGAGATCCAGCAAAGGGTCTAGAAGGCGAGAGGGGGTGCGATTCGTCGCTGGTATTGCCAGAATCACAACCGGCGTTTGACTTCGGGATGGGAATTCTCAAGAACCATGGCACGTGTGTGGCTGTGAGCTTCCCCAAGGATGGCTGGAAATTCAAGCCTGGAGATCTAGTATTTCGGCATATCAAGCTGATAGGCGTGTTGACGGGCCGGAATCACCAGCTGCAGGCCATGGTCGACTTCGCGGCCAAGGAAACCGTCAAGGCAAAGATCAGAACATATCCGCTCGAAAAGCTCAACGAGCTGGTGGAAGATTATCACCGTGGCGTCGGCGGAAAATTGGTTGTTGATATGGAGCTGAAGCCATAATCAGAATGCATGCACCTTCTGACCTCTCTGCTGTGTGTCTGGGGTCATCTTTCGCGTCGCACCCTAGGCATATCCCTAGCCTCTTTACCCTTCTCTCTTTTCTGTCTCCTCTTGTCGGCTTTGTCGCGAGCCCCCTTGCTCATACTTTGTAGCCTCTCTTCCTTGACCTTCTTCCTGACATCCGCCTCTTTGAGGTAGTAAGGCTTTGCTTTCTGGCCAGTACGGATAGCTTCCTTCTCTTCCTCCTTGTGACGTTTCCTTATCTCTTCCTCTTTTTGTCGAGCTTGCGCATTGCGCACCTTGGCCTCCATTGACATGACTTGCCGCTTCAAATCAGCTAGAATATGGGGTTCTTTGGCCTTCTTGATTTGCGACTTTAAATCTAGGATCTCGGCGGCTTGATACTCGGTAAGAAACGAATAATTCTTGTCGGCTTTGGATGTTGCATTCCTGTCACGAGTGGAGGACATGATAGTGGGATCAAAGCGCGGGTCGCGAAATTTTTGCGCCGCTGGAGGTTCGAAAATGGTTCTCTTTCGTGAGACTGGTTTTCGAGCGGACTCGATGGTCGGCGCATGTTTCGACGACCGTTTAGGGGCGTCAACGCGAGATTCTTTTGATCTTTTCCGGGTGTCAAACGTATCCTCCGCGGTAGGCGCAGCAGAAGCGGGTGCTGATTCTTCAAGACTGTCTGACAGTTTTCGTTTCCGTGGGTTCGGGTTGAACGTCTCTTGCGCTTTTGCGAGGACGCCGAAGCTGATGTCTTGCAGAGGCAGGGCTTTCTCTTGCTCGGAGGAAGATTCATCGGACTAGGATATGTTAGGTCAATAGAGAGAAAAAATCGTGATCCGGCTATAGTACCTGTTCTTGATTCTCTAGGTCGCTCTCGTCTGACCCATCTGTTTGCGATTGTTCTTGGTCAATGCCGTATTCCTCGGATACTTCGCCTGCGACTTCTTCGTCGGAATCATGCCTCAGCTCAACAGGCCGGTCCATGAGACTCACAGTGGCCATGGTTGCGCACTTAAGTGACCTGTAAATTAAAGCAAGGGAACCGACTGCGCACGAGAACTTTTTTGATGCCGCCTGCGGAGTGACGTCGGCGGATGATCGACAACTAAGTCAATTTTGGTTAAAGGAACTTTTCTAAGCGGTCGGCGCCTTAGCCAATATTTTCTGGGGCCTGGAAGATGGCGACAGCGGCGAGATTTTTATCTTACCAAACCTCATTCTCTTGCGATAGCCCTTGGTCGCCTTCAGTCGACAACGACAACGACACCGACCGGACGGGCACCCTTGACACCCACGACTATCGCAATCAACCCTGGAGGTGGCCGCATACTCCCGGACCGCAAGTTTGGATATTCGCTGCAGACTGCCACTAAAAGTCTGCCTGACCTTCAAACAACTTGTTTGTCCTCACCACTAACACTGTTTGTCCAGTGGCAGCATCAACCTCTCTCCTTCTTCGATCCTACCCGCCCCTCTCGAGCTCTATCTACACTCTTACCGTCGAAGACCATGCCGGGTCGCCGTCAAGGGGACAGATACTGTCCGCCTCCGTACGAGCAGAACCCCCATAGAACGCCGCAGCAGTTCCCACCAGATGTAGCGCCATCGCATTACTCTCTACCACATCGGTCCTACCAGCCTCAGCAAGGTGAATACAATGAATGCTTTGATCAGAACAAAATTGACATTTACAAAACAGTGGACTCGTGGAGATCTTACAGAAACGATACTGTCAATCTCCAGACTTCCACCAACCTGCACCATTCTCAGTGGGCTCCCCAAGCCAGCGCAAGAGATCCTTACTATGGCGTCCCTCCCTCGAGCGGGAGTGCGCCTTACTTCCACCCGTCGCAGGTTCGAATGGCGCATGACACTTCACGCGAACCTCTGAGGTCAGTGCATAACTATGCTCGATATCCGACATATCGAGTTGACAAAATATACAGCGCGGCAGATGGCAGCCGCGACAGATCACTTACTCAGCAGACAGCGAGATATGCGCCGCTGGCGTTGTCTCAGTCAACGTCGCAGTATACATTGCGTCCAAGGCGTCCTGACCAGATTGCGCCCTACAGCAGCGCAGCTCAAGCGGATACCCCCCTGCCATCCATTGAACCTGCAGATCTACCCTCTGCACCAGCAAATTATGTACCAATCCGATACAGTACGCCACGCCGAAGCCGAACCGGGACTCCGAGCACTGTCCAAGATCCACCTGCGCCTAAAGCAACTAAGGCTTACATGAAAAGTGCGGCACAAGCACCCACTCTTAGAGACACTGCACAAAAGCTACTGGTGGTGTTGGACCTTAATGGCACTTTGCTTGTCCGTCCAAACCGCAGAAACGATCCCACAAAGTTCAGGCTTAGACCCGGTGTCACCCAACTGCTTGACTATCTATTCAATAATCATGTAGTCATGGTTTACTCCTCTGCGAGGCCAGACAACGTGTCAGGCATGGTCAACAACCTGATATCACCAAAACAACGCAAACAGATGGCTGGTATTTGGGCGAGAGATAAGTTGGACTTGACCAAACAGCAGTACAACAATAAGGTTCAAGTCTATAAGAAGCTGGAGAAGATTTGGGCTGACAAAGATGTTCAAAGCAAGGCTGAGCCAGGGACGAAGTGGAATCAAACCAATACTGTTCTCGTTGACGACAGTCAAATGAAAGGTCTTGCTCAACCACATAATCTGCTACAAGTGCCAGAGTTCGAGAACAATGCGCCCAAAGAAGGTGCAGCACCTTTACGAGAATGGCAGCTGAAAGAACAAGCCATTGTCAAGTCTTTGGAATTGAAACTCGAGGAGCTCAAGTGGCAGGTCGATATCTCGCGACTCATCAGAGAATGGCAGACCGGAAAACGAACGGCGCCGGGTGTCGTTGACGAGACTATCGATCAAAAGACACACCGCAAGATCGAGCAGCAGCAGATAGAGCCAAGCCCTGCACCCAGTGTCGGCCAGCCTGAACGAGCCACCAGCATCGCTGCACAATCCTTCAGCCAACCTGGATTACCCTCACCATTTTTGACCCCGAGAAGTCCAGTCCAATCCACCGATGGTGACGACAACAGTGACGCAGGGGTCGATCTCAACGCGACTTCACCCCTCGACCACTTGGAACGGGAGATTGACCGCAATCTGAATATCAAGCGAACCGCCGGTGACAAGGATGCTGGACGTAGTGAATCGCCTATTGACGAGAGCGTGTGGAAGGAGCTCTTAGGTGGAAACGAGGAGAAGGACACAGAGAAGGGATCACTTGGGGCTGTGCCGCCAACGCCGGAGAGCATGACTTCCTAAATACATTCGGTGGGCACGTTCCCCTTATGTTCTTCCATGGCAGAACGTTGCTGCTGGGGCTTGCTTTGATGCCTGTCCGCGAAGGAGGTATCATGCATCAGGTCGTGCTATGTAATATTCAATGAGCGAGGTGCTTGGAGTTTCATCGTCCCAGGGGCTTCAATGAAGTGTGCTCATATCACAATCAATATCGAAGACAGAGACATTGAAAGAACTGTCCTAATTGAAGAATATTGTTTACACATTTCCATCCTTTCAAACGATGTCTGTGGAACTTTCTTGTTCTCTGGTTTGGATGAAATACAAAGCTCGGTTCGAGACATCAGGACAATGCCATGCAAATACAGAAGCTCTCTTTTCCTTGTAGACTGTTGTACAAAGTTCTGAAATCGCAGAAAGGGCTCCGAACACGATTAAAACACATCTGCTCCTCGCTCAAGTGCTTTGCAAGCGCTTCACAGTCTCTGGTAGCTTGTCCCAACCTGCCTCCGCGTCGGCTTTTCTCTGCTGTGCCTCTTTCAACATGCCGTTCACCTCGAGCGTTTCTGCCTCAAGACCAGCGACGACCTGAGTCCACAAAGGATCGCCCCATCGCCTGACTTGATGACTAGCCGCCCGGGCACATTTGATGGCTTGTTCATCCACTAATCCCTTGAACAATTTCTCCTGCATGAATACCAGCGCAAGAGCTGTTGTCTGAGCACTTCCGATTGCTTTGGCCGCTTCCATTGCACTCTTCAAGTATTGCTTCGCGGTCAAAGTTGTGGTTGACAGGACTGATGCCAGAAGTGAGTAGTGCGCCTGTATATACTTGTTCGCGGATTGCTGAACCGCGGTGCTCAAAGAATTAAGTAATTGAGAGACTCTGTTATGCTGCGGATGATGAGGATCTTGTATAATGAAGACGGCATTCATAGCCGCAAGGATGCAGAAGTCGTGGGTGATGTCAGAGTCCGCGTGATAAGATGTCGATATCTGATGAGCAGACCCGGGCGCGGGTGAAGGAGAGGACTGCTTCGCCCCGAGACTCAGGGTTGGAGACTGATATACTTCAAGAGCTTCTTGTAAGTTTCCAGTGCCTTGCAGGATGACTCCTTTGAGGTAGAGCAAAGAATACCTCATGTTCAATGGGAAAGACTCGGTGAGTTGTCCTGAGGTCCGGCCGATATTGTCCAATGTCTCTTTAGCTTTCTTCCAGAGGCCTTTGGCGCACAAGACGAAGCAGAGAAGGAACAAAAACTGTGCTTCGAGCAGTTCTTGGAAGATATCCGCGTTGTGTGACTGTTGATAACCTGCGGCAAGACTTGGTTGTCCCCAAGAGCGGACAAGCGAAAGGCCATGCTCAATAAACTTCTCTGCTTTCCCTCCGTCGGCTCCGTTCTTGTATACTGCACTGTCAGCGCTGAAAAGAAAGCCCAAAGCTTCTACTTGTTCTTTGCCCAGCCACGAGAAAGTCAGAAAGTACTTTCCGTTTCTCTCAATGATATGCCCATGTCCCTGTAATTGAATGCCTGCTATTGCTCTCTTTGACACGGGGATATATATGAAGCCGTCGTCGCGCCAGCCAGAATGTGCAACTGATTCATAAAGCACTTCGTGCATAATCTTCCGCTTCGCCTCGGTTTGTGCAATATTGGATTCTTGGACACTGCATGCAAGGTCGATAAATTCCATCAATATCGTCAACTGCGGATTTGTTTCGACATCTGGGTTCAATTGAAGCGCCCTTGCTTTGGCTAACGCTGTTTGTGTGGCAGTAACCGCTTCATGGCTGGAGCTTGAAAGGTGCAGCAAAGCTTCGAGCACAGCAGCAAACGCCAGAACAGCACTATCCGAATTCTGGCGCGCCAGGTATGTGATCTTCTCGAGCTGTTTAGTCGCTCCATGGACTTCTCCGGGAGATGCTGATGCCAAGGAAAACATGGCGTGCTGTAGGCGAAATATGTAAAGCCATACAGTGTGGCGGTAGGCTTCGATGTCGTCAATCATCCTTTGGATATCTCGCAAAGCAGCTTTTGGCTTAGATTCGTACAGAATTTTCGATAGGAGAAGCTGCATTTCATATTTCAGGTCAATGAATTTGTGTCTTTCGCAGAACTCGATTGACTTTGTCAGTCTTGTCTCAGCCTCGTCATAGTTCTCCGTCTCTTCATACAAAATTCGAGCATAACGTAAGGAGACTTGAGCTTCCCTCAGAGGTGGAAGCTTGAAGTTGTTCAGAATAGATTCCAGGCACCCAAGTGCTGTGGCGACAAGAGTATAGTACTCCTCAGTCAGTGCTGGCTGATTACGAGCTGCGTCGAGATAGTCATCAGCAAGCACGCAGAGCACCGATGGGTAGTCAGGTTCTGGCTCGTCTGGCTGGACTGGAGTGTGGCGATGCTCCGGTGCTTTTGTGGCGACCTGCTTTGGTTTCGCATTGACTTCGACAGCCTGAAGAACTCTGGCATGATTCTGCTGCGGCGTCTTTTGCAGCATCTGCGGGTTTATGGTCATTAATAATGACTGATCGTGACTCTTCTGGACCTGTTCACTTTTCGTGGAAGAACTCTTTCGAAATTGCTCAGTCTTCGTGGAAGACACCGGTGTGTCCCTCTTCTTATTGGGCTCCGGAGCTCTCACAGTAGGTGTTGTCTGTTCTCGCTTCTTCTGAGGACGATCGTGAGCCATTGCAGGACTAGGAATGTGCACTGTCACATTTGAGTGTGGTTGAGGCTCTCTCCTGTATGGGACAGGATGTTGTGAGTGCTGCTGTTTCTGAGTGCCATGAAACGACTGTGCAGGGCTGTGTACTTGGTTTGGAGGTTGAAACGAATGCTGTGGTCGCTGTTGCTGTTGGTACTGGTGTGGAGGCTGTTGCTGGTGGTGCGTGGAAGGGGACTGGCGAGGTTGAGGAGGTATAACGACCTGAATTCGAGACAGAGAGGGAGCGGCTTGCTGGACAGTGTTGTTTGGCGGATAGAAGGCTTGTTGCGGATACTGCTGTGGTTGAGGTTGATGTTGTGGTTGACGTTGTGGTTGACGTTGTGGTTGAGGTTGAGATTGAGATTGAGGTTGATAGGTTTGGTCTTGATTGTAGTAATATTGGGAATAGTTCTGGGGTAGCTGTTGAGGGTAGGGTTGAGGCTGGTAGGACTGAGCGGTGGAGTGTGAGTGGTATTGTTGTTGGTAAGGAGGTTGTTGTGAATATTGATGACCCTGCTGAGGGACCTGAGGAGAATGAGATGATAACTGTTGTTGAGATTGAGGAAAGTTCCCATACATGGGATTGTAGGAGGAATAGTTTGGATCCATGATGGTGGTATTGGAAGGCACCTTCCGTAGAGGCCAATTCTGCCGGTACCGTTCCACGTCTTTCACCTTCACTTCCTCTGCCTGACTTTCATCCAAAACGCGGCTTACTCGATCTCAAGCTTCAACAATTCCTTCCGACCTCCCGTGGCAACCTGTATAATCTTCTGTGAAATGGGCTGATCGACGCGTATTGCGATGTTTGCTGTCGACTTTGACCCAGAGTCATCACTGTTTGTTTCAAAAAGTCGCCATCCGATGCACAAAGTGAGACCGCAGTCACCGCCTACAATTCCAATGCATGACCTTCAGATTCCAACCTACACTTCTCCGGAAGGTGCCATCCCAGAATCCAACAATACGTTGCGCATATAAGAATACGGAAGGGAAAAGCGCGTGGAGTAGGGTTTCTTGGAGGGAGAACACCCCCCCATGCGATTGGGGCGTTGACACAGGAGATGGGCGCCAATGGGCTTGACGGGCTTAACCAGGTTTGCCCTGCATCAACCGCGTGGACTTCAAGTCTTATGTCATCACCCTTCATACATCACCGTACAAAAAGTCTGAAACACCAGGCTTTCCGTCACCTACAAGATACCAATCGCTGCTCTGTCCCATCGAACATGAAACTTGCTCTTGTCATTGGTCCATAAGTAGGGCGAGAATGGCACTCGAGACTCTCAAGCCGTATCTGCAGCAGGTGCAGGATCATCCAGTCTTTGCTTCTGTCATCTGCCTCGCTCTTTTGACCACATTGACAGGCTCTCCAGGAAAAGTGTTTGGGATGGCTAAAACGAAATACTGGCATTCGACGAAATCCCTACTGCTCAAGACCAAAGACGGAAAGACCACTTCGTTCGCTCAACTATGCAAGACTCTCGTTCCGCCGTGTCGACTGAATCCGTTGTTGTTCAATGGTCATCTGCAAACAATATGGACTGTCATGGCGCCCGACACGGTCCCAATACACTACAAACGCTGGATCTTCGACCATGAAGACCCAGTTTATACTGGGCAGTTTGCAGTCGATTTCGCTACAGCCCCGAACGATAATCATGATTCGACTCTACCACCAAGGACCACTTACTATACCGAACAAGATTTCAAGAAGATAGGTTCGCTGGACGATCGCCCTATGCTTGTGATGCTCCATGGACTCAGTGGAGGATCTCATGAGTTATATCTCCGCCATGTTCTAGCTCCTTTGATTGGGAAGGGAGGCTGGGAAGCTTGTGTGGTCATTTCCAGAGGTTGTGCCAAAACCAAAATCACAAGCAGTGTTCTATACAATGCCCGTGCTACTTGGGATGTGAAACAGATAGTCAAGTGGTTGAAACAGACCTTCCCCAATCGTCCACTTTTTGGCATTGGCTTTTCCTTGGGTGCCAACATCATAACCAATGTAAGACTGCACTCAACGGCCTGTCAGCCATCGGCGCCCTTTGCTGATCCGTGCAGTATATCGCCGAAGAAGGGAGTAAGTGTGCCTTCAAAGCAGCCGTTGTGCTTTCAAATCCATGGGACCTCCAAGCTGGAAACCTGGCACTGCAGAGAGGCTGGTTCAATCGCAATGTCTACTCGGCGACGATGGGGAAGAGTATGGTCAAATTGTTCAACAAGTATGTTGCTCAATCAAGCAGAGACTGGTTGCCAATTTGACTGACATTTGAGCCCCAGCCATGTCGAACAAGTCTCCAAAAATCCTAAAATCGATGTCGACCTTATCCGCTCAAGCAAATATCTTCACGAATTCGACCGGTATGTCGTGATAAAGTAGGCCCCGGTGAGCTTTGCTGACGACAACAGGCACGTGCAATGTCCAACTTGGGGTTATCCAACTGAGGGAGCGTATTATCGTGATGCAACATCCGTCGACTCTTTACTGGCTATCAGGATCCCGTTCCTGGCAATCCATGCCGAAGATGATCCCGTAGGTCAAGCCTCGAGCCAGTAAAGGATGCCGCATGTCTGACGAGTACAGGTGACTGCAAGCGAGGCCCTTCCCAGAGAAGAGGTTCAACAAACTCCATATGGCGTGCTTTGCACCACATCAACTGGAGGTCACCTCGGTTGGTTCGAGCTAGGCGGCACAAGATGGTGCGCCAGAGCGGTATGTTGTGGCCCGGATGCATTTGCATCATCCCTGCTTGGGCCGAGCTAACAAGTCCTCCTCCTTAGGCAACCGCATTTTTCCAGAAGATGGCACAAGATATTGACTTGGACGCCATTTCAAGGACGGACGCCGAGGACTCACAGCTTGAAGGGCAAATATCTCGCGAATCGCGACAGCCCTTGAAACCAGTCTTTGAGCCGATGAGGCGGAAAATGCATGTCCCGGCACAGCAATAACTGCACTCTGGCCCCATAATAGACTGTACAGCACAATAGACATAGACACTATGCCACCACTTCTCACGCGAAGGACACTCTCTTCTTGAATTTCTTCTCCTTCTGGGCATCGCGGCCAGTGGACTCCTTGTCTTCGTTGACTGAAGCACTGTTTGACTTCTTTCCCTTCTTCAAACCCTTCTTAACCTCTTCAAGTTCGTCCTTCTTTTTCTCTTTCTTCTTCTCCATCTCAGCGCGCCTGGCCTCTCTTATCTCCTCCATATGCCGCGCCTTGATCATTTTACTTTCGATCTGGCCCTCTTTGTCCGCGTTGACCATGGCCATAATCGTCATCATGCCCTCTTGGTCGTCCACGAAAATCTTGCCCTTCTTTTTACCGCGCGGTTTCTGTACACCTGCGGGCGTGATCATGTTCAAAGCGGGTAGATTGAGTTGCTTGTCGGTGTATGTCCTCTGGCGCTTCTTCGTGGACTTTGCGTTCACGCTGTGAGTGTTTGTATGGGAGCCTGGTTTCGTCTTGACTTGTTTCGGCGGAGGACGTTTGGCATTTTTCGACTTCAAGGTCGATGGTCCCGCCGTCGCAGATTTCCGTGCTTGGGGGTTCCTCTTCGATGTGTGTTTCGTGGTGGACGGTGGCTTGGGAGCCATTGTCGTCTTTTGCGCTTCTGAAAGCCTAGGAGTGGTAGTTGAAGGGTTGGGTACCAGAGAGTTCGAGGATCGAAATGTCTGCGTGAGAACAGTGAAAACTTGACCGAAGATTTGCCGTGGAATATATTTTCTTATCTTATCGGAGTGCTTATCGGATCGCAGCGCCGCTTTACACCCTCCGCACGTTCACCTCCTTTTGTGACAGAGCCCACGTCTGCTTGTCGTGGAACCGGCTATGTGTATAGATCAAGGTACTGGCTCGCGCCGGTCATACCAGACTCTAGGAGGCAGCCACTCGTGCTATTCTAGCTCTATGTCCAGTCTTCCATCGTTGAGACTGAGATTGACTACCCATATCGCGCGTTGAGTGTCTCAGGATCAAACCATGTCGGCTGTATGCCGTAGTTGATCACAGTGCTCTTCAGCTTCGTATAGCTCTCGAAAGCTTCCTGTCCATTCTCCTTCCCCACGCCACTCTCCTTAAAACCACCCCAAGGCGAAGAAGGATCGTTCAAATGATGTCCGTTGACCCAGACGATACCTGCTTCTATCTTAGCAGCGACCCGATGAGCCTGATTGAAGTCGTTGGTCCAGACGGAAGCACCCAAGGCGTAGGCAGTATCATCGTTCGCAATGCGGATGATCTCATCTTCCGACTCGCACTTGATGACGGCAATGATAGGACCAAAAACCTCGTTGCAGGCTACGTCTGCACCCGCATTCGTTTCGATAATGGTAGGTTCGAAGAAGAAGCCTTTGCCTTCGACTGTTGCCGGTTTCCCACCACAGATCACTTTGCCTCCATCATTACTCGCCCTCTCCACGAACGCCGAGCATCTTTCGACGGAGGCCTTGTTTATCACCGCCCCAATCTGTGTGCGGGAGTCTTGTGGATCGCCCAATCTCAACTCCTTAACTCTCCTTTCCATCAGTTGCATAAAGTCGGTGTAGATATCCTTATGCACGAGCAGTCTGCTTCCTGTGACGCAAGTTTGACCACTGGCAATGAAACTCGCAAAAAGGGCCGCCTTTACCGCCTGTTCGACATCGAGACTGGGAAACAAGCAAACAGGCGCCTTACCCCCCAACTCAGCTGTCATGGGGACCATATTCAATGCAGCAATTGGGGCGATCGCCCTGTACGTCAATATGCCTCCCGTCAGATCGATCTTGGCCAGAAGTGGGCTCTCACATAGGAACTTCCCCGTTTCACGACCGTAGCCTGAGATTATTTGCAAGACACCATCTGGCAACCCTGCCTCTTTCAACAGCTCTCCCATTTTCAGAACAGATAGTGGAGCAAGTTCTGAAGGCTTGACGATAACCACATTGCCTGCAGCGAGTGCTGCAGCAATCTTCTTCATCGCGATCAAGAGGGGATGGTTCCAGGGAGTGATTTGAGCAACAACACCGAGCGGAAGCCTGGTAAGAGTGTTGATTACTGGCCCTTTGAACGGCGTGACTCGACCCTCGTAGACACGTGCGACGGATGCGAAATACTCTAACCATTCCGGCACCCTGGCTAACTGCGCTCGCATTTCACGGATCGGACGTCCTGTTTGGCGGGTTTCCAGTTCGATAAACTCGGGTATTCGCGCTCGGAGGAGCGTCGCAGCCTTGGACAGAACCGCATATCGTTCTGATGCGTCTGCACGTGCCCAAGGTCCGTCTTTGAAGGTCGACACAGATTTCCGTACAATATCATTGACGTTGTCTTGCGTCGTGGCATCAATGGTTGCAATGATCTGCCCATTAGCTGGATTGACCACTGATATCTTCTCAGAGGACGATGCTTCATGGACGCCGTCTACCCAGTTGGAGATATGCGGAATGTCTGACATTATGCCGATTGTCTGTGCTCTGTCATGAGCGGACTAGTCAATGTTATCCGGGCCCAGTTGGTTTATGTTTCTCTTGTTGATAGCTGGGTTTGCGTAGGACGCTCCTGTACCGACTGTAGACCTCTTTTATTGGAATAACATGCGTATCGACGTATATGAGAGCTCTCGCCCTGACGCTGGGAGAATTGTGTCTTCAGTCTTGTTCGTCGGTCATCCCACGCTTACATGTTGGCATCAAATCGTCTTCGGTAGAGGCTTGTCCCGCTGCAAAATGAAGGATCATTGTCAGTAGTTACAGCAGCGAGCTTGTGTCCAATATCGCGCCGCTTGCTTTGGTTGGAGATAAGATAAGATTTTGTGCCTTTCTCCACAACTCCGCAAAATGTTGTTGAACGTCACCACTCGGCGACAGGCACGAGGGCTTACTGAATAATTCAGTTCTTGCTGTGTGTTTCTTCAAACCGGAACTTAGAACAACATCAGCTGCGGAAAGCTAACACTTTCACCTCTTCCGCACAAAGCTTGGTTCGCCTCTCTCGTGTTGTGTTGCTGCTGGACAGCCCCGTTCCCTTGACTTGCTGCGGTCTCGTGCCCTCTCGTCTGCGCCGGGACTTACCAATCTCGCAAAGCCGCAAACATTGACCGTTGTTGGTCGACTCGGAACCCCAGATCAAAAGCTCGTTGCTATCAACATGCCACCACCGTCCACGGTCAAGGACATCAAGCCGCCTGAGCATCTTACCTCTCTCGCAGCCTCAGGCTTTGCTTCGGGTGCCCTCCGCTTCGGCACGATTTCCATGCTCTCACACTTCCTCCTGAACCGTCATCCAGTCTACCGAGGATTGACAGTGCAATTTAAGGTGTTCATTCAGATCAGTGCCATGACATTGGGCGGATGTATCTTTGCAGAAAGAAGTGTGACCGACTATAACAACTCGGTGCGGCGGAGGAATCGTGCTTTGGAAAGAAGCCGACGTGCTTGGAGTGAGGAGCAGGAGATTAGAGAAATGGTGGAAAGAAGAGAAGCAGCAGAGAAGTGAAGCTCAACATGACGGCAATAGGTCCCTCAGGATATACAATGAAGATGGACGCTTCCCGCGGCCGAACTTACCTTGCGGAAGAGCTGGGCCTTCGCAAACAGATGGAAGGAAACGTGGGTACCGATGATCTCTGGTACAGAATTGCCAACTTGAGGAGGAAAGAGCAAAAACATCACACGGAAGGGTCCTTGAAGACTGGGCAGCTCTACCGGAAGATAGCGTGATGTTGCAAAGCATCACACTTTCTGCCACACCTCCCACAGACCATATCACCGCCTCGCAAAAACCAAAGACACCAAAAACCACAAAAAGTCCTTAGAGGTCGAGGGTCGAACAAAGGTCCAAAAAACGACTTGTCTGAAGCCCTGGAGTGATCAGTTCACAGGAGTTCAGGTATCGAAATCCCCACCTGCACAGATCACCATGGTCTCTGGCAGGGATTTTTCCGAACGCCCGTTGTCGAGTTTCGCCAGCGTTAGGTTGTAGTCTGTCACGAGGGAAACACCTGCTTGAGCTGGCCTTCAACCAATTCCGCCTACTCGGTGTCCAGCTGTGATAGGAATGGTGAGCGGACTAGACAGGTCAGCGTTAAGAGCAGTTTTTGACGACTTTAATATATCAACCACTGCTTTTTTCTGGTTGGTTGGGAGTAGTGAAGTGAACTCACGAGTGGGAGCAGCTTGGCTGAAAAGGGGAAGAGGGTGAAGTGAAGGAAGCTGCAGTCAAAGGAGCGTGGTGCATGGAGAGGGCTCCTAAACGCTACCTCTGCCCTTCTCGAGCGTCTTGCTCTACGAGTCTCAAGGAGCTATACTTCGATGCTCTTCCAGCCAGACACCACATACCGACGCCTACAAGACTCGTTGAACAGAAATCCTGAACCATCAAGCGAAAGGATACTCAGTCTTTTGACAGAGACCATCAAGGTAGCAACTCTGTCTGACTTTACCATGGCTGCGGATACGGGGTTCACACAGGGCAAGTTGATACGATATCTGGCATCTGCCCAGGAGGACAGTTCACTGTGCAGGATGTCGGACCACTTCAGGTGCACAAGACATACGTCCGTCAGGCAGGTAATCAAACCGTCAACGACTCCAAACATAATGCAGACACACCATTGTTTTGTATTCAAGTCGCAGATCGCTGTTGCTCAAGAAGTAGTTTTGCGCCTCGGAAATGCACGAAACCACTGTGAAAGTGTTTCGAGAGGTTCCGCTCAGATAAAGGTCAACATGCTAAACAGTATAACCACCACGCTTGACTATACAGCCATCACCATCACAATAACCATGATCACCAAGAACCACCTGGGTATCAATCCAAGAAACCAAAAGAAACCTCCCATCATGCCCAACGGTGCTTTTAGCAATAGCCAAAAAACCAACAACGTTGTCGATTAAGAATAGTAATATGCTGGGAAATCCCATGCACGCATCCACTTGACTTCTCCTTGACCTGACCTCCCACAACCAACGTTTCATCCAACATCCCATCATATAGGTCGTCGAAATCGTACCTTATCTCATCCATTTCACCTCCAGCCATACGATCAAACCATCACACCAAGTCCGATCGGTGGATCGACCGGATCGCTGCTGAGAAGCCAGTCTCGCTTGTTGAACTTTCGGGCTTCCTTTTCGGCCTCAATATCAACATCTAGGCCCAGATCGATACCGCTATCGTCGAGAGTGTTCGCCTGCTGTCGTTTTATGGGACTGCTAAGACCGGTGTGAAAACTGGGCAGGTCCAAAGGGCCACCGCGTCTTAATTCGTCTAGGTCTGCGTCGGTAGCGTCATCATCGATATCCTGGGTTGCTTCTTCACCTGTTGGGATTCGCGGTAATCCTGGGACATCCCCTGGTACTTGTTCGAACTTCTTGGGTAGACGAGATAGATCTGGAATATCATCTTCCGACCGCTTTCTCTTGGTCCTCCGATCTAATGAACTCGAGAGAGGGTTGATCTCCCTGCACTTTTCTTGTTCTCTTTCATCAGCAAGCTTCTGGGTCTCTTCGTCCAGAAGCAGTCCTTCCATTTGCGTCATCCAGCTCAGCATCTGAGTAGCGAACGACTCTACGAACCACCATGACTGATAGCTGTGAGCACCATTTTGACCCATTTGCATCATAACGCTAGACCACAGTCGTGAATGCCAGTCGATCATGCACTGTGGATGGTGACCCTGGAAGAGTTGCGGCAGCCGCTCGAGCCAGCTGATCCATCTTTCCAGCAGAGGCGAAAGCTCTCCTGACGTGTCTGCGAGCAGGACGCCATAGGCAGAGTCCGAAATGTCATTGACAAAGTTGGCATACGCGCTGGTCGGATCATCTTCGGCTGCACGTGTTAATTCACCATCCAGAGGAGAGACCAAAGGTCTCAGATCGTGCCTCAGAACACCTTGCAGCTTCTCAAGACTTTCGGGTGGTGGCATGCTGTCCTCCAAGAGACGATCCGGATCGACCATTGCCATAAGGTCAAGCCACATTTGCGTCCGTTGCTGCGGATCATCGAGCATGTGACTCAATTGCATTGTTGCTGCGTTGGCCCCCTTCAGCTTCTTCAACACGTTCACGAATCGTGCGGCCGGTACAGTCTTGGCCACAACGACGTGGACGGGACATTTCTCTTCGAATGCGGTGATCAAGTGACCAACCAGCCTTGATCCGATTCTTTCAAAGACAGTCCATACAACCTCAGGTACATTCTGAAGCACCAGCGGTGCAATGAAGCGGACAATCTGTTTGTACATTCGCATATCACATTCTTGGATCCAAGGGGCCAAGCACTCCATGGAGAAGAGCTTGGACACAGGTACTGTCATCTTTCCATTGAAGGCTGAATGGTGGTTGAAAAACGGCTTCTCCTTGCACTTTCGGAAGGCATCGATGACATCAATACAGTAGGATCGGTACAGGTGGAATAACGCCTTCGCTATCGAAACATCATAGGTGGTTCCTTCCAGATAAGGATGTATGTCGGGAAACTCGATTGGATCTTGTGAGGTTGGAACTTGAGACAGGGAGTTCATCGTGGGCATACCAAGGTAGGTAGACATGCTGGCTGGAAGATTCGGTCGAATGGAAGGTAGAGCGGCCACCACATTTGAAGGCATTGTCTTTATAGGTAGACGGATTGTTGGGGTGTTGATATATTTGCAGTCCAATTTCTGAACATGAGCCTGGTCCGACTCAGGGACATCATCATCAGTTGGACCCGTGTCTTTCGACAGGAACGCAGCACTTGGAGCCGGGAAATCGGCCGTCTCCATGGTAGCGCGAGACATAGGTCTCTCTATCGTGGGGGTGATATGGGGTTTGAACGCTTTGTTGGCCTCGACCACGGAGCCGTGTCTTTCGTGACGCTGGCCATTTGCCGTGGCAGGTCGTTCGGGTCCTGCACCATACTGTCGGTCATCGTCATCCATAATTAGTGAAAGATCGACGTAGTGGTATTTGGATTCGCCGCGCACACCCAGTCTTCGTGTCTGGACGTTGGGGAAAATGATGCGCACGAGCTTGCCAAATGATGCAGGGTTCAACGTTGGAACTCGTTCATTGCCGCATCGTTCGGTATAGCGAGTGAAAACACGGTCTCTTCGCACGGATTGAGAAGACCGCTGACAATTCTCTTGGAGCCTGGTCTCATTAGCTTCGTCCCGTACTGATTTGAACATGCGCACCATAGCATGGCAAAGACTTGTTTTGCTTTTTCTGATTTGCCTCCAGATCCTTCATTCTTCTGCACCTCTGCGGCAACTTCCTTCAACGACTTGCCTTGATATTGAGCAAGCAGGCGTCGCAATTCCTGGTCGTTGGCCACACTTGAGGCATTTGCTTTTCTTCGCTTCGCACCACCGTTTTCCGTCTGCGAATCCTCCGGAGCCGGAGAACCTTCAAACTGCTCGGACTGATGACGCATGTGTTGCATATGCTGTGGAGGTACGCCAAAAGGTATGTGGTGAGGGTATTGCAAGGGAAAGGGTTGCATTTCCTGAAATCCTTGTTGTGAGATTGGGCGCATTTCGTGTTGCGAAATGTTGGGAGGATGTTCTATGGACTGCTGCCGTAGATGAGCTGCCATGTTGTGCTGGTAATGCATGAGCATCTCTTCTGGATTGTGCCCATATATCGCCGCAGCTTGCGGGTGGACGAAGAAGCCATTATGTTCTATCGGCATTGTCGGGTCGTCCTCGTGAGGCGCTGGTTGGAAAGCGCTTCCTACGCCTACCGACTGTAAACTGGTTGTCGAACCACGAGACTTTGGACGACGCTTTTCTTTATTTGATGTTGCATTGTTTGTATGGGTAGGACCCTGCGGTTCTGGAGCTTCTTCCTCCATACTGTGGGTTGGTGACTGCGGCATCTGAACTGTGCGCCGGATTAGCCTGCTGTCAACGCATGACAACAAACAACCTCTCAAGCCTAATTTTATCCAAGCTCTTCAATTTTGCGGAAATGAGTACCTTTTGAGTTGCGCAATAGACCTATGACCGAATCTTTTCGCCTGTGGTGTATATCATGCGCGATTTGCCATTCGCAGGACAGAGGTTGGTGGAGTGGTTTTCGGGTGGGAACCTTTGCGACGATGAAGCAAGACTGGCGGTAGGCAGACCAGGAAGGACTCGAGTCTGTAGCTGCCAGAGATCGGGATGTCCCACTTTTGGATCGAGTAGCCGTCGAGTTGGGAATCTATAAGAGTGTAGGCTTACTTGAGGCGCGCTGAGTATGGCACTTGTTGATGATGCAGTTTCTCGATTGTTATTTGGGGTATTGGCTGCCGGGACAACAACAAACGATTCGGCGAATTCCTTGGCATTTCAAGGCCGCCCAAGAAGAAAAGCATCCCACCAGTCGCCAGTAGATGCCTTGATCCATGTCATTTCAATAGTGCTGTAGAGGGTTTCAAACTCATGTCTCGTTAAGAGAGCTACATAAGTACCTAGGTGAACGACCTAAACCTGCCGTATACTGATGTACTCGCTCTTTCTACACTACAGACTGTAGCAATTGTGGATTTCTAGACTACAGATGGTAGCAATTGTGGACTTTGGACGACACGAGAGAAGAGTGGTCGATCTCTACTTTGTCATGACTGTGATCAATCGTCTTCCATTTCCTATCGTTTTGTTCTGCCGCAGGCATGGGTTAACCTCAGGGTCACGTAAGCCCCTTTGTCTGAAAAATGTTATCCTTTAGAGTCACTTCACGGATTGCACAAGGTCAGTGGGTAGCTTGGTTGAACCACAAGGACAGGGGTAATAAGGCTTGCTTGCATGGGCAACTTTGGTTCTTCAAGCAGAACGTGAAGTACTAACCAAAGCACGGCCACGAATCAGAAATGAACACTACCAAAAGATCTGGATGTCTCATGCCGGTCGCCTGGTTCACGCCAAAGTCTCTGCCCTTTGCCGATCTGGTTCTTCGGTGCTCGAGGTATAAAAGCGACCTCGTGTCCCGCAAGAAGTTTACAACGTCTCATATCCTCTTTCGAGGTTCACATTGTAAAAGGTTGACACAGAAGAATGATGAAACCAATGGATGTGACAATCAGCACCTCTGATTTCGACTGAGGACGTCCGCCCTGCCCAATGGTGACTGGCGAGGGCCTTGGTCCAGAATGATGAACTTAGGCTGTCAATTTGATTTGCATGTCCGGCTTCGTTGATCAGAGACTGATGGGATCACCTATGTCGCCAGTCGATGAAGCAGGACCAAGCTTTGAAGCATGAGCCGACGACACCAGCAGTGAAGATTGCTGTTGCTCCTTCGCAGCCTGACTGTCGGGAGACAAGGCAAAGTCATCGCGCAGCTTGGTTCTGAACGAAGCAGAGATGGCCGGTTCATACATACGCGCCTACCTTCAGGCTGGCGAATTTTTCTGCTCATGGGTCAACAATAGAAGACGATATTTCTCGAAAGGTATCTTTCATGATAGTCATTGATAGTCCTCCATATTCTGGTTGTTTGTTTCGTTCAGGAGCAGTCAGCATCACGTGGCTCCCTGTTCAAACGATGGTACGTCATTTCAGTCACATCGCAAGGTGTGCACTGTGCTCGATTGAAACGCAGGCGGAGACTCTCAGGGAAAGGAGATTGGAGCTTGCATGCATGGGACACTTTGGCACTAAAAGTAAATGCACCTCACATCATCTGCCAACCCGACCGAGACGACGTCAGCTGTTTCTCATCACTCCTTGGAATAAAACCCTCCCACCGTTTGCACGCACTCCTCGAGTCGTTTTAACACTTTCACATAAGTCATATCATACCTCTGCCGTTCGTCGCGCATCTTCCATTTCGATACACCTCTTGTCAAAGACACTTCCTTTACCGCCCACAATGTCTTTCCAAGATAAAGCTCAACACCACATTGGTGCCATTGACAAAGAGGTGAGCACATGCTAGGCGCCCATCTTTCCAGCCCACCGCCATATTTTCCTCCAAGTCAATCTTGTCGCTTCCTTCTCTTGTTCGAGGGGAATTTCAGCTAACCTGTGGCAATCGCAGCTCTCCCGATACCCCGTCCTCAATGACTTCGAGAAGCAGACGAGCGTTCCCAAGGTTTATGTCTTCCTCGGCCTTGTCGGTGTCTACTGCTTCCTGGTCTTCTTCAACATTGGAGGCGAGTTCCTCGTCAACTTTGCCGGCTTCGTGCTCCCTGGATACTACTCGCTAGAAGCACTGTTCAGCACAAGCAAGGTGGATGATACTCAGTGGTTGACAGTATGATATCTCAACACTAAAGGTTGTTGCGAAGGACGCTGACATGTTGTTAGTACTGGGTTGTCTATGCTTTCCTCACGGTTGTCGAGAGTGTTATCAATGCTGTCTACTGGTTCCGTATGTGTCTACTTGATAATGTTGCGAGACGATAGCTGACCGATAACAGCCTTCTACTATGTGTTCAAGTTCATCTTGATCCTTTGGATGGCTCTCCCAATCACCAACGGAGCCCAAATCGTCTTCCGATCTTTCATCCAGCCAGTCTTCTCTCGCTTCTTCAGCCAGACCGGCAGCGCCTCCGCGGATCTCCGAGGCAAGGCTGATTCCGCTTTCAAGACCCAGTAAACGAGTCAAATTGTCTTACCAGAACATCTCACGTGAAGTGGAGAGTATCGCGGACTCTTGAAGCGAACAACTCTGGATTGCCAATTGGTGCGGGCGGAGAAGAGCGACTGGAATCCAGTGATGATAGGGGAAGGTTGCTGTAGAGAACTGCCGCAGGAGACCTCATGGCGGTGGAGGAATGAACTTGTTATGGATTTGCACGATAGAGTTATTGACATTGACGTTACGACTGGTATGGCTGCAAAGATCAATGATGGATAAGTAGAAATGCCATGCGAATGCGATGTCACTTTATATTCCAAAAAAATATATAGTAATCGGCCTCTACCCGTTTGCGGTAGGTGGCTGCTTCAGGTCCAACTGCCAAACGCTCTCTCTGCACTCTCCTGCTGCTTCGGGTTGACAAAGATGCGATAAGGAAAAGGGTTCTGATCACTGGTTGTTATAGGAGGGATATGGTCCTTGTCCCTGTTGACGATTGCGACAATCTTCATCGCAGTCTTTTGGAGAGACGACTCCATCGCTCTGCGAACCTTGATCCGGTCTGGTAGGACAACATTCAGTCAGACATTCACACAGAAACACAGGATGACCTACCGGCTTCACTGCGGGGTCTGGCTACAATGACCTGTACACACCATTCTTCCCAACAGATCTCCTCTTCTGTTTGACCACCACCACCACCGAGTCTACCCAACCATCCAGTAGTGATGCCTGTTTTCCGCCTCTTTCGATCAAAAAAGCGCACGACAATTTCGCCACGAGAACCACCTGCGGCAGAAGTCGCGGAAGATTGTGGAGTAAGCTGAGAAACCAACAAAGCAGTATGCGAGTCTATCGCTGCTGAGATCTCAGGTGGATCAAGGATCGAGGGGAGCGGGATGGGCAGGGACTGGACGGAGTGCGATGACGAGTGAGAAGAGGAGGCTGTTGGAGTATATAGTGTTGGTCGCACTGGAGGGAAGTATCGGTGGAAGAATATAGTGTGCAGCACTCCTGCAATCGAGCGATATGTCAGTCACGACTTGGTAACCACCCGGTATAAGATATATCAGGCGCCAGGGCATCCCATAGCTAGGTCCGAAGATAGACGGACCTTTGACAATGTCCTTTACAAAAGTCTGGTCGGCGAAGACCTCAAGTATATATTCGTGACGAGGCACCTCCATGATCGTAGAAGGACTCGAGCCTTGCAATTCTCAGGGTGGCCTTAGTAGTGGGGTGGTTGAGATGGGAGAGGGATGAGTATGGCAGCCAGCAAAGTGGCGCCTGTCAGAGAGGGAGGATTCAGGACATCGTTATATCATCTTTGACCAAAGGTGCCTGAGGCTGAGCAAAACGCGCTGTTCGTTGTGTACTTCTTCACAACAGGATGAATGAGACTCAGATACTACTATGGTAGATTGGTACATCCATCAGAGGCTGGTGGGGTCGAAATCGGCGCACGTAGATAGCCGTCATGTCAATTAGCCGGCGTGTTGTTTGCCCGGGCTTCTGATCAGTGCTTGTGACCCCCAGCCTAACTAACGCGGGCCACTACCAGCATTTCCCGCGCATGCTCTCACCCGCAATCTGGATGTTACAATACAAGCCCGATGACCGCAAACCTCGGCACCGCCACAGCTGTCCGCCATTTCCCCAATACTGCCACGAATGTGATCAATAAATCGTGTCCATTGACAACTACCTAGATACTCAACCTGCCCTTTGCTCGAACCGCCAGAGACGCCTCTTAGAGCATCACGTCTGCGGTCATGTCCCATTATCGGATCAACCTGTACCTGAGATAAAGGTACATCCTCCCCTCAAACATCATGATATCAGCCACACGTCGCTGGCTCAGGCGGAATCGCACTGGGATCGCAATCGGCGCTGGCGTAGTTGGTGCAACATATCTGGCTGGTCAATATGTGCTTGGGAAGATACAAGAAGCGCGGGAGCGCATGCAGATGGACAGGATAGCGAAAGAGAAGTAGAGCACCCTCCACCTCGCTGCATGGATTCCACTGACAGCACACCGTAGCATTCAACGACGCTTTGAACAGAATCAGACAGACTGCACGATAACAGTCCTTGCCCTCCTACCCACTTTGACCGAAAACGTCCTCGAAGAATTACCCGTCGAGCAATTGACTCACGAACTGCAACAGAAGAAAGCAGAACGGCTGGCACGTGCCTCAGGAGAAGGAAGGTCAGAAGCCTCCAGTCTACATGATGGCGATACCGTCAGCATGTCCAGCTTTCAGACTGGAAGTTTTATGCACACCAGCCAGATACCAGGAGACGGAAGTCAGCCGAGTCCGCGCAGGACAAAAGCACAACTCTGGAATGAGTTGAAGATTACTTCCATCACCAGAGCATTCACACTGATCTACAGTCTATCACTGCTAATGATACTGACGCGGATACAATTGAATCTACTCGGGCGACTCAACTACCTATCGTCAGTCATCTCTTTGACCCAGCCTCTGCCGCCAGGAAGAGCGAACTCGATCTCGTTAGAAGATCATGACGATGCAAGTATGGGGGCAGGTGTCGGCAATGATTTCGAGACCAATCGAAGATACTTGACTTTCTCATGGTTTCTCCTACACAGGGGGTATGCACAAATCATGTCGAAAGTGAGATCTGCAGTGTTGGAGGTGTTTGGCAGCATCTCTCCCAATGAAGGAGTTTCGGCCACAAGGCTCAGTGAGTTGGTCCTGGCAGTCCGAAGGCGCGTTGAAGGCAGCTCCGAACAAGAGAGGTACGCGACGAGATGGCTGCCATATATACTACCGCCACGCGAAGAGGAAGAGACAGTCTTGATCGAATCGGGCGTCATCACTCCCAGTCCTTCCTCACCAGGACAGGCTTCCCAAGAGGAGGCTGGGCTTGGACACAACTCCTCCGTCAACATTGACACATCTAGTGGGCCGCTTCGGCAACTGCTTGACGAAACCGCTGATTTGATCGACTCGCCTATCTTCACACGAATTCACACCCTCCTCCTAGGATCGATGTTTTCACGCCTGGTTGACGCCCATGTCATCGCCCAGACCTTCCCTCAGCCGCCACAACAATCTCTATATGCGTCATCCCAAACCCCGCAGCATCCTCGAATCCAGGAACTGGATTCTTCAGTTACCGTTGTACCTGGCGAGCCTCGGGTGAAACTTGCCAGTCTCCTGGCCATCGTTACCCGCCAGGCACACGCAATCGGCAACGGGAACAATCCCCCTAATGAGTATATATCAACAGCAGAATCAGAAGTGAAGGAGCTCGAGGCTTTTGCTGCCCTTATCTATGCCAGTAACCTGGAAGAGAAACTGGAGGAGAACAGGGCATCCTCTGAGAGCGGACTGAAAGCATCTTCAGGAATGGGCGTGAGCGAAGTGGGTACTCAGAACGTGGACGAGATGATTGAGAGCAAACTCGAAAGTGCGTGGACCAAGGTTAGTGGGACGAGTTTCTCGTCAAGATGACAGCGATTTATACTGTGAGCGGATTGCGCAGATGACGTTTCTACACAGTCGACATGAAGGTCAACAGCAGACATCCAATGGACGACCATCATGTAGGCTGTTGATAGCAGAGCATGGCTATAGCGACTTGTGACCTGAGGGCATTCGGAGCCAAAGTCAGAATCATCTGGCAAGTGCTACGACTGCATGTAGAAGAATGGAATCTCCATTATGAATGACCTTTTCCACGTTGCCGTCCCATCGAGCAATTCACATCCATCCAGCATCTGTCAAGAAGCCAACCCGTCCGTCTATAAGAGCTTTTCATCCATTCCTGCCTAACGCCATATCATCATGCCCGATGCCAGTGGTTCTCAAATGCTCGGCTGTGTGTTCATGACACATCCACATCAACCACGACATTCTTCGTAGGGGGCTTATCGTCTATATATCCCCGTCCCCCAGCATATCCTCAAGATCGCCAGTCCCCAAGCCATCCCAATACTATCCTTGATAACATTCAACTTACTTCCCACCACCTCCCGCCATCCAATTGGAACCTCAGCCACCGGAATCCCTGCGAACTCAGCGAGCATCAACATCTCGACGTCAAAAATCCACCCATCCATATGCATATGCGGTATGATATACGGCAGCGTAGCGCGCGAGAACAACTTGAACCCGCACTGCGTATCCTTGATCCTCGCGGTCTGAGGCGGCGTCATGAGTTTGAGGAGTAAATGAAACGAGTGCATCAGGAAATTGCGCAACTTGGAACGTTTAACCACGGCCTCGCTCCCGACTAAATGCGCGCGAGAACCCACTGCCACACCACGGCCTAGATCGTCTTCGACCTCCTCGCATGCCGAGACTAATTTGTCTAGGTCCGTGAATTTAGAGGCGCCGTCCGCGTCGGCGAATACCACGTACTGGCCTCGGGCGTGGCGCATGCCATGTGTCACGGCGCCTCCTTTGCCGCGGTTCTCTTCGAGGGTGATCATGCGGACTGCGCCCGGTGGAATCTTGACGCCCTGATCGCTGCGGTGTGTCCAGGGTCCCGAGGCACGGCGTGGTTGTTTGGCTAGGATATGGTTGCGCGAGAATGTCTGCGCTGTGAGGATCGTATTGTCTGTTGAGCCGTCGTTGACCAGCAGGATTTCCCAGCCCCGGAGACCTGGTTTCTTGTTTGCGTTGCCATTCGCGTTCGCGTTCACTTTCGCTTTCCGCCGCCGTGTTGTTGAGTTCTCTGTTGTGTCTTCTCCCTGCTTACTCGCTTCTGTCGTTCCGTACTCTGTTTCTAGGTAATTGACCGCCTCTTCCAGCATGCCAGTGAGTCTGTCCTCCTCATTGAATGCAGGTACGACGACCGTCATGAATAACTCGGCCGGGTCGATCTCTTGCTCCAGCTGCTCGATCTCCTTGCCTTCGGACTTGGCTTTGGCGTATTTCCGGAGAATGTCGTCGTACCAGCACGGTAGGGGTTCGGGATCTGTTACGTCGCCGGTCTTGTCAACTGTTGTGAATGTCTTCTCTGCGGGGCGTGGTTTCCTGGGATTGGGAACGAATAGGGTTATGAAAAGCCATGCCTATCAGTTATTAGCATTGGAGTGTCGTATCAAGGGGACTTCGACGTACTATGAGCACAATACCGAACAGAAACCAGACCACATAGAAGGGTACGAGGCGCAATTGGAAATACTTGTCGTCCTTGAACACGTCCGTGAAGTGATGTCCCATAACACCCATCTTGACGGTGGCCTCATACCCTGGGGCACTCAACGGACGGCAAAAACAGACGCGACTAGGTCAACCATCAACGCGAGGATCACAGCAGCGTCCCGGAATCACATTCGAGTCAAGACGTGGGGAGCATGCGACCGTGTAATGAGAGGACAGATCGGTAAGAATAATTTTGGGCGAATCGGAGTCGACAAGGCTGAAGTCCAGACACCAATTCCTCCGCATTAGGGGTGTTAAATCCTCTCTACCATACACTGTTAGGAAGTCATAGGGTCAGCTCATTCAGTGTGCATGTTCCCACTTTCCCGGCGTGAGTACGAAGATGACTTTTACACACTGACAACATCTATGAGGGCGACTTGGTCAACACCTCCTTCCATTTCCGCGCCATCTCCATGCCCTGCGCTAATGTCCCGACACGAGCATCGATCGCGAACCCCTGCTCTTCCAACTTTGCCAATTCCACCCAAAGACTGTCCAGCGGCAGAGTGAAACTCTCAATGTATTCACTGTCCTCTAACTCCGGCTTCAGATTTCCTTCTTGGTTGCGAGAGTCCGACATATCCACCTCCACAACGATCATCTTCGTGTTGGTGTTGCAAAAGCCAGGATCGTTGAACATCAGAAACCCCTCCGCGGCCTTCGCGTCCCCAGGTATGGTAGCTATATATCCCGTCTCTTCTTTCAGCTCACGTAGAGCTGCCGTCGCTGGATCTTCTCCATCGTCAATCAGGCCGGACGGGACTTCGATCGTGACTTTATCAACGGCAGGTCGAAACTGCTTCTGGAGGAGTAGTGAAGGTCCTTTGGATGACTTGGGATCGTTGAGAACTGCTACGACACCCACTGCATCGACCTCGCTGGTCTTAGATCTGGTCTACCATTCATTTGATCAGACAAGCATCTCCGTGCCGGCACTGCTCAACACGCACCATTCGTTCTGCGGACTCCCAAAGTCTCTGCTTGCCGGAGGGGTCTTTGTATGTGATTTTCTTCAATGTTATCCATCTCGACTCGCCTGGCTTCTACGATTCTTCAGCATTCAGTCCTCGGCTCCGGCAGTATTTTATGGTCGAACATACCATGGGCTCGACCGACGTGACTTTGGCGTCGAGCGGCGAGTACGTAGACATTTTGTCCGCCATGACTGGAGTCCTTAGCCTGGCGAACAATCTCCTCGAGGCTCTAGCACCACGTAGCAAGGCAGAAGTCGTGTGCAACATATGTCATGCATTGCAGGAAGATGCTGAGTAGTGTTATTGCTGAACCACCAAATCATGACGTAGCGTATTCGCTGATGGACAAGGCTGAATTTGGGCAGAGACTACGGTCACGTGCTTCTATATACCACCCGCTGGCTCTCCTTCGTGGCTTGGGGAGACACTACATAGGCCATGGGGAAATCAAATCTGGAGGCGAAAGGAATGATGAAGTCACGATGAGGGTCAGAAATCGAGGTGAATGTTGTTGCAATTAAATTACAATTAAATTGGAATATATGTACGCTGCTTAGCCTCCTAAAAGTTTTGCGACGCCGAGTAATGACCTGGCCGGAAAGGCACCCGATCGTAGCGTCCAGAAGTCTGTTGTTGACCTCCCGCATTCTGCCCGGGAAGTTCATATGACTGCTGGCCAGAAGGCTGATTGGCATAATATCCTTCTGTGCTCATTCCACTTACGCCAGAAACGCTGCGTTGATGTGATGATTGAGGCTGCACCTGGTTGTCTGGAAGTTGATGAACGTCACGCTCATCACCAGGCAACTCATTGAAGTAGCCTGCTGCAGCCGAACTCATGGGCGCTTGCTGGTGGTAGCTGGCTGTGTGGCCGATCGGGGCCTCTCTTTCCGAATAGTCGCTCTGATCAGAGATAGACATACCCGAGGATGCGTTATGTGAATGGCCCGCAGAACGCGTCGCTGCCGCAACCGGTATCAGACGATCTGGAGATCGAGGTGGAGGGTTCAGTCGAGAAGAAGGGTCTGACTGGGTACCGGAACGAGTTGACGCATAAGCTGGAACAGCGGCCATAGCACCCATGGTTGCTGGTCCTGCTGCAGACCCCCCGAACTCGCTCATTCCTGGTACAGAAGTATGGGGATCGTAGTGGTCGTGTGCCATGGAGTCTCGCCTCCTGCGCCGCCTCATATACCACGAATACCAGCCGCCGAAAATAGCTGCGGCGACTACAGCAACACCAACTCCAGCTCCAATGCCGGCTTTGGCTCCAGTCGAGAGGCCTCCGCTACTGCTGCTGACAGAGTTTGATTGCCCAGCCACCGACGGAGAAGCGCCAGGCGTGCTTGTGGTGGTTCCTACGTCCACAACTGTAGTCGCTGGCTCAGATGCGACCACGACACTCGTAATGGTCGTATACCCAGCAACACCATTCGATGTCGTTTGGAGAACTTGCGTAACTGTCGAGGTACTGGTAGAATAGGATACTGAAGAACTACTTGTGGTGATTACCACAGGCGAGGCAGTAGTCTTAGTAGTCTTAGTAGTCTTGTCGGATGAAGTGGTGGAGTCAGACGATGATTCGGAAGAAGTTGGTGTGGAAGTCGTGCTCGGAGCTGTCGTGGTAGTGACTGCAGCTGGTGAACGTGTTACTGATGTTGTACTCGACGTGGACAGGGTAGTTGAGGCAGGTAGGGGTGAACTCGACGTGGACAGGATGGTTGTGGAAGATGGGGAAGGAGTTGTTGAGGCTGCAGAAGAACTCGAGGTCAGGGTACTCGAAGCAAAAGGCGTGCTAGAGGTAACTAATGCTAGGATAGATAAGGCAAACAATGGCAAATTGTAGACAGCTACTCACTAGTCGACGTGGGAATCGTCGTGGAGGGGGTAGTAGACAGGGAAGAGGTCGTCGTTGCCGGCGCAAGGGAAGAAGAGGTCGTGGTGGTAGCTGCGGTGGAGAGGAGGGTATAAGCCGTGGACGACGAAGTGACGCTCGTGGTAGTAGTGGTGGAAGAAGGGAGGGGGTTTGAAGTTGTACTGCTTATGGGGCTGATGGTGGAAGAACCAACGGACGAGGTGGATGTGGTGGTAGACAGGGTGGTAGGGCTTGTGGTAGCTGCCACATTTTGCACATTAAAACAGCACCGGGGCAGGGTAAAGAACAGTGCGCGAAAGTTGGGCAGAACATTATGCGGATTGCAGAGGTGGGCTGTATCAACTTACTAGTAGGAATGGTCGTCGTGGTTGTTGGAACAGTCGTGGTCGTTGAGACGACGGCAGGAGTCGTAGTGGTGGTAGTAGCAACAGTGGTGGTAGTTGTCGAAGGAGTCGTGGTAGTGGTGGTAGCGATAGTGGTGGTAGTCGTCGAAGGGGTGGTAGTCGTTGTGGTAGCAATAGTCGTGGTAGTTGTGGAAGAAGGAATAGTCGTCGTGGTTGTTGAGGGAGTGGTTGTGCTGGTTGTGCTGGCTATGGTGGTTGTGGATGTCGAAATTGTTGAATTAGTTGTAGTAGTGCCTTGAGCCAGCAATAGAACAGCCAGCGCAAGAAGCAGCAACGACAACTGCAGCAGCCTCGCCATGGCTATGAGAGCTGGCGATTGCGCCGCACAGTGTCCTGCGCAGAAGCTTGGTGTGCTTCAGTCCGGTGAGGTTGTAAAAGTAAGAAAGAAAATTCGTAGACATGAGCCGATCAGCGACATCAGGCTCTATTTAGGCCACGAACCCCATACTGGCTAGCAGGACGGTAGGTCGGTAGGGTTCAAAGTTTGTAAGCTGTAGCTGCATGGTCTATTTGCCCAAGAGCTTGGGGTTTCGCCGCATGGAGAGGACGGGAGCAGTATGGAAAAGACGGAATGTTCTGTTTTTCTCAGCTCGCCGCAGATGTTACGAAGCCATTGACGCACAGACGGTGGGATCCCGAGGTCGCTTAAGCGGAGTGGGAGGGGTCTGGAGTTGGCCTGATCGGCTGGCGACCGGAAGTGCTAGGGCTTTGCATGCAACATGGCCCCAAAGTATGCTTTGAGAAGGTGTACATGTAAGAGACTTTCGCATGAAGATCCAATTGGAAGCACCCAAGATGGTATTGTTGCCAGAAGAGGCTAAACACCGCCAATGGTCTCGGCTGACAATGACCCAATTCTCACACAGTAATCATGCATGAGGTGGAAGCACCATTTCTCGTGAGGCAGGGCCTCGGAAGAATCGACTGTATCCTTGTTCACAAGCTGAGAGGAGAATGTTGCAGTCCGTACACGACATGAAAGAAAAACACACACATTTGCGTGATGATGATGATGGTGACGGATACTGATGAATGACAGCTGCCGGAATGGTAGTTACCGAAGCTTGAACGACAGCCTTTTTGCTAGCTATGGTTAGCAACTTAGCGTCACTCAGAAACAAGTGCAAGCACGGTCCGGGACATCTGAAAATAGGTCGACTCTGGGCGAGGATTGGCGTAAATGTCACCTTGGACCGGGCTCGCTGGCGGGAACGGGTGAAAAAAGAGACAGTTGACTTTTGAGAGGGGAGCCGATCCAGCAACAAAAGGTCGCCTATCGCCAATGCGATAAGCTACACCACTAGGGTGGGATTAAGGTGTCGTCTCAAAGGGATCTTCCCGCTTCTTGCGTATTACACCTTGGGTCTTGCACCTATGAAATGCGTGAGATGGTGCAAGACCTCTAACCGGCAGTTTCGCCAGAGGCCTGTGCACAGTCCATATATTGATTGATAGTCCCTGAAATGTCAACAATCGCATGCTGTTGCGTCCCATCTTGATCAAACATGTAAACACGTTTCCCATATTACCGCGGATGATCTTTGAATGGGACCGCGCCCTCGGCTCTTGCTCTTCGGCAAATCTGCCCGTGAACGCCGTCGCAAGGCCTTTTGTGCTGGACAACACTCCCTCGGAATACATGAGTCCAAGTGTTGGCAGTATCCAATATGTTTCCCAAGACTCTGGGTCACTGATTGATGATCTTCTGCTTGACTGGTTCATGCCGTCAACGTTGCGATGCAGGAGACATGACCCAAGCATGGCTTGTCGACCAAACCAGTCGATGAGGCTGTTCTCCTGGCACAAGGTCATGAAGACGTCGAGATTATACGCATGTTTGTCGACAGTCCCTCGAACAGAAGTGGATGCTTACCAAAATCAAATGTCGTTGTCAACAAGGTGAGGTTCTAGTGACTATTGACCGCTCAAGTATTCCAATCTCACATCTCACGTGGTATCGTACGGAATGCGTTTGCGCGCTCCGTAAACGTCATAATGCCTTCACAGACCAATGTCGACTGTGAACATCCGACACGTTGCCGTTGCCATATACTCCTGGCCACGTCTCACGTTTCCTCACTAATGCCAACACTATTATTTCACTCACGACCGTCGTTTGTACCACCTTGCAGCATATAGAATTTATTGTTTGTTTGTTTCCTTGCACCGTTGATTACAGTTCGATCAGCTTACAGGTTCTCTGACTCACCGACTCCAACATTCACAAAAGACCTATAATAGAAGAAGATTTAACGAACCCCAACTTTCAGATCCAACGAGAAAGGAGTATCAAGTGATAGAATATTACAAGATGCCAGCCGCGCAAGAGAATCCAGATGGCAAGGCGCCGATTGTTTGTGTTTTGTACGTACGAGCCATGGGTTATTACCCATCAGATATATCCCACGATAGACTAACATCGTTAAAGCTGTGCTTCTTCGCCAGGCAAGGATCCCATTCACTTAGAGTCTGCGCGAAAACTCGGAAAGTCGCTTCATGACTCAGGTTACAGCCTCGTGTATGGTGGTGGAACGATGGGCATCATGGGCGAACTGGCCAAGACCTTGGTCTCATTATCTGGTCCTCGGTCAGTCCGTGGTATCATTCCTCGAGCATTGATCCGCACGGAGGTCGATCCTTCCACTCGAACAGACGCAAATCACAGTGGGAATCGAAGGAAGGTTGAGCGTACAATGTCATCAGATGAACTTCAACGAATCACGAGTAGTGAGGATCCCAACAGCGATATCATCCCGCAATCAGAGTTCGGCGCGACCACAGTGGTTCCAGATATGCACACTCGGAAGCGCATGATGGCTCAGTCGGTTGAGGCTGGAGGTCCTGGTTCGGGGTTTGTTGCTTTGGCTGGAGGTTACGGAACCATCGAGGAGGTCATGGAAATGGTGACTTGGAATCAGCTGGGAATCCACAGCCTACCAATCGTTCTTGTCAATATCAATGGGTACTGGAACGGACTGTTGGATTGGGTCAAAAACAGTGTCCGAGAAGGGTTCGTGGGCGAAGGGGCTGTCAATATCTTAGTCGAAGTTCAGAGCACGGACGAGGTGATACAGGCGTTAAGGGACTACAAGACGGCTCCGGGGAGATATAAGCTGGACTGGAACAACGAGTAGAGGTGAAGACAAACGAGATAGAAAGGAAAACATTGCAAGACTCGACAATGCTGCTCTTTTCCATTGCCATCATCATGGGTACGCCCCTTAGCTGCCGTATTGACAGCCTATTCGCTCCAAACGCCGTTCCGGATGCATCTTGGTCGTCTATGAAGCGTCGGTTTCCATGGCATCTCCACCTGCTTCTTCTGTAGATGTTGATTCCGCAATCACTTCCAGGAGAGGGCCAACATCTTGACCATCGTACAGTTTGAAGCTCTCCAGCTTCCTTCGGCCATCCTTTTCTCCCACCCCAATCACTGCCAGACTGGTGTTCTCCACCGTCAGTTCCTTGTCTTGTGCAAGACTCTCCTTCAAACCCATCAAAGCGTGCTTGATGAGGTCGTCCCGGCTTGAATCTGCAAACTCTTCCAGATGTCTCTCCAGATATGTCCTAGCCATCTGACTCCGGGCACCAATTGCGCATGCGAGCATCTCCTGGACCATACCTGACGGCGAGAATTCGAATAGGTGTGGTCCCACCTCGTCAACGCCTGCCACTAATAGTCCGACACCGTAGGGTCTCTTGCCGTAGTGTTGTGTGTTCGTCTGGGCTCGATCACCGATCATATTGACAATGCGCTCGACGGGTATGGGGCGGCCGTAGGTCATTTTAGAGGAGAGGGATTGTTGCTTCATGAAATTTGAGAGGACACGGGCATCGGAGGCAAGACCTGCTAGAGCCACCCCTAGATGGTCATCCACACCAACGATCTTCTTCTGGTACGAGGATAGCTCCTCTGCATTTCTCTGGAGACGTTGTAAGGTGTTGTCCACTAAAATGGAACGTTTGTACGAACCTTGAGCGCGGTCAAAACGACATGCTTCTTGCTGACGACTCCAACGACGACAGAACCTTGCTTTACAGCCTCTTGAGCGTACTCGACCTGGAATATTCTACCTTGAGGTGAACTGCGAATGGTCAGTCTGCCGCATTTAAGATGACCTCAAGAGATGGCTCTTACAAGGTGACGGAGTCGTTATCGTAGTTGTTTCTAAACATGTTGACCCTCTACTATATCGATATCGAAGGCGAGAAGAGAGGCGAGAGGAAAGAAATTGAGGTATGTTGGTACAGTTTGGTGTCGTTGGCAACAAAATCGATGATATATGCCAGGCACAGATGGAACGCGCAACTTTGGGTTGGCCGCGATTTGCTAAAGTCACGGAGCTTCGTCTGTCGCTTCCCCGGAGGAGGACCCAGCCACAAAGTTCATCCGTCACCAATACCAGAAGTCGAACAACTGCAACTATTCATGCACACGACTCATTATTATTCTTGACGAATATCTTTCCGTCTGATATTGGTGTACACAATCCTCTCGCTTCCAGTACTGTCCCTGGTGATCTACCGGCATACCTCGACGCCTCCCACCGTGCACCCGCCAACATCTAGAGCACGCTTCCGCCTTGCGCATTTCAGGCCACGATGACTGCGGGACTCAAGACCATTATTGCTCTGTCTTTTGTACGTCTGCTTGACTAGGCAGCTCCTCCGCCTTGGTGCTGACTGAAGTCTACAGGTTCTGGCCATAGGCTTCCTCCTTGTGATCCTTTCAGCTGCCTTGTTCCACAACTTCCTCACCCTACTTGTCGTTGCGACATATGTGTTAGCGCCACTACCGAACTGGATTGCCTCAAGATGTGCAAACCCAGATGACTTTATTGAGAGCAATGCAAGCGCGTGGATCGACCTTGGGAGGTTTGCGACAGGGTTTCTGTTTGTTATGGGTATCGGTACGTTCTTTCTATGGCATGCAATTAAGTCAAGGCTGACAAGACTGCGCTACAGCTCTTCCCGTGCTTCTAGCACACTGCGCCCTCATCAAGATCCCTGCAATGATCATGTCCGTCGTTGGGGGCTTGCTGATCTACGGCACGATCATTAGCTTTACACAGTTCTTCAAGGAGGAGCAGGACTTTTGAGAGACTCTAAGGCAATCTACATGCATGGAAAGGCGTCGAAATGTCTTGGACTAGGAGGGACCTGGGGCGGCATCGAGGAGATTGCTATAGGCAGGACTGCTGGTCGGCCACCATGATCGAGCAGGGGGACTCGACTTCCTGTTATATCTGTATCAACGAGCATACTTGAATATGCAAACCGACAGTGGCCATTTACGGATCAACAGTATTGGAGAAATGGACCTTTATGATCAAGTGATCAATCTGCGACCACCTTCGACTTTCATTGAGAAGCCATTGAGCCGCCAGTGTACTCCATCGTGCTCAAATTGCTGCTGTGCTGGATTGTCGCAGCTTATGTCATTGGGACATGACTTGATGAGCATTTCCACGAGGCAGTTTCCACGTTTTGCTCAGCCAGTATACCCACCAGATCTGCAATACAAGGTCCTTTGATACTCCGTACTTCAATGGGACATATCACAATGCTGTAAGCCATGCATAGGACGGGCTGATGAGGCTGCCGGGTAAATGTTCCCGAACAGCCCAAGTGACGCCTCAGATTTACCAGCCACAATTACGCTTTCTGCCTTGCAACACCCTCCAGCTCTATTTGTGCAAACGACATCGTGCCCTGAGATCCTGTCATCGCAACCACAGACCGCCCACAAAGGACTGCTGAGCTTTCCATTCTTTAACGCTATACAACCTCATATTCATTAACATGTCGGCCACCGACCGTCTCTTCCGCTTCGGCATTACCAAGCCCAACTGGCTCAACAGCGCCAATACCAGAACCGCAGGCGTCTATCTCGCCGGTGCCCTTGTATGCATACCCTCCGTTTCGTAGACCCCGCGGAGATTAGTCTGCTAACCCAGATGTGTTGCTTAGTTTTCTCTCGGCTTCTTCTTCTTCATCGATGCAAGCGTTTACTCGAAATCCCCCCTCAACGGCTCGACCGTGCACATCAACTTTGTCGACTGGATCCCGTTCATCTGCTCCGCGCTTGGGATGCTAGTGATCAACAGTATTGAAAAATCGCGCCTGTCGGCCGACAGCTTCTCGTACAGTGGGAATGGTGTCGCCTGGAAGGCACGCACTGTGCTGTTTCTCGGCTTTGCGCTCATGGCGGGAGGTCTGGCGGGCAGCGTCACCGTCATGGTGCTGAAGTACCTGTTCAATGACTATGCCTTGACTACTGTCTACATGGGTGTCGCGAACGTCGTGGCCAACGGGCTTGTCATGCTGAGCAGCGTCGTTCTGTGGGTCAGTCAGAACATGGAGGACGATTATACATATAACCTCCAGTTGTAAGGTGTGTGACGAGCATTGGGGATGCAGCTAGACCTGACACTACACTTGGGAACATTGGGCAAAGGTTGATTGGGACAGAAGGGGCCATTCATGACCACTGCCACGGCATAAGGATTGAGCGTATTTAGTTTGCATCATGGAGAGTATTGATATCACATCCTGGTTCATGTGCTGCGTCGGCCACTTCGTTCTGGCAGAGCTACGTACTTTGCCTCTTGCTAGCGCTGTGACGTCTCCTTGGAGTCGCGCTCTTTCATCGCCTCTAACTGTGCTCCCTCCACAATCACTGGAGCCTTCTCGAAGCTGCACTTCGCGGCCGGGTGCTGATGATAGCAGCCTTGAACTCGTCGGAAGTCACACCACATTTGCCACGACCAGGTCTGGCTACAGGTACGACAACCTGGTCGTCCCTCGACAACCATAAGAGACCAACAATCTGTCTAGCAAGCACCTTTCCCTCTCGGTTCTAGGCTCTTTTCTGTTGGGTTTTCGTGGACTTTTTCTTTCAACTTTTCACTCAATATCCCTCAGTTTCTCCATAATAGCGTCAATGACATCCATGTCGGCCGCTGACACTTGATCAGGCCCGACGATATTCTTGGGCAGCCGCTTGACAGCCTCGTTCATTGCCGGTTGATAGTTTCGGATGCCCGAACTTAGTGCATAGACGGCTTTTCTCCGGACAGCTCGGTCAGTGTCCTCCACTGCAACTTGGCAGAGCTTGTCAATACCGTTGATGGCCAGTAACCGTTCTTGTGCTTTTTCGTTGTTCTGAACCGCTGTGCCCAGACACCAGGCTGCCATGCGTCGTAAGTCCGCTACCGGACTGTCCAATTGGGACAGAAGGGGCGACCAGAGACCTAGGGGCTCCATATTGTTCGCATTGTCAATGCCTTCGACGAGTTGCTCGAAGTTGTCGAAGGCAGTCACTTTGGAGTCGAGCGTAATTTCGGGATCTGATGATACGATAATGGACATGGCTTCTTTCATCAGGTCGGCATCGCTGGGACCGCCCATAAGAGCCCGGAGAGCGTCCGCTGAGAGTCCTTTAGGTTCTCTGGCAGGTTGGTCTCCCTGTTGACCTGCATTCGAATTTTCAACACCCCATTTAAGGAGGGAATTCAATCCTGGATCCATATTGTAAAATTGATATCGGTTTTGCAGTGGCGTTTAAAGGTGTTTGACTTTGGATGCGCCTTTTGATTGTGGTTGATTCTACGAGGGTGATAATCAAGATGTGTGCTATACTGTTAAACTTCAAATGACGGTTGGCGCTTTGTGTAGAATGATATCTGAAGTATGAGTCGTTGTGAATGAGGTTTGCAGAGTCCTTGTCTTGGCCAATCAGATTCCGAGCCTTCCAGCACTTACTGTAATGTTCTTCACGTTTCGAGAAGGCAAGGCCTCGCCGCATCGGCACAATTCCTGCTAAGAGCTGGGCAAAGGATCTTACTGAATGTGCTGCCTCACTGCAACGAGTAACAACTCATAATTTCACATCTAGGCAGGGTTGTTGTTCTTGAGAAACGAAACAGCTCCTAGTATTGTGACGTATGGCTTAGATATTGTGTTAAGTTCGGGCCTTCTCCGGGAAAATGTTAGTGGCGATTGATTGATTAGTGGCTCCTGGTAGTCAGCGTCGGTGGCTGTGACCCTCACGACAGGAGCCTGGACACTCGTAATGTACCCCGCCATTGTGGCTGGAAGAGGTATTTTGATACGGAGGTATGCCACAAAGACCGTCCGCCTCGATGATTTATCCACTAAGAGAAGAAATGTGAAACGGACCCAGTCGCTATGTGGGCTGGACTGTGGTCGAAGTCAAAGATCGTTCCATTTCGCGCAATAAAAGTCATTTTTGGGGGAACATTTGCGAAATGCAGGCATACGAGGAGATCGACGTAGCCCACAAAGGCATCCTGTATTCGCGGGGTCCAAAAATAGACGAGCATAAAGAGGCTGTTACGAGTTGCAGGTCATCATCGTCAGCCGCACATCAAGGCGGCCTCCGTTCATCAGGTACGAAGCGATGATATGTGGGTTGACTTCTCCTTGTGCATTTCTTGCAGCCTGCTTTGGTGAGGCCAGAGTCATGGTATTGTAGCTGCCTGCTCGGCCCAAGCCGTGGGTGACGAGGCTCTCATCTACCCTGAGTAAAGGGCATTGCGTGGCCTAACCGCCACCCATGGAGAAGAGGTATTGTCCTATGGCATCTCTCTTGGAGTGACCTGTACCTCAAGATGCACAGTGTTTTGTGTGGCAGGATATACTGTGCGCGCTACCAGTGCTCCTTGCTTTCGGCCAAAAGTGACCAAAGCTTCCTTTGCTCAGGAAGTCGTATATCATAAACAGTACAAGAAGCAGACTCCCAGGTCCGACGAAAAGCTGTAACACGAATTGATCTGAAGAGAAGAGGATTCCCAATTCCTAAAAACCAAAATCTACACCACAGTCAGATAGTGGTGTTCTTTAGGAGATTATCTAGCAATCGACTTTGAGCCTGATCAGCTTCAGCTTGGGGCGCCTTGGCACCGTCCCACTCACTGGCCACCGCCTCCCTCCCTACCGCTCGCTGTTCAAAACCGTCCCTGCACCTCTCATCTTACCTTCACTCCAACCATCATTCTCAACTTCCTCTGATCACCTCTTTACAATCTTTTCTGCTCGTTCTGTGAAGGCTCGTTCTCCTTCGCTTTTCGAGTCACAGTATCCTACCTGATCAATTGATCCTTGCTCACCGCCACTACCTACACCTCACATAAACCGTCACAATGGAAGGTAAGCTGAACTCTCCCCCATGCTGCAATGCTGTGTGAACCTAAGCAAGCTTGAACAAACACTGATGCGAATCTCCCTCTACAGAAGAAGTTGCCGCTCTCGTCATTGACAATGGGTAAGCGTCGCCGGGCCTTATCCCAACAATCTGCCTGCGCCTGGCCCGCAACAACATATCAGAATGCGAATTAGGTCGTCGCGCTTTCGGAAGAGGCGGACAGCAGAGTCACGTTGAACAAATGACTGACAATATTTCTGTAGCTCTGGTATGTGCAAAGCTGGCTTTGCCGGTGATGATGCGCCACGAGCAGTCTTCCGTAAGTCATGCCCAGCAGTCCATTGAAAGCTTGCGCATGTCGGGCCTAACATGCTGAACAGCGTCCATCGTCGGTCGACCTCGTCACCACGGTATCATGATTGGTATGGGCCAGAAGGACTCCTACGTCGGAGATGAAGCTCAGTCCAAGCGTGGTATCCTGACCCTCAGATACCCCATTGAGCACGGTGTCGTCACAAACTGGGATGACATGGAGAAGATTTGGCATCACACTTTCTACAACGAGCTGCGTGTCGCTCCTGAAGAGCACCCAGTCTTGTTGACCGAAGCCCCCATCAACCCAAAGTCCAACCGCGAAAAGATGACCCAGATTGTCTTCGAGACCTTCAACGCACCCGCATTCTACGTCTCCATCCAGGCTGTCCTCTCCCTCTACGCATCCGGTCGTACCACCGGTATCGTGCTCGACTCCGGTGATGGTGTCACCCACGTTGTCCCCATCTACGAAGGTTTCGCTCTTCCTCACGCCATCTCCCGTGTTGACATGGCTGGTCGCGATTTGACCGACTACCTCATGAAGATCTTGGCTGAGCGAGGCTACACATTCTCCACCACCGCCGAGCGAGAAATCGTCCGAGACATCAAGGAGAAGCTTTGCTACGTTGCTCTTGATTTCGAGCAGGAGATCCAGACCGCTTCTCAGAGCTCCAGCTTGGAGAAGTCGTACGAACTTCCCGACGGTCAGGTCATTACCATTGGAAACGAACGATTCCGAGCTCCCGAGGCTCTGTTCCAGCCATCCGTCCTTGGTCTCGAATCCGGCGGTATCCACGTCACCACCTTCAACTCCATCATGAAGTGTGATGTTGATGTTCGTAAAGATCTGTACGGCAACATTGTCATGGTAAGCTTGAAGAACCTGCTATCAATTCTGTCCGGTACTAATGATATTCTAGTCCGGTGGTACTACTATGTACCCAGGTATCTCCGACCGTATGCAAAAGGAAATCACTGCTCTTGCTCCATCCTCCATGAAGGTCAAGATCATTGCTCCTCCTGAGCGAAAGTACTCCGTCTGGATTGGTGGTTCCATCTTGGCTTCTCTGTCTACCTTCCAGCAAATGTGGATCTCCAAGCAGGAGTACGACGAGAGCGGTCCTTCAATTGTTCACCGCAAGTGCTTCTAAGCTGTTTTCAAGCATTCTGGAATGCTTTGGTGTTCCCAACGAGACGCAGCAAGTTCTTGAGACAGCGACGAACGACGTCAAGATTATGATGAGACAAATGGTATGGGGGGAATTAGAAGCGTTGTGGATGATGCAATTGGTGGAGGTCCTAGAAAAGTACTTGTTGAAATGGCACGGACAAAGGTCGGCGCCATTGGAGCATGTATTGAGAGCAATATCACATCTGCAATGATTAGCACCGTTCCAATAGTGCTAGAATGCAACGCTAGCTGTTCCCAATGCTATTCTGCCAATCATGCCAGTCTCAGGATTCGAAAATCTTCGTCATGCCATTTCAGTTCAAGACAAGATCATCCTTCTCTGTCCTCATAGAGCCGTTCATGCCTTGTGGGCCTCGTCTCGATAGCTGGGAACATCCCCTAGGACCTCTGTTATCGTAGCGCCATCCTCAGCAGGCTCCAACACCATCCACTCAGCACTGATGCCTTCATCTTTGAACCTTTGCACAATGACTTCCGCAATAGCATCAAAATTCTCCGTGGCAAGCGCCAATATTGTGGGACCGGCGCCAGAAAGACAGATACCTAACAAGCCCTTGTGCGTCCGAGGTGACATTGATGACAAAATGTCTGGAAGAGCAGGGATCAATGTCTTGCGATACGGCTGGTGGATTTTGTCCTGCATTGCACTGTATATGAGTTCGGGGTCTGGAGGCGAGTCGGACAAGACTGTTGTTAGAAGAGCTAATCTTTGAAGGTTGAAGATCTGGATTAGAAAATTCAGGTCAGCAACAATTTCAAAGGCCTGTGTTGGGTTTGATTGACAAATACTTACCATATCTTTCCGCGTGTAAGACTGTGGCAGCACCTCTCTGGCTTTCGCCGTACTGACTTCGAAGTGAGGGATGATGGCCAACGCCTTGATTTCTTTGGCCCAGTTGAAGCGTCGGTAGTGTCCGATGTTCTCGGGCGGTATGGGCGGCGTGAGTCCCGTGTCGACCCCACCTGCCGGCTGGGGCAAGACTTCTGACAAAGGGACCTCTTTCCTCGCCATGTCGACGGGGTCAAGCTCATTGAGGTACGTGCCGACGAAGCCGCCGTAAAGCGCGGCCGCGACGTTATCCGGATGGCGTTCGACCATGAGGCAGAAATCCAGAAGGCGGGGTTTAGACAGATTGAGGTTGCCGACCACGTTTCCTAGCAGGACACCCGCGACGACGGCGGCGCCTGAAGAGCCCAGTCCGCGACCGAGTGGGATGGGGTTGTGGATGTGCACGTGCGTTTGCGCCGGGAACTCGTGCTGGTCGTGGCATCGTAGGACATACAGCGCTGTTCGTGTTAGGAGGTTATTCTCTGGGTTGAGGTCGATGCCCTCGGCGCCCACGCCGGAGTAGGTGACTGTGCAGTTGACTGGAGTTGATGCGTCGGAATTTTGAGTCTTGTCGATGCTGACGCGCAGTTCAAGGTACATTGATAGGGCGAGACCGATGACATCGAATCCTGGGCCTGTGGAGGGGTCAGGGAGCGTACATCGACGGCACAAAGTGGTGTTGGCTTACCGATGTTTGCGGACGAGCATGGTACCCCTATGCATGTTAGATCACGACCGGTGGAGCACCAGGTTCAGGGTTTGCGTGACTCACTTATGAGATGCATTGTGAATTATAGCGGCCCCTTGGGGTAAGCAATGTTGGTTTGAGTCAGGCTCTGGGTATGGTGGCTGAAAATAAATCGAGACAAATTTGATCTTAAAACTCAAGCTTTCTCGGTATATAGTTGTTGTAACACAAAGCTCTTGAGTCTTCAGTGTCTCATCAAGTATACGTTCTTTCAGCCGGCGATCATCTAAATCAACAAAATTGTGTTTGCGCTGGCAACATGGACCTTTTTCCGACTTTGGTGTCGTGTGTATGGAACCAATCAAACTTTGCAAGGCAACCGAAGTGCTTATCGATAAGCAAGCGAGCAACTGGAAGAATTTCGGCAAAGAATTTTCGCCGCTTGGCAGGGGAAACTCGGGTCGCGACTCGACTTTTTTTCTCAGAAGCAATAGAGATGGAAGTCTAGAAGTCCAAATGCTGTATAACTGACTTTCTCACTCAGACAATAGCCATGACGGAACGACTACGGATACTGGTCATCGGATCAGGTGGCCGCGAACATGCTCTTGCATGGAGGCTGGCCAGATCCCCGTCGGTTGATGTTGTCCATGTGGCTCCTGGCAACGGAGGCACCCAATCCGACAACATTGTCAACGTAAAAATCGCGGCCGATGACTTCACAGACCTGGTCAAACATGCGAAGACACACGGTCTCAACCTCGTAGTCGTCGGTCCAGAGGCCCCCTTGGTCGCTGGTGTCGAAGGTTTTTTTCGGGCTGCAGGCATTCGTTGTTTCGGACCGAGCAAGCGTGCTGCCCAGATGGAAGGATCGAAGGCATTTTCAAAGGATTTCATGCAGCGCCACGGTATCCCAACGGCGGCATTCCGCAATTTCCAGGAGTACGAGCCCGCTCGCGAGTATCTTGACTCTGTCAATCATGATGTGGTGATCAAAGCCGACGGTCTCGCTGCCGGAAAGGGTGTCATCATCCCGACTACGAAGGAGGAGGCCCATGAAGCTCTAAGGAAGATCATGGTCGAACGTGAATTTGGTTCGGCTGGCTCACAGGTCGTGATCGAAGAGTTTCTGGAAGGCGAGGAATTGAGCGTGCTATCTTTTAGCGACGGCTACACAATCAGATCGCTGCCTCCTGCTCAGGACCACAAACGTGCATTGGACGGAGACGAGGGGCCAAATACAGGTGGAATGGGCTGCTACGCGCCGACTCGAGTTGCCTCGAAAGAGTTGATCGCTCAGGTCGACCGCGAGATTGTCCAGCCTACTATCGATTCAATGCGAAGAGAAGGAATGCCGTTCGTCGGTATGCTTTTCACTGGACTGATGATTACCAAGAATGGGCCGAAAGTGCTGGAATACAATGTCAGGGGAGGTGACCCTGAGACGCAAACCTTGTTGCCATTGTTAAGCGAAGATACTGACCTCGCTAAAGTCATGCTCGCTTGCACGGAGCATTGGCTGGATGGAGTCGACCTCAAGATCGAGTCCAAGTTCGCTGCCACGGTCGTCGCCTGTGCCGAAGGTTACCCTGGCCCGTACGCGAAAAACAGACCGATCACGGTACACAAAGTGGCGGAAGACGTGTTCGTATTCCATGCCGGGACGGCCAGGGATGAGAAAGAGGTGGTAACTACGGGCGGACGTGTAATTGCCTCTACGGCAACAGCAGCTACACTGGAAGAAGCCGTAGCCAAAGCTTACAAAGGGATGGACTCGATCAAGTTCCAGGGCATGCACTTCAGAAAGGATATTGCTCACCGTGCGTTCAGCAGAAAGGAACAGGAGAAGGGTCCTGACGATGCGTCACTGACATATGCATCTGCTGGCGTTTCCATCGATGCAGGCAACGATCTCGTCACTCGTATCAAACCAGCCGTCAAGTCGACCTCACGCGCAGGCGCGGATGCTATTATTGGCGGGTTCGGCGGAGGTTTCGAGCTTGCAAGAGCTGGATATAATGAGAAATCGCCCATGCTGATCGGCGCCATCGACGGAGTCGGCACTAAGCTCAAGATCGCTCATGCCATGAATATCCACGACACGGTGGGCATTGACTTGGTTGCAATGAATGTCAACGACCTTCTTGTCCAGGGTGCGGAGCCACTAATGTTCCTTGACTGCTACACATGCAGCATCTTGGATGTCGACATTGCGGCCAACTTCGTCAAGGGCGTTTGCGAGGGCTGCAGAATTTCCAACTGCGCCCTTGTCGGAGGTGAGACTGCGGAAATGCCAGGTCTCCTGGCCGGTACAGAGTATGACGCCGTTGGTGCTGCAATCGGAGCACTCGACACCCCAGCCGGGAAGAAGCTACTGCCAGACATGCAAAGCATGGTCGAGGGTGATATCCTGCTAGGTCTGGCATCGAACGGTGTACATTCCAATGGCTTCTCTCTGGTTAGACGGGTCGTCGAGAAGATGCACTTGGGCTTCTCGGACCAGGCGCCCTGGAACTCGGAAACTACGGTCGGTCAGTCGCTTCTGACGCCAACGCGAATATATGTCGTACAAGTCCTCCAAGCGCTCAAACGCGACTTGATCAAGGGCATGGCCCACATCACCGGCGGTGGCCTCCTTGAGAATGTGCCTCGCATGCTGCCGAACCATTTGGCCGCTGAGATCGATGTGGCTTCGTGGGACCGGCCTGCAGTCTTTAAGTGGCTTCAGAAAGCTGGCAACGTCAGCAGCGAAGAGATGAGTCGAACGTTCAATAACGGGGTCGGCATGGTTCTCGTGGTTTCCAGCGTGGCTGCTGGAGAGGTCAAGAAGATCCTAGAAGGAGAAGGCGAGACTGTGCACAGGATCGGAAAGCTCGTCAGCAAAGATGGCAAAGAGGGTTGCATCCTGAACAATCTGGAGTCGTGGAAGTCCTCATGAGAACTGGTCTGTCAGCATGAATAACAGGTTCGAGTCGCATTGTTGCTGAAGCCCGGCGATGATGCAGTTTGTGATGCCGGCTTGAGGGGGCATAATGTCAATTGTTGCTTCTACTGGGTTCAGGTGAATGCCATTCTTGTTGTCACTCCGGGATCCTTCACACACAACGATACAGCGTTGGCCTTTGGCCTACGGGAGGACATCAGCTCTACCGCACAGTGCTTGTGTCTTGCTGTCGAGGCTTCCGCTGTTGTGAACCAGCTTGACTCCGAACTTGTGTCTTCGATATGCGCCATCTCAGACAGTGCCACTTTTTCTGGAAACAGGCTCGAAGAGTCTTCCCTGGATTCCTGTGTCTTCTTATTGGTCATCGCGTGCAGATGCGGAGGCCCGGTGCGAGTTTGCTTCCATCGAATGCCTCAAGGTCAGCCTTGTCCACGCCTCGCAGCTCGATGATCAAGAAAAAAAGACATGGGAGCATGAGACGATCATGCTTTCACATAATGATATAAATTCACGATTCAGCAGCACTTCGATCGCTTCTGTGTCCCAAGCTTCATCTGTACATCAACACCATTGACATCAGCGGTTCGGAAGGCACATCGACCACCTAGACATCGCGACCTAGACACCGACGACCCAGACATCGACCACCTAGGCATCGACCACCCGGACATCGACCACCTGGGCATCCACCACGCAGACATCGACCATGGTCTCTAATATCACAATAGTGGTCGGCGCTAGCAGAGGCATAGGTGTCGAACTTGCAAAGCACTTGGCTCAGACCCCAGGAACCCATGTCGTGGCCACCATGCACAAAGGCTTCAGCCTGGAACTGCCCAACGTCGAAGTCATCCAGCTTGACCAAAGCAAAACAGATTCTGTCCATGCCGCAGCCAGAAAGGTCAAAGAAGCAGATACACTCATTGTGAATGGAGCTATCGGCGAGGACGAGCTTCTCACGTAGATCTCGTCGGAGCGATTGTCTGAGTATCTCAACACTAACGTCGTCAGAGCGCATCGAGTGGTCAACGCATTTCTGCCTCCTCTTCGAGTAGGCAACACACGACGAATCATTTATATCTCTTCCACAGCGGCTTCTTTGACCAAGCAGGTCGGTGAGCCATGGGGACTCCATGGGCCATATGCCGATAGCAAGACAGCTGGCAATATGTTGACCGTCCAATACCACAAAGAGCTTCACGACGATGGGTTCAAGGTGGTGTTCATTCATCCAGGTTGGGTCGCGACGGATATGGGCAATCTCGCTGGCCCGGGGGCCATGCCGGTGACGGAATCGGTGCAGAAGATCATGGAGATCGTAAATGGCCTGAGCAGGACTGATGGTGCCAAATTCTTCGACATGGATGGAACAACTTTGCCATGGTAAGGGTGGCAATGTCGGCATTGCGTAAGTAGGCGGCGCATTGCTTGTGGCTAAGACCTTGGCCTGCAAAAGCAGTGAGTAATTGAAGTCTTCCAGAAGTAGTCAAGTAGAGAAATTGGATTCCAATTCTCACTCCTCTTTATAACATATGGTCCAATATAACCATCCTATCGGCCATGTATGGCAATCCTGGCCACTCTGAAACTTCCAGCCATGGAGCTTCTCGGGAGGTACCCGACTGCGTAACAGAGCTTGCACTTCACTCGGTGTTCTTGTCCTTAGACACGAGATGTATCCATCGTAGACCCAGATGAACGGGACAATAGGGACGAGGTAGGTGAACAATAGGTGTCCGGGAGAATGCCAGAAGTAGAACGGCGTTATAATCATGGCCAGAGGCCATAGTAGGCTGATAGTGATGAAGGAGGCCAGGTTGCGTGATTGAAGCTCGAATATGCTAGGTGCAGACGTTAGTTATGCCTTGTCAACTTGTGAAAGGGAGACTCACCAGAACCCATCTGATGTCTCGATCGTGTTCTGAAGAACTTTGGCAGCAAGGTCATCGTCGAAGTGATGGAAGGCGAGACTGAACAATCGCATAATCTTCTTGTCTTCAACTGCAGGTACATCCCGGAGCAATGTTTCTGCACTGGGGGCATTTGTAGCGTCCACACTTTGTCCGATGTAACTGATGTTCTTGCTCTTCTTTGCAATGGCATCCCAAGCACTGACATGCGGGCTGATGTCTGTGAGGACGAACTTGACGTCTTCCTTTCCCTCTTCTCGCAGCTCCTTGTTCAGGTGTTGCTCAATATATGGTGTTGGCCCACCAGCTCCAGAAGCGAAGTCAAAGTAGACATAATTGGAGACACGAGGGCCTAGGACCGTCGACAGGACTCGGGATACTAGGGCGGCCGGGGATGTCGATTGTATGATAGGCAGTCTGTTGACCCATCCGAGGGTCAGGTAGTCCTGGACCTTTTCTCGAAGTGTTTGTGGGAACCTGCAGAGGTCAATAGATATTCGATGGGGTATCTTGCAAGGAAATGTACCATGATTGATCATTGACTTCGAAGAAATGCCTCCTAGGAAGCCAGACCCTTTGATCCATCTCGAGGTAATGAGTACAACCGCGAATCCTGTTCACGATGTGAACGGACAGAAGTCTGGTTTTTATGTTCCATGGCGGTAACTACCCGGAGCGTTCTGTAACGAAACGCGTTGGGAGTTACAGTGACGGGCTAAGTCGCAGCCTTGAAAGACGTCATTAATGATAAAATAAAAGATTCCCAGGGCAAGGGCGCATAGCCGAAGTCGCCCAATACAGTTAAGAGTACAAGCATCAATCTCTTAGGAAAACCCAAACCTCTCCTGCTACAGTATATATCTATTGTATCATGCTAGTTACTCAAGTCCTGCATTGCTCAGAATGGTCTCCTTCAATCTTGCCTTCCTGTTTCATATCGTCATCGAAGTCCCAGCTTGCCTCAACTTCTTCCTCGCACCGAGCGGACAATTGGGCACATATACTCCCCATGCTCATGCCGTGATCAGGCAATATGCGGTCCTTATATTGACTTCAGTCTTGGTGGCTTTTGTGTTTCTTCGTCAGCCTCCTGATGAGACATCTGCCAAAGTAGCGGCAGCCCTTGCTATCTACCATATCGCTCCTTCCATACGCTCAATGAGCAGATTGAGACGACAGGCACAGTCCAGAGAAGCAATTGTCTTTTCCCAAGCATCCCTCTATCTAATTGTACATGGGATCTGTTTCGCAGCTCTTACCCATCACTTTTGGACAGCTATACAACCTTGAACCATGCCATAAAGAAAATGTACGAGTGTTCCTCCCGTACCTCAGTCGACATCTTCAGCGACCAAAGTCTCCGTCGGACTCACAGTGCCTGCCTCGGAGACTTGGTTGCTGCGCTTGAACACCATCATCTCGACAGCTATACCAGGCCCGAAAGCACAGCCGATGATGTGCTCCGTTGTTTCTCCTTGCAGCAATCGGTTCAGCACGCTGAAAAAGGTCGCACTTGAGCTGTTGCCGTGGGTGATGTAGACTTCATAACTTGCCCGAAGCAGCTCAGGTTTCAGCTTCATCGCCCTTTCGACGCCGCTGAGGACAGTCGCACCACCTGGATGGAGGGCCCAATCATAATCCGAAGCTTTAAATTTCCCTAGGTCAACAAGCTCCGGTATTGACGAGACCAAGTCCTCATACATGGCTGGCACGGCTGCCGCGGCCAACTTGGGAACCCGTGGGGTCAGCACGACTTTCCAGCCTGCATAAAACGTCAGCTGTTATTCCTCAAACGCACTCCGGGCGTATGACTTACCGAGAGGGTCAACATCGAATCCTAGGTCTTTCTCCGTATCTTCAATGATTCTGTGATCCCAGCCTAGAAGCTCCAACAAAGGTTCTTCATCGTACCGGTCACTGAACCCATTGCCCAGCACTACAGCTGATGCGCAATCACTGAACAAGGTGACACCTATTCTGACTTCTTGGTTCTTGTGTATTGAGTCCAGCTCAGATCGAACAAGAGTACTAGAGATCTCACAGGCGAGGACCAATACTCGGGCGGGTTTTCGCCGGAAGCTTGAACCGAGAGCGATGTTCGCCGCCGTCCTCAAAGCATTCAAGCCACCAGAGCATCCGATACCATGCAACAGCACCTTTTCTATGCTTTGGTTGAGACCAAGCTGTTTGACGACATAATGGTCATAGCCAGGATTTGCGGAATTCGTGCATGTGGTGGCAACAACGTGAGTGATCTCGGACAAATCGCCACCCCATTGTTCCAAAGCCTTACGACAAGCTGCTACGGACAGCTTCACGCCGTGATCAAGGAAGACATCGCACAATTCAGCGATTGTTGGAGCTTCGGGCGCATTGGCAATGGGGTGGTCGATGGTACCAATGGCGGAACGAGAGTCAATCCCGGTGTACTCGTTGATTGTCAGCACCTTGTCGAGCCTGGAGAAGCACATGTTAGCAAAGACGTGAATCTGTTGGCGATGTCGAGTCTTACGCCGGGGTCTTGGGATAGAACCGCCTCGCAAGAGTTTCCAGGTTCTCAGGTTTGATTTCGTATGGAGGGTATTCGACTCCAGTGCCATAGATATATAGGTCTGGCCTCTGATAAGGAGGAGTGACCTTGTTGTGAACTGCTGCGGGCGACATTATGGTCGTTGCTGGGCTTGGTGGTCGACGTCTAGCCAAGTCCAAATCCGACCGAGGCCCAACAGAATTTCCTTGGGATCGATGACGTTGGGATGTGCTAGATTGCTTGCACTCAGTCTCAAACGCGAATGAAACGGCAAATGTAGGATCGACAACGAGGGTTGTGTTGTTCCAAAAGAGCGACAGTAACGAGAGGCAAGCTGTTGAAGGCCGTCGAGCTGTAGTCGTAAAGAGGCAAAAGTGACTTTCGCACGTATGTATGTATGTACGAGCAGCGTTGATGGGATTCCAAAGATGGCGCGGTACGGAATACGGGAATTTGACCTCGTAAGTTAGGAACGGTCAATGATCGCGTGCAACCGGTTTGAGACTGGGGGCCAGGAGGTATTCCACGAATCAACAAGCGACAGTATCACAATGTATGCGTAGATTGGATAAGAGAGGCTGAGAACGATTGGGATAAGAAGTCAGGAACAATCCCTTCCCGAGTGGCTGGATTTCTTTTTGCCTCTACAGCAGGTTCAGCTTCAGCTTCCACGTGGTGAACATTCCTTACGTCGTACATTTTCCTTACGAATAGCTTCCTTTATCTCACGTCATGACATTTCCGCCACCAGATTTGTGAGGTGGAAGATAGATCCAGATCCAGACACTCCGGCGATGGGCGCTTGAACGAGTTTAGTTAACTAAGCACTGCTAGGTTAAGTAAATAAGTTCCCGGCGTCTAACTTATCGAAATTCGGGTACTGAACCTACCTTAGGTACGAGGTCGTAGTACCTCCCGTTGTCTTCTGGCTCTGCAGTCAGCACACTATGATCTGGACTACAGTTGTCATCCTGCTGTTCAGTATCATATTGTTCTACAGTCTCACGAAGGAACCCAAAATCCACCGTAATGGCGAGAAATTAAGGTAAGTCAAAAAGTATTCTTTAGTGGTGTTTGCTACTTCTGTGTTATGCGTTATGCTTTATCTAACACCAAACCCTCCTTTCCAGACGGCCACCGAATACACTCCCGGTGCTTGGAAATGCTATAGTCTTCCTCAGGTCTCGCCATCTCCTATTCGACTGGTTCGTCAAATGCCAGCAGATCTTCGGCAGGGAAACATTCGAGATCTCGGTGCCTACCTTACCTCCCGGTGTGGTCATCAACAGTCCCGAGAATCTCGAGTTCGTGCTGAAGAACGAGTCTATCATCACCAAGGGTGACTTCTTCAAGGAACGGTCATGGGATCTGTTCGGTAATAAACCCCACACATCTGTTTGGACCGAACCCGCTGCTGACCTTTGCAACAGGTTATGGCATCATCAATGCCACAGGTGACTCATGGCGGGCTCAACGTAAAGCCGGCGTGAAGTTCTTTACCGCCGCCAACCTTGACGCACTGATCGAGAATGTTATGCCCACGGTCTATCAAGACGACACCAGGAAGCAACTCCTCGACGCTGCAGAGGATGGGTCCGTCATCGACCTGCAGAAGGTCTCACTTGACCTCACAACCACGGTGGTAGGACATATGGCCTATGATATGGAAATCGACGCCTCCTCACCATTCGGGAAGGCCTTCGATCACGCCTCCGACCACGTCGGCCTACGGTTCCAAAACCCCTTGTACTGGCTAACCGAGATGTTCACGGGTGCCAGCTTCCGCGCCTCTTTAGCCGAAGTCAGGCGCTTTAGCATGCAAATCGTCACGAACGCGCGCAAACGCAGATCGCGCGCCGCATTCGAGAGCTTGATCACCGAAGGTGACGGCAACACTTCCACTCCGCCCTCAGATGCGTGCTTCGGCAGCCTGATCGACTCGCTGATCGAGTCGTTCGCAGAGCCTCAGGTCGTCGCGGACGCAGCGCTCAATTTCTTGTCCGCAGGCCGTGACACCACGGCTCAGTCCTTCACATGGACGTTCTACGCCCTCATGAGACATCCTGACGCCCTGGAGGAAGTCCGCAAAGAAATTGACGAGAAAGTAAGCAATATCGAGGACATAGATATCTCGCTATTGCAGCCGGCAACGCTACCTCTCACGCTGGCGACATACTATGAGGCGCTACGATTGTACCCACCCATTCCATTTGAGCTGAAGCAGACGAGTCAGCCTGTCACGTTGCCGGACGGGACATTTTTGCCGGCCAATGCCCTGGTAGTCTGGTGTATATACGCTTTCAATAGGGCGGTACAGATATATGGTGACGATGCACACTTGTTCCGGCCACGGCGCTGGCTTGACGAGGATGGCAAGCTTGTGCCTAGATCGCCGTTGGAGTTTCCTGTGTTCAACGGCGGACCCAGATCGTGTCTTGGGAAGAAGATGGCTGAAGTCATGGGCGTGTGGGTCATGGTGAGAATGTGCAGCGAATGGGATTTTGACGAGGTCACGGACGGATTGGTCCGGCTGGACGACGAGGGCAAGGAGGTGCTTATGGAAAGAGTCAGTGCGAATAGTCTGACGCTGCCCATGGAGGGAGGATTGCCTTGTAAAGTCAGAAGGAGAGATAGGAAGGCCCCGCAGGAACGGAATCTGAACGGACCTTGACATAAGGTAGTCACATATGCAACGGCGACCAAAATGTCTTATGTGTCGGTAAATACCGAGCCGGTTTCTGGAAGTAGCCTCGCGGACTTCTATAGTACATTATGAAAGTGGACGACCGACTCCTGGCTGAAAATATGCACGTAAAAGAATTGCCTGGATGAGGATGAGCGCGGCGCGATATAGATTTCACACCTCCTCCTCATCCGTAGCTACGCTGCTATAAGCCATACCACCGGCTCCTCTTCTTAGTCTCAGGGGCACCTCATAGAGATGTGCATAGTCTACGACTTCCCCACCGAGATATCCCTTGCCGTTTTCTCGTTTGCCAAAGATGGGTGCAGGATCACACCAGAAGTCTTTGCAATTTCCAATGACGCCGCGGGTGAAAGGATTCGCATTGCGAGACTGGAGTTTCCCATGCGAGGCATCGGACGCGGTGGCCAGGAATGCGTCCAGGCCAAGAAGCTTCTTCCACCGTGTAAAACAGCCGTCAGGCCGGCGAGGGACCGGGTTGATGCGAGTTGAAGCTGCGGCAGTATCGTTCAGCGATGTAGTGGCCGCAGAAGCACCTTGGGTGACAGGTCGAGCGTGTTGTGGCAGCAAAGGGTTGTGGTCGTGAGAATGTTCATGTCGTTTCATGTTTTCATAGGTCGTTTGGTTTTTGGATATTTGTACAGTCTGCACGACGATCAACATCGTGACCCAGACGAGCTGGAGGACGGCCCAGAATGTTAGGGCGACAGTCCATGGATCGCGGAGCACGAAGTTGCAAAGCATTGGCCCAAGAATGTGACATTGGGAAATGGCGTCGTCGGATGGAGCAGGTAATAGAGCGAGGTATGAAAGAACAAGTTGAACGTAGAAGATGATGCCGACTTCCAGACTCAAAATATAGATGTAGAAATGCCGAATATTGTTGTTGCCAACACAGTTGTGGATCCATGGGCAATGATGGTCCTGCTTGGCCACACAGCGATGGCAGCGCCGGCAGTGTTTGGATCGTAAAGGCTTCCGTACCATGCATTGTACGCAGAAACTCTCTTCATCGAACTTCCAGAGAGAAAAGAGTTCCTCGATGGCGGCGCGCTGTTGGTTTCTGGACGCCAATTTGGGGACCCAGCCTGGATCTTCGACCATGGCCTGGAAGTAAAAGTAGGCCGTGCTGGCATATGAGACGGCGAAGAAGATGTTTGAGAAGAAGTTTCTGTAAAGTGTAGCGGGTAGGACGGTGGTCAAATAACTAAATCCCACCCAGAATAGTGTGCCCGCAAAGATGCCTGCCAGATACGGCGTCTTATGGATTGTATGATATTCCAGCGGCCCATGTAGAGCAATTCGTTGAGCCCCGTATTGCATGCCTAGGCATGTTACCAGGAAGATTGGCAAACCAATGAATATGTTGAGATGACTTATAATGTACAGGCCGATCACCATGATCACGAAGGGGTAGGAGAAGAAGAATTTGGACATTTTCGAGCGATCTCGGATCAGGTTGTGTAGGTTGAGAGGAAGGGTTTTGACGTTCCCAGAGGCATCGTAGCCGTGATCAGCGAGTGACCGTAGGTACACACGTTTCGTGTTCATTTCGTCGGCGCAGACATTTGGCGTCTTGCCCTCATTCGTCTTTGCGAATCTGTCGGCGCCATACTCGAGCAATTTGTCCAGACAGGGTTTAGAACCCTTGACCAAAGCCCAATGCAGAGGTGTGTACCCGTTGTCGTCTGTCGCTTTTACGTTAGCTCCCCAACGCAACAGGAGGTCGACGCAAGCAGGCCATCCTTTGTAGCCCGCCCACATCAGACTTGTGTGACCTTGAGGATCTGGGATGTCAACTGGGATATTTTGATGTAACAAGAGGATCAGAAGTAGCGCATTTCCATCGATGGTAGCAAGGTGGAGGATATTGTATCCTTGGCCATCGGTCAACAGAGGATCGGCTCCATTCTGTAGGAGAAGGTTGACGATATAAAAGTGGCATCTTTGCGACGCCCACATAACCGCAGTCGCGTTCGATTCTCCTCCTTTTGCGTTGACGTCTGCTCCTTGTTCTAGCAGGTATTTGCAGACCGCAAATTGGTTATTGATAGCAGCCCAGTGCAAAGGTGTGATTCCCTCTTCATCCTTGTAGTTCGCATCGTATTTCCCGGACTGTATCATCTTCTGAATGTGTTCCAGGGCGCCGATGCGCGCACACTGCATAATGTCCTCTTCGAGAGGGAGACTCGGCTCTGCCTGGCCATTTTGCATGGGCGCAAGCTCAACATCCTCCAAGGTCACCTGGGGAGAGGTCGCGTTGGACTTCGTGTTCGGGGGATGCGCCAACTTTTGAGACGCTGGGGACGACATTGCGACTTGGTAGAGGGTAGCGTTGTCGTCACCGTGAACATAATGTTGCCACGGTCATATCACTGTGCAGCTCAAGCGACATGTATTGTGGTAGCCTGATTATTCATGGCACCCTGGTAAATCGCATAGCCACCCTTTGAGTATGGCAACGACGTGGACTCAAAGAAATGGAGAAAAAGAGCACGTCTGACAGAAGGTATAATTACCCTTTCGAGCAGATCGTATGTAGCGTATGCTTCAACCAGGGTTTGCCGGAATGCTAAGTTCACAAGTACCAGTTACATGTCGTCCGAGTGTCAAGAACCAAGAAGACCAATTCATGTGTAAAAGGTCTGCGGTAGACATCTGGTACCTTGGCCATGTCCATCGAATCCCGGACAGAGCTCAAGTCAGACAAATGTCATTCTCCTGTTATTCGGCTCCGGACCATACCGCGGGAGCCAGATCACGTGAAACTGGTTGCTCTTGGCAGAGCGAATTAGAATCGGCAAGCTTAGCTGTTCCTCAATCTTCGTTTTACAGCATCAACTACCTCTCCACTCCCCTTGAGCCATCTCGAACCACCTCCTGCTTCTCTGAAGTCCTTCTCTTGAGCTTCACGAGCAGGCAAAATGATGTCAAGGAACGTCTTGCGCCAGTCCGGCCGCATTGCCGGTGCCATTACAGCATCAGGGAGAATAGCTGCCGTAAGTCAAATTTCTCCTCAATCGCCGACCAGCAGAGCTTCATTCAGCAGTATGAGCTATCGCAAAGCTCATCAGCGTCTCTTCTGATGCTCTCTGGGTGGTTTCTGCGCCAACAAGGATAAAATGAAAGGAGATGAGGACTAACTAAAATGCTCACCAGTCCCGTGCCGTCACCCCTGCGCCATTCAATGCCGCCTCCAAACAGATCCGATCGTACGCTGCCGACGCCAAAGCTTCCCCTACCGAAGTCTCCTCGATCTTGGAACAGAGAATCCGTGGTGTACAAGAGGAGGCAGGTCTTGCTGAAACCGGCCGTGTTTTGTCCGTCGGTGACGGTATCGCCCGTGTCCATGGCATGAGCAATGTCCAGGCCGAGGAATTGGTCGAATTCGCCTCCGGTGTCAAGGGAATGTGCATGAACTTGGAAGCTGGTCAAGTCGGTGTTGTGCTTTTCGGTTCCGATCGTCTCGTCAGAGAAGGAGAAACTGTCAAGCGTACAGGCCAGATTGTAAGGGAGCTTTTCAGCGTAGCCAAAGCCTTTCCAGCTAACGAATGCAGGTCGACGTGCCGGTCGGCGAGGCCCTTCTTGGCCGTGTCGTTGATGCCCTCGGTAACCCAATCGATGGCAAGGGCCCAGTCAAGACCACCGAGCGATTCCGAGCTCAATTGAAGGCTCCTGGTATCCTTCCTCGACGATCCGTCAACCAGCCAGTCCAGACTGGTCTCAAGTCTGTCGACGCCATGGTGCCGATTGGTCGAGGTCAGCGTGAGCTGATTATTGGCGATCGTCAAACTGGTAAGACTGCCGTCGCTCTTGATGCCATGTTGAACCAAAAGAGATGGAACAACGGCAACGACGAAACCAAGAAGCTCTACTGTGTCTACGTGGCAATTGGTCAGAAGCGATCAACTGTCGCTCAGCTTGTCAAGACTTTGGAAGAGAACGACGCTATGAAATACACCATCGTCGTCGCTGCCACTGCTTCCGAAGCCGCTCCCCTGCAATATATCGCTCCTTTCGCCGGTACTGCCATGTAAGTACTTTTCTACTCACGGGACTGTGCCATTTGAGGCACAAGTTCACCCCATCTTCAATGAGACAGCTTTCTAACGACTTTTATGACAGGGGTGAGTGGTTCAGAGACAACGGAAAGCATGCTCTCATCATCTACGACGACTTGTAAGTATTCTTCCTTTAACGACACGACTTTCTGACGATTTGTAGGACCAAGCAGGCCGTGGCTTACCGACAAATGTCTCTCTTGCTCCGTCGTCCTCCTGGGCGTGAGGCTTACCCCGGTGATGTCTTCTACCTCCACTCTCGACTTTTGGAACGTGCCGCCAAGATGAGCGACAAGCACGGTGGCGGTTCTTTGACTGCTCTTCCCATCATCGAGACCCAGGGTGGTGATGTATCTGCTTATATCCCAACCAACGTCATTTCCATTACCGACGGCCAGATCTTCTTGGAAGGTGAATTGTTCTACAAGGGTGTCCGTCCTGCCATCAACGTCGGTCTTTCCGTCTCTCGTGTCGGTTCTGCCGCTCAACTTAAGGCCATGAAGCAAGTCGCTGGTTCCTTGAAGCTTTTCTTGGCTCAATACCGAGAAGTCGCTGCTTTCGCGCAGTTCGGTTCCGATCTCGATGCCGCCACCAAGCAAACCCTCAGCCGTGGTGAGCGTCTGACGGAACTTCTCAAGCAGAAGCAATATAGCCCCATGGCTGTCAACGAGATGGTTCCTCTTATCTACGCTGGTGTCAACGGTCACTTGGACAGTGTTCCAGTCGGCAAGATCCTGCAATGGGAAGCTGACTTCCTCGCACACTTGAGAACTGATCAAGCGGACCTCCTTCAAACTATCGACAAGGAGGGTGCATTGAGCAAGGACCTTGAGGGACGGCTGAAGGAGGTTGTCCAGAGCTTCACCAAGAGCTTCACCTCATAGGTATGTTATCCAGTCTGTTATCTTGGTGGTCATGAGCGAAAAGCTGATTTCCCGTTCTGATAAGAGACCTGAAATCCAAAACTCGCCTGTACAATTTCTTAGCTTGGTGGAAGAAGAACGCAATTGCTGGACTGGGCCATGGCATGATAATTCCACACGTGAAGTCGGTGGCTGATCGAATGGACTCGTCACATTGTAACTAGATACATACCAGTCCTCAACCAAATCTGTTCTCCCGGTTCTCCCGGTTCTCCATCCACTTCTACCATGTCAATGTCCGTCTAGTCTTTCGGACTCGCTACGTTGGCTACCGACTATAAGAAGAGGGCGCTTACCATTCTAAGTGCAACGATATGTGCCCGGCAGGTCTGTTTTTAGAAAAAGTGGCATCGCCTGACAGGGAGTTCATCAACCATGTAAGTACAAGGTTTAGCAGTTCCGTGATAGTAGGTGCCCTAAAATCATGCCATCACGATCACGCGTTAACGGTGAAGGCTGACACCTTGGCAAGGACTAAAGCTATATCGTTGTGTGCGAAGGGCTCCGGCATGGTAAGAAAGTCGCCATATGGATAGTCTTGCGAAATCAATACGCTCAAACAAAGGCTAGACAATGAGCAGAGCCTTGGTGTTCTCTTGTGAAGAAGTCTTTGTCCACACATTGACCCTGCATCGTGTAGCTGGAACTGACAAAGGCCACGATTCTCTGCTCGAAACAATGCCAGGCCCATGTCAAAGAGTCTAGTGATAGTGGCAATGAAGAGAGATTGCTATTCTAGTGATACTGGGTAGGTATTCTGCTACACCAATTGCGACAAAGGACAGACGGAAGTATATTGGACGTGCTGGGATTTTGAGAACACGACTGTCCTTCTCGTACCCATTTAACAATACCTATCTTTCAGGCTCATCCAGATTATCCAGGCAATATAACGAACAAATACTTCCAGCACAACCATCCACAATGAAGGTAACAACCATTATTGGCATCTCGGTGCTTGTGCTTAGCCAGGGTGCCCTCGCAGTTCCTGGGATGAGCAGACGCTACGTCGACGTCTCTACCGACTTTAAGCTGACGTGCCCAATGCCGCCTGGCGTCAAAGGACTTACTGGCAATGAATACCTCGGATGGCAGAGTTCGGCATGCCCAGGTCTTGACGGAGTCAACTGTCAGGAGCGTTGTTCATGGTGAGTAAAGACAATCCCCGCGCGGCGTGACAATGTGCTAACGAATCACAGTGACACGAAGGGCAATATGAAGTGCAAAGGCTACGATGAGTGCCCGAGCAGCAGACTCCAAGCAGCATGTGAGGCAGGTGCTGCGGATGATAGGCCTGTTTCTGCTGACGGTAAGCCAGGCACGACAATCTGGTCTTGTTGGTGCCAGAACACTGCCGGCGACAGATTTGATTAGAGCGTAGGACATTCTGTAACGTGCAATGTTGTAACTTATGAGGAAGAGGTGTGAGGCCATTGCGCATCATGTCGACGCTTCGGTATCAATGTCTAGCTAAATGTAGCAGTTGAATGCTGCAACTGACCGTCACCTTTTCCTTCTTTGAAGCAGCCCAGTGGATGGAAATTGAATCAACTTTCAACCTCAGCAGTCCATTAGCCCTTCTGAAGCAGCCCCTGTGGATGTGAACCAAGTCAACTCTAAGCCTCAGCAGTCCATTAATCTTCCCGAAGCAGTCTTCTCGTGTGTGCGAACTAGATTGATATTGCCCGGTGGCAGTCCATCAATCTTCTGTCGGCCCACATCCTCACATCCTGCCATAATCTACCTTCATGAGCCACGCCGCCCCAGGTTCGCCAGTATTGTCGTAGAAGGCGTGAATGTTATGCTTCATTTTCGCTTTTTGCGTCGGGAATGGTACCGGCGGCAGCTGTTACGTCCTCCCCAAGTCGTAACACTTTACGGAATTCTGTCAAAACTCCTGGAAGACACGGATTTTCCTTGTTGAGCGGATCAATGCTGTAGTCGATTCCGTTGCCAAAGCCCTGAGCATTTGCGTCCAGCATTCGGAAGCCTTCCAGAAGAACTGCACGAATGGGTGCAATGATTGCTGTGTCCTTCTCATAGCGCTTCTCTAGCCGACTGACCTGCTCACGAAGCTGAAGTTTTTCTGCTTCGAAATCACTCACTGCGGCGAGTTTGTTTTTCTCCTCGTCAAGTTGTAGAGCTAATTCTTCCTTGTCACACTGTAGATTCTCCTTCTCCGCGTTTGCCTTGTCAAATTCCTCTTTGTCTGTAGAAATTCCCGCTTAGCCTCAGCGAGCTGCTGTTGGAGGCTAGCAACATCATTGCTTGTGGCAGGGCTCTCTAGACTTGAGTTACTGAGCCTCGTCCTCTTTGGCGTACCGATCGGCTCGGAAGAGTCATCTAGTTGCCTCTTCAGGGACTTTATGGTTTCGTCCTTCTTTTTGATGGTTTCTTGGTAGATCTCTGCGCGTTGAGCATCGGAATACTTGTAATCCGGGTCGTCAACCATTCTTCTTCCGGCAGACAGAAAGGTGCGACCTATATTCTTCTCCCAGTCGGTGATAGGAGTAGTGTCATTCCCTGAGACGCTCGCCTTGTTCAGCTGCTTTGCTGAGAGATCTTCGGGATGTGGATAGGCATCGCCTGTAGGTTCACGATTCTTCCTCAAAGTACCATTTGCCATGGAATCTTCGGGCCAGAACTCGGCGAACATAACCTGAGTCAAGGTGATATTGCCGGACTCCTTCGCTTTCAATAGAGAGCATGCTTGATTGCAAGACAACTTCCTATAGAATGGAGGTAAGTTATCGTCGCTGAGCTGGTCTTCAGGGATTGTCGTATGGCATTGTGGGATGAGATTCCTTGGTGCTCTCAAGCCATCGTCCCATTGAGCACTAACTCTTGTCGTTGAGCAGTGCTTTTGCTCATCGAGTTCCTTTAGTGGGCCATCGTCCTCCCGTTCATCGGAGTAGTCGGACATCGCGGAGGACAGTGCGCTTCGAGGAGGAGCTTCAAGGAGGTGGCTTCGAGGACGGTAGGCTTCGATACGTACTTTGTCGAAGGGCAAGGAAGGGAGATCGGTGCGGTTAAGTTGCAAATAAATCGAAAGGAACAAGGTGAAAATGGAGAGGTGAAAGAGAAAAGATGAAGGTGACAAGGTGAACGTGACAAGGCGAAAGTGAAGATTGTTAGAAGATAGCCTCAGCGGTGCCCTCGCAACGCTGCCCATCGAGCCTGTTTTCCGGCAGAAGTGGCATGGTTTGACCACTGTAGCTCGTCAATTTCAACCAGGTACTATTCTTGTTGTCATCTCGAAGTCCTTCACACACACAACGATCTAGCGTAGGCCCTTGGCGAAGGGGATGCCATCGGGTCTACCATACAGTGCTTCTGTCTTACTCTCGATGCACCCGCTGTTGTGAACTTCCTAGACTTCGAACTTGTGTCGTCAGTGTACGCCCTGCCAAACAGTCCAGACAGGCTTGCTGGGGACTGCAAGGCTGTAAGTGTCTGAGTGCCTAAGTGCCTATAAGTTTAGAACAAGGCTGGGGTACATTGCGCTAAGCCCAGCCGCCCAACCACTCAAGGCCAAGGTCAGCCTTCCTCTCTCGCAGCTCTGTAGCATTTGCTGCTGTTTACCATTCCTACCAGTACAATGAGTTTGTTTGCGCATTGCCAGGAACTCGATTGTCAAATACACAGCACTAGTAGGATATTTCAAGCAAGGCTGTCTCCATAAGGAGCCACTGCACGTGCGTTTGAAGTCAAGGTCAGCTCCTGCAGGGTCTTTTGGTGTGTAGAAGCTTCTTTAGTCATCCAGCACTATCCATCACAGCCAATGGAAGGTGGACGCTTGGCGGTTAGAGCTCCCCACACTCTGTCGGCCTTGCCTTAGAGACAGAAGAGATTCCATGAGGTTCTGCGGAGTCCCTGAGATGGCTCGCTGGTGATTTTTTGAAGGCTGCATATAAACATCTGGCCAACCTCTCTTTTCAATCCGCTTCACACACAAACACAAAACTTATCTTCCTTTGCTGCAACAAGACATTCTTGCTCTTGTCCTCTTGCACTTGCCCTAAGTCTAATTCACGGATACCCTCTTACTGTAAGTAAACCCTCCCATCCTCACCACCACTTCTCTTGCGGCTGTACCTCAACGACTTGCCTGCTTGCTCGACGTCAAACTTCACCTCCGGCTCGAGTTTGGACAGCCGGAGGGTTTGGCCAACAAGATTACTCTACCAGTTCCCTGCAACCTCACTCAAAGCTCAATTGTACTGACTTGTCCTGTCACAGACCCTAATACTACCCTCACACCACCGCAACCATGGCTTCCGGTGAAACATTCGAGTTCCAGGCTGAGATCTCTCAGCTCCTCGGCCTCATCATCAACACCGTCTACTCCAACAAGGAGATCTTTCTAAGAGAACTCATCTCCAACGGCTCGGATGCTTTGGACAAGATTCGATATGAGGCTCTTTCAGATCCAAGCAAATTGGACTCTGGCAAGGACCTCAGAATCGACATCATCCCCGACAAGGAGAACAAGACCCTCACCATCCAAGATACCGGTATTGGCATGACCAAGGCCGACCTCGTCAACAACCTCGGAACGATTGCTCGCTCTGGAACCAAGCAGTTCATGGAAGCATTGACCGCTGGCGCCGATATTTCTATGATTGGTCAATTCGGTGTCGGTTTCTACTCTGCCTACTTGGTCGCTGACAAGGTCACCGTCATCTCAAAACACAACGATGACGAACAGTACATCTGGGAGTCCAGCGCAGGCGGCACCTTCTCCATCCGCCAGGATACTGAAGGCGAGCCTATCGGTCGTGGTTCCAAGATGATTCTGCACCTCAAGGAGGAGCAGACCGACTACTTGAACGAATCCAAGATCAAGGAGGTCGTCAAGAAGCACTCCGAGTTCATCTCATACCCCATCTACCTCCACGTCCTCAAGGAGACCGAGAAGGAGGTTCCTGATGAGGAGGCCGAAGAGGTCAAGGATGAGGACGAGGAGAAGAAGCCCAAGATCGAAGAGGTCGATGATGAAGAGGAGGACAAAGAGAAGAAGCCCAAGACCAAGAAAGTCAAAGAGTCCAAGATCGAGGAGGAAGAACTCAACAAGACCAAGCCAATCTGGACTCGCAACCCCTCCGACATCACTCAAGAAGAGTACGCTTCCTTCTACAAGTCTCTGTCGAACGATTGGGAAGACCACTTGGGTGTCAAGCACTTCTCGGTTGAAGGTCAGCTTGAGTTCCGTGCCATCCTCTTTGTTCCCAAGCGTGCTCCTTTCGACCTCTTCGAGACCAAGAAGACAAAGAACAACATCAAGCTCTATGTTCGACGTGTCTTCATCACCGATGATGCTACTGACCTCATCCCTGAGTGGCTTGGCTTCGTCAAGGGTGTTGTCGACTCTGAGGATCTCCCTCTCAACTTGTCTCGTGAAACCCTGCAACAGAACAAGATCATGAAGGTCATCAAGAAGAACATCGTTAAGAAATGCCTTGAGCTCTTCAACGAGATCGCCGAAGACCGTGAGCAGTTTGACAAATTCTACTCTGCGTTCAGCAAGAACATCAAGCTCGGTATCCACGAAGACTCCCAGAACCGCCAGTCTCTTGCCAAGCTCCTCCGCTTCCAGTCCACCAAGTCTGGTGAGGACACCACTTCCATCACCGACTACATCACCCGTATGCAAGAGCACCAGAAACAGGTCTACTACATCACTGGCGAGTCCACCAAGGCTGTTCAGAAGTCTCCCTTCCTTGATACCCTCAAGGAGAAGAACTTCGAAGTCTTGTTCTTGGTCGACCCAATTGATGAGTATGCCATGACTCAGCTCAAGGAATTCGATGGCAAGAAGCTCGTTGACATCACCAAGGACTTCGAGCTTGAGGAGACCGAGGAGGAGAAGAAGGAGCGTGAAAAGGAGGAGAAGGAATACGAGAGCCTGGCCAAGAGCCTCAAGAACATCCTCGGCGACAAGGTCGAGAAGGTTGTTGTTTCTCACAAACTCATCGGTTCTCCTTGCGCCATCCGTACTGGCCAGTTCGGTTGGTCTGCCAACATGGAGCGTATCATGAAGGCTCAGGCTCTCCGTGACACCTCCATGTCCTCTTACATGTCTTCCAAGAAGACCTTCGAAATCTCTCCCAAGTCTGCCATCATCAAGGAGTTGAAGAGAAAGGTTGAGGCTGACGGCGAGAACGACCGCACTGTCAAGTCTATCACTCAACTCCTGTTCGAGACCTCTCTTCTCGTCTCTGGATTCACCATCGAGGAACCTGCTGGATTCGCTGAGCGTATTCACAAGCTTGTCTCTCTGGGCTTGAACCTTGACGAAGAGGCTGAGACCACCGAGGAGAAGGAGGCTGAAGAGGAGGCCCCTGCTGCCGAGGCCACTGGCGAGAGCGCCATGGAGGAGGTTGACTAAATGTCTTTCGATGCAGATGTGCCACTGACAGGTGAAGTTTCAGACTTGTCATTGTAATCATCCCAATCGGCGTTCAGGTGTTAGTCTTCCCAGCGATATCCCGGCCATGGCTAAATGGATTGAAGAACGACGGAAATGAAAAGTTCATAGGGAACTGGATGCAGATGTGGCATTGGTAGTGTTAGTCCCTACAGATTCCTGCCATCCTTGATTGATGGTTTAATGCAACAGATTCAATCAATCCTCCTCTTGTATATTCGGTTAAAAATAAAAGTTGCCAGTGGTCCAACTTACTCGTACCACGTACTGTAATAAATGCAGGTCCCATTAAGAACTAAGTTGTTCTCGACTCATTCTCGCATTGCGGAGTGGTGAAGTGGTTCTAAGGGGTGATTGGCGCGAGCACCTTGTTCTCCGAGAATGCGACCTTCTCAGAATGGAACATGCTGTCCACTATTCTCTGAGGCTGGTTCACCCGAGCACTGTAGCACACAACTCACAGGAACATAAATCTATCGTATGAAACACTCAGAGGCTTTGGTGCTAGCTGCTACATTGTGGGCGAACAAACGTGGTAGTCCAGCGCGTTTTGCGTCTTGAGGCATCTGCGTCGAATTCAGCTGGCCATGGCTGTCAAGTCGCGATTTACTCGGCTCGATGCCTTCACCAAGACAGTCGAAGATGCCCGCATACGGACGACATCCGGTGGCATTGTCACGATAGCGTCGATCCTCATTATAATATATCTGATATTAGGAGAATGGTCGGAATACCGAAAAATAGTCGTGCAGCCAGAGTTGATTGTGGATAAAGGGAGAGGTACATCAACACACGAACCCGTGCCTACGAAGGAGTAGTGCGATGCTGACCTTGCTCTTTTGTAGGAGAGAAGATGGAGATACACCTCAACATCACTTTCCCTCGAATTCCTTGCGAACTACTCACCCTCGACGTTATGGATGTGTCAGGGGAGCAACAGACGGGCGTGGTACACGGAGTCAACAAAGTGAGACTGTCACCGCAGAAAGATGGCTCTCAGATCATCGATACGCAAGCGCTCGTTCTGCACCAACAAGACACTGCCTCACACCTTGACCCGGAATATTGCGGTTCCTGCTACTCGGCCCCATCACCTCCGAATGCCCAGAAGGCAGGGTGCTGCAACACTTGCGACGAAGTCCGAGAAGCGTACGCGACCAATAGCTGGTCATTCGGGCGTGGAGAGGGTGTCGAACAGTGCGAGCGCGAAGGGTACGGCGAGCGACTGGACGCACAGAGACAAGAAGGTTGCAGAATCGAGGGCGTCGTGCGGGTCAACAAGGTGGTCGGCAATTTCCATATCGCGCCGGGACGGAGTTTCAGCAACGGAAATATGCACGTTCACGATCTGAACAATTACTTCGACACGCCGGTGGAGGGTGGACATACATTTACGCACGAAATTCATTCGTTGAGGTTTGGACCACAATTGCCGGACGAGACGTCGGCAAAATGGAGCGAACACCACCAGTCGAACCCCTTGGACGGGCATAAGCAGGACGTCAGCGAACCGGCGTACAACTTCATGTATTTCGTCAAAGTCGTGTCGACCTCATACCTGCCTCTGGGATGGGACGAGGACCGCAGCTTGAAGCAGCACTCTAGTCTGAGCGATTTGATCCCACTGGGCATGCAAGGCCGGGGAGCCGGAAACCAGGGCTCGATCGAGACACATCAGTACTCGGTGACGAGTCACAAGAGGTCGTTGAGTGGCGGGTCAGACGCGGCAGAGGGCCATAAGGAGCGTCTTCATGCGCACGGTGGCATTCCTGGTGTTTTCTTCTCGTATGATATCAGCCCGATGAAGGTCATCAATCGGGAGGCAAGACCGAAGACGTTCGCGAGTTTCTTGACGGGTGTATGTGCTGTTATTGGTGGCACATTGACCGTCGCTGCGGCGATTGATCGCGGGTTGTACGAGGGTGCTGCTAAGTTGAAGAAATTGCACCAAGGTTGAGACGTGGAATGATTTAGAGCGAGTTGTCAAAACGTTTGAGCCAGATAAAAAGTTAAGATCGTTCGAGAGGCAAGGACTGCGAGCATCTAGCATAGGAGTTTTGGGCGATGAGAATTGTCTACGGTTGATATATAGCTCTGAGTATAACAGCGCTTGCTATCGGCTGGCATAGATGGCCGCTCAGTCAACTAACAATGCTGTATAACTCCGGTATCCAGTATCCTGTCGCTGGGCCAGGACTACTCGCTAAGGCAACAGACCACTGGACACCACTTCGTCATAAGTGCTTCGACACATTGAAAGGTGCTTCGTTTGGTCGTGCCTACCTGTGATCTTCAAGAACAGTCAGTCGAGGATTCGCACAGGTGAAGCAGAACGAGTGTTGGCGATAGAGGGGGAAGTTGTATATATCAGAAGAACCATTCTAAGCACCGACGCCAGGTACACGAATTCAGAGCAGGGAAAGGCATTTGACGATACACTTTTCCAGCCCATAGAATGTGTAGTTTCCCTGACATCCTTTTCCGGCTCTTCCTAATGCCGTAAGGTTTCTTGTATTCATCATTAAACAGGGCTGGGGGAAAGGATGTGCGCGTGAGTGCAAGGGAAAAAGTGCGACTTACCATTACCATGTGTTTAGTTCTGGATGTTGAGCATTCCTGAGGTTTGCGCGTGAGTTGCTGTTACTATTGATGGCGATCCGGGTCAGCAGACGAGGCTAGTAGCAGTCATATCTCCATGAGCGTCGACTAGTGTGGAGGTTCATTATTGCGAAAGTGAAGGTAGCTGTTGGATGTTGTCTCCCATGGAAATTCTTTGAATAGTGAAAATACAGAAAACAACGCCTTACTTGAAATGGCTCTAAATCTTGACTGCTTCATGCGTCCAACTTCAGGGGTTCAATGCTTTAAAGCAGCGGGCCAAAGCACCACCCCGTTAAAGCCGAACGTCCCCTAAGTATCTGATGTGGCATCAACACATCTATGTACTGTTAGTCCCTGGGTGCTGGCTCGAGGTCAACGCAACCACACCTCTTCTGATGCGCACTTAGCATTTGCTTCTCGACTTTGACTTGGGATGAATATGAAAGTGCGCATTTCCCTTTCTAATAACTCGTGTTACCTTCACAACGATAGTTCACATGAACGGCATACAGTCCAATGCGGACCTACTCGACTCGGGTACGTAGTCCTTGAACGCCATGCATACACCTCCGTCTGATAACTCTAGACAATTATGACCCTATAGAACACCTCAACGAGATCTTTCCTCACCCTTCTGCCCTTTTCTCCGTCAGTCAAACCCATGAGATACTCCAGGCCTACCAGGATGACCTCGACAACGAGATCGACGCTCTCGAAGACGAGCAGATCCGGTCCAATGCAGAATGCCTTCAGCGGATGGAGGCGTCAAAGGCAGAGCTGGCGGAGTTGTTCGAGCGCATCGAGGGTGTCCGTGAGCGAGCCCTGCAAACTGAGCGAAACATTACCGACATGACGGCCGACATCAAACAGTTGGACAACACGAAGAAGAACCTCACACTCTCAATGACAGCCTTGAAGCGATTACAGATGCTGACGACCGCATATGAAAAACTCCGAGCGCTGAGCAAGACAAGGCAATACCGAGAGTGCGCACAGTTGCTTCAGGCTGTGATCCAGCTCATGGCGCATTTCAAGTCATATCGCTCCATCGATCAGATCGCGACGCTGAGCAGGAATGTGGCAGATCTACAAAGAGAACTGCTGGAGCAGGTCTGTGAGGATTTTGAGATCACGTTCACAAAAGAAGAGGTGGCGCAAAAGAGAGGCTTGCTCCATGAGGCATGCCTAGTTGTGGATGCCTTGGGTGATGCTGCCCGGTCGAGGCTGATTACCTGGTACTGCAATACCGAACTGCGCCAATACCGACACATTTTCAAAGGAGACCAAGAAGCCGGTTCACTTGACAATATCGATCGGAGGTACGCATGGTTCAAGAAAACACTGAAAGTGTACGACGAAGAGCATGCGGCCATCTTCCCTCCCCACTGGCGAGTCAATGAAGTGCTTGCAAATGCGTTTGCAGAGGGCACTCGGGATGACTACAAAGGCATCTTGTTGAGAACCACGCGCAACGGACAAGCCATTGATGTCAGACTGCTGTTATCATGCCTACAGCAAACACTGGATTTCGAGCATAGCCTGGAAAGGCGCTTCAATTCCAGTTCAAGAACGTCCATTGACACGATAACGTCCAGCAATGACACACAAGTTTTTGGACAACCCATCTCTGATGCCTTTGAGCCCTACCTAAGCTTATGGGTTGAGGCGCAGGATAGAGAACTCGCCAGGTTGATACCACAATACAAGCAGAGACCCACTCGACCGATAGACGAGGATTTCTCATCCCAACAAGTTATAACATCATCGACGGAGCTGTTCAACTTCTATCGGCTATCGTTGGCTCAGTGTGCAAAGCTGTCCACCGGCCAGCCGCTACTTGATCTGTCCAGAGTGTTCGGACGTTATCTAGACCAGTATGCGCAACAAGTGCTTCTGTTCTACATTTCCGAGAATCCGTCTGGCACGACCCAGTCACGAATTCCCACCATCGAAGACGTAATTTTGGTTCTCAACACCGCAGATTACTGTTTCAACACGTCAAACTCTCTCGAAGAGAAGATCAAGAGCCGTATCGACGAGAATCTGAAAGACAGCGTGGATCTACAAAACCAGGCAGATGCTTTTATGGGAATAGCAAGTGCAGCGGTCCGTGTTCTCGTGCGACGGGTAGAGGTTGATCTCGAGCCCAGCTGGAGAGAAATGCGGAATATAGCATGGTTCAAGATTGAAAGCTGCGAGAACCGGAGTTCCTACATCACAGGTTTGCAGAGCCGCATCAAAGACAGATCAAGCGAGATACTGGGTATGCTGCACAAGCAGCAGTATGCTCGAGCCTTTGCCGACAACCTGGTGGAGCTACTCGCGGCGACATACATTTCGAATATCGCCCAATGTAAGCCTATCTCAGAAGGAGGCGCTGAACAAATGCTGCTGGACACACACGAGATCAGAAACACTTTGAGTCACATCTTGCCGGGCACGCCTCCTGCTCTCTTCCTCAAGCGTGTCAATGCGGCATTCAACAAAGTCGAGCCATTGCTGAAAACGCTTCAGGTCAGACCATCACCACCGGAAGCTCTAGTGCAAGCCTATTTGATTCACATTGCCGATCTGTCCGAAGCCAACTTTCGCAAGGTGCTTGACTTGAAGTGTATACGGACAAAATCGGAGCAAAACCATCTTGTGGAATTGTATCAGATGCATAAGTTCAGTCCGCGGTACAAGGACTCTTTGGTGGAAAGGTCGCCACTCCTCACGTCGATGAACTTATCAGCAGCAGGCACTGCGCCAGGAACCACGGCTACTCCTGCGGGAGCTCTGCACAATTTGTCAGTGCTCGGTAACTCGGCAGCTGCCTCATTGAGCACGGCCAATTTACCCGGAAACATGAAATTCGATGCCTCAGGCCTGGGGAATGCGATTATTGATCGCTTCAGCAGTCCCGGTAGTGGGACACCTCGCGAAGAAGCACAAAGTCCGCCGCCTTTCGGTGGTGCGCCGACCATCAATGTGACGGCTGATGGTGGACACTTGGGTGGCGATACGGGGACGAAACTCAACGAGAACCTGAAAAACATAGGGAAATTCTTCAAACGAGATTTGGGCGGGTTTAGCAGCATAGGCCGGTTTGGCAATAAGAATACGAGTCCTGCTCCGCCTGAAGGATAAAAGTACTCTGTACCAGTAATAGATGAAGTATGAACAGGCAGAAAATATGGAGGGTTGCAGAAATCTGCCTTTTCGCACAATGCGTGACCTCGAGCCCCTTTGTCGAGTGGGTGTAACAATGGCTCAATGGCTATACAAGGCGCATTGTTCGGGTCCTAGATAACGGTTGTGACTGCGTACTCCGCTATTTAATGGTAGGTTCATAAAGATCGTCGCTCCGAATCCCTCCAACCAGAGCATTGACGGAGGTAGGTTTTCTCACAGGCAAAAAGGCCCGGACACGTGATCTCCATATTCATTCTTAAGAGCATTCGGCGCGCTGCCTACACTCCATATCTCTTCACCACAATCACACAACAACCAACCCATACACTCTTGTTTGACATCTGAGCCATATCTCTCAATTCACGCTCACTTGTATCATATCATCAAACAATACACGCCACAATGGCATCTCCATCAGTACAGCTAGCCATCAAAGGCTGGACGACATCTAAACTCGCAACATCAAAAGATCAAGGCCTCGAATCACTGCTTATATTCCTCGAGAAAAAATCGGGCCGCAAGATATTATCCTCCAGACTCGCCGGCCGCACTGTGCTTCTCATCACAATCAACGACAATGACAAAGATCGATTCACACATCTGAACGGCTTCACATTCGCCGGTGCCAATCTCATTGTGGAAGATGCCAGACCGCCGAGAAATCAATCTGGTCAACCACAAGCACAAAATCAATTCGGTCTACCACAATCTCAAAATCACTCTAGAGCACCACAGCCTCACAATCAACCCTTCGAGTCTCGGCTTTCTCAACCCTCAAGAAACCAATTTCAAAATGGAACATCAAATCCACCGAGCGGTCCACGCGCACAAAATCGGCAAAATTTTGTTCCTGGCAATGTGCGAGATTCACGAAGACCAGATGATCCATTGAAATCAGAAGTCGAAAGTGTTATCATCTCTGTCATCCACAAACGATATCATGCAGGCGATCGACATCTCATCCTAAATACTCTTGTCGCCGATCCTGAACTACTCAACTCAGGTCTATCCGGTCAAGCACCAGCCAAAGTCTACAAAGCCATTTTTGCAATCTGTGAGACCAAAGTCTGGGAAACTCAAACCAAACGCAAAGAGTCAGTTCTGAGCGTCAGTCTCCGAGACAACGGCATTACATCTGCACAAGACATCATCTCTCTCTCCAGCGTCTTTCCTCATCTACAAAATCTTGACCTCTCAAACAATCAACTACCAGACTTGGGAGCTCTGAAATACTGGAAAAACCAGTTCCGAGACCTACAACACCTCATTCTTATCGGCAATCCTGTCGCATCATTACCCGATACGCTGAGCACATTGCTCAAATGGTATCCAAACCTCAGAATGTACAACAATGAACCAGTCTCGGCCGTCATGCCAAACAGTCAACAAGCCTTTGCCGGTGGTGCCGTTCAGCCCACTGTTCAACCAGCACAAATTCAGCCTCAAGTACCTTCTCAGGCACCTCAACCAGGCACAGAACCTGCACGCTTGCACCCAGAATTTCCACCAGGCTCGACCTTTGGTCTGCCATTACCAGACAAGCCAGCAGATGTCCTCCTGCGAGAACAAATGGGACTACAATTCAGCTTCGAAACAAAACTCAAGATGCAGTGGGTGGAAAACTGCTTGTCAGCAAACAATTGGGACTATGCGGCTGCCATGGCCAATTTTACGGAATTGAGGACACAGGGTCAAATTCCAGGGGACGCATACATTGAGGGGGTGTAGGACGCCTTGGATAGTCCTGTGGTGGAAATGGAGGGCGTCGAGAGGACAAACGTGTATCATTATGAACATCATTAAGCCATTGTTATGACTATCATCAGCACTGGAGTTGGGGAGGACATCATTACCATTGGCACCATTGGACATGGTTGAAAATGACAAAAAAAGTCATTGAAAACACCCTTTTTTCCTCTTTTGCTGTCGGAGTACTTTCGTACCTCAACAATCCTCTCGTAGCGTAGTGTTCCCGGCACGTACCTGACAGCCATCCACTCCCAGGCCGGCGTTGTCGCTTCGACGCCATCCCTGTGTATCGTGGCGGCATTCGTGTAATGAGGATGGCGCCTACCGTGATGCCTAACAGGCAACGCATGTGCAATAGATACGGTATCCTCCAATCTACTCAATGTACGTGGCCGGACCCCTGGTGTTTTGAAGATCGCCATAAGTATCGAAAAGAATCTTGCATGTGACAAAACGTCATGGCCTTGATGGATTTGGTGGGCGCCTCATTCGCTACGATCCAACTCCGTTCCCTGTTGTACCTTTTTCTGTCCTTGTGCATAAACAACCATTGGCATTTACGCCTCTAATACCAGGGACGCGTACCTGCATAGTCCCAACGAGTTTACCGGCTTTGGTTTCCTATTCTCTTCTTGCAATTTCTCTCTTTCTGTGCAAATGGAGCACAACGTGAAGTCCTTACCCGCGTCCTCCTCTACTCCGCTCCCCCGGTACCGAATCTTGAAATCCCCGCGCGATGCTGTCGACATCTGCTAAAGAGACTGGGACTGAACAACAAGAGAGCGGAGGTTCTGCCGATGAAGCTGACGATGCCGGAAGGGAAATTGTCGTTGCGCAACCTCCGCAAGGCAGGACCCTCCTTCCTACGCCTGCCGCTGCTGTCGTGAGCGGCATCACCGGCCTTACTTCATTCTCCGTTCGCGCTGGCACGAAAATTGGAGGATGGGGTCTCTATGCCGGCAGGGAAGCCACGTTGAAGACTCTGTCTGTCAGTAGAAGTGTTTTGGAGACAGTACTGATCGCCGCTGGGAGAGATGTCTCGGCTCGAAGCAATGGGGAAATTGGCCGGGCTGAAGCAGAGAACCTGCTGGAGAAAAGCATATCCGCGTTGTATACCACGATATCGACAATTTCCTTCGTGGCTTCTACAGGTTTCTACCTTACGGAAGCATCTATGAACTCGATCTCCGCCCTCTCCATACAAGGACTGGCCACGCTCAATGCCATACTTGGCTCGACGGAATCTTCTCGTGCCGTGGCCGCCATCATCACCTTGATCATGGACGAACTCAGCAAGCCTGAAAATGGCAGCACTGGGGAGGTCGTTTCATACACGGATCTCATCGTTGGTACCATAAGCTTCGTCATGTTGCAGAGGTGGGGTAGGCGCAAGACAGAACTCGACTTTCGGGATGCTGGAGGTGAAGAGACAATCTGGGATGCAGTCATTGACGACAAGGGCTTCAGAGCGGACGTTGTGGGTACCAGGAGAAAAGGCATGATCAGCATTCACCCAAATGCTGGTGCACCGCCTATGACTTTCTCTTCTCCTGACGGCGACGATGACTTCGAAGCACTGGAAAGAGGCACCTTATTCGACACGTCAGCATTGGCTGCGTCAGCGGAGAGCCATACCAGTCTGACCGATGAGGAAATCCGCGAACGCATCATCAGCCAGTTGCCGCCTGGAGCGCGAGCCGTGGTCACTTCTGAGACAATCACTGCGAAGACCATCAAAGTGGACATCTACGATGCTGAGACTACACATATCGACCCGCCGCCCGGCACGGTCATGGTCGCCGAGAGATTGAACCACGGGGTTACTGTCCCAGGCGCGCACGGCGTCCCTCAACAGACTGTTATCTTCCGAACTGCGCTCCAGAGATCAAGCAGTGCAGACATTATTCCAGCATCCGAGCAATTTCGTCTGAGGGCTGGCGAGGGTGCACACATGGACAACAACGAGAGTGACGATGTCTTCCTCATGAAGAGTTCCCCCAGGAAACGGATATTCACCGTGGATGAAGCAACTCATGCTGAAAGTTCTGCCTTGTCAGATGCAGATCCTGATGAAGATAAACAACCATCCAGACCACCAACGCCGCCCCCGAAGCCGAATGGCCCAATGGCAAACCAGAAGAAGAGTAGGCGTGCTGTCCCGTCTCGAGAGAAGTCTCCATCTACATCAAGTGTTGTAACTCGCGTTCCTCTTGTCAAGAACAAAAAGGTCAAGCAATCGTCCAGTGACAAACCTGAGAAAGAAGGTGTTATCAAGAAAGCACTGAAAACGCTCAGCCCTAATCAGTCTTCAGCTGCACTCAAGGAACTCCACAAAAGCTTGCCACAGCGCAAACCCCCGACCTCAGTACCATCTCAAATTCCCAGGCATAGCGGTCCTCCTGCAGTGCGTGGAGACATCACCCCAAGGAGGCATCTGGGCACTCCGAGTCGTGGTCCCACTCCTATGACGAGTCCGAGCTTACAACGGTCGACTCAATTAGAGTCCTCATCAAGCTACATCTCGCTACATGACCGAAGGAGGGATTCTACTGTGTCACAAACTACTGAAACCTACTCAATCCATTCTGTCGAAAGCAGGCCGGGCTCACCAACGTTTACTCGCATGCACACCCGAGTAGTAAGCGGCCTAACCCAAACCAAATCTGAGCTCGCACTTGCCCTCAATGAGACTGAGTCTACGGCCGGCGACCCAGCCACGGGGTCCCTCCATCATCGCCGTACTCGATCTTTCGTGCCTAGTCTGTACTCAATGGCAACGAAAGACTCGCAGGAGGCTATCATATTAGCTCCGAAAACACCAATGCCCAGGAAATCCATCTATGAAGATCACAACATATTGAATGCATTGATCATGGACGGTAAGGTTCCTGGCATGTTTCCAGACCGACACCTTGCGAAGACAGTACGGAGATTCGCCAGATTTGCTTCAGCTTCTTATGGCTCGAACTTCCTGCGTATCATGGGACTTACCTCGGCCGAAGCTCAGATCAACAATGCTACGGAGCTTATGACTCTCGATGTCCACCATGAACACAGCTCCTTTTCCAGCCATACCGGCCTACCTCCACACACAATTCTTTTGTCGTCGTTCTATGACCCGAAAGGCGTAACCGGCAATACAGACTGGTCGCCTTCAGCGATATCGCCATTGATCCATTTCATCTCTATCGACGACGAATCTAAGGCCGTTGTCCTGACCTGTCGTGGGACACTTGGTTTTGAGGATGTCCTCACAGATATGACCTGCGATTACGACGACTTACTCTGGCAAGGCAAACGTTACAAAGTACACAAGGGCATCCATGCATCAGCAAGACGCTTGCTTGGCGGCAGCGGAAGCCGTGTGATGGCGACGATCAGAGCTACCCTCGAGCAGTATCCAGACTATGGACTTATCCTTTGTGGACACTCTCTCGGCGGTGCTGTTGCAGCTTTACTTGCCATACTTATTTCGGAACCTACTTTCGATGGATCCAAGACATCATTTGTCACCGGGAACAAACCGAAACTACTCACAGAGCAATCTTCCACCGGCCCTTTCACCTCTTACGTACCTCCGATCAGTCTACCAACAGGTCGTCCGATCCATGTTTATGCCTATGGTACTCCGGCGTGCATGTCTGAGCTGCTACGCGTGGCTACGCGTGGTCTTATCACGACGATCGTAAACCACTCAGACATCGTTCCGTGTTTGTCACTTGGAACATTGCATGACTTCCGCACAGTCGCGTTGCATCTGAAAACAGATACAACAGATGCGCTTGGGGCACTGAAGACCCGCGTGTGGCAACGCCTACGCAATGCGGTCACGTCTTCTTTCTACAACGATCCCAAGGGACCACCTCCCCCAGAAAACATGGCGGGTGATGGTCTCGGCGAGGATACGTGGGCATGGGCCGCACTGAAGACGCTGCGGGCCTCAATGGTCAACGACAAGTTGGTGCCTCCGGGAGAGATTTTTGTGATTGAAACGACGCGGGTATTTGACAGGCTGGATCCTGATGTTGCACGTGAAGCCGTTTTCGGTCCTGACGACACGAAGGACGATCGGACGGAGAAACTTTATCGTGCGCTTGGCCGTCCTGCCACCAGAGTACAACTCAAGCTCGTTCGCGATGTCGAAACTAGATTTGGAGAATTGAGGTTCGGGAGAGATATGTTTGGCGATCATTCTCCAGGAAGATATGAGGCTGCTTTGGCTGCGTTGGAGAAGGGGATATGTGAGGATTGATCTACGATTTTGCTACTGCAAAAGTGCAAGTGGAAAATTTGGATTTGAGGGTTAAATGGAATCTTCTGCAATGACTGTTATGATGATCATGAAAAGAAGAGCGAGGCGCACGGGGATGATGGCTTGATTTGGAAATGGAATAAAGAAGAAATACCATATAGGTAGCACGATAAATCATATCTCTTAGTCTGGATACAGTCTCTATCTACCTGGAAAAGGTGAATGCTACAACATTTTTCTTTGTACTTTGTTGTTCTCATGGCGGATGTGTTTGATAAGCTGCTGGCTTCTCAACTGCGATTGTTGTGATTTGTGATTCCTTGACAATCAGTTTGTATAATGCCATGGTCGGATTGTGCATAACCATTGTCTAGTCTGTTGTACTGTTTGCTGTTGCTTGCTGAAAGATGTTGTTTTCCCACAGGAGAAGTACGGCCAGGAATGATAATTAGGTCATGATGCTCCTGATCGACTCCACAACCAGATAGTCAGCTCCAACGGCTTCAGCTTCACCTCTCTGGGCTGGAGGCAAGCAAGCTTCTCAGCATGAATGATCGAGAGACCTTGTAGGTGCAGCCCAGGACAGCCGAAGGTCCTGCGACAACAAGTTGACAGAAAACGTGGTCCAGCACTCACCACAACGAATTTCGCCCTGACGTCCTCCAGCTGTACCGCCGTGAACCGCAGTGATGACTATGCCGGATGGAAAGGTATATACCCGCATGACGACGGTCTGTTCGTGACAGCACGTTGCCTCGCTTTAGAGCGGCTCTTCGGGGCGACGGCGAGGTGTGAATGCTGCTGAGGTGTCTGGGTATAAGTACCTCGTCTGGTAGGAGCTCTTCTCCTTCTTCCTTTCCCCCAACTAACACAATCAGACAGCAACTCGGGCTCGGAACAAGTGTTCATTCCAACAGCATTCTTACACTTTCCCCATATTTCAGTATACAAAGGTATACTTACAACACTCGGCTCAGCCACAGCAGAATCGATCTTTGAACAGTGCTTGTAAGTGCCCATGCTGAGCACTGGGTGTAGATAGTGTCTGATGCTGACTTTGATTAGCATCAACAATCCTTCCCAGAATACCACAACATCAGACGATTCATCATGGGCTTCTCCTCAGTTCTCAAAGCTGTCCTCTTCCTTTCTGCTCTTTTGAGCTTCGTCTCCGTCTCATTAGCACTGGGCCAGGGTCAAGTCGTCCACAAGTGCCCATACGACGTGTGGTGTGCTGTTGTCACAGGGCTTCCTTCGGACATCAAGCGCGATGCCTCACCAGTCGACTGGGTACAGCAAGCACCAGGCCAGCTGCTCATCTCCGACTTCTCCAACGTTGCGTCTGGTGATGGTATTGCCATGATGTGCACCAGAAACCCCGGCGCAAGTCCAGTGTCCGTCACTCAGCTTGAATACACCTGGACTGAGCCACAGACATCGTTTGATATCAGCATTGTTGCAGGCGATCCATTCATCAACGAGGGTTTCAGCATGACCGCCACAGACCTTGCGCCGCAGCCACAATTCAGCAGCAGCTGTCGAAATGCCTATTGTGCTCCTGGCGACGCAAACTGCAACGACGTGTACGACAAGTCGAACGACGACTATCAAGGAATGCGCACCTGCTCGAATGATGTTGTCATCAACTTGACCCTGTGCTCCGGTTGACGACGGTCTTGCTGGCTTTAGACAGGGGAGGCGCGATCCAGAGCACGAAACAGTGAAATGACTGTGTGAGAGTATCAGGCCGATCTTATGGGGCGGACAGAAGTGCAAGCTTCAGACCTTCGGCGGCATCACACAATGATGACAGGGAGATATGCGATCTCCGATCATTGGCGACAGACATGTTTTGGGTATCGTGGTAACAGGGGGTGGTTTTTAAGACATACCTGGCCACAAGACATTATGAGAGTGTACATATCCCAGGAGCAGAAGCAACAGCCAGACTATACCTGGCGTTACCTTGCTAGATCCACGACAGAATCAAATGCATCAGGTATTCCATGCATGGTCTTCGAAGGACTTCTCTGGAGACGGTAGCGTAGCATAACAGTCGGGCCATATCAAACCCAAGTTGGCAAGCGAGATCATCATTGTAGCCAGATTCACAAGCACAGCCGCGTGGACAGACAGGCCAGATCCTCGGAAGTGGCGCAGGGTAGATGGCCTTCAATGCACAGAAGAGTCACGGCTAGAATGCTAGACGAAAGAGGAAAGTGGAAGGCGAAGAAGATGAGTCTTTCCATTGCTTAGTCCGCCGCGGACAATTCTTGATGTCGTCATTGGCTGAGCAGAAAACAGTTTTTGAGATTCAGAAGGATTCTAGACTGTGTGATTCACTCATACGACCAGAAGACGCACCATTGGAAACAAGGAGATATTGTCAGTCGCAAAGAGTATATATCCTGTCAATAAATCCATTGTTCAACCTCTCTCTACTATTCAAGCCGATCTCATCCTCAGCCATTAGACCCTCCATCCCACCAACGTCGCGTACGCTGCATCTTTTCTCACATAGCGGCCAACAAAGGCAGGAACAACTTCGCCTAATCAATCATGGCGGTACGAGCAATGGTAAGGAACCCGCAAAACAAGGAACTCGGCCCTGTATTGACACATTGTACAGTTCGAGAACTCCAATGAAGTCGGTGTCTTCGCCAATCTCACAAACACCTACTGCCTGGTTGCCATCGGCGCCTCTGAGAACTTTTACTCCATCTTCGAATCCGAACTCGCAGACCTGATCCCGATCACCCACTGCACAATCGCAGGCACACGTATTGTGGGTCGCCTGACCGCAGGCAACAAGAATGGCCTACTAGTCCCGACATCCACCACGGACCAAGAATTACAACACCTGCGGAACACGCTACCGGACAGCGTAAAGATAGAAAGAATCGAAGAAAGATTATCAGCACTCGGCAACGTAGTGGCAAGCAATGACCACGTTGCTCTGGTCCATCCGGACATCGAACGAGAAACCGAGGAGATCATCGCGGATACGCTAGGCGTTGAAGTCTTCAGACAAACTATCGCTGGAAACGTCCTAACAGGCTCGTATATGTCCCTCTCCAACCAGGGCGGCATCGTCCACCCGAAGACAAGTATCCAAGACCAAGACGAACTCAGTTCATTACTACAAGTGCCTCTTGTGGCGGGCAGTGTGAATCGAGGTAGCCCGGTCGTCGGTGCTGGCATGGTGGTCAACGACTGGCTTGCAGTGACGGGCAACGACACGACCGCCACGGAGCTGAGTGTTATCGAAAGCGTCTTCAGACTCGGTGAGGGCGGTCCTGGCGGACTGGACGCAAGAATGAACGCCAACAAGGAGAGTATCGTCGAGAGCTTTTACTAGATTTCGATACCATCTTTCACACTACGCACGATCATAACCCTTTCTCGCAGCGACGAGCAGATGGAAAGAAGCAGGAAAAGCAGGTCGAAGCTTGATGTCAAGGTGTGGCTCCAAAGCCAGCTTCATGTCGCCTACCAGCGCAATGTTGAATCATTCAGAATCTTCATATTCTGGATCACAAGTGCTGTTGCTTGCCCGCAAAGGCACTCGAAATCTGCCTGCGCCGCCTGTTTCTCCTCGATGCAAGGTTGCTTCACGGAGAAAAGCGTTGCGAAAGTCTGATATGGACGATCGAATCGGCAAATCTTGGTGGAGGCAGTATTGCTTGCGGATCATGAACGAACTCGCCGGAAAAGGCGAATCATGGCGGCGTCTGCACCAGGCGCATAAAGTCCCTTCAGAGGGGTGCATGTCATGTTTGGTAGAACAGTCTTGATACCTCTGATGGTGTACGACATCACTTGAGCTATGGTAGCTCCTTGTTACAATGTCAACAGGTGCTTAGTACACCCTTCTATCTGGTCTCTTGCCTTAAGCTTTTGCATAGATCAGCCGGAAATGAAGTGCTCAGAGACGTTGATACAGTATTGATATGGCTCCTACCCTTATTGGATTTCTAAGTCAATGGCCCCCAAGAAGTTCCTGGCAGTATAAACACCCCTGCCTTCGATGTCAAGAGCTATGCGCTGCGCAACCCCTAACCTGCAGAGCCATGCATGCCCCTTGTGCCAAGTTAGTATACAAGAATCCTCCCTACCCCCCACTGCACATCAAGATGCTGTCATCGCTCTCCTTGACCGTCACCTAAACCTCTAGGATCCTCAACTGGCTGCGCATCAACCATAGGATTCTCCAAGGCCGGGGTATCGATGGCGTCTACACCGTTCTTCATCACCACATCCCCTTCCGTCTCTTCATCCTCTGCCTGCGCCTCAGCGAGAACATCAGCCATGCTTTTCCCCTTGAAGTTGGTGTCGGCATGAATATCAGTTTCCATTTCAGCAGAGGTCTCGGCCTCCGCGTCAGCCTCTCGTGGCGTACTCGCTGGTGGGGTTTCCACAGGAGGTGCGGGCGGAGGTGGAGGGGGCGGTGGTGTGTCGATGTCCAAGCTGATCTTCTTCGACGGCGAGCCTAACGACTCGGCTTCAACTTGGTCAGAACCCGCGGCAGTGAGATCGTCCTCCAGCCGCTTCCGCTTTAGTGTTCCATTGGTGCCCCGGTCCGAAGGAGACTGTGCTGTAGGTGTCGCGTCCTCAACATTGTCCTCGACGTCCGACATCTTGATATCTTCATCGTCATTCTCTGGCGATACGTCCTGTGCTGGCGGCGAGCCTGCCGGTGTATCCTTGCCCTTGTCTGGTGTAGACTTCTCTGCCTCGGACTTCTTGTGTTTGTGATATGCCTTTTCGAAGAACTGTTTGCAGAACTCTTTGACCTTCTTCTGTTGCCGCTCGTCGATCTTGGTAGGGTCTTTTACCCGGCCAGCCTTGTAGTCGGAAGCAACCAGCTTTTTAGCAATCTCCTTTGCAAATCGTTTGAGATCGTCACGAGGGATCTTGTTTTTGTACTTGTTCATTACGTGCGAGATGTGTGGGAAGAGCTGCAGGAGTATTAGCTAAGATGTAGCCCAAGGGAAGGATCGACGTTGGGCTTACCGTGTTCTCGTACAACTTCTTCTGCTTTTCCTCGTCGTACGACTTCCAGCGCTCTTCTTTCTTCCCTTTGGTGGGTTCCGGGGTATCAGGAGTGGTTGTCTTGACTTCTTTCTCGTGGGAGGTAACAATATTGTCAATGATGCTCTTGAGAACGTCTTGTTCTGAGGGTTGTTTGGGTGGAGGGGGAGGCTGATCTGCCGGACGCGTAGGCCTAACCCACGTAGTTTGACCTGTCGCGGAGTAATAGTATGTTCTACCTTTGTCTTGGGTTGCGAACCAGCCTTTGGGGAGCGGAGGTGGTGCCCGATTAAAGGAAGGGCCATGCCGGGGAAGCGTATTCCCAGGTCTTTGCAGTGATTTCGGGCCAGACGGCGCCGATAGACCTGCCGGGCCTCGAGGGGGACTCCGGGACCTAGACCTCGATATGGATCGTTTGCGTTCTACAACGGCTTCCCGCCGCTCGAATGGTGTCGGTTCCGCTTTGATGGGAGTCGAGACAGCCTCCCTCTTCTTCCGTGGTATCCGATACGCTATTTCAAGCTGCGACCATGAATCGAGCAGCGCCGTGGCTAGCGTTGCCACTCTTTCGTCCGAGTGTTCAGTCAAGGGTTTCATTGTCTGATCAATCTTCGAGTCGACGATCTTATTCCTTGTCAGCCTTGGCAGACGGTCCAGAACGTCCAAAATCTGTAGTGTTATGTTTTCGTCATCTCTCCATGCCGATAGTTGTGAATTCAGTATCTGATAGCCGTGAAAACGAACCACTCTGTGCCATGCCTGGTCATCTGAGCAGCGCTGTATCCGCTGTAGCAGTTTCACAGCTATCCATTTCTCTTTGCACTGCATCAGTGCAGCCATGACTTTAGTCACGCCGTCAGCATCCAAGGATCTTGCTTCCAGACTGTCAACGTAGTCTTCGTCGTCTTCGGCCGCCTTCTTCTTGCGAGGACGTTTGGCCACCACTGTATCCCATGTGTCGGCATCTTCGATACCAAGAGCTTCGATAACGGCAGCAGACAGTTTGGTGGCCCTCTCTGTCTGAGTTTTGCCGCCGATAAAACCTGTGCAGTTGGATTCACCACAGTAGCAGGGTTGTGGATTGGCGCCATAACGATCGACATTGTAGTTGAACACCAATTCTTCACCAGCTTTAACGTATCTTTCGGCAAAAATGCCCATGCGGAGTTTGTCGCCAACCACCCACTTGTCGACATAGCAGTTCGGGTTGCAAGAATGATTGCAGAATCGACCGAGATTTCCTTTCTTTGTCGCATCGACGAACTCACCTTTGCTCAGGGACATGAAGTAGAAATGCTTGATACCCTCATTATCATACTGAACCATGCGTTTGCGAAAGGTAGCTTCAGGTATCGTCTCGCCAATGTATTCGAAGATGAAATCGTTTGGCCGGAGGTCGACATTCGTACGAAGGCCGTAACCTTTCTTCTCGGTTTTGATGACGGACACATCGGCGTACAAGCGGCGCAGAAATCTCTGGTTCTGACATGATGTCCCGCAGCCACAATCGTTGGCACATTCCATTTTACAGGCACGGTTGATACAGTCCGAGTCATCGCCGCAAGCGAGATTCTGCTTGGTGGTCGAGTCTGCATCTGTCAGTCATTACTTTACAACTATGCAAGTGCAATGAGTAGACTTACCCCATTCTTCGGCACAGTCGCAGTCAAGAGCATGTTCACTGAAGCCCAAATATTTATTTTGATAAGTGCAAGCATCGAGGACGGTGAAGGTGGAGGTAGCTTCATCTTTGACATCGGGAAAGTGGTTGAATAAAGGTGCAACGCGAGGAGGAAGCTTGGAAGCTGTTCGAGATGACTTTGCGGGCTTCAAGGGCTCCTTGGGCTCGGGTTTGACAGGCGAGATGGAGGTTGCGTCGTGACCATTCGTCTCCGGAGATTCGGCCTTGGCGTTGGAGTGTTCCCTATCTGCAGCTGATGGTCGATTTGACGACGAGGTCGACGACGAGCGAGAATTTTTGAGCTTCGTTGGCAATATGGAGGGTGAGTTGGAGGGGCTGGCTGAATTTTCGTGCTTGACAGCGGCTAGGCGGTTGATGGTGGGCTCATCTCCAAGCTCATCGTCGACCGAGGCTTCCTGTTTAACCTGGACTGGAATCTCATCACCTGTAGAATCTGGTTTTGATGATTTCCTGCTTAAACGACCCATTTTGTCGGCGGATGATACAGATTCAAGGTCGTCGCAGTTGATTTGACCTCTAGAGTGAGCGTTGGGGGAAGCTACTGGAAAATTTCAGAGCCCTCGCATGCATCTGGGAGATGCGAAGTAGGCAACCACCGAGTTCAGTTGCAGATGGATTCCGGTGAGAGAGGTCTCGACGCACCATTAATCGATGGCCGCTGTCCGAATAGTCTTGTTGGCAGATGAGAGAGGAAATAAATTGTCGGCGCTGATGAGTCAAGAACGTGGGTGTCGGACAATATAGCTTTGGTAGCAGCGAGGGGCAGTTTTCGAGGTCGACTGCGAGGCACCACAGGGCCAAAAATCGATGAATGAAAGATTCCGAGCAGTCTGTAGTAGAAGCTTGCTAACGGCGCTTGTAGCGAGCGCCGATGATGGAGGAGTGAAGGATGGTTATTCAAGATAGCACCATGGAGTGACGATGACTTCGAGCCTTCATTTCCGCCACGTAAGTGCACAGAGAAGCAGTGCCAATGTGTTCTTTTTCCGTCCAAGGTCAGTTACTCACAAAGGAGGCAGACAGCACCAGTTTCCAGGATGCAAATTCAAGTGACAGCAAAAGAAAAGTGAAGGATGATTCTTTTTCGAAGTTGATGTCTAGAAAGACAAGAACGGGATGTGAAGGCTGAGAAGGGAGGCGGCCGCCTCACAGACCCTGTTGAGACCACAGATAATAATAAGCCAGACAGACCATCCGCGCCAAGACAGGACCTTGCGATATCATATGGCTCCCTCTCTCTCTCTCTCCGTCGCTCGCTGCCTACTTCCACTTCTTTGTGAGAAGAAGAGTAGACGATAACCTTCTCCTCGATGGTTCAACCTTTGGTACACTAGCCACGACAAAAAGACAGTATCCACAAACATGCCCAAGCAGCACAATCCGCCACAGCGACCTCTGGCGCTATTTTCCACCCGTTTTCTTTGTCTGGGATCAAGCCGTCGATATATTTCCGCCAGGTCTCTGGCTCCCCCGCCTTTTCCTTGCCGTTATCGCTTCCATTGCGCCGTGTGTTTCTTTTTGAAACCCTCTATCATTCAGATCCCTCCCTATGTCTATATTCTGTTGGCCTACCCGCCTGCGGGCATGTTCCACCGATCAGTACTTGACGTAAAGGTTTCCAAGCAATTTTCGTACGCTGATGCAAATTTCATCAGGCATGTCAGCTCCATCATTCGGGTTTGGCTGGTCAAAGCTTGAAGACAATCCTGCCCCGTTCAAGGCTCGACTCCCCAGCATACGGAAGAATGGTGTTTGCCACGCACAATTCAACCTTCCTCTTCCTGGTCGGTTTGGGATTTGTTCTTGGTTTTGACCATGCCCATAAGCCCTCGGAAAGAGGTCTTTGCCTGCCTTCCTGCATCTACTGCCATACCTTTCCACAATGCTGAGGTCTCTTTGTTCGGCGACAACGGGCTCTCTCCACCTGATTGTTCTACATCTCCTCCCGCCGTCGCAGCTGGCGAAGGCGTTGTCGGTTTCGAACCTTCTTCGGCTCCTTCCTTGTTCTTCGCTTTTTCTGCTTTCTCTTTTGCGATCAATTCCTTTCGCTCTTGCTTTCTTCGTTCATATTCTTCTCGCGCAGCTTGTCGAAGTGCTCGACTGACTTCACTTACACGAGCTTTGCGTGTCGAGAACTGTGTGTAATCTTTGAGCTGATTTTTGGCTTCACCTCCTATTGCTGCCCACCTGCCTATACGGCCACTGATGGCCATCAATTTCTCATCTACGCGTCGGGTAAGGTAAACGTTCGGTTCCTTGTTCTGTTCTTTGGCCTGCGCCACGATACGTTCGATCTCATCTCGATATGCCGTTTCGAAAATGTCCACGTCGGCGGCGCCAGGGCTTTCACTGACGATTGGTGCTCCATCTTCGTCTGGCATGAAAGTTTCGTCATCGCCATCCTGAGAACTGACTCCTGCATATGTCGATGGTCCGACGTAAAGATACAGGTGGTCCTCCAACGGATCATGCGCCTGACCTCGGTGACCTACCTCAGAAACAGTACGTGTATGTGAGTGCAACGGCCGGAAAGGAGGTAAATGTTGCGGATCCAGCTGCTCCATCTCTGCTATGGTCGGTAGCGCAGCGTCTTCCGTATCTGTACTTCCCTCGCTGAATAATTGTTTTCGCTTACGAGGTTTTCTCTCGCTCTGGTCCTCCTTTTTCGCTATGGTCGTGTCGTCTACGCTCTGAGTGGGGGATGATTGTAGATTCAGGCCCCTTACTTTCTGACGCAGATCGTCACCTTCTGCATGCTCATGTGAGTCGTGATTCGCAGAGTCGCGGGCCTGTTGCGCTTCTTCAGTGTTCGAATTGACTTCTTTCTTCATCGCTGCAGGAGGATATGAAAAATGTCCATCGCCTTCATCTCCAAGTATCGAAGTCATAGGTCGGTTCTTGTTCTTCTCCAAGAGGGACTTGAACTTGTTGATTGCTTTTATGACTGTTACCACGTTCCTCATGTTGCTGGTGATTGCAGCGTTCATCTCGGCTTCCGTAGGCGGTTCGACTAGGTCAGATGTATTTTCCTCCTCCGACAGAAGTTGGTCTTTCCCATGCTGGGTGACCCAGGGGTGTTCCCTCAATTCGCCCATTTTGATGCGTTTCTGCGGGTCCTTCTCCAATGTTTTCGTAATCAGGTCTCGGAAATCATCGTCCTCGTCTGTGTCAAACTGAGGCTCATCAGTCTTGATAGCATCATACATCTCGAAGATGCCGGTCTTCTCAAAAGGTATCCTCCCATACTTCAGACAGTACAACGTCACACCCATGGACCAGATGTCCGCTGCACGTCCAGACACATCGCCGTGTCGAGCAACACAGAGCTCTGGTGGTAAGAAAGCAGGGCTGCCTGCGGACTTGGCTGTGAGCATTTCTGAATCCTTTGCAAACATCTCCGACACTCCAAAATCGACGACCTTGAGCACATCATCATCAGTCACCAGGCAATTGTCTGGCTTAATATCACGATGCACGACACCCTGTGCGTGTAGATATTCAATTCCCAAAATCAGGTCCCGAAAGAAGTATCTGCAAACAAGGTCAGGGTAAGGGTCAGCTCTTTCCTCCAGCCCCACCTTCATTACGACACCCTTCTTACACATTTCCATGACCATGTAGAGTGAATCTTCGGTTGGATCGTCCAGCACCTCAATCAGCGAGACTAAGTTTGGATGGTTCAGCTTCTTCATGATGGCTATCTCCTCTTTGATCAGGTCAATAGCACTTGCTTGGGTTTGCTCATCGTTCCCGGTCCGATGCATAGGAGAGTTGAAACCTTGAAGAGCACCACGGCGCCGTTCGTTAAGCGGCCTGCGCAGAATATGTGATTGCGCTCGCTTTCGGAGACGGGCTTTCGAGAACTCTTTAACTGCCTAAGTCGCGTCAGTCGATGACAGATCCTGAGGGCACCCCATCACTTACGTATTCCTGCCCATACTGGTCCACGGCCATATGCACGGCTCCAAACGATCCCCGGCCAATCTCTTGTCTAATGATATATTGATTGATGCGGTGCTCTGCGACGCCGTCATCCTGACTAGTAATGTATTCGGATCGAGCATTGAGGGATTCCTGCACAGAGTCGGTCAACTGCATGTTCGAGTTGCATTGAGCAAATATATACCTTCACCTGCTTGTGTGCGGATGGGGTACGGTGATGATGGCGAAGAGGGCTGGTGATGCCGGGGCTTGTCCTGTTTATCATACTGATCAGCAAATCATAGCGCTGATCTCAGACGACTTACAGGCGCTTTTCAGGCGGTGTGGTCTTGGTGCTGGGGTTATGGTCGCTGCGCTCGCCGGAGTCTCCATGTGGTTGCGGTTGGGCGCGGGGTTGATTGGCGTTCTCGGTTGGAGGAAAGCGAGCAGCTTCCTCCGCCGACGTGGACGTAGGCGAGGCGACAATGTCCATGATCTTTGTCATTACGATATTAATGGAGCCTGTCCTGTAGCTGTTGTGTGAAAGGGCGAGTCCATCGACCTGCGGGACGCCATAGTACACTTATGATCGTGCAATGGCAGCACCAACGAGTGGTGATTGTCGTGATAAGAATAATGACATAGTTCCGCTATACTTGCCGTTTTGGATGAGGCCTCCAACGGTGTGTCTATGGACACTTGTACAAGGAGCAACCACCATATCTAAACAACGACAATAGAATATCTATTCGACCCGTTTCTTGACTGTTGGATCATGACCAAAGGCACTTTATGTGATCGCAAGTCTTCGTTTGGTCGGTGACATAAGTCGGGCCAAATTTTCCCACAACTGTGATAGGCTTCGAAAATGGTCGTCTACTCATTCTATATCTTCGACCGACATGGTAAGCAGCTGCTTTTTTCTCTTCACATTGCACATACTGAACACCCCAGCCGAGTGCATTTACAAAAAGCGATGGCCGCCCCCATCAATGTCATCTTCAGGCAAAGTATCGAAACCAGCTGCCCAGGCTTATATCAACGGGGGCGCTTCGGCACGCTCTACCCTGAGCGCAGAAGATGATGCAAAGCTCGTTTTTGGTACTGTGTTCTCCTTGCGGAATATGGTGCGGAAATTGGGCGGCGACGATGACAGGTTTGTGTCGTCACCATGATGGTTGAACTTCTGCTGAGATGTTTTCGCAGTTTCCTCTCCTACCGAACTTCGCAATACAAACTCCATTACTATGAGACTCCCACCAACATCAAATTCGTGATGCTTACCGACACAAAATCCGGATCCATGAGAATCGCGCTGCAGCAGATCTATGTCAATTGCTACGTGGAATATGTGGTGAAGAACCCGCTAGCCCCAATCGAACACCCTGGAGGCATCGGCGTCAACAATGAACTTTTCGAGGCTAGCTTGGAGCAGTTTGTTGTACGTGGAAACTGCGTTGCCCTCCCACAACGTGCCATACTCACCGGTGTTACAGGATAGGGTTCTCAATGCAGCTTGAAGGTCCGAGATCGGAGGAAACAACTCAAGACCACTGTGATTCTCAAGAAGTGACAGTGGCAAGTCCAGTTCCGGGCATCAATTGGAGGGAGCCTGCAATATTTACGCCTTGAGTGCCGCGGCCTTAAGAGGGATGTGCGCCATCTCAGTTGATCAGCCCCAGGCGAGCCGACAGGCTTCCTGATTCTGCTCCACTTATCCCACCAGATGTCAAAGGCCGCCCAGCACCTCAACTCCAGCGTTGAGAGAAGACTATGCGGCGAACCGGCGGCTGGGATCGGAACGGGCCTGGGCCAATGATCCGGTCACGGTCATGACATGGCATACCTGGACAAGCGTAACGGCTTTGGTGGGATCTGGAACATGACAAAACCGGATGCTGTGGTACCTGAATCAACCATGGGATTCTGTGGCGGTCGCGAGAAGTGATGCGCAATTCATGACAGTGGCCGTGACCAAATGGTAACTCGATCAGTAATGGGATGATTCTTTAGATTGCGATGATGTAGACGGCTACCAATATAAATGCAGAAGCGAGGATTGCTTATGTGATTGGGCTCAGGCGATGAATCCTTGGTACGAAGCTAGAATGGCTTTGCATGAGCCTCGGACGAATCACAAAATTCATCATAGAAATACCGTCAGAAAATGGTAGATATACGACGAATAGGAACATGGGGAAAAAAGAATATACAAATCCCCCCAGTGTGATCTATTGCAGCCGCTGTGAAGGTTGATCGTTGTCTCAAGTATGCGCCCATCATGAGGTATCTTGGGGCCGCCATGAGTCATCTGACACGAGTGTTTCCTGAATGCAGTCTCTACTCTGGATGCCTCTGGGCACGGCACACTTGCAATCTCGACCTCGACGAAATCTGCAGACTTCAAAAGTGTGCAGGACTGTATTTGTAGGTCTTAGCATCGTACCTACCCATTATGGCCAATATTTGGCCTTGTTGAAAAATTGGTAGGCCAGATCGAGTGGTGCATGAACATGGCAGGATGCAGCTCAAGCCGACCTAGACTTGCAGGAACATCCACGGAAATCTGTATTGACACGCATTACTAGCCGGCGAGTGCACATTGATGTGCATGACATAGCATGACCAATTGCGGTACGTGCAGGCGAAGATTGAAGCGTGGTCCTGAGTGTGCATATCCAGGCGACACACAAGTGAAACCTCGCATGTCAACGGATGTAGTGACAAAATAACGGTAAGCGCTTCATGGCTGCTTTGTATTTCCCTGTGCTTGCAATGTCTTGGTTCTGCAAATATGCTTGGTTCATACCTCAAACTCGGGTACGTTAAGAAAAACCAGATTCTGCGATGCGTATATATGGGAACAAACGAAGCAGCGACAGAGAGTAACGGGATCCATGGCGCTGGTGCAGACTTGACTCAACCGAGGATCAAGCGGCAAAATAGTGACGAGTCAAGACTCGAATTGGGCTATTCACGGTACGGCACATGTGGTCGCATGGAAGGAGGCCGGCTCACAACTGGAATCGACAGGTTTGTGGGGTCCAGATCGGGTCAGGGCTTGCTTTGACATGAAAACAGGTCCTGTAGATCAGTCAAGCCGGTCGAATGTTGAGCACTCGGCAGAATCTGCTTTCAGATGGGCTCTTAAGCAGCGTTCGTCCAGAGTATTTTCTACATGAAACAACCATCCAGAAAGGAGAGTAGATGCGCCGATTAAGTTCATAGTCATGATATATTCGCATTCTAAGTCACGGCATCGGCCGGCTTGGCAAAACGAGGGGCAGAAATCACTGGAGAGTTGAGATCAATTTTTGGCTCCCCGTTCCTACTTCCAATATCCTTCTCACTGTGTTTCATGTCAGCCAACTAAGTCAATCATGACTACAACAGCGGTCGCATCCTCATTGCGGTCAAGGAGTGTTTTCAACTCACCGGAGTCTGCTCACCCGGGTTCGGAACGGTGCTTCGCAGGCCCTCAAGGCGTCCTCAACAGGATGATCGTGTCAGACAAAACATCGCCATCACGAAGGTCCACTCTCGCGTCTTTTCTACCTTCCCAGGGCCCAGGGGGCTAGTCTGCCCCGGACGCAGCGTGCATCAAGGATCCAGGGCTTAACCGCTTGCATGGCTTCATCAAGCCCCCTGTCTCTGACCCCTGCCAAGGTTAGTGCCCTTTTTTTTGACACCATAACGCGTCGATGGAAAGGTCGTATTCTTCACCAATCCTACCGCAGCATCTCTGCCCGCTCGTGTGCAATTTGTTCCTACATCATTGAACGTCGCACAATCGTTGGTCACCCTGCTCTTTCCTATGGTACCAGTGACTGCAGGATCCCCACCATCAAGAGCAAAGTCTACGTTTCTTTTCACAATGGCGAAAAAGACGTGGCCAAAGGGAATGCGGGATGAGTGTCGTGTCACCCATGCTCTCCCCCAGCGGCTTTTGTTCTTTCTCATCATCGTTTTCGCTCCCTCCTCGTTTCTCGAAATGGCTCCTGCCTCTCTCGGTTCTGGTGCCCGAGCCCAGCTATTGGATCGCCGTGGCTTTGGCTGCTACCATTCATCCAAGACGGCTGCCGCGTGCCTGACAGCAATTTCTCCACAGGGCTTTCCGGTGGCCGAATCCACTTTGTGAGAACCACTGAGAAAGATATGGTCACTCTCGTTGCACGGAGTACCTTGCTCACTCCCAAAGCCCCGCCGAGACGAACATTAATTCTCAGTCAGCTGCAGGTCCCAGACCTTCCTCGAGACCCGTACCACCCTCATGAGCCGATGGCACCGAGTGTCCACACTGTCCCGACTTGCCCCAAGCCATTATTACCCACCCCATCGAACGCTCCCTCATTGTGATGAACATGGGTAAGCCCTGACACTCTTTAATCTTCGACAGGTGCGACGACTCTGCTCCTCTGCCGAGTTCGTCACTTCCTCCCCAAGAACTTTATTTCACCCTCTTAAACAAGGGCGTTGATCCTTCATATCGTCCTACCCACCCTCCATTACAACATTTTCTTGACCTGGTCCTCATATACTACCGCCGGCCGGTCGAATATCTATCCCCATCCTCATCACTTTCTGAGACTCAACTTTCGTGGTCATGAGAAGATACAGTCATTAAACTGGCATCGTGCCGACCAAATCTCTCGGGATGACTTCGTCTGATTTTCAGGGTTTGTGCCCAACTCCCTTCTTGCAGGAGAGTTCTTTCCCGGTTACAGGTGGATGTACGTACCCGTTCGATCGGTTCAGCTAACCGAGAATCCATTGCTGATCTTTCTCAGTCGTTCCCGGGCGCTTTTGTATGCCAATATCTGAACTTCAGAACTTGACTTGTTGTCTTCCTTGCCCAACAACACAATGGACATATTCTGATGGTATTTCACACTGAGTAGAGGTCAGAGCTAGAGAGCTAAATCTTGTAGGATTCGACGACCGGACGGAAATCGCCAACTGGGTCAACGTGGCTGCATTACTCTTGTCATGCTATTTGATACTCTCGTTCCTGGTTCTCCCTGTCAAATATACCCATAGGCACTATCTCAGCGTCTGCTTGACCCTGGGCGTGCTTTTCATGGAGGTGGGTGGTTTCTCCATCGGATAATCCTAATTGTGTGTATGGCTGACGTGTCTACAGCTCGCCTTCATTGTTGCCTTGGCAGCAAAGCCCGATCAGTGCTTCAATGACATTACTCCCAATGACATGCAAACCAGTGGCGTGTGCGCCATCAGTGGCGCGTTCTTGCTGTTCGGCGGCTGGGCCGTTGTTATCTGGGTGTTCTGCCGTGCACTCGCTCTTCATCTGCAGATCTGCTGGGAGGTCATACCAGGAAACAAATTCTTCTACGGAGCGCTCGCTTTTGGCTGGATCGTTCCCATTGTTGGTCTGACACTCACTTTGAGCTTGACCGGCGTCTCCTTTCGCTTTGGAGATGTCTGTCACATCAATCACAAAAATGCTTTACAGGCTTTTTGGGGCCCGCTTCTGGCTTTCGCTGCCTTGGCTATGGTCCTGCAGTTCATCACCATTGGTTATTGCATCCACGTCTATGTTAAAAGCCTATTGGACGATAGCACGTCAACAAACAACAGCTCGCAAGCACCGACTTACTCAGGGAGCTTTAGGACCCTTACAGCAAAGCAGACAATGCGCCGAGTTAAGAGGGTCATTCAGCTACAATGGCGGGGAGCCTTCATAGTCGTCGTCATCATCGCCGAGGTGGTGTTCTTTGCGGTTGTTTTTGTATCAATGGACAACAGCAGTCAAGTCAACGAGCAGCTTCTAGAGAAAGCGAGCCCATGGCTTGCCTGCTTAGTTGCTGAAGTAGGAGACAAGAACAAATGCCTGTCATATGCGAAGGACTTGGTCAAGCCAGAGGGTGTGGTACTGGCAGTACTGATTGTCTTAGGGGTATGTCAGGCTTCACGAGTGCATCAGTGTTCACGCTAACGACATGACAGCTAAGTGGATTTTGGTGCTTGGTGTTTTTGGGTCGATGGTCCATGACTGAAGGCTGGAGAGAATTCTTCTGTGCGAGACTTCACCGCAAGAACGAATTTGTCTCTGCTGACGCAAGATACCTATCGAACGATCCCCGTACGTACGAAATGCTGAGCGGCACCAGGCCTCAAGTGGATATCAGATCGCCAGATCTCGCCCTGAGTCCAAATCCACGAGCATTTACAACTCCAGAACCAGATGCGAAGCAAGATTCCTTTGGCTCAACTAGGACCTATGTCAACCCATTATCAAGCTATTCTTATCCGAGGGCTCCCAGTCAACAGATGGACTGGAATGCAAGAGTGGCACAAGCCATGAAAGGAGACGGCAAAGGCTTCGACAGTGAGATCTATCCGGGATGAAGAACTATTGCGGTCAAAATGGAAGGTACCCACCACAGGAGTTGCGACTCGAGTCCACCTCTTTTGGTCGTCTTCAACGCATCGTCAGGGTTCGCACCAAGTCCATCACCGCCACCTCGATTTTATCAACACAGTGTCAGGAGAACGACGACAGGGGTTTTTGTTGTCTACCAATCAACGGAGTTTTCATTATTTGTACAGCGGCATAGCAGTATGGAAGGTCAATTGACATTGTACAGCACAAACCTGTACAAAACAAATGGCCACTGTTTGGGCGCGCCGGGAACACTTACGTTCCCTATGATTTGTCGATACAGCGGAGTGTCGCTTCACAGCGAAAAAAGTACAGCCGGTTGATTATGATGGATTGAAACGATTTCATATGTTGTCATCGTACAAAGGAGAGAAGAGAAATACCCTTGTCACATATCTATTTAGGCGCAGGCTGGCTCCTGTTGCGCCTTTGTTTATATTCAGCCGTGGAGGTCGGCGGAAGGGCGAGTCGTGGAAGGATGCAGTAAGAGAAGTGCCTGAATTGGTGCCGCAGGGTTGGATAGCTGCTTTTCAGGAGGCAGAGATGGCCGGAGACGAATATACGTCTGAGATTGAGATGTATATCCTCAGTAAGCGGCGCGGTGACCACGGGTATGGCTTACATGCGCGAGTTCGAGGATGCCTTTCTGGCATTAACCTGTCAAAGCAGCTGTCGCTGTCAAATCACTTTAACGCGGTCATGCACGTCACAAACGTACCGATATTGAGTTTAGGAGAATTGATTAGAGCAAAGATCCGAAACTGTCAGAAAAGGCTTAACAGAAGTCAACCCGGTACTCGGGACTGATCTGATCGACAAGTCAAAAGGCGCGGATATCTCTTGCGGAATTTGCAACATGCATGCACTCGATGTAGGAAGTACTTGTGCGATACATTGGACGGTGGTTGTACTCCGTACTGTCGCTTGAAACGGGAAAGGGGCAACTGAGGATCTGGGCCCTGGAATCTTCCGGATCTTCTGGCCGATTCACCTTTCTGCCCCAGGTAGGTTCGGGAGAATGGTCGAATAAGCATTTGGCAACGGCCCATTTTGTTTGAGATTCTGCATGTCAGAGGGGATCAACGAGTGACTTTGGAACAATTGCGCAAAATATATCACTATGGGAAACCATAGTATAGGAGGAGCTCTTGTCATAGATAGTCTTTTTCGCCTTCAGACAGTCGCTTGCCAGCGTCTGCCACAGCCGTCGTTTGTGACCGCGAAGATGGCGTGGATAATCTTCGTCCTGGCTTTTTCGTTCCTCCTTAGAGTGATCAAATATGCATAGAAGAGTCGGCACCGAAGATACTGTATAGAAACGTTTCACCATACCGGAGCGTCCAATTGACAGTCATATCACTCGGTATGGCACAATGTTGTCACGATACCATACCTTTGATCGCATCGTCACATCGTTAGTCCAATGGTGGGAGGATAATATCAATGAGAGTGGCTGGGACCTGCCTGATTCGGTACGGGTATCGAATCAGAGAGGCAGCTCTTGTCTAAGAGAACAGGAGTTCCTCTCATGCGTGCGTAAGAACACTCGTGTTTAATTGCTGGGGGGGATGTCAAGGGATGTCAACATGGGGAAACATTCTTCAGGGTCACAGCAAAAGTTCTCACGCTCCAGATTTGATGCGCGGATCATTGCCTGTTCCTCTCAGTCCCGGAAGATCTGGGATCTGCCCTGTCGATGAAGCGACGCCGCTAACTCGGCAAAGGTGTCCTTGTGTCTGGCTGTTCCTTTTTCATTTTCCAGACAGCCGGGCAGAGAATGGGATTTAGGGTTAACGGTCCAGCGTACATATCTGCCATCGACGATCAGATCCTTGATGTTCATCATGCAACAGACCACAAGAACGTACCTTGCCCTTACATATTCGTATGTACAAAATGCAAGGGCAACCCAACCCTGGACAGACGAGCGGTTCAAGACCATACTGCTTTACGTCAAAATTCCCCGATCTTTGAACTCTAGTCTTAACGTTACCACCAGGTTGTGGCATATCAGAAGTCGTATTGACGATCATGGCAGCAGCCACACGGCCAGAGTCCAAGACAACGGTCGTCCCAGGATCATTTTTGAAGGAGAGAGGTGCTTGCGATACTTGGGCCAGCGCCTTCCATCATCTAGGACAAGTCTCGCAATGTGATGATTTAGTGTATCTCCGTGGCCTTCCACTGCCGCGTCAAAAACTCACCTGTTCTCCAACTCACATCATCAAAGAAGGGAGATACAACACTCTTCTTCGCTTTCGTTGATGACCATCAGAGGAACAGCAGTACCCCGAAATTGGGAAACCATGTGGCTTGCCACCATGCGAGCGCCTATGCCGCGTTTGGAAGGATCCCCTAGTGCAGTAGTGCTTACTTTGTGCCTGGAGATTTTTGACAAGATGGTTCTTCGCCATGGAAGACTATGTCTCAGGGCTGGTCGGTGGCTTTTCGAGAAGGATTCCACTGGTGGATTTACCTTTGCATCCTCGTGGATCAGTCCGTTTCAGACATGCATGCTGCAAAGCTAATCAGAAATCCCTGCTGGGGGTTGTATGGATAGTCGGGCATCAAGTCAAAATTGACGGTATTCTGCTTCCCATCCGCCCGGATGAACACCTCTACGAGCGTGAAAGTGACAAGCTCGGAGTCCAGCCGTGTTGGTGAGTCCTCCCTTTCTCAAGCAAGAAAATCTGCACTGAGACGTCATTCCCATCAGAAGGGGAGAAGGAAGACCTACTCTAGCATGGATGTCCTAGCAGACGGTGAACGGTGTTCAGATCAACTCAACATGGTTGAGATTGTGCTATGCAGGCATGGGGTACCATCATACTCGGTACTCTGAGTGGATTTGACATCTAAAAACCCGCCACACAGACGTTCTTGCGCTATTTCTCGGGCCAGGCGCTATCCCTGCCGAGTCGCAACTGCCATAAGAGATCTTGAAATGACAAACAGGGATTCTCATAAAGGCAGGGCAGCTCGTGAACGTGGAGAGATGAAACAGTGGCGTTCAGTAGCAGATCACTCAGCACGAGAATAAGCCAGCGTCGACCTCCCTCGGTCAAGTCCTCACGCGTCTTTGGAAGCGCCGAGGTAAGTGGTGCAGAAGCTGGTTACGGTCGGCGTATAGATCGATTGCACGAGGAGTGTGTGGCTGCTCGCACGTAGCAGGAAGATGCAATTGCGCGAAATCTCTATGCCATATTCTGGGATAGGTGACAAGACAAGCCCGCCTCAGCAACGAAAATGCAAGTCATCATTCTCTGACCACCTGCCCCAGAGAGCAATAAGCGGTCGAGACAGCACTTCGGGAGCATACCCTCAGCAAAGGTAGACCATCGAAAGAGCAGATGAGCCATGGTTTTGTCACCTTCCGTCCATACACCAGCCTCCACTGTTCGAAAGGAAAGTGTTTGGTAATTGGAAGGTACTGATGTTCATATAGGCACGATAGAAAATTTTCCTTCAGACATTCGCGCATTGAAAATTGACACGATGCTGTACACACAAATGCCATCAATTTTGAGCAGGGGAAGTGAGGGCTGGGGTAGTCTGGAACGAGGTGAGATCGGGGGTTTCGGATTTGAGTGAGCAGTAGCAACGAGCGCATGAGTATTCAGCATCTTGATTCTCCTGCTGACAGAAAAGTCGACCGTTTGTGTCTCGCACTCGGAGTTCTATTTCTCATCCGGCCGTGCTGTCAATTCTCGCTTCGTCGTCTTGTCGGCCTCAATCACCGCAAGTTGATTGTTCAAACTCGCAACGCCAACGAATATGCCTTCATGATTGATTTTCCGTCGGCGCAAAACATTCGCAATAGACTTAGGCGGCATCTCTCTTTCCCTCCTTCACCTCCTTGAGCGCCTTCATCGTTCCGTGCAGAGCATGTCTGTGGTTTCTTCGGAACTTGGGGTCGGTACCCTTGAGCGAGGGATATCTGTGGGTCTTTGGCTTCTTGATACTGTGTTCAGGCAAATGTGTTAGTCGATCATATTCTCGAGCCCAAATGCAGGCAAATACTGCGGCGCAAAATGAAATCGTACCCGTTTCGGTGAGCCTTCTTGGCCTGATTGTGCTGAGACGAGTTCTTTGATTCTGAAGACGGTCAGCGTGAGACCCTGTATGTACCTGAATCGCAACACCTACTGGCCATCTCGACGGTATCAGCGAGCAATAGAATGTCCTGATTTTGTTTGTCTGAATGACTGTCTGATGTTGAAAGCTGGGTGTTTTTGCAAATGTGGGTGCAGACAGTGCGGGAAGGTCTGCCGACCAGCCTTGGCGCATATTCCACTTCGAGCCAATTACGACGGTCTGAAGCGAGAGCACTTCTGAACACATCCTGACATCGAGCCAATGATCTGAGTAGAGAGCAGTGCAACCAATGCCTGACTTCCTCTCTATGCGGGAATGCATTTCGATGATGCTTTCGCTTTTTCTATATTACTATGTCTTTTGAGATTGACCCAGCCGACATGACTGTGGAGGTCACGCCATGGTGCTTCCTTCATACGCCTCATAACTTTCAGCTGTCCTTGGTATCATATGCAGGTCGTCAAAAATGTGCTCGCATCCTTTTCCAGGCTTCTCTTTGTTTTACATCTGCCCTCCTTGTGCGATAAATTTTGCAAAAAAAGTTTTGAATGCCTTAGGTTCCAGTGTCGCTAGCTTTTGCAGATACTCGTTAATCAGGGTATCGTTCATGCCCATTGTGCGCAACTCATTCTCCTGTAGCCAGGTCAAATATTGCTGGCCAGTTTTGGTGTAGATGGTCTTTTGAAGCCCAGCAGCTTCCGAAAGTGCTTGTCGAGCTTGTGCGTCTTTACTATTGAAAGACGGGTTGGTTGGTAGGGCCCAGCACAAGGGCGAGAAACGGGTGATCATGAATTGATCGAAACCTGGCAATGCAGGCTGAGGTCCAGCTACGTTGCCATTGACTTGTCCAATGGCAGAAACCACATCAGGTCCTCCCCAAACAGTACACATTCTCGAAAGTAGCAAGAATGCCATTTTGGCGGTGGGAAAGTCCTCAACGTCCCTTGCAAGATGTTCAGTCGAGGTGATGATCGACTCAAAAATAGGCTGGTTTGTCGAGCTGACAAGAACGGTCCCAAGGTCATTTCCGAGGATGACCATGAGGAAGTTGAGGTATTCTCTTTTCAACTCTGCCAATTCGATTTCGTCATCAGTTCCTGAGGTCCCTGCCGAGATGCCAACGAAGACACGCTGAAGGAGGCCCGAGAACAATCGATCAAGGAAGTCTGATATGTCGTTCTTGAAGCCGAAAATGACCTGATCAAGCAACCGAAGAAATAAAGCCATCTCGTCTCTTGTAGATGACTCAGTCAACAGGCCTTCAACCCATTGGGGCAGCTGCTGCATCATTTGCGTGCCCACGATGCCAATCAGGCGCGAAAATGCAAATCGTGCAGCAGTGCGGATCTGGAATGATGATTTGAGCGCGGTCAACGTGACCAGGGTCACCTCCGCAACTTGTGCAAACGCTTGTTTGACTTGCGGCGCAATTGCAGCTCCGCCATGTTGAGAGTCAGCTCCAGGAGTAAACTCCGAGAAACCTCGAGCTATCGTACCCAAAGCCATAATGGAATGGTGCACCTGGAGGCTAGCAAGATCATTTCCTGCTCTGGCAGACTCCAGATTGCGTTCTATATCGGAGAACAGTGGTTGCATGATAAGCTGCAGGATTGGAGCTTGTTTCTCAGGGGGTGCCGAGGTCGAGCCACAAATGCATCCTACCGCTTCGAACAAATACAGCTGGCTTGTGAATGTTGAATCCGTGGCTGTTTCACCGTCTGATGACATATCGTCCCCTTCTTCCTCACTGGGAAGCTCGGCACGGATGACAAGAAGATCTTGCAGACTTTGTACGACCGCTTCGGTTGCATTTCCTAAGTGAGTACGCAATTGTCGAACTAGGCGCTGAATTAGATACCATGCTCGAGCTTTAACCTTCAAGCTTTGGTGATGCGCCAGCTCGAGGAAAGTCTGCAGCACGGGCTCGATAAACCCAGTGTGCTTCTCAAAGAATGTGCTGTATCTGACACATATTTCCATATATTGAAGTTGGATCGCAGGATGGCCGAAGGAGCCTGCATCTAGGACCGTTAGAGAGAATGTCGAGGACATTCTGAATATGCTGGGCTGACTTACTCGACTGAACCATCTCCAACATCATCTGAATCAGTGCTTCGGCTGCAGGAGAGTTGGGTTTGTTCTTGTGGTACAAACCTCCTCCTTTAGCTGCAAGATCACCCATCAAGTACACTTCGTACAAAGCGAGATCAAGGTCTCGCCAGTTCAATGAGGAGCCGTCGGTGCGTAGTCTCTGCAACGTGTCATGAACGAGCGTTGAGATTGCCTCAACGTAGAGTGCTTCGTCCGCTGCTGCAATAGCGGACTGCAGTGCGGCCAATCTCTTCCTAAGGTCTTGAAACTCAGCTTCATCGGTCTGCTCGTCTTCTTGGTTCCAATCGGCTGTGTCGTCATATCGCATCTTGATGAATATCGCTTTCAGAATCGGTAACAGCATTGCTGCACGTTGAGCAGCCGCAGCCTCTCCCGTGCTAGCCTTCCTAAGAAATGCAAGTACGTCATTCATTGCAGTGAGCACAGTGGAACAGACTTCGTCAAAGACGTCGGAGAAAAACCGAAGCAGGTGCGGAAGGAACGCTGCTAGAAGCTGCTCGGCTTTGGCCCACGTCGGCGAGGCCTGATTCTCCGTGTCCAGCACTCTGACAATATCCGTCACAGTTGTATTGACCAGTTTTGCCACGGTCTCAGCAAGGTCGACATCATAATTGGGTGCCCTGCTATCGCTTAATGGTGGGCAGGTGACCAGTTGAGACACGACAGTTTCGAGATTGAGGAAGGTGATCATATCGATCTTGTCAGCCGTGGGCATTTTCTTCGCGACTGTCTCGGTGAAGACATCAACAGCAGCATCTCTGGCCAACTCTTCGCCTGGACCAGGTTCAACCTTTTGGGCTCGTTCTAATTGCTGGAACAATAATTCAAGCATCCGCTGATTGACCACAAACGAGATGTCTACCCAGCTGACCCATTTGCCCACAGCTTTGAGACAAAGCTCGGCGACAACATCCTTCGAGGTTCTCCACTGAGACAGAATCTCTTCCCAAGAACGTGCAATCTTCTGTACGTCACGTTCACGGATCAGGTCCTTCAACGTGTTAGCTCGATCCTGCTCTGCCCGAGATCTTGATAGTAGTTGGTCTCCAATCTCGTCGTGAACGGAATTGAGGACCGTGAGATAGAAGACAACGCCCGGGTAGCTGTCCCTGGACCCAGTGCCTTTCGTGGTTAAAGCCAGGAGGTCATCGAAGCAGGTCTCCCACCCAGAGCCGTAGAACGACGCAAACAGGAACGTGATGGTTTGAGCGAATTTGTTCACGATCGTCCCGGGGTCTGGTGTTTCTTCTTCACTGCCTGAACCATAGTGTTTCCCCAGATACTCCATCAACCGATCTTTGATAGTTCTCAAGCCTTGTTGGTCCACCAGCCCTGCTTGTAGAGCGTTATTGACGATATCGAGGCAGAATACCCGGATCACCATAGGTTGACGGGGCACTTGAAGTGAAATAGTGAGGCAAGGTTGCCATGCTGAAGGCTCCTGGCGCAGCTGATTGACATAGTCAAAGGCCTGGCGCTTGAGGGTCGGATCGGAGGAAGGGTTATAAGCGATTTGGATCGCCGAGATGATCTGGAAAAGGCCTGTCAGAGAGTCGAGCATCGTTTCGGAACCGGACTTACCTGGTCATCCATCAGGTAATGCCAGTGTTCCTCACCCAACTTATGAAGTCCGGAACACTGGTAATTTGGGATAGTCACCGCATTTGCGTGACCGAAGTGGAAGCACGTGCTTCCGAAGCTTTATTCCATTATATGGCGGGAAAGGGAATTGGCTGACGACGTAACTGTGAATGGAATGTTCTGCACATCAAATCTCGAATCTTGTTCACTTCAAGGTGGAAGCCAGGTAGAAGTTGCGTTAAATGCAGTTCGTGCGGGTGTCCACTATGAAATTGAGAAACTCGGGACGAAGCGTCTGCACTTTGCCTTCGAGGCTGCCTCTGATCTCATCCCCGGCTTGGCAGCCCTTCTTAACGCCGTTGTCCTTTCTTTGCAACGTCAACTCTCTCACGATGTCAACTAGGCGACCGCCAGGTCCATGTCGATGTGACATATCGATGCAGCATGTGTCTACCGCCATGACCAAATCTCTCACCCACTTGCTTTGCAAATGAAGGACTACCTATGGCCAACAAAGTGTCCTCCCATCCGTTGTGATAGTGTCGACCTCTGCTCTCAACGCCATTCCTTCAACCTTGTAAGTTCCTCACTCTGGCCCTTCAGGTATCGTATATAAACGCGGAACGTGATCCGAGGACTTGCCACCACGGACACGGTGTATTGGGAGGACGACTCTCTACCATGGACATCAACCTCAGCCTCGTCACGTGAGTTAGTGGTAACACTCTCTCTTACCTTGGGGGCATTCACGAAGTGTCCATGCTTGTCGATTGACCTAGAGATCAGGTAGTTGGGCTTTGATTCAAAGAACTTCTTTGCCTGCAGAAAGTCTTTGTTTTGAGTAAAGGCATGATACACCTCCTTGATTGCAGCGAGGTAACCATAATCGAGAGGCATCTTGAGTACGGTGCTCATGTGAATGTCCAAGAAGGTCTCTTTACCGTATGAACTGGTGCAACGGATCTAGGGGTAGGTTGGACACCATCCTGTGAGGTAGAAGTCATAGCAGAAAATGTATCGCACAGCGCCGAGAGGTCAGCGCGAGTAAGTTAATCAACGGCAACGATAAGACAAGCGCGCGAAAGGAGCAGGAGACCTTCCAGCTCTGAAAAGTATGATATTGAACAACCATGCGCAAGACGGTCAGAGTCTTTGTTCCTTTTTGTTTCCGCTTCTATCCCTGTCAGTTGTCTGTCTATGAACGCCGATGTTCGACGTACTATGCAAACAAGTATTTCGAAGCATGGTCAATGTGGTCGTCGGAGAATGATGCCATAGTGAAGTAGCTGTGGTCATAATCTGGCTGGAATCTGACATTGACTCCCTTCTCTTGTCCAATCTCCTTTGCTGCAGCGATGAAATTTTCGGGCAGAAGTTGATTTTGCTTGTAAAAATTGTCACCAGTGCCCTAGAAGACGATTAGCTTTGTCATTAGTCGCCGTAGAGACAGACCACGTACCACGTCGATTAAGATATCCAGGTCACCTCCTTTCCATTGCTTCAGAAGCTCCGTTGAATCATGTTCTGCACCCTTCTTCTGCCAGTTCTCTTCACCAAAGTAACCTTTGAAAGCCTTTTCTCCCCAAGGGGCTTTCAGTGGGTTCGCAATCGGAGCAAATGCGCTGACACTCCTATATTTGCCAGGATTCTTCAGGTACAGCGACAAAGCACCATGGCCTCCCATACTGTGTCCACTGATGCTCACTCGGCTCGAATCGATTTGATCAAACTCAGAGAAGACGGTCTTGGGGAGTTCTTCCGTGATGTAACTGTACATCTTATAGTTGTCGGACCAAGGAGAGGCTGTGGCGTCGACATAGAATCCTGCACCTGTGCCGAAGTCATAGGCATCGTCCTCGCCCTTGATACCAATCCCCCCTATGGTATGTTAGAACAGTCTGGTGAGATACTATGGACGTATACATACTTGGGCTGGTATCTGGGTACAGCACTGCAATCCCTTTCTTGCTTGCACCGTGCTGGAAGAACCCTTTCTCGGAACAGTTGTCCGCAGTACATGTCAGGCCAGACAGCCAGATGAACAGAGGGACTTTATGAAGTTTGTTGTTCGTCGCTTGGGGAGGCATGTAGAGATTGAACTTCATCTCACAGCCGAGAGTTGAGGAGTTATGGGCAAGCTTGAGCAGCTTGCCCCCAAAAGATGCTATGGTGGCTTGAGTTGATACCGACATCTTGTTTGGAATAATGAGGGATCTGGATTCACTGGGTAAGAAGCAGCTTCTACAATATGGCAGCAGTGTTTTTTTGTAAATACTGTTCGAGAAGAAATGACGTGGGGGAGGGGGAAAGGAACATTGGATTTGGAGCAGAGACAAGAGTTGGCCCCGCATAGCAACAGAATCATCATCGCTGTCCAGGGGTTCATTTCGGTTCCCTGAAGACTATCCGAGAGAGGGATCCTACAGCGTGAGATGCCCAGATGTGGATGACTGGGAGGGGCAGTATCCGATTCCACCCCGCCGGCAAATGCTGCAAGGCTCGGAAATACTATTACCCTTGTGCTTCTTCTAGCGCCGAAAACAGCAGTTCTGTCCAAGGTCGAGGTAGCCTTCTTCGACTATAGCTTCGTCGAAAACGAAGTCAACAACCTCATTGTCGTATTCCTGGGAGGGTGATATACATGCAACAGGTAGCGAGCGATGTGAGATGATGGTGGGCAGGGCGTTCTTGGGGAAAGCTGTATTGACGCTGCGGCAATACTTCGGAAGATCTAGGCGCATCATTTATTATTCATCTTTCACCAGTGGTATTTGTCCTCATCAAGTCCGATCAATCGAATACCTGCACTTGTGCCCGTCCCGATCCTCGACTCTTTGGTGTCAGCTTGCTGTGTTCAATCTTCCTCTCCAGAGCCGCCCGTGCAATTGCGCTCGCCTTGTCGTTCAACATGGCGTCGGTCGCGGCGGACAGTCCTGCACGCCCCATCGAGCTCGACCATGCAAAGAACAACAATAGTTCTACATATCCTACCTACAACTTCAGCTTCACACCTTTTCTCCGAGCGAATGGTTTAGCTGCTCTCGCTTCTAGCGTGCCAGTCTGTCCCGATATTGCCTCAAGTGGCCACTGCCCACGCGGTCGCAGATGCCCCCATCGTCATCCGACACCCGCTCAGCAGCCTCAACACCACTACGGTCGCCAGAACGACAACTATGTGTGCAAACATTGGCTCAAGGGGCTTTGCAAGAAAGGCGACACCTGCGATTATCTTCACGAGTATAACCTTCGGAAAATGAGTGAATGCCAATTCTTCAATCAAAACGGATACTGTCAGAATGGGGATGAATGTCTCTATGTGCATGTCAAAGAAGACTCGAAATTACCCTTATGCGAGGACTATAACAAAGGATTCTGCGAGAAAGGGCCCAGGTGTGGAAAGAGGCACGTAAGGAGGAAACTTTGCGAATACTATCTGGCCGGGTTCTGCCCTGACGGACCAAATTGCAAGCATGGGGTACACCTTAAAAGCGGAGGAGGGGCAGCAGATTCAGATATTGATACTCACCGACGAGACAGGGTGGCCGACCTAGAGAAGAGAGAAGAAGAACCCCGCAAGGAGTTCGGCTGGAGAGGACGAGGTGCTGGAAGAGGTGGCAGATGGAGGAACAAGCGAGAGAGAAGGGGCTGAAATTAAACACTATCCTTTGGAGTGTCAACAACTCATGGAGAACTACACTATCTCTCGGGAACCCAGCGAAAATGTCGCGCAACTTGATCGAGTGGTACACGTCTGCTCATCGACACAAAGGGGTAGTCCGTTGTGACAGCCACCCGGGACTATTGCTTGGTGTGGCTAGGCACCATGCACATGGACGACCTCATCTCAGGACACGAGTTTCCAGCTTTCAGCCATTGTACGACAAGGCTGCAATGGAACGACGGGGGTAGAGCCACGACCTGTATCAGACACGACGAGGTCTCAATCTCTAGACCTCCTGCTTCGTCGCATTCTCCCACCTTGACTCACACACGCTGCGTATATTCTCAGCCCGAGAATAAAGGTCGCGTCAGCCGTGTAACAAGTACCCCTGACGATTTGGAATCGCCGTGGCGCTACGTGGTGCCTCTCCCTGCAATGTACTCTGTGCGACATTTCTTTGGTCACATGGCAAATGTTTCGAGACCACTGCTGAAGTGCTGTTCGGCACCGCACGTCGCTTCAAGGGGGCCAACGGAAGAGACTCGGGGCTACATGCTGTCAGTTGACGGGCAGCAAGACGGCGAAGGACGGTAAAACATCAGACATCATAACACAGACAGCACCCAGCCTTTATATCTGCGGCGGCCGTTAAAAAGAGTGTTTGCTGATTTGCTGCTTGTTCGCCCCACCCACATCTCAAAGGACCATTTTGCTAGGGGTCGAGAAGGTTCGCAGAACACTATTGAGTACAGAGAGGGGTCGACACGAAGATAGGCGGAGATTAGCTAGCACGAGCAGCCCACAGCACCTAGAAAGTGGAGGCGGGTGATGCCTGTAACGAAGTTAACCCCTCCAGAAATCGGGACCGCTTTCCGCCTTCTGACAACAATAATGATATAACTTTCCTGTAGCGATGCGGACGGATATGGATGAGGATATACTTTCCACCGTCTATATTTGAATGTTTGACACATTAGAGAATACTTCGCCTCACGTGTACAAGTCATCATGCCCTTGAGCCTGTCAATAGCGGGTAGATAGGGAATAGGCACGTAGTTCTATCCCTTCTGGGTTTCGCGTATCTCCATCATCTGGAGGCGGAAAGATAAGGAAGAGCCGTCCGAGTCAGACACAGTCAACAGGGTTTCTTTACCTGGCAATTGATTGGAGTGTCGGCACCATCTGCTCCTCTGGACGCTGGATATCGCCGCTTACATTGCATGCTGCCCACTCAGTGGTTGCTGGTCCAAGATTCTCCTTCACGAGGTTCCCAACTTTGCTGGTCAACCGCTGCCGTGCACCACGCTGCAACTGCAACCACACTATCTCGCTGCATCAGAAAGGCGCACTTTTTACTTTGGCACACTCTCTACCATTTCCTTTTTTCATCTGTTGACATCTGGTGACGAAGTCTGCGGATCTCTGGCCTCTGAGTCGTTTTCTAATTATCTATACCGTTACCAGCCATCCTCTAGGATCACTGTTATTATCTACACGCACAATTCACTGCCAATTGACCCCGCCCTACGGTTTCATTTGAAGGAGCCATCATTTTGTGTCCATGTCTCCTGTCCTTGCCTCAGTCGCATGGAGGTCCAGATCCCTTCTCCGTCCGTTTTCCTAAAGAAATCCCCCATCCTTACGCCTGCACCTGCCGTTCCACCAAAGCGGTCTGCGCTTGCGAAAGCCAAGGCATCTGCGCCGGTCAAGGCCCCAAACAAACCGGCTACCACAGTGCAAGATGGCGCGGTCACCAAACCGAAACAGAGCAAGAGTCGCAACGGTTGTATGACATGTAAGAAGAAGCGACTCAAATGTGACGAGACCAAACCCTCTTGTGCACAATGTCAGAAGCGGAGCGTGGTATGCGAAGGCTACAAGAAAGACTACAAATGGCGGACCTTCGAAGAGACAACCTTTAACCCCAAGCCTGCGGCCAAGAAGAAGGCATTCAGATCAAATTCCTTCAATACAAATCATAACGGCGCCAGACCACTTGATATCGCTAGCGGGGGGCTGCAAGGACCAACATATCGAGGCTTTGAGAATGCCAACCCACCACAGACATGGTCCCCAGGTCTTCACACCGCCTTCACCACTGCCGCGCATGCATTTCAACGTTCCAGCCAAAGTCAACGCTTACCTTCCAGTGTACGACAGGAGGAAAACGTCAGGCTGCACCAGGGACCATCGTCAGGGCCAGAACCAGCTACAGGGTCAATACCTGTTTCTACTTTCGATGGAGGAGACCTCTCGCCCGATTTGGCGTTTGATGAACACGCCGATCCATATAGTCTTCTCACAACCGGTGCCAATTCACCCACCGGCGACGGCAAGAGTGTTAGGTCCTTCTCATCTGGCTCTCCGCGATTGCTTGATCTCCTCTTACCCGGGACAGACTTGAATCAACCACCAGATCCGTCGGAAGTGCGGCCTCCGGTATCTCCTGTACCTTATCAGCCATCTGGCTTTGACCCAAGCATGATTCTGGCCGAAGATTTTGACGAAGAGATCATTCGCTCTGATGCCATGGCAACGACAACTGGAATGCCATCCATCGCACAGTCTACGAGTGGAGGCATTGGCAGCGCTCCTACCTGGCGCGCCTTTCGCGCATCTTCGCCCACACCTAGTGAGACTTCAACAACGTCGTCCAAATCCAGCGGGATGACAATCCTTGCTCAACCATCGATGGACGCTTCCTCTCCCGAGATGCTCATGCTTCGCTTCGACAAGTCAACCTGCGGCATCTTGTCAGTCAAAGACGGACCGACTGAGAACCCCTGGCGTACATTGATCTGGCCACTAGCCCGCGAGTCTCCCGCGTTGTACCATGCCATCTCATCCATGACAGCGTTTCATGGTGCTCACGAGGTTCCAATGCTGCACATGCCAGGCATGGCTCATATGACAAAATCTATCAAGAAACTTGCCTTTGAGATTGAGAACATGCGACTTGATTCTGCCCTTGCCACATCTTTGGCCCTCGCATTCAGCGAGGGCTGGGACAGCCACGTAAGCACGGGTGTGCAACATCTGCGTGGTGCCAAAATCATGGTCAATAATGCCATGGCCAAGCACCGTCGCGACATGCAATTGGGGCAAATGACGACTCAGGACGCCAGCAGACTGAAGTTCTTGTGCAACACGTTTGTCTATATGGATGTGATTGCTCGGTTGACCTCGTTGGAAGAAGCGAACGAACTGAACTTCGAAGAAATTCTAGCTACTGTCAATGCCCCCTTCGGAGACCAAATGGAAGTCGATCCCTTGATGGGTTGTGCAACAACTTTGTTTCCCTTGATTGGCCGCGTTGCAAACCTCATTCAGCGCGTGCGCAAGACGGAGTCGAACTCGCTAACTCTAATCTCCTCAGCAATGGAGCTGAAAGAACTATTACAACAATGGCAAGTTCCCAGCGCTCTGTTGTTTGAGCGGCCAGAGGACCCGAACTCCGAAGTCCAGCATTCAATCCAGACTGCTGAGGCATATCGCTACGCGACACTCCTCTATCTTCACCAGGCCGTGCCAGAAATTCCCAGTGATTCCGCACAGAGCTTGGCGAAAAAAGTGCTTGTCACTCTGGCCTCAGTACCTCTGTCCTCTCGAACGACCATCGTTCAGATATTTCCCCTCTTTGCCGCAAGTTGCGAAGTTACAGACTCAGAGGACCGGAATTGGGTTCAACAACGATGGGTGGCAATGATGGCACGCTTGAAGATTGGCAATGTCACCTCTTGTTGGAGCGTCGTGCAGGAGGTCTGGGCACGGCGTGATGAATACGAAAATGAGAAGGCCGACCGCCTGCTCAGACGGTTTTCGTCAAGAGGTGTTCCGAGTGGGAATTTTGTCCCGCCGAACCTCAATATGCCTCCGGGATTGAAACGAAAGGCTCATACCTTTGACGTGGCCAATCAAGACGGCTTCTTTAACGATGCAGATGATGATTTTCCACAGACTGGTAGTGCTACCCAGGTCGCTGGAGCGTTCGAAGGGCTAGACCGAGCAGGTCGACCACTCAAACGACGAGTAACAATGGACCCTATGAGCGAAGGGCTGGACATGTCAATGCCTTTGAGCGTGAGCGGTCCAGCTGCCACTGGGTTCGGCTTGCTCACGTCCACACGCAACCGGCGTTCAACGGCCAACATCGCGTCGTCGGATCAGCTTGAAGAAGAGTACACGGTGCGAGGACGTTTGCATTGGCTTGGCGTCATGGCCGATTGGCAATGGGAAGGTATGTTTGTCTCTTCATCGCCCGTGACACCTCTCCCTTTTACTCCCTACGCAAAGTCAATTCCCCTGTAGTGCATGCGTTGTTAATCGTTGTTTTATTCCGTGTTTTTGTCCGGGTCGCTCAAAAGGCTTTTCAATCAATAAGCGTCATTATTTCATTGCTCCCAAAAGGAAGGACCATCGCTAATGCATCACTCTGTACAGTTTTTCTCGGTTGATGCCATACCCACGTCTGGTAAATGCGCCCGATTGTGAGCTGCAAGAGAAACTTGTCTTTTGTTGCTCATCGACTTGACACTCGGACTGGCCGAACGATGCTCTCGATGATGCCCATTTTCCTTGCCAACACAAGAGTCAGGACGGCGATGGACCTGCTTGGCTGCTCTGACTTTCATTCTTCTGTTGCCATGGGCAAATTCAGCAAGGTCAACAGAACCATGCTCCTTTCGAACGCTTGCCAGGTCCATCCATCGAAATTCTGGCGATCTTTCCCTTTCGCTGCCGCTGCTACTACCACTGCTCTCGGTCGACTCTGTTTCACTCATCCTGGCCCTTTTGGGAGACGCGGACCGGCCATCCCCTACAATGGCGAGGTAATTGCGCATGCTGGCGGTGTACTCTTCCAACTGGTCGCTCTGGCACAACTTGGACATTGGACGTGGTTTGGTGGTCGTAGCCGATGAGTCGTTGGCGATGTGCTGCGCCTTGCTGCGCTTGCTGATTGGCCGTGATCCGGCTGCGGCTGCCATTTCTTCCTATCTTTATGATCTGTTGGACTCTCGAAGGACCTTGTTATAGGCGGAGTTGTGGGCTTTGCAAACACTGTGTGTTTGTATATTGCAGTTATGTTATGATGTATGGCGCTAATGATTGCGAGAATGATCCGACTGGGATTTGAGTATAAGTTGTCAACTTCTGGATTGATTTGAGCAAGGCGTTCAGGTTGATGGGAATTGCATAGGGTCAATGGGAGGTTGGTAGATGGACCCAGGATACAATGGTGATGACCAAGTACGCGGCTTTGGGATAGGAATATGACTTGCTGCTTCAGGTCCGTTGATCCATTTGAGTAACGAAGCAAGTGACAATCGTGAGTGAGGTCGAGTCGGGCGCTGCTCCAGTCAAGCTTCACTCGTGCCTGAACAAGTATTCCTCTTGTTGCGTTGGGGCGACTTGGTGGTGTCGTAGACTTTTGGCGAGTCGTGGCGATATGCGAGGCGTTTGAAGCTGATCACATCTATATGCTGCGAATGTAAGATGCACCGGTACCAACCAAGGCTAGTAGTGCTGTAGTGGCGCTATGGATAGTCAAGTCGCACAAGGAGGCCGGAAACGAACGTGTGTGGGTTGTAGGACCCTGGTGCGGTAGGGCAGAAGAGGTCCTTCAGTAGTCGTGATACTGATCGGCTGGTTGTCCGGAGATGTTTCGTCCAGAGCAAGTCCGATTGTTGCAAGGGGATTTTGAACCGTAATGGGCGCCGTGGCTGACGGAGAGCGGGATAGCTGAGCAGAACAAAGAGAGGAAGATGAGGTCGCTTTCGAAGAGAGAAAGCGATATGATGAAACTTGGTAGTGAGATTGTGTCAACAGACTCTGGATTTGTGTCATATCAATGATTCAAAATTCATTGTAGTAGGAGTAGAGTCTTTCCCATATTAGGATGTTTTCTTCCAATGTGAGAGAAAAGAGGCGAAAGAGAAAGCGGTCTTCTCTTGTGACCCGACCCTCTGTGGATTCTTGTACTTGGAGAAAAGGTGGAAAAGGTTGTATAAGTTGTTAGGATACGAATGTAGTCAGAGAAAAGGCAGGTCAGGCCAGTAGGTCAGGTCAGGTCAGGTCAGGTCAGGTCAGGTCAGGTCAGGATCAAGGTAAAGAAAAAAAGGTGGAGGAAGTCGCTGAGAGGGCCATGGGAAATAACCACAGTAGGTGGAAACTACCAGGTATGGGACCGAGAGATGGCTTTTTGCGCCTAGACTTATTTCGGAGATGGAGACGGCAGTGCACCACTTGGGAAAGAGTTTTCATAGGCCTGTTCATGACGATAGAACAGACGAGGAACGAGAGGGGGGTCGTTTGCCTCATATTTCATCATACCACTGCACCGCCCGCGCCGCAGTATGCTTTACTATTCGAATCTCCTCGGTATATTACCTACCTAGGTAGGTCACGACTTACGCAGTCTGCCCGGCCAGTAAGGTCTGGTTGGGACTTACGACTCGTCATACGCATCAAGCGAGTTGCGTCAGGCGCGGGAAGTATGACATTGCCCATATATGCTGGTCTGGAAGTACGATTGGTCGGGCTTAAACAACTGCCCATTTCATTATGGTGCCTCGGTGCGCAGGCCGCAGGGATTGCGCCGGTCTACAGGCAGGATTGCGTGATATGTGAGCCTTGCTTTACAGTAATGAACAATCTGGGTAATGTTTGCGCTGAAAATACCAGAGATGCGGCGATATGCGGCTAGGTTTTCGGCCGTGCTGTGTACTCGTAACTCGTACAAGAGTGGGTGTCTCGTCAAAACGTGCCGCGCAGGACATAATGTATGGCCCATATGGGGTTCTGTCCTCTGGAGCTTTGCAGAATGTAGCAATTGTTAAATGGTGTGGGGGTTGGTCAGTGGTCGGTCATCCGGAAGAGGAGGCCAAGGGGGGATATCTTTGCATTTAAATGCAGCTTTGTCCCTAGGTGCCATCACAAGAGGCCCAGGCCGGGAGCTGTCAAGAATCCGATCGTCGTGATGCCCTGGAGATCTTGGTACAGATCCCGTGATTTTTACCTTATTGACTGCCGTAATGATGTGTCCTGATGCCACGCCAGAACGTTCTGCGACTGGATCTAACAATGCCATTGACGGATACGGATACATAGTATCGACACCAAGGCTACCCACGTCGTGCCACGTCTACCTTACTTGAAATGGGCAAGGTCTGCGATCGTGAGGATTGTTTATGTCAGGCTGCTTCTCACTATTGTGGGGATACGAACATGTGCTCGCATTGGTTATGCCGAATAGTGCCGCAGGGGAAAAGATTACTCGATTGAGGTTCGCGCCATTTGACAGAACAGAAAGATTTCCGGGGTGGTCAACAATTGGACGACCGAAGAAGCCGGCGTGTAAGACGCATGCGATTCTTGCGTTTGCATACCAGCATGTCAGGCAACGAGATGAAGTGAAATCCTGAAGCCGAAGTCAACATGGTTCGCAAATTTTCCCTATCAACCCTCTCACTTTTCCGAAGCGACAGTTGCCCGCATCTCGATAGACGTTTTAGATATTCTAACAAACATGCCAAGTATGATAAGCTTATCTAATCTCTTATCGACAAGCTGCCCCTCATCATCTCGTGGTGGCATGCCTGTCAACAATTCTGCTACTCACTTTTCCCTCTCCGGCATATTCTTCCCTTTAGACCTTCAATGGAATAAGTCGCAAGCAGTTCAAGACGCTGTGACTGGCTCGCACATCTCCATGGCTAGTGCGGAAAGATATCGCGCTGACAGTGGCTCGTGTCAGTCGCTTCGGACCGCGTTGTTTTGTCTAATAATGATGAGTTTTGAATAGGCACGACAGCTCATAAAATTGGGGGCCATAGATTGGGCACCTCGGAACAGCGCCCGACTGCTATTGTAAGTACAGGTAACGTTCAGCTGCGTTGTCCCTCCAGATACTATTTATCTTTCACGCTTCGGCTCTATTTCTGTCGCTGTACGATTCTACTCCAAATAGCAAGATCAACTTCTCGCACAGCTCACCTTTATCGTCTCTTCTGTCTCAAATACACAACAGAACACTCCGAACAAGATGGGCTCTACACCGGCATTCACACACTTGAGCAACGCTCAAAAGACGTACAAGCCCCCCTTGATCGCCAACGAGAATGCATTCCTCGGCGACGTCGCCACCAGCGAGAAGCTCGACCCCGAGAAGCCAATCAGCGCTGGCTTCTACAGACTGGAGAAGGGTACCCCTCTTGTTTACACATATACCTACCACGAGATGAAGATCATCGTAGAGGGTGAATTCGACATCAGTGACGAGACTGGCCAGAAAGTGCATGTGAGTTTTCCGACTGGAGAGAGCCGCGATGTCTGAGACTGATCTCGATTCAGGCCACCCCTGGTGATGTCTTTTACTTTCCCAAGGGCAGCGTTATCACATTCACGACCGACAGCTACGGATTGGGATTCTACTGTGGCCAGCGCCCAGAGGGTGCTGCGTAAGACAGGTTGAATGATTTCTAAGAGCCTTCTTGGATATCGGAATGATACCCGGAAATACAAAATTATCCTTTTTCTTCGCAGGAGTTTCTATTCTTTCCTTTCGCGCTTGCTACGACGCCATAATTTCCTCAGCCCAAAATATGCAAGCAGCAACGTCAAAGACAACATGACAAGCGGTAACCAGCTGCGCCCGGTTGGGTTATCTTCATCTAGTCACAAATATTCGTATGATGGCAGACATCGCTTGATGAACTCCTCCAAGTCGTCTATCTCCTGCATGTCCGCAGAGTGAGGAAGACCCCTACATCATGTTAGCTGCGCAACCATTTCCCATGAGAGATGTGCAACCTACTTGTATGTCTTGAACTCGACTTTGTGGCCCAATTCGTTTTTCAACATCTCGGCCGTGCGTTGCCCCCATCGATACTTGACCACCTCATCCGCATCGCCATGACCCATGAAGAATGCGGTGTCTTTGTTTGCATCACTGGCCTCTTTCGCAAGCTCTTTGATCTTATCTGCTAGCACAAGATAACAGCTCAAGCCGAACACACCTCCAAGCTTGTGCGGCGTGGTCACTCCGGTGAAGAGCGACATGGCGCCGCCTTGCGAGAAGCCGCCCAGGATGATGCGATTGGAAGGAATGCCTGCGGCCACTTCGTCGGTGATGAGTTTCGTGAATGTGGATCGACTACGGAAGATCCCACTCTCGTCTTGCTGCTGGTTGAGGTCCGAGAAGTCGCTCTGCAGTCGCAAGAAATCTGTCAGTACATACCCCAGCCAAATATAACAACGGCAGGATGTATGGGGGCTGCAAACATCGTCGCGGCGTCTTACTATATCATACCAGCCGGGCATGCTCATTCCAAAATTCACCGTGATAGGGATGTTGGGCGCGTTCGGGAAGATGAACTTGACGTCCTCGAATTTTCCACGTCGTCGCCAGGATTCTGCTAGAGATACCCATCCTGCGCCACTGTCGCCCAAGCCATGAGCCATGATGATTGTAGCACTGTGCTTTTTCAGGGCAGGCACAATCAATGCTTGTCTACCTGCCATTTTGATGAACGAGAGTAGCCGCGATGTAAGGTTTCGTGTGTAAGGAAGCAGTTTGGTCGGTTGAACAGACTATCAGGAAAGCGAAGGTGTGGAGGAGGTTTCAGAAAGCAACAGCACAAACAATCAGAGTGAAGGGCGTTGGGACAAGATGCCCACTTCAAGGACCTCACTACCTTTCCAACAATCGAACGCAGGCCACTGCCAACCTGGACTACTGCTGTGTGTATTACTTTATCTGCCAGGCCAGTATTATCCTTATTTCGAACTTGACGTAACTGCGGGCAGTACTTCTCTAGGTCTCGCGCCGAGGTTCTACCTCCGACTGTGATTTAGTCATCCCCCATTGGACCACGACCGCCAAGCCTTATATATGCACAAATCGAACAAGCAGGACGACCGACCTCGCTGCCAATCACTCCGACATCATTATTGACATCTTCCAAACATCAAGCTAGGACGGAGTAGCAAGTAAGGCTTGACTACTTCCTGAGCCTTGTGATCTAGTGGCCCCTCGCTCCTGCCGGTCTCCGATCCAGTAGGGCTCCATCCCACAAACACCGAGCTACTGTAACGAGCTTCCACAACTTATTCCCATACGAAGCGGAATCGGTCGAGAACCAACACTTCCCTCAATATGGATCAGGAGAAGCTCAAGCGCATGCAGGCGCAGGTGCGAATTGGTACGTTTCAGGTCCAACCTCCAAAGCCATTTTCTGGTTTCGTGCGCAAGCGAACTAACGTTGTGTGAACAGGGTACGTTTGTCTCTATCCCTCCGCCCGAATAGAACTCGCCAACTCCCGAGCATTGAAAAAATGAGGAAAACATTCTGACCGAGAAAACAGAGGCAAAGGCACACCGAGAAGAAAGACCAAGAAGGTCCACAAATCCTCCGGCACAGACGACAAGAAACTACAAACATCCCTGAAGAAGCTGAACGTCCAGCCTATCCAGGCAATCGAGGAGGTCAACATGTTCAAGGAGGACGGAAACGTCATTCACTTTGCTGCGCCAAAGGGTACGCTTTCACCCACCCCACAGAAGGAGACAAATCTTGGAGGAAGCTAATCTGTCGATTGTGTAATCTAGTCCACGCATCTGTCCCTTCAAACACATTCGCCATCTACGGCAACGGCGAAGACAAGGAGCTTACGGAGCTCGTACCGGGCATCTTGAACCAACTCGGACCAGACTCGCTCGCCTCGCTACGCCGTCTCGCCGAATCGTACCAGAGCCTACAGAAGAAAGAGGGCGGAGACAAGAAGGAGGGCGAGGATGACGATGACGAGATTCCCGACCTGGTCGAGGGCGAGAACTTCGAGGGCAAGGTCGAATAGATGGTTTGACCATATCCACAATGCCGCAATTCCAGAATGTGTCGAAGGATTACTGCTGGAACAATGAGTGCGCTGAAGGTCGACATGTTCGCTTTCAACCGCATTCCGTACCATCTCATGCACGATGAGTGCCAACAATGATTTAGCACCCACCGGATAAAAGCTAGGGCCCTTCTATAAGGGAAGTGCATCAAAATCGATGTGAACCAATGTTCCAAACACATACTCCATGGCTTGCGTGAATACACTCTGTTATGTGACTTGTGGCCTAGTAGAACACTTTGTTGTATGCCGGTCGGTCAGCATGAAACAACTCCAGACGCCAGTGCTATTCGCAGTCCCCCAACTGCGTGCAACTTTTGTATCGATAAACCGACAAACAGACGACAGCCACGAGATCAATCATCCGTCAAACCACAGAAGTCTGTGCCAGCCCATTTGTCAACGGAATGCCAGAAAGACCAGTACCAGCCATTAGCTGAGTCCCAGGTTCCGTCTTCCTTCAACAGTGGCCCTTCACCTATGATATCCCCACCGGCTGCTCCCTGCTTATTGCTGCCCACAAACCAAGTCACGATCGGAATGCTTCTGAAAATCTTTTCTGCAAACGTGGGTTGTGGAGGGAGTGCTTCCGACACTGGCCGCAGCACAGCTTTCTTGACTTTGATATGTGTCATGTATTCTGAATTCGAGGACACTTTCTGCAGCTCCTGGCTGGGTAACTGAGGGACGGACCGCGATCGTAGGCCAGAGGAAGGCGTGGGTGTGATTTCGGTAGCCGTCGCAGACGAAGCGGTGTTGGAAGATATCGCAGATTCGTCCTCAGGATTCGTGGGCTGTCCGTATTGTACGTCCGCCATGATGTGCGATCGCGGCAGTGTCTGTAATGCTCGTTCGAATCCAGCAAGAGCGGAGTCTTTTCCCGACGCGACACTCAATGTCCTTGCTTTCCGACCACTGTCCGTTGCCAGAAGACTTGCTTTGTCTGCGCCCTTAGGTCCAGCGGGCACTGGAACGTCTGCTCCGGGACCTCTACCTTGCCACATTTCGCAGTGTACCAGATGCCCATCGATCTCGATGGGGCTGAAATAGCACGCTCGATCCGCAGCCTGGTAGGAGTCGAATGTCACTTTGATCCAATTTTGACCACCAATGTATATCCTGCTTTTTCTGATCGCTTCTCGACTGAGGTTCTCGTGTACCGCGACTGAGGATCTTGAGAGGCCAAGCGGTGAATTTGACGCCATGAGGTATTGAGAGTCTTCGCGGGGATAGTCTTCGCATATGTACCCAGGTGCGACTATTTGTTCGAACTTCGACAACACTTTCCACTCTGAAGCTTTGCCTGCGTAGCCGTAGAGTAGACATTCGGTCGGTACTGCTTCTGGCTCTATTGACCTTGCTGCATCGCCTGGGGTGGTGGAGGATGTAAGAGTGGTTTTGGTCCTTTCTTCCTCTTTTGACAGATCTTTGGCGAGTAACCGACCGAACTCTGCGACTGCTGTGTTCTCCTTCTGCCGTACAGGCGTGGTACCCGTTCTCGCCCGAGGCGTTCGCGAGCTGGTCAGTCTTATACTCCGATTGCGACCAAACGGTCCGCTCTCTTCTGGTTGACGAACATTCCGTGCGGAACTGGTCACGTTAGTGTCAAGAACGTCTGCAGTCGTGGGTGCCGCTTACTCTGCATAGCGGTAGCCCCAAGGTAGGGGGTCGCCGTTGTGATCTCTTGCACGTTCCTCTGGGAGTACGGAATGTATCTCCATGGCCGATTGACTTTCAACCAGTTTGTTTACTCCACGCGCTGGTGCACAAGACCTCGGGCTGGCACACAATCGGCAGCTGGTATAAAGATTCGCAAGGCAGTGGGACTTGGTAACTACCTACGGTGCCCGAAGACGCAGCATCGAGTGGTCGAGGTTGGCGTGGGTAACAGCAGGCTGCAAGAGTTTATGGGCAGAGAGCCTAATGAAGGCGCGGAGGTGACTGTTACCAAACAAAAAAGTTCCCCGAGCAGCGCCCCATGCAGCCTCGTCACGTGAAGGGCACTCCTTTCTTACAGCCTCGTTTCTGCGCAACTTTGTCTCCGGTGTCCCTCAGGGGGAAACCAGTACTGAAAAGACGACAAACACGATGTCATCCGAAAAAGGGGCTAGTCCGACTTTTCTCGAGGAGTATCAATAGGACTGTACAGAGACCGAATATTGCCTAAAATGGGACACTTCCTCGTCATCTTGCTTTCATGCGACCTCAGCATTCTTCACATTCTCCTTGCTCTTCTCGCGTTGTTCCTTCTCTTTAGCCTCCAACTCTTTCAGTTTTGTCTCATGTAGCTTCTTAGCATCCATCTGGACCTCTTCCATCCACTTCGGGTCGATCGCTTCAGCATTGAGATAGGGTGAAGGATCCTCCTTGTTCACAAGAGCCTGGACTGTACCGAGACCTAAGAAAGCCCACATGTTCTTCTTGCCGGGCCCGAGATATTCGATCTCGTAATCCTCATACCGTGGGGTCTTGATGGCTTCGATATAGTGAAGAGAGCTTCCTGGCCACACGGCATTAACGCGCCCGGTCTCATTATTTTTGTACCTATGCACATTCAGTCAGTCTCCAGGCCCTGCAATGTCTCTGAGCAACACGCTGGAAAGCAGCAACCTACCATGATCTGCAATCTTCCGTCCACACTGTATGTCTGATCCATTCCTGACAATGTTCGTTGAAAGCGTCCGTCACATCTTGCTTTGGTGCGATGCTGCAGATATACTCGCTCTGTATCTTCTTGATCAACTGCAGGGCATATTGGGACACATAGAGCAGAGGGCCCATGACACTGCCATTTTCGACAGGCCAGTTAGGCCCAATGAAGGTCAAGAAGTTAGGGAATTCCGGAATGGCCAGGCCTAGGTAGCCTTCCGGGCAGACTTTCCATTTATCAGCCAGGTCGACGCCATTCTGGCCGATAATTGGGAAACGAGGTCGATAAGACACATCGAATCCAGTTGCGCATACGATTGTGTCGACCTCGCGGTGAACCCCGTCACCGCCAATCACCCCAGTCTCATCGATCTTTTCGACAGGCGTGAAGTGGACATCGACGTTCTCCTTTTGTATAGCCCTGTAGCCTCATAGTTAGTGTTCGTGACTTACGACAAAATTCCATGCGCAAAGATGTGATAAGAGATTGGCGCCGAAACAAGGCCGGCTTACTCCATGTACGGATCTCCAGGTGTTATTCTGCGGCACCCAATACCAAATGTCGGGGTGAAGCCCTTGAGGAGCCTCTCGTCTTTGAGCATCTCGGCCATACGGGCCTTCAGAGCGACTTGACCTTCGGCTTGTGCCTTCGAATTTTTGTAGAACGAGCCCCAAAGGCCATTGACCTGATCCTCGATGGACTTTGCGTGTTCTGTCAGTTTATAAGGGTCACGAAACTCCGCCTTCTGCTCGGCAGTATATTCGTGGTTGGCGCCGAAGTTGTTCGCAATCTGCACAAACCAGACACCTTAAATGGCTGTGAGCTTCTGGAGTAGTCCAATGGTTTGACACAGCAGGGCCGAGCGACCCCAACTGGTGTACATACCTGTTCTGACAAAGACGTCCAAGTGTTTAACGTGGGGCTGCATAGTCGGTACTGTCTGTATACTTGAGGCCTAGGAGGAAGCTATTAGTACAGCCTTCGTGTCCTTGGAACAATTCTTGACCTACTCCAGAGCCAATGACGGCTACGCGATCCTTCTTCCATGCCTCTGCTTGGTAGTCCTTGGGCCAACGAGCTGTGTGGACGATTCGTCCTTTAAACTTCTCCATGCCTTCGATGTTTGGCCATTTGAAGTTGTTCAAAATGCCCGTACCATGCAATAGCACGTGGCAGCGATCGTCGAATAGGCGAGTTGTACCATCAGGGTTGGTCTGTTTGAGTTTGACCAGCCATTCGCCACTCTCCTGTTGCCAATAACACCCAACCACTTCGGTGTTGAAAGTCATATACTTGCGTAGATCCCATACCCCGCACACCTTGTCAAGGTATTTCCAAATGTCAGGGGAATAAGAAAAGAAACGAGGCCAATCCGGCTGTCAACAAGGTCAACAAGGTCCTCCAGGCTCTCATTGTCAACTTACGTTGAGGGCAAAAGCAAACGTGTATGCGTGGCTGGGAATATCACAGGCACAACCTGGCAGAGAGCGGTTAGTCCTCTCGAAATCGCCGAATTTAAAATCGGAAATATGAAGACGATCATACCAGGATATCTATTCTCCAACCAAGTGCCACCAATGTCGGCATTCTTCTCGTAGATCACATGCTCGACGTTTTCAAGGTGCTTTTGGATGTGGTAGGCATTCATGATGCCTGTGACACCTGCCCCAATCGACAATACACGAATCTTGCGTGTATATGGTCCATGGAGGACGATGTCGGGGATTTCGTAGTCCGCTCGAGGCACCCCGTTGTTAGCATAACCATCAGTAGCCCAATCGGCCATGGTATTGATATCTGGGGCCATCCTGACGCCTAGAGATAAGCACCCAGAATTGCCCGAGTGAAGCGTCCCGGCACGAAGGGAAACAGATAGAACTGAGACAGGGTAACGGCCTCTAGAAAGAGAATTCAAACAAAGGACTGCGGCGAAGTACCAAGCTGTGTTGTCTCAAAACAAAGACAGCAGCGACTGGCCAATGTATTCGTGTAGTCGGCTTGAACTACCTATATATGGTCTTTGCCTTCGGGCCACCAGTCACGCTGATTCAAGCACGACGACATCGACAGAGGAGACAATGATCATCGTATTTGGGTTCGTCTTCTACGAGCCAATGGACGATATGCGTTAACGCCACCACCCAACAAGTACGCAGTAAAAGAGTGGGCCGGTATGCCTGGGGTTGCGGGGAAGCACGAGTCTTTGGTCGGTCGCCGTCTCCAATGCCGACATACCCTCAAATTATTCCGAGGTCCTGAATGCAACACGATACGCATGCGTCGAATAGGGCGAACCGTTGATAAGAATGTGATTGCCGCCTTGTGTCCGGCCGCTTACAATGATTGTAGCCCTCCCATCGACACTGTCAGTCCCAGGATGAGGTATGTTGGGCGCCCTTGGAACTCCTCAATTTTCCAAGTAAAGTGCACCATGTATCGCTGACTCGTTACTTCCTGACTCGGAATGGGGTCCTTAATATGTTCCCTGCAGTGACAAATCCCTGGAGCTTCGTGCAGCCGATATGGTGAATGGCCCGTCTGGCATCACCCAGTTCTGTTGTACAACAGACCAGTAGCTCAAATCCTTTCGTGTCAAGGTTAGGTTGACGATTACGCTTGCGCCGGCATCGATTTCGATCTTGGTGAAATTGCGCAAGACCTGCACGGGCGTTTCGATCAGTTCTCCGGTGGAGGGCTCCTTTATCGATGGCGGAAAGCCCACGTATACTTGAACCACTTCTTTCCCTCGCCGTTGGCCCGTGTTGCTGACGCGCACTTGAACATTGACATGGTCTTCATATAAAGCTGGGTTGCCGCCCTCGCCTCCACCTGCTTGGCTTGACTCCTGTTTGAGGTCGTAGCCATCTGGGTATGGATACTTCCCGGCTTTGATTTGGCTGGAACTGGAAATATAGGGGTAAATGAAGCTTCGCAATTTGGAAAATCCTTCGGGCAAGAGAGCACTGTCAACAGAGGGAATGCCTTCATCGAAGCTCGGTGGTGACAGTAGTTTGGGTCTCGCTGCCGGAAGCGGTGACTTCGCCTTCAAGCTAGTGATGACCATTTCTGAGAGCTCAAAATTCGTGTAGGAAAGACCGTGACCGAAGGGATATCTTGGCTCGACGTCGTGCTTATCAAAATGGCGATAGTCAATAAACAGGCCCTCCTTGAAATCCGCTTGAGGGATGACTGCATTCGGGTAGTAGAGAACTGGTGCCCCAGGGCCATAGTCAGCTAGGCTGCGGCCAACGGTGTAGGGAAGGCGACCAGATGCGTCCACCCGGCCGAACAGGACATCAGCAAGAGCGTTTCCGCTCTCTTGGCCGGGAAGATTGGCAAACAGTATTGCCTTCACGGACGGTAAATCAGCAAATTCCTCAACAATGACAGGACCGACGGAATGGATGACGACCACGACGGGGCCACCACACTCCTCAGCAACAGTCTGGATGAGCCGACTTCCGCTCTTTTGGATCTCGAGGTCATTTCTGTCTGCCCGCTGATTTTGCCAGATCTGATGGCCTTCACCCGCATCAGCGTTGCCGAATACGAGACACAAGTCCTGTTCCTTGAGTGACTTTTTGAGACTGGAGGACACCTTGTTGGTGAGGGAACTCGTGAGCTCGACAACCGATGTGTCAAAGCTCGCGTTTAGTGCGGTGAGGGGGTCAACAAGGTATGTGAAGTCTGTGGCTCCAGAGCCCCAACCCACGGCGAGAGTACCCTGATTGCAAGCACGATCCTCACAATAGTTTGGTCCTTTTCCTGGGCCTGCATCCTCACCAATGATGGCGACCCGTTTAGTGCTGGCAGCACCTAGTCCTGAGAGCTTTGGGCTCAATGGCAGAACATTGTCCTCGTTCTTGAGAAGGACGACGCCTTCGCTAGCGACCTCACGGGCGATTTGTCGGCTTTCATCATTCTCTGCCTCAACGAATTTGTTGACGATGACCTTCGATTGCTTGGTACTGCTTCCGTGGTGCAAGTAACCGTACTCATCGTTCGTCCATGAGGAGAAGTTTGGCCCTTCTGAATCCCAAGAGTCCTGACCTAATTGGTACCAGGCCGCCACAACTCGCGTTACCATGTCGTTGAGCCTCGACATTGGCACGGATCCATTCAGGGTTCCGACCGTCAGCTGGTCACCAAACAGTGCCTTTCCATTGCGCCAGAAGAGCCCATCACCAGGCATGGACATATCCAGGCCGGCAAGCGCACTGGCAACGCCACTGCGTTGAGCCAACCAATCAGACTGGATGAAGCCCTGAAACCCAAGTTCGTCTTTCAGGATGCCATTCATCAACTTGCTGTTTGCGCATGCGTACGAGTTGTTGACCATCTGATATGAGCACATGATGCTGGCAACCCCTGCCTTCACGCTTGCGGCGAAAGGCCAGGCGTATAGCTCGTGGAGAGTTCGGTCGTCAATATTGGAAGACAGTGCTTCTGGTAGACCCCATTCGAAGGATTTTCGGAAATGTTCTTGCTCGTTCCCTACAAAGTGCTTTGCTGTGGCAATGACACCTTGGGACTGAATACCCTGTATGGTCTCATATGCGGCTACCGCCTGCAGAACTGGGTCGCTGCCAAAGCCTTCCCAGACTCTGCCACCAGCAGGATTGCGTCCTAGTGGACCCATAGCAGGTCCAAGAAGAACATGAGCTCCCTTCAATTTAGCTTGCCGAGCATGAGCCGCTCCTCGTCGACGCATGAGATCACGATTGAAAGTAGCCCCAACTGTGATGCCAGCAGGAAACGATGTAGCATGATCAGCAAATCGGATACCCAGAGGTCCATCTTGAAGACAGAGTCCGGGAAAGCCGACATTGACTGCAGGAGCGGTGTTGCCCACGCATAAGTCCATCGACCATCCTGTTCCTGTCGTTATGTTGACCTTCTCGACCAGACTCATACGCTCCACCATGCTGCGAGCTTTGTCGTAACTCTCTTGCCATGCTGGCAAGGTGCCCCCACGAGGAGTTGGATACCATGGTGGCGATTGGCCGTTGATTTGACCTCTTGAATAGATCCAATAACCACCACCACCGAGTGCAAAGGCAAACACTGCTAGGAGGAGGGCCGAGAATGCGATGTATGTCTTGGTGAGCTGAGAACCAGGCCAGAAGCGGCTGGCAAACGAATCCGAGTATTTGACAGCCTTGCCAGGGACTGATCCGCCAGATCCCAACAGATGACTTTCGCTGAAGTCGCTGTGTAGGCCGAGCGGGGACGCCTTGACATTTTCTTCCAACGGATCCCCGTCATCCAGATCTGTGGTCGAGAGACGATGCTGGAGAGGCTGATAGCGGGTCTGCAGAGACGACATCTCTATGGCGCCGGTACAACTCTAGAGGTCTAGAGCGTGGCTTCGGGCCAATCACTCGCTGAGGTCGAGGTGCAGTCAGGGGCTAAACAAGAGGCTCGAAGTGGGATAGCGGTGGATAGAGGTTGGAGAAATGGTGGAGTTTTCGCGGCGACAGGAAACAGACAGCCCGAGGCGAGGCCGAGGCAGTCGGAGGTCAGTCGGAGAGGGATGTCAGGGACGAAGAACGACGCGCTTGAATGGCGGTGGAATGACAAGAGACAGATGCCGGATCCGATGGTAACCTGGTGAGGGAGAGGTGAAATTCTTAGGGTATGACAACAGTTAAAGGCTGTGGTGTAACTTAGGTCGGTCCCGAAGAGCTTTAGGTGTATTGATCAAAAGGCCGTGTTGCCGTAGGTTGAATGAAAGGTTTGGGAAGAAGGAAGAGAGAATTGAAGCAATAGGTGTTTTTAATAATTCTTTCCCATCCTGCCTTGCTTGTCACCCTCACTCTTTCTCACCTTAGTATTCGGTCAGTAGTCGGTGAGGACAACCGTCCAGCTACTCTTGACACCGGCGTCACCCAAACGCAAATCGCAGTCTTTTGTTTGCTGCCCGCTCTCCCCACCTCAACTTTTCTGTCCTACAAAACCACAAAATCATGCTGGCCTCGTCTGCGATCAAGCGAGTTCCAGTGCGAAGATTGGCTGCTGGTGCTTTGGCTGTTCGAGCACCCTCTTCGACCATTCGCCAGTCACGGACTTTTGCTCCTTTCCCTTCCCGAGTTGTGCCCGCCATGGCTTCGTCTTTCTCGACCTCTGCCTCCAAAGGGTCGTCTATGCCTTCAAAGGCACCCGAGGCCGCCTACGATAGCGAGATAACAGACATTGCTTCTTACGTCCACAACTACAATATCGATTCGGAGCTTGCCCTCGACACCTCCCGCTACATCCTCCTAGACACCATCGGCTGCGGTCTTGAAGCCCTGCGTTTCCCACAGTGCTCGGCTATCCTCGGCCCAACTGTTGAGGGTACTCAAGTACCCAACGGTGTTCGCGTCCCGGGCACTCCTTTTGTGCTTGACCCAGTCAATGGTGCTTTCAACATTGGCGCTATGATAAGATGGCTGGATTACAACGATTGCTGGTTGGCGGCCGAATGGGGTCATCCTTCAGACAACTTGGGAGCCATCCTGGCCGTGGCAGACTGGATCGCACGAACAAACAGAGCTGGAGGTAACCTGGGCAATGGCAAGATCCCTACCATTCGTGACGTCTTGGAGGGTATGATCAAAGCACACGAGATTCAAGGATGTTTGGCTCTGGAGAACTCGTTCAACCGAGTCGGACTAGATCACGTCATGCTTGTCAAGGTCGCCTCTGCAGCCGTTGTCAGCAAGATGCTGGGTCTCAACGAGAAGGAGACTGCCGCCGCCGTCTCTCAAGCATTTGTCGACGGACAAAGTTTGCGTACTTACCGACACACACCCAACACCATGTCCCGAAAATCATGGGCCGCCGGTGATGCATGCCAAAGGGCTGTGAACCTTGCCCTCAAAGTCAAGCAGGGTCAATCTGGCGTCCCAACTGTCCTGTCTGCTCCTGTTTGGGGGTTCTACGATGTTCTGTTCAAGGGCAAGAAGTTCGAGTTCCAACGTCCTTATGGCGAGTATGTCATGGAGAATGTTCTTTTCAAGGTCTCATATCCTGCTGAGTTCCACTCGCAGACCGCTGTGGAGGCCGCTCAGAAAATCTACAAGATCCTTGCGGACATGGGTAAATCGGCAAAGGACATCAAAGAGGTTACCAATCGCACTCATGAAGCTTGCATTCGTATCATTGACAAGCAATTCAAGCCTATGGACAATTTCGCTGACCGAGACCACTGCGTACAATACATGGTTGCCACCATGTTGTGCTTCAACAGACTCGAAGCTACGGACTACATCGACGGTAGCGAGGCTGCTGAGTCGCCTCTGCTGGAAGATCTTCGCAAGAAGATCAAGTGTGTTGAAGACCCCCAGTTCACCAAGGACTACCATGACCCCAGCTTGAGGACCATTTCCAACGCTTTGACCGTGACCTTGAACGATGGCACTGTGTTGGATGAGGTCGTTGTTGAGGCACCACTTGGGCACCGTCTCCGACGTGACGAAGCCAAGCCTGAGATTCTTGCCAAGTACAAGAGACATTTGGGCCATCACTTCGATGGTGCCAAGATTGATGAGCTTTTGAAACTCGGTACAGACGCCTCCAAGTTGGATACGATGGAGGTTGACAAGTATATGGATCTATATGTCAAGGAGAAGATGGAGTGGTAGACGGAAAATATTCGTGAATCTTTGGTTGCATGTGTGTGTTGGATAGATTCCCCGGAAATCGAGACTATCAAAAACATTCGGGTGCATTATATGGGCCAGGACGTTATGTGTTCATGTAGGTCGAGCAGAAAGTGAGATCTTTCATTGATGTCGTATTTCCTGAACTTACTTGAAATCCGCCAATTGCGCCCTCGGCAAGACCTTTTCGTGGGCTCCCCTTTCGGACCACGTCCTCTTCCAGGCCCATGCCTTATCCTTTTCTTGTCCATTGGACTTACCATTCAAGACATTGACTACGTATCTGCCAATGTTAGGCAAGAACTTCCAGCTGTGGAACGACCCTGCTGTGGCAAAGTACAGGTTGGATAACCGTGGGTCTGGATGGCGAGTGATAAGTTGGTTCTGATCAGGCGACACAGCATCCCAGCACAGCCGCCAGTCATCTGGCACCCGTCCATTGTCAAGAATCTCCGGCACCCGCTGTCTAATGATTTCGGTTGACTCGTTTTGTAGTGCTCTAGGTACGGACTTTTGGTCTGGTGCTGGCACAGAGATGTCTTGCCCTGTGATCGGATGAGACTTCGTGTTCAGGAACGTGTTTGCATTAGTGAACTTGAAAAGGCGCTCGTAGTTAGGGGGCATAACCTCCCCCTTTGCTCCATAGATTAGAACGGGCATTTGCGAGTAATGCCTTGCTTCGTCCTCGGAGAGCTTGAACGCGGCCACGCAGACGCCCGCGGCTTGAATTTGTTTCTGAATACTGTCTTCGTCGGCAATTTTCATTGTCTTTTCGAAGGGTGCCATCAAGGAGGGCGTCCACGCGCCCGTGGCCAGCAGTATCTTCTCAGCGGTAAATATGCGACCGTCGGCGGTACGGACGCCGGTGAGCTTCTGTCCGTCGCTGACAAGATGGTCAACTTCTCCTACCTCGTGTCTCACGCCTGCGCCGATCGCCTTGTTCATCATTGCTTCGACCGCGGAAGACGCGTCGGCCCAGCCTGCGCTGGAATTCGTGTATGCTTTGCTATATCCCGAGGTATCGATCCCGGAAAGAACGCCTCCCCATTTGGATTTCACGTCGTCAAGCGTGACGTCTGCGGACGTGTCTGGTCGGCCACTCTCGCGGAAGTTCTTGCGTATCCGATCTGCCAGATCGCTGTCTTTCTCGTCCACCATTACCCAGCCTGTTTGGTGGAAGTATGATCTTAAAAGAGGGTCCTTCGTCCAGGATTCCATGGCCTCGGAGGCAAGGTCCATATAGAACGCTTTGCTGTAGTCCGCACGGACGATCTTGTTGATGTCAGAGGACGCGGCATCGGGAGAGGGTACATGAGCACGGTCGAGAACAATTATCCTTGAAGGATAGGGGTGTGTGAGTGAGAGATGGTATGCAGTGCTGGTTCCGAAAATGCCGCCGCCCAAGATGAGGACATCGCAATGATGGTCACCAACGGATCCCATGGCGCTGTACTTTCAACTCCGGATTCTCAGTCAGGCTACCACGCAGGGTACATCAGATATTGGGGGCTGACCCTCTTTCTTGTCCTTTTGAGGGCCGAGACCAGCGCACCTTGTGTTCGTGTATGTGTCTCGGATCGGAATGACTGAATTGACGTCAATGGACAGTTTGGCAGCCACGCAGTACACTCCCATTCCCCATCTGGCATCTCCGTCCACTCATGAGAGTTTTCTTAGATGCCGTCGCCGTTGTCCGGGGGCCTTATGGAAGATCCACATTATACCCCGCCCCCAATCGAAGCCATTGTAGGCTATCTGGAGGCATTATGCCTCGGTTCTTTTGACCAGTCTCCAACTTGATCGCTTTAACTGAGGCACCTGAGCCGGGCCACTTACCCATATATTCCTGGTCAACGGGCACTATGCGGGCGGTATTCATCCGTCGTATAGCCTGACTTGGGTGCGAAGGGTCTATCGGTCTTTTGGGATCCCTCTCGTGGTCACCTTGCCTAGATTTAACTTGGTATCAACTGCTGAAATACATCTCTCGCGGGGCACTGTCTCGAGGTTAGGAAACGAGTGGATGGTAGAAGATCAGTTCTCGGATCATGGCTCTTGGTAAGATTCCCAGAAATCTGCCCTCGTACATAGTTGAGAAGCTTTCGCTGACAGCTGACTCCTTCTAGCGACAACTGCAGCAGTCGCTGCGGGCGGCTGGGCCGCTGCTGCTTACCTCGATGCCAAGTTCCATTTTCGATCAGACTCCAAAACATTGAATAGGATAAAGCATGGCGCAAAGGAATACGCTCGCGCCGTCAAGGAGGACAAAGTCAATCTCTGGCACGTCATCGAAGAGCAATGCAAGAAGAGCTGGGATAGACGGGCCATCTGGTCCCGGGAAGGCGAATATACGTTTGGGCAGTTATACGAAGAGACCGTCCGAATCGCCCAATTCATGTTAGACGAGGGCATCAGACCCGGGGAGCTGGTTGGAATGTACCTTGTCAATTCTCCCCATTTCATCTTTGTGTGGTTTGCAACTCTAGCCATCGGCTGCGCACCTGCATTCATCAACTACAACCTCGAAGGCAAGGCTCTGTTGCACTGTCTGGAGGTTACCGAGACGAAGTTGTTAATTGTGGATGATGATGCCGGATGCCAGCAGAGGATTAATGCGAGTCGCACCGAGATCGAAGCCACCGGGATGAAGGTTGCTGTTCTGGACAACAGTCTCAAACAAACCATCTCCTCAATGCCTCGGCCGGAACTTGGAGATGAACTGCGCGCTGGTACCAAGGGTGACTTTCCTTATTGTTTGATTTTCACCAGGTAAGTTTGATGGCCCGAAGATCAAGAATCATATACTGATCGCGGGAAGTGGTACTACCGGTCTCCCCAAAGGCTGTGCTTTCACACTGGCCCGAGTGTGGCAGATAAGTGGCCATGACATGCCGATAGTCGACGGTGTCCCTGGTAAGGATCAATGGTACAATGCCATGCCTTTGTATCACGGTACGGGCGCTATATCGAGCTCTTGCGCTCTGCTTCAGGGTATATCCATCGCGATAGGACGAAAGTTTTCCGTTTCACGATATTGGGATGACATTTATGATTCGGAGTCGACCATCTTGATCTACGTTGGCGAGACAGCACGATATCTTTTGAATGCGCCACCTCACCCGCTAGAACGAGCGCATAAACTACGCCTCGCCTATGGCAACGGTCTAAGGCCTGACGTGTGGGAGAAATTCCAGACTCGGTTCAATATACCCGAGATTGGTGAATTCTTCAACTCGTCCGAAGGCATGTTCAGTTTATTCAACCATGATAGGGGACCATACATGAGAGCCTGCGTCGGCCATCATGGCCTGATCATGCGAAGAATGTTCCACAATGTGTACATTCCAGTTAAAATCGACTACGAGACAGGCGATATCTGGAGAGATCCAAAGACTGGGTTTGCACAACGAACCTCGTATGATGAGGGAGGCGAAATATTGGTTACAGTACCGAACAAAGAAGCGTTCCAAGGTTACTGGCGATCGCCAGCTGCGACAGAGAAAAAGTTTGCCGCAAACGTGTTCAAACAGGGAGATATATACTACCGGACAGGTGACGCACTTCGACGTGAGCCGGACGGAAGGTGGCATTTTCTGGATCGTCTAGGCGACACCTACAGATGGAAATCCGAAAATGTGTCGACTGCAGAAGTCGCCTTGACTATGGGCCGATATCCAGGTATCGCTGAGGCCAATGTGTACGGTGTGTTGGTGCCCAACCACGAAGGCCGTGCAGGTTGTGCGGCAATCCACCTCGATCCGAACCATAACGGTGCCCCAGTCGACTACAACGAATTACTAAGATACACAAGGGCGCGTCTTCCTCGCTATGCAGTCCCCGTCTTCCTCCGGATCGTCAAGTCTAGCAGCCACATCCACAATCACAAGCAGAATAAAGTTCCGTTGCGAAAAGAAGGCATCGATCCCAGATTGGTCGGCACTGAGGCACCGGAAGGCGCAAACGACGTCTTTCTATGGGTGCCGCCCAAGTCGGATGAATACATCGTCTTTACGCAGCAAGATTGGGAGTCATTGCTCGGTGCGAAGGCACGGTTGTAGAGAGAAATAGCCATAGATCACGGCATGTTCGGACTCTCTATGTTTAGCGCATATATATCGTCTAGCCCAGCCTTGCGTCTGATTGATCATCGGACCCTCTCGACTTCCCTCTATTGCTATCCTGTCGCAATGACTCCAGGGAATGGTAGTTCGCCAGTCTGTAAGATCTAGATCTTGTTCGGCAGCCTTCACCTGCCGCTCAGAGACCATATACTCCGGCTATGAATGCTGTTCACATCCCCAACATTCCAAGTCCTTCCCTTTCTATTGGTATTTCTTGTACAAATCACAACTTGCTCTCTCTTCCAGTACCAAACAGGCTCGTCGTCGCTAACGTGCCCTTCGCCCAACTCACAGCATAAGGATGATCCCTTCGCTTCACCACCCACTTATCAATAGCACCAGTATTGACATACTCAGGAGAACACTCGTCAATACTCGTAATGCCATTATTTCTCATGGCAACCTCGAACTCGTCCCTGACAATATCAATCAACTGCTCAACACCCTCCTGTCCGTACCCCGTGGCGAACAGCACAGGCCGACCTAACCCCACAGCCACCGCGCCTAAGCACACGGCTTTCAGCACATCAGTCCCGCGACGGATACCGCCGTCCACGAATATCGAGAACGGTTTTGCGGCGCCCGACCGCACGGCTGCCGACCTTGGGTGATGCTGCGTGATGATCTCGGGAAAGCGCGCGTGGATCTCGAGCAAGACCAACAGCGCTGGTGGGCTGGTATCCAGATTTCTCCCGCCATGATTCGACAGTACCACGCCGTCCAATCCGTACTCGAGTGCAAGCCGTACATCATCCGCCGACATGATCCCCTTGAGGACGAGCGGCAGTTTCGTCTGGCTGCGCAACCACGCGATATCACCCCAGTGGAGGTTTGGATCGATGAAACTCGCCATCAGCCGTCCGTAGCCGCCACCTTTCTTGTCGTTCTTGGCGGTGGTCGTCATCATCGGGTTCGAAATCGACTCGTCGGCTTTCACTCGCTCATCTGCTTCACGTTTACCTGCAGCCGCGGCATCGGTGGTCACGAAGATGCCGCGGATGTTCTTCCTTTTGTGGATTTGTCTGATCAGAGCGTTGGATTTCTCCCGGTCGCGGTTGACGTACAACTGGAAAAAGAAGGGGTAGTCCGCGACTTCTGGCTGCGAGACGATCTCCTCGGCGGCGTACGATGCGTTGTTGGATATACATTGGATGACAGATTTGGTTTTGGAGGCGCGTGCAATGGCCAGTTCGCCGTCTGGGTGAATCAGTCTCGCCATGGCGGCTGGTGAGACCATGAGCGGGAAGGAGACTCTGTAGCCGAGGATGGTGGTCGTGGTGTCAATCTTGTCGACTTTGCGCATCACACGTGGCCGGAATAGGACTTTGGGGAAGAGTGAGGCGTTGAGATCTTTGGTGATTAGGTCGTTGGAGGCTGAGCTGTAGAATGCCCATGTTTTGGCCGTGGCGCTGTGCTGGGCGGCGAGCTCGAAGTCGTGGGCGTTAATGATGGATTCTAGAGGCGGCTTTTCTGAGGATGAGGCTGGTTTGGCTTTTGGTGTTTCGTCTGAGAGGGGTTTCGCCCATTCTTCGGTGATGGTCGAGCTGTCGATTGTGCCTTTGAGCGCGTTGGCCGGTAAGCCTTTTTGGATGATTGCAGAGGAGTGTATCTCGCTGTACGCTTTTGTCGCGTCACGACCGGCGTATTTGTATATGATGCCAGGACCGCCGGGGTGCTCTGGCGCGAATTTGGTGATGTCCCATACTTTGCCGTCGACGACTATCCAGCAGTCGGTGTCTTTGTTGTGCTGCGAGATCTCAGACACGGAGATTTGTCGAGGAGCCATACTGAAGGAGTCTGGGGGCACGATACTAGGAGGGAACAGAAAAGCGTGCCGTACTCACCGAAGCTATATAGTAAATATTGCTGGGACTAGTATCTACCTTCACTCCAACGGACAACTAAGGCAAAGAACGCCGGGGCTCGAGCATTTCGTCCACCCAGCACTCCGGTGGGAAATGGGAACAGCGTTGATCTAGTGGTAAGATCTTGCAATCTACTAAACCCGTGTCTAGTCGGCGTCCAGGCCGAGTGTAAATGCGGAGTGAGGAGAAAAACAATGATCACGTGCTCAAGATTCGGTGCAAAAGTGACCGAGTTCGTCAGGACCTTTGGAGAGAATGTCAGTGGCTGCTGGCCAACCCGGCCTTCTGTCCCTAAACATCCACACGATAAAGTGCATCAAACTGATGCCATTACGGATCCAGACACATTCTAAATTAAGTCCTACACATCTCTTGAGGCTCTCAGCCTCATCGTTCGTGACTCTTTGTTCGGGGGCCAATACCACTGGGAAGCGTGAGTCACCAGTACTATGGAATGAAGTCATCTCTCCCTGACGCTATATTTAAGGCGACACTGTTCGAAGATGGCACGGTGAATGGCCAGTTTGTACATTCAATCATCAATCCAGGAGGGCTAGTCACGCAACAATGGCAGACACCAAACCGTTGAGGTATGCAGACGTGCGTAGATGTATGCACGGATGCCGAAACCAAGCTCTAACGAAGTACAGGTCGGCATTAATTTAGGAGATCCAGTGTTTCGAGGAAAATACCATGGCAAAAAGGCACACGAAGATGACCTGGACGATGTCGTCCAGCGAGCGCTCGACGTTGGCTGTACGAAGCTGATGATTACTGGTTCCAATCTCAAAGAGTCTCGGCATGCTGTCGAGTTAGCTGAAAAATATCGTAGGCGTGGTCGAATACCTCAAATCCACCATGTCGCTGACATGTCACAGCTGGCCATTGTTATGCAACTATTGGAGTCCATCCTTGCTCAACGCAGGACTTTGACCGTCATCCAGGCGGTCCCGATAACATGATAAGGGATCTTCGTGCTCTGGCAGTCGAAGCGAAGCAAAAGGGTCATGCTGTCGCCTTTGGGGAGATTGGTCTAGACTACGATCGACTATTCCTGTCGCCCAAAGATGTCCAGCTCAAGTACTTTGAGCTTCAACTTGATCTGGCCGAAGAACTGCAGTTGCCCCTGTTTCTCCATTCGAGAGCAGCTGGTGAAGACTTCGAGCGTATCATGACGGCTCGCCTGGACAAGCTGCCCAAGAGAGGACTGGTACACAGCTTCACGGGAACGATACCAGAGTTGGACTCGCTGGTCAATTTAGGATTCGATATTGGAGTCAATGGGTGCAGTATGAAAACGGAGGAAAACTTGGAAGCAGTGAAAGCAGTTCCCCTGGACAGGCTACAGATCGAGACTGATGGACCCTGGTGTGAAATCCGGCCATCGCATGCTTCATCGCAGTATCTGACAGATGGACCTGCCGTACCCAAGGCAGTGAAGAAGGAAAAATGGCAAAAGGGGCTGATGGTAAAAGGACGGAATGAACCGGCAACGATTGTACAGGTTGCACATGTGGCGGCCAAGGTCAAGGGGATTTCAGTGGAAGAATTGTGTGAGGCTGCCTGGAAGAACTCGCTGGGAATGTTTGGTTTGGGTGAGAGTGAGCAGTCCGGATTGAGTAATGGTGCGCGTGAATAATGCTATATGTCCTGTAGGCTGCAACAGAACACAAATATAGAACCATAGATCAACCTTGGGGGTGGCGTGGGGATCAACCAGGAATGTGGACTCCTCCTGATGATTACAGTACCTTAGGTAGAGTCATAGACATGAAGATTACGAATGCCTAGATGATGATCACCGCAAGTTGCTACAGTAATCTATCGAAAAAAATAGCCTCTCGCACGGATTCTTGGTGATGCCGCATTAATTTGGGGGCCCCGTACAGTACGAGGGTCAAAGCGTATATGGAGGCACAGGACATAGATTGGCGCATACTTTAGCTGGTAAGTAGTTCGGGTGTCCCTGCCGTGCCTAGATCTGCCTTGCACTGCTGCAGCGCCTTGGAAAAAAAGACTGGAACCATGGGCACGTGCTGCTTTCCCTCTGCCGGGGGAAACTGTCTTCTCACTCGTCCGTTCTTTGCTCGGGGCGGTCGAGTCGGGTCGACTGTCGTGCGATCAATCAATCGCTTGAACGTTCCACTCAAAATTTTCCTTCTGGTCTCCGAGGCGTTGGAAATCTAATTAACTCAACTCGACTTGACTTACTAAGTAACTTAACACGCGCACACCACTTCCAGCTTCTTCCCACAGTCGGATCTCATTTTCGTTTTTTCTCTTTCCTCCTTTACTCCCTCAACAAGGATTCGTTCCTGATTGCAGGTTCTCTTGAAACAATCTCATCTTCTGCGGTGCTGCTTCAACGCTGAGCCCTTCAGAAACCAGAAACCATGCCTCAAACAATCATCCACAGTTGTCCAGACCGTTTCAGGTCGAGGTGACTGGACCGTCCAATTCAACTCGAACACGCGATTCTGCACACCGAACTATCTCTGTCTTCACTTCACCTTCTTCACATCCGTCCACATAGTGCTGTTCCGCCTCGAAGGGCATCCAACAAGCATTGTTGTCTTGCCATATCCGTTGGTACATTCACTCAGTTCCGCCAAAATGTCGAATTAGCGCGTCAACCCGGTGCCTAACCGCGCTTTTGGATAACTTTCAGCGTCGGCTTTTAAACCACATCGCGAGGACCTGTCTACCTTGTGAACAATATCCCTTTGTGCTCTCAAAAATTCATATTTAGTCCGTTTTTCACCTCGATTCACCGTCACTGCCTTCCTAAGCAGGAATTGTGTGAAGTCGCCTGTCCTCTTCCACCGTTGGCTCCTTATACGCGCGACGTGAGAACGACAACTCTCTCCGCGCACCGACTCTTCCCAGCAAACTGGTTCTAGAGATGTCTCTTACGGAAGCAAACATGTCGACTCCATGGGCTGCGCCTGACGATATGGCAAAATCTCTTGCTCAACTCGACCTGGCATCCCAATCTACCACCATTCAGGACGACAAGTCTCAGCCACCCACTCCAGACGGAACAGGCTTACCGGCAAATTTCCACAGCATCGCTCCTAATGTATACCGCTCCAGTTACCCGCTATATGCACACTTTGAGACACTTGCAGATATAGAGCTCAAGAGCATTGTTACACTGGTCAAAGAGCCTCTTCCATTCGAGTATCAGAACTTCATCTCGCAACATGGCATTGTACATTACCAGATCCCTATCCTGGCCAACAAGGACGAGAAGGTCTATACCCCCGACGAGACTGTAAACAAAGTCCTTGGCCTTATCCTCGACCAGTCAAATTATCCTATGCTTATTCATTGCAACAAAGGACGACACCGGACAGGTACAATGGTGGCCTGCTTCCGGAAAGTGACTGGCTGGACTTTGGAGGATTGCATCGAAGAATATGAGAAGTACTCGAAACCGAAAGAACGGGCACTGGACAAAGCCTTTATCGAGCGCTTCGATGCCTCGACACTGAAACCATTAGCCTTGGAGAGAGGTTATGTGGGCGGCATATATCGAGCACCCGCTAAGTCATCTACAAAATCATCGGTCTATACCAACAACACTGTCGACACGGCGTACACCACTGACGAGTCCGAGTGTCCACCGAATGACTATCAGGAGCGAGTAAAGAAGGAGAATGGTGTCCTGATCGAAGCTGCGAAACCAGGGTCCTACAAATGATAGGCGGTATGCAGATCGACACGAACATGAGTTATATGATGGCGACTACCCAGCACGAGCACAAGAAGGCTGGGAGTCGCGCGACGATACGGACCAACGACTACACGACCACAAAAGAACACAAGCAAGAAATGCAGCTAGCATCACAGTAGTTGCGCGAGGCCTGTACGTGCACGGATGATGTGCGTGGTGGTGGACCGTCATTCACAACTTGATGTCGCGCGTGGCAGAACCATTCGACAGCTGGTTATGCCCACGGTCCCAAAGGGCTCCTAGACGGGCCACATGGAAAGAAGTTCAAAGCGTCGCGTTGGACACATCTTGGTTGGGATCAATGACTCAAAAGAATTGGACCCCACGCTTTCAGAGTCTGTTTCTCATGGAAATGAGAATGTTTGGTCTACTTTCAATCCGTCTCAGGAATCGGGCTATGTTTGACAGACGCGAGCACTCTTGGACAGGTGTATCGGCACACCATTTGGAGATGTTGGACACAGCTGTCTGCAGTGTCAAATCGTCTTTGTTCAATATTGAAGAGGGCTTGGAAAAAAGGTGTATCTTTGGTAGTCGACCAACGATAGCAGGCAATGGCCTGGAGATCACACTTGAAGACTTTGGGACAAAACACCTACCAGTAATTATGTATGATTATGATGACGAAGAATTGTATCTCGACAGCTACGGCATATTCGGCGGAGAACAATGTAATGATCAAACCAAACTCTACTACACTTTTTAAAGATCTAGACTTGATGCGATTCATGTGACATCTAATTTACAGCCATTCTATATACACAAGTCTCACATCACAGAGGCGGACCATACCGGTCACAGTCCCGCAGACACCGCCTCAGTACTCTCACGACGCTATCCTTATCGTTCTGGTCCTGCGACTTCCACACCCTGCGCACCGAGTTCCAGACATTTTCCACGCTCTCGCGAGAGCCAGTGCTGGCCGCGTATGCACGTAGGAGCCAGCACACCAGCCCACGGGTCGCGGTGACTTGGTGCCTAGAGGTTATCGAGACGGGAGGTAGGTCTGCTATATCATCGTGGTCCTGCCGGTCTAATTCTTGTTGATCGGTATACGACTCGGGATCGGCAGGACTCTCAAGATTGTTCTCTTCCGGCATGCTGGTAAGATCCTCTGGAAACAATGGCGACACGAAATTGTCTTCGCCGGCCGACGAGCTGATGACCTGGCTGGGCGAAGGCAGGACATATTCGCCTTCTTCGTGATCAAGTTTCGAGTCACCGAGGGCGTAATACGTCTCTTGGCCTTGGGACGGGGATCGTAGCTGTTTCTCCTCAGACGATAGGAAGGGAACATTGAAGCGACCCTTCTTGGCCTCCTTTTCCTCGTCGAAGAGCTCGGCGTGCACGCGTTCAATAGGTTTGCGTCGCTCGTTCGGGAACACTGCGAGATCCAGCACGAAGTCGTCCCACGTGCTCATCCGCTTGAGGGGCGGATGTCGCTTGTCCGTCGACTGGGTGCTATTTATTGAGATGTCCTCGGCCCTTTCCACGGAGGGGAGCGTGGTCTCTGGTTCTGCCGACAGCCTCTGCCTCCGCGCCACTTCGGCGGCTCTGATAGCTTCTCGACAGGCCTCCCAGACCATTTCGAGTCGCTTGATACTCCACATCGCGTCAGGGTCGCGCGTGCGTCCGTGTAGAGCGAAACCTTTGAATAGCAGTTGGAATGTGATGCTTTGAGGCGGGAGGTTGAACATTTTGTCCATTTCGTCCAGAAGAACTGTTACTCGATTCAGATTGCCTGAGACATTGATGTGATGAGAGATCATGGTTCGGAAGGTGATGTGGTCAGGTCTGAGTGGCATAGAATCTTGTAACGCTTGGTGGTGTGAAGGAGACCAGCTTTTCAGCTTGGACGCATTATTCAGGATTCTGTCAAGGTGGTTCGAGGCCAGTTCGTGCTCAATGACCTCTTCACCGGGACCTGGATATCGTCTGTACAAGACAATCTGACCATCGTCTCGCCTGTCCGCGCGCAGATTCTGTTGAAGGCTTTTCATGCGTTCGTAGATTTGTTCGGCTGCTGTAGGTTCTTGTGCATTGTAAAGAGCTGCTATGACGCAGTTGAGGACCAGTGTGTCGACTATCTCACCCGCATCAACAAAATCGCGATATGCCTTGCGTACAGCATCACCATCGCCGCGCAAGCCATGGTAATATATGATGCTGACGCGGCCTAGCCTGTTTAGACGGAAACCTCGGTCGTGCATCTCCTTGAGGACCAGCTGCGCGAGAGGGAATTTGTTGGCCCTGACGGCGATGTCAAAGAGGATGTTGAAGGTGACATGATGTGATTTCACGCCAGCTTCGTGTTCCATTCGCCTCCATATCAAGAAGGCTGAGTCGACTTCGGCCTGTGTGACCTGCTTGAAGGAGCGCCCTGCCAGATATATTGCAGATGCCCATTCTGCCTGTGTGATCGGGACGTCTGCCTTCTGCGCATCGTCTATCAACGACAGATATCGGATCATGGATTTCGCGCTCTTCTGCCACGGCGTTGACATACGTTGCAGAAAGAGTCGGATGATTCCGCGCGGCAGGAAGGCCATTCCGGGTTGTGGAAGTTTCTTGTAGGCCTCGAAAAGCGCCGCATTACTAGAGCGGTCGTCAAGCAGTAGGTCAACAAATGCTTGCGTGACAGTGATTTCTCGCAGCTGCCGTGTTTTGAGCCTCTCCTCGATTTCTCTGAAAGGTGACCTGAAATGCTTATCCTCATCATCGAACTCGGCATAAGCTTGCATTGGTGCAAAATCTTCGGACAGCTTGAATACATAATCTTCAAGCAGCAGAGGAGTGGGTGACGAATCTGGCGTTCCTGGGTCAAATCGCTTGTGGTGTGTATAGAAGTATAGATCCACCAGGCTTTTGTAGTCCTCCCGGGTCAAAACAACCTCTTTTGGTTCTGACGATGGTGGTCTCTCGATCGGCGTCGGTACGTGTCTTGTCGCTGCTGCTAACCTTGCCTTCATCTTGGCCAGCTTGTCTTCGAGTTTGCGCACGGAGTTGAGCAGCCGCAATTGCTCATTCAGCTGAGCTTCTGTCTCTTCCACTTCATCTTGTTGCGGGTCCTTGAGCTCTTCAATCTTGCCTTCTAACGTTGCCAAATCTTGATAGAAAGCCATTGGTAAGCGACTCTTCGCTGCAAAGTCGATCTTATTCGCATCAAAGAAGTCTTTAAAACGACCAGCTTCCCGGGCTTGCGTTCCCAACCGAGGGCTACTACTCATGCACCGACGTGGAATGCAGAATGTCTGTACAGGTCCGGCGGCCTCTTCTTTTCTTCGGCGACACCTCCTCCCCACAGCCAGACCGGCGCTGTTTGAACTCCATTGCGCTCGATCCAGGAAAGTGGACGGACGCCGGCGGTGGCAGCTTGTCACACGAGACAGAGCCTGATAGAACAGTGATTCCACTGACACGTTGTTCTTCTTTCGTAGTGCATCTGAAAATGCTCGGCTGCTGCGACGATTGATGGGGGACTGGTGTGAGTGCGCCGATGGAAGCAGGAAATCGTACTGTCCCGGAGACGTTATCGATGCTGCATGGTGAAGGCTTTTGCACCCTGACAGCTTGAGAGATCGGTGCATAAGACTGCCAGCATATTCGGGACGATGCGCCACCTAGTACTGACTTGTGAAGAGGTCGACGCCCATCGAGTCAGTCCCGTACAAATTCAACAGACGAACTGGTATGGATATTCGGACCGTGCTATAGAAATTTGGGGTGCTGCTTTAGCGCGCTTTTTCGCCGCAGTTTAACACCGAGAGCTTCGAATTTCAATCGGACTTGCAATCGACACCAAGCACTCAAGCCAACAGTGTCCGCAAAATCAACGTTCAATCAAGCAATCGTGAAGAGCTTCCTCCAACAGTGCATGAGTGTCGAGTGAAGGGGGTTGCCTCCAGCATCTGCCCACGATGGGCCGCTTAAATCTCACAGCCATCAATGTCCGCAAAACTGCTCTTCTAAACCTCAAGACAAAGAAGACGAACGTCGCACCGAAATGGATCGACATCGTCGGTGACATCCCTCCAGCGCAAATTCTTACGAGACAACAACCCATGCGACACCCTTTGTCGAAAGTGCGCACAAGGTCGCTCCCCGGTGGGAGAACTGAGCAGTACATTCAAGTAACTGAATCGAAAAAGAGCAAGTCTACTAGAGGCCAACATCTTTTCGCACCCACTACATTAAGATATGAGGAGGATTCGTTACGAAGGAGATTTTTCAGCGATCATCCTTGGGAGTTAGCACGGCCACGAGTCGTGCTCGAGACGTCGGGAGATCAGTACAAAAGCGTAGACTGGTCGAAGGGAGTACAGCAGCCGGGTGTTGCCTTGTCAGGCGAGTCTGTCGTCCAGAGACAGCTATGGCTTCTCGAGAATGTGCCTGACATCACTGTTCCCCAAGCCTACGACATCGCACGAAAAGAGTTCTATGCACTGCGACGACGGGAAGAAACGAGGAGTAGGATTGCCGCAGAAGAGGCCAGACATATGGGTGCACAGTTTGGCAAGTCGGCCATACAGGTCAGCATGGGCATTGAGGACCAGATGTATAATCACTGGGAGATTTGGAGTCGGGCGGTCGTCAGCGACTTCACCCAGAAGGCCGCGGCGTTCGAAGGCACAATAACGGCTGCGGAAGATAACGCATTGAAGGAAGTGGCAGATGAGGATGGCCAGACTAAGCAGCCGGCCATCGGAGCTGGCGTCTTTGCTCAACAGCAGCAACGGGATACTCGCTCACAGCGACGTACTGTATAATGAGTGGTTCGTATGGAATAGAATCAAGGGAAAACCATCATATAATGGTATCGAAATTCTACGATCTTCTTCAACAAGACTTTTGGAAACCTCTACCAGTTTGCATAACTCCTATTCTACCTCCACCAAAGAAGAAGCGCTCATATCCTGTTCATTCTAATAATTCCTGTATCCTGGCAATTTGTTCCTCGATGCTCTTCTTGCTGGTGCCGCCCAAAACTGTTCTCTTCTCGACACTGCTCTCGTAATTGAAAGCCTCCATGACATCCTCAGCGAACCTGCTGTCCACACCTTGCAGCTGTTGCAGACTTAGTGTGTCCATCGGCTTCTTTTCCTTCTCAGCCAACGCCACAACCCTGCCACTGATATGGTGAGTCTCGCGAAACGGTACGCCCTTGCGGACAAGGTAGTCAGCAAGGTCGGTGGCTAACATATCCGGGGTTAGGGCAGCTTTCATCTTGTCGGGGACAATTGACAACGTCGACAAAACGCCAGTGGCTATCTGTATGGAGTCGGCCGTTGTCTTGACGCCGTCAAGCATAGGCTCGAAGGACTCTTGCAGGTCCTTGTTGTACGTCGAAGGCAGGCCCTTGACACTCATCATCAGTCCCGCCATGTATCCGAAAACCCGACCACTCTTTCCTCGAAGCAGCTCGAGAGAGTCGGGATTTTTCTTCTGCGGCATCAAGCTGCTCCCTGTCGAATATGCATCCGCGAGTCTGACAAAACCAAACTCGGCCGTTGAATAGATGATCAGATCTTCCGCCCATCGAGAAATGTGTTGCATCAGCGTAGCGGCCCACTGGAGTGTTTCAACCACAAAGTCTCGATCCGCCACGGCGGCCATGGAGTTATTGATGATGCCTTCGAAGCCGAGCTCTTTGGCCATGGCCTCACGGTCAATGCCGAAGGGGTTGCCCACCAAAGCTCCGGAGCCAAGAGGCGAGCGGTTGACCCGCTTGATGACCTCCCTCAGACGCTCGAGGTCAGATGTGAAGACGGTGCCATAACTCAACAGCCAGTGGGACCATCGAATCGGCTGAGCCCGTTGCAAGTGAGTGTACCCAGGCATCAAAGCTGAGATCTCCGACTTGGCCCGAGATGTGGTAACACGGAGTAAAGAGATCAGGTGTTGCTCCATCTCACGCAACTGATCCCTTAGCCAAAGTCGCATGCCTGTGCCGACTTGGTCGTTACGGCTTCGGCCTGTGTGAAGCTTTCCGGCTATCTGAGTACCAATGATCTCACCGAGACGGCGCTCGTTGGCAGTATGAATGTCCTCGTCGACACCAGGTTTGATCTCGAACTTGCCGTCCTCCCACTCGGACAGAACCTCACCGAAGCCCTTCTCAATGGTCTTGAACTCTTCTTCCGTGAGGATTCCAATCTTGGAGTTTGCACGAGCATATGCTACGCTTCCTTTGATGTCCTGGGCATATATGGCACGATCGAAGTAAATCGACTCATTGTAGGATACCATGAGAGGGTCGAGGCCGCCGGTGAAACGGCCGCCCCACAGCATGTTAGCATTGGGTTTCGATGCCGCCATGTTGAATATTCACGTTAGCCAGTATTCAAGGTGTCAAGACGAGCAACAGTACTTCAATCAAACAGAGGCCTTATCAGTCGCCAAGCTCAAAAACTTTTTGCGGCCAGAAACAATTTTCCCCAGAGTTTTTGTCGCCAACGGGTGCCACAAGGCGCGATAAGGAGGGGCTTAGGTAAGCCATTTGTCATTGGGCAGCTCAGAGCGACCGAACTTCATCGTCACTTCTTCTCATCGACGTCGTTCACCTCGTTTCTTGCCTTCCGGTCTTTGCATAGCGCGTGTCTCAATTTGCACCTCGGACGGTCATCAGAGGATTGTTTTGATGAGATGTTAATCTCGGTCTTCTAACATGTCGCTACCTTTCCCCAACATCTATCATCTGCGAACCGTAGCCGAGGCTTCCTCAAAGGCCTGTTATGTCTGCCTCAAACCATCTGTCAAAGTGCTTATAACACCAGACAGTAAGGTACGCACTCCTTCACTCGCTGTATCGTCTTATATGACGCAGCCTCTGCATGCTTCGGTCTGCTCGAACGCCAACCTCGTCTTTTAGGACTTCTTCTACGTCTGCCCCTCTCATTTGACTGATAGAGGATTCGCCTCCCCTATAGTCGATGCCGAGGCCGAGGCTGCGAAGAAAAAGAAAGAAGTCTTAGATAAGGAAATTGAGAAGGTCAAGCAGGAATACGAGGAGAAGCAGCGAAAGAAAGGCAAGAAGAAGTCTAAGGACGATGACAAAGACAAGAAGAAGGACGACCAAGACGACGACGAGGCTGAAAAAGAGCGTGATGACAAGGTGAGGACTTCGATGCTCGTAGTGTTTGGATTCGCTGATGGTGTCCAGATCAAAGCGCTCCAATCCGGTGCCAATGCTGGTGAGAAGACGGCGGATATTCAACGAGTGTATGCGTTGCACAAGTAAGTCCTTTTCACTGGCCCTGTGTATGGCCTGGCCTTGTGTTTTCCTAATTCCATGGCAGAAATTTCTATCAGATGCGAACTGACAGAATCCGGAACATGGAAGCAGCAAAGAGAAGCCAACAGCGAATAAAAGACCCATCGTTCTTTCCTGCCACGCCCAAGGGAGACATTGCCTGAAACTGCTCGAGCTTACTTTCGCTCGTGTTCCCATGGCATGATGAATCATGAAGTACTCTCTGACCAGGTATCGTTCTCGACTGTCCTGCCGAAGGTCACCCCGCCTCGAAAACCTCGATAAAAAGCCCTCGCACGACTGGCCATTCGATTGTCAAGGGCTTGACAAGTCCGAGACATCAGCTTTGCTTTGCAGAATTGCGTGACGCCACTGAAGAAGAACATGGCGGCATCCTCCCTCCATGCAGTCTCACCTGACAGGACGGTGGCTGGCGCTGATTGTCGCATCGGATCAGATCAGCTCGCCATGACTACCATTCTTCAGCACTATCGGCAACCACGGAGAAGTAGCCCGCTCCAGCTCTAAGAAGGAAAGTAGATGCAGCCTGGGCGGCGCGATCTGTGTCGATAATTGGCCGACATCTCTCTATGTTAGACGTCAAATTCGGTGAACAACGGCCTAGCCTCTACAACGACAACACGTGTCTGTGAGACCCTAGTGCTCGCATGACGCATAGGATACGAGGTCGGACGCTGCAGGTCGTGTTCTGGTATGAAGATGGAAAAGGGAATAGAAGAGGGAGGGCGTGGGCTGCTAATGGAAAAGCGGCAACGCATCAACCCACCTCAGCTGTACGGCCTCCCGCCGAGAAACACTATCACTGAATGGTCTTCTGCTAGCGGTCAATTCCACCACATACCAGTCGGCAAGACTCACCACGTCCACACAGACAACAGCTACTAGTCTGGAGCTGATCGCTTCGGAATTTCCTCTGACTCACTAACGTGCTATTCGTGCAAAATAAACTTCAACCTTTCGTGCATTTTGCGAAGCGAACATGAAGTCAATCCCCACTACATGAACCGTCTCTCGGAATGCCTCACATCCGAGCGCTGACGCAAGGCTGAAAACTTATGCACGACCGGCCCCAGATCTTCTCACTGATCCGCTTGAATAGTGTCTTTGAATCTCCAGGCTACAGACTGCATGGGACAATGCAATTTTCAGTACTGGACAGATCAATCCACAAGCTGATGCGCGACTAGGACCATTCGCACAAGCGAAGATTGCCCATAGCGACATGCGTATGGCACTTTCGGAAATGGTCCGACCGTTGATCCAGCCTTGGTAGAGGCCTCTTACGCAAACGTTCGGTCACCGGTTGTCACACCACTTCATGAGGGAGACCTTTCAGGCGACCACTGTTCTCGGAGTTACCGAAGGATTCAATGCATCAAGCAAAAGCATCGCATCGTCAAGCTTGTCTTCGACGGTGAAGGCGCATCCTTCGAACAAAACCGGCAAGCCCCAGTATTCCCAAAGTGGAAAGGTGCGAATGTCTTCCCGGCTTTGAACCCTACACCTGCTTCAAGCATGTCAGCCTCGAAGGATTCTGACTACAGTAATGAAACCTTGTGTCGATTGACTTTGGTCGATATGCAGAGGCCGTTCCCGCGGATCAACCCGGGTATAAGGCACATTTCGATCGGATGGTCTCGGGAAAGTTCCGCAGCACGACCTTCGTCAGCCTAGCGAAGCGCCTTACAAGGCTGAGGTCAATGAATCACGGTGCGGCTCTCGGACTGGATCGCGGAATCGCGGACTACTACCTATTCACGGGGTATCTTCTAAGACTTCTGGATCTTGATTGTTTACTATAGGTAATCATTATTCCGGCCTCAAGAGGATGTCAGCCATGCGCATAACCGCCTTTCTTGGAAGAGGGAGGATTCAGCGAGACAGACAGATTCATCGGTTGGTCAGGTATGCTGCAATAATCTGACAAGAGGATTCTGCGTGCATTATGCCATTGTATGTTGCAAGATGTGTCAAGTCAATGCATGGGTGACCAGGTGTTGAGACTGAACGCTGGACCGTAGAAGGGGGTCATTATCATTGATAGATGACAACACTTCAGAGTCCAAGCTTGGCTTCATGAAAGGGTTGCTCCCTAGACGTCTAGCAAGGGCCATCCTTCGTGCGTTGGCATAATTCGATCATGGTTTTACTTGTCGCTACTGTCCAAGCCGATGCTCATCACCCAACTCTTTCGGCCGTCGAGGTCGGAACGAACACGAAGCAAACCGAAACCGAAACCGATACATACTTGGTAGCCACACCCCCTTGAGTCGAACACTTTCATAGCAAATTCCAGGAATTGCATTGATAGATTCGGCCGTAATCGTAGTTCGGCCGGAAGACTCTGTTCGGCTCGGTCCAAAGCCAATGCGTGTTCGCATGGCGATTGGTGGGCTTGTCTCTTGTCCCAGAACCTTTCAATGGCTGCGAAGGAAGAGTAAGCGACCATGTAATCGTTCGGGTGCTGGGCGGGAAGAGGCCGTCTGCCCCCAGTCAGAGGTTTTATGCAGCTGTCTCCGCGGCTTGGCCTCTCGCCTCGTCTCGCTTCCGAATGGTCCCTGTTGTTTCTCTGGGGGTCAACAAACGCTGTAGCCATCCTCTCATATGTTCGTGGGATGCTTGTCGACAGGTCAGGTCTGTCAGCATGTCCATGCCCTCCAATGATGGAAAAGGAACTAAGAACAGAGAATATGCGCATGGAGTTTAAAGTGATTTGTCACATTAAAGATTCCCATTGTTGTTACTCGTGGTCCGCCTCATGCTGGGCGGGAGTCTGACTGCGTTGCTCAGGTTCCCGCCAGCTGCTGCAGCGCCGCCGCTGTCGTTGGTAGTGACAATCCCCCTTGCCCTGGATTGGGCGCTGCGCACTTGGTCAACCTTGCCCCTGACGATACCAAAACCCGGGGTGACCCAGCCACCACAACTGCAGCGTAACCCTTGCCAGGCGAACTTGCCAATGTTGGCGCCGCACTTGGGGTTGGGACACGTCAGACGGCCGTCCAATCCGCCTTGAGCCAGTGTATCTTTCATCCATGAAAGCGGGTGCAGGAAGATATGGCCGCAAGGCTCCGTCGAGGTATCTGCCGACGGGTCGCGGTGCGGCGGTGGTTTGTGCGGGATGATGAAGTTCGACTTGGCGATCAGACGCCGGCATTTGCGGCATTTCAGCTCGACTTCGGGTGGTGGTAAGGGCGTGTTTTCGGGTGGCGATGATACAGAGATGTCGGGGTTAATGATCTCGGGGTCAGGGCTGGATAGATCTAGGTTGTTCAGGTTTTTGGTGAGCTTGTTGTCATTGTCGTCCTCACTGTCGTCCTCTTCGTCGCGGAACGTGATGTCTGCCATCTCGGGGGCGCGGTTCGAGCTTAGTGCGTCCATGACATTACGTGAGTTCATCCATCTGCGGTAGATCTTGTGGGACTCCAGCTGTTCTTGGGTCGTTGGGCAGTCCATGGCTTCGTACATGCGTAATTGCTTGATGAAGCCCGAGTTGGGCTCGACTTGTGGTCTGGCCTCGCGGAGCAGGGCGAGCGCCGTGTCGACGGTAAGTGGTGTGGGTGGAAGTGACACCATTTCTGGGGTCGAGGAATCTGAAGACGAAGCAGACTTTGAGGTGGTTTGAGGTTGTGATATGGTTTTGGGTTGTCGAGATATCCACATGAGGTAGGCTATCACTATCGTGGCGGAGCGAGAGACGCCCATGGCACTGTGACGGACATGTTAGCTTGAGCTTCACCAACCGTATCTCATCTTTGGCATGGGAGCAATGACAAAAGATCATGGATGTGCTTCATTCGGAACCTGGGGAGAGCCTGTGGTCATTCGTCAATGCGCAGCCTTGCGAGGCTGAAGCACGTGATGAGGCTGGACCTCCATTTCGCGTGGAAACATGTTAAGTTGCCAGCAAATTTCGGTGGCGGCAACCGTTTGGCCTGACTTGAAGAGTTCACATGGCCAACATCAATGTGTGGCCAAGGTTCGACCATTCCCGCGTTCAAGTGGCGGTAAACCTCAGCGTGGCAAAACTGAGAGCAAAACTTGAACTCCGCTGCCAAGCCGGTTTTGCACATCAATCGAGGTGGCCACTCTGGATGATGTTTGACCACATTTCACATGCTCGACACGCGTCATTTGCAAATTAACAAAAGGACCATCGGCATCACCGAAGACGTGGTTTTGTGACCGTCTCGAAGATAGGTGGAGCAGGACCCTATTGCAATGTAGGGTGTTGTGATATGTGATAGGGAGGCAAGTTGGAATATTCCAACGTTGGCTGGCCGGCTCAAACAAAACCTGAAGCAGGCATAACCAAGGCAGACCGAATACCGTCCATGAGTGCTTTGGACATCGAAGAGAGACATGGGCTTGCAAAGGAAAAGAGAGATTTTCACCTACCAATGCACCAGTACCCCACTTTCACGAGCGTTGTCACCGGCAGTCTTGGGCCAGTAGTTGAGACCTTGATGAATGAAGGCATTGCTCCGGGGGAAATATGCCAGGATATTAGAGTCGTAGACATCATCCAGGGGGATGTGTAGATGCTGGAACCCACGTAGTGGAGCGTTGCCTTGCGGGAATTTCCAGTCGATCACGGACACAACATGCGTGATATTGGAGCTCTGAAGGACATGAGGACGTCGCAGGGCTTGAAAGCTGTGACCGCATTCAGTAAAGATTCAGACAGATGGCTCCTTCGTAAGGTGACAAAGCGGGCGGCACACGTACCCATCAATGTACAAATTGTAACCGGGACACTTGCTGGGAAGAGTTGCATTGTCCATCCCAGATGAAACAAGACCGAGCGAAACCTCGGATGATCGTTGGACCAATGGATGAAAATCCAGCGACCGTTGAGGTTATTATGGCTAATTTGAAGGCGATGATCAGGTTCAGGTTACAATCTTGATGGAGTGGAATAGCAAGAAGTATGGCCGGCAACCCTGGTCCCCGCTTCTAGACAAGCCACACGAGATGAGTGAGAGAGTATTCGTTAGTCACGGAATATGCAATTTAGCAAAGGGAAGGGATATGTTGTTAGGAGAAAGATGTTTGATAGGAGTCGAAAATAATGAAACATGGAGCATTTTTGCCTCGGTATTCAGTATCAGTCACGTGAATCAGGGGGCTTTCCAATGGCATTCGTGAAATGCTACTAGGAACTCAGTGCCTACATACGACATGATTTAGTTAGGATATCGAACATGTTTCTCGGACATTTAGATCCTGGATGCAGTTGTTTGCGAGCTAGACGGTCGATCCACACCCACGAAGTTGTGATGAACATCGCTCGAACGGCATCTTGTGTGGCCATTTGTGTGGCCGTGGTCGCCGAATTTTGTACAAGGATTGACCGCTCTTGGTGCATCGCCGCGTCAACATGGGCCTGCAAGCGCTCACCGCTACAGAGGACCGTGTTGTATGTCCTTCTGGCCCAGTTGATCGGCTTCATGTACTGTGCGTCATCGGATATAAGGTAGTGATTGTTCAGGACTCTCGTCTCGTGAAGAGGTTGACATCAACATGCTGTCCTCAATCTTGTGCTTTCGACTTCAGGCGATGACCACATATTGCTGGAGATGAGGGAGCCCTGATACCCACAAAATCCTTCTCGGCTGCTCCAAAGTCCCCATGCTCCAGGGTACCTGGTAGCGTGATGCTTGCCTTACTGTGTACTAGTACCAGATGATCCAGATCATTAATCCTTTCGGATCTTTGCCCGTCTCTGGTTGCGTGCTCCGACACCAGCGACCAATCTGTCCCGGGGCCATGCATCTCCGTTCTTCCAGAATTTTCCTTTACTTCCCCCTAAACCTTGCTTGCAGTCGTTGATTCGCTCATGCTTGCGTGGGACTCCTTTCTCGACCCTCGATTTGCCTGTTGTGACCACCTACAGATCCCTTCATCAAAAATACCATTAGCAGACCAATAATATCGTGCATCATTCACCAGCCTTGTCGGATAAAGCACCCTGACGTCTGATCAACCTCCTGAACTCCACACCACATCATCTCCACAACATCGAAATCATCGTGAAACATGGTGTCTGCCATTCGACTACTGGAGGAGATCGCAGGAGTCCTCAACGGTGAACAATGCTGTAACTCGTCGAAACAGATCCGATGACTATACCTTGAGAGGAAACATGTCCGCTTCAACATGGCTTTCGTCTTCATAGATGAGAACCTCGTTAGACAATGGGGGCATGCCCTGACCCCTGACAGAAGAGGCCGTGAAGCATTCGTATGTCGACTCACTTGTTATGTATTTGTCGTCATTGCAGTTTGAGAAGGAGCCATGTGAACAACGACCTCCAGAACAGCAACTGTTCGACGTGAATCACACCCTCGTACCTGGCAAGCCTGTTTCCAGAAAAAGTGGCATCGTCTGACCGTTGTTGCTCTTTAGGTTCAGATAGATACCTTTTCGTCTTGTCGTTCAGGAGTCCTTTGAACACACAACGATATAGCACATCTTTGGTAGGAGGAAGCGCATCAGCTCTACCGTTCACTTACTAGCTTGAAGGCAAGGCACTCGCTGTCACGAACTTGGTGGACCATGTACATATCGTCGTTGGACTCCCTGTCAGACAGTGCCAATTTTACTGGAAACAGGCTGCCTGGATACCACAGGCGTTCGCGAGCAATGTCCCTTTTGAGCGAGGTGTGCAGATCAAAGGTCATTTCTGACTTGGTCAGGTACGAATCTCCGTAGGAGAACATCTGCCATGGGTTTGAACAGAGATCCCAAAGTCTCCGCGGAGCAGGAAATATCAGGGGCGGGGAAAAGGCTTCCATTCAGCTAGGATCGGTCAAAAATGCAAGTCATGCGAGACACAGTCGGCCTGCTGATCTGTCTCTGACATGGATGCGATATTGTACCGCGCACGACAGACATACTGACCTTGTGTTGAGGATAAACAGAGTTCTGATGTTCGTATCCATTTCAACTCTGTCAGCAACCGCAGGCAACCCCTTGGCAGATGACGTGAAGCTTCCCCGGCCACAATGTTAAGCTAAACTCCTCGTGGCCGGGTCTTCAGGTGCAAAATACTCGTATAGTACAAGCCACATGGCTTGTAATTGCTTCCTTGGGGAAAAGTATCAGATGACAATTTCATCCTTCCAGGAATAAGCAACAGCTGCTGCCATATTGTTTTAGGTTCGACACAAGAGGACATGGATTTGCACTAGGTCACATCGGCTGTCCACTTACATACGAAGCGCCACGCGAGCAGACACAGATTGAGAACAAGTGGCGAGCTGTGATACCAATCTCTTGACACAACCTGACAAGCCTATCGGCTGAGGTGAATCAAAGGCGATTGAGATGGGGACGCACACCCCGAACAACTGGATTTGGCATTAGTGAGTGTTGACAACACTGGCTGGCGGCCTACACCTCATACGGTACTACAACAAGAAAAGCCCACAGCTGTTTATCGAATCATCCCAGATTCATCAGGTCGCCTCAATGCTTGGGGTCGGGCCGGTCGTCCAGTCACGGGTGCGCCAGTCTTAGGGCAAATTTCAATGCATGAACAATTCGCCATGTACTATGTACAATGTCTCCCACTCGGGGCGAATTGTGTCAAACAAAGAACAGCTGAACAGGGATTGTATGAGTAAACTTTCTCGTCATTACGAAAGACGTTGTCTCAATATTATTCCCTACTCAAGTATTGAGAATATTTGTCGCCTCAGGAGCCAGTCCGTCCGACACACAAGCTGAAGGATCCTGCCTCGCCGAAGTTTGATGTCGTTGGCGTTGAACAAGATGGTCCACTGACGCTCATAAGGCTTACGGGATAGCATGCTCTTGAGAGGTTGTGGATTTTGGACAAGCGTTTGTCGACCGTAAGTCAATTACTCCGTATGGCAGGCAGGGAGGAGAATAAGACGAAGGTACAGTGACTACTTAGAATTGGGACTGGCCTCTATTCCGTACCTCGGCCTGGCTACCCAGGATTGCGCGATATGTCCGTAATAGACGACCTTTACGAAGAGGAGTGGCGGGTCCCGAACTTCCATGATCAACACCATCATCGATGGTCAGTATGGAGCACTTGTCACTTGAAGCATGGGCTGCATGAGGCCGGGTTAGGGGTACTCGGGCGACCAGGCCTAGGCTGAAAGCAAGGCCACCCCCCTTGTCGCCTCGTAAACTCCACTCTGGGCGGCAGCAGCCTTTTTTCTTCCTCTGTGGCCTGTAGGGCGCTAGAATCGACCCTTAGCCTTTCGTCCCCGTAGGGCTGAACCCCTCCATCTCAACCACTTTCATGCCTAGGCACAGCAAAGTTGGGACTTATTTTAGGGCTCCGATTCTCTTTGCCAGGTTAGCGCGAGCCCTACGAATAGGTAAATCGGCCGGTAAGGGCCCAACGAGCAAGCCACGACCCAAGAGCCAATACGACCACGCATCTTCTTTCCCTTTTCCCACTCTGGAGACTTTCTCCAATTATGCATCCGAATGCACAAACACCACTTACAGCCGCCGTCAGAAATCAAGACCTTACTTCCCTCACTACACCTATCTCAGGTAGCTGGCACTCTAAGAGTGAGCCCTGGCACACTCTACTGTTGTAACCGCTGCCCACTTTTTACTAGAGGCTGCTGCCCATGTCCACGTTCCGTTGGCGCCTGCGATGCCATGCCATGCACTGTCGGATCCTCCTGGTCAGGATTTCTCGTCCACTTACTTCGTCCTGCGATTGACAAAAGCTGCGAGCAAATCAATACCGCTCCGACACACCTCTTATCCATGATTGCACCATGTAGAACGACCTATACCCTTCCATACGACTGCTCGGTTGACCTCCGCCTACTGCTGGCCTGAAGTGCTCATTAGGATTACAACATCCCCCTCCTACCGCCCGCACACTCCTCCCTCATATCCTCAAGTTCTGCCTCTGACTGGTCGTCACGTACTTTCCCTTCTCCTAACGCTGGCTTGAGAGGTCTACTCTACTTCCTGTCCTTACCGCAAAATCCAATACCGTCCGACAATATAGACCTTCGATTCTCCTACCGGCCACGAGCATTCAACCTGGTACGAATGTCCAGGCTCATATCATTGGAATAAAGCGAGAAGGAACCCCAAGCCTGACCACGTCAGCTGGATTTAGCCAAAAACACAAGCATACCCAGTAATACGGACCGTTACCAGTGACTGTTGGCAGTTGCCACTTCAAAGTATCTATTTGGCCTCCAGTAGCCACAGCACGCGCGCCCCAGAATCGCCATCCACTCTCCGATGTTACAGTGGTTCTGAAACTGGTCATGGACTTCCGCAGGCCTCACGCCTCTGCTGATGGGAGGAAATCATCTTATAGCCAGGATGCTGCTGTACAGGGAAGCACGTCGCGGTCGAACTCCCAAACATCAGAGGAAGGCCCTACAGAAGGACTCTCAATACCTGGTGTGCGCTTTGACGACCCGCCACCACCTCTGCCACCACCAAGATACAATGAAGAACTGGCCCAAGGTATAGATCTTGCCTGGAACTGGGGAAACAGCGATCCATTCAAGTTGGAGCGACGATTGGCGCCGATCAATCCAGGCTCGAGTCTGTACAGAGGCTACATGGAATCGAGGAGGAACTCTGGCCGTTCAGAGGAAGGCGAGCATGTTGACGTGGATGACGACTACTATCGTAGAGGCAGCACCGTGTCGACAGTAAGATCACCCTCACAAGCCGATATACGTGCGGGTTTCCATGTGCCACATTTGGTCCGAAAGCCGCCTTCACCACCCTCCACAAACCAAAGGTCAGTCCTTGATGACATGTTTTGCAACCGTCATATTTCCTTGCCCAACAGAGCCTCGCATTGTGCCGCCTGGACCCACTGACGTTATGTGGACTTTTTGCGTTTGCCTTCGTGGGGGCTGCTTTTGGCGCCCCTTAGCTTCATCTTTTGGCGAGTCGAGAATAACCTGTGCTGATGACCGCTTCCTCTTTTAGACTACAAGGCGAGATGCCTCTTGCACAACGAGATTTCAATCTTTCGGCGCAGGCATACGACCAAAGGCTACTGAGCAAGATCGGGAAACCGACTTCGCCGTCTCACCCTTCAAGAAGGTCAGGCTCAGCCGAATCTACCTCTATTTCTCACCACCTCTCACTTCAGACAAGGGATTTCAGAGCGCAGCCACTGTCGACCAATGAGCTTACACCGGCCTCGTTTGACCCGATATCCAGATGGATCACAAGCCCGGCATCAGCAGGTGCTTCGCCGGGGTCCCGACCTGGTTGGCGTGATTACAACATGGATCATCGAAGTCCCTCGATAGAGAGTGCGGCTGCTTCACTGGTCCTGGACCCAGAGTTGTTCGTTCATTCTCGACCCAGCGGCTTACACTCCACCAGCGCCTCAGTCGCTGGGTTCGACGACCTGGCCAGTCTCGCAAGTCGGTCTCAAAGAGGCAGCTATGAGCACGGAATGTTCCTCGAAAGTGATATTGACATTGCCGGCGACGAGAGTGGCGGCTTTCGCAATTTACATCTAGGTGAATCTCAGCAGCAAGCGGGACGGCGATCTCCTAAACAAGGGATGAAGCGCAGGGCGCTGTCTCCTCCATCCGAGGTGGCTCGGGACGACAGATCGCCATCACGTGGCACCTCTGCGATAGAGTCGCTCCCAAAATTTCACGCAACCATGCCTGCACGATCGTCCGTGTCAAGATATCAGCCTAAGCACGGATCAGTGTCTTCGACGGCGTCTAGCGCAAGGCATAATTCCTACGCCTCTTCAATTTCGCTTTCAATTGCTGCCAGTAGCATGACCAGCATTTCATCCTTCGACAAGCAGTCACCGCTAGACCCTTCACAGGCTGCATACATAACCTCGGCCCACCCTGTCTCGAGCCCTGCCACGTCAATCACGCCAGCACGGAAGCAGCCTCCTCAACCTCCCATCGATACAAAACACCTTCATGGAAAAATGTCTATTCAAAGTGCCGTGAGCGATAGCATGTTACCACCCGTCACCCGTATCGGCAACTCTTTCATATGTGACTGTTGTCCGAAGAAGCCCAAGAAGTTTGACACGGAAGACGAGTTGAGGTAAGCACAGCAAGGCGGCTCTTTGAAAAAGCCGTCCCCGCTTTTGAAACCGTGAATCTAGCTGACTTTACTTTGACAGAGCACATCAAATGGAGAAGCAGTACTCCTGCCAATATTGTAATAATCGATTCAAGAACAAAAACGAGGCTGAGCGTCATCAAAACTCCCTTCATTTGCGCCGTTATTCATGGTCATGTGCAGCCATCGTCGACTATCGCACCATCTTCCACCCGGTACCGCCGACGCCAGCTTCGGCGGCTGGTACAGCTCAGTGCGATGCCTGTGGCTACTGTGGGGAAGAATTTACGAATATGCCCCAACCGGATTGGAATGGTCGGCTGGATCACCTCACCAGCGTTCACAAGTTCGGTGAATGTAATCAAGCAAAGAAGTTCTATCGGGCCGACCATTTTCGACAACATCTCAAGCACAGTCATGCTGGCACAAGTGGAAAGTGGACCAATATGCTAGAGACGGTTTGTTTGCGCGAAGAACTTGCTCAAGATTCTGCTGGTGTATCGCCTACTGGCAGTGAGTCGAGTCCAGGCCGAGGGCCTAGCAGTCTTCCTGATCCGCCCATGGGTGGTGCTACCATCAGTGAATCTTGCAATGAGACATGAGAGCGATCTAGTGGAATGAACGGCCGCGTCAACCCCTAAACTAAGCCGAGAGACTGTGAGGGGCCGGGTCGTGGGTTGCGAGGGCAATCCAAATACTTGCGGAAGGAACCGACGTGCAGGACTCCTAACCTGCTGCAGATAATCACAGTATGATGGTTCCGAAGCGCTAAGCTTCTTAGAGCTGCTTATCTGGGATGGTCAAAAAGTCGTCAGTGACTAACTTGTTGGCGACTACGAAAGATCAGTGGTGTTGATCCAACCCGCGGCGCATTATTTCGTTCCTCCTTCAGGGCCAAAGCATTGATTGCTCATTGTCGGATTCTGCATACGTTCGGACATTGGAGATTTACCCGACTGCCACATCAAATGTTGCAACCGCCTGTAGTGACGAGTTCGTGCAGAACGAGGTTACCACTTGAAGTCGCAATAGCTGGTCCCTGCTATGCCGGCCTGTCTACCTGATCGTCGCGTTGTCGAAGAATCAGTTTCCGGCAGCGCGGTGCACCCTGACGTCAGGATGGTCAAAGCAAAGGAGATAGTGCCAACCACTTCTTCATACTCACCGGAGTGAGGTGACATTCACGTATGACTCTGTCCACAAGCCACTTTGACACATGCATGTGGCCTGGAAGAAGTGTCCTTTCACCCATGCAAAGGGTTTCTGGATCATACTGGAGTACTACGTTACTTTCATCGCGCAGTGATGCGTTGGTAACCCGACACAGGCTGAATTGTTGAGACTACTACTTGCAGCTTAAAGTGGAAAATGTGCAGGTGAGGTGCACTCATGACCTAAGGATTGTTCATCAGTCCCGAGGGTACCTACCATCACCAAGTCAATTACCACTACTCTTATAATCTTGAGAGGCCCGGGGACAACTAGGCACAGCACGAATCACACCGCTGACAAGATGGCACTCGAAACCCCTCACCGGACGCCTTAGTGCTTACCTTCCGGCCATACGGCGCGACCATCCCACGGGCAGGTCCCTTCGCACTCGTTCACTGTTCAGACCGGCTATTTGAGATCGACCACGTTACCAAAAATGAGCAGCATGCACAAAGGACTTGACTAGGATCATGCTTGGGACTCGTCGTCTCAGCATTTATTCCCGGTCACCCCCCAAGGGGTCCAACCTCGAAGGATTCCCAATGACATACAATAATATGACGTTGCTTAAGGGCCTTGAGCCATGCTAAGATCGCTACTCCTTTTACGGAATCGATTCGGAGGCATAATTGCATCTCCACGCGATGATGCTTGTGCTCGTCAGCAGTCATACCCGTACGTTCACGGATACCGGCACGGACTAGCCCATCTGGCAGGGCCACCCGTTCAAGATCGATATGGTGTTGGAAAGCCAAGCTCAATCGAAAGTAATCGACCTACCAAGATGCAGACAGCCTCCAAGACACGTATCCTGTCGCGTTCTATGGTGGTCTGCCTTCGTCTTTTCTGCAGCTTCTGCCCGTTGAGTCTTACTATGACTCAACCTCGGTTGTGCAAGCCACAGCGTGGTACCGCTTTTGCGATGTAACTTCATGCCGGAAGGATTGAGGTCAACCATAATGTGTGAACATTGCAACACGTGTGTCGTAGTGTTCGTGCCCAGTGTTAGACAACATGAACATCTAACCCGAGGAGCCCCAACCCGACGGATTTCATGTTGCAAGGTCAGATCCAGGTCTGCTCGACAACATCGGCTTTCCCCTGATAAGAAGCCCGGATTATAGAATAGCAAACTTTACTATCATGCCTAAATCACAATCCCGCCAAAGTGACTGTACGCTTTGCTAGGAGTACGTGGAGGCAAGGGGCTAGAGAGGTGATATTGTGTAAATGAGTTTGGCCCGTAAGAGCCGTGCCATATAGTGGACGCAAGGCTCTGATCATGCGGAGAAGAAAAGGGGGCGCAGAACGGATTGAAATGACAGCACACAGACCATTGGAGTAAGCTTCCAGATTCCTGGATCTGTCTTTTGAGTAGGTGCGGTTTCGCCTCTATCCTTACAAGGCTGAAACACTACAACTGTACTGGATTCACGACGGTAAGGCAGTAAGAGAACCCACCGTCAGCTGTGAAAATTGAGCCTCTTTGATGACTCTGACGACATATCACCCCAGATTCCTGGAGTGGATTCTTGGGAAATCGCCCCTTCGCGAGAATCGCCTTATTCGGTATCCATTTCGACACCGGTTTCATACGACTCATGGCACCTTTGGTGTATGGCCTCCGATCACTACTAAGCCCTCCAGCCCAAGTTTTCGGGGACCCGAGACCATACTTGGCACGTGCTCTTGCATACTCGTAAACAGATACATCATGCCGCGAAGCTCAAGCCACTTTGGTTTTGAGTTGGACAGGATGGACGGTGTGGAGATATTCGCTGGGAGGAGAAACCATCTTCGCGAAGGATTGCTGGAGGGCCGTCGGCTGGATCTTGGAGGGTGGCTTCCCTTGCATTTTCCGATTTCCTTGCATGAGTGGTGAGTGAGAGCTGAGATCCTGACTGACTGGATGAAGCAAATTATACTGTACCCTGTTCCCAGGAGGAGGTAGGATATCGTACAAGCATCTTGGTGTTGAAGCGAAGGAGTCGTTGCCGCGAGGGGCAGGCCTCATGCAGTTTGACGCAGGGACAATTGATGGGTGTAATCACATCGATTCAGTCGGGGACCAGATTAGTATGTTTGACTAACCCGCTGAGAGATGGTTAGTGATCAAGTTGATCAGAGACATGCCTTGGACGATTCGTGGTCTGAAGGATGGCACTATTGCACGTCTGTCGCCTGGCCTGCGCGTTCATTCCGTAAAGCACATGTTACGTCTTTGCTTGTGCATTGCCGAAGAAGAAGAAGGAAATGACAGGCTGTGTCGTCAGTCGTTGACACGCAGCGAAGGCAACAAGGCTTTGTTATTTGGGTCATGGCCAAAGCTGATATTGCGAGGCAAGGCTGAGGAGTCCTGACCTATCACGAAAGTCGTATTCGGGGGCCATGACCTTGGGCAACTTGAGCCTGAGATCAGAGCTCTGACTGCTTGATCCAGCAACAGCTGCGCGATGATGCATGTCAACTCTGCCATATCAGATGTAGCTCTCCCGGCTCGAGAACATCGCCTCCAGGGGGTCCATGCCTTGATGTCATTCAAGCCAACTTCGTACCATGGCGTTCTTGACCTCGTTTATGTTTCCAGAAAGGGAAATCGACCGGGCGAGACTGATTGCGCGCCTCCAAATGCATTGTGTGCACATCCCGTCTTGTACAGGGTCTCAGTGGTGAGTGAGAGGTGCTGATCAGCGGAATTGCAAATGCGACACGCTTTTTGATCCCCAGATTCCAGGACTGGTAGCTTCTTGCGCTCAGGCCCCCTTCGACAAAATATTAATGAAGTGCTGCTGCTCTTTCCAAAGGCCAAAATGGACGATTTGCGTTACGCACGAGACTCGGAGAGCCTGGAATGACAGATCATTGCCGTACGAGGAACAATAAACGAGTCCGCTTGAATAGTATCTACACAAAAGCATAGTTCCCCGAACACAACCTGTGAAGCCTGTCTTGAAGGTCTTGGCCGCTCGTCGGTTCTGAAATAAAGACGAACAGGACGAAGGAGAGCGGAAAGGCACCGCTCCCGTTGGACCACCCGGGAATCCAAGGCTCGTATAGTGGTACAGTAGCAAGCTTGCCTATGCAGACATACCATCGCGTAATCTCAAGCCGTTCGTGCGGCATGCAGGTAGACGAGGTCGTTTCCTGAAGGGGGCTCTAGAACGAATACCCTAGTCCTGATGGCCAATCTCAACCCATTCTTTTGCGAGGACGATGCCGGATGACTGCAAATTTTACCTCGAGAAGAATACCTAGGACGGCATGGCTTGGTACTGCTGAACGAGCCGGCTCGTTTGCAGTCCGATCGATATCCATGCCGTAACGCTGTCGCTTCCCTTTCAGTCGCGAGATGTCGATTCCAAGTAGCGTGCTGGCCTAACGTAGGCATGAGCGCTCCGGCTCCTGCGGAAGAGGACGCCTGGGCGGTGATGGCACGCCTGAACTACCACGGAGGGTTTTCCAAGCGAGCCTTTCCAAATCAAGAACGGCTTGAAATGTAGTAGGGTATGTTGGCCGCTGAATGTCTGCGAGACGGTCACCCGTTGGGGAGGGGGAGAGGAGTTGAGCGCAGGGATAATAGACGAAACAGTGGTATCATGATGTGTGTGCTTGAGCATCGAAGCGACGAGTTGCGCGGGTGTGCTGCCGAATTGTCTGCGCCTGTCAGGTCACTGCAGACGTTTAGCTGGCACCCGCAATTGCCCCGGACTTTCTAGCCTGCTGATTTACCTGCATCCTGACAACAAGACTGGAGAAAGAACCCGTAGCGATGTTTAGGCTATGCCCATACGTCCTGTACCTTCCGCACCACGAAAGAATGGATTGATGACAAGCCAAACTGCCATCCACGTAGAACGCAACCCCAAAGCTGGTGACATGATATCAGACTTTGCTGATGAAAAGACTCCTACATACTGGAACAGCCATGGACCTTCGTCTGCACCTCGCCTCGAAATGAATGTGATTTGACAGGCAGTTCGACAGGGAAAGTCCTCCCGCCGAAAGCTGCTCGAGAAGAACGGAAGTTATTGAAGTAGAAACCTCAACCGAAAGCTCTTTCCGTCTGACGTAGTCTCTGTGAGGTTATGGTTGAATGTTTTGCGTCAGACAGGAAATGCCTTCGATGTCACACACCGACACTCACTCACCAACCATTGAGGTACTAAACCAAAAATGCATGAATGATATTCAGCCTTGCAATCTTCTTACACTATACCAGCCTTGAGTCGTTCCCACCAGCAACAAGATGCAGATTGCCGCTTTTCTATCGGATCTCAAATCATTGAGCGTTTGTGTAAGTTTAAAATCAAGTCATCACGATACGAAGGCTTTGCTGACCGCCTTGTCCTAGTCCTACGATGCCGCGATTGCTTTGGTGAAACCAGCGAACAACACATTCCGTACATCTGGTGAGCCATCAGAGCAATCCAGCAATGGCAAAGTGCCATTAGTAAATCAGCCAGCATCAAAAATAGCAGATTCGGATCCAGATCTTCAGCGAGCGAATGAGCTCGTCTCTTTGCATTATGATGTCAAAGTCAAATATCTCCAGAATGGACCTGATCCGGAACTCTTACAAGCTCGAAAGGAAGTTGCAGAGGTTCTATACGCCCTAGACAGAGCTTGATTAAGGGCTACAAAGAACGCACATCTAGGCAGCTGGTTTGTACAATAACGATGGATTTGTGGGAACAATATCTCAACTCGTTAAGGATGTATCAACCTCCCTTGCCTCCTTGGATATTAGACCAAGCCATCTCAGTCGATAGAGCACGACGGGTTGATGCAGTCTCGACGTTCCTTTGACTCTCACATATCAAGCACCTCCAGCTGAACCGGTGCGTCCCGAGCCCGTCGATCAATGGAGGCATTCACATTGGACCGTTGCCACCTTGGCCGATGCGGCTGCATGTCTTTGTACGACACTCATGTCTGGCCTGTCACATTTGAGTTCCAGTCGGTGAAACCGATGGAGACATGCGGTCTTAGTAGGCCCATGACAACTCGGACATCTTTCGAGTCCTTCAGCTCGTGCATGAACTCTGGCGACGACGACTTTTCTATCCAGCTGCCTTTGCCGAGCATCTCGCCTGCGCTCATCTCGCATTGGTGAGGCTGACGGAAGATCACTTGCGCCGTCTAGAGACTGAGGAGTAGCTGCAACGCTAGAGTTGACTCGGTTGAGCCGTGGATGGACATCATTGGCCAGCTCTCGGCCCAGCATGATCTTGAGAACGCTCTTCCGGATAACAATCTTTCTGGCTTTGCGTAACATTCTCTTCCGTCTGCTACGCTTCCTAGATTTTGGCGACCATCTCTCACCGGGCTCTTCACCCGGACCCCCATTAGGCTCTTCACCGGGGACCCCAGTGCGCTCTTCACCCGGGCCCCCATTGGACTCTTCTCTCGGACCCTCGTTGGGTTCTTCGACCGGGCCCTGTGTGGTTGAGGCATCGTTGGGGCGATCAGCAATGCTGTTTGTCGGAGCATCCACTGGGCCGTTTCTGAGTAGCGCTCCTGCAGCTGTGATGCTGTCAATCGCTTCCGGAGAGATTGTCGTGGCTCCTGCAGGAGACTGTGCTAGAGACTGCACAGGGGTGGCCGGGACTTCGTCGCTGTTGACGGCCGACGTTTCGAAAGAAGGTGGCATGATTGTTCCGCTCGGTCTATGCACTCTGATATGCGGTACACCTAGAGGCCCTAGAGACTCAATGTTTGGCAGGATGTTCGCAATCTGGGTTCGAGCGCTATCCGGATCTGATGTGAGGTCTGCTGGAGTGGCCGTTACATCTGTGGTGGCAGGTTCGGTCAATTTGGGAAAAGGTGCCTCGTCCTCCGCCCCAGTGGAGGCTTTCCTTCCTTTGATTGCAATGACTGTGATTGTCTCGTCGGAATGAGCATTCTGTTCAGGATCGGCGAACGCGCCACGTTCCTCAGGCTGTGTTTGATCCACATACATTTCAGGCTGTGCTTGATCAACATCCATCACCAATTCCTTGAAATGTTCGTGCGTAGGTGTAAAGACTTGTCCATGTGCCATGATTTCCGAACTTCTGGGGGCAGGAATACTAGCTTCGGAGACGTTGAGGCGACCCCTGCTAATCCTTGCAAGGAAGGGCAGTATCAACCCGGAAGAGACATCTTGACTTTCGCTGTCTCGCGTTGTCGTATCAGTAGACTGTCCAGAGACTGTTGCTCGACGCTGCGTCCGCCGAGGCCGGGGAGTGGCGCCGGTGTTGCTACCAGCCTCACTACCCTCTTCCACAATGGTGCTTGACATTTGCGCGTCGAACGAGCCGGCAGCATGGATGGTTGCCACGATCGGGAGCTGGATATCCTCAGGAATGGGGATTGAAATAGATTGGTAAGATGTCCTAATACTGATCTGTGGCTTTTCCGAATCAGAGTATGGAGCAGGTCGTTTGGCAGTCTCTGAGGGTGCAGTAGAGGCACTAGTGAGTTCATCGGCAAGAGGCTGTTCGAGTTTCCGAAAGTCTTCAGCGCGATGAGATTGCTTAGGGGCAAAAGCTTCAGAATGGTAGTCTGGATTCGATTGTTTATGAGAGGCGAGAGCGGTGGTGTATCTTCTCTGCAGGGATAAAGATGGATTCGTAAAGGGGCGGTCCAGCTGAGCTGTAGGGGTCCTACTCAGCCTTTCCTTCTGCATTTAGTCAGCCCCAGGATCCTAAGTCTCTTGAAGAGGTGTACCTACCGTCTCAAAGAGATCGACGAGGGCAACGACTGAAACCTTGCGAGGTGCAACGGAGGACGACAGGCTAAAGAAACGTTGAGCTGGTTCGATGCTTGGATGGCTTTGATGCTTGTTGTGCGTGCCTCAAGGAGAGTATGTGGCGGTGTCTTGCGGGTCCCAGGCCTGTCAGAGATGAGCAAAGATTCCTCCTGTAGCAGACAGACTCATGCCAATCTTGTGGAGGCTTTAGGTCGAATTTGCGGTCTAGAGAAGAGAAAGAATTCGGCAAATCCTGGGGGCATCGGCAGGCAAGATGGTCAGGGAGAGGCCGGCCCAAGTCGACTGAGTAAGGATTGTTGCGTCTATCTGATGAGCCACATCGACACTGTATGCTGGATAATGACGTTAGGCAAAAGGGGATTAAGACAATACGGAAAGTGGACGAGAAGGCTTGAACGAGAAGAAGGGATCATTAAGGCAATGCAAGTCAGCATCAACGAGCAGTAGCACAGGTGCTCTTGCTGTATTCAAATGAGACGCAGGTGCAAAGCATGATGCCCGGGAGCACTTCAAGGTCACGAAACTCGAAGCAGTACATTAAGCTGCTTTCTGAGTATCTTTTTCCAACTCAAAGCAATCGCAAAAAGCCCACGGTGAGGATAAACAAGAGAAAGGCATTATTATTTGTTGTTGATATTGACGTCGATATTGTTCTTATCTCGCTTTACTTTCCGCATTTTGACTTTCTTCATGTTGTGCCTGCGGAGTTGCAACTTTTTCTCCAGCCGCAGCGCAGCGCAGCGCAGTACAACACTAAAAACCTGGGGTGCCCATACAAATTTCTGTGGCCTCCGAAGACATGGCGACCGCTGTTGATCAGAAGCTGCTGCGGCAGACCAAGTTCCCTCCCGAGTTCAGCCAGAAGGTCGATATGAAAAAGGTCAATATTGAGGTTATGAAAAAGTGAGTCCGATGTGCCCAGTCGGCCGCGCTTGACGGACATCAGATTACTGACCCGGATCTCCAGATGGATTGCAGGCAAGATCTCAGACGTTCTTGGCTCTGAAGATGACGTTGTTATCGAACTCTGCTTCAATCTGCTCGAGGGTTCGCGCTTCGTACGTTGGCCTGCTTCAAAGCCTGATGACTGGACTGACCATTGCAGCCCGACATCAAAGCGCTACAGATCTCGCTTACCGGATTTCTTGACAAGGATACTCCTAAGTTTTGCAAAGATCTATGGAATCTATGCCTAAGCGCCCAAAGTAACCCACAAGGCGTCCCCAAAGAGCTGTTGGAAGCCAAGAAGCTGGAACTGATTCAAGAGAAGGTGAGCTGCCTGCCAGGACCTGGCCGCTCATATGCTGATTTGCACCAGATCGATGCGGAAAAAGCCGCAGCTGAGGTCCAGCAACGTAAGGACCACGAACAAACTCGCGAGAGAGATGTCGATACGATCCGCCAACGAGAACGAGCAGAGCGTGGCCGAGGACGAGGAGGGCGTGGCAGGGGTGGTCGAGACTTTGGTGGTCGAGACTTTGACTCCCGCAGACCGCGATTCTCGAGATCTCCACCACCTCGCAGACGCTCCCCTTTCAGAGGAGGTCCTCCTCGTCGCGACGCTGATACCTATGTTCCAGGTGGTCGTGGCCGAGGGAGAGATTTTGGGCGTGGACGGTCTCCGACAAGGTCCATTTCGAGATCTGCTTCCCGATCACCTTCTCCACGCCGACCGCGACGCGATGCTTCCCCACCGAGATCCAAATCAGTGTCTCATTCACGGAGTCGCTCACCGCCGAGGCGCAGGCGGCCGCTTTCAAGGAGCAGGAGCAGAAGCAGGACGGACTCACCCCCAGCCAAGCAGGCAAGGAGGCCAAGAAGGGACTCGGGTTCAAGCGGTGAAAGACGCGCACGATCCGAAACACGTTCTGATCTATCACGCTCACCTCCGCCTAGAAGACGCCGCAGAAGTCGTTCATTCTCCTCCGTCAGCCGGAGCCCGAGTCCTCGCCGCCGCAGGGACCGTCGAGATCGATCTTATTCGTCCTCATTATCAAGATCCAGGTCAAGGTCGCCAAAGAAGAGACGGGATTATGGAAGAGATGTTAGACGTCATGAGAGATCTCCCTCTTACTCTTCTGATAACCGAGGAAGCAACAAGCGAGCTGATGTTCTCAAAGGTCGCAATGCACGCGATGATCGCCGTCTGAGTCGCAGCCCGAGTCCACCAAGTCAGCGACGTAGACGCAGTATGAGTCACAGCAGAAGCCCCGGTCGACGACGACAGCCTCATAAGCGAAGACGCTCGCTCCGCCGTTATGAGCCGGCTGCGCGCAGACGCCGCAACACTTCCTCCGTCTCGTCACCCGAACAAAAGAGGCGCAAACGCGATGGCTCAGAAGATACTCCCATGGAAAATCCTGCTAACGGCCATCATAAGAGTGATACGGAGTGAGACAGACTTTGCCTCTGAACAAACATTGTGAAATTCGAACCATTATGAGGGCAGGAATTCCTCCAGCGGCTACTGCTGCCTCGCAGACTCTACGCGGCTCCATAATCAACCGTCATGGCCTTGTGGACAGTATGACCGGATGGGCTGCGATGACAAGCTTCTACCGTGCCAACGCAGCTTCTTTCAGGTTTGAGCTCCATGCACGCCGGTCTCCGAGAGCATTGTCACCAGGTCGGTTTGCATCAGAGACATGCAAATGTCATGACATAAAAATGAGTGCTGAAGCATTCTCATTGCCGATTATGAGCACATTTGCGGGTGTCCGTGCGGTGAGCCTCAGCCGGGGACTCCTCCGCTCCGCATCTGTCATTTTTGTTGTGACGGTCAGGTCCCAAGCCAATAGTTGATTTCATAGTTGCTACAAAAATCACGTGACCATGATTCCCCTTGCGGTTGCGTCTTTCCAGGCTTCTCTTTGCGCTCCCATGATCTCCTCGAACTCCGTCTCATACAGTAATTCAAACATTCTAATACCATCATTTTGAAACCTTGGAGACCGTTGGACTTACTCTCTATACATCGTCCGGTGTTCCTTTCGATCTCGCTCCTTGTCGAAAATAGACTCTCGCCCTTGTTTGCTTTCCGTTCGCCTCCGCAAGCCGTCATGAGTTCAGGTTCCAGACTGGTCAGCAATGCTGCCACCAGGAGACTCCTGCTGCAGGGTATGTGTGGCCATTGCGGTTTACGAGTAATGCGCTGATGAAGGACAGGCCAGCATCGTCTTTCACACTCTCCTCTCTTGTCCGCTTATTCCTCTCGATCCAAGTTCACTCGAGATCTACCTCCAAAAGTACAAGCGCTGGCCATTCTTTTGCCACAGAGAAACTATGCTACCGAAACCTCCACTCATGGTTCAGACAACGGACCGCCCCCTGGCTTCAATATCGATGAGGCCAAGAAGCCGCTACCCAAGGAGGGGCAGAAGACGACATCGGCAAATCCCACGGTCGCTGAATTGAAGAAGTCCGACGAACAGCTCAAAACTCCCAAAACAGGGGCGACCATGCATCCTAAGACCGAAGCGCTCGACAGAGCCAGCTTGACCGAGTTAGCTGCTGGCAAGAGCGCCGCTGAAACCCAACAAGCCGAGTCTAAGGCCGTCGCGAGCAAGAAGGAAGAGTCCAAGAAATTGACGCTTGGACAGAAAATAAAGAAGGAAATCTTGCACTATTGGGATGGGACCAAGTTGTTGGCTTCCGAAGTCAGAATATCTACAAAACTGGCTCTGAAGATGGCTAGTGGGTATGAGCTCAGCAGGCGTGAAAACCGACAGGTGAGATACTTTGCACTCCGTGGCATTGCTTCCCGGTTGCTAACACACTCACAGCTTCAAAGAACAGTTCAGGACTTGGGTCGATTGGTGCCTTTCTCAGTTTTTGTCATCGTGCCTTTCGCCGAACTGCTCTTGCCAGTCGCTCTTAAACTCTTCCCGAATATGCTTCCATCCACCTACGAGGGTCAGAAGTCCCGCGAATCGAAAGCGGCATCTCTTCGGGAATCTCGGAAGCAAGTTTCCTCCTTCCTTCGAAATACCCTTCGAGAGACCGGTCTCCCTGTCTCCGCCATTAATGCAAAGAAAGAGGAATTCACGGAGTTCTTCCGGAAAGTCCGCGCCACGGGAGAGGCCCCGTCAAAGGAGGATGTCATCAAAGTGTGCAAAATCTTCAAGGACGACTTGACCCTAGACAATCTCTCCAGACCGCAGCTGGTGGGAATGTGCAAGTACATGAACTTGAACACTTTCGGCACGGATGCCATGCTGCGGTATCAGATTCGCCACCGCATGCGACAGATCAAACGTGACGACAAGGCCATTTCATATGAAGGAGTCGATTCACTATCAGTTCCCGAGTTGCAGATGGCCTGTGCATCACGAGGCCTGCGCACCCATGGTATGTCGCCAGGAAAGCTGCGAGAAGACCTGCAAATGTGGCTGGACCTACGTCTGAAATACAACATTCCCTCGACCTTGCTTGTGCTCAGCAATGCTTATATGTACACCACCGGCAAAGACAGCGAGATTGACACTCAGATTGACGCCCTCCAAGCTGTACTGAGCAGCATCCCGGAGGAGTTGTTCCACGAGATCGAACTTGAAGTCCACAACGCCGAGGGCGCCGCGACAAACAAGCAGCGTCTCGAAGTGCTCAAGGAGCAACAAGAACTCATCGAGGAAGAAAACGAGCAAGCCGAGTCGAGCAAGACAGAAGACAGCAAAGTTGCGAACAAGGGCGTGAAAGACGACAAGGACATTGATGAAAAGCCCAAGGCAAAGCCTGATGCTGAGGCTGCCGAATCCTCCTCTGCTAATGAGGCCAAAGAGGCCGAAGCGGACGCCACCGAACAGGGCAAGCAGGAGCCTGCAAGAAAAGAAGAGGAAGTCAAGAAGGACTGATTGCACCACTGATCCTCGACACTCTTTGTCGCCTTCGGAAATTGTACCCCTTTTCGACTTTTGCATGTCCTGAATACCCATTCTATGACATTGGTGCGAAGGCTGTGGGCGCTTGGATCTGGAAATACACTCTATAGACCGAATCCGCAGATTTACATTATGGCCCAGTACGTGAACAGATCACGGAACGGCAAGATTTTTAGGACTGCCCTGTGTAGCCTGCAAGTTGGAAAGGCTGGAAAAAGGCCTCCAACATGAAAAAGAAAAAAGGGAATGTGCCTGATAACGAATCTTATTTGTACCATTTCTTCTAGGTACATGTTCCAGACAGGAATAGAAACTCTACTTTGACAATGGGATTCGGAATCGGTAATACAATCATGTTCACATGTGTATCTTTGTCCACACCTGCATAGAGACACTGAGATGCACCCGCTCATATCAAGCACAGTATCGTACGAAGCTCGTCATGTCAAACATGGACCTTACCGCGGAAAAAAGCACAGATTTTCCAACGCTAACATCAGGCTCATCCCACATAAGCTGCATTATACAATGTCGAATAGGGAGTAGAAAAGAAAAAACAGCCGTACAGCGTACGATCACGAGTACTTGCGCAGCTGTATAGGAGTTAGCCACGTAACACAACAAGCGAGCATAGGTGAAAACATACATCCAGCGTCAAGACTTTGGAGCTGTTCGCGCCTTGGTCCCTGTACACTCCGACCAACGCCTCGCTGCCCTGGAAGAAGCCTGTCTTCAAACTGATAACGATGAACTGCATTCCAGGACCCTATGTTTCAACAGTCGTTAGACGATTTCTCTCAGGAGAGAACGAGGAACATGACCAACTTACAGCATGATTCCGCACATAATTGACCAGCTTGCCGACGTTTGCATTGTCCAGCGCCGCATCCACCTCATCGAGCACGAAGAACGGACTGGGCTGGTAACTGTGGATGGCAAATAAAAGAGCCAACGCAGCCATGGTCTTCTCCCCTCCGGAAAGATGTTCCATATCTCTAAACCGCTTGGTCGGCGGCATGGTGTGATAATTCACACCAGCGAGGTACGGTTCCTCTTCGTCGGCGGTCAGGTATGCTCGGCCACCAGCTGGGAACTCTTCCGACTTCGTGAGGTTCGAGTAGATAGGTTCGATCTGCTCCGAAATATGCGAGAAGGCCTTGTTGAACAATTCGTTGCGCTTTTCCATAGTTTCCTCAAATTGCGCTTTGGTTCCGCGGTATTTGTTTCGTGAATCCTCATATTCTTGCTCGGTGTCACGGGCACGACCTTCGACAGTTGCCAAACGTTGCGCAGCGTGGGCATTAGGCTGCATCTTGTCCAGGGCCGCATTCAGCTTGGTGATATCATCCAGTAGTTTGGCTTCCGTATCGTCATTATCTTCATCCTTCAGGTCATCATCAAGAGCATCAAAATCTGGTTCGATGCCGTAGTCTGCAACATTGTATGCCTTCAGGGCCGAAGACGTTGGGTCGTCCTCGTCCACGTCCATGGTATCAGCATCTTCAAGAGGTAGATCGTTGATCGGAACACTGTCCAGGCTTGCGGATCCTTCTTCCAATGGAATGGCAATGTTCTCGATCTTGCAACGACGAAGGAGGCTGTATCTTGATGAAGAGTGCCGCTGCATTTCACCTTCTAGGGCACTGATGGCTCTGAACGTGCTTTCCATTTCCTTACTTCGCTTTTGGACCTCTTGTTTCTGCTTTGCTAGGGTTTCCGCAGCTTGGGCTAGAATCTCTTTCTGCTGATCCAGTTCTGCGTGGAGCTCATCCAAATCGCCTTTCAATGTATCGAGGTCATTCTGGATTCCCTGCCGCTGCTCGTTGAGGTCATCTATGGTCTCCTTGTCGCGCTGCTCTCGATCCCGGAGGGCTGCAAGTCGGTCATCTGTGGATTGGAGTCTGGACCTTTCGAAACTGAGTTGACCTTCAATCCTGCCCCTTTGAGTCACAAACTCGAGCTTCTTCTGTGCAGCCTCTTGCTGGAGCGAACCTTGTCGAGCTTCGTAGTCCCGGATGTCGTCAAACCCATGCTGTTGGCAGAAATCGGCAAAGACCTCGTTTTCGACATTGTTGACGGACTCTTGATAATCTGAGATGTCTTCGTCGAGTTTCTCCAATTTGCGCAGCTCAGCCTGCATCTTTGGGCGCTCATCATTCAGCTGTTGCTTGACGTGGTCGATTTCTCGCTTCTTGCTCTGAAGATTCTTGGTGAGGGCGTCAAGTTCCTCCTTGGCGTAGCGAAGTCTGCTCTCAAGGCCGCTCAGCTCGGTCTGTAGATTTTGCTCCTCGGCCACACGCGATCTCTCCTGTGGCAAGGCGACAAACTCCTCCATCAGTTTATCTTTGAGCTTGTTCAGCCTCTCAACTTCAGCGTCGTCCCATCTGCGAGTATTTTGTTCTCTGCCACGCCCACCAGTCATGAGACCACCTTTGTGAATAACGCTGCCGTCCAAAGTCACCGCTTTGGCGTCGACATGGCGGTTATAACATAAGTCCTTTGCTATGGCGAGGTCATCGCAGACAATGGAGTTGCCGCAGGCATAAGAGATGGCGCGGGCGACTGACTGGTCGTAATCGACCGTCTCGATTGCAGGTCTCATGCCCTTATGCATGCCTTTGAGGTTAGAGTTGAGCGCCTTCACCTGTATAGTATCAAGAGGGATGAATGTGGCCTGTCCTGATCGGTGATCTCGCAGGTACTCAATACATTGCTTAGCTGTCGCTTCGGTATCCACAACAACAGCATCGAAGTGCCGCCCCAGAACAGTGCTGACGGCTTCCTGGTATTTCTTCTGTTTTGGCTTGCATAATTCATGGACGCGGCCTTTGACACCCGGGTACGTACGCTTGAGCATGGCAATGGTCTCCTTCATCCTTGACTCCTTCTCCGTCGTTCGACGGCCATCATCCGCCTCAAGAAGCTTCCTAGCAACTTCGGCCAACTTTTCGTCGAGCTCTGTTCGCGTGCGGGCTGCTTGTAGCCTCTTCGAGGTGGCGTTATGCAAGTCTTTCTTCTTTCCGTCGATCTCAGATTGTGTCGTCTGGGCGACCTCTTTAAGAGCATCTCTACGCTCATTGACGGCGCCGTATTCATTCTCAAGTGATTGCAGCTTGTACTCAGTGCTGTCTACACTGTTTTTGAGGTTATTGTACGTTGCCTCGATGGGTGCTCGATCATTCTTTAGTCTCTCAACTCGACTCAAATCGGCCGATGCGCGTTTGTTGAGCTCCTCGCGAAGACGCGTATATTGTTGGAGATCTGCATCACTCAATTGTCCACCTAGGCGGTTGGCGTTTTGTTCCCATTGTTTCTGCCACTGAGCTTGCGCTTTCTCGACTGTGGCTAGATCCTTCTCGAGTTGGCTGACTGTTGCAGCTTGCGATCCACGCTCTTTGACTATTGAGTTCACTCGGTTGGCATACTTGGTGAGCTGCTGGTTAGATACGGAGATTTGCTCATCAATGGGTACCAGAGACGAGGACTTGTCTTCAATCTCCTTCTCCTTGGCCTTGATGGCTTTCTCCGCTTTGCCGACACCTCGCGCCACTTGTGCGTGCTCCTTCTTCGCAGCGTCGAGATTGCGCTCGTACTTCTCGATACCTCGACGAAACTCTTTCAGATCGTTTTGGTGCTTTTGTATCTCGGCGCTGGACTCTTCGATTTGACGTTGGAGATGGTACAACTTCCACAGCACGTGAGTCACTATTGCCTGATCTCGTTCAGCCGCCTTCTTCTGGAAATTGTCTGCTTCTTTCTTCTGTTCCTGGTACTGTCGGATCTCAGAATTGATGCCGCGACGACGATGGAGTTGAAATGCTTGTGTCTCTGCGGCCGCGTCCAGCTCTGCCTTCAGTTGGTCGTACTCGGCCTTGTATTCAAGACTGCCGGAGACTTGTTCGATGAGTCTGGTCAAATCCTGAGGCTTCTGGATCGCAATGGCTTCAACGTCACCCTGAAAGACCAGAAAGTTGCGGGCTTTGATTAGAATGTTTTCCTCCTCTAGTGATTCGTTGTATTGTTGCGCGGTCACTACGCGCTCGTTGATACGATACTCCGAGACACCTTGATTGGTGATAGTACGTTTCCACTTTTGTTCTCTTCCCGCGTCATCTTCGTAGACTGCCATGACCCAGGCCGATTTGGGATCGTTGCGTTCCTGTGTGCCATTGACCTGGCTGCCATCTTCTTCGTCATGTCCATTTGCTCCATTTGTCTGGGTCTCGCCATTCGCGGTAGACTTCTTCAAGACTCTCCCACGATAGACCAGTTCTCGGAGGTGAGTGGACCGTATGTGAGAGGATTTGATTCCGAGCACGAAAGAGATGGCGTCCATGGAGTTTGATTTGCCGGAGCCATTGGGCCCGATGATGGACGTGAAGTAGGCATCACCGAAGAGTAGGATATGGTGCCCCTTGTAGGACTTGAAATTGAACAGCTCAAGTCGAATGAGTTTGCCCATCGTGAGTGTGTGCGGCGCGGGGTTGAAGGAGTAGGAGGTTCGTATTCGAGAGGAGTAGTCAAAGCTATTGCAGCGCAAACATTGGAGGCAGTAGGGGAGGAGACTATCCGCAGAGAGACTGGCCGATTACCACCTCGTCCTTGGATGGACGTTCGATTCGACGGAGTCGCACTTGGGCTTTGCTCGGGCTGAATTGTACAGATACGCGAGAATTGAAGAGAGACGCGGTGCGCGTTTCTCGGAGAAAGGAGGATTACATAATATACCGACTAGTCTGATCTAGGCAAGACGTGTATATCTCCGGACATCAATATCAATGCATAGAGGGCACATCAATTCTCTCAAACTTCAGCAGCTTTCCACTGGGAAATGGGATCAGCTATTGCTGGTCCAGATGCATAAAAAGCATATTCAATGAGTGCGTATGTGGGATTCCAGGCGCTGAGCCTACAGTGGTTGTATTCCACTCGGGCTCTTTGACTTGATGATCACACAGATCATGCTGATTCCCATTCGTAATCTGAGAACAAAGGGACTTCTTGTTTGGCCCAATATGTCACGAGATCGCGAGAGATCAAAAACTGCAAAAACAACGCGAAGCGCGTGTTGATCGATGGGGCGAAAGAAAGGCCACAGCCGCCTGCATGGAGGCTGTAGGCTGTAGGCTGTAGACTGAAAGTAAATAAGGGGTCTAGGGGACCATGTGACGTAGGGATGAAATCTGTCTCCTTTTCTGCCTATCAACACGCTTTATGCTTGCACATGCATCAACTCTCATGCCTCCAACCTTCTTGCAAAAGTCCGTATTAGTTATTGTCCATACCTCACTTTCCCGCTCCAGAACCAGAAACATGTCTTCAGCATGACCTCGCCTGTCGTGGGTCAGTTGGCACGTGCCGAGTATCCTGCATTTGTACACCTAATCTGAGATTCTATGAGTGGATGGAAGTCCCGCAGTCCCAGATTCCTACAAATATCCAAAAGTCGCGATCATCCTGACCTTCTCTTTCTCTCCCACCTCTCATCACGAAATCAGACCGCCAGTGGAGTCGGCGAGAACGTCCGACATGTCGCACCCTATACCGATTCCTGGCCGGAAGTCAGAGCCCGGCTATCTTGATGAAGCCGCGGCGGCTGATCTCCCAGCCAGCGTTGGAAGCTTCGGAAGCAACACAGATGGGGGGGCTATGACGCCCGGCTGGCAGTCTTCCACGCCGGGAAGCCCTTATCTGTTGTCTAGGAACTCATCATATATCGGAAGCCAGTCGCTACAGGAAGACTGGGACATCCCCCTCGACAAGCTCACATTCTTCGACATTTTCGACAACCTTGCACTACCCTCCAAACTGGAAAGATGGCAGGCCACCATCTCGGCCCAGAAAGACAAGATAGCCAAACAACAAGAGAGAATACGTTCATCAGGCAACACTGCCAAAGACCGCGCCATGGCCGAGTGGCGCAAACGCGTCCCCACGGCCGACGAACAGCTGGCCAAATATCGGTCGCGGATGAAGAAATCTGTTGATGGACTCAACAAGAGGTGGAATGACACTGTCACCATCACCATCCGCGAGAAGGTGTCCTTTATCTCCGCCGTCCTCAATGTCTTTTTGAGTGGCTACCTGATAGGCGCTGCGCCAGAGTACTTTTACTACTGGTTCACGGCGCAATTGGCATACTTTATGCCCATCAGGTTGATCACCTACCGACAGAAAGGCTACCACTACTTCCTCGCCGACTTATGCTACTTTGTCAACTTCCTCTGTCTACTCACTGTATGGGGTTTCCCTCGATCGAAGCGTCTCTTCATCAGCACCTACTGTCTCGCGTATGGCAACAACGCAGTCGCCATCGTCATGTGGCGGAATTCACTGGTTTTCCACTCCCTCGACAAAGTCACCAGTCTTTTCATTCACGTCATGCCGCCAGTGGCCCTTCACTGCATGGTCCACTTATCATCCAGAGAGTTCCTCCAGGAGCGCTTCCCTGCAGTCTATACCATCAAATACAGCAGCTACGGATCACCAGAGCACTACAGTCTGTGGGCCATGCTCGTCTGGGCAACGTTTCCCTATGCGGTATGGCAGCTTTCGTACCATTTCTTCATCACGGTGCGAAGACGCGAGAAGATTGCAGCAGGCCGTCCCACGTCCTTCACCTGGCTCCGTAAATCGTACGCCAATACCTGGATCGGCAAATTCGTCATCTCGCTTCCAAACCCGCTCCAAGAGCCGGCGTTCATGCTGATCCAGTACTCCTACGCTCTTCTCACCATCATACCCTGCCCGTTATGGTTCTGGTACAGGTGGGCTAGTGCGACTTTCCTGCTAGTCGTTTTCGGGTGGAGCGTGTGGAACGGCGCCAACTACTACATGGACGTCTTTGGCAAGAGGTTCCAGAAGGAACTCGAACAAGTCAAGCGTGACGTGGCCAAGTGGCAAAACAGTCCTGGGGCTTTTCTCAGTCCGCCGAATGGCCCTGTCGACGGGGATGTGGGCAAGGACGACGATAAGTCAAATAGCGGCCACGAGAAGAGGAGGAGCATTGACTCGATTCCGCTGCTGGATGAGACACATCAGAACGGCAAGGCCGAAATGGGAGCACGCGCGACGGGAGCAGAGCTACTCGATGATGGCCTGTCAAGCGTTTCGGATCGCAAGCCGCTAGCCTCATCACCTTAGCGCTACGTGAGGTGATCTAGCAATGTGCCTAGACCCCAAAGATATTGATGAGAATATGACACCACCACCGAAGTGTACTCTAATCTGGGTTGTTGTTCTGTTTCCAATTCGTTATACTGTCTGGCGTTAAGGTGCCACTGCGGTGCTGCTTTCATAAGATTGGATACCCTTTATTTCTTACGCTGTATCGCGTTTGCATCTTGAGTGGGGAGGTGCCTTGTCATTCTGTGCGAGCGAAGCATTAGCACAAAGAGGGGGGAGCACGGCAGGGGATCAGCCTTTTTTCAACAAGTTGCGGGAGGAATCGATAGATGAATATAATGACAGCATTCTGTAGTATGAAATTGTCCGATTCACAACAACATCTATCATCATCAACTCATGAGAACGCCGTGTGTCATTAGTCAGATCCTGAGGTATCTACCCTGTCTTCCCCGAATCCTGCTCAGGCTCCGACGCAGACTCACCCTGCGGCTCGCACTTGCACGCCTCCATCCACACTTCTCTCCCCACACCCTCGCATTCGGGCCCATCGAACCACAGAAAGCGGGTGATGATATCGCGCACAGCCGGCCACGACGCAGGTCGACAACGTATCGGCGAGTGTGTCGTCAACACGTCCATGAACCAGCCTCTGACAGGCTCTCCCTTGTTAGCGACCGACCCGCCCAGCATCGTCGCCCAGAGCAGGAGACTGGGGTTTTCGTCCCAGAAACCCATGGCCGCGCACACCTTCAGCGTCGATCTGATCTGCTTGCTGAGATTTGCGTGCAAGCCGGCGACGCGTGGCATGGGAAACAACACCAGCAGGGTATATGCTAATGTCGAGAGGCGGACGAGGCTGTGCAGGGCTTGCAGCACCTGTGTCTCAATCTCGGGCTGCTCCTGTGAGTCATCAGGCGCGAAGCGGTTGTCTAGCGAGAGAAGGTCGTGCGTTGCGGAGTTTCGTGCCCACAAGATCTTCACCAGCGACGGCGCATCCGGCTGTTGTGACAGGTACATATCGTATCCGATCGTAATCAGACGGACTGTGTCGATTGCTCCGAACAGTGGCGTCGAGGTCAGGGACTTGGGTAAGGCGCGGAAGCCTACCGACATGTTGGCGAGCGAGCTGGGGATTGTGGATGGCGGCGACGGGAACGTTGACATCACAAGGCTTGTCGGCGCAAGAAGCGCAAACGCAGGTCGTCTCAATGTCAACCACGACATGAAGATGTCGGCTCTGTAAGACTGTCAGTCATAGGCAAGAGACTCGGAGGTGAGCAACGTACAATCCTAGCACGTTCGCTATGCCGGGGAGCTTGACTTTGTGAATGCCGCCTTTGCGCTCGACCAGCAGGCGAATGGCTTTCATGTGCGCGTCTTCCCAGCGCAGACTGCCATAGTACTGGCTTTGAGCTGTGGCAAGCGGGCTTCGGGTTTCCTCCTTCATAGGAGAAGGCACCTGATCACCGCCGGCAGCCGATGCATGGGCTGCCAACAGGCTGATACAGAAAAGCAGTGCATCCGCTGGGTCGCCCGTAAGGGTCTGGAGTTCATGATTGAGTTCCTTTACGGCCTGGACCGTGTACGAGAGGCGAAGAATCTTGATCTGGTGAGAAGCGTCGGAGGAGTAGGACTTGTGGGTTGCTCCGGCAAGGGCGATGGTATAGAACGAGGCTGGCGAGTGCATGGCACATGCAAGGACCACATCTCTGAGGTTACCGATCGCCGAAACAGTCTTGGATGCAGATCCGGAAGCTGTTGAAGCAGAGGTGGCCGGTTGCACCGCCGGTATTACCGGGGGGTAATGGAGAAGACATAGCGTAATGCCCGATTGAAGGATAGTAGCCCCTGCAGGTCGATCAACACTGAAGCAGTACGAAAGAGGAAGGGCACAGCAGGGTTATAGGAAAGTAAGCTTACCATAATCAAGCATTTCAAGTGCATAGGATGGCACATTATTGGGTAGGACTATGTTGAACGGATCCAGATGGCCAGCCCCAGGGTCTATGGTTGACAGACGATTGTGTTGCTTCTTTTCCTTAGGAACGCTTTCCTTCTTGGATCGTTGCGAGGTGGTACGATGTTGATCATCACCAGATGGTTGGTGCTTTTCTGTCGTATGCTTCCGATGCGAGTGGCGTTTATGCAGCATTCCTGGATTGGCTAGTTGGCGTATCTTCGCTTTCCTATGATACTCTCGTGCGGCATGCTTCTGTGGCGAGATCTCGTCGCCATTGCCTGAGCCTTGCTTAGTCTTCTTGCCTGCACTTGCTTGCTGGTACGGAACAAATAAAATGTTCGTTGCCGTCCCCGGGGTAGCCATGGATCTTTCCTTTGTACTTTTTACCCTTTCTCACCGTCAAGCATGTTGCATTTGTCAAAACGAATAATCTGGCCCTCGACATCAACAGAAGAAAAACATTGACAACGCGGATATGCGCGAGAGAATAAGAAGTAAACTCATGGCACTATCACAGCCGCACATTGCTAGTAACAAATGGTCAATTTCAAGCCATCAAGGCCGTATACCAATGACTATTGATGTGGACCTGGAAGGCTGTAGTGATCCGGAAACAGCAGTCGTCTCAGCTCGCCTTTTGACAGCGCCATCAAGCCAAGCTGAAGCCAGCGGGAAGATGGGAATGCATGATTGGTGTGGCTGAGAATGCAAAGCAGGTCGATAGCAACACGGGATGTAGCTTGGTTCTGACCAAGGCGTGAATGATGTCTGCCAGCGCCGGACCGTTTATAATTGATTTTCACTGGTCGAAGAATCCTTCGATCTGAACCTGACGATCGATCCAGTTCCCCATTGTCGGGCCGCATATCCAATTTTCACCCCAAGAACCAGTTACCTCTGTTCCACAGGGAAATACCCATGATTTGGGGCGGAAGTTGGGGTTGTTGTTATGCGCAGCTTCGTCCAGCTGTCGCCCGCCAAGCAACCCAGATCTTCAAGTCAAGATCAGCCTGGCAGATGCCGGGCACTACCGGTCGCTCGATATATTTCCAGAGCGCTTCTGGCTTGATGGTGCTCGTGTCGAAGCTGTGCTGTCCTCAGCTGGAGGGGAGAATCATGGTAGTTTGTGCTCTTGAGGACAAAAAGTATCGAACCCGTTGCAAAGTTCTTCAGCCGGATGCAGGTCACACGGTGTCAGTGTGACGACATTACGATAAACGTTGCTATTTGTGGTGGTGCGGACAACATTGGAGCTGTACACACGTTTGCTGGGTAATAAATGTCGATAGGCCAAAACCCGCACCTGCTGGCACCTCACAACGGCCTGAAGACGGTATGTCGTCCTTTGCAGTACTGGAACTTGCCGTGGCCGTGCAGGGGTGCCGGGGAGAGAAACGGCTATGCAGGTTGGTCCAGCGTTGGTCATTGCTTCTCGATAGCTAAGGAGGAGTGTTGTGCAATGGAAGTTGGTGGTGCTGGCATTGACTACCGTTGAGAAATGCTGGACCCATAGTACGGCATGATGGATACTGAGTGCAAAGGGGACGAAGTCACAATGAAGCAATCGTAGAAGACCATGGTTTTTTGACTCAACCGAGTACTTTTTCATTTGCTATCTTGGATCACTTTGTGATCATACATGCTGATGCAGTACAGGACTGATCAGAGACACATTGATAAAGTGTCTGGGGACATTGATGTCCATAGCTCAATCCTGATTGCTTCCCTGAGATGGTTTCATGCTCTTGGGCCATTTGACTGTGGTACATCCTTGCAAAGCTCAATTCACATCTGAAGAAAAAGGAAAACTTGCAGGTATTAGGGCAAGTGTGTGATAGAAAAAACACGGGGGAATTTGACGGGGTGAAGCGGGAAATGATGTTGTCCAGCGTAATGTTGCAAGATGGTGAACCGTCCCAGGTGCCCAACATGGTCGAGAGACCGAGAGCCCTTGACCCAAGCTGCAGTCAAGGAAGAGGCATCCAAGCCCACAGGCAGGAAATGACTTTCCAGACATCAACTTCACAATCACCAACAACCACTTGAACCAACGATTTGTGACCTGAACCTCGGAGATGTCCAACGCCACAATGATGCCGAGCTAGTAATGCGGAATGTAACATCTGCGCAATGGGTCATAGCCATGAGCTTCCTCACGAGCACGATGACCAGGATCGATTTCGTTTTCAGCTCCGGGTGTACCACGGTCGTATTGTGAACGACGACGACGTTGTTCTTCGCGATGTGCTTGTCCTTGCTTAGGAGCGAAAAGACCTGCAGGGGGAAGGAAGTCAGTATGTGTATTTCAAGTTGAGATAAAGATAAGCGTGCTCACGAGAAGGGGCGAGGGTTGCCAGCGAATGGATCATGGGGACTGTTGACATCAACGGATGACTGTGGGAGCAGGAAAGACCGCGACACCCGACCAAGGAAGGTGTAAGCGTCAGTGGCATCTGGTGCAGCACGGGCAGGTGGAAGATAGAAGCCCTGAGGGCGTTCAAATCGTGCAACAGGTCTGGGAGGTTGCGGTTCCGGGAAAGCAGGGCGAGTGTTTGGGTTTGGGTTTGGGTTTCGAAGAGCAAGGGCCAGCTTCTCAGGGATGTACAGACCGACATGCTCAGCATTCTCCACCGAGCGACGCATCTTTGAGGCATTGTCAGGTCCTGGGAACTTCTCCTCCTGGCCGGCATTGAGAACATTGCCAGCAACATAGAGCTGCAGACCTGTTAGTCTAGAGGTCTGTGGTCGGGGTAGGAAAGGTTGGTACCTTTGGTCGAAAGGCCGGGTGCTCAAGCATAACTGAGGAGTTGCGGAACTTCTGGACCAAGCAGTCTTTGCCTTGAATCGCTGTGACGGACAGTTAGTGACGAAACGCCAACCAAAACGAAGTTACTCACTGGCATAGGAGACCTCAGCAACCTTGTCAGAGTTGAAGCAATTCCAGCGCTTTCCAGCACGGGCAAGGACGAACTAAGAGATGTGAGTGAACAAGAAACGCTCAGGTGAATGAACAGGAAGCATACTGGGATGATAGAAGGTGCCTGGCGATGGTCAGTGACGAAATTAGATTGTGGAGGAGGATCACTTACATCGACGAAGTTGATGAAGGCATATCCAACATTGCAGTTGTTCGCGAAATCTAGATGGAGTTAGTCAACTGTGAGAGTAAATGAGAATGCAGATGACATTACCGATGCGAAGGTACATGAAGTCGTATCGACCGGCGCTAGTACGGTCAAGGAGCTCCTTGAGCATGGGTTGATCAACGCGGTTTGGGATGTTGCGCAACATGATCTGGGAATGGTAAGCCAGAGTCAAGAGAGATAGATGAAGACAGCTTACAGTGGTTCGAACATCTGCACCCGATTGGATACGGGCGATGTCGACAGCATTGTGGTTGCCGTTCTGATTGCCGCGACGACCATTGCGAGCCGCATCACGTTGGATGACATAGGCGAGACGATCGTAATCTGAATCCACAGGGACAGTAGAGCGACCCGTCACAGACAGCTTCTGGAAAGGGATTTCAAGATCATCAAGATCGTCCAGTACAACAGGGCGAATGTCCGGAGTATACAGCTCGACATCGAGCACGGTGCCCTAATGACATGTTAGCAATGGTATTCACTGGAAAGTGGTTTGACAAACATTGATGACTGTGCCACTGATGACATCCTTCGCACAAGCGACGTTAGCGGCATTGTAGAACTCGGCACGAAATTCTCGGCAGTGAAGTTGATTTGGTGGCATGGTGTGGAAAGCCTTGATATCGCCACATTGCTTGAGAAGACGCTTGATCTCAATGACGACCGGATGAGCCTTTATTGGCGGCTGAGAAGGGTTGCCGTTGTAGTAAGCGCTGATGACAATCTGTCCTGCATACTCGGTCTCCAAAGTTGGGTCTCTGCCTTGGTCGGCAGCAACAGCTTTGAGTTTCATTGGGAAGACACGAGTGTGTGGGGCCAAGTTGGCAGCAACATGGAGAGCTCTCTTAGCGTCACGAACGTCGTCAAAGGCGACAGTGAAGAGACCACCAGTAACGACCTGAGCAGCATTGATTGACTTGATAGATGGGAACACCTCCGGCTATTCAACATTAGTGGAAGTGGTGAATTGGAACGGAGAGATACATACCTTGAAAGCGTCGACGATGCGGCGAGAAGGAGAACGGAACTCAGCAGGGAGACCGAGGACAGTGAAGGCACGGATGGAGTTCATATCAGTACTGAATTCGCCTTCAGAAAGGTGAATGTCATGCATCCAGATGTTAGAGACAACTGGAGACTTGTAATGCAGCTGGATCTGGTTCTGGCACATGAGCAGATCAAGGTACTTTTCATTGTCAGTGTCGACGTTTGTTCCACCGATCACTCCTGGGGTCTTGCGCTGAGCCTGGTCAGAGGTCAGGTTTGGTCCATCAGGCATGCTTCCTTGCAAGAGGGATCTTACACCAATGTTTCCAGTGGGAGCAGCATTCTTTGGGAAGGCATGAGCGCCATAGGCATGTCCGATGATGGGAGCAGGCTGCACAGGTGCAAAGCCATTGGCACGGTAGACTCGAGGAGCAGAAGGAACCTTGGCGGCAGTAGGGTGGGAGAACTGTGGTTCGAAGACCTCAGCAGTGGGCGACAGCAGTGGGCCGTTGGTAGGAGTTGGTGCACTCAGGAAGACATCGTCATCGGCAACACTAGTCCATGTGAGTACTTGTTTGAAAATTTGAAGAGGCATTCGATGATGTGGAACATACCTAGCATGTTTGGCAGGCTTGGGAACGTGGGTGGCCTTGGTAGCCTCACGAGCCTTGGTGTAGATGTCAACACCCTCAGGGTCTCCAGTGTAGAAGTCAACAGCACGTCCTTTTCCCTTGGTGCCTGGAACACCTTCAGGAGTGAAAGAGGTAATGTTTGTGGATGGAGTTCCGTGAAAGGTGGTGTCATGCTCAGAGTGAGGGCTCGAAGCTGATGCCGAACCACGAGGTGGAGACATGATGTTGACTATGTGAAGCAAGACATTAGTATGTTGGATACCATGGCCAATGATGAAACTGCGCAAGTGAAGTTTGAACCATGAGGCCAATGGCCTGCAGTGGGGTGATCTGCCATTGAAGCAATGTTGCTCCAATGATGTGATAGGGAAGATGCTCAATGATATGAAGGCAATGATGCTATGGCTGGGGGCAGTTATGTGTATGAGACATGGTGGATGGAGGGGCATTGGAAGTTACAACTCATTTCTCTCACGAGAATTGAGCCACAACAACCATTGAAAGAGGGGTTTGGAACTTACCAAGCGTCTTGAGGGTGCGTAGATGGTCTGGAAGCAATATGGAGTGTCTTGCAGTAAGGAATGAGCGTGATGAGATGGATAATGAAGGAGAGTATGGTGTTGTGAAAGATTGAGAGAGTGTGGGATGGTGAGAAGAGTTGAAAATTCGGAAAGGGAAGTTTTGGGAAGGAGCACCAAAACACCCAGCCGCTGCTGCTGTTTTCCCAACTTTTGGCCAAGCACAAGATCCCAAACGGGTATGGACCGCTCTGAATGACTGTGCTGCCGCTGGTGATGAGGTCGTTGAGGTTGTCGAGGGCGATGGTGAGGAGAGCAGTGAGGGAGGACCGGGGCGTCGCCCAACCGTCATGACACCCTGCTTGACGACCATACGCATACACTAGTATGCGTAATCTTGGTATACGACGGTACAGTCTGCAACCATTACCACTCCACAACGTTCACTTCTTGAGAAAGATCCATCACCACACAGCTCACCCAACACTCTGCCTTTGTACCCTTCAGCGACGACATCATAGAGAACAAGAGCCACCAATCACGAACCCACAGCACAAACAACCACCGACGACATAACCGAACAGCCAAGAGTCCGACAAGCAGGTAAGCAACTTCCTTTGCAGTTAATATGGCAGACACTCAACTCACTGTGTTTCGTGGCATAAATCTGCCTGCTGGAACGGGTGAGCACAATCATGTTCAGGAGTCTGAGAATGTTGACAAGCTAGCACGACAATTCGTTGCTTTGTTCACCTACCTTTGTGCATTCCAGCATGTATTGTCCGCTTCTTTGGCCCTTCTCTTTGCTGGTCAGGAGACGACTGCATCCCTCCTTGCCTTCACCACAGTTCACTTTCCCTCTCTTTGCCCCTACCTCTCACAGCCTTGCGCTCGTTGCTGCTCTTGAGCTCCGGAAGCACTGGTCATTCAGCTTGTGTTTCTTTATTTTTATATACTGACATAGTCACAGTATCGAGCACGTGGCTCCCCCCATGGAGGGGAGAGATATTGTGATTACAAGATCGGAAAGGTACCAACATCAAACAGACGAGGTTCATGAGAGATCGACAGTATCCTGACCGCTTGGCACGACTAGCGGTGGCGCTACCCAAAAGCCGTTAGCGGCATCTGAGGAAGGCTGATGCACTTCATTTGAAACGAGGAGAGGCCGGGACCATGATTGTCCCTGATTTTATTGAGTCTGACCTATTCAAGTCGCCATTCACAAGGCTATTGTGCTTCGACGAGCCTTGCAACTTGGACAAGGGATTGTCTCGTGCCTACAGCGTCAGCCTTGTCACGCCTCTTTTTGTTGATGCCCGACGCGTCTTCCCAGGGCATTTGACTGGGGAGAATGTGAGAAGGCAGCGGCAGCCTCAAATTGTTCCCAGCACCAGTGACAACAGCCTCACAGCAGAAATGCCGTCAATAGCACCCTATCGCGCTGATACTAACAGCGTGTTACAGCAGGTACATCTCTCTGCGCCGTCGCTGTGTCTTGTTGCTAATCTTCGTCGAAGATTGTCACTTCATCATCTGAAACGGATACTCTGGACCAACTGATTCCTTACATCAAAGATTACAGCTATGGCAACAAGACCTCGCAATTGTTGAGCCAGCTGGACGACCTAGCTGCAGAGAGAGAAGCAGAAATCGAACGACAATGCAATGCCAACCACCAGGAATTTGTAAAGTCTGTGCAGCAACTCCTTCGGATCCGCGAGGGTACCGTCACTCTCACCAATGAGATCCTGGAATTGAACCAGTCCATTCAAGCTAGCACCGAGAATCTCGTGGAACAGAAGAAAGCTCTTGTCGAATCTCGCGGTGTGAGACAGAACATTGACGATGCAAGCCATGCCCTGCAAGATTGTCTGGAGGTTCTTCGTCTTGCCAACCAGGTGCAAGAGCTCCGGGACCAGAAGAAACACTACGCCGCCCTACGAGCCCTTGATGAACTCCAGAGCGTCCATCTTCAAAGCGTCACGCAGTACAAGTTGAGCGAGTTGATCCAGACATCCGTGCCAGCAATCCAAAAGTCCATCGCAGAAGCTGTCATGGCAGATCTTAATACCTGGTTATTTCGCGTCCGCGAGATGTCACAATACCTGGGTGAACTTTCCTTTTATCATACCGACCTACGCCAACAAAGGCTCAAGGAACGCGCGGACAAGATTCCTTATCTTGCCAATTTCAAGCTAAATTCTGCCATCGAACTGGTCGCCGACGAGCATGAAGAGTTCGATCTGCTCAAAAGCGAAGATCTCGAAGTCGATTTTTCGCCCCTCTTTGAAGCTCTACATATTCATCGCTCCCTCGGCCGAATGGACAGATTCAAGGCAGACTACGCCACAAGCCGAAGGGCACAGAGTGAACTGCTCCTTCAAAACTCTATGTCCTTAAACGACGAAGAACTAGGAGATCTCCACAGCCTCCTCGAAGATATCGCCGGCTTCGTAATAATGGAGCGCGCCACCAGAAAGAGAGTCCCCGACCTGCGCTCTAACACAGATATCGAGGAACTTTGGGACTCGCTCTGCCAAAAGGGCATCTCCCTCATGTCCAGAGCACTCTCTGCCGTCGACAATGCGGAACACCTCCTGAAGATCAAAAACCTTATAACGCTCTTTACTCTGACCATGAACAGCTTCAACTTTAACACCTCCGCTATATCAAATTTCGTACTCGTTCTCTTCGATAAGTACGCGGAGCTTCTAAAACAGCGTTTCAGTGAAGACTTCATCGAAATTGTCTCGACAGACGACTATATGCCCATGCCGATCCAGAATGCCGAAGAATTCGAAAAAGTCGTCAACGTCTCATGGTACACGCCAGACCGTCCCGTCCACGAGATGACCTTCCCAACCGTCTTCCCCTTCTCGCAGATGTACCCGCTCTGCTGCATCGACATCCGCAACTTCCTGAACCAATTCTACTTCTTTTCCGCCCAAGAAGAGGCACCTTCCCCTCTGTCCAGCAAGATCGACGCCCAGCTTCTCACCTCCCTCGACGACCTGCTCACCACCAAAGTTTGCGCCAGTTTGGTGTCTAAGCTCTCTTCCCAGTATCTCGGGCAAATCGTCCAAATTCTTATCAACCTCTCACACTTCACAACGGCGTGCGGCGAGCTTGAAACCCTCCTCGCCACGGTTCGCACATCGACTCTTGCCTCTGGCGGCCCGCCCATCTCTCTTCGCGCCACGGCTCAGTTCTCACAGCACCAAAAGACGGCGGAAAATCGCATCTTCGAACTCGTCAACATGAAAGTCAATGACCTCATCGAGACAGCTGAGTACGATTGGCTCAGCCGTCAACTACCCACCGAGCCGTCGAATTACATCGTCACATTGACCCGATACCTTTCCAATATCATTAACTCGGTTCTGCTGTCCCTCCCATCGTCCCTCAAAGACCTCATGCTCTTCAACGCCATTTCCCACACCGCAAGCTCGATCCTTGCGCTCCCACTGGCCCCTAACGTCGAGCGAATAACCACGACCTCGATCGCCCAGCTGTCGATGGACGTCTCGCACTTCCAAGCTTACGTTGAAACCCTCCCAAACAATTTAATTCTCCTCGAGTCGCTCGACGAACTCATACAGACTGTCGCGCTGATGGCGACGGACCAACCAGACGAGTTCTACGACATATCGCTCCGCAACAAGAAATACCGCAACGTTGACCCACTCAAGGGTCCGCAACTGCTGGAAAAGGTCGTGCACGTCGAGGTGCGCAGTCCGACAGTCGGACCTGGTGGAAGTGATCGCGGCAGTAGCGCCGCCAATGGTGGTACACAGAGTCCCGTGCCGGGCCAACAGGGGAGCAGAGCTCCAAATACCACATTTGCTGCGTTGCAGAATAGGTTCATGCACAACAGGTAGTGGAAGATAGAGCAAAGTCGACTCAGACTTGGGCAGAGGAACCGTTGATCTGAACGTGGCCTCAAGTTTCCTTGAAGGACGTGGCGGATGATCTGATACCATGGGCTGTAGAGTACGTGCATTAGCTTCTAGCAGCGCCATGCGCGCCGGAGCACGAAGGTCAGGCATGTCGCCGAGGCTTTCAAGCAGCGTTTCAAGCCCGATGTTTGAGGCTGCTCTTTGCGGAGTTGCGGGACATGATGCGATCCCTTGTCCCGGAATCGTCTCAATCCAATCGACGGCTGGTCCAAGGAGAACGGCCAGGATTCTGTTCAATTGTACTTACAGCCTGTATGCTACGACTTGTATTCGGGTCAGAACGGCACTTGACCAAACAAATGGAGAGGACAAAGACCAAAACCAAAGTATTTCATATTAATGCATGGCGGGAATAATTGATGGTTCTGTTGCCAGTTGTCGACGCCATCTCTGACTTGTGTCTTGCTGAAACAAAATCTTCAACGGATGGTAGTACCAATCTCTCGTCGCTGTCCGTGACGTGCTATCAAGTTTTCGGTTTCTTGCTATCCTTTTTTCTGCTATCTTTCAGGGAAGGATGCTCCCCCTTTCTCTTCCATGGAAGGGCCTTTCCCGGGGAGGAGAACGTAGGTGTGAAGGGAGAACTCCCATAACCGGGTCATGCTGCGAGGTTTCTTTCGCCGGCTCCTAGCCGGGTCCGTATCCTGGCTCGCTAACCTGCTCGTTTCGGCCAGCAGTGCCCGGCCTTGGACCCCCATAACCCTGGCTTTGTGGTCGTTGTGCAGGTATGTTCGAATACATCTGCGAGGAGAAATGGTGTTAGTTTTGAGTCTTAGAAGGCATGTGCAGAATGGTCGCACCCCTTCGCTGCTGTATGCAAAGCACGGGTTTCAGCCTACCTGTTGAGCACCTCCACCGAATTGGCCCTGAGTATAAGGGTTGTACATTTCACCTCCGCCAAACATCTGCGGAGGTTGTCCGTATGCCTGATTGGGGTCTTGTTGGGCATCTCCGCCCATATGCGCCGGATACATTTGTGGCCTTCCGTATTGATTGTCAGGGGGTCCCATAGCGCCATGCTGCGGCATACCATAGTCTGGCGGCGGCATCTGTTGCTGTGGCTGCTGTTGTTGGACTTGGTTGGCAGCACCTTGTCCACTCGTGTTGGGTCGTTTTGAGCCGCCTCCATGGCCGGCGCTGTCTTCTCTGGGAACGATATCAATCAGAAAATCGAACATGTCGCTCTTGGCCAAAGCTGCTGCAATGTCACTGCGTTGCAGCGTCCGTCTCTTATTGTCTTCTGCATGGATCCAAGCACGCATTGTCAATTCTGTAATAAAGATGTCGCATCCTTTCGCGAAAAGAATAGGCGCCTCGGCAGATATCATCTTGACTTCTGGGTCCGCTTTCATCACCTTCTTGATCCGAGCCAAAGGCAGCTGATGTATCTTAAAATCGTGCGTGTCAGTCTCGAGGTGGTTGATTGTTTGTTGCCAGTATGTCGCTAGGATCTCGCGAGACGGGCCGGTAAGCCCTTGGTTGATCTGTGAAGCAGGTTAGTAACATAGAAGAATCGATGGGCGCGATGATTGTGACGTACATTTGACCATAGACCCGAGTAGAGTTCAGTGTGAGGGACGTAGCCTTGCGCTGAGAGCTAGGAACGAGTCAGTAAATGATAGCGCCAGCTTGATTCGATGCAGATGGCGTCTCGTGGTATGCTTCCCATCTTAGGACGTGGTCACCCGCTAGCGGTGTGCGCGTCACTCCGCAGCCATCCAGCGCATCGAGAAGGCGGGGATAGCACTTACAGCTGCACTTGCTCCATAATGGCCTCCTTGAGTAATGTCGTATACCGGCGCCCCAGTATTCTTTTGCTCCATCTTGGGTCGAGAGGATGGCCCAAATCTTGAGCGGAGAGTGAGAACAGTCGTGGTGTGCGACGACAACAACGTGCGCGCTAATAGCCCGTGAGAATCTGGGCGAAACTCGACGATAGAGTGTTCGGAAAAGTAGAGATCGGGGTGTTGGCAAGCCTGGTGACTGATGCGAAGAGGCTGGGAGCTGGATATCGCGTTCGTACCACCGTTGACTCAAGCGCTCGGTCGACCGCGCGCAGGACGCGATGGTTGGCAAGAAGACTGCGAAATAAGATGGTGCGATGAGAAAACTGGAAAATCAGACGGGAGTCGCGAGGTCAAGTGGGAAGAGTCGGTGAGTGCTCTGATTTATGGCAGATGAGGAAGATACATTCGAGGGTCGGTCTCTGTTGCAGCTAACGATCAAAGATCAAGGCGGGGGCCGCACGGCCGCAGTCACGCAAGTACGACCCAAGTTTCCGGCTATGCGATAACTCACAAAGGACTGGGAACTCCATTCCATGCCTTCAGCAGCACAATTGATTCCCTACAATAGACAATTTCAATTTTCACGTTTCGTCACCCATCATCCAAGATATCATGGTAAACATTGAAATTACTGACGTCCAATCGGGTCGTGACAGGCCACAACATCCAAGATCTTCAGGGCCACCAATAATACCATCGAGTCATCGGGGCTTCTGTCTCTGCCTTATAAGCCTCGCTATTCGCCTCACTTGGAAAAGCTCCCGAAGGATACATATAAACAACGTGCGACAGGGAGCGAGGAACATCCGTCTTCTCGCAAAGTGAGCAGCACAGTAAACCCTGTCAACAGAAGACCGTCTTCACTGCCATCCCCTACCCCAGCATTTGGAGCCCGCAAAACACCTCCGTCGCACGCCGTCCACATCGACCCTCTGTGCATCCACCGGTACCTGACATCAGAGTTGCCTGGAAATCTGCACCATCATACAGGAGCTTGGACGTTGTAAGGCCACCGGCTGCATATCGCTTCATTCCACGATGACCGAGCCTCGATTTGGGCCTCACTGCATGAAGCTAAGAATAAAGAAGAGCAAAAAGCATCATAACTCGGCTAGACGGGATTTGTTGGCGCAATGCCTTACATAATCATGGGCGCGACGTAGCCAGCAAGTGAGATGGATCGCAAGACTGGGTTGAGATTTGCTTTTCTTGACATTCCAATGCATACAGAACAGGTTTTGAAAGCCATGGAGACACAGAAAGCTGACATCAGAGCCCGCGATCTCAGGCTGTCGAAGTGCAGCCGACCGGCCAGGAGCTGGCACTGGCCTACAGAGTAGCGGTGTAAATGTCCACCGTTCGCGTGGGAGTCCTCGACGAACAAACTACTGACGGCTGAATTGCGTCTAGGAAGAGTCACGCATGCATGGAAGAGGGGGTTTGTTCAGGTAAGGTCGTCAGCATTGGCACAATTTTCTTTGTATTCGACATCCTTACACATCAGCGGTGAATTTGGAGTCTGAGCGGGAGCTGGGTATCTCTGAGCAATGAAAGGGAATGAAAGGGCTGCATCGGCCTCAAAATGCTTGAAGCAAGTGCCTTGAGCCCGGCAGTGACATATATGCCTTTGAGACCAAGGCCAGGATAGTCGTTGGTCACGGACAGCCTGCGTTCGTTTCCCGGGGGGCCATCTCTTGAGCAAGTTCACATGTTGACTTGCGAAACTCACGAGTCACAAGAAAAGAGATTTCGTAGAAATGATAAGCAACCTCAATTAGATAGACTGCTGGTCAAAATACACTACAGAATATGGTGATAAGCGGAAGGTAGATTGACCATCTGATGATCTGAGATCGCAGGCGGGTCTTTAACCAAAGGCGGAATGATCCGCGACCCCAGACGCGCCAAAGGTTCACAATTTTCGTGTTTGGAGAAACTGAACTCAACGCTGATATTCCAAACCGAGATATACAACGTACTTGACGTGAGATCCCATCGAAAAAGTCCCGCAGAAGGGTGTGGAATACAGGACATCAGCCATCGCATCTCGCTGCTTTCACAGCTTCTCTGGACAGATATGCAGGGAAAGACAATGCTGGGGAAGAGAAAGAGAGAAGTCGCAGTGGTAGCCCGGCCACGCTATGGCAACTCAGAAGACGAACGACCCTCCTCATCGCGAGACGATGTGGGCGCAGATATCTTTCGCAAATACTTCGAGTCCGCTTTCGAACCGTTACCCGAGCAAGATACAACTGCCACCCCTTCGCTACTCGAAGACGAAGAAGCGGACGAGGACGAGGACGAGGACTCAGATGTGCCGGAGGAAGATTTGGCATGGGAGGGTCTTTCAGATGCAGGAGAAGAGACTGCTTCAGTCGAAGTCATTGAACACCGTGCGCTGGTCGATGTTGGGGATGGCGTTGATATTCTGCGGCCTCAATACAAGACATTCATGGTAAGGAGATCTCATGTGCTATAAAGTAGAGAACAATGCTGAGTTGGATTACAGAGCGCAAAGCCGCCCAAAGAGGTGCAACAAAGGGCGATTAAGAAATCCGGCACAGGAGAAGACGAGGACGATTCATCTGAGGCACTGAATTTGAAACACGACCTGGACCTTCAACGGCTCTTGAATGAATCTCATCTGCTGGAGCAGGCAAAATCAGCATCAACGCCCGGATCACACCGGCATAAGGCATTGGACATGCGCATGCAATCGCTCGGCTCGAAAGACTCCCTGTTTCATCAAGAAAAGATGCCGTTGTCGCACAGGAAGGGGATCCTTGCGAAAGCAACCAGTCGGGATGCCATGCGAAGAAAGGAGGCGAAGGAGAATGGCATCGTCCTGGAGAAGCCATCGGGAAAAGTCAGGTCTGCCACTCGCAGGGAACGCGGCGTCGATGCCCCTGCCGTGGGGAAGTTCCGAGGTGGCACTTTGAAACTCAGCAAGAAAGATGTCCTCGATATACAAGGTTCAGGTCGTTCTCGAGGTGGTGGCAAGAAAGGCCGACGGTAACTGGTTTTGAACTTGCAGCACGATTTGACGTTCAAGATGTGTGCCAACAAGCAGCTTAGGCTTTGAAGTTGACGGCTACAACATCGTGCAACTCCTATTCGGCTCGAAGGAAGAACATCTAAGAAAGACGTGTTTCGAATGCTGTCAGGGTCTTTGCGATGCTGGCAGGATAGCTGGCCAGACTAGAGACCTGGATCCGCTCCAGCGCAGCATAGACCATTGGATGACCTCGACATTCGAGATGGATTTGTCATTCTTGACGATCGGCATGCATGAAGTCAAGACATCATGCCACGGGTTGGTCTGGATCGGGTGGTCAAAGGAAAGAAGTGGGTGAAGAAAAGAACATTCTCATGTTGCACCATTGCTTCAGCCTCGACCGTCAGCCAATGTGGACACGGAAAAACATCCAGCCCAACTTGGCCAGCCAGTTTTTGAGTTCCTTTTGATCTCAACGTCTCACCATGAGTCGGCTTCGGCCTGGTCCGTGGTGGCTGAGCACATGGTGTCCAAGAACCGTAAGTGGTGATGGACGTTGACTTCTTTGGTATGTTTGTGACATGACCCTGTGTTCTCGCGAAAACTGCCTTGGTCTTTTTGGCCGTCGGAGATTTGCCAGGGTCGCTGCGCTTGTTAGCGATTGCGCCAACTGTCCAGTACTGGCAGTTATGTGCTAGTCGGCTATTGACAAGGCGCTCTGTTTCATGCTTCCGCCAGCACCGACCCTTTTGATGGTAGGCACAAAGCCTTACTTTGAAGCGATCGCATAACTACACGCCATTACATATCAAGTGCTTCGCATGATAGATCGCTGGTCTCTGCAGCATGGGATCGACCAAGCATACAATACGATATGCACACATGCTATGCATCATGCGCCCAAAGTCCTTGACAGCTTGAATAGTCCAATCGCGGTTTTACCGGAGAAAAAGGAATATTTCCAAGCCGCGGTGACATTGATTGACATGCATCATGGTTGAGCAGTGTTGACCAATGTGGCGGCAGAAGGAGAAATGATCTCAAACGTAGCGCCATCTTGCTCACTTCAGGGGGTGTGGCGCGAACGCCTTGCAGGTTGCTAGGGAGGCCGGAAGGTCAACCTCCTCCAAAAGGAACACCGGCTATCGCTTGCATCTGAGGACTCTGTAATCGATATGCTTCAGATTCTGAAACTGCCCGCTAGGAGGCGCGATCGGTGGTCGAGCAGCAAGCAATGTAGCATCATCCCCATCCCTTAGCCGTTATGGGCAAAGCACCTGGTTTGAGCCTCAACACCCAGCCGTTGGTTGGAAGTTGCAACAATAATGTCCTATTACGGCTGGCTTGCCATCCTGGCATACTACGGTAGGATCGAGGGATGACAGTCACTGAGAGCATTCACCTGCACCTCGACATCACTCATTTGTGTGTCATTTTGTGGATGAGAAGCATTTCGCGATCACATCGCCATCACGTGTGCCAGGATGTGATTTGCGCGCATCCTCCACCTTATCCGACACCACGTTCCCAATCAAAGCCACACATCGGATAGTTCTTGTCACTTCAAAGTGGGCTTCTCCCGTCCTTTTGCATGACCCTAGCAACAACATGAATGACAAAGAGCTCCGAGGGGAACACGTTTTGCTGTGGCGTCTCAAAGAAATGAACAACAACAATATGCTGAATCCTCCCGAACCCGGTAATCAAAGCCTTCTGGGTAAACGAAAACAGTCTGCATACTCATCGGACCGATGCCGATGCGCAGACAATTACGCTTATGCATAGCGGGTCTGCTGTCAATTTATTCGGACATAACCTGGATTCTTGGGCGTTCGGAGAATAGGAGCAATCATCCTTGATCAATTCTGTCTTTGCCAGTGGAGGCAGAAGCAACCGTTGGCATGTTCAAGAATAGGGCAGAATATGTCGTCAAAACATCATATAGGGGAGCACAGACTTAATCGAAGTAAGCTTCAATCCGAAACCTGGGCATAGTTGAGCGGCGTCTGTTTGAGCTTTGTTTTGAAATGGACGAGCTGTTGGTCGAGGCCTGAGGGTGGCTTCGGCGCCTCAGCGGACCAAGGAAAAGGCACCAAAGGCCAATTACCGCCGCCAACGCACACCATTCGTCTGTCTCATCTTTTGTCCTCAGCCACTCGTTTCATCAAAACCTGATACATCTAAAGCGACTTGGACCGCAAGCTTGACCACTTGCCAGTGCCCGCGGTCCGTGCTTGAGCGTCTCGCTGACCAGTGATCAGAGGGGCCCCGGCAAGGGTTTCCATCTCTTTTCGATATCAAAATAGCAACTTGAGCGTCTTGCGGAGTCAGGAACCAACATCAGATAGGCTTATTTTGGCTGCGTTGGTCAACAAGTCTACCATCGTTATTCCTGACCTACCCTGGCTGGAATCCACCTGCCAGAAGAAATCGACAATGGATCTCGCAGACATTCCGTGCTTGTCTCGGTTCGACTGGCACACAACATTTTGGCCCAGAATGGTGGCTATTCCGTAAACTTCTGCCATAGCGACTCATTTGTATTCCTCCGAACGGAGATTGTGCTGTGGAAACCCATGAATCTGCATAGCCCAAAGCATCGGCGGCAGAATGTGTATCATGATACCACAAGATCGCAGCTCCTGCGTCTACTGTTGTCCGGATTGACGACATTCCGAATGTAAATGCTTGCCATGTGAACTGGAGAAATGCAGCCCCCTCGGGTTCACCATCGTCATCCTTACCAACAGTCTCTACAGGACAAGATCAGGATAGAACCCACCAGTGAAAAGGCCTGGTCGTGACTCCGGAACCTCAACACATCGCGAGTGGAGACCCTCGTACTTGTACCTGTTCTAGCGCGACTTTGACAGTGGGAGAGACGGGAGGCTAATCATTGGCGGCTAGTCCCCATAGATAGGTAGAGAAGGGAGGGACGAGGAAGGATCATGAACCCCTCTCTTCCAAAGAAAGAGCCTCGTTCAAGCGGCAATTGTCGCCCCCAGGCAGCTTCCTGTCTTGCAGGAAACTGCACGAAGGAGCGGTATCCTGGACGCACCATGCCGTAGAATGTAATTCTCGATGAAAATATGTGCTTGAAGAATGGCCTGGGTCAACAAGAAGAGCGTCATGACCAACATATGCATGGCATGCATGTTCTCGACGTGCTACGAGGAATATCAATCCTTGTCGGTGGTGTCTGTGGTGGCACCTCGACCCCTTTCTCTCTAGCCTACGAGTGAAAGAGTAGCGCCTGTTCACCCGCCTAGCCGGTCCAGGTTTTCCTCCCCTAGAACTCTTTAGTCACTGACCTTAGAGGCGATTGGGATAAGACTCAGCACCATCCTACATGTCCACCATCGTTTCCCCGTCTCTGCTAACTTCTTGTCCTTGTCTCTCGCTTCCCTTGCTGGTCCGGTCTCACCAACTTCTCCTTCTCTCTACAACACCTCCCTCTTTCCCAAACTTCATAACCTCTCGACATCCCTCCATCTGTTTCACCTCTTTCTGTGTTGCTACCGCATAGCAATCCTTCGACCTTCTTTTCCGTCCTCGGCGTTGTCCTTGAGGACTTGAGAGGCTAGCTTCTCTCCTTATCCACTTTCGTTTCATCTGTCTTTGCTTGCCTACAACTCGAGACAGTAGCTTCACCCACGTCAGGACGTTTTGCGAAGCTGGTCTTTCGCATTGACTCCATTTACATCATCGCTACATTCGCTATACACAATCATAACCACACCTCCTCACCTCAACCATTGTCTGGCATCTTCTGTGGTCCATTTTTCCGCTCTCCGCACGCTGCTCGCCGTATTGCGTGTCCGGCCACACTTCGAACCAACGACGAAAGAGTTGAAGCACACTGCACTGAGGACGGGATTGTATAGCACTGCAGTCACTACGGGTCAGGTACCACGGTGACAACCTACGCACTCTTGTCACCGCTGTTGATCGCGTCAACATTTCCACCACGGCGCGACAGATGTATCCCTCGAGTGGTGCGCCAATGGCTCACCCTCAGAAGCCCGAGACCTTTATGCTCTCAAATGAGGCACAACAAAGCTTGCCCCAGGATGCGCAAGTCGCCCTGCAACAAGTCGACAACCTCAAATACTTTCTAATCTCTGCTCCTGTCGACTGGAGCCCGGATTCCTTGATCAGACGGTTCCTCCTCCCCACAGGCGAATACGTCTCGTGCGTGCTATGGAACAACCTCTTCCACGTCTCCGGAACCGACATAGTACGATGTCTGTCTTTCCGCTTTCAAGCTTTTGGACGACCGGTCAAGAACCCCAAGAAATTTGAGGAGGGCATTTTCTCCGATCTGCGGAATCTCAAGTCTGGGACAGACGCGTCTTTGGAAGAGCCCAAAAGCCCCTTTCTGGATTTCTTGTACAAGAATAACTGCATTCGAACACAGAAGAAGCAGAAAGTTTTCTATTGGTACAGCGTTCCCCATGATCGCCTCTTCCTCGATGCGCTGGAGCGGGATTTGAAGCGCGAGAAGATGGGCCAAGAAGCGACGACAAAAGCGGTGGCCGAGCCAGCTCTGTCGTTCGAGTTCGACTCGTCTCAGTCTCTCTTCGAGCAGCTCACCAAGGCTCAACAAGCCAGCTCCTCTTCCTTTGCCACAGCCAACGCAAATGTTCCATACTCTCAACCGCCCTCACCGGTCATGCGTGCGACCGACTCAATGCCCCCACCACAGATGCTCCCTGCTCAGATGCCAAGATCTCAGGAGCAGCCACCGACAATGTACACTAGCATGGCCATGCAGACACCCATTTCGACCACGGCAATGTCTCGCGAGCAGGATTACTCGAATATCGCTTATGATCGAAATGGTCTCCCGTATGACCGCGCACACATGCGGCATGCCTCTATGCCTGCTTACATGGAGTATTCTCCTGCCCCCTCTTTCGTCTCTTCACACTTCGAGGATTACAGCACTCGCGGGCTCTCATACGAGCCCATCACTCCTCCTCAACATGCTATGCCTGTTGGCGCTGAGCCTGCATACATTGCCAACGAAGACACTGGTCTTTATTCCGCTATTCCAGAAATGCAGCCTATGCATAATTACAACCCTATGGCCTCGCTACCGCCGTCAACAATGGCTGGCCCGACATACGCAGCTGCTCCCCGTGCATTCCCTCCTTCCAACGTCTATTCTGTCATCGAAGGATCTCCCACCTATAAGGCACGCAGGCGGCGTTCATCAATTCCGTCGTCGATCATGAATGCTGTAGCTGCAAATGCTGTTGCTCAAGTGACCCACGGTATGAAAACGCATATGCCGCAAAGGCCTAGCGATCTTCGACGATCCATGTCCAGCTCTGTCCTGCCTATTGCAGAGGGTGACGAATCTGGTGGTGCTTCACCACAAGGCCTTGCGCACAGTTATGCCAACTCCGTCATGAACAAAATGGATCAGCTCAATGATTACTCTCGACATACAACTCCTTTGGCCAGTCTCGAAGAAGACTCCATGCACTCGATGGGGATGGTGACTGCCGCCGAGATGATGTCGGGCATGACCGGAGAGGACATGCATGCTCCCTCACTACTGGCCAGCCCTGCCGTCAGAATGGAAAGGCCTGGTCCTATCCGGAGAGCACGAAGTGCAACCATGATGGAACTTGGTGTACCCTACAAGTCACACTCTTGTCCAATTCCTAGCTGCGGTCGCCTATTCAAGCGCCTTGAACATCTCAAGCGGTATGCTGAACCCTATCCTAGCATTACCTGGCACTTACTGACGCGTGATAGCCACGTTCGAACACACACTCAGGAACGTCCTTACGTGTGCCCATATTGCAACAAGGCATTCTCACGTTCCGACAACCTGGCTCAGTGAGTAGCACTGAGTATGAGATATCAAATGAACTTCTCTAATCATCCTTTCCAGACATCGTCGGACCCATGAAACCCAACCAGATGGCCAGCTGCCACCAAACACGAGCGATGAGGAGCTCGAGACCGAAGAAAACGACTTTGGCGACATGGATGATCTCTCCTCGCCTGACGATGTCACCCGTCCCACAAGTGTCTCTGGCATGATGGCCATGTCCATGCCTCCTCCATCCACACTTGTTATGCAAATGTCCCAGCCAATGATGGCACCCAGTCAACTTATCCAACCTTCCATGTTGCAAAATATGTAGACATTTATGACACGAAGCTGATGAAATCCTGGAAAGGAAAAGATTTTGCACTTATCATTGTTTGCCGGAGGAAATCTGATGCGCTTATGACCACGAAGTCGACTTTGTCTTTCCTGCAGCATCGCACTGAGGAGCCAACTTCAAGCTCTTTAGAAGGTGGAGTTTGAGCGTGAGCAGAGAGCACCTTCGAGCGACTTGGGCTGTGAAGGAATGTCTCTCGATGCTGTTATGGCCTGATATTTCTGAATGTTTTGGAAAAAGGAGTCTTCTGGAAGCTTTTCTGTGGTGGGATCGTCCAGAGACGGCACTGCTGGACAAACTGTACATATAGGCTATTCATATGTTGAGGCATTCTGCCAAAAGAGTTGTTGATTTACTCGGTGTTCTTTCTCTTGTTTTATAGCCTTCGACGTGACCTGTTTCAAACACCATTCCTGACCTTTGGAGTTTCTTATGGCAATCTCGCCGCATGCTGAAACGAGAATCGAGACTGCTGTTCCCTTCAAGCCTGTCTCATCGGAAATCACACGGGTTATTGCTTGTAGCATCCATATGCTATCGCAACGGTTTCACGCCGTCAATCTCGACGTTGAGATCCGTGGGCAGATACGGAGGACGAGCAGAAGCAACAAGCCATAGGAACCCTGGACGCACCTCCAATCTTGCGTGCCTGAATGTACTTTAGGTGCCTTGGATATACGCTCATTCGGTGGTTGGACACAGACAACGTGAACGCGAGGAGTATTATATTCCGGTCAGGTTGGAGTGGCTCAATTTCTATTCTTCTTTTTATCCTCGAGCACTTGCACTTCTCCTCCCGACTACCACTTGGTGTTCCTCTGCTTCCTCCTCGCTATCGTCTCGGAATCCTTCCTCCAGCTCGCGACTTAACCGTCGATTCGAGTCGAGGGCCACATCCACCGCTTGATTCGCGGTCCGCGTCGCTGCGTCCATGTCGGAGACTTGACGCTCCAGGCCGTTTCGACGTATGCCCCTTTCTTGAACGTCGAACCCAACCATTGCCTCTCCGGATTCGACGTCGAAGAGGTCACCCTCTGCGCTGATCACGCTGTCCCGGCGATTGAACCGGTTGCGGAACGCCCAGGTTGAGGGCAGGAAGAGCTTGAAGAATAATGTGCCGAGACGGTCGCGCAGAGATGCAGGTTGAAGCGCTTCGGGTAGGTGGGAAGACAGAGAGGTTGACTGGAGCGGGAGGTATTGTGAATAGCGGGCGCGGTGTCGTCGGTACAGTGGTAGCAGCGCGTGGAAGATGACGAGATAAAGGACCAAGGATATGACCATAGGTAGGAGGACAGTCTAGGTATCATTGATCAGTATTCCCGATATGAGCACGGGGTCGGCATGAAGCGTTGACATACCCTTGAGAAGGCCACGAAACCTCCTGCCATCTTGCTCGTATCCTTGTCGCTGGTGGTGTCGATCGGAGTGGGCGGTGTCGCCGCGCCCGCGGCGATTGTGGAGGGGATTGAGCGTCGAAGGAGATTCATTATGCCGCCATACTGGCGGCTAAATGCGATGGGGAGGACACTGAGTAGTTATAGAGCAGGACAGGTGTAAAGTTCGAATCCGACGTGAGATTAGGCAGGCCACGCAGGCCCAGTTCTGGCAGCTCTGGAGTCGCGAGGCTAAGAAAAGGGCGTTGAGGGACGAAGGAGACTGGTCGGTGGGCTTTGCCTGACGGGCGTCCTTCTGGCGTGCTTCTCTGGCAGCGGCACGTGGAGCCCGTGGTATTTGGTCTTGCTCTTCCGAACTTTGTCTTTGGCGGCGATCAATGGATGAGGATTGAGAATGCTTATTCGAATCCGCAAATGTATGCCACTCTGGAGGCCGGAGGGATCGTCCAGTCAGAGATTCGGAGCAAGATATCAGAGTTGTACGGAGTATTGCACGATCAAACCAAGTGGCTTTAGGACATTGTACCTGCAAGGACGGGGTAGGTTAGCGAGATCAAACTGGAGAATGATTTCCAAGGGAAGGCGAGAAAGCGGTTTAGGTTGCTAAAGAGTGGTGATCGGCTCCTTAAGGGCACGTCTACGCCAGGCTTGAACAGGTCTGGTGGGCTTGGTTGGTGGGTGGCGTCTTCAGCAACTTCATTGGCCTGGAGCGCCCCAAAACGCCGCAGCCGCTACGCGGTGCCAGAACCAGAGTGAGTTTGGCGCGGGCAGGCTTGATTCTTGAAACCCCTTGCGGACGGACATGCCAGAAAGCACGCAGCAGCCAGGCGGCGCAAGGACTCTCTGATCCTGACTTGACTGCGATCCACCATCACTCATTCCATGACTTTTTGGCCGCCATCATCACTGTCACGAAAGAATTCATGCTGGGATCTCTCTTTGTTCACGATCCTTGAGTCACTTCTTGTACAGGGTTTTTTGTTCTAGCGTTTACATCGTCCGCCTCCTCGCTCGGATAAACGAAACGGCTGCATCCATCCAACATCCTTTGTTTTGTTTACTGTTCAATTCGACCGCACGCATTGTCCATCGTTCTTCATCCCAGCCACGGTCCAATCCACGTGCACGCCATTCTTCTACCTGTCGGAACCTGTGTGTATCAGTCGGTCGCAATCACGATGCAGAGATAGAGGCGCTCTCGAACATCGGACATTGGACGTTAGAGGACAAATACTGGAACGAGGGGGAGAGAGTTTGAGACTCAAAGAGTGGACACCCCCTTCTGGGGTATTCCAACTACAGACAATACACATGCGGCCTGTTGTCAAGCCTGGCAGCAGCGAGAATGCCCCCAACAACACAACCAGACAAGACGAGCAGACAGTCGTCCGCCAGCAAAGGCTTCTTCAGACGTCACCGAGACAAGTCAGACAGTCGCTATGAGGGAAGTCTTGCGAGCGTCGAGTCGAACACGAATGGATCCCTTAGCTCACGATTTTCGAAAAGAGAGTCCGTCCTGTCCAACGAAGGTCAGGATGCTGACTATGCTGGCCTTAACATGACCGCCGGCGTTATTACCTCGATACCATACTCTACAACCACCGGATCGCACACGCCCATAATTGTGGAACATTTGCCCAAAGATGAACAGGTTCCAGGAAGGGAGCCGCAGCCACATCAACTTGCTCGCGGCACAGACTTTCACCAGTATCCTGCGTTCAATGGAACCCCAAATGGAGCCTCCCATCCCACAGGCCCACGGCCGCCGCCTCATTCGAGTACCGTCAACGGGGTCACGATGGCTTCCAGTCAAGCGGGCGATAGGGGCACAAAATATCAACAATGGGGTCGCCCTGGGAGTAGCAACGGCCCTCAACATGGCACATACGAATCGGTGTCCACAACGGAGTCCTATGGAGGACGACGCAAATCGTTCGATGGCGCAAGTATAAAATCGACCGCATCGTCCACCACCAGAGCGTCCAGCATCTTTTCGTCTGAGAATTCTTCGCGCACGGCGATACCATCGCGACAAGACTCCGATGCTATCTCAATGAAACTGGTGTCTCCGACACATTCCAGGCTCTCTAAACTTAGTTCTCATGCTGGCTGGCCAGCGCAACAACCTTCAGCTTTCAGTTCAACTCAGTCTTTTACCCCTGCTGGATTCTACCTTCCCAAGCCGCAGAGCGACGAAGAAATTGAGCAGCTTTTCCTACAGCTAATGCACAAGCGTGGCTGGCAAAACCTCCCTGAACAAGCTAGGCGGCAAATGACGGCATACGCCCCCGCGAAGAAATGGACTCTCGTGCATCAAGACAAATTGACCGAGTGGCAGGGGGAGCAGAAGAGGAGACAGCAGGCTCGACAAACTGGAACCGTTGAGGGACCGGTCTCCCGAGATGTGGACGGTACCCCTGAATGGTATGTCAAGAAAATTATGAATAACACCATCTCTTCGAAAGAGCTACAGAGTCTGAGTGTCTCTCTGCGAACTCAACCGATTGGCTGGGTGAGGACTTTTATCGAGGCACAAGGTCAGATAGCCTTGACGAGCGTATTACTGAAGATCAATCGACGCCAGGCCAGTGGGCCTACTCTTCAGAGCACAACCGGTTCAGCGGAGAAGGACCTGGACAGAGAGTACGATATTGTCAAATGTCTGAAAGCGTTGATGAACAACAAATATGGCGCCGACGATGCTTTGACGCACGAACAGATTGTAGTGGCGCTGGCGACGTGCCTCATCTCGCCTCGCCTTACTACAAGAAAATTGGTCAGCGAGGTTTTGACGTTTCTCTGTCATTGGGATCAAGGGCAGGGCCACCTGAAGGTAATACAAGCCTTGGACCAAGTCAAGAATATGATTAATGAGAATGGTCGCTTCGACGCATGGATGCGCATTGTCGAGGTCACGATCGATGGCCGAGGCAAGATGGGCAGTCTGGTAGGAGCCAGTGAAGAAGTCAGGAGTGGTGGTATTGGCATGGAAAACCTCCTGATGGAGTATGCTGTCGCGACTTTGGTGCTTATCAACATGTTGGTTGATGCGCCTGAGCGAGATTTGCAGCTACGATGCCACATCAGGGCCCAATTCATTGCCTGCGGCATAAAACGTATTCTGGTGAAGATGGAATCTTTCCAATACGATGTCATCGACAAGCAAATTGCGAAGTTCAGGGAGAACGAGGCCATCGACTATGAAGATCTGCTGCAACGAGAAGGCAGCAGCATGGTGGACAGTATCGAAGGTGAAGTCAAGGACATGACCGATCCCATGCAGATCACAGACGCCATCATGTCCAAGGTCAACGGCACAAGAACGCAAGACTATTTCATATCGGCGATGCAACATATGCTATTACTGCGAGACAACAATTCAGACGACCGTCTTAGGATGTTTCAACTCGTGGACGCCATGCTGAGTTATGTGGCAATGGATCAACGGCTGCCAGATATGGACTTGAAGCAGAGTCTGAACTTTACGGTCCAGAATCTGCTTAACAGGTTGCATACTGACGATGAAGCTCGAATCGCGTTCGATGAGGCCACGGAATCTAGACAAATTGCTGAAGCAGCGCTGGCTGAACGCGATGAGATGGCAGCACAGATCTCACTCGGTGCCGATGGATTGGTCAAGAAACTGCAGAAGCAGATCGAGGAACAGGAAGGCATCATCGAAATGCAAGCCAGACAAGCAGAATCTCTGAAGTCCGAGGTTGCTGAACTTCAGAGGATTCGGGCTCAAGAACTGCAGAGGAATGAGCTCGAAACCAGGGAGCTTTACCTTATGCTCAAGGATGCTCAGGATGTAGCCGCTTCCCGAGCTGTGAAGGGCGCCCCCACTCAAGATCCTGCCCAGATGCAAGGTATCCTGGATAGGGAGAAGTTGATGGAGCGTCTCGAGCGCAATCTTGAACGCACCAAGACCCAATTCAAGCTCGAAGGGAAAGTCTGGGGCCAGACAGGCCCATCGAACCGACTTAGAGAGCTCCGCGAAAAGATGGACGATCTGGATGATGCTGAGTTCCAGGAAAACACACAGAGACATCTCACAAACAGTGCTATTGGAAGCGTCCATCGCAGCAACGCCCTGAAGGGACCTAGGAGAGCAGCACTGGAAGCTCTAGCCGCTAGCGAGGACGTCGATTTTGTTGACGAGGACGAAGAGCAAGACGCAGTCATCTATGAGAAGCCACGTCTGGTTGAATTCTCCAAACCCAAGATGACAGCACAGCAGCAATCAAGCCTCATGGGTGAGATCACGTCGAAGGTCAAGAAAGTCGACGACGATAGCGACGACAACACAGGTGATGGCGATGGTGTCACGACTGGGCCTACTCATCCAAGTATCGAGTCCGAGTCTCCAAGGACACCGGTTGATGTAGCACAAGTTGATTCACAGTTGGAAGCCAAATCTGAGGCCAAATTCGATGGTCCTCCACCTCCACCACCGCCTCCGCCGCCTCCGCCAGGTCTGATACCGGGCACCATCCCCAGCTTCGCTACAGGTCCGCCACCTCCACCTCCTCCGCCACCACCGCCATTCAGTCCTGGAATGCCTCTCTCTCCGACACCGTCGATGCCTGGCTTCACTGGAGGTCCTCCTCCACCTCCACCTCCTCCACCTGGCTCACTACCTATGAGTCCGATATCACCAATGGCCCCTCCAGCACCTGGCGCACCGCCGCTACCTGGAGCTCAGCATGGTCACTACCTACCTCTGTCACCTGTTGTGCCTGTCCCTATGCTCAAGAACCCTGTCATGCGTCCAAAGAAGAAACTCAAGGCCTTCCACTGGGACAAAGTCGATACGCCGCAAGTGACTGTTTGGGGCGGCAGCACCGCGAACATGGAAGCCAGAGAAGAAAAGTACCGCGAGTTGCAACGGAAGGGCGTCCTCGACGAGGTGGAGAAGCTTTTTGTTGCCAAAGATATTAAGATTCTTGGCGCTGGCTCAGGCAGGGGTAAGAGCGACAAGAAGCAAATCATCAGTAGCGACATGATGCGGAACTTCCACGTCTCAATGGCCAAGTTCAAAAACGATCCCGCTGATGAGGTCGTAAGAAAGATCATCCATTGTGATAAAGAGGTCCTGGACAACAACGTGGTTATGGACTTCCTTCAGAGAGACGATCTCTCCACTATACCCGAAAATGTTGCCAAATTAATGGCGCCTTACAGCAAGGACTGGACAGGACCTGATGCCATATCCTCGAAACGAGAGCAGGATCCTTCTGAGCTGACAAGAGAAGACCAAATCTATTTGCAGACAGCGTACGAAATGCATCATTACTGGAAGGCAAGAATGCGAGCTCTGGCTCTGACAAGAACATACGAGGGTGAGTACGACGAAATCTCGCACAAACTGAAGGAGATTGTCAATGTCTCCGAGGCTATCCGCGATTCTACCTCTCTCATGAGCGTCCTCGCTCTTATCCTCGACATTGGCAACTATATGAATGACTCCAACAAGCAAGCATCTGGATTCAAACTCAGTTCGCTTGCCCGCCTGGGCATGGTCAAAGACGACAAGAACGAGACGACCTTTGCCGATTTAATCGAGCGTATCGTCCGCAACCAGTACTCTCAATGGGAAGTTTTCGTCGAAGATATAGCAGGTGTTGTCACGGCCTCAAAGTTCAACGTTGACCAACTGCGACAAGACGCCAAGAAGTACATCGAAAACATCAAGAATGTCCAAGCCTCGTTGGATGCTGGTAACTTGAGTGACCCTAAGAGGTTCCATCCTCAAGACCGCGTTGCTCTAGTGGTACAGCGATCGATGAAGGAGGCAAGACGGAAGGCTGAACAAATGCAGCTTTTCCTGGACGAGACATCGAGGACGTACGATGATATTATGACCTACTTCGGAGAGGACAACCAAGACGAAAATGCTAGAAGGGAGTTCTTCAGCAAACTTGGAGGTTTCGTGGCTGAGTGGAGAAAATCTCGGGAAAAGAACGTCACGATGGAAGAGAATAGGCGCCGTCTCGATGCTAGCATGGCCAGAAAGAGAGCTCAAGGCAGCCAAAATGCCAGCGGCGAGAGAAGCGGTGCAGAGACACCTGGCAGTCCCCCCGCCAATGGTGCCATGGAATCACTCCTGGAGAAACTTCGAGCGGCGGCGCCTCAGGTGAAAGATCAGCGCGACCGTAGAAGGCGTGCCAGGCTGAAGGAGAAACATGAACAAAGAGTCGCTAGTGGCCAACAATTGCCCGACCTGCCTGTGAAAGACGGGGTTGAGGAAAGTCGTGGACTCAGCAGCCTTGGCGAGGAGCCGAATGGAGACCATCTCAGCACTGAAGATGGGATCAGTGCAAGAGGCGACGTGAGCGAAAGTGAAGACGTGGCCGATCGAGCATTGAGAGCTCTTCAGGAGATGAGAAGTGCGGTACCCTCAGATGGCGACGAGATCGACGTCCGAAGGCGGAGACACGGGGCTGACGAAGAGCGAAAGAATCGCAGAATGCGACGGCGGACGGCACACCAGAGTACCACTTCGGTCAGAGACTCCGTACAATCTGAGGCGAAGGTTGACGCCGATGAGGACGAGGCGCCAGATGATAAAAGATCGTCTGCGGGGACATTGAGTCCTATGTCAAGCCAGCATCCACCGGCTATCATTGTCAGTCCGACATTTGATGATGAGCCTGCTGGGAAAGAGCACGAAGCCGGAGCCGTCGACGCAGGGACGTAATGCTGTCTATCTGCCGCCTGGGATTGTAAGGGGTATATCTTGGATTGGGAGGCTTTTGTCGTATTCCATGCACTTATGGTTGCACCTACACTAACAGGGAGTGTATTGTATTTGGAACCAGATACCCAGATTAATTGAGCGAATAGCCTGTTTTCAACAAGAACTACTATAAGGAGCGTCTAGTTGGGAGGGACATGTAGCGACTACAAGTATGTTATGCTATGAATACTTGTCATCTGCCAGAAATTGGCATTGATGGCCGTGAAGCGCCTCACACTTCTTCATTCAAGCTTTCTGCAGGAGGAAACAGCTTTCTGAACGTTTGCCATGACCTTGGAAGGACGAGACCTGAATACCTAGATATTCAGGACCACCCGACCACCGAAACTCGACACGCAACGTCTCTACTTCGATGGCAGCGTGCGCCGACCGCCCATGGCCGCCTCGAACTCGGCCGTTGCAAAAGCCTTTCTCGCGTAGGCCTGCAAAGCGTCAGGGATGAGGACATCCTTGCCAACGTCCTGCATCCGTGCAATGAAAACGACCAAGTGAGCATCCAGGGCAGATGGATGATCAGATCCGAACAGCCAAGGGCCCCGATCAGACAAATATCCAGCCAGGGAGGTCATCAGGTCCAAGGCTGTCGCACGATTCTGTTGGGCCGCTTCGGGCTCGACGGCGCGCTGTTTCTCTTTGAGGGTTCTGTACCTGTGTCAGCAATAGGGCATTGTGCGCTGAATACTGGCCATAAGCCTACACTTTGCGCTTGTACAGCAACGCATCCCTGTATCTCTCGCTGAGATCGTGGGCTTCGAGTCGTTGGTCAATGGCTTTCATGCTTCCTGCGGCCATGTCGGGTTGGTCTCCGAATGATAGCGAGAAGTAGTTGATGGCGTGGAGGTCTTTGAGATAGCTTACGGTCTGCTCCCGATGGTCGGTAGGCAGCAGATCAGGGTATCTCTCCGCGAGAAAGAGCGTCATATCCAAGCTGTCGGTAATGGGTTTCGCGAGGCTCGTTGAAGCCATGACCGGGACCTAAAAAGCCCAGATCTCAGCACGCTGCGCAAGATGTGATTCCGGCCATTGAGTAAAACATCGCGGACATTGCACAAGGCATACCTGACCCTTGGAATTCACGTCACGGAGGAATGATTCTTCAAGTTGTTCTTGGGAGAAGATTTCGACCACCTTCTCCTCGAAGGTCGCTGGTGGAACACCCTGTCGTGGTGTGCCAGCGATGGCGATCGTGTATCGTACCATGATCGAACATATTGAGTAAGGATGATGGTACAGTGTGAACGTCTGCCTTTCTTGGTTGTCCATTTCAAAATCTCTGCATTTTTGGGCGGGCATGCAGATGAAGTTATGTTTGTAGCGGAGAAGAACCGACCTCAACAAGCGCAGCATAGATGGACTTATATGTCAATACAGGCGCCGGTCTCACCTGCTTGATATAGGTTCACAGACTTACAGGAGTCCGCTCAGCATGAGATTTCTCTCCACAATGGCTGTGTGCAGTGCTCTCGTCAGACATGTCGAAGCTATCGACACGTCCCGACGAAGCCAGACGTCAGATCATCAATGTTCATGTTTCGCGCAGTCAGTACGAGGTACCACAAGATCAGAGGACACTGTTGATAACATCCCGCTTTAGCCGCACAGCTATATAGAGTAAGGTACAGTAAGCGGTAAGTACCGTAAGCTGCCATTATTCAAGAAGAAAGATACCGCGCAGCTCTGCCGCCAGGTCAATTTGTCATTGAGTACGGACGGCGCCCGGAGTGACTTTATTTGGGCATGTTTGCCGGGGCTGTCAGTCTCGATGATTTCTTTTTCGTGCGCTTCGTTTATTGACATCCCTTCTCGAGGTCATTGTGCATTTCCCCCAGCAGCAATGACACAGCGGCTTCTGGCAAATGTCATTGCGGAGAATGCTACTACCGACGTATTCGTACCGTTGCCAGAGCCGCATTGAGCTGGCAGACAACTTATAGTCAGGTATTGGACTAACCTCATAGGTTTTCGCTTCTGCCTGCAGCAACCCCTCATGTTGAGGGAGAGGGAAGCCTTCATCTCATGAGCAATCTTAGTCCCCATTGTAGACTTCGCCTCCAGCTAGAGACGTACTGAAGATGACAGTACACACCATCTCTCTGGCTTGGATACTGTTGTTGGCAGCTTTAGGTACGACTCCAGCCGCAGCCGTCGACCTGCCTCCGCCCCTGGGGTATCATACTGCCGACTTTCACTGGGACACGATTGAAGCATCACCAGAGCTTCGCTATACCAAGTGTTATGGATCTTTTGAATGTGCCAGACTCGAGGTTCCGCTGGACTGGTCCAATTTGTCGATTCTAAACCACGTCACACTTGCTATTGTTCGACTGCCCGCCGTAGTCGACATTGCTGACGAATCTTTCGGTGGCACCATCGTGATCAACCCAGGTGGTCCTGGAGGTTCAGGTACTGACATCGTTCTAACCTCCGGCAGGGGCGTGCAAAGAATCGTCGACGGCGACAAACACTTTGAGATACTCTCGTTCGATCCTCGTGGCATGAAATTCTCAACACCAAATTCGGCCTGTTTTACCGAAGATTCCGCGAGAGCAGCCTTAGTGACCTGGATGGTGAATGTCGGTGGCATTGAGATAAGTCAACACGCTTTGGATGTCAGATGGAGCATTGACAGAGGCCTTGGTCAATTGTGCGAGCAGAGTAGCAACAGCAACTTGCCCAATGGATCAAATTTCCACCAATACGTGAGCACCGCACTGGTCGCACATGATATGTTAGAGATCATTGATCAAGTGGACGCACATCTCCAAAGGGAGTTGTTTCAGCGGAAGAAGTCCTCGCAAGATCACCAGAAGCCCATATCCGCAACACCAGAAAAGAATACCCCTCTCCTCAACTACTGGGGCCTTTCATACGGTACCTTGTTAGGCAATACTTTCGCATCCATGTTCCCAGAACGAATCGGTCGTATGGTTCTGGATGGAGTTGTGGATGCAGATGACTATTCGGAGACTGGCTGGACCACAAACCTTCAGGACAACAACAAGACCTGGGCTACCTTCTTTGAATACTGCTTCGAAGCCGGGCCCAGGTGCCCCCTGTTTGATGAAGCCGTCAAGGATCCTAGAGAGATTCAAGCGAAAGTCGAAAGCTTTCTCTCAAAGCTGAAGGACGACCCGCTTCCTCTTCTCGTCAACGGCAATGTGTATCTACTCACCGATTACGTGCTCAGGGCCAACATCCATTTATGCTTATACTTTCCGAACATGCTTTGGCCACTCCTAGCGATCTCTTTACGCTCTCTACTGGACGGAGAGATATCTCAAGCAGTCTCGACCCTCGAAACAGCGGCATCATGGCATCAGACATCGCATGAGAGGTTTGCCCCATCGACCCCATTCCGGTACCTTCCAGCTCTCACAGGCCAATTGCACGAGTCTGCCTTAGCGGACACACCAGGTTATGCATGGCAGCCAGAAGCAGCAGTATCTGTCCTCTGCGGCGATGGTGACGACATCACCTCCTATACCAAAGCTAAATTTGCCGAATTGGCTTCGCTGCTGGAGTCGCAGTCTCCCTTGGTCGGTTCAATCTGGGCTGAGATTCCCTTGTACTGTATTCACTGGCCAAAAGCAGTCCGCCCATCGGCTGCGAACCGCTTTACCGGTCCATTTCGATCGAACTTGTCGGACTACGATCCCCGTGGAAGTCCATTACTGTTCATTGCAAACACGGCGGACCCAGTGACCCCCGTACGCAATGCTTTGAAAATGTCGGAACAACATGAAGGAAGTGTGGTTCTGACCCAAGATGTACCAGGACATTGCTCAGGAGAAGTGAACCCAAGCTTTTGCACGTTTGAGATTCTGAAACGGTTCTTTGGCAACGGGACGATACCCAAGCCAGGGCTGGTCTGCGAAGGTGCTCGGAAACCATGGGATGACTGATTATCTTCTGGGGGGTCGAGGCTCACGCTGGGAGCAAAAGGCCCTCAGACCAGGGAAGCCGCGTTGTACCCTTACAGTACCAGGCGCAAGTGTGTTGATGGGAATCCTGGAGCCATTGTGTAATGATAGAGACTACTTGCTAGATGGCTATACGCCTGTGTCGATGCAATATCATACTTCGCACGAGCACCAAGTACATAATGTTTCATGATAGCCACGATTCGTGAATAACTTGCCATCCCAGTTCACTTGTTCAAACACCTAACAAGTGCCATGGCCAGCTTCTCCCCTCAGTATCTCGGGCTGTATCTTTCTTTGCTTCTGGTGCCAAATGTGCTTGGTGCTGTCGTGTTTTTGCTGGCATTGCATAGAAGTCCGAAATTTATGGGCACGTGATTTACATATTTCTTCAGCTTTCATCGAACACAACAACATGCTGATATGTTTCAGATTTTCTAACTCGACTTCTTCTCGAAACAACACAATTGGGCAATCCTTCGGATCTTGCTATGCTGCGTGATCGAGACTGAGCGGTTTTTCTCGCCAGAGAAGCTTTGGACTGGTCATAAGCTGGCACAGGACGTAGCATAAAATTTCACCATGGGTTCTACCTTTCTCTCACCAGCGAGCGTCACAAAAGAACACGACTTAGCGTCATTACACCTCAGTCGGGATCAATCTCTGCCAGTCATACTCTCTACCCAAGCAGCGAATGCTGCAGACGAAGGTTATGCCGAAGGTGTCGTCACGAACACTCGCTTCGGATCCTTCCCTCACTCAACCATAATTGGTGCACCATGGGGCAGTCAAATCCGCGCCAGCATAGTCGACACCGGCTCACGCGGTCGTGGAGGGCCAAAGAAACGAAAGGCCGACGCGCTGGAAAATGAAGACGGTGCAGGAACGAAAAATGCCGTCGCTGCCAGTTCCGGATTCGTCCACGTCTTACCTCCAACACCCGAGAATTGGACCACGAGTCTACCTCACCGGACGCAAGTCGTGTACACGCCGGACTACAGCTACATCCTGCATAGGATTCGGGCCCGACCCGGATCAAGACTGATTGAGGCAGGGAGCGGTAGTGGTAGCTTTACCCATGCCGCCGCTCGAGCTGCTTTTGATGGCTACCCGCAACAAGATGCTCCAAATGGCGACGATGAAGGCGGCGAAGGGAACAGGTCCACAGGCCAAGTGTTCTCGTTCGAATATCACGCTGAGCGGCACGGAAAGGTGAAAGCCGAGATGGCAGAGCATGGCTTGGACACTGTTGTCTCTGCTTACCACCGAGACGTTTACAAAGACGGGTTCCTGGTAGGGGATGAACAAGAGACCTCCCCTCGAGCAAATGCTGTCTTTCTAGATCTTCCTGCTCCGTGGGAAGCTTTACCACACTTGACACGGCATGCTTCGAATGGCACGCTCTCTTCACTCGATCCCGAATCCGCTGTGCACATCTGCACATTCAGTCCGTGCATCGAACAAGCTCAGAAGACGGTCTCCGAGCTGCGCAGACACGACTGGCTCGAGATCGAAACGGTCGAGATGCAGCATAAGCGAATCGACATACGACGGGAGTATACCAGCCTGCAATACGACGGACTGCGAGGGACGAACCCGTACGCAGTGGACGTCGAGGAAGCAGTCTCCAAGTTGCGCGAGGTCGAGCAAAGAGCGAGAGATTTCCATGCTGGCATCCTAAGTGCAAAGGCTGCAAAAGCTATCAACAATCAACAGCGTGACAAGGCGGCAAGTTTGCCATTCAACGGCGGCAAGCTTATTCACCGAACCGAGCCGGACTTGAAAACTCACACCTCGTATCTGGTCTTTGCGCTCCTGCCGAGAGCATGGACGGAAGAGGATGAAGCCGCCGCACAAGCCAAGTGGTCAAAGCATGTCAAGATCACGTCGAATGTTCCGAAGAGTCAGCGCCAACTGAAAAAGGAGGCGAAGCAGAAATCTAAAGGTGCAAACGGCGTCAAAGAGACGACAGAACTCGAGGGAAAAGGGCCGGTTACCGAAGGCGAGGCAGAGAATGTTGCATAAAGTGTGGTGTGATGCAAACACTTTAGGGAGCATTGGCCAGAATCCAACAACGGGTGAGAAACCGAAGACGACAATCTTAACCAGTGACCCCGACACGTGATCGTCAGAATATTGCAATTTCACGAGCAGAGGGGTAAAGACACCAATAATGAGTTGGATTGAAAGGCCAAGAGCACTTCTAAAACACTCGGACATGCCCACACAGAGGATGATCTGTTGTCGTTGGCCCGCCCGGGCCCTGCACTGCCATGGTGACAGTGATCTGCTTCAAACAGCTCTGGCCTTATTAACCCGCACTAAACCGAATATGGAAGACCTTGCGAAACTGATCAGGCAAGTTTCGAATATTGATTGAAGCTTGTCTGATGCTGGTTCTGAGGATACCCAATATCGTAGGCGTTGCGAGGTGACAGTGCACTTCGATATGATGTGTTCCCCACGCCAGAAGGCTACTGTGGCTCAGCCAATACTCGCGAGAGCGTTAATGCCGCTCGGGCAAGCCTTGCGAGGTGGTTAATGCAGACTTTGCAATGGCGGATGAGTGTCTTGTAAATATAAGCACGAAGAGGTCTGGCCGTCGTGGATCGGACTGCAACAATCTTCCTACCAGGATCTACGTACCTGTTTCACCAGACGCTGACATAAAGAGCGTCCCTTTCCATCTTCGACTTTTCTCTGCGCCATCACGAATCCCAGCATCATGATTGTCGACGCCGCTGTTGCTGGTGCTGTGAACCTGGTGGCCCGGAGTTATAGTGCCACCGGGCTGCCAGGTGGCAAGACAGCTGCCGAGTATGCTGTCGAAGGCAGATACAGCTATGTCCCATCCTTTGCTGCAGCGATCATTTTCTGCGTTCTCTTCGGCTTGGCCTTTGTCATCAATGTGTATCAACTCTTTCGACACCGTGCATGGTTCTGGTGGGTGATGAATTTCGCCGTCCTCAGTAAGCACTCTCAGGGATAATCCAACCATCATCTGCGCAAAGCTAATAGCGAATCAGTGGAACTGGTAGGATACATCGCTCGAGCTCGGTCCATCAAGGAACTCGATGGCAAGTCCATTTTCATCGTCCAAACGGTCATGATCCTGGTCGCCCCAGCAGTCATGGCAGCCTCATGCTACACAGCCTTTGGCCGAGTCACCTTATGGGTCGTGCCTCAAGAATACCAGACCGTCAAGCATCTCTGGGTGCCCCCTCGCCGCATCACACCGGTCTTCGTGGGCTGCGACGTCTTTAGCTTTTTCATCCAAGTCGTGGGAGGATCCATGGTCGCGGCAGCAAACAGCATATCAAAGGCAAACACTGGCAAGAACGTGGTACTTGTGGGACTTGCTTTGCAGCTGGTAACTTTTGGGTTCTTTGTGTTCGCGGCGGGTCGCCTCAACTACAAGCTGAAAACCGAACTCCGAAACGCATCCCTACCGAGAGACCGAAATTGGGAGATGTTCCTGAATGTGATCAACATCGCCAACTTGTTGATCTTGGTCAGAACATTGCTGCGCTTGGTCGAGTTTGCAATGGGCACCTCCAACTACCTTACCAACCACGAATGGTTTTTCTACGTCTTTGACGCCACGCTGATGTTCCTGGTGGCAGCCATCTTCCTTGTCTTTCACCCTGGATACTATTTACCCTACCTGGGCATCCGACGCAGGGAGCAGAAATTCTCCAAGAATGCCGACAAGGGACCTCTCAGCAGGTTGGCTCATGGGCGCAAGACGATGAACGAGGCGGTCTGAGAGAGCGACAAGCCTGGCGGTGACATGTTAACCTGTCATGTGGTTCAATTGCAGGGGATTCAATGGTGGTTGAATTGCAAGGGCAAACATGTTTTTCAATGGTCACCAGGCACGTCGTCGCTTCAACGTTGGATGGCATCAAGCGAAGACAACCAAATTTATGATTGAAGAGCACCGGGAGAGCGCGACACGTGGGTGTAAAGGTTGAAGTTTTGTGGATGCATATCAAGTAATTTCGTGCTTTGACGTTTAGCGCATGCCTGGTTTTGAGTTGATGCCATTGGGTACGCCGCAGACATAAGTCCCTTGACACTTGGGCACCGGAAATCGCCCGTGAAGCAAGATTGACGACCTTTTTGTCGTATCATGATTCGTCTGTTACTTCCAGTAATTTTCACGAGGTGACCTGCCTTTATTTTGTTGGATGTCGTTGACACAATTCCTTTGGAGCGATGAGCACTGAGCAGGGTACGAGATACTGTTCAGGCAGGGCGCCATCCCCTCGATTTGCCCCATTTCTGCATTTCCGGAGGTTGCCCAGCTTTTCCCAGTTCCTGATCCAAAAGAATTCGCCTCGCAGAAATCTCCCAAAAGCTCCACGGGCGGCAAAGGATACGAATACCCAGACTCGTATCAGCGGGCCATGATCGTGGCGGACTTGGCATTGATCTTAATCACCCCCATCGAGATAAGATGCCGCTATCGCAACAGGTCCTCGAGTTGGTATTTGTTGCGAAACGGTGAATGCGGCTCGTCTCCCGACACTAATTGTGGGCTCCATACCATGGCGGAGATGGCGGCAGATGACAGGCTCTCTCTTCGCAATAGTGTCACCCCGAACCCTGTTTGCCAAGCGCATTGACGACGACACCCAGCAACCTCTTCGTCATCGACTTCGCAACTGTCGGCTCCCTTGACAGATGGGCGTGTCTATCCTCCCCTGACTTATCTGTGCCGTGTTGATAAGACATGATTTCATGGCGTTCCCTCTTAACCTCAACTAACCACGCCAAGTCTATGCCCACATGGTCCACCGGAAACCGTGGTTGGGTGGCTGTTTACGCACCGTCTCTTCCACCCTCCGCCCGCGTTTGCAATTACGCGGTCCGTGACCACACGCCGCTCAACCTGTTTGCCAGTGGAATTGCTTAACCCATTTTTCATCTGCCATTCTGCCTCTGCTATTCGCGAATATTACGGATCCAGCATGGTCTCAGCAGCCGCGGTCTTGGCAGTGTGTGAGGCTGTGTTACAGCCAAGTGGTCCTCCCGTTTGACCTGGTCTTCGCCTAGCTAGCGTCCCATGACTCGCTTCAAGCCCGAACCATCTGCCGTATACAAGTGACGGACATCGTCGCAACAAAAACATCATGGTTCTTTCCAGGCACGGTGCTTTGGGGGAAGGCGCCTCTTCGACAGTATGAAGCCGCAACTCGTCCGCGCTCTCGTGGTGGTTGGTCTTGCTGCGACTGGTGCCGTGCTTCTGTTTTATACTGTCGCATATCTCTTAACTCCGTTGTTTGCTTGGTTGTCTCCGACATTGAATCCGACGCTTTACGATCTTGGCTTTTATGGTGCTTGTCCCTTGCAGAAATACGTCTCGAGTGACGTGACTGGGCTACGAACTACTGCAATAAAATGGGATGAGAGTTGCGACAATGGCTACGTCTTATTGACCCCTAGCGGAGACTCAGTAGGCGCTCCGGGACCGACCATCATTGATTCACAGGGTGAAGTTGTATGGAAGGCAGAGGGTTATCAAGTCACGACGAATCTGAAGGTCCAGAAATACAAAGGGCAGGACTACTTGACATTCTGGTCTGGGAAGAAATGGGGCTCTCTGGGAGCCGGGTCTTATTTCATGGTGAGTTGATCTCCTTTCATTCTCGGTGACCACAATCTGACATTGGTGAACAGCTCGATTCATCCTACCGAGTGGCATATGAAGTCAAGGCTGTTGGGGAGAACATGTTTGGGGATCTTCACGAATTCAAAATCACCAATGACGATACCGCGCTTTTAACCGTATACCATACTGTGGACGCTGATCTGTCACCGCTGGGAAAGGCGTCGAGTGGCTGGCTCACCGAAAATACCTTCCAGGAAATCGACATAGCGACAGGCGAATTGCTGTTCGAATGGCGGGCTTCGGAACATGTCGATTTGACAGAAGGCTATATGTGGAACCCATTTGGGGGCTATCTTCGCAATTCGCCATTTGATTACTACCACCTCAACAGCATGGACAAAGACTCCCACGGGAATTACCTGATTTCTGCACGGCACACGCATACAATCACCTCCCTCAGTCCAACGGGCGAGATTCAATGGATTCTTGGTGGCAGGCATAATCAATTCACCGATCTTTCAGGAGGCGCCGCACTCGATTTCAGGTGGCAGCACGACGCCCGATGGTGGTCGGAAGAGGAAGGGATTCTGACCCTCTTTGATAACCAGGAAGGAGGAGTTTTGAATCGCGAGGGCCCCTACAGTAAGGGAATGATGCTCAAGCTCGACGTGGCGAACCGCACAGTGGAGCTCTTGCACGAATATATATCCTTGCAAAAGACCAGAGCACCGTCACAGGGGTCGGTGCAATATTTGCCGGAGTCGAACCACATGTTTGTCGGATGGGGACATTCACCAGCATTCAGCGAGTATTCTCTGAACGGCACTCTCCTTTGCGAGCATCACTTTGGAGCTTCATGGCTTCATGTATGGAACCGAGCTGTGTCATACCGATCGTTCAAGTCAACAACATGGGTCGGACGTCCCAAGGAGCCTCCGTCAGTGAAGATTGAGGACCAAACGTTGTATGTGAGTTGGAATGGGGCAACCGAGGTGGTTGCTTGGGAGCTGCAGGGCGCAGTGACGGAGGCAGACGACTACGAATTCACGGCGTTGGATGTCATCGACAAAGAAGCGTTCGAAGAGAGCTTCGAATTGACTGATCTATGGGAGTATACCCGATTCCGAGTCGCTGCTTTGGATCGAACCGGTCAGGTCCTCAGTCACTCTGAGGTGGTGTCATACCATTATGAGGGAGGATGGTGGAGGACCATCTTCGCTGTCCTTGCATGGGCAGTGGTATTTACGATATGTTGGCATGTCTACAAAAGAATCTGGCGATGGAAGCACACGGGTGCAAATGGGTTCAAATGGAAAAGTTACGAACTAAGGACACGACAAATACCCAAATGAGAGCGATGATCGATCAATTTTTGATACGACACCAGCACCCAGTGTACTGGTCCGTCAATGACGGTGATAACGTTTGAGTTCGAGGGTTCGCCAGGTTCGCCGTCGATGCCCGAACTGACACAGCTGTTCAACGCCGGTGACAGTGTCACCAATCTGACGTGGTCGTCCCGGCTTGGCAATTTCCATGCAATACCAGGGTATATAAGCGTGCTTCTTCCTGCTAACTGGTCTTCGATGTCCCAGGCAAAGATTGGAATACTGCATGGAACTGCCGTGTGATGGCACCCACACCAGGGATGACAACCACGGCGGATGCCAACCCGAGCAACGCGCCAACGAATGGGAGGCTTGTGGAGGCGCGACCAAGATATAAAAGGGTTTCAATTCATTGTAATTCAAATCTTACGACAGAACAAGACATACGCCCACTGCAGCACCGCATCACCGCCGATTCCGCCTAAACGACAATCAATTACCTTGCAGCTGGAGAGCGCCCCGAGATCAACCGCCGGACGAAGTACTCTTTCAACAGTGCAAGAGACCTCGTTGGCAACGCTATTGGTTGCCCGAAGAGGAGGACTCCACCATCAATATCCATTGAAAGGATATATTGTTGCCAACGCTATGGCGTTGCCCAGGGGAGGCTTGACATCGCCATGCAGGACGCAAAGCTTGCATGTGGCGTGCCAGACAACGCTGCTCCACAGGCTGTACAGAAGCTGGACCAGGTTGGTGAGGATCTCCTAAGTCACCTTGAGACGGCTGCTATGATCAACCATCTCCATGATCAGGCGAGGGCCCAGAGATACGAGACAATCGGCTACAAGCGTGTGCGACTATGGACTGATTCACTCGGTCATAAGATGCTGGAGATCGCAGACATCCACGAAACAGGTCCTAGGGCAACCAATTCCGGTAGATTCATCGAGAATTACCGTGGCAACTGGCGACAATTCAATCAAGGTCACACTCTTGATGGTGATGCCATGCAGGCGCTCAGAGGAAACACCAAGTCGTTGGCAACCTGCACACTTCCCCCGGGAGGACGCCCCGATATCAATCGTTGGACGATGTACTCCTTTGACAATATAAGAGACCCCATTGTCAACGCCGTTATTTAGTCGTAACGGAGGACTTGAATATCAAATCCGGCAACACATTGTTGGTTGTCAACGCTATAGGATACGCCTCAACCATAATGCTACGGGTGTACGTTGTTTGATTAAGTCGGCCGGACGCCCGAGGCAAGTGCGTACTATACGCGCAAATGTAGCTGTCGCTATATGCTAAAGGTCTTGCGTGGAAAATTCGATCTTTTATATATCGTGTTCCAGGTGCCAGCGTGACAGGCAATATTCGTTCTACCGATAATAAGCGTATTCTCACGTGGAGGATAGAACCAGCCAATACTGAAGTAACGTAGAGACTGTGCTCTGTCGATGTACAGTAGGAGGTCGTCATCCCAAGCGTAGAACGAACAGGCGTTGGGACATGGACGTCCTTTCACCCTTATCCGTAGTACACGGGTTGCATTCCAGGAGGCCGGTGCTCTACTTAAGATACATGCATGGGTGCAAAGTCACGTCGAGATGACTTGTTTGTAAGCTTGTAGCATGTCCACTGCATTTTTGGCAACCTTGCTCGTTGATTAACAGCTGCATACAGGTAGGCGGTACACAGGCGTCCTCCCAATACAAAATGACAAGGCTGACGTTGGCCTATTTGGGCGGTTTGCGCCAGCCTCACATCTGCAACGCAGCACAAGCAAAGGAAGCCCATGCTCGCAACTTTCTCCACATTCATCCTCTTCTCCTCTCCTGTGCACTCACGGTTATTATGCCACAAGTACTTTCCCCACCAAGTGATATGTGCAACTTCACGCTCCATCACTTGCCCGATACTCCGTCACAGCTCGCGGTACACGATCTGCTGTTTCTTCTTCACCGTCGCGACCACCATCAGCAGACGCGGCACTGTATCGTCCCATGTCTTGTACCTCTCCATAGCGACTACAGATCGGTGTATCGTACACGATGACCAGGCCTTGACTCTTGACGGTTTAGATGACGTTCCCTACAATACCCTTCATACGACCCATCACCCCCTTCGGCTTGTTCGCAGCTTGCAGCTCTTGGATGCTTGCGCGCCGACGATCCTCCGGGACACCTGGACCACTGATCATGCTTTGTTCTTCTCGCATGCCCGTATAGATATCGATATCTCTCGTTCTGACGAACAATGGACGGTGTGATGGGTGGACGAACCAGCTGTAAACCTTCCAAACCAAGTATAGGAAGATGAGCAAAGGACCAGCAAGATAGAGCTGGAAAAAGTTGTTGGCGTTCAGGTTAGGGCCGCCGATTGGATATAATGCAACGTAGAACTGAGCCATTAGAGCAATGATGTTGATGAGCAAGCACAACCACGAGCCCCAAACGCCGAAAGCGGCCCGGTAAGGAAGCTCGGCTGTGGAATGGCCGTGGTAATGCCTATAAGTGGTTAGTCGCCGAAGAGCAAAGTGGATATGCAGTCTATTGCTTACCAGGCCTTGCGGAAGCGGATATGAGCCAGAGCGATACCACCGTAGATGAAGAGGATAGAAAGACCTGACAAGGACAAAAGCCAATTGAAGATCGTTCCGCCATTCGATGCCAAGTTGACAAAAGCCAGGCAACCGAAAAGAAGCTGAAGAATAACGACGGCCAGTGGACGGCCCTTCTTGTCGACGTAAGCCAGGAACTTAGGAGCCATGCCTGTGTGTCAAGTTAGCGTCGTACAAATTTATAGAATCGCGTACGCACCATTTGCAGCGAGAGCCTGGATTGTTCGAGTCGAGCCAAAAGTACAGGAGTTGGCAACGCTCATGACGGCGATCAAGATGACAGCGTTGAAGATCGATGGGAGAGCCTTGATGCCCGCAAGCTGAATTGCGATAACGAAAGGAGAGTGACGCGATTCGGAGCCTCCACTTGAATATGCGTCACTGTTCGCCGGTACGATCAAACCAATGAGAAACAGGTTGACAATGTAGAAGATGGCGATACGCCATACGACCTGTTTCGACGCCCTCGGAATCTCCTTTCGCGGGTCTGCCGATTCAGCAGCAGCCAGTCCGGTCAGCTCAGTGCCGGTATAAGCGAACGCCGCGGTAACAAAGACGCTGCAGAAGCCGTGGAAGCCATTGAGGAACGCGGTGTAAGGTGAGTGCCTGTTTCGAGCCATTAGCTTTGCCGGTAGTCACTCCTAGTATGAAATTACCAGTATCTTGCACCAATATAGCCTCTGTCATCTGTTGGAACGCCACCGCAATCGATGATGATTCCAAGTATAATGAATCCTGAGCATGCGATGATCTTCATCACACTGAGGACGAGTTCGACCTGTACATGTACAATTAGCTCAATCTTCAGAAGACCCTCAAAGGGATCAACGCACCTCGCCATATCCCCTCACGCCGAAGATCTGAATTATAACCAGACAAACAAGCAGCGGGACGATCCAAGCAGCGTTGGTGATACCCTCGGATCCTGGCCAGTAGTGGATAATATTGCAAGCAGCCGAGATTTCGAAAGGAAGAACCGTCAACCAACTTATGGCATATTCCCAGGCGCAAGCAAACCCAAAGGAGGGATCGACGAAGCGACAGATGTACATGGCGAAGGCCCCGTTGATCGGGTAAACAACGGACATTTCTGCAAGGGCCTGCATCATGAGGTACACCATAAGACCTAAAAAAGTGTTAGCCGTCACATCGGAATTTGGTGCGCAGAGTATAACCCACCAACAAGCATGAAACCAAGAAGCACAGAACCAGGTCCACCAGTCTCGAAAGCACTGGCAGAACCAACGAACAAGCCAGCACCAATCGCACCACCACTAAAAGCGTCCGTCAGTATGACTCTTAGCAAAATCGGTATTGACCTTACATGGCAATCATTTGCATGTGTCTGCCTTTCAGATCGCGGTGAAGTACGTTCTGAGTCTGACCAGTGGCCACATCCTGACCAGCCTCTGCGTCGCCATAGCCATTATGGCCATAGCCCTGATCATCGGTGACTCGCTTTTCACCGAGCGCATTGGGCTCGTGCTTTGTATTCATCTTTGCGACTGTCGACTGACGAGAAAGAGAAAGACGAGAAAGAGCAATGAGAGGGGACAAAAAAGGTGTGAGATGTGAAAGACTGCGGTTACCCCGGCTTTAAAGCGCCCAAAGTAAGTTATCGCATACAATGGCAAGCAAGCATCACAAGCCCCCTTGGCTTTAAGGTGCGAAGCTAACTTATCAGTGACAAGCAGCCATTGCAAATCCTTAATTAGGCGTCCACTGCCGATCAGAGTATGATTCGGGGATGGGTTGCACACCCGAAACCTTTGGCGGTGCTGTTGAGCAGCGCATTGGTTATTGCCACGATAAGGTGACATCGTGCCGGCGTGCAATCATTGGGGGAATGACGACCTGCTCGACTAGGGCTTCGCCATGATGTGTGGGAGCCATTCCAGGGTGGAGAAATAACAGCGCCAGTCGCTTACGCCGACCGATGTAAGGTAGTGCGGGCCTCGTGGTCGACCTTCGCCAGATCTTCCCAGCATCACGATAACCATAATCAGGCTGTTCATCGCAGATCCAGATAGCCTCTCACGCCTCTTCTCGCGAAAATGACCGGCGTTGGCACGCATAACAGTAAGTGCGCGATGAGGTCATCATCAGGCCAAGGGCACGCGGGCGTTCCCTGGCCTATGCATTGTCTAGACGGTGATTGGCTTTTGAAACTGTTACCAAGGCCGCTTACACCAGTGAAATGTCAATGATAACGATGTAGCACTCATAGTGGCCCTCTTAGTGGCGTGAGATTAGAAGCCTATTGCTTTGGAACCTTTACTATCATAGCACAGAAGCTTCCCCGCATTCTATGGGTCCGACGAGGCGAGAAATGAGACACGCCCGGCGAAAAAGAACTTCTGACCTGTTATGAGATGTACTCCGTATCAGTGCACTTGATACTCGTACAATCGCATGATAAAAGACCGGCACATCCGATGTAGCCGAGGTGGTTCAACGGCAGACATTCATGGCTAGCCCCCAGGTACCATTGTGCTTGTGCAACCACCATGGAAGAAGGAAAAAAGGCTCGAAGTACAATGATGCTACGCCCAGGCGCTACTCTATGCTCGTTCCTTGACAGATAAGAACTATTGTAAGCCTCCTTTGACGGTCGAAGCTCTTGTTTGAAGACCTGGCAATATAACGCGAGACAGTCTAATTCACTGTGGATCGTGATATGCGATGGCAGCAGAAGGAACACTGTCATCTCGTAGGAGGATCAAGCTATCGAATATTAGACGTCCTTTAGCCCTAAGCATAAACTGCAAAATGCCGTAGGTCAACACGCTAGATTTAGCATGCAGAACTTGAACTTGCTTTCAGATGACTCCTCTCTAGAATACCCCCCGTATGTCTTGAAATCTGCTCATCACTGGCATTCACGGTTGCGGGTGGTGCCTAGGCGCTTTACTAACGGCGCATAACGAGGCTGACTTTGACCTGTTTAGGCGGCTTGCGGCAGCCTCGTTTCTGCTTGGCATGGAATTGCGAGATCGCCAGATTTGACTCATTCTCTATAGCCAACAAAACAATGCCTACCTTACCGCATTTTGATGATTTATGAATTTTCTGCGGAGGGCTTGCTCCACTGCTGCTAGACACTCCAAAACCCTCAAGATGTCGCAGCCTCCTTGGTCCCAACCATCAGGCACAACTCATCAGCCGGAGTTGAAAGTCTACAACTCTCTCACGCGATCCAAAGTACCCTTCATCCCTCTCAAGACCGAGCAGATCAGCTGGTATGCTTGCGGCCCCACCGTTTACGATGACTCTCACCTGGGTCATGCTCGCAATTATGTTACCACCGACATCATTCGACGGCTCCTACGAGACTATTTCCATTTCAAAGTCAAGTTTGTCATGAACATTACAGATGTGGACGACAAGATCATTTTGAGAGGCAGACAGAGACATCTCTACGAGGAGTACAAGAAAGAACACAGGTCAGTAGACGAATCTGGAGACGAGTCAGTGGAGACGCGAATGTTGTCCATTGGAAGTGTGTCTGACGCGGAATTAGATACATTGACGACAAAGTCCGACAATTCGCGCGAGACGCATGGGGCCACTACGTTGAAAAGAACCTGAAGCGCATAGTACCATCTACCTTGGCCACACCCGAAACCTTTGACGGTATCGTCGAGCATTTCTATCGAGATATACTCGCGGGAGGAAGCCTGGAACCGGGAACCAAAGCAGGAGACAAAGAAGCAAAAGTCAAGATGCACATCAATACTGCACGTTCTACAGCCAAAGCATTACTCCTCGATCCCAAAATGCTCACTCCCCACGAATTCTACAACCGCGTCAACGATCCCATGTGCCTGGAACTTGATTCAAAGTTTGGAAAGGACATACGCGGGGACCAGTATGATGTTTTTACGAAGCTGACGAAAGAATACGAGAATCGCTTTTTCCAAGACATGCATGATTTGAATGTCATGAACCCGGACGACACTGTGCGAGTCACGGAACATGGTCCAGAAATTGCAGATTATGTCAAGAAGATTTATGACAACAAAATGGCGTACCGAACGTCGGATGGCTCCGTATACTTCGACATCAACGCCTTTGAGGCTGCTGGATATCCTTACGCGAGGCTGGAACCTTGGAACAGGGGTGACAAGGAGCTACAAGCGGATGGAGAAGGTGCCCTATCCCAAAAAGACGAAAGCGTCAAGCGGTCAGAAGCAGACTTTGCTCTTTGGAAGGCTTCGAGACCCGGTGAGCCCAGTTGGCCCAGCGAATGGGGTCAAGGCCGGCCTGGCTGGCACATCGAGTGCTCAGCAATGGCTTCTGGGAAACTTGGACAGCAGATGGACATCCACTCTGGTGGGATTGACCTGGCATTTCCTCATCACGACAACGAGCTTGCACAGAGTGAAGCCTTCTGGGCCGATGGTAGTCATCGCCAGTGGGTGAACTATTTCCTGCACATGGGTCACTTGTCGATACAGGGCTCCAAGATGTCCAAGTCGCTGAAGAACTTCACCACGATCCGCGAAGCAATCCACGTCAGAAAAGAGTGGACTTCCAGGAGTCTCCGAATCGTTTTCCTGTTGGGCGGGTGGAGAGACGGCATCGAGATCTCAGACGACATGGTAGTGGAATGCCGAAGTTGGGAGGACCGCGTGGACAACTTCTTTCTCAACGCAATCGAAAACATTAAGGATGCACAAGCCACAACTGAGCAGAAGCCTGTCCTGCAAGCCATTCTTCAGGATGCGGAAGCTAAAGTACGCGCCGCACTGCTGGACTCTTTCAACACGCCAGTTGCCATGAACGTGATATCATCATTGATCAACTCTTACAACAGCGCCAAAAAGTCCGACTTGACGGAGCTTGACCATAGAAACTTAGGTCTTTTCGTCACCCGGATGGTCAACACCTTTGGTCTCAACGGCAATGAACCTGCAAATACAGAGACGATAGGCTGGAAAGGTATCGACATCTCCGACGATGCAAAGAAGTATGTATATCCTCTTGCGAAAATAAGAGATCAGCTTCGGCAAGCAGCCATAGCCAAGTCCATCACCGCGGAAGAGGTTCAAGCGATTGTCTCGACGTCGCCAGGTGTTGAAGAGCCACCTCCTAGTGTGAGACCAGCCAAGCCTTCAGCCGCCCGTGCCTTGAACGATTTCAGCCGAAATGCTCTCGAAGCGGCATCGGCAAGTGAATCTGGTGATCTGAACAAACAGATACTCGCCCTTTGCGATAGAGTCCGGGATGTCGATCTGTGGCAGCTAGACATCTACCTGGAAGACCGAGAAAACCTCCCGGCTCTGGTACGACCGGTGACTGAAGGTCTGAAGGCTGCTCGGCGCGAACGGGAAGAGAAGGCACGGCAAAAAGAGGAGGCCAAGAAGAAGCGTGACCAGGAGGCGCGGGAGAAGTTGCAAAAGGGCAAACTCAATCCGTCAGAGATGTTCAAGCCTCCGCATTCGGACGAGTATTCTGCTTGGGATCCAGATGGTGTGCCGACGACAGCGAAAGATGGAAGTGCTTTGACGGCGTCGCGAGTCAAGAAGCTGAAGAAGGAGTGGGACAATCAGAGAAAAGCGCACGAGAAGTACCTTGCTGCCACGCAGAAAGGGTCTGCTGGTCAATCGTGAGGTCGGTTGACTCCATAAAAATGTATTAGATACCCCCATGATGCGTAAAAGCATTGTCTGCCACTCCTCCCTCAACGTCAATTCGAGGTTGATGTTCACGACCGTGCATTTTCAGTCCCAGTTTCGCCAGCTTTGCGTCCTCCTCAATGATCCTTTCACTGATGAAGCCCAACGACCCCTCCGCTCCATCAGCAATCAGCGTTCCTCTCGGAATGTTGAGCCCCGGCGCCGCACCAGGGGAACAACCTTTACCGCCTGGGTGGCCGTCAACCCAAGTACCAATGGAATTGTAGTTCACTGGGCAGACTACGACGCAGTAGCGAGCAACGGCTTCTGTTGGGATTGAATGATGTGTCTTTGATATGAGCTGCTCGTCAAATCTAACGACAAGTCGTGCGTTGGTGAGCTCATGATCATGGCATTCCTGCCGATGTCAGCCCATCATGCAACGGCATATCCTCATGTCGTTGTCGACGGGGTGGTCGTCCAAGATGAGGAAGCGATCATGCTCTTTGCCAATCACCAGACCAAGTCGAACCATTTCGATCGTCAGTCACAAAGTCAGGATACTCACCAAACAGAGCCCATTGCATGATTAATTGGCCCTGTAGTTGATCTTTCTGGATCTCTATCAAGTGGTAGGTGTTGAGGATGAGGATCGTATTGCGAGTGACAGATATATAGGATGGTAGAGGTGATGTACTAGGTATCATTCACTACCAGGTATTCTATCAAAGTGACGCTGGCCTGGCGAGCCAATCAAAGCCGAGAGAAATTTCTCGTTTAGGTACTAGCATACTAGGGTTGTTCTGGTTATGACATGATTTTCACTTTCCTTCATCGTCACTGATCATCGTACTATCATCCCTGGCAGCCGTCACCAGTCTCGAAAACATGAGATAGCTCTGAACTTGTCATCGAAGCGGGCCAACAGGTATTGCGCAGTAGAAGTACCTACCCTGATCATGACGACCGCAAAAGCAACCCAGCGTGAGTCTACCACGACGGCATTCACTATGAGAGATCCGCCATACGCATACTTTCAACTCTCATCAAGATCGCTTTCCCCTCAGGCCTCGCAGGGCTTGGACGACATTACAGCCCGCTCGTACCTCACAGCAGCGTTACAACAGTATCTGGGCTTGACCGGCGTGGCTATCCCCGTCGACATCCTGAAAACGGAGGAATTTAGCGTCTGGATCAGAGTGCCGCGAGATGATGAAGCCGCGGTCACAGCTGCGGTGAGCCAATGGGCTTCACAGAAGGGGGTGAGTCTGAAGATCGACGCAAGAGGGAGCTGGTTAGGCGGAGTGGTTGCCAGGGGAGGAAGAGACGCGAAGCTTTGGACTTTGGAGCGATGAACCACCAGTCTTTCGGACCTTGTGCGACACGCCAAAGAAGGACCCTACGAAATGGAGGCTCTGGAGGACGAAAAGCATCAATAAATATTTCGCTTGCACGCTACTTAAACCCCGCTCATCATCGAGAAAACAGCCGTCCCATGCCCGGACCACCGATATTGAGTCACGCCTCGGGAGACTCCAGTGCACCGAAAGGTCCTCTGACAAAGCCTCCAACTACTCTACCTCCACGTCGCTGTCGTCATATACGACCTTCTTTTCGATCGAGAACTGTCTATCCGTCTCCTTTTCCTTCTTGCGGAATATCCTTGAGATGATATTCTTGTTATCTGCGGAGAAACTGTCAGGAACATCACCAACAACATAACAAGGGGACATGAGACTTACAGTTGTCGGCCTGCATCATCATCCGGCGGTCTTTGTTGAAAGCTTCTCGCAGGACTTTCTTCTCTTGCTTCCTGGCTTTCTCCTGCCGTTTGCGCTCTTGATATTTCCGCTCCTGTTCTTCGGCTAGAGCCAGGAACACCTTGCGCATTTCGTTGTACGCTTGGACCTCTGCGTCGTGCTGGACTGAGAATGCGCAGACGGACATGGTGTGTGATTTGGTTTGATTGTTTTGGCAAAGGCCTCTTCAGGTTACGCAAGGATGCGGACTTGTGTGTGTGTGTGATGAGTGCTGTATGGAATGTCACAAGTAACAGGTCTTGTGGGGATGACAGTGGCTGATGTTATGTTCGTTGGAGAGTTGGTTCTTGAAAGTGTTGCAGTGTAAGTAGAATGAGACGAGACAATCGTTCAGTGATGGAGGAAGTTGGAATTGTTTCAAGATGATTGTTCAGACGATGAACATGGCGACCATCTATATACCATGCCAGAGACCCTGTTGAGCCTGAATCCGTTGCAATAGCGCATGATATCACCCCGACCACGACCCTCATGATAAATCTGGCCAAAATGCGCTGGTCGTTGGACAGAATCTCGGTCACATTTACTAATTCCATGGCGAGCGGGATGGGATTTGGTATGCCAAAGTCCTTACCCGGAGTAACGTGGCCCGTGTGCAAAGGTGCAAGGTTGCACTGGACGGGCCAAGTCCTCGCCGGGTTGGTCTTCGGCGCGACACGGCCATACAGTACAACACGCATCGCTCTGCCTGCACCTTGCATGTAATGAGAAATGCGCCATCCTATACGTCGATGCTCAGAGTACGCAGAAGGTTGAGCGATTACTTTGTGACCAGCATGATGCTCAATGGTGCATTTCTAGACGGGTATCTGAGATAAGGATCTGAAGACCCCGCGACCAACCTAGGCAAAGACAGACTCTGGCTAAGCGTGCTTCATTTCGCATCGTCCATGTATTCATTGGACATGAGTTGAATGATCACCCATGATATCATGCCGGTACAAGGCTTCCTATTTTTTCTTCAGATTTGGACCCATCAAGAGTCCATTGTGATTTGCACCATCGCCACCTATCACCCCATACTATCAGCCTCCGGTGGGAAGGTGGCAGCGACTCCCAGGGGTCATGGACGCCGGGTTGTAGCCGGACTGCATCATTGAGCTTCGCTCGATAGCTTCCAATGCTGGGTGTATCTCATCTTCGTGGTCGCAAGATATGACCTAAGCTCGTGCAGCGTGCTGCGGGGGCCTCACCATTCGTCTCATGCCACACAGTTTGTGTAGTGGCTTGCACGGGGGGGTCCCATTCGTCTGCCAGGGTAGTGATGTGGCGGTCTTGCCCGTCTCGCGCGGAAGGTATGAGATGGGATGCGCGCATTGCGGCCGAATCTGGAGGGGCACTGTTCTGAGAGACTTTCTAGGGCCGGTGTAATGCCTTCAACAATAGCCCGAAACAGCTTGACTACCAGGCTGCAATAGTCCAATATGGCCACGATCAAGCCTCTGACTTTGCCGATGTCAGTCGGAGCCGGAAGGCATATCCCGCATGGCAACAGCAGACCGTGCTCGAGAAGCCTTGTTGATTTCGCAACGGTACCATTGTCAGAGTCAAGATGCAGAGTCTATGCACCGCGGATGACCAAACCCCGTTCATTGACTTCTATCAATTCGATTCTCCCGCATGCCTTTTCTCATTTGATTGCGCGAGTGAACCTGATTGTGACCATGCGCTCTCTGGGTTTCGCAACTCGCTAAGTCTTACTGATTCGAAAGCGACCGTGTTGAACGTGGAACGGCCCCGTTCGATGCTTCTTGCTTCAACGATGGTCGTAGTCGTGACTCGTAGTCGATATGATCGCGGGCGTTTTCGTAATTCTCGTGATCATCAGCCTCGCAAGGAAGGTATGAGACGATTCGTCGCGTAGAAATACTCAGGGTTCGAGAATCCAGGGAATGGTTCGTTTGGAACGGCCCTGATGCAAGACCGCTTCAAACACCATGCGTCGTGGTGCTGATGGTGGTTTCCTGACTTGGGTAATAATTTGCTTCAGTACCTTGAGGCGTGAACTGAACAAAGTTCCTTGCTCGCACTTGTCTCATATAATGTTCTTGTTCATTCGACATTGGAAGAAAGCCATTTTCTTCGCGAGGATCACCGGCTCTTCTTCTGCTGAGGACTTGATGAAGTGCAGCGCCGGCCGCCACACACAACCCCGCAATCAGAACACATAGAAGGACGACGAGAGGATCGGACACGCCCATGGTTTGAATCGGCTGGCCTTGATGGGTTGATTCCTGCCACTCGGTTTTGATTTGCACAAGTATGGCTAGTATGGACTGCGAGGAGGGAAACACGAGGAAAGACAGGACGATGGGGATGGCCAGCAATGCTTGATTTAACGTATGCGCACGACAACAGGGTGCGACACGTACTGTACCGTTTCTCGAAGTAACCCTTACCTCAAACGGCCCTGGCCACGACACAATTGTGTTCCGGGAGGGATTGGCTCCGAACCTTCGGGTGCGAAAAGGAGGAGAAATAGCCATGTAAGGTGAACCGCGAGTGGACTGACGAAGGCTGCATGCCGACAAGTGTGGTGGTGGTTGGCAAGGGAAGGGTGAGAGAATTTCTGCAGGTGTCAACGATGTCGAATGAATAAAGAGCTTGCGACGCCAATTGCCAGCTCCCGTTCCGACTACCGAGAAACTCGCCCAATCGTGGGCTATAGGAGCGGGCCACTGCGTCGTAAGCAGACACCTTTGACGCCTTGTCTTTGTTTTGTGCCTTTAACCTTGACTGCAATCGGCATCGAACATGACCAGGCATACGTCCTACCAATATCCGTGTGTACTGTGCGGGGACGTGTCAAGCCCGAATCAAGCCTAGCATTTGGTATAAAAAAAGGTGTGGAGTGGTTGTTCTATATTCTCATACAGTTTCCACGCGAATCCACATGATTGTAAGACAATTTCAACAGCCGGAAGAAGCCTTGTCGATTGATTGGATCTTTCGATAGAATTGTCAGCCTTGTGCATCAGTGGAGATCACTTCCTGGAGCAAGCATTTGTCTGCACAGTTTCTCGATGATGCGGTTGCTTCCTCTCATTATGCAGTAGATCTTTAACGATACTGCCAGAGCTCAGGTCGCACGATAGAACACCTCTGGACAGCCATGATCTCAATGCATCGTCGACTGTGATATCAGAATCAGTAGGCACTCTGTCGCGGTTCCACGGGGTCACGTCGCTCGCCTGTCATGTCCCGCACAGAGACTGCCCAATGCTCGCACATGCATTATTTGAGCGTGGGTCGTTTCAGCGGATCACCCGCCTCTATATATATCTTCAAGAAACTCTGCGACGGGACTGACCGGAAGTCAGCCTACTCTGGTGTGAAATAGGTTTCGGCCATTTCCTCAACACCATTGGGCTGCCTGCCGAGGAGCTCACCAAGCAAGGGATCGACTATTGCGGTCTCGCCATTCGCCATGGCATCATGCCAACCCGACCAGCTCTCAATCACCCAGAACATCTCCTCCGGCAAACTCTTCTTCTCGTACTTGTGGTATCGCTCCGCTTCTTCCCTGCCGACGATGTCGACCTTGACTTTGCGCCCCGTGTATCGTTCGACAAGCTTGGCAATGTCGCTCACACTGCTTGCTCGCGCCCCCGTCAGGTTCAGCGTCTTGCCAATATATTGTTGATAGCGTTGCAGGATTTTGGCATTGCCCTCAGCCAAGTCGTCTGTTGTGACCCATGCGACTGGACCGTCGTTCGAAATCACAAACCTGATATCGTCGGAGTCGTCCTTCTTGTACTTTTTCGGCTGAAAACCTGCATACACCGACCAATATTCGGCATAAATACCTTCGCGCACTATCACGTACTGAAGACCACTCTGCATCAGGTATTCAATCGTCTTGATGTGCGCCTGCTGAACCCCTGCAATGCTCTCGAGCCCTGACTCGCCACCGAACATGAGACTGGTGTATATGATTGTCTGGATTCCAACAGACTTGGCAGCGTCAATTGCGGCTTTGTGAAAGAGCCATCTTTCCACGTTGGCTGAGGGAAACGATACAAGGAAGAGTGCATCCGCCCCTTTGAATGATGAGGCTAGCGAATCAGGAGATTTGTAATCACCCTTTCGAATTTCGATGCCAGCATCGCGAGCAGTGGCTGACACTTTTTCTGGCTTTGTAGATGAGATGATGAGCTCCGACGGAGATATGAGATGCTGGCGGAGTATTGTATCAAGAACTCGAGACCCGAGGTTTCCTGTTGTGCTGGTAAGCACCAGCATTGTCTTTTTCGTTCGGGACCTCTTCGATGCTGGAGGTACCAATCGAGTGGTGTGTCAATGTGATAAGATAACTGGTATTTGGGCTTATAACGCGATGCTTCAAGGATATTTTTTTGCAGCGAGGGAGGTCTGTGATGTCTCCGGCGCTGGTATTGGAGCGCGGTTTTGTCAGACTGAAGAGTGCAATGACGTGTTATGGCTCGGCAGTTGCTTTCTCGAAAGCCTCAATCTCGAGGACCGAACCACGTTCATGTATGTCCTTCTCATTCTTGAAGGAACATGAACCGTTTGGACATTTGTGTGCAATGTGCTATAATGTTGACTGCATGTTGATACTTTTGGGGAACCTGTTGTCCACAGGTTGGTGCTAAGCTTTGAGGCACAGAGGCGCCGAAACGTTGTAGTCCGCACTAAACTCTGTGAATCTCTAGGGTCTCGCTTACATAGTAAACATGGCAATATCATCAGCATGCGGGGCTCAAGTTGCGGTGTAATGAGTGTGCGCATCAGGAGTTGAGTGGCAGCTTTGAGAAAGAGCTTCTTGTACTCTGTCGGGTGTGATGCGAGCCTGTTTGCGTATGCATCACTTTATTAAATGATATTCGTCCGGGGCCGCATTGGCGTCAAACGTGTGCTGCTCGCGTCGTTCTCAGTGCACTACGGGGGGAGGCATTGAGGAGACATATCAATGGATGCCCTTGGAAGACCTCAGGGTGATCCACGAGGTGAGCACCTCGATTGGATGCTGCATATCATTTCTCATTCCGTGGCAGAACAGGCTTCAGAGCGAGAAGCTGAGGGACCGAAGCGCAAGAACAATCCAGCTCAACGACCTCTGCCTCCCGAGAAAGCAACAGCCGATACTGGCACTCGATACTCACTTGCAGCCCGTGTACAAACTCTTACGTTGTTCTCGATTGGCTTCACTCCCAAGCAGATCAATCAGATGATCAGGGTACCGGAGAGACAGGTGTCAAGGATTGCGCAAAAAGCAGCGGAACGAGGCTACCGGCCAAGGGAAGATCTGCGAATTCTCGAGCATTATGTAGAGGATGGGCTCATCACTGGCCGACCGAGGAAGGCAAAGGATAGGGAGACGGAGAAGACAGGGTGCAGCACGTCAGAGAACTCAACGTGAAGCTGCAGAAAGGTTCAGTATGCCGCATGGACACATATTTGGGCCAGGGCCCATAGGTTTATCCTTTACCTAGGTAGTGTGGACACCAACATTTTAGCACTTTACGCGTGCCGGTCGTGACGCGCCTGCGCTCTAACATTGGGGTAAATAGGTTTCGTACCTTTTCTGAACATTCATATTTGGCACTTCTCAAGCAGCACAATAACACGCCGTTGCTGACAACGATGTCCGATCAACCGGAGTCGTCCTCGGCTGCTGCCCGCGGAGCTCTCAAGGCTGCCAACGGCACGACAACGGACTATGAGTTGCCATGGTACAAAACCCACGAATCCAATCGCTAGATGACCAACTAATGCGAAAACAGGGTTGAAAAATACAGACCTGTCTACCTCGACGACGTTGTTGGGAACTCAGAAACCATCGAGCGGCTCAAGATCATTGCAAAAGATGGAAACATGCCACACGTTATCATTTCTGGTATGCCCGGCATTGGAAAAACGACCTCCATCCTATGTCTCGCACGCACCCTGCTCGGAGATGCATACAAAGAAGCTGTCCTTGAGCTGAATGCGAGCGACGAAAGAGGTATCGATGTTGTGCGCAACAGGATCAAAGGCTTTGCCCAGAAGAAGGTGACATTGCCTGGGGGCCGGCACAAACTTGTAATATTGGACGAAGCAGACAGGTACGCAATTGATGAGGTCTTACGTACGCAAGCCTAATACCTGTTGTAGCATGACAGCCGGAGCACAACAAGCGCTACGAAGAACAATGGAAATCTACTCGAACACGACCCGATTCGCATTCGCTTGCAATCAGTCTAATAAGATCATCGAGCCCTTGCAATCGAGATGCGCAATCCTTCGATATTCGCGCCTCACGGACGCGCAAGTGGTGCAACGCCTGATGCAGATAATTGAAGCAGAGAAGGTGGAATACTCGGAAGACGGTCTTGCCGCACTCGTGTTCAGCGCGGAAGGAGACATGCGACAGGCCATCAACAACCTACAAAGTACTTGGGCCGGCTTCGGCTTCGTCAGTGGCGACAACGTGTTCCGAGTCGTGGACAGCCCGCATCCAGTCAAAGTGCAGGCCATGGTCAAGGCATGCTGGGAGGGAAAGATCGATAGCGCAGTCGACACGTTGAAGGAGTTATGGTAAGCCGGCCCTTGCCGGACTAAAGACTGGACGCGTCACTAACATTGCTCTCTAGGGATCTGGGATACTCCTCACACGACATCATAAGCACTATGTTCCGAGTGACTAAGACGATTCCAACACTCTCCGAACATTCCAAGCTGGAATTCATCAAAGAGATAGGCTTCACCCATATGCGCATACTGGAGGGTGTGCAAACCTTCTTACAACTCAGCGGCTGTCTGGCGAAATTATGCAAAATCAATATGAAGCCGGAACCATTTGAAGTGCCGGCTTGAAAGGAAGCAAGATCAATTTTTACCGATGCAAACAATTCTTTCCCCGCCACAGAGATCCTGAGGTACGGGCGGGTTTGCTCAGCAACAATTACTCCATGTAGCAAGGGGGTGAGGGCTACGTGCCTACGACGCAGAAGACCGCTTGGGGGCGAGCCTTCAGGGCGCCCTCTTTACGTCGGCGTTCAGCGTCCGATGCACCGACGCTCAAGAATTTGCTCCTGGAGGGCTTCACATTAATACGAGTCTTGCGCGTCACGACTTCAAGTACTGTTACGAATGACGACAACGATGCCGGCATTGATAGATGACCACAGCTTACCCGATTAGCGCATTCAAGTCGGGAATATTGCTATGTTACCTGATAGGGAGTTCTCTTCAATATCAGATGATGGTGCGAACGCGTGTCTCGAGGCCAGGACAAGCCGGCAGGATTCCCATGATGCGGCAGACTCAAGCAAGCCGGTTCGTAGCTGGAAAAGTTGTGCTAAGGCTGGATGATGCAAAGTGCGCTGGCAGCATGGGATTCTACACAAATACAGCCGAAGGATCAATGAGAAGACATCCAAACGGCTCAGGCCTTGTTTTGTGCCTGGCTGGTCCTCAATGCATCAATTGATAACGTCTGTTTCATCGAACGGAGTGCTCGTATCATTGACTGTTGTAGGAGATTTGAGGCTGACGTGCAGGGACACCTTTAGGCTTTGAGTTCTTGAACCTGAGATTTCCCCAGGAAGATCCCCAAATTAGCAACAACTCAATCGAATCTGGGCGCCCGATTGGCAGATTGTTTAGCTCGTCGGGGTGTCGGACACTTGTAAGGACGCCACTTTCTCTTGGTTCAGGCCATCAATAGGCCTTGAAATCTCACCAGCCCCTCAACTTTTGACTCTTGAGGAACCCCTTGCAACACCAGCCTCAGGGCCAAGCAGATATTCCCCGGCGACCCTGCAATTGGTACTTGTCAACCCGTCCGACACTCCGTTGCACGCCTATGACTCGCCTATTCCACTCGTCACCGCCAAGTTAGAGGGGCCGCATGTTACTAACTTCGGACATCTGCATAGTGCAAACAACCTTTCCCCAGCCATGCGGCAACAAGGCTGTGCTGCTTGCCCTAACACGATGCCCGCTTTCCCAGTGACAGTGACAGCAGCGACCATGGTCCGCCTGATCCTGCTCGTGGGGTGCAAAAGTATATCTTTTCCTTCCCTGCCTCTCTTTTGATTGTGGCTCTTGCTTTCTTCTCCAGACTACAACCTGTCAATCCCAAGTCCACTTCACGTCAACCGAGCACGAGGCACTAGATAGTCCTCTTTGACGAAAGCAAACCCCACAGTCTACTCGTCACCGTCCTCAAGATGAAGTCTTTCGCGATCGCAGCAGCCTTGTTCGCCAGCACCTCTTTCGCATGGCTCCCTTCCTGCGCCGTATGTAATCCCAGTCCTCGTCTCATGGCCCGAAAGCTGACACCAGACCCAGTGGAATGACTGTATGGGAAGCTGGGATGGATCTTCCTGCACATCAAGTAGTGGTTGGGACTGCCTTTGCTCCAATCAAACCGCCATCTCTCAACTGAACACCTGTGTCGCTACCTCCTGCACAAACACCACAGATCAAGAAGGTGAGTAGCATGCGGAAAAAGAGAGGACATCAAGACTAACATGGGATATGCAGCTATCTTCGGCGCAGTCGCACAACTCTGCGCCAATGCCGGCGTGACTGTCACCGCTTCTCAGGAAGCTTCCTTCAGTGCTACATCCGGTGGCTCTGCCTGGCCTTCCCAGATCACTGCTGCCCCCGGCTTCGGCCCTGGCGGCAACTGGAACTCTGGTGCATGGTCCAGCTGGATCTCCGCTGCCTCTACTGGCTTGCCCTCCGCACCCTCCGGCTGGGGCGGCCAAGGTGGCTGGGGCGGACCAGGCGCATGGGGAGGTCATGGTGGTTCAGGCTCCGGCGCTCCTTTCGGTGGACCTTGGGGCACACTTGCAAGCGGTATTCCATGCAATCAATGGACTACCTGGACCGCTGGCTGGGGACCTTTCTCCTCTTGGACCGGTACCTGGTCTGGCTGCAGCAGCACCACAGCTTCTCCTATCCCAGCGACCATCACGACGACCATCACCACCAGTGGAAGCACTGAAGTCGTCACTGGCACCACCTTCGGTATCCAGGCTGTTGCAGCTGCCACCACAACAGGAAGCTCTGGCAGCAGCAGTGGTGCCTCTTCGCTTCGTGGCCTTGGTGCTTGCGGTGCTGTCGCCGCGGCCATCTTCGCCGCTATGGTTGCTTTGTAAAGTGCTTGAAAAGCTTGGTTGAGCGCCATCTCTCATTATATCTTGACGATACCATGCATTTACAGGCCTAGGGAAGCGTTGCGGATTTGGGAACTTTTGCGACATGAGATTGATGACTTTTTATGCTGAGCTTATGAATGGCTTGTATTGCTACCGGGACATTATGGAGTTTCATTGATAATGCTACATAGCCCTAGACAATCTCAAATCGATGTTCAAACATCTGCTTCTGTTCGGTATGTCTGCCAAGCGCTAGACATTTCTGCCCGCGGACCATTCGATTCTCTGAATGCTTACCTCCGACGGCAACTTCTCTTGTAAGCCAGTCGTGATTTTCTGTTGCAACTTGTCCACTTTCTTGAGAACAGATGCCTCTGGATTATTCGGTCGGTCCACCAATGGTATCTCAAATGTGATTCTGGCCACCTGAAATGTATCCAAACCCTGACATATGATTAGTTCAAACCCAGGAACCAGAATTTTGAACAGACCTTTGTCCTAGAGACCAACTCGTATGCGCCCTCAATGCCGATGATTGGTGCGCGCTTGGTACCGAGCTCATGAAGAGCTTCCTTCAGAAGATCCATCACAGAAGCATTTCCTTCACTTGCGAGTCTCTTCCGGATACGCTCGGTATCCTCATTTGCCGACGTTATATCGCCAGCGGAGTGTTTCCCAATGAGGGCAGTAGTTCCGACTTGCTGGAATGGAGGGACCGAATCAGTCTTTTGCTGCACAGATCTCATATTGCGAGAAGCGCCACCCAGGACTGGCCCAGATTGTGGCTGGAAGTGAGCTTCAGGAGAAGTCGCGGCTGGGAACTGGCTGGACGCGTTTGCCTCTCTGGTGAGAAGATTCGCCATGATCTGTTCGGGGGTAAGTCCGTCGACAGCCTGGCTCATGCCAAGCTCTGAAATGAGGAGTCAGTTGGTCATCTCGCGAGGATAGTCAGAATCAGTATGGAAAGGTCCACGGACCAGGCTCATCACCGGCAAACTGTTGCTCGTATGCAGCATTTGGGAAGTCCATCTCGGTGGACGATCGCAATCAACGGACTTGCTGCATTGCAAGCCTTGCAAGGGTCCATGGACTCATGTATGAAGTCGACCTGGAGCAGACTGCTTCCGTAGTGATGGATATATATATAAGTCATGGAGTTTGACCTGGATCATGCAGCTGGGAAAACGGCCTCTTTTTTAGGATTTGATGGGACCTGAACATTGTGAAGACTAACCTATATCTGAAACCCACCGTCGCCGGGTTTCGGAAGGTGAAGGATCATGGCAAAGAACGACGCAAATTCAATGCCTTTCAGCGTCAGCTATTCACCTGTCTCGGTGACCATGCGCACGTCGTAACGGCGAATATAGAATAAGGCGCGAGCCTGTTTCCGGAAAGACTGCCACCATCTGACAGAGAGTACGACGACGATACAAATGCATAGTCCAGCAAGTTCGCGACAGCGGTTGCCTTGACTTCAAGCCAACACGAATGGACGATCGAGCTGTTGCGCTTCCTCCTGCCAAAGATTAATACTAAGTCGTTGTGTGTAAAGGAAAGGCATCTGTTTGAACCTGAAGAGCGACAACCGTCAGACGGTGCCACTTTTTCTGGAAACAGACTTGGCCGTTCTGATTGGCTGACTGTGCAAAGTGCTTGCATGATTAATGACGGCACGCGTCTCACCACCAAATCCCCACGCGTTAAACATTTTAGACTTGATTCACGCCGTACGCAGTATCGACGGTGGCGGGCGACAAGACCGGCGCGAGACGTAGACGCATCAAGCAGGCAGCAGGATGCTCGAGCGGCGTGCATTCTTCGACGACTTTCTGCGAGAGCGACATTGAGATATTCAGCCATCAAGAATGTCCTCTTCGCAGCCCTTCCAGCTCTCCTCGCCCGTTGCTGGTGGCCGCAAAAAGAAGTCACGCTTCACGTACAAGCAACTTCAATCGCTGAGTCAATCGTCAACAACATGTCCACTCAGGGTGATTGCATTGATCGATTATGACGCATTCTACGCGCAATGTGAAATGGTCCGGCTGGGCGTGGATGAATCTCAACCTCTGGCGGTGCAGCAGTGGCAGGGTCTGATCGCCATCAACTATCCAGCCCGTGAATACGGTCTGAACAGACACGTCACGGTCACGGAGGCAAAGACCAAATGTCCCGAAATCGTGGTTCAGCATGTTGCCACATGGCGTGAAGGCGACGAAAAGTGGGCATATCGAGATGATGCAGCCAAACACATTCAAACGGACAAGGTGTCATTGGATCCTTACCGACTCGAATCACGCAAAAGCCTGGCTCTTCTCAAGGAATACCTCCCAGCGCCACCCATTCAGAAGGTTGAAAAAGCAAGCATTGACGAGGTTTTCCTCGACCTATCCGCACAAATCCACCAGATCCTTCTCGAACGATTTCCCGAGCTGAAATATGCGCCGTACGATGACCCAACAGAAAACCTACCACTACCACCATCCACAGCGCTGGACTGGCAGGCGGATGCTCTGATCGATCTCGATTCTGCCGAAACTGAGGACGATGACCCAGATTGGGACGACGTGGTCATGAACATTGGGTCTGAAATTGTTCGTGGCGTCCGCCAGGAGATCCGCGAAAAGCTAAAATACACTTGCTCAGCGGGCATTGCGCGTAACAAGATGATGGCAAAGCTTGGTGCCGGCTACAAGAAACCCAATCAGCAAACCATTGTTCGTAACAGGGCAGTCCAACACTTCCTTTCTGGTTTCAAGTTCACGAAAATACGCAATCTGGGCGGCAAATTAGGCGACCAGGTCGTGGAGACATTTGGCACCGACGAAGTCACCGAACTTCTTAAGATACCAATCGAACAGCTCAAGTCGAAATTGGGAGACGATACGGGAACATGGCTCCATGGGGTCATTAGAGGTGAGGACCACAGCGAGGTCAATTCACGCACGCAGATCAAATCGATGTTATCAGCAAAGTCATTCAGACCTAGCATCAACACGACGGAACAGGCGAACAGATGGCTACGTATCTTCGTGGCAGATATCTACTCGCGACTAGTTGAGGAAGGCGTGGTCGAGAACAAGAGAAGACCAAAGACCATTACTCTGCACCATCGTCAAGGCGGACAGACCCGATCCAAACAACTGCCCATCCCACAAGGCAAGAAGATCGACGAGACGATCTTGTTCGAGCTCTCAAAGACACTGCTCGGCCAAGTCATCCTCGACGGACGGGCTTGGCCATGTGCCAATCTCTCGCTGAGTGTGGGTGGCTTTGAAGACGGTGTCGCCGGCAACAAAGGCATCGACATATTCTTGCTGAAAGGCGAAGAGGCCAAAGCCGCCATCGACATTCCTCGCAGCAACACCGGAACGCCAGAGTTGCATCCCGAGAAACGTCGTAGGCTCAACAACGACGGCCCGAACATTGCGCGGTTCTTCGCGAAAAGCGAAAGTACCGGCGAGACCAACGACGATGCGGAAGAGGACATGATCGAAGAACCCGAGGGTGAAGGACAGCCTCACACACCTCCTCAGCTCCATCAACAAGACATCGCGTCATACTTTTGCCCGGCATGCCAGAAATCCATCAGCGAAACCGATCGCGCCGAGCACGAAGACTGGCACTTTGCCAAAGATCTTCAAGCGCAGGACGTGCCGACCGTGTCGGCTCCAACAACCAGCAATAGTTGTCCTCCAGGTCCTTCGACGTCGACCAGCAAACCCAAACGTGGCGGCGCAGCAAGCACTCGCGGACGAGGCTCTAAGCAGCCTGAAAAGGGCCAGAGTCGGCTCGCCTTTGGATAGGAATCCACTCTTGGTGTTGCCCATAGCCGGCACAGGATAGCGATTGGCATTTAGATACCCTGATCTTTATATTCCTTGTTGAAAGCTCTCCCAATGACCATCCGTCTGATCTCGCTGGTCCCAGCACCGATCTCATACAATTTCGCATCCCTAAGTAATCTGCCCGCAGGGATCTCATTGACATACCCGTTCCCACCCATCAACTGGATCGCGTCCAGGCCACACTCAGTAGCCCGCTCAGCAGCGTACAAGATGGCGCCGGCGCAGTCTTGCGTGCGGATCTGTTTTTCTTCATCGACCTTCCTGGCCGTCTCGTACGTATACGCCCGCGAGGCCTGAAGCTTGGTGTACATGTCTGCCAGTTTACCCTGAATGAATTGGTTATGTGCGATCGGTGTGTCGAATTGTTTGCGCTGGTGGGTATACGGCAGCACGAGATCCAAACAAGCCTGCATGATACCCAGCGGACCGGCACTGAGGACTAATCGCTCCAGATCCAGCCCTTCCATCAGCACGGTGACACCTTTGTTGAGTTCGCCTAGGATGTTCTCCTTGGGAACAAAGACGTTGTCAAAGACCAATTCGCCTGTATTCGACCCGCGCATGCCCAGTTTGTCTAGTTTCCGCGCCACGGAGAAGCCCTTGAAGTCCTTCTCCACGATAAACGCGGTGATACCTCTGCTCTTCTTCTCTGGTTCGGTCTTCGCGTAGACCACGATATAGTCGGCGTCTGGCCCGTTGGTGATCCACATCTTCGTGCCATTGAGTTGGTATCCGCCGTCGACAGCTTTAGCTGTTGTCTTCATGCTCACCACATCACTTCCAGCTGAATGTTCAGACATTGCCAACGCACCAATCTTGTCCCCAGATATTAGACCTGGGAGGATTCGTTGTTTTTGCTCTTCATTGCCGTTCAGGTTCAACTGGTTGACGCAGAGTTGCGAGTGGGCAGCGTAGGACAAGCCGATCGAGCCTGAAGCTCGGCTGATCTCTTCGAGAATGATGCAGTGTGCTTGATATCCCATGGCTAATCCGCCGTATTCTTCGTCGGCTGTAGGTCCCAGGAAGCCTGCCTCTCCCAGCTTCTTCCACATTTCATTGGGAAATTCATTGGACGTGTCTGTTCTGTGGGCCACTTCTTCGGGAATCTCTCTTCTCGTGAACTCTTGGACACGCTCGCGAAGTTCGTATAGGTCTTCTGTCGTCGGGGGAGTGAAACCGCTTGGATGTTTGGACGTCGATGCTGCTCGCAGACAGATGCGAGGAATGGTTGTCGAGGGGGCATTTCGGATGATGCGAGCGCTGGGCCGCGCAAGTCTGGGGAGCAAGGAGGATGCCATCATGGATCTTCGGAGAGTCAGCAGTTCGTTCTAGAGGAGAAAATGAGAGAAATGCTGACACAAGGGTCGAGGCTTTGGATAGAAGAAGACATTGAAATTGTCTGGTCCCATACTCCATGCTTCTGCAATGCCGCGTTTAACCGCGCTGCTGCCGAGGATGACTTGGGGATACGCGGAACATTGCGGGGACAGGCGCCAACGCACGGGGAAGACCTGAATACTCTGCTCAACATCGATTAAGATGCATTTTCTTTGTCTATCAAGTGTACTTTCAGCACATTCTATTCGCAGCAGCGTTGTAATTGCAGAGCTGTGTCCACCATCTACGCCGAAAGCCGCCGCACGCCGACAATCTACCCATGCATACTTCGCCTCACCTGTCTCACAAACCCAGCATCTTGACACGGTTCGTTGATGTTACTAATGCCGTCGGCCCCCTCATCCTGCTCATGAAACCGAATTGTCATAGTTTGGAGGTTGCGCATTCGGATGAGATGCGTGAAAGCGTGTTTTGGGATTCATAGAGTGACTGCGTGATGGCTGCAAGTTAGCACTGTCATGCAAGCACGTCAACGGAAGCATCAAGCTGCAGAGATGAAGCGTACTTATCCTGGCAAAGCATTCCACGACTGGTGCAGATGTGAGCTGTGGCAACTCTTTCGATGATTGCTCGTATGTATTTCTCACTGTCCGTCTGCATGAGCACACCAACAGGACCTCTTTTGATGATCCCAAGAAACTTCCTTTGCACAGACGATCAGACATAAAGACAACGCGGCTTTTCCTGATTCTTTTACCATTCGCCAGATGCGCCCAGAAAAGACATGATCTTGGTGATTTCCTTGATTACGCCGGCTTTGCAATAAGGTGATTTGACATAGGTATAGTCGTAAATATTCTCATGGAACAATAGACCTGGAGGATTGATCACTTTCCACTCTTGCTTCGCAGTATTCTTGGGATCAGGGTAGCATGATTCGAGCATAAGTAGCCTGCGTTCGATCATGGTGGCTGAGGATGAAGACACAATCGAGGTGAACGATGAATTCGGCGGACATCAGAGGCGAAACCATCGTCAATATAGATGGTGCCTGAGGAGCCAACCGTGCCAGACGTAGGCAGGAGCAAAGAAAGGGAGCGACGGGTGCCGCACACCTCTTGAGCCTCGAAACTCACTCGGACCAGCTTGTCGCCAACCACTGACTGATCCATTGACTTCAGAACACCGTACGACCACAGGCATGTGGTATTTGAGTGGGCCAAACATTGGTCTTCCAGTCATGACAGTCGGTAAGGGAACCTGTACACAAAATCTAGAGCAATAGCAGGTACTCCAGTCCGCGACACCCGTATCTCATGAAGCAGCGTTACTTCTGAGAGTCTTTGAGCAGCTGGCAGACGTGTCAAGGTAACGCGTATTGAAAGGTCATCATAAGCTGCGATACTATTGGCAAGGACCGAGGCATCTTTTTCTGCCCCTCGTTGATCAGCAGAAGATCCGCAGCAAAAAGGTTGATCCGTTCCGATCAGAATTTTCCGACTCGCACAAACTTCGTTGAGTTGAGCCTCTGCTGATCCCGATCAGCGATTATTGTCAACGCATCTTTTTTCCCCTGGGAAAAGATTAGTTTGGTACATCTGGGAATTTCAATTTCCACGACTTCTGGCCCACCTCCATAACACATGGTGGACTCTGCTTTCATATTGCATGATTCCAGGTGCTGACCGCCATTCCTACCATCGATCCCTCTCACGGACTGGCTGTCTCCTCGCACGTTTTAACCCTCCAGCCAATCGACCATATTATCTTTGGCGTCATCACACATTATCGCTTACCATGAGGGACCTTGAGGCCCGGGCGGTAGGTCTTCGAAGCTGCGCACATGCTTCTTATCTGCAGCCTCCCACCTCAATACCCCACTACCAAGTACACATGTACCATTTTCAACCGCTTCACAGCTTCGCCACCATCAACCCACCGTGCTCTGTACCCACAGATCCCGGCCAGCCTTCGTTAGGCTTGATTTCGTCTCCGTTTTCGCTGAGTAATGGCTTCGATTTGCAGATTCAACGTGTCTTACCATCCAATCACTATCAACGGGTGCGACGGTCGCGACTGCTACACGAGGAGATCAAGGTTCAGATGGTCAATTCTCAGCGGCAACGAACCAAGTCAGACTCGTCCCGATGCTCTACTAACCATGCAAATTCCACAATTGTCGGTCTTTGTTGGCTGATGCCCCTTATGCCAGCAGTGCCGCCTCCTACGTATATTTTCTCGCTTCCCCTTCGTTGCGAAACCTGGAGACTTTGATATCGTTATATACTTCTCAGGACCCTGTCTGGCTTTGTGACCCCCACTAACCAGTTTCAATTCTACACAATCTCAGTACTTTCCTTCAATATGGCTCCGATCGCTATTTCACCACCTCCTGTGGAGGCCAAGCAGGCTCGTCCTAGCTTCCATCGTGCCAACACTGCCAATATGGGCACCAAGCGAAAGATCATCTGCTTTTCTGGTAAGCAAACGGCTAGGCGGCGTTTGTTACTTACTAACAAATTGATAGACTTTGACGGGACAATTTTCATGCAAGATACCGGACATACTCTATTCGACAACTTCGGCTGCGGTCCTGAACGACGGGCTGCTCTCGCTCACCAGATGGAATCTGGAGAACGGACCTTCCGTGAAGTCTCCGACGAGCTTTACGCCTCGTTAGATGTTCCATTCGAGGACGGTTTTGAGGTTATGAAAACCGCCCTGGAAATCGACCCTGATTTCCAAACCTTCCACGAATTCTGCGTCAACAACAAGATTCCATTCAACGTCATTTCCGCCGGACTGAAACCAGTCTTGAGAAGAGTATTGGACCATTTCATTGGAGAAGATATGAGCAAGCACATCGAAATCGTGGCCAACGATGCCAAGATTGCCTCAGACGGCAGCAAATGGGAGGCAGTCTGGAGACACGACACTGACCTCGGCCACGACAAGGCACAATCCATCAACGAGTACCGCGAGGTGGCCAAGATGCAGAGTGACAATGGCACCATCCCAATGATCATCTTCATCGGCGATGGCGTATCCGATCTCCCCGCCGCTCGTGAATGCGATGTTCTCTTCGCACGTCGGGGACTGAAGTTGGAAGATTACTGCAAGGAGCACAGCCTGCCCTACATCCCATTCGATACTTTCGCCGACATCCAGAAAGAAGTCATCAAGATTGCTCAGGTTGACGAGGAGAAGACTCACGGCCGGGGTCTACCTACAACCTTCAACCCTCGTGCCAATATGTGGCGACGTGTTAGCAGCAAGGCCGCTGTGCCAGTCTTTGCCGCCCTCAGCCCTGCTAAGGAGGAAAAGGCATTCTTGTGGCCAGAGACATTTACCCAGACAGCCACCGTTAAGAATGCAGAAGGCGCAACTGCTGCTGTTGCTGCTCCAGTGGCATAAACTTGCAACGATCACCCTTGTCGAAATTCATTTTATACTCCTTCTACGGACAACATTCTTCACCTTTTCGATTCACTTCCTACACGACAGCGAACGGCGTACAGGATGATTGCTTTTTGCAATTACAGAGGTCACGAAAATGTGCAACGAAACGACATATAAATAATCTGGCTAGACAGAGTGATACCACACAACCTAGATACTAGATGATAAAAATAGACATATCATATTCGTCCTGGCTATTCCTTGCATATGTTATCCCCAGTGTTTCATGTCGTCAAACTTCTCTGCTGACCAGGACAAGCCTGATCAGCAATGAAATTGGTTTTTGTTTCTTTCATTTCGGCCAAAAACGTAAAGCCGAGTGGTTGTTTACCTTGTGTTTATGCCAGAGATCTGGCATCGCGCTTACCTAGGATCGATCATTTCGATTTCACGCGCCGCACGCCGTTCTTCTGCATCGAACCTGTGGGAGAGTCTGTTTAGACATGATTCAAGACGATGCAATGTCCTTAAACAGTCTGTCTCATTCGTGGAGATAGGGAGTGTGCAAGTCCCAAGCATGAGTGCATCTTCGAAAACCATTGCTGGTCCCTCTGCCCCGTCAGGCATCGGAGACAGAAGTTCCAGACGGAAAAAGGGTGGTCGAAGGAATGCGATATCACCATCAGGGCTTACAATGAGGAGGTTTTGGTCCTCCATAGCCAGGTGATGTTCTCCAGCTTTTACGTACAAGTCGCGCTCCTTGGCTGTAGAGATGATCAAGCCTCCGAGACCCGGACGTCTACATTTCAGCAACTCCGTGACACGCTTTGTCATTGCTGGAAGGAGAACGCCTTGCTGGCAGAGTTTGGGCTCGGCTCTGCAAAACGCGAAGTCCATATGACCCCAAACGTAGGGGGAGTGATGCAAGCCCCCTAAGCAGCCCAACTCGAACATGTGGAGTATCATCAGACTACCAGTGTATGAGAGGTTGCTCTCACTGTTCAGCGCTAATACTAACATGGTTCCGCCCAGCAGAGGAATACATTTGCGTAGATATTCATCGTCGCAACTGTCGAGTGCATCTGCCAGGGCGAGCACAGACGAAGCAGACCTTGGGTCATGTTTCACATGTGCCTGAAAGGGCAGCTGCATAGTAAGATCAACCACAGACATCTCAGTGTGTCGTTCAGCAGTCAGACCTTGTATGCGCGTCAACCGAGGCTTGTAAATCGACTTTGTCGACAGGTCGTCCCCGAATTCTGCACCACGTCACAGGAGGCTAATATCTTTTCATTAGCTTCCCGGCCTGTTGCCACTGTGAGTACCTCTCGGTGCAGCGAAGCGATGGCCTGGAAACGTAAAGACAGGTCGAGCTTTCGCACCTCATCAGTGGGCCTGGAGCGGACTGAGTCCCTAAGTGCGACCCGACCAGTATCCCATTCTTCATCCGGGATCACTGTCGTTTTTTTTTGGCCTTTTGCATGTTTTGAAGAGCTTCTGTTTTTTCAAACTCCAAAGACTTTGTTGTGTCTTGAGCTTTTTGTAAACACTGCTCGAGCTTTTGCACCTTATCGGTGTGTCGCTCCGAGCAGAAGTTTTCGACCTGCTGGGCCAGAGTGACACTGTTTCCGCACAGGAGGTTGACTTCTGCTTGCATCTTCTCATGCATATTTTGCAGGTTCTCCTCCGGCAGGTTTCAGGTTTTCAATTTCTGTTATAGCCTCAGCTAGGCGGCGAGAAAGATCGTGAGATCGAGTCTCGATTGTTTGAATCATGTTTTTCAATGTGCCAATGGCATCATCGTTTTGTTTAGCCTTTTCGGCATCTGTAGACTGGGACTGATTTGAAGCCATCTTGAACGTATCGTTCTAGCGTTCAGTTGTCGGTCGTGGGGAGAAGGAAGAAAAGAGTGAAGGTCTGAAATTAGAATGAGGTGAAAGGAAGCCTCACCTGCCAAGGAACGGTCAATTGGGCGCGAGCCTTGTCACATAACACTCGACGAGGCTGTGTGACTTTCCGACGAGGCTGAAAGTCACAACCTGTGCATGTAAAAAACCCACCCTCTATCTGGGCAAATAGGTATTCTCGTCGCACTTGATCTCCTACATTCTCTGAGGCTGCCCGTTCACTACCGCATTTTCCTCTCCCAAGTCTGATGCCACCACCTCGACTCCAACCCACGATACCCGCAACCTTCACAGCCAAAAAGTCCGAGATTCTCTCGATACTGGGACGTTCGGAGGATAACTACGCGGACCAGTCTCCTAAGGGCACTGTCGACGAGCAGATCCGGGATCTGATCGATGAGGTCAATGCATACGATGGCCTCGTGACCACCAGCAGCTGTGCCGGTAGGGTCGCAGTCTTTGTGGAGGGACCAAAGTCCAATGGACAAGACCGACCGCAACCTGACGATGCGCCGAGCGATCAGTCTGAGTTCGATGGCCGAGCAGATGAGGCTGAGAGCAAGGTGACTGCAACTACGATCTCGACATCTCCTGGCGGAAAGGGAGGAGGTCGTTGGCTCTACGTCTCGCACGATCCTGTTCACAGTCTGCAGCATGACAACGGACACAGTGACGCCCTGGACGAGTCTGCCAACTCAGCAGGAACGTTTACCCAGCTTTTCAATCTATCCCCCATGTCAGACAAGTCTCAACCCACTAGCTCAAGCACCGCTGCATCGAGTCCTCGTCTTATTCATCTCTCATTCTCTCCTCTCATCCTGCACATCCACTGCGCAACGCTCCGACACGCGCGTCCTCTACTAGCCGCCGCCATCAACGCTGGCTTTCGTGAAAGCGGAGTACAAAGCCTCCGGATTCTAGACGACCCAGAGCGCGGAGTGATGGTCGCGGTACGTACGGCAGGCTTATCATTCGAAACTACCGTAGGTGTTGTTGGCCATGATGCGGAGCACGAAGTCATGCAGAGCGTTGTGAGTGAAGACTACCTTGCGATGTGTGTCAACGTGGTCAATGAGCGGTTCGGATGGAATGGCGAGCGGCGTGAGAGGTTCAGGACGGAATTACGGCGGGCGATGGGCCGCGGAGGGTTTGGACAGCCCCAGGACGAATGGGAGGACAAAGAAGCAAGAAGAGCACGGAAGAGACAAGAGGGCCTGGCAAGACAGAAGAGGGAGACTGGCGCAGTGGCAGCGACTGGCGCTGGCGATAAGGCAGGGAACGGTGACGATCTCGGTGACGGATTGGGAGCCCTTGGTATCGATTGAATGGATGTTCTTTACACGCTCGCACTAAACAGGCTCGCTGACATTGGTCGTGAGACTTGTCTCCGATCACCCGGCCAGGCTTTCGAAGAACAACGACAGACTTTGACCGTTTAAAACTGGTACCAGAGCATTCTGGAGACGGCCATCAAGCCTGTACCTTTCTGCTCGAATGGGTCAAACAAGTTGGACGCCTCGCCAGCCTGCTCGGAAGACCTGTCATCAGCTACAGCGCCCAGAGCCAGCTTCAGAACCCGGTGCCCCGTCTTCCCGAAAGTACATGCTATCAGAGTCTCAGTTGAGTGTCATCTTCGACCTCAAAAAGCGCTCATGGCCCCTTTGAGTTTGACGTGACCCAAGATCCAGTCCATATGCCGGGATCGTCTCCAGCATACCGGGAGCCCGTTCACATCCCGGCAGCCAGTCCGCCATTCCGAGAGACAGATCAGTCATCCAGATTGTCGAGCCAGTCACAACCTCGGCCACTAATGAGGAGCGCAAGAACGCATTCGTCAACACTTCCTTCACAACCGTATACTCACGACCACTCTACTCGGCAATGGTCTGTACAAGGAGGCACATCGCGATTACTAGAGAAGAGACGGGTATAAGAACAATGATTGCCGGCAATCAGCTGCCAAACATGGTTGGTACAGGGACTATTAGTACAATATGTGCAACTAGAAGTACAACAGTATTCAATGGGTATCATCACAAAATCATAACACCGCCAATCTTCACTCTGAGCGTCCTTGCTCTTGCATCATCCAGCAATCATGAAACATTCATATGCCATCCAGCAATCGCATCGCATAAACGGGGACAAATCACATGCCGGACAAACACCACCCGCAACACTTTCAGCCATCCGACGAGAGCGGCCATGTCATAGAGCATCTGATCAAACACTGAGCCTCCGTAGTGCGACGCAACAACTGCTCACACCAGCATTGTTGATTGCCTTGATGGAATCTTCTCTGATGCACGGGCTTACTTCTTCTCCGGAGGCCCCTTCTTGCTCTTATTCTTGTTATCCCCTGTATCCTCATACCCTCCACCCTGCGCCTCATATCGTTTGGCCAATTCGCCGGCCTTCCAAGCCGACCAGGATCCCTTCCCGCCTCCCTTTTCCATATTCTTGACCTCCTCCTTGACCTTCTCGCGGAGTTCAGGGTCCGTGGGGTTTCCCTTGGAACTAGGCATCTTTGCTGGGGCTCTATTTCTCTCTAAGAGGATATGTCCTTGGTGGTGATGGAGGAAAATCGTGCAGCAAATATATCAGTATTCGACCTCGTGCGTGTTGCGATCACCGATGCTTCAGGATACTCGAGGCCGTACTTTTCGAAGACGACGTCGAACCCGTGGACGACTGACTGCCTCTCGACGTCGAATTTCTCGATTTCGTTGAGCCTGACGCTGACCGAGTCGATATTGAACTACTCGTCCTCTGTTTCGTCTCGGTGGTAGGTGATTCCGGTGAGTACTCCGGATCGGTAGCCTTTCGGAGGATTTCTCTCAGAGAGTCTTGAGCATTCGAGGACGGCGAGGAAGGTGAATGTCGAAACGTTGGGAAGCGAATCATTGTGAAAGAGATGCCTGAATGCCGGACTCAGGAGAGGATATTATATCTTGGGTGATGTGGTTCGTTCCAGCGAGAACGAATTCGGATAGTGATGATGTATTGTATTCAACCTCGGCCCCAGCCCTTATCGAATGTTTCGATCTTGCCTATCTGAACTTATCGGATCGGATACGAAACCCTTCGCGACGTGCAGTGAGTAAAGTCGTATGTAGATGTAAGCCTGCTCTTATCGTGTCTCCGGAGATTTGTCGAGAAAACAGTTGATATCTCGTATCGATAAAGAGGACTGTGGCTATAGAATGGCTGAAGAACAAAATGGAAAGAACACTCGATGTGGAGAATAGAGATCAAAGGGGCGAGCCGAAAAGATGATAAAGCCGCAGAAATGTGTAGACGTCACAGGCTCTTCTGTGGTACTAAAGACCGATGGTGGCAGATCAAAAGGATCAGATCGTAGATAATCGTAGGTTCAGGCGGGATAAAAGTATGTAGATCAGCGCGTGACACAGGCACAGACACAAACCTTCGGAAAGGTATTTGTACTCGTCGTACAAAGATATATCTCAGACACGAAGAGATGTAGAACAGACCAGAAACACAAGTGGCTGTGTCGAAGGGTTTTGGCTGTTTGGTGTTTTGTCTCACCTATTTTTTTTCGCTGTTTCTCCATTCGCGGTGTCGCCTCTCATGATCTCATATTATTCTTGTACACTTTTCTCCTTTGTCAAAGAGCCGCGGCTGAAAAAGCCTACCCTAGAGTGCCTGGTGAGAGAAAAGTCGATCGAAGAGGCGGCTGATGATTGCCGGTCCAAACGGTCCAAGCGCCAGGCGCTAGAAGATTCGTCTTTCCATGGAGAAGCCATCCGTCCATATAGCCAATCCACAAAATTTCGTTATAAGATGTTTGATTGGATCATTCGTGATCAGCCGGATATCGCACAGACCTCGTGACCTGTGAATGGTGTCAACCATCCGCCATGACTTCATATTGGGCTGCCTGGTCTGGAGTAAAGATCCGAGTACAACTACACTTCTGTCAGCCAGCCTCGTGACTTTTCAAAACCAGATTGTATGATCGTCAGAAGACAAACATGAGGTTGGGGTCAATTTCTTCTTAAAGAAAGCTTTGTCTGCAATAATGTCCGTTGAAGTGTCAAACGATGAAGACCGCACCGTGATCCCCAGCCCATGGTACTGTCTAGATCGAACCCCCCGATAGAGATCGAAATAAGTGAGCCCGCGTCACGCAGACATCCCGAAGTAAGGTAAGATGTAGTATCACATCACTGAACACTCCCCATCACTTTGCCGGTTCACATTCGATCTCGAAACCCTCGTCTTCTGCATCTTCTGACCCTTTTTCAACTCCTCCAATCGTTCACGTGCCTTGGGGAAATATTGAGCTGGAAGCATGTCAGTCAGTCATCGACGGCAATAGGTAAAGGAGAGATACTCACAGGCAGCCCGGTAATACCACCGCTTCGCCTCCTCAACATCCACCGCCGTACCAATCCCAACCTCATAAAAGTATCCCATGGCATACTCCGCTTTTGCAAGTCCCGAACTCGCAGCCTTTCTCGCCCACAAAAACGCCTCAGTATCGCTCTGTTGAAGTAATGGTTCCGATCCGGTCAAATACCATCCACTAAGCGCCAACTCGGATTGATGTTCCCCTTGCGCCGCTGCCTTCGAGTACCACGCGATACTTTGTCGTGCGTCAATCGGACAACCGAGCAAGCCATACTCAAATGCCGATCCCAATCGAAATTGTGAATACTTGTAACCCAGATCCGCCGCTTGTTGGAAAAGCGACAACGCATACTTTTCGTCCTTGACAATATGATCCGTAGACGCTGCCGACTCATACAACAACCCCAGTTCGTGCAAAGCGTGGGGGTTGTCTTTGTCCGCCCGTTCTGCCGCTCTCTTCAACCAAGACACTGCTTCTCTTGGGTTCTTCTGCTGTCCAAGCAGACCCTTCAGGAGGATCATGCCCATCTTGTACATGGCCGGTGCGTCTCCCAACGTCGCAGCTCGTTTATACCATTGCATGGCCTTTAGCGGGTCTCGTTTAGTGCCGCCACCTTCTTCAGATCCCAATTCGCAGCAAACTGCCACTCGATATGCGCTTGGTGCATGACCCACTTTGGCCGCCGATTGATACAGATGGAAAGCTTCCTTAGGATCCACAGGTAGTCCCAGAAGCCCTTGTCCATGACAATCGGCAAGGTAGAACATGGCCTCGGGGTAATTGGTTGCCACCAACTTCTTGATCAATTTATGCGCTTCGAAAATGTACCGTTCTCGATTCTTCTGTGTAGTCTTGGCGTCTGCTTTACCACCATCATCTGACAAGACCTTTGCAGCTTCCACCAGCTTTTTGGCCAAAGTCAGTCCCAGCGCCTGATCGGTCGGCTTTTTGCTGTACTGATCGCGGAGATTGTTCAGCTCCTGAACGGTAAGCTGTGGTGCAGCTGCGCCGTTAGCGAGAGCGGCTATCTCTTTTCTCTGGATAGGTTGGGCTGTGGGCTGCGGCGGATAGCCATTGCTGCCATTGGGTCGAACTGGTTCCGGATGAGGTGGCAATGCATCTGGGTTGACGGCGGCTGGGTTGGCCGGGGCATTCGAGTTTCCATAGTGTCTTACAGGGACTGGATGCGCAGAAGACGTGCCCGGTCGAGGCGCTGCCGGGTTGTAATTGTCCTGTGACATCTGCCTAGGAGGGGGAAGACCACCTGCATAATTGTCTTGGGACGGTTTTCGCAGAGCTGGTCCTTGACCATACGGCTGCCGGAATTGCTGAACGGGGCTTTGGCTATATCCTTGATTTTGTGGCCCTGGGCCGACAGGTGCCGAGTCAGAGCGCATCTCTGGCGATAACTTCTGGCCATATGGGTTGCCCATATCATAGTTCTGTAGTGGCGGACGTGGTGCATTGGCTGTATGTGGCCTAGGAGGATATTGGCCTTGAGCAGGATATTGCCTCTCACTAAACGAACGGTAACCTTGCGTATCGACCGGGATAGCTGGAACATTTCCCATGGGTGGCTTTATGCCATTCCTACTTGCGGATCGAGGAGGATACTGTGGCTGCTGTCGTTGCATGTCCCCATATCCGTTTGCCGGTGCTCCCCGTGCATCATAATTCCTCTGATTGGGGTGTCCTTGCTGATTTTCAGGAGACCGCCGGTCCAGAGGCCTGTTTTTTTGAGTCGGACCTATGTCGAATGAGAATTCGGCCAAAGGAGAGTTCATCTCATTCGCAGGAACTTGGCCATTCTGAGCAGTATTAATCTGTCCAGGGTATGCGCCTGGAACTTGATAGGTTGGCTTTTGATAGACTTGTTGGTCAAATTCGGCCTTCTCGTTTGCTTGTGCTGGTATAGCGTCGAAGTTTGGCAGTTCATTGCTCCTCGTCTTGCCGTGCACGGCACTAGGCACAGCTCGATATGAACTTCCATCGTAATGTTCCAGTGCAGGTGGGCGAGCTTGTGGCGCTGGTGGCCGAGGTGCCTGTCTTTGCCGTGATTCAGTAGGTGGAACAGGTACTCTTGCAGGAGGCATATGATCTTGCGGGTAGCCTTGGTCGCGCGTGGCGTGGTCATTGCGTGGTCTGGCTTGAGGCGGGTAGTTTCCACCTCCATCATACGGCACTCGAGCATCATAATTGTCGAAACCGCCATATGTCCCAGGTCCACCATGATCCTGATTCATTGGTGGTGATACTCGTACGTCCTGTCTGGGTGGGCGCCTAGGTGAATTCGGGATACTGTCCTGGCGAGGGTAGTTTCTACCTCCATCGTAAGCACCTTGATCGTCATAACCGTTCATACCTCCATATGAGCCAGAGCCGCTGTGGTCTTGGTTCATGGGCGGTGGCCTTCGTGGTTCTTGTCTGGGCGGATGCATAGGCGAACTTGGCATACTCTCCTGCGGTATAGATGGTGGCTGACGATATTGATCTTTAGGGACGCGCGCAGGAGGCACTTGATGATCCCGCTGGGGCGGAGGGCGACCCATGGTTGGAGGGGCCATTGGGATGTCTTGACGACCACTACCATTAGGTACTTGAGAATCTTGTCGTGGCGGAGGACGCCCCATGTCTAGAGGAGGTGTTTGGGGGCCCTGCTGGACACGTCCTGGTGGTGGTGCATACTCCTGTCGTGGTGGAGGGCGACTCATATCTGGAGGAGCTGTTTGGAAATCCTGCTGGCCACGCTGAGGAGGCGAGTGACGAATCCGTCTGGGGGAGTTCGGAGTATTGTCCTGCGGTCTGGACGGCGGCGGACGATAATTGTCTGCAGGAACGCGCCCACTGCTCGTTTGAGAATCTTGCCGAGGCGGAGGACGGACCATGTCAGTAGGAGCCATTTGGGGGTCCCGCTGACCACGCCCAGGAGGCGCTTGATGATCCTGCCTTGGGAATGGACGAGGATCGTTTGGGGGAGATGTTTGGAGGTCCTGTTGACCACGCCCAGACGACAATTGAGAATCCTGCCGAGGCGGAGGTCGAACCATGTGCGGAGGAGTTGTTTGGAAAGATTCCTGAGCAATTCCCAGTCCAGGACGCTGATTGTGTGTTGTGTCAGATAAGGGCAAGGGCGCAGGCGGCTCTTTCCTGCGGTGACCATGAGAAGTATGCGGTCGCGACTCGTCGCTGGCAGGGCGATCAAGGTTCAGATTGTTGAGTTCAGCATCCAGGCTAGCATGCCGGTGAGTTTCACCATGCTTCTTATTCTTAGCAGGGAAAGCACCGAATGGGTTGTCCCATGCCAGACTCTTCGGTGATGTTGGTTGAGCCAGGATACGTTCACGCTCACGTGCTATATCAAAATCAGTATGTCATCATGTATGTCCAGGTAGTACTCACGTTTCGATCTCTTTTGTGGGTTGGGGGGTCCAGACCTCTGGTCTCGCGGCGGTCTCTGTCCATCCGAGTGGCTTGAAGGATGTTGTTCTGGCGCTGGTCTGCTGTGACCATTGGTACGATACCGTTCGTCGTAATGATATGTGCGATCGGAAGGAGGAGGAGGAGGTTGCTCGTAGTAGGGCTCTCCGTTGGCATAGCCATTTTCGTTGTCATTATATTGATCCTGGTAGCCACCTTGTGGGTATTGGCTCTGGTTCTGCCACTGTCCTTGCTGATCATGATTTATTGGCGCCGGCGCCGGTGCAGGACCAGGCCCGTACCCATTGCGACTTTTGGGTGCTTCATTGTACCGTTGGTATTCCTCTTTATATGCGCCTTGACCACGCCCATTCTCTTGCCACTGCATTTGATCATTCCTGCGATCGTACTGGTACGGTTGTTGTACCTGAGTCGGACCTTGCTGCCATTGTTGGCGATATTGATTGCTAGCCATGATTGCAGGCAGAGGTCAGCAGACAGATCGGATCAATCCGACTGCACCGCCGTTGCTTTTGTCGCCGTTCTGGATGAGTCCGTATGCGGAAGGACGAAGGAAGCGAGTGAGCCGCTTTTACGTTGAGTTCAAAGTCACAATCTCAATGGTAGTCATTGTTCGGTTGCAGACATTACCGAGTCAAAGAAAGGAACAAACAGCTCGAGCGCAGCTGGCGGGCAGCTGTGAGGAAATGACAATCAACGATGCAGAACCGGCTGGCTCTCGAAAAGAATATTGTTGTCGCAGTGCCGTCATACCATAACAGGTCTTGTCGGCACTGTTGATGTGTGGTCCAGAAAGTGAGTTCAGTTCGGACCGCAGGTTGACTCTTGCTCGTGGGTGTGGGAGGAACAACGTCCTGGGGGCTTCTCTAGCCGACTTTGGCAGGAACCCTAGTGCGCAACCGCCCAAACCAATAACCATGCAGGAGACTCTGCCCCCGGGAGCCCCTCCCGGCTCGCTTGCGGCTTCATCTCGTAAGCCTCGAAATGGTGCCTGGGGCAATCTAACATGATACTATGTATTCAACTTGACCCATTTCCTGTGTTCTGTTCAGCTGAAAACTTCAAACACATGACAGGTTTGCCAATGGGTACTATGGGCGCATGGCCAATACAGGAACAGGCTTCTTCGGTCGGGGTGGCTGGTGTCAACCTTTGCGGCACGGCGCCACGGACAAGCATCAGGCACAACCTCTTGATTCGCGTATCGATGCTGCATGGCTGGGCACCAGATCGTCCGCTAAAACAAGGCTACCCGCTGTCTGGATCTCTTGGGCACAGAAAGTTTCCGTCACAGAAAAGGCACTGGAGAGGCTGTGTATTCAGCATCAGTCATGATCAAATACTGCGAACATCGTCCCCGTACATCGTCACATGGCCAGTGCCCTCTGCCATGTGATGCTTGCAAGGTGGGCATACTATCCAACTTGTCAGCTGCATCCAGAACCGGCTATCCAGGAAGCCAGGCGTGGCTGGATGCTCGCGCGCCACAGACGATTCGTAGCCCTATGCCTGCGCCACAACATACGACGATGAAACAACAAGAATCTTCGTTCAAACCTGCAAATCTAACGGTCAAGGTTTCAAGGAAAAACAGGGTTGAAAATCAGCAATTAGTATGGATCAAGCCCTACTGCCGGCATTAAGCTCTCCCGGTCTCAGCAATCGTGCTCAACGCTGCCACGTCGTCCCAGCCTTCTTCGTGCCACACATATGCGACGTCATCCACAACATCTCGCATGCGTAGTGCACAAGGTTTCAGCGCACAACATCGACGACACTCGTTGGGTTAACTGTACGGGAACTCTCCGCAGATGACTCTCACCTAAGACTTTTCACAGTAATCCATATTCACCATATCCCACAATTAATGATTGACAACAGCAATCTCAATCGGTCCAAACGACTCTGCTTGGTGCACCTCGAGTAAGCCTTTCGTAGCAAGAGCAAGAACGTGGAGAAACCCTTGTGCACCGACGGCCTGCGAATTCACCTCTGGTGGTAGGAGCTCCGCGAAGGTGACCATTGTAGCATCCTGTGGAACACCTTCGTCCTCCGCGTCCTCGGCTCCACGCTTTTCTTGTATCTTGGTGTCCACAAAGTTCAAGAAATTGTACGCTTCGTTCTCTAGCGTCGCGGCGACCCATTGACTCTGGGCAGCCGTCTGCGTGTCAACCGCGGCAGAAGGGCCGTACAGCTCGAAGTCAGCATCCGTGTCAAGACCGAGTTGCTCGTCCAGATCAGCAAACTCATCTTCGTTACCCGTCAATAGCGAAGGCTCTTGACTGCCGGCCCTGGAAAATGATAGACCTCTACCTAGCAACGGGCTTGCGGACATGAGACGAGACCGACGCCTTCCAATGCTGGAAGGGGGCCCCAGTTCCATACCACCAGCAAGACCACCAACGCTGGAACTCAGTCTCGGTACGACTCCACTTCCTAATGGCTGAGCCGAGCTGTGACGAATTGCAGAGGTGTTCCAGGGCATGCCTGAAGAATGGTCTGGTAGGGATGGCGGCGCGGCCCGACCGACCTCGCTCTCAATATTGATGTCATCTCCTTGGATCAAGCCGTCGTCGTCGCCAACCATGTACTGATCACCGTCTTCACCACGAGCGACTTCTTCCTGAGATACTGTTCTGGTCCTGACACGTCTGCCATCCTCATTCTCATTGTCGCCAACTGACGAACCACTATGGGATCGTTTTGTGCCAGCAGGGACGCCTCTCAATAGTTCCCAAAGTGACTGACCACTGAAGATGGCTAGTGGATGAGGGTTCTTATCATCGCCAAATTTCGACGCAATGTTTCCGATGCCTTGATGCAGGATGAAGAACTCGGCATTCTTCTTTGCTTCGAAGTGCGAAATCTGGTTCCGCTTGACTGTCAGAGCGGCCGCCATGTTTGTAAGGTAATTCTGATTCCACTCAGTCAACTCTCGATTGCTCAACTCGGTCCGCTGGTCAGGTCTGATGGCCTTTGCTTGACGCACACGTCGCTGGGGCGCCTCTGCTGTTTCCGGTGACTCCTCAGTGGGATGTGCGGACGAGTCAGCACGTTCGGACCGGCGCTCTTCGGGATCCGCAGGCTGTGGTGTGACTGGTGCTTCTAATGTCTGCATTGCTGGTTCATCGTCGCCAAAGTAGACACCATGATCATCGACGAGCATACTTTGCTGAGGGCCTTCAATCTCTGCTACCTCCGCCTGTTGCTCTATACCTTCCATTGCGTCTCCGTCGGTGTGTAATGCACTTTGCTCTGTGTCGGCAGCTGCGAGGTCTGGGTCTTGATCAGCCTCACCCACTGGGAGGAGCGCACCATCGTCTCCGACGTCGAAGACGTCATCTTCAAGGACGACGGGCTCATTGTCAAAGACCGAAGGTGTGTGTCCGGCATTAGTTCCTGACCTTCCAGCTAAGCTAGTGCCTGCTGCAACTTCGAACCCACCATACCCACCAGACCCCGATGGTGTGCCATAGGAAGGTATGTCGATGCCAGCTTCAGCTTGAGGGTCCTCCTCTTCTTCGTTGATTGGCAGACTAGACTGGCTCGAGGGTAGAGAACGAGGAGATGAGAAACTGAATGCAGAGAAGTCATCCGAAGTGAATCCGAATCCGAAGGCTGACAGATCGAAATTGAGGTGAAGGTCAGGAAGGAAAAGCGGATCCTCGGAGATATTGAGCTGTTCAGGTCTATGATTGTCTGTCAGCCTGACCTTGTTGCAAGCTCAATCGTTCGTTACCTAGTCTTGCCAACTTCCGGATCGACTTCCATCTCTTTGAAGATCTGTTCCGTACCTCTCATCTTGTCCCACAGACTCGTGACGTCCGTCAAAACGTATCCGCATTGTTGCGAGAACACGCGTGAAACGCCGAAGCTGCGGTAGAGATCAGCATCATCAAGTCAAGATTGCTGAGTAAGGAAGGACATACAGCAGGCTGCCCTGCAACCGCAAAGCCATTGGCAACTCGGGCTCGGTGATGGTCTTGCATGCCTTGGGAAGATCAACCTCGAGAATGGCTCGTCGCGTCACTTTCTTCAGATTGGACTTTTGACCCAGTGTTGCCACAAGCCAAATGGTTGCAACGCCATGCTGAGGGCTCGTGAGAACTGCAGACCTAGGTATTAGCAAGATGATGGGTGGTTCTGGTCAGAAGACGCACCTTCGTGGCTATAGAACATCGTTGCCTACAGTCCGCCTGAGTACCAGGTACAACTGTGTGCTGCCGAAACTTCGCCCGCTGCAAAGATGAGCAACAAAGGGATTGAAACACAACAATGTAATCGAGGAACAGGCGCGTAGACAAACAGGCCCGTGAAATGCGGAAGAGTCGGGGCGGTATCAGTAAACGAAGAGAGAAAGGAAGGTGCCTGGACAAAAGGGCTTCACAACAACCTCACCTGAACCAAATTGGCCGCAACGCAAGAGAGACAACGGTACCGAAAAGAAATTTAGTAGACTGGTCGTAGTTCATTCTTCTCGCCTTTTAACACTGCTTCAAAGGTCGGCAACCACAACACCCTTCCTCGCTCATCCCATTTCCAAGCAAGTATATTCATTTCAATCCATCTCGTCATCTAATAGGCGCCTTGAGGCTGGATGCATCACTTTTTGCATCCCTCCCGTCCAAGAGGCCAGTGACACACCAAGTATATGCAGAGAGGACAAAGGTCTTCCATCTTCTCAAAGCTCGAACCTCTCTAGTCTGTAAAGAATCATAAAAACTTTTCAATACGCCTGATCTCCTCCAAACTCAAAGAGACCTTGACTCGGTGAAATAACAGAGGCAGTACTCTGAAGCGCCCAATCCATGCTGGTTTTGATTGTACTACTCCAAGGGGATTCCCTCATACTCACCATAGCCTAATGCCAGATTCATATTTTCTGCGCCACGCGTTAGTTATTTTGTGAGGCAAGGGAACGGTGGTAGACTTACGAAGACATTGCGTCGCAGCACCCTTGAGCAAATTGTCAATGGTGGCACAAATAACCACCCGCTTCCCACTGGAGTGGACAGCGAAGCCACCAACTTCAACACCATGACGATGTGCAATGTTCTTGACCGAAGGAGCCTCACCAATGATCTTCAGGAGCTTCTCGCCAGCGTAACGATCTTGGTACAACGTTCTGATATCACGTGACTTCATCTCCTCCTTCAAAGGAATGTTGATAGTGTGGTGGATACCTTGGAACCAAACAGCAACATGAGGAATGAAGCCCACTGGAGTGCCGAGTTGTGCAGAGATTTCCCGTTCGTGGATGTGATCCGTCAAGCTGTAGGCAATGATGTTGTCCGTCAAGTTGTTCACATCGTTCTTTGGGCTGGGTTTGGTACCCGCACCGGAATAGCCAGAGACACCAAAGACAGTAGGCTGACCACCAAGATATGGAACCAAAGGAGCAATGCCAAGTTGAGCAGCTGTAGCATAGCATCCAGGATTGGCAATTCGGGTAGCTTTGGCAATCGCAGAGCGATCTACCAATTCGGGAAGACCATAGGTCCAAGCAGGATCGAATCTGTAATCCGCACTTAGATCAATGATGACACTGTTCTTTCCAACTTGATCAATAGCGTCGACGAATGGCTTGCACACGCCATTGGGAAGAGCCATGACCCAACAATCAACAGCACCTTCTTCCTCCATGTTTCGGACGTCTTCAACACTCAGGTTCTCGTAGGTGATATCACGCTTGTTGTAACCCTTCAACTTCTGTCCCGCGAGCTCTCGTGATGATACATGTCGCAGATCCATGTTAGGATGACGGTTGAGAAGGTCTACCAGAGCTTTGCCAGTATAACCTCTGGCTCCGATCAGTGCAACCCTCGAGGGCTTGCTGTTGGAGCTGTTCTTGGAGCCAAGTGGAGGGTTGGGGTTTGTGGTAGAGTATGAGCGGACAGAGAGGGCAGGCTTGGTGACGTATCTGGCTTGCCGCGATGCGCGTAGAGGGTTCGCTTGAGTTGAAAATGCTCTCTGCTGCGCCGGCATCTTCGCAGTGTTGCTGCCCGAGTTCTGCGCAGCTCTATCTCTCGCAGCACGTTGAAGCTTAGACTCGAGGTTGATATCACCAAACATCTGTCGTCCATGTTTGGTGAACTCGACCATCAAGTCCTTGACTTCGTCGCTCGTCTCCAAGCCGTACCAGAAGAGAACTTCGCCGTCCTTCGAGAGACTACCGTCGGCCTTGTCGAAGAACCACGTCAGGTTCTCGTCGTCTTCCTTGACAGTCCACATCAACTTGGGAAAATCCTTCTTAATCGCAACAAAGATGTTGTCAGCAACATTTGTTAGCCAACCGTTCTTGGTGATGGTCAACGTAGCCAAATGAGCGAGCGTTGTGTCACCACTGGGTGGCAGGACGATTCCAAAAGCTTCCATAGGTTCATCAAAGTAGGCACGGAATTCTCGCGATTCCAAGCCCTTGACATATCGATCAACAATCGCTTTGGCATCAAGACCGGCGCGATCTCGGATGAGCACCTGTTTGAGCTGCTCAATATCCTTGAATTGATCGATAGATGTGTTGATGTGGACTTTGTTGCCTCGGCGGATCAAAGTACCAGCTCCTGAGTCGGTGAACAGCTCTTTCTGCAGGTCTGCAGGGTGAATGATAGCAACGCTAGAGGAGCGCGGCAGATCCATGAGAAGCTCTTTCATCTCCTTGATCTTCAGCCGGGTGCCGTGTCTAACCCACCACTGCGTCATGAGATGGTCATACTCCTCGTCCAGGTTGATCGCCGAGATCTTTTCCTTGGTGTCTCCATTAAACAACCCACCTTTTTCAGAAAGATAGACAATTTTCAGTGGTTGAATTGCTCTCGCGAGCTCACCTGCAGCGACGTCCGCGTTAACATTCAGGATCTGTCCGTCCTTGGACTCGGCCATTGAGGTGAGAATAGGGAGACAGCCCGCCTGGATGGCAGCCTCGATGGGTTTCTTGTCGACATGGTTGATCTTGCCAACGAGGTTATATTTCTCTTTGTCGAGGTAATCTGCCGTGAACACGCCTGAAGTGATCGGTCTTGCGCGGACACCTAGGCGCTCAAGCTCTTCAACTAGACGCAGGTTTTCCTCCAGGAACAGGGCGCGTGCGATACCCAACGTCTTTGGATCTGTGACTCGAATGCCATCTTCAAATTGTGGTTCCACCCCAGAGTCTTCTAGAATCTTATTCAATTGTGGTCCGGCACCGTGAACGACAATTGGGTAGAGACCAACGTGGTTCAAGAATGCAAGCGCCGAGGAGAGAGTCTGAAGGTGCTCAGTCAAGATAGCTCCACCAACCTTGATCACAGCGAATTGCTGAGAAGAGACCGAGGTGAAGTGTGACAGGTATTGAGCAACCTCTCTCTTTGAGCCAATGTTACTGAGCAATTGGACCACGGTCGCTCTTGTGGAGGGGTTGGAAGCAGAGGGAGACGAGTATGCTCGCCGGGAGTTGAGTTGATGTGCGGCAAGGGGAGTAGGAGTCGATCTAGCCAGACGGAGAGCTCGAGAGGTTCGGGGACGGACTGAAGGAGCCGCTGCTCGGGTCACTGCTCGCGCAGCAGCTGCACCAATTGCCGACATCGTGCTTCAGATCATGCGGCAGCTGTTAAACAACGGGGGAGAAAGCGTAGGTTGGTGATCGCAGGAATGCCGGAAAGAGGGGATTGAGGTGGTCGAGCAAGAGAGGAGAGCACGTAGAGAGGAAGACAACAGCAGATGTCGATGTAAAAGGGCCCGCCTCAAGGACTCCGTATCTCATGCAATGCGAGAGAATTTATCGTAGGGTGGCTCCCTGATAACAATTTTTTCATGCATCATGCAGCAAAGAGACAAAATATTTTGCGGGGTGAGAATGTGAGTCGTCAACGAGCACCGACCAACCCCAAAGCTGGAACTGCGGTGCTTCTCCGACGGCCTCTCAGTAGGTGGCGTGCCCGCCAAAGCTGGTTGGATAGCTCCACGACGCCGACCTTCGGCTGCTGGGTAAAATTTTCTCAAGCAAAACTCTTCCTTACCCTCTGCCAAAAGCAAAAGATGATGCTGGTCCTGCAGGATGAGCGACTTGCGGCCTAATTTGGACCACTGAGGAGCGAGTCAGGGTGCCTATCAGTCCCTGAATTGTTGCATGTGCACGCAGGCTCAAAAATTTTCAATGCTCAGTTTCGCTACATTGCATTCAGTATTCTATGCTGCATCAGTGTGCACCGCCGAGGAGATCGATACACATCTCCTGAAGTACTCCCGGCCTGTCTCTGTACTAACGTACGCTTCCATAGAGGGAAACACCTGGAACTCCCCAGGGATTCAGCCGGGCGTAGATGCCAATGCGGAAAGAAAACTTGACAATCAGCACAGACAGAATAGCGAACTGGAGCCATGAAGCAGTGGACCCATCGGAGTCATGGTATTATTGTAACAAAGTAGCCGTCTCATTGTGCCCTCGAACGCCTTCAAATACTGTGCAAGTGCCCCTTCATCACGCTTCCTGTTCTCCTCAACCGTACATCAGAGGGATGAAGATGGGGCACTCCTGACTTCTGCTGTAGTAGGCGACCTTGTTGGAATGACGGAGCGTCTGCAGCCCTCTCCACCTATTTCGCATTGTACAAACGCTAGCCAAAAGAACAAGACTGGTGATTCTGATTTCGTAAGGAAGCTTGTCGGTCATGTCTTCGCAAATATACTCGATCAAACCCGCTAGTGTCTGGTAGCAACCACTGTTTCGAATGTCAGTCAGTTGCACGCGGAACCGAGATCAGAAAGACTTACCGGCTGGGACGATAATGACGATCAAGAGAACAATGATTCCGACGATCAGACACATGCGCATCTTCATATCCTTCCACCACATCTGTTTGCGGACACGATTGGCGCCTCTTCGGAATCCTTGGGCACTAACGGCAAGATTGTCGGTCTTGTCCTGGAGTGAGTCCAGGCGCTCGCCTCTCTGGGATACTTTATTGATGTTCTCGCGCATCACACCCACGGTGTCATCGATTTGCTGCGAGAGTCCAACGTTAGCCTCATTCTTGCTATCTCGAACAACAGATGTAACGCAGAAACTGCGCAATCGTTAAGTCCTCCGGAACTCTTCTGTGATGAGTGCCAGCATCACTGGTAGATGTTCCGACGCGCCTGTGGAACATTGGATGAAGGTCACAACCTGCGACACTCAGGCGCCAGGTTTTGAGGTTGCCATCACCAACGCCGCAAACGACAATGCTCAATTGTAGATATAACATACCGCTTGCAAAGCAGCCGTTCTTTGATTTCCGGCAGGCTGCGCACCGCCGCCCTGTCCGCCAGAGGGGATATAAGGGTCGTAGGGTTGTTCTCGTTCGGCCATGGTTGATACTGAGGGTGGTTTGATGGGGTGTGAGGATAGGAGAGGAGGTCAGGTCGATTGTGGCGGGTGATTTATCGCAGCGATCAGGAGATTGTGTTGAAGGAGCTCTAAGAGTTTGGACGAGTGCGAGGATGAGAATTGTGAGGATGAGGATAAGTTGAATGAGTGTTGGAAGATGACTTGAATGGAGGTTGGCGAAAGCTGACGCTGGGCTGGTAATCTGGCGCTTTGGCTGCGACCCAGGGGACGGACGGTGGACGGATCTGCGAGACACCCGCGAGTCAGTCTCTCAGGTCTTTGGCCACCCCTAAACACGGCCTTGTTTCACAGCACGTGATATTTCTGCACGACTCTTTTAAATACTGTGCTCGTTTTAGAATTGTCCGCTATCTCCAGTTTTTTATATTGTTTCAGGAGAATTGATTGCGTTTTGAAGATGTTACGTCAATCCTCATTCTCTTGATAACATAGAGGGATTTACTGTTCCTATTCCATCGACACCGAATGCTCTCGATTTCTTGGTGGCTGACAGAAAACTCGCGGCTCGCTTGAGAGGCAGTGCTCTGGGCAACATGACGGACACGCAAAGACCATTCCTCCGCCAGAATCCGTTCGCCTGCCAGCCAGCCTAGTCCATCATCAGCCTGGTCGCTTCGCATGGGTACTGCCATTTTAATAACGCATCACACCGGTGCCTTTAGTTGTTCATCATACGATCTTCCGGCCGAACGCTCCGCAGCCGAAGGCAGCAGTAAATGCTTCTGTTAATGCATGCACCTCCGGAGGGCTGGCATCAAGCAGTGTAGCCATGCCATCTCGTATTGCTCCATGAACTATGACTGCCCGGGCGCACCGGTGGTGTCCCAATCATGGAGAGTCGTACTGACCAGATACCTTTCCGCCAATCATAATCTGCCAAGCCCGCGGGCATCGAAGTGTCGTGCATCATTGAAGTACAGTAGACTCCAGACTTCAAAGATGCGACTATCGTCACAATACTCAGCCATAAGACGCCCGTCAAGAAGACAGAGCCCCGGCTGCCGCATCTCTGAGAGCAAGCTGTCTGTGTTGTTATTGTTGAATCAGACAGGCGAGGACGACCACCATCACGGCGCAGTGCCGTCTCACCTCGCAGAATGGCTTCACGCGGACGCATGTGGGCCAAGATGGCGGGAATGTAAGAATGCATGTTCCATGCGTGCGCTGGCCCAATACTGACATGCGGTCCAGCTTTGTCGTATTCTCCCTGGGCGGTCCAGCACTGATGTACTAGTAAGTCTTTGCTCAACACCGAACAGCCTGTCTACTCGATGGCCGACCTTCCGCGTCGACGACATTCATGTATCTAACCGATTTTGCTGCTGGTAGCGTCACACCGGCTGAAGGAGAAGTATTCAAGAAGTTCAACCCTGAACTACAGGCGCGCAACCTCGCACTAAAGGACGAACGGATGAAGAACTACGAGGCATTCTTGCAAGAGTTGAAGGAACTAAGCAAATCCGACAAGAACATGTGGGTGGCTGCAAAGGAAAAGCAAAAGAAGATGCAGGAACAATTTCTAGAGAACGAGGCTCAAGAGAAGGCATTACAGCAGAAGATGCGGGAGGAGATGAAGGCTGAAGCACGGGGTATGCGCGACCAAATGAGAACGGAAGCAAGAGGCGTATAAGTCTTCGGGGTCTCTGTGTCTTTCTGTCCAGTCAAAGTGCATCACTCGGCGTTGGAGGTCGGATCTCAGGAATGTCACAAAATGTAGCAATTTTTGGAAGACCAAATCAGCCTGGGGTATCATTGTTTTGTGCCCATGCGGAAAACCGCTGGAGCGTAACTATCTAACATGAAGTTTCTAGTGCTGTTCTCCTTGTTATGGCCATCGAGGACCATTTCCTCCCCGAAGTGTACGCCGTCGCTAAAATGCAAGCCCAAGTACTCTCACAAAGTCCAGTCAACGCCGTTTTCATCTGCTCGTCAATCATAGCAGCACGATGCGCCTCTGGTACCGATACCGTGGCGCTGTTGAAGAAACCGTCAACTTCAAATCATTATCCACAGAGCGCCACCAATCATGACGAAACATATCAACACTGTCAGCAAAGCCGCTCCAGCTCTGTCCTTGGTTGTGACCACCGACTTGTCCAAATCTGATTGATCAATATCACTGGTGCTACCGGCGCTGGAATCGCCCTTGCTCGTGCCTCCACTGTCTTCTGTGACAGGTGCAGCGACTACCGTGAGCAGGTTCGATTGTATGACTTCCAGGGCTGACATCTGTTCGCCAACTCCAGTGGTCCCATCATAAGATCCTGTGTACCATTTATTTCCACATGAAGTGCCATTCGTGCCTCCTGTGCAGGTGGCAGCAGCAGCGGTGGCGGATGCTTCAAGAATCGGCTTCAAAGAGTCATAGGTAAAAGGCGCTTTCACAATGGCTGCAGCAATCCACCTCGCAAGGTAAGCCTTGAACGATTGTTGATCTGTATCGCAAGTGCCAGCAGCTTCGCATGCTGCCTCATACATGATATCGTTCTTCAGGAAGACTTTCAGGTTACCAATGATGCCATTGAGTCGCTCTTCCCAGACCGAGCTTCCATTCGTCTGCCAAAGAGGTCAGTATTCGCAGCTCATTCAGACAGAATGTCACTCACAAAATTGTACATATTTGCAGCACCGATCAAGAAAGTCCCTGCATTGTACGTCCACTGATCGTGATCGATCTGACTGCAGTTGATGGTATCGTCACTCCCATCGTAGAAATTGTAGTCCGCATCCCTGAGACCGATGGCACTGACCCAATCCCACGCCTTTTCGGCCCAGTCGGCATAGGTTTGATTGCCAGTGTACACTGCTAGGCGAGAACCGATATTGAAGAAGCAGCCATTCGAAATGGTGTTTTTGTAGTTGTAACCACTGTTGAAGGTGAAGATCTGCCATCTCAACCCACCTGCGCATGTACTGGTATCCCAACGAGCTGCTTGTGTATTGAAGACCGCCTGCGCCAGAGCAAGCCATTGTGGTTCGTCGCTTGAAGGGTTTGGGAAGTTGTTCTCGGCGGCTGAGAGAGCTGCCATTCCCCAGAAAGATTGGTCGTCATTTCCTTCGGTCTTGGTTTGATTCGGAGGCATGAAATCGTTGTCAGATCCGGTTTGGTGAAGTATAGCTTGGGTGGTGATATTGTTGTAGGTATCATCTCCGGTAAAGTACCAGTAGTCTATTAGGCTTCCAAACATTGCACCTGCTTCCCACCAGTAGTATGGTGATGGTAGATTTCCAGCGACATCTCCGGGTCGGTAGCCAGTGTAGTAGGAGACCATCTCATCAGCAATGATCTTGCTTGCTGACTTTATGGAGTCGGTGTCTGAGAGGTCGAGGCTGACCGCATTGACACATTGAGTGCCGAGCAGGGCCAATGGAAGTATACATTGTATCGATCTTCTTCTGAAGGGCTTCATAGTGTGCGTAAGACAAGAATAGAGGATATTGAGTGTGAAGGCGACTCTGCACCGATTCTGAGCTGGAGGATCTCTTCTATCACGACGGTCCTGTGCTCTGGTCGTTGGTGCTTGTTCTTGTTGGTAGTAGTGAGTACCAAGAGTGTGGCGTTGGGGGCGATTGATTAGCGGGCGTCACGGATCGTAGGATCTGACTTTGTGGAGAAAGCTTGGTACGTTGATCTTGTGGCGTTCACTGCCCGTATGTTTGCTCAAGGTGCGCAATTCGAGGTCTTTTCGCACAGAAAAAGGATTGCATTGGTAGCAAGTGTTTTGAATGAAAATTCAAGCAGTGCGAAGTTGAATAGAGAGAGGACCAACAATGAACACATTGACTCTGTTCTACCGGTTGATGGGTGGAGGTGCATACGACGACTTTTGATGATGAATGCAGAAAGCGGATTGCGGCAGGCGAGGCCAGGGTAACGGGAACAGGCGAGGGCAACCGCCAAACGGGGCTCCAACCGAACGAAACAGGGATTCACCAGAACCTTTAGGTCTGCATGACGCACTGCGCTTAACGGGACCTGCAGCCACAAACTCCTGAACCGTCGTTATTTTTACTTACAACCTTTTTCCTGCACCCTTTATGCAGCTTTCCTTCCAGCCACTATCTGATAAACAAGTTTCTGTACAAGAGTAACTCCAGGAAAATCAGCCTTCAGGACCAAGGCAGTGCACAGCCACAGCTGCGATGCTGATGATCTTCGACGCTTGTGGCGCTTACGTTTTCTCTACTCGCACAGAGCGTCCTATGCACAGCCATGCCTGGTTGTCAGTGGCTCTGGCCATCGATGGGCATGTCAAGCCGAGACTCTCCACGATCGACACGTCTGGGAACATTAGTGTTCAGCGTCGTCAACAAGGCCCGCAAAACTTCTTCTCTGAGACTGTCACTCTTCGTTGTTTCTATGTGTTCCTCCCCTGATTCTCACCCTTGCATGATGTGTTGTGTAGCCTGAAACCTCCTATACAGCGTCTCACCATGCCAGAAATGCAGTACTGCTAACTCCCGAGACAATCTCCTTATTCAGATCCAATCCAGCATTAGCCAATCGACCAACTCTGCAGCGTTGGACAAGCCATCAACCACGAGATTGGAACTGGAACACCTGTTGTGGCTATCACAGATTCAAAGTCAGCCTCACTACACCGAGTGTTGGCGAGCCAGTGTCCACATGCATGTACCCAGGACCTTCGGCCGTCTTGAGCCTTCGAATCCCTTCGTCTGCTGACAACCTCGAAGCTTGCATGATGATGAACAATAGTCCTCAGCAGCTCATACTAGTTCGAGGTAGGATAGCCTGAGGTAGTAAGTACACTGACACACAACACGATTCTAGAGCACACACTTCCGTGTCGAACAATTCAGAAGCAAAAAGTTTTTCCATAATGCAGATTGGACTTGTGTCCATCCCGATATATGGGAAGTAAAACCACTTTAGATAGGTAGGTATGTATCTGGTAAGGCTTTTCTGCGTTTGACCTGCGCAACGACTGCAAACGATCCTTCCTGCAATCCTCTCATTCTGTGCGCGACCAACTCTTGTTGGCCAAGGACCGGATGGCTTCTCTGTATCGTCGAGGAGAAATCGTGGACTCTAGTACAGAAGTGGCGGAAATGCAAGGTGAGGTACAGCTGTTGAAAGCAGTGTCAGTATTTGAAGGGAATGGCGAGGTAGCTTGCCGACAGGCTTGCCCGGTTCTTTTTCGAGGACCATTTGGCATGAGACGCATTGTTTGGTTCAGCATCGAGCAGCCCTAAGCACCCTCGAGCAACCTCGTTCAGTGCCATACCTTTGCTTCTGTGGGTTCTGGGCCCCAGAGGCGGGTTATACAGGACGATAAGTGGACTCAAAGAGCCGTTGCCATGAGAAGAGTATGTTCATAAAACTACTCCGTACTCCGTACTCATGGACTTTTCACTTCCACCTGGTCAGGTTATGGGCACTCCCCAACATCCACCCCGTGGATGTAGACCTCCTTGAGGCAACATACCCCCCCTGCAGCTGCAAGACATAGCTCACCAGTATCCTTGTTTCCATAATCATTGCCTCAAGCGCAGCTCCAATACACACATTCGTCAAGGTACGGAAGCTCTACTTCTCCTTCTCCTCCTTCAACAACTTCAGAATCTCACTCTCCTTGTCTCCCACAACAGCCTGTCCTCTCGCCCAGTCGACGACAACTGGCCTAATGAAAGCATTCCCATCATTCTGTACCTTCCTCAAAGCATCACTTTCGCTCGCCGCCCCTTTGACAAGTTCTCCAGCAACTCCTCCACCAAGATACTGGAAGATGCTTTTCAACTGGTCCGGCGTGGGCGCCCCTTCATTGATCTCGAGTTCAAACGGATCCCTGGTCACCGTGGCATTCTGGTGTGAATGGTCCGATGCTTGATCTTCGGTGGCAGTCTGGGCGGCTTGTGCGGAGGCTTGTTTGAGGAGGTTGTGCACCCGCGTCGAGGCCGAGATCGAGGGTTTGTGGAATAGGGTGATCACGTCGAGGGTTTTGGACTAGACATTTAAAATCAGTCTTCATCCTTCTCACGTTTATTCGGCAACGGCGGCAACAGCCTAGAGAATGTCCAGACGTAGGGAGACAACTTACCATACGAAACATATTGGATACCCAGCCTTTCGAAGGTTTTGGCTGCCACATGAACTTGACCGTGGTCAAAGAGAATGTACAAGTAGGTCAAGACTAGCCTGCAGCTATAATCGATTGGAGTCTTGAGTAAGTCAGGGACAAAGTTGACCTGTGATGAACGGCAATGGCAAGCTCCACACTCTCCAAAAACCGAGTACGTCATCCATACTCACGTGACACGTTTGTGGAAGATCGTCAAGATCCACCCCCGCGTAGTTCCCCCATTTGCCCTTCTGCCTCATCGATCGTCGCTTTCACCGGATGTTACATGGCTCTGGTTAGTCTCACGTTTGGTGCCTGGAGCTGATAAGTGGAAATGCGAAACAACAAAAGGTCTTGGATTTTACTTCATTGATTTCCGTTTCCGTTCCTAAAAAACCACACAATCCTTTCACCAACACATATTCCCTGATCAACAACCCAGGCATTTCCTCCATACATGTGCCGATAACTCCTGCATCAGCATGCGAGTTACCAACCAAGGTCGCAAGGACAATGACATCGAAACAGCCCATCAAGTTCGATGACCTCCCGCCTGAGATTCGTCATCAGATATACACTCATTTGTTCTGCCACAAACCCTCACCCATCCCATTGGGCCCAGGCATTCTCGAACCTAGATTCGGCTTACCAGGGAAGGACGACGCAAGAGACGAGCAGCCGACCTTCTATACCGCCCTCTTCCGTGTGAACAGAAGGATTTCTCGCGATGCCCTGCGCTTCGCGTATAGCGTGAACAGTTTTCAACTCACCGCCGATCTGAGCTGCTTCTTCCGCCTAAGTCAAACGGCACTGGCATCTATCAAGACACTCACTGTCTTCAACAACTGTTGGATAGAAGGCAGGCCTTCGACCAAGGTCTGGGACATCCTCAATCAGAAATGCTCCAGCCTGGAAACGTTGGCTGTCCAGCCATCCTCGCATCTCTTATGGCAAGCACTTCCTCACCTCAAGGAGTACGCCGCGTCGTTGGAACAAGGCCGCCCAAGACCGAGGCTTGTCGTTGACGTGTACGTCTGGGAACGACACTTCTCGTTCGATACCGCGGAGCACGAATATCAGAGAGCGCTGCAGGAATTAAATGGCGCGACCGGAGCCGGTGGCACACGAGGCTTCGTGAGCCCTGTGGAGATGGCGATGCGGTTGCCCAGACATGTAAAGCAGATCGATTTCGTCCTCGACGTGAACGCTGGCGGCGTCCAAGCCCTGACCGAATTTCTGCAGATCTCTCCTGATCTGCCTTTGGTCAAGGTGGTTGAGCCGTTGCCATGCAAGAACTATCGAGTGGGCTCTCGAATCCGGCACTGTTATGTTTGGCTTGATTGATACACATAGCCGGAGTCATGTCACCAACTTTTGCGCTCATCGTGTGCTCGTGGCTGGGGTCGTTGGTCAGTGCCTGCTCCTTTCCCAGGCAGTATATCATGTTGATGGAAGTCATCTGCGAGTCAGAAATTGAAGACGTTCAACGGGCCTACCTTGAGCATCGACCGTGGCACGTTCAATGTTGATTAGCTGGGACGGCAACCTCACACACTACACCGGTCGTTTCTGCGTCGACGGAACACCAAACCTCAACGTCAGAAGATGTACTAGCAATAACATAGTACAACCAGCGTCAGCTTCGTCAGCTTTCCTTGGCATAAAGAGACGGGAGGCTTGATAAGGAGCAATCGTTTCCATACACACGTGGCGTGATACTTTTGAGACTCGCAATCCGGTTTCGGCGCCGGTGCCAGTCAGTGCATGGTGATAGAAAAACGAAACGCCCCCAAATGCAAGGACCACGGCAAGCCAGGGAGCCTAGATTGTTCTTTTGAGACCCCTGAATTTCAAGCCATGAGTTCTCGGGAATCTGCTGAACAAAAAGCCACCATCATGCTTCTCAAAGTTTGTGGCCGAGGTACATCAAAGTGATTCGACCTGCGACAGAGCCGGGACCCCTCTACGCCCCTGGGCGTCGACTTCGGGCCAAAGACTTTTGACACAACACGATCTCGTATCGCTCGAGATTTGAACATAAGCGATCAAATGCATGGTGGTTTCACCAATCCGCAGATTCGCAGATGATCCTTCAACAGGAAGGTAGTTATGGCCAAGTCGGGCAGATAGGATCTCGAAGAAGCAAATGACAGACTCGGCCAGAATTCCTGAACACGAGCAAGCGCGGCAGCGACCGGCATGAGGGATGTCTATGTAGTTCAAAACGTGCGTGTGCAGAGATTGGCTGTCTGGCTAGGGCCGCGCTTCATGCTATTGACAACAGATCTGAAGTTTGAGGCAGTCTTTTCAAAGAACCTGGCCAAGCACGCAATTGAAACATTTATAACCGCATGTATGGCACATGCCTTTCGTCCGGGTTCGCGACTTAAGGAAATCCGAGATCGCGGACGAGCCAGAAATGGTGATATACAAACCGTCATTTGTATGCAGCTTGCGAGACAGGGACATCAAAGTGGTCTGTAGTAGCTACTGCAGGGTCAGAAGCAGATCGTGCAAGCAACAAGGCATCACACGTGGATGATCGTGGGAGAATGTCTTGGGCATCCCTCATCGGAGGATTTCCAGCCAGTGTGAGGCTCCCAGGGACGATGCGGCTGAAGGACCCGTTTCATCATTGAAATCAGTACACCCAAATAGATGCCTTATAATTTCCGCCATGGCGAGGAATACGGGTTCTGGGCTGATCCAAGAGGGATCATCCTAGGGCTGATCATACAAGTCGACAGTTATCGTGTTCGTGAGTTGTGTTGTGATTTCGAACGAGCTGTCAGGCTGCATGCAGCAAGACAAAAGTTGGAGGTGTTCTTGCAGCACCACACAGAAGTACCGCCAATAGCGCACTTTGAGTCCGAGCCATCCCGGCAAGAGGCTGTCAGTCGAATGAAGCCGAAGGCGCGATCTGCAGGGGCACCTGGGGTGGTCTTGATCCGGGAAAGCGGTTCGGTTAGGGCCCGGCGTCATTGGCCACCCCCAAACCTGTCAGCCCATCCATTCAAAACCTAAGAATGCCGCGTGACAGGCCTGCGTCTGAGATTGCTTTCAGGAAAGTTTTGACGTAAAACTGGTGCTTACCGAAGATATTGCGCTGCTGCAACGAATCGCATGGCAGCATAGACCACGAGACAGACCAGAATAATACCCGAAGTGATGGTGCAGATTCTAGATGGAAGATAGAAAGCTCAAAGCACTGAAATATCTGTTGTTGTCGAGTATGGACGGGAGGCCGTTAGTGAAGCTTAATGATAGGAGGAAAGTATATGGGAAAACATACTGGTAAAGGTGTCTCATAACTCCCACAGGGCGCCAATAATGTCATGGGTGGCCGATACAGCCAGCGGCGCAATGGAGGTTGGTCGATCTGGAGGGTTGCGAAATGGGGAGTCGTTACCCGACTCCGTCCTCGTAGGTGGCTGGCTGAGATACCGAGAGTAGCAGAAAAAGACATTTAGGTGTCAGAGTTGATTGGAGGGTGGTCTTCTCTAAGACGTTCAACTTGCCTTTCGCCCATGGCACCTGCTGCAAGTCAAAATCAAGGCCGCACGCCCAAGGCAGTGGACACCACTGAGAACCTGGTCGACGCGCTTTTGGATGCTCGGGTGAGTCGGCCAGAGTGATGGTGGCAGCCACATGGCTCTGGAGATTGCTTGATCATCCGGAACGCTTTTACCTCGCTAGAGTCAACGTCGCCAAATGAAAGGCACCGGCGATAGAGCGGTGGCAAAGTTTAAACAGGGATTGGCAGGTCAGTGGAGCTCCAGACACAGACCAGAACAAAAGAGGTAAACAGTTTAGTTTTGGGCGCACGATGAACCCCCGAATGTGAACAAAATGGCGCTGATTTCGATGGTCTGTGCGGGTCTTTTGACGAAGCTAAAGGCTTTTCCCGAGCCTCTGGGGCGTCTTTGGGACCTGCCTTATGGGAACAAGTTTCCTGGCGGCATAGATCAGGTCGGATGAATAGTACGGAGTACCATAGTAGTACACTTGACCTATATCTTCGCAATAACGGCGGGTCCGTACCGAAGTCTCAGGTCAAGACACTAGTAGCAGTAGCAGTTTGGTCGAAGAGATCTTGTGTGGCATGACGTGTCCGGTACCAAGAAATCCTGATGGCAATTGTTATTCTGGTACTCCACGGACCAGGTGTCACAGGTACTTTCCAGGTGATGGGAACCCCCAGATACGCGAAAAGGATTGACCAGGTGGACGTTTCGCAACGTGGTCCCGGAGTCAAAAGAGGCTCCAAACCGCCGGCACGATTGGGATGACAGTCGTGTCAAAATGTACTCTATTCACCTACTCTTTTTGAAATGAATAGTCGTTGCTTCTGCTGCAGACTGGTCGTCCAGATCCAGGACTAATGATCGGAAGGGAAGTGACAAGGGTTGCAGCAATTATTGGGTCTCGTGCAGCTAGGTTAGCAAGATTTGGCTCAATGCATACGAGACCCATTGAAAAGTACCTCCACCAAAGACCAAGGGATTCCCTTGAAGGTGCACTCCGTGTCTGACTTGTGAGCAATCTTTGCAGTAGGTATACCCGGGTTGACCTGCAAGCATGAAGCGGTATCTCCGTATATGCTGTATCTTTTTTGAGGGGTGAAATTGACACAGACCACCATCACGAATGTGACCAGGGGCCAGGATCTTGGTAAGCTGTTCCTCCTCTTGCCTTTGGGTCCGAGTTATAAGTTCCACTTTTCGGATCGATAGTGGAAGGGAGCGTGTGGATATCGGAGCGAGAAGTACGTGGGGTGGTGTTCATCGTGAAGAAGGAGTTGGGTCGGATGAGTGTGAAATCATGGTGATCTGATGAACCTAGAGAGGATACGGAAAAGGTAGACGAGACAGTCCGATAAAGAAGTACCTGATGGAAATGTTTCGCGCGTGGTTGGTGAGATGGAGGGTGGAAAATGCTGCTTCGTTGCCCGCTGTGCTTTTCTCACATCGGAGGCTTTTGTTCACCATCGCTTACGCCTATGCGATTCTGACGAATCAAGTGGTTACTAGTAATTGTCCTCAACCACTACCACAATAATAATAATAATGAGTTCTCATCATCTCTCCCTTCGAGATCCTGGGGTATATCCATCAATGTCATTGGTGACTGCTCCCATAAGTACGCGTAGGTACTACTGAATTTCTGACGGGCCCTCCCTAACGTCTTCGCTCGCTTACTGGTACTATTAGCATCACGCTGACCCTCACCCCTCCCTCGTCGTCAGTAACCTATTCGTCAAGTCTTTTCGCTTTTATCGCTCGGCACTATTCAGCAGCAATCATCTCCTTCCCTAAAAGCTACGCTCCGACCAGAACCAGACTTAACATGTCCCATCCGAGAGCGACAAGTCGACCCGGGACTGTCGTTCAAAGCGCTTGCGTGACCGGTGCTCCAGCTGACACGCACACTCCACCGATGGTGCTTTTCTCACTTTTCATCACAGATGGTCCAAGCTAGATGCAGCATAGTCCTGCCTCAACATCCAATTTCTTCGCGATCCCCTTTTCAGCCAAACTTTGCCTGCAGGTGCTTGGTCCAGAATCTGTTTTGTCCCATGGCCAACTGAGACCTGCCTGACCAGGCCCCATGTCAAAAGCAAAAACACCATCCTACGCTTTTTTGGAGTCCTTGCTCATGCTGGTCTGGCACTTGGCATCTGCTGACCCCCTGGCCCTTTTGGTTGACTCCCGCGTCCGCCCACCACACCTTACCAAGGGTAGCTTTGGACTTTGCCCTTTTCCCAATGCACCACTCTCCGTACGCTTGTTGTCTTTTAGACTTCTCACCTACATCCACTCAACTCTCCCGAGAGCCTGACCATGCCAGACCCAGCTATCATCGCGACCATGCCTATCCCAACCTAGTACCTCCTGTCTCCGCCGTCCGTTTTCGACCAGCTCTCCTCTTTTTAGGCGATGCCAGACGACAGGCCCGGCCAGCCAGCCCGCAACCAGCTGGCCGCTAAGAACGCCATGTGCTGCCCCATCCTAAAAGAATCTTGTATCTCTTCAATCTTTTTGAAATCGTCTTCGGACTGCTCTTCGCAGCCTGATCAACAAATCCTCCTCTGATCCCTCGAGCTTCTGCTGTGCAAATGAGCCATTGAACACGGCTACAAGTTCTTCATCTCTTGCTTTGCAATCACCGTACCTGAAGATCCCGCCAGATCGGTGCCGAATTTGAGTCCGTGTCGATCACCTTCCCTGCCTGTCGAGATTTGAATTGGCTTGTCCGGCCCCAAAACGACCATTGAGAAGCAAGCCGCAAAAGCCAGCCGCCCAGCCAAAAACTGATCTTCGCCCACCAGCGCTCCACCACAAAACATCCTCTCCTGTCAAAAAGTACCTGCGTTTATTCGCAACCAGCATACCTGTTCCCCAGAACACCTCGACGTCGACTGTAGTTGTCGACCAGAGCGCGTCGGCGGCGCCTTTCGGCTGGTTGAGTTGTTGCGCGTCCAAAGTGCACATATCATCAGACCACACGCAGCACATACTCCACGGCTCGTTCATCACTCATCGACAGAGACGAACGCTGACTTCATTGAACAACGCTCAAGGCCATCACACCGCCAGTCTTGCTCCGACGCCGCGTGAGAGAAGCCCAGCATCTCAATCGCGTACTTGTCCGTACATCCATCGACCAAGCGGCAGCGCGCTGAACAATCACCAACAGCCACTCTGGCTTCCGTCGCGATCCCCCTTCCAATGGGGACTTCTCTCGATGCACTGAATGCGCCCTCCAGCCTGACTCAGCGACGACAGGCTGCTTCAAATCTTCCAGCATTCGAATTACCAACCCTCCAATTCGCACCTTTGTCCACCCAGAAGTTTCCTCCTCTTTCAGGAATTCACACCTCTCATGGAGGACCCGGGCCCGTCAGTGTAGGACAGCTCCTGACACCGCCATCCAACTCGGCCTCGGAGAGCGCAAACTCATCTGGCATGCCAACCGGGACGACTCCCAACAGCTCCGCCGTGCCTGTCCTCCCATACACACCCACCTTCTTCAACACAGGTACCACTCCGAATGGGTATCATACAGGCTACACTCCGCAGCCGTGGCAGAATGGGAATCACTCCTTTCCCCCGCGATCAATGTTCTCGCCACTTCCAGGACCCCCAATGAGACCGGGAACCAATTCTCCTACGGCTGGAGAAGCATCGGCACTACCTCCTCCACCATATGATCTCAATAATCTCCCTCCTTATGGCACAGGCCATTCTTATTCCTCTCCCAGCAATGCAACCACCTCTGCCAATTCACACCACATCATGTCCTCTCTGCATAACAGCGCCCGGCCACCCAGCCAGCATTCTCCAATTACTCCTAACGATGGCAAGCCAGCAATGTTCGGTAGCATGACGAGTGCTGCCCAACAACATCAATCGGCCTATGCGTATTCATCTCATACTCCTGTTTCACAGGCTTCGAATGGCCACTTACTGGTGGCATCACGCGTCTCCCCTACACTTCATCAAGGCGGGCTTCCTCCTCACTCCCAGGCTCCATTCATGAGGCCTCCCCCTCCTTCATATTCGTTGCCAGCCATGCCTGGCCCCATCATGTCCAACATCCACAGTCCAGGGACACAGATGGCCATGGTAGGTAACATGCAAGGCGGCATGCTGCCAATGTCATTCAACAGCGGATACGCCGCCAACCCACAAGGCATGTACGGCCCACCACGGACGAATTCATCGCAACAAGCACCCGTCCATGATCGGCCTTTCAAATGTGACCAGTGTCCTCAAAGCTTCAACCGTAACCACGATTTGAAGCGACACAAGAGGATTCATCTTGCCGTCAAACCGTTCCCTTGCAATTACTGCGACAAGAGCTTTTCGCGGAAAGACGCGCTTAAGGTAAGCTATTTGCTCCTCGTTTCTTGATTATGATGCTTATTCCTTCTCAGCGGCATATCCTCGTCAAAGGATGCGGGACCGGTTCTTCGAACGAGGGCGTGTCCACGGAGGATGGACCCAAATCCGAGTCTGGAAGCGACGGTGTCAACGAAAGCCCGGCAGCGGCAATAGCAGCATAATGAACCGGTTCTTGCGGACTTTGACACGCCACCATTTCTCGTTTGGTGATTGTACAATACATGTGAAAGGCGACAGATGTGCAGAAGGGGTTTGTTCATCCAATTTTGCAATTGATTAATGATTTGAAGGGTGTCAGAGATGAGCGAAGGAATGACGGAACTTCTTTGCAGCACGGGCATTTCGCAGGGCCACGTTTTATACCCAGGATATTTGAGAGAATGGCATCACAGGGCTATGGGAACTCCACCTTTCATGGGCAGGGCGCTTTGAATGAAAAAGATGGCAGACTCAGTGGCCAGTATAGCAGTTTCGACCTTCAGGTCGGGGCCTACGCAGGTTCTAATGATGTAAGATTTCCTTGTAAACAGCGGTGTCGTCGTGTGCTACTAGAAACGGCCCTTGGGAAGTCGGTACCCGACAGCGCTCCCACTTGTCGGAACTGATCCTCCAAGCCTTAACAAGAGTGAAATCTGTAACTCAGGACAATGACCTGTTTTTCAGAGGGACGTCAGCAAACCTTGCATACGTGCGCGTACCTTGCAGATCCCTGCGTGCCATGTGAGGGTGGCTTGATGGCTTGAAGATGGTGCAGCTCTGGCTTACGGAAGGCGCCGCTTCGGCTCAATCGATGGTTTGACGAGGCAGTGCGAGGCTGCATCTGGTGGCGCTTGGTTCTATGGGTGCGGTCACGTGCTGATCTTTTCGGTGCTTTTGCTTGGTGACACGGGAAATACCTCGTTTAGATTTCATGAAGATTCATCCACGATCTATGCATGCCGTGCAACGCTTACGACGCCATCCTGGCTCGGAGAACTCAGTCACCTTCCCTGCACCATATCGACACGTTCTCTCTCGCGTGGCCAGTGGAGACTACACATCTGTCCTTGTCAGGTTGTCAGGCACATGGCTGCAGCTGTGCCCTGAAACACGGGGATATTGTACGCGGAATTTGATTTTCTGGCCATTCACCATCACAACTGCAACAGATGCCCTACATCATACTGTCACTGGTACTGACTATGGGGCGTGACCCTTATCGCCATCTTCGTCAACGCTGACGCATTTGGGTCTCTCGGGTGTACTCTATGAGTGGTAGGCAGCTGCAACCCTTTTCGCCCATGCTCGTCAAGCTATACTGCTTCCTAGTGTCATATAGCAAAGCATTCTCGACTTCTCACATTCAAGGACTCTCACGAAATTGATGAGTAAGTCCAAGTGGCGGTGGACACATCTCACGTACCATGGTTATGGAAACGTCCGACATGGTGTTTCCAGTGGAGCCATGACGGCATTGACTCAAGCCTCGAAGCAGAATACGAGACGACGAGTACTGACACGAGCGATAGACTAACTTCCCATGTCATCGGGGAGCATATCACGCCGTTCGATCATGCAGCTGTCCAACCCACGAAATCCTCTATTTTTTCTGATTTGCAATTATTCTGCATACACTCCGTTACATTGCATCCCCACTTCTGCCCTTCTGCTGCATTTCACCGACATATGCCGCTTCACGCGTGGCACTGACACGCGATCCAAGGATGGCGGCAAGCCACAGCGTTTCTGCGACTTGTTTTATTAGATCGATCGGGCATCCCATTGTGGAGATCCACAAACCGATCCCGCAGATCGGCATGATCAGATCTGTTACCTCACCCGACAGAAGTTCTTAGCTTTGTGTGCTCTTGTACGCAATGATGCTTGCATGGCACGTTCACATGAAAGGTCAATACGCCACTGACCAATCTGAGAGCTCCAAATGCCCCGGATTTCTTTTTGTGATTAGCACGATCGATCCTTTTGGTTATTCGAGATCGCTAACCTGACTTTGTTCTCATTGTCCAGGACGCTGATGATCTCATCCCGGGGATCCTCGAAAGTCAATATCCTTGTTCTATTGACCTGATTGAGAAACAACCAGGATCGTAGGCATCTGCCAGCTACCACAACGATGGGCGCGGGTTACCTCTTTCTTGGAAATGCAGATCGATGGATGGCTTCCTTAGTCTCGTGTCATAGCCCCGGTTGACCTACTCATGGTTGTTCCTTCTCTGGCACTTGCCGGGACTAAATTTGTAGGTTTCCTGGTCTGATCGCGTAAGACTTATTGTATCATTCATTATGAGACGACGTCCTGTGCTTTCCTTCTGTATCGCCACCTTCAATTTTGCCAAACCAAGATTGTTTCTCATTCGAACAGAAGATCGCCAATCTCTGACTTTTGCAACCAAGAATCTCAGCCTCCGTTACAGACCTGACTCGAAGCTTGACACAATCGCATACATAGATCTTGTGACAACAGTACTGCGCTACTTCATGCCTCAGCGTGAGCAGTGTAAAAGGTCGGAATCAGGCGGCCAGTGGACTTCATGATACATCGAATCACTATGACATCGCCTCAACGGATATTGATATATCTGTTGCGACGCGATCTGCGACTATGCGATAATCCCGTCTTTCATGAGATACATAAGCTTTCTCAACAATCTGAAAAGCTATTTACTCACGTGCTACCGCTCTATGTCTTTGCTGCTCAGCAGGTCGAAGTTTCGGGATTGCTATCCGACTCCGACTCAAAATCACCTTTTCCGGAAGCGCGGTCAGAAGTCGGAGGATTCTGGAGATGTGGTCCTCACCGCGCAAAGTTCCTCGCAGAGTCGGTCTGGGATGTGAAATCAGAACTGGAGAAGGTGGGAAGTGGCCTAGTCATTCGAGTAGGAATGCTGGGTCAAGTCGTACGGGACCTTCTGGAGCAGTTCAAGCAAGAAAAGGAAGAGGTAACCATCTCGGGAATATGGATGACGGAGGAAGAGGGCGTCGAGGAGAAGCGAGAGGAGCGCGACGTGCGCAAAGAAGCAGAGAAGGCTGGCATCGAGTTCAAATTGTGGATCGATGAGAAGTACTTCATTGACGAGTAAGTATGGTGATTCTCAAGACTTTTCAATGAACTGACATTGCGCAGTCGGGATATACCCTTCGATAAGCCTTCAGAGCTTCCAGATGTGTTTACGAGTTACCGAAAGTCGGTAGAACCACTGAGGGATGCACCGCGGAAGATTACCCCTGCTCCTCCTTCCTTGCCCTCCATGCCAACCTCAATACCGCTACAATCCGGTCCGTTCTCAATACCAGATACTTACGAGAAACTGGAATCCGCGCTCATGAAGCCTCTTTTGGAGAAGCCTCCTCTGGACAATCCACCTGTATTTCCGTCCGAAGTCAAAAGTGCACATCCATTCTCCGGAGGGTGTACGACCGGCATCAAACGAGTCGAATCACTCATCGCCTCCGGCTCCATGACGAGATACAAAGACACCCGGAATGGCTTGCTGGGGACGGACTTTTCAACCAAGCTCTCTGCATGGTTGGCGCTTGGCTGCATCACGGCTCGCCAGATACATCACCAGTTACTGGAATTTGAAGACGGTCGAATTGAGCAGTACAAAGGAGTGCAGGGATACGGCAAAGGTGAAAACAAGGGCACTGCGGCCGTTCGTTTCGAATTACTATGGCGCGATTACATGAGGCTGTGTACGCGCAAGTTTGGCCCGCGGCTGTTCCGATTAGAAGGCTTCCGGAACGACAGCTCTTACCCGTGGAAGACTCCAGGACGCGGCGTGCCTGAGGTGGAGGAGATGGTCGAGCGCTTCCTCCGCGGTGAAACGGGCACATCACTCATCGACGCGAGTCAGCGCGAGCTCTATCTGACGGGATACACGAGCAACCGTGCACGGCAGAACGTGGCGAGTTTCCTGGCCAAGCATTTGGGGGTCAACTGGAAACTGGGCGCTGAGTGGTATGAGAGTATGCTGACAGACTACGACGTGAGTTCGAACTGGGGCAATTGGCAATACGTTGCGGGCGTGGGGAATGATCCCAGGGGTGAGGCGAGAGTGTTTAACCCGGTCAAGCAGGCTTGTGATTATGATCCAGATGGCGAGTACTGCAAGGCTTGGGTGGGCGAGTTACGAGGGCTGGATAAGCCTCAGGAGATATTCCAGCCGTGGAAAGTGAGTCACGAGAGACGTGCGGAACTATGGCCTGAAGGGTTGCAGAGTGTTGAGCGGCCGCTGAAGAGGATTGAGTTTAGGGTGGGTGGGAAAGGTAGAGGTGGTGGTGGTGGTGGCGGCGGCGGCGGCGGGAAGTATGGCGGCAGTAGTCGACCCAGAGGAGAGGGAGGGCAGAGAGGCCGTGGTGGCGGTAATGACGGTGGAAGAGGAAGCAGAAGTTTCAGATCTGGATCCAGAGGAGGATTAGCATATCGTGGACGAGGTGGAAAGGGTGACAGAGGTGCTGCTTCCAGAGGGACGAACCTTCATGGTCGGCAAGGCATGATGGATAAAGTCAGGGAGACTGAGGCAGAAGCGGACGCATAGATTGCCGGTTGATTTGAACTTGAGCGTGGTCATAATGGAAAAATTTGGTGGCGGTCGTCTCTCGGGGCGCATATCAGTATGTGTTGTCAATACTATACAAGGGCTTTGTTAGTCTTGAGACTCGTCTTACCGGCTTGGTAGTTGGTGGTCTTGGAAGGTGTTGAATACTGCCTCACCACCCCCAATCTGCACTGGAAAAAGGGGTCGGATATATGTTTTACATTCACATTTTTGCTTCAATCCACAGTGAAGCTCAGAGTTGTGCACAAATAAAAGCACTATTCGGTGGCTGAGTGGTAAAGATCCTGGTTGGAACCATTGTCACTACTTGGTTTCTACCAGGATCCAAATCCCCCTCCCCCTTTCGTAGAACCCTAAAACCCAGTACAGCTGGTTTCACTTACTCACAACCTCCAGAAGGAGTTTGTAGGCAGAGTTTTTGCTTTTTTGGTGAGCAGTATAGGTTTGACTGGTCACCGTTTGTGTGGGTGCGGCAGATTCGTTGCTGTTTGTTCAGTAAGGAGTGCCCCCGCGGTGACTGAATCACTGGCAGGTATTTCCTGAGATACTAATGTCGCCGCCTTGGCAAATTCCTGACCTGGCTCCGATCAGACAGCTCACGCAGCGGCGTCATCCAAGTCACGAAGGATGGAAGTTTCTTGGTCAGCCCGATTGTGACATGACCGCCTGTTGCTGCTGCTCATGGGTAAAGAAGCACTGCGTTCATGGGCATGTAAATTGAAGTCGAGGTAACACATGTAAGGCCTGACATAAGACGACCCCGACGATACTCTCACCGAGGCAGTCGTCCGACCTAGGTACTGCCCCTGGTCCTGACGCTGCTGTCATGCACAAGATGAACGTCAAGGGTGCCCATGAAACCCTTAAGTTGAGGATACATGTGGCCTATGTAAGGCCTGACATAGGGCGAGCGCGACAGAAACAGCCGTTCTACCTAGGTGCCATCCTGGCCTGTGGATGATGATATCTCTCGGTGAGTGTATTCGGTGCGGAGATATTCCATAATCATTTTGATATTGCCGGTCGTCAAGGGAGGAATGCCTCGGCTGTTCGTGGCAAAGTATCTCGTCTGACACCTTTTCATATCCTTGCTGACCGGCCTTTTGCCGCTGATCGGATTTGTCAGACGCCCTCGTATCCTCTGTAGCAACCCTTTCTTCCACTCTTCTCCCTTGTCATCTCGCTTAGTAGGAATAGAGCTCAGGGTCTTATCCAGAAGCATGCTGGTCCTTCCGGGCGTCGTATTCGCCCACTCGTATGCTACACCTTGAACGAGAGTTCGGAAACACAACTTGTCAACATTGCTCCACAGAATTCGTTTCTTGTCGAGTCAGATCTTCGAGTTAGCTAATATCTCAGCCTGGACTTCCATGCGAACCAATTGGCGCAAACGGGTTGGCAGCTTGTAAACGTTAGACAGGACGCGACAGCTCGAACGCCCCCTCAACAGTCACGCGTACTACCATAGTAGTGTGGTTGGCACTGGCTATGGTATAATTTTCTTAATGACAGGATCTGTCACACCTGTGGCCTTTTTCAGGTACTCGACCGAATGCAACTTGCCAAGTACCTAGTAACCACATATAATACCGAGCCGAGCACATCTACTCGGCATAACATCAAGCACACCTTGTTCGGCTTAACATCAGTCCTTCGGATCATTGCATGTGGCCGATGCCAGTGTGCTATAGAAAAGTTGGAGCCTGTTGTTTCGGTTTAAAAAGTGACTGTCGTCAGTTCTCGCAAGTTGCTGCCGGAAGAGGGAACTGAGTTGCCAAATTAACGTTAACTTCGCTATTGCCCCGTGCGGCATCCTTAGGGTCTGGACTTTACGAATAGTGCGCAAAAGGACTCTCTTTTTGATTCATCAAGTCAATATTGTCATTGTTCCTCTTTCAACAGCATCGACTGCATTGGGATATAGCAGCTTCATCTCATTGTCGAACAGCTTTCCCTCTCAGGGCAGATACCTGCCGCAGTCAACTGCCATGGCGGTACTAGGTCTTCCAACGATCCCTCTCCCACTTGTTATTGTCGCCTCTGTGGCGGTCTTCGCCCTGTACAAAATCTATTATGAGCTTACAACTGGCGCGCGACGGCGGCGGATGATCCGCGAAAATGGCTGTCAAGAGGTCTACGCCTTTCCGCACAAGGGGATAGGCGGTTACCTCCTTGGTCTGGACGTTATCAAGGAGATGATCCAATCCGGGAAAGATGGTCGCATGCACGAAGCGACGAGACTGAGGAACTTCAGCAATGGTCGTAATACCATCCGACTCAAGTTGATGCGGTTCCGGAGTATGTGCTCTTAAGAGGCAGGTGTCTTCGACGTTGGCTGACTTCTGTGCCAATAGTGATTTCCACCATTGAACCCGAGAACATCAAGGCCATCTTGTCGACCAAGTTCGCCGACTTCTCGCTGGGACAGCGGAGACGGGAAGTGTTCATTCCAGTCTTTGGTCATGGCATTTTCACAACCGACGGAAGTGCATGGGAAAGATCGCGCGCCATGGTGCGACCTAACTTCACTCGGCAGCAGGTGGCCGACCTTGACATGTTCGAAGTTCACATGTCGCATTTGATCGACTCGATCCCGCGGGACGGGTCGACGGTCGACTTGCAGGATCTTTTCTTCGGATTGACCATGGATTCGGCGACCGAGTTTCTGTTCGGACGTTCAACGAACACACTTGCACCAGGACTGGAAACCAAGTCGGCGAATGAGTTCGTCAAGGCTTTTGTTTATGTCACGGAGAACATGTCGAAGAACCTCCGCTCAAGTGGTTTGACTGAGTGGTTCCCTAACGCGGAATGGACACGTAACGTCAAGATTGTTCACAGTTTCGCCGACGACATCATTCGTGAAGCGATGGACCAGGCCAAGAGCCAGAAAAGCTCGGGTCGCTACCTGTTTTTGCATGAGCTGTTGAAGTACACCCAGGATCCGTATGCGCTGCGCTCGGAACTGATCAATATCCTCTTGGCCGGGAGAGACACTACTGCAGGCCTTTTGTCCAACACCTGGCACGTACTCTCGAAACGGCCCGACATCTGGAACAAGTTGAAAGCTGAAGTTGATGGACTGGGCGGAGAGAGACCGGACTATACCACGATCAAAGAGTTGAAGTACCTCAAATGGGTGCTGAATGAGTCCCTCCGGCTGATGCCCGTTGTGCCGGGCAACAGTCGGGAAGCGATTAGGGATACTGTCCTGCCCGTCGGTGGAGGTCCGGATGGCCGGTCTCCCATCTTGGTGAAGAAAGGCGAGGTGGTGGCATACACGGTGTGGTCAATGCACCGTCGTGAAGACTTCTACGGCCCCGACGCACTCGAGTTTAAGCCGGAGAGATGGGAGAAGCTACGACCTGGATGGGAGTATTTGCCATTCAACGGCGGGCCTAGGATATGTGTCGGCCAGCAATATGCGCTGCTGGAGGCGAGTTACGCGACGATCAGGTTGATTCAGTCGTTCCCTCGCATCGAGAGTCGAGATGAGCGCGAATGGAGGGAGTGGTTGACCATCACGCTTGCCAGCGGAGTTGGCTGTAAGGTGGCGCTGTTCGAGAAGTGAGAGTCGCTGTTTCTTGAGTGTGAAGGAGTCTTAGGAACATTACTTGTATCATTATCGAACTGACGTTTACTATTCTTTTTGATACAGGCCTATTGAGTGACCCTGACCAAACGCTTAGCTCCCTGCTCGGAAGGATCTGGAACACGACGCCTCATGCGGGCACATTGCTCCCATTGATTCTGGTTATCTTCCTTCTCTTCTTGGACATTTCTGCCCTTTCTCCTCTCTACTCAAGCGAGGGTCCGCAGGGGTCATGTGTGCGTACGAGTCCTAAATCGGAAGCGCAAAGGCAAGGAATAACGGAGCCGAGCTGAGAGCAGATGATCGGCATTTGACAACGTCTTCAAACTTGGGGGCTGGAAATCGTCGATGATGGCGCACGCGGCCCGACTGACCGTCTGTCAGTCTGCCTTGTTGCTCTTTTTCACGTGCGATCGAGACTCGTAATCGCACATAGCAGTCCTGTGTTGCAATTATTCTGCAAGGAGATGAAACAGCTTTGGCCTTGACATGCACAATGCCGAAATACAATCGCTGCCAGTTGTCGATTGTTCTCAGAATGAGCACGATGAAGATGGTGAGTGACTGTAAGCCGGGAGGCGCCCTAACTCCAAGCCATTTTCAAGGTCAACCTAGCTTATTCAAGCCCCGCCCCAAGTCGGGGATTTGGACAATGTCGGGGATGCATTGACCATTCTTTTAGCGGCGCCCGGCGCCCTTCCGTTCAATTACCTTACCCGGTTTCTGGTTCCCAGTGATTATTATCTTCGTATCATTCGTTCACGCTTCCTGCATCAGCAAAAGTCCCACAGACGAGTCTCTCCAACTGCGAGGATCGGCTACCGCTGCGCTGGACACGGCTGGTGTCTACTGTAGGTCGGATCGTCTAGAGTCAGGCCTTACTCGGTTCACCGGCCTGGGGCTACACTGATCATCATGTCGACCAATTTCCATACAATCTTCCATCTCTCCCGTTTCTTTCAGTGTCGCTGTTACAATCGCGAGTACAGTCCTCTGACTACTGTTGCGTTGCGTTTCACTGTACGCCATTCGACGAAAGTGCACCCTCTCATCGGTCCCTTCTCTCTCCTTCCATCAGCTTGTACAACACAAAATTGGACGGATACTATCGTTGACCTGTCACACTGATCGAGTCAACATCGTCTGCAAGTCCATCTCCTCACGGGCCGAGACTCCTTGTGTGAACATCGGGGACGACTTCTTAAATCTCACTCATTGTCCCCTCTGTGTAGACGGACTCGACCATAGCGGTCAAATGCGCAGAAACAGAATGACAGCCTCGCGCACGGCCTCGCGTTGATACCTCCACCTGCCTCCAAATGGCCCCATACACACCGGTCTCCCTCCGACGCAGCGATACCGAGGATGGCAGTTGGCGAGCATTTGCTTCGGACGAGGACTTTATCATTGAGTCATGGAGTCAAGGATTTCTTGTCGGATCGCTGCTTATAATGGCTTGCATAACGGTTGCGAATATGAGAAGAGGTGTCTTGCTGCATAAGTTGATTCTACTCGAGGTGAGCCCCATTGACTTGAGTGAGGCGCAAAGCTTTGGTGCTGACCCTTCCACCAGCAACTCGCGGCGCTTTCTCATGGTGAGTGCGAATAGCTCCAGGTATCTTACGACAGAATGCTGATGCGCTTTAGGCACGTTCTGCTTCATGGCCTTCAAAGGATACGGCTGGTATCTGTCTTCGACTGCCACCCTGCTCTATTGCTCCTGGATCGTTCACAATGTCGTGGCGTGGATGAAGATTCGACCTTTCTTCACGGACTCGAAATCAATGTTCAAGCCCTCAACTGGCAAATGGGTGCGCAGGATCTACTTGGGTACATTAGCCTGCACGGTCCCACCGATCATCTTGCAGATCTACGACAACTTCCGGTTCTTCAATAACATCAGCGACTTCTACGTCAAAGTCAGGCCGTATGAGCCTCTGATGCGGTAAGCATGCCCCTTTTGACGTGATGGAAATATGCTTATGCATTTCTGCAGTGACCCCTGGTGGTGTTTCTCCTGCTTCACTCTTTTCCATATTATCCGCAAGTGCTATGGTACAGGGGTCTTTGAACTAATCAAGCGGTCTCCACGATTCGGCATTCTGTTGTGCGCCATCTGTCTGGCGATGATTTTCACAGCTTTCGATATCTCGGCGAGCATTCACAACTTCATCGGATCTACCGACGGGATCAATCCGTTCTGGAAATTGAGCCTTGTGTTCAAATGTCTCACCGACACAATCATGCTCGACGATTTCAAGACCGAGTTAAAAAGGCTAGGCATCAAACGAATGCGACACGACGAACTACGGCGGCAGAGCACTGCACTTGTGGCTGATCACTTGGAGTCCAAGGATGATGATGGGCATATGGAGTTCTCCACAGCCTTGAACATGCATCCCAGCCAGCTGCGAACCATCCGCGACAGCGACAACAGTCTCAGTGACAGTCCGCCAGGAAGATTGCGGCATGACTCGATCGTCGAATCCCGAAGGGACTCGAAAGAATCCATCGGCAAATCAGGGAAGAAGTTGGGCCGTCTACCTGGACTGGAGTTCTCTTTCATGCCGGGAAGAAAGCGTAGCAAGATCGACGACGAGGAGAAGCCGGAGGAGGACTCGGCTCCTTCATCAGCGCCTGACCGATTGACGCAGATGAGGCAAAGTCTGGGCGTGCGTGACTATAATCCCAGGTGAAACATCAACTAGGAGAAACGCGATTATGAATTTACGAGTAATGTCTTGCACCAAAGCCCTGACTTCATGTCGAGTTGAGTCATGCCAGATGTTATTGTACAGTCAAGGCATTGGGCAAATGGATTTGCGATGAGTGATTTTAAAACTCAGCTTGCCCAAGGTTGCAGCGCATCAGTGCTTAAGAAGTTCGATCCGTCGGTATGGCATGTTCTGGCAAATTAAATTCTATCTTGAGAGACATGCCTAACACCACATCATGTCCTGTTTCGAAAGCCTGACGAGACTCTTGATTGTACTCGTCAGAATGTGCAGGCTGATCACTTCCCGGCGGCTCCTGCTCCGAACCAGAGTCGCCTTCCTTCTGCTTCATGGCAGCGATTGCCTCATCGTCGCTTCACTGGTTCTTGCCAACCACATCAATTCTTCTTGGGCAGGGACAGGGCACCGTCGTTATTCAACTTGCTTCGACCCGTCCATTTCCACAGCTTTCTCTTCGATACCAAACCATTGTCTCAGGCATCGCAGCCTTCAACATCGCTCGTTTTGGGTCCCATATCATTCTCAACATTCATCCTGTAGACATCGGTCGACTTCATACCTTCTATCAAAGCCAGCCGTCACATTGGCTCGCAAGTCAATCACTCGCTTTACTGCTCAGAGAGGCCGTCCTTGTCAGCAAAGTCGCTGCAGACAGGACCTATACTCGATCAACATGTCAACAAACGTCGACCTGACTCCACTATCAACCCCTCCACAGGCATGCAAGAAGATACCGAAGAACGCTGAAGATGACAGTAGCAAGAGTATCGATTTGGAACTTGGAGAGATCAAGTCCATAATAAGTCTTTCTGAAGCAGTCAGTAGGGTCATGACCAGAACACGCGGACTTAGCTAACTTTCACGCAGTCCACCGCCATACACGTCGTCGACACTCTACCCGTTGTTGATGCACGCCGTGGTTCCGACCTCGGCTTTCCATGTGCATCTGCACGAGCAACCCAGAAAGAGCTCCCGGAAGAGAAGCCCACGTTCAAAAACTTCATCAAGGCTTTGCAGGTTGGGGAGAATGGACACACCTCCTGTCTCATTGTTCTCTATGCACCTACTGTCTTGGCTGTCGTATGGCCGCTGGCACGGGTAACAACGGGTGGCTCACTACTGGAAGCGATCATGTACATTATGGTCGGATTCACGAATATAATGTTCTGGCTGTTCTATGGTATTCTGTCTCGGACAGGCTTTCTATCTTCAAAAGACCCGTCAAAGCTTCTTCTCACAATCACAGGATTGCTGTACGGTGGACTGGTCTTGGGCGTCTCCTGTGGTGCATTGCTGTATTGGACTTGCATTGACATGCTCCGTGCCTGAGGTTTGGTTTTGGTTTCTTTGTGCCGCATAGAGGACCAGGATGGGACTAGGGCTATCAACTCCGAGCATCAATATGTCAATGTTGGCAGAGTTCCAGAGAGTCCAGTCGAAGTCGGAGCTGTCCATTGTTAGCTAGAGCATTGTGTAGCAGAACTCATCATTACTACAACCAGTTGCTTCAGCTTCGGCATGATATTTTCCAGTGTATCAGTTCAAGGCAGGTTCAGAAACGCACCGCGTGCCCAATGTGAAAAGACGCGGTTAAAATGCCTGACCCGAGGTGCTTTGCATAATTGGCACAAAGGTATAATGCGATCCTTGGATAAGACGTGCGAACAAGGGGTTTCCAGCCTCGTCACGTGACAGTACAATGAGACTGAGACATCTAGGAACGTCAAGAGAGGTGTTCCATGTGTCGTGCAGTATATCAAGGACAGTCACCCACTTGACTTGATCCAAACCCAAACTGAGGAATAGCAGGCGATCGTTCCCTCAACTACCAGGTCATGCCCCCCCAAGGAGCACACCAGTAAGGTGGTGTTGGTGTCTGCCGGACTCGGGGGAGAATGGCTGTAGCGTCCACGAGACTGTTCTGAGATGATGGCCTCGAAGGAGCGAATGATGCGTACATATTTATTTGATGATTTGAGAAGAGAGGTCAGGCTAAACTAAAGCATGGGGTGTTATCATACAAACATTCTTGCCATCGCTGCATGACGCCGTTGTGCCCTGACGCAGAACGTGGAAGATTGTCGAGACTTCAGCAACACACCACATCAACGACCGGTGCATCTTCAAACTCTCAAGCCCCCAACAAGGCCAATTTGCTCTAGCTCAGCACTGCTGCCCATTCCTCCACGATTGCGATGCTGTTCGCCGCACGGAGAGGCTGGCATTGCGGCGTCTTTCTATCAACTGACCCGACAGCGCACACCATGTGCTGAGTCGTTGTCCGAATGATGCTCATCTATATCGCGTTCAGGCTGACATGTCCTCCTCGTTTGAATCTGACAATTCAGCGTCACCGTCCGAACTGTCGTCGCTATCGGAAAGCGAGAAGGAATCGCCAGAGCTGTAGCCGTCCGCATCCTCCTCCACCGGAAGTGAGTAGGGATCCACTGTGTCAGAACAGTCTGCAATCAGAGTCGGCTTCTTCCAACGGTAATAGATCTTGATCGCACAGTCATCGAAACAGTGTGAGGACGAGCCACCTTTCCTTTGGGTGGGCGCCCATTTTCTCTCGAAAAGTTCAACGTAGAGCTTTTCCGATATGAGTTGCAGCCTCGTCACATTAACCCCCAGGATATCGTATGGCCTTGGGGTCCAAAGGTAACGATCACAAGGCCAATACAGGATAGATAGTTTTTCGAGCCGTAGCTTTGGAGTGTGGTGTCGAACTATGGCGCCGAACTCATGGAGTCTTTCTGCATCAAGCCTGTATCCGGTCCGGCGTGTGTCGTCAGTTGCGGAAACAGAAGGGAAGGTGTCTTTTCTCGACCATGCAAATTCGATATTTCGAAGGTTCTTGATTGCAGACTCCCTCAATCGGAAGAGCTTCTGCGTACAGTGTGTAGGGTCGGTCCAGTCCTTTACAGAATCGCTCAGCTTGACTGCACGACCACTCGGTCTGAGTGCATCATCGGCCTGGTCATTCAAAAACATATCTTTGAACATTGGAGGAGTACGACGACTGTTCAGACAGATAGTGGTTGAGCGAAAGAAGGCTGGTGTCCACTCTTCGGCGCTTGTCCAGCAAGTCAAGCGCAGATTCTTTTTTGCGACCTCGAACTCGTTCCAGATGCGACATTGCCAACATACGTCGTCGTCTTCTCGGCAGGTTGTGTGGTAGCGGTAAGGCTTGGTACGACCCTCCAGAATGTCATATACCTGAAGTCTGATATCTTTGTCGAGATCGAGGAATCCGAGGGGACGTGCTGAGGGAGACTGCACTTCCGCTGCGCCGCAAGCGACAGACTGCGCCATAGCGAGGTTGTGCGTAACGGGTATGAGTAGTAGCGCCGATGCGTTGTGTGGGAGTGTTGAAGTTCTTAACTCTATGCGGGTACTGATGGGTGATGAGAGGTGTGTAGGACTGAGGATGATGGAAGCAAGATGAGGCTAAGATGAGCAAGCGAGGGAGGTTTTTGAGACGTCTGGATGCGACAGTGAATGTACCGATCGTACCTGTCCAAGCGGTGATGGGATGGTGAATCGACGTGTGAAGCGGAATTGAGCTAACAGTCTTCCCATGTGCAAGATGGTACTTTGATTGCTACACAATCAGCCTGTGCTCCTTTGCGACTTGCAATGCCAGGCTCCGACCTTTGGGTACTTAGCAAGCCTGTTTCCAGAAAAGGTGGCACAGTCTGACTGCTGTAGCTGGTCAGATTCAAATTGATACCATTCTTGTTTTCATTTCGAGATCCTTCACACACAACGATATAGCGTTGGGCTCTGGCATGGGGGAGGCCATCAGCTTTACCGTACAGTGCTTCTGTCTTGCTATCGAGGCTTCTGCTGTTGTGAACCAGCTTGACTTTGTCGTGTCTTCGATGTACAGCCTGTCAGACGGTGCCAAGGGACAGGCTCGCTGAGTATTGAGTGCCTCCCATGTAGTCCTGTCGTGTGGCAGAGAGTCCTCCTACATTCGCGACCGCATGTGATGCGTTTTGTTCAACTCTAAAAAGATCCACGTCGAAGCGCTGAAGAGATCCAGCGGCACTTAGGAAGCGCAATTGTCTAGAGGCAGTCCCTTGATCAATGCAAGTCCGAACATGCTCTTTCCTGCCCGGTGAGAATGGGATGTCTCCATGTCAGTTGCTAGCGAGCTCATCATCAGCACCTGCCACAGTGCCTGGGATGAATCCAGTGTTTCCACAGTGGAAATCCACAACGAACAAGCCCGTTGGCCTGACATCTTGCTGTAGTCCATCGTCCGCAAGGTCGGTTTCGAGGAGCAGAACCTGTCATCAGCTTGCCTTGTCAACGAATTCTGGCATTCCATGTGCTTCGCCGCTTTTTCAAAGGCCTTGAATAGCCATCAGGCATAAGCAGCGTTGACGACGCGCGGTATGCTCGCTAACGGACAAGATGATCTCATAGAAGTCAGTCGTGCAGCTCTCGCATCCAGGACCAAGTGACCAGCAGGTAGCTGTGCGCCAGTTTCATGCCACCCGGCTGAATCAGGCACCCTGCCACTTCGTGATGTGTCAGTCACGCTGGCAATATCCAAATTGATGTCTTGCAACCTGGACCATTCAGCGGCCATCCGATAAGTGTCATGTATTCGATTCTCACCAGACTGCTTCCTGCATAATCACGTAACATGTCGGCATGCTAGAAATCGTGCTAGGGTCATCCTTCTGGGCTCCAGGATCCAGCATACGAAGCAATACCCTGTTCAAACTGGAAAGCAGGCTTGTGCCATTCGACACCGCAGCATATGGCATACGGTGTGCTCAACATCTGCAGCTGCCTCTTCACATCGCCAAATTCCTTACCGTCGGTCCACCCTTCTGCATACCATGCTGCTCATGACCCAGTGATGATCCTGCTGCAATCTTTCCATTTCATTGTGCTAGACCTTCGCACACAAAACGCCGGCACGGCAGTATGTAAGGAGGTCCACTGAGGTCCAAGACGTCGAAGTCGAGAATTTAGACGTCAGCCAAGCACCCCCAAGATCAGAGGTCGTCATTCACTTAGGGCGCAACACTCTTCGGACAAAGGTCTTTCAGAGTTCAGACTTAACGTAGCCTGAAGCTTTAGGTATAGCGCCATGTGCATCAGCGACTCATGGCCCTGTACCGCCTGTCCCGTCGTTGCTTCCCAATCCCATGTATCCGTACACTGTTCCGTCCCACGTGGTGTCAGGTGATTTTTGCAATACAGCCAACGCAGTGTGTCAAGCCAGCAGATAGAGTGCGACGAAGAGCTTCGCAACTCTTCTCCGCTGTCAGGATGAACAGAGCAGCGTAAAGCAGCCGCTTTCTGGGACATGTGTAACTCTCGGCTTACATTCGCACGATCGCCAGGGGTTCAAAAGTCCGTTTCGCAAGAAGCACAGACATCCAAGCAGCAGTACTGAGTGGCCACACCAGCCATGGGATCATCCACCCACCTAAGGCAGGACCTTCCAAGGCCAATTCTCCAGAGGACGAAAGGGAAGTCACGGATAGATGTCACAGAGAAGAAAAGCGCACATTTCATGGTAAGTGACTTCATTTGGTCAAGCTAAACTAAAAGATACCATCCAGCCAGCTGAAAGCACTTGCTGTAGGATGGTTGACAATCACCGTGCAGGCTACACTTGAACCACCCGAAGCATGGAAGGAGCCTGCAAACCGGACTGTACATTTTTTTTGGAATTTCCTTTTTGATAACAAAATCCATGCAATGACTGTGATATGGCCCGCTTTGTAGGACCTCGCCTTTTGTTCAGCAGAGACTTCAACTGCTGTAAAGCCTCCATACTAGCACTTTTCGCAGCTGATCAAGTTGGCATCGAACGATCTGTGCAGGGTGCTGGTTGCTGATGACGCTCGTACATCTGAAAAGAAAATAATGCTGAATCATGCTCTTGGCCAAGTGTTTGAGTTGCTTGCCAAATTGAACCGGATTGGGGGAGACCGCTGGTGATCAGATGTACCACATGGCGAAGACGATGCCCTGTGCATTGTACAATGGCAACAAGGACTTCACCTCGGAGTCGGAAGGCTCTGAGCTACGGCTTGGGGCGTTCATCTTGAACCCTGAACCAGCTTGTGGGCCGGCAGTAGCCTGAACATCTTCGTGTGCTTTTGCGCGATTGGAGGCCAAATGCGCATAGTAGGCGGCTGGATGCAGAGAGACTGAGGTGGTAGACCGCATGTACTGATAGCAGTGCTCGTACAGCATGTTTGGTAGCGCATTTGGACTGTGGTTTGCCTCGTCGTAGATCACCGAGTAGTGAGTCGGTCGAGATGTTCCTTGAAGCGCAATATGCGCATAGAGGTAGAAGTCGAACTCATTTGGAGTTGTGACATCTCGCTCAATGATACAGCCTGGTAGGGGGTTGCCTTTCTGGTCCGCAGCATCTCTACCAGGGAATGCACGCACATGGTGACGCTTGCCTGCAATGACGACAGTGATCTTTCCAGCCCATGGTTTGCCGGCACAAGCCTCCATGATCGCCTTGATGTGAGGCACTTCCTGGTTGAGTACATGAGCGAATTGACCTTCGGAGACGCCGTCACGAATGTAGTAGATCTGCTGAGGAAGAGAACCACCACCGACTGTACTCATCCACTGAGTGACCAGAGGCTTAAGCATGTTGCGCCAATTGGCTTCAGAGACCATCTCGACACGGAAACCGTTGGTCTGGCACGCTGCAGCGTAACGACCACCGAATCTGTCGAAAGAAACAGTGATTGCAGCCATCGAAGCCTGTTGACTGCCAGGCGATGCGTGAGAAACGTCTGCGCCAATGATCATGGTAGGAGCGGTGAAGCCCTTGAATCCGGAGGTAGCATGAGGAATCGCTTGTGAAGTGGTGCCGCCTAGCTTTGCGTTGACCTTCATCAGGACGTTCGAGTAGTATTGAGCATTGCCTTTGATGACTTGCTGGAGCTGCATGCACTGAGTGACTACACCGTAACGGCAATCAGCAGATTTCTTGATGCGCAAGTAGTGGAAGCTGTTGCGATCCTGGAGAAGGAAGATCATAAGCTGTGGGCGTCTCTTGAATTGATTTCCAGTTTGGTTGTACAATTCCTCAACTGCTTTACCGGCGTCAGCGGGCAGCATGGCGATAGTAGGAGGTTGATTGGCGACCTGACCGCCATGCTCGCGATACGCACGAGCGAAGTCAAGGGCGAATCTGTCGATGGCGCTCTTGTCAGGTACTCTGCCACGGCCGGTAAAGACGCCAATTCCCCAGGCCACGAGTTCTTGAGGGTTGCCATTCAGGAATTTTTTGCCTCGTAGATCCCAGCGACCTTTGGTACCAGGTTGCTCAGTCTTATTGCCGAATTTCACGCCAGGGGCAGGGAGAATGCGAGCGTTCGTCTTGATCTGCTGAGGGTTCACACGAAGACCATAGTTGTTCAGATACGGGTCACTACCCCAGTTGAGCCAACTCTTGCCCTCGTCGATGGCAGCAAGGCGCTGTGCTGGTGGGGAGACGGCAAACTTGATCATGTTCGCGGTCTGAGTCTCATCCAATTTAGCAGCATAGCGTGTGCCACTGATGATCTGCAGGAATTCCATGGGATACATCACTCCCTTCTTAGTCATTTCGACTAAGGGCAGTTCTGGAAATTGTAGAGCGATATTGTACTTGCGCTTGAAGTATTGGGCGATGGAAACTCGCTCGCCAGTTGGCTTCTTTGTCTGAGGATCTTTCCAATCCAACTTCTCTTCATGAGCGTTGTTCAAGGAAAGAGTGTGAATCTTCCACTCTTTGTCTGCCATAGGGTTACCCTTGTACTGAGCAGTGACCATGATGCCCTTGATGGCTTTTCTGACAGTGGTATGGGTGTCGGACTCTTTTCGAGAGCCATTGTCTTGTCTTGGGCGCATCTCACTCACAATCTGTTGGGGATCTCGCAATCTGAACTTGGTGACGATTGTGGCAATGAGTGAGCTCGGTTTCCAGAAACAAGTGTTGGCAACGTCAAGATTGATCACAAGCTTCTTACCCTCAGCCAGACGCATGGATTGGTAAACGCCACGCCAGACCTCGATACCACCACCCAAGTCGGCACGTTGACCTTGCCGCTTGAAGATGGATCGGCGAATAGAGAGGAATTGGTTCGATGTGGATGGACCTTCACGCAGAAGATGATCCATGAAATTGACTGCTCCTGCAACCTCGATGTTGAACTGAATTCGTCCATCGAGATATGCCTGCACCACAGAGATATCCAATGGTCGGGTCTTCTTGATGTGTAAACGGAATGTGTTGCGGCCTGGATCGCGTGACTGGCGACCTTCCTCCTGGTCCAGGTCGACCATAAGCCGAATCTCATTGTGATCGGTAAGGGACCAAGCAAGGCGGTTCCCATCGTAGATTATGGGTGGTCCAGTAGCCTTCTTGCGCGCTTGAGAAGCCCAGACCTTGCGTTGCACGACCCGCTTCTCATCACCATTGCCAATGACAACATCGTATTGGTAGACTTTGGCAGTGGGGTATTGGGTAACTTGGTAGGAGTTGACAGAGACTTGGACTGCCTTGCCAGTCGTATTGAAGCCTGGGCGTTTGGCGAACTGTGTTGGAAGAGAGTACTGCGAACCATCAGTGCCTGGTCCGACAATGTTGCGAAAGTACGGGATTGAGGAACGACTAGTGGAGGATTCCATGATTGTAATTGGGAAGGTATGAGGATGTATGGGACTGATGCTTCATGACAGCCAGCGACAAAGGGGGAGAACATGGCCTACTTATAGGCCAGCAAGGCAGCAGTGACCATGAGGACATTGTGAAGGTGCTGAGGTGTACAGCAAGACATGGAGCGCTTTGAAACGTCTGCCACGTTGCTGGAATGTGATGCTGAGACATCTTGCAAGTACAGATGGTGAAAGAGTGGCAGGAAGTGGAATGATGCTGGAGGAATTCGGTGCACAGGATTGGGAAGAAGATTGGGAATGGAGGTGAGTGCAGTGTGGGCAGGTATGAGTTGTGTCATATTCAACCAGAGCAGCATTCAATGTGCAAAGAAGCCGATGGCGGCAATGTGGTAGGGTGAAGACCAAATGACTCACCAGCTGATCGATGTTGTAGAATGATGGTGGCAAGTCAATGTTGCGCAACGCATCGGTGTATCTGGGTTGTGACTCTCTTGCAGGGTCACCTTGAACGATCGGCGCTTGAGCTTGCTGTGGTGGCGCAGTCTGGCCTGCGGAGCTTGACCGAGGGCTAGCCGCTGTGCCTGCTGAGGGAGCGAAGCTTCCTTGGGGAGCAGACGGTGAGGTAGAGCCAACAGATGGAGCATTGGAAGGTTGACGGCCATGGGATGCTGATGCTGAGCCTCGACTGGCAGGACCATCAAAGCCTCCTGGAGGGACTTGAAGACGGTCACCCCGACGGGAGCTGGTTTCACTGGAAGCTGGGCCTCTAGCCGCGCGACCAGCACCGCGTCGTCGAGGAGCTTGCGACATGGTTTTGGGGAAGTCTGTTGATTGAGGTGTCAGTGTATCTGGTGAAAAGTGTAGAGAAGCTGATGTGAGAAGAAGACTGTGCTACAATCTGTCTTTTGGAAGGGGGAAAGAATGGATGCTCAGTCTGACGAAGATGGTATTGTGGGAAGATATGGAAGATGGACTGCTAATGTTGGGAGATTGACGGTGCCAATTGACTGAAGGTGGAATTGAGGCAATGCAATTGGGACGCAGGGAAAAGTACCGTGAGACCCTTGGATCGTGGAGCGAAGGTGTTGTTGCTATTTCTGCTGAAGGATTGGATTCAGGATGGAGTTGACGAAGGAAGGAAGAACGATCGAAGGTTGTGTGGGTGATAGGAAGAAAGGAAGGAGGAAAAGAGGGAGAAGAGGCAGGTACTTATAGGCGTTTGCCAAGGAGCAGGAAGGAGCACATGCAAGCACATGCAGTGTTTGTTGTTGAGGGTGAGGCAGTATCTCAGGTGAAGGGAAAAGGCTTTGTGAGGTGAGGTGAACAAGAAGTGAGGTCAATTGAGGGCAGTGGAGGGCTTTCAAAGAGGTGGACGTGAAACCAAGTTCCAATGTTTCAACACAAGGAGATGAGATGTAGAGATGGCGGCAGCGAGGTGTATCTGATGTTCACGATGCAGGGAGATGAAGAATTCCATGCGCAAATCCTACTGACCTTGGAATTGACGTCCGCCCGCTCTATCAATACCTCAATGGAGATGAAGTCGACGATGTGCCCGGAGCACAACAACAAGGCTGCCAATTCAATCTGGCTGTCGAAAAGTGCCAACCCCGAGTCTGCCACACAGGAAGGTTAGTCGAACTGACTGACACGATGTCGCAGTCGGACTTCATACCACCACTCTGGACGAGGTGTTGCTACCCGTCAGGCTGAACCGCTCCTCGCCGTCTACAACGCGTCAGACCTCCAATGGAGCACGGTAGACCATCGACAAAGGCAGGTCTACGTATCCAACCGTCACAGAAGCTATCCTGATATCAATTGAGGTTGTTTGCAGCATACTCTCCAGGCCAAAACCGGGGAGAGGCGCTGGCGGTGAGAAAGAAGGAGGTTGAAAACGCGGCGGGGAAGAGCAGAATTTCTGGGATTTCAGAGTTTCGGTTGCTGGCCGTGGCGACACCCGGGCACGTCCCCGATTGGGTGCTGGGCTTCGTCCTTTGGCTCAGAAACACCACGCAAATAAGGGTACGAGCATGCATGGAATGTGGACGAGTTCCAGACCTAGCGTTCTGGTCAGTGTTCACGGATGGAAGCAATCTGGAGGATGAATGCACGCAAGAACAGGTTGTAGGACCAGGTGTGAATGTATTTTGTGGTATCTCAACGTTCGGCCCAAGTTTGCCAACGCATACAGCGTTTTGAGGCTGTATCATAAGGTAGACTGCATGCTCTCTTCCTTTTCCTCCGACGAATACCTAGGTACTAAAGCCACCCATCCAGTATGATTATAGGAACCCTTCGCACCCTGCAATGCTTGCTTGCTGATATGTTGTACATCAAGTCCGTGGCCGACCCTACCCGATGAACAAATTAACGGATCGCTGGTAATGCCCATGAATCAAGCATAACGGAAAGGTGCTATCATGCTGTCAGTATGAGGAAGTCTGCAGAATAATGATGATACTTACCCCCTCCGTATTGTGCTTGTGTAACCCCGGGTGGCGGTATGTAGCCTTGCTGGGACATTGGCGCTGGGGGCTGTTGCGCATACGGCGGCCAACCAGATCCAGGGACTGGGGCTGCAGGTGGTGGATGTTGAGCAACTGATTGCGGTGGCGGCAAATGTACGTCCCGGATTAACTCTACCATCTTCGCGGCATCAAGTCTGGCGTCCACATAGTTTGAGGCTTTAGGTAAAATGCTGAGCAGGTATGTGATTTGAGGAGGAAACGGAGGAGGCACGGGAAAGTTTGCCATCCCTGGAGGAGGAGGTGGGAGGCGTTGTTGCTGCTGTTGATTCACACGACGGCCTGCTGCGCCTTTCAATGGCGACTCACCCCGGGCAAGCTTGCGCGGTCCTCCATCCTCGAAATCGTCCGGGAAAGGTCGTTTGGGGGAATTGGTGGTAATAGAGTCAATAACTTTCTGGATTGGAGAATTGACCATTTCTGGTACTTCGACAGATGGTAGTACACGGTTCTGAGTAGCCTGCATCTGAGATGGTGATATAACAGGGTGTGCGCTTATTGTGTCAAATGTCGGAGTGCTGTATCGAGTGGAGAACAACTTGAGACTGGGATCCTCAGGGAAGTTTTTTCTCATCCTCTCCTCAAGCGATTGCACCTGGGCCAGTTCGCCGTATTTTGACTCGTAGTCGTGCAGATAGGCAAATAACGGCTTCGCCTTTGCAATATGTTCCGCGTCATCGTGAGCCAGCAGCCGCTTGACGGTTGTCTCAAACACTGCTCGTGCATTTGTAACGTCGTTGATCTCGAAAAGATGCTTAATGTACTGTAGAGGAAGATAGTCGTCTTCGGGGAAGAGTTTCATGCCACGGTCCAAGATCTTGGTTCCTGCAGGATCTCGATAACATTGCCACTCAATCCGAGCAGACTCCACGTAAAATTCACTTGTGAGCTTGCCGCGTTTACGAGCCTCGCCGAAGACGATGCGGAAGCCACTCGGGCCTCTTTCACCGGGCATGCCCTTTCCTTGGACTCGTCGAGTTGCGCGCATCAAAGCAATCCAGACATGTGAAATCATCCGACTCAGCATCTCGGTTTGCGCCTGAGCACTTTTTCGGATGACCTCGATTTGGCTGTCAATCACGGCCTTCTTTGCTGTGATGTTGGCAGCATTGATCTCGTCTTCACCGCCATCGCCCTCGCCATTGCTGGCTGCTGCAACCTCAACTTTCTGGATTTCCAGAGTTTCGCGAGCGTTCACCCTCTTGATCAGGTCGTACAGTGAATCCAGGACCTTGTCGTAGGGTTCGCGAATCTTCTTCATGCGGTCCTTGGCTCCGGGATCAGCTGCTTCATCATTCTGTGTAGAGGCCTCGGTACGATCGGCAAGTCTGAACGCCAGAAGTGGTGATTCAGGGTTGGACGTGATGCCTTGATCCAGCAATTTGACACCTTCACTGTCAAGGCCGTTTGCAAAGCAGAATTCAACAGCGTCATACCACATCTCCGGCCAGAATTGCAATGCCATAAGCGCTTGCTTGTACGTGAACAGTATCCGGTTCCGGTACAGTGCCAAATCTTCGTCTTTAATAACCAGATTATCCTCCTTTTCCCATTCGATCCATTGCTTCCATAGTGCGACTTGGTGCAAGTAGCCATCGTAGCCTTCGTATCCAGACGCCGGCGGCAGTTGCGGTCTTGATGTTCGTTGCAAGCCTCTGGTCAGATTCTGCAATTGCGTGTATGCTGTCCGTGCTGTCATATATATTGGTGATTTCTCTTGAAGATATTTTCGACCGTTGATCTTGCTAAGACCCGTCTCGAATGCATCGTACTCTTTCCAGAGAATCGTGGTCGCAGCAGTAGGAACAGCGATAGCCTTCTGATATGCTTCTCGCAGGGTATCGACTTTACCGGCATCTTGCCAACCAGTCCCACCAATCGTGCCGGGACCACTCTTCAGAAAGTTGATGTAGTCTTGCCACAGACTGCCGGAGTCCTTGTCCATACCGATCGTTTTTAGGGCGAAACTGAATGACTCGTTGATGATGTTGTATGATCTGGCAATATCTCCCGAGTGCATGTTGTTACGACGTCGTATGTAGTTGATGTATAATGTCCACAGCTGTACGTCAAGCACTTCGAGAAGTGATCGGTTGAAAAGTGTTTCCATTGCGCGTAACCGATCATGTTCCTCCTCCCACTTCACGTAAGCGCACCACTGCTCAGCCTGGACAGTCGTTAGTCATAAATCGAATATGCTGGGCGCGAGCAATACATACATCGAATGGGAATACTGTCAAGTACTGCTCATACACCCGTCGTACATCGTCTTGTTTGTTTCGACTCTTGAGTTCATCAATCAGCTCGAGATAAGCAGCCGTGTCTCCACGAGGGTCATCTTTGATGCGATCCTCCAAAATACCAATCACATCATGAGCTAGGCGAGACTTGGGTAAGCCTGCATTGACAAAGCCATTCACATGAGAACGGGGAGGAGAAAGCTGAGCTGGAGTGGCGGGAGCAGTTTGAGCTGGTGTAGCAGTTGCAGCACGCGTCGCATCACCGCCAGTAGGAACAGTGGAAGAAGAAATGTCAGCAAGACTACCAGTTGCCTGGACAGGAGCAGGAGTGATTCCATTTTCTTGTTCTGGTGACTGGGAAGTTCTATCAAGGGCATTTGCAGGGGCAGGTGTTGGGATATCAAAATCCAGGCCGATAGACGGATCATAAACATCTGCGTCATCTTTTTCGTCCTGGGCCACGTCCTCCTCATCTGGATCATCATCAACTTCGAAGCCGCCTACGATGCGGGGCTGTCGTTGCGGTTGCGAAGGAACGGGTGTGAAAGACTGCGCCATGTTTGGTGTTGGAGTTGGTGCAGATGACTCATCGATGAGTTTTGCAGGAAGAGGATGGAGAGCAGACTGTGTCGGAGATAGTATTGTATCACGCAGGTTATCGACAGGAATCTGTTCTGATGGAGAAAATGGTTGTGCAACTGAGTTTTCTGTCATAGCCGCAGCAGCGTCGCCGGTCTCAAATTGAGCAGACTGCGCTGCCATGGCAGATTGAGACATAGCCTCCTGATCTGAGCTTGCCATCTCGGCCGCGTTTGATGTTCAACAAACAGTAAGAATTAGAAGACTGAAAAGAAAAGAAGTGTCTGGCGCAGTCAGTGTAAGGTCCCGGTGGAAGAATGGCTTTCTGAAGAGACTGACCAAGATAGCACCCGTGGAAGATTATGCAGCGCGCTCGAACATAAGTCTCATCACCTTTCGAGCACTGGAATTAGACAAAGAAGAAGCGCCGCAATACCTTCAAAAGTTGTTGTTATGGGATTGTGAAGTCATTTGCAGATAAACAGATGCCAGTGGTAAGTCCTTGTAAACGACAGGGAGGAATTCACACCTCGCCAAGTTACTCTGGGCACGTGAGCCTGCACTGGCTAGGCTTCCCTAGCCTAGTGGCTGCCTAGTGGGCTGCAACGACTGGTCCTGCCCACCGTGAAGTGCCGCGGTCGCGGTGCGCAGACTGACGCGATATGTCTGCGCGCTGCTTAAAACACCGCGACTTTTTCCTAACATCAATCACCAGCAACATCTCAGGCACATCCTTTGGTCACCGCTCCGACTGCAATATCCTGTGTATCAAGCATCAAGCGTCTATCAAGAGTCTCGCGACATCCTCATCCATTTCTAGCCTCTCAAGACATCAGCTGCCCTCGTTGCAATCATGTCGGTCGTGTCGCTGCTCGGCGTCAAGATTCTCAACAACCCTGCCCCGTTCACTGCTCCCTACGAATTCGAAATCACATTTGAATGTCTCGAACAACTACGAGAGGGTGCGGCCTACGACCATGGCTCAATTGTGCGCGACTGACCATTTCACAGATTTAGAGTGGAAATTGACCTATGTCGGTTCTGCCACGTCTGCAGAACACGATCAAGAACTGGACTCATTGCTTGTTGGACCAATTCCCATAGGAGTGAATAAGTTCATATTCGAAGCTGATCCCCCGAAACTCTCGCGTCTACCATCTTCCGAAATCATCGGAGTCACCGTCATCCTCCTGACTTGCTCGTACGATGGTCGAGAGTTTGTGCGCGTGGGCTACTACGTCAACAACGAATACGACAGTGAAGAGTTGCAAAATGACCCTCCGTCAAAACCCATCATCGAACGTGTTCGACGCAACATCCTGGCAGAGAAGCCTAGAGTGACCAGATTTGCCATCAAGTGGTACGTTGAGTTTTACCACGAGTGATCAACAAGCTGTGCTAACATATTTTCGTCTTAGGGATTCGGAAGAGTCTGCTCCTGCCGAGTATCCGCCTGATCAACCCGAAGCCGATACCCTGGACGACGATGGCACAGCCTACGGCGCAGAGGAGGCCGACATGCAAGCAGCGTTGGAAAAGGAGCTTGAGGACACAGACGCTGCTGCCAAAAAGGCGCCTGTTAGTGGCAAACAAGAACCCGTGGTAGCCAAGCAGGAGAAAGAAGAGGACGAAGAAAGCGAGGCCGGTAGCGAAGACCTTGAGGAAGAGAGCAGCGAGAGCGACGAGGATGAAGAAGATGAGGAGGCCGCCGAGGGTGAGGATACCGAAATGGCCGAAGCCGATGAGAAGCCCGCCACTTCCACCACAGCGACAAGTGGTGAACAAAAGACCGAAGCTCAGCCAGAGGTCATGGTACATTAGAAAGCAGTGTTTCACTGAAAAAGAGCAAGGCGTTTGGAGTCGAAATTGGGCGGCCATAGCATGTGACGTTTAACATGCCTTGGACGAGATGAGAGATTACGATATTGGGGATGGTATTGCCATGATGGAGTACACCGTCAGCATTGTATTGCGCTCGGCTTAGATGGTGATGGGAGATGGTAATGTCATCATACACTTCAGCCTGGTATGATAATACAAGAAATAGAAAATGTTCATGTCCAACCCGATCCAGCCTCAACCTCTTTCCCTTACTTCAGGTGCTTCGCCCATTCCGCCCAAAATTGGAACGCCTGCCTGGAAGCTCATGAAACACACTTGAGTCGAAGACCATACCTCGTATGCGGCGAGCCTGTTTCCAGGAAAAGTGGCACTGTTTGACTGCTGTTCCTCCTCACCATCAAATAGATATTGTTCCTTCTCGTCAGTCCGGACTCTATTGCATACAACAATATAGCTTTTGCTCCTAACAGGGGTACAGGTCGTCACCTCTATCGTATAGCGCTTCTGTCTGCTGTTGAGGCAACCGCTGCTGTGAAGCTGCTTAAGTTCGAATCTGTCATTGTACTTCCTGTCAGGCGGTGCCACTTTTCCTGTGAACAGGCTCGCCAACCTCAAATCGTGGAGCAGAGGACAGTGGTAGTGAAGTGCCGAAGCGAAATCGTATTGAACACATGCTGGGAACATCCACGTTCCGGGCAGTCACAGAGTTTCAACTCCCACCCGGAGTTCGCTTGAGTCTGGGAATATCAACGTTCAAGACAGTCCCAGATTCCAAATAGCCACTCCCAGGCCCCTTGATCCAGAGTTGTCTTGCATTCCTGAAGCCAGCAGTAACGAATAAGACCGCAAGACTGATTCAGTAGGTAAATCACACAGCAGAGTAAACCGCAGTGACGTTCCTGCCACATTCGACACGCTGCTCCATCTTGACCTTCCGCCCCTTTACGTTGACCGTATGCTGGGGTGTCAAGTGGAATCTGTGCTCCTCTTTCCTGCCGACCTCGATCTCAGCCGCCATATCAAGTGGCCGAATATACTGTGGTGTGTTGACATTGTTTCTCTTTCCCGTTCCAAGCTGATAGTATTCGTTGCCACCCCACCAGACCACATCGGCGCCCCAGTTGGTGTCGTTCTCAGAACTTTTCTCGCTGGCGTCAAGGTATGTGACATTGTCCATCACAGCGGAGACGTGCGTCGAGCCAACCGACATCTGGGCCATCCTGATGGGAATGACCACCTTCTTCTTTTCGTCGTACTCGAAGAGACCACTCAGTGAGGGAATCTTCGTTAACCCATTTTGGATATGAGTCCATCTTCCATTACCTAGAGTACCCTGAATACCTCGACCGCAAGCCCATATGTCTGCGCTGGTGCGACCTAGAGTTCTGACTTCGGCTGGATCTTCTGAAGGACCCAGGATGCGAGTGGCGTCGATGCTGTAGAAGCTGTTCTGACCACCCGCCGATATGCCAGTGACTTTGGCCTGCTGGTTTGTACCCTGGTAATACTTGGTGATCGGTAACAAAGACGGGCTATCCACGTATGGAGACTCAGAATTATGATCGAGGCCAAGCTGGCCGTTTGAATTGTCGCCGAATGCAAACACCCGGCCCTCTTTATCGAGTACGAGCGAATGCGTATCGCCAGAGGCTAGCTTCTGAATCTCGAAGCCTCTGAGATTGGTAATCTCATGACACATGTCGTATGGGCCTTCAGGCCGTGTGAACCATGTCACCCCTGGAACTCCCAACTGACCGCGGCTTGGAAAGTCTTCGGAACCAGAAGCAGCAGAGAACACCCTTCCAGAATTGGTGAGCAGCAGGACATGCTCCAGCCCGCCACTGATGGCCGTGACTTTCTCCAACGTCCCCAGTCCTTTCGGCGACAGTTTTCTGTAGCTGATATTGGCCGTCGGGCTCGAGAATGGTACCCAGGAGCTCTCAGTCAGCTTGAGGCCGCTTTCTTGGTCTGATCTTGATACTGGAATTGAATATACTGTGCCATCTTTGCTGAGCCCTATGATCCGATCTCTTGATGTGACGATAGACTTGAGGTCTTTGCCCTTCAGTGTGACAGTAGGTTGCACCACATCTTCCGAGTATGCCTTGCCCCATTGAACCAGATCTCCATTCTCCAGGACTGCTGCGCCAAAAGTCCTGTCGAGCTTGAGATCTCGGAGTAAAACATCGTCAAAGTAGGGGATCCTACGCGGAGTCTTGATGTAGGTCTCGTTCGAGTCTGGTGCCGCGACTTTTCCAGTATTTGAACCCCAAGCATACACCCCCGGGTTCTCCCAGCTTCGCTTGACTTGCAGATGTTGCGAGCTGATTAAGTCCCGGATCTCTTCTTTTGATGCACCCTTTCTCTTTTTCGACTTCTCAAATGTGAGTTGTTGGGGGTCGGTCGGCGGGGCTTCGGCCTCTACCCTGTTGGACTGCGTGGCGCCGTAAACCACGACAAGTGTGGCCGCGGCAGCCAGGATGGCGGTCGATGGTCTCTTCCATGCCTGATGAGAGTTGGAGGTCTTTGCTGAGTATGGTCGAACGCTAAGCAGGTGCATACGACCGTGTGCGCGGATGGTCCCAGGTCGTGATGTCTGCGTCAATCCGCGTACAGTGCGAGTAGTCAACTTGCTTGAAGCCATGCTGTCGATGCCAATCACGATGCCAGCAACATGCCCATTCACCTAGGATATCGATCGGGCTTCAAGGGCCATATACCTTACTATTCCGCAGGAAGAGCATTGACATTTTTACTGGTCGTTCAGGAATCATGAACGTCATGTCGGTGTTGCACTTAACCCGAACGCCCGCTGCAGCCCGCATGTTGTACCTTTCCTAATTGGACTTTTTGACATTCGACGCTCCGGTATTCGTCGAACTATGCATTCAGCTGGAGGTCTCCAGGTCACGACTACACGTACGATGCGACTTCTAGTATTCTCATAACCGGACCTTGACCGAACTAGAAGCGAGCAGGACGACACGGCTGTCCGGAGCCATGTCCGCAACAGACAATGTCGAAACCAATGAAGATGCCACCTTAGCACAACTTCGCAATGCAGAAACAGAATTGGACGTGTTGAAATTGGCTGGGGACATAGACGAGGTCTTGCTGGATGCCAGTCTAGACGAGTATCAGTATGACCGACTCTCCTGCGTCTGATCTGCCTCGCTAAACAATTATAGACAATACCTTGATCAGCTCGACGCTGCGCACAGCCATCTGGACACCCTCCTAGCAGACACCGCTGCAACTCTCGAAGAACTGTCCGAAATCTCGGCCTCCTTCAAAGCCATTGACCTCCAAACGAGGGCGTTCCAGAAACAATCCGCCAACATCCTCGAGGACCAGCGCAAGAATGACACCATTGCCAACGATATCGCCGACAACCTGCGCTATTATGAGCCATTGGAAAGAATCACTAGGCGCCTTAACGCGCCGGGGGCGGGTGCCTTTGTCAGGAGCACGGATTTCTCGGACATGTTGATCACGCTGGATGAGTGTATCGACTACATGCAGACGCACACCGACCAGAAAGAGGCTGAAACATACCGGTCGCGCTACAGACTCCTGCTCACCAGAGCATTGACGCTGGTGCGCAACACCTTCATGGGCGGAGTCAAGGAGACGACGACGGAGGTTGCAGGCAGGATTGCAGCCAAGCAGCTCAATGACACCACCATGTCTGCGCTTCTGTACGCAAAGTTCCGTGTGGGCGCAGCCGAAATGAAGGAGTTGGGTCTCGAGATCCATAAACGAGCGAATCCTCCTGCTGACGCTGAACCGGGCGCGGAAGGCGAATATCAGAGTTTGATGAACGAATTGCACTCCAGCTTTGCAGCGTGTCGAGCCAGGCTGATTTTGCCTATCGTTCAAAAGCGGTTGGCTGAGATTGCACAGACTCCGAGCTCGAAAGACCTCGTTCAGTTCGCACGATCCAGCATCAGCTATGTTCGGGGCGTGTGTTTGGATGAATTTGAGCTATGGGCAGAATGGTTTCATGGCTATCGTGGTCTCTACGACTTCCTCGAGTCCATCTGTGAGCCCCTGTACGATCACCTCCGACCACGAATCCTCCGTGAGAACAAGCTGTCGAAGCTATGCTCGCTCGTCACGCTCTTGCAGACTAGATATCTGCATGATGAGGATGAAGACGGGCCTGCGGACCTGAATCAGCTCGATTTCTCCGCTTTAATCCAGCCAGCCCTCGAAGATGCGCAGACACGACTCGTGTTCCGGGCACAAGCAATCCTACGGGATGATATTGAACTATTCAGGCCGAAACCTGAAGACCTCGACTATCCCAGACTGACGTCTCAACCTCCAACAGCTAGCACACCATTGTCAGGGCGCAGAAAAGCGAACCGCGAACCACTTACACCACTCCTAAAGTCCCCAGAGATTGTGGACGAGGATTCTGGCGAGGAGGGTTCGTTTTCCTGGACACTGGCATCTCGTCGTATCGAGCTGCAGAACTGCTATCCGACCCTTTCTAAGGCTATTCGTCTCCTCCACCGGATCTATAGGCTCGTCAACTCCTCGGTGTTCGACGATCTGGCCCATCAAATCGTCCATATGACCACAGTATCCTTGCACAATGCATCCAACCAGATCTCGTCCAAATCATCCCCGGCGGATGGCCAGCTATTCCTCCTCCGACACCTGCTCCTACTCAAGTCGCAGATTGTGGCTTTTGACATCGAATACGTGACGCCCGACGTGTCGTTCGACTTCTCAGGCGTAGCCAGTACATTCTACGAATTGCGCGAGCGTGGCGGCCTGTTCAACCCCAGAAGCTGGATGAAGCTTTTCAGCAGCGGCGGTCTTCTCCCACGGGTTGTCGAGAATATGCTGGACGCCAAAGTCGAACTTGATGGACGATTGAGGACGGTCATCAACGACTTTACCGCAGGCTTTGCCAGTCAGATGACCAAGGACCTGCCCAAAGATGTGGAGAAAGCGAGCGTCAAAAATAATACGCTCGAGAACGGCGTGTCAGCTACACGCAAGAAGGTGGAGGCCGAGATCCCGATCCTCCGCGCAAAGCTCGAACAGTATTTGGATGACCAGCGAACTCGCGAGACGCTGGTTGCTGCAGTTGAAGATCAGGTCATCCAGATATATGAAACGTTCTTTGACGGGTATGTAACTCGACTAGGTAGTAACGGTAAGATGAACGGCGCGAGTCCGATCTCAAGGAAAGGCAAAGGTCCAGAGAATGCGGTTTGGGACATCGACACATTTGCCGAGTGGGCGGAGTCGCTGTTCAACGTCGCGCTGCCGAATGTGGAGGATGATGCGACGAGTAATCCTGGTTCACGAAGTCTATCGAGAAGTGGAAGTCCATAGCCCTTGTCAATTCAATCGTGTTCGGGTTTGGCGCCTAAGTTGACTTTGCCTCTTCCGCTTCCCGTCTGCAGCTTTTGTGCCCTTTCGATCCAGGTTTTGGCCGCTTCTGGCAGGCCACCTGATATTGCGCACTCGCGGGCTACGAGGTCATGTACCTTCTCGATCATGTCGCTGTCATTGACCGACAGTCCTTCAAGCTGGCTGTTCAGATCGGCACCTCTGGAGGCGGCCGCGGCTCTCTTTCTGTTGCCCATGACACCAATATTTCTTGTGCTAGGAATGCGCATCAAAGTCAATTCGACGTCGAAGCCAATGTCCTCTGCGATGGCGACGACTTTCCTGGTCAAGCACGCATACATGGATTTGTCGTCCGCGTGATTTGCAGCCTTGACCTTTGCGGCTCGCAGAGCTTTTAGATCGCCCGACGCCGGCTGCCCTTCCTTGTCGTTGATGCTGGTGTTGCGGATGTCCTTCGGTGAGTAGCGATGCTTAGCGCCACTGAGTGCGTGCGAGCAACATGGTATGGCGAGGAAAGGGAGTGGATTTTGTGGACATGCCAGTGCCGCGAGAATGGGTGTCCACGGCGTGAGCTCATCTGCGTGGTTCGAAATGACGAACGTGCCCGGCTTGAAGAAGCCGCTGTGTATGCGAGCTCCAGGAATGACACCGTCGCTGTCCGATGGTGCAGCATCAAGAAATGGTTGTGGAACACAGATCATTTCGTCCAAGTACGGGTCCATTTCGAGGACTTCCCAAGTTTTGCGTCGGCGAGCGTCAAACCCGCGGCCGTGATAGCCTTCCTTGATCAGTATGTAGCTCAGTACGCCGTTGCCACAGGCAATGTCGACGAAGCCTGGGAAATTGTCCGTTGTGTACATTTGCTTCCAGAGTTCAATGACGAATGCTGCGATTGATAGGTCTTCGAAGACGTGCTTGGATGGTTCGGTCTTTTCGGCCCAGCGCGATATCAGATTTTGGGCGTACTGTTGCTTTAATCGGGTGTAGGTGTTCTGGACGATATGTTGAGGGAGGATGGTATCCTTGAGTACTGAGGGCGCCATGGACATGCCAGTTGCAATTGCCATGTCATTCTTGTTTGTGTCGTGAAGCTGCTCCTCAGGACCGGGACCCTTGGCCAGCCTGAGAAATGTCTGAAGCAGTGAAATGAATGTGCGATGGAGTCTCTCCGGGACAACATTGGTGGTCTGGTCGAAAGGAAGAAAATGCGTGGAAAATGTTGTGTGGCCTTCGGCTTGTTCGTAGAGATATGCCAGAGCCTTGACTGGCGGATGATACCACGGCATATCAGCCTCGTCCTTGACATCTGGCACGTAGACGACCACATAGCCAGACTTCACTCCTGGACTTTCCTGCATCTCGTAGATATAACACCATTGCTCCAGAGGGCGGTCGAGTTGTGGTTTGCGAGGTATGAGTCTCCTCAAAACTCTTCGCACGAGCGTTGCACCTTCCACTTGTGGCGCATCGACGGCGACAACTTGGTCGGCGGAAGCATCATCGTGATAGTCATTCTTGTTTCCGTTGAGGTAGTCACATTGCTGTTCCTTCTCGGCAACGGTCTTCAAAATTTGTGCACTGTCATGTAGTATATCTGCACGGAAGAGATGGGTTGAGTTCAGATTTGGGCATTCCAGCAACAGATTCGTGACCTGCATGAACTTCTCGCCTGAGAGGTCGGAACATTCTTGTTGGTACGCTTCGGCAGTATCCCAGTAGGCCGTGGTGGACTTGAGTATCGACACGCCCATGACTGGTATATATCAAGCCAGGGCTACTTCGCTAGGCGAAAAACCCTGGTGTGCATATCCTGCCGTATACGAGACTTAGATCTAGTTAAGTGGCCGATATTTAGGGGCTATATAGGTTGTGCCGCTATTCCCGTGCTATCTCACTATCACTTGTACTAGGTAACCAGGACTATTTTTGACCCAGGATGATCCAAGGCTTCATAAAAAAAAGGGACAAAAAAGAAAAGCGATATTGTCGCCCGCGGACTTCACCTGTTAGTATGAATTTCAATTTATAATTTATAGTACTCACGAGGCTCGCTAAGATTCCATTAGTTTCGAATTTCGATGCGCACAGAGTTCCACATACAACTCTCAACCTAATAGAGGTGTCAATATAGTATGATAGCACCAGAGATGGTATTCGGACCTTGAGATGATTTTTTTAAAAGTCTCCTACATGACCATTAGTGGATGTATACATAGAGGACTTCGGGGTTATTTACACGCGCTCTGATTGTCATTAGAATACTGTTATGACACAGTGTTTCGAAGAATGGAGGACATACGACCAATTGTGCCACGCCTAACAGATGTTAGTTGATATTGCAAGTATACGAGCAATGAGGCAGCTTACGGGCTGAATCGAAGACATTTTTCAACGTCGATTTATTGGCAATTTTCGCCCACTTCAAATATTGAACGTCAAAAATTTCCCGGCGGTCTGCGCGGCGCCAGCCGCTCTTACAGTACCTGGGCCCAGTGTGCAATGATAGTGCCTAGCCGAGGGCAAAGGCTCGAAGTTAGCCTCAACAAGAACTTCATCTGATATTGTGATTCTATTAAACCACTGGACACCCTGACCCAGTTTAGCGCAAGAGCATAGTCTGTAAAGATACTCAATGAATGCTACGTCCTTTGGCCATGGAAGGCTCCAGACTTCAGCATCGTGAAGCCTTCTTGATTGCTTGCATCCAATGCTTACCTGCCAGAGTATCATGTGCTGTTGAGTCAAGGAGGTCAGGAGGTCGATCGGAACGTATGGGGCCACCATACCTTGCCACCATGTTCATCTCGCACCATGTTCGGTAAAACTGCGCCAGATATCAAATGTATGGCGAATGCATGGGCACATTATGCATTGCTGTTCAACTATTCATGCTATCGCCACCATTCTGCCGACCACCTCGCTATCGCCACTTTTGAGATAGACGTCCTTGGTGCTGATGATTCCAGCCTTGCCACGCCTACCTTCTGTGACTCGGCAATGTCGCCCCCCTCACTTGCCTCTTGGTATCGCCATGTATGAACTCTTTTTCTCTATTCCCTACCCAGTTTTGGTGGTGGCGTCGAAGCAGGGCGTTCTTACTCAAGCTGCGTGAAGACTTGTTCGGTTGCGGGGGTGGAGTCGGTGTCCGCACCTTAGGCTCGGTCGCTCCGCGGGTCGCTCCGCCGTCGAAGGCGTACGAATTGGCAAATGTGACAACTGATTAGGAGGGGGTTGTAGGCCTGTCGTGATGCTGTGTCCCATGCTCAAATTGTGAAGATGCCGGTTTTCGAGCGAGTCTATCCAATCCGTAGGGATACTGCCTTCTCTGCCATCGCTATCAAGTTGATGGTGTCAGAGTCCGCGGAGTGGGCATTGTCGTCGTACTCATCACCAAGGACGCATGGCGCGAGGACGTCTAATTTGTGGGTTGCAAAGCCAGGCAATAGATCCATCCATGTGAAGATTACCCTCAATGAGTTGCTCTTAGCAGGCATGATATCTTGTTTGTTGTATGTCTCAAGGTAGCAGTATAGCATTCTCCAATCACACCACGCATTTGACCATTCGATCATTCGGGAATCTGGACCGAACCCTGCTGCTGCGAGGAGTTGATGTAATCCATTCCCGTCAACCACGGGGAGATGGGAGCAAGAGCCTTGCTTGTGGTAGTGCTTGTTGTAATGCTTCATCAGGTCGAGTCTCGATGGGAAAGTCCTGCAGAGCTCTTTGAAGTCCTGCTGTGGAATGGGGAGCTCCACTCGATGGTTGACCACTATTCGCCGTTCTGGAAGCGTCATGACACATATGGACAGAAGAAAAGTTCCGTGCTGCCCGAATTGTAGCCATTCTGTGTCCAAAGCGAAGCTCTTTCCACGAGATCCAGCTGGATTTACGCTTTCACAACTGGGCGTTTTGTCCGGTTTAAGCATGGCACGCAACTCGTCAAAGTATCTGGGCATTGGGAAGTCGGTTTTGCTGAGATACTCAATCATGTCGACTGGGTTGGTGATGTCGCCGCCACGGCCAACGTGTGTGTTGGTCTTGCAAGACCCCTGTCTCTCCCATAACAATTTCTTTTTCGTATCCAGTTTGATGCACGGTTCGCAGCCAATTCGGATGCTGGAATTGACGTTCATGCAGGTGAGGCGTCGGCGGCATAGCTGAGTTTCGTCAGACTCTGGAGGCCTGTCGAGAGCTTTTGCCACTTTTCTGCGACTGAGGGACGCATAACACTTCATGCAGCGTGAGTTGAGGTAAAAGCTTGGCCCTTGGAGATAGAAACAAGCCGTCCTGACACTGATGGTATGCTCATATGGGCACGGCGTCTTTCCAGATCGCTCTGGTCCATTGCATGCTAGACCGCCAGTCTTCGCGATTGTTGTATCGTCGTCCTTCAGAACTGCGTTGAAGGGTCAGTCAGATTCATGAAATGGACACTACTAAGACCTAGATCCGTATCTCTTTTTCGGAAGCAAACTCACAATAACGCATGGCATTGCGGCCCAGCACTTGAGCATTGCCAACCTCTTCTGCATTCTCGATTTCTCCCCTCTCAATATCATCATAATCATCCTCAGTCACGTCGTCATCCGGAGATATATCGACAGCCATGACTTTCGCGGACAGGGAACCATCGAAAAGGGCGGGATGAGCTTTGATGTAGGCATTCAGCTCACCTTCGATCATGCCAGCTTTCCCTTTACTGGTAGGCCCATGGTATGTTGGGTAGTTGGTGCAATGACGTTCCCACTGTGGTCTACTGAAGACCTTCTCCGTTTCCAGGGCAATCAGTCTCTTTGCATGTTGGTCGGTCTTTTCGGAACTTCCGCTTCAGATTCTCACCAGCTAGCCATTCCAAATGCATTCGATGCGCCTGTGCTTCATGCTCTTCAGCAGCCAGCTGTCCCGAAATGAGTCTGGGCATCCCGGGATTGTGCAGGGATGAAGTTTTCGGATATTCTTTCGAACCATAGTGGTCAGATCCGAACGCCTTAGCCGTTCAAGGGGCAGAAATAGAAATAAGAAGATGAGGTTGACAGTAGGACACCAAAGAGTGGAAAGTTCAGAGTGATGGTGGTCCATACTTACTGAGCTTCGAAGTGAATACTGATAAAGGTTGAGTCCGGCTACCTGTCACCATTAGGAGTGACAATGTTCATTCACTTCCTGGCGACACCGGGGTGACACGACCTCGTCGAGTTCACACGAAATCTCGATTCGAAATGTAAGTAGGTAAATTGTCCCCAGCGTCGCCGTGTCCTCCACAGGAATTGTTGAATATACCTTCCAGCATCCCGCCCATGGGCAATTGTCCGTCAATTGTCGTCTCCGCATCAAACACCCTCCCTTCCGTATCCTGCATTTCGAACAGATCCATCCCATCAACATCAAGTTGACATGAAGTACTATTGGGAAGAGGCCCATGATGCATCTCATCCACAATATTTACCACACTCTGAAGCTCGGGGAAATGTTGCAAGAAGCCACCAGTGACTCCGATGTTTCGAATATCTCCGAGCAGTTCTTCGAAAAGGGGCGAAACCTTGTACAACCCTTTAGACGCATTGAAGAGGTACATATCGCGCAATTCATATGGCCAGTCTACGCGAATGCTGTTGATGAAAGTTCTCCAGAAGTGATTGGAGCAATATCGATGCTCGTCAGCGTCCAAGATTTGACGCAAACCCGGCCTGGAGAATGGTTAGCTTGATCCATCGCCGTCAAGATATCCCTTACCAGGATACAAAATTTATGGCGTAGGCATTATGCTGAGATACGGATCTGAACATGTTAGCCTATGCAACCGATATTGAGAGGTGATTTACCTGGTGAACCAATATGTTGGTAGATGGGCATATTGCTTCTGAGTAGGGTCGATATGTGCACTCAGGACGCGGCTGACATTGTACAAGATACCCAACCGGTCCCTTGGCGTATGGGCGTGGACAAATAAGTGCTCATCCATTGTCCGCAACAATCGCCACATTGGATGGACGTGCCCCCTCTGCTCAACGGAATCCCAGCCTTCAACCACAGCACGAATCGGCGTGTCGTCATGGAATGGGTCCTCCTCAGGTACGGGAGGTACCAGAGTCGGCCATTTCATCCAAGCAGATAAAGTCGTATTCCCTTGGTACCAGTAGTTCAATCTCTGGTCCTTCAAAGACCTAGCATACTTGCATTCGCACATGCCACCTCTCGCTGAGGGGTGTAACGGCATATACCGTGGAGAGCTCAATCCATGTATGGATGCTTGAGCCAACAATGGATTCGAATGTCTTGCAGACTGATTGGTGAGCTGAGCCGGCAGTATGGCTTGCGAAGTAATGGATGGCGCCCTCATCTGCTTGTACGTCTGGAGAGATGTTTGTAGCGTTGGGGGGTCCGTCGAAAGAGCCTCGATGGACGCAGATTTGGACAAGGACCCGGATCCTGCTGGAATTGCACCATCAACTATTGCGCTTTCCGTTGTCGGAGCGCCTGGAAATAGGACAGCCTCAATGTTCTTGATTTTGCTTGCGAGTGAGTCGCGTTCATCTTGAAGCTGAGACACAAGCGTCAGGAGCGATGCAACCTTTCCGGAATCGTCCCCATGGCTCAGTTTTTCGACGAGGCCTTCCAGGTATGTGATGCGAGACTTTGTACGCTCGCGTGACATACGTTGACATTTTCGGTCGGATTCTCGTTTCTTCAATCGACGTTGTAAGGTCAATTTTTGGTCGTTGGACGGATCATCATCCGGTTCCCCAGGCTGTTCATCGCTTTGCGAAAATGTCTCGGATTGCGTGCGAACCTTCTTCCAGACGGGGGAAGTCATCGTGTCCTCATGCCAAAACGGGAGATGTACACAGGTCGAAAGGCTATTAGTCCTTTTGTTACACAGGGTCAGAGGGGTCGAGAGAACAGACGAAGATGGAGAAGATGAGAGGTAGGAACAACCGGAAGGATGAGGAAGAACCGAGATCAAGCTCCCACCGCCTCACTGGCCTTAGCTAGATTACGGAGTAGAAATCTTAACGCGACCCTCCGGGTCAGAGGCTGGGGGTTTCCCCAGGAAGTGTTTTGCGTTGCCGACGCTAGACGATAAGGGGCAGCGGGTATGGGCGTCTGACCCGGAGACACGCGATCGACATGCACAATTGATCCAGCTAATAACCAATATCTTGCCGATTGACTTTCCCTTACAGTCGAGGTCTTGTGCAAGAGGATGCTCGCAACAGGATTTTGTAATTTTGGGCACGTATCTCTGGAGACCTATATAGGAGTGCAGGATGGACTTGACCCCCTTCGGCAATCCAGATGAACACTCAGGCCCCCTAGTCATAGGCCACCCCAATTGAGAGGCCTGTCGACTTGGCAGCACACTATATAGATATGTGCCGTGTCGGCTGTTGAAATGATGCATCCAGGCGAGGCGTTAGCAGCGTCGTTCATGCCACGCCTAGAAGAGAACATAACCGATTTGCAGTCGGAGAAATACTCCGTATACTGCAAAGAGAATGCCTGTTCACCGAGGGGTTACGAGCGCAAAGTTCTCGGCAGAGGGACAGATACCAGCAGATGAGAAAGTATGTTTCGGCAAAGGTTTATTGGGAGCATCACACCAGCGGAACCACTTCTTGTCTTCAAACTCAACAGGCCGGGAGACTTCCCCTGACAATAAGCGACGATACATAACTTCAGACTTCTTATGCTGTATATTAGGCCGTCAGAGTGTACCCAAATGTAGGTGAGTCCGATGACCGTTACTGGGAGATTTTACCAGTAAAGCGGCGTGTGATGTACATACGTAAACTTGGCGAGACGCAACAGAAACACTTAAAGCGGCTTTTACTCGTACTCAATGTAACCAGGCCCTCAATTCCAGTTCGGAGGCTGCGCCAATCGTGAGTATGAAAACACCATACATGTAAGACTTTGTTGTCGACAGGAAATGTGACGGAGACGAAACAATTGTTATAGAGTACAGCGAGTATGGGGCGAACGATCGACCAGGATGTACACGCCGCATTTGTCGAGTTCAAGGCCAAAGGTATTGTCATCATGTCCCCGTCAGTATTGGACTGTATTGTATACAGCGTTACTGTTACCTACTGTCATTGTGACGAGAGTGTTGCTGACCGTAATGGTTCTCCACCACGTACAGAAGACGACAAATGCATGTCCGTTCAATGCATCTACTGCCAACAGATTCGAGCAAAGAACACCTCGCGACAAAAGGAGCATCTGCTGGTCTGCCCTGGCCTAGCAAACCATCCTAATGCCCCTCGACCTCAATCCTCTGCCGGCGATGGCATCGGCGGCGCTCCCAATGGATTCGGCACCCCTACCAGTCTTCATCAGACCAGTAGTTCCATGAGCAATGGCATGCCAACCCATACCACTCCGATGCAAGGAATGAACACCACGCAAACTCCTCAGGGCGTCTCCACCACTCCCCAACGGCAGACTCCAAAACCAGCCAAAAGGCTGCCCCAGACCACGCCTGTTTCGAATCTTCCTGCGCCACCCCTCGACGATGTCCATGCCGCATTTGTGGAGTTCAGAGCCAAAGAGGAGGATAAGTGCCTCTCGGTACAATGCATCTATTGCAACCAGATCCGGGCAAAGAATACCTCAAGGCAACGCCAGCATCTGCTAGAGTGCGCGACATACCTGAATGTGATGAAAGAGTCGATACCAGCGAACAACCTCCTCCACCGTTTCGATGAAGGCGATATCGCTCGATCATTGCAGCTACCCACGCCTTCACTTGAGCTCGACTTCCGCATGAGTATCAAGGTCAACCCCGGGATCTCAGTGGGAACAGGACTCTTCGGTCATCGTGACTGGGTCGGCATTGTTGGTGGGCAATGGGCAGGACGATGGGGCAAGGGTATTATCATTGTAAGTACCCTGGCGTGAAAAAGGAGACTATCAGCAACTGACTCCATACCCTAGCCTGGAGGGCAAGACAATCAACTGGTCGTCAAAGACCTCGCGACCCGTATTGATGCCACTTACCTCCTGCAGACCAACGACGAGCCACCAGCCTACATCACCGCAAAATCCAAGGGTTGGCGCACTGGTCCCAAAGATGTGCTGGACTCTTTGAACGACCCACAAATCGCAGACACCATCGCCGCGAGTCAGTACAAATTCCGCATCTCCGTCGAGCTCGAGACTGGCGATGAGAGGTACGCCTTTCTGAATACTTGTCTGTGGATGGGAAGTGGTTGTCGGAGGTCTTCCGAGAGTAAGTCGTCTTCTTTGCTCAGCTTGAAAACAACGTTTACTGACAGTCGTATAGTCATCTTTGATGCATACCGAGTCGGCTAGTCCATCATCGGTTGATCGTTCTCATCTTCCGTGTACCGAACTTGTTGTCTACCTGATGGACATGGACATACGTGATTCTTTGTTGATTTTTACGAGCTGTTTGTCACTTTTAGCGCTGTCGGAATTGCACCTCCTGTTTGTTCGAGGCACTGCACGAGTTCTTCACCCAAGTATGGCGTTGGCATGGAAAGGGACATATGATATGTGACGACTAAGCAGTGACACGACACGCTGTCAGATATCCAAGATATGGAAGTATGTTCTCCTACAGATTTGTAGAGGTAGGACGCACTGGGACGTCTTGTTTGACAGACATGTCCATGGAATTGATTGATTGATCATCTTCACTTATCTGACCATATTTCTCGTTTTCAGCATGCGACGTTGATGCACTGTGGATGCGCCTCGCAATAGTACTCTCGCTCATCATGACAGGTAGACGCAGATGAGTTCAACGCTTCCGACGACCCCAATCAGCAGGTTCGTCACCATCATCGTCAGGCTCTTCGGAGTCATCTTCATCCCTGTCATTCCTTCCGTTGTTGTTCCCGAATCGACCCTCGTCGTCGGCATCGGGGATCAATCCCATCGTCTCTCCGCCCAGATAGCGCCATAGCTGCCAGACCTCTTCCACAAGCGCCTTCGGCGGGCCTACCCCGGGCCGGACCAGGAGAAGGTAATCGCTTTCCCCATTCCTTTTCGTGTCTGGCAGTTGAAGAGTGCTATGCTTGGATACTAGATCGTGCAGCGCCTGCAGGTCAGTCGTATCGGTCGTGTCGGCGAGCATCTGGGACAATGGGAAAATGGGGATTCGGTGAGTATCGGTGACGCAGAGCATAGGCGGGATGATCGGATTCGATGGGAGTGGTGGTAATGCGGAGCTTGGCATCGTTGAAGCTGTCGATGAGAGAAGCTCCGAAGTATCACTCGCGCCAATATGCAGGAAGACACTGCCAGACGGGATGTCTGCAGGTGCCTCTGCACTGTGCCCCTGAGCATCAGCAGATGCTGGTCCGCCTAAAAGTTCCGTGTCGAAACCTTTGCTCTTAGGAAATGGAAGCGCGACCACCCTTTTCGGTTTCCCATTTGTAACGTCGTCCTTGGCCTGCTCGGCCAGCCCCTTGATGGCGACCAAGACACGTTTCTGCATGATCCGTGTTATACGATCATAAATATCATGCTGCCATTGTATCTTTCTCAAGTACCGGTCTTGCACTCTGGCGTCCGCCTCCGGAACGGCAGGCTCAACGCCGAGAGCAAAGTCGACTCCCCGATGATGGTGCATGTAATGCTGTGCGAGGGCGAGGGCTTCTTTGGCCTTGGTGCCTATCAAAGCCGACACTTCTCCGAGTTTAGTCTTAATGGTGGGTTGGTTCTTTCTGGTGAGTCTTGTAAACTTCAGCGTCATGAACCGCATGAAGTTGATGTCTGAGAAGACTCGGCTCTGTGGTAGATTGCGGAGGTGGTCTGAAAACGAGTTCGTCTGCTCAGCCGCTGCTGCTGTCGACTCCTCGACTTGTCCACTGGCACGTCGTTCGCGAGCTGCTCTTTTGTCGTCGCGTACTCGTCGCCAGTCTTCTTCGTAGAGTTCCTTGCCCATCCGCTTTTCCAGTCCATCAACGTCGGCGAGTTGCACCGGCATGAGATATACATTTTCTTCTCCGGGTTTGGTCACATAGCCGAGATCGATCAGGAAAGCCGAGGGTAGCCTTGCACCACTGCCCTGACATGTTCTTATAGGTTTGGCTAGCATCTGCGCCCACTGATTATTCTTCAATGGTTCCAGCTCTTTGAACGTCGGCTCCCGCTTCGGCAAGCTCGACTGGTTCATTTTCTTGACCTGAGCAACAAATGGTGACCGAAGCACGCTTGACTGATTCTGCGCGGTGCTGTTCGACTCACGTCCAGTGTTTGCCAGCTGTTGTTGTGCATTCTGGGCTGCACTTTTGACATTGGACACTAGGGTCTTCATCCGTAGAATCGCATCGCGGTTGAATGGGGTAGGAGATTGCCGCCGCGGACGAGAGACTTTACTCGTGTCCTTCGACAGAGCACGACCCGATGCCTCATCTGCTCGGGACCCATTCTCAGGAATTTCATCGCGAATCTTGAGAGACGGCGTGCTATGGTAGTGTTTTGATCTTGTAGGCGCCCTGGAGCACGTGGTGACAATGGTCGGGTAGGTTTGCACATGGGAGCCTTCGCATAGCATTCGCAGCACTTGTAGACGCCATGTAGCGTAGGAGACGTGCCGGTGGGGGCATTGCGATCTCATGCCTCATGTGATAAAGCTCAGAGGTCGAAAAGTCCGACGACTGCGACAATGGAAAGAATGGCATGTCTGGGAAAATTACCGTCCCCTGTCTGAGATCTCCAACAAGAATTGGAGTCCATCTGCAGGTACTTTAGGCTGTCGGCAACTGGGAGTTGCTGCGGCTATGCCCGCTGCCGTTCTTAAACGTCACCCTCCACAATTGCTGAGGCCCCCTTAGAGCCAGGCATTTTTCATTTTGAGATATCATTACTGATGCCGTGTGGCCGTCTACGCCCGGATTCTTTCCTCGACAGCGAGCCTTCCTATGTACAATATTTGCATCCTGGTCAAGCTCCTCCGCAATTCTAAGTCGCCTTCTTCGTTATCTGAAACGAGTAAGAAGGCGCAAGGTCGTAATGAACCGAGTACAGATCTCCGTTGTCGAACTGCATATCGCGGACGTAATACTCGACATTGATGAACTGTGAGCTGATGTCCATAGTGACGAATCCGTTTGCCGCGGTCAGAGGGTTTGCGGCAAGGAAGAGTGCAAAAGGTCCTAGTGCTGTCCCATTGTTGCAATCACCAGCTTGAGGATAGCCAGCTGCTCCAGTCAGAATGAAGTCGGTGTTGTTGTAGTAATAGTGAGCCAGGCAATGGTCATGCCCGTTGAGCACGATCCCATTATGTGCCTCGACAATGCTTATCAGCGGTGCAAGATCAGTCTGGTTGGTCGACGAGGAGATATAAGGGTGATGTAACTGCAAGAACTTCCACGTGGCGTTCGAACTGGCAAATGTCTCTGTAGATATCGTCAGCGGAGCCAGCCAAATTGCCGTTTCAACTCACGATTAAGAAAGTCAGTCTGGACTGATTTGTTCTGATAGCATGCCTCCGTATATGAGTTCTGATATACTGAAGTATTCTTCTGATAGGAAGAAAGGAAGCAATCCGAGTCAACGACCACGAAGGTAGCCGTCCAATCGGAGCCAGTCAAGTCATAGGTGTAGTATGGCAGGCCTGAAGTGCCAAAATTCCACCTATCGTCATAGTAGGGGAGCACCTTGGTCTGGAAGTCAACACCATTCTGTCCCTTGACAACATCATGGTTGCCGAGACATTGATACCAGGGCGCGTATTCGAATACACCCTGGCTGTACATGTCCACCCACGCTTCCTGGAAACGTAAAATTCCTCCTGTGGTGAAATCGATCCCGCTGTCGTAAAAGTTGTCACCAACAGAGATCTACCATGGAGTCTTAGCAGAAGCGCCAGGTTGGGGTCATTTGTTCGACGTACGAACGCGCTACAGTTCTTCATGGCACATATCTGACCAATATATTGGGCAGTGTCAGCTGTAAGAGAGTCAGATCCTATACTGCGAAGAAGACAATCCACATATATACTCACTTTGCAGAGCAGTTGCATTCGTGATGTACATCTTGTCCCCCGGGTCACAGTCGTTCAAGACCTCTTTCGGGATGGTGAACGCATCCTGTTCTAGCAAGGGCAAGACTTCGAGGCAAAAGTGGTCTGGAGAAGGAATCCAGCCAGTCCAGCCATAGTCTGTCAGTAGCTGTCAGTCGAGACGGGCTTTCTCTGAGACCAAAGGTCTGGACAGACCTCCAAGAACGCCGACAGTGAGGACGTCAGCACCAGTAAGTGCCACCAGCGATCCATTTACCTTTCCAACATTTGCTGTGGTAACATTGCTGCTACCGGTAGTGTTGACATTCTGTCCACAACAAGTCGACGCCAGCAGCGAGAGGCCACAAAGACAGGAAGCGAGAGACAACATAATGAGCGAGCTTGAAGAAAACAATGGCAGGGATATGAAAGACGCTTAAAGGTGAGCAGCTTCTTTAGACAATGTTCATATACTTGTACCTCGCCATTGTAAGTACCCACATATGGCAGGCATATTCTGTACCTATCTGATGCTTGACGTGGGAGGAAGCGAGCTTCGCCAATCGTTGCATGTTGATAGAAGTCTCAGCCAATCGAGCGTGTGCGGTGACAGCGCAAATATCCAACCACAAAGCAGTGTTAGGCAGGCTAGCAATCCTCAGAGCCTAGCATGTACACTCAGTAGGTTGCTGAGTCCAATGGTGGTAGCACGTGTACGCGATTGTATGCAAGAGCAACCGGTCCTGATCGAAGATAGCCTCAATGAAGCAGTAGCAGGCGAGCGTCGGCATAAGACGAAGCTGAATGCACGATATTCGTGGTTTCTTGCGTTATTTTCGGAGGCACAAACCCTCGGCCAGGAAACTAGGGTTCACCTTGAGCAAATGCGAGGAGACGTACGACAGGCGTGGCCCGAAACCCTGTAAGTAGACCAATTTTCTGTGCTTCTTATCGAATTGGGTTGGTGCTCTTGTAAGTAGCCAAACACAGGAGATGTTATCAGAAGCTCTTGCGGGGTCGAAAGGACCTTTAAAACAAGAATGGCAGCCAAGGCCACGGCAAGATTTAAGCTTAACATTTAGGGGCTGGGCGTCCTCGGTCTCGGTCTCGAAACCAGGGCATCATCCACTGGACAATTGCAGCGAGCTTGCGGCATGGTAATCACGGAGTACAACATACCCTGTGGTCATCATTGGTAAAGCAGTGGCATATATAAATCCATCGTTTCCCCAGGGGCCTACGCGGGACCCAATGCCTCAGGTTCTCTTGTTTAGCCTGTACGACTCTGCATGAAATACCGTTCTGTCAAATGGGGGAATCCAGGTCTCCGCATTCTAGTAATCAACAAACCCCAACCATGTGGTCGCACCCAGCGCCAGGGAATAACTCCTGGTTCAGACGTACATTTATGCGCGACAAACGTGGAAAGAAACCGACGAGTTCATGGCTTGACAGACGGGCTAACGGTTGCCACTTATCTGGACCCGGTCGGACGTGAATGGTGGCCTGACCCCTAAAGACCGAGCCCTCCCGTCTCCTCGTATCTAGCCGAACGTCTGTAGAAATACGAGTACGTGCCTTATGTGTAAACAGCTCCCCCAAATTCACATCACATCAGCCTTCTTGAGCATCTATCCCAAGAGGGTATATCAGAATCCAAATCCTCTGAAACACACAACCCTTTCACGTTACAATTCCCACTCTGGTCTTCCGCTGAAGCAAAATGGCAACATCCCACCTCGGTATCTCCCCCACTTCCTACGCAGCTCCAGCAGCCTTCCTAGCCTGGAACTGGGCCTTCGCCTACCTCGCCCTCAGCAGCCGCACACTAAAGCAACGGTACGGTATCGACCACAATGGCAACCCCCGCCAAGATCTGACCAAGTACGCCGAAGCCGCCATTAAAGAAGGCAAACTCACGCGCGAACAACTCGAGCAGATACAGCGCATTGAAGCGGCGAGCGCGAATTCAATTGATGGGTTTGCATTCTTTGCGACGTCAGGTACGTAAAGCTGCGTGAAGCACTACTCGGCAGCCCACTACGGTCCCCTATTAGCAAGCACTGACTGCTATTATAGTCCTATTCGCTTTAATAACAGGCGTCCCAAAGCAATCTCTTATCGGAGCGTGCACCACGTACACCGTTGCACGAATCGTGTATGGCGCAGTATACGTGTTCATCTCAGATAACGCGTACAGTCAACTTCGGGGGATTTCGTTCTGGGTAGGCAATGCTAGCTGTTTGTATTTGTTGTGGAAGGGTGGGCGTGGAGGCGCTTGAGTGCGCACCCAAGTTCAACTGTGCAAGGAGAAGTCACTACCTACGAACTCCGGGCATATTGAGTGAAGGTGACACGGTGACAACGACCGGTCTGCAATGTTTTTTTATTGCCATTACCCTCCTCTCTAGACATTCTCAGGTAGTACTATGTGACCACGCTGAGTCGAGGTATGTACAAATACATCTTTTTCTTGCCTTTTTGGTCAATCATACCACCACAGCCGCTCCAAACACTCTTCGGCGCTGGTCCCGGCTGCCAGACATCTCATTTGGCTCGAAGACTTCACAATGTCTCCAGCTGCAGGGGTCTTGAGCGCCGTCGTGACGTAGGCTCGACGATAATGTGCTGTGGTTGGTGGCTTGCCTTAGATCGCTCAGGGCCGACACACCCATGAGCGAGGCAGGATCTCTTTTCTTATTCACACCATCTCAGGACCGCTGGCTCAAGCCCACTTTCCAAGCAACGCCATAAGACCAGTGCCCAATAAAACACAAATGACCATAAAAGTCAACCTCTTGTTATCCTTTGTCCGCATAGGATTGAACAAAAAGTCTCTAGCCAAAAGCTCGACCAACCCCGTGTAAATCAATATTCCGGCGGACATGGAATCCAAGACACCAGACACAACATTGGCGGTGAACGAGTTCGGGTTGTATGTGGTCCTAACACCCAGCCCGATAGCAATGGCAAGCGGCGTCGTCAGACCATATGCAGAGCACAGAATCCATGGCAATTTACTGCCTGGTTTGAAGGGGATGGCCGACATTCTAGCCCCAATACCCAGACCCTCGAAGGACTGGTGAAACACAAGGACCGGGTACAAGGTGCTGAACTCATCACCCACCACACCCAGATTGAGACCGATGACGACGGAGTGAAAGATGACACCAAATTCGAGGATCAGGAAAGCGGCGATTTGCTGACGGAAAGCCATCTGGCGAGCTTCGCTGTCGCCTTCCTCCGAGTCATAGTCCTCGATGTACTTCTTCTCGAAGGTGGATGGTTTGCGTTGTCGGTCCTCATGTTCGCGGCGAACTTCGGCGATGCTGAGGGCTCTATCCTCCTGTGCTGCACTGGTAGGTCGATCGACGTGTCCGGTCACGGCTTCCTGGATGTCTGCGTCACTGTCCACACCATACTTCACCTCGACGTATCGCTCGGCGCCAAAGTCGAAGAGGAAGATGATTACCACCGAGGTTAGGACTATCGCTGGACACCACCTACAAAGATTAGCAACACGTTTTCGGGGGCTTTTGCGTTTGACTTACGAATACTGGGCCCAACCTCCAGTCATGCCGACACATGTTTGCGGACCGATCTCTCCGTACGCCGGGTCCAAAAGATGAATAAAGGCCGTGGCTACGATGACACCAGCACCGAAGTAGCGAGCGAACAGGTAGACATAAAGCGGGATGTGAAGACGAGGGATCTTCTTCGCGACAACGGGAAAGAAGGTGGCACACGAGGAAACGAATCCGATGACAAAGATGGCCGATATCCTGGCGCCGAGGTTGCCGTTGTATTCGTTACCGGAAGCGGCGAGCGCGCAGATGACGTCTCGCGGGTCGGCAGAGGTCAAGTTGACATTTTCCGGGTTGAAATTCGAGGTGCCAAAGTCGGTGGAAGACATGGCCGGGTTGGTAGAGGTAAGTGATGGTGGTGACAGTTATAGAGATAGGTCAATGCGAGGAGGCAGTGTGACCAAGCTTCACTGAAACCTTCGACCTATGCCGAGCTGGAGCTTGAAGCTTTGGTAGGAAAGAGAAGGTGCGAGGTGTAAGATCCGAGGATGTGGTCTTGCATATGTAGGTACCCCTCTACCTTTTTGAAACGAGATCCGACATGATGGAAAAATCAGTGCAAGACACTTACACTTACTTACAAGCTGATTGAATGAATGAATGGGTGACTGAAAATCGCCAAAAAGTGAGGACCTTAAGGAAAAACATCAGACCCACTTTATCTCGACGATGGTAGTAACATTCAACGGTTGATTTGCTGCGCCCTGACATCAGTCCGAGCTTTTGGAGACTCTGGGGTTCTAAAGAATTGAGAATTGAGTACCTTGAGGAATCCATCATGCAGCCCACATGGCTTGCAAATAGTTGATATCAATCTGTGTTTATGTGAAGAAACCCTCCTCTTTATCACTCATCCAGCTGACTGCACTATCTTCTTATTACGCCGAGATTGGCCTCCAAGGAACATCAATGATCCGCCGCCCCACGCCAAGCCTCTGCATGCGGTTGAACTAAGTGTCCTCGATTATCTGGTCTTCGATTGGCTGGTACTCGTCGTCGCAGAGCATATTATGCAAAGTATTACTGTGTACCATGTAGACCGGCAGAACTAGGGTGTGTGAAGTCGTTGGATCGACGAACTGCTGGTTCATGCATCGTGTGTCCACCGAGTCGACATGGTATCCCAGGCAGAGTATGTCAAAGTATGTAGCATCCTGTCCTCAGACCCCGAGTTCTGTCGTCCAACTGGTTCCGTCGACCCCTGCCACGAGGTCATCAAAAGCATCCTGCAGATCCGAGTTCTCCGAACACGCTGCATTATCTCGGAGTGGCCGTCAGCAGCATAGTCTGATCATGATCCGACGAGTAGGTTTGCATCGCCAGAAAGAACAACATTATCACGGCACTCATCTGCCAAGCTAATAAGAGAAAAGGGGGCCCTTCAGCCTCACCATGGCACATGCCCTGCATTTGTGGCCATGAATGATCTCTTGCTACCTGACCAGCTAGGCATCTTCCTGCTTGTCCTTGTGAAAGCACTTGTCCGAACCACATCGGCACGTCATTTTGAGGGCTTGAAAGTAGTATTGTCCGTAGGACGACGTGATGTCCTCTCCAAAGCCGATATCTCTTATTGCGCAAATAAAATTCCCAATCCTCTGGCTCACGGTCGTCTGGAAATACTCTGCATTAGGATCGCAGCTATGGTTGATGTAGCGCGTCCAGTTGCCAAAGATGCCCGGATCAACTTCGAATTTGTCCGGCTTCTTGGTGGCAGTCTTGGTCGCAATGTCACATGGGAACAGATACTTACAGCCTTCGTCTCCGCCGTATCGCCATTCTTGTTCTTTGCGGGGGTAGATCTCCCCGATGTACTCCCCAAGGTAATCGCCCTTCTTGAATGTTTGAAGGGCACGCACTCCAACACCGAAAACCCCAGTATCGAAGAGCTCTAGCAGGGGCTGTTGTAGGCAGAGGTCGCCGGGAGTACAAGAGCACGCTGGTCTGGTGGAGGACCTCGTTTTGGTCGAGGTGGCCTTCGCTTTCTTCCCACATACTTGGCAGGCGTAACCCTTGTATCCCGCGAAACGTGGATCCCCATTGGCCTCGGTGGGCAGGTGGGACCAGTCGTATCCTGGCACCACGATGCATTCGTCAACGTTGACCTGGAGTGCGACCTGCGCGTCTCCAATCTCAGGCTTGCTGGCGCCATTGAGGTTGCCAGGGACAGCGGTGCCCCAAAAGTCGTGTCGCTCGAGGGCCTCCGTGAAGTCATACTGGAATTGTGGCCGTTGGGCCTCGATGCGCTTCCGAGGTAGAACCCAATAAGATGGGACGTTGTCGGGATGATGAGTTTCCTCGACATCGCCATCTCCAATGCCGAAGGTGTTCTGGTCGATGTCGGCGACGTTGTCGTCATTTTGGAAGACCGAGGAAAGGAGATACTCGAAGTCCTTGTTGCATGCATTTATTGCGCTATTCCAGTCCAGACTTCTCATTTTCGCAAACAATTCCAGGCTTGAGGCGCATTTCCCGATTTTCGAACGAATATCACGCCAAAGGGGTTCTTTCTCAGCCTTGCTATCAGCAACGCTTCTGGCAATGGCAGTTCGAAAGGTCTGGGAGTGTGCGCAAATGCTCAAGATGACCAGATTGGGTTTCTTGCAAAAGCTGACCAGGCGCTCGGGATGGCTTACCTGAAGGTCGTTACGGGCCTGCTGAACTACCTCCTTGCCTTGATTGTTGCTTGGTCGAGAATCAATCAAAGTCTGCTTGAGGTTGCCTGCCACGTCGGTGGGGAACAAATCGAAGAAACGTAATGTTCTTGTCTCTCGGATCAAGTCATGAATGGCCGTACGATCAGTCCTAGTAATCTTCTCGACAGCAGCAGCGTGAATCTCGGCGTATAGTCTGATCATGAACTTGTCAACCTCGGGGGCATTGGCATTAGTTTCCTTGAATTGTTTCTTGGGCGATTTCTTCAAAGACTGCTGGAACTCGACATAACGCGCCGTTGGCTTCCTGACCCTAGGTCCATTGACGATGTTCTGGTCAGTGGCGGGCACAGAGTTTGTAGCTGAGTTCGTCGCGTTGCGAGCTGCTGTTCTAGCGCTGCGTCTTGGAGCCATTGTATGATTCTGTCAGTCTGTTCTTGTGTATGGTATCTGGGAAAGTGATGTACGTGGGACAAGGGACATTCACAGGTAACAAGCAGACTTTTAGACATCTTGCAAGCAAAGCCAGGAATAGGCTCGAAACCAGTTAAATGAAAGGCCATTGTTGATTGAGTGCCAAATATACCAATGGACAAACGAAACAATGCACTATTCATAGGTGAGTTGAGTGTGGCACAAAGAAGGCCAACAAGGCTGTGGGAAAACACAACTCATTGTTCTCCAAACACAGACCGGATACCTCAATGGTTAGCAGACAATAATGGCCCAAAACAGGAATGAGGGCGTGGTGCGGCAGAAAACAATTGCAAGAAAAGCACAGAGTGCGAGGTTGATGCGACAGGGTCATTACCAGTTGGGTATCTCATACGGTCTCAATGTATCTCTTCACCTCCCAATCCGTTACTGCTTCATCCCACAGTCGACATTCGTGTTCTCGGGTGCCGCCATAATGCTCGACGAATTCGTCTCCGAAGATTTCACGGGCAACGCTGTCTTTCGCCATGAATCTCGCCGTGCTGTCTTTCAGATTCTTCGGCAGTCGCTCCCCTTTATCGCTACTACCTCCGACGTCCTCCCCTTTGCTCAGTGGTGGCACTGGTATCTCCATTTTCTTTTCAACGCCCCTCCAGCCGAGGGCTACAATGGCGGCCAGAACCAGTGAGGCATTAGAGTCGGCACCACATACCCTGACTTCAAATCTTGTGGATTTCGCGGAGGCAGTTGGAGGAGCTATCAGGCGTATTGATGCTGCTCGGTGCTCCAGGCCCCAAGAGACTGTCACTGGTGCCCAGAAATTCTCCACCAGTCGCTTGTAGGAGTTGACAGTAGGTGCAATGATTGGCATGACATCGGCCAGACCATCCAGGATACCAGCCAGAAACTGTCGACCGAGGTCTGATACATATTCGAGATCCTTGTATGGTGGGTTGGGGTCCTTTTCGCCTCTGTAGAACAAATTCTTTCCTGCTTTGTCCACCACCGAACAATGGATGTGTCCACTGTTGCCTGGAAGACCCTCTTTTGGTTTGGCCATGAACGTCGGAGTGATTCCGTATTTGCTTCCCATTGCCTTGACAACATACTTGAAGAGACTCGCCCTGTCCGCCATCTCAGTGATCTCGCCGAATTCAAGTGCGGCCTCGAACACGCCAGGGCCTGATTCTGTATGCCAGCCTTCGATATTGCACTTGAACTTTTCGCACGTCTCAAAGATCTCGTAGAACCAGTCTTTGTTGTGTATCGGGTCTGTCAAAGAGTAACCGAACATGCCTTGTGTCAGGTGAGGTAGGGATGTGACGGCGTTACTTTGTAGGAAGGGTGCTGTTGTGGAAGAGGTAGGATGAGTTGTTTGTGATGAGTTATCTTTGGGTGCTCTGAAGGTGAAGAACTCGTATTCTGCACCTGCCATAGCTCCATAGCCAGCTTTGTGCAGTTTGCTCACAGCGGTGCGCAGCAGACTTCTCGGGCATGGCGAGATGGGTTCATTCGTGTCTGGGTCGTAGAAGCTGACGAGGAAGAAAGGCACATTGTTCTCCCAAGGTGTTCGACGAAAACTGCCCAAGTCTATCTTTGCTATCAAGTCTTTGTATCCATTCTCTTTATTGCTTATCTTGAGTTCTCGAAAGTAGGTCAGGTCGTGCATGTCCCAGCCGAAGACGACACTGCAGAAGCCGAAGCCATCTTTGACGACCGAGAGGAATTTCTTCTTCGAGATCAGTTTGCCTCGTAGGATTCCTGGGCAGGTTAGCGAGTGTGGAAATGGTCAGGCGAGTTGGCGCGTGCCATCAATATCAATGCCTGCAAGCTTGACCTTTGTGTCCTTGGCCAACACTGTCTCGAGGTTCTCGAGGGTGAGTTCCTCAGATTCATTTTCGACCCCAGCCATTAGGTTGAGCAGAACAAAGGGACGTTAACAAAAATAGTTATTCTTCACTGGTATGTGCGTATTGTTCAAGAACAAAGGGGCAAGCAGTAAGGTCATAGGCAAGGTGCAAGAATGGCCAAGGTCGTGATTGGCACAGGAGCATCCAGAGCATCCAGCCCGTCTCTCGGATAAGAGCAACTGTGGGTGGAGTGATGGAGTACAGAACTTAGATAACGATAGCTACCTTTGGGGATGATGGCTATGGCGTTGCCGTGCATATGGTACCGAGAACTGCACACTAAAGTAAAATCCCCTGACAATCCCCATAAGTAAGAGCTATGGCGGACCGCGGTGCGCCTTTCGACAGCCTTGGCTGGTCTGTTATCGCTGGCTATCTGACCAGACCGTCAATGTGCGGATTTGAGCATTAGCTGATCTAAGCTTCCCGTCGCTATGGATTCGGAACACTGGCCATGACTGGCGGGCAAGAAGTCGGTGAGCATGACAATATAAACCCCCAGAGTATCACTTCTTATATCCGACCATCACTTGCATCTGCATCCGCACCCGCATCGGCATCAACAAGTGCAAAGTTGCGGACTGCTTTTCCGAACTCACGCATTGCATTACTCCTTACAGCAAAGATCACTGATCAGTACTAAATAAAGCGGATCCGGACAATAGTCCCATCGGGAAATTGTGGTATGCATTAGATAACAGTTTCAACGTCCACACATTCTCGAAACGACCTCAATCTACTTCAATCCTACACTAGCTGCTTGTTACAGCCTTACACGACAGTCTCCAAATCATCCAAAACCCACAGCCACATACAATCATGACTACATTACGACCAGGCCGCCTGGCCGGCAAGAACGCCATCATCACAGGAGCTGCCGGCGGTATCGGCCTCGAAACCACCATCCTTTTCGCAAAGGAAGGCGCATCAGTCCTGATGACCGACATCTCCGAGCCAGCCCTAGCTAAAGCCATTGAGAAAGTCAAAGAAATCGTCCCCGACGCTCCTAGGCTTAGCACTTTGAAATGCGACGTCTCCAAGGAATCCGACGTCGCCGCCGCCGTCGAGTCGCAAGACCAATACGGCGGCATCGACATCATGTTCAACAACGCCGGAATCATGCATGCTAAGGACGACGACGCCATCGGCACGCCCGAAGCGATCTGGGATCTCACACAAGCCATCAATGTCAAAGGTGTCTGGTACGGGAGCAAGCACGCCGTCCTCAGCATGCGCCGACACAAAAAGACAAAGGGCTCCATCATCAACACAGCGAGTTTCGTCGCCATCCTGGGCGCAGCGACTCCGCAGCTGGCGTACACTGCCTCGAAAGGCGCCGTGCTGGCCATCACGAGAGAGTTGGCGATCGTCCACGCCCGGGAGAACATCCGCTTCAACTCGTTGTGTCCTGGTCCACTGAACACACCGCTTTTGCAGGACTGGTTGGGCGATGATCAGGCGAAGAGGCATCGACGTGAAGTCCACCTTCCAAGTGGTCGTTTCGGAGAAGCCATTGAACAGGCTCAGGCGGTGCTGTTCCTGGCCAGTGACGAGAGCAGCTACATCAATGCTGCTGACTTTATGGTCGACGGTGGTTTGAGCAAGGCATATGTCACGAGTGAAGCTCCTCCGGCTGTGGGACCGCAGAACAATGCTCATTGAACGATTGTTAGGGCTCAGAGGAAAATGCCATCGTCTTACGTTGTATGGGATAATAGATCGAAGAAAGCGTTTGACATTATGGCTGCATTAGGCTGGGGATGGATCGCGGTCAATGGAGTTGACATTGACTACACATTGAGGGCAAATTGATAGACTGGGAGCAGCTTAGAGGAGAATATTGCTATTCAGAATCATCGTTCCTACTTTCGACTCCTTTGTTCATTGGTACAAGTTGTACTTAAAGACTTCGCACATGTTAGGCTTTTCCCTTCAGTGGCACATTGGCTCTTTCTCAACTTGACTTGCTTGCTTTTGCTCGCCGGTCAACAACGCGAACAGTGGACTTGTTGGTAGTGGTTGCAACGTGTTCTTTCATGTTCGACTGCTAATGCGACGTGGTTTTCGATGCGATCATGTAACATTGACACCACAAGCAGAAGTAGAATATGAAAATTCGATTTCGGACCGTCTGAAAGTGCTTCGTCCACTAGAGAATCCCGCCCAGGAGTAGACGGACGGGATGATCTTGGGACGTGCTAGGCTCTTCTGTGTCGAAGTCTGATCCATTGAATCGCAACGCCAATCCTGGATGCACGCCCGGGCCTGAAGCTAGTATTTCAGAATTGTGTTTTCGAAACAGTTCCTCGGCCAGGCTGAGTTCAGTGCGAGATTCGCCAGTGTAGAAAGATGCATGCCGATACGAGAACCAGGCAAGACATTGCTTGCGGAGACGGTCCCCGGGAATGGTGTTGTCCATGACATAGTCCAATTGGGACAAAGTAATCATGCTGGGGGTGATCAGCTTTTCGAAAACCTCGTCGCGGAAGGTTGGCGCTTGCAGACGATCGGCAAGTACATAGAGCTGAACAGCTTCGTCCGAAGACAGACAATTGAACTGTCCCTTGTAGAGGTATTGAACAAAATATTCAAACATGTCCTTGTCCATGTCAGGGAGTCTGATCGTCCGTTCTTCCTTCTCTTTGAATGGCCAAAACAAGGCGGCAGCCATGAATCGAGAGGCAGCGGTTAACAAAGCTTCATGCAATATCCACGTTGATTCCGGCCATTGTCCTACGATGACTTTGACCATTGCTGTCTGTTTGAGGAGGCTGTGAATGTTAGCGCATAGCTCTTCCGGCGTAGGAACATGAACTCACAAAGACGACTTCGAGGTCAGACTCGGTCCTGCCCCACTTGGATCCTCCGCAAAGTAGTAGGCCGCAAGTCTGCGCTCCTCGTAGCTGATTGTTGCGCATAGGCCTGGATGACTGTTTGGGTGCGTTTCTGGCACCGCCCAATCGTCCATAATCCAGCAGGATTCACCATAACGCTGGCCTGGCAGCAAAGCCGTCCCTTCATTTGAGGACCCTGAGAAACATAGCATTTTCCAGGCCACCCAAAAGTCCTTGCAAGGTCGAGAAGGCATGCACATATGATGGAATTGCGAGCGGAGATGCGAAAGTCGAAAGACAACACTGATCGCCAAAGAGTGAGGCAGTGACAGCATTTTGATTGTGCTCACAAGGTCACGTTCCTGCTGGACACCAGCATGCACCAAAGCAGAAAACGGTCGTAGAACGCCGGTGTCTGGAAAGAATTGGTTGAGCACCCTTCCTATCACACCCGCCCGTTCGGTTGATCGTTTCATAGCTCAATGGTGCCCATCTGCACCAAATCCTTCCCTTGCTTGGAGAAAGTCCCTTGCGTATCCAGCTTCACCTTTGCGGCTCCTTCTTTGAGTTGAACGTACATGAAGCCCTCGAGTGTCATAAGCCTCCTTGTGGCAGCGAAAGGGTAATAGATTGCTTGGCTTATGCGCCGTCCTATGCTCGATAATATTGACCGTGTTTCAGGAGCATCATCGCGCAGGTATTCAGGATCCTCCATCGGCGCCACAAATGTATGGTCCATTCGAAACTCGTAGGGAGGAATGATGTACTGTTTCGGCCGCAGAAACGGTACAGGTCGTCTGACCTGCACTAAAAGCTTGACGACGTTGTCTGAATTTACAAGATCGATCGATTTGATCAAGTTGATCGGGCGAAGTAGTGCTAGACACCCAATACCCGTGAAGGTGATTATTCCAAGACGCCATCCTATTCTTACTATTCCCGGTAGATCTGAAGCTTCATCGTATAGCCACAGATTGCTGAAGGCCAACGCGCCAGAAGTGATGAAGCATGACCCGGCAAGGATATATGACGCCCCCAAAATGCCTGCATGCGAAGGTGCCCTATGTATCTGAGGCTTGCCCTGATTGTAAAGTTTCGTGGCATACCACTGCTTTTGTAATAAATCCGGTGTCAGAGAGGAAGATGAAGTCGGGCTTGGGCGTTGTTTCGGCACTGGCGGAGAGGAGCTGGGTGGTATAGATGATTTCGCGGGACCAGTGGGCTTCTTCGGTCGAGGAATTGAACTGGCGGAACGACGTGACGAACAGTGTGCTGGTAGTCGAAGACGAACCACAGGCCGGAGAGATCTGGAAAGTGAAGCCATATGGTCGTTGGATGCGGTCGTTCGAAGAAGCAGGGTCAATCAACACAAGAGGAGATAATGAAAAGACAACCAGGATATATGACCACTCCTTTCCATGTGCACCGCTGAAAGAGAAACGAAATAATATACAATGCTGATCATGCAAGCAGTTACAGAATAGCAGGAGGACTTGCGTAGATGCGGAGGTTGAAAAATAATTGTCAACTCCAACATGCGCGCCCGGATTGGCAGGTGAAGCGCAGACTCCGACTCTTCCCCCTTCTTCCTCGCTTTGATGGCATGAATGACTTGAGCATCTGCATTATGTGCCTTGCTGACATTCGCATCTTCAAGGTGTATTGGTGGCTGCAGTGGTGGGCTAGACAAGAATCATGGTGTTTTTGACGAATCTGGATGTTGCTTGGTCGTGGCCTTTCGCATTTCCGTCTCATCCAGTCTGCCAATCAGTCAGAACTAGTTCAAGAGAACATGAAGCTCAAGGCCATTAAGGCCGTGTTGTGCTCCATTACCTCCAGCTCCAGTGGCTGCTTGCGGCTTCGCTGACTGTGACCTTTCTGGTCGCCTCAAAGGTGACCAGAAGAAACTGAAGATCACAAATGCATGCCAACATCTTCTGCATGTTTGGTTGGGTCAACACCAGCTTCCTGTTGAATTGCTTCGAGTTGCTGTGGCGGTACATTCTGGCAGTTGTTCTCTTCGAGCGCCCCAAGAAGCCTCATGAAGAAATCCTGTCTCAGTGCCTTCATAAGAACATCAGATGTGTCAATCATATGAGAAGCCGCATAAAGTAATAAACCTCCAACAGGTTGACTGTCGTCATTCTCCGGGACATATCGTGTCTCAACAGCAGGCAGAGTGGAAGTTGATATGGCAGCCCAGTTGTAATGTGCTAGTCTCGCGATAAAATCATAAAGTCTTGCTTGCGAGATCGTGACAAGGTGCAAGCCCTGCTTGGTTTTGATGCCGCGCTTGGAGATCCTAAGTGAGGTCCAATCAAACAGTATCGAATAGACGTCGGGGTCTGTGAACACTCTCCGCCATAAAAGCCCTTGACCCTGTGCTTCACCTAGACCACCATTTGTAGCTAGCACCGTGATGCTGTCATGGCTGTCGACAGCGAGTAAAGCCTCAATGCTTTCTAAAGACCTCTCCGCGACCTCGGTGCTTTCGGACGAGAGCCAAATTGTGATCAAGCATTGCACTAGACTTGAGCTTGCCGCCACAAACGACGCTCCGCTGGGTGATTCTGCAACCTTGCGTAGATATGCCAAACAAAGAAGTTGAACAGGAGCGGAGGGAGAATTGAGGCCTTCCTCGAGCTTCTCGGCAGAGATTGTGGCTTTCAACTCGTCAAAAGGCAGGAGTGATACATTGCGTTCGAGAAGCCGTGTAAGTGGTCTAGGGTCCTGTTGCAGAATTTGAAGCAGCCTTTCTCCGGTTTCTAGGAGTCGCCATAGAAGCTCTTTAGGAGTCGACAGGTCTAGAGAACGTTCTGCTCGTTTTAAGAGATCCTCATCCAGTAGTTGTGTCTGTGGCTCGGATTCCACAGCGGCAAGATGAGCGAAGACTTCTGGGAACAGAACGCCCTTGTTCTCGACGATAGCATCCATCTCTGTCAACGATATTGAACAGACCGTGATCTGGCCTCTGTGTCATCTCGAGCAGTCTGCTGATGGGCAGGTAGCAAATGCCATCACTTCGCCTCATGTGAATTGAATTACGACTGAAGCGGCAGCCTTGTCCTGCATGCCAAGAGTGGCTTACTTAACCCTTTGGCCTGTTGATACTGATCCCAGTCTCCAATTCCGCAAGGCTACGCTCCGCATCCATGACCTCTATGAGTTGCGGCTTGACTTGACAACAGCGTTGTCGGGACCTTGATCAACAACAATCAAGATCGAACATGGCGCAGACCTCACCAAATCCCCTAATCTCTTCGAAACCCTCCGATACAGGCCTCACAGTCTCTCTGCACCCTCTCGTACTCCTCACAGTCTCCGATCAGATCACCAGACAGTCCGTTCGAAAACAACAAGGTCCTGTTGCGGGTGCACTCTTGGGCCAGCAGAGAGGGCGTGAGATCACAGCGGAACATGCTTTCCCTGTAGAACTCGTACGCATCTCAGAGGGAAAGTGGCAGTTCAATGAAGAATGGATGGAGATGAGGATACAACAGTGTAAGTGCCGAAGTACGAATGTCATGGAAGAGAAGCTAATTCTGGTCAGACAAGGACGTCCACAAAGCACCAGCACTCGAATGCGTCGGCTGGTTCACACTATGCCCTGAATCTGGTCCGCTACCAGAGCAGGTCACTCTTCAAAAGCAGGCCATCACATTCTCCAGCGACAGCGCCATCCTGCTGGCTCTACATCCAGAATCAATATCGGCCGGAGACACAACAGGCGGAAAGCTACCAATATCCGTCTACGAGAGTGTGCTCGAAGGCGACCATCCTAAAGATGAGGGCTCAATGCAGGTAGACGGGCAAGAGTCCACAGACATCAAGTTCCGACATCTATCGTACACGATCGACACGGATGAGACAGAAATGATTGCGATTGACTATGTGGCAAAAGGAGCAGGCAGTGCCGTTGCAGTCGATGACTCCGCGTCCCGAGAGCCGAGCAGCAAGCCCACCGAGACCGCACCGCCAGACAAGAAGGGCAAGAAACGTGCAGACCTACCGCCAGATGATACCAGCCCGGAAGCCACAAACGGCGTAGCGGACACAAACTACGCACTGACCCCAGAGGAACAAGACCAAGTCGCCAACCTGACGACCCGCCTCAACAGCGTCAAAATGCTGCAATCCCGCATCTCCCTCCTCCGCAGCTTCATTCAAACCCTTCCTCCATCATACATATCCGACCAGGAATCCGTCGCCATAACACCGACAAGCCCCGACCCATCTCACCTTCCGCACCTTCGCAACATCCAGGCTTTACTGACGCGACTCTCACTCCTCACACCTATCGACTCCGCATCATCAGCTCAACCCCTCGCCGCGGCATCGCGGGCTCAGTCCAATGACGTCGCTCTAGCCAGTATGCTCGCCCTTCTAGGCCAGGACATCCAGGCACTCAGCGAGCTGGGCCGCAAATTTGCCACGGTCGAAAGCAGCCGCGGTGCGAAAAGCAAGCACGGCGCTGGCCCGAAAGGTGCAGCTGGAGGCGCAGGAAATTCATTCGAAGGCGTGGGTGAAAGTGATGGTCGATTTGCTGGGGCTGCTGTGAGTAATTCAGGTGGGATGATGGTGTGAGCTTGGGCGAGGTCACGTAGTGAAAATCACCCCTACATGAGGACGGATTGAACCGCCCCAGCCCAACACCGGTCATTGGCCGAGCTTGTGACAGCTTTGGAAGCCCTTGCGCCACGACGCCTCTCTGACAGCGTATAGACGCCAAACGAGAGATGGGGGCTACCACCGGGCAAGTGCTTCTGCGAGGAAGGCTATCAGTCATGGATGACAAGCACCCGGGCTGCAACCGGTAAGAATCATTGCCTGTCAGCACAACAGTATTGACCATAGCGACGGCGTTTTAGAGGATGGAGGAGTCACGACGGGATGACACTTTCACGAGGACAGAGATTCGTGGCAATGAACACAGAAGTCTGAAATACAGATTATCTTGATGGTGCAAAAATATTTCCCACTCATCACCACTATCTGATACGTGCTTTGCTTCGCATGCGTCGTCAACATTTTTGTAGAAAGACAATTATGAAGAAACACAATTGCGTCGCTGTCATCCATAAACCGTCGTCAAGCTTAGTCACATTGGGTTTGAAGACTGTGCTGCTGTAGCAAATATCTAACTGATGAACTCGTGGAATTCCGAACTCCAAACGCCAGCGCTGCCCTTGTCATGAAAGTTATTATCACATTGATGTAGTTGATGTCGTTCAGGTAACGAGTATATCGCGAGGTCGGTCCCTCGTGAAGAGTCGGAAGCGGAATCTCTTCTTCGGAGGCGCTTCTTTTGCTTGTGATGATGTAGTGGATGCCCTTGGTGTGAGCACGGCTGTTGGACTTTCAGTAACTGCAGGTAGGGTCGGTGTAGATTGTGACGAGAGGCTTCTGACCGCAGTGGCTATGCTCTTCTTCTTTTTGATGTTCTTCATCATTCGAGTTATGTGGAGCTGTGAGTCTTCATCATCCGTGGGGTTCTCAAGTGGTGGTGGGGGAGGAGGGAGTTCTTTGTTCAGGTCGGGCCCGGGATGTTTCTGCTGCTGAGAGTAGTCCGAAGATATGAAACTCTTGGTCTCGGAAGGTGGAAACTGAGTGGTAACGACCCGCAGACTAGTTCTGATCGCTTCCACCTCCATGAAGGGCTTGACTGCTTCCAGTGACCTGTGTAAAGCGGCGTTTGAGGCTTTTCGACTTTCCATGGATGGAATTGTCTCGTTCCGCAAACTGCTTCCTGGTTTCTTGGTACTGTTTACAGATCTTCGAGTTGTCTCAGAAAGTCGCCGAGCTGTGTCTGCTGGAGTGAATCCTGCACTAGTAAGAGGTGTCGAGTAGTCATCGGCAGAAAAGGTATGTCGAGGAGAGGCCTCGGAGGGGGTTGCAGTGTCATTATGTAGGTCAAGACCGCTCCGTATGACATGAGTGATGTTGTCGGTGGTCTGAACAGGGTCAGGCTTTCGCTCTAGGTTTGTGTCTCTCTGCCGAGGTGCGTCGCCTTCATGTATCTGGGCTGCAAGGTATTTGAAAGGATCGTCCGACGTATCGTCCGCGTGTTGCACGTTAGCCAGCACCATGGCACAGATTCGTTTCAAATCGCCCTCCTCTTGCTCTGTCAAGGACTGCCTTCCGATTAATGGAGAGTCTGGTACGAAGTGAGGATCGTCGGGCTCTCCGCGGTATTTCTTGGGTATCTGGACCGGAGTGAGTAGAGTCCACAAGTATATGCTCGACTGCACACTTACCGACGTATCCGTCCGTAGGCCCAGCATTCTGTTCATGGTAGCCATGGTATTTCTATCTCGGCTGGTCTCGGATGACGAGACTGGGCTGGATCAGATGCAGGTGGAAGTTGATTCAGACTGGGAAGGACCTCTGGCCAGAGTCGCTTTTTACAGCGTAGGACTGCGCAGCATGAATGTGATATGTCTCGGTTGTGGGCGATAGATGGTAAGACTGACAAAGAATCTGGTCACAGCAGAGTCATATACACCGCGGTACATTTGGGCAGGAAGGAGAGACAAGAACACGAGAGTCAGTACACGGAACAGGAAAAAGACGAGGGTTCGCATCGGCATGTAGCCATGTTGTACATGCAGGTCACCAGCATTGCGACCCGAGAAATCGTGGTCAGCGCAGCGTTTCAGCTTGAAGCTGACCTCTCGTGAAGGCCGTATTCTGTGGAGTGGGCCAGCAGTGCCATCGAGTGAGAACACCAGCAAGGAGGCAGGGCCATCCTAGGCGGGTGGCTTGTCTGACCAACGAGATGGCAAGTCCTTAACTTGACCTATCTGGTCCTAAATCCAGCTATCCAGGACCAACGCAGCAGCTAAGCGAAAGCTGCATTGCGGGTGACTGGAGGGGAAAAGGTGCATATCGTGCCTAGCAGGTATAGAGAATAGGCAAATGATTGGCAGTGGAAATAGAGGAGGGGAGAGGCAACTTGAGCGAGTTATAGAAGGAAATCGGACGTAGGTAGCCACTCGCGGGAGGCATCAAACAACGCAAAGGACAGAAGTCTGTGTAACCCTATCAAGAGGACCTTTAGACCTTAGGTACTTAGAGGTAGTTACTCCCTAATTTAGATCCAGACCCTCTCCAACTTGCTTGCTGACACCTGAGTCCCTACCACTCCGCGGGAAGACATCACTGCAGGTACATCAACGCAGTAACGTCCTTCTGTAACGCGATGTCGTCATTCGTTCGCCAATCTCGTCGCCACAGAGTCTACAGTACTTCACAGCGCAACGACTGGAGACAGCCATGGAGGATCTAGCGTCCCGTCTTGAAGGCATGCATGTTCCCAAGTGTCACACAAAATCTCCGTCTCGAACAGTTCTGTACTGACAGCAAAGCGGGCCTGGTCCGACTCCCCGATGACATTCGCGCTGTAATCGCAACATGGCTATCGTTGAACAGTCGCGGGAAGGATTCTCTTGAAAGTTCCTCCTGTCAGCCAGTTGAGGATCTCTGTCAGAGCCTGGGCCTTCGCACATTGATCTCGGAAGGGATCAGCCTGGGCGAACATGCATTGAGCAACCCTCATTATCATGACCACTGCTTTGCTCGGCGAACCCTCGCCATCGCTCCCCCCCTGGAATGCTTAGAATCTGTTTTGGTGCTCCGTTGGGCTCGACCATCACAGCCAGTTGTTCGCTTATGTACTGTAGAGTTGTCTGTTTCATCACTTCGGGTGACGTCCAAACCGTCGTTACTGCGATAGACCTACTCAATCACGGAGGCGTGACTCTTTAATGGTTAGACGATCATCATGGCAGCTACAACGATGATTTGTCTGTTCAATTCTCCGATTTGGTCTCCTGTGGTTTGTGGTGAGAATGTGCTCGCGAATGCCCCAGGAGACATAGGGAGTGTCAGCCTTGTGCCTTCTTGGCGGTCACCCCGCCTTCTTCTCCGACTGCAATATTTATCCAGAATTTTGGTCGCGAGACTTTGGGATGTGTCACAACCCGCAAAAGGCCCAGAACCCGAGCATACTACATGGACGATGGGAGACAGCTCGGAATCGGGGGCTCCAGATTCATGGGAAACCCAACTTGCTGCTCTGAAAAGCAGCTCAACTATTCTACGCATTGATACCCTGCGGAAACTGCTGCAGGAGATACAAGGCTCTGGTGCGGCGAGACGAATTTCGTGAACAAGCAGGAAGCTAACATTGCACAGGTGAACAGTCCAATTCACCAGATGTCTTGAAACCTTTGCCTGCGATCCTTGAGACCTACCCTCGATATGCGGATAGGAAGTCCCGCCGGGCTGTGCAGTCATGCCTCCGAGCATACTTAACAATTCCTGCCTCTACCGAAAGAACGTACCCGGCCGTCACAAAGTTTCTGCTCCAGGAAAGCCAGAAGGGTGTTATAGCCTCTACAAATGCTTTCGTGCTCCTGGAATGGTGCTGTATCGCTCAGCAAGACAGTGTGCATAATGAGAAGGTCTTCGACTCTTGCTTTGGAAAGCTATGTCTGGCTGCAGCTCGGCTTCTTGAGAAATGCGAGGATGGAACCGTGCGTGGTGGCATCCAGGATTCGGCCCTGACTATTGCGAGGAGGGGTCTGCGGGATGTATTCAAGAATGCGCAATTCGGAGCCAAAGCCCTGAATGTTGCTCTCAAGGAGGTTACAGGCTCACCCGATGCAATCGCCAGCTATGCTCCATACTTGGGCATAATAGCTGGTGTGAGTTCTCGTATACCAGAGAGAAAGGACCAGCTCGAAGCTTCGAGTAAGCAGATCTTGGATTTCTACATCAAGTGTGTGATTGGCTCCAGGACACCGGTGCCTCCTCATCAATCGCAAGGTCTCGAGGACTTTTTCCTGGACTATGTGACGGTCGAAGAGATTGGCAAAGTTGTGGTACCAGCCTTGGAGAAGGCCATCCTGCGCTCGCCTGAAGCTGTTTTGCAGGGACCTATCGAAGCTCTCGCCACCTGCTTGCCTAAGGAGCTGGACATTTCAAAGTATGTCCTTACAAGACTGGTGAAACCGCTTATAGGAGCACTCAATTCCACCAATGCTACCATCCGAGAAGGTGCCGGCAAGGCTACACTTTCCCTGATTGAGAGGGGCGGCCACCCAGACGTTCTCCAGAAGATTGCTGCCGAGTTGGCATCGGCTCTGAAGTCTTCCAAGCCCGCCAACTTCGAAATGCGTGGCATCGTCGCTGACATTTTGCGCGCCGTCAAACCGGAAAGCAAGTCCTCGATGACTATTGTCCAGGCAATACTTCCTGCTGCTTCCAAGGAGGCAAACGAAGGCACTCTGAGGAAAGAGCTCACGGCAGTTGCTCCACATCTGGAAGCTGTTCTGGCCGCCGGTTCGATTGACAAGAGTCTTTCAGATCAAATTCTGAAGGGCTGCTCGGACAAGCGTCTTACTTTCCGCAAGTCGTGGATCCTCTTCCTGGCCACTGTCCTAAAGGAGCTCAAGGATGTCCCAGCTGATGGCTCTTCGCGAGAATTTGTTCGGTCAGCACTGAAAATCTTACGCGATGCCCACGATGAGATTGCAGCTAGTCCTTTACCTGCCACGCAGAATGGCTATGTTGCAGCAGCTTTTGGCTTTCCTGCGTTGCTAGACGCGCCCATTCTTCAGGCGGACGAGTATAAGTCGAAATCAGACGGTCAGATGAAGCAACATTTACTCGTCGCCCAACCAAAATTTTCGTTCCTCCTGAACTCAAAGGTCTATACGCGGCTGTCATCTGCCGAGGACAATCGTTGGGCGCTGCTTGCGTTGGCTACAGCAGCGGCAGAGCTTGAAGGTGCCACTGAGGAAGGGAAGACAGCATGGGCCAGAGCAATCCTTCATTTGATGCTAGCTCCTGAGGTTGACTCTTCCGTCCGTAAAGAGACCGGCGTTGCACTGTCGCGTGTCTACATGGACAAGCCCGCTGCAGTGGGACAAAGCATAGTTCTCGGTATCTGGGATCTGCTTCGATCTCGTGCCTTGGAATCAGGCGGCAAAGCCGCCGAAACTTCTTCGCTCACAGATGCTCGGTTGCTCCAGGCTGTGAAGTGTATATCGCCCTCAAAAGACAAGTTGACAAGCGAAAATCAGACGATTCCGCACCAAGATCTTGAAAGACAGTCCGTGTCGACGAGTGTGCTGCTACGTCCAGAACTGATCACGAACACGGATTGGATCGCCGTGTGTCTCACCATTGGAGTCGATCCTGGCCAACTAGCAGAAAAAGAGCGAGAAGCTCTGTTGACGGAGATTCTTTCGCACTTCGATACTGACAAAATAGCACCTCTGGATGTATTCGAAATAGCCGCGTGCAATACTGCGGCAACCTTAGCATTCGTTGCCCCAGACTCTTTCACACCAGCCCTTATCGAACAGTTACGCTCGGATCTGGATATTACACAATTGGAAGGCGTTGGTCCCACGGAAGCACTTATCGCCCGATCACCAGAAGGGACGTTGGTAGTGGATGTACTCAGCCAACAGTCTAATAGTGTCCTGGAGAACAAGAACCAGAAGGACTACGATGTCCTGAAGTGGGAAGAGGAGATCCGCTCACAGTTGGAGAAAAAGAAGGGCGCTCAACAGAAGAAACTGACCCCAGAGCAACAAGCCAAAGTCAATGCACAACTTGCCCATGAGACATCATTACGGAATAGGTTGAGATCAGTCTCATCTAAACTGAGGCGAGGCGCCAAATTCATTGAAAGCCTGGCACATGGCCCACCAACAGATGCACGGCTTTGGATGCCCTCCGCCATCACTGCCCTGACGAGTACCCTCGATGCTGGAGCCTCTCTCCTGGTTGATGACGAGCTTGTTTCGGCTTACCTAGCCTGCTCTACCAAGGTCTCAGATCGTTTGGGGACCATGCGACCTTTCATTGGAGTAGCAACACTAAGATCTTTGAGAAGTGCGAATGTCCCTGAGCACCTCTGCTCAGAGCCTTTGGCGGATTTGGGTACGAGAGTGTTGTATAGATTGAGGTTTGCGGCCGAGCAGCGCCCATTCGATACAGCAAGCACTGTCTACGCACTGCCGCTCATCTTCCAGGTGTTGGAAAATGGAAAGATTGGTGAAGTCTCTTCCGACGATGCGGACGCTCAGGTTCTCCTCGCTTTGGAGTTCTTATCCTTCCAGATGGCTCTAGGTGGCGATGGGCGGCTTCCTCGGGCGGAAATCCTGCGCCAGCTTATCGGTGCTATGCAGCGGTATACTCAACACTATCGCGTCATCAAGGACTGCCTGTTGGACTTCTGTCGATCAATATCTGAGACTCTTACTTCAGAAGAGAGGGACATTCTGCTGTCCGCAGTCACAGTGCCTCAATCGACAGTTCGATCTGCTGTTCTTCAGGCGATCTCTTCTGAGCTTGACTTGTCAGAAATCAACTACTCAGTCCATCTCTGGATCGCTTGCCAGGATGAAGAAGATGAAAATGCGGAGACTGCTTTGGCAATATGGCAAGCAGAGGAGTTCACTGTGACCGATGAGGTGGTCGAACAAATTCCTACCTTTATATCTTCTACTGCTCGATCCACCAGGGTTTCTGCATCAAAAGCGCTGGCTCAGGCACTTCTGGAGATGCCTTCCAAGACCGAGTCCGTACTGGCTCGGCTTGAAGAATCGTACCGCACAGAATCAAAGCCCTTAGTCCCGAAGCGCGACAAGTTCGGAATAGTACAAAGAGGAGAATTGACCGATCAGTGGGAGAGGCGAAGCGGTATTGCCCTCGCTTTCAAAGAGCTCAGTTCGGTCCTTGACAAGACTGCGCTCGTGCCTTTCATGCAGTTCCTGGTTTCAGAGGGTGCACTTTCTGATCGAAGTGCTACGGTACGCTCAGAAATGGTAGATGCTGGTACTGCACTGGTTGCTGTTAGAGGAATGGAGTGCCTGGAACCTCTCATGGAGATCTTTGAGAAGGTCCTGCAAGGTCCCGACAAAGCCACGCAAGAGTCTGATTGGGTTAACGAAGCCGTGATCGTTCTGTATGGCTCACTAGCACGCCATCTTCCTGACGGTGACAAACGAACACAAAGTGTCATACAAAAATTGCTTGACACCCTCAGCACACCATCAGAGTCAGTTCAGTATGCTGTGGCAAACTGTTTACCTCCTCTGATTCGACCGCAAACTGTTGAAGCTGGACCCTACATATCTTCCATGCTTGACCAGTTGTTCAATTCGAAAAAGTACGCTGCACGGAGAGGAGCTGCTTATGGTCTTGCCGGCATTGTGAAAGGCAAAGGAGTTGCTTCCCTGCGACAGCATCGAGTTATGTCTGCCTTGCGGGCCGCAACAGAGAATAAAAAGAGCCCCGACCAGCGACAAGGCGCTATGATGGCATATGAACTGATGTCGCTTCTGCTCGGGAGAACATTTGAGCCTTACGTGATAGAAGTGCTCCCGCAGTTCCTGACATGCTTTGGTGATCCTGTTGCCTCTGTCCGTGAGGCCACTTTGGATACAGCAAAGACCTGTTTCGCAAGGCTGAGCTCATTTGGTGTCCACCAGGTACTACCACAGTTGCTGGAGGGCCTGGACGAGACTCAATGGAGAAGTAAGAAAGGTGCATGCGATCTGCTAGGTGCAATGGCCTACCTTGATCCCCAACAATTGGCCACAAGCTTGCCGGATATCATTCCACCATTGACGGCAGTGCTGACCGACACTCACAAAGAGGTTCGAGCTGCTGCCAATAGCAGTCTGAAGAGATTCGGAGAAGTCATCACTAACCCCGAGGTTAAGAGCCTTGTTGATCTTCTGCTGAGAGCCCTCAGTGACCCAACGAAATACACCGAGGAAGCTCTTGATGGTCTGATAAAGGTCTCGTTTATTCATTACCTTGATGCACCGTCGCTGGCTCTTGTTGTAAGGATATTGGAACGAGGCCTCAACGATCGATCGGCTACGAAACGCAAAGCTGCCCAGATCATTGGCAGCTTGGCACATCTGACCGAGAAGCGTGACATAGTGACACATTTGCCGATACTGGTCACTGGATTGCGCCTTGCTGCAATCGATCCCGTTCCAGCCACTCGGGCAACTGGTGCAAAGGCGCTGGGCAGTCTAGTCGAGAAACTGGGAGAAGATGCCTTCCCTGACCTCATACCCAGTCTTATGTCTTCGCTACGTACAGACACCGGTGCCAGCGATCGTCTTGGTTCCGCTCAAGCTCTCAGCGAAGTCCTTGCAGGTCTTGGAACTGAACGTCTGGAAGAGACTTTGCCAACAATCTTGCAGAACGTTGCAAGTACCAGGGCCACAGTTCGAGAAGGGTTTATGACGCTCTTCATCTTCTTACCAGCCTGCTTTGGCAACAGCTTTGCCAACTACCTAGCACAAATCATACCGTCAATCCTTGCCGGGCTTGCCGACGAAGTGGAAGCTATTCGGGAGACGGCGCTCAGAGCTGGCAGGCTGCTCGTAAAGAACTTCGCAAGCAAATCTATCGACCTTCTCCTGCCAGAACTGCAACGCGGTTTGGCTGATGACAGCTATCGTATTCGTCTCAGCTCCGTTGAGCTGGTTGGTGATCTCCTTTTCAATCTCACCGGCATCAGCGGCACAACAGATGCAGAAGAAGAGGCTGAACAGGCTACACAAGCCGGACAGTCTTTGCTCGAAGTGCTGGGTGAAGAACGGCGCAACAGAGTTCTCGCATCGCTTTACATCTGCCGTTGCGATACGTCTGGCCAAGTCCGCGCTGCAGCTATCGCTGTCTGGAAGGCACTGGTTGCTACACCGAGAACTTTGCGGGAGTTGGTACCCACTCTCACACAAATGATCATCGCTCGCCTCGCCTCCGCCAATATGGAGCACAAAGTCATCGCTGCGAACGCTCTGGGCGAAGTCATTCGAAAGGCCGGCGAAGGTGTATTTGCTGCACTACTTCCATCACTCGAAGAGGGTCTTCAAACCTCAACGGACTCAGACAAGAGACAGGGTATTTGCATTGCGCTGCGTGAAATTGTGAATGCTGCTCAACCAGAAGCTCTGGAAGAGCACGAAAAGAAATTGATTGCAATTGTCCGGCTGGCCCTGACAGATTCCGATCCAGAAGTACGCGAGGCTGCGGCGGAGTCCTTCGATTCTCTGCAGCAGACCTTCGGCAAACGAGCCGTCGATCAGGTGTTGCCACATTTGCTCAACCTACTACGGAGCGACACCGAAGCTGAGCATGCTCTATCAGCCTTGTTGACCCTGCTCACAGAAGCCACACGAGCCAATGTGATCTTACCAAACCTCATTCCTACACTCTTGACAAACCCGATCACGGCATTCAACGCCCGTGCTCTTGCTTCTCTAGCAAAGGTGGGCAGCTCTAGCATGACTCGCAGGTTGCCTTCGATCCTGAACAATTTGGCGGATAACATTGTCAACTGCAAGGATGAAGATCTTTTAGAGGAACTTAACGAAGCGTTTGACGCGGTCTTGTCGTCCGTCGATGAGTTCGATGGACTCAATACTGCTATGAGCGTCATGTTGGCGATGATCAAGCACGATGATCATCGCAGACGAGCTGTAGCAGCGAAACATTTGGCCTCATTCTTCACCAAAGCAGAAGTCGACTACTCCAGATACAACCAAGATCTTATTCGCGTCCTGATCATTTCTTTTGGTGACAGGGACAAAGAAGTGGTGCAAGCAGCTTGGTCTGCTCTGACTCAATTACAGGCACACCTTCGCAAGGAGGAGATGGAGACCTTGGTTGGGTCTACACGGCAGGTGCTGCAACAGGCCGGCACTGCTGGATCTATCTTACCTGGCTTCGCGCTGCCAAAGGGCATCCTGCCTGTGCTGCAGATCTTCCTGCAAGGCTTGATGAATGGTACTACAGACCAAAGAGTCCAGTCTGCCATGGGTATCTCAGACATCATCGACCGCTCTGGTCCAGATGCCTTGAAGCCTTTTGTCACCCAAATTACCGGTCCGCTCATTCGTGTAGTAGGTGAGAGGTCAATGGATGTCAAATGTGCCATTCTGTCCACTCTCAACCAACTACTCGAGAAGATCCCTACTTTTCTGCGTCCGTTCCTGCCACAATTGCAGAGAACATTCACAAAGTCTATTGCCGATCCGACAAGCGATCTTCTGAGAATGCGCGCAACAAAGGCTTTGAGCACACTTATTACTTTAACGCCCAGAGTTGACCCGCTGATTGCAGAACTCGTCACCGGTGCAAAGACACCCGATGTGGGCGTCCGCAACGCCATGCTCAAGGCGCTACAAGAGGTCGTCAGCAAAGTTGGCGCCAACATGAGTGACGCTTCACGAGAGTCCATTCTCGGTTTGATGGACGGGCAACTCGACGGCCAGGACGATAATGCAATGGTCACCAACGCACGTCTTCTCGGTGCCATGATCAAAGTCCTGCCAGCAGAGAAACCAGCGACATTAATCAAAGGCCGGGTTCTCGTCCAACCATTGACAAATGCATCGATCCTTGCTCTCAACGCCGTCCTGCTAGAGAGCGCACAAACCTTGATCTCTGGCTATGCAGAAGAGACCAGAGCCGTGCTCGTCGCCGGCCTAACAGGCAAGAGCACCTTCGTCCAGCAAAATGCCGTTCTTGCCGAGGGCAAATACTTACTGTCGGAATCGACCGTCTCTGACGAACAAGCGTGCCAACCCCTGATCGAAGCTCTTGCATCCGTCATCGCTCCTGGCGGCGACATCGATTCGCGCAGACTTGCACTCGTCGTTGTGCGCACTGTGTCACGACACCACAGCGAGGAAATGCACGCTTTCTTGTCAGTGCTTATCCCGCCGGTCTTTGCGTCCGTTCGCGATCCCGTCATCCCGGTCAAATTGGCTGCCGAAGCCGCGTTCCTTGCGCTGTTCGGTGTCGTCGATGAGGAGTCTGCGGTGTTTGACAAGTACATGGCTGGACCTGGCAAGTCGTTGTCTCCTGGCCAGGCCAGGCCGATGGGCGACTACTTCAAGCGTGTGGCGTTGAGGCTGGGCGCGCAGGCAAGAGAACGGCGCGAAGCCGAGGGTGGAGCTGGTGGGTTGGGACTCAGCTCAGACGAGCAGGAGGATGAACGGGAGGTGTGGAGTGTGGGGAGAGTTGATCTTGGAGAGGTTGGTGGCGAGGAGTGAACGAAAACGACACTGAGTACGAGGACTCGCATTGATATTACAAGCATAGCATAAAGCACGATCGAGCATGAAAAAAGCATTACACTGAATTTTGTATGGTTTGGAAAGTAGCGATTCTTTTGGTATCTGCACAGAAACGTATTGCCTCAACGCATAATGGCCGTCTGGGACGACCTGAATGGCTTGAACGTCAAGCATATAGTAGGGCCAAGCCATCAGACAGGTGTAATATGTACAAAGAAGGAACTCCCCTTCCTCGACTGTCCATATACTGTTGTCCATCGCAGGTCTCCGAGTTGAGAATGCCCAAAATAGTCTGTCTGCCCTGATCAGGTTGGATTCTCAATTAATATCCGGAAGACGAAGTAGTTAAGCTCGTGCTCTTAAAGACACGGATATGACCATATGGATCGGACGAGCTGGAGCTTCGAGGTTTGGGAGTGAGATTGAAAAAGAAGTATTCAATACAGTATTACTGCATTTTGCCTCCCAAAACCGACACCACGCTATGCAGCAAAGATGAGCTCGGATCCACGCAAAGGCGCAACGACGGTGACAAATATGTATGCCACTGAATCGAAGCGAGAAAGCTCGAGACAAGTGAGACAATTTAAAACATCTGCGATCCGGTGCGATCGATACGCTTGAAGGCCGGTGCGGGAGAACCAGGCAGTGGCTCATTATCAGGTGGGCCTTGTTGCTCGGTCGGTGGTGGAGGTCTGAGGACAGTCAGCATCAAGATCCGCAAAACAAGGGCTTGGAATAGGGAGACTTACGGTGCACTCTTTCCCTCGGTGTTGTCAAAGTACTTGTGGAAATCGCCCTGGTCCTCAAACGGTCTCTTGCCCAGAATGCGAACCAGGTCATCACGCACGAGCACCTCCTTTTTGAGCAACTCCTCGGCCACGACCTGTAGTTGGTCTTTCTTCTCCAGCAACAGGTCTTTGCACTGTTGATACGCCTCGTCGACGATCCGGCGTACTTCCTGATCGATATTGCGCGCGGTCTCCTCGGAGAAAGGCTTGTGCAGTCTTTGCTCGTCGTCCTTGTAATTGAGGTAACCGATCTTGGACGACATGCCCCATTCTGTCACCATTGCCGTGGCCATACGGGTAACCTTGTTGAAGTCGTCGGATGCTCCGCTCGTCACAGTGTCGAACCAAATCTCCTCGCTGACACGGCCACCTAGCGTCATCGCCATGCGGTCCATCAGCTGTTTGACGTTCATCAAGTACACATCACCGCCACCAGCAGGGAGGTATTGTGCGTATCCCAACGCACCCTGTCCTCTTGGAATGATCGACACTTTGAGAAGAGGATCGGCATACTTGAAGAACCAGCCACAGATGGCGTGGCCAGCTTCGTGATATGCGACAGTCTTCTTCTCTTCGGGAGTGAGGACAAGTGATTTTTTCTCCATGCCGCCAATGACACGTTCGATAGCTTGTTCGAAGTGGATCATCTCAACCGAGGCTGCATTCGCACGAGCCGCAATCAGCGCAGCTTCATTGACACAGTTGGCAATATCGGCACCGGAAAACCCTGGTGTCAGAGCGGATAGACGGCCGGTCAAATACTTGAGATCGACCTTGGTGACAATCTTGTTGAGATGGACCTTGAAGATCTGCTTGCGGCCGTCCATCGTAGGTCGGTCAATGGCGATATGTCGATCAAAACGTCCCGGACGCATCAAAGCCTTGTCGAGAACGTCAGGTCTATTCGTACCAGCGAGAACGACGACCTGTTCTGAAGTGTTGAAACCATCCATCTCCGTCAATATCTGATTTAGTGTTGACTCTCGCTCGTCGTTGCCACCCCCAAAATTCTGCTTCGCTCTCGATTTGCCGATGGCATCAATTTCATCAATGAAAATGATACAAGGCGTGCTTTTCCTGGCATTGGCGAACAGGTCTCGTACACGGGAAGGACCAACACCGACGAACATCTCAACGAATTCTGAACCAGACACCGAGAAGAATGGGACGCCAGATTCGCCTGCGGTCGCCTTGGCCAGAAGTGTCTTACCAGTACCGGGAGGCCCCGACAAAATAGCACCACGTGGGATCTTAGCTCCGAGCTTTTGGTATTTTGATGGATCTTTCAGGAAAGATACGAACTCCATGATTTCGAGCTTGGCTTCGTCCATGCCGGCAACGTCGGCAAACTTGGTCTTAACGTCGGTCTCCTGATTGAATCGCTTGGCTCTTGATTTGCCAATACCGAAGATACCGCTTTGACCGCCTGCTCCCGATGCTGCTCTCCGCGATAGCCAGAATAGTGCTCCGATGAAGAGAATGGTGGGACCGAAAGAGAAGAGGGCGGCACTTAGCGGCACTTCGTCAGAATAAGCGACGGGTATCCTCTCGCTACTTGGAATTCCCAGCTCCTCATGTGCCTCATCCAGCTTCCTCTCGAATGCTTCGACAGATCCGATGTTGAAGTAATAGAAAAAATTCGACTTGGTAGCGGGGGAGTCCGGGTATAGGTTTGCTACCGCTGATCGGTGAAGTTCCACCCTGACACGATTTCGATTGATGACAGTAAGCTTGTCTACAAGGCCTTTGTCCAGGAATGTCGTCCGGAACTCTTGCCATGTGATGTCTCTGCTAGATTCGCTAGGGCTGAGACCTCGGAACAGGTAGTACGTGACAATACCTGCAAGTATAGTCGAACCGAGATCGATCCTGAAATCGTATATCCGTGGTCCTCCCTTTTGTTGACCATCCTTTTGTTTGCGTTTCTGCTTCTGCTCTTGATCTTTATTCGACTGCTCAAACAGAGGCGTCTCTTCCGTGGACTCGTTTTGGGCGCCTTTCCCATATTTCTCTCGAACCTCTTCCGGGCTCATGCGAGACAGCTTGGTGAAAATGCTGACCAAACGGACGGTGGTGGCGAGGGAGATGTGGTGCTTGGGGTCTCTCCTTCGTGCTTCCAGTACCTCCCGAAGCTCATTGGGGATACCTCCCTTCTTCATAAGCTCAACAGCCTCGTCAATGACAGCGACTTGAGATTTGGGCAGACCCAACTTCATCATTTGAGCAAGTTCTTGAATCTGTTTGACTTCCTCTTCCGTCAGCGGCGTGAATTGTGGTTGATCCGCATCTTTGGCATTCGAATCCTGGCTTGCAGAAGCTTTGTCCTCGTCCTTTTTCCCTTTCTTTTCCGGATCTTCCTGTGGAGGCTTTGGATCTCCAGAGTTGACGGTGGCATACGGCCGTGATGTCGGCGGTCGTAGACTGCTGGAGTATCTTAACCTCGAAAATTGAGTTGTGCGGCGTTGCGCACATAAAGTGCACTCGAAAGCAGCCTTTGAAGACCGCAGCAATTGCGGCTTCAGTAATCTAGTCGCCATGACTGGCGAGACTGCTGAAAGAGGCGACACCGCAAAGGAGAATTGTGAGGGGAAAGATCAAGAACGGTGAACGAGGCGAAAGCAGACGACGGTGGCCACGAGAAGTAGTCGACGCGGGCGGCTTTTGCCTGCGCCGAAGAATATTGGCGATGTCATGACTACCGGCTTCACCTTGGTCTAAATACTTTGCCGCACATATTTCACGGTACGTTGCAGCATTCAACAAAACACGCAATTTCAGAAGGACATCGATTGCCACAACGTTACCGAATACTGATTGAATTGGCACTTCGTTCCTCCCAGCCAGAGCCGCTATTGCCGTAATTGAGCATGTTTACATCACTTTGACCATAATCGACGGATGTCATCCTCAACCTCTTTGTGAAGATGACTCCCATGTCATCACTTTGCTGAATACAACTCCGTCACTCACTCAGATTGGTCCCATCCGTCTTCTACCAAAGATATCACGTCGTGTGAAATCCTCCTCTGGTCTGGGCTTGGTAAGCTCTTTTGTTGGTGGCCGAAATCGTGGGTCTCGTGCAATGCGACTCGGAGCATTGTAGAATGTGCCTGTCTCTTCTTCAAAGAAGCTTGTACTGCCCGAATTGCTCGTCATCAGTCGAGACCTCTCAATCGCGTATTCTGGAGCAGGTTTGTATTTCCAGACAGAGTTGGCACCATTGGTCTCCGCCGTATCCGAATCAACATTTTCAATCAGGTTTGCCCATATGTATCCAATTGCACAAATTGCACCACTCTCGAGTTCGGCACTGGCAGCTTGATCGTTTACGGCTCCATCTCCACTTGATAGAGTCGACTGTCGGTCTCTGAGGTGCTCTCTCGCAATCTGTTCAACAAGCACCCGAGTCGCTTTGTTACCTCCAACGTCTTCATCGGTCCGCATGCGGATTTTGTCCTGCCTAGTACTCGGCGTGCACATGGACATATCGGCAGGCGACTCAGCCCAGTATGGATCTCCGCAAAGTCGCATGGCTTTGTTCATCGTGCTCCGTTCTGTCTTGGTGACAGGTTTGAGTTCGAACCATTCCTCTCTGCCGACGCCGAATTCATTTCGTAGCTTTTCGTTTCCGTGGCTATGTCCTTGAACGATCTCCAGATATTCAAGACTTCTAGATTGCAGAGCATGCAGCTCCAGACCAGGTGGAGGCTTCAAGGTTGGTACTGGACGACTTGCGCCTTGATGCTCGCTCACCTCATCGCCGAACTCATGCTCTGATCTTGCTGTGCTGGATTTTGTCGATTCCGGTGTTGAGACGGCGCTGGGCTTGTCGTGATACAGTTCCGGATTATGCAAAACTGTCTTTCCTGTCTTTGCCAACGCTTGTTGAGCTGCCACGAAACCTTGCATCTTACTATTGCGGTCATAAGGCTCATCGGCAGATGTCGTCTTCAGTTGGCTCAGTGGAGTCCAGACATGTACGCCCACACTTTTGTCCTTATTCTCTTCCTGAAACATACCCCCAGTATCCGAATAGGAGACGCGCCGAGGAACTCTGGCTGGATTCCGGAACACTATTGGTCGATCTTGGTGTGCAGGCATGATATCATCCGAATTATAGTGTTGAGTGGCTGGGCGCCGGAGGTTGTTCTGTGCAGAAGTGTCCATATATTGAAAAGGGTTCCAGATTTGAGGGACATTTGTGTACGGGGTGTATGGGATCTGATCATGCATCATCGAGTCAGCTTCCAAACTCGTCCTTTCGGATGAGTGATGTTGTTGATGAGCAGCCCCTGCAGCTTGGTTGGCATATTCCTTCGACAGCGAGGCAAATTTGTTTTCTTGCTTTGTGGGACTGATATCCTCAGGGACCATCACGTTGACGGTGTGATCAGTGGTGTTGAACGCAGGCATCGGCATCGGGACATGACCTAACAAACGGAAGCCTTGTAAGTATACAGGCCATGGCAGATCGGGATATGGGAACCCACTTGGCCCAGACATGTTACCGGGAGAACCTTGCACACTGATAGCAGCTTCTCGGAGGGACTGTTTGATGATGGAGTGCTGCTGAAGTCGCTGCGGCGTAGGGTTGATGATAAAAGATGGTCTGGCCGTGTTTCCCACCATGGCTCTGGGTGCAGTCGGGATGGGAAAGTTGGGCATGTCGGCTCGAACAACCTGGGGATGTCGAGGGCCAATGGGGGTTTCGTTCTTCGACACGGATGAACTCTTGGGGTGGACTGTGCCTGTCTGGCGTGTAGGGGTCGAAATGGTGTAGGAGGTTTCCTCAGAAGCATCAGACTCTTGTTCAGGTGTGTCTTCCAACACTAGAGGGACCCAAGCTTTATTGCCCTTGTTGCGGTTCTGTTGGGGGTTTTTGGTAAAGGCGCTCAAGGAGATGGGAGCAGCTTTGGGAGGCAAGTTATGTTCTTCAGCCTCATGGGAGGCTTGCCTGGCGGTGGCCGCTTTGAAGGCATTATACTCAGCGGCTCGAGCTCGAGCTCCCAGCATGGTTTTGGGTTGTGTAGACAAAAGTGAAAACTTCTTCCGCGTCAGTGTCTCACCGTCCATCAAGACAACTTGCATTCTCACCTTGAAGAAGGAATGTTTCTAGATTTTCAACAATTCCTCCACGTATTAGACAGGTCACTCTTTCTCTGTAGCCCACCGGGTCCAGGTTGACTCAAATGTTAGAAATGTCTCGGGTCGGTGTCCTAGTGCAGTCAGTAGGTCCAAGTGAGTAGGGCTTGCTCTCGATATGCAAAAGGACGTACGAGCTGGTTTTCGGGGAGACAGCAGACGGATGAAGTCAGGTGAGACTGGATGAAAGTCCACACTCGTCCCGAGACGGCGTGGTGGAAGTGCAAGGGCAGGTAGGAAGTGGATTGGGACCACGACTAGCAAGTAAGTGAATGAGGGCAAGATGGTGAGGCAGAACCGAACCTGTAATGGACCACGGCAACTGGGGCAAACACAAGCTCTTGAGAAGTCAGAACAACGAAACTTGATGGTTTTCAGGATGGGGAATGAGTGGCAGTGGGCAGTGTTCTTTTTCTCGTTGTCATAAAGGAAGGTACGCATGGGAGGGCAACTGCCACAATGTACAATAACAACAACGACCTCCTGCCACTTAGCGAATCTGCCTTCTTTGATACCATCATCATTGCACCCTCTTCCATGGTCCCTTTTGACAGATATTCATCTTGCACCCGCGTGGTTATGACCAGATGGAAGCTCGCCATCTGGCCCGCGGTGGTCTTTATTCCCCTTTGCACCATCACCTCGCAAACCAACCATTCTGAAATGAAGAAGCCACTGCCTCACAACCTCTTTCGCATGCATGTCCATTGATCCTGTACAATGCAAGGTGGATGTTAAAGAGGACTGAAGTTGGAAGGGCACGAAAGAAAAAGACGTCAGAATCAAATTCGCCGATTGCGTCAAACATAAACATTCAAGCCGACGCCACCGACACTAAGTTACTTCTTCCTAGAGCAGAAGTACAAGTATTTTCTCCAACCAGGCCACAACCTCGAACATATCAATCGGAAGCACAGAACATAAAGCAGCCAAATACCTTCAGGATTGAATATTGAACACATTCTTCGAGAATGAGTGAGGAATTGCTGCCCTTGCCGCCTGGCGCGTGAGCGATATTTCAGAGATTGATATCATGAAAGTCGGCGACCCCGTCTACCGAGGAGCTGAAGTCCCCTTGCCAATTGAGGTCCTCGAGTGCATTATCTCCCATATAGGAACGGTTGAGGATAACAAAACGCAAGCAACGCTATGGGCTTGCTGCCTCATATCAAGGTCCTGGTACGCCGCCACCATCAGCCATCTTTATCAGCAACCACTTCTCAACAACCGGAACTTCGACAAGTTCACTCGCACAATATGCCCTCCGGTGAGTTCTCACAAGCCCAGGGTCGGCTTGGAAGGGTTCATCAAACGTCTTGACATGGGCGGACTCGCATACGAAAGCTCGAAAAGTCTCACTGCACGCCTCTTGCGACGGACGCGCAACTCGCTAGAAAGTTTCGCTTCGCCCGCGGTCACTTTCTCGTAAGTGGGCAATGCTTCTGGCTTTGACAAATCTAACCCTCACAGAATTGCGTCTTTGGCACCCTTAGGGAAATGCACCAATCTTCAATTTCTAGACCTATCAGCAGACGGGTACGACATGCATATACGTCAACTCCTCGACTCAATAAGCCATCTCGACCACCTGACAACTCTCAAACTTCCTCGTAATGCTCTGCGTTTAGCCTTGACCTTGCAAAAGTCACATTGGCCCAGAAACCTCCGCACTCTAGAGCTTAGCGACTGGCTATACGAAGAACTCACGTCCTGGGCAGCGTTCTTCGAAAGCTGGCCGGACAATTTAACCACCCTCAAGATCCAAGAGTGCGTGGGCTACGGCTCACTTAACGCACTGGACCCTTCCACCGTGACCGCCGACACCATCCGCGTCCTGGACATTGGTATCTCCTGGCACGAAGACAGGTTCCCACTGCGCCGGGTTCTGCACACCTTTCCCCATGCAGAAGTCCTCAGACTACCAGCCTATGTGGCCGAAGACCTCGCGAGAATGAATCAAACAGACGAAATGCTGATCAATCTCACATCTGGCGACACTCTGGTGGACGTTGACTACGACAGCCTGCTGGAAGTGTTGATCTTGACATACCCGCAATCACCAGGACGCAAGTTACCGCAATTTTCAACGACACTGCTGGAAAGATGGGTCAAGAAGTACCCTCGACTGCGCCGACTCGAGGTCCCCGAGAAGTATACCGGCTTGAGCCATGCTCGGGCATATTACGAAAGATTAGGTGCGACGCTTGAAGAGCGTGCAGCCCCTGACAAACGAGCTTCATCAGGGATATTTCTCTACTGACGCGGGTTTCACCTTGTGTTCCTGAAAGAGAAAAAACATGACCCCTATAGAAAGATTATGACGAATTGTACGATCATATATCTCATGAAAATGACGATTTCATTCAAGCATTGAATACCCATGTGTGCTTCTTACGCACGTTACGTTACTCATAGACACAGACTCCCAGCACACCCTCATCATGGGTACACTCACTCCCCGGTATTACATGCCGCCGCGACAAACCAACGCCAATCATTTCCAGCCCCAGTCTTCCTGCCTCCATACCCCAAACCGTGTTGTTGTGGTTGTTCATTCATACAGTTCCTGAAAAGTCATACTAAGAAACGAAAAAGAGTCTCCGAACTTTGTGCCATCCCATGTCAGCACTTCCCACAGATCACTAAAAGATGGTTCCGAATGTGCCATCGGTTTCGATCTTCTTGCGGGGAGATTCTGAATCTGGCTTTCGGTGTCTGGATCTCGTTAGCCTGGTCTTGCCCGTCTGAAGGAAGCGAAATACATACCTGAACGTAAAGCCCACGAACAAACTCTTGCCCATCCTCTCATCACGTTCGGCCATTTCCTCCAGTGCTTTCTGCTTGTCATGGACCTCCTTGTATTTGGCCATGTCAGCCTCGTTGCTGAAATCGTCAAAGTACCCGGCGTCAGTCTCAGAGTCAAGCTCTGGAACGAACGGCGCCTTCTGCTCTCTCAGTCCTTCGAAGTCGACCTCGGCAAAGTACTCGTGCTTGTGAATCTCTGTGATATTCTTGAACCGATTCTCCTTACCCGCAACTAGACGTGTGATCAAGTCCCAAGTACGTTTGCTAAGGAAATAGTTTGGATCGTCGTAGATGGGCTTTCGCAGAACGCGCTGCCATCTCTTCAGGTTCTGCCAGGTCTCATCCACTGTTGCACCAGCGAATGGAGGGTATCCGGCAAGCGCCTCAAACAACATGCATCCTAAAGACCAGTAATCGACCGTGAAGTCGTACTGCTCGCCTTTCAGCACCTCAGGGGCCATATAGTCCGGAGAGCCAACAATCGACTTGGCGTAGTTGATATCCTTCTTGCGTAGAGACCGGTAGCCCTCACGACGTTGGTCGGCCGATCGATCTTCGACAGGTGTCATTCCGAATGGCACTGAGGTATTTTCGACTTCTCCCAGCTTGATTCTCATGCTTTCAATCTTGATCGGGCTGAGCATACCAGCAGCGAGACCGAAGTCAGTGAGCTTGACGTGGCCAGTAGCATCGATCAAGAAATTCTCCGGCTTCAAATCTCGGTGGATGTAACCCAGTGTGTGCAAGGCATCGACGCAAGAGAACATTTCGGCAATGTAGAACCGGGCATGTCGGTTGTGAAGAACACCGGTATTGTTCAGCAAGGTTCTGAAATCACCACCGGGAACGTACTCCATGGCGAGGTAAATCTGCTCATCGTCTTGGAAGGAATAGAGCAATTTGACAAGCCATTCCGATTTGGCGGCAGTCAGGATATCTCGCTCGGTCAAGATGTGCCGTACCTCATCCAACTTGAACAATAACTTCTTTCTCATAACCTTGAGCGCACAGACTTCTCGTGTATCTTTCTTCTGAGCGAGGTAGACTTGACCGTAGCCACCCTGACCAACCTGTGTGAGGATTTGGAAGTCACCATGTCGAAGCCGAGTTCGACGTTTGCGCAGGTTGGCACGCTCGCGACCAAGGTATTTGTGTTGAGCCGAGTGGTATTCTTCCTTTGGTGTCTCAGGGGGTTCTGGATACGAAGCTTTGAAGGCAGCCTCTCTTGCTTGTCGGTTGTGTACGTAAGAGAGGAGGTCGAAGTAGTAGTCGAGAAAGTCTGAATGAATTAGATTGATTTAGCAACGGGGTCAAGCGGAGTGTACTCACACAATTGAGTGACGTTCGCAAGTCGCTTGTATTTCGGAAGCTGCAACTTTTGCATTTCCTCCGTGGTCAAGCCCTTGGTGATGGTTTTCCTGGACTCTGTAGGCTGGTATTGTACCTGTCTTGACAAGGCCGCATGATTCTGCTCTTTCCCATTTTTTAGCGGACTTCCAGGAGCATTTTCTTTGTTTGACTGGCGGGTTGGGCTCTCCGATCGGTTGTAGTGATGGTTGTTCCCGTCGGAGAAGGGATCCTTGCTGACATTGTCGCTCCCAACCGAAAGACCTTGTTTGGTGGGCGACGTGGGCTGGCTTTTGGTAGGGGACATCGGGGCCAACTTCATGGCATTGTCAAAGACGTTTGGAAGATCATTGGCCCCTGGAGGCAATTGCTTCTTGCTGGGACTGCCCGAAGGTGTCTGAACAGGACTGGTAAAGCCATGATTTCCACCAGGAGTGGTAGGAGTTTGAGGACGATCGTACAGCTCATTACCCGAGCGAGTGTGCAGGAGTGGAGGAGGCATTGGCATGACCATGTTGAGGCTTTGTTGTGATTTGGGGGAGAGAGGATTGCTGGCGACGGCCATGTTGTTGTTGGAGAGAGATGTTATGTGATCAAGGGGAGCCCCTTCCTCAGTGAAGATGCAGTTTTCAATCCGTGTCAATAATTCTGCTAGTACTTCTCAGACACAACACAGTATTCACTGAAGGACGCTGATCACGACGACCAAAGTTCGATGCGCAGACAAGAAAGAATAAAGAATTACGCTATCTTAGAGGAGAGAACATTTGGCATTAGAGAATGCTATGCTGTACTTTTACTGTATTGGTGGTGGATCAACACACCAACGCGGAATAGCTTGAAGTGTTTCGAAGGGCAACCGCTGCCAGGAACACGGCCAGGCCACTGATCTCAGATCTCAGTTTAAGGGCGGCTCCCCCTAGAGCGGGGCAAGGCTTTAACTAGCTAAGGCCTCACACCACATCTCTCGACGTCATCTCAGGGCTTTATGATTTCAATTGAGTGATCAGCGCGTCATGGACAAAAATTATGGTGAAAGGCATGGAAATCTAGGTAAGAGTCGTTGGCAGCATTCCCTCTACTAAAGGCTTCATTCGTATTCACAGCCTCGTTCGTATCCATTCAATCTGGCTGCCAAAACAGCGCAACGCCTTGCCCGCATCGTGTCCACCATGTCTCATCCTACCGCGACGACAACTGCGCCATGGAAACAAAAATTCCAGCAGCACCTTGAAAAGGCCGGCGGGCCACAAGGATCAGGCGCAGAGTTCTATTTAGCGACTGTCAATGCGGGAGGCTTGCCTAAAGTCCGAACGTGTATCTTCCGCGGCTTCTGGGCCACATTGCCTGAGAACGAACACAACAAACTCTCCAAGAACCCTGAGATTTACGAGTCCGATTGTCCTACATTTACCACTGATTGTCGAATGAGCAAGACCTATGATATCTTCGCGACTGGAAAGGGCAAAGGAAGTCTGGAACAGTCTCGATCGGGGACTGGCGGGGGCGGTCCGATTGAAGCAGTCTACTGGATCAAGGATACAAACACTCAATGGCGCATTAGCGGCAAATGCTGGATCATTGCAGCTGACGACATTGAGGGCGGAGAAGAAGCCCAAAACTCTGGGACCGTGACTGTCAAGGCAGAGGTCGGAAGGTATATGCGGACAAAGGGAGATCACGCCGAGAAGGACAAAGAATGGTCGTGGAAACTGGAGACGGAAAACTACTTTGAGAACTTGTCGCCCGGGATGCGAGGGACCTTCAAGAACCCGCCTCCTGGTCAACCTGTAGACGAAGGTAAAGATGAAAAAGCAGGAGAAGGTCTCGGACAGAAAGCAGGACATTTGTCCGAAGAGACGTTGGCCAGGAAGAATTTTCGAGTCTGTGTGATAACGCCCGAGCAGGTCGAAGCTGTCGACCTAACCGATCCTGCGAAGGCGACGCGGCAGATCTGGACTTTAGCTGAAGAAGCGGGAGGCCCAGGTGGTAGGAAGCCAGCCGAACCTGTAGGTGAGTGGAATCACATCGAGACGTGGCCATAGAGCACAGGTGTAGGAATAAACAGTCAATCGATCAGAGAACAAGATCCGTAACCATATCATAATTCGTTATCGAGGCGAAGACAGCAAACGCTTGCAAAATTTACAGCAAGGGACTTTTCACCCCGGGTATCTCGATACAGCTCAATGCAAGTGTTCGTCGATCTGAGCATATCTGCCGACAGCCAACTCGCCGGCAAAGACACCGGCCAAAACGGACAGGAAGTATCCAACATTCATCGTCATGACAGCCAACATGCTAGCACATAAGGTCAGTAGATGAGGTGAGGTGTCTGGAAGTTCAAACTTACAGTAGATACGAAATGCCAGCAATGATTGTGGTGAGACAAGCCCGAGGAACATCGACCGACAATCGAAAGGGAACGACGCTCCCGGACTTTGCAGCCACGACCTTGACATTCTCCTCGACGCCGTTCGCCGTGATCAAAGAGCCGGTCTTCGCGTCGGGATCTTGATCGATTCTCCCTGCTTCGGTCGCCCTGCCTCGAACCACAACATAGCGACGCGCCTGGGCGGCAATCAGCCACCGCTGCTCGCACACGGCTTTGGCTGCAAAGAGGAGCCGTAATAGCATGGCGAGGATGATGAGAAATATACATGTGCCTGCGTATGCACCGCTGGAGTTCGGGGTCCATGAGTCGGAGTATAGGGGTGTGTTGTGGGCGGTGGTAAAGATCATGGTCATGGATGACATTGTCGAGTCCGAGGACGACATGTCCATTCGTTCGTGTAGTGACATAATGAGGTGTGTTTATGTTCGTGTTTTTGGCTGTAGTATAGAGCGCGTTTGTATGTTGTTTCCCCTCCGCGCGTGGTTGAGAACGAGAGTCAAGGTTGGTAGCTTTCAGTGAGCGGTGACAATGTCTAGTGATGCTGAGATGCCGTGATAAAGAGGTCGAGTCTCGATGCATCTTTGAGCACCTTTGAGCATGTTGAGCAAGTTCTTGGCGAGCAAGTTTATCCTTTTTGATGGATCTCGGGAATTTTAGGTGCAGGGTTTCGACTCCTCTTTGTTCCTGTTGTGGTTAAATCCCGTTGAGGCCCCTGCATGTAATTCGGGGCTTGTCAGATGCCAGAATAACGATTGGACGCCGACTGTTTAATTCCCCAGTATCCTCTCCTGCGGCTCCCTCACCGCAAGCTGCCCGCGTCTCATGAGCACGTTTTGCGCGTCACCTATAATTATTTCTTGAGCAGGTATTATATCTCCTGGTCCCATAGCCATGGAAGAGACAACCAGTTGAGGCCGACTCTTTACAAATCGGTCACTTCCTCTCCCTCGACATATGTGCATGCGTGAACACGAAATTCCTGTGTGGAATTTTTATATATTATCTTGTGCGCTCTGATTAGGTCAATCCGCCACTCGCACCAGCAACGATGGCTTTCTACCGCCGCGACGACGACATGGACGGTCCAGATATGGGCGCCATGAATGCTATGGGTGTGCCTGGTTACTTCTACCTACAGAAGATCTTCTGGGTGGTCATTGGCTCAGTCATCGCCTTCTGCACACTATTAAACGTTCTCGACCATATCCTGCTTTGGCAACGACAGCGGAGTCTCAACGCGAGACCAAAGTCTTTTCTATGGACGTCCTACGCCACAGTGACCGCCATTGCGCGTGAGATTAACGCGGCTTCTCTGCCGACATATCAGCTTGGATGGCTCAAAATCCGCTCTCCGCCGCTGGGTCGGACGATCGTGGTACTATCATACCTTATTACGGTCTTGGTGTTTTGCTTTTACGGGTACGATACCATGGACGCATCGACCTGGGAAAATATCGCCTACCGATGCGGATGCATGGCCCAGACCCAGCTTCCTCTGATATTCCTGCTGGCCGGGAAACAGAATGTCATCGGTTTCCTGTCCGGCATTGGGTATGCGCGCCTGAACTGGCTGCATCGCTGGGTGGCGCGCATTCTATGGCTGACTGTCACTTTCCACATGGGATTCTGGTTCCGAAGCTGGGCTCAGATTGACGGCATCCTCTTCCAGTTGAGAACGGACGACATGACCCAAACAGGATTTGCCGGCTGGTGCATTCTGACTGCTGTCCTGCTCACTTCGGTCCTACCATTACGGCGACTGAACTACGAGGTCTTCCTCATCTTGCACCTGATCCTCTTCTCTGGATTTATTGGTTGTGTCATGATTCATGTCGACTACGGTCCAGGCTATGTCTGGGCTTGCGTCGGAATCTTCTTCTTCGACCGAGTGTTGCGATTTATTGTCGGACTCGTCGCCAATCTTTCTATTTTCCACCGACGCGTACCTGGAAGGAACTGGCTTTGGGCAAACAAAGCCAACCTCACACCTCTTCCAGGCAATGTGACTCGAATCACCATTGACAAGCCTGTTCTAAAATGGAAGCCTGGCCAGCATGTCTTCCTCTCGTGCCACGCTGTGGTCCCTCTTCAAAGTCACCCGTTCAGCATTGCATCATTGCCTTCTGACGACCAATTGGAATTTTTGGTTCAAGCCAAGAATGGAGGCACGAGCCGTTTCCATCGGTTCGCTTCCAAGAACCTAGGTCTCCCGATCCAAAAGAATCCTGGTACCGGCTCACAGAAGCTGGTTGGACTAGAAGGTCCGTACGGCAGAATTCGACCTCTGCGGCAATTTGACAGCATTTGTTTCCTGGCTGGCAGTACAGGTGCCACTTTCACAGTACCTCTGATGCGGGACATCGTTCAAAGGTGGAAAAGCGGATCACCCATCGTCACAAAGCGCATACGGTTCGTATGGGTTGTAAAAGCTCGGGATCGGGTCACTTGGTTCCAGAAACATTTGCAGACCGCCCTGGCAGACGTTGAAGCAATTCGACGTAACGATGGGCTTTTCGATGTCGACCTCGACCTCAGCATTTATGTTACCTGCGACGAAGAGTTGGAGGCCTCGAAGGCCAACGCTGTCTGCGAGCCACCAGCTCATGGTGACGCCGAAATAAGCACGGTACAAAATCCGGAGGTCGAAGACGAAAAGAAGAAGTTCGATGACAGGATAGAGGTTCAGTCAGTCGGATCAAATGAGAATGAAACCCGCGGGTGCGGACCAGATGGGACTTGTTGCTGTAAGAGCACTGTCGACGAAGAGGAAGAAGGAACGACATGCTGCTGCTGCGTACCCGGATCAAGTACTCCCTCATCTTCATCGGTCAGCGACAAGGACAAGCCAGCCGTACCTCTGCCACAGCTCAAGATGGTGGCGGGCCGACCGAATGCTCGCAATATCATCCGCAAAGTGCTGGAGGAGGCAGATGGCGAGAGTGCAGTGGTAGTTTGTGGTCCTCCAGGTCTTCGAGATGATGTGCGACGAAGCGTGGCTGCACTGAGTGATGAACGAGCTGTCCATAAGGGAAGTGGTGCTCAAGGAGTCTACCTGCATGTCGAGGGTTTTGGCTACTAAGAAAGTGCTTTTGAAATTAGCATGGCGAAAGGAGTTGATTGCAAATAACGATACCCATGCCCGCCCTTACGAATACTGGCTGCATGAAGCGGCGATATTGCCATAGCCACATATTATGAATATTCTTCATCAAGACAAAATCATGTTCAATGTGTACATAGACAGTATCTCAATTTCTCAGCTATCACACCATGTTGAGTATTCTGAAGACGACGGATTTACAAGCACTCGTCAGAGAGTTTGATCCACCAATCGGTCGATCATTTGTGCTCGTGTTTCGGCCGCAACTCAATCCAGATCTTCGTCTTTTTTTCATCTGGCATCTGGCGATCGACCAATCATTACACGTTATGCGCAGCGTCGGGGCAACATTCAAGTGACGTCCTCGATGTTTCAACACGGGAAGGTTTAGTTGAGACATCCATGGATATGGTCACGACGATCTCTCCGGACGAAAGTTGTCGCGCACATGTCGTCGATCCCAGCAAATGATCTGAGCAATCAAGAAGGCGACAAACTACAAAAGACGAGTGTATCCCTGGAAGTTGGGGACCAAATACCAAACGTAACAACAACAAACAGCACATCACTCCCAGGCTTGTCCCAATTACAGGAAGTCTTCGAACTCGGCACAGGTCTACTTCTACCCTACGCCTTTCAACCCCTGAAAGCTATCGAAACACATCTCCCTGGTCTCGCCAGCATGTGGCCCTTTGACATCACTTCATCCTTCAACCCGTCCAAGGACATTCCCGACCTGTCCGGCAAAGTCATTCTAGTGACAGGCGGCAACAATGGTCTCGGCAAAGAAACCATCCTCCAACTGGCCAAACACAATCCACACAAGATCTTCATGGCCTCACGAACAGAATCCAAGGCTCGCGACGCCATCGCCTCCATCAAATCGCAGATCTCGCAGGACGTGGACATCGAGTACCTCCAACTCGACCTCGCTTCCCTACCGTCAATCAAGAAGGCGGCCGATCAAGTCACCACACGCACCGACCGTCTCGATATCCTCGTTCTCAATGCCGGCATCATGGCCGTGCCTTCAGCCAAGACCGCCGCCGGACAAGAGATCCAGCTCGGTACCAACCATGTCGGCCACTTCCTCTTGACCAAACTCCTGCTCCCCACCCTGGATCACACGGCAAAGAAGTACAGCCCGGATGTGCGCATCATCTCCCTCTCGTCCGCAGCATGGCAAATGGCTCCCAACATCGATACCATCGTTTCCACGGAAAAACTCCTCGCTCAAAAGCCATGGACATGTTACGGAGCGTCCAAGGCCGCCAACGTAATGTTCGCGGCAGAGCTGGCGAGGCGATACCCGCAATTCACCAGCGTCTCGCTGCATCCCGGCATGATCAAGACTGACTTGTACACGCCCAACCTCGAGGTGAACCCACTCGTGAGGTACGGATCGTCGTTGATGGGCGGGCTGATTTTCCAGACTATCGAAGCTGGTGCGTTAAATCAGCTGTGGTTGGCGGCAGGTGCTAGGAAAGAGGAGATCAAGAACGGACAATTCTACACGCCTGTCGGCAAGGTCAACAATAACAAGTGGGCGACTAATGCTAAGGACGGAGAGAGGCTGTGGGAATGGACTGAGCAGGAATTGAAGAACGCTGGCTACTGATCGAAAATACCCTTGTGATCTTCTTGTCCCTTTTCCTCGACAGCATGGAGTTGGGAATTTTTTTTCGATATTGTGTCAGATAGAAAGTATATCATGTCTCCCATCTACTTCTTTTGCATCTCACTTTCATCCTTCAGAGCGGCCAAGACTTTACCTGAACATTGACCGAATCCAAATGGGAGAAGAGCTAGAGTATTGGCTGCTCTGCAGCATCACAAGTGTGGTCTGGAATGGATATGGCGTGCACTGACTTACTATTTGGAAAAGGTATGTGGAATACTCAACGCTACAGCCAACTTTGGTAGTTGCAGGTATAGATATATGATGAGGTAAATAAAACCTGTACAAATACCGTATGTGGTGTCCTGCTTGCATAAGCCCATACTCCTCAGCCTATGCCAGCTGTGCAAGGGGGATGGTGCAGAAGTCCGCTTTCTAAGCTCACAGCAGCACCCAAAAAAGATTAATCAACATTCAATGTTTTCTATATATTCACGCCAGCTCCAGCATCACTCGATATATTCAGGTTCAAAATATAAAAACTCCAGATTACCTTCACACATCGACAAGGGGGTACCTTCTCAAAGCCGCAAGCTGAACGGCAGCCCGAGCCATCACTACTTTCAAGCTACCCCTGTCACAATCATCGTCAGCCTCGTCACCCGACAGCAGCACCGGTAACTAGCACCAGCACCACCCTCACCATGGGATCAACAACATCACCCTCCGACAAGATCATCCTAGTGACCGGCATAAACGGCTACATAGCCTCACATATCGGCCTAATCCTCCTCCAAAAAGGCTATATTGTCAGGGGAACATCACGCTCAGAATCCGCCCACGCCCACCTCATCTCCGGCGCCTTCAAATCTTTTGCGGACAGATACCAACACGCTGTCGTCCCCGACATCACCGCACCCGGAGCCTTCGACGACGCCGTGCGCTCTGTCCACGCCATAATCCACACAGCATCACCCGTGGACTTCACACTCACCAGCGTCGAAGCCTTCATCCGCCCTGCCGTCGACGGCACACTAAGTATCCTCAACAGTGCGCTGGTTCACGCCGGTCCCCAACTGGCAAGTGTGGTAGTGACATCCTCCGTCGCCGCCGTCGTGGATAAATGGCGCCAACCACCGACCCACGCATACTCCGAGGCCGATTGGAATATATCAGGCGAAAGCGTCGTGCGAGAAACGTTCACCGCGCCCGTAGCTTACGGCGCGAGCAAAGCCGCGGCCGAGGGTGCGCTATGGGACTTCGTGGCCACGCATGAACCCGCTCAGCGCTGGTCCGTATCAGCAGTCAACCCCGGGGTAGTGACAGGTCCGCCTGTCTCGTTTCCCGAAACCCCCGAGAAGCTCAACGAGACACTCGCGCCCATATGGCGGGTGTATAGCGGCAGCCAGGAAATGCCGCCTCAGATCGGTGGCGCAAGTTACATCGATGTCCGTGACGTGGCGGATATGCATATATGGTGCGTCGAACATCCTGATCAGGCGAATGGTCAGCGCTACCTCATGACAAACGGCAAGGCTCCGCCACAGGCTGCTGCGGATTTTTTGCGAGAGAAGTTTCCGGACCGGGATATCGTTGAGGGGACGCCCGGACTGGGATACAGAAAGGACGACTATTGGTTTGTCGAGGGCGAGCCGAGTCTCGTTGCGAATAAGGCGTATAAGGCTCTGGGGGTGGAGAGGTTCATCAGGTATGATAAGTCGATCCTGGATACTGTTGAGGCTTTTGAGAGACGATGGCCCGGGTATGCGAAGAACTTGAAGCGGTGATGATCTGCACTGCACGGGCATGTGTCTCGGATATGGGATGTTCGACTTAGATGGCATGAATAGATGATACAATATTTCATAGATAGGACAGAGCTTCCTGGGTCACCGAATAAGGAGGAAAAGTCTTCAAGAACGATGCAATGCTCATGTTGATGACTGTACAGTGAAAGGAACTCCCGCTTGTATCGCTAATCTAAACAGTAAACATTTTTTCCCCATGAACATGTAGATGAACGCCAGCTCCTGAATGCATTTTTGGATTCCATGTTGTCCGCACCTAATGGACTCCCTTTTCAGCATCAGCCTCAAGGGAAGTCTTCCTAGCCTTCTTCTCCGCGATGTTGACTTGTCTTACTCTCTCCTGTTCTTCAAGACCAGTCACTGCCTTTTCATGCTGCCTGCTCAACTCCTTCCTTGTAATGAACATGCTGATGAAGATGCCAAACGCTGCAAACGCCGTGTAAAAGATCCACATTTTCTGTAGACTCGAGGTATATGCAAGGTTGATAGCCTGCCTTTTCGCCCCTGTAAGCGTCCGAACAATGGAAGTGGTGGCGCCGAAGCTGGAGCTGGTCAGTTCGCCCGCCAGCTTAGCTCCAAGTACCTCCCGAAGTGCTGCATTCTTCTTGGCAAGCTCATTATTGAAAACCACACCACCTAGAACCACAGAGATCGAGGTTGCCAAATTCCGCACAAAGCCAAAAGTGGCGGTTGCTACCGCAATATCGTGACCTTGGACGTGACTTTGCAGCGCAATCAGTGGGCTCTGGAAATTGGGCCCAACTCCTATGCCGGCTATGATCTGGAAGATGATGATCTTGGCCCAATTCGGGTAGGGGTCCAGGTCAATGAAGAGACCGTACCCAAGAGTCATCAAGATCAAGCCAAACCAGATGGGTGGTCGGAAACGACCCGTCTTCTTGATAAATATGCCTGCTGTCGCTGAAGTGAAGGACAAACTGAGGACCAGTGGGAACAGGTAGACACCACTGAGAAGAGGTGTGGCGCCAATGACCGTCTGGAAATAGATGGGTAGATAGTAGCTGCTGGCAATAAAGACGAAGCCATGGATGAAACAGACTCCCAGCGAGGCGAGATTCGATGGGTCCTTGAAGAGTCGTAGAGGGATGACGGGGTATTTGGCGACCTTCCACTCAATGATGAAGAACAAAACGATGGTGGCGACTCCAAAGATGATGAGGCAAAGCGTGTATGCACTGTCCCAGGGATGATCAGTACCACCAGATTCCATGCCGAACAGGAACATGACAACTCCGCCAATGATCGCGAGGACACCGAGCCAGTCAATTGCTTTGACGCCGGCCCAGAAAGGAGTCTTGGGTGTTTCGAGCTTGAGGAAGAAGGTGAGGAGGACCAACGAGAGACCGTCCAGTGGCAGATTGATGTAGAAGCACCACCGCCAGGAGACACCCTCCGTAAAACCGCCTCCAATGACAGGACCGACGCCTGAGGCAATAGCCCAGACCATGCCTAGAATGCCGTACCACTTTGGACGGTCTCTCATGCTGAAAAGATCGGCCACACAAATGTTAACAAGGATGACCAGGCCACCACCTCCGATGCCCTGAATGACTCGTCCGCCAATAAGCATTCCAATGGTCACGCTGACGGCTGCAATCAGGCTTCCAACCATAAAGATGACGTTTGCAAGTATGATCATGGGCTTCCGACCCCATATGTCGGAAAGCTTTCCCCAGAGAGGGACACTGGCAGCGTTTGCGAGGAGGTAAGCGCTACCGACCCAAGTGTAGCCTGAGGTACTGGCATGAAAATGGGCGGCAATGGTGGGTAAAGCGGTCGTGATGATGGTGACATCGAGAGCGGCAAGGAACAGAGCCATGCAGAGTGAGAACATGATGATGGCGATTCTTCCTTTGGAAAATTGATCCGCTCTGGACTCCTGCTTGGTCAAGTCATTTTTGGAAGGCTGCTCAATCGGCATGTCTGCAGAGGCTTCATCTGCTTGAGTCTCTAAAGTGTCAGTGCTGGAAATTGTTGGCCTGTGTTCGATTTCGGGTTCTGCTTGAGCAGCGACAGGGTTGGCAGGGACGGCGTCTTCGCCCTGCAGACCTTCTCCCGCCGCTTCGAGTGTGCGTTCGGCTTCGTTCGTCATTATGTGAATGTGAAAGTGAGGCTCGATATATTGGGCGTAGGATTTCTTTGGTCTTCGATGCCCAGTTGCCAAATACAATTCGAGGCTCTGCGTTGCCTGATATCCAGAAGGTTGACTTGACTGCAGTGTCGTTATAATGAGGAATCTCCGAGAGAAGCAACAAAAAACTCAAAGCCCGAGCGTTTGAATTTGTTTTGGGTGGCCAACCGCTACTGAAAGGATGGTTTGCCTCCTGCCCAATCTTGAAAAGAAAGATTCTATAGATGCCGTCGAAGAAAACGAATGCGACAAAGGCAACTATGAAATAAGAGACATGAAAAAATGCGTTATGAGTCAAAACGATGTCGTAAAGACTAGTAATAGTCGGTTGGCGGCTGGGGATGAAGCCGGTGCAGCAAACAAAAGACGATATTTTGATGTACGAAGCAGAGAATGTGCAAGCTTTTGGAGTAGCGAATCGATGACGCGCAGGAAGTCGTGATCAACTGCTCTAGGCACTTCTAGGTAATCATTTCAGTGTGTTCTGGGTACTCCGCATCTCCAGTTGTCGCTAGCCGTCATATGCATCCAATCACGAATGTAAGTGCGTAGATATATCGTACAAGCGAGCGAAGGTGTATTTCCTTTGACATCGTACTTCGGTTCTATTAGTCGTTTGGGAACCGTCCACTCATCAACACCACAAAGTTCCGGCTTCATCTCACGCCGGGGCCGTGTCACGTGTAGCATCACGTGGCCTTCATAGGCATCGATGGATAGAGATTTTGATGAAGAGATGCTGATACCATCATTGTTCTGAATTGTTGGGTATCGATCCTCCAACAACATACGAGATTTGAACTACAGGTATATCATCCATGCCATGCTACCCTGCTGCCACCTCATATACACGTTTGCGAAAGGCCTCGGAAATGTCAACGCTATCAGACGTGTACCCCCGTGTTTCTGTCAATGTTTCAGCAACACTCTGTGCGATCAGTAATCAACTCCCAATGATGCCATGAAAGAAAAAAGGCCGTGTCACTTTCATCCGCAGAATAACAACAAAAGAGACCCCGTTGTATCAGGTCAACTGCTAATTCAAAGCCTGGCCACAATTCAGACAACTCATCTTCATCTGCCAGATTTTTGGTTCGAACCCAGCCGACGATTTGCTGCTCGACGTCGCAACGTACTGAGTCACCGTCGCATAATGTGTATCGTCTTCTCCTTCTCTTTGCACCTTGTTGATTTTGCCCTCCAGCTTGCCCGTCCACGGCTTCTTGCCGCCAGACGATGCTTTGAGCTTCTTGTTGCCCTTGCTTACGGCCACCGTCTCCAAAGGGGCTTTTGTTGCGTGGACACCATCTGCTCCAAACCTGTGGACGACATTTGCTATAGTCTCTCCCATTTTCTGAACCAGACCTTTCGACTCGTCCTTCTCTTGTACCTCGTTGGTAAGTGCACCCTTTTTGAACTTCTCCCAGGCTCGTTCTTCGATGGCCTTGGTCAGACATGCTTCATGATTCCACATGCCACATCCAACTGTATGACACTGGTACATATCCACATTCGGGTTGTCGTAGCCGCCACATATGCAAAACGTCCTAAGCTTGCTCAGTGCCGTGTTCGGATCAGCCGATAGTTTCGTCAGGTCCAGCGTTTGTCGCCAGTACCGCTCCTGGAGAACCGTCTTATTCGAGTCGTCATTCTCATCCCATTGACTGATTTCGGCATGACTGGCAATCGTCTGCGCTTCAATAATATCCACATGGTTGCTCAAAACTAGCTCCCGTTTTCCGTGATAGGGCTGTCGGCCCATGGGTAATTCTTCAGGCCAGTATAGCCAGAATACTCGGACGTAAACCTTTTCCTGGTTTTCTGCTCTGAATTCTGTGATCAATCCGACCCAGAGATTCTCCTTGTCATATTGTAACTTCTCGTCTTCGGTTGCGTCAGCCGGAGGAGACGGAGGTATGGGGTTGTGGCGGTTAACATAAACAATTTGGCCGGCCGAGTATACCACGACGAAGGGGTCCTTGACTGTAGAAGACATATCGGTCAGAGAGCGCATCAAGTCGTTTTCCCAGTAGACTCACATTTAGCATTTTTGAATTTCCCTAGCTTGGCCCATTTCGACCCGGGTCTCACTGCATAGTTGATCTTAAGTTGCGGTGCCAACGATGGAGCGTCCTGGCTAATATGGACGTCGTCGACCGCAGACGCTCTGTGTTTGCCGGCCTTGACGCGCTTAGGACGGTACGGACAATCAATGAAAAAATCCGAGCTGACTTCTGCTTCAATGGTTTCGGGAACGTCGCGCTCGCCCTCGCTAGTCCTTGATTGTTTACTCGGTCCGGCCTCATCTTCCATTTCACTGGCGCTGCGTTTGCGCCCGTTTGTATGCGACTGTTCGCCTTGCTCTTCGTTGTCACTTTCGCGAGGGGTTAACGGCATGTTTGACGGGTATGAATCTGCCGTAGCTGCCGCCGACGCCATCGGTTCGCGTCGAATCTTCTGCGCGCGCGCTAATTAGAGGAACGCGACACTCGAGACGGTTTGGAAGGACATCCGCAGGTGAAGGTCGAAAATTTCGCAACGCGACGGGAACTCGCCGTAGTGTGATCAGACGAAGAGAGCAGATAAGGTTGACGTCGCGTTGCCTGCGATTCGGATTGACCCTGGCCTTATGATAACAAGTACAAAAGTAGCCTTTCGAATATGGAGCGAGAAAGACAACGACGATATGGACAAGTTCAAATGAAGCAACGATGACGATGATCAACAAGAGCAAACTCTGAAACTCGGCGTGGAGGGTTTGTGTCGAACAACGGTGGCTGCTAAGCACTTAGTGAGCAGTGAGGTGCAGCCGGCAAAGCGGCTGGTGTCGAGAAATATGGGAAATGATGACTTGATAGGTGCCGCGGTGCCACCTCTTTTCCAAACAGCCCCTCCCGGAAAGTCCGCATGCTCGGTTAGCTTAGGCAAGGCCCGACCGACCACTCCACGCCTGAAGAGAAGGTTCCATGCTTTGCTTTCCACTTTGTCTGCAGCCTGCAGCATTTGTTATTCTGATAACTTCGTAGCCATACAGTATGTTACTGAGAGCAATGCGATAGGCATAGTGTTACGAGCCTCCAGTGATGCTGGAATCTATCATCCAACCAACATGTTCCATCAGTACGATATCTGCTCTCAAGCCGATCCCTGGCAGAACAGCAGAGCACGGCCTCTATTTCCATCATGCACCTCGGTATCGTGGGTATCGTTCGTGAATGCGTCATATATCACCGCGGACCAGCATCGGGCCAGCTCTTCATTTGTCTTTATGAAAGATGTTCTTCAGCTTATCTCCTAACCCTTCATGTTCCTTGTCATTGGAAATGTGTATATGCGCTTCATTCCCTGCTCCACCTCGTCCAACGTGGTGTGACTCTTGTTTGTCGAGTCTCACGGCAGTCTGAGGAATGATCTCAGCGTCGTTCGGTATCTTGCTGGGTGCCTCTCCGTCCGTGTCAATGTTGCCGACACCACCCCGTCCTGCCGAATATGGGCCATCTCCCTGATTGCCTACGGCTCCTTCACGGACAATCTCGCCATCGGTGTAGGCGACGTGCTCGGACTCCGGACCAATGTTCGCGGCGCCTAGCAACAGTGAGCTTGAGTTTGTGTAAAAGATTGAGTCAAGGTCTCACCACCGCGCCCATGCGATACGTTGCCGGACATGTTGTTCTTGAGAGCAGGCGGACCTGTAGGGATTGCGCTTTGAAACTGTCTATGCTATCACAGAGTTACGAACGGAGGAGCAGTGTGCGGAACGAGTAGAGGAGTAAGTGTTAGGTTACTTGATATGGAACAAATACCCGGGCAGGACCAAGAAATTCCAATGCCCTAAGACTAGACTACCTAGGCATTACAAGTACAATCGACAAAAAAGCACATCATATCAGAAGAAACCGACGAGGCCGACCATGAGCCATGGCATAATTCCATCACCATGATGACGTGGGATTGGCTCACGAAACGACTTACGTCTGCCAAGCCAGCCATCATATCAGACAAGCGATACTGGTAGGAGAAATACCTCGGGCAAGACAGGAAGACAGGAATAGCGATTTGCAGAGTAGAGAAACGAATTACTCCATTGGGCATATCTTGTACTGTTCATCATCCATCAGGCTGTGTGACCCGAAACCAATCATTAAGTTGGCTTCCGTCGTCAAGCCTCCCCCTAATCCAGGTACCAATTCAGCTGCGACAACCAATTTGTACCATAAATCTAGATCTTTGCCGTCTTCTTCTCTTCGCCACCACCTGTGGTTGGCAAGCCCATGAAGAGCTTGAACGAGTCGTAAATCATCCATTGCAGTCCAGTCAAGGTACCAATCATAACCTAAAGAGACATGCTGTTAGTGGGCTGTATTGGGCCGATAGATGTTGCTGACTCACAATTCTGACGGGCAAACCGTTCCACAGACCCCCAAAGCCGATCTTGGAATAGATACGGCTCAGGGCTCCGCCAAAGCTCTCACCCGGAGCACGCTCAGCGTTCAACTTGCTAACCATGACATCGGCCGGGTGGGAAACAATGGCGCAGAGAATACCAGCCAGATAACCACCAGTGAAGGCAACCGCAGTCTGAGCTCCCTTGTTGTAGTCGGACTTCTGACCTGGAAGATAGTTGTAGATGGCGGCGACAATGTTTTCGAAAGAGGCAAACTTCATCATGGTGTAGGGGATTTGTCGAGCCCAGAGAGGATAGAGACCCTTGTACAAGCTACTCGTCATAAGCATACGCCAAATCCCAACGAAGGCTCGGAAAAACTTACCCGCCCACACCTTCTTTGCTCGTGATGGATGAGATCCCTTGCAAGGTGCCGGTGAAAGTGGGTGGGATGGTAGTCTGCATCCTGACCTTGACAGCCTCAAATGGGCATAAACCGATATCGGCGATGAGCTCGGCAGATGCAGAGGCCGCCAAAAAGAGCACCGTCTTGTACCTGGTGGCATTTTCCTCGCCAGCAAGTTCACTGTAAAGGTGCTTGAAGTATTCATAAAACCCGTACTTGCCGGCGCCCTGGACCGAGTAGCCAACAAATGTAGGACCCCAGCCAGTGAAGATGCCGCGAACGCCCTCGGCACTGCCAATCTTTCTCCAAGCCTCAAAGTTGCCCTTGTAAAGGTTCGAGTTGACTTGACGACGACATTTGACCAAGTCGAGAGGTGTAACGGCTGTGTGAGTGGTGCCCTGCTCTTGGATTAGCTGCTGAAGCCCGCGCGAGGACTACATTGCGGACGTACGCAAGCTAGGATACCTCCCACGGTACACGCAGCATAATACTTGGCGGAGTAGAGCTCGATGCCTCCAACTTTGGCCTGAGCCTTCTCGCTGGCCCGGGCATACTCGTTCTGAGCAGCCTCACTCAGTTCCTTGGCCGAATCCGCAGCACTCCAGGCGGTGAAGACTGCGCGATCTTGACGTGGTTTGGTTGCGGGATCAGGGGGCTTGTAGTATGGAGATGTAGGAGTAAAGGCCTGGCACAGGACCGACGAGCTTGGGAAGAGTCCAACCATGGTGCTGGTGCGTGTTAGCTTATCTCCGGGCGTTGCAATGGACTGATAGGAAGCGTAAACCGCAGAGAGCTTCTCGGAATGCACGGAATTGATTACCTCAAGTCGTTATAGATGACTGTACTGCAGCAGGCGGAGTGGCCGCGAAACAAAGTAAGGGACGTTGGGTTATGACGATAAAGGAGGGAGGTGTGGTAGTTGGTAGATGCAGGATGCTACGGACTTACAGACAGGGTGCTCGTAGTAGGCATTGGCAAGCCGACGCGAGGGACCATGTTTCGTCACAGCCCAGCCGTGCCAGCTAAAAGCTCACACCCACTCGTTGGAGATCGCCGACAGCTACCCTAGCACCTAAACCATAAGTGCCTCCGCATCGATCAGATGCATGTGCACGTCACTCCTCACGCCCAAAAACAATCCACTGACACATCATTCCTGGACTTCACTGTCGTATCCGAACCGCGTCTGTTTAGGTGCGTCAAAGATTGCTTCTTATTGCTTCTTGTACCTTGGTATTTAAGACCCTCGAGTAACTGCCAGTGTTCCTGTCGACTTGCTACACTCGACAATAGCCATCATGAGCCATCTCGAGCAAGGCGTGCCTTTGGGTCAAACTATTGTGCCGCAGGCCTATGGACTCCCTCCGGACGAAGACGAACACGCTGCAAAACTGTCTGCTTGGGCAAACAAATATCGCGGTGCTACTGTGGCGGACTTGGACTTACCTCCTGCACTGTCTACCTCTCCCAGCACCTCCCTCTCTTCCGCCATGCTGTCAGCATCGTCGCACGACTACTCACATTTGACTGTCCTGTCTGAAGAGACACGGTCTTTGCTGGGTTACCTACCAATTGCCAAGTTGAAAAAGCTGTTCGAGTCCAACGAAATATCCCCTGACGATCCCGTCTCTAAGGCAATGATGTCATTCCAAAGAGGAGGAGGAAGGAAATATAAAGTCATCACAATGGAGACCGAGTTGTGGGAACTTGAAGGCTTCTTTGACAATGTTGGACCACTTGCAACTGGTGCGACCCAAGATTTCGCTGTGGTCACGGATGGAAGTCGCAAATTTGTACTCGGCATCTGCACCCGGGACGATCTGGAAACATTTGTCAAGAGACGCCCAGCTTAGGACTTGTTATCAAGCCGGCTTCCATGGTCCAACCTTAACTTCACACTATGAATAGTGTCCTCCCTCCACGACTACCGCCGAAAGTGTGACTGCTTGTATCAACAATATCTATCTCACCCCCTTGCAAAGAATCAAGCAGTGCGAAGCAGCGATTACTAGAGGTGAAAAGGACCTTGAATGTCTTGCTCGGATCGTCGACATGGTTTCTCAGCACCTTGACCAATTGCTCAACTTCGAACCCTCTTTCGGCCTCGAACTCTTCAACACCGTCGATAACACACAGCATTAATGGTGGCATCAGGGTGAGCACCTTGCTGAATACATGCAAGGCTCCCTCCCAGCTTGTCCCATCGAGATTTCCGAAGTCTGCATAGATACTGATTCCTGTTTGGTTGCCCGTCGCAGGTATTAGATCCAGAAGTTGATACGTCAAGGAATATATCAATCCCACAAGAGGATTGTTGTCGCGAAGATTCTCTTCCGTCTCTTGGGAGGAATTTTGTCGGCAGAAAAATGAGATGATGGGCGCTCTCAGTGCATCGGCCGACAATACCAACCGATTGGCGACCAAAGATATCTCTGGAACATTACCCAACATTGAGGAGTATTCCAGATAGAGCATGGTGGAGCTGGTTGCTTCCAGAAAATTACCCAGGGCAATCACGACTCGTTCGTGTGTCGTCTGTGGAAGGAGTTCTGCTGGCTCATCCAAAGTTCGACCGCCTTCCGAGACGTAGACAAGCAATTTTTCAACCTGACTTCGCATTTGCAAGATACGTTGTTCTGGCCCTCCTTTCTGGAAGGCTTGACTTTTGTCGGTGCCAGAGTTACTTTCATATGCCAGGAGGTTACGTTGCACATACAACAACTGCTTCCCATTTTCGTCCATGAACTGGTCGTGGATATCAGTCCGAACATTTTCTTGAAGAAGGTTCTTGCCAGAATCGGCAATAGCTTTGAATGAGGCCTGGGTATCCTGCACTTGCTGATAGAGGGCCGCGAGGATTTGCCGTCGTGTCTCTTCATGATTCAATCTGTTTTGCTCCTCGAGCCTTCTGGCCTGAGCCGCGAATTGATCAACTAAAGACTGGGCAATCGCTCTCATCTCGCCCGATAAACCTGCTCGTTGGTCTTCAATGTCCCGTCGAAGGTCTTCCACGGTAAGTCTGGTGTACCTGCCCTCGGCAGCCGCCGCGATGTCCGAGGTCCTGCCAACAGCTTCAGATAGGCGCTGTACATTCTCCAGAGCACTAGCAAACTGCTTGTGGAAGCCGTCATGCATTGAGTTGCGGAATTTGGCGAGGCTGTTGGAGCTGTACCATACTGCGACGTCACCAAGTAAAAGGAAGACAGCAGTATAGAATTTTGCCACGGCTCGCTGGACAGCTTCACCTGGGAACAGTCTGGACTCGCTTTCGACCATGGAGGCCGATTCGTTGATGACCTCCATCACGGTGGCCAATTCTTCGACAGTGTCAGTGTGCTGAACGGAGGCCTACATCTCGACTTAGCCATGTAATGCAAATCTGCAACATTCGGCTGAGAAGTGCGCACTTACATTCACCAACACAGATGCTGCCCAGCATATCACCGACGTATACTCACTAGCCGATGGTATGAAGCTGAACAGATTCGAGTGGACTCTGAATTTTCCTGGCGGCATGCGTCAGCTTGGAAGATTCAGAAAGAATCATCTCGAGTGAAGTACCCATGATTTTGTGGAAGGTCCGTTGCACCTGTGCCATCATCAGCCCTCGACACGTGAGAAGTCATAGAAAGCTGGCTGTCACATACCGACCCTCCATGAAGTCTCTTCTTACTCTCCCATTTGACCTTTGCATCGTCCACCGCTTTCTGGAAGTCTTGAAACGTCCATACCTTGTTGGGATCATTGGGAGCGAGCTGCTGCAGCGCCTTGGCCAGTTGCGTCTTCTCATTCCCAAGGAATTGAACCTCAAGGCTATAATAGTGGTTGGTATAAATAGTTCGGAGCGGTTGTCTCGGTCCGTGCCGGCCTCAATATTGCTTACCTTGTCGTCCCTGTGCCAGCGAAATAGCCCTGAAGCTCAAGCTTCTCTTGTGCTTTTTGCCTCTGTGCATCGTCCACCAAAGAAGTCATCAGAATTGTCGGGTCGGCAGTCCCAGCACTTTGCAAGGCGAAGTCCTGCACGACGCAGGCACTCAAGGCTGCTGATGCTTGATCGTCGGTCGAATTAGGCGCCATGTCCTGTCATGCTGAAATGCAGCAAAAGTTGCCCATGTCAAATGTCCATCAAGCCATCAGCTTTGCACAGCAGGCCTCTTTCGATGTTGAGGAAGCGTTGCAATTCGACTGAAATATGAAGGGACGGTCTATAGCCTTGGACATGCGGCTGAAGCTTCATCCTGCTTGGAGTGTCTGTTCGTGATGCCATTGAGGCTGTTGGCCCCAAAGTCTGCATTCGGTGAAACTCCTAACGTCAACTTCGCCAATTAGTTGAGGTTTCAGGTCGACCTGAACGAATGAGCATCGCCTACTGTACGAGAATAGGGCACCAGGAGCAAGGCAGTGCTATCTACTGGTCCTGAATTGCCAGGGTTGGCGGGGTTGGTCGCCTGATGCCGCCCGCATCGTGGCGCGCCGCGCAAGTGGGCAGGTAGTGTGTCATCCGTCTCCAGTATGCTGCCTCCCAGACACTTGAGTAAACCTCAATCGACTCTGCTCTCATTGAGGGTTGTCCCTCTTGCAAAGACTGTCCTGTTGACCTTTAGCAGGGACAGACTCTTGTAAGCTTTGTTGGAGCCCTAACCTGATCCATTGTTTTGAGCGAAGGGGACCTCATCCACAGGCGTCCTCTTCGGACTTTTGTTTTTGCTTTTATGGTGCAAGGCAAACATGGCTACACCGTCCACTGAGCCTCATATGGACTCCGAACTTGGAGAAGCGAATGTTGCTGCCGACGAACAAATACATACACAAGTAACGGCGGACCCCAGCAGCAAGCAGAATGACTTTGCTCGGCTATCAAGGGCAAAGCGTAAGAAGCGCAAACAGCAGCAATTTAGGAAAGCCTTGGCAGAAATGATGGCCAGCTTTCAAACCGTTTTCGAAGACTCCGATGCGGACATATCTGATCTGGACGACCCACACGCCGAAGGAGAAGAACTCGTTGACGATACATATACACCAGGAAGTGACGACCCAGCCTCACCAAAGCGCCAGGCGCGGCGCACCGATCTTTACACCGAAGGACGTAAGTTGCACGGCAATTCGTACAACGGAGCACCGCGCCGTCGTAGCATTGAAAACGACGAAACGATCGAGACGGGCGAAAACCTGCACCACGTCCTTGGGAGGAAGGGCACTATGATCGAAGAGGTCAAACCTAGCGCCATTCAGTACGAGACAGAGCTTTACGAATACCAAAGGGTACCTGATGGGGATGCTGATGAGGCCGTTGTTGTGGATATCACTTCCTCGTTAGCACCGCGAAAGGTCACCAGACTTGGGGCACGCTCAGGTACCGATAGCTCAAACCGACACCAGTACTGCTTCAAAGTCGTGCACATGTTCTCGGTGCCTTACTCGAACAGACGAGGACGCTCGACCAATCTGAGATCCCCAAGACGAGCCAGATCGCGCAGTGTCGATTCGGTGGGTGAAGAATACCGCACGGCACATAAAAGAGATTACTCCAGGGGTCGTCCTGCGGATTCCGTCAAAGTCACAGCTGGATTGGGGAATTATCTGGTCATTTATTCCGATGTAATCATGTCCGCTATCAGAAGCAGTGTCAAGTCATACCCAGGACTATCACGGTAAGTGGTCCTTTCCCCCGGATTCGTGCCAGAGCCATAATCCTTACCTTTCCTCGCCTTGCTGCCATACTGAGTCTACGAATGCAGAGCGTTCGAACACATGATTATTCCAGCACCTTACACGCTTTTGGTGCATTACCGTAAGGAGTTGCAAGAACACAGTGACTGTCTCCCTGAAGAGACAATATCCGCTCAATCCGGGATGCCCGCACTTGCCGACAATCAGGAAGGCGGAGATGAAGATGAGGAGGATCGAAAGGTGAAGAAAGTGCCGGTCCTACCTCGCAAGGAACACATCCCACTGCTACTAAACTACGTTTTCACACCTGAACTGACCTCACAGGTGGAAGATGAGCTGTCCCGAAGAGGGAAACCCGTGCCAACGTGTACATATGCAATGGCATGGCTGCTATTCCGCCCTGGAACAATGGTGTATGCGTGGGGAGCTGGTGGCCTTGACTCGGCCTACATCGTCGACTATTATGATCTGGAAGGACTCTACGCAAGAAAAGACAATAGGGTTCGCACCGGAAAAGCAGCTGGCGGACTTGCCGATCCACTAGTACCCCCAACTGTTCCACGAGGGGAGTCGGCTGAATTCAGCCCAGTACCAAAGTCGATCATTGTCAAGATGCACTACCTTGAGTTCGATGGCGAGCATGTCGGTCGCAGACCCCGGACGGTGACTATAGCCCCTTTCGAAGGAGAGAAAGAGATCGCCTCACTACCTGTATATCCTGCGGAATTTGCCCGAGATCCCAAAGTTCGCGAATATCTGGTCGCAAGAGGAGACAAGTACATCAAGCTCTGTCAGCCAAGCTACATGTCCTACAAAGGGGATACAATCGCGACGGTATCGACTCCTTCCCGGAAGGTGAGAATATCCACTCCTGCCATGCCCGCGAATACCGCCACAATCCCGCCAGCTTTCCAATAGCAAAGACTATCCTCAGCCAGTATTGTGGGGGCTAACTTCCTCTTAGATCAATGGGCGGGTGATGATCGACTCACGAACGTTCTACAATGACGGAGAATCAGCAGACCGCATCTTGAGACTTAAAGTGCCCACTGAGGACGGCATTATCATCTCAGACAGCTCAACAGGCAGTGATTCCAGCGCAATCTCGGACTCGCGCTATCACAATCGCAGGCGAAGGAGAAATTACCGGAGAAGGATTCGAGACTTCAAGAAGGGCGCCGCTCGTGTCAGAGGCATGGCGGACTACGATCTCGTCGAACCCAGCAAAATCCAATTCACCAATGAGCAATACATGCTATTCCCTGCCAGGATCTGGGGGTTTGTGCTAAGGGAGCGGCGATGGTGTATGTTCATAATTGTGCGAGGTCCGTTGCTGTCGACTAACTTGGAGACAGACCTGCTCAATATCGACAACGTGAAGGATCCACACTTTCAGGAGAATATCATTGACGACCTGGTACTGAAAGAGGAGGCGAAGAATCTCATTCAAGCTCTCTCGAACACTGCAACGGAAGACACGACTACTGAGGGTCAAAGCGAAAGTTTTGGTCACTGGAGCGCAGACATCGTGCAGAACAAAGGCGAGGGCCGTATCTTTCTGCTCCATGGAAGGCCGGGTGTTGGTAAGTTTGAGTTCGCCGAAATCCAGCTCGAAAAGGTCTAGTAACAGCTTTTTAGGCAAGACATCTACGGCAGAATGTGTCGCTGAATCCGCCCAAGTGCCGCTACTTGCTATCACCTGCGGCGATCTAGGCATCGAACCCAACGAAGTTGAACGAGCATTGATGAAGTGGTTCAAGCTGGCGACACTGTGGAAAGCCGTGCTCCTTCTCGACGAAGCGGACGTGTACCTCGAGTCCCGCATGAGCGGCGACCTGGCGCGCAATAGCTTGGTGTCCATTTTCCTGCGAGCGCTGGAATACTACCAAGGCGTTTTGTTCCTGACGACCAATCGAGTCGGCACATTTGACGAAGCCATGCTCTCCCGTATTCATGTCGTGTTGCACTACCCTGCCTTCGACGACTCCGAGAGACAGACGATCTGGAACACATCCTTTCGGAAACTCAGCGAGGAGAGGCCCGATGTCAAGGTCGGACCGGGCCTGATGGAATATGCACTGGAGAATCAACGCGTACTTGATCTCAAATGGAATGGGCGCGAGATTCGGAATGCATTCAACACGATCGTTGCGCTGGCCGAGTTCGATGCTGAGAAGAAGAGGCGTGCTGGACGGGCGACGGCACAAATCGTGCTTGAGCGGAGTCATCTTGTGCAGGTTGTCAAGATGAGTGAGGAGTTCAAGAAGTATATGAAGAGTACGAGGGGTTTGGATGAGAGCGCATTGGCGAAGGCGTTGAAGATCAGGGATGATAGGGACGCGCAGAAGATCATGCAGGCTGTTAAATCGTGATCGGATTGAGAGCAGATTCTGAGCAGCTATGGAAGGGGTATGCGTATATATAATTGTTGTACGCCCAGTGGGGACTGGCCTGGGACCGGCAGCTGTGGCAGCGGCCGATCTCAAAACGCCAGCTGTGGGATCTCCTTGTCAGGTTTCAGCATCTTAGGGACGGTGGGACCGGCTTTACAGTCGTCGCTATGACTGAGAGCTTGGGATGCTGTTGGACCTGGTGCTGTACTTGCGGCCAGTGAAGAACAGGCTGCTCTTTGGCCGGCTGCTGAATGAGAGGCTGCACCGCTGTCATCTGAGGTTGTTGACTGGCATAGACCGCAGCAGCAACCCCTTCGGGGGAGGCAGATTCCCTTCGCCGTCCTAGCGAGGACGCTCTGGACACACGTCGCCGTGAGAAGAATGAGGAGGCCGACAGCCTCATCATCCCCTGGCTGGCGCTTCCGGGAAGATTGCTCCTGGGAGTGTTATCGTCCGCTTGTCTCCTATCGAGAGCGGCTTCTCTGATATGTGACTTGCCGAGTAGAATGAACGGCCCATGGTTGCCGGGGGCGGAGTTCCAGGATGACCCTTTGCTGGCTGTACTTCCGGGTGATGAGGTTGGCATGGTTCCCTCCCTCATATGGCGTAATTCGGAGTCTATCTCGTAATTCTTGGCTCTGAGGATCGGTGGAGATACCTTTCGAAGGAAGGGATGTCCATGTTGTTCATATTGGTTTGTAGAGAAGTGGTGATGTCTCTGGTTGGTTCATGTACTGACCGCGGAAACGGGCATTCTTGCTCATACTATGCCACCAAGCCATGTCCTTGAAGTCGTGCCCGAATGACACGAGGCTGTACCAGAATCATCCTTTGGTGAAGTCCCTGCTGTCTTTTTGTCTTGCTCCTCTCCCGGTCTTGATGCCCTGCATAGGACGCTCTCGCACCCTGAAAGCGAGCTGAGGACGAAGGCCGCAAGAGAAGTGGAGGCTCTCTTTTCAAGAAGAAGCTGAGCGAAGAATGCAGTCAGGTCTTTGCAATCCTTCCCTGGGCGATGTGAGAGATTGGACTTGGAGATCCAGCCATTGAAGATGATTGACTTTAAATCCGCTGGGCAACCATTCGGATGACAGGTATGTAGCTGGTCTCCGGGTCCAATTTCTGTAAGTACCAGCACCATGTTTCTGAAGGTGACCATCTTGGCTTGTGTGAGAGAACACAAGGCTGCAAATTCCAGAGAACATCCAGAATTGTCCAAGATATGGTGATCACATTGGACACCCGCCATGCTTTCTCATCAAGCAGTATCCACACCGCTTTCCCTTTCGCAACGGACGTGCGTGCAGAGCATCTGCTATACACCAATCTACCGTGAAGGCCGGATAGGGCAATTGTCCAGACATGTGGCTGCCGAGTTGTGATTTTGGCTGTGAGCACCAGCTTGTGCAATTGGTCCATACTTCAAAGCATATCGTCGCCACGGACAGGACAAACCTCAAGTAGAAGTGGAGACCGCAGTGCCACTGTCCTGGACTTGTTCATGTGTGATGGATGGTCCAAGCACAAGGAAGAAATACCAGGACTGTCTCACGATTTGGATCCCGCGTCGAACCTCTCGCCCGTCATCTCTATTTGTACCAACCGTTGCTGAATGGTACAGCAATAGAATTGGAGTCTCCAGAGGTGTGACCAGACAGTTTTTATCGTGATTTCATGTCAAAGCCTCAAAGGTCAAGGGGGAAAACACTTCGCACTGGCGCAATCAGATCCAAAGAGAGGATCTTGGGACAACTCCCGAAGATGTTTCTCTGAGGATTATGCTCCAAGCTCTTCGAGAACCATATCATATACGGCCCATGCAATCTTCGCAAGAACATCGTGTCCCCGGACCCTTGTTCAGTGTATATATCGCCATCGGGCTCATCATGTTCTTCGATCTGTCACATTGCCATGGTATTGGCCATCATACTTGTCATCTTTAGGGGTTTCCGACTCTTCGTAAGAGCTCTCTTCATTGATGGAACAGGCAACGCCGTCGACAAGATCTTGCCCCACTTCCTGCCAGAGCTCGGTGTCCACATCCGCGCCGTACTGACCTTTGGTGGTCTTTAATGAAGTAGCCGGTGACCACGGTCTGCTACTGCCCGTTTGATAAATTGATACAGGCATGCAGTCCGGCTTCCTGGTGAAGAGTATCGAAGGGATGATCTCTGGAGATCTCGTCGTCACCAATCTCGGTGAGGGCGTATTCGAGGAAGTCCAGCACGCTAAGGACCTTGACATCTGTTTATGATGGAGAAAGATTGCCGCCAGTGTCTTGCAGATTCCCGCGCTTAGAGTGCTGCGTTTGAGCGACTGCATTTCGTCATATAGTAGTCGAAACGGTAGGAAGACAATCAAAGACAATTGGTCATTGCTCACACGTCCGTGGGAAGCAGTTGAATCTGTCAGGATATTTCGAGCAAAGCTGAGGGAGAATGGCGATGAAATGATTCTCGAGCCTCGATGAGCAAGAAATGCCTGTCAGAGATCAGGGATCGAACCTTCTGATCGATATAGTATATCAAGGTCGACTTATCAGGAGCACGAATGTCGTATCGTCCACGATCCAGGGGTGTAAAAGAGCGTTTCCTGGCTGCTTCCGCATCATTTCCCAAGTTCTGGTGCAACAAAGTGAAGGCTTGCAGATTTTCCATCTTTCGGACTAATGTGAACATTTGGGTAGGCTTCCTGAAGACCTGCGAGATATCGGTTGACCTCAACCGCTGGTGATTCACAATGGAGTTGAATGGAGCGCCAATCGTCGGAAGATGGTAGACTGGTGGTTTCAGTTATCGACATGCTAATGGTGCGCAGACCGATGAGGGACGGAAGGAAAAGAGGTAGACGTGTTTCCCTAAAACCCTTGGTTGACTCTCGTGTGCCATCTCCACGAGACGTCTGCAAGATTGCGGTACCTTCCGGACCTTTTTCCATTGGGAATTGTTGTTCCGTATGTACACTTATCTCCTTTGCACTGTGTTCATCAAGTTGCCTCTCGCCCACCTGGATATTTCTTGTCGCATTCTTTGCCAGGTTCCGGAATAGGTCTTTACAGTTCTCTCGCCTTCGTCTCCCTCCTGGCCTCCACAAAATCTCGTTCGAACATGAAATCGTGTCCATGAGGACATTCTTGGTCTGCACAAAAGCCAAACCTTCGCATATTATGACAAGTAGGGAGGACATATACCATTTTGACCTCGCGCCAGCAGTTCTCGATGTTGCATTCCACATCACTTGGCTTTGAACACTTTCGACGTGTGTACATACGGCCCATATGCTTCACTGGCTAGTCACAATACCTTGTTGAACTGACGAAGGGCGGACATGTAAAGGACCTGTCTACTAGCTCTCCGCAGTGGTGAAAGAGACGACATGCCTTATGTTTGAGATTATGCGGACATATCGATAACAGAGTTGTGCGATAATCATCGTTGAACGCCGCTAGATTAGGGTCGTCTTCTGGAGCGAGAAGTACGGGAGGTTAGTTAAAAGTAGCTTGGTCAACAATAGCTTCTTCGACGTCGGTAGGTTGGAGGGACACGGTAGCCACCTGATGCGGCGGCTATTCGACCGCCTTACCAGACGCGTTCCGGCTACACTCCTGATCGATAATGCGAGTGTATGACGCCACAAGCTCCGGTATATCTCTTGTCTAAGGAGATGGTCATGGCCAATCTTGCTGATCGAATTGGCCGACGGGTGTCCCGCCGATTCGTCATCGGATTAAAGAATTCTCGGAGGTAGAGATTGTAGACTTTGATGAAAGGTCGCCAGTTTGCGAGGGCCGGACCTGTAGCCACATCCTTGACATCTTTCAAATCCAGGAAGACCGGCCACAGTGCTGACAGGTGGATCTTTCTCCCTGTCCTCGCTGCCAGAATACGCCGAAGTCAGTATCTGCTTTTTGTCCTCAACTCTGAGGTCGCGCCCACATCTTTCCACCGGTGGTGTCCTTATAACACATGATTACACATCTTAAATGACCCTCAGTGGTTTGATCTTAGCGGACGATATGCAATACCGGAGTCGACTCTTGCCAGCAACCTCTTCACCTTCTTCAGGAACCAAATGCCGTGGTGCTTCTCGAAGGCCAAAGTTGTCATTTTCATCTCAATTCCCAAATACTTATACGGCTCTGCGATAACCTTCCCAACCTTTGTGGCCCTCTTGAAGAGAGACAAGGGTGACGACGATCAATCATCTTGTTGACCCGGAAAGTGTTCTGGGAGGTGTCAGGTCCACACCATGTCGGCATGAGTCTTGACACGTCGTCTTTCCCACCCATTTCTCTAGGTTGACCTGGTACTTGAACATCCGCAGCTACTGCATCGCACTCTAGGACATTCTGCTCATGCTGCCCCGAGGTGTCGGCAGCCTTGAAGTGATTCTGCTGACGCCAAATCCACAACTTCGCCGACTCTTTGGAGATATCGTTGATCATATTATGAATCTTACGATACAAGGCTTTTCCGCACACGAACGGGGATAACATTCTCGAGTTTGGTGTAGTCATCTGGTCGGCACACCCGCAGGTACGTCCAAGACAATTCTTGTCTTGCAATTTGGTATTCCTGTCCTTGGTAGTTGTCCCTCGACAGGGCTGAGACAATGGAAGCGCATATTTCAGGCCCACAAGGTCCGAGTCGATCCGTGGACAACTTTTGATCAAGTTGGTCATATCCGCCGAGTATAGCTCAGCTTCAGAGTGGCCTTCTTTGGTTGTGCCGGCCGAATGCCAGAAGCCGGGATGCGGGAGAGCATCCTTAACTGGATCGGTGACCTAACCATGCGTTAGACTGTTCTTGAAGTCGTGGAGCAACGAGTGAGAGGAAAGCCCGTGGCTTGGGTCGTCTTGTGAGGACCAGTCCTACCCAAGTCCCGGTACCAGGGTGTGCCCAAAGCCTCTGATCAGGCAATGTTCGTCGTATAGTCCATTCCAGGTCCGAAATGAATTTGCGGACTCTCCTGTTTTCGACTGTATCCGGCCAGTGAACACCTGGGGGGGAAGGTATTTGAAACTATCCCCAACGGGAGCATACAGCGCTGTCTGATGAACAACCAGCCTCCAAACGCATCGGGACTGCGTCGTAATATTGGAAGGAGATATCGGAAAATTAGGCAAACGCCCATGAGGAGGCTGTCCCGAACATCTTGTGGGGAGGCTTGCTGCACCGCAAGCCGACGGCAGACCAAGGCATGGTTTGTGGTGTCGGTAGGCATTGGGGGAGAACCGACGTCAAGACCCAAGGCTGTTGTGATACCTTTTACCACGCTCGCTGGACAACTTCACCATGCCACGCATGGCAAGCTGCGGCGTGATGAGGCACGCAGGTGAATGGCTGGACCACTGGATGGCGACTTGGGTCCCATACTACCGTGTAATAACATGGCCGGAGCAGTCAGCCGCAGGGACTTAGTATTTTGTCCTGCAGGCAGCACAATGCCATGCTCGTGTACACGAGGACAGGCACGCATAGTACCAAGCAGTACCTCGCACCTGCCAACAGAAGTTGGAGGGTTGAAGAGGGGTAAGAGGCAAAGCAATACGACCGAGGAAGGGTGGGAGACGAGGAGCAAGATGAGAGGAGGGACAGGGGGATACTTATACTTGTGGGAGAAGCTTGTTGGGCAGCAATCGTGAGTCATTCCGTTGGATGTCTGGTAAATTTCATGGTTCAGTACACGACATCCATTACCTGAGGCTGATTCAGCCAACCAAGACAACGTTGTGATGGACCCGAGCTTCGCACAGAAGGATTCGTCATAGAACTTCACATGTAATGTGTGCAGGTGATTCCAGCTGTCATATTGAAATTGCCTCAGGGGACGACTGATTCTTATCCATGTTTTTGTAACAAGGTGGTGCCGTATTCACAACACGGACACTCACCATCAGCGACCTCCTGTGCATGGCATTTCCAACATCGCAAAGCATATCCAACACACACAGTAGATGTTCAGCACGGAGCTGGTCACTCCTCTGTCATACCACGTTCCTTCGTTCGACTTGGTAGACCGACAATTTCAGCGTCTTCACTTTTGACGCATGCCGAGTCATGACCTTCCAGAGTGGCACCGTCACTTTCAGACATTCCCGCAGGTGCAGGCACTTTCTTCTTGACAGGGCTCACGACTTCAGCCTTAACCTGCTCAATAGACTCATGATTCAGCTTGTTGAAGAACATTGCCTCCACGATATTGCGACCCTCGGTCTCCGTTTCGCTCTCTTCACCCTCTTTCTTCGGTGGCTGCTCTTCCGAACCATCGCCAGCAACCTGTTCATCAAGTTTGAGTTTCGTCAGACCCATTGCATGTATCTGCTCCTCCACGGTGCCGCGGGACACTAATCTGATGACCTCAACTTCTTTCAGCTGTCCGATTCTGTGTGCTCGATTTTCGGCCTGGATGTCATCCTGTGGGTTGAAGCCGCTGTCAAAAACAATCACTTTGTTGGCTTTTGCAAGATTGATACCGGCTCCACCTGCCTTGGTGCTGAGCATGAAGACCGGTGTGTGATTGTCGTCTGCAGAAAATTCGTCGATCAAATCCTGTCTTTCAGATACTCTGGTCGTCCCGTCCAGCCTGAAATAGTCGATCGCTTCGCGTTCCAGCACCAGCTCCAGAATATCAAGAACCATGACGAATTGGCTGAAGATTAGTGTTCTGTGACCTTCTGACATGAATTTGCGAAGTAGTTCGACCATCTTCTGAACCTTGCCACTGGCCATCCATTCGCCGTTGTTCAGCACAAACCGCTCGAGAGCTCGATGCTCATCACATAGGGTGTGTATTTCCATGTCAGAGTAAGCTTTGAGCTCGGTGACAATGAGATCGGGGTTAGACTCCCTAAATTGATCGGCCTTTAAGCATTGCTTTGCGATCACTGGCAGAATCTTGTCCGGGTACACACGACGGGAGAGAAGTGGATGTATGGCAGCCAGCCTCAACTTCATCAGGATATTGGTCGATTCGTTTGTGACGTTCTCTCCTTTCTCTTTCTGTTCCCGGATGCTGTATGCCTTTTCGAGCCACATCTGATAGATCTCGGATTGTTCTGGCGTCATATCACAAAGCTCGACTCGTCGCTCTTTCTTGGGGAGATCTTTCAAGACCTGATATTTTTTGCGCCGCAGGATGAATGGCGTGAGCATACTCCTTGCCCTTTTAATCCTCTGTTCCGACAACAAGGCCTCGTGGTTGCCGTCCATAGCCTTGACGCTGTGTGAGAAGATGCTTGTCAGCTCTTCAGCCTTTTCTTTGAACAGATTGGGCATCAGGAAGCCTAGCAAGCTTATCAACTCTTTCAAATTGTTTTGAAGGGGTGTTCCAGTGAGCAACAAGCGGAAGTTCGACCGAATCTTCACCAATTTGCTCGCAACTTGCGAGTCAGCGTTCTTCAGCATATGACCTTCATCGTAGACGGTACAATCGAATCCAAAAGTCTTCAACCAGGGAAAGTCTTCTTTACCCTTGGCAAGAGTGTATGTGGTGACAATAACATTGACATCATCGCGGGAATCCTCGAGATACTCCCTCAATTCAACACGCTCGGAAGGATTTGTCGAATAATATGGTTGGACATTCAATGCTGGACAAAAGCGCTTGAATTCTTTCAGCCAATTCTCGAGAGTGGCTGCAGGTACGACAATAAGATGCGGCCCAGTTCGACCTTGCTCAAAGAGATGTGCAACAAAGGCAATAACCTGGCAGGTTTTTCCCAAGCCCATGTCGTCGGCAAGGATACAACTCAATTCCTTCTGGTACAACAGATTCAGCCAGTTGATGCCAACAATCTGATAATCCTTCATTTGTATGTCGCTGGACATGATCGATGGCTGGGTTATAAAATTCTTTGGGTTCTTTTTCTTGACGACGTCGTGATCGTCGTCACTCACGGGCGTTCCAATGCCGGAATCGTGGCTGGAGCGCAGTGTGTCCCGTAAAGATACCATGTCCATTTCTCCACTTTGCGAGCCGTATATATTGACACCCCAAGCTTCCATCTCATCCGCCAAAGGCTTAGCCAGACTTTGACATTTCTTGACCAGGTAATCCACGGCTTCGTAGCTCGTAAGCATCGTTTCGACCTTGTCAACGATCCTCTCACCAATAGCATTGACCTTTCTGCGACCTTTGGTCGGCTTCAGCTTGGGATCCTGTATCTTTCTAACATCGTCGAGGGACTTGAAAGGCCGTTTCGTGACAAGATGTTCAGCCATTTCCCGAGATATCGATGCGGTATCAGTCAAGTCAGCGGCAGTGCAGGTATTGAAAAGCTCGAGTAAGCGAGAATTGAAAGTCGTTTCAGCTTCGTAGTCTGAGCGCGCGGCAGAATGTGCTGCATCAGACTCATCAGAGTCGACGACTGTGACAGGCTTGGCCTTGGGTTTCGCGATCTCTCCTTCTCCTGTTTGAGGAGAAGAATGCCTCCGTCCTCGTACAAGAGTCCTCTTCTTTTGCGGCGGCGGTGTGTCAAAAACGTCAATAGCCTTTGTTTTCTTGACATTCTGGGTCGAGCCCCATTTTTCCATGATGGTTTTCTTGGGTACTTTAGGCTGCTGTGTTACTGGCTTTGCTGTGGACTTTCGGGCTGCGGGCGTAGGCATCAGCTCATCTTCGGAGCCGGTCAGATCAATAGCACTCTTCTTCCCAGCCTCATGTCGCGTCTCGCTCATCTGCAGGAGCTCGCTAATAGCATCATCGTAGTGCCCCTTTTTGGAGAGCAAGACCTCATAGCACTCACGTACTGATAGCATACTAACCATCGACATCATACGCTTGACCTTTTGCCTCATATTGAAGTCACTGATATCATCCAGCTCCATTTCCGGTTGTTTCTTGGGCGACACAATCGGTAACGCACGAGCGGGCGCGGTCTGGCGTTGTCTTTTCGAGGCGTTGCCGTAAGCATTGGCGTTTACATCTGCGGAACGCTTGATACCACTAGATCCAACAGATGATGTTGAGCTTGGAGAGGCACGAAACATCGACTGCGCGATGACTTCGGCAAAGTTTTTCGACCCGTTATTGTTGTGTCCTTCAGGCGATTCTGGTACCTTCTCCGCCGCTGGTTGGACCTTCCGCACAAACGTAGATGTTTTAATGTCATTGCCTCGGCTTGGTCTGTCACTGTCTGAAGAGCTTCCTCCGTATACCGGACCCTCGTCGTCACTATCAATCGTGATGGGTTGGGAACGAGCCTGGGACACAAGCTGGGGTCGTCTAAAGACTGTCCCAGCGGGTGCCATGGCACTAGCCAGTAAACCAGAACTCTTTCGGCCTGCATTCGGCGCCGTTGACGGCGACGAAGCAGCGACTTGAACCACGCCGCCCTTCAAGGGTGAAGAGGACATAGGGGCCGGGGACCGACGGATTAACTGCGTGGGCTGAGTTTGCTTTTGAGAAGGACGGTGAGCCGGCAGGGTGGCCATGCTCTCGAGGTCGGAGTCATCGTCAGTTATCTTGGGTCGGTGCAGGGAAAGAGTATCGACTGTCTCATAGGTGGGCTTGAAGTCGGGGTTAAAGAGCTCGTCGTCAGATTGTGACGAAGCATCTTCCGAGGACATTACGGGCGGCGGTGGGAGGGTAAGGGTTGGGTCGAGGCGTCCGGTGCTGCAAAAACAAAACAAGATATCATTGATATTGTACACGCATGCTGGAAGGAGTAACACTGCGACTCGGTCTGAGCACTGTTGTATCTCGAATACCCGCCCACGAGACTCCTTACACAAGCCTGAGGGAAAAGTGAAGCCCCCTCGGTCAAAGTGGCCTGCCCCAGCGACAAACTTTCCACGCGTAGCGCGTCATGAGTTTGTAAAAGCAGCAGCTGAGTGATGGCAGAACTAGCCTAGGTGGATGATGCCGCTTTTGAGGGTTAAATGCCCATTGATGCCCCTTTACACGAATCTGATTCGAATAATCATAATATGTCCCCATACTCGTCAACCATACAACAAGGGCGAAAACGCGTTTTTGGGTACAATATCTATCTGCATAGATTTCGTGGCGCAGGAAGAACATCGTGACATTCCGAAACAGATACGCGTCAAAGTTACGGCACTCTGTATACGATGCACAGGCTTCCGCCTCCTGAAGGTCCCTGTCCTTCTGCTCCGCCAGATACATAAACCTGTGTATCACCGACGAGTCCAGCAATGAGTCCTCCAACAGCGGCTCTTGCATGGCGCGTACTGTGAAGATCACTGTCAGTGTTCATAGTATGCCTCCAGCCCCTGATCTGACCTCGAGGATCAGCCTCAGCCTTTGCAAAAACTTGGACGACTTGGCCACCCTCCTTCTTGATCTGCTCCAATAGCTCAATGATGACACTGGCATCTATGGCATCTTTCATTGGCTTGGAAATCGCACCTAGCTGTCCTTGAGCTGCACTTTTAATGTCCGAAGCAAGAACAAAGATGTGACAGTCATCGAGTTCTGCTCCGCTACTACAACTGGCTTTTGCGCTCCAAGGATGTTCAGTCCTCAAGGCTTCCTCGACCTGGGCTTCTGCAATCTCGTCCAATGCTGCTGCAATGCCCACTGCACTAGCATACCGCGACTTGGCCATTGACTCATATGTGTCAGTAGTGATAGGATGCTTGCCCTGACCACGGATTGTCTCCAACTTCTCCGAGGTGAGCAGTGGACATTTGATAAGGACAAGCTGGACCTGCTCTTGACTGACTCCAAGTTCTTTGACCAGAGAAGTCACCGTTTGAGAGACTTCGCCAGCGTGCTCCACCGTCCCAACTTGATCGGGTGCAAGAGCTTTAGTGTGCCCTACGGTTGCTGAAAGTCCTGTTGCCTCGTGCGACCGTACAATGAAGGTGACATGCGGACATAGAACACCCTCCGTGCCGCCTGAAAAGATTGTCACTGCGTCGTTCGGTATTTTAGACTCCCAGACAACTGCTGCGAGAGTGCGCGAAAAGTCGTTGACACAACCATTGCCTTCCACCATTGTCAGTAGACCAAAGCTTTGCTCTCGTCATGTCAACACGCACCTTCTGTCTTCCCAATTACCGCAAGGATTTGCGAAGCATCATAGCCAGCTGCGCGCAGCTTTTCTAAGGGCGAAGTGTCTGCTGGCGAAGAAATAGGAAACTTCAAAATATCAACGGCAACCATAACTTGCTGAGTATGAAGTCTCAAGTCGCAGCGACAAGCAAAGAAGGATCATGTTGAACAGGGCCTCTTCTGCTCTTCGTAAACTACATTATGCAATCCTCAGACTCGAATACAGCCGCGGATGCCTACTGGTGGTTCTTATCTTATCCGGGCCGTCGCCGGTAGGAGCCCGCGGGCCTACGGACATCCTCGCCTTCGGCGGCGAGCCTGTATCCAGAAAAAGTGGCTACTGTCTGACGGGGAGTACATCGATGATACAAATTTGAAGCCCAGCAGCTTCACGACGGTGGGTGCCTTAGCAATAAGCTGGTAGGACTATACGTTGTAGCTGATGGTCTTCCTCCCGTTAAAGGCGAACGCTATGTCGTTGCATGCGAAGCACTCCAGGCTGGCAATAAAGAAGGATATCTATTCGGACGTGAAGAGGGACAGCGGTCAGACGATGCCACTTTTCCTGGCAACAGGGTCGCCGTTTAGCTGTGACATAAACTATTTGACCTCATAGATAGGCATGTCTGACCGTGCAGAGTACCGATCAGCGGCCTCAACCGGTGAAATGGACCTGCATATTGGGACGCTCCTCTTTATTCAACGCCTGGCTATCAAGGTGAGCAAACTTCGCACATACAGCCAGCAGGAGGCAACAAGTCATCAACCCTCCCCTTGACGCATAGTGCTGGTATTTGAGATACTTCTTGACTCAGGCAGGACCGATTTCGAGATACGGTTTAGCTTCTGGGAGGATGTCGACTTCAGAACCACTTGCGCAAGGCTTGAAATCAGCCAATGCGGGCCACAAAGCTCTAGAAATGGACATTTCCATCGAGACACTACACGGTCTCTACAACGCAGGGTCCGCCACTCCCACAGACGTCGTCCGCGAGGTATACTCACGGATCGCTTCGTACTTCGACAAAGCCGTATGGATCACCTTGATCCCGGAGGCTGAAGCTCTTCAGTGCGCAAAGGATCTCGAACAGCAGTATCCAAATGTCACAGATAGACCAGCTTTATACGGCATACCGTTCTCACTGAAGGACTCGGTCGACTTTGCCGGCATGCGCACAACAGTGGCCTGTGAAAGCTACGCATACACCGCAACATCAACCGCACCTGTTGCCCAGCATGTCCTTGACGCTGGCGGCATCCTCATCGGCAAGACGAATCTTGACCAGTTCGCAACGGGTCTGACTGGGACGCGGTCGCCCTACGGCATGCCACGCTGTGTGCACGACTCTGACTACGTGTCCGGTGGCAGCTCGTCTGGCTCGGTAGTCAGCGTTGCGGCAAACCTCGTGTCCTTCACCATCTGCACCGACACAGCAGGCAGTACACGCGTGCCAGCCTCTTTCAACGGCATGGTCGGTCTCAAGCCCACGCTTGGTACAATTTCAGCGGTTGGACTCATCCCCGCGGTCCAAACAGCGGATTGCGTCTGCATCATAGCGGCAACCATCGACTCGACACTCAAAGCCTGGGATGTGATGCGGGCGTACGACGAAGACGACGTCTACGCCCGCGACCCGGCGCAACTTTCTCTGCTCACATCGCAACCAGTTTTTCCGACAGGCACCTCAAACTCAAACATCACATATGGCCTTCCCCCACAGGATCTGGTCCACTCAGTTCTTTCACCTGAATACTCTAAGCTTTTCAGCGCATTCCTGGCAAAATTCCAGCAAGACAGCTCCTTCTACCGCTCCACAGACTTCGACTACGCACCATTCGCCTCCGCCAACGCAATGCTGTACGGCAGCTCAATCGTGTCGCAACGCATCGTTGCATTCAAGCCGTACCTTGACACACACGGCTACGACCAGCTCCATCCAGTCATCCGCGATATCTTCAAGGCAAGCTCCGACTTCAGTGCCGTTCGGGCGTATCAAGACATCTTCGCGCTTGCAAAGGATCGACGTCTGGCCGCGAAGCAGTTCCGATCCAACCAGCACGACGGCATCGACGTGCTAATAGTACCTTCCACCACGATGCATCCCACCGTGTCGGAGATCCTGGCCGACCCGATCAACTTGAACAAGCATTTGGGCGAGTTCACACACTTTGTCAACCTACTGGATCTGTGCGCTGTCGCTGTACCCCTGAGCGCGACGTGGACTAGTAAGAACGGGAAGAAGATGCCCTTCTCGGTGACTTTGATCTCCACGCCCGGACGAGATCGGGACTTGTTAGAGTTGGGACGGAAGATAATGGCCATGACCTACGATTAATGCTTAAGAAATTGCATACTCACACCTGTCGGTAGCCTTGCTGTCTCCTTGATCGAGCCCACGTGACCTCGACGTCCGAGTCTATGAGATGTCCCCGCCAAGACTGAATATCAGATCTCTGGGATCTCAGCAAGCTCGCTTGAAGCCTTGAACACATCCTCAAACCAGATCGCCACCACCAGACGCGTCTCTACATCAGTACTGCATACCGTCGAGATCATATTACATTTCCACTATATAGAATCCAGCACAATTGCCGAACAACAAAATGGCCACGCGACGCAACGTCCCAGAAAAGACCATCTCCGAAGCACAAGGCGGTTCCTCATCTTCATCACAATTATCAGATACATCGCCCGCTGTTCCTGCGTGAGTTCATACCCAAACCTTTCTCTCTCTTTCTCTCTTACACTCTCTCATCACATTCCCATCTCCCTCTCTGGCACAAGTCCATGGCAGACGGCTAAAACGAAATCAGTCACGTCATATACAAACTCCTAGGCTTCACATTCGCCATGATCGTCCTACCAATTGGTTCATATTTCATGACTGTCAACCTAGTTTTTCGAGGCAGTTCCACATGGGCCGGGGCATTCGCAGCAATCATGGCCAATGTTGTATTGATCGGCTACATCATCGTCGCAATGAAAGAAGATCAGAGCGAGAGACTCGAAGCCGAGCAGCAGTCCAAAAAGGCTCAGTAACACGCAGCAGTCAATCAGGGCATTCTATTGCACGTGTTACTCGCCATGCAGAGCAGAGATCAATGCTGGGAGTTGATTACTTTCCCGTACCATGTTCTCATTCAGACTATGGAAAAAATGTGTATGTGACCTGCACAGCTTTAGTCTAAAAAAGTCTGTCGAAAGCAGGCACAAAATCGAGGCTCTTTGGGCTCGACAACTTCTCCGATGCCTTGGGGTTCGTTCCGCTTTGAGACACGGTCCGCCGATGCTGTTTACTCATAAGCACATCAGCCTCGATCCAGCCCGACAACATCCATGCGCATTACTTCAAACATTATTCATAAGGAAAGGCGCCGCTCTCCAGCGCATATTCTCTGATGCAGTTCCAATTACCATGCAGTCGGGACAATGTTTCAGGGTCCAAAAGATGTCTCCCAAGAACGCCGAGAATGAGTGTGCCAATGCAAATGCTACCGATGCATTTATTAGTTTTCACGTCGACTGAATCGGCGTTTGATCCAGCTCTTCTTCTTTTCACTTGGCGAAGTAGGCGAGGTTGCGGCATTCCAAGTGTTTTCCTCGTCTGGAGAGCTATCGAGCTTGATGGGTTGACGAGGATTGTTGGGAACATATTTGTGGACCGGCGCAGCAGGAGCCTCCTGAGCGTAGGCGCCCTCATGTGCGTTGTATTGTGGGTAGGGCTTCATCGGGCCATGTTGACCCATTCTAGACTCATTGGCATATGGGTTCTCGTGGCTAAACTCGTCTGGTTGCTTTCGAAGCTGATGCAACTGGTCGAAAGAGCTGTTCTGAGAGCTTGGGTTGGTCGACTTTCCATACTCATCGGAACCGGAAGTAGCAGCATCATAGGACTGTTGGTAAGAGTGCGCGGAGATGGGACTTTCGCCATTGGGGTGGCCGTTTTGCATACCATTGTGGTAACCGTTGGGAGGGCCGTTGGGAGGACCATAGTGTGGGCTCGAGGGTTGTCGCATATTCCGACCGTACATCTGAGAAGACCCAGGTGTTTCCTCGACCGTATTCTGGGGATGACCGTAGGACGAGTTTCGGTAGTAGCCGCCGCCTGGAGAAGGACGTGGTCGCTGTGGAGAATAGCCACTGTCTGCGCAAAGTTAGTTAAGCCTCTATAGAATATTGGGAGCTGCTCACTTGAGATGTAGCTTGCTCGGCGATTGTCAGTCGTCATACCGGCCGAGGAATCTAGTTCCTGTCAGTACTTCATTTCTAATCTTCGTTTCATCAAACGTACATGGTCTGTTGTTGAAGGAAGAGCGACGGAAGCTGGTGCCTTCTGCAGCAGCATGGAAAGCACGAATTGTGTCGAGAGGACGCTCGAAGCGGTATCGTGTCGGGTTTGATCGATCAGGCTCAGCTGTGGCTGCGATTAGTATGAGATCAACGTTCCCGATGCTGCTTCTTACCAATGACATTGCCTTCACTGTCCTTGTGTGCCATTGCGCGTATATCCTCGGCCGTGGTCTCTTCCTGAGCTTGTTCGACTGCATGATCCGGTCAATACTTCTCCAGCAGAGGTCATTCATTGCACCACTAACCTGGAGTAGCCTCATTCAAAGCTTTCGAAGGATCCGCCTTTGTGTGCAGTCTCTTCTTGTCTTTATGACTTTCGGACAACTCACTCTTGTTCGCGGAGAAGCTGCTTCGATGGGATCGCACGGAATTATGGCTCATGGCGGTGTGAGCTCGTGGCCGGGTCTCATTCCCCATAGCGGTGGTTGGAGGCGACAGGGTAGTCATGGTGTCGGCGATAACGGTGGTTATCGAGTCGGTTGGTGGTGCTTAAGATAGTGTCTTCGGATATGCAGCCGCTAGGCAACGGTAATTTCCAGCGTATCGATAACGAACGTGAATTTGGATTATATCAAGACAGCGAGCTTGATAGAGGACGTGTCTGAGGAGGATTAAGACTGAATGCGAAGTGACCCTCGGGTGAGAAGTCGAGACAGCTGAAGTGATGTCGTGTAATAGAGAGGCTTTGCACAAAACCTGAGAGCTGGCACAGTGGTTGTCCGGACGTGGCGGGGCGCGAGTGACAGGGATATATGTCGGTGGTGAGGATGTGTTTCAGGACTGATGGTCCAGCGACGGCTGACAGGGGACGATGCCAGGTGTGATACGTGACAGGCTGAGGCTTTTTCTGTGATAGCGACTGACTTGGTGCCTCTTTGTATATGGACAAAACCTTGATGCAAGCGATGCAAGAAATCTGCGCAGATCGAGAGGTAATGGAGGATGACGATCCGGGACAGAGAAACAGGAAGCGCGACCGATCAGCCCGTAGGAATTGAATTTCAACGAGTGGTAGGATGCCCGAAAATCAGCTGCTTGAGGCCGGACTTGGGGGTTCAGTATACTAAAGGTATTCAAAGAATCAAGTATATGGAGTTTAGCAGAAAGAGGAGTAGTAGAATGGAGGTTTCAATGTGAATGCGGAATATACAGCTGCCCAGGGATGCATGGCACTGGCTAATAGCGACTGGTTACTGGTGGCCATGACGGAGCGATGGGATGATTCAAAGTGTATGCATTAAAAGACTGTCGCTCGCGGCCCCAACGCAACGAAAACCGCCGACACGCTAGGCACTTCCAGGCATGGCGTGGCACTCTATCTGGGATCCTCCCAGCCTGCGCCTCTTGACCCATGAACAGTGAACCCCTCCAGCACCCTGGTGCACCCTCTTTTTTCCGTTTACACAATTTTTACATTTTTTCCCAAGACACCGTTGCAACCTGGTTCGGATTTTTGACCTTAGTGGACTGGAAAGCTTCCCATGAGCTCTACCGCTGCTCCATGATTGGCGCCATGGCACCCTTCGGCACCTGAATGGATCTGCTGGCCCCTGGCTAGACAGGATGTCAAAAACAGTTTGCGTCCACTTCGTCGTCAATCTCATCCGCTAAGAGTGACACACTAGGTGATCCGTGGACCAGGGTATCCAAAATGTCCGCCAGGTTTTCTTGTTCTGTGCACCTCGAACGACCTCTGATATCTCCCAGACGATTGCCAGACCGATCCGCACATGTGCGACACCCAGCCAGTTGCCAGAGTTGACCGGCTGAAACAGATCTTCTCAGGCCCGATTATCTGCCACCTGACGGATCCTACGAAAAGAACAAGTTAGTCCTTTGTTCGCCTTCCTACACTGCTTCAAGCCCGTCCGACGCGCGTCCTGGAAAGCTCAGAGCTTCGTCGGCTATTCCATTACAACCCATTTGTGCACGCAATAATGCTTCTACTCCAGATAGCAATTGGCCCACTCATCCTTCAACGAGTACTTTCTGACGTTTCTCCACGCAAACGCATCCATTCAGCTTTGCTGTTGAGCTCGGGATCCTAGCTTATCATGCCGGCGGTCCCGCTGCACCACGCATCATCTGCATCATGATTTTGAGACATTCTGTATCCTCTGTGGCCTCCGTTGCTTATCCGTTCAACCTTAACCTAGCTGGACAAAGCTCCTCCCGAGCACATCTTTTAGTAAGCTGTCTGCTTCTACAGCCATGCAGTACCTTTCCCATGAAGCTATAACCGAAAAAAAAGCAGTGGAAAGCCTGATTCTGGGATAAAATGCTAATCTCCATATTCTTCCCATGACTGACGAAGCTGTCTAGAGATGAGCCAATGGGCAAATATCGTGGGGGATGTTCTGACCACCATCTTCTCGTTACGAGCGATTCAACAGCACACTCCGGGACTCCTCAAATGCACAAGGGTGTCTCCGTCAATGGTCTCAAGGACTATCTCAAAGTCAAAATCCACTTCCCGCATGTTGGAACTTGGATTCAAGGAATACGAAGCGAAAAGAGGAAGGAAGTATTCGAACATGCCACTGCCACGGCCCACTAGCCACATTTCTTCCACTGCTCCAGTTCCAAAACCGAGCAGACCCTAAGCGAGCACAAGCCATGAGGCATGGCGCCACTCACGGCTCGCACATCCTTGAACCTCTACTAACGTAGAGCTCCATAACCCTTATCTTATCGTCCTTGACGTGCAGTTCCACCGAGGTGGAGGTGGCTCATGCGTACGCATTGTGCCGGACCACGATGTCTCAACGCTTTCGGAGCTTCTCAGAACTGCTCCAGTATATCACGATATATTTAACTGCTGGTACGTCCCCAATTACGAATACCTCATACTCGTACGCAACGCTCGGGTTTTCTGAATGTGGCAACACGTGTTGTCTCTGGAGTATCGAGTCTTTTGCTGAACCATACTGTCAGCGTGCACGAATAAGTTGTATCCACATTGGTTATGCTCTAGGGAAAACTTTTCCAGCGTTAAGATGCCCAGGTCTCTCGCTAAGCTAGGCTGAAGCCCGATTCCACTTTTGTTTGCCGCCTTGCGCCTGTGCTATTTGAAGGGACAACATCATAAAAAGACATGGCTGGTATCTTTCCAAGCAAGACCCTGACAAGAAGACTACCTGGAATGCCCACAGCCGTTGTCGTGAATTCACAGATAAACATTTGACAGAAACGTCGAGTTCCTCAGCAAACACTTGTTTTCACTAAGATAACAGCCATGGGGTTCCGGCGGTCGACATCGTGGCTGACCGCTGTCTGTGTTCTTATATGACTCCTTGCAGACCGCTTAGGGTTTGCTTGGTGCTGGACCTCGAAGGTAGGAGAATGTGAAGCACATGAGCGCTGGTCTATCGAAGGCGTCTGTCTGGTGTTTTCACCGCAAGTCTTGCCCATTGCTGTCAGTCTGGCTATATTCACCTCGGAATTATAACCAGCGAGTCCAGAATCACTGTCGACTTTTTCCGGATGAGATCGAGGCCGCCTTTGCAATGCGCGAGCTTTGCGCGAGCTGCCACACCGCAGAATACAGGCCATTGCGCGTCCCCAAAAACTTATACCCCAGATTCTGACCGAGGCAAACCGTCGCGGAGCTCAAGGACTGCTGCTAAGTACGACTACAAACCCTACCCACGCAGTGGGCTTTGGTGACGATGCTCGGCGAATGCTCCAGTACTTGTGATCTTCTCGGCCACACTGGATAGGATCTGACCACCTCACGCACGTGGCCGTGAGTCTTGTCATACCGAAGCGAGGCCGGCTTCGGAAGGTGTCAGGTGGTGAGGTAAGACAATGCACCTTGCCCATCGAAAATGAGGGAAAGTAAACTTATGCTTGATCGAACGTACTCTTGCCACCGCATGGGAGTCGCAGAAGCGTCCAAGAGATCCTGTGTCTGGGGAGTTGTGCGCCCGACATGCTCAAGATCGAGCAAGGCACCAAAAGCTCCCAGTCTACCAAGGCTTGATACCCAACACTGGGAAGACGATATTCTGAACTGGAAAGGGGACGAAATCATGTCACAGTAAGACTCAATGTATCCCCTCGACGTTAAGTCCCTGTGCTGGCCACTTACATCCTTCCAAGGGTCCGCCACTGAAGCTGAGACTGATCTGCTTGCAATTGGGAAACGTTTGCTACTTCAGCATGGCTTTTGTCTGCATACTAAGCTATACGTCTAATCATTCGACCACCTCCAGCCAGCTTCATGTTGTCGTTCGTCGTCAATTGAGGAGCTAATTATGTCGGCCAACGCACGCTCGCACGTGAAACTTGCTTTCATACGCTTTTGGGCGTTTTGTCATAACCAGTCCAGCGAAAGAATCCGTCTCCAAGGATCCAATCAGGACTGTCGGTACTTTCATCCGCCAGCTCTTCGTGGGTGCAACGCAGATTTCCTTGTCCATCAGCTGCATGTCCCGAGCCGTGGCACCAGAGCAAGTTAGTCTACAACTTATTTGGGGTACTGGCGGTGTTCCATTGGTAGCCGGCAGCGTCGCTGAATTTGTAGCCGTAAGAGGCGGTGAAGTCGTCAAGGACGGCAGGACCACGTGAACCTGCACGAAAGAGTTAGCTGACTGCAGAGCGACAACTCAATAAACGATTATAACTCACCGTATGGATACTCCATGGGCACAATCTCCTTCTTGTCGTCGAGATAGTGGAGAAGTGGGGTGAAGATTCTCCATGAGGCATCCAACTCATCGTCACGGACAAAGTTCGAGTGATCGCCCTTCATGGCGTCGAGGATCAAACTCTCGTAGGCCTCAGGGATTTTGAGGTCGGAGAAGCGGCGCCTGTACGTCAAGTCGAGCTCGGTGACAACAGTCTGCATCGACAGACCAGGCAGCTTGGAGTTCATCTTGAGGTAGACTGACTCGTTGGGCTGGATTCGGATAACAAGTTCGTTTCGTGGAATGTCCTTGAAGATGCCGGATGTTACGTCCTTGAACTGGATGCGGATTTCGGTCTTTTGCTCATTGAGCGCCTTGCCTGCCTTCATGATGAAGGGTACACCATCCCACCTCTCGTTCTTGATGAAGGCGACCATGGCGCAGAATGTCGGACATCTTGAATCCTTGGGGACTGTATCGTCGTCCTTGTATGCTGGCTTGGTGCCGTCCAGAGACTTGCCGTATTGTCCAATGATGACGTTCTTGGGTTCGATGTGAGGCATTCCGCGGAGAACTCTGACCTTCTCGTCACGGATATCTTCGGCGGAGAAAGAGATAGGTCGCTCCATGGCAAGCAGCGTCAGAACCTGCAACAGATGGTTCTGCATCACATCACGGATGATACCAAACTCGTCGAAATAGCCACCTCTGCCTTCAGTACCAAAGGGCTCCTTGAAGGTGATCTGAACGCTGTCGATGTGGTTGCGATTCCAGGTCGCACCGAGAAATTCGTTACCGAATCTGAGGATGAGCAAGTTCTTGACCATTTCCTTTCCGAGGTAGTGGTCAATACGGAAGATCTCTTCTTCCTTCCAGTTCGGCTCGAGGCTGTAAAGCACGTCAGTAACTCTCAGTAGCCCAGCAGTGACTAGATCTTACGCTTTTTGCAGTTGCCGTGAGCTGCCCAGATCTTTGCCGAAGGGCTTCTCAATGATGATTCTGGCAATGCCTTCTTTGGGGTAGCAGTTCTTCTTTAGGTGTTGCGAAACGGTGGTGAAGACGCTGGGAGGCAGGGCCATGTAGAAGACTCTGTTGTTCTCCTTCCGTCCTTCCTCAATCTCATTGATGTGCTTGTCGAGCTGCTGGAAGGGCTCATCTTGATCGTACTGACCAGCAATGTAAGAGCAGATTGAAGTGAACTGCTCCAGCTGCTCCTCCACCTCTTTTGTTGGGGTTTTTATGTAGGACTTGACTCTTTTGAGGTATTCGGTGTGGTCCATCTTAGTTCGAGCATATCCGACGATCTTGATATCTTTGGGCAGGAATTTGTTCCGGAACTGTCAATCCGTCAGCAATGCGGTCTCCGGTTGATGCGCGTCCGCATGATGACGATGCGCACTCACCAGGCCAAAGAGCGCAGGGAAGGTCTTCTTCTTCGCCAAATCACCCGAAGCTCCTAGCACGACAATAACCGTGTTCTCCTTGAGCTCGACGGTGCTGTAACACACTCCCAGTCAGCGGTCAATTCCATCTCAAAACCATTGGGAAACGGTGGATCCTCGCGCGGGGGCCGAAGAACTCACCCTGCATTCTCAGGCTCTTCAGCACGAAGGACTGTGTCGGCCATGGTGATCGATGTGAGAGATTCCCGGTAGGTGTTGAGGGGCGTCTGACGAGGTGTTGGTCCTGACGAGGTCGAGGGAGGACAAGGTAATGACAAAGCTGGAAAAACAATAGTGGTGAACTGCGGGCGGGATACTGGTTTGATGATGGCCGCGGAAACTGAATAATGGTAATGGTGGGGCAGGAAATAATAATAATTAGGTGGAAAAGGACTTTGCGGCTTTTGCGGCGGTGATCGATTGAAGAGCTTCTTCCACTGACGAAGTTCTGATGATTTCAGTACTGACGAGAGCTGAAAACCGAGTTGCTTCTGACCTTTGCAACAACGTGACGTCAATCGAGTTTCACCAATCTACAGGTCGTGTCGTGCGATGCGACAATGTCCCCGGATAAGAGAGAAGAAGCAGGAGGAAAGAGGGCGGCTTTATCAAGTCTATATCCCACACCGTGTTTTCTGCAGGTCTAATCTGTAATTGTCGTCACTAATCAGTAAGCATTGAGATGCTGAGGCCCGGCTTGGATTTCCTTCGGCCTATAGAGTGTCGCATATGCCACTGCTAGCCTCCCCTCTCCTCAGCGGAATGATCGGCTATGCTCGAGGGTCCGTCGATGGAGCCTTGCTTTGCTTGACTCGTCCGCGGACTGCTTCGTCACTTGTTCCGGGTTATGTAATCAATCCGATTCTGCAAATGCGCCCTGAATTCCTGGAATGGGACAACGGGTCAAGGATCACGAGGGTTTGTGTTTGTGTACCATACCTCACGAGCAGCGATATGACTTTGCCCAAGGTTTCATGCAAGAATGAGATTCTCATTGTGGCTTTGGGGACTCGAGGACCACCAGCTTTATTAGGCTAAACAAACAGCACCAGCCGGACTTGCATTACCGAACAAAATGCTGGGAGCCAAAGACCGTGTTGCGCACACTGTTTGGTACGGCGTGAGAAGACCTCACTCGGACCAACCCTTGTAGACCAGTTGGACGGCCTCCTGTGACGGGAACCTGGCCTGGTGAGACTCGAATGCTGCATGGGTTGAACATTATGAAATTCTGACGCAAATCAAACACTCCGTGTCTGGTCACATGACCTTCATCAAATCTTGGCATTCTAGTCCAGCTTTGTCTTAGTGCACTTTCTCTCCAATTTTGAGACTGCGCCTGCCCAGATTGAATTTCGTGTGGTCGACGACAATTGAACAAGACATCTCACCAACCTCGCTGTCCGACCAGAATTTCTTTTCCCTCGACATTTCCGGGATTCTGTCAAGATGTCTTCCAGCAGCAGCAACCACAGATGTGAGCATACCCCTCTCGATACCAACAGGGGGTCGAAGCATGGCAAAGATCGAAACTGACTTGTTCCTTCTCGCAGTATACGTCAAGGGCAAGCACCTGTCCTATCAACGAGGAAAGCGCAACACAAACCCAAACACCTCTCTGCTCAAGATCGAGGGTGTTGATGACACCAACGCCGCAAAGTACGTCTGCCCACCTGTTTCGCCGCAAATCCCAGAAAGAGGAGGTCTATTTTGAACGACTTTGATGTAGAAGTGGAATCGAAGTGATGCGGCCGAGCGGGAAACATTTTACCTTCTTACGAACATCGTAGACTAACTTTCTTCCTCGTACAGATTCTACCTAGGAAAGCGCGTCGCATTCGTCTACCGAGCCTCGAAAGAACGACAAGGCAGCAAGATCCGAGTCATCTGGGGCAAGGTCACCCGCCCTCACGGCAACAGCGGTGTCGTCCGAGCAAAATTCAACCACAACCTGCCACCCAAGAGCTTCGGTGCCAGCGTCAGAGTCATGCTTTACCCCAGTTCGATATGATTTGTTTTTTTCGAGCGGTGCAAGATGTGATGTGGGAAAGGATGGATGGTGCCAACGAATCGACTCCGTCAAGCGATCACGGTCGCACTTGAGGGTGATCGTGGTTACGATCATCCCAAACGCTCTTCGATTCCAAGGTGGAAAAGGAGCGATGGGTCGGATATCAAAAGACAATTGTTGCGTGGCATGGGATGGTCAAGTCAATTCCCCATGTGGCATTGAGCGCACACGGTTTCTATGTGCATGAATTCAATCAGAAACTTTTCAACCGAGCAAACTGAAACTTCCAAGTTCGTGGACAATTTTGATACGAACTCTGATCCTGTGGCTTGTGAAGGCTTGGAATCGAACTACATTGCCGCCAAATGCCCCCAAGGACTGCAGGCGAAAACTTGTGCTAACCGGCTATGCATCAAGAAGCCTCCAACAAATCTGAGCTATCCCGTCGTGAAACTAATCTACATATACAAGTACATCAAAGCAACTTTTTCAGTCGCCTCGCCATTACCGCTGCGACCACGGAACACAATGCCCCAATGAACATGCAGATCGCGATCGCGTTTGGCGCATTTTTCTTGAGGTTCAGCCAGCGATGATGGTCTGGATCCTCATCCGCCACATGATCATTCCCGCCAGGCTCCAAGAGGGAAAAGACGATCCAGCTAACAAATGTGCCCACGAACTGCGGTAAAGTCGTATAGACGTTCAACACACCAAGGTAAATGCCCGCCAGCTCGCCCGTAGACGAATGAGCATTAGATTCATCCGGATGATTGATTCGCAGCACGCCGGTGTGCCCTTCCTCCATTTCTATATCGTCGTCTTCGTCTTCATCAGCAGTGCCCCGAACAGCCGTGTATCCAGGGACATTCGACCCATGCACATTCGCCCGCGGACCTTCAGTGTTCTTGTTGATTTCGATGCCCAGCAATCCAAAAGGAGCCCAGCACGATACCGCCCATGGCACACCGCACAAAGCAACGAGAGCGGTAGCAGCGGCAAGACTGCGGACGAAGGGCGCGTAGATCGTGATCACCGCGAAAAGCAAATTCGAGTACATCCACGCAGATGTCAAGTCCGGCTGCAACTTGTGCGCTTTGACCAAAATCGTTTGCGCGGCTTTAGCCAACGAAGCGGGCGGTCGAGGCGTGAACTTCTCCTGTGGCGCTTCCGGGGAACGAATGATGTACGGCAGCAGGACTGACGACCCGAAGGTGATGAGTGAGAAGATGACCAATGCCATACTGCCTAGCCTGCCGATGTTGCCTAGGGCGTCGTGCTCGTCTTTCGACCCAGCCTCCGGGGCAGGATGTTCGTAGCGATAGTAGATCTCGCCGACGAATGTGCTAGAGTAGAAGAGGAAGGGGAACCATCCGACCCAGTTCCAGAACTGTACCCAACAGATGCACTGTATCCGCGGCGGCAAGTTCAGCGTTCTATGCCACAGATTCGCCAGAACATCCTTGATCGAAGCCCTGTCCTCGTCGCCTGCCAGTCTGACTCGTTCGGAGACTGCCCAGGACGTGACGCCCGTCGTGATCCACAGAGCCAGCGCCGAAATCACAGTCATCTTCTTGAATTGGGTGTTTCCGCCCAGCCACCCCGGGAATATCTTAACCAAGTCGAACGTGCCGATGAAGTAGCCCAGCAGATGACCTGCCGCGGTGAGCCGCGACGCCCATGCCGACCCAGCCTGCTGTTGCGAGACAGGCAGTGTATCCACGATCAAGCTGCGACAGCACGCTTGCACCGCGTTCACACTGAAATCCAGCGCGTAGATACATAATACGGCCAACACGATTGTAGCGTCGTTCCTGGTCTCGCCTTCGGGCACGAACAGCCCTACAACCTCGGACGTCCAGCCCAGTAAGAGCAAGCCCACGCCTGTGATGGCTGCACCGACAATTATATACGGACGGCGTCTGCCGTATCTTGATGTCGATCTATCCGCGTATGCGCCCACGACGGGCTGCATTATTAGGCCCGATAGTGGTCCGGCGATCCATACTAGAGATGTCCTCGATTTCGTGAGGCCGAGTTGTAGGAGGTAGGGTGTGCCATCTGCATCAAGTGGTCAGCACAGTGCGCGCTACGTGATCCGGGAAAGGGGACGTTACAGGTCATCTCAGTGCCCCATGTGAATCTGAAGAGACATGGTCAGCAGGGTTTCTCACACGAGGTTGCGCCGCGCAACGTACTGAAGTCCAATGAGGCAGAACGTCAGAAGAACCATTCGCATGGACTCCGTGGAGCCCTTGATGGAAGGGTTGCCGCTCCATGATGCACTTCCTGGCATTTCACAAGCCGAACAGCTTTGTGTTGACGAGGCGCAATTGTTGAGGGTGGTGGTGGTGGTGGTGGTGGTGGTAGTGGTGGTGTTCAATGCCTCGTGGTGATCGCAACAACCGTGGTGTAGCCTCAGTGTACATAAGCCGGTAATTCGGAGTCTCCCAACAGCCTCAACAGTAGATGCGACACGAACTTATCTACCATAATGCTGAAAAGGAGAGCCGTTAACAAAAGTCCACGTCGTACTCAAAGCATTGTTCCCACGTTACGCGTGTTTGCGGGCGCAGGGGGGAAGTTCAAGAGGATTTGACATTTCTTCCACTTTAGGGCTGACGTATGCGCACCACAAAATCCCTGGCTTGAGCGAGAGAATAGGAACTTTCCATTCTAGCTAAGCTCACTACATACTAGTATGTGGGTTGTTTTTGTCTACCTAGGTATTCGAGGACCTGTAACATAGGATATGCTGTCAATGGTACTCCGTGGATCTTTTATTTGATGTAGTCGGTCGATGTCGCTCCAGCTCCTGGACGAAATCAGCCAACGGAATCGAATTGTATGCTTAGACGGCCGCACCAGAAATGAAGAACCACTTGTCAACACTGCCATCAATCGGCGCAGGTGGAACGTTCTGTCCTTGAGGGATCTTGGAGAGTTGAGACTGGTCCACACGGTCTGGAGAAGCGGAATTCGTGACGTTGGCGAGGTTGATTTCACCACGCTGTTGCTTGCCAGTAACGAGACGTTCCCAAGCATCGCTGCATTCGCGGATGATCTCTTCGGCATACTTCTTGTTCTTGCACTCGCCGCTGAATGCGAACTGGTTCTCGGGCTTTCCGTCTGGGATTTTGTAGATACGGAACCATTCGTTTGTAGCGCGGAGGAGGCCAGGTAGATGACGTTCAACGTCCTCGATGTCGTTGAGCTTGGGGGCAAGGGGATCGTGGATCTGTAGGCGACTCAATGAGCACATTTGAAATCTGCTTCTTCCAACAGGGACTTACGTCGATGACAATGATCTTCCAGTCCGTCTCCTCCTCATCCAAGAGAGCCATCACTCCAAGGACCTTGACCTGCTTAACCTGACCGGTGTAGCCAACAAGTTCGCCAATTTCGCAGACGTCCAACGGGTCATTGTCGCCCTTTGCCTTGGTCTCCGGGTGTACGACATTGGGGTCTTCCCAGGTCTGCCAAAATCAGTAAAGATACCCTCGCGATATTGTATGCCCCTCACTCTTGGGAAAGCACCGTAGTTCCACAGATAGCCCTTGTGGGGGAAGCAGTTGCGGACGAATCGAAGCTTGCCCTTCTTGATATCCTGCTTGATGGGGTTCCTGGAGTGAAGGTGTCAGTTCTAGAGGTTCGGGATGTGTGAGTTCGGAAGGCGCATACAAGAACTCGTCTTTAGAGATCTGGTCGCATGTGTCAGTACAACATTTCGGGTGAACGGAGCTATTGAGAGGTACACACCTCAAGCTTAGCATTTGACCATCTGGGGATCTCGACGACCATGTTGAGCACTGTCTGTTGCTCATTGGCATAGAGAGGAATGTCGTGGAAAGGTGAGACCGGAGTGCCATCCTTTTCAATGAAGCATCTGAAATCGAGGGTGTGCAGAGCACCAACCTTGCGAGGCTGGAACTCTGAGGGTTGCTTGCTGTAGGACATATTGGCGGGCGTAGAGGTAGAGAGGTGTCGAGAAATAGCTTCAGACCGTTGTGAAGCTATTGTTGCGGATGAGGGACGGAGGGGAGGGGAGGAAACAGAAACAGAATTTTGTGTAAACTTGGTGGGAGCCAGGGCGCGGGGTGTTGACGATTGGAATTGGCGGTGAAATGACGATAGATTGTGAGTGGCAGACGCAGACGCAGAGGCAAAGGTCCAGTTGCGGTTGCGGTCGCGGATACAGCTGCTGCAGGTTCGGGGGCGCAGGTGATGTTTGATTGTAGAAGACTGGAGTCTGTGCATGAGTTGAATTGAATGAGATTGAACTGGCTTTAGATCGCCCGTGTCTGTTGTCCCTTTCTACTTGTTGTAACTTCTTACTAGTACACCTCGGCCTTTTCGACAATCTCACGAAAATGCTGCTCGATTTGTTCCGAGTTATTGACGATGATTTCTTCTATCTTCACGTGACCTGAGATATCCTTTCCTGCGGCTCAACTGCATTTATGAGTCTGGAACACAAATATTCTTCTACATTTCCTGCAACACCCTTCATATGACTGTCGGCCATGCTGCTCGGCCTCAGTCTCTGCTACGACGCACTCTATCCATCATAAAACCTCTCCAGTCATTCTTGCTGACACCAGCGAGGATGAATATGTCTGCCACTATAGGCGATAATACCACCAATACCGTGCCTAATGTCGCGATACCCAAAAATGGTGCCGACTACAGGGGAAAAGTGGTTCTCGCACCCATGGTCCGATCCGGAGAACTTCCTTCCCGGCTACTGGCGCTGAAGTATGGCGCAGACCTCGTCTGGGGCCCAGAAACAGTGGACAAATCCATGATCGGAACGACACAGACAACGAATCCTAGGACAGGTTGCATAGAATGGAGTCGCAACTCCAACAATCAGAATCCCAACGCGCCACCAAAAGAGAACGTCATATTCCGCATCGATCCCAAAAGAGAGTCGGACAGGCTGATTTACCAGATTGGTACGGCCTCGCCCGACTATGCAGTACAAGCAGCGACACTTGTCGCGCCTTTTGTATGTGGCGTCGATGTCAACGCAGGCTGCCCAAAGCCATTTTCCACATCAGGAGGCATGGGAGCGGCTCTTTTAAAGACACCGGACCTACTTTGCGACATACTGACAGCACTTGTTACGAAAGTGGGAACTCCGCACGAGATCGGCATCAGTGTGAAAATCAGGCTCCTCGAGACGCCCGAGTTGACGTCCACCCTGGTCAACAGACTTTGCAAGACCGGCATTGTTGGGTTGACTATTCATTGCAGAACAACGCCGATGAGACCGCGCGAGCGCGCCATACGAGAACAACTCCGCATGATTGGCGACATTTGCAGAAGTCATGGTGTGGCTTGCTTGATGAACGGAGATGTTACGTCGCGGGATGAAGCCCTTGCTCTTGCGAAGGAGTATGGCGTCGACGGAGGAATGATTGCGACAGCTGCCGAAGCAAATCCTTCAGTTTTCCGGTCGAAGGACCAGGGCGGTATTGCGCCATGGCAAGAGGTAGTCAAAGAATACCTACAACTGGCCATGAGCGTCGAGAATAAATACGGAAATACGAAATTCCTGCTATCGCAACTCATGCCGGGCAAGAACCCGAAATATCAACCAATCCAAATGTCGAAATGCTACAGTGAGGCAGTTGCCCTCCTGGAGAACACTGAACCTCAGATGCTTGAGACAGCCAAAGAGGTCGACCACGTCCTCGAGCTGGATGCACCTAGGTTGACCAAGGCGGACATCAAGCGACAACATAAGCAGCAAAAGAAACATAATCAGACCAACAAACAGGATAATAAGAGGTCTCGAGAGCAAGAGCACGATCACAACAACCAAGGTCGGAGCGTCAGTCAAGAGCGGACCAAGAAGCAAAAGGCCGAGATTGCTGCAGATAACGCTGGCTTTGATGGTGTCGGGCAGGGTGCTATGGCAGTCGCAGCTTGAGTTGCAAAGTCATGATATGCTTCGGCAAATGCACTGAAGAACTGTTTGGAGGGCATCAAGATGTCGTCTTCATGCCAACGTCAACAGATGAACTCCGCAGGAGCGCAAAGTACTTCCCCACGCTTATTGCAATGACTCGACCCGGAGTTGCTGCAGACCTGCATGATCCTTCTTGGACATGTGGTCAAGGATAAGCATGCAATGGGTCCTGGTGGCAAGTAGCTGGGGGTCTCTACCTCCAGAAAGCCGTTGCGCTATGCCGTCCAATCTAAAAGTCGGTGGACTTGTAGTGCGGGACGGAAGACCCATCTCAATGTACAACAAATGCACTGAGCTAGCTCATGAATGATATGTACAACAAATAATACCGAGACTTGCACAAAACCGGCAACATCTTTGGTTTCATCTTACACAGTACTTCCTGCTCCGGCGCCTCTATCCTTCATAATTGGACATAAGGTACATATACATGGCTGAATATGCTCCCTCGTCTCGTCCTCCTGCCAAAGCCTGCACTTCATACCTCCTAATGCTTGACTGGGGCGAGTAGGGGTCTCGCTGTTAATACAGTCAGATTCAGTATTGCCGGTCGCCTGCAGACATCTTCTGCGGGATCCTCGCAAACCTGTTCTAGCGCCCTCCTTGTCAAGCAAAGCTCGTCTGAACTTCGAGCTAACGCAAGAACGGTCACCATGACGCTGGCGGCGAGCGGCGGTCCCAGTAACATCGATATCGTAGACCTGAAGACTCTCCTTACATGCCGATGCGATCACCCAGAAAGTTCTTCTTTGCGGTCCAATGCCCGCGCATGCCTGTTCACCTCTTCCACGATGTCCTGCAGACTGACCCTCTTCACCTTCTGTGCTTTTCCTTCGGTATTTGCCGCCATGTCCGTGGCCCAGCTGTAGCTCATGGTCTTGCCATCTTTAAGGCCGATCTCCAGCGTAGCTGGGGCTGTGGAACTCCGAGGAAATTGCGCGGTAGTGATCTTGATGGTCTTGTGCGCCGCGGGTGGAAGGAGGTTGAGGAACAACCGAGGGACTCTTGAGTTGACTTGAAACGGGTTGAAAGCCGTCTTCAGTGTTGTGAGGTAGGTCGTTCTCATGGTGAGAGAGAGGCGCAGAATGATGTTCTCGTCGCTTTTAATTGTCTGTTCGCTTTCTGCGCGTGCCACGAATAGACAGATATGCGTGACGCGGAGCCTTGACCAAATTGAAGCTTCTGAGCTGCTGTCCTCTGCCTAGATCATATGCTTGTTCGAATATCGCAGGTTCTGCGGATTGTGAATAACAGGAGAGTACTCGTAGTGGAATTCAATGGTTGAAATCCACACCAAAGAAATTCCGCGGTCAATAATGTTTGTCATGTTTGCACATCCTGCGGACAAACCATGTTGTCCTACCGCTCGATGGCTATGTCATTTTACTCCCTCCACACGACACACGAGGAAATGTCTCGCTCGCTGAGCCAGCGCCTACAGGTCCTTGCGGACTCTTACAAGGAGACTCTAAACTTGATCCAAGAACTAAGAAAGTTCTCTCCTGCATCATACACCGAGGGCGATCCCGACGAGAGACGGGTGGAGCTTGCGAATGAGATTCATGACACTTTGAAAGAGCAGGAAGATACATTGGAGATTTTGAGGCAGGAGTTCGAGGACGACTCAATTCCATCATACCGGCGCAACCTCCATGGGCAACACAGGGATGCCGAACGCGAACGAAGCGCAGCCCTGCTGGAGAAGTTGACAGAAGAACTGAAAACTGCACGAGCAAGTTTTCGGCGTGCGCAGCTGGCGGCCAAAAGGACGGCGGATCAAGAGAAGAGAAAGGAGCGAGAACAGCTGTTTGCAGCCCGCAAGAGCGAAGGAGGAAATGTTCGGACACGTCCTACACATGAGAAATTGACCCAGAATGAACTGGCCCTACAAGGATCCAGCGATGTCACCGCAGCACTCCGACGCATGCATAATCGAATGGAAGATACACTCTCACAGTCGGACTTTGCACAGCAGACACTGCAGGAAAGTCAGGAGGCACTACGGAGTCTCGAGGAGAGCTACTCTGGCACGACGGATCTACTCAAGCTTTCCAGGGGACTTGCGAGCCAACTGGTACGCAGTAACAAGTCAGATACTTGGTTCCTGAAGAGCGCGTTCTATATGCTGGCAATCACGATATGTTGGCTGATCTTCAGACGGCTTATATACGGGCCTCTTATACTGTTTGTATATTGGCCTATACGAACCATGTGGTGGTTTACAATGACAAGTATTGGCGCAATCGGATTTGGTATGCCGGATGGTGCTATAAGCACAGCACCGAAGCCGACCTTGTCGATAGTCATGCCTACCATGGTGAGTGCGAGGGCGAGTATGCCGACGCACGATTCAGGAATTCGTTTCAAGTCTATGGAGATACCAGCGAAAGGCGGTGGTTGGGACAGGAAGCCCAGGCAGGAACCTCAGTCTCAGGGTGATGAGAGTATGATTGAGAAGGTCGGAAGAATGATAGATGGTGAGCAGCCGGATGTCGCTGATGATGCGGTACAGGAAGGCAGTGGTCAGGAAGAGCAGCCTCGCAATACGCTGAAGCGCATGATAGAGGTAGAAGTGGAGAGCCCAGTTCCTTCTAGAGACGAGCTCTAAGAATATGCCATCAAGAGTCTCATGTTCGACTAGAATTACTCTTTCATCCCGTGGATTGTCAAGGAAGGGCTCCTAGATTTCAGAGCCTCGTCACGTGCGCCAGGTCCTGTCGCGCCAAGAACCTCTTTACGCGACTTGTGGCATGAGCGCGTCTTCTTCGCTTGCCTCTCCACTTGTGTAGACCAACATCACTTTTCAATGAGACACAGGTCTCACTGCAACACCACAATATCACCCAAAGTGTAGATTAACACCGGAGGTCGACTTGTTGCTGCAGCGCCTGTCTCGTCAGTAATTGAGACTGCCAAACCGATCTGCAGCCTTCTCACATTCTCAATCACCGTCATTGAATCAAACGCTCATCATGGCGAACTTCTTCGACAACAAAGCCCGCGCTCTGGCAGCGACATCGGCATCGAGCTCGAAAACAAAAGCGACTGAACCTGTGGTCACAGCTCCACGAATGCAACCGTGGGTTGAAAAGTACCGGCCACGCTCGCTCGACGAAGTCAAATCACAAGCCCATGTCACCGAAACTCTCCGTCGCATGGTAAACGCATCCAATCTCCCTCATCTACTTCTCTACGGACCTCCGGGCTCGGGAAAAACCAGTACAATCATAGCACTGTGTCGAGAACTTTTCGGTCCAGAACTTTACCATTCCAGAGTGCTGGAGCTTAACGCCAGTGACGAAAGAGGCCTTTCAGTCATCCGCGAACGAGTCAAGACATTCGCAGCTCTGCATCTAGTCAGCGCCCCAGCATCGAAAGAGTATCGCGAGCGTTACCCCTGCCCGCCATTCAAAGTCATTATTCTTGACGAAGCCGACTCTTTGACGCAAGACGCACAATCCGGTCTGAGACGAGTCATTGAGATCCACAGCAAAATCACCCGTTTCTGCCTCTGCTGCAACTACGTCAGCCGCATCATCGACCCTGTAGCCTCGCGTTGTTCCAAGTTCCGCTTCAAGGCGCTCGAAGGCGGTCAAGCGTCAGAGCGCATTCAGGAGATTCTGAAGGCAGAGAACGTCAAGTACGCAGATGGTGTGGTTGAGAGGGCCTTGAAAGTGGCCGACGGCGATTTGAGACGTGCCATCAATCTGCTCCAGAGCGCTGCTCGCCTTGTTGGTGCGACGGCCAATCAATCATCCAAGAAGAAAGCCAAAACAATTCCCGACGACTCGGATGAAGAGATGGAGGACGCGGATGGCTCGGCTAGCAAAAGCAAAGACACTGAAGCAAACGCAATCAAAGTCCTCGACATTGACGAGATAGCCGGTACCTTTCCACCCAGCTCAACCGACGAATTGGTCAAGGTTCTCCAGAAGGGAAATGCGCGTAACTACAATGCCATTGCTGCGCAGATCACTGAGATTGCCGCGTCTGGCTATCCCGCCAATGAAGTCCTGTCCAGTCTCTACAGTAAACTTATCTTTGACGACCTCGTTGATTCTGGAAAGAAATGCAAGCTGACGCAGACATTCTCGGAGTTTGACAAGAGATTGGTCGACGGTGTTGATGAACATCTTGCCCTGTTGGACCTTTCTTGTCAGATAGCCGGCGTCTTAGCGGCGTAGATGCACCTGGGCACGAGGCTTGGTGCTGCACTCAGTGGTGGAATATGTTATGCAGGCAGAGCAAAAGCGATTACAATGCACAGCGACGGCGTTCAGGGCTCAGATGGTGTGGCAGGCAAGGTCTCGGTAGCGCCAACGTGGCGAGAACTTTATGACTTTACACAGATTGGCATTGTAAACTACTCATAGCTTGTACAGACGGGCCAGCGGTCGTATCAGCATAATTGTATCAACAAGTGGTACCCACAAGATAAGGGCAGTGACAAATCTGGATCTTGGGCCATGGGCAAGCGGGCCGGCGACCACTCGAGATCGATGTCGATGACCTGCAAACTGCGAGTGTGGTGTGATGTTGATGCGAATGGGTATAGTCCCTGCACGTGACCCCATTAGTCGGTTGGCGACAGCGTTTTGCGGACTGTTGTACCAAGGTCGGACAATGAGTGGTGGAAGAGCGGATGTTGCGGAACATCAGACCCTGATAGCGCAAGTATGTTGCGAAAGAGCAGATCTTGCCTATCATTGAACTCGAGGCTTGTTTATCTGGCAAGCGTGCCCCAGCCTCATCATTCTTCTCTTTCGATCTGATGACCTTTCAGGTGAAAAGAGTCCCTTGGTGTAAGGAAACACCTCTGGGAGACGACAATCTCGACAGACCGCCTTGAAGCTCAACCCCGCCTAGACTTGCTGAAGCAATGGGTGGCCGTCGAGGACGGCTTGGCCTCCTGGCAGATATCGGGTCTGATCATGAGATCGAATCGTTATGCGGCGAGTGGATGTTGCCTCCCACTGACGAAGAGTCAGAAGATGACGATGAAGACGACGATGACGACCAGAACATGGGAGATGTGATCATGGTACGCCATGTGGAATGGGTATGCAAAGGCACGAGGACCTCTCCGATCCTTGGGTCAACGATCAGGTTATCGTGGCGCAGTCTTCTGTGGAAAGTACATCAGGTGAGTTTTTTGGCATTCGTATTGAAGGGCATGACTGCTGATACACGCAGAGTCAAACATAAACATATGCCTCGACTGTGCAATGTGAAACAGACCCCATTCCTGTATGCGACTGGGCGCAGTCCAGCAGGATGAGGGACATCATACAAGGATGGCTTCGTGGTCCTAGACACGAAGGTGTACTGCCTGATGATACAGGATAATCACCGACTCACCATGAGTATCGATCATAGCACGCATTTGCTATCGTCGTCAAGATACGCATTCTCAGCCTCATCATGTCGACGCAGAACCCCTGCAATCGTTGCGGGCGCCACTGATGCAGGAAGCATCATCATGGCGTAGCTTCACCGAAATCCCCTGTGCCTGAAGTCAAACGAGGCCAGTGGCAGGGCTGCCGGCTATTTTGAGCTGGATGCTCTTCCGAGTTTGTCGCTTGCCGCACAGAGCTTCATTCACGTGGGAGATACTCGAGCTGCTGCTCGAGCTCCTTTGCCGGCTGAAATAAATGCCATCCTGTTCCTCGGGACGCATAGCCGTGGTTCTGGAAGATTGCCTCCCCAAATCCTCTCCGCTATACGGAGTACGAAGACTTGGAGCGTACGGATTTGGTCCATCAAGACCAAAGAATGAGTAAAACTTTTCCCAAACCCCCGGAGGTCCAAGCGACGGGAGGATAGTCCCACGGTGCATCTGAACGGCCCGGTTTCTCTTACAGGCATAGTTTCAGCCGAGAACCGACATCGGGCGATGCCGAGAGACCCCAGTCTCTGCCAGGGGCCCCGGTTAAGTCGGGTTCACACCGACCCTGTAGCTATGGCGTGATTCTCGATTGGCCTGGATCAGAGTTTCCCACACAATTAAGATTTAATTGCTCAGATAAGTGGGATAACAGTGGTTTGACAGCTGCCAATTGTGCAAATTTGATCCTTGGATCTTCTGGAAGCTATCGCATGCTAGGCGGCTTTCCTTCGGCCAGCCTTGCATCTAACTTTCAATAATGCCTCTGCTGCGGTCTCGATTACTCTATCCGGTAGGTCAAGTGATGCTCACCGTCTACTGGAGTCACACTAGGCGACCTGGGCGGCTCTATCAGAGCGAAAATAATGGGCCGATATAGCCTGATCTACTGTGATCCACGGTAAAGCCCCATAGATGTCTCAAGCATCCAGATATTTAAGACGACCTCAGAGCTCGAATCCCCCCAAAGCATTTTCTACTCACACCACAGCATTCAGCATTCAGGCAAAAAGCAACAGCATTACTACATCACGCCAATAACATCCAAACCTATCAAAGTCAATCAAGACTTTCAAACCCCAACACACCAATGGCATCAGTCTCATCATCTGTGGAGAGCATGTCTCGCTGCTCAACCCCAGGCAGCAGCATCTCCGGAGAATCTCCCATGCGCAGTTTCGGCGATAGCTACTTCGAGAGCGTCAACACCATGACCGTCGAGTACCTCACGAAGAAGAAACAATCAAAGTCCACCGCCACCACCCCGTCGGTAGAATCTCCCATGCGCAGCTTCGGAGACAGCTACTTCGAGAACGTCAACGCCATGACCGTCGAGTACCTCACAAAGAAGAAGCAAACAAAGACCGCCAGCAGACCTCAGCTAGTGAAGATGAACAGCTATGGTAGCTCGTGGTTCGACAACCAAGCGTCGCAGTTCGAGGAGTGGCAGAAGGCCAAGCAAGCTCGATTGGCTTGAACAATAACAATACCTTTTTACGACTTTTCATACCTTATCATGGCGTCACATATTGGAAGCGACTTTTGTTTATGAGCGATGAAGCAAGCCGGCGATGATAGAGCGGCAAACGAGGATGTTTGGGATTTTGGGATACAGCGGGCTTTGGAGATCTCCTTTTAGAAGAAGAGTTGAGACACATACCATCATTTAAGACATGTTAGAGGGATAAGGTCCTTGAGGCTTTACGATAATACAAAGATTTTGGGATCTTAGCAGCACACTTTTTCCACTCTCCGTTCCCTTTCAAAACTACCGTGAGGCTTAATGCATGGTTCTGCGGAGACGACCTCTGCGACCCATCATTCACATGTTCTCACGGTACGTAGGACTGGCATGTGGCACATCATGAGATGCTACGATAATGCGACGAGGCTGTGCTGTAGCGTAGGTGCGTGCAGGCTGCAGGGGTACGAACTCTTGCTTCCCTGGCTCGTCATACTTGTACCATCACACCACAACCGAAAGCCTGCCTGACCGCACACGCAACTCCTGAGAGTGGTGACCAGGGCATCTCTGCGGATTTCCAGGGGAGGTTTGGATTGTGTGATCATCACATCTGGGTGTCTGCACACTCGGGTATAGGCATTGAGGTGTCCGCAGTAGGAATACGAGGCCTTTTCCTTGCTCCACCACATCAACGGGGTACTGTAGAGCCTTGAACATTGATGCCAAAACGGCGGCGATGCGAAGAACCGACAAACGAGTCGGACTTCTTTTTGGTGATGCCCGTGCAATGTCTTGTCATGCCTGTATTCTCATGGGCTATCTGTAGGTATCATTATTACTCCAACGTAAATATCCGCCTTCCATGCATTAATGTCGTTTGTTAGTCCACGCATGTTGATTACTCCCAGCCCTCCCACTAGACGGCCTGTCATTGCCAATTCATGCCATGCCATCAGATCACTGATCGAAGAACAGTGCTGTAGTCAACAACTGCTCCAACGGTGATTTCGGCCTCAAGCGATCATCGACCTCATCTGACCCGGAGCTGTCATTGGACGGAGAATTCTCGTCCTCCAGGCCAATCTTGAATCGGAACTCTGTCCGTCTCTTGCGTTTCCTTTCCCTCTCTGACGACGATCGCCGGTATGTTGAGAAAGACGGGGCCGGTGCAGGCTTGATGTCCTCGTCCCGCGAATTCTGGTACGCTGAAACCACGCTGCCAGTCTCGGAGCTCTGAGCAGAGCGGGCACCGCTGCTGGAGGCGTCTGCATACTCTGCGGAGGTGTCAGTCTGTGTCGACTGTGTTGAGTCAGTTGCATGGCGGTGTAGAGCCGGGGTGATCGGTGTTGGAGGGGAATTGAAGGCTGTGTGATGACTGATGGTGTTGCTGGTGACTTCTGGGAAATGCTGGGAACTTTGGTCGGAGAGGTGGTTGTTGTTTACTTTTTGTTGCCGGAGCTGTTCACGTATACGACGCATGGCGTGCATGTGGCTTCGGAATCCGTGCTCAATGTCGTCGAGATCCATGACGCCGCCGGGATGGTGGCCTTGCCGTTCGTGTCTCGGTTTCGGAGGTGATGAAGACGTCTTGGGTAGTTGCAAGCCAGGTCCTTGTGATTCGTTTTCCAACAGCGGCGTCATATAGCTTCTGCTATTGGCGTTGACGTATGCAGCAGTCTCATTGTGTTGTGAGGCCTTGTCCGACGGCCGCCTGATGCCTTGAACCACGTCTTGATCCCATTTGTGAAGGACATTCTGGCTGACTTCGGCGAGGACCTGCCACTCCTCGGTTTCTGACCGCTCTCTCGCCCTGGCAAGCTCGGCGTGTGTGAGACATGATAGGAACACGTTCAGGCTTTCGACCAACATGGAAAGCTTTCTCCGGAAATCTTGTATCGTGACCCCTTCATAAGTCTGCTCGGGATGTTTGAGCCAGTTCCTGATGACTCCACGATCCTTGGCTGGAGTTGAGAGGTATAGTCTGACAAGGCTGTACAATGGTCGTAGTGCCGAGCTCAAAGATGTCAGGATTTTGGAGAAGGTCAATGCCCAGCGTGCCTTGTCTGGTTGTCGGTCGATGAGCGTTGATGTGGTTCCGACGCTGTGTAACGAATCTACACTGATTGCGATGGTCCAGATCTCGAAACGAAGGTTCTCAAAGTCTTCGGACGCTTTTTGCATTCCATAGAATGTATGCCATGCTAACTTGCATACTTCCGCCAAAGTAGCCGGCTCGCCGGTGTGGGCATTGCTGAATCTCGTTTTCGCCGCCATTTAGGATGTATGTACTCAAAATGAGGCTGTAAGTGCAGAAGGAGCAACCTCGCACTAGACTCCTAGTACTTAAACAGGTCAGTGAGGCCGTCTGTGAAGTCAGACACTCCCCTGTCAGGTTTGCCTCCCGCATAAACCTAAGATCTTTCAATGCCCCAGTAGCAGGTGATAGTGGCTCATTTGCCTCCCATTCATTGCATGCCAACAATATTGAAGAGCGCAGGCAGCGCACAGCTGACAATGAGTGTCGTCTGGGCAAGGTATGAGCTCTTGGTGCCAGTGGGCCAGGCGCCATGCTCAAGAGGTCGCACCACCTTGTGGCCTGACAGAAATATTGCGCCACTCCACTAAAATCTTAAGGGGAAGCTCCGGGAAAGAATCCCTACCAACATCAAAGCTCACAGACAGCCGCTTACATGGACTTGGCTTCGATTGGGCAGTAGTTGCAGCCTCATACGTCCCATAGACCAGATTGATAGGGTCGGGAACATCCTAGGTCAATGCTCGAGCCTAGATCACAGGACGAAAGCTAACCACTGGGGTGAAACAGGTGGTCTGCCATATCTGCCGTTGCGCTCCCTACCACCAGAACTATTTCGTCCCAGGTTGTCAATAAATGACTGGAGTTGTTGGCCCCTTTTCCGTTGCTGTACACCAGAAAGCACCACTGTAAATGGTTGTCGAGAAGGGCGATGAGGATCTGGGTAAGACAGTAATTACCGAGAAGGTGTTGACTTAGTATGGCGTACTGTAATCGAAAGCCAAGGACTCACCTGACACGGAAGATGATCCGTTTTAGCGGAACAAGCAGCCTATAAGGCCACCCCCTGCGGGTTGGAATCAAGCCACTGCCGGGCCGAGTTTAGGCGGCGATCCTCCCGCGTGCTAAGCAGGGCTCGATCTGGATTTCCGAATGGTCAATTGCCGACTTACTTTGTTCCACCAACCGTCAAAGTAGGAAGCGCAGACGCAGCCACACTATCGTTTGCCCTATGGTAGCCAGCGGGTGCTGCGAGTCAGAGCGAGATGCTGGTACCAACCCTATGGGTTCAGACACAGCCTCATGCAAGCCACATGGGTAGCTCCCTGATATAGCTCGCCCGCCTTCGCAAGCCTTCGTAAGCAAGCAGCGTTCGATTACTTTATTAGCGTTGCTTGGTTGTCAGTAAGCCTTCTAGACAACAAAGCACCCTGAATGACGTCTCCTTGAGGTATCCTTGAAAGCCCCAGGCCTATAGCCATGAGTTGTGAGTACTTTCAGGTCTTGAGTCAATACCAGGTATGATATGGTCTGCTCAAGAACGAGCATGTCAACTAGACCATACCCTTACACAGTGTTATGATACAAATCGCAACACCCTCCACGAGGATCCTAGTGTGAAAGCAATACCCTGCATGTATCACCGATTTCTCCGGCTCATGAGAGGTGTAATGTCGACGAATACCTGGGGTTCCCAATGCGTTCGAACTGGATATGCTTTAGCGACGTGCCTAAGAATCGTTGATATGACAGGCCAGTTTAGTGGCCCATAGTCAATCGCATGGTCGAGCCCGAGGAAATCGATCGATTCATGCTCTCTTTTGTTGACTGGCCTGGATCCAGACAAACGTTTTCAAGGAGGGGGCATCCTGCGCGACGGTGACCTGCAACTGAGCAACTGCAGTGCTATTGGGGAGGACTGCAGCAACAGATTGCACCTGCCGCTGTCAAAAGTACTCCATCAAAGTGGTGTGCTGCCCCCTTTGCCACCTTGAAGCACTACTGAACCCTAACTCCCCTGCCAGCCGTGACTGTATATGACGCGTGAGAGTAGTGGACTTGATCATATATCTTCAATAGGAGCTGTCCGTTCTCACAGCCTTGGTGGTCTGCAACAATACCTCGAGAAACTCTTATTACTCACCGACAGTACATCTGCCACCACAATTGCTACCATTTGAAACACCATACTGTCCAGCCCCCGAAGGTATCTGCTTCTGAGACAAGATTTTAGAGGAAGCAACTCCACCACAGCGGACTTTGAACACAAGATGAAGAGAGCCATCACGTCTCTTGCACGAAGAACAAAGCCTGACCTGAGACGGCCTCTCTTGAATCTCTCACAAAGACTCAGGCGATCCATGCTCAGCTGGCTGATCATCAGACCGTACAGCCAAAATGCCGTTATGGTGAAATTGACCGAGCCTGGGGATGTCCGATGAGCGTCAAAGTCCCGGGCCTCGGATGATTTTCCTCCGGGGGTCATGGTCCAGATCACGACACGGACCCTTAAGCGAGAACGTGGTCAGCCTTGCGGTATTTGCCGATACAGTCCGTCACACCACTAATTCTGTCGCACCACTTTTTGAAAATGCCATTTACTCATGTTGCACTGTAGCACTGCAGACACGTGGTCTTACGCAGGGACTCGGTTCCCGGCAAGAAGCCATTGACCTGCGAAACGTTTTATGATTTGCAGAATGTACGTTGTATGGTCAGGTCTAGTCATGCTAGCCTCGCAAGCAATACGCAAGCCCCACATCCAATGTCGCTACTGCTCCCATCCTCTGCCCACTGACAGGATGTCGGCGGAAGTCATACGATGTACCACCGCTTCTCTTTATACGCTTATACAGGAGTTATGCGAGACAACGGAAGATTATGTGAATGTCACGGCCGGAAGAGAATGCTTCATATCTGCCACGAAACCCTCCGACTTCAACAATCTACATTTTGAACCACCCACTTTGATCCTAGTATTCTGCTGAAAATACGGTGATGGACGTTGCTCAACGTACAAGCCCGAGACCGATACCAAGCAAGATCTCATCACAACGTCATTCAATGACTTCTTCTTCCTCCCCTGTGCTGAGCACAGAAGCACGCTATTTCGCCTATAAACTAGGCTATATCTCAAAGTTCAAGATTGAAAGAGAAGCCAAAAAGACCGAGCCTCGACTTCACAAACTCGTTGGCCACTGCTCGTTGTTTGATCAGGCTAGAAAGTACATCCTCGAGCACAACCACCAGGAGGATATTCTGGATGCCGAAGTTGGTGACGAATTGTCCCTTGAGCACAGCGACGAGGATTTCGAAGCTGAAATCGAGCATATCGAGACCGTGGATATTGCAACACTTTCGACCAAACACTCAGCTAAGCCGGGTGATGTTGTCGTTGTTCGGGCAACAGCGATCCCAAGCACACATCTTGACGAAGACGACCTAGATTGGGATGATGACCTCGACAGCGATTCTACAGCAACCAGCGATGACGACGACAATTGGAGCGACTCGACCGACGGTGAGGACGATGGCCATGCACAGTCTGACCGCAAGGTCGCGGATATCTATCACACAGCGAAGTCGAAATATCTACATCGGAACGATGATCTTCTTCTGTGGTCGCAACAGCCGCAGGTATTGACGCCTAGTCAGGCTGACAGTCTGCTCATTGAGGCATTTGCCTGAATATGTGGTGCACGCCTCCTGTGCACCAACCTGAGCGTTCGAGGCCTATGCCTTCGCATTGTCTATAAGATACCCATTTAGTTGATCGTTGCATCTCAATGACAGACTGTTCATACAGTGTACAGATAAAGGTCGTAACTAAGGTTCCTAAATTCCCCGTGTAGAGTAGTCCTTTGGAACCCGTTATCATGACATCGCTACGATGATGTGCACGTTATTAATCCCATGAATATACTCATGAAAGTCAACGCACTGAGCCCTTTGCATGACTAGACCCACACTCCACCGAGCCCGACTCGGGACACAAAGCCCACCTAGTGCGAGAGGGCGGAGAGCGGCACCGCACAACTGGAGGACATAAAAAGGTGATATATCTCACTCTGCTCTTGATGTCCCCCGATGGCCACGGGTCCGATGGGACAATTCGAGGCCAGCAATTCCACATGTAGTTGTAAGTGTCTCAGCTGGCTGCTCACATTCGGACTCGCACTTATATATAATCTCGTGGCGGTGCAAGTAGAGTGGCAGGACATGGCTATTGTGTCTTCGTAGTCTCTCGAATTTGTTGCTTGGTCATCGAAAATGAAGCTAATGGCACTCTTTGCGCTGCCTGGAGAGGTGTCCAATTGGTGCGGCTTAGAGTGAGCCTTCAGTCTTGCTGGTGAAGAATTGTAACATGTCGTAGGTGAGTGAGTTCTATGGGGTTGAATTCTCCCCTATCAGGGGTGAGTCCGAGAAGGTGTCGTCCGGACTATAGTGTCAGACTCAGGTACACTCGGCCGTATTGCGCTCATTCCATGTAAAGTTCCTCATGAATCAGGGAAGATAAATGACATTATGACCGGGTCCGAAAGAGTACTTCATACGCGCTGTGTCTATTGAGCATAGAAGTCCAGCCTAGTGTGCCCAAGCCGTTGTTGTGGCGCGAAAGGGTGCTGCATCGTCTTCCTTTCAGGGCCATAGTCAGCTGAAGTGATTACAACAGCAGAGACAGAACGATCTTGATCGAGATATGATGGTTGGTAGCTTCATCACATCACGAGAGTATTGTGTTGGGAGTGCTCGTCTGCAAGGCTGGGGGGGAAAGGGGTAAAAAGGGTCCTGCGGGGAATGCCCCGGAGGGAAAAACCCAGCGCGTCACAAGCATCCGCCATAATCCCTCAATGACTTCAGCTGCTTGAGCTGTCCATTGTCACCCCATCAGATCGTCGAGTCGTTGCAGCGTTGCTGATGAGGATTGGTGAGGCTCCGTCGTAGCCCTCTAGCCCTTGTGGTTCAAAGAGTAGCTTGTTGCAGGTCCTGCTCCACGAGAGAGTCCCAAGCTTGTCCGTTGCAATCGGGTTGAGCGGCTGGCACCTGGGAGAAGCAGGTACAGTGAATGCCTGAAGCTGCAGACAAAGCAGACCTGGTGGTTTTTAAAGGGTGAACTCATGAGCAATTGCCACGAGTGAGCCAGTCTGTACAGTGTTCAATGCATGCTCAGTTCGCAATCATATGCATACGTCGGCGCGCTTAATGTACTCCTTTACAAGACCGTTCTTGCAGGCTTGCATACTGTTCCTTGATTCCGAGTCACACTTGGAAACAGAGCAAGTGATGCAAGAGATCGCAAGAGTAAACTTATATACAAAGTAAGGAATGCATTAAGTTCGGTGAAGTATGGCATGCCTTAGCCACGCCCGGGCACCAAACACCAATTACACCATCTCTTACGTGCAACAGCTTCCCAAGTTATATGCACACACATCGCATGTTTGATATACATAGCCAAACTCTTCTACTGTCGCTCATACGGGGGCGGTCAGTGCTTCACCACTTACACTTGATCGTGGTGATGGATGAAACTTGTCATGCTTGCAGCAGGCGCAATGGTGTTGTGGCTTATCACGCTGCTTGAATAAAGGAAGGCTCCTCCAGCTCGTAGTGTGCTGGAGCTCAATCAGATGGAGACAGAACGCTACAAGAGCTGAAGTGACAAATGTTGCCCTAAGGAAGTCATGAGTACATCGCGAATAGGAATAAAACGTGTTCAGGTATCTGGTGCGTGTTGCTTACAAGTTGATGATCATGAACGCAAACATGGCTTTGACGAGCCTGCAATCAGTCATGAAATACGACTTTTGGGGCCTACCGTCAAAGTACTTGGTGATGAATGCGTTGCAAGTTCCAGTGCCGTCAGAGTTCCAGACGCCGATCAAGCTGCTCCATGCAGCCACAAACAAGACGTCAAAGATGGCTGTGACGGTGAAGAAGATAAGCCCTTCGAAGATAATGGGCAGGAGGGTCACGCCTGCGTAAATGGCGCAGACGGTTGCTATGGCTAGCGCCGCGGTGACTTTGGATGGCACCCCTTGCTCCTCGCTTGAGAGGCCGCTGATGAACGCTGCCGCGAAACCGATCATGGGTAGGGAAAAGACGGTCTGGCAGATGCGCAGACCCAAAAGGAAGATTCTCAGGAAGGCCTCATCGAGAGCCTGTGAGAGTTCGAGGTCTCTTGTTCTGATCCTGAATGTCATAATAGTATGGTTGGTGGTTGGCACTTGCTTGTGAAGAGGTTGTGGTCAAGTTGCTGCTTCGACGTTTCATTACTACCGGTCTCGGGTCGATGCTCTAATCTGGGTATGACATGCTCAGATATAGTTCTCCAGTCTACAGAGAATTTCTTCATGACCTCGTGCGCCTCTGGAGGCATTTTCAAGTTGCCCTGAAGCATCAGGAGCGCTCCTGATGGTCGACGACAAAGCAATGCGCGTGACCCAAGGGCGGAATAATGGCGCGATGATCCCTTGAGTGCACGGCTTCCGGCGACAACAAGCTCTGGCCCAGAACCATCCACACAACGCCAGCAATAAGTATGTCCGCCCCAAGCGAGATAACACCTTCAGACCTCACCTTACCATCCCATACGTCCCGTGTGTCCCTATCCCTTGCTGGTCATCCTCTCGTCCGTGACGACCATCCTTTCGGCCTGTCGTTGCGAATTTCGCTGTCATCAGGTTTCAGGGTCAATAGGTTTTTAATAGGGTTTTACATTGCCCGTGCTCCTATGATTAAGCGACCACGGCGGCTCTTCGCCCAACTCAGAGACCCAATGCTGATCGACAAGCCAACGAAGTCAGATTCGAACTCTGTTGCGCGTTCGTACATCAATGCCACATAACAAGGGCCACAAGTGGGTGCTATGAGCAAGGTATCTCTGCTAGAGTTACGCAATCCCATATTGGCGCTGCGAAGTGTAAAAGGCTCGGGCTGTTGCACAAGAAACGACCATTGTTCTGCACAAAACAAATTTTAATATTGATGTGTTATGCACATTGGAAATTGAGATACCACATAGGAAAGTCACAGTATTCTGTAGGCCGAAAAACCTTCATGTAAAGCACGTTACTGTACCAGCTGGACATACGCCGATGATCTTGATAGGGTGTTCGCTGGACACAGGAAGTGTCCTTATCTGGAAATTGGAGGCTGTGGGCGCCATTGGCAGAGCCTAAGTAGAGGGTTCGTGCAAGGATTACTAGTGATGGTTATGCGGCAATACAATACCGCTCGGCTGCCAGCCTCGGTGTCGCGAGCAACGCTAAGTTAAGGGTCCCCAAGCAATACGGAGAGCTACCCGCTACCTGTAAGGCATGCCTTGCCCACTAAGATAGGCACATGCAGAAGCGTAAAGTACGCCGCGGTACCTCCCGGTTTATGCTTCGAGCTCATGGTGGCCTGATAAGTCACATCTTCGATCTGCTTTGCTGCGACTGGGGACGTTCTAAGCGAACCGTCTTGGTCTCCATTGTTTTACTGACAGCTACTGAGTTGCTTTCTATCCACAGCATGATAAAACAAGGAGGTCCTCCTTCCACCGTGGAGTGACGCATTTGGTTTCTCCAAAGACTTCAAAACATCATACTGTGATCTATCGAACTACTACTTTGGTACTCAACTTACGACTATCAAACCATTAGAGGCAGCAATGCCTTACTCACAGATGTTCAACCAATTGCAAGACCAGTCATACTACAATCAAGTGTGTACCCAGTGTGACGGAATACATGTTGCTTGTCCCACTGACAATCATAGCAGCAACCCTGGAACGAGGTGGACTTCACTACCTCTCTTCAGCCTCCTAACGCCAATTTCAAGTCGACCGAAGACACAACATTTTACGACGTCGATAACATACCGACAGACAATCAGAATGCTCCATCACCAAACTATTCACAATTTTTGAATTTCGAGTCTTCCGATGTGGGCTCATACTCTGTTGCGAGTGAAAATGGACCTTCCGAGTCTTATCCTACCACCTCGCCCACCTCATTCAATGCTTCACTGCCCGCAGCGAGCTATGCAGTCAAACTGGAACCGGATTTGATGCAAAACGATGCTTGTTCATGCCGACTTAGTAATGGACAGGCGAGCTGCAGCCCTCAACAATGTGGGCAAGAACCAGCCTGTCTACAGCTAGCCAGCCTTGCTGAAATCGAGGACTGCAATACTGCACAATATGCCACCACGAATGCAAACGAATTCGACTTTTCCGCTCCTGTCAGGAAATCTTCACGCTCGATCTCGGGCGAGCCAGCTCCCAAAGCAAAGGGCCAGCAGAAGGAGAAACCCACGCGCAGCAAACGAGGCGTCAAGAGCTCTTCCAGCGACGAAGACACCGCTCAACTGCGGGCCAAGCAAGCACATTCGGTCGTCGAAAGACGGTATCGTGACAACCTGAACGGCAAGATCATGCAGTTACACAGCGCTTTGGTTGCCACAGAAGCGAGCTCACGGCTGACGGGTATGCCTGCCCAAGACTTTTACACTTCACGAGACCATCGGGGCAAGGTGAGAAAGTCTGATGTGATGACGGATGCAATGAACTATATCCATCAGTCAGAGGTTGAATTTCGACATATGACCGATGAGATCGGCCGTCTTAACGAAAGAGTCAGGACTCTAGAAGGACTTGTCAAGTGCGAAGATTGCACCTTGCTCAAACAGATGGTGCGATTACAGCTGCAGCAACAGCAACAGCAACAGCAACAGCAACAGCAACAGCAGCAGCAGCAGCCTCTACTACAGCAACACATGCATCACTGAGCCATCACATGTACGAGTTGCAAACAATATTTGAAGACATGTTCAAGGAAATGGAGACTTCGAAATGATGGGTTCGTGTTTTACGCACGACGACTTTGGCGAATGGAGTTTTCATTTGTGCCAAAAGTGTTTCGCAGAGGATTTCTGCCAGGAGTTCAGGGGATTTTATCTCGGATGCGAGACCTCTGTGAAAGCATTGGAGAATGTGTCTCGCGCCGGTGGGCACAGAGGAAGAAGAACAGAATGTTCATACTCGGGGTGGGTTGGCTGTGCTTAAAGACTATACACGGACAGTGTGCTCAAAGATGCTACTTTTGACGACTGATATGACTTGTTTGACTCGCACTTTGTGTGCTTGAGTCCATACCGGCATTTGCCATGGATAGTTGCTACATGCGCTACAGAAGCAGCGCTTATTACTTTGTAACGATATGCGACGAACCTTTATGATCTATATTCTTCTGTCATTTTGTCTCACTGCTATGCTTTTCAGCAAAGGCCAACTTCCAACAACTTGCCTACGGGCAATTTGAGGACCAGCTTCGATACCGTAGGTGCATTGCATAAACTGAGTCACGTAATCGATGCGGAGTTTTGTAGCCCGCTGACTTACACCATCTGCAGCTCGGTGCATCTGAAACTCCACAGGACCGAAAATACTAGCCAGCCAATTGTGAAGCTTTAAGACGCTTGAAGAAACGTCCCTTTCCAGACGTCCGCAAACGGATCAATTGTTGGCACTTAACACAAATTCAAATCCAGCACCATCACTTGTTCCACCCACACAAATACTTGTGAAAGTTCCAGTCGGGCATGTAGCCTGCGCTGCCCTCACACAACCCTCCCACCGACCCTTGCTCACGTTGATCGTGGCCCCTGCGTCTGCGTTTGAAGCAGTGAGTGTGAATTTGGCTGTTCCTGAAGCACCGACTGTCGTTGCAGGATCACCGCCACAAAATTCGATCGCCCCTGCAATGCCACCGCAGATCGATAAGATGGCGACGTTCGTGTCGTGGGACACGAGGGCCACGCCGGGGTCATCGCAGGTCGTGCCGGTAACAGCTTGCGGATTTACCGAGGTATTCGCTGGTGAGCGGGCCTTTACTGGCGTACTGCGATCACGTAGGGTATTGGTAGTGAGCAGCGGAGAAGACAGCGTTGCTGTGGCGAAGAGGAAGAGTGTGAGGCAGAGAGCATTGGTCGAGATATGCATGCTGAAGAGAGTGTCCGTCGACTGAACTCGAAGAAGGGGCTGGTTTATGATGAAGATAAGACAAATGTAAAGGCTCGCAATATATGGTGAGGAACCATGCTCAGGACACAGAGACGCCAGAGTACTATTTGTACTCGTCGAAAACTGACGATGAGGCTCAGATCTTCGCTTGTAGGGGTGGCTGCCCTGAACTCACATATCGATCCTGAAATACTGGGATTTCAAACCCCTAGTTTGTGAGGCTGTCCGGAGAAGGACTTTGCAATGCTAGGAAAATACCTTTGCGCTAACATAATCTCATCTCGGCTCCATCACGCGGTTTGAGATATGTACCACCACGAGCTTTGTGACTTAGCGAGCGTGTCTCAAGTTGCCAGGTGAGGCGTTATATGTTTGAGGACTTGGTAGGAGTCGAGGAAATGCCTCGAACGCGCCAGAATGGAAGAACCTCGGATGCAGAAAGATCACGTGAAACATCCCCCAGTTCTATCGACCAAAGGGGCACTCCGCCGACCTTGCCGAGACACACGAGGTCGGCGCGAGATGTTCCCCTAAGCGATGCATTGCACCTACCAAGCCCTCGTAGCAAAGCGCAAGGTTTTAATTGCAGAGCCTCACGAGACGAAACAAGAGATCAACTAGCATATCGAGCTGATACTCCTGGCACGAATGGTAGTCGCAGCAACGAATCGCCCGCGACATATGCAGGATTACACTACCAGAATAAGTGTAGTGCAAACGGTCGATCCCAACACCGGCTGGGGATCTGGAAGAAGTCAGGCCTTCAGCGCCAGCATCCACACGCAGAACAGCCCTACGAAGAGGGCCTTGATTCGACATGGTGGACGATGATGCTATCAACCCTCCACCCTCCACCCTCCACACTCAGCAGAGACATTGGAAGATCAGTGTCACGAGCAATCGTCGATTGACCGGGTCGTCGTTATCTAAGTAAGAGGCGTCAAGCAGAGCTTAAGCAGAGTTATGGGGGCATTTGGGGGGATTTCAACGATGCCAGCCTCGCCCTTATGTCCCGAGATGGTATGGATCGATGATAAGGAGAACTTCTGCCGTCTGGAGGAGCTCCAGACCCTGACTAGATCCTAACGTTATGGTCTGTGGACTTTTCAGAGATAGTTTTTGTATCGCAATTTCCGTCCCTCGACAGCACCTCTGAGCATGCATGCATTGCAGATCGTAACGCAAAATACCAACCCGGCCCCGTGCCCGTGTCTGTTCCTGCCACGTATCGTACAAGGATGAACCCACTTTCGGAGCCGTCCCACGTCCGATAGTGCACCACCACATGCAGGGCAGATGAGGTTGTGGAGGCGTGGGCGCGAGAGCAGGAAGGTTTTCGATCTTATGTCGACAAAGACCAATGAGACATGGGAAGCACAACTTCCAGATCAAGCGATGCCAGATCTCAACGGGCTCGCACATGCAGGGAAAATGGCAAAGACATCGACCCCAGCTGGTGGGCGTACCTCGGGGGCCCGCAGAAGGAGCAGCCGCACGCACGTGTCACAGGAGGCCACAGAGATAACATCTCATCGGTGTGCCACCACAGTGGAGTTCAACAGGGCCCGCCAGAGGATCATCGTTGGCTGGGAACAGGCAGAGTAAGCGAGGTCGTGACGCGGTAAGGTCGACAATGACTGGTCAGGAGGACCAGCTCAATCCTCCTCGCCTTGCTTGGGTGGTCTGCCAGGAGGATCAGCGTTGGTTAGTGGGGACACTGGACAGTGTTCAGGCTCGTCACACGGTGAGTGGACAGGGCCCGGTCAAGCTTCGATGAGCGAACGGCGAGCAACAGACTGGGCCGCCGTGGGTATGCGGTCGAAGACTGCTCAGGTCAGTCGGCAATGGCGACCCTTCTGGGGCAAGGTGACGAAGTAGTCTCGCCTCAGCATCAGACAAGTCCGTGACTGGGCCGCGAGACGAACTTAGAACATCTGAAGGTTCCTCGGCGCGCTTGTGAGCTTGTAGCTTTGTAGCTTGTGCCGTGTTGACCACAGGTTGGCACTGTAGCATTCGGGGTCATCCCCGAGCGAATACATGACAAGGAGCGTGTGGACGTGGTGTTCGGCGCCGAACGGCAGGGCAATTGTGAGGTGACTTACTGACTTAGAACACGTACTCGTCGCCGTTCTGCCCGGTATGTGTGATGTGTGATGTGCCGTGTCCTATGCGCTGGTGAGGCTGAAGCTTGCGAGGCTCGTGATAAAAATGAGGTCTTTACGCTGGACGTTGAAATTGTGAGCGCACGTGCCGTTGGACCCCTAAAATGCACCCCGAAGAATCCCTGGTTGGCAGGATAGCCGATAATGTTCCGGGTGATGGGTTTTGCGGCTTAAAGGGCTTAAAGGCCGCTTAGGTAAGGACGTGGTACTGAGAGCTGCGGGTAAGTGTTAAGCGGCATCCGGGCGTGCTCGGTACTTTGTAACTCAAGGGTAAGCGGCAGTTCGGGGCACATGCTGCAGCGGAGTTATTCTTCCGCACGCTTGAGATTGGGAGCCGAAGTACTGAACCCCTAAAAATGGTCAGACCGTTCTAGATGTCGATTTCGCTCAGTGGTGTGACACGCTCTGGAGTGTAAGGTGACTTGATTTCTGCACCACCACAACGACCAAGCTTACGTGAACACATTGTCAGTCTACTCAATCGTTGACGACTGACCGTGAGTGTGCGTGTTTTAGTGTTGTTGCTCTCGTCTAACTGAGGTGTTGACGACTGGAGACCTTTAGGTGATCGCCTGTTTTCGGGACGATTCTAGTTTCGAAACCACCGTCCGTTATCTTGCCTGTGGAGTGATCTCCTGAGGATATGACAACTCATAGTAAGCCTTGTGGGTCGTCTTGTCATGTGCCTTGAGGTCCTCATATGATGATGGTATGCACGTATACACCATCTGATAAGCGGGGTAGGATAGATAGCCCTGGGGGATAAGAATTGCCATTTCTCGTCCCTTTGGTGTCTACGCCTTTTCTCCCCCAGAACAGATTAAGATACTTACCAGATAACACCAACGATATCAACGCACATACACGCAAAGGACAGACACAACATCTCGTCTGTACAGGTTCATAAAGTGTGCAATTCAGAACAAGTCAGCATTCGACTTGAACATCGAAACAAACAAACGAGGACTACAAGTCTCCATAGTCGAACACCAACCACAAATACCATACTCAGACATGCCTCCTATGAGAATCCCTGTTGCCCGACTTAGCCAGGGAGTAAGGACATTCGCATCACAATCTGCCAGAAGGACGCTCGCACACCGAATGCCAGTCCTCCATCACGAAGGGTCACAACGGATCCTGCAAAAAGCGGCCAACGTCGCCTCACAACGGTTCTCATCACCATCTCTCCCCACGATGGTCCGCGACGCATCATCATACGGCGCACTGGGGGCGGTGACAACGATGGCCGCGTTCATGATATACTGCGCGGTAAGCAACGCCCCCTCCTTTCCGTCGTCGCTACCCTACCAGCCCGTGCGCTGGATTGAGAGGAGCGATTTTTGAGCGGGCGACATACCGTTGATGCCCACCGGAACAAGACGGGTTGCGGAATTCTCGGAGCAGAAGGCTGATATTTGATATGCAGGACCAGGATGCGGATATGATGGATCTGTTGGCCACGCCTGATTCCCTTGGTTAGGAACTCTGGGGAGGCAATATTTGGGGATCCTTTTTGAGGCGTTTGGCGTTCACCCCGGTACTTGTGGTGACGGATGGGCACGCACATATGACTTGATGACGATATGAACAAGGGGCTTGTCCCGGCTTTCCCCAGACTGTGGGTTGATGGCACATGCGACACGCGAAGGGAGCAGGACCAATGTGCATGATGGGCTGAAGGCCACGTGTCACAGCACGAAGCTCGCCTCGCTATGCGTGGAATACTCTGTAGATTAAAGCAGGAAATCACAAGATCGTGGAACAGAATGCACGATACCTACATCTGTAAGCATCCTTCACATGGATGAAGTTGTCCCATGCTTCGAACACTCCGAGGTCTTGAGGCACTGGAACTGACCACGGCAAGCTCCGTGATGCTGGATTGCATTTCAACACAGCAGGGTAAAACTTCGAAATGGTTGATCTTAGGCCATGATGCTGAGCCTACATGCTCTCACCATGATATCCTGGCCGCTGATGACTGTGATCGTAAGGCGGCAAATTTGCAAGCGTGGCAACGATTAAAAGAAGAGTCGAAAATCAGTTCTCGGACATCAACAGTAAGCGATTACTTAAGAGGCGTAAAGCAGGCTGTACCCCATGAACACACGTGCTCGGCGTCATTCCACAAAGCCAATGAGGCTTTTTTGACCTTCACTTCTTCCACACTCTCCTTTGCGTGAAGCGTTCCGAAATAGTCCAGCTTCCTGAATGTGTAACCCCGCAGGTAATGACGGAGCATGAATGAGGAGTTGAAGTATCATAATCTCACATTTGCCCAACATCAGCAACCGCATCGAGTCTTACTCATCTTCGCGAAGTGATATTGACATCATCCGGATGTGCTCGGCTAAGCAATGGCGTGTAAGGCTGATTCTTCTCGGGTATCCCACAATTGTCCTTCGACCCCATGCCAACTATTTGTCCTCCGAGAGCCCGACTGATGGATTGTGTTACGGCCGCAGGGTCCAGAAGTGTCCGAGGCGTCAATATCAAATACGCGAGATTTGTTGGCAAAGCCTGGCATTCGGGTTTTGTGGCGGCCGACCGATGCTAAGGACTTGTTGATAACCAATCACTACTTCGCCAAGAGGATTCATGTTTGCAACTCCCGTGTCACTGCTCTTGCCGTGGTCAAGTGATGCTGAGAGGCGAGTCGCGTCCCGATGCGGGACAGCATGGTGTCGGTTGACATCAGCCATGAAGACCCGATACTGGCAGGCCTGAGTGTTGACTGGATGAGAGGGTCGAGTTATATCTGAAAGGTATTCCCTCGCGCGTGCCGGCGACCAAAGGCCGTTGTCAGCATAATTTCTCCACTGCCAATTCATCGATACCAGCGTCATCCTCGTGTCAGTGACCAACTGCTATGAATAACATCTTCTCCCAGTGCCTTCGCCTCCCCATCCCAGACATTGAAAAGGCGTAAGAGGAGCCTGGAAGATATCCAATCCCCACAGATCTAGAAAGAATCTTGCATACATAAGTTCAGAGCCTCAGACTTCCTCGATGCCGGTGCTGATTACCTACGCAACTTCTCGAGGCTCGACGAAAGAGGTGGCCGACCGCATCGCCTCACGACTGCATGCAGTTGGCTTTGCCGTCGACTGTCGCCCTGTCGACCATGTCTTCAGTGTCGAAAACTATAGCGCGGTCATCATTGGCAGCCCCATATATCACCAGAAATGGCTGTTGGACGCCCAAAAGTTCGTCGACGTCGAGGCCGTGGGCCTACGAATGAAACCTGTCTGGGCTTTCAGTCTCGGTATGGTTGGCAAGCCTGGCTGGAGAAGAGCAAGAGCAATCAAGAAGGAGACAAGCAGGATTGAAGATGTCCTCATACAAAAGGTGCCCAAGGTCCGAGATCATCGATTGTTTGGGGGAAAGGACGATGGGTCGTCGGTGTCGACTCCGTTGCGGGGCTTATACCGCTGTCTAGGAGGAAGCTTTGGAGATATGCGAGATTGGACTGCCATCGACAGTTGGACCAGCCTCATCGCAAAGGAGTTGCATGCTGATGGTCTATGAAGACACGATGCAGGACATCGGACGGCGTCTTCCGGCATCGCCGGTGCGGTGTAACATGACATGAGAGTGGACGTTTGTTCGATCCGGCGCGTGCCGAGCACGACATGACTTACGACGATGCATGAGAGATGATCACACTACTGTGGTAGTGTCGTCCATACTTGATTCTATGGCGCGCGTTCAGGAGTTGGCTTCGTTGTGCAGAAATATCAGTTCTTGGATTGTTTGGGTTATCAAAGTGGTGCCACATGTGTCACAGCAGGTCACCAGGTTCTCAAATGAACGAATACTGCTACATCGTCCACTATCGTCTTACTCGTACGGAGATTCTCATGCACTTCCACCTGATTGGAAGCAGTATTGGTATGGAGTATCCTAGAAGACGTTGGTCCGGAAGACAAGTCCGCGGAATGAACCTCCGTGTGGAGCACCATCTCCAATCTGAATGGCGGGCTAATTTGCTAGTGGTAACTCTACCATGTCACTGTATGTCGAAATTGCGTGTCCTCAGTCCAATGTCAGACAGAGGCACAGGTCAAATGACATGGGGAAATGGGCTCCCGTAGCACCATGAAAAAGAGCTTTCATCAATTAGCTTATCGTCAGACCAAATAACGTCGACTTCTTTCCTCCCATATTCGGCCTTTATCAAGACGATACTTTCCTTACCTTTTGATTATTTTGACCACCTGCATCGCTAAACCACATTGTGGCTTGTCGAAAACTGAGCACTGGACATCGAGTCAGTCTCGCTTTGAAAAAGCATGCCCAGCATCGTCCCATCAACAGCAATGGCGAGCAACGTTCAACTAATCAGGTTTCAGCATCCTCGACTGCCATCTACGATCTGGCAAGCGTGAAGCAGTGATTGGCAACGCGCCTGCCATCTTTCATCATTTACGTGACCTCGCTACGAACATGGCGCCTTAGGTTTTACGCTCTACATGCACGAAAGAGGTTTCGAGACTGCCAATCACAGTGTCTTCGGCACTCACTACCGGCATCGTGCGGTTCTCCATGCTGACAACATCTCAATCTTTGAAAACCCAAGATCATTCCTTTTCCGGAATTTGCCATGAACGAAAGCACGGCTACTAACCTTCAAGCGAGTGGCGTCCATGCACCCCAATAGGCATCAGCGTTGAAAGAAAGCATAAGCCACTGAAGTCTCAATGCCGGGTTCTTCGGGCTCCTACCGAAGCACCTTGTCCCAAGTGGGCATTTCCAATATTGTGGTTCATTGGACACGCAATGGCTAATGGCGGATCATCAGCCTAGTCAAGAGTTTCATCTTCACATGGCCAGCATGAAATATCCCTAACTTGCGCGCAGGGCTTTTTGCTCGATTGTGCATCAACTACGATACACCTGAAAATCACCAATCAATGCGAGATGTTGTCCCCGCCTATGGCAATGCGCGTCTACCATTGAGTTCGGAGCTTTTCTCCCGACTATGCTGGAAAGAAAACATCGTCCGCTCCACGTACGGATCACACATCCAGGACTAGGTATATACAAACATGATCGCCCTCCATGTGCCTCGCGCTCTCCAGCTTCTTACTCTGCCTTTGGGATCTCTCGACGATTGCACGGCCAAGCCACCACATTCCTCGACAATCGTCCACCCAGTTCAGGGCTTTCTCATTTGACGCTCCGATTACCAGCTGCTAGCTCCTACCTGACTGTCACAAATTACAGCCACGAGGAACTCCCTGCCATGCAACCCGTGCAGCCCCATACACGAGCTCGACCAAGAGTTTCCCGTGCCTGCGAAAGGTGCAGAATTAAGAAAGCCAAGGTAAGCTGGCAATCCCCATTTCATCTCAGGCCTGGGAAGCAATAGAAGACCACTGGTCGTTCCAGTATCTCATGGGAAGGTGACGGGGGCTGCTGCGATCGAGATCGGATCGGCCCAATCCGGTGCAAGTCAGTATGGCCCCTTCTTGGGGTTTGCCTGCACTGCGACAATTATGGGCCCAGCCTCGGAGCGTCGATCCGAACATCAGATTTAAAGCAACGACGAGCGCTGACCGTGTATCTTGATCGATAGTGTGACGGTGAAAGACCTTGCAGGAGATGTAACCTGGACGCCGCACTGTGCTCTTACAGAGCTCAAAGGAAACCTCTTTCTGCTAGTGCTACTCAAAGGTAAGCAGAACCTAATGTGGGACTGTCGGAGCGCCATTATGCTTCGCATTGGAATTCGCTAATTTTGTGCAAGATACATGAACCTGCTCGTCCAACAGCATTCAGCATTGACGGCGGGCGTTCTCGCACTATATTCAAATCTGCTCAACGGAGAACGCTGGGAGGGCCTCCCAGTCATGGAAGTCGATGGAAGTCCTAGCGTTCACTGCATACTCGAACGACTTGGAGTGATTACAGCCGATGAAGAATTCGACGAAACGCTCGGTACTGTCGACAATTACGAGAATATACAGCTCCTGCCTATCAGAGAGATACACGTCGTACCCAAAACCCAAAAGGGCACGAAGTCATCCAACAAAAGTCGACAAGGAGGTATTCCGCCGCTGTCAGCAACTTCCTCGTCAAGCACTGTTCCAAAAACATCATCGTCAGCCTGGCACGATCTGGACAACAAGGTCTCAAGCATCGCACACACATCTGAAGTCAGCAGCTCGCCGTCAGGCCAGGGATCGCAATCACTATCTCCTACATTCGAGGCCACCAGCTGCAGTACACCATCGACAGATGATCCCACCAGCTTTGCCGGAGGGGTATTTCTTAGCCCAACGGTGCCTACGACCACATTGTGCGATGGCCTCAGCCAGGATCAGATAATTTCCGACCCGACTACGTTTGCCGAACTGCACTCATCCAACCTCGCTGCGGAGGGATACGTGATGAACTCAATTCCCGCAATGCCGATGGGTACAAAGACCGTGTTTGAGAATGGGTATGAGACATATGGCGCAGAAAACTTTGCAGACGCAACGTGCGGAATGGCTTTTTACGACCGCGAGAGTATGTATGGTAATGGGACTGCGGCACTGCCGAGCACGATACCGCAAGATTACAGTCAGTGGATACCCGGAGTACTGCTGTGAGGGATGCCATAGCCCAGACCTAAGCAAATATCTTTGTAAGACTGACTATTCTACCTGATCCCAATGACGTTATGGATGTAGGGCTTGTACATGTGTCGCCTACCACAACCGCTGCATCGCGCTGCTTCTCAGACGGCTGTGAGACCTGTCGCACGTGGTAACAACTGCAGAGCTGCGATATCGTGGTCAGGACGACGAACGAGGTCTGGTGAGGTCTTTGAGACGAATGGCAAGGTTCAGCCGTACAGCCTGGTGCGTGCGTAAGGTCGACAGACTTCTGCTATCCTTAATTACGAAGATTGAGCGCATATACATGCCACGGTGCCTGCGATATAAGCGACTTGACGGGTGTGAGACTCCATTTGGACGAGTGTGGCCGACTTGTGCCTGGGATGATTCGCGTGTGCCGAGGAACTCTGATATCACGTCTTGGCCGGACCAACATTGCCTCAAGGCGGTGGTGAGGTACAAGCACGTATACCGTAATTGCTCTTCTCTGCGCCAAGCGGTCATCACATTCACCATTGATTGTCCTTGATATATTATAAACCTGGAATTTCTGCTACAATCAACAATGAAGCTAGACGAGATCCCCTTGAAAAGGTGCTCCCTCGTGGCCGAGTGGTTTACAACCGATGACATATACTTTAGCCTTAACTGTGAAAGTATTTCATTCGACTTCGGTTGCCCTAGATTCACCAGGGTTCGTTCCTCCCTCTAAATGAAAAAAAAACCAGTACGGCTGGTTTCACTTACCTACAACCTCTTGACCACCGGGTCAAGGAGCTTGAGGCAAAGTTTTTGCTTTTATGCTGGCCGTCGTTGGATATGACAATATCAATTCAGTAGGTGGGCTTGTTGGTGCACATCAGCAAATATATTTTTTAGTTTGATATGCCACTGCCTCTCAACTCGTAAAACATCATTTCCTTCAAGCACCAAGCACTTTGCACTTACACCGAGCAGCTGGCGACTCGTTAATGGCACAGAACAATGTTTTAACATTGGAATCTGATATCAGCGACACATTGAAGCGCGGAGGAAGTACTGTAGTTAATCGCCGAATCGGTAAAAAATGGAGGGCTGATCGTATGGAGAATTGCCAGATCACGAGAGACGGTGGATGGCAATGCCACATCTCTACAGTCGAACGATAAGCGAGCTTTGCATCGTTTTCCTCGGCAATGCTCAGATGACTGGGGCTGACAGTCGAAGTCTCGAAGAACAATTCTCTACGATGATTTTCTGAGTTATTCCGACAAATCTCCAATTGCTGTGAACTAGCTCTTCTCGTAGCTCCAAGGATACCCACAACTATGGATCACAAGATAGACAGCTGTCATGTGAGATCTATTTCCACCATTGTCCACCATAATACCTATTTTCGGGTATACGATTCTAGCTGTCACTATCAGCCGCAAAACGATGTATCCAAACATCCGACTTGGAGCTCGAATCCAGTTTCAGAATCCAAATTCAAGGCCGAATGCAAGGCGCCCTCACCGGTCGGTCGTTGTGGACAGCGCGGCTATGCGGGCAAGGCTTATTCATACAAGAATATGGCATATGCAGCCTTATCAGATCTAATGATAAATAGCCCAAAGTTACTCTCTCGTGGTGGTTGCATCGTGCCGTTTACGGTAGTCCGAACGTCTAGACGTCATGCTGCGAACCATGCGGCAATTCAACATTCGGCCTCAACGGCCTGAAATGCGGCTGATAGCGTACATACGGTACGGTAGCCGGAAGGTTTTTGCGTGACGTGAGGGCTAGCCAGGGCGATCGGCGGGTGTTTGTGGCGCGTGCTTCAAAGAGCTGTGTGGTGTTTTGAACTCTATGAACAGACTGTGTGTTTCGAGCGAGAACAAATCCTGAGAAATGTACCGAGCACTGTCGAGCTATGGGAAGGCTGAAAGGCTGTCACGCGACGGGGCTCTGCTCACGGAACTCACCTGTTTTAGGTAAATGTGGTAGGTATCTATTTTTGACACTCAAGGTCCTCTGTATGCATGAACTTTGGCGCAGAAAGAAAGGCGCGGATTGGATGCGCGAATACTTTGCAGAGCGGGTGTTGATGGGTGGTGGCTTTGTTTTTGTGCCGTTCCGAGAAGGAAAGCGGCTTGTCCATTTCGATGCTTAGCCAGGAGCTCGCCAAGTACTATAGCGTAGTGTGAGTGGTTAGACTAAGGTTAGACTCGTTAAACTCCAAGTGGAGTTTTGCGCCCGGGGGGCCTTGCACTGCAATCTTTGGCCCTTGGAAGCTTCTCCCTATTGTGATTTGTGATGCGTGACACTTTTTTTCTTACTGCCGTTGAACTTAGCCCCTGAATAGCATATTCTGTGCTGATATTAACACATTGCAGCGTCGATGAATATCAGATTTTACAAGTAGGAACATACACAGAGACCACTAATGTATGTATTCATCACACGCTCGTGTCTCTACGTATCTAAAACATTGACAGATCAAAATATCACTCGTAGAGAACCGTGCAGTGCAGTCAAAACAACACTCTCGCTTGTTTGCCCAGAGTCCTGACGATCAACTGGTCCATGCAATCCTTGACCACTCAGAGAGTCGGTACAAATCACAGGTCGTCCTAAAATCAAACACAGCACCACTTCTCCGCCCCAGACTCCACTCTTGAAGCGTGCCGAGATCCCTAATCCTACCACGGTAAATCCTAGAACCCTCTGAGAGAGAACTGAGAGTACAGTACTAGTAACTTCCTCATATTTTATCCGGTCAGAGCAATCGCAAAGCCCGCCCATGGGCTGTGAGGGTGTGAGGGTGTGAATGTTATCGCATCGGCGTCCTGGTGGCGCTCAACGCCTTTCCCGAACAGCGACAAGTAAACACTACTGCGCACAGTGCCTTAGAGTAGGGTCTCATCAACGTTTCTGGCCGGAAGTGTCTCACCAGTCCTGTACCTTACTACGGTATGCCCAGTAGCCGGCTCATCGGCGAAGCCTTTTGACATCTGCATAGCTGCAAAGCCAAAACCTTGACGGCTCTTTACATAGTAAGGCTAGTCTCCTAGAGGGCTATCACATCCACATGGTGTCATGGTACTCCGTACCTGGGGGCCGTTTCCATGCAGCTTTCCAGCAGCCGCAAACGCCCAGCTGCGGCTTTGCCCAATTCCCCTTCCTAGCCTGCTAGCATCTAGCATTTACCTAGTCAGGGACCCATACCCTACCATGGTCCATGGTATTCTCGCTAAACAACTAGGCAAACAAGCAAGCGATACAACCTGGATCGTCGAGTGACTGGAGCTCCCCCGAGCCAATCTCCCAGCGTCAAAACGCACGGATATCCACACCTTTTGTTTGCTCGTTCAGTACTTCAAGCTTCACTTCTCGCTCTCATCACAGCTCACTCTTGCCCTCATCCATCATATCGCACTTTCGTTGCAGACAGTCACTCGCTTGACCCCCCTCGGCACCTTTACTTAATAGTACTATCCTTAATACTCATACAACAAAACAAACATGAAGTCAACATCCTTCGCCGCTCTCGCCCTCGCCGGCATGGTCGCCGCCTACCCAGGTGAAGTCCTGCGAAAGCGTGCCCTGACCGAGCGTGACGCCTGCCCTCGTACACTCACCTCGGGCCAATTCGAGTTCCCTCACTACGTTACCCAGATCTCCCAGTCGGAACCAGACAAGTCGTTCGGTCCTCAGTACAACGGTGTCTTCACCCCCAACGACATCGCCTCCATCTTCAGCTTCGATGTTCCCGCCTCGCGCACCGACGCCAACTGCACTCTCGAGTTCATCTTCCCCGCTCAATCGCAACTCCAGACTTCCAGCTTCGAGTATGAGGGTGGCGGCTCCTTCTTCTTCACCGGTTACAACCCTGGCAGCTGCCCCGGTGAGGAGACCACATGGAACAACCAGCCTGCTCCCGGTCCTTTCCCTCCCTTCCCAGCCGTCCACATGGAGCCTGGAAACGCATACACCATCGATGTTGGTCCTTGTTTCGTCGGTGCCGGAACCTGCGTTGCTGTAAGTTTGCTCCCCTTCCGTGTTGTACGAGAGAGTATGCTGACTTTTGACCTCAGGGTATGACATATACCAACGACACCAACTTCTGGTTCTTCCAAGACCAGGGGGATTTGGTTGGCCCTGACTGCCCGATTGGCATTTTCACCGCATATGAATATGGTCTGCCTTCCGAGTCGCACTAGACTGCAGCATTCGAGCAAACGTCGTCGCTAGACTTGCAGCTGTCAAGGGGAATCCTCCACTACCTGAGCATGGATTGGTTGTTCCTTGTGCAACATTGGATAGAACGAGTGGAGGTTCTTGGACAGCAATAAACCTGCATGGTCTCCACCAGTTCTTTCGGGGATTTCCCCTTACCTCCACACTCGACAAACAATACCATCACATTCTGGTGATGAGCTCGGGGGAGGTTAATCTGCTCGGCGTTGGCATTTGGCGCATTGGCATAGACCTCAAAGCGATGCCTGGCCACACAAAATACCCAGAAGCGTTTTCGCAATTTTTTCACCGGGATCACCGGATATATTTAATGATGCTTTGCCGTATGATACCTTACCGATATACTATGATCACTTTCTGTCACCCGCAAACATTAGAAACGAGATTCATCTGACCTACCTGTTCGGCTTTCATCTGCACGTGCATCGTCGTTCGTGAGTGCGTTCCCGCGCACGGCATGGCAGGCATGTCTTGCATAGCTTGATATGACGTGTCAGTCGGTTCTTGAACATACCTGGTAGCATACTCCGTATGGCTGTAGGTTTGTGCAACTCGACTAGACGATGCATGGCCGGGTAGACGCAGCCCATAGGGCAATTGGGCCAGCAAGACCATAACTTGGATCAGGAGTTCGGAGTATGTTCGTGCTCCTCGACAAATGCATGGTCGGATAAATGCATCCCATAGGATATCAATTCTTCCGAAACCTGTCAACGATTGACAACTGAACCCTGAATTAAGCATGATAGTCGACCACTCAAAGCTGGCGTCAGGAGTTCCAAAGTATGATGACTGTCACATGGCGGTCCAGAAGCTGTCATGTTTCATCACCTCGACAATGGGATTCAGACGAAATTCGTTCACTCCTGGACCGACCTGTCACGATGCTCGTGACATCGGACTGGTCGAATGTGGAAGTTGAGTAGAGAGGATAAGCTGTGGCATGTTCAATTAAGGTCGTACAGACGAGCAAAATGCTGTGGTACTCGTAAAGTTTTCGATGAATATGGTGAAATCCCCATAGGCAAGAACCCTGGAGACTTGAGAACAAGCAAACGACTTCTGTCATCCCTTTACCTCCTCCCTTCTGGTTTATGCGTTGTACAAACACGTGCATCAAATGTCGTGACCGATCAGTTGGGAACTTCGTGTCACTGAGACGAACAGCAGCTCTTCACTTCATCTCACATGTCGATTATGAGGGCCACGCCGGTACAGAAGGAATCGAGGGCTTCGGTACAGAGGACGTTTCGTTTGCCATTATCACATTATCGTTTGGTGGAATGGTATCTCCTACTACCGGTGCTAACCAATATACTCCTCCCACCAGAGTACGTTCATGTATGCGCTTACCATAGACCCAACCCTATACTCCATGCTCTAGTACCATCAATCGCTCATTATGATCATTATTGTGCCGTTACCATGACTTTTGGTGGTGCTTCAGTCTTTGCTGTCAGGTCGATATCAAAATCCAATCCCCACCGATCAGCAAACCCCTTGCACACATCTTGACAAGTCTTCGCGGCCTGCCTTGTCTTGCACCGTCGGTCCCAGTCGCCCGTCTGAATGAGCATAATGCTATTCTCCACCAGCTCTTCGTCCACCCGCATGTCGTCCACCATGTCACGCACTGATTTGAGTTTGCGTGTCGCTGCTGTGGCTGCCAGACGAAACTCCTGAAGCAAGTCGGTAAGTGAGCGGAGGGTCTGGCCGAGCTCTTCGGTTTGAGAGGCGAGAATCTGTAAAGACAGGAGAGGATTTTGTGGTCGGAGAAAGGGCACACTCGAGCTCAATGTGTTGATTTCGTCGACGAGTAGATCGAGCATTTCTTCGGGTAAATTCAAAAACCCGCCGTACATGAGTGAATGGCTTTGTGTGAACAGATCTCGAGTTGTATGTGTCCGGTGTGAGGACATTGATGTATATGCCGTGATCATACGTGTGACGCCATATTCGATGTTCCCTTGCGGGCCAAGTTCTTTCAGGTTTTGAATTGTTCTTTTGACGGTCCCTCCACCCTCGCTCACTGCGTCTTCCGGATTGACACACATGCGTGTGAGCTTCTCGAGCTCACGCATTCGTCTTCGAAGGGCAGGCGGGAGAGACTCTTCTTCGTCCTGTTCCGCGTCGGACTCGGGGCCATATTCTGACCCGTCGTAGGCCGACTCGTGTCTCTGGTGGCCTCGTTCGATGTCTGTTCGCGGCTTGGGTGGCGGGTGCATCGCAGGTGATAACGAATCATGTTGACCGATGTGAGGACTCTGCACCACCATACCAAATCCGAAATCGTGCATGTCATTCATGTAGTATGGACTTTGTAGGCCGTTCATCGACGTATCCTGCTCCACGGCTCCCTCTCTCAGACCCTCGAGGAAACTCGACTGACCGTCGTCCTCTTCGTCCCAAGCCTGTCCTAATTCGTCTGCAAGATTCCCAGGGCCTTGATCATCCTCTGTACTCCTCGTGCTGATAACGCTCGTCCGACTCGGCCGGCGTTGTTGCTGCGAGAAGGAGGGCGGTCTGGAGGATTTTGAGGACATGGGTCTGGGTGTCATTGGAGATCGTGGCTGGTAGGAAGTCTGGGAAGTACGTGATGAACGTCTCGAGTAGGTAGTGCCATTAGTCGTGCCGCTCGTGTAGGGACTTGTTGGTGTTTCTTGGGACGTGGACAGTCTAAGCGATCTGCGCTTTCGCGAAGGAGTCGAAGGTGAGGCGGGTGGAGATATCATCGTCATTGTGTTTCATGCGAGGCTAACATGCAGGGAAGAATCAAACAAGGATCCTATTCGTTATCATGCACAAAAGAAGCATGCTTCGAGGCTGCCAGGTGAGTTACTTCAACACATTGAATGAAATGAGGAAAGAACCAAGGATGACAATATTGATTAATCGCCCCAATTGGGGAGAGTGACACGCGGAACGGCGCGTTTCGTATTCAATTCATTTTCCCCCACACTCAACAGAGTTTCATGGCGTGTAAAGCTGCATAGATACTATCGTGTACGGTATTCAATGCAGTCTTTGTATGGTCCTACCCAGCAAGGTCAGAGCATCGCATCAACATGCCGACCATAAGAAGAGTCCAGCCATCGGACTTGTTACATCTCAATTTATGCAATCTCGACCCTTACACGGAAAATTATGACCTGAATTTTTATCTCACATATTTAATGAGATGGCCGTCACTGTTTCAGTGCATTGAAGAACATGGCCAAATCGTCGGATACATTATCGGCAAAGTCGAAAACTCCCCAGCACATTTGCAGTAAGTTTATCTTCACTTGTTGTCAATAACAAAATCTGAGTGCCCTGCTCACAGAGGAACACCGCACTACTTGCCATGGCACGGCCATATCACGGCCTTGTCAATAGCGCCACAGTATCGACGACTCGGCTACGGCAAGCTCTTGAGTGAATCGCTGGAAACGGCATGCAATCAGCAAAATGCATGGTTTGTGGATTTGTTCGTCAGACGAAGCAACCGGAACGCCATCAAGATGTACGAAAGTATGGGCTACTCAACGTATCGAACAGTGGTGAAGTACTATTCGGATGATCCGACAGGGCTTTCGAAGGGTGGAGAAGATGCGCTGGACATGAGGAAACCACTCGACAGAGATAAGGACCACCAACATGTCCGGGAGAATGGCGAGAGTTTCAAGGTCGAGCCAGATGATGTTTTCTAGGTGATGAACAGGCTGGACAACGACTTGATGAATGAACTCGAGTCCGATCATCTCACACCCGACGAGAAAGCAGACCTGGAGGATAGCTTGATCGGCATGACATTTGATGGTCATGAATAACTAGTGGTTGTCTTCTGAGCATCAAGACGTGGCGTCAAGCACGCTGTAATCAAAGTCGTTCCTACTCATTCCGCTTCAAGTCATTCGGTCCAAAGCTCATAGGCAGCAACTCTCCGATCGTCATCTTGACCACGTTCCCACTCAACCCGTCCTTGCCGTACATGTAAATGGGTAAATCCCGCGAGGTTGCGAACTCGTTGATGAATTGTCTGCACATCCCGCAGGGGCCTGCAAGTGACATTCATCAGTCGATTTGCTCCAAGCATAGCTTATTCAGCAAGTTGATTGTGCGAATAGATCAGGACTTACTAGCAGGCGGATCAATATCGGTGCTCACCGCGAGAGCGCGCATGACGGGCATATCCGGACGTTTGATCGAGGCGACGATGGGTGCAATGGCACATCGTTCTGCGCAGATACCGACTGGTGTAGCAGCTACCTCGACATTTGAGCCTGTATGATATGCGCCGGTTGATAACAGAACACATGCTCCGACGCGGAAGTTGGAGTATGGACCTGTAGATGTATCAGCCGCTGCTCGTCGTTGCGGACATGCGCCGTGAAGTATGAGGCTTGAGAAGACATTGGCACCGCTCAGCAGTCTGACATGGCAGCAGCATCCTCAGACAGAGCTTCAAAGCTTTTTGACTTCCCGCCATGGACCATGGAGGTCGACATGGGTCCCAGTGATAGTGTTCCCAGAGATAGCACTTACAGTATGCATATTCCTTGGCTGAGATTGCGCGCTCTGCCAGCTCTTGAAGCTCATCTTTCGACAAGGGCGTTAGGCTTTCTGGATTTGCCATTTCTGGGTATAGATCACAGGTATTGAGTATATCTACAGGTTATGGCGATAGGTTTGTGTCATGTTAAGTCCTTCAGCCTTGCCAAGTCTTCATGATAAGACGAGGCTGGATATCGAGGAGTACTAAGAAATGGCTGTAGCCATTTACGCTGCAGATTCAACTAATATGATTGAGTTGCAAGCGGGCTTATAGTATGATTGTTGAATGCCGCTACCTACTAAGTAGCGAGATATTATGTCTACAGTTGAGCGGCGTCTCGCCAGCAATACTCCGTCTCCTAGCCTCGAGTGAAGTCTTCGGGCTCTGCAGCCTTGACTCCTGCCCCTGTCCATTGAGTGGGACACCCAAAGCTGAGCCCGCAGACAGGAGTTCTCCTGTAGTTTGCGGGCACCCAAAGCTGAGTAAGGGACTGTGCCAACAAGATTGAGTTGGTTGGTGAATGGCTGAGAGGAGTTCGTCGTGTTACCACGGGTAACAACCAAACCGAAAGTGTCACATGGACCTCGTGTCACCAAAGACCTGTCCTCTCAATATCGATACATGGCTCTTGTCTACGGCCCGGCTGAAGCTCAACTTCCTCAGAAGATCAGAGACTCTAGCCCATCGCTTTGACTTTTCACTTGTCTTCGTCCTTCGGAGGTGCCTTCTTCCTGCTTTCGAGTATCTGATCGACCACACCAAGGTCCAATGCTTCTTGTGCGCTCAGGAAGTAGTCCCGTTCCATCATCTTCTCGATTTCTTCCAGTGTCTTTTTCTTTTTCCCCGTCAAGTGTCTCTCGTATATTTGGTTGAGCTGTGTCCTGACTCTAAGGATCTCCTTCGCATGTATAGCAATGTCCGCCGCAACGCCAAAGTAGCCGCCGCTCGGTTGATGTAGCATTATGCTTGAGTGAGGTAAACAATATCGTTTTCCGGCACTGCCGCCAGCAAGAATCAGACTACCCATTGAGGCCGCCTGACCTAGGACCAGAGTCGAAACTTCGGGGACGATGTAGTTCATGCAATCGTAGATCGAGAGGCCTGCAGTGACAGATCCTCCAGGTGAGTTGATGTACATGGAGATAGGTTGATCGCTTTCGGACTCGAGGTAGAGTAGTGATGCGGTGACAGTCGCGGCCATCCGGTCGTCGACTTCGCCATAGACAGCGACAATTCGTTCTTTCAGCAGCCGACTGAATAGATCTGTGGTGTGGCTAGCTCCGGCTATCTGTTCTGTCACGAAGGGTACGGGCAGCCAGCTGCGCGTGGGTGGGACATCTCGACCGGAGTACTGGCGCCGTTGCGGACCATGCTGCACACTGGCGCTGCACGCTCTAATAGACAGAGGCGCATACAGTCGCGGAGCTGTCCGGACGAGATGGCGCATGTTGTCTTGAAGTTGCGGAGGTTAAGTTCTTGCGGACAATGAGTATTTCAATGTTGGCATGCGCTCTGACCCTATGCTCGGCAGTACCTTGTTACGGCAGACCAGAGTATCTCCGATCGCGAAAGACATTGGCCGGCCTCGCCGGATTCAACGCGCATATGTGAGGTGTTTCATACGAACACGCGGCGGACAGACAAGTTCTTTTACAGTCATGGATGGCTGTGCACTACTCAGCAGTCCGTGGAGGATGTAGATGAAATGGCAGAAATGACATGAGCGAAAGCCTGATGTACAAGAAGGTCCAAATGTAGGATCACCTGCAAGCTCTACCAGGACTTGCTAGACAAGACACGATAGTCGTGGTCTGGTAGATCTTGTCCAGACTACATTGCATCTTCACGTAGGACGCGCGCGTGCAGCGGCAATCCTCGCCAGGACATTTGCCATGGTCGGGGATGCTGGAGAAGTGGTCGGCAGTGGTCGTCTCAATAGCACGCCCAAACTTGTCTTCATGTCCAGCACCACCACATCATCATCTTCCTCGGGAGGTTCCCTCTGCTTTCGCTTCCTCGGGCGCCGGTTTTCGTCGCTCTCAGGCGAGAGACTTTGCAACTCAATACCATCGGTTGTCTCACCCGTTGCACGTTGCGGCCTCAGTCGGCCTTCTTCCTCTGCTTCGATATCCTGCTGCGGGGCCTCGGCCTGCGGTTGTACCTCTCCCGAGAGTATCTGCTTCTCATAACCAAGAACCAGCATGAGCATCTGCAAACCCGAGATGACCAAGTCAAAGGACAACAGCCTCCATCGAGAAGAGGCCAACTCCCCCACAAAGTCCACGATCAGCCCTCCGTGTAATGGTTTCGTACTCGTATTCGCATTCAGAAGATGTGTGATGAAGCACACGACGTTGACAAAGATGACGGGCGTCAATTGAGTAGTGCCAGGGGGCCGATATTGTACATGGACAACCTGCGATACAGCGCGCAGCATCAAAAGGAAGGTGAGGTTGTCGCAGAGGTATAATATGCCCACTTGCAGGAAGATGAGGCCATCGAGGGTGCGCAGGAAGGACTCTATGTGGTCGGTCTTCTCATGTCGGGCGCGTAAGCCTCTCTCAACTGGGGAGGAGGCTAGGATGTCATTATTCATGGAATGGGAGGGAAGAGCTCAACGTCAGTGTATCATTGTAATTTCAGATACATAGATCGATCCGGTTCGCGGTAAACATGTTCAATGTAAGAAGCACCAAAAGGGAACAACCCCATCAGCGTCACCGGCGACACGGGAGAAACCCCAAAATGCCAATGTCATCACGTGGAAAGTGCTTCAGCCTTCCCAAAACCTCAACCATCAAGTCGTCAACCTCTAGATCGTCATTTCATCAAATCATCAATCATCCTCAGGAACCGCCGCTCTCTTCCAAGCTGGGTCGGCCTCATATCAAGCATGATGGAGCCATATTAACAGGCGCGGCTCGAGCATAGTTCATATTTCATCTGATCTAAATCTGCTATCTGGTAAACTCGCCAAAATATACTTTGTTGTCCCATTGTATGGCAGGATCACCCTCCTTCGTCCTCACTGGACAACTTCTCCCTGTGCATGCACGTGCTGGATCATGAATTTACATCGTCGGTGTACTCCCTATCAGACGGTGCCACTTTTTCTGGCAAACAGGGTCGCCGGGACTCTCGCCTGGCAGCGGTCTCGAAATGTGTCAGTGATGAAGTTGTCCACTTCGCTGGTCATTAAGACGAGTGCTTGCGCCTCTTTCAGAGTAAGTGTCTGATCACTCAGAGCGGGAGGGGAAGACATCGGTATTTGGGGTATAGACTCGACTATCTGATAAGTCAACCTATCTGCCATAATGACTGCACCCGTCCGACCTGACGCCCACCCACCCCACAAAGACATCAATTGCCAGTCTCAATGAGACGTTATGCACCGGATAGTGTTGCACTTGAACGACTTACCACGTGTTGAAAGGTGTCTCCGACCAGGGGACAACGCAGACAAGATGCTGACAACCACATAGCTCTGCCAGAGCCTTCAATCGTACACATGCACATATGTATCGTATATCGCCAACGCCGTGTAAATGCAAACCGTCTGCTCCGAGCCATTCTAGGCATTGTGGAAGAGGAAATTCCTGAGCGAATCCCAGTGATCGCTCTGAACGTAACTAATCGCTAGTCAGCTTTTCTGCGCCGGAAAAGACGGAATAATGGAGAAATACATGTATTTCATGCTGCTTCTTAAGCTGGGTTGGATGGATTCTGGCTGGAATCTGAACAAGTACCTAGACGACCGAGTATCAGTATACTCAATCTCGAAATGTTGTGGCAGTATCCTTACATCACGAAAGCCCAACTCAAGCTGGCGAAGACGGGCCAAGCATTCTTCTCGACCATCGCTTTGGTCTCCGGAGCCAGCCGTTGCGTCCATAACGTAGGTGTCGGTGTGGAGCTTGTCATGGCGGGTGGCTCAATACTCAGCCTTGCCAGCGCTAGTATGACTCTGGCAAACACATATATGACGATCTGTTGGTTGACACTGTAACCATTGTTTAGCGCTCTGAGGACGGGGCAATCAGCAGACAAAGTGCTTACCCGCCGCTGGAGCCTCTTCCAAAGACGGTATATCCGCCAGCGAGACCAGCGAAGAATGTGTCATATGGTCCCTCTTTACCTGGGCTCGTAGGGTTGAGCAGCCGCAGCAACAACATGGTAGACTTGTAGACAACCGCAAAGAAGGCCAAATTGCGCGCATGTTGTCTTGTGGCTTTTAGGACAAGCCGCACCTTTTCTCGAAGTGTCCCTGATCGGAACATGAAGACCATGACCAGAGCATGCGGGAAACGAACTTTGGCACCGTAGACGGCACCATTGCGGGCAGCTTTGACGATGGCGAGGAGAGGTTGTAGGTCTGGGTTCAGGATGACCTGTTCAATGGATTCCTGGTCGCTTGTCAATAACGTGCTCATATTAGGCGGATATTTGAACATACTCTGAGAGCGTCCATGGCTCCTGAGGCTGTTGTCTCGAGTGTCGCGGAGCGAAGGGAGTTCCTCCGCTGTGGAAGGAGGCCGTTCGTAGGATCTGAAGAGTGCGGAGGAGAGTGTTGTTGTCCGAGTTCACGTCATTGGGCCTAAAGACAGGCTGGATGGCATGTGATGATGTGTTTGGTGCTCTCAGTTGTTCGAATAACATGGAGGAAGGAAAGCAAAGGACGTCAAATGGCTCGGCCACTTACAGCGACAGCGACATCATCATTGAGCCGACGAAGAATGTTTGCATGTGAAGCTGGACGGGCGGGATGAGAATTGGGGGAACGTGCATTTCCCCCACAAACTCCGGTCGCTACGGGCATCAAGATAAATCGAGCCTCTTTATGCCGAGGCTGTTCTGAAGCGGATCAGATTCCGGCAAGAAAAAATATCACATTTTTCGGTTCCTACACTATTGTCTCCTTGCTCACATATTGCAGATTCGCTAGTGACAAGTCAGGGACACAAACATTCCCACGATAGCTGCTTCACCGACACGTCAATACACCCCTTCAATAATAGCTGCGCCATGCGTGACCACCCTGCACCGGAGCGTGATTGCCTGGCCGAGGCGGGATCTGCGCATCCAGCTGAGAATCCCATCCGGGAAAGTTTCTGCGATTGCGAAGACGATCACTGACAACACCGAGGGCGCCGGTAGTAAATCAACCTGGGTACCATCCTGCTGACAGTAGCGAGCGCTGTCAAAGGAGGGTACCCCCGGATTGATGGAGTAGGTTTCAACATAGAATGTTGAATCGCTGAGAACATGTCGAATCAAAGATTGTTCTCAGAAGGCGTTCCCCCTTCGATATCCTTCAAAGATGTCGTGCTCATGATATCCGCTGCCGCTTCGGCTTTTCGTTCACTTCATCTCCATCTTCCATCTCTTCGTCCTCTCCAATGCTGATTTCATCACCACTGCCGCCTAGACTGCTTCCACCTTCGGAGACTTCGTCATCAAGATCCATACCACCATCCATGTCCTCGTCTTCGATGAGAACACCGTCATCACCTTCCTCGCCATTCATATGGTGATCATCAACATCGTCATCTCGTCCTCTCTTCAAACCCTTCATCTTACGTGTCTGTAGGGTCGAGAGATCCTGCTTGCCCAGATGTACCCGGCCAACCTTATCGCCCACCAGATCTGTAACGATGTTCTTCTTTGTTCTTGCTTCGTTTGGCCGACGTCCGTGTTTCATAGCCTCCTTCATGACTGCGGCATCTGCTTCTCGGTGCCGTCCGACTCTGAAATCAAAGCTGGGTCCGATCGGGTCAAGTTCCACTCTGGGTATCTTCGCATCGGTCGATCTCATAGTCCGAATCTTGTACCATCTGAGATGTAGCAGCGGCTTACTCGCAGGGTCAGTCGTATCTGTCGAGGTTGTCTCGCCGGCTGCGATCATAAGAATGTACTGCAACCCAGCCACATCTATTGTTGATATCTCTTCACCCTGGAACAGGTCGAGCATGAGGGACTTGAGTGTCTGGTAGAGCGTAGCTTGCTCAGAGGATGATGTGTCGTCCCATTGCGATCCAGCAAAAAGAACCAGAGGCTTCATTTCGACCCCAATCTGCAATTTCTGTTCGGCTTGAGGCTGGTCGGCCGGCACTAATAAAAGCAACTCCACCATGTCGAGCATTTTGCCATCGTATATGCGCATGACAGTGATATTGTTCGGTCGCTTCTTGGAGTGTGTGCCAAAGACAACCACACCGCAATCATTTTTCAACGCCAGAAATTCTAGAGATGCAGGATCTTCGAAAGGATGGATGTTCTCGTTTTTCTTGTTCAGCAGGACCGAGTCGGGTTTCGTCAACGTATGTACAGTTTTGAGCACTGAGCTCACTGGCTGAGGGTTCTTGGAGCCGTGCAGAAGAAGCACTCGCTTTCGTGATTCGACTTGCTGCGGCTCTCGTGCCTTGACGATACGTGCCGTCCGGGCATTTCGGGGTTTTCTGCAAACGTTAGAAGAGTTGACAGCACTGCGACAGACACCTACATCTCGCGCAACATCTCGACTACGAAAATTGCATCAAAATATCAGTCAATTCCTTGAGAAGGAATGTTGCTGATTTTGAGAAAGATCGCCGCTACGAAAGTCGCAACTTTTTCTTTATCGATAAGGGCTCACTTGAAGTAACCGCATCAGCGCCGCTTTTAGTGCATCTGTCTTCCAGGTGACATCTCGTACTTAGAGACGTCCTTCTGGTACCACATTTTAGAGTTGGATATTCCCCCATTGTTAGTATCCTTCTTAGATTCATGATAACCATACAACAAAAGTTCATGCAGCCTACTATCCTCTGCGGACATACACAATGGTAAGAAAAATGGAGCAGAGCCGATGCAGGAGCCGTTCCATTCGATTTGATCACCTCAATGGGGCTAGGTGTGAAACACATGTAAACCCCCTTCTTTAGCCTCACTCGAGCTTCCATTCAGTCTTCTCGCCTGTGTCTTCAGCCTGAGATAACGCCCAAGAATGAGCACAGTCTTACACGGCGCTGAGTGGTCTGCCATCGAGCCTTTACCAATACTCTTTGCTTGGCTTAAGTATGGACTTATATTCCCCCAAGACACGAAGACGCCTGAATGATCTGTGCGTCGACCTGGTTAATATGAGCGACGACTACACCCGGCTTCGTCATCTCGAGCTTGAACGCGAGGCATCCGCCAGGGCCAGGACGTTATCTGACGGCCTCCGTCGAGTTGAGGAGGATATTTATCGGGCGGCGAAACACCTCGATTGTCTTGATCGATCAATTGACGAAAGGGATGTCAGGGAAGAAAGTATAGGCAAAATGGTACGATCCTTGGTCCATGTAACGGAAGACATACTGGACGAGAGCGCCCAGCTGTTGAGATCTTTGAAGAACAGAAAAGTCAAGCGCCTTATGGTCGCGACGGGCGCAGCACACAAAAGCATTTTATCTGAGGATGAAATTCTCGGATCAATCGTCAAACTTCGGCAAATGATCGACGAGTTCATGCCGTTGTACCATCGAGCCATACAGAGATTCAATATTGTTCCAGACTCTTGGATTCTCGGACTCCTACGAAGATGAAGCATTGCGATAACGTCAAACAATATCAGGCAACATATGGGACAGTAAATGCAGTTCAGGCCATTATCATTTCAATCTGAATCTATCCACCAATACTCACAGACTACCCAGACACCTACGTCTCGCGCAACATCTCGACAACTCAACCTATATTAGAGTGTCAAAATGGTCGCTTGCTCTCGTGTTCCTGACCCAGAGATTGCACTTTGCTTTCCTCGATGGATATGTCGTGAGATGGCTCATTTCGAGGCCGATGTTATTTCACCATGATCGTGACCTTGCTTAAAAGTGCATGTGTCCTGCAAACCCCATTGGTCGCAAGATCCCTGTAACATTGAACCCCATGGACAACTCGTGACACCCGTGTGGACTTCGTGTTCAGCCTCACTCGACCTTCCACTACACTTCTCTCTTTCTGGTCTCTTGCCCTACAGACAACGCCTTACCATGCGACACTTCCTGTGTTCTGACGCGAGCATCGGCACAAGAATCTCAACTGTGCAACTCTCAGCCTCAATCAACAATGGACTTTGACTGGGCCCGAGCCAGAAAACGCTTGTCAGACCTAGAAGCAGATATAAGTGCTTGCCTACACGATTTCGAAAATCGTGTATATCCGCCAGCCGATGATAAGCAGGCCTTCAGCAGGGGCAGCAGCCTCGCCACCGGCGTCGACCTGGTTTACGGCATACTCAGTAACTGCTACTTGGTAACTTTGAAAACCGGTTTAGTTTTCTTCGAGATACATAAGAGGATGAACACTTACGGATTGGTGAGGTCCACGATACATATCGCACAAGACATACTAGACGAAAGCACCAAGCTTTTGACACGCATGGAAAGAAGAAGAAGAGTCAAATCCTTCATGGTCGCAGCGGGCGATAGCGCCATGGTTTCGAGCGCTCGCTCTGAAGATCACATCGCCGATATGGTCTCTAACATCCGGGATATGGAAGAAGAGCAACACAAACTCCACAACAAAATGCTCGAAAAATGGAGGAGATGGCTTGTATTCAAAGGGCGAATGAGCGTCAAAGAAGCAGAGCTGATCATACTCGACCACAAATACCCCGATGTTATTGTGGATGCGGCTTGATGGGATATGGAGCATGATGAAGACTCTTTCTCACGCGACCTGACCCTGATGGCGATCTTATGTTTCTCGCGCACTATAACGTTCCTGAAGGAGGTCATGATGGGCTAAAGGTTCAGGTCTTCAAGAAGGTATACCAGTGACAATGTTGCGTGCCCAGATGTTGCTGGCAAGAGTCATAGAGTGCGCAAATGCCACTTACGAGACCGCGTCCCGGGAGGCTCAATGTCATGTATGTACAAGGGTATAGCACCACCAGATGGTCCTCTCAAAACAGTGCAGTCCAAGTTAGAAGGAAAACCGAAGCTGGTCCTTAAAGCACGTTATGTAGTCAAGCAGTTTCATGACTCGACATCGCAAGCTGGGTAGATTTGCCAGTGATATATACAGATCATAGTTCGAAAATATGCAGTTGAAGTCCACACCCAAGTCCCCAACACCTCGCAGAAAGGCAACGCAGATTGCAGACAATAAACTCTACTTCCCATCCTTCGCCCACAAACTAGGCAAGACACCCACCAAACTCACCAGCGCCAACCACCACCAAGCCCAACCCACAATCCCCTTCTCCAGCCCCTGCCCATACCAATGTCCCGCCACAATCGGCCCAATCGTCCGGAAGGCACTGCTCGTCGCTGCGCCCATCCCATGAATCGTCCCCAACAATTGCGGTCCCGGACTCGAGTTGTTGATCAACAAAACCGAACCCGGGATAGCAAACGTCCGCGCCGCAACTTGCAAGATTACAACCACGACAATACCACACCATAGCATAAAAGTGTGATTGATCAATAGACTCAGATACGGTGCAAGTGCGTAGGCCAGCGGGAAGACAAGTAATGACACGCGGAAGCTGCGCAACAGGCCGTACCGCGCGTTGATGTTCGGATAAAGCGTGAGTTGCAATATGATGCCGACGAATCCTAGAATCGACATCGCGAGACCAATCGTCGGCAGCGAGAACTGCAGACCGCCAGTAAAGTAAAACGGTAGAGCGATCGTCGAACGCTCAGCGTCGGTGCGCCGGGCAGACGACAGAAAGACTGTCCACAGTTGCGCAAACCCGCCCATTTGGAAATCCATTGCCGCCACGGTCGCAAGGACCATAAGCACATTGGGTGTGAGGGCGTGGTAGAATGGTGGTGCGGCTGCCGCAACGGCAGCCTGTTGCTGTTGCTGCTGTTGTTTCGCATCGGGTCGATCTCCATCTGCATCTCTGTCATCCGCTTTCGTCTTTGACAGTGACGAGAGCTGTGTGCTAGATGGCTGATTCTCGTCATCCTCGACGGTATCTGGTCCGACGTCGCTGACCAGACTGTACCCGAATTTACGAAAGACAAGCCGATCGATCTTGTACCGGATGATCTCCGCGATCTCGATCCCACGGTCTCGCGAGAATTTCCTGCTCGCCAACGTCTCTCGCAAAGACGTCCATATCAGGACTGCATCCGCGAACATGACAAGCGCGCAGAACATGTTCGGCAGGGCATAAGGGAAGCGTTGCAGCCATTGCACTCCCGTGTTACCACCGAATGTAGATTCCGCGCCGAATAAGCCAGGGTAATTCGTGACCGGGTCCGCGAGCAACCCGCCGACCAGCGGACCAAAGATGTTGGCCACGTTCCATGCCAGCGGCAAGATCAAGAATGTGCGACTGTGGTATTTCTTCTCGGTGCTCTCGGCAAGGGACGTCCTCGCGCCGCCGACAGTCGCGTTGACCGCACCACCCAAGCATCGCCATATCGCGGCCACAGTGAAACTCCGCGAGAAGGCCACGCCGATACAACTTATGCCCTGGCCCGTCAGGCCGATGAGCAAGACTGTTTTGCGACCGAAGCGTGGTGAATCTGCGACTCGTCCCCAGAGTATGCCTGTGAAGACTTGTGCGGCCGTGAAGATGCCTTGCAACACACCTGCCTCGAATGATATTTGGCTGTCGTCGGCGTCGGGGCGGAACGATTTCAACTGATAAAACATGTACGCCTGCAGAGCAGCTTGTTGGAAGAAGTCGACGAAGCGCACGGTAAACAGGAGAAAGATTTGGAATTTGTTCGGAATGGAGCCCCATGAGGGCGGCGCCCCGGGACGGACTGGTCGTGTCTCGACGTCTCGTCGCATGTTGGATAGTCACCGGCGTGGTATGCGGAGGATTTTGGATATAAACATTACAAGTATTCCCACTGGAGGGGCCCGCTTGGTCGTGTGGAATCGGGGAGCGATACGCAGTTCTTGGACGCTTCTGTTGTTTGTCTTCTTGTTTCGCCTGCGTTCTTGGGTTTCTCCTCGCTCGTTTGTGTATCTCGATCAAGGTATATCAAACGACGGCGGGTCGGTAGGGTCTCAAGCAGCAATCAAGTGCTCGTGTCTGACTTGTTGGTTATTTTGTACAATGCGCACGGCGGGAACGGTAGATAAGTGAACGATTATCTTTTGGGCAAAAGATTAGATTGATAGAGAATTGCAGACGTATACACTCGGCAACAGCCGAGGCGAGCGTTTCAAAGAGGTGGTGAGATGTGTATACAGTGGATGTAAGATGCAAAAAGTGAAGAATCCATATCCATAGGAGACGTCAACTTCATCACGCGCACTGCGGCGCAGTTTACGGAGTCGGGTATTATCCCCTCTGCGGTTATGTCCACCTATCCACCCAGAGACGCAGCCTGGTGACGTGGATAAGAGCCGCAAATGGGGTGTGCTAATAGGCACTGGCCAGCAGGGGGCGCGGCGGCGGCTACTCGTAAGGGTGGACAGACAGTGGACTGTCCTACTAGTATTTTCCCCAGTGCCAGTGCCAGTGCCCAGGTTAATTAATGCGCGTCTTCTTTTCCGGACTTGAAGCTTTGGGGTGCTGTCAAAAAGATTTTTAAGGCCTAACACCAGCTGTTAAGGGCTAGCTTCCTGCTCCTAGATCAGGTCAAATAGGCGATCTTTATGGGTCTGTTCTGGGGAACGAGAGAAGCCCAAAGCCTAGCTGTTACAGTCGTACTGTGCAGGCTTGACTTGCATTTACCCTCCACCCATAGATCGTAGTGGCCTTTGAGTTGCCCTTAGCAGAGCCTCAAATACGTAGTAATGTCCCCATCATCAAATGTTCGATTAAACTCTGTTTCACTGGCAGAAAGGAGGTGTTCATCAAGATGAAACAAGGAAAGACCCTCAACTATACGTGTACACTTTCTGGCATCTTGACCAACCCCATAAAGTGCCACACGTGGTGAAGGGTTCAGGTTCATACGACGCTGGCCGTCGATCATCTAAGATCACCACTCAGTCAAGGGCCTTCATGCCAAGCGTTTGCGTACGCGGACTTTCTGCACGTCGAATGACTTGCCAGTGTCTCTTCGAGGAGTAGGAGTAGGGCATGCACCTAGACATCTATGACCCTATTCTGTTTCGACAGCCACTGCGGTAGGGGTAAGACACGTATACGTGTGACTGATGGGTGTCTGGCAGTACACACACAGAGCAATCACGACCATTCATTCGACTCCGTGATCATTATGTTTGCAGAGAATGCTTCCTCTCTCTCTCTGTCTGGCCGCGATATTGGCATACTGACCGAATTTCGCTGTCGTACGCCACTCGAAGCTTGGAGCTTTAACCTGCCATGTGGCACAGCTTCGGGAAATGATGGACCATACTATAGTCGTTGGCCTCTTGGCTGTGCAAGGGTGAGTCGGTTATGCGGCAATCCATCTGTCTGCTCGTCTGCAGTTGTAATGACTGTTTTGACCCCAACCCTTGCTGTTGGCTTGAAGGTCGGTCTTCTTGGCAAGGGTAGCTTCTCGCTTGTCAAGGTGGATGTGGAGAGATAAGAGAATGGAAGCGCAAAGGAATTTCGGTCAAACTCCTAGATCAAGAGATCACCAGTGAGTAGTATCTTCGCAAGGCCTGCCTTGCCTGTAAAGACCCATCAAACGAGCTTCCTGTTCCAGTCTTGCGAACAGGTCCTGCGAACATATCAAGAGAAATGGTCGCTCATGCATACAAGCTGTAAGCAGCGAGCACGACCCAGGTATAACGTTACCTCGTTATCTTATCTCGTCGCATAGAAAATGAGGTCATCACATTGTCATTACTTTGTCGCTCTGGAAGCTCGCCCCGTGGGATAACTTAGCTGCAGTAGTGTCTGGATAGCCTACAACGTCAACCAAGGCACCGCATGGCCACTGGACAATCCCGCAGCTATTGATGAATCATCAAAGTGCAGCAGCATCCAAATACCTGATATGGGATAGACAATGATAACTCCCCGAGACACTGACTGGCAAGCAGAGAAAAAAAAAAGTTGGCAACAAGGCACGCGACAGGATTTGCCATTTGACAGGCTAACGATTTTCGCGGATCGCCGGTGCGCTGGGCGGGAATGTGGATGTGTGAGTTTTCTCTTATTACGATAGTACCACCACTATAGTTTGTGTTGGTTGCCTTATGGGTCTGCTGGAGATAAGATAGCCTCTTTGACTTACTGTGAGAGGGTTCCCGGGTCGGGAAGCCTCATTCAGTTAATGCGGGCAATATTCACGACTATGCTTACGGAGTACCGTAGTTGCTTTTTCGACCGATCTATCCCGTAGCCTAAACAAGGGTATCCAAACTATGTAAACTCCATGAAATCAAGGGGTAGGTATAGCCGACCTCCAACGCTATGCAGAAAGGACATTGCTGTACAAGTTGGCGGTTAAGCTTGACGCTCTTTGCTCTTGAGGCGGTGCATTGGGAGTCACGCAGGCTCCCTTACCATCGGGATTCGATCACCATCCTGGTCATCCACCACGGGTACAGCCTTGTACCCGACCCCAAAAGGTAGACCACTTCGTCCTTCTTTGCTGGTGGGAACCACCGTGCTCCAAACCCGCAGAACGACAGTGTGGAACGGTCTTGACACAAAATTCCTCGTGGCCAGAACCGTGATCACAATGATCGAGACACCCAGAGCGCCCAGCGTAGCGGCATAGATCCTCTGCTTCTTCTTCGTAGCCTGCTGCCTTGCAACCTCTGCAAGCTTCTGCTGCTTGGCCGCCTCTTGCTCTTCCTGGAATTTCTTGCGCTCGGCCTCGCGCTCTTCACCGGTCGGCATGAACTTGCATGCCAGGTCGTCGCAGTATTCCAGCATGGCGACAGGAGGGGTGAATGTTTGCTGTACAGCTGAGCTACCCAGCACTTTGCCCCTCTTGTCGAGCGCCTCCGCGTATGTGAACTTGTAGGTCGCTTCGTCATGAGCGTAGGCGGTTTCGAACCCACTCTTCGGCACGGTGGACAGTTCTTCCCACGGACCCTTCTTCGAGTTCGACCCGTAAACCCGCCAGGATCTGACTTCGGTCGCGCCATTCCATGAAACGTACATCATCATGTGATTGTCATCCTTCGAATACGTCCACATGGCTGGCTTGGTCAGCGGCAGACCGACCCAGTTGTCGAACTTGTGGACACGGTAATTCATCAAGTTACTCCACCCCAGGTAGCCGTAGAACACCACCTCGCCATCACTATCATACTCGGTCCAGAACGCGTCGTTGCCCCATCCCATCAGCATATTCCCACCAGGTATAAGTTGGAAATTGCCCTGGGATCTGGATATGTGGGTGTGGCCGTCAGTGAAAGGACCTTCGAGGTTCAACAGGCACGTCGCGATTTTGGTCCGGTGGTCAACACTGATGATTTGCCCCGCTGACCAGTCTGACGTTCGATTGAAGCCGTTCCACGCATTGTTGAACAGTGAAATCACCGTGTGCGTGTCGTTATCTGAAACAAACCGCGCATCGTGTTGCGAAGAAAATGAAAAATCGTCGAGATGATAATCCGACTTGGCCCCGTTCAACCGCCACATAATGTGCCCATCCTTGCCGGAGATCTTGTACACCGCGGATGTGTGGCGGGCGGAGATCAAATAATCGCCGTCGTCGTTCTTGTCGATCGAGTTGATGTGAAAATAGTCCCAGGGACTGTCCGGTTGTTCGCCACTTCCACTGACCTCGGTGGTCCCCGGGGGAACCCAGCTCTCTGAGGGGTCGACGTGCTCGAGACTTCGCCACTCAAAAATGACCTCGCCTGAGTCAACATCAACCTCTTGAAAGGCCCCTTCGTTGATGTATCCGAGACCCTCGCATATATTCCAGGCACATAAGTCGTAGACGCTGCGCAGATATTGAGTCATCACGGCTGATGTGCCGTTGTTGATGACTCTAAATTCGTGCATATCTGATGATGCTTGATAGCTAGCGGGCTCGACTGATTTCACGACGCGATAGTGCTTGTCCATGATGACTCCATGGCCGTGGCCCCAACCAGCCATCTGCGTGCCTTGATAGAAACATAGATGGACTTCTCCTTTGTACATGCATGTTTGTGGTGCATGGGCAATGCCTGGGCCGATACTCCCAAAGCCAGTATATACTAAATTCTGGTTCATTAGGTCAGCATGAGGATCAAGCACAACACCAGGGAGGTGACCTTACACAATCATTATCGAAAATATGTACGGATTCCTGAATTTGCTGGTAAGGTGCTAAGAAGTACAGCCCGGGGGCCTGCTTTTCCGGTATCCTGATAAAAGGTGTGAGAATTGGTGCGACCAGATCAGGTCTCTGTAGACTTGGTCAGTCAATGTCGACGTTTAACGACCCTGAACGACTTACGGATCGAAAAATGGAGATGGGTTGCGTGACGTTGTCGGCAGCATTTATCCTCCAGGCAAAGAGGGTTATCAACCAACATTGTAGAATTGATAGTGGTGAGACCCTCATCATCGTCATCGTCATCGTCCTTTTTGCTGCACCAACCTCCCCTGCACAAACTTCACCATGAGAATGAGGTGTGTCCTTGCAATAAAAGACAGATTCCACGTCAAACAGGTAGTCCAGGGAAAGATTTTGATGGACAGTCGAATCAAACGCCAATTACGCGACAAAACATGAAACAAGGCGCTTGAGTTCAGCTAGTTATGCGGCGGCGAAAGAGTCCCGAGGGTTCTTTCACGCCCAGATGGAGTCCTGCCAAGGTCTGTCAGGTCGTCAATTGTCCGATGTGGCGTCGAGGGCGCCGTATGTCAGCTGGTTAGGGGCCCAGAGTATAAGGCCCGTGATCATTTGGGTAGGATGAAGTTTGGGGCTGCCTGGAGAATCTGGTTTGCCACAAGTACAGTGTGAAAGAAGTATTGGGGGACGAAAAAGAATGGATTGCAGGAAATAGATTGTCAGTTCTCGGCTTTGGTCAGAGCCGATTGAAGGCAATAAGATGATGATCCTGGTACGTGGTATCGAGTATATCAATGAGTATTGGACTATAGTGTCCTAGTCTGGGTGACGAAGCACTGACGACGACAATTCTCCGTCTGTTTTTCTTCGTGGATTTTCTAGAATTGCCTTTGCACTCGCTTATAGGCCACCTGACTACTGTTACACCTACTACTGTAAGTGCATGTTGTACAGGGGCTCGAGCCCTCTTCTGGGCTTCCCTGCTTGATAGCCTTCAAATGACAATAGTAGTCGATAGTGGTTGGCTTCTCGGCCGCATTGATGCTTTGCAGGTTTGGGCTGCTTGGCGGTGCACTTTTGCTTTCAGGCTTTCTTGCTAAGGTTCTCACTGCGCCAGGTCGTGGTTCGCAAGAGTTGCATCCCCGGTCTATCTATCGAGGTGGATGTGGCACAAGTTCGTTACACCGGGTGTAACCATCAAATCGGCCTCTTCTTTTTCAATGGTAGGGGGATATCCCTGCTGCCATGGTAGATTGCCAGTCCATCTTATCAATCTCCCCCTCCTTTTGATTTGGACTACTGCACTTGTTGCGATATAGCCAAGGCCGGTCTAGGCGAGATACAGGAATTGATAAGTTGGAGAGAGATTTCAAGGCACTCTGTAATTGGGCCTTAAGGCCACTATTTCTTTTTTGCTTTCTCTGATAAGCAGGGGTAAGCGATACGAGTTGTTGACCACTTTGTAACTGCATGCTGTCGGTGGTGGCCGGCCGACGCGCATGTTCTAGCCATCCATGTCCGATCAGTACCTAGGTATGCAAGGTGAAAAGATGATAAGCCAGAGTCCTGGTGTATGCAGTTGATGGGCTTGAAGCCCTTCATCATAAAGTAAGGTATTATGGATAGACTCCAAAGACGCGCTTCCAGAGTCACCCAGTGTAAGAGGTGTAGAAAACGCTGCCCAAAATCCCAAGAACGCCCCGGACTATATACAAGCCATGCGCCCATATGAACAATTTTGAGAATGTACGAGTGTCAGAAGAGGATGATCATGATGACGTTGCCGACCAGATTGAAGAGTGCTGAGCAAACTTGGGTAGATAATGGGTGTAGGCGAAGGTCGCAGAGAGAGCAGTTGCAACAACAGGTAGTCCAACGACAAGAGCTCTGAAGATGACGTTCATCATCTGTTTGCGGTTCTGTGTTCGACATCGTTGCACGAATCCATCGGCGTCGTTGGATCGAGGAAACGGCTTGTCGGGAACCGGCTCGCCCAGGTATTCGCATAGAGGTCTCCATCCTGAGCTCACTCGGAATTCGAGAAGTTGCCCGGGCGGTACAATCTCGCGGATTTCCTTGTAGTACTCGTTGAATCTGTCTTTGCCGGAATTCTTGAAGTCGTCGTTGAAGAAGTACTTCCAGAAATTGCGCAGCATAGGGGAGTAAAGTCCGGCAGCCCAGTCAAAGTTGGCGACGGCCTTGAGTTCGGGGTCATTGGCGCGCCAATCGACCGTCTTCAAAACCGAGTTGTGCCATGAATCAACGTCTCGCGTGGTGATGATGACTTTGGCTTCTGGGTATGCCTCGATCAGCTCTTTGGAGAATGCAACGGCCGGCCAGTCGCAGACCGCCTGGCAGTGACCCAGTAGAGCATCCCACTCCTCACGACCGAATTTGCCCTTGCCTTCGAACTTGGCTGCGAATGCGTCTTGCCAGCAGAGACAGTCGGGAGGGTTCTCGACGCTGGCTGACATCATGTGGTAGGTGTCTGTATAGCCCAACTCCTTAAGTGCAGCTCTCAACGACGCCGTACCAGTTCTTCCTAAGCCAAGTGCCAGCACTCGCATAGGGACGATTCTCTTGCATTGTCGCCGGTCGATATCGGTCTGATAAGGAGTAAAGATGTCGGTCGCAGGTTTGGGGGTATAAGGAATGCCGGACGCCATTTTTTCTCTCAATGAAGGAGGTTTTGTTGTTGGCGCAGATGTAGTGAGATCTTGGAGCACGTCACAGAGATTGGAGACAACACGATCGCGATGTCCTTTTTCTTCCGCACAGTCGGTAGGTGGAAAGAGAGTGTGAGACTCGAAGCGTTCAGCTTGTCGCCAGGAGATAAGAGACAGTCAAGAAATCCTTGAACCGGTTCTTGAGTTCGTATTATGTAGAATGGTTAAAGAATGCAATGCAACGGGCGTGGAGATCGGAAGCGAATCAAGAAAACGAGGCTTGGAGGCTCTTCTTATGCAGGGCGGTCCATCTGACTCGGAGGCGACAGACTTCGAGCCAAACCCTGACAAGCGCACCCCCGACAGAGGCCCAACAAGAAAAACTCACCTTGGAATAGGAGTACGGAATGACCGTTCAAACGTGGTCAAGGCGGAGATCAACACATGTGTTGGAAAATGGAGATTGGAGAATGAGAAAACTGGGTACCAACGCAACAAATGGATGATTGATACTCACCACCTTTCCCGCTGTCAAACAGGCATTGAAGTCAGTCATTTCATCGGATTTCAAGTGCTAGTATCCAGCACTCCTGGATACATTCGCGAACTGGTGTCAATTAGTGTCAAAAAGGCCACGCAAGGTCCTGGTGAGGAGTGTCTCCAGACCAATCATCAATTCAGCCTGAAATGACGATTCGTGGTCGCCAAGAACGCCACTGACGCCGTCTGCGTTTGTTCCGGTCAAGCACAGTCCGCCAGTCAAATTCGCTTGCGACTGGTGAGGGACGGCGGCGGTGGGGTTCCACGTAGGCGAGAGAACATTTTCTCCCTTGACCTCAAGAGCCGCGTGTACGGAGAGAGTCTTTCGCAACGTCCAATTTGAAACAACTGTCAAGTGATGGAAAAGCCCCTAGAACACGTACACATTGGAGAAGTCGAGACTGAGTCCGAAAGTGTGTCGCTGGAGTCTTGATAATCCATCGAAATCCAGGGATATATGTTCCGGCATATCGGCCGCGTCTCATCATCATGAACCGGATTGCAGGACAGGGGGTCTCCCAGCCAGGGTTGGAAGATGGGTGGTACAGAGTACCACCAGGGTGGTGGTGACGCCTCCTCACAGGTAGCAAACATGCTCATGGCGGGTCATGCAGGCCTATTCTTTGGCGCCCGGATAAGTATTCTCCGGCTTAGATCGCCCATCAGGACGATTCGAAAGAGGTTGCCGAGATTTCCTGGCCCGGAGATGTCGCTTCTGATTGGTTCATAGTCTCCGTACATGTCGGCTTCGTGGAATGTCTAAGGATTCGGCGGTAGGATACAGCGATAATGAGAAAGAAAGGAAAGAAGAAGTAAGTGCTCAGGCGACTAAGGTAACAAGACATATATGCTTTGAGAAAGATCTCTTGCGACTGTTCATCGCGAAATGGCGACATCGTTCATTCGAAATGAGGTGCTATACCGGGCGTTCTTGGCGCATTTTTAGAGCCATGCTTGGCGGTCTGGGCATGCATTTGGAAAGAGCAACCACGGTGACAGTATATCGTACAAGTGCACACGCGAGGCTTTCTTCGATAGATGCTCCCTCAACCTATAAGCTGAGCGTAGCTATTCCAGACTTGGTCCTCCTGCAAACTCTGAACATCCGCAATCCGGAGGCTCGCGGCCAAATCCAGGTCGTTCGCCTTCGTCCTGGGCATGACATACGCCAGATCCGGGACCTCAACTAACCTGGGTCTGCGGATGAAATCAGGTGTTCCCAATAAGGGCCCAAAGTCGCAATGGGCAAGGCTCATTTGCGCCCAAGACGAGATCAATATATCCTTTCCAGGCTGGCATCGTGCCGGATAAAAGATGGTTGTCTTGTCCTCGGTGCTGTTGATGAGTGTGGCCAGACTTCGGATGTAGTGGTCGTCAACCTTAAGCAGGGACTCTCTGAGGGCACCAGCCACGTATGAGAGGGGTTTAGCTTGCACTTGTTCCGCGGGCAATGCTGTGCTGGCAAGCCCGACAAGATGGCCGAGGTAGCTTTCAGGTACTGCTGGTTTCAACATTTTTCTCCCGTCGACCGCCCGAAGACACTGCACGTTCTCGGCTTTGTCGACACGCCCACCCTTGATGCGCACGGCTGTAAGTCGTTGTAGAAAGAAGGCAACCACCGCATCATTTGTTGATACCCGATTGGAGGACTCCGCGGCAAGTTTCTTGAGTTCCACCACCTTCTCGTGCGGTATGCGCCAGTATCTCCATGGTGCATCGCCAGGTTGTCCGGGCGGAGGGCCGCCAACCGCATTCAAAGTCGAGGCCTGGAGCAGCTCTTCATGACCAAGGGCAACCTCACCTTCCTTCAGCGGTGGGACAATCCCGTCGGCGTCCTGATTTCCTTCAGCAACAAGTGCTGGGTCAAAGTCCTCGCCTCTGAGAGCAGTGGCGAACTGGCGAATCACAACACCTTGGCCATTCATGTCGAGTGCATTGTGCGCTGAGGCGAAACAGATCAGCACTCCGCCACGGATGAAGTTCGCCTGGATGATGAAGACCGGCATCTCCGTCCCTTCCGGATACGCATATCCCATTCCCTTCATAGGGGAGAGTACCTCTCCGTCGAGCATGGAGAAGGGGGCGCTAGCATTGATTATCTCATCGTATGAAGGACATAACTCCGTGCAATCTTTGGGTCGCACAGGTGACTTGCCCTGATGTTGAGCGTAGGGAATGATTCGGTACGTGCCAGAGTTCGTGCTTGATCGACCTTCCTTGATCACCTGTCCCGTTAGGAAAGGGTAAGCTTCAAAAAGTTTGAGCGCAGCTTGGTCGAGGGCCGTTGTTATGGCCTCCTGGGTCGTATCTGCTGGCATGCGAAACCCAAACAATACTAATGTGTAGGTGTCCCATACCATCTGTCCAAAAATCCCGGGTTGCCGCATGATGATGCTGTTGTGTGAGTGCCACGTACTCTGCAGGATATGAAACGTCAAAGAGCGCTGATAGGACAAAGTATATCTTGCCTACGTGTAAGCTCGCCGCACTGCACGCCCAATTCTAGTCTTCATATAGGTGACATAAGACGCTATTTCAAGAGTGGAAGTAAACACGAGTTGGCAGGATTCAGGCTAGCACTGTATGGCCTAGTAAGCAGTGATGCATACAGAAAGTGATGTTGCAAATTGTAGCTTCAGGCGCCCCTTTTGGAGCCACATGTGTTGTCCTCGTTGGGGATGATGGTGGATAAGGCATCCCATCCCGCACGAGTGCGCGGATCGATAGGACACGACGGCATGTGAACTTCCAGGTTGTTTATGAGGGGGAAAATTCGAAGCTGTCAGACAGCACGGCTAGTATGGCAAAATTGATCATCCGAAATTGTCTTTTGTCCGTCATTTATCGAATTTTCTTTTCAAGATTCCAGGTTCAACGCACTTGCTTGCAGGGTGTTCCACCGTATGACATTGCAGCATAGACCCCGCACTCCGCCGGACGTGCCGATCTCTTCTCAAAGAGGCCCAACACGCTTGCCGCTTTGACGCCTAAACAAAGACCAACCTGCATTTTAGGAGAGCACTTCAGGAATCAGATCATACTACGTATCTCCCCCAAACTTATCAAGGACTCGACGCCTCAATGATGTGAATTCATTCTCTCAGTTATGCTTTTCGACAAACATCAGCACCTTCTCTACAAAGTCCTTAGGATTCTCCTCAGCAGTCCAGTGTCCACTCTTATCCACCGTCACAACCTCTACGTTCTCGTAAAACTCATTCGTCTGCTCCTCCGCGACCTCAAGCAACAAACTCATCTCCCCGCACAAAGCGGCTGAAGGCATCTTCAACTGGCCGTCTTTCTTCTTCATCGCCTGGTTGTCCTTAGCATCTTGGGGAAAGGCGCGGTAGAGCTCGAATCCAGCCCTCATGCCACCTGGTTGGGCGAAACTGGCTGCATAGTGATCTACATCCCGTGGCGTGATGCCGTTGGGATTGAAAGCGAGGCGGTCATAGAAGTGCTTGATGTAGATCTTCTCTTTGCCCTGGGTGAGTAGTTCGGGGAGATCCAGTTGTTGTTGGAAAGTGAAGTGCCACATGCCCGGGGAGTTCTTGAAGCCAGACTCGTAGGGTCTCGCGCCTGGTAAGGGGCATTCACCAAACATCACTGACTTGGTGTGATCCGCATGGGAAGCTGCGTAGGCGTGGGCGATCATGCCGCCGATGTCCTGGCCGACGATATGAACGGGTGATGTTATGCCTAGGTGATCGTGGGCGACTTTGTACAAGTCATCTGCTATCGTGACCTTGTCGTATCCTAATTTGGGGTGTGATGAGTCTCCGGCTCCGCGATAGTCGCATGCAATCACCCTGTACCCAGCTTTGGCAAAAGGGGTGATGACATGTCGCCATTGGTAAGAGGTGTTGGGGTAGCCATGAATGAGTTGGATGACGCCCTTTTCTTTCTCGCCGAGCGACGGGCAGTCGATCCAATGTATTCGAACTTCTCGGTCATCGTCTACAAAGACATGGCCGTGCTGCCAATGTGTATCGTTAATATGTGTTGGGTTAAGGGACGGCATATTGGTTACTCAGTCGTGGTGTCAAATCCTCAATTCTGGATATGAGGACGATGGCAAGGTCGCTTTTACAGTCTCTCAGTAGGCACTTTGTTGTTAGCAATCCAGCCTTACAGCATTTTGACCATGTTGGATTTGCATAAGCGCGGGGTCGTAGTTCTAGACGTAATGATGAAATGGGAATGGTTGGGCGCGGTGGAGCTGGGGCCCCAGACTTTTCAAACGTTTTTGTAACCTCCACGAACATCTCTTCGTAATCATGATGCGAGAGTGCAGCAGCATGAACGAGCGGAAACGAATGAGATGCGACGGAGAAGCGGAAGTCCCAAAGTACTAGCTAGCCCTCTCGAGCCTCCGAAGTTACCCTCGGCCTACAAGAGCACTCAGTCAAGGATCAAGCAGCAAAAACAGACATGCAAACAATAGTCACTGACGTGTGCCATTGTCAGGATCGTCTTCCATCGCCCTTGAATCATCATATGTGATACTTGTGTACTACTGGGCGAGTTTTGCCATTGATTAAAACTGCTCGGCTCTCTCCTCTCGACCAATTTTCATGGTCCGGAAACGATCTCCGTATCCTCCACCATGGCGGACGCTGATCACGTCGCTCAAAAGAACGGCGGTTGGCGCCTCGACGTACCACTTGTGCACGATGTCTGGGGTCTTGGTCATCCCCAAGCGGGGAGTGTTAAGCGCCCTTAGCCGCTGAGATCGCACTTCCCCAGCTTGCTCGCCTCGAATCTCCATACTCGGCTCGTTCCTTGCGAACCTTCACACTGACATCACCCACATCTCCACGTGCGTCTCTAGCATATGGTTTGAACTGCTGGGATGTCTCGTCTACAACGTCCTGTGGGAGGAGAATCTTGCCTCCTTGGGCACCCTTCCCTAGACACGTTCTGGTCTGGTTGCATACTTGTGCGACATGCCTCGGCCTGACTGAATAGGTTGATACCAACCGATTTAGACACACGCCTCTGACGACCTTGGCCGCACCCGAAAAACCCCAACTGACACAAAGTCCGCACGTTGTCCAGATCAGTCAATTTACTACGAGTGTTTCTCGTGCATGCGACATCATGTCGGAAGAAATCAAGCCCTTCAAGGTCGATATCCCCGAAGACGAGGTGGAAAGGTACTACCGAAAGGTCAAAGACACACGAGTACCTACCAAAGATATCGTCCCTGGCGCTGGAAGTGATTATGGTTTCACCACCGAATGGGCCACAGACCTCTATCACTTTTGGACGGACAAGTACGACTGGCAGGACGAACAGAAACACATGAACCAATGGCCTCATTACACGACCGAACTCGAAGGTAATAACATCCACTTCATTCACCAGCGCTCCGAGGCAGCATCCGCATACCCACTTCTCATGGTCCATGGCTGGCCAGGCTCCTTTTATGAGTTCAGCCGTGTTATCAACGCTCTGAGCGACGCCAAATCGCCGCAACCATTCCACTGCGTCGTGCCCAGCCTTCCCGGGTGCTGCTGGTCGTCTGGTCCACCGCGCGGCTGGAAGCTACAAGACACAGCGCGTATCTTCCACACTCTGATGCATCGCTTGGGCTACAAGGAATTCGCAGTTCAGACCAGCGACTGGGGCCACTGGGTCGGCCGCGAGCTCGGCGCCCAATGCTCTCACTCTTGCAAAGCCGTGCACTTCAACTTCGCCCCCGCGCCGTTGCCTGAAGGCGCAGAGCTGATGGAACGGGAGGCAGCAGTCCAAGCCAGAGTCGACGACTGGCTAGAGAACCACTTGATTGTGAACATGACTCCAAATTCAATCTGTGGAGCATTTTATATTATATACTTCCATATTCGTGGCATAGAGTAGACCCTGCGATCGACGTTGTGGAGTGACGGAGCCACGAGGACTGAAGGAAAACCAAAAGACCGGGGTCAACACATGGAGACGGAGTGCGCGTGCCATTCCCCCCTTGAGTGCACAATGACACTTGATAGGAATCCCGAGCAATTAAGCGATAGAATCCACACTTCGTAGGCGAGCAAACTGGTATTGCTAGTGGTTGGACCGCAACTTAGATCTGAATGCTTGATAACCTGTAGTCGGTTTAAAGTGCCGGAGGAGTGGACCGAGCGCTATAGACTTCCTAATGCGGCTATCAAGGTTGATAGACGCTCCACTAGGACAGCGCTTCAACTTTCGCCCTAGTACGATACCTCATGGGAGAGGTTCGTTGTTACATCTTCTTCCCGGTCTTTCCATTGGCTGGCAGAGCGTCATCGGTGATGTCCAGATCGGGTCTGAAACAAACAATGGCTTGCCTTTCATCCTACTGTTGGAACCCTTTCCACAGTGCTGTGAACCACGGTGAAGCTGATCTCTCGGCCGCCATGCAAAGAACACTCCTCCGCAAGAGCATAAGACGGCTTGCTGTCAGTTCTCGCAAGCACTCATCCTCTCCGTTTTGCTCGACCACGACTTCTCCTTCAGCACTAAAGAAGTCGATAGTCCCAGACCACACTCTTTCGACCAACGATGTTCAAAGACGACAGCCAGCGAGCAAGCCATCTGTCAAGGACCTCTTCTCGCTGGAAGAGAGAACGATCGTCGTGACCGGCGCTGGGCGAGGTCTAGGTATTACCCTTGCCTCGGCTGTACCCGACGCAGGTGGGGATGTTGTGTGCCTTGATGTGCTCTCACAACCAAGTGAGGCGGAATGGGCTGGAATTACCAAAGTGGGAGAAGTGACTGGTCGAAATGCGATGTACCATAAATGCGACATTACTAAAGAAGAGGACGTCCAAGCTACTCTGGCAGACGTGGCATCTCAGGCAGAGAAGAGAAACAAGCCTATACGTGGTCTGATCAGTTGTGCCGGTATTCAGCAAATGCTTGATGCAATTGACTATCCCACCGACGGGTTCCGCAGAATCTTGGACGTGAATGTAACAAGCAGCTTCCTCGTTGCGAAACACACAGCGCGCCTCATGAGAGACGCGAAGAACAGCGGGAGCATTGTGTTCATAGCATCTATGTCAGGACAGATAGCAAATCGGGTACGACAACACCACCGTTCTTCAGACTTGCGAAGTCCACTGACAGGGCTATAGGGCATCCATTGCTCCGCATACAATACATCCAAAGCCGCAGTACAGCAGATGAGCCGGTCTCTATCTGTGGAATGGGGCCGTTATGGCATCAGGGTCAACAGCCTCTCGCCTGGATACATTCGCACTGCAATGACTGATCAACTTTTGGCAGAGAAGCGGGAGATAGAAAAACTATGGATGGCAGGTGCATTACTTGGCCGACTGGGTTCAGTGGAGGACTTTAAGGCGCCTGCAGTGTACTTGCTCGCCGATGGTGCGTCTTTTATGACTGGGGCTGACTTGAGGGTTGATGGAGGTCATTGCGCTTCTGCGTAACCATTTTCACTTCCTGTAATTTTGTTAAGGGGCATCCAAAGTAGAATTGACCACGTTCTGGCACCCTTTGGAGACGAAGGACATTTATAGACCGGATTTAAGCTTCCAGCATACGAGCCTAAGGATTCCTAGGGTTCCCCGGCCTTTCCCTCGGTAGTTGTTGTCCCCCCGCACTTACCTGACACGAACACCCCGAGAACTTACCTGTCGAAATCTCCAGAGCAAAGCAACTGACAGTCTCAAGCTCCCATAACTATCATAGTACCAGTAATGAATCCTCACGACGGGGCCATGTGATGGTCCAGCAAGAGCCCTCGATGGAGGGCAACACGCAGGCGACACCCTCGAAGAGAGACAGGGACTTCGCCGTCTCCAAACGCAGCAGAGGCCGGAGTGGATGCTTGAATTGTCGACGTCGTCGGAAGAAATGCGACGAAACGAAGCCGGATTGTGCGAAGTGCACCACGCGCGGCGAAGTCTGCGAATGGGACACTGGAATCACTTTTCGACTATCTGGCATCGACAGCTATCACCCATCTATGGTCCATTCAAGAAACTTGAAGACCCACAATGAATATCAGATCATGAACGTCACCTTCGACGACAGTAAAGGTGCCTTGCAGCACACATATCAGGAACAGCACGACGCCATGTCCCAACACTCTTCGTCGTCTTTCGATGAGCAAAGCGTTGAATATGTGCAAGAAGGCCACTCCGACATAAATGTCGCTTTACCGGATAATGAGCAGATCTTGAGGACTTTGTCCAGAGATAGTGGCGCCTTCTCGACTCATAGTGTGTCCATCACAGGCGCACCTTTGGAGAGACGTCCAAGCACCCAGACCATGGAGACTTCCACCCAACTTCATGTTTCGGAGGATGGCTTGATGAACTCAACCGCTGGCAGCAAGAGAAGTACCAGCAAGGGCAACCCTAATCACCACGAAAGCAATGTTGGCACTTTTCCACTATCATTACCACACATCAGCGCACCAATTGAGATGCCAGGATTACCAACTAACGTGGCAATAAACCCCGGATTCAGGACGACAGACCCGTTCAACAGTGAAACACGTGAGCAGCAGCTACCTACATCGACATTTTCAGAGCTCGAGGCGCTCGACTATCTCACATGCCAGCCAAATAATCTCGACTCATTCGCAACCGTGATGCAGCAGGATGGATTAACGCAGCGCTACACCACGAATAATTCAGATCTCATACAGTCCCCTTTCGCCACTACATCGACTCTGGGTGATTCTGCTGACTTGCGCAACATCTTTTATCCCAGTGCTACATATCAGGATTTGCACTCAACTCTATACCGTCACATGGTGGAGACGGCGCGGAATACTGCTTTGACAAGACAGGCAACACCGGATCCATTCGGTCAAGAGGCTCCTCCCATCCTCCATGATGCCCCATCTTCCTCATCCAATGTCAACAACATTCGATCACCAGTCCGAGAACTAGGCCTGCGGCTTCAGCCATTGAAATCCGGCAAACTGGCTCAAAGACGACATTTCGAACTCTGGCGCAACTATCTCGACGAAGTTGCCGTGTGGCTTGACATGTTCGATAACGACCGACATTTCCAGTTCAAGATACCACTTCTTGCCAAATCGGCCGACCATCTTCACTATTCCATCTTAGCACTTTCCGCACGGCAGATGGAGAGAAAGGATCCTGACAAACCATATACAGAATCGTTGGGACTGTATCAAGAGGCAATCCGGCTAATAGTCAAAGAACTGTACACTTTGGACACTGCTGTGATCGCTTCTTGTGTCTTATTGTGTGTCCTAGAGATGATGAGCTCCTCACCAAGGGCCTGGGGTCGTCATCTAGATGGCTGCGCCATGCTTCTTGAGGCAGCCGGTGTAAATGGCGTTGTTGGCGGAGTTCGACAATCGCTGTTCTGGTGCTTTGCAAGGATGCACGTTTGGGGAGGATATCTCGAAGATACATTGACCAAGATTCCCACGAGCCGATGGTTTATTCCAAGCGGATCCATGATTGACGCCGTGACTCATTTCAAGGCAGGATCTGGGAGTGACAGTTATGCCGATTATGCTGTCTTCCTGTGCGCCAGTGTTGTCAACGTGACATCCAACAAGACTGGTCCCCATGTGGAACGTACTGAGATGGTCTCTGTCACGTCAACCACCTATGCTGCTCGATGGAAGGCGTTGTTTGACTTGTTGGAAGACTGGTATAACAATCGTTCGGAGGCCATGCAACCACTTATGGCGTATCCATCCAGTGCCGACGAACCTCGAGAGCCGTTTCCTGTTGTGCTTTACAACAATTCGCCCGCTGTCAATGGTAACTCGCTATACCACGCCGCAGCAATCTTGATGTTACAGAACAAGCCCAAGGGTATGCGTCTCTCAAGGTCTCCAAAGTCGATCTTATGGCACGCTCGTCAGATTTGCGGTATCGCTGTATCGAACGGTGACCATGGGGCGTGGATAAATTCTTTACAACCACTCTGGATTGCTGGCAAGATCATGTCGCACGAAACCGAACATCGAGCCATTCTCGAGCTTTTGGCACAAATCGAGAGGGAGAGTGGTTGGGCGACTGCGTGGAGGGCAGAGGACCTTAGGGATTATTGGGGAGAAACTGAATTTTCAGAGACGTAATAAGTGTGCAGGACTACTTTCTAAAATCACGGAACTCAATTGCGCCTTCTCCATGAGCTGCTTTCGCAACGCTGAGTAAGAAACAGCGAGAACATGTTTGAGCCAGATGTACAAAGAGTCTGACGGGCTGAAATCCGGGGAAACCCCGAATTGGGGCCCCCAAACGCACATCATACCCTGAGAACCAATGGATTCGTGATACTGACACTCTCCAAGCTACACCCAAAGAGGCAATATCGAGCGCTCAAGCCGTGAATGCCGATTACTTCCAGGCGCTTCGCTATCCCCAGACCGATCAAGGCGAAAAGAAAACAATATCACCTCTCCGCGGACTAGCGATCAACATCAAGTTGCCACTCATCCGGGTTTTTTGACCGAACTTCATGATGGGACGATATATTTCAACGTCTTTGCACCACTTCCAAGCGCTCCATCACCAGCCGTTCCAGAGACCCCTACCATTGAGACCACCTCGAAGCAATGGCTCCATCACTCGAAGCCTACGAAGATGCTGTATCCTTGCAGCCTGTCAAGGTCCAGCAGACCAAGATCAACGGCACAAATGGTGTCGACTCGTTGCAACCTAAGGAGAGTGACAAACATGATTTGGTGCTCCGTGTTTTCAGATGTCTTATCGCAGACTTATGCGAGCAGTTTAAAGGTGGCCATCCTGGGTACGTAAGGGCTTATGAGAAGTCATGCGCTTGCTGATGGCAGTAGTGGAGCAATGAGCATGACAGCCATTGGCGTTTCACTCTGGAAATATGCGATGAAGTATTCTCCGAGCAATCCAAACTATTTCAACCGGGATCGTTTCGTACTCTCGAATGGTAAGCAGTGGCCAGCAAAGATCGATCGTGGTAGCTGACGGGCCACAGGCCATACATGTCTCTTTCAATACACCTTCATGCATCTTGTCGGCTACCGGCAAATGACAATTGAACAATTAAAATCATATCATTCCAGACGAACAGACTCAATTTGTCCCGGACATCCGGAAATTGAGAATGAGGGCATCGAAGTCACCACCGGACCCCTCGGCCAGGGTGTCGCGAATGCTGTCGGTCTTTCCATGGCTACGAAACAGCTTGCAGCTACGTATAACAAGCCAGGATTTGACCTTGTGGATAACATGACTTGGTGCATGATCGGTGACGCCTGTTTGCAAGAAGGCGTGGCATTAGAGGCTTTTCAGCTTGCAGGCCACTGGAAGCTCAACAATCTGGCAATCATATACGACAACAACCAAATAACATGTGACGGCTCTGTCGACATGGTGTGTACCGAGGATATCAACGCGAAGATGCGAGCCTGCGGCTGGAACGTCATCGACGTCCACGACGGAACGTCAAATGTTCAGGGCTGCACACAAGCATTCATCGAAGCTCGTGTAAGTGACTTGCCGACTTTCATCAACATCCGGACGGTCATCGGCATCGGTAGCGCCATCGCAGGTCAGGCAAAAGCTCATGGTGTAGGACAACGCTCAGCGGCTCGAGCAGCGCGCCCTGAGCATAGGTCAGCTGGTCGGGGAGCTTGTGTACCCAGCGAGCCGGATGGCACTTCAGTCGTTGCATGGTGCCTGGATGAGGGCACACGCCGGCGAAGCGGACTTCTTCACATAGATTGTACCGGCCTGACCGGCACAGGAAGCATTCGGTTTCACATGCCACGCCTGGCTCGATGGCGACGCGATCTCCCGGCTTGAAATGTGCCACGCCGTCGCCCACGGCCACGATGAGCCCCGCTGCTTCATGGCCAAGGATGCAATCGCCATCGACCGTGAGGGGACCAATGCATCCTGACCGCCAGAAGTGGATGTCGCTGCCACACAGGCCGGTGGCTTTGACATGGATGAGAACCTCGTCGCGGGAGGGAGTATGAATAGGTGCCGACGTGAGCTTGATGGTGCGTGAGGCTGTGACTTGTAGGGATGGGTTAGGGATATGGCTGGGATCGAAGGAGAGCTGGTAAGTGGTGTGGCCATTTGTAGGGGAGTGGCTATGCTTGCCGTTCTGTGGGGGATGATTGCTGCTTTGATCCAGATAGGGCGCCATCAGAAATGTACTTGCCCAGAACAGGAGTATAAATGTCCGGGTAATGGGCTATGGGCACGCATGGGCCCGGCGAGGTACAAGGAATAAGGACGACGAAAATGAAGAACAGAGATATTGGTACAGCAGCCTGTATCGTACTCTCCTTGTTCAGAAGTGTGTGGTACAGGGTCGTCTCGAGAGCCAAAACAGAGTAGATTGGTTTGGAAGACCGTGTGCTTGTCGCTTCTCAACTGCAGCAGGACGAGAAGTATCCCAGACGGGGAACCTTCCGTACAAGGCTGTGTGATAGGTCCGCTTCAACGATACCGCGTCGCAGATGCAGCGCATGGGTCTCAGTAGGCCCCCTCCATCCATTTCCAGTAGGGTTTGTCGCCGAAGACTTAGGAGCCACCGATGCTTGTTGGTAGTGATAAAAATTGCTGAAACAGGAGTTATCGAGCGCCACCTGGCACGATATTGGCCAGCCCAATAGACTGCCTTGAAGAAGAAGCTATTGGGCTTCTCCGTCTGCCCGGGGTTCCCATGGGGCAGCCATGGCCGTAACCTCGTTCATAGCGCTTCCTTGTAATATCACTGCACATCCTGGACCAGGAAAAACCTCATCAGTATCCAGTCTTATAATCGTCAGCTCAATACAGAAGTTTGAGAAACTCTGCTGCGCAACCCACGAATTCAACGCAGAGATCTCGGCAAACCCTGTATGGCTTGTCGGGCTGCTTCTCTGTCTTGGACTGTCCCCCGGCCCGTAGCTATCATTCATTTCACATGTAGATCCAGCATTCTCTCATAAGTAGGGTTCCACTCGCGAAGCATATCGCGAATGTCGTGGGATAGGTCGAGTATCTGATATTCAAGCTGCTTTCTGTTGACCAAGTGGCCCGCAGCAACCAGGAAGGTTCTGGATCTTCTTCTTTCCAAGTATTTCAGGAACCGAACACTTCCATCTAAAACGTCCTCTCCCGCATGGACTGCTGACCGCACCAGTTCGCCCTGCCTCATTTCCTTGAAGTCCCCTAACATGCTCGGCGAATTCAGGGTAAACAATCTCCTGTAGGTGGCCAGGACAGTGTCACGAACTTTACGGATGGCGCTGGCCAAACTGCCGCTCCTGCTGGACGCCGCGTTCGCTTTCTCTTGAAAGCATTGTCATCAGCTCGTCACCACAATCTAACAAATCGTCCGATAGATTAGAAATGCGCTTCCGCATTCGAGCCACGTCGAAGCTCATTCCTGAATGACTCCACAATGCAAATCTGGAATCTCCGTGCTAAAAGTTGTGTTTACCAGATCAAAAACGTCACATGGTCGGCCGTTATCGGTTCGGGAGGAGGAATAAAACAGGAACAGTTGTCGTGGGAGGTGAGAAAGGCTGACGGGGGGAGTTTGCCTGATTGGAAATGACTTTCCAAGCGATGGGGCCATTGGTTGCATCTTCCCTGCTCCCTCTTCTCACCGTTCAATATTTTGGCGAACAACAGTGCCCAGCTCGAGGCTGTGAGTTGCTCACATGATGGGGACTGGCCAAGCCAAAGGACTACACGGCGACATGATCGTCGTTCTGAGTAAACCGTCCTCTTTGAAATCAGCAGGGAGTCGAAATATTTGCCCACGGCGATGCTTGTAGTACTTGAATCGTGTAGAAAGTGTGCCTATGTACTGTAACTTAGCTAACTTTGACCTGAGACACCCACCACGAAGGAGTCAGTAAGTTAGCCCACCAATCATGGCGACATGCGGGGAAGGAGCCTAAAGTTCCCCTGGGATCCCTAAAGCTGCAATTTGGAGGCACTGATCCGTTGTCACCTCCGCCAACGACAACAATTAGCACCACACACTTTCTTGCAATACCTCGTCGTACTGAGGCTGGCTTTGTCCTCCTGACGCATCTGAGGCGTCCCTGGAAAGAGACCACTCGCCGAACGGAGAGGCACTGGTGCCTCATGGCAACTCAAGTGCCGGCTGCTCTCAAGGCAGCAGACATCACCCGCTTCGCCCATCGCGCAGCGCAGCTTGAGAAGCCCAAGCCTATAATAGCATATTGGTGTATGCGATACCACTCTATCCGCATATCTGCTTGCTGACGAGTCTCAGGTGAATACTGGATAGTCAACCAGATCTTATCAAAAGGCCTACACAATGCCGACCAAGAGTGCCTGGTCTACACCACGACCCTGATGGACAAGTTGGAACAGGTACGCTGAATAAGACCATGCGCTACTCCCCGCTAACGGTCCTCCAGTTCAAAGCTGAACACTCCGAAGAGCCCGCGGTTACCGACGATATTGCTGGCAAGGCATATGTTGAACAATTCGGATCGGAGTTATTTGAAAGAGCAGACAATGCTGTACGAGCAGATAAAGCTTCAGCACAAACAGCAGATACCTTCCTTGCCTCGGCCACCTTCCTCGATCTCTGCCAGATATGGGGTCCTATTGATCCCGAGGTCAGCGCCAAAATCAAATACGCAAAATACCACGCCCTGAGAATTGCCAAAGCATTGAAGGCTGGCGAAGATCCCAATCTCTCAAATCCGAAGCCAGAACCTGCCCCCGAAGATTCCCTTCCAACTCTAGATCCCAACGACGCAGAAGTCCAAGCGTTGGAAGGGAAGCCGAGACAACCATCACTGGTAGAGGTGCCTGATGAAGCCGATAAGACACAAAATAGCCTCGCTCAGCGATCGGTCCTTGACGAGTCACTCCATCCATCAAGAGATACATCTATGCCACCACCAACCAAGAAAGCGCGCCAACCGTCCGTCGTCGACATCCCAGACGAAACAGATGTAATTCAAAGCAACCTTGCACATCAGTCAACCATCGATGAATCTCTTCACCCTTCCCGAGCACCCTCATTACCGCGCTCTCCAGTAAATGATGTCTCTCCGTTAGCAGCACAAGACGCTGCGGCATTTTACACCAACCAACCCGATCCGACCGACATCTCACCTCTGGATCCTCCTGCTGACCGCAAACCATCTCTCGGAGGCAATTACTTCCCTCGGCTTCCGTCACCACCAGCACCAGAACTTCCCTCAGCGCCCACAACAGTTGGCGGCCCGCCAGACCTACCCTCTGCGCCCGTAGACTTTAGTACTGGAGGTCCAGATCTCCCTGCACCACCATTAGACCCCTCGTTAACATCAGCACGAAGTGTGCTAGGCGGATTGAACCAGTCGAGCCGCCAGTCCCCTCCGCCACCGCCACATCGACACGGCCAGTTCCTCCCACCAGCTGGACCAGGCCAAACTCCGCAGATCCCGTCAAATTTGCAACCACAAGCTCCGCAACCCCAAGTTCCCATAAATCCGCCGCAGCTGCGTCAACCTCGTGGCCCTGTGCCCCCCGTACCACAATCGCAGGTGATGTCGCCTATTCAGCCAGTCAGTGCCGAGGTGAATGAAGAATCCATTATGAAAGCGCAGAAGCACGCTCGGTGGGCAATCTCTGCACTGAATTTCGAAGACGTGCCCACAGCGATCAAGGAGTTGCGAGGAGCGTTGGCTTCGTTGGGAGCGACGTGAACATACGGGGAGCAGCGGCATTGTTCTTCCTTTGTTCCGCCAAGGACCATCAAGGTCAATGAGATGACTCTTTGCTTCAGATTATGTGGTCGTGGTTCTGGAACGCGGTTTGGTTGCGACCCTGCACATTCGCCGAGAATTGCACCAACGCACACATCACAGCCTGCAAGTTCGACGAGAAAGCCCATCAACGCATCGCACCCACATACTGCTTCTGACTGGTTATGTAACATCAACGATATATCATTTAGCGATCTGAGCTTCTGCACCACAGACAAGGGGTCGACTGGAAGCACTGCCAGGACCGGTCTTAGTGGCACTGTGGTGGTAACCAGAACCAGGGGATAACGTCATTCCAGGGCGAAATAGGCTACAGGACGTGAGCCATACCTGCGAATAGTTGGATCGCATCGCCCATGCTGTACGTGTTCTGTCTCTTGACCGAACGGCACGAGGCACGAAGCACGAAGCTACCCCAAGCCAATATGCAGAAGCCTGATCGACCAGCGGCTAAACACCATATTACGTTCTGAAAGGACTTACTTCGACTCGATAGCGTACTGTACTCAGCCTGTAAGCATGTGATGCAATTCGCGATTCAAAGGAGGCTAGACAATCATTGTCTTGTCGAGTTGTCCGAATAGATATTCATTGTGCATGTTGCGTCAGAACTATATCGTGTCCGCCCCATGCAGAAGACATATCTGCATATTTTACAATTCATTCCGCTTCCGCCATTTTCCAAGACCGAGGATGCCCGAGGCATTCACTCCCTCAGAGTGATTTGCGATCGCCTTCTATCCACCTGCATCGTCCAACGCAAATCGTGACGTTCCGGTGCTGATATCCAGAGCATGTCATGCCATGCTGCCAATCTTTCAGGATCTCTAATCAAACAAATCGCCCGCTCGTCTCCGAACTCTGTTCTCCCTAACCGGCGCATCGAATAGGTCCGCCTTTTTGTCCATTCTCGACCCACGCTCATACTGATTCGGAAACAGCTCCTTGACCTGCGCGCGTCCCTTGATACTCAAACCTCCAGACCCCTTGATGCTCAATCCACGGCCGTTCGTGCTGGTGTCCGAAGGAAACAATTCCACACCACTATTCGTGCCGTTGTTGAAGGACTTTGTGCTGTCGATGCTGATGGATTTCCGTGCGAACCGTTCCGACAGATCCTCTGCATTCTTGGCGTCCATGGCATGACTCCGGCGGTGGTGCGAGCGCGGACTCGTCTGTGCTGCACTGAGGAGGTCGGCTTTTAAGCGTTTCGCGGCGGCGGCATTGGCGCGTGAATTTGCGGGGTCAGGGAACGGCCTCGAGCCAGCGTTTGCGGATTCAGCAACCATAGATGTATCGCCGTCGGATGCTCTAGACGGAAAGAGCTCGATATTGTCTGAATGTAGACCTCCGCCGCCTTTTCGGTTTGATCCTGAGGAGAAGAGTTCCTTGCCGACGTTCGAGCGACCACCACCGCGGTCGTTGCGGTCGCGGTAACCTCTGCGCCGAGTGTTGGTTTCGCCTTCGGAGTCGGAAATGTCGATCTCGTCGCTGTTTCGTGTTCTCCTGCTTGGACTGGCGCTGCGTCCTCTACCTCTGCCTTTGGTCACACGCGAGAAGAGATCTCGTCCTCTGCCGGCTGTCTCTGTGTCTGTGGATGCAGCGGGTGCGTCGTCGTACATGTTGGCTGAGAAATCAGTTGGGTCTGCGTTCGCGTCGTTGTCTCGCCTTCTTCTGTGGAGTTCGCGGTCGTCGAATTTTCGTCTTCGGTAGTCGCCTCTGGTGTTTGCGAATTCAGTGCGCATGCGCTCTGTGGGATCTTGGTCTGGGTGTAGGAGGTAGTATCTGCTCGCGTCTTTGGCATTTTTTCTCTTTCGATCACCTTGCTGCGCGACTCGCACGACGAGCATGCTTCCCGGTCTGCTTGCTAGCGGTTTCGCGGAGCGTATTTCGAATGGCGCATTGGTCAATTCCACCTCGGTGATTGGGTTCGCGAGAAACAGTAGGTGTGCTCGTTTCGCTTTTTCGTTGTCTTTGAAGCAGATGTTGGCAGAAGTGTCATCGATCCATTGGATGTGTACATCGTCGCCCACGTCACTAAAGTGGTCGTGTACAAAGCCTAGGATATCGTTGGTGTGGAAGTCGTCTACGCCGCGGATGTGGATCTTGTTCCATTGTGGTTCGAGAGCGGGATCTTCGGTGTAAATGGCAGGGATGAGGGCTGAGGTGTCTTGGACCGGGGCGTGTGATGATGGTACAAACGAGGGTTCTTCGCCTTCCTGTGTAAAGTGTTAGGGGCGTGTATGAGGCAGATAGTGGATCTATCGTACTTCGAGTTGGTATTCATCGTCGATCGCAGCGACATTGTCGTCCATGTCCATGTCAATATCAATGTCCATGAGATCGGTGTCCTGCGCCGGAGGCATGCTGGACTCCATTGCTAGAGCCATGTTTGGTAGTGGAGTGGTCGGCTGGTACTTAGACGGTCGACTAGGTTGAAAGAAGTTCCAGGCTCGTTGATCAAAGGAATCGATGGTTAACTAAGCCATGGTTGGACAGTCACCGTGAGGCTGGGTGTGGGCACCACTGGATGGAAAAGTGATGATGCAGGTGAGGGTTGCGGAGGGGTATCGGTGAGGTGAGGTGAACGAAAGACTGACTTAGATCATAGATATGTTTGCGACTTGATAAGCTTGCAAGAGTAAGGGATATGTCAAATAATGTGCAGTGTCAATGTACTGTATGTGTTTGACTGATGTTCTTGTTACAGCTTCGAGTCCTGAGTAGATGTTCAAAGCTACGCGAATTGGAGCCATGAAGAAAGCACTGTATATCACGCCGCTTTTTGTCCCCTCCCAGCCTTCTCCAACGACAACCCCTCATATCGGATAAACACCATACAACTTTATTCCTCTTCTCGGTTACGTAGGTATAAACATGTCAGGGCAATACGCGGGGAGATGGTGTGGAGGTTCCAAGCAACGATGGAGTATTCCCTGATATCATTCTAGGTAGGTGTATACAACTACAGTGACTTCTGACATATCACATTGTTGCTCTCCTACTACTATCTTATGATGCTCTCCACGACTCGTGTCTTTCCAAGCATATCCCGCCTGGCACCCGTCCAGCGATGTATCCTCCAACACCTTAGCACGCGAAACATCTCAATCCACCGTCTCTCCGGCTCCATCGGCGCCGAAATCCACGATGTAGACCTAGCCCAAGATCTCCCAGAGAACCCAGGCCTTGTCCGTGAACTGCGCGAATCCCTCCTCGAGCACAAAGTAATCTTCTTCCGCAACCAGAATCTCGAACCCGACTCATTTCTGAACTTTGCATCGCACTTCGGCAAGCCAATCGAGTACCCTTTCGTCCGGGGGCTCGACAACTTCCCAGCCATTATTCAAGTTTTCAAACAGGAGCACGAAACCGTCAACTTCGGCGGCGTCTGGCACAGCGACACCTCGTACTTCGACCAACCCCCAATGGGCTCGATATTACTCGCCAAAGATATCCCGCCCTACGGCGGAGACACACTGTTCGCAAACCAGTACGCCGCGTACGAGGCTCTTTCTGACGGATTGAAGCATACGCTATCCACCCTCAATGGCGTGAATACCTCTGCAAAGGCCGACGTGAGTAAGACACGCGAGGACCGTGTTCGTGATAGCGGAAATGCCAACGCCAATACGAACTATGAGGCAATCCACCCGGTTGTCCGGACGCATCCTGAGACGGGTCGAAAGGCGCTGTACGTCAACACGGCGCACACGGCGCGCTTCGAGGGCTGGACGGAAGATGAGTCTGCGCCGTTGCTGCAGTACTTGTTCACGCACCAGGTCAAGCCTGAGTTCACCTGCCGGTTTCGCTGGGATGTGGGGAGTATTGCGTTCTGGGACAATCGGTGTGCACAGCATTATCCGGTGAATGACTACCATGGATTCAGGCGGAGGATGTTGAGAATTACGTTGGCTGGCGATAAGCCTGTATAGGAATTTGGTCAGGGACAACCTGGTAGGATTGTATTGCTTGCGATAAACTCTCGCTGCATTATGCTGTGGATATCAGGAGAGCATATCTCATATCTCATATCTCATATCTCATATCTCAGATCTCATATTTCATGTCACATCTCGTTTCCAGTTTTGTTCTGCCGTCTTGGACTTCAAGTTCCACATTTCCTGTTCCGAGTCCACTCCATGCAATGCTATCGTAATGCTTTCATGTCGGTCCAGCCGATCTGAACAGTTCTCATCGCCCAAGACTTTCGATAGACACTTTTCCCATCCCATAAGATCCCGTAAATCCGCTCCTCTTCTCTCAAATGTTGCCAGTATTGTGTGTGGTGTGATATTTGCTGTGTGTAATGATGTTGATCTCCATGATGTTGCCGGAAAAAGGTGGCAGGAGTCGAGGTGTTTTGTGACTAGACTGCAGTGCGTGCTCTCTTCGGTGTCCGTAAACCCTTTGCGACTGCGTTGACAGTTTGTAGATCTGGCTCCCATTCATCCTCAGTGTCATCACCTCGATTTCGCTTCTTGCTTGTGCGCTGAGGTGTTGATTCATCTTCCGACTCTATCGAAAAGTATGATTCGTCGTCTCCATCCGAGTCGCTCTCGTCTTTCACTTTGCGTTTGTTTTGGGTGGTCGAAGAAGCAGCTTTTGGCTTGCGAGGGGTTTTCTTCTGAGATCCAGAGGCTTTGGCAGCTTTGCCTTGTTTCGAGGTCGACAGCGGGTTCTTCTTGTTCTTTCGCTCGTCAAAACCAGACCGAGCACGACCGACACGGTTCCAGAAGTTCTTGACAGCGAAGTTGCCAGGTTTCACAATGTTGTCGACCACTTGCATGCGGCGTTGCGCTTCTCTAAAGCGCGATTCTCCCTTCAAGACCCCTTCATTGTTGATGTCGAGCATATGGCGAATGCAGGCCTCTTCCTCGAAGAGACGCCATCGCTTGCGATCACGCTCTGTTCTAGAGACGGCGACCAGGGCTGGTGGTGCAGGGAAAGGCAGAAGGGAAGGGTCGCCTCCAACGGGCGAAGATGCTGGCGGTGTCATTGGCGGCATGGCGGGCGACGGGGGCAAGGACGGAGAGGGGGGTTCGTTTCCGGCTTGAGGGGAGCCGCTCTCAGGACCAGCCTGAGAGACGGACTCCACCTCAGAGGCCTCATTGTCGCTCGAGAGGTCGTCGTACTCATCCACCTCCCCATCGTCGTCGTCTTCCTGGTCCTCAACGACGGCCTGTTCATCAAGTACCCCAGTTGACACAAACATCACCGACTCGTCGTCGGAGACCTCCGTCTCAACTGAGGTAAGAATGCTCCCTTTTGCAGGGGCGGCCTGCTCGCCGAGGTCTGTTGGCGGCGCGACAGTCCTGATGAGGGACTCCGCGAGCCCAGCCCGCTCTGTCAAGTAACGGACAAGAGCGTCTGGATGGGCATCAAGATATTGAAAGACCTCGACGTCGTTGAGGGGGACGACTTCGACAATGGGGGGTGTAGACGCCACTGCATCCAAGAAGAAAGAGACGTTGGCGTTGAAGAACGACATTCTGGCAACAGAACAAAGAAGGAGCAAGGCTGGTGTGGTGGTGGTGGTGGAGGACGAGGAGTTGGTATGGGAGAAGAAGAGAGAAAAGAGAGCAGCATAGATCGAAGATGGCACTCCATGGCTTTTGGGCTTACCTATTGTCTATTGACAGTGTTGAATGGTGAGAGTTGGTGTGATAGCACGTATTGTGCTCTGTAAATCGCTTCAATGCGACTGAATGAAGCCGAATGCGTGATGCGGCAGTATATATCAATGGGAAGGCTGTGTGAATAGGATCGGGAACAGGTTTGGCAGGAGATGATCACATCCCCGAGTGCAACGCAACAATAAGAAGACCACTGAAGGCACGAGTGATAGCCACAATAGCTCTTAGAAATTCTGCCATACCTCCGCGAAATGAGCCGCCGAATGTGGAAGGAGGCATCCTCGACTTCAAAATTCCCAGACTTCAAGCATGTCGATTGCAAGACTTTCCTAACGCAATAAATTCCGATGGGGTGCGACCAGTCAGTTATGGCGGTTGTAAATATTGTTCTGCGGAACAAGTATATCGACCGGAACAGCCATAGTCATTCAACACCCAAGACCTCGTCAGCGCACCGCCACAGAATTGCCATTTGCTCCGTTGGCACCGTTCTCACTTTTCTTCTCCAGATCCGGCAAGTTCGCGCGCACTTGAGGTAGGATATAACGCCCATAGTCGATCGCATCATTAAGGTTGTCATATCCACGAATGGAGATGAGCTCGCAGCCAAGCTTGACATAGTCCAAAATTGAGTCGACAACGGTTTGATAAGATCCAACCAGAGCAGTCGAGGCTCCGCGCGCATTCGTCGCGGTAACGGTTGGATACCAGAGAGCGCGGTCTTGCACCTCGCCACGTTTCGCAATTTCCAGAAGTCGCTGGGAGCCCACGTTTTGCGGAGTTGGAGCCTCGCCTGCCTTACCAGCAGCGGTTGCTCCGCCCCATGCGCTTTGCTTCTTGGCCGAATTGTTCTCGAGCGCGTCGAGTGTTCTGTGCGCTTTGGCCCATGCAAGCTCCTCCGTCTCCGCAACGATGGGACGGAAGGTCACCCAAATGCGTGGCCGATCCGTGGGCGCACGGCCGGCCTTATCCGCAGCAGCGTAAATCTTGTCGATCTGGTCCTTGGTCTCCTTCAGTGGCTCGCCCCAGAGGCCAAAGATATCGCCCATTGCGCCGCCAATACGGTATGCGTCCTCAGAAGATCCACCCACCGAGATTGGGATGCTGGTGTTGTTTGCAGGACGGACGAGGTTTCGGAACTGCTTGAACTGGTAGTACTTGCTGTCCCAGTCAAATGGCTCCGGCGACGACCATGCACGCTTCAGGATGCGAATATAGTCTTCTAGGCGGGCGTAGCGTTCCTCTTTGGTAAGGAAGTCTCCTTCTCTGGCTTGCTCGACGTCGCTACCGCCAGCAATGAAATGTACCACTGCTCGGCCACTGCTGAGCTGGTCGAGCGTGGCCAGAGCCTTGGCCGCCACAGTCGGATACAATGTGTTTGGTCGAAGTGCGATGATGATCTTTAGATTCTTCGTCACCGAGGCGATCGTGGCACCTACTGTCCAGGGGTCGAAGTAAGACGAGTCGTATGGCACAAGTGTGTAGTTGAAAGCATAGTCATCTAGAGTACGAGCATACCGGGTAAGGTAATCGGGATCAATCCTGGCATTGGGGATTGGGTGAAGCTCCGTCGATGGATTGAGAAAAGTCGCGCTGATGAACTCAGTAGGCATCGTGATGGTCGGCTGATGGATTATGTTTGCTTTCGTTCCCATCCAGAGCAATAGCAGGGCATACCTAGGTACTTAAGCCTGGCGTACGTCTTGCGTGCATATTGCGGCATATGGCGCTGAGATGACGCCTTATGATAGCGGGCGGCTTCTGCCGACACGATTGGCCTGTTGTCGATATGAATCAAAGCTGCTTGATAAGCGGGTACTCGAATATGTAGGGACAACATGATCATGCGAGAGCATAACATAGACTGTGGAAGGGAAGGTTGCTGGATTCCCTGTACGAATACCTTGGGACTTGTCTCCTATCATTCGTGCGATATTCAAAGTTTAGGTCTGCAAAGTCGCTGTTAGTCTACCCAGCTCCACCTGTGGCAAGATCCTGCTTTGGAAGGTGGCTTAGTGCGTCCCTGCTCTATGAGTTGATATCAAGGACCTGGACATTCATTGTGAAGAGAGTGAATGGAGATGACCTGGACATCTGTCAAGAGGCGCGTTACAAGCATAGGCCGAGGACAAGGCTGGCACTAGGTGAACAAGGCTGTCTTTTGTCCGTGAGTAGTAACTTAGCCGACAAGATTTTCTTAAATCTTCGTGATTTTGCGGACTCCGCTTCCTCACTCTTCACTACGGTAGAGGATGTAGATTCATGATGGCCGGACTTGTCCTTTCTGATGCTGAGATCGACCGTCTCCTCGATGAGGCTGAGAACAGGCTGAGAGACAAGGCTGCCACTGTAACCACATCAAGCGCAGACACAATTAGTGTTGATGCTGAAGGGGATGCTAAACCAAGGAAGCCGTATGTTTTGTACCCTCTCGTGTCGTTTTAACGTTGCTGACGCTCCCAGCCTTCCTAAACTACAGCATTTTGCCAAAGCGGCCTACATCAAAGACAACCAAGGTGTTGCGCAGACGAATCCGCAAGCCATCGTGGGAAAGAATGGGAACCTTTTGGCGCGTGCAGAGTTGAAATCTGTCATACCGCAGGGAAGATCGAAGAAAACTGTGAGTGTCATTCTTGTCCAACGCACGACATTCTTCCCTTGAATGAGGAAAATATTCCCAATTTTATTCTTGACGCAGATAAGCAGTCCATTCTGGCCTGTCCTGCAGCCATGAGAGAATTTATTCATAGTTACTCTGACTCTTCACCCACAACTCCCATATGCTACGTCTCCGAAATGAGAGATTTATGTACTGACAGCATCAGAACCATCAGGTTTCTGCCGGTCCCGATTGGTTCGACCTGCCCAAAACCAACCTAACTCCTCAATTGAAGCGCGACCTCCAACTCATCGAGATGCGATCGGTCCTCGATCCACACAGGCATTACAAAAAGAACAATCGCAAAGGAAAAATCCCAACGTTCTCGCAGACAGGCACTGTCATCGAAGGGCCAACGGAGTTTTACAGTGCCCGGATCAACAAACGAGACCGGGCCAACAATTTCGTGGAGGAGGCGATGGCAACCGAGAAGGAGACCGGCCGCTTCAAGCGCAAGTATGCGGAAATCCAAGAAGCGAAGACCAGCGGCAAGAAGGCGCATTACAAGAAACTCATGGCAAAGAGGAAGAAGCGGCCTTGAAAAGTCAGGGTAATTATGCTGGAATCACAAAACAAACTAAACATGTCGAGGACGTCTCTTCAATGCCCTCTGGGTGCGAGACCCTGCAGGAAAATGTATGCAAGTTGTGTCGAGAGAAATTCACGCTCCCGAGAGGTCGGTTCGCTTGAGGGCGCGACTGTTTTCATGATATGGACAAGGGGCCAGATCGAGCGAAAGGTTCGAGGAATGCGCACGCCAGGTCGGAAGCCTTGAAAGACACCGTTCGATCAGATTTCAGGCGACGAAGCCACCAGCTGCATCTCGCAGACCATCCTAGTCATGCTCATCCAGATTGGAAGGTGAGAGGCTGGCCACGGCCGGCCCAGAACGATTCTCGGAAGCTGTACGAGCCGGATCGGGCCAGGAAGCACGAAGTGGTGTGCTGAGAATGGCACATTCGCGGGCCACATGGCAAACCTCCTGTTGGAGAGAGCGCGCAGAATGGCCGCAGGGCCTTTTATGTGTTGGCAGCCAGAGGATACAAAGTCTCACATTATTTGCTCTGAGACAATCGTGGTCACTGGGGCGGGGCCAGGCGAGACTCGGGGAGGGCAGATCTCATATGACAATATGACTGCACCTTCTGCCTCATTCTCTTCTCCCTTGCTTAATGCAAGCGCCATGCATTTCGACTGTGGTCGCTTATCTCAGGTCATTGCAACATACCAGTTTTTGCGAGCGATGGTTGCTAATCACGAGGTATGCTTTGGCACGGCTGTAACACTAAATCGTGCCCCTGTAGATCAAACAGTGACTTTTAATGGGTATGACGGCAGGCGCGAGCGTTTAACTGAATTGCGGCTCTCGTACCCCACGGGAACTTCCCAGATTTACATCTTTGGGCGGCGCCAGTTCATTTTCAACCCAGTGAAACCAGGCATCATGCCTCTTTCATCATCCATCCATTGCTCCATCCGTCGGTGCCGCGACGCCCCCTTCGGTATGGAGCACTCGTGTAATCATACCACAAAATCTTGATTTCCCCCTGTCCTATCTCGCTATCATGCGGATATTGCGTATAAAAGGAGTTGAATTTCCACACGTGGAGATGGCACCGTCAGGACCCAGCAAAGACACTAACCGAGCTCGAGTGGTACGAGAAGAGGATCGAGATCAACAATCCGGTCGAAGTGTCCGACAGTCCAGCAAGTTGGCTGAATCGTCACGAATCAGGCGTCGACCCGAAGGATCATCAATGCCAGGTTTCTACTTGACCAAGAGAGTGGGAACAAAAGGAAACACCTGGTGAGACATGACATTTCAGGAACCATCCCCAGCACAACAACATTATTAAGAGGAGGGCACATCCCACTCCAACAGCTCGATTCTTTTAGAGCTCGTTTTCCCTGCCACCACTCGACGCGTCGCCATATACGGTTCCCGGGTTTCGCATCAGGAGGAATAAGGCTCCGCGGCAGGCCCTATCAAGCACTGCGCCAGTCTTCGTCGCCTCCCCAGCCTCTGAGACTCTCACGGCCGGCAGCAGGAACCTACCGCCCACGGCCAATCGCTTGAGGGCCTAATTTGCAACGGCCAGATTGGCCGTATCAGGCTTGCGCCTCGACTTCGCCCCCATTAGGCAAGATATCTTTAGCTTCCGCCACGAAACGCGCCCCAGAGTTGCTTCTAAACTCCTTTGAGTCCAGTGTGGCCGCGAACCGGGTCAGCATCAGCTATAATCCAGTTGTTCGCATTTACGGGCCCAACCACCGACAGACCGATCAGACGACAACCTGATTGCTATCATATCTGTCCGCACAGACACTTCACGCCTGTCTTGATACCGAACTGCTGCTTTGTACGTCTTGAGATCCATGCGCGATGCATTCGCGGAGTGAGGCCTTATCGACAACTGAAACAATTGTCTCTGAACAAGTCAGTGATTGGAGGAGCTTGGGCGCTCAAGTCAACCAGTATTCAACTTCAACTCTAACATCACCTCGATGTTGCGTCTCGGCGGCAAGGATCGCTCTGGCTTTTTGCTATTCAAGCAAAAGGGTCAAATAAACTATCCTGAGAATACAGCCGACGTTCTCGCGTACCGACTCCCTGATATATCACATGTCGATACACGATCATTATCAGATTTATTCAACCAGTTCAGCAAGTCCGATCAACTTGACGCACTCCCAGGAGCAGGGTCGCAACATCGACCGTCTGCATTAAGAAATGTGGTCGAACCAGTTTCGGCCGATGTCCCTGCTGCATTCGCAGACCCTTTTAAGCCATTGGGTAATCAGAGCGAGCGATTGGATGTTAATCTTATCAGAAATGACTCGACAGCGTCGTCCTGCTATTCCCAACCAAGCCAATTGGGAAGTGACCCTTCCCCAGCGGTCACGAGGCATTCTTCAAGCTCCAGTTACACCCCGGAGCCTGCCTCTGCCATATCCACGACTGCCTCACAAAAACCCAGACCATTGTCAATAGTGACGCACAAGCGAACCACATCATCGTCGACAAGCACAACCGTGTCACGACTGCAGTCGTATAAGAACAAACCACAGACCTCTTCGTACACCATGCTTGTATCAACGCCGACGAGTACACCTAATTTGGACAAACCGCTGCCTCCTGGACCATCATCCTCAGTACCCGACCTCTCACTCCAGCAGCGACCTGCAGAGCTGCCTTCACATGACTCTGCCCCCAGCGCATTGGAGCTGCGGCGTGCCCCGTCTAGATCGGATGCTTCAGTGGTCGGAAGACCAGCGTCCGCCGGCCAAGCATCCGCCAGTCACTCTGCAATAAAACATCCATCATGGTCATCCAGATCGGTACGAGAAGCACGACTGAGAAAAGCTGTTGATCGAGGCCAGGAATTGGACCGATCACTTTCACAAGGAACCTTTCAGCCGTATGACCCTTCTGATTTTGAGAGATTCAGACGACACACAGCCGATATCGTAACACCTGCCCCAAAAGTAGCGCCAATTCCGAAAGCAACCAAAGCACGACGAATGAAGATATTCAAACCAATCACAGCCGCTACAGCCGAACAGGTCATCTATAGAATCATGTGTAACCTTCACAGTCTTCAGGATCTACAATCGACGGCGATGGTCAGCAAAGGCTTTTATCGTACATTTCGCCGAAACGAGTCCAAATTAGTAAGCAATTTGGTTTTGCAGGCCTCCAAGCCAGCATGGGAATACCGTCGCAGTGTTCTCGCACTGAAAAGGTCGGACGACTTTGTTCTAAGAGAGTTTCGTCGTGACTCCAACACTTCAACTGCTCTCAAAGCGTTCATCGTGGGTCATTGCGGCTCTCGATGCAAACCAGATATACTTGCAGGTCTCCTTGGCCAGCACCCAGAACGAACGATTCAAGTCGACAATGCTTTATGGCGCATAGGGACATTTTGCATTCTTTTCGGGAGCGCGAGTGGGCAGATCGATCCTTCGCGGACGCAAATGGATTGGCTTAATGGTAGCAAAGGTGTGAGCAGCACGCAATTGAGTGAAGGCTTCGCCATCGGTAATGGGAATGGTCTTACTACTACCGAGCTCGAAGACATGAATGAATTGTGGCAATACCTCCAGATGCTTATTACTGGATTTTCAGGCCGGGAACAAGAAGCAAGGCAGGCCGGCGTCTTCGACAATTTCCTACCAGGAGCAGGCATCACGGAGTCAGAGCACCTCGCAGAGTGGATCGCATACCTGCTCACTCTGGGACCTCAGATTGTTCTATCTCTGTCGTCTTGTTCGTTCGACCAGGCCAAGATGTTAGGTTTGACGAAATGGCTGGCGCCCGAGGCAGGACGAAGTCGATCATCATTCTTGACCACTGCCATTACTCAGGTCTATCAAGAAAGACTCCTGGAGGAGGCCGCACTGAGGGCCGCACAATTCAGGATCCCACCTCCGCGAGCAAACCACCGGCCGACGCGGTCTTTCGACAAACCACAACTTGCTACTGGTCCGATGCAACGGGCAACGGTAGGCCCGTCACGAGGTCTTCGAATTGATACATCTGCAATGAGGCGACCGATTTCTGTCAACGCACTTGCTGATGCTCGGTTCGACATTCGTCCAGACTGTGATCTGGCTAACAACATGACCAGCCCACGCACGGAAATGTTTCCGGCTTTTGCTACAGCTGATCCTAACATGTTCTACGCTCTGGGAATGACATCAAAAGCAAGCACAAAACTTGGTGCCACATTGTTCCCCATCGACTACGCGAACCCAGGACCACGTGTACCGTTTCCGGCGGCTGAACCGTCTGCAGCGCCGAAGTCTGAAGTGATAGACCCAGTCGATAAGGCAATGACATATTTGGTGCACGAAATGGGATTTGCTGAAGCTCGGGCACGGAAAGCTCTTGCCATGTGTGACAGTGGATCCGGTATCAATCTGGAGAAAGCAATTGAGCTCCTGACTGTGGATGCGAAGGACTCGAAAGACTTCTCTACGCCTGTGGAACTTCCTGCACCAGCGGTTCAATTTCCTACACCGTCAGTGCCAGCCAGTCCAGCCAAGCTCAGAAAACAGCCAAAAGACTTTTGCGATGGACATTGCCCTCGGACCTCGACAAGCATGCATTCAAGGAAGAAGTCAACGGGAACGACGGGGACATCAACCGACGTTGAGATCAGTCCGGTGTCAGCGCGGGACGATGCCGAATGGCAAGACACAATTTCTCCTCTGGTCACGCCAAAACCACTAGCATCCCGATCTGGTACAAGGTTGAGTAGAGGCCCAAGCAAGGGGGCGAAGGCATGGAAGGTCTTGGGCATCGATAATACTCCGAAGAGACAGAATTCGGTGCTTCGAATTGATGAATACCAAGCAAAAGTTGAGCGAAGAAAAACCATGCGCGCTGCCGAGGAGCCACAGACACCAAGAGTCAAAGACGGTCTCAGCAAAAACCTGCTGGGTCTAGGCTTGGGCATTGCAAGCAACGCCGGAGCCAAATCTGCCGAAGAACGATTGGAACGTGCTCGGGAAGAAGAAAGACGCAAGAAGGAAAAATATGGTGGGAGCATGCTTCGATATGCGTGATTTCGATTTGAGTCGCGACAGACTCTGCATTTGATGATGTGATGCGAAACGAGGCCACGAATCTCTCCAACCCGGAAGGTGGAATTTGTCTTGCATTTATACTACATGAAGGGTTAGCTTTACCCTGGCGCTTGGGGAATTGGATTTGATCAGCGACATCAGTCAGTCTTTGTACATCCACATCCACACACGACGTACTCAGCGAGACTTGCTCGAAGACGGAGCACACATGGCTTATGCCTGTGTATACACACGATACGAAGGATATGAAATGGAAAAAGGACGATACCAACGACTGGCATATTTTTCTGCGCATGACACTTATACGGTGCACCATTTGGGCACACAATCATTGAGCATGCAACCAGCAACGATACCCTAGATAGCATATTTTGGCATACGGAGATGAGTTTGGTGGTTTTCAAGGGTGACAGCGTGATGGACGGAATTTCTTGAGGCTTGATGAATTGAATATTGATCATCAACCTCGATATCACAGAAATATCAGTTCCTGCTGCAAGGCCTTCACTATACGTCTAACTGAAAGAGGCCAGATCAATACCGTACTGCTTGTTTCACCACTGGACCTCTTCATAGCCCCAGACTCGGTATATGACCAGTTTACATGGGTATGCGGAAGCTGATGGCGGTATCTCTCCACTCCTTGCTGTAGCTAGCCTGTGCGCGCTTTGACCCTCCCATGATGGTTGTGCCCGAAGCTCGTTCTCAACCGGCTGGCACACGATTCCTTGCTCCCTGCTATGCATTCATGAGCGATGACCCGGCATTCGACCCATTGTTTGTTGCCATGACGTCTTTTCTGCCCTGTAGAGTATTACCCCTCAGTACCATCAGTAGCGATGCCGTATGTAGTGTAGTGGCCCATCCATTGGAAAACAGTCATGGTAGCTGCCTTCTTCGTGAATCGGGTTGTGCGGAAATTCTTTCGGGTCGTTGTCGTGTCGTAGGCGTAGGCGTCACGTTGACAGTGTGACCAAGATGAGTGCATGAGTGTCGAACAGCACACGGGGTGGTAGAGATGAGAAGCCGGATCCGCGCCTTCTATGCAATGTCCATACCTCCCTTCTTGCAATGTATATGCACGCAGCAATCCACCGAGGCCGCCTGGAGTTGCTCTAGGCCCGTAGCTGCCTTGCTTTTCGGATATTTATCTCTTCGGATCAGGTCTTTCCTCGTGTATTCGTTTGTCAACTCTTCATTCCGTGGGTGCTCAATCCAACGCCGCAAATAGACTCAGGTAGATACCCCAGAAGAGACCGACGAAACTACCGACAATGATCCGACGGTTGACGGGCACGAAGACGAAGTTGATCAGGGCCACTACGGGCCATAGTTTCCAGCCGTTGATCATGAGTGGAATGGTATCCTTCAGGTGCATGTGTCAGTATGTATACTCTGCACAGAAAAGACCTTCTCGCACCCTCTCAACATCACGGCGTACAGCCACCGCGGTCTTTCCCTTGAATGCAGCCATCCCGGCCACAAAGGCTATTGTATTCACGAATGCGCCGAGTGTCTGGTCGAAGAGCAGCTTCCGTGCCGTGTTGGGACGGTCGAGGACCCTCTCGGAGGTTGTCGTCGAATATGTGTAGCCTGGGAACTTCTCTTCAAGGAAGTCTTGCCAGAGGATGTTGGGCGGGCAGGAGAGGATCGTGAAGATTACAAATTGGAGGAGTGGGCGGATGGAGACTCGGTATGGGCGCTGTGTTGGCTTGATGTTAGTCTGTGGGCGTGTAGATATAGGGCAAAGGTCGAGACTGAAGTACCTCCTCGCGATATGCCTTAATGAATTGGGCGAGCATGTTGGAGATGCCGGACAAGACTGCGGCTTGAAGGGTCGTGAGGACGTAGGAGGGCATGGTTGCGCGGCTGTCGTCGATCCCAATGTGAAAAGAGAGTGCCCAGGAAGCACAGTGCTAGAACGAGAGTAACGCCTGCCCGCAAGAAGCGGGAGGTGGATAGATGGTCGAGGTAGCTCTCATTGAAAATGAGCTGAGATGAAGTGCGAAACCTCAGCTGTGCCTTGTTGATTCCTGGTGTCACTTGTGATAATCAATTATTAGTGGAGAGTGGAAAGCCAAATTTGACATTTGCAGATCCTAGCTTAGAGATGAGATGTGGGGGAGACCTCGAGGCTATTTTGGGGGATGGAAATCCAACGGCTTAGGTGGTCCATGCTTATTACGGCACCGGCAGTCAAGTTACCCCTGGAATCCTTGATCTATGGTCCTTTATCCTTTCTAGCAGCGTAATCTAACTTTGAGCAAGTCATTCTTGACAACCTCGTCCTTCTTGCTCAACAGCTCATCCACGTCCCAATTGACGCTGATATATCGATCCGCCAGCCTGTAAACATCATCTGTCAGCAAACATGACTCTATCAGGAACAGACATACTCACCATTCTCTACGCTCTTGGGTTAAAAACACTATCGTGTCGCCAGCCAGTTCAGGAGTGTCTTGCAAGTTGCCGTGCAACTCCTTTGGCATGACCTTTGCAAGTTCGGTCATGACACCTCCAGGATGAATACCGAAAGCCAAGAGTCCCTGCTGACCATATTCGGCCATGAGGAAATCGTTCAGACGCAGAACCGCTGTCTTGGTGGTTTGATACGCCGAAGCTCCTGCTCTGGTGGCTACGCCTCCTATACTGGACACCATGACGACGGTCTTCTCCTTGCTTTTCAGCACCAGTGGCAGGAATGACCGTGTGGTAAGGTAGACGCCCTTGACGTTGACCTCGAAAACCTTCCACCACTCGTCCGGGTCAGTGTCCGCCCAGGGCTTGAAAGTCTCCAGATAGCCAGCGTTGTTGATTAGGATGTCAATGCTGTCGAACGAAGAGGCGAGTTCTTCGGCGGCCTTCTCGACTGCTGCTCTGTCTGTTGCATCTGCTGTTAGGCACAGAATCTTTGGTGGTGAGTGACCGGCTTCCTTCGCGACTTCTAGGAGCTCGCTTTCGACCGAAGACAAGTCAGACCTGGCCAGGAGGACGATACCAGCGACGCCTGATTTGGCGTATGATACTGCCATCGCTTTGCCGAGACCCCTCGACGCGCCTGTGATGAGGACATTTCTGCCACTGAGATCTGCCTTGGAGGGATCTATACGGGCATATGTATCGTGATGGATTGTGGGAACAAAATTGACAGCTATTCGAGTTAGTTACCGACCACGCTATCACCAGAGCGTCGCATACCTGCATATTCCATGTTGTCTTCGTCTGACTCTGTTACCAACCGCGACAAATGACCAGAAAGTTGAATATCTTCGATGTGAAATTCTGGCTGTTTCTGGTCCGGTGCGCAGACATGCAGCTTTATCTCCGGATTCTCCAATGACGTTCCCAACTTTCCAAGTGCCGTAGTCAGTACGAGACTGCTCCACTAGAACAGAGAAGATTGTGTGGGAGCTGTCTCCAAAGGATGCACATTGGTCGACGGTTCTCATCACCACTGCCGAAGTCGAGGACTCTGAGAATATATCCTCACGTCAGAAGGCCCACCCTATCAACATCTTTGCATCTTCTCCTTTCCAGCATTATCAACTGACCTTGTTCCTCCCTCGGGCCTCGGCCTTGTCGAGCTACCTAAGGTGTTGTTGGAAGGGCGGCCAGGTCAGCTGTGAGAATAAATAACATTTGTCACCGTTGATGGGTTTTACGCCGAGTATCGCATCGAGAGTGTGACTTGTCACGTAAGTTTATGGTACTAAAGATTATCGGCAGCCTTGTCATTCAGCCTTGCCAACCCCTTCTGTACCAGACATTGGTCTTCACTACAAGACCGCCACACACAACAAACACTGTTCGATTCACAGGCAGCACAAAATATTGCTCGACTTTTTGAACAAAAAAGCAAAAACTCTAACCCGAGCTGTCGATTGAGCTCGGGTCGAGGGAAACCCTCAGTCGATGAGAGGATTCTTTTTATTGTGTTTCAAGGTCAGGTACTCCCCGCTTAGGAATACTCTGCTAAGTGAGTAACCATGAATGCTAAGGGACCGCAAGATAACCGCCTATGGGGGTGTCTGAGCACCCCAGCAACCCCTTGTTAGGGGGTAGCCGGCCGGTTAGAGCTTTGGCAATTGAATGCCTAGCAGTCAAGATCCACACCAGTCTTAGTCCGTGTGATCTTAGGGCAGCTGGCTCATATCTGGTGAATCACCCTCACGCCTCAGCCACCAGGTGTGGAAGTGACTGAAACACGGGATAGATACAAGCAATTGTTGAGGAATTTTTGCTGAAAGTAAGTGATAAACTTGATTTTGTTTTTTCTGCCACTGACAGTGAATATCCCTCCGCCAAGGGTACCGAATAGAAGGATCGAACCAGAAGGAGGGAAGAAGACACCAGGCAGAATCTTCAAGACTACTCGATCTTATATTCTGAGGTATCTGCACTCTCATATTGCTGTCTCTTCTCCTATCAGCAAGTCTACCTTCGTCAAAGCAGTATCGAGTGTCTTCAAGATGATGCCCATACCAGTCACGAAGGTATACAGGGTACTGCGACTGTCATTCACTGTGCTTATGCTCTGCCTCTTCCTCATTCCCACCTCCCTTGTCTTTGCAGCACTGATGACATACCCATCCTTAAATCTTGTTGGTCTTGATCCATGGCGCGTTTACAGATTCATGAACAGAAGATCAATGGAGAGGTCGCACGTCTTTATTCCTGCCAGTCACCAACATCTGCATGTATGCGCGTCCTTCCCATAGCGTACCATACGTAGTGACCACAGACTAGTTTGTTGGCCGCTGGACCATGACAGCGGATCAGCTGCGGCGAGATGCTGCCTTTTCAGGTTTGCTCTGCTCCTCACTCGTATCAGTCAACTCATTTTTACCGCAGGTTCATATGTGGAGATGGTCGTCACCAACACAACCTCGATCCATCTATCTCTGAACAACAGAATCCTCGTTCCTAGGGAAGACTCGAAGCACGCCAATACACAGGAGGATAACCGTCTGATTCTTCGACCAGCCCGAGGTGATGTCACAGTTTCGCCGGAAGTCAGCTTCATGCTGCAGCTTGATAATAGCCAAGTATATCGTACCGAACGTGCCAGTGGCACCGTCAAAGTCGTTTCACAGCTCGATCCTGACAAGAAATATAAGATCAGAGTCACGCATCTTGGAGGCCCAGACTCAACCAATGCCGTCCTTGAGTTCGAAGGCATTTGGGTAGACATACCGACAGCCAGTGCGGAAGAGGATAGAGCCCTGGCTAATAGCACAGCAACACGGGCTGTCCTCCTCGATCCACTCCTGCCTGATGTTTCTACCGAAGACCGACTCCCAGAGAAAAAGCCTTATCCAACTTTACCAAGAAGGACAATAGAAATCCTGACGTCCGAGACAACCATGGAATCCATCGCAGAGGAGGATCTCGGCGAGCAAAGCGAAAAAGCCGTAGAGATCATGAACAGCAGAGTCAACGTCTGGTACAATCGATTGAGCACAACAAATGCAGTGGACACTGCCATCGTCCCAACAGGCGACCTGCGCCTCTTGCCAGCTACAGAATCCTCCATCACTGTCCAAGACCTGTTCTTTCGATCTGGACCTCCAGAAACAACGCATTTTGCTCGGCCATGGTCGTTCCCATCATACCAACCGTCGGTTTTGATACTACAGCTTGGCTTGCTCGATTTTGTGGATTTCTACTCCGATCCAGCCAACCACAACAGGCATGCCGTGGGACAGTTCATCAATGACTTTGCCAAGGCTTACGTCGAACTCATTCAGACGATTAGGAGAGCAGCGTATCCCTTCGACACAACGTCCATGTCTTCGAGCTTTTCATTCGAACAGCAAGACGACGGTAGCTACGTCTACAACTCTGCTCCATCCACTCTTCCAATCTTCCTTATAGCACCATTCTCTGCTTCGCGGCGCCTTGTGACCAAGAACACCAGATTAGACTGGGTCATTTCTTCCGCCTTGCGACAGGTGGTGAGCATTGTGCAAGCTGAAGGGGACACGTCGACTTTTTGGATTGACACAACGGGTTGGCTGGATCACAAGGAGGACTTCATACAGCCAGACACCGACTCTTCATCGCCTCAAGAACGTCAGCCGCAGCGTCTTTTGAGCCAGTATGCAAACTTCAAGGTTGCGAGCATGCTCTCGGACCACATTTGTCCATATGTCCAAGGTGACAACGAGGATGGTGAACGGGCCAACGCAGCGGAACATTGTCCATTCAACCATTACAGTAATTACCAGGGTGGTGTTTATCTTCCCCAAGATGTCGACTTGGATAGAGCCAGTCTGGAGCGCAAAATCGCCAGAATCAAGGAGCAGTTCAACATTCAGGCGGCCGATTCGAACCTTGTACTGCATGCGTCTGGCCAAACATTCGGTCAAGCAACCACGGGGATGTCATCCACCCGCAGACGCTGAAGGTTGGAGAGACGCAGCACGTCAAGCTTTCGCATTGATTTTGTGGATGGCGGTGTCCTGTACCTCGAAGCGCTTCTACTGAGGGGCCATAAGTGAACACGGATACCTACAGGTAAGGTGTGAATGCAATTGTAGGGCTGCCTGGAGCTGAAGACGGAGTACGTAGGTCATGAATCTCAGCCTTGTACTAGCTGCGATCAATGCACGTGGGAGACATTGCAGATTGATTGCCCAAAGCATAACTCCGTAATGTGTCATGTACCTCACACCTACTGTATTTGTTCAATTGGGGTCTTGAGTTATGAGTGCCCGAAAGAAGATCGTCAGGTTGATCAATTCAAGGTTATTGTGATCGTGGTACTAAGGTGATGTTGTCCATTCAGCGTTGAAACCTAGGGGTCCCCTGAGGCGCTATCCGACACTGCCGGCCCTCAGCCACGTAAGTCGCATGTTGGTGGCCCCAAGACTTGTACACGCCTCTCCACGTCATCGCGTCCAACCATGAATGCATAACACGAACTATTCCAAGACTCACTCACCACTTCATCGCTATTTCCAGTTTAGATCATACGAAGGCATCACTCTTAAATTATCTATATCAATCCGTTTGTGCCTGGATTCTCTTACTACGACCCATCACAGCTCCCAAAATATCCTACAGCATGGCGGACCAGAATCAGAACTACTATCCTCCACCTCCCACTCACCCTACTCAACAACAAGCTCTACACCAGAACCAGGCTTACACTCAACCTCCAGCTATTTCGCTACAGCCAGCTGATATGTCCCAATCCTTACAGCCAGCTGATATGTCCCAATCCTCACAGCCATATGCGACTGGAGCACCTACGCAAAATTACGAACCAGCTGCGCCACCTCTACCAGAAAGACACAACGACCATTTTGCTCAGTCCCAGAACGTCCAGCAAACTCAACAACCCGCCTACAGCCCAGCCCACTATGCCAACCAGCAATCATTTCAGCCTGGCCAGCAATTTCAACCACCGCCGCAACGCATTAAGCAGACATTCCCAACCGAGGATGACCCGTCAAATCCCATCCACTACATCCGAGATCCTCACAAACTTATAGGCTATCTTGTGCCATTCCCCAAACCAGTACTCGGAAATGTCAAACCCGAAGACGTGCCGGCGCGCTTTATGATCTACACGCCTCCACCTCCACCACTCCAAAAGCCAGCCGAAGGTGTCAAGGAGGACAAATTGCACAAGGTCCAGCGCAAATGGCAGGAAGAGGTCCGCTCCGCAAAGACCAGCACAGCGAAGACCGCTTCCTGGAAAGGCCTCAAATCCAAAGCAACCAAGGGCATTGACTGGGCTATGAATAAGACGACCTCGTCCAACCTGGACTTCCTCGGCCGAGTGTCTCCCGGGGTATCCGATGACGAGCATGAAGGCGACGAGACGCACAAAACCGTCGGTGTCAATGAGATGATCCTGGTCTATCCTCCAACTATGCAACTCAATGACCAGCAAATGCGCCAAGAATTTGTCAACACTATGCTGCGGACAAAGTCAAAAGCGCAGCGCGACACTATTATCGCTACAGGTCTGATGCCGGTTAGTTTTGGCATTGATATCCTCGCAACCTTCATCTGGCCATTTGGCGGTCTTGGGGAGATCGACACTGTCTGGGCATACTCCAGTTTCCGCGGCGCCAAAACTGCTCGTAGTGTTACCAAGCGGTTGTCGAGCAGCCAATCGGGTGGTCATGAGGACGAACAGCTGAAGCTCACATTTGCACACAGCCAGCGCATCGAGCTCTTGAGGCGATATCTGGAGGCCGAGTGCCACAAAGTTGACAGCAAGCTGTTCCCCACGTATGCGACCAGTCCCACTGAGAGTGATGTGCTGGAAGCGATTGGGTGGACACCTAGCGACCGGAGGAGAAAGAGCGAGACGGAGCTCGAGGACAAGAATTGGGAGGACGAGCAGTGGCAGGAGACGGAGGTTAAACAGGATCTGAAGAATGTCTTTGTGAAGGCGGCCAAGGAGTGGAAGAAGTGGTGTCTTTTGCTGGAGAAGGATCCCGAGAAGGCGATGAAGAAGTGAGCTTGGATTGTACTTTGCTGCTAGCTTTATCTGGAGCGGTTGCACAGCGATACGGTCCTATGGACGGCAGGCATTATATGAGCAGCTGGGCACGGGCTTGCTGACAGCATTGATGATCAAGGACTGCTAGCTTTCTTATACATGTTTTTCTGTGCCAAATCACTCAATTACGTTGATGTCTTACGCCTCCTCGTACCGACCCGTGCCAATCGTCAGGAGATGCAGCCTTGCCCTCAGACCCCTAATTACTGCGTCTTAGTGCTCGCCCGTACTCTAGCGCGGACCAGACAAGTTGTAGCGCAGTGACCACGTCTCCTCCTGCGGAGTAGCGACGGAGCGCATTTGTTGTAAAGGTGTTGGATCGCAGGTTCACGACAATAATGTTCCCTTAGACCTGTTACTGTGGTCTGTTCCTTCATTTTCCACAATGCGGCTCTTTTCGTCAATATGCCTCGTTCTCCTGGCGTTCTTGGGTGCAGTTTCTGCTAGAAGTGCCGTGGGAGACAGACTGTTGGTCGTTCTGGAAGACGAGTCGCAGAAAGCATCATACTCCAAGTTCTGGGCTGACTTGGAAGGTAATTGTTCTCGACATGTGTATGTTGCATGATCGCTGATATGTTGGCCATCTAGCGCGAGATTTTCAATTGACCTTCGAGTCTCCCCGAACAGAGGGACTGTCACTCTTCAGACATGGGCAATTAGCCTACGAACATTTACTTCTTACACCACCCAAATCAAAGGGTGAGCAAAGACACGCATACGGTCAGGAGCCACATGCTAATAGTGTCCAGGCTACGGTCCATCTCTGACTCCTAAAGTCATTCTCGACTACGTCAACGCAGGTGGAAACGTCCTGCTTGGTCTATCCTCCGAGGCTAGCACTCCTTCCGCCATCTCCTCTCTCCTCCTCGAACTCGACATCTCTCTACCTCAGGACAAGTCATCGGTAGTCGTCGACCACTTCAATTATGATGCAACCTCCGCGGCCGAGAAGCACGATGTCCTGCTGCTCAACCGTCCAGGACAACTACGTCCTGATGTCTCCAACTTCTTCGGTGGTGATGGCACATTAGCAGTACCAAGAGCTGTGGGACAGACATTGGGAAATACCAGCCCTCTGCTTGCACCGGTCCTGAAAGCCCCAGCAACTGCGTATGTGTACAATCCCAAGGAAGAGTCAGAGACTGCGGACGAGACGTTTGCAACGGGCTCACAGCTGTCCCTCATTTCTGCACTGCAAGCTCGAAATTCAGCTCGCTTCACGGTCTTGGGATCGCTTGAGATGTTGCAGGACAAATGGTTCGGTGCATCAGTCAAGACAGCGTCGGGAGAAAACGGCAAGACTGTGAATCAGGAGTTCGCAAAACAATTGACGGAATGGACATTCAAGGAAGTCGGAGTGCTCAAAGTCTTTTCTGTTCATCATCGACAAGTCTCGACGACCAGCGCACCGTCAGAGAACACCACGCAGATTGGAGAGTACAACCCTGAGATCTACCGAATCAAGAACGATGTCGTACGTCTTTCATGCCTCCTCTTACTTTGTCCCAATGCTAACAAGGTCGCAGGAATACTCGATCGAAATCGCCCAGTACGACGGCACACATTACGTGCCTTTCTCCGTCCCATCCAACGACGCTCTTCAACTCGAATTTACCATGCTTTCGCCATTCCACCGCATTCCGCTAACCCCAGCCTCCACAACCGCCAACAGCACGATCTTCAGCACTACTTTCACCACGCCTGACCAGCACGGCATCTTCGCATTCAAAGTCACATACAAGCGGCCATTCCTCACGGGTATCGAGGAGAAGGAACAAGTCACAGTGCGACACTTTGCCCATGACGAGTGGCCACGTTCCTGGGCCATCTCGGGTGCCTGGCCCTGGATAGGAGGACTGTGGAGCGTCATTGCCGGATTTGTCATGTTCGTGTTGTTATGGTTATACTGCGAACCACCTAAGGAAGAGCTAGAACGGCGGCGAAAGTTGAGCGTTAGCAACGTGAAATGAGTGACCATGAATTGCAAGGGAATGGCAGCTTGATGTCATTGAAAATGTACTCTATGGGCATACTCGATTTCGTAGGAATACAGGGAAGCTCGCGGAACGAGCAAAAATGGATATAGAAAAGTCCAATCTTTCAAGCTCTTGCATTGATGTACACTTTTGTGACAGAGTGGTGATACAGTATTTACACCTCTTTCCCTGGGGCCTTCGATTTGGCGATGTACTTGTGGCAGTAACGACCTTTGTTGCGTGCTCATTCCATGTACCCATTTCCCACGATATTCGCGTCTGAGACAACCACTTCTTCCGCGGTCAATGTCGGTAGCTGTTTGCCGCTCACATGGCTTCGACCAACTTCAAGTCCTTTGTCTTCCAGCAAGGACCGTCATAGCTTCTGCGCGTTCGCACCCAGTCGTGCCGATGCAATGAGCACATAGCGCAAGCTCTGCAGATCAGAAAACTTGTTTGAGTTCGAGGCGGCCATGACCTGGGTGGTACCATCATTGAAGAGAGCCCAAGGCTGACACGAGTGTGCCGGAGATCGTGTTCCCTTCTCGCCTCAACAGCGTGCTGCCCTGACGACCAATCCAAGCCCAGATCGACAGGGAATCCGACTATTGGTAACAGCATTTGTAAGCCTCGCAGCACCTTGAGCGCAAGTCGTAGGTATATCCCGCGAGTACTTTTTGTCCCGTTATCCTCGTCAAACTTAGTCTGGCGAAGATCACAGCCCCCTAGTCTTACTCTCATCGAAGCCCAGCCCCTCTACCTCTCCTCGTTGCTCTTTCTTCATCGTCTCCGCGATATCAAACGCCGGCTTTCCTCCATATAACTGCGGCACTTTATTGCCTCCTCCGCCTTCTAGTTCCAGACTCGAACTGATGGGTGCGTTTCCCCGGAACCGTTTGCGCATGTCGACCATGCCGCGCTTACAGTCGCGGAACCCGCGTTTGAGTTGCTGGCATTGTTCGGGGAGGTTCTCGAGATGTGGACTTGCTAGACATTCGACGGGTGTGTGGCGGTCGATCATTATGCAGTCGCTGTTCTGGAGGCAGGCTGCCAGGGCGGCGCCTGTGAGACGTTAGCGGACCAGAGGGAATGGCATGGCTTGTGATTCTGGTGGAGGATACACTTACGGATGTCTTTGCAGGAGGACGGCATTGCGGGCGACTTGCTTCTAACGCCCAAGGTGCCAAGCCTCACAGCGCCCACCTAAGATTGTCGGCAAGGCTTACGATCGAGTTGACGAATGCTGGAGTAGAGTATCACTTCAGTGCTCACCTTTTGAACTCGAGTGGCCGCACAGTATAGAAGTGTAAGGTCTGGTATATGGTGGTTGCGGCGATGGTGGAGTGATGCCGGCTAAGCTGCCGTACAGAGTAAGAACAAATCTCCAACACCTCGAAAACGATAATTACCTGAAGAGGCATACGTGACTTCCTGAACGGGTAGTTCCTGCAAGTTTTCATGGCCCGGGGGCCGCACGTTGATCGAGTCTCTACTGAACACGGTCAGGCTCAGCCAGTGGTCCCTTTCCTACTATTCTCTCATACCTCTCTGATGTACACGAACACCATGTCCTTCGCGATTATGACTACGTCGCATGGATCAAAGGAACGGTAAGTTTTGACCGTCGAGATAAGAGGACTTCATATCTGTCCCATTGTATGCAGTTCTGCTCTTGTTCCGTCCGGTGAGATCGTGGATATGACATATCTCTATCGGGCCCAAGGGAGAGTTGCCAAAGTTGCACTCTTTTCCTGTTTCCTTATGATTGTCTGTATCGTGGAACCACCAGAGAGGACCACCTGCACAGTAAACCAGGGCTCGGTATCCGAGTTCCAGGCTCTCCAGAAACCTGACACGAACTTGACGTGGCGCGGGTATGGCTCCACAATGCCACTGCTTGGTGGTTAGAGTTGTGCCAGAATCACCCGAATGGCCCGAGTCCAGTGTCACGATCTCACGTTGAATCTGTGAAGCAACGCGAGACTGCGCGACGCGATTAGGACAGCCATCTGGTCCACGAGATGGCTCGCCGCAGTCGATCGTTCGGACGTGTCTGACTCTTCATTCAGCGACTATGAAGTGGACACTCGCGACAATAACTCTCAGCAACGCCATGTCTATTGTCGTCGCAGTGAACGTGCATCACAGCAGTATCACCAGTCCCAGAGGCGACCGCCTACCCGATTTCAGCTTTGCTGGATATCATTCGTCCAACATTGACCTTCCCAGCATCAACAGCCCACCAAGTTCAACAATGTCCCCAACTTCTGGCGATCAGACAGCACGCATTCAGGCAGCCCTCGACAGTCTCTCCGATGCTGGAGGTGGTGCTCTCCTTCTAACAGAAGGAAAGTATGAGCTCGACTCCAACATCACGATTCCCATAGGCACAGTTCTTCGTGGCTCTGGGCCAAGCCAGACATTCCTCCTCGCCAAGTCTGCGGCCGTCGACCTTATAACGTTGGGTGGGCAGGTGGCAACCCCTCGCGTGACTCCTCTCACCAATATAACGGATTCTTATGTCCCAATCGGTGCTTCAACGTTCGGTGTCGCCGATGCCTCGAAGCTGAGTGTCGGACAAAGCGTCATGGTTCAGAGAGCCGTGACAGATTCTTGGGTTACAGCGACGGGCATGGACGACCTAGTGCGAGATGGCAAGAAACAGACATGGATTGCAGTGCGTTTGGCCCTCTGCTTCAAGAAATTCGTCGACTGACATTAGCTTCTCAGGCTGGAAAGTTGGTCCGACAGCCTCGGACCATCATGGCGATCGTCGGTAACAGCATAACCATCGATATACCACTCACAGACACCGTTGACTCGCAGTACATGCGAGGAGTGGTGGCCACGTACACGCCTCCAAGCGCCTCTTCCGAATCAGGAATAGAGAATTTAGCCATCACCCTGAATCCCAGCTGTTCAGGAAGGGTTCTAAGCGATACTACTTGTACCGCCAACGCCGTAGCAGTAAGATCATGGACAACCGACAGCTGGATTCGCAACTTGAACCTGACTGGTTTCAACTTTTTCGTCACCATACACAGTAATGCCGCACGTATAACGATCGACAGAGTCTCGATGATCCGCGACCAGGACTCGAACGTGGCCTCCGGCCTACCCGAAGACATCGTCATTGAAGGCACGCAGGTGCTGGTCAGCAATTGCTCATCATACGGCACGCCGGGAGCCCGCGCTTTTCCCGTCGTCACAGGCTCTTTGGTCCCCGGTCCCAACGCCGTGCTGAACCACTATACTGAGGTTCCCTCCAACTTCATCGCTCCGCATCAACGCTGGGCGCACGGTTTCTTGGTCGAGAACTCGCGAACTTCGCTGAAACTATATAATCGCGGGACCCTGGGGACTGGTCAGGGCTGGACGATCAATGCTGGCGTCGCTTGGAATGTAGTTGGGCAGGATATTCTCGTCGAATCGCCTCCTATGGGAGTGAACTGGTGTGCTGGATGCATTGGGACGAACTCGATCGGTGGGAACGGTAGTTTTTTCTCGACAGACCGGACGGTCTTACCGGAGAGTTTGTTCTGGACGCAATTGTCCGCCAGAGGGGTTGGAAGGCCGTTAACGTAGCACGATTAAATATTCTTATTTCTCCCATCCAGGTGCCGACCACCCACACCTCTACTTCGCCAGACAATGAGGCAGGTAGTCACCAGGTATGCATCAAGACAACAACTCTCAATGACCGAGGAAGTTGTTCAAACACCAACAATTGATACGCCCACAAATGCGTAGGCGGCAAACGCCCATGCAACGACTCCTATATACTCCATTGGTAACTGTACTCACACCCAACCCTAAACCTGACCTGAGGATGCATTAATACGTACAACCGCCCCAAGCAACAACGCGGTCCGACTCCAACAATTCGCTCAAAAGGACTTTGCAAATCCAATCGCTATTCTTCTCATCATGACCCTGATAGGCATATACACACACAGACACAGACCCCGACTGCTCAAAACTCACGAGAAATTCTGCTTGAAGAAAGGCATGACCCGCTGCTCAAAATGCCGCATCACTTCCGCCGCTTCTCTCTCCATCTTGGCCTTTTGCGCCCTCATGCTTTCCACATCACCCTGCAATTCGCGGTGCTTAGCCTGCATATTATCATGGCGTCCAGAAAGACCGTCAATCTCCTTCTGCATAGCCGACATCTCTCGCTCATGCTTTTGCATGTCAGCCAACAAAGCGGACAGTTCGTCTTCTTTGCGACGCAGCGCTTCTTCATGTTTCGAGGACGCCGTCGACATGGAAGTGACTTGCTGACGAAGTTCGTCGTTCTGACCTTGCACTTCTCGCAGTAATTTCTTCGCATTTGCCAGTTGATCAAGTGAGTTGGCCAGTTTGGTTTCGGCGCCCTTGTCGATCTTGGACAAGGTGCTTTCCAGATCTTGCATCTTACGGTCCTTTCCACTCAGTTCACTCCTCAAAGCGCGGATCTGGGATTCGTAGTCCTCGGTCTTTCGCTTGTTGTCCTCCACGCGAAGTGATTCGGCTCTCTGTAACTTCTTCTCCAGGTCTTCTGTCGTTCTCTCTCGTTGTGACACTTGACTCCTCAGGGACCGCAGCTCTTGCTCCAAGTTCGCAGCTTTGGTTTCCCTATCCCGTTCGGCATGTTGAATTTGTTGTAGACTCAATTCGAGCTCGGATATCTTCCTATCCTTCGCACCCAGTTGACTCTTTTCCCGTTCGGCGTGCAGAAGACTCGTCTCAAGCTCAGATATCTTTCTGTCCTTCGCGCCTAGCTGGTTCTTGAGATTGCGGAGCTCCTGGCTAATGTTTTCCAGCCTATCGTCGTTGCGGGAATGCGTCTTCTCAACATTTTCCAGCTCGCCTTCCAGATTCTCGACTTGTCGCTGAAGCTCTTTCTTCTCCGCTTCCAATCGTGTTATGATTTGTCCGGCCTGGAGCACCTGTTCGCGTCGAGTAGTCAATTCCTCGTCGGTCTTCTTCTTGGAGTCCAGTGCTGCATCAAGCTGATCTTCAAGTGTTTCTTGCTCGGTGATGGCTTCAGATAGCTTCTCGGTCAGTTCACTTTCACGATATTGCAACCTCTTGAAGATTTCTTCTTTGTCAAGGGCCAATGCTCGCTCGGATTCCAAAGTCTGCTGGATGCGTTGAGCATCAAGCTCAGCTCGCCGTCGCTCATCTTCCAGTCGGTGACGCTCATTCGCCTCTTGCTTCATCTTATCGTTCAATTGTTCGATCCTCTCATCCCGCCTCTTGACCTCATTGTTGGTCCGCGTTGCTCCCAGCAGAGGTTTCATGCGTACGAACAGTCGCCACCATGGGTTTGACTGCAGATCGAGGTAGACATTGAGGTTTCGTTGAATGACTCTGGTCGCTTCCGCCCGGTACAGTTGCTTGAAGGCCACGCGTCGCTGCATGAAGCCTCGGGCAACAGACTGGAACTTTGACATGATTTCGCGAATTAGACCATCTCTCTGTTCTTCCAAGTCGGCCAGTACACCTGCTCTGAAAAACACCTTTGTGATACCGACACGATAATTAGCCCTGTCCATCTTCAATCGATCAAGCATGATCTTAGCAGCTTCTTGACCGCCGAGATAGCCTTTTGGCATGTTTTCGCACAATACCTCATATCTTGATCTGAACTCAGCAAACGTAAGACGGTTGGGAAAGCCTGTACGTGCTATACGAATGCCTTCCAACACACCGTTGCAACGTAGTTGATCCAGTACCAGAGGTGCGTTGAACTGCTTGGGCTTCTTCTTGTGGTTAGGCAAGATGCAACGAACAAAGTGCGGCTGTGTCGAGTGTAGTTGTCTCATCAAACTGCTCAGTTGCTCTTTGTGTCGTTGAGCCACGGTTCTGAACAACCCCTTCTTGACACGGCTGCGAGGGCTATATGGCTCTTCCACTTCCTCTACACAGTCACTGAAAAGGTTCGCGATGTGGACGTCTTTAGAGGCAGCAAGTAAGCGGGTGAGGTTGTCGTTCAGAGGATCTTTGTTCTTCTCGAGCCAGCCTTCGGTGGAATATTCGACTTCTGCCGCATAGTGTGTCAACAGGAAACCTTGTCTTGTTCGTGCTGGCGAGTATTTCGGAGTCTTCTTCTCCCATAGCGAGTGCAGCTTGTCTGTGAATGATTTGTCGGTCGCCTTTGGCATGACCGAGTCCTCATCCAAGCATGAGAAGATACCTATTGGATTCGGTAGCTCGATCAGGTCGATAGTAGGTTGCAGATCTTTTCCAAAGTCAATAAACTGCCACTCGATCTGTTCCCGAGCATATTCTTCTTGTTCCAGCACAAACATGTAGTGGTTGAAAAACTGTTGCAACTTCTCGTTGGTGTAGTTGATGCAGAGTTGTTCAAAGCTGTTCGTTTCAAAGATTTCAAAGCCGGCAATATCGAGTACTCCGATAAAGTGACTGTCATCGCTACTGACACCTCCACGGTCGAGTTGTGTGTTGATTTTGTTCACGAGATCTCCAAATCCTCGCTCATAGATGCCTTTGGAAAGAGCGTCTAGTGCCAGTCGGACTTGTTCTGGAGTCTGCACCTTCTCAACCCATTCGCGCCCTGCTTTGACCTTGGGGTGAAGAAGTCCTTTGATGAATGGGTCTGTCTGCACGCCCAAGAGTTGACATGCCTTGTCCACTGATGCACGAGCTTCCGGAGTCAGTGAAGCCTGGTCTCCCGCCCTGCTTTCTTGCCGAACCGCGACATTTCCAAGATGTAGTATTGCGGCGATCGTCCGGAAGACAGCCAGCTGCTCTTTCTCCGAAAAGTTCATAATGTGGAATGCTTCAATCAAAGTGTTCCATTCATCACGATCGGAAACACCACTGATTGTATCATTTCCAGCTCTTATGTATGCAAAGTTTTCCACGTCCATCCCAGAGATCAGTAACGAGTCTCTCATCCGCTGGTCTGCTCCAGCTAGAAGTTGGTAGAAGATGTGGTAGCTTCGCTCTTGTTGACTGACTCTGACGACGCGTGACTTTTCGAGCAGGTACCAGTCAATAAAGGCTCCCGCAATTTGGCCGGATCTGGTAAACTGGATTCGAATAAATTTGCCAAACCTGGACGAGTTGTTGTTTCGGACGGTTTGAGCATTACCGAAGGATTCGAGAATAGGATTCGCTCGAAGGATCTGTTGTGAGAGGTTTGACAAATGCTTACCAGGAGTCCGTCCTGTTATTGGAGTGTCGAGATCAGAGGTTGCCACGGCGGCAAGATATTGGATGACCTTTTTCGTGTTTTCTGTTTTGCCCGCGCCAGACTCTCCTGTTACTAGGATGCTCTGGTTTTCCCCTTCTTCCACTAGTCGTCTGAAAGCAGCATCAGACACGGCGAATATGTGTGGTCTTGTGTCCTCACGTGCTTGTCCTTTGTACATTCTTATGTAGTCGTTGCCATAAATCGGTAGCGGACAGTAAGGATTGATGGTGACCAAGAACAGACCGGAATACGTGTAGATCAAGTCGGCCTGGTAACGTGTTTGGAGGTTGTGAATGACTGAAGCCTCATTAAGGTGCGTCAGTTCTGCCATGTCATCGGCCTTGTCAAACTTGGCTGGGTTGACCTTATCCACCTCGTCGACGTCGGTTTCAATCTGTGAACCATCCTCGAATTGGACTAACACTTTGTTTGCCGAGACGTCTTCTACTATCCAACCCCGAACAAAGGCCTTTTCTGGATCCTTAACCCAAACATATCTCTTGCCTGAAAAGTCATTCTCCCCTTCAATGGCCGAAATTCTGTCCTCACTCTTGCGCATCTCTTCCGACTTGATGAACTTGGGCGCAAATGTACTTGAAGTACTTGACTGTCGCTGAAGTGACTGTGTTCGTACATGATTTGGTATGGAGGAAAAGGACGTTGACGGTGAGTACGACTGTTGGCGCTCGTGTCTGGAAGGAGGCGCAGAACTTGGTGAGGCAAACAACAAAGACTTCGGGAAGTTGGAAGGTGATATCGGCGTTGCTAACGACATGTCGGAATTGTACGATCTGCTGAAGGAATGGTGTCGTTGAGAAGGTCCATTGAATGGAGAAGTATCGGGACTGCGATCATGGAGCAGCATGATGCCGCCAGATAACGAAGGCTATTATTACATTCGAAGGTGTCAAAACAGAAGATGGAGAGTCAATGCACGACCTTTGTCCAACAAGGTGGTTCGAAGATTGGGACAGTGCATGGATGGAGAGGCTCTTGGACTCTTGGTGCAAATGACGATTGTGATGCAGTGTTTGTTTTCGGTTGCCCGGCTCCCAAAATTCAATTCTACGCGCTAATGAGCCAATTCACGGTGTCACGAGATCTGCGGCAGGTTGAGGTCGCTACAGTCGACCGGAAAGTGTGAAGGAGGGTCGATATAGACCACCGGACAGTCTAGGTCATGTGATATGCATTTTCATCGAGGTCTCTTGATCTTCTTCACCAGGACCTGTCTGGACAATTCCCACTCAACCACCTCATGTCCACTCACTGTCGCGAGGATCTTGTCGATATCCTACGTTAGAACGAAGTAGGCAGGACCTTGCATCTCTTCCTCAAGGGTTTTGAAGGGACGCGAATCAGCAGTAAGGGGAGGCCTGTCTTCGTCCTGCGCGTCCAGAATCAGACTGCGCGCCCCAGTTCCGATCTGAACGATGTCTTTGTGCGGCGCAACTAACTCAGTGCCTTATGACCGGCTGATGAGCGTGCCTCACTGATAAGTCCTTGTCCCATTCACAGGCTTTGCAAAATGGCGCACCCGTTTTCTTCTAACCCGTTTTACGCGGGCACACCTTCATACGCACCGCAACAACCTCACTATCCTTTTCCACCTAATGGACTGCAGCAGCAGGCAATTCATACGCCTCCAGGATTAAACCAGCAACCTCCACAGCCTCCATCCTACCAATCGTCCCCAACAGCGAGTGCTCCCAGATACGATACAAATCCTCAGATTCGTTCCCCGTTCCCACCTTTTCCTCCTCCGCCAGCTACACTCGGGCCGGACTTTTTCAAACAATTCGCGAACGCAGGTCTACCGCCTCCTCCACCGCCCTCATTTCCTCCGGTGCCTCTGCCTAATGTCGCCGGTTTCTCGCAGTTGTCTACCCCGGAAAACACCTTTGTCTCATCGCCGTATCGTCCGCAAACCGCCTCTGCTCCTGCTCCTCTTGCGGGTGCTTCTGCATTCATTGCAAACGAAAAGTTAAGGCAGAACTTTCAAGAACCGGCTGTTGTCCCCCAGCCAGAAAGAGACACCAGGAGTCAATACGCTCTGCATGAGCGCCCCTCCCACAATTATGCTTCATATAACGTAAATCAAGGTGGAAAGACACAACCTGCGCGCGGTCAACCAAGCAAGGCCGACACAGGCAAAGGTACGTTGGCAATCCTTTTAACATCATCTTTGCTCACCCTGTCACAGAAGAAGCACTGCCGTCCTTTGGTTCACGGTCCGATCTCGAATTGCTTTTTGCTACCGCCCAACAACAAGCTTCACAAGTGAATGACTACAACATGGGAAACTCATATTCCTTTACAAGAGGTAACGAAGCCGTTGAACAGCCTTCACAACAAGCTGGTAGCGTGTCTCGTAAGTCTGGCAAGGAAGTACCATAGCCGCCCTTGCTGACTACAGCACAGCATATGACCCAACTCGACCTGCAACAGTAGGCGATAGACCCTCTGGTGGCTTCGGCCCAGCAAAGGATAAGTCAAATGAGAAGCCAAAAACCATGCCGTCCAAGACCTTCGAACGTACGTATGACAACAAGTCACCCACAGAACTTCGACAACTAGCAAAAGGGGCTCTCCTGTCCCTCGTGCCTCACAGAATCCTATACGCAGACCTTGTCAAGGAGGGTGTGGACGCTCAAGTACTAAAGGAGCTCTATGGTGAACTCGGCATCAAGGCAGATGTTGATCCTGAGCAAGGAGTCGAAAACGTGGATGCGATGCTAATGGTGTCTGGTAAACCCGAGGCTAGTAACCTGTTGGCGGGTGCCGCTTCAGGTGATGTCGCTCTGGGTCAACCACATCCGGATGGAATCACACCGTCACAAGCATCATTGGAGATGGCGAAGCAACCGCATGCGCCAAGTCTTAACCTCGAAAGAAAGGATCGCATTGCCCAATTGCTGGCTGCGAAGGCAGGTCGTCCAACTCCGACCACGCCAGCTTCAGGCTCATCAACCCAAACGGAGGGCGCTCTCTCAGGTGCGTCAGCCGTGCGAACTGTCCATACGCCTACATCGGCTCCCCAATCGCCATTGCACGCAGAGAGAGATGTGGGACAGCGGCTTCAGAGTACCACGACTGCTAAGGCTCAGCCTGATGTTATAAAAGCGAAGATGGAACAACTGAAGCGTGAATCAGAAGCCAAGGCTCAGAAGCAATTGTCTCAGACGCAGATGGCCTCAGGCCTGGTTCCAGACAGTGCAGTAGCAGCTACTCCTGCGAAACCCATATTTGGGTCAGCCTCTCAAATCCAGGGCCGTCTCCCTACATCTGCAATAACATCCATGATACCAGGACTGTTCATGACACCGTCAGAACTTGCTAGTATGGATGAAGCAGACGCATTGGAAGATAGCGAGATGGTCGATGCGCCGGAGAAAGAGCAGGTTCAAATCGAGTCGAGTTTGTCTACCCAAGCTCCTGCTTCACCAGCCTTGTCAGTACCTCAGAAGCGACCAATGTCTTTCGATCCAGCACTGGCTAGCACCGAACCTCAGGCGAAGAGCACTCATGTGGAAATTGCTACGGAAGGTCTCGAAGTTGATTCTGACGAACATTCAGAAGGAGAGATCATTGAAGGAGCCGAGAGTGACTCGGCTGCAGGTATGGAATCACGGCCTCAGGGTTATGAGACTTTGGCAGGTAGCGAGGCCCAGATATCAAAGCCAGATGCGCTTACCACGGCTCAGAATAATCTGGTCAATGAAGCTGGAAAGGAAGAGTTATACCGTGCCAAACAGACGGAGATTGAGGCAATGCGGCGGAAAATCGCTGAACTGGAACAGCGCAACAAGCTGAAACGTCGAAGTCAAATTGACTCACCCGCTTCCTCGAATCCTCCTACGCCGGTAATGACAAGGAGAGAACAACCGCTGAGCAGTTCGCCTGTACCTCAGCCTTCGGCTTCCGGTATCCCAGCTGTTCCATCCAAACAATCCGTTGCTCGGACAATTGCCAAGCTCACGCCCGCGCAACTTGCAGAGCGCACGGCTGCCTTGAAGGCAGACCTCCTGAGACAACGTTCACAGCGACAGCAGGTTCTGCAGGACGGGCTGCCGGATCTGAATTTCGAGGTGTCCAAAATAGAGGTTCGGCTAGTAGCGGCACGGCAAGAACTCAACGAAGCTGAGACCCGAGTCTTGGAATGCCAGTCGGCGTTGGAACAGGCCATAAAGGCAAGAGACGACCTGTCGGAAGAAACAGCTCAACTCGAGCGGCAATTGCAGGAAGGTCAATCAGGCCAAAAGCAATATGCAGATGAGCTCCAGCAGATTAAGCTCGAGGGTTTAGCAGAAGCTCAAGCATCTACATCACAAGGAGCGACTGGTACTGTTACTATACCGGAAACAGTATCTGACACTGCTGGGTTCGTGAATAACGAATCGCACATTCCGGCCGAGCTGCCTGAAGAGCCTAGAACAACATCAGCCGTGTTCACGGGTGTAGAATGGCCTAACGGTCTCGATGACTCAAACCCACAGGCCAAAATGCCGGGCTTCGAGGAAGGAGAGATTGACCTCAGCCAGCCCCCACCCGGACACCAGGTGCCGGTACCAGATGTCTACGAACCAAGTCCAGAAGACGAAGGAGAAGTGGAAGAGGACCTCCTTGATGGAGGGCTGCCGCGAGCGGACACTTTTCAGACGGACGAAATGGAGATCTCTCCAGAGCCTGAAGAAGCTATCGAGGAGCTCGAAGATGTCGTTTCCGATCCGGAATTGGAACAATCCATGGATGATACGCCGATGAATGTGGACGATGATAGCGATGGTAGTGCCAGTATGTCGGATTCTGAAGACGAACAGGAACAAGACTACGAACCGACTGAGACCCACATGTCTCACGGTCAACCTGGTGAAGAATCCGACGAGTATGACCCGGAAGAAGCCCCTGTCACGCACGATGCGACTCCTAACACTGGTACGGACAATGATGAGGAAGATTTCTATGAGCCTTCAGAACACGTGGAGGACCTATCGGCTCAACCTAGCCCTGATGTCCAGCAAGAGCCTGCTGAAGCTCGAGGAGCAGTGTCGACAGTGCCGCTTGACAATCCACAAGATGACATTGAGTCCGGTCCTCAATTGACAGAGGCAGACACCTTGGTCAAGACGCAAGGCGCACCTAACGGCGACACTTCCGAGGATAAGCCCTACCTGGACGGAACTTCGACCTCAGCCCCTCGCTTCGTTCCGTACAAGACGCCACTCTCCGCATTCAAGACGTTTCGTTTCCACCAAGATTACAACAACACAGTCAAGTCTGGCTATCGGTCGTTGACGTACAGCAACAACATTGACCCTTCTCGTCCGCTTTGCCCTACTGAGCTCTCTGGTGAAAGTTGCTCGGATCCGACTTGTGAAGAGCAGCATTTCCGCCAAATCGGGCTCCCAGGTATGCACATTATTCCTTCCTCCAGATGTCCTTCGATAGATACTAATTACTCAATACAGATGACAAAATTCTTGTCCAAATGAGTTCGGCAGGTGACATCAAAGACAAGACGACGCGGGACGAGTTTCTTGTGGGATTGAAACATGTTATTGCCGACTTGCGTTCCAACGACGTAAAGGATTTCGACAGTGTGGCTGGGGCGCTGTCCAATTACAGAAGAAAGTTCTTTGCTGAGCGGGAAGAGACTGTGTAAAAAGAACGTCTCGATTTTCAATTCCAGGACGGGAAGAACGCAGCAGCGCAGTCACCAGGGTCTCAATATCGCTTGGAGGAAGTTGGATCTTGCTTGGGACTGATGAGGGCTGAGTGTGCTTCCGAGTGTGTATTTTTGTTGTACAACATGTGTGTTTAGGACGCTGGACATTGGTTGAGGAGATGGGCCACACAGGTACAAGCCGGCAAAAGCATGCAAGCATCATCCAGGCGTGGAGCTGTGTAATTGAAAGCTTCGATCCACCAGGGATTGCACAGTTTCTGAATGAAGAATGAGCCAATTCGATACTTCGACTCTCGCTCGATCAGGCTTGTCTTGTACATGTCTTCTGATCACATTATTCCTATACACTGTGGTCTCCGAAAACTCCATCGAGCTAATCTCGTTGACAGCCAAAAGACCAGTCACAACGCCCGAACCTTGAGCCTCAAGTCTCGTTAAGATCATGTGCAGAACATAAACGTTCTCAGTCATCGTGCGCATCCTTCGGAAAGCATGCACCTCACGCCCCAAACACCTAGAGATACAAATGCCTACTCGTCGTCAAAGATCCCGCAATTAGGATGTAACGCGTAGCTAAGTCTTGTGGCATTCGCCGCAGCGTCCTGATCCTGCTCGTCATCTCCCACGAGCCCTTCACCACGGATAGGGATGATCACGTTATCCTGCAGCTAAGAGTTAGCCATAGATCCAATCCCACCGAAAACAAAAGACATACCTTGACCATCCTTTTCAGGACCTTCTTAGCCAACGACCGCTCAGTATTGAGCTCGTCCTCGTTCGAGATAGAACTCTCGACCTGCTCAAGGTACCACAGCAATAGTTCCTCGTGCTCGGGACCTTCACCATTCTGATCTTCCTCGTCGCGAATCCGCGAGGCCAGCATGTTCTGGATCTCGTGGTACTTCTCGAACGTGATCTTTGTGGTGGCGCGGTTTGGAGCCGGTGTACCGTCAGCACGAGTTTCTGGTTCGTTGTGGTTCTCGCCCTCGGCCATGGGACTGTCTCCGTCCTCGTGATCCTCTCCGTTTGGTTGCGCCGGCTCCTCTTCGTCGTCTTCGACATCGACATCGTCCTTCTCGACGGTGATGATCGACTGGCGAAGTAGATCATATGCTTCGAGGACCATGGGTACCGTGATATCCTCGACACAGTTCGCCTTGGCGATTGCTTCACTCAGACGGATCAGTGACTCCAATTGTCTTACGGTGATGCGGTAGCTGTTTCGTCCCAGACCGCCCGAATCGGCCGCACGGAGATCCTTGTATTTCTGGACGAGCAGATTCATCGCCTCGGGTGTGAATCTTGGTTTGAACGTGCGGGCAAAGCGGATATATCTTTGTAGCTGCTCTGTCGAAAATTCGGGCTGCACGAAGTCATCCTTCAGCATGTGCAGGTTGACGATGTGTTCCGCGAGGTGGCGGTCGATGTTCTCGTTGCATTCGTCGAGAACGACAAAGAACAAATCGAAACGCGACATGATGGGCGCCGACATGTTGATGTTTGCTCTTAACGTGGTTTTGCGATTGTACCGGCCTCCGATAGGATTGGCGGCTGCGAGGATACTTGTTCGGGCGTTGAGCGTGGCGTGGATACCGGCCTTTGCAATCGAAATCGTTTGCTGTTCCATGGCTTCGTGAATGGCAACTTGGTCGCTGATATCCATCTTGTCGAACTCGTCGATGCAGCAAGTGCCAGAGTCGGACAACATGAGAGCGCCGGCTTCGATGGTATGTTCTCCTGTTTCTTCATCCTTGACCACAGCTGCTGTCAGACCGGCGGCACTTGACGCCTTGCCAGACGTGTAGACCGCACGGGGCTGGAAGGACGCAATGTATTTGAGAAACTGCGATTTCGAGGTCGATGGATCTCCCACAATACAGATATTGATGTCGCCTCTGAGGGCCATGCCTTCAGGCGTCTTCTTGGACACGCCTCCAAGCAGTTGCAGTAGGAGACCTTTCTTGATAATCTCGTGACCATATACCGTTGGTGCGATACTCTGAACAAGCCTGCTGTAAATCTTGTCTGAGTGGACCATGTACTTCAGGTCCTCGATCTCTTCATGTGTCAGGGTCTCAAGATAAGCCTCTTGAGCTCGTTCTCCACTGTCGTATTGATCAAACAGATCAGTTTGGTGCAGCGAGTTAAGGATATTGGTTGATTGACCATTCAGTTGGTTGGCAGCCTGACCAGGCGTTGTGGTATCAGGGCACGAGAAGCAGGCCAGGAAGGCCATGCGGTATGTGAGGTCGCGTACTCCCAGAGATTTCAGTCCGGTCACACCAGCTCCCCCAGCATCAGCACCACGGAAATTTCTGTTGTCCTTAGATGCTTCTGGTCGGACGCCGGGGATACCGAGCTGGGAAACGTCTGGCACCACGATCAACGTGCCGGTAAAAACGCATTTCTCACCAGGCTTGGTGCGTTCGACTTGTTCTCCTCGTAGGATGACGTCCATCGTTCGCGGCATGCTTCCAGTAGGGATTTCTGAGCTGTTCTCCTGAATACGACACCGCTGCCAGTCCACAAAAGTGCTATTCTGGATGTCCAATCGCCATGCGACCTTGTTGCCACAGGTCAGGTTGGGACATACATTCGGCTCTGTGTATCTGAATGTTTGCTCGACGTTTGGAACTGTGGTATTGCAGGCTTCGCAAATGAAGGTGCCCAAAGCCAGCTCTGGGCGCACTTCAGATGTTCTGGTGACTGTGCCTGAAATGGACAGCAGCTTTCCAATCTGATCTGTTCTCAGCTGCCGTACTCTGGACACAAGTGGCAGATTATAGAAGGCGAGTGTGAAAAGTTTATCCGTCTGCTGATTCAGAGTCTTGTCGCCCTGGCTGCTTCCCTCACTGGTCGCATTGCCGGCCATGGACGTGCCAGCCTGTGAAGCATTGCTAGTCATCTGTCGATGGTCTTTGAAGTATATTGGCTCATGTTTCGCCAGGAGACTATGCAGAGCCTTGGTCAGAAATGGCAAGAATCGGTAATACTGGTTCGCAATCGCATCTGCCAGGATTGGGCCTTCTTTGTATGACAGTAGATGGCGGTAGTCGACATATAGTGTTGAAAGCTGGAACTCGCGCAATCCATGTATCTGGTTTATGTAGTACTTGTCTGTTTTCAGTTCACTCGAGGGTGGTAAAGCCGACGAGGAAGGGTCTTCAATGTGTGATTCGAGGAAATCTTCGAAGGCTTGTTGCACTCTCTCTCCTGCGCGGTCGGCTACCTGCGATACATTACGGTCCAGAGGGTTCCTATTTCTGCCACGGGCGACCGCGGCGATCTCATCGTCCGGGAAGATGTCTGCTTCAGACGGTATGCCGTTGCTTTCAGAGGGGATAGGACGGGCTCGTGATGAGGAGGGGACATCGTTCTGCGGGCGTCGTGATGAGGATGGAGTTGGACCGAGAGGGTCCGAGTTGAGAATTGAGTCTACCAGAGTTGCCATTGTGTGATATTTTGTCCGGAGGTAAGTGCTGGCACTCAGACAAAATAGGACTTGGTGTTGATTAATCGACTGAATAATGACCTGCAGCCCCTGTATGGAGACAAGAGGAGCGGCGCGTCAAAAACCACTTTACGCGATCGGTCGCGTTACGCGTATTCTTACTTGACTTTAAATGGTTACAAGTGGCTTGGCGTTCTTCTTGGGCAGCTACCACAGTACTCACATTATCGCCACGAGTTCCAACCTTGCAAACACATTCATTGCTTTATCAATCTATGGTTGAAGGACTTGTTGAATAGCCCGTATGTGGTCTCCCCGTTCCTCAGACCCCCAATGCCACAATCCCAGGCGCTCTTGATGCTCAAATTATGCGGATCCTGCATCAACTTGGGGAAAAGCCTCAAACAGTTGTTCCTTCCAATATCCACAAGATCATGCTGATTGAGCTGTATCTCGTCGTACCATACACAAGCATTCGGGATGCTTTCAAAGGGATAGTCGATGCTGAACATGCAGCTTTTTGACCCGATCTCTGATATGGAACATACCAGGGCAGGTGTACTGAAATGCCCACTGGTGGTAATGAAGACCTGCTCTCCGAAATAATCCCTGATCAATTTGTCCTTCCTCATCTTCATGTTTGGAAACCTCGCACGATCTAGCTTATGGTCAAGGCGGTACATTTCGAATGGAATGTGTTCCCCCATGTGTCCGATGACCAGCTTGAGATCAGGAAATCTGTCGAGCACACCGGCAGTGATAATGGCGAGCAAGTGCATGTTTACACGGTTGGCGAATCCCAAAACACTCAAGTTCAGCCACGGTCGATCCTTCCACATTTGCTCATTGATCAGGGGCGTCGGCGTCCTTGGATGGATATAGACTGGCGCCCGCAAATCAGCTGCAGCCTGCCAGAAAACGTCGTACCGTGGGTGATCATAGAACAACATCGTATTACCGTTCGGACCACTGCTTTGGAAATCATTCAACAACGCACCGACGAAACCCTTCTTCTTCGTCATGCATCGTGTCAATTCATCGGCAGCCTGCTTCGGATCATGCATACTCAAGGCGGCGAATGCAGCGAAACGCTTCGGGTTTTTCATAACCTGGTCCTCGAGATAGTCATTGGCCGACGACGATAACGTTTCTGCAGCGGTCTGATCGGAGAGACCTTGACAGCCGGCAGAGTTGAGTGACAAGATCATTAGCTCAACACCATTCTCGTCCATTTGACGAAGACGATGCCCATGGATGTCAAGCAGATTTGTGCTGAGGTGTTCTTCTGGAGAAGCATTGGCAGGAGTGAATCCTATCGGACTGTTCTGCGCCAGGGACGATGGTAGCGCAAACCCTTCCTCGAGGGCAATTTTGAAGTGCATCACCACTCAAAATAGCTCACGCTTGGACTATGAGCAACTCCAACAAAAGGACGTCCTGAAAGGTGGTTGTGCAACAAGACTCTGCACGTACGAGAGTCTGCTAATGATCAGAATATTGTAGGAGCATACTTGTATGTTGACCATTGGCCGTCCACCAGGGGCAGTCTGTAGGTGCATTGGGTGCGGGAGGAGTATCCAGCGTCCCCGGATAACTGACATCCGATCACTAACATGATGAGGCTCTAGGAAATGTTGGCCTCCATGGCGCGCTGGCTTCAAGCGCAACGGGTCGACGAGTCAACCCTTTTGAAATGAATTCGCGGAAGAAACTTGTATTCTGCGTGTACTCATCTCTCTCACCTGTAAGGACAATTTTTACCGACATCAGCGGCTTCGAAAGCCGTACATGCGTCGCTCATAGTGCAGAAAAATATCCAGATTTCAGGGACGGAAATGGGAGGCTATCCACCCGTGCCGTCCGTGCCGGCTCTCCCATAGCATTCCTGCATGGGTCGCACTTCATATGCACATTATCTGACTCTAGTAACTACCGCAAATGGCACAGGTTCTTCAGTCATAAAACCAGGAATAACTGCACACGGCGCCGTCGTCCGCATCAGGCACGCATATTCGGTGTTCAGCGAGACCATGGTAAACATGCGGGGAAATAGCAGCGAGAGTTGATATCAACTCACCTTATCTCGAGGTGGGTCACTGCGCCTCTAGGCGTGATGGCCGTACTGGAGACGGACTTCTTGGGAGATAAAGACTTTCGATGGAATGCCAGTTGCTGTCCTGCATGGATAAGACAATTACTGTTCTCTGGACTGGTCCATACATGACTTTGCCATCTTAAGCATCACGACATATCTCGAGTCGACACTATACATCACAGCGCCCCTCCGGCTATCAATCATGGAGTCGCCCTCGGCAACCTTGCTTCGTCTCATGAAACGGAGAGTCCCGCCCGAGAAGCGACAACGAACTGAGATGAGCTGTGATTATTGTAAGAGAAAGAAATGCAAGTGTTTGAGACCTGCCGGTGCAGAATCCTGCCGGGCTTGCAACGAGATCGGACAGTCATGTACGACCACGAAGCCGAGGAAGCGACGAATGTACCCGAATTTCAATGCACTTTCCGGAAGCCGGCAGATCATCACTCTCGATCCTGTTGATGCATTTCATCGCAATCCATCACCAAGGCGCTCTTCGATGCATGGAGTTATGGGGACTGCCCGACCTTTGACACAAGTCTTAAACGAGGAGCTCTCGCCTACCGGAATTGTGCATAACATCTGCGAAACTACCAAGGGAGTATCAGTAGAGTCTTTGTTCGAAGACTCTCTGGGTCTGCCTCGTTACATTGGACCCATTGGATCCTACACTTTATTGGTCAAACTGTGGGAGATTATGGACGCAAAATGTGCCTTCATTGCCCAAGATCGTGACAATGCCCAGACAATGGGACAATCGATGTTGCTTTGCGACAGTAATGGGCAGAGCATAGATCTGCCCCCTCGAAAAGCCGCTGATATGTTGGTGATTTTATTCTTTGAAAAGGTTCACTGTGACTTTCCCATCTTCCACAGAGCTCTTTTCCAGGAAAGCTACGAAGGCATGTGGTCTTTGCAGCCTAACACAGAACCGGCATGGTTGATGTCCCTCTCAATGGTCTTCGTCCTGGGTTTGGAGGTAGCCCCAGACGGCTCAGACCGGGCAGACACCACCCGAATGAAAGAAGAGCTAAAGAAACGTTACCTTTCCAAGGCCAAGGACCTCTTACCTGAGGTCATTGCTGGGGCTACCCTGAGTCATGTTCAAGCACTCATGCTTTACAGTCGGTACTTACACATCACGCGAAACCGGAATGCTTCCTGGAACATCGTCGGTGCGGCAATTCGTCTGGCCGTGGCCATCGGGTTGCACAGGAACGGAAACCATGCGAAATGCAGCCCCCTCGAGCGAGAGCTGCGCAAGCGCGTTTGGTGGACACTCCATGCCTTTGAACGCATTGAATGTTCCTCACTAGGTCGCACCTCGGCCATTGACGACGACGAATGTAATGTCGGACGACCAACCGAGGGGATGCTTGACATGAGTGACACCATACCTCTCGGATATGTGGAGGCTCAAGCTGAACTGATGAAAATGCTTGGCTCAATCTGCAAGCATCAATACGGGCTGGAAGAGCTACCTCAAGAACAAGTCGACTTCGCAATCAAGACTCTGGTAGACCTTGACGGATGGTACGGAAACCTGCCATCTCATCTCATGGCCACGTCAAAATCGCCGAGAACTCACTCGAGAGCAATTCTGCTCCTTCACGTTCAGTACCATTACACTATTACGCTTCTGTGTCGACCTTTCCTTGTCTCCTTGACCACCAAGCCAGTAACCCGGCTGTCCAATATGGCAACGCTGTCATCCCATGCCAAGACATGTATCACATCCGCAAAAGCTGCTGTGTCTATCCTCAACGAGCTATTTTCTGCTGGACTCTTCAATTCCAAGACGTGGTGGGATGTCTATTACGTGGAGTCCATTTGCATGATCCTTGCTATTGGCAGGTTTGTGGAGGAAGAGGGTTTCAAGAATGATCCTGGTATCATGCAGTCAATCAAAACATGCGTGCACATTCTGGAAGAGTGCAAAGAGTTCTCGCCTACGATGCAACGGTTCGCGAAGGTAACGACAGACTTTGCTCAAGCTCTCGTATATGACTCCTCTCCGGAGGCTCAGCAGTTCTACGAAAGGCATCAACCCGACTTCTCGGAAGACTTGTTCCCTGGCCCACTCCATGCTCAAGCTACAGAAGCCGCCGCTTCGTTCGCCGGACCGGGGTGTGATCATCTTAACACTGGCGATGCAGCCTCTAGTCATCATGATCCTTTCGCCGCTCATTGGGACATTCCTGATATGTCTTACCCGGATGACTGGGCAGATGTTGGGTTTGTGATGGATGAAACATAGCTGATCACCACCATTCCAGCCAGGCTGAGAGTGTTCTTGGGCCCGCTTCTCCTTGTCCTGAAAAAGATGGGCCGTTCCTGCCAGACAAATTGATTCCGGCGCAGGTGCTGGCCTCGCTCTAGAGCGTCACTTTGTGGATGGCATGCTCCGTGTACCCCATGAATCTGATGAAGATCTTGGCACTATCGAGCACCCTCTTTTTGCTTTGACCACGAGTGTCTCTGCTCCAAAATGCGCCATGGGTATCTTCGAAATCGAGTGCTGCAACGGCCTTCCATATACCATACACTTCTTCGGGCGGTAGTGGAATCTGTCATCACAACGTCAGGGGATGGCCCATACTCAGTGGAAGAAGAATTACACACCATGTTAGGATATGACCACATGAAAGTGAAGGACGCAGTATCGGCCGGACGATCCACATGATAAACTCCACTGGGGATGACAGTGATACTGTCCGCCACCAGCAGCTTCTTCCTTTCCTTCCACAACAGGACTGAGCTGCCGGGAAAATGTCCTCCGACTTTGACAGCCTTGAATTGGCCGTCAAGAAATTCCTTCTCGTTGCCTTCCCACAGCACATGGGCGGGGCCGGTGCGCATGATCCAGTCTTTGTCTTCTGCCGACAAGTAAACCTTGCAGTCGAAAGCCTCCGCCCAGTGCAACGAGGTTGAATAGTAATGCGGATGGGATATGACGATGGCATGGATGCCGCCGAGATCTTTGATGGTTTTGATCGTCTCTTCATCGATATATGTGATACAATCCCACAATATGTTTCCCTTCTCCGTGCAACACAAAATGGCACGTTGACCAATTGCGACTTGTGGTTGCGTATATATACTTATCAATCCAGAGTCGTACTTGTCGTGTTTGAACACATTTTGGAACTTGCCGGAACGTTGCAGTTCACGAAGTGTGGTCCAGGTTTGCCTGTCCCGATCGTTACTTCTTACATCTCATACGCAAAATCCATGCTGTGGTACTTACCCGTCCGGTGGCACGTATTGTCGAGGATCATCGCAAACCACGCATGATTTGATAGCCCTAGTTGAGTGCTGGGCACCACACATGCCACAGATCATGAGATCCATCCTTGAGATGAGGTAGTACTCTCTTGCAGAGACGCATCCAAGAGCACGAAATGGTCAGGGACATCAAAGAAGAATGTTGAGCGTACTCGCACAGCAAAGTATTCATGGCTCATTTCGGACTTGAACAATCAGACCTTTATCCATTGTGGATCAAGTTGCACCTGCTAGAGTGCCGGATACATGCTATTGCCAGCGGCACATCCCTGGGGTCTGCAAGCAAGCGATCTCGTAACGCCTGATCCATTCCACATGAAAAGTATTCGTGTCTCAAGTGGGCATGCATTCAGACTTCCCATTGGCTTCTAGGGATCATAATACTGTACCCGAGACCACGAAGTCGCGGATAGGTGATCCAGGCTGTCAGCGTGTCACCCGTGCCGGCGGACAGACCCTGCATGCAGCCACGATGCTTATCTAAAAACCGTTCCGCTGATAGCACCACGGAAATCAGCGTGCTTGTTGATGCCCACTACTGAGAACGAGAGTTACTGACACGTCATCCAGAAAAATGATTTTTCTGCTGGAGGGAAGAGCTCTCACAAGGTCAATAGGAAGGAAGCGATTACGGTGACAGTTACTCATAGTCCTCATCGCAAGGATAGTCTTGGTGCCAGACTCGCAGTTCTCACCCCAAGACAGTGCCGACTTGCGCATGACAAGTTGGAGTTCCGCGCACAATGACCGACTCTGCGGCACATCAGGAACGAGCGCAGCATGAAGCCTCATTAAAACGCAATCCTCATCCTGATTTCCAGACAGTAGAAAACTCTCGGCCAGATTGGGATGCGCAGAGATCTTGGGCCTTCACAAAAGCTCCCGACACGAACTGGTCCTGGGGTAAAGGAGGCAATGATGGTGGTGCATCGCTGAAGAAAGACCATGTCGAAATCAATCCGCATGCAGAGGGAAGGCCAAAAGCCTACAACTACAAGCTGTTGATCTCCGGCGTAATACCGAGGCCGATCGGATTCTTGAGCACAGTCTCCAAAGACGGTATTGGTTTTACATCATTTTGAATGCAGATATGCCATACTGACACGAACTAAGGGTCGTCGACAAACCTTGCACCATATTCATATACCAACATCGTGACACACGACCCTCCGATATTCACTGTTGGCATTGCAGGTGGGATTAGCGATGCTAAAGACAGCCTGGCAAATCTGATTGCAAGTGGGGAGTGTGAGTACCACCCATGATTTGACGCCAGCCTTGAGTACTCCGGACACTGATGGATCGCAGGTGTCCTCAACCTCGTTTCCGAACATTTTGTGGAAGCCATGAATGCTACATCGATCAATGCTCCGTACGGCGTGTCGGAGTGGGAGCTGACAGGACTGCACCCGGCACCCTCCACGCATGTGAAGCCTGCCAGGGTGAAAGAGGCCGTCTTCGCTATTGAGTGCAAGCTGGTTGATACCAAGGAGTTTGATAGTCGGGCTACGCCAGGTAAAAAGTCGGCGACGCTTGTCATGCTAGAAGGCGTCAACTTCTGGGTAAGAGAAGATGCGATCAACGAGGAGAGGAATATCATCGACCCTGCAGTAAGTCTTGCCATCCTGTCGTTTCACCAAGTAGCATGGCTGACGGTGGTGATTTACAGGTTCTGCGTCCTATTAGTCGACTGGGCGGCATCACCTACGGTCGTAATGTTGAAGGATTCGAGCTCTTGAGACCAGATTATGAGAAGGCCCAGGCTTCTGGGGAGCTGAAGGATGTCGAAAATGCGTCTACTGCCCATATCTAACGTCTATAGAAAAGAGATCCGAGAATTAGACCATTCTTCAAGCGTCCTGGTGTTCTTCCATACCAGGTTACAGGAACTGTCCCAGGCTCTTCCCATCCATTCTTATCGCACCAGATACCTAGGGCCTGTCATTCCCAAGCACGGTCCACATGATCAGGGACTCTGCGACGCCACCAGATAGGCTTTCAGCACCCAAGCCAGGGGTCCCAGGTGGGGTCTTATGCAAGTATGGGCGCTAGGAAGCCTGTATCAAGCGGGGTCAAACAGACATCCTATCGATCAACTTCAAGACTCAACACTGTTCCCTTGCATGTGCACATCCCAAGTGCTCCATCGGAAGGCTGCAAGGCTCCGAACGTCCGCATTCTGGAAGCCAGCATGCAAGGATGTGTCCGTCGTGGTGCACTACCCGCCTGCGTGGCGACGCACGCCATTATCATGCAACTCGAAATGAACCGGCTTTGAGGCACCACGGTCATGTAAAAGGCTTTCCTGGTAGCCGTGAGTGAGCCTTGTGGACCATTTACAACTGCTAGAGACGGTCGACATCGAAAAACCAAATCATGGCTCGACCTCTCGACATCGTGATTGTTGGAGGTGGCATAGGAGGACTCTCCGCAGCGATCGCCATACGCATCGCCGGGCATAATGTCGTGGTCCTCGAAGCAGCCGAGAAGATTGAAGAAGTCCGTTTCCTGTTCCCACCGGAAGATGAAGCACGCTCACATATAACTATGTAGATCGGCGCAGGCCTCCAATTCTCAGCAAATGCAACACGGATCCTCACAAAATGGGGTCTCGACAAAGAGATATTAGGCGACGTCGTCGAGCCATACAACTGCATAATGAGGCGGTGGCAGGACGGCAGCACGATATCCACCCTCGCATTACACGACTACCACCGACAGACATACGGCGCTCCCTTCTGGGATATCCACCGACACGACCTCATCGTTGCCCTTCACAGGCGCGCGCTCGAGTTAGGCGCGGAGATCAAGACCGATGCGAAAGTCATCGACGTCGGCTTTGACGCCGGAAGCGTGACATTGAAATCCGGCGAGACGTATACGGCTGACCTGATCGTCGGCGCAGATGGACTCAACAGCCTTTGTCGCCAAAGATTTGTGCCGACCGAACTGCCCGAACTCACAGGCGACATGGCGTTTCGAGTACTTCTGGACGTTGCGGACTTGCCAGCTGATGATCTTGAGTTTCAAGAGTTGGCTTCGAATCCGCAATGCACGTACTGGCTTGGACCGAGTGGGCATGCCATTGTGTACGTTCTCAAGGGCGGCCGACAGATCAATCTTGTCGCCGTGGCCCCAGATGACCTGCCAATCGGTGTGATCCGCGCGCCGTGCCAGGTCGAGGACGTTCTGAAGATCTTCAAAGATTGGGATCCGTTGTACGTATCGACCAGACTAGTGTTCCTTGCTGAAACATCCCTAACTCTGTGGTAAAGGCTTCAGAAGATCATATCCCAAGAAAAAGTGATATGGAAATGGAAACTACACAAACGACCCTCCCTGGACAAATGGTGCCATCCCTCTGGCAAATTTACATTGCTTGGGTAAGTCCAATACGTTTCCAAGGAATTATATGCATATACTGATGGGAACTCAAGGGACGCCGTCCACCCAACACTCCCATACCTCTCCCAAGGTGCGGGCATATCCCTCGAAGACGCCGCCGTCCTAGGCCACATTCTGGCACAACGCATTCCGCTCTCCGAAGCAATAGTCCAGTACGAGGCGCTGAGGCGGCCGCGTACAACGAAGATTGTCGCTGCCGCTACTGCGCAACAGTATTGGTATCATCTACACGACGGAGAGGCTCAGCAGCACCGAGACGCCATTATGGGCGCAGAGATATCGTGTGAAGGTGATCCTTTTCTGTGGAGGGAACCCACCTTTTCGCCCTGGTTGTATGGGTATGATGCTTATAAGGAGGCGGAGAAGGCTGTAGAGCAGGGATTGTCTTTGGGGTTTGCGAATGGAACTGCCAACTAGGCTGTTGAGATAGTGTGATGATTTGCTTCGCGAACGAGTGAATGGCAATTGATAATTGCATTCGGTGCAGTGGAAATTACTTGGAGGAAAACACTCAGCATCTAGAATCGAAGGTTGACTTGAAGGCCCTTCATTGAAGCTCTTTATCATTCGGAATCCATGCCAGTAAATACACGATACTGTACAACACCGAGCTCAATCCCCGACGATGGTATTGGCCGCTTCCACAATTGCCTTCTGGCTCCTGTCCTTATGCCGCTCCATGGCTTCCACCTCTTGCCACTTAGCATCGACATCATGCTCCAGAATCCACCAATTGATAGTAAAACGTTCCCTATATCTTCTGATCCACTCCTTCTCGTCGGACCCAGCGGCCGCAACGTAGGCAGTGTCCAGCTTATCCAACTTGATCTGCTCCTCGACACGGGCGAGAAAGTGTCGTCGTGTTTCATTGTACAACCGTAACGCATACGGCACATCGTACGGCGCTGTACTCGCCTCTGAGATTGTTGAGCTGGACTGATGAGTCCGCCAAAGTGAAAGGCAAAGCGCTCTGACGTCGCTGAAGGCGAAAGAGCAGCCAGCACCGTAGGCACCGGCTGTGGCTATAAGAAAACATGTTAGCTTAAGGACGGAAAAGCAGTGGTTGTTGTCTCCCGCTTACGGTGTGCAGCGTCTCCCACGAAAGCAACAGCATCGTCACGAATAAGGTCTCTCATCCAAGGTGATGATTGCAATGGGTAGGCTTCGACATTTGGCAAGGCTTTTACGACCTCATTAATAATCGGATCCCAGTCCTGAAAGACGTCAGCCGAATGATGTATGGCAGAGCTTTGCAAGGAGGACTTACTTTGAAATGTTCCAAGAGTCGATCAATACCCGCTTTGCCCATTGAGTGACGCCATTCCAGCGTTTTGGCGTATTCTTCCGACTCAGAAGCCATGGTCACGAAGGAGTATACTCCGGGTTCTGCAACGGAATCGTCAGCGCAACCACAATACAATGATCTGATCATCCATACCTAGTTTCGAGAGAAAGACGACTTCTCCATTTCTGCGCCAGGATGACGTGTCATCTGGCAGACCTTTGATATGTTGCACCAGTTCCATAGGAACATTCTGCCGATATGACACACGGCCTCTGTAGGCGATCGTGCCGTCAGGCAGGTACTTCCTCCTGATTTTCTAACCAATATAAGCCGACTTGGACATATTATGGTGACCGCGTAGAACTCACAGAGTACAGGCCATCCGCTGCCACGACCAGATCGGCCTCCTCAACCCGGCCGTCTTCGAAGACAATTCTCATGCCGCTGGGTTCGTTCTTTTCCACTCGCAGCACGCTGCTGGAGTAGTTTATCACATCATCGGGGACATCTCTCACGAGCAGATCATGCAGAGCAATTCGACTGATGCGACCCTCTTGCATGTGCCTAGGTGTGTGCGGCGACAGAGCATTTGTTAGGATCTCGCCCGTCCGCCAATGACGATGATTGATGCCTTCACAATCGTCCCCACGGTAGAGAAGGTATTGCAGTCTCTCCCACGAAGCGGGTGATAACATTCTTGACAGCGACCGCATAGCTGGAAGGGACGTCAGCGTGTGCAAAATGTATCATGCATGTCGATCTGTGCTCGATCCTATAGGGGAAATAGGTGCTGTCTCACCAGAAACCATGACTCCTATCAAGGCTCCCGCCTCCCTGACCTTGTCCGACCTTTCATACACCTTGACGTCGACGTCCGGTAGACGTGAAAGAGTCCCTGCGGCTGCTGCTCCCGCTAGACCTCCTCCTATGATGCTTCACTAGTGTTAGCATGTGACTGGCTCTTGGACTTGGACTGGATCTTACGCTATTTTGAGTGGCGGCCGTTGACCTGTTGTCTTGGGTAGTACCCCTGGATAGACGCCAGTGATGGGGTAGAAGTGGTTGGGACGACCACGGCCAGGAGTAGGCTCGACATGGCCACGGATGTGGATGCCGTTGATGCCGTTGGAAAGTCCTTTGTAGTCTTTCGGCAACTCTTTGTGGCCATTGACAACATCAAGGTCGTCCTCTACCTGGTACCCTAATGAGCCCATGGTGCAATCTGTCGGCCTTCTTTCAGCACTTTAGTTGAACGAGGTGGAAGACTGGTCGATGTTGGAGATAACAAGCGGCAGGGTTGTTCCAGTCAAGATCAGGTTCTTGAATGTCCATGGTAGATATCAGCATCTCTCTCCGCTGCATTCGATGGCACCGACTGTACATCTTGGCAAAGGCCGACTCTTGCTGATAAGCCTATCTCGTGGCATCTGTCTGGGAGGATGCAAGCATGCGGAAACATCCCCGCTATACCACACAGTCTGACTTTCCTAGTTGAAGTCTCGCGCCGGATGCATCGATAACACGATTTGACGCTAACCGGGAAGCCGGCACCGGGATCCACCATTGGCACGCGGATATCTGCACGCATATCAGGATTGCCAACCTGGCAATGTTCCTCGTGGACCAGGCTCCATGCTGTGCGCCTGGTGAGTGCTCCTGTCGTTCGAGACAATCTGTAGTCTGGCGGAGTCGCCGTCGTCGTTGCTGGGCCCTTACTCGTCAATATTTCAGCCTTGCGACCTAAGGGTGCATTTGTTCTATATCTTGGCTATACTGTAGTCTACCCTAAAGGTGCCTATGCGTTCCGCCTAGCAGGTTGAGCCACGATATCAACTGAACATGCTTGAGATTCACTGCACTGGAACTCCTTACCAGGTATGCTCATTGGCCTCAAGTCATCGGACGGATGGCCCTGATACGGATTTTCATACTCTCCAGAAGCTGATCAGTATCAGATTGGGTTTCAACATGGCCAAGGAGCACGCACGAAGATCGAGAATGGCCTCAAGTTCTACGAGTCATTCTTTGCGGAGAAGACTCGCATGAACTGGGCTACTGCAATCTCGAAAGCCGAACTATTCTTGCCGTTCTTGGAGCATGGCTGGAAGCACCTGCTAGAAGAGTTGAAGGGCACGTCGAGTAATGTTGAGTATGAAAGAAACGTTCGCTGACTCATATATCCAGGAGTTGCGGATGGAGCCGGAGTTTTATTTGGAAGCATTCTAGCACTGAATGTCCGAACGGAAATATCTATGGGCATGATGAATGATGGTTGTACCTCTTTGGCTTGGAAAACTTTAGATGTTTCGTACCTGGCACAGAATTGGGACGTATGTTGTTGACCTGAGTCTCGCGGGATTGGAACTGACTGAGCCAGTGGGAGCCGCCGCAACAAGATAACCTCATCGTCCTCCACATCAAGAGAGATGCAAAGCCGTCTATCAGTCAGGTCACAGAGGCGGGAATCATCGGCAAAGTCGGCCTCAATTCGTGCGGAGTTGGGGTATGTCTGAATGCCATCAGGGTAAAAGGGGTCGATTTCAATCGACTGCCCGGACATCTCGCACTCCGAGCGGTGCTAGATAGCAAGTCCAGGAAGGAGGCAGTGAACGTCCTGAAGGAAGCAGGTGTCGCTGCAGCCATCCACATCCTTGTCGCAGATCCTTCGGGGAGCACCTCGATAGAGGCCAGCTCGCGCGACCTGGTCGTAACGGACGCAGTGGGTGGCAGAATCACGCACTCGAACCACTTTTGCTGGCCTCACGCTCAGGGTGTGCCGGTGACTGTGGCCGCGCCAGATTCTTTGGTAAGACTTGAGCGTGTCAATGAGCTTATGGATTCGGTCAGCAAGGGCGGAACTCCAGACCGCTTGATGCTGGAAAGCATGCTGAACGATGAATACAATGCACCGTTTGGTATCAACAAGGCTGGCAATGTGGAGCAACCACTTAGGACGTTGTTCAGCATTGTCATGGAGCTCAGTTCAAGATCAGCACGTGTGAGATTTGGCAGACCAACAGACGATGCGGAAACCGTCGCGCTATGTCCAGAGCAATCATGAGATTGCATGGTACAGTAAACCTGGTCTTCAAAAGCATAGGCAGCCGCACTTCACTTCGTAACGTGAAGCATCTTATCCACCCTGGAGTCCTCAAAATTGGTGGGAAGAGAAGATCCTTGACCACCGAGTGACATTGACCCTGATCGCAAGGAATCTAGACCGAAAAGGAAGGTACAGCGAGCGTGAATGTCCTTTCTAGATGACTTCACATTCTCAGCAATCGTTCTTTACCATTGCAATGACATGGTATTCTCGTCCTTCCGTCTCCGTCTCCGTCTCGTATAATGTCAGTGTGGCCGCTCCATTGGTAAGTCCATTTCAAATTATCTCATGATCGGCACATGCGCCTTTCAAGCGACCATTGTCCCGGTTCACAGTCTTCCGATCTCAGGGGTTCTGGCGGCACGCAGATATCCTATCTGACCTATCTCTATCTGGCCGCCAACCTCACAGCGAGTGATTCCGACCATGCAAGTCGAGAGTGAGGGACATCCACTTGTTCCCGATTCGGGTCCAGAAGCTCGCTTGTGGGGACAATCACCCTATCTCCACCACTATTGCCAGACCAGTGTTCAGAGTTCATACTCCGTATGGAGTTTTCATCCACTCAATGGGGGATCAGAGGTTATCAAAGTTTATCAGAACCTCGGAGACATGTACGTGAGTATCGCATTACCAAGCAGGTCGTGCTGTGCAGAAATATGGTATATCTACAAGCGATTGTCTGTCCTTGCTTGTAGCATTCAACATCCCCTTCAATCCCTTCGAACCCCGTCGTGTACCTTGCCCATCACATCCTCAAATTCAAGTGACTACCCAACATGTCTGAATTCAAGTCCAAGTCCATCGAGGACGCTGTCCACCCCATTGCTCCCTCCCCTATCGAAGTTGGCAGCACCTACGACATGATCGACCCCAAAGCCGAGAAGAAATTGATCCGCAAGATGGACCTGCACATTGTGCCCCTGATCGTCATTACCTACATCTTGAGCTACCTTGACCGTACCAACATCGGCAATGCCAAAATCGCAGGCATGCCAACAGACATACACCTCCACGGAACTCAAATCAACCGTGCGTCCACACCCGGACCAGTACTTCTCAAAGTTCATACTGATAGATCTCTTCAGTGGCCGTTTCCATCTTCTACGTAACATATATCATCTTCGAGATCCCCATCACTCTCCTGGTCCGAGTCATAGGACCTTCGAGACTGAGTAAGGCCACAGTCCACGATGGCTCTTGAACTCCCTGCTAACTCCGCAAGTCCCCTGCATCCTCGTCTCCTGGTCCCTCGTCACCGCCTTCTCGGGATTCGTGTCCAGCCCTGGCAGCCTCATAGCCTGCCGGCTGTTGCTGGGAATGACCGAAGCCGCCCTTTTCCCAATCCTCAACCTCTACGTCACCCTATTCTGGAAACGCGAAGAAATCGCCAAACGCGCCGCAGGGATATTCATCGCGATCGCCCTCTCCGGAGCATTCGGCGGTCTTTTCGCCGGCGCCCTTACGGGCATCGACGTCCACGGCTACCATGGCTGGCGCTGGCTGTACTTCACCGAAGGAATCGTCTCCTTCTGCTGGGCAATTGCAAGTTTCTTCTTGTGGCCTGACTCACCCGATACAGCATACTTCTTGAACGCCGAGGAGAAGCAAATGGCCAAAGGTCGCATCGAAGCCCAAGCTAAGGACGGGCCCTTCGAATGGTCCCAAGTCACCGACGCATTCAAGTCGCCTATCTGCTGGCTTTCAGGCTTCATCCAAATGTGCGCCGACACCTACAACTACTCGATCTCGACGTTTCTACCGACCATCATTAAAGGCCTCGGCTACACCTCCAAGCAGACCCAGTACCACACGATCCCAATCTACCTCGTAGGCGCTGTCGCATTCTTCGGCTTCGCGTGGCTGGCGGACCGCACGCAACGCCGTGCACCAATCATGCTGTTCTTCCCACTGTTCACTATGCTCGGGTACGCTATCCTCCTTGGCTGGAACGTCGCTCCTGGCGCCAAGTACTTCGCCTGCTTCCTTATCGTCACATTCGGGAGTGTCCTGCCCGGTCTCAATATCACGTGGCTCAACGGCAATATGGGACCGCGGTACAAGCGTGCCACTGCCTTGGCAATGAATCAGACTATCGGGAACTTTGGCGGTATCATCTGTGGACAGATATACTTGGACAAAGAAAGTCCGCGATTCGTCACTGGTCAGGCTGTTGCTTTAAGCTGTTGCTGCCTATCTTGGTCGGGAGTCTGGGTCATGTGGTGGATGTTGAAGGCACGTAATGATAAGAGGGACGAGATGGTGCAGGCTGGTCAAGAGGATACTGGTAAGGGTGACGAGAGCATCTACTTTCGTTATCAGTTGTAAGTGTGGGGAGTCTGACTGGTGATACGCAAAGGGTGTCATTGGGAGTGCCGTCATGAAGGTCATGAACTCGTTGTATATCATCCTCAAGCCCTCCCAGCATGTTCACGTCGTCATTGTATGGTCTGTACTCTATTTGGGCATTGTTGCTGGCGTGTCAGTCGACCCTCCACTTGTTATCCCAGATGATCTTGTCGCAAAGATACAGAGCACCGTCAGTGGTAGAGCTAGGCTGGCAAACCCTACTCGTGGACGATCCTCCGGATGCTACTGCTCGACGGTCATACATAATTACGGGGAATTTCTGCCCAATACGAACGGACATCCCTTTCATTGACCTGTAGCCAGAGCTTTTCGAGGATCCAAGACTCGGAGCCAAGGTTGCTGCAATACCTGGGACGTAGGTACTAAGATCGTCGACAGAAGGATCAGTTTGCAGCGGCGATGTGGTCCTATCAACGTTGACTGGACGTAACTCGGCAGGCCAGTTGCCGTCCGCTCTGAGGAAGGTATTCACCTCTTCCATAGTCATGACGTCGCCGAGAAGCGCCGCGATGCCCACAAGGCTCTCATTGCGGACAAGTTGATCACATCCAATATCGTCCCCCGAAGCCGCGGCCAACTGAGTAAGGTAATAACTTGATGAGGTCTTCATACTCGTCCATGCGCGATGTGCGTTGGTAAGCAAGCCTACGGAGTTCTGTGATTGTCTGGGGAAGCAAGTTCGAAAGGGAGGAGCTAAAGTCAGTTAGTGCTGTTGGGGGCGCGAGGAAGCTGTCCGTCATAACAGGTTTCGTGATAAAGCCCTTTCTCCATCCAAAAAGGAGGAAGCACACCGCCGCCACCGTCCTTGCGGATACGCAGTCCCTCATGGCTGCGCCTCTAACAGGACCACAAACCTGGCCTTTGTCAAGCGTGAGCGTTTGGTCTCCGTAGGCGTTCTCCAAAATCAGGCAAACAAGGACCTGAACTGTACCCTTCTTGGCCACCCAACGTTCATCTGAGAACAACTCATCGCTAGTAGGGTGCTCCCAGTCTTCCCTGAACAGTCCCTCAATCTTGGTCCTGTTGTTCTGGGTATATACTTCAATGAGTGACAGTGCGCCGAGGAGTGACTGCTTAAGACTCTCGCAGCGGTATTGATGGCTCAGGATATCACTGGCAGATGCGTTGTAGAAGTCAAAAAATGTCCTTGGGCACCGATAAAATCCTTCTTGTAAAGCCGGGTTGAAAGCCTTGATGGCCCAATACGCATCAACCTCGAACTCCTCGTTCTCGATATCCACATCCATGCTGTCGAGGTAGGCGCGAATCTTTAGCTCGTCGTTGCAATATGGGTACATCTGCCGAAGGTCTTCGACCACCACGTGCAGCACACAGAGTGCGCCACGTACGAGCTCCCTCTGCTGGCCAGTCACGGCAGAACGGACGCAGTTGGTGACAGCATATGCAATTCGGCATTTTCCTTCAAGGCTGAACTCTTTGGAGTCACTTACTAGTAGCCGGCGGAAAATCTCGAAGAAGACGTCAAAGGCAAGTGTAGAACTTTTCAACGCGGACAAGACCAATGCCATGTTGTGCAGCTTCCTCAACTGAGTCAATTCAGTCTCGTCTTGTCTATCGAATTGTAGCAGGACTCTCCGGATTGCATCAGATATTGTATATTGCGGCAACTCGAGCCAGGGATCGCGCCTGGAGTGGTAAGACGACAACAAAGCCGGAGAGATCTCAACAGCATTCTGCTGGCTATTTATGACTGTAGTTGGTGTCGTGATATGGCTACCGGTAGCTTGGCGTGAATTGCTGGAGCTTTTATGGCCTCCTTCTTCTCGGTCAGTCTCTGCAGCTGCTAGGTGGTCCCGAGCCGCGGAAGTCGTTGCAATAATTGGGGTGGCCTCTTCCGTGTTTTGCACGTCCTCAGTCCATGCATAGAGCAGCGAAACAGGGTCTTCGTCCAGCTTCGGAACCGCGCCTTCGAGGCCGGCTCCTTGCTCAATATTGGTCTGGCTGTGAGTCGGCACGACTGCCTGCAATGAATTATTGTCTTGAAAGTCTGACCAGGTCTTGCAGTCCTCCGAAGCAAAAGCTGCATCTTGGGGCAATGGTGGTCCCATTGAGTACCCGGCGTGAGGCGCTGGTTCTGGATGAGCCTTCAGACCTTTGTTGTCTTTGGTGAGCCCCCATTGCTTCAGGCGCCTTTCCAGTTGACCTCGAGTAACGTGAACGTCGGCCTGATTGAGCCGCCCTAAAATCATGTCATGGGTTGCGCCGAGTTGGTGCATCTCTGTAATAAGGGGTTTCAATTCGTCCCATTTTGTGTTGGGTAGTTGTTGGTTGTAGCGTGAAGTTGTAGGGTCTTGCAAGATGAAAGCATCATGGCGGACACTTTGGGGGTCGGCTTGTGGCACGACCATGACGGCTGATGCCAAAGTGTTGCTTTCGTGGTGAATTGAGTCGTGCATGCATCACAAGTGGCAAGCTGGCAGGCTGCAATAATATGTACTTTTGGTCAAACATTATCATGGCTGTTGGTCCCACCCAACGAGGAAATGTAGAATCAAGATCAGAATCTGTGAGGATGAGAGTCGAAGTGACGAAGTGGACCCATGTAAAGATTCCATGATTCCCCGGTTGGGTATAGTCTGAAATGCCAGTTTGCCCATTCCCTGTCCACGTTAGCGCAGCCTTACCGGTCAAGATCCAGGCGCAGCGCTGAGGTCATCAGAAAGCACTTTCTTAAGCGAGCAGGATCGGAACAAACATGTGGGAACTCTTTGAAAATATCGCGTTGCGAAAACAGTGCATCTCATTCGCCATGCCCGAGATCTTCATCTATATCGAGGAATCGAGGCGCATATGTTTGAGACGGTGCAAAGACTTCGCGATGAGATCGTGAGCGTGCCGAAATCCAGATCTACTTGCCGCTAAAGCGACGCTCAAGATATCGAAGAACTGGGTATGAGCACCCCGCGAAGATGAAGACGAAAAAGACACCCAACTCTCCACCCATCTCACCGATCTGCCGAGCAACGACACCGACATACCAGGTTTGATTCATCCCCAACACCGCGCCAACGATGCCAAGGAGGAAACTCATGACCGCGGCCGCTCCCCAGGGAAGCTTGCTAGGGTTTATGTATGCTTCGAAGTCGTAGCCAGATTTGCGACGAAAGATGAGGTCTTCCTCAAGAACGATGATGAAAAGTGCACTCGTCCAGTACCCGATGACGCTGAGGAAGTTACTGATGATGGTCATCAGATTGCCTCGGCCTGCAATTCCACAGACTGCGTAGATGATGACTCCAAGCAGCGTCCATATGAGTCGTGGGATCACGGCGAGTCTCGGGCTAAGTGCTTGAATCGACAAACCGGCCGAGTAAGTGTTTGGAATGTTGTTGCCAACAAGTCCTACGCCAGGAAGTTAGTACTGTGGTATATGAAGAAAGTTTGCTAATTCACCTAAGAAGAAAATGACCATCAGGAAGGTGCCGAAGCCATGGACCGGCTTGAGAACGGTGCCGATAAGGGCCCCATAGCCCTGGTCGTAGTACACATCCACCCATTCCTCATTGGTACCAAGGGCACCACCGATGGCCAATCCGACTGATTGAAAGAAAACCATGGGCACAACAATACCAATCCAGGTCAGTGAAAAGGTTTTCCATCGCGGTGTCGTGTCGGGGTAAGTGATATAGTAGTCGCTGGCGATTGGCAGGAAACCCGATGCCGATCCGAAGCAGATCGTGAACATGGTCAGCCAGTTTCCGGCAAGGGTGGTTCCCGAGTATAAACTGGGAGCGCCAGAATCGTAGTGCTTAGCGCCAACGGCGCAAAGGATAATCGTTGCAATGAATCCCGGTATGAAGGCGTATCTCTCGTAGAAGTGGACAATGTTGTAGCCAAAGCCGGCAACGACGAATGACAAGATCGACAAGATGATGATCCCCACGACCACTGGACACGAGTCATTGGAGATGTATGCGAGGATCTGTCCTCCGACCACGACACCCACTAGACACCAGCCGAGCTCGGTGATGACGTTGACAAGAGCGACGAGTCTGGAGCCATACCAGCCGAAGGAGAAACGCGTAAGAATGATCTGTCGAAGACCAGTCCTGGGACCGAACGTGCCCATGAAAGCGGCGCAGGCGGCACCAAGCACAGTACCGAAGAATACTGCTAGAAATCCATCTGTGACGCTCAATCCCAACCATGAAGGGCCAGCAAGCAAGCCAGTCGCGACCGTGGAGATGACAGCAGAACAGGAGAACCACAACAACATCATGTCAATGTAGTTGAGCTTGTGGTTGCGATCTTCAGGAGGGCATCGGTCAATGCCACGACTCTCAATGTGTAGCTTCTGGTCCAGGTGGAGGGAATAAGCCTGGATTTTCTGGAGGAATGACATTTGGCCATGAGACCTGACCTCGCCGACTCCATCTTCAGAGTTCGGCGTGCCTATAACACTGGCATTGTTGTCGGCTTCTTTTGAGTGCTCGAATGATGTCGCGTTCAGGCTGGGGATATGTGTTTGAGCCATGGTACGGTTATGATCTCTGGATATTCTGTTAGCCGGTTTCTGGTGGTGGTCATGAGCAAATACTCACTATTCGCGGAAAGAAGTATGGCGAGATTGGTTCGAACAACCACCGCTTATGTGCTGTTTCTGAAAACGAAACGAACTCGTCAAGGGCTGCGGAGTCGCACATTACAAACGAGTCGGCGGCAGATGGATGATATAAGACAGTCCCCCACGCTCGTCTCCCTGGCTCGCATCTTCGGGGAACACTATCGAGATCCTGACGGGCGTCTGGACGTTAGCACAGGGTCAGTGTAGTGCCACTAGTTTCCCCTCTCTGATAAGGTCTTGGTATCCCAGTTCTAGATCTCGGTGAGTGCTAGCCTTATCACTCATGCAACTAACCATTCTTGGAAGGATAGTGTCAGGTTACCTTGAATAGGAATGTTCTAGATAGGAAATAAATGACCTTACCTGCTCTCTAGAGTAGGATGTCTCAACTTTTTCCCAATGCGTAAGCGGAGAAAGCGATAAGCTTCGCCCTGAATGTCCCGGAGAAGTGCGAAGCAACATCCGAGCTTCCAACTAATTCACTGGGCATCTTCAATGGTTCTTGTAATGACCTGGATTTGTCAACGACACTTGAGCGATTGGGGCTGACACCACGACATTGATGTTACTTCGCAATTACCCAGCACATTATAAGTACTAATATTGGCTGCATGCCTATACATTAAGTTGTGGGCATCGAATGCGTCTCGTGTCCCAGTCATCATCCACCAGAATCGATCAGCCACCATGTCGACTACCATGGCAATCACCATGACCACCACCACCCGAACGCTTCCGGTGGTAGATATCAGTCCATATTTAGATCCGAGATCAACATCATCACAGCGGCAACAGACAGCATCTCTGCTGGATCAGGCATGCCGAGAGTTTGGCTTCTTCTACTTGATCGGCCACGGTGTCCCGGAAGAGGTCCGTCTCGAAATGCTACAGTTAGGGCGTGAGTTTTTTGCACTCCCAGCGGCCGAAAAGGAAGCCATATCGATCTCGAAAAGCATTGATAAAGTGCGCGGCTACGAGCGACTCGGCGAAAACGTGACTATGGGAAAGCGAGATGTCCTTGAAGGGCTCGACATTTATCGGGAATTCCCCGGCGAACACAACGCGCGGTTACGGGGAAAGCAACTATGGCCGGAACGACCGTCACATCTCAAGGAAGCCACGCTGAACTACGTTGATCAGCTCACTAAGGTCGGCAAGGCTCTGATGTGCGCCATGGCCGATGCTCTAGGAAAAGACGGTAGCGAGGAGGCGTTCGACAAGCTCACACAAGATCCGTTCTGGGGCCTGAAGTTCATCAGATATCCTCCTCTGAGCACAGATGAAATCGCGGACAATGAAAAGGGTATCTCGTGCGGGGAGCACACCGATTATGGTGGTTTGACCTTTCTTCTGGCCGATGAGCATGTGAAGTCGGCACTGCAAGTCCAGGACCACGAAGGTGGATGGATCAAGGCAGATCCCATGCCTGAGGCATATGTCGTGAACATTGGTAAGTATTGAAGTCAGGAAAACTACGAGTTCGCACTAACAATGGCCATCAGGGGACATCATCAACGTCCTGACGAACAACGAATATACCGCCACCGTACATCGCGTCATTCACAATGGCAACCAGGATCGAATATCCATACCATTCTTCTTTGAGCCATCCTTATCCTCTGTGGTCGAGCCTCTCAAAAGTTGTGTTGGAGACCATGGTGTACAAGTACCTGTAAGCAAAGTGAGCTACTACGAACACATGTGCAATATGCTGTATGGAGGAAGATTCGTGGAACCTGGAGCGGCCGTAGAGAAGGTCATTGTCAACGAAATATCTATGAAGGGCTGAGGAGAAGGGACAAAAAGTAAAGTCACCCCTGGAATCTGCAAATGGCCTCGGAATACCAGCTAGACCGAAAAAGTCGGTGATGGGGCTCAACCAAAGGCACGCAAACCCAAGACTTGTCAGACACATGTGGCTCTGTGCACCAAGGGCCATCGGTCGACACAACTCTTGCCATCGACGGTTCCCCCATTTCTCAGGCCTGGGTGTCACTAGTCAGCCCATATCCGGACAAAACTAGCACCTGCTTCCTGCCCAAGGAAAGCCGATCTAGGATCTTACCATCCCTGATCTACCTGGACTTAGCGTTGTTACAGACTTCATAGTGCCGTCATTTGTCATACGAAAAAGTCACAAATTGAGTAGGAGACGTTGATAAAATGCCATTTCGAGCTAGGTTAGGTGGAGTAGGTTTAGCCCTATGGAAAGCACATACTATTACTCAGTCCCTGCATTGCGCAGAGATCAAGCTTCCGACTGAGCAAAGTAGCGATTGCATTCTTGTGTCCGTCTGGCATCTACGATTGACTCGCGTGAGCGCTCGAGATCCAAAATTGAGGTTGTTGAGAATGATAGATAGTCATATGTGGTCAATGGTCTGCTTTTCGTGGGAGCATTTGCCCATTTTCCTTGTTTGCCTTGATTCACTGATGTCAAAGCATCCTCAGATATAGCTGACTAGTAGCTGCAACCATTGACGGTTATTGGGCAGCTCGAGCCTCTTGCTCATCGCCTGGACGAAGTCTGCGTACGTGCTTCCTCAGCGAACATGGTAGAAACCGAGGTTGACGAAGACCATCACCAACAGGCTGAGCCTAGTCATGTCCGTCTGTCACAACTGTGCAGTCATCTAGACATATTCCGGCAATGAGGCTGGAAGAGTACCGCTCGATTGATCTTCTAACATAACTGCATCGTCTGACGGGTCTTTTTTTGATAGCCCACGGAGAGAGCATCGGATCCACACTTAACGGCCACAGCAACCCAAGATTTCTGCCGAAAGTATCTCGTAATACTAGTATCCATCCGTTCATGTACTCCATACGTGCATATATATACCAAAATTCCGTCATTCGTCAGTTCACGCTCGCCTCGGCCAACTCGAATACTGAACAGTCACCATTCAACCTCCAACAACTGAAATGCCTATTCCCACAGTTAAACTCGCCTCTGGCGCCTCGGTGCCCCAAGTCGGTTTCGGCCTTTGGAAAGTGCCCAACGACACCGCCTCGGAGATCGTGTACAAGGCCATTGAGAACGGCTACCGCCATTTCGACGGTGCCTGTGACTATGGCAACGAGAAGGAAGTCGGGCAAGGATTCCGCAAAGCCATCAAAGACGGCCTAGTCAAACGTGAAGACCTCTGGATCACATCGAAGCTGTGGGCGACGTTCCACGACCCAAAGCACGTCGAGGCCGCCGCGAAGAAGACCCTGTCCGACCTGGGCATGGATTATCTGGACCTTTATTTGATCCATTTCCCCCTGCCCTTACAGTACGTTGATCCCGCAGAGCGATACCCGCCCGGATGGTCGATCGCGGCAGATAAATGGGAAACCAAGACTGCTGACGTCCCTCTCGCCGATACGTGGAAGGCGATGGAAGCGCTGGTGGACCAGAAACTGGTCAAGAACATCGGCGTTTGCAATTTCCAGGGTGGCCTGCTGCTCGACCTGACTCGCTCGGCGAAGATCAAGCCTGCGATGCTGCAGATCGAACATCACCCCTACCTCGTCCAACCTCAACTCTTGGACCTCTGCAAAGACCTTGGCATCGCCGTCACGGCTTACTCAAGCTTCGGTCCAGTGAGCTACCGTGAGATTCAAAGTCCCAAGGCTGCCGGAACTCCTCTGCTGGCCGAAAATGAGGTCATCACCAAAAATGCCGAAGCTCACTCCAAGACTTCCGCCCAGATACTGCTTCGGTGGGCTGTGCAACGGTAAGGATCTCCTCGCTTTCCACATTCCAAAGAAACCCCTCCTTTCTGGAGTGCCATTCCCACGAAATGAACATTGACTAACAAATTTTTGCCGAACAGAGGCTTGCTCATCATCCCCAAGTCCAACAGTGACGATAGACAGAAGCAAAATCTCGATCTCTTCAGTTTCGACCTCTCGGCAGATCAAGTCGAAAGCATCAGTGCCCTGGACAAGGGTCTTAGATTCAACGATCCGGTACGTTCTAGCTTCTCTCCTAGAACTCCAGTAGGGTCCAAACTTGACTGACCTCTGTTGCTGTAGGGCGATTATTTGAACCCTCCTCAGCGGATATTTGCATGATCCGAAAACAGACAAGGGTCCAGTGGATGAAGAGCCGCCGCATTCATTGGGTTGACAACGATAAAAGTTTCAAGTGTCTCTATAGATCTCTGGGTCGGTCCCAAGCCTACCCAAAGCAGAAATCGCTCATTGGATTCCTCGTGTCAGTTCGCCGTCGTACATCCAATACGTCGCCCCACCAGATCTCCGTCTCACCGGCATCGGAGTTGCTCCAGAGCTCTTCAAGAATCTCCAGAGCCGTGGTAAACATTTGATACCCATACACTTCGTACCATTTTGCACAGTAACCTCTGATGAAATGCCTATGAGCATCCAACTTCGTCTCGGCACCAGCCAGAAAAATGGTAAGAAGAAGTTGTTTCCGAATAGAAGACGAGTCTTGAATCGAGATGACGTGGTCCATAACAAGCCGGCTCAAATGTCTTAGTCGAGCGTGGTAATTCGTGATTCCTTCAGCTCTTTTGAAAACGCGGAGGATGTAAAGAAGTAGAGCATAACGGAAGGCTTCGCAACAGTGATAGTAGTCCGTGGCCACATTAAAGTAGTCTTCGGCCTCCTCGTCGGGTAGGTCGACCACAAAGTCGTCAGCGGGTGCACCACCCACTGGTTTGTAGTTGCGAATGTTTTCTTCGATGCCGGCAACAAGTTCTCGAAGAGATACAGGCAACTTTCCACTGCTGTCAAGACTTTCGGTGAGGTTCGCAAGCTGGATCATGGGCACAAGAAGCTCTCGAGGGCATCCATTGAGATCGAAGAATCCCCATGATTGAACACCTTCCCAAGGTAGGACAGTTTCGAGGTAGGAGTACGGGAAAATGCACGGACGACGAGACAACAATGCCACGACTCCATCCCACCACATGAACATTGACACTTGAGCTTGTACTCTCGAGGACAGAGACCAGGAACTGACTCCTCCCGCACCCTCCAAGAGATCGTACGCTACTCGAAGATGATCCCTCCAGGTGGATAATGCTGACTGAGTCGCATCCATGCACCAAAGTGCCAGAAGCGTGTCGAGCATACTCAGCCTCCGAGGATCAGCGGCACTCGTCTCAAGGGCATTGCGAAAAAGCTTCACGGCTTGCCCTTGATGCTGAGTCACCTCTGCGGGCGGATGCTCGTGCACTGAAGGCCACTGACGATGATGGCACGCAAGCGCAATGACGGCGTGAAGTAGATGTTGTGAACCTGCAGAAGTGTCTTGTCGATAGCGGAAGGGGTTGATGCCATTGTCAACCGTGATAGGATAGGTGCAATACTCAAGATCGTCTGCACAAGTATGCATTAGTCGCTGCAGTTGATTGGGCAAAATTAGACTCACACATGTCCAGCAAGATGGAAAACCGCTGTGCCGTGTTCTCGAACAAAAGTTGAGGTCCGAGGGAACAATTGAGTATGAGTTGTTGCTCAGGATCGCACATCAAAGTGGACGCCTGTAATGAGTCTGAGGGTTCTTCAACATCTGATTGCCACTCTCGCCAGGCTCTTCCCTCATAGCCACGATGATCGAAAGGACGATTTATGTCAGATTGAGATGACACCATGATCATCTCACCAGCGTCACACCTGACTACCTCCCAGCCATCCGAGGGAATATCATCGTCGCGATCCCCTGGGAGTATCTCCTCCTGATCGCTGTTGTGAGTGACATTTATGCTTTGAAGATCGTGTTCGGCGATCGGCAAGACTTCATTCTCAGGCTCATGGGAAGATAGATCTTCTTTGGGACCAGATCGAAACTGCGAGTTGCTGGCTACGTCAGATGCTGCCCACCGTACCTTTTCGTGATTCTGAGAGAGCTCTGCGACCTCACCCAGCGCCTCTACGCGAGCATTAGGCAGCGGGTATCTTCGACTGGAAGTGGATGATGGTGAGGTGTCCCTCGTCTGCGAGCTCGACTCGGGTCGGTCGCTCTTGTCGACATTCTTTCGACGCTTCGGCAGTATGTTCGTAATGAAGACGAACTCGCCTGGTCTGCGTTTCCGTTTACGACTTGCACCATCATTGGATCTCTTGACAGGGAACCGTTGCTCGGTTGGATTCTCCAGTATTGAGAAACCTCTCTGCCATACCAGAGGCATGGAGTAACCTTGGCAAGTATCGTTCGCATCTTGACATGCACGACAATGGGGACGCCGCCGGTCGCATTTCCGCCTTGCATTGGAACATGCATGACAATCTGATTTGGCCAGGGCCAGAGAATTGGTCTTCCGCGGTGTCGAGGTTGGTGGACTTCCCGGTTGCGCCGATGACATTCTTTACAAGGTTAATAGATGTTATGGAGACTGAATCGTCGCAAGTCATCTGTTATGTTAGTTTTCATCGCGCCTTGCCAAGTTGTATGCCTCGGTGAAGATGGCACGGAGTAGTCCGCGTGCCCTTAAGGGAGAAAGAGCAATATGTGCGCCACGCTGAACACGAAACATGGCGGCTAGAGACGGCTGTCCATATTCATGTCGCATCCCTTCTTGCCATATGGACCTGTCCAACACTATTCTTCCCTTCTCTGCCTCTCAACCTCATCCGCAAACTCTCCCAACGTCCCAAACCGCCATCCGTACCCAACCTCAGCCCGTTCGTGAACGCCAACAACCCCTCCTGCGCTCCCCATGCCCGCGCCACTCCTGTTAATCCAGACACTGCTCAAACCCACCTGTTTCGCCGGTCTTTGATCATGGAAGATACTCTGCGCGACGTGCAAAACCTCCTCCTTATTCGCCCCAGCCTCTTCCTTGACATGCTTTATCAGGTGCTCGAAATTCCGCAAATCAGGCTTATAACTGCCGATATCCTGCGCCGTGTACGCTCTGAAGAAATCAACACCCTTCAATGGACCGGCGCGGGTCTTCTTGAAGCTCTCCGTGTCGACATTCGTAATGGGGATGAGCTTGTAATACTTTGCCAGTCGTTCGCAGGCTTCCACAGTGTCTGGGAACGCAGGCCAGGACCCAATACTCGCTCCAAATTTCTGTGCTTCGGTCCTATCTGTCTCACCAACTTCTAGGCCAAACTCGGACAACAACGTCAGATATATCTGTTCCTGAATCTCGTCGTACTTCATGCCAGGATGCTCCGTCTCAAGGCGAGCTTCGATCTCGTTGAATTTCTCGGCGAGTTTGATGCGGCCTTCTCCGGAGGTGCCGTTTCGATAGACGCTGTGAGGGGAGTCTGCTGGAATTCGAGATACCAACCCTTGAAGGCCTTCGATGATCCCGGTCTCCCAATCAATCAATGTGCCGTAGATGTCGAAAGTGATGACTTTGAAGGACGAGAGGGGTTTTCGAGGCACCGTTGGCTCGGGCATGGGCAATTCTGCAGCCATTGTGATGAGCTTGTGTGACTTCAGCGTCTTGTCCTGCTGGATATTGATTTATCTAAGAATAAATTCTTCGAACTGTTGGAAAGTCTTTCAATGTTAAACGTGTTGCATATATACGTTTTGTTCATATAAGTTGCTCTCATTAATTCATACAGACGCGCCTCTCAGACATATGCCGAAGGGCGTATGGCAAGCATACCATTTAGGTAGTCTACGCCGTCACTTGCGTCACAGCCGGTGAAAGTGAAAGTGGCATACCGAAGTAACCGAGTACGCTCGCGCAAATCGTTAACATGTCTCCCAATCAATTACACTGTACCACAGTGAGCACGCCTTGATTTTGACCTTGAGCTTTGTCATTCCCATCAGTCAACGCCAATGTCAATGTTTCGAGAAGCTTCCCAATGGCCACCTGATGTTGTCGCCTTCCTGTTTTCTCGCTTTATCCGCCCTTCTTGGGTATCTTTAAAATATCTGGTTCTCGGCAAAAATATAGCAAAAGATGTGCATGTCCCGCCCTTCGAAGCAACCGTCAACATGGTCATGAAGAGAATGCGTTGTGGACGGCCCTCTGACGCTTCTAGCGTCCTTGATATTGTCCGTAAGTAACCGGAGTTCCAGCCAAGTCCTATGCGACGGTCAGTCAACTTGGCCCTGCCAGGAATCCATCAGTTTCACCTTTTTCCGCTTCCTCTGTCCACCATACTCATCCGTATCATCACCGCCTTCGGGATCTGAATAACCTTCCCCGTATCCCACAAAACTGTCATCACCATAGCTTCTCTTCTTTCCACGAGTCTGCCGTTTCGCCTCCGCGCTTGGCTGTCCAAGTTGACGAGGTATTCCGTTCGGTACTCGGGGGACTGGTAGTTGGTTGACGACTGGTTGGGGAGGAAGCACGGTTGGCTTCTTGTCAAAGCCCAGAACATCTTCCCAGTGAGCATTGTTCCGGACTGTTCCCGGTTGCATGTGCATTGCCTCCCTCAATTTCGCCTTGAAGTCCGGAGTGGCCTCAATCTTCGAGCCCCCATGCTCTGCCGACCATTGCTCATCCGGTTGCAACCCCCACGGCAATGAACCCACTATGCGCCGTATCTGTCCGGGTTGATCCTCATCCGCATTTCGTTCGCCCTTGACTGGTTTATTCCGACCAGCCAGCCCGAAACTCTTGATCTGACCTTCGTACGACTTCCGCAACTTGTTGATCTTTTCACCTGTCTTCGGATCATTTCGAGCGACACTCCGTAATAATGGACCTAAACCATATAGCGCAAGTAAATGCTGCTGTGGACTGGGCCTCTGTGGCTCGACCTCTGCGATTTCACCTATGTTAATAACCCGCAACAAGAATGATGGGTGGGAGAGCCGGGAGAGTCTTACTGGATCGACAGAGAAGAAAGGCTTCGCCCATATCTTTCTGTATTTGTTCCAGAGTCGTCTCATCCACCGAACCTCCACCACTTTCATGTTGCCCCGTACGCACGCCTCCTGCGTTCCCGTCGTCTGTATCCATTACATCCTGCCGATCGTGGTTCGTGGCGCGTGTGAGTGGTTCCACTTCCATCTCATCTTCTTCATTATCTCTAGTATCATCAAACCTGGCTCGCTTGTCACGATGCAGATCAGCCTCATCTGCGATGTCCATTCCTGAGTTTCCTGTTACACTGTGCGCAGGTGTTGGTAGAGAAGGAGTCATTCGAGAGGAGGATTGCTGTGAACGTGAAGGTGCGCCCCTCGGTGAGCGCGGAGACGAATGACCGGTGACCTCGTCGGTATGCTGGGCATTTCCATAGGAAGAGACATAACTCTTCGTAGCGACTGACATGTACGAAGGAGATATTGGTGATTGAGGTAGATTGTCAGACAGGCGCCGTCGCTTGAGACCCGATCGAGGTGGAGAAGTTGGTGAAGGAGGAATGGCAGCCGATCGGGGTGAGTAGGACATGAAAATGCGCAAGGACGGGCCTTCGCAACGGAGTAGGCGCCACCGTCGACAGCGAACTGTTTGCGAACTGAAGCGCCCTCAGAAGTCTGTCTATTTCTTTGTTTCCTGTCAAGTGGGGCGTGATGGATTCGGAAAGGGTGTCGTAGCGATCGTGACTGCGTCTTCGGTGGTGCAAGGACAGGGTCTTGCAACGCTCGAGGTCGAGGATGTAGCAGGGATGAGTAGGGTGTTTGTCGATAAAGATCAAGTACTGGTATTGGTGGAAGAGTTGTTGGCCCTTTGCGAGTGTCTGGTGATTGAAGATGATGCGAGAGAAGCCCAGACGCAAGTCAGCCACGAACGCACTAGCACTTCACTATTGACCAACAGAGAAGGTTTGCCGACATGATATATGTACTAAGTACTCGCTCACTATCTCGATCATATTCCGGACCCTTTACCAGATAAACCCTACGCTCGGATCAATCTAGTCCTCACTCTCAACATGGTGACGGTAGAAGACAGAGCGCAGATACCGCCTGGTCTTCCCAGAGCCAACCCTACACACTCATACTGGCAGGACCCTCCAGACGAGATAGCAGATTCCCGAACTACTCCCGACCTCCCTCATGAAGCCGACATCGTTATCATCGGGTCAGGCGTGTCCGGCGCAAGTATAGCATACAATCTACTATGTTCAAATCCAAGCCTGAAAGTCGTCCTCATCGAGGCCCGGCAAGCCGCGAGTGGCGCCTCAGGCCGTAACGGTAGGTCTCACAAGCGCATCATCTCTTTCCATTCCTCTTCATGTGATCTGAATCCTGATATACCCTCCAAGGCGGCCACACCAAGACCGCCACATACCGCTCCTTCAGCGAGAATGTCAAGTCAGTCGGCGCCTCAGACGCCATGAAAATTACCCGGCTAGAATACGACACCATGGTCGGCGTGCACGAATTCGCCCAGCAGCACAATCTCAAGTGCGACAATCTCCGATGCCAGACCATCGACGTGTTCTACGACTCAGACCAGTTCAAGAAGGCCCATGCATCCGTTGCTCAAATGGAGGAGCTGATGGGGCCCAAAGCCCCAAAACACACATTCCACGATGCTGAGGATACAGCCAAAACATACTTCTCGCACAATAGCGTCGGAAGTCTCGAATATGAATCCGGCAGTCTAAGCGCCTATAAATTCACAATCGGTGTCCTCAAACTCGCTCTCAAGAAGGGCCTAAATCTTCAGTGCAACACCCCAGCAACATCCATATCCAAAACCCCAGACGGATCATGGACGACCACAACCGACCGTGGGAGCATTACTTCTCGCAAACTCATCCTAGCAACAAATGGGTACACCGCACATTTATATCCTGCCCTGCAAGGCGTCATAGTCCCCTTAAGAGGTGTCATCACAGCACAGCGCCCAGGCCACACTCTGCCACAAACCGGCCTAGACACGACATACTCCTTCGTCCACGCCAGCTCGTTCGAGTATATGATCAGCAGACCCAATGGCACAAAATTCGAAGGCGACATCGTTATAGGCGGCGGCCACCAAGTCGCCAAAGACAACGGTCTCAACGAGTACGGCAACACAGACGACACGGCCTACGACGAGGCCAGCGCCGCGTACCTTCTCGACATTACGAAGAAGGTTTTCGACAAGGGCTGGGGTACAGACCACCCCGAAGGTCAATGTCGCAAGACCTGGAGTGGCGTCATGGGCTTTTCGAGCGACGGGTATCCCTTCGTTGGTCCTGTGCCTGGTGAAGACGGGTTATATCTGGATGTCTCGTTCCAGGGGCACGGGATGGTATTGTGCTTTTTGTGTGCGAAGGCTGTGGTCCGGATGATTACAGGAAATGACGCTGAGCTGGACAACTGGTTTCCCCAGTGCTATCGTGTCACGGAGGAGAGGATGCAGAAACAGTTCAGGGGAAAGTCGCTATCGGGCGCACCAGAGCCGCCTATACAGAACGGACATTAATAGTCGTTGATCATAATAGAGCATAGACAAGAGCCAACGTTTAAACTAACGGGGAGCTGTATAGAATCATGCATGCGAGGAGATATGTAGACGTTGCCCTCCCTATCAATATTGACCCAATCGATACTGAAATCCAGCATATGCCAGACTCAGTGCTCTGGCTGTTATACCAATCATCAAGTCTACCGCAACGCCATGGAAATGCTTTTGATCCCAGAAACGCCGTCTAATGCTTGCTGCTCAACTTTCGAGACAAGGACAAGACCCATGGTATCAGCCTCTGCCTCATCTTCTGGTCCCCTACCATCATAACTCGTCGCATTCGTTTACTGGGTCTGGCACTGAGCCTGTTGAGGACCCTCCTCATCGTCTTCCCACGCGTTCTGTCCTGCTTGTCCACCAATGTCGTCAATATCAGCGACTTCAAACGCGACCTCGTCAGTCTCTTCGGCTTCAATGACTGGTGGTGGTCCTGGCAATAGTTTCCGCAGACTCTCAACCGCAGCGTCATCCGTGAAATAGCCATCTTCGGGGAACAATATTTCGACAACAAGATACAAATCGCCCTTTGCATCTGTTCTCTTCATTGGCATTCCTTCACCCGGCACCTTAAGGACCTCGCCGGGTCGCAGGACCTGGCCTGGGATCTGAGGATGGTTTAATTCAATACCGCGGCCGTCCAAGTGCTTGAGAACAACACGGTGGAAACCAGTCAGGGCTTCTGCAAGTGTGATGTCAAGTTTGGCAGAGAGATCGTTACCAGTCCGCTGGAAGACCTCGTGCGGTTGTTCAACAAGGTGGAAAATGATGTCGCCCGTCTCTTCCGCACCAGGGACTTGATCGGCTTCACCTTCCAGCTTGATCTGGTCACCTTCCTTCGCACCCCGCGGGATATACAACTCCAATTGTTTCCTCTCTTCTGTCGTCCTCTTGCCTTTGCACTTCTTACATTTGTCCTTAGGATTCCAGACTTCACCAGTCCCTTCACAAGCCCCACATTCAACCATACGCTGAGTCAACATTCCCGGACCAACCTGGCTCAAGATCTGTTTGACACCTTGACCCTTGCAGGAAGAACATTCCTTGGGCTTAGCCTTCTCCACGCCACCGGTGCCACTGCACTTCGAACAGATGACGTTCTTGGTGCTGGAAAATTTGACGGTCTTGCCTTTGTAGAGATCCTCTAGAGTGACCTCATATTTCTGGTTTTCATCGGGGCTTCGTCGCATCTTTCTGCGTCCTCCCATTCCACCTCCCATCCCGCCCATACCGGGAATACCGCCGCCCATTCCGAACATGTTCAAAATATCTTCCATGTGGACTTCGGCACCCATGCCACCAGGACCTCCTGAGCCGTCGAAGGCGGCCATGCCATGCGCATCGTAAAGATGTCGTTTCTCTTCATCGGATAGGATTTCATAAGCTTGACTGACAGCCTTGAATCGGACCTCAGCGTCGGCTCTTTGGTCTTCGGGGACTTTATCGGGGTGGTTTGCAAGGGCGGCTTTGCGGTAGGCTTTTCTGATATCGGCTTGAGCGGCGTCTTTAGGTACACCGAGGATCTCGTAGAGATCAATCTCTTCTGGGTTTTCAGGTTGTCCGTTCATGATTGCGGTAGGACGAGGGTTTCAATGTTTTCGGATGTGTTTTTCGCGTAGAACAGTCTGCTGTGGGATGAGGCTTGAAGATTACAAAAGCAGAAATAAAAAAGGTCGTTAAGGCTTCCTGGAGATCTTCACCTGCGAAGTTTGGAGTAGATTTACTTCTAGTTGGGCCGCCCGCCATTTGGATCTTCCATCAGCCGCTAAGTTAAAGGCTTGTCATAGTCAGTGTCTTTCCGCGGACTGTTTACCCAATCAATGCTTCACGCTTCACATTCGTCCGAACGTGAATATTCTCGTGCATTCCAACTTTTTTTCTTCCCGCTTACCATATCTTGCATTCTGGACCAGGTAGACACATGAGGACCGGTCGAACCGCTGGGCTAATCCGCGTCACCGGCTGGATTTGCAGGTCATTTCGGGCACACCAAGCTGCCGGTAAAAGGCGAGCTGTGCCGGCAAGCAGTCGCACCTATTCGAGCACCGGTATCGATATTCCTCCACGAGGCAAACTCCCTGACAAACCTGCACGAACGCGATTCGCTCCATCGCCTACCGGAAACCTCCACCTGGGATCTATACGAACGGCACTGTTCAATTACCTGCTGGCAAGGGCAACAAAAGGACAGTTTCTGTTACGAATAGAAGATACAGATGCAAAAAGAACGGTACCTGGCGCGGAGGAACAACTATACAAAGACCTGAGATGGGCTGGTCTGGAATGGGATGAAGGCCCTGTCGTAGGAGGTCCCTACGGCCCCTACAGACAATCCGAACGACTCCCACTGTACGAACAGCACATCGACAACCTCCTAAGGTCAGGCCACGCCTACCGGTGCTTCTGTCCATCCGAACGCCTCGATGAACTCAATCGACGTCGGCACGAGAAGGGTCTCAGTCTAGGCTACGACCGCAAGTGTCTACAAGGATCCTCAGCAGAAGCCGAAGAAAGAGCGCACCGCGGCGACAAGCATGTCATCCGCTTTCGATCTCCAGACCAATGGCCACGCTACACCGACTTGGTCTACGGTAAGAGTGGACACGGCGCCGAAAAGGCCAAGAAGCTCCTCGTCGACGAGCCAGTCTACGAAGACGCCATCCTGATGAAGTCCGACGGCTACCCGACCTACCACTGGGCCAACGTCTGCGACGACCACGAAATGCACATCACCCACGTCGTCCGTGGCTCAGAATGGATGGCCTCGACACCTCTCCACGTAGCCTTGTACCAATCCCTAAACTGGACTCCGCCGTTATACGCCCATGTACCGCTCCTCGTGGACGAAAATCGCCAGAAACTAAGCAAACGCAACTTTGATTCCGACATTGCGAGTTTCCGGTCAAAAGGCGTTTTCCCAGAAGCTCTAGTCAACTTCGCGGCACTGCTAGGATGGTCGCATACGCAGAAAAATGACGTGCTCGACCTGCCGCAACTCGAATCTCTCTTCGACCTCAGAATCACAAAGGGCAATACCATTGTGTCCTTCACCAAACTAGAATACCTGCAAGTCCGACATGCACGACGCAGGATACAAGCTGGAGGTTCTGAGCTTGAGCAAATAGTCCGTGACCTCGCAGTTGCAGTATTGAACAAGTACGGCGCAGGCCAGGTCACGGCCTTCCTCGGCGGTCGACCTCTCCGTGACGTCCTGGCCTCCATGCTCTCCGTAGAGTCATTCAAGTACCGCTCCGCCTCCGATTTTGCAGACCAGTGCTCGCTCTTCTTCGAACCTCCAACCACAACTCCAAACACATTTGAATCGGCAGGAATCGATATATCTCTAATCCATCCACTACGGGTCGCTGCGTCGACGGTCTGTCTTGTCCCAGTGTCCGAGTGGACGGAAGCGGTCCACTTATCTCAATTACAAGCGTTGGAACTCCCCCCTGACGACACAGTCGATGCTCCGAAATGGAAGAAGGAGCTGTACCACTACTTGCGTTGGGCGCTGCTGGGCGGACATCGGGGTCCTACGATCGCGAAAACGCTTGAAATTCTGGGCAGAAATGCGTCTGTGCAGAGAGTTCAAGCTGCTAATCTAAAAGCTCAGGAGATGGAGGTGGCGAGTAGTAAACCTAAGATTCAGACCGAAGGGTTCAAAGGTGATGTCGATGGGAAGAGGCGCATTGAGAAAAACTGGAAGGGATACAGTCTGTAGAAACATGCCATTGGCGCTATGATACCCATTTGTATAGTTCCAGCTCAGCTCACATGTATCATATCAAGGGCATGATGATTTTGAACCGCCTTCATCGTTCGAATCTAACATCGTTGTCTTATGAACCCTGTGTTTGTGTAGCTTTTGGTCGACCCAGTCAAGAATCTTACATGAGACCTTTCGCCTTGGAAACGCATTTTTCCACGTACTCGGTACAGATCATGCATGATACTGTCCTGCCATGAAAGCACATCCCGCGCGTAGTTGTCGCATCAAGGCGTGATGCTTTATTCCGTAACCTCCCTGACCATCTCCCAGTTCCCCTTAAGATCCTCCTTCCACAGCGTAACCTTATTATCCCCACCACTCACGGCCAGGATATTGCCCGACAAACTCCAACTAACGCGCCACAAGACCGCATCGAATTCAAGCGTCTTCGCAAGCGTCCACGAATTGCTGTCCGCCGGGTTGGTACTCGTCCAGATCTTCACCGTCTTGTCCTGCGATGCACTGGCGATATAAGTCTTGCTCAAGAGCGTCGGACTCCACGCCACGTCCCTTACCCAGTCGCCATGTCCAGACGGTAGAACCAGCGTATTCTCATAGTTTTGAGTGTCCTTGTTGAACTCCCAGATCTTGACTGCATTGTCGCTCCCGCCTGTAACGAAGCGGCGGACGTTACTGGTACCGCCACCGCCGTCTTTCCTGGTGATAGCGCCGGGACTGCCTGCTGGTGCCCAACTTACTGCGTTCACACCCATTGCGTGTGCAGGAAAAATGACGTGAGCCCATTGGTTATCCCGAAATTCGAGGACCGAGACGTTGCCGTCTGAGGAAGCGCAGGCTAGTAGACAGCCTAGCTCGGGAGGTGCCCAGGATACCATGTTCACTGAGGCGGTGTGAATGGTGGATGTGAAGACTAGAGACCATGTGGCTTGGTGGTTTGGCTGTTGTGCGGGAGTCTCGCGGTAGATGTGTACTCGGCCGTCGTACGAGGAGGATGCGAGTAGTGTGCCGAATTTGGGGTGTGCCCACGACACGCACCATACTGCGCCTTCGTGACTGCGGGCAGAAGACTTGTTAGTACAAGAGCTTTCAAACAGCAAGGTACTACCCGCCACGCGATAGCACGCAGCGGGCATAGACATCTTGCGGGCGATAATGTTGTTGCAAGACGTACCCTTTCAACGTCTCCGTTAACCGATGCTGGTCACCATCTATTTCGAAGATCTTGATCGTCTTGTCGCTCGAACATGTCGCTAAACGTCGCCCGTAGTAATCTAACACTGCATCGTGCTATTCCCTGATATCAGCACCGCAACATCTTGCCATACTCGGCTCCACCGATCTCTCGATTGTGTGTTGGAAGAAACGTACAATCATATCATCGTGGCCGGAGTTCGCAATGACTTGCGCCTATTTAAGGTACATGGTCAGCATGCGGATCTTCTCGAGTCTAAACTATTCACGCTAAAACAGCATTGCCAGTATTCCCTTCACTGATCAGAGGCTCTCGCGAAGCCAGATATTGACGTACCATTTTCGAGACACTGCGCTGATCTTGCTGTTGTTTGTACGGAAAGCGTCAAGGAAAGGATCGGAGGAGAAGTGGAAGACACTACCGCATGTCCGGAGGGTAGTTGACTTGGTCTCGAGCTGTAGAATGGAGAGTTTGGACACTGGATGTAATTGAGGACTTTGTGATCTGGCATCAACAGTGTCAGGGACGTGAATTCCCCAGAAAAGAGGGCGCGCATGTTCTCCCGCAGTTCAGCCGCAGTGGAAAGGTCGAGCAAGATCTTATCTTATCTCTCATTCGGGAGGACAGCCTTGCACGTACAGAGATCAGGGGCAAGCAACTCTTCCTTAGGGTTCCCTGAATTGTTGGCTTCCAATGTTGCTTCGCCGACGCTTAGGCTTGACCGTCAACAATCACCATATCTGTTCCTCGTCTTCCTGTTCTACATACTCCAGATCTCTTTCAAAAGCATGAACTTCCCCGTCCAGCCCTGAGAACGCCTTGCCGATGAATGCCCCTGGTCCTGGAACCTTTCTCCTTTGATAATCACACATCTATGAACCGTCCCAATACGAGTGAAAACATGGTGTCCTGCCTCGAAATAGCTTTGAGCAAGTTCATGATGCCAGTCCCAACTTGAAATGTGATAGCTCAATGCAATGCCACAAACCCTCTGCTGGGTTCCGCACCACTTCACAACAACGACTACCGCCCAAGCGGAATGTCGTTTCTGTGCAGAGCTTCCGCCCAAACTGGAAGCTTCTTGTCTCGTTCGTAAAACAGACCACAATTGTTGCACAACGTCTGGAACAAAGTTAGCATTGCAATCCGATAGTGATCAGCAAATAATCGACTCACCCTGGGTCCAAGCGGTCCATCCCGTACCGCCCAGATAGCATTGCCCCAAATGAGACAATGCTTGCATCTCCAAGTCTGTCGTTCATATTCCTGTAGTCGATTGCCCTCACCACCCCAAGCGGCACTCGCCGAGCTGTCGGGCGTTTGAGCTTTGGCAACAGGACTCAAAGACCGGAATCTTCGTTTTTTCTTGCTGCGCTCTCCACGGCCTAGCAATGGTGTATCTTCGCCACCATTTCCAACCGCGGTATAGTCGAAGTAGCTTCCACGCATTTGTGCTTCCTGCTCTCGTGCCGAAGGAACCATACCAGATGTGGAACTGAACTTGGCAGTCTCTCGGCGGAGTCGCCTCAATTGTCGTTCTCTGTCGCCTTCTCTTCTCTCAATCTCCTCCTTGCTCAGAGCTTCGAACTTCGGCTCCCATTCGAAACCAAAATCGTCAACATCGTATCTCCAGCCTGCACCCTCTACAGGGCGGACTGCTTGGTTGTCGATTTCTCCACCAGTCCAAGTGCCTCCTCCAATCATAATCATACCACCTTCGCATGCTTCCTTCTTCAGTCTCAGCACTGCTTCATAGATGGCATGAGTGATAGCCATCACCCACTCGCCATTCAGGCCCATGTCCGCACACGTCTGTTTCGCAAAGGCTTCGGCGGCTCCGGGAGGATGCAGTAACGACCACTCGAATTTGTCCTGGTAGAGTCTGGAAGATAGGTATATCGATAATGTGATAATACAGCGGAAAGAGTCGTCTGGATTTAGGTTGGAGTCCTCGGTTGGGTCGTTTGACTTTTCGATTTGAGGGTCTGCTGGGATGGGAGACGCCACGGCTGTTACGCTTGCGCCATTACTTAGCGTTACAGGTCGTGGAGTGGATGGTGCTGGCGTGCCTGGCGTTGTGGAGGCTGGCCGAATTACTGGAGTACTGATCGAAGGCCGAGGCGTGCCATCACGGGAACTTCCATTGACCAGGGCCGATGGGGTTCCTGCGTTGGTCTCTGGTATTTGGGTCTTTTTCGCCTGCGTATGGAAGAGTGGATGCATCGCAACGCCCGCGTAGTCCTCCAATTGGTTTCGAATCTGCTGGCTAACATTCATCGCAAGCGCGGTCTGATTCGGTAGGTCGAGTTCGCGAACGAAATTCAGCGCAAAGTCGTCAGGTGTTAAGAGCTCTTCATGCAGATTCCAAAGGAAAACATCGCGGATTTTGTAGCCTGGTAGCATTTCTGGCCTCTTGAAGACTGGCTGCGCCGGGTTAATGCCCAGTTCCATCCCACCCCGAGGGAAGGGATAGGGCGAGTCGGGCTGATGAGGTGGAACATCGAGATCGATGCGTATAGGTATTAGTGTGAGTGGGAGTTGTGCTTGAATATGCGCTTGGGCATCGGTCCTAGATTCAGCACCAGGTCAATAATGCTCTGTTTACTTCATGCTGCTCTTTTCGACTTACGTGGGCTTGACTGTCCGTCTGATTATCCAGTCTCTGTAGATAGGTTGCGAATTTACTGGTGCATGTATTTCCTTTCCTAGCTTCTCATGTTGCGGCTCTTTCTTCTCTAGTTCTTCTCGTCGCAGCGATCGCAAACCAGTTGGCCGTCTGGGACCTTCGCTGTCGTCGAAATCATCGTCGTCAAAGGCGTCGTCGGCATAGTTTATTATCGTTGTGCCACGTTTCGTGGTTCGACTGCTGGGTAGGACACTCTGAGTTTGAAGGACTGGCTGGAGTAGGGTATTGGCGTAATGGCGGACTCGTGGGGCATAAGTGGTCACGAAAGATTGCGCGGGAGCCATGATGGATGGTCGCGACGTGGTCATAACATTGTTGAGAAGAGTCCGCAAAGAGGAGAGTCGATGCGCCAATTCTAGTCTGTTCAGTTCAAGGTGCACTCTGTTGTTGGTTGTTGTGCAGTCTGAGGAAATGTTCCTTACAATAATATCCCGGATCGCGAAGTCGCGCAAGGGAAACCACCGAACCCTCGATGGCGCTTTCCGCTCCAAGTGAAGCTAACCTAACCGTGCAGGTGCCAAGCCCATATGCGCGGAAGCTTACATAAGGTGGGTCAAGCCTACATACACCACATGTTCCATCGACTTCATGCATTTTAGCATAGCCAGCTGGCAGGGAAGAGAAGATTGTACATCTACCTTTCGAAAGGGTGCCTAACGTCTTGAATAGGGAGTCTTTTCCTTCAGTCTGTCTCTCCACATTTGTTCCAGGACCTGTTCAACCAAAAGAATATTCATACACTTCACCCTCTCACGTATGCTGACAAGCTTCGTGCTACAGATTGCAATCTCCTCTTTCGATGAGATTTCAGTGCCAGCAAGAAACAAAGGATGCGGCAAGCCGTTCTCGACGACGCTACCACTTGGGATCCGGTTGGTTAAAGATATGATTTGGCTCGCGAGTGCTGTCACATTGTCTTCGTAGCCCTTCACACCCCGGTATAAAAGCACAAGCGCAGAGAAACGGTATGACTCTGCAAGTAGCATAAGACTGAGTCGCGTCTCGGTAGCATGAGATGATGTCTCGATACCTTCGCTCTGGTACGTATCGAAGCGGAGGGTCAATAAATGGTGTTCAAGTTCGAAAAATGAGCGGCTGCCTTGATGGTCTATCCTCCCGGTGGAATCATAGGTTACCTTCACAGAGCGGAGCCTGAAAAGCAAGGAATAGGTCAGTGCAGAGACCTAGATATGGATGCATTGTGGCTAATCCATCTGTAGTTCCCCTGGCGGAAGGGTTTTCTCCTGCTCGGTGTTCGGTTTTCAGATAATCTGTCCATGGAACCTGAGGAGGTTTCAGGGGAGGGTGGTGGTCATGGACCGCGTTGCGATGTTGATAAGCTCTGCCCGTGACGTGGTCCGTTATCAGACTCCTCACGTCATAGTAGAGGAAATGAAGGTAAATGCAGCTTGCTGAGTAGGATTGCCCGCAAAACTTGTTCCTACCGCCAGCTTGTTGAAAAATATTGCGGACACAGTCCAGTTGAGAAATCCATAACGAGAGGCCCGAGCCATTTATGATCTCGAAATCAATGAGCAGAAGAATGACCGAGCAGGACTCTAGAACGTCTCGTTGCAAACGTCCCGCAAGGTTGATTCTTTCTTTGAGAAAGGCATGACATCGAGACTGGTGCCTTTTTGAAGTATCGATAAGCTGTTTCTGGCGATCGGGATCGAAGCATGCCTTGGCAAGGTGAATAGCAGCACAAGCTTGGATGGCATCGGCTACTGTAGGGCGCACGAATGACATCGGAAGATAGACGGTGAGGAAGAAGTTGGCGATGGTATGGATAGCCAAGTTTGGGGATGAAGTAGTGACCAACAATGTTGGAACCGCTGAGGAATCATCAAACACTTCTGAAAGACCAGAAATTTGGGAACTTGAAGGTCTTGACCCTCAAACACGAGGCTACAAAGTAGTAGTCTCAATTGGCATTAATCACTGCTATCCCCAAAGGGTCAACCACAGTATCAACTACTGTCAAGAGACTGACAAGACCATCACAACGTCTCAACAAGCGTCAGCATTACACGCTGGGATGACGACGTCGTCTTCGGCAACATTATGAGTTGGGCAACTCATGCATCCACGACATATGCGAGGGCCCTGTACGTAAATTTGCTAGAGAACAGAGCACTCGATCTATCGTACTACTGTTTGACAAACAAGAAGGATTGACTCTGTTGGGAGCAGAATGCCAACATCTAGCACGATCGCTTGAGTCTGGCAACATTAGTCATCGTAATCACTGTTATTCTCGTATGTAAGTAGGGCTCGCGTCGCACAGAGTATATCCATACCTTCACTCATCTCTCTAGAATACTGCCTCACCTCTCCATGTGACCATGACCTTACTATCTCTCCCACACACCGCCTTCCAGACCATGGTTCAAATCCAGCTTGTCACCAAAAAGTGCAAAAAAACTCCTTGATAGCGGGAGAAAACTCCCCCTTAAGGAAACCCCCCAAGGGGTGGTTATTTTTGAATGCTCCCGCAGAGGAATTGGACCTCTTTTGGGTGTGGTTGGCCGAATGGCTCAAGGGATGGGGCTCTGCTATAGAGACGACACTTTTTCACCCTTTGCTGTGTGTCAAGATTCTTTGAAGTTTAATCAACTAACTGTTTTTTTCTCGAAGGTCTTTTGAGGCGACTAAGTCTTTCATTGCCTGGACAGGGATGGCCAACACCATGTGTCTCTAGATCCAGCGCGGCGCCGGATTGTTTACCGACCACCGACCCAGTTATGGTACGTTGTCCTCGAACTTATCAAGTCAGAGTGAAGCGCCGCGTTTGCATACGACCACTGCCATCCTCTGTAAGTTGACCAATTTTGGACGACTCAAATGTATAAACCTCGAATTAATTCACCAGGCGGAGAGCCGAAAGTGGTAATGAGGTGAGGTACAATTCGACTGGTGGTGGTGGTGGTGGTGGTGGTGGTGAATGCTGCCAGATGTTAGCCAGTCACTTGGGTCTATCAAGGCCAGGATACTTACACCACTCTGCCCGACCACAACTAACTGTTGTGAGGCGCCCAATACTGCTCTGTAGCCGAAGGTCAGAGCAGAGAAATCCGACTGGAGAAGAGGAGCATTGGGAAGGGCAGTCTGAGATGAAGCACCACCGTCTCCAGCTGATGTCAACACCTACGCCATTTTCTGACAGCTACCACTATAACAGGAACACAAACGTCCTCAATCGACAGCGAGCCCTAGCCACCTGTTATAATTGTCGGCATGGTCCTCCTCGTCCTCGTCCTCCCCCTCTTCATCGTCATCCTCTTCGTCCTCCTCATTATCATCATCCTCACCAGCCATCTTCACACCAGTCGGCGCAGACTTCCTATTCGCCTTACTAGCCCACACAATCTCATTCTGCACCATCGGCAGAATCACCCCTTCATCAATGTAGCGCATCGTCCGCGGATACCGATACATACACGGCCCATCTCTACCCTTCGCTCGTACCATCAAGTGGACGATCTCGTCGTACCTCCCTCCATCAACCCACTCCGGATCAACGTTCTGCTGGCGCTCAATAGCCTTCTGCGCGACAAGAATATCCAACATCAAATCATCGACATCCTCATGGAACCAATCACAATCACTCTCATCGCCTTCCACTTTCGCCATGCCCCGATCCCACTCGTGAATAGCAGACTTCGCCACACTGAGCACTGCCGTCCACGCCAACGCCGGCCCATCCACCATGGCACCTCGTTCCATCAGCGCCCTGATATTCGGAAGATGATCTTCCAGCGCGCGTGGCCAGGCACCAAGCGTCACCGTGCTCTTGGACCCCATGCCCTCGGCTCTGCTCGCCAGCGCAGACGCTGTATCCCGAGCTTCTCGCATGATCCGTTCGCATTCGGACTTCGTTTCAGATCGAACCTCCTGCAAAACATCATCCGGAATACCAGCCAAGAAACTATCCGTTGGCTCGTTCAACCCCAACTCCCTCGAGACGATCGGACCTGCCACGGGGTCTCCGAGCAACTTCACCACGAGCGTCTTTAGTCTCTCATGCGAATAGTGCTCGACAAGCTCTTCTGCATCTGATTCCAAGACTTGAACATGTTAGTCACCCAGCAGTCTCGATAGTAGGAGCAGCCATACTGAAGGGTGTATCGCCCTCGCTTATGTTAACGCGCTTGGACGGACCGTCCGGCACATCGCTGTGCATTCTCTTGTGCTTAGTAGCAGCAGGTTTATTGGCTCTTGCAGGCATGTTGACTGTCACTAGCCACTGTGTTGATTTCAAGCATTAAAAAGAATTCGATCCTGGGGGCTCTGTCTCTTAGAACCCGCCGATATTTCTAAGGCCATGTCCAGGGCGAAAAGGGGCATGTAGTCTCGGTTGTCTCTAATCGGTTTAGTGCAGCACTTGTAGAGTGAGATGAAGTTTGGCGATACTCAACCGTACGTGGTCAGTACGGTCAATCACAGCTGCAGGGAAGTGGACAACACACTTTATGTCCCGTAGAGCGATTGAAATGATAACAGGTTGGGTACTTGAAGTTGGGGTGGTCCATTGTATTACTTATAAACCAGTCTCATACCGTTGCGAATACCTCCCATCTTGTACAAAGGCATTTTGTGCAATCCCATGCTCAATCCCTGCTCCTGTCCGCATGCACAAATATACTCCTGAAGAATGCCTGATATGCGAATATCACCAACAGTTCTCTGATAAGACTTTTGCACTCAATTTCGAAGTCAATCGCAACACAGTGGTGTGCGGTGTCACCGCAAGCCAATGACGCTCTGTTGGACACGTGAGTAAATGCGGCACGAGTGTCATGATGGAAGACTTACCATTTCGAGAGTCCACACTCTTCGAATCCATACTTTCACCCTGCCTGGAACGCCTTCGACATCGTCCAGTTCGACGCCTTCCCACCAACATCTTCGTGCTGGTTTACGCCAGAACAGCAACAGTTTTTGCGCCATGCCCACAGCATTGCTTCCGGCTCCCTCGCCTTTGACATCGGTTCGTAGTCTGGCAAGTGCTAAACTGCAAATGACTGCTTTGTTGGGTTCTCCCGCTCGATGGCCCCAAGCATCGTCATGATTAAATCCGCTAGTCGCGTGTCAGCATTTGGCAGCACAAGGAATGTGCGAACATACCCAGCAGTCAACATTTCGATCAGATGTTGCTCTGTGGTGCCTGTTTCTTCGCTTCGCTTCAGGCCAGAAAAGATACCGTTCTGCTTAAGTAGGGATCTTCCAGCTGCTCGTTTGACCTCGGTCATCTCCATCGCTTCAATATCCGGACGGGGTGGAATGACATAGAAGTCGAGATCTTCACGTAGAACTATGATTCCTGCACGGTCTTGAAGCATATCCTTGGTAGATCCTTGTAACGGCTCGATGGATAAAGGATCGTTGTCGGGCGGTGTTGTTGGTGACGGTGATGGTGAAGGGATCGATTGTGCCACTTCACGGAAGAAATGTAACATATATTGTAGGGAAGCAGGGTCATACTGTGAAAGATAAGTTATATCTCCAATATAAATATGAGGGTTGCCCAGCACAGAAATAACGTGAGGGCTTTGCGAGAGACGTACGTCGACAGGGTAGACATCGCCATCATGAAACGAGTTCATGTGGCCATCTGGTAGAAGGCCATTGGGGAACAGAGATAGGAGCACGAATTCAGGTAGAGTCAGCAATTCCTCCCTCGAAAGAGTGAAACGTGTGCCCCTAAATACTTGTCAGCATGGACTGGCCATTTTGTGATCCAAAAGGACGAACCTCAGGTCCAACGTGATATGCTCATCAGCCGCCGCTTCCCCTGCTCCTGCTGTTTATTTTGTCAACATCTATGCGTTTCAATCCTGAAAGATGTGACTGCTTACCTCCAAGTGTGTTGATCGGAGGGCCAGGTGATTGCTGGACTTGTGTGATAATGCTAGCAGCACCGCCGGCAGCCGCCATGATGAAGTTGAATGATTCTAGCGGACTAGAACCCTCGGTGTAAGGTGGTGGAGGCTCTCCTTCGTCTGGCGCTGCTTTTGAAGACTGCGCCTTGGTATCCGGAGGAAGTGCAGCCTTTGTCTCGGCCTCAGCCTTGGACCCGACCTCGTCTTCGGCGAGAGCCTCCTCAAAGGAGGGCGCCGGCGCAGATGCTAAAAGCGAATCGCAGGCGGTTCCTGTAATAGTAGCTCTGATGCGATCGAGTTCAGCGTCGGTAGGAAAGTTGAGGGAGGAAAAGGGCGGTGGTCGTTGAGAAGGAGGACTTGAGGATGATGCTCCAGATCTTAGAGATTGGAACGGTGGAGGAGCGAGGTATATCTGGTCGTCAGAAGTGTCGAGGTTGTTGTATTTCGACAGCGCCGTGGTGGGCGAGTCTCGATGAGGAGACTGACGTGACAAGCTAACTGATGAAGTGCCACGAAGTGCAGCTAATCAAGTGTAGTGCTGCTTGACTTGATTCCCAGCTGATCAGGATAACGGCGCGCGACAACGGGGCATGCGCTGATTAGAATAGGATCGTTCGACTCGGGTCTGGGTGCTGTAGCACCGATTCAGGTCAAATTGTGGGTGATGATGGTGTTTCAGTTCAACGTTTGTTGATGGATTGTGGGATTTGAGGTCTGGAGGTGGTAGATTTAGAGGATTGTTGTTGTAGAGAAGGTACAAAGTACACTAAGCCAATCGTCAGACTGCGCTGGGCAAGATGTGAGGTCAGGCTTTAAGCGCCACACTTTAACGAGCCGCAATTGCAGCTTTGGCAGATTTGACATGGACAGAAAGACAGGCACGATAAGCAGGCACGATAGGCTAGGGGCTAGGGTGCGCCTGGACGCTCCTGCTGGTCCATGCGGGGCTCTTAGATCTCAGTACCTTTTACAAGATCATGATCGATCCTTTGTTGAATCACATACCTAGGTACGAATATCTCTCGACTTTGCCACACATTACAAGATACATAGCGACTCCAGCGATTCGTCTCTCGGATGAATCATCTCATTCCATCCTTCTTCACTGATCAATGTGGTTTGATATCTCCTGTTCCCTGACTTGGTTTGAGTGTATCCCCTCCCGACCCTGGAATCGTGTTGCTTTTACCTTCATGTGGGATGCCTGCTGTCGTGCTCTTACCAGCCGTTGTGGCCGCTTCGTTGTCGTTACTGGTTCTCTTGGCTGCACCAGCATGCCCGCTTGTGCCGATGATCCCTGAGCCCGCGCCCGAGCCAGCTGTGGACGACGGACCTTTCTGTCCCGCGAGTCCGAAAAGAGCGGAGTGTGACTCTGGCATGTTTTTGTTGAGGTGTAAGGTGGGAGCGAGCGTGTTGTCTGAAATGAGGATCTCTTGACGGTCTGGTCGCTAGTCGACGGTATGTGATGCTATCCTTGACTGTAGTGTCTTTGGACTCACGGTATGTTTATTGCAGAAGCAAAAGTCATGCTTGAACCACAGAATCGGCGTACTTATACATGGTCAAAACCGATGACTTCATATATCGTTCAGCTATGTCGTATGAATAGTGTAAATGATGATCAAAGGGACTGACAGACTTCGGAAGCCTTGCCCGACAGTGGGATAGGTCACACGACTCGCGTTGCTTATCATATGGTAAATAGCTGTCCTTGAATCCAAGCCTACGACGATTCTTGGCTCGATAGCATTGGCCAGCCAGACTAGATAAACGTCGTTCTCCAGACGATCAAAGTCTCTCATGCTCGTAACCATGAAGGGTTCCATGCAGGAGGGTTGCTATCACAGCGGTATCTTCTTCCGCACCACAGGGTATACCGCTTTCCTCCGGTTTAAATCCGACTCGTGTTTCCACCAAAGAGTTTGAGGGCATTTCTGTTGCAGAGCTTCTGGCGATCCTCTTCATTAGGAAACACTTCCTCCAAATGCCTCTCGTGCTGGTCTGAAAAGAACACAACGGTCGGCTGTTGTGTGAATGGGAAGTCGCTGCCATACAACAATCGATTCGGCGTAACATATTCCAGGATGCCCTTCATCTGCTCAGGAAATGCAAAACCAGCAGAGTCGAAGTAGAATTGTGTGTTCAGTCTTTCCTTGACCCATTGAGGGTTCACCGCCGAATCGATTCCAGGCATCTTCACTGCCGATGCAAAGCCCGAGAATCTGTTGATTAAAGGAGGCAACGCGCCGGCGACGTGAGGGACAAGAAAGGTGATGTTAGGACAGCGGCTAACCGTACCAGACAAGAACAAGTTCATGACGGCGCGCGCGGTGTCGAACAGAAACTCGAACACTGGGCGAGGAAAACCTGGAAGAGGAGTTGCTGCTGTTCCATCCTTTAGACAGGGAGTGGTGGGATGCATGAAAACAACCGCCTTTCTCCGATTGAGCTCGTCGAAAATGGGATCGAATTGCTTGTCACCAAGATATGATCCGTAGAAGTTGGTCATCACGGTGAAACCATCGGCATTGAGTTCATCTAGTGCCCGCGGAATCTCCTCTAAACACCCCTCCACGTCGGACAAAGGCAAGGACGCAAAGAAACCGAACTGCTCAGGCTTTTGTCTCTTCAAGTCCGCAGCATAGTCGTTGCAATACTTGGTAACTTCTCGAGCCAGTTTGATGTTGCCATTCACGAGATGGGTGCCCGGAGAACTAATGCTCAGCATTGACTTGGTGATGTCGACGGCTTTCATCATCTCCAGGTGTGCCTCGGGGCTCCATTCTGGTATCGCTGGCATACCATCTGGATTCTTGTGGCCGTTTTCTGCGCATGCTGTTCGATATCCTGGCGGGAGAAAGTGAGAATGGCAGTCAATCTTGGTGTAGGGGGCCATGGTTGAATGACAGTTGAATTTGGACTTGAGTTGCGCAGAGAACGAGACAAACCTGGAAGAATAAGCCTAGCAAATATTCAAACTTTGGCAGGTTGAAGTTGAAGTGGATCGCACACCGTCTGTTGTAGCGTCCCGTTTTATGTACAACGAGGACGCGGGGTTTGCATCGAGAAATCTGTCTTGCATATAAGATGATGTTCCGACGTATACCCCAGAGGTGTCGAGTGTCCCGTAAAACCGAGGTCTTAAAGTTGCGGAGGTGGGACAACCGGACGGGGAACAGGGCTTAGCGTCAGCACGAGAGCACCGAAACACCTGATCATCTCTCAAATCGAGCGTTGATGTGCCGGATGACAGTGCTCTGATAGTCGCACTGCACGATGCCCGTATTTCTTTTAAGTCATCCGCTGACCAACCGATGCCAGTTCTGCACTCTTGAAGAATGCAGCTGAAACGAGGCACACAGACTTCTAAGCAGGGTTTTGTTCCAATCTTTCAAAACATACTTCGTTGCTTGCATGCTGGTTGCGCAACATGACACAAGTATGAACTGTGCCGGGTTCCGTTTGGAGATTGCTGCAGTCATGCTCGCTGGCCTGAGACGACGGAGTTGTCATGCTCTTGCGCGGTCTTTGAGAATGTAAAATCAGCCGGCCAATGCCTTCCCAACGAGCTCTTTCGCGCGAGGACTCAGATCCATGGCCAAAGCAAGTTGATGACCGCGGTCGCCCATCTTGACCCAAGTCTTTTGTAATATACTGATGATTTTGTCCTCGTCGTGATTCTTTTCGAACTCGTCGAATTGATCATCCAGGAAAACCAGACAGGCCACATCCTCAATGACTTGAGCGTCCGCATCGCCCTTGCCTTCGCCCTTCTTGAGTTCTTCCTTTGCTATCAGCGCAGCCACCTTATCTGCCTCTTCGACACTGTAATCGCACCTCAGACATAATTGTTTGACTTGTTCTGCCTGCCGCTTTTTCAGAAATGTCCTCCATGCAAAATAACCAGGTCTCGTCTTGGGATAAGAGTCGCGAGGAATCTCCCACCTGCGGAAGTGCTGGGCTCGAGCGGCCGTTCGCACGAGCGCGTCGGCGTCCGGTGTATGCAGGTCGAGGTACTTGGTCATCTTTTGGGCATAATGCAGCTCGTAAGGTATCGAATGCCCGTTTATTTCGACCTTGTTCGGATCCTCGCTATGAGCTGCATCAATGAGCTGCAGCGCCTCCGAAAGATCTGGTGCCATTTTGAAATCACACCGAGGAGGTTCGACGTTTCGGGGACGGCGAAGGTAATACTGTTGGCCTATCAAGCAATCACAGGTCTGTCCGCGTTGAATGAAAATGCAGCGCGCTCGATCGAGACCAACATTTTCCCATGCGCGCAGGGCACTGCAATAGACCTTACGACGTCATAGCAGATATTCAACCACCAGTGAACACAGGCGGCACGCTCATCAACGTTTGCTGCCATATAACACGGCAACAACATATTTCGGCACTCTTTCCATGTATTGTCACGTTCAAAGAATGTTTTCAAATCTCATTATCGACCTCTGCCTCGAGAAACGTGCTCTCATGGTTGGATCTCCCTGTTGGACGATTCCCATGGTTCGCCTGACTTCGGCCCCAGGATCGTCCCTTCTGGTTCGTTACATGCCTAGCATCAAGGCTCCTGACATCGCGACCCCCATGCAACCCTCATGTTGCTCTGGCGCTGGACACCACAGCACTTTCGATAGGAAGATCACAGACTTAAGCTCCTCCCTCCCTCTTTGCGTACTCTTCCTCCATCTTCTCTTCGTACTGTGAATCGGCCTCTTTGTGAGACAGTTTTTTCTGCTGGCTCCGAGTGATACGTCCCTCTGACGGCTGTCCCGCTCCACTCTGAATCGTTTGTTGCTGAGAGTTCCCATCTGGCTTCTTCGTCTTGGTGGTCGTAGTCTTCTTCTTGGATGAGTTTGCACCAAGGCTTAAACCGCCCGACATAGATCCAGCGAAGCTTGCTCCGGCATTGGCAGCAGCCTCGGAGGTCTTTTTGATGATTCCTGAGTCGTCAGACATGTTGCCCCGTTCAAGTTTTGCGCCTGGGGATCTCGAGAGATGTCTTATGCGAGATGCGGGCAACGAACTAAGATGAGACCGGTTTTCTTTTGGCAATCTGGAGTGACCGTTGCGGTTGAGATGAGAGGATGCAGAATAGATCAAGGAGTGCTTGTGGAAGTAAAAGACAACTATATAAGCATACGTGAGACTTTCAAAACCTGTTTTAAGGCTCAGCCGGTACTTGCCTGGGTCGAGAGTTGTTCGAATCCTTTACCTTTGGAACCGAAGATTGATGACGTCGGCCTTTAAATGACCAGCGACAGGGCCGGGTATGCCAGATTACAGGTCATTACATACGCGACGTTAGAAATTCACACTGTTCGCGTATGTCGTTGTATTGATTCTGTACCGAATCTTGCCCTCTCTTTTCCTTTGTTTGTAAAGCTTCTTGACAACTTAAGTCACAATCGAGGAACGCGAATGAGATGCATCATGGAATATAAAGAGGATGCTGCCTGGAGTCGTTATCGCCAGATGAAAATTGCCAGCTCGTTGTCTCATATTGTGGCTGTTTGCAGGGTTGACCGTCCAAGGTTGGCAAAACCCCCTGCAGACTCAGCCTTGCCATTCTCATCTCGAGTACCTGGATACAATCAACACAATCAATGCAAACGCTCCATAGATGATTCAACTATCCCACATTCCGTTTTGCTACCTGGCTGTGATTCTGCGATCTGCTGAAGGCGTCTCGCACTGCCTGGTATTGTTGTGAGTATGGGTGAGGCAGTATTCCACCTCCGCGCAACTACTGCCTCACCATTGATGTATTCACTACTATTGTTTCCCAGCCAAGTGAACACTGCTATTCACTGCCTCTCTGTCCCAATGCCTCAATCTCTTGCCAGCCCTCTTTGTTGCTCCCTTCCTCCTTCTCATGCTCACCCTCGCATCCTTCAAAACACTCATCATCCACACCGTCCCAGCGAATCCACAAGAATCGAGGGATACTGGCGCTTGATTATCTGCGCATAGTTGAAGCCTCTTCATTTCTTGCAAGACGCCAGAGTCTGCAGAGCAAACAAATTCATCATTTCATTCTTGAACCGCAAACCTCAAATTCATCCGAGACTGAAACGGCAAACAGTCCAACACCGCAACAATGAACCTGTTCATACTCTTCCTCTTCCTCCTCCTCTCATCTTCCGGGATCCTGGCCGTTGACCCTCACGAGCCAAATGCCTTGCGAGTCTTCGCTGCAGGCGGCGGCATCTCCATGCTCACCGTCGTAGCCTTCCAGTTCCACAGATTGCGCAGACCAAAAAGATCAAGGGGCGACGAGCTATATGAAGATATAAACAAGCAGTTCGCATCTTCATACACTTCAACGGCAACCGTTTTTGAAACACCCACTGCAGTTACGACTGTGTACTCTCGTCCGGCCACAAATGGTGCAGCAATCACCGCAAACGGGTGTACCACACCATTGACGACCTTTCTCCCAGTCACATTTGCGCTCAACGGTTCCATCATCAACGTCGAACGCATTGTCGGATATCGGCCTCTCCCTGACGACCTTGGAACGGTGAAGAACAGTTCTGTCAATTGCACGGTGTCATCAACCAACGCAACCTCTTCAACCGTAGTCAATGGAACAATCCCCAACTCGAATGTCATCAACAAAGCCATAATCATGGCCAACTTCGAGACTCCGAAGGGGTACATTCGCACTGGTGTCAGCATCGGATTCGAGTTCATGCGCCCTGGCCTTGTGTACATTCGTACTCTGATGCAGACCGTCTGCTTTGAAGTCTCCAAATTGTTCAAGAAGGTGCATAAAGGATTCCTCAAGAACATGTGGGAGTCTTTGATCAACCGCATCCCAACAACGCCGGCCCAGGCTATCAGCACCCTGCTGAACATGAGTTCAATCTTCCTCCTTGCGCTGACCGCCCGGAAAATGATCGAGGCCCTTTCCAAGGCCATCAAGCAAGGCACAGGTCTCAAACTCTGGTCATTCAGCGTCACCGTCTTCTGGATCACCACGAACTTCCTCAAGACTGCCATCCCTGCTGTCGGCAAAGGCCTGCTGCTCTCTCTGCGTCTTGCATGGATACTGGTCACCCTACCGAAAGCCGTCATACTTCAAGAAGCCCGGCGCAGAGAACTCGCCAGACAATCTCGCGGCACTCAGACCGAGGAGAACGCCCTACCGGTTGATAGACAATCAAGGTTTCCCACCTATACTGTCGCCGCGACTTCACCTGACCTTCCTGTCGTTGTTGCTCCCGAGCCCGCAGTTGAAGATGCCGTCGATGATGACGAAGCTCTTGTTGAACCTCCTCTCGATACAACAATTGAAGAACATACTCCCGAACCAATGGAGACCACAGGTCCACAACCACCTCCCGATTGGGACCGTCTTTTCCCGTGGAGTGTCTATCACCCACCTCAGTTCCAAAACTTCAGTTTCAATCGTCGGTCGCCTCCTGCAGCTCCCTTCTACCCGACCGCTGCCCGCTCTTCAACGCCATCAGGGCCTGATGATAGTCAACCAAATGCTGTTCCTACCTGTCCTGTCGCCTCCAATGCTCTTGAAACTGTGGCCGGTGAGAACCCACTTTCGCTGTTCGATGTGACATGTTGGTCCCAAGTGCTAACCACCTCTAATACAGATGAAAGTCCTCTCGATGTCATCGATGCCATTAACGCTCGCCTTGACCGTCTCCTCGAGGCGGCACCTCAACAAGAAACTCCCAAGGCTGTCAAGGGCGTTGAGATATCGTCTCTGTTCTCAAGTGGGCAGTGGGACAACGTGGTAGCTGCGGGCCAGAAGTCTTCCTCAGGACAATCAGGATTCAGACTCAGCCCAAAGCCCACGCCACAGTTCGATTTCCCCGAAACGCCCGTCAAGCCAAAGACATCGAGTCCTTTCGTTGAGAGCGACAGCGACAGCGACAGCGACAGCGACAATGCTAATGGCAACGAGGATATCAACCACGATGACAATGTTGCCGACGACGACGACACTATCAGTGACGGTTATAACTTTAGCCCTCCTCCTGACCTTGGTCCCGACGACAACGCCAGTAACAGCAACAGCGACTTCCTCAATGACGACGGTGACCACGACACGCCCCAACTGCCCAGCAGTCCTCTTGCCGAGTCCGTGATTGATACTCCTTGTCGTCAACATCGCCAGACCCGGTTCGCCATGACGGAGGATGGTAAGATCCTGGAAGAAACATTCCGGTTCAGTGCCAAACAACCTCCCGTCGCAAGGATCACGGACTGGGCTGATGCACCTGAGGATGTTGAGGAAGACAAGGAAAACGTGCCTGTACAGCAACAGGTGGTTGAAGAGCAGCATGAACCTGCCCAACCAGAGGTCCCAGATGTTGTTCAAGAGCAACAAGAACCTGTCTCCCGCCCATGGAACTTCCAGAAAGACGTTGTCTCGTTTGTCGAACAACAGCCTCAAGATTCCTGGGTCCCTGATATGGCTGAAGCGCAGCAAGAACCTGCCCAGCCAGAAATGTCCGATGTGGTCGAAGAGCAACAACGATCCATCTATAGTCGGCGTAGTTGGGGACCAGAACCGTCAAGCCGACGAAGCCGTGGCAGATCAGCTTCTCCAAGAGGCTGCAGGTATATTCATCAGGTGCAGGACGCGGTTGAAGCGCAGCACGAACCTGTCTCCCGCCCATGGAACTTTCAGCAAGACGTTGTCTCATTTGTCGAACAGCAGCCCGAAGAACCCTCCGTTCCTGATATGGTTGACGCGCAGCAAGAACCTGCCCAACCAGAAATGCAAGCTGTGGATGAAGAGCAACGGCAACCTGTTCCTCCTCTCTTTTACGTCCCACGTATTCCACTACAACCTGTCCCTTCTCAACCTGTCCCTTCGCAACCGGTCCCTTCACTTGCACAATTCCAACAGCAACCTGGCACTCTTCAATTTCAAGGGCAACGACAACTTCCTCCTTTCTCATCCCTAGGTCAACAACAACTTCCACCTTTCTCACCTCAAGGGCAACAACAACGCATCTCTTCTAATTTCGGGCAACAAGCACCAACCTCGTCTGTCTTTGGAGCGCAACAAGAACCCATCCAGTCTTGCGGTGATGACATGGTCCTTGACGAGGCTGAGGACTCCATGGTGGTTGATGATGCTGCCCCCGATGACCTCCCCGCCGACGACTCCGACATGCAAGTCGACTCAAACCAGCCGACACTCTGGGGCCACCCGACCTCTGAGCCCGCGTTGCAAGATCACATGCAACCTGCTCCAGCAAGCATCCCTGAAGGCGGATATATGGCAGCGGACGGCGTCATTGAGCTTCCGACGTACGCCGGGATTGAAGCACCGTTCCAACCACCACCGCGACCAAGCAATGCAAATGCGCCTGTGTCCTTCAACATGATTAATGGGTCTAGGCAGGTGCCAGATGCAGTCAACCCACCACCGCGGCCAAGCAATGCAAATGCGCCTGTATCCTTCACCATGATTAGTGGACCTAGGCAGGTACCAGATGCAATGGACCAAGGCCAGGAAGTCTTTACTGGCACAGCATTTCGACAGATGGTTCCCAATGAGAATACCACCATGGCTGACGCGAGTCAGAATAGCAGCGACGCTGGAATCAATTTTGGACGAACTGACCACAACACCAGTGTCAATCTTGGACAGACCGACAACACCAGTAGGGTCAACTTTGGGAACAACAGCCAACAGCACATCTCAGAACGCGACGACGAGATGGCCGAACTATCGCCAGATGCTCCTTCTGACCAAGTTCCGCGGGACCCTCCCCCGGTTGCCACGGTCGAAAAGATACTTGAGCTCGCTAATGATATGCCATGGCATATCTGGGCTGGTATGGACACCACTCAAGCCATGGAAACTACAGCGAACGGTCGGATTGTAGGAAACTGGCAGTGGATGGCAGACAATCCGGGATACTTCATGTTCGTGGATGGAAGGAATTATCTCGAAGGACCTTGGGGGGCGCAATTTCTCGAAGAGTACGGATCCATCGTCATGAAGAAGCTCCTTGAAATCAACGCCGGAACATAGGCAGGCCAATGTCCTAGACAAGAAGTCTCGCCTTATTTGATCAGCATATGGAAGAAGAGCCATGGGACCGTGGGAGGATAAAGAAAATGCATTGCAATGCACAGAGGCAAGGTGGGAGGATTGACGACGAAGCGGAACAAGTATATTGCTGGACGGGTAAAGCAGAGCCTCAGACAAGAAGCTCATCATGTTGGGCGTCGGCGCTTGGCAAACAGACCACAGGGCTCGTGGAGGAATATGAGGAAACAGAACAGAGCCTTGCATGGGGTCTGGAGAATCAGGACGAAGGCCTGAGTCGTGAGGGCATACAGGGTGCCGAGCAGACGAGGGAGCAGGCGGAGGATCTCAAGAGGATGTCCCAGCGGATATCGTGAGAAGATGATGTGGTGGAAAGAAGCTCGTATTGACCGAGCAGCGAAAGAACATGTTGGCCAAGGCCAGACACATTCGGCGAGAGATACCTCGACATGGCACGTTTGTGGAGGACTGGGACTCAGAGCAAGCATAACGAGATACAAGCCATAAGGCATTGACGTTAGTGTGAACAAATTCAAACCACATGAAGACATACCAAATGCCTCGTCTGTGAACCTCGGTGTCGGTCGATTACCATCAGGCCGATATTTCGTCCCCACGAGCAGAGCAAACGCGATATCGGGCGCGAAGTCACACGACTAGTCTGGCTGTCTGTTTCCTTGTGCCGGTTCAACCTGCAAGGTCCTTTTGTCTAGGTTTACCAGCCAGACCTTGATGGAGCATCGACCGTGACCTTGAATAGAAGTTGACCGAAGCTGTTAATTGATGGAAAATCACTCATCTGGACGTTGTCTAGAGCTTCATGACGAGCAACGTCTCCGCCGCATTCGGTCAGCAACCTGGGCGTTCTGGACCATGGCAGCAATGTCGCGATTGGTGAGAAAGTCGGACCCCTTCCACAGCCCGCATGGCCGGTCGCTTCGATAAGCAATTGTTCTCGAGGTGATCACGCTCATTCGGCCGACACGGCATGTCTCTACACCGTTCACTTGACGTCTGCCAGTTATTTTCAAAGCAAAGATTGCACATTCCGGACGAACGTGGGCCAAGACGGAGCCGCCCGTGGTGATTAACCCCGAGTCCGAATACGTGGAAGAAAAGTCTGAGCTCCGAACCTGTACGAAAAAGTGGCTCGGTCATTGGAGAAGCCCGTCAATGGAAGCGGAGGATGAGCGAGAAGGACGGCGAGTGCAGTGGGAAGAGCACAACGTGGTCTAAGTAAATTTGTATCGCTTGACTCGACAGTTGGAAACGGAGCAGGAACGTGCATGATCATTGAGTCCCAGTGTCCACCAAGGGGGGTATGGAGTAACCCAGAGATTTCTCTCGGACCCTCCACGGGTATTGATCTCTATCACAGGTGATGCCTTGCTCCCCCGTCTTCTTTAACGGCCTGATTACAACATGAAACATCTTCCAGAATCCAGACAGTGACAGGATTTGATCAGATGAGACGAGATGGAATTAAGCGAGGATGGTGGAAGACGCAGTTTGGCCTGGTGCAGGGGGGAGGAATGAGAGCCTGATACACTAGATTACTCGGGGAAGTAGATGCATTAACGCCGAATTGGGATGGGGATAGTACTATGGGATGGGATGGGATCAAGATCGTAAGAGTCAGAGTTTGAGAAAAGTAGGTTGCCACATCCGTGCATGGAGCTTGGTTGTTGTGTCACTTGTGTGTTGATTCGATTTGACATTGACTTTTTGATGGCTTGGTGAAAACGGAGATGGAGAGCCTGATTCTTCTTTTTCACAGTGATGCCTGAATGTACCGAATCGCGTGTTTTGTCAGTTGGGTTGCATACGTCTTCGCAAGTGGTGCCTTCTCTAGGTAGGTTGTTAAGCTTAGGCGCGAATTGACATTTATAATGGGGAGTGCCCGAATTGAATGGGGGTGGGTTTCAGGACTCAGGCTCCGACGAAAAGACGAAGCTAGGCGCTGTTCGTCTACCCATTCCCCTTCCAGTAAGAAGCTCGCCCTCGTAAAGCGTATCCCTGAGCGCCCATTGACGGCATCCACTAACCTTAGGACGTACCTAATAGTCCCGTTGATCCCTCATACCATCATGCTGCATGGGTGGCGACTAGTCCGACTCCGTACATTTGTGTTTTAATGATACACTCATCACCTCTCCGAGCCTTGATTTCTAAAACCCCAGACATTGTCCTTGTCCTTTACACTTCCGGGTGCCTGATCTCGTCTCACTTTACTTTCCACTCTTGCCATCTTATTCTCACGGCTCGTGTGTCCCGGTGGCAATGAACAGATCGTGACAGGACCACCTTGTACTTCCTCTCCGCATCCACCGTCATCAGTCGTTAGCCAACGATATGCGCCTATTGGCTTACCAACATTGAGATCTCCCCAGATTCGCCAACTGGCCACCGGCCTTAACATACGTCGCACCGCGAAGACGTTGCCAGATTTGCCACGATCGTAGACCCGATCAAACTTCCCCTCCGCAGTGTCCTTGACGCCGAAATGGATCACCGCTCCAGCATTGACGGTCTGGGCTACGACATATCGCAGTTTATGCCCCAGCAACCTCCTCAAATCTTTGGCGGCTACAATCCAGACGGCACTCCTGCTCCTGCGTCGCTCCCACCCGGTGCATATTTCGGTGACCTAAACGATGGCTCGATCGACGAAAATGATCCCAAGCGCCGACGCATCGCAAGAGTTCGTCCTTCCATACCCTCATGAGTAAAAGTATGCCTTCTGACATATTCGGCAGGCTTGCGACATGTGCAGGAAAAAGAAAATCAAGTGTGATGGAAAGATGCCTAAGTGCGGCCATTGTATAAACTATAAAACAGAATGTATATTCACACAGGTCGAGAAGAAACGCAATCCTCCAAAGGGGTGAGTTGGACGTACTTCCAGTAATGGATATTGGGTACTGACAAGTGAATTAGCGCGAAATACATCGAAGGTCTCGAAAACCGTCTGGGGCGCATGGAATCCCTCTTGCGCATGTCTGGCCTCTTGACTGAAGAAGATGCCGGCAAGACAGACCTGGGTGCCCTGGAGAAGCGCCTCGCCGAGAAGACATCTTCGAAAGAACACCCAGCTAAAAGGACGGAATCACCAGCTCCTCTGAGAAGTGGTGCTGGTTCTTCAATGCACGAAAGCTCACCTAGAGCCAGCTCGATTCGCGACTCACATGACACCCCTCGCGAATCCGTTACCTCACCAAGCACAGAAAACGGTGAGAAATCACGGGAAGAGGTAGAAAATCTTTCAGAAGCCATGTGTTCTCTTGTGACCAACAATGTTGGTGAAACCAGATATATTGGTACGCAGGAGCATCTGTCCACCTTCATGTCCTACGCTAACAGTGCCAGGATCATCCTCCGCCTTCTCCATATTTTCGAGTAAAGGCATTGAATGGGTCAATGAGAAGACAGGAGACACATCTTTCCAGGAAACAATACAGAACGCCGTCAACGAGGATGACAACAAATGGCAATATTGGAAGCCGGAAATCTTTGGCGACATCTTTGTTCGCCGTGTCTTCAAGCCGCTACCACCGAAAGAGGAAGCGCTCTCACTGTTCAAGGACTTTTTCGAGAACTTCAATTGCATGTTTCCGCTGTTCCACGAGCCAACATTCATGCATCTGGTGGACAAGCAATATTCCAAAGATCCATATGAAGGCAGTGGCTGGTGGGCCAGCATCAACGTGGCCTTGGCGATCGCATACCGAATCAGAGTCATGAGTAATGTCGTGCCACAAGAGGATGACAACAAGGCCTGGTTGTACCTCAAGAACGCTATGGGTGTCATTACCGAATTGACCATGCGAAATACTGACCTTCTCAGTGTCCAAGCTCTTTTGGGTATGGCACTGTTCCTGCAAGGTACACCTAACCCACAGCCGTCCTTCTTCCTCATATCCGCAGCGATTCGATGTTCTCATACCATCGGCCTGCACAAGCGTGGGTCGGCATTCAACCTCAACCCCATTGAAGTCGAGCAGCGAAAACGAGTGTTTTGGATCGCATATTTGCTCGACAAAGATTCTTGTCTGCGGGCTGGACGACCACCCGCACAGGATGACGATGACATGAACGTCGAGCTACCATCGGAGGATCCTCCCGACAACATCGGAAATGTCCCTTTGGCCGACGGCAAGAGCAAAATCAATCTTTTCCGCTTGATGTGCGAGTTCGCCATCATTTCGAGCAAAGTATATCGACAACTATACTCTGTCAACGCATCGAAACAAAGTGATGGCGAATTGCTGAACACCATTGGTGAGCTGGACAAAGAACTCGAAGCTTGGAAAGACAGCATTCCTATCGATTTCAGGCCAGAACACGAAATCAAAACTACTCATACACCTCTTATCCTACACATTGTTGTCCTGCACTTCTCCTATTACAATTGCCTCACAACGATACATCGGATGTCGGTTCACCACGGCTACTGGACCAGTCGTCTCTCGGAGTACGCAATCCAAGGTCTCAATGCTAGACCTCTCAATCCCAGGGTGTTCTCCTCCGCTGCTCTCTGCGTCTCAGCAGCCCGCGCGTCTATTCACCTCATCAAGTACATTCCGCAAGGAGATTTTGCCTGTGTATGGCTGATTCTCTACTTCCCGGTCTCCTCACTCGTAACCTTGTTCGCCAATATCTTGCAAAATCCGCAAGATACTCGAGCACGAGCCGACATCAAATTGATGGATCTTGTCGTCAACTTTCTGTCCAATGTTTCTCACGACGAGGGCACAGGTTCTCTCAACCGCATGCTCACCGTATGCACGGAGTTTGCTCGCATTGCTAGACTGGTCATCGACAAGGCCGAGAAGGAGGGCTCCAAGCGAAAGCGAAGGCTGGTGCCTGAGGAAGTCCTCCGCGTCAATCAGTCGGCTATGGCGCAAGCGCAAGCAGAAATCAGACAACGTGCCTCTGGCTCTCGAAGATCCAGCGGCGCAGGAGGTTCTCCGCGAGCATCTCCAAAGATGCCGTCGACAAAAACAGTTCCTCTTACTTCAGCAAACTTTCAACCTCAAACGAATGGTGCAAATACCAATGCCACATTTTTCAATATGCCTAACCTCGACAACGAGTATGTCGACATGTTTAACCAACCAGGTTACAGTCCTGATATGGGCAGTCAACACATGCCAAGTTCGAACATGTCGCCCCTGAATGCTGCCTCTTTCCAGCAGCCTTTTGTTCCACAAGATCTTTGGCAAATGCCAATGACTTTTGAGTGGGACTGGGCCGACTTCGGACAATCAGGATATAACGATTTTGTATTTCACGAAGGTATGAACGATGGGACGATGCCACAGCAATGATATCGTGTATCGGGAGTTGAACTGCACATTCATGTTCGCGGAGACTGCTAGGAGCTCTTGATGGCGTTCTGGTCCAGTGACAGCGATTCTTTCAGCCAGGAATGATGCAGTAGCAGTCACGATATTGTACAATATGATACCCCTTTCCCATTTCAGCTCCGAACTTTTCCCGCGACCTCGTCTTCTGGTGATGAGGCCTTGCACTTCAGTAACGGTGACCTGGAGACCTTGAGGTGAGTCCTGCGCTCTTTTACACCTGCTGCCGCTTGGCGAAGCTGGTCTTTCACCGCCTACTTTTACTGATCGCGCGATGTCTGCGCAGCAGCTTGGCATGAGGTGAGGCAGTATACACTGCCTGCGAAACCTTCTGCGGTCATCTTCACTATTCCCTTGCTCTGAGAATGTTTTGAATATTTCAATCCTGCTCAAACCAACAACATCTCTCCTCGCTACCTCTTATTTCATTCTACAATCAAAACTTCCGTCTCGTCAACTGCTCCATTGCATAAATACTGGTTTTTGCTTCCCTGGCACGCTGTTGACTCTACAGGAGCAGCGAGAAATCAAAGTCTCATCTAACTCAATCCTCATCCTACCTCAACATCCAAACCTCAACCTCAGCTACAGTCCTTCGTTTCCGAGACAAAGACGTCTTGCCGAGACCTCATTGTCATACCCTCAAGCCTTTGTGCTCATTAGCGCAGTCCATTGAACAAATACCACTGCCTTGTTATCGCCAAAAAGAGTGGCAGACAACAAAGAAATCGCACTTCACCAGACTGCCTGCACCGCGGTCACATTTCACCTGCCTACGATCCGCCTTCTTCATATACCAATTTGGCCATCTCTTCCTGCGGAAGAGTACAAAAATAAACATCAAATCATATTCCCACCTCATTGCACAACACCATCGAAATGGCTGGAGATAACATCTTCTGGTCAAACTTCTTCCGCAAACTTCGAGAGTGGTGGTATGCTGGGCAACAAGCACCACGAACCATCAGTTTTCCCCTTGACGCAAGCTACGGTATCTCCAAACCTCTTATCTTCGAGTCACCATCATGGACGGAAGAGTTCCTTGCCTATCTGACCACTCCACGGGTTGGCATTATCTCTGCAAGTTCCCAGAATGATGGCATTGCGCTCAATATTCACGTCGCCTTGTCGACAAGCTTAAAACGCTCTGTCATCACGGACAACGACTCATCTCCGCTTCTACAGTTTGGGAAAGTGGCCGCGCCTCTTGTCAACGCTTCGAAAACCATTCCTGTCCAATTCGATGAACAGCCCAAAAACACAGCTGCATCAACCACTGACCTTGCCATCTACACCAGTCTCCCTGTTACTGATGCTGAGCCTGATTACTCATGCAATTGGCACTCCCAGGTCACTGGTACTTGGCAGGACCACCTAACGTACTACGTCCAATCTGGCCGCATTCCTGTGGCAGGATGTACATATCGCGATGGCTCTTACGGTTACCACTTTGACTCGTCCATGGCGCAAACCTGGGCCCTCACTTTGGTTATGCTCTTTGTCTTTCTCTTTCTCGGTTTCTCCTGTTGCACGGGTTCAAATGCTAGACGCCCACGTCAACACCATGCTGCTCCACCGGCCAATGACTCGCCAGAAGTCAATCTTATCATCAATGGACTCGTTGAGGACCTCATGACTGGACGACTGGGAGAGCAGATGGTGGAGCTTGGGTTGATTGAACAGTCAAATGGCGACTCTACCAGGAATACCGCATCCGATGCTGCTGGATTCACCACGTTCAACAAGGTTCTCCGCAAGCTGATGGCCTTTGTCAGTTTGTTGCGCATCCGTCTCGCTCTGCGTACTGATGAGGTCAAGGAACTCAAAAAGGTCAATAACGACCAGAGAACTGCGCATACTCAGGAAATCCAACAGAAGGACAATGACATCGCTGCCAAAGAAAAGACAATACAAGCCAAGGACAACAAGATCTTGGAAAAGGAAAACGAAAAGGCTTTTCAGGAGCAGATGGTCCGTTCCAAGACTAGCAGAGTTCTCACACTTGAACAGGAAATCTTTGAGAAGGACAATGCGATCGCACCCAAGGACACGGAACTTCAGCAGAAAAATGGAGACATCGCTGCGAAACAGGACTTGATCACAACCAAGGACAAGGAACTTCAGCAGAAAGATGAAGACATCGCTGCGAAACAGGATTCAATTACGTCCAAGGACTCCACCATCTCTGAAATGGAAAAGTCTCTGAAAGTCATCGAAGAGAAGGCATCTACTCTAGAGAATCAGAATGAACAACTCCGTCAGCGCCTGAAACAACATGAAGGAACTCCTGCCTTGAGAGAAAGACATGAGGAGCTGCAGAAGTCTCACAAAGAACTGCAAGCTAAAGAGCAGTCATTGCGAACACAACTCGAAAATCAGCCCGATCCTGATGAACAGTTGAAGACAGACAATGAGAAGCTGGTCAAGGAAAAGGAGAAACTTCAGGAACGAATGAAGGTCAAAGCTGAGGCCCTGCAAAAGGCGCAGGCTGAACTGGAAAAGAAGGAAACTCCGAAACAGCAGAAGTCCATTGAGACCCAGACAGAGATCGACACAGCCCACGACGAGAAAGTCGAACAACTCAAGTCAGAGATCTCTCAGACGCTTTCTACTCTGAACCAGATGAGGACTGAGAACTCAGAACTCCAGTCGACCATCAGCAACCTGCGTACTCAGACTACTGAACTCAGTCAAGTCAACTCAATGAACGCAGAGTTGCAGTCAACCGTCGACAGTCTCCGTGCCCAGCTGGCTGCTGCTGCTCAGACTGCTCAGACAACTCAACCCGCTGCGCGAGTTACTCCTTCGACGCCTTCATTTTCCATTTTTGCCCCGGGTGCTCAATCTCACTTCCCTATTCGACCGCCGTTTACCTACCCGGCCTCTGGGGCACCCACCTCCCCTGCGCCTGCTCAGCCTGTCACTCCACAAGCTCGTCCAGCTGCATCGTCACCATTCAAGAACAGCCTATCAACCTCCGAGCCAGAGCAGAACTTTACTCAAACTCGCACTCCGGTGGAGGCGGTGGCGCCTGTTGCAGCGGCGCCAGCACAATCCTCTCAAGCGGTCTTCCCTGAGGAACAGGCTCCCGAATTCACCCAGACAATTGGTGAATTGCCTACAGGGCGATCCACGGGCCCAATAGTACGCATGTCCCCGGCACTAGACTCTTCCAGAGGACGTACGCCAGCCGAGTCAAGCTTGATGCGGTCACGAAACAGCATTCGGTACAGCTCGCCCCCAAGAAATGCCTCTGGCATCCCCACGCGTCCGCTTACACAGCGAGAGCGTGAGGCAAAGAAGCAACGCGATGCCGAGAGAGCTGCTGCCACGGCGGCGTCATCTCTATCTCGTGGTAGCACGGTTTCCTCGAATGAGGTACAACAAGGTCAACAGCAACAGGCACCAGTTGCAGAAACGGCCGTCAACGAACCAGTCGCTCCCGTTGCTCCAAGTGCTAGCAATGTCGTCGTCGCTCTCCCCCCTGTCACTGCTCCTGAAGTCAGTACTACCGTCAACGAAGACGTGACTGTCAACAAGGAATCTGAGCTTGCTGCATCGTCAGGCATTGAGGATGACCTGGAGTTCGCCCCTGGTGGGTTCGGAGAGGAGGACGATGGAGGCATTGCGGGCATGACCCGCCAGGAACCAATTGAGGTTGAGAGCGATGATCTGTACGGCGCACCAGAAACAACCAGTGGCAGCAGCGTGGGTCAGTCGGCCAACGAGACGCAGACGACCACCCCTGTCGAACAACCGGTCGACAACGATGCTGAGCAGGCGGCCAGGAAGGCCAAAGCAGCTGAAAAGGGCGAAAAGGGCTTGCAGGCAGTCAAGGCAAGCAAGTGGGCTGCGGTGGAGGAGACGCCTGCTCAGACAACCCCTCAGCAACAGCGTGTGGACAGTGCTGCTATCAAGGCGGACCAAAAGGGCAACACAGCCAAAGACAGCAGTGAGGCTGTGAAGGCGATAGAGGGCAAACCGGCTCTGGTGGAGGATAAGACGAAGGCCGTCAATGAGAGCAAGCCGCCCGTCAAGGAAGAGGCCAAGCCGACCACCACCCAACAACGACCTCCCGACAGCGGGGCTCACAAAGCCGCTAAGGAAACCAAGGCTAAGGCTGGTGAGATAGGCACGAAGGCCGCCAATGAGAGCAAGCCACCCGTCAGGGAGGAGTCGACGCCGACTACCCGTCAAGAACAACAACCTGTCGACAACAGTGCAGCGAGAGCCACTCAGCAAGCCAAGAAAGCTGAAGCGGGTAAGAAAGCTGTCCAGTCAAGCAAATGGGCAGTCAATCCGACGCCTGCTCCCAAGCCTACAACAAAACAAATTGAAGAGGGCAAATGGGATCTGGTGGAGGATGAAAAGAAGGCCGATGAGATGGGAAAAGCGGCTGTGCAGGCTAGCAGATGGGCTGTTCCGGCAAATACGCCTGTCACTCGAGTCAGAGCCGCTCGACACACACCTCAAACTCCAACTCCAAGAGCTCTGGATCATGGTCTTCCACGATTGAACGCAACGCAAGATCAGCCTGGCACCGAGTGGACACCTGTTGGTGGTAAGAAGCCGCTACACAAGTCGAACCAGAAGGGTGGAAAATGATAGTGACCATTCTGATGATGCATGACAAGAGAACGCGTGGGAAAAACGACCACGAGTGACGAAATGGTGACGATGGAGGATTGAAAACTGGGAAATGAAACAGATCGACTTGAATACATATGACTGGGACAAAATGATCATACTGGCATCAGGGCCAAGGTGGAGGAATCATGGAAACACCTCGTCGAAGTCAAGTAGGAGTGATCACAACTCAATGTCGTGTCCGGACATGGTGGAGGAGAAGTCAGCATATGAGAAGACTACAAAAAAGGTGCATTGAGAAGTGTATGATTAGAATGCAAGAGCGACTGGGTATTTCTCGAGTCAGCTTGATGTTTACAAGTACATACACAAAAGTTGTTGTCAAATTGGAAAAGCATGAAGTACAATCACACTGACCAGTCTTGTCAGGTACCAGGTGACCTAGATTGCATTTTGACCATCCCGAATAGCCTTACATTGCATGCACTCTTTCCAAAAACTCGTAGATAGAGATGGCCTGATGTTGTTTACAAACCCACACCTTCCGCGAATTTCGAGCAGCTCGTACAGAACCCAAACGTCTTTGCAGCGTTGAATTCATAGCTTTGCTGGCTGCTGTCCGGCGACGTCGTCGCGGCACCATCGCTCAAGAGAATGCAGTCGTAACCCTTCGAGAATGCCTGCAAAAATTGTCAGAAATGTGCCCCAATGCAGGAAAGGGAAGTATAAGGCGACTTACATCCTGCAAACTCCCTCCCACACATTGATCTGTGTTTACACCCGCGAAAAGCAGCGTTGTGATGCCTTTTTTGTCAAGAAACTCAGTGCAATCGGTACTCTCACCCCAAAGACCAGACATCCGGTTCTTATGGATCCACACATCAGGCGGGTTCGCTTTCAAGCCTTCTTCATAAGCTGCTCGCAATTCCGGCGTGACATCGGCGTTCCAACTGTCGCGCATGAGAAGACGTCCTCCTTGGACTTGCGTGTCGTCGTCGAGAGTCACAGGACCGATTTCGATGCCTAGACCCTTATAAATCCTGGGATTCTTGCCCGAGGTCTCGATCTTCGGGTCAATCTTGTCGGCACCCTCATTGACGCCGTGCGAGTCGATGGCCGCTTGTTTCTGCTCGATTTTGCTGTACGATTCGAACTCTGGAGCGAGAACAGTTTCGAAGCCAAATGCCCGCAGAGTCGAGGGCGGCATGGCTTTGACCTCGGCGTCGGTGAGACCCCAGTTTAGCCAGATTACGCGGATTCCTGCTTTGCGGGCGGCAGGGATGGCGTGGTCGAGGAGTGCTTTCTGGGCAGCGAGGCCCTTTGAATCCTTTGGACGGCCGAGGTTTGGCGACAGGAAGAAGTTTTGCATGTCGATTATGACGAGGGCGGATTTGGTTGAGGCGATGGTTATGGGTAACGTCGTGGTTTTAACGGTGTAATTTGGCGTTGTCGATGGTGAGGTTGGTGTTTCTGGGTGAGTGAGGTCGAAGCCCTTTGTTGAGTCGTAGAGCCAGAATGAGCCTTTGGGGTCGCCGATGATGGCTTTGCGGTGGTCTGGGTCGGTGTTGTCCATCATGGGAGGACGGGACGAGGCTGAGATGATAAGGGGGTTTTGGGGGCCGTAAAGATGGGGCAGCACGAGAACTGGCAAAGCGAGGGAGGTACTGTACGTCCGTACTTGAATTATGGCCGATCAAAGCTTGTATATTCTCAAGAGGACCTCATATGAGTAGAGATGAGATTCTAGATATAGTGTATATATTTTGTCCTCGAGGGAGCTGTTGATATCGGTCGAACCCCGCAATCAGATAAGCTCCTAAACGGGAAGGAGACGACGAGGTACATAGCATTGCTCCCGGACAGCCTTGTGTGTCACGCTTTTCTCCGTCAGGACTTCAATGTCAGGATAGTACTTCATCAAAGATTTTGTCATCGAGACCATTGAAAAGATGACCTGTGCTTTTACTGACACCTTGTGTGAACCGTAAGCAGACTTCTGGCCAGGGAAGAACAGTGGTCGGCTTGGTATCACGTTGCACTATGCTGACATCTCATCCGTCGTGGAGATAACCCCTGTAAATTCCCTGAAGCTCGATGGCATAGCGATCAAATGCAGTGATATAGTATCAGTTCGACGCCCGAGCAAATGCTGATACTGTATCCGTGCAACGCCAAAGGATGAGTTAGCCGCATCCCCCCCCCTTACCGGGCCGCCTAAGTTAAGCTTAGGCCACGGCTAAATTACCCCACAAATCGAATCGAACCGTGTCACCTTTGGAATTGTTTTTGGTTCTCCAGAAATGTGGTCTCGAGACCAGAACATCCCACCATTTGGTTGCCACTTGTCCTGAAAAGCTATTCCTCTTTGACCTGCATAGCGTGCTCAATTTCTTGACGTTTGAACTTGTATATACTCTCCTCTACTTCCATCACATCTTCAGCCACTACAATATGGCTGTCCTTCAAGCTCGAGTCAAAAGTGTGCTGTCAGGCGACACCTTGATCATCACCAACCAGAAAGGTGCTGAACGGAGTCTGTCCTTGGCTTACATTTCAGCTCCTCGTCTGAAGAGAGAAGGTGACGAGGTAACACAGTCCTTGGCTCGTTTGCGTTCTTATTCTAATTACATGCTAGCCCTTCGCATTTCAATCTCGCGAGTTCATTCGAGAACAAGTCCTCGGAAAGGTGGTTCAATTCGAGGTCCTATATGCCATTCCCACCACGAAACGAGAATATGGCCGAGTCAAGCTCGCCACAGGCGTCGAACTACCAGATCTGATCGTGCAGGAGGGGTGGGCCAAAGTGCGGGAAGATGCAGGTAAAAAGGAGGATGACGAAAATGCTCTCGCATACCTCGACAAACTCCGATCCTTGGAGAGCGAGGCAAAGGCCAGCAACAAAGGAGTTTGGGGAAAGGGCGGTCAGATCGAGAACTCGTCTGAAGTCCCGGATCCAAATGCCTTGGTGGAACAATACAAGGGCAAGAAGGTGGATGCAATCATCGAGCGTGTCCTCACTGGTGACCGCCTCATTGCCCGAGTTCTGCTTACACCGACCAAGCATGTCCAGACCATGCTAGTCCTGGCTGGTGTACGAGCTCCTGCAACAAAGCGGACGTCGCCAGAAGGAAAGGAGATTCCTGCGGAGCCCTACGGCACCGAAGCTCATGCCTTTGTTGAAGAGAGGTTACACCAGCGGAAATGTGCAGTCGAGCTATTGGGTGTTACTCCACAAGGTCAACTCATTGCACATGTGTTACATCCTCGAGGAAACATCGCAAAATTCTTACTTGAGGCCGGCCTAGCCAGATCGAACGACCAACATGTCACTCTTCTCGGAAACGAAATGGCACAGTTCAGAAATACGGAGAATGCAGCGAAGCATGCTCGTAAGGGAGTGTTTACCGGTGTATCGGCCGCCAAATCTTCTGGTGTCCAAGAGGCGGAATTTACTGTCTCCCGAGTACTAAACGCAGAGACAGTCTTCCTTCGACCACGGTCTGGTGAGGAGAGAAAAGTCACTCTCTCAAGCGTTCGTCAACCCAAGCCTTCAGATCCGAAACAGGCTCCTTTTGGTGCCGATGCAAAGGAGTTCTTGAGAAAGCGACTGATCGGCAAGCACGTCAAAGTCACTATTGATGGCAAGCGGCCTGCTTCCGAAGGCTTCGAGGAGCGAGAAGTGGCCACAGTGAACGCAAACGGGAAGAACATTGCCCTGGCGTTGGTGGAAGCTGGCTATGCCTCAGTAGTCAGACATCGACGTGACGATGATGACCGTTCGCCTGATTACGACGCCCTCCTCCTTGCTGAAGAGACTGCACAAAAGGAAGAAAAAGGCATGTGGTCACCAAAGCCGCCTGCTGTCAAGCAATACCAGGACTACTCCGAGAGTCTGCAGAAAGCCAAAATGGAAGCATCTGTCCTGCAAAGACAGAAAAAAGTCCCAGCTGTGGTTGATTTTGTGCGTTCTGGATCACGATTTGTGGTACTTGTCCCTCGCGAGAACGCCAAACTTACCTTTATTCTCTCCGGTATTCGTACACCAAAGCCGGCCAGACAACAAGGAGATACCGCCGAACCGTTCGGACAAGAAGCACATGATTTCGCCGTTCGGAGATGCATGCAACGAGATGTCGAGATCGACGTTGAGAACACGGACAAAGTCGGTGGGTTCATTGGTTCCATGTACGTCGGACGGGAGAACTTCGCGAAAGCTTTGGTAGAAGAAGGTCTTGCAGAAGTGCATGCTTATTCTGCCGAGCAAAGTGGACATGCAAATGAGCTGTTTGCTGCCGAAGCCAAGGCGAAAGAGGCTCGAAAAGGCATGTGGCATGACTGGGACCCCAGCAAAGAGGTAGAGGAAGACGTACCTGCAGCTCCGACGAACGGCACGAATGGTACCAATGGTGATTCGGTGGAGAGAAGAAAAGACTATCGCGACATGGTGGTAACGTTTGTGGATGAAGCCGGCAAGCTGAAGGTCCAACAAGTTGGAGCTGGAACGACACAGTTGACGGACTTGATGAGAGCTTTCGCGTCATTTCACTTGAACAAAGCCAATGATCAACCACTTCCTGGACCTCCCAAGGTCGGCGACGTTGTTGCGGCCAAATTTACCGCGGACGATGAATGGTACCGTGCCAGAGTCCGCCGGGTTGACCGTGAGAACAAAAAGGTCGATCTGACTTATCTTGATTACGGCAACAACGAGACGCTGCCATGGTCGCGTTTACGACCCCTGAGTCAACCACAATTCTCGACTCAAAAACTGAAGCCACAGGCTACGGACGCTGTATTGTCATTCTGCCAGCTGCCTACCACCGAACAATACCTCCGTGATACGGTGGGCTTTATAATGGAACAGACCGAAGGCCGGGAATTGGTGGCCAACGTTGACTATGTCTCTCCGGAAGGAACATTGCACATCACATTACTCGATCCGAAAGTGTCCTCCAAGATTGACGAAAGCATCAATGCCGAGGTGGTGAGGGAGGGATTGGCAATGGTCCCGACGAAGCTGAAGCCGTGGGAGCGACAGGCAGCAGACACTCTGACGAAGCTTAGAGAGCTCCAGGATGAGGCTAAGAAGGAGCGCCGAGGTATGTGGGAATACGGAGACTTGACGGAAGATTAGAAAATCAATCGTGGTATATATCACAGGATCTGATGACTGGACTCGGCCGACAGGGAGATCTGAATGAGAATGCAAAAGTTCCGAGCATTTTTTACGCGGCAGAGCCTTACCTATCGTATACCCAATAAAGAAATCAAAGGCTGCTTACTCGATCCCGTGCGGCACATTACCTCAGCTGACGAGGATGTCGACCATCTGCCAGTAAAATAGGCGCATGTTAATATTTGGCGAATCGGTAAGCCGTGCCGGTAAGGGTCATGTCTCCAAAGTATATCTCGAGTCATTTGGTGTTGGAGTAAAAGGTCTTCCAGCACGGCCAACACAGTATGCCTTCGATGAGTAAGATAACAACAAGAATTCCGTCGGCATATTCAGGCGTACTAAGAGCATTACTAGTACTAGTAGTTACTTCATGACGACAGTGAAGGATTGCCATGGAAAGGGATCATAATCGACGCTCTGATTCAAGAAGTGGATGGATAGTCGGCCTGAATTTATGCCTTTGCCGCCCGAGGGGCCGGGTACGGGAACGATTGTGGTTCTGCATTGCATCTTTTGTGCATCGCGAATAAATAGATGATATCAGCGACAGCCCGCTGACACCTTTTTCCATGCAATCATATCTCAGCATTCGACCGATCACGGTCCATTTGTCCTCGGCGTGCTGACTTTGCCGACATAGACTTTCTCGTACGGAGTGGCCGTTGCTCTCTACCAGCCTGGTGTCATTAATCTGCGCTACACTTTTCTACACACCCAGTCCTGTTGGTTTGTATGCTTTACAGTCTGCTGAGCATTTCTCCTTAATCTGCCCACCTCTCTTGTGCTGCTGCGACATTGATCTGCGAGTGAACATCGCTGCCACCAAACCATATATACCCGCGTTGCATGGTCAAAGCCAGGCGCCGCACGAGATGAGCCAACTCCATAGAACCATGACGGGCCAATCGCAACAGTCGCATATCTCAGAACAGACTATCCCAGCGAACTCGCCAACGCTATCGAGAACGACAACAGCAGACCCATTGACCGGCACGATAAATCACCTAACGCCGGTTCAGGAAGAGAAGCTTCAGGAATTCAAGAGACAACTAGAAAAAGGAGGATGGTGGACACCCAATGGAGTCAATGGCAAACCCAGCCACGATGACGGTACACTGGTGTATGTCTTGTGCGACGAGAGACCCCCGAACCTGCGCTGACTGTGCTTCAGACGATATCTCCGCGCCCGGAAGTTCGATATCAGCGGTGCGATCGGTCAATTCACCGACCACGAGAAATGGCTGAAGGAAGAACGCGTCGAAGAGCTCTACGATCATTTCGATGTCGAAGCCTATGAGAGGGCACGATTAATGGTGAGTTTGCGCCACGAGAGCCACCACAACGTTGGAGAGCTAACAACTCGGACAGTATCCTCAATGGACCGGTCACCGTGACAAGAGAGGTATCCCCATCTACGTCTACGTGATCAAAGGCCTCGACAGCAAAAGTGTGTCCAAGTACCAGAAAGAGACTCAGGCCTACAAGGACAGTCTGCCATACCACAAGAACCTCCAAACTCCGGCCAAATTACTACCTCTATTCGCATTGTACCAAAACCTCCTGACCTTTGTCCTTCCCCTGGTTTCGTCGCTAGATCGACCGAACCCTGAAGTCCCCGTCACGAATTCGACAAACATTGTCGACATCCAAGGTGTCGGCCTAACTCAATTCTGGAATCTCAAACAGCACATGCAAGATGCTAGTGTCCTTGCTACTGCGCATTATCCAGAGACACTGGACAGAATATTTGTACGTATCTTCCGTTGGCAGCAGGTTCTCTGAATTGACATGAAACCCAGATAATCGGTGCTCCCTCCTTCTTCCCAACAGTATGGGGCTGGATCAAAAGGTGGTTCGATCCCGTGACAGTTTCCAAAATCTTCATCCTCAGTAAGCATGACGTCAAGCCGACTCTCTCCAAGTACATGGAGTTGAGGGACATCCCTAAACGGTACGGCGGTGAGCTCGAGTGGGAATGGGGAAATCTGCCTCATTTGGACGCAGAGACGCGCGCTGCTGTCGAGAAGGACGGCAATAAAGGTTGGGTAAAGGGTCCGTGTCTGTGGCTCAGCGGGCGCAGGGTAGTTGTTGGATCGGAGAAGGGCAAGATCAGAACACCAGACGCTGAAGTGCAGAAGTTGCAGCCTGTTGTCTACGCGGCCGATTACACCGCGATTCCAGTCCATCCCGAAAAGACGATGTCGAAGTCGCAGGCAAATCATAATGAGGCGCCTCAAACGCAACATCACCACAGCCACCACAATCACCACAGCCATCACCACCATCAATCACAGCAAGCGAATGGCACGGCCGAGCCGCATCACCGCGCTGAAGAGGCCGCCCTTGCGGCGGGTGGTGGCGCCACAGCGGCTACCATCATCCAAAAGGAGACTTCACATCCTATCGACCAACCGCCTGCCGTCACTGAAAGGGAGACGAGTCAACCTTCTGCCCAACCTCATGCGCATCCTCTGACCGGCGGTTCTCTGTACGCTTCAGTTACATCATCAGCTCCAGCACCAGCACCATCTGCAGCTCCAGCACCGTCAGAATCGTATATCGCCCCAACTCCCACTACGCAAGCGCCACCCCAAGTATATGATCATGCCCCAGCACAACCTCAACCCGGCCCTGTCCCCGCGCACGCCGTGCTCATGACAAAAGCCATTGTGGAAAAATTGCAGGGCGAATCTGTTTCAGTCATCCCAGCCTCCGCGAACGGTCATGCAGGTGGGCACCCGGAGGTCACGGTGGCGAGTGATCCGTCGAAAGGCCTGGCTATTGAGACGGAACGACTTGCTCTGGCGGATGCTGGTGCTGGTGTCAGTATTGCTCAAAGGCCACATATTGAGAGGTTTGTTACGGCGGCAGAAATTTAGGAACGGCCTGAGGCCGGTCTGTGTTGATGTTGTCTGGTTGCTTGACTTATGCTCTGTTTGGTTCTGGTTGTTTGCAAAAGCGCATGCATGACTGAATGTGACGGTCTTGAGTATACCTATATTAAATCGTTGGCTGTGTCACAGGCACTTTTGGTTTTGATGTTTCGGCTTTGAATGGATCACGGAACGAGATTGCATTGCACGGGGAAGATCGTACAGTAACATGTTATTACGCACAATATCCATTTGATTGAGATCGTTCATGAGAAACCATGCAGGGATTGAGTACGGTTGGTTAGATGAGCTTTTTGGTATTTATTGCTAGTCTTATCATCTCATCATGCCCCAATAACCCACGAGCATATGTCCGGTGTCTCCATGCAACACATTGAGGTTCTTGTTCTTCGCGCAAGGCTATCGGTAGCCCCCACGTTTCAGGTACTGTGCTTACAACATCCTCAGACATTATGTACCTGAATCCTTGGTTTTGATCATAAAATTTCATATTTATGCGGCAATGCCGATGACACCGCAGGCAGGTCGAGGGCCAGCGTTGCCGGTCTTCTTGGACTCCTCGTTCCCGCCCTTTCCGAGGTCATCAGTACCGGCGTGGACGACGATGGTTCGCTGTGAATGGTTTGTCAGTATCTTATTGCAATTTGTGCAGTTGTAGACATACTCCGAGAACGCTGTGCTCGCCAATGAGCTTGATGAAGCTGTCGCTGTGGTTGCCCTTGGCGTTTCCTTGACCATCGGTCTTGAAGTTGCCGAGGTCACCAACATGGCGGACCTCGTCGGTCGGGGCACCGTGGGTCTTGCCATGGGGGTTGTCTGGAGCCGAGTATGTCAGCTCGGTATTCTTCCACATCTTTTGGCATTTCATGACATACAGTGAGGGCCAGCGCTGGTGCAGCCGTTGGTGTTGTCACCGAATTGATGAATGTGCATGCCCCGCTCGGCATTGGCGTCGTGGCCAGAGATGTCCCAGGTGATGGTGGTGGGGGATGACTCGGAGGTTTGCTCGAAGGTCACTTGTCCGGTAACCTTGGAGTCTCCTCGGAGGACGGCAACTGTAAAGATGGCGCAAGTCAGCTACTTCATCCTGGTTGTGCGGACAGATTGATGCTGACAAAACAGAGGGAAGGAGTCTTGCAGCTGCTGTGGTTGCGTGGATGGTGCATAGAGTGGACTCACCTGCTTTGACCATTTTGACGGTTTGATTGAGTTTGTACGGAAGATGATGGATGTACAAGAAGTGATTTGATAGAGGTTGTTTACAAAGAAAGAGAGAAAAGGGAAGAGAAGAGAGTTGGAGTAGAGTAGAAGGTGTAATCTTCACAATGGCAGTAGTGGAGTCGGTTTCGATGATGGAATTGCACCGAACAAACGGCAAGCAGGAGCAGGAGCTATACAATCTCCATTTCCGTACACTGGCCTGTAGGTACTTGTGGTCCTGTACGATGAAGCAATGGAGGGGTTCCTGCAAATACTTCCCCACCTTTAGGCCCTTCAACCCCTCCACTTGTCACCAGTAGATGTCATTTGAATCACCCGAGGCTCCGAAGATACTGCGATTATTTAGACCTAGGCCTTCAATCTTCCTAGTAGTAATCCTTTGCAGTCGACACACCTGCTGTATTTTGGGCAAGACACTCATACCCCAAATGGCATATTCTACACGGCAAGAGCACGCAAATCGACACGAGTCGATGACAATATCGCGGAGATGGTCGTGTCCGGAATAGCCCGCCTATGTGGGTTTTTGCTCGGCGAGATGCCAGTTATAGCATACCTAGGAAGCTCGACACTCATGAGCTAGCCACATACAATCATGCAAAGCATCCAGGCGAGTACGTACCCAAGGTGAAGTCTGTTGATGAATATGGGACTGTTGTGGAAGCAACTCCTGAATTCTGCGATTCATACTATAGCATCTGATCTACGCGTCTGCACATTCCTGGGATGATGTGTCGACGATAAAGTTGTAGCAGTGTGCACAACGAAAGATGAATTGCTGTGTCTATGTCCAAAGATCTATGAGAAAACTCATGTCATGACCAGGATCGATTCGCACGGGGAAGAGTCGCGACTCATGGTCGACCCGTCCGCCCAGTCAACGCCTGGCCTCAAGCTATGCTGCAACATCAAAGCGCCTTCATTGGTAAACGCCCATTCATAGCATGTATGCCTTCATTTCAAGGTCTTGAAAATCCCGACAAACTTCAAGGCCACGTTGACCATGAGTGCGGCAGAGGCCAACACCACAAAGATCTGTCCGATTTCCATCCAGTTGTTGAGAGTCATCTCTGTCTCGATGAACCCATCCTTGGAAACCCCTTTCCCAGAATCTGCTGCTTCGACATCGGCTGGAAATCGTCCAGTATTGTACCACTGCTCGAGCAAGTCATCCTTCTCCCGCCAGCGTTCTAACAGCCACTGTTCAAAATGCGCCTGGTCGCTGAGCGGGATGGATGAAACGGCAAACCGACGCCAATACATGTTGACACATTTGGGCGGTCGTCCTTGCAGATAAGTCGTCCGAATCGTGAAGAGTTCCGGAGCATAGGCCCCTTTCGGTGTTCCTTCGTACGCAATTGTACAGTCATAAACCCAATCTACTGTACCTTTCAACTGTTGAAGGATAAAGAAAAGACCAGTACTCCGTGGAAGTAGCAGGTGCCTCGTGTCAGGAATATGCTGCTTCTCAGCCCATTTGACGCTCGCTTTCCTGGTATTGGCTGATAAATTCGTGCCTTCTGGGAAGACCAACAGCCACATGGGATCGAGCCCTTGAGAGCCAGACATTGGACCACTGTGGCGTGTTTTCAACTTCTCCAGACGGTATTTGAGACGGGCTTGGTCCTTTTCCCATTTGCGAGCCATGAAAATGAAGCCATAGAACATCATGCCCGGCCCCAGAAGAGGGACATACTTGAGTGACTCTTTCAGGATGATGAAGATGTGTCCGTGCATCCTACTCGTGTACGCAATCCACCAAAGATACAGCCATTCGGTGTAGACCTGGTGATTAGAGACGCAGACCATACGCTCTGGGAAGGACGTTTCTAGTCTTCCTGAAGTGGTCTTGTGGAACTGGCCTCTCAGCTCCTTGTCCCAACTGACACGGAATTTCGTAGGTGAAAACCAGCGCGTGCCAGCGACACCCACGATCCCGAAGGACTGCTTCGTCAATGCCATGTATGCATAGTAGAGGTCTCTATTCCACAAATACAAAGGCGCCCCCAAGAATTGTGTGACGTGTATCGCGATGCAGGTGCCGTTGAACCACGTCAGGAGCAGCAGAGCGCGAACAACCTGAGCCCATGTCCCATACTTGATCTCCCCTGCAGGGTGCTCTTTCGTTTCCACTGCGCTGTCTGCTTCATCCGTCTTGTAAATGTCACTGATCAAAGACTGCGTATTGCGCTTTCTGAGGGTATCGTCTGGCATTATGATTGTATATACGAGAAGAAGGAAAGAGGGTTGCAGGTGTAGTCTATAAGGCCTTTTCCATTTGTGGGACAGTCAGCCTGGAGAGGACGGCGGGCGGAGGATAGATAGTTGGGTCCGGCTCATCAATCTGCAAACAAGGGTAGGAAAGAGGACAGCGCAACGGAAGTAGGGCGAATGGCGGAATGCAAGAATGCAAAGCAATGAGGGCAACACGAGATACGAAATGCAAGTGTGCCTTGGGGAAAGAAGTGGTCAAGGCTGGCTGAATCGATGTTAGATATCGATCTCGTGCGCAGGCACGGATGATGCGGTGGTTCATGGGGCCATTTCAGTGGAGGGGCCACCGGGTGCCCGGAGTCAAAGGAAAGTCTCTTTTACGGGTGCCTAAGTGCCCGCAATGCCAGTGCCCTAGAACAGGGATTCAAAGCTTGACCAATTTGACCGAGGCTGAATGACTAAGCACTCCTGATAAGCACGTGACATCATGATTTGTACCTCAACTTGCTTCACAATCTGATGTTTGCTCTTCCATGTCATGGCGGACCATCTCATCGTCGACAATGGGTGCAATACCAGGTCTGGACGAACAGGTCATATGACCCTTTCACATTCTGTCTCACCGAGCCTCTGATTCTGGCGCGGCAAGGAAAAGACAGCCCACAGATCTGTCACGAACCTTGAAATCCTCACAGCCCAGGGCCATCTCTTGTTGCCTCATCCAGCAGTATAAAATGTCAGCAGTGCTCTTTGTCAAACGTAAGGCACTGTCTTCACAAACAATATGCCCTCTTCTCAGCCCAACAAGCTCTGCGTTCCGTCCTAAGAACAAAGTGATACAACACTTTGTGCGATCCAGACAGGTCTGGATTCATCCATCGCACGATGGGCGCGCCCGCGCCTTCAGCTCGACCAGGTTGAACGCAAAACGACTGTTACTTAACGCGTTGCCCCCTCGTACAAACTTCTATTTAAAGGAAGCTCCAGCCAAAGAACCTCTCTCCCTTGAATGGTATCAACCACCGAGAAATCTTTTGTTGATAAAGAAGGACTGCTCAGAAGAGTCAACAGAAGCTCTCAAAGAGTTCGGCAAGCATGTCAAGTCCACCTACCCAGAAGTCAACATTCTCCTTGAAGCTCGAGTATCATCTGAGATTGGCGACAACTTGAACTTTGACCACTTCGGTCCCACAGATTCAGCAGATCCGAAACCACAGTACCACGATAAAGTCGATCTTGTTGTAACATTTGGTGGCGATGGAACGATCCTGCACGCTGCCTCTCTTTTCGCCACATCCTCCAAAGTACCGCCGATACTCTCGTTCAGCATGGGCACGCTTGGTTTTCTGAGCGAGTGGAAAATTTCCGAATACAAACGAGCTTTTCGCGAGACATACATGTCAGGCGCCACCTCAGAGAGACATTCTGTCATCGAAGGGCCATCATCAACAGGTGCCAAAGGTGACCATACCGGCTGGTCATCGGCACGAGGAAAGAGCATGGGTCAGGCAAGAGGGGCAAGAGTCCTTGTACGACAACGGCTCAAGGTAGCTATCTTCGACCCTGAGGACAACCAGCTTAGCAGCAATGGGGACACCCTGCACGACACACATGCAATGAATGAAGTCATCCTTCACAGAGGCCGAGATCCGCACCTTGCCATCATGGAGGTATATGTTGGTGGCCGCTTCCTCACCGAAGCAGTGGCAGACGGCATGATTATCTCGACTCCAACTGGCAGCACAGCGTACAGTCTCAGCTCGGGTGGAAGCATCATTCACCCTCTCGTATCTTCTTTGCTCCTTACACCGATCTGTCCTCGAAGCTTGAGCTTTCGCCCTCTCGTCCTGCCAGCCACCACACCGATCACTTTGAAGTTGAGTGAGAAGAACAGAGGTCGAGAAGTCGAAGTCAGCATCGACGGGGTGAGAAGAAGAGAGGGCATCGGTGTTGGAACAGAATTGCGTGTCTCAGGAGAAGAAATCAAGACCGAGACTGATGGATTTGTGGCCGGTATTCCCTGCATCATGCGAGGAGCTAGTGCAGGCACTGAGTCAGATGATGGATGGGTTGGTGGTCTGAATGGCCTGTTGAAGTTCAACTATCCATTTGGCGAAGAAAGATGAGAACAGCACTCAACACACTTCCACTCCCGATCAAGCAACGATCGCGCTGCAATGCTTGTGAAAGCATCCCTACCACTATGGCATCAAGGTCTGGGATCGCTTTCGATGCCATTGCCGTTGCATCACAGGGCAAACCAGACGAGCCACATCAGAGCCTTACCGATCCAGTTCAGCATGGATAGTACTGGGCGTCATGGTCTCTCAAGTTGTACTCAGTGTCTCGTCGCATAGCAACATGGGCTTCTTCTTCCTCTCGACACCTTGAGTCTCTTGTCCAATTGTGACAGAGCCACTTTGCGGGTTACCCTTCTGCAGAGGAGACGTGAGCGTCACCCAGCATGTCCTTGATCGTTCTCTTCGAACTGCTAGAGGAATGTGCCCGATAATGTGTCAAGCTGGGGCGATCGAGCATGACATGGCAAACCCAGCAGCATACATGCGGCCACATGTATCACCGTCACAAGATGGCATCCACTTCAGCGCATCCGCCATCATCCGGGCTTTGAGCGCAGGCAATGGGTGTCACTGCTTAAGAAGCAGTGAACCTCCATAAGCCGGCTCTTTGCACCATAAAAATATATAAATTAACCCTTTCATTCGCCACGACCAGCATAAGCACCGAGAGACAAAGCGCTGTGCAAGTGATCTAGCGCCGATATGAGGTCACGGGGACATCTCATCCGCTGACGGCAGTCATGACAACCAATGGGAAAAGGACGTCAACGAGTCCGACGCTGGCCAAGAGGAGAAAGCGGAACAAGAGCCTCACTGGCGATGGAGCTTCGACCAGACGGTCGACCGGAACCAGGCACCGCAGTCAATGATGGCGCGCAGATCATTGACAACAACGCCTTGTATCCGGCATATGACTTCGTTGGAGGAATGGAATAGACGCTTGTTGAGGGAATGGGAGAGGTGCTTGCTGAGGCACCAGGCGAGTACCTCAACGTTGACAGACCTACCAATGCTGGAATGAGGGAATACGAGTTGAATGCCACTGGCATGAACGAGGACGACTGGGCTGAGGCTGGGCTGAGGCCGAAGAAGGTTTGGCCTGTATGAGAATGACACCGATGATGCCGTGGAGTCCACATCCTGTCAGCAGCCAACCTCAACGATCCGAGCTATGCACAGCAAGCCGTCCCATTCCAAGAATTCGGCTTGAGCGATCTCGACATGCATCGGGCGTGCCGCGAAACAGAAGCACGAGACCGAGCAACCATCGCCCGGCTTGAGTACAACGTCCAGATTCTCCAAAACTACATCCGTCTCAAGGAAGAAGAGCACGAGCTAGATATTCGAGCATCTCCATGGTGACCAAGAACAACAGGCCGAATCATGGCTCCCGAACAAGAAAGGACTCCTGAGGTAGGTAACAAACTGTTCTTGACCCAATCGTCCATCCAGTATTGCTCGGATTATGAGGGAGAGCAGAATCGACACCTTCCGCCAGTGACTCTACGACCGAGTCACTACTCGGAGAGTCATTCAAGTCTTGCTCGAAAGCAACCAGGGAATGTCGATGCTGAATAGAATCGAAACATGGCTCCTGAAATGGCTCTGCGCAGTGGCATGAGAGGACGACGGATGTCTTCATCTACGCTCACCTTCTGAGGACGACAACAATGTCAGTCGGCAAAAGTGAACTGAGAGTCTCGGTTCTGCTCCGCCTTGCGAAACTTCGAAGACGCAGCATTCACTTTCGAGGTCTGGCAGAAAGGCAGTCCGCAGCAATGAAATTCACCAACCGAGAGTACGACAACTGCCTGCGACTTGCAAACAACAATCTCCTCTGCCGCTACCTGCAATCTGTTGGCAAGAAGGATCATCTCTCGAACCTCGATTGACTCTCCTAAACTCAGCAGTCTCGCAAGCCTTTACAGCTTAGTCTTGATACACATCGTTGCACTCGAGAGACACTTCATCTTCACTCCTGAGAGACTCCTCATTTCATCAGCTTCACGAGCATTCAAACTCACACGATCACAGCGAGATTCACCAAGCTGCACTGAAGATTCCTTCTCCAGCCGAAGTCGAAACCCCTTCACACTCTTGGAAGTCCATCTTCTCAACTCATTGCATTGTGTGGTCCCTCAAACGAGTACTCGCTTCGTCTCATTGTTGCTCCCTCAAGTCCGACAAGTTGCAAGTCGAATCACCTCGACTCTCGATCGAACTTCGAACCACCAGGACCTCACTTGTATTTCTCAAGTCACCACAAAAAATCAGGAAAAATGGCATCACAAAGAGCTCAGAGCCAGCTGAACAGACATATTGTGATTGATATTGCTGGGACAACACCTGCCAATATTCAAGCACCGCCAACTTTGCTCAATCAACCAGCTCGCCCAGCTTTTCCTGCATACAGACTCGGATACAATGCGGGCGCCAATGTCACAAGAGTCGCTCAGATAATTCCTCCACCTCCAGCCAACAGACAAGGCTTAGCTCACCCATACAACATGCTTGCAGAAGACAATCTTCATCCCGCACTCTTCCAGATCGAGGCATTCCCAAACAACCTTGCACAGGTTCCGGTACCTCTTCTTGTGAACCAACAGACAGGCCAGGTCGAGACAAACTCCACTGGCAGAGAGATCCGATACTTCTGGCATATGCCACGCTGGGTTGCCCTCGATGTCTCAGGCATGCTGATGGAACTGTGGTTGCGCCTGGACCCACGCGTCGAGATGAGAGACATTCTCGACCGAATCAACACCGGCAACAGAGCGATGCCAGGCCCAAATGTCTTCAACATGCGCCGCAATCGCTTTCGCTTGTCAATCAATGTCCCATCGCAAAACACAGGCCGCCAGATGCCATCGGCCACCGAGGTCGAGATGCTAGGGTTGTTGACAAGAGAACAAATCCTGCTGAACACCAGTATGCTCGTGGACCTCCCACACAATCGTCTCCTGCAACCCGTCCTGGCCAACGACCGAAGAACCCTGGGCTACGTCGACGCGCGCCTGCCAATAGACCACTTCCTCGTCGCCTTTCCAATGCCGATCCCAATCCCAACCAACCGCCAGCTCGTCACGTTGCAGTTGCGGCACCGCATGCAAACACTGGCAATGCTGAGGGGTCTTGGACACGGGGCGAACGCCTACACAACGCTGCCGATCAACTTGCAGCCAGCCTGGTGGAACGAACGGCGCCAGGGCGGCAATGTGCAAGTTGGCCGCATCGTCGACATCGACGACCGTACTCACGAGGAGTTCGTCCAGGGCTTGTTAACGCAGTACCCTGCTCGCGTTCAGCAGACTGCCAGGCGCACTGGCCAGCAGCGGCGACAGCAGCGACCGCAACAACAACAGCAACAACAACCTGCTCCGGCCGTGCAGCCGGCAGTCAACAACGTGGTAGCGCCAGCGCCGGCGCCAATGCCGATCGACCCGCGCCTGCTTGTTGCCAATCCAGTGCCTGTCGTTGGGGTGACCAGTGAGATTCGGACGCCAGATGGCGCAATCCACGCTTATGTCGAGGACGTGCATCAGGCGATCTATCGCTGAAGTTTGCGCTGTTGCCTCCGGTCGTTGCATCGATGGTGCCCGTGGCAGTGGCAGCGGCAGCGGCAGCGGCAACGGCGGTAGGGCGGCGGCGGCGGTGGTGGTGGTGGTTGTGGTGGTGGAGGAGGAGGTGGAGGAGAAGAGATGCTGTGGTCGCTTTCACGTTGGGACAAGTGCTTTACGATAGAATAGAAGTGGGCCCGAGGCCAAATGATACCCCTGGATTGATATTATTGAAACAAACCGCTACTTCCATCGTTTATACGTGCTAAACGTATGCCATGATCGTATTGGGCTATTCCATTTAGACTGAAAGAAGATCAAGTCTAAATGATTCGTGTCCGACGGAAATCCTAGCTGTCACCAAGTCTATCTGTCACATCCCTGAGATACTGCAGCCTCGTCATCACGTGATATCAATAATCGTCGGATAACTTCCTAACCATATTGAAGCCACTGCCATTCTCATAATCTTGACGGCATCAAAGGTGACGGGAGACAATGTGCCTGTGACAAAGTATCCATTGGGTCTGCGAAGAGCATGTTCATCATGTGTCTGATTCTGCCAGACCAACACAACTTCTGGCCCAGACCGCCTTTGTCCGCACGACACATGGTGTGCTTCCTTCTACACAACCGCACTCTTACATTCATGAACACAACGCCGAGACAAATATCCCCTCGCTTATGTCGTCGGCGACTCCGATTCTGCGTAGCGATAGAACAATCCGGAAAACAATGATGTCGGCGAGGACTATCCTCTCCCTGAGGCGTCCCAAACTGGATCTGAAATTCACCTTGCTGCTTCTGCGTACCCATCAACCCAAACAACACAACAAGACGCGGTCTGATCACTCGAATCTTCAAGTCTCGAGAGGCTGTCGTCTCCTAATTTCTCAGTTTCTTGGATAGTCGACGTCGCCGGGCCTGCAATCTCGATCCTTCGCAGCTTGGACTTATCACAGCACTTTCAAGGCTCGACGAAGAGTCTCTCTGATCGCAAACTCGAGAACACACCAACGAACAACGACAGACCTCAGCAGATCTTGCTCTGTGCCGTGTCCTCGGGTCTCTCAACCTCTTTCTCGATCGAAATGTAAGTAATACTGACCCAGGAGGCTGAAAACATCACTGACCATGGTCAAGAACCATCTCAAATCACCATCATCATGTCTGATCGACGCAACGAACACTATTCGATGCCCAGAACACTCTCTCAGTCCCCGCTTTTCTGTTCTCCAGACATGGCTGCTGATTCCGATCTCGATTTCGACGATACCAACGCTTTCGAACTCGATACCGACTTGGTTACGTCAAAACCAAAGTTCAATGCTGCTCGTTCGTCTACGCTTCCTCCAGGATGGGATGATTTGTCAAATGAAGAAGAACAGGAAGGAGAAGCCGAGGAGTATGCTGGCGAAGGTGAAGAACACGCAGGGAACGGTCTCGACATTCGCACACCGCCACTAAATGATAATCCTTGGTTCACCCGCGAAGAGGCAGCGACCATTCTGTCCGCCATTGCCCTTGCCGAAGAGAAACCTCCCGGTATCAAGGCCATGGATCTCGGCGCAGCTTTTGCTCGTCGTTCTGCAGACCTTGCTCGCGATGCTGCTGCCGATATCATCAAGCAACAGCCAATAAAGAAAGCCGAAGCCATGCAAGACCCAGATGAACTTGAATCAGATATCACTGACAGCGAAGAAGAGAAACCATGGGGCTTCGCATACCAGGGCTATGCATGGCGCAACGATCCTAGGGCGAAGCATCTGACCATAGAGCAGATGCAGGCGCAGATGGATGCAGAGAAGGAGGACGCCCCGCTCATTCGGCGCCAGTCTGAGGACCTGGGCGATGTCGTCCGCCAGTGCAACGAGAGGCGGGAGCGTCGGGCGGTCCGCAGGGCGGCAAAGGCCAGGAAGGAGGAGAAGGCCCGTCGTTGGGCGCCGTATTGAACGTACTATGGGGAAGGCGTTGCTCGAGGAGGTCTTGTGGGTGTCTTGGTCGTTTTTGGCCTGGTTGGTTTGGATACTCTGCCCATCGACAAGCGGCAACGAGGTTGAGATAGCCCTGGAGGTAGACGGACCTCCAATGTGAAGGTATTTCCAACGCTTCTATCCCTTGTTTTCCATGGCCATGATGTGATCCAGGAGGACGTGGTCCTCAAGGTCTAGGATTTCTGCCTTTGCAGGTTCCGGAGAACGGTCTCTCGCTTGTGCAGCAAGTCGTCGACCTTGACTACGGTCACCGGCAGAGAAACACCTGGTAGGATGCGATACCGACGCCGGAGTTCTGGGAAGACAGCGGCAAAACCACCGCTGAAACTCCAATTCTCGAGATCCCAGACGTGCTCTACAAACGTGGCTGAGAGGGTCATTTTCCCGGAAGTCGGGTTGATATCAACTGCAGTTTCCAGGCCCTTGTGCCAGTTGACGGTCGTACCGAACGATTGACTGGCAAGGATATAGTCGCGCAAGTCATATATCAAGCCGTCACGAAGCTCTGGCCTGGGATCACGGTCAATCGGGAATGAACCACGATTCTTTAGACCTTACTCACAGGACTGGTAAGTCAGAGGCCGGATGATGCGGCACGAGCCTTTGACACGGCGTAGGACGTTGCCCAGGCGGGATACTTGCATATGTTTCAGCCGAAGGCGCTATCGTCCACTGTCCAGCACGTTAAGCAAAGAGGTTTGTGGTGGACAGAAAAGAAACAGACTCACGCGCATGAACCGGTCAAAGTTGAAGATACCTGCAAGGCAGACGAATGTGTCAATATCGTGGAGTGCACGAAAATACTCGCTTGCCCAGGTGGATGGTGTGTGAGGGTCACTGACTTCTCTGGCGCGGAAGAACAGATCAACCTCGACCTTTTCAGTGCCGAAAATGCTGTCTTGCGATTCTCCGGACAGCAGCCTCTGGCGGGCCGAGTCTCTGGAACTGATATATGCGGTAGCCATGGGAGATTCTCCTTCGTAAGAGAGTAGCGGTTGCACATAATGCTCTGGGAGACGGAAATTGTCCATTTGCTGGGCTTGGACATCAATCGGATACCTTGCACAGGGTACTGCATCGGATAACGAGAGATGACTATATGGGGAGAGGTTGGGTGCGCGAACAGGATAATTCCTCTCAGCATATCGAATGCGGAAATTCTTTCTCAGGTCGAGATGACTTGACGAAGGTGATATACCACTCGGTTGCAGCACTTGTGCTTTTTGTTGTTGCTGGTGTATACCGTCCTGGGACTTCTATCACCAATGTCAGCCTTGGGACCTTTTCGTGACTCGGAAGGGGAGAACGACCTCTGCCAACACATTGATGGCATAATCGCGAACTTGCCATGAAGCTTTCGAGGTCGTTGCCAGACTCCTTACAATGTCAACCAGTTCCTCATTGTCCTTTTCAAGGGTTTTGATGCGGTGCAGGGCTTGGCCAAGAGCTCTATGGCCGGTCAGCATGGCATACGGGAGAAGGTGGCATCATCGGCTACTTTTTGTTCTTTTCCCTGTCACGATCTCCGTAATAACAGGAAAGTCCATCCTTGACGCAACGAGAACATTCGTCTTCACCCGAGCATTTCGCGCGAAGATGCCGGCAACGGTCACATGCGTGCGAGATTCTTTTTCTCGTCGGTCGAGTGGTTGTTGTTGGTGCAGAACACGGTTTGGGGGCCAATAACGTCTTTGTCGTTGGAGGCTGCGCGCGAGCCTCCATTGGCATTAAGGTCTACCTAGTCGCCGAGTCGCGGAGACGGGATCTGAAGTGGATTGCGGGTTAGAAAGCGAGATCCGGCTTGAGGCCCGCTACCGATCTTCCGGATGATGGGCCGAAACAACAGGTGTCGAAGGTTTCCAAAAGACAAGATCGGAACAAGTCAGGCAACTACAGGATCTGTTTCATGCTCATAATGCACAAGACTCGACGCGGGTGTTCAGGTATTGCATTGTGATCAGGTGGCCCACCGACGGAACATATATAAAGGCAGGTGAGACTGCGCACGCGGGATCTGTAACGGAAGAACGATTCTTGCTTGATCACTTCCGAATCAAACAGAATGTGGCTGACACCGGAGACCGCTCCCGTAGCAGGTGTATCAAAGACATGGAAATGTGGAGGAGTTCAGTGGTTGGGAGTACGATGATCGAGTCTGCAACGAAAGGGATCCTTGAGAAGAGATTGGCTGCGGCAGATACATGCGTGCTCGAGCGGTGAACCAAAGGAGCCATCAAGAGGAGACTCTGCAGGAGGCAACGACGATCGACCAATTGAATGATGCATATATGGTGTGCTTTGAATCATGCACTGATGTGTATCGCGACTATCTTCCACATGAGGTCTGCCTGCCGCACAAAAGGACATTTCATACGATGTGACGGTGAGTTGAACACCAGATGCTGACTGTCTGTGCTAGCCGCATTGATTGTGAAAATACAGCGAAGTAATGCCTCCTTGCGTGGAAGGTATCAATTCATTTTCAACACATCTTCGTTAGGGGGAACGTCTTGCACACCACTTCCACCCTCTCCGTCAGCACCCTCATCAGCATTGCTGCGAGCATTAGGCATTACACTGCCCACATGGCCCAACTTGGTCTCCACGGGCACTCCGCCTTTGATCGTTTGCAGGACCACGCAGTATCTCTCGCTCAGCTGGATTAGCTTGTCTACCTTTGATTTGTGATCTTCATCCACATCAAGTCGCACAATGAGCCTGATGGCCTTGAAGCCCACAGGCACGGCATTGCCTTCGGGATCCTTGATTCCCATCGTTCCTCTGAAGTCGAGATCACCTTCTGTAGTGATTGTCCCGCCGTTGATTGGAATGCCCAAACTTGTTGCTACAGCACGCACGGTGACGCCAAAACATGCTACCAGAGATTCGAGCAACATGTCTCCGGAGCAAAGTTCTCCTGACGCATCAAAACCTTCACCTCCGGCGGCTTGGTGAAGGCCGGCGACTTTTCGAGCTGCGGTACCAGCCGACAGCGAGCATGTCAGACTCGTCGAGGTGGGATCGAGACTGCCGGATGAGGAGAGTGTGAGAAAAGCAGATGACGGGTCGGATCGATATTTGTCTTTCAGAGGCTTCTGTTTGTTTCGCAGTGTTTCAGCAGCGGCCGTAGCTGCGTCGGACATGATTGACTCTTGTGAAGGACGCTTGTCGTAAGAGATTTATTTGATGTGACCTGTTTGCGCTGATGATACAGTCTCTATTCCAGCGAGTACAATCTATTTTGGATAAAATCACAGCAACATAAACCTTTTGCGCTCGAAGAGTCAATGATCTATGACCACGGTACGGAGTATTTACCCCTCAATGGAGATGTGGAGGCATGGACAACTTCCATCAGACCGTGGGAAGAGGCCGCGATTTGGCGAGTGGTCAGTGAACCTACCGACGTCCAAAGTACTGTGGTCGCATTGCTATGAATCATTGATGTACGGTCTGGACATGATATGTGGTCAAGATCAAAACGTCTGGAAATGATGAAGCACTCGCAGGTTGAACGTTGAAGCTAAGTGATTACACCATTCCGATTGATCACGTGGTTGTGCGATCAATCTCTCAATGTTGATGAGCCTCGGCAAAATCACTACAATCTATTGCACGACCGCGTACGAGTACTCCTCGAGGCATCAATATATAATCAGCAGATATCAGCAGATATCAGCAGACCGACAAAGTACGTACCAGATGTACGTGTCCATGGCATCGTGCGGAAGGCATCATTCAGGCACTCACGATAAGTACACCAAAATGATTGTGGTCAGACCTACGCCCTCACTACTACCTTTGGCCATGAAGCTCTTTATTAATGTTGTCTGACCATCTGTTGTCTAGTCCGGATTTGCAACGCCGCTCGGGATAGCATCAGCGCGAAGAGACCGAGCAATCCGATCTTATCGTTTCTAATCAAGTCGATCACATACCGAAAAGTCAATAGTGACAACTCCCGAGGCTCACTTTGTGGTAAGATCCCCAGGTCTTGCGCTATGCAACCCTGCCAGCCCATAGCTCTCACTTGGCTGTGGTGAGATCCTCCACAATGGCGAGAGGAATGACGTCGAATACCGCCAATAAGCAGTTATAAGGGCCTTATAAGCCCCTCCCCACGAGGCACTTATGGGCATCGGCTATTCGGGTGCCACTGACGTCGATCGGTAGCATCTATCGATCCCCGGCCCAGGTTTTTCACACTTCCACCACTGCTCTATGGTCAGTGTTACTGACAATATTCATCCCCATCAGCTCCCTCGTAACCATTGGAGGCGTCTTCCCCGCGTCTAAAAGAAGTCACTTATGCATACACAACTCTTGGCCGGTAAGAAAAGGTAGGTTCGTGCCCTTCACTTCATGGTGTGATTGGCATACCATCTTCTCGGTGGAGCATCTGGAAGCCTTGGAAAAAAAAGAGCGAACCTTCAGCGCCTCCACTCTTTTGCTGTCATATGATGGCCTGAGTCCTTGGGCCTTTTAACGTGCGGAATTATCGATATGAAAGCGATAGTCGGGAAATGCTAAATATCAACAGACTTTCATCCTTTGCCCTTCGGCATTTGTAACATCTTCTCATCCCACACTCTGCTGACATACTACATCTTCGTTTCCCTAGTCTTTCCCCTCTGGTCCTGCTTTATTGTTTCCACCTTTCAAGACTTCATGAAGGGTAAAGACATCTCTATGGACGACTTCAACAAGAAGAAGCAGGTTTCACATATCCCAAATTTACAACCCCACGACTCCTCGTCTTCTTCAACAGCAACACCAGCCTCGGACGAAGTCACCTTTGCGCATCGCGAGCACGAGCAACAACATCAGCGCACCATGGATCCCAATCCGAACCCATATCCATACCACCAGGAACATGGTCCGCCCATCGATAACTCCCTCAAGTACGAAGCGGCGGAAGAAGATTACCAACACCACAAAAACCTCTTGTGGTCCCGCATCCGACACCATCTGCGCGACCCATTCGCCGAATTCATGGGAACATTCATCATGATCCTCTTCGGCGACGGTAGTGTCGCACAAGTCTTGCTCTCGAACAACGACAAACTCCCAACGTCCTCTCAAAACAAGGGTGACTATCAAAGTATCTCCTGGGGATGGGGCATCGGCGTGATGCTAGGAGTCTATGTCGCAGGCTGTGCAGGAGGCCATTTGAACCCCGCCATAACATTCGTCAACTGCCTCTACCGCAAGTTCCCCTGGTGGAAGTTCCCAATATACGCCTCCGCCCAAGTTCTGGGGTGCTTCTGTGGTGCGGCCGTCATCTATGGCAACTACAAATCCGCCATTGACGTGTACGAAGGCGGCGCCAACATCCGTACCGTCTCGGGCGACCATGCGACCGCCGGGGTGTTTTGCACATACCCTCAACCTTTCCTCACCAAAACAGGCCAATTCTTCTCCGAAATCGTCTCGTCCACGGTCCTAGTCTTTGTGATTTTCGCGCTCAAAGACGACGCCAATCTCGGGTCTGCAGATCTTACGCCCATCGCGCTATTCTTCTTGATCTTCGGTATCGGCGCTTGTCTAGGCTGGGAGACAGGATATGCCATTAACTTGGCTCGGGATTTCGGACCCAGACTATTCACGTACTTCGTCGGCTATGGGTCGGAAGTCTGGAGTGCCGGGGGTTATTATTTCTGGGTGAGTTTTCGCTTGATCTGTCGTTGTTAGTCCATATGTGCTGACGTCCCACTAGATTCCTATGATTGCACCTTTTATCGGATGTACTTTTGGAGGCTTCCTGTACGATACCCTCATTTATACTGGTGAATCACCGATGAATACTCCATGGTTGGGCTTGAAGCGTGTCGTCCGTCCGTCGAAAAAGGGAATCAAGGAGGCTATTACCGGTCGGCCTCAGAAGGATGTATGAGTCCTCGGCTAAAACTTGTGATGATGATGAATCTGTATCAATATTGTGCCTGGTGTCGTCAGGCCTGTACAATATTCTCAACTGAAAATAATGTGTTATATTGAGAGATTCGAGATTTGATGGTGATGGAAAATAGTACACCAGGCCGGATATGAGTGTCCCTACTATGCTGCGCAGAACGTATCCCCATGCATATGCTAGGATATGTGGAGTGGCAAGGTTGAGATCGATAATCTGAAGGGAACTTGGCCAGAAAGCAAAACGAGGAACTTGGTCGAGAGGATTTGAAACTGGATCGCTTGCTGAGGTTGTCGCTTGGACCTGCGGTCGTCGCCTTCCATACCGAAATTATTCTTACGTTGACCAGGTTGTCCATCAGTCTCTCATCGTGCCACAGACTTCGATGCCTCCTTGTCGGGGCTCACCCTCATACTAAGATAAAATAAAATTATCATGTCCTCTGTTTCTTTTTATCTGGCCCATCATCTTCCTCATCACTAAGATCGGCGTAGATGGTTTTCGGCTGCGTCGCCTTCCAAGCCTTAGTGAACATGGGATCCTGCTCCGCTTTGTCCGCATACTTGAGCAGCGCTGCTCTCGGATCTTCCTCGCGCATCGAACTAAGTGGGATGCTCTTCTTGATGTGCTCCTCATCAGGCTGATTCCTGGAAAACGGGGTCGACACCGGGACATGCGGTCTCCTGGGATCGCGGGATTTGCCGGATGCGGTAAGACCGATCGTTGGATGCCGCGATGAGTATGTGCTGCCCTGGATCGCCGCTTGACCGCCACTTCCGGGGACGATAATCGCGTCTGCAGAGATTCCTTGTGACATATCTGTCGTGAGGCTGGGGTCGTCATCGACGTGCCGGCGCTTGGGTTGCTTCGACATCACCATTACTGCGCCCTTCGTGGAGATTTTAGGATTGAAAAGGACGTGGGTTTCGGCGTTTGCGCTTCCCGTAATAATCTGGTTGAGCTTGTCATGCCAGAGGACGCTGATGAGCGGCGATCCAGGCGTCACTGGGGTCACTAGGTCTGGCTTGAGAGTGGCTGGATTCAAAATATATAGGTCTCCTGTCTCGGAGCCGGTGATGATGGAGGATGAGTTGGGCGCGAACAGGATATTCGACGTCGGGTATTGGCTTGACGTCGAGATGTGAGAAGTCGTATTGACGGGTTGTTTGAATTTGCGTGTGTCCCAGAGTTTGATCGTGTCGTCGCCACCGCGGGTCACAACGAGACGACCGTCTGTACTGATGTCTAGTCCGCTTGTCCAGGTGTTGCTGGTGTGAGCCTGAGTGATTTCACCACTGGGTCTGTGGTAAGGTCCTTCACCACCCCACATGAGTAGAGAGCCGTCAAGAGCGGCAGCAACAAGGAGACTGTTGCCGCCTTCGACTTGACTGCCCCATGCCACTGCCGTCATTCGACTCCGCCCAGCTGAGCCCATGGCTCTCGATTTATGCACAATAACATCTTTTTGTTTCATGCGCATGTTGGCATCCCAGATACGGAGTGTGCTGTCAGTTCCGGCAGTTACGAACTGATTGTGCAAGTGGGGATGCCATGTGCCACTCGTAATCTCACTGATGTGCCCTTTCGTCATGTTCATGTCTCGCAAATACATGTCGCCCTTGACAAATTCTGTGATAGTTTCGCCATCTCGTGAAAGGATCTTCGCTTGCGTTGTGGCTGATATGACAAGGACTTGACCTGGAGAATTCGGGTTGAATTTGGCGACATGTACAGGGTGTGTTTCTGTATTTGCTGAAGACTTGGTCGCCGTTGGATCGACTGACTTAAATGCTCGTAACGTATTCGGGGTCATAGTAGCAAAGTCGTGGAGTTTGATCGTACAACCTGTTGAGCCTGTGATCATGCGCGAGCCTGCTGGGTCGACGGTAATTGTGGTGACTGGTCGATCGTGCGTTTTGAAGACAATTTCATGTGAGACTGGATATTCATCCTCATCTTCCGAATCATCGTCGGAATCGTCGTCGCCATCAGAGTCGCTCCCGTTCGTCGAACTTGCTGATTTGGCTGCTTTGGGTTCTGGCAAACCGACTCCTTTTCGCCTGGCATGTTCCATCTGGGCTGCCGGGTCAAAATCTGCTCCTGCGCCGCCAAAAGACGTGGGGAGGAAGTCTCGGAAATTTTCTTCGTCCATTGTGGAGGTTGAGATGCTGCGTTGATTCAATTGACCACCATACAGAATGAAGCTGTTGCCTGAAGAGTGTGACTGGTGAAAGTTTGAAAAGCAGGACGTGACGTGATCGCAGACTTCAGTATCAGCGCAAAGATCTCTCAAGTCAATGAACGAAGCATTTCAAATGCGATCTTAAGCGCCTTTCATCAGGCCTGGCACATGGTATCACGTAGCGTTTGTTCTAGATCAGATTCCTCTAGAACGGGAAAATATCAGATGAAGGCGGCGAATCGGTCGACGGAAAGCCCGGCTGTCTTGGCAGGGCATAGGCTCAGTCCGGGGGTTGAAGTCTTGAGGAGTCATTGAAGGTGCTCTCACCATGGTCTACAGATATTTGGCATAGCACCAACAATTTGACGACTTTTCGATATCGTGAATCTCTGTAGTCTCATGGAATGCATACAGTATGTAACACAACTACTAGTACTGGGCAGTTGAGCCTCTTGAGGTCATCTCGCCAAAGTCAAAACTAACCTACTGTACGAGTACCCCCGGATGCGGGGAGGTTCCCATGGCATTATGATGATCCCCTTTAGCCGACTTGGAGAATCTCGTCGGCTTCTAGGATTCCATCTACAGGGTCTACTCCTTCGTATATAAACTGGGGCAGGCTGTGAAGAGTATCCCTGACAGACAATAGTAGCCGTCTGACGATCCCTGCCCTCATCGAAAATGGCTGCCAACACCGATCTAACCGTCGATGCCAGGAAATTCGACCCAGCCGCGATATCGGAAGATAGCCATGCCTTCAACGCCAAGCTAATAGACCTCATGGCCCAAGGGCCCAAGTGGTACGAAGTCGGCGCCGAGAAGTATCGTCAGATGCGAGCTGCCGGTGAAACACCGTTTCCCAAAGCCACATTCTTAGACTCAGCAGAGGACTTTACCATCCCATCGAGGGACGCCGGCCGCTCAATACCATGCCGGATCCTGAAGCCCCAGCACGGCGGCAAACCCAAAGCACTGTTCATGCACATCCACGGCGGAGGCTGGGTCCTGCAGGATGAGAAGTCGCAAGATCCCACGCTTCAAGACACTGCCAACAAGACCGGCACGTTAGTCATCTCAGTCGGCTACAGGCTCGCCCCGGAAGATGCTTTCCCGGCCGGTCCAAACGACTGCTACGACGCTGCAGAGTGGCTGGTAGACAACTCTGAATCGAAGTTCGGCGTACCCATGGCTTTCCTGGGTGGTGAATCCGCAGGAGGTCACTTGAGCATGTTGGTCGTGCTGCATCTCCTGCAACACCAACAACAGAAGTACGCAGATTTCCAGTTCAAAGGTCTGCTACTGCACTACGGCTGTTATTCCATGCTGTGGACGCCGCGTGTGCACACATTCCGGAAAGGAAAGCAAGGCAGTCTCATCTTGGATCAAGATCTAATGGACCATTTCATAGAGGTATTTCTTCCTGGTAAGACCGAAGAAGAGAAGAAAGACCCTTCAATAAGTCCTCTATATGCGGATTTCGAAGCGTTACGGAGCAAGCTACCGCCTGCGCTATTTACGTGTGGGACAGAAGACTGCCTACTGGATGATACCATGTTTATGAGTACGAAATGGTTGATGGCAGGTGGAGAAGGAGTGGTCAAAATCATCCCGGGAGCGCCACATGGGTATATCATGTTCCCCAGGACAATCAAAGGAAGCGGTTCGGAAGAAGGGCTCACAGCCGTCGAGGAGTTCATCTCGTCCAAGCTTGGTGATGCACACAACGGCAAGTAGCTTGCCGTGAAGACGCCCGAGACACCAATAACTCAGCCAGCGAAGCACGTCAATGGACGCTCGCAAAGCGAAGAGACATCATGTGGTTGATTGAACAAATACTTTTCGTGCTCGGTCGGTGCATTTGCCTGGAGGAAGCAAAGCCTCGACCATGCCACAGGATGCATCGCCAATACCAATATAGCGTTCATTCGATCATATCAATGTCGTCGCCTCCCTGAGCCGGTGCTTCTTGCGCAACGGGTTTGATGTCAGCGCCGTTTTCGGCTTGCCCATTGCCAGCGCTCGTCCAGTAGTTGTCCATCTCGGCGTCGAGCTCCTCTGCTGTCTTTCGTGGTCGGCCGCCCACCAACTTGTGTCCATCAGGATCTGCTCTAGGAGCACGCTCGCGCCTTTCGCCAGGTCTTCGACCTCCACGCTGGCTGGAGCTCCGGCTGGCACCTTGACCAGGAACATATCGGTCAACGTTTTCAGGCGCTGGTCCTCTGACGTCGCTTCTCCGGTCCCTTGCTGCACCTCTTCGAGGAGCCCGGCGAGCATCTCGATCCGCCTCTACATCTTCCATTGGGCTCTCGCTCCGTCGTCGACTCCGGCCACCGGGAGCCTCAATTCTGTCAAAAAGAGTCTTTGGATTCTCGACTCGATCGAATGGATTGTCTCGTCTTGGCAATGGTAGCAGCGTGATGCGGATCGGCTGTCCTTTCGCATTGGCGCCGTCAAAATCTTTGATAGCAGCTCTAGCATCCGCCACGTGCTCGTAGGTTACAAATGCAACACCTTCGGAACGTCCCGCCCGATCATAGCGAAGACGAGCCTCCTTCACAGGAGCGATGCGGGTGAATAGATCCTGCTGTTATCAATAAACGGTTCCGCGTACGTCTGTGGGGACTCACGTGGATGTCGTCTTCGGTGAGATCGTAATGTAGGTTATCGACTCTTAATTTGGCCGGAGGAGGGTTCCTACAGAGTCAGCGCAAGCCTGCAAACATGTCAAAGACCTCACCTATCAGGCTCTGGGGACCGATTGTCGCGTCGACGATCTCTGCCGCCTCTTGATCTGTCGTTGCCGTGGGAGTCTGCTTTATTGGTCAATCGCATTTCATTGTAGGAAGAAGTGGCTGCTTTCGTACTGTCAGGCTCGTCATCATATCGGTCGTGCACCCAGTCACTGCATCAGTTCAGTATCGTCTCTTCTCCAGCTAGAGATCTTCGTACTTGTCGAGGTTTGTTCGTTCGTCTCTAACAGACTGTAATGGAGGAAGAACTTGGTCAGCTGTACTGTCAAAACATCCCTGTCCAGACTCGCGCCGAAGGTCGAAGCAACATTTCGCTCGTGGTTTGAGAGGATGCGACCATCATCGTTACGACGGAGCAGGGAGGCGCTACGGGAGAGGAGAGGAGGTCCGGACCTATGTCGAAATGTGAGATTTTGGCGTCCCAATGCAGGTCTGGGCTTGTACCTTTCTGACCCCATCGCGGGGATAGTTGTTGTCTCGACGGCGTTGCGGAGGAGGCGCTCTTCGACCACCGCGATTTTGTCCTCGCTTCTTCATGGTCAGACATTGAACTTTCAAGCGCAAGGCGGCTGACGAACCTGACGTTCCGCGATAGTTTCGTCCAAACTGCGATCCATGGTGAGATCTGGAAGGTACCGTACAGACTTCTGTTACGATATGTGAACAATGCTTTGGGAACCAATTTGTGGTTCTGGTAACGGAAGTACAAGGGACGCGTCCGTATTTTGCTGGGCAGGATTCCGCAAGAGAAGCACCGACCTTGGGGAACACCGACATCATTTATTCCGGTAGAGCAGCAACACTAGCAAAACCCCCATAACTATTAAAGCAGCACCCGTACTCGGTGCAGGTTTGCCCGGGTGTAAGTTAGTGACATCGTTGATACCTAAAATTCATGGCTACAATCGTCCTTTCCAGGGTGTTCGAACATTCAGGCAGGATGACTCCAGGTTATGCATATTACAGTATATCGGTATCAGCATCCTTCACGCCCACCCGGTAACATTCTCTTCGCCTTGACGAAGCTGCCTCATATGCCGCAAGTCCGAGATCGCTACGAGCATTGACAAACCCAGAGAGACCGCACATGCAAGTCTCGAGCTCTACCAGACACTTGACGGGCTTTCCTCCATGCTCGCACCTACTTTTTCTTCGACTCGAGATGCCCCTCCAATAAACATTCTAGGGCTCTTTGTGGTCGCATTGGGGACGCAGCCAGACGAGGACTCTCGTCTACAGCGCTGGTCTTCATTCATTGGCATTGTGACTGCTATTATTGGGAATCTTCTCATATCTTTCGCCCTCAATACACAAAGATATGCACATATTCTCATAGAAAGGGAACACAATGAGCGAAAAAGGCCTGGTGCACAGGATCCGTCATTCGAAAGACCTGGTTCATACGGCACATCGGAGCAAGAGCATGCAGCGGAGGTGCGGAGGAGGGTAAATCTTGGATTGCCTGATCCCAAGGAGGGTGCAAACGGAAATGGCCATACTGCGGATGGCAACATCGATGGCAGCCCTCACTCAGACCTCGAACCCTCAGGGCAGAAGAGTGAACCGGACACGGGTGATGATCAGGATAGACCCTCCTACCTGAAGTCCCCATGGTGGTGGCTCGGTTTGGTGCTGATGATAGTGGGAGAAGCCGGCAATTTTCTGGCATATGGCTTCGCACCAGCCTCGATCGTCAGTCCCCTCGGTGTGGTAGCCCTGATATCAAATTGTCTTATTGCTCCTCTCATGCTTAAGGAGCGCTTTCGAAAACGCGATTTCTTGGGGGTGCTGGTGGCTATCGCTGGCGCTGTGGTTGTCGTCCTCTCGGCGAGCACAAGCGAAGAGAAGTTTGGCCCTGGCGCACTGTGGAGGACGATCAAAAGGTGGGAATTTTTAGTCTATGTGTTGATCACGATGTTGCTGATTGTGGCTCTCGTATATGTTGAGCCACGGTACAACCGACGCACAATACTGGTTGATCTTGGGCTGGTCGGTCTCTTTGGAGGATATACCGCGCTGTCGACCAAGGGCGTGGCATCTCTCCTATCAGCATCTCTCTACAAGGCTTTCACGTACCCGATCTTCTACTTTCTGGCGGCCATCCTTGTTTCATCGGCGCTTATGCAAATACGCTACTTGAACAGTGCATTGCAAAACTACGATTCTACACAGGTCATACCCACACAATTTGTGCTCTTCACATTGTCGGTCATCATTGGTTCGGCTGTTTTGTATCGGGATTTCGAGCACGCCACGGCTGACCAAGCCGTGAAATTCGTTAGCGGTTGTCTTTTGACGTTCTTTGGAGTTTATTTGATTACCAGCGCCCGGGAGGATCCAGAAGCCTCAGATGACTATGAAGAACATGAGGATGAAACTATCCAACTTCTTGATGAGGAAACAGAGGATGTTGATGAACGGACACCCCTGAGAAGAGACGGAAAACGTTCAAATGCATACGAACGGGATGAATATCATTCCACTCTGGGGACGGTCGAAGAATCAGACGGCGAGCCTCTCGCACCGCGACCAGGATCCAGAGCATCTTCAGCAGTACCATCTATTGCTGTGACGCCGGCGGAGTCCTCGGACAATATGCTTGCAAATCCATGGGCGTCCTCAACAGAGGATATTGACGCACCTCTTCCGCCCCAAACTCCGAATAGCGAAAGACTGCCCTCGACACCTTTCTTTACACCTTTCACCTCGAACTCTCCGCTGAAGCGATCTACTTCGTCCCCAGCAGGTACAGACACACCCATCAAGCTAGGCACGCCTCGGCTGCCCAGCCCGGAACGCCCTGGGAAGTCCTGGCTAGGAGATCCGTCTCCAATACTGATGCCGCGTTCGACACGAGGAAGTATTTCTCGTCTTTTGCCTTTTCCCGGCCCATTGTTGCCACCACTCTCATCTTCGCTCAGCGCATTGGTCGCGGACTCGCTGCTCAAGGGCGAGGGCGCCCCTCGTTCTGTCCGTGCAGCACTACGGCGAAGCCGGTCTGAACGACATTCACCTATGGAACGACGCCAGACCATGCCTGTACCGGATGATGTCAACCCCTTGGGCCTGCACTTCCAGAACCGCAGTGTAGATCGAGTAGGGCTCAGCCGAGCGGCTACCCACGAAGGTGCTGTAAGGGACGAACTTGCCCAGGAAGCCGATGATCCCAATCAGCGCAGAACCAGGCTACGTGCTCTAAGCGAGTCGATACAAAGCATCATGGGCCGGAGTAAGGGGAAGAAAAGAGACGATTTGGAAGGCGGCGTCGATGAGACCGACGCTACTTGATTTAATACATGTTGTACAATGTAGCTGCGCTCAAAAGCATACCCTTAGATGTTCGAGCGTGTCTCGATACAATTCCGTTTGATCTCGTCATGAGAATTACACTACTATCCTCCGCCAGCTGATGCATCGTCCGCCGTACCTCCAGCAGCGTCGGAAGCCTTTTCACCAGTCTTGCCGCCGCGACCTTCGCGCTCCCTCTCTCTCCTCGCCTTGGCCCCAGCTTTCAAGCTGTCCCACTTCTCTCTATACTTGGTAATCGTTTCCTTCAACTTCGCGTTCTCCTCTTCCTTCTTACGGGCCCGAGCATCGCTTTTGCGGAGGATTTCTTCTAGTTCGGCAATGCGTCTTGTCGTCGCATCATCGATCCCCACGTCTAAGCCCTTGTTGCTGTGCTTGCCGCGCGAGTTCTCAGGCGATAACAGCGGTGTCGTGAGTGGTGAACGATGTAGTGACCGGATACTCTGCGCCAGGGCAGCACTAGACGTCTGTGCGGACATTTCGAAGACGTGTAGGCGCCGCGAGAGTGTGTCGGAGAGGTGCTTGAGCGCTTGGTTCTCGAGACTCAATTCCTCCATGGTCTTCCCGTTGACCTTGGCTTCGTCTGGTGCGCCGCGGCGGGTGAAGCGACTTGGTGGACCAATCGTGCCGCTATCCCGGCTGCGATTGGGTAGGATGGTGCTTTGTGCGTCGAGGAAATCGTCTTCGGAGATGTTTGAGAGATTCGAGATCTGACGGTGGTGCCCTCTGAGACCACGAGCCTCTTCGCGTTCGGCTCTGTTCATGATCTCGGCGTAGGATATTGTGCCTCCCGTGGTGGGGACCACGTAGAATGATTCCGAGGGGTTCGTTGAGCCGCCGCCGGAGACGGCGCGGAGGGCTGCTCGGGAGATGAGTTGGGAGTAGTCGACGGATGGCGCTGCTGGGGCTGCTCGCGTGTGAGTGTTGGGTGACTTGGGTGTGGGTGATGCTGGGGCCGGGGCTGGAGGTTTAGGAGAGGAGGGTGTGGTGAGTGGCAGTCCGGCAAACGCCAGTGGTGCGCTTAGTTTGGAGATGAGTGATTCGAATGTGGAGTAGAATTGTTGAAACGGTGCATCAGAGACCTGATCTTCGGCCTGTGCACCAGCAGCTGATTTGGCTGGCTGCTCTGGGGGCACGGGAGGTGTCCATGACGGACGTGATGTTGATTGCTTTGACATGGCAAGAAGGGCATCGCTTGTGGCTGAGTCCTGTCGAGACACGGGCTTTGCTCTCGTCTCGTCCTGACCGATCTGCCCATCAGCATGTTGGTTCGACACAAGTGGTGATATCGGGGTCGGCTTCTTTTGTCGGCCGCTGGGGATGCCTCGAGCAGAAGCCAGGTTGCTTGCGATGGACGAAGTAAGGTCGCGCGCATTAGATCTCAAAGCCCTTGGAAGTCGAGGTGGATGGACGGTACTCTCTGGTGATGGAGGTCTGTCAGAGTCTTGCTTTGTAGAGGTCGTCGCATTTGAGGTGGTGGCGCCGGACGGCGAGGAGTGAGTGGGATCTTCTGCATTGGGTTTCTCATGATGTTCGCGGAATATCTTTCCCAGTCTCTTGTGTTCTACTTCTAGCAGGCGTAGAATCCGGAGCGCTTCGCAGTCCGCGGAGTCCTGAGCGGCAGTTGCAAATTCGGCCGCGGCCAAGTCGTACTCCTCGCTCGCGGCGACAAGATTGCGCTTGTCAAATTCGTGAGTAGCATTTCGAACATGAGTATGAGCCTAGAATTCTCAGTCAGCAGAGCGTATTCGTTGTAGAAGGACGGATCTGCCTACAAGAGTCAGAGGGGCGCTCTCCATCGCCGCGGGCAGTCGGACGGTCCTTATGGTCTCACAGACTGATGCGCAAGGAGAAAGCGTCTAGGACATTGAAACGCAATGTATCGTCGTGTCAGTCAAGGGCGTCACAATCTTCTGGACGACGTTCAGATGCAGGCTGATCTGCGCATTTCGAGTATGCCGTCTACTGTCTTTCGTTCTCCGTGACCGTGACCGTGTAGCCTGATGACATGGGCACAGTGATGGGTACGATCTACCTTACGTAGGGGTGAGTGGAGATTTGGGGGAGCTGAAAAAGCCGGGGCGCGCTTAGGATGTCAAGGCTGTGGCTGTGGCTGCCTGGAGATGGACACAATTGGGCTTCGTTCGCGAATAGTACCTCGGTTTAGTGGGTGCCGACCTGGGCGTCCTTCAACGGGAGCTGACATTTTGCATTACCTTTAACCCTAGCCCTAGGGGTGGGTTGGGATTCAGAGGCTCAGCGCATGTGTACGAAGCCCGCCGCGTGGATTCGTGAGTTCGGTACCAAGGAAGAGATACGAGGAGGAGCACTCCTGCATTGGACATTTGGTGCTTTAGCCCTCGGACCCCGAAACGACCTGATCCTTTGGATGCTCTCCGTTTTGCACCTGTCAATTCTTTCCTGTAATTCCTGGGCAAGCATCATTAATCTCAGATTTCCCCTCCCTAGAAGACGACACGATGCCTTGTTGAACTGAACTTCCTCATACCATATCTCAACCACTCACTCATTTCTCTTCTTCTATCAACCAATTGACATTACTTGTTATCCTTGCAGGCATTTCCTGCATTATTCCATGCGCATTGACCCACATGCCACTCTCTCATGTACGTGTGACATCAATTAGTCCATTGGTGCAGGACCAAAACAATCAATCGACAAGCGGCTTCTACACCGTCTCTTCTACACCGCGGCCCCAAGCCTGAATGGCCGCAGTCTCTGCTCAATCCTCTCCCAATGTTGCTTCAGTCATGCCCGAGCCCACTCCTCAGCTGAAGGGTCTCAAAAAGGTCCTGTCGAACAGGCGACGTTCCGCGGACATCCCCAGCGACGAGAATATACGGGATTTGCGCACCAACTCGATTGATTCCTTGACTATTGAGAAGTCCCCTACGAGACGGTCTATCAGTCAGGATGGGAGCAGCAAATCAGGAAGCAGTGGCATGCGTAAGCTGTTGCCTGGACACAGCAAGCGAAAGAGGAGGAAACTGCACGAAGAAGAAGTCAAGGCTGTTACACAGGAACTTGCAAGAGGTCGAACAGGGACTGGACTAAACCCAGAGACACCGTCGAATCCGTCTAGCCGGCGATCCAGCAATCTGGTCCCGGCCGAAGGTGATACGAGCCTGCTCACAGATGACGAGGAGATCGAAACACCACCTTTCATATCGAGAGAGTCACACATCGGTTACCTGACCATGTCATCGCCTTTAGTCACGACAAACAACACACGCAGTGATGACCAGCCCGTGCAGAATATTCCGCCAGCTCCTTCTCTGAACAACATCCCGACTCTGATAGAACCGGGTCAGACCGTTGATTCGCCTTCTCCCAAGAGTCAGGATGTAGCTGAGCCGAATATGCTAGCGTCCAACCCTGGATTGACCGACCTAGCAGACACCTTGGGGCCGAGGTCTCGCACCAACAGTATCAGCAGCAGAATTCGTGGAAAATCGCCGGCCAGGAAATTTCGGGATGTCTTTTCCAAATCAAACAAGAGTCCGAAAGTGAGCCCCGAGAGAAGATCGACCGACTTGCTTACTGGGATCTCGAGCCCGTTGAGCAGCCAAAGTCTTGTCACAGAGGATGCGGAACCCAAAGATTCAAAGCCTACAGAGGAACCTCCATTTGTTGAGCCGATCGTAAACCCACCTATGAACCAGTCTATGCCGAACTTAGACATCAAAGAACGACCCTTTACACCGCCAGCGGCTATCATAAATACTCCCGTAACCACAGTCACTCCGCCAACTCTAACACAGCCGAATACAGAGTTTGATGACGCCTCTGGATCTCCCGAACAGGGGAAACCTGCCACTGAGGGTTCCCGGATCGTTGTGAGTCACTCAGGGAATATGATATCCCATCGGAGGATAAGGTCCACCTCATCGATTACCCATCAACCAAGTAAATTGTCCACTTCGACTACAGCCCCGTTGACGCCTACGTCTGAGTCTCCGGTTAGTAGCGCCCAAATTCCAGGCATGCGTACGCCTAGCGGGAGTCTGTTTTCTTCTTGGGTGTCGGCTGCACAGAATGCTGCCAATACCATCACCAACCAAATCGCACAGACAAGAGCCAGAGCAGGGACAGATGCCTCCAACAGCTCCCAAAAGCAAAAGCCTCATGAGGATCCAATCAAAGAAGAGGAGGAGTCCAGCGAGGTGGATTCTCCGCGGAAGCAACTCGCAATCGAGACCATGGGAACTGGGGATCTCAATTTTGAACATTTGGGTTTGAATGCCGAGGAGAAGGCCGCATCCGCTGTCCGGCCAGACCTGACAGAACTGCGAAAGGACTCGACGATGGAACACGATGTGGCAGCCGCTAAAGAAGAAGACGTCCTTGCAAAGCGCGCCGTTTCGGCTGCGTATGAGAAACTATCCGATACAGCAACACCGGTAGCAGAGATCGCTGATCCTCTCAACAGCATAAAACCTTCACAAGCGTTTCCGGGCCAGACCAATGGTGATAAGACGCCTCCAAATGATAGTATATTCGATGGTGAAGGCGGTACGGTCAAGAGGAGCAACAGCGTTCGCAGCAAGCTTGCTAACGCTAAGAGACGATCTCGGGGATCATCAGCTGCCACAGGTCAGTCTGCGATAGGTGCTATGCTAGTAGCTAGCACTGCGGCATTGGCAAATCCTGCGAAAGGACCCCGTCTGTCAGGGTTCACAGTGGCTCCCAAACAACGAAACCGCAATTTTCATCAGCAATTTCGGAGTGTTCCCGAGGACGATTATCTCATTGAGGATTACAGTTGTGCTTTACAGAAGGAGATCTTGGTGGCCGGCAGAATCTACATTTCTGAAGGCCATATATGCTTTTCTAGCAATATTCTTGGTTGGATCACGACACTCGTCATCTCGTTCGAAGAAGTGGTCAGCATAGAGCGCGAAAGTACGGCCATGGTGTTCCCGAATGCCATCGCCATCCAGACACTTCACGCACGCCACACGTTTCGCAGTTTGCTGTATCGCGAACAGACATATGATTTGCTCATCGGTATCTGGCGCGTCAGTCATCCGGCAAGCTTCCAAAAGAGTATGAATGGCAGGCAATTGGCGGCCGAAGGAACCCCTACTGTCGACGCTGCAGCAGAGAACGGCGCAAGTGGCCAGGGCAGCGACGTTAGCAGCAGCGATGATTCTGACTCCGACGACGACAACGAGAGTGCACCAAGCCTTGCCGACAGCAGTCCCAGTCACGCTAGCAGTGACTTCGCCGACGGCAAAACAGTGTCCAGGAAACCATCAGCCATGAACGCACCCGCTGTTGCTCAGGCGGCTGGTATCCTTGCTGGGACGGCTAGTGACGTTCCGCCGCCTATTGCTGTTCAAGGGGGTCTTCCAGAGGTAGCCAAGGACTTCCCTGGCCCAGCTACTCATGCTCCAACCGAGTGCACTGATAGTGCGACACACTATGACAAAATCTGTAAAGACGAGGTCATACCTGCACCATTAGGCCAGATATATTCATTGCTATACGGCCCTGAGTCGGGACTATTTGTTCGAAAGTTCTTGGTCGACGAATGCAAGTGTTTAGACCTTGTACTTGAGGACGACAAGAAGGGGTTGAACAACGACAACAAGAGCCGACAATATACATATATCAAGCCACTTGGAGGGAGCATTGGCCCCAAGCAGACTAAATGTATAACAACCGAGACACTCGACTTTTTCGACCTTGAGAAAGCAGTAACAGTCAGTTGCGCCACCCAGACACCAGATGTACCCAGCGGCAGTGCTTTTAGTGTGAAGACCCGCTACTGTCTTACATGGGCTCCAGGGAACGCCACTAGATTCCAGATGAACTGCACAATCGAATGGACCGCCAAGTCGTGGCTGAAGGGACCAATTGAAAAGGGTGCGAACGACGGTCAACTGCAGTATGGTGACAGCTTGGTTAAGATCCTCAAGAGCGCTGTCAGCGGACGTCCTCGTGGCACAACTGGTGCAAGCAAGACATCCAAGACCGCCACAAAAAAGAAGCGCAAGGGCGAGAAGAAGTCAAAGGAGGGTGTCGTCGCCAAAGGCAACAAACAAGCCGAGAATTGGGGCCTATTGGAGCCGTTGAGAGGCCCTCTCCAGCCCGTTACAGACATTCTGAGACCAGTCTTGACAATGCAAGTTGTTGTTGGAGTACTGACCTTCATGGTCGTGCTGCTTTGGTTGCGTGGTCCGGCTCGAGGCACACAACTGGGTCCATACAGCGGCTTGTCTCATTCCAAGCGCATTGCGGCGTATGACTCCATATGGGCTGAAGAGCAAACCGAATTTTGGGATTGGCTGGAGGCTCGCGCGAGCGTGGACACGGTCATGTTGCGACCAAAGTCTGGGGCTTCGACCGGAACATCGAAGGCTGATGCCAAGAGTGCTGCCAAACAGATTCAGAAAAGGAAACAACGGAGCAAAGCAGTCAATGATGTCGAAGCCAAGATGCGAGAGGAGAAAGTCGGCCAAAGGGAGATGGAGGATGCTATCAAGATTACACGCGAAAGATTACAGGTCTTGGAGGGTGTGATGGAGAAGCAGAAGCATGCAAAGAGCAAGTCAAAGTGAAGTAAGAGGATCAAGCTGTCATAGAGCTACATGGGGCTGTAAGCCCAAGGCATGTGTTCGTTGCTAAACACAACAATGGGTGACATGACTGTCTGCACGAATTTTGGATATCTATCAGCGGATGAATTTGTTCGGGGCGCGACTCAATGTCGCCTGTATTCATATCATAGATTGTCATGAATGAGCTACGCAAACGCTCTTTGAACAGGTCAACTCCAAACCCATATCTTTCTCTCCTTGCTCTCGAACGCAACTCGCCTTGGGAGCATCTAGAGCTGGAACAGAGTCCTCTTCTTCTCCATCCTTGCCTTCCATTCCCAGTCCTGCCCACTGCGGCGCTGGATCCCCTTGTCCACACGCCTTAGCTTCAATGTCAAGCGCGGGCCGAGTTCCTGTAGTCCAGCCCTGATATCCTCCACGCCTTTGACTTCCTTCCCATCGGGTCCAACCACCGACTTCTCCGTCGCACGCTTGTCGCGGAAAATGTACCGATGGCGGCGCAGGAAGATGTAGTCGCGCTGATTGTGCAGCGTGAGAACCTGACGGCCCTGCAAGTCTGGTGTCGCGGGGAAGAGAGACCGAAACAAATGCGCCGTCAACAGACCTAGAGGGGTGGTGAAATTGTTCAGGATCAGCTCGGGGATGTGGTCCGTCGATCGCCCGTGACCGGGGATCGATTTGCTCGTGTACCAGTTTGATATGGAGAAGTGGAATGTCGGGCCGATGGGTAAGTGGACTATTGTCATGCCCGAGGGTCGTTTCTGGTCTTCTTCGAGTACGATGACCGCGGTATACCCCTGGTTCGTGGCGAAGGAGGAGATTTCGCGGACGGAGAATTTGTAGCCGTATCGATGAGACGAGCGGCGGATGTACTTTGAATTGGGGAATAAAGAGGTCAGAATGGCGGCTTCAGTGTGCAGCGTCGAGTTGATGGACGTTGTTATCAGGATTCTCGGCGATGGAGGCAGAGGTGCATTCGCCGCGAGAAACAGCGATGGAAATTTGGCGGCGAGGGCTGCTGGGGCGAGGGAGAGGTTCGTTGAGGTTGTTGATCGAGTTGGTGAGGCTGCACGATCTTGTATTCGTGTCGTGGAAGAGGATAGTTGTGTTTTGGAGGGAAGAGGGTCTTCGTCGAGGTCGTCTGGTTCGAGATTCTCCAGGTCATTATCGTCCTTTTCTTCCTCGTCGCTGTCCTCCAGCATTGAGTCGTGGTCTTCGTCGTCATCCGCCTCGTCGGTACCGTCTTGCTCGTCGTTTGCGTCGACAACGAGTTCCTGCTCTTCTGCCAGTTTCCTTCTCTTTAACCTTTCCACGTCGTAGGCCAGGCCTAGACCACCGCTCTCGGGTTCTTCCTGTACTTCATCGTAGACTCGCTTTTTGTCTATGGTGATGGGCACGTTGCGCCGTAATCGCTCTTGTCGGAGTTTGGGATCCTTTTCCTCCTCCTTTTTGCGCCCAAAGCGCTCTGCTCGCCTTAATGCATCCCGTGCTCGTTTCTGCTTGACGTGCAGGTCTTGCCGCCTTAGTTTGTTCGAAGTCTTGAAGGGGAGGGCGGCCTTGTCTGAGATCTTTGTGCCTCTGGAGGGCATCTTGGGAGGCTCTTGACGTTTGCTCGATTAGCGCATCCGGATAAATTAGGACGACGATGGTCTCACACGTTCAATCACTCTGATCTCGACGTGGTGTGGTGGGATGTTCTTTTGCACTGCGACGAAATAAAAAAGTTGTTTCGTACAGCCGAAGATCAGCCGGTTTGATGTATGGGACCTTTTTGGGCAGCGGCTCACGCAGCTACTCGTCTGTGCGAGAATGACTCCAATAGTTGTTCAATAATAGACACATTGAGTCAGCCACCAACCTCGACCTCAATACTTTCAGCTGCTCTCCTCTTTACATGCTGGCTTGGAACCCGCTGTTCAGAGCGAAGCCGTTCCAGTTTTCCACTCTTTCGCACACTGTCCGTTCCTTTTCTTGCACTCCCATTGTATTGAGAGCCCAGGTCGTCAAGCGCTCGAAATCCTCGCCCAACATGGCTACAGCGACTACGAAGAAAGGCCAACCTCTGGACCGCGGAGTGATTGAGTCAGTGCTTCGAAGACGACTCTTCTACACTCCGTCCTTCGAAATTTATGGCGGAGAACGTGGCCTTTTCGACTACGGCCCGCCTGGATGTGCACTTCAAGCCAATGTGGTCGACCTGTGGAGAAAGCACTTTGTGCTGGAAGAAGATATGCTGGAAGTTGACTGCACAATGCTCACACCTGAAGCGGTTCTCAAGACCAGTGGACACGTCGATAAGTTCGCTGACTGGATGTGCAAAGACCCAAAGAGCGGAGAAATCTTTCGTGCCGATCACCTGGTCGAACAAGTCCTGGAGGCCAGACTGAGGGCTGACAAGGATGCTCGAGGAATGACGATTGAGGTTGACGAGGCCAAGGAGGCCAAGAAAAAGAAGAAGATCAAGGACACCAAGATTGAGAAGCTTGACGATGCAGTCGTTCAGGAATACGAAGAAACTCTGGCGAAGATCGACAACTACAGCGGTGACGAACTCGGCGACCTGATCAAGAAGTTCAACATCAAAGGCCCAACTACCGGTGCAGAACTGGATCCACCTAAAGCATTCAACCTCATGTTCCAAACTCAGATTGGACCCAGCGCAGACAAGCCGAATGGGTATCTTCGTCCAGAGACCGCCCAGGGGCAGTTCTTGAACTTCCAGAAGCTGCTCGAGTTCAACCAACAGTCCATGCCATTCGCTTCGGCATCCATTGGAAAGTCTTTCCGTAACGAGATCTCACCCCGATCTGGATTGCTGCGTGTTCGAGAGTTCCTAATGGCTGAGATCGAGCACTTTGTGGATCCTGAAGGCGGGAAGAAACACCCGCGCTTTGAGGACGTCAAGGAGACGAAGCTTACGCTCCTGAATCGAAAGGTTCAACTCTCTGGAAGTACGAAGACCGAAGTGGTGACCATTGGAGAAGCGGTCTCTACTGGTTTGGTCGACAACGAAACACTAGGATATTTCCTCGTCAGAATCCAGGACTTCCTGCTTAAGCTTGGGATCGACCCATCAAAGCTAAGATTCAGACAGCACATGGCAAATGAGATGGCTCATTATGCTGCCGACTGCTGGGATGCCGAACTTTTCACATCGTATGGATGGATTGAATGGTAAGCCCTAAAAGGCTGTGCCGTTGAAGCACGAGCCTTTCGCATTGTCCCTGTTTTTACCGATACAGCTTACTGACGTTTCGCAGTGTTGGATGTGCCGACCGAAGTGCCTACGATTTGACTGTTCACATGAACAAGACTGGTGCACCACTTGTTGTCCGCCAGACTAGAGCAGAGCCACTTGTGATTGAGGAGTTTCAGGTTGATCTGGATCGAAAGAAGCTTGGACCTAAATTCCGAAAAGACGCGAAAGCAGTCGAAAATGCAGTGGAGGCGCTGTCGCAAGAACTACGAGAGAAACTGTCCTTGGACCTGGAAAAGTCTGGAAAGATCGAGCTCCAGACGCCAGGAGTTGGAAGTGGAACGACCGAACTCGGCAGTGATCTCGTTAAGATCGAGAAGAGAAAGCGAACTGAGTATACCCGCGAGTATACGCCGAACGTCATTGAGCCTTCCTTTGGTATCGGGCGTATACTTTACAGCTTGATGGAACATGTTTTCTATACTCGCGAGGGTGACCTGGCGCGTGGTGTGCTCTCTTTCCCGCCCATGATCGCACCGACTAAGGTCCTGCTGGTCCCGCTGTCGAGCCACCCCGACTTCAAGCCATTTGTCAAGAAGTTGACAAGCAGACTACGCCGGGTTGGAGTACCCAACAAAGTTGACGATTCGTCTGCCAGTATTGGAAAGCGGTATGCTCGTAACGACGAACTTGGCACGCCTTTCGGAATCACGATCGACTTCCAGACTATCAAAGACGGCTCGTTGACTCTACGTGAGCGTGACTCGACAAAACAAGTCCGTGCCAGCGAGGATGATATCATTGCTGCACTCAAGTCGTTGGTGGACGGCGAGGAGACGTGGGAGCAGGTCTCGAAGAGGCTGCCGGCCTTTGAAGGACAGGAAGTTGACTAAGCGAGCGATGGGTGGCCAGTTGAATTGTTTTCTGCTTTGTAAGATACCCTACCATGATGGTGCAATCATCTTTTGCGATGAACGAAAAGTTATGATGGCACCTCAGGAGAAGATAGCCAGAGCACCGTGGCGGGAAATGCTGGACTATGTACTTCCACCAATAGAGGTTTGTATGAATGTGTAGTAGTCTACTCTGAGCCCGATCTTCTTGTATACTTCCAGTAGTCGTATCGTTGTGTGAAGCTGATATCCATCTGGATTTCATATGGGGACCTTTTGAGCCTCCCTCCGATTTCCGAAAGCCGAGTGCATTAGCGATAGCGAGACCATATCGAGACCCCTGAAGTAAGCGAACCTATCAAATCTGACTATCAAACAATGATCTAAGATCTTTCCTTTTGACTTCAAATAACGTTAAGCACACTAAACATGGCATGATGCAACGACTGGAAAAAGTCAATACGGTAACGGAGCAAACCATGCTATCTCCGGCCGTGTATGATCCGCGAGTAATATACAAGCAGATCAAGTATAAATATGCAATTGACGTTGTCTAGCCATCAGGTAAGTGTACAGTAAGTTAAACCACTACTTTCGTACTTCTACCATGGCAGAGCTCATCGTTCTCACTTGCGCCTCTGGCAAGCAATGCAGCCATCTCATTCCTCTCCTCTATGACGAGCCAAAATACAAGCTCCGCCTCGTCGTGAACTCAGATGCATCTTCTGAGCGACTTCAAAAACAATATCCCAAGGCGGAGGTCGTTCAAGCAAACCTCGATTTTCCACAAGACTGTGCCAGAATCCTCGAGGGAGCCACAGTCATATACTACATTGGCCCACCCCTTACGTGGAAGGAGACGTACTATGGCATCAATATCGTCGATGCAGCGATTACTGAGTCGCAGAAACAGGGTTCGAAATTCGCCCACTTCGTCTTCAGCTCTGTACTGCATCCGGAGTTGACCAAACTGCTCAACCACGATCGTAAACGATATGTCGAGGAACATCTGACTGAGTCTATGTTGCCATACACCATTCTCCAGCCAAGTCACTTTACCGACAATGCTATTGGCCAACTTGTAGCGCAGAAGGACGCCGAGCGTCCTGTCTTCAGGGCTGCTCACAGCGTACAAACCCTGTTCTCGTTCACCAGTCTCCACGACTACGCAGAAGCTTCGGCCAAAGTCATCCAAGAGCGGTCGAAGCATTTCTATGCCACGTACCAGCTAGTCAGCACCATGCCGTTGAAATATACTGAGTATATCAAGTCGATTGGCGAAGCGATGGGGAAGGAGATCGAGATTCAGGAAATGTCGTTCGACGAGGCTGTGGGCACTTTCTCTGAACGGATGTTTGGATCCCGAGACGGTGGCCCGCAGTTTCTGCGAGATGCGATTGAACGTCTTGTACTATATTACAATCACAGAGGGTTGTATAGCAATCCGAACATCTTGGAGTGGTTGATTGGGAGGACTGGGTCAAGTCCTGCAGACGTGGCAAGACACTATCTCAAGCAATAGGATGGTGAGACTGGTCGAGATATATCACTGCTGGAAAAAATGCGGACGACATGGAGCACTATGCCGGTGACGGTTAATAAGTGTAGACTTGAAAGCGATGTTGAGCATGGTTGCGACCCTAGTTGCACTAGCTAGCACTAGAATATCCATATTCAACCATGACATACCTTTTATCCTGTACGCCTCATCGCAATCATCGTAGCAAGCTATTCCAGATCCGACATTCTTCGACCTAGTTTTCAAAAACACCATGTCTGCTGGGTCGACGGAGGAGGTGAGAACTTGAGAAAGGCACGCGAGCTCAGAAGCCGACATGGCTTCGTTTGATGAAGTCTTTCGCCTGGCAGCAAATCCCGGACCAGATCGTAAGATTCCAGGAGCTGTTCTCGTTGCGGCCGACAGATCAGGTCAGTGGTCTCGAGGAGACCGTATCCTGGTGCGAGCAACCGACAGCTGAGATGCTAATCCTTCTCCAGGAAAGATATGCTATCTCAATTGCCAGGGAACCACTTCCGTCGACGAAGCTCTGGCACAGCCGATCACATCAGACCATACATTCTGGATAGCATCATGCACGAAGCTTATGACGACTATTGCCGTGCTACGATGTGTAGACAAGGGTCTGTTACATCTGGATGAGGACATCTCTCCTGTCCTTCCAGAATTCAAGTACCCTGATATTTTAGTCGGCTTCGACAGCAATACTGGAGAGCCTCGATTCCAGAAGGCGAGCAACAAGATCACTTTGCGTCAATTACTGACGCATTCAAGTGGTATGGGATATAGCTTCGCCTCGCCCAAGCTGGTCTGGTGGAGGAAATGGGTTGAGAACGACCCGGAATCGTTCAAGGGAAACCTTGTGAGTTGTGGCACATCGTGAATGGAGGAAATGTCTAACCAAGGTCCCACAACCAGACGAAACAGTTCAACTTGCCACTCATCTACGACCCCGGCGAAGGATGGGAGTACAGCGTCAGCGTCGACTGGGCAGGTCAGATGGTCGAGCGAGTCAATGGTGGAGTACGATTGGGCGACTACATGAAACAACATATCTGGGATCCTCTGGACATGAAATCAACTACATTCCGGGCCTTTGAGAACGGGAATGAACACATACGGGACCGACTGTGTCCAATGACTCGCAGAACTGGTTCCGGCATCTTGAAATCTGCACCGCCCTACCGCAGATATGATTGGAAAGATGACTATGGAGGTCAAGGGGTATGCTGTAGCCCGAACGACTTCATCATACTCCTTGGCGCGGTGCTGAAGAATGACGGTACAGTGCTCATGAAAGAGACAGTCGAGATGATGTTCCAACCACATCTGTCTGACGATTCGTACCTCAATGCTCACATGGCCAAATCTATTGAAAGTGGCATGCTCCGAAGCGGTGTCGAAAGTTATGCTTGGAATTTTGGGCTCGGAGGAATCTTGAATATGAAAGATGTCGATGGACTGTGCAAGAAAGGTACAATGACCTGGAGCGGTTATGCAAACACATACTGGGTAAGTCGTTGCTTCAGACGTGCTCTTGAATGTGAATTTCTGATCTCTGCTCGTCTGAACAGTGGGTCGACCCTTCAGCTGGTACTTGTGGCATGTACGCCTCTCAGTTGTTGGCGACGCCGAGTGATCCTGTTTCTTTGGACTTGTACCTTGCTTTCAGGAGGCATGTGTACCAACAGTTCGCCTCGAAGTGAACGCGGCTGCAAAGGTGCTCAAGACAAGGCCGCCAAATGAGGTATTCTCGTTCATGAGGTGGTATCAAAGGAGCCTTGACGACGATCACCGGTATCAACAATGACCATCGATAGCAACAACGACCGTCGATGACAATAACGAACGTCGATATAAGCAACAAGGCGACCGAAGGCTGGATTCGGTTACCATCTTCTCCTTGCCGGCTTGATTGCAAGGGTCTTGCGCTTGATGTGGAGTTTGATAGCCTGTTATTGCTTCGGTGAGTTCTCGAGCCCGCGCGCTCAGATTGGCGACATATGTCCAAGATCCAGAGCCTTGACCAGATATCAGTCGGGCTTAGAGCATCAATCCCTTTCCCACATCTGGTGTTGACTACCCTCAACACCCTTTAGATTCTTCAAGCCTCCAAATTTCACCCTTCTACTTCTTCATCCAAATGGCCGAAATGCGCTTATTACACTCCGGGAGCTGGCCGGGCGAAAGCATCGACCATCATGGCAGTCACCTGCGGGAACCCTTAGAAGGCCTGTGTACTGGGAGCTCGCCTCGACGTCAACGCAGTCTACAGAAGAGCGGAAAAACAGGCTGCCGGATAAGGTAGGCCCATGTAGGGTTTGATCATGGAATGCTGCCGTCGATCAGAGACTAGTAATTGAATGGTTGTAGGGATGCGTCCGCTCAGTACTTGCCAGGTGGAAAACACTTTCTCAAGGCGGTCACACATGGCATTGTGAGGCTCTGATGAAGTTGATATTCACGCGTGTAAACAATGGCAATGGATAAAGACGTCATATCACTTTGAGGCACGTGATGTCTGTTTACCTTTAAACAAATGTTCACAATTGATACGAATATTCTCAACACCAACTGAACGATTATGCTATTGTAATATGCCTTCATCGCGTGCACCTCCAGAGCTGTCGCCGATGGCATCGTCGTTCCACTCCGCGACCGGTCCCACGACAGCATCTGTGCGCCGCAACCTCTTCTCAGGACATCTTTCGCGCCGACCAGTGTCTCGCCCTGGCTCACAAGACGAGCCACAGATGCCTCAATCTGTCGCGCATCCACCCCCACCTCCATCGCGCAGAATACACCAACGATCTGTGTCGACGCCTTCGCTTTCACCGTCTCCACCACGACTCTCCCCAACGCACAACTACCAGGCCGGAAATGGCACTAATCCGCCTGTCTTCGCGCACCCTCTCCTGCGGCCGACACAATCTCCTCCCCGCAATTCATTCCTAGACACCTACGATCCCACCGTCTCTCCAAACCGACCTCTCAGTCCAGGAGCGACAGCAACGCTCTTCCCAGACTCCTCAATCATAGCATTCGACCCCATCACAAGAAAACCGATCCTTCCCCACCTCCCAGTCCTTCCAGGCCGTCTCAAACTCAGCGACTCCGACGACGAAGGCCTAGAAATAATAGAACCAGGACAACCACACGAATCATTAGCTGGTCACGGCGACCCCGCTCAGGCCTACGATTCATCCTTCCACTCCGCTTCAGCGGACACAGACTACGCCCACCAGGCTGCAATGGCCGCGATGTCCGCGCAAGCAGAAGCAGAAGCCGAGGCAGACGAAGAACGTTGCGGGCGCGAACGCATCGAGCGGATGGTCAAAGACATGATGGCCCGACAGCGCGCAAAAGTGAAGAACAAGTCGCCCGCCTCAAACATCCCGGCTCCTCCCCACCACAGCCACAGCAGAATCGGTCGACGAGCCCAGGCTCAAGCCCGCACACGCCTCCGCCGCGAGCCTAATCCAGATCTCGACGCTGATGAAATCGACCCGGGCGGCTACCATGTCGAGTACGGCGATGAGGAGAACCATTCGCCAATCTACACTGGTCCTGACATTGACGCGGAGTCTGATGCTGAGAAGGAGGAACTTATGGGTTTGATCACAGCGAGTCTACGACGAGAAGTCGCGCGAGCAGATGAGGAAGCCTGGATGTTCGGCGACTCTGGCGGCATTGGCGCAGGAGGTGATCTTGGTTTCGAATGATGCGAACAAACGACAGTCACGAGTTTATGATGTGGAATAGCATGAAATGAGGCCTGAAATGGCATGCAGAAAACAACACGGGAGTTATGAACGACGAAACATGCATGGAGTTGGGCGTTGGATCATGATTGCTGGGAAAGCACTGTGACATACGGCGCGATATGATGTAACAACACAGATCAGGTGTACCAAAAGTTTCAGAGAAGCAGTGAACAGTCTGCATATGAAATGGAAGGAAAGAGCCAACACGAGCAATGAGACTAGCGGGTGTTGAAATGCCAGGGTTAATTCGATGACAAGACCTCAGACAGAGACTGAGGCTGCGATTTTGTATAATACATGCATGCTCAAGAATATGAGACCAGGTCAAATCCCAGTCAATGTGATACGCATTGTGGCGCAACCACGCACGCTCTGACAAATGCCTTCCTTCCAAGTCGAGTGTTGCTCGTCATATCATTCATGAAATCTTCTCCCTGCCCGTCATGCGCTGTACTCAGTCTAGATCCATCGTGGGCGGCTTCTCAATCTCCTTCTTCGCAGGCGCTTGAACCTTGGGCGTGCCCGACCTCGGCGTCGACTGCTGCCCTCCGCCTCCACCACCGAAGAGCATACTCCCCATCATATCAAACAACGGGTTTCCACCCTGCCTAGGCATCCTGATACCAAACCACACTTCACCGATATTTGCCAGCGCATCACCCCACAGACCCTCGGCATCTTTAAGATGCGGCGCATAGTACTTTGCCAATTGTCTGAACAAGCTTGAATCGCCCTTCTGCGCGGCAAGAAGTAACAATCCCAGAAAATTCAGCAGCGGAATCGATGGGAACACGCGCACAGTAAGCCCGGACTTGCTCGACTCGATAGGCTGCGACATCGCCAGCAGCGCAGGATTGGATGTGGTGAGGTGCGATGTGAACGTCGACAACGCGCGGTTCGCAGACGCGAGATCTCCAACGAGCAGGTATGGCAGGACCGATCGCGAAGCGTAGATCGGCGCGAGGTGAGGCTGGTCGAGAGCGTACCATGTGTAATGCAGTGTTGCGAGAATTGGTGCAGAATCGGCCGTGCCCAAGATCAGATGTCGTTCTGCGTCGTAGACTTCGCCCTCTGTATAAGCATCAGCGCATGTCCTTCACCCACGACTCTTTCCAACGACGATGTTTTCGCCCGCCGGGCACCTCCCCGGCCCATCACGATGGAGAGAAAGAGAGAGACAAGAGAGACGAACCTTCAGCAAACATCTTCCCAACCTCAGCATGAATCACCGCATTCCCCCTCTCCACATCGCCAAACTTCCCACTCCAAGCCACCGTCTCACTAACAAATCTCTTCCTCGTCGGTTCCTCCGGGGGAAACGCCCTCAATATCTCCAACAACCTCTTTCTATTCTCGTCCGTACACGCCCACTCGCCTTTCGTATAGACATCGTTCAACAACATCAACGCCAAATCGCCGCCTGATCCGCCTTGGCCGGCCCTTAGCAATAACAGGCTGCCATTGTACAACACGTCGCATGCCGATGTATAGTCCTGGGCTTTGAGGTACCGTGCAGTAATGACTCGCAATTGTTGATGGGCTTCATAGAAGTTGCCCTCGGCGATCCTGTACACATGACACACCCATCAGCACGAGCCCGAGCCCAGAAAAGACGTTGCCAGACAAGGGACAAGAGCAAGCCGCAGCAAGTAAGGTAGAGCAACCATAGTAACAGTACGGGGCATGTACAAACACACAGGGTTGTGTCTGCGGTGGAATCGTTCGTGCAATACTAGGTAGTAGTGGTGGGGGAAGAGTGAACTCACTTCTCCTTCTGCCGAGCAATCGTCTTTGCTATTTTCGCGGACATGGTGCAAGAAGACTATGGGATGCAAGACACCCAGGAACAGAAGCCGAGAACAGAACTGCTATAGAGGGTGGCAGGTCAGGTCAGGTTGATCTGGTAGAGTGGAGGCGTACAGTAGATCAATCGTGCCGCAGGTTGGAGCTGGAGAACATAGACCGACGTCATGTTTTACTTAAGGAGCGTGGCAGCCTTGCGCCCTTCAGCCAATTCTTTGGCCTCGCGAACGTAGACTGGATTGGTGTGATCAGCACGTTCAATAGCCAACTACAATGGTCCCTGCTTACCACATCTATCGATCAAACAGGTCCTGGTTAAGGCTACTATATTGGAATGCGAAGATACGTGTTTGGTAAATGTCTTGATCTCTTCATTCCCCATCTCCGAGGAACAGGTATTAAACTCATACGAGAATCTCTTATATGTAGTCAAACCACTGAAGCAACAGAGAACTAGTCCGAATGATCCTGTTCCAAGAAGATCGCCCACCTCGACGCTGTTCTCTCAAACAGCCTTCCGTCGACCGCAAGACAAGGACGCCTCTGCCCAATGACACAGCAAAAGTGTGAAGACCCTCCAAAAATAAAATGTTGCCCAAGGTATATGAAAAACTCCATGTATATGCACGCTGCAGATGTGAGAAACAAAAGAGAAGTTCTCATCTTGCAACAGCCAAACCAACAAGAGCCGCGTATTGGACAGCCTTGTGGATAGCGATTCAGCTTGGGATCTGGAAAGCGAATGTGTGCTCCCCAATGAACCTGACGAGAATGCGGAGATCTTGCTGCAACCCGGTGAGTCGACAGGACGAACTCTACCACAGTGCGCGCGCTGCGCCCGCGGGTGAGGCAGCGTAGTCTCAATACTGTTGTCACGACTCGTTCTCGTCCTGCTCAGCCATGCTCCCAAGATTCCCCCTGCCAGCATTCGCAGTACTTCGGGTACTCTTGTGGCCTCTCGATACACCACCTCCACCATTCGAGATTGGACTGCTGGCTCTCTTAGCTGTGCCGTTCGACGTCGGTGGCGGCGTTGGTCTTTCCGAAGACGTCGATTCCAAGCTGTCTGCACTGTCTTTCTTAACAGTAGGTGGTGGCCTTGAAAACATGGCCTTCAAAGCTGCTTTGGCTTTGGCCTTTTCTTCCTTCTCTTCGGCCGCCTTCTTGGCCGGATCTTGTGCCGCCTTTTCATCGGCATATTGCTTCCACTTTCTCCATCCGTCGAAGTCTATCAGCGCTTGCATACAACCCCATTCGGTGACTTTACGCTCCATCCATATGAAGTTGACGGGCTGTAGAAGACAATTAGTCACTTGCGATCGATCAACAATTCAACATGCTTACCTTGGTCAAGAAGTCGTTACACCCAGCAGCCAATGCTTCGTGCCTGTCGCTCTGCAGACTGCTGGCCGTCAAAGCCACAATGATGACTGGACTTTTGAACAGACTTCGATCAGGGAGAGCATCAGCCTCACCCAGAGGTTCTCCATCTTTGGGTGTTGGACCGGGGTGAGTTTCGATTGGACTTCCACCAAAGACGCCAATCCCGTTGACAGCTTCAAGCCGGCGGATTTCCTTGGTCGCTTCAAGCCCGTTCATGATTGGCAGCTGAATATCCATCAGAACCAAATGGAAACCACCCTTCCTCCACATGGCGACAGCCTCTTTTCCGTTCATGGCTGATTGCCATCGAACTTTGAGTCTCTTCATGAAAGCTTCGAGCAGCTTCAAGTTGATCACGTTGTCTTCTACGAGCAACACATTGATGGGCGGGACAGTCCCGTCCAGCAAAGCCGCAGACGCCGGTTGGTTGGAGGACGGATGATCACCACTCGCTGACCGAGAAGTAACGGGGTTCTTTCTCTTCCTCGATTTCTGACCCAGATGAGGAGAGGTGATACGGTTCGGTGGGGTGATGGATGGCTTGTGGTCGTTAGGTCCCTGCGGTGGAGGCGTAGGCAGCGGAGGAGCCGTGGGTATGGCGCCGTTCATCTGTGGTTGTTTTTCTGGTCGTATCAGCATAGCCTTCTCCACGGGTCAAGTCAACTTACCTATGACCTGCCCATTGGGCTGGACAGTATGTAGAATGGTGGGACTGCTCGTGTGTTGTCTGCCGTATTTGGGTCTGGCATGTCTCCTTTGCCCGTGCGATCCTGGACTGGGCAAAGGCGGCAACTGGCCTGTAGTCAAGACGGACATGGAGTGTTGAACGGCATGAGGAGGGGGTACATGCGCCAGATGGGGAGAGTGAAGTGGCATAGGGGGGAAGTATTCCCTGGCGCCATCATCGGGTCGATATTGGTCCTGATAGTAGTAGGAAACTTGGTGGTTCCCAGCCCGAGGGGATGGGCGTGGTGTCCGGCGTACAGTATTGACCTCGATAATCAAAGCTTCTTCGACAGTCTGCCCGCCGGGGTAGTATGTATCAAGAGTCGACCCAATGGGCTCTTCGGGACCCAGGGGACGCTCCAAAGGGACATTTTTATTGTTTTGTTCGCGACTGACAATCTTCAATGTAACGTCGGGAGCATCGATGCTGCGACCCAGAGAATTGGCATATTTTTGCAAGATTACATCGCGAACATTGTCCACCAGGTCGTCTTGAGCGACCTCAACTCTGGTCGGAGAAGCACCTGGGCGTTTCACCCAGATCTTTCTCTGCATAGCTTGGTCGCTAGCATTTCGGGGGCATGCTAGTGATGGGAGAGTCGGGACTGTAGGAGAGGAAGGTCGCTGGACGACGAGGAGTGGAGGAACAGGGGGATGGGTGGTCGCAATGGTGTTTGGAGTGTCAGGACTCAGAGGAGACCTGCGACTAGAGGAGCTAGAAGGGACGACGTTGTCTTCGGTGCCGTTGGGATCGTCGTGAGGTGTAGATGTATCGGAATGATGAGGAGTGGTGGTCGCAGAAAATGAAGTGGGTTCGGTTGAAGCGGGTGAAGCGGGTGAAGCGGGTGAAGCTGTGGCTGTGGCTGGTGCGTGTCCTTGCGCTTGTCGTTCTGCAGCCGATGGCACTTTCAATCCGCCATCAGGATTGCGATTGGGCGCCGCTCCGACTCCTCTGGGGTTGGGCTCCGGCTGTCGCTCACACGTTTCTAGGTCTCTGCTTTTCGATCGGTTACTGTTATTGCCAACGCTCTTCCTTTTGGTGTTCTCAGACTTCCTTCGTCCACGTCGATGGAGAGCGAGACTGCTTAGGGACGACAGCGTTGGGAATTGGAAGCCCGACGATGGTTCTTGTCTGGTGCTGCTGGAGTTGCTTTCCCCGTCAATAGATTTATGGTTAGGCTCCGGGCCACTTAGACTGCGGAACAGAGATCGAGTCCTGGACAGTGGCATTGCCGACTGGACTCTTCCATGCAATCTGTCGACTTGTTGGAAGGGGTTGACCTCCCCTTCCTGGAGTTGAGTGATGAATAGAAGAAGGGAAAGATCAAGTAGTGAGGGAACGTAGTGTAGAATTCATTGCTTGGTCGAACAGTAAGCGGCAGAAATGTAAGGGAGACAGATGAGATGAGTTGGCTTTGCTTTGCTTTGCTCTGGTCTGGATCACGAGGTTACCCTTCCTGGGGATTCAAGAAGTCAGAGTTCCAGAATTATGCGCAATGCAGGAGGACAAGAGGTTGTTCTGCCGTGGCAGCAGCTTCCCTCCCCCTTTCATCGTTCAACGGCAATATTCAGGTTATCCGTAAGTCACGGCCTGGTGTTAATTCAATTGTTGTTCACCTAGAGCGCTCCCCAGGTATCTGGTATTCTTGGTAGGTATGAATTACTGGTTGTTGTTTCGCATTCTCTACGTCGCGAATCAAAATTGGCGTTACAGCGCAAACGCCGGCCATCCAACTCCAACAATCCAAGTCTCTCTCCTCTGCACCGACCAACATTCAGCGTCGGTCAAGGTTCACGTCAAGGGCACAAATAACCGGTAGCACTTTGTGGCCCTCTGGATACTTCTAATTGAACACTCCTTCCAACTAGTTCAGAGTGAGACCAATCACCTTTCAGTCCCCAGCTTTACTACACCGGCGTCAAGAAACAATCAGGTGTTTGATAGATACTCTATCTCGAAAATGATGTATTGCGTCCTTGCTCTTTCACAGCTCATGAAAAATACTCATAGACGTCCCATATCTGTATTAGTCATGCTCGTCCCTCGTTATTGCATGGGAACATCCCCTTAACGCCTTCCTATATAAGTTCTCTCACGCCTTGACTCGAGCTATTGCAATGCACGCGGATCCAACCTCATAGAATGCTACCACTCCATTGCATCGTCAAAGGCTGTTTCGTGTTCCCAATGTCGAAACAAAAGATACTGTATGTCCCAAACCCAACTGCGAACCCGAAACCACTTTAAAGATACCACGTATGCCAGCTTCCTCGCAAGTCGAGGAGAAAAAACCCAATGCCGCACGAACCTCGATAATGACAGTGTGAGCAGTATTCCCGTTTCCCGTTCCCATTTCCATTCCCATCCCGCTCCTGCACATATGCTTTGCGACCGCTACCGCTGCTATGTATGTACCCAAGGTTCCAACTTCAGATAAACGCCATTTCGCTTGCCTGAACATTCGCTTGTTGTCCGCTACATGGGGAATCTCGTGCGTGAAGGAAGGTGAATAAACAAATCACTTCAATGAATAAATGAAAACAAAACGCCCTCCGTGACCAATGTGCCCAACGCGCTGGCTGAGGAGAATTTGACATGCGACAGGTAATCTGAGTGGAAGATTGCCGTCGATGGTAGGCGCAACAAAGTGCGGTCGTAGTTTTGTGAGCCCACAATAAGCCTTCTATCAACGGCCAAGCATGTAATCAGGATAGCCACCGCCAACGTTTTGGCTTGCGGGTCCGGTATTCATCGACACTGCTCGCATGTTGGGTAGGGCTCCATTGCCGACAGTGTATCCTTGCGGGACATAAGCCGAAGGTGGCACTCCTCCGTTGACGCCTGGTGGCATGGACATGTTTAGGCCGGGAGGCGCTGACAATCCAGGAGGTGGTCCAGCCGCTGTCGAGAATGCTCCGGGAGTCATGTTTCCAAACCCGCTCATACTCATGGCTCCGGTGGCACTAAGCGGCGTTGTAGGATTCACACTCACTGGTTGTCCTGACCGAACTCCCAGTGGGTTCTTCGAAAAGCTCAACCGGATGCCGCCCTTGACGCTGTTATGCAGCTGGGCGCCATACAAATCGTTGAGTGCCTTGGTCGCAAAGGAGACATCCTCAAATTCAACAAAGCACATCGGCCCATTCTGCTTGGTCCGGAAACAGAGCCTTTTGTAACCCCTCTGCTTCGAAAACATGGCCTTCAACTCGTCCTCGGAAGTATCAATGGGCAGATTGCCCACGTACAGTGTGTTACATGGCGGGTTCTGGTCGGCGGGATTGGCAGGCGGGAAATTGTGCCGTACGAAGGGTTGGCTTGGTGACGAGTATTGACCATTGGCGCCCATTCCAGGAGAGAACTGGGAGTGAGGTGTCCGACTTTGAGCAGCCGACCGTGGTGACGCATAAGCATGTGAAGGTGCACTGCCCATAGTCGTGTTCAAAGACAGCGACGAGAATGCCGCCGTGGGAACGCGTGGGTTGACATGCTTTCTGCCTGCGTTGCCCGCCGAAGAGTTGTTCATATATGCCAAGGGATCCTTCAGCAGCTCGCCGGTATCATCATCCCCACCGTCTTCATCAATGACTGTCTTTCCGCTGTTGCGAGAACGGTCCGTCACGACACTGGTACCGGACATTTGAGGAGAAAAGATGGTCTGCAGATGAGAACCGCTTTCGGACGACGAGAAGTCTGGTGGGGATCCCATAGGAGGAGAATTCTTGTCCATAGATTGGAAGGTACCGTTGAACCTCGAAGACTTTGTGGCATTGGTCTGCGTTGGTGACACGGATTGTGCCATCCTTCTGCCTGCCATGGGGTCAATGGTGTTGCGTCGAGCTGCCATCGACGGACTGGAAATGACAGTCACAATCATCTTGGCCTGTCCAGCTGTGTTAGGCTTGCCATCCAGCATTGCTTGTGCCTCAGAGGCACCTGTCATGGATGCAAAGCGGGCAACGGCGGTAGCAAACCCGGCATCCTCCTCGTACTCGTTGGGAACAATGTCCGTATTCTGGAGGTCTTTGGCGAAGAGAAGCATAGTTCTTACTGCCTCGGCAGTCGTATTTCTTGGTAGACGACGAAGAAAAACTGTTGGTAATGCCATTGTGCCCTCATGGGCGGTCGACATCCGTCGTTCAGGTGCTGCCGCTTCCAGGGCCAAGGATGAGGGAACCTGGGGCATAGTATATGGGTCCGACAAGATCGAATGCAGGCGACTCTCCGATGGACTGAAAGTAATCGCGCTCATAGCGCAAATGCAAGGGTGATTGCCTACTGACTTCTGCTCGACCTCAGACAGGAGATGTCGACAGATACGAGGCCTTCTCGAGCAGACTGTTTCGGGTGATAATGTATCAAGTACCGGAAAATTGCGGTGTTCGCAAGGTCAAAGCTAGTTGATTAAGAGTTGAAGACCAGTGGTTCGCAATTTTCTTATCTAGCATGCTCCTTGAGAACAATGTTGGATTTCCGGCCTAGAGAAGGTTCGTCCACAACCATGTTACACAGGTTGTACAACCCGAATCAAGATGCTGTAGTAAATGGTACCGAAGAGTGAAAATGAGGAGGCGCAACTCAAAGTAGTCGGTCGAATCGATGAAAATAGTCTTGAAGATTCGCGTATGTGAAGGCCAAATGTGTTCTCAAGTCGAAGTGATGCGCGAGGTACAGTATCTGACAGTGTTCCTGGAAGGTAGTGGGCTCCACCACAGATTCGAGTCCGCTTCGAGTCGCAATGGGGAAGAAGAATCCGTCTGCGATAATCGTGTTACACAAACCAATCCCACTGCCCACGAGGTCGAATGAGCACGATCACCACCTGAAAGTGTGAAGGGACGACAAGGTACGGATATGGGGAGAGTAGAGAGACAAAGGGGAGATAAACCTAAGCAACCACGTAAAAGGTAGCTGGAGAGAGTTGGGAGTAAAGTAGTTTAGTGCAAAAGATGGCATAGCGATTCAGCGAGGCGGAATATTTGGCGGCGAGTTAGTGGTCCAGTCGATAGCAGCGATAAGCCCAACTAGGCCCGTGTTTGGCAGTGCCCCAGTGTGAACAATCGTGCCAATCCGGTACCGTGTGGCTTGCAGGACGGGCCCGAGCACCAAACTGGAGGCGCAGGATGGGCAGGGCTAAGATACAAATCGCGATCGGGCGGTGACCGGGTAGTGGAGAGTGAACGGCAAGGGCTAAGTAGGCCGCATGGGAACAAAGGTCGGAGCCCAGTCGAGAGAGCGGGTTCCTGACTTGGAATCCTAATGAACATGTCCGGCACCTGAATGCGGTTTTGGCCAGATTCAGGTGCCCAGCGATAAACGCGGAGGGGCGATCAGTGGGTACGTCTGGCTTACATCTGGCACGGTTGAGTTCAAGGATGATATGTACCTAGGTAGGTAGCCCTGCAGGCTGCAGCAATGAAAAGGAGCGATAGCTCAAGCGGTTCTGAAGGACAAAAAGGCGGAGTCGAATGATGGCGTAAATCAGTCGACGGCACTTCACTCGTGTACCTGGTTCAAGAGGGATTCCGGCGACGTTGGCGTGCTTTTCTGCGACTGGGGTGGGGTGAGGAAACGTGAAGGAGGGGTGGGCAAGGTGTTCAAAGAACTTACCTTTGGCGTGCTTTGGGTGTAGCACGGCATGTGGTTGAGTACGTACCACCAACTTGAGGACAGGACACACAAGGTGCCAGTCCACGCACCACAGAAAATAACTTGATAGCGATAAATGAAGAGCAGAGTAAACGGTCGTGCTCAAGTCTTTTGTCTTTGGCTGGTTGGCTTGTGGTAGCGGCGGAAGCTTATAGTGACTCATTTGGCGCCGAAGAGTTTTAATCCCAGGCACTCAGTCAGCTTCGAGATGGACTGAGATGGGAGCCTTGGTGGATAAGCATGTAGCTTGACGAGATGATTGTCACGAAGATGCGTGCTTGTTCTCAATCGCAGTGGGTGAGTAATTGTCGTTGGTCCAATGGTGCGAAGAATGAGGTGCTCTGGTCAACCATCTCTATTCGCTTTCCACGGTGTGGTGGACCTGTTCCCCGTGAAGTCAAAGAATTCTTCTGACCGAGGGCTGCGCTAATAACCAAATCCTGGTGCTAGTAGGACTGGCCTGTCGAACCAAACTCCAGTTAGGCTGGTCTTCTGTTGCTCCCGTGGCTCCTCCGGAGGTGGACGCTCGAATGAAATATAAAAGACCACCTTTACCGACATGCCGGACGTCCTTTGAGTTCTGGGAACTTCGGAGGCACCATGATAAGCCTGGAAATGTTCTAACTGTGAACCCACCATCCCATCACCTCATTCATCCATACTAGAGAGTTAGGGCATTCCTTAGCCCCAAGTATCCAAGGCGATATCCTTGTTACAAGGCTTCGAGCAATACCTGCCATTATCGATTCTTTAGCGAAGCGTGTCGGTCCACGCAAGCCCGACAGATATGCCGCCGAAAGCTATATCCTCAATTGGTAGCTTACTAGCTTGTGCGATAAAGCAGAGCAAGGCGCAGCCCATTCTTCTCCTGCCCATTCGAAAGCGCAGATTGTCCAATACACTGAGCGCGATTGCTGCTCGCAAAGATTGTCCATATATGAATTCATGCCTTGGATGCAATGCAGGACCGGAAACCGTGCGATTAATGATAACCATACGAGCTCGTACTTGAAGGTCATATCATATCGCCGAATCTGTACTTGTGAGGGACTAGTGAATGCTTTCGTGGCCGTTTCGATCCTGACAGCGCCGTCGGCCCTTTCAATTGGTCCTCGACAGATGAATGATAATGGGAGTCGAAACGTCAAACGAGGCTTATCTTTCCACTTACGTGAAACACGTGGACATTATAAGTAGAGCACTTGAGGCCCTGGTGAGTTCATCGCAGCCGAATTCCAAGATTCTGGTGTGCATCGTTTCTGCCCCCCTCACAAACCTCGCATCCTGATTGCTGGGTCCGGTTACGATGTCCCCTGGCTCGTTTGTACCTGAAAGAGAAGAGACTTTCTCCGCTTCCCATCGTGGTCGGATAAGAGGGTTGATGCTATACTAGGTTATAAGTGTCATGGTCCTGGGTAACGGCAGATGTCGTGAACAGACATGCTCATAGGCCTGACGGACTTGATGGCCGCAATTCCGTGGCATCTGGGGGCTGACCACCTCAAACCCTGACTCGTGATTAGGTATGAAATGCTTGGAAGCCTTGGATAGACTTATAACTATTGGTGGGTGTGAAAGTCTAAGTTAGTCCAAGTTGGACACCCAAGGGTGCCTGAATGTCTGCGGTATGGTGGAGAAGGTAAAGAGTTGCATCCTGGATTGACACCTGTAACAGTAACCACCATCGCAACTGCCAGTTATCTTTGACCTTATGCTTGCCACTGGCCTGCATATCCGGCGTGGCAGGTGTACTTGTACTGCATGATTGTGTCTGGATCACCTCCTACTACAGCACATCCCGCCGGTCTTGCCCTCAACAGTTGATTACCACACCATCCTGGTGGCACCTGGCTTCGAAAGTCGTGTTACTCTTTACCAGGAACCACTGCCTATATCACTTTCCACGCCTTTCCAGCTTTCTGTTACAGTATACTCACCCAGGGATATAAGTCAATCCCCAACCCTCCAGCGGCTTGGACACCTGCCATCTCAACCCAAATAAACCACATGTCACATGTCAGCGGCTTAGTGTCGGTCATCTTGGGTCTTCCCAAACCACACACGTTAACCCTGAAGTTGACTGTGTAACCCGAAGATGCATAAAGTACTGATCGCAGGTCATTCCTGGTTGGCCAGAGGTACTTATGTGATCCGTGTCCCTTGCTAGGAAGACACAGCAGCCGTGGACAGCGATAACGTTCATGCAGATATAGTCCGTCAATCATGTCGAGCCTCAATGCAGCCGCGAACTTGGTTCAGCGTCCCAGCCCCATTCACAGCTTCAAGGCTGTTCTAGATCACTTGCTAGCATCGATACTGGGAATCGCTGTAGTCCTGACAGTGAAGCGCACTGACTTCTAGTTTGAATGCTCAATATGCATAGATTCGCCACCATCAATGGTCTCTGCGTCGCTTTCTTTGCTGGTGTCACCGCCATACTTTTGAAGCATTTGCTCAGCGTACAACCCAATCTTGTTGCCTTTCCGCTCTTGCATTTCTTGTTTGTCGACGCTGTCTTCGTAGGAGGGCGGTTGCTCAGAGAAGAGGCTCGCGTTGCTCTCTTTCGCCCGCTTGGGAGAAGGTTGTCCATCCTCATCACGAGCTGGACTCGACATGGACATTGGTGTAAACTCCTGAACGGAGCTGTTGGATCCGGTTCGATCGATGAGAGGCACGTCTTCAAATTCGGTTTCAGGCACTAGGTCGCCAGACGTGTCAAGCGCCGTGCCTTCCTCTTCTTGCAACTCCTCAGCGAACGCTTGGTTGTCCCTGTCCACAAAGTGTCTCAGTGGCAGGCTCAGCTCACTGGCTTTGAAATTCATTGCATTTTCGTTGGCATACACCAGTAGCACAGAATGATGTTCGCTTTCAACCGCTTCTAGGACTTCGTTCTCCCTGACTTTGACAATGGTGAACGGCCTCGAGCCGCCATCAGGTGTTGGCTCTTGCGCTTTTCGATCAGCCTCAGCCTGATCCTTCGTGACCGGACCTATTTGTGCTGGTGGCAGCTGTTGTGAGCCGGGGTCCTGTAGCCAGGACATTCGCCACCACTGGCTGTCTGGGTCTTCAGAGGTGCTCTCATCGTCGTCGAGATGCAGGAGATCAGAGTTTCGTCGGCGGACATATGTAATATTAGGCTTGGTCGACACGCCGCGTAGGGTGTACTTGCGCTGCGGGAGGTGAGGGCTTTCCTGGGTAGGCTTTGTCAGCTGCAACGAGATTTCTCGCATTCTCTGCCGAAGCTCGGTCTTCTTCTGCTCGAGTTGTTGCGACTTTTGCTCGATGCGTCCGAGAAGATTTTGCAGTTCTGAACGAACCTCTTCCATAGCCGCTGTGCTGACAGAGTCCTCCGAGATTGACCGTTGACCCTCATACGAGCCAGACTGGACAGGCTTCTTGCCAGTAACTCCAGCGGAAGCTTTGACAGCGGCATTCAGCACGTCACGGGTCATAAGTAGCCTGTTATCCGGCAACTTGACAACTTCGCAGCGACGCTGAATCATGGTGCACTGTTCGATTTCTCTGCGTATCACTTGAAGCTGCTTCCGTAGTTGTCGCATGACATCTCGGCATTCGTATAGGTAGCGGTCAGGATACCAGACGGGATCCAGAGTCAAATTTACGCCACTTTTGCCCTCTTGAGGATCATGAACACGAATAGTGAAAATCTCAGCGGCATGGTCAATCCACACATCGTCGAGTTCATGACTGTTGTCGTCCCATACTGTCGTATCAAGCAGATCCACCAAGGTTTGCCCAAGAGCGGGATTGGTCGGTGGTTCAACGACGAACAGGGTCGTTTCATCCCGCGGATCGCTACCAGACACATTGTGCTTTACGGCGACAGATGTGAAAACCTGAGTCAACTGCTCATGAGGGTCCTGATGAACTGCTGCGGAAGCCCAGGCCTGCATGAATCGAAGCGACGATTGGCCGTTGCCGGAACGAACCCTTTGGAGATCAGCCAGCGCATCCACACTCCCATAAGCACGATTTGACCTGTCAAGAAAGGCCATCAAGCATTGAACTTCCGCGAGTACATTGCACTCGTCCCGGTCGACCTGTAGTGTGCTATCGGTCGACAAAGCCTTAGTGTTCTCATCGGACGTGCCGGACCACCAACTGGCTTCGTGGCCGTAATTATGGATCTTTAGACTAGGCATGAGCAAAGCTTCCCGAGCGAGTGGTATGCTGTGATAGATAGTGAGCAACGGCGCGAGATAGTCGGTTTCCTTAGAACCCCGTAGGAACGCGGGCTCGTCGTCAATCCGACGCCGTTTTGAGGGCGGAGGGTGATCGATTATTTCGCGGGCAGTTGAATATGTGGTGAGTGCCCAGTTCGCAGGATCGTAGTGTTCGCGCTTAGCGGGTCCAAAGTGTGCGCCGGCGCCGGTAACTCCATTCTCTTGTGCTGGTAGAGTGTGTCCGAGCGACTCTGCCATCGCACGCTGGATGGCTGGGTCATTCATCTCTTCCTCCTCCTTGAGTGTGGCAGCATCAAAATTTGAGGCTGAACGAGCATCAGCACAACAGGCCATAATCGTCACAAGGAGCATTTACCTGCAGCATGTTCGTTGGACAAATCCACAAAGGACCTGTTATGGCCTATTCTCGATGGCGGACGTGACAAGGCAGGCATGCCGCCCATGCTTGAGTCGTCGGCAACTATGCGAAAAGCTCATGTCAACATCAGTGTGCGGCCGGCAAGGGCAGAGGGACGACGAACATGGGATGTTATCCTGATCCTGCCATTGCTCTGTGGCTGGCTGTAGGACGTCAGTAGAGTCCATTGAATGCAGTGATGGAACACCTACTTGGTCTTTCAAAGAGCCCACCGGATCCTCAAAGAATGCATTGACAGCCGCATTTACATCGTTGTTCGCTTTCTGCGAGCTCAGAACTCAGTACCTGCTCTTGATGTTCCAGAGTCCTTCCCGTCTCACCCTCAACAATATTCGAGCACTTGACTCATCGACCGCTGCTATTCCGCAGACTTGTGAGATTTGGTCGGCGCTGGGTTGTGTGCCTGCCATCTTGCGCAGACGGGCCGTAGTATCATGGAGAAGAGAAGACGGTATCATGAGGTTTAGGGCTGGGAAACGTTGATGTTGCCGGCTGTGTGCATTCAGATAGAATAGCAGGCTGCCACCTTCGCCAGATACTTTAGGATTATTTGAGCTGGATAGTCATGGCCAGCGCGCTGAAAATGAGACCTAAATGGATGAAATGGCGCTGCCCTGTGAGTTCCAAAATGTGACGCAGTTGTGAGTGGATGTCAAACCGATCAATGGCCCGTAGCTATCCCGGGGGTCCATCGTCGTCTCCGCACACGCGCCGCCTTGGAGAACCTACTAAGTAGTACCTGGTAGGTGTCTGAGGTACTTCAGGTACCTTCAGTAGCAAGGCAAGGGCGTCTGGGTGACCAACTGCCTGGATCTCCGTACAGCTTGATCTACTGCTACCCCCACTGGTACGCTGCTTGACTTGACTAGTCCATGTTGTATTTAAGTTCTTTCATTATGTTGCTTCTTTCTCGTCTTCTATGCTCAAGGGCGTGCTCCGACACTGCAAAGTAACGCATCACAAACCAACGCAATCCAATATCAGTCGTCTCCAAGTTACAATGCGGCAATCAACACGATGTTGCGCACCAAGCCAACAGAGGGTATCCTGTCTCTCCCACAAAAATGCAATGTCAACGGTTCGTGAACTCCGTAGCCGTCCCCGACCGTACCCTCCCAGGCGTCTTAATTCCGTGTACCAAGGTAGTGTCATGTACACTCTCAAAAGTCCCTGAAAGCATCTTCCCACTCGTCACGCAGCTCGTCCGTATACCTCCCCCTCCCACCTTCACTCTCTTCGCCATCCACAGGATCGGGGTATTCGTCAAAATTGCCAGCATCTCCAGCCCACTCAACGCGCGGTATGATAGGACCCCTCTTTTTTCGATAGTATATCTCGTCCCAGTCGACTCCTTCAAAGAAGTAGTGCTCCATGACTCTCTTGCTGCCACCGGCAATCTGGCCCAATCGTTGAGTAGGGTCTGTTTTGCACAGTGCAAGGATGAAATCACGGGCCTGTCTTGGGACATGGAGACTGTGACGGTGGCCCGGCTGGGAAGGATGCGCTGTGGGAAATCGAATGTGGCCGGCGACAATCTGCTCGTATATGCGCATTGGATTCTGATCCCAGAAGGGCGGCTGTCCAATTAACATCTCATAAACCAGAATTCCAAGTGCCCACCAGTCAACTGCCGTGCCGTGACCTGTGTTGCGTATCACCTCTGGTGCAAGGTACTCTGGGGTACCACAAAGAGTATAGGTGACGCCTGACCCGCTTGCTTGTGGTTCTGGATGCTCTGTTGACGGCCTTGAGGTTTGGTTGGGTATATTGGGCGAGGTCTGATCTGTAGTGGGAGGGAGGTACTTGGCGAAACCAAAGTCCACAAGTTTCAGGTGGCCATCGACGTCTAACAGAATGTTTTCTGGTTTCAGATCGCGGTATGCCACAAATTGTACTTCATGGAGGTAGGCCAGTATCAGGGTGATCTCAGCTGCGTAAAACTGTACTGTAGCGAAGGGGAATCGACGGGCTCGTCGAAGATAGGAAAAGATCTCTCCTCCCGGCGTATAGTCCAAAAGCATGTACAGAGATGTGTCGTCGGAAAAGGTCGTTACGAGAGTTGTTATAAATGGGTGTCCAGCGACAGCAGCGAGCACATCTCGCTCATTTCGGACATGTTCGACTTGCTTCAATTTGATCACGTCGACTTTCTTCAGCACTTTCAACGCAAAGACCTTGTCCCTATCCTGCTGCAGAGGGTTGGCAAATCGACAAAGCCATACTCGTGCAAATGTGCCTGTCCCCAACGTTCGCATCAATTCAAAGTCTCTGACGGACAGGTGCCGCGACGGTTGACCCAATTGTTTCTTTGCTGGGTCCTGCGACACTTGTTCAGGAGGCATGACCTCTCTTTCTGAATGCGCAGCAGCATTTTTGAGGACCTGATCTTTCTCCTGTTCGCGACTGGGGTGGGGGTGGGATGCGCTTCTTGTGCTCTGAGGGCTACTGGGCCGCAGATCTTGTCGATGACCTTGCGCCGAAGCCGCGCGCGGCGGCAACGGCTGTTGCTGCGACGGCTGAAGCGTCGCTGTGCTCATCTGAGCAGCCAAATCGCATTTTCCCTCAATCGTAGTAGCCTCGTAGGCCGAGCTTCATGTCGAAGCCTCTCCTACGCCATGGACCGGCAAACGCACGGCAAGCAGGCTGAAAGATGACAAAGGTGAACTGGAGGTGGAATAGGAGTGTGTATGGAAGGTTTTGAGAACGAGGAGAGTTGTGAGAAGTCGTGGATCCAGGTCAAAAGCAGTCCAAAAGCCACAACCCGACGCAGCAATCAGGAAAGGCTATCAATACCTTACTCACGCACCGACAAAATAATCTCAGCTTCGGCAATGATGCGCCTACACCTAACGTACCCAGGCGTAGTGGCCCCGTACCTTTCAGTATGACGACAACCCGCCTTGCTGAGACACCGGTCTCTGTCTGTGCTGCCGCAGATGCGCGGGGCACGACACAGGTTGTCCGCCTTAACTTACCGGCAACTCTTTGCCAGGCAAAAGGCTTCACTTACTTACCGAAATGGAAAAGAACCGCATGTTGGATACCTTCTGGTACCAGAAAATCAGTCCTGAGCATTGCGCATGCACTCCGTACCCCTATCTGAGGTATCCTTTCCCTGATGATAGACAGGCGTCCAGCCTCGTCACGTCAATTTTCCTACAAGACAGATGTGTGCTTGTCATTTCTCAGTCCCGACTCATATTCGTTTCCAAACCGAGGCGCAGAATGTTATTTTCCGACCTCATCATCATTAGGTTGCTATGTGTCTGTTGTTGACCAAAGGATCCCGGTGCATACACGCGTATGCTGTCCTTTTGAGCCCTGTTGCGCCCGTGCTTTTCTATAGCGCTTCCCGAGATGTCTATACGCTTTGACCAGTGCCGCCAATAAGTCACGACATAAACCGCTTTTCAATAATATCGCCTTGCGCTATGCTTTGAAACTCAATGTGTATTCCCAATCTGAACGACCAGCCGTGTCTCTGGAATTCAGGGTCGTTCGCGGCTATCAACCGCCCTTCATGCGTTCGCTCTGTGGTTTCCAAGATCCTGCCGGGTCATTAGCTTCTTGCGCAAGAAAACAATAGAGTGAGTGCTTAGCACGTACCATCAAACTCATGTTTCACAAAAGCCATTGGGTGATCTGGCCCCTCGGCGCCCATTTGCCCGACCCCAGGGCTGAAACTGGTGATGGGGAGTACAACGACATCTCCAATCTTCTTGTGTTCCGTGATGCCAAAGAAGTCCGAGTATGTAACATTGGACCTCCGTGAACTGAAATCAAAGTACTCCTTGTTGTTGAAGTACGAGAACACAGCATCAGTCCATACACCAGGCCCGGTGAATTCCATGATGCTCTTGGTCGGCTTTTGGCCTTCTGGGAGGTTGCCAGCCTTCTTCATCGCAAGAGTGTCTTCTGCGATGGTTGCGACAATGTCTCTCATCACCGGATGCCCGGGCTTTGACTGGATGGTCCATTGACAAAATTGTATTCTCCTAGCATACCATTCACTCCAGTCCGGCCTGTCTGGGTCAGCCTCGATTCCCACGACCAAGCCAACCGTGGACTTGTCAAGGTTCGGTGGCAGCCACTCGACCACCGACTTAAGTGCTTGTGTGTCAATGTCGCTGTAGATGCCACCACGTGCAAGAAGGATCAGATAGCGGAAGAAGTCTGCCTTCAGGACTGGAAGAGGCATGGCTTCATACGCCTCGATGACTTCAGGGACCGAAGCATACAAGTAATTGACCAGATGTACAGCCGCATCATCGGTAATGACCTCATGCACAAACCCCGGGTGTAGGGTTGACCAGGACGCTTCGAAGGGTCTCAATCTTTCCTCGAAGTCGCCAGAACCCGGTCCTGCTTTCCACGTCTGCCATACGTAGGCAGGAAATCTGGATTCGATATCATAAGGGAAATGATAGCGTAGTCGATCCCGGAGTGGCTTGGACGCCAGCTCTCGGAGTGTCTGCTCATCGGCTTTTTGAGATTTCTTGGAAGGTTTCGGAGGTGGATAGGATCGCGAAGCCTGTGCTGGTGCTTTAGGACTGGACTCCAGAGCATTCGTATCGGACAGAGATGATGAGGTAGGCCGAAGGAGTAGAAACAACGCGAGGAGCACGACTGCTACGAGTGCAACTCGTTTTGTGGTGGTAGAGATAGCCATATATGCGCGACAGTTGAACAAACTCCTTCTTCTGGTCAACAGATATTCCCCAATCGTCGGCAGCACAACGATACTCGCATAAACCGCGTTGCCAGAAGCATCTGTTCCACCTGCACCTCTACAGACGACGATATGACTTTCGACGAGGAGAATCGCACAAAGGTTTGGCAGCAGGTACAGCCGCAAGGGAGTTGCGTGGGGATCGTTTACCAGAACTGGTGGTGGTACATGGTCATCCGGAAAGGTCTGTCTCAGGTGGATGCGTCGGGCCCCAGCGCAGATGCAGGAACGACGCAGGGATGGTGGCAGAAGGTTGCTGTGACGGTCTTAGAGCGAGTTGTGGACACGTGTAGGGAAGCCGATGCGTTCGTATGGTGAATTTGAGATCTTGCAGCGCCACAGCGAAGAGGAAAAGGAGAGATGGACAGTAATGAAGCAGCGTAGGGAAGGGTGACGACGCAATTATGGATAAATCGAAATATTGCTGAGACGTAACCTACTATTTAGTATCCCTGCGCAGGGAACAAGGCCTCTAGCGGCCAAGTCAAGCTTTTCGGGGCTGTCTTCCAGCATGGCGCCAGGCCTGCGGTGCGTGGCTGAATCCAGACACCACGGGCCTAATAGTAATACAATAGTACCTCTCTCCACCCAAACAGGGCTGAACTTCTGCAAGGGATATTCTACATCATTAGAGCGAGGCAGACAGGCGAGCTGATTTCTTGAGAGCATCTCCGTCCGGTGCACAGAAGGGCCTCCTTGATCGCTATACCTACTAATACATTGCCCGAGACTGACATGGTAGATCGGACCACAGTGAAACACGGACATTCTTTATCTGTAGTGTCCTGTTAGGATAATGTCATTGCGGCTGGGGACGGCCTTGCGCAATGCACACCCGGCGGCCTGACAGAAGTGGTCCCCCATTATCCCTGATCGACCGCGTACTAAATGTCAAGGCCGCAGGACGTAGACTACTCGTTCAGCCGTGTCCGTAAGGTAGGCTCGCCTGCATTTCCGACACAAAGGACGTGGGTACATGTGAGAGTAACATACCAGATGGATCTCTGGGCTGGAGGGATGATAATGATGATAATTGGGTATGCATTTATGAGTGACACAAGACGGGCGTTTTGAGTCTCGTGAGGCCGGGAGGAGGATTTCTCAGAGGCTTCTTTCTTCTGACAGATAACTTATACCACCAATCTCCCCGAAGTGCTCCACAAACCTTGCGAGGTCACAATTGCTCCGGCTATATCTGCATGCCTGCCGGAAGTTGAGGTCATTGTCGATGATTCTTGATGAAACAGGTACGGAACCGGTACGAAGTATCTACCTATATTTTGACAACATGGACCACACGTGAGGGCCTCACATGCATCAAATTGTGCTGAAGAAGGTCAAGCGGCTCCGCGGAGCAAGCTGCGTTTTGATTGGCGGATGATGGCGCAATACAGATGGGCGAGTTTACGATGCTCGTCAGTCTCCATCATTTTCTTGAATATGTCAGAGGGCAAAATGGAGGTTTGTAATTCCTTAAGACTGCCTCCGGAACGAGGCCAGTCCTCGCTACTATCGTCCACCACTTCACCTCCTCTGCAAACCCACCATGGCGGCTTCTAGGGGTGCTCAGATAGCTGCTCGCCTTCTCAGTCGTGGCTCCAAATCTCTGGCCGTCAATCGGACAACACTGAAGCGCAGGTTGGACAATCCCCTCGTGAGAAGCACTCGAAGCCTCAGCGATGCCCCTCTCCATACTCGCGCGACACACAATGCCCAAGCGGCTACCGCACCCTCGGAAGCACAGTGGGAGGGAGTCGAACCTTCCAACCCTGCCATGACATTTCCTTGCTTGGATGCCCAAGAACAGAAGACGGCTGCTCTGCAGAGGAAGTCTCTAGACTCCGGACCCGAGCCTTCCTATACCACCGGCACCCATATGGTCTTCCACAGTTCTGAGCCATTCTTACTCGACTGGGGTGGCATTCTGCCACAGTACGACATTGCGCATGAGACGTGGGGTACGCTGAACTCGGAAAAGAGCAATGCTATACTCCTACATACTGGTTTGTCGGCATCGAGTCATGCACACAGCACCGAGTCCAATCCCAAGCCTGGCTGGTGGGAGAAATTTATCGGCCCTGGCGCTCCTATAGATACCGATAGGTATTTCGTAATATGCACAAATGTGATCGGAGGCTGTTACGGCTCGACAGGACCTTCGTCCAAGGACCCAGCGGACGGACAGAGATACGCCACGAGATTTCCCATATTAACCATGGACGACATGGTGCGAGCGCAGGCCAGGCTGCTGGATGGACTGGGCATCCAAAAACTCTATGCAAGCGTGGGATCCAGTATGGGCGGAATGCAAAGCCTTGCATTTGGAGTACACTTTCCGGATCGAGTTGGGAAAATCGTCAGTATATCAGGATGTGCTCGCAGTCACCCATACAGCATCGCAATGAGACACACTCAGAGGCAGGCGTTGATAATGGATCCGAAGTGGAACAGGGGCTTCTACTATGACGGTATTCCACCACATTCGGGAATGAAATTGGCCCGTGAGATTGCCACGGTCACCTATCGCAGTGGCCCGGAGTGGGAGAATCGATTTGGGCGTCGGCGAGCAGATCCCAGCAAGCAGCCGGCTTTGTGCCCTGACTTCCTCATCGAGACATACCTTGATCATGCGGGAGAGAAGTTCTCTCTAGAGTATGATCCTAACTCATTACTCTATGTCTCCAAAGCTATGGATCTCTTCGACCTGGGACGTGCCCATCAAGACGCGACCCAGGCCCGACGACAACAAAATATTGAGAGGGTGAAGCAGCACCACGGGGAACAGCCGCAGAACGACCCCTCCTGTAGCTTGACCTTACCATCTAAAAATTACGAGGAGCAAGAGTCGCCTGCTCCGATGGATGAAGTTGTCAACTCTGCCGTCGCAACTGGACCGCCACAAGATCTTGTGCAGGGTATGGCACCTCTCAGATCTCATCCTGTGCTGGTCATGGGCGTTGCCAGCGATATACTTTTCCCAGCCTGGCAGCAGCGTGAAATTGCCGAGACGCTGCGTGCTACTGGCAACAAGGAAGTAACGCATGTTGAACTCGGGGAAGATATGAGTCTCTTTGGGCACGACACGTTCCTGCTAGATCTGAAGCATATTGGCGGCAATCTGGGCAAATTCCTGGGATGAACGAACCCGCATCGACACACGCAGCTACGACATAGCGCCAAATAGGAATGGATGACCTCAATAGTGTATTCTATACATTAGTGGTACAGAACCTTCCCCAGAAGTATCTAGCTTCGAGAAGTTGTAGACACAGTCTTCTTGCAACCCTTGTTCCACGAGCTTTGTATAACACGTCCTTTCATGCTGTCTTTGGCTCTTCAGCTCTTTGAGTTTAAGATCAATCCCACGATCAATCCATAAAGACCCAGTACTTCGCCGAAAATCAAAATAAGGACCATGCCCACGAAAATCCTTGACTGTTGCATGTATGATCTCACTCCCATATCCCCGACTATTCCAATTGCATATCCTGCGGCTAGACCGGTCAAGCCGACACTCAAACCACTTGCCAAGTGCATGAACCCGGTGAACAAGCTGTAGTTCTTCCCTGGCGGAGGTTCCATATCTCCTGCGATCAAGACTGCGATCACGAGGGCGTAAACGGCAATGATACCGGACATGACGACCGGAATGAGAGACTGCAATTGTATCAGCGATGCACAGCATGGCAGACCTCTGGAAACCGACCTTCATGATTAGATCTGGACGATATGTTCCAACACCAGCGATTCCAATGCCAGATTTGGCTGTGCCATAAGCTGCTCCTATACCTGTAGTGGTTTAGTATTTTCACATCATCGTTCTCGGTGGGGTTCGGGCGTACAGCCAAATATCATCTGGTAGGCGAACGTTAGCTAGAGTTCTCGATCAAGAGCGTCGAGGCAACGTACTGCAGATGCGATCCCAGCCTGTTGGAAAGTCAGCTCAATTCGGGAACGCCATGAGTGAGAAGACCTACCATGCCAAAGAAGGGTGCGAAACTGGGGGTGTATTCGTTGGCCGGAGCCTCCATGATAGCGGCCATCTTGTCAGATTTGAGTGTTGTAGTTTCTCGCGACGACGAAATCGGTTGAATAGCAAGTGGTCGAACACGAGATTGAAGTGGTGAGCGTCGTGCTTGCTGCGAAAGGTGTGCAGAGAGCAAGGTGATGTAGCAGGAAGGAACCTAGAAAAGCAATGATTGAATGATTTGCCCGCAGCTCTTGCCGGCTCACACGGACCAATGATGGTTGATGGCGCCTGCGCTGCAGACAAGCAGCCTCACTACTCGTACTAGCCTATCCTATCCACGATCCTCCACGTCTGTTCACGTTATTAGCCATACACCCATACAACCATACCACACCATTCGCACATGTCAATTAATTTTCTATCCTTCACGCTATATTCGACATTCATCTTCTGCTCATTACCTGCTGGCATAGGTAGAGTATGAATTTGTGCGACATTATATGTGAACCCAACGCCCGTGGCCGACGCCCTCCACGAAACATCATCCCATCTTAACATCCAGCCGCCTCCTCATCCCTCACTGTCTACATTGGCTACGCCAGCTCTTTTCTGCATGCAATAAGTGGTAGAGAAGCGGGTGTTCGGAAGAAGGAAGGAACGCAGCAGAAAGAGGAGAAAGAAATCCCTGCGACTTTTCAAGAGCCCCGTACCACAAAGCGTGCCGGCTCGCTCGATGCACGTTCGGTGACAGACACCCCCTTCTAGGTTGTCCTCATCTGCTGTCTCTTAATTGAGCATGGCAGACTATGGTGGACCGGAGTCTCGGTACCAGGGGTCTCGAGTCCCGAATTATGGTGGCTCTGGCGACCACCAAAGAGATGCCGCGTTTCATAACATATTTGGCGGTGCGCCGCCTCCCGGGAGATCTCACACGATGACAACGCAACCGACCAACATGTATGATGGCCGGCTCAACAGTCTGAACTCGGGCATGCAGTCTCAGCACACAATGTCTATGAGACAAGGACCACCTCCGCCCATGCGGCAAATGCCTCAAACATACGATCGAGCAAATGGTATTGCGCCAGGCCAGCCCTATATTAATGGAACAAATAGCGCAAGGCCGATGCCGCAAAATCCAGGCTTTCCAGATCGAAGAGCCTACCCTCCTCCCCAGCGCATGGATCCTAGGCCAGGAGGTGGACCGCCACTACCCATGCCGTATGATCGAAGCAAGCCAATGCCGAACCGCATGCCGCCTCCAGCACTGAATAACGACTCTTATCGGTCACGGTCCATGGTCAGGCCTGGGGAGCCGACGCTAGGGTACCGGCCACCTCCAAGCAGCTTCCAGCAGGGCACCGCGAGTGCGTTCCGACAACAGCCATATGCTGCAATGGGAGCTTCGAGGACGACCGCTCAAGGAAGGCACATCCCTGATCGCATCGATGACAGTCGAGCCATGTCGATGGGCTCATACGCTTTGGATCGTGACCATGCGCAGCAGTTGACTAGTGGAAGAGTTGTGCCTGGCCGCCGGAGAGAGTCAGAATTGGATCCCTTCGGCGACCATGCTTCTCCGTCCCCAGATGGATCCTTCACTTCATCCAGTTCGCCAGCACCGAGTTACGGGCCAAGTCACCAACCTCGGCACCGTAGCGAGGGCAACGTCCCTCCACGCACAGTATCTTCTGCGTCTGCCATGTCTACCACATCTGTTGCGTCGGGCTCGTCCGATATGACAGGCACGACTGTTGATGGATCTCGCAGCGACAGCATGGTGCAGAGACCCCCTCCTTCTTCAAATCTCTCTTCGTCGAGTCAAACAACAACCACGACTGCTGTACCGAGAAAGTCACCTCTTGTTTATCCCGCTCTGCTTTCACGCGTGGCGAGTGTCTTTCAAGAACGCATCGGCGTTGGTGATCGAAACAAAAACGACCTTTCCTACAAGAATGCCTTCACAGGCGCTGAAGCTGTCGATCTGATTGCATACATCATTAAGACTACTGATCGAAACCTAGCTCTCCTTTTAGGTCGTGCGCTCGATGCTCAAAAATTCTTTCACGACGTTACTTATGAGCATCGTCTGAGAGACGCGCCTGGTGAGGTCTACCAGTTCAGAGAAACTATGGGAGAGGAGGCATCATCCAAAGATGTGAATGGCGTTTTCACCTTGCTCACAGAATGTTACTCGCCGACCTGCACGAAAGACCACCTTTGTTACTCTATTGCCTGTCCCAGACGACTTGAACAGCAAGCTAGGCTCAACTTGAGACCGCAACCTGGACTACGACACTCTAACTCGCGTGGTAGTTTACACGGCGATGACGACCAGGAACAGAAGCTTTGGATCAACAGTGTTCCCAAAGAGGTAGCTGACCGGATCGACGACAAGGAAAAGAAGAGACAAGAGGTCATTTCCGAGCTCATGTATACAGAGCGCGACTTTGTCAAAGATCTGGAATATCTCCGCGATTTCTGGATCAGGCCATTACGTGGACATGGTAGTGCCACGTCTCCGATCAAGGAAGAGAGAAGAGAAAAGTTTGTGCGTACAGTCTTTGGCAATTGCCTCGAAGTCCTTGCGGTGAATGGGAAGTTTGCGGAGGAGCTTTCCAAGAGACAAAAAGAGCAACACGTGGTTCACAGCATTGGCGATGTCTTCCTGAAGTGGGTGCCGCAATTCGATCCATTTATTAAATACGGAGCGAATCAAATGTACGGCAAATACGAGTTCGAAAGGGAGAAAGGAGCCAACCCTGCGTTCTCCCGCTTCGTTGATGAGACTGAGCGCTTGAAAGAGTCGAGAAAGCTGGAACTCAATGGCTACCTTACCAAACCAACCACTCGCCTGGCTCGATATCCTCTGCTTCTTGACAATGTGCTGAAGTATACCAAAGATGACAATCCCGACAAAAAGGACATCCCAAAAGCCATTGGGCTGATCAAGGATTTCTTAGCCCGTGTCAACGCTGAAAGTGGCAAAGCCGAGAACCATTTCAACCTGCTTCAGCTTAATCAGCAACTCAAGTGGAATGCTTTGGAGTACACTGACCTGAAACTGACCGAGGAGAATCGTGTCATTCTCACCAAAATGAGTTTCAAAAAGACTCCAACGGACAACGCGGAAGTCCAGGTCTATTTATTTGACCACGCTGTGCTGATGTGCAGGGTGAAAGTCGTGAATAAGAGGGATGAACTTCGTGTCTACAGAAAACCAATTCCTTTGGAGCTCTTGGTCATTGCGGAGATGGACCAGGTCATTCCCCGTCTTGGTATCGCAAAACGTCCTTCGTCAAGTCTAATACCTGGCTCCAAATCTTCGGCATCGAGCACCCCAGGCCAGAAAGATGTTTATCCGATTACTTTCCGCCACCTGGGTAAAGGCGCATACGAGCTTCAGCTATATGCCACCTCTATTACACAACGCAAGAAGTTTATCGAACTCGTGGAGGCGCAGCAGACCAAGCTTCGCGAGCGCAGCAGCAACTTTTATACCAAAACCATCCTCTGCGAAGGGTTCTTCAACGCTCAGAATCGCGTCAATTGCCTTGTGCCCACAGACGGAGGTCGCAAACTCGTCATTGGCACCGACAACGGCATTTATATTGCTGACCGTTGGCCCAAGGATAAGTCTATCAAACCGCGACGCATTCTCGACGCAACACAGGTATCCCAAATCGATACTCTTGAGGAGTACAGACTGCTCTTGGTGCTGTCCAACAAGACTCTTACCTCGTATCCCTTCGAAGCACTTGACGCCACAAATCAGAACCCTCTGGCTACTCGGCCACGGAAGATCCAGGGTCATGCAAACTTCTTCAAAGCCGGAATTGGTCTAGGTAGACATCTTGTTTGCTCTGTCAAGACCTCGGCATTATCCACAACGATCAAGGTCTACGAGCCAATGGACGATCTCACTAAGGGTAAGAAGAAACCAGCTATTAGCAAAATGTTCGCCAGCGGCCAAGATGCGCTCAAGCCATTCAAGGTGAGTTGATGCTCTACTAACAGCAAACACGGCTTAAGCTGACATGATGCAGGAATTTTACATCCCCGCCGAGTCTACGTCGGTGCACTACCTCAGATCCACATTGTGCGTTGGTTGCGCCAGAGGCTTCGAAGTTGTCTCTTTGGAGACTACAGAGCGGCAGTCCCTTCTCGACCAGGCCGATACCTCACTCGACTTCGTCACCAGAAAAGAAAACGTCAAGCCAATTCACATTGAGCGCCTCAACGGCGAATTCTTGCTGAACTATTCAGACTTCAGCTTTTTCGTCAACAGGAATGGCTGGCGTGCTCGACAGGACTGGAAGATTACTTGGGAGGGGACGCCGCAAGCGTTTGCATTGAACTACCCTTACATACTTGCATTCGAGCCTAGTTTCATTGAGATTCGTCACATTGAGACGAGCGAGCTGATACACGTCATGACGGGCAAGAATGTGAGGATGCTTCATTCGAGCACTCGAGAGGTAGGTCTTGTCGTTTTCTCAGTTCCCAACAAAGCTGACAGTTGTGCAGATTTTGTACGCTTACGAAGACGAGACTGGCGAGGATGTTATTGCTAGCCTTGATTTCTGGACCCAAGCCCAGGCTTGAAGATGATCAGCGTGGATTGTAATCGACTTTAGCCTTTTAGCCATTTGCTTTATTGTGGCGGACACAGTTCGTCAGTTCACATTGGAGACCACTGCTGACATTGGAGGCGACTGCGACAGAGACAAGCACTCCCCACGGCTTGTCTGAAACCGAGGAGATGATGATGACGATGGAAGATATTATGTTCTTGCTAACAACAACAATTCGTTTGGAAGGGGTGAGATGGAAGGTGATAAACAAATGCATCTGGTTGTGCCCCGGCGAGGGAAGGCCAGAGATTGAGATATTGCATCTTCACATACAAAGCCATGAAGCTTGACTCTGAACCTTGCTACTCACTTTTTTGATTATTCGAGCGATCACTGACCGGCGAGATCACGCTCAACGTGGACTGTGCTTACCTACAGTCAATCTCCCCTGCTTTCCAAAATGTGCTCCAGCATTACTACAAAGACCCATGCATCGGCTAGCACGACCAAGCCGCCAAGATATGCTTTCTGCATGCATTTATCTTCGGATCACATCAAGCTTTGCCGGTGATCTGCCAATGTGTTGGTGGGGATGGCATGAGGCCTGCCCTTGCCTCAGCCCTTGATATTCCCAGCCCCATCTGTTTCTAAAGAATCTCAATCATGGTTGTCCTTCTTCACCTGCCCGTGGCAGTGGCTGAGCCTTATTGACAGCAACTACTTGATCGACTCGCAAGAGTCAAGCCCACCGGATTCTCCTTTTTGGGAGACTGCCTTAAAACATGGCATGTCGTTAGTCCACTCAATGTGGCGCACTAATACGAGGAAGAGAGGAAAGCGAGGCACGCCTGCAAGGTCGACAGCGCGTATGAAGTATGCTCCACATTTTCAGCCTGATGCGGCGTTCACTGATAAATGCGAGCAAAGCACTACGTCTGCAGCATCCCTCTATCGCAGATCCCATTGAGCAGTGGGACAGGATGGCTACCAATACGCCGGGCCCAGGAAAAGTTGAATGTAACGAGGCGGTCAAACGTGCGCCAACAACGACTGTCTTATCGCCAATGAGTGCTTCTCGACGGACAGTGCAGAAACTGGAGCCGCCCGTGCTTCATGGACTCCCGTGTCGTCAACTATGAGGAATGAGAGGCATGATGTATTGAATGGCCGTGTCTGTAGTGGGAGGAATGGCGTTAAGGATACTGAGGAAAGATGTTAGGCTTGGAATCTGGAGGCACGTACATGGGACCACCTTCACACAAGGATCATACGAACAAATGATGACGAACGTACAATGTCAGGGGGAAAACCGGGAAATAACGTTACTCAGGAATGCTTCGGGGTATCAATGGGCATTAAGCCATGTAGAATTATGTATATATCCGATCACTAAAGACGGGTCCTTTTCAATCCTCAATGTCGAGATCCCAAACAAATCGCTCGCTAGCATGCAATAGTCGAACAAATGCTTCAACAACGCTGTTGTTGCTGTTGGTAAAGTTGTTGGTTGTTTAATGACCAAACATCATACCAGGATGCCAGCTCGTCCTTCTTTCAGCCACGGCGCTGCTTCCCCGTCTCTCGCTGACGACAGAGTCATTCCGGCTAGCAGAGATGGTGTACTCATTGCCTGGCTTGGACTTGTGGAAGAGTTCCCGACGCAGAGGAATGTCGTAGATCCTTGGGGGAGCGGCTGGCTCGTCTGTTGGAAGGAGGAAGTCTGGGATGTACTTCTTGATTTGCATGGTTGTTGTGGTAGTGAAGTTATTCGAGGAGTTTGGTATGTTTGCTTGGTTTGCGCTGATTGATGTATAGAATGTATCAAAGTGTTTTGAAGACTTATAGACTTGAGGTTGGGGTCGGTGCAGCAGGAGATGCTTTTGTTTGGTTCTTGTATACCACTGATGGACAAGTACGATTGAGACGGTGGCCAACAAGGTATATATAATACTCATTCGCGAGCATATCGATCAGAAAATGTGTTTAGTAAAGGTACTCAGGTACGCGATGTTTAGCATTTTGCGTCATAGCGCGCCGTGCGCCCTTTTGTCGCGATCTAAGCGGTCAAATCACTCATCAGTCATCAATGGTAACCTTGTTGGTGTATCCGCGCAATATCCGGGGCATGCATACACAGTGGCAATATCCTGTGCTCAGGGCGCGGATGAAGTTAGCGGCAGGGACCAAAAGGAAACGAAGGGCGTGTGATGGACAAAAATTTGCGCACGAAGATCCTGTCCAGTGTCGATTCTTGTGCTGAGTAAGGTGGCAGGGCGTGATTTTGGTAGGACATTGGGCATTCGATGTGCCAGATATATGACGTCATATTAGTGAGGAAGGAAAGATTTCTCAGCCTCGCGAGAGAAAATGCCTCAGCCTTGCAGGAGATGCACTCGGGTACCACAGGAACCAGTCGAAGCTCTTTCGGTGTGAGGAACTCTGAAGTTCGAATTCTTGGGGAACTCGAAGTGCATGCAGAACTTGTGGCACGTGTCGACCGATCCATGTTTTTCCAGGTTGCCAACCACGGGGTAAAGCTGCACGACGCCACAGCCTCGTTTGCTGATCGGTATGGGCACTTCATCGTTAGCATGTACTTATGGCGAAGCCACTACCAGAGAGTACGAGATCCTTCAGGGGACAGGAATCACAGTTTTGTACTGCATTGTGTAGCTTTTCGCCGATCTAAGCCCGAGAATATGATGTCGATGCTTACTTCTTTACTATCTGGTTTGGAGAAATGCTTCCAGCACTCTCTTCTTTCGGGACTCCAAGGCCCTTTTGTCTTTGCCCTTGACAGTAGCATCACTTTGTGACCGGATCACAATTGGCGCAAATATATCGGCATACGCGCTGATCAGTTGCTTCCTTCGTTCAGCATGGGCAGGCTCGGCGTCTGTTCCATCCATTGACGACGCTGAAACACTTTGCGTTCGACGACCCCGGAAAGCAGGGAAAAAACTCTTCTTCTGTGGTGACACTACTTGTGAGTATATCGAAGGAGCTTGCTCTGAGTCGGTTGACATCGTGGACGTCCTCGACCGTCTCGAGGGATTTGGCGAAGCCGGCGGTAGCTCACCGGGTGTGGAAGCTGGTGCGCCACATGGGGCCAGTTCATTGACAATCCGTGTCAACAGAAAAGTGATGAAAGTGAATGATACGCTGTGGACCGGATATGGGGATAGCGCTTCCATGACCATATCCTGGATTTCTTGTGAGCTGGGTTGGACTTTGCCCTTCTCCATGGCGCTCAACGAACGTTCCACTTCCGCCCATGAGCTAGCGGACACTATCCCATCCCGAAGGGATCGAAGAAATTCTGTCAAGGTCTCGGCGAGTGTTTCTAACCGGACAATGCATGAGGCCTCTGCCTCAAAATGGGTGTCGAGAGGGCTTGCGGTGTCCAGCGCCTCTCGGATGCTAGCCAAGAGGTCCGAACGCTCATCGTCTTCATGTAAAGTCCAGGTATCACGGGTGAATGGCCACGTTATGCCCACTGTCGCGTACTGCCAGGGCGGAATGTCTTCATCATGGATCATGCTCCATTCCGCAATCGATCTTACAACGTAGACAGGGATGACTTCGGTGAGGGCATATAATTCTTTGGGTGCAGAATGATGACTCATGGAAGCTTGACCGCTCTCGTTGGCAAGGTCTTCAACGTGCATATTACGGACGCCACCTTCTGGTGCCAGTACTAGTTGGTCGAGATTGCGATAAAAAGCTGACTGCAGCCAGATGCCTTTGACCGGAATGAAATGGTCTCTGCCATTTTCGAGTCGGAGCACCAAGATGTCTTCCAACCGGGCGCGTCCTTCGTTGAGTTCAGATACAAGCTCCCCATCGGCAATGTCGACAGATAGTCCGATGCTGCACGATTCACCAGGCGACAACTCCATTGGAGCCTTCACAGTTGTTGTTTGGACCTCATGTGGATCAGTCATAAGTTGTAGCCAGCGTGGTGCAACACCTGCTTCTTGTCCGGGTTCTGCAGGCCGCTCGACAAATGAGAAGGAAGCAGCAATCTGTCCCGTGTTGGCAATGGTGATGAGCCGCGTCTTCTTTACGGCATAGCGGATCTCGCCAAAGAGTACGGCATTCATGTCTGCCGGACCGTCAGCGTTTGGTATTCGTTCGTCAGCGTGGTGGTCCACTACCACAGTCACCGTAGGACGGTTCTCGTTTTCAGCCTTGTCTAGTCCTCTAGCAACATGCTGATGTACCTTTGCCTTCAACTCCGGTACCACTGCATCGTAGGTGAGGGTGAAGACGGCATTGAGCGGCTTGTGATCTGATGACAACACTCTTTGATGCGAAATGTAGTTGTTGATTTCGATCGTATCGCCATAGTCTTCATGAGTCTTGACCAATTCAGCATCATGACATGCGTCTTGTTGGTCATCATATTCGTCGTAATCATCACCATATGCTAGTCCGTCAGTTTCTGGATCGTAATCAAACAAAACGTCGTGTTCAGCAGTAGCTTCATCAATGCCCCGCGCTTTCATGGACGCGTCTTTTTTGCGTGAGTCTGTGAGTTGTCTCATCTTCTCTTCGTACATCTCTTTGTCCCGACGAGTCCTATAAAGAATTCTGTCACACCAGCTAGGGCTTCGTTTCTTTTCTCCCGAGTCGAACATGCCCACACTTCCAACGTCGTATTTGTATGTGGGCAGGAACGTGATCTCTCCCTCACGCCAACCTTCATGGAATATTTTGTGCATTCTCTGCTGATTGCGCAGCTGATCGTGTGCCAGCAGAGATTGGATAGTGGTAAGAAGTGAGGCAGGATCGGACCTTGGATCAAGCGCCGGCTCAGCTTCGCTATGAATGGCCGGCCTCTCAGCATCTTTATATTCATAATGAGTCTGTTGTGGGTGTACTGTATCGCTCGGGTGTGGATCGACATATCCTAGTTCACTGTCGATTCGTCGCTTAGACCTATTCTCGATGTCGTACTCATTTCGAGTATGCAGGAGCAATAATCTGCGAACATCTTCTCCAGGGATATCGTCTAGACGATAGTTCAAGTCGCCAAACCAGAATGCAAAGTCCTCGTCACCAATTTTTTCTTCTGTGATCTCTGCTACTTCTCCATCCGGACTGACGGGTGCGAACCGTGTTTTGTTCAAAATTTGTGTCGTGTCCCATATCCGACGGATCAAGGCTGTTGGGTCTGCTCCAGCAGCGAGATGGCAGTTGATAAAGCAGAGTTTCGTGGTCTCTCCCAGCATAATCCTGGCGGAGACCGCACCTTTGTTGCCCAAATAACCCATCAGGCCGGTTCCCACGGATGTGGTACTCACTGAACTGATGGTTGGAGCAAGTTCTGGAGAGGCATAGATCAGAATGAGCAAACCCAGAAGTTGCTCTTCTGCAACTTTTATATATCCAGGCGGTAGTGCACGTTTCAGAGACCTTTTCCACTTTTTCCCGGGATTTGGATCAGTGTAAGGCTTGATAGCCTCGGTCATGGAAGACACGTCAACGACCTCTTGCAGACCTAGCACGTACAGGTCAACCTGTTCACCACTGGGCTCTGCAGGGACATCATCCTTCGGCATTGTTGTCTTCTTCTTCGCGAAACGTGCTTCCTGTGCCTCGACAGACTCAATATTTCGTTCGCTGTCAGAATCATCGCCATCATCGTCGTCAAACCCAAGGCCGGCTAAATCCTGCGATAGTCCTTTAACCCCTAGTCCCCCAATGAACCAGGCACCCAGGTCCTTTTCAGTACCACTGATGGAAGCGACATTCCAGGTGCCGACTTTGATTTTAATGGTCTTCTTCCGGATATACTCGTTCTTCCGGGCCCTGACAGCAGCCGACAATGACTGGGGCGCCGAGATTTGAGCAGCGTGGCTAGCGTGAGCAGCGGGCGGTAGATAGAGTGCGCCTGGCGGTCTGACCTTTGCTCCCCATGGGTTTGTGGAGTGCCATGGCTTGGGAGAAATTTGGCTCTTCTCACCCTTGTCGCCTAATCCCAACGACATTGCTGTTCAACACAGATTGACAGGTTGGAAAAGCAGCTGTGTGCGGTATATTGATCGAGTTACCTCATCATGACAGATGAAAGTCGTGGATGGCAACAGCTATGCCACTTTGAACGCCTCAAGAGCCTTCACAGAAGCTCCGTATAAGTGTCGAGGTTGTTGAGACAGGACTGGGCGCTTTGTTTCAATTATCTCGGATCAAGTATGTGCGGTCGCGTGGCCTTTTGATGACATCTTCCTGGAAATGTTGGATGGACGGATTGGGTCTCGCGCCGCTTATCGCATCGTCACATAAAAGTATCAGAGATTCTGGGTCAGTGGCCTTCATCATGCGGCCTGTGTGGGATGACTGATCGTGCCCAGTGTGGCTGTGTACCTGATGGTGTTCGATCATCTGAAGTTTAAGCGACCACCGGGAGGGGCCTGAGGAACCCACCCGGAAACGCAACCCTGGAGGGGCACTAGGGGACGAGCAGGGCATCCTGCCCCATTCGTTGTCGTCCTCCCGCATCTCGAAGCCTAAAACAATTCGACGACATCAAACATGGGACTTTACGAATAGGAAACAATTGCATTCATTGATCGCTTCGCTTTCTACCCAAGGTGTCCCTTGTGGGCATACCACCATCGCCAGGCATTTAGCACATCATGATGTATAGAAGTGCTTGATCAGAAATGAATACACGACCCATCATCGACGAGTCCTCGGGACCGATTGCATTATCGGCTTCCTTCAACAGCGATGCGAGTTGCTTCGCAGTTGGCCTTGATACAGGCTTTTGTGGTATGTGGCTTTTCAGGCATAGCTGGCAGACCATTGACTCCAACTTATCAGTCTTCAATTCCGATCCCTGCGAACTGAAAGCATCCAGAGGTACCACCTGCGCCTTCCTATCTTTGTTCAACCTCTAAGCAGGAAGCAGATCTCAATGCTGGAATTGGAACGGCCGAGATGCTGGGCCGGTACAACTATCTCGCGCTGGTAGGAGGTGGAAAGAACCCGAGATGGCCACAGACAAAGGTATGGCAGGGAGAACAGGCAGAAGAGCGGGAACCTGACAGCCATGCTAGGTCATGATCTGGGATGATGCCAAACAGAAAGTCGCAATCACACTCGAGTTGAAGACAGCAGTCCTGCGGGTTCGCTTGACGAAGTCTTGGATCGCCATTGCGATTCAGAACAGCATACACCTATACAAGTTTTCATCTCCGCCCGAACGAACTGCAGTCTTCGAGACCGCCGACAACCCTTTGGGCCTTTGCTCGCTGGGATCCAGACTAGTAGCATTCCCAGGTCGCTCGCCAGGCAAAGTACAGCTGGTTGAATTGGGATCCGGGAACGTCAGCATCATACCAGCTCATACATCTGCATTGCGAGCAATGGACCTTAGCAACGATGGGCAGTTTCTGGCCACAGCCAGTGAGACTGGGACGTTGATTCGTGTCTTCTCGACATCGAACTGCACCAAGATCGCCGAACTGCGCCGCGGTGTAGATCCAGCATACATATTCAGCATCGCCATGTCGCCAGACTCCAGCATGCTCGCTGTAACCTCCGACAAATCTACCCTCCACGTTTTCGACCTCCCGATATCCTCGCCCTCGCACCCGAATAGCCCTCGGCCTGCACCCCGTCGATCCCAATCACCCCATGTTTCTGCCGACGAGGACTTGTCCACAAACCAGAAATGGGGTTTCCTGTCCAAGATTCCTCTTCTGCCAAGGGTGTTTTCAGACATCTATTCCTTTGCTTCCGCACACTTCGAGATGGGCGATGAAAACATTGGAGTTAATGGATCCTCGCTTTCTTATCTTCCTGCTCTAGGGTCGCTGCCGAATCGCCCGCAAAAAGGGATTCTCGGCTGGATGGACAACTCAACCCTGATATGCATCGGCACGGGTCGCGATGCACGATGGGAACGCTTTAGAATCGGTGAGAGGCCTGGCGTCGCCGACGAGGGCCAGAGGGCCGTCTGGAGAGACGGCTGGAGGAAGTATCTGGGCAGCTGAGACTCCCGGGGCCCATCATGTTGTGAGAAACAGTTGACTGCGACGGCAGATCCGGGCTAAATGGTTGTAAAGCGATGGCCATGCTCAGCATCAGTAGCCATGGTCGACCGACGTCGATGTCTCGTCAAGCAGCCCGAAATTGTCGGACGGCCGATACCGTGGTGCATATTCTATCCTGTTAGAGACAGGTATTCATGGAAACCGCATCCTTCTGCCAGTCCTTGACTCAGGCTTAAGATTGACAAAGCTACGAGGACGATGAATGCAGAAACACGGCGGCGTAAGGCACCACGTTGGAAACCTACGGTTGCACAGACGGCGGTCTCGCCCTGTGTGGATGATCAACAACCAGCCTTGGCTGAGGCCGGAAAGATTTGCTATCCAGGACGAAACAGCCTCGATTCCGCTAGTACTGGACAAGATTAGAGCATGAAGATGAAGGGGTGAGAGATAGAAAGAAGTTCAAGACTACATTCTACTAAGACTTGACAATAGGACAATGGATCCATTTCGTGCAAAGACTAATCTTGTCTTCGCCTGAGCACTTTCTTACCTAAGTTCTGTACAGAATACATGTACCAGACTAAACCAAGCCAGTCCCTCTGATTAAGCCCATACCACGCCGACCGTCCTCCCAGAGTAGTGACACGCGTGCATGCTTTTAAGATCCGGCTTCAACAATATCATTCCCCTGAGCCCCAAGGTCTAAACGCCCGCTGACCATGTTCATGTCCACCGTTACGATACCTCCACGTCGACACACGATTGCGGTCCTGCTTGCCATACTTACGCGTTGTGCTACAGGGCCAGTCATCCTGATGATCCGAATGATTCGATATAGGCGAGGGCCCTAGCTCAAAATCATCATCCGCCGTCAGAAACCCTTGAGAATTCGCCTCTCGAAACTGAAATCGGTCGGGGAGAGGTGAAGGCTTCTAACTCATCGCCTTTTGATATTGGAAGTTGCCAAATCCTCCAGGCGTCATGCTTCCCAGCATACTATGACCGGGCACCGGTGTGTGTGCAGGTCCGCTTGCCATACCGATATTTCCCGTCTGAGGTGTCGTAGGTGTACCGTTCTGGTTGTAAAATGTGGCGCCGTTCATGTTGGGCGTGTTGAAATCACGGTTGTTGAGACCTCCTCCTGTGGGCATCTGTGCGTTCAGACCCCACACTTGCAACCTGTATTTATCTTCTTCGATAGTCCCGTTGAAGATCTTTTCTCTCATTTTGAAATAGACCTGCCCAGTAAGCAAGGAGTCGGAACCAGCTTGATGTGCTTGACCAATCCGTGCTACTGCAAGTTCTTCCGCGATGTCTTGTAGGCCTGACTTGGTCATGACTCTTTGTATGATCAAAGCTGCTTCTTGTGTCAGAGCTTGATTGCTGTTGATTTGTCCTTTGACACCGGCATGTTTGAGCATGAATTTGATGTCGTATAGTGACGGGAAGAACTTCTCCAGGTATTTATGGAATTGACCCTCGTCCTCGGGAAGCGGTTTGCATATCATGAGCTTCATGAGATAGCCAAAGTCGTAGCCGGAGTGGAAAGATATCCAACGTACATCAGGATCCAGAACGAGACCGGAGCTGATCAGAAGCGAGCCAAAGTCGTCAGGATCTATGCCATGTTTGGCGTGCTTGTCGAAGTCGATACCGGCCTTGGTGAGCATCTGTGTCGATTCACGGGCATACATATCTGTCTCCAAGGAGAACCGGAAGTTGAATTGCCATGTGTACGGAGTAGGTAGGAGATTTGGATGGAATTGTGGTTTGGCTGGTGGGACTGCGTCCAGAGGTGGTAAAGATCCGTCTGGCTTGAATAGTGTGATTCCAAGCTGTATCATTTTGAGCAGATCTACATTACATCGTAATGTCTGATAGTGGTAGTCGGCCTTGGTGGTGAATTGGCCAATCGGTCGGGCAACGATACCAGGAAACTCGGTGTCCTACATTAACCACATCAGTCTGAGCTTCGGATGTGAGTGACATGAAGGCTCTTACCATTGCAATGTACCCATACGTGTCGACAAGCTGTCTTAGGGTCGCCATCTCTTCTTTGAGGTTGTGTTTCCAGACATTACGGATTCTCGCATCGTCTTTGTGCTCGAGAGGTCCACCCAACGCATCATAGTTCTGATGCGCTTGTACAGGTCCGCCTCTTGCGAAACCCATTTGTGTCATCTGACCAGGAAGGATGCCACCTTCCAACATACTTCTGTCGAATCCATTGTTCAGGTTGCCAGCCATCGCAAACGGACTCGCGTTGGATGAACCTCCGGCGCCGAAGGAAGGTGTACTAAGGTGATTTGGAGGAGGTAGTGCGCCATGCTGGTGAGACGAGTTGTGTGATTGTAGATGATTTTGTGGTATGTGGTATGGCCCGTTCAGGGACTGGTTGCCATAACGAGGCGGAGCCATGGTGGTAGCGAACTCAGCGTATGAATGATGAAAGAGACCATAGATCGTATGGGCTCATCGCGGTAGAAGGATAGGTTGAGCGTCTCAAATGTGAAATGTCGGTCGGACCATTAAATCGAATTCACAAATAAATATTGCAGATGGTGCGGAGCCTGCGTACGTCGTTCATTGTGAACCAAAAGTCATCGCGACGATGGAAACACAAAATGATGGAAGGAACAGTCTGCGGGACACTTATTGATATCTGAGGACTTGCTCCAGCCCGCTAGTAAAAAGATGCGGCCAAAACCGGTTAGCTCAACGGCGGACCACAGGCTTCGTCTGCGGATCGTTCCCCTCCAAAGCGCAGTCTTGGCTTGAGCTCCAATCTGCATCACCCGTTCGTTCATTCAGTCATTGACTCAATAGCTTCGCTTCGCTGCAGACATTGTCCTGTCGCGTCACGCAGTCGGTCAGTCTCCATAAGCCTCACTTTGTTCTCACTCGCTGATCAGTCTGAATAGGTCTCTCCCCTTCGACGAGGAAAGCAGCGCTTCACCCGCTGTCCGCTCTGCACAATGGCTCGTTCAACCAACCCCACCGGATTTGACATGAAGACCTTCACAGACGCTGCGACCAGCAGAGAATGGCGAGCTAGGGATCCTTGGGCACGAAGGTAAAAGAGTTGCTAATTTGTTGGGGTTTATTCTGACGGGTCATAGCGAGGCATGGAGATACACCGGTCCTTTCACGCGATGGAATCGAATGAAGCGTGCATTCCCCGGTCTCGGCATTGCGTCGGTTGCATTCGCAGGTTACGTTCTGTTCGAGGCACTGTTCCTGAACAAATCGCATGGCCATGACAATGGTCATGGTGAAGGACATCATTAAACAGTCACCAGCATGGATCAATCTGTTTGTGCCTACGACCAAGTGCTGGAGTGGGCCGACAGTACTCTGAACGATGAAGAGCAATGTTTTGATTGTACATATGCGGGTCTACTGGCTGCTAGACAGGAAGAAAGAAAGAGAAATGAAGGAACCATTTCTGGAGGACAGCAACATTCTGCACTTCACCGCGAGCACAGTGCTGTGCAGGCACTCAGAGTCCAATGAAGACAGTGCCGCAGCCTTGTCAGCCTTGCAGCATGCCGCCTCGATCGCGCCCTTCACCCTGGAAACCTTCGTTCAACGACAATCAACCTGCATTTGTTGGAACAGAAGGGCACCCCGAGCTTTGCGAAACTGAATATTGTTGGACCCATAACTAAAGTCAATGCGGGTGTGCGGTAGAGATCGCAAAGAGTTTCCGATATGCGTAGATCCATAGCAACCTTTTCATACGAGCATTGCCAGAGGGTCTTCGGAAAGATTACGGCATTATCAAACTGGATGCAGAGAATGTGCTCGCGGTGACCTACTCTGTTGAGGAACCAGCCGTCTGTGACCCCAGGTGAGGAGCAAAGCTAACCCATAAGAGGCAAATATTGCCCTTGATCGGAATTGTAGGCGGCAAAGAGGAAAGGCACCACGACATCAACGAGTGAGGATACGTGCCTTCCCACCCTTATCTCCTTATCGTTGCCCCTCGTTCGAGTAATAAAGAGGCATCGCCATGGAGCCGTGGCCGCTGGCAAGGTAGGCAAAGCGTTGTCATTTTGATCGCGAGGACCCTGTCCGCTGCCCTACATATAACTGGCGGCCCTAGTCTCCCATCATTCCATTCAACTACCCTCTACTGATTCATTCATCATTCATCAACTTGCTCGTTATTGCCGACGGCAATCATGGTTCTTGAGCGAGTCAAGCAGTTGGCACAGCAGGTGTCCAACACCGTCTCCCCTCCTCATCCTTTGGACCCTCTTTCTTCTCTTGAGATTGACACTGCTGTCTCGATACTTCGCAAGGAACACGGCAAACTCTACTACAATGCCGTTACACTTTTGGAACCTCCCAAGAAGGTAATGCTGGCATGGTTGGCGGATCCTGCCCACACCAAGAGACCTGCTCGTATTGCCGACATCGTCGTCATTACCACCGACGGCAAAGTCTACGACGGGCATGTCGATCTTACTGAGCAGAAGGTTCTCAAGTGGGAAGCGACGCCCGGTGTTCAGCCATTGATCACCATGGAAGACCTAAACGCCGTGGAAATGACCATGCGGAAAGATCCTAAAGTGATCGAGCAGTGCGGTATCATTGGCATCCCTCCTGAGGACATGTACAAGGTCTACTGTGATCCCTGGACCATCGGTTTTGATGAGAGATTCGGCAATTCCGTACGCCTACAGCAGGCGCTGATGTACTATCGACCTCATCCAGACAACTCTCAATACTCATTCCCTCTCGATTTCTGCCCCATCTACGACTCCAACAAGAAGGAAATCATTCATATCGATATCCCCAAGATCCGACGACCTCTCAATCAAGCCCCGCCAAACGACTATCACGTAAAGTCTATCGAGGAGTCGGGCGGCTACAGGACAGATATCAAGCCCATCAATATCACCCAACCTGAAGGTGTGAGCTTCAAGATCAACGGCCGTATCATCGAATGGCAAAACTGGTCCGTTCATGTTGGTTTCAACTACAGGGAAGGCATTGTCCTTAACAACATCACCTATTTCGATAAGAACGAAAGCAAGGCACGACCGGTCTTTTACAGACTTTCTCTTGCTGAAATGGTCGTACCCTACGGCAATCCTGAACGCCCACATCAACGCAAGCACGCTTTCGATCTCGGTGAATACGGTGGCGGATACATGACCAACTCTCTTAGCCTAGGCTGTGATTGTAAAGGCAGCATCCACTACATGGACGCCGATTTTGTCAACAAGGCCGGCTCAGCCCAAACCATCAAGAATGCTATTTGCATCCACGAAGAAGATGCCGGTATCCTCTTCAAGCACACCGATTTCCGTGATGACTCGGTCGTTGTGACCCGTGCTCGAAAACTCATCATCAGCCACGTCTTTACCGCTGCAAACTACGAATACTGCGTGTACTGGATCTTCCACCAAGACGGCACTGTTCAGCTGGAGATCAAGCTCACCGGTATCCTGAACACCTATGCTATGAACCCTGGTGAGGACACCAAGGGCTGGGGCACAGAAGTTTACCCTGGCGTCAACGCACACAACCATCAACATCTGTTCTGCATGCGAATTGACCCAAATGTCGACGGCCCCAATAACACCATCTTCCAAGTCGACGCCGCCCAAGGTCCTGGCGAAATCGGCTCCGAGGAGAACTTCTACGGCAACGCCTTCTACGCTAAGAAGAAGAAGTACACCAATCCCGTCGAAGCCATGGCCGACTATGACGGCTCCACCTCGCGCACCTGGGAGATCGCGAACGAGAACAAGCTGAACCCATACTCACACAAACCCGTCTCCTACAAGCTGGTCAGCAGAGAAGTCCCGACCTTGCTCCCCAAGAAGGGTGGACTGGTCTGGAAACGTGCCGGCTTTGCCCGCCATGCCGTGCACGTCACCAAGCGTAAGTTCATGATACCTCTTTTCTTTTCTTCTATGCAAGTACTGATATCGCGCAGACTCCGACGACCAACTATACCCTGCAGGCCGCCACGTGCCCCAGACTTCTGGTGAACCGTCCATGGGTCTGCCACAATGGATCGAGAGCCACCCTGACGAGAAGATCGATAACGAAGACATCGTGCTGTGGCACACCTTTGGCATTACCCATTTCCCGTCACCCGAAGATTTCCCCGTCATGCCGGCTGAGCCTATGACCCTGCTGTTGCGGCCAAGAAATTTCTTCCTTCGGAACCCTGCACTCGATGTCCCACCCAGCTATGCCCGGACACCTACCCAGGTTGCTGCTGGAAGCACAGGTTGCGATTGCTCGGATAAGAAGAGCGTTGCTGTTTGAGCATACCCAGATAGGGGAACCGTGGCATGGGTGGATTTTGAAATTTAGCGAAACGTGAAAAAATGTCCTACGACTTATCATAGTGTTGTACGCAGTATTCTAAGATGATATCTCCTGCTCTCTAGCAAGGATCATGAAATGTGTGTCTTGCACAAAATTTTGTGATTCCATCGCTGTCTTTCACAGTCTATCACAACTTCTTATACGGTGGCATGTCACGACCACGTCTCCTGTTTATACCGTCCTTCTTTCTCCAGCCTTGCGAGATACTTCTCGGCATCCTCGTGATCCTCTATCGGTTCGTCTGACTCTTCGTCATCAGACCCCGCTGTGTCTATACTCTTTGTTGGAGACTCGGCCTTTCTTTTCTGTGCCTGCTCCAAAAGCGCATCGGCCAATGCCTGCCGAACCGCCTTCGGCATTTGTCCTGACGAACCACACACAATGATCGTTGCATCGCGCTCTCGCAGATACTCCCAGACTAGATCGCTGCGCTCGCGAATGCGGTCTTGTATGTAGACCTTGGCCTTTTGATCTCGTGAGAACGCAGTGATAACTTCCAGACTAGCCTCGTTCGACCCCTCGGCAGGAGAGCTGAGCGCGGGCCATTCGTCGTGAAAGAAATAATCTGCCTTCTCGCTGCGACAACCAAATACAAGCGCTGTTTTGCTAGCTTGGGCTGCCTTTTCTTGAATCAAAGCACGCAGAGGCGCAATGCCTGTACCAGCACCAACAAGGAGGTGTGCTTGGCCAGCCAGTTCCGAAGGTTTCGAGAATCGACCTTCTGTCTTCAGAGATACTTGAAGTTTTGTGTCAACGGGTAATTGTGCAAGATATCTCGTGCACACACCTTCTCGGATCCTCTTGATGACTGTCCTGTACTTGACAATTGCGATCAAGAGTTCGAAGATCGTCGAGCCGTCATCTGCGTGTTTCGACTCGCCGCCACTTGCTATGCTGAATTGTCGCGGCCGCATTGGTGGGAAGATATTCGTGACTTCTTGCCAGGGGAGATGCACTGAGTCGAACTCCTGGAGGATCTCTAGGATACTTCGCCGCGGACGAGTAGCGTAGTCGTAGTATTCGTCTAGATATTGCGGGTCGGTGAACTCCAGAAGTCGTTCTTTGTGCATTTCGTCAGCTGTGTAGTTTGCTATTGCGGCGAAGAAAGATCGGCGAGGGATGGCGTTGATGTCTATGTATTCGGTCAGGAGAGTGCGGAGGGTAAGGTCTGCCTTGCTGAAAATAGGGCTTGTAACCAGACGAGCTGAGTTGGGCGTTGGGGACTTTCTGATTGAGACCAGACGTATGGGTGAGTCGGCGACATCTTGCCAGCCCATTCGTTCTATCAGGAACGTAACGTCGATCGACATGTTCTGTGGGGATATTGCGAGGGCATCGCCCGGCATGTAGTTGATTGTGTGAGGCGTCTTGAAGGACATGAAGCGGACGTCTTGAAAATGGTCGGACGCTGTCACTCGTTGGTTCGTTGTGAGAGTCGCCTCGAATGTGTTCGAAGAAGAAGATCCCGCAGCCGGCGTATGCGAGCCATTGCCATTGGCGACTTCTGTGACGGTCTCAGTCGCAGACACCAGCTCGAGGCGCCATTTACTAGGGAGGAAGACGCCGTACGCAATTGGCTCTCGACCCTCAGGAAGCGGAAACTCGTTCAAGACTGTCTTTCTAAACTCCTCAAGCCAGGCTAGAACAGCGCCATCGGTACCCTCATCGCCTTGTTCATCGGCCTCGCAAGAGTCGAGCAACGAGATCGCACCCAGCTGGCTTAGACGCTTGTCCAGCTTCCTCGCCGCCCAGTTGAATTTTGGGTAAGAACTGTCGCCCAGCCCAACTAGGGCGTAGTCTACGCCGGACAGGGTAGCCGGGGACAATTTCTTGCGCAAAAGGCTGGTCCAAAATCGTCTAGCATTCTCTGGGAAGTCTCCTTGGCCTGTGGTCGCGATGACCAAAACCGTGAGAGCATACGGTGCAAGGTCGTTGTAGCTTACGGCGTCGAGTCCCGCGACATCGGTATCGAAGTGAAGTCGCTCCAGACAGCGACCAATCTCTTCGGCAAAGTCCTGTGAAGTGCCGGTCTCGGTTCCATAGACGATCAACGCGGACCTTCCTTGGTCATGTCCATTCGTTTGCATCGTCGAGTCCAGATCCTGGCTCGATCATCATGCGAATTTGCCCCTTCGCCGTCCCTTATGCCGTTCCATGACGAACTCAAAATCATTGAAGAGTCGTAAGATAACTCCGCGCTCTTGCGGAAGAAATATTCTCCGGCCTTGGCGCGTTGTGGTTACACAAGACCTACTTCTACTGTGTACTCGCTGTTCGCTACTGGGATGTTCACTCTCAAGTGACCACAATGATTCCAGCCAATGATGGCGACAGCGCCATTGGTGGCATGCGATGTGCCTTATGCAAGCTACTGCAAGGATGTCGACAAAGCCACAATGCTGAGCTGGAGCCGGTGTGACTTGTTCGCCTTCGGCTCAGCCTCACTGCACCGCAGACTGACCTCTTCATCTGCGATTGTTCTGCTCTGTCGGCCACTGACTTTGTAGACGTTTCACGTCGTCAAAGTCAGACGGTTGAATAGCCAGCAACGACCATGGCTGAGGTCATTGACGTCGTAGCTGCAGCTCTAGAATTCACAAAGGTCTTCCTGGAGCTCAAGGAGATTTCCACTTCAAGCGCACACGCCCCGGAAGAACTGCACGAACTGATTGAGGAGCTAAATCTTATCGATGACATTCTGCGGACATTAGCCGAGCAAGATGCATTAATGTCCGAGTACGCTCCTCCGATGATCACTCAAAAATGTCGCGAGTCCTGCAAGAACGCTGTGGAAATCCTCAAACCGCTTTGTATCCAGCTGTCAAAGAGCATCGAACGATCGAGGTGGCGAGGCTCGCTCAGAACAGTACTGAAGGATGCGTCCATCGAGAAGGCTAGAAGACGCATCGAAAGGGCGAAGAGCAACCTGAATCTAGCACAAATGGCCACGCTCAGGTAAGGTCGAACGACAATGACCGTGGAGATAGCTCATTCTTGGGCAGTGTGATGAGTACCCTCAATCTCCAGCAGCATGCAAGCACACAGACGCTAGTTGTTTCTGCAATGATTATGGCATCGAAATTGGACAATGGCGATAATGTAGAGCGTCGACATTGCAAGCCGAACGTGGCGCAATCGACTTGCACTGGCACGATGGACTCCCATCATCAGAGCTGTATTTTCAATTCAGATACAGTAGCCCAGATTGAGAAGTGCCCAGCACGACGCAGGGTAGCACGATATGCTACTTCACGGCTGATTTTGCAGAGTCTGTGGCTGGGAAAGCGGTTCGAAATCATCCGGGACCGTGCAGGCGGAATGTCGACTTTCACATTCAGGACTTACAATATATTGCCTAGAGATGCACCTGTCTTCTTTCTCGCTCGACGGGGTGACGTTGCAGGATTGCAGGCGCTTTTCCAAAGGAGGGATGGTACCATCTTTGACAGAGACGAGAATGGCCAGACACTGCTTCATGTACAAAATACACCTTTGATGTTCAATCTTGTCGCTGACCAGGCGTACAGCACACCTGGGTATCTGAACAGCAATCAATGTTAACGTTCCTCCTTCAACAGGGATGCGATATCAATGAGACAGATTTTTGGTACGTCTAGGATCCTAGCCCTCGACCATGTCTTTGGAATTGAGGCTTTTCAGGGGTCATACATGCTTTTACTCGTTCCTCATGCAGCCTCCAGCCCTTCACACCGACACCTTGCACGCTCTTACAGCAACCTCCTCTATCGACGTGGATCCCGAAATTGTTTACGCAGCTGCGAAGTGGCAGCCACTGCTTCTTACTAACATCGTCTCGATGGCTTCGCCTCCATGGTATAGTATGGATCTCGCCACGCGGCTGCCAGCCGCGTATGCTGGATGTAGGTCTTCTGGGAGTTTGGACGGTTTCTGGTGTCTTTTGTCACAGACCCATTTGGACGTCTCGTGCTTGACCGGGAGGATCGACCAGCCAGAAGAGGTCTATGTCAGTCTCGTAGAGAGGTTGGCTCGCACAATGTCGGCACCACCTTGCCCGGATCTCGAGGGATGGCGATCATTATTGCGATCAGCAGTCGAGTTGAACGGCTTCGGTGTAGCTTTCAAAAAACACTGCAGCTCGCCTATGCTAAGTTATCTGGGATTTTCGGGGTCTTTACTAGGACACTTCTATGGCAGCCTGTCGGATCTCAATCACCACCGCTTGTCATGCAGGATTCAGAACTGGGCACGTGAAGTCCTTCTAGCCGGTCAAGATCTGCAGACCTATGGTCACTGGGAACAGGACTTGCTTCTCCATACTAGGCCAGAATATGTGATGTCGGGGTACGGGTACTGGTGGTACTGCCCTCCCATCAAGGTCCGGTTGTTGAACTTTGTCTACCGGCCTTCACCGGAAGACTGGAAGATATGGGCATCCACATCACTAGACGAGCATGCGGGCGAGTTTTGGCAAGGTGTCCACTTTGCGGAGCCCGTTCTTGCTATTCCGGGCTCCTGGCCTCTAACAAACCCTTCCCACAGTGTAGACCTCGACCTCAACAACTACGTAATGTCGAGGAGGGGGCGTCGGCGAATTTCACGATATCTCGAGTTGACTTTGGCCGATTTAGAAACGCGGTTCTATTATGAATACGGCTCACTGAGCTCAGCGGTTGAACACAATGTGCAGAATGGGAAGAAGAAGAAGGCGGAAAGAAGACAATTTTACGCGAAACACGGCATTACTCCACCTTATCGAGAGCTCGTCAGCTGAAGGCAAAATCTTTGAGTGTGATTCCTTTCGCAAGGCCGCATGATCACGACACGGAGGCAAGAGGGATGGAAAGCGTCGCCTTCTCCCATCACAGCCGGGGTTTTCGAGTCCGCTCTCTCAGATTCTGGGCTTCCTAAGACGAGCTAATGGTATTGCGCAAACACGAAGGCAGAGAGAAAGGACGCGGAATTGCTGGATTTTGAAAGTCACCACTCCGAACATCTCTCCGGTAGTTTCGCAATGCAAATAAGCACTGTATGGAGCTACAGTTCTGGGTATCTTTTGAGCTTCATGCGTAAAAAGAGGCAACGGCACTTCCGGCGTCGATCCCCCAAGAGCTCCAGTACGGTAGGACTGAGAACTTTCACTGCCGGAAAAGGCATGCCGCTTGGTGTGCGGCACTTCAACAAGCACCATAGAGCCCACATCCACCGTGTCAACTCCAGTGCCGCTGAAAAGCCTCGGCAGAGACGAGTGCTTGATCAATAAGTCGCTCCTTCGTCATCACCACCTCCGTCGTCATCTCCTTCACCTGTGTCGAAGTAATTCTCTGCATTGTAATCATCTCCCGCACCATCATCTGATTCTTCGAACTCGGAATCCTCAGGTTCGTCCTGTCCCGATCCCTCTTCATCGTCTTCGTCGCCAGTATGATCAGGGTTGTCGTTCTCGTTGTTCTCGTCGGGGTTTTCGTCGTCGTCATCATCCTCGTCGTCCGAACCGGCGTTCTTATCCTTCTTCGTACGGGATGGAGGACGTATCTCTTCGTCGTCCGAGTATTCGTCTTCTGCATCTAGACCACGCTTTTCACGCACCCTCTTCGTTGTAGGGTCCTCGCGCCGCCTCTTCGCAGATTTTGTGCTGTTTCGAGACCGTCGCGTGCCCGAGAGCAGAGGGTCTGAGCCGTCTGTATCATTCCCCTCATCATCCGCTCTCGCCTCTGCATCCTCCTCGTCCGCGTCGTCAACAACGATCTCACGTTTCCTCTTAAGACTCTTGCGGGGTGCGTTTGTCTCGGCGTCGATTTGGATGTCTGCTGATTTCCATAAACTGCTCTTGCGCTTTGGATCTAGTAACGGCCACAGTTCGTAAGGAAAGTATATCAGTGCTATCCTCAGCCCTGCGTATTAGCCCTGTCTTTTCGTTGCCGGCTCCAGGATCTGCCTGAGATATACCTACCATTGTCTTTACTGTAATCTCGCCCACTGAGGTCTGGAACCGTGCGCTTCTTCTGGAGGTATTTGGCAGTGTATTTTTCCTGGTCATTGAAGGGATCAAAGCCCGCTCTCTTCAGGACCTTTCCCGTCTTTGCATCTGCGATACTGCTGGGGTCGAGGACGGCGTAATAAGGACCGTTGCGCACACGTTTTCGCATGTTTAGGTAGCATGTGGCCGCGGCACGTCCATGACTTGAAATCGGGCGTGGGACAGTAAGATCGATAGGCTGTGGGTGGATCTGGTTTAGTATCCAGTACTTGTTGACATTCCGGTCATCAAACCTACAGGGAATGTCTCTTGAGGCTTGTTTGAAACCGGCGGAGTTGCGAGAGACTCTTCATCGTCCCATGCGAGATCGGGCCCTCGCTTCCCGCCTCCTCTTCTCCCGCCGCGCGCCATGGTGCAGGCGAAGATGTGAAGATATTAGAGGCAAATGTCACCGGAGTAGAGCGTGCATGGTGGGAAGAAGAGTGTATGAACACAATCTCTGTTCCAAACTCGACGAAAGAGTCCCACTAGAACCAGTGAATGAAATGAATTTCCTCAAGTCCAAAAATCCGCGGCAGAATTTTGGGCGTGAGGTGGGGAACCAAAGAACAGGGCCTATTTAGTCTCACCGCCTTCGGATGCTATCGACGAGGCTGATGAGAAGTTTGACATCCTAATTCTCCTACACCGCAAAGTACATCATCAACATCAAGCACGCGACCCCAGCAATGTCCTATCTTTTTCCGCTGAACGAAGTCCTGAGCCACCGCGATTAAAACCAGACGTCGTCAAGGGAGAGCGATCGACAATGCGGTGTTTTGAACATGTCTGACAGCTCTAAGTACCTCGAATGTTTTGCAGTACGTCCAGCATGGCCAGGACAGTCTTCGGGTTCGGATAAAGCTGCTGGCTATGTCTGGATCCTCGCGCGAAAGCAAGAGATAGTGTGCCGTTATTTAGGTGTTCAGTCGCAGAAGAAGGTCAAGCCCGGATGTCGGGGAATGGAAAGACTATTGCTGCGAACCCCATGCAGTTGATCATGAAATATAAGAGGACCGACGATAAGATGATCCCGTCCGTGCAGTATTTATGAGGTGCATGCAGTATACTCATCGTCTGCTGTTTTACGGATGCTGGATATTGCTCTTGTCTCAGGAAGTCAGATGATGGATACGTGCGGATTATGACAGTGCTGCTACTTGATGGACTATGGGGGTTGTCCTAGTAAGAGCAACGGAGGTGATACTGTTCTGAAGCAGCGCAGAACCGATGACAAGAACATCCCTATTCCTTGCTGTTTCTTTTGCATGCTTCCTAACCTCCTTCATTTCGTTCTTCACTCCGTTTATTTCTCCCAATAGGCCTTTAGTCCTGCTTCTTGCTGGCAGAAAACCCGACAGAAGACGTGACCCTAACGCGGCGACCCAAGCGGAGCATGACATGGACAGACTTCAAATTGATAGCTGAGAAAGCTTGCTCTACACCTGACTAGGTGACGAGAAGGTCCAAGAACGATGAGCAGCACTTAAGCAGAGCCATATATTGAGGTCGGATGGTCAACGAATCAGCACCATTGCACAAAGGGAAGGCCGACTCAGTCGCTTAACAAGATTGTCGATTTTGATACACTGAATATATATATGTCTCAAGAGGGTCCACCGATGCCCGTTACAACATCTATCCAATGTTCGTGCTGGCAGAATTCTTCGTGCCAAGATTGCTTCTTCTCCATGTTCGCTTTACCCCAGATTTTCCTTCCATTGACTCATTGTAAACGCCATCTAATTAGAACAAGCAAGTAAAGGATTTTTTTGCTACAACTCGAAGATTCAGTATATTTATTTTCCACCTGGAGGTCCACCGAGACACCGGAAGCAGCAATCTTGACCTGGACAGAACTTGAAGACCTAATTTACTTCTCGAGACTTCTATTCTCAGTCTTTTTTTCCTCCTAGCTTTGATCATGCCCAATCGTTCAGAAGTCGCCTATTTCGGCGCTGGGCCAGCACCGCTTCCAACTCCTGTGATCGAGGCGAGCGCGCAAGCATTCGTCAACTTCAACGACACCGGCCTGTCGTTGGCAGAGCTCTCCCATCGCTCACCAACGGCGAATAAGATCCTGGCCGATGCCAAAGACGCACTTGCTGCTCTCTACGACATACCGACAGGTGAGTATGATATCATTTTCATGCAGGCAGGCGGGACAGGTGAATTCAGCGCTGCCGTGCAAAACCTGGTGGGATGCTGGATTGAGAAGCGGCGGAGGAAGGCTGTGGCAGACCTGGGGGAGGGGAAGGATGCGGAAGTCCTCGAACGCGTGAAGAGGGAAATCGAGAACGAATTGAAAGTCGACTACCTCGTGACCGGCTCATGGTCACTCAAGGCCAGCCAAGAAGCGACAAGGCTGCTCGGTGCAAAGTTCGTCAATGTGGCTGCCGATGCACGAAAAAGCAACAATGGCAAATTCGGCAAGATCCCGGACGAGAGTGAATGGAAATTGACTCCCCAAGGAAGTGCGTTCACATATATGTGTGACAATGAAACGGTCGACGGCGTGGAATTTCCCAGTTTTCCCAAATCCTTGGAGCAAGACAACGAACGGATCGTGGTGGCCGACATGTCGAGCAACTTCGTCAGCAAGAAACTCGACATCAGGAATTACAGCGTGATATTTGTGAGTATCCATGTTTAACCGTACTGGATTTATGCTGACCTGAACAGGGCGGCGCGCAAAAGAACCTCGGCATCACAGGCATCACAGTGGTCATCATCCGCAAATCCCTGCTCAGCCTCGTCCCTCCGCCGACATTCCTCCACGCATTGTCTCCTGTTATTCCCACTTCAGGAGCTCTGCCGCCTATAATGTTCTCGTTCTCCACGATCGCCGCGAACAACAGTCTCTACAACACTCTTCCCATCTTCAACTTGTACGTTGCAACACTTGTTCTGCAAAGCCTTGTGTCCACATATGGCAAGGTCGAAGGGCAGGAGGAAGTGGCCAACCAGAAGGCCAAATTGATATACGATACCCTCGATGCCCATCCAGATCTGTACCACGTCGTGCCCGATAAGAGTGTCCGAAGTCGGATGAACATCTGCGTGCGGATCATTTCCGGACAAAAGTCTGACGGCGGAGTCAGCCCTGACGAGGCGAAGGAGAAGGCTTTCCTGGCCGGCGCTGAGAAGCGTGGGTTGCTCGGGCTTAAAGGACACCGGTCGGTTGGGGGTCTCAGAGCCAGCAATTACAATGCCGTGCCGCCGGAGAATGTGCAGAAGCTGGTAGACTGGCTGGTCGAATTCGCCAAAACGCAATGATGAGGTAGTTCACCCTAGACGAAAGAGTCATCCTCCACGTTTCGAGTTTCCAGTCATCTTCGTCTGCCCGCTTTATTTCACCTCTCCTTACCTTCCTAGTGCGTGGCTTCGACGAGCGTACTCGGCTTCGAGTTGAGAATATGCAGAACATAGGAGCTTAACGAACTATTAGCATAACCTTGCAAAGAATCCAACAGTCACCTTCTCCGACGATGCTGTTCCCAGGCATAGTAGCACCATTTGACAAGGAGTACATAAACAAGGTAAGTTCATAGTCCAGTACGTTCATGACAATGGGTGCCTAGACTCAAAGCTAGTAGTAGGATGCGTTAGAGCTGGTGGATTTTCATCTGCGAATGACTTACGTTACATCGTCGTCTACGAAGGACTCCGGCATGACAATAAGGAACGATATACGTTTCAAGCCCAGGAGCAACAGCGGTCAGACAGGGCTACTTTTTCTGGAACCAGGCTTGACGGCTTAGAGGTTAAATTACCTGGTAGGAGATATTCCTAGAGTCAGTCTCTACTCGATGGAACCCAGGCTCAATATCAACATCACGAATCTAAAAGCGAAAATGAGCGGAAGGTATTTGATCACCATATTGGATTGGCTCGTGGTGATCTGCAGTATTGACAGGGACTCATTTGTTCTTCTTCGGATTTCCGTCAAGGGTCCATTTTGTTTGGTTTGGCTCTCTCCCACCACACCCACCAGGCCAGCAGCAACGTAATCCTGTGCAGACATTGAATAGAGAGAGCCGCGGTCAAGTCCGAGTGCAATACCCCCACGTGTACACCTGCTGCAAGGTGTACCCCGACCATTTTTTCGCTTACTTGGTTCGTCCATCATATCAACCCTGGAGGGTCATGGTAGAGGCAGGACGAACACCCCAGGGGATTGCACGAGCCAGATTGTTGATATCGCTCGGGCGTGCGCCGAAGTCATTGAACTCCAGCGCGATTGAGGTTTGCACCTGAAAGAGGTTTGCACCTGAAAGAAGTTTGCACCTGAAAGAGGTTTGCACCTGAAAGAGGTTTCTGAGCCCGGAAGAGAATGGAAGTGCAGTTTCATGATTTGTGTTGATGGAAAACAGTAGAGCACTGATGAAATATGTGAAATGGCGGTTTAGCCAAAGGCTGAAGTACCAGGCAGTAAGCATCGTGACGTAAGTGCTGGTATGGGAAGAGCAAGTGCAGCTGGTATGTGTTGAGACTGCAAGAGAAGAGTTTTCATGGCTGCGCAAGTTGACAGATGCACATTTCCGCCCGAAGCTGGCAGTTCACAACTTGTAATTGCGTCCATATCTCTTCTTGAAGCCGCAGTTGTTCGTGTAGCACCCAAACGTTCTCAGCTTCGTAGGAAAGCCTTTGCGAAGTTCAAGGCCGAAAGTGCCGCTGGAATGATTGAGTAGATCGTACATGTTTGTATCGCACACAATCTGCGATTGGCCGGAAGGAGGCGTTGAGGATTGTGGGACTCAGCACACTATTCACCACGGATTCTCACTGCCGTTGGGGGCTCCAATCACGTATGAATGTTGTGCTGAGGGTGGTGGATTGCGCAGACTGTTCATCTTGAACCATCATTGCCGTTGATGGCTCCAGTCCAGAGAAAAACGTGGATGTGCTGATCGCGCAGGGAGTTGCTGGCATGGATCGTGTTGCCTTGCATGAAGATGAGAATTGAACCATGGTATGGCCGTGCGTCAGTGCGAGCAATGAGGCAAGTCGATGAGACTGTTCAGACCGTCATGGCCATCACGTAGATAATCCCGAGTAAAGTAGTTCAGGGGGTGGCCGCAACTGCGTCTGCGCTTGTGTTAGGATTGAAGTCTGATCAAAGGGCGCATGAACTCACAGATCTTCGTGCTGGAGCTGAATCATCAGACAGCAGATCCAATGAAAACACCGTTGTCGAGGAGGCAGTATAAAAGTACTGTCTAGGAGTATTTGGTAGGAGGAATGAGATGAAAAGCCTTCTTTAGCTGTTGGCTTGAAACGTACGGGAGAGCCACGGCTCGATGCCGAGTTCACCGTACGCAGCCCAAGAATGGCCAAGGGTGACAGTGCGGCCAGGGTTTCGAGGGAGAGTCGCTGAACGAGAATTAGCGACTGAGATCTGCAGTAGGAAGTGTACTTACTTTTGAGATAGGGGAGATTTTGGTTTGACTAGATCGCATCGCGAATTTTTTGGGCTGTTGGTTTCACCAGTTGGTCTGGCTACTCGTCCCCTGCACCACGAAGAGGTGGCCCGCGCAGGGGGTAGAATTGGTTTTGATGACGGTAAATCCAAGTAAGGGAACGATTCTGGAAGTAAGTGAAGGTAGAAGAGTTTGAAGGGGAAGGGGAAGAAGAGAGTAAGGGAGGAAGGTCATCATAAATGAGAAGTGATAGTGAAAGATTTGTTTTGCAAACGTGAATGAGGGTGAGGTTGTGATGAAGAAGAAAGAAACTGGATGAATGAAAGGTAAAGATCAATCACAGAAACAGATTGACTCGCCAAGACTCTCGACTCTGAAAAGCATCAATGATGCTTGGATTCTGCCTCACCTCAAGTCGGCTGAAGTGATGTTCAGTGCGGACGAATTCCCTTGTTGAACCACTCTGTGGAAGGCTGGCAGCCCTGCAATCCTTCCGAATGAGGCTGCCACTGCTGTTCAGAAGTTTTTTTGCATGGACATTGAGGCCAAAAAAAGAACGCATTCGAGTTCCACAACGATTCACCTGGACCTGATCATGCCATCTCCCTCTAGGAGGCTAATGAGGGATAGCAATCAAGAACACGCAAAGCTCCCTCTTCGGCCAAGCAGCACAGCACCGTCAGATCAGCCTTTCCCGCCTGCTGGCTGCAAGGATGCCGTCGAAAACACGTCTGCCTCAATCAGTTCATCATGACCTGACGTCCCATTCCCACCCAAGGCCTTCGGCTGATTACTTCCAAGAACACCACTGATACAGAGGATATACATCACACGTTTCGGCTGCGTCCGTCGGTGAGAAAGAGAGACTTTGCCAAAGCAATGCCGCCAGCCGAGGCCATCGTGCGAAGTGACGAATCCATATTGCTGTCAAGGACATTACCGGACAACAACGGGCCGTATGAGATGTCACTGTTGCACGACGTCCGCTGGGTTTGGTGAGTCCATGCGGATCACAGCCACCATTACTCCTACCGATTTCAGGAGGAGAGACATCGTCGCCGCGCTCGTAAGAGTGCCGCAGTCAAGATCGACAAGGGGAAATGCTATCCAAAACCGTCCCCGGTCTCCGACAATCAAGATTTGATGATCCAGTGGTTTAGCAATGCACTTTTTGAATGGTTTTTCATATCACTAGAAACGTGGAGGATAATCTTTCAGTTGTGGTTGCACTAGGCTCAGATAGGAAGCGGAGATGACCCTGGATGCCCACAACACTCGGGTCAAAAAATGAGCAATATAGGTTAGATATCACGAAATTTGCTTTAAAAACATCCAGATAGCATCAGTGGTTTAGTGGTAAAATCCATCGTTGCCATGCTGCGACATCGATGGGCCCCGTGTTCGATTCACGGCTGATGCAAGATGGATCATTTCTTTTTGCTGTTGATTTTTTTTGGCATCTTGCAAAAGCTCGAAGAAGAATGTACCTCAGCACTGGACTCATGGGATAGTTGTTGCTTGGACCTTAAGTTCGGTGATGCCTGTGATCACGGCTACAATATCAATAGACACAACAGTGTCTGGTGAGTAATCCGGGATCTATGCACTACGCGCAATATTGTAAGCTGGAGGCCTGATTGATACTCAGGCCTGCAACATTGTGCCGAGCAAATGGTACAAAACCACTTGAAAGCGGCTGCGACGAGAGCTTTGTAGCCTTCAGCACATTATTTGGAGCCTTGAACACAGCGTCGAAATAAAATTCTCTCGTGGGCATTTCATACGTGAGATCAGAAGTGACCTATTGGCTTACCCCGTATGGACCTACTGCACCTGAGACCGTTCCCCCACCACCCAAACATCCCGTGCGACCTTTCATCGAGCGTCTGTGCTGTATGAGGGTTGTACTTCGGCCATTGAAGCCCTGTCTCATCTATCCTGAAAGATGCCCATCCATCGTAAAGGTGAGACTATGGCGGCGGGGAATTCTGCGAAGAAGCGCGTCGCATATCACTGCTGCCCAGAGCCAGTCCGAACGAAAGAGCCTGGCGTAGGATGGACCAGTTGTTCCGGGGATCAGATTCCATGGGATCAAATTCCATGGTTCACCCCCTCCCCCCCCATCCCACTGGGGTACCCGCAACAGCTATGACACCGAAGAGCGACCTTACCTCAGACGTGTCAGAATATATTACCTCGGCAATTCCCCATGCAGATCAGCCTGCGCGATTCAGCGTCCACCGGACCTTTAGGTGATTTCTACGCTCTTTTTCTCTCCTGTGATGAATCGTCTTTGTTGCACTACTATTGGGGATTTTCAAGTTTAGTTTCTAGACCTCTCTACCGCAACCATGGTGTTCACTCCCGTACCATGGGCACCGAAACTCCCGGAGATCCCAGATACGGTACCTATCTGCGATTTCATGCTTGATGAGAAGCATGGCCGACATCCTTTATCGAAATCCTGGGACCCTTACACCTGCGGTCTGACCGGCAGAAGCATCACAGCCATAGAGCAGAAAGAAAGTGTGGACAAGTTGGCACGCGCATTAGCCAAAGAGTTTGGCTGGGGTGTCAATGAGGGCACCGAGTATGATAAAGTGGTCGGCGTTTTTGCGCTGAATACAGTACGTTGGCCATGACTGTCTCGATCTGTTCTGACAGTATTAGATTGATATCATGACCCTGTCGTGGGCAATTCACAGGATCAATGGCGTGTCCTCACCCGCAAACGCTGCTTACAATGCCGATGAGCTCAGACATCAGCTTACCAACTCTGGGTCCAAAGTTCTCTTCACGGTTATGCCCCTACTGCAGATCGCCCTAGAAGCCGCCGAGAAATCCAAAATTCCCAAAGACCGGATATATATCTGTGAGATGCCGAATGATCCTCCAATACCAAAAGGATTCCAGACTCTGGGCCAGTTGATCAAACAAGGCGAATCATTACCCGAACTCGAGCCCATTAAATGGAGCAAAGGTCAGGGAGCGAGACAGACAGCATTCTTGTGCTATTCCAGTGGCACGTCTGGTCTCCCCAAAGGTGTCATGATCAGCCATCGGAACGTGATCGCAAACACGGTCCAGATCTCTGAATGGGAGAAACATGGCCGGGATGCTATTGAGCCTGGCTATCAAGACGTGGCATTGGGTCTGCTGCCTTTTTCGCATATCTACGGGTTGATTGTGATCTGTCATTGCTCGACTTACCGTGGCGACAAGGTCATTGTTCTCCCCAAATTCGAAATACAACAATACCTCACCGCGATCCAGAAGTACAAGATCAAGGCCCTGTATATTGTACCGCCGATCATTATCAACATGGTCAAGCACCAGCAGGCGCTGCAAAAGTACGACCTGTCTAGCGTGAGAATCATCTTCACCGGAGCCGCACCGCTTGGTCAGGAGACCGCGGAAGACCTGGCGAAGCAGTACCCAACGTGGAAGATCCGACAAGGTTATGGTCTGACCGAGACGTGTACAGTGGTATGTTCGACGTCGCCTACGGATATCTGGTTTGGATCGTCGGGCTGTCTAATCCCGGGGATGGAGGCTAAGATAATGAGCATCGAAGGCAATGAGATCACGGGTTACAACCAGCGGGGCGAGCTGCTGGTCAAATCGCCGAGTGTTGTTCTCGGGTATCTGAAGAATGAGAAAGCGACAAACGAGACGTTTGTCGACATGCCCGAAGGAAGGTTCATGCGCACCGGAGACGAGGTCGAGATTCGTGTCTCACCCAAAGGCAATGAGCACGTGTGGGTGGTTGACCGGATAAAGGAGCTAATCAAAGTCAAGGTAAGTCGCGTGGATTGTGTGATAGACCAAAGCTGACGACTCCAGGGTCTGCAAGTTGCACCCGCAGAGCTGGAAGCCTGCTTACTCAATCATCCTGCTGTGGCTGATTGCGCAGTTATACCCGTACCCGACGAGCGGGCCGGTGAAGTGCCCAAGGCTTTCGTCGTCAAGGCCAATTCCGTAGGACTAGAAGAGAGCGACGCGATGACCAAACGCAGCATTGCCAAGCACGTCGAGAAGGAAAAGACCCGGCACAAATGGCTTGCTGGAGGTGTTGAGTTCATCGACGTGATTCCCAAGAGTGCTTCGGGCAAGATCCTGAGACGGCTGCTGAGGGACAAGGAGAGGGAGGCGCGCAAAAAGGCAGGCGCTAAGTTGTAGATATTCTGGTGTTAGCGTGGAGCATTTATGACCGAGACATCTATGCTGGCTAGATTCCATATACAAGACAATGGCTGGAGCACTGGACAAGGGTTGGAAAGGACGCTCGTTGCACATCCCATCGACAGGATGTGGCACGTGTCGAGCATTTGGTAAGGCTCGCGTATATCACTGGGCCCTAGATCCGAGGTCTACGAGGCAACGAAGCTTTTCTGTTGCACGTTCCTCTTCCTGCTGCTGATCAGGCATCGGTTCAGATGACCGCGAATATCGGTATGACAGCCATCATATCTCCGCAAGATGCATACCGTCACTGCTTGTGATTGTTATGGCCATAAGACGGCACCCGCGCCCATCAGATGAGATATGCATAAAGATGGAGAACCATGAGATTGAAGTATGGAGCAGCAATCTAAAGCAAAGGAGGCTGAGCAGTAGTTTTAAGTAGAACTGAAACTGGGGGCACGTGAGCCATGACGTCTGTTTTGGGACGATCAAACAAAGATCCGCGTCTGGACACATTGGACGTTGACAACCTCGCTTCCTACAGATTGGAACTTGTGCTCGGTCTGAAACATCAAGTCGCCTTGAGATATTAAACACGTCAAAGTGGTCACAGTCTTGAAGGATTGGAACATTGCGACTTGAAGGGAGGAAGCCGAACGCATTTTGTTCGGCATTGGGTCCTTTTTGGAAGTTATGGCTTGAGGTTATGATTTGCCCAATCAACCCGATGGAGGATGGGTACTTCAAAGTTCAATATGGTCTCATATCAGATGGCGTCTTTCATCTCCCTTACCGGAGCCACCCGTGGCTGTCCGGTGCTTCCATGCCCGCAAAGTTGACATATGCAGACGGTAGCGTCTCACCTTGCCTTATTACAGGACTCCGGGCAGTGAGCAACTCGGCCTGCGAAGTCGCGACTTACCTGATACATACAGCGCGTATAATGTGACCGCCACAAATCACTTCTGTCAGAAAATTGTTTCGCCCAAGCTTCGTGAGTCGTTCGTTTTTGGTCGATCAGGCAGCGATGCATGGATCAATTTGGCCTTCGACCTTTGTGGAAGGTGGCTGGCGCCACCATGGTGGTGTGGTTCGTGAATCCATCTCACGGCTATCTACCGGATCCTACTTTTCTCGAAGACAGCACTCCTACCATGCTTTTGGGCTCGGATTGGGCTCATCTGTGCAAGACGGCGGTGTGTCACAAGATGACGATAAAGGTAAGCAATCAAGACCTCATGACCTGCAAAGTAACTTTTCGAGTACTTACAAAAGATAACAGTGACAAGCCAACAATCATGATTCTGACCGCTGCGACCAATGAAGTTGGATTTATACAAACTCCGACCGCCGAGACGATTTCACTATCGGCACACCAACAATCTAGACTTGGGCAGGTGCATACACCTACGTATGCACGTCAAGATGCACCGCCTTGCATACTCGGGTTAAACCTTGATCCTGCTCCCTAGGTGCATTAGTACTATCTGATGGTAATCATGCGGCGAAATCCTTTCACATGTGCAGACCTCGTTCTGGGAGGTGCTGATCTAGGGTGGTCGTGGCAACGAGAGAAAGCTTTGCCAACCAGGATAAGCCTGGATGAATGTCTGACCTCGCTGGCTTTCAGCAGCCAGGCTGCAGAAGGAGTAGGGCGAGATCACCACTTCCCCGCACATTGCGGGAAGAAATGTGCATTGCATTCGATCCACGATTTTGCTCAGTGCATGCCACGAGTACCTCCAACTGTTCTGTAGCGACGGCAACTGACAAACCGTCACAGGGTTGGTTCAAGACTTGAGACCAAGCATGGTTGACCAGGTCGATGCGACGCGATAACCCTGTCAAGCTGACCCTGCGTGACGTGTGGCGACAAGCATGAAGGCAGGCAGAACGTACCAGCGCAATACTGCAGACCAGCTACATTCGATATACTCCTTACGTTCGTACAGTTGCCACTGAATTCGTTCGTGATGTCCTTTGTAACTCCTTTCGGAGGTTGTACCAGGCAAACACGTGGGGTCGCGGTGAACATCGCCTGTTCCACATGCTCATGGCGTGTAACGGGAAGACATATAGCAACAGATGGCGGTGAGATAAGTTATCGTGGGTGATGGCAAGGATGACCTCCCTATGAATGCTGTAGCGAGATTTGAAGGGACCATAAAATAGTCAGCGAGATTATCGCCAAATCTCTTTGCGGCAACATCACACTAACTAGTTGTGATACTGCAGGCGCCACTTCGGAAAAGGCGTGCATGATGCAGCATGCAATCCATGTTCCGTACCAAGCAAATTATAAGATACTGTCACGGACAAAAATCCCATCCAACAAAAGGCATGTTCCAACATACAGCAATCAGTATCATCGCCGTACAGACTATGCGCAATAGGTGTTCACGGACGTTGATATCTTCTGGGACTGTGTCGCGCTATCCCAGACCAGCGGAAACTTATCGGTGCCGCAATTCCACAATGCTTTACAATGGACACGTAGGCATATGTGGATCTCGGGTTCAGTTGTACAACGGTTTGCCAGTCATGACGCCTTCAAGATCTGATAAGTCACCCTCACTCGAGAAGATGAAGGGATAAAGAGATCTGCTTGACGGCTGTCTGAACAATACGATCGACAAGCCTTGCATATCGACCAGATGGTAGCTGACCTCAGCAGGAGTCACTCTGGCATTTGCAGAATCGAAGCATCATTACCATCAAATTGTACGAGGTGTACTGCCACGTCTACACCACTTTTTGCCACAGCGAGCACAGACATTTTGAGTACCTCGCTTCGACATTAAGCGGGGATCTGGGCTCACAGGAGGGTTTGTGTTGACGGCCATGTTCCCGCAATATTGACAACCCTGCCGGCCAGGTTGTTTTGCGAGATGTGCCAGTTGCCAAACCATTCAAAAGATAACCTTGAGCAAGGGACACCGACACAAATGAGGTGCCGAGCAACGAAGAGGAAGCTTTTTCCGCGTACGGAGCAAGATCTTGACTTTCTCATGCAGTCGACGGGTAATGGACCAGAGTACATGAGGATTGAGGGTACAAAAGGTATAATCTTCTCGGGAGATACTCTGAATTTGACAAGACGGTGGACATCCGGCGGCAGATGACTACTGTGTAAGTTAGTAATCTGATGCAGGTATTTTATTTTCCCGCTTGGTGTTTTTGCTCCGGGAAGGGCGACTAGCCGAGTTAAAGGGTTTTAGGTGTGCCAACTTGGCAGCGCAGGTGCCAGGTACAAGCTCCCAGGTGGGATTGACATGGAGATGGAGGAGCCAATGGCGACCACGGCGAGGTCACCATATTGAGGGTCCGCTAGTGACATGCAATCGGGACAATTAAGTCATTTTTTGTACAGGGTTTCAAACCATCATGATCACGGCTTTTCACCTACGGAGACCAGTGGCAGCCAGTCAATCATGCACCCGTGGCTCCCGCCCGCTACAAGACAGCCACAGAGACGGCCAACCCCTCCGGATACACTGATACAGAAGAGCTCACCTGCAGTTGATTGGCATCTCTGTCTCTCACCATGCCGCGCGCATCAACAAAGTACATTGTAAGGGAGGTGTACCAAGGCACTGTAGCTGTAATATCCAAGTCCATTTCATTATTAACAGGAAGGATGCCTGCATCTCATGTCCTCATCTTGACTCGTTGCATCCCCTCCCAAAAACTTGTTGATCGTTGATCCTTCCCAACAAGGTCGTGCCGCCATTTCCAGGGACCCTGGTCCCGGTCCCTCCACTGAATCGCTACCCGAGTCCACTAGACTAGGTCAGTAGCTGTATTATTCAACCCGCTCTTGTCTTTTTCAGTCGCTTTTCCACCACCATAACCACCACCACTCCTTCCTCCGCTATCACGCCGGGCAATACCACCACCGCCTGCGCCTTCAAGCTTGCTCTCTCTCATTCACCAGCTTGACCAGTATCCAACACCACAAGCAGTATTTGCAGAACTTGTACTCGTACACAATTCTTATGGCCAAATAGACACACATACACCTCTTAAGGTCTTTTCTGTGTTCCATATACTTGTCGTCCTCTCACAACATTCACGATCACCGTGTCGATTGTCGCGCCTGCATCCAGTTACGACTGTCTGGTCGCTTCGAACACAAGTCGCCTCTCGCTCTCAGCTCGAACTCATCTTGTGAGCAAACACAAACCTGCATCAGTAGCCTCTTTGTTGAGTCTGCTGTTGTCACGCAAAAATTCACTTGCTGTCGTGCTCGCTCTCTTCTGCCGACATCACACCGACCAAGCTTCAATGCAGTAGCAGCCCGCCGAGGGAACATCTTCTCAAGTGCTGTCTGGTCTGACTTGAATCTTCCAAAGCTGGGAAAGAAGAGGATACCAATGAGGAATTAATACTTGGGACACTCTATTGCCGCCGGCAGGACAAGGACCAACCGCCAAAATGCTCGCAAGAGTACTTCCGGGCACTTACTGGGCCATTCTTTTGGTTTACCTCGCCTCAATAGCGTCGATTGTTAAGAGCACACATGGACTGGATATCTCTTACTGCTCACCGGAAAACAATGCTGGCTCTTATCCCAGTTGTGAGTTCTCAAATTATCGCTTGCTACTCAGCCACTGACTTGACTGCAGACTACAGCTTGTACATGTCCAATGGACTATGTCAGGACCATTGCCAAGGATCCTATGCATTCGCAGTGATTGAAGGCTACTATTGCTGGTGTTCCAACTACATTCCGGCGGACCAGGAAAGCACATACAATTGCGACCAGCAGTGTCCAGGTTATGGCTCCGAATGGTGCGGTAATACTGATGCTGGCTTGTACGCATATTTCCTTTTGAGCGCAGGAACTCCTCTCGGTACCTCTGGAACGGCCGCCAGCACCGCCGCCGCTGCCACGACCACTTCTTCGTCGGTTAGTACCTCTCGCGCTGTGCCTGGATCTTCCTACTCCCAGACCACGTCCAACGTTCCGACAACATTCTCTTCCTCGTCCCTTTCTTCAGTGGCCACAGTTGGATCTTCTGGATCTTCTCAGAGTTCCTACGAGGCTAGTTCTGTTACTCCCGGGTCATCAAGCGCTGTCTTGACCACCTCCCCAAGCTCCACTAGCTTCATTGTATGAAGACCCGTCTTTCTTATTGCCCCATCTTGTCCCCCTGGCGGGTCATGTTTCTTCTGAGACTCCTTCACCATCTCACAGGATTGTTTGGCTAACCGAGCTTCAGACTCCGTCGACAACATCCACGTCAACCACGTCACCCACGTCAACTTACATCGCCCCCACGACATCGTCCGACCCGACGACCAGCGCGGCCCCCACTACGAGTGTTACACCTAGCCCTACCACTACGGCGACCCCGACCGAAGTTTACACCAGCGTTATGACCGTGACTGGTGAAATTCGGACCGTTGTGGTAACTCCAACAGCATCGTCTGATGCCACTTTGGGTCAATCCGCTACTGGCGGCGGCGGGGTCAGCACAGGAAAAGTTGTTGGTATTGTCCTGGGCTCCGCACTGGGCGTAGGCGCTCTCATAGGAGTGGGAGTATGGATGTGGTTCCGACGGCGGCACAGGAAGATTGCCGAACAAACCGGACCTGAGACGTCCTTCGTTCCTCGGACTGGTGACGCCTCCCCTTCGAACAATATTCCTTCACGACAAGTTAGTCAGTTGTCATCATCAGGACTGCTTGGAAGCAAGATTCCGCGCATCAATACTGCGGGGATGCCACCAGGCAACGACCCGCGGAGCGCCGATACAACTTCTAGTGGCTTTGATCGACGAAGTCTGGCCACCGACCAGAGATTGAACCCATACGCCCTCTATATCCATGACGAAAGCCGTCTGAGCAACGTGTCTCTTCAGGATAACACCGATTACTCCCGCCAATTACGGGTTTGTTGATCTCACTTTTTATATGAAGGTCGCTGACTGTTCTCTAGGTGGCTAATCCCGATTGATCTTGATCCCCTCGAATTCATGTCGATCCTGAACGGATCACACACTTCGCTGATCTTTAATCGTGCTCGAGAATCGTGGGCATAAAGACAGCTCATGAGCGAAAACATTGTCAGAAGGCCTTCTACACCAATGGATCTGAGGAATAGTTGTTGTTCACGATTCTCAGATTCACAACCGGATCCGGCACGGAAGCAGAGTCTTCCTTGTTTTGTCGGAATGATTTTATGATGATGAGAGGGCCTTTTCTTTTCATTCAGCAACACTTGAAATATCCACCTTTCCCTATGGCAGTGGGGAGTATCCGGGCGGGCGGGAATTGTACATTTAGGCATATCACAAAGGAGGCTTGCATTGCCACAGGGTGAAGGCAAATTTTGTCGTTCGTTACGAACATGGCGTTGGGCATACACGGTTACCAGGCGGACAGGCGCAACAAAAGTTCCGGTATTGAACAGGATGGGCACGTCAATAGCGGCCACATTGCGACAGAGGGAAACGAGATAATGAAACATGACCGAGTCACTCTGTATAGGACTGGGTACGGACGCAACTTTTCAGCGATCCTCTCAGGATCAAAGACATACTGGGGATGACTTATATAGACAAAGAGAAAATGCGTACCCCCCTTGATGCTTGACAGAATGTCCTTTCAAAGAGCGAACTCCTTGTGTGTTGATACCTTTTAAAAAGGCGGGTGCATTTCAACATGGTCAAGGCTGTGGTCACTTGATGACAGTTTACCAGGAACCGAGTTTGGGCTCCCTAGACACTTTGGCCCTCGGGTGCTGCCGTAGCCCGCCTGAAGGAAATGATGGCACGGCCAACGAGGCCCGAGCGGGCACATGCTTTGGGGCTCTCCATCTTTTGCACAGCGGTCACTCACTCACCTGAGGCGATATGAGGTCGAAACTAACTGCAAGGTCTTTCTCACAGTGCTGCCTCCTCTGCTGTCCATTTACTCTGTATCATGCAGTACGAACAGCAAAGAACCCTCCCAATGATGTACTATCATGACTCTTCTGTCTGTTGAACTGGGGGAACCATTGGGTTCGCGTGATGCAGAGCGACGTCACACGTGGTGGACATGTCTAAAAGTCCAAGTTTGAGGCCCAACTCCCTCGCCTCTGCCACCAGCTGCGTTTGTTGCATTCCCCACCTGGGCTTCCTCACCTCACCACCTCGTAATTAATTGACATCCCTCCTTCATTTTCAAAACCATTTGCTTTCTCCTTCTACATCCTTACAGCCGACTCTACTGTTTTGTTTCGTGCTTTCCAGCGTCTGGCTGCGTCTGCGTCTATCTCGCTGTTTATTCGTCAATCCTCTTTGCAGTCCTTGCTGTTCGGAGTATCTCCCACCTTGTAAACTCGTACAAGGTCATCTGAAACACACCAGAGTGGTTGCCTGCCATGGCAGGCCGCAGATACGTCGACGATATATCCATTGACCGCTACGACGACCGTCAGGATTATGGTGCAAGAGGTGGTCGTCGGGTATATGAAGAGCGTTATGTGGATGAAGAGATAGATTACCGTCGTCCTGCCCCAGTACGTGAACGGGAAAGGGAACGGGAGCGAGAGGTGATCATCCGAGATGAAGTCCGCGATAGACCAAGGTCGCCTCCAGCATTTTTACGAGAGGACTATGGCCGAACCACGGCCGGCCCAGTGGTACTTCGAGCACGAGAGCGAGAAGAGTTTGACTATGTACCTCGACCTCGTAGGCGATCTCCCTCTCCTGAGCCAGAAAGACGGGTTGAAAAGGAGGAGATCATAATAAGAGGCAGGGAAGAGTCAGAGTCTCGACCCCCACCTCGCAGAAGGGAGAGAGATCGAGAGGTCGATCGAGAGGAGATCATTATCCGCCGGGACGAAAGAGAAGTGGACAGACGACCACCACCTCCTCCAGCCCCTCGTGAACGAGAGCGCGAGCGAGAGGAAATTATCATTCGGAGGGATGAAAGAGACCGTGATGTACGACCTCCCGCTGCATTAAATACCTCCCGGGAAGAGATCATCATTCGACGTGACGAGGATGATCGACGATCACGTTTCGACGGAGACTATGATCGGGACGATGTCATTTCGAGGAGAGGGGATTACGTGAGACGTCCGGGTAGAGGTGAAATCGAGAGAGACGAAATCATCATTCGTCGTGAAGAACAGAATCTGGAGCCTCGGCGTGGATACGACGATTACGCCTTAACTCGCCCCAAATCACATGAACGGGCCAGATCTCGAGCCCGACGATCCAGCAGTGCCGGTTCTGGCCAAGAAATCATCATCCGACAAGAAGAACGAGAAGGTCGGGGAGGAATTCGCGACAAACAAGAGATCATCATCCGGCGCAACTCTCGCTCACGATCTCCCAGCTCGATGACTTCAGCACCGGCACCTCCACCTGCCGCTGAACCGCTGGTCGTCAATGCTCCCACCATCCATCAGGAAGTCATCACCCATCATCGCCACATTGATCACGGTTACGAGCTAGCGATCCCTTCGAGACCTCGTCCCATCTCCCGTCCACCGTCACCACCAAGCCCACCGTTGCCTCCGCCAGCTCCTCGTGCTCGCTCAGAAGAACGGATTGAAATCGACAGAACACAAACGAGGAATGGCCGGACCGAGAATGAGAGAATCGTTATTGACCGCAACGAGGGAGCAAGAAGCGTCGCTCCTTACTCTCCGCCACCACCACGAGACCCATATTACGACCCTCCACCACCTCCTCGAGACCAGTACCGAGGCTATGATCGAGATGTCCAGGAAGAAGCTGAATACTACAACCAACGTGCCATGGAACGGGCTTACGTCGGAGAGGGTTACAGAGGTGCTGTGAAAGATTGGGCGATGGTGGATGTTCCTCCAGGCACAAATCGCGTCCGCATGGACGGTGCTGGTGGTGGCGCCCAAGAAATCACCTGGCAGAGATACAATGGTGTCCGCAGAAGCAAGTTTATGCCCGAAGGAGCTGATGATGGTTATAACAACGAAATTGGCAGACCTGCACCATTACCGGCGCCTGCCCCACTGCCAGTCCCAGCACCTGTTCCGGCAGGGAACGGGGATATTGGACGACGATACGGGCGTATGCCGGATCCTAAGGACGGCTTGTGGACTGAGATTACCAAGGACCTGGTTGTCAAGGAAGCCATTCAAGAGATGGGTTATGAGTATGAGGAGACTGAAGATTTCTACTATATCATTGCCTATCTGCGCTATGTAAGTCCCCATCATGAAATATGCTTTTCAAATCCGCTCACACAACGATCAGGAAGACGTTGCTCGTCTCGTCGGTCTGTCTGAAGACATACGCAAAGACCGCAAGAAGCGCATCAAGGAGATGGATTGGGAGAGCCGAGTTGTACCTCCTCCTGCCATTGAGGACGTGCAACGTCCACTGATGATCGAGCCACCCCAACCACCTCGTTCTCGTCAAGAATGGGATCGAGAAGAAGAGCGCTATATTGAGCGTGAAGTTGTCTACAGAGGAGGTCGTCCTCCACCACCTGTGAACTGGAGACGTTGAGCATGATCATGCCGGTCAACTTTCAGCGCAGTAACGATACACAAAACGACACGAATTTCCTTTTATCCATTTTCGAAGATCGAGAACGATATACCGCATGCCATTTACATTCCACGAAATGACGAAACACCATGACAGACACGAACAGAATGCATTTGTCCTTCTCGGCTGCATTTCAGCAAGCGTAGGATCATTTTTGGATGGATCCGTATTTCCGTTGATGACTGTCATGTGGAAACGATGCATGTGTCAGCTTGTTTAAGCATGAGGTATGATTTTCGACAGCCTTGCTTGGTTTTGTGCAGTGCGGATTTTACAAGGTCATGATTTGAGGACATGATGAGACAGCCTTTTGCAGACCCTAGATATTGATGTTTTGTGGACTAAAAGCATTTGATACGTTCAAGATAGCACAACTGTTTTCCGAATGACCTCTTTTGATGCTTGACATGCGAATACTAGCATCTGAGTTGACTCATGAGTCAATATTGGTGCGATGGCGACTTTGCCGCTCATATCCGTTGTCCATTCAGGTAATTGACTGCCGTTTGATCTATCAGGTGGATCTGCTCGCCGATCCTTCGTAGCGGATTATCCTGAGAGACACAAGATGTGAGTCAGGATGAGCACGTAGCTTGTTGTTCCCAGGACCGTCTCTACAGCTGCTTCTACTTCGTGTGAGGTGCGACGGGTCGGCCGTGACCATGGACAAGCAAGCCTTTCTCGACCTCATCGAGGCCGATCGCTCTGAACACATCGCCCTGTTGCAGAAGTTCATACAAGCGCCATCGCCCAATCCACCAGGCGACACAGCCGATGCAGCCACCGTGCTGAGCGACTACCTGGCCCAACAAGGCGTGCCCGTTGAAGTCATCGCACCACAAGGTCCTAGCAAGCCGAATCTTGTGAGTGATTTCTTATGTGGATCTGGCTCTACCACTTCCACAAGGTCAAATGGAGCATCCCAGCAAGGGCGGCGCATCGTGATGAACGGACATATCGATGTGTTCCCCGTCGATACATCACAGTCGGACAAATGGTCTCACGGCGGACCCTGGTCAGGCCACAACGACGGCACACATATCTACGGTCGTGGGGGCGTGGACATGAAAGCAGGCACGTTGGCCAGCACGATCGCCTACAGTTACTTATATCGGCGCCGGGATCGCCTTGGAAAGCAAGGAAGCGTTGCACTCACACTAGTCAGCGACGAAGAGACAGGCGGGAAGTTTGGCAGTCGATGGCTGCTTGAACACGATCCCGATCGATGGTCAGGCGATGTCATGATCAACGCGGAGCCAGGAGGTCTGCAATCCATTCGGTTCGGCGAGAAGGGGACATTGCGCATCACATTTACGGTCATAACGAAAGGCGTGCATGGCGCATACACGCACTTGAGTGAGGGCGCGAACCGGGTCGCTTCGCGCCTGGTTCAGAAACTGTTACAGATCGAAACGGACATCACGCCTGACTTGGACCCGTCGATCGTCGAGCACATGCGCAGTCCCGAGGTGCGCAAAGTCGTCGACGAGATCATGGGTCCCGGCGCGGCGGACATAGTGTTGAAACCCACCGTCAACATCGGGACCATGCACGGCGGGATCAAAGTCAATATGATTCCTGACCGATGCGTCGTCGAGGCAGATATACGATTACCCATTGGCTTGACGAAGGATGTTGTCCTGAAGTACATTGACGACAAGGTGCTGGATGGGTTTCCTCAGGGCCAGGTGAGCTACCAGGTTCAAAAGGCGGCGAGTAATCCGCCTAGCCACTGCCCCGTGGACCACGATATGGTGGGGGTGTTGGCTGGCGCCGCGGAAAAGGTCACGGGAAGGAAACCGCTTGCTATACCATCTCTCGGTGCGACTGATACCAAGTTCTGGAGATACCGTGGCGTGCCGGCTTATGTGTTTGGGGTGAGTCCAGAAACTATGGCTGCAGGCGTGGACGAGAGAGTGAGTATTGACGAGTTTCTGGCTGTCGTGAAGACACATGCGCTTGCTGTGTGGGAGTACCTTGGTGGGAAGTAGGGGCGGCAAAGACCTAGAAGGATGAGACGATGAAGGTATCCTGAGGGAAGCTGGTGTACGGAGTAGAAAAGGTCGTGGACTCGTGGATCTTAAAACAGCAGGAGATTGACAGGTCAGCTCGAGCCTTGGCAAGCTAGGCCGAAAAGTGACGTCTGTTGATAACAACGGCATCATTCCCCAGATCTAGATATAACGTATGATGTCAAGTTGCAGTAGACCAGTAGATCAGGTACATGAATGTTCACCTGGCGCGGCCTTTGCATCGATTACACCCAAAGAACTTGTGAACTTACGCCGAACGGGCCGGCTCGCGAACGGCTTGCTGTATCTGTGACTACCGTCCATCATCAACACAACCGGCACCGCATTTGGACTACCAGAAGTCAACGACGTTCTCCATACAATGGCTCTCAATCTATATCTTTTGACTTTCAACTGCGGGCGCAACGTCGTTCAACCTGATGTGTTCGCCCCTTATCTGTTCGACGCTTTAGATTCAGGCTCCTCCTCCCCAGAATTTCTGGTGTTGTGCCTCCAGGAGGTCGCACCCATTGGCTATTCATTCCTTGGTGGTTCATTCTTGACGCCTTATTTCAACGCCTTCCGCCATGCTGTTAAGCTCGCGTCCAAAGATCACAGCTACGTCAACGTCTTCACCAGGAACGTGGGTCTTACCGCGTTGATGGTCTTCGCCAGGGACGACGTCGCAGATAACGTCACTTGGCTTCAAATGGCCGGGGTCGGACTGGGGGTCAGTGAGATGGGCAACAAAGGCGCCGTCGGTGTCAGGCTGGGTTATAAACCATCAGACTCCGAGGAGATGCAATTGACCTTCGTTTCAGCGCACTTGGCGCCAATGGAAGACGGCCTCGACCGGCGGAACGAGGACTACAAGAACATTGTGCGACGCCTAGTGTTCGTGCCGGATCCGAGTCGGAAACCCGTTGCTCGAGACGAAGAAGATGAAGACGCGCCGTTGTTGCAAGGACAGATTCCAGCACACAACACCTCTGAGAGCGGCATATACTACAATCATTCGCACCTTTTCTTTGCTGGTGATCTCAATTACCGAACGTCACTACTCCGGCCATCACCTCAAGATGTGGAGGAACGGTTTCCTCAACCCACGAAGAACAGGGACGACCCTAAGAACTATCACAATCTCCTCGCCGAGGACCAACTCACAGAGCAGGTGAAGGCCGGGAAAAGTCTGCACGGTCTCACCGAGGCACCTATCGACTTTCCTCCTACCTATAAGTACCACACGGATGAGAGCAAACCGGTGACACTGGATGGGGGAGATCAGGAGTGGCAGTGGGCACCTCATCGCTGGCCTAGCTGGTGCGATCGGATTTTCTTCTGGGACCAAGGTGATGTTGAGGTCAAGCCGCAGAAATACACGTGTCTACCATTATTTGCGACCTCGGACCATCGGCCAGTGGTATTGGCAGCCTCAGTGCCATTGAAACCAGTAGCAGCTTCAGAGCAGGCTGACAGAGCGCCATTCCAGATCGATTCTACTTGGAAAAGTCGACGTGCGCAGGCGCGGAGGAAAGAGTTGGTGGTTGGTTTGGGGGCTTACCTAGCTCTGACGAGAGAAGGAAATGCCTTGCTGATTGCTACTGTGATTGGTGCTGTTGGAGGTTGGCTGATTATCAGATCGATGCTCATGGCATGAGACGGCAGGATCATCGGAGTTGAGGCCATAGGGGATTGGAACACCGGGATTTGGGAATTCAAGGTTCACTTCGGTGACTAAGGAAGCAAGTTGAGGCAATGTCCTTGGAACGGAAACTCGGCGTATTGCTGCAGGTGGAAGGGTGATGCGGCATGTTCCATCGCTTCCATGCACCTTCTAGTGGCATGAGAGGCCCTTCGTTGCGAGACCTGCCCTGACGATCCGTGATCTTCGTCCCACGTCCGCAACACAAGTCCGGTTTGATGCATCTGCCCGATGTCCTTTGCGAGGTGCTTACACGATTGACAAATCGTGCGATAGGTTGTGCACGACTCGGCACGGGGAACAGACTTGTCAGCAACTGTGCCCCAGGAGACCGGCCGAGGCGTGGCTGACAAGCCTTCACGCTCCATTCAGGAACTTATTAATCTGCCTTGGCCCGTCTTGCGCCACTGCAAGCACTGCAAGAAGAGACTGAGGCTTGCATTGCCTGAGAAATAAGTCGAGCAGGCTGGCCAGACCTTCTGGTGGAGGGCCTGGGCCTGAATAGACCACCTCACGCCTCATCCTCCAGCTGGCCTGCACAAGCGTTTGAAGTCAACCTTAAGCATTAGCCGGTGCTTAAATAAGAACAGGACACCATAGCCGAACAGAAAGGTATCTTGCTTTTGTTCTCTGTGCCACGAGGTTGATTTCGCAACAAGTCAAAACACAAATCTCTCTCTCAGACATGGGGCGTCGTGGTGTAAAATTGCGGGATCCGTGTGAGGACAACAGGGCGTACAGCGCCATAGGACCAGGACACTGGACCCTTCGCCGAAATAATGGCTAGTGCGCCGTTGCGCCGTTCTGCCGGAGAGGGACTGCTGCGCGTGACTGATCAGAATACGGCTTACACTTTTCATGTACGTGTACGAAGATGGAAAGTCCAACGCCGCAGAGTTCCGTACCAGCGAGGCATAAAAGGCATTGGTTAGGCAACCAGAGGTCGGGAGCAGAAGTGTCGTAGAATGAATGCAGCCTTGCTGCAAGTTGGACTAAAGAAAGGTCAACAATGGTGGTGCCTGAGATCTTGTTACCTGTGGTACTGCGAGCCTCGGTGACAGGCAGAAGTAAGACGGTGGGCTGATACGAGTACAGTACTGCATGCATATACCGACTATGTGCGGCCGCGTGTTGTTTGCGCGTTACATTAACCAACAAGCCTATCCGGAGTACGAGTGATGGACGGACGGAAAGAAAAGTTTTCCGGTGACAGGGTCCAAATCATATTTTTGTTAGGGAAAATCCACTGTCATTTGAGGCTTTAGGCATTCCATTCGTGCCTATTCGGTGCTCAGCCCTTGTCGAAACCCTTGCCGCGGCATGCTTTGCATGGGGTTTCCAAGTGTCCACAGGGCCCAAGCCCCGGTAAGTGTTCTGACACCCACTTGACAGAGCCATGCCGTTACGATCCGTAGCCATGATTACGATCGCACTGATCAATACTACTCAATGGCACTCCCGTTCAGAACCGCATTTCTATGTTTCCCATGTCCTATATCCCGTGTGTGTCCCCTTTTCTTCGAAACCTTCTTCCTTTCTCTATATATTCAAAGGGTCTCATATCAAGTCTGGATTCTGTGTAAACACATCGCTGAACTCTCTCCACGATCTGATCTGGTTCAACACTACCGCGACGATCAATCCAGCCTTACTCTCGCGACGGACACAGCCATTCGTCTAGCAACAGCGATCTTCAAATCGTCATAAAGGAACGAATCGGACACGTTCTTCGCCTTTACGGAAATCGAGAGAATCTCGCCTCTTAGCAGACATTGCACATCACTCCCGTCATGTTCTCTTGTACCAACCAGCCTCGAGGCTGCCGTGGAAGATGCGACCAAGCTGGTGGTAGATGTCCAGAGTGCAGAGTATGTCTTTGCCTCCCTGTCCATCGTATTGACTACCTCTCTGTGACTCCAGACTCTAACACTACTCTCTCATTAGATGTACAACTTCCGCAACACACCGAGCAGACCCTTTCGCTCTGTTCTCTCACAATCGCCCAACTTCCGGTCAGGGTCGCGAAATACGTCATTTGAGGCAGACGTCACCATGCCGTTGAGCCCTGCATACGCGACAAGATAGCACCCTGCAAACTACTCCCACCAACTCTCCAACAGGCAACAGCCGCCCAATTCAACCACTCATCTCCTCTTTTGGCCGGCAATTCACCAGACTCGCTTGACTGGCGAATGGACCCCGAACGAAATGCACACGATTCCTACGACATTTGACGAACTCTTGATTTGATTGGCGAATATTCTTGCAGCACTATCCCACCCTTACTTTTCAACTCTCACCGCACTTCTGTTTCTGCGGCTTCGCGTCATCGCAATTTTGTATCATGATGTTATCGGGAATTTCAGCGACGGCGCCTGGTGAAATATGACAGTCTTTGTTTCGACCAGACCGACTCCGTATAACATCATCGGAGCGGTATTCTGCATCTCAACAAAACCGAAACACCCGCAGGTGTTCTCGAGTTGAGATCATCGGCTGGGGGTTTCAGACTCTGGCCTACTCAACATTTGCGTCTGGATGATAGATGAAAAGTTAATGACGACACGGTACACGGGGTTTGCTGCGGAGTTTTCGATGTCTTTTGGAGCAACAAGCGAGCTTGGAAGGCATACAGGCGGCAGTTGAGCCTTATGGATCATGCATGTATCACTATTGCTTGTATTGCTGGATCGCTGTAGTTTTAGTCTTCTATTACTCGTACAAGTCATTCCGATAGTGGATGTGACCTGGAAAAAGTCAGTAGACACATGAAAAGATCCAAAAACTTGCCAAATCTGTTTCTATCTGCACCTTTCGCGTACCTGAGAAGAAGTGACCTTGGGCCAAATGGCCGAACGGCAACCTGAGACCCATTCCACGGACTTTGATCGCAGATGCAGACTGGAAGCAAGCCACCTGGAGAATAATAATGGTGAAACAAATTGATGGCCGGACAAATCCGCCTTCACGTTTCCCCAAACTCCTGCGGTCGCGTTTTCCGGATGATCTGATCGTCGATCTCTCCAGTCTCCACCATCATCGAGTTCCTGTCAACCTGCTGACTTCCTTACACATCCCGCTTCTTCACTCCACAACATCAGGCTGATCGAAGATCCAGGAACCGTTCGAGCTAACGACGCCCCCTCCCGGCATGCAATCCTGCCGTTGCTTTTGGCTTCTCCCAGTAGACTTTGCAGTCTTCCACTCTTCTATTGCTGGATGCAACACCAGACTTGCCGCTCGTTCCACGGACACTTGGTCCGGGAAAAGGGGCAAGGCTGTAAGCAATCAAGATCGTGGACCTCAAGATCCTGCTGCCTAGGTCATCACGTGGAGACTACGCTGGCATGCAACCCCGAAAGCCTTGTTGTTGCCTAATTACCACTTCAGATTCTGCAGCGCGACAAGAGTTGACCGCTGCAGTTGCTCCAAGAATGCCGTGACCTGCCTTCGCCGCACTTTGCGGCTTCTTTGAAGAGTCTCAATGAGAGATGGGAGGTGTGACATCTGGCATGTTCATGAAGATCTACCAAGAGACGGGCCTGGAGTCATGGATAACATCGCCGACAGATGTCAAACTACTGACTCTCCAGCGATCTGTCCGCTTGTTCGCATATGGAGGCTCCACCATCACTCTTGCTTTGTTTCTATCTCATCTGAACGTCAGCGATCAGCGGATTGGTCTGTTCATGACGCTTACACTCCTGGGCGATGTAGCCATCAGTCTTGTCTTAACTGTCGTGGCAGACAGGATCGGCAGGAGGCGCATGTTAGCATTCGGGGCCCTGATGATGGCTGCCAGTGGCATCATTTTCGCATTGTTCAGTAATTACTGGATCCTGGTGCTGGCAAGCGTTCTCGGTGTCATCAGTCCTAGGTATACTTCACCTAGGGGTACATCTTGCTTCATGAGGCTGACAGATTTCAGTGGCAACGAGATCGGTCCGTTTAAAGCGATTGAGGAGTCCACCATCTCGCACCTGATACCGACATCCGAAAGGAGCAATGTGTTGACCTGGTACATCATCGCAGGGCTTACTGGTACCGCATCCGGGACCATCATTTTTGGCTGGCTCGTGCAGCTGTTGCAGGTTAATCATTCGTGGTCGCCACTCGAGTCGTATCGCGTCGTGTTCTGGGTGTATGCCGCCTTCGGCCTTACGAAATGCTTGCTTGTCCTTTTACTGAGCGGCAGGTGTGAGCCTGCTGCAGACCGGAGTATTTCAGCTGCGCCTGTAAGCGAGGCCTCACCGCTCCTCCAACAGCAAGGTGAGAATGAACGACTGGCTCCCAAAGATGACCTTGTCAACCCATCGTCGAGACCTTGGCTACCGACTCTGTCCCAAGAGACCCGAGCCCTGGTGGTCAAATTGTGTTTCCTGTTTGGCCTCGACAGTCTTGCATCTGGTCTAGCTCCCGTGACGTGGATGACCTACTATTTCAATCACAAATATGGACTTTCCGAGGGCCATCTAGGGACCTTGTTCTTCGTTGCCGCTGTCTTATCTGCGGCATCTAATCTGGTCGCACCCGCACTGGCGCGCCGTTTGGGCCTCATTAAGACAATGGTCTTTACCCATATTCCAGCCTCACTTGCTCTTGCTGCAATTCCCGTTCCAAACAATGTTGCACTTGCTACCACATTTCTCCTCTTTCGTGCAAGCACCAACAGCATGGATCAGGCACCACGGCAAGCATTCCTTGCGGCCGCTGTGCAGGCGTCCGAACGCACGGCTGTGATGGGAATCGTTAATGTCGTCAAAACACTCAGCCAAAGTGCTGGCCCCTTCGTCACAGGGGTCTTTGCCTATCGACAATTATTTGGTCTCGCATTCATCATCGCGGGTGCGTTGAAAATTGTATACGACATTCTTATGCTGGTAATGTTTCTGGGCTATCAGACTGTGGAGGAGCGGGCCCAGCAACATGTCGAGTGTGAAGATGGAGCAGAGTCAGCAAACCAAGAGGAAGTCGCGGCTGGCGACGCTGAAGTCTTGTGATTGTTCAATTATGGGAGGTGCTTTGCAGCTTCCACGTCCAGCGTACCTTCCCGTCACTTTCACCTCTTGCGCTGTCGTCCTTCTTCCCTCATACCACATATCCTGACTCACTCGCATCATCGCAGTATGGTATTCTCCTCCTGAGCAAGCCAGTTTTGGATATATGTCGTTATGAGTAAGAATGTCGGCAGCGGTATGGCTCGGTACGATTACAAAGACACCCACTCAGCCTGGAACCGAGCACTGCATCCCGATCGACCCAAAAGATACGCAAACCAAAGCCCAGAAGGTCGTTCCGCCAGGTCAAATCCATCGGCAGTCGCTCGGAAACCCGCAGTGTTGAAAGCACAAGACCAGAAGGATGCCGAACTGGCCGCGAAACGAGCCATGACAGACTCCTCTCAGTCGGCCGATTCCACGCATTTGCAGTATGAAGAGGTCCCATGTCTGCCGACAGCAAGAAGATACAAGGCAGTAGGCTACGGGCTATCGAACAAGACGTTAAGAGATGTGACACCCTCCCAAATACCACGACCGTCCAGTCGCCACAGCATGAGGCCTGACACCCATTATCTCAAGGATGCCGCTGTGCTAGATCTCGAATCTGCAACCGAGTCATATGGTGCCTTACCTTCGTCGTACAGAAAGTTAAGGAAGGCCAAGTCCATGTTCTCACCACGATCTCACGGCATGGTGAGCCACCAGAGTCAGTGGCGGAGCTCTCGGGCCACTGAGCGATCTCTCCGAAGTGTGACCAGTTCAGCTATGCTCCCAAGCAACAACCTCCGGGTTCGCATCAAGCGATCTCTGACCTTCTTTCGTCCGAAGAGTAGCCTGGCGGCACAGACAAAGGTTGATTATGATTGGGGTGGACGGGAAGAGGCGGTGCAGATGGCGCGGGCACAATTTCTGGATGGTATGGAACAACAAAGACTGCAAAACAGAGCAACCAGCCCTGCCAAGTTCGCGTTGAAGCTGCAACATAAGTCTACAGACGACCATCTCAAAACAAGCCACGGGCAGGACTTGGCTCAATCAAGATCGGGGGCAAGCGATGTACTCGAGTCGCCAGAGACACGGTCTGCGAAAAGGTCTTTCTCGACGTCTCTCCGTCATCGCTTTCGAAAGGTGTTGGGAAGATCCTTTACCAGCAAAGACAAAATACCTCCTCAACAGCTGGATGCCAGAAAGAGCCATCTGTGGGATCTCGGGGACGAGAGCGATGCGGCGAACGCGTTTGACACTTATCTGGTCGAGAATGAGGCTCAAATGGTGCCGCACAATGTTTACCACCCTGAGCCGTCCGACCACCAAGATGCCCTAGAGGACTTGGACAAATTCTCCCAGACCCTGCAGCCAGCTGCAAGCCGGGAAAGCCTACATTCTAATTCGCGATCACGGGTAACTAGCTGGACAAACTCTACCAACACCGGTTCGATCAGTCTCCGCTCCGGGCCGATTGAGCGAAATCGTTTATCCATCATCAAGGAGGATGGTGCTCCTTATCAGCCTTCTTCCTCAGCTGGTCGGCATATCGGCGGCGTTGATGTATTCAGGGAGCCGTTGCAATCCACGTGGAACGACGGACGTGTCCTCCCGCCTATAGACAGCCAGCGTGTGTATTCGGCTTTGATCAAGCGGATAAATCAAGAAGAGGCCGAAGCTGAAAGGACTCGAGCTGCACTGGAAGCGATCAACCAGAGCAATGCAAATACCGCTGAAGAAGTCGTCAACATCCAGCCAACCATTCGAGCAGTTCACAGTGATTCCTCTTTAGCTTCAAGGGTTACCGTGGCGCCTGATGAGCAGCACCGGGAATTCAGCGTTGGTTCGTGCGTCAGGCACCCAGGAAACAAATTGGAAAGCCATCAGCAACATGACGGCAGCGTCTTGAAGCAACAAGATCAACTGGCGATGCAGGAGTCACAGTCAAGCTTCTTTCCATTTTCGAGCGAGAAGAATCCTGGGGCTCCCAGTCCATTTAAAAGGTTCTTAGAAGAGAGGGGACACCGCGGACGCAGCAATACCTACATTGACTCGAACATTGGGAATGATAGTGTCGTTGTGCGTCGGATCCCAAGCGATTCCATTGTGAATCGTCCACGCTATGGAATGAGCAGCGAGAGCATTTACTCACAAACGACTAATGGCGGCTTCAACGAACAGTACAGAAACCCTATCGGCAGTTCTGAGGACCTCGGGTGGGCTCAGCAGACAGCGTCTGAGACTACCGGAATGGCCACAATTATCTCTGGACGATACTCCCAATCAAGGTCAGACAGTGATCCACCATCAACGGTAAGACGCCAAGCTTCAAGCTCCGAATGGAATCCTTGGTCAGACACCTTGACAGCGATAAGGGTTGGAGATGCAGACAAGTCCTCCAATCGAATGCAGGAGCAGGCACCGGTCAACCTCGACATAGGCTCACACAACGCTCAGGCAGAGAACCAAGAAGATCTCGTGGTGTTGAGGAACGCCAGTGACATCAGCAGTCAGTTGCCTCTTGTAGACGTGAAGACGGTCCCAAGCGGCAATCCGTCAAAGCCGGCGCGTACCATCAACGTTCGGAAGAGCAGGAGAGTATTGTTTGATTCGGGGAGTGCGGATGCTCTGGACTGTATCCCGGACGAAGCTGAAGATCATTGCAAAGGAAAAAGCGGTCTCAGAAAGATGAGCCCAAGTAACATCGGCAAAATCCTGAGGGTCAAGAAAAGCCAGATGCTAAACAAACAAGATCATCGCGGCAAGGAAAACATACCCACAGACAACGATGGCTCTTCACTTATTACCACACCTGGGAGTTCACAGCTACAATTCCGAAGTGGGAATACCGCTGGCCGGCTGAGAAAAAAGGCCAGTGAAAGAGCTTTCGGCAGCCAAAATGGTTCCACGTCAACACCCAGAAGCGCACCGCCATCGAATGCGACCACGCCGAGCAGGTTCGGGGACAGTCCCAGCCAAAAGGCCAAAGATTGTCTTGTGTCTCGGTTAAGTCGACCTTTCAATATGGATGTCCCACTAGAGAATCGACCGTTTGACAGTATGTTTCTGGGCAAAAGGACTCAGGGATTTCCGGATACCATTGGAAATTCTCGTTTAAGTGTTGCTCAGCAAGTTCCAAACCTTTCAAAGGATACGCTCACTCAGGATGGCTATAAACCGAATGTGGCGGAGCCGACAATACCCAGGGCGGCTTCACCAGCAGTGGGCCGAAGTGCGTCTAGAGTGCTGGGGATGCTCACAAGTAAGAGGATGGTCAGCAATTTTCTGAGGAGTCGTAGAGGTGAGAGAAGTACCAGTCAACAGAGCTTGACTGGTGGCAGCCCGGCATTCTTGTGAGCCCGTGTATTATGACTGGATCACGACGTAGGACCAGTTGATCCTATTGACATGTATGATTTTGGACGCACGGCCCGTTGCAGAAACCAACCATTGGGGGTTCTGTAGCGCTCATAGGGAGGCCGTCGTTTTTAGTCAAGCATGATAATGGGTTATGGGATAGAAGAATCACATAGCAATACGACATATGCATTGCACAAGTAATGGAAAGCATGATTCAGCGAGTACAAGACCAGAACACCTCAATATCACAGTACCACGGCCGAGTTGCAACAAACGAGTGGATGACTAAGGAAGCTGTCAAGCTGAGACGGTTGAAACGGTGGAAAGGTACTTTTGACACGTCTACAACGTCGTTTACTCTTCCAACCCTTTTGCACGTCGTTGGAGTCTTGAAGACAGCATTTGACGCATCCTGTCTAAGATCCACTTGTCGTCTCGTATGTGATGGCCATAAAAGCAAGGCGTTAGACGTCCGGACTGCGTCTGCCCAGAGTCAGGACGGTGACCACCAAACACATGGCAATGGTGAGTTTCAATCATTGGTCGGGCTTTGCAGTACAAAATCTTCCTCTCATGTTGCTCTTCCCTCACTTCGTTGTCTGCCGGCTACCGGTGATGCAGACAGGGAGCATTGGGTGCTTCCATTAAATCTACTACGACGTTTTTCATACAATACCCCATCACTACAGCAAACCAGTACAACCATGCTCTGGCTCTCTCGTCGATCCTCACCACGGTCGATCTCGGTTGATTTACCCACGCCGTTGAACCATGACTTGCACGACTTTTCGCCGCCTTGCAGCCTGAGAACGAAGTAACAAATCGCGGCAGAAGCGACCCACCATTCCGCCTTCCTGAGCCGATCAATGTCAACAACAACATACAACCTCGTCACAGTCTCTCCTCAACCTGTGTTTCTGCACTCGATGCTGTGACAATGCTGTTCTTATTCGATTATATACCACTACATCTCCTCCGGCACCTCATCTTTCTCCATACCGCGGAATTTTACTTCATTACCTCCTGCTGCGCATCTTTGGCCGGGCATTGACAGGCGACACCTCAATCGACACAATCCACCCTGATCTGCGGTCAAGAGTCACAAGGCAGCGATTGATTCCCGAACCAAACACGACCTTTCTTGTCCACGATGGCATCCTACCCCCCATCCCGCTCGAAATACCGTTTTGGTAGCAAGATCTACAGGTCCAAACACCTCCTCTCCGAACTCGCTTCGTCCTCGTGGTCACCCGCCCACCAGATATCGTCGTTGCCTCCGTTCCCGCGGGTCGACTTCATGCTTATACCGATCGACTGGGAACAATTTCAACGCCAATTCGACACCATTGCTTTCCACTTGCCACAAGTGGTCGGGTATCGTTGGTTGAACATGGAGCACAACTCGTGGATGAGCATGTGCTGCGAGTGTGAACTCCCTTTATATACCTCGTCCTCCCCTCCTGATCTCTTCTTTTTTTCTTTCCCCAGGTACGTGTTCCCCCTTACTTTGTGCTACTGATCGCTTGTTAGATACGGCTTACTGTGCACAGATTACTACATATTCAAGCTGCTCGGTAAGTGATATTGACTTGACGTACCTCATTGTCATTGTTCTCGTTGTTGCTATGGGTTTCCTCCAGGAAGAGATTGTTGCAAGAGTAGAACACAAGCCTTTCCCTGCAAAAGAGCTGGAATCCTATGCACAAGGCCTCACTTGCCCTCATTCTCACAATACACGCTCACTGTTACGTCTGCAATGGCAACCTCCCGTTGACCATCGTGGCTGTATCCTGCCCTTGTCCCTTGCCACGGTTTCACCGCGGCGTCTTCCCTATACTCATCCTATCTTTCGCTCCGTTGCACTCAAGCATTAGTAACGGCGTGCCCTCTGCACCCGTTGACTCCGTCACGACACTTGACCCCCGTTGCATCAGTGTCCCCTACCCCTCTCAACCCACATAAGTTTCTCTATTTCTGTCGTTGGACACATGGCTAACTCCTTCGTTGTAGATTGACTCTCACAATGGGTGAAGTCAATTCAAGCATTTTTAACCTGAGGAGGCACCTGAGGGAGACCAGGTCTCGGCCTTGGTTGACCAATAGTGCCCTCCGACGGTCTCCCCCTTCTGGTCTCAATGGTGGTGAAGATGCCCCTTCACTATCGGAGAGTACCACTGTGACCCTTGTCTCGGACCAGCCACCTTCCACTGCTGGCAAGTGTGATCCTGAGGAGCAACGTACGGACAGCACCAAAGAAGAGCAGGTTCAACCCTGTCTCTCCCAGGCGAAAGCCAGGGCTTCCAAAATCCCCCGTTGGGTGGGTCTGAAAGGTGTCTTGTCCCGAATCTGCCAACCTCGACCACTTGCTAGGGAAGGTGTGCTTGGGAAGGTCAAGTCAACTGCCATTTCTCCTACCGTCACAGAGGAGAAGACCCTGGCGTCTCGGCTTCCCGTTCGCATCAGGAGGTTCTTCACTGGGAGACGGTCTGCCTCACCGCAGATACGACGTAGTAAGACACCGGTTGCTTATGCGGGAATGTCCACAGACAAAGGGGTTGGCACTAGTGGGCTCGAGGGCTATATGATGACGGTGACTTTTCGTCCGAAGGGCACAGCTAAGCCGAAGCAGAGCAGACAGAAACCGGAGCGGATCAGGGCTCATCGGGGTAGGTGCTTGCACCCCTCGATCCTGAAGCACCGTGTGGAAGTCTGCGCTGAGGCGAAGCTGGGCGTACCGACTGATGTGGGCCAAGGTGTGAAAACCGACCCTGCAAAGTCAAAGAAGGTACGCTTCTCATCGGCACTCACATCGCGGATCACAATTCCCAGGGACCAGCTTTCGAGCAAAGTCCATAAATGCTGTGGTCGCGTTGAGTGCCGGAGATGCCCTGAGGATCGACCGAAGCATTTGTCAGGTGGTGCATGGCTAGATGCTCAGGCAGTGCTGGGGTATGACTACCTGAAGCATTCCGGAGGCCTGTTCGGTAATGAACGTCATGAGTTGGACACGATGGGGAGCGTGTTCTCCTGATGACTTCAAAGCCCGACGCTCCGGAGGTAAGTATGGCATTGGTGCCAAGGTGGTGGAATGGCTGCAAGTCAACTGTCCTGTTTTCGCTGGGGCTATCACTGATAATGGGCGTTGCTTGTATGTCGGAAGTCTCGGGACGCTGGGACTTCCTTGGGGTGTTAATGCGCAGGAGCAGGATTCAGGTGACGCACATCCATTGACTCTGAGCACGAAGAAAATCACAAAAAAGGGGAGAGTGCAGGACGCTGTGCTTGAGCCACCAAAAAAATGTTAAAGAAAAGCAAAAAATCATACTCTTTAGTTAGCTTGCATTTGCTTTTAGTGCTCAGAGCTGGATGTGCGATTGCCTGGGAGGACTTGTGGTGACGGCTAATGTGGTTATAGGGTTTTCCTCCTTCATTGGAGATGCCCCCTTATGGGGATGGCAGGACGCTTGCGTTGATGCTCTTTTTGCTCTGCGATGGACAGGCACCTTCTCGTGGTGCAGGGTGTTAAGTCAGACTGAAAAGTCTGGCGAACTAAGACCTGTCCGACGGTAAGTCCATAGGGGCAACGCGCACTGTTCGGCTGATGTTTGCAGTCATAGGAATGAATGGCACTGTTCGCAATGACTCTGTGAAGCCGGTGGTTGGTGGGTGGCCACCCTTGGGAGGTGCTGAGAATAGGACGATGATGGTGAGAAAGTCCATTGCAGATGTTCCTGATGTCGTGCTGACGGCCGCCGCTACAGTTGACTTACTGCTTGAAATGGTTTGATGGTATGAGAGTACCTCGTTCAGAACAGGTGCGGTTCCAACGACTATTGATACAGGGCCGGAAGGAAGCGGGCGGTAGATGGGATTATGGATGATGACACTGAGAAGGCCGCTACTTACATATTGGGGATTGGCGTTGCACAGGTTGCCATCGGTGGTAATGAATCCCTTGATATGCGTTTTGAGTGAGAATGGGGAGGACGCTCGATGCAAAGACAAAACAGACGTTGATGTCGTATTTGATCACAATGACGCCGGCCAACAGCGGTCTCTTTCTCTTCCTCGTCTTCCTCGCCAGGTGGGCTGTGAAATTCGCTTGCCCTGTTGGTTGACAGGTGCATATGCACGAAAAGTACTACGTATGACTCCCTTTAAATAGCTACTGTCGCATATTCGGGCCAGACTTGCTTACGTAAGTCAGAGCGTTCCTGCACCAGGCTGATAATACGTATGCACTTGGACACCTGCTACGGCTGACGATGATTGTTCGGAATCGTCGACATTATGCTTGCAGGGTTTGGTCCTGGTGGACACTACCTTTTACAATCATGTAGGAGATGAAGCATGTGTGCAGCTGGCAGAATGTGATAGAAGGTAAGCCTTTCATTTGATGATACGGTTTTCTTTTCTACGTCCTGGCGAAACACTTTGGGATGTTTCGTTTCGGCCACAGGAGCAAGCATGACTCCAGACTCGTCTCCATTGCAAAAATCATCCATCACTCCGACACCCGCGCGCAAGCAGTACTTCGCTGCTGTCTCTTGCAATCGATCAACCCAGAACGAAACTGAAAATCTCATGAAACGTGCGTGATAACCCGATAAACAAACCCAACTCCAGAAACCATTTTTGCGCTCCTTTTCCCGACGACCATTGCGCCCGCAGACTCAAAAAACAAAGTACCCGCTGTTGGCCGGAGAATGCCACAAGCAATACCCCATTACTGGGCTTCAAACATCTCATGCTCAAGCATATCGGCATAGATTTCAAGGGCTGAACCAATCATGTCAACAATCGCCCAGCTCGTATTACCCTTGAACGTCTTGCTCCAAACACGCACGACGGCGACACTCAAAGCGCGCATCTTATTCGTATCATCCAGCAACTCCCTGCTCTCGTTGAGCACAGTGTGGTCATTAGCATCACCGTTCAGCGGCACAGTCATCTCAGTCTCGTCAAGCAGGCTCCGGACCCACAGTAGCAATTTACGCTCGTGCTCGGTCACAGGGGCGCCGCCTTCGGACTTCAACTTTGCCAGCACGGCGAGCCACTTGCTCAGCAGGAATGCACATTCTAGGCTGCATAGTGAGTGTTGTATGGACCAGAAAAATGTCTGTGTGCGGGCAACAAAGTCGATACCCAGCCGAACGGGAATCGACAGCGCGTGCGCGGAGTGAAGCAGCGCCGGCGTGAGTCGAGGGTCGCGGCGAATGTCTGGAGTCGTGAGAAGGGAGGCGGCGATCTGGGCGGCATCGCGGGTTTCGAGATGACGAAGCGGGCCCATGTCGACGTGAAGTCGGATGTATGCTAGTCCCAGAAGCGCGGTAGATGTGAAAGCCACTGGTCCATTGGGGTTTTGAGGATCAAGACTCGACTCAGGTGCGCGTTTCCAGCCTGCTTTCCACGCACCAAGACCCGCGTCAAGAATTGTGATATCTTCTATCCGCAGACTTGAGCCTGCTACACCGGGCCAGGATTGTGAAAGTTGTCGGGCGAAAAAGATCTGTTGAATGAGTGCATGAATGAGCACATAATTTCCCAAAGGTGAGATAGGCGTGACTGGTGGTAGGGGCTGGTTGTTGAACAGTCTCGCAATGGCTTGTTGGAAAGGGACTTGGGGGGCGTCGTTGGCTGAATGGAGCTTCTTCCACTGCTCAGCACTCGTAGCTTTCCATTCATTCGCGGGATCAGGCAGGCTGAGCTTGATTTCCGAATTGAGAATGAGAGGGGGAACATTCCATGTGATAGAGTGAAGATTGAAGAAGCAATAGACAATCAGCTTTGTCCGCTTTTCACCCTCGGCTTTGACCCAGTCTTCCCAGGTCAAGTCTTCTGGGGACTGTATGATCTCAGGACTGACGAGGCCAGATTCGCGGACAAGCCGCGCAAGCGTACTTTGAAACGCCAGAGCTTCGCGCAGGAGCTCACTGTGCCTCTCCCACGTCGCAAATGCAGTCAAAAGCAGAAGTGCTTGTATTGACTGCAATTGGTCTTTTCCTCCGTCCGCGACCACAATAGTGTCCGGCGTGACATGTTGGAAGGGGCTGCTTGAGTGACTCTGGTTTGTGAAACCCCCACCTGGCGATTGTGCCAAGGATCCTGTCCGTGGTCTATTCCACTGGTAAGAACTTGCTGTATCATCGCGACGCTTGATCTGTTCCAAGACCACGGCTTTGGCGGCGTAGAAAAGCTCTATGCCCCGACTATTCTCGAAGCGATATTGTGCTCCCACAGCAGACAAGGCCAGAATCAATTCAGGAGCACTGGCGGCTACTTGTAGTGTAGGGACATGTATGAAGGGTAGATGTTCATGGAAACCATTAATATATCCTGCCAGATAGCGAGACAGGGAATGTCTTGATGGAGGAATGAAGCCTTTTGGCATGACATTGTCGAAGTTGGCCAGCTTTGAGACGAAAGTCGATCGGTCTGAGTCCGACACGTCCCAGGTGGTTTTGACCTTGATAGCCTCGGCCTCCTCGATCGCAGCTTGGGTTTCTGGTCGATTGGAATCAGGTTCTTTAGACTCTGGCTGAAGGGACGGCAATCTTGAACCAAATCGGGAGAATGTGCTTGTTTCTGCTTGGGGAATTGCGAGCTTGCTGTCGATGGGGGGCTCACCATTCATATTAGGTTTTGATATGTTGAGATTATCAGCCCTTCCATCGGGTGTGTGGTAGTTATCCACTTGATCATTACCAAACATGTTGGCATACCACTCAGAGGACAAGCCCACACTGTCAAGAAAGACTGTGAAGTCTTGCATCGGGTCACCGAGGTCTGGGGTTTCGAACATGTTTGCCGACTGACCGTAGCCTTCTGTAAGCATCCTAGGCTGGTATTGGCCTTCCGATACAGGTGGCATGATTTGTTGTAGTGGTTCGTGTAGCTGTTCTTGTGTGACCTGAGGAAGACCAGACATGTAATGATCTTGACCACTCGACGCGACGTGGCTGGCAGCGTGTGATAGGAGGTTCAGGTCATAGCCCCATGAAGGGTCGAGAGGCGGCGCGCCCATCTGCTGCTGCGCTGTGAGGCCATCAACTGGATGCATGCCGTTGGCGGGTTGCATCAGCTGAGGATCGAGCATGTCCATCATCCCTCTTGGCTCGGGCGGAGCAGACGGGGAGAGAAGAGAGTGATTCTGCTGCGATGACATGTCCATGGGATCTGAGGACATGGAGTGTGTCCGGTGCACCTCTTGCGCCGCCTGGGCCGCTTTGGCAGCATTGTTCGCGTTTAGCAGATGATGTTTGTGGGACTTTCTTGTGGTATGTTGCTCCTCTTCTCCAGGGTGGACAAGTCTCTCGTGACGAACAAGAAGGTCGCTGCGGGCAAAGGACTTGTTGCAGATCTCGCAAACGAAAGGTTTCTCTTTTGTGTGGGTACGAATATGTCTCTGAAGATGTTCCTGTAAGGTTGCGCACACTTGTTAGTAGGTGACCGAGGCATGATACGAGGTTGTAACTTACTAGTCGAGCAAAGAGTCGCTGGCAGTGCGGGCAGGGCAAGGTTTTGGATTTGTTGCCAGACTGTTTCCTCTTGAGTCTACCTCCGCCGCCTATTGACTGTTGTGAGTCCATGAGGATTGAGTTCGTGTGGAATCGAGCAGGCGTGCTCTTGGGCGCGAGGGTGCGATGCGATTGCGGAGAGAATGTTGATACCCCTCACAGGACAGCTTTTTGGTTTGTCGCAAACGCAGAATGAGGGCGAAAGGGCTGGAGTGGAGGTTGGAGATGAAGTGGGAAGAGGAGAAAATAATGGAGCTGCTTAGTTTCAAAGCAAAAGCAAAGGTTGGGGGTCTCACAGGCTCACGTCGCAGCTGCAGCAAGATTCGACCGAGGGACAAGTGCCAACCATGAAAATGGGAAGATGGGTGGCTGCCTTGACCACGTGATCTGTCTAACCACTTTTTTGCCGACTACGGCACGGTTGCACGTGACCTGAGAGTGACCACTGTCTCAAGACTGCCGAGGCCGAGTACTTGGTACAGTGATACATAGATACAAGATCGCAAGGTTCGCTATGGGTTGATGGTGACTCTATGCCAGGATCACAGGAAACAATAGCCACGAAGAGTACTAGATTCGAGCACAATATTCAAGCATGGTCAATGTGTAATATTAGACATGCCTCGATTGATCTATGCAGGCTCGGAAATGACCATCTCCTCTTCGTGAACCCCTTAACATGTCAGCCTCGCCAAGCCAAAGCCTTCACCATCAACTCCATTCACTCCCTTCACTCCCTTCACTCCCTTCTGATACTGGCGCCGAACCGAATAGCATCATATCTTGGGAATCTCAAATTTTCTCCAATAATCATCAGTAAAACCGTGGGTTGTTAGCTCAGCGGTAGAGCGCCAGGGGATTATAGGAGTACGCCCGACCCAGCCCTTCATGGCAAACTGGGAAGGGTAAGCTCCTAACTTGGAGGCCGTAGGTTCGATCCCTACACAATCCATCTTTAGTTCTTTTTTGTCTCAGCACACATGATTTAAGACACGCTGTTCCATGTTTTTGTCGAAGCCAAGTACGTCTCGGGTGAAGTTCTCCAGAAGTCCACATGGGTGCTCCCAGATCGCTGGAGGTAATGCCGCATTATGATAGTCGATGTACTTGTCCGTACCTAGCTATTCAAGCGGGATGGATCAGCATCTATAGTGTTATGACGCACAATCTACGTAAGGAGCGGCTGAAGGTGATTGATCCATCGGCGTCCTCGTCGTCGGCCGAGTATGGTTCACCTTTGGCGTTAAAGAATGCCCGGATATTGATTTGTCTCTGTCTGTCTCTCGGGCCCAGTCTTTGGTTGTTTTCGCTGTCAGCTCTGACGGAGATGTATCTGCCGTACTGTTTTGCCGAACCAGGAAGCAGACCTTCCTTCTCACCATGGGGTATTCGAAACAAACTGGGTTCCTTCCATGGACTACCACTGGCTTGGTACAGAGTGATTTGGAGACGAGCATTCTTTGAGGCTTTCATGAGCACCTGCAGTCTCAGTTTTCGAGTCCCCCTAGACCCGGCCCCCAGCTTTGACTGACGAGATAGCGTTCAATTTAAGTTTCCTGAGCGTCTTGTTTTACAGCTTCTGCGACCTTGTTCAGGGCCGTGGCCAACGGTGGCCAACGGCGATCAAGGTGTCTTCCCTTCTTCCATGACTTCACTTCCGAGGATCAGCGCGTGTGGGTGGCCGGAATAGCGTCCACGTTGACCACAATTGTCTCCTCTTGGTTTGTTCGTCGATGCTTACATTCTTGAGATTGCCCATCACACTTTGTAACACACCTAAAGAAAGAGATTGGCAACTTTGACACAATATTTGGGCACCTGCGACCGTAGTAGCCCGCGAATCGCATCCCAAGAGCACCCAACGAGCAACTCACCGTTGCGAAAGTGTCCTTGAGCTGTACTCCAGTAGAAATCACCTCCATGGGAAATGTCGCAAAGGAATCGGTCGCCTAACGCGGTCGGCATTCTCTCTTTGGCACGGTAGTATCTGTCTCGAGGGAAGAGGTCGTTGCAGGTAGAGGGTCGGCTTCGGATGAGGGGCCGAATAGAGTGAGCGTGGGGCTCGCCGGGAGTGTCTGCAAGCTAGGAGTATCGGGAGAGCCGGTCTTGATCTTCGTAAAGCTAAAATCGAGACAACGGGTAGTGATGATCAGCACGTTGCTCCCCGACATTGCCGTCAAGCGACGTAGACAGTGGCATCTTGTATAGACGCAGTATCACCTACTTTTGGTGACGGAAGGCTCCTGAGACACCAGCTTTCGTTTCCATGGATTTGAGGCCATGATGTCGTGACAACCTGTGTACTGCTGCTCCAATTCTGCTTCTGTTGTTCTGTCTTGTTGCCTCCACCCATAGCATGTGGTCGAGTGCAAACAATAGATGTACTCGACCGGTATTGCCTCTACGCTCAGCACGATTTGCCGCTTGCTCGAATAGGTCTGGTGTAAGTGGACATTCTACGAAGACCACATCGTTGAGACTCTTGATATCGACACCCTTTGCATGAAGGAGGCAGCCAATCAATACCATGTTAGGCTCGCTATCGAAAGCAAGGTTGATACGGTCGCGGTCAGGCTTGCGCTGGTTTGAATGCGAAACGTGGACCATACGTCTTGGTCCAATGGCGCGACGAAGTTCCCCATCGAGAAGTTCATCATCTTGTCTGTTGGGACAATTGACGAGGGTTTTCCCCGTATGCACTCCTGAATGTAGGTCGCAGCATGCCGAGCCAGGTCCTCATCCATGATCCGAACCATATGATAGTTCTTGATTTCGAAATGGTTCGTCGGATCAAAGTGTAGACTCTGTGTAGCGCTGTTCGCAAGTCCAGGTTCGCCGAGTCCTAAATAGCCGCTATGGTGTTCATGGCGAGTCCCGGCGGCCAGCATTCTGCGCAATGTGGATGACCGCAGCCATCATTCAGGGCCGAAAGATTTCCGCCATGTCGCAAGCGTGTCTTTGATGGTCCTAGATTCGATCAACCCCTGCGCGCGATATCGAGGCGTACGCATGACCTACACCGGACAGCAGTTTTTGTGGTGCGGGTCTTTGATGGATCTCTCATCGCTTCGCTGTCTGCGTCGGAAATGGGACTCGCGGCAGCTGTTTCGTCCTCCCGAAGGCGTAACACTTTACTGAAATCTGCCAGAACTCCTGGAAGACACGATTTTCCCTGGTTGAAGCTGATCAATGCTGTAGTCTAGTCCGTTGCCAAAGCCCTGACAGTCATGGTGACCAGCGATATAGTAAATTCTGGGGAAGAAGCCTAGAGCAACTTTGGCCATTTGTGTCCGATGCGTGCGGACTTGACAATCTCCTTTGTAGAGAGAGGTTTCTTCGGCATGGCCGGACAGCCCTCGCAAAAGGAAAAGGAGTAGCGGCGGCAGTTGTGGTGGACGATGAGGGTGTGGCCTTTGCCCGAGAACCCGAGACTTTCAACGCAGTAGGAATGCTGTGATCGAGAGCATGAGCGCTCTTGGTGATATAACCAGAAGAGTGCGGAAGATACAGAGTCGACAGAGCACCACATCAAGAGGGGCTCTACGCCGTTGTGGCTGCGGTCACTTCTTTGTAACGAGGACTACCGGACTCCTTCTGCGAGGGGTCCTCAGCAGTGATGAAGTCGTCCAACAGGCATGACATAGCTTGGAACACTTGAGTGTTTCCCATTGCGATTGAGAATGTCTTTTGCCAACATAAACATCGTTTTGATCATGTTGTTGTGAATGGAGCTCAGGAGACGAAACTGTCTCAGTCCTCCTGACATTTTGGATCGACCGGAGAGCGGCCGACGCCACAGAACTCGGCGTTCTTCCATAAACCACTGATGTGTTCCTTGATCACTGCGTTCTCACTCGAAGTTTCTGGCTAATCGTGTGTACACTGTAATCGTGCCGCCATCGACCGGCTCACGCGCCTGCAGTGTCATGCTCTGTCCAGAATCAAAGTGTAGCGCGACGAGCTCCATTCAGACACTTTTCTGTGTCCCAATCAATGTGCGATAAGCAACAACAGGTAAGGTGTCCATCCATCACTCTCTCCACCAGATCAAGGTATCGAGAGGGATCTGGCTCTGGCGTTGGGCACCCAGGATCTAGTGTCAAGTAATAAGCCGTGCCTGCTTGATGTTGGATGCGTCCAAAGGGCCTTGTGCCATGACTGCACAGGTATAGGAAGAATCAGTATGGTGTAGTAGTGTCGAGACCTCAAGCAGTAGCGGCATCCAGAAGTTATTGAGCTGGGCCTGTACCGAGACATGCCACAAGCAATACCTTGTGCCGGTCTTCTTTCCACGGTAGCGCACAACCCACCACCCATGTCAGGACTGTAGTTTGAGTTCCGCTTTCTTGCATCACAGAGCGTCTGATGTTAAATCGCGGATAGGGTTTGCCTCTAGATGTAAACCTCGAGGTCTCGACCAATGCCAGCACGAACGATACGCCTCGAAGTTGTTTGTCATGATGGTATGGGCTGATGAAGAAGGTTGCGCGGTAAACGAGGTGGCGTATACCTCTCCCAAATCCTCAATTTCATGGATCAGGAGGACCTTCTTTCCCGCATGAATCCGATCTTGACAGATGTCCCTGCAAGAAGGACTGACGCAGTATTGCTCGGTTTCCATGTAGCTTGGACTTCCAGGTGGATGTGGCGTGACCCAAGCAACGTCCTCCGAACGTCGACAAGGGACCAGAGCGCATACTTCCAAGGCCACGGATGTGGCATCCCTGCCTTCCTGAAGATACTCGACAGCGCATGTCGTCTTGCTGATATGCATCCTTGTCCTCTTTCTGCATGTGGACGGATTGGTGGCTGGAAGGATTGCGAAGACATTTCGTCTTCCGGGCATTCTTTGTCGCATGCTTCTTGAAGTGCGTGCAATGGTTTCCTTCGCAAGGGCGACGCTCACCACCACTGCCAACCTTAACAACAAAATCACCCGCGTCAACATTCTATCAGACTAAAGGACCTCATGATGCACAACGTTCAGGTACAGACCGAACATATCTGAATATGTGTGTTGCTGTTGTTGTACTCGCTCCTCGCTTTTGATGGCCGAGGCATCCTCCTCCTTTTCCATCTTGACCTTGGTCCTCATGATGGGCGTCATGGTTCCATGTTGCTGGACTCGGCGCAACAGACAGGGAAGCTGAACTGAGTCAGGACAATGACTTCGCAGTGCATGGTTGCTTCCATGAGCCTTCTTTAGCTGTTGTCGGGTGCGCACGGTGGTGACTTTCTGACATGCGATTTCGTGGGAAATACCGCAAACCCAGGTGCGGTATCCTGAATCTGCCCCATCCATTGGCAAAGATGTTCACGAGCTCGAAAGGAGCCGGAGTCTGTACACGCCTTCTGACCATCGTACATGTCTCTCAGCACGCGACTGGCCAACTTGTACTGGGTATAGTTTGACACCATGCGAAAGACCATGCGCACCCAAGTATGTAAATATATATAAGCTGACTGCTGCACAACGAAGTGCCGTCAGCGCTCAAGGAATGGGGACAATGAGTCTGGAAGACTTTTTGCTGGCCAGACTGGGCAGGAGGTATGGGAGATCGGTCATATATATAGCCCGCGAGAGAGAAGCGTGAGTCACTGGAGGCGCGAGTTCCTGGTTGTTAATCTGCAGAAATTTGAGACATACCAGTGGACACATTCTCGAGAACTGTGTCCATTGCATGACTTTGAAACATTGTGACTGGATTTTCTACATTTAGTATTCAACATGCCATCTCGGCGATCAAAATATGCATTCCCAGGTGTGCAAGAGTCGCTAGACTTCAGTGCAATGCAGTAAGAACTCACCAGTCTAGAGGGAATGTCCGCATCTTCCCGATGCTTGATGACCTTCACGCATTTACTTCTTCTCCTTTGGTGCGATCATGAGTTCAGGTCGGACGTATTTGTCAAAGTCTTCCTCTGACAGAGCCTTCAATTCCATGGCCGATTGTTTCAGAGTCAGACCCTTCTTGTGAGCATTCTTTGCCACCTTGGAGGCCATGTCATACCCGATGACTGGGTTGAGGCACGTAACAAGCATAAGACTGAAACAAGTTAGCATTAACACACATTTTAATTCCAGGTGAAGCTTACCTTTCGTGCAAAAGAGTACCAATTCTCTTCTCGTCGGCCTGGAGACCTTCCACCAGATGCTCAACAAAGCCGTTCATGGCGTCGGATAAGATCCTGGAGCTGTGCAGGAGGTTTCGAATAAGAAGAGGCTTGAAGACGTTCAGCTCGAACTGACCGCTCAGCCCTCCGACTGTCGCGGCGACGTGGTTACCCATGACTTGCGCGGCGACCATAGTCATAGCCTCGCATTGGGTAGGGTTGACCTTGCCAGGCATGATACTGCTGCCAGGCTCGTTTTCAGGCAGGATCAATTCACCCAGACCACAACGGGGTCCGGATCCTAGATATCTGATATCGTTGGCGATCTTGAAGAGACTGCAGGCGAGCGTGTTCAGCGTTCCAGATGCCTCGACGATGCTGTCGTGAGCAGCCAGTACTTCGAACTTGTTGGGCGCGGTGATAAACTCGGTGCCGGTCAGTTTGGTGACCTCTTCCGCGATACCCTCGGCGAATCCCTTGAAGGTGTTGAGACCTGTTCCAACAGCTGTTCCGCCCTGAGCCAATTGTCTTAGGTGAGGGAGAGTATATTGTATTCTTTCCAAATTTCGGTCGAGTTGAGCAACGTAGCCGCTGAATTCTTGTCCCAACGTCAATGGAGTAGCGTCCTGCAAATGGGTTCTGCCAATCTTGATGATCTTGTCAAAGGCTTCCACCTTCTTCTGCAGGGCATCTCGGAGGTTTGTGAGTGCGGGAATGAGCCTCTGTTCGAAGTCAAGAACGGCTGCAATATGCATGACGGTCGGGAAGGAGTCGTTGGAGCTGGCGGACATGTTGACGTGATCGTTGGGATGGACAGGTTTTTTGCTACCCATCTCGCCTCCTAGAATCTCGATGGCGCGGTTGGAGATGACCTCGTTTGCATTCATGTTGGATTGTGTGCCGGAGCCGGTTTGCCAGACCACCAGAGGAAAATGCTCAACCAGCTTCAAGTCTGCAACTTCAGCAGCGGCTTTCTGGATAGCCTCTCCAATCTTGGGATCTGATGTGCACGTCAGCTGCTGGACCTTCACAGCATTTATGTGGAGGACATACCCAGTCCATATCGCATATTCACCGTTGCGGCGGCACCTTTAAGTATACCGAAGGCTCGGACGACACCCTCAGGCATGCGATCCTGCGGCTGGTTGATCTTGAAGTTTCCTAGCGACCTCTGTGTTTGCGCACCCCAGTACTTGTCTGACTCGACCTCGAGAGGCCCGAAGGCATCCGTCTCCGTTCTTGTAGATGCACCCATTCTTAAGGTTGTGGAGAAAGCCCGATAGGAGTTGGTAAAAGCTCGACCGGTGGTAAAAGCGGGTGTTCGCGAGAAGGTGGACGAAGAAAGACGCTGAGCAGAGATCCTCAAGCTCTGGCTACTCCGCACTGCTTTGAAGGCATGTGACGGAGACAATTTTGCTGAAGCTGGAGGTTTAACTGCAGTCGGAACCCGCCCCAACATCATGTCGACAGGACAGGGAGGACAGTGACGCTTCGCTCGAAGTCTATCAGAACGGCAAGTAAAAAAAACAACAGACCGGGCTACCAGCGCAGCAGAAATGCGTGAAGAGAGATATTTCGGCCAGGACGAGAAATGGGCAATTACATGGCCATTGGCTGCATATATTTTGATGCGGAACAGCTGCGCCGGGGGAGCTCCAAAAAAGAAGGAGCCGGGAATTCCCGCGACCAGCACATCGTCAATGCTTGGAGAAGAGCATCTTTGCAGGGGCTTCCGCTCCTTGTTATTCCGACAAGGCTGCGATTTGTATGAATAGCTGATTTGTATTCTCACGAACCATTAAAACTTTGTGTCTATGCCAATGCCACCGACGCTAAATCCTCCGCCATAAGAATGCCTCACCACAAGCGCAGGTAAGACTGGGTATCTCTCAGGTACGAAAAGGACAAAAATGCTTCACACATTGCACAACCGACTGGTTAAGCAGTGCCATCAACGAGCTTGACAGCCTCTCCGATCATGAAGTCCTTGGCCTTGGCCATTTTCACAATGAAGCTGGGGGCTTTCCAGCCAAAGAGGACGCCGACACCTCCCTGTGAACCGACTGGGACGATCTGCATGTCGCTCTGGAACTTCTTGTAGATGTTCTTCGTGCGCGGGCCCGGAGCTAAGACGCCATGAGTTAATGCCTCCTTTAGCAGAATATAACTTGCACGTACCTTGTCCTGTGAGATCCGACCTGATCGACTCTACGATAGCCGGTTTGGCGAACTTGATGTCCATCACAGAACCGTCCGAGTAATTACCAACTGCCCCGATGCAGTACACACCGGTGACACCAGGGACATCCAAGCGGAGTGTGTGTGCGTCCGTCTTGACTCTTTGCTTGTCATCCAGCCACTCCTGAGGGATGAATTTGCTGTTGGGCTTGTCTCCTGTGCCATCAATGAAGATATCCACTGTCCTGGTCTCCCCATTGCTGAGTTTCAGGACTTCTTTGCCGCCCTCTTTGGTGTGAGAAACGACCCTGAGTTTGTCGTTGATGACCTTGACGCCCATCTTCTCAAGCCGGCTCTGCGCATCCTGTCCGACCTTCTTGTTTTGGAGTCTAGGCAGAAGAGAGGTGCTGCCAGATAGTATTGTAATGTCCTTTTTCTTTCCATATAGCTCACCGAGTTCGCCAGAAGTTTCGACGCCAGCAGCACCACCGCCAGCCACGAGAATTGTTTGTGCGGTGGGTAGTTTCTCATGAACCTCCTTAAGCGCGGCTTTCAAAGCCTCCGAGCCGTCTGCGACGGTCCAGAGAGGCGACTCAAAGTTTGTGCCGGATGCAATGACAAGGGAGTCGTACTGGATTGCTGCAGAAGTGCTAGTGTGGACAGTCTTGCTCGAAGGGTCGATTGAGGTGACATAGGCCTTGATGAACTCGTACTGCTCGGGCTTGTAGTTCTTGAAATGAGGCTCGATGGGTAGTAAGGCCTTGCTCAAGGGTAGGGCGTCTGGGTTGACAATGACTCGAGGGGCAGCGATCTTCCAGAAGAACTCGTCATTGGGTGCGATCTGGATGATCTTGTATTGCTTGCCAGTGGACAATTGAGGGATGACGGTCTTGAGGAGCCCCTGGGCAACAGTAATGCCACCGAAAGAGGCGCCAATAACGACGATGTTATGGACAGACATGTTGTGGGTGATGGAGGATGGGTGAGAATGGACGTAGGACAGTGTCGAGATGGTCGGTGAACAGTCAACAAAGAGGAAGGAAATTGATGGGAGAATAAATACAGGTCAGGCCGCGAAGCGCAGTCGGACTTTTATTTAGTAGACTTCTGTTTCAGGCACAGGGTGGATACCAGGATAAGGATGTGAGCCTGTCAAGTGGTGGCTCGAATCTTTACGGGGCACGGGCTGAAAGAGTCGATGTAAGACAACTACTGCAGATGTAAAGAGGCCAGGGATTTATTATATAGTAGGCGGCCAACACAGCCTGAACATAGCATTCAATCGCCGTCCGGGTGTCACCGGCCATATGCTGACAAAATAATTCCAACCTTCAATGCTCATTGCGAATCACAATTTCCTCGACAATCCATTTTCGGACGCGTGGCAGGCGCGATCAAGTCGATCGGCGTCTTTGTTGGGCAGATTCCGACGCGACAAGGTCCAGTTTGCACGTGCAACACCGACCAGCAGTCGCTTCTCGGTCGAGAAAGTCCCCTGTTCACGCTTCGACTTATTAATCTCCTCCCCACAGAATGTCCATTGACTCCCGTGTCTGGACTGAGATTCTGGAGCCCAGAAGACATCTCCTCATCCTTTTTACTATACTACTGATTATTCATCCAAAACCAGTTTGCAGCTGTCAGCGGTTTGATGTTCGGGAGCCACCTACTGGTAGTGATTCATCGTTTCCGCCCCTACGGCACTTTGCTCCAGCGATTCCAAAATTAGCACTACGGAGTTGACCTATCTCACCTCGTATTTTCTTGCGCACGTCGTAACATGCACGAGACTTATACCTCGTCTCGGGCGAGAACAGATCCTCTGAACCTTTCGCATGGTTTGCCGAAAGAAGACCAACCGACTTTCCCAAACGCAATCTTCATTGGTGTGCTACGCTAACAGTACAAATGGTCCTTGCAACAACATAAAAAACTGGGTATCTAATGCGAAAGTGATGCTGTACGTCCCTGTGGCACTCCCTCTCCAACATTGCTCAATCCGTGAACTACCTCTTTGACCGTCACGAGCCCAGTCATGGGTGAGGGACCCAGCCAACACTCTTGCGCCATCCGAAATGACCTTTCTCATTCTTGAAAGCAGTCTCGCCCTCAGAAGACTCGCTGTTGGCACTTTCTCGTCGTTCCTCGGCAGGAGCTGGGATGGCGTTGGTGGGTGTAGCCTCGGGTTCAGAGGCAGCAACAGAATTCTTGCGAGACTCAAGCTCTTCTGTGACGACACTATGGCGTCGTGTGGATTTGCTTTCCCGGCGGCCATCCCTGGTCAAGTGTTTGCGATAAAACTCCGAGTGTTTTGTGAGCCAAGGTTCAAGCCAGGACTCGGCTGCGTATGGGTTGGTTTTGCTGGAGCCAGCTGGTTGGTCAATGGCCATGCCGGTATAACCTTGTCCAGCCATTTTGAGAAGATGTTGACCTTTTATGGGTGAGTATGTGGAGAATCGTTGTTGGCTTCAGGCCTATTGGTCTTGTGATCGCTTGTTGGTCGGTGGGAATGGCTTATGGCTTTCGGGATTTTTTAATGGCCAGTGCGGGAAACGCTGTTATGGTTCTGTCCAGGTGAGCAGTGCTTCAATACTTATGCTATCCAGCTGCATCAAGCAAGACTCGGAGCACCGTTGCAAAAGGCCTCATTGACGTCGTCATCACGACCTTGTGTGCAGTCACTCACATCAGCCCACAGCGCTATGCATAAGGCATTGGGAATTGTTCTGAATCCGAGAATTCCGGGGTAGGGTAAGAGTGCAAAAACGACACGTCAGGGACGTTTGTTCACCCCCGAAAACGAGGCTGACGTGCCCAAGGTGCGGAGCCTGCCTATGTGATCGTGAGCTTGAACGGACGCTGGGATATCATTCGTCTATACCCCGGAAGTGCTCGGAAGAAGTGCTGCGAAATGAATTACTGAGCCTCGAAGGTGCGAGACCCGGCCATTCCTATGTGCTTACTCGAAATGCCTCAATGTCGGGTGATGCCTCGTCTTCGTGTTGTTTCCACGACAGTCCCTTGGTATGGCTCAACGTCCTTGTCTGCCTGGATCCCAGAGCGCAGGAAGGAGATAGACGGACTTGTTTGCATTGGCCCGAGCATAATCGGTAGCAAATCTGGACAGATAACGTGTCAACGTGAGCCGACGAAACGATTTGACCCTCTTCAGTACCTTGAAGCAGGCTTTGCGATATAGCAATAGAGTCATCAAGACCTAAAAGATCAAATGATTGATACGAGGTCAGATAAGCAAGAGAAAGTGCCGCAAGGCTGCGGAAAAGGGAAAGGGAAAAGCAGGGATCAATCTGACGTCATCCATCTATCTCGACGCGCTTTTTTCTATTTGAAATCATGCACACATTTTCCAACACAAAGCGACAGTGTATGAACGTTCTTGCGATAGACGATTTGCGCTTACGCCACCCCAAACAGCTCCTAATATCGTATACTGCCGGCTTCAGCAACATCATCCACGATCCTGCTTCCATCTCGATCAGGCTGCTTCAACCACGAATGCCACAAAATGATGTTGCCGATGGAGATCAACCTCTCCTAAGGACAAATGGACTTGTCCTTATCTCAAATACGCCAAAAGGTTTGTCAGATTTGCTTACCCCATCTGCAGTCCATGCGGTGCGAACACCTGAACAGCGCCTCAGTCATCTCCTGTGAGTTCCGTGCAAGGTATCTAACACTCTACCCACCCATCCTATAGGCCGAGGAGTTTTCGCAACTCAAGACATCCCAGGCGGCACCGTGATCGAAGTCAGCCCAGTGCTGCTGTTCAGCGAGGATGAAGTCGAGAAGCACGCTCAACACACCTGTCTACAACACTATACCTAGTAAGTGTATTACACCATATCCCTCCCGCATCAAACCGGGTTCTTCCCTTCCCAGCACGACCTAGGTTGGATGTCGTTGCCGTGTGTGCCGAACTCATGCTCACCTGGCGACAAACAGCTATTGGCCCTCCAAGACTGGCCGGACCACGATTCAAGCCCTTGCACTTGGCCTGGGATCCATGTTCAACCACTCGACGCGGGCCCAGAACGTGGGATGGAAACGAAACACGGAAACCGAAGTCATTGTCTACACCGCGTTACGTGACATCAAAGCCGGGGAAGAACTGTGTATATCCTACGGCCATGCAAGACTCTGGTTCAAAGACGCCGATGCCGATGCTGATGTCGAGGTTGACTTCGATTTCGATGAAGCCTATGAGGCTGGTGGAGATGGACCAGTGGCAGAGATCGCATTGAGCGGACTAGGGAAGATGGAACTATAGGCGGGCCAACAATGCTTTGGGATGATTTGCAATTCTCACGAGGTCGGAATGAATATGAACTACACAAAGACAAGGGACGTGGACCAGTCCCGGCATCGGACCATCGGATGATTGCTTTGCGATGTTGTCCATGCCGTCATGCGCAGGAGAAGCTCTGCAAGGAATCATGCCAGCAAACGAGTATCTCGGGGTAAAATCACCACAGACTGCATTCAATGTCGCATGCACAATGGTTCGGACACCGGGGCAATACACACGCCGCATCCCGAACCCAGGACTCAATGCAAGCACATTTTCATCCGAACCCCGACTCGACCATGAATGAAGCCTGTCAGGCTCTGAAAGCGACTGGCCAATCCACACTTCAAAACATTCAATCTGGCCGATGGAGCAACATTCATCCTCACCCGCGTGCGCCGTGGAACAAGATAGACCCCGGCTGCGGATGAATATTCGACGACCGTCCTTGCATGTCGGCAGAAGTACGTCCTATCGCGTACAGCATGGGGTCAATCAATGAAACTCGTGGAACAAGATACCTCCCGCCCGCCGATCGGATCTTCACCTACAGTTGCTGCACGCCGGCAAAGTTCATCCTCGCCATAGGGTAGGGCTTCTCGAGTCAAATGGTTCCCAAGTGGACAAGCGCTGTCCCCAGACCTCGGCAGTCGGACGAGCTCCATCTGCGCGTCGAACAGGCATGTTATATATACCGTGGTGTATGTAGGGTATCAAGATCAATTCTGTCCGAGCTCCCTAAAGACTGGGGGCCGAGGACCTCAGCCCACCTGTCAAAAGGCTGATATGATTACTCAACAACCACAGTAACATCTCGACATTCCCACGGCTAAAGCTATTCTTGAAAACGCCGAGTCAACCCATCTCTTCCCCCTATCATTTTCATCCTCGTTTTCCGTCTCACAACGCTCTCAACAAAGTACCAAAGTACCGAAATACCCAAAAACCCTACGCGACCAGCAAAACCTCGCAGATTCTTCCATGTCCCACATCGCCGAACCCCTTTTCACCATGTACCATTCATCAAGCCCTACCCTGAAGTGGACGACATGGATCTTGCAATGATAGATGTTTCCAGACCCGTACAACACGTGTACCAAGACACCATCCCTAGCCTGGGTCCTGCGTCAAGTATTCCGACCGGCAATGTCTAGCCAATCACCATGTCCGCCGGCCCCCAGCCTCGCCAACTCACCATCTCTCGTCAAGCACTTTCATTGGCACATTCGTTTGAGCATACCGTATCCGTATACTCAACTTCTGGACCCATCTCTACCGTATCCGTATACTGAACGTACTGGACCCCTTGGCTTCCGTATCCGTAACCAAGAACGAGGATTGGCATCTTTTTAATTCAACATTGGCACGACAGAGAGCTGAGTTGGTTGCCTGAACTTAAGTAGGTATATAGCTCCCGTCACCCCGCCTCGATATCCTCACACCTACTTCACTTACCTCAATTTGCTCCGTTACGCAGTCCTTACAGCCACTACGCCAGACTCTTCGAGGATTCATGGTCAAAGCATACTGCCAAATCGTTGAACAGCCATGGAAGAAGTCCACTCCGACATATTTCTACGACTTAGAGCGAAATCATGTTATATCTCTTACACGTCACGCGAAGATTTCCCACCAAAAAGACAGCAAGGACTCACCATGTAACTCCGGTTGCGTAGATGAGACAGCATCATTGATATGTAACATTTCATTGTTTTCATATATACGGTATATTCCCTCGATCTCAGAGCAACATGTCGCAAACATACTCCTCTTCATAGCTCGGATCCAATACAACTGGCCGACAGTATCCTAAGTCGACGACCTCGAAGATCGATCAAGAGGACCAAAACCATCACGAGTCGGAAAGCCTCCAGCTTAATGCATGACCACAGCGACATGGTCATCCATATACTTGTTGATATTGCCCAGGAAAATGCTGGCAATGATGGCAATTGAGCCAAAAGCAATGCTGGTCAGATACACATACTTGTAACTCTCAGCATATGCAACTTGACCAGCAAGCACCACCATCTCGTATGCGGTGTCGTTGCCAGCGATACCAGGAATCAGCTTGATGCCGTCAAGCAGACTGGCTCCGGTGAGCTCAATGGCGTCGGTGATGTAGGTAATGTTGGTGATACCCAATTCCAACTCCATCACTCCTCCAACATACTTGGTGACATTGGGGACGAACTTGTTGAGGAAGACATTGTAGTAGACGGTGTAACCGATGCAGCCACCAATGACCCGGATTGACAAGGTGAGGGCGGCGACGGTTGCAATAATGTCGTCGGGACAGATGATCGTGGTGATGATGGACGCAGGGACAACGATGCCACCGATACCCAAACCAGCGAGGATCAAAAGACCCCACAAGGTGTGGAGGTTAAATCTTGTTGCGCTTGCAAGCGCGCCACAGCCGGCGGTCATTAGTATCGACGAAAAGATCATCAGCTCACGGTTATGTCCTCGGAAGACAGACAGGAGCCACAGAACAATGCAGGCACCTGCCAGGATGCTGAAACCAACGGGGATACCTCGAATGCCGACTCCGATTGGGTCGTGGCCATAGACGTTGAAAGCTTGAGTCGGCCAGAACATGATGATGGAGAAGAAGTTGGCGCCTGAAATGGCGGTGATGATCAATGTCAAGGTGAGGATCCGGGCTTCTTGCTTCATTCGAGATGGGAACATGGGGAATTTGGCGAACTTGATTTCCCAGATGGGGAAAAGGACGAAGAGGAACAACAATCCGATGATAAGGGGAGCCAGCACATGCGCGGAGCCCCACGGGTACTGGTAGCCACCCCATTGCAAGCCGGCCAAGAACAGGATCATGCCAATGATGGAGAGGCCACCGCCAACGAAGTCGATCTCGCCAATGACTTCCTTCTTAGTCAAGCCACGTGAGTTGGGTCGAGGTGGTGGGAAGTAGAAGAACAAGGTGCCGAAGAAACCAATAGCAGCCCAGAGTCCGCAAAAGAGGGTGCACCATCTCCAGCCGGCATGGTAGGCGATCAGCTGACCCCACAGGACGGATGGGCAGAAAGGGATGATGGTGAAGACGAGGATGGCCACATATTTGCCTCGTTTTCGGGTCGGAGCCAGCTCGGCAGTGACAGCCAGTGAAGTCAACTCGCAAATACCGGCACCCACTCCTGAGAAAGCCATGCCCACTAAATGGGATCAGCGGCATTCAACAACAGATGGGCAGATGAGTTACTTACTGATAAAAATGTTCATCTTGTGTGCTGTTCCGCAGATGATCATGGCAATGACAAGCAAGCCTGAACCACCGAGTGCAACATATCTCCTGCCGACGAGATCGGAGATGGAGCCAACGAATGGGCAAATGGCAGCAAGAGCCAGGAGATATGCCAGGACGAACCAAATCCAACTGGTAACACCACCGATATCACTGTAGATATATGGTGGGATGCCGCCAAGGATGTACACCGGAATTTGGGAGCCAGTCCACAGGAAGGCTTGGGCAACTAAGGCGCAAATTCTTTTCGAGGTCATCTATGAGAAGCAAAGATTAGTATTCGTGGGTTTGGAGTCTTTGGGAAAGTCGCTTACAGGAGGTTCATGGTCGTGGTCCTCATCGTCGCCATAGGTCCGCAGACCATCTTTCTCGTAATATCCTGGATGGCCCGGAACCCTCTCATTGGTGTGGACCTGTTCGATATGGTTCGAAGGGTCCGCCTTATCGACGACCGGCAACGAAGCGCCGTCGCTGGAACTGGTCTCGGGATGGTGTGTGGTCGGATGAACTGTGGTCGGGTGAGCTGTGGTCGAGTGTTCCGTGGTCGTGTGGACCGTGGTCATGTCGTGTGCGTTCATGGTGGGCAACAGTCGAGAGGTTGTATAGGAGGGAGAAGTATCACACGGTGAGGACAACCGTGGAGAGAATGGGAGTGACTGGAGGGCAGTTTAAGAACGTAAAGGAAGAGAAAGAAGATCGGACTGGGGAAGAAGTGGACTGATGTACTCCACGGGGAAGAAGATGGTCAGGGTGATCGAATCAGAAAAACATCGTCTCTTTCAATGCTTCTGCCGGGACTTGCACCGAAGCATATGTCGAGAAGTGATCCTTTCTGAAAAATGGGGCACTGAGTTATTGGAAGAAGGGGACACCGGGGGCGAGACTCGATGCAGAAAAGCAGTGCATGGGGGGAATTCTGATGGCTGGTCATGGCGTCCAGTGGATTGATTGACCGGGGGAGGGGGAGGGGCGATAAAGCAGGTCGAGACTAGAGGAACAAGAGGTTGCAAGGTGGGGACCATTATTGAACTGTGGAGGGAACAAAAGCCGCTTGCGCATGAATTGTGGGAGAGAGTGGCATGGATGGAGGTGGGACGCAAGGACGCAGCGAGTGACAATGCGGTTACTGCTGGTTCTGGTTTCGATGGGTTTGCCACGTTTTGATGAGATTGCGGACAAGAGAAAAGAGATGGACATGGACACGCTTCAGGTGTTGATGCAGTAAATACATGCAGATTGAGTCAAGGATTGAACGAGGTGAAGCGAAGAGAATTGAAGTCGCAGGGCATAACATGCCACCGCACATGTGAAAAGTGTTGGTCCATGATGTACCTAGGTATGGACTACGGTAAGTGATGGATTGGGAACAATTGTAGGTAATGATTCCAGCCGCTTGAAGCTTAAGCGACGTTTGACTTCCTGCAACTAAATTCGTAGTTTTCTTTGGCGACGACTATCTTTCCTACTCGGTGACTACATGGGCGCATGCTGATATAATCGGGTTTCTTGCTCTTTACAGACTGGTTCGATCTATCATCTTCCCTTTCACTCACTCACAAATGTGTCTCTCGCCATCATCTTGCACATTCTTTTACGATCAATTCGTGCCGAACAGGACCAATATTCCGGGGTCTCAACGGTATCATACAACTTAAAATGATGAACCGGGTAGCATCCTTCAATTCGAGTCGGCAGGCATGACAAGTGACACTGTTATCATGATGCCCAAGCGTGTCCAAGCGCCAGCACTAAGAAACACCAAGCCTTCCAAGCACCAGGTAGACCTGGCGAGCCTGGCCAGCAATAGCATTGGGCTGGCCGGTGCGACCTACAGTCACTAGGGCAGATCCGGCAAAAGCTTGCGGGGTCTGGGGTTCAATCACTCTTTGGCTTGAATCTGGAGTTTGCGGCGACCGAACAGGGAATACACGAGACATAACCCAATTTCAAGCATCATCGATCGGCCACAAGCGAACCACGAGGCACTGATGCATCTCATATGCTTTCTGGGACACCAAATCTGGTTCTTATCCAGGGGCTGGAATTATTGACAAGAGGCAAATCTTGGGCTGTGGAACCTCGATTGTATTTGTGTTACAAGTAAATCTTTATCCACTTCTCCGCATCTCCAGAGGTCAGTGTTTGCGCCCCTCAAATGCTTGAGCCACACATCGACTTGATAGCCGGCAACATACCGAGGCATGTCTGCATCGAGTCAAGGAATGACTCCTTGACGCTCAACACCAAGTAATGCATGCTGGATCAGTTGGATCCTGCAGGAAGCAGCAAACACTGGTCCACCAATGTACGCGACTGTAATAAACTCCCATTCCTTGTTGGAAGCACTATCAAGCATCGTCTTCTCTGTAGAGACTCCGCGGGATCATTGCAAAGGACCCTAGCTTTGACAGGACGACCTCTGAGTGAATCTCATAGTCCTCACTCACAGCAGGCGCGTCATCCAAGTTCGTCGGCTCTGTCGCAATGAGATCACGAATCCAAACCGCCCGCGTCCGCCAAAGAGCCGCCCGCCCTCTGTGCGCACAGTATTCCGCCCTTGCAGTTCCCTTCACATATTCCACCACTAGGAGACTTGACAGCCAGGGATAATTTCCAAATGTAGACAGACTTCCGAGCCCCTGTCGAGAGGAAGATGCAGCCACGACACCTAAAACAGCCTTTGTCGAAAATCTCGAACACCAGATCGGCCACACCTCACCAGAGCCTCGGTACTTTTCATGCAAGTCGACGTCTTGGCGTCCACTGGCCCAAGGTTAATGGTAAGCCTGCCTTCGATACGAGGTGACAACCATGTCTGCTCGCATTCACTTGCAGAAATGTGGCTTCAACCTGCCGGACCGCTCCCTTGGCCGTGATTTGTGCATTGTTCGCTACGATGCACATGGGATATCCTCATGACCAAAGCCGCGCGACTTCGGGTCCGACCAACCGTTCGGTTCTCGGTCAAAACCATTCCGATGCGAGATATTCCACCCGTTGTCTGTCTAGCGACCTAAGGTTGTGAACGGTGTTGTCAGTTATTGTAACCGACCGATGCCACAGACTTCTGAGGGGAGTGCTTACCAAAGCAGCAATCATGCTTCGCGACCGTACACATCTTTCGACTTGATAGTCAATAGACTCCTTGACCTTGGTCTGATAGGTATTCGCCTCCCAGAACGTTGCATGCACCCATTTCGCCTTTGTGACCTCAGTCAACATCATCCTGGCCACGGGCGGCGTCGGCCACATTAGGACGCATCATAACGAAGACCTCGGCACCTGCATGCAGGTTTGGCATAGCCGCCTGCTGGGTCTCGCCAAAGATAGGCTGCCCCCCAGTGGTGTGGAGCACCTCCCCTGGCGTTGGAGGCTGCGGAAGTCCAGAAGGTACGTCTGTCAACTCGATCCTCACGGGCTGATCGATGTGCAGAATTATAGGCGTTACGTGAACCATTTTTGCCTCTGGGTCTTCATCGTTCGGAATATCGCTCACGTCCGCGTGGGGAACGAGGATGGAATAGATGTCCCCTGGGCGCATTGGCTTTTTAAAAGTCACATCGACAATCTCCGCGGTAATTGTCCCCAGATCCCGGTGGTGGTTTTCCAGGTGCTGGTAGACACTCTCCTTCAGAAGGGTCGTAATCACTCCGCCGTGGATCTAAAAGCACATCAGCAAGCGGACATGAGGGCAGCAGTATTGTTTGCCGTACCACATCAGGCCATCCTTCAATGCCGAAACCCAGAAAGAACACCATCATGGTGATCGGCTGCGAAGGGTGTCTGAAGGCCTTCATTGTGATCCCTCGGGGCCCTGTGAGCTTCTCCCCAACGAGATGCTGCCCTCCCAGTGCGCCGTTGACCCGCCCAGCGTAGAAATTGTCCTCGATCCAGTTGTCATGCCGTAGCGACAGCACAAGAGGGTGATCTTCCAGTGTGTCCAATATCTCCTCAAACAGATCTTGCTCTTCTTCCGATCCAGGCTCGAAAGGCGGCTGAATGTACTCCCAGCTGATCAGAGCCGTGCCTGCGATCAGGCCCAACGTCGAAAAAAGAGTGGCCCAGAATATCGATCGGTAGAAGCGCGAAAAGAGTGACGGACCGGTAGGTGTAGGCGTCTTGACTACTGGTGGAATGTACGGTGCTGTGTAGGGTGTGGTGTCCGGTGCAGGCATCTGGCCCGGAGTTTGGAAGTATTCTTTGTGAGGGCCATACTGGTTGTGTTGCGGCCGTCGAAATTGCGGCGCAAACCTCGTAGCTCGGCGAGATTGACGAGCTTGACGCCACAGCGCAGGCCGGAACGCCTGCATTGTTCGGGCTGTCGTCAATTGACGCTCGTGAGGAAACCGAGAGTTTGTAGGTCGGGAAGCTTGTGTTTGGAACTGGAAAACATTTGGGTAAGGCTGCGCGGTCCAAGTTTCGATTACCCTGGGGTACTTAGGTAAGCACCGGAGTTTTACCAGTATCACCTAAGTTACTTTCCACAACTACAGATCTTAATTTACCACACTTTGCAGCTCATAGAAGACGTGAAAGTGCGGAGGATGGTCCTTGAAATTACTATCGACGCTATAATGTGAAGACGATGGCGTGCTTCGAGTTGCTGACTCTTCTTCCAATCTCATCACTACGCATGCTGCTTCTGCCACGCTGCCCGCTGGAGGTAGATGTCGTGACGGAAGGTTTGTTTGAGAGCATCGATAGTCTCTCCATCAACCGGCAAAGAAGCTTGGATGGCACCGACGCCACATAGGTCGTTCTTGCGGTCTATGAACCAGGCGAATGTCAGTCCACCGCCCCATGTGAGGGTACGCTCGCCGTACCAGCCGTCAACGTCTTCTAGAGTGAGTAGGCCTCCTAGTGCGTAGCCTGCCTTCGAGCCAGGCGCAACGCCGACGCGGAAGAAGACGCCAAAGGGGCTGGCCAACGCTGCCTGATGAGCCGTGGAGGCTTCCGGGCCGAGATGCTGCTGGAACATGTCGTTCACCGTCGTCGGCTTAAGAATCTTGCCATCATTGGCCAAGATCGAGCGCAGGACTTTGACGTAGTCTGGGCCAGTCATGAATAGCCCATGGCCACCGAAGTCGCCTTTGGTACGCAGATTCATCTCACCTCCACCTCCTAGCACAGCACGCCCAGTAGCGTCGGGGTCTTCAGGGTTCAAATCGACCAGGCGATCCCGCAGGTCCTCACGCGTCACTGGATAAAACTGTGCGTCTGTGATGCCGAGAGGGCTGAAGATGCGCTCATGCATACGGTCGCCGAGCGTCTTGCCCGTTACGCGTTCTACTATCCGGCCGGCCCAGTCAAGCCCTGGGCCGTACATCCAGCCGGCACCAGGTTGGAAAGCGAGTGGATAGGTGAATGTCTCTTCCACTCGTAGCTTGCCGTCTTCCTCAAGGGTTTGAGCACTTAGAGCGAATTTCTCGCGCCAACGGGCGATGAGCGGGTTCATAAAATGGTAAACGAGACCCGAGCTGTGCGTGAGCAGCATTTCGAGGGTGATAGGGCGTGCTTGTGGCTCGAGCAGCGGTGTCTCGCCATCCTCGGAGAATCCGGTGATGACCTGCTTCGCGGCTAGCTCGGGAGCTACGGACGACAGGTCGCCTGTCAGAGACAGCAGGCCATCGTCGACGCATTGTAGCGCAGCAATAGTGGCGAGTAGCTTGGTGGCAGAAGCGAGGAACAGCACGTCGTCGGGCTGGTGGGGTTTCTTTTCCCCTGACAGCAGAGTACGCTCGCCCAAAGTCTTCTCGTAGACGAAGCGACCCTCGGCATCGGTGGCAGAGAGAATTGCGCCATGGATCTTGCCGGCGTCGATGGCTGCCTTGAATGCAGTGTCGATATTTCCTTCGGCCATGGCAGGCTGGTTTTAGCAGATACAAAACTTGAGTTCACTTTATGAGAGTCATAAGCAGGGAGAGATATTGAGAGTGAGATAAAACAAGACGAGGAGAGACCATTATATGTCTCTGCTGGGAGCACGAACCCACCGATGCATTGCTTGACTCTTTTCTTCCGACCATGAACGTAGTAGTGATAGTGGTTGTAGTTCGACAAGGGAGGTTTAGTCTTGGAGTCAGGCCAGACTTTCTTTTCGATCCATCCAATACAATGCCGCAGATTCCGCGCACCACAAAACCCACAGTTTTAGAACATGAGGCTCTTCCTTGATCACAGGTGGGCTTCACCGGTATCATCGGCATCTCGCAATGGGCTCTATACGTCGGCGGTAACTCTGTCATTTTCTTGGACAAAACATCGCCGATGGTCCCACAACGGAAGGATGTGCAGATATCATGGGGGCCAAAGGGACGACAATTGATCAAGCAAGCAGATCCATCGCCACGACTATCTCGTATGGCGGCGATCAAAGGTAGCATCCAGACATGCTTCGTCAAGATGAGAAAAGAAGAGGGAAAAGTAGGACGTGCATTTTTGTAGTTCTCGAGGTAGCAACCAAAAACGCCATCTCCGATCATCATAATAGATCCCATCTTCAAGCCATGTACAATTGCCATGCTCTAGAGAACTTATTCCCGGATCACCATGTGAAATGCATTTCGATGTGATGAACAATACGAATCTTCCATCTGAGCTGCCCAGCCTCCTTCTCACGTCTGCATTGGAAAGTGGTGAACTGCACACTTGAATATCGTCCCAATCTCTCCTCCCATCCTGGTCGTGAGAAGGCTTATGTAGTTGGGTTCGGGTTCATCTGGATCAGTTGTGAGCATCAATCTGTATGGATTGTCATGTTTTGATGCGAGCTTGTCATCCATACCTTCCTCTTGCCACCAGTCATCGTTACGTTAACGAATCGTCGGGTGTATGTGATTCTCTTCTTCGCGCGTCCCTTGGGGGTCTTCTTCTTCTCTTGGGGTTCGACCTGCGATAACTGCATCAGTCTTGATTCGTGTGGTAGATTTCGACCGCGGGCGATGATTAAAGCTGTGGCGGTCTAGGGCTGCTACTGACCTTGGGAGTCTGGCTCTTGACCTTGCCGGCACGGGCAAGAGATCCGTGAACTTTACCCATGATTGCGAGTTGGTTTTATTGTCGGATTCGAAGGTTGCTTTGACTGCCTAGGCGTAATGTGCGATGGGTCGACGTTGATGGATAAACGAGTCGCTTCAAGGGAGAATTCTATGGGTAGAGGGAAAGCGCAGTTGTGGGTGTCAGTGCCAAGAGAAATTCCTGATCACGTGATTTTGACTCATTCCGGAACTATGAGTAACCTCATTGCTGGACGTTCCAGCATACTCATGAACATGACTCTTTAATTTGGTGGTGACCTTGAGCCACATCAGCAAGACGTGCGCATTTTGGTTCTTAGACGTAACTCATACAGCCACCCGTCTAGTCTATGGACGCTTTTCATTCGCTATGCAACGCTTATGATGCTTCAAGAAAATTCGCTGCATCGTCCTCATTGCCGCAAAGAACCACAGCCGCCCCAACATTTACCCCTGAATTTCGTCTTTGGAAGGCAATTCGATGGCTCGGTAAAGCAGAATGAGCGCCGAAGGACTTTCGCCACCGCCCGCTAGAGTCATGATCCTCTCCGAATCAACCTCGCTGACCTTGTCATCATTGAACCACCACCATTTGCCGTCTTCCTCTTTGCGCTTGCCACCAGGCGCCTTCGGATCATCCACAAGCTTGCCCTGCTTTTTGACGAAGCTGGTGTAGTGACCGCTGTCAGCACTTGCACCTTGATGGGTGATGACACCTCTGAGCTCATAGAGTCCCGACTTGTTCGCACCTTCATCGGCTGCAAGTTCTGAGTCAATGAGAGTGTAAAGCTCCTTCTTCGCCTGTTTGATGGATGCTGCACGCTCAGCTTCATATTCGGCATCGGTTTTGTAAACATCCATGTCTCCTCCTTCGGGCTCCTTGCCTTTCGAATCTTTCTTCTCCTTCTGGTCTCGCAATTTGGCAATCGGAGCTTGCTCTTGTGCTTTCAGCTCCTCATCCTTGCGGTCCTGTTCTTGTTTGTGGCGCAACTTTTGTCGCTTGCGAGCTCTCTCGACGTCCTGTTCATCCTTGCGGATCTCTCGTACCTTGTCTCGCACAGGGATCAACCGGTCTCTCAGGTCATCCGTACAGAATTCGACCACGTCGAGTTCCTCGGGGAAAGTGACCTTCTTCAAGATTTTCGCTTTCTTCTGTACATCCTTCTTCCAGAAGAATCTTACAAAGTGCACTGTCAAGTACTTTGGAAGTCGAGAAACACGAGAAGTCTTGGTGTAAATGGCGTCACGATCCAAGGTAGGCGAGTTCTTCTCGATTTCTTCCGACAAACCGGCAAGGATTCCATCTCGCAGATGTTGAGTCGTATTTCCTATATGGCAATCCAGCTTCAGGAATGTCTCGTCAGACTCCACGACGGGTTCACTCTCAGTCACTTCTGCAGGAGGTGCGAGCGAGGTGTGGAATTTGCCAGCCATGTACCGATCAATGAATGCGATGTCTGCCTGATCATTGCCGCCCTTGACTTTGAGCTTCTGTCGGACCTGTTGCAAAATCTGCGACCAAACTTCTTCCGCATCTTGCTGCGCATAGCCATGGCCACTCTTGGCCATCTGTGCAAACTGAGGGTACACGTGTCGCAGAGTTTGCAGGAAAAACGTAGGATTGTAACCCTCTTGGGTCTCAGACATTTGTTTATACAGGTCGCGCAGTCCGGCAGTCAGATCATTCGACGAGAGTCCAGCAAGTCCGAGCTGAGTCAGGCTTTGGAGAGTGTTGGAGGAGCTTGACTCCGGCTTGTAGGTCTGCAACTCTTCTTGCATCTCCGGTATGCTTCGCAATACCTGTAAGGTGGAGTTGAGGTAGCAAGTGTTGCCTAGGTTTTGCAACCCAGCCGGTGTAGCGCCTTCTTGTGCGGCCGCCTCGGCTGCTGTCATGTCTTCGAGGAACTTCGGCTTTTCGACTGGCGCCACCAGCGCACTGCCTTCCGAGGAAGCAGTGCCGAGCATGGTAAAGAGCTGGCCAGATTTTGCGTTGAGCTTGGATAGCTCGGTGTCATCTTTTAGCTTGCCGCCCTTGATGAGGACGGACTGACGGTCGGGTTCGACGCCAGTGAGGGAGTAGAGTTGGAGTTTGAGCATCTCGCCATTGGCGGAAGGGTCAAGGTCAACATTGTACTTCTTGCCCTGATGCTTGATGATAACTAGGCATTGTCAGCAAACTGTGCACACGGTAAATTATTAGGACACTTACTTGGTATGGTCGCCATCCTGTCTACCACGCGCGAAGAGGATACAGAGAAAGGGAGAAGTCTGCGTTGTGGATGAAGTGTAGAGAAATGTTTAGAAATAACAAATGCGGCGAGACTCGAGGGCAGTTTAGGCGATCAGGCACGTCAGAGGCGACGAATCGCTGCCAAGACAGTCACCCGCCGCGACCTGCGGTCACGATTCACGGCCAGAATATGACAGGCAGGTGGTTGCGGCTCTTCCCCCTCCACGCGCAGCAGTCTTCACAACAGTCCACAACTCACCTCGCTAAACCTCAACGCGACAGAACCTTTGACCTGCCAGAGACAAAGCAAAGTCGGGTTGTCAACAGCCTGATTGTCAACAACAATCTGCTCCCATGTGGCGGTAGATCGACCTCTGTTTTCCTCGGAGCGCATTGAAAATGGTCTGCCTGCCCTTCCATGCCATTGAGAGTCTGTACCCGCTAACACGCTGCTCAGTCACAATCGTTGCGTCCATACCTCCAATGCGTCCGATCATCACTTACTGCAGCGCTCTCCCTCTCCAACTTTGCCTCACAGGCCGCCGAAAGACACAATGTGCCTGAGATAGAAGCCGCGAGCTCTCCCGAAGTCCTGTTAAATCCGCTGACCATTGCACGAAATGAGAACGAAAAGGTCTTCATAGAGCCGTCCGTCAACAGTGTGCGTGTCAGCATACGCATAAAGCAGGCAGACGAAATCGAAAACATCCTCGTTCACAAGTTTACTCGTTTTCTAACCCAGCGTGCCGAGTCCTTCTTCATATTGAGACGGAAGGCGGTCAAGGTAGGCAAAGCGAGGCTCCCCTCGATTCGCATAGACTGAGAAAGACAGGGCTATGATATATCTTTCTTGATCACCAACACGCATACCGAAGAAATGTTGAAGCACAAGTTGGTGGACTTTATCATTCAATTCATGGAGGAAGTTGATAAAGAGATCTCCGAGATGAAGCTCTTTGTATGTCATGAACAACTCCAGGAAGATCCATTGATTGACGCTTTGATGCAGTTGAACGCGAGAGCTCGTTTTGTTGCCGAGTCTTTCTTGACTCCCGTAAGTGTGATGGCCGTCGTGGTATAATGCTTGCTTACCATGGACAGTTCGACTAGAACGGTCTTACGAATCAACAGAAGAACAATGCCCGAATGGCAAAGCAGCGCATCCTGGAACATTGGCCAGTCGTCTTACATGTTACTGGCATGTCCGGCACGTCCTACATATTCCATCAGAACATGCAAGGCTGTAAACTTGCGGGTCGTGGCCCCTGAGTCATGTGACCTCGGTTGACGACCTGAAAGAGCCAGAATGCTGTGAACAGCATCTGCAACAATTGAAAAGCATTGAAGCACATTAACAAAGCTTCAGAATCATGAACATGGACACCAGTACTGTGCCCAATCAATTCCTTCCTTGTTCGTCCATTTCGTCTTTTGGCGTTGGCTGCGACTCCTTTTCCCATATGCCGGTGCAGATAACACTGACCCACCGTGCATCTGCTGGCCTCCCACAGGCCATGCATTGGGAGCTTCTTGGACACTAAAGCCGTGGTGCATGGTAGGTGTTACTGTCGACAACAGGCTCTATCGGGCTGCTGTCTACAAATGTCGGGCGGCTTCACTGGTTGTTAGCCACTACAACGCCCTTTCCGACCGATCGCAATAACCAGCCATAATGCCGGACCGCATCGGTAAACCTGCTACAGTTATCAACCGGTGAATGTGTCTCATGTATTGTGCTGATGTGAAAACTGTCGAAGTCCAGTGTGAGGCTTGGTTTCGGGGTGTCGATGTTCTCGTGCAATTGTGGTCCGTCACCAGCTTCGAAGCCACCGCGGAAAGTCGCGGTACTACAGAAGCAACTAACCATTGGGTCTTTCTATACGACATCCCGTCCAGTTCACCTCACGATCAACTGCATGGACGACCATACAATGGATACATCATTATACTTTGCATGATGCTTCTCTTTTCAGTTCTCTCTTCTTCATTCCTCCTTCTCTTCTTACTACTCAACTTCCCAGGCCCTTCTTCTCATTTCCAACAGCTCAGCTCTTCCCGTCAAGATGGACTTTGATCAAGCCTCGACTTCATCCTCGTCGGTCATTGGTGGCGCCGTCGAGCAAGAAGACCCCTTCGTGTCGCCCGAAATGTCACAGCCAGGACCCGCGATTGTTGAGAGATCGCAGGACAATCCGGAGCACCGATTTTACAGTCGTCACCAAAGCGAGGTGGATGTCGCGCACGATGACCGTGTTCACGGCACTAACCAATTTGGTTTTCCACCTCATCCTCACGTTACTTACGGCGCACAACCATCCGGTTTATACATTCCCCCACAACGCAGATTCACAACCGCAATACCAATATCTTATCCCACTACTTGGGCGCATCGAACACCAAGCAACTCTTTACCTCCCTTCAACACTACCTCCAGTCAACAGTTTCCAGTCTTTCGTGTTCACCAATCTGTAGCGGCGATGGATTCTGCTGTCCCCTTCGATCCAAGCTCGGATCCTCCCTTCCTCGATCGAGCCAAATTGTTTGTTCCTCGAGCAAATGGTGTCATCAGAATCAAGAATGTAAGTCATCAGCTCTTATTATCATACCAACTTGTCTTCATCGTTCAAACAACTGCTGTGGCGCCCTTTGTGGCCGAAAATTGCTAGATCTGCTGGGTCATTGCAGCGGATCTATACACTTTTCGGTTGAGATCGGCTGCAAACCCACCACCAAGGACCACAAACTTCCACAAAAACACTTCGCTGCCCTCAATGCATACAAAGACCGTTGTTACTTTTGTGCCACTGCTCAAGAGATGACTGCTAACTATCGATCTTGTCCAGATCCCCTACGGACTTACTCTGGCAGAAGTTCACCAGTTCATCTGCAAGCATCTTCATTCCGCGGACCTGATCAAGGCACACGAAGAGGGATTCCCGATTCACATCATCATGGAACGATCTACGGGCAAGACCATGGATGCTTACATTGAAACTGCAAGCACTGAGGTTGCTGCGCAAGCTTGGGAGCACGGTTTCGGTCCTGCTTGCATGAGACATCCAAAACTCGGACAACGTCATGTCACGGTTGAGCTTAGCGATCAAGCTGAGTTGATGGCCGATCTCTTCCCTCGAGCTCGCTGTGTTCTCTGGAATCGCGAGAAATTCGGCATCCCAACCGTCGTGCAGACAAATGATATCTACACCAGTGGTTTCAAGGGCTTCTTCACTGCCGAAGAGATGAACGGCGTGATTCGCCATGCTGAATATCCGCAGCGTGTAAGTCTCCTACTCGGTCAAACTTGCAAAAAGCTAACCGATTTATGTACAGTCTCCTTTCGCCATGCGCAGTTTCCAGCGTACCTTCGAGAGTACAATCAGCACTTTGTACAAGGTGAGAAGATCCTCTATTTTCAAACGTGCAAATGTTCTGACAATCTGCAGTTCCCTTGGTACACCCCAGACCTGTATACCTTGGCTCAGCGAGATCTCCTGTTCAAAACCTACATGCGTCAATTGGAAATCCTCATTGTCAAAGTGGATCCGGGAAGTCCAATCCCTCGTGAAGTTGGTCTCGACAACAAATTGCTCATGGACTTCCTGTTTGCTGGCATGAACTGCACTGGGTTCTCGGAGCGTCAGAAGGCTACCATCACCGAAGCATCTCGTCGAGTTGGTCCTGGTATGCAAGTCAGTCGCCATGCTCGCAACTGGCCATTCCAGACTCTCTCCACTGATAACACCATGCTCTCGGACCAGGATATTGCCATGTGGTTTGAAGTCCTTAACCTGGGAATGATGGCTTTCCACGGCGAAGGTCTCAACTTCATTGGTATTCGTCCATACCTGGAGGTTATCAGAGACGATAACGGCTTTGTCTACTTCACTTACACCGACCTCGGTGCTGAGCTTTCTCGCAAGATCTTCGCCCGTATGGAGTCTAAGGTGATGAAGGCCGTGATGCGAAAAGGCTGGTCAGTCTACATGCGCCAACTCGGTATCCCTGGCATCTCTCCTGAACATGATACCTTTGCAACTGCAGGACACAACATGGTCGTTGGCGGAGCCGAACAGAATGACGATGGGTTCAGCGACACTGGCATCTTTTCCGACAACGACCAGAATGCCATTGGTCCGGCTTTGGAAGCTCACCAATACACTGATGAAGAACGCCTCGCTGCATATCGCAAAGTCCTCGCGGACATCAAGAGAGAAGAAGGCGCTGCTCTTCTTGGACAAGTCGATCGATATTCGTCCGGAAACTATGTCATGGTCGATGATTCTGGCACCGATGGCGGTCTTGCATCAGGCATGATGGGCCTCGATCTCGGTTCTACTGGACGTGTTGGTCCCAAATCCAGTGGCAGTGATCATCTCAATCCCGAGTCGGCCAACTTCCAACCTAGTGGAGTCTCGACCGCCAATCTCGTGCCTCCACAGGTCTGGAACCAGACCACAGCTGTCACCGATGATTCGGCCAACGTCGACACTGCCTTCTTCGGCTCTGGAATAGGCAACGGCGCAATCAGTCCACCACGAATCAGCACGGCTCGTCAAACCAATGTCGCTGGTCCAAGCACTCTCGGTCCAGCGCCTGTATTCCAGGTTCCTGCTCACGTTGAGCGTCGTGCCGTCAACATCACCAGCCTCGATGGAACCCCACTGTCTTTCCATGCCACAAACACCGGATCACCAACCACTGTGCGTCGCAACTCTCTCATGGATCAAGGTGTCATGGGAGGTGCTACTGGTAGTCCATACCGTCAAGGAAATGCGGCATCATACAGCTACCCGGCCACTCCACGTCGCTACTCGGATGCTCCAGTCCTCATGCCTTCGGCCGGTCGTCCTAGTCCAGGCCACATTCGCAACTTCGGCATGGGTACCAACATCACTTTCGGTGCTGTGGGCAGCGGCTCACCTTACTCGTCGCCCAACCGAAACACCTCACCTGCGCGCTCTGCTGTAGGCACTCCGCTTACTTCAGGCATGGGTATTGGTATGGCTATGGGTCCACCTCCTGCGATGATGATGACTCCAGGTCGTACTGGTACTTCTGCTGTCGGTAGAGGTGGTTATGTCGACACTCCTCGTCCTGCCCGTCAAGGTCACACTCGCACTCAGTCCCGTTCGACCCTCAGCGTCAGTGAGACCATTCATGAGGAAGGCGGCGTTCATGACAACACTGTCGGCATGCAGCCCCGCGAGTACTGATCGTTCTTACCACCCACTCCTGTCGTCGAGAAACTTGGTTATCGAGTGCATTGGTCACACATCGGCGTCTTGGTTTACTGGTTCGCTCATGAACGGATGGCATTGGATTGAAAAAGCGATGGCATTGAACACGGAATGGAATGATATTGCAAGTCGGACATGCAACAGACATGGACATTGTTGAGCTCTTCCATGGCGGGATGACGAAACGAAGAGATCACGATGCCGATGATGATGAGAAAACCTCGATTGGATTGTTATGAGGGCTTGAGCTGAAATTCAACATAGCATAGCATGGCGTTGCATTGCATGGCGTCTGCGAGACAGATGGCCCCTGGGAATGAGTTGAGCTCGGCTCCTCTACCCAGTGAAGCAAAGAGTAGCATAGTGTTTTAGTCGAGCTTTCAAGGAAATACGCTCCTCAATCGCAGCCCACTCCGTTCCATACGACGCGAAAGTACACTTGTGAACCTGCTGACGGCCGTCCAGCCGTGCTAGTACCTTATTAACTTCCTGTGCAGTACCAGTAGTCAAATTGTAGTGTAATGAAATAGGGGCACTGGGGCTAAAGCGGCAAACGGCCGATCTCAGCCTTGGACCGCTGGGCAGAAAGCAGGAAACCTCAGCCGGTACAGTTGGGCCGACTTGCATCACGCTGCCGAATGCGGTACATTTCAACAAGCGGAAGCGCAGAACGGAGTCTAACTTAGGTAGGTACATGATGGTGTACATTGTACATGTACAGGTATGGAGCCCAAAAAGTAACGTTCCCTAAGCACCCATCAAGGCCGTCTAGTCTTAGGCTACAGTAGCTCCCCTCTCGCTTTCTGACGGGGATCTTGTGCTGCGACCACGGCTGCGACCACCCGCTCGGCATGCGTTAGTGTTGAAATGGTACACCACGCGTGATCATCTCAGCCGTAAGCTTAGAAGCCAATGTGCCGCTGTGCTTCCCGTTGGTGGCCCTCTTCAAGTGTGGCATGCTTAACATACATGAAATCTACTCTGAAAGGCACCTCAAGGGCTAGGAAGCATGGCTACATGAGATTTACTGCATAAGTGCTCATAGTACGAAAGATCTGTTTCATTGGGCTGTCCGAGATCTGATCATAGTGGCCTCATTGGCTATGGCCATCTACCATGGTATTCGCATTCGATCGGACGTGGTTCACGATTGGATCATCTTGAGATGGGAAGGCAATGCAAGGCATAGTGCATTGGCAGCACTCGACGAATCAGTTCTCCAGAATGGCAACATTGTCAAAACGCCATGAAACCATCTCCTTCGCGATTGAAAGTGTGAAAATCATAAAACATTCAACTATTAAACAGCCCAACTGACCCGCGATTGTCCCTTCGTCTTTCATTTCCTCGTCTACCATCAATGCAGTCATCCAAGGTGATGTTGCAGACAGGTCGAAGTGGGTTTCCAGACAACCTGTCCCACGGGTTCCCCATATCATGTGTTGCATCGTGTCCACCGTTCTTTGCCATTAACTCCTCCAAATCTGTCCAGACTCCCTTGTATGCTCTCAGCGGGTGATGTATCGCCTCATCTGGTTCTCTCCTGGCCAGTCTCGCTTTCATTGCCGTCGCGAGAAATGACCTTTTTGTCCAAGCCATGAGAGAGCAGAACACCGACAACACACCTCCGCCCAGAGACCGAAGAAGCGGTGCAAATATCAATACACGAAAAGCATGCGAGACTGGTGTAACTCTCGCAGGAAAAAGGGCCTTAAAGGACCGTGACTAAAGCCTCCCATGGTACACAAAAACATTTCAACGCACAAACAAATAGCCGCCCAATTTACATTTCATTCGATGGCTCCCTGTGAAGGAATGAGGCTCTGATAGCCTAAACCACCATGAACATTGTCGCAAGTGATTGCGCAAGAGAGATAGAGTCGATCAAACAGCCACCCTGTGGGTATCGATTGAATTTTAGCCTCCCAAACAATTCGCTGACGACCGCCAGTAAAGACCGTTTTGTGGAAGAAAAGAAATATTGGGTTGCCCCGGGTTGTGTATCTTTTTGAATAAAGGAAACGAATTCGAAATTGTATCGAAAAGGGGTGAGTACAGCGCCGAGAGTGCCAGCTTCTCAGGCTACACAGTACTCGCGCCAGGGTTGGTGGGTGAAGTGGTTGTAAGCCAGGAGAGAGATCACAAAGCGTGCTCCTTTTTCTTGCCGTCAAGCTTGCTCAGCATTTCGTTGTCACTCCTGCCTCGCTGCTCTGGGGCGCCCGACGGATTACCTAGCATGTCGTGGACACTCATACCGCTACGACCATTTGGCAACAATGAGCTTCCGCCGTTGGCTTGGTTGGGTGGTGGAGTACGTCCGTCATCATGGTTTGCGCCTTGATGGGGAGAGTTGAAACTTTGCCCCGATTGCGGCGTCAAGCCTTGCGAAGGGGAAGTTGTACCCTTTTGAGACTGGGTGCCGTTGGGAAATCGAGATTGTTGTTGAGGAGGGTGAGATTGGTAGCTCATGGTCGATGTCGCAGGAGAAGTGGGAGCACCGCTGACGGGATCAGCATACTCGTAGCTACCACTGCTATTGGCGCGCGAGTCATAAGTGCTGTGTCGAGGACGCGCGTTGGGATGGGGAGACTGAGAAGCATGAGTGTTCTCGTTGTGCGGGTCATCATCAGGAGGGGGGCGCTTTAGACTGACACGATCATCATGCTGGGCGGGTTGAGCCTGCCCCTGTGCTTCATACGGTGATCCAGCCGGAGGAGGGTAGGGAGCCATGTTCGGACCCGGGTAGGGATATTGCGGAGGGTATCCGTGGGAAGCCGGCGGTGGCGGGTAGTTGTACTGAGGTTGACCGTGAGGTCCAGCAGGCCCGAGAGGTTGGCCGTGAGCACCATAGAGCATTGGTTGTTCTCCCTCACGAGGATAATGGCCGTTGGAACGATTATCACCGCCGCCCGCCACGGGAGCGCGGGCGGCGCCAGGTCCATAGACGGCATTAGCCGGTACGAAGGCAGCTTGCGATGAGACCGGATGGAAGAGACATTGCTGGTTGAACCGGACACAGTTTTGACATCGGCCATCCGGTGAACTGTCATACCCAGAGCAGCGGATCTAATGTTCGTGTTAGTTTCAGCACCACTTTGTTTCGAGATTCCTTGTCTCACCTTTCTCTTACGGCAATATTTGCAAGCTATGGCCGTCCGCTGTCGGGGAGCTGCAGCAGGAGGAGGGGGAGGAGCATAATGCTGCGGAGGAGGATAATACCCGTGAGGAGGATATGGTGGTGGAAGGCGGTACGCATCAGGCTGCATGGGTTGAGGCGGCTGAGCCATATCAGGCCTGGGAGGATAAGCATATCCAGGGTGTTGAGGATCCTTCTCGAATGTCAGTTTTGGCTATGACCTACAACACGGACAACAACTTACCGGATAATGGTGAGGAGGGTAGCCACCGTGTTGAGGCGGCCACGTCTGCGGAGGAGGATACGGATGCGCTGCTCTAGGGTCTGGGTACTGGCCTTGACGGGCGGACTCTGGTGGAGGAGGGTATGGACTGCGATCATCTCTTGCTCCAGGTCTCTGAGGAGATTGTGTTGAATAGTAGCCAGCCTGGTTGGGATCATCCGGCGGAGGGTATTGCGGCCGTTGAGCGTCTCTTGGGTCGGCCATTTGCGCCATGTCCAGAGATGGTGGTGGGTGATACAAGTCTTAGAGAAGGGTAACACGAGTCCAGGAAGCAACCGAGGCTAGCGAAAACGGGCAACGAAACGACCGTCGAGGCGTGGGTGGTACAAAGGAGACACAGCCGAAAGAGTCTGCTCTCAGAGCGTCGGCAAGGAGGGTTCTGGAAGGAATATCGACCTCAGAACCAGCTCAAGGTCGATGATATGAACTGCGCAGTCGCACGCACTGCACCGCAAGAAAGACACAATAGAGGGTGAAGTCCTGCAAGGGTGTGAGAAGTGACAGGCGGCAGATATTATCTGCTCTGAGGGGCGAATGGCCTCCGTGAGAGGCCGAGAGGAGGGATCAGGTGTTCGCGGCGCGGGAGGGCGGAATTTAGAAGAGGTTTTCTGGTGGAGAGAGCCGTAAAGGCGAGAGAGAGGTGTGTGTGCGTGGGTGAAGGCGTGAGAAGGTGAGAGTCGAGGTAAGAGTGGACAGGACGGTGAAGAAGTGACAAGCTGAAGGATGACGATTATGGGAGGAAGAAGTGGTTGAAGAGGAATGATTGGAGTGGTGACCAGAAGACGGTGGTGGAGAGAGTGTGCTTGTTAACTGCTTGGAAGTCGGCGTGGCGAGGGCTGCGAAGCGGCTTATAGGCCAGTGCGTCGCTTCAGGCACAATCCAGGGAGGGGGATTTTGACAGAGGGACGCTAGGCCGGCACTAGGCTGCTGGCGAAAAGCACGCCTGTCGGTCGGTTGTTCTTCTGGAAAGCCTAATAGTGTGAAGTCTGAGCCCCAACGAGTCGGGACGAGGGCCAAGGGAGGGAGGGTAGTGTACTCCGTAGAATAGGGTAAGTAAGTAAGCGTCTTAAGCAGGGGGGACGTTTATCAGCAGGGCAGGCAGCGGGTGCCACGGGTGTAACTCCCTCCAAAGGATCGTTAAGGCCAGGGTGGTATGCCTGTCGTCACGACCCCAGGTCTGTGCTTCGTACTTGAACTAATGGCCGCACTGGCACAACCAAAACTGTAGCGTCTTCTTTTTGCGTTCGCCGTGTGTTCCAAAAAGGCGTCTGGCGTCTCCGTGACCCTAAAATTTTCGAAAGAGACCCAACGGAGAAGCAACGGGTGCCATCGGTTGATGTGCATCCACCAACGGGTCCACTAGACGATGACTTGTGTGACCCTTGCTTCAGGGTGCGAGTATCATTTATTGGGATCGAAAGGAAGGGACCGTCCCAGGTCGACTGATGTTCTTAACTTGGTACAAGGTACGGGATAGGTAGGTACCGGAAAATGCAGGGTACCAAGGTGATAGAAAACGGAGAGCGCTTCCCCTCCGAGACCTGAGTTGTGGGTGTGTGTCACTTGTCAACCCCGGCTGGCGGTCAGCATGGGTGGCATCTCACTTGAGATCTAGTATTTGTGTTTCAGCTCTTTCTGGACCTGTGTTTTCTCTGATGTTTCGAAATCCGGATCACCCGTGGATGTCAGATAGGCAATATCGATATTTGTCAAAGATGATGTCTGCTGTCTCCGTATTGACAGGCGTGTGTTGGCAGAAGGTTGACAGGCGTTTTCCTTCTGGTTGCGACAGCTAGACTATTGCGGTTGATGGCACTGATCGTTCTGGGATTGTTCATCCGATGTTGGACATAAGGCAGCCAACTCGTAATGTGATTGGAGAGCACGTTGAAGAAGAAAGGTTCCACAGATGGAACCAAGGAATAATGGTAGTCGTATCGAGGCGAATAATAAAGTCGGTGCGCGAAAGGGCTTGCAACGAGAAGTCGTCAGTGGTAAAGAACTAAGATCCACAACTTCGGCAGAAGGCGAGCGCAAGGGCGGAGGCTCGGTCGCAGATGCAGATGCAGGCAATATTATGGGTTGATCGGACAGGGTGCCAGGGTCCTTTCTGCGGGTAAGTGACTTGCAGGATTATTTGCTGGTGGAAGCCGAGTGAGGACAAATGCCAGTCTCTGGTGGGCTGAGAGGATCAAGATGTGATGGCGATGATGTGATGATGCGACCTGTGCTTCGGTGAGATGGGAATAGTAATTGTGGGAAGCAGCGGACTGACTGTCTCTCTTTTTCCTGTTCTGCTCTTCCAGTACCCGGGAGTGTAACTAGCAACCTAGAAGGGTGCTGAGAGTGCTGAATGGCTCCCTGTCAAACGTGCCAGATGCATTCCCGTGTTCTCCACCGACCCGTCTGAATGGCAACCGCTAGGTTCGTGCCTCTTTTGGATCCTGGTTCGTTATCCGTGCGCGAAAGGAGGGCGAAGTGGGATGTTCAGGTGGTTCTGCCGCTCAATTAATTGGTCGCTTTACCTGGGTAAGGATAGTGAGGGGTGTTTGCTTGTGCGGTTGCAATGTGATTTTCTGGCCGATTTTAGGGCATCTATTGGTTCGCATGAACTCTTTTTCTTGCTCTTCCTTTTGCTTGTGGCTCATCGAGTGTCGGCTTTGATGGCAACGGGCGGTCTCAGGTGCCGAGTAGAGCTGCCTGCGGTGGTGTACTGACGATGAAGTCTGAATTGTGGGGCGGGGTGTCGTTGGTAAAGTGAGGCTTCGCAGATCGCACCAAGTTACTCAGAAAGCAAGCGCCATCTAATGAAGCATACAGTGCCGGTTGACGGGCTGTCAGAAACCCAGAACGGGCAGGAGAAGAGCTCGAAATGGAAGAACAAATTTTTGATGCCTCAAGAAATAGGGTGCGGATTCCCTCGCAGGATCTACGTCCCAAGAGTCACTGAGGTCGGCTTTTTGAATTTGAGACGGACCACTTATCAATTAATTCGACGATATGTTGGACAAAGTTCGGATGTCTGCGGACACGATTTACGTGCATATCAGGTTTATATCATATTCATCATTGACCAATGTGAAGCTCTGGTCTCCGTGGATTACCACCACCCAGCTGCCAACAGCAGAAGAATACTTCTTTTGATGGTGGTTAGGCTTTCTTTGGGTAGGGAAACAATGTGCCTAATGACGGCGGACTGGGGGAGAGCATGTTTTTAGTTCGAAGTCAAGAACAAGGGAAAGGAGCGGCGCGCAAAACGTGCAGCATGCAAGACGAGAGTCCGTCCGCCCGCCATAAGGGCGCCATCGACATGCATGCACTATCCCACTAGGCGAGTTTTTGAGCCCCCAAACCTCTGCATGCATGCGTGGCCCGGCGCCCGCTGGCTCCAGAAAACTCAAATGCCCAAGGGCGCGCGACGCACTGACTCCATGTGATCGAGATTCCGTGCCCGTCGTGCCGCGTCCAAGGTGGCCCAAGCTGGGAATGATAGGCTCACTAGGCGGTGCCATCGACTTGGTTCACCCGGTGAAGACTATATCCGGCTTGGCCAGTCCGTCTTCGACAAGGTTATACTCATACTACTATGCTTCATAGTAGCGGAGATCTTGTCAGATATCGTCTAGTAGCCGTCGATCCCATTGCCGTCTGTGCGCATCAACGGCTTCTTCTGATGCAAGTCAACGCACGTTATCACCATTCTTGCCGGTGGAAGAAACCGGTACCTCGTAGTCGGCAGATCACCCTTGAAGAGCCACCCGAAAATCATGACTTCACGTTTGCCGGGATTGTACCAGTAATCCCTGCATGTGTGAGATTAGGTGTACTTCGAGTAAACACATCGGTCAGCCAGAAAGAGGCATTCGCAAGGGAAATGTCACCATTTGACGTTTGATGGGCGGGTGCCAAGCGCATACTCCCCTCAAAGACATCCTTGTCCGGTTCAATTCTACGCGGGGTTGGCTGCCCTGAATGACAGACCGACCCCGCCTGAGCCACGATGGGAGTACAAACCCCAGATACACTTTGATGCATCTCTCATGCAGTATCGCGAGGAAAAGAGGATTGGCCTTGAACGACTGGTTTACCTTCTGCCAGTGGAACTGCTGGTGCAAAATATTGTAAAGCCCGGTAGGAAGCCAGGCACATCCCGAAGGTGCAAATCGCTTACTGGGGCTCAGAAAGCGGTGAGCATTCATCCAGGTAATATTCCAAGCATTGAAGGCGCGCAAGGAAAGACAAATGAAACTTCTTCCCTCCGAACCTCACCGCCTGGGAAGACATAGTGCTTAGGCACCATGTCACTTGACCTTGAGGCAAGGTAGCTGTGCCGTTTGGTTGCATACCGTGGCGACCGTAGAGAGGCCAATGACATGATTTTTCATCAATAGCCGCCAACGTCCGAGCAGTTGTCGGTTCGTCTATTGTCTCATGCAACAGCATTCCTGGCCTTCGCATCGGGCAGAAAATGCAGCAGAAATCCCTTGCGACCGGTAATGATGTACTGCTAGACGTCGCCCACAATCCTGGTCAACCGGTCAAAAGGTGCAGCGTAATCTTGCAGCCTTCGTCACCACTTTGATACCGGCTCGGTTCGTCCGCACTGAGAATGAAGAAAAAGAGATGATTGGGATTACTATGCGCGCAGGTCTGTCAGCCCCAGGCCACCAGCAGACCCCTGTTTCTAGCTGCCCACTACCGGTGCAGGAATACCTGGTCCATCGTCGGTCTGTAGGCAAGCAGAAGCACTGAATAACCACGCAGTGCGGCATGGGATACGGCTCGTTGGCCAATGGATGCAAGTAAAAATTCGTTGATGCCTGAACAATGCATGGGAGAAATCAACGAACAGACAAGCGAGAGCGAAAGGAAGGGTCGGCTCTATCCGTACCAGCCCGCTTGGGGGCCTCGTGCCCGCGTAGCACGAAAAAGGGGAGTCGAAATTATTTTGTCTTCTGGCGTCAATCAACGATCAGTGGTCACTGCCGTGGCCTCCCTTTCAAGTACGAGACATGACCCCGTCATCCGCAAGGGATAATCCGCTTATGCGCATATTCCACGCGGTATTGGATTGGTATTGCCACCTCATAAGACAAATCCGAAGAGTCATGATGCCGTAATTTGACATAATGCCTAACCCGTGAGTATCATTCGCGTTCGAGAGATCGACATGCCCTTGTAAGGAGAGTGAGAGGATCTGTCGATGGGCAGACAAACCTGCGACCTCTGCAAGCCACGGCTCGTATTTGTGGCAAGACGCAGACCAGGGTTCATTTTGACGTTTCCTGCCTCCTCATTCTCGTACGACAACATTTAGCGCCTGTCACCCATCGAAAGGGCAACTCAAATTGAAAGCCTCAAAGTACTAAGTTTCATAGTACCACTTGACCATGAAGCGTATGCCGGCGTCACAACTATGAACTGGAATGTGTTGCAAAACTGTATGGCACTGTTTGGGATGTGCTGGCATTTGACAATGCAATGATTTCTCGTCGAGTCCGGCCATGACTGCATAGTGCATCTGTGGGATGTTGGCCGCATTCTCTGCGCAGATATCTGCATGTCTCACCGATGCTGAGCACACTTTGACTGTCGGCTCGGAGGAATCCAGGTATGTAAGCGACAAAGAACGGATGCAGTCAAGAGACGACCAGCCTGCATGCAAATGGACAGATTTGCGGAATAGAGCAATCGGATCGCATGTTCCACGGGCCGGCGCCGACCCTTGATTCCCTGCAGGATCATCATTGATCGAGTCCTGGTGGAAATGCTAAGTTAATAACTCACGCGCCTGGCCACCTGACCTTGAACAAGACGAACACACCGCAACAACTCGAAGGGCCAGTCTTCCCATTCTTCTGCGGCGATGCATGTAAGGATAGTTCCGAGCAGGAAGAACACTCAAGTCGCGTCGTCGAAATCGGACCAATGACTTGGGCGCACACTTCTCTTCGTTGGAACAGGGCACCGAGAAATTCGAATGACTGGCCAGCAAAGAACATGCCCTGCGACACGCTCACGTGAAAAGTAGCAAATGCAGTGCGTTTCGGCCCGCTGTTGTTGGCAGTCCGTACAACCCAGCCGGTCTAAGTGTACATGGTAGGTGGCTGTGGGGGAGCCAATGATAACCCGTGTAAGCCTCGCTTCGTTGCGGTCTTGTTCTCGGTCTGCTGATGGTTAAAAGGAATTCGACGAACGCAGGGGTTGACCTTTTGCTGCCCAACATTCGTCCTCGCCATACAGGCACCAAAGTACAACGCCACATTTTTGAGTATTTGAACGGCGACTGAAGTGAGTGCATTTCGGTCGCTATCTCTTGGAGGACCATCAAAGCCGCGGGCTATTTGGCCAGCCCCCTACGAGTACAACTGGGTTCGAAGACATCCGGCCCATAACAACTAGAACTAGGATGTCCTTCCTCTGACGATGCGGCCCGTCTCTACTCGGTGCTACTGCACCAGCCGAGAGTCACATCTATAATCCTTGATACCATGCCTCTATTCCAACTTATGACATCCGTCGCGCACGGTGTCGTTCACAGACCCAGGGCGATCAACCACAGCGTCATGTGACTCCACTTACAATTGGACGCCTCAACAGCGTCAACACAGCACGACTGATGATGGGACGATATTTGCTGCGCACAATTGGTGATTTGACGTCAAATACAAAGTGCATCACACATCACTTCTCATTCAGCTGTGCACGCAACACAACCGGAGTATACTCCACCAAGGAAGTAGTGTAACACAGAGCCAGCTGGCCAGGTAGGTGTGGGGTTTGCAGGGATTGTGTGCAGAGGCCCCAGCATTGGCAATATTGCACACCAGCACGAGCCCCTTTGCGCCCAAAAGAGTTCTTTTCCAGCGAGTATCTTTTTCTTGAAAGAGGTATGTTCATCCGAGCTATTCAAACGTCGGTGGCAATATTCATCATCTTTACCATCTTGTCACAATGTATCAACGCTCAACCGTCTGTGCCATCACTGCTGGAGTCATCCTCATCGGGCATGACTACGCTATTGAGGTACGTGACCTGGCCACAATCGTCAGCATGCTACGCTTTGTTGGGCGAGGAACGGGACATCTGGAGTGATTCTCAGCCGCGACCATGGGTGGGTGGGGAGCCTTCGGCAGCATCAGAGCCACCAGACGGATCATGTTGCCCTCCTTCATCACATTATCATCCAGTCAAAGCGCGCCACGGCCTTGATGAGGACCAAAGAGGATGGGGCAATGTCTATGTGTGAACGCACTAACGATTACCTCTCGGCAAGTCTCTGTGCGATTCACGCCATAACTCTCGCTGCGACGCGAGAGCACGCGGCAAATTGTGGGAAAAGACGAATTGAAAAGAGGTGGGGTGGACTTACAAAGGGTACCAGGACACCAATCAAGTCAAGGATATTCTGCAAACCATGCTCACTTAGGACTTTCTCGTCCGGTATCGCCTTGCCGAGCGTGAAATTGCGCAAGCGCAGCATTTCGATATTGGGATTGTCGGCGTCATAACCCTGCAGAAATGAGTTATCAGCTCGTGTCCAAACAAGGTTTCCTTTCGGCATTCAGAGATGCTGAGATCAGTTGAGCATCGAGACGCTGGGGCTCGTGTTGGGGATCGCTGGTGATGACAGCTGCGCGCAGTGTTGTGTGGCGGGCAACTGAGGAACGACCCGAGACAATAATGGTCAAGGCTTGAGGAGGGGCACTCCTCAGCGTTCGCCATTATTGCCCCCTCCGAATCGTCCTGCCGATGGTGCCGTTCACCATTTCGTAGTTTCCTCGCGCTCAGACAGCAGATCCAAGACCATTTTTGACTTTATTTCCCACGTGCAAGCGGATGCCTAACTCTAAGGGAGCTCTTCTTACGCACGGGAGCCGGCCTGTGGCGAAGATGTGGCCCTCGCGCTCAGCAACCGAGGAAGAACGCTACCAAGACTGTCGAGTCGGCCCCCCAGACATCACCCAAGAGCAGCGGTCAGACGACAGCAAAGCGTTTCTATCGATGGATCATGGGACGCCAGTCGCACTGACAGAGATCAATAGTCTGGCTTCCTTCGACCGAATGCGAATATATGCTTTCATGCTCTCGTGGGACTTGCCACAGAGGGGAATTGTCTCCGAAGGCGGGGATACATCGCTTGTTCGCAGGCGGTACGAGTAGACGATGCACAGACATCGACGATGCGCCCGTCCTCAACAACGTGTTGGAGTATTTCCCAGCCAGCCACGAACACATGGTGCGAAGAAGGGAAGAGACTGACTAACCTTTGGTTTCGTTTTCAAAGCATTTTCAGAGTTCTGCGCCACGAAAGCCTTGATGGCCTTCCTCTCGTCCGAGGCTCCCCCCAAGATTTGTTTTCGCATTTGGGGCTCCATCAGCACACGCTTCAACTTGTGCGACTTTCTATCTATGTTAGTCCTCAGAAGAGCCAGTGGTTGGGCTTCAGGCATCCAGAGTCCAGCACCTGCGCGACCAAAGAGATGAGTGAGGTCGATCTTAAGCGAGCATTCTCTTGACATACCAACGAAGCTTTTTCCTCCTGGGTGAATCTGAACATAGTAGGCTGCATACGGTCCCTTTCGTCCCGTCCGAGACCTGTTGTAGGTCAGTGCTCCTGCTTCACCATGTTTCGACGACTTCGGATTTCAACCTACCATGCCGCCGAGAAGTGTGGCTGTTCGAGATCGTCAATGAGATTCGGTGCGGACGGACAGACAAAGAGTTGGAAGAAAGACATACCTTGTAAGGCGTCGGGTCAGGAGAGAATCTGACGTCTCGATAGATCCTGAATACCTGCAAATTGGGTGTCAGTAGGTAAGAGGAAAGGCTGTGAAATTAGGCTGACCAGGTCTTTGGGTGGGAGCTCAGGTATTGTTTCGTCGATCTGTGAGATCTTCTCTGTCAGGGTCTCGACAAAGCTTTCCCAGTCTTTCCACGATTGCCTATAGTCTGGGTCATGCACTGTTTGGGGTTTGTTAGAACATGCCTCGCTAATAGGATACCATATCATAATATGAAGGCAAGGTGTGGTCGATGCACTTATCGAAACACGCTTACTTTTCAACCATTCTCGGTCATTGTTGTTCTTGAGGTCCTTTAGAAATGCCATGGTGTTCGGATGGATTCTGTCTGGCATATATTTGACACCGCCATCTCCCCTGGGCTTTGGCTTTGCAATGAAAACCTGTTTACCTGGGCCCAAGCCTGTCTGGACGCCAGGTCGCCAGAGTTCTTTCTCATTAGCAATGGCTGATGCCGCGCCAATGCCTGCCTTCGTGCCATTCGCCTTCTTCTTTGGCCTGTGTGGCTTCACATCTTCGTCAGAATCATAGTCGTCTTCGTCGTCTTCTTCTTCACTAGAAGTCTGCGGCTCTGTCATGGATGCATCCTCATCCTCATACCCCGGGTCTTGGACTTCATCTGCCGGATTGTCGGAGACCTCGTCATCTTCAAGGTCTGGCTCTTCAAAGTACTTGCTCTTCGTGGGCGTGACCTTGGTCTTTTCCGCAGACTCCTTCAATCTCTTGGAAATTCTGCTGCTTGGTGTGACAGTAGCTGGGGTTTCTGACAATTGGCGCTTATGGGACTTTGCGGAGCTGGGCGTAGCCTTCGTTGCCCCTGACCTTCGTACTGGCATTGTCTAATTGCACCTCTAAAGAATGAGTGCAGTAAGCTCCAGAAAGGTGACTCTTTATCTTTTTGAACAATGAACGATATATCCTCACAGAACGTTCCTGAGTCAAAAGAACCTTAGAATGTCACTAAGTGTATGCTTAAAGTGGCACGGAAACGCGTCCAGGATGGGACGTGTCTACGTGTTTCTATGACATCACCACATTCTGTCCCCTGACTACTAGTATACCTCAGTGCCGGCGACACAACTACCAAAACTCTCTCAGAAACAGCTTTCTTCACTTCGAATTTCATGTCGCAGCTTTCTCCGTACAGCCACTTCGCAAATTCCACCAGTACGAGAACGTGTTCTGTCGGATTTTCTCGCAGACTTACTCTCTACTTCAGGGGAGTTGGTCAACCGAGCTGATATATATCGACTCAGAGTTGTTCAGCGTATCCCGGAATTTTTGCGCCTCCTGATACAATGTCTTTCGGAGTTTGTTGACACTTCCCAGTGGCTGTTGATCTTTGCGCCCATACCAGACATTGAGCTTCATCTTATTTTCCCAAAATGTCCGTCTCGCACTATCAAAGCAGTCCTGGCCCTTGGGGAACAACAGCGAAGCCACCGTCTCGAACGGGTATTTCTTTTCGTCCCATTCATAATTGCACTTTTCGACCGGCTGGTCCTTCAGGTTCTCGCAGAGCTGTATCCGGAGATCATATGTCGCATCGTATTGCTGAAAAAATTCTCGCAGCCAGATGGAGTGCTGCTCGGGATCCGAGTTCTTATCAATCTTGTCCTTCTTCGCCAATTCTTCTTGCAGCTTCCCAGTGGGAAAGAGTGCATACTTGGCCACAAGATTTGGACCCCAACAATATGCGCTTTGCGAATACATGGTATAACCCACAAAATGATGGTTGGGTAACATTGCCGGCGCCATTTGCGTGAGGACGTCAGTACTCCGTACGCTTCATCAGCTGGTACTTTAGATTTTCTGGCTTCCTGAAGTTTGCTTCCCGGATGCGGAATATCTCTACTGTGGTGGGGAGATCTGTCAGTTCTAGAAGGGGGGCGTTGTGTATGGGTCTTTTCGCCCATAGGATCGAGGAAGTCTCCAGCAACGTCAAACACCTTCATCCCGCATCCTCGAGGGCCAGGCTCTCGATCATCCTGCAGAAAACTTGGCTCATTTGCGAATCGGAGTACGACAGGCTTCTTTCCTCCATTGTCTTTTTGGTTCTCGGGTGAACATATGCCGTGTGCGAGTTCGTCTCGAAGGTGGTTGATGGTGAGTTCGCCTTAACAATTCCCTGAGTTTTCACATGCGTCCCTCGAAATCCGTGCCTGTGCATGGAGAAGTTGTGCGACTGAACCCCATGTATTAGTGAAATGATCTCGCCGAGAAGTTATTGTTCGTTCTCAATGGGTGGTTCGACACCCGGGTCGCTAGGGTGAACATATTTGTCCGACATGTCTAGCCCTTTCCGTCAGAATGAGCTCCTGGTGTTCTGTGATGAACGCCGGTGAGAAATCCAACCAAATATGCTCCAGAACAAGTTCATCACCAGGCATTGTCTAAGTATGGCTTTTAGGCGTCACAGGTCAATAACCCGTTCCTGAAGTCATGACGTAAGCATCAAAGAAGACCTAAATTCAAGTACCTATGTTGGACATGATCACTGTCGAAATAACCCATTTGGAATATTGTTTTGTCATCCGTTACCAGACCTGGTGGTCGTTCTGGCCAAGCCTGTCCTTGCTGTTCGCGCTGACCTCCGCGAAGTCAAAGATGTGGAGGTTCCACGCCTGCTGGTAAGTTTTGTGACAACGATTGAGATCAGGAGTGATCATTGGAGGAGAAGGTTGTCGGACCAGCCGTTTGAGTATGATCATGGTGTCGCGAATCCCAGAGAGGCTGGCCTTCTAGGCAGATGCTCCTGTGGCCAGACTTTGGGAAGGTAGGAGAGAACGTTGGCATTCAGCTGGTACCATCTAATGAGAACAACGCCGTTCGTGGTATCAGCCACAAGATCTACCCTATATCTTCACCCAAACCAGCGCTCTATGCAAGATGGTGCTGTCTACAACCAAGCAGCACAACGGGGGACCCGAAGACATGGTACCCAGCCAAAGATGGAGTGACCAACACTAAGCACCAGAACCAGACACCTCAAACATATTCCCCAGCCAGGCCGCAAGCATCCCAACCATCTCCTTAGTACAGCTATGCCCGGTGTTATCCTGGACAAAAAACCTGACCTTCTCAGCACAATGGCGTTCCTGCTGTCGCCGCACCCATGCCGCCGTATGTCGCGCCGGTACCAACGGATCTTGCCTCCCATTGCACAGCAGCAGCCGTACATCAGCAGGAAACTCGTCTGCAGCCTTTCTATCGCCACTGCTGACCAATTCCGCCAGCGGCCTCGGCCAGCGGCGCCGCTGCTCCTCATTCATCACCTTTTCAAGTCTGTCGTAACTGACGTTGTGCATCTCGTCCTCCGTTGTACCGAGACTGGCGGGATCAACGCCTAACCGACTGAGGAGCAGGGCGCTTAGATTGGGGCATCCAACGATCATGGCTAGACCGTGTAATTGTTCTTGAGCCATGCTGGCCATGCGCCATGCCGTGTGACCGCCTAGCGATACACCAGCCATGATGTTGTAAAAGCGTTTGAACTGAGGTAAGTACGATGGCAGGTAGTCGAGGATGAGCTTGAAGTCCTGAGCTGACCCAGATATCAGGGACAGCAAGTCCATTCCGTGGTTGTCGTTGCCGTCGGACCATGTGAGATTCGCTGCTGGGCTGATCTATGTGTCATATTAGCATGTAGTCTGTGTGGACGCAAAAGCCAGGCCTTGGGCCAGCGTCGTTGCCATACCTCACGGTCCCCATGATTTCGCATGTTCATCGTGATAGCGATGAGTTCAACGGATTTTGTCTTGCCATCGTTGCGGTAACTGTGTAGGACCTCGTGGGCAATGCCCTCTGTGACTTGGTATGTTCGCGTGCGGTTGTGTGCAAGATACAACACTCCCACATCCGTATCGGAGCGTCGTTGCAAGTCATCCAGGCCGTAGATGTAGATCCTGACGCCGCCGATGACCAGCTCGGTCTTGCTCGACCGTGGTGTACTGTCGGGTAATGAGAAGCGTGGCTCAAGTTTGGCTTTGGGTGTGGTCGTTGTTGGCTTGGAGGAAGTGAGAGACTTGGTCGTCGGACTCAAAGCAGGGCTAGAACTGGGACTTGGACTGGGACTCAGCAGGTACGGAATTGCGACTGGAACTTCTTCCTGGTGTTGTATCATCTTGGGGTCTGTCTTGTGTGCTATACTGGAGGAGGTTGCGGAAGCCCAAGAACAAGTGCATACATCTTGGACCTCGGGTACATGATACAAGGAGACAACATAGCACATGAATTGTCCTGCGAGTAGGTTACAGCGGGATAGGAAGAATGTTGCAGCCTTGCGGAGTATACTTTCGGCAATTAGTAGAGATAAACGTCCGGTAAATAAATATGGATCTGTGGAGATGGGTCTGAGCTTTTCAGAAATATGCTTTTGGCCACTGAAGCTACCTAACGGCACGATTACAAGACTATCAGAGGATGAGTTGCAAAAAAGCCGAGGATAATCGGAGTCGCGTTGAAGCTCGCGAGATGATGGCCGGCCACCTGGTTATCAGCATTTGGTGCCGTGCTGGGCCAGTCGTGCCCGATGACGGCATCATACACAAGCCCAACCAGGCCTGTTTCCAGCCCAGCGTCATAGCGGTACAGCACCGTGTTGTTGGCGATGGGGATTGTCGTGTTCTTCGGACTCAGGAGGTCACGAGCTGCCCATTCTTCAATGAAATGTGGGATAGTTGGGAGGCACTCATCCTTCCGTTCGCCGCCGTTGTAGGAGATGGTTGTGTCGTTTCCACCGTGGAAAGCAAGCATCGGGATGTCATGTCTGGACGGAGAGCATGGCAGGTTAACGGTAGTCGCATTGCAGGGCAACGTATCGACATAGTAGGCTCCGGACACCGGGGCAAATGCCGCGAAGCGAGAAGACAGGTTCGGGTCGCAAGCCAGGACGTTGCAGAATCCACCGCCATCAGACTTCCCGGTCACGAAGACGCGGTGAGGATCAATGCAGTAACGTGATTCAACGTCGGCAAGGATGTCGGCTGTGAATAGCACATCGTTGGTGGTGATGCCCGGGACGCCCTGCCAGGTATTCTATTCGACAAACTTCGTCAGTAACCGGCTGCAGGCATCGTTGTCAAGGGGCTCACATTGACTCCCTGGGGGTAAATGACCAGAGATGCCGTATTGAACTCGGGATTGGTCAACTGATCGAGCTGCTGTTGACTCTGCGCCGTCCTGGATCCACCGTGATAACTGAAGATGACCGAGGTGGGTATATATGGATTGTAATGTGGGGGCACGAAAACGAGGTAACTTCGTGTGAGGCTGTCGCTCTGGATGGTCACATTTGCCGTGTTGCCATTCTGTTGTCCTGCAGGAAGGGTGCGTCCGCAGCCCCCAGTTGCAAAGTCGCGAATGAGTGTGCGTGCTGCCACCGAGGTGAACTGCATGAACCATAGGGTGAACATGCATTGCCATAATCTCGTGACCGTTCTGGAAGCTGCCATTGTGTCCCGGAAGATTAGAGCAGCTCTAGGCGTTTCGGAGTTGGAAAAGAATTTGAGGTAAAGATCTCAGAATGAGCCTTCTGGTACCTGCGAAAGCAACCTTTATTGTCCGACGTAAAGGTCAATTGAGCAGGTCGATTACTTATATAGATTCAGAAGCCGCAACTTCCTCCATTTCGCTTAGGAAATTGTTCTCGTGGTTGAGGCTACTTCTGGGGTTTGGGCTGGGGAATTTCGGAGTGCCCTCCGTGCGGCGGAGGTTGTGGGCGTCATGATGGGCATTATGGGGCTGCAGTTCCTACAGCCTTGCTTGCCGGTGAACTCGAAACAACGTTGACGGCATGTTGATCAGAGCAGGTCGAAGTGAAGGCAAAGTCAGGTGGTTGAAAGAAGTTGATGTGGGTTTGTTCGGGAAATTCGGGTACTTCGGTACATTAGGCTCTTAGTCGAGGGGAAAAACAGGGATGGTGACGAGGATGAAGGGGGTCGCAAGAGACGAATCCGGGATCCTGGAGGCTCAATCATGCGGGCAATAATAGCGGGGTGTGTGTGGGTTATGGCATCGGTTCCTATACGCCGACTTTGCTAAACGAGATGAGTGTAGGAGGTCTCATGATTCATTCGAACTTCAGAGAAGAAACCAGCCGAAGGTCGGCGCAATAGGGAAATGTCCCATTCTCATGGTCAGTCTTTGCGCCGCTACGAAAGTCGATGAAGACTGTGGAAGGCTTGGTGCCTGTAAAGCAAAGCACGAGAGCAGAGAGAACGGCCCTAGTTGTCAGACATTGAACGCCTGCTGTTCAGGCGCTATGCACGCACTTTCCTCTACAAAACGTATCTGAAGTCCTTGGTCTGAAGATCCGAAAGATCCTCGTCGACTCCGTGCAAGTGAACAGTCCCACCCGTGGCCCTATTGCGCTTCGCATTTTCTCTCCTCAGTAACACCCAAGTCACGGCTGCAATCACCACCACACAGCACAGGCAGATACAGCTGCCCATGAACCCGGCGTGATAGACAGGCCCCGGGGATGCACCGAAGATCTCCGGCCCGATCACATTGCCCACGCAATAACCTACAAACGTAGTGGCACTGACAGTAGCTTTTTCTGCTTCGAGTTAGCAAGGGCCCATATCGCAGATGTGCCTGGGTACTTACTGGTATGTCCAGCCATGTTTGAGGCTGCCAAGGAAACAGCTAAACCACCCGCAGCAACCTGAACGGCAATAAGGAAGACGCCAGCGAACAAGAGACCTCGGTTGCTTCGAGGACCGGTCCAAGCGATCACTGTACCGGCAATGGAAATCAGAGCGCATACGATGATGCACAGATAGCGTAGATTGTTCCATTTACGCGTCACATAGCCGATCGACAGGATACTCAGAGCCGTGATTGCACCAATTGGGCAGGTCAGTGCCAGGGAGTCAAAGTGAGAAAAGCCAAAGCCGTTGATGACAACAGTGCCAAATGTGCCAATCGCTCCAGAAGGGACACCAGTTAGGAGAATGATCAGAGTGCAGCTGTACAGCTTGTAGTCGCGGAAGGCCTCGAAGAATTGAGCCTTGTTGAATTCTCGTGTGACTGTGCCGGCATTGTTTCGCTCCAGACGGCTGATGACGATCTTCCTCTCCACCTCGTTGAGCCGCTTGGTAGTCAAAGGATTATCGGGAAGGGTGAAGAGAAGTACGAATGACCAGCAGACCGTGATTACGCCGAGGATTAGGAAGATTGGCTTCCAAGCCTTCAGCGAGCTATGAATTTGTCCAAGTCCATAGTTGATCAGCGGTGAAAGAGTAGTGGCCACCCCGACGCAACAGTACCAGAGACTCGTTCGCAGGGCTTGTTCCTCTCGGGTCCACCAGAAGGTTACAAGCACCGTGAACGCTGGCGCGACAGTAGACTCCAAGAAGCCGAGGAAGAATCGGTTGACCATGATGCCAGCATAGTTGTGGCATCCGGCTGTGGACATGACGACGGCAGCCCAAAGGAATGTTGCGCCAGCAATGACTCGTGATGTAGGATAATGTTGAGATAGGTACATCATAGGGTAGGTGCCGACCAGGTAGCCAATGTAGAAAATCATTGATGCATTCGAATATTTCTGATTGTTCGTGATTGCCGTCCCATCTGCTTCGTAGCCGATGATTCTGGTCAGCTTCAGGTCGCTGTTGAAGCCGAACTGTGTCGATGCGCTCATGATTCCCTTGTCGTAGCTTTGCAGGAAATAGGTGAACATCATGAGGGGAAGAAGCCTACACGAGATCTTCAGTCAGTGCCAGGATAACTGTGTTTGAGAAGACATTGTCCTTACCAAAAGTCGAGTTTGCGGACAAGGCGCTTCTCATCCTGGGGAGTGAAGCCATTGGCTTCAGCCTTGGTGGCATCGAGATCGTCGAGTCGTTCTGTCTCAAGGACCATATTCTCTTCCTTCATCTCTTGGATGTTGTTGTTGTGGCTAGATTCGACGGTGTTCATCTTGACAGTGTTCAAGCAATCGTCAGGTCAAGCAATAGTTCAGCGGAGCTCGAGCTTTCGAAGATCATGGCGAGCGTAGAGGAATGCTAGCCGCGATTTATAGCATTTCTGGCTTCGTGATAGCTTCAACATGTCGTGCTGAGGGACGTCTCCATCGGCAAACTTCTCTTCAGGAGGTCATTTCGGCCAAGTATGGGGCAGCTAAATGACATTGACCGCATGTCCGACTTTTTGTTAGTGTCTTTGGCTGAAGCGAGGTGTGTGTGTAAGCATGACTGGCTGTGGCGGAGAAGACCACCCGTGCCACCCCAGATTTGCTGCAGCTCGCCATGGTCCGGAGACGGTCAGCACTTAGATTCCCGAATGTAACCTTGGGCCATCAAGCCGAATCAGCCGCGGCTGACAAGGCTTCCCATGTCCTGTACAAGTTTACGAGCCGATCCAATCTGTGCGGCACCGTTAAGACTCATCTGTCCTGCTGAAGCAATTTGCCGCGGCAATCTTTTACATTTTGACTCCATCATGTCGCTCGAGGCAGATCTCGAGGGGGACTCTGGGGAGCGGAGTGTGCAGGGCAACAACAACAGCAATAACGGGGCTCAACGCAATCGATCACGTGTGGCGTGCCAGAGCTGTAATCATAGGAAAGTGAGATGCGATGTTACTAAGACGGGCATACCTTGCTCGAATTGTCAGGATCATGCGTCCATTTGCGAAGTGCTGCCACGCAAGAAGCACCGGTAAGATACGATACCATACACAACTATGCGGATTGATCTGACATGAAGGATTGTTGCATAGGCCCCGCAGAGCACGAAGTGAACTCCAGAACTCACACGTGCATTCAACTCACGACAACAACGAGCTGGAGCATGCTCAAGTACCATCAAAGCAAAGTCATTATAATCTAACACCGAACCCTCATCCACCGCCGGTCAAGGAGGCAATCCTTTCTCCCAATGCCAACAGGGCACACTCTCAACCTCAACTGCCTCTTCCAGCCAACGAGCAGACACCTGTATCGATAGCCACAAGTATCGACAGCCATATCACGAAGAATCGTCGGCCCAGCCCTGAGACCGATGGCTTACTACCAGATGACAGTTCCATTTCCTACCTAGGTAAGCGACCTTTATCGAGGGAGGAGATCATAGCCTGACCGCAATAGGTGACCGCCGCGGTCCACGATTTTCAGTCTACGAGCTATGTCACCCGGCTCCAGCCCAAGAGGCAGTACCCTATCTCCCTTCACCAGCGTCCAAAAGCTCATGGAAGCCTTCGGAACTTCAGTGTTTGAGGGACGTAGGCGCATTCGCCAGCCTCCCACGCGACGTCTCAGACGAATTGGTCCGGTCATATTTCCGACATGTCCACTCCTTCCTGCCCGTGATCGATGCTGCAAGCTTCCTGAACGAGTACGTGAAGAGCGGGACCCAAAATGTCAACCTGCTGTTGTTTTGGAGCATGGCTCTTGCTGCAACCAATGTGAGTTGGTATACTTACCTTTGGCCGATCCATCGCTGAAGATATAAAGTTCGTTGGTGCCGAAGTGTTGGCGAAGGCCGGTTACACTTCTAGGAAAGCGATGAAGGTTGCATTTTATGCGCGTGCCAAGGTGGGTTGAAACCTGTAGAGATCTTTCCGTCCTCGCTACTGACAACCTATAAGCGTCTCTACGACTTCGATCGCGGAACCGAGAAACTCACACTCATTCAATCCGTCTTGTTGATGGGATTTTGGTATAGCGATGCACAAGACCATACCGGAGCATGGTACTGGATCGGAATTGCAATCTCTCTTTGTCAAAGCCTTGGCCTCCATCGACACTCCCAAGCCTTACGCTCGGGTCAACGACAGCCAGAAGAGCTTCGACGCCGGCTGTGGTGGACATGCGTGATCAGAGACCGATGGGTGTCCCTGGCCAAAGGACGCCCGATGCGCATCCATCAGGAAGACTGTGATGTCTCCTTACCTACCGCTGAAGACATCATTAAAGAGATGAACACCATCTCTTTGCAAGCCCGGGATACGTACATGCCACCAGATGCCGAGATACTGGCGAGGATGTGGACCCGCTTCGTCAACATCAGCGCCGTTCTCGGAAGCATACTACGTGTTCACTACCGAGTTCAGGGTCACAAGCCGGACGTTGACGAGATCAATGTATATGCACAAGCATTGGATGGTTGTGCCGATACGGAGAATTTGGCGAATCACTTCAACCACAACACACGCCTCCACGCCTACCAACTCGAACTATTCTATCAGTGAGAATGGACTTACTAGTGATCAATGAGAGGGAAGAGCTAACACATACAAGGGCTACAATCGCTATACTATACCGCCCTTACCTCTTGGGCGAGCCTCCAGCCATGTCTCGTGCAGAACAAGCATCATGGCAGAAGACGGCCATGGAGAAAGCCAGGTCAGCCGCTTCGAGCACCAACCGCTTTTTGGAGAAAATCATCGAACTCAATGGAGTTCATCTCTTGAAGCCCATGATGTAAACCGTCCCATCTTCAAACATCTTAGCGTGTGTCACATGCTAACGTTGACTTCTGGACAGCATTACCTCTTTGATACCAGCAATGCAGATACACCTGTTCGACCTCAAGTCAGCCAATCCGTTGGTCAAAGGTCTTGCCAGCACTCGGCTTCGCCTTTGTATGCTGATACTTCTGGAGCTTCGAGACACTTATTGGAGTGCTGGCGTTATGTACCGGCTGTTCGAGCGCGCGCAGCAGATCCTTGAGGCGTCAAGCACTGTTGCTAGCCATGGCGCTGGAAAAGCGAGTCGCCAGTCGACAACTTCGGAATCGTTATTGCCGGACCGCGCCCAAGAGTCTCCAGAACTGCGACGACAGCACTTCCCACAACAAAATGTTCCGCTTGCCAATATGACCGAGTCGACTCTGCCCATGGCCAATAACTTTGCGCCAAACAGGCGGTGGCCTGGCCAGGCCATGTTTAATGGTATCGATCAGCTGCTTAGCCCGGGCTTCACGGTCTCTGAGGACGCTTTCGAGAATTTGTTCATGGGCTTTGACGATGGGCTAGGGTTTTACGATCCAGGAGGGGCTGTGCTCAATGGTGGAGCAGTCGACCTGATGTACAATGGTTGAAAAGTTTTTGCGAGCAGTCGACTTATACACTGATACCCATAGCGAAGAGGTTTCCGATTTTGTAGCCTTTGCTCGCAGAGGGAACGCCTTCAGCCTTCGAAATCTCTACCATACTGTCGAAGACACAGCCACAGCCTGGTAAGTTTTGTGGGTACCCATTACCTCAACTCTTGCAATCGAGTGCTGGAGCATTATCGAGAGCTTCTCAAACATCTACGAGACCGCACCCAGGGCACAGGCGATGTCATCTTGACGGAATCGGCCCCATCATCAACATGTGCAATCTCCATTGAAGCCAATGTCATGAACGACATTCTGAGGACCCTGCACAACATCTGCGGTCAGCGAGCTTTTCTTCTTCTTTGGAAAATGCAGATGGCACGTCCGAACTTCTGCCGTTTGAGATACGACCGTGACGAGGTAACTTGGGCCTCATGATGATTGTGTGCGTCACAAGATCCAGCGCCATGTGGATGAGAAGCGGCCCGTGCGGATGAATTCTGTGCGAGGCTGCTTACGTAGTATCGGCATATCTGGGCGGATCTGATCGTCGCGTGCTTACGGAAAGGATCTCAGCACCTACAAAAGTCCCGCACGTGTCTTGGTATACAGATAACAGGCCGCAGTAATGCAGTACATCCGGACATGGCGCAGTTGACCTGAACTTGAAGCCCGTACCTGACAGGGGACCTTTTTTTTGGCTCCAGGTCCATACTCAGAAGAGAAAAGGCTGCCGTGCGAGCCGCGTACTGACAAAGCCAGGCTGCCAGGCACTTTCAAATCAGATAGGGAAGACCCTGCATTAAGCATCTTGTTACGGGGCCTTTGGGGCAGGCCTTGGACCCTTATGGTTCGCTGATTGTTGGGACGCTAGGCGGAAAAACCACTGACATCCCGGCGCGACGTCATATTTTCTGGGCTGCACAAGAGATGAATCAGATCAAACTGCAACTTCAGCCTTCTTGTCTCCGTTTGTCCCTGCCTGGCTCCAGCTGCCACAACGCACCTGGTCGTTGCATCCATCGCACAAACAAACATCCATCTCTTTTTACAGCATCTACCGTTCAATCGTTTATACCTGGTGGCCTTCCCGTGCCCAATGAGACCAACACATATGCATTGGCATCATAGCATCTTTCGACTTCTGTAGCAATTCACCTTATTCTTGCCATTCATCTCGCTTAACACAAATACATAACACGTCCTCCCACGTGGTCGAACTTCCTGACCTCTCTTTCCAGCGCATACTACGAGCGCTCCTCGACTCTTCAATCATACACGCGCACAACTTATCAGCAATTCCTCCATCCAGTCGGCTCGGCAGAGATGTCTCCTCATTCTCCGACTCACGCTTTCGATCCTACTCCAGCTCTTGAGTATGATCCAGGCAACTTCTCCCCACTGAATGGCTCAAACCAAATGGATGCATCAGGCGACGGTACCTTTTCCAAGGGTGTGCGTTTCTCTGATGCTCCTCCCATACAGATGCAAGCACGTCATTCAATAGCAACGACAAACGTCCCATTGCTACCAGCTGTTTCATCTTCGAGTCAAATACCCAGGCACGGCTTTCACATGTCGAATGCTACGTCGGAAGTGGATATTACTGCATACATGGAACAATGTCAATTGATAAATAAGCGCTTGAGAGAGTCTCATGAAAGTGAGCGAAAAGCATGGGATATAGAAAGAACTGCGCTCAAAGCTCGCATTGGGGAACTGGAACGAAGAATCAGTAGGAGCAAGGATCCGAACAGGAGGTCCAGTAACGACTTTTCAGGCACGAGTCTGTACGCGTTTCGGGCGGACTTCAAGCCCTCCACAACCGCCGGTCATAATCGCACAAGGTCCAACTCAGAATCAGACAGAGCACACCCGCCTGTCTGGGCTGGTCCTGAGAATTATCCTCCTGCTACAAGGGTCTTCTCGCATGAAGAGGACGGGGCCCACTTACCCAGCATTTCGGAAAACGAAGCACTCCCACCACTGTCCAAAGAAATTTCTCCCACTGCTCAGATAAAGGTGGAAAATGTCCCGGTGCCGATTGAACAGGTTGACAAAACCCTCGATGGCATCACCCTCAAAGCTTCGGCTTTGACCTCTAGCTTCGACACAGGTATAACCAGCCCTCAGTTTGCCTCGCCGGCCCACACGCCATCACCACAACCCAGGAGGGCTCCAGACGGATTGTTGCAAGTGGATGTCAATACTTTGCTTTCGCCGCTGGATGAGAAGTTGAAAAGACACGCCGGCCACACACCAATGATATTTGACGGGACCTTGTCTTCAGGCAACACAAGCACCAATGTTTTGACCCCGAAGCAAGAAAAGCCAATTGCGCCGGCTCCAACGAAGCGACCCCCACTTCGTCCATCAGAGAACTCCGATGGCTATTTCTCATTCACGTCAGCGGCCAAAGATCCCGTTGATTTGCCCAAAGAGCCCCTTCTGGAGAGCGCTGAGGCGGAAGAGGAACCAGAACATGAGACCCACGATGATCCAGCTCTTCATGGCCCACTTATGCTTGATTCCAATGCGAAATCCGAGGCAGCTAACGCCTTCCTCGAAAAGGTGGATGCCAAGCTTTCCGAAGAAGCAGCTCATCGGTCGCGGTATGATTCGACGGTGTCTGAGGAAGCCCAAGAGGAGAAGTCAACCGATACCCCTGAGCATGCTCCTGCTCGAGAGGCGGCTGATGACGACATGCCGAAGCTGAAGATTAAGAACAGCATGAATTTCGGTAGCGCTTGGGGTGGAGGAGCGCCTGGCCGCATATAATACCAACTGTGTGCGACTATCATCGACGTTGGTGTATTTTTGTCGTTAGCGGTCATAAGAGTCGGAGTTCCCACCATGCAAGTCTGAAGCGGAAGCCGTTGGCGTTGGCTAAAAATGTCTCATCTCTCGAGAAGGAGGGTTTCTGTGTCAGAAAAGTTATCTGGGTTGGCTTGGACGGAAAAGTGCTGTTGGAACGGCCGGTTCTTGCATAACAAGAAGTGATGGCAAGGTCAATCCAGAGTCATTTATCGGGAGAGTTGGGAGCCAGAATCAGACTCAACACCTATAAATAGTCACTGCGAACCTGAGTTGGAGATTCATGAGGTTGAAGGACATCTCAGATAGAGTATTCTACCTCGATGAATAGGTATTACCAGGTTGACCCAGTCCTACAAGGCTGAAGTCCCCTTATTCTCGCTGCGGAAATGATGCACGTGAGGCCAGCGAAATCGGAGCAAGCAAAACTCCATCCCAAAAAATTCCAGCCTGGAGTACACGCCTCCTCCAATCGGAGCACGGCAGTAGTAATTGGAGAAAATCAGTGAGACTTGGATACCTGCACTTGGACTATTGTTCTCTTGTACACCCAACGGCGGTATTATTGTGCAGCACTCGACAACGAGGACTGCCCTTGTCAGGAGACTCACACCAAGTGTGCTGACGAGGCTGCATAGTCTGAAGACGGCATGTCCGGGGTGTGAACAGGGAGAACGCTCTTGTCCTCTTCCTCCGGCCTCTGGCTCGACTGTACACGTTGAGCCCTCGCTATGGTGAGCCCGCTTGCGACATATGCAAGGTCCTCTTCTGACCCTAGAGACAGGTATCCCTCCGACCCAGCGCCCCAGCGGCGGCGACGCTGCGAGCCTCCGCAAACCCACCCATTCGTGTGCAATGGCTGCCGCAGAAACGAAGCTTCCGCCAGAACACCAAGCGACGGCAAGAAGTGTTTCACTCGCAACTCGAAGACTCTAATGCCGCTGCGATCCTGTCCTCCCTGAAGACCTCGCCGAGAGTACCGCAGACGTTGACGGAAAAGATCGTCCAGCAATATGCGGTCGGATTAGCGAAAGACAAATACGTAAAGTCGGGTGATTACGTGACGATATCACCGCACCACTGCATGACGCACGACAACTCGTGGCCTGTCGCCCTCAAGTTCATGTCCATTGGGGCAAAAAGCCTCAAAAATTCCAAGCAGATCGTGATGACGCTGGACCACGATGTGCAGAACAAGTCAGAGAAGAACCTGACCAAATACCGACAAATAGAGGAGTTTGCGACGAAGCAGGGCGTTGATTTCTACCCTGCGGGACGGGGTATCGGGCATCAGATCATGGTGGAAGAGGGCTACGCGTGGCCGGGGACCATGGTCGTTGCAAGCGACAGCCACACCAATATGTACGGCGGAATTGGGTGTAAGTCCTTTTTTCCATCCAGTGTTTACCGACACAACTTTCTGACGATTCGTAGGTCTCGGAACACCTGTGGTGCGGACAGATGCTGCCAGTATCTGGGCGACCGGACGGACGTGGTGGCAGATCCCGCCAGTCGCGAAGGTCACGTTCACAGGCACTCTTCCAAAAGGCGTCACTGGAAAGGATGTGATTGTCGCCCTCTGCGGGCTCTTCGACAAGGACGACGTGCTAAACCACGCCATCGAGTTCGTTGGATCAGAAGAAACCATGCGTAGTCTACCCGTCGATTCCCGGTTGACCATTGCAAATATGACTACCGAGTGGGGTGCGCTTACTGGCCTATTCCCTATTGATATAATGACTCAGGGATGGCTCAGAGCCAAAGCGACCATGGCAGCGCTAGATTCGTCCGAAGGTCGGTCTGGAAATGAAAGGTTCTCACACTCCAGGCTTGATCAGCTGTTCGAGTCGCAGCTCTCGGCTGACAAGGGAGCGCAATACGCAAAATATCTGCACCTCGACCTCAACACGCTGTCACCGTATGTTTCGGGCCCTAACTCTGTCAAGGTTGCCACGCCACTGGACGTTCTCGAAGGTCAAGACATCAAGATCAACAAAGCTTATCTGGTGTCATGCACCAATTCACGAGCCTCGGATCTTGCAGCAGCTGCCAAGGTTTTCAAAGACGAAGCCGAAAAGAGCGGTGGTGGAATCCCAAAGATCGCAAACGGTGTCCAGTTCTACATTGCAGCAGCATCGACTCCAGAACAACAAATCGCAGAAGATGCGGGCGACTGGCAGACGCTTGTCGATGCTGGCGCCATCACGTTGCCAGCAGGGTGCGGCCCTTGTATCGGGCTCGGAACGGGCCTGCTTGAGCCGGGCGAGGTCGGAATCAGCGCGACTAACAGGAATTTCAAAGGCCGCATGGGAAGCACCGACGCTAAAGCCTATCTGGCAAGTCCCGAAGTGGTCGCAGCTAGCGCGCTGTCCGGCAAGATCAGTGGGCCTGGTTGGTATGAAAAGCCTGATGGCTGGACCAGTGTGGTCCGAGGCGAGGGCGACGGCATCAAAGAGGAAGATCGGATGATCACTGCGGATGAAGCCTTCCAAAAAATCATCAACCAGCTGGATGGCATCATCGAATCTGCCGAAGGAGAACTCGGTAGTAGTGAACAGACTACTAGCGAAGCTTCGGCAGGCTCGACTGAAGTTTACCCAGGATTCCCAGAACGTGTCGAAGGAGAGATTGTTTTCTGTGATGCGGACAACATCAACACCGACGGCATCTACCCTGGGAAATACACGTACCAGGACAACGTACCTGTTGAGAAAATGGCCGAGGTATGTATGGAGAACTACGATCCCGAGTTTTCGTCGATGGCGAAGGCTGGAGACATTTTGGTTTCTGGTTTCAACTTTGGCTGCGGCAGCTCTCGCGAGCAAGCCGCCACTGCGATACTTGCCAAGAAGATTCCACTGGTCATCGCCGGCAGCTTCGGCAACATTTTCTCTCGCAACAGCATTAACAATGCCTTGATGGGCCTGGAGGTGCCCAAACTTATTCAACGACTGCGAGAGACTTTTTCAGAGGAACCCCACAAAGAAGCAGACAGTCATGTCACGGAGCCAGTGGGCAATAAAGAAGACCAACAGAGTCTGGACTCGCCACCACCGGCAGTAACGACTCCACGGGAGAAACAGTTGTCCCGTCGGACGGGATGGACCTTGGTGTGGGATGTTAAAAAGTCTCAGATCGAGGTTTGCGAAGGCCCGAACGGGAAGACGTGGACGGAAAAGGTAGGCGAGCTCCCACCGAATGTGCAAGAAATCATCGCCAAAGGCGGACTGGAGAAGTGGGTGCAGAAAGAGATCGCAGCTTCATGAGTCTGCTTTCAGCAATGGGCCATGACTTCGCTACTAGTGCAGGTCGGCCAAAGATTTTGTATTTGTTCGCTTATGTATACCCTAGCAAAAGCCTTCTGAGATCACTGCTAGTATGAAATTCCGTGCTATCAAGACGAGGCTGTCTTCCTTGGAGTTGCTCTCGAAAGCATCGTGTACGATTGCCTGGTCACAAAGCCGCCTAGGAACTACGGCTGTTCCGGACCTCGGAGGTGCTGCTGAAAGAGAGCAAGCTTCAATATCTCCTACGGACTCTGCGGAGTAGAGAGGATTAACGGATGTTGTAGTTGCAGTATTGCATAATGGTAGTCAACATGTGCATGATCCAAGGGCAGGGACTGGCCCATGTTCATTTTGAAGATGGAAGTCTAAACCTCTAATGGGACAGCTTGTATTGGTGGGGAAGGGTAGGGCCGACAAATCTCAAAGGCTGGCGCCGAGACGACCTTCCCTTCTAGAAGAACTTTGATCAAGCTTTCCTTCGATTCAAATGACCGGCAGAGGTGGTGGAGGTGGTGGAGGTGGTGGAGGTGGTGGAGGAAGAGGAGAAGGCACCTACAGATGCAGCTATACTCAAGGACTAATGATAGTAGTGTGCTGTAATGGAGGAGCGAAGAGAGTGTTTAAACGGGGTCGATTACTTTACCATGGTTAAGACAAATGTATATGTCTGCCTTGCCATTTGCCCTGAAACAGTTTGATTGAATGGTACCTGGCAGTTCGCAAAAAGTAAAGAGTCCAGGCACCAGGGTACCAATATCTACAAAAAGAAACGAAATTGATGGTAATGATGTTACCTTGCATGAAGGCACCAGTGGTACCTCAAGTGGTACCTTAAGTGGTACCTTTGGTAGGTACCTGTAATCGATAAGCGAGCCTTGTCCGGCATGGCGCTAGAAAAGCTTGGCAACAACCCCCAAAATGCACCAGGAATTGGGCTGGACCGTGCTGATTGTGGTGATTTTGGGTCTGGACTGGTTGCAACCTGCGAGTAATGAAACACTTTCACACTCTGGGTTTTTTGGTCATTCTATCACACTGCCCATCCTACCAATACCGATCCCGACCCAAGCCAATAACCCACCCCCAACTGCGCCTTTCGCATCAGAGTCAAAAATAAACCATTGTCATTCTACCAAACCACCACGTTGTCGACCACCGGCTTACTACACCCGTACCTTTTCTGTCTCTTCTTACGCTCATACCACCGGTTCCCACAATTCCCTCACCATGACGGAACGGTCTGGCCCCCTGCACATTCTAACACGCTGAAGTAGCAACCGTTCCAAATCTGTGCGCAAAAAGAAGTCGGCACGCCCCTGGAACCTTTCGCTACGACCCGCCCACTTTAGTCTCAAAGCCTTGTCCCTCAAACACCACCTCCTCCAGATCCACCACCCCCTTGACATATAAACATGCCGATGCCGTCAGTCATCAACATGGTGGTCCGTCCACAAGAAAGACAGCCGTTGCTTCCTCACCCAAGTCACCCGAGTCCGGGCTACAATACACTCTCATTAATCAATCAGGAAAAGGGGTCACTCACTTCATCGACAATACACACATCCCAACCTTCAGCAAACAAGCGCCTATTTTTACTTGCACTACGCACAAAGATCATACTCATTATGGTCGCTATACCAGCATTTCTCCTCGCCTCGTCGGCAGTGACGTCGCTCGGTCCTCTTACTCCTCGCGATACCGTCATCAGATCACCTCAGCCTGCAGAACCGCAGACAACCTCCAATTCGAACCTCTTCGCTTCCGTACAGGGACCGCTCATTTCAACACAGTTCGCTGACCCCGCGATTATTCATGTTAATGGCATCTCTTACGCGTTCGCAACAAACAACAAAGGGGTGGGTGCGGATAGAATAAATGTACAAGTTGCTACATCCACAGATAACGAGACCTGGACGTTAATGGACCACCATGACGCGCTGCCCAGTATGGGTGCGTGGGAAACGGGTGCTGGTGTCTGGGCTCCCGATGTCGTCCAAGTGGAAGATGGTTCCTTCGTCCTGTATTACGCAGATGTACCTACCTGGGCCCCTCAACACCACTGCGTCGGTGCTGCCACCTCGAAGAATATCACCGGTCCCTACGCTCCCCTCAGCCAACCATTTGCCTGTCCGAACGTCCTTACGCAAGGAGGCGCCATTGATCCGGATGGGTTCCATGATGTCGCCACGGACAAACGATATGTCGTCTATAAGGTGGACGGCAACTCGCTCGGCCACGGTGGTGCCTGCATGAACTCGGTGGCTCCCATCGTTCCCACGCCCTTGATGCTCCAGGAAGTTGCTGCAGACGGCGTAACGCCCATTGGCAATCCAGTTGAGCTCCTCGACCGCGATGACGTTGATGGCCCTTTGATCGAAGCTCCTGCATTACACCGTTCTCCTGAGGGAGTCTACTTTCTCTTCTACAGCAGCAACTGCTTTACAACTCCAAAGTACGATGTATCGTACGCCACCGCGACCAACGTCCTTGGTCCGTATACCAGATCGAACCGTCCACTCCTTATCACCAGTGACGCCGGTCTCGTTGGTCCAGGCGGTATGGACATCATCAAAGGTGGTGGCACGATTGTCTTTCATGGCCACATGACCATCGCGAACGACCCTGCCGAGCTAAAGCAGGCCGAGGCTATCGCTGCTTCCACAGGCACATCTGTGAATAGCGTGAGCCTGCCCTTGATTAGGGGCATGTGGTCGGCTACTGCACAATTTTCGGGGACGACCGTCAGCCTGGCTTGATTGGACCACGATCGAGCTTTGGATTGAAAAAGCATATTTTTGGAGTTTGATTTATCTGCAGCGTTCTAGCGAGTTTTCATCAGCGTTTTCTGAGCCCAGCATTCAAGCGGCAATTTGACAGCCATCTAAACAAAAAGTATATACCCAGGATATATGAGCCAAGATCTAGAACTGATACATGCAAGCATATTACTAAGGTCTCCAAAGTTATACTCTGGAGCTTCAAAGTAAATTGTCACGAATCCTTCTTCGGTTGCTTTTGCCCAACTCACAGGCTATTTTCAGGTTCAAGCCTGAGGGACCGTAAGAACGCGACGGCACGTGACCAACTACTTGAGTTGCAGTCAAGGGAAAGTCTGCCGCGAACATCTTGGGCTTCAAAATTCCCCGAAAAAGAATATCTATCTGCATCAAAGGGACATCCAAGCTCATTTACTCTCTCTGCCGCCTCTTTGGGTTGCGCTGCGAACCATTGCTCGAGACTTTACACATGACCTGATCTTAGCTTTACGCATCCTTCTTATACCTCTTCCCGAGATGCCTCCAAGATTACCACCCTCCGCCGCTTCGATCGCAGTACCTACTCCCTCCATCCACACACACTGCAAATCATGTCTCCGCCGCGCCTTCTCTTCCACACCGGCCTCGAAAACGAGGTTACGAGCTGCGATGTTTGCTTGGCTCCAAGGTCCGGGAGCAGTTTTCCAAAAGCCCTTAGCAGGTTCCACAAACTATCTCTCCGCTTATGACCGGCGAGGAAATCTATTACGAAGCAGAAGGGAAGCTCCTCCTCCTTCAACGCCCAACCCTGATTTCGATGGCCAAGAGACAGGGGATATGGCGGCCCTCGAGGCAGCTGCAGAAAACACCAAGTTACCGAGGGAGAGCGAGGACGACTTACGCCCATTTCCACAAAATCAACATTTCAGATCTCAGAGCATACTCTCGGAAGAGCTGCAACAAGAAATATGGAGACGTGTGCAGGTAGAGCAGAAATCAGTGCGCCAGGTCTCGGTCGAGATGCGCGTGGATATGCGCCGAGTTGCGGCTGTGGTACGACTGATCGAGGTCGAGAACAGGATGCTCGCAGAGGTATGTTGTCACTTTGTTTCTGGTTTTCCTCCTGAGGCCCCCCCTTCATACGATGATGAACAACCAAAAATCGATTAGTCTATCAGACTCCCCCATGGTGAACTAAACAAAAACAAATTACAACTCTCTGAGTGTTATAAGAGCCTTACATTGCGAATCCAGCTCGATATTGCTTGCTGGTCAGCTGCTGATGCGATGTTGTGGTACAGGGCAATGAGCTCGCGCTCCCATACGCACGAGCCGTCCACTCCATGGTACCTGTAAACCAGATGGATCTCCAGACAGGCAGACCAATGGATACGCACGAAACGATCAACGACCTCGAACAACACCCCCTAACATACCCTCAGGTGTTCTATCCGACCTCCGAGTCTCGCGCGTTCAATCGTACCGACGCAGGCCGTGTGTTCAGCGGCGCTCCTCGTCTCCCAGACGAACTGGATGTCGGACAGGGAGGCAAACCGGCCAGCGAGCCCTGGAAGGACACGAAGCCAGAGTACGTCGGCAAAGCGGGACACTCGCATCCAATCTTGAAACCGGCGGACTCACGGATTCCGCACCCTCAATTGATTGCTTTCGAGAAAGATAAGCGGGATCCGGAGTTGGTAGACAATGGGCACGAACTCAGGGCAAGGAATCAGTCGAGGTTAGATGCTGATGCGCGGAAGAGGAAAGAGGCCAAAGAGACGAAGGCGAGGTTAGAGGAGGAGAGCAAGACAAGAGTGGATACGGGACGGTGGCAGTTCATTTTCACTGATGTGGCGGCGACGAGAGAGGGCACTAGGCTTGATGGACGGGGGACGAGGAGTCCCGGATTTAGATATGGTGTGCCGAGCCAGGAGAGAAAGAAGGGCCAGGTTAAGATCCCTACTAGAGTTGAGGTATAGGTCTGCTCTACTCTCATCTTGACTGGGTTGTGCTCCTTATGTATCAAAGAGTGAAAGGACTCTGTGAGACTGGCTAATCTGGGTGGGATTTGTACATTACTGTGAGCCTGTGCAAGACACATACTACTGTAGAAGTCTCGAAGACCTGGTTGGTATGCTTGACATGGAATATAAAAGCTGCGATCGGGCATTGTATTTCCTTTATTGATGGCCTGTCTTAGCAGACACCAAGATGTTAGTTTTCTAGCTCTCATTAAGATCTATGTGCATTCATTCGTATTGCCCATCGTGTCGTATATATGACCCGCAGACCCCATTGTCCCCTCACCGTGTCCCGGCAATTGTAGAAAGTCATGTACTGTATGTCCAGGAAGTGAATTGTATATCTGCGTCGGCTTCTTCATGTCTGTGTGAGTTTTCGCTGACGGCTTTCGTCCTCAGTGGTCCACATATATGGGACGCGGTCTGTGCTGCTGCCAGTGTTCTGCGTCGGAGAGTAGACCAGAACGTTCAAGAATGGTGAACGACTTGAGTCTCCCTATGGCTCGTCATGTGGAATAGAATGTTGTTGACGCATGCTGTATCCCCTGGACATACCCTCAGAGTGGTTCTCACGCCTGGTCATGGCTTGCCCAGCGCTCACGCTTGCTGCTGGGTGTATCAGCTTCTGCTCATCAGCGTGTTCCGTTACCACAATCACAGCATCTCCGCACGCCTGCAGGTATCAGAAACTTCTGCCTTGTTGGAGGTCATACCTCCTCCACCATCCTTTTCTCGTTGACGGCCGAGGATGAATTCCGAACTTTCGGCTTGGCCAGCAGTGTTTTTCTATACAACTTCCCGCACATTGCGGCCTTGATACCGGGAAATGGATCTCTCGCCTCCGGTAAAACCAGCAGGATCAACAGAACCACTACTACTGCCGTTATGGGTAGCAGATAGTACATGTAGTGTGCCGCAGGGGCGAAGTCGTGCGGCAAGCTGAATATTGCACAGGCCAGTGCGAAAGGCACATATATGAGCACAATGATGACCAAGTACCGCGAATAGTCCGCTTGGCGGCCTGAATCGACCTCAATGGACGTGAGCGAAGCGGTGTCATGACATTGCGACACGGCGAGTATGTGCTGCATTTGCGAATCGCACTCGGCACGGTAGTGGTGTAGGTCGATCAATAGCGAGCGGTAATCATCGTTCAGATCCGAGTCCGAGGAGACGATCGACTTTATTTTCGTGAGGATAGGTTTGTACCGGCTAAGCATTGAGTCAAGAGAGATGATCTTGTCAAGGATGCGCTTTGCCTTGGGCGGTTCCAGCGCCAGAGCGGTGGTGATGGGTTGGAATTCGAGCGTCGTGCGGATGTAGTCGAAGAAATTTGTGCATTCGCTTGCGGCGATCTGGAACGCAGGTCGCATTATATTGATCATATTGGTATCTGATGGATTCATGAGGCCGTCCCGCGCCATGATCGCCCAATGTCGACATAGATCGTCGAATGCATTCGGGCACATGGGCTTCGCACCGCAGTGCCGGAAGTCGTGGCCTTCCTTGCTTGTTGGGCGACGCATTTCGATGAAGTCGAGGTAACCACCGTGGAACCCGCTGACATCGAGGCGTTGGGTGGGTGAGTACGCGCCGAATGTGTTTTCGGCGCCGAGCGTGAAATGGCTGATGGGTGGATCAACGAGTACGACGCCTGTTGAACGTTAGCATACGCCATGATGGGAGGTACCGAGATGTACAGGAGCTTACATAGCCACGGATCCAACGACTTTTTCATGTAGAAGGAGATCTTCCGCCGAGCCAGGGCCACCTTGTTCTTCCCGTATTTGGAGCATACTTCGACTCTTCGGCGGTAGTTGCCCTTGCAGTAAAGCTTCTCTATGTCGACATCCTTGCCACAACCATGTGCAATAAACGCGCATGGATACTCGATTGTGAAGAACTGCTGCTGATGTCGTAGATTTTGAGATGCTAGTGGTGAAGCTGTATGGACTTCGCCCATGCTTCCGATACCATGGTCGGCGATGTGAGAGGCGAAGAACGCTGGTTCAATGTTTAGAAGGCCCCCAAGTGTATCTATCATTTCAGGACTGGCATTGTTGACCATGATGATTCGCCCTTGCACTTTCGAAGCGGTAGGCGTGGTTGGTGTTGAAGGAGTCTTCCTCGTCCATTCTTTCAGCAAAACTCTTAGCTTGCTGGCGTCGGTCAGGTCTGAGGTGCGAAAACTGGACGTGCCAAATTCAAGCAATATTGTCGTTGATGATTGAGGTCTAGGTACCGAGGGATTGTGAGTTGCTTCTACACCCCATCGAAGATAGTCATCCAGACAGGTGAGGTTGTGAAAGCCGTGACTTCTCAGAAAGCAGACATAGTCTGTGTACGTCCATCGCTGAGGATCCGGTGGTGCCATTGTGCACGTTTCGCAGCTTAGAGGGTCATGGTCCGACAGCATCACATGAAAGGTCGAGGGAAGGAGGGATCGTTTTGTGGAAGCTGTGAGAGGTGGTCTTCCTGTTTCTTACCACACTGCGTTACGACGACTGACATGCAATGCAAGGAAAGCAAACGAGAACGAAACCTCGGAAGCGGAGGGGAACTCAGCTTTGGGATGACGAGGCCCTGCAAGATGCACCTGAAATATAGACAGGGCTGGGAGGGTGAGGGTCGCCGTTGTGCTTACGTCGTGTAGTCATTGGTCCGTCTCACTGGGGTAACGTTTGTGGGTTGTTGGAAGAGTTCATGTTAAGGTTCGTTAGACCTTGCTCAAGCGATAGCTGCCGCATGGGAACCGTGGTAGAATGGCCGTCTTCCTATGGAGTGTGTTGCTGCAATCCGCCATGCTTGGACGCCACATCTATTCAGTCGTACCACCCAGTTGGCAGCTAGTCCCTTGGCAGTGGAAGCAGCCCTGACGATAACCTTGCTGGCAAGCGTTGACATGCATTCTGCAGTACGGGATCTCGAGCTGTCCCTGCCACACACATATGCAGCGCCTCGGAAAGCTTTCGCCTGAAGAAAGGATCCATCGTGCGATGATGGACAAATCAATGTGTAGAACCTGGGGTGGGGTTAATTTTGGTATCGGTTCCAGCCACCCAGATAAGAGATGAATCGTCAGAATAGCCGGCAAAGCAAGGCATGCCTGCATCAAGCTCGCATCGCATGCATGCATGGGTAGTCAGGAGGATGCAGTTGCAGGTCCTCAAACTTTGAAGTACGAGACATGGTTTCAGAGAGTGAGCTTCAAGTTGCAGAGACGTTGTAGTGCCGGGTTCACTCAGAGGTCAATACTCAACAAGCTTCCAGGCTCTTCAGCTCGGCAGCGCGAACCACCCGTGCCAAGCAATTATTTCTCCGAAATGTTACTTTTGCCCAGTTTGTTTGGTTTGCCTGATTTGTTTTGAGTTCTCCCTGCCGCGCGATTGACAATGTTGATGCGACACGAACTACATCTTTAGCGTTGCCATCATGGCGAACGATCCAAGTGATCCTGAGGCTGATGCACTGCGCTCACTTGCCCTTCTCGAGACGCGTCTACGTCGGCTAGAATTCCTGTTGACAGGCACGAGCGATGACTATGGCAGACCCATACCGGTAACGAGGTCTTTACATAATAGTGAGACGGTGTTGGGGAAGCTCGACGCTTTGCAGGCTGATCTGGCAAGGTTGAATAAAGTGAGCGGACCAGCCGGGCCTCTGCTCAAAGACATTGAGCGACTGGGTGAGTGAAGACGCAACCATATTAACATGGTAGCAGCAACGTTGACAGTCTCTTAGCGACCACATATCCAGACCTCTTTGATCCTTCGACAGCAAACCCAGATATACCGAAGTCTGAAGATCTCAGCACTTTAGCATCTATTGTTCTCTCGCACGCGACTGTCTTCCCAGAGACTGCGTCAAGACTCGCGTCTCTACAGACACTACAGATACCTCCAGCTAAACAAAGCTCGCTCCTGGCAACTTTGTCCCCCAAGCTCGAGGAGTGCAGAGCCACCGAAGATAGCATTGCCAATGAGGCACGAGAGCTACGAGATCGCAGTGCCCGGTGCCTCGAATGGTGGGTAAAGATCGGTGTCATTGGAATGGGGGACGTTTCGAAAGATTGGGAGAGAAGAGTGGGCGAGGTCCAAAAACACCTGATCCGTTGGGAACGTCGTGCGAAGGAGGAACAAGGCTATCTCTGAACACCAGAGGGCGATATGCTCTTTCCACCACCAGAGGCCGTTGCTGCAACACGATTGGAGATTGGCGGATGATCCGATTCGGCTTTATTTAGCAACCACGACTCTCACTGACGATCCGGGCCGTGAAAGACTGCAACCGGCATGTCGACTCAACCGAAGGAGAATAACTTCCGGATACGGACTTCAATTGTTCTTGCCAACGAGCGCCGCCTATCAACTGCACCAACATTGGCCAATTGGGATATTGAAGTATTGGGCGCTAGCTCCGTACTTGCAGATCAGAGAGGCGGTGCAATGCTCTTTGTCCACCCTTCGCAAACATGAAGTTAGGAAGCTGTTGTCAAAATCGATTAGTGGCCTCGTCGGAATATTATCGCCATTATCTGGAAGCTAGCTGGATATCTTGATATGTCAGATATGGCTGACTCTCCAGCAAACTTTAACCAGCCCCTCAATAATGAGGACTGCGTCCGTGACTCCGTGGGCAGCTGGGAATTTGCGGGATTACGCTTGTGGCGTGAGCTAGGGGACAAATTGGTGGAGTCACAACTCACCAGCCATGGTCGAGAACAAGGGATCAGCGATTTACGCGTCTTTCTCCAATGAACGTGTCGGTAACAAGCCCCGGTTTCATTTCATGGGAATTGCGTGCGGAAAATACATCGTCCAGGATCAAGGACGCGTCCAACAGTGTCGAATGTGGATGTCGCACAGTTACAGAGTAAGGCTGCACTTTGTCCGCCATATCCGCATATGCAGCGACGATGTTGAAGCGAAAGTGCGCATAACATATGCGCATAACCTGCTAATCATCTGGCCCAAATTGTGTTTTTAAGTGCCGTATAAAGCGCTTGTACAGGCGCGTGGCTTGTGCTACGCTGGGAGGAACCAACCGTGGCATGCGAAATGGCAGGACAAAAATGTCATTGATCAGTCCGCGAGATTATCGAGGCTCCAGCAGGCGTTTGTCGGTGCTACATGACTTTGGCTGCTGAAGACGAATAAAGGAAAGTATTCGGCTCTTCTCACGATGACAGCAGAGAGACCTCCGTATTGCGTAGACCAATCGTCTAGGAATGAAATTGTAAATCTAGAGACAGTGGGTGATTTGTCTCGGTTGGATCTCAACGCTGGGGGTTGAAACGTGTTGCAGGAGCTTCGCTCGGGGCTTCAAATCTCAGTGGTTGCTGGCTCTTTTCCCCTGCCCGGAAGCCGCCCTTCCCACCTGCAGCAGGGCAGTGCTTCTTCTTCTTCTTCTTTTTGTCCCGTTCAACCCTTCGACTCCTCCTCCAATAATTCCTCCCTCCCTCCTGAAATACGAATCCCTTCATCCACGCTCGTTCAGGCACCACTTTTCAACAAACGACCTGCTCTAGATCACCACCTGATTCTTTTTATTCTTGTCGATCGTTACCAGTCCTTTGTCCCCATTTGTTCCTCTACCATTTTTGCCTCAATCACGTCGTTCGGGAGACTGTGCATGTTAGGCAGTGTCATTTCCCCCATTGACACTCGACAATTCATCCCGGGCCACGCCATCACGAGAGCACACGGACACAGACACAGACTTCCAGCGCTCGGTCCTCTTGACACCCAGCCTGCACCTGGCCTTCAAGTGTCTTCTTTGTCCTTTCGCAACTTCAAACATCGCAAACTCGAGAGCAATTGACTCAATCTGACCGAAATCGACATCGCAACCGCTAAACAAACCGCCGCCCCCTATTGACCCTTCATGCCCTCTTACGGGTCTCTCCACTCCCCTTCGTTGAAGAAACACAACATGTTGGAGGCTCAAAGAGGAGGTCGCTTCGACTTTGGATATATTGTGGGCGACCCTTTTGCGTTGGCAACAATCTCGATCAGTCTGGTAAGGATTCTTCCGCATCTGAGCCAACCCATGTCTAACGTGTCGCTAGCTGGCCTGGTTGATCGCTTTTATCTCCTCGATCATTGCCAATACTCAGGATGCCTTCCCTAAGTATGCCTGGTGGGCTGTCGCCTACATGCTATGCTGCATTCTCGGCGTGACATTCGTCTTCGCGACGAATTCGATGAACTCATACAACATCGCGGTAAGTGTGCACGCTCCTTGTGGTATGACTTCCTCCTAACATCCGTCAGATTGTCGGATACTTGGCTGCTGGCCTTGTCATGACAACGTCCGCCGTGAACTCTCTCATCTATCAGCCACAAGGCGCAATGGAAGCTGCTGGGGCCGGTCATATTCTTCTTTCCATGGTTGCGATCATCTGGATATTCTACTTCGGCTCGACACCTACATCTACTCCTCGCGAATTCATCGACCAATTTGCTCTTCATAAAGAGCAAAACAATTTCCGAGCTCCTGCTCAAAGCATGTCCAATATGTACGATCGTCCACAGACCACAGCCTCTGCGCAGCCCCCGCAGATGTACACCTCAGCACAGTTGAATGGCTTCGAGACTTCATCACCTGTCTCAGGATACCCAGGTGGACCTGCAGGGGCCGCTCGAGGTTCGTCACAAACGCCGATCAACACAAGCAGCACACCAGTCACAGCAGGAGGACCAGACGTTGCTCAACCCACCGAATATCCGTACCGTGCCAAAGCCATCTACAGCTATGAAGCTAATCCCGATGATGCAAATGAGATCAGCTTCAGCAAACACGAGATTCTCGAAGTCTCCGATGTCAGTGGCAGGTGGTGGCAGGCAAAGAAAGAGAATGGGGAGACGGGCATAGCGCCCAGCAACTACCTCATCTTATTATAAGACTAAGTGTGTCAGCTCTGAGTCGTCTTCCCAGACAACACGGATTGACCACATGCAGGGCCAGCATCCAGGCCCCAGCATATGTTAACGACTGCTTTCACGACATTGTGTTTCTATTCTATGCATATCTTCTTTGATGTCAGCGGAATGATGAGCCTTCCGCTTGCAATTCCCGAGTCAGGGCGATGTTTGAGGTGGAGGGATGATATCCTGACGCAGCAAAGAGTCTCCGACGCTCGTCGAAAAAATGTACCCTGAGCTTTGGTGTTGGGATTTTGGGCTTTTGGGCTTTTATTGTTGGAGCATGATGGATGGGTATGGGTACGGATTTGTTCGGAGACCTGTACAGGCGTCATGGCAAGCCCCATGGTGGCATGGAGGCGGTCTGATTGGATTCGAGGGATTGGGTTCACTTCTTCATCCTCCCTTTACGTTCGCCAGAAACCGACCAACAGCATGAGCATAGCCGAACTGGTTTGCGAAGGTCATTTTGCAAAATCTGGTCGCCAAGGGAGATTACACCAGAAGGATATTATGGTCAGATTCAGAAGGAGCTGTATTAGTTGAGGTTTCAGCTTGTGTGAGGTCTTCGGCGAAATATGCTACGATAGGGCTCATGAAGGAATAAATCGATAGCCAGCAATGAACAGAGAGACGATATCAGCAATGTTTCCAATATCGAAGCTCCACTTGAAATCGTCAGAAGTTGAGTAGTCGAGCAGTGAAGTATGCTTTCGAGTCGAAGGTTCGGACGTTGTGGAAGGGTCGCCAGCACGCGTCCAACATTCGAGATTGGCAGCAGACGCATACGCACCACTGTTGATCTGACACTTCCTCGCCAATCTGACACTTCTTCACTAATGCAGAAAGTCGCATGAATTGTTTGATCATGATTCTATCAAATACATCCCTGACCCATCCCATCTCGATATTGAGCCGAGGATGGAACAACCTGCCGCTGAAACGCTTCACAAAACAAACGAAACAAGGAAAGGGCAAACCCTCGTCATCGATAGCTTTGGTAAGCTTGTATACCCAATCCAGAATTGTTCAATGGCCCTTGAGGCTGCACAGAAGGCATGTGCAAGATCTCCTCCTGTTCGATCTGGTGGATAGGCGCGTATTGGCTGTCAGACTCGGACTTCCGATAGCCGTACTCCTGCGCGGCATTGGAGTGGCTGTCGTTCTCCAAGTCGTCCGTGCGCATGTTGCTTGAAAAGGCGTCTTGTGTCTGTGTGGAGAAGTCACCACCATGTTTACCTCCGGGCGCAGCGACGTGTTCGGCAGGCATCATGCCCGTGCGCTTGAACGTCATGACGGCACGAATAGATATGAAGGCCGTTGCCATGAATAGCAGCATTTCAAACACGCCGAAAATGATGATGGTCTCGCCTAGTTCGCACCGGCCCTTGCTGCCGTATTTGAAGTTGTCGCAGCCTGAACCTGTGCCGGTGCCTTTTCCCTTGCCGGCCGAGATGTACGAGGCTACGGAGGCCCAGGCGCTTAGCCAGAGGATCACGGCGAGGCAGTCGATACTGGCGAAGGCGTAGACATTGGCGAAGCGGCGGGCACGGGACCACATTGGGACCATGACGAGGTATATTAGGATTGGGATTGTGAGGAAGCACTGTGATCGCAAGAGGTTAGTCGGGAGATGGAAGAGTAAGGCGAGAAGGAAGTTTACCAGCCCAAAGTACCATCCTACGCGGCCGTCTGTCGTTCCATTACAGGTCATGAGAGCTATTGTGAGGACCCATGCGAGGAAGAGTATGGCCGCCTGGCCGATGTGGGTGTAGTTCCTGATTTGGCCGAAGTGGTCGAGTGGAAGACGCATGATAGGCAATGGAAGGAGAGGATGGATGAAAGGCTTAAGAGGCAAACGATGGACGCAATCAAAAAGAGGTGAGGCTTCTTGTGTCACTTGAGAAGTCGAGGGTGCGCTGGTTTTTGGGTTGATTGTGTAGGCTTTCGGTGCTTTGAGTAGGAAGTAAATGACGATGACAACGCAATGAAAGTGAAGGACCGGCTAAACTGATATGCAGGGCGTGAAATACTGTACAGAATGCACAAGAAACAACGAGGACGGAAAGCAAAAGGAAACAAAACAGGACGGAAAGGTGTTTGTGTAGTCTCAGTATGGGTAGTGCAGACAGAAACTTGGTGCTGGAATCGAGGCTGTCGCGTAACTAACAACTTGAGACGCGCATGCATGATGCAGCAGGCGAAGCTCAGCCGCAGCGTGGCGCTGTTACTAAAGTAGATTCAGGCGCTTAACCAATGGTTTCGGGCATCTGTAGGGCTGAGTCCGAGGTGGAGGTTTGGACCTTGGGACCACGACCACTATTGATCCAGGTTCGTTGCTGACCACAGGTATAAAAGGTGAGCAATTGAATGCTTCATGAAGGCGTCGTAGCATTACATAATTGTGTGGTCTTGGAGAACAAAGTTATGTGGCTGATCGGGGCGTGGTGGGTTTGGTTGGAGGCTTGGAGCACGATACGAGTACGGATACAAGGCTGTGGAACTCTGGTGTACCTACCTAGGTAGTCTCCATGCGAACACGAAAAGGCAGCCGAGACTGAGCAGGAGCAAGCCGAAGCCATGGAGGGTTTCCAGGAAACAGGTGACCTTTGACGGACAATCAGCCTCGCGGTGCTACAGATTCGGCGTCAGCATCGCATTCGCTCTCATCAATTCGCACCTTCAGAGCGGTAGACGGTCTTCTTGAGGGAGACGCACTATGGCGTTTACATTGCCAAACATTGCCAAACGGTTGCCAGGCATTGAAGGCCATACAATCTGATCAAGAAGATATGGTCTATATAGGGTAAGCACGAGTAAGTGGTTACATGCGGGATGAGGTTGTCAGGTACCAATCAATACATAAGGCAAACAGAGAGATCGGTTCCTGCTGGCATTTCGCATTCTATTGTGCTGTATTTGCCCCTGTCACGTTTCTCTTGGCCTCAATCCGTGAATCTCCAAACGGATACACGCCACAGATGGTAGGGGCCACCGGGGCATTACTTTTACCAGAGTTTAGCGGCGGTTAGCGTCGTGCTTGCCGTGACATTGTCACCTTTGGTTTGTCAGTTCTTTCCCGCTAAATCGATCGCACCGCAACTGCCCGTCTAAAATGGTTTGGAATTATTATTTTCTGGCCTGCGCAAACCCCCTTTGAATCCTGTCTCTCTTCCTTTCCTACTTTCCAATCAATCATATCATCCTTCTTCTGATCACAACCCGTGCTCAGTTTCATTCAAACAAACCGAATCTAGGGCACCCAGCTACCCTTTTCAACCCCTCATCCAATCCGATTCCCCAAGGCAGCCTCTAGCTACCTGAGTTATTTACATTCCACAAGTCCAAACACTCATCAAACTTGTGCCTCAGCCACAATGTCTTCTGCCGTCGACAACCTCGCCGAAAACCTCAAGGATGCCAGCATCGAGGATCACTCGGCTGCCAACAATGACGCCGTCCTTGCTTCGGCTGCCGAAGGTCGTCGATTGTATATAGGGAATCTCGCTTATGCGACAACTGAGGCGGAACTCAAGCAGTTCTTTTCGGGCTACGACGTGTAAGATTGCCACTATTTACTACCGATCTACGAAACTGACATTTCTGCTCAAAGCGAGTCAACTTCCATCCCCGTTAACCCACGCACCAACCGTCCTGTCGGCTACGCCTTTGTCGATCTAAAGTCCTCTGAGGAGGCAGAGAAGGCCATCGAAAACCTGTCAGGCAAGGACATTCTTGAGCGCAAGGTCTCTGTTCAGCTTGCTCGCAAGCCAGACCAGACTGGCAACGCCGAGGGTGCCACTTCTGGTGCTGAGGGTGGTGACCGCAAGAGAAGCTCCGGACGCGGTCGTGGCGGTCGCGGTCGCGGCCGTGGTGGTCGTGCTCGTGGTGGCGCTAGGGTATGTTGCACAACCGAATATCTTTCTCAGAACAACACTCACATCTAATAGGAGGGTGGCGACTTTGCGGAAAACCCACTTCCTTTGACCGACGTTACTGCCGAAGCCAACCAACAAACTGGGGAGACTGGTGAGAAGACCGAACGCGGCCCTCGTCCACCCAAGCAACGCGGCCCTCCAGAGGACGGCATTCCATCCACCACCAAGGTCATGGTCGCCAACCTGCCCTACGACCTGAGCGAAGAGAAGGTGAGAATCACCAAACCTCTTTCACCATAAGATCAAGCTAACAGAGAAAACAGCTCAAGGAACTCTTTGCCGCCTACGAACCCAGCTCCGCCAAGATTGCTCTTCGCCCCATCCCACGCTTCATGGTCAAGAAGCTTCAAGCTCGTGGTGAGCCTCGCAAGGGTCGTGGCTTCGGCTTCGTCACCTTGGGTTCCGAAGACTTGCAAAAGAAGGCAGTTGAGGAGATGAACGGCAAACAGATCGAGGGTCGTGAGATCGCCGTCAAGGTCGCCATCGACAGCCCAGGAAAGGAAGATGGCGCCGAAGGTACTGAGACCGGCGCTGAGGCTACTCCTGAGAACGGCACCAACGGTGCTCCTGAGGAGGTCGTAGCTGCTGCCTAAACACAAACCGCCCAACTCTCCGGATGAAGGAATCGATATTCTCTTAGCAAGGCATACTCTTATTGGCAAGGGAAAGCTTGACTGCTAATTCTCCACCTTGAGGGTGGTGCTTGAGCTGAAATATCGAAACAGTCAATGAGGTTGATGGATCAGCCTGGACAAAAACATTACTTCTTGCCTAGAAGGCTGTATCTTGCAAAACCATAATATTATTTCTTGAAAAAATCCCCCATCTCTAAGATATGCTGCGTTGACCATTGTCAGCCGTTCAGCCTTTCACCCTTCCTGAGTATCAAGGATGAACAATGATAGACGATCGCCAAGTAGCAAGTACTCCACCTCCATAGAAGGCCCGGTCTACTCTTCATTTGACCACGTTCGATGCTGGTTAATTCCAGTATACCGCCACCCTTGCGCCGCCGCATCTTAGAGCAAGATAGCACTTCATGACGGGAATGTTGTTCAGCCGTGCACCAGTATCTACAGTCTACGATCGAAGCATTGCTCGCCATGAGCTTTCATAACCCCATCAGGCTTGGCAGCCTCGTCTTGATCCCCCATTCTCGAGTTCTTGTCCTCCACTTCTGGCGGACTACGCCTATTCTGCTCAGTATTGTACTCACATCGTCCAATAGCGATGCGGAATGATATCGCTACTCACCAATCGCACGGTCTGGGCTTCTTGGGATTGTACGGGATTGTACAACCCAAGCAGGTAAGGTTGGGTTGGTCAGAGCACTGATATACAAGAGGCTTTTCCAAGGATAAAGTCTATCAATCTGCACACACTCATTCAACTCCTATCCAGAAAGCATATTACCTGACAGATACCTCTCTTGCAATAACCTTTCTTGAAAGGATAATCCCGCGACTCTTGAACAAGATGGCCACCACCATGAACCCACAGCCCGTCCCAGAGACATTCGCATCGTCATATGCCTCTGAGAAGACCCAACTCAGCATTGTAGAAGAGGTCCAAGCGAACCAGAAGCATCTCCGCGACCGTCTCGCCGGAGCAATTTCGAAAAGCCCAGCCAACATCCCGGCTTCTGCCCTGCCGTCTGTGCCATTGATTGACATTGGCCCATCGATCGGTGGCACCTTGGAGTCCAAAAAGGCCGTCGCTGCTCAGATCCGCGAAGCCTGCCTGACGACCGGATTCTTCCAAATCAGCAACCATGGCGTCACCAAGGAAGCCATGGACAGCGTCCTGAAGCAAGCTGAACGCTACTTCCACGAGTTGACCGAGGAGCAGAAGCTGGCCATGCACATCAAGAACTCTCCTCTGTTCCGCGGCTACGAGCCCCATGACTGGTCGTACGTCAACCCAGATGATAGTGCCGGTAGTGCAGTGAAGGAAACAAAGGAGTGTTTCAACTGGGGCTACGAACAGTCATTTGACCCGACCGGCGGAGACGGGAAATATCACGAGATTGACGGGTCGGTACCAAAGACCGAAAATGCTGGCAACCTCTGGCCTTCTGAGGAAGAACTGCCTGGATTCTACGACGCCATCAAGTCATACTATGGACAGGTGATGACGCTGGGACGACACTTGTTCTCGTTGTTTGCCTTGTCTCTCGGCTTGGAGGAGCACTACTTCGACGCCTTGGTCACTCATCCCGGCGGTATTGCACGTTTGTTATACTACAAGGGCATTCCAGCAGATGCAGGAGCAGAGAAGTCAGAGGAACAAAAGGAAGAGGAAGGGAAACTTGGGTTGGGCGCACACACCGACTACGAATGTTTCACGCTGTTGTTCAACTCGGCGAACCCGGGTCTCGAGATTCTTTTCCCACCGTCACCCATGACTGACAACAAGCCTATCTGGCGACCTTGCCCCGTCAGACCAGGCACGTTTACCGTGAATGTGGCTGATTTCCTCATGCGTTGGACCAACGGGCTTTACAAGTCGACTATCCATCGGGTCGTGAGCAAGCCTGGCGGTGGGGAGAGATACTCGGTGCCCTACTTTTTCAGCATCAACTATGACAGTGAGGTTCTCCCGTTGCCGGAGCGCGTCTGTGGTAAGAGCATGTACCCTCCAATGAAGGTGGGAGAATATGTTCTGGAGAGACTGAAGGCGACTTTGGCATAAAGGAAAATTAGTCACAGCGCAGGAGTAAAGGATGGGGGATGTCAACTACTGTAGTGACGGGGTGATCGGTGGCGTCCCCTTAGTGACAAGATAGTATATTGTGTATTCAATGTATATGTTCAATCTGTCGTTGACTCCACCCGGTTGAGGGCCGTGGACTACCTCGATTGACTAGGTCTTGTGTCATAGCGTCCGTCTTACGAAGCGTCCCCTTGAACGATCACAGAGCTGTATATTGTAACGTTACAACTTGCCACTCCCTCCCTTCTTCTTGACCTTTAGCGCATTGATCGCGCCCACGACCAGCGCCCCATCATTGAACCTCGTCGACCACAAGCTCTTCATCCTCGCAACCAGATCCCTCACGGTCTTACACTCCCCACTCTCGACCAACTTGTCAAAGTCGAGAATGTACTGTTTCGATCTGGCAAGGTGCCACACCCCATCGATTTCATCGGGCTTCTTATGTCCCGCGACCACCGTCATCGGATTCAGGCTAGCGACTTTATCGATCGCCGCAACCCACTCCAGACGCAGAGCGTGTGTGTTAGCCTCGCCCAGCATCTGATGTACATCGCCGTATACCACGTCCCCTGCCACCACTAGCCTGAGGTCCTCGCACCAGAGGACCGTGGAGCTATGTGTATCCGCATGTCCGACTTCGATGGCCTTCATCTTATAACTAGTATCTTTGTCATCGATACAGAATTCACCGCTCTCGGGTAAAGGTTCAGCAAGATGGAAACTAGTGTCGATTTGTCCGGGAAATCTTGACGACCACATCGCTTTGAAGATGCGTGGTTCGATCTGACTCTGCATATGTGCTATTGTGTCCTTAGTCGCGACGACGCGAGCGCCGGGGAATCTCTGGAGCAGTGCATTCGTGCCGAACCAGTGGTCTCCGTGGCCGTGAGTGATGTAGATGTACGATAGGCTTGCTGTGGCGGGTAGAGTGCGCTCGATCCAGCTGGCTAGATCGGCGGTTTGGGATTGTGTGATGGGCGTGTCGACTAGGACGGCTTGTGTGTCCGTGTGGATGAGGGTGCTTGAGATTGGAGACCAGGGACCGCCTGGTTGACCGTTGGGAAGGGACCATGGGATCGAAGGGGATACATAGACTGAGGCATGAAGGGGCATGGTACTGATAGGTGACAGATACGGGTCGTAGTACATTCAAGAATATCACGCTGGAAGGGTCTTTGAAGTACAAGGCAGATGCAAGCGAGCAAAGGAGTCAGCTTCTGGTTTCATTCTTGGGACAGACAGTAGTGGATGGTGATATACACATGGTCACTATACCTTGCAAGGGCTATAGACCGGGTATCCGAAAGGGAGGAGTTTGTGTATGTTTGTATAGTAATCGTGAGGCCGAGGAAGAGTTGAAGATTGGTCCAGAAAGAAGACAAAGGCTGATGAACAGGAAAGTGGGGAGTCTAACAAGGGTCTTTGAATTAGTTGGTGATATACAGATATGACTCTCATAATAATGGTCCTTTGGACTGCTCGTCGCCGTGTGTCGCTAGAGAAAACGGTCTGACCGCCAACGGTACTCGTCCACTGTCTTTTTTCAACTCCTCAACTCCGCAAAAATGTACGGGAATATGACCTCGCACGCTTTACCAAACACCAGAATCGCCTGCACAATGCTGACAGGGAACATCAGCAACCCATTTTTCCGGATCAAAATCCAGATGCTGAACAACGCCACGCTGAAAAAGTGATAGAACAGCACAAAAGGCTGGGCAATCAGACCTCCCAACAATCCAACCGGTACGTCGACACATTGACCACCGAGCTGGAAATACCGAAAACATCCCTGCTGTAGGTATTTGAGCTGCCAATCCTCGGCAGCAAATAGACTGTAAAGCGCCTGTGCGAGAATGTTGACTATAGAAGTCAAGTTCTTCCGCCGCCAATGGAAGGACTTCATTTGTTTGAGCACGAGGTCGGTGTCATACAGATCAGGGACGTTTTCGGGAGAGAGGAGTTCTGTTATAAGGACGACATCGCTTAAAGCGACCGTCATGCCGCCTCCGGTAAGAGGATGGCGCATATTCAACGCGTCTCCAAGGATAGCCAGTCCGGGAGTCTTGTTGGTTGTTGGAGGTAGAAAAGAGTTGGGCATGCTTCGAAGACTTCCCTTTTCCAACGCGGCCTGGAATGAAGGTTGTACCTTTGATGGTAACGACGGCAGAACGACGTTTTGCAGATGGCCCTTGACTCCACCATTGGCGACGGACGTGGATGTAAGTCCTTCGGGGACATCCACTAACACTCGTGTTTCGTGGGTGCCAATCTGGTAGAGAAGTACTGGGGAGTTTTCGCCTAGAACGACTGTTCCGTGCTGTGGCGTCGGTAAGGGGCAGTCGATCAACTCCATGCCCCAAAATTTCGATTTCACTTTAGGTGTGTGTTGAATATAAGACTTTCGGAATTTCGAAGCATAGCCATCGCACACAATAGTGAGCGACCCAAAGAAGCAGTCTTTCTGACTCTTTCGAGTCAAACATTCAACGCCCATAACTTGTAATGGTTCTTTGCACGAAATTATAGAGGTGACTTCGGTTTCGAAAATACTGATGTTGGGATGTGACATTGTTGCAGCGCGCAGTTTCGACACGAATCGACCATGGTGAAATGATCGCCCTTCTGGGCCATCCGTTGCCTTTTCTGACTTGCCTGGCTCTTGCTGCGCGCCAGCTGCTGCTATGGCCGGATAAGGAATGGGGACTTGCTCGTCGTAGTATATGACCGTGTAACCGGTGACGGGGATCGCATCAATGCCGTCGAGTGTATGTCGCAAGCCCAATTTTGTCAAAGCCTGCACACCTCCTGGTTGTAACAATTCTCCCACTATCCGGTCCGGCTCTTTTAACGACTTTTCAAGTAATATCACACTGCGTCCTTGATTTGCGAGCGCCACCGCCAAAGCAGACCCCAGAACACCTGCACCAACAATTACCACATCGGCTTCATGATATAACCTTCTGCGCTCTTCTTGAATATCTGGTTCGGCATCTATGGAGGATTCCGAAGACGAATCGAGTATGAGAGGCATTGCGGGAAGTTCGAAAAGAAATATGCGGTCGATTAGAGACAGAGGACTATCGGGGCATGAGGCGGTCGCAGTAAGTCAATATGGATATTATGAGAGTAACAGTGCCAATGAGTCGTAAAAATGTGTTGATTTTGTTGTGGTCTGAGTGGTGGTGTGATCAAAGTAGAAACGAGTGTCTTGTTGAGACTCGAGGCGGATGGTTACAATGAACGAGATTGGCGATGATGGAGACGACTTGAAAGGAGGATCGCGGGCAGTCAAAAAGGGACCGATCATCCACAATAAAATCAAAGTTAAGCATAACCGTGCATAACCTATCATGGCCTAGGGAGCGTGGGAGTCTAGCCCCTAACCATCTAAGCAAAGTTAAGGAAGCCCACCCGGAAGCACCAATTGTTAGGGCTGTCATGCACTCATCATGCCAGGCACCAGATCCCTAAGTTACTCGGATAATCCTCCCTCCCGGCTTCCGCCCTTCAATTCCGGATCGTACGAGCCTCACTGACTAATAAAAGTCAAGTCAACTCAGCCTCGTCTTATATCCGCACCTCTACTTGAAAAAAGGCTTTTCTCGTTGTTTTAACAATGGTCACGGTCTTCATTTTATCTGCTAATCCTCTCATCTACTTCTTTCACCTCATTTGAGGGACGTACAATCTTCGCTCTCTCACACACACCCTCTTTTTTCGTCCGGTTTTTGTTTCGTAGCTTTGCAGTGGTTCTGCCATGGGGCCAAATGTACCCTGTTGATCCTCCTTTTTTTGATACCGTGCCATGATAGCCTTTCCACACAAGCAGCCAGGTTCTCTGGTCTTTCCATGCCATGCATTCATCCGCAAGGCCGTTCCATCGTTTGCGGGCCACCACTCCGGGGCGCCCTTAGAAATTTTTGCGGCCGTATAGAAAAGACTCCATTTCACAATCGCCGAAAATGCCCCTCGACATCTCTGCTCAAAGGCCAGCTTCCACGAAGCCAGATGTCGAAAGGCCTCCGCAATTTTCATGCGGTATGAAGAAACGCTTCATGACTGAAACTTTGAAGTCATCCTCGTTCATTGCATCCCAGAGTGGGATGCTCGTGTGACAGATCAACAAACGCCAACAATTTTTGCCCATGCATAACCAAAAATATAAACGACTAGATGTGCTGTTGATAGAATAAATTCCGTTCCGAGGTTGCCCTGGCGTACGCGCATCGCATCGCATCGCGCTGTGCAGCCCAGGAAGTTGAAGTCAGGCTTTTGTCGGGCATGTCCCAAAAAGGACTGGCATTGCTTGCGGATTTATAAACATCGGCAAAGTAGTCCCTAGCCACCTTTTCGTAGGGACTCATCGGCCGGCAGGATTTCTCCCTTTGTAGTGTTCAAAACCTGCGCATCATTCTCCGACTTGACTGCCTTTTTGCTCCTTCTCTTTTTCTTGCGATGTTGCGTCTCCCAGCCATTGGTGGCGCCGACAACGGCTGCAGAAGCCGGAGATGCATTTTCACCAGTCGAGCCATTTGTCCTCGGACTTAGTGGCTTTACAATGGCCTCGTCGCCACCGTTCCCGTTAGCAAGGGTCGTTGTTTCTGCTTCTGATGCTGCTGCGGGCTCCGCCTGATCCACCGACTGGGCAACGTTAGGGGGCTGGCCTTCGGGTAGGAAACTTTCAACTCTAGGAGATGGCGTAAGAACTTCTTCCACAGAAGAAAGCTGTCGATCCAGAGTCCATGCTGTGCCTGGCTTCTTCAGAGCCCCTAGTCCTGCCATCGCCATTGCCTCTTCGGTCCTTGTTTCTTGAATTGGGAGGTCTTGTGGAGCAGCTGACAGTGACGTCCTGAACGGCAAGAATCCATTCATGTGTTGTGATGAACCTGCCATCTGGTGCAAGCGCCTTTGTGGAGCGCTAGGGCTGGCTGGGGGGCTCTTCTTATGATTGTTGAGCTCAAGAGCATCCTGAGAGTTTTCATCGGAACTCGAAGGTGTGTCGAATGCAAGATCTTCCGAAGTTGAAGCGCTGAAGTTCGTGGGCTCATCACTTTCGTTGAGTGATTGTGTCGTCCGTCTCCGCCGTGGAGAGTTGACCGAACCATCAACAATCAAGGGACCTGACCTTGGCTGAGGGGGAATACTGCCGACCGGAAATTTCTTGGCCTCCGGCTCTGCAATAGATTGTGTCTCAGCTGTAGCAGGCGGAACAGCCTGTAAAGGAGGCGAATGCATGCTCCCATTAGAGCGGATCGACGCCGAAGCAAGTCGAGGTGACAATCCACCGTTTTGGATGGCCAGGCCGACATGAGACGGGATAGGAGAGATTGCGGTGCTGTGCGTATACGCAGATAATGACGGCGACTGCCCCACGTAGTAGCCCAGATACTCTGCCGGCCTTCGGCCGGAGTCGTACATAGAACCAGCCACGTTGTAGCCATTTTCCAAATATCCAGGAAATTGTTCTTGGGAGGAAGAGGACACGGATGATCTGCGTCCTCCAGCAGCCTCTTGCAGAATGGACACATCGGGTCTAGCTGAAATGTGGCCAAACGAAGACACTGGAACAGCTCGAGCCGGTTGCGACTGAGCTCTTAGAGACGGTCCTGAGGACGACTGTGTGAGGGATGTCCGCCTTGAGAATCTTCTCGTGTCAGGAATAACAGAGTTGACCCTAGGCGAAGGAGGATTTGTTGAAACACCTTGACTCAGGCTACCTGCTGTGAGATAAGGTGAGGCAGGACCAAACCGCTGCTGGTACAACGGCGCAGACATAGGCGCTCGACTCATGCCATTGATTTGTCCGTTCGTGCCATCAAATCCTTCGTCCTGCGATCCGTATTGGCCGTATGCGGCAGGTTGATGATATCCTGCCGCCAGAAGCCCTCGGTGACGGAGGTTTTGCTGATGTAGCTGCATCCTCAATTCTTGCTCTTGAAGCTGTAGATATTGGTATTGCTGGAATAACTGGTCGTGGAGAAGATGTTGCTGATGTTGCGCTTGTAGCTGAAGTTCTTGTGGGGTCATCTGAAAAGGGAAGTTGCGTATGGAATTCGAAGTCCGCCCTGTAGGATTAGAGGAGCGGCGAGAGTTGCTGTTAGGACCCTTGGAACCTCTTCCTCCACGATTGGAGCCCTTCCCTGGCCTGCCTAGGTGCAATGATGGCTGAGCCGATGACTGTGTGGGCGGCTGGGGGATAACCGGTCTCGCTGACGGAGGTACAAAATGTTCAGATAGCTTGATCTCTTCCTTAGGGTACTCGAATTGCTCACAACAGTCGTCAAGTTTGGCCTCTCCAATTAGCTCGAATGCTCTCCGTAGTTCCAAATGAATACCACGCATAGAAGTGTCATCAGCCGTGTTGGCCAGGTTGCGGGACAGGTTGAAGGGCTCCTCAACGCACAAGCGATTGTCCTGAAGCAGATGCCATTGTTTTTCGACCTTGGATAGGATGCGCCCAAGCCGAACTGACACCACATTCTGCTCAAAATCAAGTTCGTGTCCGTAGTAGCGAAAGAAGTGGAACAATAATTCGCCCAGCGAAGACTTGTTCCGAGCGCCAAAGTCTTTATAGGATTCGGTATTGCGGTCAAAGGAGACATTGACGCCGGCTAGGATTTTGGGCTCGAGCTTCGGTTGCTGCTGTAAAGTAGGAAGTATAGGCGGATCCCGTGTTTGCAGGAAATTTAGGGCCAGACATATCCATGTATAAGAGCTGAGGGTACCACCGAGGGCTTTGCAAATGCATCAGTATAGGGTCCTCATAAAATCCAGGCGTATGACATACCAGCATCGTTCAAGATCCTCCGCTTCGCCCAGTATTTGATGATCATAGCCAGAGGCCTCACTCGGCTGTCAAGATCGACATACGTACGCACGAGGTCGGTATTTTCAAGCGCGAGGGGATTGTTGACATTGATATCGCTGGCCACCTGCAGTTCAGGATCCCAAACCTTGACTATAGGTACCTTTGCACTCGAAACACAGACAACTCTTTCCATGCCGTTTTTGGCCAGCAATTCTGCAATGGAGCAGACTCGTTCCATTTCCTTGCAGTCGGTCGTGATGCAAATGTCGACATCGGAGTCCAGAGTCCCCAGGTTGTTTCCAGTCGAACCGAAGACGTTGACTGTGAAGGAAGACGTTGGCCAATTATCACGAAGAAGTCTGTCCAATTTATCAATGAATGTTGTTCTCCGCTGCTCGCTTTCCGCAGTGGGAAGTAGCCGCGAATAAAGATTTTGCATTTCACGAGTTAGTGCCTCGTCTTCCTCATGATTAAGTCGAGTCTTCAGATCGGATTTGTCTTTTTGCAGGGGCTCTGGTCCAAATGAGTATGGCACACGCCGTCTTGCCCGCGCCATTCCTGTCTCGTATTTGCACCCTCCATAAGGCCTTCCCCTGGCTGGTGGGGTTCGACTTTTGTCGGAGGGCAGTGACAGTGGAGAGCCACTCTTCGTACTCGGGTCTGGGGAGCGTGTTACTCTCTGTCCAGACCGAGACTGAGGTCTTTGGTAGGGTGTGGACGGCAAGGACCTTGACTGGGCGGATTCATTATTTACGCCTCGTTGAGTGGAGAATTGATTGTGGCTGTCCGGATTCCCCTCCATGGCTGCTACTGGAGCCGTGATATATGGCACGGTCATCGATATTGGTGCAATGTTCCCATCATGTTCCGTCGTATTGCCTGTCATAGAAGTCTCCAGGGGCGACTGCGGCTGGACTGACACAGTGCGAGAACCCGCCACAATGTCCGCTGTAGGAGACCTAGTCGTGGAGATATCGTAGCTCTTCTCGATCCTGAAAGGTGGTGGGACGGGGGATTTTATGAGCGGTTTTTCAAAAGGTGTGGTAGGGAGATGCGCCGCCTGGGTGGCGGGCTTGGATCGCGAGGTTTGTTTCCAAGGACAAACACGCAGTCCTAAATACTCCTCAAAGCAAAGAATGTGCCTGTGCCTCGCTCGATACCTCAAGGCCTCTGGCCAGCCAGGACAAGGGTCGAATTTGGTGTACGTGCGGCTCTCAATTAATCTGAGCAAGCCAAGCGTGGCGGCGAGCAAAGTGGACAAGGATGAAAGGACTGGACGGTAGGTTGTACCAGATATAGGAACAGAGGGGACCGTGGTCCTCGGGATCGAAGAAACGTACAAGGAAGTGGGCGAAAGGCAAAGTCGTGGACGTGACGGTGGTGAGATTGCCCTTGGTCGAGGGGAATTTTGAGGGAGAATACGGTGAAATTTGTCGTTATACAGGATTGAGAATGCCAATAGAAGCAGAATAGGGTTGCCAGACGCGTGCCAGGAGAGAAGATGAAGAGGATGCACTGAGAGTCGAGACGAGAAAAGAAGGTGTTGATCGAGGTTGTGGAGGTGACTGAGGTTACGAGAGATTGAATGCACGCTTGTTCCTGGCTGCGGTGTTTGGCGGAGTGTGAGAAGGGGGAAGTTTACTATTAGCACCGCACCACCCTAAGTTAGGGTGCGTTAACTAAACGTGCGCCCCCCAAGGCCGTCAAAGGCTGAACAGTCGCCCTACACCGGCAAGGGCAGCGTGGGTGGATGGTGGATTCCAATCACTCATAGGCACGCCAAGCGCCAATTGGGAAGTGTCTATAAGAACAGGCATTGAAGTGCTGCTGCAAGCCCTCCGTTTCTACCTGATTTTGCCTATTATTGATGGAGAGCACAAAAGCGTTACAGTATGTCAAAGGTGATCCCCCCTTACGGTCTACTGCCAACAGTCGATCGAGATGTTACTGCAACAGGCTGAGTCTGCCTGTCCTGCTGCTGTGCGGTGGTGAGTGGAGCGAGGTAAGGTAGCAAGACCATGACAGGAGTTGCGCAAGGACTACTTCGTACGAGTACCTGTAGCTGCAAACGAAGCACCTGCTGGATCGCTCCCCCCCGTGCTAATATTCCAAAGAGTCTGCGCCCGGCTATCCAGGTTGTGCTGCCTCTTTTCTCAGCATGTTCTCAGGGCGCCATGTATACATAAATACTCGTACCCTGACAGGTCGTACGTCGGGCATTTGGGCGAGTTAGAACAAAAATGTCAGATCTAACTAGCGTGTCGCTCTCCAAAAGGGGAGCGCGTTTCTCCTAGGTTCGCGAGTGCCCTGTTCTAGGCTAGGGGCACAGAAAGACCTCTCTAAATCCGCTTTCCTCGATCTTTTGTTTATTCATTGTTGTCGGCGACTACTAGGTGACATTTTGACATCGATGTCCATGGCTGCCTTAGGTACAGCTCGTTATCGTCATGGAGGCGGCCATGGAGGAAGATGTGCGTGTACAATCGGATCCTTTCTACCTCCTGTCAGCATTGCTCAGCCTGGTCTCCCAGCTGAGGTCACTTCCGTGCTTCCTTTCATTTTAATGAATTTGCCCAACTCCTTACCAATATAGTCTACTGGACAAATCCAAGAATAGACCGGCCATCCATGCTCCGCATCACCGACATGGTTAGAAGATGTTGACGATGTGGCTGAACGGGAGACTGGCCTTCAAAGCCACATCCTTCCCATCTGCCAGGCCTCTGTGGCACCCATGCGCACGTGTGTCTATGTCACAATGCAGTGGTGTACACGACCTGCCTGATCTTACGCTCGAAAGTCATGATGTACTTCGATGTGATTTCCGTATAAAATTGGATGGACGACCGACACAAGAGCTTCAATAGTTGCCAGATGCAAGGCTGTGGCAATCCTAAGTCGAGGCTCATGTCGTGACAGAGTTTCCTAGCACATGCGGCCGTGAAGCAATAGGTTCAAAGTCCGCAGTCTCGAAGAATATTCACTGCACATTCCATGATGCGGAGAAATCGTTTTTCCTTTTGCCATTCCAACCCTTCTGGGTGTTCCATTCATGAATCGGATTCAAAGTCCGGCCAGGATGAACACTACGGTTCATCAGGCTGCAGAGCGGCCCGCGATCAGATCATTTACTGCCACTGGACGTGGTTGCATAGAAGCCTGGCTAAGGTTCTTTTGGCGCTTCTGGGGCACCTGTTCTTTCACAGGGAGCAGCCGCGCCAGGCAATGAGGGCTTCTATTCGCCGTTCCTGACCATGCAGGTCAGCCGTGTGGTGTGCTGCCATTACGCTGCACTGGTTGGTCCAGAATGATGCGTGATGGCACCGGGAAATATCTGCATCACATCATCTCAAGGCATGCAAGGCGGGATACAAAGTCAGAAATATCATCATCGTTTCGCACACATCCGCCATCGAGGTAGCAGAGGTAAATTGCCAGGTAACAACTGAGTCAGTTTACGATCAGGCCTCACAAGAATGTTCATCGAGAGACCTCAGAAGGATTGATATTGGGGGATCAGGCTGATGATAGCCTGTGTCATATTTGGATGCTGCATCGAGAGTACAGGATGCATGTCTGATGTCTGTGTAGTGTGTACCACATGTGATGAACCGAACCACTGTTCTTTCGGGGACGGCTGCAGTGGCAGTGTTGTCTAGAACGCGTGGTGGCCTGCAGATCGCAATATGCTGAAAACCGCTTGCCAGTTCGAGGACTGTTCAGGAAAGGAAACTGAGAAAAGAAAGACGCATCTTTCCTCTTCTCCCCACCTTTTAAGCACGCGAAATAATTTACCGGCACTGCAGCCTGTCATTCATTTGGGGCTCCACCAGTTCGAGGTCACCATTAATAATTGCATTGGCATTGGCACTTCTGCGGCTTTCCTCGCGAAGCTTGGTGCAGGTGCCCTTGGTGCCTAGGCTTTAGGATAGGCGCGGAAGGAGCCACCGTATGGCCGAGATATCTAGATATTGTATATCGCGAGTCGAGTTCGAGTCTGGCCGCTTGTTCCTAGCGATGCCGCTTAGCAACCTACTGCTGGTGCTGGTGCTGCAACCCGTGGATGGTTAGGTTAGGCTCTTGGGTGGATGTCCCGCTCTCACCGGAGCACGTTTCGGCTTCAAGTGCTTCTTTTGTCTGGCATTTGTCCCGGTCAATACAGAATATAAGAGCCCCAGGGTGAAGTGCCCGCACTTTCATTGAGGAATTGACCATGTGCAGCTAGCCTCGATCATTCCTGTTAGTGTTGTGCGACATTGACGACCGCCGATGTACTCCGTGATTGATTGTGACTGGAGTAGTGGATTGCGGCAAGGTGCAAAAGTAGTTGGTCGGTTGATGGAAGCGATTTGCAGCTTGAATCCAATCCAACCCGGGGATCCTCTTTCTCGGCTTCGAGCACTTCGAATTTCCTTCTCTCTCCCAGACTTCCCTTTGCCCACTCCAACTCACTCTCCACCATTTCGTCAAATCACATCTTCTCTTTTTTCTCTCGACCTCGACCTCGACTTCCTCTCCCTCCCTCTTGTACCCGCACCTCTTTCTCTCTCTTGTGTTCTCTTCCCCCCCTTCAACTGTCGCCTGCTGCGCTTCAGTGCAGTCCAGAGGCATTGTCGAGTCCTGTGCGTGGTAATCTCCGAAAGTCCTCCTCCGTAAGTCGAAAACTCCAGTCCCTCTTGCTCTCCCGTGGCACCTCGGCCAATTCCACCGTTCCACACCGATTCCATCATTGGTTCAGTTCTGGCCGATCCTCGAAAAAATGAGCCTCTCCCCACCCAACTTCGCACCAACCCATCCACATTGAACACCACATGTCCACTCTCCCTCCCCTTCAATTGCTTATACCCTTCTGCAACTGCCTGGCCAGTCGCACTCTCCTCTTACGCCTGCACTTTGGGGAAGGTACCAGTAGGCTCATTGATTCTTAGGAAAGAGTCCCCAGATCACGACCTTGATTGCGCTGCCTCACGAACATCGAACATATTTTCCCCAATTTTTCCGCATTGCACGACGCAAGAGTACCAAGCGTCGTCGAGAACAATGTCATACTATGAATCGCAAGGATGGCAGCCGCCTGTGCGGCAGGCGTCATGGGAGCAACCGCCGCCACCATCAAGATCTGGTCAGTGGAAGTATTGTCCCAAGCAAGCCTGGAATTGCTGACAAGATACCAGGCGCAAGCTCTACCTCACAGCGAGAAGATGGCAATGCCTTTGCCACCCAATTCGAAGAGGTGGACCGAGCCATAGACAACCTCGTCAAGAGCGGCAAAATCTATGCAGGTGGTCCACGCCCCATGCCAACGGGCCCCAGTGCTCGCCCTGGAGGCGACTACGGTATGCATACATTTCTCGGGCGACCTCCATCAGCGGGATACTGACCCATTGCAGGTCACCAAGGTCACCGTATGCACGGTGGCCGCCATTCGCAGGGCGATTTCGATGCGTCACGACCTCACCAGGGCTCGAACCTTCAGAACTTCTATGCTTCTCAAAGGCATCAGGGGCACCAGGGCAACCAGGGGCACCAGGGGCACCAGGGGCACCAGGGACACCAAGGACATCAGGGACATCAGGCCCGGCAGAACGATGGCGATCAAATGCTGCAGGCGAAGAGAAGAATGGCAGCGCAAAGAGAGCGGGAGCTCCGAAATTACCATCAGGAGCAGCAGTACAACCGAAGTGAGCATGAGATGGGCCTGCAGAAAGTTGATACGAGGCTGATGAGGACAACAGGTGTGTTGGCGGAAATGTCTTCGAATAAATCGGATCGGTCTATGAGCCCTAGCACACTGAGTGAGGAGGGTCGACGGGAGCTGATTGCGCGCCAACATCGTGCTCTTTACGGAGGCGGTGACCCAGCCTTCATGGGCCAAGTTCCATTCAGCCCTGAGGATATCAGCAGAGACCAGGCTGGTGGCAACGCCCCTGGAGCCGGCCGTGGACAATCGCCTCGAGGAGCAGATCCCTTCCGTACGCAAGGTGAAGTCAGTGGACAATCTGCCGGTGCCGATGCCTCAAGAGGTGAAAAGACCTCCTCACCGTCTGTGCAGACTGCCCCTGGGTTTGGTGCAATGGACGCAGCGGTCTCCTCGGGCAAGGCACCTACGCCGCCCTCGGGAGACGAACCGTCTCATTCACGGCAAATATCAAAATCCACCACCGCGCCTATCTCGGGAGGAATGGGACCAATTGGTAGCAGGCCAAATGCTCAGCAGGCTCCGAACCAATCCCTTAACAAGCGTACTACGTCGCCTCTTCCGTCATCTCTCGGCTACGGCTTCGGTGCTAACGAACAAAACATCGATCGGGCGGGTTCGGCCAACTCGAACCCTAATGGTCAAAAGGAGTCTGGTAATTCCAGCATGGGGGCTTGGGGTACTGGAAGTGGTGTCTGGGGTTCCAACAAGATTGGAACAACATCTGTTTGGGGTTGAATGACTTACGAGGATACGATCAAAGCATGACACGATCTATGCGCGGAGTTGTGTTGTTTTCCAGCATGCCTTCGGGTTACAGCGCATTGCGTGGGGCGGAGTGATCACATGTTTGTCATGCTTGCTAGTGTCGTTTTGATGCTTCTGCATAGCGTGCTCTGGAGGACAAATGTGGCTGAATCATTTGAGTTTTGGACTGAGGAGTTCGCGATATCAGTCAAGGGGAGGAGTGTTGTCCGGCACATATTATGGGTACAAAAGTGGGAGCAGCGGATCCTGGATTTCCGGGCACAGTCGGCGGCTGCCAGCCGCGAGGAGCATTCTGAGTTTGGTTTGGACTATTCGATCATTGCAAGGGCTTGATTTTGACAAAAAGCTGGGACGGGGTTTGCGCTCTTTTGATATGTTTTGTTGCTTAAGCGGGCATGGCTATGGGCTGGTTTTGGCTGATACATGATCCTTGCAAAGTGTGGAGTTGTGGCAAGTCACTGTTACAAGGCCGCGCTGAGTATATTGCTTTTGGCAAGCAGGAATTCGGGGCTCGGGCTATACAGAGTTTATCTTTATCGTTCACGGTCCATATGGGGGCTAATGTCCCGCAAGCGGTTGAGAGAGTCAGGAGAAACAGTACAGTCACGGGATGGGTAATTTCAGAAGCTGAACAGAGGCCTTTGATCGCACGATCGAAACATTTGGCATGTCAATCTGCTCAAGCGTTAACCCCAAGGGATTGTCTGCCCCTTTTCATGACTCAGCCTTGCCAGCTCCATGATTTTGATGCCGTCTCTCGACTGCTCTGGCTTCACGGCTACGTCGGCCTTGCCCCGGATCGCCTGCGCGAGATTCTCGTAGAAACCCAACCACCGTCCTGGAATCGTGGGATATCGACCGACATACTTCTTCGATTTGGAGTCATGGGTTTGAGTCTTGTCAAAGGACTCATTCGTCGTCAGAAGGCCGTTTAGTGAAGCATCTTCAACACCAAACTTCGGGTCAGTGGGTTTCATGCCGTCAAAGACTTGTTGTTCTTGAATACATGTGGTGTGCTGGTGCGGGCGCGGGCATGTTAGTCTTGTCATCCGGTAGTGGTGGTACGTTGTTGTTGAGGGTGGGTGGGATACATACCTTGACATAAGACCCTTTACTTCCACGGACAAAGTACTTAGGCTGATCGCCATCGCGCATGCATGAAGCGATATTCGTCTTGACCGTGACCAGTAGCGGACTGTCGTACTGTAGGATCAGTGTGAAGGAGTCTTCGATTTCGCTGTCGACGCCCCTCAAGACACGCAGAAAGCATGTTATGGATTTAGGTGGGCCGAAGAGTAGGAGGGCTTGGTCGATGGTGTGGCTTCCCAGACCGAACATCAGGCCGTCGCCTGGCGTGTACTTTTTGGCCGTCATGCCGCGCATCCAGAAGGGGAAGTCGACGTCGTAGTGGATCTCGGCTTCGTTGATCTCGCCTAGGGCGTCGTGCTTGGTGAGGTGGGAGAGGGTGAGGAAGTCTGAATCCCATCTTCGATTCTGGAAGACCGTCAAGATTAACCCCTTTTCTTTGGCTAGTTTTATGAGGTGGTCTGCCTCCTCGGTGGTCCTGGTGAATGCTTTTTCGACGACAGCTGCGGACAGGTTAGCCACATTGGCATATGATGGAAGTTATCAGTTAGGGGACCGCATACCATGCTTGCCAGTTAGAAGAGCCTTCTCAGCATACTCGGCATGAGTGTCCTGCTTGCTGCAGACAATAACGACCTCGACGTCCTTATCGGCGAAGAACTCGTCGGCTGTGCGGTAGTGCTTGGCCTCCGGGTGGTCGACGGTGCAGTGTGAGCCCGACTCGGCAGATTTTGGGTCTTTCGGCGCCTCTGCACGCTGAAAGAAGGCGACGACCTTGTACTCTGAAAGGGATTGAATGAATGGAAGATGAAAACACTTGACAGAAAATCCGTAGCCGATGATTCCTACCTTCATGGGATCCATGGTTGCTGCTTCGTGGATGAGGTCTCGACTCTAAGAGACTCAAGGACAGTCTCAGAAGACACAACGTCCATCCTTAACTTACTCAGACCATGGAGAACATGGCATTGTACGGGGTAGAAGCCGATGCCCGTTTGTGGTGTGTAATGGAACAGGCAATTGACGTCCCTTCATCGGCGGCCGGCTAAATTCATCTCTGATATTCAGCCGCGAAGACGAACTGCGTGCGGGCAGAGACTACATTCGTTAAAGCAACGACCCGACACAGGGTCGAAGGACTATTGCCGAGGGCCAAACAACAGGATGGGAACGATGAAGTAAAGCTGAAGCGGTATGGAGTACATCTCACAGTAAATATGGTTCCGTGCTTCCCTTCTCTTGTGGGCCTGCTGGAATGCCAGCTATGTTTTGACGTCATATCAGCATCTTGCGCTTACAAGCCGTGTCTCAGTATCGGATCCCACTCCCGCAGATATGAACTCGACCTCTCCTTTCCAACTTTGAGATTCTGCACCAAGAATGCCTGCCTTGACTGTTGATAGCCGAAGTTCATATCCAAGGCCCCGTACGTCCCCTGCATGACCTGCCATTTGCTCCAGGAACACTACTCGTCTTCCACATCTTTCGCCAGCATATCTGAGTCGAAGAATTTTGATGAGACAGCCCTTTTTGCTCGATAACGGTAGGGCATTAATTGAGCACAGAACGACTTGAGCGCACTGGAATCAGTGCTCCTCATGCTAGCCCAATCGTCGGCACTACCCACAACATAGAGGCCACATCTCGCACGAGAAAATAGCACATTCAAGCGGTTCTTGTTCAGGAAACCAGGCTTTCGTACTGCCACAGGATCCACGATGACAATATCGTACTCAAGGCCTTGAACGCTATCGACCGTCTCAATCGTGACATTTGCTGCATCAGGATATACAGCCGCCATTCGCGTCCTCGATATCTGCAGGATTCGTTGCTGTTCCTTGTATGGAGTCAGGATCGCAATGTGACATGGCTTTGTAGAACTGCCGAAACCTGAAACAAGGAGATCCTGCAAGATCGAGACTGCGACCATGGCGTAAGCCGCACAGAACTTTGAACCGCTGTCGAGTCTCTGGGCTTCCGCTGTGGGTACATCGCGAAAGATGACACTGCTTCCCATGCCATAACGTTGACGATTATGTAATTGGACATCCATGGCCAGTGGGCGCGCTCCTAACAACGTAGCGTCATGATGGCGGAGTCGAGACGCATAACAAGCAGTGTTGTATATCTCTGCAATCTGGGGGACGGCACGGTACTGCATGGTGAAAAAGGCACATTTGAAGCCTGCTGCTTGAAACCTCCCTTGCAGGGAGGTTCGTAGCTGCGGCAAAAAGGGGTTGTACACGCTCTTGTCCTTATCCGTCTCGATGTGTGGCGGTAGCTGATCAGGATCTCCAACCATTATCTTGCCTGCAGCATTAGGGTAGAAAGCCAGAAGTGGCCACCATTGGAACTCGGGCACCTTTGAAGCCTCATCCACAACCAGTAGCTCGGCATCTCTGTAGCTCTTCGCAACGAAACCGTCAGCTGCGCCAGCGACAGTGGCACACAAAGCTGTCGCATGAGCGATGGTATATCTCATCAGCTCTTTGATCTGCAAATCCCATTGTTCCGGATCGACGTTCTCTCCCCTGCTGTACCTCGCGTAAGATCCACGAAAGCTTGTGAAGAGGTAGGCAGCATCAGACAATGGGCCCGTCTTTATTCCCGCATTCTCGAGCATCTTCTCACCAAGGGACAGTGTTATGTCTTGGACTCTTTCATCTTGCACTCCCTCGAACTTGCATGCCGCAAAGTTTTGGCAATGTGCAAGAACAGGATGACTCCAGTCCGACCCTTTGGACGCCCCGTCCGCAGACTTCCCAGTGTCATTACCGGCCGCCAGGCTTGACTTTTGCTTCTTGTCCAGCGCCTTTTCCCTCAGAGTTTCCGCATGTCTCAAGAGGATGCTCATCTCTGTCTTGATACTGTGGAGGCGGATGACGTATCTCTTTGGGCTTGACTTCCACGAGTTGATCAGCTCTTGCAGCAGTCGATTGAGCCCCCTGGCCATGGAATCGACCCCACGATTGCCGGCTGACGTTAGCAATAGCCGATGTTCTGCATCTGCATCAAGAAGAAAAGGCTTCACAGCCTGAATCACAAAATGTGTCTTTCCGGTACCAGGACCACCATGGCAGATGACAAAACCCGCTGGAGCCTCATATCCCAGGCGGGTGGCACCCATTTGGCTCTCATTGAGGTCCATGTACTGCTCGTCGGCATACTTATCATTTGACAATGACCAGTAGATGTTGAATTTAGGTACACTCTCAAAATCGTTGGAGAGCAACGCTTCTGACAAGGCCTTGTCAAGCGAACGTCCGAAGGGGGAACAGAGCCGGCGTTCGAGGACCTCAAGTGCCGGAAAGACATAGTAAAAGATACTATGCCGGAGGTCGGGTACAACTCTGCAGGAGGTCTTGGAGCTTTCCAACAGTGCCCGAAAAGCAGCTGGGCTGGTGCGGAATTCAGCACCTAAAGGAGTGACAGAGAGCAACTGGTCGTCGATGAACCTGCCCGTATCTTTGTGTCTTCGACGTTCAACAATTGCGGTGCTGACTCCAATCCCGGAAGATGGGATTGGACGCAGGATTCTCACGTCCCAGGGCAGGCGTGATCGCTTGGCCCCGCCATAGCCTAACCCGCCATTTTCAAGAGGTGACTGTTCGTTGTCGGATTCGTCCGTTACGCACGAGCTTCCGCAGTCGTTACCATCATCATCCGACGGCGCAATGGTTCCAGGGCGGAAAGATGCGGAGGCCTTCTCTCCTGGGGAAAAGTCTTCTTGCCGTCGCCGCGGCACCTTGAATAGAGCGATAAACTTGCGTGTACCTGCCTCGTGATGCGGAAGGAATACCACTGGAGAGACGATTGACTCGGTCTTCTTCTTCTCAACAATTTCTTTCACTATCAAAGTTCCAACACCCAGGACACCTATGTAGTCTTGCAAGTGAAAGAAAGAAGTTTTCGGTAGTGAGAATAAAACCGGGGGTCGATCTTTGAGTAGAGTTTGACGTTTCAGGGTGTAGATCCATCTCGATAGGGGATTCGTCCTCTTTTCAGCGGAAAATCTTTCAGTCAGAGACGAAGTGTTGTACTCGAAAGAACTCTTGTCGCGACTTTTTATGAGGAGAGCGCAGACCGTGGTGGACTTCAAAGCAGCCTTGACAGATTGATATGATCTAGAATCTTCAATGAACAGTCCCTCGTACGAAACCAGATCTGGCTTGTACTCGACAAGCATCAGGTGAAAGCAGTTGTAGGGTTCGTCAGGGCGTTCGCCAGCAAGGTGTTCGTAATCGCTTGTTCTGATCTCGTGAAATTCCAAAGCACTGCATGAGTCCTTACTCAGCTTGACTATGACCGGTTTGTTGTCATCTGAGGGGGTTTTTGCCGGATCGTGTAGCGCAAGCTGAAGATACGATATGTATGCGGTATGGACCTGAAAGCTCAGCTGCTTGTGTGATCCGTTTGTGATCTTTTCTGCTAGACAGTATCTGTTCCTCAACAGATCCGGCGCCTTTGCCTTGCGGTTCCATCGGTGTGACCATAGAGACTGTGCGCGGCTTTCCGTAGCGGCCAGGGGTTTGTGGAGCTCGTTGTTGTGTGAGCCCTCGATAGGCGTCAAGGCGTACAAGTGCGCATCATAATCATAGTGTATGGACATTGTGTGAAAGAGAAGTCAAGGTAGTGTCAAGGGCTGAGCGCCATTGAGGATCTTGTTTCCACAAGAGCAGGAAAGGCGCTTTGGCGATAGTCTTTTCGCTTGCGGCCTGGGATCGATCAGCTCGTGCACGTTGTTGGGAGCAAATAGTGTTGAAAAGTCAACTGAATAAGAAATGAGATGATACAAGTGTCCAGCCACAGACGGAAAATGAGCGCGTGAGAAGTGACAGTTCCGGAAATCCCAGGCTCGGCCATTACCGGATATTGAGCAGCCAGTGTCACTCATACTGTGCCGATGAAGAGCAAGTGAAGTAAAGCTGGTCAAGCGGGACATTCCATATTCTCAAGAATCCAGCTTGGCGACCTCGACAATGAAGTCAGCAACATAGCGATGAGGCAGTTGCACATGGTCCCTGACCGGGCCGTTGACGACATAGGTAGGGTGACCGAAGACTGCAGGCAATATCAGCACCTTCGGTCCAAAAGGTCATGCATATTCCGCAAAGAAAGGTCCGCCCAGCCCAACATGATGCGGCACGGTTCTGGTCAGCAAGCAACATGCCGTTCAAGACACCTCTACGGTCATCTTTAGTCAGCTTGGATGCATGAAGTTGGCCGAAATCCTCTCGTCTCGTACAGAGACAACGCGCAAGGCCAAGACCTCTCCGTGTGGTGAAATTTGCTTCGAAATTTGGAATACTTCCGTCATGTGGCCTCTTCCCGAGATCAGGAGAATGCCGGAATGGTACCAATATGCTAATCATGTCGTTCATACTTTGTGTATCGCAAACAGGTTATTGGGGACTCTTTATGTTTGACTTTGACTGACAAGCAATGGCAGTTTCCTTTTTGTGTCTCGTATATAGGCGTCGCCTTAGTGTTTGATCGCTAGACGACGGCCGTATCTCATTGGTCAAGCTGGAATATCGGGTTGTCACTAGGTACTGGCTTCTCAGATGTGTCTCAGCATCGTTACACCATCAAAACGGTACGGTAGCCACCAATACGGTCACGATGACCATTCGTTTTCGAGCACGTTACCTACTCCTTACAGGTATCACATATGCCGAGTGCGCCACGATCGTTTGCGACACGGCCTGCAACTCTTTTTTGTGCCTCACAAGGCTTAGCCTTCGTACTGCAATTCCGTCAATACAACCCATCATCGCCATAGCCATGAGTACTGGACGCTACATTCGGTGGACATCACTGTCGTGCCCATGGCTTTGCAGAGCACAGCTTGATGCCTTTGGGTGCCTTATGCCGCACATCAATTACCTAACCGACATTGAGCTCCGGGTCAGAACTGCTCGATAGGCTTTTGGCCCCGATGATCCCAGCACAAACACACAATTAACCAGGACGAGCACAGCCTGCTGGGCATGATAGGCTGGCTCATGTGTACAAACGTGCGCAATAGCGGTCTCAGAGTGGGTTTCATGGTGAAAGTCACGGATGTCCATGGTGTTCTTTCTGCCTACAGTATCTCCCGACTCTCTGCATTCTTCTTTCGTCTCTCGCCAAAATCTTTTACAACCCACTTCACCTCTCATCCTGGATATATTATTAAGTGGCGACACATTGCGCAACCATGGTAAACTGCTACAGGAAGGCAAACAGCACAGACATCAGTGATACATCCGCAGTTGATGCAGCATGCAGTGTCATCACAACAGCCGAGCTCTACTCGCCTTGCTGTCCCATAAAGTCGGATGATGCTCTGGGAAACGGGAACCTCTGTCTGTCGGAATATCTTTGTTGGGAGAGTTCTCCCCCGTCGGGAGGTATTATCTTGCATGTCTGATCAGCACTCACCGTAAAGACTGACCTTTTAATTCAGGTAGCGGCTTCCTCGCAGCGTCATGTACGGACCAGTCGTACGAAAGCGACCAGTGTACCAGTCATTGCACGGACAATCCAGTGCCGGATGTCATCTATAACCCTGACACAGGCCTTTGGGCTTGCTGTGGGTGGTCGTACTCGGACGGGGTCGACTGCGCACATCCCACGAACGAAACCTGGTCCGGCCTCGCACCGTCCATACTACTCGCCGCGGCGAGTTCCTCTAGCACCATCGCTGGCACAGCTACTTTGATTAGCTCATCTTCGATATTGACCTCCGTTGCGACAACATCTTCAACGACGAGTTCGAGTTCGAGTTCAAGCACGAGCACGAGCACAGCCGCAGATACCACAGCCTCATCGCCAACATCAACTGCATCATCATCCGCATCGTCCCCCATTGCATCAAAGTCCTCGGGAGCCAGCGGCGGCGCCAAGGCTGGGATAGCAGTCGGAGTTATTGCTGCTGTCGTCCTAGTAGCTTTAGGGGTATTCTTCTTATGGACCAGAAATAGAAAGCAACAAAGAGGTTACGGAGATGGTCCAGGCCTGCAGCGTCCGTCTGTAGACAAACCAGGGCCACGGGACGGGGAGTATAAATATCGAGACTACCGCCCTCCTGCCATCGAAATGCATTCGGATCCTCCTAGGAGCGAGCTGCCGACGGACGCGCCGATGCATCCGGCGGATGGTAGGACTGGGCTTGCGGAGATGTCATGATGGAGAAGGGTTTGACATGGCTATTTACTTTGAATAAAGCACAGAATCGTACGCCCAGCCCAGCTGTTTTCGCTGGCCGATTTGTTTTATGTAGGCACGAGTTTTCGGGGAGCACTGTCAAGCAGCATTGCCGGCTTAACTTCGGCTGATTGAATTGCGCTGGGCTGGATCATTAGAATTTCCGGGATCTGGCCTCATTTTGTCTGCGATGCGCCATTCCTACAGAAATGTGAACCGATACTATGCGTGACCTGCCATAACACGACTCAAAAGCCCTTGAACACTCGTCGCAGAGGGCCAGCCAGACTTAATTCCATGTCCTCGTCAATCACTACGACTGCACCCTCCCAACATCCTTCGAGTTCTCCTTGATCAGCCCTTGGCCTTCGCAGGCACCATGTACAATCCTTACCAAGGTAAAATCTATACTTCCTTCATCCAACCTCTCCCATTGACTGACGTGTTACCAGCACCAGGACACTATGGTGCGCCGGGGGATTATGGTGCAATGCCAGGTGCGCCGCCTGGAATGGGTGAGTTAGAACACCTCGAAATCATTTCAGGCCCGACTAACTTTTCTTTCAGCACCACCTCCCGGTATGGTTGCTCCAGGCATGGGCGCTCCTCCAGGCATGCAACAGCAAGAAGCTCACCAACCAGGCAGACCTGGCGCATTCCCATCAAACTTCCAACCGCCTCCCAACATGCCCAACATCAACTTCTCCGCACCAGTCATTCGACTGGGACCTTCTGGACCTCCGAAGCCTGATGGCATTGGCGGTCGCGATGAACGGGACAGAGGTGGTCGTAGAGCAGGATTGGGCTCAGGCATGGGCTCTGACTTTCGAGGCGGAGAAAGAGATAGAATCACACAGGTACAGCCGCAATCGAAAGAAGAAATAATAAAAACAATCTTTGTTGGGGGAATCACCGAAGGGACCGGAGGAGACGATGGCATTGAGCGCATCCTACGCGCCGCTGGCAATCTGCGACGGTGGATCCGCGCCACAGATGCCGACGAAAAGCCTTGCAAGTTTGGGTTCGCAGAGTACGAAGACCCCGAAAGTCTCAGCACGGCCATAGAAGTACTAAGGGGTGTTGAAGTTCCTGTCAAGCGTCAGACCCATGGTGAAGCAAAAGTAGATGAGGAGTCTAGTGTGGAAATGTCCAGACTAATTGTGAGTACTGTGTGACTATGCTGGAAGCGAACGCTGACAGGAAGTAGATTGTGGCCGATGACAACTCCCACAGCTATCTCGAGCAATGGGAGGAATCTCAAGGAGGGAGAGATGCAGATCAGGTACAAATGCAACTCGACCATGCCCGAAGTGCGTTGGAAGCCGTACTGAAAGACCTCACCAACCCGGCCGTGCCTACACAGAGAGACGAACTATCCAATATTGACAAGGAGGGGGACGTCAGCATGACCGATGGCGCAAATGGCACAAATGGCGATGTGGTTACAATCCCCATTAACGTCGACGATGAATTGTCCGATATTCCAGCCGAGATGCGAGAAACGGTTGCAAAAGAAATAACAGCCTTCCGCGACCGAAGCAATCGTCGCGATCTTGAGCGACTTCGACGGGAAGAAGAGGTCGAGCAACAAGAGCGTCATCGCATGATGAATGGTGAGCGGTCCAATCGTCTCGCGTCACCTCCTCCATCCGCTCCTTCAGGACCTGCTGGTGCTAATGGCATACCAGTGGGACCAAGAGGAGCTCCTGCCGGGCCGAAGGGCTTTGGTGCACAAATCCCCAAGGACTACCAGAGAGGTGTCACATTCGTGAACGGGACCGCCATCAGTGGCGCATCTGCCTTTGAAGACGAGGACACTGACGCCAGTGACGATGAATTGGAGCGGAGACGGAAGGCCAAGAAGGATGCAGAACTCGAAAAGCAATACTTAGATCAGGAGCGACGATGGATCAACCGAGAGAAATCGCGGACAGCCGCGGTAGATCGTGAAAAGGGACGTGATACGGACGAAGCAACGCGAATCAATGAAGAAAAAGAAGCAATGGCCAAGCGGCTCCGAGAATGGAACGACGACAACGAGGCTTCCCGCAAGACCGAAGAGTACTACGCCGACAGGAGCATCTGGACACGCAATCGGCAGAGCTTCCGACAGCGGGAAATTGCGGACGACGATGCAGACCGTGCAGCTGAACAACGTGAGCGTGCTAGGGAGAACCGTCAACGTGAGCGTGCAGGTGCCATGGCAGACGACTTTTTAAGCAGGCAAGAAGAGGAAATGAGCCGACGAGAACCAGAGGAAGAGGAGCGGGAGCAGCAACAAGCTCCCCGGGAGCCAGCACGGTTCAAACTCTCGCTGGGTGCGGCCGCGCAAAAAGCTGCCGACAAAAGCGCATCTCAAGCTTCAAAACGGACTGTCGCGGAGGTGGAAGGCCTGTTGGAGGACGAAGAGGAAGAAGCTGGGTCTGGTGCCAGAAGGACACTCATCCCTATTCAATACGACGCCTCCACGACATCAGCGATGACAGACGAAGAACGTGCCCAAGCGGCGAAACAGCTTGCTGCGGATATCCCGAACGACAAGGATGGTCTGTGGAATTGGGACGTGAAGTGGGAGTTTGTGGATGAAGGCGTGATCGAAGAGCGCTTGAAGCCGTTCGTCGAGAAAAAGATTGTCGAGTACCTTGGTGTGCAGGAGCAGATGCTCGTCGATTACGTGGTGAATGCGCTCAGGTCACGGGGCAAGCCGCAGGATCTGGTGGGAGAACTTGAAGGGGTAAGCTTTCCTTTCCGTCTTTTTGTGTGTGTCTATCGTGCTGACAGAACCAAAAAAGGCTCTTGACGAAGAAGCAGAAGTTCTCGTGCGGAAGTTGTGGCGTATGCTCATTTTCTTCTCCGAGTCCGAGAAGCGTGGGCTGGCTACGTAGAGCTCAGCAGCAGTACAGCAAAATCTCGACAATTTCCATGTCACATGAAGAGTGACGTGGATCTATATTTCACCATGGACCGCGAAGGGATTCCCAGCACATATCGAACGTTCCGCCACTCAAAGCAGCTGGGTTCCAGATGACTGAGGCACTGCTGAACATCGAGATTCAGTCAAAGCCAACTTTGGATACAGTCGAGATTGAGCAATGTATACCACGTTCTGACTCCCCCGAACAACTTCACGTCCTCTGTCCGTTTGTCTTATCGCTCTACTACCCCTTTCTAACCGCAGCCTAGCACACTTCCAAGCTGGATCCTATGCCCTCCATTCCCTTTTCTTTCCTTACGAGTTCCTTCATCTCGTACGATTCCACCCTATTCTCCCCATCCAATAGCGCTCGGTCACGACTCATCGTCTCCCCAACCACCAAGATCCCTAAGCACATCACCCACATTCGGCCACCCCTGCAATCCATCCGGTCCGCCATCCAATCTTGACCTCTGCACCATTTCGGGACCTAGAAATTCCACGACACTCGCGATCCCAACCTTGACTCCACGAATAACATCCTTGATCCGTCTCATTTTGGGAGTCTCCTCGTCCGACCCTCTCGCTCCCAAGACACGTCCTAAACCCCTGACGTGCCAAAGACTCGGACCTTTGAGGCCCTGACACGTGATGCTCGTGGAGACCACGATTTCGGTTTCCAGCGCTGACATGTGCGTGAAGTCTGAGAGGTACAAACCGTATACGATGGTCAATTCGTGGAATCCCACTATGGGGCGATGTGTGCCGAACGTCTTGAAGATTGACGGCCATAGGTCGCCGTAGATGGATGTTATGGTCTCGATGCCTCGGGCGTGTAAGGCTGGTAGAGTCGTAGAGGACCTGTGGTCGGCGTTAGCGTATCTGGGAAGGGAGATAGGAGGAATAGATGAAAGCAGCAGCGGACCATTAGGGAGTCGGAGCAGGATGGACGTACCATGACGACAAGTCCAATTCGCCACGTTGCTCCTCGCCTTTGTTCTGGGTTTGGACTTTGGCGAGCGGAATGAGAGCGCTGAGCATTTGCGGGGCGCCGATGAGGGTGAGTTGTTTGAGTAGGAGGTCGCCTAGGCGGGTGGAGAGGTGGGATTGCGACTCGCGAGTGGAGAATTCGCCGTCAGTGCGGGTGAGATGTGTCCAGAAGTCGGCGAGGAGAGTTGGACGCGGCGATACTGTTAGAACGGTGGCCTTGATGAGAAGGAAGTGTAAGCATGCGGGGTTCGTTCGCTACGAAGATGATTGCATTTACTGAGGGCTGAAGGCAGGCGCAAGCAAGAGCTTGTGGTGGGATTTCAGAAGGGGCGTGAGTGTATCCTGGTATCCTGGAAGATTGAATGGCCGTGTAGCGGGATGTCCCTTGACCGAATGACCATCCTTTTGAATCCGAGGAGTGTTTCGTTCATGGGTCATTGCTCGGCGTCTTTGGGCTCAAGTTTCTTTTCTGGAGACGTATCGCCCCGGCTCAACACGACCGGCCTGGCAGCAGACATGACGCACTTACAATGATCAGATACCAAGTCTCCTCTCCCACTTCTTCCAGCAGATTACTCTTCACATCTTGACACAGTTGATCCCACTGCTCCTTCGTCGTCGTGTCTGAAACCATGTTTGTAGCCATTTTCGGAGGTAAGTAGTATTTCCACTACGTCTTGCTTGACGATCGTCGTTCTGTCTTGTGCTGAGATGCTCGGTCAATCTTACGACATATCGGTATATATATATTTGGGGAAAGGGAATTTGAGGTCAAGCTATGCGAAGTTTCGACTCAACCAGCGGAGGTGAGGTAATTGACCTCTGGGATAGTTGATCACTATGAGACGTTGTCCATTTACACTTTTCCTCAATTGTTTGCCAATACAAGCACCGTTGCCAAGCAATGTGTCAAACAGTGTTCATGATACGATACATTGATTGCTCTGTCTTTCTACCTAATATTGCGTACTTAACGCTTCTATATAGACGTCCAACGTACAACTAGGACCTCGCCGTCGTCACAGTAACTCGTCGTCGTTAACGACGCTCCAATAGCTGGAGTCAGTGCGTAAATTGGCTCCCAACCCGTGGAATAACAGGTCTGACCAAGGTGCTGTTTGACACAATGGTAAATCTGCTCGCGGTTGAGCATCTCAAGTGTAGAGACAGAATTCAAGTAAGCATGATATACCTGCCCTTCGCTTGCATGACACCCCTCCAATCAACACTGCCTAGTGTCGAGCGCCCACCTCTTCGATCCTGGTCAAGGGGCAACATCTGGTCGACTGTTCTCCACACCACATATACATCTAATGTGGAATGGTGTAGACGTTCCGAAAGATAAGGAATGCAAGAAACCCGGAACACCATTTTGGATTTGTGAATGAAAAATGGTGTTACTCATACCTTTATCTCCCCATTGCAGATTGTAACATCTTCGGTACTATATGATACTTATTCATTGAAAGGAGAGTCATTGCATCGACAAGGATGACGATGATAGATGCTTCTATCGCTTAAGTACAGACAAAGGACGGAACCCTCGGACCTCCGCAAATGGTATCATGCATACGCTTCTTCTCCCGACTTCATGCTCTGGGCTGCCATGCTCACGACAAACTTCTTCCCCATCAAATCACCCTTCTTCACCATTTCCAGCCCTTCTCTCACTCGGCCCAATCCACCATGCAAGACCTCCAATCTAGGTTCTTTCAATTTTCCGGCTTCCAATAGTTTGTTGAGACTTTCAGCGTAACTCCTGCTTTCTTTGTCCAAGACAAACCGTTTCATCTCCACGTTGTGCACGGTTACGTTTGGTGGCACAGCCTCACCTGCTTTCATCATCGCCAATGGCACGAAATGAGAAGGTGTTGTCTTGGATAACGCAGCCATACAAAAAGGCGCCGTGTCCGTACCGACTAGGTCAACTGCACGTGTTGTCCTGTCGCCGCAGATAGATCGGATGCAGTCGAGGATATCTTGATTGCTCCTGTTATCCCGGGTGATGACATGATTGGCACCAAGTGAGTAGATGAGATCTTTGGTTTTCTCGGAACAGACGGCGATGACAGAAAAGTGGGATGCTTTGGCGAGTTGGATCGTGTATTGACCAGTCACTGATGAGCCTCCCCAAACGAGAAGATAGCCATCTGCTCCAGAAAGACACGGTCGGGGTGGTGTGGTCGATGGTTCGGGCACACACAGCCATTTCCACAAGGTCATTGCAGAAGTCAAAGCAGCGACACCCAGGCACGCGGCTGACTCGTAGCCCATGTTTGACGGTATCGGCAGGACCGTATATTGAGGAACGGTAACAAATTCCTGAAAACATCCGGCTCGTGAGTCTCGGTAATATGTACTCGTCCAGACTCGATCGCCGGGTTTGCATGTAGTCACTTGTGAGCCGACCTTCTCCACGACTCCTGCCATCTCTCGGCCCGTAACCCAAGGAAAAGCTGGTAGACAGAAGTTGTAATCGACGGTTTTCCAGTCGATGGGGTTGAGGCCAGTGGCAAGATTCCGAATTACGACTTCTTCCTCGCTCCTTAATGTCGGGAAGGCGTGATGGTCAATAAGCTCATATTCGCCTTTCCGAACCACGATAAGGGCCTTTTGGGTGGTGGGTGTCGAGGCTCTCTTGACGCTGATAGATTTCGAGATTGCTCGTCGCTTGAAAGCCGGGGCAATTGCGGATGTTGATGTGGTCTCTTTTTCGACGTCGAACTCGAAGGTTTCGATGATCTTGCGTTTGTTGGTCGACTTTCGCCCTGACTGCTGCTGGACACACGCCATATCTGTTTTGAGCAGGTTGTCCAAGGGAGGGGAAGACCTTATCGCTGAGAGCATCTTGTATGAGGCAACGTATGTAGCAACAGTGGAGACGTAGGAGATGGAATAATGAGTCCCTCTCCTGATGGGTTAGTAAATCATTCTATATCGATGAGTCTGTCGATAGCTGGTCGTCTCTCGAAGTCACCTGGTGAAACTTGTAATGAAAGAATAGGTCCCAGTAGAGATGAGATTATGATACGATAGGGTGGTAATACATCCCTATCTCGAATTAAGCGTGGCTATTGATGGAGCGGACTTGCCCTGCTCTACATCATACCGTAGGATGACGGAACGGCTCTCGCGCCGAACAACGCGGATCTGCGAACATCGCTGAGCCACTTCTCCAAGGGCTAGAACCATCGGACTCGAATTGAGGCGAGACAGTGGAGTACTCCGTACTTATTTGATGAAGACTTTCGCCCGAGAGACGCTCCATGCGCAGTGACGAAATCTACCCACCCTTGTCAGCGAACACCTTATCTGCCATAGACACCTACCCGATAACCGCTATTGCCTCTATGATAACAAACCGTCTCTTGCAGCACGGTTCGATTCCTCCGCGGTCGTCAACGAACGTGTCGAGAACTGCCGTGGAGAGTAAGTTCGGGTAGTGGGATGCTTGACCTAATATAAGACTAGCACCAAGGCGTGACGCCGCGACGGACAAGGCCGAATTCCATAGACCTCTCCACGACTTCCTTTTGAGTCTGTTATCAAACACTAGAAGCAAACCCGTCGAGGTACAAACAATCACAGGGCTAACATCATGTCTACGCCCATGGATGTCGGACTTTTCATTCCAATCGGCAACAACGGTTGGATCATATCCGAAAATTCCCCGCAATACAAACCGTCGTTCGAATTGAACAAGCAAGTCGTACAGAAGGCAGAAGGTTACGGCCTTGACTTTGCCCTGTCTATGATCAAACTGCGAGGTTATGGCGGCAAAACAGAATTCTGGGATCACAATCTTGAATCCTTCACCCTGATGAGTGCCCTAGCCGCAGTCACCAGCAAAATCAAGGTCTTTGCAACGGCTGCCGTCCTGACAATACCACCCGCCATTCTTGCTCGGATGGCGACCACAATCGACTCAGTCGCCCCCGGCCGCTTCGGAATCAACATTGTGACTGGCTGGCAACAGGCCGAATACTCGCAAATGGGTCTTTGGCCCGGAAATGCGTTCTTCGGATATCGCTATGAGTACGCCACAGAATATGTCCAAGTCATGAAAGACCTCTGGAAGAATTCTCAATCAGATTTCAAAGGAAAATACTTCCAGATGGACGACTGCAAGCTCTCGCCCACTCCATCATCCGACGTCAAACTCGTCGTCGCTGGTGAGAGCGATCGTGGCATGGAGTTCGCAGCCAAATATTGCGACTACAACTTCGTCAAAGGTCTCGGTGTGAACACCCCCACCGCCGCCAAACAGATCAATGAGCGTCTATTGGCGGCGGCGGCCAAAACAGGCCGTGATGTCGGCGCTTATGTTCTCTTTATGATCATCGCCGAGGCCACCGACGAAGACGCTGAAGCGAAATGGCAGAACTACCGTGACGGCGCGGACGTTGAAGCATTGGCTTGGATGTCCGGCCAAGCGGGTATGGATAAGTCCGCTGCGGCCAACAGCACGGCGAAGACAATGGCTCTGCCTGAAGGAGCTGTGAATATGAATATCGGCACGTTGGTGGGCAGTTATGAAAAAGTGGCGGCCATGTTGGATGAGGCTGCCAGTGTCGAGGGCACCAAGGGGCTGCTGTTGATTTTCGATGATTATTTGCCTGCTTTGGACAAGTTTGGGAAGGAGATTCAGCCCAGGATGAAGTGTCGGGCTCACGTCAAGGTCAAGAATGACAAGAAACGACCATTCGAACCTGAGACAGACCTCGATTCATGATCTTCAGTAGTGAATCAAAAGCCTAGAAATCATCTTCCTGATGGACATGCCGTGATTGAATGTCTCATGTTCTCGAACCAGATAACAACTTCAGGAGCCATTCACAATTCACGAGTCGATCCTTCATCCGCTTACACGACGTCCTTTTCCTCTTTCGTCACTTTCTGGGAGACCGACTGGATTGTATCAGCTTCGTCTGATCGCCCAAGCTTGGGTTGATGCTTCCATTGCTTGGCCGGGATTCCCTATTAATCATCATTGTGTCAGAGTGCGAACTTGTGAGATCAAACCAGCATTGCAGACTTACGTTCATGAAGAACCCGTTGATCTCCTCCATAGTCCGACCTGTGACCTCCCCAACGCAGAAGTATACGTACGCCAACGACACAAAGCACAGACCCGTATAGATGAACCCGGTCTTAGGGCCAAGGTTGGCAGAATAGTACAGGTAAGGCAGCGTAAAGACCGTGACCCACACTGTGATCCAGAACGAGGCCACAGCGATAGCATAGATTTTGTTCCTGTTAGGACCAACTGCCATTTCAGAGGCCTATATCATCATCAGTATGTTGCGCCTTGTAGCATAAACATCTTTAAAAGGACAAAGACTCACAATTGTCCAGCCTAATGGGCCCCACGAAAAGTTGAATGCGCATATCTCTATGATGACGAACGAGATAATGACTTTGCCAAAGGTGGGAGAGACATCGCCTCCAGGGATACCGAGGCAGCCGACGATGAAGATTGAAACCGTCATGATCCCTGTTGTGATGAGAAGCAAAGGCCGACGCGGAATCTTGTTGGCCAAGAGCACTGCCGCCAGGACAACCACTACTTGGATGATGAACACGATTAGTGTCATCAAAAATGGATCTTTGAGACCGATGGCTTCGGAGAAAACGGTGCCGAAGTAGTAGAACCATTGGATACCGTTGATCTGTTGAGCGACCAGTGCGCCGGCAGAGAAGATGACTTTTCGTCGCTCGATAGGGTCCTTGATCAAGCTAAACCACGAAGACTGCGCCGATTGTTCGACTTCGGCGGCAAGACTGGCCTGAAGTGCCGCCATGTCGGTCGAGGCGTCGTAAGTCTTGTCCTCTCCATGGATGCGGTGCAGAGAGACGACAGCCTGGGAATCCCTTCCCTTGCGCACCAGCCAGCGAGGAGATTCGGGCACGAAGTACCAGAAGATCAGTACCAGGGCCGGGAACAGGAGCTGAAAGCCAATGGGGAACTTGTAAGCGAGAATGGTCTGGTTTTTGTACAAGCCACGATTGATCGCAGCCGCCAGGATTTGCGACACCGACAAGGTCAATTGCCAACACATGAGCAAGGGTCCGCGGATGGATGTAGGTGCGACCTCCTACGAAACGGATAACTTGTTAGCAAGGCCCGTATCTAAACATATGGATAAACGTCTTCAAGGGAGTACTTACGCCCATGTAGAGTGGTGACGTGGACGAGAATGATCCAACACCGTATCCAAGGATGACACGTCCACCGGTGATGTACCCTCGGTTGGAGTTTGAAGACAGCTGTAACACCACACCAATGATGATGGTAACCGTGGCGATGAGAAAGACCATTTTTCGGCCCAGGTAGTCGTTTAATGGCGCCGCAGTCAAGGAACCCACCAACTCACCAACATTGATCATCGAGGTCATGATGGAGAGCTGGGAAGGTGTGATCTTGTAGGTGCCATCTGCCGTCTTGGTGCCAAAGTGCCGGATAAACACGTCCTAGTAGACACAAGTTAACGAACACTGTCGACACTACAAGCCATGAGATCGCTAAACGTACCAGTGAAGAGACTCCATTGAAGTAAACACCATCATAACCATACAGGCATGCGCCCAGTGCGGCAAAGGCACAAAAGGCCCAGGCGTAAGGATGATTGATTCTGAGCATGTTCAATCTGGGTTGGCGGGAAATGCAGGTGGTGTGAAGACAGGCTCGATGATGCCAGTGATGAGTGGCAAGTGCTGAGTGCTGCTTGCGGTCGATTGAGGCTTCTTGACTTGGAATCTTTTTGTCGTTCTCAGAGTGCCTGCCCTAGGGATGTTATATAGCCACAGGCGCAAGGATAAGTCGGCAGCTTCGTCAAACTCCGTCTGGAAAGTGCATTTTTGTTCCCTCACGAGACCAACTTACGTATCCACTATGGAGTACAAGGGGCGCCCGAGGGGAGTGATGACCACGCGGGCTGGAGTGCATACGGTGTTGGCGGGGGAGAAGTTGTTCTACAACTTCATGGAGAACCTTGTTGACTTATGAAGTGTCTATCGGACGCACGGCCGAAGGGTGCCACAATGGCGGGCGACCCAATCGGCATCGCTGGACAGGCTGCCGGTCGGCACATTCAGGTCTGCTGCCGATGGTCCGGCCGCGCCGACGGCGCATCGGCACAATCGGCCTCGTAGGAAAAGACTGACAGAATTCTGGGCCGGATCAGAAGGAAGACCTTGCCCGTTCGTATCTGGGGACTGCCATCTTTTGTGGAGTTGCCAGCGGTGGGAGTGTGGTCAATAAAACCCATGGACGGTCTCATCCCAAAAGTGTGTCGAGTGCTGCTGGGATTCTTCGACGCATTGCAGCCACAACAATTCCATGCATCTCATACAGAGCGACCGGTACGGTCGCCCCTCTGAGGCGCAAGCGGCAGCAGATGCAATCCCGATTCTTGTCGACAATACATACCACTTGTTTCATTTGGCGACACCGCCTCACACGATCCATCATCCTCCTCGGCTGAGGTCTTCATGGTTTCGATTGCGTTCGAAAGACCTCAAATCATGGAAGCGGGATCAAAAACCGGTCCTTGTACCAGGTGAATCGTCAACTGATCCCGACAGTGATGGGGTCTGGACAGGGTCTGCCATTCTTGATCCACACGGCAATATGCAGATTTTCTATACCGGGTACAATCTCTCCGAAGGTGGAAGACAAGTCATCCTCCGGGCTTCTGCTGGTGATAGACACGGCAATTCGTTCACAAAGACTGGGAAATCGCCAATACGAATCGTGTCACCGGAGTCGAATCGTGCCGCCTTTGAAGATATCGACTTCAGGGATCCTTACGTGTTCTTCAACGAGGAAGAGTCGCGCTACTGGATGCTGGTCGGCACTCGCTTGTCGTCCGGACCCAAATGGACTCGAGGATGTCTCGCACTGCTAACCTCAGCAGATCTCCAAGATTGGAGCTTGGAACCAAAGCCGTTGTATGCGCCGAATGACATGTATTGTCCTGAATGTCCGGAACTGTTTAGGCTGCCGAATGGGAAATGGTATCTCGTATATTCACGATTTGCCGCACCAGATTCGGGGACAGTGTACCGCATGGCGGACAGCCCGTATGGTCCATTTCGAAAGCCCAAGGATGGTTCCCATGGCCGTCTTGACGGTCGAAGGTGGTATGCGGCGAAGTCGTGCCCCAAGGCATCAGATCCAGCCAAGCGCATATACTTCGGGTGGGCTGGAGACTTCAACGAGAAGGACAAAAAGTGGCTATGGGGAGGCGACATGGCACTTCCGAGAGAGGTGTCAGCAAATGAAGATGGACACCTGCGCATCGATCCTGTGGAAGAGGCAATCACCGCGTCATTCGGGACTTCAACTGAGAAGAGGCATTGCTTCTCGGAATCATGCATAAGGATATCCAGTATCGGTAGCGCCAGCACGGAATTGATTGATGCGCCAATAAAAGCCGAAACTTTGGAGTATATGCTGGAATTTGGCATCGGATCCCAGGATGCACAGTCTTTCGGCCTCCTCTTCCGCTCGGATGCCGACATGAGAGGCCACCGTCTCTCGTTCACGCCGCGTGGCAATGGCACCGTTGACTTGACACTTCTGACCGACTTGCCACCTTTGGATGATTTCTGGGCGGATCAGTATCAACTATATATTCCACGAAATGTCGACGGACCAGAAATTGTGCGGCATTGTGGCTTGTCCGTGGAAGGAAAAATCCGGCTCATCGTTTTGGGAGAGCTCATTCAATTCTTCTGTGGTGGAAGGTCGATAACTTTTCGAGTGCCCCTCCCACGTCCGACCGGACTTGTAAATGGCGCTACAAATGGGGCTGTGAATGGCGCGGCAGACGGAACACATGGCGGACATGATGACCATGCTGTTCAGAGTATCAAGGAGCTGGCTTTCTTCGTGGAGGACGGCGAGGTAGAATTCAGAGATGTCTGGCTGAGTTGGCCGTCCATGCAAGGAAATGGTCCTTGAGTGGCCTACCCCGGCACAAGTCTACCGCCCCCTAGCATACCCATCCCCGCTGTGTTGAGGTCCACGCCAGCTAGGAGATCAAAGGTTTCCAATTGCAGATCGGCCAAGTCCCAGTCGCCGAAATTGTTGAAATCCATATCGGCGCTCGTAGAGAGCATCGAAGGACGAAATTCAGTGGTTTGATCGATGTTCACAGCCAGAGCGTGCTCAAGTCCTCGGAGGATCGCACCCTCTAAGCGGTTGGCAGCATATCGCATTGGCTCGCTGCTGTTACTCATGGTTCTCAGTGTCCAGATGTAAGAGTTGAGCGTGTCTTGCCAGAAATCTCGTTCGTGCGTGGATAGCGAGGTGACAAGCATTAGCGTGGTGAAAGATCCGAGAAGAGAGAACAGATATGGTGATGCTGGAGTACGTCAGCCATTGCGAATCTCACAGAAAGAAGAGTGTCCTTACTAAAATACCAGAATGACTCCAAGTGATCTGGTCTGAGATCATTGACAAACTTTGTCGCCGCCTGAACAGTCGCGAGACCTAGTTGGCGAATGGAAGCCAAGACTTCATTGTTGTCACAACGGGCACCAAGCGCCGTAGACCGGACAAGGCGGCGAAGGACATTGATCATGGTGCCATAGTAGGAGAAGTGTAGCGATCCTATAGCAATATCAGTACAAGTCTCGGATCTCGTACCTCGGAGCTCCTACCACAAAAGTTCAGTTGGCGATAGAACTTGACATCCATGTTGAGCATTGGATCCAATTTGGCATACCAGTCTGTCAATTCGTCCACCAAGGGCCGCGCGAGCCCATAAAGCTCAGTACTGTTCTGCGAGATGGAGGTCCTGAGGGTGTAGAAGTTTCTTTGTAGCCGACTGAGCATTTTTGTTAGCTCAACCATTTTCATGAAATGCATCATTCCAGCGTTGTGATAGAAATCCAGGTTTGTTATTCCATCTGGGTGTGCGGGAGCTTCGCCTTGGTCAGGTTCAAAATCCCGAATATGCAGATCTCTCAGACCCCAGTCATCTTCGTGAATGTGCGAAGGTCTCCCATACGCCATCGAAGTCCATTTGTCTTGCATGTAGAGCGCCCAGCCAAGCCTTTTTCGCAAGCGCTGCTCCCATGCTGGAATGTTCCAATTCGACGCATCAAGTTGCAGCCCAACTGACTCGGCTATCCCCAATGCCTGACAGACATATCCCCAACAAAAGGTGTGATCCGGATTCAGGGGATCCTCAGGTTTGCACTGGAGAAGAAGTAGAATTGCTTGGATCGAGGACAATCTCGGCCTATGATAGGAGTTCTGGATGGCTTGCATAGTCAAATTTCGTAGATGCCGCGATTCCGGAGCAGCCCTCAGATTCAACTCGGAATCGTAAGACCACCAATTCAGAGACACGAGGTAGACAGCACCAAGAAGGCCAGCGGGTACGTTTCTGTAACCCCTGGCGTAATCTGACATGAAACCTGCCTTGTGCAGTAGAGGCAAAGAAGGTTGAACCATTCTCCAGAACAACTTGATTAAACGTGGCCCAAACGGGTTCACACAGTCTTCGATAGCATCGACATCGACGTAGCTTGATGTATATCCAATTGACTTCTCGTTTGAGACAGTGTGGAAGGTTATTGGATAATTCTGCCCTTGATCACTTTGTAGTATACGACGGATTCGATGTGTCTCGAGACAATATTCATTGCCGAGGCCATCATAAGGCCGGTGTCGCTGGTAGGAGGGTCAGTTATGAGCAATACTCTATGGGCAAACCCTCGCAAGACGAACCATCAATATAGGTTCCATATCACTTGTGATACCATAGAGCTCGGCGAACCGGTGGTTTGACTGACCAAGGCTCTGTGGTTCGGCATGATTGGTTTCTTCGAGACCTTGAACGTGGATCGATGTCCGTATTGAAGCCGGGCTGTGAAACGATCCTGAATTTCGAAGATGGCTGGAGAACTCGGAGTTGGTTGCTTGGAGGGCATCATCTGCGACTGAGGGCGAGAATCTTGATATTGGAGCCGGTGCGTCGGCTGGAAGATTTCTCGGGCGGTTGGGTGTTGTTCCATTGCGATCTTGCGAAGTCCCTGTAATTCGCTGACGTCCTGGAGGATCACGTTCGAAGGTGCACTCGACGCCACGGTCATTGCAAGAAATGCACGTAGCGGCACCCTCTTCTTCTGGAATGCAGCGAGTTTTGCGGACCCTGCACGCGTCACAAGGGCGAGTTACTCGTCGTGGCGGTCTCGGTTTTCTTCGTTTCATTCTGTCCATCAGAACTCCACCTCAGTGAAATGAGCCCAGACATTCAAGAGGTCAGGCTACGGCACCGACGTTGATGGGGATGTTGGCCCCGAATTAGGTGAGTGGTTCTGAGGAATACATGGGTAGGTACAGAATCCCTCCAGATGTCACAAGTGCCCAGAAGTAAACTTGGGTTCAACTAGGCTTTTCGCGCCGAGCGACCGACCAACTTGACGACAAAATCTACGCGGGCGTCTCGTTGACCCACCACCTAACTTTAGGTAGTCCCGCACCCAAAAGTTTGCACGGGGAAGCCTAGGAAAATGTTGCAAAGGACCTCTTAGGGACTATCAGGGGCAGCATGCCATGAACCTAACTTAGGAGCCTCGTCCCTAATAATCCATGTACCATGATTGCAAACGTTCGCACGCAATGTGAGGTCATTACCACAAGAACACACTGCCAAAGCCAGAATCGAATCGCAGCATCTCTTTTCAACAGTCAGATATTCTCTGCGCAATGTAAACGTTTCGTGAATTGCAACAGCCGTTCGTCCCGCCATCAGCTGAGTCTTTTACGTGGTGCTTAAAGCCTCCAGGTCCATAAGACTCATCAAGTTGTGCTAGCACCGTCTCTGAATTCTTCAGCCAATCTGCTGGACTGTGGCACAGCGACTCGATCAGCTGAGGGTATCCGAGACAATTCCCTTACCTACAAGTGCGAGGATTGCACCCTCCCAGATAGCCTTGGGTCTGGTAAGATTTGATGGCTCTGGCACATGTCCATTTTGACCCTCAAATACCTGGATAACGGGTGCCTCTTCTTCCAAAGAGGGAATGAGCACCTATGTTCCCGACTTCACTCTGCGCAAGGTTTTTAGAACAATTTTTGCCAAAAAAGGCATCCTCAGCGGTTTGTATGAGAACCATGTTGCCACCGTCGTGGTGAAACCAGAGTCCGAATAGGTCATCAAAAGCATACAACTCGTACAGAGATTCGGGTCTGGGTCAAAGTGTCAGTCTGAAGTACAATTGCGGTTCCGTCAAACGCAAGGGTCCGGAAGGGAGGATAGTCTTCCAGACGGTTGCACGACCGCTGAAACTGGAATTGCGGTACCACCCGGGTAAGAACAAATGTTCTGCCATCCTCTTTGCTGCTTCCCATTATCATCATCATCATCATTATCATGGGCAAGCACAAGCAGAAACGCCGCTTCCTCCAGTCTTCGTGCTTACTGCGAAGCGTAGACAAGATTCCTTGCAGGTACAGTTCCTGCACTGCGGATGCAGTCACAGTGCAGTCGGAACGGTGTCATCGGCTGCAGAAGTCCCTATGAGTATTCTCAAGGCAAGCCATAGGGGGAGCTGAAGACGAAGACCTCCTCACTTGTCAGGTGCATGACATGTGGAGGTCGAGTGACAGGTATTCGTTGTTTCATATTTTCTACCAAGACTTTCCGACGAGAGCACCGTCTATTTCCACGCACCAACTTCTGCCTGCATCATGCCGTGGTTCCTTTGCGAACCTCTAGGTGCATCGGGAGTTGTCGATGAAATGAGTGGTGCATGGTTATGCAGAGGTGGCTGCGGTCCAGACCACTGGCAGTTCGTATTGATATGATGACCCCGCGTGGATACTGTACGTCAACAAGGTTCTTCTGCTGGAAAGCGCTTGTCGGCATGAACCTTACGAGAACCACGAGGGCGCCTCGCGGAGCTTTGACCGACGATCCATGGCCATCGATCCTTTGGCCGTTTCAAACTCACCTGAAGGCTTGGGATGTGTACGTCAACTTGTCAAAAAGCATTTTGCATACACAGTGAATGCATGCATGCTAGGGCGAGGAGGTGATACGCCACGGAATTCCGGCCAGCGTAGGGCAGGTAAAAAGTCCAGGGCAAGGTCAGGGTAGGCTCCCCCATGCAGTTTTAATCTCAACGTAGTCTCCGGGTCGGAAAGGGAGACTCATTTCGTGATCTTCAGATGACATGCTTCACTTTGTACATATAGTCAGTCCATGACCGCATTGGGGCTTCAGTAGTTTTGTTTCGGCCTCTTGTCAACTTCTTCTTTTCCCGTGTTGTTCAATAGTTCACCTGTCGTTCTAATCATTCATTCTGCTGTCATCTCGGCCTACCCCATCTCCTCCCAGGTCGTGCCTCAGCGTTAAGATAACTGTTGAAGGCCTTCACCGACCAGCAACACACGATCCGAGAAGAGAATATCAGCCTAAAAAGCCACTGTCACCAAAACCCTTTGTATCATCCCAAGATCGAACAGTTGGCAGCCAAACAGTTCATGCCACGGTACGCGAATCGAAGAGGCTAACGCAGCCCTTTCGCCTAATCACCCAAATTTCGAATCCAGGTCGCCAATAGTCAATTCCAAAAATGCGAAATTCACGACGAAATACTCAGGCTAATTACGAAGTGGCTTTCGAGTCGCTTCCGCCTGCTCTTCGTCGAAAAGTGAGTCAGCTCTTCATTCACCGAGTGCCCTCCTTGCCCAGATACCCTGCACATGAAAGATGCCAAAGGCCGAAACGGGACACGGCTGTATCAAGCCACATCCTTCACAAGGTACAAAGCGGAAAGTATCATTGTTGGGCTGTTCGAGCCGTGCCCACGATTTCAGTCACAACGAAATCTCCTTTCGACAGGACCTCTGGAGGACCGAGCCACGTCATGGCACCACGCCGGGCTGTATAACCCATGATAGCCCCATTGAAGAGGGTCTTTGGGCCTTGCAACTCTGGAAGCTTAGGGCTAGCTGCTCGTTGCCTCAATGGGTGATGAAACAGGATGGGTTACCCGCAAGATCCATCTGCTGAGCTGTCTTGCCCCTGCAGGGCGGCACGGTCCTCTTTGAGTTTAGGCGCTTGTTAGGCCTGAAGATCCCCACCACCTACACCTCATCTGGTGAAGTCCGTTCGCGCACACACCAACTTGACCACTCTTGTCTCGCGCGGACACCGTTGACAGTCACTGTCGATCGCTGATTCTGCAAGGTCCATGGGCTAACGTGTGGTGTGGCACCAGTATTTTAGCAGTTTAGAACGTCTCAGATTGGCACAAGATGGCACTGGCAGCCTCTCACCTCCTCCGTCTCGCCTGTCATTCCTACCTCCGCGCAATCCCTGGATCACCACAACATCTCTAAACTCGATAACTCTCCTTAAGAACGGCGTGTTGCAGCCTGCCCTGCTGAGGAACGGGAAAAGACTTCGTAAGAGGAGGTTTTCTACACGAAGAATTCACCTCGATTCCTCGGCCGGTACCTGGTTCGCAACTCTGTCTCCTGCGGTCCAGAAGAAATTGTTCTCCAGGGAAGAGTGTTCGTTTTACAACGGGGATACAAACATCGGCATCCTAGACGCCGCAGACGAAACACTCCGCAGGCGCAGTTGCCATACAAACCGCCTGCTTGTCTCCGAGCGTCGCATATCGGACGACGAGACTATCGTCGACTGGGAAGACATCAAATGCGAAGATAGACCTGATCTTGACATCGACATGTGCGACTATTCGACCCACGGATTCAGGTGGCTTGACGACGAGCCAGAGCTCAACCTCAAGCTGGATGACTACCACGAGGCTATCGCAGAAACACAACGACGTACTTCCTTCATGTCAGAGCCCACCAAACGCCCTTTCCGACATAGGAACGCATCGCTATCGAGCATGTCCCTCCGACGTGGTCGAAGCTCAACATCGTCGTCTCGCCCTCCAATAGATGCACCGCCGACGCCAGCCTTGCCGTCAAAAGCTTCCTCAAAGCCTTCTTCTCTACGAACCCCCTCCTTCTCTCTCAAGCCTATCCGCTCGAAAGCATCACTAAAGTCTATTGACCCCCAAGCGGCTCATTATCAAGATCCAGCCGCCCGGATGAAATTGAGGGTATACCTCGCTTCACCACAGAAGTTCGACGAGGCGATAGAGTTTGGGTTTCCTCAAATGGGTGACCGACATCGATTGGACCATGCCAGACCAATGACGAGTCCGGCACCCAGGCCAGAAACCAATCGCACCTTCTTCCATGACAATACCCCCTCTTTGTCTGGTGACGACAGCGAGGATGAAGACGAGCCCGACACTCTGTATGATCCCCGAACTCCAGAAGACGCCTTCTTCCAAATGCATCGGCCACCTCAGAAAAGCACGGTAGATGCCAATCCTGGATGGAGACCATCCTCGGCGCGAAGACAACCCGAGACATACGCCCGCAGTTTTGCGACAGATCGTGAGATGACCTTGCACATGACTTTGACGCGACCAGACCTACGGTCACCTGGGGAGGCCCTTCCGGAGCAGCGCAGCAAGGTCGACGATGTCAATGCTCTACCGTTGGAACGACCCCAGCTTGCCAACGAACCCAACCCGGTTTCCATTTGGGACACGTTACCCCCGGCAGAATCAAAGATGAAGAGATTCCTACGAAGATTGAAACTCAGATAAGACGGAAGACTTCTGCATTGATTTACTCTTCGAGTTGTATTAAAAGCAAGCATGCAAGCAAAGGACGGTATCATTCAGCGTGGAGTTCTGGTTGAATACGAAGCCTACACCTTCAGGCTTCAATGGTATTGGGTGGCACGCATTGAGCATCGTGTCATGAGAGACATAGATTAAGCGATGATGCGTGGCACAAGTGATGCTAGGTTGTAATAGTATAAATTGCTCGCATCATAGTCGGGAACCGCAGCAATGATGAACTTCCTTACCAAATAGAAAGGAGTGTCAACACTTTGTGACAAGTGGTTGCCTGAAGCCTTCTCCTTATTATGGACAGGTCTGACACGCCAGGGGTTTATTGCAAACGCCAGGTAAGAATCGCGCTAAGTGATGCGTGCCGGATTGGGGTTTCCTATTCTTCTAACTTAGCTCCGATGATGAATGGCTGAGCATAGAACAATTGTTGGCCGCGCATGCAAGAGGCAAAACGACCACTTGTTCAATCCATCGTTCTATTCTTTTGGAAAGATTCAAGCGACGATCTACTTGTCAATCCTTCCAGTACCCTCAATGCGGTGATCAAATATGATACTCCGGTCCCTTTGTCGCGGTGCGGTGGCCTCGTCACTTGCCCTGTTCGTGCTGCTGTCCTTTTCGCCGCAGCCTACGCAAGCGAAGAAAGACGGGCCTACCATCTCCTCCACCACTTTCGACAATCCGCTAGAGAACGTCTTCTACTTTGACGACTCAAATGTCATCATCGGTCAAGATAGAGAAGCAAATTCCGTCTGGCGGAGCGCTGACGCCGGTGAAACATGGGTGGAAGTAAATGCCGACGGCCAATCTGGCAACGCATGGGACTTGGTCGCACATCCATGGGACGACAAGCGCGCCTATATCCTCGGGCTGGGATCAGATCACTGGATGACGAATGATCGAGGCTTAACATGGCAGAAGTTCAACACTGCAGGCACCGGCCTTGCTTTGTTTCGCCCCAATCCTCTTGCCTTCCATGGCCGAGACCCGAAACGAGCTATCTGGAACGGCGAGCAATGTATTGGCCTGCTCTGCGTGGAGGTTGCCCTATATACAGACGACGACTTCAAGACCGTCACTAAGATGAGTAGCCAAACAAGAGGGTGTCAATGGGCTATTGGCACACCGGAGTTTGCGGAAGAGCTCACAGCTGAAATCAATGATCGCGTCCTCTGCATTGTGGAAGGACTGTACTCTCCATGGCCCAAGGACAACCGTCTTATGGTTTCCGATGACTTCTTTGCTCAGCAGGAGGTCGAACCTACATTGGATGATGGTCGAGCAGTCACCGGCATCATCAGCATGGCCTCCGTTAAAGGTTTCTTGGTCGCCGCCGCCAAGTCAGAAGGCACAGACGAATTGGCTCTATATGTCACGAAAGATGCGTCGCAGTGGCACAGGGCGGAGTTTGGGCAACACCGAATCAACGAAGATGCCTACACCATTCTCGAAAGCACAAACTACAGTATGCAAGTTGACGTCCTCGGCTCGCGACCCTCAAACCCCATGGGTTTCCTCTTCACCTCGAACTCGAACGGAACCTACTTTACCCGCAATATCGATTATACAAACCGTAATGTTTATGGGCGGGTGGATTTTGAAAAGGTACAAAATATACGAGGCATCATACTTGTGAACGTCGTGGACAACTTCAAAGAAGTCGAAGGGTCGACCCTCGCGGACAAGAACATCATATCTCAAGTCAGCTTCGACGATGGTAGAACGTTCCAGGATCTCATGGCCGACGATAAAAAACTACATTTACATTCGGTGACCGATGCGAAGCAGACCGGTAGGATATTCTCGAGTCCAGCACCAGGCATCGTGATGGGTATTGGCAATACTGGCAAGTACCTGAAAGACTACACCGACGGTGACCTCTATGTTTCAGATGATGCCGGAGTGACCTGGTACGAAGGCCTCGACGGTGCCCATCTATACGAGTTCGGAAACCAGGGTGCAGTAATTGTCGCCATCGATGACGAAGACACCACCAGCACACTCAAGTTCTCAATCGACCACGGGAAAACGTGGACAAAGGCCGATTTGGGCGAGGAGAACATCCGCGCCAAATTCATCACCACGGTCCCTGATTCGACCACTTTGAAATTTCTCCTCATGGGCTCCCGCGGATCTGGATCCAAGACCGAATGGTTGATATTCAAGATTGACTTTGAGGGGCTTCACGAACGTGCTTGCAAGGAGTCCGACTTTCAAAGATGGCCCGCTCGCGTCGACGCAGATGGCTCACCAAGTTGCATAATGGGTCAACGACAATTCTTCCGTCGCCGCAAAGCGGATGCGAAATGCTTCATCGAAGAGGAATTCAACGATCCAGAACCCGAAAACGAGCCTTGCAAATGTACAATGGCTGACTTCGAGTGTGACTACAACTTCGTACGAGATCCGGAAGATCGCACAAAATGTATTCCGGCAACTACACTCGCCGTCCCTAAAGGTGCCTGCAAGGATCCAAAGGATACTTATCTAGGACCTTCTGGTTGGAGACTTATTCCCGGCAACGAATGCCTCCGTAAAGGCGGAGAAGAGCTCGATCAAGAAATTGAAAGACCATGTTCGGATGCCAACAAGACGCCAGCTTCAGGCGAAGTTGCTGTCGAGAAGACAAACTTCAATGCTGACCGATTCTCGGAGTGGTATTATCTGGAAAGAGGCGAAACTTCCATCGGCACGGACGAAACAATTGTCATGCGTACAAGCGAACAGGACATCTACTTGAGTAAGGACCATGGCAGAACTTGGGATCCCATCCTGAAAGGCGAGCCTATTACAGCTATCACCCCCAACCCCAACCACCACGATGTTGTCTATTTCCTCACAGGTTCAAGGACTGTGCACTATACCATCGACAGAGGAGACAGGTTCGACCAATTCAGTGCACCTGAACGTCCTAGCAACTTGAGACTGCCTACGATGAAGTTTCACCCTGGGTATAAGGATTGGCTGCTGTGGTCTGGTGCAGCAGGAAATGACGATCATACAAACATCTTCTTCTCCAAAGACCGTGGTGATAACTGGGATACACTTGTCCGCTACGCCAGGAAATGCGACTTCATCACGAGGGAGAATCAACCGGGCTCGGACAAACTCATCTATTGCGAACAGTATGAGGATGAGAACCCAGACAAGAACCTGATGCTCGTGTCTAGCGACAATTTCTTCAGCAGTTCCGAGGTCCATTTCCCTGATATCTTGGACTATGCAACCATGTCTGAGTTCATCATCGTCGCTACAAAGACTGAAGACCAGCAAGGGCTCAAGGTTGACGCAAGTGTCGATGGACGCACATTCGCACCAGCTGAGTTCCCCAAGAACTTCCAAGTTCAACATCAACAGGCATACACAGTGCTTGATAGTTCGACTCATGCCGTGTTCCTTCACGTCACGGTCAATCCGGCTCCGGATCGTGAGCATGGAGCAATCATCAAGTCGAACAGCAATGGTACCTCATATGTCTTCACTCTCGGTGCCGTCAATCGAGACACAGATGGCTTCGTTGATTTTGAGAAAATGCAAGGCCTCGAAGGCGTGGCAATGGTCAATGTTGTTTCCAATATTGCCGAAGTCAATGATGGCGAAAAGAAGAAGTTGAAATCGATGATTACTCACAACGATGGTGCAGAATGGGCTTTGTTGCCGCCACCCAAGAAAGATGCGCTTGGAAACGAATACAAATGTGTCAAGGAAGACAACGTAGCTAGTGGGAAGTGCTCCCTACACATCCACAGTTATACTGAAAGGTCTGATAAGTCAGCTACTTTCTCCAGCCCCAGCGCGGTTGGGCTGATGATGGCTGTGGGTAACGTGGGTGAATACCTCACTCGAAAGGACGATGAGTATACAGATACCTTTGTCACCCGCGATGCAGGCATTACCTGGACATCGGTCATGAAGGGCAGCTACATGTGGGAGTATGGTGACCAGGGCAGTGTCATTGTCATCGTCAAGGAATCTCAACCTACAAGGGAACTTTTCTACACTCTCGACGAGGGCATTTCATGGAAGAAATACGAATTCTCACCCAGCGTGGATATGCAAATCGACGCCATCACAACTGTGCCTTCCGATAACTCTCTCAACTTCCTCCTCTGGGGCCGAGAAGTGGGAGCCAGTGCCAAGCGTGGTATTTTCACAGTGGCCCTGGATTTCACCGGTCTCAACGAGCGCCAGCGCAAGTGCGATCTGGACGAGAACAACCCTATCAACGACGACTATACTCTGTGGGAGCCCAAACATCCTTTGCAAGACTCCAATTGCTTGTTCGGACATGTGGCTCAGTATCACCGAAAGCGAGCGAAGGCGGAATGCTATAACGGCAAGATGCTCGACCACCTTCACAGCATTGCCCAGAACTGCAGTTGCACGCGTCAAGACTTTGAGTGCGACTACAATTACGAAGCTCGCGCAGACGGTGTCTGCGAGCTGGTCCCGGGCATGGAACCTTTGGATCACGAAAAGCAGTGTCGCGAAAATCCAGAGCAAGTCGAGTTCTGGTATCCGACTGGGTACAGACGGATACCACTGACAACGTGCCAGGGGGGACCAGAGCTGGATAGGATCGAGAGCAGGCCCTGCCCAGGACACGAGAAGGACTATGAGAAGAAGCACGGCATCAGTGGCGTGGGTTTGTTCTTTGCTATTTTCATTCCTGTCGCTGCGGCCTGTGGCATCGGGTACTACGTGTACACGCAGTGGCAGGCTGGGTTCGCTGGGTTCGGCCAGATCAGGCTTGGCGAGAGCATGGGCCAGAGTCAATCGGGAGATCCGTTGTGGCAGACAGTGCCTGTGGCGATTGTCAGTGGTGTCGTGGCTGTGGCCAAGGCGACGCCCTTGGTCATCTTGAGTCTGTGGAGGAGTGTCAAGGGGTATGTGCCTCTTGGGTCTGGTGGGGGAGGATCCGGAGGACGTTTCGGACTTGGGAGGGATGCTGGCGCGGCTGGGTATGGCGCGCCGTATCGTTCGAGGGATGCGTTCGCTAGGCGTGGGCAGGATTACTCTCAGGTCGTGGAGGATGATGAGTTGCTGGGGGATGATTTGGGTGACGAAGAAGAAGTTTGAGAAGGGGCGAGGCATGAAGCTAGGATGGCCTGGTCTGATTTTGAACAAGGAAGGGGTCAAGTGATGCTAGCCTCTGTTTTGGTGTACGCTCCCCCTCGACAAGACCACCAGACGTCAAAGCACGAGCAGGCCAGGCCCCCTCTCAGACATTGTATGGTATAGGAGGATCCGGTGTGAGTGTATATTTGGGGCCCGTCGAGCGAGGGCCATGAGTATCTACTATGTATTAGATAGCGAAGTTGCATACGCTCTTTCGATGCGTTGTGCTCATGCTCATGCTCATGCTCATGAATTGCCTACGAAGAGACGCAGAGGACGAGGCGCAACGCGAAAAGGAGGATGGCAATTTCACTGTGCATGTAAGCCCGAGTCGAGCTGTAGACCTCCTTAAGCATGATTGAACGTTCACACGACAGGACATCGACAGGCTTGACTCTTTTATAAACGCCTCAATTGGTCTATCGGTGTCTCTGCATTGGGTGATTTGACTCCTGCGCTATGAACAATCTTTAGTGGTCCCTTGCTGCGTAACCACGGTCCTGAGAGACCCTTCAAAGCTCTTTGTTATCCTTCTTTTCTGTGCAACAATTCAAGTATGCATTCGACGATTCGCTGAGAATACGCTGGGAGGTGGATGACAAGAGTATGGTTCTGGGTCGGCTCGGAAAAGGATGGTTGAATGGTTTACTTGGAGAAGGCATCGTCGACTTGCTTCTTGGCCTCGTCCTTGGAGATGCCGTACTTCTCGGCGACCTTCTCGATGAGACCTTCTCTGTTACCGGCGACGGCGGCGAAGTCTTGAGGAGTGAGCTTGTCGAAGGAGGAGCGGAGCTTTGCCTTGGTTGCTTCGTCGGCCATGGTGACTGGATGTTTTTGTGGTTGATTGATTGGGTATAGTAAGAGAGTTTCTGGACGCGGTAGTATAACCTTTTTGATGCTTGAAGTAGAAAAGGAATGTAGTCGTGCAACCCTTGAGACGCAGTGTTTATATAAAGACACACCGCCGGATCATCTTACCCCTCCACCCCTCCTCCTGAATCGGCGGAGTCCATATGATTGGATTTCCCTGCGCCATTCATGTTTGTTTTCCTGCCCCACGGTTCTTAGGGACCAAAAAAGGTCATGACCGAAAGGCCACGTCGCAGATGAAACATCCAATCAGGGTATGGCAATCTTCACCGATTCATCTTGACACCGAATAGAAACTCGTTGACGGAAAGTGACGGGCCGCAGGGCCAAGCAAGGTGCCGTGTTCGGGTTTGCCTAGTCTGGAATGATGGAGCAGAGATGGGGGTGGATGCGAACATGACTCGAGGCTTGGGCATCTGGCGGTGAAGGAATGCAGAATCTTGACGCCGTCGAAGGGAACCGGTCTCTGAGAGCAACATGTGATGGCGTGAGATAGTCTGCAACTCGATCTGGTCAGCCAAATTGACACATTCGGTTCAACAACATCATGATTGAGACCCCTAGATCCGACCCCTCGGGCACTGCTGATCGATGCTAGGGGTGCTCTTAAAGTTAGACCGGCACCGCCATGTGTGTTTCTTTAGCCTATCTCAGCTGGCGCCACCAAGCTCCAGGCGATCCGTCTCATGAACCTCATCCACTGAATTGTGCTTTTCTCCCTGCGGCTCTTCGTTTGTCTTTGCTTGTCAGATCTGTCAAAACGCGGCAGCGACGTGGCTTCCAGTCGTGTAGTGGGAATAAGCGATCGACGGGAAAGGACGGCATCGAACAGAATTCGTTGGTGAGGTCTCGACTTCGCAATGCAGGACTGCTTGACGCCGAGCGATGCCGTCTTCCCTTGCCGGGTACCCTTATCAGCAAAATCTGGTCCAGCGGGCCCATAAGAGTAGCCTAGGTTCAAAGATACCAAGAAGAAGCGACGAGACCACTTCTGGGAGGTACAGTGGCCTGCTTGGCGGCTTCTTCAATTCGCAGGGAGCTTGTGGTCGAACGACTGCTTGTGATGCGGCGGGCGCGATGGAACAAAAATAGGTGTGGTGATACAGATGCAATATCGAATTTGGTTGAAGCTACAAAATGGAAGAAGGACGCGTGGGAGGAAGGGGCGACATATACATCACAATCTCACGGAACAGGTCTTTTGGTTAGGTAGGTGCTACTTCAATACAGGAGCTTTTCCATTGACTATCTAGGTACTGGAAGCTTGCCGTCGGTATGCACTCTTCATTTTCAATTACAAGGCGTCGGTCGCCAGCCCGTTCGCACGCTTTTCGAGCTTTAAGACGAACAACTAGTACTCTCCTCTCCATTTGGTCCTAGAAGATTCCGGGTCGTGATCAAGTGGTGGTTCGAGTGGTCTTCTTCTCGCTGGCCAGGACAAAATTGATCTTGTAGAAGACGTGCGAATGGATCAAGATGGCTCGAGTACGTGCCACCCATGGTTGTGCATGTCTGAATGCCTCGAAAAGCCCCTGCTCGACCTCGGTGTCTTCGTGTTCGATCTTTTGAACCTCCTCTTCAACTTTCTTCAGGTGCAGCACGATCTGATCCAACTGGTCAAGTGTGATGATTGTAGCGGTGTTCTGTCCGATGAGGAAGCGGGTGCTGAAGGTATGATATTTGCGAGAATTGATGGCGAGTTGGTAGGCTTGGAGACCACTCTGGATCTTGCCGATGCCTTCGATCTCAGCCTTAAGAGCAACAAGGAAAGCCGCTTTGGCTTTTGGAGGTGCGGAAGGTTCTTGAAAGAGTCCGGTGAAGCCAAAGGCACATTCGAACCCGGCGATGGGACTCTTAAAGGCTGATGCTGCTTCGATAGCAGATTCGTTGGCGTGGCTTTGGAAGGGCGGAGATGTCTCTTCAGCAAGGACCAGCGCTTCCAGCTTCTGATCGAGGTCTTTACGGAGATCCAAAGTCCCCTCACTGACAGAAGACTCCGCGGTATCGGCGTTGGAGGAAAGGGGAGTGCAGAATCCAGACAGCCCATTTGTTGCGGTAAGTCGCTCATCAGAGAATATGTCAAACTTTGCTAGGGCACTCAGTGAAGAGGACGACGAGGCGTGTGAAGATACAACAGACAAACGCAGAGGGTCTGCGATGGTCGGTGGATCTGTAGCCATGATGTCGGCGATCCAAAGGAATGATGGCTTGGGTGGAAGAGGAGAAAGAGCTCTTTTGTGCTTGAGACGGCAGAGGATTCAATCGCGCGAACACCATGTGAGAGTGCACAGGATGAACAGGAAGAAAGACTCGATCACCGAAAGACAAGCATAAATACAAAAAGAAACATACTCAAGGTAATTAACATGGAGGCAGTAACAAGCACGTGAAGTTGATAACTGCTGGGTACCTACAATCAATCACTTCACTGCCCCTCAGTCCGCGCTGTCACAGAGACTGCCTTGTTCAATCGAGCTGCCTAAGGCCAATGGATCAGCTCTTCCATTTGCAATTGTTGAAGGTGTATTTGATGGATGCCGATGTCACTGTCGGATGATTGAATTCTTTCATTGAAATGCTGTCTTCATCTTAAGCCTCCCGCAAAGGGTCGGCAGATCTCTCTGATAGGCAACTAAGCCGATGGTTGTGAGACTTCGTCATTTTGAGAAGACTTCTCATAACTTCGCCTTGTTCCAACATCCAAATATCGAAAAGTCCCTACAGAATAACTCGTGGACCTGTTTCCAGGCAACATGAGATCGCATCACGGAGTATTATGGCGACATGACTTTGAATTCCATTGAGTATGGCGGTGGGTGGCATGCTCAACCGCTGAGTTGTCTGCTTTTGTCCACGGGGAAAGAATCACCACGATCGATGATGGCGACAGCAAATGGCGTCCTTCCTGCCAATGCACTGTATGTGCTTGCCTTGGACGCAACGAAGGCAGCCAGCAGCATTGCCCTCCCTCTCAGTGATACAAACAACTCTCCCTCTGCTCGCATCATTCGACTTTACTGCTCACATTCACATTCACATTCACACTCACTATCTTCCATCTTTTTGTCTTTGTTCCATCCCGCTTAGAACTCATTGTCACATACCTATCGACAGCTTACGATTAACCATTTCTGCCACTTGCTGTTGCATAGTCCTTCCTCGCTCTAATGGCCGACTCCGAAGCTGATAACATGTCACCAACCGACCACAACTCGCAAGCCTCAGGCAGGTCACTTGGCCCTCATTCCCCCATTCAACCAACTGGACGCAGATCTACCTTGAGTTTATCCAACGTCGAAGTCGATCAGAATGACTCTGGGGACGACGCCTTCATGTCTCTCATACGACAAGTGTTGAACTCGGCGGGCGACGCAAATCCATCGGGTCTCGCCGCGAGTGAACCAAACACCTCAAACGCCTCTGACTGCAAACAATCTCGTCCTCAAAGCGACCAGATACGTTCTCAAGAGAGCCGGTCAATACGTTCTCCTCCAGACAGCAGTCTGACACAACAACACGACTCCGATCCGTTCTCCACACATGCCCTTACAAGCACAGGTGCCTGCCATATATGCCCTGACCCACCGGCTACTCTCATTAGTCTCTTATGTGGACACGCATACTGCAGAAAGTGTCTTAACCGCCTATTCAAAGAGGGCATCGCAAATCGACGATCTTTCCCACCAAAGTGTTGCCCGTGGTCGTCGATACGACTCACCGCAGTACAGATGTATCTTGATGACGACGTACTTCATCGATACAACGATGTACACGACGAGTTCTCGGACCTCGACCCTGTTTACTGTGCGAATAAACATTGCAGCTCTTACATTCGGCAGAGTCGCACGAACCATCAACATGGAAGATCCATGATGTGTGGAAGTTGTGGCACTTACACCTGTGTCGATTGCAAACAGCCTCGAGATGAGCACGTTAACCATAACGGCCTCCTGAAGTGTAAACGTCCCGAGCAATTGATGAGTACCGCGGACAGCGAGCTTGCCTACTTGCAGGGATGGAAGCAATGCCCCCGTGAGTGCGCGACGGCGGACTTCATCGCTTGCCTCGTGGCGCCTTTTTACTGATACTTCCCAGGTTGCAAGAACCTCATTGAAAGAATTGAAGGCTGCAATCGCGTGAGTAGTACTCGTCCACATTTCGGTCACCGAATGTTCACCATTTCTTAGGTGACTTGTCAATGTGGCACCCGGTTTTGCTACCGCTGCAATGTTGCAAAGGAGTTAGACAACGAGCCCTGTCTTTGCCAGGCGGAAGGTCTTGATGTATACGGGCGGTACGATCCTCTACTGGCCACATCTCCTGGTGAACATGTACGATCGACTTCGAACTCACGATCGATTTTGAGCTCTGACAAGGCACCGTCTCTATACCAAGGCCGGGGCCAGGTGCAATAGGGAGGCGCCTCAACCGCATCTGCACTGCTTGACAATCCTTTGAGAGAGCGTGTTCCAGGGCTACAACTCCTGCCAAGACGACAGATGGATGATGGAGCCGGTCGAACAATCGCTTCAGGATTGCAGCCACCCTTTGTATATCCTTCAGGGAACTCACCTGCAATGGGTTCTTCACTGGATTCCTCTCCTGGGCAGCGCAGATCATTTCGCGGGAGCGAACGGTTCCGTTTCGTGTCAAGGACGCCCCGAGAGGACGCCCCTGGACAACAACTACCTGCTGGACATGACGAGCATCCTGTCAATCCTTCGGGTGAGAGGGCGGTTGACAGGTCCGCAACGCCGTCACCAGGGGGAGCAATGTCGGTGGGAGGTGTTACCGAGTCGATGTTGGATGAAGGCTTCCCGCTTGCCTTCGGGCTTGCGGAGAGTAATACAACTGGGAATGGGACCTCAATGACCAGCGAGGATGCCAAGCCTGGGATAAAACGGCGAAGAAGCGAGACAGATGAATAACTTAGATGAGCGCGTGAGAATGAACTGGATCAAGTTTCACCTGGCGGTGGACATCAAAGGCAATTGGGTGTTGGATGGTCATGGTTAGGTATGGATATATGCTTATTTTGCTTAGCGATTTAAGCCTTTCAGCCTTGTTGATCCGATCTCCGGGCGGCTGAAGCCTCGCTGCCGATCATGGTTGGTGGCTCCTTTTTAGCTTCGATCTTTCACGTCATCATCCACTTGGTGATGCAAGGTTCTTTCGCGACGCGTATCCTTGATGGTTTCATCATAGACAATGTAGCCTCTCTAGCCTTTGGGCGTTTCCTATTTCTTATCTCGTCCATCAAACGTCCATCAAGGGAGTACGGTACAGTCGCCGGATTACGCTCAAGACTTTCGTGTATTTGAAGCACAAGCATATCTCTCGAATTGCTATCTGGTGGTTTGTCTCGCCACGTTCGACCTCCATGGAGTCAACAAATACATCCTCGATTGAAGTCACCACACGGTCAGACCTCTCTCTTCTCTACAAGGTTCTTCGCACCATCATCCGTCCACTCCGACCCCGTCTCGTCAAACCCGGCAAGCCCGCACCCTCTGAATCTCAAAAACTCTCGCCACCAGAAAAGCGAGGATGCAAGGTCATCGAATCGCGACGGGAAGGTATTTGGGAATATACTTTCCGGCACTCATCACAGCCAGCATCCCAAGGAGGACAACCACTCCATGACGGTGTTGCAAGGGTGGTGGAGGAACGAAAGCCGGCGAGCAAGAAGCATCGCGTGTATTACTTCTGCGGCGGCGGGTTTCAGTCGCCTCCCTCGAATGAGCATTGGCGATTCATCACGCAGGTTACTAAGGATCTGGCGCAGTCTCAGGGACAGCACCGCGAAGTTGAGATCACGGTGGTATCGCATCCTCTTGCGCCGGCGTCACCTGCCGCTGAGGCGTTGCCGGTGCTGCGGAAGTGGTTGGCCTCTGCACTGGTTGAGGCCAATCTAGCTGGGGATACGGTGACGTTGATGGGAGATAGTAGTGGTGGGAACATTGCGCTGAGTTTGGGATTTTGGGCAGTGGAGAACTATAAGGCTCCTTCTGCATCTGCCACGAGTGGTGATGGTAATGGTCTGCCCTTGGTGGCAGTCTTTGTAATTTCGCCGGCTGTGGATCTGAGGAATGTCAATCCTGGGATTGAAGAGGTTGATAGATATGATCCGGTTTTGACGGTAGGATTGACGAGCCAGGTTGCGAGGGCGTGGACGGGGAATGTTGAGTCGAAGGGTCCGGTGCCGGGAAAGCCAGCGGCGATGGAGATGTCTAATCCGACGGTGTCGCCTCTGTTACAGCCGGAGGAGATGTTTAGGTTGATGAGGGATAGAGGAGTGAGTGTGCATGGTGTGGTGGGTACGCATGATGTGCTTGCTCCGGATGCATTGGAGTTCATGAGGAAGTGTGAACGATTTGGGGTGAGAGGAAAATGGTTGGTTTGGGATGGGCAGATGCATTGTTTCCCGCTGGCGGGAGGGGGCGAGATCGTTGGCTTGAGAGAAGGGAAAGAGGGGAGGAGGTGGGTTGATGAGGTATTGAGAGAGGATGCAAGAGTGTAGGACATGAAATGCATGGCTTGGTAGGCCGTGATGGATGTAATCTTATAGTATGATATGATCATCTTTGTGATGGGCAGAAACCTTGCACAGTATTCCCCTCTCCAGAAACGCCCCCTTATTTGCTCGGTTCTCTTCGGCCGTCCTAGCGAGTGTGCTTTGTATTCGGTACAACATTTCTCGACGAGAGGGGACAGTCCTATGTTCGTGATTGGTCCGATTTTCGTTCTCCAAGTCCACCCCAAAGGTGTCATGCCGAGCTACGGGAGCTAAGGGCCAGGCCGGCATGCAGAGGCCCACAAGGCTGAAATGGGTAGCGGCGAGTATGTTCGATACCTAGTTATGCGTACCAAGGGCGATACTGAGCCCTCTGAAGGACTATCAGACGTCAGCAGTGGGAGTACAGGCTCATGAAGTATATACTTTCGACCTTGATTTGCACAATTCTGGAATTCTGCCAGACGGTGATGAGCCCAATAGCGGTTGCAACGACGCCGAAGACAATTGTTAGGATGATATCGAGGGCCATGATAGCGATGTTGTTGCTTTCGTCTCTTCTATATCTAAGAAGTATCCCGTGGTATTGCAGAAGTATCCACGAATATGATATCTTGCAATTGCATGTACTACACATTGATCATTGAAGGGGGAAACGAGAGCTTTTATTGACGATCTCGTACAAGGTTAGCACCATCTGCACGCCAAGGCTCATCTTTGGAAAAGAGTTAGCCGTGTGTCAAGGTACTCCGTATTAGGGCAGTGATGCCACAAATACAGGGTTCCTTCGGATAAGCAAGGATCACAGCCGACGAAAGTGACGATGTTGCGTGCATCAAAGTGCGAGAAGCAGGCTGTGCAATTTAAGCAAGAGTCAAGCAATTCAAGAGCCAATCAGCTGTAAAGACAGGTTGAAGACACGTGTTTTACTTCTTCCCATTGTTCGCAAGTGTGCCTCGTTGATATGATAGGAACCTGAGACTACTAACGTCACATTCCTGGCGGTCTACATGCATAGCACCAATGATAAAGGCGATAGATTGCTGTACTATTCAGCAATATTATGCCACCATTATTCCGCTCGGTATGAGGTGCTGGAACAAAGCTGAATGTTGCGACTTCTACTGTGACGGAAGAAGCACCTGCGCTTCACGACTTGGCAGTTCCATTTCCTTCTCCTGTAGCCTTCCATATCTCTCTCCCTCTTTCCCTTTCCCGCTAGACCAAAATACGTTACGCACATCTCTCACCATCTGCACATCAGCAGTCATAGGCCGCGAGCATAGACCTTTCCGGTGATCGTGTGTTTTGGCAGCCACACCAAAGCGAGATTTGAGTTTCTCTGTTCACAAGTATTCATGTGGGATCAGGATCATCAAGAATACCTCGCTCACCAAGTGTGGTAATGGTCCCCAGCAGTCTTTTGCACTCCTCTTCCTGCTCTTTCTCTACCATCACCTCCCACAGCCCTTTCCTCTTTGTATTGGCGGGTTGCGAAGACGAAGCGATATTCCTCGGCGTCTTCCCTCTCGAGGAGTCGTGGGTATACCGACATCTTGATCCGAACTTGCAGCGACCAGTTTTTGCAAAAGTATTGCACAGACGAGGAGTGTTGACTCGTGCAGCTTTCGGAGGCTGTGGAGCAAGGTCGTGAACAAGGGCGGCCTGCTTTGTGCTCATGACCTCTGGAGCAGAATCTGAGTCGGACTCGGACTCAGAAGTGTCTGAGCCGGAATCTGTGGTAGGGGAGCCGGAGGAGGAAGTCGCATCAGGATCTATTATGTCTGAAGCAGATGAATCGTCGACCTCATCAAGCTGCAGAGGCTGCTCGTGATCGGCAGCTGCAGCTTCTGGAGGCTGGTCTTTGTTTTGACTGGCAGCCAGAGCATTTCGCTTTTCCTGAGCCATACGCAGCGCCTCCTCTGCTTTTGCCAGTCGTTGTTCGGCTTTGAGTGCCTTTTTTCTGAGCTTCTCAGCCTTCATCTCCGCCACTGTCGCGGAGTCGAATTCGGTGTCTTTGTTCTTTGCCAAACGTTCCACCTTCCGTGCTTCTGCTTCTTTCTGCGCTCTTTCGATCTGCTGCTGCTTCCGTTCCTCATCTCTCTTGATCCGAGCCTGCCGATTGGCCTCAAACCTGGCCGCTTTTTCTTCCTCCCATTTCCTTCTCTTCTCGGCCGCCTCTTTCTTTGCCGCCTCGACCTTTACCGCTGTGGGGTATCGTGCTTTACGCTCGGCAATCCAGGCTGCTATTTCTGCTACGGTCCGCAGCGTTGAGACATGGCCCTTATATTCGATCTCTAGGCCGTGCCTGGCACTTTTTGCTTGAGTGGCAAGGCGCGTCTCTTCGCCCTCGTCATCCTCTGGTTCGGAGTCGGGATCGGCTTTCGTGGGTGTCAAGCCAAGCAAGTTCTGCTTCTTGGGCTTTTCTACGGTTTGCACTGCTGGCTGAGGCGCTGGCTTGCGCGGAAGGAGATGTTCTATCGAGGCGTTGAAGCTGGGGACTGCAGGAGCGGCTGTCGGTCGCGGCCTGGCTGGTTGGGTGTTGTTGAAAGCGCTGGTATGGTCTCGTTTCTGCGGAGGGTTCAGTCCGCTATCGCGATTCCAACTGTCTCCATGAGGCCTGTTTGCATAGTTGTTGTGACCCGTATAGGGGGCATGATGAGAGCCTCTTTGCGACCCCCGGGCACCTCTTCCGGCACCCCTCTGAAAGCCGCCACCGCCTCTGAAAGAGCCTCGATTATTGGGGAAGCCGTTATTCTGCGCGTAGGAATTGTCTGTGGTTCGCTTCGGCGGAGGCGGAGGCGGAGGAGGGAAGGAGAATGGTTGGTTGGACATGGTGAGAAAGGGACCTGCGACTCGGTGTCATTCCGCTAGCAGACACGCTATATATGATACATCGTAGAGCAATACATTACAACACAAAGCATGTTGACCCTGACAGCCTGCGGATCAGTGAAGAGGCATGGAGAAATGTCACGATAAATTTATTTACATGATCGACGTCAGACTCGAAGCGTGCAAAAAAGCGGCGCCCATTAACTAAGCGGGTTCCACTCGATATGAATTTTAATGCGGAGAGAGTATGTTTGACTTGACAATATCTTTCACTGCCATTTCTGTCCTCCTTTGGAAGAGCGCGACCGGTTCCTGGAGACCTGGTATCATGCAGAGGTCATCGCTGAACATACAAACATTTCATACCTCTGCGCGGGAACGGTAGCACCATGTTCATCCTTGTATGGCATTCTTCCGCCGTCTCTTCGCTCAACCAACTAACGACAGTAGACCACATTTGACGACCTGGTCCAGATCCCACCGCATGGATTCCGAAACAACCAGATAACTCGCAATGATCTCGAAGACAGAATCAACGAGAAGTACTCGAACAAAGTGCGGCGACATGGCTCGTTGCTACGCCTCTCATTCTAATCCCATTGCTAGATTGTGCAGAAAGTCGGATTATGCATCTGCATGTATGATCTATTGACAGCCTCAGATGGCTTGATCGGGAATGGCACAGGCAATGCGAACGTCAATGGTATCATCGACTATGTCTTGTGAGAGGCTGTGGGCTTATCATGTCTTCAGTGGAATTCCGAATGATCGTCTTCAGACCCTTCAAGGGCGAGATCATAACAGGCACTGTCCAGAAATGCACATCTACAGGCATTCGAAGTAAGCAATTTCGCATGCTGTGCGAAGCGAATATCTGACTCCAGCTAGTCACGACACAGTTCTTCGATGATATATTCGTGCCTCATACTATGCTCTTTGAGGGGTGTGAATTGTGAGTATCGTTCATGACGGTCTGGGCAGGTTTTTGACGGTTACGAAAAATAGTGATGACACAGAAAAGACATGGGTCTGGCGCACCGGGGAGTCGGAACTTTGGTTCGATCAAGGCACGGTAGTCAATCTTCGTGTCGAGGCAGAGAAATGGCACGATCAAGCTCCAAAAGGCCCTGCCGAGACTGCTGAAGCTGGCAATGAGGGCGAGCGCAAAGTTCCTTACGCCATCGAGGTATTGTGCTTGCTGGGTGTTGCTGAACGAAGCTGACCGAATATAGGCATCAATGGCCGAAGCTGGTTTGGGTGGAGTCGAGTGGTGGTGATATCTCGATCAACATGCTCAGCTTGATGTTTCATTCAACAATTCGAGGTCATTTCATGATCCATGCTGTCGGTAACGACAACCATCGCTGGCAGCGACGACACTTCCCAGCTTCAAACACGCAGTGCGCTTGTCCAACATCACCCTCACCAAACCGGCTCTTTGCCAGGATAGGCGCCCAATCAGACACCTAGACAATACAGCTGGCAGGTTGCGCAGCGATGTGAACTATGCAAGGCAAGCTTGAAGACGGTGATGGATGAGGACAGAAGGAAGATGATGATAAGTAAGAGGCATATTCCCGGGCAGTATCCGCGCTTAAGCGACGGCGAAGAATCCTTATGGGGACAAAGGTTTGTCAGCTTCAGGCACGGATGAGCCTAGTGACACCTAAGACCCTCATATAGCGGCCCGGATTGCGCTTCTTTTGATGTGTGGCGAAGGGCGTGCGGGGAGCTTGGATACGATTTGCTTTGGGACGCAAATGTCACTGGCCCCAGGCGTCGAGCACCGATGGATCGCTAAGCACGTCATCTGTGTTGACTCTTTGATGGCCATACAATAAAACAAAAATCCTTCCTGATTGTGCAATAAGCAAGTTGCTTATACACCTCGGCCGTACTTTCATCATTATATTGCTCGAGTCTGCCCTGCTATCCTTTACTCCTGTCCGACTTCGGTATCTCTAAGGATACCCTCAGCAGTTCTCAAAGCCCGCGCGTTTCCCTTGGTTCCACCGACCCAATAGACTGGATACCACTCGAGCACAATGACAGGCCCTGTATCACCTCGCCCCCTGCGGCCACACGAACGTATCTTGACCAACGAAGACGGCGGCATCGACACACCTGCCCGTGCTCCATCTCCTGTTCACCAATTCGGTACCCTCGCTGTCCACGCAGGAGCGCCTCACGACCCCTCCACTGGCGCCGTTATCGAATCTATCTCCCTATCTACCACTTTTGCTCAGAATGCAGTAGGCAAGCCGGTCGGTGCCTACGAGTACAGTCGCAGCGCGAACCCAAATCGTGACAACTTTGAAGAAGCAGTGGCCGCCCTTGAACATGCCAGATGGGCACTTGCTTTTGCCTCGGGCTCAGCAACGACTGCCACAATCCTACAGTCCCTGGCGGCGGGCTCACATGTGATATCGGTATCAGACGTCTATGGCGGAACACATCGATATTTCACGAAAGTTGCGCTTGCACACGGAGTTGAGGTCACATTCTCACCCTCGATCGAGTTGGACGTAGAGGAATTGATCAGAGAACAAACAAAACTCATCTGGATCGAAAGCCCTTCGAATCCTACGCTGAGTCTGGTCGACATTAGAAATGTGGCTACGGTCGCTCATAAACACGGTATCCTGGTCGTTGTGGACAACACCTTCCTATCACCATATGTGCAGAACCCTCTGGACCACGGTGCCGATATCGTTGTTCACTCGGTCACGAAGTACATCAACGGCCACTCTGACGTGGTCATGGGTGTTGCAGCATTCAACTCCGAAGAACTCAAGGAACGTCTGACATTCCTTCAAAACGCCATCGGCGCCATTCCTTCTCCATTCGACTGCTGGCTTGCTCACCGAGGTCTCAAGACCCTCCATCTTCGAGCCCGCGAATCGAGCAAGAATGCCATGGCTGTTGCCACGGCCCTTGAGGCATCTCCGAACGTCATCGCTGTGAACTATCCAGGCCTCGACTCTCACAGACAACGGGCTGTTGCCATCAAACAGCACCGTGACGGGTTGGGCGGTGGTATGCTCAGCTTCAGACTCAAAGGCGGTCATGCTGCGGCTGAGCGCTTCTGCCAGCAAACCAAGATCTTTACCCTGGCTGAGAGTCTAGGAGGCGTCGAGAGTCTTTGCGAAGTCCCAAGTGCGATGACACACGCGGGCATTCCCAAGGATCAACGTGAGGCTATTGGTGTCTTTGACGACCTTGTCAGATTGAGTTGCGGTGTTGAAGATGCCGAAGACCTTACAAAGGATGTTCTGCAAGCACTTGAGAAGGCTGTTGTTGGGCCGAAAATATCGAACGGTGTCAACGGAGCAATTAGCAATCCCATTTCGAGGAGATGAAGGAATCCAGTGATCGAGCACTTTTCACCAGCAGGCTCTAGACGCCCCCGTTGGTAGAGGCCCTCACCTACATCTCTGGCAACTTCACCATCTACCTCTCAACGCAATCGGGCTTTGCAATTGTGCAGGCAGCGCCACGAATACTTACGTTCTTTGGGCAGGCTGAGCGATGCTCCGAAGTACGGCAGCTTGAACACTGTTGACCTGCCTCCGCCTGGCTTATTGGCAAGCTCTCTCTTAACATGCAAGGCCTTGGATCAAGACATTTCACTGTGAACAACCATGTTTCACTCGTGCCAGAGTTGATCCATCTATCATTCAAAGAAATTGCCTTCATCTGCTGCAGACTGCCTGCTATCAGCGCTACGAGGAGATGCTCATCCCGTCTGGTTTCCCCGTGTCTTCCAGCCGTCCAGCTCGTAAGAGGCGGTACGACCTTACGCGTCGTTCCATGAGCATTGGTGCAGCCGGTGATGCCAGATCATGTCAAGCAATTACACATGCTTTGGATGTCAGAACCGTTCGTCCACAGATCTTTGCTATCATTGAAATTTGTTCGGCAATGACCGGTAGCACTTCACTTCACTCGGAGGAAATTGGAGTCGAGGAAGCAAATAGAGCGTCATTTTAGAGGCATAGAAAGGATAGAGCGTGAATGCATTCATTGCAATAAGGGTATCTCTGAATCTCAAACAACAAACCATCGTAGACGATATCAACACCACTCAAAGCCATTTCTAAGCCTCATGCCACCGCCGTCACAATCCATATATTCGTATGATGTATAAGCGACATCACAACTCATCCAACCTTCTCAACCTCGGATCTTCCCTCTCATCCAGCGCCGCCAACCCACCGTTCTGCCCATTGACACAAGCCTCAGCCTCAGCACACCCATCGACTATCTCCCTAGGAATTTCCGGGAACCTGACCTTGCGATTCCGATTCCGCTCCGCAATACCCTGTAACAAATCCTTCACATCCTTCGGCAAATGCACATTCTCATCCAGCATTACCCTTTCATGCTCGCCAGCACTCGTCCCCAATCTCAGACTCTTATTCCAGCTTCCCTCGCTGTGCGCCCTCAACCCAGCCTTGACCGGATCGCCACGGAACCACCATTCTTTACCCAACACAACCAGCGCAACCAGGACCAGAATCGAAATACTAGTTGACCAGACAATTTTGAATACCCGATCCCACACTTTCCGGACTTGATCCTCGCGCCGTTCCCAATTCTCGACGATCATCCTCGCATTCTCCAGTCGCACACTCAAATGTTCAGCCTTTTCACTAGCCTTACGCCCACGCTCCGTGAGAGCCTGGGCTTTCCTCTCACGCTCAGCAAACCCTTTCTTGAACCCCCCAACACGCTTACGTGTCTCAGCGTCGAGCCTCTGCGTCTCCTTGTCAAAGTTCGTAATGAGCTGGCCCGTCTGCTTGCTCAAGCTCTGGAAGGATGTGATCGTCGCCATCAAATTGCCCACCGTCTCCAACAGATTATAATACCCATAGTCTAGCCTCCGCGTGATCTCGACGCCTTTAGAGCTTATGTCTGCGAGATGTTCGCGCATTTCCTCCTCGGCCGCAGCGATCTCGGCATCGCGCCGGACAATGTCCTCGCGCCTGACGTGGATTCTGCGCGCAACGCGTGCCTGATCACCTCGTTCCAGCGCCTGTTCGAAACTCGTCTTGGGCCTGGGCTGGGGAGGTGGACGGTGTGGGTCGGACACGGCGCGCAGGCGAGGATCAAAGCGGCCTCCATCGGTGTAGTCTGTTGACTGAGTGCCCGCGGGGCCCCATTGACCGCGTGTGTGCTTGTCGCGTTCGGCGTTCAAGCCGGCGACGAGGTGTGGGAGGGCGGCGTTTTGTTCTCTGGAAGGTGGACGGCGTAGGGAGGAGACCGCTTCGCTTTGCGTGGGCCGGTGGCCGCGCTTGTAGCTGGAGTCCCGGGAGTGAGAGTGCGAGCGGGTATGCTGGTGTCGGTGGTGCGAACCGGGGAGGTGGACTCTATGGAGGCGCTCTGCTGTTCGTTCCAGGGCACTGGGGACTGGTAGAGTGTGGGCATTACGCGGTTTGGTCTCGGCGGGAGAGAGGTAGGACTGCGATCGTAGTTGAGGCGGACGGGTGGCTTGAAGGGTAGGGCCTGCTGTTTGGGGCTCGGTGATCTTGGGTTTGGATGGGTCAGTGTGAGAGCGGGAGCGAGAGAGGATTGGACGATGGCTGTCAGGCAGGGCTGCTTGTGGTAGCAACATGACGGTGATCGGTGGAGGCGGACAGAAGCCTCATACAGGCAGGTTCTTATTGGGACAAGAGCATGTTGACTTGGCCCATGAGCTGGCTGTCGTCCTTTAGAGAATGGACAGGATAGTACTCGTAGTAGTAGGGAGAATGATGGAAAGTTAAGAGGTGACCAGCAGGTGGAGAGGCTAGAAGAGCAAAATCCGGGGTAGGTCAGACGCTGCTTTAGCGCCTAGCCTGGACACTACCTTGGTACCCACCTAGGTGCCTACGTACCTTCGGTAGGTAGATAAAGCAGTCTGTGATGACAATTGCGTGAAATGGCGCACCCACCAGGGCTGATACTGTAGTATCAGGCCACTCCATGTGACACAGCAGAGAGCGCCGATTTAGGATCATTGCTTGTTGGGTAATATCTCGGTGTTGGGGAGGTACTGCAGATTCTATCTGACTATCAAATCACTGATCCAGGCTATGCATTGGCCCCTTCCGTGACTTGCAGACCACCATGCTCCGCCAGTACTGGTTTGTGCTAATATCGATCTTTGCATTAACAAGTTTCGTGCTTTCATAGCTCGTTCAATCCATTCATTCAAACAAAATCACCAGGCCGTAAGCCGAAAAACAAGGTCGCCCATCCAATGCTGGCATGCGTCCCGTGTCAGAGTAGTCAAGCTTTCAGTCGCCATCAAAACCCCAAGAATAGAGCATTGCAGCTGCGATCCAACTTGCACCACTTAGTATTCGGCGCCACCATCATCCTCATCCTGCAGGCTGTCGCTAGCAACCTCTTCGTAGTCCTTCTCCAGAGCTGCAAGATCTTCTCTGGCCTCGGAGAACTCACCCTCTTCCATTCCTTCTCCAACGTACCAGTGAACGAAGGCACGCTTCGAGTACATGAGATCGAACTTGTGGTCAAGTCGGCTCCAGGCTTCGGCAATGGCGGTGGTGTTGGAGAGCATGCTGACAGAGCGGTCAACCTTGGCCAATTCGCCTCCAGGAACGGGCATGGCTATTGATTGTCAGTGGAGAACGTTCAAGTATAGGATCAGACTTACGTGGCTGATAGTTGATGCCGACCTTGAAGCCGGTAGGGCACCAATCGACCAGATGGAAGCTGGACTTGGCTTTGAGAGACGCAATAGCTGCGTTGGTATCGCGAGGAACGACATCACCACGGTAGAGGAGGGCAACAGCCATGTATTTGCCGTTGCGAGGATCACAGACGACCATCTGGTTGCTTGGCTCGAAGCACTGCAGAGTCAAGTCTTGCACCTTGAAACTCTCATGCGAAGAACGCTTGGTTGAGACGACGGGGGCGTAACTGATGAGTGGATAGTGAATGCGAGGGTAAGGCACCAAGTTGGTCTGGAATTCGTTCAAGTCGACGTTCAAGGCACCATCAAAACGTAAGCTGGATGTGACAGAAGAGACGACTTGAGCAATGAGACGGTTAAGGTGTTCGTAATCTGGTCTCGGAATGTCGAGGTTGCGGCGGCAGATGTCGTAGACAGCCTCGTTGTCGACCAAGAATGTGCAGTCGGCATGCTCGATGGTGCTGTGGGTGGAAAGAACGGCGTTGTAGGGTTCAACAACCGATGATGAGACTTGTGGTGCAGGGTACACGGCAAACTCCAACTTGCACTTCTTGCCATAATCGACGGAGAGGCGTTCGAGGAGCAGAGCACCGAAGCCAGAGCCAGTACCACCTCCGAAAGAGTGGAAGATCAGGAAACCTTGCAGGGACGAGCAGTTATCTTTCGCCTGGTCAGTCGTGATCACCTAGTTACGTTTGAAGTATGTTTCTCACCTGCAACACGTCGGACTTTGTCCAAGACATCGTCGACCAACTCTTTACCAACGGTGTAATGACCTCGAGCGTAGTTGTTTGCAGCGTCCTCCTTGCCACTAATCAAAAGCTCGGGGTGAAATAGTTGTCTATATTTTCCAGTTCGAATCTCGTCGATTGGGGAGGGGTCGAGATCGACGAAGATGGAGCGCGGGACATGTTTGTTGTTTGCGGTCTCGGTGAAGAAGGTCTCGAAGGATCCAGGATCGCCGATTTGGGCATCAGGGTCAGGACGACCATCTGCCTGCAAGCCGTGCTCGAGAAGATACCTGATGTAGCAATGAGTGATCATCATCTAGTAGCGGTCACGGCGGGGTGCCTACAGTTCCCATGCCGCATTACCAAGCTGAGTACCAGCCTGCCCAATGTGCAGGTGGCAAACCTGTGAGATGTGTTAGCATGTCGTCGTCAATTGCGCGTGAGTTATATGCCGGTTCAGGCTTCTATCCTGACGTTGAAATGTGCTTTGTTGATTCGGATGAGAAATTGTGGAGGGGCAGGCAAGCACGGGGTACACAAACAACGTGCGGACACTTACTTCTCCACGCATTTTGAAGAATGGCCTGCGGATTGACAATCAGATATGTACGATTCTGCAGTCAGCTCAGACCCGGGCACGTCAACTTGATAGAAGACGCAAGTGTTGTCGTTGATGTGCGGGATTGAGGGAAGCGTGAACTGAATGGGAGAGAGTTGTGCGCGCAGTTGTTTGAGTCAGTGTTGTGACCTTGTGATTGGCGCGTAGACGAAAACAGCCAAAACAGACGCCAAGGCTGCTGCACTTCAGGGGCTTGAGAGTCGCCGCTGTCACTTTTCATCCTTCACAGTAGTACTTAGTGCACTGCCTCTGGTACCTGCAGCGGGTGTCTCCGTCACTATGTACAGTACCTCATGTACTATTGCATAGCACAATGTCGGCCGTATTGTTGCTGAGAGGTGCGGGTTTTTCTGTTCTGACATTGACTGTTCGTCCTGCCCATGCACAAACACAATAGTGCAAAGATGCTGCCTTCATGGCCATGTCAAATGCCACCTCATCCATCGAAGATTGTACGCAGAAGCACGTTTGTCTTCTGCGAGATGTTCGCAATGGTAGACGAGGTCTGGTCTTCGTCCAGATCAAGATCCGAAGCATCGGGCATGACACACCTGCGAGCAAGCATTCATCATCTTCTTTATGGTTGTTTGAATCATACCGTCCAGAAAGACAGATGCCCCCATAGTGGCTTGATGGCAATTACGAAACTGCTACGACTCTGTTGGGCCATGTTGCGTAAGTCATGGCGAATGTATTAGCTCTTCTGGCTACGTGAGTTGACCTCATCTGGCCGATGATATTACCACTACATGTCCAGCCACGGAGGAGGAGCAGACGCATGTTTGGCCGTCCGAAATAAGCAACGCAGACCCATGCGACCAGGAGCGACTGACCTTTCACATATATACAAGCACAAGTATGGGCTTGCTCAACACTAGTCGCGCTGCAGCTAAATAAAGCAGCGAGCTGAAGAATAGGCATGAATGCGGCATGTCGTGAGCGTTGGACATCACTCTTTCATAGTGCAACACCTTCTCATATATGCAGAGCAGCCGCAAGCGAGCTGAAAGTTGCCCTGTTGTGTTGCTGCATACGGAGGACCGCGCCTTTGTCGGATGAGACTCCAGACGGCTTGTCTCAAGGCCTAAGCGAATGGCAATGTGCATATAAACCCGGTCAGTAAGCCCCTTCAATACTCTTGAGTAGCAGACATCATCAATGGAAATTGTACATTTTCAGCACGGAGCATACACAGCCATATAATATTACGCGTAAAACTTGCTCCAATCCGCCGCACGGCGTGTCGGTCTCGGCCAAACCTCTTATCTCGAAAATTTGTATCGTTATTGTGAAACACCAAGCGGCGAAAGTGATGTAGACGGCGTCACCATGGACCCAGAGAGACTCTCCACTAGAGGATACAGGGATACTCAGCAGGTGTCCCAGGGGCAGCGATCAGCACTATTTCGGGCTCCAATCGCTGATTTAGGCGCTGACGAATTGCTTGGCCAGGACCCAACGGGCTCCAAACTAAGTCGCCTGTGGACAGTAGCGCCGACGTTGATTGATTTGATCGTTCATCTCAACATGTGTTGCCGAAAAACTTTGGTACACGTCTATCTGCACACGAGGAAAAGCGGGCAGCACACGCTGCAATGTTCTCATCCTTCGGCCTCCGTGCTCCTGCATAAAACAGTGGTGAGGAGGGAGTCTTCTTATACACTCGTTGCAAATCTAAAGACGTATATTCTATTCTGTTCACCTCATCAGCTTTAATTTCCTTGCCGTCTTCTGCGGATCGCGCCGAATCTATATCTGCCTCCCAGACCAGACGCACCAGGGCGGGCTTTCTCTTCCTGATTGACACTTTTCCTCGCGATCGATTCCTTCTTGTGAAGCCGCCGGCCGGCTCTTGATTTGATGAAAGAGGAGGAACGTTGGCACATAACGCTTTGAGCGCGGATTTGTTTGGTGTGCATTGTCGACCATGAGCACACCGATCGACGAACTCCCTAGGTTGGAGTTCGACACTCCTACCCATCGAACATCAGACGATGATTCTACCGCCGTCAATGAGAAGCCAGATGGGTCCGTGGACAGTCATGCGCTTCGAGATCGTTTGAGGGTAGAAACTCGCCGCCGAGATACCGTCGGTGCTCGTTTCGAAGAGCCAGTCAGACCCTCTCCCTCTCAAACGAGGGAAGAGAGTTCGAGGCTAGACGACGAACTTCTGTTGCAAAGAGCGGAGAAATTGGCTTCGGCGGAATCGAGGGCATCTGACGCTGGCCGGAATTCTGCAACCTTGCATCGATCAAGATCACGGGCTCCCGAACCTCTCGACGAGTTCGATACGGCTACTAACCCTATTCACGAACGCACACAAATATACAAGCCGCCTGCGAATCCCAGCACCAAAATCTCCAGGTTCTTCAAGAAGATTCACCAGTCGAGCTTCGTGGTCCGCTATTTCACTTATATCATGCCTGTATTCGCACTGCTCCTGATCCCCATCCTCATCGGTTCACTTCTACCTAGGGGCAGAAATTCTGATGTGGGCGGCGTCCAGCTTCTTTGGTTCGGAGTTTGGCTCGAAATTGTTTGGTTGACGCTGTGGGCCGGTCGATTCGCAGCAAGATTAATCCCATATCCTCTTGGGTTAATATCGAGCTTATTCACCAACAACGCCAAAAAATGGAGAGATCTGGGGAAAGCGCTGGAGATTCCTGCTACTGTTTTCTTCTGGTGGCTCGGTATCGAGATTTCTTTCCTGCCCACCATGAGAAACCACCTGGTATCTGGTGTCAGCCATGCTCCGGAGTGGACAAATGTGCTCAACAAGATCATAGTGTCCATCTTTGTGGGCGTCACACTGAACTTCATTGAGAAGATCATAATTCAGCTCATAGCCATCTCGTTCCACCTCCGGACCTATGCCGACCGCATCGAAATTAACAAGTTTCAGATTGGCAGTCTCACCAAGCTATACATCTTCTCCAAGGCTGAAATTGCCATGGAAGACAATGAATTCGAGGAGAAGCCATCGGGACAGGCATCTGGAATGCGAACGCCAGCCATGTATGCGACTCAGGCTCAACACGCCGTCACTAAGGCATTTGCTAAAGTCGGAGATGTGGCCGGTACCGTGGCAGGTGACTTCACAGGCAGGACGATCGCTAAGAGCGGACATCCGTCACAAGTCGTCTTGACCCTGTTGAATTCCACCACAGGGTCTCAAGTCCTGGCTCGGCGTCTTTGGCGAACCTTTGTCCGCGATGGCGAAGAAAATGTCAAACCCGATGACCTCCAAGCGGCATTTGACAACGGCGAAGAAGCTGATGCGGCCTTCAGCATGTTTGACAAGGACATGAATGGCGACATTTCCATGGAAGAACTTGAAGCTGTCTGTGTCGAGATCGGTCGGGAACGGAAGTCGATCACGGCCTCGCTTAAGGACTTGGACTCCGTGGTTAGTCGCCTAGACGATGTTTTGTTCTTCATCGTCTGTATTGTCACCGTCCTTGTCCTTATCTCGCTCATCTCAACCGCTGCAGCTGGTGTGTTGACCTCTGCTGGCTCCCTGGTCTTGGGCTTATCTTGGCTCTTCTCTGCCACTGCTCAGGAATTCCTGCAGTCATGTGTCTTTGTCTTCATCAAGCACCCGTTCGATGTCGGCGACAGGGTAGCCATCTATGGCAACACAGGATCGACCCTCAAGGGTGACGACTACTTCGTCAAGGAGATTTCTTTATTGTATACCGAGTTCAAGAAAATGGAGGGCCACGTGGTGCAAGCGCCAAACTCCTATCTGAACACACTTTTCATTCTAAATCAGCGCCGATCTGGAGGGCTTGCTGAGGCTGTACCTATCGTCATCAAGTTTGGAACCACGACGGATCAGATCAATGCTCTACGCGCGAAACTCATCGAATACGTTAAGGAAGAAAAACGTGAGTTTCAAGGAAACATCCTGACTGAGCTCCGAGATATTACCGAAGCTTATTCATTGACGCTAAATATCGTCTTCTTTTACAAGTCGAACTGGCAAAATGAATTACTTCGACTTACACGTCGAAATAAGTTCATTTGCTCGTTAATGGAGGCCATGCAAGAGGTTGGTATCGAAGGACCCAGACAAACACAGGCCGGTTGGAAACCGGAGCTGCCTTATTATATGCAGTTGCCCCCTGGAGCACCTCCTCTCTTCGGGCAGAACGCAATGGATCCAAATGGCGGTCAACCTGGCGGAGGCATTGCCGGAGATGGTACTAATGACGCACCGTTTATTGCTGCTCCTCTCAATCCTTCGTCAACAATGCGGCGACGCCCCAGTACAGGGCAACTAGGACGGCCTCGAGGTGAATCCCTTTCTTCATACGGGCGTCGAAAGGACTTTTCTCTTGGAATGAGTGAGATCAATTCTGGGGAGCAGCTTTCTGACGTGTACGAAGATCGAGAGCGTCCCCAATACAGGGAACTCATCCGGGAAGCAAACAGAATCGACGAAGAGCGAAGAACATCGGAGTCACGAGACCGCGAGGGCGACGGGAGGTCAACCTCAAAGGATAACCATGCGATGAGCGGCATACTCAGGAGGTCGACCACACAAAGCTTTGGCGGTCGCAATCGTGGGGAGTCGATTGGCCAGCCTCACAGGGCGTCCATCAGCAGCCAGGATACCCACCGCAACCGCTTCCTGGGCCGATTCAAACGATCCGTCGAACTTCCTCGAGACTCTCTGGCAGAAGAAGGCCAAGCTCCTCGTCTGCCACCTTTGGACTCCAGGTCTGGCCGCGTGGATTCTCAGGCAGTGCGCATGGATTCCACGACTTCTGGCCCGAATGAGCCGTTTCCGGTGATGCAACCGGTTGAGAGTCAAAGCGAAGATTTTGAATTGAGGAGGGTTGGGCAGAGCTCTACGCAGAAGCCGCAGTAGAGCTCGGTAGTAGGATTCGTCTGGAGCAGCCCATCTGGCAGTATGTCTGGGGAGTCTCTTTGACTGCATCCCTGGTTGGAAAAGCGTTGCACATAACTTCTTTTTGGATGAGTGGATCATCACTGGACAAATCTACATGTGGTCTTGAGCGACTGCATTCTTATGAACATAGATATAGAGCTTACGAGAGGCGTTAGCTCCATGTGAATGGAGAGGCTATGGATAGCCATTGAATTGATTGGTTCAGAGCTTCTATCAACTTGGTTGCTGTCCTTCTATACCTGTGGGACCTGAGTACCTGCATATCACTCCGCGCTATGCCAGTTTCGGGCTGCTGCCAATGTAAACCCAACGTCGCGTCAATTTCAACCTTGAATGGACAACATCTCTCACTAAGCGATTGAGTTTCACCTCAACCAGGGAGTGAGGGCGAGGGGGATCAGCAATGGATGATACTCTCATTCCCATTTTGCGTATTGGGGGAAAAGAGCACACCTGTATTGAGCCAAGTGACTTGGCTTAGCGAATGCCTTACCATATTGCCAGCCGTCTTGGGCAAACAGCTGCGCACTTTGTCAACGACCCTTTCATGATGTAGATGCGTTTATTGCGAGCAGTACGTGTTCGATGTATTATTGCTATTGGAGGTGCTGGCAACAAGAAGCCTGACGAGGCCCTTGCGGGTATTGAACGTGACTGGGGGAAGCTACGCCCGGTTCCGGCTACATGGCTCGGGTTTGAGGAATTCAAGTTGCCTAAATGTTGACCAGCATGGCGAGAAGACAGCCATAGCCTGAGGTCGCTTGAGCATCAAGGTAGGTCAAGCAAATTGTTGGCTTGAGTCGACGACATCCTATGCATTGGCAAGATCGGCTAGGAGTGTTGCAGGTTGTGATGATGTAAAGCTGTCCACCTGGGTCAGGCGTTTAGCACCGAGACAGCTCGAACAGCTATGTGAACATGTCAGGATGAGGATGAGTTCACTTTCAGCGCCGAAAACACCGCAAAAAGTGAAAGGTACCTGATATTGGGTACTCTCACCACGACGTTGACAGTGATGAGCTGGAATTCACCGCCCTCATTCACCATCCTTCAGTGAGACTCGCATGTGGTATTGTTGCCGTCTATAAACTCTTCCTCTTCCTCACCAAACAACTTCCTCCCTTTCTCTACCCTCCAACAGCCTTTCTTTGCTCGGTCATTATCGTCCTTCTACCTCCTTCGTTTGCTACAGCAACCAAACAAAGAACAATCGCTTGACAACTCACATTTGCTGGGCTTGCCGCAGTTATGAAGATCATGATGAAAGGTAAAAGAACACAAACCAAAAGCCACACTCTTCAAGCAAGCGCAGTTCTTACTGACTATAACTTGCAGGCTTTGCGCCAGGCCATGTCTACCTCACCCTCGTTGTCTGTCTCTTCGTCGGTCTCATCAACGCTGGTCCCCTCCGCTCTGCTCCCGGTCACAATGACACTTCTGTCGCTCACACCGCTCATACCTCGGTCGCTCACCTCTCCGTTGACACCACCAAAGCTTGCATTTTTGGGGAGCAACGTGACCGCCCTTGTGCACCTCACACTCCGGCTGTGCACTCTTCTCTGACTGCGCACAAGTCTGCGGTCACTGGTTCACACAGCCATGGTGATGTCACTACCAGCAAGGCTGCAAACCCTGGCATACATTTCCATGACCATGCTTCCTTGGGCCACACTTCGAAGAGACCTCATGCCACAAGCTCACACAGCCATGGGACGCTCGTTACCACCAAGATTCCGGTCACTGGCAGTAACGTACATCACCATGTTTCGGCTGGCCACACCTCTGTCGTTTCCCACAGATCATTTGCCACAGGCATGACTGCGCCATATCCTTTCCTGCCTCACAATCACACTGATAGTGGACGTCCTCCAATCAGTCATCCATCTTCAGGTCATCAAATCCCGCCTCAACCTTTTCTGCCTCACAACTATACTATTGGTTATCGTCCTCCGTTCGGTCACCCAATCCCAAGTCATCGTCCAACCGGTCACCCCTCTGCACAGAACCTGTCACTCGAATCGCGCGACGCAGACTACAAGCATGACTATGCCTTGGTCTGCTGGGGAAGTCAAGACTACACCAAGCTCTGCCAGCAGCATGAAAATGGATACTATTGTACCTCCAAAGGAAAGGTGGCATACAAAGGCAAGGAATCACACTTCTGCGCCACCTCTTGTGAATGTATCGACCTGCAACCCCGTCCATGTATCTTCAAGAACCTGGCCACGACATGTCTCCTCTCAACCAACGGCTCCATCAGAGACAGTAACTTCAAGACCATTGGCAACATCAACGATACAACTATCGACTCGAGCGGCACCCTGAACCTTGACGCAGCTTCAACTTCTCTGTCAACGCGCGACACCGATTTTATGCACGGCTGGGCCATGGTCTGTGGATCAGACTCCAATCGGTATTCGACAAGCTACTGCTACCAGGCGCCGCACTCATACTACTGCTCAGCTAGCGGAAGACTGAAGACCAATGGAGCTGGCAACAAATACTGCGTCTCAATCTGCCGCTGCGTCAACCTCATCACCGGAACCTGCATTTACGGCTGGGCTGCTGCTGGCGTCTGCGCCGTCGGCACTGATGGTACCATATTCAACGCCACTTTGCAGATCGTCGGCACTACCAGCGACGCCACTCAGCTGTCCAATGGTACCTGGGTTCTTTCATCGCTGGCAGAACGCGGTATAGATATCATGTCCACCTCGACCGAAACCGCATCAGCACTTGCTGTCCGAGATTCTAACATCGCAGAGATGCACCACAACTACGCACTCGTGTGCCTCGATCGCGCGCGCACCACCGAATGCTTGAGAGTTCCATACTCCTGCAACGCAAATGGCGTACTCATCTATGAGCGCCACAACTCCTTCTGCAGCGCATACTGCAAGTGCAACCGTGTGTCTCAGTACCAGGCCCCTTGTTATCTCGGCGGCCACCACAACGTCATCGGATGTTCCATCAAGGACGATATCGCGACGCTTGACAATGGAACGGTCATCGGCAACGTCTCTGATGCCATTACCCTGGCAAATGGTACCTTGGACTTCACCCAAGCTCTTGCTCGACGTGACGACGAAGTTGCACATGACTACGCCCTTGTCTGCATGGACAGAGAGTTCACAACCTTGTGCCAGAAGGCCGGTTACTCCTGCACTTCGGCTGGCAAGGTGACGTACAAGACCTACGACATTTTCTGTGGTGACAGTTGTGAATGCATCAAAGTCCCCACTGGTGCCAAAAGCTGCATCATCACCAACTTCAACTCGTCGCCAGCCCTTGTCTGTGACAACAAAGATGTCGATATCACTAACAAGACCATGACGATCGCGGACGGCTCTTGAGTTCCTCCTTGGCATTGACTTCGCGTGATGCAATTCAACTGGTGCAGTCTTTTCAGAAGATTCTGTGGATAGTGTTTCACATTCGGATTTGGACACAGATGTTGTCCTCCAAGTGCTGGCACATACGTGCTGAGAAAATGAAGTTAAGGAAAGGAAACAAGGAAATATCAATGGTTCTTGCTTGCCCACTACGGGTCGAAGCTAAAAGAGATCAGATAGATCACAAAAGTTCAATGAAAAGCATTTCCATGCAACTCGTGCTTCGCTCTGCCCCTGTTTCCCTTCATGCAATACTGATCACCGCATAAGCATGGCTGAACCCTGAACCCCGGCCTCCGTAGCCCTGAACCATGACCGCTGCAAAGTGCCTTGCATGCCATTTCCAAATCATTGTCAAGGTTTACCGAAGTACAAACATAATGACATGAGACATCATGCCGCTTATAGCCTATGGAACCTATACTTCCTTTTGAGTTTATCTCAAATCTTACGAAACCGCATCGGCATCGACCCATATAACTCATACCGCCCACCATCCCCAGGTAACTCCGACCGACGCAGTGTAGCGGTCCCCATCTCCTGCAGCTCTTCGCCACCAGCCTCATGAGCCTCCTCCGAGCCCCCAGGCTGGCTCCTCGAATCACCAGGACGACTCCCAGTGCCACTCCCACTCCCTGTCGGTACATGACGCGACTCGTACCCACTGTCCAGCTCGGGCTTCTGAGGAGCGTAGAAGCCGTCGTGCTCGTTCCTCGGGGTTCGGGCGCTGCCGTCGAGCTCGGCTTTCTCAGTGCCGCCGAACGTCCCACTGGAATCCCGCTGGCTCGATGCGGGCATGTACTTCGGCTTCCTAAGCCACTTGTACCATACTGCGGCGATGATGATGAGAAGGGCCATAGCAGCGCCGATGACGATACCTGCAATGGCACCTGCGGAAAGAGCATTCGAACTCGAGCCGCCACTCGAGCCACATGTCGTCGAATTTTTCGCGCATATAGTCATGATTTCGGCAGACCCGTTGGTCGGGTATAGGACTTGGAACAAGGAGATCGGGCCGTGCTCGTAGTCCGCGACCATGTACATTTCTTGGAAGATGGTCAATCCAAGAGTGTACTGACTTTCATTCGCCGCCTGCTTCAGTGGGAAGTAGTTGTGTGTTTTGTTATCGCCCATGGGTGGCGTGGTCTGCAGGTCGAAGGCTTGATACGGTAGAATGATGTTCAAGCGAGCGGTGGAGCCGGGCAAGCCGTCGCTTAGCGTGAAGGTCACGTTCGGGTTCTGTTGGATCAATGTCGAGTGTTGTGAGTCGTTGACGAAATACATTTCGGAGGTGGCATTCCAAATGAGGCCGAATGCTTCTTCAAATTTTTGACAGACCACAAGTGGCAGCCAGAGTGAGGTTACCTGATTGTCTAATCCGACGTCGGTGAGAGGCGACTCGAGGAGTACCTCGTCTTTCATGGTGATGCTCTCGATGCCGAGGAGAAAGGGCCGATATTCATCCCCCTGACTACTCAAAGTGAGGTTGGTCGAGACGTTCATGCGACTCTTGTCGTAACCACCGAGTGTTAGACTGGCAAATTGGGGGAATGGTGGATTGCGGTAACATGCGCCTGCATGGTAACCCCATGAAAGACTCGGGATGAGGTTCTGCTGACGGAGCACACCCATGAAGGTGGGCAAAGCAACGTTGAAGTCGTCCGCTTCTGTGTCATTGATTGTTGGATTGATGCCGAAAGAGCCGATCCAGAAGTCGTCACCAAGGTAAGGAAAGATTGTAACATTGGGTAGGTTGATGTTGGTATAGTGCGGGTAGTCGAGCTTTAGATCGCGGTTAGCAAAGGGTCTGTTGCTGCGCAGGATGTTGGTGGCACTCACCGTTACATTGTCGAAGCCAATTATAGCTTGCTCGCCATTCGGATAGAGCCAGTGCTCCGGGTTTGTGGGAAGTGCTACCTCCCCATCATCTTGATATGTGGATGAGTTCTTTGGGTCGAAAACAAGGCCTCGCGAATTCGGACAGTCGGATACTTCCAGATCGGTGGTCTCGTAGCATGCGAGATTCTCTACTGGAAATATTGAGTTGCCGGTTATAGACGGTAGGAGTCGAACGACCTGTGGTGGAGTTCCTATTTGGATAGCAAAGGTAGACCAGTGGTCGCCATCGCCGTCCCTGTATTCATCAGTCGCGATTCCTGCTTTTTGACAGAGATGGTACTACCAGTATCTACTGGGTTGAAAAATGATTGGTGGTGGTGATGGAGAGTCGTCGGCAGCCTGGCCAGCGACGGGACGACATTGTAGTAGGAAGACCAGAAAGGAACTTGCAAAGAAGGGTAAACTCATGGCTCAGAAGTCACCATGACCTGAGGGAAGTGGTTGAGGCAATTCGGTTTGCCAGTGGCGTGTGAAGACCACATCGTTGACCTCAGCCGCACACACTGTAAGCGTACCTCTCCTGCGGCAACAAAGAATTGGGAAGATGATGCTAGTTCTAGCCGTCACAAGGCCGACTTCCAACTTCCTTGTGGGGGTTCGCCACAAGGTGGCATTGAGTAGAGCTCGGTGAAAGGGTGGACTGCAATAAGGTGTTAGTAACCTCTGTCGGACGAAATCCCCACCAATATCATCGCAGTCTGGAGAGAGCTGCTTGCCTGTGGTTGCCACGATAGGATCGACCATGACCTGTGCCCCTGCGGGAACCATTTCGCCGCCAAACCGGTCGACAACACCCTCATGCACTCTGCAATCTGCTGGTAGGACAAGTCATTCTTTTCAATGTGTTCTTGTGCTGATTTGCGGAGATGCTTTCAGATTCCGTGTCCGATGCATTAGTGTGGAAGACCTCGGGACACAGGAAGGTAAAGGAGTGGGATTGATGGCTTGGAAAGAGGCAGGAAGGCAAATGATGGACAGTCGCTTCGACAATGTCACAGCGCATCTGTCAACCCCCGCACTCGACCCCAACAGTTAACTATCTCGTTCAAGACTAGTTGATGCTCGCTTCAAGTCCAGAACGTGTGCCTGGTGGTAATCAACCTTCTTAGCTTGCTGCTGTTCAGCCTGACTGCCAGTTCCTCTATTCATCAGGCGATGAATTGCTGGGTCCCTACGGATGGTGGGACTGACAGGCTTGTGACTGCTACATGGGCGCTGGACTCGAGCTCCGGTGTGGCGCGAAGAATATGATACGGAACAAGATGGGACAGAAGGAACGAGGGTCAAGGTGTTGTGAGGAGCAATAGCAGTCACAGACAAGCTTGAAGCGCCAGGGAAGAATTTCTCCGCGTGGCTGTCAACGGCCTGGTAAGGCCACCAATAGGCTTCATCTTCTGGGGGCGGGAATCCGGCCCGCTGTTCAGCTTTAACTGTAACCATAATTAAAACTCCGATGAACTTCTACCAAAGTGGTTACTCGTCGTCCTCGTACTGTAATCCTTGAATACTCCGTACCTAAGGTACATATCATGCATACTCCAAGCCAGACGAAGTTGGTACAGCTACTTATCGTAGACTACCTCAATGCACCGTTGACAAGATCATCCCTCCAACCCCAGGATTCAACAGGCACACACCGTCGGAGAGATAACGCCCATGCACTGCTAGATTGTGCCCTTATTGGCCTCTGTCTGCATCCTGCCCACTGCATGTCTCACTGTAAAAGTCCATTGTAAGAGGCTCAGTCCATCACTCTAACCAGAATTGTTCACTCTATGAGTCTGGAAACACTCTGGTTCATCGCCTTGTGAGCCTCATACACGAAACTGGAAGGTATTGTAGGAGGCCTCATGTTTCCTCCGCAGACGAGCACTGCAGATATCCTTGTACAAGGGGCCAAAAAGGACAGTAGCTTCTCAATAGCTTGCCTGCAAGATTACAAGCTGGCTCGAAGACGCCCGACAGCTCCTCACCATGACCGTCACAGACGAGAGCGAGTCATGAGAAGCAAGTCGCCTGAGCCAGGGGAGCATAAAGGCTCATGCCATCTGCACTTTTTCTCAGATTGTGAGTCTGCCAGGTGCCTTCTAAGGTTGGACACTCTCGTTGACAAAATGCTCGTCCGACGCTTGCTGGCCTACTTGGGCCTCAGTGCCATAGCATTCGCTAAACGAAACGATCGTCAACTCGCCAGTATGTGACATACCCGTCCCCTCCAACGGCTACATCTGACGTAGTTAGGAGGTGAAACTGAGACTGCTTGGGGATGGTCTACAACGACAGTTTCAACAACTACAATTCCAGTGTGGACCACGTCGACCACGGCGACTACCAACACCACCACTCCAGTCTGGACGCCTTCAACCACGACAACGACCACTGTACCTTGCACTGTCACCGCTTATACCACTGTCACTGTCGCACCTAATGTGACATCTACATTGGTGACCGTCAGTACGCCGCCGCCATCGATAGTCGTCGTAACTGGCACGGGTCCACGTTCCACAATAACAGTTGTGACCACTGTTACAGGATACCCTCCGACGAGCACTACGGCATGGGGCAGCTCAACCTGGGGTGCTCCAACCACCACAGCTGCTTTCAAGCTCAAGCCTAGGGGTGGGGTATGGTCGTCTTCATCCACCGCCGGGACAAGCGCAGTCACCGGGTGGACTTACTGGAACTCCACGAGCAGCCAGTGGACCACCACCACAACGACAACAACCACGACCACGACGCCTACAACTACTACCACCACAAGTACTCCCCCAACCACCACCACAACCACCACCACGACTACCCCAGCCTCACCCTCATGCGTGACGATCACCTTGGCACTAACAGCTACCTCTGTTACCTTAGCTACTACAACGACAACAACTGCAGCAACACTTTTGACGACCACTGTGGAGCCGGCTCCTGCGACCACCACTTCCACACACTATGTTCAGCCAACCTCGCCTGCGCCGGCACCAGTTCCTATATCATCAACGTCCACCACCACGACCAGAACAACCACGACGACCACTACTAGCTCAACGACTACCACGAGCACCACGTCAACAACCACCACCACTACCACCACCACCACAACAACTAGGCCAACGACCACCACCACGCCAAGAACCACCACCACAACGCCAATAATTACCACCACCACAACCACCACTAGACCAACGACTACCACCACAACTACAACACCCACAACACCCACAACGACCACCACCACAACTACTCCCAAAACTACCACCACAACCACGACTGCCACGCTCTCCACAACCACAACCACTAGCACTACCACTACCTCAGCCACGACGACGACAACCACTCCTTCAATGACAAGCACCAGCACGACGAGCACCACGACACCATCACCTTGTGTGCCCGAATCAACCACATGGATTCCCGTATCCAAAATCTCCGACGGTCAACCTCAAGAGCCAACAGGACCACCCGTCACCCAGATCTCCGATGGTCAACCTCAGGCGCCAGCCCCAACCGTCTGTCCAGCAACAACCACCGTCCCAAGCATCGTTTCTTACAGCGTTCCAGCGGTCGCAACTTACACCACAGGCGCGGCCAATCACTTACAAACTCCCATGTTCGGACGCGGTGTCTCCGGCACAGCGCAATTAGTTTGCCAAGTCCTGGCCGTCATGTTCCCTTGGTTGCTTCTTTGAAGCATCTGCAAGTATTGAGCCAAGAAACGCCGTCGTGCGATGGAGGAAGGCAAAATCAGTTAATAGGCGTAGCTGCGTTAGCACTACTAGTAGTCTTCTTACACTCTCTCCCAGGAAAAACTGGCCAAACATCTGGCGAACGGGGTGGCAGGGACTGTGAACATGCTATATCCCCGAGAGAGGCTAAAAGATCCAAATGCTCAGGCAGTACGTATCTGTAATGAGACATCTTTCAAGGAATATGGTACGCAACCAGTGTCGAGGATGAATTTGAGCTTTCTACCCTGAGTGCAACGCCTGAGTGCAACGTACAGTATCCGATCCGGAGGGCTTTTCCAGGGGCTAACCCCAGTATAAAGTCCCATACATGATAGTATAGTGCTTGGGAAATACCCTGAAGTGGCCAGCAAAAATGCTTCCATCAGCCTCATCCTACATCGTACATACATGTCAGACAAGTCACAACAAGCAGTGATGTCAATCGAAGCAAATTCAATAGGTTTGCGAGATTCCATCTCGAAGATGCGGTCTGTCTCAGGCCTCGATGAACAACAGATCAATAATTTGACCGTAGGTGTCTCATCCCAAATGGGGTCACTGCTGAGTTCGTCACCAGCGTGCTGCTCATCGAGTTCACAACGAGATGTGCGTTCGGGCAAGTGACCACTGGCGCAACGTTGACATAGAGTGGACTGCCATACCGAGTGAAGAGATGGATCTCGCACTTGATCTCATACGGGAACGATGTAGCACCATGTTTCGTTCGCAGCCGATCGTCCTGCAGGAAGCAATCCTTAAGAACAGACTATATAGGAAAAGGAGGAATTGGAGGCATCACGAGCGGAAAAAACAAAGGGATGGGACTGAACGACGTGTCAGTCGAGAAAATGCAGTTGAGTCGAATAAAGACTCGGATTCAGACGAAGTCGGAGGCATCATCAGCCGAACACGCCCATAGAAATAACGCTCTGATGGTATCAATCTCTCAGCACGTACCACTTCTTCTAAACATCTAGCAACTCCTTGTCTTGATTGATGGTCTCCTTCGATATTGCAATCTTCATATGGGGTACAAGCCCTTCACCGTTGAGATTTTTGTAGCGGTACTGGGCTTTCACAACCTCCCTCAGCGCGTTTGCGCAATCATCGTCAATCGTCATATCGCATAATAACAAATTTTCGTAACTCATTTCGCCAGATCTGATATATCGATCAGTCGTTGCAAAGGTCTGGACGTAGGTTCGAAATTCAACAACGTCCTCAAATGTGTTCGTTGTAACAACAAGATTCAGAGTCATTGCGTCAGGAGAAAAACTCTCAAAGGGTAATTTGGAAGATTTGGATCGGTAAAGTCTTGAGTTGCCGGCTTTGAGCCGTTGCTGCTGCTTCATGAGGTAGGCTCTCGGATCGTCGTCGGAGAGTCGAGGTCGGTCAGATGGCTGATCAGGGAGTCGCTTGTGGGATGAGTCATTGTCCTCGGTGTCTCGCACGAATGGCGAAATTGCGCTCGGTGGGGGATGGGCGTGAGATAGATCTCGTCTAGCTGCTAGATAGCGATTATGATGTGGTGTTGACTTCGGTTCTGGCGGCTCAGGAGCGATGTCTGCGTTGCGTCCAAACCGAGCATCGAAGTCTGCAACAGAACGATCATCAGAATTCGAGACCGAGTTGCCTATGTTTCCGGGTTCACCGGGTCGACTAAGCAGTTCTTTGATAGATCTGGTCGAGCTCTTGTTTGCGAGCTCCTTGTGGCGAGCAATTGCAGCCTTTTTCCTTCGCTCGAAGTCCATGATCTGGGTCAATTCAGCATCGAGAGCGGAAGAATGCTCAGAGCCTTCCGTAGTTCGGCAAGGTATATCAATGGGACTTGCTGGGGACGGTAAACCCGAGGACTCTTGTAGTCGACCCTGCGTTAGGCGTTTCAATGGTGATTTGAAGGGTCTTTGACCTGGACCCCAACTCGGGTCTGCGGAAAAGCTTGAAGCACGTACTGACGGACCGCTGTCGCGGTTGGCATTCGTTGCCAACAGCGGCGGCTGAGGGCCTGCAGGCGAGCGAGCTTCCGATCCCATAAGCCCACCAGCTCGGTGCGTCAAACGCTGACGCTGTCCCGATACGGGTGTGAGCCAGTCTTGCAGACTCGTTCTCTCCGGCGAGGTGTCGGGGCTGTGTCTTCGGGGAGCTGGTGGATCTGTCTCCTCATCGACACTACGCCTAGCAGCTTTGGCCCAGGGTCTCAATGGAGGGCCGGGATTTTGGTATGGCATAGATTGTGTTTCAGACCCAACTGGCGAAGGTGGCTGTGGACCGGGACCCAAGGGTATTCTACGTGTATGTGTGACCACTGGAGTATGATGTTGGGTCAAATCCTGCGTTGATGGTTGCATCTGGTCCGCGATATGAGTTTCATCCATCTTCTTCGGTGATATGATCCTGTTCATTGCAGCAATTGTAAAAGGGTTCCTAAGTGCTGTCGGTCGATCTTCGGGCTCGCTCTCCTGTTGGGCTAGTATGCCACCGGTTGGGCTTACTGGTAGTTCCATATCGTCCAAATCAATATGATACATATCCTTGTGTGGTGTGTCACCAGCCGAGACCGTAACTGAGCTTTTTTCTGATACTTGGGTCTCACCCGCGGTGGCCGCATTGCCAGGGTAGGCCTTCTGAAGCAGAGTCTCGATTAATGATAACAAGGACTTCGGCCGGAAGAATAAGACTTCATCTTTTGCGGGCTCGATATTCACGTCGTAGCTCTCCGGTGGGCAGCGTATTTGCATGTAAGTAAACAGTCGTGATATCGAGGTGTTATTCGAGCCAGAGAAAATGCGTTGTAGATGGTGCTTGTAGGTTTTGGCGATCTCCTTCATGGTTCCTCTATCCATGCTGACGGGCCTGCCATCCACGGATATGAACTGAGGGCCATTGCGAACCTTAGTGAGATCTGACAAGATCAGCAACGTCAGTGAGGGTGCTGAAGGCTGAGAAGATACCTGCGTCCGCCGAGACGAGAAGTGCTTGAATCTCCCAGCCGTCGTCAATCTGGTCATCAACTTCGATTGACGATACCTTGCATTCCGTGCATTCCGCTGCGACTTCCTTGCCTACAATCTTTGCGGCGACTTCCGCTAATGAGTCATTTCGACTAGCCGCATAAGTCCAGTTCAGCTTTTCATTCTTCCCTTTCAAGACTTTCAAAGAAAAGCGCACGTCTGGTCTAGCAAAAGCAAACGCAAAAAGGAGGTTCTTGATAGCTTGCAGTGTCTTGATGGTTGCCTTTAACGCTGTCTGCCTTCTTACTGGTATATTGGTGAGGAGATCTTGTACTCTTACTGTCGTACCGACGGGGTGTGAAGCTGAGGAGGAACTGGCTACCGTCATGACTCGGTCCAAGTCGAGTGGACCATTTCACAACCTACCTCAACATGCCTGATGCGACATACTTGAGTGATGTGGCAACAACCTCCCCATCAACTCGTGTCGTGACCACCACATCTCGACTTAGTTCGGCTATACTCGAAAGGGCTTCCCCACGAAAGCCCAAAAATGAACCTCCGAGTCGAGCAAGGTCGTCCAGATTTCTGATCTTGGAGGTGCAACCTCGTTTGCACAGGAGTTGTCTGTCTTGAATATCGATCCCAGTCCCGTTGTCCTTGACTTGAATGACGTCTAGGGTGTTGTTGGCAATCTCGATACTGACGGCGGTTGCACGTGCGTCGAGTGCGTTGTCGACGAGCTCCTTGACAACTGACTTGGCGTCGTTGAGCACAAGCGATGACCCGATGACACGTATGGTGTTCTCAGGCAGCGCCTCGATGGCCATTTCTCATCCATTTGCAGCAGACTGTTGTCAGATCATAAGATGCAGCGAAGGAGGAAATGAATCACGACGTCAGACGAGCACTTTACGCGTCAAGGCGCGTCTTCATTGTGGTAGCCTTGGCATCAGCCTCGCTTACCTGAGACATCCTCGTCTTTCTTATTTGTTTTCACTGGCTCGAACGATTATGAGTGGAAATCTGATGGAGAAGACAGAGAAATCAGTTCAATAATGTCGGCAGACGCTTTCCAAGTTCATTTACTGTGCGAAAATGGACGACACGACCCTTGCAAAACTGGCTGTGCCAGGGGTGGTGTCACTTGTGGCTTTTCTCTCATATTCTTCGCAACTGTTATTCTACGGCATTGAACCTGGATCACTGGATAAGCAAGAAAGCCTCGTGTTCAACATCCTCGTCTTATGCATATGGGTTTCCTATGCACGAGCATGCATCACGGATCCAGGACGAGTCCCGGCAGACCGGCCATCGAACGAGGCTAAGCGCAAAGGCCCAGCAACACCAGCACAGAATTTCATTGCCAGACAGAGATACTGCCGCAAATGCGAATCTGTCAAGCCCCCAAGATCCCATCATTGCAGAGTCTGCGGACGGTATGGCACACCTCGATCTCACCCGAGTCATGCTGATATCTTGCAGGTGCATCCCAAAAATGGATCATCACTGTCCCTGGACAGCAAACTGTGTCTCCCATTTTACTTTCCCGCACTTCATGCGCTTCCTCTTTTATGCTACTACTGCAATGTGTCACCTTGAATATTCCCTGTTCCTGCGAGCCAACATCATCTGGCGTAACCGGAATTTACCAAGTGTACGAGATGTGCCAATGTTTATGAAGGACCAGAGCTGACATATTGGACACAGTACCTTGGTCCATCACTACCACAACTTGTTCATCTCTTTATACTGCTCGTCGTCAATTCACTTACCTTGTTCCTCGTATCGATTATCTTCCTTCGTACTGCTTGGGGACTGGGCGGTAATGTAACAACGATTGAAAGTTGGGAAATTGAGCGCCATGCAAAGCTACTTCGCCGAGCTCGGGCTCTTGGGGGATATCTGGATGGTCCGGATGGTGTCAGACTCAGAATTGTGAGACAAGAATTCCCTTATGACATTGGCATATGGAGCAACATCGTCCAAGGCATGGGCACCGCAAATCTCTTTGCCTGGCTCTGGCCGTTCTCTGCAGGTTCAAGAACAAGTGGTCTAGAGTTCGAGACGAATGGGTTTGAAGACCAAGGCACAAGCTGGCCGCCACCGGATCCTGATCGAATGCCACGACTCGAAAGATCGTTCGACCCTGAGGATGCCTTTGTACATCAGCATGCAGCCCTCTCGCCCGAGGAGGAGATTGTTGCATTCAAAAACCGGCAGCAGGCGGACTTTCAGCAACGTGCCCAGCACTACGACATCAAGAGGAGGCGACCGTTCCATAAGAGATTCGATCAAGATGATGAAACGCCACTCGAGGACGACTACATTACTGATGGAGAGGAAGAGGCTTACAGCGGTGAAGAGGGTTGGCAGGATTCTGGAGGCAACAGACTGAAAGACTATGGCGTCGATGAAAGTGTTGAATTCTACGATGAGGACAACATCCCCATTGCTGAGTTATTGAGACGACGGCGAGAAGGGCGTGGAGGATGACTCCAATCTTTCTGCAGATCGACAGGCTGGGGGTGTCTCGACGTGACACATGTGAGGCAAATACCCCGGATGATCGTTGAAGTGCAGGATGCTGATTGGGACCATTGCGCTGCGACGATAATACCCGACGCCCGGTGCGTATTGGATTCATTCGAAAGCGAGGATTGTCGGAACATATGGGCACTATCAGATCTGTCAGGTGCTACACGGGCACAACCTGGCCATGCTGGGTGCCCCTGTTCAAGCAATCGGCCCGGTTTTCTCCGCATGGTTAACGTGGGGGTTCAATGATCCACCCCACGATCCAAAGCCTTCTGCGTGGAATGGTTCTTGCCCAGGGATCATGTGCATATCAGTACTGAGGTGCCGGAGAGTAAAGCAAGGCAGAGGGGCTGACATCACGAACGCATCATTCATCGTATTGTCAAAGCCGCGGCATAGAAAGCCTGTCGCTAGGTACAGTAGGCGTAAAGCTATGGGGATGTTCATCATGTTCTTGGGGCTACTTCTGCCTAAGACACGCTCCCCGCGGGCGACTTGACGTGTCAACCCTTAACGCCGTCACCACCCACGCAAGGCGAAACGGTGGGATCCAATCCCCCACACGTCTTTCGTGGATCTTGGGAGGATATTCCCCTTCTGGAACTTCAATATAGGCTTAAAACATCGGCATATGGCCGGGCGAGGTCACCGGCTACAATGCCTTATATGCCGTCAAAGCCTGTTTGTCTCTTCTGACTTCACAAAAATCCCATTCTCAAAAACCTCATCCAAACCACATTGTTTCGCTATTTGTCTCGTATCCGACCCCTCTGAACCGAGATATCAGTGCATTGGACAATTCGAACGATATCAACTCGATAATCAATCAAGATGAACGGACATCGCAGTAGCCGGACTTTGAAACCGGGCATCAATGTGCCTATGGTCACATTCTTCGACCCAGAGACTGAAGACGTCGACGTCGGCGCTGTTGCAAAACATGCCGTCAGACTTGCCAAGGCAGGCCTCACATCCATCACATGTCAAGGATCCAATGGTGAAGCCGTTCATTTGACTCGAGAGGAGAGAAAGCTTGTGACAGAGACGACCCGAAAGGCACTCGATGAGGCTGGGTTTTCAGACATGCCAATCGTCGTGGGATGTGCAGCACAGTCTGTCAGAGAAACCGTGCTGTTTTGCAAGGATGCTTATGACGCTGGCGGCGATTACGCCTTGATTCTACCTCCTTCGTACTACAAGCCATCATACACACAAGCAAGCTTCGTAGAGTACTTCCAGGATGTCGCGACAGATTCGCCTATCCCGATTATCATCTACAACTACCCCGGCGCCGTCGCCGGCGTGGACTTGGATTCCGACACCATTATCAAGCTGGCCAAACATCCTAAAATCGTCGGATGCAAGCTCACCTGCGGCAATACCGGTAAACTGAACCGGATCGCTCACGCTGTCAACGCCGCCACTCCGTCAAGCTCGGGCTCGGGCTGGATGTGCATGGGTGGTTCGGCCGATTTCACTCTCCAGACCATGATCGCTGGTGGTTCCGGCATCATCACTGGTCTGGGCAACGTCGTGCCAAAGGCCTGTGTGAAGGTATTCAACCTCTATGCTGAGGGCAAGGTTGAGGAAGCGCAGAAGTTGCAGGCTGTTGTCGCTCGAGGTGACTGGGGTGTCATTGCCGGTGGTATCACTGGAACCAAGAGTGCGCTGCAGTCGTATTATGGCTATGGTGGGTACGCAAGACGACCACTCCCCAAGCCCAGCAAGGATGATGTGGCCAAGCATGAGGCTGCGTTGAAGGAAGTGGTTGAGCTTGAGAACTCTTTGTAGTCGGTACCAGGGTTCATGCAGTGGTGCAATTTTTCCCATAAGACATGATCGTATCTAGCAACTTTAGAATGGCTGTAATGAACGGATTTCTCTATGGTCTACCCCCGTGAATACAATGCCCCTTTTTCCAAGGCGTTGCTCAGCATGGCTAGGGATGGCCCAGGTTTCCACGCCTTGCGCAGGAGATGGCTTGTGTCACCCTCCTTCTTTGCAGCCAGACGAGCCTCACTCCGACCAGTTTCCAGTCATGTATTTCTGACCTTCCCACTCACTTGTGTGTGATTTCTTACACCATTTTCTCACTTCTCAGCTGAATGGAACGATAAAACGCGCTCGACAGGTTCGACGGTCACATCGCAGAGACGTTTCGAAGAGTCGATTTCGGGGCTGAAGAGGCGTGTAGCTTCTACTCGTTGCAGTCTGTGGTCTGTAGGCGATTGAGTGCAGGCTCTACCGGTTAGTCGTCACCATAGACTGCGAGTCGGAAGATCTCCTGTAATAACTCAGGTCCCCTGGCGCCATACTCATCAAATTAATTGTGCCGGGAGATCTTCGGCTGCCCCGCGCTGATGCTTGTCGATTACTTCCTCAGGGTATGGAGTACTCCGTATAGGTGGCATGAGACGCGGACGAAGGCGACAATGTCCATCGGATTGCGAGGCCGAAACGTCTTTGACGCCAAGCGAGGGGTCGGCAATTTCATGCCGAGGTTTGGTCTGAGAATGTTCTCCGCACTGAGTCCCCCGCAGCAAAGGAGAACGGCAAGACATGGCTTCTTCGCATTACGGTATCAATTGTCAAGTTTTAGGTGCTATGCTACAGAACGGCCGTCAGAAAAGTGCAGGTACAGTACTCCTTGAGGAACAGTTCTACCGGCCTTGTCCTTGGTGCCACAACCTTGTCCACCTCCAGACAGTCCGTTCACCTCTTTCTGTACAGAAGGCCGTAAGTTGTTTAAGTCGGACCCTATGCGCTCATACTATTGATAAAACGTTAGCATATGTCCTGGTGTTGATCATGAGAGTCTGGACGACTTACTTGATAAGCACCGTCTTTGGTTCTGTGAAAGCCCGAAGAGCATATTCACCAAATTCTCGTCCAATGCCGGAAGACTTCTTTCCTCCAAAAGGAGCTTGCATGTTCATCTAGGACCACGCATTAGTAAAACACCAATCATTCTTCACATGAGGAGAACTCACATAGCTGACACAGTTGACGCCAACGACACCAGCATCGAGCTTGGCCGAGACACGCATTGCCCGTGTCACGTCTCTTGTAAAGACACCCGCCATCAGACCATACTCGGTATCGTTGGCAAGCTTAATGACTTCTTCCTCAGTCTCAAACGTCTTGACAACCGAGACAGGGCCAAAGACTTCCTTCTCAATGATTTCCGAGCCAGCCTTGGGGTTCAAGAAGACGGTTGGTTCAACGAAGCTTCCCTTGTCTCCTTTTCGGTTTCCTCCTGCCACTAATTCGGCATCGTTCTTTGCTCGTTCGATCATACCTGTGACTCTTTCCAAGGCTAGGTGATCGACCAGCGGTCCCAGACCGGTGTTAGGGTCTTGAGGATCGCCAAGTCGCCCAGCAGCCTCCTTGACCTTCGCGACATATTTCTCAATGAATTGTTCTGCAATCGACTTCTGCACGTAAATTCGGGTCGCTGCAACACAGACCTGGCCAGATCTCGCCAGCAGAGCATTGACAGTCCATGTCAAGGCGTTATCAAGGTTAGCATCTTCAAAGATAACAGCCGGACTCTTTCCACCAAGCTCCAAGGTGACTCGCTTGAGATTACTTTTGGCTGCGGCGATCTGGATCTTCTGGCCTGTCGGTACACTTCCAGTGAAACTGATTTTTCGGATCTTCATATGGCTCGCCAAGATTGCTCCAGTCGAACCACCGCCGGACACGCATTGAATGACTCCCTTGGGGAAACCAGCCTCTTCGAATAGTGGTGCCAAAGCTAATGAGCCGTATGGGGTTTTCTCTGAGGGCTTAACAATCAGGACGTTGCCAGTTGCCAGAGCTGGAGCTGCTTTGAAGATGAAGGTTGCCACGGGCGCATTGAAAGGGTTGACTGCCGCACAAATACCGAGAGGCTCATGTCGGACGATCTTGACGAATCCGTCGTCGTCGGGGTAATAATCGCCTTTCTGCTTGTCAGTCCACCCAGCGTAGTACTTGATGGCTGTGATGATGTAGTTCTTCTCTCGGGTCGCAATCATGGACACTGGGTTACCGGAGGATTGGGAGTCCAAGGTCAGTATATCGGCCATTTTCTCCTCCATGATGGCAGCAAGCTTCATTAGGCATGCGGCACGCTGTTGCCCACTGAATTTACTCCAAGCACCATTGTAGGCTGCTTCTGCGGCCTCGACTGCTGCGTTGATGTCGTCTTCGCCAGCGATAGCCATCTGGTCTGATATGACTTCTCCATTCTTTGGGTTCCAGACTGTGTACGTTTCCTTGTTTTTCGAGGTAACATATTCGCCGTTTATGTAGTGCTTGTTGTCGTAAAAATTGGGCGAGTACGCTCCACCTATTGAACCCATCTTGGCTGACTGGCTGATGCTTCGAGCTTTTATCCTGACAGTGATTCTATTTCTTGGTATCACGAAGGAGAACAACGACTTTGGAAAGGTTGCTGATGTTCGAAGTGTCATTGTCGAGGGCCGAGATGCGGAGATGGCGTCTCTTAATACTGGTACTCACCATGGGGCGGCCGCCTCTCCGAATCCGAGGAAGGTTTCGGGCTGGGTTCCGATATCCATCTCAATGGGACAGAAGGGGAGTGATTCGGGCGATAGACGCCGGGAACGGTGTGCACTGGGCAACGAATTCCGAATTCCAGAATGGTCCATGATGGTGGTACTCCATATTCACCTGGAGTGATATTGTGTTGGTAGATGGATGGTCTGGAGTAATTCTGACCCCAGTGGTAAAATCGAGTGTCTTATTGGCCTACTCAAATATCCTGGTGGTACGGAGCACTGATCAACAAGACAGGAGAGGCAGCTGCAGGGGTGCCATGCTTACAGTTGCGCCTAGTGGCCGTTGAACTTATAGGCGACACGCCCACGCAACGCCTTCACCCCAAGAACGAAATAATGAAGCCCACATTGCCACGTTGGCACGTTATCAGCCACTTATCATGTGAGGTTTTCTGGTGTTCCTAGGGTTTCTATGGAATATATTAAAATAAAACGATCGTGATTTCCAAGCCCTTGACAACGCAGCGGCTGCAACTATCTCTCACTCGGCCCATTCTCACTGGTGTCTCTTCTCAGCTTCATATCTTATGCTAATCCATGACTGGTAGGTACATTGGCTCCCGCTGCCTACTGCAGTCTTATTTCTCGTTCTCGGGAAGAGACGCCTGTTATGTGTCAAGGCGTAGTCTGCCAACAGCTGATCCATCACCGCTCTTTGGTGCCGTTTCAAAACTGCGTCGTCATGCTCAAGGCCAATTTCCACTGGAGTGCGAGCTACGGCGTCAAGCTGTCAGCTTCTTCTCGAGCATTTATTTCCTTCATGTCTTTGCTTTTTGTTTTGCATGGCTACGCGTTAAAGACCGGCCAAGATGGCCGATTATTCACATACTAATGGGCATGGCCATGCTAATGAATCCACCACGACTGTCACCGACTGCATTCTGGGACTGAGGCACAAAATAAACGACGACGAGCTTCCAGGCCTCACGAATTTGATTGACGACTGGTTTGATCCGAAAGTCGATGTCGATGAAGAGCAATTCGTCCGCCGATTTCTCCACGTTTTCAAACAATCAGGTAAGGACTTCACCTACGAGAAGATCATTGGCGACTACGATGGCGAAGTCCAAAGCATCTTCAACGACTTTGTTGATAATAAAATCAACGCTCAAGAGGCTTCCCAGAGATATCGACCGTACAAAACGAGCAAGCTGCTCAAGCAGAAAGGTCAACTGCGGAAAGGTGGTCTTCCCAGCGTCCTTCCAGAAGATCTGAACACCGAGGCGTCTCTTCTCGCAGCTTTCCCATCAAGTATCCCTTCACGATTCCGGTCTCTGGTTGCCAAAGTCATTCCCGGTACCAGGAGACCTAAGCGGTCTTTGTACGTGCCGGTACGTAGCTCTTTGCTCTACATGGAAAGATGCACAACCTTACCAGACCTAGTCATTCAAAGACCTCGCATTCCAGAATTGGGGAAGGACGATTAGCAACACTCCGTCCTTCACATGCGTGCCGAGCAACTCGCAAGATGTCTGCGATATCGTCAAGTACGCAAAGAAACATGAGATGGGTGTCAGAGTCTCGGGTTTCCGTAAGCATGCCGGTTGATGTCCACGCATTCCGCTCACATCAGCCTTAGGTCATTCATGGTCACCAGTATTTGGACGCTCGAACAGCAAGAAGCTCGGAAACAACGGGGACATCCTCATCTCCACGTTGGGGCTTGTCGACGCCTCGGTCCTCCCAAACTTTACCTCCCTGCCAGGAAACCTTTTCGAACCTCGAGCCAAAGACCTGAACTCCATAGTCGTCGTTGACAATAACTTCGTGAGGGGACCTCAACTCACAGATGGTAAGAAGTACGTCAGGGTCGGGACCTCTACAACTAATGAGCAATTACGACGATGGTGCATCGACACCGGCAAAATCACACCTCCAATGAATATTATCGAGGTTGAAATCACTATGGGCGGAAGCAATGGGACAATCTGGTATTTCAAACTCACTCTACCCTTGCAAATGTACGCTGACGCTGCCCCAGTCACGGAGCAGGTATCAACAACCCTACACTTTCCGACCTCGTGCGTGCCATGGAATACGTTGATGCGAACGGTTCTCTCCGCAAAGTCGACATGTCCACACCTGACCTTCTGAGAGCGGCAGCAGGCTGCTTTGGTCTCATCGGAGTGGTAACACATCTTGTCCTTGAACTTGACGCCTTGTCCTGTGCCTTGCTGGAACCACGGAAACTGCCCGTCATCGAAGCGATCCCACCGCCTCCCGACATGCCAGACTCAGCCATTCCGGCCCCATTACGTCCGAAGCAGCCCTTGAGCGCTCAACGCAAGGCCGAGATCCAGAAGGATTTCGAGACACGTGCCTTGACGACCGACTATGCGGAGTGGTTCTGGTTTCCGCTGTCCAGCGAAGTCTGGGTGAACACCTGGCACAAGACTTCTGATGTGTCTGGAGCCGTCAACTACCCCAGCGACGCAAAGACCATACTACAAGTGTTTGGTACTGTCATGGTCAACATTGCTCAAAACGCTGCCACCCTTCTCAAAGCCACTGAGTTTGTTGCCGAAACGCAAACGAAACTGTTGACCTGGCTAGCCATGAAGAATCTAGACGACGTTGGACCGAACGGCAAAAAGATCAAGACCTGGCTCCCTGATGCCCTGCATTTCCAGCGAGGCGTGCAGAATGTTCGAGTTCGAGATTTGGAGGTTGAATTTGCACTACAACCCAAGGATGCGGTGGTGAACGGCGCCGTCAACGGCACTGTTGTACCAACCACAAAGAGCAAGCAAATTGATTTCACAGTCGTCCAACGCGCATGGTGGGACGCCATTATTACCTGCTACAGCGCCACGAAGACGTGTCCACAGCGCATGCCCCTCGAAATGCGAATCATGTCGTCCTCACAGGTGACACTAGCGCCTCAACGAGGCCATGAGCTTGGAACATGCTCGATCGAGATTTTGACCCTGCACGAAATGGCCGATATATGGCAGCCGTACGCTCAGACCGTGCTGGATAAGTGGTCCAGCTACAAGACGCCGCAAGGGCAGTTGATACCGGTCCGCCCACATTGGGCCAAAGAGTGGTATGGGTATAACATGCGAGGCAGGCCGTGGCAGGACGTGCTTAGGACGGAGGACGCTCAAGGCGGTGGTTATAGGGGCCAGATTGAGGAGTGGCGGGGTTTGATAGGACGGCTGGGAAACAGAGATGGATGGGCCGCTCGCGATGCTCGATTCCGGTTTGGGAATGAGGTTTTGGATACGCTGTTCTGGGAGGATGTTAGGAGCACGACGTCGACTCCTACTCCTGTCAAAGGCGCACCACCGAAGAAGAAGGAGAGCCTGGGGAAGAGGCTTTGGCAGAGCTGTTTTGGATGAATGTTGGCTTCTGCTGTCGCTTCAGTCTATGCGATGTCGTAGGAAAATTGTCGATCTGGACGGATGGGAATTCTGCATGATGGTCGACTTACAAGAGAGGACAAATTGCGAAGATCAACCTCTTTGCTGCCGATATACCTGGGTACGATGGAACAACCTCGAGGCATTTTACGATATGACACTGGGGCTATCAATTTACGACGAGATGAACTGTGATCTACAATTTGAGATACCATATTCAATTAAAGGAATGGGCCTACTTTTTTCTCTAGATACGTATGCATCATCCTCTTCCGGCTTCACCTCCTTCTACTGCCCATATCTCGTGGCTGCTCTTTCTTCTCTTGCCCACTCTGTCCATGAGGTACCACTCTGACACTAATATCCCTTCTTCCGGTCCACAAGGTTAAACATCCTCTCTCCTCTTTCATGCCTCTTCCAGTTCGTCACGAACAAATCATACGCCCGATCACTATACTCGCTCCCCAACCCACTGACATGAGGCGTGATAATCACATTTTTCGCATCCCAAAGCGGATCGTCTTTAGGCAGAGGTTCCGGATCCGTAACATCGAGCGCCGCGCCAGCCAAAACATCGTCGTTCAGCGCTGTGATCAAGGCCTTCTGGTCCAAAATTGGTCCACGCGCGATGTTGATAAGAAACGCCTTTTGCCCCGCGGCTTTGGCTTTGCTCGACCCAGAACTGCCGAGTATTCTGAACTCTTCAGCCCCGAAAAGATGGCGTGTCGCGGGCGTAAGTGGGAGTGATATGATCAGCGCGTCGAGCCCGGATACCAAAAACGTGTGCAGAGACGCCTTCTCAGTGCCGGAGTACCATGCCGTAGGGATGCTGCCGTCCGGGTCGCCTGTGCCGGGGACGAAGTACCCGTTGTCTTTGCGCGCGGAGGGCGTGGATCGTGGAGATGCCGTGTATGCGTGGACGCTGGCTCCCAATGCAGAGAAGACGCGGGCGGCTATGTGATGTTAGTCGCGTTGGCAACACAAATACAACGTAATGTCCATGAGCTGGAGTGGGAATTGACATACCTTGTCTCCCAATACTACCGTAGCCAGCGATGCCGACAGTCTTGCCAGCCCAGTCCGTGCCGGACATCAGGCGGTTCCGCTCGGGTGCCCAACTGTGCTGTTTCTGCCATTCATATTGTATGGCGTAATTGCGGCTAGCGACCAGTGTGGTCATTACGATCCATTCTGTTATGGGCGGGCCGTGGATGCCAGAGGACGTGGTGATGGCGATGTCGCTGTCCTTGACGATGGGGTGGTTTGACCAGGCGTCGACACCCGCGGAGAAGAGGTGGATTATTTTGAGACTGGAAGATTTCGAGATTAGTGGGTGGCTAGGTCATCCATGTACAAAATGATGGAGGATTGGGACATACTTTGGCACCTTGTCCTTTGTGGATGGAAGTGTGAACAGCGTGAGAAGAATGGTCGCCGATTTCCACAGATCTGGTATAGTTACTCGTCAGCACTGATAGATGGGAGGAACTTTGATGTCTCAATCTTCTAGAGATGGCAGTGCGATGCTTGTGGAAGCAGACACCTCACCTCGACAAACACGGGCATTCGTCTATTTTGCGCTGAACTTGCTGACAAGGCAGAGGAACATGGAAACGAATCGTCTCAAGCTTTGGACATCCGAGAGCAACTCACCATCGGAGATCTGATTGCTGTTGTCCACATTGGGTCTGATGTTTCTGGAAACTTGAACATATGTGATATCGATATATGGGAATAGTTGCTTGATCAGCGACGTTTCGCGCTTGGGTTCGGCATCCCAATGGGCGATGATGAGATGTTCTTTGTCCGGACCGCCTCCCATCTTGTTCTTGATCAAGCTTCTCTTCCGAGCAGAATGGTAATGTACGGAAGTCTAGTCGATGAGATAGATACGTAGATGGAATGTTGAGGTCGAGGAGGACTATTAGCCTAAGCGATATGACACGACATAGTGGCGGTTTTACTAAATAATTCGGCAATTCACCATCATAGACTTTATGACCTGATATTCGTAGCGACTTCAATAATTCCCAGCACAAACCTCATATCATCTACGTTTTACCAGAAGAATTTATCGCATGAACCTGCCTATACCATGCGTTCCAATGTCATGCAATAACCGAAACCGAACTCCAGCCAAACACCGACGCTGACATGAAGGCAAAAACAATCACTAATCACCAACCACACGTCCTCACTGCTCTCAAGAATGCTTCTTGTCGCCTCTACCGACACCTTCACCGTCACCACCACATCTTCCCACCGTCACCCATTGCAACTTGATCCTCTTATCATCTCTTCTTTCTTGCAATCCGCTCCAGCCGAGTTTCTCCTCTCCCATTCTTCCCAATCCACCTTCCTTGACCCAACAGCCTATAACAGCTCGGATCCAGCTTAGCTTCTCTTTGATTTCGTTTGTTCGGATCAATTCCATTTCCGATCGTCGCAAGACATTGGTCATGATATCTTCTAGCGGGATGCTGATGGTGCTACGCCGCTCCATCGCCTCGGCGCTGGCTATGCCGTGATGAGCAAGGTTGATGGCGTCAGTCGGGACAAGATAAACGCAATCGACCTGATAGCGACTTTCCCCATTTTCGGAGATTTGTTGTCGCACAGTCAACTTTGTGTGATCTGGAAAGTTGAACTGCAGTCCACCGTCTGCAAATCTCCAGACACCCACGTTGCCCACCCTCTGGTAGAAGTGGACGAAGTGCCTACTTGTACCAGCTTGTTTTGCGTCTTGCGGGTCCGAGTGTCCAGTCTGTTTATTCATATACTTGCCAAACTTGTCCAAAAGTGCAACTTCCTTCATCCGCTCAGCTTCGCTGCCCCGAAGACCAGCCTGAATCGTGCTGGCGGCCGCTACCTGGCTCGAGTGCTTTTCAAGGTCAAGCAGAAAGTCCCTGGCAGGAACGTCCATACGTTTCATGTCGATCTCACAATCACTTTGCTCGTAAAATTCCACGTCGTTCGCATCTTGACCCTGGGGAACGAATTGATATTCGAGACCCTTTGCGCGTTTGAGCGTATGTTGACCAGCGTTCCGAATCACCACACAACTACTGGGCATTTTGTTGTCATCTGACGATTTCAGGATCATACCAACAGTCGAATCGGTCAGAATATATGCGATGCCATGGCGAGTTGCATAGTCCACCCATTTGTCGACCCTGGGATAATTGGACGCATCCCGAATCTTTCGTGTGCCATATGCGGACCGCGGTCGTTGAGTCCCATCGTCGAAACTCCTACTGTCAAGAGCTTTGTGCAGCGAACGCAAGGCGTCAACAACAGCGGCGCCCGAAGAAGAAGGAACGATGGTTGCGGGATCCGTCGGTGCGATGATCCTTGACTGATGTCTCGGCAAAAACGTTTGAGAACACGGCGCCGACTGTGACGCAGCCACTTGCTTCTCTGGTGCTTCTACCGTCTGGCGATGCTTTTCGGCCACTTCCAAAGACTTTATCCTGTCGTTCCCACTGGTGGGCTGCAACACTCGAACCGGTAGATCGCCAAAATACCCTGACGATGCTGACGAAGAGCTGTCAGGGCGGACGGTGGCATTTTCTGTTCCGAATACTGCTCGTGAGACCTTCCTGACTCTTTCTTCGATGACCGGTCTGCCCATCTCTATGCCGCCTCGTGCCTGTCGAGATTCTGCTCTTCCGAGGCTTGCTTCTATCCGCTTTGCAAGACCATCAATTGCGTCCGGTACAGTAGCGGATCTTGGAAGAGTCCTTGAGCTATGGGAAATTGATTGTGAGATTGGTGCTCGTAGAGTGGTGCTTCTGGTTGCTCGGAGCGTGGCAGCTCTTAGGGGCCGCTCCCTCAAAAGTGCTTGTGTCGGCTGTTCAGTGATTTCTGTTTCTTTCTTCTGGGGCGGATCTTCTGAAACTCTTTCTGCTTTTCGAGACATGGCTGCAGGTAAAGCTTGTTGTCGTTGCTGAGCCGCAAAGCTCTGAAAGTGCCTGGCCGTTGGCCCTCCGGACATGGATGGAACGTTCTGGACGATAGCTGGTAGCGATTCTGCCACAGCCTTTGTCATTTTACCCTGGCCTGCATTTGCATCACCCTGGTCCATGATCGGCTTGCGGCTTCGAACTTGGCTCCCGAGAAGCCGCTGCTTCTGTCGTGCCGCCCACTCATTTTGTGCATCTGCGAATTGCTTGTACAGAATTCCAGCTGGTAGCGGGACTACCGGAGCGCAGCCTTGTCTGTTTTCGGCCTCGATTTCCACCAACGTAGAGATGCCGGCGGCGATACCAACACCAGCACGGGGACGTCCGTCAGAGCCTCTCCCCACTCCACAGTCTCTGCATATCCGGTTATGGCTTACACCATAGCCTGATCTGACTTTGTCGCCACGTGGATCAGCATTCTCGAGCCAGTTTGGACTGGATCTGAGACAGAGAATATCGAGCTCATCTGCGATTGCTCCCATCTTGAAGAAGTCATACTCCACAAGCTGGTCCATATCCGGTCTTTCTGCAGAATTGAGATTCAGACAAGCAGCAACGAAATCCTTGGCTTGTGGAGGAATGTAGTTTTTGCTGTCAATCTTCCACTCATACTCAAGGCTTCTCAGTTTGGTATAGATTTCCTGCTGCGTTTTTGACTGGAAAGGTGGTGTGCCCATGAGCATAGCGTAACAAATGACTCCTACCGCCCATGTGTCGACTTTGTTGTCATGGCCTCGATTGCCCGACTTACTAAGAATCTCCGGAGCAATGTAGTTTGGCGTCCCACACAGCGTCGTTCTTCGATCTTGTTCGTCTGCCATGACGGCTGCTAAACCAAAGTCGCCAATCTTGATGTTCATTCGTGAGTCCAGAAATATGTTTCCCATTTTGAGATCTCTGTGTATCACCGAACGTTTGTGCATGTATTTAACTCCTCCACAAATCTGGACCATGAAACGTCGAACCTCCGGTAAGCTGAGACAGGACCGAGTCTTGACCATCTCTGTCAAGCTTCCATTCGGACAGAGCTCAAGTACGACGTAGGTGTGGTCTTCGATGGTGAAGGCTCGCAGGAACTCGACGATGTTGGGATGGTGCATCTTCGCATGTATCTGTAGTTCCGTTCGAAACTTCTCCATCATCTTCTTCTGTTCTACCTTTGCTTTGACCACTTTGAGGGCAAACACTTCTGAGGTCTTCTTTGCGCGACCTTCAAAGCATACTGCGAAACCTCCTTTACCAAGTTTCCTCCCCATCGAGTAGGTCTCGGCTGCAGAGCCCGGCTCTGTGATCGTCGTGGGTGGTCGCCATTTGTCGTCAATTCGGTCTGGATTCGTAGGTTTCTCGTCGGACTTCTTCGCCTCCAGCTTGGGCTTCTTCATGGCCTTTGGTGGTAGCATTGGTAAATTTACCGGCCGTGGTGAAAGGACATCCATAGCAGACTGCGGCCCGTCCGGTAGGAATCTATTAAGGACCGTCGAGAGGAGGTGGAAGAATATGCTGCTGCACAATGAATAGCACCTATCATGGGTTCCGACCGATAATTTGGCATCAAACACAATACACTGTGAATGGACCTCTGGCGGACGCTGTTGCCATGGGCCAAAGATTTAGGTTTATTTACTATGCGCCGTAAATGGAAGTCACGTCACAGACCAATCACTCGAAGACAATTCCAGAGTCACGTGATATTCACGCCCACCTAGGATGGGCCCCTACGTAACCTTCGAATCGGCCCTGAATGCTAGCGGGGATCACCTAACAGCCAGAAAATGCCGCCTAAAAGGTTAAGCCCTGCGACGACCTAGCTATGCACTCTTGCCTTTGATGCTATGAACCGATGTCAACAACATGGTGTGAAGATGGTCTATGCTAATATCGACGTGTGAATGGCGTCCCGCAATCACATGAGGCCCTGCTTGTTGGCAAGGATCTCGTTCTCGAAATGTCGCTCACCCTCAAATTCACTTCACTTGCTGTCCGCACACTTGCCAAACCTATAGCTGTAAGCTGGCGCAGATTGAGCATTGTTCGTGCTACTTGTTCTGACTGGCACAGAACTTCATAAAAAGGCAAGCACGAGAACATGAAGGGTTCCGGAAAACCTGCATGTCCATGGCCCAGACCCTCCATAGGGTCGACATGCGATGGCGGATAGGTCTACTGCAAGATGCGGCAGCCGTCGAAAAGCAAGCAGCGAAAGAGGCAGCAGCCGAGGCAGCCAAAAAGCATAAGGCCACTATACCCACCGTCAAAACGGAAGCGCAGATGAAGGCAGAAGAAGAAGCAGCGGCGAAATCGGCCAAAGAAGCCTCAGAACCGGCGAAGCCACGGACCAAGCCCAAGATCAGACCTCTGTCTGAAGCCAAGGCCATAGAGTCCGGAGCCACCTTCATAAGCGAGACCTTCCTTTTCACCGTTGCGGCTGGCTTGATCGTGTTCGAAGCCTGGCGGTCGGGACGGAAGGAGAGCAGACGGAGGGATGATGTGGCGGATCGTCTGAATGAGCTCGAAGAATCGGAGAAGGCTGCTCGAAAAGCCCTTGTGGAATTAGAAAGGGAAGTGCTACGTCTCCGAGCAAAAGAGAAGAATGGGAAGCCGAATGGCACTGTAAGAATACTACCACCCGAGATCTATGAGGAGGACAAAGATGTTGAGAAACCAGAAAAGCCCAAAGGCTGGTTTGCGCGTATCGCATCTTTTGTGTCTTCGGAGAAGGACGATGAAGAGGCCAAAGAAGCACTGGAGCAGCACAAGCCTGGTCCGGCCGAGAAGATACTGGTCGAGACGGAAAAAGCTCTGGAAGAAAAGCACAGACAACAGGTTATCGAAGCTGCGAAGGAAGGAACCTCAGAATCGAAGCCAAAACGGTGAGGCTTTGCCGGTGCTTGAGCATTCCAATTCTGGCAAGCTTTTCCACGGCTTTGAAGGAAACCCCGACAAACGGCGGCCCTACCGATGAGGGTCCTAAGGTATGGTACGGCGGCTTGTACAGATTTCTCGACTCCGCTATATGCACTGTTTATACAAGATACCCTCCCCGACTCCAAATGTCAAAAAGCATGATTCAAGCCAAGTTCTCAAGATCTCTCCGTCGTCAACCGGCATGGCGATCACTCGGGCCCATATTGTTCTCTTCAGAGACTTACAGTTTCCACGGTAGTTCAGGAAGGCGACCACAGAGCATGCTGACTGGAGGGACAGAGTACGACACCATTCCATTCGACCTGGCGCTCCCGTCTTCCAGCCATACCGCTTCACTTCTTCACGTCCTCATCCTGTGGTCGTCTGACGGCTCGAAGCATAACCTAGAGCGGCTACAGTCACGGGTGCCGAAGACAATACCGCAAGGAGACCATCACGTCGCATTACTTGTCAGTAATGGTAGCATCCCGATCTGGCAGCATTTCTCAATTTTGCAAAACCCGTGAGTGGCTGCCTTCGACCAGAGAGATGGGTGTATCTCACAAGACTCAGGGACTCCGAGGCGAACGCAATGCCACTGATTCTTGCTCTGTCAACGGAAACCATTCTTCATACTCTCGAGCGATATGTGAAAGAATCTGACCATAGCATTGAGGCGCCTCCTCTACCACGCCCCACGCTGACCACACTGATTGCTCAGGCGACTACTACTGCACCAGAACAACCACTCTCAAAGAATGATGCCGCCATTTTGGCCGATAGATTTCGCTCCATCCAGTGCCTAGAAGAAGCTACAAGAACAGACGAAGGAAGTAGACAAATCATTGAGCTTGTTGGACCGAACATTGCGAAGGATGTCATCGACTTCTGGCAGGACGAATGGATTGCTTGACGAACTAAACACTGCATTGTCGGCCATTCCGGGCTCCCGCAGATATGTTTCATACTCGATGCTGTTCAATTGAGATAGAGGGGGACTGTTCTCGGCACGAAGCTGTCATGTTGATGATAGACATTGCGGAGACATAATGCACGTCACTGTGAATGCAGGGTACAACAGATCATGCAGAAGCCGAGTGCTGCCGCTGAGGATGATAGTTTCACTGGGTGCTTGATGTCCAGGCTGCAATGAAATCTCTTCACCAGAATGATACGTTTGTGCTTGCGCGTCAAGAGAGGCTGTGGTGTGGCGTTCAGCCCGTAGAGGGGTTATTGGAGAGCAGCAGTGCCTGTCTTGGGGTCTGCGTGGTTTGAACCTTAACGTACTTTGCTGACCTAAACTGCGCTTTTCCGCTACCACCGTCGTTTGGTATGTCATACATAGTCCCTGGCCCATCCGTCGCGGAAGCCGCATCTCACACTGGGACCAGGCCTCCGGTCATTGTTTCGTGTGCAACTTGCAAGCTTGTCGTTCCTGATTCCGTACACTATCCAACTGTGTCCGTTGCCCATTAACGACATTCCTGGAATTCGCGAGCTATACTGACCGCTTTGCGCGCATGTCTTGATCACTGACACCCCTCCAATATGGTGAGCCCGCCCGCCCAAGCCCCCATGTTGAAAGATACTGATATGCGGCGCGCAGGGTCAAACAAAGCGCCGTGAAGGCAAATCTGCGCGGCCTGCAAAGGCTTCTCTCTTCGGCGGAGGAAAGTCTGGTCAGGCGGACTCCGGGCAAGGCCAAATCAAGAAAGCCACATTCGAAATCACAAAGAAGAAGGAGGTGGGCGTTTCAGACCTCACACTGCTCAGCAAGGTCTCAAATGAAGCCATCAACGACAACTTGAAGAAGCGCTTCGAACATGGCGAGATCTACACCTACATTGGCCATGTGCTGGTCTCCGTCAACCCGTTTCGGGACTTGGGAATCTACACCGATCAAGTGCTGGACAGTTATCGAGGTAGAAACAGACTCGAAGTCCCCCCTCATGTTTTCGCCGTCGCAGAATCCTCATACTACAACATGAAAGCATATCATGAAAACCAATGTGTGATCATTTCCGGAGAATCGGGTGCAGGCAAGACCGAAGCTGCCAAACGTCTGATGCAATACATCGCCAATGTCTCTGGAGGCACTGACTCAAGGATTCAACGGACAAAGGATATGGTCCTTGCCACAAATCCTCTCCTCGAATCCTTTGGCAATGCCAAAACTCTTCGAAACAACAACTCTTCACGCTTCGGCAAATATCTGGAACTCGAGTTCAATCCCAATGGTGAGCCTGTGGGAGCCAAAGTCACAAATTACCTGCTGGAGTCATCCAGAGTCGTCGGACAGATTACGAATGAGCGCAATTTCCATATCTTCTACCAGTTCACCAAAGCAGCACCGAAAGAATACAGAGATACCTTTGGTATTCAGCAACCGCAGTCTTATGTGTACACGAGCAAGTCGAAATGTTTCGACGTACCGGGAATTGATGACGCGAAAGACTTCCAAGACACTGTTGAGGCCATGCGAGTTATCGGGCTCAACAAAGCCGAGCAGGATAACATCTTTCGCATGCTTGCGGCAGTTCTGTGGATCGGCAACATCACCTTCAAAGAAAATGATCAAGGTGGAGTCGATATTGCAGACCAGTCTGTTGTTGATTTCGTGGCATATCTGCTGGAAGTCGAATCAGCTCATGTCCACAAAGCCCTGACCATCAGAATCGTCGAAACCTCTCGAGGTGGAGGTCGACGAGGTTCCATATACGAGTCACCACTGAATCCCGCGCAAGCTCTGGCTGTCAGGGACGCCCTCGCCAAAGCCGTGTATTTCCGACTTTTTGACTGGATCGTTGCTCGTACCAATGTCTCACTGAGATCTCAAGGCACGGTATCCAACACAATCGGCATTCTCGATATCTACGGGTTTGAAATCTTCGAGAAGAACTCATTCGAGCAACTCTGCATCAACTATGTCAACGAGAAGTTGCAACAAATCTTTATCCAGCTGACATTGAAGGCCGAGCAGGAAGAGTATGCTCGTGAACAGATCCAATGGACCCCAATCAAGTACTTCGACAACAAAGTTGTATGCTCCTTGATCGAGGACAAGCGGCCGCCAGGCGTTTTCGCCGCCCTCAATGATGCTTGTGCGACTGCACATGCGGACCCCACAGCTGCCGACCAGACCTTTGTTGGCCGTCTGAACTTCCTCTCGAGTAATCCAAACTTTGAAAACAGGCAAGGTCAATTTATCATAAAACACTATGCTGGCGAGGTCAACTATCAAGTTGCCGGCATGACGGACAAGAATAAGGATCAGCTGCTGAAAGATCTCCTCAACCTGGTCGGGGAAAGCTCGAACGGCTTTCTTCATGAGCTTTTCCCCAATCAGGTTGACCAAGACGACAAACGTCGCCCTCCAACAGCCGGTGACAAGATCAAAGCGTCCGCGAATGAGCTTGTTGAAACATTGATGCAAGCTCAACCATCTTATATCCGAACAATCAAGCCCAACGAGAACAAATCTCCCAAAGAATATAACGAGCCAAATGTCATGCATCAAATCAAGTATCTTGGTCTTCAAGAGAATGTACGCATTCGACGAGCAGGATTCGCATATCGTCAAGCGTTCGACAAATTCGTAGAGAGGTTTGCTCTTCTGTCACCAAGACTTTCGTACGCTGGAGAATACACGTACAAGGGTGATGTGGGAACTGCTTCAGAAATCATATTCAAAGATACGAGCATCCCACAAGAAGAATATCAGATGGGCACTACCAAAGCGTTCATCAAAAGTCCGGAAACCTTGTTCGGTCTCGAGCACATGCGAGATCGGTATTGGCATAACATGGCTGTTCGTATTCAGCGTGCCTGGAGAAACTATTTGAGGTACCGTGCCGAAGCTGCTACCCGGATACAACGGTTCTGGCGTAAGTCCAAAGTCGGTGTCAAAGAAATCGAATTCCGAGACCAAGGGCACCACTTGCTGGCTGGCCGCAAAGAACGACGTAGATACAGCTTGGTTGGTTCAAGACGATTCTTTGGCGATTATCTTGGTCTCAACATGCCTGGCGGCCAAGGACGAGTTCTTCGTGATTCAATCAACCTCAACTCCCAGGAGCGGTACGTCTTCTCCGCTCGTTGCGAGGTGCTGGTAGCCAAATTTGGACGATCGTCCCTACGAGTGCCCAGGATCTTGGTGCTCACGAACAAATCGATCTATATTGTGGTTCAAGCTGTAATCAACAATCAGCTTCAGATTTCGTCCGAGAGGACCATACCTGTTGGTGCCGTCAAATACATATCGACGTCCAACCTACGCGATGATTGGTTCGCTCTTGGTGTCAGTTCTCCGCAAGAGCCAGATCCCCTGATCAACTGTGTCTTCAAGACGGAATTCTTCCTCCAATTCAAGACCGTATCACCTGGAGGAATGAACCTCAAAATTGGGCCTAATATCGAATACAACAAGAAGCCTGGTAAGCCAGCAGCAGTAAAGACCCAGAAAGACTCGGCTATTCCTCGAGACGACGTGTACAAGTCTGGTACAATCCATGTTGGTCAAGGAGAATCGCCAAATTCGACCTCAAGACCTACGCCTCGGGGTAAAGCAATCGCCAAACCTATCACAAGCGGCAAATTACTACGGCCTGGTGGTCCAGGAGGCCGACCATCCCAAGCCGCCACTCGACGGCCGGTGCCAGCAGCAAGACCTACTCCTGCTCCTGCTCCTCAGACGCAACGCACGATCCCAACACCTGCTCCCCAGACTCAGCGCACCGTTCCGACACCTGCTCCCGCTCCAGTTCCTGCTGCTACCGGAATCTACTCGCAAGTTACTCAGCCAGTGAATGGAACTTCGTCTCACACTCGTAACGAGTCTGCCTCGTCATTTGGTCGTGCTGCACCTCCGCCGCCGCCGCCGCCGCCTCCTCCACCTGCAGCAGCAGCTCCCGCCGCTGCACCTTCAAAGCCCCAAGCTAAAGTCAAGTACGACTTCAATTCACCTAACGCCAATGAGTTGACCATCAAGGCGGGAGATATCGTGGAGATTGTAAAGAAAGAAACAAATGGTAAGCTTACGTGATTTCTTTTGTGTTCTACGTTCCGATGAGAACTAATACGTGCTATAGGTTGGTGGCTCTGCAGAAACGCCCAAACCAATGCAGAGGGCTGGGCACCTACGGCCTATATGGAAGAAATCGAGCTGAGCCGTGCGGCTCCACCGCCTCCTCCGCCACCTCCAGCTGCACCGCCTCGTGCTGCCCCTACACCGTCAGTCGTCGTCAATGGGCATGCGAAACCTGCTGCTCCGCCTGTCGCTGCCAAAGCAAAACCTACGCCGCCGGCACCACCAGCCAAGCGACCTGTGCCAAATGCAAGGAAGCCCACTGCGTCTCCAGCGAGGGATAGCGGCATGAGCTTGGGCACAGGGAGTGGAACGGACTCTGGGCGAGCTACTCCGAACAGTATTGGCGGTGGTAGTCTAGCGGGAGGGTTGGCAGAGGCCTTGAGAGCCAGACAGAGTGCTATGAGTGGAAGAGGTGCAGAAAAAGAGGACGATGACTGGTAGGTCTTCCACGCGAACGGAGGGATTTTGGTTATGAGTGGGAACGGAAAATGCGAGTTGAGTTTTTGTCATGGTAGTCGTTATAGCCAGCGTGATATGGGAACTACCGGGTAGACTGGGTCGTACAGATATGCTAGAATCCTATTGGGATTCTGGTAAGTGCGTCCTTTACACTTTTGGTCTTCGAGATCGAGCTCCAGAGTTGTGGATCCCGTCTCGGAAGGGAAATCCGATAGGTTCTTCGGATAAATACTAGAGGACTGTGATATGGCTGGTCTCTCTCGCGGCTGAATTGTCCCAGTGTGTCTCCTCGGCATTTAAACGTGTACTTTAGCATTGATGCATCTGTCGAGACCCAGGAAAGCCTCGAACAACTCGTTCATACTTGAAAAATCTTGTCTGGTCGTCTCTCGAAGGACGGTCAGATAGGGGATTACCGATTCTGCGAGGCTGTCTGCCCCTTCATTTCGACACTATATCAGACCACATCTAGAGTGTACCAGTTTTACCCATCTTCTTGGTCACAATGGACGGGGCTAGCAGACCCTACAAAGTTCTCACGCCCGATGACGTCTCCCACTTCATGAAACACGGCTACATCGTGCTCAAAGAATGCTTCTCCCGTGCTGCCTCTGACGACTGGACCTGCGATGTGTGGACCCGTCTAGGCATGTCGCCTGAGGACAAAACGACTTGGACCCGTGAGCGGACGAATATGCCTGGACACCGGCAGATCAGTGTGCCTTCATTCGCGCCGAAAGCATGGGATGCGATCTGCGACCTTGTCGGCGGCGAGGAGCGCGTTACACCCGAGTCCAAAATGTGGAACGATTCATTTATCGTGAATCTGGGCACGCCGGAGAGCGAAGGAAAGGATATCGGGCCCAAGGAGTTGGATGGATGGCATGTCGATGGTGACTTTTTCGTGCACTTCCTCGACTCGCCGGAGCAAGGACTGCTGGTTATCCCTTTGTTCACTGATATTCTGCCGAACGGAGGAGGGACCTGGATTTGTGATGAGGGGCCGGCGAGGATTGGAAAGTGGCTTGTAAGTATTTGACCCCCCTTTCAACTCATCAAGAATGCTTTCCCTATTATCCTTGTTGTCGCCACATCCACTCGGAAAGAGGCATACCGAAAGCTGATACGGTTGTTCACAGTACGATCACCCCGAAGGCGTCGGCCCGCGTATGACTCCCGCTGATAAGCCAGATGATACCACGTTGTCGTTCTTCAATGATACGGTACAAGAATGCTCACCAGACTCGTTTTACGAGATGACTGGAAGTATCGGTGATGTGGTTCTCCTGCATCCGTTGATGCTGCACAGTGCATCCAAGAATGGCAGCCGTCTCGCTCGGATCATTACGAATCCGCCTGTGTCGCTCAAGGAGCCATTCAACTTCGACCGCCCCAACAACGAATACAGTCTCGTGGAGTTTAAGACGATTCAAGACGTTGGCGGGCAGGATAAATTGAAGGGGTGGAAGATCACTGGACCAAGAGCAGCGGTGGTACCGGAAAGGCTGAGGATACAGGCGAAGTGGTTGGCGGAGGAGAATGAGAGACTGAAAAGGCAGGGTGTCGAGTATAATGGTCGGATGCAAGAGTCGCCTCATCAGGCTGCGACAGATCTGGAAGCCGACGGGTTGCAAAGAGTGGCAGTGGCTTGATTAGAGCCGTGCATTGCTGGCCAGCATCGTAAATGCTTGTATGAGGTGTTGAAGAATCCAACGACCGACAAAAGGCCAAGCAAGGACTATGGACATTACAATCTTGCAAAGGGTCACTTGTAAGAAACGTTCAGGTAAGGAGCAGCAAGGCACATTGGAGATGCTTGCTGTCGGAGAGGGCACAAGTCACTCTTCTTCGTCGACTGAGGTTTAAAGCATGGGCTAAAGTCTCAAGCGAATTTCTTATATGTTTCGTGGCCAAAACCTGCCTTTCTTCACTACCTCTTCCACCCAAAACTACTGGATCCTAGGAGCACCAATGGGTCTTCCCCTTTGCAGGGCCAGAGACCGCCCCACACAATGCTGCATTTTATGCAAGTAGCCGGAGGTCTAACAACCTTAGGTACTGACGTCTAGACTGTGTTTTGGTTCACAAAGGGAGGATTGGTGCTGATTTGCAAGCTCAGAGTGTACGATAGTATTCTGCAATTCAATCAAATCTATTACCTGAATCAGAACCTGCCCTATGCGCCCTGACAAACACTGCCCCCACCGGTGCTGTTGTCCGGCCTAAATTCGAAGTAATGATAATGAAGAAGCATATAAAGATTTGTCGATAGTGCAGATGTCCATAACAAGCCGTTTCCGAAGTACCAGCGCTGGTTGCCTTCAATAACTTGCTGTATGATGAGACATTGTCCCTCACGAGGAATGGTCCACGGTTTGAAGCCGAGCCAGAGCGTGCAGAACTGGCAGTGAATGCCTGTGTTGTACTCATGGCTGGATTATAAAATCCCCACGGAGGGTGAAGCCGTTGAGACTGATGCAGTTACTGTGGTTGCTTTAGATGTAGCTGATGCAGTTATTGTGGTTGCTTCAGATGTAGCCGATGTAGCCGATGCAATCATTGTGGTTGCTTCAGATGTAGCTGATGCAGTTATTGTGGTTGCTTCAGATGTAGCTGCTGCAGTTGTTGTGGCTGCTTCAGATGTAGCTGCTGCAGTTGTTGTGGCTGCTTCAGATGTAGCTGCTGCAGTTGTTGTGGTTGCTTCAGATATAGTCGATATGGTTGAGATGGTGGTATCTGATGTGGTCGCTTCAGATATAGCTGATGTAGGTGTTGTGGTTGCTTCAGATGTAGTCGATATGGCTGAGATGGTCGTATCTGATGTGGTTGCTATCGTCGAACTAGTTGGTATATCTGATGTGGTTGCTATCGTCAAATTGGTTGGTGTATCTGATGTGGTTGCTATCGTCGAATTAGTTGGTGTATCTGATGTGGTTGAAATGGTTGACGTTGTCGAACTACTCAGTGTATCTGGGGCAGTTGAAGTGGCTAAGATAGTCGACGTCGTAGGTGGATCTGAGGTAGTTGAATTAGCTAAGATAGTCGACGTCGTAGGTGGATCTGGGGTAGTTGAATTAGCTAAGATAGTCGACGTGGTAGGTGTATCTAAGGTGGTCGAAGTGGTTGAAGTGGTTGTTGTAATCGACGTGGTAGGTAGATCTAATGTAGTTGAGTTGATCGACGTGGTCGACGTGCTAGATAGATCAGACGTAGTCGAGGTAGTCGACGTGATTGATCCAACCGATGTAGTTAAGGTGGTCGATATAGCCGAGATAGTTGGGACAGTCGTGGTCGTTTTAGTGGCAATCGTGGTCGAGGTGGTGGTAGGTTTCTTTATGGTAGTGGTATGTTTAGTGGTAGTATGTTTTCGTGATGGTGGTTGATTTGGTGCTGGTGGTGGTGGTCGGTTTGGCGGTGGTGGTGGTTGGTTTGGTGGTGGTGGTAGGTTTTGTGTGGTGGTGGTATGTTTGGTGGAAGTAGTAGTCTTCGTAGTTGGCTTGGTTGTAGTGGTATGCTTGGTTGTTGCAGTGCTATGCTTGGTGGATGTGGTGCTGTGCTTGGTGGATGCTGTGCTGTGCTTGGTGGATGCTGTGCTGTGCTTGGTGCTTGCGGTGCTGTGCTTGGTTGTGGTGGTGGTATGTTTGGTGGTGGTTGTGATAGTTTTAGGCTTAGTAGTAGTAGTCGGTTTGCGGGTACTTGTGGTTGTAGCCTTTGTCGTCGATTTGGTGGTACCCTTCGCTGACTTGCTTGCGACTGTCTTGATAGCTGCTCTCTTCACGATGCTGGTAGCACTTTCTTGAATAGGGCAAGACTATTTTATCATCGGTTAGTGAGATTTAAGGGCAAAAGAGATGTTTAGCCACATATATATGGCGACGGCTGGTTAAGAAAACTCACCTTTGGTGTTGCAATACACGAGCACATTGTCGACACCACACTATTAGGCTGTTGCTGCAATTTGGACCAAGCAGAAGCTTGTTGAGAGTTTGTCATCGTTGTTGCGGTGCGTACTTGAGTAACGATCTTCGCCTCTGCCAGCATTGCCCCACGCTTGGTCAGATCCGTGGTGCATTCGACGGGGTATATTGTAGAACAAGATGCCAGTGCAACCGAGTAGCCAGCGAGGACTGGGGAGAGTTCTCCGTAGACACCGTTCGTGCACACGCTTTCGCTTCGAACCTCAGGGTATGGGGCTGCAGAGCCGACTTCGGGTAGGCACAAGGCCAACAAGGCAGAGACTAAGATTTGTGTGCACATCATCTCGACGATGTATTCAAGATAGATTGAATGTGGTAGCTTTGATGAGTAGAAGTGTCTGAAGGACAGGATGTCGTTGTTCTTTATATGTTAGATCTGTAGTACTAACCCTTTGCAAGCCATCTAAGGCGTTATGCGCACCTGCACATCTTTCAGACCTCAATGCTTGTGTTGCTTTCCTTACTCAAACGCTGCCACAAGCGTCGAAGTCAGCGTGGACAGACTCGAACTCTTTTTCAGGAGTATCTGTGCACATTAGAGGCACGATCTAGACCGTCGGTGAAGTGTCGCAATTAGGGTCTTCACTTCATCCTCAAGCGAGAGTACTTCCGTAGCATCGTTTACACATCAATAGACCGTTTTCGTGGTACAAACCTTGAGTCCTGTCCTGGAAGCCAGTGAGAGGACGTTGAAGTTTTGACTAGAATCTGTCATGCTCTATGACAGCTTGAAGACCGAACTAGGAGACTCACCTTCTTTATCTTGGCACCCCGAAGCACGTACCATATGTTCTTGTACCAAACGCACTGTCCCGATAAAACTTACCAGCGGCTACGATTATACCACACCGTAGTAATCGTCTGAGACGTGCCTGTAATCATCGACGGGAAATGATGGTTGTATCTTAAATCGTAAAGAACGGGCCATGGCCTATATGGAATATCAAGAACTTTCCCATTTTCGTCGTCGAGCTGGGTGGCCTAGAGTGAATGTATGCTAATGTTGAAGAACGTGTCGATGCTTGGGCCTAGCCTCGTGGCTGGTACATCAAGCGCACTGAAGCTGGATGGCGAAAGAAAGGGTAGAGCCTCGAAACGTGCTGTTGACCACAAAAGCTGAATCCAGGGATGTCACGGATGTGTGAGAAGGTCATATTGAGCGACCGTCAAGAAGACGGGCAAACATACCTTATCATCAGCCTGCTGTGATACCTGAGTAGGGAAGGGAATAGTATGAATGTATGCATTGCCTACCCAGTAGGTGCCCTGGCGAGGCATTGTCATTGACTCTGTCTCAAGCATACGGAAAGTTGTAAGGTTGCATCGAACAGATAAATATCTCCTGCGCGGTAGGAATGGCGCATTTTTCTTGGCATTCAGTTTACATGAGAGCCTCACCAAAATCACGATATTCTAACTTTGCGATCCTCAATAACTTTCTACTATACTATGAGTGAACAAGCTAAGGTATCAAGTCAGAAAAGGTAGGAGACTTATTGAGTTAGAGTGTTTCGATAGCGAAAGCAATATATCGAAGAATAAGAGTACTCAAGGTCCTTAACTAAACTTTAGTAACAAGGGTTAAGAGTATACCTAAATTATAGTTAAGATCCTACCTGAGAGTCTTAAATAAACTAACTTCTAGAATCTTTCTATTCTTTCCACCATGTCTTGACGCTATCCCAGTTGTCAGGACTAGTCTCCGTCCAAGCTTAACTCGACACCCACCAGGCAGGATCAGAACGAGGCACAAACGCCATGTAGATTTACCTTGGATATCTCAAAATTCATGATATCTCTTCACATATCGTCTACTGTGAAGATGGAAAGGTCGCTTCCGCCGGACTCGAGGTCCATTCAGTGCTGGCAACCGCTGACTCGCCAGCCTTTCACATGCTGAGCTATTTGTGGCCTTGGGCTCGGACATCTCATTGAGCTATTGTACTTTTCCTGGCCAAAATCTGCCTCTCTTCACTGCGTCTTCCTCCCAAGCAAAATCATGTGCAAACACGAGCTCGACCTGTGCCCGCGCTGCTTCTCCATCCAATTCGATCCCGTCTTTCGTGACAGCGCGCAATCGAGCAAGATTCTCCTTGGCTGTGGGAATATCCACGTGTATGCAGCAATGTTTGCCGGTCTCGTCGGTCCAAGTTGCAATGTCTCTCTCACCAGTAAGGAGTCTGACATCGTGGCAGGCGTCCCCTGCCATGATGATAAACTTTGTCGAAGACAATCGGCACAGGAGGTTGATATGTCCAGGAAGATGGCCAGGTGAGTTCACAATGTAAAGGCTACCATCGTTGAAGAAATCGATAGCTTCTGGAAAGGGCCCAAGACGCTTCCACTTAAACTGAGCATGATTTGGTGACGGGTTATCGCTTACTTCGGGTGGTGGCAGTTCTATCGTTCGTTCGAGAGGGAGGAGGTCCGACTCAAAGACCATATGCTTGCCAAGATCATGTTTGGTCTTCCCGTTCAGCAGATCAAGGGCACCGTGCCCGACAATAAATTTCGTTTTCTTGTTGGTGAAATCACGAGGCATGCCGACATGATCATAATGGACGTGACTAAACATAACGTAGTCAATATCGTCCACAGACAAGCCGCCTATTGCCAACGAAGCAACCGGATCAGGGTCTGTTGATATCGGTTGGCGGCTGGTTAAGTGGGATTCTAATGCTGCTGGGTATAGGCTGAGATCTCGGCGCATACCCAGGTCGAAGACAATTCGGGTTGTCTTTCCGCTCCTTGCATCCTTGTGCTGAACGAGGAAGGACAGCGACGGCACAGTCCGTCTGGCATCTGGGTCTGCCGGTTTGACAAAGAATCGCTCGGGTATCGTAAGATGGCCTGCACCCAGGGCATGAGCTGTGACAGTAGCCATACCTTGTGAGTAGTAGAGATCCTGAGTCGCTGATCACCTTCAAGGACGGGAGCAGGGTTTAAAGGCGAGATTGAAGTAGGTCTGTAGCCTGAGGCCAACATTTACTCAATTAGAAGACCCCCACACCGATTCCGGCCAGAGGTAGACAGCTTTAAATCATCGCAGATTTGGTGTCTCCGAGGCAGAGAACAGTGCCTTTCCCCGCACGTTGACAGGTCTAAAGTTACTGGTAGTGTCGACAGAGCTCGCCGTGGCGAATGAGGGGAAGTTTTGACGACCTTCCCCAGATTTTCGGCCAGTGGACTTGTAGTGCTTGGGAGTAGCTCCGTCGACCGAAAAAGACTTGAGAGCCTCGTGAAAGACCTGGAAACTCAATGGATAAGGCTCACTATCCGGGAGCTTTAGCTTCGCGTGTCCTAGGATATATTGTCGTGCTCAGGCTTTGACTGCTGGATCAGCCCATGCGGATGTCGCGATTGATCCGACATTTCCGTCTCGTTGTTGTTGACTGAGGTTGGATGCCGACACGGTAGAGCGTGTCCAGACATCTCATTGATCAAGATTTCGGCTTGTTGCGCTGCTTGCTGGCTACACTTGGTGGTACAAACTGTAATGAAGACATGGATGCTGCCAGGTCACTGATTGTAGCATCCGAGACAGCCTTGCCTGACCTAAAATTGCCGTCTTCCTGCCGTTTTTGATTTTGCTTTGACGGTGCCTCGTGATTGCTTTCGGGTGGTACAGGGACGGGATCAACCCTGCTGGTATTTGAGTCTGCTTCTGACTGCCGTCTACGACGGCCCCTTGCTTGTACAAGGTCATCGGCTGTCGATACTCTTCTCCGACGACCCTCCTGGAGCATAGATGCCGACTTGTCAATCCCGGTGTCCACGATTCGAAAGTTGTAGATCTTGGGGAAAAGGTGCTTGTCGATCAGATGCAGCCTTCTCTTCTGTGGTGTTGAGCATTTTTTGTCGCAGTCCTCGACGAAGCAGGCATACGTCTTCTCACCTTTCGCCTGCAGAACTTCACGAAAGGTGTTGTGATTTTCGTCAATATGCAAAGCTAGAAAATGAGCAGTGGGAAAGTTTTTGCCGCATGAAGTACAGCGATTGGAGTGATCCTTGACATAATGAGTCTCAAAGTCTTCAATAGAAGCAAAATCAAGGGGCTCTCGGTGAGGCGATAATGAGCACTGCATGGCACCTTTGGAAGGGGAGCAGCCCTTCATTTCGACTGCATTCAATTTCGCATGATGAAGAGAGTTGGTGTCTTCATCCACAATGAGCTCGGCTGAGGCTACCGAGGAGTCGCGAGACCGCTTGACCATGGCGGTGTAAGATCGCTTAGAGTATGGGGAGTTTGTGTCAGCCACGTACGCTAGGATGTCGATTACCTGCAGGATCTGAGGATAGCATAAGGGTGCAGTCGGCCGATGCCGGTTCCAGCGATCATCAGCAGAAGCCGAGTCTATCGTAGTAGTTGGAAAGTTGATTGCAGAGAAACAAGGAGTGACAAAATTCCCAATGGCAAGGATCAGGCTGGCGCAAGTACGAGAAAAGAAGAAAGGCAAAGATTGTTTGGTGCTCAGGTAGATTCTCACCAGTCTGATTGTAGCCTAGAAGCACTTCTCCTCGCGGCCATTTGAGGGGTCTTATTGGCTACACAAGGCGCGGCGTCACTTCACCTTCTCCCCCTTGTCTCTGCCTCGTGCACCGGAAACAACCAGATCATCGCGCTATGAGTCTGTCAACCTTCAGGGACAACCTTTGCATCCACTCCTTCGTGTTTCATGTTGGCACTCGATGATGCAAACACCTGATTCTCCCAGTTGCACAACCAAAGTACAGAGGATAGCCTGTCCGACTTGTCCTCCGTCTGACCTGACACTCCTCGCGGCTAACCGATCTAACCATCACCTTTCTCCACGAGCCAACGGAGATACTCCCCAACGACAGTAAGCGAGAGTTTCTGAAAGCACTCAACGAAAAGACTCTTTGTCCGGTGGCCTACTACCACGAGCACTGTCGCGCAGGTAGCCGGTCAGTGGCTTCGTCAGACACGCAAGCCACCCCGGGACTCTCCTTTGTCTGGTTGTGGTATCTCCTCAAGACACGAAATGTTGGACCTCTGAAAGAAGAAGAGTGAATTGTTTTTGTCCTCCACTGCTGTGCATGGTGTGACATCCTGAAAGAGAAGATGTTGGCCACAAAGTCGCCCTACACTGCGTCTGCGATTCCCTCCAACACCCAACAAATACCTGGTCGAACGTTCTCCGAAGGCACCCAGAGAACGCAGATGTCCTCGCTGGCTCTACAGGACGAACTATTCACATCCCCAACCAACTCTGAATTTTCCGACGTGTACGATGGCCTCGACTCGATCCGAGCATGGGACGAGAAGAAAGTTGGAGAATGGCTACACAGTATCCGCTGCGGACAATATGAATCGTTGTTCAGGGCCAACAACTTCACCGGTGAAAGTCTGCTAGAGTGTGACCCGAAGATACTGTCCGAACTGGGAATCAAAAAGATTGGAGATCGTGTCCGAATCAATGTGGCCATAAAACAACTACGAAACAAGTCGTCTTTATCACGGACGAAGAGAAATAGGGATTCACTTGCCATTCTCGATGGCTTTGCGGGTACCCCGTCATCCTCGGATTCTCCTCGCACTCAGGGGTCGAGGTCGCAACTTGGAAGTGCGAAGAGGTTCTCCCGTCAAATAGACCCTTCTGCACTGCAAAACTTTGCCGCCGCCAGTGGGGGCTTCAAGAGTGGTTCGCGGCCGAGCTCGCCCCTGGCCGATGTCCATAGCGCGGCCTTGCGTGCTCATCGTTATGCTGGGAGTCCAATGGAAACTGCAAGAAATACTCAGACCACGGGGTACTTCAGTCAGCCGGGTTCGGCCAATTCGACGTCTGGGAAGCGGCCGGAAACGCCTCAGATCGCAGTCCAACCAGCCAGGACCACTCACATGCGCCAGGCTTCCAGTATCGATGGTCTGACGCCAGGTGGATTGCCGGCTGGGTCACCGGTCATTAAGATTATCCACGGCGACGGCCAAACGAAGGTTATCAATATCAAATTCTGTAGGACAGCGGATGATGTGACCTCGACCGTGCTGAAGAAGCTGCTCATGCCAGAGACTCACTTTCGGAATTACTGCTTCTATGTCCTTACTGGCCTAGAACCAAATCCCGGCAATTGCCGCCGACTCAGCGATGCTGAGCTTATGAAAATCTGTGGCGACTCGACGCGATCCGAGAGGAACAGATTGATTCTGCGGAAAATCAACGATGGACTTCCCAATTCTGAAGAGTTGCGCAAGGCTGCAAAATTGGCTTCTGACGAGTCACTTGTTCTGCACAACAATGCGTTAAGCACGAACAACATGCGAAATCAGATCAAGCTCCAAAAGCTGACGGGAGAATCATGGCATCACATCCAAGCTCCCATGTCCCCGGTCACCACAACCGACCGCAACCGAAATATTATGGCTACTGCGGACGACAACGAACGACAAGAGGCACAACAGCATCTCAGAATCCCGAGTAATCAGAGCACCAAATTGCGGTCGTTCTATGGTGCCCGACCTCCAAGCGAGATGATCATCGAGGATGTCGGATCATATTTCCCGGCACAAAAGCGAGAGGATATCGAAAAGACCATGAGAATGTCTGTCCGGCGGTCCCAGCGCATGAGTCGAGCTCAAAGTCGATTGAGCGTCATGAGCAATGCCAGCTATGCTTCCAGCTTGAAAGACGCCCCCCCTGTTCCGAGCATTCCCAGCATTGCCGACTCGTGGCTTGCCGTGGGCGAAAAGGCAGGATTGGGAGGAGCGCGGACGTCTAGCCTCCGACCACTCTCTGTGATATCGACACGATTCAACTTGCCAACGTCCTCTTTTCGCGACTCCATAGCCTCTTCGACCCTTCATCCACTGCAAGAAGAGTCTCCACAGGAGCCAAACAGAAGGTCGTATGTGTCGTTCAACAGCAGTTCCGACTCTGCTTCAGCAAGAAATCTAGATCGAGCTAGCTACCTAGACGACAGTAGCCTAGGCCCGGAAACCATCAACCATCGCTTGTCCGTCATTGTCGCTGAAGATGGAGAGGAAGAGGACCAAGAGTTGACCTCTTTCCTCCGGGGCAACAGCTTCGGCAAAGACAACTGGATGAAAGGCGATCTCATTGGCGAGGGCTCGTTTGGTAGCGTCTATCTCGCCTTGCATGCCGTCACGGGCGAACTCATGGCCGTCAAGCAGGTCGAACTGCCCAACGTGGCCAAAGGCACGGAGGGAGACAAGAAGAAGGCGTTGATGATTTCCGCCCTCAAACAAGAAATCACTCTGCTCCAGGGCTTGCGCCATCCTCATATCGTGCAGTATCTTGGCACATCTTCGGACGAAGACCACTTGAACATCTTCCTGGAGTATGTCGCTGGCGGCTCCATCGCAGGAATGCTCAAGCAGTACAACACCTTCCAGGAACCTCTGGTCCGCAACTTCACGCGTCAGATCCTCGAGGGTCTGTCGTACCTTCACGCCCAAAATATTATCCACAGAGACATCAAGGGCGCCAATATCCTGGTGGACAACCGTGGCGCCGTCAAAATTTCCGATTTTGGTGTGTCCAAGCAGACTAACTTCAGCGGTATGAACACCGCGCCGGGAACGCGCACCTCGCTGCAAGGAAGCGTGTTCTGGATGGCGCCGGAAGTCGTGAGGCAGAGCGGCCAATCCATTAAGTCGGATATTTGGTCTGTTGGGTGTCTGATCGTCGAGATGTTCACGGGCTCGAGGCCCTTCCCGTCCATGACGACGCTTCAGACCCTCTTTGCTGTGGGCAGTAACAATGAGAAGCCGAGCATTCCGGAAAACGCAAGCGAGGATGCGAAGAAGTTCATGAATAAGACTTTCGAAGCCGATCACGAGAAGAGGCCGGGCGCAGACGAGTTGCTCAAGGAGAAATTCTTGCTGCCTATGGCTTGAGTAAAACGGGCGTTATGATCTGAGGTTGAGCTTGTCGTAGTAGTACAGGTCACTTCGTTGGTATGAAGAGGTTGGAGCTGGACCGTTGATGATGACTGATTTCCTTAGCTTTGTATTATGTATACCATTACATGACCACTGTGCGTGGGGTGGAAAGATAGGAAGGAGCCTCTCAATGAAGACCATCTCGCTGATATATATCGGCGTTGGTACCACACGCTCGCTTTGGCCTCCTGGTATTCTACGTTGCTATGAGTTGCAATGATTATAATCACGAATTCCATGCTATGATTTATGATAAAGCTTCCTGAAAGCTGAGTGACTACTGTGCCTTAGCATGTTATTTACTACAGCACATCTACAATCACCAATTCATGGAGGATTCCGGAAGAGCAAGGCTCATTCATTGTCTTTTCAGGTCATATTGGCCGCACATTGGAACTTCTACTGGGGTCGGATAGTTGCCCGAACAGACGCTCGCTAAGTGCATTCAACGTGGTCGTCATATCTCAGGACAGGTCCATAGGAAGTGCCAGTTTCTGCGTTTGAGACTGAGGAGACGATAACACAGGATGTTCCTCGTTCTCCACGCCATTTGGCACCGCTTGGCCCCCATTGACCTCTTTTGCCCTCGGAGCGACATCAATGGTGTCCAGAACAGGGTGTCCAATATTAGGCTGCACCTGCTTGAGCGGATCTGGCACCTGCAGGTCTTTGTTGAAAACCTTGCCATTGATCAGTTGCTGTGGCTGTGGAGGCGGTGGTTGTATTTCATCTGCGTTGGTCGCCCCTTCACCCTTTCGATACCTGAGCTGCACTACTAAGCTCCCCTGAGTGTTGTCGTCTTCTGCCAACTCATCAGCGTCGAGTCCTTCGTCACTCATCTCGTCATCGTCGTCATCTTCGTCCTCCGCGTCGAAGTCTGGTTCCGACGCATCAAGTTCGTTCTCGTCTCCACTCCACTCCTTGCCTGTCGATTGCGCCTCGTCGCTAGCTGACTCCTCGCCGTTGGTATATTGATGTTGCACCGCTTTGACCGGTCTACCAGACCTTGATGTGCGTACCGACCGGCCATTCGGAGCTGTAGTTGGCATGTCCTCGTCCGACTCGGTAAAGTGTCCCTCACCATCTACTCGTTCGAGCTCCTTTCGCTGATCTATTAACATCGTTTCGCCGTACATTCCGCCTACTCTTGATTTGACTTGTCTGCCACTGGCAGTAATGGTCGGTCCAGCATCGGCGGGCGTAGAGATTCGTGTCGACCGCCTACTGGACAGACCGTCGGAGCCAAATTCATCATCTGAGTATGTATATCTCGTCCTCTTACCCCGTGTTCGCCCTTCATAGAGGGAAAAGCCAGGTTCGGGTCGCGTGAATGCCGCTTTTCGGGCAAGTCGGTAGTCACGCCGTCGGCGTTTCTGGTTGCCAGTCAGCAAATGAAAGCAACATGACCGTAGGGTTGATGTACCTCTTCGCCTGCTTCAAATCTTGGTATTGCCTGCCTCAGTTTATCACTGATGACTTTGGAGTTCTGCCCATGTTCCTCCGCGAATTTGTCTGCCAAAGAGTTTACCTCCTCAATAGACCCCGCGACACTGAACCACGTGTTTGTTTTCGCAGTCCTCCCGTCATTCTCCCTATATATTCGAAAATATGAATCTTCCAACCCTTCGATCAGCCAGTATTTGCGACGGTATTGGTCCGAGAACCACGGCTGCACACTTCGGGGCTGATTTTTGTCGTCGTCGCGTCGCGTTTGTTTATAGGATTCTTTGATGAGGCCTTGCACAACCTCTGAAGAGTTAAGTGACCACAGAGCGAGGGCTTTCAAGATATATAACTATACCCCGTCAGTAAAGCGGACGTTGTTGTGAGCATGAGATTCTTTACCCGTTCTTCTGGTGTCATATTGTTGAAGTTTTTCCCGCCACGAAGGGGATTCACACCTTTCCAAACGGTTGGCCACTGATTTTGATTCGATGACATAGCCTCTTCAAAAGCCTTGCCATAATGAGCGCGCCTGTTACCAAGATTAGACCCGTTTCTGCAAGGACTTGACAGCGCAGCTGCGGTATTGTATGTGTTTGAGCAGGGTGACTGACTCGACATCTTTCTTTCTGTTCAAAACGAGCCCCAGTAGGTTACATAGTAACCTTTCCACCTGCTCGTCTGGCAGATCCCCTGAGATACCTCTTTCGATGTCTTGCGGCCCAAAGTGCAGGAGGCTCTTGGGAAATGCTTCGTGGAATCGCGCTCGAAAGGCCACAATGAATGCGATAGCGTCATTGTCGGCGAATGTGTAGTCATGCGGAGGTGAGGGTGCGCGTTTTGGGGGCTCTGGACTATGTTCTTGCTTTGGGGCTGGCTTGAAGTAACGGTCCAGTCCCACAGGTTTTGACATCTTCCGAACCATCTCCTCATCGTCGGAGGATGGCGCCGACGAGAGGGATGAGGAGTCCGAATCGGTCATAATGTGGTCGTGGCTTATGGTCGCGTAGATTAATATGTTCAGTGAGGATTAATGAAGGCAGGACATCGAGCGGTAAGGGCAAATGGCAGGTGCTGGCAAATTGACTTGGCGCGTTTCCAGAAAGCCTAAGGTACGCGTTGAACTACTATAGTATTTAAGGTACTAGTACGTCGACCGTCGGTGAGCCTTGCGCACAGTTTCTCTGCTGGAATGCCCTCGACTACCTAGTGCTTGTTGCACTAGCAGCGCCTTCCTCAAAGATCCTCGTGTCCATGTTGTAGATATCTTCGCCGTAGGAGTTGGGTGTCGCGAGCCGTTGTAGGCTTTTCCATCATTCATGCTCCCCAAGAACTCCTGCGCCAAGCACGATCAGCTTCGCTTGGAATTGCCTGCTCTTAACCACATCCTGCCACGCACTGGTGTCGAAACGGTCGTGCGCGCCATCTCGATGGGCATTCCCGGTCCTCGTCTGTCTGGATTGGCTTCACAACCAGGGGGGATGCGCTGAGTCTCACAACGAGCCAGGCTTTCAGGAATTCGCAGCTCGACGGTCGTGCGGGGTTCTCCGCCTAATCCTCAGCTTTTGGCAGACACTTGCCTCATGATTCTGTGACTGGATGACACTGCCATGGGGATGTTTCCACTCCAAAGTTTTGCTCAGGTTCGTTGTAAACCGCACAATTTCCAACCTTCCTGCCACCTACCCACCGTAGCCAGACGGGGCCGGGAAATTTCAGCAACGCCAATCGCTCAGATGCTGCAATGGCGTAGTTCGGACAATCTGTAGAACCCGTATCCCAGGCTTGCCGAGGTTCGGCTAAGGATCCCGTTTGAAAGGATTTTCACTCCTTCATTGCATGCAGACGCCTGGTCGGACAGTCGATTGCGTGGTCCCAACAAGGTGCATTTCGGCGGACAATCGCGAACCCAGAGGCACCTCGATGTATCTGCGATGTTGCAGATGATATTCTCAAATGTGTAGAGAAACCAAGAGTAAGAAGTCAGACACTTACGGTCTTGCAGCTGCAGGTGCCTGTCTCAAATAGACTGCATTCTTAATGCACTTACCGCTAAGGGAAACACAGGCTGTTGCTTCGGGGTCCTGTACATGGTGCTCACAATTTGCTACGTCTCTAGCCGATGTTTGCAGTGTTGCAGAAAGTGAATAATTGGTGGAAGAGGTGATGTAGTTGATGATAAGCAGTGGATGAGGTCGAAGTTGTTGTTGCTACACGTGACATGACGCTTGGCAGAAGAAAGCCACTAAACTCGATTGGGGCGCACACGAAATCCTGGCGGGCCACATTCCTCTCGATCTTCAATTTCAGTCGATTGATTGCAAGTCTCGTTGTCTTCATCTTAACCATCAACATCCTTCAACGATGGGTCGAGTTATCCGCAACCAGCGTAAAGGTCGCGGATCGATCTTCAGTCAGTCATTGCTGTCCCTGTCGCCGGTGTTCAATCAGCTAATCGTTGTGCTATAGCCTCGCACACGAGACTGCGCAAGGGCGTTGCTCAGTTCCGAACTCTCGATTTCGCCGAACGACACGGATACATTCGAGGTATCGTGAAGGAAATCATCCATGATCCAGGTCGTGGTGCACCGCTCGCTCGCGTAGCTTTCAGAGATCCGTACTCTCCCAAAACCCGAACCGAAACATTCATCGCAAACGAAGGTCTTTTCACCGGACAATTCATCTACGCTGGCAAAAATGCCGCCCTGAACATCGGCAACGTTCTTCCTCTCGGCCAAGTCCCCGAGGGTACTGTTGTCTCAAACGTGGAGGAGAAGACTGGTGACCGAGGCGCTTTGGGACGAACTTCTGGAAACTATGTCACCGTTATTGGACACAACCCTGACGAGGGTAAGACGCGAGTCAAGCTCCCAAGTGGTGCGAAGAAGGTTGTTCTCAGCTCAGCCCGAGGTATGATTGGTATCGTTGCAGGAGGTGGACGAACAGACAAGCCGATGCTTAGTACGTGGACCTGAATGACATGGACGATCCGGACATTTCGCTAACAAAATACTACAGAGGCATCCCGCGCAAAGCATAAGTTCGCCGTCAAGCGCAACTCGTGGCCCAAGACTCGTGGTGTTGCTATGAACCCTGTCGACCATCCTCACGGTGGTGGTAACCATCAACATATCGGAAAGGCTTCCACCATCTCCAGATACGCTACCCAAGGTCAAAAGGCCGGTCTTATTGCTGCCCGAAGAACTGGTCTGCTCCGTGGTACCCAGAAGACAAAGGATTAAATGTGATCATTGGCTTAGCTCTTACTATCGGCGTGTATTTGTTACGGCTAGGATTCACATGAAGCTATGGGACGGATGATCCAGCTGCTGGATATCAATTCTCAAAAGGATGCATTTTCTTGCGGGAATGCTAGGGAATTAGATGTGCCATTTTCCAATGCCACGAATCGACAGAACCATGACGGAAAGAAATACTCTTGAAGATGTCCTTCATAAGAATCAAAAATCAGGCAAATGCTCCGTCACTCTGTCTGCCAATATTCATACGTTTGTCTTTGCGCAATAATGATCAAATTTGCTTGTATGCATAGTCGGCCTGTAGCCGCGCCTGGGATGTCGCATGCCGGATCCTGTGTTAGTGGTACAGCACCACACCAATATTGGGGTTTGAGAGGCCATTGACGACTAAGAGGTCGAAAGAGCGGCCAGATGCCTGGGCATAAAATGGGTGCAAAGTTAAAATAGTGCAGCATCAGGCACAAGGCTTAAGTTACCCCATTACCGGCGTCTCGTGGCGTCGTGTCTCGGAGGCGCAGAGTTTGAGGTCAGGGGCAGGGTGCAAGGTCCATTGGTAGGCGTTATCGGGAGTCCTCTTCTTCAAGGGACTGGCCCTGATGGGAATTTGTTGCGTTTGCGCGTCGTCACTGTCGTTGTTTCCAAGCGTTATCAACGCCTGCGTCTTGAGTCTTGGGCACTCCTGTTAATCCATCACTCCATTTCATGTCTGATTCTGCTAGGGCATACAATCGTTTTAGCATTTTCTATTTTGGCGCCGCTCACGTTTGATCGGCCTGACTCTCTTTCCGTCGTTTGTTCAGCCCTTTCAGCATTCCAATTGAACGTCGCGCGGGTGTCAGACGAACCCGGATAGTCCGTTGCTGCTCACCGCGGAACACAACACTCGCTCTCCTACATCTATAACCCTCGCGTCGTCTTACACCTGTTCTCCTTCTATTCAATCATCATTGGCACAGGTTGCAATCATGAATGTCAACAAGAAACTCGATCGTTTCAAGCAATGGGCGGGAGAGCGCATGGGAGGAGAGGTGAAGACCAGCGTCTCGGACGATTTCAAGGCCCTGGAGGTGGAAATGGGTCTACGACAAGAAGGTGGGCGGATTCCGATACCCATTGCGAAAATGCGTGTGGACAGTCTCTTACTTATCGTGTATAGGCCTGGATAAGATGCAAAAGTCTATGAACGCGTACGTCAAAGCGATATCAAAGAGGTCTGAAGTCGAGGACAAGGAGAAAACACTGCCGATCGCTTATATGGGAGGAACCATGATATCGCATGGCGAAGACTTTGAGCCCGACTCTGAATTCGGTCAATGCCTTACCAGTATGTCGCGTTTCGAAAGCATCTCGTTCATATACTGACTTGTGCACAGCGTTCGGCCGAACACAAGAAAGGCTGGCTCGCGCCCAGGAAGTATATATCGCGAGTGCCACTTCCTCGTGGCTTGAGTCCCTGGAGAGGTCATCGGCCCAGATGAAAGAGTTCCAGGCCGCGCGCAAGCGACTCGATTCACGGCGACTGGCTTACGACACATCACTCGCCAAAATGCAGAAAGCAAAAAAAGAAGATTTCCGGGTCGAAGAGGAATTGCGCAACCAAAAGGTGAAATATGAGGAGTCAGCCGACGACGTTCAACGCAGAATGGAAGACATCCGTGACGCGGATCCCGAAATGGTAGCGGATCTTGGTACTTTCCTTGACGCCGAACTGGCATATCACGACAAGTGCAGAGAGGCTTTGCTCCAGCTCAAGAGCGAATGGCCTGCAAGGTTAGTCCTGTCCTGGATTTCCATGTCAGAGCGCCCTCCGTTAACGGCATGTTGCAGGTCACAACCTCAATACCGGGGTTCTCGACCAAACCCACGATCCAGGTCCAATACAGTCAGATCATATGCTGAGCCGGTCGAGGAGCCATCTCCGATTGTCGAAGTTCGTCCTTCTATCAGATCCGGTCGGGCACAGTCGGCCAGATTCGGAGACCAGATGCATGAATATTCTCCAGGGGTCTCGCCACGGCCAAATTTTGCCAGATCGACCACATATGACCCTGTGAATAGGGACATGTCTCCGGCCAACATGGGCCGCATGGCGCGTGTGCCGAGTGATTCACTCATGATACGCACCGCACGCTCGCAACTTCGTAACGTTGAGGAACAGGATGTCTTTGCCGATGATTCAGGGTCGTACACTAACAGCAGCCCTGATCATGGCTACGGAGACCTAGCTACATCACCTGCAACATCTCATGGAAGTGGGACGCTTACGCCTGTGACAAGTAGAAAGAGCAGCGCACCACCACCACCTCCGCCATCTCGTGCAAAGAAGCCACCTCCACCCCCTGTGCCCGCCAAACGAAGCGTTTTGACATAGATATACGAATGAATACAAGATATCCCATTTCATGCCAGGGGTTGGAAATCCTCCTGGCTATGGTCCGGTGGTCAGGCGTTCGAGCGGGAGGCGGTCAATTTGCTAGGATCGAGCATGACTTTTGGGCAGAAATGACACGGTGTTGAGCCTCAATTGGACTCTGGTTGTATAAGGACATTGAACATATCATGAAACCCTCAGTTGCACAGCTTTCTCTGCATAGGCTGCTTTCACCTATTAGTGCTAGCATTATGGTTATTGGGGAGAGCAATGGACAAGCCGCCCTCGTCGCGTACACAGTACATATCACGTGAGAGACTAGTGGTCTTGGCAGCTCTAGCTTGATTTCACTCGTAAGCCGCTCGTCGAAGTTTGCCCCGTGTCACTCCCTCGTTGCGTTTCCGAACGTGAAGCCCCTCCAGGTCTGAAAATCATCACCAACGCGTCGCAACCATCGCTTTTCATCTCAACCAGACATTTCACGGCCGCTGACCAATTTGAGGAGTGCGCCAAAGCGCGGCATCCCACTCCTCGTCCCCTCATTTAGGCAACCTCAGGCCAACCACCCCGATTCCATCGAGAGGTCACCAGGAGTCGATCTCTTGTTGATTGCGCCAAGTTTAACCATCGTCGCGAGGCTGTCCCAATCCCCGCCGATCTGTAGCCAACAACATTCTATCAGCGTGACTTAGATGCTCAATCATACCTCACGTCAATTACCTTGACCCAAGGTTGTCTGAACCGGGCAAAGTCACCACCAGGTGATCGGACACCATGGCTTCCGTTCAGTCTGCGCCGGCCATGCAGACCTCTTCACTACCACCCAATCTCTCCCAATCACAGGTTCAAGAAGTCTATCAGGTAAGTGATTGTTCCGAGACATTTCGATTTAGCACAACAAGCTTTCGACGCGCTTCTTCAGTCGTGTTACACTTCACTAACAGATTCACAGAAATTCCAGCGCATGAAGGCCCAAAATGTCCCCGAAACCGATCCAGAGTACCTCAAAGCACATCGATTCCTCACTGCGGTCCAACAACAACAGAATTATCGTAAGATGGCTGCATTGCAGGCCCAGAAACAACAACAACAACTCCAAGCTCAGCAGCAACAGCAGCCAACTCCCCAACCAGTGTCACACCCCCAACAGAATGGACAGCAGATTAATGGCAATGTGACTGCTCCTCCATCGAACGGAACGAGCAGTGGCCAACAGGAGCCTGCCGCTGTGGTCGTCAACGGCGCATCTGTCGCAGCCAACCCTCCTGCCACGCCGACAAATGCCCAAAACTCCGGATCACAATCTCAGCGAGTCGTGGCACAGGCTAACGGCAGCTTCACACCCGAGCAACTGAACCTGTTACGGACCCAAATTTATGCGTTCAAGATGCTCTCAAAGAATCTGGCATTGCCTGCGAAGCTACAACAACAGCTCTTCCCGTCGTCTAAACAACAGGCTTCAGTGACAATTGACAGCGCCTCCGTTGTTGAGAAAGCCGATAGCATAGCAGAACAGAAAGAGATCCTGTCGAAAGAACTTATTGCACAAGCGAAGGTCTATTTTGACTCTTATCAGTCACCTTATGACCTTCTGCACAAGACGATAAGCCTCGCAGATCACTCCCAGCGCGCCAAGCGGCAGAAGATCCCCAGCATCTTGCCGATTGGTATCGATATTGACCAGGTCCGAGAAGAGCAAGAGCGGCTTATGTATAACCGCATTCAGGCTCGTAAAACCGAGCTTGCCTCTCAATCCGTGAATCTTGCTGCCTGGGACACTAGCAAGTCTTCCGAGCCACAAGCCGATGATTCCCTGAAGATCAAGGCTCTGATCGAGTTGAAGAAACTGTCCTTGTTACAAAAACAACGGGACTTTAGACGCGAGATCCAACAAGATCTGTTCTACTGTGATAACCTTGCCATGACGGCCAATCGCTCGATGCACCGTAGGATGAAGAAGCAGTCACTGCGCGAAGCTCGGATTACCGAAAAGCTCGAGAAGCAACAACGAGATGCAAGAGAGAACAAAGAGAAAACCCGACAAACGAATCACTTGCAATCCATCATTGCTCACGGTCAAAACATCCGCAACAACGCTGTTCTGCAACGCACTCGCGTGCAGAAGCTTGGACGCATGATGGTTTCGCATCACCAGCATATGGAGCGCGAAGAACAGAAGCGTATCGAGCGGACGGCCAAGCAGCGTCTGCAGGCTTTGCGAGCGAACGACGAAGAGACCTATCTCAAACTTCTTGGACAAGCCAAAGATTCTCGTATTACTCATCTGCTCAAGCAGACCGATGGTTTCTTGAAGCAGCTTGCCGCATCTGTCAAACAGCAGCAGCGAAGTGCAGCGGAGAAATGGGGAGGCGATGACTATGTCGAGGAAGAAGATGAAGATATCGAAGGCTCTGATGATGAAGAAGGCGAAGGCCGTGAAAAGGTCGACTACTATGCCGTGGCGCATCGCATCAAAGAAGAGGTTAATGTACAGCCTTCGATCCTTGTTGGTGGCACCTTGAAAGAATACCAGATCAAAGGTCTCCAGTGGATGATTTCGCTCTTCAACAACAACCTCAACGGTATCCTGGCTGATGAGATGGGCTTGGGCAAGACTATCCAGACTATCAGCTTGATCACATATCTTATCGAAAAGAAGAACCAAAGAGGCCCCTTTTTGGTCATCGTTCCACTCAGCACCCTGACCAACTGGAACCTCGAATTCGACAAGTGGGCTCCCAGCGTGAAGAAGATTGTGTACAAGGGCCCCCCAAACACCCGAAAGGCAAACCAAATTGATATTCGAAATGGGAATTTCCAGGTGTTGTTGACCACTTACGAGTACGTGATCAAGGATCGACCAGTGCTCAGTAAGATCAAGTGGGTGCATATGATTGTCGACGAAGGCCATCGTATGAAGAATGCGAATTCCAAACTCAGCAGCACCATTACACAATATTACACAACGCGATTTCGGCTTATCCTTACCGGCACACCTCTGCAAAATAATCTTCCTGAGTTGTGGGCACTTCTCAATTTCGTTCTTCCAACCATTTTCAAGTCGGTAAAATCTTTCGACGAATGGTTCAACACTCCTTTCGCTAATACCGGTGGACAAGACAAGATGGAATTGAGCGAAGAAGAACAATTGCTCGTCATTCGTCGTCTTCACAAGGTGTTGCGGCCGTTCTTGCTCCGTCGTCTCAAGAAGGACGTGGAGAAAGATTTGCCCGACAAGCAGGAACGTGTCGTCAAATGCAGATTCTCGGCCTTGCAGACCAAGCTCTACATGCAACTAATGACGCACAACAAGCTCGCTGTCACTGACGGAAAGGGTGGCAAGACCAGTATGCGCGGTCTTAGTAACATGTTGATGCAGCTGAGAAAACTGTGCAACCACCCCTATGTGTTTGAGCCTGTTGAGGAACAGATGAACCCTGGTAAAGGCACGAATGATTCTATCTGGCGTACAGCTGGTAAATTTGAGCTACTCGACAGAGTTCTACCGAAATTCCTCGTCACAGGACATCGAGTCCTGATGTTCTTCCAGATGACTCAGATCATGAACATCATGGAGGACTTCTTACGACTTCGTGGCATTCAGTATCTTCGACTTGATGGAGCGACCAAATCTGAAGACCGATCTGAACTCCTTCGGCTCTTCAACGAACCTGGCTCGCCATATTTCTGCTTCTTACTCTCGACCCGTGCTGGTGGCTTAGGCCTCAATCTTCAGACTGCAGACACCGTCATCATTTACGATTCGGACTGGAATCCCCATCAGGATTTGCAAGCCCAAGATCGTGCGCATAGAATTGGCCAGAAGAATGAAGTGCGAATATTACGACTTATCAGCTCTAATTCCGTCGAAGAGAAGATCTTGGAACGAGCGCAATTCAAACTGGACATGGACGGCAAGGTCATCCAGGCTGGTAAATTCGACAACAGATCTACCAACGAGGAACGTGACGCCTTCTTGAAGACTCTTCTCGAATCAGCTGAAGCTGCAGAGCAAGTTGGAGAATCTGAAGAGATGGATGATGATGATCTCAACGAGATTATGGCTCGTACAGAAGACGAGTTGACCCTATTCAAGAAAATGGACAAGGACCGTGAGACGGACGACAAGTACGGTCCAGGCCGGCGTCTGCCTCGCTTGATGGGTGAAGACGAGCTCCCAGACATCTACGTGGCGGAAGACAATCCTGTACCAGAGGAGAAAGAAGAGTACGCTGGTCGTGGCGCTCGCGTCAAGACCCAAGTCAAATACGACGACGGGCTTACGGAAGAACAATGGCTTGCAGCCGTCGATGACTCAGATGACTCTATTGGTGAAGCAGCGAAGCGCAAAGCCGCCCGCATTGAGAAGAGACGGACCAACAAGGCGAAGCGTGAGCGTGCTGCTGGAGACCCCGAATCGTCACCGGACCCAGAGGCGGAGGGTGAGAGTTCGGACGAAGAACCTGAACCCGAACCTCTACCCCAGCCGAAGAAGGGCCGCCCTCGCAAATCAGCTGGACAGAAGCGCAAAGGTGATGACATTGAAGAGGAAACCCCTCCTGTGAAGCGCAAGCGTGGCAGGCAACCCAAGGCTATCGATACGCTCCCACCCTCCGACCGCAATGCTCTGCAGAAGGCGCTGAAGACGGTTGCTGAGTCGATCAAAGCGCTGGAGGTTCCTGATTCGGACCCAGAAGATCAATCGGATGACAGCGATGACGACGGACCACCCACTCGCTTGATCATCGGTCCGTTCTTGGAGCTTCCACCGAAGAAATTGTATCCAGACTATTACACTTTCATCCAGGACCCAATTGCCATGGACATGATCGAGAAGCGCATCAACAACCACCAGTACACGAGCTTGAATGAACTGAGCAGAGACGTTGCACTTTTAGCCAAGAACGCCAAAACATACAACGAAGACGGCAGCATGTTATACAATGATGCGGTTGCAATTGAGGTAAGGCTTTGTGTACTGAAGTTGTCTGCGTGTTGATGCTAACCTTGGCCACAGAACTATTGCAATGAAGCCATTGCGAGGCAAATCAGTCACAACCCAAACCTTGCCACTATCGGCGATAGGTCTGGTCAAGATGGGGATTCTACCGCTGCAGGCTCAAGCGCAGGGACACCTCGAGCATCTGTCGCGCCAGCAGGCGGCACTAAGCTCAGACTGACTCTGGGAGCTGTCAGTAATGGTTTCGGTACCAACGGTACGACGAGCGGAGCAGGAAGCGGAGCGGAATGATTGAATGCACTATTGTACCATAGCGAGATTGGGTTTGGGGAGAGCAAAAAGGCCACAGAGAAGCTTGGGTCTCTAATACCACATCTATTGTACAGCATGTTGGTGTTTGGGTCGGTGGCTCAACTCAGCATGCAGTGGGAATTTCTTGGGTTCTCAGCATATGCCAGTCCAGTGGCTGGCTAGTGAATCGATTCATTATTCGAACCAGGAATAACTTGTCATGTTAGCGCTAGAGATATTCTAGACGAGGAAGAGGACGTTCTGATTTGATCTATACTCAGAAACCGGAGCAGCACCAAATGACTATTTTTTGGAGCGTACCTATTAGATTTTGGCCCAGATCGCAACTGTATGTGTTACCTTGATATGCAGAGAGAAAGGAGAAGTACCTTAGTGACAGCAAGGGGACCCGGTGTTGATCATACGAATACTGTAACACTCACCAATCACACATGCATGAGGAGCGTGTGTGTGTGGAGAGGACAAGTCCGATTCTCTAAAGTCAAGCCATTGCATGCGCCTTTAGTCCAGCTGAACATTCTCTCCAACAGAACCACAGCAGCCTGTCCTTGCACACTCACTCGCTTTCTTTATCTGCCCCCAAGACAGCAGGCGTCAAGGACAGGACTCAATAGTTCACATTGCGTGTCGTTGCGACGACTGGGTGTCATGCTCCTCACATCTCGCGACAACGAATGAACACTCCCACAACTCCGCCAAAATGGCGTCCAGTTTAGTCGGCGCGACTTTGAACATCCTGCGTAAGAACCGCAAGCCAGTTGGGAGGACAAGGAACACTGACGAATATATTCAGGGCGTCAGGTAGAGGAGGACGACCCCGATGGTGTGAACCCCCTCCATGCATCTCGTCTCGTCCCAGGGCTAATTCAACCGCAATAGAGCCCTCAGAGGCCGGCCAGAAAGAGATATTCTCATCATGGGCACTCTTCATCCTCATCATGCTGCTGATCGCAGCCCTGTTTACGAGTTACATACTGCAACAAAAGAGAATACAGGCTGTTCATGAAACCGTCATATCTATATTTGCTGGTGCGCAATTTCTGGACATGGGCATGGCAAGACTCTCGCTGATGGATTTCAGGAATGATTGTCGGATTGATCATACGAGTCACACCCGGTACAGCGATTCAAGACACTGTCAGCTTCGACTACCAATTCTTCTTCAACCTCCTCCTTCCTCCCATCATTCTAGCCTCGGGCTATGAGTTGCATCAGGTTAGATTCCTACAGAAAGAGTCGGAGGGACATTTACTGAATGGATACAGGCCAACTTCTTCCGGAACATTGGAACAATCTTGACGTTCGCGTTCGCTGGGACCTTCATCTCCGCAGTCTCTTTAGGGTTGATTCTGTGGCTGTGGACGAGAGTTCCTTTCGACGGCTTGACAATCACCTGGGTCGAGGCCATTTCCGTAGGCGCGACTCTTTCAGCAACAGATCCTGTCACTATTCTTGCCATCTTCAACCTGTACAAGGTCGAGCCGAAGCTATATACCATCATCTTCGGAGAATCCATCCTCAACGATGCCATTGCCATTGTCCTGTTCGAAACAGCCCAAAGGTATAGAGAAGGCGCGACTGGCAATCTGGGTATCATCAGTCTATTCGAGGCCATTGGAATCTTCTTGCTGGTCTTCTTCACCAGTTTGATGATCGGCGTAATCGTGGGAGTCGGGACCGCTCTTACCTTGAAGTACACCATGGTTCGAAGATTTCCGAAGATTGAGAGTTGTCTGGTCTTTCTGATCGCCTATGCAAGCTACTTCTTCTCAAATGGTGTGCACATGTCAGGTACGGCTTCTCTTCCTACGTTTTACCTCGCATCACAATATGCTGATCATCAACAGGCATTGTATCTCTCTTATTCTGCGGCATCACCCTCAAACACTACGCCTACTACAACATGTCGAGACGAACCCAGCTGACCACAAAATTCATCTTCCAAATCCTCGCCCAATTGTCCGAAAACTTCATCTTCATCTACCTTGGCCTCACACTATTCACAGAGACAGATTTAGTGTTCAAGCCCTTATTCATCCTCGTCACAGTGGTCGGTATCTGCGCGGCGCGTTGGCTGGCAGTATTCCCCCTGTCCAAGGTGATCAACTACATAATCAGACTCCGCGCCAGGCGCAAAGGCCGGGAAGTCGCGGAGGAACTTCCCTGGCATTATCAGGCGATGTTGTTCTGGGCCGGTCTTCGTGGTGCTGTGGGTGTCGCTCTCGCAGCAGGTCTTCAAGGCAACGAAGGACCGGCTCTCCGCGCAACCGTTCTCGTCGTCGTGGTGCTGACCGTCATCATATTCGGCGGCACGACAGCACGCATGCTCGAGATCCTCGGCATCCGCACGGGCGTGGTCGAAGAGATCGACTCCGACGACGAGTTCGACATCGAAACAGCCAACGGTGGTACATACTACAAGCGCTCCGGAGGCGGATTAGGGCACGAGCCCCGGCCGTCCATCGGCCTGGACTATGTAGCCGCTAACGGCCGGGGTGCAGCAGCCAACGGCTCAGCCTCACGTCCTCGCGTTGACAGAGGATACAGCAGCAGCAACGGCCGATCTCCGCCGTTCGACACGCCCAAGCGCGGCTCACGCAAGAACTCCAAAGCCAGCCAGTGGGAGCGCGAGATCGCCGCGCAGCAAGGCAAACTTCTGTCCGACGACAACATCGGCTCGACAAGCGACGACGAAGACGCCGCGGATCTCGATCTCCCTCCTGCCGCACCGCGCCGGAAACCTTCGCCCCTGGGCATGTTCGACGGGCCATATCAGAACGACACCAGGACGCGGTCGGCGCCTGATATCGTCCTGAACGAAGAGCACGATCGGGACGGCGATATGGGCGCTCCCGGCGCCGTGGGTAATGCACCGGCAGGTCCGGTCGCCAGCAACAGTATAAGGAATCTGCTGCGTGGCGCCACCGCAGACCACACAGCTTGGTTTCGCCAGTTGGACGAGGACTTTATCAAGCCGCATTTACTACTTGATCAGCACCAGGGCCAGGGCAAGGGTCCACCACCGTCGTAGGGGATGCACTGGACTTGAGGTGACTAGACTTTGTTTCTCGAATAGATATAGCCCTCACTGTACTTTTTGACGAAATGTATTGTTGGTGGAAGCGGCGTTTCAAATAGTGTTTTTATACAAATATGATATCCAGATACGCCTCAAGAGAATAAATTGGCTTTTGCTCTGTGGAAATGTGTGGTCTACAGGAGCATTGCAAGGGACGGATACTCGTTTTTGACAGATATGCTATATTCTTTAGAGGTACTTTGACCATGTCACTTCTTTGATGGGCTCGTGGGGATAGTTCTGCGGCGCAGTTGCAACAGTATCAAAGCGCAGATACACTTTGTCGGTACTGACACTGATCCTTCAGCAACCCTTCCTACCGTCCATGCACTTCTTGACCCAACCTCCTTGGCTTCCTGGTACCTGAAACTGTGCCATCGACTTCCAACACGGGAGAAATGCCAATTTACATCGCAATTGCCAACTGACGACCCGAGTCTTTCAAGTCGTGTCAAGCTGTCATAGCCTTCATATGGGTTGCAAAAGCAGGTCATGGTGTTCCGAGAACTTTGATGAGACCAGAACAGAATGCATACCGGTCATGTATGTTTTGGTCATTATGGTAGAAAGAACAAGGCGAGCCTAAGACGCACGCTATAACCTGCAGTCCATAAACGCCTTCTTTCTCGGTAGCGAGGCTTCTGCCACATATCACAAAGCAGTGGCGGCCTCCACCGCCTGCTCACCGTGCATCAGATCTTGCTACCCCTGGCCAAGAATGGCTCTCTCTTCGACTTTCCCCTGATGTATACCTCGTCGCCCATGCGACCGAGCGCGAAATCCTTCAGGCCAGCTTCGGCGAAGATCTCCCTTAGTTCCTGCTCACTGAAGCCGTGATGGGCAACGGTGTTTGCGGAGGCCTTCACGTCCGGATGCTCTTCTGCCTCCATGGCGTGCGTCACGAAATCAAGGATCAAGAAGACACCGCCAGGTCGGAGCCTCTCGACGAGTCTCTTGGCCGCTAGTCGGACGTCCGAGAAATGGTGGAATCCCAGGCCCACCACTACCAGATCGAAGTCGTGATATTTGGGCCCTGAGAACGCCGCGGGTGGCTCCTCAGTCGTCAAGAGGTTGCCTATCTCTGCATGAGCGTTCAGAGATTCGTCCTCGTTGTTCGCATCCTTTATCGCAGGGTTGAATCGTAAATTGTAGGCCTGCACCATGTTCTCGCTGAGGTCGATGCCGACGTACTCTGTCGCGTGGCTGCCGAGAGCATAGGTGATGGTGCCAGGACCGCATGCATAGTCCAGTACTCGGACCTTCCTAACCTGGGCAGGATCTGTAGCCTCAAATGTCGTAGCGGAATCGACGAAGTCTACGCCGATCCAATTGATGTTCGCGTAGATGAATGCGTTGATCTTGTTGAGCATGTCTTTTTGCCATGGCTCGGAGCTGTATGATGCGGCGAATTTGCTGGAGACAGAGGGTTAGCTGGACATACTCTGCTATGCGCAGTGAGTGTTGCCGGCGCTTACTTCCAGTGGTTTCGGTTGGTCTCCAAGAAAGCTGCATCGTCGTGATGATCGTGATGACCGCTCTGGTGCATGGCATGAGCGCCATGATGGTCACCAAGATGGCTATGGCTCGGATCCTCCGCCATTGTCCGGTCAGATTCAATCGGGATGATGAAATGATTCCAGACGATGTGTCTTGACAGAGAGAAGAGCTGGAGGGGGGAGGGATCTTTTGACGGCCCAGATATACAAGTGATACTCCAGTCAGTAGGGTTCAGGTCCGATGGCGCGTCGGCGACTTTCCCAGCGGAGAGTAATGGATTGAGTTTGATGAAGTCTTCGGTTATGCAGTCTGACCTTGGGAGGTCGTCGGGCTCACATAAACGTACCTGCTCAGTATCTCGGCCGAGTTATTCATACAATGTCACACAGGTTGTGAATCCGATCCTGAAACCCATCAAATCCAACGGCGTAGAGATGTAAGCCTGAAGCCCGATTCGTCGCTGTCAACATCTTCAGAGATGCCTGTCTATGAGGTAGATGTGGTCACTGTCTGACGAAGCCAGTTTTCTGGGACCCGGCTCGGTGTCCTCCGCATTCGGCAAGTCTGCCATCCTTTGCCGTGAGTACATCCAACCTCAGTCGATGCTTCAAAATCCTAACAACCGATCAGCAGCTTCCTCCACTCTATGTCTTAGGATATATCCTTTTTGCTTTTGGTGCCGATGTGCTTGGTGCTGTCATGTTTCTGCTGCATAAGTACCTGCAATTGATTCATTATGAAGAAACTGCTTCGAACTTCAGCAACCGTTCAGCGTTTCGATACGCTATGCCTCCTAACACCTCATCACTAACAAGCCCTTCAGTCTTCAACGTCTTCAGAAACTCCAACCCTGTAACGTTGCTGCTGAAGGGGTAGTCGACAATGTATATGATCCGATCTGGTTTACATTGTCTCAAGACCGCTGCCATTGGTGCCAGATGAAACATGCCAGAAGTGGTGATCCAGACGTATTCGTCCCAGACCTGACGTAGGTGCCTCTCCAGCTTGAGACCCAAAAAGGGCCATTGCCGTGCGGTGATGCCCTCAATACGGTCAAGCTGGAAGGGCAACATCTCTCCCAGATGGCCCAGTACAAGTTTGAGCTTTGGGTAACGGTCGAATAGCCCAGCGGCAAAGAGACGCAGGAGGTGTATCGCCGTCTCGTTGGTGCCAACCCCAGCCATACTGGCTGAGACACTCTGCAACAGATGCCGGATAGTTGCCATCGTATAGAATATGTTTGGTCTGCTCATTCGGAGAGGGGTGCAAATATTTGGCACATCAAGCTCCTCGGCCGCCTTGAATACAGGCCAGAAGTGCGCGTTGTCGTAGAATCTCGCTTCACAGTTGCTGTCGATCAAAGCTCCGACGAAGCCCAACTGCTGAACACACCTACGGAGCTCCTCGCCTGCATCCTCGGGGTGCGCCATAGGCAACGTTGCAAATCCGGCGAATCGCTTAGGCCTGAACTTGATCAAGCCTGCGAGCTCATTATTCACTTTGGCGCAAGTTACCGTGTCCAAGGCAAGACTGTTGGGTGCATGGCTGACGACCTGTAAAGTGACGCCGGCATCGTCCATTGCCTGAAGACGATTCTCTCCAAACTCGGCCAGCGTCGACGTCAGAGTGCCGATGAGACCATTCTCGTCATAGGGGTCCGTTACTCCTTTGGCATGGTAGAAGTTCCTCACCGACTGGGAGAGCCAATGCTCCTCCATTGTGATGGTTGGATACGGGAAGGCCATCAGTATAATCAGTAAAGATTCACTAACCTACCTTTGGCACGCCCACAGACCTACCTTCTGCAAACGACCTATATAGGCTGTCTAGTAAGCAGATCATGACATTCCATTCACAAAACATTAAGACCGACCTTGCCACATGCAAGTACCGTGTTTCACGAAACGATTATCGTGTCAATGTTGACGCGAAGATGGATCGAGATTCGGTTTTAGATGGCATCATGCCACGCCTAATTCCGGAAACCCCGGGCGCCAAATGCTAGTACGAGATCAATATCTCCGTCCAATACTGATTACCCACCACTTTGTTCTCTCAACGTTCGTCCAGACATACTTCTGATAAGGCAACACATCCTAGTATCTACGGACTTATGATACGCTTGATGAGATATAAAGCCGGCACGCCCAACTGAAGCCTCTGGTACGATAAGTCGCAATGGCTGATGAGCTCTTAAGTATCGTCCTTGAAGACAGGGTGTTAGATAACGCGATTTTCACCACAGGTGCACAAGGTTTGGTCGTTCAGATATAAAATAACTGCGTTCTGCCCTCCACCTTCTGCTCTCCTGTTCTGTCGCAAATTCACATTCACCTTTAGGCCAAATCATTGCAAAGTCATACCCCAACAGACCGACAAACAGCAAAAATGCCAAAGGTTCTGGTTACAGGTTAGTCGGACCCTGTGTTCCCAAAGCAATAGTGACGCACCGGGGCGCACTGCTGGTCTTGCCAGAGCCTGACTGCGTCACCTAGGGGGTACTGGATTTATTGCAGGGCATTGTATCAAGCAGCTGCTTGAGAAGGGGTAAGCAAAGCACGGTCGGATATGCTGCTTGGGGCTTGAGGAGTAACACGAGTCCCAGCTACGATGTTGTGACTACTGTGCGAGACCCTGAAAAGGGCGCGAAATTGGTCAAAACTTTGACTGCCAGTGGTGGGAGTAAGCTGAGTTACCAAATCGTGAAGGATGTGGCTCAGAAAGGGGCTTTTGATGAGGTGAGCTATTCGTGCAAGCTGCCTAGTTGGAGTCCCGGACGGCTCATACCATACTGACGAGTGTACAGGTCGTCAAATCAACACCAAACTTGGACTTCGTTCTTCACACAGCATCACCATTCCACTACAATGTTCAGGACCCCGTCAAGGACTTTCTCGAGCCTGCAGTGACCGGGACCACCAGTATACTCGAAGCTATCAAGGACAGTGCCCCTTCGGTAAAGCGCGTGGTGATCACGTCGTCCTTTGCAGCAATCAACCATGGATCCAATAAGAAACCACCGTTCTACGATGAGTCGGTCTGGAACCCTATCACCTGGGAGGAGGCAGCGCAGGACAAGACAAAGGCATACCGTGGAAGCAAAGTAAGGACCAGCATATCAATCAAGCTGATGGCTATCATTGTTACTGACACTATTCATGAAAGACGCTGGCCGAAAGAGCTGCCTGGTCCTTTATGGACACGGCGAGGCCAACCTTTGACTTGGTCACTATCAATCCCTCACTCGTTTTCGGTCCGGCCGCTCCACACCTTTCGTCGGGCGACTTGGACAGCTTGAACACCTCGAATCTACGTATATTGCATATGATCCAGGGCAAGATGAAGGAGAAGCTGGAGCCCACGGGTTTCTACAGCTGGGTCGACGTCCGCGACGTCGCGATTGCACATGTCATGGCCCTTGAAGTGCCCGGCGCCTCCGGTAATCGTTTCCTCTTGCTGACGGGCTATTATACGAACAAGAGGATCGCTGAGGTTATTGCATCAATGAGTCCCGAGTTGAGAAAAAAGCTGCCTGCCAACCTTGACGAGGCCGAAGACGATCTACCGCCTCCGGAAGAGCGGTATCTGTTCAGCAACAAACAGTCGATTGAGGTGTTGGGAATTGAATATACGTCTTTGGACAAGTCGGTAAAAGACACAGTTCAATCGCTGCTAGAATTGGGCGCTTGAATCGGTCCTTGGTATAGACTCTGCCGCGCCGCTAAGCCAGGACCTGGACACCTTTGAACTCATCTTGCAATAATGATATTCATTTCCAGACTATCTGACGCATACCTGATAAATCGAGCATCCGATTTCAAGCGATCCGAACTGAGGCTTTCGCAGCAATGCATTGACTCGATAGCTCCTGGTCTGTCGGGCTTTCCTCAGAAGAAAGGCAGTAGCCACAGGGCAGTGACTTCCCCGTCTGAATCGGCGTTGCCTGCACTGGATGACATTTCATCTTCTTCAGCACCACGGTGCCTGTTTTCGCCTCGCATCGCATCTCTTCGTCTTTGCACCGCTTCCCAACGACATTACTCTTGTTGCATTCGTTCCAACAATTAGCTTGCTCTCGCATTCTCTTCGCAACCCCCCACGCCTGTTTTGTATCCCTATTCGACTCATCATTTCGTCTGTCATCATGCCGACCATTCTCAGTCATCGATACCTGACCGCACTCTACGGTCTCTCACTTGCCACTCAGGCGCTTGCTCAGGATGTGGATGAGTGCGGCGTAAGTCTGTCTGTCGCTTGCCTCGACACACTGGCTAACTCGACCTCAGCTTACTTGCATCGCCAATGTTGAGGGCACCGACTGCACCCAAAGGTACGCCGAAACCCTGGGGGCAGCTCTCAGTCACGACCTTCCTAACTTGACACTTAGCGAGTGGCCATGTCTGTGTGCCAACAGTATGTACATCGAGAGGATGCACGACTGCACAGTAGCCTCCTGCAATGCCTCCAGCCAGCAAAGTACGTCTTTCCCTGTAGCAGCCTTCCACCGATCAACTCAAGGCTGACCCTTCTCAGATACTTCTGAGGCCATTGCACAGTTATGTGCTGTATTCAGTGTTACCTTGAGCCATAGTCCCGAGGCCACCGTACCGATGCCTGTCGATAACACCATCACACCTGCCATACCTACCCAGTCGAGCATATCTCCTATCACGATGGCCACAGGTCAGAGCTGGACAACAACGTCCGGATATGTAACGGTTTCAGTCTCACCAGCGCGCAATCTGCCCAGCTCGACAGATATCTCGAGCTTTACGATTGGGGTGTACTCGTTGACAACGAACGCGATCTCACCTCTTGGCACAGGTCCATGGAATTTCTCCACGACTCCGGTCACGCTCACTTCGGGTACGCGGGCCACAACAGCATCTACTACGTCCAATGAGTCTGCTCGGTCGACTTCGCCATGGATATGGACGTTAATCTTAAGCCTGGCGTTGGCAAACATGGTTTTGTGGCTCAGAACATGATAATTTGACCAGGATCAGAATGTTCTGGAAGGAGATTGGATCAAGCCATCACAAGACAAGCAGGGCGGACGGTGAAGCGAAATGGAGTGAGGGAAAGGACCGACTTTTTGAAGGAAAGCGAGATGCAATGGTTCATGCATGATGACCCTAGTGCCCGCCTGTAGGGCAGCCAATGGCTTACCCAACAGAGCGGAACAGTGAGGGCCTATTGAGGCTAACGTACCATTGGACTAGGGAAGTGTCGGGGTGACCTGTGGCTGTGAACGGCTTATTCGAAAATACATTCTTATTCTGCACTTGCTCCGATGAGTCCATGATCATGATACACAAGCTGTCGATGATAGACACAACAGTGAGACAGGAACAACCTCAGATGCCTCATGATTGACATAAATTCCTGCTCCGCAGCAAAGATGACCCGTTGCTGCATTGCGCAACCAGCCGATTGCGGTACGTCTGTAACAAAAACAGTCTGGAAAAGCCTAAGCCTAAGCCTAGCGGGCCTTTGCGGTGCTCTGCCTAACTGACGCGATCACTTCCCCTTTCTCCCAAAGTGATGCCCAATATTTCCCGTCCTTCATCAAGGCACATCCCGTTCATTGACACTAGAGCCCAATGGTCCCTCTCGGTACCTTCTCTGGATCTTCCGGGGAACAGGCGATGACACCCTCATGAAGGCCTTTTGGGTACAATGTTCTGCAACAGCCCGACTTTGTCTGGCTAGACTTGCTTGTTCAAAGGTTCGCTTACGACTGCCCCTGGCACCCGTATTGAAGGTGAAGTCACTGTGGCCCGACGATATCAGCTGTGGATGCCGTGACTGACCTAGTTTGGAAGAGGAATGACTTCAGTGTAATGGTGCGAAGGGGCTCAAACGAGTCCAAACGATAGGGAAGCCGATCCCGGGTGTGGGTGGCACAGGTTCACGATAATATAAGGCACACTTGTCGTTGGCTTGTTAGTCGGTTTGAGATCAGGACAAGTAGAAAGAGTGTATCAAATCCTCTTCGATGATTCCAGATGATGTTGGTTGATTGATTTGTATCAGTCGTCGAGAATGCTGTCGGCGTATGCCAGAACAGAAACCTTGTTGCTGTTCCTGCATACAAGCGCTGTTCTAATTTGTGGTCGTTATTATTATTATTGTATGCTACAGGCCTGGCTTTGGCTTTGGCTTTGGCTCTGGCTTCCTTGCCTGCGGTGGCCCGGCATCTACCAATTGTTGCTTCTGTCGCAGCTGCCTCTCCCAATCTCCCAATCCTACCACAAATCTCCATTTCCTTCAACACGGAGCCAACAACCTTCGACAGCGGCCATTTATCACCGAGGGCGCTTGAAAAACAACCTGAAAGAGATGCACCATATGCGCCAGTAACATCTCCTCAAAGATCAGACCCATTATTCTTGACGTCGACTACCACGGACCGCCCGCCTGTCACCGCACACGCTCCCATCGATCTGACTCCTGCACGCCCACAATTGGAGGCCCAGAGGCAGAGAAGATCGTTTCTCGAAGCTTTGCTGGCGCGACAGAAAAGGGCGATCCCCACAGACAACAGATCTGCAACGTCTCGCATCCTCAATCCCATCAACTACATCCCCCGTCCTACCCGAGTACGTGTTCAACCTCAATCTCAGCCTCAACATCAGCGCGAAATCTCGACCGACGTTGGTAGCGGTGGTGAAATCCACACTCTCTTGACTCTTCCCGAACAGCGTCGATCGCGCCAACACTCACCCACCGATCCTATTGTCGAGCACAGCCCCCATTTGGCGCCGCAAGCTAGTAACCGCACCAGCATTGGCCTGCCTCCCAACCAGCAACGTGGAAACATACCGGTATCTCCTTCTCGGGGGTTAGGACTGATGGTCGATCCAGAAAAGCAGGAGCGTAATGGCATTAAAGAGCCGGAAAAAGCACATACCATACCTACCTCGAGATATAACCCACAGGCGCGCGATCCAGAAGCACAACAAGGTACTTCGGTACTAGCACAGACTTATGGGGTCAATCCATTGGATCAGCCTTTACAACCTCCTCGCCGCATTACATCCCATCGCTCTCTAAAACGCGCTCAATCCACTGCCTCAATACATTCCTCAGCCTTCGCTCGGACAAATACTGACGGGATACCTCCTGTGCCTGGTTCGCGGGATGATGTTGGTCAAGGCTATCCGGGAGTCGATGAAGGTAGCGTAGGAGAAGAGCTCGTTTGGGGCCCATCCCATCCATGCTTCCCACACCAAAATCCGCACGTCCCGCTGGATTCTCCCGAGTACTCTTCTACGCGGATCATACGGATACGACGAGATTGGATGGTTGCCGGCGATCTGGCTCCCACGTACTCCAATATCTACCCTGAGATCTTGGATCCTCTGATGCAAGAGCAAGAATTTCGCTACGTGATCGAGCATATCAATCAAACCTTGGTTCAGGCTTACGACCCTTTCTCGTCCTGGAATTGGTTGGATGGCTTTCTGGGTCTCATAACTGGTTGGCTGTGGGAGGATTTTCGACCTACAGGTATCAAAGGCCAATTGAAGGCTTTGGAGGAGTGGTTGGAGGACTGGAATCATACCGTGGGTGCAAGGGAGGGCGTCAAGATTATCCCACTTCGACGTACAGGCTACCTGAATCTTGACATACAAATCCCTGATCCACAGGTGCGCGTGGTCGGCGACGGAGATGCTGAATCACAACAGCCTCCATCTTCAGCAGTACCGGATGGAGGAGGACTGCAAAAGTTGCCATGATAACCGACTGCTCTCTTCTATTTCGTCCTTGTGGGAACTTCTTTCTTTTGTGACAGAATTGTCTTTTTCTTGGCTGGGCTCGACCTGGCTGTGTTCAATTATTGGAGTCCAGGTCTCATGGGTTATGTGAGCGTTTTCCAGCATGGCGTTTTATCGACAGTTCGGCACTTTTATTGGCGGGCACTGGGACGAGCGAGAAGGAATTGAAAAAGTGATAGTGGGACTTTGCATGTAGGTCCTGGCTGTTTCGCTGTTGAGAGAGAAGGACCTACTCCGGCTAGATATGTTATATCAGCATGATGAACAAGCCAGCCCGACAGTCGTGTACATGGGCTTGTCTCTCCATGTCATTCATCATTCTCCCCAAATTTTTCTAGCCTTGACTTGTTGACCTCTTGATGGATTGCTGTGTTCATTCTGATGTAAGGCCAGACTCGGGAAGAAACTCCTAACTTAGTCCCTGGTCGAGCAGAAATCCCATTTCGTTACGAACAGAAGCCATCTCCGTCCAGATATTGGCAGATACTAGTATTCTCTTCCCCCAGTCCTGCCATCGTACTAGTATTTTGTACAGTACACCTGGACCGGGTGGTGCTACGGGGATTGGGAAATGGGGACAGGGACCCTGCAGGCCTCTCTACTTAGTCTTTTCACTTTTTCAGACTTTTTGAAGCCACGAAAGTATCTACCTACCTAGGTAGGGTAATCGCCCCCAAGGACGATCACCCGCAAAGTGACAGCCCGGGTACCAAAGTCTGGCAGACAAAAGTCAATGCAAGCCACGATGGCCTTGTCGTGATCCGCTTGCATGTCAGATTTTTGGCTCTAAGCTTAGCTGCTTAGGATAGTTTTGATAACGGCAAGCTGTACATACCTTAGGTAGGTTGGTAAGAATTTCAAGCTCGGGATCCAGAAACACAAGCAGCCTTGCTTAAACATGTACATATACGGACTACCATCCGGGGGCACTCGACTTGTATTTCTTACGGAGTCCCAAGACATACGGAAGTGTGATCTAGTCTGACCACACTGAGGAAGCAACATACGTGCACTATGGAAATGGAGCTTAGTGCGAGACCGAAAAAGTGGCTGGCAGAAATGGCTTGAGGAACTCTTGACAGAGAGTCTGAGTCTTGACAGCTTCTGGATATTACGGCGTGCAGCACAGCCACATATGCGTGGTGGCGCGAAAAGGAAAAATTGCCTTCTTGCGAATAGTCGCCGTGGCGGGCTTCCAAGCTTCGAGGCATGTATAAGTGATGCATGCTTTCGATTCTCAACGACACATGTGTCATCAGGACAGTCCTGGTCGGGCAGGGAATCTCAATATCCAACCCTCAACATGGCTGGGCTTCGCAGGTTTTGAACCCGTCCCTTTCTCAAGACGCCTTTTCTCGTACCAAAAAGAAGAATGCTCGCCGTCCCAAGCCCAGGCACCAACGCTTTGAACATGCTTTGAACTCAAGACTCGGATGAGAACAATGACATAAAACCCCATCGACTCGACGGAAGCCCGAAAAGAATTTCCCAACATTGATGGAAAATGACATATCGACTCCTTCGAGCATGTTGTACAGAACGCTCGCCAGTTCCTCTATAACAAGACACCTTCAAGACTTCCTCCAAGGCGAAGTCCACAGCAAAGCTCCACAATGACCGCCCACTGTCTGCGGCCTCTGCATGTCCTTCCTTGACATGCAAGCTTTCGATTTTGTGAGTCCTGGATCTTCTTGTCCCTTCCAGTCTCACGCCGTGGTTCGTAATCATACAGTCGTGCAAATGAAAAATAACCGTGATACTCGTACAAATCATGTATCATGCAACAAAAAAAAAGATGGTCGCGCATCCGATCGAGCATGGTAAGTCGCCGCATTTTGGAAGATGTAAGGAATTAGTCAACTTGGGTCGTTCAATCGTAACCAGTAGTCCTGTTGGTCTCTCGGTCTCTTTCTGTTTTGGCTGAAGAGTTTGTTGCTAACTCGGTCCAGCCTGTCCTCGACCACTTTGGCTCGTAAGCCCACTGCGAGGCAGGAGGTCGAGACAGACGGTGAAGATATGCGTGATTTGTTCTTCCCAGATGCCTATTTCGAAATCGACAAGCCCGTATTGTTCGACTTGGTCGCACAAGCCGATCAGTTCGTCAACCACATTGACAATGTTGTCGCTGGAGAGAATGTCTGCTGGCAGCCTAGTCGTCCTCAACGCCTCTTCTGTAATTTCTCTTTGCTTTTGACCCAATGCCTCCCAGCAGAGATTGAGTTCTCGCCATAGCTCAATTCGTTCTGAATGTTTGCCTTCGTCGTCGTGGTGTAGACCTGAGAGCGAGTCAACGACACCATCCACCGGACATTTCGTCGGAGGAAACTCACCTAACGCAGTGATAGAGCTGACCAACCAGCGAGATGCCGCCAAAAGTCTTTCGCTGGCCTCCGTCACCCTGCCTGCTACGATGAAGTCGAATGCTGACCGGATCTGCTGTCTATAATCTCTGAAGCCCTCGTCCAATGCCTCTTGGTTGACGTCAGGCTCGACTGGCGCTTGCGTTGCTTGTTGTTCGACTTCAGGGAAGTCCACCTGCCCACCAGCGTAGGTCTGATGTAAAGGCGCACGTGTTACCGGCACGGCACCATACACGGCTTGTTCTGGCTGACTTGTCATGTACTGGGACGAACTCGACCCGACTTCTCCCATACCTGCATGGCCACCATGCGGCATGTATTGCGGAACTGCAAATTGACTTGCCATTACCTCGATCGCAGTCTGCCGTTCCTGGTATGGAATATTACCGTACATCGACTGAGCCCCAACCGGGGGAAGCATCGATCCGGCGCCGTACTGCGCATATTGTTGTTGCTGCTGCTGAGTAGGCGAAGCCTGTACTTGTTGCTGTCTTGAAGCATCTTGTATATATGCAGGTGGATACTGCATTTCTACACCCTGCATAGGGCTACTGCCTTGCATCTGCGCAGTGCCGTATTGCTGCTCCTGGAACCCGTAACCAGGATAACTAGGAACATACGGTCGGGCTATCGAAGCCCGACCAACGTCGCTTCTCGCGGGTGTGGTGGACTGGGCATACCGCTCGCTCGAAGGTGGACCCATAGATTGTCCAGGCAGGGGTCGCGACTGCGATGGGGTCTGGTATGGTTGACCATACTGCGAGCGCCGACGGTCATTACCGTCCATTTAAAGAAGGGGGACTCTTCTGTCGGCGCCAGTGTGATAGGAATAACAGGCAATGTCGTGCTCTAAATGTCTCTGATTTGAGAAAGCAGAAGGTACGACTCCCAACTTTTCTTCTGTGCCTCGCCTTCCTTGCCGGCCCTATCTTGCTCCTTCATACAACGGGCTGGGCACAGTTAAGGTGAGAATGGACAGTGGATACGACTGTGCCGACGACGACAGTGTTGGCCGCAGGCTGTGGATAACACGCGGTCGCAAAGAGAGGCCGATGCCACCTGGATAGCGTGGACGTTTCAGAGAGGTTAGTACCGCAGCCGCCTGTCCTTGCTGCCGTTTGGGAGGCTTCAAACGTTCCGTCAGGTCAAGCGCTCCCAGAGCGGACCAATGAACGTGGTATTGTGGTCGTCGTCGTTAGTGGAGGTTTCGCTGTGCAAATCGTCGATAGATGGCTCGGTCATCCCCCGCGAACTTCAGCGCATATATGTCGCAGTGTGCCAGACAAAATGACCCTCCAGGCGCGAAGCAGTAAAGTGATCCGTGCGGACAACCCGTCGAGCAATAAACGTGTGGTCGAGATGGTGGGGTTCGGTGTTAAAGGAGGGTGTGGTGAAATGATCGACCATTAAGTCACCAGGGATAAATATACCGAGTAAAGGATCGTATTGAAGGAAAACAAAGGAGTGTCCGGGTGGTCAAAGAAGGAGAAAGTCCAGGTACCTTTGGGATTGCGAGAGAAGGAGGACGTATACAAGAGGCCTAAGGATGCAGCTGCGGTGCCAGGCGGGAAATGGGCACGACGCATTCGACACTTTGGCAAAGACGACTTGATGGAGAATGGCGCAGATACAGCATGGCAGCGACGAATGATGAGTCGCGTGTTCCTGGTACGTCAAGATTGACTCCGAGCACGGGTGACATTTGTTTTTCACCAGCAAAGCAAAGCAAAGCACCCAGAAGCGTGTCCGAAGCGGAAAGGAAAAGTCTTCAACTCACAAGTGGACAACGCCACAGGAGGGACAGTGGACAGTGGACAGCGGCCTTGGAGGGGCAGCGGATTGTCATCCACTGGTCAGCCTGCCGGAGATGTTTCTGGACGTAAAGTTGCGCAACCAGAAGTCCGTTTGTCGACATGTAGGGCTTCAGAGTCGAGACGTCACTTTGGCATTGGCGCATCTGCCGCCTGTCCAAGGTTCAAGGGGCCTGAGAGATGACACTCCTGCCATCAAGTTTGGGCGGAGTAGGCGTAAGACAACTGGAAGGGTTTCCAATGGGAAAAGCGGGCAGGAAGCATATGAATGGGTATGCTTCAGGCATCTCAGCTGGAATGATCCCCGGCTGTGGGTCATCCCTAGAGCATCCCAAAGGTCGCTTACCTCTGCGCTAACTCACTGGTCCGACAAGGCTTGCATCTTAGAACCCACCATCCATCGGACCCCGGTGCGCCAGGCGAGATTTAGAGTGTGGCGCCCGAGGCCTCAAGCAAGGAATGGCCTTCTAGCTTCCAGCCCGACATCTCGGGATTGGCTGCCCTCATCATGCCACGCATACGATCGAACGACCCAATGGACCCGGAGAGGCTCCGTCGTGCCTGGAGGCCGAGGTCAGCACTATCCGATATTTCAGGATGTCAACACTTGGTACCAATTCCTGATGATCTTTTCCGCGCATTGGTGTTGTCCATAGTATAGTAAATATGAATGCAAGTCCGTTCAGGGTCCAGGCTGTGAAACACATTCTCGAAAACTTCAGATGCACTACTAAATCGTGTAAGCCAGTCGAGTCCTCCATAGCATGGGTGAACGATGATCTTGAGAAGAAGTGACCTCGGACCTCCGTCGAATGCATGATAGTACGCGCAACACTTCTCGCGTCCACCTTCCCATACACGGTATGGACGTGGCTGAGGCTCCGTATCCAAAAGTATACCCAAGCATCTTCTCAAGACTGGTATTCGATGGCCTCGAAATGAATGCATGGGCAATACCAAACCACCGGCGGAAACCCTCGTTTAGGCAGGATGATAACACGCCAACCATCTCAACAACCATGCTCATACTCCTAGGATTTCAAATATTGCTTATTCCTACTTGGTGCTGGGCCTTTGCAAAGCGACACTTCAATTCCACTTGTTGTTAGCGCATGTCACTAGGTAAGGCAGTTAGCCGTAAAGCTGCCAGATGCTGGTCTGCCTAACCGAGCCAGTCGGATCGCGGCTTGATGCATCGTCCCAGAGATCTGGCGAGCTGTCAATCCTTTCAGGAGCACCTTAATACTAACATATAGGTATTCAAACGTGCATGAAAGTTCGAGACGCGACTGGCGCTCATGCGATGCCGTTCTGACCTGTTAAATGTCGTCTTCGCCCAGCACCTGATATTCATATACGGTGATTCAGCGCTTCGGACTTGTGGTCATCTCAGATTTTGATCGCGATTGCATTTCGACCCAAAACCACCCCGGGACGAAGCGACCCTGTGTTTGGTCCCCGATTCGTAGGTTGCCCATGGTTTCTCAATCTTAGGTGCATCAGATTCCCGTGCAACAACTAGCCAAGGGGAAACGAAGGGGTTCTGCAGTTTGTTTCAGACCTGGTCTTCATTAGCACTTATGGTCTCCACGACTCCACGAGGGCAGGTGAGAGAGAGGCTCTAGACTAATAAACTAGTGAACTGGAAGATTGAACCGAATGATCCCGTTGCCTTCGCCACATGTGGCCTGTGTTTACCAGGCAAAGGAGGCAAAGCAAAAGTTCAACGGGTTGAATGACGCGCTTGAACTAGCGTCAATCATCCCGCAGAGGCTGGTGGTTTCGTGTGGCTTGAAGGCGTGTTTCAGGTCATTGTTGTTTGATGACCCTGATGTTGTGGCCTATGAGAGACCTGACGTGAGACGAACCAGATGCTGACTGGAAGCACTGCATAATCCGTACTCGCGATTAGTGCCGATTGCGACGAAAGGTACTTCGTATTGCTCGTGGCCAGGAGATGGACACAAGCGTAACATGACATCTCACACTCACGTACTCGAGAGGATGCCCGTTGACGCGTCTTGCGTCTGTGATATGCGCCAAAGAGGTCGGCCGGCAATTTGGTTCATGGTTGACACTTGTCATCGGATATGTTCTGCTTGTAGCCGACAGATGAACGTGGTTGAGATCAAAAGAGCAACGTCCTTCCCAGGTAGATTGTGCGACAAGCAAGGTTTGCGTAACATGACAAACCTGAATGACCGGAACAGCGGATGGCGCACGTGAGGACGTTTGATGATACAACAGAAGTCGTTGGAATTGTACGACGCTATTACGAGGCTGACTTCCAGGTCGTTACATTCGACGCGAATGTTGTGTATTTCCCAGGGGCAACGCTCGTCGGGCATGCAGGAATATCAAAACACCGTAACTTGGATCAAATGGTCTGGGGAAAAGCAAAGGCTCGCAATGACTCGAAAGGTGGGAAACACGTGGCCATTCGGCACACCAAAGACTGATATACAAGCACAAGTTGCTTCTGATGTACAGACAACGAGTCGCACCACCACTCCTTCATCGCTTGACCCAGGTAGGTCTCTTTCTGGCCTTCAGCCTTCCAGGCTTCTTTCGTTCGACACGTCTCATATCCGAAGTGACACAACCAGCTGCATTCAGAATTAGCCACCATGATCAGAATATTGAGCAACATTAAGTACTTACCTCGTCGAAGGGCTGGTTTGAGAGCTGGTTCGTGTACCAGCAGTGCCTTGGCCAATCCCAATGTTATCGCCTCCGCCTGCCCAGTCACTCCTCCTCCAGAGACCATGGCGAATACATTGTACTTGTCCATCCGCTCAGTGGCTTTCAGTGCCCATAGAGCACTCTCTCTGTCATGTAATCGTGGAAATGCTTGCACGAGACTGCGGCCATTGACCAGCACTTCCCCAGTACCTTCTACCAGATATACTTTGGCGGAAGACTCTTTCCGGCGTCCTATCGCTGTCGACCTGCCGTACTCATCGATTTTACCCGGCTTCGCCTTCTGCAATTCTTCTGAACCGGGTCGACGAAATTCGTCTAGTATCTGCTTTACTTCCTTCGGGCGAATCTTGCGGTGGATCTTGTTTAGCCGAGTCAAGAGATGTAAGACCTTGGTGTACTTTGAAGCGGCAATTTTCTCGCCCACCGAACTGCGGTACTGGCTCAACTTCAGCCATGCGGCCCGTGGTGTCAACTCCGGGGGTGCAATGGGAAGCGAGCTGTGCTTCTTAACCAGTGACTGCAGTAGTAGAACGTGATCGTTGAATAGAGGAGATGCTGTGAAGTATGAGGGCGACGCAGGTATGATCCGAGCTGGGATGGCTTGAGGATCGTCAAGATCGATCTCGGGCGCGGCCCGAATCTGGACTTCAGCATGGTGAGACTTTGTCGTAGAAAAGTTTTGACGGCGTCCTGCTAGAGGTAGCCGTGCAGTCTGCGCTCTCGTCTCGAGACTGCCGCGAAGGAGTCGACATTGGCGACAGGTCCAGGAGATGGCCGAGGGCAAAGCCCTCGCTGGAGTCGCCATGTTGCAGACCGAGAGACTAGCCGGCGTGCGTGATCCTACGTGTCGGTCATCGCGAGAGGGTGCGTCTTGCATAAAATGTCGGATGGCCGTTGATGCCCTCTCTCTTGAAGCTGGATAGGAAAATCGCAGCTCGAAGCCGCCAATGATGGCGGCGCTAACGTGGGGCTTGGCATCGGGCTCCAAAACTGCGCATGTCGAATTTTATATTCTCCAGCTGTTCGATTGCACTCGCTCATCCAGCGCACTCATACACCGTCTTTTCTCCTGCAACAACCCTGCCATACAGTCAATATGTCGTTCGGAAAGCTTTACGGCTACAAGGTATGGACACGCCGCAGCTGAAATCCTCGACGGAACCCTGGAGACTGACATTGAGCGCAGGAAAATGCCCGTTCCACTGTTCTCCAAGTCGTTGCTAAGGAGAACAACCTGGACATCGAGCTCGTTGAGACTCGCCCTCCCGTTACCGACGCCGAATACTTGAAGCACAACAAGCTGGGCCGCATCCCAACCTTTGTTGGCTCCAATGGCTTCGTCCTGACCGAGACCATCGCGATCGCAATCTACTGTAAGGCTTGACTCATACCCTTCCATGTTCTTTTTGCGACCAAAGATGAGACATATTATCACAACAGTTATCCCTGTCATAATACCCTTGTTGACTACAATTGACTCTGAGTTTTCTTCCTGAACACATTGTTCTCTTTCTGCGACGTTTGCGGAGGGTTTTGCTGACCGCTTCCAGTCGCCTCCCAGAATGAGAAGACGACGCTGCTCGGCAAGACCAAGCAAGACTACGCCTCTATCGTAAAGTGGATGTCATTCTCCAACAGCGAACTCCTTCCTACCCTCGGCACCTGGTTCCAGCCTCTCATCGGCGCCAAGCCTTACAACAAGAAGGTTGTCGATGACGCCAAAGACGCATCTCACAAGATTCTGTCAGTCCTCGAGCAGCACTTCCTCGTTAACACCTTCCTCGTTGGTGAGCGCTTGACCCTGGCCGACTTGTTCGTCTCCTCGCAGATCGCACGTGGCTTCCAATACGTTCTTGACAAGGAATGGCGGTCCGAGAACCCCAACGTCACTCGGTGGTACGAAACCATTGTGAACCAGCCACTGTGGAAGGCCATCGTCGAGAGCCCAATCCTCGTCGAAGAGGCAATCAAGTACACCCCACCAAAGAAGGAGCCAAAGCCTGCTAAGGCCGCAACTCCTGCCGCCCCCAAGGCGGAGAAGAAGCCAGCTAAAGAGGAGGAAGATGAGGAGGAGGAGGCCAAGCCAGAGGTCAAGGCCAAGCACCCTCTCGAGTCGCTTTCCAAGCCCACCCTCATCCTCGATGATTGGAAGCGAAAGTACTCCAACGAAGAGACCCGTGAGGTTGCTCTTCCTTGGTTCTGGGAGCACTACAAGCCCGAGGAGTATTCACTGTGGAAGGTGGACTACAAGTACAACGATGAGTTGACTATGGTCTTCATGACCTCCAACCTGATTGGTGAGCTTGCCCATATTTCTGATGAAATTGTTTACTGACGTCGTTATCAGGTGGTTTCTTTGCTCGTCTCGAAGCATCTCGCAAGTATCTTTTCGGAGCTGCCTCAGTCTACGGCGTCGCCAACGACTCCGTTATCCAGGGTGCCTTCTTGGTCCGAGGTGACGAGGCCCTTCCCGCCTTCGATGTCGCTCCCGACTGGGAAAGCTACGAATTCACTAAGCTGGACCCCAGCAAGCCCGAGGACAAGGCTTTCGTTGAGGACCAGTGGTCGTGGGACAAGCCAATCGAGGTCAACGGCAAGAAATATGACTGGGCTGATGGCAAGGTCTTCAAGTAGATGACAAGACTCGACGAATTGTTTCGCATTGTTGAGATGCTGTGATGATTGACGGATGCGCATGGGCATGCATATGATATGACGGGTGAGATGTCCTGAGGACCATTGAGCAGAAAAGTGCAGACTTCACGTTGGTTGGCGTCTCCCGATTGAGACCACTGCCAGCAATGCAAATGGTAGATGTCTACGCCTGCATGTACTTTACCTCCATAGAACAAGCGAAGGCAATGAAGCATGTGCTTACGATTCCATGAATTGCTAAAATCCGCTCGATCTTCCCTGAGTAATGCAAGCACCGATATAGATTTGAAGTAGCTACAGCCTTGATGTATGATCACTCACATTAAAACAAACAGCATAGGTGTCGTTGGATTGAGTTCAATGGGTAGTGGTGTCCTAGGCGCTGAGTGCAACTGAGCGAGGTTCGGACAAACCGCGGATAAATTGGCCCATTCACCTGTTCGTCCAACGTATCCCATGCCTGCGACACTCCGTCGTACGGACAGGCCAGTGAGGCCGTGAATAGGAGACACAATGTTAAGCGGCATTCTTCTCTTCAATCAGAAGGGTGAGAATCTCATCTTTCGAGCATTCCGCCCCGACTGTCGCCCTCGACTCGCGGACATCTTTCGCATTCAGGTCATCTCAAACGCTCAAGTCAGATCACCCATCCTCACTCTAGGCTCGACCACGTTCAGCCATGTCAAGCACGAGAACATCTACATCGTGGCGGTCACGAAGAGCAATGCCAATGCCGCCGTGGTGTTCGAATTTCTTTACAGATTCGTAGCCCTTGGGAAGCAGTACTTTGGGAAGTTCGATGAGGAGGCTGTTAAGAACAATTTCGTCCTCATTTATGAACTACTCGATGGTACGCGAACGAATTGAACGTTGCAGGAGTCTGACTGACAGATATCACAGAGATCCTCGACTTTGGATACCCTCAAAACACCGATGTCGACATTCTCAAAATGTACATTACTCCTGACAATATCTCCTCCGCAATTCGTTCCGTGTCCGCCGCACCAAGCGATACATCCAAAATCACAATGCAAGCAACGGGTGCTCAGTCCTGGCGAAGAGCGGATATCAAATACCGCAAGAATGAAGCCTTCGTGGATGTCATTGAAGACGTGAATCTTCTCATGAGCGCTACCGGAACCGTGCTAAGAGCCGATGTGTCGGGCCAGATCGTCATGCGAGCATACCTCACTGGAACCCCAGAATGCAAATTCGGCCTGAACGATCAACTGGTCATCGGCCAAATCACTCACGGTGTGGATGGTCCAATCGGCAACCAGGAGGGCAATCGCAAGGCCACTCGAGCGGCCGCGGGATCTGTAACCTTGGAAGACTGTCAGTTCCACCAGTGTGTCCAGCTGGGCAAGTTCGAGACAGATCGAACGATCTCTTTCGTCCCACCGGACGGCGAATTTGAACTCATGCGGTATCGGGCCGTCGAAAACGTCAACCTCCCCTTCAAGGTACACGCTATTGTCCGCGAAGTCGGCACCACAAAGGTGGAATACAGCATCGCCGTCAAAGCCAACTACGGGAGCAAGCTGTTCGCGACCAACGTGGTGATCCGAATACCTACACCACTCAATACTGCCAGCATTACTGAACGAACCACCCAAGGCAAAGCCAAGTACGAGCCGGAAAACAACTGCATAGTATGGAAGATCGCGCGCTTTACTGGAGGGAGCGAGTTTGTGCTGAGCGCCGAGGCACACTTGACCAGCATGACCAACCAGAAGGCGTGGTCGCGACCACCGTTGAGCATGAACTTCTCGTTGCTCATGTTCACTAGTTCAGGACTGTTAGTCCGATATCTCAAGGTCTTCGAGAAGAACAATTACAGCAGTGTTAAGTGGGTTCGATACATGACCAAGGCTGGAAGTTATGAAGTTCGATTCTGATAGAGTCGACACTCACGTTACCTCTCCCACTGAAAGAGGCTAAGAGCTGAATCAGGGGGTGTGACTCCCTTGATCAATGAACATTGCCCTGTCGCCGCCTTGGTTCGGTGCCCAATTTGCTTGCGCCATGCGCCGCTGAGTGAAACATCAATGAGCTGATGACTACCCTCGAGCAGATAGTCAGGCTGCAACTGCAAGGCAAATCAAGCGATTCCTACCTACGCTCAATTGCGCCCAAGAGAAGCGGGTTTCTGTCGTGCAACCGACCAGCGCGACGCTCTACTGCGACTTCCTCTTCGGAAGGAATCGGTAGAAATCGGTCAATTCAGACAGAACCATACCAGCGGTCAGATCGCGGATCGCGGTAATATCAGACAGTCTGATGGAAATCTCCGGCATGAAGCATGGTAAATCTGGTAATTCTATGGATGGCCAGCTCGCTGGAGCTGGCAGAAGATTTTCATACAGGCAAGAATGGTTGGTAGGTCCAAAGCGGACGGTGCAACTACCAACTCGAAATGTCCAAATCTGTTCTCGAGATTCTCCCTCCTCTTCGGAGACCTACGTTGCCTTCTCCTACTAAAAGACTCCACCGCGTGCCGAGGCTGTCTTTGTCCTTACCCAGTTTCCTCGCACACTCATTCCAGTCACGTTTTGAAAGCCTTAATTTCTCGAGTACGGTCTCTACCAGCATTCTATCATCGTCAATCGTCCAGTCAGGGTCGTCCAATGATGGGGACGCCCCGTATGCAGAGTCTCTGTCTGAGTACGTATTGACCGGACTCATGACGGGCATGTTGAAGTCTGCCTTCTCCTCTGGAGGAGTATCAAGGGCGCGAAAGTCGTCGGCTGATAGACCCATAGGTATTGACAAGGGAATCTTCCGTCGTCTTTTGGGCGTACGTATCGGTTGTGGTGTTTGCGGACAGTTTTCCATTAATGTGTCTGAGAACTCCTGTGGGGCGGCATCTTGTTCGAAGTAACTCCGGCGCCGTTTCTTTGAGCTTCTTGGTGGTGGTAGAAGTATCACTGGTGCGGGTGTAGATTGATCTGGTATTTTGAATGGATCCTGCCATTCGCGTGGTAATACAGCGGCGGGTAGCTGTGTCGACGAAGGGCCACCTAAGACGGCCTGTAGAGCGCGACAGCTCGAGGACAGCGGGCTCGGGCGCGCTTGTATAGAATGTTGTGGTTGATATGAAGTGAAGGAGGGCAGCTTTGGCCTCTGTGGTCTTGCATCGGGGTGCTGTCCTCCGTCACAGGAGAAAGCAGAGGGCAGTAACATTGCGCCGAGTTAGGGTCAATGCGCCGCTGGTGACGTGCGGGTTGCTGTAAATGCGCCGGAGTCTATTTCGAACCGTTTTGGGCGCGAACGATGAAAGTGACCGTACGAAGTCTGTCGCGCACGGGTATTGGAGCTCCGAATGGGTTGTTATAATGAATGCGATAGTGTGAGGGAGTCAATACTGGCGGTGAGGGATGAAAACGGAGACCGCAGAGGGAGTAAATCCAGAGGGTAAGCAAAGGATGCAGGAAGGTGCGAAGAGGTGGAGCGAGGCAACAGGCGCCGGGAAGGGACGGCGGGACGGTCACCTGCAGTGCATTACGGAGTATATTGTGTGTAGACTACGGAGTAAGCTTAGGGCCAAGGAGGTGACCCCCTGGTGTCGACTTGAACCTCCTCGTGCCTCTTCTAGTTCAATAGCTATCCCCCTCGCTAAAGATAAGGAGCTATATGTGGTATAACTTCCTTTGTCATCTGACCATCTGATCCTGTAAAGAGCTATGTACATGTTCGAGGTCCTCGTTATCGAGTCACTGGGAGCTTGATGGAATAGCTTTGTTTGCTGGCTACTCCCGATGAGCCGCCATATGTCCGATCTGTGACTCGTGGGTCAAAGTGCCAAATGATCTCCAAACGGCCATGCAGCTTGCTGTCAACCTTGTTCCTGGTGTCTCCATCGAAAAGGGCAAATCAATATCTCTCGATTGGCGTCGGAGAATATTGTCTATCAAACACCTGGTCAAAGCCTATAATTTCAAGACACTTGCGACGGAGGGAGACGGGAAGCTTGCGTCAACTTCAAGCCCATGATGAATTGGCGAACAGCTCGACCCAAGTTCCTTGATCTCCCTGAATTCTTCCTTTGCCGAATCGGAGCTTGGAAAACGCGCCAAAAAGGGCGACGCGTCGACACGATACTAGAAAGGGTAAGGCGTGATTCATCACATGACTGCTTTCGCGGCGACCTCATCTCGCTTCATTGTCTGCGCCTGATCTGGCCTTGTCCTCATATTTTTTCTGATCAACTTAATCATACATCATCGAGCCTCGGTCATGCGTACCAGTATAGAGCTAGGAGAGCCAAGAGTCCTCCGCTGATACACCTATCTATGTGACTATATGTGTTGAAGCCTCAATGCACAGAATGGGTGACCCGATATTGGCACAAACAATACCATAGGTTGACTCATTTCCCCTGCATTCCTGAACCAAGCCTCGACTTGCGAACAAAGACGCTCTTCCACTTCTCCATCTCTCATCCACGTGTGCAAGTCTGCATGCAATCTCTCACCCCTTCATTCTTTGTCGTTGTTTGCATTCCCCAGTCAGGTGCTTGCGCCATCTTTTTGCTGCAAGCCCATAGGTAGGTGAGAACGATACCTTATAATGAAATGGCAGCTGGTCGGAGCAAGCCTTGCCAATTGCGGCCAATATACGTCCCAAGGCAGTCATGTTCTCTCTTTGATGTCGGCTTGAGAGGACAAAATCATACCATGCTCGCCCGGTTCTTCTCTTCTTCCTCAGGTTTGGGCTTTTCGTTGCAAGACTCCGTCAAGTCGCAAAGATGGCAAACTTCCAACATGCGCTGTTGGCAATCTTTCTCAGCTTGAGCTTTGGCAATGTCGACGCCTTCTGGCGTATGCGCTGTGGTACTGTCCAGGTTGGACGAGTCGATCCCATCATCTCGCCTGGTGGAGTTTCCGGTCATGCTCATACTATTGCTGGAGCTAGCAGTAAGTGCATGCACAGAAGTACCGGACGCGTACTAACGATGGCCAGATATCAACACCACGTCGACCTATGATAGCCTCCAAGCCTCTTTCTGCACCTCATGCGAGATCCAGGCGGACAAAAGCGCTTATTGGACCCCTCAGATGTATTATCGACATCGTAACGGCACATTCGAAGACGTCCCTCACGATGGTACCGTCGTCTATTATCTTGACCGTGGTAATGACGTAGCCAACATTAAGCCTTTCCCTAAAGGCATTCGTATGCTTTCTGGAGACGCTGCCGCCAGAGCATATGACAATACCACTATGACGTGGGATGGATCAAATCCTGTATCCGGTCGAGTCAGCTTCGCCTGCCTATCCAGCGCAGAAGGAATTCCAGAAACGCCAGCCCTCAACCAGACCGACTGCGACGAGGGCCTGCGTGCTCAAATACAATTTCAGAGTTGTTGGGATGGCGTCAATCTGTACAAATCTGACCAGAGCCACATGGACTATCTGTCAGGCGTGGACAATGGTAATTGCTCCCCGACCCATCCAGTACTCCTTCCCTCCCTGTTCTTCGAGGTCATCTACTTTCCCAACGAGATCGACCAGACCGACGGCGGCTATTTTGTGTTTGGTCAGGGAGACACTACTGGCTATGGTTTCCACGGCGACTTCTTGAACGGATGGGACACTACAGTCCTTGAAGCTGCCATGTCCGAATGCATGGGTCCAAACGCGACCAACGATGGTGTCACTACCGCGTGTCCTGCGCTGGCCGCTGTCGATGACCAATATTTCGACATCAACTGCCCACTACAACCACCAGTCATCGACGAAAAAGTCACTGGCCTGCTCAACGTCCTGCCCGGCTGCAACCCGCCGACCGGCGGCCCAGCACGCGCCACACAGAACATCTGCCCGATCCAGCCGTACTACGAGAACATCACGAACCTCGACTACAAGAACCGTTCAGTCGCCACGCCTGGTGACGTGATCGCCGACTGGACGTATGTGGGCTGCGCGTTAGACGATAGCACTCCCCGACCCCTTGTCGGTGACTACTACACCAATGCCACCGGCATGAGCATAGAGACTTGCACAGCGTGGTGCGGCCAGAAAGGCTACTATTACGCCGGTTTGGAGGATTCGTCTGGCTGTTACTGCGGCAGTGCGCTCAACTGGCCCATCCAGAACCAGACTGTCTGCACCCAGCAGGACTACATGGCCTGCGCGGGCGACCTGTTCGAGTTCTGCGGCGGGTTCCAACTCATGCAGATCTGGAGTTCTAATTCGTACACGGGCCCGTCGATCAAAGGGCTCCCCGTGGTTGGAAACACGACATTGACGGTCGCCAATGGCACCATCGCAACATATCAGGGCTGCTACAAGGAGGCCGTCGGGGGTCGAGCCTTGACAGGAAAGTCATACATCAACGACACGACCATGACGATCGAGGTCTGCGCCGCGTTCTGCGCAGACGGAGGCTACGACCTTTTCGGTACCGAGTATGCTGATGGTAAGCCTTCGCGATCTCTATCGTTATGACATCGTACTGATTTGTGGTAGAATGCTATTGCGACAACAGCATCTCAACCTCGTCAATCCCGCAGAACGACTGCGATATGCTTTGCGCTGCCGACGAGACCGAGTTCTGCGGTAGCGGTGGCATATTGTCCGTCTGGTCTCTGCCAGGGTACATCGCGACGAGTTCCTCTTCATCTGGCACAAGCCCGACAACGCCGCTCGCCACCAACATCTCGTACATAGGCTGCTATTCGGACGGGGCAGTACGGGCTTTGCCGTCCATCTCCGAGGGAACAAAGATGACCGTCGACGAGTGCGCGCAGGCTGCGCAGAGTCAGAACCTGGCGTACTTCGGCTTGGAGTTCGCCTCGCAATGTTATGGCGGCAGCGTGCTCAGCTCGACTTCCACGCTCCTCGATGCCTCGTCTTGCAATATGCAGTGCGCGGGCAACAGTACTGAAACCTGCGGCGGACCTAACGCTCTCTCGCTCTACAATAACACGGCGTACGTCAAACCTTACAATCCGAACCCGGTGGATGTGTCGGGCAACACGGGGACCCAGTACAGTTACATGGGATGCTACCTGGAGGGTATTGGGAACAGAGCCTTGGGATCTACTGCCAAGTATACATCCGTCCAGGTCAACAATGGCAGCTTGACCGTGGAGTGGTGTGCGTCGTACTGTTTCGCCAACGCGTACGCCTACATGGGCGTCGAGGATAATTACCAGTGCTTCTGCAACAATGCCGGACCGATCAATAATGCTACCCTGTCTACGAACCCGGATGCGGACTGTGATATGAGCTGCGCCGGAAATCCGAAGGAGATTTGTGGTGGGGATAGCACATTGAACATTTACCACTTGGCGAGCAATAGTAAGAGACGTGGATTGAGGTCGCTGACTTGGTAGGACGTGGTGATGAAGCTTGACCAGGGGATTGGTCGAAAGTGGGCTAGGGCAGAGGAAAGCAAGAGGTATCATGCTTTGGATTTCTTTTCCTTCAGTATTTACTTATTTGCTTCACTAGTCTATACAAGGAATCTCAAGAAAAATGATCGGAATGGCTGTTTCTGTTCGCCGCCTAGACAAAGTCAATGCGAGTTGGGGCCGAATGAATGCCAGCGGTCAGTGACGGCCGACGAGCAGTGAAACCGGACGCCCGGGGTGCCTTTGTCGTCACCATCGGCATCGCTGCCTTCCTGCTGACCTAGGCTCTTCACAGATGTAGCTGGTTACCGCTCGACCTCTAATCTGATGTGTCTCGTTGGAGATCATGGGCCTTCTGATTCACAAGAGCTAATCATCCAACGATGTGGATGGAGGACGCCGTCGACATATCGAGTAGAGACGTCCATTTGTGCACGAGGGGCCGACTCGAGCAGGAAGTGCCAATCCTCTGGAGATCGACTTCACGCGTCATATACCAAGGCAGTCATAGGAACACTAAGGACGCATTCAGTGCGAAGTCCATGGAGCAGGAAATCTAAATGGTATTGTGGCTACTCAACTAACTCTGCCCTTGTGATTCCCTTTTTGTCTGCCCTGTCTTCGGCCTGAAAGGAAGGTCTTGCTGCCAGTATTCATCATGTGTCGCCCACCACCGCAATAAACAGTCATATTCCCATCCCTAATTGCCGGCTTTGCTATGTCGAAGCGCACGGTACTTTGGTATGATGACTTTTGCCCAATCACGAACGATTTTGGAGTTTCTTCCAAAAAATCTGTCCACGCATGGCTCGTGGAAGGGTACCCACCGCGACGCTATGTTGAGATTTCCATATAGTACAGGCGTACCCTCCATCCACACTTGTTTGCAAACTCTGAGAAATTGTGCCGAGCAACCGCCACTGTCAATGAAGTAGGCGTCGTCCAAAAGCTGATCCTAGGAGATGTTGTCCATCTCGGCCTCGGTAAGTTTCCCAGTTGAGCGTTTGAGACTGATATCGTTGAGTGAGGGGTCGGACGAGCAGAGAAAGACAAGGGTATCGCTGTCATTGACGAGGAGCTCCCGGTATATTTTATCGAGGATTTCTGGAGGATAGTTGAGAAAGCCCATGGGACCAGTGGGCTGTCGGCGGCGTACTACCGAGAGATCAGCCATTGTGGTGAGCGTGACTTTTTGTCGATGCTGTAATATGGTGATTGCTTGAGATTGTGTCTTGTTGGAGTCGTGATGCAAACGAGTGCTTAAGAGTAGATTTGAAGGCAACCTGATGATATGGCGAGAGGACCAGACGACAGTACAACTGATGTTGTATGCAAATATAGCAATGAAAGACTGCTCAAAGATATCTGTAAGTCTGCTTGGTTACAATCGGTATGGAAGTTTTGGCAGGTTTTCGGAAGGATGAAATAGAGCGACGTGTTTCCCTCAGCGCTCTTTCCATGGTTGTATGAGGCAGTCATCATAGTCGTTGGCAGTCGTACAGGCGCAAATGGCAAGGGCCGATCATGCAGCTTTGTTGTTCAAAGTTTGCTCCTGTCCAAAATGGCTTCCTTCATCGTTTGCTCTTCTTGGTCGCCATCTTTGCCTTCCTCGCACGTTCGGAAGCGAAGACCATGGAGTTCCTAGGCTTCCTCTTGGACACCTTGTGCGCTTTGCGACTAATAGACCGGGCCTTGTCCGAACGAGATTTGCTAGGCTTCATGCTGACACCCTCACCATCGAGCTCCATCTCTGTGTTCGAATGAGTATATGTTGCATGAATCTGAGAAGTATACGAACCTTCGGAACCACCATTGGTAGACTGTTCACCTCCTTCTTCTCGAGGTGTGCTGTCGACTTCCATAGTCTTGTCTTCGGTCACACGAGGCTTCGCTGCCAGCTCTTGCAATTTCGCAGAAAGTCTTGCCGTTCGAGCATCATGGGCGGGACCAAATATTTTCTTGCGCAAGATCCGGTGATTCTTTTTCGTGTCGGAGGCTCTGGCTGATTTGGCCATCTTGGAAGGAGGATTGGACTGCGAGATGTCTCCTTTACGAGGTCAAGAGAAATCCTGTGGTAAAGTCAAGGTTGGGCGTGGTTTTCGCTAAGCAGAGGGCAAGTATTTTTTTTTGAGATGCCCGTAAAGTGACCGGACCGAAGTTTTGCAAGCGATAAAATGGGCAAGGATGGGCACCGGGCACTGGGCACTGACTCCATAGAGAAAATCTGTGGAGATAAGCGCCACTATTGATGCATCCGCCAGTCGAATGTCATTCATTCACTTCTCTTGGTACTACTCACTTCCAACTTCAACGCCGTCCATTCCATGCCGTGGGAATGGAGCGCATCTGGGCTGTTCACTGTGCCCCTGCTCGCTCACTCATAAACATGTTCGTCTATCACCGATAGTACCATCCTTCTGTTACACTACACCAAGTTCGAAACCTGCCCTCGAGGCCAACGTTCACCATGGCTGGATATGCGCATGATCAGATACAGGTCATGGTGGCTGAAGTAAAGAAAATGACTGTGGAAAAATTGAAAACACTTCTCAGAACTGAGGGGCTACCGGTGTCTGGAGTGAAGAGTGAACTACAGATAAGGACTATCGCACGTACGGCACCGCCTGCAAAGCCTTGCACTCCTGCCTCGACACAGCCTGACCTTGACCTCGAACAGACATCGAAAAACTGCGCAACGCAAATGATCAATTTGGCTTGAATAGAGTACGAGGCAATATTGGAGGCATTCGTCCCTCACCTTTCAACGACCGCCAGTACCTTCCTCCACCTTACTCTGCGCATACCCCGAACGCTTCAGCTTCTCCTCAGTTTACGTCCCCCAATGCCTCTTACAATATGTCTTCGACCAATACGTCCTTTCCGCCGAGTGAGAATGGGATTCCTTAACGCGGCAGACACATATCTGACAGAACCCAGGTCGCATAACTTTCAAACGATCGCCCTTCTACACAATAATGCGACCGCTGTCCCAGACGCTAGAATGTAAAGGTGAATTATGATCATCTCGACTGTCGATTGACATTCATTGACACGATGCGCAGCCAGAGAAACGACTCGAGATACAGCCCGCCTCTCAGTGGCGCTACCGCAGCAGGTCATTGATCAATTGGAACAAGACTCATCATGTCGAATCATGGTATTTTGTGCCTCGGAAGGTTTCCAACCCTTTTCCAGAGAGTCTGAGATCGCATTTCCCCATAACGTGGAGCTCAAATGCAATCAAGATGAGTGGAAAGGCAACTTGCGCGGTCTGAAGAACAGGCCTGGCTCGACAAAACCGGCTGATATTACCCATCTCATACGAAAAAAGCCCGCCAACTATCCAAATACCGTGGAGATGGTGTACGCTCTTACGACCAAGGTGTGCCAGAACTTCTACTTCCCCTTTCCCCCTCCATTTGCGTGTCCGATCTCTAAGTCAAGAATCATCATGCTTATCAGGCAAAACCCGTACAGAAGTTTTACCTTGTGGTCAACCTGGTACAACAAAAATCCATTGACTCCTTGGTTTCCGAGATTCGACGAGGGCGGGTGATTAGCAAGGAACAGGTCTTACGAGAAAGTGAGTATTCTATACTTCCGAATTGAATGCTTGCTAACATGCTCCAGTGCGATCGAAGGCAGACGACCCTGACATCGTGGCGACATCAAGCGTGCTCTCTCTGAAAGATCCTGTCGCATACACCAGAATAAGCACACCTTGCCGTTCCACCGGGTGCAATCACAACCAGTGTTTCGATGCAGGCTGTTTTCTTCAATTGCAAGAGCAGGCGCCAACGTGGACATGCCCAATCTGTAACAAAGTGGCCTTCTGGGAAAATCTGGTGATGGACCAATATGTTAATGACATATTGAATGCCACACCGGGCGATACAGAAGCCGTCACGGTACAACCAGATGGCCAATGGTCAATTCAAAAGGATGCGGAGACAACCACGAATCGTAAATCAAATCCGACGCCTAGTGACGACGAGGATGACGATGACGACGATGATCTAGTCGAGATTGCCGGCGAAAGATCCGAGATACGTCCTAAGGTCGAGACGCTCACCCCCAGCAGTGTCCGGACACCGCCGTTATCTTCCAGAGCAGAGTCAAATGCCCCGTCAGGCATCAGGTCTTCGAATAAACGGTCTCGAGAGGACGTCATTGATCTCACTCTCAGCGATGACGAGGGACCAGCAACAAAACAGCCGAGACTGCCAGCTCCTTCGTCTGTCCCATCAACATCACGACCTCCGGATCGATTCCGCTTCCAATTGCCCCCTCCGAGCTCATCACCCGAGTACGACAGATACAACTCAACATTCTAATATTGTGTTCTTCTTCATTCAGCATTTAGCGGCGGAGTTATGGCGACAATGGGTTGAAAAGAGCTGGCAAATGCATTACGATTGGGATGGCGCCACATGCCTCCTCAGGTCAGAGTCTGGTGGATTGGAGCGTGCGAAGTGCACCCACAGAAGTGAGCGTGGAAAGACTCAATGAGGTCGTATGTCATGATTGTATTGCCACGACACGAGAAGGAATCTGGGCGAAAGGAGCCGCAAATCGACTCAGGAGTATGTGTATATTAATGAGCATTCACGTCGACAAAGCGGGGCGGTCACGATCGCTCAGATACTTCTTGGACAGACACTAAAAAGTCACTGCACAGCATGCATTCACCATGACGGGTTCGGACAACATCACCTCTTCACAAGTACCGCACATACAGTCCACCTTTTGGCTTGCTGCTTATCCTCACCTGACCGAATCGGGAGCCATGGTCGGCAAACACCATTGGCGTCGATTTCGAAAACACTTGCGGCTTTCAGTCGACCCTGGACTGCTCGAAGTTCTTCATCCTCGTCTTCGTCTTCATCGCCCGCCTGGTCTTCTTGCGTCCACTCCCCAGTCGCGATTTGAAAAAAGCCTCTCACTATTGCTCGTCCGGTATGAAAGCCTGCAAGAACGAATGCGCAAGCATTTTCCTGCGAGGAGTCGAGGTAGTGTAATATCGTCTTGACCAGGTTGACGTGCTGGGAAGGCATCCACAGACAGTCTGCGATGATGATTCGGTCGAACGTCTCCGGCTGCTCGGGCGCCAGCTTGCCATAGTGGTTTGGCAGATACATCTTGGTTGTTCCCCACGTGTATCCGAAGACATTAACGACAGATTTCGAACTGGTGTGATCCGACCCTGTTCTCTCTAGAACGTTTTCTCTGACGTTCTGCTCGATCGCACCCATTGTCAGGGCAGGAGATGAAGGATGGTCCGTGATAGTCACGTTCGCAGCGCCAGACAGCGCAGATATTAAGGATGGCAGAGCGGTTCCTGCCGGGGCCATGTTAGGAGATTTCTTGGGGTATGAGGCTCATGACCTACGTCGTGTCTCACGTACCAGCACCCAACTCGAGCAGTCTTTTCCCTCTTACATCCCAGTATCGGCTGTCCCAATCCACTGGGCTATGTGTTGTTGCATCCTGGCTACTGGCGCACTCGATGGCATCCGCGGCAATGACACCTGCATTCCACAGGTAATGCGCAAACAATTTTCTGCCTTCTTCGACGTCGGGATGCGATGGAATGCGCAATGGGATCTTGCCGAAGCCGGGAGAGTCGTATACTACGCTCTGACCGGGCGTACCGTGGCTGTTTTGTGTATCGTCGGTAAAGAGGTTTGAAAGTGCGGACTCGAAGATGTCCTCTGTCTCTGGCGCTGCGCGGAGGGGAGCGCACACGCGAGAAGGGAACATTGTGGGACCGCAAGGTCTCAGTAGGTTTGGTTTAAGGCGTGAGAGGGCTGGTCGCATGTGCGAGCCAACCTACGACATCTCCAAGCTCCGCAAGTCGCTCAACAGTCTTAAGGCCATGTCGAGTGCAGGGAAGAGAATTGATGCAGACGCAGAAAAGTGGTCGATGGAATTGCAATGAGGCCTGACCTCCGCAGTGAAATGCGGGGTTGACATTGAGATAAGATTAGATAAAGAAATATTTCTCTTCGATGACCTGACTTGCTGTCTTCAGAGTCGACATCGCATGTCTATTTTGCTTGAGCAGCATTCTCGCCCCTAGGTAAGAGGTAGGGGACTTCCACCGCAAGATGCCCTCGCCCTCAAGCCAGCCCACACATCTCGACCCAAGTGAGCTCGGAACGAAGGAGTAGTGAGTGCGTTCCCTCAATCGCCAAACCAGGTTTCCCAGAGATATCTAACGGGCAAAAGTTGGGACAAGTACTACCAGAACGATCTTGACAATGCAGACGTCGAAGACGATGACGACGAAGAAGATGAGGACCCGCCAGACCCATCTGATCTAGAATCATGGTTCGACGACGTTGGCGCACCAGCAAAGACTCTCGAATTCTTGACGTCCGAGACGTTCCCACTGTCACCTAATTACAATCACTCTGGCTCTGGCTTCAAGAGCCCATCACATCAGCCGAGTGTTCTTGACCTTGGCACGGGCAATGGAAGCGCCTTGTTCGCACTGCGTCTCGAAGGAGAGTACTTAGGCCGTATGGTCGGCGTGGATTACTCGAGGCAGAGCGTTGAGTTGGCGAAGAAACTTGCCCGTCAATATGTTTGTACCTCGAAATCCGACGAAGGCGTGGCCGCGAACGTGGACTCGGAGGCCAGTGATACAGGGGAAGAGGAGATCTCTTTCAAAATCCTAGACCTCATTCACGACACCCCAGGCGAACAAGAGTGGTGGCCGTCCGCGGAGGGTGGATTCGACCTGGTTCTCGACAAGGGGACATTCGATGCGATTTCTCTTTCATCGGCGACGGTACTCGATCATGCGACAAACCATGAGCGGAGGATCTGTGAGATGTACCCAGCAAAAGTTCTAGGGATGGTCAAGCCGGGAGGCTTTCTTCTGGTGACAAGCTGTAATTGGACGGAGGACGAGGTCGTCTCGTGGTTTACGAACGCTGACTTGAGAGGAACTACGACGGGAAAGTTTGACGTATATGACAGAGTCAGATACCGTGTCTTCGAGTTTGGAGGGCAGAAAGGACAGGGAGTGGCGAGCATGTGCTTCAGGAAGACAGAGACAGCTGGTGAAAGTCAATAACATTCATCTGACTACCCCAGGTGTTAACCAAATCGATTCGCTAATCGCGTATCATGGCGGAGCAGAGCTGTACTGCACAGCACAGCACATCTGCAGCATGCGTAGGCAAAAGGAGTTACACTCAATGCCGGTTCCTAACTCATCAACATGTTCACGGCCCATGGGACGGATAATTGTCGCAAGTCGCCGTAGTGCTGGCCAACGCCAATAAATTGCACAGGCACAGACGTTGCGTGCACCAGACTTATCATGGTACCAATGCCCGACCCAACCGTGTCGATCTTGGACACAATGAAGCCATCGAGCTTCCGGTTCTTTCCCAGTGCTTTGGTAAAATTCTGTGCCTGCCCGACCGAATCGTTTCCAACCAGAGCCTCCGCCACCTGGAGAATCAAGTCTGGCTGTGCAAAGTCGACGAGCTTCTCCAGAGACGCCATCAGTTGCGTGTTAGTATGCGCTCGGCCAGCCGTGTCGATCAAAACAACTTGATAGTCGTTAGCAGCCGCAAATGTGACCGCATCTTTCGCCACGTTGGCGGCATCCTTGCCGTAGCCGCGTTCATAGATATTGACTGCTCCCAGGTTCTCGCGCTCAGTGAGCTCTTTCAGATTGCGCACATGCACATTCAATTGCTCTACTGCGCCGGATCTGAAGGTGTCACCGGCTGCAATGAGGACGCGGTAGTTGTTTTGCAACAAAAAATAGCAGAGCTTGGACAGATTGGTCGATTTGCCGACACCGTTGACGCCCAGGATGGTGATGACAAAAGGTCGAGGTTTCGCCTTGGAGCCTGACGGGTTCGCGACGGTCTCGATCTGCTGGAGAAGATCCAGAGATGATCTGGGGGTGAGGATTTTCCGTAGAGAATTCTCCAGGGCCGGCTTCAAAGCAGCATCGATTGACTCGAACGCGGCTGTCTTTTTACCAACCATTTCTTCCTCAACGCTGCGACATAATCGAACTGCAGCCTCCCGAGCGACGTTGTTGTTGATGAGATGTTCTTCCATAGACTTCAAAGGCTTGTCGAGGTCTTCCTTGGTCAAGGTCTTTCCGCCAACAATGTTTCTGAAGTACCCTGAGATCGCTCCGAATCTAGAGCCACCGGTTCCATTCGTGTCGGCTTTGCTAGCGTTCGCTTCATTCAGAATATTCGTCACTTCGTCACCAAGATCCTTGAGGACGAATTGACCCTGCTTGTTCTTGGTACCCCAACTTTCCTGACTGATTGCTTCTGGTGGCGGAGACCGGACACCTGCGTCACCGTTCGTCTCTGCATCAGTAGCCGAGTAATCGAGGTTCATGCCATCCGCCTCGTCAGCCATGCCATCCGGACCCCAGACTCGTCCTCTCTTCGTCGATGTTCTTGCTTGCGGTGTCGGTCGTCTTGCCTCATCTCCAGAAGACGCATTTGCAGACACAGCATTGGCAGCTTTTCTCGCACGTCTGGAACCTTTACTGCCCGGTCTTGCCTTCTCTGTCAACAGATGTCCTGGAAGTGGTGTAGTCGGACGGGAGGTATCCGGTGATTGAACGGGAGTACTCTGCAAAGAGTCTCCGTTCACCGCTGGCACAGCTCTAGGCTGCGCCTTCAGAAGCTGAGGTAGTTCTGGTGGTGGCGGTCCTCCAGTGTCTGCTTTTTCTGCATTCGTCTTCTTCCCTTCCTGCACCTCGACTCGGGGAGGTTGTGCGGTGACTGCTCCACCTGTGCTTTGATCGAGTCGGCGCAACTCCTCGTCGAAATATTTGTCGAACGGGTATTTTTGTGCAGCATAGTCCAGCTCTTCCAACTGCCCTCTGTAAACTTCGACAAAGAGGGTTCGGATATCGTCGAGTAACTTGTCAACCCAGGTAAGGTGGAGCAGAGACTGGTAGACAGCCACAAAGATTAGACCGAGATCTTTAACCAAGGTGTATTTCAGAGTATATTTGTCGTGCTTGTACGTGGGATTGCTCGAATTCGTTACCGATGGGCGCACTTTCTCCTCAATGAAGACATCGTTGATCAGATTATTGACGGCGGTTGCGCCGATGGACGAGGTTGACCTTGACCAGAGGACAACGCCGGAAGTGGTAAGGACTTCGAAGGCGTCCAGCATTTTGTAGCGACAGCAATTCTTTCTTGGGGGCCCAGACACAAATCACCTCACGAAAAGCCGGCGCAATAGAGACAAGGCATTTGTGATACTCTCCAACTCGAGGACAGTGACGTCCATGGTGGGCTGCGCCAGGATACTACTTCACCGTATATGGAGACTACGGCGAAGCATTATAGATGTTAGGTCTTGCTTTGTCAGGCAACAAGCACATGGTGCTGAAGCCGTCGCTGATAACGAGGTTTCACAGAGGGGAGTAGTCCATGCTAGACCTGAGTAGATGACTGATAGTGATTCACATTCACAAGATGTCAGTCTTCGGAGACCTTTTGTTTTATTGTATACCAGGCGTCGGGAGCACAGGACCTCCACTATATCCAAGGTCACAGCTCAACAGTCCAGTCAAGATACAGCCTACTCTGCTCCTACTCTCCTGCCTTGACCCAGAAAACATAGTTGATCATATCTTCTGCTCAGCCTTCGTCTCTAGCTTCTTGGCTGGAGCTACCACATCCTTCTCCATTTCCTTCAAGGCTCCCTCTGTGCCCTTTTGTGATTGCTGGTACAGGAAGATTCGAGCGCATTGAATCGTGCCAACAATGAACAGGGCGAAGTTCACTGCTGCAAGCCTATACAATCAGAGAGAGACATGTCAGCCAATTCATGTCATGAGCGCATAACCCGCCCCAGAGGGACATGGGTATCAGACAGCACCACCTGACGGGAGGAGAACACCTACAGCACGTTTCTTGGCTTAATGACGAAGCACCATCTAGTCCAGATAGATCCGGTTGCCATAAGAGCCAAATTCTGCGTCAAAGACAATTTCTCTGGTGGTCGGAGAAAGTCCGTAGCACCGGCGAGGACGACGCCCCATTTCATAACGGGAGCCCTGTATATGAAGATCCATAATCAGCATGACTGCCTCTTTGGTACTCTCGGTCATCGCAAGGTATGCAGATGTAGTGTGTCGGCTTATCATACCAGAAATGTACCGTCCGAATACCAACTTCGCTAGTCCATAATCTCTGGAAAATGCTTTGCTGCGCGGCCGGCGCTCCTTCAACCGCCGGGTTCGCAGCGGTACCCTGATATCGTCGGAAGATGGTGTTTCGGAACTGGAAGGGAGTACGCGATGCCGTAGACGAAGTCTGTCTGGCGGTTTGTTGCGCAAAGCGCATACCGAAGCGGGCGGACATGGCGAGGGTAATCAGGTCGTGAGATCTGGTGTCTGGTCTTCGATCTTACGGCCAGTGGATCCTCTGCGACGGCGACGGCGACGAAGAGGGAGAGGAGAGTGTCGCCTTGGTGTTGTAGAGACAGTAGATGTAGAGGTGAGAAGGAATATGAGTAACTCGAATCAAGGCAAGGTTTCGGAGTTTGAGGTGAGGAGTTAGTTGAATTGGGGATGGTTGACGGTCTTTGCCCGCTCCGAAAGTGCCCATTTGCACACTGCATCTGCACATCTTCAACCACGCCAAGCTAGATTCAGTAGCGCTTGGGGAACAACTGCGTTTCCAGATTGTGACAAGGCTACCAAGCTGCGCCTGTGCCATTGTACGGCTTCAAAGGAGACCTTGAACACGAGAAGCCGGCCATGGCCAGCAAATACGCATTCACTCAAGGCCTTCGTGAGCTGCGGTTCCATCTCTGCAGTTCAGGTCAGGGAAGCGAAGCAGCAAGGTATTTCCACGAGACTATGGACCAAACCAGCTGTTGCGCACGATCACTGACTACGTGATCAGATCATTCCTTAAGCGCGCATATCCCACAATGAAGCATCACAACCCCAGTACCCCGATTTTAATACGAGAAGCTACGGGTGTAGAGCCAAAAGTGTGGGCGAGATATGGTACGAGGAGCATTGCCTCATGATTGCTGTATAAGCGGGAAAGCTGATTGTTCGCACAGGACTCGGAAAAGAGAAAGTAGAGTCATTATCGGGTGAGCTTTGCCAGTGTCCCGACATCGACTGCCGCAGCTGACCGAGTTACCGCAGGACTTTCGGCCAAGGAGATCGAAGACAAAGTCACCACGCTCGTGAAGAGCGAATAGACAGGAAAGCAAGAAAAGACAGGGAATATGCTGCAGGCATTTCATTCTCGCCCGAACACTATCAGATCGACGAAGCGACCTTTTCCAAAAGGAAGCCAACACTGAGCACATCCCAGGAGTGCTGTCTGTATAGGGACAGGATACAACTGTACATATAACACATCGCAAAACCGAGGTCGCTCGATATTTGAAACATGACACAGAGTGCTCAGAGCATCACGTATTCAGCTACTTATCGAATCCCAGTATAATAAACGAGCAGCCGCAGTGATCGTTGCTGAACCCTGGCCATGGCTCGTTCACCCCATTCTACTTCCTGCGTGAATTGAGGATATGGTCTCAAAGTCTCGATTGCAATCCTCAACGGTGCAGCCATTATCTTTGGGCCTTGATCGACCATCTTGTCCAGCATACAATATTCTACCGACTGGAGAATATTCCGGGCAGGAGCCGCAAAGTCCGCGCGGTGTTGTAGAGGAGGAAGATCAAAGACGTCTCCCTTGCAGTTCATCAGCGATCGTAGTCTGCCCATGGCCGAATCTGGATCGACTTCATCCTCTACCCTACCCAAAGTGGCAAAAGTGAGCTTGAGCTCGTTCATCAGACGATACAGCTGGACCATCCCGTGCCATAGCATCGTCTGGACAGACCAATGTACCATGACGCAATTTGCGATGGCCAGGTTTGGAAAGTGGAAGGCCACTGGGGAAAGGCTTTCGTCGTAATCATTGCTGCTTGTGTCGTCTGGCAATGGTTCGGGCCAGTAGAAAGGCCCAGAAATGGTCTCCCTCTGGCTCTCTGAAAGCATGTCCAATTCTCGATCCATCTTCCAGCAATGAGGAATCATGTGCAGTGCTAGTTCCAGCTGTCCGTCAATGTCCAGATGTGGAAACATGTCAGCTTGTCTTAGCAGTCCAGGAGCAAGTGCCAGATAGCCGTATACCCGGTCAAACCATGTTTTCGGTTCACTGCGCCAGGGAGTCTCACGCCAAGCAGGCTCGGAGAGGAAAGTGCCTACTTTTTGATCCAATGCGTACAAGACCTGTGTTCGTGTCAGACCGCAAAAGTCATGATATGGGATGGCCAAGTTACCCCTTGTATGCGGAAATGCACAAAAATCTGATGTCCCAAGCCTTCGGTATGAGCTTCGGGACCTCGAGTTTTCACAAGTGTCTCGCAACCTCGTGTGTGACTGATGTAAGCGTTCTTGGAGTCACCCGGACACTGGCTCATCTCATAAGTTGCGAGTGCGATGCAGGCAGCCAGCGTTTGATCATGGAGCATCAGCTCTGGATCCCAGAGGGCCTTTTGAAGTTGATGGAGTCCGTGGTTGTATAACTTCAGGCTCTCATATTTCAAGGACTGATCGTTGTATACATCGCTCAGCTTTGCTAGGCATAAAGCCATTGTGGAGAACTCCAGAGCAGATGTCATGTAAGTAAGTTCTGGAAGACGTAACAGCCACATCCTCCGCCGCATTAGCCCGACATTTCCTTCAGGCAGATGCAGGTGCAGATATTCCTGGAGCAGCTGCTGTCGGATGGCGGGAGTTGCAGACACTTGCCGATCTGGAGAAAATAGGGCTGTGACTTGGCCAGATTTACCAATGGCGGTAGGCTGGTCTGGACATGCATCGAAACCTTTCAATGTGTTTCGAAGATGAACGGACTGTTTCTCGACAGGGGGACCCGCCCCCTTCCCCGCAACCGGCTTGAGGTTGTTCTCAACTTGAGGTGTTTTGTGAGTGATAAATATGGGGTACTGTCTGTAACCAGGACACTCCCGCCTCGACTTGATGCATTGAGCGCAAACCGGTCGCTCGAGCCCGCACTGTGCAATTTGGCTCCAGTCAGCTTTTCGACTCTGCAGCAGGTGAAGTCGATGGAGAGCATTACAGCGATCTTACGCTTTCTGCAGGTGGCACAGCCTCGGCTTCGAGCGATACCAACCATCTATGCTGGGCACTGATAGCCGGAAAATGGAATATCTGCAGTGTTGGATACAAGCGGCGGTGGTGGAAGCAGTGAGATGAAAACGTAGTAAGCAAGAGAAGGCTGGAGGTGATGGGATGAATTTGGATCAAATAGGTCCATGTCGCGAAGAGAAAGACTGATCAACCAGTTGGGACCAGGGTGGGCATATCACTGATGGCAGTGGAACTGGCCTCGCAGAACATGTCGTAAGTGAGCTCGCCAACCACATCACAATACGTTGACTTCCGAGTGGGTTGAAAGAGAGCAAGGAGAGCTAAAGAGATATCAATATGCCTCGTGTTCTGGACATGTAAGCTAAGCCGTAAGAGGCACATTCTGCGAAAATGAGAGTCGTTGATTGGGCAGCAGCACATAATACGGAAAGTGCCATTTGTCCAAGGTTTGTAGTCTTGTCCAGGTATGTTTCTTTCCTTGATACCTGCCCATGCCAGAAACCACAGGTCAAGTCAATGACCGCAACTTCAGAAGGCGCCAGACAATCCCGTCGGCAGGCGGTGCCTGCTTGATTGTAGTACCTCAAGCCGAAGTTGTCAACGTCTGGTCACGTGTCCACGTGCCAGTACGGCCGAACAGTTGACCATGAAGTGCTATCACATTTCAATCCGACGCGTCCTTTTGACGACTAGACTCAGAGACCTAGAAGTTCATTCCCAACAACGACATCCGCCGCTGTCTGCAGCATGGCGCGAGGTCCTTTGCGGCGCGCCGCTAGCATCACAGACCTCCGTTTTACTCTTCGCCGGGTCTTTGGCAAGGACTCTTTTCGCCCGTTGCAAGAAGAAGTAATCACGGCTGTCCTTGCGGGCCACGATGTCTTTCTCTGCGCGGCAACTTCATTCGGCAAATCGCTATGCTATCAGCTACCTGCAGTGGTCTCACTAGGCGTAACAGTGGTGATCTCTCCACTCCTGGCCCTGATGACAAACCAGGTTGAAGCAGCTCGCAAGCTAGGTATTGCAGTTGAGTGTATCAATGGAAAGACAGGACAACAAGAGCGATTTCGAATCGAGACCGACCTTCAATGTGGCCATCCGGCCACCAAAATTCTCTATGTCACACCCGAACTCTGTGCCACGGCCCATTTCCGAAAACTCATTCTCACCATACACCGTCAAGGTCAACTTGTGCGCATCGCTATTGACGAAGCACACTGTATCAGTGAATGGGGCCACGACTTCCGCCCAGCCTACAAGGAGCTCTCATGGCTCAAGACCACCCTCAATTGTCCGGCTGTACCGGTGATGGCAGTCACAGCAACAGCCACACACCAAGTCCGTGAGGACATCTTCAAGTTTCTGGGTCTTGTTAATACCAAGACCAAGTCTTTCTCAACCTCCACAGCACGTCCAAACATCCATTATGAAGTCCAGTATTTCTCTGAGTCGAATCCGGAGAATGGTGAGGATGACGTCTTTCCATATCTCATGTCCAGGCTTCAATTCATGCACCAAAGAAGACTCATGCGTCTCAACTACTTCTTACAGCAAGATCCAGAGGCTGCCATGGCACCCATAACGGGCATCATCTACGTCTCATATCGGGCTACGGCAGACACTTTGGCGTCCAGGCTGACAGCCGCCGGCGTCCGTGCTCATTCATATCACGCCGGTCTGGAAGACGCGCAGCGATCTAAGATCCAAACTACGTTTCTGAGATATGCTACGACGGACCCTCATCTGCTGCAAGCGGATGGCGACCAGACACTCAAGTCCTCTTTCAACATCATGTGCGCCACTACAGCATTCGGGATGGGCATTGATATCCCGACGATCCGTTTTGTCGTACACTACGGTCTGCCGCGAGGCATGGAGTCTTTTGCGCAAGAGTCCGGACGAGCAGGAAGAGACGACAAAGCAGCCGCGAGTATCATCTTGTACACGCGCGAGGAGAAGGAACGTGCAGAGTTTCGAGCAAAGGGCGATGCCGGCAGGGAGAAAAGCAAGGCCAAAGCGGAGTCGAGGCTGAAATCACTGCAGAGCGTCATTAATTTCTGCGAAAATACTGAGGTATGCCGGCATGAGTTGCTGTCGCGCTATTTTGGAGACACCGCTGGGTCGGCACAGTGCTATTATGCATGCGATGTCTGCAAGGAAGGGCCGGTCAAGCTGAAAAAGCGGAAGGAGAGAGGAGTCGCATCCGAGTTGGAAGCATTTGCGTTCACTCAGAGAGAGTCCGTGAGAGATTATGATTATGAGTAACGACTTTACGACTGGCTTTGATACCCCATGAGAATAGCATAGATGACAGAGGACAAATTAGCATTGATCTGTAAATTGATTGATTGTATTCAACTCTTCACGTTGTAATAACCACCCGAGAAGTCCAGCAGCCACTGCTTCTGCACTTTACTGATATCCTTGATATACACCTTTTCACCGGTCTCCAAGAGGTCATGAAACACCACGAACTCGGCCTTGCGATTGAACATGAGGCTAGTCGGGTGTGCATGCATAGTGACATCGCCCGAGACCGACTTGAACGTGCCGTCCGGCTGCATCTTCGCGGCGTGCGCGAAGAAGCCCGTCACCAGACATTTTACTATATTGGTCGCCTTGTCATCCGCCGTTTGCGTCTTGGTAGACAGAACTGGTGGTAACGACGACGCGGCAAGTGATTCCTGGACTTTCACGCCCAGTCGCTCAAGGTAGCGTCGCAATTGATTGCGGATGCTGACCGCACGCTGCATAGACTTGAAATTGAGGTGGTTTTCGTGGCACCATTTTGCCTCCTTTTTGCCTTTTGTCACGAATCCTTGATACACGTTCAACAATGTGAGCTGGTCTCCTTCCTCGGCCGCGAATTTCCGGCGCGAGAGATCCATGGCTTTCTTCTCGCCTGTGTGGTGGAACCAGACATTGCCCTGTAACGAGGTCATCGCTGCTATGGTAAGCATTTCACTCTGACAGTTGAATCTTGGGTCGGATGAGGTGAGTAGGCATTTGGCCATCATTGGTGGGATGGCTAGTTCGGCCATGCGTGTGCCGAGCGGAGATGTGAGTTTCGCGTATTCGTCGACGGCGCCGAGGGAATAAAGCAGGTCGAATGCTCGGATGAGGAGTTGTGATGGTGGTGGCGAGATGAAGTCGAACCGGACAATATTGTCGATACCTAAGGCTTTGAGTTGCAGGACCATAGGAGCCAGATTTGAGCGCTGGATCTCAGGAGGAGTGGTGGCTGGTAGAGACTCGTACGCCGCTTGAGTGTATAGACGCAAGCATTTGCCTGGCTTCGTACGTCCTGCACGTCCTGCTCGTTGGATCGCTGATGCTTTTGATACCGGGAATGGTGTGAGAGTCTCGATATTCGTAGTTGGATTGAAGGCGCGGAGTTTGACGAAGCCACAGTCGATCACATAGACGACGCCTGAAACGGTCACCGAGGCTTCAGCGATGTTGGTGCTGAGGATAACTTTTCGAGTATTTTCTGCTGCTTCGGAGAACACGTACATTTGGTCGTCGGTACTTAGGCCGGCATACAGCGGAAGTGGTTGTAGAGCATCGGCTTGTGGGTGTAGAGTTGAAGCGAGTTCAGACAACTTCTGCATCGCCGTTTCAATTTCTTCCCTGCCTGTCAGGAAGATAAGAATGTCGCCCGGAGCTTCTTGTTGGTGGATCGTGAAGGCTGTTTGAACAGCCTTTTCGACATAGTCATCCGTGGACTGATCGAGGTAGAGAACGTCGACGGGGTGCGTACGACCTTCGATGCTGATTATTCGACATTGCTCGTCGGCGCCGTCTGGATCTCTGAAGAACTCTGCAAAGCCTTCGGCGTCAAGCGTAGCGCTACTGACAATGATCCTCAGTTCTGGTCGGCGCTTTTTGATCTTCTTCAACAGTCCGAGCAGGATATCTGAGCTCAACGACCTCTCGTGGGCTTCGTCGACCATGATGACAGAATACCTGGTCAACAGCGGGTCGACTAGGGCTTCCCGCAATAGCATTCCATCCGTGAGAAACTTGATTTTGGTTCGAGCAGAGGTAACATCCTCAAAGCGAATTGAGTATCCAACTTGTTCACCCACTTGACATCTCATTTCTTCTGCGACTCGAGTAGCGACCGTGGTGACAGCAACCCTCCGCGGCTAGACAATTCGTCAAATACATATCATGATTGGAAGGCCTTGACTTACCCACCTGAGTGACCGCAATGCATTTCCCGTCGGCACACCATCCTGCTCCTTCCAGATACTGGGGAAGCTGTGTAGTCTTTCCACTACCTGTCTGGCCTACTATTACCGTTACCTGATTTCTTTCGATGGCATAAAGTAGGCTGGCTTTATGTCTCGCAATTGGTAGTAGTGTGGAAGGAGTATAGAGCGCAGGGATGAAGGACAGGTCAAAGTCTGTCATGGTTATTGTGCTTGCCGGATAATCATCGTAGTTACTGATCCCAATGCACCAGTCTCGACACGATCTTCAACTGAATGTGATTGTCAAAAATACATTGACAAAGCCGAGTGGAAGTGAGTATGTGCACCGCCACAAATTACGCCACACCAGCCACAGCTCGTCATCATGCCAAGTCGTGATACGAGTTGACACCAGGGGAACAACACCGGGCGCCGGGAAAGCATGTGTTTCAACAACTCATCTGCCTGCCTTGTCGAGATTGTAACCCATTCTATTTATTCACAAACAATCCTATCATCCAGCAAGGCCTAACACTGGAAGACAATATCTGATCATGGCTAACAATGGCGCTGTAAGTATGCCTTTACCTATGCGAAGCCTCATCACTAACCACCAAGCGCAGTCGTCGCCAGTCTCACCTCTGAAACCCTCAGATGGACCACCAGAATCTCCTACAACAGCCCGTCCATTGGACTTCGACAGTGACCAGGAGACAGGTGTCGTATCGACTCCCACGAAATCATCCAGGACAGAAGCTCTACCCAATCCCCCACCCAAAGACGAACCTGCCCCGCCAGCGAAACCTGCGCGACCATTGAGTCCTCGTGAACAAGCAGAGACTACCTTGAAAGAAGCTTTTCCTACCATCGATGCAGCTGTCGTGCGGGCAGTGCTGACGGCGAGTGGAGGAAATGTCGAACCTGCTTTCAATGCTTTACTAGGCATGTCGGATCCTGACTCGCAGCGAGAGCCTGAACCTCCTGCCAAACCTCCTCGACCAGCTGCGCAACCACCAACATCCACCAAGATGAGTCAGTTAGAAGCAGATGAAATGTATGCAAGACAACTAGCAGAGCATTATAGTGGTGGAGAAAGGCAGGAACCACAACGCCGTGACCCGAGACAAAGATTCAACGAGAACCTTCCGGGCTCGAGGGCAGGACAAGGACGCCCAGGTGGAAGCCCGAATCCAGACGATGTCCCATGGAGGAGCTTCATTGATGGTGAGTGCATCACATGAAAAGAGACAGGTCTAGACTAACACTCGTTCGACAGACGACCTTCCTGAGATCCGGGATAACATCCGCAAAGGATTTATCGAAACCCAGAGCACGGTCAACAAGTGGATCTCTACGTTCAAAAAAAAGCTTGACGGTGAAGATGATGGTACTTTCGGGGGACAACTCCCTGATGAGGAGCAGGCGCCTCCACTTCCTGTCCGGCGGAGCGCAGATACGCGAAGAAGCGCCGACATACAACGATACGATGCAGACATGCAGCCTATTGGAGATGACTTTTCGAAATTAGATCTTCGAGATGGGGAGGCACCACCTCGAACTTCAAGCAGACCACTAGCCAATCCGAATCTATTCAGACCAAGTACGGATCGTGTTCCTTCGCCAGCAATTGGGCGCAAGGTATCCTTCCAAGATGGTCCGCCTGAAGAAATCCGAGACATGTATTCTGCCTCGCCAAAGCCAAGTGTGACCACCGCGACCGCACCGGGATCAGGAGGAAAGACTAGCAAATGGCAACCCCTGGCATCGGTCGACCCTAGTCCGGTCACCGACAATGATCCATTCAGTCTTGGTGACAGTGACGAAGAGAAAGATGCAAAGCCTATTACGATGAAGGACGATGATGAGCTAGCGAAAGACCCCAAAGCCGAGGACGACCAGGTTAAGAATGCCACTGACGAAGCTATGAAGGAAGCTATTGGAACAGGCAGCAAGTAGTGGCGCTGTTGTCTAGCGAACAGGAACCTATCGTGTATGCACTAAGGCACATATGCCCAAAACTCACGAATTACTCATGACTGTATTGTCGGGTCCATAGAGGCTATGAAGCATGAAGCATCGATGCTGGAGTCTAGCCGTCTTGTGCAGCGTACAGGCAGGCAATGGACTGCCTCTAATACCATGATCTTCCTGGTTGTCATCTATATTTATATCTTGACATCTCCAGCTCTCCCCGTACTCCCGACAGCGTCCATCATCCATTCGATTCGTTCTTGGATCAAGCGCGTGCCTTCCTCCATAAATTCGGTTGCTGGGGTTCTCCCAGCCTTTTCGGCGGCGTACTTCTCATAGTTTAACAACACGACCTGATTGACGTTCAGCCTTGTCATGCCCGCCTTCACGCACTCCTTAAAGATATCCGCCGTGAACTCATTCGTCCCATGCATGACGATCTGGACTTTATCCTTTGCGACCTCCCGGATACGTTGTAGTCGGGGGAAATCAAGCTTGATGTTCTCGACGCCGTGGTACGGGCCGTGTACGTTGCCTATCGCCGGCGCGAGGAAATCGATCCCCGTGGCGATGAACTGCAGTGCCTCTTCAGGCGTGGTGAGAATACCCTCGAGATCGCCTGTATCCTGGACGCCGGCTTCCCCGCCGTTGATACGTCCTGGCTCGGCTTCCGTGGCTATTCCTAGCTTGTGGCAGAAATTCACGAGTTCAGTGGTGCGCGACAGGTTCTCTTCTTTTTCGTAATGCGACATGTCGACCATTATGCTGTCGAATTTGCCGGTATGCGCGGCGCGCTTGATGGCCTGCTCGCTTTGAGCATGGTCGAGATGTAAGGACATGGGCACACTGGCGCTACGACATACGTCGGCGGCGAGATTGACGAGGTTGTCGTAGGCGTAATCTTGGGCCCATGGGAACAATAGAATTTGACATGGTGAGTTCTTGGATTCGGCGGCACGGCGACATGCGATGATGGCTTCGAGGTTGTAGCATACTACGCCGGGGACACCGTAACCTCCATCCGCGGCGGCTTTGAGGATGCGGACGGATATGTTCTGGGAGAGGTCGGGCATTGTGACGAATGGTTCTTTGCGATAATGTTTGGGGACTTGGAAGGTGGGAAGTACCTCTTTGCTGAACCAGAGTTGTCGTGTCTGTCGTCGTTGATGAGTCTGGCCGCCTGGGATATCGAACTTCGTGAAGCTCGCACGTCCACCCCGGTCAATCTCAACTCTTCAGGTGTATGAGTAGGTGCAGCGACGAATAGAATGATTCGGATTGAAATATGGGGAAATGTCCAAAGTCAATGATCGGAGACAAGCCGATGAAGATCTGCTGTCCGCTATGCTTCCGGTCTCTTCCCTGATCCGGGCGTTCGAGCACAGAAAAGTATTTAGCTAGTACACAGGTAATCTACCTCGGCCAGACCCCATTTGATGGTCTCCTCTTACTCTTACTCGTTCATGCTACATACAGGAATATGCAGAGAACGAACGAACGACAGGAACGACAGGGGACGACAAGCAAAGATGACGTTGTCGGCTTGTTTTCCGCGTGAGGGGATTGCGAGATAGACTGGGGGTACCGGTCATGGCCGGCGTGGGCACCGATGAGAGCCGACGGGGCTGGGAAGGCGGAAAATACGACTGTTGTCCTCATGTCCTCTCGTCACATCGGTCTGTGAGTGGGCGGGTATCATGTTGGAAGGAGATGGGTCAACAACTGGAATCTTTGAGGAATATAAGCAGGCAAGGCTGAGAGTCGCTCACAAGGCTGGGAGCCTTCACTCCAAGTTGGCTCGTAGAAAGATCATACCATATCCACCCAGTAATGCATTGATACGGCTATACCTGAAATAAGACCTGCTTCACCACATCCCTTTATTTCAACTTCTTCTGCTCCTCCATATACTCGATATACTCCTTGACTGCCTCCTCAAAGTTTTCCGGCTTCTTAAATCCCAGGCTCAATGCTAGCGAATTGTCATAGTTGTACGCCCACGAGTACAAAATTCTGGCTTGGAATTCGTCGTGCTCCTCCTTGATGTATTGTAACTTGTCCTCCCCACCGACCTTGGCCAGCGCATCCATCATTTCTTGAATCGTCACACAAATGCCCGGTGAGTTGAGCACGCGCTTGTGCTTGGGCAGGGCATCACTCTTCAAGGTGAGAGCGTATACCAGGTTCCAGATAAGGGTCTTGGGGTTGCACACGTTTGACGGGAAATGTCGGTCTTTGACGGGGACGATACACTCCTTTCCTTCTAGTGGTTCGCGGATGATGCCTGAGATGAATGCTGACGCTGCTGGGGCGGGCTTGCCTGGCCGTACGCTGATTGTTGGGAACCGGAGTACGAAGGCATCGATGAAGCCTTTGCGGTTCATGTCGTTGATCAGCGTCTCGCACATGAATTTGGCAGCACCGTAGGATCCTTCCGGTGTAGGAAGGACAGACTCGGTAATCACATCTGGTAGGGGACGGCCGTAGACAGCTTGACTTGAGGCGTAAATGACTCTTAATCCTGGTCTGACTTGTCGGATCGTCTCTAGGAGAAGCCGTGTGCTCTCCAAATTAACACTCATTCCCAGATCATAGTTGGCTTCTGATCCTGATGACATGATACCGTGGAAGATGTAGACGGCGTCCAGATCCGGTGTGACGACGCTGCGGTCTTTGAGTAGGTCGCCCTTGATACATGTGGCATTGTGAGGGTTTCTGGCGCCCTTGGGGACAGGGACGTCAACGATGTCTGTTAGGACGACTTTGTGCTCTGGGTTCGAGAGCAGTTCTCGTGCTAAGAACTGACCCAGGAAGCCGCCAGCTCCAGTGATGAGGACCTTCATGGCGGTGATGATAGTGAGACTTTTCAAGGTTGGTTGTGATTATTGATCGTCGTATGCTTTTCAATCGTCACCTCCGCGATCGAAAATGATGCTCCTTTGATGTCGGATGGATTTTTTGTTGGTACTGAGAGCCCAGAGACTTTTAAATGATTCCCTGAAGAAAAGAGCACTGTTTTCTCTCAGTCACGGATTTCCTGCCGCGCGCATTGAGAAATGAAGCTTCAGACTCCATAACCGCACCCATAGTTCGCACCTCCGCACTTGGAGTTGTCGGAGCACTCGGTCTTTGACGCCGGTGACAGAAAAAGCGGGTGAGTGATGGTGAGGGAAGAGGAGTCTGACCACAACTCGGGATAGTTGCAAGCGAGTATTTGTTTTCGTCTCTAGACTTAGCACAGAACTTCCTAGGATGCCATGGGTGGTCAGACTGGTATGTATTCTGATATGAGACAGGATACCAGAGTCTTGTATGCACTTTCTCAGGGTAGGGTTTTTACAAGATGGATATGCAGCGCGATCATGGCATTCAGATGGTGAATCGGCAAGCATAGAAGAGGAGGCGCGTTCTCGTTGCAATACTTGGTGTGAGCGTCTTTTTCCATAATGATCCTGTTCGAGGTTTTGCTTCACTTAAAGATTTTCCGAGCTGTAGTGAGGCTGTATGCATGATCGAGCCTTTATTGGCGAAGTACTTCGCGTTCTATCCCGTCACAGTGCAGATGTTGCAAGGAACATACTCAACAGGGTTTCGGGTGCTAAACACGGACATCAAGTCCTTAGGACACAAGGTCCTTCTTTATACACAGGATCAGCGTGTCAGGACTTTCCCGCCGCCTGCCTGACATCTCACAGTTCTATCATCAATCATACAATTCCCTCATCAGAATCATGCTGCATATCCAATCCCACCCCTGGTGGTTGTAGTGGTTGCCCTTCTTCTATCAGGACTTCTACTACCCATCCTGGGCAGATGCAAAGTCTCATCACTGGAGCTGAGTTCTCTTGTCTGCACGCTACTCGACGTCACGATCCTGTTGTATGGCGCAATATCATCGTTGTAAATTGACACCTCGTCTTCTGTATCGCTTGGAGACTCGAGCTTCGATCCAGCGCCTAAGCCATCGTGATGATCCTCGAATGGTCTAGGGTTCAGGCCGGATCCACGGCTCGGTGATGGGCTGTTTTGTTGCTCTTGTGCTCTCAGTCTGGCGGCTCTCACACTGCCTCCTCTCGTCGGCGGTCTCGTGCCGTCCTCCGCCTGCTTCGACTTGTCAAAGTGGAGACCGACGTGCAGAGGATGTTGCGGTACGAGGGATGGAAGATACTCGTTGCTTCGTCGGGGTCGTGGTGGAGGGTTGCTGGTCAGCGGCGGCATGGGCCAGTTCGTCCGCGGCGTCGAAGTGGACTGCGCCTGCTCGTCCGCGAACGGGTTTGCGGTTACTGATGGTGTTGTGCTGCCATCAGCTTGCTTGAAGACCTGCATCGGAATGATCTTCTTGCCGTCCCGACTGGCGCGGAGCTCGAAGTGTCGTGTTTTGTCCTGTTCAATGTCCCGCAAGAACCCCATCTCTCGGGCGTTATGGTCATCTCCACCGTAAGCCATCCCTATCCTCTCCACGTCCACAGACATACTGACGCTAATATGTCCTTTCGAAGTTTGTGTCTCGGAGACCCATGTGCCTTTTTGGTCAAGCTGCGCACCACTGCTGCCACCCAATCGTCCACGGGAATTCTTGGCTAGACTATTAATCGAGTCGACGAAGATTCGCCGGAAGAATGGCTTGAGACCAGGAGCACTGGCGGCAAAGAGACCCAGATACAGCTCCAGCAGTGACCATATCCAGGTAACCCACAACTGCCACGAAAAATCGTAGTCGACATTGAGGAGTCTGTACAGTAACACGGTCCTGACCAGACCGGCCGCTACCGCCATGAATCCAAGGGCGAACAGGACGTACAAGGCCATTTTTTGTCTGATGGGAAGGTCGAGATTGTAAACCAGGATCAGCGGGAGAAGTGTGCTGTAGAGATCGCCTAGTACGCTGAACGCAGCCGAGGCCGGCACTGCGACACCCTCGGCACCGTTATGCCAGTGATGCGTGGCAGCCCAGACGGGATCGAAGCTCTTCCAATAGGCGTGGATGGGGTCGTAGAGCAGGAGGATTCCTAGTGCGAAGGATACGAGGTAGAGGACGTTGTAGGCGATGCCGACCCAGGTGGCTATGAGAAAAGCCCTGCTGAACTTGACGCTGAGGCGACGATAGAACAAGAGCACGCTGACCTTGATCAGGGTGCTGGCGGCAACGAAGCACCACAGACTGACCCAGATGTTGAGCCGGGATCCGACGAATGTTTCGATCGGAATGTCCCAGACATGGCGACCGATGAAGTAAACCCTGTTGCCAATCGCCACAAGGACCGATAGAGCGATGAGGAAGAGAAGAGCGAGGACGATGAGGAGGTCGTCGAAACCAGGGGCTTTGGTGATGAAGAGCCGCGAGTAGATTCGAGCTGTGACGGTTGCTGTGCCTACCGCGGCGAAGATGATGCACACATACTCCAAGGCTGGGCCTCTGCTCTGGGGATCGATATAGTTTGGTTTGGGCCAGGTTGCAATGACTGACTCTGGGGCTTTGGGAGTGTGAGCATGGGCTGGCTGATGCGTCGGTAATAGTGGTACTCACGATGCAAAGTGTCAACCATCTTAGCTGTAGATCTGGTCGGACTTTTCGTATGCTTAGTCCTTTTGGCGCAGGAGCACAGACTTCAACAATATCACAGTCCAGACTGCATAGTATATGTATGGTGAACTTCAGGCTAAAGATGAGTTCACTGATCGGAAAGTATTGGTCAACAATACATCGTTCTCGTCAGATGTCAGGAAGGACGGCAAAAGAAAACGCTCTGAGGAGCTCAATGGATCTGGCGATGCTGGAGCAAGAGAAGTGAATCACTCTCCAGCAAAGTAATGAGCAACGTCAAAGAAGGGAGAAATCAGCAGAGAGGCCACTCAAAAGATATCGCAGGCTGATGGAGGTCTCAAGTGGGTTGGACCACCATTTCTCATCCCTTCCGCGGGCACGCTAGGGTAGTTCCTGCATAAGAGGCAACTGGATCCTTGTCGACCACGCCTGCAACAAGTCTCGACACATGAGTGATTCTCGGTTCAGGCCATGGTCATACGATTTGCCCATGAACAGCCAAGTGGATCGGAAATGAACATTCCGGCCATTAGCATCGAGCTGTACCTGAGAAAGAGGGTCAAGCGATGGTAACTAGCACTGAAGGCTGGAGATAGATCATCATGGATGTATCGGAACCACGGATTGAACGAGACCAAAAGTGGGTTTTCCCTCTCAGGTGCAGTAAATCTGTGGTTTCTCCCTCGATCTCGCACATGGGTTTTTGGCGAGAAGGAAGAAAAAGCTAGGTTAAACCTGTCAGACTCGTGGGGAAAGAGAAGAAAAGAGGTTGGAAGGAATGCATGCGAGGAATGTCAGCTCTCCCAAGGTCTCCACCTCAAGGCATGTGGTGAGTCGCTGACTCTGTTGGACGGGTGAGAGACTGCTGTCTTCAGAATCTGGAATCTGTCAGATCGGTCAAATGCTCGCTCGACTTTTGCGATGTTTCGGGACGTCAAATTGACTGTTCCAGGACGATTGACGATGAGAGATGTCCTCTTCTGTTGATGAGAACACCAGTCGTCAACGACTCCAGACACTGATTGAACACTTGACGCGTCATGAAGCGAAGGTTGAAGAGAAGATTCGGTTGCCTTCCTTTAGTGGCTCTCCACTGCTCTCGTATCGAGAAAGGTTCCTCAGTGGATGTCGATGAAGATGGAGCATTGGAGACCCTTTTCATCCCTGACAGACACGCGATTGACGGGGCCTAGACTAATCCTGTTCATCTCTAGGCGGAAAAAGGAAGTCACCGGAGAATTGAGATTGTGAAACAAATGAGCGTGAACTCAAATCCTCGGTGGCTTGCGATATTCTGTTCGCTTTGGGGAAGCACTTCAAACTCTGCTTGTTGGTACCGATGCTGGATGCTTGTACAGGGTTGACAAGCTTCGTGGACCCTGACACTGCAACGTCTGTGCTGAAGATCCTCGTCTATCCTTTTGCTGGTATTAAGCCGCCCTCATACGAGTAACGAACTCGTTTGATGAGAGGCGCCACTGACCGGTACACCATGCAGCTCCGGAAGGATTTGGACTCGTCATACATATACGGCGGCAAGGCATCGATTTCCTGGTAAGCTGCTATATTGCAAGCCCCTTGCTCAAGGCGTTCGGCATTGGCAACGGCCATGTTTCGTGGTGAGACGTGGAAATATAATCTCTTTATCAATGTTCACCAAGACCAACACTCGCTTCAGTCGCAAAGATGCCACACACTTGTCCCTGAAGTCGTTCACAAGGAGATCGGCAAGGTTCAAGTCACTGAAGCAAGAACACCCTCCTTTGTGATCCTTTCATCAAGCACCATCAAACAAGCTAATTCGCAAGGGAAATCCTTCAACTTGGCAGTGGAACTCCAATCGTAGGCACTCGTTCGAGTCTCTGACCTCAATGCCTACGGCTGCGGGGATGTATACTACTGTAGGAATGGTCACGGAGGCAGCGTCGAGCAGAAGTCTTCCCACCATGGTTCGCCCAGACGCAAGAACCCCATCACCCACTCATCGCTAGGGAGCTCGTCTAATAGCCGAATTGGCTCCTATCATGGAGGCTAGCAAATGGACCTCGCAAGGCTCGCCTTCATTGTTCACACTTCTAACAGCATACTTCCAACTACTTTCACCTTTACCGGGCACGCTGGTAGGAAGCATGAGTATGCGCTGTCTTGTCGATTCCGATGAGTCTCATTCGGCAGGTGATGTCCTTACGCACGTATACAACGACATCGGCTCTTTTGCCTATGCTGGGTGCTGAGAGCACGGATAAGACTTAGGCTTATCTTTTAACTGGAACACCTAAAATCCTGGGCACTTCGCGCCCAACTCCCAGGTGCTGGTCGTGGCATCTCGAGCCCTAAAAGTGGTACTTTTAGGTATGGAGTAGGGACGGTTCTCACACCATATTTACCTGGTATACAGCACTAGTGAATTGTACTACCTAAGTCCCAATGTACTGGGAGCGCAAAATGCTACCGACAAGGTACTAATGATCGCATTTACACCACCATTGCGGCCGTACACATAGCCAAGCGCTCGAGTGCTTTTGGAGAATAGCTAGCCTTGCTCAAGTCTCCCTCCTAGCTTACAACCTCGGTCTTGGACCAACTGACACCTCAGAATACGAGGCAAGGTCAAACAAGATGAAGGTACCTTAAGGCAAGTTGACTACCTTCTTTCTTTTTTTAACCAGCACCTACACTGTCTGTGCCAGTCTTGTCGTCCCGCACCATGGCTGTCTCTATCATCACGCGCATACAAGGCTACTCCGTGCATTGGGTGATGCTCGCCCTGGCCCTTGTCTACCTGCCCATCACTTTGATCTCGCATCCATTTCTACTGATCACATCTCCCTCCTCCTTCCGATCAGCATGGTTTGAAAGCTATTTCCGCATTTTAGGACCACTGTTGGCTACCTCGGACCTACAGGCTGGCCACGTTGAACAAGTCCTTTCCCGCGCCAAGGGCACCGTCCTCGAACTCGGCCCCGGAGGAGGCGACCAGATCTATCACTACAAGGCCGACCAGGTCGACAAGATCTACGCCGCCGAGCCCAATACGTTTCTGCATCCAGCGCTTTTGCGGAATGCTGAGAAACACGGACTCAAAGGCAAAGTCATTCCCCTAGAAGCAGGCGCCGAACCAGGTAGTCTTCTTCCCGCGTTGAAGAAAGCCAGACTGCTATCCAGCACGACGTCAGGTCTGCCCGAGGAGGGCGTCTTCGACAGCATCGTCGCCATCAAGTGTCTTTGCTCGGCGCCGCAAGACCAGTTAGCCGCCACGGTTGCAGTGGTGCAGGCTCTTCTCAAGCCAGGAGGTGAGTTCCTGTTCTTCGAGCATGTCGCGAACGACAGCGATAAAGTCACCATGTCATATGCGTGGATCATGAACTGGATCTGGCCTGTCATGATGGGCAATTGCCACTTGAATGGGAAGGTGGACAAAGTCGTTTTGGGGACAGGTGGGTGGGAAGTCAGAAATGTGCAGACCATCGGCGAGTTTCAGGGTTGGGAGGTATGTTAACAAGTTGCTGAAGGTGTACTCTCCAGAGGAATGCTGACAGTCTATTTTCAGGTTTTGAGATATGTCAAGGGGATCTGCCGCAAGGCTTGAACGGCCATGCTTACTATGGCACCACTCACACGATTTGCCATATTCACAACGGCATTGATAGCCGGGTCGGGTTTGCAACAGTAATGTAAAGCCATGAACATCAAGTGCAATGGAAAGACGTCCAATGGCGCAAGAATGCCCAGAAGATATGTGATTTTGGACTGTCGTCTGTACCTTTTTCCGTCAGGGCTTGTAACCACAACGCCGACCAGATGCAATCATCATTATCGTGAACATCATTCCATGTATAAGCCTCTCAGGCATACACAGCCTGCTTCTGCGGAAGTTCCGTCTCATACTCAATCTCCACACGACCCTGCTTCTTCCTCGGCTTCGCAGGCGGTGCAGCTCGTTTCCTCTTCTTCCCTGGTGCCGTATCTTCATCTTCCTCATCGCTCTCTTCGCCCGTCACTTCACTATCGTCCGACCCTTCGTCGTCCTCACTTCCCGAGAAATCCGCCTCTTCTGGACTTTCTTGGCCAATCCAGTCGTCGAAATCCTCCATCTCGTTCTCAACCTCACTCTCATCGAGGTCGGAAACATACTCGACCTCGCCTTCAGCCTCGAGTTCTTCCTCGACCTCTTGGTCGGCCTCCTCTTCTCCGCGCTCAGCCCGCTCAAGACCTCTAAGCACCTTCTTCCACACCCCCTCCTCGACATTGATCGGTCGATCACCATACGCACCGCTCCTCAATCGATCGATCAATTCGCGCTCGATCGCCCTCTCGACCTTCGCAGCGCTCTCCGCCTTCCGTTCTCTCGTCTCCTCCCTACGTCGGATCTTAGGCGCGAGTCTCGGCACAAGTTTCTCGCCCAGTCTCTCCTCCTCTTTGGCAATCCTCCGCTGCCGGATCGCCACTTGAGTCAACCGCGTGAGACGTTGCTTGCACTTATGAACATAGAATTTCGGCCAGTACATCAATTTCTCGTCGATCTGGGCCAGTGCCTTTTCGTAGTTATTCGGCAACCGAATCTTCTCCCACCATTTCGACGGCAGATGTGTGCGCTCGGGGCTCTTGATGAACAAACATAGTGCCCCAGTTTCAGGGTCGGGTCGGACAGTAGCGTAGCGAGAATTGGCTAGTGGGCAGGACTGTCGGTTGCAGAAACCGGTTAGGTTATGTTCATTGCGGCAGAAGTTCTGGGTCTTGGTGGTGAGTCTGAAAATTTTTGGGTTAGTTGCGGAAGGATTGCAAGGCGACGGAAGTGCCCTACTTTAATTTAAATGAGCAGAACTGCTGATTGATGACTTGCCAGACGATTTCGTCGGAAGACATCTTGTGGTCGAGGGACGAAAGGTATAGTGAGGTTGGCGAGGACGTCGAGTGTGGTGGCTCTTCTTCGACTTGCAGGATCAGCAAACAAAAATGTTTCTTGCCCTAGAGGCCGCAGGGCAAAAATTTGGCCCAAACGCGCGAAACGTGCCAAGAGAACCACTATCGGTTATCAGATGTTTGGTATGTTTGCCGGTAGATTACTATTACACAAGCAGTCTATGGACGCTGTTGTCTTGCTGTCCACTCAAATATGGAGGGGTGTGCTCAATCTCTGCTGAGAATCCGGGTGCGCTAAATTTTCCTGGACCGCGTGTGTCCCATGGTGAAGGCGGCGGGTATTAGCACGAGTGGGACGGGGACACACAGGATCGAGGACCGTTGGCTGAGAATACCTAACGTGATCGGTATTCGCCCTCAATGATTCCAAGTACCTTGCCCCTGGTCCTCGTCGTGCTTACCGTGCAAGACTCGTAGCGCTTGTAGGTGGTTGACTTGGGCCCAGCTGCATTCGAGGCCCCACTCTAACAAGCCAATCCAAATCGTTCTCATGTGGCTTTGGCCATCTCGAGTAGTATTGCCAGCGTCGTCCCTCCTTGTCCCATTTGCGGTTCGGTATCCATGCCTCCAGATTGTAGTAGTTGTCCCGCATATATATTGGTTGATAGGACGGAGGCCCGCTTCTTTCGAGGTAAGAGTCGGTTCCCTCCTCCGCTTCTGCATCGTTGAGGTGGTACAATTTCGGTTTTGTAGTTGTGATCTTTTCGCCTTTCTTACGCCATTTGGAAGCCCGGAGGATTGTGCGGGTCGTCACTTCGAGGTGTCTTTGTAGTATTCGCGCATAAGTGAGGGGACTCTGTATCGCCTTCGTGACAATCGAGGCATGGTGATCAAGTAGAGAGATATTCCACTCAGGATTTTTACCGCGAGGGATTATCGGGAGAGGCTCGCGATTCTCGAAGTTCGGTTGCCAATGTGCAAGGTCAAGAATGATATTAAGGTTGTTCCAAGCCAACACGCAACTCATGCAGGTACAGATACCTTCCGGATCGATTTGTCGGATGTGCTGGTATGGATTCCTGTGGATCTTGAGGCGATTCTGCCATTGTGGACTGAGTAATATCGGGTGAGCGTAGGCTGGAACTCTTGACAAAAGTACAGGTAGTGGGAAGCATTGTCTCAGGACCCAGTATCGATAACTCATTGCACCTTCTGCAATGCCCCTCTCATTGTCGAGGATGAAGGCGCGGGTATCCTGATTCAGGCGAAGTAGACTGAAAAGGTCGCTTGGACGCAGGAAGCTTAGCACAAGAGACAGTAGTTCAGGTGGGAAGTCGAGAAACGATTTGATTTCCGAATGAACCTTGCGTGACTCTTTCTTCTGTTGCCGCTTCTGCAACCGGGCGGTCTTTTTGGAGTGGAGGGTGAGTGCCGCAGTCGTGTCGACAAGCGGCTCCTCGTCAGAAGCAGCACTATCGTATTTGATAGCCGGTCTTCTCGCACGTTTCGGTGCGGTCGCGATGGCCTTGCCCTCAACCTGAACTGGAAGTTGGTTATCATCTTTCGTGGATGTGTAGGAGACTGCTATTGAGTCAAGCGAAGACACCGAATCCTCGAGCGACATGGCTCGGCTCGAACCCAAAGCGCCCGCATAAGACCGAACCTCAATTGCTAATGTTCGTCAGAATAGATTTGACCGCTCTGCATTCGTGGCGGCAATGGTGAGAAAATGCAGACAGAACGACGCCGCCTCATGGTGAAAGAAGTAGGCGACGTCACATCACCTGATCAGGCTGAAAAAGACAAGGCTGAGCATTACGGGGGTTCTGTCAAACTGAGTGAACTGCAAGACTTGCACTGAGGTTCGGACATCAGAATGCGGTATTCAACATCAATCTTTGTTGTATTCATCTAGCAATGTGCTTGCACCTATGACGGTCGTGGAAACTTATCTATGATTTCAGCCCGTTGGTCCTCTGCCATCGACTCTTCAGGTACCCTTCGCTACACTTCCCAGCATTTTCCTCCACCGATACCTGTTTCCTGCTTTCTGCCTTGATGTCCCTTCCATCGGTCTCGTGTTCCTCAGTTGGTACTTCCCTTGCCGTGTCGGTAGCCCTTGCTTGGGCCTGTTGATTGCTTGCCGTGCTCCCTTCCTCCACAACGTCCCCTGCTGGAGTTGTCAGCCACCTCGAAGGCATTGACTGTCCTCGCGACAGTATCTCCTACTCCCCGGACGGTCCTCCCTAGAGCGTTGATAACAATGGCTGGTGGCGACGACTCGAACTCTGCTTGCATCAAGCGTCGGTGAGGAGCTCACACCCGTGCACCTCTCTCCACTCAAGGTATACCCCGTTGGCCGCATTGTTCATCGTTGCTTCCTCCTCGGTTTCCTGCTGGCGACCGTCCTCCTCCATTGTCGAGCCCCTTTGTTGGCCAGATGACCATCCTTGAGATCCTCCTGAATGTCCTTGCAAGCTTGTTACCCTCTTCTCCCATTGAGATCCATCGCATCATATCCAACCGGGAATAAGGATGGTGGGCACGGTTTGCCAACCAGGAGGATCCACAGCCATTGGCGTTGCCCATCCTCGGCACCATGCACAACCCTCCTCTTCCTCAACAGGCGCCATCTCCTCATCCTCAAGCGGTGGCCATTGGAAGGGGCGGCCTTCTTGTTCTGCTTTCAGTCGACGGATGTGGTCCCCCAGACCCCAGGATGTTGTCCGTGGCTCCGGTCGGTAGCAGCAGGAAGCGAACTTGGAGTCCCCCCCAAACAGATTGGGTGCACGGTAGATCTTTGGTCTGCCCATGAAATCCAAGGGGTGTTTTTCCATTGGCGGTGCGGCTATTTCTGGTGATGTTGTGGGTGTGAAAGAGGTACTGGGTGTCGCGTTCGTGTCGGCCGGTGAATGTTGTACAAGCTTTTCGAGGTTGAGGCATTGACGGATGATGGAATGATTGAGTGCCTTGCGAGGTGAAGTGACGGGGAAGTGAGCAAGACCTTTGAAAGCAGGAATGGGCGATTGCGAGACGCGGGATTTGATGTCGAGGGGCTTGAGCCCATTAGCGATGCCATCTGCATGCAAGCGACGCGTGATCTCTGATTGAACTGGAGCAAGGAAAGCTTTGCTGATTCCGTTGCTCACTTTGGCCGCAACTGACCCGCGGAATGCTCGAGTGGCTCCCATCCTGACGAATGGCGGTATTAGTGTCACAGAGAATGGGTAATAGTCTGATGAGAATAAAGAGGTGCTTGTTATCGGTCAATCGAGTAAGCTTGCTTGATTGCAAAAGACGATTTGAAACGCTCGAGCTGGACGAAGTAAAGAGTTTTGCGGAGGTGAGCAATTGAGAGAGAACAAGAAAGGCTTTCCCACGGTCAGTGAAGATCGAGTATACCAAATTTTCAAAACTTAACCAGCCTCCATGGTCACCACTGTCACTGCTTCACTCACTCTGACCTGTAAGAAACCTCGACTGGTGAAGTGACAAAGCCCTTCCGTTGATAGTGAATAGACACCAGCGATCGTTCATAGCCCGTCAGAACAAGCATCACCTACCTCACTTGCGGACCTTCTGTGAACCAAGCCAAGAAAGACCTTCGGGACTGTTCTCGTGCCAGTCATATGGCTTCGAAACATATGATTGGCATCGTCGTGGTCTTGCAACCAGGCGACGCGATGGTCATCATAGGCTCAGCAGTGAAGCCACGCCTCTGTCAAGACAGCAGTCTTCCAGTTTCAAAGTACGTTGGGCTCGCCCCTCTAAGCTGTACCTATGGGACATCGACATACCATGATCGAGACAAGAAAAGCTTCGTGCTTGTCGCCAGTGCCATGTCTGTTCCATGACGCATATCACATGGAAGTTCCAAATGCCGAGTCTCCTTTTTAAGGATGTTTCTCCGAGCAAGGCAGGTGATTCCGGCCTTGATCGATCATCGCCATCATCTAGCAAGGATCCTGACAGGTATCGCGCTTGCTCTCACTGTCCCGAGGAAAGCTCTCTCGTAATGTTCTCGAGTTCGTGCTCCAGATATAAAGTCGGCTCTGCAATATTGAATGGCTGAAACGAGATTCGAAGAAAGAAGGTTGCTTCGGCGGCGCCGAACCTCAAGGACAATCGCAGCGGAGAAAAGCGCTCCACGAGTCCACCCACAATTCTCTTGACACCACACGCCTTATGAGCAAGTATCTAAAGTATATATACCAGAGAGGCAGAACCCTATCTCAAGTATGTTCTTCGTGATCTAGCCTGACGATAATCATCATGTACGACGCCATCGTGGTGGGAGCCGGCTTGGCTGGCTTGCAAGCAGCACTCGACCTACAGCGTCAGGGACTTTCAGCATTGGTCCTCGAAGCACGCGATCGTGTAGGCGGCAGAACGCTGACAATCCGCTCAAGCGATGGCAAGCCCAAAGCAGAGGCCGGAGCCGCTTGGATCAATGACACCAATCAGAGCGAAATGTGGAAGCTTGCTAAGGAACTGGGACTGCACACGTATACGCAAAATACCAGCGGCAATGTCGTGGTCCAGGACTTCGATGGCAGTTTGGTGAAGTTCCCGTATGGAGAGATCCCGGAAGTATGCTACTCAAGAGGTCCCTTTGTCATCTTCTGCCGCAACGCTGACACTCAATCTCTCAGTATCCATCGGCTCAAGATACTGAATCATGTGTCGCTATCCGAGATCTGGTCGAGAAATTGTCTAACCAGGACTTTGCTTCAGTGTCTTCGGCAGGCTCTGTCCGTTCACATCTGGACTCTATTTCCTTCGAGAAGTTCCTGGAGGAACAGAACTTGACTCCCAAAGCCCGTGCAACGGCAGGCATCTGGACGCATGCTATGCTTGGGGTTGATCCGTCGGAAACGTCGGCATTATACTTCATCGAGTACTGCGCTGCTGGTGGAGGTCTCATGACGATGCGATCGGACTGCAAGGATGGAGGGCAGTATCTTCGCATTCGGGAAGGAACGCAAGCATTCTCCTTGGGCATGGCGGCGAAGCTGAAACCGGAGTCACTCAAATTGAAAAGTCCCGTGGCTAGCATCACCCAGAAGCCCGACGGCACAGTCTCTGTGTCGACCAAAGCTGCCCAGATATATCAGGCGCGCAAGGTCATCATCTCGATCCCCACGCCCGTGTATAAGACCATTACATTTTCACCACCTCTTCCCGCAGCCAAAAAGGCTGTGGTCAACAGGACCAGGTATGGATTCTACACCAAATATATGGTCATATTCAGCAAACCCTTCTGGACGGAGAAGGGTTCTTGCGGTCTGGCGCAGTCATTCACAGGCCCTGTATCCGTTATACGTGACACCAGCCTCGGCGACCATGGATACACTTTAACATGTTTCATCGGAGGACAATTTGGGCGAAAATGGGCCTCGTTGGAACCCGCAGCCAAGCAGTCGTCAGTATTGAAACAGATCGGTGATATGCTCGCAGACGGTGCAGATATTACGTCGCTCTTCGTCGAGGCGGTTGAATCACCGTGGATGGACGAGGAGTACTCAGGTTGGGGTTGCCCATGCGCTTCCATGCCGCCCGGAGTATTGGGCGATGGATGGGACGCTCTTTGTGCGCCATTTGGCAGCTTGAAATTTGTGGGCACTGAGTTCAGTACTGTCTGGCGAGGTTATATGGAAGGAGCAATTCGTACAGGACAAAGAGGCGCTGCAGAAGTCATCAACGAGTTGAAGAGCGCGAAGGCAAGCCTGTAGATGGGGTGAAGATTAGGAATGTGAACTAACAAACCTCTTTTGCTTGACTGGGGCTCGGATCTTGAGACGACCTCTCCTGTCATTGCCGGTTGCAGGTGCATCGGGATGGTCTGTCGGCCTGACAGACCAGCAGACAAAAAGAGGTAGAAATGAGAAGGGGAACATTGGACGCGAGTTGAGACACAACACCAAGATAAATTCATAGCCCAAATTTGTTACGGGCAGAGAAATAGACATGTTTCACCGACATATCGCCTACCACATTTCTCGGTTTTGGTATTCCTCAAATATTCATTCTTCCTTCCCACTTCCTCGCACCCACACACAATCTCTTCTCCTGGTCAAACGCTGCTGTGTACATGTCAAGCACTCGGCTCAATACAAAGGCACACATAAAGTGTCAACCCCAGACCAAAGAGAAGAACACCTTTTGCTCTCTCCATATCATGACGTCTACACCTGAAGTCTGATGTTATGAATTGAACAGAGTTCTGCTTTTCATGTAAGGTACCACGACGACAAACCTCCAGATTCCAGACACGATCTTTCATATTCATTCCTTCGTTGGCCCTTCTTTTCTCTCATTTCAGACGTCACAATGTCCAAAGAATCACCCTACACCACGGTCCTCTCCTCCCTACTTCCCCCATCAACACCACATATCCCTCTCTCGCTCCCCGTCTCACCTCACAAACTACATATCCCGGCCCAGAACATATCTTCGCTACAACTACACCCTGTCATCGAATCTGCTCTACACATAATCAACCTCGACCTCCCATCCGCCCACTTCCTGCTCAGGCACATGCAAGCCCAGCCAGCCTGGGAAGCAATGTACCTGCACGGCATCCTGCACCGAATTGAAGGCGACATGGACAACACGCGAGCATGGTACGGCGACGTCAAAGACAGCGAAGTTTTCCAGACCGTTTGGCGCGACGACAACGATGACTCGAAATCAGATGCTGACACTAACCCCGACGAGACTCCCGCGCTTGATCGAGCAAGGTCCTTTCTCGACAAGGTCGAATCATACAAGGACAGTCTATTGTCGAAGGCACGGGCGTCAAAGTCCTCACCATCCGTTGACGTCGACACGATAGCATCAACATCCCTGAGTGAACTCCGGCGCTTCCTTTCCTTCTGTGAATCGAAATTTGGCACCGATCCCGTCACCGACGCTTCGAGCGTCTGGATCTCCATGGGCGACAAGCACAAGGACCAGGCCGCGCAGATGATTACTGGTGGCGAGGGATGGAGGGAGTTCTGAAAGCTGAAAGCAAAGCTCGGCTACTCATCCCCTCGTTAGGGTCAGCCCCAATTGCCAGCAGGTGTGTCAATCACGACGATGTTTCCCACCACGTCAAGAATACTTTCATTTGAGTTGGCAGTCGCTCGACAGGCAGAGTCACCTTTGCGGAGCACTCGCTAGCATCTTAAGACGAATGCTGTCCCCAATTACTATTGAAGCAGTGGTCATATCAAGAGAAAGAAAGCTCCCGTAGCCCACTGGTCAGCACTGGATGCTCCATGCTGCGAACTTTGCCGGTTTATGTCAAGGACGATACGACCAAGGACGGTTGGTGCCATCCCTTGAAGGCCAGGGGCAAACTGTGAAAAATTGTGGAGGGCAGGAGTAGTAACAGATAGTCCTCTTCTGGGACAGTATGCGCATGCTTGTCGGTAGGATCGCTCGAAAGAATGTCTCTCAGCCTTGTAGGCCAGGAATGGGACATAAAGAACTCTTTCGCAAGCGAGACATCGAGGGTGAGGGATGGGGTCGCAAGATGGTATGCGGTATAAGTAGGTCAAATGGCAGCATACAAACGGTCAAGCACCGGGAGTTGAGAGTATTGATGCATTGTAGAACTAAAACTAGCAACTATTTCTGCTTCAAGCCCAAGAATGAATCCACCTCAATGCCACCATCCATCATTGAAAAGGAAAAGACATCGTCAGGCAAGGGTATCGTATTATCTCATACAGGTCGTGTGCGGCGCACCATTCGGTCTTTGCAACAGCAGGCAATCAGTCATTTGTCAAGGACATTGCGTTGCTTATTTCTTGTCGCTGGAAATGTAGTCGGCGGCGTCTAATGGTTGTTAGTATTATCAAGACGGGGCGGTGTTGAAATGTAACATACCAGAAGCAGCTTTACTAGCGGTGTTCAACGCATTCGCAGCAAGGTTCTGAGCCTGGACAAGGTAGCCCTTGCCAGTCTCCTGGGCCTGTTGGGAGTACTGAGCGGTAGTCTCTTGAATGTTCTTCTGAGCCGCATTGGCATTGTCACCGGCCTGGTCGTACAGGTTGGATGCGGTCTCCTTCGCGTTTTGAGCGACAGCGCCTCCAGTCTCCTGAGCTTGCTGGGTGTAATCAGAAGCGGTGTCTTCAGCCTTCGCTGTGTAGTGGGATGCGGTGTCTTGGGCATTTTGAGCGACGTCACTTCCAGTCTCTTGGGCCTTCTGAGTGTAATCAGAGGCGGTGTCTTGAGCCTTTGCGGTGTAGTCAGAAGCAGTGTCCTGAGCCTTTCCGGTGTAGTGAGACGCGGTAGCTTGGGCATTCTGAGCGACATCACTTCCAGTCTCCTGAGCCTTCTGAGTGTAGTCAGAAGCAGTGTCCTGGGCCTTCGCGGTGTAGTCAGAAGCTACGTTCTGAGCATCACCAGCAGTCTCCTGAGCCTTTCCGGTGTAGTGAGATGCGGTGTCTTTAGCGTTTTGAGTGGCACCACTGGCATTGTCTTGAGCACTGGAAGTGTAGTCAGAGGCAATGTTCTGAGCCTTTCCAGTCCCCGAGGAGAAGTTGTCAGAGGCAGAATCGTAGGTGGAGTGGGTTTGGTCGGAGAGCTTCTGGCTGGTGGACTTGCTGTCACCTAGATGAAAGGTTAGCTGCTGGCATGGACCAAGAAAAGGGCAAATGCTTACCAGGCTGGAGGGAGCCAGCGAGGTTGTCGTAGGTACCGGTAGCAGACTCCTTGGCCTGGTCGGTGGTAGACTTCTGGGAGTCGGGAGTGATTGTCTCTCCGAGACCTATACCGAGTCAGTTCAGTTGAGATTCGCAAGGGCGTCATCTCGACATACGATCACTCAGAGGTTTGCGGGCAGAGTCAGACATGGTGGTGATTGTTTGGTAGTGTTGAGGTTATTGAGGGGTCAAAGAGATTGTATGGATATGACTTTCTGGTCAAGAGAAGTTTGTGTGACTGTTATGGTTGATACAGTCAAGAAGAAGTTTTTTCAGAAGAAGGATGTGATCAGGGTTTTGTTTGCTTCTAGTGAAACAGGCAGCTACGTAGTGGTGAAGGCGCAATTAGCCAAAAAAGTTGCAATTGCAGTTGCAGTTGCACATGCGATTGAATCACCGCGAAAAATGAGGTCAGACGCAATGGGGGGATTGACGTCACATTGTAAATAGGAAGACGAAGCCGACGAAGAGGCAAACACGCGCTACAACTTCAAGTTTACTACCCTGTGATGCACTCCGAGTATCACCATCACCCATCGACCATCATTTGACCATTTGACCATTTGACGTGACCATTTAGCACAACCCATGGCATATGAAATTCCTGAATTGAGGGTGCAATGCTAAACTAAACGACTCGAAAAACCATGGGTATCTATCTACGCAACTTCTCCCGCGCTAATGGAAATGAATCCCTTCTTGGTCCAATAAGTGCAGATGATACTCTTTTGTCCCCCTCTCCATCATTACAGTATCGATGCTATCATGGTATCCTTTTCAAGCCTTGGTGGCCTCAGGTTGCGGTGGCGTCTTCCAAGCTAGGCTGCTTTCCAATGGCATCGAGGTCCGCTCCCTTCCCACCATACTCCTTGGGCAGCTGCTCAGCCAATCCCTTGACCCTGCTGCTAGTCGCCAGTTCCCGTGCGAGGTTCGCGCCGTTGCTCATTGGATGGAACTTCTTGATGGTCTTCGTAGCAACAAACAGCTTCATAAACGTGTAAATGAATCCCATGAACGCTGGCACGTTTACGAAGAACTTCTCCTTAAGCAGCTCGGGGTAGTTCTGTGCAAAGACCTTGATCGTTTCCGTACTGGCAGCCTTGACCACAGGAGATTGACGCAAGAAGCTGATGGATTTGTAGTCATGCACTTGGATGATTTTGTATGGGTCGTGCTCGGCGGTGATGGGCTTGGTGGCACTACTGATGTCCAAAGCTTCCAAGGCTTCTTCCATCAGGGCGACTCGCCAATCAAGAAACTCTTCGAGGTTGCCGAAGGTCTCCTCCAAATTCTTGACGCTGCCATAGATGTTCCAGGTGAAGACTTCCCGACCTTCAACATCAGATGAATCAGCTCCGTAGGTAGTAACGTAGCCCAGTCCCTGAAACTTGTTGCGGTTGTACTTCTTCTTCAACAATTCCACAGGGTTCTTCTTGGCCCGCCATTCGAGAGTCTTGGTGAGTTGGTCCTTGGCCTTTTTAAGGTCTCCTTCGTTGGCGTTGAGGTACTTCTGAAGAACAATCTGGGTTGGGACATGTGTGTCTGGGTTTGCGAGAGTAACACCCCAGACCTCGGGATGTCCGTTTGATTTGACCAAGAACCAAAGCTCCTGGATAGGTGTAGCCTTCTGTGGACGAAGATGTCAGCAAGGTGTTTAGGGCTGGTCGTGGGACGGCTTTACCGTTGCTGGGGCGGCTTCTTTGATGTCGCTGTCAGGGATGACTCCAGAGACCTCTCCTGGCAGAGCCGTACTGTTTGGCGCATCCGTGGTAGTCTTCTCA